GAAGAGAATCCCCAATCAGGGCGGGTTTTTGCGATCTGACTTTACTCGAGGCCGTTGACCAGGGTCCCTGCTCGGTGCCAGGGCTCGTGCGGCGGTCATACGGTTCGTCGCCTTGGTTCATCCCCGCAAGTTTCTACGAGCTTGGTGCTTGTGGGGATCTTGATCGTGATCGAGAATCATTGATCAAATGGTGTTTAATAGAAATAACCTAAAGAAATAAATGCTTTGAGGTCATCGCATCAGCAGGTGAGATGAGATGAGACATGTCAGATTTCGGATCTTATTCAAAAGCCTCGTTGATGGTTTAGCCTCGGCAATCGAGACAAGCAAATACCTAACGTTAGTACGAGAAACACCAGTGACAGGAATGGCTGTTGGCCAACGTAGCTTCAAGTCAAGTTACACTAACAAGGCTCAAGCCTCGAGGTAGGAGACTAATGCCTCAATATCAGCCGATTTACACCTTACCCATTGATATTTTTGCCCGTCAGCCCGCGATGGCGCTCGGGGTTCACCAAACCCAGCCTACCAGCCCCCAGAACGTGTGCTGTCAAACGCTAATTCCTCTAGTTTTCTTGATTGTAAAGTCAAGTCCCTGGTTCTACGATGGCTACCCATGTTGTTTCAACAGCTTTAACCACGATGCGATGTAACGTGGTTAATATCAAAATAGGTCAATCATGTGCCGGATGGACCGAGGTGAAGCATTCGAATTGAATGGAAGCATCAGTCAATGCGCACGATAGGTAATAGTTGGACTGAGGTTTGTTGTTTTGGAGATGGAGGGTTCTAATCACGAATACATAAATAGCGTGGTCTAAGACGGAATGGATTGAGGCTTTTAATGTGGCTTGAGCTATTGCTGACAACACAATGACGCCTTTCAACTGCTGTACAAGACAATAGCCATCATGATATGGATGCAACAGTAAAAGCCAGGCATTGTTTACCAAGTTCTGCAAAGGCAAGAGATCTGTTTGCAGCAGCGCCGAGCTAATACATGCATCGAATATGTAGTCTGCGCCACGATGCAACTGTGCATGGATCCGAACAGGTTATGATATTCCTCAAGTTGGGCCAAGTTTCGCTATCTCTCGTCTGATTTGATCCTTTTGTGCCTCTGTAAATAATAAACAAAATAGAATCGGAAAGATCGATATCCGAGATGTTGAGAAATCTCCGATAGGGTAGGCCAGGATTGCTACAGGGCTCTTCTCGACACGCATGGCGCCATGTTGAACTGATATTACGGCCAGACCTCTAAGATACGCCGGAATCTTGCCTCGATGTGGCTGACTACTGTACGTGTTCTTTGCTTGTTCTTGGCGTTTGTTGTTTTTTGACGCTTCCCTTTCCATCCATGATCCTGGGGAGTTAATTCAAGACCCAATTGAGAATGAGAACATGCCCACGCTACGATTAATCAATGCCGTGCTTCCCTTTATGTTCCCAATAACGGTTGGTTCTTTGTTGATATGAATTGCCACTTCTCCAAAGCTGAAACTATTCAGACTCGCGTAAAACTTACAGTAGGATCCCAAGGGCGAATAATCCTTGTATTAAGCTAAACACAAGCTACAAGCAAGGACAAGGCCCCGCATGCATACGAAGCGCGTCTTTAATCGGCGATTGTTTTTTATTTATCGTTATTCTTGCTGCCAAGGAAATTCCGACATGGAAATCTTGGAAAACCTGCACGATTTGCGGTGTTTTCTTGTTGCTCGCTATGGGCATGCTGCTTGACTGAAACTAGCTTGGACAATAGCTCAGGTGAAATCTCCATCCTGTGAATGTGTATGATGTGATAGTGATACAGAGATTCAGGATCAGGATGAGGAAGCGTCTTGTTCATCTCGCTACACCCTGGCTACAGCAACCCTTACCTTAATACGATGCACCGTCAGCGCATTGCATTTCTGTAGGGCTGCGAATCAGTCTCAGTCGCCTCCTTACACAGGATGATTCGCATGGCAGCATTTCTGCTGAATATCGCCCGTTTTGAGTAACCCAGTTTCCATCGTACACGATATGCCGTCCAACTCTCTCACGAGCCGCTGTACCACGTTACGCGGGAAACGGGAAACGGAAAACCTGCCCTGAACTCGCACTCGTCGGCGGGTTCCCAAGGTGCTACGGCGCAGCTCACACCCCCTAGTGTTCGAGTGTACGGAGTAAGAGGGAAGCAATTCGCTCCTCGAGGCCAGGGCAAGCGAGGGAGAGGATGGACGGGTTCGACGCTCCGGCCCGCCAACGAGGTCCCGTCGATTGTGCCTGTAGATGTTGCCGTATGCCACGGGTCGCTGCTTGTAGAATGAATTGTAGATACTTGTTATTGTTGCCACAGCTGAAACGTGTCTGCCATTTCCTCTTCTAGGCCATCTGTGAATCAATATTACACGCCCTACAGGTTAAGCTGCATTTCTGTCGAAACACCTCTGTATGTACAAGATAGGAAGGCAATCAAAGCCAACAGGATCTCATAGACAGACAACCACCGTTGCAGTCCGAGACTGGTCAGCAGGGGCCGGCCCGTCCAATGTGGTTGTAAGAAGCGCCCATGATTAAAATGCCTGCAGCTATCTTCCCTCTATTTCCCTCTCTGCTGGCCCCTTTCAGCTCGACCTAAGCTGCGGCCATGGGTTCTCTCATGCCAGGGCCTGTGCAATGCTCCCGATAGCTGGGTTGGCGCTGTGATTGGTGCTTTGATGCGCTGAGGATGATTGTCGTGGCCCCAATCGACAGTGTCGAGGTTGACACTGATTTCTTGACAGGTGTGATAGACGCTGTGTGCATGCATTGGCAGACAAGTACTTGGGGTGCAACCATCTTGTTTGCTGGGTCTAGGTTAGTCTATTTGACTTGGTGTTATTCGGGATGTGTGTTTGGAGACGTTGGATGTGAACGTAGAAATACGAGCTTCAGTGAGTTACAGCAGCAAATACGCGATTAAGTTGTTATTGTTCTGAATAGACCATGAACAGGTCTAGGCAATAAATAACATATTCTTTGACATGGCTGTTGTGACTTCCTCCATAGGAGTGCCCAGTGTCAACCATTCTAAGCCAACTGACATGGAGAGAAGTTAGCAAAAGATAGGAATGTAAGTTTGGAACGAGAGCTGGAGAACATTAGTGATCTCTTAGCTCTGGTTAGTTTAAGTTTGTGATCTATAGTCATTGATATATCGGATAACCTGCTAGGCTCCGCCCTGTATCTGAGTCTCGTAAGTTGATGTGTTGCAGGAACACTCAGTATCGACGTCCTGTAGTCAATTCAACCATCATGAGGAACTTACTGAATCTAACTACCAATATTGCGAGGTGATTCCAAATGGGATGTAGTACTTATTATAATGTGTTGTGCTCCAAGACCTCGGTTGTAGCATCTGGACAGTAGTCCAGCCTGGACAACAACTGCGATCTGATTATGGAATAAGACTTGTAACAAGCCTAGACCAGCCTGAAATTGAGCTCTATTTGAGATACAACTACAAAAGAGTCTAAGAGCTACACAAATTATACAACAGGCGTATTATCTATCGCATCTTTCCTTGACCTTGGACAGACCGGAGCATACATCAGTCTAGTTCTGTGAGAAGATGGCTAACGGCAGATACAACAGATCTGGGGAGTAGATACGTCTCATAATATGGCGAACATGTTCAATTCAACCGCCATGTAGTTTCTTTTTGCTGATGTTCAATATTGAGCGCAGTCCCTGGAGTCACATGCCGGAGACAGCCAGACCTCACGTTCAGCGGTATCTACTGACAGCATACCATACAGCTCTAAACGAAGAGATATTGTAGCAGTCGAAGTACTGTAATTGATTTAAGAAAAAGTCGATGTGTTCTCTGGTATTATTTACTAATATTCGTTGTACGCTGTTGCTTGTGCTGTCCGCAAGCCCCTTAGCATTAGGAGTCCTTGAACACAATCAAGGCATATTTCTTCCCTGGCTTTATAGGGTTGACGTAGAACATCTTTGAGGTAAATAGATGTCTAAATAACTATTTGAACTCGGGTTTCCAATAAAAGATTTTGGAAAATAAATGAGTGTATGGAGACTGAGCCTCATGGACTAATGAGCTTGTTGGAAGACCATCGACAGCAACAAACATCCTCTTAACATGTGAGATAAAGTTCAAATGAGCTATACCTATGGTAATTAATAGTCATGCTCATCTTAACAAGCCTTTTGGAAAGTCGAGGGGCAGATTCCCACTCTTGTACCAAGTATCATGCTGTTACTCATTCTCTCATCAATAGCAAGAGGTCAATCATCTACACAGTGGTATTACTTGCATTTGAGGAACACATCATATGGCACAATAGTAAGCTAGCATTGGGATATTGGGCGATATTACGAGTGAGGAATCGTTCAAGAATATGTAGCTGAGGGCACACCATCACAACACAACTTCTTCCGACAGACTCACACCAAGGGTGACTGAAGAAGCACTCTACACCACATTGCCGTGTCCCATCATAAATAATCTCTAACATGTAAAAGTACCAGCAACACAGTTACGTTACGTCTTGAGAAGTAGTTAATTAAAAGAGGATTATTATTTCGTGCCCAATCGCATACATCATATCATAAGGTGCGCGGACGCGACCTGTTCTGGCCTATCCTGTATCCCAACGCTGCCGTGCACCTCAATGTTGTTCCCCGAGTTCAACTCACTGGGGGGTCTATATAATCTTTTTTAGTTTTCACTCCTGGATATGCCTGCCTCCCTGAAAACAACAACAACCGACATGAGACTGTTAACACGCTGACTTTAAAAGCAAAGTTTGAGTTATGTTCCACTTTTGAAAACCTCTGCTGCGAATTGTGTTGATTGACCATGTTGGGTCACCAACGCTCGCGTGGAGGGAACTCGTCTTGACGACGACAAAGATATGTAATAAGCAATAGTTACGACGAACGACCTCAGGGTTGTAATGACTGCTGCAATATATGCATTACGGATGAGGACGAGGATGAGGACCAGGATGCTAACCCACGCGTTGTCGCTTAATCCCTCGATCAGGTGTACTTTCTAGCCGTAGATCATCGCGGAGAATCTCTTCAGTGCCCGCAGGACTGGGAGTATTGGTATTACTGGTGTGATGCATGATATGTCCCGGGTGTAGTTGTCCCTGCTGGTGGTGGTGATTGGAGTCTGTGTCAAGGGTGAAGTTGAAATCATTGCCATCAGCGCCGTATTGAGCGTCACCGAGGAATGCGTTGCTGTCAAAGAACTGATCGAAGTCTGTTGGCTGATCAAAGTATGCCGCGTTATCGTCGCCTAGACCTGGGATGTGCCCTGAAGGGCTCAATGGGCCAAGTATGTTGCCGAGCTCGCTGATCTTTGCATCCTGTTCGCTTTGAAGGCGTTGAAGTTGATCCAGGTCCATCTGATTGGTGTTGATCTCGTTCAAAGAGGGTGGAGCCATGGGAGGTCCCATGATAGGGGAGAGCGAAGGCGCTTCGACTGGCGGGGGAGATACAGAGGCAGTGATAGGCATAGTGGGCATAGGCATATGGGAGTTCGATGTAGGAATTTGAGCAGAAGGGGGGACAGGCGTGGTGGAATGGGGTGCTGGGGTGGGAGTTGCCCTGGTAGACGGGGCAGCAGAGGACTGGCTAGCCATGAAGTTGACTAGGTTACTTCGTTGAGCATTACTCAACGTGTTCGGGGCGTTAGCAACAAGCTCTGCCGCCTCTGGAAGATCCAGATGATTGTTGGTCGCATTGTGGTCGTTAATGATCTTCATCATCCGCTCATGAGGATTTGTCTCCAATTCCTGGCGTAGATTGGGAGAAGTTGTGTCGCTCGGAGAGTTATCATGAAGTTCTGTGACGTGACCCATCTCAGGGTTGTGGTGGCCAACAGTTTGGTATGCCGAGCTGCCAGGCGTAGATCTGCTTGGAGTAGAAGATGATCTAGCCGATTGGGCGCGGTTGTTTTGGTTAGGGATGGGTGGCAACAGTCCGCGAGCTCTCTTATGAGGTGTGCCGTATGTAGCAGGATCCATCTGTTGAATAAAATCACCCAAATCGACCACACTTCCATGCTGGTTGGGCTGTTGATTTTGACTCGTGATCATGCTCGAAATGATTTCGCTGACGTTCTGCGAGTTACCCTGATCCTCCAGAGTTTTCCTGAATACATTGGCAAGGAAGTTCAGAATTGCATTGATGGAGTTTTGGTGGCGGTCATGTTGGTTCTGGAACAGGATAGCTTGGTTGTATAGATCGGTGTTGTTTCTCTGTAGTCGATTGATAGCACCAAGGATGAGCTTTTGTTGATCCCGAACTTTGCCCAATTCCTCCCGAATGACAGACATCTCCTTCTTTGGCGGGGGTTGAGATTCACTCGCCGGTAGAGATCGTGGAGGCTGGGCGACAGAAGGTCCCAAATTGGAGGTAAGAATTTCCTCATTGACGCCCTCCTCCTCGCTGTCGTTGTCACCTTCCATGCCCTTCGCACCCTTCTTAGCCTTGCTGCCGTTCTTGGGCTTGTTGATAAGCCACAAAAGATTTGGATGGCCACGTCGGAAGTAAGGGTTGGAGTACTCGCTAGGGCTCTTGTTCTTACGCTCACTGGCTCGCATGGAGTTGTCAGACAGCCCTACGCGTTTGTGGAAGCCGTACATATTGAGCTGTCGAACGAAGGAGGCGTAGTTGTTGTGTTTGAACAGTTCCGGGATCAGTGTCTTGGCAAATTCATCCTCGTCAAGCACGATGAAGGAATCTCCCTTTTCTGACCACCGAATCAAGTCCTCGTTTTTGCGCTCCTCCAGGAAACTGAATGCTGTTAGTCTACTGACCAGATTTTAAGGATAGAAAAACTTGCCTGCTGAGTTTTTGTACAAACGGAGGAATCTGCTTGCGCTTTGCTTGTGACTCTCTCTTGGCTTTTTGGGCCATCTCCTCCAGTAATTCGACATTATCCTGCTCGTTCAAGTTTTCAGGTCCGTTTTGTTGAAGCAGAGCATTGTCCTCTCCGACAAAATTTCCCCAAGGTTCAACAGCTCCCTCGAAATTTCTTGTGTTGGTGGGAACAAGGGCCCGGTTCATTTGTCGCCGAGCAAGTGTGTTTGACGGAGTCGGCACAGGCTGAGTGTATTGCGGCTGTGCCGGAACGAGACCGAAAGAATTCCCAACGTGTGCATTTCCATCCATGATTCCATCTGCGCCGTTCATGAAGTTCGAAGCATCGCCCATGCCATTCCAACGCAGAACCTGGTCGCCCGCCGCATTTCCCGAATTGTACTGCTGTTGCATTTGTTGCGGTAATGGCATCATAGGCGATGCTCCCGGTGCTGCTCGTTTCCTAGGGTTGGGTGCAGACATGAAAGTGACTCTAGAAAGTCAGCGCTTCTTCGAAGCGGTGAGGATTTGATCGGGGTGGATTGGCTGCTGTCGATGCCTAATCCTGTCGGGTATGATTATGATTTCGAGGCTGATGTTGTTTTGGCTACCTTGAAGACAGGTCGCCTCGTCGCCTTAGTAGTGGCCGGTCACGGGTTGTGGGTTTCAGTATGTTGATAATTCGGTAGAGTAAAAGTGAGTTTTATTGATATTGCTGTAGCCGATTGATGCGCAACGTCATGCGTTAGCGTTGGAGATTTAATTTTCTTGGTCGCGTCGGATTTGTGAAGAAGAAAGGTGCGGGGCGGTTTCGATATGAGAGCAGTGAAGAAATGCGCAATCGCGTCGGAAGGTTAAGCCGAATGGACCTGTCGCAAAATGCCACAATCAAGTGAAGGTCGTTGGTGGGAGGCACAGCCTTGAAGATCCGGTCGCGGGGCGATGAGTAAGAGTGAGGTGAGGATTGAAGTCGATGACAGCCACGCGACAGCTCAAGCTACGTGTACGGAGCACGCGTGGTAATGCCTCGAAGCAAAGGGGAATTGCGAAGCGCGTCTGGGAGAAAGTTATGCAGGCTGAAGAAAAAAAGGCTGAGCGGGCAGCCTGCGGTCTTGGATGGTCGGGGATATGCCTTGGGTCTATATAGATCAAGAGAGATAAGAAGCAGTAGGCGTCTCGCCCATCCTGGAAGGCAGACTCAATAGGCGATGCACTGGCCGGGACGAAAGCTCAAGGTAACCCGATGTCGCGATTGGATTTGGTGGTGCAGTTTTAGGTGACGCTGATGATGCTGAAGATGATGGTCGCGCTACGTATGGGTCTTCCGGAGCATTTGGAGCGGTCGCTCCGAGTGTCAAAAACTGGTGAGCCAATCAGAGATGCAGGAGAAGCATGGTCTCCAGACCTTCACGTGATGATAAGACGAGATAATCTCGATCTTCAACGTTGAAGAAGCCACGAATTTTGAGCCTCTTAAAGGCGTTTGACGGTTTCAATTTATGCAATTTATGCATTGTCTCAGCTGCAATATTATGTAATTGAAGAGTTTCTTTTTTTGCCTATTTTTATTTTTCTAATTCCATCGCAAAATTTGATATTTGTGCTTATCGACATTCCACAATCCCATCAGCACCGATCGATCGGCATCTTCTAGCAAAATGGAGTCGGCAGTTACAATTTAAAATGTCACTTTTGTTCAGCAAACAGGCATTGGCGTCATCCCATGTCAGGTCAGACTTGGAGGGGCCTGAGGGGCACTATCAGACCTGGCGTGATGTTTTTATGCTGGGTATCGTAGACTGACTATTCCCAATATGGCCTCTAACCTTGACTTGCAGGTCGCAACGACCAACAGCTTTCAACCTCACCCGGTCCTATCTACCTAATAATCCTACGTTTCCGTGTTCCCGTGTCTCCTCGTCTCGCTTACTTTGCTCCTCGTCCTGCAAGCGAGGCAGCCTGAGCCATCTTGGCATTCCTGGCTGCGTCTCTTGCTTGGTCCCACGCTCTTCCAGAGTTCCCTTGCCGGGCATCCCTTGCAGCCTTCTTCTCATCCTGGAGAGTCCTAGCCTTTTCGCGCGGATCAATCACCACAAGCTCCTCCTCTGCCTTCTTGCGATTTCTCAGGTCCTTACCCAGCTTGTCCGCTGCAAAGCTTAGAGAATGTGACATCCATCCTTCGTCATCACTATCATCCTTCCCCTGTTTATCCCAGGATGTGCAGCTCTGGCAATTGGCAATAAAGTGTAGGTCGCATAGCTCAGCTTCCTCGTCCAGGGCCTGTGCGTCTCCATCTTCCTTGGTAGCTTCCCGGGCTGAATGCTCCTTTTCTTTCTCCGGAGGGGCCTTTTCCAACCTTGACTGAAACGCCTTGAGCATGTTGAGGGTCTTGGAATCCTCATTTGCTGATGTATTAGCAGCTCCGGGCCTTCGTTTCCGGGCCTTGATTGATGTTTCAGGGATCATGGATTCTAATGCAGACTTCTTCTCCTTCACAGGCTCTTCTGAGTGAACCGTCCGTCGCATGGATGCTTTCAGCGCGGCCATCTCGGCGTTGGCTCGCTCCAATGCGGTCATACGGGGGACCTCCGGCTCGGGTGATTCGTCCTCCAATTCCCTTTTCATAACCGGGCTGGATCTTCGATGAACCTCCTGGGGTAGCTCTTCAGAAGTGGATTTCCTTGGTTCTTTGCTTTTGGTTTCTGCCATTGGTGATCTCTTGTTGGGTACAGGTTCCTTCTTGGATTTTGGCTTGGTTGCTTTCTTGGGGGCTTCCTCTTCTTCCTGATCTTCCATAACAATTCTCGTGTCGAACTTTTTCTTCTTGAGCACTGGCATTTCGTCGTCGCCCTCCTCATCGCCAAAGCTGAGTAGTTGTTTACCGCCTTTTCGCTTCTTCTTCTTGTCCTTGTTTGTCGCTGTTTTGGAAGGCACTTGGATAGCAGCCACTCGGGATCGCTTCTTCATGTCGTCGAAGGGATTGACCACGATCTCTATCCGCTCAATCTTGACGGGGTAGGACGGACGTTCTGTCGTTTCATCCACTTCCCCCTCACCCATTTTCGCCAGGTTATAAATAGTATCGCCGGCAATTCGTCCAAACATTGTGTTCTTCCCATTGAGCTCTTCGGCTTTATCCAGTGTAAAAAAGAATTGACTGCCATTCGTGTCTGGACGTGACTCGTTGGCTGAGCCCAACAGACCTCGGCGATTGAACTTGAGGCGCGAATGAAATTCGTCCTTAAAATTGATTCCTGTTGGACCTGCATTCTTGCCCAGGCGCTGGTCCATGGGCCACGGGTCCAAGTCGCGGCTGAATGCGCCTCCATCGTATATAGACTCTCCTCCATTGCCAGTGCCTGTAGGATCTCCGCCCTGCAAGATGAAGCCAGGGACCAATCGATGGAATATCGTGTTATCGTAGTAGCCGTCGAGGGCTAGTTGTAAGAAGTTGCGACATGTTAACGGTGTTTGTTTGGCGAATAGCTCGACGGAGAGTTCGCCTCGAGTGGTGTGGATGATGACTGAGGCGGTGGGCTGCGGTTCGAGATTGTAGATCGCCGACATTGCGACTCTCTTGGGTTGTGGTAATAGGAAATTATATGTTTGTGGTTGATGTTGCAAAGTGCAAGGCGCGTGACGAAGATTGTCAAGCTTGAGAGAACTAAGAGGAAGCTCAAGGCTTGGCTTGCATAGAGACCCACACTGGGTTTATCGATAAGACCAAAACACCATAGCGCATCATCAACACCAATGAATGGTTTGCTGAATTGCTTCAATATACTTTCGCATATGACCCGATACTTTTACAAGTTCACCGTCACTAAACCGAGGTCTCCAAACTTATAAAGCCACCGCTTCCGCAGAGTAAGAGTAGAGTCATACTAAAATATTCTAATGACAAAGAGTACTTTTTGCATATCATCTGGTGCGAAGAGGATAGGTAAGACCTGGATTTACACCCAACAGTTGATAACGAGCCGATTTATTCTCATTTATAACGTATCTTGGGACTATGAACGAAGTATGTTCTCCGACCCAGCCAGAAAGATGTTGTCTACCAGATATCACAGATACCACTATATGAAGAAAGGAGACATGTGCATGACTGTGACCCATTGTTCGACTTTAGATCTTTCCCTTGAATCGCATGATGCTGAACTCATGGTTGAATGGGACGCCGGCGGCCATTCACCAGAATCAACGTTGCCACAGGTGATCCCTATATTTTTTGCAGGACAGTGTTGCTATCTCCTTTGTGTCACCATCCGAGGAAGATGGGCATAGGAGTCTCTGAGTCCACGTGGGGGTATTGGGCCACGTTGAAGCTCGTATCAGACCTTTGTGATGTCGAGAATACGTATCACATCGCTTTCCATGAGCTTGATCCTGATAATGTCCCAAGCATGTCCCTTCATTTAGACACACAAGACGATTCAGTCAATATTGTGTGACCTAATTACGAGAGCAAGCTCTGACTGGTTTTGGTGGTGCCCACACAAGTAAACAAAGCAGAGAGCTTGAGTTCAAGAAAGACGTATGGATGTATTCTGAGAGCAATATGAGGACCGTGATTGCTTTGAGAGAAGCCATCGGAGTCCAAAATGAAAGCAAGGCCAAAAGATACACAGAGCTGGGGAATATAGTAACAAGGATATGCAGCCGGATTTGATATTCATGGCGAGGTGATGCCGGCTATAAAGTAGTTCACCCGATATGACCTAAGTGTGACCAACGGCCGAGCATGCGACGTTGTAGTCGAAACCGTTCACAGTCACACCTCGGTTCTTGATCGCGATTCTATCAACCCTCCAGTCCCAGTGAAGAGACTCAATAGGTTTGTTGATCCTCGTCATATCGTTGCACAAGCTCTCGTGCTTGACCTCAGTATAGAGTGTGTACCACTCTACGTTTATAATTAGGTCCCCTACTGGATGATGATAGTGTTCAGGTTTTCGACCTCGCATCCGAGCATACTCTCGTTCTAACCGTCACGCCGCTTGGTTATCGTTATCATCAGTAGTCAAGATTGTCGTGTCCTCTGAGGTCAGAGTACATATCGGCGTTGCGATTTCCCCCGTTGGTCTCCCTTATTGAGTTCACCTTCATATCCAGGCACATAATGTCGAGCTGTAAAGGTCCTTGCTGGGACGATGCTGCACAAGGTTGACTTCTAAGGCAGATCAATCAAGGCTCTCAAAAGTACCCGCTGGTAGGCGTCTAGAGCGGACTAGAGAAAAGTGCGTATACCCAAGAAGGTTCTCAAATAACGTTAGCATGATTGCTCCTTCGCTACTGTGTGCCATATGAACAGGCGACAACTGCCCTGAACGGTTGAGAAAAAGAGGATCTTATTGTAGGAATAAGTTCGTGCATCGACGGAAGAAGGAATATGAGTCTCGGAGTTAGAGAAATATCCATAAGGAATTTACCATTGCATGGATGTGTATAGATGAGTGTTCGCGAAAAGATTGTGATCAGCGATAATAGGATCATCAATAAAAGTCATCTCGCAATCAGTCACTGAGCCGTAAGATATATGAATGAGTGAGTACTGGCTCAGGGGAGTATTCCGTGGCCAAAGTTTTATTCCTCACGCTGAACTCGACATTTGTCCACAGAGCTCTATATAATCGAAATACGAATCAAGTTTTGGGGTACTTAATAAAGAGGCCTCGAAGTCCTGGGGGAAGAAGAGGTGTCGGCTGTTAAGATCCGAGTCACTTGGCAAGGAGCGAGAAGACTCCAATTTTGAAGGTTCTTTCAACTTTCCATGTACTCCGTACGGGTCGGGGTCTTGTACCTACCGATGTACCTCAGGATTTTGGTATCACTGCCATGTAGACAGTAAAGTGCTGCACGGAGCCATTTTGTCACACCCCAGACATTGCAACACAACAAGTTGAAGTTTGACCTCGGTGATAATTGTGCCGAGCAGGAAAACGAAAACTGGTTGTGTGGAGCCAGTTGTCTTTGCGGTTACACACCACTCAACGTTGTCGCACAAGTGCACCGCGATGGCTTCACAACCAAGCCATCACCAGGCATACTTGGACTCCCTCTATTTTTTTCTTCTTCCTCAGCTTAAAGACGTCGCGGCAGGTGCTCCTTCTGCGCTCGGGTATCTGAAGTTTATCTCAGCCCTGCGGGATGGCCCGCAGTGTGGGATTACCTAATCGGGCAATCGTCCAAAACACCAACCTCACAGATCATGGGAAATATGTAATTTAACTGTTTCTTAACATTTAATCGTGAAATCCTAATAACTAAGAGTGGATTCATATACAGATTGATCGCGCGGTTCTAACGCCACCCAAAATTCCCCCAAATTCCCATGTTTCCTTAGTAAAGCTTGATGGCGACAGATTTGTTCTGGGTATAGTTCGCCAGGGCTGCCTCGCCCAATTCTCGTCCAATTCCGCTTTGCTTGTATCCACCGAATGGCAACTGATGATGAAGCATATTATAACAGTTAACCCAGACTGTACCGGCCTTCAGACTGTTTGAAACACGGATGGCGGTGTTGAGGTTCTTGGTGTGAACGGCGGCAGCAAGACCGTAAGCGGTGTCGTGAGCGAGGTCCAGAACCTCCTGCTCGTCCTTGAACTTGGAAATAGCGCAGACAGGGCCGAAAATCTCCTCCTGCATGATCTTCATGTCGGCGCGGACGTTGGAGAAGATAGTGGGCTGGATGAAGTAACCCTTGTTTCCTAGGCGCTCACCACCGGTCTCGACGGTGGCACCCTCGTCCTTACCGGCCTTGATGTAGCCCATAATGCGGTCGTACTGGAGCTGAGAGACCTGAGGACCCTGGAAGGTCTCCTCGTCGAAGGGGTCACCAACCTTGTTCTCCTGAGCTCGCTTCTTGAAGGCCTCGAGGAACTTGTCGTAGATACCCTCCTGGACAAAGATACGAGTACCAGCACAGCAGCACTGGCCGTGGTTGTAGTAGATACCGAAGTTGACCCAGTTGATAGCCTCCTCAATGTCGGCGTCGTCGAAGACGATGTTGGGGGACTTGCCACCAAGCTCGAGAGTAACCTTCTTGAGGTTGGAAGAGGCAGCAGCCTTCATGATCTGTCGGCCAATGACGGTAGATCCAGTGAAAGCAATCTTGTCAACGTCCATGTGGGCGGAGAGAGCGGCACCGGCAGTCTTGCCGAAACCGGAAACCAGGTTGAAGACACCGGCAGGGAAACCAGCCTCCTCAATGAACTGGGTGAAAACAAGAGCGGAAAGAGGAGTCTGCTCAGCAGTCTTCATGACAAGAGTGTTACCGGTGGCCAAGGCAGGGCCAATCTTCCATGCCAGCATGAGAAGAGGGAAGTTCCAGGGGATAATCTGACCACAGACACCAATCTATAATTTGAATGTTAGTGAGAAGATTTTATATGGTATTTCGATTCGGGGTAGCTTACGGGCTCGGATCGGGTGTAGTGGAACATCTCGGGGGCAATGTCGATGGTCTTGCCCTCGATCTTGTCGGCCCAACCACCGTAGTATCGGAGGCAGCCAACAACGGCGCCAACATCGCCACGGGCGTTGGTGATAGACTTTCCGTTGTCGAGAGACTCAACAGCAGCGAGGAGGTCGAGGTTCTTCTCAGCAATATCGGCAAGCTTCAGGAGAAGGTTGCCTCGGCCTTGAGGGGTGACCTTTGACCACTCGCCCTCGAAGGCCTTGCGGGCAGCACTGACAGCCAGGTCGATATCCTTCTCGGTACCTTCGCAGACGGAGGTGATGACCTCCTCAGTAGAGGGGTTGATAACCTCGAACTTTTGCTTGTCGACACCCTCAACCCACTTGCCACCGATGAAGCTGAAGAAGAAATGTTAGTTGCTGAATTAGGAGATACATATTAGATATTCGGGGTAGCTTACAGGCCAATGGGTTGCTGGTAAGCACCAGTAACGGGAGTGGTCAACTCAACGGTGAGAGCCATTGTGTATATGTGATATGTGGTAGAGAGAGAGGGGAATTGGGTATCTTAGAGTGAGGATATTGGTATATAAGAGAAGAGAGAGGAGGAGGTGATGATGAGATGATCTGGAAGAAAAGATTGGAATAACGACGACGGGAAAGGGAGTATTTATTCTTGAGACTGCCGCGGGGTTTTTGGTGGGAGAATGGTAGTAGGGAACTGAAGGGGAGGGGTCGGGGTGTGATATGCCGTGTGTGTTGCCTCGGTGGGGGAGGGGTGTGAAGTGTGAAGTGTGAAGTGTGAGGTTTGAGAGTGACGCCAACTTTCCCCGCAACAGCCTCGCCTCTCACGTCGTTGAATGGAACATGGGTTGTCTCGGTACGTACAGACAGACAAACGTGTGGCCTACGAATTGCACGGGCAAGGTTAGTTACCGCTGAGCTTTGCGGCGGCGGCGGCGAAGGGGAGCGGGCGGACGGCCCCCCGTAAGTTGATGGAGCCCGAGGACCTTTGCGGAGCATTGTAGTGGCGGTGGTGGGCAAAGGACATGGTTAGTAGTTGAAACGTCACGTAAGTTGTCCTGTTAACCTCAACTGCAGCAGTAGTCTAGACTCCTGCTCCAGTGTCTACTCCAGCACATAACAGAGCTCGGAAGACGTTTCGGAACGGCTCATGGGCAGAGCTCTCTCCTCTAAGCCGGGGCCAGCCTCCAAGTCAGGGAAAAAGTAGTATTTTGTGCTGGATCGCGGGGCAGAGCAGGGGTATCAGATCGATGTGTTGAGTACGGAATACTCAATCGGCAATTTTATCTTCAGCACATGTTATCACTGAACCACGTCAGTTCTATCACAAATACAGTAATTAGTCCCCTTAGTTACACTGCTTTTCACCTCCAAGCGGCTCTGGATGCTGGTTCCGTCATGGCTCGGCACCCTTTGATTCCATGACCCTCTGGCTTCCCCCGCCAAAAAGGTCAAAGTGGATGAGATCTAACAAGGTGCGCCAAATCACAACAGCCAGAAGAAACAAGGTCCAGACATGCCGCCACCGAACCTCCAAGCTCTCCCCACAGCCGGTTCACCGTTGACCAATTATGGATTTGCAGGAGATACTGTTGCGGAGCTTTAGAGAGGGGATCTGCGCCAAAGAGGTCAAGCTTAACAATACGAAATTGCAAGAGGATAAAAACTGTCAAAGCTCTGGTAGCAGTAAAAAATGGTACTCTAGGCGCGTTTGAGCTTGACTCGTGTACTACTACAAGCAGAGCTCTACAGATAGTGCTCTGCTAAATTCATTTAAACTTGCCCATTCATACTACAATAAGCAAACCAATTCTTGAGTCGAGGAATTGGCTGCATCTACAACAACTGTGACAAATCAATCTATCAGTAGTGCATGCAGAGCCCCGGAGCCGACCCCAGGCACGGCATGTGTGTGTCTCTCTCTAACAGTCTAACTTACAGCACATGCCTAGTCCAGTAATATGCCGCAACAGAAGCAAGGCCTCATCGGGACTGTCACATCAAAACTCGATCCGCACATGAGTTTGGCTACTTGGTTCCCGGGGTTTCGTCCATCCTTGAACGACGACCCGAGATTCGGTACGATTTGCTAATAACACCGGATGGACCACTAGCAGTTGTTATCATTGATGATTAATTCCGCGCCTAGCAAATAGACCTCGTACATACGTGGTATTGTAGCAACGATAGCAAAGCGCAATGCGACTTGACCGTGATTCACAACGAACCGCAACCATGAATCCCTGTCAACCCCGTCTTATTCCAGCTGTGCATCTCCGGAATAGTCTTGATGGTGTCTGGTTCGGTTCGGCCTTAAGGCAATATCTCTCTACAGTTAGCGTTTCGCAATAGACGTACGGTTTATGCATCCTCCCTCTATTCATACGATTGTGTCTAGGGTATCTCTTAGTCTAGAAGCTGAATTTTCCAAACTACATTGCATGGCATGGGATCATATCTGATGACACTGCATAGAATCCTTGCCAACCTGGGGAAAATCAGTCGACTATTCCCCAACATCAGCACTTCCAGTGTTAATTGTGTCAATGAATAGCAGCGCCCACAACCATATTCGATGTAATCATTACTCTTCAAAGAAGATTGAATATACCAGGCTACTGTCAACAAGTTCGAATGCATTGTAAATGGTGTATCTACTCTATTCTCATAGCCGCCTACTGTACTAGCTACCCTACTGTACTAGCTACCCTACTGTACTAGCTACCCTACTGTACTAGCTACCCTACTGTACTAGCTACCCTACTGTACTAGCTACCCTACTGTACTAGCTACCCTACTGTATCCCATTTGTCTATGAGTTTATTCCGTCTTCACACGATACAAGGCTTGCCTCACCCCCCACCTTCATGTCGCGGATCTAGACATCCCCGGGTCCATCTTGTTTGTTTGATGGGCGGTGGTGATGCCAACACTGACACTAACCACTTCAGTTGTTGGACTGTGCTTAGATCTTCACATCTACAGTGCCATTCAGGGTGGTTCCTCGCCCCGAACAAGACGCTTCACTTACTGTTTTGGGGCATGTCAACTCCACAGATAGACAGTCTTACTGAAAAATATTTTAATTAATGGATATGTATTCTCGTTGCTCTTTACTGAGAGACCGAGAGAGGGTTCTGCGCCGTGAAACACTCGGCGTAAAGGGTAGCGAGCATCAAAAACCGACCCCGCACCCCCAGAGCCAGACCTTGTAGCCTGTAGGTACCTCGCAGTTCGTACTGCGAGGTTCATCCTTCATCACCACTCTCGTTAAGGTTGGGAGTGGACTCTCAGACTCTCCAATTCCTGGGGGAGCCGTTCATCCTAGCCCCCCCAGGACCCAGGTGCGTCTATCTCCCAATGCTACCTAGTCTCTCACTCCCCCGTGACGCTCACTGGTTCCCTAGGACCGAAGGGACGTTGGAAAGCCTCGTGCTATTTTGGCTTTTTGGGCTTTCTATCGCGGACCCGCAGACATGGTGCAGCTTTTCCCTTTCATACCCTGCTTGCCTCCCTCATGCTTCATGCTTCATGCCCCCCTAGCTCCCAGCAATTGCGGCTCCGCTGCGTCTCCGTCCTCCGTCTCGCCGACTAGGTCAAAGGCGGGGACGGCCCCACACAACCATACCCCGTGGCCCCGCGTTTTCTGTTTTCTAAGCGCTCTGGTAATTTTCCCTTTGCGGTTAACGATTCCAAACACCACATGGAAATGATGCGCCTCATTTGACTGACATGGATTGCGGCTCACCACGAGACAACAACATCAACACTTCTGAATATCTTGCGCCGCGATTAAAGCGTCTCAGAGTCTCAGGCCCTTATGGGCCCAAACCACTATAATGATCTACCACGTTAACACGGAACAAGTTGGTCATCACGAACTATTCAATATGGGATACCACCCTTGAAAGCCGCAAAGTTGCGCATACACACTATCAGCCATTCAGCCTCGCTCATTACCAACCAACTGGCCAGTCGCAGCCTCGGCGGAGATGACATGATACATCACACGCTCCCTACAAACTCACGAGAGCCGCAATTGTTGAGATTGGAGATCTCGCCTGAGACTTCGTCAAAGCTCGTCCGCATCTCACACTTCGGGTCCGCGACTCCATACTTTCCTTTCTTTTTACTCCGCCAGATTATTCTATCTTCTCCGTACATACACAAACAAAGTCTCAAATGCACGGCTACCCCACATCCGGGGCCGCAGTCTGTCTCCTCAACCCCGACTTCAGGGACCAAAATGGGTCAGGCACGGCTCCGTTCGATGGCGAGGGCGTGGCATTAAGACGTGTCAGGCGGGCTGTTTATCTGCACGAAGATCTGACCCCAGACTTGCGCTGCAATGGACGTCAATATCCAATGGTTGGGGACTGCGGACATGGGACAGGCCACCACGCGACGCTTTGGGCTCCCTAGCAGCCACGTTGTGTTTGTCCGGCTCAGCGGTAGTGGGACGGTTTAGTTTACTAAACAACTCATATGGATCGATGTTTCTGGAGCCGGTAACGAGCTAAGCCGGCAGTCCTCGGGAGTTGCGAGGCCCCGCGTGCCCCAGATTCTCCCCAGATGGTCTGTCACTTGAGCTGATTACGCTCGTCTTTAGAGCTGATGCCCCCGGATTATTCCATTCCCCATAGACACATCAATCACAAGAGTCTAGGCTACTGGGTCTAGTACTTGCGTACTAGAGGTGCACTTATTTTCTTGACTAAAGGATCTGCTACTCTCAACATCTGACTTAGGAGAAATCCCGAGCCACCCTCCTTTGCTCCCCTCTCTAAGCCTCGCGAGAGTGCAAGCTCCTCAAGCATGCAAAACTTGTAATATGCTTGGAAAACTGTCATTGGCATACCGTCATGATTTCGTTGTGTTGCTACACTCATCCAAGTCTTTGTTGTAAGTTGCTGAATGGCAATACACATTAACCAGAAACAATCTTATCATTACTGTTTTTGAACAGTTTCGAAATCTAGAATATACAAACCACTGCAATATAGAGCAAACAAACTCTGGATTGCTTCTGAGCGTGTTTGCTGCTCGTTTTCAAAACATGTTTATCTGGACTTTTCTATCATTAAAGATAACGTTGACAAACTCATTCGCACCAACTACCATGATGGCAAAGCTGCAGCTCGTTGCGTCGTTCACTAAGGTAGGTAGGTACAGTGGGCGTATAAAATCCCGACAAGTTCCATGCTTTCATAATTTATATAAGTCAGATAAATTATAATAACCTCTTCTGATTTTACACCGTACTTTACTATGTTATCCTAAGATTATGTCTAAAATCCTCTAATCACCATCTATTCTATAAAGGAGCATTCCTTCAACTCTCATAACGTGACGTCCGTCGCTTGGCCATGAAGATTTAAAGAATCATGGTGAGATGAACCTCTGTTCTCATATTAGATTGTAGTGCTTCATCCGGGATCAATGGAAGAAATCGGTTTACTAACTCGACGCAGATCAAGGATAAGTCGCCCCGAGTCAAGCATGAGGCGGATAGAGCCCCTTATACCACAAGGCAGTGGAAGATGATCAGACGGGACGACGGCAAGCTGGCCTTCGACCTGAAAGACGGTTGAGTACCGTGGAAGGAAAATTTCTGTCAAGATCTCCAAGGTTATGCCATATAGAATCACGAGTATTTGGGTGTTGGCGTTTACAAGGGAAATACTGATTTAGATACCCATGGAAGGGAAAGTACCGGCTTATTAGGGTGTAAGGAGTAAGGAACAGGCAGTAAGAAAGAATGTTACGCAGCATATGATTTACACTTATTGAAATCAAAACTTTGTCAGAATTAATTCTATAGTAACGATAAAACGCATTCGTCTTTACCTTTAGAGTTCTTAGTTGAATAGTGGAGGTCGAGGCTTAGCCGTAGCTCAAGCTTGTACCTGCAGCGTGAGCTGCTATTGGCCGGGATAGCTCTCCGCCAAGACGCCAGCGTGAACCTCCTCCATCTCCTTTCGCGGAATACCCCATGACGTTACATCTTAACCTCTCCCTCGATAGCCAGTTTCTCGACTTTACACCAACAGTATCGCCTACGCCTTCAGACACCCCGTCGTCCCCGACATCGAATATGCCCTCGTGTAGAAATGCTGCATCTGCCGTCTCATAGCCGTTCAATTCTACGCGCTCGCCGTTGAGTGGCCTCCTTTCCTGCAATGGCGCCCGAAACACCAAGCAACATCCGCGTCTTCATCCGCTGGCACGATCAGACTGTATTTGCCGGCGAGGAAGTCAAGTGTACGATTACTTTTAAGAACATAACGCCTGGACCGGGTCAATCGAAACAACCGCCGCAACAGTCAGAACGAAGTCGACTGGCCTCGCCCTTGCATGGCCGACAGAAACCAAGTCAAGGCTTAACCCCGCCGCCGTCGGCATCGTCGGGCAGAGGACATCGTCGTTCTGCCCTCTCTTTAAGTGTCCCTGCTTCACAATCACATAGCAGGACAGGCTCAGTGCAATGGCCGTCATCACCGAGTTCGAGTGATCGTCGTTCGAACCACTCTCACAAGCGCTCTGTCTCTATTGTCTCAATCGGATCTAATAATACTGTGGAAGACCACACACAACGAAATGATTTACCCGCACGACCTCAAAGACCGCATCGCGGCCACGGACGCGCTTCAAGTTTACAAATAATTCCTCGAGCCCAGAGTAACCTCCCTACTGGGCCCCATTCCGGTATGCCAGCTGTGCCGTATCCCTTGAAAGCTAGCTAACTCTTTCCAGCATCCTTCTCTCCTCGCCTTTCGAGCTCTCCTTTATTCCACGCCTCATATCCTCCGCCTGACCGATTTGGCCGTGTATCTCGCCCTCCAATAACATCCCATGCCTCCAATATAGCAGGCCAGCGAAGGCCCTCTCCGCAACAAACACCACCAGAACACCCAATGCCGGAGTTTCGCTTTCCCGCAGCTCCTTCGCCGAGTCGAGAAATGCGTCCAAGCATGTCTAGAAGATCAACGAACGAAAACATGCTCAGCCCTAGAAATGCTGTGGGTGATCCGAGCGGATTGGCGATGCGCCTCAAAGACGGTGTCCCAACTATTAGCGAACAATCCGCTCCTGCAGCTCGCATTCTAGCCAGCAGCGGTATCCTGGGAGGAACACCGAGGAGCAGTGGGGAGTTTTACTCTGTCAGCAACAACTCGTCAGAGACTCTGGTTTCGGAATATGTCACGCAGCAACCAGCCAATCGGGGGCACGGACGACCACTCCGGAGAAGTCTTGGTATGCCTGCGCCGCAATCGAGAGCACCGGAGTCCTTGATGATGGGATATGCTCAGTTGCAAGGATCTTTCTCGCTAGACGGATCTCTGGTGAGCCTTAGCCAATTCGATCAAGTCAAAAAGAAGGCCATTGTTGGTCAGGGCGGTGGCGTTGTCGGTCTTGAAACCAAACGTGACAGCGGCCTACTGGGAGGCTTCGGATGGGGTCGAATCAGTAGCTCAATCGGCGACTTGCTGGGAGGAGGAGAGCTGAGCACTATCAAAGAAATGCGAGGTGTTGCAAACTCAAAATCTGTGCCTCTCTTAACTACGCCACAGTCTATTCTATTTGTGGACCTGCAACTGGCACCAGGAGAAAGCCGAGTTTTTGAATACTCTTTTCGGCTTCCAAAAGGTCTTCCTCCCTCACACCGTGGAAAGACCGTCAAAATCACATACAGCTTGGTCATTGGCACACAAAGAGCCGGAGGAACGAAAGAACAACAGGTCAAATCTGTCGAAGTTCCTTTCCGAGTGTTGGGAAGCGTCAACAGCCACGGCGAGATTCTGGGACATGATTTGATGAACCCTTATATCCTGTTACAGGATCAAGCTCAAGTCAAAAGTCCACCGAACAGTGATAAGAGTGGTTCAAAGACGAACGGCAATGCAGCGAAAGGACAGCAGCCAGCATTGAACGACTTTTTACTTTACGTGGAAGACCTAGTTCACCGACCTCGAGATGAAAGCGGTAGTATTGTTCTGTCACCAGGTGCCGGTAACTCTAGGCGACCATCGACAAATGAAGAAGCCAGTACTGCACACGACTCTATTCATATGGCAATCATGCGAAGTAACATGACATCTGGCGGGCAGCAGAGCCCAAACCGATTCGAAATTGCTCGAAATGGCCAAAGAGTGGGAGTGGTGATGCTCACGAGACCTGCTTACCGATTGGGAGAAGTAGTGACAATGGCGATTGACTTCACAGATGCGGATATACCATGCTACGCAGTACATACAACACTGGAAACGTCAGAGAAGGTAGACCCGTCTTTGGCTATACGCTCCGAGTCGAGCATTCATCGAGTGACACGAAAGGTTTACTCATCATCCTCTGAAGCGACAATGTATTCACGGCGGGTCACCTTCAAACCGACGATTCCAATTACTGCAACTCCAGAGTTCGTCACCAGTGGAGTAAGCCTTGAGTGGAAGATTCGCATCGAGTTTGTGGTGCCATCCACTGGAAACGATTCACCTGACGAGGGTGAGAGGCGAGCACCTCATCCACTTTTGGAGCAGATCTCACAAGATAACAAGGGAGGAACGGTCCTTGTAGCCGTTGAGAACCTAATATGCGAGAGTTTTGAGATTGCCGTACCTCTACGTGTTTATGGTGCGGTTGGCACAGGCCTTGAGCGCCTTGAGCGGGACGAGGCGTCTGAAGAGGGGCTTGCTGTCTGATTGGATCTGACTTGGCCATAAATACTGTGTTTTTGGCGTTGGATACTTGACTTATTATTGGCGTGTTCAAGAGCTCAGTTTACAAAGAACCGGAGCCTGCTTTAAAAAGATGCTAGGAGTTAACATGTCATTTTCAAAAGAGCGGGAGTACGTACAAGCCAGAGAAAACAACATGTTCGGAAAGCTCGAGCCATGGGGCATGAATATATGCAGCTTTACTATAAGGGTGAGCGTGTGAGTTGTTCATGCATTTTACGAGCCGCCTGAACAGACCAGGTTCATGACGTGGGACGACAACGCGTAAAGCCGTAAACAATATTCAAGGCGGGCAATCATTGTTCAGTGCATGGGCTCAAGCTGATCCATCCGTACACGTTGGAAAGGGGACTCGTGCACAGACGATTGCCTCGCTCAGGAGCCGGGATTGACAGATCGACTAGTCCACCAAACAGCCAGCGCCGGGGCCTTGGAGGGAAATAAGTCGAAGCAGTGAGAGAGAAGTCGGGGATTTGCTAAGTACGAATATCACAAAGCGAGAATAGTTGAAGTCTAAAGGTCCGGAGCTAACGCAACGGGATGGTGTTGGGAGCATCCTCATTTCGCCAGGTGCCGGGGTTGGTCAAGCGGATAATGACTATGGAGTAGTAAAGTAGGGCTTCTTCAACAGAATTTGCTTTTTTGATTATCTTGGTGCAGAATGCAGAATTGGTTCTTGAGGAAAGTGGAGGTCTTTGATGTGTTGTTATTGTTGATATGGGTCAGCCGGATATCGTGGCTGCTGGCTCGACAACAAAATGAGTGTTGAGAGAGAGTGTGTGAGGGCATGTGAGCAGTTAGGATATTAGGATATGTACTTTGTATTGAATACAGAGTGTCTGCAGAAACACGTATCTGTAATTGGTACTCGATAGTTGTGAATTGCGTAGTCACTTCGTGAGGTTGGAAATGATATTAGGCTTCCCAGGGGCCTTATCACTCATCACCAACAAAGACTCTAGGTTCAATAGCCATCACCGTCCTGGCCTGAGGTGAGTGGGTGATTCGAGGTGACAACCACTAAATGGAGCCCTATGCTGCAAGGATTAGGACGCCAAGAATCAGCTGGTTCACAGGCCCCGAGGCCCCTCAAGTCACTCGCTGCCGTCACCAGCAGCAAAGAGAACATAGGACAGACGTCAGGGCCTTGCCTCTCATCAAATGAACCAGCCCCCCCAGGTCACCCAGAGACAGGGGCCCATGTAAACGACCCAGCAGAAACAACTTTTTTAGGCGCGTGGACTCTGAAGTTTGGATAGGACTTGGATTCGGGATTGATAGTCGACTATCGACGGGAAGGGAATGGGCTGGGGTTGAAGAGTTAACAACATTCCATCCCATGAATTGGTGCAAACCTTCTTCTTTCTTCCCTTCCCTTTCCCTTTTTCCTCCTCACCAACCGCTTGCGTTGGGGTCTGTTCTTGTCCTCTTTGTCCTTTGTCGCTCACTAACCAAAGTAGGTAGATCATAGTCATTGTGAGTAATTGAATTTCTCTAGTCTAAACTCTCTATTTCCAGCCTCTGCGGCTCTTAACTGCAGCACACTAACGTGCCGTGCGTCCCCGCAGCCTTTGCCCTGAGATTTCCATACTTCAATTCAGCTCTTGCCTTTTGAATCTCATTGCCATCAGCCCCCGCAGGCCCGCAGCAGCTTCCCGACTTACACCGCCCGCCATCCACTTTTACAAGCATCATCCTGCTTCAACTATCCTCTTACTACCGAGTAGGGCAATAAACATTGGCTTTTCATTCTTTGATCCTTTGTTCACTCGGTTATTATAAACGTGATCTTTCTAGTGTTCTCGTCATTCTTTCAAGTCGAAGCGCATGCGGTTCTGAAACAAGGCACCACTTCTTAATGCTTCATCATCGCACCATCCGAATCCCCCACTAGACAAGACAATTTCCTGGAACGACGACAAACTCGATTAATCTTCATCACCAAGTGTCAATGGCGGAAACATGACTGTGACTCCATCCCACAGTCGTTTCAAGCTTACACCCTCCAACTCTCCTTTCCTAGCTCGCCCTTCCAGGTCCTCCAGGTCGCCTGGCCGTGGTCGCACACATGATATTTCAAAGCTTTCCCTCAAGCGCGTCATCGGCACAACCTGCTCCTCGCCTACCGGACTCGATACTCTCCCAAACGTATTTGCGTACATAGCCGGCGGTGCCGTTGTTGTGGTGGATGTCAATGGCGAGAACCATTCCCAACGGTTCTACCGAGCTCGACCGACAGCCGTACCTCTATACTCTGTAGCAACTTTTCAGAACACGCCTACGACACCTAACGGAACACCAAAAGCGAACGACAGCCGTGGCCGCGTAGGTCCGAGGTTTCCTAACTCACCACATACCTCGTCCGACTGGAACGAGTCGCCTAGCAATACTTGGACAAGCCGTGAGCGGATCAAGGCTGCGACGTGCCTTGCCCTTAGTCGAGATGGAAAATATCTAGCAGTTGGTGAAACTGGCTATTCTCCACGGGTCTTGGTGTTCAGTTTACACGATACGTCTTCCGACAGTCCTCTGATATCAATTAGTGAGCATACCTTTGGTGTGAACTGTGTTGCCTGGTCCGCAGACACACAATACCTGGCGTCTCTTGGAGCTGCCAATGATGGATTTCTTTATATCTGGAAAGTAGACCCGCGAACGGGCGCGGCTAAACTCTACAAACAAAATCGATGCACATCATACGTCAAGGATATGGTCTGGATAGGCAATAGCCTCGTCACATTCGGAGTTCGCCATGTCAAGATGTGGAAACCGGATGATGGCCCTACTATCTCGCCTACGAAGCAGAAGTTCTTCAGTGAACAACCGGCATCTACTCCACCTTCTCAAAGGACCTTGTCAGGGCGTAACATCCTGCTAGGTGCCCTTTTGGAGGATACTTTTACCTGCGCTGCTGTCGTCAAGAACTCAAGCCTCATCATTTGCTCAGAAATGGGTAATGTATGTATCATGGAAGAGGATGACAGGCAGATGAAGCTGCAGAAGGTCCTTGACCTAGACTTTGCTATCTCGACGATTGCCGTTAAAGACAACGTTGCTTACGTCGGCGGCCGACACGGCCATTTTGCTGTGCTTTACGTTGAGGCTGTCCTGGATGCTCAACCACCATCAGCATGTATTAAAGAGACGACATTCTCTCCTGCGGGGCAGGTTGCTCTGGGTTTCCTAGCGGATAGGCTTGTCACTATTGACTCACAGCAATCCATCGATATTTGGAGCTCTGACCATGTGCCTGGCAAGGATGCTAAGGCTATGGCTAACATCCCTATCCCTGGACACGGACAGTCTGTTACAGGCATTCAGGTTCTACAACGACCTAATGACCTGGACGCCTCATTCTTAACATGGACCATTTCTGGAAATGTCACTTTTTGGACACTAGAAGGCCAAGTCAAGGCCTCGATTGATGTTCCTATCGGGAGAACTGAGCCCGAAAACGAGTTGGATTCTGTCAATCAACTCACTTGCGCCCGTGCCACAAGTGACGGCAAACTACTGATTTCTGCCGATCGCTTGGGCGTTTTACGAATGACCGACATCGCAACAAAAGAGTCTGTGCTTGACATGAAGGCTCACACAGCGGATTGCCGGTCTTTAAGTATCTATGACAACGAAGGCAAATTCCTTATGGCGTCCTGCGGACGGGACAGGACCGCACAGCTGTTTCACCGAACTGCGAACGGCTCCATTGAACACTTCCAGACACTGGAGTTCGCCGCCAAGGTCGTTCAGGTTATGATCCCGTCAGAAGATAAGGTGCTGACCTGTTCATATGACCGAACACTTCAGATCTATGACATTATAACAAAAGAAGGTGATCCGGATTCCATTGCCGCGATCCCTTCAAGGGCGATCGCCCTCCGAGCATCGCCCAGCTCAATGGTTCTGGGTATGGGCCAAAGAACCGTCTTTGTTTCCCTCTTGGATCGATCAATTTGCCAATACGATCTCAACACCGGCCGCAAGATCTCTTGCTTTAAATGCCAAGACGAGACGAAAGGCGAATCTGCTGTTCTTGACTCGCTCTGCTTCGGACAATGGCCTCCTAAGGATCAGGACTTTCTTCTGGGCACATCCAACACTGATAAGTCCATCCGACTATATGATGCCCAGACAGGTAGCTTCCTAGATCGAGAGTGGGGTCACACTGAAGCAATCAACGGTGTTTGCCTGATTGAAAACGATGATGGAAGCCGCAAGGTTGTGAGTGTTGCATCGGACGGAACGATGATGATATGGAGTTTGGATCTAGACGATTCTCAGCCTGGTACAACGAGTCGGGAGCCGTCGCCTGCGAAGGATACAGTATCAGCACGACCACCGCTTCGCAGGGTGTTGTCCAAAGCTGAACTGGCTGAGTTTCAACGACCTTCACCCTCGTCAGGCCGTCGATCGCCAGCTTCAGGTCGGAAATCACCACCTCGAACTCTTCAACGACGGACTTCTCGGTTTAACCTGGCTGCCAGTGCTAGGACACCCACCCAGCCACTACCGACAAGCCCAAGTAGTACTGTGGCAGATGATACCCCATCACGACGACCTTCTGTCGACACGCGCACTAGTCCCCCGGTGTCGCCTAGAGGAAAGGTTAAAAAACGACCTTCTCTTCAAGCTCTGGGCACTAGTGCCCGTAAGAAGACATCGTCGTCGAACCTGCGTGGTTTTGGCTCACTAAACATGGCGACAGAACAAACTTGTCGCCAGTTGAGGTCATATAGGAAGAAGCTTGCTTCCTCTGAGCCTATCAGTCAAGAAAATTTGACCGAGCTGGACCAGGAGTTACGCTTGACGGCAGCAGCTCTTGGTGACCGGGCTATTCGAAGCAGAGCCTTGAACGAGACAGTTCTTAGTGGGCTTTTGGATCAGTACTCGGAGAGACTGGTCACATTATTAGACGAGAAGCTACGTCTTAGCTATCAGCCAAGGTCTCCGACTGAAAAGGACGGAGATAGTCGGGACGACGATAGTCCGGATGAAGAGACACGGGGTAGTGCGGATGGATCATCGAGTTCGCTTTCACCGTAATATTTTCTCTCATTTATGTTTTATTTGTATACGTACTAGGACGGTCAAGGCGTTATATGGTTTAAGATTTCTGGGACAGGCGGCCACCGAACAAGGTGAAGCATGGAAGACTTATTTCCAGCTACCAAGTTCTTACATGATACCACGGGTCCGGAGTTTATTGCTATTTGTTAAGGATATAATAGTCCTACACCACAGCCGACACCGGTACTTTGTTATCAATTGATTAGGTCTGATGACCTCATAAAATATATTCTTTCATGCTGCAGAATGTGAAAACCAACCAGACTTGAAAGCTCAATCAGCATGCAATTATGGTCGTGTTCTGGTAGAGTCGCTTCACGCGCCTAACTTGTTGCCGTTCAGGGGTATCACGTGCTACGGGAGGCTTAGCGTTGTAGGCAGTTTGGGGGAGCTCAGCCCGATTTTTCTTCCCTGCATCATCGAAATCAACATCAGAGATTCACGCAACATCTTCGGCGAAATCAATCACGTGACATATTGACAGACGATCGCGATTACGAGCAAAAAATTACTACACCACTGGTCCGACGGTCGAGCGCGCATCGCAGCGAGAGGTTCCAGACGCCCAACCGAACCCGATGAAAGGCCTCGAGGTCGCCATAGACGGTTTTGGAGTCATTGACTAAGGTTGCCTGTACGTGTTTGATTGATAGAACCCCGGCCATGACGTAGCCGTACCTTGTGTCGCGACAGTTGCCTAACTGGAGAACTCCAAATATTAGACCGTGGCGCCAGTCCATCTTCTTGCACGACGTGAAGGCCCCTTGGATAGTTGGAGAGGTGGATCGCGGGGCATGAATCAACCAGCCGCCTACACGTCCCTCGAGTCGCTGCTACTATTCCAGTCGTTGGTGACCCAAGGTGTTGATCCTGGGGCCTTCGCGCGTATTTCCGAGCAACTAAACGACAACGCGCTCGTTAAGGAGGGAGCTACTTATGATCCCGCACGACTAAAGCCCGATGCGCTTCAGTATCTCTTCCTGCGGCTTTTTGGGGATGAGCTGAGAGGCGAGGCTGAGAAGGATACAACCGACGACCCGACGGTATCACCGAATTCGCGAAAACGAAAGCTTGGAAGTCCCCCATTGCCGACTCTGAAGGAGGTCTACGAAAATGCCGACAAGATACCCCCGCTTATCGATCGCCTTTACGCGCGATATCGAGATAAGATCGTCGCGCAGATTCGAGAGGACGAACGAAGATTTGAGACTGTCCAGAAGGAGATCCATCTGCTGGAGAGGACCGAACGGGAACGACGTGCTAGAGCCGCGAGTCAAAACGGAAATCCAGTACTTGCTGCTCGTGACCAAAAGGCATCACTCACACCAAATGGGCCAACTCAATCACCTGCTACGGCAACGAACTCAGCTACTCCTGTGCGAAGAGGACCTACACCACAAACGCCTGTGATCCCACCTAAGCCTCCAGTTCTTCAGAACACTCAGCCAACGGTTGCTCCACCAAGCCATTTGCCAGCTGGAACAACACCGACTCAACCTGCTGGCTCGCCAATTCCACCCAATGCAAACAGCTCGGTACTACAACCTCCCGCAGGTGTTCCTCAGACCGGGCCACGACCGTTGCAGCCGCCGCAGCCTCCTAAGCAGTCTCTTACTCCTAAGCCAGAGCACGGGGTGAAGCCAAAGGATGCCCATGCGGCCCTTCAAAGCGCAACACCAGTCGGGGCCAGTCTTAAGTGGGAGAAACCTTACCAACCACCGCAGACGGCTCAGACGCCTCCACCACGGCAGTTTCAGTCACCTCTGGCTCAAGGACCAATCGCCCCCCCACCAGCGCAACAGAACCAACATCATTTACAGCAGCAGCAACAACATCCACAACCACACGGACAGCACCCACAGCAGGTACCACCACAACAACATTGGTACCCCCAGCAGAATGCTCAATTTTCTCCCAAACCTGGTGCTCAGCCACTATCATCTCATCCTCAAACGCCTCAACATGCCCAGGCTCAGACTCGGCCGCAGCCTGTTGCTCCGCAACCCCCTCAACTTCAACCTCAGCATCAAAACCACCAGCAGCAGCGCCCACAGCCTCCCCAGGTCAATCAACCACCGCAGTCGCCGGCGCCAGGGCCGTTGGCTCCTCATACCCCTCAAGCACAACATGCTACACCAATACAGCATATCCAACAGAAAGCTCAAACTACTACACCAGCACAGCATGCCCAGGCTCAACAGTCTCAGCAAGCTCAGTCTGTACCTCGCCCTCAGCCTCACTTTCCGCAGCAACAGCAGCAGAAACCCCGACCTACTCCTACAAAGCCAGGCCTGGCACCCCCTCAGCATGCTGGTCAGCTAGCACCGCCTTTACAACCGGCGCCCCTACGACAAAGTGTAGACTCGCCAGGAGGACAGACGCTTCACGCTCGACCATCGTCGACAACTCCTGTGCCGCATCCTCGACCTATTCAGCCCCCGCAGGGACAAGGACCGCAGGTCCGACAGATTGCTTCGGCCTCGCCCACTCCTCCTGCAGGAAGCACAGGTCCCATTGCCCCTCCTCAGCAACGATGGCCAGCAGGATATCAGCCTCAACCACCCCAGCAAGCCGCGACTGCCGGCTTCCCTACAACTATGGCCTCAAAACCGGACAACAAGGCACAAGCAGCACAATATGCTCCACAGCCTTCTCGACCGGGTGTTTTGGGCCATATCATCAGACAGGCTCTGAGTACTCCCGCAAAAAAGCTTGCGACGCCATCCGCACCTCATACGCCTATCTCAGCAACACCAGTGCATGTTACTCATGGGTTTGGAACCAAATGGGCACCACATTCGACCCCGTCGACTCCTGGGCCTGGGCGAGTCGGTGCGGCACCTCAAAGTCCAGCTTTCGAGCCTGTCAGCCCACCTCAGAAGCCTTCAACTTTGCCTAGTTCTGCTGGTTCAACGCCAAAACCATCCAAGAAGCAAGCGGCCAAAGCAGCCTCAAAGCTTGAACAAGCGATCTCCAAATCAGTTCGAGGGCGGTCATCCAGGGCTGGACAGAAAGGGCGCGGAGTCAGCTCTACTCCTTCTCTCAGCCGATCGAGACGCAGTCAATCCATCATGTCTCACACTGACGAGCCAGCGACTCAGACCAGTGAATCAGCACCCAGAATTAAGGATGAGGATGCTACACCACGACCCACTGAAGACGCCGGCGATACCACCGCTGATGAAAGTGTTCATGGCCGAGCTCGAATCATGACGCCTGGCAGTGTCTCTTCACGCCTTCAGAAGCGAAAGCGACAAGATACGCCGGTTGACCCACCTTCCGAGACCACTCAAGTTCTATGGACTCGAGGTTTTACCAAGGTTTCGTCTTCTGCTCTAGACCAGATTTCAAGCCATCGTGATGCGAACATGTTTGCTACCAGACTTCGAGAGAAGGACGCGCCGAATTATCGCCAGATTGTTCTGCAGCCCCAGGATATAACATCTATCCGGTCTGCTATCAAGCATGGAAATAAAGCGGCCGTCCAAGCTGCCGCAGGTCTCCCAGGAGGTGATCCTGGTACCGCGCATGTGTGGCTTCCTATGTCTGATGAGCTTGTCCCCCCTAAGGGTATAATCAATAGCGCTCAGCTCGAACGTGAACTTGTACACATGTTCTGCAACGCTATCATGTACAATGCTGACCCGGACCGTGGCCCTGGACCTGCGTTTATGAAACGGACTCAAGAAGAGGAAGAAGAAATAGTAGGCTACCGCCTCGATGAGAACGGCGTCGTGAAGAACACTCGCAGCATGTTCGTTGAGGTCGAGAAGCTACTGGGTGACCTGCGAAGCGCAGAAAAGGAGCGCAGTGCACCCCCTCCATCGGCTATTCGCCCAGCCAGCGTCGCTACACCCGCTGAGGAAACGGGCGACGACGAAGATGAGGGAGGTGAGCGTGAGACCGGGACATCCAAGAGGCGTCGTATCGGAGCCAGGGGCTGATCATATTGCTTTACGCTGATTGGGAAGGGCCATTATGACTTCCAGTTGGATGTCACCTTATGCGCTGCTCGAGAAGCAGCTTTGTACTTTTTCTTATTGTTGTGTCCAGCGTCTAGAATAGCTAGCTCCTTGTTAATACCAACCACTCAAGACTCACGTCGCCTGGCGTAGGAGTCTTGGTATACATCATTATTCCATTGGTTGCGTCTCGTTCATTTATTCTTGAAGACACCCGTACAAACTCCAGACGCCGTTATCACTGTTACATAGTGTTATTTCCAAGCCAAATTAGCCCATGAGTGCGGTTCATTCACTCCAGTTTAGGAGCTCCTTGCGATGTGCTCGACCGGTTGCTGTGTGCACCCTTCTTGGAGCTCAGATCATCGTCGGCGGGTCGCTTGCGTGGCCAATCTGGACAAATATCGATGTTGTCTCTTGGGAACCACCACTCGAGGAACAGAAAGAAGAGGTAATCCACAACACAACAAAGACAAAAGAGTTTGCCAGCCCAGATACCACATCCGTAGTAGCGTTTTAGACGATCAATAAGGGTAAAATGCCGAATGCGGCTGCCGTAGCCTGAGGTATCAACACCATAGAACTCATCTTCGGGAATGTTTCCTGAGATACCATCGTAAACACGCTCAGTACGCAGAGCAACATTCTGCCACGAGTACATCTTCTTGACTTGCTCATGGAACTTCTCAGTGCGAATCTTGCCAGCGCGCATGGCGCTGATGGCTTTGCTTGTGGCAAGGACAATATCGTCTTCTTCTGGCTTGGCAAAGGTGGTCATGTGCGAGGGAAGAACCTCTGGAATACCACCGACCTGCGTACACACAACGTAGAGCCCACAGCTGGCGGCTTCCACGATGACTGTACCGAATGCCTCGGTAAGAGACGGATGGAGATAAATGTGGCCTCGAACCATCACATCGCGAACTTCTTCGTGGCGGATTGGACCAAGCATTTCAACTCGATCTTGAAGGACGTTTGTTTCAATCATCTGCTCAAGGTCGATAGCTTTCGGGCCAGAGCCTGCGATTATAAAGCGGGTGTTTGGGTGATTCTCAAGCACGCGAGGGATGGAGGCGATGAGAAGATCAGTGCCTTTGTTGTAGAACAAACGGGAGATGACAACAATTGTGATAGGGTCGCGAGGATTGATACGCTGTGGTAGAGGGTAGAGGGGTACTTCCGTACCGAAAGAAGCGGTTTGGGGAGAGGGTGAAGCTGGAACGTCCTTGGGGCGGAAGTTTTCTGCGACAACGGCGTTGGGTATCACAGAGACCATGACAGGGTCAAGAGATGCACGAAGCACTGTGTTTTCTTTGCTGGAAGGTGTTAGAGAATGCTTGTCAGATTCGGGAATGCTTGACTTGCCATGTGTGGCTCACACAGATACTGTGGTCAACGTCACTCAGGGTGAATTTGAGAAGCTTATTCGTGAGAATGGTACCTGCATCAGCGAAGCCAAAGAGCGAGTGGTCGGTAAAAACAGTCCTCAACCCCATTGTGCGGGCATGCAAGATAGCTTCATGGCAAAGACTGCTGAGACTGCCATGACCGTGCACAATCTCAATACGTTCGCGAATGCAAATGTTCCTGAAGGTAGGAAAGAAGGAGAAGACGGTAGGAAATGTGGCGGAGCGGTAGATGACGAGGAAGGGAACGTGGTAGACCTTGACGCCGTTTGTGAGATAGCGGATGCCCTTCCGGTCATCGTAGGCGTGAGTGATGATGATGACCTTGTGGCCACGGTCGACGAGCTTTGTGGCGAGTTGATAGATGTGAGACTCGATGCCTCCTGGTTGCGGGAAGAAGAAGTCGCTAACCATGGCGATGTTGTATGTGCGGCGTGTCATGATGGCGGTTGAAAGGGGTGATGCAGCATGGCTGGGGCCGGTAATTGAGGCTTTCGGTTATGGTGAGTCCAGCACTTGCTGAATGATATTTATGGTTGAAGCTCGCTTGATGGTGTTGGTCTTGGTTGTTGGTGAAATAGATATTCTCATGTTGAACAGTTGAACCACGTCTAAGCTAAGAGCTGAGTGAGCAGGGGTAACTTTGAGATGGCCGTTGGTGGAGCTGCACGGCCCGGGAAAAGAATGGGCTCAGAAGCTGAAGTTTAGTGAATAGACAACTATCTACCCAAACTTTGACACTCTATCTCATTGAATTGGACAAATAATGTTAAATAACCATGATTAACGTTGATATTCATGCAATTTTTAATTATACTTTTATTGCTCTCTAGTCTGTTTTCTTGTTTACTATAGCGTCTAGAGTGCCCCGTCCTATATCTTCACCTATCCTTATATAGCTACTTAGGGCCTAATCGGCAAGCCCGGTAAAATTAATAATTAAATTTAAGGGCTATATTTATATATATAGGTCGGTAAGGTTATACCTAAGGGGTACTTTTCCTATTTTATAAGGGGCCCTTACTGCCTTTAAAGACGAATTTAATATAGCTTTTTATATAGGGAGATCGGTATAATAATAAGCTATAATCTTAAAATTAAAGTCTCTTTATTAATATTAATTTTAATTACTAATTTAAAGTTTTTAATAGTATTATTAATTATAATATTATAGCTTTTAATTTAAACCTCCCTGCCGACTTAATTAAGGCTATTACCGCCGTTATTATAGCCTAATACCGTATTATAGGCCCCCTCTTTATAAGCCTTTTTAAATTAATAAACTTAAAATTAATACTTTCTTTTTATAAATAAGTTACTAACGGTAAGGTAATCCTAGAAGCTAAATAGTAAGAAAAAGGCTATTATTAAGCCTATACTTAAATCCTTTATTATTAACTTTTAAGTTATATTCTTAAAGATTATATAGGACTTTTAATAACTTAAAAGTTAATAGACTGGTATTAAGGATAAGTATTATATATAATATAACCTTAATAAATATATTAAAAGAGATTATAATAACTTATAAAGAAGAATAATAATTAGTAAGTTATAAAAAAAGGATATAAAGAACTTTTATTTAAGGATAGGTATAAAGGTAATAAAAAATAGCTTATAGGTAAATAAGGTTATTATAATTAATATATATCTTAAGATATTTTTTAATAACCTTTTAGTAGGTTAATTTATTACCGAGGCCGGTAATAAAATAGTTTTTATTATTTATAAAGCTATACTATAGTTATATACTAAAAGAATACCCTTACTAGATAAGTAAGCTATTAACTATAAAGAAAATAATAATAACTTTATTAAGGTAGCTATACTATATATAGTTATAATGCCGGTAAGACTTACTATAAAGGAAAATAATAAGGTTAAGTTACTTTCTTTAAACTCTTTAAGGGTATTAACTATATCTATAATAAATAAAGTAAAATAGGCCTTAAATATATCTATATTACCTAATAGCTTAATTCCTTTCCCTTAGTAAAAAAAAATAAAAACTATAAAGGGAGGTAATAATAATTTTAATAACTTAAAGGTATTATTTATAGTTAGTTAGTTAGTTATTTATAATTATATATTAACTATAAGGCCTATTAAAGTAGAAGATCTATAAGGTATAATCTAGGATTATACTTAGCTTTTTATAGAGAAATAAGATATATAATTTATAATTAAGGTAATAAACTGGCTATAATAGGATATAAAAAATATATTAATATAAAACTTCTTTAATAATAAGGAAATAAAGGAGGTATTTATAGATATATTAATATAAATATATATTATTATATATAAGGTTAAAGAAACTATATTATATATAATTTTATAGTATTATAAAAATTAGGAAGAAATTAATCTAGCTAAAGTTATTATAGGGTATAATCTATAAAAGCTCTTTACCTAATTTAATATAATAAAGGATAATCCTAAATTTTTAAAGCCTATAATTAATTTAAAATATTTTATATAGGTCTAGCTCTTTACTTTATAGCCTTATAACTATACTACCGTAATAGCTTATTCCTTAATACTATCTTCCCTTTTAATATTATTAAAATCCTCCTTTTCTTACTTACTTATTTCTTTATTAAAATTATTATCTTTAGATTTATTAAAAAGCTAAAGATAATCTTAATAAATTAATTAAAGCTATTTTATAATTAGATTTCTTATTATTAAACTAGATTTCCCTATTATAATAATATTAATATAGTTATAAGCCCTTATTAAAGTATAATATTCTCTCTTTATAAGCTCCTCCTCTTTAATTACCGATCCTAGCTCCTTACCTTATAATATAAAAAAATTATAAAGCCCGGTTACAGTATATATAATCTTAATCTAATTACTAAATAAATACTTAAGTATGCTATTCCTTATAATCTTTTACTTTCTTTTATAATAACTAAATACTTACTTTATAATTATATAAAGCTAGGTATAATAAAGATTATATAACTCCTTCTTATTATCTAGTTACTTATTAATATTACCTTAGTCTTATAGGTAATATTATATTTATAAATATAGAATTAAAATACCTTATTATAACTTAAAGCCGGTATTAACTAAATAAAAATAACCTAGCGGTATACTAAAGCTACCGTTATAGATATATTTTATTAATATTATATTATTAATAAAGCCCTTAGTATCTATAAGTATATATAAAAAGCGGCCTTTAAAGTTAATTACGGTAAGTATATTCTATAATACCGTTAACTTCTTTAACTAGAATCTTTACTACTTAATAAGGGAAATAAATACCAATATATATATTCTATTTATTACTTTAATAATACTATTAAACTATATAAATTTACTTTATAGTTTAACCTAAGGATTAATATAGATTTCCTTTAGTATATAAATAAACTTTATATATAATTACTATATAAAATCGATAAAATAGGTAAAGATTATTAATATAGTATTCTAACTAACTTTAAAGCGGTATATAATATTTTTTTATAACTTACCGTAAGTTAATATCTATAAAAAGATTATTAATTTTAGCTTAAGTAATTAATACTAGCTATTTATTACCTCTATATTAATCCTTAATTAATAAAAAAGCTTAAAAAACTATACCTTTTATATATAAAATAGATTACTAAATATTATATTAAGTACTATAAAAATCTATTTTATATACTCTTAAAAGTTAGTTAGTCTATTAATATATAACCGCCAGGTAAGAGGATTATCTATATATTAAGGTTAATAATAATATTAATATTTATAGGCTTATAAAAACGTTAAGATAATAGCTATATAGTATAGCTAAAAGTTATTAAAGTTATTAATAATAATTTAATAGATAAAGTTATTATTAATACCTAGCTATAAGGAATATATATTAAATATAATATTAAGGTTATTTTAAAACTATTTTTTATAGTTATTATAAATAATTATTTAGGTATATTTATACCTAGGGGGAAAAACGGTAAAAAATACTAAAAAATAGGGATCTTACTTAATATCTTACCTTTATTTAATAATTTATAGGCCTCCCTATTAATTCGGTATATTAGGTTACCTAAATCTATTTATAAAAGTATTAATTACTTATTAATCTATTAATTATATAAAATTACAGGCTAGAAATGGTACTTAAAGTAAAAAGGTTAGTCTTATAGCCTATTTATATAAGCAAATTTATCCTCCCGGTTAATTGCCCGGGCTTGCCGATCATACCCTTACACTGGCTTGATCAGAGGATCCAGATAATTTTAGCGGTGTAACGCGGCAGAACCTCGATAAGATCCAGATCCATCCAAAATTTTGGGAATAGAAGCCCTCCATTGCGACTTGGACTTGGTGCAGAAATCTCAAATCTAGAAACAATGTACGCCAGATACGTTCCTCCTCCGAAGGGCGGAAACCCTTCAAACTCTGCTCCTTCGCCTGCGACACAATCGTCAAATGCGACAAATAACACATCTTCCACTCCCGCTCCCACGAACGCATTTGGCTATTCGCGATACGTCCCTCCAAGCGCAAAACCTGCGCCTGCGTCTGTGCCTGCACCTCAACCAACAGCTCCCAAGGTGCAATTCTTTGACGATGAGCCATTGACTCCCAAGCGAAAATGGGATGCTACCGAAGAGGCGCAGAATTCTCCACAGCCTGATCCCAAAAAGTCAAAGACTTTAGAATCAACAACACAGAAGAAAGAGGAAGAGGCACCAAAGAAAAAGAAGAAAGTCAGAAGAGGAAAGAGAAGAACTGGAGCTGGCAACGATGACAGCGACGATGAGAAGCCAACCAAAAAGGTTCCTGAGCCCAAGCCTGAGTCGTCAAAGCTCCAGGACCAAGAAAAGCCCAAGGAAGCGGACGATGCGCAAGAAGAAAGCCAAACCGTAGATGAAGACTCCGTAAAGGACAAGGAGCAGAAAAAGAAGGAGAAGAAAGAGAAGAAGAAGAAAGAAAAGAAGCAAAAACAAGAGCCAGAACTAGAGCCAGAAGTTCCCGATGCGCCCACACCAGACGTCGATAATCAAACCGAGGATGTATCAATGGTCGATGCTACAGAGCCCGCGGAAGAAACCAAGGACATCCCCGAGCCTAGCGAGGCTGTGACTGCAGAGGAGAAAAAGGAAAAACGAAGACAAAAGAAGAAGAAGCTTAACAGGGAACCCGAACCGGAAGAGGAGACAGAAGAGAAGGAGAATAAGCACAAGATGGTCATGGATCGTCTAGAAAAGTCTCTTAAAATCGCTGGTCAAACCAGTTATGAAGAAGATGAAGAAGACCAGGGCGAGCTACACGGCCTCGAACCGCTTCCTCAGCCGGCACCTATCTCCTCTCTCACCACCTCAAAGCCCAGTTACGAGATCCTACCGCCGTGGTTAGCTGAGCCCATTCGCGTTTCTCAAGATACCAGAAAACCATTTACGGAACTTGATATCATACCCAAAGCCGCCCGTGTGTTGGAAGAGAAGGGCTTCAAGGACGCTTTTGCCGTGCAAACTGCTGCGATTCCTCTTTTGCTCCCCACGAGCAAGCAAAGACCCGGCGATGTGTGTATCTCTGCTGCCACCGGTTCCGGAAAGACCATGGCTTATGCCCTCCCCATTGCGCGAGACATCAGCCAAGGATGCATTACAAGACTGCGTGCGCTTGTGGTCCTCCCGACGCGTGAGTTGGTAAAGCAGGCCCAAGAGACGTTTGAGCTTTGCGCCAAGGCTTTCGATGGTGGCGATCGTAAAAGAGTGCGAGTTGGTATCTCGATCGGTAGTCAGTCGCTCGAGGCGGAACAGAAGGCTTTCATGGATCAGGAGCTTCGTTACGACCCTGAAGCATACAAGAAGCTACAAGAGGAGGCTCGAACTCAGAACCAGCTGAAGTGGGGTCTTTCAACAACCGATGACCTTGACGACCTTGACATGGAAGATGCGGATCCTCGATTGAGCCACATGAACGGCTATGTCGTGGACTTCCTTTCCAAGATAGATGTCTTGATCTGCACCCCTGGACGACTCGTCGAGCACATGGAGCAAACACCTGGCTTCAGCCTCGACTATGTTCGATGGTTGGTAGTTGACGAGGCCGATAAGCTTCTCGCACAGAGCTTCCAAGGCTGGCTCGACATGGCCATGGAGCAGTTCCGCGTCAACAAGTTCACTGCCCGAGACTTTCCAGACATGGATTACTCTGGCGTTCGCAAGGTCATTCTCAGTGCTACTCTTACCAGAGACTTGAGTCTTCTCAACCAGTTGAACCTGCATCGGCCGCGCCTGGTCGTGCTGGAGAGCAGCGGTGATGCTCAGATCGCGGAACACTCTCTACCGGCGTTGCTGAGAGAGCACCAGATCAGAGTCCATGACACGAATCTCAAGCCGCTCTACCTGCTTGACCTCCTCCGCAGCCAGGATATGCTTATGGCTAGCCCAGATAGGGACCAAGCGACTTCCAAGACTGCCGAAGCTGAAGAGTCGGATACTAGCTCAGACTCAAGCTCAAGCTCCGATTCCGACTCCGACGCGACCTCAGATACAAGCTCCGACTCCGATTCGGAGACCGAGTCAAAGCCATCTTCAGGCCGCTCGCTCAAAACACACATCCCTGCGTCTCTCATCTTCACAAAGTCCAACGAAGCTGCATTACGTTTATCACGACTGCTCGCCCTGTTGGATCCATCCCTGGCTCCTCACATCGGTACCATCACATCAACAACACCGACGCACATCCGCCGCAAGACTCTACGCGCTTTCACAACGCCCTCGCCCACCGCCCCCATCCGCCTGCTCATCGCCTCTGACCTCGTTGCCCGTGGTATCGATATACCCAACCTTGACCATGTCATCAACTACGACCTACCACCCAGCGTTGCCGGTTACGTTCACAGAGTTGGACGAACGGCCCGAGCTGGAAGGGCAGGAAGCGCATGGACACTTGTTGGCGACGACGAGAGTGGTTGGTTCTGGGGCAAGATTGCCAAGAGCGCTGGAGTCAAGAGAGCTCAGAAGGTGGAGCGAACAAGGATCGAGGAGATTGGTGATGAGAAGCGCCTGGAGGACTATGAGGCTGCTCTGGAGAAGCTGGCCGAGGAAGCTGGAAGGGGATCTTAAGATACCAATAGAACTGTCTACTTTCTTAGCTAATTCTTCCTATAAACACTTGGAATACCAAAATACGATTCCTCGAGTGTGCCTTGGACGATGCTTAATGGTAAATCCCATATATGCTTGCTAATATCCGGGGCTCGACTGCGGACTAATTCCCAGCCTCCCATCCGCATCTTCAACCCACCATGTCTCACTACTTTGCCCTCTGGTCGTATCTTTCTCTCTACCTCAATCCTCCACCCAATTGTTCCGCTCTGCAACCGCCGATGGTACGACTCTAGGGCCCGATTCGTTTTCATTTACACCTCCATAACCCTGCGATTCTCTCTCTGGCCGTTCAATGGCACCTTCTTCTTCCTCTACGATATCTCGCTCTCTATCAATGAGTAGCGGCCGACGGCTTTCACGATGCTGACTTGTTTGTCTGTGGTCATTATTCTCCCAGGAGCCCATCCACTGTGAACCATTTTTGCTGAAAAGGAGTCCGAGAACCTGCACCTCTCGTCAGTATTCAATAGAGTCCAGAAGTAGTATGTTGCCAAACCTGTACCAGTCCAACTCCCACAACTACGACGAGGTCTAGCATTGACAATGTCTGTAAAGCTCCCTGCCAAGGCTCTCGACATGAGGTTCTTCTCCCGTATGTTTCGGCACAAGTACTCGCCGCTGTACCAGGAAACGGATAGGCCCGGTCTCGGACCGAGTTAAACCCACAGCAATCAAATGCATCCTGGATCCTGCGTATACCACTAGCATCATGTGCACGAAACATACCCATCCATTGTTTTTCAAGTATACAACTTGTCAGCCTTGAGGGAGCGGCCCGCTCGAGGAGTAATGTTGCGAGGATGGTGGCGATGAGAGCTTGCAGGACCTGGACAATAAAGGGACCAAGTTGTGCTACGCGATTGGAAGACGATTTAGTAGCACGACTGAAACTGGGATAGAGAGAAGTATTGAGGAATCCGACGATCGGGAGGAAGATGGTGATGATTGAAAGTGTCGGCGAGATGGCGACGGAGAGGTTGGAGCTGCGGATGTGGACGACTCTAAAGAAAGTCAGCAGTAACTCAATTCAAACAGACAAATTTAGTACTAACACTGCAAGCACAAGCAGCACGAGACTGAGCTATAGAAACTAGTTAGTCAATGGATACATAAATGGTTTCAATGGCGAACTACTGACTATCAGGTAGAGAACCGTTGGATGCACCATATTGTTGATTCTATGCTGCGTGAGCAGTCAGGCCAAAGGTAGAGTGGATGTTGTTGATGAGAGAAAAAAGGTAAAGGAGAAGGGGAAGAGATATGATAATTGATGGGTGGCAGCTTCATCAATGACGAGGCTCTTCCCCGCCAATATGCAGGAGGCCGACCATGCGGAGGCCGGCAATGCTGTGCTGTGTGCATTGTCTACAGTGCCCATTGCAATTGAGGCAAACACGTTAATACAAAACTTGCCGACAAATAATGTGCTATAGTTAGGCCATCGTCAAAGTAGACACTGCTTCTTCGTACCTCGCTCATGGACGAGAGCATACATGGGCATGGTTTATTCAGAATTCATGACATGATTCGAGATTGACAAACGAAATATATTTTGAATGAGTGACGTCCTTACTAGAATGTTACAATCCTGCTATCCAAACACTCTTCTTACACTAACTAACAACGTATATCGAGGCAAATATCGGATGCCTGAGTCCTCAAAGATGTATCGCAACCGCTGTGACAGTGGTGTCTCATTAGATCATCTTTGAACTAAATACCAGATAGACATATGGAATAACGAAATGGTCGAAAAGGAGAGGTAATGCTATGTAATAGAGAAAGACCTGATACCTAGGAACAAGTTAGAATCGAACAGAAAGAAATATCCATCAGGGCAAAGCATTAGTAGTATCCATTGCCAGGGAGGCTGAAATCAATGCTTGTTGGCATCAGCACTGGCTTATAGTCGAATTGCTGATATGCCATGTCGTCTCCAACAGAGGTAGCTGAGCTATCGCCAGCCTGGCATGCGTCAGAGGAATCCGAAGATTCCAACAGCTCCAATGCAGGGGGATTGGGTACCATCCCATTATCCAAGCTATAGAAGTCGAATGAATCGTCTCCGTAGTCCTCTGGGTCCAGGGAATCGAGGCAGGTGAAGAGTCCAATGTTATCAGCTGCAGTGGATGTCTCCTCTGAACTGAGGCCCGGGAATGGCAGCTGGTCTGCAATTATTCGCGGGAGCTCTTGCAGACGCTCCATTACGTTTGACCTCAGCTGAGGGTAGCATCCACCAAAGGCTTCGTCGACTGCCAAGACGACCTGCCGCTCAATCGCTGGCTTCGCCTTGTTCCAGTATTCGCGCCATTTCTCGGGATTCTCAGAACTAGTGGAAGGAAGTCTGGCTGATAAAAGTGCAGGATCATAATCTTCAATGGTGGCTTAGTATGTGTATATTAAGGGGGAGCGGTTGGGGTGGATTGTTTCCACTTACAAGGTGAAGGAATATCAGGAGAGTCAGCTTTGACGTTGAACAAAATGCTGTACCATTCCTTCCACTTCTCGACCGAATTCATTCTCAACCTCGCCTTCAGCTTCTTTGACTGCTCTTCATCGTACCCATCGGAGAGGTTCCTCCGAACGCTGCTTGGCTCTTTTACTGGGCATGGTGTTTTCGCCCGTTGGTGTTTCTTCAGTTCCTCCTCTTTGTCAAAGCGGCGTAAACATCGGTGACATTGAAACGAGGACAAGCTATGCCTGCGCTCGAGATGTTCCCTATAGCTATTAGCGGAGTAACAACGAAATCCTTGTTTCAACTCACTTTACGCGTGAGATGTCCAACCATCCTGGGCCACAGCATGTTCTCTCGGTACCAAACCTTTTGGGATCATGTTGATGGAAGGGACAAGCAAAGCGAGGACGGGTATCATCCTTTGTTGTTTTGGTTCTCTTGTTGTCCTTTTTTCTCCTGGAGTTTTCATTGTCTTCCTCATTCTCACTTTCATCGCGACTACTTTGACCCTTTGATCTCTTTTGGCCGGCTGTGCGAGAAGTTTGCTTTCCTGTCTGAAAAGTACGCGAGGAGGAATTCGAACCAGCAGTTTGGCCGCACTCCCCCTCGAGTGCTTCCAGTCTTTGTTCAACGCATTCTGCGATGACAGACATCAAATTTTCAACGATGATCCTCTTTCTTCGTCTGATTTCTTTGTTCACACAGTAATCCAAGTAGGCCGCCGACGGGTGCTTGGTCTTGGCGTCGGATTGATTGAGATCGGCGGCTTGCCTTTCACCACTCGCGGGTAGAGACACGTTGAGGATTTTTGCACACTTGTCTACGGCCTCGGAGCGGATTCTTGTAGCGGATAATTTAGCTTGACCGCTCCTGGCGGTTGAGATTAGTTACTATTTGCTTCGCGGAGTGTTGAGTTGAATGCGACTCACTGAGAATCAGGAGAACCTCGACGGCCCTGACCGTTCTCCTGGTCCTTTGTGGCCCGGGATTTATGTGATACTCCACTTGAAAGGTTCTGAGAGCAGCATTAGCATATACTTCATTCAAAGATCGAGGGAAGGGGGCGTTACCGATCGTGAATGGCAGTTCTCAGTGAGTTCGGGTGAAGCGGAAGACCTCTTATTTCGAGTGACAAAGACTTGTTCTTCCGAAGCCTGCCGAGGCATATCCGGTCGCTGGATAACCAGACGACGGGCTTGGATGAGGGTGGTGAAGTTGAATTGGTGGTAGAATTTAGAGAGACGATCCTTTCCAGGAAAGTAACGACGGGGTTTTAATGCGTTTCGGCTTCGTTGCAAGGATAATTGGCTTGCTTTGTCCACCACAGAGGGCATTATCAAAGACTGGCTGGTCTATTCACTTGCATGCTTAGCTGTGACGCAGTTGTTGGTGGTGTTGGTGAATGGTCAATGATAGAAGTTAAATTGAAAGATGGAGATGAAGGAGAGAAGAAAAGGTATACGACATCAAATGTTGGAAGACCGAGACAATGGGGTTTAAATAGTTTGGTAAGAGCCTCACAGGAGTGTACCTGCCTCTGACGATCCCGCAATTGCGGACTTCGCAAAGATGGTGCAACTGCCTCACGAGAGATCGCATTGCGATAGGACTCGGCTGAGCGCTGTAACAACATTGGACAGATGCAGACTAGAAGCCTCACTACTGGCCAGAAGGGGGCGATATCGCGGGTACAAGTAGACAATAGGTTCTGTAACTAAGACTTAGTATGCAGGTAAGTCAACGGATGTAGGTCATGCTACATGCAATGTAATGTACAGTATGACTTACCTGTCAATGCATCGACCCGATCCGACGAATGGAGGGCCTCATTTTGGTGTTGGTTGTAAACAAGACGATGCCTCTTTGAGCTTCTTCAACGCCTATCAGCTAGCTGCAGCATGTAAGGCGACGGCATAATGGTTCGCAAACAACATCACCAACGCGATTCGAGTGGTTATTCAAGACGCGACCCCCGCGTTGATATGCGACTATCACCTGGGGCCATGCAGAGTGTTCATGTCAGATACAAACCGGTTCGACCCGATGCAGCTTGTCTAGGTCGATTGCTATTATTGGCAGACGTGGAGTTTAAGTTGCACATGGTGTTTCAGAGTAGTCCCGGTTAGTAGATAAGATAAATACGTTCGAAAATGAGGTCGACGGAGAGAAAGGGAGCAATTCTAAGTGCGTTAATTGTAATTATTCTAGCTGTGTACCATGTAGAACAAGACACTAAACCGTGAGGGTCACAATAGATTTTTGCAAACCAAGATGCTGACTTGCAATAGAAGCCGCTCCGTGAGATACTCCTCGACTGGTAAGCCTTAATAAGAGTATCTGATAATAATTGCCGGGTGTCTGGGCTGTTGATAGAGGATATAGTTATTACTGGGCTTCAATGAAGAGTTCAAACCCATACCACATGCTTTGATGTAACCTTCAGGTAATGATATTTGAGCCATATAACACCCAGCTCATCTACTTCAGGGTGCGATTGTCCAATCACTCAAGACAAGTTTCTAATTACTGCGTCTTGCCACTCTTGTCCTGCTTCCGGGCCACAATGCCGTCCAGACGCTGGAAAGCCGGGAATCCCTCAAAGAAACAATTGGCAAGCCAAAGCAACCACTGTCGAGAGAATCGCTCAACGCTATGCCTCTGTAGCTTCCTATCGAAAAAGAAACACTCAACAGTGTGGATTGCAATCACAGGCCAGAAGATGGCGTTGACGAGCCAGTGGAAGAAAGTCGCCCCTCCTGGGAACCCATTGTTCAAGAGCTCCCAGATGCGGGTGCCGGGCTGGACCCACGGGAGTGCTGCGGCGCAGAAGAAGTAAAACAGAACAGCGCCTGTGACGAAGATGCCGAATCCCTCTGGGGGCGTGTAGGCGGTGACGATGACATCGCTGAGGCCAAGTGACTCGCGGGCTGTGTTGGCCATCGCGACGATGCGCTCCTTCACCTCAGCCCAGGTGGAGAGGGGAGGCGTAAAGGGGACATAATGCTCTTTTCCGTCATGAGACTTGATTGTCATTCCATTGAGATTAATATCCTTGAGGGTGGGGGAGGAGGCAGCAGAGGCAGAGAGGCGGGTGTAGTGGCGGAGGTAATAGGAGATTTCTCTAGTGTGCTCCTTGTTCATGTGTGACAGAATGCGGTTTCTGCGAGCATCGTCGTCGGTAGAGGCCATTGTTGTGGTATAAAAGACTTCAGAGTCTCTTTTTGGAAATATTGAGCTGGTTTGAGTGGAGTTCTGTTGATGTTGAGTGACGAAGAAGAGTGGGTGAGTGAGTGAGTACAGGTGGATATGTGCGACTGAAGTTGAAAGTGGATCCGTTCTACTCCGTATCCTGGTCTCGGATCGTGGTGATCAACGTAATCCGAACTGATAAATAGCATGTGAAGAAGTCGACAAGAGGTGAAACAATAAAGATAATCCTACTTTCATCTAGTATATCTATTTCAACCAGTTTATACATCTACTTTACGTAATTTAATCAGATCACAGTTGAGGTGCTTGCTTGGTACACTTTGGTAGAGCCTCTTCATGATGGAGGATAGGGTAGCAAGTAGGCATAGACTCGGATAGACCACTTCGCGATATCTCCCAAGGGCAAAATAAGAAGATCGAACCAGCTATTTTACTTTCATTCCGTCATCGAGGGTGTCGGCGTGACTATGATCGCGAGAAGGTATGAGTGCGAGGATGTCAAATGAAAACTGAGAGGCTAAAAGGTATTGTTTCCCAACTGCCTCCCATGTTTACTTTTCCCATAACCACGGTATCATTTTTCTTTCTATTACAGTTTTTAGTTTGGAGTGCTACAACCCTGACCTATTCTCATTTCCGTCCCGGCTCCTCAGACCTTAGGCAGGACTTTAACGCAAACCTGCCCGGTTTTAGCGACTACATCTTAAGTTGCAGCTACCAACTAAGCTGCTACTTCTTTTTCTTTACAACAACAACATTAATTTCCTGCTACAAGAATGCTTAGCTTACCTACCAAATCATCTTCCGTCCAGCCCCTCGAGTCATAGGCATGGCCTTACCGCAGAACTGCCCGTTTTAGCGGTTACCTCCCAAGTCGCCAGTCTCGCAGCTGCCAACCAAGTTGCCGTTCTGTATGAACTCCACCATTCACTACACAAATTCAACATTTCACAGTTCCAGCATAAGAAACCTGACAGCTGCCAACACTGCGCTGCCAGTCTAGACTCGTTCAGGCCTTGTTTTCCTACATAGGTACAGAAACATCTGGAAACCACCACAGACACCGCCCTCATCTCTCGCTTTCTCTTATTCACCACCACCACTTTTTTTCATCCATAACAAACAGCACGTTTCATTACTTTTTGTTATTATCTGTTATTGAACCCAAAATGGATAGATCTGAATTTGACATCCGACCGACTATGCGACCTGGTAAGTCCACGCTCCCATTTTCGCCAAACATAGGCTGATGCTTTGAAAGCTCGTGATGGCTGTGACGATGAATTCTGAAACGCTCATTTTTGAACCCGACCCCGATGATGAGGGTTCTCGATCTCTCCAAGTTCCTGGGCCACAAGGCTATCGCGAAACCGTCGACCTCACCGATGAGCGTTCTCGATCCCCCTAAGGGCGTGAATCACGAGACCGCCGTGGACGTGAAGAAGGCCCTGAGCTTCTCAGTCGTTCTGTAATCGCACGATTTACTGACGTGGTTGATGACCGTTAGCGAGACACTCAAGTCACATCCCACGACCAGCTTACTACTGAGGAAAAGCAGAAACTAGGGGTATGGCTTCGTCAATCTTCCAATGCTACATATGCTGGCCTCCATGCCACTATCAACGAATTTTACCAGTACCTTGAAGCAATCTTTGAGAACTGGTTCTCAGATTCAGCGGACCCTGGAGGACCCTCCGTTGTCGATCTCACGGCTACTGAAGCAAGAATCCCAGTTGGAACACTCAAAGTCGATGCTCCTTTCAGTAGAAACCAGATTCGAAAAGGCACTGAGACTCAGAAGTCAGTACGCCGAGCTGGAAAGCCTGTCACCTGCGGTGTTACCCTTAACTACGAAACAGACGGGCTTACTTTCACCTGGAAAGATCGTCACGGCACTGAGATCTCCTACGATATCATCTCATTCAAATCAGGCCTTGATCAAACAGACATGACATCCGCTACCAGGCTACAGGAAAATGAACTTTCACTTTGCACCCGAGCATGAGCCCACAACGAACTGCATCGTGCTTTATTACCTGTCCGAACAAGCAGGTTTTGACTGTTGGGTACAGGGAGGTGACAATCGACGAGACAAAATCACTACGCGATTCAGGCGGAGAACGTGATTGCGATCGCACAACGAGATTTGGGCTTTTTTTCTGTTGCGAGATGGGCACTGCCAACATCCATAACAACAAACAGTTTGCCAGCCGTCTCTAGCTGCTAGCTAGGTATTTATTCACCACATGTTTGTTTACCTACCCGCCTGATAAAAAAAAGAAATTCCACTCTGCTTCTTCTTATCTCCTCCAACCTTCCCAGCATCGACACAATAGCCAGCCTTAACGAAGCATCACCTCCTTTAAATAACGACTCGTCACCTTTCATCCTCTCATACACATCTCAATCTGCAACCAGAGTAAGGCCATACTTATTATCATCACGCCTGCCAGGAAGCCTCGAGGCCATGCCATTCGTGGCGTTCAAAGAAGCACTCAACCCACCTTTGAGCAATACCCCAGCTGGGGCTCTACTCCTTCTGGATCAGCTATTTCCTCTGGCACATCACATCCTTTAGTTCAGAATACCGTAAGTACTCTAACTTAACCCTTATGGTTGTTCATCGCTGACATAGTCCAGCCTCAACGCCCATCTACGCAGCTCACTGCTGGCTATATAGGCTGGAATTCGCCCTGACGAAGATACAACCATTTCCACATTATAGTGGGCATGTAAAAGTTGTAATAAATTTCTCGCTTTGATATTTTATATCATACTATATAAAGTTTAACAAACTCTACATGAACTTTATATAATATTATATAATTTTATCCTAAATTTATAAGAGAAGCCCATATTGCACTAGGAGGGGCAAGGTCAGTGGCATTGTTCATACTGCCTGGAACCAAAAGCGCACCGATCATGACGGCTTCACACTCAATCGGCCGAAGCATGAAGAAGCCTTTCAGGGATTGATGAGTGCCGCTATCGCCAAAGTTGACATCGCCTATGGTACACCTGTAGCATTGCTGGACTTTGCCAATCACCATCAAGATTGGGCACCTGACTTGATTGTTGATGAAGCGGCTCGGGTTACTGAGGCCTCGTCCCTTATGCTCCATTCCAAATGGCAAGAATCTCTTGGCTTACACATCGGCGACACAAAGCAATTTCAGCCCTTACCCTGTTTTGCATGACCGTGTCGAAATCACCGGTCGATTCGCAAAACCTCCGATGCATCGCCCACCTAACAGTGTTCATCCACGATGTCACTGAAGCGCTTGTGTTGGAAGACCCATCACCCAGAAAGTCTATCAAGACATATTGTGCTGATGCCGCGCCTCCTGGCGCATTCAGTATTGTGCTTGTTCATGCCAACGCCGCGTACCTTCGTGTTTCACAAGGTATCAAAAACAAACTAAACGAACTTCTCCCTGGCCGCAACGCTTTGAAGCAGCTCAACGCTATTCAGAAGTACGTCGATGGCATACTCAACCCCGAGCAAGATGGACTTGACCTGCAACTCTTGGTACGTGGCGATCTTCATGACACACTGTCGATCGATTTGCCCCATACATAAACAAGCGAAAGTAGCAAGAGTTGGTGGATAATCCCCTGCCACCTTTCTTTAAGCTCTTGCCTCCAGAAAAGGTATACACTGTTGAGCATGCGCCAGCACCTGGATCCGATGGCTTCCCTACAAACGTTGCCGGATATCAGCGGATGCATTTCCTGAACGCTGAACAGCACCTCGTTCAGCATCGCTGGTGAGTTGATTTATTATCCGCATCGCATGTGTGCCACTACTAATAAGTTTATGTTCCAGTTCATGGTTCCATGATTTTCTATCGAACATTAACCGCTCCGTCATGATCTTTTTCCTTGAACCCAAGGTAAGTTTCCAAATCGTGCGTGACAACTTCGCCAGCTTACCCTTTGCATAGACATAGTGCCAACGCACCACTTGCTATTCTGCAAAGTTTCATTTCTTCTTTCAACTGGTGTGCTGCCCCCCATGGCAACGAAGACAAGCAGGACGTCAGTCTTCACAACCGTGTTCTCTACGTAGCCCGAGAATTGCAGATCGCCGGTGTAACTCTGAGTGGAAAGGTTTACCAGGCCGAGGTATCCTACCGCCGGGTCCAGGCTCTTGCTGACATGGGGCGATTCAATGTCGCGCGCGAATTGGATCGATGCGAGGCGCGTCTGGCAGAGTAGGACGCTGCCAACTGCCTCGAGGACTGTGCCGCCATCATTCACGAGATCAAGACCTGGATCAACGAAAGCAACATTCTGATGGCAGGTCGAATGAATCAGACCTAGTTTGGGTCAGATGTGACACCAGGCTTAGGTCACTATGGAAAGGAAAATCGGCGTATAGAGGAAATTATCGTACCAGTTTTAGGTGCAGGCGGCACAGCGATTGCCTGGTAAACGATAGTATGAGGCAAATGAAAGCCATTTGACCATGAGTCCGTACTCGCACTCAAATGCCCACAGACAGCAGACCCTAGTCCTTCGTCACCAAGCCAAGAGGCCTACCACTACATCCTGCGATTTGACCCACGCGTGGCAGCAAAAGTCAACATCATCAAGGAGTTTCCTGGCATCGAAAATATCATCGATAAGAAGGCTGTCCCTGACTTCATTCAGTCAATCTTTGACAAGCTGCCATTGCCGATGAAAACATGTCTCGCCGATTTGCGCGAGTCTGTTGCCAGACTGCATTTCATCGCAGGCGTTGCTGGATCAGGGAAGTCATACCTGTTGGAAGTCCTCATGCTTTTCGCCATATTCGGGAAAGGCCTAGACAACCCCCACAAACTCAAAATTCTTTTCATCATGAACAACAATGTTGGGATTGAAGCATTTTGCAAGCGACTGTCACAAACCTTCCGCAATTAGGAAATTGTAGAGGACATTTTAGACAGCGCTTTCAATGTCACAGCGAAGAAGCCACTAACCTGGCATTATGTACAGTCCCGTGCAAAACTTTCAATAATGAGCCAACTAGGAATACATAAGACGTAACAGTTAGAATATCTTATATAATGTTAGGATAAAGTTATATAAAATAAAAAGTTTGTTATTAGAATTTATATTATCTTGTATAATGTTTAGATGAGAGGAAGTTCTGCACACCCACTGCAGGTAGATAACATCGCATTAACGTCCAGCCTGGGGTTTGAAAAACTGTAACGTTCTTGATTCTGGCAACCCGTTCTTAAGTCCATTGATAGCGAACGATTGTGCCTTGATGGTCTTGAGAGAGGCTGTCATCTTGATTCCAATCTTGACTAAGACATCTTTACCGATGCGTTCAACGTACTCGGCAATGGACTCGTTTTCATCGAAATGAGCATATGGAGGATGGCCTGTGCAGCAGACGCACCCTTGATTTTCAGATGAGTAATGATCATTGTTCGGTAGCCATGCGGGATTCCCGAGTCAATGCAGTCAACGCAGTGACCGTTGAATGAACGCTTTGGATCATCACCGTCATCAGCATCGTCAGCAGCGGTGTCAACAGCGGCAGTAGCAGTGGCGCGCGAGAAGAGGTATGGATTTTGTTTGTACATGGACAAGACGCGTGTCTTGTAGCTCTCGTTGTTTTTTTCGTCTTCCTCTTGCTGGTTCCGACAAAAGGTATCGAACTCATGCTGTAACAAAGGGCGAGTCAGGCGATGCTGGCAGAGGGTATTGAAATGCGCAAGTGGATATCGCTGAGACTCGGCAGCCTTGAGGGCCTTGAAGATGTCTTGTGCCGTTTCATCGTGCTGGTCACTTGTCTTTTCGAACACAGCACTATTGATGGTGACGTTGCAGGGATCACCACTCTGAGGTTACACGTCTTCTCTTCCATCAACCTTGACCGCAATCATGTCTTTGTTGTGCTGAGGAGTCTGAACACTGACGGCGGGGAATACCTGGGTGGCTATGTTTGCAGTCCTCTGATCCTGAACGGCTTGTTCCCATGTCACACTGCCATGTTGTTGATGCGTGTGTCGAGGTTGACAATTTGCCATGAGGAAGTGGTACAGGGAGAAAGGGATACACCAGTTCCCAGGCCCAAATGCCATATCCCGGTGATGTGGTTTGGCTGGCACCGACCTCCGTAAGTATCAAACACTCCTTCAGTCTCCATAGCTCCGAAAAAGTCTTCGCACTCCTCTGGCGACTCAAGCGTAAGCAAGTGCTTGATTCTCCTTTGTCCAATATAAGTCATGTATTCGCGATTGTACCTCCTTGCATCTGCCGCGATACGAGCATCGCGAGCCTGTATTGCGGCATACTCAGCCTCTTCGTTGGTCTTATACTTTAGAAGCACCAACTCATCGATAAAGTGAAATTCATCTCCTTTATTTCTTTGTATCTACTTCGATACGAGTATCGCGAGCCTATATCGCGGCATACTCAGCTTATTCGTTGGTCTCATAGTTCAGAAGTACCAACTCGTCGACGGAGCGAAATTTTCCTTCTCCGTCTTTCCACTGCACCTTGACACCGGACTTCTTGGTGACAGATGGATAGCGAAATGCCTTGATGGCTTTTTCGCTATCATCTGCTTCACCATATCGCGCTTTCTTAGGTGTTGGCGATGTGGAATTTTCCTCCACAGTCCTTTTTTTGGCCAGGGTAGTAGCTGGGCCAATATACACTCCAGCTTTAATACCGCTGTCCTTCATCTTGGATGGACGAGTTGGGGTAGGAGGCATCAGTGGTATCGGACTATCGGGCTCCTATTCTCAAAAGATGTCTGACCACATGTCGCAGCGACGCTGATCGGCGATTTTGACGCAAGGTTGAGTAGCTTTGTACAGGTTATCAAACGATTCCCACTTCAGGCCTACGCGGGAGAGAAGATTGAGAAGACGATTGGGTACGGTGAAGGCGTCATCTTGGGGAGTAGCAAGTTTCTCCATCGATTGACGTGGAAGCATGACTAGGCACTGCGGTTAGAGGATATCGACAAATGATACGGGGTGCAAAAATACCTTGAAGGTAGAGCGCGCTCCAGCTCGTGATTATCGTAGTTGACAATAGCCTGGTAGAGGATGCTATGTCGCAATCTTCTCCGCCTAAAGTGGCTATTGTATCAAGGTGTCGCAGCCAAGGAGGTGATATTCGACTTTTCTTGGTTGGAGCTCGCCGGAAAAGTCTTCACACTCCTTTAGTAACCCAAGCGTAAGCAGTTGTCACATATCAGGCTGAAGTCAGCCTTCCGAAGGACTTGTGCTGAGGCATCTCGCGGTTCGAGATATTTGACCAGTGAGCTAAACGGTTCAGCTTTGCAGCCAACCTTGTCACCTGGCCCAACAACGATATAACCGAGCTTAGCTCGCATGAAAGCCACGGGGAGACGGAACTGGTCATTGATGAACCCAAGACGGTCAGTGCGGGTAGGTCAACAGAGCAAACGCCGGTCTCATGGCTTAGATACTCGTCGATTGTGCGAAGCTCAAAGTCTTTGGGGACTTCGGCAACAGTCAGTTGACTCAACAGTACCTGATAAGCCAACTTCTGTACAGTGTAAGGCGTGAGAATCATCGTGGGGCCACCACGTCTGACTTGAACTTTGTTATTGGTGTATGAGTTACCAACAGGAGTTTCGTTGATCTCTCTGGGGCGAACCATTACCATGTTGCAACGAGCCTCAAAAGTCGTATTTATGCACACACGAAATGTCTCTGTGGCCTCGGTTGGTTGACGATAGACGATCGACATGTCGCGGCCGTAAAAGGCCTCGAGGGCCCATTCTGCGGCATTGTATCAGGCACGGTGGTTACGTTTGAGGACAGCTGTCAATCGACCGGTGGATTCCATACGTTGAAAAAGGCTTATCTGGCGTTGAGAGGAAACCACTGACTTGCTGGTGGGTTGCAATTTAATCCGCACACCAAGCGAGGCTGACAGAAAGACTTAGTCTAAATTTGACATAAAAGCGACGCATAAACTTTGTCAACATTCATCTCTCAAGGTGCTTCAAGTGCTTTGGTGTGCGGATTATATTGCGACCCACCTGGCTTGAAATCTTTCTGACCTTTAGCGAGAGCTATGGGCCTACACCAAGGCGAGCGACAGTTCATGGGCCAAGCCAGGTAGAAGCTTGCCGTCAAGTGTCAGAAACACATGAAACCAGTTCGTGGAACGATGTTGCATTTTGAATGCGTTTGCGTTGTCGCGGTTGAGTCAGAGCTACCCCACTGCATCTCCCACAGTTCCAGTGGCATAAGGGGTTTCGCGTGCAAAGTCTTCGGCGAAGGATCTGCACTGAATAGTATCCGAGGAGAAGGAAGCGGCTCGATCGCGATATCGAAACCCGCTGATTCGAAATGCAGTGCCCAGAGATGGAACGACAGCGAGTAGCGAACCCAATGTCTCGAGACAGCAGGGTCTGTCCAGCAGGCGGGCTTTCGGCTCGTAATAGTTTCTTTAAACATCACTCCGGCAGCTGTTTCTCTTTATCATCTTCTGACAAAGGCTTAACCACAGTTGGTGCATCGAGTTCAAGCTCAGTGTCGGAAGAATGTTCCGGGGAGCCAGCAGGGGTCACAAGCTGAGGCATAGTCTCAGGCTCGGTGACAGGATGCTGAGGCACAATAGCACTAGAGGATTGCGGCGCAAAGAGCAGCGCTCAACGTGGCAGATGCATGGCGTGATACGAAGAGGTCTGCAGTAGGATTCAGCGTAGCAGGCATAGGACCTTCATGCTAAGGGCTTCCCACAATAAAGTCCCTTTTTAAACCTCGTCTTGTAGCATGGCTTTGATCACCTAGACAACTATGACACTAGTGATCCAATGCTTGTCGTCGCGAACCTTTTGTTTGACGAAAACCCCCTTGCTCAGCAGCTCTTGGAGAGTATGCTCTGACAAAGAGTTATTAACTATGAACTTGAGGAAATCAGCAAACTGTTAAGGTTTGGTGGACGAGGAAAAACTGGTTACTTACAAGGTGGAGGTCAACGTGCTCATCAAATTTATCAATGTCCTTATAGCGGAAAACCGAGTATTCTTTAAGCAACATAAGGCAAGCCTTGACGTAGTCGAATGCTATAGCATCATTGGCACCTTGCCATAGATGTATGACCTATGCAGTACTTCGAATGAACAGCTGAATATCGTTAGCCGTATGAACGACATTGTCAGCATGGCATCGCTAATCTTTGATATCTGTCGTGGATATTAGTCTTCTTCTTCATTGAGACAATCAGCGTCAGCTTCTGCATCATCCTCGCTGACCTCGAGTGCATCATCAGACTCCTCTTCCACATCACTCGCAGAACCTGGCTCAGAAGGTGGTTATCGGTCGTGGCTACCTAGATGGGAATGATATTTCCACTTGCTGTGATGTGGAAGGTGTGACACAAGATGAAGAAGCGATATGAGTGTAAGGAAATAAGGTACTAGGCTACAAAGAGGAAAGTGCGGGGTGTCCGAGGCCACACCACAGCACAGCCACTTGTTGTAGTTGTGGCCTTAGGTACCTAGGTACCCACTTTCCCATCTAACCCTATCGCTGCCCTACCTCTAGCTACTCACCTAGCTTAGGTCATACGCACACATCCCTTCATTCCTCAGCCACGCCCATATCTCTACGACTGATTCAGAACTTACTTCACTCATTTACTCATGCTCAAACGTTTCTTTACATTTGCCACTCCTACTTTGGCATGCCCGACACGCATCCTAGGTAGTTGCTCCATCTCCAAGATGGGGTTCTGTCTGCTGTCCTGAACCTGACATCAGTACGATATGATCCTCACGCGTTGAAGACCCGCACTAAACAGATTTCGAATATTAGGCCATCTTGACTGGATTTTCCATCAAGTTCGTGTCGCTGCTCCAACCCCACACCTCTGCCTCGACTCCGCACCTCAGCTCCGACCCCGCACCTCTGCTCGAGCTTGCATCTCTGCCTCCAGCTCGCATTTTCGCGACTTCAGGCTTCCATGTCGACTTTTTGCTTGCATCACCCGCCTAAGTCTTAGGCCACGCCTTCATAGCATTCCAGTACTCGGTACGTATCCGTATCTGCATTATTTCTAAATCACTTCTCGCTGACTCAAAAACACTAGCCATGGCTCCCCTCTCCTTAGCTGTGTTGCAACGTCTCGGGATTGATTGTCTCGGCTGTCATCTCCCGGCTCTGCAAAATCCCCCCTCACACTACCAGCTTTTTATCTCCTCTCCCTCAAATATCCTCAAGTCTTAGGCAGGACTTTAGCGCAAAATTGTCTGGTTCTTGGTAACGACCTCCCTAGTTACCTCGCATCTAGCTGAGTCGAAGCTAGATCACCCGTTTATACTCACTCTTCAATCATTACCTGTTCTATTCTCGATTCCCATACCTTTCTCAAGCCTTAGGCAGGGCTTCAACGCAAAATTGTCCGGTTCTTGGTAACGACCTGCCTTGTTACCTCGGATCTAGCTGAGTCGAAGCTAGATCACCCGTTATACCAACTCTTCAACCACCTTTAGCTCTTTATCCCCTCTACCTCAAACACCCTCAAGTCTTAGGCAGGGCTTCAACGCAAAATTGTCCGGTTCTTGGTAACGACCTCCTTAGTTACCTCGGGTCTAGCTGAGCTGAAGCTAGATCGCCTGTATTTACCAATTCTTCAACCATTGCCAGTTCTTATTCCACTTCTACATTCTTCGCAAGCCCGGGGTATTGTTTCAACGCAAAGAACCCCGATTCTTTACTTTGACTCCCTGAGGTGGTTATCACAACATCTCATGCCCACTCATTCGCCTCTTTACCCCCGCGAAATGCTGGGAACCCAACTCCAACGTCAACATGCTACGCCCTGCATCTCCTATGTTGAGCGCTACCGCTGAGCCCTACATGCCGCGATCTTCTAGCGCAGTTGAGCCTGTATCGTGTCCTACCACTCTCATGCCCTCACCCGCCACCAAGCCTAAAATCGACTCCGACATCGAGCCTTGACTTGTGCCTCGTCCTGCCTCTCCGGAAACATCGTCCAAGGCGGATTCTGGCAGTGGGCCAGAGACTATGTCTCATCATGTCCCCCTTCCTGGCTCTCCTTAACATTCGTCCGATATTGACCTTGAACTCGATTCATCCATTGTTGTCAAGACTTTGTCAGACGATGAAAACAAGACACAGCTGTCGAAGTGGTGTTTGGAGGAGCTTTCACGAGCCGGGCGCCCGCCTGCTGTACATGTTCTCGATACTGATTTTCTTGGTTGTTGATCCCCGGCCCCTCAAGCAATCCCCTCTCTCAGCCGCTTCTCCTTCCTCTTCTCCTCTGTTCTTATCGAACTTAAGCCAGTCAGAGCATTGCTCTGATAATTCAGCCACTCGTCTGCAAAGGCGAGTAAAAGACAGGGCCTAACTAGCTGGTCCCCTCTGGCCCCACATTCCGTGGACCGTACTTTGTGCTGGCATCGAAGTACGTCTTTATTCAACCAAACCAAAAAGTCCATTCAGCGTAAGTGGTAAAATTTCCAATGATATGAGTTTTGCAGAAAGTTGCAGTACAGAAGAGAACTAACAAATTGTAGACATGAAACGTTGTTACATATCCGCAGCCACACAGACTCCCAAGTTCATCACCATGCCGGTCACTGACAGTGTCGGCCTCACATTGCCTACCTCCAATTTCTCTCGTCCTAAGTTTAGCGACATAAAACTCATGAAGGTCGGAAACCTCGGTGTACATCGCGTTATTTGTTCGCGAAAAGGCGGCGGCAATGGTAGGGGACGAGCGGCTGCCCGTTGTCATGGTCTGTTCCGCGTGGGCGCCGACAGCAACATTGCCAGGCCGACACTTCGCTACACTTCATCCTCTCATATGCACAATACCCACAGTTGCTTCTTTTTGTCTTAGCACAGAATTGGTTCATCTATCTACTATGACTACTTTGTCAAATTCACAAGCCGCCGTATGCACAGCGCACTACACAGTCACCCCCTATTAGCGATAAACCACCTTTCCCCCAACCTTCAGCACCAACGAGCAGAGATCTTGTGATGAAAAGCACTGATATTCACGGTCACATACATTCAGTGTGTAGATCTTGAACACCCCGCAGGCAAAGGTATCGACACTGCCGGAAGGCGCAAAAAGCAACACAGAACCGGAGACTCGTCCTTAATGTATCTGGTATACCATCGCAATAATTAGCTTTGCGACGGGTTGAGGCTCGCGTCGGACGTAACGCGTGATTCGTTGTCCTCACCCTTCACCATGTTGCCCCCCGGTTTCGGGTTGGTGTTGGGATCTACTACTCATCTGCCACTACCAAGCACTATCACCACTGCCACAGTCGTTCATTCACATCTCCAGCATTCTACACTCTTCCACTGCTGCCTAGCTCATTCTTTTCGCTTATTTACAAAATTATCATGCTCGCACAAAACGCGCTTCTCCCTCCCCGCACATCTTCATTCCAAAACATCGCGATATCCTCACACTTCACGCAGTATCCTCACACTTCACGCAGTATCCTCACACTTCACATCAACTCATAAATCCCCCATACACTCACTCTTATTTGTGTTTCGGACAGCTCTACCCATGCTGACCAGGGATAGTCGTGGCTTACATACCTTCTCAAGCCATAACAACACTGGTTATTGGCCATCTTTGGGCAGACACCCCTCCGGTATCGACTTTTCGTATCAGGGCTGGCAACCCAACCCAAATGTCAATATGCCACGCCCCGTATCACTGGAGTTAGAGCAGCATTCCCAAACTGCTGGACTCATCGAAGGAGGTCATATTCCCCGATCCCATCTTTACAAAGGCGATGAATGTCTTCTCTGGGAATATGTCACGATTCTTCTTCACGAAGAGAGAAACGAGGTAACCGGGCCACGAGCCCTGGAACTTTCACGCGCTTAAAAGCATTTCAATGACCTCGGGGTAACAAAGCGTATCACATCTTGCAAACGATGCGAGACACACGAGCACATTACTGATCAGTGTGGCAAGTCCGACCCTGACATGCATTCGGAAGTTTGTGAGCGAACCTCCCGTGGCGAGGAACATCATACCGCCGCTTTCTGCCCTAATCGCCGCTGCGGCAATTACGCTCAAAGGGGCCACTCAGCCGGCGAATGTCCCCTCGATGATCTACTGTGTTCTCAATGCGGCAAACAGGGCCACGATTTCTTCAATTGCACTACGCCTTCCGAAAAACGCCAGTGCTCGACATGCAACCAACGGGAACATGCTCACTGGGGTTGTAAACCCACGGATGGGTCGGTTACAAATCGCCGTTGTGGGAAGCTGGGACACAGAGCCAGAGAATGTGACGAGCCAGCTCCCTGCTCTAGTTGCTCTCAGCCAGATCATACGAAAGAGACATGCCCTCAGACCACTTACCGACATCGTGGCGAGAAGGGGCATATGGAAGCCACTTATCCCCAGCGCGTTTGCCGCAAATATGGCCAACCGGGTCACATTGGTCCTAACTGCCCTCACGTTTGGTGCGGGCGCTGTCATTCGGTCGGTCATACGCGCGAAACCTGCCAAGGTAAGAAGCCGAGATGTTCCATCTGCCGTGGCCCGCATCATCATTATACCTTCCAACAGAGTATCAAGAACGCTGATCGCCTACTGCCCCCCGGGTCACCCTCCAAGTGCAAGATACCAACTTCCGCCAAGGATAGTCTATCTTCCTTCCCGTGCATCTCGACGCAACCCGAACCTGAGAGATACCAATCAACTCGCGCTTGGAAATGGATCGACTGATGGCGACAATGGTGGCGCCCAAGTCACTGGTGCTCAAGCCGGAGATGGATCGACTGATAGCGAGAGTGATGATGGAGGGGAGTAGTTGATGAGTTTAGGCCAGATACGGTGGACCCGCGCAAGGGTGACAACTTTTGGTAAATCGAGAGCATGGTGGAACGGAAGGATGATGGGATTATGAGACAATGAAAAAGGGGCGACCGGTTTGGTGGAAGGTGGCGGCGGAGGTTGTTTTTATCCTGCCAACAGGACTTGTTTAATGTTACTTAGCACAGAATCGATCAACGATTTGATTCATCAATGAATTTGTATGCTTTGCATGTTTGTTCACCTGAATTCAAGACTAATCCACACTGATCAACCCGATCATTAATCAGCAGAGTGTTTTCCCAGCGATAGATATTGATAGTACCTAGAGAAGAATGGTGCGAATTTCTCCCGGTCAATATTGATGGGGTTGTTAAAGTCGTCATAGGATGTGACATTCGTAACTGGAACTAACTTATTGTTATATGCATGAAGGTATGAAGTTCTAACCTCTTTATTTTAATAAATTTTAATAGCATTTATAGAAACTTGATTTATTTTGTATAAGTTTATTCTACTTCATTAAAATATATTTTCTCCTATAAAATCTTATTTTACTTTATATAACTAATTTTATTTTATTTTAGATAATTTTATCTAATCTTATTAAGAAATTTTATAAAAGATTTTATTAATTATCAATATTTATTTCTTTTTAGCTGATTATAGGAACGTTTTTACACAGGCCTAAATAAGTTGAAATCTGTATTAAAGACAAACTTGTAGAGAGCATCTCCCTCCCTCCTGCGTCTGTCAATTCATTTGTAGGAAACTCCTCAGTATATTTGCGAGGGAAAGCACCCCGTTCACCTACAGCAGCCTCGTGGAAGGCTCAGCGTCGGCGGCTAACTGTGAGGTGGATTCCCAAACGAAGCAGTCACTGGTGACCATACGGTGTCTGGAGTTGTATATTCGAAATCAGGCGCAACTTTGTCGGGCTCCGAAGATTGATTATGTACTGAGCGCTGGTTGTCGTCAACATCAGGTTGGCCATCATTGAGGACATTGACAGCATCGGCAGGAGGGTCGGGTTTAACATGCCTACTTCTGGGGTTGATGATGTAGGAAATAATTGGAAGAACCATCTTCACAGCCACAGTAGTCTTTCCAGAGCCTGGACCGCCTCCGACGAAGGTCTGGCCGTGGATGACAGATTTCAGTGCCTCGACGATTCAATGAGCCTCGGATTCGAAAACACCCTGTTCAAACGCAGCTGCCAGTTCAGGGAAAGACTTCACGAAGTCATACACTACAGGGCTCGTTTGGAACGACGTACTATACGACCAGAACCCCGCTGACAAGGAAGTCGCTCGAGAGTTCATGCGAAAAGGTGTATCGCACTCAAATGCTGTGGTCTTGTTAGTTTGTGTGTAGTAGATCTTGACTGGAACACTTGCGACTATGACTTGAGCTCGAGTGACCTCGCCGGATTCCTTGGTAATGTATAGGTAGTGGGCAAGTTCCGACAACTTCCTCACTTCTAAGACATATATATATATATATAAGATTTTATAATTTGATAAATTATTTTATCTTATACAATCTTAGGAAAGTACGATATATACTCCTAGTCAGCTCGTTGTTGGAACCTTTGTATGGGACTGTATCCAGGAGCGAATAGTGTTGCCAGGAAGTTGTGGAGTTTTCCGACTAGTTTGACGGCCAGTAACTCGACTCGAATTTATGGTTTAGCTAGACCAGATGTCCATTGCTGCTGGCGAGGAAGCGACAGCGTTATGAGTGCTACATTGGCATTTGTACTATAGGGCAGTGGGTTGCGCTTGACTCGATATTCAAGACCTAAAGTTAGGTCAGGAGATGCCTCTGCGCTTTCGTTGGCCAAAATACCAGCAACGTGATGTGCCATAGCAGCGTTTGCATGTGGGATGGACGAAGAGGAAGTAGGGGGTAGCTTATGGATCCAGGTTCATATCAATGCATGTTTGGTCGATCTCTTGTTTTGTCTTCTTGGTCTTGGGTTGATACACATTTTCTCGATGAAGTCAAACTGATGTTTAATGGGAAGACACGCTTTCATCTGCCCAGCCATTCTCGTCAATTACACCAATGTACCTCAGTAACACCAGACCGTGCGCAAAGGCTACTCTTTCTTATTCTCGTTTCGATGATAACGAGTTCATTGCCGATTATATTAAAAAATAGTTCAGAAAAAGAGATACCAAGAGTGTCAAGGATTATTTTGATACGACTGAACCTTTGATCACGTTCGAGCAAGTGACCTTCGATTGCAAATAACTTGTCGTTCGCAACTTAGAAGTGACGCTCATGCTGTTATAGAATGCTTTCGTGATTGTTGAGGCGGGTTTCGAAAGAATCGAGATGGGGTTCGTCCTTTGCCAAGTATGAGTGCATTGGGATTGTTGCTATAGAACAGGTTAGCCTAGAAGAGATGTGAAAGGGCAATTAAAATCAAGACTTACATGACAACACCCTTGGTATACTTCAGTGCGATTGTAAAATGGAAAAGGTTTGTCTCGTGGCCTACAAAATTGCCCCGCCTGGCGATCACAACTTGGAATTCGGTGGAGCGACTGTACCCAAGAATGAGTCGGTGAAGTTCTGCGACAAATCCCAGGGTGTTGTAGTAGTGACAAGGTCGATAAAGACAAAGTCGGCTTCGCCGCCTTGTGAATTGTCGACGATTTTGAATTGGACACGAGAGCGTTGCTCATCGTCCAGCTCCAACTCTCGGGCAAGATCCAGGAACCTCATCTTCAAATCAACGACTTGCTCCTTGTATGCTGCGACAACCAAAACAGTGATGGGCTTCTGCGCATTCTTCCCGGCACCCATGAGCTTAGACTTCAGTAGTAACTCAACTTGCTCCATTATCCATTATCCATTTCGCATGAGTCGAGTTGACCTTGGAAGAAGAAGATGGGGGTGTGGTAGCGCAACGTGCAATGCTCATTGTCCTGAAAGATCATTACAGCAGGCGCTGGACGCTCAGGTCGGCCGTCATCAGGGATCTCCGCAATATTGGCGTAGACCGGATCCTGGTAATCCCCTGCGCGGCAATTTGCAAGATAATCGGTAAAGGAGTTGGGAAGACACTGCACGACTTGCAGAATCTTGGGCCAATGAACCTCGGAGGTATCCTCACAAGAGAACCACAGGCCGACAGATACAGAGCGGGCTAGCGTCAAAAGATCATTGAGAAGTGGCTGTTGTTGAGGGTGGGTGGGTGTCCCAATTCTTCGTGAAACGAACTGAGTCAATCGCCTTGCCTGTGAACCATCGATGTCGACACGAACAAGGCGGACTCTGTTTGGGATCGAAGCGATTGCAGCAGCCGGATCGGTAAGATCAGTATGTTCGAGTTGCCCAGCAAAGGTATCGAAATCAGGGTGCTTGACAAGCTCAGCCATATCGAATTCCTTGAACTTGTGCAACAGGGCGAGAGCGGACTGTTCAGATGTGTCGATTTCAAGGACAGCGATGTCGTCAAGGATATCGTAAAGTGCGAAGATGATATCTTTGAACTTGTCAACGGATTTTCGGTGTCAGATGCACAGCTGAATGTGCGAGTGTCATCGACGCCGATGCCATAGGCATAGAATGGCATATGCAGTGTAGCATAGTCACTCTTGGGAAACCGAAGATTGACTGATACCTCGAGAGACCCGTTTCGACTTTTAGGATTCGTTCCGCTTCCTCTCGCGAGGGGGAACTGATGACCGTCTTGTTCAAGGACAGGAACGCGGAGAAGGATTCTGAAAACTCAGAATCCTTGCTGCCGTCAAACTCGCATATTTTGTACCTTGTCTCGACGTTCAAGATAATGCGCAAGTTCCTGTCACCAAGTTAGATTATGCGACTTTTGTGAATAGACGTGTTTGCTTACCATTAGGTCTTCAGGATTTTCATCTCCTGGGGCAGGGATATCGGGATGCTCATCACTTGGGGTAGTGGTCTCGGGATGCTCATCACCTAGGGCAGCGTTTTCGACGCGATGTTCCGAAGGGCCGCCTGCAGCACCTACGGACGAGTCGCCGTTTACTGCACTCTAGAAAACTAGTCAGAAAAGCGTATTTTTAGACAGCGAATGAAGTGACGGGAAACTTACCATCGTAGCAGGGATCCCCTAGCTCGTAGAGATCAAGTGCAGGCTGGGGTGAGGCTTGTGTGTGTAGGTTTGGGTTGTGTGATGGGTTTTTTGGCGGGCGTTTTTATGTGCTAGGGCTGAAGGTTATGGTGCGCCGCGACGTTTGATCGGCAGCGTATTTCACTTTTATAGAGTTTTACCAGGAAGATGAAGACCAGTAACTCATGGTGGGCGCCACCGTGCCGGAGGGAGGAGGATTCGGGCGTAAGGGATTAGGTTAGGCTGGAACTCACTCAGATCGACGTTGAGGGGTGGGTGTTGAAAGACAACTACCAGTATGTACCACGGACGCGATTTTGTGGAGCTATAAGGCTGAGGTAAAATGGGCCCTGGTGGAGCACTGTCAGCTCGTCCTTGTTTTCTACAAGTATTTCAGTCCCTGCTTTTTGATTCTACATTTCCGATTTGTACAATTCAAACTGACAAGGCTATTCTCAAGAGCAATTGACCATAGCAATCACAATTTTGGGTTTTTGGGTTTTGTGTGTGCTAACTGATCACTTGTAATTTGCGGATAGAATATTGTAACTCAGTGAGGTCGTTACAGAGACCGGTAACTCATAGAGGCATAAGTTACTAAACTCAGTAATCCAGTCCTTTAGGGGGATATATAAAAATGGGAATATTTTGCAACAAATCCTGTCCGGAGACTTAGGAGATTGATTGTTCAGAGTGACAATACGTAGTATAGGTATGGTGTGGTGAAGGGAAAAGCCGTGCGGGGACGCAATACAGCATAGGTACTTTTTGAGGGGAAGCGGGGCATAACGTTACAGGGGTCCTTGGCCTAATCCCCAAATACCTAATGGATCAACTTTTAGATGCGCCCCCCTCCCTATCAAGCATCAGACGCTACACAACAACGCTATCATTTTTTCTTGCGCTCGTCGTGCGATCAAGATCCATTTGTTGAGCCGTAAAGCTTGTCAACCCCTATTTCATTGTCTTACTTGGTCTAAGGTCTGGAACAAACTACGGGCAGTTTGTCGATCGCACAAACGAATGAAAGCAGTAAGGGATAGGTACTGCATGATTCCCCGACACCTTTCTCTGAGCACTCACCCAAGAAAAGGTTGTATATATACTCGGTAGGTACTCTTGGGTAGGGGTACGCTAGTATACACAGCTCCTACTTCGTATAAACAATAAGATCAATATTGATATTCTTATAAATTATAATAAACTTATATAAATTTAAGAAATTTATACACAGTTTATAAAATTTAGAGAATCTAGTCTTAATTAGAAATTTAAAACGTAGAGAGTTATATAAAACATGTAGATCTTTATTATCAGAACAAGCTACTGGTCTAGGCTATAGATTTCTGGAGCGCCAAGTTACTGTATTGATCTTGGAAGATCTCAACAAATGAACCGTTCGTTTGTTCAGCGCTACCTGATGCACTACTATTCGTGAGGGTAATCTCTCAAGCTTCTGCCTGTTTTTGTGCTCGAGTCAAGGGACATACTATGGCGCATTGCCGGCTTGAGCAACTTTTCTCGTTTGGACCCACTTGCTGTTGATTTATTGCTGTGAATAACGACTTCCCACTCCCGACCTCTACTGGAACCTAACATCAACGTCCTTCCACTACCTTCGCCCTCGCCATCCACCAATATATTATCTCTAATCACTACTCTTTTTATTTTTTGGCGCTTCCCAAGGCTACCGGTTCAAAATTTACCGCGCCAGCAAAAAGATATCCTGGTATCTAATGCCGGTTGCCCCCCTCTGCGAGTCCTTTTACTGACATAATGCTGCTGTTTCACAGTCAAAATCTAATATCGCCTTCCTTGCCTCCATGTATAGTGCTTACGCACCTATTGAAAATGAGAAACAAGATCCTTCTGCCGACGATGGAATCAACATCATGAAGTATACCCTTGCTGCGATATACCTCTTTAAAATCCACCTTGTTATCGAGCATTTCCCCCCCGAGGACGATCAAAGCTGTGGCGTTGTCGGCTTCTGCCAAAATCGCACCAGGCATCTCCTTCCACCTAGTAGTTGAGATGTAGTCCCGAGATGGAGGCACTGAGAGTGTCAAAGGTTATTTCGATATGACTGAACTTTTTGTTCATGTTCAAGCAAGAGACCTCTACCCGCCTGAAGGCGAAGTGCGTTCCGCCGTTGTAGAAGCCAAATCTCGACAAGATGACGTTGAAACAACCAGTATCGCAGAGGAGTTTCCCACCTCCCAGGTCGTCCAAAGTCTCTACAAGAAGGTATCCGACACCAAGTCTACTATCGCTCAGGCAAGGAATGCCAACCGTGACAAGTCTCTCTATCACTTTGCCAGTCGCACTTTGGCGCAGAATTCTGACCGCCACACTGAGCTCAGGGAGATGATGGATCGCGTCAAAGCTGGCGAGAATCTTCTGGAAGGAGAATTTGCATCTCTCAAACATCTCATCAAGGAACTTTACCGTGACACACTTCAAGATTTCTCTGGTGTCGTAGCATCCACTCCTGTTGGAATCACCCTGCTGCTTATCCGTCAATCGTTTCGGCCTGACCTTGTCATCGTTGACGAGGCCGTGACTATGGACGAGATGTCGCTGTTAGTCCCCATTGCCCATTTTTCACCCAAGGCATGGGTCATCGTCGGTGACATAGCCCAGAAACCACCACACATGACTATGGAGCACGATCTTGGTCCAGGCAAAACAACGCCAACCCCATCTACTTTGCAGAAGCAGACTTCGCTTCTTCATCGCGTCGTCGAAGGTGGTGCACGACATTCGACCTTGTCGATGAACATGCGTGCCCACAGTGACGTTGGAAAGCCTGCCAACAACCTCTACTACAACAACATCATGTTATGGCGACACAAGTAGAACAAAGCCGATGCTCTTGACGCCATCATCGAGCACTTCCAGGCCAATTCCAATGGTGACCACCGCAAGGACCACTGCTTCGCACAGGTCGAGTTCACGCATGCTCGGTTCTCGTCCCTGGTGCATCAGAGGAACTGGAAATGCATGACAAGAGGAACCGATTCTTGTTTGACAAAATGCTTCCTATTGTTCTCCAAGTTCTCACGATAGATGCCAGAGGAGACCGACCTAGATAGGTATGGGATCAAGGCAAGTGTATGCGCAACTCGCAATTTTAGAGTTTTCGCATTAGACCCCGATATCGCTGGTGCCTTTCCGGATATTGACGAACCGTTCTCACTCTATCTCGGAGCAAACTACGCCAACCATCCCATGCCCTTTACGGTCCCAACCGCTGAGCAGTCTAACGCAGTTGCGGTGTCTCTTATTCACGATTTCAATCTTGGTGAATACAAGGCAAGGAACACCCGCCAGAACATCAACCAGGAAATCAATGCCATTGTAGGTGATGACGACAGGGTGACTTATCTCCAAGAACAATTGGAACCCAACGCACTCCGATCATTCTTGAACGTGACTGCCCGAGCTATCTTTGCTATACTCCGCAAACCATCCGAAGCAGCAATCATAGAGTCTCTCAACGACGTTGAGGTCCAACGCTACATCACTTCCGTCAACACGGCACAGAGCTTCGTCGTGACCAGTTCGACTCCGATGATCAGTGGTTTTCTGGCCTTCTTGAGTGGGTTGTTGAATTCGGCGGTCCAACCAGACCTGGCAAGAAACCGGACTAAGGTCCTGAGTACCGAGCCAAACGCATTCACTGCCCTATGGTACAAGTGCAAATGTAGCACCTATAACGCTATCACTTCCTCGCCAGCAGCAATGGATGGCTCAGCCTGATGTGCGACAACTGTGTTTAGCCCATTCACTCCACCGAGATGTGCCCATACACCCCTGCAGGCGGGTTAGAACATAACCCGCATACCAAGCAAGGCTGACAGAAAGACTTGGTCTAAATTTGTTTAAATTTGTCTAAATTTGACATAAGAGCGATGCATAAACTTTGTCAATATCCTCATTGCAAGGGGGTGCTCAGAGTACTTTGGTATGCGGATTATATTCTGGCCCACCTGCTCTGCTTGTGCTCACTGCGATGGGACGGGCGCCTCATGCCACCCGTCACTGCCCAAATGCCGAGGAAGACGCTATCTTCGAGTGGTCAGATAAACCGCTCACGGCCAATGACGGTGTGAGGCGCGACATTCGGGCTGGGCGTCTTCCAGCGATGTCGGATTCGAAGCGCCACCGTGGAAACAAAGCGAAGCGACACCGAGATCTTTCTTTCCGCCCCGAGTCATCCAAGTCCAGCGTAGGCCAGGAGTTCAAGAAAGCATAAAGACTCTGCTGCTGCAGGTAAGGAGTCTGAGTCTGAGGGAGATGGAGATGGAGATAGAGCTTGGTAGTTATATATGAAGAATGGGAAAAGGTACTATCTTGAGTGAGGATGATATGGTTCTAGGATGGAATGAGGGCGTGGACTAGAAAAGGGACTTTATAAGCTGGTTATGAAATGATTCTGATGGAATAAGTGAGTTCGGAATATGCTGCTCTAAATCAGTGCCATCGAGCTGACGCATGATCAATAACGAAGGTTTTCTTGTCAAAAGACAAACCTGCGGTATCGGTGTCTTCTTTAATTAACACACGACGCGTTCGTGATTGCAGTGCTCCCCCCCTTTTTATCTATAGTTTCATGCAAAGGTTCCAATAACGAGCCACCGAGAGATATGTAGTAGAATAAATAAATAAGTTAACTTATAATTACAAGACTTTATATATAATCTTAAGATACGATTATATAATATTTTATAAGATAAAAAGACTTTATTATAAGATTATAGATTTTATATAAAATAAGTAGAGTTTATTATAAAATTATATAAAATGATATAAAATAAAAGATTTTATTTTAAGACTATATAATAATATGTGAAATAAAAAGAGTTTATAATAATTTATATAATCTTATATAAATTCTAGCGTAAAAGTAATTATCCGAACTTTTACACGCCCACTACAGTACCTAGATAGAGGTAGTAACCGTATTGTCGCTGTGAGCTTTTATGGATTTTGCCTATCTATGACTGCAATGGCGACAGAGAGGGATCAATCTCGCCATTTCATATCAGTCTTATCTACTTTATGGAGCCATGGCCTTGTCCGTTTCCAGTTTCCGAGAACATACGCCAGAATTCATGCGGTTATACCCTCTGGAAGGCGAGATACGTTCGGGTGTTGGAGATGGCCGAGCAGAACAGCAGGACGTCGAGACCAAAGACATGGCAGATGAGCTTGCAGCTATCCACAGCCTGGATAGTCTCTGTAAGAAGGTTCAAGATACTCACACTCAGGCCTGCAACTCCAAGTACGGAAATGCGGATAAGTCTCTGGCTCAATTATCTGACAAGAGACTGAGCAAGAATCCGGAGCTCTACCCCGAGTTGACAGACCTCAAGGCTCGCATTCGAGACCACCAGACCTTGGATGCAGGTGAGTTCGCTGAATACAAGCACTGGTCTAAACAACTATATCGTGACACCCTGCGCAACTTCCTCGGAGTTGTCGTCACCACCCCTGTCAGTGCCAGTCCTCTTCTGGTCTGAGGAGAGTTGCAACCTGCTATCGTCATCCTAGATGAAGCTGGGATAATGAACGAGTTTACCACCATGATACCCATCATGGATTATACGCTCGCGGTATGGGTGATCACTGGGGATATCACACAGAACCCAACCCCCTTCCAGAGCGATCATTAAACATTTGGCGGAGGAGACAGAATTCACCTACAAACAAAAGTTTGCAAGATAGAGGAGCCTCACCACTCTTCCGCAACATGCCCAGGACGTCTCTGCCGCAACTGTGTTCAACATACTCACACATATTACGCCACGGGACAGGTATAATAGAAAGACCAAGCAATAGGAAAGACCGAACTACAACAGAAGGAAAGCTAATATGAACTATTTAAATATTATCCTCCCCCATCCCAGTACTTTTTTCTTTTTCCATACTATAACTTAACTGCCATCGATTATCCATCACAATCACCATCACAATCACAATCAACCATTACAATCATCCATCAGTGCACCCCCACCACCATGAACGCCCAAGCACATGTTGATGTCATTTGTGGCAGGCTTCTTGACCAACTGAACCCGCGGTTCGAAGCTATCGACAATCGTCTTGACGCCATCGACAACCGACTTGATACTATCGACACCCAGCTCAGCAATCACGGAAGCATGCTGCAACAGCATACGGGTCTCTTCCAAGTTGCATGACAAGTTGCTTAGAATCGAAACCATCCTTGATATTCTCGGTGGTCATATCTCTGAACTAGGTACGTCACGACTCCTAGATGGGTACGCCTGGTATGCTTTTTTGATCTGTAAAAGTCATATGGTCAATTAACCCATAGAGGCTCCGCAACCAGTCTCTGCGCGGACGAAACCGCGGTTGCCACTATAATGGACTTTAAAAATTGATGCCTCCCAGGCTATGATTCCGTGTAAATAAACAGTCTAAGTTCGTTATTCATTATCTCTAGTGATATTCTCTCTCGCGGATCCTTTCTCTGCATCCCACTCATTATCAACGACAAGCCGAGTCGTTCTCGTCTTCACCTGAATCCCAATTAAGCCTGTGAACTGCGAGATCATAGAAAACCTCTGACCTCCTTCTATCTCCGTCCTGACATTTCCGTAAGTCTTGTCTCCCAGAAACAAGTTGTGCTCTGCCTGTCTCTTCGTGCGTCCTTTTGCCAAGAATCTAAACAGTCCCGCACGGCGGAATCTTTTCTTCGGTGTTTTGTTGTTGGCTCCTCCTATCAAAGGTGTAGGTAGGCTTCGCTCTTCGATGTTGCTGCGGTTTGAAGAGTCTGCAAAGGCCTGCCAGGTGGGGAGGCATGCCCATATGATCAAGGCAGATATTTCGACATCCATCCAGATGATTCGATCGTGATATTCCCACACGGGTTGCATTTTCGTAAAGTAGTTGACCAAAAGCTGTGCTCGAAAACCGGAAACTCCCAGTACAAAGGCTCCTAATGCGACCGCAATGGCTTGCTTCAGCCAAAATGAGGCAGTACGAGTACTTCGGCTGCTGATAAGTCGGATCAGCATGGCGAAGATCGTAACATTTAGGGATATGTCGATGGCACACGCCGCGTATTCGAGCGAGTCTAGAGGTAAGCAATTTGCGATAGCCTGGTCTCTGTCGTCTTGCGCCCATCCTTTCCAAGCAAATTCGATTGGCGAGCATCGGAATACTTTTAGGAGTGCGAGAGCAAACGAAGAGAGGATCGTTAGTAAGATAGTGACGCCTGTGATCGTCATGTGGTGGCCACGGAGAGATATGCGAAGGCACACGAGAAGGATCGCGACTCGTAACAAGCATGAGCAGGCGAGCTCAAAGATTTCGGCCATGAAAACAAGCTGTAATGTATTAGCAATCTCGAGCTGTAAACCAGTGTTATTATAGCAAACCTTGAGTCCATCCGTGATGTTTTGTGTGATTGCATCCCAAGCGATTGTCGTGCCTGTTACAGAATGGCCTAAATTCCACTTGTAAGCATGAGTCTATACAAGTTCGATGCCATCCCACTTACCGAAATGAACAAGCGTGACAAACACTGTGTATAGTAACTAGAAGCTGGTGAGTTTTGGTCAGAAGATACTGTGGTGTTGACTTACTCCACAAAGGGCTATCACATAATCATCCAGAGAAAGGCTTTCGTAAGTGATCCAACTCGAGTAGAGTCGAATCCAAGGAGAGGCCCATGCTGGAATTTCTGCTACAAGAAGAATGTAATGGTGAAGTCGTTTGTCATCGGGCTTGTCATCGCATGCATTGGCATGAATCCTTGCAATTCCTATGTCGTGTTAGTTCTATCGCCTTGATCTTCCAAAAGCAATCGTACCAAATCTTTCCAAATCGCTACATTCTTGTGAGAAGCATTGGTCAAGTTCGTGCTTCAAATTCTTATTGTTGCAGATATCGAGAGTGTCAAATCCCACATTTCCATATGGTTCAAAACATAATGTCTGGGGTTATCAGTACAGTCCTATGCGCATAGCTGAGTACGTATTTTAAACTCACAGTACAATTAGGTAGGCCCTCGAAAAGTTCAGGCCTGTCGGCTCCAAACACTCCAGCAACGAGTGCCAAGGAGCAAATTGCCCATGATGTGAGCTTCATACCCGGTCTTCAGTGGCATTAGGGCTGGTCACTATTGACAAAGTGGACACAGGCAGAAGAAAGGTGAATTCTAAAATGGGCATTTCTCTCTACGGATAGGTATATAAACCAAACCCCCGGATCGACGCGTGTAAGGAGCTTTGCCCAAGTAAGGAAGACGCATGCGACTGTAACGGGACTAATACTTAGCAGCTAGCCCTGTATGATATTACATACCGGTTTTGGTGTTGACCCCCTGCGCGAATGGCATGAATAAGGTATATAGCATTGAGATTGATCTTAGGATAGAGAACGTGCCGTCGCACGGTCCATTGAACGGTCAAAGGTAGTCCTCTTTCAATTCTTCAATTTCTGGAACTGATGATTGATCGAGATTTAATTTATCGGTTCTGATATCCCGGTCTGATTGCTGAGGTCTTTCGGCGATAAATTCAATTGTGTTGCTCATGTGAAACTCGCGGCTGACGCACAGATACACTTTCAGTCAATTCTCATGCACGACATAGCAAACAAGAGCCTCCAACGCGTGTACCAACTCGATTGACAGTTAAAGACCTCATTTAGAGCAATCTGATTTGACTCTACATCGGGCTTTTACCAGTTGAGATGGGACAAAATGGGCCAGCGTCGCACTGCTGCTACCACAAGTGCAGTGTGCGCTGGGTGAAACGCCGGCTCCTGAATAGTCCAGCGTACTATGGTTCATCTGTGGCGGTTTTGCAACTAAAAAGTCCAACGACTGAGTACTTGGATGGTCGCAGTGTCGCAAACGCAGTTTCGTAGAGACTCCTCTCCGAAGCGTTTTGTTTGGGTGTGACAACCTCTCCAATTGTTACACGGAGAGAATCCTCTTTTGATCAGTGCCGAAAATAGTCAACACAAGAAGCGCTATCGAAGGAGTCAAGGAGTTTCCAGAACGATTCTGCGGATCAGCTTTAGGCTCTCTAGACCGCCATATGCGAGTCAGCTTGGTTGTTTCAGGTTGAAGACCAAAACACCCCACGTTATCCGTAGTTCCGATCTAAAGAGGGTCTTGCAGTAGCACGATTATTAATGGTCGACTCATGGATGCTCACGTGGACGATAGCCTTAATCTTGTGAATCTGTTTATGCCAGGTCAAGGTTAGTAACCTACTTCTTTTATCGAGGCTGTTGGCGGTGATGACCGAATTTGATGGGGGCTTCGTAGATGACGACAAAGAAGAAGCTTGATTTGTTCATAGAAGACATCAAGTGCTTTCAGAGGGTTCAGGCGTCTTGCTGAGATGAGGCCCTTATTAGTTCGGCTGTTGGTGGTTTATAATGGCAGAAAGCGATCTCCGGAGTTATGAGGTTTGCTAAAGAGAAGACAGAAAAGGCCAATCAGCGAAATAGTCGGATGAAACGGCAATTGAATATTGGCTGTATCTGCCAATGAAACATATATACAACGAAAATAGTCCAAGTTAATGACAAGCAGCAACAGCACATTTAGTAGGGTCACCTGACCTTCTGCCCAACTTGAAAGACCCCTGCTCGTATCTCCGCCTCCGCTCGGCACAAGCAAAATCTCTTCAGCAAAAGTTATCAGATCAGATTGATAAAGATATCTTTTTCTACTTGCTGATTGCCCTGCCCCTCAGGTTCTCCTCCTCCTTCGTAACTCCGAACGACACCCGCACCCGCAATCGGCCATCCGCACAACACCGGGCCCTACTCTGCTGCAATCGACTATGGCTTCCTCTGACCGAAGTGAGACCCCGGACTCGGACGGTGACCGAAAGTCTGGGTCCCGAGATGGCTCGGGCCAGCCGCCCGCCCGCAAACGACAGCGTGTCCGCCTCAGCTGCCTCGAGTGCCGTCGCCGGAAGCTGTCGTGTGACCGGGGCTTCCCGTGTGAACGGTGCATCAAAAGCGGCACGCCCGACCGTTGTAGCTACGAATCCCGGAACGGAGAGGTCGTTAATGCCTCGTCTGGCGTTCCGCCGCCCTTCGCTCAGCTCGACTCACGCCGTTTTGTCGATCCCGCAACGGGATTGTCCCCACGAGACCCTGAATTTGTTCGCCAAGATCACGATCGAATCCGCCGATTAGAGCTCGAAATAGCTCAGTTGAAGCACCAAATAACGAGGCCTGGTGTGTCCTTTGATGGAAGTACCCTCGCCGGCACGACCACATCTCCCCAGACGAAGGATGATGCCAATGCGATTTCAAATGCCGAGGACCCCTCGGTCCGTGAAGTACACGAGTCCATCGAAGCTACCAACATGTCAGCCGAGAAGGGAGAGCTTCGATTCTTCCGTGGGAGGGGGTTCCGCACTCGATACTTTGGTCCGCACAATGCCAGCATGGCCTTTGTCGAGTTGACGGGTTTGTGTCCGTTTATGAAGGAGACGGCTGACGAGTGGCTTCGTCCTGTTATTCTTCATGATCGCAAGGACCGCAAAAGACGACGCGAGGACCGTGAGAGGATCTTCGAGGACGCCGATCTAGATTTGGAAGCTCTGTTACCGAGCAAAGAGGAGTCAGATGCCCTCATTGACGTTTACCTTGACCAGTTCGAGCAAGTCCATCGAATTGTTCACATTCCCACGTTCAAGAAAGAATACTCCGAGTACTGGACACCCGGCTCTACCAAACGTTATGCTGCCTTCACGGCACTTATTCTCTCAATGATGGCTGTTGCGAGCTGTGTTCACACTCACGAGAACATCAAGTTCATCGGCATGATGTCGAACGCTCGGCACTGGGCAGAGCGATGGATAAAGGCATGTGATGAGTGGTCGTCAAAACAGAGCCAAAAGCACCGGCGCTTGATTAACTATCAAGTAGCTTGTCTTTTGTATCTTGGTAAGCGAGTCAACACCATCAAGAAGAAGCGTTTCTGGACAGGCTCTGGAGCTTTGATCCAGGACGGAATTGCTGTCGGTTTACATCGTGAGCCTAGCCATATGGCAGCAAAGATCACCGTCTTTCACCAGGAAATGCGCCGCAGGATTTGGGCAACAGTTCAGGAGTTTGACATGCAAGCATCTTTTGACCACTGTCTGCCAACTCTGGTGAGCCAGCTTCACTACGACACCAACCCACCTCGCAATTTGGACGATGATGACTTTGATGAAAGTACAACTGTCCTTCCGCCATCCAAGCCCGTGAAGGAGTATACTTTCTCCTCTTTTCAACATATAGCTCGCCAGAGTCTGCCTCTGCGATTGGAACTCAGCCGTCTGCTCACTGGTCCGTCGTCCGAAATAGACTACGAACAGGTGATTCGATACACCAATGACTTGACACATGAGATTGACGCCCTTCCTTCCTGGGATATGAACATGGAGAATGTCAGAGGAAAGAAAAATCCTTTGATTGCATATACGTTATTACATGTCCAGTTGAGACAGTACATCATTCCTCTGCACCAGCCCTATCTTAAGCTCCGCAAACAAAACTCCAAATATCAGTACTCAGAAATCATCTACTATAATTCAGCTAGGGATATCGTTCTGTTACATGACAAGTTATACGAACAAGGCGTTCGCAGTCTCAACTTTCTCCGAGAAGATGCTCTCACAACAGCCATCAATCTTTGCAGTGTTACAATGCTGCAACCGAGAGGATCCACCAATATGATCATGATCAACTCGCACCATACCCTCAAGCTGATCGAAAAGTGTATTGCAATGAAGGAAGATCGACTACTTCGATGCGGCAATAACGAGCCATGGGGATATTCTATTATGTGTGCAGCACTGGGGTTGCTCGAGGCCCACCTGGGAACCAAGGAGCCCGAAGTTGCCAAGTCGACATCAGCCGAACGCTTTGTCAACTTACACTACCGTCTTCTTGCCAACCAAGAGCCTCCAGTGTCTGGGGAACTGGCAGCCGTCATGAACGGCGTGCCAATGGGTAACATGGGACCTGGGAACATCCCGCTGCATGATCGGCCAAAGGTAATGAGGCTTGACTTCCACGGCATGGCGTTTCCTAATATTGGTATCCAGTCGGTGACCCCTTACTCGTTTACGCCTACAATGCACACTGCTCAGCTCGACCCGAACCAGGCCCCGTGGATGCTGGGTGGAGATCCCACACAGCCGTTCAACTTGGATCCGAGTCTGGAGTTGTTGGGTCTGAATCTTAACGAGATCTGGGGCGAGTCCTGGGAGTTGGGTTGAACGAAAGCTCTATGTTGGCTAATACATAATGATAATCACTGGCGTGGACTTTGTGCTTCACGACGGAATGGAGAAAAACATTGGGCTAGGCGTTATCCGATTCTACAATTGTCTTATTCTAATGATACCAAGTCCGCCATATTACGGCAACACGAACACTAATGAACAGGTCTTGGCGTCAAGTTGCCATTGACTTTACTCTGGTGTGTTCTAAAAGCAAACCCCCCTCTTATAACTATCTTGTGGGTCTAAATATTGAACTCTACAACTGACGAACCTATTTTCAAAGTATTGTGCTAACGAAGTTGAAATCCTAACTATGGCAGTGATGTTTGATTGTTGTGCAGGTTAGCAGGCGAGATGTTTGCTGAGCCTCCGCAGATCTCGCGGGTTTCAATATTCATCGACTTTCCTTGTTGCTATCGGACTTTAATGATATTTATAAACAATCCGTTTTAACTATGGGTGTTCGCGCCCATTGGCTGTGGTAGCGGTTGACGTCTCAGGGACTGGTAAAGTTGAACGTCAGTGCAGTTTGTGTGTGAGAAGGTGTCAGTGGAGTCTTGACTTGGAGGTTATGCAACATCAATGAATACATGAACTGTGAAAGTGAACATTTGTTATTTCTGAATGGTGCCTAGACGATCTAACAGCGGCTCGTGTCAATGAAAGGATTAACCACTGATACTATGAGCGTGATCCTTTCTTTAACTCAGTGCAAAGTCCCCCACCGTGTGTCGACCGACTTGTCCCTTCATGTATCAACATTACCCAGATCTTTAGTGCACTAGTTAGCCCATAAAAACGTCAAAAACCCAACCCTCCTCGAGTTGAGGAGGGTTCGATCTCGCGGTGTCCGCACAAGTCACTATAACAATCAAGCCACTTCAAGTTGGACATTTTAGCCCGAGAGGAGTGCGATAGAAAATATGGGTATTGATTAGAACCTATGTAGTGATGATCACGGATACTTCCCATTCACAGGTCATTTATTCAACTTTTGCTCTGATTCAACAGTACGAGTTGCATATTCACACTTCACATTGCTCATATCAGTTCATCAACTCCGATTTTTGTATCGAGAACTGACTTGTCAGACAAGTCAGACTATATAAATATTCAACATCCCCTAGATAGTCAAGTCTGGATCCCAGACTTGACAGGTTGGAAAGCGAATGTGCTATCCTGCCTTTGAAGTGAAAAGCGGCAGAGCGTGCCACGTCTTTGAGATATCCTCCAAGATTTTCAACTCAGCTTCATCCAAGTCTTCCAGTATACTAGGCTCTAAGTGCAGCAGCAGAACTCGGCACACTTCTTGGAGTACTTGGCTTCAATGTCGAGTTCGATGAACTTGACCTTGTCACGGCCAGAGAAGCCAAGTCCGCGGCTCTCGTGCTTCTTGTCGTCGTCGTAGTCTCCCTTGCCGCCCTTTTTGGGCTTGTAGTCGTCCTCATCGTCACCCTTGTAGCCCTTGTTGGAACCATACTTCTCGTCCTCATCACCCTTACCACCCTTCTTCCCATCGTAACCTCCCCACTTGGGCTTGGGCTCACGACACTGACCAGCGTCGATTCCAACCCAGACGTTGTCCTTGAACTTAGGGTAACCGGGGACCTTCTCAACAGGGACGTGGCACTCGTTCTTCTTGCAGTACTTGTTGAAGTTGAGGTACTTCTTGTTCTCGATGCCCTCTTTCTTGTAGGTGTAGAGGCCGAGGAAGGCAATCTTGTCGGAGTATTTGTCCCAGTCCTCGTAGACGACGTTGAGGCACTGCTCCTTGCTGTATCCGCCACAGGAGCCGATCTTGGCAGCAACCCTGTAGTGGTCACCCTCAGAGCACTTCAGATTCTGGCTGGCGTATCCTGAGTATGTGGCCTTGGAGTAGTCGTAGGCGTACTTCTGGCACTTCTTCTTGTCCTCGGGGCAAGTTCGCTTGTATCCCTTGCCATAGCTACCCTTGGGCTCAGGCCAGCTCTTGGAGCTGTAGGGGCACGAGTCACAACGTTCAATGTCCCATTCGAACTTCTTGCCCTTATCACCATGGCCTTTGCCGCCATATCCCTTGGAGGTATAGTCATCGTCACCGTCATGTTTCTCGCCTCCCTTCTTGGGAAGATAGTCATTGCCGTTCTTCTCCGGGGAGTTGTTGTAGTCCTTGTCAGCGATGCCGGCAGGGGATGCGATGGCACCGGTGGCAATGAAGGCCAGGACAGCGGTAACTTGATGGAGCTTCATGGTTGAAGTTGAAGATGAGATGAGTTCTGGAAACGAGAGTATTGTAGAACGAGTGAGGAAGTGCTGGGAAGCTTGTGTGATGAGTGAATATTCGGAGAAACTAAGGAGGAAGAGGGTGGTTTTATAGACAATATCTCTTCCAGAAGAGAACCGAGATACCTCACGTCGAGCGTCCCGATTCTTGATGTTCACGGTTGCCTCTTCCGAATATGTTGTGAGCAAGCATCATCGATCGTGTTTCGGGAACGATAACATGGCCATATTCGTCCGAGAGTCAAGTCTCGTCATGGCCATACGTGGCTATACGTGGCAAGATTACACTTCTGTGCGATCTGATATATTCCGGTGGCTGTCTTGGCCTAGTTGAAGCGGCTGAAGTTCAGATTATACGAACTGTTTGATATAGACTGTCACGTATATTGGGGGGTTGCAGTATAGCCCAACGCTCTTAGAAAGCTATTCAACACGAGCTCATGCCCGTGATTCGTTTTCGTTGAAGCTAGAGAACAGCTGCATACAACTTGAAGATATTTCCAACGCAGTAGCTGACATAGCATCATAGATTCTCAAGTAACTCAAGGCCTCAGCCTTGACCAGTTCACCCCGTTGTTTTATTCTTGTATCAAGCCACATGAGCTCGTATATGCAAAGGCTACGAAGTTGTAGGCCTTTCAGGAGGCAATGCCTTCAGTCCGTGGCGGCCAGCCTGGCCAAAGATGTAAAGACTGTATACATTATTCGGATAAATCGAGCAAGTGTTGTCCGTAGAGAACTCGGACTATCGGGCGCAGTGTCACCAGCCGCTTCTCGGTGTTCTGCTGAGTGGCGTAGACCTGCTGTAGTTCAATTGGATATCGTGATGTTCTGGGATATGATTTACGCATTGAGCTATTGAGTGATATCCTCAGTGTTCTATTCTTGGGAAGTCAGACGTGTTTAGCAAGCATCCAATGAGACAAAGTTATTGGTAAGTACTGGCCATTATTGATCGATATATAGATCTTGGAGAGGTCGTTGTCCAACATGAGTATCAGGGACGAGTTCTGATAGGTCAATAGCATAGTAGTGTCATTGAATGACGGTGGGTGTAACAATCTCATCAAAATATCTTGAGTTAAAGAGGTGCTGCTGGAGGGTGTTGATCCAATGGTGGTACAGAACAGTCATGGTCGTTTATTGGTTGGTCCGGAAACTCGCCTTTCTTCTTACGTACTCTTTAACATTTTCATTTTGTGTAAATTCATCTGGTCTGTTTCTTCTGTTACCGTGGCTGACTGAGATGACTTCAAGATGGACAAGGCGAACTACAGGGTGGCAAGAACCGAACTTCGGTACCGGGCTTAAAGGCTCGGCTCTTACGACAGCGGTGAAGATAACTACGGCCATTTGAACACACCGTCCCCCACACTTTATTCTGTCACCTCAAATTCTACATTCGGGCATAAGAAAATCGGGGATAAAGATCGGTCCCAAGCTGCTCACTTATATCCTCCTTCATTCAATCCCGAACATCTTGTCTACAACACACCATAGCGGTCATACCAGATACCATGTCTCCGGCTGTATCTTCTACAGGGAGCCCTCCACCACCCAAACGCCGCAGAAGACGACCCGCTCGGTCCTGCGAGCAATGTCGCCGCCGCAAGATCAAATGCAACCTGGCTCAACCATGCAACGGCTGTGTTCGGGCCCGGGCACCAATGCAGTGCTCCTATCGCGATGGAAGCCCAGTTGAAGCAGCCCCGGAGGCTTCTGAAGACCGCAGCTTAATGCCGTCCGAGACAAGGACCGAGAGAGACGAGGTTGTTCCAGCACCGCAAAGAAATACCGAAGTGCAGAGTAACACCGTGCGCTATCACCGAGATCAAGTATCTCGACCCCCGAGACCCCAAGTCATTGATACTCCGGTGCCAAACAGGGCGAATCGTCTTGCTGAACCTGTTGCATCGGTCCAGCCCTCGGTGTCAACCCCATCATCAACTTCAATACCCCCTTTCACACCCAGACTTCGTCACGTACCGGAAAAGACCAAACTATTTGGTCAGACACACTGGCTTCACACTGCAGAAAAAGTAAGCTTTTAACACCAACTATAACCTTGTCCTAATGTCTTTATAGTTCCCTGTCTCTGGAAACTTTCACCCTGTCGAGATCGAGCCGTCATGGGAGGACGCCAAGTCTGACTTCTATGATGTTTTGAAAGAGGCTCGAAGTTTACGATTCGGCCTCAAAAAGCAACTTTCATCTACACTCGACCAGCCTATCCAAAACTTGCGAGACACCCTCCCAACCAAAGCAGTTTGTGACGAACTCGTCGCTTGCTACCTCCGTACACTCGAGCCTTTGTATCGCATCATTCATGTCCCTTCTTTCCGGAGAGAATATGATCGAATCTGGGAAGGTGAACAGACAGCGACTGTGCCGACTGTTTTTCTTGTAAAGCTGACTTTGATTCTGGCTATTGGGACCACGTTTGCGAACTTTGATAGTGAAGCTGAAATACACCACTTATGGCGACTCGCGCAGATGTGGATACAGAACGCACAATGGTGGCTCACGGGGCCAAGTGAAAAGACGACATACAATCTTGACGGTCTGCAGGTGTTTTGCTTGCTGATAATTGCTCGCCAAGCGACCTTCAACTGCCGTGGAGCAACATCATGGCTCTCCTCAGGCTCACTCTTGCGAGCTGCCATTACCATGGGCCTTCACCGCGACCCCAAGTTGTTCCCGGGTTTATCACTCTTCCAAAAAGAGTTTCGTCTTCGACTTTGGGCTACTGTATTAGAGTTGGCTGTGCAGTCATGTCTGGATCTTGGCCTACCGCTTCACCTTTCTGAGGGAGACTACGATGCTTCTACTCCGTCTAACTTTGATGACTCTGGTCTTGAGTCTGCATCCCCACAGACACCAAAGCCCATGGACACGTTTACAGATTCATACCTGCAGATAATGCTGGCGAGATCTCTCCCCTTGAGGGTTGAAGCGATAAGGCTGCTAAATGACTTTCGACACGAGAAAACATATGAAAAAGCCTTGTCTATAGGATCACAATTGCGCACGGCGTGCCGAGATGTAGCTGCTTTTTTCCACGCAGTTAAGGGGAACGAAAATACCCCCAGGCAGGGCTCGAGTCTTGAGGCGAATGAATTTCATCGCAAGATGATTGATATACACCTGCGCCGCTTTATCATGTTCCTCCACCGCGACTTCATGCTCCAGGCTAGAACTGATCCCAGATTCTACCTCTCTCGAAAGCTGTGCGTAGAGGCTTCTTTGGTAATCGCATCTGGCTGCAAAGGCACTGACCTGAACATACCTCTCCAGCTGTGGGATGACATTTCCCGTCTATCCTTCGTAGGACGAGGTATCTTCAAGTGCGCATTGAGCTTTGATGCAATGCTCATCTTGGCCCTCGATGTCATCAGCGACCTCCAGGATGAGTCAGACCCAAGCCATGAATCTGAAATCCTCAGTGACTTGGCCAGAGCCACTCGTGCTCCTCTAATCCAGATCCTCGAAGAAATATACGTGCAGCTTCGTTGTCTCATTGTACGAGGCAATATGAGCCTCAAGAGACTTCTATTCTCAAATGCTCACTTGGCCCATATTCGAGCACTAGAAGCGGGTCGACCAGTAAAGGCAGCTGTACACGAAACTATCACATCGACGTTACGTGATTGCGTTGAGATGCTGCGTGAAGTGCAAGCCGCCACAACACCGCATGAGTCGACAGTAACTTCGGAGAGTATGAGTACCGACTTTCTCGGTACAGATTTGTTTTCAAATGTGAGTAGTCATGTCATGCAAGAAGGACTTTCTAACAGTGTGCATCAGAACAACCTCATGGAGTGGGATATATCGGACCTTCTAGGGTTTCCTGCTGCAGGTCGAGATGGCCAGTCTCAATGGCCGGTTATCAACTGATGAGTTGACACTGCAGGCGTGTCATAAAGCCTCAAGCTTAGGAGGGTTATCTACTCAACGCGAAAGTGTACATGAAATTATAAGTTTAAATACGAAGGCTAATACTCCTAGACCAATACTTAGCAATTATAATCATATATATCTAACAGAACAGAATTTATTTACACATTTTAATCCCTAATCAAATCCATTATGTTTAATATCTCACGCCCGGCCCTGATCACAAATCAATCACAATAATTAAAATAGAATAGCAATGGCAAGATATTTGTATCATTAATCGTCGTAATATGCATCATAAGTACCTTGCATTGCTTGCGTGCTGACCCATTCCTGGCTTGCCAAGCCTCTCATGAACCTCGTCTCCAGTTCCTGCGGATCCTTATGCCAGTCGCAGGCAAAGTCACAGTTGGGCGTACTTGTTTCGCCAAAATATTTACAAATCGTGGCGTGACGGCATTTGTCAGTGTCCTCGCAGTACTGAGCCAGAGCCTGGAGACTTTTGAGCCTTGCTATCTGGTTGGTTTCCTCTTTTGAATCAGATCTTATCATCCGCATGACCCGCTCCAGGTCTTCCCGGCTGTAGTACAAGAAACAGTAACTCGCATTGCCGTCTCGGCCTGCTCGGCCTGCTTCTTGGTAGTAGCCTTCGAAAGACTTGGGGATGCGCCAGTGAACCACAAAGCGTACGTTGTTCTTGTCAATACCCATACCGAAAGCGGTTGTGGCAACGATAATATCGTAACCAGGAACGTTGTTAATCCATTTGGAAAGGGTCTCTTCTTTGACTTCCTTGGTAAGCTTGGCGTGAAAAGGTCTGGCTCCAATACCCTCGTCGCGAAGGGCGGCTGAAAGGGATTCGCATTCGTCTCTGGATATGGTGTAGATGATACCGGGAACACTTTCGACTCTTTCGTTCACTTGCTCGAGCTCTGCCCTTCTTCCGTCGGCCTTGCGGCGATCGTATACACCTTTGATCCACCGCAGAAAGTCACTTAGACGATCTCCTTCGTCTTTGGTGTATCGAATCTCGAGATGTAGATTTTGCCGTTGGGGGTTCATCAAAAACTCCTTCGTTTTTTCAGGAGTCCTGTCGAGTTTGAGAATAGAGAGCACGTCCTGACGAACCTGAGGGTTCGCAGTTGCAGTAAGACACATGATTGGCACATCTGGAAAAGTGTCTCGAAACCATGACAGTCGTTTAAAGTCTTTCCGAAAGTCATGGCCCCATTCTGATATGCAGTGCGCCTCATCGATAGCAATGCGAGCAAGCTCCTTTTGCTTGTAAACTAGTTGCAGGCGTTCACGGAATCTTGGGCTGGAACATAGTTCCGGTGTGACGTAAAGTAAGCGAGTCCTTGGATGGCCACTCTCAAGGTCACGCTCGATACGCTGCTTGTCGGGATAGGGCGTGATGCTATTGTAGGCATTGGCATCGATGCCAGAAGCTTTGAGTGCTTCGACTTGATTTATCTGGTGGGGGTTAGAGATTGAGAACAATCACGGGCCTGGCTTTCTCACCATCAAACTTAGGAGGGGAGACACAACGATGGTAACTAGGCTGGTGATTAGTCGAAAGTATATGCAGTATAACTAACATGCGACTTACTGCCTTGATCGATGACTGCTGGCAGTTGAAAACAAAGACTTTTGCCAAAGGATGTGGCTGCTTGGACGTATACATCATAGCCATCAAGGGCAGCTTCGATAATTTCACGCTGGTGAGGTCTGAAGATGAGGCATGTTAGATGGACGCAAGTAAAAGCATACAATAGTCACTATTATACCTGAAATCTTCCTTGTGAAACTGTCGTCGAAGTGTAAAGCCTATATCGGTGCATGAATTTGTTCTTTTCAGTGGAGGCATTGCGCCTGCATGAACTGGTTGGTTGAAGGCCGTGAACCGTTGTTGGCGATATCGATGTTACTATGCAGGTACGTAACTTATTATGCAGCAAGCGCATCAACTCATGATGGGTCAAAATAAGAGCGGACCTTTCTCCAGGCACTTTTAGACTTTAGTGACAATGATTGACGCTGATTTTTTCTGTTGTGGTTCTAGGTCAGTGATGCAATGCAAGCTCACTGACTTACAGTATAGAGTTGCAGTCGGGGGATTTGTTATGATGATCCGTTTCAAACTTTGGGCACGGTATCCGAAGTCGGGTCTAAATGGAAGCTCGCCGGATCAACGGGCACTGCAACTGTGGTATTAGTAAATAGATTGACCTATCACTTGTTTCGACGATACCCCAGTAAATGCAATGAACAGAGTTTAGAGTCACGTGGCGTTCTAATTGTGTACATGAGTAAAGTGAATCAATATCAGTTCGATGTTGATTTATTACTCAACAATGAACAGCAAATCAGATACTAACGTCATAATGTGTCGTATCTTACTCCGTACAAACTCAATTGCTATACCTATTTTCTGCGGCACAAACGCTCAGAACGAGATGGTGTGATATGGAAATAACAACTTTCTGCTCTTGACTGGCTTTCTCAAGTCAGCGTCAGCATTATCCTTACGGTGCGGTACCTTGCATTACTCGCCGCAGGCTAGGACAGGGGGTTCACACCCCGAGACAAGACAGCCAGACATGCTCCTAGCCGGCCCTCCTAACGGAAAGCCATCCCTGATAGCTGCCCGCCCAACGATTGTGTTGACGAAGGCTTTGCCGTTTCATAGGCCATGGTAGCCCCTCGTTAAACCACTTGAGACCGTGTTGATTCTGGCAGCTTTCGCCTCGCCTCGTGTTGAAGCTAGGACTCGGTGCTGCATGTGTCGGTTGGCTAAGCATGTCACTTAGTGCGTCTCTCCTATGCAGCCGACCTGAAGCTATCAACAGAGCCAGGAGTTATCTCTAATCTGTCCCTCTCTGGGAGCATGGGTTCAAATTCATCTAGAGTTTTTGATTCTCACACCGAGGTTGCAAGCCTCCATGCTACCTGGACTCATACTGTGCACTGATGGCTTGTGCACCGGCCACTCAGAGGTTCAACAGGCATGCGGAAACGTGCCTTTTAGCGAACAGACGCTGCAGAAAAAGGTTTATGGGGTGAGGTCCTAGCGGAGTCTACAGCGCGTTGAGCCTTCAGACCGGCTGCCCCGCACTGTGTTTCACTCTACGGCCCACCCAACCATCGCTGTTGGCGCTGAGGCCACAGTCTCTAACTAGATGCGCGAGGTGCTGACCAAAACACTTTCATGGATTCTTACCCCTATCTGATACGCTATCCCCTATCTAAGCATGAGACCAGGGACTGTCAGGGGTGATTGGAAGATGTTGGTAAAGAAAATAGAAAGATGATTAATAAGTTAAAGTGCAACTCAAGATATGATCAAGTTAGTTAGCCAGACCTGGAGCAGATATTCCTTGTTTCTGTGCCTTATTTTAGCCCACCCAGGTAATTCCACCGGTGCGCTGCGTAAGGTGCAGCGCAGTGCAGAACGGCGGCCAACTCCATTGGCTGTAGCATGTTCCTGAACATCGCCTGTTGATCGAGCTCTTACACTTTCCATCTTTGTTTGACTTGACTCTGTTTTGAGTTTTTGATATTCAGAGCCAGTCCACCTCCAGCAGACAAGGTCTAGGGGAGAATTAACGGGGGTAATCCCAGTTATTTTTCACCACCCTTACCATCCAGACCATACTAGAGGTAACCTACCTCCCAGTACCTTACCTTCACCTTTCCAAAGACGGAATCTCAGCCCGACCTCATCGCCTCCCGAGTCTGTATCAGCTCATAGCGGCACTTCTGACAACATTTCTCCTTCTTTGATCCTTCTTTTCGACTTCTGTCTTTGGTTATTCTCATCCAACCAAACATCCATCGGCCGCCTCAAGCCTAGCGACAACACAACAGTACCCTCGATCCTAATTCCAACTCGCACCCGATACAAAACAGGCCGAAACCTGAACAACGCGCTGCCTCCTGGCCTTGATCGAACTTATAATCATGACCTTATCGAACTCGTCGCCGACACAGCCTTGATTGGCATCAACACCAGAAACATCGATTGCAGGCTCGGCTCAGGCTGAGACAAACGAGCCTCGGTTTGCGCCTGCGCTTGGGTCGAAAAGACAACCGCAGACACAGCAACAGAGGGGCTTCTGAAACGTTCTATCCTTCAAGAATCGACACATCGTCATCCAGAATTCCAACGACCTCCCCCTCGATCGGTTTCTCCACCGGCGCGCCCTCCCCACGTTTCCTACTTGAGCCGCGCATTCCTTATACCTAACCGTTCGCAATGGAGCGGCCAGACCGACACGCCGGCTCGTCAGTCGGTTCTACATCACAGGCTTCAATTCCAAGAAGCTTGCCCGAGAACCACACATCTGGACGACGTCCAGTGCCAAACTCAGCTGCCACCTCCAACGGCCCGCCACCACCACCTCCTATTCCCAGCCTGCGCAGTGTTCCCTCCAGTTCATCTCTTTTTGCCGCTGGTATGTCGGCAGCTCAGGTCATTAGTCTCGCGCGCGAGGCGATGCAAAATGCAATCGAAACAGAGAGCCAAGCTGCCGATCCAGGTGCTGTTGGCACAGGACTCAGAACCGGAGTTACCATTGACCTAAGCCGCAAAGGCATCCAGAAACTACCAGACGAGGTCGTCGACATTGTTAAGGGTGAATTGGAACGATCTGCTTCCTCAGGTGCATCCACAGCATCACGGCCTGATGCCGATACTTATACAGTCTCCAGACTGGCATTGTCTCACAACCAACTGACGACACTCCCGGCTCGCTTCTCAGAATGTACATCATTGCGATATCTTAACATCCGAGGCAACCAGATCAAAGAATTTCCTATGCCTGTATATCTCCCTTCCCTGGTTGCCCTTGACAAATTTCTAACAATGTTGCTAGTTGTGTGACTTGAAATCTTTGGAAATCCTTGACCTCGGCCGAAACCAACTTCGAATTCTCCCTGCAGATATTGCGAGACTCTCATCACTGAAAGTGCTATCAATTCCCAAGAACCAAATACGGGAGCTCCCCCTTTGCATTGCCGACATGGGGTCGCTCCAAGTGATCAAGTTTGAGGGTAACCCTATTAACTTTCCACCTCGAGACGCGATACAAGTGCAAGCCGCGAGCCCCCCACATGAGGGCGTTCAAAAAGATAACGAAGTGACGGAGGTGGCGGTGACGTTACAGATCAAACGTTATCTTAAGCAACATATGAACGGCCGGTCAGAGTCCGACAACACAGGAGATGAATCGAGTGAAGGTGCAGAAACCCCACGATATCCCCTGAAGAGAGTTGCAAGCGGACGGTTCCCTGTCAAAGTAAGTGGTGCCGACTTGCCTGATATCCGATCTCCCAACCTTGGGTCACGCGCGCCCCCAATACCATCACGGTCACATTACCGTGGGCTTTCCCAGCAAAACAGCGCCTTTCGACGACCTGGAGTCATGCCTTTGACAATCGGAAATGTCAATGAGCGTGTACGAAGTAATTCCGAAAGCTTACTTAGAGCGGAGCGGTCAGAAAGTCGTAGTAGACGCATGGGAATTGTCTCTAGAAAGCCCTCCGACCTCGGTACGCTAGATGAGATGCAAGTCAACAACCGATTTAGCCACTATCGTGGTTTGAGCCACGGCTCTGCCATGCAAGGAAACCAGGCAACAACCAAGAGCCCTGCAACACCAACAGAGCCATACCTCGCACGGCCGATTTACGTGAGACGTCTTTCAGTTCTCCCCGAACGAAGGCGAGAATCGAAAGTGTACGACCCAGTTATTGAAGGCGCTAAAGGGATCCTATACTCTGTCTTTCAGATTCATCCAATGATCCAGATGTTGATGAGCTTGACCAGCGACGGATCCGCCAAACGATCCAGTCTCGAGATCGTATTTTACAATACCAACTCTCATGTTGAGGAATTGGAACAGGAGATTCAGAAGCACGAGAACGCCTTTGCTGAGATTGACGATCATTCCCAGCGAGAAAACGAGAACGTGCAGCGGGCTTGCCAGACTCTGGTCAGCGCATACGGTCACGTATGTACCCTACTGGCGGACAATATTGATACGTTTGTCAACAATGGAGATGCTCGATACATTCGGACGCTCCTGATGTCGCTCTACAATAGTATAATGGAACTTCGCGTGACACTGTCATCTGTCAGCGCTGAGGACGGCCGGCGACAAGCAGCTTCCAAGGGTGATCAAACGGGCCAGCGCACTATCAAAGCACACGCACGAGAGCCGTCCGTCACTCCGACTGTTGGTAGGCCAACTGGAGCTCGCAATCGCAATGGCACGCTGGTCAACCCTCCAGTCAATCTGCGTGTCAGTACCGATGTTCCAGTACATACGCCTCTTTCCGCAACATATCTCAACGGCAACGGGCGCACTGCCACCCTCTCCTCGGCCACCCCTCGCTCAGGGGAGTCTTTCTCGTCCATTGGTAGTCGTGGGATGCCTTCCGAGTTCACGGAAGAGGACCGACAGTTCGAAAGAATCTTCCTCTCTCTGCAAAGATCAACCGATCTCGTCATGGGAACACTGCCAAGTTTCCAGGCACAACTGGCGGGTGGTTTACGAAATGCTATGTACCAACGGACTCCAGAAAGTGTAATTCAGCATTGGAAAGCGTTGATTTCCATGTGTGGTCAGGTCATTCAGCAGACTGAGATCCTCAAGCACAGATTATCCCTTATCAAGCTCAAGGAGCCAGGAGTTCGAAGCCAGGCCAGTTTCTGGAGTCTTTGCAGTAACTTCAGTCACTCCTGGGCGGATATGGTCTCCCAGATCAAGTACGGACCTAATAGTGTACCGCTTCCACCTGATACCAGGGCACGCCTGCGACCTATTCAACAGAGTATCAAAGAGACAAGCAACATTATCTTCAAGTCGCCTTGGCACTATCTCTTCCACCAGTCTGGCTCTATGAATGGGCAGTCCCCATACCCTCGTGGTATGTCACCAACTCAAGTCCCAATCACGCCGCAAAGCGCCGCCTTGGGCCCTGCAATGCAGGCGACAGTTCCCTTGACACCGCAGAATAGTGCTTTCGCGGCAGCATTTCATGGTAACGTCTTTGACCGGGCCGATGCCCTCATGGCTAACCCAGGCATTTCCATGGGACGCAATGGAGCGTTTGGCAAGGGCCATATGGGATTCAGCTCACTGTCTTCCCTGTCTTCCATGTCCTCAGACGAGGGGATACTTCCCACTCACGGGCCACTCGGGCCAGTGCCCCTTCGCCTTAACGGGAGCAAGGTTGCATTTTAGATCATAGAGCCGGGCCTCTATTTGGATCTCAAAATTGATACTAGGTGCCTAGTGCACATACGGTTGTCCTTTGCATAAGCGGAGAGGAGGAATTTTTGGGTTTTTCTTTTCTTATCGAGGCTTCTTTTTTTTTTTTGAACCGGCGTATGAAGGATTGATCATGCGTCCGGCAGCCATTCCTTTACCGCATAGCCTTGGCGTTGGGGTTGTAGCTGCTTTTATATGCCAAAATCCAGGGATCCTGGAAGTTATCTGCATTTAATCTTTTCGAGTTGGGAGGATGCACCGGTTGCGCATGGGTATAATGTTAAGAAATGTCCTCTTGGTGGAGCAAAATTTGGTAGGAAACGCCCGGTGATGGTTAACAAAAGGCCTCTGCCAATATAGATACAAGGAATCAAGGGATTACCATGGGCTGGAGGGTATGGTTCAAGACAGAGTGATGCTTCACTGTACACTAGCATATAACGAATCTAATGCTCCTGACACTAACTATCCTTACGTATGTGAACTTACTCTAAATCACGTTAAAGGTTGCTCTTTTATTATTGTATGTCTACGTTGGTAGCACCACACCATGATAGTCAGATCCCATGATCTTGGACACCAGCCGCATGATAGACCCAAGTGTAACTCAACCCCACCAACATGCAGTGTAAGGTATCAGCAGCATGAAACGACCAAGCTACATCTCTTCTTATCATCTATAAAGCCAATTACCACAAACTGGTCAAGTTCATCATGTCAACTACAGCGCCTACCTCTACTTCCACAGCCCCCGCTACAGGCTCCTCGTCATCCTCGCCATCTTCGCTCTCCCCTCGGCCGCCGACGTCTCCTCCTCCCACTATCACATCGCCCTCCGTCGCCCACGCTCACGCCCACGCGCAAATCCCCTCCGCATCGCAGCAAACCTCTCCGCCCCCGCCGCAGCTTCAGCCCACCCTCCCGACAGAAGAGTCGCAGCGCCATGTCGCCGAAGCACGCCGCGCCGTCGTCGCAACGCTGGAGAACATGATGGACTCAGAGCTGCAGTGGCGCGCGTCGACGCTGCACTCCAACGCTGCGGTGTTGAGCAAGCAGGCCCAGGACGTGCAGCGTGCGACGGACGGGCTGCGTCGCGAGAACGTCAAGCTAGCGCGCGAGGCGGATGCTGCGGGGCGCAGGCTCAAGGAGCTCGGTAATGTGCAGAACTGGGCTGAGGTACTGGAGCGCGACTTTCTCGTTCTTGAGGAGACTGTCAGGTTGGCGAATAGCGATCGGAGCTGTAGCTGCAGCGAGTGTGGCAGCTACAGTGGGAGCGAAAGTGAAGGCGAAGAGGGTGAGCGGGGGATGGATCTGGATAAAGATGAGAGAGGCAAGGGCGTTGAAGGCCGTAAGACGTTGGATGTCGAGATGGAGATTGATGCAGAGAATCATGCGCCAGGCACATTCTCGGATGCCAGTCGAAGCTTGACTGAAGCAGAGTCAAGTGTAGGCAGAGGGGCCAAGGGATCAGATACAGCGTCCATGTCTACAATGTCACGATGAGAAGCCATGCTGTTGAATGAATCATGCGCCATGACAATATCAAGTATATTATAAGGATTTACGAATTGGAAGAGATTGAAAGTATATGAGCGCTCTCTAGTTAGTGTGATAGCAGAATAGTTTTGATTTATGCACCGTATCTACACCCATCCTTCCACCTTTTTATTGTCTCTAGATTAATAACCATTGTCTTTAACTAGTTTGACTGTCTACATCCATCTCGTCTGCGATTGCCGCTCTTAGACATGATCTTGTCTACAGGAGACCAGGGAAGATGATATATCGCTTCTTCTTGTATCTGTCACCAAACTCCTTGCGATAAGCACGCTCCTTACCCTTAGCCCAAGCAATCATCTGAGCAGCACCAATGGAGATGAAGACAGCAACAGTCCAGTCACGGCTGACAAGGATAATTCCAATCCATGCGAGGATCTCGTACAGGTAGTTGGGGCAAGTGACAATGTCGAAGCCGTAACCAACGGGGATCTTGCGTTCGGTTCCGCCAGCAGATCGAAGGGTCGAGAGATATTTGTGAACAAGGGCGTTCATGAACTCGCCAAAGCAGTACAGGGCAACTCCAACGGCGTCAATGGCGGGGATATCGGCCTTGGCAGCGAGCGAGTTGGGGGAGTAGATGGAGTAGGCGCAGACGACACCCGACACGGCCCAGTAGAAGAAACTGTTCTTGAAGATGTTCTTCCAGGGCATTGTGTTGGCTGAGAACTTGTGGACAAAGAGTGTCTCATACTCGCGCTTGAAGAAGTGCAGCATGATCATGCCAAAGGCAATCCACTGAGTCTGGGACATGTCTCCATCTCCATTGCGGTATAGATAGGGGCGGGCAGCGACGGCGAGGGCGTGAAAGATGATGGGACCGATGTACTCGACGACGAAGACGGTTCTCCAAGGGATCTGGTAGCCTATTTCATATATTAGAGCGTGTCCGAATAGCATTGTAAGACGTCGGTTTTGACATACCCATATCCTTGACGAGAACCTCGCCAGTGGAGACTACGGAGGGCTCATCGACGAGACGAGCCTTGCGATTCTTGAAGGTCTTCTTGGTGGTAGGATCGTAGATACCAATGCGGTTGAAGTCACCAAGCTTGGCCTCCTTTGCGATCAGGGCCTTGAGACCCTCGACGGTGGTGTCAGGGCCAACCTCGATCGACTCTGGGAGGTTCTTGATGGGTTGCCTCGGAGCTTAAGGGGATTAAGGGTTAATTTCGAGGTATAGCAGATGGATGAGTTAGGGGATGTTGCATACAGCGATTGGTAAGGGTGAGAGTCCTAAGAGAAGCCATCTTTAGTGGTGTTGCTCTCAAATTGAGCAATTCGGCCGAAAAAGGAGGGGATAGACCAAGATACGGTATCTGCTGCAACGAAGCGAAGGTTGAAGACCAGAAATATCAAGACAACGGAATTAGCGGGAGAGAGTACCACTAAGATATTTAGGTACGTACCTACGGACCTCGGTGCGTGCAAATTCTGGTGGGGTTCCTTCCCGTTGATACCCCTGGCCATCATGGGCCATGACACCTAAACGAAACTTTGTTGGGAGGAGCACGATTGGCTGTGTGAGCCTGTCACTTATAAACCTCCATTATATGCCTGTCAGCATGTGATAATTAAACATCAACTAACGAATAGTGGTGTAGATGAAGCTGACATGATATTTTGATATTCGGACTTGATTGCGTAATGGTTTTCATCTATAAGCATACGTTCAGAGATGCTTATCACGGTTGAGAGCCTCTTCCAGCCAGTACACCAAGTCTAAGTAAACAATGATGAGCATGTGACTCTTTATCGTTTATACAAATTATACAATACTCATAGATGTCAGCAGTCTCATGTAGTTTGATGTCGGGTGAGAAATGAGTTTCAATGGTATGATCTGTTATCATGCATGCACCCTTAGCAACGTATTGTTGACATAAGTTATATCTCACCTGAAGTCTATGTAATCTCATAAAATATAAATGGCATTGTAGAGACTCAGATGCTTCTTAGTTCCTATTGTCAATATGATCTAAGTGAAGCCTTTATTCTCGCACAACTCAATCATCATGTTAATTATAAGAAACCATCTCAAGCATATTGTCTTGACTACCAGTGAATCACTTCACTCATACCCACTGACATTATCAATCAATCAAACTGAGTAGTCTAAATATGACACCAAAACAAAGAAACACTGCTGCCTCGACTGAACAATAGTGCCAACTGCCAATGGCGTCAACCCCATGAACCTCAACCACATCAGGACCTTGATACTCGCTCATCTTCTTCCAAGACCTGAGGATTCCATTTCTTTTTTATATCATCCTTTTCCTTCATCTATCAAATCCCAAGTCTTCTCACTTTAACTTCACGTAAACCGGTTGCTGCAGTTTGCTTGCTAGTATTTGCCTGGCAGCTGATCGCCAGCTGCCGCGCATTCACGTCCAAAATCACCTACGTATCATTTTCGCGCCCCATCCTTTGTTTACTTCTTACTTCACTATCAAGCAACTGATATTCGCTTACCTACGTCGAGGACCTCGACTTACCAAATCTTGATATTGCCTCGTATTTGCTAAAGCCAAGATATTTGGTCGACTCTACTTTTGCTCATTTTACGAAAGTCGGATCTCTTTTATCTGGTGAGTGCAGACCTATATATCAATCAAAGTAATTTCCAACTGACTGGATATCCCTACTTAGATCTAAATCGTATCCTTCATAAGTGGCAATCAAGGGACTCGAAGCGTTCAGATATACACTTGACTGCTCATACATTCTCCAACTTCGTTGTTGATACTGGGCCTAAGAAAGACCTAGACACCTCATCATATGTCCTTCTTCGGCAGCGTTCTTCAAGGTACATCACATATGTATCACCACCATCATGAATCCCTGTGCGCCCACCTTCGTCCCGACCGGTTTTTCAGACGACGAGTTTTCTTCTGAGGAGGAATCTTCCGTATCCTCATCTATGGAAGCAAGGCATTCGGAACAAGATGTGCGGTCTCCCAAGGCACGCTCTCGGAGCGGAACCCTCCCTTCCATCACCTTTGACCCCGACAAATACGATTCCATGTTCCCGACTCTTACAACCGCGAACCCCGTCAATCCTCACATCATTCGCAGTCCGGGACTCGCGAAGAAACGACTTGGAAAGTGCTCACGGGAGCATAGCTCGGAAGCAGGCCATTTCCTACCGCCCAGTGACAAACGTCTTAGCTCAGCTTATCAAACCGATGCTGAGTATGAGGATAAAGATGAAGAGGAAGAGGAAGAGGAAGACAGTGATGAACCTGCTGTGGAGTATCTGAAGCCAACAGTTTACACTCCAAGGAAGTCACTTGAATACCTCAAGCCCACAGTCTTCACTCCTCCAACCTCTTCGCGCAATGCTTCCAAGCGCTCTGAAACCAAAAGGGGTACGCGATCACGTAATGCCATAGCCAAATCAAGGTCTCCCCGGCGTGCATGGAGACCCCCTACTCCTCACCCAGAGGGTAAGCCACGAGGGTCGAGAGGCGGGCGTCGTACACCTACACCGGCCCCTCAAATCGTCCAGCAGACAGGATACTTGGCTCCTGTGGCCCATCCACCCGCCGAATACCATTATTACGATCAAAGAGCTCCATATCCGGTGATGCAGCCTATTGCTCCCTACGCGCCGCTCATGGGACAACCCATGATGTCGTACTCACCTGTACCATGGCAAATGCCCTCGATTCCATGGCAGAATCCTGTGCCTCAGCTGCAGAATGTTGACTCTTCGCGTGAATGCATATGCCCTTTCTGCGATCCTTCTTCGCTTGCATACAACCTCTATTTTTGTGCAAAGATGAACAAACCACCACCGTCTACGCAGCAACCCTACTTTTATACTCACCCACAGCCGCAACCACAGCCGCAACCACAAATACAATATCTGCAGCCTCAGCCCAGATTCGAGTCCCATTCGTCTCCTCAAATAAGCGATTCCCAAAGTGCCTCTCACAGTGAGTCTGTGGCAAGCCGCCATGTGTGTCGGAAGAGCACTTCTGGTTCCGTGGTAGCTGCTAAGGGGTCCGCTTCTGCAATCCCGGCGAAGACCCAAGTTGAGAGGATCAAGGACCAAAACCGAAGCGTACTATCAGGTTCAAATCGATGCAGGTTTCCTGACGTCTAGATGATGTCTGTACCTGCGGGTAAAGATCGTGAACTTCTCGGTGCCGTGTGCGATGATGACGCCAAGAAGGTGAAGCTGGAGAAAACACTTCGCGATGTTGCTGAATATACCAAGAAGACTGGGTTCATCCCAACCCGACAAGCGCAAAGTGCACAGGATTCTCCTAGTGTCGCGCGGAGTGCAAAGATCAACCTCAAACGGGAGGTCCCATCTGAGAACCAGAACAAGGCTGAAGACAAGGATCAGACGCCGGCTAACCCACCTCAAAACGCCCCTAAAGGACCATCCTCCTTGCGACAACTTAAACAGTCATTCAGCGCGACGGTAAAACAGACCCTGAACCTTGTTGGATCCGAATCTGGTGCTTGGTCACAATCCAAAAGATGGACCAGCTTCGCCACCAAAGAACGTCAGGCCTTTCAGAAAATGATGTCCAGCTTGCGTTATATGAGCGCGGATAAATCTCCCTTCGTTCCTCAAAGTCCAGCAGAGCTCACTGCTTTCAAGGCTGCTCTGGCGGAGTCGAAAACGAAGAAGCTTGATCAAGAAGTCCAACAACGTGTAGCAAAGTCTAACGCGAAGACTGCTGATGATGCTGATGAGAACAGGGTTGAAACAGTCATGAAATTCCTTGGTGGTAAGAAGTTTAGAGACCATCTTTCGCCTCTGTTTGCGGCCAGCAATTGTTTCAACGAAGCACTAGTCAAGCCACCGTTTGCTGCTGAGTGGCCGTCCCTTGCCGAGCTCAAAGAAGAGGGGGACAAACGCAGCATTCGACAAGGCCGTTGTTTGCCTCTTCCACGAATGGATATTGTCGCTCTCAGACACTGCGACCAAAACGATGAAGCCTGCAATGCCGATGGGGCGGTTCGATGGGACAAGAAGCTTGTCCAAGTTGGATCTCGCTATATCTACCCTGTCACACAAGAGGAGTCTTCCACAATCCCGGGTGTCGAGCTTCAATCCGACGATGCACCATTCCTTCTCGCAGCATTGCTTAAGAATATTGATGCAGTCGAGGTTGAGGTGAGCGAGACCGATGAGAAGGCAGATGAGAAGGACAAGAAGAAGAAGGAAAAGGCAGAGAGTAAGAAGGATACCGAAAAGAATGCTGAAAAGAAGGAAATCTCAAAGTAAGCATTGGGCAGAAAGTACACAAAGATTACTCACCAGCTTTTCCATTTTATTCTTAGAGATTGGATCTGTCAGCGCCGACGATTTGCTTGGACGCGCTTTGGACAGACTTTGAGATTCCAAACGAACAGGTTTAGAAGAGACTCATCCTTGCTATTATTGTATTTTTATGAGCTTTGAGGTTGGAATTGAGGTGCAGATAGAAAGAAACTTGCATTGCCTATGAGCATGAAGCAATAAACTCTCCGAACTGTGACTTGAGAAATCGCCAGTGAACACAATATTGTCGATAATGTCAACTCCCAAGTTCCATGTGTCATGGTGAAAAGGCTTGGTGTTATGCTATTGGCCATCAACTGAACCAATCAAGCAGGAGGCGGATCACCTTTTTTCGCCCCACACCTAGGGCTTTCAACACGTCGGAGGGGAATATCCACCTTCCGGCTTACCGAGCGATTCACATACTCACAACATTTGGCAAATCCAAAAAACTTGAGACCCTCGTTCCGCCAAAAAGTTCACTCTTACGACCATCTGCCAATTCGATTGCCTGGTGACCGCCAACATCATCAGGTAAGTTACCAGCCGACGAGGACAACGATCAAAGGAAACGGATTCAATACGCTGCACTGCTCGACGATATCCCCATCTCGAATATCCTGCCGATTGAGTTCCTGTCTTTTTCTCTGTTGCTCCCTCTGTTCTCTTACTCCCCGCCGTTTGAGAGAAACATCTGGCTAACCGCTTGGGATCTTCTCCCCCTTCACAGAAACCGCAATCATGGGTATCTCGCGTGACTCTCGACACAAGCGCTCCGCTACTGGTGCCAAGCGTGCCTACTACCGTGCGTAATAATTCCGAAAGCCCGTATGGTTCCTTTTAACGGACATACGTTCTGACCTTTGACAACAGGGAAGAAGCGCGCTTTCGAGGCTGGTCGCCAGGGTGCCAACACCCGTATTGGCCCTAAGCGCATCCACACCGTCCGAACCCGAGGTGGTAACCACAAGTACCGTGCCCTCCGTCTCGAATCCGGTAACTTCGCCTGGGGTTCCGAGGGCCTGACCCGCAAGACCCGTGTCATTGCCGTCGCCTACCATCCCTCCAACAACGAGTTGGTCCGAACCAACACCCTCACCAAGAGCGCCGTCGTCCAGGTCGATGCCGCCCCCTTCCGACAGTGGTACGAGGCCCACTACGGCCAGGCCATTGGCCGAAGACGCCAGAAGGCTCAGGCCGTGAAGGAGGGTAAGACCGAGGAGGAGGTCAAGAAGTCCAACGCTGTCGAGAAGAAGCAGGCCGCCCGTCTGTCTTCCCGCGGCAAGGTCGAGGCCGCCATCGAGAAGCAGTTCGAGGCCGGTCGATTGTACGCCGTTGTTTCCAGCCGACCCGGTCAGTCCGGCCGTGTCGATGGTTACATCCTGGAGGGTGAGGAGCTCGCTTTCTACCAGCGCAAGCTCCACAAGTAGACTGCTCAATAAAAACTTGATGAAGAACGGAGTGTCGGCCCCTGGAATGGTGTTCAAGGATTTCTCGCTGTCTTGACGGTTACAGGACATGATGAGCTTAACATAACGCATCGGAATGGGTCCTTAGGGAATAAAAGATTTTCTTGCGATGAATTTAATTTCATGATCAAGGTCTCTTCAACTGCAAATTGTGACTTGTGAATTGGTACAGTAAAACTGTGATAAATTTGTAACCAGTGTAATTCATCCTAGTAGCTGTCTCGACCCGATTACCATACAAGTCGACTGGACTGCCAAAAACTTCCAGACTCGCAGCACCTCCTTGCACATATTGGCATCGCCGTGCCACGCAGAATAGTTTATCATGAGTATTTAATGCCAGGATCAATGCCTCCATTGTCTTTTCTTCCGATAACCCATCATTACAAATATGCCCAATCCACCATGACCAACGAGCCAGCCAATAACTGGGTGATAGCCAGCTTGTGGTAAGCCAAGGGATCCACGAAAACAATAATACTTTATACACGAAGGATTTGTCCAGGAACAAATAGCCAAACACGGTCGTGGGTTTTGGTTGGAGATGCTCATGCAAATTGGCGCTTAAGCTCACTCCATTTGCGATTCAGGGTCTCGTGCTGAGAGTTGATCTAAAAACCAATACGTTAGTAACTTGTCAAGAGGTTACAGTAGCAGCAACAAACTCACCTCTGCGTATTGTAGCTTTGTCTGAACCAACTCTTCTTCCAGCTCGCCCAACTCCTTCTCAAGTCTCTGGTTTTCCTCGTGAACATGCATATTGCGTTTCATCAGATCATCGCGCTCGAGCTTCCATGTCTCTTCGATCTCCATGGGTTGCTTTTCAATGACAATCTTCAGCTCTCGGACTTGGCCCCTCATGCTGTCGTTCTCATCCTTGAGCTCCTGGTTTTCGACCTTGGTATGTACAAGCTCCGTAGCCAAATCTGCCTGTTCACGGTCGCAAGCTTCCACTCTCTCCTCAAGCTTTCGGACTCTGATGGAGAAATTGTGATTCGCCGCGCGAAGCTCCAAAAGTTCGTTCTCGCGATCCTTTTCGGCCTTGGTCTTCTCCTCCCACTCAGTGCTGTAAGCTTTCAGTATTTCTGGTGTAATCTTGACTTCGCAAGCATCCTTGACAAGTTGGTCAGCGCGATAGACCTCTTTATCGATGTTGGAGCTTGAGCTTCCAAAGAAGCCATTCTCGAGGAGGCTGCCAGTGCTGGGATCCTTGTCAATATAGACGTCGAAGAGCTTGTCCTTTAGATATGTAGTAAGTTGCTGCATGTCTGACAGGCCCAGCAAAATGCTGGCATTCTTCTGCATCAAAACAATGCCGAATCGCAGAATTGCTGACAAGCCCTCAGAGAAGATCAAGTCATAAATACGGAGTACGAGTTGAAGCGGGAACCGGTAAGCAAACAGCGTCAAGAACCATTGGGTAGCATAAAGGTGAGGCGATATTCCCTTTCGGTGAAGGTGGCAGTACAGTGCTGGCTCGAAGTCTTCTAGTAGTCGTTCAAACTGATAAAGATGCATGTGCAGACCGGGCATATCCTGGATGAAAAGATCTCGCAGTTTGTAGTGATTCATCAGTCGAACCAAAAGACAGAAAGCTTCCTGTTCGGGCATCTGTAGACAAAGTTAGTAACACTTTTAGATGGGCCAATACTGCATGACACTTACGTTGAATAGCAGAGGCATGATAAGAAAGTTCATGCCTTGGGCATAACCAACACCCTCATCAAAGAGGGCGTATGCCTTGCAGACGCCAAACAGACCCTCTTGAAGCCCGGCAGCAGCCGCATACTTAGAATAGCTGGTGCGGGCACCAAGATCACGGCGGATCGTCTTCTCAAGTTTTTGTAGTGTGGCAGCATCCTCCTTGTCTTTCCGCTTTCGCTCGGCGGCAGCCACAGCTTGAGCCTTCAAGACAGCCTCAGCGTTCTTCTCATTTGGAGGCGACGCAGTGTTACCGCCTGAATGCTCCGAGTTGATAGACGAAGCAGAGGATGCGACAGCTTCTCCACTTTGAACGCTAAGGTTGCCGTTGCTTAATGAGCTAGCGGTTGTGCTGTTGCTGTGACGGTTGTTCTTGTCTGTGCCGCGAGTTACCAAGTCTTTATAGACCGATTCCAAGTCATCGTTCTTGCTATCAGCCAGCACCTGCCAGACAACCCCACGGATAGCGCTGGGGATGCCAGTTGCGATAGCCTTGTTCAGCTCCTCGGCGCTGGTTCGGGCCACGGCAGCTGGTCCCTCATAGACAACGGATTGCCATAAATCCCAATCGACTTTCTCTTCTGTGATGGCTGAAATTCCAGCGTTGACTCCGGATACTGTTCCTGGCGCCAAGCCAGCAATAGGCTGTGGGACAGGCGACGATGGGGGTTTCTCAAGTGTCTGACCTTCATCGCCTGGCAGAGTAAGGCCAAGGGCCCCATCATATTTACCACCATCACCTTCTGCCATCGCACGAGCAGCCTCTTGTTGTTGTCGTAGCTGCTTAAACCTATCTTTCAATGTGACGCGCTGAATAGGATCACCAGTTAGCGAGTCACCGTCCTTCTCCTCCTCGAGTCGGCTCAACATCATTTCGGGATTACTAGCTAGAGTTGCGACAGAACCGGCCGTGTTTCTTCGGCCGGTAGGAAGCGGTGGAAGAGGAGGCTCTCTCTCTTTACTGGAGCTTCGAGAAAGCCAAGAGAAAGGACTGGTAAGCTTCCGACTGGGTGGCGGCGGGGGCTGAGGTAACGGTGGAGAGGGCGCGAGTGTAGCTGTCGGTGGCACAGGGCTTTTCAGAGGCTCAGGGGCAGGCGACCAAGGCATAGAAGGGAGTGAAATGCTGTTCAAGGATATCGTTTTGCTGTTTGGCTTTGGTGGGAGATCTTTAGGCACTAAAAAATAGTAAGCATTGGCTGCATAATTTGAAAATGGTCGGGGCTCATATGTACATGGGGATGGAGGCGTATCGTCGTCCAGGCTAACGTTATCCAAATTCGAGGTATTGGAAATGCGCGTGGAAGCTATTGATGGCTTTCTTCGTGACAGTTTTCCAATACTACCTGCGTCGGAAGCAGTAGCCTTGTGTTGAGGGATGCTTGTTTCTCGGGTCTCCTCCTCACGATGCGACTCTTCAGACCGCCGATCAGGCTGCTCCTCAACTATACTATCACGAGGTTTAGGTTGCGAGACAGTTCGGTTTGTGAGCGATCGTGTAGGAGATTGCGCTACAGCGTCTTCGAACTTGTCATCAGTATCGGACGCCTGCCGGAATTGATTAGTATGTAAGCGAGATAAGGGATGCATTATGTTGTGTGACTGGTACGGTGGTGGTTGAGTGAGGAATGTGGGATCAACCTACAGACGCAGTGTCGTCAGACTCCGTGCCAGACGAGAGTCTTTTTGTGTTGGTGTCATTCTGCAGCGGCTTTTCCTCTGGCTTGTCTCCTCGTTTTTCCTGTGGCTCATCGTCTGACTCCTGGTCTTGTTTCGCATCATTGTTCGCTTCCTGTTTTCCCTCGATGTCGTCGTCAAGCTCCTCTTCAAGGTTTTTCTCCGTTCTTCCTTCGACTTTTCCGTCTATATCTTGTTTCTCTTGCTTGTTGTCGATCTCGGTCGCTATTTCTTGTTTGTCTTGTGCCTCGGGCATATCTTGCTTCTCGAGTTGTGTCTCTGGTGCTTCTGACTTCTCATGCGTATCCTGCATGTGCTGCCTCTCTGGTTCGATATCGGGTTGAGGTTGAATCGCCAGCGAGGCAATATGCTGAGGTTCCGACATGGCTATGAATGATGAAAATGTATAGATTCAATATGAGGGCGGTATGAGTTTTGTCGAGGATAGAGAATCGGTTATGTGGCCCTTAGACTATCGTCCATGGATCAAAGTCAGATGTAAAGAGCAATCAGCGTAGGATGTGTCAAAGAGATTGGAAGATGAGAGACCGAGTGCTGCGTCCGGCGGCAGAGTGAATGGAAGAATGCCAGAAGCCAGCTGTTGGCAGAAATCCGATCCAAGGGGGAGGTTGTGGCGCTGATGTTTTGTCTGCCCCTTACCACCTCGACTGTGGAACTGAAATGGAAGCTCGCAAGGGTCCTGGTAGTGAGGCACTGACGGGGTCGCCAAAAATAAATGGGGTTTGTTCTATCCGTACAGCGGCGGGATTTCAGGCGAGGCTGGTACCTTAACGATACGGTGTAGGTACCTAGCTTAGTGCTAAGTTTGCCAGGCACTGCGGGCAGCTAATAAAAGGCGGAGTGGGGTGCCGAGATGGGAGGTAACGGAGCTTAAGAATGGAACCTATTTTAAGGGACTCCCTTTGTCCCAGAAAACGTCAGATGGCGAGGCTGGAATGAAGATTATCCCTTCACTATTCAGCCGTTTTAAATTATGCTGTATCACGGCTGGTTTTGTCAGGAATTCAAATTCGCCTCATTTCGACTGGAGGCTTGCCAGTTTGATGCAACTAATCAACCATGCCCTGACCGACTGTGTCTACCTAAGCACCTGGTATTATTCCCATGATAGTGGGTTATAACATAAAGCAGGTAAATACCTTGACAAAATAGTATCCTCTTGACCAGGCAGCTCAATGCGTAGATTTTACTGCGTACCATGTCACGAGCTGCAGTAGGATCGGCACTACGATCTCGCGTCTAATGAACCTAGATAATGCAAGCTCTCCGTGGTGTTTGAGGTTAGGTTAGGAAGCTTATCTTGCGATAGCGTTTTGCTACTGGAGGCCAGCCACCATTTGCTATTACCTACCCCTCCCTCAACTGCGGCTCATACGTTGACTCGGCGTCAAGGTCTGTGTTGTGCGTTCCAGTCTTCGCGCTGACGTTGTTTTGCCTCTTTTGTAGTTTTGCTACAGTGAATGTCAATTCTTTATTGCATATACCCAGGATATCTCGCCCGCCAAGCTGGGTTCATGGGCCCGCCTCGTTCAATGAAGAATAAACAACGACATAACAACCGATGAGGTTAATAAAACGCTTTGTTTCACAAGTCCTGCACGAACATGGGGTGGCGTAGATGTTTAGTCGACCAATAGCAACTCTTGAGTGCCTGTTTCATGGTCAGTCTATCCTAAACCGGCTTTCATTGCCAACAAAGACTACCTATGTACTTACTTTTGCTTCGAGTTGTTTTGAAACTCGATGAGGTCGGGTCATGCCACTGCTTTTCGGTGTTCAAGTTCACCCTTGATTGAGTGTTGAGGACTTGCCCAGAATTCATCATTGATTCTCATGTACGGTAGAAAACAGTCAAACCAATGGTGTATATGCTATAAATGCGTAAGAACGTGACTTGAACCCAACTTTCCTTTACAGATCCAACATTTTGCGCAGACAGTATTGCTGTACTCTCGTTGTATTCGATATGTTGTGATGGTGGCATAAAATCATGATTTTGCGACCCTACCCTATAGATCATCTCGCTCTAGTCCAGTTTTCTTGATCTCTATACCTGGTAGAGTTCGAGTTTCAAATCAATTGCACTGTTCTCCCACAAAGTGTTTTTTTTTTTTGGGTAATTACGAATAAATGAGTTTAGTTATGCTCGCGGTGTTATCGGGTTTCTCGCCAACCGTTTCGCGTTCAATTTGTTCATCCTTGCGAAGAGAACAACGGTCGTCCTCAACTGTTTGCTGTTAACGTAACCTCGTCGTGACACGAAAAAAAGAAAGAAAAAAAGAAAGAAAAAAAGAGAAAGGTGTGTACGGGGAAAATTTCTGATGAGTCATTTGAGTCTGGAACAAGTAATTGTACAACAAGAAAGTCTGAGGCTTCACATTTAAGATACCTCATGCATGGATGCCTTGTAGGCTGATGTGTCACTTTCACCCCACCAAGGTACCAGTGGGAATCAACAGACAAATTTGAGTATTATGAGAAATCCAATAATTACAGAGAAATATCGTAGTGAATCTTTTTACGAACGCAGCTATTCGTTGCTACCTGTTTTGATATTGAGGCAAAAGAGAAAAGTTGTCACCACTTTACTTGAGTGTGCATCATAGCAACTTCAAACGGGAGCTGGTCCCTCAGTTTATCAGCTGTAGGTAGTGGGAACAAACGGAAGTGGTGTATTGCAAGCCGAAGAGATAATCCGACAATCAGCCCGGGATATTTTTGTACCCTGCAGTGGAAGGTTGGCCTTGGAGGTACCTCCACTTCCCTGTAGCTTCCGGCACCTATTACGCAGAGGGCCCACTTGCACTTGTCAACCTGACGATTTGCAATATGCCTTTTCCCCATCCTACACCTTCTCTCCGCATCTTCGCAGAACACTTTTCAAACTTGCGAGATCTTTCTCATCCCCGCGCGCGTACTATCGGAGAGAGTCCGAGACCAGTATCATCACAATAAGCGACACGGCACGATTTGGCCACCGGATAAAAGCTGTTCTAGGACGACTGCACTCGACCTTGGACTGCTTCCCAAGCTTCATCGGCCACCCCTCGGTACTTGTCAGGCCAAGCTCTCTGTGCTTATCACCGAACCACCTCATTTCTCGAACGATCAATACAATCACACTATAATTTTCTGAAGTGAAAATTTCATCGTAAGAATTTCGGATCTTCTAAGACACTGGAGACCCACGAAGCTTCAGAACTTTTGAGAGGTTGACCACCGCTAAACTGCGGGTACAATACTCTTCATATCTGAGACTGATACCCGTATACCACTCGCCCGCGAGAAGGTTATTTTTGTAGCGGGTTATAGCCCGGCTGTAGTGGAGGGGGAGATTCCATTGTTTCCTGCGGCTCAGCCGCCTCACCTTGACCATGGGGAAGATCACCAAACCCATGCAACAAAAGCACAAGGATACCTTGGTTAGTAAAAAAGTATATGATAATCCTGCAATGAAAGCTAACTCCATGCTATAGTCTCCTTGGCTCAAGAGCTATGTTGAAACCGCCTCAACGACACCTCTTCCCCTCTTACCACAAGAGCTCAACAGCTTTCCATCACGATGGCCCTTCGGACGTGGCGATTTGTACCACTGGATACCCCTTCTCAACCGATTTGATAGCCTGCTCGAACATTTCTGTGCCACATACAAGTTGAACGAGGGCCCCCAGGCTCGTGACTTTGGCTGCGATGTGTTACTCAACCTGGATAAGGAATCAGCCTTTGGAGGCGAGAGGCAGTGGTCAGCGGCAGAGCTAGAAGATTTGGGGTTTTCAGTGGAGGGAGACAGAGAGCTTGTCGAGGCAATTCTGCGCTTTACTCGCATGCTCTTAGAGCACTCTGGTAATCGCAGCATCTATGCCAGTAGCGCTCATCTCAATGACCTTCTCAACACCACATCTCTGACCGTGCTCATTGCTACACTTGAAGTTGGTTCCGAGTTGGCTCAGCGGTACCAAGCATCTGTCAAGCGTATCGCCAACCCCTCTAGGCAGATCTGTGCGGCGTTGCTTGCAAACCATTACAATATCGACCTTGACAGGGTTCAGCAACTTGCCTTGCCTTTCGTCAAGACGCCAATTATCAACCTGTCGGATCCTGTACCATCACATACACCTGGGTCTGTCAAAGGGAAAGATCGTGCGCAAGGAGGAGGCTCCAAAACAGCCAATTCGATGCACGCGAACGACCTAGTTGCACTTGCTGCTTCGGATGACAAACGATGGGTTGGCTGGGGAGATGTTAAGGTGACATACTACCCCCAGAGTGCTCAGCAGGAGACTACCGTCACAGACGCTGGCCATGCATCGGTGCCATCTACGCCAACACCGCTCCGTCGCAGTTCTACCATGACATCTCAGCACCAAACCCCCAGGGCTAGAAGCAACCTCGACGATTCATCTCCACTTGCACCTCGCACACCTGGTATTGAAACCGATCCAGCCTCAGCTGGCCCTAAGGTTTTTGAACTACCTCAGTCCGTTGTTGCTTCGAATTCCGTGTACCAGTTGGTGTCGGGCACCCCTGTGGATCTCCCGCCTGCTTCAAAGTACGAATCCTTTCATAGGATCAGAGTTTCCAAAGCCCTTATGGATTCCAGCGAATCGCGACAGCAGTTGCTTGCTGTCCGCCTACTAGCGATCAACAACCTCGCGTATATCCACAACGAAATTAACTTCCTCGAGAAGGTGCTTCGTCAAGACGCCGACGAGACCCGCAGATTCCAACTTGTCTATCAGCTTGCTGAATTAATTCACCCCACAGTTCATGGAAACATTGAAGTTCCTTTGTGGCTTCAAGCTGTAGCCCTTGCTCTACTCGAAGCGGTCTCGAATTTTCAAGCCAGATGTCAAGATGTCTTATCTGCTCTGAATGCAAATGTTAACCATGGTATCTTGCTCTACGTCATCCGCAAAGCCGTTGCGGGAATGAAGGAGGATGATGACAGTGATAAAGGAAACCAAGTCACGGCAATGGATGAATGGCGTAACAATCTATTCTCCCTTACACTTCACCTTTCCATGTCTACGAGAGTGGGAAGCGAGATGGTGTCTGCCGGACTTATGGAAATCCTTGTTGAAATCCTGAACATCAGATCAAGTGTTGCACAGCGAAACCACTCTATGGTACTTGCATTTTTGGATGGTTTGATTTGGTCGTACCAGAACGCCTTTACCGCCTTCTTCAACGCTAAGGGCCTTGATGCTGTGTCTCAACTGGTCGTGGACACTGTCACAGAGGCACAGACTTTGCATAAGGCTGGTCAAGGTATTCCGAAGGATCAGCAGTCCGGCCAAGTGGATTATGAGATCCCATATTACCAACATCAGACACTCAAGTGGTTACTCAAGTTTGTTCATCACATTATGTCAAACTCATACAGCTATAGTGGAAACACTGACCGTCTGCTCCGTAACCTCGCTGATAAGTCGGACCTTTTGGGGAGCTTGCGAGACATCATTGAAGACAAGAAGAACTTCGGTTCTGTCATCTGGACGCATTCAGTCACTATTCTCAGTGATTTCATCAACAACGATCCCACAAGCTTCGCCGCCATTTCGGAGTCTGGAATGATCAAGACATACTTGGAGGCTGTCACTGGGAGACCCCTCCCAAGTGATTTGTTAGCAGAGCAGAAGCCTGACGAGAAAGAAGAAGACGAAGAATCTGGTTCTTCAAGTAACACCGTCTCTTCGATTGTTGCTAACGATCCCCGACCACACCCTCCCACCGAAGACATACTCCGGGAGTCGCCTCGTGAATCATTAGCAGCAGGAATTCTGCCATCATCCGACGCCATCACCGTTGTGCCTCAGGTCCTTAACTCGATCTCCCTCAACAACACTGGTATGAAAATGGTAGTAGCCTCGCGCGCTTTTGATAGCTTTCTGGAGATTTTTGAGAGCCCTGCTCATGTAAGATGCATGGAACTCGACACAGATCTTGCGAGCAACGTCGGATCCAGCTTTGACGAACTTGCTCGTCACCACCCACCCTTGCGTACCGCTATTTCTAATGCCGTCATCGACATGGTTGCTCGCGTACGCTTCATGGGCATCGAAAAGGCAAGAACGGCTGGATGGGGTGCTCGCATGCTGTTGGTCGACTCTGAGGGCAAGACAGTATCGTTGGATGAAACCGGTAATTTGATGCCGTCAACTGCGTCTTCAGAGCAGAACCAAGAAAGAGACACTCCTGGCGACGCGGATGTGAAGATGATTGACGCTGTGGGAACAAACGAGATCGACCCTGAGTCTCGCAAGGATGATAGCTCAGATTCATCGAAGCGCACGATCACGCCCTATATCTACGCCCTGTCCTATTTCCTGACAGCTTACATTTCCAACCAGGGCTTGAAGACCAGCTTTGTGGAAGCTGGTGGCCTTGAGCTACTGCTTGACATCTGCGAGTCCCCAAGCCTGCCTACTAACTTTGGAGATTACAACGCCTCAAGATTCCTTCACACAGTTGTTTCGCAACTCGTTGAATCTTTCCCTATCCGTGGTCTTCCTTCTCTTCTGCGGCGTGCTCAGTTGGCCATCGATACTCTGAAACCACTGTCTGACAAGACGGACACCTTGCCTCCCTACTTTGCACCGTTTCTCAATTCTGACCTGAAAACGATTCGCGATGACCAAGAACCTCCAGAAGCAGTCAAGAGTGGCACCAAGATGATCAAGGCGTTGTTGAATGCGCAGACGTTCATCAAGATCATTTCTGATTGCTTTGCTACATCAAGGCAAAATGCATTGCAGTTCTATCCCATCAATGTCTACGACTACTACCTTAACCTTGTAAATTCCATTGGGCCTCTGTTGCGTGGAGTTCTCACAGAGGAGGCGGGCGAGCTCAACGTCATTCCTCAACATTGGTCGTTAAGGCGCCAAACAGCTTCGGAGGGGACATCTGCTGCAAACATACCTGAACCAGACATTGATGACAGTGCTTTATTGCCAGATATGTTGAGTAGCTCGGGTCAGTTCCAGCTGAAGACCACATCGGACGACTCTAAGCCCAGCCGTCCCACAGCTGAAGAGCAAGCTAGCCCTCGTTTCCAGAACTACGAAACACTCCGACAGTTGTTACATCCTATGATCCCAACAACGTTTCCTCTGTTCCAGACACTTGGCAAGTGCCTGCTGCCTCGACGGGAGCGAGACCCCCGTGATCTTTATCATCGACCCCGTCACTTGGAACTTGCACGGGCACTCGCGAACGCTGTTCTTAGCCAGCTGAGGCCCTCCGTGGCCATCGCAGCACCCACTTCCAAGGACTTCCATTTCTGGATTATCATGCTGCATACCATCAATGAAATGGTGACTGACCAGCCCTCCACTCGACCAAGCGGCGATCGATCAAATGTCCAGATCATCATGCCCGTCCTCCTTGCCTTCAAGGAAGAGGGTGGAATGGATGTTTTAAACTCGATGCTCAAGATCTTCGCTCAGGCAGTACGCGAAGGTCCAGACGCAGCGATGGACGAGACGTCCAGATCCAAGGTTGCTGCTTTTGGCCTCAAGAAAGCTCTGGAATTGATTCTCATATTGGTCAATGGGAAGTACCTTTCCGAGGCTCAAAATGCATACGCTCTGCAACCCCGTTCTGCCGATAGATCCTCAAGCTCAACCCATATTTGGCAGCAATTCGTGGTAGAGTTCCGCGTAGCCGTTCTCCCTGAGGTTATAGAGCTATGGGACTCTTCCTTCGTCGAAAGGGTGCCTCATCAAACCGTGACGCGGTTGATAGATATCCTCAAGCTCATTTCTACGGGAGAACACGAGCCTTCATCATCTACGAGAGACAGACCCCCTTTCCATCTCTTCAACTCCACTGATGTTCGGTTCGATTGGCGCTCGCACCGTGGCACTATCGAGGAGCTGCTCGCGAAAGGATACGACACTGACTTGGTACATGAAGCAGTGTATCGGGTAAATGGCAATCCGGTTCTCGCAGATAGCTATTGTTTGGCCCACAAGGCTGGGCTCGCCGGTGCCCGCAACCCAATTCCAGCGAAAGACTCTGACACATCGGTTTTGCAAGAGACCCCGCAAGAACCTGCAGTTATCAGCGAGACAGAAGAAGTCAATGAAAACAACACAGCGGATGCGGATCGCATGTCCCTGGATGGACCTCCTGAGATTGGTACCCCCGATCTCGTAGACAGATTCCTGGGAGAGGCATTGGGCGAAATCATTGATCCTTCTCAGCCTATAGATGAGACACATGAAGCCCCAATTGTGGCGACCGAAACACCTGGGAATGTTGCAGAAGATACAGGAAAGACAGAAAGCTCGCATGCCTCGGTTGCTACCAAGGAGGAGATCGACAACTTCCGTGCGAAACTACGAGCCAACATGATAGACAGATGCCTTGACGTCGTTCGCGCACACCCTGAAACAGCGATCGAGGTATCTGAGCTCATCCGGACGATGGCTCTGAGACAGCAGTCTAGTGAAAGTGAAGACGAAGTGGGCCAGACCTTGACTTTGGCATTGTCTTCACTCGCCCAGGACGAGGAAGAAGAAAAGCAACGTACTGGAAAATGCATTGCAGCCTATGCCCATCTACTAGCATTGCTTCTCCAAGACGAACACTTCTTCGAAAACAATGTAGAGAGTCTGAGGGAGCATATCAATGAGTATATTGGCTTCCTGAAGATTTCACCTTCAACCTCCACTGAAGAAATGCCGCCGTGGATTCCTTATATCCTGTTGGTTATTGAGACATTACTTCGTCACGATGAACGCCCAGTTGCTGCGCAATGGAGGGCACCCAAGTCACTGGATGAGGCTGTCTCCGAGCCAATCATTCAGATGCGTACCCCGACTGTCAGTGATGAAGATCGCACCCATATTTTAGAATCTCTGCTCGAGTTGCTGCCACGCATAGGCAAGGAAGAAACTCTTGCCGTTGCAGCACTGAGAGTGTTGGTAATATTGACACGCAACCGTCGTCTAGCCAAGTCAGTTGGTGACAAGAAGAACTTACAACGGTTGTTTCTTATGGCAAAGCAACTGTCGGGTTCTGGCTCTGAAAGGTTCAAGCAGACCAAGCTTACTGCTCACATCATGACCGTCCTCCGTCATATTGTGGAGGACGAAGAGACAATAAAACAGATCATGCGTGCCGAGATTAAGATTGGCCTTCCAAACCTGCAGCGATCGCAACGTGGTCATACTGACATCAGCAACTATTTGCGAGCGATGGCACCAGTCGCCCTCCGTGCCCCTGATCTTTTTGTCGAAGTTTCCAACGAGATGGTCCGTTTTACAAGATGGACATCTCCTGCAAGTGATGGTTCTCGATCTCAAGCTCTTGTACTTGTACTGAAAGAGGAGGCTAGCGAAGCAAGCTCCGACAAGATTGGTGACAACGCTGATGATGCAACCGAACAAAGCATCAAGCCAACTACAGAGACTACAGACAAAGAGATGCTTGATGCACCGAAAGCGCACGAGAGTAAACGGCCTGTTGTTGAAAATCCCGATGGCGTTATTCATTTCCTTCTCTGCGAATTACTCAACTATCGTGAAGTTGACGATAAGGAAGTGTCAGCTGTCGAGAAAGACTCCAAACCTGACAGCGTGGCTGATCCCGAAGATACGGCGGCTAGTTCCAAAGAAAACAGTACATCCGATGCAAAGGATAAGAAGCCAGCAAAGCCCGTGTTCAAATCCGATGAGCACCCCATCTTTGTCTACCGATGCTTCTTGCTCAACTGTTTGGCCGAGCTTCTGCAGAGCTATAACAGAACCAAGATGGAGTTTATTAACTTCAAGCGCAATGCCCCGCTTACTACCAGTACACCGATCAAGCCTCGATCATCAGTTCTAAATTATCTGATTTATGATCTGCTTTGTCAAGGCAATCTCAGCGGAACAGTGGACACCATTGCTGGTAAGAAGAAGGGCGCAACTTCGGCTCAAACTCAGAAAGTCTTGGTTGCTTTGGTCGCCAAGACAAGTGAGAAAGCGATCGATCGTGGCCAGGATAAATTCTCATACGACGATGAGCCCGATCTTCTCTTTGCACGCAAATTTGTTCTTGATACTATGTTGAAGGCCTACGAAAGAGCACCACTGTCTGATGAACCCCTGGAAACTCGGTACTCGCGAATGCTATGCCTGGCTGAACTCATGAACCACATGGTGGCTGGCGACAGAGACAAGGATCAAGGAGCCACCGGCCGTAGTACCGACAGCGTTAGCGTCCAAGCCCGATCCCATGCACAGCTACGGAGATTGATGTACGAGAAAGGCTACCTCGACAAGCTTACATCCTCCATCGCAGAGATCAACCTCAACTATCCAGGCGTGAAACGTGCGATCAAGTATATCCTACGTGTGTTACGAATTCTCACCGAGACAGCCAAAGAGCTGAGCCATTCCAATATCCTGCCTTCCGATTCTCTATCAGATACAGCAGACGACGACCTTGGCTCAACTTCTTCGCTCTCAGACCTCGATGATCGTGAGGAAACTCCTGATCTGTATCGCAACTCTGCCCTTGGCATGCTGGAGCCCCGTGGCGACGATGACGATTCTGACGAGGACGAAGAGGACGAGGACGACGATGAAGACATGTACGGTGATGAATACGATGATGAAATGGATTACGGAGACGACATGTCGGATGAAGAAGACAACATTAGCGACGACGACGAAGAACTCGGTGAAATGGGCGAAATCGAAGGCCTTCATGGGGAGCCAGGAGTCGTCGAGGTCATCATGGATGAAGACGATGATGAAGATGACAGTGATGACGACGACGATGACGATGAAATGGAATCTGCAGATATGGAGGACGTGGAGGATCGTGTCGAAATCGTCGACGAAGATGGCAACCCTCTTGATGATGACGGCAACTCAGGATGGGAGAGCGCTAGCCACGACGATGAAGAGGACGAAGACCAGGAGGAGGATGAATTGGACTTCGGCGTAGATGTACAGGAGGAGCACATGCCCATGGAGCGCGAAATCCTGGATGGCATGGCTCGAGCCATCATGGGAGAAGGCGACGTCTTCGACCCAGATTCACTAGAAGAACACTATCTCGATGATGGCCACGACGAGGATGGAGATGAGGACGATGAGGACGAGATGGAGGACGACGAATATCTTTACGATGATGATTATCCCATGGATGATCAGCCTCAGTCGATGCCAGCTCTCGGATGGGATGGCCTCGGCGCCGAAGACGAAGACCGCCACCGACAGATGTTCATAGCGGATGGCCAAAGTCGACGAAGGTTTATTACTTCACGAGCTGCGGAACCCAGCCGACCTTTCCCTCCCAGCTTTATTGTTGGTTCCAATCGGGATGCGACTAGTGATTTCCGCAACTTCTTTTCGCGCAGTCATCGCCCAGGAGCAGCTCAACCTAACGCGGACGATGGCACCAACCCACTTCTTAGACGGGGTGACCAGAACCGCGATAATCCTCAGCGTTCTGGCCATAGCCATTCTCTCGGTCTGCGAGTCCCTGAAGGTATTTTTGGCCCAGGCGTGAGAAACCTTGATGGACCGATGGGATTTCTTGGTGAACTGATGGAATTTCTCCCAATCATGGGACGAAATGGACAGCAAGCTTTCCATTTGCAAATCACTGCCCCCGGTGGCCACCGCGAGGCTAGAGAGTTTGGTCCTATTAGAACCTCGCGCACTGAACAAAGACGTGAGGGATCGGCTCAGGACCCCTTCGGAGCAGTCTCATTTTCTATTGAGGGCACGATCGATCGTTATCAAGAGGAGGCCAGGATGATCTTTGGTACCAGCAATGCGACAGAAGCCGCCAAGCTCCAAAACATCATTATGGCCAAGCTTACGCCGGATGCTATGGAGCTGGAGAGAAAGCTGAAGGCAGAGGAGGCTGAACACCAAAAGCGAGAAGAAGAGGAGCGTAAGAAGCGCGAGGAGGAGCAGCGCGTAGCACGCGAAGCTAAGGAAGCCGAAGAAAAGGCCGAAAGGGAGAAACGAGAGGCAGAAGCTCGCGAGGCTGCCGAGCAAGCCGCCTCTGAGGCCGCTGCTGCTAGCCAAGCCGCTGCCACTGAGGACCAGAGAGACGAAGGCGCGATGGAAGGGGTTGAATCTACTGAAACAAGTCACACAGAGCATTCTGATCCTACAGCTGAGACCACGACCGAAGGACCTCGCGTCATGACTACAATCAGGGGCGAAGAGGTCGATGTTACCGAATTAGGCATTGACCCTGATTATATTGCAGCCCTTCCAGAGGAGTTCCGTGAGGAGGTTATTGCTCAAGCAATCAGCACCCGGCGGTCCGAGGCACGAGAGGAGACGAATGGCAATTCGACAGAGGCTTTCCAAGAGTTTCTTGATGCCCTTCCAGAAGAATTGCGCCATGAGATTGCGCAGCAGGAGCGTCAAGAACAGCGCCGAAGGGCTCGTGAAGAATCAAGTCGCCAAGTGGCCGCTACTACCGGCCAGGCAGTTGTGCCAGAAATGGACACTTCCAGCATCCTCCTCACGTTTCCGCCTGATCTCCGACAGCAAGTTCTCATGGACCAGGGCGAAGAACTCATGGATCAGCTTAACCCGGAGATGGCAGCCCAAGCTCGAGCACTGGCTCAGCACAACAACGTCCACTCTGTCATCACAGGCCGCAGCCCCCCTGGAGTTAATCCAGCTCGTCAACCAGGACCCCCGGGACCACAAGAGGGCACAAAGACACAGCGCCGAACGGTAGTCCAAATGCTTGACAAGGCCGGCGTTGCCACGCTACTGCGCCTAATGTTCATTGCTCAGCAAGGCTCTATCCGAAGCCACCTGTTCCATGTGTTCGCCGATGTGTGCGAGAACAAGCAAACCCGACTGGAGGTGATTAGCACTCTCCTCCAGATCTTGCAAGATGGGAGCACAGACATGGGTGCTGTGGAGCGCAGCTTTGGTCAACTGTCTCTGAAGGCACGAAGGCCCAAGGAGAAGGAGAAGGAATCCGACCAGAAAACCCCACAGGCTCTCAAAAGAAGTCTGACTGGTCTGACCTCTGGAAATGCTACACAGACAAACTCAGAAACATCGCCTCTTCTGATTGTCCAACAGTGTCTTGACCTTTTAGTAGAGCTGTCTGGGAAGAATCCTCACATTCCTTTACTTTTCTTGACAGAGCACGAGGCTGTTGGCTCAACCCTCAAACGCTCATTGAGCCGCAAAGGCAAAGGCAAAGACTCCAAGTCCCACAAATACGCCATCAACTCTCTGCTATCACTTCTTGATCGCGACCTGGTCATGGAAAGTTCTGTCGTTATGACTCACTTGGCAGACCTGCTAAATAGAGTAACACTGCCTCTTCAAAATCTTGAACGTCGACGCAAGGAGGCCGAAGATGAACTAAAAGCTATCGACGCGAAACCAGAAGAAGGGGAAACCACGGCTGAACAGCCTGCGGAACAGACTTCAACCACCGAGCAAGCCGAGACAAGCAACGTCAATGAGCCCAGCACTGCTCAAGATGAGACTAAAGAAGATGCCGTTGACGAAGAGGCCAAGAGACAAGAGAAAAAGGATGTGGCCCAAAAGAAACTCCGACAACTACAACCTCCTGTTGTTCCCGCACAGAACTTAACACTGGCTGTGAGGATATTTGTAGCCCGAGAGTGTAGCTCCAAAACCTTCCAAAACACCATTTCGACTATTAAGAACTTATCTGCTATCCCAGGGGCCAAGGCAACATTCGGGCAGGAGCTTGTCCACCAGGCACGCCTTTTGAGCGAAAACATTGTAGCTGACTTGGATGATCTTCTACCGCAAATCGAAAAAGCATCTTCAGGCACGGAGATTCAAGGTGTCGCTCTCGCAAAGTTTTCCCCAGGAGCATCAGAGCAAAACAAGCTTCTTCGTGTTTTGACGGCGTTGGATCACTTGTTTGATAGCAAGAAAAAGAGCAGCGAGGTCGAGTCTAGCAAGAACAAGGAGGAAAGACATGATCTAGTCACCTCTCTCTACCACAACTCGACCTTCTCGGCCATGTGGGAGAAGTTGAGTGCTTGTCTCAGTGCGATTCGCGAGCGCGAAAATATGCTCAACGTGGCAACCATTTTGCTGCCACTGATCGAGTCCCTTATGGTGGTTTGCAAAAACACAACTACCAATGACGACCTCTCGGTGCAGAAGGAGATGCTCCTTGCGAGCCCACCTCCTGAGTCTCGCACGGCGAGCCTCTTCTTTAGCTTTACCGAGGATCATCGGCGTATCCTTAACGAGCTTGTCAGGAGTAACCCCAAGCTCATGTCAGGCACGTTCGCTCTGCTTGTCAAGAACCCTAAGGTATTGGAGTTTGACAACAAGCGCAACTACTTCAACCGCAGTGTTCACTCCCGATCTGGCAACAGCCAGAGCCGGCCAACCTACGCTCCTTTGCAACTCTCTGTCCGCCGTGAGCATGTTTTCCATGACTCATTCAAGCACTTATACTACAAAACCGGAGATGAGATGAAGTTTGGAAAGCTCAACATTCGATTCCATGGCGAGGAAGGTGTCGATGCTGGAGGTGTCACCCGCGAATGGTTCCAGGTCCTGTCTCGGCAGATGTTCGACCCCAATTATGTGCTCTTTACCCCCGTATCCTCTGATCGAACTACCTTCCATCCAAACAAGCTAAGCGGTATCAACGATGAACATCTTTTGTTCTTCAAGTTCATTGGTCGCATCATTGGCAAGGCACTGTACGAGGGTCGCGTTCTTGACTGCTATTTCAGCCGTGCGGTGTACAAGCGAATTCTGGGCAAGTCTGTTTCAGTCAAGGATATGGAATCTTTCGATCCCGACTATTACAAGTCCTTGTGCTGGATGCTGGAAAACGATATCACAGACATCATCACTGAAACCTTCTCTGTCGAGGATGATGAATTTGGCGTTACCAACGTTGTAGACCTCATTGAAAACGGCCGGGAGATCGCAGTCACGGAAGAGAACAAACATGATTACGTCCGCCTTGTGGTTGATCACAAGTTGTTGTCTTCGGTCAAGGAGCAGATGGCTCATTTCCTTCAAGGTAAGCAGACCCCCACTATAACGCAATGCACATGCTAATCTCGACAGGTTTCCACGAAATCATTCCCGCAGAGTTGATCTCTATCTTCAACGAGCAGGAGTTGGAGCTCCTGATCTCCGGTCTGCCTGACATCGATGTCGACGACTGGAAGAGCAACACAGAGTACCACAACTATAATCCATCATCACAGCAAATCCAGTGGTTCTGGCGAGCTCTGCGATCTTTCGACAAGGAAGAGCGCGCTAAATTGCTGCAGTTTGTGACAGGAACCAGCAAGGTGCCTCTCAACGGTTTCAAGGAGCTGGAGGGTATGAATGGCGTCAACAGATTCAACATCCACCGCGATTATGGCAACAAAGATCGTCTGCCTTCTTCGCATACCTGCTTCAACCGTAAGTATAACTTGCAAGCATGAAACTGAATGGTTAGCTAACAAAAGACTAGAACTTGACCTTCCTGAGTACGAGAGCTATGACCACCTACGCTCCCAGATAATGAAGGCCATCACAGCAGGAAGCGAATACTTTGGCTTCGCGTAAACTCGTCAACTTATGCATTGCAGGCGTGTAAGGGGGACGGATTATAGATGCGGACACGAACGGAAAGAGGTGATATTTAGCATGGCTATGGAGATTGTGTTTTGCTAGCATTAGTGGTAGGATGCCTTCCAAAGGCGCATCCTTCTTCCAACGCCTGTCTGAGGAGAAGTGCAGGTCTCCTACAGTCCAAGGTTTTGGAAGATGATGGATGGCGTATAGGAATTGGGTGATAGTTGCGCGGAATGGCATATGTATGAGACAACTTAATCATTAGCCTCTTAAAAAAGAACAAGTGGCATACAATGGATTTCTTTCCTTGGTTTTGTTGATGCGTGAGTTAAAAACATATTGAACGATGGTGTTACAAGTATTGTTGCTACACTAGAGTGAATACACACAGGAAAATGTGTTCGGTATTAATAGTCTTAAGGTGGCAAGACAAGAGTTCGGTCACAAGGGTAGAATGCAGGCAGAGTCACATTGATTTAGGATATTGATATTGAGACAATGGAACATGCGCAGGCTGACTGGCGTATGGCACGAGTGCATCAATGCATCTTCATTCTTTTTGAAATGCTTCTAATACAGTCGTGATTGGCTCAAACCGAGCCCTATAGAGAATCCTCACTCCTAATGCATGCAAACCACAAGACCAAGGTATGATTTCCCCTTTTTTTCATTAAACGCCAGAAATTTACTTGCGCATGGAGCTTGCGCGACGCTTGCGGGCATCGGCCTTGTTGGCCTTGGCCTCGGCAACACGCTTGGCGAGGACCTGAGCATACTCGTTCTAAAAGATGTTGTGTTAGATATGGTTTATGGCAAAGCTCTTGGTATTGTGTAAAACTTACGGCCTCGTCCTTGACCTTCTCGGCCTGGCGGCGCTTGAGAGCGGCACGGTGACGCTTGTGCTGGAGACGCTGGGGGGTGACGAGTCTCTGGATGCGAGGAGCCTTGGTGTAAGGGGACTTGCCCTCACCCTTAGGCTGGACCTCTCGTCGGATAACGTACTTGCGGACCTATAGATTCCATGAGCATTAGTCTTCTACGTTTTGGGATAGTAAATTTTCAACTCGTTACCCCTTGTTCGTTTCCTTCTTTGCAGAAAGCTGAACAAGGAGTTCTTCTCACACTCTACCCAGACTGCCAGCTCCTCCACTGCAGCTCCGGGTAGGCGATGATCGAGTATGGGCGTAGGGAAAGACATACATCGTCATCCTTGGTGAGGCCGAAGAACTTGCGGATCTTGGTGGCGCGCTTGGGACCGAGGCGCTTGGGGTGGACGACGTCGGTGAGGCCGGGGATCTCAGCATCGCCCTGCTTGACAATAGCGAGGGCAAGGACGGAAAGGTCCATGCCGACGATGCAACCACGGACGGACTTTCTCTTGCGCTCACCGGTGCGTCGGGGGCGGTAGCAAGAGTGGCCCTCGGAGAGGAGAAGGCGGACACGGGTAGGGTGCATGACACCCTGCTTCATGGGGAAACCCTGCTTGTCGTTTCCACCGGTGATGCGGAAGATGTAGCCCTTGAACTCATCGCCGATGGAGTCACCAGGAACCTCAGCGCCCATCTATCAGATAAAAGTTAGCCATGGTGTCGGAGGCGAGGGATGTTCGACGAGCGGGTCGTGGACGGGGAGGGGTTCGACGTACGCGCTTCTCCATGAAGACACGGAGCTTGCGCTCATCCTCAATGTCGATGAGCTTCTGGCTGCCATTGGCAGGGTAGCTGATGTTCAACTGTTGGAAGAAATTATCAGCGAATGTTTACTTCGTGGCGGATGTCGATATTTTCGAGTTGGAGTGAAGACGGGCCGGCCAGACAGCAGCAAGAGTAATTAGTTGCATGTCGAATAGCTGAAGAGTCTTTCTCGTATGCTCGCATCGATTGGAAGTGTAGTCGTACCTTCATTTTGCCAGTTGTGGTGGTGCAAGTTTACTTGACCTGGCTGCTGCTGAAGTTAGTAGTGAGGTTGATGAGGTTGTAAAATTCGCTGCGAATTCGAGAAAGTGGGAAAGTGCGTCTCGCTAGGGCTCCCCACGGAGTAAGCCAATCAGCACAATTTCCTGATCTACCGGCGAAAAGAAATCCCTGCCCCGCTTGGGTTATTGAGACCCTAAGCTTAAAAGTTCCACACTGTGTCATTTGGCCTCTGTGAGCGGATTCGCACGTACCTTACCTACCTGTCGTACTGAGGTACGTACCGAACCAATCCGACTTCACTGGAGCTTGAGTTACCAGGTTAATTTAGTAGTAGAAGACTGCTTCATAATAAGCCATTCAGGTTCCTTAAACTCAGAGTACAGGTATACTCATAACACGTATTTACTTCTCTCGCATTCACCATGTCTTCAGTTAAGCTCTATCCTCCCAACAAAAACATCGTCACCTCAAGTCCTCTCCCTCAACTCCTACAAACACCTTCAGGTCTAGCTCTTCTAGAGCTACAAGGAACAATCAACTTACCTCACGATGCCAATGGCGAAGCATTGAGCGACGTAGGTATCGGAAGACTTGATTTTCCAGATTATAATCCAGACGCTGAAGGCTCAGCGTGGATGAAGGAAGTCCATCTGTACGTGGGCCAACATCAGCGCCTCACTGGTGAAGTCAAGAAGCTCCCAAAGGCAATGGCTGTGGTACGGAGGAGAGAAAACAAAGTGATCTCTGGATCCGGAGGAGAAACAGAAGAGCAGGGCGAGAATCTCGAGGTGGTTGAGATTGTCAAGTACAAACTCATGTTCTCCAACCGGCCTGAGCCTGTTGGAACAGCCAATGCGTCTTGAACAACTGCTCTCTGCAGCTTTCCTACTACTCGGGCTTCTCAACACCTGTTATGCCTGGGTTTATTTACATCTGCATAGAAGCCCCGGCATAAGTTCCAGTCGGTATGGGCTTACGGCGAGGCGTTTTAATTCGCCAAACTGGCTCAATATGCAACATCCGCCGCATCACCTTACATATGATGCCAGTCACAGTGGTTTAACCAACAGAACAACCCTAGGGATGCTACATGCACATATATTATCAGAAGCCATGGTTCTGCACAAGTGTATCTTTGCGCTGGCGAATAAATGGTACACATGAGTAATTAGCCTGGCGAAGGCAAGGGCCTATCATTGTGTACAGACCACATCTATAGATCATATACAGTGGTGTCATAATACACTTAAAACAAACCTCAAATAAACATTGCACAAGATTTTCAAACTCATTTGTGCCAATCGTGCGTCTGATCTTTTTTATTTTTTATTACTTACTCTACTTCTATCCCGAAGCAATCTGCAAAGGCCTCGTCCTACCTAGCCCATCCTTTCCATAGTAGTCCATAGGATAGACACCCTCTCCCCAATCCTGCCTCTCTCCTAAAGCAACAAGCGCCTCGTAAGGTGTCAACAGCGGCCTGTGGAACGCATAGCCCCAGTCGATACTCAATCGAGGGCAAGCAACCTGCACCCAACACTCAACATCCGACATGAGCGCGAGCTTGCCAGGGAAGATCTCGCTCAGGAGTAAATGAACGATGGGAATGCCTCGCGCCTTCAGCTCTTTCTCTATGAGACCCAGTGTGTGAGGGTTGCCCTGTCGGCCGAGGGCGCCGAGAATTAGACCCCATTTGCGGGCAGACCGAGCACTGTGAATAGCTGTTCGTCGAAGAGACTGCATCTCCTCGTGCCCATATGTCTCGCGTGTAAGCTTTCGAGAATAGGGGTCGTATCGGTACGCTGGGATAGAAGGGTTATGGATCATGATACTCTCAAGATGGAAACGACCATCTCCTAGATACAAAATCAAGTCGATCTTGTCATCCTCTGTTAGACGAGGAGACGTGCAGCCCAGAATCTCGCCCTTACTCAAGGGCGCAATCTGGGGTACGAGGACACGGAAGCCACCGCGCTCGAGACTGCTCTTAACACCATGGATAGTGGCGTTGAACTGGATGGTGCCAACAACAGCAATGGTCTTGCCACTGGCGAAGTTGCGCTCCAGAGATGCGAGGAGATGTGTTGCATCGATGGTAATGTCAACAAAGACGTAGAGAGTCTTGATCGTGGTAACATCGACAGGGATGAGACAGCTGTGCGCATAATGCACCAGCAAGTCGCAGCCAAGAGCCCTTGCTGTGTAGTCATCGATACAGCATGCGCCGTATGTTACATCACCCATGATGAGCGTCTCAATACCAGGGCAGAACTGCGTCAAGATATCCGAGATAGTTGTGGCAAACAGCAAAAGACCTTCGGGCATTTGCAGCGCAACTCTCTTGGAATTTGAAGTCTGGATACGATGGATCGTCTTGTGAATCTCAAAGTTGTAGTTGGCAGGCAGCAGGGCAATAGCAGCCTTGAGATCAGGGTTCTCAAGAATCTCTTTGGGAACTTGGTTCAACAGCCTGGGTGCTCTCCGAGGCTTGGCAGCTACACAACATAGTATATGAGCATGTGTTCACTCACAGTTTCAGGCATCGTGAAGGGGATTCCACATACTCTGAACAGCGCCGCTCTCGCCTGATGCCCCTGATACTCCATTCTTTGCAGCTGCCTCCGTTGCCGCTCTTCGTCCTACAAATCTCTTCTTTGGTTGCTTCAGCGGCGTTGATCCGTTCTGCGCTGATGGCTCCGTCTCATTCTCGATAGCGGGGGATGGGCTGGCTTGAGTAAGCTGTGCCTCTTCGATATCGGCTGCTGTGCCAAGATCCGTCTGCCGTCTATCTTCCTCCATTGCGACGTAGTATTTGAACTCGATGCCAGATATTTCCTCTAAAAACGACGAGATCTTGAGTATGGCTTCACGTCTCGTAACTACGTTCAAGAAGCCCAAGACTAGCTTTCGAAAAAAAGTTGGGTGGCAATGTGCGCAACTCGGATTTTCAACACTGTAGGTCCACTCTCTACGTGCCCGACTTGCTCATTGGCTCTCTGGAGCTCTAGAGTAGCCATGACAGCCAATTTCAGCCTCTCATCATGATACCTCATGTGCTTTTACGACTCGTCATGATACACCGGGTCTGGTAGAGAATTGGTTGAATTGCATTAGCTCGCCTCCCTATCTTCACCATATACCTACTCTTGCTCTTCTCTGCTCTTCTCTACAACTTCCTTGAAAAAGACAGCATAAAAACAATCCACTTAAAACAAGTTGCTCTGTCTGCTCTTCCACTGCCCTGGCGCGCTCATTATACTATCTATCAAAATGCCGACAAGTTGTCCTCTCATGCGTCAATGAGGTTCTCTTCCGTCTGCTCCTGGCCTCGGGCCTCGGTCTCTGCCCGAGCCTTGCCCTTGCCCTTGGACTCCTTGGCGGCTCGCTGGTAGAACTCGTTGAGGATCTTGGCGGGGACACGGTTGAGCAACTCCTTGGGGTAGATACGAAGCAGGCTCCATGCAAGGTCAAGAGACTCGTAAATGGATCGAGACTCGTACTGGCCTTGGCTAATGAACTGGCGCTCGAACTTCTCCAAGAATTCGAGAGACAGCTTGTCCTCTCCGGACAAGGCCTCCTCACCAACGACAGCCTTCATGGCTGCGGCATCACGACCAATAGCGTACTTCGCATACAGTTGGTTCGAAACATCACCGTGATCCTTTCGGGTCATGCCCTCACCAATGGCAGACTTCATCAGACGAGACAGCGAAGGCAGCACGTTGATGGGAGGGTAGATACCACGGTTGTCGAGAGCTCGGTCAATGAACACCTGGCCCTCGGTAATGTAACCTGTCAAATCGGGAATAGGGTGGGTGATATCGTCGTTGGGCATAGTCAGAATAGGGATCTGAGTGATGGAACCGTTGCGACCAGCGACACGACCGGCTCGTTCGTAGATGGTGGACAAATCAGTGTACATGTAACCGGGGTAACCACGTCGACCGGGAACTTCCTCACGGGCGGCTGAAACTTCTCGAAGGGCATCACAGTAAGCAGAAAGATCAGTAAGAATGACCAGAACGTGCTTCTCGAGCTGGTAGGCGTAGTATTCGGCAGTTGTGAGAGCAAGACGGGGGGTAATAATACGCTCGATACTAGACAGGGATTAGTATGAAAATGGTTGCCTATTAGGGCGTCTACTACTCACGTAGGATCGTTGGCGAGGTTAAGGAAGAGGGTGGTACGCTCCAGACTGCCGTTCTCCTCGAAATCGCGGGTGAAGAAACGAGCAGTTTCCAAGTTAACACCCATAGCACCGAAGACGATGGAGAAGTTCTCCTCGTGGCCATCGTGGACGCCCTTATTGGTGATACCCTGCTTCTGGACAAGACCAGCCTGTCGGCAAATCTGGGCGGCGATTTCGTTGTGAGGCAGACCGGAGGCGGAGAAGATGGGGATCTTTTGTCCTCGGGCAATCGAGTTCATGGTGTCGATGGCAGAGATACCTGTCGAGATCATCTCCTCGGGATATTCCTAAAATCGCGCGGATCAGTTGTGGTCTTGAGGCGCCTTTGGGTAGCCTTACACGAGAGTAGGGGTTGATGGGAGAACCGTTGATATCGAGATAATCCTCAGCCAACACCTTGGGGCCCTTATCAATAGCTCGACCGGATCCATCAAAGATACGACCCAGCATGTCCTCGGAGACACCAATCTTCAAGCTCTGGCCGGTGAACTCAACCTTGGTCTGTAATTGTCTTAGCTGATATTCCGCCACTATAGCTCGCAATGCCGCCTACCTTCTTGACATCGATGCCGGAAGTACCCTCGAAGACCTATTGCAATCGTTAACCACCGTGACGTATCGCATCGTATCTGCTAGAAGTACCTGAACGACGGCTCGGTCACCTATTTATCCAAGTTAGCATATTCCGCGTCATTACTTTGGAGAGGCTTGTAGCTGCACTAACCTCGAGCTTCCAGGACCTGACCCGAGCGCTGAGTGCCATCGGGAAGGGTGAGGGTGACGATCTCGTTGTATCGCGGGAATTTGACCTGTTGTTATCAGCCGACAAAGTCCAGACCGACTCGAGCTTGGGGTACATGACGACGCACATTGTCGAGGATGACGAGGGGACCGTTGACGCCGCCGACGGTGTTGTATCGAATTCGGGGCACGACCGAGTACGATGACGACTCGCGAGGGTCGGCCATGATGGGCGATGAATCTGTGGAAGGGCGGGTTAAGGGGCGAGTCGAGAAAGTAGGAGGAATACGGTAGCCGATCGCGAAGCTTGGTGATGAAGTTGGGAGAGTGTCTCAAGAGGTTGGAGGAGGTTAAGCTTGCTTCACCAAAGTGGGGACTCTCTAGCTGCGCCAGCGCCAGGACCAGCTAGCCAGCCCAAAGACGACCCACGACCGATAAACTCACCTCCACACCTCATCCAGCTTTCGTCGGTGACATCACATGACATACAGGTATCACTGCGACCTTTTCCTGACCATAAACAGCTCCTGTGTTTCTTTCCAAGATGATGATTGATACCAGAGTTTATAACATTTTATACAAAATCACACTTACTCAGACGCTCGGCTTGAAAGGACAATTACCAAGCTACCCCTCCTTTGCTACAAGGTTGTCTACCTTAAGCTTTAGCCGCCTCTTGTTTGGTTCTGGTTCGAGCTCCAAGAACCGCCTTGCCCACTGTACTTCCATTTTCCTTACCCAACTCCTTTGTAATCCACGCTCCGATATCAGACATAGCATCCAAATTGATACCTGTGTCCATGCCTAGAGTTTCCATAAAATAGACCATGTTTTCTGTAGAGACATTACCAGTAGCACCAGGGCTGTAAGGGCAGCCACCCAGTCCACCGACACTGCTATCAAATGTTCTAATACCGTGCTCCAAGGATACAGCAGTATTTACTAGAGCTTGACCGTATGTATCGTGGAAGTGCATGGCAATATCCTCGGTTCGAATGCCTGCTGCAGACATGCACTGAAGGAGAGCTCCTGTTCGAGGCGCCGTGCCCATGCCTGTAGTGTCACCAAGCGAGATCTCATCTGCACCCGCCTCAAGAAGGTCCGTGGCAATTTCTGCTACCTTGTGAGGGTCAACATCGAAGCCCTCAAAAGGACATCCTAGGACCACGGAGATGTAGGCTCGCACCCGGAGACCCATAGCCTTGGAGTCCTGGATCACCGCTTTGAAGCGCTCCAGCGAGGTCTTAATATCGCAGTTAAGATTCTTCTGTGTAAAGCTTTCGGTGGCGGCAGCGAAAACAGCAATTTCAACGTTTGGCTTGGTGGCTGCATCTCCTCCAGTAGCAGGCTCCATTTGTGTTGCGAACTTTCCGGTATTGGCGTTGAGGACGCCTGCGGCAGACTGCAGGCCCTTATTATTCGGAGCAAGGAAAGAATAAGAAATTGGACCGGGTGAGGAGATCTTGCCATCAAGAATATGTTGAAGAATTTCGCTAGAATTGCGCATCTAAAAGACAACGCCTGTTACTACATGCCCACCAACCTCGTTGACAAGCAAACTCACCTGGGGAACCCATTTTGGGGCAACAAAGGAGCCGGCCTCAATGGTAGAGACTCCTGTCAGAGCTAGCCGTTCAATAAGCTCGAGCTTCGTCTCCAGAGGAATCGCCATTTTCTCGTTCTGCAGGCCATCTCGAGGTCCAACCTCGACCAGCTTCACGCGGTTGTCATACGACGGGCTAGTGGCTGTCGCAAAGCCTCTGTGCCAGCGAATTTGCTGTGACCGTCGGCATGCCCTGCATACGCTGGATCGCAAGAGACTCATGATTTTGGGTTTGCCGATATGTCGTGGGAGAAGCGGATGTGGATTCAATTGGGACGGAATTCAAGGATATAAAGTGCCGAGCTTGTAAAGGTGAAGGTCTAAGCAATGGATGTCAATCCGCGTACTGTCGGCCCCGGACCCAGCCCAAACGTGAGCCGAGCTTCGGTGCTCGGTACAGTCCATTTACAATACCGATACATCTCCAGGGCCGGCTTTTTAAACCCGTTGTTCCCCGCATTCTCTACTCTAAAAACAAACGGAAATCCAACGACATGTCCTAAGTGATAATGAGAGGTATCTTTGCATTATTACAACTACAATACTTGCAACTACAGTACTGCCTCACACAATGCCTTTGACTCGGACAAGCAAGCTGCGTAGCTGCAGCTAACCCATGTACATATTTTAGTCTTTTGACATTAAAACTCGTTTTGGCTTGACCCTTGTGAAAATAAGAAAACACACCTCTCTATCGGTGTCAAACAGAACTGGTTGAAGACGGTAATCCAGTCATCGCATCCGCAACCGCTTAGTACTCAGCCTCAAGCTCCTCGTCGCCCATGGAGTCGGTAGCAACCTCCTCGTAATCGCGCTCCAGGGCAGCGAGATCCTCACGAGCCTCAGAGAATTCACCTTCCTCCATACCCTCACCAACATACCAGTGAACGAAGGCACGCTTGGAGTGCATAAGATCGAACTTGAGTGAGAGGGAAGACCAGGCCTCGGCGATGGCGGTGGTGTTGGAAAGCATGCAGCTGTCATATGTTAGGATTCATTCAGTTATTCATCTGAAAATACAGGTTTGACTTACACAGCGCGGCTGACCTTGGCGAGGTCGCCGTTAGGCACGTTCTCGGGGGCTTGGTAGCAGATACCAAGCTTGAAGCCAGTAGGGCACCAGTCGACGAACTGGATAGTTCGCTTGGTCTTAAGGGTGGCAACGGCGGCGTGAGCGTCGTTGGGGACGACGTCACCACGGTACAGCAGACAGGTGGCCATGTACTTGCCGTGGCGGGGGTCACACTTGACCATCTGGTTGTTGGGCTCGAAGCAAGACATAGTCATCTCCTGGACGGAGTTGGCCTCGTGGGCGGCCTTGGCGGCCGAGATAACGGGAGAGTAGGCAACCAGAGGGAAGTGGATTCGGGGGTAAGGGACCAGGTTGGTCTGGAACTCGTTCAGATCGACGTTGAGGGAGCCGTCGAATCGGAGAGAGGCGGTGATGGAAGAGACAACTACACATGGTTAGCAAATTCACCCCTGACTTCCTGTGGGGATTTGGACCTACCCTGAGCAATCAGGCGGTTGAGGTTCTCGTAGTTGGGGCGCTCAAGGCCGAGGTTTCGGCGGCAGATATCGTAAATGGCCTCGTTGTCGACCATGAAGGAGCAGTCGGAGTGCTCCAGGGTGGTGTGTGTGGTGAGAATAGAGTTGTATGGCTCAACGACGGAGGTGGCAGTCTGAGGAGCGGGATAAACACAGAATTCCAGCTTGCTCTTCTTGCCGTAGTCGACGGAGAGACGCTCCATCAGGAGAGCACCGAAACCAGAACCGGTACCACCACCGAAAGAGTGGAAGACGAGGAAGCCCTGGAGACCAACACAGTTATCGGCGACACGTCGAATCTTGTCGAGGACACCATCGATGAGCTCCTTTCCGACAGTGTAGTGACCACGGGCGTAGTTGTTTGAGGCATCCTCCTTGCCAGTGATCATCATCTCAGGGTGGAAGAGGTTGCGGTAGGGGCCGGTGCGGACCTCATCGACGACATTGGGCTCCAAATCACAGTAGATAGCGCGAGGGACGTATTTTCCCTGGCCTAGAATAGGGGTGTTAGACAGAGACGCACGAGGCCAGAGGTTGCAAAGTCCAATTCATACCAGTTTCGGAAAAGAAGGTGCTAAATCCTTGATCGGGATCCTGCTGCTTCCGCTCCTCAGTGAGGTAACCATCGGGCTAGAGGTAGTCAGTACTGGGCATCGTGGTGTTTGTTGACAAATGGCGGGGTCTTGGTGTACCTGGATACCATGCTCGAGGCAGTAAAGCTAGAAGAAGTGTCAGTGGAAAGCAATATCAACAAGATGCTTGATCAAGACTCACCTCCCAGCAGGAGTTGGCAATTTGGCAACCAGCCTGGCCGACTAGAGTAGCTCAGTTAGCATGACAGTCAAAAGGAGATGCGGTGAACGCCCAACAGCAAAGGGAGGAATATGGAATAGCTTACCGTTGATGCTAATGACCTCACGCATTTTTGCTGATGATAGAGATTAAAGGTTATGAAATTGGAGGAATCGATGCAAGAGCAAAGAAGAGGGACCACGAGAAAAGAGGAGGACAAAAAAAGGACAGGCCAGGCTTTTACGACGGAGATTCGGACTGGGCTGAGAGGAGACGGGTGAGAAGATGAGCAGAGGCAGAGGGCGAATGTTTAGTTTAGTTTGGTGATGAGTTAGCGGAGTGGATGGGAGAGTGCGGTGGGGGAAATTTGGCAGGCAGGGGAGGCTTTGCTGCCCTGGGATTGGATTGGAGTGGCTGTGGATTTGTTGATTTGATTTTGATTCCGAGGCGTGCCTGGGCTGAAAAGGGGTAAGCGCGTTCTGCAACGCCCTGTTGGCGCTTCTCGCTGCCGACGCCTGTTGGCCAGCGGCAGCGGGAGCGGGTGCCCCCAGCCCAGGGAGTCACCGAACCTGCCCTGAGGCCTAAGGTCCCCTGAATTATTATTACTGGCTCCGTTGTTTGACTGTGGTTCTTAAGCTTCACCGCTCAAGCAAAAAATGATACCAGCTTAACAGTTGCACGGCAGATTATTATGTCCAGCTTCGACTTTAACACCTGGAGTAACATCCGACCTGACCGAACCGGGTTGCCAGCACACTCGGTATTGGGCTGTCTCTCTTATTAGACGACGATCCATGGGTCCATATTTTGCCTTTTGTATCGGCCGATGCTCATCTCTGCTATGCCGTTCATTTCGCCTCTGTTATTAAATATCACAGCCAGGTCTCAGAGCTACCTTACGTCTTGTCCATACAACCAACCCAGTTGAACTCCTTAGAAGGGGAGAAACTACAATTATGTGTGGCTACTTCTTTCCTTGTTATCAAGGACCCTTTTTTTGCTGATACCTACTTTTTGGTAATACGGCTCAACGAACTGGCCCCTGCCTTTTACCCTGTTCATTTGTTTATATCCCTGTTACTATAAGTAGGTACGTACCCGGGACCATAGCTTTCATTCCGGTGTTGTTCGCCTCGTGGTTGTTCCAAGACATGAGAGCTCCTTGTTCAGAAGTCAATCATTTAGGGGGAAGGGAAAACCAGGAGTTGAAGTCTAGAATATCTTTGTGCCTTAGGCAGGGCAGCTGTGCACCTACTTCGGTTTGATACAAAATGATGTTAGGAAAGACAACAGCCATAGGTTATGGCTTTTCGTCTCCACGACATCAAGGTTTTATGTAAACATATTTGAGACTTATAAACCTATATTCCACTACTTCAGATCCTTAAATCTACTATACAGAGTTTTTCGATCTGGGAACGTCCCAACTTTTCCTCATCATCACTGATCTCGAATTCGGTCAGCGATCTTCACCGGTGATGTCTGATGCGTCGTATCGTCGAGGCCCAAGCTTCACCAGCCTGGTTTGCACGGCCCTAAGCGATCGCTCACTCCCGACATCATCCCTTGTAACTTGTGAGCTTTGAGCACGTGTACTTGAAACATGAACAGCCATCAATGCACGGAATGGATGCTCATGGCATTATCAAAGGTGACTATGTACTACTATGTAATACCGACATAGATATCTTTGAACCACATAAGCTCCAATTATTGCTATGAGGAGAACGTTAGTATATCAAGAAGTTAAGTCCACATTTTGCTAATAATCTGTAGTTCTACTTGCCAGTCAAATTCTGGTCGTCTCTAAAAATGAAATGATGGGAGTTACACCTACTTCCCTACGGAGCAGGTACCGCTTAACAAATGCTATACACATGGTAAAGGAAGGCAGTTCCAGATTATCTCAAGTCCAGGAAAGTAGAGGGTCATGATGCTACGTGTATGATACTCTGGACAAGCATTTATTTGGGTATTGATACTTTGCTTACGTATATTAGGTAGTTCAAGCTATTGAACCATCCTGTGTTTCTAAAACCTATTCCACTTGTACAATTTACGCTTACATACGCATATTCACTCGTTCACTTAAAGCTGTTCCTGCTGGGAACTCTTGTCTGTACCTAAGCTTCGAGTACCTATACATGGTCTCTTCTTTCCTCGGCAACCCCAAGAGACGCCATGATAAGTTGAACTCAGAAGGCAGGTGTAAGTTACCCCTGACAAATCTGTGGTGAATGTCGAATGTTCACCTTTTATCTCTCACGAATCATCACAGCACTTATCCTCGGACGTTATCACCCATTCACTACCATACATTACTGTCATCCTTCGCCAACAGTCAGAGCCGGTATTATAATTTCGATGGCCCGGGACACACATCTTGAATATATTTGGAATGGCGATACCCAGTCTCTGAAAGTCAAAGGGCGTTTGCTCAGCGGCTCTAAGACTGACCTACACATCGACCAAGCGCTATGCCCTAGTCTACTGAATTACCTGCGGCAAAACTTTAATGTGGTGAAAGTTGAATACTCGTGCCCTTTTCTCATTCTCGGATGCCGGACCGAAACATTGCCCGCGAAAGACAAAATGCCTTTCACGATTGCTGGCGTCTTAGCCATCTTCCTACCTGAGACACAGTTCGACGCGTTTCTGAAAAGCTATGAATCTCCCAGAAGCTGGGAGAGAATAAAATACCCAGTCGATATGGAAGTTCAATCTCTCATCACGGAAGAACAAGTACTTGAGCTGGCCAAACAGTTTCCCGACTGTTTAACAATCTCACAGATAGGACCTGATATATGGCTCCAATTTCCTAAAGTCAAGACCAAGTCCAACGCTCTAGTCTTGAAGGTTAATTCCGTGGACGAGGCGACATACCGGGTCCCCTGGGGTCTCGCTCGCTGTAACGGTCAAGTGTTGCCGAAGGCGCCGTCGATGAGAACACTTTCCAAAGCCTGGCCTTCGAAGACCCACGGATCCAAGCCGTTCGCCCAGAGCAATACAGAAGAGTTTCCACGACTTTCATCTTCGATAGACAGGTCCAAGAGCATGTTTAAAAGTGATAGATCAATATCAAACAAAGTAAAGCTTGAGCCCGAGGATATTGTCACGCTAAATAGAACCACCAAAATGTTGGCTGGAATACTTGTGGAAAGAAAATCCAAACGGGCTGTCATGTTTCCAGCTGTTTCGGACCTGGATGACCTTAAAACCAAAGAGGTATATTCTTCTGACGGTCAACGGCTCCTTGGGCGAATTCTAGAGCCAGTTTAAAAGTCCCGTCTTCAGCTTGCACGCCTAGGGAGTGGTACGCTTCATAACCGCATTCAAAACCGCAATCTTTCAATCTGTCCAAACCCTCAATTTGGCCAACAGTGTGTCATGAACACTCCTACAACAGGTCGACGATTTCTGTATCGAGCTGGAAAGCAGTTCGATATAAAGAAGACTGGTCCAAGCAAAACTAGGCCTCCTCACCTCTCGGGTATCAAATTCGGCCCCGAGGCGACTCAGTCCGACCCTGAGCATAGCATCCACTTTGAGCGAGGGATATATTTTACCAACACACCAGTGACTCTACAGGACTTCGAGACTAAGGATCCCTCTTTTGGGAGGCTCATCACAGTTTGTGAAAAGATCAACGAGGCGGTTGCACCAACAAGTACTCCTATACAAGTGTCTGGCTTGACAAGTGGGTTTACTGATCTATGGTCTTCCAATCCTGTCAGTGATTTCAGAAACTACATGGTTTACGGAGAGGAGCTTTCATCTCTTCTCGATCGGGGCTGGACGGTAGTTGAAGCGGAATGAATCACTCATTTCTATTGATCACAGGGCTGATCAACTAGGAGTGCTCGGTGATAAAGGTTTGGTGGAGAAGGGTCGGTGCGGTTTAAAAGCGTTTGTAGGGATTTGGACCACTACATGGTATTCTATGCAGCGTCACATTTAAGAACATATCACAACTTAATACCGTTTCAACTCAACGTCTAACTACAAAGATGATCGTGGGGCGAGTGCGTACCTAATTCATATGTGTGACGCTTTAAACTAATAGATGTGTCATGCAATATAATTTTTGCTTTCATAAAATATAAAATGCTAAAAATTAAAAGTTAAAACCCCGAATATGCCTCGTCATCTGTTGTTTATCAAGTTAAATCCTTTGTGCTTTTGTTACTTCATCAATCAAGTGTGATGTCGTCGAAACCAACATCGCGAGGCCAAGTTTTGCCGAGCCGTGCGCCTCACTCCCCCTGCATGATTATCCGTTCACCACCTACACAATGGAAACAACAGCAACAACAACAGGCAACCAAATCCGCTCAACTTATCATCAACATGGTTTCCTTCAAGAGTAGCCATGCTTTGCATGTTCTAGGCTGTATACTAGCAATTGTGACTCCAGCCATTGCCAATGCTGATAAGACAATATTTACGGCACCCGCGTTGATCCCGATTCCACAGCAGAAACCATCCCTAGCGGATCTCAGGCTGCCCGCTCTTACACCAGACGCTTCGGAGATCAGGACAAATCTTAGTCGCGTGTTTCCCTCTGAGCCTAAAGACTACGCTTCTGGTGCTGCAACATGGGTGCTTCTTGATAGCCTGAACCCTGGCCAGCGATATGAGTTTCGAGTCTGTTGGGCTGCCATTGTGAGTCTTCGTGTCATTTGATGATGAGATGCATGCTAACTCGTGTGCGCTATTAGCAACCTACGGGTTTCGAAATGGACGTGTATGAGTTAGACACCGTTTGGCAGACTCCAGAGTTGATTCAATCACTCGCAGGCTACGCCTTTTCACGCCAGGATCAAGAGACGGAACTGCATGAGGAGCCTCCCCTTGTCGGGGAGAGGGAGCGCGAGGCTTCCCTTCTTCTACTGCATATCAAGGCTTCTGCTGACTACTTCACCGACGACGCGGCTCTTATGAAGGATCCTCCACCCGTGCTCGTGGATCTCATCCTCGATCCCTATTTATATAATGTCGTCCCACGTTCTTTGGTGCCAACGGCTGGCTACATCGTTCTCATCAGCGTAGTAGCTTGGTTCGTGGCCAGATCCATCGCTGCCAAGCTACAAACAATTGCTATCACAGATAACACGGACAAGAAGAAGAACTGATAGAAGAGCTGTTGATGACTGTGGGTATAATCCCGAGAAACATACAAGAAGGCCTAGAAAAATGCATTCTACTATCTACGTTAATCATATTGCTCGTGATTCTTCTCCTGCATCATGTCATTTTCATCAGACCTCTACAGAGCCTCAATGTCTATACTCATTTCGATACATCTTCATTGACAAAATACTCTTATATCGAGCATTCGGTCATCAGATGTGTACATATAGTGAGAGAAAGGGCTACAATTGGCCGTTTGTGTAAAATCTCGCGATCTCGTGCTGAAACCATCAAGACAGTCTTGATAGTCAATGTTTAGGAAACAAATACTGGGGTTATTCTGCATAGCTTCGGTGCAACCCCCTTAGTAGGCTCCTCCGTATTGTTGAGGGTGGGAGCCATGAGGCACAGGAGGGGCACCGCTGCTGTATTGCGACTGACCACCATAAGACTGCTGGTTTCCCTGTCCTCCATTGTAGGAAGAGTTGTATCCTCCAGGAGGTCCTCCTGGTGGAGGTGGCGGGAAGTTCTGAGAGCCTGAAGCCGGTGGTGCACTATATCCTTGCGCCTGCTGAGCATGTTGATCAGGTGGGCCACCAAACTGGCCGCCGTGGGATTGAGTATCAGGGTAGCCCTGGCCGGACGACTGATGCTGTGGTTGCTGCCCAGGAGGAGGGGGGAAGTATTGTTGGCCCTGCTGTCCCTGCTGCCCATGCTGAGGACCTCCGGCAGGCGGAGGAGGGAACGAGTTGTGCTGCGAACCGTGGGGGCTTCCGGGGAACGAAGAGTTACCACCATACTGCTGGTGCGAACCGGGTTGCTGCTGGTGGGCTCCATACTGAGGGTTCTGGCCTGGCTGCTGCTGATGCGCACCGTACTGCTGGCTCGAAGCTGGGTGTTGCTGGTTCCCGTACTGTGGGCTACCGCTGGGTTGCTGTTGGTGCGCTTTGTAGGGCTGGTGAGAGCCAGGCTGCTGTTGCGAGCCAGGCTGCTGTTGCGAGCCATACTGGCTCGAACCTTGTTGCTGATGATGGCTAGGCGAAGGCGAGCTGTAGGAATGCGCTCCGGTAGCAGGTGGTGCTGAAGGGGCCGAAGGAGCTGAGCCTGTAGGTTTGTAGGTTGGGGCTTCGCCGGAGTATGCCCCACCACCCTGTTGTTGCTGTTGCTGCTGCCCAGAGTGGTAGCCAAAGTTCGAGTTTTGTCCCTGTCGCATTGTTAGTCTTGCGCAAGTGATCTCACATCACCGCTATAGACCTACACTGTTGCCTGTCTTGCCACCAAACATGGTTGCTACACCTCCCATAAGTTGACCAGCGAGACCTCCCTGGTGCTGCTGCTGCTGTGAGTTCTGGTTGGAGCCGCCATGGTAGCTCTGCGGAGCAGGAGGCTTCTCCTGAGAAGCTGAGTGCATGAAGCTTGAAGCCAGCTGCCCAACGAGTTTGCCTGCGCCTGAAGGTTTGTTTCCTCCACTACCGCCACCACTGCCACCATGGCCGCCGCCAAGGAACTGGCTTGCGAGACCACCGAGGTTACCCAATGGACTAGAGCCATGGCCTCCGCTGCTACCACCATGGCCGGAGTTCTTTCCGCCAAGCAAAGCGTTCATAGCCATGCTCTAAACAAAATTGTTAGTAAGTCTTAAGATAATATGGGGATGGCTCGTGTGTAACATACTCCAAGACCACGTTCTCCAGAAGGACCATCTACACCGCGGGAGCCATCGGGCATGATTGGTTCCATGGTGCCATCCGGATGGCGCACAGTCTGCGATCCATCGGGATGTGTGATGAGCTCCGGAGGCTTGGGGGTACCGAAGACATGTTCGGCCTGGGGAGCGGGAGTGTTGCCCGTCTTGGCGGGCTCGGTAGGGACATCCCATTGCGAAACACCAGTCGAAAGCTGAACGTAGTAGTATTTCTTACTCGTGCCATCCCACTGCGCAATCCAACCCGCAGGCAGCGGAGGAGGAGCAAACGTGGGACCTTCGGCCTGGGGAGAGGCAGGGCCCGTCATAGTCGAAGCGGATGTGCTGTAGGTGTAGTAGGTAAGGGGGTAGTTTGTATATGGCGGTCGAGGCGGGGAGAAGTCGCAAGAGGAGGGGTTCAAAGGTGAGCAGAGGAGAGGGATGGAGGGATTGTCGCGTGGTGAGGATGAAGGGATTGTCGTAGACGGAAATTCCGTCACTGAGCGAAAAGGGCCGCAGTCATGAAGAGTGTAAAATAAAAAGAGACGGGGGACAAGACGAAGCGAGGTGAGGTTTGGATGGTGGTCGCCTCTGGGTGGTGGAGGTTTAATAAAGCTTGGCTTGACTTGACTGGGACTGCCCCGGGCTAAGCTGGGGCTGGACTGGGCCCTGAAGTGCTCTTTGGGTTCTTTGGCTCTTTTCGCTCTTTCGCCGCTCTTAGTAGTAGAGGATTGATGCGGGAAACCCATCAGCAGAAGATGGAGCCCACTTCTAGGTTTGGGTTGGGCTGTTTGTGTGAGGTGCTTCCATGTGTGGCCTTGTGCTTGAACCAGACCAGGGCGCTTCTTCAGTCTTTAGTGAGTTGCTGCCTTACAGCGAGTATCAGACAGGCATAGGTACCTAGATTTCAATCTGATGCGTCCAACCAAAGCATGCAATTCCAATACTTACAACAAAGCTAACTATTACACAACCGTCTCTCTAATTCTTCAACGCATATGCGCTCTACCTAAGCGATTGTTGACTGATCCTTGGTGCTCTGGATCTTTGTCTAGCATCGCTTTATCTCACCTCCCAAAGACCCCTTCATGGGCTACCAAACACAGCCCCGCCAGGCCCGATTAGGTTCTAGACAAAAAGCATAAGCACCGTGTGCACACTGTTCATTGCCGCCACTCTCTGCGTCTGTGTGTGTATCTGTCCAATCAAGGTTTTGACACTATCTCGGCACACACTGTGCTTTATTCTGTTCTTGGTCTCTCAAACAGACACCACAGCCCCTCTTACACCAACACATAGCACAACACACCATAAGTGGCCTTCCAACCTCCATGATTATCCTCTGGGCCGCAATGTCTGTCTAGTTACGCGTCACTGGCGGTCTCTCATTGTCCGATGAGGACTAAAGCTAAAGAGCCTTTCGCCTTTCCATCTACGTCCAGTCGTGCCTTAGGGTAAGGGTCACACATCAATTGAAGTACATGTCGAGTCATGGCCATAACAGCTCTCTACTATCGACCAGGGTTCCCTTCTGCAAGTGTTGAAGTGTTAACAAGGGCCCAACACAACAAGGAACAAATATCAATATATCTATCATATAACAAATTTTACATTGATATCATGCTCTACACGTCACGATCACGGTCACGGTCACGTTAAAACAAGTGTTTTGGAAAAATCAATCAGTTTGATTCCTAATGCTCTGTGTACATAATGACCAAAACTCCGAAGTCCATCCGCCGTTCCAGAATGCAAGCAAGATGTTTGTTACTCCAGCCTTTCTTTCGCGAGGCGCTCTTTCATTCTCTCATGACACCCTGAGTTTTGACTCAGGTCGCGACCAAAGAACCCTTAAATCCAGCGAGCTCGGAGCTTGCGGCCGAATCCAAAGGCCATAGCCGAGGCCTTGTTGCCAGAGCAGGTAGTGCCAGCGGCCATAGACTGAACAACAGACCAGCGGCCGGAAGCACAGCGTTGGTACTTGGATCCGCCGATACAGTTCCACTGGCCTTCGTCGGTGCAAGCAGAGCCGGCTGTCTCCTCTGAACCTGAACCTGAACCACCAGAGCCAGCACCAGCACCAGTGTCGGGAGTAGCGGGAGCAGCAGGTGCGGTGGGAGTAGTAGGAACAGGCTCAGGGCTGCCGACGTTAGTAGGGGCAGGCTGAGCAGGCTTGGTCACGGTGATCAGGGTGCTGCTGTCGGCACCACCATCGTTGGCAGGGGCTGAAGGAGCAGCGGGGGCAGCGGTAGCCTCGGCGGGCTGAGAAACAGTGATGAAGACACCTCCGGGACTGTGAGTTTGTGTGTTAGTGGCAGTGTCAATAGTAGAAGAGGAAGAGGGTACGTACGCGCCACCAGCGGGAGCTGAGGGTTGAGCAGCGGGCTGGGTCTCGACAGGGGCAGCAGGGGTGGAAGGAGCAGCTCCAGAGCCATCACCAGAGCCAGATCCGTCGTTACCACCGGCAGAGCCATCAGCAGGAGTACTGGGAGCAGCACCGGAACCACCACCGGAAGAACCGCCACCGGAACCGGCCTTGGCACAAGTGCCCTTGGGACCAGCAGTCTTCTTGGAGTCGTTGCTAACATCGGGACCGGGGTCGGGGAACTCAAGATCGGAAGCCTCCTCGGTGGTGCAGCCGTTGCCAACGTTGGCGACGAACATCTCAGGGCGGTTGCTCATGGCAGATGCACGCTTACCGGCGCCTCCACCAATGGTGACGGCGGCACAGTTCATGTACATCTCACGGTTACCAATCTGGTTGAACCAGGTCCAGGCGAAGATGGCCTCGCCGGATGGAGCGTCACTGGGAACCTTGAAGTCGAAGGTGGTAGTACCAGCGCCGGGGCAGTTGCCGACGTAGGAGTGGATGACCTGCCAAGACTCACCCTTATCGAAGGAGAGAGAGGCCTGGCAACTGCCACCACCGTGGTTAGCACCGCCGGTGATGCTCATGTTGTAGGAATCACCAGCTGCCCAGTTAGCAACCGAAGCACCCTGCGCGGTACCGAAGAGAGAGTGGTAACCCTTGCAGGGGAAGTTGGCGCCGCTGGCCTCAAGAGGAGCGGTCATGCTGTAGTCGACGTCGCTACCAGCGTTGGTGTTGGCCTTGGACTTGAAGGGGGGAGGGTAGATCATCTCCATGTGTGCCTGGGCCAGACCAGCCAGACCGAGGCAGAGAGCGATAGCGTTGAACTGCATTTTGTCGTTGTGACGAAGTTTGTTTTTTTGGGGAAGTGTTGATGTGCGAAGAGGGTATCTCGAAATGAAAACTGTTGTTGTTGTTGCTACTCTAGGAGTGAACCCTTGTGTGGTGAATGAGTGATTCAGTGGAAGGATCGAAGCGATTTTATATGCGAGCCCGGCTCGTTATTCAAGATTCAGGGCTGTTGTTGTTCAAGTGAACTGATAATGAATGAAGAACCAACGCGAGCGGGTTCTGATGCGGTCGTTTATTGTTCAGTGAGTGAACAATAAGTCAAAGGATTGTGGGTTATTGAACAAGAGCGTTCGTAAAGAGAGAGAAGCGAGATAATGAGAGCGTCAACGCGAGCACGGTGAATAGAATATATTCAATGTGTGGAAGAGCGAAGAAGAGAGAAACAATGGCGACTGTGCGTTAACAGTGACAGGCAGTGGCGAGCACAGGTGGTTTAGCGGTCTTGTTTTCTCGAACAGGTCGACGGCGTCGGACGGGAGGCTCTTGGTGACACAAAGGGCGGTTTCTTGTGCGTTGTTCAGTCGGTGAGTCGAGACTTGTTGCTGTTGTTCAAGAAAGTTGTAAGAGATGCCAGTCTCCGTAGAAGAAAGTGGTTTCTTTGTTTGTTTGTGAGGGAATGTGTTCAGCCCGTCAAGGGAGAGTCAAGAAGAGAATTGAAGCGAAGTGAAAAAGAAGAAAAAGAAGAATCCAAGAAGGGACCGTTTTGAAAGATGAAGTTTCCTGAGCGTTGCTGGAGAGAGAAGGGGGGAGGAAGTGGATGGGAGGGACTCCTTATGTAGTACGACAGACAACAGACGACGGACGACAAGCCAGGCTCAGGTGGGAATGTTTTAGTCGTTTCGTTTCGGCTGCCTCTGAGCCAAGACATTGACAGAATAGAATAGTGACATTGCTCTCAACCATCTCCTGAATCGCAGCGCGGCAAAGGGACGAGCGAATTAGTCGCTCTCGTTAACCGTCTTGACCCCCCGGCTCATGTGGTTCTATAACTGAAGTCTCCACCATGGAGCAACAGAGCATGAATTTACCCAACTATACAGCCCGGAAATCCCTTAGGATCGACATTATTTCCTTGACCCGCCAGGAACAGCTTCGGGGAACGAAGCGACTGGCAGTCGAAGCGTCTCGTCTGTGGGCGTCTATGTCGCATGTGGGAGGGGGACCAGGGGACCACCCCTTCTAGAGCCGGCGCCTAAAAGACGAGAGTAGTAGTAGTGGATGAGGCCCCTATAGAGATGAGCGTCATGATAATACATGTGTGTGCATTGCATTGCATTTCTGATACAAGATATCCCTGTACTTTTTCGGTAAATAGGAAGGTATGTATGTATGTATTGTCATATCATTCCATTGTTCTCTCCACCATCTGTTGTCTGGTGTTGAAGATGAAGAATAAAGACGAAAAAGTGGTTCCTCCCTGTTCAGAGGCAGGCGCTGGGCTGGACCAAGAATTCGAAACCCGATCTTGGCTCCACTTTGTCCGTGCTTGACCACCCACGGACATTTATTTCCTACCTATGCTGGCAAGCTGGGACTATTATATATCCTTGTAGACAGATGCCGGACAGTGGACAGGGGAGAGAGCGACACCTGATACACTACAATTCGATCTAAGAGCAGCTACTGTGCTGTAATAGTAAGGTGGTTAGTGAGTAAATCAGTGAGTTTCGATATTGCTTCTTTCTGCTCTTTTCCATCTCGTAACACCATGATTGCATTGCATGTGCTGCCTTCTCTGCTTCTCTCCCACATTGACATAATTACATCTCATCTGTTTTGTAGATCTCTTATGCCGTGTTTGCCACGCCATGCGCCGGGCTACATGATGTGAGACCTGACGCGGCCCGTATGTCGCCTCTTTCGCCATTAACTTGATGTTTCCTGGTAACCACTGCACTCTGTACATGTTCCCTGTCCTTACGTTGTTTCGATCTTCACATTAAATCCTCCTTTTGGGCTTATTGCCGTCTCGCTTCAGATAGAAAGAGTGCTATCCTCTCGAGCCTTGACGTAAAGTGGCTAGAGACAAGCCTTGTCGCGGGTGTAAGTCATTGAGTCGCAGGGATTGGCGCTGGATCTTGTGGTGAAGACTAAAGATTTGACAAAAAAACAGGGGTTCGACAAAGATGAAGCAGGCCTCCGTGACGGGTCAGGGCCCTATCAGCCAATCATAACTCCAACACTCCAAAAGCCACCCGCGGTCTACGGAGTACTAAATGTGCATTGATTGCCCGGGCTTGTGCCTGAGTGAAACGTGCCATCTGCAGTGGCTTCAGGGGGCTCAGGGAGCATCAGATCGAGTGATTCCTGTCACCTGAGATAAGTAATAACGACAGGACCCTGAACTGAAGCAGCGAAGGAACAACATGATGCGTTGAGACATTTGCGATTATCAATAGAATCAGCTTCAGATTATCGACTTGCCTAATGAGGCCGATTGTAAGTATTTTGCTTGTGACGATACGTAATAATTCAATTTCAATCCATCAGATTATCACCTTTCAAGCAGGTTGTCACAGGTAGGGTATGACTTACACGTAAACTCGAGTAATAAGAATGCCCCTTTCATTTAATCACCAACAAGGCAGGACAAGACAGTGATACAAAGTGTTTGAGCGGAATAACCTGAGTCATTTGGTCCAAGTGCCGAGGTGTACGACAACTAGAGAGACATTGAGTGACAAGCGAACACAAGATCCAACGTACAATCATGAATAGAACCACAGAAGGACTGGCAGAGTATAGAGAATAGAGTATAACTGATATCAACGTACCTAATATGCTGTGTTTCATGTTTTTTCTGCAGAAGGAATGGAAATAGCCAATAGTATAGTATAACGACAACACAACCAGGAATGGTTGTCACAATGCAGCAATTCGATTCCCTCTCTACGTGCCTACCCTGCATTGCATTGCACTGCATTTCATACCAATCAACTAACCAAGACTCCCATCGTCCGTCACATGAATATTCATACTCGTATGCGCCGTGCATATGCAGAAATTCCGATCACGTAACTCCAAGATCCAAGATCCATGATCCATGATCGATATTCCCTTGTTCCATGTTCCCCTCCCCGGCCAGCGAATCGAGGGTTTTTCTTCTTCTTCTTTCCCACTCCCAAGGCCAATCCGATTCGTGATGGGTGATCATCTGCTAGTGGCATCCACCGCGCTAAGCACAAGCCTATGCCCCAAACCCCAAGCCCCAAAGCAAGTGACAACGGCGGAACGGTCCTCTTAACGCCCCAACCGTCTGATCCATAGACTTGGAAATAGACGTGCACCAGTACCATTAAGTCATAACTCTCAATTCCTGTATATTAGTAACTAATACAGTGAGAATGGAACATGGAATGAACAATTCTAAATATAGTCTGTAGTTACTATGCTACCTCATATGTATATCCGTAGGTAGATTATGCTGATATAATTACTAACATACACTGACAAACTCCTAGAAATACTGGATTGTTACATTGACTATCATCTCATCCGCTGTCGTCCGTCACCTTCTCCTATTTACCTATGTTTAGTAACAGAGTTCTAGACTTACGTACTGCATCGGTTTTGCCCGGAAGTATTCCTCACTTACCCTGGTCTGCGTCTGCCTACCCCTGCTTCAACTGCCCCCCCTTCTGCGTTCTGCGTTTGAGAAGTCGCCAGGATTGCGAATGGCGTGAGTTCCCACTCCTCTCTTCTCCTCTCCAGCCGCGCGTGTATGCATGTGAGAACTGTATTTCTATTCAGCAACCAGTATTGAAGATCCAGCCGAGGGAAGGTACGTATCCCTCTGTCTGCCGAACATTGCATTGCTTGGCAGCTTACAAGCCATCAGTCAAGCCAAGCATGGTACCTGGTACCCGTAGCAAAGGCTTTGTTTGATGTCAAACAAGCCCATTACCCAACATTCTATGAACGGAAACCACCACCACCACCACCACCACCACCACTACTACTACTACTACCACTACTACTACTACTACTACTACTACTACTACTACTACTACTACTACTACTACTACTTGGTTCGCCAACTTGGCAAAATGTGCCCACGTAACCGCGTGCACATGTACCACCACTATGCACATTGTATTTGTCTCATTTGACTATCTGACTACGTGCTGTACTGTGCTGTGCTGTGACATACGAATGCCTTTGCTACTATTCGCTGCTCTCATTTGCGCTGCTTCGTTTGATCTTGACAATCCAGCAGCGGTTTATCCCTCCTCCTCTGCATCACACCACATCTCATCTTTCAACTCTTCCCCTTGCCACTACTCTCAACGAATACTGTCAAAGTTGTAAAAGATATAACCTATTCGGCAGCTGCTGGAATGGCTCTCACTCGTGACAGCCCAGCTCGCTCCTGGAGTTGCCTCGAACGAGCCTTGCCATCGAATCCCTCCCATAATCACTACCCATTTCCAGGAGGGCCACACAGCTCCACCCTACGCTCTCAGCTCCCATTGCCCAGTCTTAGCCCCGATAATCAATGGTGACAAGTCCACATGCTTGGTGTTTGTGTCCCCCGCCTAATGTTGTTCGGGCTCTTCACGTCAATTGTTCGACTTCGCTTCCTCCGATATTTACTGCTCAAAGGAAGCACCGACAACAGAGGCGATCGCTCTGGCGCTGCCATGGTACCACCACTTAGCATTCCCGACTACCTTTGCCATCCAATCGGCGCAAGAATGCATGGAAAATACCAATGTCATGTCGGCCCCCCACAACTCAATCAGTCCGCCGAGCCGCACCAACATCGACCCAGCGGCTCACTTACTAACCCAAGTGTCTAGGCTGCCTTGAGGCTCGGGCCTCCTCTCATCTAAGCTGTTTGCTGTGTGACGATGTACGAATGTCCCATATTGAAACTTATGCAATGATTCGTACGCTTCGCTGTCGTCTTGGTATTACTCAGACCCCGAGATAAGTATATGGCAATCTATCTCGGCGAGGCCGCTGCCCGGAAGGGCCTTGCTAAACTCTGTATTTATTGTATACGAAGGCGAGGGAGATACCCTATATGTCGGTTGTCATGGTCCTATTTGGCCTCTTCTGGTGTCTCAGAAGTTCGAGTTTGGGTCGCTGCAGGCACCGCATGGCTGGCCTGAGGTGTCTGGCTCGCACCCTGGCCTCCGTATCCCTTGTTATAGTTGCTTCCACTTCGATGCTGCCCACCATACTGGTGGCCCTGATGGGGACTTGTACCAAAGTGCTGAGGTCCCGGGCTGCCATATCCACCCCTCACTGCACTGGCGTTAGCCAACCGTTAATTCTCTGCTTGCTGATGGGCATCAGAATCACTTACTTGGGCCGCCTTGCTGGCCTGGGTTGAAGACCGGCTGGTTGTACTGCACGTTGGGGCTCATGCCGTACATAGGCTGTCCCTGTTGCGATCCCTGATGTGCCATCATAGGCGCCGCAGGACGACCAGGACTGGGGTAGCCGTTAACACTGGGCACTGGCTGAGGTGCAGATGGAGGCATGAATCCTGGGTGACTTCCAGGATACATCATCTGCGGGCCAGGAACCATGCCCTGAGGCCCAGGCATGAACTGCTGAGGCATCATCATAGGGCCTCCCATCTGACCCTGCTGGGGAGCCATGTACTGATGGTTGTTAGAAAAGTTGCGGAACTGGTTCATCTGAGGCGTGCCAGGTCCCATGAAAACTGCCTGGTTGTATTGCACTTGTGGTGAGTTATATGCCACAGGGACATTGCCAAGGCGAGGGGAAGCGAAAGATTGAGCCGAGTTGGAATGCATCATCCGGTGATCGTCATTGCCGTATGGCGGGTGAGGAACATGGCCGTGCTGAGGGGTGTGCATCTGCATGGGGGGCATATGAGGGGATCCCCTAGGAGCCATGTTATGCGCACCGTGCTGGAGATGGAAAGGCAGCTGGTGTTGATGAGGAATCTGAGGAACAACGTGCTGCGGGTTTGGAGTAGCTAGTGCAGGACCGCCAAATGGCTGGCTCTCGAAATACTCCTTGTAAGTAAGACGCATGGTAGATTCCGGCTTCTCGTTATCCTGAAGCTGTCGCCAGGTCGGCAGAGTATCATAGCAGGGGCGCAGGCCAGTATTTTCATCCCAGTTTCTACCTTGGGGAGGCTTCAAGGTCTTGATATGAGAGAGAATATAACACTTCTTGACGTCGATGGCCTTGGTCTTGCGGCGGATGAGCTGACCCTCGGAACCCGCGTTGTTTGCTGAAGCCTCTACGTTGTTAGCGGCGGATTGGGGGCTTGAAGAGGCACTGGCATGGCTATTGGGGTTAAAGGCGGCTGCGAACGGGCTGGGCCTGAACTCGTGGCTGTTGGGGTTCAACTTTGCGCCCATATGACTAGGGTTACCGCTAAGACGTCGATTATAGCCAGACTCAACTCCGCTGGCCGGCCCTGTCGGGGGAGCTCGAATCTCCTGACCTGGTACATGAGCCTGGTGAGGTACAGGAGGTTGAGAGAACTTCTGCTGCTCAACATTGCGCAGTCGTTGGGCCAAATTGCCAGTCTGCTGTTGGGGAGGGACATGCGAGCCACCGCGGTTGTTGCGGTATTGCTGTCCGTGATAGGGTTGCTGAGGGTACTGCTGGCGAGCACCAGGGTGACGGGGCTGGCCCCCAGCTGTAGGTGTAGACTGAGCGCTGGCTGGGACACGACCTGCTCGGGTGTCGCTTGGGGGAACTGAAGTGCCAGCAGTCGCTGGTGCGCCTTGCCCAGTGGCTTTGGTCTGAGATTCTTTGGACGGCGTGACATTGTCCTTCGTCACAACAGTAGCCTTAGCCTTGGCCACCTCCTCGGCATTCTTCATAGCTTTGGCCTGGATCAATTGCTGCTTGAGCGGGTCCTTGGCAATGATAGAAACCAGGTCTGTAGGCACAGGGGTTGAAAGTTTGAACGAGTTGGCAAACTTCTTCAGTTCGATTAGCTTCACCTCCTTATCCTGCTTGGCTTTGTTGCTTCGGGCTTTCTCGGCATTCTGTCGCTGTTGGCTGGCGAATGTTTTGAACTCCTTCAGCACATCATGCTCGACTGTGGAAGTGGCACTGGGTGCAGGGGCGGCTTGACTTCCAGCAGAGGGGGCAGCTGGAGAGGCATCGTTTGTCTTGGTCTCGGCCGCTTTAGCGTTGGCAGACTTGGTGTCATTGGCGGTGACTTCTGTAACTTTGGTCTCCGCAGAAACCTTCTGCGCATCAGTCTTGGGGACTGACCCATTCTTGTTTGCGTTAGAACTTTGAGGTTTCGTCTCTTCGGGGACGGGCGTGGGCTGCTTCTTTGGTGGTGCCTTGATCTGAGAGGAGATGATAGCAGGGTCAAAAGGAGCCCCTTTAACAGTAGACTGGGCTGTAGGTGCGCGCTTGGCTGGTGGGGTATATTTGTTCTCACGGCCAGCTGACAGAGGTGGGAAGTCCTGGCGTCGAACTCCGCTGTACCTGTAGGGAAAATACTGTTAGCAAATTGATGTAAACAACATGAAACCAATACATACTTGTCCTCTTCATCACCCCCATCATCTCCACCGACGTAGTCCATGACACGTTCCTCGGCCACGTGAGCAGTAGTAGGTGCACTGCGTTCAATTTCACGCGCCTTCTTCTCTGCCGCAGCTATCCGCTCCTTGTATTCAGGGTGGCTCTTATCAATGGCGGTGGTATAAAAGTTCTCATCGTAGTTAGTCTTCAGTCCGAATAGCCTTTCGTTCTCGGCGAACTGGTCCCAGGTGCCGCTGCCGCTGGACTTCTCAAGACTGCCATTGAAAGTGTCGTTCGAGTCGGGAACCCAGGGTTGAAGAACTCGTTCATTGCCGAATCGGTTTTTGGAGATGGCTGCATCGGTTCGGAAAGAAGCTCGGCTTCCTGTATCGACAATGATTAGAGGGGTCATCACTTTTCAGGACGCAACTACAAAACGAACCATTCTGCTTGCCCCCAGAGCCTCCGCCGGCTATTCCATCCTTCTTCGGAACGGGCATGTTGAAAACGCTCCAGTCGTTATGCAAATGAATAAAAGAACGTCAAGATTTATGCAGCTTGGTCACCATCCAAGTAAGCAGACAGACTTTGGGTGATGATGCGAGATGATCGGGGGGGTTCTCGTTTCGGTCCGCAAGGAGAGTGAGGGATAGCTCTCTGGTTCTAACAAGGAGGAACGGGTCAGTTTTCTAGCAGTCTACAAGTTGCTCAAGTCGGATATCGAATAATAGGCATGGAAGGCAGAGCTCAAGACTTCCTGCATTAGAGGCCACCTCCTAATGCCATGACGTGACTGTAGTGGGCTACCCGAAGTCGTGGGGTTTGAGGAAGTCGATAAGAGGAGGTGTGCAGGCAAGTCAAGGGGTTGCGAAAACCAAGAAGGACTTACATCAAGTAATGACGGCTGTCGAAAGGCTTGATGCGACAATCGGGCGGTTGCGACTGCTGGGTAATTGGTTTGAATCTGATGGGTCGGGGCCGAAGCTTTAGTAACCTAAGTTGCCAACTAACTCAAGACTGAGCAAGTTAGTACGGATGTAAATGGAGAGATGGATGTTTCGGGTGCAACGAAAGAAAAGCTGGCGGGGGTCTTAAAGTTTGAGAGGAAACAAACGGCAGAGGAACCCAGGCCAGGTGTTTGTGTGAGGAGAAGCGAAAAGGCGGCTATAAACGCAAAAGCTGCCAACGAAAACGGGAGAGGAAGGATCAAGACGAGGGGGTTTGGAGTGGTTTACCTCGCGTGGGTCTCCAGACAGAGAGAGAAAGAGAAGAAAAAAGATCCCAGATACAATGATCTACACTATGTCGTCCAGCTCGCGTGCTGTTACAATTGCCTTGCAATGGGCAATAAGAGCATGGAGCGGAGGCAGAAAGGAGGGCTTGAGTCGTGTGTGAAAGGGAGGGTCGAGACGTCGGGCGACGAGGATTTGACAGCAGACAAATAGTTGGTGGTTGAAACTTGAGCTGGCTAGTAGGCAAGGTAGCTACATACAGTATTGCAGTACAGTAGAGAGCCCGGAGCTAGTGGCAGGGACTGGACTGGAGGTCAAAGTCCCGTCCCTTGGCGTTTGGCTAGGTCTCTCCCAGCTACCACTGGACCTTGCCTAGGAATGGCCGTGGAAGGGGTTTTTTTCCCCCTCTCAGGCGGGGGATATTGAAAGGGTTCCCCGGAACTTAGAGCTTGGACTGTGACAAGTCGCCGGGTCTTTTGCTGAGTCTTGCTGAAGAAGACCTTATTTATTTAATGAAGACCCAGGTGTTTATTGATGCTTGAAAGGTCATTGTTAATCCATCGACAATTTTGTTTTCTGAGTGGCATTTGTAAAACTCGTTTAAATCCTCTTAACTTTCTCTCAAAGTCTACTGCGGCTACTCAATACGCTGCACTGATGCAGGCTGGTGAGGTTATAATGGCAGCAAATCACAGTGATTTGCTGAAGATCCTCAAGTGGGATGAAAGTCTCAGGATCGCCCCGTTCCTATTCTATCACTTATCTATCTGTACTTCCAGGTACCATACTGTACAACGGCCATGCGTTGCTGGGCATGCAGTGGAGTCTACCGCTGCAGTTTCGACGAGTGCGATACAGTGCGCATAATCCACCCCTGGCATACTTATTTAACGTGCACTCCAGCTTTTGGAAGTGTCTTATCATCGCTGCAAACAAGCAAAGCCTCGTTTTATGGTTGGGCTCAAAGCCAGAAAATTTGTATTTTGGTCATGGCGCAGCATTGGTGGTACAGCCTGTGCGCCCACTGATACGATGCTGACTGCAAGTTTGGGGCGGACAAACCCTGCCTGTGGAAATATGAGTGGTTGTGAGTTGCAGCAACTTGACCGGTTTGGTCCCGGTCGCGTTGAATATGATACTTCCAGGTGCAACTATGTCGATATCTGGTAACAGTACCCGGATCGGGATCGGTTGGGATTGTAGAGGAGACTCAAGTTAAGTCTGTCCCTCATGTCCCGGAGTGTATCGACTCTGCGATACACTCCCACGTATGTTCTTGTCTTGATCGGCCCGGTCCTGCAAATGGAGGCCTTTCTACACAGCAGGTGAGCGCTGCTCGAGTGAAAAGCAAGATAACAGAGACAAAAGAGCCTATAATATGGTTCAAAGGATTTCTACTACAAATATTCACAAAGAGGACATCCTCTCCCTCAACTCTTCTAAACTTTGACTGTTGGTACAAGTTTTTCTCTTTCTTGGACCCCCATTTATACTCGCAGACCAATATCCTCAGCGTAAGGTAGCACGAACAAATCTCCGACAGTAGAGACAGTGGCCTTGCCCTCAAGCAGGGTCTTGGCAGCCTATTCGAAACATTGTTAGTCTCATACACATATTGGGTCAAAACAGGTTCCAATCTTACAGTCTTGATAGAATCAGCGGAGACGCCATCGATAGCCTTGGCGAGGGCAGCGGCGTCGTAAGGCTTGCCGTTGTTGACAATACCAGAGCCAGCGAGGACAACGCTGGAATGTCGGAGCTGAGCCTGGTCCAGAAGGCTGAACTTGGCATTGGCGACAGCCTTCTTGATGTCGTCTTGGCTGGCCTGGCCGTCAGCGATGCTCTTGAGCACCTTGACGGTCTCCTCGGCGCCCTTGCGGACAGAAGCGGCGGGGCCGCTGAGTTGGACAGCAAGGAGACCAGAATCGGAGTAGATGAGGTTGGAGGTGTTGACGTTGAGGCCGGAAGTGCCAGCGGTGGCCTTGGCCAGCATGCTGAAGCCAGGAGCCCACTTGATGGTGGACTGTCCGCCGAGAAGAGCAGCCAGAACAGCGTTCTCGGGCTTGGCAGAGTCGTAACCGGAACCGGGGAAGGCGATGACCACAGAGTTTCCAACGCTTGAGCTTGTTCGCTGCTCACCACCGAAGTACTTGGAAGCCTGGGTCTTCAGAGTCTGGCCGCTTCGGGGGGTGGAGGGCACGTCCTTGAAGAACTGGCCAACCCACTTGGAGAGAGAATCGGTAGAGGCACCGTCGGCAACGAGAGCGATGTTGGGCTTGGAGTAAGCGACGTCGGCGTAGCTGGCGATGTAATCCTCGTTCAAGTACTTCTGGTAGGGAGTCGAAGAGCTGGGGAGGAGGGAGGAACCAAGACCAGTGTGGAAAGCGATGGCGTGTGCGTTATCAAGAGCAATTGCGGCGGCGTCGGCGTTGAGAGCGGCCTGCTTGTGGTGGAGAACACGCTCGACATCCTCGTGGAACTCGTGGGCTGGCAAAAGATATTAGTACGGCGCGAGTCGATACGTAATATGTAGTTGATGTTTACGCACTGGTGTACTTGGTCATTGAAATGACCTCAGCGAGGAGCTCGGTGAAGTAAGGCAGATCCTCACGGAGGAAGCTGGCCTCAACAACAACAGCCTCCCTGGAGTGGGAGGAAGCCAATTGACCACCGAGGAGCTCAGACTCGCGAGTGATGCGAAGGCCGGATCGTCGCTGGGTGTTCTACATAGAGCCGACAAATTAGCTCAAGTCCCGGATTTCCATTTGATGCTCTCGTCTCTCTCTCACCTTGAAGGCATACTCGGCAAGGCCAACTGACAGGCCAGGAAGAGGCTGGTATCGAGTACCGGCCTTGGCCACAACAGCGAGCTTAGTAGTAGGACCGTGAGCATCCCGCGAGGCGACCTTGAGGCCAGACACATCCGAGGTCTCGTACGATCCGGTCGAGGCGGCGGCGGCGTAGGTTCGTCGCTGGACGCGGCAGGACTGTCGGGCAGCCTGCTGCGCAGTTCGCGCAAGGGACGATCTCGAGATCATGTTCGCGGGTGATGGCGTAGGCGATTGGCAATCCTTCGGCCGTCTGGGTGAAGCAATTGATCGATCTCCAAGAGAAGTGCCTCGTCGAAAAGGTCCCGTCTAATTTTCGGGCTACGGGGACGAGTTGGGTCACGTGATGATCCCCGGTCAGCCAGTTTTGCACCCGCGGCATTGGCTCAGGTCCATATGAATCACTTCAGATTTCAGTGATCTTCTGGCCTGGTCCAGGCGTTTTTTGGTCCTGTAAGACGACCTCAGGCATTAGCCCCACCTGGTTTGAGCCTAGACCTATTACCAGCCTTTGACTTACACCAGAGCCGCAGGCAAAAAATTAAGGATCCATTTGCTTTGCGTTTGCGCCGAAAAAAAAGCATCCCAGCCTTCTCGCCTACATCCTGTGATCTCTTTTAAGACTTTCCTCCTTACAACTTGCAACCCACATAATTGATCCCGAACCGTTGAATATCTTTCGCCCGCGTGCCCTGGTTCTTTCGTCATACCTTTTTGCAAATCAATGACGCCACGGTAGCAAGTGTGGAAGCTCTAGAGATAGTGAGAGGATCTCTAGGAGCAAACAATGCTCGTTGTGAGTCGATGAAGCTTGACAACTGCGCAGGACATTACCCGCTGACAAGCTTTCCGCGACAGACAAAACACGCTGCTGAGCTTTGTGCTCTCCTAGTTAATGATCTTCACGGCGAACTTCCTTCGGTACGCAACATTCTGCATTATATGTCATTGGATATAAATGAGATCGCGGGGCTGACCTGATCGTCGCAAACAGCGAATCTTGATTGCGCTACTGACAAAAGGGCGCTCGACGATTGCACAACTGGTCCAATATACCTCTCTTACTCCTCGATATTTGCGAAATGGCCTCGCTGTCTTGATTCAACAAAACCTTATTTACCACTACACAGCCCCCAATACCGATGTCACGACCTACCAGCCGAATGCCGATGCCTGCTACAACCTTGTACGATCCGGGAAGATTCTGGATACTATAGAGAATCAATATGGCATCGCAGAAAGAGAACTCACACAGACTCTGATGCAGCTGGGTCATGCTCGGGTCGCAGACCTTTCCCAGGCTTTCGGCTCGAGAGCGCCCAAAATCAATGGGCATACTAATGGGAATCATGACTCACACGATGGGCTGATCCAGTCAGAAAGCCACCTAAACTCTGTTCTATTTCGCCTTATCCGTGCCGAAATCGTTGAGACTGTTCGACCCGAAAGTTTCCGCAACCCTAGAGATGCGTATCGCGAGATCGAGGACGACGTTACGAAACCTCGGCCAGGCGAAAAGGTTACGAAGGGCAAGATTGAAGCCCAGCGCGAGGTTATTGAACGTACCAGAACCTATAGGGATCAACCCAAGACACTCAAGCGTCAACTTGATATGAGCGGAGGTCCTAAGCCAAAAAGAAGGAAGCTTGCTAATGGCGCATCACAAAATGGGCATGAATACGATGCTCCGAAGCTGAACGTAAGAAACCCTTGTGTTAGTGCATGGATTCCGACTGACACATGACAGCCCAACGTGGTAGTGAAAGTAAACTACGAAAAGTGCTTGGTCGAGCTGCGCAATCAGCGACTTGCGGACTTTGCAACAGAAATACTGGGAGAAGTGACCGGCGCAGTGTATCGCACGGTATTGGACCTTTTGACTTCAGATCTTCCAAGGTGTCAGCCGGATCCTCTCTTGGACGAAGCGGCACCTGGACAACAGCCTACCGTGACAACCATCGACATATTCGAGCACCTGGACGAAGATATCAACGTACAAGCCGGGATTGGCAAAACCCCGAGAGATAAGCTTGACTCGCAAAGTGCTGAGAGAATCAGAGAAACTGCGCCAGAGTCAGATGACGACTCTGACGATTCGGATGCTGGTCCTCCTGGCCGAAGAAAGAAATTCGACGTGGATGAAGAAGAAGAAGATGAGTGGGCCGAAGACGATGAACAAGATGGTGCAACAAATGGGCAGCAAGAAAAAGGAGTGAGATTTGAAGATACTGCGAACGGTAGCGATAGTCGTATCTCACAGATGCGCCGGCATCTTCTGCTCCTCGCAGAAAGCAAGTACCCATTCATCCGCCATTGTGGAATGTACGGCCGTGGGCAGTGGACCGTGGACTTCAGTCGTATGGTGAGCAAATTGCGAGAAACGGAACTCGATGGTATCATCGAGCAATCTCACGGTCGTCATGGCCTACGTCTAACCCGCATCCTCCGGGAGAAGGGCAAGCTTGACGAGAAGATGCTTCCAGCTGCTGCACTCATGAAAAAGGGCGACGTGCAGGGCAAGATGCTCGCGATGCAGATGGCAGGGATAGTGGATGTTCAGGAAGTGCCCAAGGACAGCAGCCGACTTGCTAACCGAACCCTGTTCTTCTGGTACTTTGACAAAGAGCGAGCTCAGTCCCAAGCGTTGGATGATATCTACAAGACCATGCTCCGATGTCTGCAGACGTTAGAGGTGGAGCGCCACAAAGAACGAAACATCCTCTCATTCGTGGAAAGAAAGGATGTGCAGGGCAAGGAAGAGGAGGTGATGACGGCAGAGCATTACAATAAGTACAACACACATCGAGAGGTGCAGAGCAAGCTCCTCGGACAGGTCATGCGGTTAGATGAGTTGGTATCGGTGCTTCGAGACTACTGAACGAGCCGGAAGGGTGATTGCAGGACTTGTGTCTTCTCCTTGCTTAAATATGGCTTGGAATATGGCGGGTTGGCATGGGCATTGGCGTTCGAGGCGGGGTTTTGACCTTGTATTCATACATCCATGTTTTGGTTCAAACCATACAAAAAAAGCGACCCATTGTATTATTTTGCTTGCTATCGGCCTTTCTGACCAGGTCTTGTCCTTCATTACGTGAATACTAGTCCAAATGGCGGAGCATGTCAATCCTTGACAAACATATCCATCCAACGGGTATGCCACCAAGATGACAAGCAATATCGGCTAGTCTGAATAGCCGTGCCTCAGCCGTGTTGTGAGATAGGTCCTCGGTCAGGTCTATACGGATACAGTGCCGTGAATCAATAATTATGAGGCGGCTCTCGGGCCTCGGTTTCCGACGTGCGGGCGACGTTATCATTTTTGGGCTGGTGAATTTATCTACAACAGCAATTAACGACTTTGAATGAGAAGGTGAGTGGAACTGGTGATGTTTGCGAAGGAATTTGGTTGGTTTTCCTTGAACACAGCGAATCACTCTTTCAAGCTGTTGTTATCAAACCCAGATCCACCTCTCAATTGTTCACCCATGAGATAATAGATACCTACTCAATTAACCTACAGAAATCTACCAAGGCTCAATATAAAACACCTACGTAAACAAGACAATTATAAAAGGTTAAATACAGGATATATCATTAGCAATTAAAACACGACGCATAGTTATAGGGTATGGCGATAGTGTTGGAAGTTAGGATGGACCAGTAAAAAAACAGCAGGGGCTGTTGAGGTTGAGATCAAGAAAGTGGAGAACGCACCTAATAACACACCAGAGAAAAAAAAGAAACCTAGAGACAGAGCCTACCTAGAGAAACAGCTCCCCTCTCTCCGACTTCGGTACCCTACGTACCTTAGGTAGACAAGCGATTTAGCAGGGATCAAGAACCAGGGAGTCCCAGGAACTAGAAAGAGAAAAGTGCTCTGAGCGATTGTGGAAAAATTTCCCAAGCAGCCAACTTCTGAGTCTTATACCCGAACTCTTGCCTTGCGATAAGCCCACGACTCTCTTCTTTATATCTCTGCGATACCCTCAGGAGTTCCAATCCAAGCAGCGTCTTAATTAATTTACCCCCCCTTCCTCTTTTACTTCCTCAAGATGTCTCCCCCCGCCGTTGCTGGTAGCGAGAGAGAGTCCGGCCTGGCTCGTGTCCTTGGCTCTGGTACGTTTTACGCATAGTTGAAACACCCGACTATGGCATTTCTTGCGTTGCAATTGCTGCTTCAACACCTGGAATCGTATTAACAAGCTTGACAGGTTCTGCTGGTATTGCTGAGTTGGCCGTCTTCCACCCTGTAGGCAACCCCACGTCTGCGATGAGCACTATCAACTGTCGCGACAATACCTCGAGACGTTTCGCTAACCCCTCCATAAGGTCGATACGATTGCGAAGCGATTGATGAGCAACCAGACCCGTGTAAGAAGCACCACCTCTTTCGATCCTGGCTCGCGAACAAACCATTGACTATTGTGCCTACAGATCTCCGGCTCCGCTCAATTGAACCAAGTCATCTTCAAGGACAAGGCCACTGCTCCCATCGGACGAAAGTTTGTCTCTCTCTTCCCTGGTCTGGGATACGCCGCCGGTTACAAGGTTCTCCAACGAGTATACAAGTACGGTGGTCAGCCTGTGGCCCGTGATTACCTCTCTCAGCACTATGGTGCCGACTTTGAGGGTGCCTTTGGCAAGAAGACTGGCAAGGCCATCATGCACTCCACTGCTGGAAGGTACGACATCAACATCAATTCCCCTCGAGTAGCTTCGAATGCTAATGCGCCCGCAGTTTGATCGGTATTGGTGAGATCGTTCTTCTGCCCCTCGATGTCCTCAAGATCAAGCGTCAGACAAACCCCGAGGCCTTCCGTGGCCGTGGTGTCCTCAAGATCGTTGCCGATGAGGGTTTCGGTCTGTACCGTGGTTGGGGCTGGACTGCTGCCCGTAACGCTCCTGGTTCTTTTGCTGTACGTTTTGAAACCTGATCGAATGGGATGGACCAAAATACTGACCCAAGACAGCTCTTCGGTGGTTCTGCTTTCGCCAAGGAGTACCTCTTCCACCTTGAGGACTACAACAAGGCCAGCTGGTTCCAGAACTTTATTGCTTCCATTGCTGGTGCTTCGGCTTCTCTGGTCGTTTCTGCCCCTCTTGATGTTATCAAGACCCGTATCCAGAACCGCAACTTCGAGAACCCTGAGAGTGGTTTCCGAATCCTGTCCAACATGGCGAAGAACGAGGGTGCTGGTGCTTTCTTCAAGGGACTTGTCCCCAAGGTACGTTTAACCAACATTCACTTAAATGCTTTACTGGGCCCACGAAACTCCGCATAAATCCTGGGGGAGAAGATGTAAAGAGTAAATGCGCTAACATATATCGCTTTGTAGCTGCTCATGACTGGTCCCAAGCTGGTCTTCTCTTTCTGGCTCGCCCAGACCTTGATCCCCGCCTTTGACATTGCTTTCAAGAAGTAGAGTTAGACATAATGGTGGAACTCAATTCATATTATAGATAAACAAATCTGGATACCATGCCATTGTATCATGGGATGACGATGAAGGCTTAAAAGGGAGTTTAGACGGATCGGGTTATTTGTTGGGTTTGCTACGATAGACACGCCGCACCGATATGAGAGGATCGGGGCCCTGCCTTAGTTGGTAGGGAGATGCACTCAACTCTGTATAAAAGAAAAGAAAGCGATTTGATTTGACAGACGTCATGCATTTGGTTGGTGTAATATGATTAAATGTGATTTGCGCAAGTGCCGTTACTCGGCTCGCTCACCGTCACAAACTCTTGTCCACAGTTTACAGCTGCATTAACTATTGTTTGGACAGGTTTTGAACAGGCTTTGGACAGGCTCAGTACAGCCGCCAGCAGGGCCTTGATCCTTGCGCAATTCTGCGATGATGTATTTCATAGGCTTGTTCTCACTAGGCGACCCTCAATTCGTGGTGTGATCTGCTCTGTTGTGCTTGCGTGATTCGCTAATAGTGGTCCATCTGGCGGCCGGGGGGCCGGTACAGCAACAGCCTAACGCTGAGTTAATTGTCGGTGCGGGTGGTTGCTCAGCAACAAGGCAGGCCCGAAACAAAAAAATAAACCGGGTTACGGCTGCGGCGACGGCCAGCCAAAGATGGAGCTGAGCTACGAGTCTACTACCTTATAGCTTCAGACAATGCAACCAACTTAACTTTGATGCTTTGACCTGATTTATCCTCGCTCTTGCTTTCAACCATCTCATTCTCTGATACCTCTACTGCTACTTGCTTTCTTGCTTGTCAGCTCTAACGATAATACCCAAGTCAATCTATATCCCCCACTTCCGCATCTCTTACCGACACTTTACCTGCGCTCTTATATCCAAGCGTGGCTGCGGCGCCGTCCGCATTCTTGCCATTGAGATAAATACACTTCTCACATACCATCTCTGGTCTCCAAGGGACCGGCCCAGACATGACTTCCTCGGAACGAGACAGTTCCTACGACGGGGATTTCCAATTGAGACATCCTTACGCTGCTTCTTCAGACCCTAATCTTCGAGCTCTTGTTCCAATGTATGTTGTTTACGTTTACCTCTGTATATATCCTCATGCGTCTCTTGCGTCGACTAACAGGAAATAGGTGGGACAGCTCCGACCCCGAACGCTGTCCTCCTCCACTGCCGCTCAACCCGGGATCACCATTGACCTCGAGAGCCGGCACCTCGAGCGCTATTGCTTCTGCCCACGCCGCGCTTAACGAGCGAGCGCAGCAGAACGCCATGGTTCCCGCAAAGAGAACAGAATCCCCCACAAAGGGTCACCGCAGACTGCAGTCCACAGTTCGCGATATCAGCTTGATGATCGAGGGTGCTAGCGGCCAAAGCTCGCCATCGCGCTCACCAGAACGTCAACAGCGTCCGGAGACGCCCTCCAAGTCTCGCGAGCCCGATTGGAGACCATGCGACAAGGACTCTGGAGTGTCATGCACGACACCATCAGTTATACCAGGTCCTAGTTTGACTCCCATATTGCGACCATCAGCGGTTCGCCGACCTCCACCTCAGAGCATTCTTGGCGAAAACACACCGCCACAATCATCAACTATGCTTGCTCTTCAGCATATGAGCTCAACACCCGCCAAAGAAACAGAGAATCCTCTTTCTGACATCACAAATGGCGCGTCAAACCTGCCCAGAGGACCCCAGCACCTGGAGGCGCTGTCCGACCAAATCCTTAGCTTGACTAGCATTGCTACAAGCCTTCAGAAGGAAATGTCTCAGCTGAGCCGACGCAGCAGGGACAATGCCACTGACCTCCTCAGCCTCAAGGAGGCTACAAATTCAAGAGACGAGGACATTCGAAGAAGTCTAAGAGAGCTCTTGGGAAGCAATGGCAATGCTGGTGACGGCCAAAACAGACTCCCTCCAGCTCGCGACCCCTTTGGAGGGTATTTCCTAGACAACAAGCCACACAATCTCTCTCCACCTAGCACTAGGGGCTTCCATCTCCCTAGAATTCCTTCCCCCAAGAGCTTTGGCGACTCAATTGAGCGAGGGTCCATCAGCACACCTTCTCTTGCCGGCTCTGAGGCACCCCCCTCCGTCCTTCTTCTCGAAAGGATTATTCGGGAAATGGGCACGAAGGAGGGGCAAGAGTCTCTTCTCAGCCGGTTACAGGAGGTATCAGAGAAGCTCTCTGGTATGGCCACATCTCACAAGCTTGACGAAATCATTGAACAAGTCCGAGCCCAGTCCGAGCAAGCCATCATCTTGGGCAACTCTCTCGGAAGCCCAGATGCGAGCAGGTCTCGCAACCTTAGTTTCGAATCAGACATGATGCCTAGTCAAGCAAGGAGTGCTGTTTCTCAGCACGTTGAACGCATCATGAAGAACGAGGCCCGCAGGAACTCTGAACCCGCAGCTAGAGGTGCCGAGATTCTCAACGATGATCTCATGAATATCATCCGGTCTGTCAAAGACAGCGTCGCCCAAGGCGGTGGACTCACTGCTGAGGTCAAGGCTCTTGTTCGTGAGCTCCGCGGTGAGGTCTTGGGCATGGGCCGCGAGATTGGCCGGCGCCTCGAGCAACAAGCATCTCGAAGAGGATCAGAAGATCATGATACCCCCAGCAAAGATGAAGTCGCTCGCGTCATTGATGAAGGACTCGAGCAGATGAAGGATCAACTGAATCACGTTCTTCGTGAGCACAGACGGCAATCGGCTGCTTCCGTCAACACCCAAAAGAGCGCTGTTGACTACCAAGAGATCTACAACGCCATGCGAGCTGCTATCCAGGACAATGAGTCTACCAAGAGCAACTTGCCTGACTTGAGTCGAGAAGACGTTATCGAAGCTGTCAGGGATGCTTGGGAGAACTATAAGCCTGAGATCGAAGTCCAACAGCTGGGCCTTGAGCGTGACGAGGTCTTGGCTTGCCTGAAGCAAGGTCTGCAGGAGTATGCTCCTCGTGATGACAACCCACCCGCCGCCACAAGGGATGAAGTCCTCACCGCCGTGGTTGAAGGCCTACAGCACTACGTACCCCCTCAAGTTGACCAGCCAGCCACACTTTCCAGGGATGAAATCATCGACGCAGTTCGCGATTGTCTCGAAGAGTTTGAGTTCCCTGTGGCACCTGGAGCTGGAAACGACCTGACTCATGAGGATATGGTGCATGCCGTTAGGGAGGGGCTCCAGGACCTCGATGCTCACTCTAGCCGTGCTTTGGTGCCTGCATCCACTAACAACGATGACATTGGCGACCGTCTCCGGGAAATCATGGAGTACTTACGACATGAGTTCAAGTCACTCTCTGAGGAGGCCAAGGAGAATGTTGCTGCTAATGGTCGTGAGACCGAGCAGGCCCTCGATGCTACCAAGGATGGCATTGAAAACCTCCGAAAAGCTATGGAGAGCTATGTTGACCGCGCGACTGGCGCTGCTGGCCAGGAGGAGTTCATGGATGATCTTCTGAAGTCTCTGGAAGACTTCAAGGATGAGATGGCGGGTATCGTCTCAACGACAAACCAGGAATCTCGCGAGCAACTTCAGACTGAACTCGAGGGTCTAAGAGAAATCGTCAACTCCTCCATGGTCCCTGCTCTTCCACCTCAGTTCAACAATACTGAGGTTTTGGAGGCCTTGAACACTGGGTTTAACAACTTGCGCACAGAGGTTCTCCGACCTCGCGCCGAGACCAGTGAGATCCTTGACGCCTTGAACGATGGTCTCAATGACCTCCGCGCTGGCATGGACCGGGTGACCAACAAGCCTACCGACTTGACCGCGAATGATGAGATCCTCGAGGCACTTAGGACCGGCCTTGATTCCGTGCGTGCCGACATTGAATCCATCCGCGATAGCAGTAACGACCGCGCTGTGGCGACACTAGAGTCCACGCCTCCTGCGAGCGACGAGCTCTTGGAAGCCCTCAAGTCAGGTCTTAGTGGCGTGCGTGCAGACATCGAGGCACTACGTGACAGTCAGACTGAAAAGGCGGTTGCCGTTGTCGAGCCAAAGGAGAATGATGAGGTCCTCGAGGCTCTGAAGAATGGTCTTGATGCCCTCCGCGTTGATATCGAGGCTATTCGTGAGAACACCGCCGAGAAGGCTGTGGTTCCTGTTGAGAACACCTCCAACGACGACGTGATTGAGGCTCTGAAGAATGGACTCGATTCTCTTCGCGTTGATATCGAGGCTGTCCGTGACAGCAGCGAGAAAGCCATTGCTCCAGTTGACAACTCCTCCAGCAACGAGTTCATCGAGGCCTTAAAGACCGGTCTCGAATCGCTCAGAATTGATATCGAGGCGGCTCATGATACTAGCGACCGGGCTGCTCCTGATGAGAACACCTCTAACGACGAAGTCATTGTCACCCTCAAGAATGGCCTTGATTCTTTACATGCTGAGATCGCAGCCCTTGCTAGCAAGGAGGAGAAGGACGATGAGCAAATCGAGAATACCTCGAATGACGAGGTTATTGTCACACTCAAGAATGGTCTTGACTCTCTCCACACTGAGATCGAAGCAATTGCTACCGCTCAAAAGGCTGCTGCTCCATCCGAGGGCACAACTAACGACGAAGTTATCGAAGCCTTGAAGAACGGTCTTGACTCTCTTCGCACAGATATTGAGGCTCTTCAGGAAAGCAACCAGAAAGCTCTAGCCCCGGTTGCTGATGTCAAGCCCAACGATGAAGTTCTCGAAGCTCTTAAATCTGGACTGGAGTCTATCCATACAGATATTGAAACCCTTCGCGAAACCAACAGTGAGCGAGCTATTGCTCCTGTTGACTCAGCTTCGGACGAGAAGATCCTTGAAGCTCTCAAGACAGGCCTTGAATCCGTTCGTTCCGACATTGAGACTCTCCGAGACAGCAACAATGAGCGCGCTCTTGCAGCAGTGTCAACGGAAAAGTCAGAAGAAACTGAACCTGCTGAGACGATCAAGCCTGATGATATCAAGAACCTCGAGATCTTGATTGCTGGACTCGCTATCAAGATTGACTCTGTCAAGGCTGAGAACGAGGGAGTTCAAAAGGACGACCTTTCTCGCATGGAAGAGCTGCTCAAGACCGTCCAGGACAGCGTGGATGAAATCGCTTCGCGAGAGACCCTTCTGACACGATCAGTCTCAGTAAAGAAGAAGAAGGAAGATGGAGAAGAAAAGACCGAGCGTGCAGTTGAAGGCGAAGGCGACGAACCTGCGTCAAAGGACGATATGCTGGCGATCGAGACCATTCTTCGAAACACCAAGGGCAAACTTGATGACCTCATTGAAGGCGAACAGGCTGTTCGCAAGGATCACGTCGACAATTTGGAGGCCCTCCTTCTTGAGACCAGAGAGACTATGGGGACTTTCACGACTCAATTGGAGACTGTATCGCGCAAGGAAGAAATCACTGCCTTGGAAACGCTCCTTACACAGGTCTCAACTAGCTTAGATGAGATCAAGGAGAGTCCCGACAAGGTCTCCAAGTCGGATGTTGAGACTGTGGAAGCCTTGACCCTTGAGATCAAGACAACCCTCGAAGCCTTCACCAGCACCGACTTGGCACTACTTGCTCGCAAGGAAGATGTTTCCAATTTGGAAACTATTGTTGTCAAGAAAGAAGACCTCACTGGCCTCGAAACCGTTGTCAAGGAATTCCAGGAGAAGCTGGATACCACCGTCGATGCTCAAACCAAGGCCATCGCCATTCGCGATGAGGAGAGCACTTCGGTGGGAGAGCGGGTCAACGAGGTCAAGACCTTCCTTGAAGAGTTCCAGGGTGCTATCAACACCAAGCTCGAAGAGGGCACAACTGGCGTCGAGAGCGTCAGCAAGCTCTTGGAGACCATGGGTGAGAAGATCAACAAGAACGAGAACGTTCATCAGGATCTCAAGGACATGCTTGATACTATCAAGGCTGAGTTCGAGGACTCGAAGGCCGTCGTCTCTGGAGTTCAGGTCGAGTCCAATGAGAAGCTTCAAGAAGCTACTACATCCCTGGGCACCAAGATCGAAGAGAAGATTGGTGAACTTGTCGCCAAGTACGAGACCTTGCAGACTACCCTAGATGATAGAAGCAAGGTCAGCGAGGCTCGTGATGAGACTATCGAGGCAGCTGTGGTTGGTTCCAAGACTGTCACTGATGAACTCAAGCTTCTCATCGACACTCTGGGTTCTACTGTAACCGACTCCCTCGAGAAGATGGAGGAGGCTTCCAAGACCGTTTTCACCAAGGTGGAGGAGCTCGTCACTCGCACTGAAGAGACTCACATTGAAGACAAGGCCGAGCACCAGCAGACCCGTGACCAGATCACAGAGGCATTAACAGCTGTGGAAGTATTGAAGGGAGAGGTTGGCGAGTCCCACCCCCAGATCATCGAATCTGTCAAGGATCTTCTTCTTCTCGTTGGTGAACATTACGAGCATGCCAAGACTTCAACGACAGAGATCCAGGACAAGATTGTCGAGCACAAGTCCCCTGAGGAGCTCATGACCCTTCTCACTCTTCTCACCGACGACAAGTACAACAACACCCAGGTTCATGAGAAGCTCGATAAGCTTATTGAGCAGATCTACAACGATGCTGAGGTCAAGGAACGTCTCGATAAGATTATCGAAGAGAAGTATGACGATGCCCAGGTTCGCGAGAAGCTGGATAAGATCATTGAGGAGAAGTACGACGACGCTCCCGTCCATGAAAAGCTCGCTACCATTATCGAATCGAAGTACGACGACTCAGAGGTCCGTGAAAAGCTCACTACCATAATTGAATCCAAGTATGACGACGCCGAGGTGCGGTCCAAGCTTGACAAGATTATCGAGGAGAAGTACGATGACGCTCTTGTCCACGAAAAGCTTACCACGATCATTGAGTCCAAGTACGACGATGCCGAGGTGCGAGCCAAGCTCGACAAGATTATTGAGGAGAAGTATGATGATGTTGAGGTGCGAGCCAAGCTTGATAAGATCATCGAGGAGAAGTACGATGATGCCGAGGTCAAGGAACTCCTGGCTACGATTGCCGGGCACAAGTACGACGATACTCCTGTGCGCGAGAAGCTTGATTTGATCATGGACTCCAAGTACGATGATACTGTTGTTCGTGAGAAGCTTGACTTGATTACGGATTCCAGGTATGACGATGCAGTTGTGCAAGAGAAACTCGACAAACTCGTCGGTCACACTGCTGTCGCCGATCAAGCCTTCAATCGCCTTGACACCCTTGACAAGGTTCATGCCTCGGTTCTCCAAACAGCAGCCGATATCTCATCGTTCCTCAACAGCCAGAAGAGGCGCATTGAGCAGGCTCATGAAGACCATAACAAGCATCTTCAAGAGACCATGGCTTCTGTAGAGCGCAAGCTTGCCGAGAAGGACCACGTTGAGACTGCGGTTTTGAGCCTCCGAGATGAGGAGCTGAGACTGCGACAAAGCGTCATGACCTTGAGATCGGAGCAGGAGAATCTCATCCGTCAGAAGACTCGTTTGACTGGCGATGTATCTTCTCTCGAGACTGCTCTCAGCATGCGCAAGGAGGAGCTCTACGATATGGAGTCCCGTGCCGAGAGCCTGGAGCGCCGCATCCTCGAAGGCGTCATGGATCACTCTCGCGTTCTTCTTATGGGCAAGGGCAGCAAGAACGGTGGCGACGCTATGAGCCGCAAACGTGTCAAGAAGCCTTCAGCTGAGGAGTCTCAACAAGGTACCCCTGGTCGCAAGTCTATGGTGAACATGGCAATCAACGCCAAGCGCAACCTGGCAGCTCCCTCTCCTGGCCGCAGAATCGCTTCATTGAGTCAGATCAATAACAACATAGCTACCGGTGGCGTCAAGCGTAGCCAGAGTGTGCGAACACCCGTTGGCGGCGGCAAAGTCTACCGCAAAGGAAGCTGGGGTGGCAATCTCGACAAGGCCTTTGCGGAGAATGACAAGGAGAACTGTGTCAACGAGACTGTCGAAGAGGTCGACGAGGCAGATATCAAGTCGACACCGACGGCAGAGACGATAGAGGTCCCTGCAGAAGAGGACACGGCTGTTGAAACCGCTGACGATGGCGGCGCTGGTGGTGACAGTGACAACGAGACTCTAAGAAGAAGCAGCAGAGGCACTGTCGTCACAAATAGCACCGACATGTACACCGATGGTGATGAGTACAGCGACAACAGCTACACCGAGAGCGAGTGGACAGAGAGCAACGCTGGTACCGACGCCCCACAAGGAAACGAGGTGGTGGCATATGGGAATTAACAATAAGGAGTAACGACAAGTTTGATTTAGCTGGGATACCATTCATGTTTCTTTGTTTGAGGATGAAGATGAAAGAAGAGTTTGATGTTTACATTGGCATTAACATTGGCATCAATACTGCTTTTATCAAAGCATCTGATGGGTTGAGCGTTCCGGTTTGGGTTTGTCCGGCGTGGCATGGTTTTGATGAACTTGGAAGTCCTGTTTCTTATTCCTGGTTTGCCTATGGCTTCTTGATGAACATATCATGTTTTTTTCCTTATGGTTTTAGTAGTAAAAAAGTATGTACGAATCAACGCTTTTTAATAACCCGATTTCTTCTTAATGCGGTGATGTTTCTTTAATACTGGGTGAGGAAGATGAGCTTTGGTGTTTCTTGCAACAGAAAATGGAAGCTGTTGTTAGGCCCCACCTTTAACGGATGGATATCTTATCAGCAATTGGAACAGCCCCTCTAGCAACGGTAACCGCGTCTACAATAAACATTGTTCAAATAACCACAACACTACCTCACGATTGATTGATTGATTGAATTTACTCCCTCCACATGAGAGGTTGGCCTCATCAATCGCCATGGACCAAACTCAAACAGGGGGTCTTCTTGACCCTCCAGAGCTTACACCGCTTGAGCAGGAGGTTCTCGACGAGTACGAGCGCCTGGCGGACAATATGAACAAAGTACGTCTGCACACTCGTCTGAGCAGAACGACAAGTACTAAACTAATGCGCTCCATAGCTGGCTACCATTCTCGATCATCTCGCCTCGAACCCCAGCACAGAGATCCTCGACGGCCTTCGCGAGCTCGAGCGCAAGACAAGCTTGGCCTTTACGCTTCTCAAGGCCAGTGTCTACAGCATAGTTTTGCAGCAGGAGATTGACTGGGGTGATGGATCGACGGCGCAATAAATCGAAGGGGAAAAAAGACCGAGTTCCAGGGAAAGAAAGGAGGATTGATACCCAACCAAAATACGACACGAGAAACGAAACGATATTTGTTTCTTCACATGATAGTATGACTTTTGTTATTCAAGTGATGCTATACCATCTACTTTATTTTACCACATCAGGGACGTTAGGGGAGAAATCCCTTCATTACAGGCTACATATACATGATTCTTTGGTGGTACAAAATGTCGTGAGAGTGCGAGAGTGTGAGAGTGTGAGAGTGGGTGCGAGTTTGGGTTTAGTATACAGCTCCTCCATAATACACCTTTCGCACATCCACCAGCTTCTTGCCCCGGCCGATAGCGATCTGCTCGGGGTCAGGCTGGTTGGTCAACGCTTGGTACGCCGCCTTGACCGAGTTCATGGGGTTCTTGGACCGGGGCATGCGGGCGGCGATGTCGTGAATACCGGCGGCGCGGCACATCTCAAAGATACGGTGAGGGCAGCGGAGTCCAAAGCCTGTGAGTAAGAAAGTCAGCATACAAAACAAGGTGAATGATCAAATAGCGTATACGTACCGGGAGGTCGAGCCATCAGCTCAACGACAGTGCCCGAAATCTTGGAAGTCACGTTACCGTAGATGGTGCGGTTCTCGTATCGACGGACAGGCTTCATGTTGCGGATAGCCAACATCTGAGCTGTCTCCTCAGCCACACCAGGTTCGGTAGACTTGGCCATACCAAGACCCAGACGACCATTGCCGTTACCAGCAATGGCTACAACTGAGGTACTGCGGACCTTACCCAGACGAGTCTGGTTAGAGACCCAACGAGTCACAAGACCCTTTGTGAGAAGCGATTGAATGTCCTTCAGACTCATGCCTGTCAGACGCTTGATCTCTTGGTACTTGCCCGAATCATCCTGACCCTGATCCTCCGGGTCGACAGCGTGCTTGTACAGACCCTTAACACCAGGGACCTTGCCCAGGTCAGGTGCCTCAGCTGTGTAGGTGCGGTCGACACCGGCAGGACCGTCCTGAATGAGTTCGAGATTTGTGGGCTCAACCTCACCCTGGCTGCTGAAGCCAGCGATCTTGGCGAGCTCAGCCTTCCATGCGTCGTCAACAGCCTCGTCAAGCTTCTCAGCCTGAGATCGGGTCATGAATTCAGGGCCCTTGTCGTTGGCGCTGGGCTCGGGGCCGTCTTCGGCGATGATGTAACGCTTGATCAGCTCCGGGTCCTTTTCGATGTCCTTAAGCTCCTCCTCAGTCAGATCTATCAGATCCTCGCCCTGGCTCTCCTTGACACGCCGCAATGCCCGGACCATGGCACGGGTCAGCTGGTCGCTCGTCTTCTTGTCGGTGATCTTCATCATCCTTTGTCCATAGTTGTCGATCCATTCGCTCTTGTCGGGCCATTGCACCTCTCTTGGGGTGCCTTCGATCTCGGGCTTAATATCGTAGCGGGGGTCGAGGGTTGCGTAGTCCTCGATGTATGTAGGCTTGTAGGGATCGTCACGTAACCGACCCTGGATGATCATATCCTCAGGGCTGACAGCCTTCTCACCCAGCTCAATAGCCTCGAGCTGTTCCGTCGTGTACGAGGCCCTGAGGCTCTCCAGATCCTGCTTGGACAATTCGGCAAACTTGTCCTGCTTGTACTGATCCATCTTCTTGGTGTATTCGCCTGACTCCTTCACCAGACCCAGCTCCTGAGCCGTAACATTTCGAAACCGAGACTTGCGCTTCGACCGGGGCGCCGAGCTGTGGAATTGACTGCATTGAAAGACGGGGACGGTGATGGAAGCGGAGGCAGAGGCGGAGGCTGTTCGGGATGAGGCGATGCACCTGCCGAGGAGGTTGCGCGCCGGACGTGCGACGCTCATGATCGGCAGGAGTCGGAGGATGTTGATTTGAGAAGCAGGAGGGGCCGACAACGAAGGAGGAGTAGGTCGCTCTCTCTTTCTCTGTATCTCGTATCTCTCTCACACGAGCTCGAGATTTTTTTGGGACCCAGGAAATGGATCTCAATTGATGATATCCCCATTCGGCTAGCGGCAAGAAATGGCGGGAGCCAATCAGATGGCTATGTGGATCTGGTGAGGAACTTCCATTCTCCGGATACAATCACGTGATAACTTTTTGCACTCTGGACTCGTCTAAGTTGACTTCATCCCATGTCGGTTCATCAAAGTCACCAAACAGCCCGTCTTCGTAAACACATATTAACTATTCTATCATAGCTGCATTGACTCTGTAAATTCTCAACTAGCATTTTTGGGATCCAATGCCTTTTTCATAGTTAACTAGCGCTTGCTTCCCGTCACGTCCTGGATATCAAAGCTCAACAGCCAATCATGGTGTATCTTCACATCAGTCGACTTTTGTTACAAGATGAAACGTCTCAGTAACACCCCTGAAGCCAAGTGAGTGTTAGGGGTCTTCCACCGTTACCACCACTCTACGAGTGGACCGTTTTACCAGGTGCACTTCGTCTCCTCGTCCCTCACTTTAACTCTTTTTCCTTTTCATACTTGACTACTTCAATCATTTTGCTTTGTTTCTTACTATCTTATTATCTCCCTTCTTGTACGTGACTGGCGCACTGTACAATTCTTTTCCACCTGTACATTACTTGAACCCTCATCAACAATACCCTTAATTCAGTAACCCGCTCCATCCCGGACTTCGCGCTTCACAATGGGCCAATTCGACTGGTTTTCCTCTATTGGCGCAACGGACGAGGCTGTCGCTGTCCTCAACGATCAGCCCATGATCTTCACGATTCTTTTGGTCGTCCTTGTCGCCGTCATCCTGCAATCTGTTCTCCTTTGGTACATCCATTATGCCACTATGAAGCCCGAACAGCGCAAAGCAAAGCAGGACCAGAAGGATAAGAAGAAGGCGGCAAAGACAGCGAAGACATCCAAGACGTCGAGATCAGACAACGCACGGAAATAAGCCTGCGCGTCCCTCTTTCACCACTTTCAGTGTCTCCATACATTGAGTTATCTGTCTTTTCTCAACAAAGATCTCACACTATTCGACAACCACAACTTGCCAACATGAGCCGATATATCTATCACCTGAAGCGAAACCCTTGAATATCACAGCTATAATATATAAACCCGCAGACCCCGTCTTCGGGCTTTTTTTTATCTTACCCACACCGTGCTATGCTCCTCTCTGATACTACGCCTACATCGTGACACCTGAGGTGACTCACGTTATATCTCATTATTGCAAATGAGCCAATGGTCCAATGTTTGGAAGTTGACCAGATCACCCGCTATACCCTCCTCTGACACTACATTCTCACTCTGACCTATCCAACCTATATGCCCATAACTTTGCTCAATGGGTACCTCATCGATGGGCTTCGCCATTGCCATATCGTCCCCTAGCCAGTTCGGCCCGCCGAGTTCCTGTTGTGACCAATCTGGGGAGACTGGGCTGTGGACTGAGCTGGTCCATGGATCGTGATGCGTACCAACAAGGTTGGGGTTCGGATCACGATTTGTCTCATTGAACTCTCCATACTTCGCCGTGTCTGGATAGTTGTTCATGGCGTCCCATCTTACCTTCATCCTTGTATTCTCCTGACTTTCCTGCTTATCGCATACCCGTGCTTCTGGTGAACCTCCTTCAACCACTGTAACAAACTGTTCATATCTTGCAGTAACAATTCCTTGATCTGAATTGTGCTGGTTTGTGTCATGAAGTGCTGGCCTCTTGTTTCTTCTCTTGTTGGCCAGTAATGGGAGTTGTACATGTGTAAGAAGTACCTCCCATGCACTTTTCTCAATGGCAGCTACACAGTCTACTTCTTGGTTATACACATTAGCAGACGATTTGTTGCATAATCGTAAGTCGGCCACCTTTTGTCTGAGTGCTGGAGATTCGGCATACTGCATGCGCGCTATCGATGTCGCAATAATTGGTAGTAATTGGGCACGATCTGACACATTCTGTTCATGCCATTAGAAGCTTCGATAAATTGTTGGTCCATAACATACCTTAAGATAGGGCATGTGGAAAACACCAGGCGCCAAGTTGACGAGACTGTATTTTGGCTCGCAGCCCCAGACATGATACCCTCTGTATGTTTTCTCCCGCCCCAGAACTAACTGCTCAAAGAGAATGTCTATCAGGGATGAGGAGCGCAAGATCTCCAAGTCTTCGATGTAGGTAGCACTTTCACTCCGGACTGGCGCCTGAGGCGAGTTCCCTAAACCCTCGTTTAATGGAAGGTTGAGACTAGATATGAAGTTCTCAATAGCTTGCTGGTCTACTGGCTCTAGAGTCTCCAACAGATCGCTCGCCGAACGAGGCTCAACCTTTTCTGCCGGCTCGGTCGTATTCTTCCGACGTTTGCTTGTTCTGGTAGACTTCCCAGGAGGTTCTTGTCGCTTGCCTAGTTTGCAGACATCGATCGCTACCAACAGAGTTCGAAACGGGGTAGTCCACGCCGATGACGGAGCTACCAGAACCGATGAGAGATCGGAATGCTGGAGGGAGAAAGAGAGGAGTCCTGGCAGCCCGACCGTACATGATCTGTCATAGTTGAGACGAATTCCCAGACGATCCCAAACCTGTAGAATCTGGTTAGTGTCGAGTGAGGCTGCTGCTCGGGTTGTTTAGATACCTCGCAGTTACTAACTGCCTCGGCGATACTTTCGAGGCGGGTACTCTCTAGTATTGGACGGCCATTCACGGCAACTGAAATCTGAATGCGACAGGCACCCGACCGAGTGATCCATAGATGAGAGTCTTGAACGAACGACAAGAGATCGTTGACATTCGTAATAGAATGCTCATTGTCCGGAAGGTCGATGTTCAACGATGGTGTAGCTGTCACTTCGACATTTGTTTGTTTTGCCAATATACGAAGAGACGGGAGCCGCAGTGCAGGAGACATCATTGCTTCATAGGTACTTCCAATCAGAGAGCCTTGTGAAGTCTGATTATTAAAAACGAGACATTTTGAAGTTGCTCTTGCTTTTAGGTGATGGATAGGTACCTTATTCCGGGACTCGGTTCACGTCTTTTCATAAGGAAATAACGATGCGCCCCCTATAACAGTCAACTCACAAATCTGGCAGGAGGATAGCAGTAACCGACCAGAAAGGGAAGGAACGAGCACCAACGAAGATCGATGAGTTATACCTACCTCTGCCTTAGTATCTACCTGGGAGGTAGCCTGGGAATAATGGAAACCTGAACAAGTATATAGTGGCTTATGGTCAACTGCCTTATATAAAAAACCTATCAATAACAAAATCGCCATGCCTAACGGATACTTAGAATGGATATCCAAAATATAGCCCCAACGTAATTCCCCAGAGATACATCATCGTCTGTAGCCAGTCATCAAGCTACAAAAAGTCTATAATATGCGCCTCCAGTATTTGCATCAGTGATTATAACGCAACTGCATGCTCCCTAAACTCCTTGCGATCAATTAACAGCCCGATTACTTCGCAAACCACGGGAACTTCTTTTTAGCGGGCTCTGCGAAACCGCCTGAGCCACTTTCAACCTGCACGCTTCGCTGATAAATGTCCTGTGATCTTGTTAGCTAATGCGTTGGATGAGATTCGTACTGAACTCTCTCACCTCTTCGTCTGTTGGCATCCGGCAACCCAGAATCAACTCTCTTGCATTATCATGCTTGGCCAGATTCGGGTATGATGCGCCTTGACTCTTCATAATTGGAAGCAGGACTTCTCCCAATACTTCAAACTTCTTCCAGTTGATGCGATCTGCATCTGCACCGACAAAGGTCTTACTTCCTTCTTCTGCTGATACCAAGTCTCGTCGGTGAAGAGGAATGAAAGGAATACGGGGAAGGGACGAGTTTTCCCATGCTAATCGATACGCGAAATGACTCTTTTGAGTTCCCATCAATATACCCAGTCGTGCGAACCTCTTCTGCACTTCGGCTGGTACGAGTGCTCTTGTATGGTTCAATCGATGAATGGCTGTTCCGTTTACGCCCGCCAGAATAGCCGCCAATCCGTTGTAATTATTTAGCTGGCGTAGCTTCAACGAAATGTTCATGAACTTCTCAAGTATCAATGCTCGGTGCTTGGCCTTGTCTCGTAGCAATATCATGTTAGCAACCCATTTGGCGACATGGTTGAAATGGTTAATCATCCGGTTGACGTTGCGCAAACTCTTGCATCTCTCCTTTTGGGATGCAGATAAGCTGACATGGCGTACAAAGTCGCGAATACGGATCGACGAAAACATGATCCAATCTATCCTCGTCAATTCGTCCGCAACATCGTCATCCGGTATGTCCATGAAGATGTGGTAACGGAATTTGTTCATAGGAAGGTTCTCCGTGGGTTCCAGGTAACTCGCCGCCTTTTCATAGTCTTCAAATGTATGAAACTGCACCTGGCTTGAAAGGCTGCTACTCCGATCGGCAAGGGAAACTTCTGAGCTTCCAGATGGCCTCGCATCCGTATCCGATTCTACTGTCAATACACTCACGCCTGATGACAGTTCGTTCATATCCTTTGACAGGATTTCGCTCGCAAGCTTATCGCTCATCTCGTCTGAGTGTGCCCAGCCAGTATCGTCATCTTCCACGACATTGAATTGAAGATGACGCCGCATATGCTGTGCAGCGATAGAGAAGATTGGCTCCGTGCTCAGATGTCTTATGAACTCTTCCAGATTTCGTCTGGTTTGAGGACGAGCGAAGTCGCCGGGATAGAGCGACACCCATTTGGCCACCACCTCGATGATGCGTAGTTGTGTTGCTGTCTTTGAAAGGTAATGCGCTGTCTTGTCATCCCTCACTTTGTCCAGTCTGGTCAAAATAGCAGTGAAGAGCTCACCAGGAGCTGCAAACTTGCGATAAAGACACAGAAAGACATCAGAGAAGTTGTTGTCTATTCTCGTCAAGCGTGGGGCAAGAAGACGATCAACCAGCTCATCGAATGATACCCCTATCATTTTAGCTTGCTTATCCAACATACTGTCATCATTTCTCTGGAGTATTGGAATGTCGTCGGAATAACGATAAGATTCCCCATCTGACTCCTCCACATCCAAGAAAGAATCAGTGCTAGGCCTATCCAGTCGAATGCCAGGAGTTCGGAGCATGCTGTTGATCTGCGCCTGACCTGATTCTCCCGTCTCAGGATTGGGGCTAGTGGATTGAGCTGTTCTAGAACCGCGAGATGTCTGTATTCGATAGTTTTCGGCGGTTGTAGGATTAGAAAATCCCTTAAGCAAGGAGAAATCAGAGCTTGCTCTGCTGTGTTTGCTATGCTGGCTTATAGGACGTCCAGTGCCAACCTCAGGAGCTTCTAAATTAGCGGCAGACTGTGCTCTCCTGCGTGATACTGTTTCGCCGTTTTCCTCTAACATACAATTAGCAGGAATTCGCCAAAGATTGCCCACTTTTGGTACTTACCTCTTCGATGTGCTATCGCAGCCCTCAGAATGGTGTGTAAACATGCCTTGGCGACCTCGGTGTCATCTGAGGATATCTTGTAGGTGGAAATGCAAGATTTGAAGAATTTGTGACTCGCCATAGCCTCGGCATTGACCTGCCATTCTCCCTCAGGGGTCTCGCATTTGCAAGCTACAAGACTAGCAGGAAGACCCGAGTTCGTAAGGGCCGCTAAATCCATTCAGTATATTCTCTTTCCAGGCAGTGGCCATAAATCTCATACCTAATGTTTGAGGCAGCTCGGCCACCGAGTCGTGATTTGTGACATCGTACAAAATGAGCGCAGCATCGACGCGAGGAACGATATGCCCATTGATCTGCTTTGGCCATTGAATAGGCTGTGTAGGGTTGAGTTCGAAGTACTCCAGATCCAGTTCGAGCAAGGTCACGGTGTGCGAGTTATTGTCAACCAGCATGCGAACACTGGAAGCATTGGAGATTGGTGGTCGAGACAAGCCAAGGACCCGCTGGACAAATGATGATTTGCCAACACCGGTGGAACCGATGACGGCAATGTTGAAACTTTCCATATTTGAAGATGCTTGTGACTGTAAAGCGCGAAACTGTGGTCAGCCGTCTGTCGCATAACTGCCTTGGAGACCCCAAAGTTCGGCTCAATGTTGAGCAACATGGCCCCGCGGTAGCTGGAGTGGGTCCGCATGTGATGGGAGATATTACATACCCAGTACGATGAGGGCGTAGCGGTCAAAGATTCTCGACGAGGAGGCGGCCAATATCGGTTCGGATCGTTATCATCGCTCTCCGGGTTGGGCTTCTTCCCTTCGGCGCCGCTCCTGCGTTTGCGGGGTTTAGCTGGGTTGCCGAAGTTGTTCCCCTGGGTATCGTGAAAAAGATGTTCGTGGTCCTCGTCTAGGGATTGGTAGATGGAGCTCCCATCAGACTGGTCGTCGTCGTCGGATGCAGTCGCGGCCTGAATTGCCGGGTCGTATGTTTGGAAGAAAGGATCGTCGATGATTGAACCGATCGAGTCTCGATGATTGCTGGCAGGCGCTGAAGGGTCGGAATCGCTTTCGTTATTGTGATCTATAGAAGTCGAACTGGCCGCAGAGTATGACCCCGAGGCGACAGTGCCTGCAGTTGAGTGAGCATTTCGTGAACCAGCATAATTGGATTGCATGGTCGCAACTTCAGCGACTAGGCCGAGTGGTGGGTAGAGAGAAACATGGACAGGATAGACTGGACGCCAACAGCTCAGATGGAGGGGACCAAATCCGTGGCGTTTTGCGGGGAGGAAGAACTCGTGGAGCCTGAGGTCAGGGTACTAAGATAGCTCAACAAGGGCTGAGAGGTGGGAAAGGCATAAGAGCACCAATGATGGATGAAAATGCTTGTGCTTTGAGTAACGAGAGACAAGGAAATAGTAAAGGTAGAGCAAAATGCTAACAAACGAAGAAGGGAGAGGAATTGACTGACCGACAATGCTTGCACTGTACTGTACCGTACCAACGGAAGGGATTGGGATCGATATCCAATCCAATTGGTGCAGTGGGAGCTTAGCTGCTGGGTACTGTGCTCTAGCGAGAGGGACGGAAACAATCGCTGCGTACGCGACAGATGGGGGGACCAGACAAGTGGAATGCCTTCAATTAGTAGACAATGGCGGCTTGGAGAGATAAGATTTGAACTTCTATCGTTCTTGGCACGAATTGAGCTCTGGGTTGCCAGTCTGAAGCAATGCCAAAGGTCAGCAAAAGGGTTGAGACACCACTTAAAGCTTCAAGTACTCGAAACCTATTGGAAACACATGGTGTTAGTCGAGTTTTACGGATTTCAGCCAACAACGTTTATACAACATGATATGCATGGCACTGGGCAAGCGGGGATCTAAGTACCTGGTACTGTGCAGCACAGTTGCCGTGCCGTGCTGTGTTGCAAAAAGGGTCGTTGAAAGGCTAAGTATCGCAAATCGTCGACGTTGAGCCGTGCCGTGGGTATGGAGTAGAGGGGCAGCACTTCAGCCCAGAGCCGTCAGATCCCAGGAGACGATGTATTACAGCGCGCCGTAAGGGACCTGGTGGCGTGGTAGAGTAGAAGAGTGGATGCGTGAGGTGATGACTTGGAGTCTTGGTCACAGATGGACGACTCCAAGAAGCGCGTCTGGAGGAATGAAGCACAAAGTATCTCGGATTTCAACGCTGACAAGTTCAATTGCAACTGCGCGAAATGTTCGAATCTAGCATTAGTTAAAGAGGGGGAAGAGAGAGAGCTGGAGCTGGAGCTGGAGCTGGAGCTGGAACTGGATCCGAGCCACGGGCTCGGAACAGGGAACGTTTTAGGAGCGGATGGTCTAAGGTAACGGGAACCTTAGTTGGGCGTGGGCTATTTCCAGTTAAGGCAACTGGGTTCAAAGCGTCAACATCAACTCATTTCTCGGCGTTGTTTTGAGGTTTGATTTAAATTGGGTGTTGAAGATCGATCCAACAAGCCGACAATGCAAAAGCACGAAACAATAACACAAGGGTCTTAAGCAGAGAAGAAAACAGTTCTTTGTGCTCCAATTGATACAGCCTGGGCTTTCTTTCTATAAGAACAATCACATGCGTATAATATAAGCTGACTTACATCATCAATCATATTCCTCAATTGCCTGTCAAATCGATCGCTCACTGGCGTTTCTTGGTGTTCACGCGCTTCACTGCGCATCACTTCATGACCCAATCCCATGTGCTGTGTTGGCGCTTTCCTACCCATTGGCCAGAGCACGCAACGATACAAGACAAGGAGATGCCCTGTCAGGCCTGTAGGTAAGTAGTTAGTGGTTCAAGACAACCCTGAACCACAAGGATTCAGCTCAGCTGGAGCCTTTCAGGTCGACCGACGACCTTAATTAAGAGTCAGCGATCCTTGGCTGATAGGCAACGTTAAGTTGTATCCGTATCTACGGATACCTACACTTCATTCACCTCTATAGGTGGATAAGTTACATGAATACATGGCACCACCATTGGTTCTTCCCACATGGCATTCGCATGGCCACTTGTCCTCATGCACGGCGCGCCACCAATAAAGGATATGTTATGTATGTAAGACTCCAACTGATTAAGTAATTTATAATTACACTTTTATCATCCAATGCAAGGTACCAAACGTTGAAACCTACAAGTTCTCGACTCTCACCTAACACTACTTATCCAACGACGTATCCCATCCGATCGATGTTATGTATGTTATCTATTTATTATTGTACCGCTAACTTGCTTACGCGAGTTGAGAAGCAGAAACAAGCTTGGACAACATAAAGAGCCAAGCTCCTTGCGAAGACGTCAGGCTGGAGAACCCTTCCTCCGGGGACACGACTCTAGTGTCACCCACTATAGCTCAGCAAACCACTTATCGAATATCTATGTTGTGTGTTCAACCCCAACACTCGGTCACGATTGAATGAGCTCGGTTCCGTTGTCCGATCTGATCTGTTGCACTAAATAGTTATTCATACAGGGCCTAGGCTTAATAGATAAGATAAAAAACCGCTGGCCTTCGACAGCAAGTAAAAGGTCGCCCCAAGAATTCAACGGCGTACTCCGTACACTCTGCACAAGTCCTTTTGTCTAAAACAAATCTGGGTCCTCATGGCGAAGGGACAGCATGCCTATCCTAAAGCTGTATGGCTTGCCATTCCAATCATGCCGTTTAAGAATTACTTTTACATCCAGATTCCCCATCGGACTCTCTGCTTGTGGGTTCAAAAAGTTGCACAATCCACGACCTCGATGTTATCGCCACGAACTAACCCTGGACTTTATTCCAATTCTACCCGTCAAGGACGGAATGAGTTGTCATACGTCGGGCCCGGCTCTCCATGAACTAGCAGCCATGATAACTTGTTCAACAATATGCTTCATTAGCGCTCTTCCGTTTCTGTACCGGTGCCCGCTCGTGTGAAGGACTACGAGCCTACCGGGACTGTTTAAGTTGCCTCTATGTGGAACTCCCCAAACCTTTTCGATGACTATCTGTGCGCGACTCATGGAAAACAGTTCTCCGGGCAGACTTCGATGGTTGACAACTGTCTTTATTGGGTGAGCGTGTAAAATCATCTGGAGTTCCCCGAACACCCGTGACACGCAATAGACTCTGGGTTATCACCAGGCTATCGACGCCACAACCATGGCATCAATGACATCCCATAGGGGAAAAGAAAGCAGAATGGTAGGTACTTGGGCTGGAGAATCTCCAACCGCACGTTCGGGTCCGCCATGAAGGCTCCGAGAGGCGCTGTCCTCATTTGTATCTAGTAGCATATGCAGCAAGTGGTCAACAATGGCTTGGCACATTCCCAAGCCCAGAAGCGGGAGCGCCTAGCTCAGCAGAAGCACGATCCGTCCTGCGAGTCCTGTCAGTGTCATGGATATCTCCCGCGAAGCCTGACGCCGCCTGGTTGGGTCTGTCAACTTTATTTCAAGTGAATAGCAAGTTGGTGCGTGCCAGAGCCATGAAGATGGAATCGGTCGAGAGTCAGGTATGCGTCTCACGAGTCCCCCTATTGAATGAACAACGCACTGCTACATTCACAACATCGTCGAGAATTGAGACCCAGTCTGACTGTCTCAATAAGACGAACTGTTTATCTAGGCGATCACAGTTAAACTCACCACGCGACTAATAATTTGGCTTTGGGATAAGATACGATGTCTCACCTAGAGTCTCGAATACCGAAGAATAAGCCCAGGAACTCGAAAGGCAACAACCAGTCATATGCATATGGAGTTGTGGGCTGTCTCCGGAAACAGCCATCTCCGAACAATAGGGTTTTGTCAAGGGTTGTGTAGACAAGATACCCCTTCTCGGGGATCAGGAACGCAGTCCATAAACAAGCTGATCATGACAAACGTACCGCAACAAGCTCCGGCCGGATCGGTCCTGCACCCGCCATAGAGGTACGGGGCTCGATTACGCCACGATGCCAACACATTGCAGAGAGATTCATACTCTCAATCAATGGGCCAGGCCTCGTGGCTTCAGGATGCTTTGCCTAAGAGAAGTGGAGGATCGGTGACAATAACTATGTGAACGGTGTGTCACTATCACGTACCAACAAACCCGCAGCTCAAATCATTTATCTTGCCATTGTTCCCAACCATATGGACAATGGCTTCCCGCAGTGGCCTACCTGGTATAATTTTCAACATCTTTGATTTAAAGCAACGCTGAAGGCTTACTTATTCCTCGATTCAACTATTTGCAGACACCTTGCCACTGTGGTCAGCATCTTTACAGTACAGCGGCATCCAGCCCATTGAAACCCAAGGCTATTTACACTTGTTCAAACATCACCCAGCTTGCCCAGCATGACCACAACCATGATGTACACAACAGGTGCCTCGGTGGAAGAGTCTACCCACAGCTTTGCTCCCACAATGAGTGGCTCCGGGAGGCCAAGGCATCGGCCAAAAGCTCTCCAAATCCACCCACTGGACCCTAATGAGTTGAGCGCTAAACTGAACGACCTATCTGTGGACAATGGCGGCCAGCCAAGTCAGTCAGTTTATACTGAGGACTCACTTAGGCCCCCACTGTCTGCCCGAAGTATGGGCGCACCGTCACCCAAAACCATCCCAAAGATGCCAATGTCACCATCAGTCACAACAACGGTGTCCTCGAGGTCTTTCAAGAAAGATAAAATAGATGACAAGCGCAGCCCTTCATCACCTTCAAAGCCTCCGCGCCGGGGTAGCATATTCGACGCGTTCCGGTTCAGGGGTTCGAACTACACTGATGAAGTGCAGAAGCAGGAGGATGATGTTCAAAAGCCTGCTCGTTATAGACATGTTCCTCAAGTTGCGGCACAGCAATTCGCTCGCACCACAACTGTTGAGCCCTTGACACAGAAGGCCTCGCCCAAGGGGATGGGACCTGTTCCTGGACCTCACTCTATGAACAATGGCACCATGTCGTTGCAGGAATACAATAGACAATATCGCCGAGCACAGAGTCTTTGCAGTGGAAGGGCAGCGGGCACCTACAACCTCCCTAAACTAGCAAGCACTGCCGAGATAGATGAAGGTTTAGCCCAGCAAAAGAAGCTTCACACTCGCGGATCAAGGTCTTGGAACGGCGGGGGTGCTGAATTGTCGCGAAGAATGAGCACTGGCAACCTGTGGGGGAAGAGTGACCCCCAACCCCCATCCCCCTCACGAAGAGATTCGACTAGTGTTGGAGGCTTTCAGGCAAGCAGCAGCTCCTCTGCAAGACGAGGCTCTGCTAGTTCGTCAGGCTTCTCTGATATATCTTCACCGTTTGTACGTGAATCTGGCCCAATCACCCCGTTGAAGCAGGAGTCTGGCGGAAACAACTCTCCTCACCGTAGAGGGTCTGAGAACAGTGCTGCCACTTCTGGATCAAGAAGAGGCAGTTTTGTCAACGTCCCCAACCCTCAACACACTGCCGAAATTCACCGTGTGGACTGGTCCCAGAGCGATCAGGCGGTCAAGGCTCGACAAGATTCTAAGTGGGGAGGTCTCAAACAACGAAAGACCAGTATAAGCCAGCAAAAGCCAAGCGATGAGAAAGAGGCCCCTTCTGTTATCGAGACGGGGTCACAGCCATCAATCTCTCCGAAGTCGCCAAAATCTGGGTTTCTGAAGCGGTTCATGCATTAGCAAGGGGAAGATATTTGAGGCAGATGAAATATGATATCTAGGGATTAGGGATGACCCACCAATTACTACAATAAGATTTTAATCAGTTACTCTGAAAATCATGCGCCATGATTGTTGTGGTGAAAAGGTGGCAGATTAAGTTAAAACCAGGAGCTAACTCAGCGCTTTTCCTGCGCCATCAAGCGCTCTATAAGTTTCGTATCCTCCTGCGCAAGTTGCTGTCTAAGAGCATTGTCGACGTCCGTGGTCGCATTCTCGGTATTCATCAAGTGCAGGATAAGCTCCGAATACTCACGAATCGCGTCGCCCTGCTCCCCGTGAGCGCGACGAGCCTTGCGCAGGGCCTCCTTGCCGTTCTGTAAGCCTATGTCATGGTTCCATGCCTCCTGTTTCGGAGGAAGACCCTTGAGAAGGGAGGCAGGGATGGAGGACTTGGTCTCGGGAGGTGGAAGAGTGGCAGCATCAATTTTACGGAGCTGTTCGGGAAGGTTGGGGTATTTTCTGAAAAGAAGGCGAAGCTTTTCTGATCCTTCGAGCGCGGAGAAAGGATTTGAACGGTCTGAAGGTGGAGGCCGTGATGGTAATTGCGAATGTGCAGGCTCGGGCTGCGGCGTTTGTGTTGGATCGGGATCGGGAGGATGATTCTCGCGATGGATCTTGTTACAAGCAACAGAGCAGCTTTGTAGAGAATAACCATTAGCCATTGACCGCGAAGTATATAGAATGGTAAAACGTACTACGGCAGACGACACCGTGGGCACTTGTACTTGGGAGGATCTACGTTGCATACACCACAAAGTGAAGTGTTTGCTGGTGCTGTCGCATCACCATCCTGCGTCTGGGCTGGATCGATTGGGGCAGTAGCTTCTTCTAGTTGCTGAGCTGATAATTCGAATTTTTCCTGGGACTCTGACATTGCAATGTAGGAGATGGTAGATAGCGATGAAGGATAGCTTAGTTTTGGGTATTGTTACAACTTGAATTTGTTATTTGATGTAGGTATGAAGAAGGAAAAGGCAAACCAAAAAAAGGAACTTTAGCATGAAGCAGTTACAAAAAGTTCAAGGGGTCCAAGGCTCCCTTCGCGTCATTGCGCGCCGAGCGTTAGACCCCAGCATCGACAGCAATTGAGAAAAAAAGGGAAAAAGATGATTGGCCTATGAAGCTGCACCCACCAGGGACCGACTTGCATCATAGGTCGCTCAGACATTACTAATGCTCGGGCCTATCACGGGTTAGTTCGTCGGTTTACACAACCAAATACCGAGAGCGGCGAAAAGTTGCGATATTGTCAAGTTTTAACCGTCAACTCCGAAGCGGATTTCTTTCTTTCTTTCTGATCATCTTTTATATTACCTGTACTTCTATACCAGTCAACCTTCTACTATCGACCAAGCATCACGTTCTCATCTTTTTGCATATCGTCCTCATCCTACGTCATGGCATCCTCCAGAGCCATGTCACGGACGCTCGCCGCTCTAACCCGGCCTGCCGCCCAGACATCTTACAGAGCCGCTCCACGATGGACTCGCTCACTCAGCACAATCCGATCCCAGCTTCCCGCTATCTCCTCCGTCTCGCGACCAATTGCGCAGCGACAGCGCACTCAAACTGCCGCACCAAGCCTCGCTGGTGTCGGCAGCGGCGTCCGAACCATCTTCATCCAGACCGAAGGTACCCCGAATCCGGATGCCCTCAAGTTCCTACCGAACCATCGTGTTGTCCCCGAAGAGTTCTCTACACCTTTTATCGAGTACCTCAACCCTAGAGCGACGATCTCTCCCCCGCACCCCTCACCACTCGCCGCCAAGCTTATGAATATTAACGGAGTCACTTCGGTTTTCTACGGCGCCGACTTTATCACTGTCACAAAGGCTGCTGATGCGAATTGGGCACATATCCGACCCGAGATCTTTGCCCTCATTACGGAGGCTATTACTGCAGGCGAGAAAATTGTCACTATCGCCGAGCGCCGAGAAGGTGAGGCCGCTGTAGAAGCCGAGGAGGATAGTCTTGCGTACAACGAGGATGATAGCGAGGTTGTTGGGATGATCAAGGAGCTTCTTGAGACACGAATTCGACCAGCCATCCAGGAAGACGGTGGAGATATTGACTTCCGGGGTTTCGATGACGAGGGATACGTGCACTTGCGTTTGCGAGGCGCTTGCCGCACCTGCGATTCTAGTACTGTTACCCTCAAGAATGGTATTGAGGGCATGCTGATGCATTATGTGAGTATTCGCCAAATGCCTGCTCTATTTACTCTAAGCTAACGATCTCCCAGATCGAAGAGGTCAAGGGCGTTAAGCAAGTGATGGACCAAGAGGAGGAGATTGCTTTGCAAGAGTTCGAAAAGTTCGAAGAGAAGTTGAAGCAGCAAAAGGGTCAGGTTGCCTCGACAGGATAGGCGAGCAAAAAGGCCTACAATACCAACAGCATCTGTATAATAGTTTGAAGGGACAATTTGATGATACCCACAATGCTTCCTCCGTCCTACTTGTAGCCTTTTATCCTGTTACAGTAGTAGCGGATGGTATGATTGGCGGATTGCATTTCAATATAGGCAGTCTTTCCATCGCAACACATACAGAACTTGGGGGCCCGCGGTTTGGACTCTAGTCCAAAAATTGTAAACGCTCTGTGCTCATCGCAGCCTGTTGTTTGGCAAACCCCGACGGTTCTCTAGAGGTTTCTTGTGACTAAAGAGCAGCAACGTAGCCACCAACAGTCGCACCACGATCCAGTTCCACCATGGCTGCTACCGTGCTATGCCCGTTATTGCAGGAGCCCCGAAGTCTTCACTAACATACTGGCTGGAATGGACTAGAGCAACATCGCACCTAGTTTGAACAGAGTTGACGAGAAAGGATCATAAATTTGTCCAAACCCCAGGAGTAAAGAGTACTGCTGAGCATACGATTTGTGGCGCGAAACATCCACCTTTCATATGTGCTGTAGACTCACATCCGTCAAGGTGATACGAGCGTGCGTGGGTAGGCTGAGCCCCGTGCTTTCCTCAGGTCATCGTTGGGCTTGACCTTTGTCGTATAGCTCTATAAGCGCACCAGGCCGGTTCAAGTACGCATCCTTAGGTGGCTGTCGGATGCTGCTCAGATTATGGCTTCTAGTGGTGGGTAATAGTTAATACAGGCGCAAGAACCACAGCCCAGTTTGTTTCTGGGTTGCTCGGCTTCAAAGACACAACGCATGGACGCCCAGGGGAAATTGTTTCGGTAGGTTTGGCAGGTGACTGTCAGGATTGGATTGTTCTTATGACTTCGAATTGTTCAAACAGTATCCACAGATGGTTGTTGGGGGACCCCAGTAAATACATCTATCCCCCACACGGACATAGACACCTTGCCTGGCCGACCTCCAAACACAGGCCAAATCGTATTAATCCTAGGATGTACGGATAGCGTTGCGAAGTATTTGGGCATACTGCGATTGGCCCGGTTAGCGCGATCCGGGAACCTCCAACATGGCTTATCCTATAATTCGTCGTCGCATTGGCCTGTTGAAGAGAGTAGAGAGGGTAACGTTGATTTAGACAAAGATAGCTTTGGGAAATCGAATTCGGACCCGCTTACAGCTCCAATGGTAGTATAGCCGTACCAGTTATGAGCCGCCCTGAATACACCAACGTCTCACTTGGCTCCGCCGGAAGAATGTCATTTTTAAGTAATCGACGTTAAAGAGGCACCGCCTTTCCGGCTGTGGGTGTAAGCTAGAACCGGACATCCGCCGGCAAGTTCACGACGGCAAAGTAGAAGTGAAGAAGAGCCCTGCAGCAATATGCCGGGATCTTTTAAGGACAAGCATACATAAGGATGCGACTCGATGCTCTGCTATAGCCCGCTGGCGCAGTCATGTACATGAGCCGGATATCTGCCCAGAAGCAGCCTGGGCACTTGCCAAAAGACCGGCAAAAAGCTGTAAAAATGAATTCAACCGCGAGCTGGACTTAGTTCACAGAGCAGCCACTTTACGCTAGAAGCCCGTTATAGTGGGATGGCGTCTTGGGAGTCTCCGGGCCGCTTTCTGTGATTGGTGCGGGAGTCAACATGCAGTGGATGATATAGCCTCCACCGAGGCAAACCCCACAAACCCCTCAAAGAGAACGACGTGGGACAGCTGTTGGCGCGTTCGGATCTCGAGGCCCTGCGTTCTTGTTTCAACGTGGGGAATCGGATTTGCCATGCCACCAGGCAACCAAACATATACCGATAGGAGCGCGCATGACCCCAAATTTTTATCCGTAGAAGGAGAGGGCATGATTTAAAAGAGCCCCCATTGCGCCTAAGTCTTGACGGGATTGTTACCTCTTCTTGTGCCTTCTTTGCTTTCCTCCAACTCTTAGATACCTTGACTTGCGTAGCAGTATCAAGACCGGATTCAAATCGGACGAGATCAACACACATTGCCCATCATGAGCCCTTCAGCAGTCGACGGTAACGGCGTCGCGGACGTCAAGACGACCCTCAAGCCCAACATTGGCGTTTACACCAACCCCAACCATGACCTCTGGGTCACTGACGCCGAACCCTCTGCTGAAGCCGTCAAGTCCGGCTCTGATCTGAAGCATGGCGAGGTCAGCGTCGCTATCCGAAGTACTGGTATCTGCGGGTAAGTAGCCCTCATAAATTGACCCCGCCTCTTTAAGGCCGTCTGCTGACAAGGGTGTAGTTCCGATATTCACTTCTGGCATGCTGGCTGCATCGGTCCTATGATCGTCGAGGGCGACCACATTTTGGGCCATGAGTCTGCAGGCGAGGTTATCGCCGTGCACTCATCTGTCAGCCACCTCAAGGTTGGTGACAGGGTCGCAGTCGAACCCAACATCCCCTGCGGCACCTGCGAGCCGTGCCTCACTGGCCGATACAACGGTTGCGAATCCGTCCAGTTCCTATCTACCCCTCCTGTTCCTGGCATGCTGCGCCGATACATCAACCACCCCGCTGTCTGGTGTCATAAGATTGGAAACATGTCATTCGAGAATGGCGCTCTGCTTGAGCCTCTGAGTGTTGCTCTGGCCGGTATGCAGCGAGCTGAGATTCGTTTGGGAGACCCTGTTCTGATCTGTGGTGCTGGACCTATCGGATTGATCACTCTTCAATGCTGTGCTGCCGCTGGTGCTTCGCCTATTGTCATCACTGACATCTCAGAGAGCCGATTGGAGTTCGCCAAGGAGCTTTGCCCCCGCGTTATCACACACAAGGTCGAAAGACAGTCCGCCGAAGACTCAGCCAAGGCCATTGTCAAGAGCTTTGGCGGTGTTGAGCCCAGCGTTGCTATGGAGTGCACCGGTGTCGAGAGCAGCATTGCGGCTTCCGTCTGGTCAGTCAAGTTTGGCGGCAAGGTCTTTATCATTGGTGTCGGAAAGAACGAGATCAACATTCCTTTCATGCGCGCCAGTGTGCGAGAGGTCGACATTCAGCTGCAGTACCGATACTGCAACACCTGGCCTCGAGCCATCCGCTTGATTGAGAACAACGTGATGGACCTTTCCAAGCTGGTTACTCATAAGTTCAAGCTCGAAGATGCTATCAAGGCGTTCGAGACCTCTGCGGATCCCAACAGCGGGGCCATCAAGGTCATGATCCAGAGCTTGGAATAAAATATGAAATGGGAATGACGTTCATAGTTGAATTCGGTGCTCGGCGTATGTTTTTGCATTCGAGGCGCAAGTCTGTTAGAAGACCCTACAAGTAGCCTCTATCTGGGATATAGACATGAGAATATGAGAATTTGTGAAGAACAGCTATTCGCAAACTGTGGACGATACTATGATGTCAGTGATTCGTCACATGAGGATGGAAATTCAAGACGATGAAAAAGTGTAGATGATGACAATGGTGTTAGAGTTAAGATAGAATAGGAGGTGAAGTTACGAAGATATTGTTTGTTCAAGCTATAAGGAAAGAATCACAGTCCATCGTAAATTCATCGCACTCCGTAGTTCTTGACCATTTAACCCCCGGCAGCGCGGCTACTGGATCCGAAAGCGGCTTAGCGCACCAATCGTCGGCTCAACCACCATGCAGCGAGTTCTTCCGAGCTTTTTTTCTCCCTCAGACGACCTCACTCAAGATCACGACCCAGCTTCGACTCCATCAATTGACCACCCGCAGCTGGTCTATCCACCCCACGGAGCTCCGATATCGAATCTACGAGGCATCTCGCACTCTTTTACAGCCTTAATATTCGTCATGTCTTCCCTCGCTCGTCCCATGCTACGCTCGCCGGCTTTCCGCGTCGCCGCCCGACGCTTCGAGAGCACTGCCACCCAGAAGGCTACTGAGAATGCTAAGCAGGCTGCCTCCAAGGCCACCGAGAATGCTAAGCTGGCTGCTTCAAGGGCCCAGGAAGGTCTATCGCGCGTCACATCTGCTGCTGGTCCTGCTATCGCCGGTTACGCCAAGGGCGTTGCCAATACTCTGGGCAAAGTCGGCGGACGAACGGGCAAGGTCGTTGGCTTCGTTGAGCGTACGTGGATTATAACATCCATGCCCAATCGTCAATTATTCTGTACTAACAATAGAAAATAGGACAAGTCCCCTTCGTCGTCTACTACTCCAAGGTCGCCCTTGAGGTTGGCAAGTTTGTCTTCCAGAACCAGAAGATGAGCCCTCCGTGAGTCCCCCTCGACAATCGCTTCTTTGATGTGGCAGGATATCCGGCTAATGCGTATCCGACAGTAACTTGGCCACCTTCCAGAACACCTACCAGAACATCATCAAGTCTGTCCAGAACCGCACCATTATCCAGTCTTCTCAAAACGCTATCCAGCAGGTGCGGAATATCGGCCCTGCCCAGCTCGCCGCTGGCGGTGTTGTTGCGGCTGAGGTCCTCGGCTTCTTCACCGTCGGTGAGATGATTGGCCGATTCAAGCTTGTTGGCTACCGTGGCGAGACCTCTTCCCACCACTAAACGTGTCTCATATATGGAGCAGGAGTTGTAAGAATCAACCAGTGCTGGACGTGATAAACGAATAAGGGCGGGTGGGTTATGGACATGCACCTCCCCGGCTGAGGAAGCCTGGGGATGGCTGGTTGGAGAATGATTGTTTCCGGAGGGGAGTTGAAAACTTGGAGATTTGGGAATACCGGTTTTGCCGGACCTCGATGTTTGTCCTCTGAGCACTTTTCTTTTGTAGAACTGTACATCAATCAACCCACGGCGGCTGCATCTGCCGTGGACAGCTTTCAACAATGATATCTAATAACGACATGCGCTTCATCCGTGAGAGGACTGAACTAAGTGTTATTGCTACTATGCTCACCACGAAGCCCTTCGACTAGGACTGTTTATCTGGATTAAGTCTCACACGATAGCTATAGTTCCAGCTATATAGGTAGCTTAAACCTTCAATATCAAATAACCGAGCTTGTGGATAAGCTCAGGACTTAAAATCAACTCCGCCATTCTTGCCTGGAGACAGCAATTTGTTCACATGATAGCAAAGTTATAAGTCCTATACGAACATTTCCAGAATGCCTGCTCTTGATGCTCCATATTCTGTATAACATAAGGTTCATTTAGAGCGCAGCTAGACACTCGGAAAGAACAGAATCGCAACTATCGCACGATTATTGGTGTTGTAGTTATATCTCCCAGTATTTACGCCCACCAATAGGTGATTGGACCATCGTTTATTTACTAACCTGCACTAGGCTAACTTATATCAATGATGCAAACAGAGCATAGCTGATGATGAGCGACTTTACATGTTTGAACATAGGTACGTTACAGGACGATATAGGTACTAGCGGCACACGATTTCATTCCTTCGCAGCAAGACTAGAAACTGAGGTTGCAATCAAAGCTGTAGCAAGGAATTCATTCCAGACACACCTCGAATTTAACTTTTGTCGTCTTCTCACATCAATGGAAAATTGCATCTAATAGCTTTGAATTGCCCCAGGCTCTACAGCCTGAAGTTTAAATAATATTGGCAACAGAGACTCTGGCGGTGTATGAAGCAAGCTGATACTTCACAGGCCAGACGGTAATTCAGCTCAACTGGGGTGAACCTTGCGAATTATGTCCTCAACCAGGGCATTCTAGATCAACTTGCCATAGTCCCGAGCCGCGGCCCTGTCGTCCACCTTCTGCTTCCGGAAGCCAGTACAGATCCGGGGTATGAACCCTTCCCGCTTGTTTCGATGCCCCTCTCTTCCACACAAAACAAGCCGAGTAGGCGTCTAACAGACGATTGAAAAGGCTGGTCGCTGGAGCAGGCGTAAAGCGCAGCCGCGCGCGAAGACAATGAGTAAAACACACGGAACGGAGAGCGGTCCGGTCAAGTTATCCGTTCGATCCGCACCCTGAACGTGGCTGAAGGCCCGAAACGAGCGAGGCCCGTCCCGAGGCGTGCGGACCTATTATGGGGCCCTCCATTGGCCCTTGGCAGGATATATTTTAAACGCAATTCCCACGCCGTAACCATAATGGGAGGCCCTTGCCAACGTACGCGCTCAAGAAATCTCGCGCTTGGCGTATGATCGCGGGCAGGTGATTAAGATCTGGCGGTCAGTTGAATTTCGCCTTGATCGGCATGCTTCTTCATAGTGGTGGACAGGTCGATGTGATAAACCCCCCGCTGCTGTTGGTGATACCAGCTAAGATCCTTGTCGCTAGCCTTGAATACCACGCTGCCATTTTTTGTGGCAAGCGTCTCTTGAAACTCGAGGGTCGCGAACATGAGAAGCGAAAAGGAACGCAACTTGTGTGAGAAATCATGGTATCATTTAGGGATCGCCAGGGTGTAGTTGTGACCAAGGTTCATGGCAATTTGTAGCAGTGCCATCCAAGACCGTTCAGGCCTGTAAACAATCCTAGCGAGGCCTCGAGTAACAAGGCTTCGTCTAGCTCCTAATGCTTTCCGCCGCAGACGAACTTCGTAAAGTTCGTTCAAGGCGAGTCGCTTCCTTACGCTCTGCGATGAACAAACTCACACAAATTGGAGATCAGTGCGTTACTGTGTCGGTCCAGGCTTCCTTGCCGTCCAGACATGTCTGTACAAATATTAGCATAATTGAACAAATAGTATGGCTAGCCATGGTTCGCAGACTTACATATTACAGTAAGTGTGATAGCGTAGAACACACGTCTCACGCTTCGCTCTTGTGCATAGCTCGCGAACCTCCTCTGCCGTGAAGTCCAACTCCTCGATGAGAGGTTTTAGGCTCAAGGCTTCCAAGCTATGGGAAAGTCCAATATTGAACCATCTAGCAATTTCCCGCTCATGTCGGTCAGGAGACCAGGGGCAGACATATGCCTGGATTACCTCATGCCTCAAATCAGTGAAACCTGCGGTTTCAAGCAATTGCCGGGTTTGTTGCGGTATGACTCTGGCATTGCGATTAAAACGCTCCATACCTTCATGAAAGAGTTCTGCCCACCGCTCGAATGCGGAATTTGCAGGCCGCTCATCGTCATCACATCGAGGCGTCCAGTCAATTTCAATGTGTTCCAGGTGACCAACACCTGGAGCCAAGTGCCTAGTCAGGGATTAGATGTGATGGTTAAACATGTACGTGCAACTTACTCAAAGATTTTGCGATAGAGCTGAGGCCATAATTCTGTTCGAACACTTCCCAAAAGCATCCGGAGATGTATCAGATCACAGTCTGCCAACAACGGGCCCCATGTCGGCTCTTCAATGTCATATTGTGTGGGCAGTACTCCTGGGGGGATTCTAGTAATGTTAGTTGGTGACCTGCAGACAAATTTTCAGAAACTTACAGTGCTGGTTGAATCTGATTGAGGTCTACAGCCATAATCTGGGCATCCGTGAAGCATCTAAATCATGTTACTTGACGGCCAGTGACATTCTCCAGAGGGTGAACAAACTCTTCTGCGACGTTGATCGCCCAGATACCCGTCCCCGTACCAAGATCCATAATTCTGGGCGATTGCCGTCTGATGGGAGCCTGGAATGGCTTATTACCTCGGGCGAGAAGAAATACTTTATGGAATATATCCAACCGGTTCAACTCTTCCTGGGAGACATTTGTCAGGCAATGCATGTTATCATTAGGGGAACTGATATCTTACTGAATCAATAGGGAACAGGTATTTGCCAGGCTTCCAGGAGCCGTAAAAACGGCCATGTTGCCACAAACCATCCCGAAGGTATCTCCCTCCAGACTCAGTTATGCTGTATTTCACTGTGTAAGCTCCACTGGCGCTCAGATGACTCTATATTAAAACTGGCATACCTATTTTGTGAAGTCATCACAACCATGGAAGAGAATCGTGGCTGTTTCCACGTCCTTTTGGGAACCAAGACAGACCACGAGGGGCTCAAAACAAGGTAACAGCACGACGCAGCTTGGACTTTCGGTTGCCAACACAAATAATCTGGCCTGTGCTCTCGAGCTCAGGATGAGGGAGGTTCGTAACGCCAGTGGAGAATCTCGCTGCAGGTGTTAGCAGACGCACGAAAGGAAGAAGGCGATATTCGCCAAATGGGAGTGTGAAGAAATGCTATGCGAATATTCGAAGGAGAAGTATATGGAAAGATGATGGGGACCTGGCACCGCGAGGGCCGAATAGCATATCGAGTATGCTGTATTGGGCTTGTCATGGATGCGCAGCAGGTTTCGTGGGCTACATGGGGCCTGATGGACTGTTTCAATCAACTCGAGAATCACCCGGGCATTGACCCTAAATCGGCGCAGAGAACGCCGAACGAAAGAAGCTGGCAGAGCGTGACAGAAGCACAGGACTATCAATTGCACGTTGCCTCATACGTGATTATGCCCCGTGAGAACGCTCTATGATTTTGCGGTCCAAGGTTTGAGTTGAATCAGGATCATGGAGGAGAATAATACAAATGATAGAGGTAGCAAGGAGAGTCGGAGGCTCTGTGATGCTTCGCACCCGCGGCTTGTAGTAGAACTTACTGAGTGAAACAAAGGAAGGAAACCGAAGCTGTATGAAGCAAATCCGCGCGTATGAGATAGATTAAGACTCTTGTAGGAAACGCCAAGACTGATACTGGAGCGTCGAGTGGAATGAGAGCTCGAGAGCTTGGCTCCTTGACCAAAATTGGATCAAGTTAAATCGCTGGTTGCAGACCTTGGAGATATCGAGGATAGGTCGTGTAGATGTAAAGTCTCGTAAAGGAGCTTCCTCGACGTCTTTCAATGGGAGTTCTCTAAGAACGCGGTTCAGTTTGGCTCGAGAGCAAAAAGAACGTGAGTCGGTTGGTGGGTGAAGAGCAGCCCAACAGACTTGAGTTTGAGGATGGTAGGAGGGGTTTTTGTCCTCCCGCGCTTCTCTAGGACAATTGTGCACTGAGCAGAGTGTATCCAGACGATAAGCAAAGGACGAATTGAGACGAAGGAAGCTCGCAGCTCGAGACAAACAATTATAATGGCGAAGAAATTGTCGTGGGCGAGAAAGAAGCTGCTCGGGGAAGATGAGGAGGAAGGTTGTTGATACTTATTATTGCCAGTCGGAGTGTGGATCTGGAGTGCGGGACATGGATGCAGGACACAGCTGCTGTAAAGTAGGAAGGGTAGGTACCCTCTATACCTTGATAACTTACAGCGCAGTCGCCTAGCCCAAGGTACCCGGGGCAGCGAATCCAGACCACCTCAGGCACAGCGGTAGAGGGAGATGTACAGGTACAGGTACAGAGCTAAACAGACGCAGGCAGACGCAGGCGCAGACACAGACGTAGACGCAGAGACGCAGCCAGCCCAGGGAAAGACAGGCATTGAACAGACCTACACCAAGGTACCTTACCTACAGGCTACACCTACAGTTGGACGTGCGTGGAGCGTGGAGCGTGAGACGTGGGAGGGACGTGGAACCCGTGGGTGTGGCCCTTGTTCCCTCCCCTCCCTCCCCTTTGTATTTTATTTTATTTATTAAATATTCTACATTACACCCCCTGTTGATTTCGACTACTTTTTGATGTGATATGCTATGTTGCGTTGTTGGTTGAGTCTCTTTCCTTGTTATTGTTATTGTTTTTGTGATTATATCATGCGCCTCGACAAGCGGTTCAAGCCTTGTGTAACCATCCCTGAAGGATCTAGTAGCCTTCAGAAGAGCGCGGCATGAACGAGCCAGCCATTGGAGATATCCCGACCTTTCCTCGCAAATACTCAGGGCACATCACATACCTAGGTGCCTAGGTAGGTGCCTCGCTTTACCTCTCCATCTAAGGACAACGTTATCATAGACAGTTTTATGCATAATTACACCACCGTCAATCTCTACCAAGATGGGTCCGAAACTAGCAATGGACTCGCTCGCCTGGCATTCCGATCTAATCACTAGATGGACATGCATGGTAATAAAGAAGCAAAAAAGAATAATGAGACTCGGACCAGGGGTTCGGCCTATTCACATTGATAGGGCCAAGGTGCCACAACACCACAACTCAACAGAGGGGGCAACCAACCTCGATACAGATGGCTGGGCTGACTGGGACTGCACTGGTGGGGTTTGATAGGCAGAACCACTTGGTTATGTTATGGCATGCAAGGAACTTAACTTACCTTGCCTTGCCTTGCCTACCCGTCCATACCTACATCACAGCACATAACGTTACAGTGGCTACACATCCCAGACAGCCTCGCAGCTTACAGCCAGCTTAATTACAGCTTGATGGGTTCTGCAACAAAACACTTGCAGCGAACTCCTTCGCCGTGTGCCAAGCACCAATATGACATGTTATTCAATACCCTGCCCGCTTTGGCTGGGCCCCAAAGCTGGCCTGTGACGTTGGTTTCTATAGCGGAAACGGTCTCATATTAGGTCTGAGGTGGCCCTACTCTCCTGCTGTTTTATTGTTTTGTAACACCCGAGATCGCTTCCATAGTCAGAGCCGTTTATCTTTCCAAACTCCCGATATGTGTTTTAGGCCGCGGTGCAACCTTTATATAACCCCCGTAATCATAGGGGAGTGCCAAACTTCGACTTGGTACCAACTGGTAGCGTTTCTCGTCACGATACTCTGTGCAACCCATGGCTGTCACCGGTTGGTGGCGCCGAAGCCGCAACCGCTCCATAGTCCTGAGAGATGGACTCAACGGGACGGGCACTGTCTAAATGTTTTCCTCCTCTCATTCTTATTCACGTCGATGCGGTCCCTGTAACCACGCCCAGACAGCCACTGATCGCTGTCACTCTAATGTTAGTCGCGGTGTGGAGGATGAGGGGGGGTCCCGCTGTTGGTTGAAGGCGTCTATGTTTCGAGACAAGATATCAAGGATGCCAATGCCCCTAGCCGACGATGGTCTTATCCTTAGTCACTTTAGCATTGAGCCAGCAGGGAACAGGGGGCAACAAGCAAGGGACTTTGTCAAACGCCGTACGCACTAACTTAGTTCAACCAGTTGATCTGATAGTCGAGTCGCATCAACCGATTGTGTTTTCATGAAGCTCATCATGTTAGCGGCAATGTCGTTGCGTTTATGCTAATATATACCCATGGTCATAGACGATCATCGGGTTTCCACTCCCCATCAGAGATCTTCTCTCATCTCTGGGCAACGTAGGTCGACATCTGGCTCAAGCCCAGTCCAAACATCAGCATGTAAGATTATTCGTCCGTGGAATTTTCTCAGACACTGCGCGGACTGTCGGTCATGCTTTTGGTCCAGGACAGGAATTTGTTTTAGGTTCTGTGTTACTTGATAGGATGTCTCTTCTTCTCGGCACAGCAGACGGGTGATAATCAAAATGAATGAGATTGAATACAAGGCTTCTCCAGGGAAAGCTGAAATAAGCAAGCAAGCACCTTCCTCCCTGTGATTGTTAGTCGAAGCTCGTCCATACTACTAATGTACCTGCCTTGAGGCAACCTTTCAAGCTCAAGGCCAGGCCCTTCCTCCGTCGGGTAAGATATCTACCTAGGTACCTACATACTAGCCAGGTGCGATGGATGTCAGGTGATGTTTCAACTGCCTAACCCAACTTCCCTTCCACAGAGGGGGGGAAAAGAACATTCAATCTTCCCTCCTCATCAACATCATTTCCACTCAAATTTGTCAACGAATCCCACCCGACGCTTTGGGCGGCTTCCCTAGTGCCCGCTGGTTGCCCGCTGGTTTCTCGCTGCTCTCTGCGCCTGCGCCGCCACCACCGTCACCCGCTTGTTGCGTTTCTACAAGTCCAAGCAAACCTGCTGCAGCCACTTGTGCGTAAAAAGAAATGCCAGGGCTTCCTTGCACCGCGCTAGGGAGATGTCGCGGGAAACTAGCGCTTAGTACCCCTGTCACTCAAGGCTCGCTTTAGGATTGTTGGCTCAGGGCTCGGGCGCTATTTGGCCCCATGTTCTTCTGTTTCGTCCCGTTTTGACACCCTTTCTCCATCGTCACGCTGCTTGCTCCTCACCGATGGCATTCCCTTCTTGTGCATCCTGGCTAGATGGAGCTCCTAATCGGGCTTGCGCATGCGTGCCATCTGCCTCAGCGTACCGATTGTTTGGCTCTCGCCCCGTCTCTACCTACCAATGGGCAACGCTTAGCACCGAGTTGCAAGTTATTATTCAAGGATCGCAATGAACTGTCATAGCCCATCAACACGGTCTCTTTTGAAGGAATTGCATATCTGTGTCATCCTCATCCCAGACAACCCACGCGGAGAATTAGTCGAGGGGATCACCGACTAAAGTACACAATCCATCGTCCCGGTCAATTTCGATGGACCAGTGCTAACTTCCCGCTGAACCGTCGTGGATCCAATTTGTTCGTGGCTCTGCCAGGGCACTACCCTGTCCTGTCCAGTGTAGCGGAATCGCGAGGACCCAAATGTCCCACGGTCGTGCATATTTGTTCGAGTTCTTAGTAACTTCCGAAATCTTTCTTGGATCCCGGTTCAATGACGATGCCAACGATCTGCTTGTCTATCGTGTTTGGTATTCCTTGTTTCTGTCCAAATGATTATGATCCCAGATCATGCTAGTGAAAACCCTTCGAGTATCAACAACACATGAAGGCATTCCGGGGCAAGCTCCATTTTGGGGTTAACAGTAAGTCTTTAGCACACTGCTCGTCTCATGTTGATGTGAACTACACAGCCTTCCTACTTTATGGTATGGACGCACATGCTACATGTACGCCATACCTAAACAATCACCATGAGACTTATCGAACTGCGAGCCTTTCTTATTCTGATATACTCGTGTACAGTCCGATTGGGGTTTTAGATCGGCCAATATGTATCAATAAGCAACAATGATGACCTAGCTGTTCAAATGGTCTGACCTGAGCCTGGGTATGTCGAACAGGTTGTGAGAAGATAATTAAGGCAGCCATTAGTTTTGTTGGAACACCTACACACAAAGCTTGACTATTTTTGTGAGTAAACATACCTTGAGAAGCTACCCTGTATATATCACATCATTTGACTTGCTCACTCCAGGATAGTTTCGGCCAAGTCTGACTGTGGTTCCCCGACGTCGACTAATTGCAACTTTATTTCCAACGGGCAGGCCATATGTCCATGTTTACACGAAATGGCACCAATCAGAGATTGCAGTGCTTTTCTTCCGAGGTGGACGGGGTCGACTATTTAAGGCAAGGTCTGAAGGAGAGGAAGATGAGGGCTACTGAGTTGCATATCCCTGAACCCTGTTCATGCCTGCGGTCCCAGATTGCGTACCAAATGATTGGGTCGCACATGTACTTCAGCGCAGATCCCACCGAGCCTACGGATACTCCGTGCAACAATGTTGAATCTGGGATGTCTGGTGTAAGCAACCCCATTTGTGGCTACGATGGACCAGAACATACTGCCATCACCCGCCGCGTTGGTAAAAAAATGACTAGCTGCATCTAGCTTCAACAGAGCTGTGGATTTTTTCAGGAAGAGTCCTTACGATTATTGTCTGACAATCAACGACGTTGCTGATATGGGACACCGCCGATAGAGTGGACTTACACTGATCATTGCACTGCTCATTGGGTTGAAGACACGTCCTTCCGGGGTAGCTATCCACAAAGAGCAGACCGATCGTTGTTAGATTGTCATTGGATACTTGTCGAACGCCGTGGAACGATCCGCAGGTCGCTACTGTATAGCGTGCACTAATCGCTTTATCCATCTCCACGCCATGAGCTGCTGGGCCCAGCTCTGCTACTTTGATACCGCACGTGGCCTAGGTGAGCAGGCGCGATTTGCGCAAGAAAATTAGCCTGTAACTCCTGCCCGGCGAGTCTGGTAACCTCATTCAGTGTAACTGTCCTGGTTCGACAATCATCACCGACTTGTGATGGTAGGTTAGGGACATGGATAATCCAAGAGCCTCATGGGAAATTGGGTTACCGATGTATTTACTGTCATTTCCGGGCCACGATTCACCGCCTCAGTCGTCAGAGAGGATGTCCCATGAGAATGGTCAAACGAGTGGGAGTCTTCGAACAGTCAACGAGATTAACAAAAGACGCCATCCCGTGAAGGGAGTTTGATACGAGACGAGACGAGACTGGGCAACACCTCCACAACCCATTGAGCCCACTCTAGACTAGGCTGTACCATTCCGTCGGATCCCACCACTAGGCAGTGCAGTACGTACTGTCCCACAATGAACCTCATGTGGCTAACAGCTCGCCAACGACAAAAATGAGCGTTTGTTTTTAGAGGGACGAGATCAGCCCTCAGAAGAGCTGATGTATCTGCACTGAAATTTCAAGCGCGTGTGTCAATTGACTTGAGATTACTCCGTATGCTGCACGCAATGATTCTTGCAAGACGCTTCTGCAATATCCGGAGATGAACTGCTCTTGATGCTTGTGCTGATTCCGAGTGGTACGGGGTACAAACAGAGTAACATGTAAATGATCATCTCGGTCTCTAGAGATGGTTGCTTCATATACGCAGGGTACCGTGTACATGCATTTCGCATCTTGTTGTTGTCACGCCCCAAGCGTCTTCACAATGCGAAGTGGTTTTCGCATCTTACTGTCTATCTTGGCAAGACACTGAATAGTGCAAACAAGCATGGCATGGGATGGCATGGTACACATGCAGATTGTCCGTAGCCTAATGATACCGAAACTCGACTACAATACCCATTCATGCGACACAAATGTGTTACAACAGGCGAGTCCGTCATCCCTGGTTAAGACTTCAACTCTGCTATGACGGTCCTGGGATTGGGACTGGTACTACTGATGATGTACGGATACGGATGCATGTACCCAATTTAACCCCCCTGGGAATTGAGGCCAGCCACACTCCTTGCGGGCTTTGCCGTTTTGGAGTAAAGACCCGACCTAACGACCCAAACTGTCGGGTCCAAACTGTGGGGTCTATGAAATTGAACTTGCGAGACTGCTAGCGGCAGTTGGAGCGCATGAGCATCATAGGGGCTGACGTCGCTGCGCTGCAAGATTAACGAAAGACGTTCACGATTAGTGACTCTTTAGGTTTTCCAAGGCCATGTCGCTCTTGTATTATCAAACAATGGGTCTGAAATCTGCCTCTTGGTACGAGTAGGTGTATCTCAAAGATGCGCAAGATGCTGTGAGTATCCGCATACCCGCAAACCACTATTGCATTAAAATGCCCCTGCTCGTAAGACCGAGCCGACGTTATAGTACAGTAAGCTAATGCTCACCTGCGCAGACAAGACGATCCTTCGTTTACCACCAACGCAACAAGACGCCGGCGAGAATACTTGTCCCGCTGATTTACAAGGTTTCATTGGATGACTTCGAACCAACAGCACCCCCCCAAGTCCAGCCCGGCTGCTCGCCGACACATGACCATCCATCACTGTAATTGGTGGCTGTATATCGCCTACTGTACAATAATATGGTCCCAGCCCCCGGGGCCGACCCTAGACTGTGAGTCCGCGCCCTGGCCCTCATTCTGACCCTGGGTCTGAGCCGAGCCTGACCTCACGCTCACTTGCAACTTGGTGCCCTCGTTCCCACTACCATGGACCAACAGCACAACCCTAGAGCCATATAGGTTAGGCGTGATCCACACGACAAGGTGGGTGCCATCCTCGCTCCATGTCAAAGCAAAACACGAGTCGTTTAGAAAGTGAAGCATACAACCAACATACATGAATCCTGTCAGCTGTTGTCTAGACCGTGTACATGGCCCGGGGGCCGGTCAAAGTATGTTGCTCATGCTGAGCTCCTAGGCCCTGCCCTGACACCGTGCACCACACCATCTTGTCGTGGATCATCGCAATTGAGTTCAGCGCTTGCTCCTGCTGCTTTCGAGAGCTCAATACGAGGAGGATGTGACTATCATGGAACGAATCAAATTCGTTGGACTAGATACGCAATATAATCATTCCCTTAGGTCTATCCATGATGCTCTTGGTGCACCAGCTAACCGCCATTGCACGGGGACGGTGGCGCTGCCTCCAAATGACCATGAGAGGCGCCGTAAAATAAACCCAGTATGGTCCCCAGTATGTTGGCCACGAACTGCAGCCTCAACTTGTGCCATCAACATGTGCACATATAGCTAGCTCATGGCCACCTTCACCACTTCCGGCAACCTTGATTCACTCCATCGCCCCATCCTCAACACCTTGGTTTTAATGTTGCGCTGAAGACCCCGTCATGTAAAGGCCAAAACCATCACTTTCCAAGCATGCCGGGCCGGTCTCACCACTCGTATTCGCCAGTGGCCTTATGGAAGACATACTCCTTACCGTTGACAGTCAAGACACCATCTTTAAGTGTGCACTTCCTATAGCTGGTGTCAGTAGATAAACAAAACAAACAAGACCCTACAACCCATCTTGGAGTGGGATTGTTGATACGCACCACTTGTTCTTGACTCTCTGAACCTTGTCGTACATGCAGAGCATGATATTACCCAGCCCCTCGTCATCAACGTCGTCGTCGTCCCGGTCATCTTCAGGATCATCGAGATCTGAGTTGATTGCATCCTCATCCTCCTCTTCGTCATCGTCACCTCCATCGTATGCGGCTGGTTGCTTGCCCTTGGATACACGCGAGTTCGAGTTGGATGAGTGTCGAGTAGCTTCCTTCAAAGGAAGCATCAGGCCGCCGCCCTCCATGGCCTTAGCCTTGGCGAGGATCTGCTCATGCAGCATGCGGTCGATCTCAACTCGTCCAAGCTCACGTAGATCCCCGGAAGCAGCCCGCTCCATGAGCACACCCTCAAACTCGTCCATATCAGCAGCACCGTCGGTCTGGCCATTTTGGATGTGGGGTTGGCCATTGGATGGATGTTGTTGTTGCTGTTGGGCAGTTGCTGCGGCCATTTGTTGACGATACATTTGCTGTTGATGTTGTTGTTGTTGTTGTTGCTGTGTGAGATTTGGTTGCTGCTGCTGCTGCTGCTGCTGATGTTGCTGGGGTAAACCTGGCTGTTGTTGGTGTTGTTGACCTTGTTGGGGGTGTGCTTGTTGCTGCTGATGGAGGGCGTTGATAGAGCTGGCAGCACGCTGGCCGTACTGAGCTTGCAATTGCTGGGCAGCACGGTTGGCAGCTACGTTGTTCTTGTCATTCATGCCCATGTTGGGGTTGTTGTTGTACTGCTGATAGTGCATTGGGTTGCCCTGCAAGCCGGGCTCTTGCTTGATCGGCACAGGAGACTCGGTCTTGACATAGTTGCCTTCGGGTTTGGCGCCATTCTGGATCTGAGGCTGGGCCATCCCGGGTAGAGAAAGACCTGTTGGGTTGCCAACTTGAGGCGCAAACTGGGCCTGGGCATGATTCTGAGCCTGTGGTACAGCTTGCGGTGGTGCTTGTACGGGAGGAGGGTCAGTCTTGGGATCCCAAGGGAATCGGGCGACATCAAGCTGAGTGAGCTTTTTCTGCCATCCCTAGATTGAAGACCATGTTAGTGATTTTGTCACGGTTGCCTGTCACTTGGATTTGTAGCATGGAGGTAAAGTGTTCTCAGTTGTCTTGGTGATTAGACCGCATGTCGTTACTCGACTTGTAGGTGATTGGTTAATCGCAGAGAAAAGACGAGAAGCAATAATGTGTAGATTACGATGCGGTATGATATGATATGACAGGACAAATTAAGGCAACAGGGCAGGCAGCTGTGATTAGATGTGCAAGAGACGAGGCAGTGCAAATGTAATACGGAAGGAATAGGTTCGTGATAGGATAATTGACACTTTCAAGTGGATATGGGAAGGTGAAGGAGGGAGGGGATATGTCTCATGCAGACCAATCAGAGAGCAGCGGGTGTCGGCGGAAGGAGTCACAGGGCGAGTGGCAGTCGCAGCAGGGGCCTCTGACTTAAAAGACCCAAAAGTGCTGTGTCGCCCCCTCACCCTCCCCGTAACCAGCCAACTCCCTCTGCTCAGTGCCAAAAACCACTTCGCTGCGCTCCGCTTCGATCATGACGATCTTTGGCTTTTGAGGTCTTTTCACAACGGAATTTTGCAACGCAGCAAAATCTGATATTCATTGGACTGCCCATGCTCATGAACAAGGGTTTGCGACACTGACGATATGATGATATAGGTTTGAAACACATCGACACTCGTCTCTGTTGATGGCGCAGGGCGTCTTTCACCAACCTCAGATAATGCCGAGAACAAAGCGAGGCGAATCGCAACAGAACGAAACGAAATAGGGAAAGCAACAAAAATGATGGAAAGCATCTATCTTACCTGTCGCAACTCCTCTAGCACCGATTCTTCGATACCGCTCTCTTCAAAATCGACTCGTGAGCTGTTGACCACCTCGTCAATAATCGCCTGGTAAACGTTTCCGACGGCTGTGTTTGACATGGTGGGCGTTTATGTATGCGGAAGGATGGGTATGCTTGGTTGAGGTATCGTGAAGGAGAGTGAGTAGGTTCCTGAGCTCGATGCTTGGTTGGATTTGCGCCGTCGAGTTGATGTGCTCCTGCCGTCGCTCTAGGAAATGACTTTGGCGCTGGTGACTGCGAGTTATAGCCCGTGTATGAGCAGCGGGAGCTGAACGAAGGAATCTTTTTAAGTGGGATGGCTCGTTGCGTAGGATGCGAGTTGTTGGTGCTGGATGAGCGCACTTGATGCAAATGTAAATCCGGCACTTGGCGATGCGCTACACCTGTGAAAACGATAACACAATCAAGCGATTGTATCAACCGCAATGCGAAATAACTATACGCTCCTAGTAAAAGCAAGGTAGAGGAAAAAAACAATGTCGGGATCAGTTATTTACGGCGTCGCACGGGTTCAGGAATACCGAAGAGGGTCTTGTGCCAGGTGCCAGGTGCCAGTTTTGGGAGTGCAGTGCAGCGGGCGGCGTTTGTGATGTGATGTGCAGTGGGGAGAGTTGGTAGTCTCTGGTAGATTTCCGTTTCATCAACTGCTGAGGGTGCTGACTCATCACTCCAAGTCGGTCCCCGGGGCCAGCTCCGCTAGGCACCTTAAAGGCCACCAACTGGTGAAGCGAATTCCCTAGAGCTCCGCTCACAGGGCTGACCGAGGATGAATGTAACCTTGATCATTCTCTCCGAGGCAGTTTGTTTATAACATCACACTTCTCTCTAAAATGTATCATCATCTCACTTTACGTCTTCCACTCTGATCATCACCCTAAAACTGAATAATTATGCATCTTCACCTTTTTATCTCACTTGCTTACTTCTCACTCACTCGGTCTCTCACTCATTCACACCAATCTTCACTTTCATGTATTTCGTTGCATGTTTGATATCTCTAACTAATGCTAGAGCATCTTTATACTACCAGCCGTCTCAGGGGATGCGCCTCAGTATTAAACACATACTCATCCAGACTGATTAGCTCTGGGTCGCTAAAAATGAGATAAAAGTACTTGAGCGTTTCACCCATCCAGAATGATTCCATAGAATCGACTGCGCGGGGCTTCTCTTCCGCAACTGTCACATCCCACACGGCTGTGTTGGCCAATTCTGTTTTTGTCGCTTCTTCGATAGCCTTGAACATGGTCCACGCGTGCTCGGTATACTCGTGCTCGCCAGTGACACGGTACATCATGAAGACGCTCTCGATAGCCTCTGGGCGTAGGATGTATCGGCGATCGGGAATACGGGTGAAGCCCTCAGGAAGATGCTGGTTCTTGATAATGGCGTCTGCTTGTGTCGTCTCGCCTTCTTTGATCTTGGATTCCCTGAGAACACCTTCTTTCCATCGCTTTTCGTCCCACTGACATTGCTCCCTTGGATCACACGCAATCATGTGGAAGGTTTCGGGCATAATGCCATGGGGAAAGGCTTCATATGTATAAATACAGCCATTGGTAAGCTTGGCCGCAGTGTCCACGTCCTGTTGGCGGTTGAAAAGTCTTCCACCCAGTGCCAGCATGCCTCCAAGGAAGCATACCAGATGTTGTCCTTGGCTCTCGAGTTCAAACTGAATTTTTCCATCCTTGTCTTTGGCACGAATCTGCCCAGAAATGAGGATGTCTTTGTTCTCGGGTGTCATGGGACGATACAGATTGTGCTGTAGAGCTGCGTCCACGGCTTTCTCATACATGGCTTGATAGACAGGTAGTTGTCCGCCCATCATTGCTGCCATTTTGGGTAGATATTCGTACACTGAGTCAGCCATGGCACCGAGAGTGAAGATCGATCCTTGGTTGAAGATCTCGCTTTTGGCATCCACAATCAAAGGCCACTGGCCGGAGAGCTTGGTTGAATCTTGCTGCGCTGCCAATAAGTCCGTGATGGTCTGCGAGGCATCAAACCACTTAGGGTCTCCTGTGAGTTGTGAGAGTCGTGTAAGCTCCATGCATAGGCTTCCAATCTCTGCAACGAGAACTCCGCCGGCTGCAACCTGATTTTCTCCCTCGCCCGCAGCATGGAAATCCCACCGTGTGATGGGCATGTGGTTGGGCGTGTCGAAAGCCTTGTAGATCATTTCACCAACCTGGACTGCCTTGCGAAGCAGACGCATATCGGCGCTGAGCTCGAAGGCCGCGAGGAACCCACCGAGGTAGCGGATGTTGGTCTCGAAAATATTGACCTCTTTGAGTTCTGTGGTTGTGAAGTCAATCTTATCTACCGCCGCAACAGCTTCATTGAATTCTTCCTGCATGTCCATAATCCAGAGAGTGTCGAGGGAGTCGACAAGGGTGGCAGCCCAGCCGCCGAATGGATTCGCCTGGCCCGCCGAAACAGGACTGAGTTCATCAGCCATCCAGGCGTGCTTCTTGTAAGAGCTCCAACATCTTATGAAGGTCTCTTTGACTGCCTGCTGACGCTCACGTCGCAGTTCCGCGGTACTTCTAGAGAATTCAGGGAACGTCGCCTGGACCTTGGGGAAGGTGACCGGAGGAGAAGTTGGCAGTGGTTGGATGGCCGAGTGAGGATAGTTGACCTTTACTGTCTTCCAGTAGTAATTGTCATCCTGGTCTTGCCTCCACAAGGACGACTTCACGGGCCAGCCGTGCTTTTGATTGTGGTTGTATGGGCCGTGTCCATATTGTGGTCCAACGTATTCAGGGGTTCTGCCAGTCCAATAGAAGAAGAGGATTAAGGTTAACAGAGCCCCGGCTAGGACAAGGGCTCGACTTCGGAGGAGCATGATAAGGGGAGCAACCGTGATGTGACGATGCTGCAGTAGAGAGTGTCTCTTCTTTTCTCTTTTTTTGGGCGGTGAGATGAGAAGTGAACCAAGAGGTTGACCCCAATCTTACTCTGGAGATTTTGTCTTATCTTTCAACACGTTGAGGTACGAGTGAAACCGCTTGGCATTTATTGCGTCTAATTTGCCCCGCCAAGCCTCCAAGTTGTACCTTGCACCTTGTTCAACGTGGGGGATACTTTGGTTTTAGCTCGGCCAAGTTTGACTAAACTTGAGCGACGCCATCAAAAACTCGACACGACCAACACACAGTTAACTATCTCACACGCACGGTACAATCACCATGCTCAACACTACGTTGCACAGTGCCGATTACAATTGTCGACCAACAACACCATCCCCATCCCCATCCACAACAACTCAGAAATGAATTGGTTCAGTAATTGATGGTGCAACTCGTATTGAAATTCTCTCCACCACAGGGCAGTCAAATGCTTAACCAATGGTTGTGCTGTGTCAATCTTGTTCTGAAGTGGCTGAAAAGTGACTTTGATATCTCCAATTACAACTCCTGCCAATTTTCTACTCGCAGTTTGTGTAGTGAGACATGGCATGGCAAATTCTGTCAGCGTCTGAAATCACTTTGTTCCGCTCAAGAGAGCTTTTCATCCTTCAGACGCTCGTCATAGTTTCTTGATAGCGAAGCCTCAGAGCTCACGAGTAAAGTAACATGCTCGGGCAGCACAGGCCCTGAACCTGTATCACCTTTTGTCATAGCGAATCAAAGAGACCTGCTTGGTGTAACAATACGACTCTGTGGCAAAAGGTCAGAGGAAACATAGATGTGGCGCTTTTCAGTCTCTTAAATCGAGGATCAAAAGCCTCCACAACCTCAACGAGAATCTTTCTCAATTATAGAGAAAAGGTTTCATCAAGGTAGTCAGGTCCCCTAACTAGCACAGCGAATAAGCTTTTGATATATCGAGTTTGCGACCATCCACTGTTCCTCACTCAATATTGAGTAGTAAACCAATAGTCGCTCAGTTGGCTAGGTATACTGGTCGCATGTTATAAACACGATGGAAGGAATTACATTATTATTCTGCTTGGGTGCTTGACTCATTCCAGTGAGCGGAAATCGAACATGTCACAGTTCCGTGCAAAAATCCCGATAATGAGCCAACGAGTAACAGTATAGACGTGTAAAATATATCATTATTGAGAGATTTGATAAAGACAAGATTATATAAGATTATGTAAACTGAAAAGAGCTTATTATAATTTAGATAATCTTATCTAAAATCTGGAGTAGAGGAAATTATCAGAACTTTTGCTCGCCCACTGTAGTCCTGCAGAAGATATAACATGTGATTACGGATACAGAGTATGCCAGATTCCTGTACAATCCTTGGACTAATTCATGCATGGCATGAAATGTGTTAGACTAGATAGAGGTCAACGCTTGTTTTCCTTCTGGAAACAAGGTGAGAAGTGGCAAAGGTTTGTTACAAAGAGGAGGTAAACCATCTTCCCTCCAGCATTAAATAGTGAATGTCAAACCTCATCTATTAGTCTTCTACTCTACTTGGGCTATTTAGCATCCCCCACTAACCCTACTACATTAGTATAGGCATCATATGGTTTGCTAAATCGTTAACCAAATTTGCGGTAAAAGCGCCACAAAATCAGAAACCATATCCAGCTTCATTGAACATGATCATGTCGCCATGGCAAACTCAATAGGCAGTATGACCTGAATAGCTAGCCAGCCCTCGAAGAACCAATGTTGTTTGTGGAATCCTTTGATTTATGGAGATAAGAGAACAATGGACAAACTATGCATCATTGCTTGATTGTTCTAAATGTCCCCTAAGATAAAGAGGAGATATATCCTTCCGTGTTGTAAATGGCAACAGTTTTGCCCCTAATCTCATAAACTTGACATGAAGTATGTGGCTCTAGTTTTTGTCGACTGAAGATTGGCTGATGACCGGGGACAAGCCTCTCATTATTTCATTGCTCTACCAACTAAAGCTCCCAGAACAACGTGCAGTTGGCTATTGCGAAGCATTGTTCTAGGTCAGTCAACATATTATTCGTTTCACAACGGATGGGAGCAACAAGTTTGTTTAAATAATGCTCTTGGCATTTTAATTTCAATTCAGTTTTCATTCCAATTCCATGTCCCATTTAAAACTCAAGTTCCAAACGCCAATATTAATCCGGGTAACCCACCATCAAGGCGGCTACATGCTGAAATTCAAATTGATGTGATGCGATGCAATGCGCCCATCATAAGATCATGACCAGTCCGTTTCATTCGTCCCTGCGTGGAGAAGCACTTTCATACCACGAGCAGAAGGGCAGGCAGAAGCCCCAAACTCCGTGCTTCAAATACAGAGACCCAGATACCAGTGAAAGGTCATACCTACCGTGGTCCAGTGGGTACTGGTATTTATCGGATGGTCATCTGCTTGGCCATGGAGGCCTTGCTAGACGCGCCAGAGGCACCGACGCCGGCCGCAGCGCCAGCCTTCTTCTCGAAGATCTTCCAGAACTTGAGACTCTCATCGGCAGCTAGTGAGTTGTTAGTAGAGATTCCTTTATGTTTGGTACGTGAACAAAGGACTTACCAGCTGTAGCAAGCATCTGACCATCAGGGCTCAGGCAGCTGTGGAGGACGCGGCTCTCATGGGCAGGGATCTCGACAGTTCGGACAAGGGTCGGGTAGCTCCAGATGCTGAGGGAGTTATCGGGGAAACCACTTGAGCTGACAATCTCGCGCTGGTGGGGGCTCCATCGGAGAGAGGTGACCTGAGAGCCAGTGTCGATGCTGTTGACGCGAGCACCCGAGGTGGAGTTCCAGAAGTGGATGTGGCGGTCGTAAGAGCCACCACCAGTAGCGAGGAGGTTCATGTTCCAGGGGCACCAAGAAAGAGCCTTGACGGCGGCCTTGTGGTTGGTCTTGGTGAACTTGGGAACGGACAGAGATCGGGCGTCCCAGATGGAGACGAGGTTGTCGTTGCCGCCAGTAGCGAGCTGGGCACCATCGGAGCGCCACTCAAGACCACAAACCTCGGAAGTGTGAGAAACAAGCTCAGCAACCTTGTGCTCAGCAATGCGAACATCGTGGTTGTAGACAAGGCCACTTCGGGCACCGGTAGAAAGGAGGTGCTTGTTCCATCCCATGACACCCACGCGGGTATCATGGCCGAACATGCTTCGGATCTTCTGGCCCTCCGCAACATCCCAGATCTGGACCTCACCGGTGCCGAGACCGACGCTGACGTAGGCACCGTCGCCAGACCACTTGACGCTGCTTACGTAGGTGTCGGGGGTAGTCTCAAGAAGGCAGCTGACGCTACCCTCATCGGCAGACCAGACGTAGACGTTGCGCTCGAGGCCGATAGCAACCTGGTTCTCAGAGCTCCAGTCGAGAAGGTTAAGGTAGTAGTCATCGACGAGACCAGGGGCGTCAAGGACACGCTCAGGGGCGGTAGCAATGCGACGGCGAAGCTGAGCAGAGCTAGAGGTGGCAGACCTGAGGGGTCGGTTGTACTGTTGTCGCAGGTCAATGGGCTTGGAAGACTCAGGAGCAGCAGGCTTGAACTCGAGGATGCGAGTGTTGAGGCTCACACCACAAGCGCTGGCAAGGGAATCCTGGTAGGCAACAGTGTTGGGGGAAGGTCGGGAGTAGTTGTCGGGCTCATCGTCGTTGATGTTGAGACTCTCAAGAGCAGCCATGGCCTCATCGGCGGCAGTGGAGAGAACGGTAGAGCTCTCAGCACTGCTGCTCTTCGGTCGCTGTCTGTCAGAGAGATCTAGCTTGCCAGAGCCAGCGTTGGAGATCGCAGTGCTCGCACCACGGTTGGGGATGAATCGGTCGCCACCATAGTTGAGGGTAGTCTTGGCAGCCTTGGAACGAATGGTCTTCTTGGACTTTGTGCTAGCGGGAGTCTTGGTAGTGGTGGTGTTGCCAGTGCCGGTGAGCGTAAAGTCAGAGACACCGAGCTCGAGAGCCTTGCGGGGAGTCTGAACGCCACGGGCGATGTTGGACTTGGGGGAGTCTCGGTGAGAGGACTTTGTGCTAGACTTGGCGAGGTGAGCCATGAGATTACCGCCATAGGTAGAACGGCCTGAAGGTCTGAAGTCATTGCTGGACTGTCTTTCGGGGGTGAAGGGAGAAGAGTTTAGGTTGAGAGGGATACTGGTGGTAGATGCCTGCTGACGGGGAGAGGGGGTCAGAGGCATCCGTCCGCCGGCGGTACGGGCTGAGAATAGTCCCCTGTGGGACTTGACAGGAGTCGACAACGCTACGGAAGCCATTGTGATGAGTGTATTGTGATATATATGACCTGTATGGCCAGGGGATGTAGGATAAAGCGTGTAAGTGGGACTCCAGATGAGTGACCCAATGCTCAGAAAGAATATCGAGCTTCGATGCAATCGAAGGAGGTCCAAAAGGCTCTTGCTTGAGGTCCCTGGTGATTAGTATTCCTGTATGGTGATCAATGTTCGATAAGCTCGAAATTGTCTTGAAGATGAACGAAGCCGAGGGTCGATGAAATGGCCTTAGCGATAGGATCTTGCGAACTTTGAGATTTCTTTCAAGAACTGTTGGAAGAGGTATTTGCAATAAAGCACAAGGCTAATGCGAGAGGAGAGATGTGCCTGAGAAGGAGAACGGATTGTAGATGTGAATGGTGATAGTGAGGAGAGAAGCAGTCCCTAAGTGAAGCTCATGACGGTTACCTTTTATTTACTTTGACCTCTCCGTGCCTCTGACCGGGCAACCACGACTTAAGTGGTCGGACCTGAGTTGCTCCCGTTCCGCGCCCCTGCCAACGCTAGCGAACCAATGAAAAACGGTCTATGCCAAGCCTCATCAGCCTTGTCCTTGTTTGGACGGAGGACTCCGTACCAACTGGTCAAATTTCTCCCATCTTAGACGCGGCTCTTCAGATGAACAGGGGCTTGCTTAACTTATTCTCTTTGCCAGTTGCATCACCGACCGCATTTAAAACCATCCACCGTCACATCCACTTCCCTCACCAACGGCGCATCATCTCCGACATCGCAAAGATCCTACCTTGTCCCAGTTGCCCTTAACTGACCATTCCCTCCCCTTCATCGACTTCAACGGCAACAAAACGTTGCGACATGCGCAGGGAACGCCACTGATCGCTCGACGGATTTACGATTCAAGCCATGGCTCAACCTTCAACCCCCGGGCAGTCCATCTTTGGCGGGCCAACCCCTGTCGCCGGATCGAACCAAGTAGTCTTCGCTACCAACGCCAATATCAACCATACCTTATCGGCCTCGACTTCGCTGCAACCAACTCCGACGCCGCCTTCGGCCGGCTCGTCCTCCAACAATACCTATATCATGCCAAACTCCCCTGCGAAAGGCCGTACTATCGCCGATGGATACCGACCCAAAGTCACCCGTACGCTAGGACAAAGACCCGCTTGTCTAGTGAATGCTTCGGTGACGTACTGTGGAAACAATCAGATATACGCATTTGGAGGATTCGATCAATACACAGATGAGGTTTATAATCATGTGCTGAGGCTGGACCTCGTTAGCCATCAATGGAACCTTGTCGACAACTATGGTGATATCCCTGGGGTGCGAATGGGTAAGTTGTGTAGAGTGCCAACGACTTTCGGTTACTGATGCTTGAAAGGACACACTGCGACACTTCATCAAGGAAGCAAACTACTGGTTTTTGGCGGCGAGAACGAACATCGAACCTACTTATCCGACCTTATTGTCTTTGACCTCAAGACCGCCCACTGGACTCAACCCCAAGTCTCGGGTCCGATACCGAAAGGGAGAGCGAGACATGCTGCTGTCTTGCACGAAGACAAGCTGTTTATAATTGGAGGCATAACCGGTCAGAACAACTATGTGCTGGATGACATTTGCTACCTTGATTTAAAAACGTTCACCTGGTCCAAGTCATGGCGCTTCGTCGGACGATTTGACCATTCGGCATACATTTGGGGCGATCGAGTATGGGTGTTTGGAGGTTTGAGTGAGGACATGGACAAGATCAGTGACCTTTGGTGGTTGGACCTGAAAGGAAGTCCACAGTTTGACTCTCGGCCCCAAATCGGTATCTTTGATCGGGGGGCCCTGTCAACTAGAACTAGCAGCTCTCCTCGACCCCCCTACACAATGCCACAAGCACCTGTCGTGGGTGCCTCTGGATACGCCGCCAATTCTCGAACAGCTCAAGTCAATCCACCATCAGTCCAGATCAAGTCATATGCGCCGTTGGCTCCGGGGTCAATATCTGCTCTTAAGTTCATGTCTGGACCGTCGATACCATCACAAGGCTCGGGCCTTCATTTCCATGCCTACTCGTCGGGTACTCTCCTCGATTTCGTCACACCCGCCGCTACTATCACGTCGAGAGAATGCTCGCTATCGGCATTGGATCTCGGCACACTTCGCTGGACAAAACTTGCTGCGGGGCGTGAGATCTTCAAGACAGGCTACAGATGGCATTATTGCTGTATGAATGAAGATGGCACCAAATCCTGGCTGTTGGGGTGCCCGACAGATCCTGCTATAACGGACATTGGGCCCAATGGCTATGAGGAATATCTTAGGTAAGATTGATCAAACTCGGGCGATGGTAATATGACTATGACTAACGTTGCTCAATAGTGACATTATGGAGATCGACCTCCGTCGATATGGTTTCCTCGGCGACAATTTGACCCCAGAACCAAGGGCAGAATCAAGACCGTCTGCAATGACTAGAGCTATGGATCAACCTTCTAAGGGGCTTGGCTCGGATCTGGCGAAGCTCTTTAACCAGCCGCCCGAGACAGGAAGCGGTACTGACTTTATCATTACTGCACTGGCCGGAGACTACGATGACGATGAAACGCTCAGTTCCAGTCTGATCCGTAATGATGATACGCCACAAAACCAAAGCTGGCTTTCAGCAGATGCACCGACCTCGCAACCCATCCATGTCCACAAACTCATCTTACAAGCTCGTTGGCCACACTTTGCGCGTCTTTATAACGCCCAAATGGCCGAGTTTCACACCAAGAAGATGCATATTCCTGAACCTTACAGTGTAGTCAAGGCTTTCCTCTATTATCTATACACAGACAGTATCCGTGGCACATCGGACAATGATGGCGATGTAACCACAGCGCTTTCTGACGTGGCTGGCCTCTTGGTCATGTCCAACATTTACAACATTCCTCATCTTCGCCTTCTTTGCGTCAATCGCCTTGCTAAAGAACTTGATGTCGACCATGCTTGTATCATCTGGTACTGCTCGGGGCTCGCTAACGAAGAGTGGCTGCGCAAACGTGCCGCTGGATTCTGCATGACGCATTGGGGCCGCATCGTTCGCACGCAGGGCTTCCTTCGACTACCACGCAATGCGCTCGTCGAGCTCTCGCAAGAGATCGACATGGAGGGGCGGGTAATTGGGGGAGAAGAGCTCGAATGGGGTGGTATGAACGACAGCATGGGTCATGACGCTCGTAAGGAGAGCATCAGTAGTAACCAAACGCAGATGATCGAGTCTGAAGTCGACGAAGATGACGGTATGGAAATGTCCTGATGTCACTTGCATGTACTTTCTGAGCTGGTCTTGACGAGTTGGGTGAATGAACCGAAGGATTCATATCCCGTGCATCTCACTACCAACCTTGTTACATCCCGCAAAGTCATGATCTGCATCATATCACGATCGCACCTATCGCACAGTCAGTACCCTTCTGTCAACAACTGTCCTTTTGTTGTCTCAATGACTCAATTTCTTGTGCCTTATCTCTTCCCCACAATGAGACGCAGGGGGTCGGTTAGAGGTGAGTGGCACTTTTGTAAGAATCCAGCCGAGGCTTGTAAGCCATGCCATATGTACAAGCCTCACACGACACTACGACATGCTCGATGTTATTTGTACTGTCTATGTTAGTACTTTGCTATTGGCGTTGATACGACTCCGTTTGCCCTTCACTATTTGTACAGGCGGCCTTCTCTTGTGAGCATCGCAGGGCGTTTTGGTATCTACATAGTTAGTTATGAGTTATGACCTAAAGAAATAGACATATTTGTTAAATTCGCGACACCCTGTGCTCAAATTCCAAATCTCCTCTTCTGATTGCTTGACGATTCTACACGGGAGGTTGTGATTAGAGCAACCAATTGAACACCGACCATAGTTATGATGAAAGGACCAAGTACATGTCGATCACAAACTTGTTGGTCATGCCGATCGTTTCATCTCATCACACGATCTGTACACTACATACATACCCGCCAAAAGATTGGAACAGCACGCTTTATCATTTGACCGTTTGCACTCACAAACAACATTCCGAAGCACAAGTAGATGGTGGTAAGAAATTCGAAACAACATTGGTGACGACTATATAGTCTCAGTAACGTAATATCTAATTCCGAAGCAAAAATCCCAGAATGAACCCATTCGCTTGGGACGGACCACTCTGTCCAGTCTATGACCTCGCTTTTGAGTATTCGACCGACGCCATACCATCCTCGCTTTTAGTATAAGTGTCAGTAGGTAATCATGGCAGCTTCTTTACTGCTAAACAACCAATGCCGGACAACAGGAGTAAACAAGAACAGAACAATCATACATAGACCAACCACGCATGGAAAAAAAGACAACACAGTAAACCACCCAATTTTCCGAGGCTCCGTTTAAATGCGAACTTTCCCAACCGAGTATCCAGTCATCAGGCCGAAGCTTTTTGAATCAAAGAGAAATAGTGCAAAAGAAACAAACAAATATGACACCCCAATTCAATGTGCCAGGCCAGCCAGCAGCCCCCCACAGGCCCTGCCCGGACTCCAATGTACCAGTAGGATCAGACATCGACATGTGTTCTAAATCATCCACATGTTTCCAATAGATGCAACTTCTCCTCATCCAGGGTAAACAATAAGGTGACAAACCGAGTTGAGCATTGAATGATTTGATTGGGATGAAAGAGCCGGAAAATGATATGTCGTTTCCAATGGACCAGCGTTCTGAGGGCAAGGGCAGGTGAGCTGAATCCTGGGCACAAGAGCGGATCTACGTGCCCAGAGTGGGTATTGGCGACTAGAAGGACGAATAATGCAGACATGATCAATTTCGCGGTCCGGCACAAGTTCATAGTTGTCACCAATGTCCTACCGGAGTCGGTTACTGGGACCTAGAACGCTGCTCAGGAGTGTAGACTGGCCAGCCCCCGGAGCGTCGTGGATAATGACTTTGCGATAGGTTATCTGGCAGCTTTCACCTATTGCATCATCTGATCTTCCCCTATCCCAGGCAAATTCATGCCCGCCGCAAGAGCTTGGAGCTTGAAATCAGGGTTGCAGGGAAGAGAATGCGACTTGTGCTGTTCAACGATGTCAGTATCAAGATGGATGTTGTTGGTGTTTCCTGTAAAGCTTACGTATTTCAGCCCGTTCAAGTTCTTGTATCGCTTGCCACATGTGTCGCAGCTGAAGGGCTTTTCTTTCTCCATGCCTAGAGTACCTGGGTATGGGGCACTGGTCTCGGGATTAACAATAGAGAAAGTGCCATCCCCATTCTCATGAAGCTGCTGGGTTTGATGGCCATGTGTCTTATGGTACCTAAAATTATGTTAGCATACACGTATTTACGATCGGAGCACAGCTTGAGACTTACTTCAGACCGTTTTGGTTCTTGTAAGCCTTTTCGCAGCCAATGACTGGGCACTTGAAGGGCTTGTGTTCTTCGGGCATCATCATGGTCTGTAGACGCTGCATGAGGAGCTTGTTGGCTTGGGGATCGTTGAGCTGAGTCTGGTTAATTCCTAGCTGCTGCAACTGTGCTTGGATGGACCGGTTGGCGGTAGGGAAAGCACCAGTTGGGCTGAAGAGGTGTTTTCCAGGGTCGTTTATGCAGAAGTTAGAATCATTATTGCTTTGGTTTCCACCAAAGCTCATATCGCCAATGTCGTTCGTGTTACCGCCCATGGGCATGCCAGGAAAGTCTTCTTCCATATCAACCTGCTGCTGACCGTGGGGTACTTGTCCTTGCGTGGTAAGGGTGGGTGTGTTGACGGACGAAACTGTGGGGTTATTCTGCAGGCCGAAGCTAGCGGCAGCAGGAGTTGGTGGTTGAGAGGTTCGCAGGCCTTGAGTCAAGCCAGAAGTGTTCATGTCAAGTTCGGGTCTTTGCTGTTGACCGAAGAGCTGTCTTGTCTGAGACATTCGCTGGCTGTCATCCATCTCCATAGTACCCACGGCATCATCCATCTCCATATCTGCCACAGCATCCATATCATCGTTCAGATTCGATGTCATGGCCAAGCCTCCGTGCGCATCATGAGAGGACTGTTGGCCTCGGTTATGTTGTCCTAACTGGCTTGTTGACTGGGAACTGTTACCAGGTGCTGCTGAGCCAGCTCGAGACATAGACATTCGGGGTGCGGTCGGCATACCCAACTGCGAGAACTGGGAGAATGTGTTATTTCTAGCTGCGTTCGGGCTCGGTTGCGTATGTGCTTCTTCGTAATGTTGGAGCAAATCGTGGAGGTTTGGAAGGATCTTGCCACAACAAGTGAAATCTCGCATGAAGTTCGCTTCCAACTTGGGAAGATACGAAGATGAATGGAAAGAAGGCGACTGATGGGTTCCAAACGGCGAAGGCGAGGTGCCTGCCATCATGATACTACATTTTCATCATGTCAGTATACGTCGGCTAAGAGCGTGCGATCCAACATTGAGGGAATGGGCGCATTGTTTTCTGCCTCATTGCATGCATGTGGGCTACCGCAGGGCTGCGATGAAGCCTGAAGCTTAAAATGGCTTGCCACAAGATATTATCGGTTGACTCCATAAACGGTGGGAAATCGCTGCGAGAAGCTGGAACTGCTCACTGCTCAAAACCGCATTGCGGAGGAACGGAAAACTTTGAATATGGGTTCACCAGAAGAAAGTTTGCTTGGGGCAATGCCATGAGCCCACGATAGCGGGACAAGTACAATGATCGGGTAACAAACAGATGATGAATGTAAAAGTATAGAGCTGTGACTTACTCGTCTCTAACAAAACTGCCAAAAGACATGCCTCCCCAGCTCATGCCACCGCCCATCAGGCTTCCGGCAAGAGATTCCCTTCTGTTGCGGTTTGCATTGTCACCACGGTTGGGGTTATTCATCGATATGGGCTTGGGGCCAGCGCTAACGAAAGAGTCCCGGCGGCCCATGGACGGGTCAAGGGAGGGTCCGGTAGTCATGTCGGCGTCGTGGTTCTCTGGTAGTGGTAAACTAGAAACGTAAATGTCGGACTCGTTTGCACAGTCGTAGACGCTATCCCAGTTGTTGGAGAGAAGCTCTCTAGAGTTGTCGATTGAAGTGTTGGTGAGAATACTAGGATCAGACTGGCCGATAGAGAGTTGGGGGGCAGCAGTTTTAGCGGTACTAATAAGAGTCGCCAGCGCCGAGGCAGCGGCTGGAGCAGCAGGTGTATAAGCAGATTTAGCGTGAGCGCCAGGCAGGAATTGGCCCGTGGTAGGGGTCCCGGGCTGGGGCGACGGCGACTGCGACTGCGAATGCGTCAGCGAGCTTGAGCCCGAGTTGATGAGTGACCCTGGAGAGTCAGGGTACCGGTTAGGGCAATCAGTAACGGCGGCGGCGAAGTGGGTGATGGCCAAGTCACAGTTCCAGGCATGGTCATTACTGTTGGCGGTGGCGGCGGAGACATTGGCCGAGGGGGCAAGGGTTGACGAGCGAATAGTATTAGAGGCATCCCACACCCCGGTCGAGTTGGTGGAGGTGGACGCACGCGGCTCCTGGGTTCCCACTGTGTTGCTTGGCTTCTGGAACATCTTGTCGAAGAACGTCCCCATGTCGACAGCGCGCGGATAATGAGTGATGAATCCAGGAATATTGGGGTATGGAGATATAGATGAAGATGAAAGTGGGGGAGAGATGACAGATGAGAGATGAATACAGGGGAGTAGAGAAACTGATGCAGGCGGGAGAAAAAGAAATCGGGCAGGAGTGGATGACTGGCAGGCACTGGCAAGCGCTGGAAGGCCTACCTACGTGCAGCGTAAGGTAAATAGTAGGTACGGACAGCCTGTACGTAGGTGTCGCCAACCAAGGAAGTACCTGATGAACGGAAAGTGACAGATGGGAGGTAGGGTGAAGTCAGGTACCGATGTCCAATCACGCCCGGCCAGGTCGAGTAAGGTGCTATTCCCAGGTACCTTTCTCTCCAGCGCTGTGTTGTGGACGGTTTCGTTCAGGACGGTATAGGTTAGACTGGGCTTGGCGCGATGCAGTCGAGGGACCCTAGTTGTATCTAGTCACTAATAGCTGGGTGCTTTTAGTGGGTGCCTTGCTGCTGAAGGTGGTAGGTGCTCTTTTCGTTGTGGACACCCCGATTGAGTGTGGACTGGGAGAGAGCTTGTCGAATGTCTGTCTTTGTTTTCGAACAAGAAAAAGGAAGAAAGGGAGGAGAGGAGAGGAGAAAACAAGAAACACTGCAACTAGTTTGCAGAGACTCTTTTACTTATATCCACAACTTTACAGGTGGAATTGAGGTGCTCTGCCTTGTTTAAGGGTGTTGGCGTCTCTTGTGGTATTGGACGAGTGCCGAGAGAGCTCCTAGCGGTCAACCTGCAGCAATATGCACACAATTCCACGTTTCTATGACTATTAATCCGTGGGTTGCTGTGTTGATGTGTGTTGATAGGTCGTTGGCTGTGTCTATCTGCGCTCTGTTCCGCAGCTAATTCTCAAAGTCAAATTCGACACTCTGAGTTGCGCCACCACTGCGACCTCTTGGACGAGGAGTTGATGATTGGAGAAGGAATCGGATGGGCCCCGACCATCGATGTTCAATTGCTGTCTGATGCAGTTGACTACTACGTAGTAGGTAGTCTGACGTGTAGTGTCGATGATGTTGATGCAACGAATTGGTAATGTGTAGAAGATGAAGAATAGTTTGATAATAGGCACTCGGATTGTACGAAAAGATTTGACACTGCAGCTGCTGAAACTTGTCGATACTGGAAATTGGAGATAACAAGGTGGTAAGGACAAAGGGAGTTCTTGCTCGGTCCTGATATAACATCGTATTCCTACATCCTCGAATTCACAAAAGAGATATGACGAGCATACGACAGGGCCTCTCTCGGGCGCCCACACAACCACTACGCACCTAGTGGAACTGACTTTACCGTAGTTTTATTACCTAGTCGAGATAGGAGATGATCGAGGGGATGCTCAATTCCTTGATTGGATATGTTCGTGCTGTTGAAGCTTATGTTTTACAGTAATTGATACTGTGTAAGTACCTAGACTAATATGCAGCACATGGTGGTGTTTATGATGTTTGAAGTTCGCGACTCGACGACAGCTTGGTGCCATATGTATCTGTGTGTGGCAAATATCTTTATATTCCTTCTCCCCAGATCCACCATAGTTCAGACAATAATAAGGGTCCAAACTCCAAAGTCTCACTTCCCAGCAATAATAGTAATAGCAGTGGGTGCGCCGGGCGAAGAAGCAAGGTTCATGGGTTGTGTTTTGAAGCGCAAAACGAAACGTGCCAGCCAATGGATATGGCCAGGGATTGTGAGACTGAACAGAAAACGCATCAGCTGGAGTGGGGGGACCCAGCGTTGACATGACATACAATCTGCCCCTCGTCCGAGATTGAGATTGAGTACCTTAGTACTAAGGTAAAGTTATAGGATCACGCATATACTACAATAGAGTCAACGTGGTATCCTTTCGAAACCCCTTTTCCCCCGCTGCCGATTTATTACAACACCAGTGAGAATAGCATGATGTGCTAATAAAGCCGGAAAAGACCATCCGAGCAGAAAGATGCGGCATACAGGAAGAGGTAAACACGATTCGTAGTGTGTGAGTGTGTGGCCCTAACTAATGTATGCAGGTATGCGTGTGCCGCTTGGGAAGTTCGTTGGACAACTACTTACCTACTTCCTACTACTGACTTTACTTGAACATCAGGGCATGATTGAGACTCTCACACAAAACCGTCGTCAAGTCGAGGCTCAACTACCGGCTCTCAGTGGCCTAGTAACAGAGGTGGTTTGACCCATGAGTTCCAACTCCGCTCCTACGGTTGCAGTGGTGCTAACTTAGTAAACGCGGTTTGGACCTCGAGGCGCTAACGTATAATTGAATATAGGTTCGTATATCCAGAGGCTTGGCAACTGAACAATCATCCACCAATCCTACTATAAGTCTACTGTAGGCTTATTAGATTACGATGAGCCACTATGCATGTTTATTTAATACTCGGGCACATTTAGTAGAGTACTAAGTCAACTTAGACGTTGAAGGCTCCACCGCATAAGCCTCCTCTAAAACGTGGCACAACAATGTAAGAGGTAGGTATACTGAACTCCCATCTGGCATTGGCTCATGACGGATTGTTGAGTGCCGAACAGAACCTCGGTCTGCTAGACTGTTGCCATCTGCATCAAATGATCATAAGAACCAGTTTACCAGTGGAGATATGAAAAAGTCAAGTGGACCAAGCAGTCTAACTCCACTGGTATCGGCAAGCAGCAATCAATAGCGAACTTGTCTGCTTGTTCAGGGGAGTTTCAGTGCCGTATTACGGCTTGAGGAAATAAACTCTAACTGTATCCATCGACCAGACGCCGTTTAGCAAAGCAAAGCAAGAATCCGATTCATCTTGAACAGCAGGGAAACGATTGCCGTGTTGAAGATCGGCAATTTCATGTCCTTAACCGGAATCGTCTAGACCTGCAGGTCTGCTCTTGTAGGGATGATAACAGCTTACAAGGCTGAAGTCCTGAACTGGGACACAGCGTCTGAGCAGACCAATATCTCCTTGCTGTCAGTCATGCCAGGCCATCAGTTGTCCCTGAGCATTCTAGGAAAATCAGAACAATCCAAGCGATAGAAGCCTCCCAGAAGAAGCATGCGGTGTCTGTCACGAACTGGAACAATGGCAAAGTGACTTTGCCAGAAAGTCCATTTTGGATTGAGTTCATGTAAGTGGGTCTAGGGTCTTGAACGATGAAGATCACAACAATGAGGAACGACGTAAGTGATATCATCGAGACTACCTACGAAGGTAAGATCGAGATAGGAAGCATGCAGGCATGGCATTACTGCTGGGCTGTTGTCTAAGCGATTACAGTACTGCAGAGTTCCTTGCTTCAGCAGCTCAGTTCTGGAGCCCCTAGCTACGTCGCATTCTCCCGGGTTGACGGATCGCTGTCTCGAGTCATGTAAAGGGATCGTGATCCAAGATATCATGGAGGTGAATCATAGCAGATAGGAGGGAAACCCCAGAGACAAATCGTAACAAAGCATTCAGTTCATGTATCCTTACATGCTTCACGTTGTCGATTTTCTAACGTTAGTTGGCTATAGCTCAGCCCCTAAGCCAACCTTTAGAAAGCGTTTCCAGGAGATAGAGTGCTGGTTTCCTAGTGTCTATCCGGTCCACCAAGCTAAACACGGCACAAGCTTGCTTAGTTACCGGTCGAGGCGATTGGTATAGAGGTTTACTGCTATTCAATCTTATCAGTGCAGAGGAAGTATTGACATCAATGACATCTGGCGACTTGCCTGTTGGTTCGTTATCTGATGCGACCATGCTCGTCAGGTTAAGCAGCTCCAAAAATCACCATGTTGCGACTAGTTCATACACAGCATTCACTTCAACTCAAGGTTTCATTGGCCTTGGTACGAAACGTCGTTGAATATCACTTCCCCTTTGATTCCAGATTCCACGACTCAATGGACATGGACCGTGCAGAGACTTTACGTCAGAGTGTGGTGGTGGTGGAAAAGGTGCATTAGACCAAACTCTGATATCCCGGCCGAAAGTAGCGGACGAGATGTAGATGCAGATGCAGATAGAGGTAGATATAGCGCAACACCCTAACACAACGTAAATATTCGACCTAATTTCCGCCTTGCGCTTGCAACTGCTGCATAGCTCAATGCGTCGCGTCAAAGCTCATGACTCTTGCCCGAGCTTTGACGTGGACCACAACGTGGCATAAACGTGCTGTGTGGTCCTTGGTGACCTCCTGACAGGCCAATGAGTTCAGTGTCTTGATGATCTAGAGATGGAGACACTGAGCTTGTTGGAGTAAGGTACTGCACTAAGCGCCTTGCACTTCAACACCTTAGTACGATATGTCTCTGGAAATTTGAAGAGTTGTATCCGTGTCGGTTTGGGAATGGATATGGATAATACCTAGATCCAAAAACTAGGTCCAACTCCAACCACAGGGATCCGGGGTTGAGGGAAGAGACGACGACGGTCGTGCCTTCTCGAATCGCCGGTGTCACCTGCAGCCTGTTTCAACTCATGCCTGCCTTGGATAATCTATTGTTTGGGCCCTGCCTGCCTGCCTACCTAGGTAGGTAGGTTGGTATTCTATCCCGGCACGTCTCCAAAACTGCGTTACCTTGACAGACCGACCTGCCTTCAACATAGTTCGCAGATATGCACTGCTACGTCAAATCCTCGATCGATCCCTGAATTCAACCTGAGAAATGCTACCATTGACTAATACCGACCGTCTCGAACCCTGCACATCCATCTTTGTTCAGCATATGCTCCACAGTTGGTTGCAAGGCAATGCAAGCTAACGGAACCATGGAAGAAGCAATAACACGCAGATGAACCCCCCATTCATACGTTACTCAGCGTGTTTTGTCGAAATACCGTGATTACGGTCTGCCAGTCCAAATACCGCAAAGTCCTGTCACCAACTGATTTCACTGGGCTGGGTTTGTTGCCATTCTTCCCGCCAATGTGGAAACCCTCCACAGAAGCTTCCCGCGGAAAGATCGCAGCCCTAGGTCCCTCCAGTTGTCACCCAAACGGAAGCCCCGTGGTTCAGAAATGTACCGATGCTGAAAACAGTTCGAAGTGCCGCACAAAACAGCTGCCAATGGCACGCACCGAGTATCGCCGGGACTTGACCTAACTGTGGACTGGCCTCGGGAATTAGTTCCGCTGTCCATCTTGAATCTTGCCAAGTCCTGGCCGATCATACCTACTCAAGTAGGTTTTCTACAACCGCAAAACATAGCCAGGGGGTTCGCCCTTGGCAAGTACTGTAGCTGGTGGCTGGTGGCTCTCGTCAGACAGTATCGATATTATACGACTGTGACCTGAGTTTTGAGGATAGTCAGTCCTCTTCCAAGGAACAACAGCTAGCTCTCGGGAGTTTCGTCGTTCTTTACCATCCTCATGCGATACGGAGCAGAAAGCCCAACTTGACTCCAGTCCGAACGTCGTTTCCTGCCTGAGTATGTATTGGGACAGGGACATTGCTGGTGTTCTACGCAGTACATAGTAAAATCCTGCAAGGCTAGCCAGGCAACGGATACTGCCAGTAACCACTCTAAACTCTTTTTCGGCCAAACAGGAAAGCTTCTTTTCGGCCACATGGCAAAGATCCATTCTATATGTCCGTGTCCATTAGATGGTTCATCGAGCCGCCTCTTGGCTCAAAGCCTCAAACCCACATAACCACAGTGCGGCATGTCACCCCTCCAAGATCTTGTCGCTGGTCTGTACAATTCGGCACCAATGCCCTGTCTAGGCCGCCAAAGCTGGCCCAGCTGGAGGGAGATTCAAGTGGGTTGGCTGTTTCCAAGTAATGATTGGATCAGTATCTTGGGCCCTTCTGCTTCTCATTCCACAGAAAGGTTCCAATTGTCAGCCGTGCCGTAATGCCTTCACTCTGATTCCTCAACGGGGAGGCCAGAAAACGCTGTCTTTCGAGTGGATTGAGGCTAATAAATGGCCAACGCCTCCCGACCAACGGCGTTGAATTTGGCTCTCGCACAAGAGCCCCAAGATGCTGTGTCTGACCAAAAAGGCATAGCCTAATCATCCTCTTCGCTTGGGATACTAGGGATGTTGGGTCGCGTGACTAGACTGCCTACTAGATGAACGACCGTTGTGATTCAAGTACGGATACGGTTTTCGGTTCCGAAAGAATGGGACGTGCATAGCAAGTGAGGGAGAATATAAAAATGAATATGATCAAATTATTAGGGCTTGCTGTTGAGAAGCGCTTGCTTCTTGCTGGTGCTTGGAGGTAATTCCCACCGATCAGCCACCAAACAGGCTCTTGAGCTAACATTCAGATAACCCAATATCAGCGTCCAGTCAGTGTTGCTCCTTGGTTGCCTTCTCTTTCGAATCAAAGTGTATTATCGAGCCATGTCCCAGAGAAAAGAAAGCTAACAGACCGAACTGGAAAGAGTTGCGGATTCGTGATCAATGCTATGATGGTCATAGGTCCTCGACTCCTCTGCAGACTCAGAGAAGGTATTCTGTAGCAAGGCGCAAGGATAGTTGTTCAGGCTACGTAGTATGTGCAAGTGTAGAAGCGGCCATGGGAATTTACAATGCCATCATGATCACCGTTCGCTTTACCCCTGTTCGTCTTGGTATTACTCGTCAAACTGAGGACTGGTGCAGGACAGCGCAGCTGGATGGCGGTTTGACGTTGTCTGATCGTTGATCTCGATGAGCATTAGATTCTGGGGATTGCATCATGAATACGGTTGACGTCATTAAAGCTTTAGGGAATGAACTGCGACGTGCATGTCCTTTGCATAGATCAACATATACGGAAGCTGCTTCAAGCAATTCGATACAGCAGGGTAGGTTGTTGCATCAGAACAAGCGGCCCCCAGTTGAAGCAATGAATTTTCCATGAGTCGGGATCCAATAGTCCTATTGAGTATGGAGCATGCACATATCCATGTGAGATGAAACTCCAAGATCTGCGACCTAGTCTAGCTAGTCGGGCTGCAGCGTGGCTTGCAGATCTACAACTGGCGGCTAACTAGGCCGCGATGCCATGCATACAAGCGAGGTCGGAAAGCTTGAGCCTTGGTGCATTTATTGTATTGGTGTCCTTCCATTGCGTGTCGGATCACCAGCTCCGTGGACGCAGATCTTGTCCAAAGAGAGTGTACCGAGGATATAAGGGGGAGTGAGCCGAAGACAACTAGTGTGAAGTTATAGATGCTAGATGTATACTTTTTTGGTACATTGACAGACCCATGTAGAAAACAAACTACAGCCGCACGAAAGGAAGGCGTCGTCAAGTGAGATTGGCGAGTTACAGGATGCGGTGTATGGCTTGCCTCGATCCTTTACTTTCCAATGAGGGTTTGGAGGGTGCTGATCCTTGGATTGATGATGGTTCTACTAGGAGCTCAAACACTGATGCGGCGTATGATTAGATCCCTATTCCGGTAAGTTTTGGGTCCATTGATGGCTGTACTTTTGCCGCTTGGCGCGTTAACTGTCAATGTGTGTCAAGCGCTCGTGCCTATCCCTGTCTTTTGTTGTCGAATGGACAAGGCCTGCATAGATCATAGGGGCAGGGGTTTGGTAACCCTACTCCTAGTGATCACGAGGTCTAAGTCGAAGCAGATCAACAACGACACAGACTCGAGGCCGTTGCAGAGCGATTCTGATGAGGTCTTGATTTGGTGCGAATCGACCCAGTCCAGACCTCTCGAGCTGACTTGATGATCAAAGCGCAGCATCTCCACAGTCGGAAAGTCGCGTTGACTATGGATAATCCCACATGAGAAGTTCAGAGGATATGTGCACGAGTTATCAGCCATTGTTTTGGTTGAAGTTGTCGTTTAACGAGGATGGCATAGTTCCAGGAAAGGAGTTATAGTCTCACGACATCTTGTTCATCTACTTATATGGTACCAAGACTATTAAAAATTGACAGATATAATAGAGCAGATCGCCTTATTGTTATAGTCTCGTTCGAGAGTTGACAGATCGTTTATGCATCTTTGTTTGTTGTCCCGGGTAGATCAGATGTCGAAGATAGTGTTAACTACTAGGAAGGTACAAGTATAGAACCAATCATGTCTTGCGCACAGTCGCTGGAATGCAGCAAGGGTCCAAGCATTTAGGTACTCTGTACTCCGTTATTACCGGGACATTCCCTCCTGTGAGGCCATTGAGGCTGATGAGGCGTTACCTACTCGGAGCTTTCCGGCCCTGGTAATAACGGCATGGAACAGAACAGCCAAGATGAGGCGACACGGGCGTGGCTAAGTGGCCAAGTGGCTTGTTTGTTCAACCGCAGTTCAAATTGTGTGTGAACCTAGGTACGGAGTAAACGGCGAAGTCACGTAAAGTTACCGACCGTGCCGGTTCTCGTTCAAACTTCAAAGCGCGACAAGCCGAGAGTTTGTGGAGACGTCTTTTTGCTTCATGTCAATAAGGTCAACGGTATCCATAATGCCGAGAGGATCACTGAATCATGTAGCAGATCTAAGCAGGCTGTACAATAGCGTGCTATATCCGTAATGGGCTGCGGCATGGCATTAACATCATCTGCGCCATCGTGCCGCTTCGACCGCAAAATGCCGCCATCATTGCCGCTCATATGAGAGGCATGTTACGGCGCTTTGCGGCACGACTTGAGCTTACTGGTTATACTTAAGAAGCCTCATGCTGTCTATCACGCAGTCTGTCTAGTGCTGCTTTTGGAGTTGAAATTGAAGCTGGAGCTGGAATGCAAGTCCTCATCTGTCAATGTCTAATATTATCATATCAGACTCTATGAGGCATTCATTACAAGATTGGCAAGCATCGGAAGTATTGGTCACGGACAAGCCGATGCATTACTCTCTGCTTTGTAACATTAGCAATCAATCAGTTCAGCTCAATCTATCAAATTTCTCTACCACAATTCTCTCACGCAAGACTGATTGATGGGCTATCCTCGGCATTGTTCACTACTAACACAAGCAGAAGCAGCTTCTGTGTAAGCATTCGCACACTTTGTTAGTCGCCGACTCGGGCATAGTTCGGTGATTGTTTGCGCCGGACGACTTCGGCAGAGGAAAAGCTGACATCATTACATGGCCGAACGCCGTCGTCATGCAAGAAAAGCAGAGAAAGGTACGTTCTCGTTGGAAATTCATTTGCCATGTTTGATGTTGGAATTCGGTAAAAAGGCGCCTGAGGGACTTCAATTATAGACTCATCCATTACAGAAACACCAATCATCTTAACATCACTGGCTATGTACTCCAGCTTTACAAGTAGCTCTCACCTTGCGATTCTCTACCTTACTCAAGACATCAGCTCTTCTTAATTGACCCACACTGCGGTTTAAACCACGCTGCAACCCACCTACGTCTTTTCCTCATCATACCACTTCCGAAACTCTGGCGCGTTGAGATAATTCTTGTTTCTTTTCTACAAATCTCTCTCCTCCCGCTCTCGCTCCAACCGACCGTTTCCCCTCAAACCTCACATATCGCTCTCGTCGCCAATCGCCAATCGCAATCATGAAGATTCTTACAAAGGAAGAAGAGGAGGCGCACTACTCGGCTGTTCTCAAGGGTGGTCTTATCGGAGGCTCACTTGGTCTCACTGTTGGTCTTGGAGGTGTTGTGCTCGCCTCAAGGCGATATCCTGCTTTCCGCGGCCTCACACTTCCCTTCAGGGCCTTCCTCGTCACATCATCCACTACATTTGGCGCCATCATTAATGCCGATCGCTGGTCTATGGACTTCCAGAAGAAGCAGAACCCCATGAACTTCTACGAGGACGAAACCCAGCGCGCACAGCAGATCATCCGCGAGAACCAGACCACCATGGAGCGCTTCATGGAGTACGGCCGGGAGAACCGCTACTCCATTGTTTTTGTCTCGTGGCTTGCCTCTATGGGTGTCGCATTTGCGCTCGTCAGCCGCTCACCCATGAACACGGCCAACAAGGTCGTCCAGGCCCGTGTGTACGCTCAGGGCCTGACTCTCGCGGTTCTCATCATCTCGGCCGTTTTCGAGGTGAACGACGCCAAGAAGGGTGAGGGTCGCTGGCAGACCGTCATGGTGCTCGATCCCAACGATCCCGAGCACAAGCGTCTCATCGAGAAGAAGGTCCACAAGGAGGAGTACGAGGGCCAAGATCTCTGGAAGGGTGAGTTGTGAACAAAGCTGCAAGTAAAGAAATATGAGACTAACTGGTCAATAGACATGGTTGCCGCTGAGGAGCGACGATTGGCCGAAAAGAAAACAGGGAACAAGGCTTAGACGATTCACTGTGTTCAAAATGAAGATGAAAACCCCTTTCCGGAATACAGTGTCATGAACGATGATCATTAATACCACTTTGAAATGAGACAACACGCAGGAGGATGGAGGAAATTTGTATCACGGCATTATGCCCAGGAGTTTGATGAAGCGCTGGACCAGGACGGACAGGATTTTGTTCTCATCATATAAATACTCATTCGCAAAAAGTTTCAACGTCTTTGTTTTGTCCATTTCCGGATTGTATAGACCGGGATGGGCGGTCACTTGTAGTAACAAACTCATACTGAAGTTTACTTATTAATCTGGTGCATTGGGCGTGTTTTGGATTGTTCCCATCACATCCCATCACTTCATAGTCAGCCACGACAGCAACATATCACCAATGGTAACACGCGACATATGTACAAGTTCGGGCAAGATGACCCAGCATCTCAATTCTTCTAAACTACATAAACAAGAGATCTGCACCGTCGACTCCCTGCTAACTCTCTTTTGCAGAAACCAGTTTCCGTTCCTTAAAGCAATAAAATCAACTAATAAATACACTGTCATATCCAAAATAGGATCTGTAAATAGCTTTATAACATTAGACCTCAATAGTAAAGTGGCTGATCTGCGAATAGTACGCATGAACAGCCAGCTCTAGGAGCATAACGTCGCCATACACTTCGCTTCCGTCAAAACCTCCAATTACAATTAGGCGACTGTCATACAGCACCGTGCCGTGGTAGCCACGGCCCGATGGTGCTTTTCCGTAGACCCGGCGTCTATCCCAAGTCATCGTGACCAAGTTCAGCAATAGGACATCGCTGGAATACTCGCTTCCATCATGGCCGCCAATGACGAAAAGATAAGACCCGACTATTGTGGCCGTGTGCGACAGGCGGCGGAAAACAACCGGGATAGGTACTGCTCTCCATAATTGCGCCTCAACGTCGTATACCCATACATCGTCGAAGCATTCGCCGCCATCGGAACCGCCAAAGATGATGAGCTTGCTGCCCACCATGTTGGCAGTGTGATAGCCCCTTGCCTTGGGACGATAGTCTTTTGTCCCCGGACTTGGCTTATCAGAACTGGATACTAATCGCCATGACATTTTGTTAACGTCGGCAACATCTAATCGCCAGATATCATTAAGAGCACGGACACCATCACCGCCGCCAAACACGTAAATGCCGTTCTTGTATAGACAAGCAGTATGCGCTCTCCGCTTTGATGGCATCTTATCTCCTATAATCCGTGGCTTAGTCCACCGGAAATTTGTCGTATCCAGCACATAGACATCGTTATAATACTCTGGGCCGTCACCTCCGCCGAACACGACGAGTTTCTTGCCTACAGCAGTACATGTCATAGCCCTCAATGGAACAGGTATTTCACCAACGACATACGGTATAGACCAGTGGAAAGAGTCTGCATCCAACACATAGAGATCGTTAAAGCATGTCCTTGAGTCGCAGCCACCAAAAACATATACGTTTGAGCCAATAATTGTCGTTGTATGTGCCCGTAACGAGGTATGAGGAGCTCCCGATACAGGCGCTTTGGACCAGTACATGCCAGATGCTGGTGCCACGTCAACATTAGGAGCCGTCCTGGGATCCGGAAGCGAAGGAAACGCTACGTATTCGTCCTGAGCTATGCGAGACCTATGTGATCCATATCGTGCGGTCGCCTGGGCAGTTGTTCGGCTGGTTATCGCAGAAGTCGACCGTGAAGCTGTAGGTCGCCTGGTTCGTCGATCTCCCTCACTCGAGGCATCCCCGGCGTTGTTTGTGGACGAGTGAGCTGGTTTGGGAGCTGTTCTGGAGGTAGACGAGGCCCCTTGCCCGGCTGATTGAGAAGTGGATTGGGAGCGTTGGCGAATAGAAAGATCGGAAGGTTTTCGACGGTTCGCTTGTATGCTCTTGCTAGCGAGATGCCCTGGTGTATGGCTCCTGGGCAATGGCATCTGATCGCTGGACTCGTCATCGTCGTCGGAATCATCGTCGACAAAGGTAGGCCGCGGGGCTGTCGTCGGGGGAGCAGGCGATCTCTGTGGTTGAATTCCCCTTGCTTGGAGAAGCGACTTATCGGGAGACCTCCTCGGATCCGCCATGGCTTTGTAGGTCCTTCTTCATTGCCTGCAAGCAAGGAGTTGAGCTCGTGACTAGGACCGGTCGAGGTGGGGGATGAGGTTGGAGCGGAGGGAGGAGAGCTGTAGCAGAGCAGAGTAGAGTAGGACGTTTAAAAAGCAACGAAATGATATGTAATAAAATACAATCTGCCACAAACAAACCCTGATTGGCGATGCGCCAGGGCTGTAACAAGAGAGAGGGGCGGAGAAGCTGTTTGATGATAATATGCGAATGATGATCAAGGGTGCTCTTGCGATCGTGCAACGTTGGAGCTGGGGTTTGATGGGGACATGAGTCGAGAGGTCGAGATACGACGGCCTTCTAATCGAGGTCGGGGTACTTGGGTACCTCACGGCGATTGTTGCCCTTGAAAGGCCAACCTTTTAGTGAGGGTTGACCCTTGTGCTTCACTGTGGATATGAGGCTTACAGGTATTAGAGGTACCAGGTACGTTCCCGTTTCTGACCTCATAGCCCAAACGGAGACTGAGACGAGACCCTGGGAAAATTAGTGCATTTTTTAGTGCAGCAGCTGTCAAGTCGAGGATTTTTCTATGTGCTCAGGAAAAGATATCCTTTGAAGATCGACCTTGATAGTAACAGGCACTTACTTGCCCAATACTGCTAACTTGGTTCTCTATATTTTTCTCAATCACCGCAGTACAAACGGTAAGTAAGGGATTGGCTCACATACACCGCACTGTATACCAACACTAGAAACTTTTCTCTCTACCTTCCTCCTCACCTCTTACACCCACTCACTCAACCCAACTCATACACCAAATACTTATTTTTATAGCATCGCCGTTGATTATTGACCTAAACACTTCAGAGTATTTCTCTGAGAGACAAATCATACCTAAAAGCTTGTCATACTACAAACGCCTCAACACCATGAGTGAGCCATCCGATGCTCAGATGGCTGGTGTTTCATCAGGCCATGAGCATGCCAAGCTCGTAGCCGATGCTAGCAATATTACAACTTCTGCCGATGACGGAGAGCGGGCTTCGAAGCGAGTTAAGATGAACGATTCGATCCTTTCGCAGTCTGTACCTGGAGAGGGTCTTCACGATGCACCCACGCCCAAGAAGAACGGCACAGATGGTGACAAACAAGATGCCCCCCAAGAATCAAATTCGGATTCCAAGCAGGAGCATGTTGATGGTCGCGCCAAAGGAATTGCTCCTATTAAGAAAGAGTGAGTGTCTCAAAGTTGAGGTCGATGTGAGACGAACTGACAGTTCAAAGGTATCTCGTTGACTTGTCAGCGCAAAAGGATAACTCCGATACTGTAAACGACGACGACGCAGCTGAAGCGCGTGGCACTGCCGACGGAAACGGGGAAAACGGTGAGCGTAGGTCTAACAAAGGCAAAAAGGAAAAGAAAAAGAATAAGGGCCAGAACACAGAACGTGACTTTGGCAAGTTCGACGATGCCTTTCGTCTCTGTAACAGCCGAGCATTCTATCCTGAGTTTTCTCCCAGAGAGTGCAGGTTTGGCGATCGATGCAGACTTTGCCACGATATCCGAAAGTATCTCGAGGATGGACGCCGAGGCGATGTTGAAACTTTTGATGGCAAATGCCCTGTGTTTGAAGCCCATGGCCACTGTCCCTCAGGTTGGAAGTGCCGCTTTGTTAAAAGCCACATGAAGGAAATCGAGCATGAGGATGGCCGAAAGGAGTTGGTTCTCATCAACACTGCAGCTGATGGTGGCCAGAACGGTGCGCCCAAGGATGAAGGGTCTGAGGAGCAGCGTCCTGCTATCCACAACGTCGTTGGTATTGATAAGAAAATCAACCTTAACCGCAAGCGAACCGACTTCACACGATCGGAGCAGTATATTTCGTGGCTCAACAAGGAATCCAAGCTGAGCGAGGAACTCATGAACCGCCGCAAGGACCAGTCCGATGAGGGTACCGAGGATCTTCGTGCTCGCTATGTCGACCCCCCCTTTCGGCCTTCTGAGAAGCGTCGTCTGTACTTTGGCCCTGAGACTCCTACCCTGGCACCTCTCACCACACAAGGAAACCTGCCATTCCGTCGGCTCTGTGTTGAGCTTGGCGCCCAACTAACCTATTCGGAGATGGCTCTGAGTATGCCCTTGATCCAAGGAACCAAGGCCGACTGGACACTTCTCAAGGTCCACGACTCAGAGCTTACTCCTCCCAAGTTCAATACTGGCTCTATCCCTATCTTTGATGATTACGACCACTCCAAGGATATCAAATTCGGTGCACAGATCTCCGGAAACAACCACTGGGTCGTGACCAAGGCCGCTGACGTCTTAAATCGCTTCTGTCCCCATCTTCGCCTTATCGATCTTAACTGTGGCTGCCCAATTGACATGGTCTTCAAGTCCGGTGGTGGTTCGGCACTCCTCGAAAACTCTGGCAAGTTGGAGCGAATGATTCGAGGCATGAACGCCGTGTCAGGGGAAGTCCCCATCACTGCCAAGATTCGCACTGGTATTCGAAACAGCCGCCCTACAGCAACCCAGCTCATTGGCAAGCTGGCCTTCGGTGCACGAGAGCACCGAGAACGGCTTGGTGCTCCTGGATGCGCTGCCCTCACTCTTCATGGACGCAGCCGTGAGCAGAGATACACCAAGAAAGCCGATTGGGGTTACATCAGCGAGTGTGCCGCACTCATCAAGACTTACAACAAGGAGAAAGATGCCCTGACCGACACTATTGCTGAACCCGATGCCAGCAGCCTCCCTAACGCTAAGGATAGCCGTATGTACTTCCTCGGCAATGGCGACTGTTACTCTCACACCGAATACTACGAGAATATCGAAAAGTCTCGTGTTGACACCGTTATGATTGGCCGCGGTGCCCTTATTAAGCCTTGGCTGTTTGAGGAGATCGAGAAGGGACAGTATCTCGACAAGTCGTCCAGCGAGCGTCTCCGCTACATCGAGAAGTTTGTACGCCACGGCCTTGATGCCTGGGGCTCCGACGAACTCGGCATTGGCTTCACCCGTCGTTTCCTTCTCGAGTGGCTCAGTTTCGCCTACCGCTACGTTCCTATCGGGCTTCTCGAGTATCTTCCTCCTTCTCTGAATGATCGACCACCCAGTTACCAGGGCCGAGATGAGATGGAGACACTCATGGCGTCCAACAACTTCAAGGATTGGATCAAGATCAGGTATGTTACAATCCGCTCGTTGAACGGCATAGTAAGTATTGTGTCATATAAAACAAGTGTGCTAATCATGTGTATCTACAGTGAGATGTTCCTTGGTCCCGTTCACCCGACATTCAAGTTCCAACCCAAGCACAAGTCGAACGCGTACGAGGCTGAGGGCTGATCAACAGGCGAGTGGCGTAGGGGGTGTGAAAAGTGGTTATTTTGGTTCTCATATTTGCTATTGTGAGAAGACCTCCAGGGAAGACATGTGAAGATGCGTGGGTACGTCCAGGCTGTCTACGGAGGATACCATGCCTGTTTGTAAAAGGGGAAATATACTCCGAGATTTACCTTATCAAGTGAAGACCTCAATGTGGCCATCGTCAAAAATTCAAGAAACAACTGTAAAACACTAATATCTCCATGCCGACTTAAAATCTATGCGCTCTAAGTGTCCATGTTCACCATTTTCGGTCTTCACCTTTGAGCCGCTTCTCGGCTATCAACTCTACTGAGTCTTATGGCCATATACAAGAGGCCATATGCTTCATGATTAAATGGCAAGCGTATATAAAGCGGTTGGGGTGGCTTAAGTGGTAAATATTTGATATAATCTACACACGTCAGGTGTTTACATACGACTAATAAAGTTCCTGGACACTAGTGCATCAACTTGTCAATTATATTAAGCTATGCGACTAAACTATTTGGACCCTTGAAGCTTGACAGTTTCGGATTTCAAGTCCCGAATTCACTTCTAGTCATTTATTCTCGTCGTCACTGTCAATCTTAAGAAGCATCCTACTTCACGCAGTTGAATATTGTGCCAGGAAACTATGCGGTAATAGAACCCACACCAAGCGCTGGACAATGGCCTGCTGAGAGAATGTATATAATGTGTATCTTTACGGGATTTATACTCCCCAAGCATGGCAAAATGCAATGAACCCGAACGCTAGGAACTAACATGTGTATGAAAACCCAACCAACTCCGTGATGACTTTTGTAATCCAATCACCAAATGCACCATAACTTTACTCAAGATAGAATTGTACACGTTTTCGTCCTCATGCATGAATGTCGACGTTTTTGAAGTGACTGCGGACACCTTCTATGAATAGAAGTGGCTTCTCTGCATGCCATCGGCGGATGCATATTCTTTGTTGCCCTCCTCTGGGTGGGCGATCGAGCTTGTCAAAGAGTTGGTGCGGCTGCTGTCGCTAGGGGCGGCCTTGAGCTTCTTGGGCTCCTGCGCCGGACGCTTGATAACCTCGAGGTAGGTAGAGGGAAGATAGCCTTGGCGACCATCGCGAGCACGACATTGCCACCATTCGCTGGGGTTACCCGAAGGGTCATTCTTGTTGAGAACGGCGACCAAATCACCTTTTCGAGCTTCAAGCTCCATACCGGTGTTGGGCTGGGGAAGGAAATCGAAGGTAAGTCGGCAGAACTCCAGCTTGGAAGGGTCGACGGGTTGTTGCGCTTCAATAGCCTGAGCTTGGAGGCGTTTTTGCTCCTGTTCTTGTGAGGCGGCAAGCGTCCTGATCATCTTGGACATAAGGTATGGAATACCAAATGCGGCCAGAACGAAGAAGATGAGAGGTTTCCTGCTAGCTTTGGTGGGAAGAGGGTTGCCGTCGGGGCCAATACTGCGGCCTTCAAAGCGAGCAAAGGCAGCTGGGGTAAGAGCAGTCGCATCGGCTGGTGGCGGTCGGCCAGTAATCTTCGCAAGCAAAGTTCGAATCCATCGCATCACAGTGAAGATGCCCAGGACTGAGCCCAGGGTGTCTCTCAGGTTGCCAAATTGTTCAGCAACAGAGACCATAGCTAGGGGTTGTTAGTAAAGGTCTGCTATCGCGCGTAGGCAAGTGAAGTGGCTTACCGAAAAAGCTAGAATGTGTAGCCATGTAGGTGCTTTCGAGCATCTGTGCGAAGCCACCGAAGGCTGTGACGATGCCTTCGAGCATTTGGAAGGTGGCTTGAGTGCTGTTGTTGAAACTATTCGTCAAGCTGTTCTGGTCGCCAGGCATTCCCATGCCACCGCCGTACATACCACCGCCCATGCCACCATACATGCCGCCTCCATAACCACCATATCCTCCTCCTCCATACATGCTGCCGTAACCGCCGCCATAGCCACCCATACCACCACCCATACCCATGCGCGAGTAGGGACTGGAGTAGGGCGACGAGTAGGCGCCGCCCATGGAGCCGTACGGCGAGGTATTCATTCGGCTGTAGTTGGCAGCGTTCTGGTTGACAGCAGATGCAAGAGAAGAAGGCCGATTGGGAAGCGGAGGGGCGGCAGATGAATCAGTGGGCGATGCGGCAGTAGTTCCAGACGCAAATGAGGATGACATAGACGGAACGGCTAAAGAGTCAAGAAGGTAAGCTTGCGCGCTTTGACTAAGCTGTCAGGTATAGATGATTGGTATGGAACATTGCAGAAGGGGTGAAGAAGAGCGGAAGAATCGATTGACAGGATTGTCGCGACTTACCAGCAGTCGTAGCCGCGCCAGGCTGCTCCCAGGGTTTGGGCGGAGAAGCCATTATGATAGATTGGTATGGTGAGGAGGGAAGGAGTAGAAACCGGCTCCGGACAATGAATTACCGAAGAACGGTATCGTAGTGCCAGAATTCGAGTCGTCGAGTTGTTGAGCCTCCTAGGAGAAGTGGACTTGCCTAGGTCGCTTACCACTCCTCGTGACGTTTGGTGGACCTCGGGAAGTGTACCGGACGCAAGATCGGAGTCAGACTCCGTGATTGTATGCAACCCCCAGTTAGCGCTATCACGTTGCGCGGGGACAGCGGAGTTGCCTCGGGATACGGGGAAAAGTGCAGCGGAGAGGGAGAATGCGGTCGCTATTGCTGCTCCTCGAGGAATTAAACTGTGCGATATGGGCGATCGCGACAGGCGTGGGCGTGGGCGGGATTAGAAGGATGAGGAAGGGGAAGAATTGTAGGAGAAAAGCCGGGAGAGATGGCGTTGTTTAGAGATAAAAGAATAGTGGACCCTCACTTAACCTAGGCCTGAACTGCAGGCGCGCTCAAGTTTAAAAGGGAAGAAAAATCCGGGGGCAAGGCAGGGACCGAACCAGAGCCAGACCTCGGCAGACTAAGTTTATGGGAAGGCCCCGCCTACCTCTTGTCGCTTGCCGTTTTTTGCCTATTTAAGGAAGTAACGATTCATGAATCATGAGAATGGGTGATATCAAATGCTTCATAAATCATTCCTCTTTTATTTGTATTAATCCAAGATATCTAATCAATACCTTACTACTTGTTTACTGTCTACTGCAATTATGTGCATCTTTGGTAGGCACATAGATTTATCTGATCCCACCGAAAACAAGACCGTTTTGTCTTGTCCGTTAACGTTAACCGGTTGAAACTTTCCATGTGATGCTCACGTTGATGTTTTCTGATTTCGCCACAAGCCATCGGCCTCCCCACGCTGCATGCTAAACAGGTATAAATTAGACCTCCAATATGTCAATTCTATCTATACAGCCACAAACCGCCATAGAAACCCTAATACGTGGAGTTCGCTCGTGATTGAGACTGAGAGCATTAATTATGATAGGTAAGTATAGTCTGCTTGGCAAATAACGGTACAGTTCCGTATAAACTTTCCAACAATAAGTCACCCAGAATAAATAAAGTGATAGAGAAATATAATATATATAAACTATTTGGAAGATCTAAGACATAAGATTATATATAATTCTATAATATAGTATAAAAGAAGAGTAGTTCACTATAGTTTAAATAATGCTATATAAAATATGAAGAAGAGGAGATTATCACACGCCCAACACAGCATTGGTCAGTCTAAGTGTCCAACACCTCATAAAGAACAAGGGCCCCGCCATATCATGCCTCTCATTGAAAGCTACATACTAGAATAACTTCACTATGGTGAAAATAAACGCAAAATGATAGAGGTTTCATATCATTCTCCCGGATTACTCCATTATCATATCCAATGCCAAAAACCCAATCAATTGAAAAGTTCCGATGTGTGTAAGCAATTTTACAACTAGAATTGAGCTCCCAGGAGCCAATCATGGTTCAACGTAAACTCAACCACAACAATAAACAATGAAAGATAAATGATAAACGCCATGACTGGAAAACAACCCCCAAGTCCAGGCCTCATCCCCAATCCGTTTATCAAGAAACGAAACCTCGAATGGACTATAGACTCGCCATCTCTCTCACAGCCACCAGCAACTGCCGATATAGAATCTGGATCGGCTTCTATAGACGATCATCTCTCCCATTTCAAACATCTCCTCTCCAAACACATCATCACTCCTTCCCCGCTATCGATAGCTTCATATGCGTCACTATATACGGCCAATGCGGGAAGTAACCAGGGCGCGCACTTTGTTATCCATCAACATGATCACCCCATTGCAGGTACACACTATGACCTCCGTCTTCAAATCAATGAGTCCAGCAGCGTTAGCTGGGCGATTATGTATGGACTTCCAGGCGACCCCAATAGTATCAGACTAAATCGAAACGCAACCGAGACGCGGATTCACTGCTTATGGGTATGAAGTTAATCATACTCCATGAGCACGGAACTGACCATGGACAAACAGAATCATCTTATAGAAACCGCCTCAGCCTCAACTGGCTCTCTTCTCATCTGGGATACAGGAACATACAGTATCCTGCCCCGTAAAAGCAAGCACTCACCACCAGCCGATCCCTCATCAACACCTTCTTCTCCAACTTCATCTTCCCCATCAACACCACAAGCGCTCTTACACGCAGCTTTCCAAAGCCGCAAGATCCGCCTTCGCCTACACGGACGGCGCTTACCAGACCCATACGTCGTGAATCTCCGTCTCACCAAGTCAGAAGATGTGGCTGGTAGAGTAAAAAGCGGGAGGATACCTCGGAAGCGAAGACGTCGGGGTGTGCAAATGCATACTCAACCTGAGACGACCGGCGAAGACGAAAGCGACATCGATGAGAGCGAAGATGTTCCCACTAGCGTCGACGAAAGCACCGACGCGGAGGGTCTCTCTGCAATGGAGCGTGAGCTGCGTGAACTTGAAGATGAGGAGGTTCGCAGAACAAATGCCTATCCTGGAGCCTCCAACACCATTGGTAGTATACATCAACGGCGGTGGTATCTTTCACTCGATCGTCCAGGATGCGGTTTCCTTGAGAAGCGAACAAATGGTCGTTCGAATTGGGAACTGCAGAACTCCAGAGAAATCCAAGATGAGGAGACAGAAAACGGACGTTTGTTCTATCCATTTTATGTCCGTGGAGCGGATCATGAGCGAAGTGTAGTAACAGGACGACATGGAGGCGATATTCTCAAAGATGAGGGTGTGGACAAATTCGTTCAACGCAAAGGTTGGAGGCCTGTCTTGAAGTAGGACTATTAGGATATAAAGGCACACATTATATGAACACCAAGGCAAATACCGTATTTCCTTTTTACCACTTTGGCGCATGGCTGTGTAGCTCATCTGCCTTGATTCCCGACGAGAATCCCTTCCTGCAGGCTGATTCGGATAAATGCCTAGTCATGTAATCCGATATAAATCAGTCCGTCTTAATCAGACTCGTCAAACGCCTTTCCATGCTTGCTAAATCCCGGATCTCCATGTCCATGTAATCGAGGCACTCCAAATCAGAACACTACAGAAACAAAGAAACAAAACACACTTTTGAAATACGAGTATTACTCTCTTTCAGTGACGATTTTGTGATTTAACTCTTGGGTTCCACAAGAGTGGGTGCAATTCGCCTCTTCTTAGGCTCCTTGGTCTCTTCTTTCTCACTTTCGCTTGCATCACGTTTGGTGCCTGCGACACTACCAGTGGCACTTTGAGGTGTCTCGGGCGGTGTTGTGAGTGGAACACCTGTTACTTTTCCTGTGTTCGTCGCGGAAATACTTGGAACATTACCAGAAATAAGGGTTGGGTTGGTAACTACGCCAGTGGCCGGTACGGTACTAGCCTGTGTGGTAATAGTCGCAATCGAAGACGTCGAATTCGACCTCGTAGGAGATGAGGGACGTTGCGAAATAAGCGAGGCCGACTGAGGTGGCGAGGGTGCAGTAAACGAGCTCGCAGAATTGCGATGTTGATGATGTGAGCCGTTGTGAAAGGGTGAGGGGGGTGCAAAAGCGTTCGTTGGTGTTGGCATAGGAGTACTCTGATTAGATGAGGCGGCTGTTTGAGTCTTGGGTGGACCAATTTCGCCTTTGTAGACTTCTCCAAGTTCTCCGGCTGCAAATGACAATGTGGAACAAAAGCCATCAGATGAAGATATCATTAGAGTCAGGCCATCACTTGACCTAGTCGATTGATTAGTATAAGTTTGCAGCTAGAAAAGGGATGTGCATACCAGGCGAGGTCGGTAAAAGTGGCGCAATGAAGATTGCTGACAACACAAATAGGAGTCTTTTGTTGAGTATCGTAGAGCAAAACTGAGTCTTGCGTAGCAACCGCATAGACCATGCGATAAGGAAGAGAGAAGGCAGGCTTTAGGCCCGGGGTAGTCGAAGCTGCGTCTGAATTTGATCCTTTGGAATCAGAAGGGTTCAATGGCGGAGGGGGTGGCTCCATGACAGAAGGCGCCGGCGATGGCTTTGAAAGAGGCTCCGGTAGAGACGGTATAGGCTCCTCCGAGGATGATGTGTCAATAGTGATATTCCGTGTGACTGGTGGAGACTGACGAAGTGTGTAGAATATGGGAGAGCATTTGACCACCACCGATGGCTTCTTGTGGCCCGGCAAATGGGCAATCGGAGGCTTGTTGATACCACCTCGCGTGTAGATATAGACTGTGTTGATTACTTCATAGGTAGGCTTAGTGTCTCTCTCCGCTTGGTGTTGATTCTGGTACTGTCCAGATGGAGTCAGCAGCAAGCTACCATCTGGCGTGAACGTGAGTCGTCGGAAGAAGGACGTCAGAGTTTCGTTGGCGTAGAGATTGGCGTTCTTCATTCCCAAGCCACTGCTCAAGGCCGATGATGGCTTAGGTGAAGGGTCCATAGGCATGACGGCAGGCAAAGGCATGGATGGCGCTGGCGAGACAGATCGTCGAGAAGAAAACGAGGATCGGCGGCTATGGCTCATGACGCTGGGAGGGTTCATGGGGAGCGCGAACGATGTAGGCGTACCTGGCGCAGAAGGCACAGGCGACCCGATGGAGGGCGCATCGAGAACGGCGAGCGATGAGCGATGGCCAAAGTCGGGAGGAGCAGGACTACTGGAGGAGATTCGTCGAGGAGGAAGGTCGGCCTTAATGTGGCTGGCAAGTCTAGGAGTCTTGTCATCCTGGCTCAGTGTATATTGCCCATCCTTTGTCTTGAGAGAGTAGATATGAACCGATCGATCGGAGGATTGCGTCGCAATGTATTCGTTAAGAGGATCCCAAGTGACGCCTTGCACATAGTGACTGTGCTCAGCGATTTGGCGAACCAATGTTCCTGTTTCTTGGGTTAGATATTGTTGGATATGGGCTGACTATTGTCGCATGCTGACCTGTCTGAGCATTGTAGATTCGCGCTATGTTATCCATGCTACCAATCATGAAGTACACACCATCAGGAGACCAGGCCAAGTCATATATCTCTGCACCACTAGATCGACACATATGCTTAGCCCTCCACGATTCCTTGTCTTCTGGTGCATCGGATCCGAAAGCTGTCTGGGGTGTCTCGCTGGGTACCCAGAGTATCACGTTACCGTCGTCGCCGGCAGAGGCTAGGAGCTCGCCTAGAAAGAAAATTGTTAGGGGACTTGGTTCAAAGAGGATAAAGTAGAAGCCAACCTTTGGGTGCCCAGCGCACGACATTGACGGCTTGGTTGTGCTTGGAAAGAGTTGAAAGGTACTCGACCTTGCGGTCCTCCCCATCAACCTGAACCTTCCATATTCTGATATGGTTGTCACCACCAGCTGTAGCTAAACGTCCCTTTCCAGTGGGTTCGAAGTGAGCTGAGTAGACCGGGGCATTTTGGTCATGCCAATTGATAATAAGAGGAGCAGCTTTCATCGTGACGATACGTTTTGGGTTATCGAGGTGGAAGCTGCATAGGTAAGGGAGACGCCTGATGAGGCGGCTGTGGGAGAAGAGACTGGAGAGCTAGCTCTATAACTCCCACACTCGAATGGGAGCAAGGTCGATGGTCGTAGTTGAAAGTGAGTCGCGGATATTTATGGGTGGAGATTGAAAGAATCGTGGAAAAGAAGGCGAGAGTGGACTCTGAATAATTCTCGATGGATGTTATCGGCAGTGATGGAACTGGAAATCGGTAGTGCCAAAGTAGAGTAACAACGGGTGAGTTTGGATGGTGGAGAGCTCCAGGCTGGAGCTGGTGTGGACCTCTGGAAGCCTTTGATTAGACGCCAAGCGGTAGGAGCTAAAAGGGATGAAAAGACAACAGCGGCCAGAGGGCAAGTTGGGTGTTAGTAACTGTTTTCGGTATGATCAAGTAATAAAAAAGGGAGGAGGGGGAAAAGAGGAAAGAAACGAAGTGGAAGTAAATGTGCGGAAAAGAGGAGTAAAACGGCACGATTGAGGTTTATTCCGGCGAAATGATGCCTACCTTACCTAGGTACAGCACGGTACAGTAAGGTACCACCGCCTAACTTGCTTGGAGCCAACCTCTCACCTCACTTCTTACACTCACACTCAAGCCAACTCTTAATCTTACAACCTCACTGTCCTTGCAGGCCAGGGCCCACGAGGAATAAGGCACGAGGTACGAGGCACAGGTTGTTTGGCATTGACATTGGCATTGAACCAGCCTAGCGAGTCCACTGTCCACCTTAGCTTGGAAAGTTGGAAGCGTGTCACCTAACTAATTAAAGAAAGTAACTTATCGGATGCAAGGCGTTGGAGCTGTAGGTGGACGGATTGGATAGCTTTTGCTTAGCAGAGGTTAAGTTGCGGCGGACGCGCGGGCGATCAGACACATGGGGGATTAATGGGATTGATCCAATAGAAACCAGCGTCCAGTTCATGGATTAATGCATGTCACGAGGGCAACGCATCGCATCGCATCGCAAGTGCAGCAGCAGCACGTCGCAGCGTGGTGTAGCAACGCATTTCAGTGGTGGACAGTGGAGGCTGATGGATCACTTCTAAGACAGTTACAGTCGTGCCGCAGCCAAGCCGCCTGCACTAAACAATGGAACTTGCATGGAGCCTTGCCTGAATATCACGATACTTGGTACGGTTTGTGGTCGACGTCTTAAATAGGTACTAACCTACCCTGCCCTCTTAGCCGTCAGCACAATGCGGTGCTGCAAAGAAAACAAAAAAGAGGTTGGTTGTCAGAGCGGCTGAATAGGTTGCCTTGCTGGGGTTTTAGGGATGATTTACGGAGCATCCCTAACTGTAGCCGTAGCTGTTGCAGTAACACCAGTGGGAATGGGGGCCAAAGCTCATCAGCCCAGAAAGGAGGCGAGTATGTACGGAGTCATACATATGAAAGATCAATTGTAACGATGACCCATCAAAAGGTCCAGAAACTAAAAGTTTGATGCCCCCTTGATTCTGTCTCAGTGCATGACTCTCTATATGTGGAAACATGCGACCATGGATCACGGGAATCTACATAAACTCAAAGGGATATTTAAGACAAGGTTCGCAAGTCCGGTTGGCTGCTTTACTACGAGTTTCCTTTTAAGGTACGGTGTTTTGCCCCGCATCATTAAACTCTCAGGTGCCTATTCCAAGACGTCTTGATTTCCCAAATACCATACTCCGTATCCTTACATGGAGTAAACAAAATTTCTTGGTAGTAATCCATCAATTCCCAAGAGGTGCCAAGTGGGGGCAGTTTTGCGGCGGGGAAGTCCTCCAGGAATTGCCAGCATCCATGATGGTTAAGAGCCAATCAAAAAGTTCGTCTTGATCATCTGCAGAGCTGTCAATGGCCTGAGTCTCATCACTATGGAGACCACGACGGGTTCATCCCAGCTGTCAGAAACATGGATCGTATCAAGACAAATGACAAGTTATCCATTCAGGTTAAGCAGATTAGTTACTCGACTCTGAACTTAATTGTGACTTGAATCCCTTGCTTGCAGTTTTGAACCCCAAGCTTAACTATCCTCGGGGACACCGGATGTGAGATTTCCTAGATATTAGGCTTTCTGGCTAGAATACTTATAATAATTTTAATATTATTAAAGATATCTTATGGTAGAGTCGCTGCCGGTGTTTTATTTCTCCTCCTAGACTACCTAGAACTGGCTACCCCTTACGGAGTACACTCTCCTTCAAATCGCAAGTCTATCGTATACGACAGGGGGTACGACATCCCTCGGATGGGCCATAATCGACCTCAACAAGGCAGCAATACCTCACCATTCTTAGATAAGGCACTTCGTGGCAATGTATTGTTGAAGAACCAAAGAATTCTGACTCGGCTAAGGCTATCTTTCTTTACCGGTCGACACTTTACAACATGGGAGATCGGCTGGCTAAGTATGTAACAGCCTATCTGATCCATGCAATGTTTTTTGCAAGAGGGACTATCTTTAAAGGGGCCGCTAGGTCTTACATTTCTCTTAGTGAGGTGGTATGAGGCATAGAATATATCGTGGACCCAAGCCCAACGTAGGTATAGCTTGTTAAGGAGATATGAGATGCCAGAGGCAAGAGCCGTTGACAAGACGGACAGTACCACTAGCATAGGTACCTTATATAAGGTCACGCAGGTCCATCCTAGAAATCTCAGCGGGAATGACATGATGGATGGGGAGCTTATTCAAAGGAGAAACTAATGACATATGGTGGCTATTGTCGCAATATCATGCCGGCGCGGATAAGATTCCGAGAGTTCGCAGTTTCAAGGCCGCCCATTTTATAAGACGTGCCGGTACATCTGAAGAAATGCTCCGGCTAGCATTAAAGGACTATAACAATATACTGATTGAGACATACAAGAATAGTGTAGACTAGGGTTACTATAAACACGCTCCTTGATTCCCAGGCTGTTTCCTAAGTAATTGTGTCAACAAGGCGGTGGCAGCGTTATACGTAAAGTTGATGTACGTTAAGACGAACGTTTGACATATTCAAACATCATCCCATGATTAGAAGAGAGATTGTATCCATTAAGCAAATGGAGAATGGTCACAATGCGGACAAACTATAATCGAGATTGTTTGTTATCTCTAGTAGGTATAGATTTCTGAAGATTTGTGAAGCTCTTCCAGGGACGCAGGCAGAGCAACAGCCGAAGACATTAGTGAACACAATGCCAAGGAACCAGACGCTATTTAGTAGAGACTTAGCCACGGCTACCTGGACGTGCGTTTCAGTATCTTTATCGAAAGTTCTGAACTGTCTCTCGCGAATAGTGTCAGATCTATGCTGAAGTTGAACTGCGATAAGGGGGCCGTACTACGAACATAGATGAGAGGCCATTGAGCGGGCAAAAATATAACATTTATGCCGAACAAGAGCCATACTCGCCTACTACTTCGTGGGAAGCGTATAATACACCATTCTTGGAGCGGTTGGCCTATCGCTCTAGTTTGTGCTTTAATTTCAGGTATTATTCGTCCTAGAGTTACCCTCGAAAACAGGAGTGAGAGTAAAGGAGGAGCGGAGAGACAGACTCGAGTGGATAATCACCACTAACCACTATCAAATTCAACGTGTATAGCTCGACTTGCACCCAGGGCCCTATCAACTCTAGGCTGAGTAGGGGGTTAGTGATTTGACTGACACTGACCTTGTGTTTGGAATTCTGACAAGTGTCAAACGTTTCTATTCCCTCCATGAGATCATCCCTCAAGCTCATTATAATAAACTCACCACTTCAATGCGCGAGGAACACGCTGTTCGAAATGGCTACCAAGCCGAATTCTTGTACATATTCGACAGTACTGCCCAGGAAACCTATTCTCCTCTGCCCTATCGTAAAGTCTTAATCGGTGACATTTAGTACTATACGCTCCTAACGTAGACGCCTATGGTCCTCGTTTAGTTTTATCCATGATTCAGTAAGCTCTGCTAGATTGGATTGTATCAGCTCAGAATATAAAGATAAACAATAGCTATTCGCCAGATATTCATGATTTAGGGGCACAAGTGACAACTCTTCAATGCCCTTCCCAAGCCACTCGATTCATGCATGCTGCCTTCTTCGTACCCGACTTAATGACGATGGGTTAAGGTCACGGGCGTCGATCAGGGTAATATCGTGAAGCGCTTGACAATGTAACGCAAGCCCATGGCACAGAACGGCGGAAGGAAGTCATTCGGCTTCACCGGTTTGTACCTGTGCCGACATTTATGCTTAATTTTGGGTACTATTAGCAACCTCGCCTATTGACTTCCAGATATTGGTGTTTGAGAGTTTCGCTAACAATGTGCATGAGCTCCATCTGGGATATCCTTGGGTATATAGCCTTTTCCTTGAGACACTCTTTCTGAATCGTCGGAGCGGTCAACAATCTGGCTGTTTGAGAATATACCTTCAGAATTATCCTCCCCCGTCCCATTGCGCAAGTCAAGGATAGACACACTTGGGTCGCACACAGCAGCTACAAGTTGCGCTACCATTGTTGCACCCTGTCTCGCATGCACAGCAGAATTGACAAGCTGTCATTGCGCGTTTCCTGTAGTTTGAATCGGTGGTAGCAAGCCACCTTTTCCGGTTTTTCGAGCCCTGCGATTGGATGCCATCGTAATCTCAATAATAATTTAACCGTCTTCTGTGCTGAAAGTCTCTCGCGAGAAAGTCTTGGGGTATTTCTGTTGTAGTTTGCGACACAATCGTTGCTACTCATGATTGCACAAAGGTGACACACGTCTAATTTACATACTTCTGTCTCATCAGGCCCGTCATCATTTATTTGTTTTCTATTGGCAATTATTCGTACAGTTTCCAAAATCAGGTACTATATACCCTTTGCGTACTAAGGTATTTGGGAACGAGAATATCTTACCCTATACTCGACACTAGAATCTGAATATTATTAGCTAACTTAGTACCTTAGTAGTCGACACAAAGCACATGCCAGCCAAAGTACACTAGAATTCATGACTGTTGATAAGCTCCCGACTACATGCGTCTTCCCGAAACATTCATGATTTAGCCTTGTTTAATGATGCAAGATCATCCTGTACGGGACGTGAATATGTATGTCTCAAAAGTACCAATGGCAAAACGAGCTTGGGTTGATGAGTCACGCCGTTCAAGAACTTCTGAGTCGCTAGGAGGATATGCACTAGGTACAAGAGTCACTGTAAATGGTTTGTGATCAACGTTGTGTGCTAAGGTAACCTTTCCTAATATGGGGTCCAGTTCGTTGATATCCAGTTCGCTTTGAATGAATTACTTAAGCAGTTATCAATTACTGTCTTAGATACCGTAGGCAGAAGTTGGGTTGCTATTGCTGCTGCCTACTACCTATTTATACTTATACTGGTCTTGGCCATCTTAATTAGTACCTAGCGAGATCCATGATGGTGTTAACCCGTTGGTCCTTCCGTAAACGGTTCGCCGGGTCCCACCTTCCAAGATCCACTAGGTTAGCAATGCACGCTCGCACGGGCCAAAGATCCCGGAGACGTTCCCACGTTACCGGCACCAGTGACCCGACCCATTGATGAATGTTCTACCTATTACAACAACCTCATTCTCACTTCGGAGTATTATGGATGCGAATAAAGACGACATGTACCAATCGACAGTGGACTAAGATACCAGGCAGCTGCATCCAGATCAAGATGTTGCCTAAGTTTCCCAAGGCCACAATTCTACTGCCTTAAACATGTCTATCATATTCTCTCCAACAGTCTTTCAAGATGACTGCTGATCGCGATGAACCCTGCCCATCTCACCCAACCACACCGGCTTGTCTGTTCCGTCGATTGGTCAGCCTGAAAAGACCCTGCATTGTCACTGCTTGTGACTGTCGAGCGGTGACTGAACGATTGCCGGCCTCATTCTGCTCGATACAAGAGACACACAAAGCATGAAGCAAAGACAGAAGGGTTCAAAGTATCTTGTCCGATTGTTCCGATGCTGAGCAACAAGCAGTACATACACATATGTTGTACTACGAGGTACACCCGATACTCGGATCCCGTTGATACCATGCACATCATACCTTGCAGCAAAATCCTACTATACTCTTTACGGATCGTTGATGTCTCGCCGCAAAGAGTCACAGACAGCCTGATATCATAACATGAAGAACTTTGCAATCCAACTAATGTACGCATAGGCTTAGATAGTGTTCCCAGCAATGACCTTTACAAGCGATATCTTGAGGAATACGACCCTTACCCCGTCAGCCCCCCTCAAATTTATTCCAGGCAACCTGGTTCGAGCGGTTCCTTTGAAGCACTAAGAAGACCATAACCGATTCAATAAAATCCGCACCTTTGATTACCGATCTAACCTGTATCTTTCTGACGTCTTATTTTGTTGACTCAACCCACTCAACCGGGGATAGTAGAGGTCCCGTCATTTTTTCCCCTGGGAGCGGCATCAGCCAGCTTACCTACATGTGCAAGAGGTGTCCGATTTGCATAGTTCCATAAAGACTCTGCTGGATCCTTGCCACCCTCTTCCTCCAACCCGCATCCTTCCTCTTCTTTCAGAGTCACGTCGAACTTGATATCGACTGCTTTTGGGTAGGGTTCCAGAATACTTCAAAGCTCAATCAAGGATAGCGACAAACTTACAACAACAGGCGATAACAAAGATCGCATCGCGGCGTTTTTCGCCCATTGTCTCTACAGCGTGTCCTTCCAACCAATCATGGTTGCGCCCAATAACCTCGATGTTGGGTTGACTGGTGCAGGCCTCGCTGTTGTGGCATTGGCCACTACGCCTGCTCTAGTCACAGCCGTCACCCAGCTACGAAAACGCACTGCTAAGGATAACTTTTACGAGGATATCGACGGAAAAAGTACACCAGAAAGCATTGCCGCCTTTTCGAACCGGCTTCCCAAAATCTTCATTTTGGCCTTGTCCGCTATAGGTCTTGGAACCTCGATTGCCATCTCCGTGCTATCTTCGCTTAACCCGCATAATGATGCATTGTTGCTAAAGAATTGGTTGATTACCGGCACCTGGGTGAGTAGCAAATGTTCATAGCGATGATAACGCACACTGACAGCCCATTCGTTTAGGCTCTTATTAGTTTGCATGCCATCTCCTTGAGTGCCCATCACTCATCTGTCAAGGTCCATGACCTTGGACTATGGTTATTTGGGTCTTGTCTTGTTGTTACCACTATTACTGTGCCCCAGTTAACTAAAGAAGCCCAGTATGCCTCTCGCAACAGCATCACTACTCTTGTTTTGCGGGCCGTGAACGTTGCTGCTGTTGTCGCCCTCTCCTTCTTCAGCGTGCTACTCCCTCGTCGACCTGACGTATTCTTCAAAGGCTACAAAGTCGACGATCAATGGACTGTGTCTGCCTTTAATCGCTACACTTGGTCGTGGATTGCTCCTCTTCTTACTTATGCTATTGAGAAGAAGGACCTCGATGCTAGCGATGTTCCTCATGTGGACCGGACGCTGCGAGCCGCAGACCTGAAAGAGGATTGGCTGGCTTCTAAGCCTCAAGGCAGCCTCTTTCGTTCGTTGCTTTGGGCCTATAAGTTTCCATTCACCTTGCAGCTTTCCCTTACTATTTTCCGAAACTTCTTGGCTCTCCTACCATACTGGGCTATGTTACGGGTCATCAATATCCTCGAACAGCGTGATGTAGGACTACCTGGATCATCCGACCTGGAACTTTGGGTGTTAGTCTTCGCAATGGCCGGCTTTAACCTTGTGGATGCTGTAAGTTCCCTGCATATCAACTACTCGTCGCATTTATGCTAATTCCCTCCGAAGTGGGTTGAAGGATGGGTATTCTGGTACTCGTTCGCTAGTATTGCCCTACCTATTAGATCCCAGATGTCCACGCTCATCTTTGAGAAGTCCCTCCGACGAAAGAACGTCAAGTCAGCAGACAAATCAAAGGAGTCAGATACGCCACAGGATGGAGCGGCTGACAAGAAAGATGAGGATGAGCCCGACAACGGCTCGAGTGTCCTGAAATCTCGACAGGCCATTGTCAACCTCGTTGGTGTTGATGCTTTGCGAATTTCCAACTTTACAGGCTTCCAGTTCCTAATCATGAACAGTATCTTCAAGTTGATTTTCTTCTCCTTCTTTCTTGTCCAGCTAATCGGATGGATTCCTTTCACAGCCGGCCTAGTAGCCTGGGGTCTTACTCTTCCTGCCAACACTTACTTCTCCAAAGAACTGCTCTCCAGATCGGATAAGTTGATGAAACTTCGCGACGAGAAGCTGGCTGTGGTCAACGAAGCTTTGATTGGTATGAGGCAGATTAAGTTCGCTGCACTGGAGAGTCGTTGGGAGAAGCGCATCCTGACTATGAGAGAAAGGGAACTTAAGACCCTATGGGGGCTTTTCGTTATTGACACTGGTCTCTTTGGATGCTGGGTAGTCAGTCCCATTCTCCTTGCCGCAACGTCTCTCGCCGTCTACGCTGTTCGTAACGGACAGCTACTCCCCTCCGTTGCCTTTGTTAGTATCGGAATATTCAAGGCTCTGGAAGTGTCACTCGGAGTATTACCGGAGCTCATTTCTATGGGAGTCGACACTTTTGTTTCCCTCAAGCGAATCCAGACATATCTGAACGGCCCAGAGATGAAGAACACACTGTCAGAAGGTCCAGAGGTCGCCTTTAAAAATGCCTCCATTGCTTGGCCTGAAGACGACGACACCCCCGACGAGGATAGGTTTATTCTAAGAAATCTCAACATCAGCTTCCCTACTGGCGAGCTGTCTGTCATCTCGGGCAAGACTGGCACAGGAAAGAGTTTGATTCTTTCTGCTATCCTTGGTGAGAGCGATGTGCTAGAAGGTTCTATTCACGTACCCAAGACTGTCTCTCCGGCAGAACGCCATGACTCACAAGCACATCTTGGCAATTGGATCCTCCCCGGATCTATTGCTTATGTTTGCCAAACTCCTTGGCTCGAAAGTGCATCACTCCGCGATAACATCCTGTTCGGCCTCCCCTTCATCGAGGAACGCTACAACCAGGTCGTCGAGGTTTGTGCACTGAAGAAAGACCTTGACATTTTGACAGATGGCGACAAGACGGAGCTCGGTGCCAATGGTATCAATCTTAGTGGTGGGCAGAAGTGGCGAGTCACATTGGCTCGAGCTATCTACTCGCGTGCCGAGATTTTAGTTATGGATGATGTCTTTAGTGCCGTCGACGCACACGTTGGACGACATATTTTCGAGAAGTGTGTCACAGGCGATATAAGCAAAGGACGAACGCGAATTCTTGTCACTCATCATGTTGCTTTGGTCCAGTCGCGAGCGAAGTACATCGTTGAGCTTGGAGCAGGGGTTGTTCTGCACGCTGGCTTGGTATCTGACTTTGTCCAAGATGGAACTTTGGAGGAGATTCGACAGCATGAAGCGACTGCACAGCAAGCCTTGGAGGACGAGACGACAGGCTCAGCGACTGCCGTTAACTCTGAGGAAGCTTCCATCACAGATCCGGCCGAGAATCACGAAAGCAACTCGCTGCAAAAGGTGCCCTCGAAAAACGCTAAGCAGTTCATTCAGGACGAATTGCGAGAAAAGGGCGTGGTGAAGAAGCATGTCTATTTGACCTATCTCAAAGATAGTGGTGGCATACTTCTTTGGAGTATATGCGCGGTTATCTTCCTTGGTTACGAAGTTGGAATTCTTGGTACGTCTTTAGGTTATGGTGAAAAATGCGTCGCTAACAATAACAATAGGTCGAGCTTGGTGGCTTCGAATCTGGACTGGTGATGTTGGCGAGAGTGCTTCAAGCAGTAGCCTTCATCAACAGCACGGTCATGCTTCTATCTTTTCGCTTCAAAAGTTCCCATACAGCTCTGCATCCGACTTGAAGACCACTGAATCTCACTATGATTTACAGTACTACTTGTGGATCTACATTGCCATCTCTAGTGCCACAGCAATCATTGGAACTTTGCGATTCTTCTGGGCATATTTCCTCGCTATTAAAGCAAGCCGAACGCTCTTTGAAAAGATGCTATTCACGGTTCTACACACTCCCCTGAGATGGCTCGATACTGTTCCTGTTGGTAGAATTCTAAACCGATTCTCATCCGATTTCAACATTATCGACAACCGCATCACCCTCGATTGGACACAGTTCATCTCCAACTTGCTGGCGTTGGTGGGTGTCTGCGTCGCTGCTTTCTTCGCGTCCGGTATCGTCATCCCCTTGGCAATCGTTCTGCTAGGACTTGGTATCCTCCTAGGAAATAGGTATCTCTATGGCGCACGACCGCTGAAGCGACTTGAAAGCAATTGCAAGTCTCCGGTTTTTGAACTCTTCAATGGAGCGCTTGCGGGCGTATCTACTATTCGAGGATATAAGAAAACGCAAGTCTACTTTGACAGGATGTATGAGAAGCTTGACTCATGGGCTATCATCACTTCTTATATGTGGCTTGTCAACCGATGGATGGGTCTGCGCATGGGCCTCATTGGTACCCTTTTCTCGACTATTGTTGGAATCATCGTCATTCTGAGCCCCAGTATGGATGCTGCTCTTGCGGGATTTACACTGTCTTTTGCTATGGATTTCGCTGAGAGCATTCTCTGGACTATTCGAAACTACGCTGGCATGGAGTTGAATATGAACTCGACGGAGCGGGTCGTTGAGTATACAGAGCTGGAGACAGAATCACTTGATGGAGTAAAGCCTTCTGCTGCATGGCCCACATCAGGAGCCATGGAAATCAACAATTTGGAGGTTTCTTACGCCCCCGATTTGCCGCCTGTGCTTAAGGGGGTTTCTTTTGATGTGAAGAACAACGAAAGAGTTGGTGTTGTGGGACGTACAGGCGCCGGAAAGTCATCTCTGACCCTTGCCTTGTTCCGATTTTTGGAGGCTCGCTCTGGCAGTGTCACAATCGACGGACTGGACATTTCTAAGGTTAACCTGCACAGCTTGCGATCTCGTCTGGCCATCATTCCTCAGGTATTTGCAGCCGCCTTCAACATCTTAGCATACATGGATTAACGTTTATTAGGACCCTGTGCTCTTTTCAGGCACTATCAGATCCAATCTTGACCCTTTCGAGGACAACACAGACGATGAGCTCCGCGAGTCTCTGAGCCGAGTGCATCTTGTGGATTCTCAGCCAGCAACGCCTGCTAACGAGCCCGCCTCGGCAACATCGACGATAGCGGCCAAGAATACAAATATCTTCCGAGACTTATCGAGCCCCATTTCCGAATCTGGTGGCAATCTTTCCCAAGGCCAACGCCAGCTTCTCTGTCTTGCTCGTGCTATTGTGGCTCGACCCAAGATTATGGTCCTCGACGAGGCTACATCAGCGGTCGACATGGCTACTGACGCGCTCATCCAGCGCAGCATCCGAGAGGAGTTCACTGACAGCACTCTCATTGTCATCGCACATCGTCTCAGCACTATTGCTGATTTTGACCGTATCCTTGTTCTTGCCGATGGCCAAGTCGCAGAGTTTGGAACGCCCAAGGAACTCTGGGAACAAGAAGGCGTGTTCCACGATATGTGCGAGAGTAGTGGAGAGAAGGAAAAGTTGAAGCAGACGATATTCGGATGAATTAAGTAGAAGGAAAGAGAAAAGAAGAAAAGTGTCTAGGTATAAGGTCTGGAGTACACATTGCGAGTCAGTTAAGGTTGTGTTTATGTAGTACGCTTTTAGTTGGTAGTTCATCTTTTATGGTGAACAAGATGGCGAGTAAATAATGTTTCTTTTCTCGCACTTGGTCAAACTGCATAGTAGGCTATCTGGGCACTTATCTGCAATATTTAGTTAAGAAGACTTGATCATTGCAGTACTATCTATCGTATGTGGTGCTTTCGCAGGAGGTACATATTGGATGCCCAATGTTGTTCAATTTGATAATCATAACTCGTAATGTGAAAGAAAGAAATGCTAGTGATTGATCTGATTTGTCAAAAAAGAAATGCTGTATCCTCAACTCACAACTTCATGTTCAAATTCAGGAACGAAAACCAGAGAGATGGTTTTACTCTTTGTCAGAATCGGAATCGTCAAGAGTATCCTCGAAGCCCTGAACAGGAACTGCATTCTTGATGTAGTCACGGAAGCCACGGCTCATCTTCACAACAGCCCGAAGGTGCTTCTCGCTGATAGTGATACGCTCTGTGTGTTCCTCTTCAGCCTCGTTCTCAGCCAAAGCAAGCGCAGTTTGCATGGCGTTGCGGATCTCTCGGCCGTTCCACTTGAGACTGCGGACATCCTGACTATTCCAGACGAACTCTCGAGCTGCACCAGAAATATGAATCCGGCCGTTCGAGTCATCGCTCAGACGGTCAAAACTGTAGGTCCAGATGCGCTCACGATCTTCGTGGCTGAGGCTCTTATAGTGCAGAGCGACATGGATGCGGCTTAGAAACGCGCTATCAAAGGATTGAACCCGGTTGGTAGTGAGGAAGAGAACTCCACGATAGTATTCGAGCGCACGGAGGAAGACGGAAACAAGACCGTTTCTCATGATGTCCTTGGAACGACGGCGCTCGAGGTAGATGTCGGCTTCGTCTAGCAGGACAAGAGCACCATAACGCTGGCCGAGTTCTAGGAAGTAGCTAAGATTGGACTCGACGGTGTCAGAATCAACACTGAGGTCGCCACTGGTCAGAGAAATCAGAGGTCGATTGGTCAACTCAGCAACGCATTCGGCAGTGCATGTCTTTCCAACACCGGGAGCACCGTGGAGAAGGAAGATTCGGCCTTCTCCTTTGTTCTTGACAAAGTCATTGCCCCAAGGTGATACCTTTCCTTCGCCCAGGTTGGTTGCGAACTTTCCAATCAAGGCCTTGACAGTCATTTTGATTTCATCATCAAGAACAAGGTACTTGAAGGCTTCCTTATCACTCTCCACCGGCTTCAGATTGGCGATACTTAAGTGACCCCAGCGCCTGTCGCCAAGAACAAATCCGGGCATCGTCTTGCTGCACAGAAGGTAAAAGAGCTCGTTTTCAGGGGGAGAGTCTCGGGTTGGATCGAGGTCCTCGAAGCCGCGATATGGGCTCTCCGTGTTTTGGCCTGAGCGATCTTCCATGCAAGCATCGCATCCACAGCAAGGAAGGTCCCTGGGCAGATGGTCTTTGACAGGAGGTGCCGTTTCACTGTATCGCCGCGCACGATTGTAACGGTCCCCACGAAAGCCGTCTGGTCCCTGGTGGTAGAAGTTGTCAAAGCCAGGAGCATCACAAATGACGCGACCGGACATGAAGCCGGTTGGTCCGCGGCAATGTCTATTGCTCGCACCAGAGTTGACGAGTTGGCCCTCGTAGTCCATGTAAGTAGGGCGCTTCAAAAGCTCCCAGTACAGCTTCCCAAGTGCGATGTTCTTTTCTCTCATTGTCATTCCGCCTTGGGCTTCGAGATCCTCGGGCCAGAAAATGGCGGGGATGACAGAAAGACTTCCTATGGCTTGATCCCCCAGCCATTGGGGGAGGTGGAAGCTGGACATGAAGCGATTGACCTTGGTGCCATTGGACTCAAGCATCCAACAATGGACTCTGTAGACATCATAGGGATTGCTGTTCCCTTGATCTATGCTGACGCTGCTGATGATGTACGGGGTCCAGATATCATGCCGCTTGGCGTAAATAATCTCGCCTGGCTTCAGAAGAAGCCAAAAGAGATCAAAGGTGGCTTTCGGGGTAGCTAACTGGTGGCGCTCTGTTTCACGACGGATATCCTCGCCAAGGTTCTCATCCAGAAACTTGAGAAGAACGTCGATATGCTGAGCGGTGGTGGAAGTGTATTCTGGGCTGTGGGTTAATGGCTGGCGGTGCTTGTAGTGGGCAAGCTCCTCTCGATGATGATACAAAACCCGGTAAGGGGCAGTGATCTTGACGGACTTGCCGTCGAAGCCGACGTAAGGGTAGTATACCACAACGGCTTTGAGAGCGTTGATGAGATGTTCCGAGTGAATGATCATAAAGGGGCGGGTCACTTCAGGGCCGGTCGTTTGAGGCTCTGAATCCAGAACTGGTAAGCCGCCATCGTAGCGATGATCGACTTGCTCAAACGCTCCGGTAATAGGTCTATCGTGGTCCCGTGGGCCGCCAGGAGGAGGAGGATGAAGAGGGCGACGGGGTACACTCCTGGGTAGAACTCGTGTAACAATCTCAAGTACAGGCTTCTCTTCATCAGTCGAGTCTTCGCCATCCGCAAGGTCGAGACCACCATGAGATCCATATAGTGGAATGCTCTCGAAGGGCTGAGTACTCTGGCGGACTGTGGTCTTGTCAGTATTTTATTATATAGATTCATATTCAACTGTGAAACAACTTACACTCTATGACATTGTCTCGCCAGCCAAGATACTTGACGACGTGAATTACGTCTGGGACCTTGCCATCGACCCTGAGAATCTCTCGCTTGGGAGGGGGTGAGGGCATTCGGGTGGACATGTCCCTAGTCCTGAGCCTGTGGCGAGAAGGGATATCCTCGAAGCTCGCGATGGAGCTGGTGTCATCGTCAAAGATTTGGACTTCACGAGGTTGAGGAGAGTCCATGATGATAGTGACAAGAGAGAACAGTAGAGAGTAGGTAAGCAAGTAACAAGGAGTTAAGAGATGAAAAGGATAGACAATTTGTTAAGGGAGGGAAGAAGAGCTTGTCTTGGTTATGAAAGAAATGGCGAGAGGGGCGTCTTCTTTATACCTTAGATCCAAGTAATCATCGTAAAGGTAGGCCAACCTGTAGGCAATGCCTCAGAAGCTTAGGTCGTCCTATCATAGTGAACTGATAGAGTTTACCCAATCAGGCAAGTATATTTCTGCTGTTAGTCAAGGCAGCAATGTCCATTTTCAAGCCATCTATGCGAGGTGGTGTTGTTTGCCTTGACCAAGTGTAACACAGTGCCTCAGTCATCACCAACGATAATACTTACTACAGTCATGTAGAAGCTCTTATTTCATGCACCTAGTGTCTTAAGTCCTGGTAGACATGCAACCTGTAGCACAGCCCTATGGACCGTCTGGACACCAAGTTAAGTTAGATGCTGCATATTAGGCATCTTGGCTGACTGTAAGCAAAGGTCCCCATTTTGTGTCACATATGAAGCTATACCATGGCCTTCTTTACCTCGATTTTATAATTTTGTAGATAATCGAAGAAAATGCAAAAATACATGGATGTTCAAACAAATTGATTGACCCTCTTTGATGGAAAGAATGAATGAAATAATCAATTGCAAGTTTGTATATTAATGCAATAGGGCTGAGTTCAACTAACGTTAGCACCGCCTCCAAAATGCCCCGTGGTAAGCCTTGACCTTCTCAGCCAATCATGCACATGAACTTCACTTGTTTCCGCAGTATCATGCTACTAACGCCTTATAGGTCTAGGTGAGCAGTTCCAGGATCTGCACAGTACGTTAGAGGGTCATGTTAAGCAGTCCAAGACATTCCCATATTAGTACAGTTTATGAGAGAATACATGAGACTTTAAAATCCTCGATAAAGGCGGATGGAAGATTGCCAGAAGTTTAATGTTTACTCTGCCTGATTACATACTACGTAGTAGTCGGTTTGCTTGTATAGTTCCATGTAAGTGTTCCGATAATAAGCCAACTCGGCATATGTAATGACATTAATGTTAATAGGGAAAATACATCATAATTAGAAGATTGTGTACATAGTCTGAGGATAATAGACTCTTTTTCATTCATACAATCACGTATGAAATCCAGGAAACAGGAATCAGAACTTTTCCACACCAACTTAAACAATCTGTAAGTATTAGGAGGCGATGGTGGGAATCGTCCCGTCAAGTACATAGCAATCGCCAAACATAGTCCAGTGCCCACGTCGTGGCTGTATTCCAATGCCATCTTATTGCTATTTATAATATGAAGTCTTCGCACAAGGTATTGGGAAGAAGCCCTCGTACTCCTGTTACCATCTTATAACGCCATCCAGCTTGTCCTAAACTCCACATCCATTCATAAATCCAAATTGATAAGACGAAGACAATGAATCCAACATCCAGTAGCAAACAAGCTCATTGACAATCAACTGGCCCCGTTCCTTGCGCTCGACGTTACGTTACTGGCGTGAGCGAGCAGAAACTTACAGCATGTCAACGTCAGCTTGCACGCCTTTGTCCAGCCATCATCTTGCGCGATGCCGAGTTTGATGCTCACATCTCCAATCTTGTCGCCGTCGATTTTATATGGCAGGCTGAGCGGCGAACCAGTAGCGTCTGTTTGCCTATGCACGAACGCGCCCAGCTGTCGCACAAGTTCCAAGAAACCAACCATAGCGTTGTCAAAACGTCGATGCATGAATGTCAGTCCCAGAGGCATATCTCCGGAGCTGTACAACTCAAGGACATGCTTCTTAGGGGGCGCACTGACAGCACGGCTGCCTAATCGACTCGATGAAGGACTCGGCACTTCATATCGGATGATCCTGGATGTACTGCCCATAGGTTGTGGGTCGTATCCATCAAATCTGTATGCCAGCTTGTCCGCAACGGTCACCAACAGCAGCAATGCATGTCCCCAAGCTGCATTGATTTCTGGCCAATCCACTGGTTTGTTAGAAAGCCGACCAAGCCGGAGGCCGTTGATTGTTGCAAAGCTGCCATCATGGCTGATGCAGAATGTATCGTTGTACACATTAGACCGCTGCAGCTTCTCCAAAAGCTGCGAGTCATTGCTATACTTGGCGTTGATGCTGTCTCTTTCGGCCTGGAACCTAGCCATCTTGGTTGCAAACTCATTTCGTTCTCTCCAGAACTTCTCTTCCTCCTTATCCAATTGTCGTGACTCCTCCTCGAGGGCTACGAGCTCCTCGTCCAACGAAGTCTTGTCTGACTCTAATTTCTTCAACTCTTCCATGGCGGCTGCTCTGTCTTGTTCAGCCTTTCGTAAAGTCTCCTCCTGAGCCTTTATATCCTCCTCACTTGGTTTACTCGCCTTGACTTCTTTGAGGTGTTTGACATAGGCGTCCCTTTCACGTGAAGCAACCTCTAGCTTCTTCTGTAAGCCCTCAACGAGCATTTCTGTACACTCGACGCAAATAGGGTGGTCGATATCGGATCGCGCTGAGAGGATCTCGAACAGGCGGTTGATCCTGTCCATTTCGTTTCCCACAGGTGCGTCGGGATTATCTGCATTACTTCGACTAGAGCTGGCGCGACGCAGTATTGTTGGGGTTGTGGGAAGGTCTGGCGACTGAGTTGGTTGTGTCATCTGTGATTCCGACAATAGGACAAACGACATGGATGAGTCTCTAGGATGGCCTCCATGGTTGCGCTTGAACGTTGGTGGGCCCGTATTTCGCGACACTCTGTCATATAACGACTTGCGCGCCTGCTCTTGCGGCTGCGCAATCGGCGGGTTCGGCACGGATGATTTCTTGAGTGTTTGTGGCGATGTAGATGCTGAGACAGCGTTAGCAGAGGTGTCGGGAAGTCTGGCCAGAACCACATACAAACGAGGACATCGTAGGCAGCTGGATTGAGGTCCTCCAGAGAACCGTCCAGCCTAAGAGGCTGGCGACATTTCTGACAATTCATGCTCCGTTCAACTAATGCGCATGGTAATAGGGTCGGGCCTGTGGAAGGTAGTGCTGCACTGAGTTATGGGGAGAAGCGAAGGGTGTCATATGTTGAAGTTGGAAGGAAAGTAACCAAGGTCAAATGATTTGGAGGTACGCAGTAGTTACTGTAGCTCTCTCTTAGCGGTGACGTTGTGTGTCTAGCTTTGGCCGCCACGAGCCGTTTTGTGCACCTGATCAAAAGGTTTCGGAGAATATTACGACAGGAATTGGCTAGATTTTCAGACAATACTTCAAACGTACACAAGAACCAGAGAGAGGAGCTAAGACAATGCAGTATATAGCTAATAATACCTTTTATGATACCTGTAGCAAGCTGTCAATGGACTGTCACTACGGTCATGCATGGTGTCGAATCCACTGAAGTTAGGTAGCGTTAACCCCGCCAAACTGGACCTGTAGGGACTTCAAGCACTTTACGCGACGCACGGCTCTCAAACGCGTCCTGCCACGTCAAGAACGCTCTAGTTGCTCCTCCAACCCGTAGTTGCCTGTCACAGAATGCAGGAGCGATCAAGCACATGCATTTCAAGATCCATGCCGCAATGTTCTTTATAGCAATTCGACATTGACAAAGAAAATAATACTTCGTTTATCACAACTAAGAAAATGAATTCCGCAGCAAAGAAACGTCTTCATGGCTCTTCATCCGGAAAAGATCTTCAAGATGAAGACGACGACGACGATGAGCTTGCTTCACATCCTAACGAGATCAGGATTCGCCGAGATCCGGACATTCAATTCGCACTCAAACGTGCAAATGCCGACCATAAACTGCAATCTACTATGGCCCATATCATCGAAAAATACAGTCGCAATTTTGAGGGTATTGGTGACGAAATCGACATGGAGACTGGAGAGATCGTGGTCAACAACGGTCATTTACGGAGCATGCGTGATGAGGGCGATGTCGAAGGTCTCTGGGTGGAGGGTGACAGCAATATCGACGAAGATGAAGGAATCTTGCTTGGGGACCTGACAGATGAATACCCAGAAGATGAAGAGCAAGTCAACCAAGCACGAGATTCTCAGAACGACAATGAGAAGAGCCAAACGTCACCCACAAAGGAGCAAGACACACATACATGTATGAAAGATCAAGGCATGAATGCCGACGAAACAACAGCATATGATCCAAGAACGGCGAACAACTCAGATACTTCACCACAGAATGAAAGTTCAGAATTACCCTTTGACTCTAAGCCTCACAACGATCCTCGATTCGGTCCTCCGCCTTTCACACCTAGTGCCTCACTGGGTTATGGCCAAACTCCTCCTGGATTTGGACCTTGGGGAATGATGTCTGGATTTCCTATGCAAGCTTGGGGACGTGACGACATTCCTCCTTACTTCAATATGCCATATAGCATGCCAGGGCCATGGTTCACAGGAGGCAGGTACGACTTTCCTACCAATAATGGGCAGACATCTATCTGGGGTCGAAGTTGGGCCAAGAGGACCAAACGTGCAGGCTCTATGAAAGGGTCATCAAAACTTCCGACCAATAAAGATACCGACGCCGCCATTGCGGGCAAGGGAACGGATGTTACACACAGCAACTCCAAGCCTGAGGAGCAGGAATCTCACAGCCAAGGATTTCCATCATCTGACCGAACCATCAATGCTACCGATGAGGATGATGATTTGATGCTTTCTGGAATTACTGATCCAGTACCTGCTCTAAACCCGAATCCTACTCCTCCAGGAGAGGAAAATTTGACCAGGAAAGATAATGCACAAGCGGACGCAGAAAGTGTTCTTGGAGAGACAGGTGAAAATTCCGCCGAAGCGTCACACCAACACAACGAAACAGACGATACTGGCCGAAGACGTTCTGGCCGGGCTAGGAAACAGACCGAGTATATGGGCAAAATCTCTTGGAACGATGCAAAAGAATGGAGAAAGTCATGCCAGACTTTGAGCGTGGAGCTATACCGGGCAAATCCATTAATCCGAGAAGAATATCAGAGTGTCGACCAGAGCATCGATAACACCGAGGAAGAACGAGATTCACCCTTGGAAAAGGAACAAATCAATGAGTCAACGACAAAAGAGCGGCAAACAGATGTGGCCTCTCAGAAGCAGGTTATACCCGACTCTCAGGATACGGCAACTCCTTTCAACAGTAGTGCTCCCGAAGCATCGCAATCAAGGGAGCCCTACGCTAAGCCAGATGGTTCTAGGCATTTGCCAACAATGGAGCTTTCAGACGATGAGGCACCGTTAGTCCTCTCCAGAATCAAAGCTCCTAGGCGCCATGCTGGAAATTCGAGCGTAATCACTCATCTGCCCGACAAGCCACCAACCCAAGATCAGACTTTGGGGATTGGGCCTGTTCTTTCTCGTGTAAACAGCCCGGTGAGGACCACGAAGGGGGTTACTCCTAGAATTGAGACCAGACCGGTGGATGTGTTCGATCAGGCTACACAACCTCTTAAACGCAAGCGAGGGAGACCAAGAGGATCAACTATCAAAGACCGACCTGTGTCCTCTGCTATTGGAGCGGAGCCGGCACCTCTTTTCAACGCTAAAACTGCGTCTTCTGTTACTACTAATGGGTTGGTAGCTGAGAGCTATCCCAACCCGCAAAAGCGAAGGATCGGAAGGCCAAGGAAGTCGGAAGTTGCGAGTCTGGAAGCAGAAGCTGAGACTCAACATCCCTCAGAGAAAGCGGCACCTAGCGAGGGTGCGATACCCTACAGCGAGGCTGCTCAGCACAAGTCTGTACACAAAAAGCCAGATAACGAAGCAACGCAAGCATCTCCTCACCTGTCACACGAACTCAAATCGTTCCTGAAAACGAAACCCAACAGACCTGCTTCGGACAAGTATATCCGGCCCCGAAAGTCGAGGGAGAAACTTCAACAAGGTGAAGATGATAGTGGGTTGTCAACAGAAGAAGTCATTGAGAGGCCGAAAGAAGTCGCTCAGAAGCAACGAGTTATTTCAGAGGGGCATTCGCCAAGTCAGAAGCAACAGGAATTGTTGCCAGAAGATGATACTGTTATGGAGGAGGCTCCTGAAGATGGCGAACCCCCAGAGGTTCAAGACGACCAACCTGACACTACCACGCCTACTTCCCCTACCCATAACAGAGGAATGCACGATAATGGGGATTCATATAACGACCAACAACCTCTCAGCGGAAATCCCATTTCTGACCAAGAAGCTTTTGAGGATGGACTGACTCCCGATGAAGAAGAGTCTCTTCCTACATTGCCCAATGAAACCACTGTCCAGGAAGCATCCACACCACGGAAACCAAAAGACACCCTCGCTCCTCTCCTAGAACCGCCTTCTAGTTCCCAAAGGCCTCGCACTCCTCGCCATACTTCTATACTCACCACTCGCGCACCATCGTCACGTCGCTCTCTTCTCTCCTTTGTATCAGACTCGGAATCAGACACTGATGGCTCTAGGGATGAGTTGACTCGCAGAGTCAAGTCCGCGTCAAAAACAGCCAGTATCCGTCCTTCAACAAAAAGAGTCTGGCACTCTACTGCTCTAACTAGAGAAATCCACAAGACACCCAGCAAGAGGCGACTGCATGGTATGTCCAGTCCTATAGGCGCTGTTAAAACGCCAGGTGGCACGGTACGAACGTGTGGGGTAGACGGTTTTCAATGTGGGCGAGATTATTGCTTCACTTGCATATAAACGGGTACGTCACTTTATGTAATTCGCCTTAACCTAGGACGGACGGGATATAGGATAAACACACATAGACAAGCAATGCATAACAAAATACAGCGCTGGTCTTATTTGATCCTTACGTTACTTGATAAAGACTGACCCAAAACATGAAGACTTCCAACTCAAAGCTAGAAAAAGGTGAAGTTTGTTGGTAATTAGATTAGCCCTCGTCCCAATGTGCTTTAACCCCAGAACCTGGAACGCCGAAACCACATTGTCTCATTCCAAATCACCCTCATTCATACCCGTACTTGAAATGAAGGCATGTTGCGCAAGCTTCCCCCTCACCGAACCGATCGATTCATACGTAACGCCAAAGCTGTAAGAGGTAATCACATAGCCTTCGGCCATGTGAAATCATCTCAGGAACCCCCCGAGCCATGTGGATACACTCTCGCAAGAGAATAGGATCGGATTCGGTGCAGTTGAAAGATTCTCTTCCTCATAAGAGTATCCTATCAGGGGTTGAAGACCGACAAAAGGGTAGAAGTCGCCGGTCCAGGGTATCATTGGGTGAGGGGGGTGACCGCAAGATGGATCGCCGTGGATGATGAGTGTCAGGGAGCAACGACTCGAGCTGTTCTCAGGACTTGTTGGCGGTGCCGTTGGCAGCTGCGAGGTGCTGCTTGAAGACCTCAGGGTCGCGGACAGGGTTGAAGTAGGGGTGAGCTTGGGCCTCCTTGGCGGTCAAACGTTCCTGTTCAAAAGTTAGAATTAACCAGGGTTGCGAATCATTGGATGGGAACAAACCTGGTGGTCGTATCGCAGTAGCTTGTCCAGGAAGTCAATAGCTTCATTGGACACAAATCGTTGGTTCTCCGAAGTGACAAAGCTGTGCCAGGGCTTCTTCTGGAATCGTCCGAGGATATCATCGTATTGCGCGTCTAGCTCAATCTCGTACTTGTCGATATAGTCAAAAAGATCGTCGGTGCCGAGAACTTTAGCAATCTTGACAAGCTGATCCGAGTTGCTGTTTCCGTGGAAGAAGGGCTCCTTGCGGAAGATCATGGAGGCAAACATAGCTCCCAGACTCCACATATCAAGACTGTAATCGTACTCCTGGAAATCGACCAACAGTTCGGGGCCCTTGAAATAACGAGAGGCGACTCTAACGTTGTATTCGGTACCGGGGTGGTAGAACTCGGCCAGACCCCAATCAATAAGACGAAGCTGGAAACTGTTAGTAAGCTCAATGACAGGAGATCGACGTCGGGAAGACCAACTTTGCGGTTCTCATGATCGATCATAACGTTATGAGGCTTGACATCTCGATGCATAATTCCTTTGCTGTGGCAGAAATCGAGAGCTTTGAGGAGCTCAAAGATGTAGAATCGGACATCAATATCGTTAAACTTGGGGTAGAGGCTTCGGAAATCGGTGTTGTTGACGTGCTCGAAGATGAGAGATGGAGTCTTGCTCTATGTGCAGTGCGCGTTAGTCACGGCGTATCGAAATACTGACCAAGAGGACTGGGAACGAACCTGCGAGTCTCTAACAACATCAAGCAAGGCAACAACATTGGGGCCGCCAGCCAAATTCTGCAGGATCTTGATTTCACGCTTGATCTTCTTCTTCTTAACAGGCTTGAGGACCTTGACTACGCATTTCTGATAGTTGACCACATTAATGCCTTCGAAAACTTCCGAGTATTTTCCTCTGCCTGTGGACGCACACGGAAAAAGGTTAATGACTCAACGACAATATCCAAGACGTCGACATACCAATCTTTCTCACTACTTCGTAGTTTTCTAGGACACCCCAACCTGCAGATGGTGGTCAGCAACGTCGTCGAAAGCTCTCACGTGGGAGGGCATACTAATGTTAACACTGTCATAGTCCCAGTAGCTGCGGGGCATGTTCTGGTTGACATCTGCGTAGACGCGCGCCATGATGGGCGGAGAGACGAGGGCGTCGCGAGGGGCGGCGCTGGTGGTAAAAGGGAGGTATTTCGCTTGGTGTTGATAGTCGTAAGGTGCGGTCGGAGGTGCTATAGATGCTGGCGGGTGAGGTTGGGTGAGGTGGAGTGAAGTTGCGGTGCTCGTATGTCATTTGGCGACCTCAAGGTGAGAGGCTGAAGAGAAGAGGCTGGACCTGATTTGACTTGGGTTTGCAAAATCGAGGTGGGATGGCATTTCCAGTCGGGTCAAGCCCAAGGTTACCCCGTTGTTTTGGCGGGCGGGCTGATCCGTGATTGGTTGGATGGCTTATCGGCAGGTCCGCGATAAGCCTTCTGGCCTTCTGTATGGGTACTGGGGCAGTAACTAATTGGCACAAGCACCCCGAATTCAATCACAAGGCCTAAGCAGCCAAGGCAGGTGGCCTGTGCAGACCCCCGAGGCAAGTGTTCTAGACTTCATTCATCCTGTAAATTTACTGGCCGTTTCTGGCGATTGGATACCTACACCAACACCACATGTAGTCAAGGCAGTCCACCTTGCCCTTGTGTATAAAAGCAGTGGAACCTGGAGGGAGACATATTGGGAGTGAAGGCATGTGTTTTATGAATTAATGTATTAACTTCATTAACCTTGTTTGAAATTCACCGTTTCTGTTACCTCTATGACACAGACTGATCTGCCAGTATGCCATCATGTTTATGTAACCTACCTAAGGATGTCTAGGTACTAATGTAGTCGTCATTATAATATTATAAGTACCCTGATCCTGTTGGCTGTAGTACACCTAATATCGATAGTCAGCAACAGGAACAAAAATTAGTTGCGCAACATAATCGATAAACAGCCTCGTATTCAGAGAGAAGATTAATTGCTCGGCATGTCAGAGCTGCAAAGGCGTCCGCATCAGCAGGGGCCAATACTTCCTACACCTCCAGCTCTGATCCGACTAAGGATGACGATACAAAGGTTTTCATCATGGTGAGGTAAAATCAAATGCGGACGCGAGCAACTTACAAGCTTAAGTGGACTGGCGAATCGTAAACTTATTCTGGCTGTCTTCCATGGTAGATATATGACCAACTCGTCGACGACCAGTGAATAATAAAAGTGATGGCCCAAGGGTCCATCAAGTGCCTATAATGATGGTGGCGCGACGGATAGCTGCCAATCTGGGAACCTCCCGCTCTGAACAAGTTCTCAACAGGCAGAGGGCAGATAGGTTGTAGAAAACGTCGTTCGAGTAGGCTCAGTCGTATTCAAGCGAGTCCAAGCCTTTGTCAACAACGTCCCATGTTCGTTTTCTCAAGTCCGGCTTCGGTTCCGGGCGAGCGCGTTTCGATCCCTTCTTCTTTCGCTTCTTGTTAGTTTGGAAAGATGCTGGTAAGGTAGACGAGACGCTTTCGGTTTGTGCGGGACCATGATTGTCGTCACTGAGGTCCATCGCATCACCCGACGATGCAATCGCTTTCGCACTAAGCTGTTTCTCCTTCTCTTTCTGCTTGCGCAAAGCTTCTAGTTCGGAGTGTCGAAATATCTCGATTTGCTCATCCGTTAAGGTTCGCTTCACACCATCCGGATAATAGCCCAAGCCATCGTCCTCTTCCTCCCAAGTATCATCGGCGGTATCATGCTGGGTATGGTCCTGGCTTGGCGAGTCTATGAAGTCGGATTTGAAGGAAGCGAGGGCTACTTGTGAGAAATGCGCTTCATGGAAAGCGACTAGATCATCCTAGAGCTGTTAGCATATATAACATCAAGGTCGAACAATAAAGGGTACATACAGGAGAGACATTTGGTATGGGGTGAGCAGTTGTTGTCCCTACATCTTTTGTTTGCGGCATGTCTGAGTTTTTTCTGACGCGAGGGCAAATAATCTGGGACTTGGGATTTTGACGAGATTGACGAAGACGCGTCCAAGCAGGCCGAAATTACGTCACGTGCCCGCGCTCTCTGAGCCAGGTCGTATATACGGTAATAAAAGGGATGAAATGTCCCAAATGCGCGTTGGACCGAAGAAAAAGGTTGGGATGAGAACATATACGATATTCTCATTTTAACTTCGGTCATGTTTTGAGGCTCCGAATATGGTTGCCTGAAAATAGAGCTTCCAAAAACCTAAGGAAATGTCAAGCGGAAGGGTCACTGGGATCTAAGAAGAGCCAGAGCATTCTCAAAGGCTTTCACAACTTGATCGTCTGCCAGATCGTTAGTTTCTGTCCATAGTAGGATAATGAAGTTGAAAAGCTCACAATGCTCTTGCTTTCGCTCCATTCTCTCCTCAGAAAGATTCACAAATCGTCTTCGTGTCTGCAAGCGCTTCGCTGCCCGTTCATCATCATGCGCCGATGCCGCCGATGCCCAAACTTTGAAGTACTTTTCATGTATTAGTTTTGTTGCATGATATACAGCTATTCAATAAATCACCTTGGAGAGTGCATCCGCCTCCTTCAGAATCTCGCGCTCCTGTTCATCGGCGTCGCGCAAAGCAGCCTCATAACGCGCTTCGTACTCATCCCAATCGAACGGCTCAAGAGCACCGGGAGTATCCGGCGTATCAGAGTTACTGGCTTGTCGATCTACCTGAGGTTCAGGCGTTCTGCTATTCGCATGAGGGTGTTTCTGCATGTTATTCATGTTGGCTTCCTGAGAAGCAGGAGATTTGACTTGGTCCTGGCCGATGTGGTTCTCACCGTCTTCTTGCGGAGGAAGATGTGAAACCTCCATGTCGATAGACACGCACGGCGCGGTAAACTGTAGAGTTGCAAGGGTTGGGTTGTTGTCGGCCTAGCAACAGGGATGTTGATTGGAGACGAGCGCAGGCACGATGCAGAGGTTATATCCGTGTGAAGATTGAGAGGCTCAAATGCTTTGAGCGTTATAGCTGCTTGATGTTCACGGTGAATCGTTCAGATTCCATGCATTTACTGGTATCAATGAAAGAACACACTTTGATGCATGCTTTGAGAAGAATAAATACCTATAGAACATGAAGTTCGGCAATCACCATTCACCTATCGCCTGCCTCCTGCTCACTAACAGTCTAGAGGACGCTCCTGCATCTTTTAGTGGTCTTTTGGTTGGCTGCCTGTGTGGCTTAGGCACGTCCATGCGCCACAACTCAGTGCCCTTTATCATTTGACTCCCGCGTGACTCGATCTTAAACCTCAATACCTAGAGTCATCTGGCATTCACTTGAAGCATATAATCTTGGTTTTGCATATAAACATGCGCCTTCGCTGCTCATATTCGATACCGGAAGGCTGAACGTGATTCCTTCGATCGTTCTCAGATCAACCGAATAACAACTACTACTTCGCCCAAAGTGGCAAAACATACAGCCCAAGATGGACTGTGATATCTGTCATCGCAACCATGATGCAAAGCGTCTTCCATTTCTCTGCACTGTGGACGCCAGGAATGCAATCTTTGAGGGTCGCATCGAGAATGTGCAGCTCCTGATTAAAAATGAAATTCTTCAGCAAGAGATAAACGACCTATTGAATGAGACGAGCACCCCTAGCAAGGATCGCAAGGAATCACTGCAAGCGCAGCAGCGGACAGCTGAGGATAGGACTTCACAGATTTTGGCCGCTGCAGATAAACTCAGAAGTGATATCAAGGCTGCCAGGGAGGAGATTCAGGCCCGGAAAGCCGCACTCTCCCGTCGCAAGGCTGATATCGCCTCAGTATCCGATGGTCTGGCTGAGCGCAGAGTCAGGCGGCAACAGGACGTGGAGAAAGAAATCGGTATGTCCAGGTATAAATGGTCTCGCGGAGCCGACGATATGGCTCGTACACGATCTTTCCTCTGCATGGAGGCAGCCCGATTATACGGACTCGAACGTGTCAAGGAAGGCTCTTCTGGTAAATATGAGTATTATCTTGGTGGAATTCCTGTGGTCGACTTGACGGGAATGAACTGTGAGATTTCTCAAACTTCTCTCAAAACAATACACTAACACTTTCATAGCATCAACACCGGAGATGATATCTACTTCTCTCAGCCACGTTTGTCACATCCTTATGCTTGTATCACATTATCTCTCAATTCGCCTCCCTGCAGCGATTACTCTTCCTCATCGCGACTACCCACGACCAACTATCTTCAATTTATCTGCATCTTACAGATCTGGAGATCCCGTCTTTCCCGGTCAGTCTGGATTGTCTACTCCCTCTAATCCTGGGGATGCAGACTCCCAACGTGTTTCGCGCCCAAGGCCTCTTTATATCGATAAGCCGCTGTCACAACTTGCCAAAGAAGACCCGGCAACATTTTCTTACTTTATTGAGGGTGTAACTTTGCTCGCCTATAACATCGCATGGGCTTGCAGTACACAGGGGGTGCCGATTGGCGACAAGACTTACTTTGAGGATATCTGCAACATGGGCCGCAATTTGCACAACCTCCTCACAAATCAGCAAGCTACCGGTGGTAGTCTACTCCCGACCACACCCACCACGAGGGAATCAGAGGCATCTAAGGGGGAAGCCGATGGCCAAGTCAGCCGAATGGGACAATATTCTCATGGCACCACCTTTTACTACCTAGGAGGCGCAGAGGGCACCGAGTTCAGCAAGACTTTCAAGCTCCCTGGTCCAATGAAGCTTGCAGATAAACTTAAAAAGAAGTTACTTAGTGAGGCACCTACGCCGGACTGGGAAGTTTTGGATGACGATGCATGGAAAGTCGAAGAAGAGCCAGCAAACGGAAATCAACCCAGTAAGGATACGCTGGCAATGGGTAAGAACACTCCTCGTCGTGGGGCCAGCGGCTGGATGAGGGTCAAAAATAGATGATTATATATATAGAAAGACACCTCACATCACACAATGCTCATAAACTTGTACGAATTGACTGTCATGAACCAAAATTGCAACTCGTTAAAACAACTATGTTGATCAAAACTCCTTCGCTCATGCGGTTGATCTTGTTATACATGGCCTGGTCCAGCCAGTCTTTATGCCCCAAATTCCATCACGCCTTCATTTTGCTTTCATCGTACTTCATAAGCAGGCTTTTGCTTGCTGCTGACTAGGGATTATTTGTCAATCAATTCTAGTTCTTGTGATCGCGGACTTGCTCTCGCAGATGCATGGGGATATCGCCTGCCGCGAGAATCTTGGTGACTTCTACCTCTGCATCAGCCGATTCAGCCTGGTAAAGTGCTAGGTTCTGTCGGGGTGTAGTTGGTGTAGTTGGTGTTCTTGGTGTTGACGGGCCCGGAGTGCCTCCTCGTCTCGGCTGGTGAAACAAACTGGGCCCAGCCTTCTTTCTGGCCTCCCTTGCTCTCCTCTTCCTTTCTATATCCTCGGTTGTTCTTCTTTGCTTTTCCTCTGCTGAAAGAGGAGCTTTGCTGGTATGCTGAGGTGTCTGAGGTGTCTGAGGTAGTGGAGTGGTCGCTGGGTTGGATATCACAGCGTTACCTCCAGGGAGAATCAACCCACCCATCTGGATCGGAGCAACAGGTTGTTGTTGCTGGGCCTGGGTAGGTTCGGTTTCTGAGGGTGTGTTACTGGCAGGCGTCTGCTGTTGAAAAGGGGCTGGTTGAGAAGGGGTGACTTGAGTCTCGGTTTGCTGAGGCGGGACCTCAGCTGTGACTGGCTGGACTACCTCTGGTTGCTCTGTGACCGTGGACTCGTTTGCGGTATTCTTGTAGCTCTGATTTTCTTGAGAAACCTCCCCGTGAACGGGTTCCTCCTGGACACCTGCCTCCTGGGTCTGAGCATGACCCGGGATAGGGATATCGTTCTCCATTGCGAGTCGCAGAATATTCAGAGCCTCAGTATCCATTATAGCTATGTCGTTCGCTTGAACGTCTTCCAATTGAGGAGCCGGTTGCTGCTGTTGCTGTTGCTGTTGCTGTTGCTGTTGCTGTTGCTGTTGCTGTTGCTGTTGCTGTTGCTGTTGCTGTTGCTGTTGCTGTTGCTGTTGCTGTTGCTGTGGACTTTCACTTGGTACTGAGGACTGTGGAAAGTTCTCTTGAGCAGGGGTGAGGGCAGTTCGTCTGGTTCTTGGCTTCGCGATTCTTCTGGTGGCAAGCTTCTCTTTCGCAGCCACCTTGGCTGGGTCAGGTGCATCCCGTTTTTTGTCAGCCTCATCACGGAGCGAGGTGTACGAGTCATATTGGCTTGCAGGGAGAGGAGTAGGAGCGTTAGCCGCGTCTACTAAAGCTTGGTTTTCAATTGCAAGCTCTGGGTCGATAGGAATAGAGGGGTGACTGTTAAGTCTGGGAGACTGGGTCGGCTGAGACTGGGAGCCCTGGACAGTCTGCGTGTTGGTTCCCTGGACGTCATGCATTTCAAATTCAGCCTCCATCAATCTTGCCAGGTCATCCTGCTCATTCTGGCTCATGGTATGGTATTGGGCAGGGCTACCCTCTGTGAATGGAGCCTGTACTTGTACATCTTGACCTGATTGTAGAGTCTGGGAGAAGTGGAATGGTTGGAACTGTGTTCCTGGTTGCGCGGTCGCTGGTAGTGGTGGAGGTACTGTGAAGTCGTATGGTGGGAACTGGATTCCCAAAGTTGTAGTCGCTGGCTCTGTAGCTTCTTCAGATATTGAGAAGCTGGGGTGGGGAAATTGAATGGGAGGGATCTGGATAGGTCGAGGGTGTTGAATAGGGGGGGGGCGAGATCTGTCTCTCATTCGGTCGAAGGCAGCATTTGAAGTTGGCTCTGGTCTTTCACTGACTTCGTCGTCATCTTCATCCATGAATTCCCCAAACACATCCAGCGCCGCATCCTCTATCCTCTCCTTTTCCTCTTGGGTGGGGTACCGAACTGGAGTTTCTGCCATCTCAATGTCGTTGGCACTTACTTCCTGGTCCTCGACTCCCTCTTGCTGGACATTCACAGTTGGTTCCTCTGAACCGAAGAATACCTGGTCGACCATCTCCTCGTCAGTGTCGCAGGCAACAAGCGTCTGGTTGTGTGACTCCTGGGATACTGCGGAACCATTTGGTTCCTCATCTGGCATCTCATGGTCACCAGCAAGACTGTCCTCATATATATCATCTTCAAACTCCTCGTCTTCAATGTGTAGTTGAGCGTAACCTTGTATAATGTCATCGAGTGCGACGTCGGCATCTGCCGAAGACTCACGGTTCGCAATAGGAGATAGGGAGGGGCAGTTGGTGTTTATAAGGCCGTTAGGCTCTTCCTGGACAGGAAAGAGGTTGGTAGGGGGAGAGATAGGAGGGCTGTCGATGTTGATGTGGTCGTTAGGCTCGTCCAGGGGAGAAAACACAGTGACAGGGGGGGAGGGACAGTCAGCGTTGCTGAGGTCTTGAGGCTCTTCTTGTTCAAGAGATGCATGGCTCGCAGGAGGAGAGGGTGAGAGGCGGTCAGTGTTATTGATGCTATCAGGCTCTTTGCGGATAGGAGAGACAGGTATCGTGGTCTCAGGGAGAGTGTCAGTAACAGTGATGGTGGTGTTGGTGACGCCGTTAGGCTCTTCGCGGGTGGGAGAAGCAGGAACCGTGGCGTCAGGGAGGATGCTAGTGACGGCGATGGCGTTGATGTCGATACTGTCAAGCTCTTCCTGGACAGGGGTCGCAGGTTTTTCTTCAACAGGACTTGTTGTGGTCGTGGACTTCAAGACTTCCTGGGGTGTGACAGGAAGGACAGGGAGGACAGGGAGGACAGTGACCTTGGGCTCCTCGCGAGTAAGAGGCTCCACCGGCTCAGTCTGAACACCGCAGGAAACGTACTTCCTTGGTGGCGGGCTGATTGGCTTCGTTGTCTTCCTACGAGCGACAAAGTCGGCCTCTTCTGTCTGGGTGCTCTTCGTCTTGTACACAGGGATGTTGACCCCCTCATCTTGGAGCTTTAGCGCTGCTGCCAAGGCTCTTCGGGGATTGTATCCCTCGCCCTGGGGAGGAGGAGGGTCACGGCGGACACGTTGTTGGCGGCGTTGCCTTTGACTTCTCAACGTGAGGGCCTTGGAAGCAACGTCGAGCATCCAGTCGGACTCCTGCTTCTTCAGCAAGGCAGCCTGCTTCGCGTTGTTCTCCTGCTCCAAGACCCTCGCCTCCTCGTCCCACTTGGCTTGCCGGTCGTCCTCGACCTCCTGCAACAGCAACCTCATCCAGCGCTCTGCACCAGAGACTTCGTCGTTCCGTGGGGTCAGGTCCCTACCCTGGGAAACGGGGAAAGAAATGTCGAAGTCGAAGCCATTGCTGACATAGTCGCCCATGCCAACAATAGCTTCTTGCATCATTGCGATGCTCTGGCGCAGCCACAACGTCACGATGGGAGGGCAGAAAAAGATGTTTGGCAAAGCCAAAAGCATCCAAATCTCCCTCATGATGGAGAATGAGGGTTCCACCATACCCCGATGGCGCTCGTAGCCATCACTGTAGATGGTTGGGAGAAGCCAAACGGGGACCGCCGTGATGATAGTGAGGGCGAGAATGAGGAGGAGGAGCCGTTGGGAGAGTTGTCGGCTGAAGTGGAAGACCATAAAGGCCCAGAAGAAAAAGGGTGTCGTCAGGAAGATCCTCAAGAGGACCCCTATCAGAGTCGAGAGCACGTTGTCGTACTCCTCGTCGTAGCACTCGTGCATGCTGAAGAGCGAGTCCCACTCGCAGTCATCCCTGAGAGGGAGCCAGAACCACGAGGGGAAGTCTGTCGTGCGTGTCATGTTGTCGGTGTGTGTGTGAGTGTGTGTGTGTGTTTGTGAGTGTGTGTGTGTGTGTGTGTGTGTGTGTCTTTATATGGGCTAGAGTGATGCAAATGTTAGCTTCTAGAAAAAGAGACTATAGTATAGTACAAAGTTGAAGTTGTAAAGAAATAGGCGTGTATATGGGTTGATATATCAAATCAAAGAGGAAACTCACTTGGATCACGATGTGGATGGTTGGAGGTTTATAAACTGTGATGCTTCGTTGACACTCAGTGAAAGGATGAGGAGAGAGAAGAAAAAGAACGTAAATCAGTGGATGAAGTGAAAGAAGCGAAGGAAGAAAGTACGGGAAAGTGCTTTGCGAGCGCGGCATCTATGGAATCCATTTGTTCTGAATGGAATCTTGGTTGACAGTGACGAACACTGAACAGTCCTGGTTGATATTGAGCAGTCACTGCCCGAACAGTGGCAGCAAATATATAAATAAATATAACTAGATATTAGTCCCTGGCACTGACACTGGCACTGGCAAGATATTCAGGGCACTAATCATTGTGCGATTGTTCGTTCAAGACTCATTGTTCACAACCCCAGCTTGTTCACGCACAATAAGGACATATCTTCAGGGGATACGTTTGCTACTGCTACCAGTTTGAGCCTTTGAGAGAGTTGGCCAATTCGTAGCACTCCTCAATTACAATCACATTCCTTCCACAAGGTAGTAATATACAAGCAACCATATTATGATAAATTACAAGTAAATATTGCACAAACTCTTTGTTAAACCTCGTCTAACTTAACAAAGCAGTGCCGCAAACTAATCCTCTCGAAAAAGAACAAAGCAAATCGAGGTATCTATGCTCAAACAACGCCAGTTCCTTATTCCCACCCATATGCTTTCGATCCCATCATCACTCATTATTCTGCTGCCTAACCTTGCTTCCGGCCTCTCGCAATCAGTCTTCCATGCAATTCCACAACCACATCACTCCATTGTTCCTCTCCAGACCCAACAGCTTTGCCGATGCGTGTCGTAAGGTAATCAACAATCTTTGGTACATTAAAGTGTTCTCCGTAAAGCACTTTGGCCTCAGGCGTAATGGTTATGTGAAGTCCTTCACCATTGCTCTGACCATGGAGGTTCAACTTAATTTCTAAGCGAGTCTCCAAAGGTACAAGCAGCATAGATGTTGTGATTGCCACACTTGAGTCAGATGTTCTCTCCACTGTTGTGGGAAACGTAGCGTTGAGTCGGGCAACTTGCGACGAAACTAGGTTAGCCCTGTCCCAGGCAGACTTGACATTCTCCAGAAGGTGAGAGATCTCGGTACGGTTGTGAGGCAATGAGCGAGCATGATCTCGAATGGTTTGCAAAAAGAACTCTTTCTCTGTAGTCTTGGGGAGTGCGTTCTGCTCCCGATTGTCGGCGATGTACCAAAGGTCAATGGCCGAGTTGGGTTGGTGGTCTTGGAACGAGGTGATGTCGAAGACAATCTCAATCTCGCGATTATAGGCCATGGAGAGGACAGTGCCAGAGATGCCAGTTACTGCCCAGCCATGCTGTTTCTCGATAGCATCAACTCGGGCTGGTACTCGGGTTAGTTATCACTCAGCTGCAGAATAACAAAGAAACGTACCTTTAAGACTGTTGACCTCCGTGCTCGTCCAGCCACGGCATTCCTCTCGAATCTTCTCGGACTCGGCGATATCCTCAATACAATTCTGTTTCTGTGTGATCAGATCCTCCACTTCTATTTCGGAAGCTTGGAATTGTTCCCTCAGCTCTGCAATGCGTTTCCTCTTGTAATCAACATCCTCGTCAAGGGACGCCAACTCATCACGGGCGGCCTCAAGGTCAGCAGGGTCGCAGTCAGCAAGTTCTTGAGCAACCTCTTCAAGATTACTACTCTCTTCCACAAGCGAGTTGTAACGAGCCACGATGGCCGGCAACGCAGAATCAAGAAGACTCTTTTGCTTATCCAGAAGCTCCTTGTCAGCTTCCATGCCTTCATCGATTCCAAGAAGGCCTTCCTTTAGTCCCTCTTGTAGCTTCATTCGCCATTCGTACCACATAGCTTTGCTCAAAAGGCGAGCGTGGTTTTTGACGTTCATAAACTGCTTATCCATCAGGGTCTTGATTTCTGGCGTTGCCGCCATGTACTCCTTGAAAAGTGGGGGGTTGTCTTCAAATGTGTCGGTCTCAATCTCCTTGACGATGCGTCTACCCTCTGAGATGTACTTCTTCAACTCGCGGCATGAGTGTTGATATAATTCAAGCATCGGCACTATGCAAGCACCAGCGACGACGCATCGATCAAGGGAAAGGTTCTCTTCGCCTTCATCAAGGAACCCATTGTCAAGGGTTCCTGGAGCTTGTGTGTGACGGCGTTTAGTAGTTGTCAACTCCATAAAACGGATGGAGGTCATGTTCAAGAAATCCTGCAGATGAATTCTCTCTCCGTCTTCATCGGCTTCAGCCTCTGCTTCATCCTCCAACTGCTCGGCATCCTTGATGGGTGTCTCATCGAAATTGACTTGGTGGCCAGCGCGATCATCCTCAATATCCTTGAATCGCCCTTGGTGTCTTGGTGTTGTTGCTGCATCGGGCTTTTCTGGTGAAAGCAATGTCGGTGTAGCAGTATTTGGCTGCAAACTTTTTCGGAACGAGAGATTCAGTCTTCCAGTTGTCTCTTCTTTAGAGGGTGGCTGCTGGAGCCTGATGTTTTTGACAGGGCTACCGTGATGTCCTTTGAGCCGCTTTACACCGTCGTTCTCTTCTGGGTCATCCTCCTCGTCGTCTAGTTCGTTTGGTCGCTTGCCCAATAGACCTCTGGCACTTCCAACGTGGAGACTCTTGCGACCCTTCAGCGGCTTACGCTTAGGGCTTAGACTATCAATCATCTCCCGCAAGTTAAGTGTAGCTTCAGCACCGTCGGCTTCCCGCTCAAGGATCTTTCTGCGATTCTCTTTGTCTTCTTCCTGTTGTGCTTCCCGTTCGACCTCCTCTGCCATCTCTGTAGGGTCCTCGAACATGACACCACGCTTCTTTCCAGGAACAAAGGTTGTGGCCATGTCACCAATTGAGCCTCGACGGTCAAAAAGCGCAGCAACTTGTGGGGATCCGAGTCCAGCCCGATCGGCACCAAGTCCCGAGAGTCGCCGTTGAGGTGTCGATACACTTGTCGGGGTTCGGTTGTTGTTCCTGAGAGTACTCTGGAAAAGACTTTGCTTAGGGGTTGACTTGACAGGGGATGGTGTTCTGGAACTAGTTCTTGTAGTTTTGACCGAGGATGGTCGCTTTGGCGAAGCAGAAAGAGTGTTACGCTGTAGAGAACGAGGAGTTGCGGTCCTTTCTGACACAACTGAGTCAAGTTGAGGTGTAGCTACTTTGTTAGATGTCGGTGTCCTGGCCTTGCGTGACTGCGGAGTTGTGGCCTTGCGTGACTGCGGAGTTGTGGCCTTTACGGGTGATGGAGTCCTTGAATTCCTGGGGTTGAGTTGAGGCGTGGAGATCTTGGGGTCGGTAGTCCTTCGCGAGGCACTTGTTGGAGTCTTGGACGGCCCAGGGCTTGGGGTCATGGCCTGCTTCTCGCTCGTAATAGGGGGTTGAAGCTGTTCCTCCATCGCAGTCTTACTGATGGCCGTCTGCAGTGCCTCATCAGGGGCTTCCGCATTATCGGCTTCCTCCTCCATGACTCGCTTGCCAAAATTTCGCAGACCAGCTGTCGCTCTGCTAAGAATACCACCGATTGCCGTAGTCATGTCCATCCCTATTGTAGCGTCGCCTTCGTCCATATCCTCATTCGCCTCCATCTCCTCGCCACCTGGCTTTGATAATATTTGGCCAACTGCTAGGGTCATGTCCATGGGAGCTTCATCCTCATCTTCTTCCTCTTCTTGATTGACTGTCCTTCTTCGGGAAGCAGCGACACTCTTCCTCTTATTTTTTGACAGCAGCCCCCCAAGGACAGTAGTAAGATCCATGGACATATCCTCGTTGTCGTCCGACTCCTCATTTTCTTCTTGGGGCGCTGGGCGCTGAATGCCGCCAATCGCAGTTGTGAACTCCATAGTCGCTTCTTCCATTGGAACGTCATCTTCCTCGTCCTCTTCCTCAGCATCATGCGAAGCGCTGGTGTTTCGAGGTTGATTAACAATGCCACCAAAGGCGCGCGTAACATCCATAGACATATCTTCGTCCGTGTTTTGTTCCTGCGGGGATTTAGGTTTAAGGATACCCCCTATCACACGAGTGACATCCATAGACATGTCTTCATCTGGATCATACTGCTGTGTGTGTTGGGATTTGAGTATACCACCAACTGCACGTGTCATATCCATGTCCATGTCCATATCCATGCTCATGTTCGTTTCCGTGGCATCTTGTGTATTTTGTGTTGGTTGAGGTGGTTGAGGTGGTTGAGTGCGAGCCAGAGGTGGCAAATTTTCTTGATCCTGAGCAGCAACATTCTGTTTGTTCGCATCCTTGCCCCACCCAAATGAGGGAATGAATTCTTCATCGTCATCGAGGTCGTCCTCCTCATCTTCCTCGTCTTCCAGCTGTTGGTTGCCAGCTCTTCGCGCAGCTAATCTGAGTGCCTCGTCCAAGGTGGATGACTCTCCGTCAGAGTCAACTGATCGATCCGAAGCAGCTGTAGTTCCAGTCACATCATCGACGGTCATCATAGTTCCATCATCAGACTCGCTGCTGTCCCCGTCCTCATCGCCATCCTCTTCGATGTCGGCGACCTCTTCGACTGCATCTGCAGGTTCGGAATCTGAGCTATACAGTGTCGTCGCAGTATCGTCATCGGAGTTGTGGAAATTGATTGGCGACAGCCCGGAGCTTCGTCGTTGTTTCGTTTCCTCTTCTTCCTGCTGTGCTTGAGCGCTGTTAGAATGGGCATTATTTCGCCGTGTTGAATCGGTGGACGTGGTTGAGTCTTGGTTAAATTCAACCTCGTGAAAGGTGTGGAGTGTTGCCTCAGCAGCGAAGGATACGCGACGATTGGCAAGAGATTTGCGACGAGCATCGCGTCTTTCCCGCTCCTCGCGCTCCCGAGCTGCGGCTTGTTGCTCTTCCTCTGTTTTGACTGCGATCTTAGACCCGCTGTTATCGGCACTGCTTTGGGTTGGAGTTGAAAGCTGTCTCGTAGGTAGTCCAAGGTCAATTAAGTCTGGTTGTTTTGGCTTCAACGGTGGTATCTCGGGGATTGGCATTGTCTGTTTTAGGATTGAGCGCGGGGCTCTTGAAGGAGCAGCAAGGGACTGAGTTTATTGTATTAGCACGTATTTTGTATTAGTAGACAAGAATCATGTCTCACAGCTCGTCTATTGCCGTTGGCTTTCATAAGAGCATCAAGACCGCCGGGGCCCAAACTCTTGCTCCTCGACTTTTTGCGACTTGCAGCAGTGACGTCGACAGTCGCATTCTCTTTTCCGAAGGCCCTATTAACATCTGGATGCGCACCGATAGATCTGCGCGTGCGCCGCGTAGCGGGCAGAGTGGCATCGGAAGGCGCCATTGTGGTTGAGGTTGATGGAGTTGTTATCCGTAGTTCTTGTCGAGACTAAGTTCAACCCCAGCATGAAGCGCGCCTGCGATAAAGTGATATGGATAGTGGGCTGCCTTGACTAACTGCTAGGGACTGTACTCCATACTATGCATGTTGCGTTGCGCTAACTCGCGCGTGTTTGTTTACTTTGGCTGCCAGGGGGAGGAGACCCCACGTTCAGCCAAACACAGCTCGTTACCCACCTGCAACAGCAGCCAACAGAGCGCCATCTCACGTGAGGCACTCCAGCCACAGTCATCCCCCACCTCACACGCTCAGTCACGTGCATCTGTGGCGCTCATCTGCACCACCATTCTCCAGATTTTTTGCAAGCCCTAACTAGCTGCTGCACGCAAAAATTGGTGTGCTGGATTTGCCCTACTTCTCCATCAGCGAAAACTACTGTTCGGCATAGCCAATCTCTACCTCGCCTCACCCAGCTCAAGCTACGACACGCCATCTCGTTACGGTACCTGCCCGAGAAGGATAATTCAAGATGTCAGTTACAATCACAGCGAACGAATTCACGATGTCGAAACCGAATGAGTCGCTAACCTCTCCATCAGGGCGACCGAGTTGACCGTCCAGTCGGAGCGTGCTTTCCAGAAGCAGCCTCACATCTTCCAGAACTCGAAGACCAAGACCAAGAGCACCCGACCGGGCAAGGGTGGCCGACGATGGTACAAGGACGTCGGTCTTGGTTTCCGAACCCCCAAGACCGCCATTGAGGGCAGCTACATCGGTACGTTGTGACAGATTTGATATTTTGAGGATTTGGACTTGGGGCAGCACACGACGACGAACAACGACAAATACGGGAAATAGCGATGATACGACACCACGAAACTGTGCTAGGAGGAATTGCGCAACACATAAGACATGCATATTGGAGCGCGTTACTAACATCTTGACCCTGCAGACAAGAAGTGCCCCTTCACTGGTCTCGTCTCTATCCGTGGCCGTATCCTGACCGGTACCGTCGTTTCCACCAAGATGCACCGAACCATCATCATCCGCCGGGAATACCTCCACTTCATCCCCAAGTACTCCCGTTACGAGAAGCGACACAAGAACGTTGCCGCCCACGTTTCTCCCGCTTTCCGTGTCCAGGAGGGTGACCAGGTCACTGTTGGACAGTGCCGACCTCTCAGCAAGACTGTACGTTTGATCGAACCTTCCGCGACATACCGTTATGAGAAATGATCGCTAACATGTATTCAAGGTCCGCTTCAACGTCCTGCGTGTCCTGCCCCGAACCGGCAAGTCTGTTAAGAAGTTCTCCAAGTTTTAAGCTGGGACTTTTATCTGGCATTTTTTTGGCGTGATAAATATCAGGGGAGATGGGAAGTTTCCCCTGACGGGTCGGGCACCGGATGCTGCGTTGCAAATGGTTGTGCTATAGATGCAATCGCGAATAAAAAAGGATTCACGAAGACAATTGTTTTGGGTTGATGGTTCAATCGGGCGTGATATGGCTAGGAAAAGGGTCGTCATGATCTCAAGATTACGTTCATACCTTTGACTATTCACCGACCAAAAAAATGCCAGTGCCTTGTGAGGAGCTGCTACTTGACTTGCTTGTGTTTGTGATGAAGATTTCAAGTTTATGAAGGATGCGGCTCACGTTCGACGGTACGAGGTGCCGTGTCACCTCGAATCAGAGAATAGTTATGATTACTGATGAAAAGAATTACCTACAAATAAACTGGACAATGTTGCCTAATTGTAAACTTGAAATTGTACGCTCATGACATGTCGTAGCATTGATGCTCAACGTTTTAAACGGAGTTGTACTACAGTGTTTCGTACAGTGCGTTACATCAATCCACACCTCCACTTTATCGCAGTTGAAGCTATGCTGAAAGTTTGGAGGGCTAACATCAAGTCCAGCTCCAATTCAACCCCAGACCGTCGCCCTTGTTGTTAACTTGAGTCCAATATCTGCTATAATGGGTTGGATATCTTCAGTCCTCGGCACCGACAAGTCGGCAGACCCCCTCGCAAAACTCGACCCTAGCCTTCGCGACTTTCTCGAGAAAGAATCTCCCCTCAAATACCCTACAAATCAATCCAAGAATACTCCTTCGGCACCTCAGCAACCCGGTCAGGATGATGCTGCGGTGACAGCGACACAACCCCAGAAGCCAGACGTTCCCTCGGCGAGCCTGTATCAGGACGGACGATATGCTCATCTCTGGAAGAGCTATCAACCACTCGCCGAGATCGAAGCCGAGACAGCGACCGACCATGACAAGTTGATGAGTGTTTTGGAAGCGTACAAGGAACGAAAAGAAGCGATTGGCAAGGCAGCTTTGGAGAACTGCGCAGAGTCTCAAGAAGAGTGGGTGAATTGTATGAAGCATGGGAGCTGGGAGGACCAAATGCAGATGTGCAGACATCAAGTGCGCAGGTTTGAGAGGTGTTACATGATGCAATCGGTACGTTGTTCGCAGCTTAACCTCCATACGTTGCATTGCTAACCTTGTATCTAGCGATTCCTTCGTGCGCTGGGACACGGATCAGTAGTGGGCAGATCACCCGCGGTGGAAGAAGATATTCAAATGCATGCCGACTCTCTCTACCAACGGATGTTAAAGCACGAAGATGCAGTAGAAAAGGCCAAGGCCGAAGGACTCCCTGCTCCCGTCTTCCAGACAACATTACCCAAGGCCAAGATAGGCGCAGTCCTGCCCACTGAGGAACTTCAGCAGCAGTGGAAGGAACAGCTTGATAAGCTACCAGCTGAGGAGCGCCTAGTCGAGGAGGCTGCTCTTCGCGCCGATCTTCAAGCCAAGGCTGAAGTTGCGGGCAATGTCCAGAAGATCTGGGATACGCAGGCGGAGCAGAGGAAACAAAGACAGGCAGAGGGCAACTCAACATTTGGGGACTATGTTGCCTCCCTGTTTGGAAGATCTGGAAAATAAAATCGGTGCAGGAAGGGCTAGAAGCTATGTATAAAATCTTGTATATCACGATCGATGGGGGCTGGATGGTTGGTTGTGTCCAGGTCCATCACTATATGTAACGGTTATGAATGAAGATATTGACTAAGATTATGGGTGGCTGGCGGCAATTCAACCATTTCTATATCCCTATATTTATATAACACTACACATGATAGCGGTTTTTTACGTTGTATCAGTGGTTCTGAATATGCCGTTCACAAGACACATGTGTACTGTGTCAGGCAGTGAATCAGCCATAATAAAGGTAGAAACATAAATTTAAGGGTGATTTGTAACCATCCAGCGTATCACTAAGCATCTCACTAGATTTAACATTCAAGTTTATAGTTTAAAGCAAGAGCGTTCCGATATGTTAACATTAATATTGGGTTGGCGTTCTAGATGTCTTGGCTGTCAAAATACCCTATACCCCGATGATCAACGAGACTGTTCTCGCCAAGAAACTGGGCTCAAATTCACAGCATTTCTCTCAACCAATCAAAACGCTCGGTTCCGTGGTCTAGTCGGTTATGGCATCTCGTTAACACCGAGAAGGTCCCCGGTTCAATCCCGGGCGGAACCTCACTTTTGACTATTTTACAATCTGATATCTGTTGATCATTTTGTAACCTCTGTTGTTGGTGTTGCGATGAAGTTTTACCTACTAAGGATGTATCGTTTTTATCACCACATCTGTTGAGACATTCTCTTCAAGTTGTTTACGCCATTGTCATTGTATTGCCATGCGTGGCAATCCTTGAACACAGTAGCATGCTTGAATGATGTCGCCAGCAGCATAATTATCCCTGAAACAAACTGGAATGATCATACCGTTCATACACTGTATGACAGAAGAGCACTGCCATATATTATAGCCATTTAATCTAGACCCTCTTGTACCTAGCTGGCCTGAAGTGTCCGCATCCCGACCTGTTTCTCTACCCACCAGTCAAGAACCTACCCTAAGATCTTAAGTAACCCTTGTAACTTGGTAGTGATGGAAAGTAGACGAAGGAGATGGTTGAGATGGACAAAAAAACGCGTAGTCATAATGTAATCCAGAAGTATTATCTCCTTAGTATGGAGGTAGACGAGAGCAGATAGTTGTACTTGCCATGTTGAGCCAAGGCTTTGGCTCTCAATAGGAAGAAGAGCACTGAACCAATACCTTATCAACTGTAGATTTGAGCTGCTTCACATATTCGATACATCTTCTCTAAACAGCCATTTGAGCAACTACTTATAGCAAGGCAATAATGGTCTGGGACTTTTACTTAGGCTACCTGGGGAACGCAGACTACATCACGTCAAGGCACAAAGGTCAAGTATATAGATTATCACTTCATTGCAGGGAACATCCCCGAAAGAAGCTTTCAATTCATGATATCAATGCTACCAAAACTCCTCCCCGAGTGAACTATTGCATCTCAGGTCGCTCACGTCAAACAAGAAGCTTAGCAGCAGCCCTCATCGCAAGCGCAGAGACCACAGCAGATCTCGCATCCAGCCTCTTCACCACCACGCATGGTCATGTCAGGCTGAGGCTCAGCAGACTTTACACATATTGGTTAGTTTTCAAGCTGTGGATATTTAGAGATGAGATCCTCAAACGTACAGGCTGTTGTGTGACGATGTCGCCATTATCAGCGGTCATGGCGGCCTGTTGGGTGGGCTCCATAGCAGCGGGCATCTTGAATAGCTGAGAGTATCGAGGTATTGACTGAGAATAGAAGAGAGGCGGTAGGCTTGGAGTAAAGAGTAAGTCAAGGCTGCTTGATTGTGATTGTGTGTTGTGTATTGTGTTGTAGCAAGGTAAGTAGCAACTCCATAGCCTTGGATGAGCTCTTAAGTACCTCGATCCAACCCAGAGGCCTCTTTCAGCACTGAAACTCAGCCACTCTCCCTTGGAGCTTCTCATATGCTGTATACATGATTGATTCGTCTCACCGTATTGCAGGATCCTGCTTTGACCTGAGCCGTGCTGAGACGTACGTATTCAACAGATGCCGAGTTGCCGTCCCAGGCCTGGGACTATGATACACAACACCAACATCCACGGCTGTTCCCGCAGGACAAAAAAGGGTTCGAGCCAGGGTCCGGCCCATAAAGAACGGCAAACCAACGCCGAGTATGGCTTGTAGACAAAAGCTTATTCGTTGGCCATGAAGTCTAAGGCTGTAAGTCAAATTGAGTCAGCCGTCATCCGGCACACTCACTGCCGAATTACGCGGTGCCGAACTTCCGACGCCCGCCCGCGTGCCACTTTATGCAAGCCGCAACAAACTAGGATAAAAATACGACAACAAAATGGGACAAACAAATGACATCGACAGCCAGCCACAAACACAAAATGAACAATAACAGCAACACTATCCGTATATTCATGATAATCAAATATGTGTCGTGTAGTATAGAATAGACATGTCAAGGGTGAAACGAATAACCAAGACCATAAGCTCAGAATAATGGTTCAGAGAGCCCTGTTGTTTATTCTTGGAACAGCTAGTAATGTAGAAGCAGATGAGATGCTGCAACACATCAATTGTCAGAATTGAAAGCGTTCCGTAAGACCCAATCCAGACCATCAGGTATGATGGCCCGGTGCTGTAGGTAATAAGGTAGTCAAAAGAAAGGTTTATACTTTGATCGTCTCGGGTTAGCAAAACTGACACAATCTGGTCATATAGCATTCACGGATGCCACTTCACAGCAGGGCAACTCGAGTGGAGCATAAGGCGGGCAACAAATCGATTTCTCTCGACTCTGTCTCTCCCGGCAACTCAGTCTCAGCTATTATTGTACCAAGACCCTGAGCGCCCCATTTTTGTACTTATTTTTTCTTTTAATATTTCGAGAGCTTGGCAGCCTTGAAGCGACTGACTGGCTCCCGTCCGCCATCCTGTACCTCCAGAGGCTGGATGGGAGACTCGTCCTCCTTGAGGAATCCGCCGTCTCGCTGGATGAACTTCTTCCGCAGCTTGTGATGTTCATCAGCAACCTCTTGATGAATCAACTCATCGTCGAACTCATCAGGCGGTTGAGGAGTGGTGCGTATCGTTTCACGCTCGACTAGTGTCTCAGCGAGCGTTGTTCCTTCAGGACCCGTGGGTGCCGTCGGTCGGTCCTGATCCAAAAACGTGGCAGGCACGTCAAGAGGACCTGGTGGGACAGTATTTATCGCCTTCTTGAATCGTGATGGTTTGCGTGTTGGCTTGGTGTCAGTAGTTTTGGGAGCCTTGGAAGAGCTGGAACGTTCAACAATGTCGCTCAGTGGTTCCACTATCGGCCCTCTTTCCTCAACAGTAGGCTCTCTTACTGGGAGAACAGCTGCTTCGCTCTCCTGTGCGATATCCAGATTCGATGCAAAGCGCACGCCCTTCCTGCCGCTGGTCTGCTCTGGTTGCTTCTCCTTAATGTTTGACTTGGCTGGTGCGGATTTCAAGGCTGATGATGCTGGCGTGGGCTCAGCGGGAGTTGGTTTCACAACGATACGGCCAATGCCTTCTTCGTCTGAACTTGAATCTCCGTCCTTGTCCTCTGGTTGCTCGGTAAAGCGCGACTTGATGCCGAGCTTCTTTTCAAGCTCGAGCATTCGTTGGCGATAGTCATCTGTCACAACGCGACCAGTATATCGACCATACTTGTCCTCGTCATCTTCTTCGTCGTCCTCGAAGCCTTCATCGCTATACTCAAATTCGTAATCGCTGTCTCCCTCCTCAAGCTGGAGCTCGGCGACGACTGCACCGACTTCGCCTGAGTATTCCAACATCTGCCGCCGCAACTCTGCATCCTCCTCATCCTCCTCCTCGGGTATGAACGCGTTCTCGTTGCTGATCTTCTCCTGCTCTTTGGCATGGTTCATGATCTCTTCAACACGCTTAGCATTTCGCGAGACTGGGGGCTTGGGGCCATCTTGCGTTTTAGTGTCTGTGGCAAAAGATACGCCTTTGCTTGCAGATGGTGCTAGAGTTGTGGTCTCAAGATCCTTCGGCTGAGAGGAACTTTGCTTTGAGGCTTCGGCTTCAGGTTTGACTTCTTTTTGTTTGGAGCTTTCAGCGGGTGAGTTTGAGTCTCCATCCTCAAGATCCTTGATACCAGCTTTTTCAAGTGCTTCTTGGATCTTGGGTAACGCACTATCAGGCTGGTTAAGCTCATAAGAAATAACGTTGTCGTCATCGTCAAGTTGCTCGATAATCTCTGTCATTGGCAGACCATCATCTTCATCGAGGTTAGGTTGGATTTCGGCAAGCTTAGTCTCAGCAGCGTCGACTTGCTTCCGTAGGGAAGCGATATTCGTAGTAACATAATCGATGCGTCGGTCAAGGATATTCAAGATCTGTTCAGCAGACCGATGCGTCCTCTCACCAAAGATCTCATCAAGCTCACGATCCTTGAGGAGCTCCCCCTCAAAACCGACATGGATCGCCTTAAGCTCTGTCTCGCCACTTTCGCAAACAGCCTCTACCTCTTCCTTGAGCATCTCATACTCGGCATCCCAGGTTTGCCAGTGCTGCAGGGCATTTTGCAGCTTGGTAACGTCGTCTTCAAGCTGTTTTTGTTGCTTTTCAATATCCGAAGTTTCTGACATTTTATGCTAATCTGGCGCAACTGCTGCGACGCGGCGAGATGAAGATGAGGAAGAGAAAGAGAAAGAAAGTTTGTGAGGCGCTGAAGTCATGATGAATGATTCGGCCTCTCCACTAGGGAAAAAAAAGTTAGGAGCTGGCTCTTGAAGTTTGACGGGCTAACTTCGGCTAACGGGTGATAGCTGTCAGCGGCTGGCCCCGCCAAACAGGCCTGGTCACCACTAACAAACGGTTGACGATCTCAGATTTAGCGTCACACACGCCCTTCAGACAACATACAAATCCAAGTATTATCTCTTTGAAGTGAGACTGTCATAATTCACGCCGCTAGATATTTACCTAACAGAAAATACCCCTCCCCATTATGGGAACTTGTTATCCTATTAAGATGTACAACTTCGTACTGGCTGTAGGTAGGTAATCAATCGGTCAAAGTTCTTCCGAGCAACCTCGCTCATGGCTTACTCGAAACGATGCATGACAACACAACACTACCCCGATAAGTAAGGTAGCTAGGTTAGGTAGTTACAGACCATCTTATAAAAACCAAGATTTTCATGTGAGGGGCCAATCTTCTTCTTTGTTCAACTCGCACCTTGGGATTTGGCATCTTTCACACCCCCACCCTGTTCACCATCAGCAACAATGGCAGAATCAAGTGACACCAAGACTCTCGAAGCCAAGTGCCATTGCGGCTCTGTTCACTTTACAATTGACGTGCCAGTCTCGAAGCTTCCCCTCCTCACTCATTTGTGCCACTGTAGCCTCTGCAGATATGGCTCAGGCGCTCCATGCATCTTCCATGCGCCGCTCCCAAAAGGCATAGACCTCAACTTTGTGGAGCCATCCTCCGAGAGCAACATGACAAGCTATGGTATTAGCGGGAATGAAAAAGCATGGAATTTCTGCTCGACATGCGGTTGCCATATCGCCTCAAGAGGGCCACCTGGAAGCGTGTCATGGACGATTGCTTCGTCTATTTTCATAAACGCTGGAGATTACTTCGATATCCGCAAGCATATCTTCAGCAAATCAACAAAAGATGGCGGTATGGCCGAGGCCCTGACACATACAGATGGAAAAGAGTTCATCGACTGGAACCCTCCCGATGATAGCCCCGAGGCCAAGATCGTTGAATCTCAAGCTGAGGTTGGAGAGGACGGCAAAGAACGTCTTCGCGTGGAGTGTCAGTGCAAGGGCGTCTCATTTACCATTCCTCGGCCCAGTCAGGAGATCAAAGAGGACAAATACTACTCCGAATTCGTTTCTCACAGAGACAACAAGAAATGGTATGCGACCTTTGATGCATGCGACGACTGCCGAATCGCCAACGGGACCAGCGTAGTGGGATGGACATTTATCCCTGTATCGGTCTGCGAGCCTCACATCGGGGACGATCTTCTCATTGGCACGGCCAAAACCTACAAATCATCAGAAAACGTCGTTAGATCCTTCTGCGGAACTTGTGGCGCAACAGTCTTCTACTCCCACGTCGATCGAAGGCCATCCGAGAACCACCATATTGTTGACCTCGCTACGGGTATTATTAGAGCGCCTGAGGGCGTCATGGCAGAGAATTGGCTCACTTGGCGAGCAAGACTGGCGTGGGCTGATAGTGCAAAGAAGTTTGACAGCAAATTTACCGAGGCACTGCAAGAAGGTATGAAGAAGTGGGTGTTGAAGAGAGAGGGCGAGATTGAGGATTATAACATCGGTTGATCCGCTCCGGGGTCTCGGAGATATATGAGGTCGGGGTTTATATGTCGAATCAGGCATTTGTTGGTGATGTAAAACGTGATGAAGGTGTTAAAGCGCTCCAAATTCAACAGTAAATTCGATAATAATTACTCATTCCGATTTCATATCTTATTCGTAAATTATCACATATGTCTTCCATCATGGCCAGTCTACCTATCAGCGGCACTCACCTCCGAGAGACCGTCACTAGCGGGGATAGATTCCGAGGGGAGGGAGATATACAATGGCAATGCCTCAAGGTGACTAAACCTCTATCAAACTGACAAGTAATCGAATCGAATCACACCGTATCCCAAGTGAAATCTATCATATAAAGAAAGGCATATGCAAATTATAAAACTCAGATCTCTTCAAATCTCACCTACCACAGCGTCGACCGCGAGCGAATTACCCGAGCTTTCTGCGAGCCCTTCATTAAGCACAATAAGACGGCTTCACTTAAACAACTCAGGACATTGCTAAGTTCAATGCGTCATGTGCTATGGCGAGCTCTTAAGCAACCCTTCAATCATATAGCAGTGCAGAGAGCATCTCTCTTCAGTATGGCTTCGTCCACCCGTTCCTACAATGTACGCAGTAAATGGCTGCCATCATGACACACGAGATATGATGAGCTGACTTTCAACCCCAGGACGCTATCGATGCTCTCAATTCACTTCAGACACCGTTTCATATAATTGAAGCTCGTCGGAAGGCTGGGATAAAGCCTGCAGCGGTATCTATCAAGGAGATGAAGATATATCTCCATCGCATTGGGTATACTGTAAGGGTCCTAGCTATAATCCCACTGCGAGGCTAATAACATCACAGCCTTCTGATTTAAATCAACTCAACATCGTACATGTAGCAGGTACAAAAGGTAAAGGAAGTACCTGCGCCTTCGTAGACTCTATTCTGTCTCAATATCAACACACAAAAGGCACCCCTCGCAAAACGGGCCTCTTCACATCCCCCCACCTCATCGCTGTCCGCGAGCGCATACGCATCAACTCAACACCAATCTCAGAAGAGCTTTTTGCTAAATACTTCTTCGAAGTTTGGGATCGTTTGGAGTCAGCACCAAAAGATGACGGAGATAATCTCATGCCTCCTCGACCTATCTATGCTCGATACCTGACATTGATGAGCTGGCACGTCTTCCTTCAAGAGGGAATAGACGTCGCTGTATACGAAACTGGAATCGGCGGCGAATTTGATGCCACCAACGTTGTTGAGAAACCCGTGGCGTCAGGTATCAGCACGTTGGGTATTGACCATGTTTTTGCTCTGGGTGATACGGTAGCCAAGATCGCATGGCACAAGGCAGGTATCATGAAGACCGGCAGTGCAGCCTTCACCATAGAGCAATTCCAGGACGCCGATGAGGTGTTGCGGAAGAGAGCTGAGGAAAAGAACGTGGTCCTTAAAGTACTAGACGTCGACCCTCGACTAAGCGCAGTTCAAGTTCGACCAGACGCTGCCTTTCAGAAGCGCAATGCTACGTTAGCCATTGCCCTTGCAGAAACTGCTCTGGAAAAGATTAGTATCTCTCTACCGCCCCGTACCGAGCCTCTGCCCAAGGAGTTTGTGGATGGTCTTGAGAAGGTTGTGTGGAGGGGTCGATGCGAGGTTAAGAAAGAGGACAAGGTGACATGGCATGTTGACGGTGCTCATACTTCTGACAGCCTCAAGATGTCGGCCAAGTGGTTCAAGGATGAGACATCAGGACGGTAAGTCATTCTCCATCTGCTATCAACCTATTCATCTAACACATTCTCAGTGCTGGCCCCCGTGTCATGATATTCAACCAGCAAGGCCGTTCCGAAGCCGTCGACTTTCTCGACTCCGTCTTTAAAGCAACTCGACGAGACGGCAAGCCAGCCTTTGACCATGTTATCTTCTGCACAAATGTTACATATGCCGCCTCAGGCTACAAGCGTGACTTTGTTAACCACCAATTCGACCCTGCTGAGATTGACAAGATGACTGTCCAGCAACGCTTCGCCGAGAAGTGGACATCTCTTGATCCCACCTCTACCGTCAAGGTCATGCCTACCATTAAGCAGTCTATCGACTACGCCCGACACGTAGGAGATAATCTGCCAGAAGGCGAGACAGTTCAGGCTCTCGTCACTGGTAGCTTGCATCTCGTTGGGGGCGCATTGGGGATATTGGAGAAGGCCGATGCTCTATGAGTACGTAGTGAAAACTAAGTACTTCCATTTCTTGGGTTTATAAGAGGAGGATATCTATAATAGACCCTCGGGCTCCAAAGCTCGCAATATACCCCCTGCAAGATACATACTTCCAGTTGCCAAAATCTTCTGACTTGTTCCCGCAACCTTTCTTGCCTCAGCAACTGTGTCATCAATATTATCATATGTTTTGATTTGACATTCAGTTGTCCTTTCACCCATCAACTCAGCCACTCTTGTCTGAACGCTCAAGTCTCTAACTTCATCCCCAGAAGACCTCTCCTGGTCGTTTCTTGTAAAGAAAGCATGGCTGATTATGTTCTCTCGCCCTGTAGCTTCCTGGATAGTATCAAGCAGGATTGCCAATAGTTGTGTTGCATCCCTCTCCTGCTGGTTGAACACTAGAATTGTAGATTCGTCTTTCCCAAGATTGGCAGCGAACCACTTAGCAACCTCTTGCATACTGTCTTTGGTATGCGCGCCATCGAGATGCCAGGCAATATGACCCTGTTGGATAACCTCACAGCGACCTCTGAGACTTGCTTCCTTGAGCCCAGTGACCATCTTGTCCGGGAGGTTAAGCAAAGCAGTCTTGATATTGACCTCCATACCCAGGTGTTGTCGCACCGCAAGCACAGCGAGAGCTTGGTTGTACTTCTGGAAATCGCCCGGCAGCCTCCCTGCAACACCTCCCCATTGCTCAACACTAGCATCATCCAATTCGATGAGCTCAGCCCCCTTTTCTGCTGCACGTTGTTGTAGGACTTGCCTTACACTGGGTTTCTCGTCCATTCTGCGTACGAAACCACGCACTCCTGGCTTGAGGATACCAGCCTTGTGCCAAGATATCTTTTCAACCGTATCGCCCAACATTGCGACGTGGTCTATACCTAGCTGCGTAATGACCGCAGCAGAAACAGCCTCAGGCGGCACAACATTTGTAGCGTCGTACTCGCCGCCAATCCCGCACTCAAGAACCACGCTGTCGACCTTTTCCCTCAGAAAGATATGCCAAGCAAGAAGTGTCATGAAACGGAAGAAGAATGGCTTGGACCCAGGCCCATCGGCCTCTGTTAGACTTTTGCCATCCTTCTTAGCTGCGTCGGATAATCGCCCCCACAGTTCAAAGAAGGCTTCTGTGAAGAGACCTTGGGAGATCTGCTCGCCTTGAATGGCGATGCGCTCACGTGGACTTACGAGATGCGGACTTGTGTATGTCCCAACTGTCTCGTACTGCCGTAGCATTCCCGTTGCAAAGGCACTCACAGAGCCTTTGCCCTTGGTGCCTGCTATATGAATGTGCCTCAGGCGCGCAAGGTCCTTGGATTCATATCCGGCGCGACGAAGCCACTCGCGCATCTCAGGAATAGCCAGCGCATTGAGATCTTTGGACGGTGCAGCTGAGACCTTGTTTGCGGCGGGCTTGTCGAAGAGATTGGTGACATTGCGATTTGAATAAAGTTGAGAAAGTAAACGGAGAGCTTCGTTGTAACTGTGAGAGGCGGTACTAATGCCCCTACGTGTAGCCATCATGTGCGTCTTGAAATGACATCTAAGGATTGAACCTCGGTAGCTCATTGCGAAGGCCGAAAGGACATTCCGGGAGCGAACCAATCCGATGGATTATTTTGAGGTGTAAGATTGATGGATCATCAGAGATCACTTACCAAGATGGAGGAATGGGGTTGAAAAAGTTAGGTCATCAACAACTTATCGTAGCACAATACGCCAGCTTTCGCCCCATACATTCCGCCATCTGAAATATTTATACAGTAAACAGTAATATTGGAGAGTTCAACCCGACAATAAGGACGATCTCGTTAGGCAACTTAAATTTTGTTTCGATAAATTTACTTTCCAACGGGTATAGAGGCATGCCAGATCCCCAGTGACATCGATGGCAGAGACAGAAAGCGTGGAACAGAACAATAATGTTGGCAGTATTGAACAATCAAAAAATGGTAACCACGCCCTCATCGTCTATTGCTATCTAATACACAGCCAGCCGGCCTCTCTCTAGACACGACGACACATGGGTCCAATTATACACAACAAATGAGACATCCCTTTTTTGTTTAATCCACACGAAGGCTCTGAAGACGCGCTTCTGTAGCGATCACCTATGAGTAATGTTAGTAAAGCAAAAACAAATAAAACGAACAATGCATCAACTTACGTCAAGAGCCTGCTGAACCTCCAACACCTTGCGAACCTCGCCCAACCAATCCTTGCTCAAAGTCTTGGCCCATCCATCGAGACCGTTAATCTCTCGCGCCGCAGAGTCCAAGTCGCCCTCCTCTAGGTATGTCTGGGTTCGGGTAAGGACACTCTCCACGTCGTTACCATCAGCAAGACCTTGCTTCTTGAACATCACATGGCTGAGAACCCAGCTGGAAGCGTGGCTGGCAACACCAGCCTCATCAGGTAGAAGCGAAGCCTTTCGGACCTCGTTGGCAACACGGCGGAAACGGTCAATCAGCTGGGAAGAGGTAGAAATGCCACGTTGGTAAGCAGTGGGGTTAATGGAGGCGATAGCAGCGTTGACAACGGGGTCGTCGGAGGCGATTTCTCGGAGAGCAACAAGCTCACGGATAAAGGGGCGGGGGTGATGATCATCCTCAAGGCTGGCTCGGACCGCCTCAACGGCGACGTGTAGCTGTTGGGTCTTAAGATTTGTGTCGATAACGTCGTTCCAGCCAGTGGTAAGCTTCTCGAGGTCGGATACAGCAGAGGACAGGGCATTCAGCTTGCCAAGTCGGCTCTCACGCTCCTGCTCAACTTGCTTCTCAACATCCTTGGTGAACTCCTTCTTGAGGACCAGAGCCTGCTGAGCGAGCTGGTTCTGAAGCTTCTCCTCGTTAACCTTCTGCTCACGCTCGAGCAGGACGTTAACTCGGTTCTCGTAGTTCTCTCGGACCTTCTTCATCTCGCTCTCAAAATCTTGTTGCCATTGGTTCTCCTGGCTGATCATGGTGTTCTCCACACGGTCAATAAGGTCTGTAGCAGCCTTGTCAAACTCCTGAATCTTTTCTCTGACTTGCTTGGCAGCCTTCTTATCGAACTCGCCCTTCATGGCCTTAAGCTTGCCTCCGACCTTGGCGATCTCGCTCTTGGCTTTGTCGACAGAGGTACCATACTTGCCGTGAGCATTGTCTGCGTTGATAACTAGGATAAGGTCGTTGACCATGTGGACAAGATCTTGGATAACAGGCTCTTTGGCATCTTCGAGAGAAAGAAGGTCAATTGGCTTCAGAGGAGGCATCTTAGAAGGCTCGTTAACCTCAGGAGCCTTAAATCCGGAATTGGACTTAGAGGTAGGAGCAGTTTCCTTAACCACCTCAACAGGTTTGGCCTCGACAGCGGGCGCGGCCTTCGCCTTAACCTTAGTCTTGACAGCCTCCGCGGTCTTCTTAGCAGCAGAAACAGGGCCAGCGCTTGAGTGACGTTCGGCCTCTGCAACCCTCCAAGAAGCGCCACTCTGGGCAGGAACTCGGACAGCATCGTCGGTAGCTTGGGTCTTGGATCGTCCAGCGGTGTTGGGGAATCGCTTCTTGTATTCCATCTCCTCGAGGTAAAGAACAGCCTGCTCGCCGAAGGGGACGTATTCGGTGAAGAAATCATGAAAGTTGTCGCTCACGCGAGAGTACCAAACACCTCCAGCGAAGCCGACAACGCCAAGAACAAGGAGACTGAAGACGAAATTCCTCAACCTTCGGAAGAAGCCCTTCTTCTTCTTTACAGGCATCGGAGGAGGGGGAGGAGGTGTCCTGGGAACGTCTGCCAGAGCAGCCTTGGTCTCGCCAACATCGTCGATGGTTGTCTCGCGGATTCTCTCGGAGGTAATAGTCTGGGAAGGAGGCAGTATAGGTTGCTTAGCAGGATCAAGCTCGGGCTTTTTATCGATAGAGTAAAATCGCTTAAAAAAGTTGACGCGGTTAGTTTGTTGCTGCTGATACAAGCTGTGACGTTGTTAGAGAAAGCTTACCTGGCCAGCAAGGGAGGCTTGCCGTGTAGCCGCAATGGGCCATTGGCGGGCAGCAGCGGCCACAATGGGCCTGCCACCAAATGCCCTCACAGACTGAAGCGAAGTTCGCAACATGAGGGATTGCAATAGCGAACAGGGCGCAGTTCGCGATGCAGTTGTACTTCGGTTAGATGGAGTTGAGAGCTGCTTCAAAAACGCTCAGGGTAAAAGTTCGGCAAAAATCCAGCTCCCGGTTCCGCATGGAGCTAAATGTTAGCCCAGCGGTAGGAACCGGGTGACGCAACTGCCTTATCAAACAGTGAATGTTCAATAATTGATTACCTGAAGAGAGCATACAGATAGATGATAGGTAATTACTACAAACATTTTACAGAATAGAAACCTACAGAACCATTCTTCATATACAATTTGGTATTAGCACCTCCCTCTGCTTTCAGTTTTGCATTTAGAGTATCACACCAGAAATGGAGCATGTGATCAGGCGATTGTTATCCAGTACTAGTTATCACAGCACAGCCAACCCGCTGTAGACCACCTCTGAGGCGAGTCTATCAAATTATGGGCCAACTTTAGCAATGATTAATATGAATGTTACAGTTAGAAAGGTTTTTTTTTTGATAGATATGCAAAGCCTATGCTATTATGGGTAGTAGTCATTGTCTTGTAATGAAATTCACATGATCACGGTCCAGGGTACTCGGGATTTGGCACAATATGTCGAATTCGCCGACAGGCATCTGCTTGGCTGTGACACTGTTATCTCAGTACCTGAGTGATACAATTGCATGAATCATCTAGTAACAGCCATCTATTTGAAGGCTGTGAAGAAAAAGAAATGCTACAGAGCGCCTCGTACATCCTCTCCTGCCAGTCCATCTCATGAGCCACTCTATATTCTCTGGCATGTTCAAGTGCCAAGCTCCAGCAACTTCGAGCATCCAGGCCACCCATACTACCAAGCAACAAAATTCAAGTTCGGTATTAAAAAATATGGACTGAACTGGTCCCTCCAAACCCAATGACTCCAATAAATTATATGACGCGCCCCAGCTCATTCGTTACCTCAAGAGTCCATAAAAGACAACTTGTCGTGTGTGTTTTCACGCTGAGGCCCCTGTGATATGTGCGTGGACGTAAAGAAAGGTTGTCTCTAATCTCAAATGCTCCCGACTCGGTGCCAATTTAGCAGCTGCAGGGGCCGCTAACGTTGGTGGTGGAGTTCTCGGGGGCCAGACTGACGCCTGGTCGTTGACCTGGTCGTGCGTGTCGAGGACCGGCCTGGTCCAGGGGAAGCTTCTTAGCGATAGCTGTGAAAAGAGTTTGAACGTTCTCGGCAGTCTTGGCTGAGGTCTCGAAGAAGAGAAGGCCAGCCTCACGAGCGTAGGCCTCGGCGTCGGCGGTAGAGATGGCACGCTTGTCGGGCTGCTCAGTGACCAAATCCAGCTTGTTTCCTGCAAGTGCAATGACGATATTCTCGTTCGCCTGGCGTTGGAGCTCCTTGACCCAAGCCTTTGCCTTATCTAGCGATGCCTGTGAAGATTTTAATACGCTGTTCCTCGAGGATCGAAACTCTTCTGGTTAACGTACGGATTGAGTAATATCGTATACAACGACGGCGCAGTTTGCGTTTCGGTAGTACATGGGAGCAAGAGACTTGTAGCGTTCTTGACCAGCGGTATCCCAGATCTCAAACTTGACGGTGGTGCTCTCATCAAGAGAAATAGTCTGTGTCAGGAAGGCAGCGCCAATGGTAGATTCGCGATAGGAATCGAATTGATCCTAGAAGACTTTGGTGAGTTGCCGGTTTTACAATGACGTGTGAAAAGAGTTCTTACCTTGACAAATCGCAAGACTATTGAACTCTGGGTTGAAATTAGCAAACCTTTATATTATGAACCATCGTTACAATATACCTTTCCGACAGCAGATTCGCCTTTAATACAGGGTCAGCAATCATGTCATGAACCCGGCCTGGGCTGGTAATTATGTGGATTCAGGGTAACATACCGAGAAGAACCAGTTTGAACTGCGCAAATCTAGTGTTGGTGCCACGGGCGCCAGCGGGAGGTTGTCGGGAGGCCATGTTGAAAGACGGGATATGGTTTCGAGATGGAGAGATATGAAGAGGGTCTATCGAGAGCGATAGAGGCAGTGGCAGTGGCGGTATGACCTGGGCGTTGGGGGGTCGGACGTGTCCTAGACAACAGCGTGGAGGGAGACGCTCGGGCGGTAAATCGTATCGGGTTGATTGCGCGACGGAAGCGAGTTGAGGTAAAGGGGAGATATAGGATCAAGGTAGCAGGCGACGATAGTGAGATGCAAGACAAGAGACAAGAGTCGAGGCTGAAGGTGAGAGGCGAGTCTTGGAGATGGGGCTTCGCTTCTTTGATTAAGACGAGATGGGCGAAGGTAAAGTGACTGCCTGGTTCCTTGGTTGTGACTGGCTGAGGCGGCACGAGGCACACGTCAGGCAGGGCCTTTGGCCTTTTTTTGGTGAGGGACACCCACTGTGCCACTACAGCGGGCAGGCGGGAAGACGGGGTCTGGAGGTGAACGTCTTGCCGAGCATTTGGGCAGTCTCAGCCGTTGTAGTGGTACTTACAGGTGCCCTTGCGCTGGGGCGAGTCATTAGTTTCTCTACATGGCCCGAGCCTCATCCCACTTTGTGACGTACGTCACCTAGAGCCACAGTGGTCCCTTCTTTGCTGTACAATCCCGTCATTACAATTTACCATGTGGCTGTGCTAGAGCTTCGCTGGCCTCATCAGTGCTAATTAGACTGCAGTCGACCATCATCCCATCTCAGCTCATCCCTCACGTCGAGTCCCTTTTTCCTTATTTCTCTACATCCTTCATTTCTAGCCGTCAAGGGTAGACAAGTTGCCAAGTTGGCCACTCTTTAATCCCGGGCTACATTGTTTCCTTTCCACTTCGATTACTCTTCTAATATTTGACGACACGATAAGCTCCAACTGCTGTATCCACACAATGGCGCATCTCAACTCTCCTAAGTTGCCTTATCGCGACATCAATGTCAAGATCGCCAACGACTCTTATACCTTTACTTCTCCCTCCTCTCCTGATGCGCCCGCACTCGTTCTTGATCGACCGACTGGCGATGTCCGCCTGACTGACGGCAGCGCCGCATCCGCCAAGAGAACAACTCGCGTCTCGAGTATCGCCGGTATCCTGGGAATTATCCAGCTTCGCCTTGGTTCGTCTCTGCCGCGCCAAACCTTGGGCTGATCCTTTGGTGCTGGCTTTTTCATTATAACTAACCATGTAAAGACAAATATGTCATCTTCATCACCAAGGCTCAACCCGTCGGCCGCCTTAAGGGCCACATGGTGTATAAGGTTGCTGCTACCGAGATCCTACCTATGCGCGAGCGTTTGATCCACGATCCCGACGAAGACATCTTCATCCAGCTTCTCAAGACCTTCCTTGCCTCCGGGCCTATGTACTTCTCTTACTCCATCGACCTCACCAACTCCTTCCAGCGCCAAGCTCAGGCCGACGTTTCCAAGCCCCTGTGGATGCAGACCGATGATCGCTTCTTCTTCAACAAGTACCTCCAAGGCGACCTGATCGATTTCCGCACTCGAGGTGCTCGATCTCAGCCTGGCGCGCAGCCCGGTGTCGACCCTTACATTCTGCCATGCATTTTTGGCATGCTCGAGATCAAGCCTACAACATTCAAGGGCAACCCCCTGACTCTGGCTCTCATCACCCGTCGATCGCGCCACCGTGGTGGTACAAGATACTTTACTCGTGGTGTAGATGATGAAGGACATGTCGCCAACTACAATGAGACAGAACAGATAGTTATCCTCAATGACAGCAACAGCGGGTTGGGTGGGTATGCAGGCAGCTCCGACATGCAGAGCGGAAAGTTTGGCGCTGGCGCTGGCCAGGAGATGCAGATCTTTTCTTATGTCCAGACTCGTGGTAGCGTTCCTACTTTCTGGGCCGAAATCAACAGCTTGCGATATGTCCCCAAGCTCCAGATTCGCGGCACCGACGCTGCTCTTGCTGCTGCTCAGAAGCACTTTGATGAGCAGATTCGCCTGTACGGTGACAACTATCTCATCAACTTGGTCAACCAGAAGGGCCGTGAGCGACGGGTCAAGGAGTCGTACGAGCAGATGGTGGAGAAGCTCGTATCCTCTCCTAAGGAGCGACAAGAGGCAGACCTGCTTACTGAAGAGAAGTTCACTACGATCCAGCCCGAAGGCAAGCATCAAGAGTTCGACCGTCTGCACTACGTCTACTTTGATTACCACAGTGAGACGAAGGGCATGAAGATGAACAAAGCTTATGCTCTTATCGAGAAGCTTGCCGAGGGCCTCGAGAAACAGGGCTACTTCCGGGCTGTTGCTACGACGTCTGGCGCTGATGGTGCCCTCGATGCCCGTAGCTACCAGACAAGCGTGATGCGTACCAACTGCATGGACTGCCTCGACCGAACAAACGTCGTTCAAAGCATGTTCGCTCGACACAAGCTTGACCGCATCTTCGAGGATGTCGGTTTCATGTCCCGTGGCGCTTCTTTCCGCGATGAAGATGCTGCCTTTGAGGATATGTTCCGCAATCTCTGGGCTGACAATGCAGATGTTGTCTCGAACTCATACTCTGGCACAGGCGCCATGAAGACTGATGTCACACGTACAGGTAACAGAACCAAGGTCGGTGCCCTTCAAGATGCCCGTATTGGTGTCACTCGTTATTTCCGTAACAACTTTTTCGACGGACCTCGACAGGATTCTTTCGATCTCTTCCTGGGAACTTACCGACCAGGCTCAACCAACATCGGCACAACCTTGGTCTTTACTGACCGCCGCCCGATTTTGATTCAGTCTATTCCTTACATTCTGGCCTTCAGTGTCTTCATCATTTTTGTCGGTCTCTTTACTCGCCGGGCCCCTGAAACGAGCGCCCTGCCTCTCCGTATTTTCCTTTTCTTCTGGTTGGCTATCGCGGCCTGGTCCTTCTACTTTGTTTGGAATCACGGCATGCTTTATGTAAGTTGTTTGCTGCCAACTATTCGGTATCTCATTCTAAGTCCTCATAGGTCAACTGGCCCCGCCTCAACCCCAGACCATTTGCTATTGAGGGTTACAACGAACACTTCGCCAAGGCGCGCAAGGACTCTGTTATTGGAACCTACGTGGCAAAGCACGAGAGGGGTCTCAGCACAGCTCGGTATCTCAGTGCAGAGGAGGGCAAGAAGAGGATTGAATAGATCAAAAGAAGGATTGAGTTTTATTTGTAGTGCGAGTGCTCTGCCCTAGTGGTGAGATTGTATAGCTTTTCAAATGTTTGCTTTGCTTGAACACCATAAAAATATGCGTGTGTTTCTTTTAATATATTTTGGAAGGGAGGAAAAATTATAAACCACTTGTTTTAATGATGTTGAATTTCTAGACAGCTTTGTTCTTTTGCACTCAGTCATATTTTCTGTTATCAAGTTGTCCCAGTTACACACACGGTCACACAAGAGATCAAATAATATGACGACTCTCCTTGAGTATTAAATTTAGTTACATGTATGACAGCAGGAGAATTGATTATACAAAGGGAAAAGATACAACAAGCACCGCTCAGAATCATGTCGTGTACTCCGCGATTAAATGCTTCTGACAGAACATAATAAGGCGCCACGCCATGCCGCTTCTCCGCAGATATGAAAAAGGGGTATCAAAATGGGTTAACGCTTTGTGTCAAGAAAAGAGAAAGGGGATGTGGGGTAGGAATGGTAAGCAAATATGTATGGTAAGGATAAGTGAGGTGAAAGACAACGAAACAAGGGGACCTTTGACAACACCAACCCCGTGAAGAAAACTCCTCTAATACTCGACCCTCAACTCTGACTCTTGCTTGCTGAAACTGGTCATTTTCTGACTTATAGCCATAGGAGCCACCTGACTCCTTGCCAGACGCCTGTTCCAATGCCCAGGAAGAGCCTAAAGATAGTGACGACAAACCAGACATACCACATGAAGCCAACGAGCAGCCATTCAACAACGGACCACATTCCTCGACGGAGCCATCTGAATCTTCTGCGTCTGTTACGCATCATCTTGTCAGTGAGGTCGGCGACGTGCTTCACTTTAAGAAGCTGGCCCAGAGCCAAATCCTTGCCAGTTTCATCGGCTTGGTCTGATGCCTCGCGGGTCATGCCCGACAACTCGTCTGCGATTCGCGAACGAACACACCAAATGCGCTCCTCGAGCTTTGGTCGCGTTTGCGCTGTGAACTTATCTGCCGACGTCTGCCATTGCTCCATCGAGGTCTGAATGGCTACACCTAAGGCTGTACTGGCCAAACGGAAGTGGTCGGAGCAGGGAACCGCATCGTCAGATGGTAATGACTTCTTGGGTGTGAACTTTGCAATATCAACCCACGGCACTGTCACGAAAGTTGATTGTGGTGAAGCTCCGGGCTCCTGAGGGCAGCGGTTGGCAAGAGGCTTTTTCGACTCATGTGCACGACGAGAGATCTCCATGGCTTTGATGCCGGAGGTAAGAATAAGTGTACGCAACCGGGCAATTTCGCGCTTCGAAAGCCGTCCTTCATGGGGAACAGCCTGGTTTGCGATAGACCACTTCCGGCCTCTGAAGTTATCAGGCTCATTGAAGCGAACCATCGGTGTAAACTCGTCGCTCTCCTTCTCCAAGACTCGAGGGCCATCTTTGGCGCTCTCCTGGCATGACTCCACTTCTGACATCGCAGGCTCGACCGCGGAGTCCTTCTCGACTTCTTGAGGCTTGCTAGGGCTAGTGAAGTCAGAGACATCAAGTAAAGGTGGCTGGGTGATATTGACACCGGGCTGTGGAGGCGGGGGCTTCTTCATGTCGGTTGCCAAATGACCATGTGTCTCGGCCACGGATTGGAACTGCGGCATGGAGTCCAAGAAATGTTTGGCGCCATGCTGAGGCTCAGGTTTATTGCGCTTTGAGTTTGTCCGTGACAAACTGAGGGATATCCTCGGCCTCCCTTTAGGCTGATCATTGTCAGATTCGTCGGAAGAGAGAATATCGTTAGGGCCTTCAGTAGGAGAATCCTTATTCCACAGTATGTCGCCGAGTCTCGAAACGCTGCCTCTGATCACTGTATCGATACGAGGGCCCTTGAACATGCCTCGCAGTCCAACCTGGTCATCCCCTCTTGGCTTGATACTACCGACACTGCGCTGATGTTTGTGGCTCTCGAAAGTTGGTCGAGAATTGGATGGATGACGCTCAAGCGGTTTGGTTTCCTCCTGAGGAACAGCTTCCGATATCGATGGCCTCCCACTAGATGCCTCAGTCTCCACTGCTTGCTCTTCAGGCTCGTCACGAGTCTTGTCTTTGAATATTTGCTTGACTTTTGTGAAGGGGTTTCGTGAGGGAGATGAGGATCGACTGGAAGGAGCCGAGAGTTGCAAGCCAGTGGGTGGTGCTGATAAGCTGTACTGAGGAGCGAGAGCTGGCGACAAAGGCCGAGGAGTATCGATACTATCTTTGCGATCTTTGTCACGTTTAGAACCCCCTCCAGTATATCTTCCTAACTTTGACAGCATAGGAATTTCCAAAGAGGCTCTGCTGTGTCTAGGGCCCTGATCTGAATCTTGAAGATCTGTTGTGTTCCACTCTCTATTGGTAGGGACCTTCGTTTGCGGTTTAAGCTCAGGCGAATTCGAGATTTCCGGCTCCAGATATTCGGCCTCGGTCTCCGGAACGTGGGAAAGCCTCTGCTGTCTCATGTCTCGGGCAACCATTTCCAACATTTGTTTCTCGAGCAGTTCAGTGTCGCGACTTGAAATGGTGCCGCGCCGAGCCCTTCCTTCATTCGACGCTTCGTCATCACTAGCAGAGTCGTCTGAGGACGATCCTCGTCTTCCAAACCGACGGTGGTGCGTAGAGCCGTTTTGTCGGTGGAATGACCCCATCTCATGAAGCTTCTGCCTTGCTCGATCTCTATGCCTAGGCTCTGCCAGATCTGTGTCGAGTTTCGCAAGATTAGACCGCTTCGGGTCTGCATTCTTATTCGTCTCCTCCAAAGTCTTGGTAGTGAAAGGTGATACACCCGTGCTAAGTTGATCGGACTGTCTTGACATTGGACGGCTCATGGCTTCTCCTATCTGAGGATATATCTTATTCAGATGTCTGTCCTCAATGAGTTGCTTGTGGTGATCTTGCTCTAGCCAATAAGCATCTGCAATTAAATCGCATGCTTCGAAGAACCAGTCAACTCTTGGGCGTCGGACTCGAATAGCAGCCTTTGCAGGAGAATCTGTAGCCATTTGCGAGTCAATTTCTTCGGCTCCAGGGAACGGTGGTAGAACTGAGCCATCACTGGATAGGGGTTCTCTTGAGGCTCTCTCTGCAGCTTCACCAACCCAATCTTTAACTGACTCGACGTCAGCAAAGCCTTGTTTCTCACCATCGATGACCATCCGCTCGCGAGCTCTGACTTTTCGGTTCCGGATATACTGTAATGGATTGTATTCTCGACCAAGTGGGATCATGAGCTCCCTGTTTCCAAAGGTGCGCATCTTCTCTTCTGTGGGTGAACCAGGTGGACTTGTGGCTGATTGCCTATCATAGCCACTTTTGAGTGGAGGAAGAACTTGAAGCAATCGTCTGTACTGGGCCATCAGCTCCAGGTGCTCCCTGGCCTTTTGTGCTCTAGCCAGAGTCGAAGTCGAGAAATGGTAACGGTAAGAGACATCGGGGGTATGTTCGAAAGGGGGCGGACGTAGAGGACTGCTGGATCTGACGCCGGGCAGTCGTGGTGAAAGAGCCTGCGGGATCGGAGAAGCCCCTCGGATAGCCTTTCTTTGTTGTTGCAGATGAGTCCTGAGATTGCTACCAGTCTGCGAGTCCTGCACCGGTGCCAAACGAGGGGGATTCCCACGGCTGATGTTGCGCCGAGACGCAATCCGCCGTGACTCGCTCAGGTTCAATGCCATATTGACAATCTGTGTTGAATCGACATCGAGCACAGTTCCTTGTTGTGCTGCTTGCGGCCGCCGGCCGCGCCTTTGACCACCCCCCCTTTTTGATAAATGGAGATCTTCTTGAGATGTATCTGGCGACACAATACGAGCTCGGGGGCCACCATTAGAACTGATTCCTAGACTCCCCAAGTCTCGTGAACCTTCAGATGACCGTGAATCTGGAACATCCTTCCCCTTATGTCGGGATTTACTCCGGTACCCGCGCCGTTGATTTCCAGAATCGCCATCCGCTACTATGGGCTCCTGGAGTAAAAAGGCACTGCTCGGTTGGGTCTTATGTGGTCGCTTTGAACGTGATCGTTTCGGTCGGCCGGCTTGAAGACCGCTGGTAGCTGCTGCAGCACCGCGAGACTTGTGGTGGAACCGTGGAAGGCTTTCGTCGTCGGAAAAAGCAAGAGGTCTGTCGGGGGATATAGGAACGTTTAGAAGGGCATTAATGGTGTGGTCGCCCCTTTCAGCGGTGTCGTAACTAAACCTCGTAGGAGGCTCTGGCGTAGCTGGTCCATCTCGTCTGCCATGCGCACTCAATGACGAGGCAGCACGGGAATCAGCCATTGCGAGTTAAGTTTGACATGCAACGTCTAAGTCTCAAGCTCGCGCTCGGGGAAGGAAGCGGGGGGTTGTCGTTAGAGGTGATGATAAAAGTATTGCAGCATCGTTTTTCTTCTTTCCAAGGGTCTTCGTCGATCGCAAGTGCAAGATCCTTGTAAAATGGGTTGTCCTTGGTGACGATGGCGCTGAGGCGAGCTAACCCAGGTATAGATGGTAGCGACAATGATGGCGGGTATACAGAGTATTGTCGAGGTTGAAGCGAATGCCCCTTAGGCGGTTCCTCCTCAAGAGCTCATGGCTCTCTTTGGAAGTTCGCGAATGTAAGTCGTAGAGATGATGCGCTGAACTATAATTGTCGTATAGATATGATTCTGCGGAGCGTTGAAAGGATTGGATACCCATTAGAGATGAGACGGGCAGTTGTTAAGGGTCCTTGCGTCACGAGAATGAATGGGATGGGACGCTACAAGACACTGAACCTACAGGGCCTGCAAGCCTCTGGTGCGCCAACTTTACGCCTTTCCCACCTATCCTGGGCCCAAGCGTGGCGGGGAGTGACGCACGCGTGTCTCGATGCGGCAGCCACAGGGCATCTCATCTTACACTGAGTTACAAGGTTTAAGGGGTCATTTACACCAAATTTCGTGTACCGGGCGTCTCAGGCCCGAAGTGCCGATGGCCATCACATGAAAAATATTAACTCATCCAAGGCCACGGTCTCAGTCAGTTTGTGGGAGCTGCTGCACAACTCATGGCGGGGGTTTCAGGGGCAATACAGTTTCGTGAATAGAGTCATGTGCCAGCCCGGAATTTGACTCAGCTGATAACTCACGGCTGATCAACTGAGACGAAACAGCCAATGTTTAGGTTCTCATAAAAAATCATGGCAGTGGTGGTTTTGTCTTATATCTACAAATACTATCCAGTCTCAGGATAGTAAGATCAGTAGCACCCTAATAGCTTACATAAAATATTGTACATGTCTCAACAGAAAGAGGGGTATACATCATCAAGATCACCATCCTTCTTTTCTTTATCCTCTCTTTTCTGCTCAAGCCGAGGTTGGTAATGCACCGACAACCTCCTCGCATCTACCACATAGCGCGTCTTCCACAGGCGCCACATATCGCCAGCATCGAGAACATTTCTCCTGCTTTGGGGGAAGTACATGCACCTTGAGCTTGGCGTCGTGAATCTCGAATTCCTGTTGATAAGCCCAATCGGGGCTGTCAGGAAGGGGCTGGTTGATTTGAACTGAAGAGACCACAAATAGGTCCTCTAGTTCATCCAGGTAACGCCCAAGAACAGCTGTCGCCCTGCCTTCTTCGATCTCTAGGATGACTGAGCTCTGGAGTGAGCTACCAAGCACCTTGGCAGTACGTGCCTGTTCTAGTGTGGCCTTGACAGCGCTGTGAACTTCTGTGATGATGATCTGATCCTTGCGCACCACGTCCTGAGGAAGTGTCAGACGGAGAGGGTCAACAAGAGAAGAGCTATATAGCTGGCGGGCTGGATTTTCCAGCGATCTAACTACCATTAGCACAATGATAACATAGACCAGCCTTGATTTATAACTTACGTATCTTCAGCCATCCATGCTGGCCGATGCGACCACGCCTCTTCAACAAGCATAGGCGTGATCGGTGCCAGCATGCGTAAGAACCCAATGAAGATAGGTTCCAAAACACCACCGCCATCGCCACAGTAGAGTCGGTCCTTCAGGGCCTCCAGGTAGAATGCCGACAGATCGGCTGCGACCCAGCGATTGATCACACTAACTGCCCTGTAGAACTCAAAGTCGTTGTATGACTCCATGACCTGGGACATGGTATCCGAGAGTTGGACAAGTGCGATCTGATCCACCTTTGTCAATGGGCTGTGACGGGCCTGTTGATTTAGCGATCCAAGAAGCATCTTAATGATGGTTCGGTACTTGATCAGCGAAGTGTGGACTGGCTGAAGAATGGTTTGTCCGATGAGGACATCCGTTGTGAAGTCAGCACTCGCTGCCCACAAGCGAACTGCATCTGGACCAAGACCGTCAGATTGTTGTCCGCATCTGCCCTTACCCTTTGTCTTGACTGGTCCAAGCAGACTACCGTCCATGACTTGGCTTGGGACAATCATGTTACCAAGTGACTTTGACATCTTCTTGCCTTGTCCGTCAAGGGTGAACCCATGAGTGACCAGAGTCTTGAAAGGGGCCGAGATTTTGCCAGTGGCCTCCTTTGATTTTTGGGTGGCTACATAGGTCAGCAAGCTGGACTGGAACCAACCACGATGCTGGTCAGATCCTTCGAGATAGACGTCGGCAGGGCCATCTGTCTCTGTCCAGGAGCTGCCACTATCAAACCACACATCCATTGTATCAGTGCCCCGGCGGTATTTGCCCTTTAGGTTGGAGGGAATCCAGGCGGGGTCATCTGGGTTATCAGAGAACCAGGCAGAAGAAGTGCGTTCCTGCATAACCGAAATGATATGCTCAATGGTTTCCGTTGTCATTACAGCGTTGCCGGCCTCATCGAAAAGGGCTGGGATGGGAACTCCCCATGACCTTTGGCGGGAGATACACCACTCGCTGCGGCCTTTGACGAAACTCTCCAGGCGAACACGACCGCCCTCTGGGACAAACCGAACATCCTTCAGCGCTGCGAGGGCATCTTCCTTGATGCTACCAACATCAGCGAACCATTGGGCTGTAGCACGAATTACAACGGGCCGTTTCGTGCGCCAATCGTAGGGATATTTGTGGCGTAGCTTGTGCGTTCCTAGTACATCATCGTTTACCAAGTCTAGTACAGACTGGCTTCCACCATCCAAGATAGAAGGTGCAGCTGTGAGCTTCTCAGGGTCATCTGGATAGGCCTCCTTAGTGAAGAAGCCGCCATCGTCGATGGGCGCAAAGGCCTCAATTCCGATCTTGGAACAAGCCTCGTAGTCGTCCTGACCGTGTCCGGGTGCAATATGGACAAGACCAGTACCAGAATCAGCAGTGACGAAGTCGGCATCAATGACAGGCTGAGCCGGGGCAGTCTTGCCTCGGAGTCTGTTCTGGTATTCAAGGCCCTTCAAGATAGAACCTAGAATTGATTCAACAACAAGTTGGAAATTTGGTAGCATTTCCCTCATGGCCTCAACACGATCTGAAGCAACAAGATAGCCATCCGATCCAACCTGAATGACTGAATAAGAAATGTCATTGTGGATGGCAATGGCACGGTTTGCAGGGAGAGTCCAAGGGGTTGTCGTCCAAATAGCTGCGTACAATTTACCTTTGAAATTGGCCAGCTCGGGTATTGATTTCAAATCAGAAACAATGGGGAATCTGATATATGCGGCCTTGGAGACATGGTCTTCCCGATATTCCAGCTCTGCCTCGGCGAGCGCAGTTCGGGACGAAGCTGACCAGTACACGGGCTTATGCTTGCGGTATATCAACCCTCGACGAACGAGATTTTGAAAAACACGCAGTTGCCTAATTTCGAACTCTCGATCCATTGTAGTCCACCTCTTATCCCAATCCGACATAACTGCTAGTGCCTGGAATCCCTTCATCTGGTCCTTGACTGTCTTGGAAGCCAGACGTCGCGCTGTGTCCCGAATTTGCACAGGAGTCAAACCTTTAGTGGTGCTTGATCCTAGAGCCTTCATCTCTATCGGAAGTCCATGGCAGTCCCAGCCTGGTCGATATACCACTTTTCGCCCTTGCTGCACCTTGACACGCACAATCATGTCTTTAAGAACTTTGTTCATGGCATGGCCAACATGAAGGTTGCCATTGGCGTACGGAGGGCCATCATGGAGGGTAAACGACGTCTCCTCAGGGCGATTTTGTCCTTGCCATACATAGAGATCATCGGTACATTGTCGAAGATACTGTGGTGCGAGCTTGGGGTTCGGTCGAGCGCTGCGAAATCGGACTGTATTAGCTCTCCACGTTCTAAAGTTGGAGGCTCTGCAAAGAGTCGACGTACGGAAAACTCGACCGAGGCAGCCTCAGAGTCGACTTCCAGGATTTGAGCATGATCGATCGAGGACCATGTCGCACTTGATCGGCTGATTGTGATATCTAGAGGTGAGGTCGACACGGCTGAGCAATTGGATGGAGATTTTTTGGCGCCACCTCCACTATCAAGTGTCAATTGATCCGCCCGCTCGGACCAGCTGCAAGGCTGAGCACGCCTGAGTATTCCAGCAGTGGCTTGAACTTTAGCGTGTTCTTGACGCGACTTATAGTGAACGACAGCCCATTACATCACTGAACCAAGTGATGCCTTATTAAACGAGGCCTCATTCACATCCATTCTTGTTTTCACGATCTCATCTTGAGCACCAAACGAACTACATACAATGGCCCCAGTTCGTCGCTATCTTAGGATATCTAAGTATTCAGTACTTGAGTGCCGAATATATCTGGACAATCCCGCTCTTGCCCAATCATGGCTGCTCAACCCCCGGAATCCCATATTACCCAAGGTCATCGAGAGCATCCGTCCTCTAGTACTACCAAAGCTTCGTGAGGAGAAAGAGAGAAGCAAGAAGAAGGGCAAAAAGAAGAGTGTCAAGGATGTCGTGGTTTCAGGTATTTCTCGGCAAGTCAGCATTAGTTTCTCTGTCGATAACTAATCTCATCTAGACGAGTTTGAGGTCTCCATCTTCTTGACAGAAACAAGCACTAGACATTCTCTTCTATACAAGACCAAACACTTCAGGGATAAGCTACCACTGAAAATGGAATCCAATTCGTCCAAGCTCATCGGCGAAACAGACAGTATCCCAGTTGATGTTGACGACGAGTATCGGGCGCCAGTCTTACAAGAAGAGGACGATGATGAGGTGAGACTGGCCGATATTCCCATCGTCGAAACAACGACACGGCGGAGTAAGCGCCAGAGAGGGATGTTAAATCCGGGACAAGACGACGATGAGGCTTTTGAAGATGATGAAACAGCGTCAGCTATCGAAATCGACTCTGATACGGAGGCACCCCCACACAAAAGGCACAGGGCCCAGGAGAACGACGGTCTCGATGGCGGCGACGACAAGAAGAAGCTAGCCATGGATGTGTCATATGAGGGGTTCGCAATCTACGGTCAAGTGTTGTGCCTCGTGGTCAAGAAAAGAGCGAGTGCTGCAGCTAGTAGTGCTGGGGGTGCAAAAAGCCGACCAGAAGGCCAGGCTATGATGGAGAACTGGATCTCGTCGACCCAAATGCCAGTTGGTGAGGACATTCCATAACCGAGGCCATAAGTTATATTTCACATATTGGATAACAGCACTCCTTATCCATTCATGCGAGCAAACTGTCTCAGGGAAGCACATCAACCAACATGGCGTCTTGGAATGGCGTGACCATACAATGTCGAGTTGACGAGGGTTGACCCGAATACCAGGGTTGAAGGACGGGAACTGCGGCTACGGCCGTCGGGTCCCTGAGGGCGTTCGGGGTGGCTGCGGGCGGCGGGAGTTAACGGACTTGCAATACTCCTGGGTTATGCCTGGCACAGTTTGCAGATCAAACAGTGGTTGGGCGTCCTTTACGTCAGTCAACATATAGCCCAGCCCAGCGCAACTGGATCTAATTACTAGTTAGTATCAATGACCGATCGCAAACGAGCCTGAAAGTCTCGCATTGTTGGCCCACCTCCTGGGCCGCACAGATAGCACCGTCGTCCATCGGCCTTGATGTTGCTTGGCGCCCGTCTCGCATGGATCACTTTCTGGTTTGGCATGGTAAGAATGATCTGGAGTTGGCGAACATAGGGCCCCTGCCACGAGCTCCATCATGATGCTAGGTCGGCTTCAGGGTTGAGCAATAATACGTGATGGAGATTTCTCTTCTTTGCTCTACGGTATAAGTGTTAAGGTCTTAAAGTACTTTATACAGGCAGAACATAAACTTGACTTCCCCTTACTATAGTCTGTTGAGTTGACACAACCTAATCTAATTTATGTAATAGGCTGAAGAAATACCAGTCTGAATTATCGCTAAAGAATCCCATGTTATTGTACCCATAGGTTCGTGCTTTCTTGCATGGTTGTAGCCGCATAACTGGGGCAGCATGGTCTGTCTAACTGTGGATGAGCAATACCAGGGCTTGGCTAAGTTATGTCTCAGTGATATGACAAGAGGGTATCTGCAAACCTGTCGTCCGGAAAAGATTCTCCCATGGGGGCTTGTTGTATATGCCGCAATTGAGCTCATCGCTTGTGTGTATCACACATACCCTGGCCTTGTCAGGTGGCATAATGGGTCTTTGAATGTATAGTGAATGAGGCCTTTTGTTAAGATATCCCCGTCTGTATACGGGCAACATATTGGCCAATAATCAGTAACAGGTTTGGTTAAAGGCCATGTTTTGCAGTTAGAAGCAGGCGTAGAAGCGAAGTCAAGCGAAGTCTCATTGATGGATCCTCGAGTCCAAACGTGGTATCTCTGGAAGAGTCGGATGTCAGGGGGCAATGTATTACCAACATACAACGTCGTAACTCCGTCGGATAATCATATATCATATTTTTACACAAGTTATTGAAAATATTTCCCTTTGGCTTCAAGACATGTTTCTGCTCAACTTTGAGCCTCGTACGGCTGAATGACATGCGGTCATGGTTCATTTGTTGAATGTCTCAGACGATCCGGTGAGGCTGGGGTTTGAAATTGAATTTATATGTAAGCCACTGTCTGAATGCAGCAGTATAGGATAGCTAAAGCTTAAGCAAGGGACAGCGCTGCATCTTCAGTTCGGCACTTTGGAAGAGAAATATATTAGCAAATGCATCTTATAGGCAGATATACGGGTAATGTCTGACTGCTTTCACTTTCATTCTCCGATATGCACGAAGGTTGGCTTGGTCAGCTTCCTTACTCCGTAGTTTATCGGCAGTTATCAACATAGAGCCAATGTCGATCATGAGAGCATTGATAAAGCACTGAGGCGATCAATAGATGATTTGTGACAGAATCGTTCAGCGCTGAGGTGATATAACGTTATCCAACAGCTGTCGGGTGCTGCAAATCGTCGCGGATACGGATACGTTGCCTTACGTGTCGTTGATGGCTTGGAATTCAACAGCCTCCGTGTAAGCTCTCGCGTCCGAGTCTCAACGCCGACACAGATGACAAGACACGGCACCAGCGGGGGTTTTCGGTCTTTTGGTCACAAGATGTCTAAAACCATCATCAACATGTTTCTGACCCCTGGTACCTTGTGCCTTGTGCCTTGTGCCTGAGATGGAGGGGGCGTTTCAATGAGACAGACCAACAACAGAGTTACGATATGAACCGGTGCCAACAGAATAGTCTCCCTATTGTGTGGTGAGCGAGTATGACTGTACCAAACATCCCGAAGGCCGTGTCTCAGACTAAAAAGACAACAGAGGTAAAACAGATAGATAGCTCAGATAGCTCAGATGTATGGATGACATATCTCGCAAGCAGCTAAACACTAGTATCGAGTAACCCCCGCAACCAAAATATCCCATGTTCGTGGATCCAAGTGCGAGAGAGGGGGGGGGGGATACGCGGGTTCAATTCGATGAAACTCATAAACTCGGTGAGTAGGTAGGTAGGTAGGTAGGTAGGTAGCCAGCCGTTTGGTCTCATGACGGGGGAGGGGAATAGTCTACATGGTACAAGTGGTGGTTGTACCTCTGTGTCTGGAGAGACCATTTCCTTCAATGATGACATGGATATGATTTGTTTGCTATCCGTACACGTGCAATACCACAATTTCTTGCATCCTTGAATCGACCATCCATGCATGTTTGCTCTTTGTCTTGTCTTGTAGACACGCCTCCCTCTTCAATTGTAAGACACGACAGGGCAAGCATGTCTACACTGCCACAAGACACCGGTACAGCGGCACGATATGTACGAATATGTACGCAATTCTTGACGGTTGACCCCGGCACCGGCACCAGCATCAGCATTAGCAGTGAGAGTGAGATTACCGTATCTGAACATTCATACGTGCAGCATCTTATTTCCCCTCTTTTTGCCGGCCTATCACCTCTTGGCCGGGCATGCGATACACTGCTAAACCCGCTGTCGTGGCATCATACACAAGTGTTCACAGACATGCCGCCTGCATCTCTATCATGGCATCGAGCATCCCACATCGCTTCCATTTCCCCATGCGGAGATCTGCCTGCTGCCAGACCAGGGCTTGCAGTTGTAGTTGTAGTGCATGGCTTGGACCATCCGAAACATCATCTTTCGATGCCTAGGATTTGCACGTCTCAGCCTTGGACAATCCCATGGCTGTGGCAGGCATCACACCTTTATTGTGCTGTGCCACTGCTAGTCCTTGTGTTTTGTCTTGTATCGCGTGGTGCGTGGTGCGTGGTGCGTGGTGCGTGGTGCGTGGTGCGTGGTGTAGAGCAGTACAACAGCTCTGAGTCTAAGATGCCTTGGATATTACATTGTACTTCTGCCTTGTGTCTTTCCCTGCCCTGCTTTGCCTTATCACGATCAACTGTGACTGTCTGACTGTCTGACTGTCTGACTGTCTGACTGTCTGTCCGTCTGTCATGCTTTGACCAAACTTCCCCTCATCCGTCCCCCCACGATATATCCAGTCAACCGTATTAGTTTCCTAGTCACGTTGGACGATGACTTTGCCTGCTGGTCATTCGTTGTCAGGACCCAATTGAGTTTATGAACCAATGACGATCCCAACTGTAAGTGAGTTTCTCCTCTTGGGAGCCGTTGCAGATTCGCTGGCTTGGGCCGCACCGTTTCCCAGATATCCGCACGCTAAATCGACCTGCATCTCGTTCTTTGCTGCACACTACACGCTGCTCGCTGCTCGCTGTAGTGCAGCAACATACTAGCAACGTTAGTGCCCTGGGAAGGATTCGACAACACAGCACAAGGGAGTATCGTGCATGATTCGGCGCTTTCTTTTGCTTGCGAATACCATCTCGTGACTCCTCGTTGCAGGTTTTAGCCCTTTGGCCGCTATTTAGTGGCCACCCATCCACCACCACCACCAAACAGTTAAGTTTCGTTTTGATCTCGATCCTTGCGTGCGTGCGTGCATGCGTGTGTGTGTGTTTAACGTACATACTTGACCGCCTATTCCCATTTAGTGCCCAGTTTTATTTTAACTACACCATGCTATAGCTTTTGTCCATCGTGGAAGATGACGCCGACTTGAGCAAATTCCCATGTAGGGTAAAACACTGCATGCAGAAACCGTATGCATAGCTGCCTTGTATTATCCTCCACTAATCAAGGCCAAGGACACAATCAGTCCATTATCTTGTGATACAAGGTCCAGTAGTTGCAAGATTAGTCTATCACGGCTCTGTTATCGACAGTCATGATATGTTGATATAGCCATTCATGACATGGATCTGACGTTGGTGACCCCTCTTAATACACCGAGAACCCCACGATCTGCAACGCGTCAAGTTACATCCGTTTCTGTGGACGTCCTGCCACTTCTTTTCTCCGCAACAACACGAAGATGCTTCTCAAACATATCCATACATGATTACACTGCACATGAAATACGGATACTAGACCAAGCTGCAAGCATGTTCTGTAGACCCTGAGCACCTACCTGACAAAGTGTTGCAGGTGGTCGATCAACGCATATCTAGGACCCGCAGCGGGCCGATCTGACACAGAGTCGCTAGCAATTATACCCTGTTCCTCGCAAGTCAAAGCTCCTTGTAATCTATGATTTTGCGGTCCATCACGGTATCACATAGGCGCGTGCGTGGGTTGAGGACGATCAACCGAACATACACCGCCAACAGATATGAACCATCATCAGGTGAATGTCGATCATGATGTGATCAACCAACAGCGGGCTCATAAGAGCATGATACCAAGCAGTGTACAAAGGCAACAACGTCAGAGATACATGTCCAACTGAAGGGCAAGCAGCAAGTCATTCAAGCAGACGTTTGCAATACAACAAAGGGCTCAGCAGATACAGCTGCAGAGGATTGCAAAGTACAGCAGCACGCAATACACATAGTGATGCGGCAAGGAAGCCGCCCACGTTGCTTTACTTACTTTCCTTGGCCTTGTATTCGTTGTACGGTACGGAGTACAGAGGTTGAGCAACCCCCAAAAGACAGCCGAGCAGGATCTGTAGAGTTGCGTAAAGAGCTCCCTTGCGATTAAGCACGTTGCCCAAAACGATAGGGTCGCAGGTGAAGGGGCCAAGCCACCGAGTCCCCTATGTAGCTGTCACCATTCACGGAAAGGACTGCGAATCGAGTCCTGAGTCCCGAGCCGAGGGTTTATTCCGCCAACTGGGACACGGCGTGTAGTTGTCTTGGGCTCGAGGCCTCTGGCGCAGCAGCTGCAGATAGGCGTATGCATGCCGAGATGTAATGCCTTGGTCAGAAAGCAGTCGACCCTTACCAACGTGGAGACAGCTGCATGTTTGATAACCAACTCATATTAATATGCAGCTCATGGTCCCATTCCAGGGGACCGTGCCCACTGATTACCTTGCGAATCATCACCACGTGCAGCTGGGGAGGTCGCTTTTGGGTGGAACTTCATATCAAACCTGCAGGATAATTAGTGGTGAGCCAAGAAGATATCCGTGGAAGCCGAGGTATTCACCGCACCTGGACAATTATGCGCGCAAATTCGGATAACATGTTACAAGTTGAGGCAGTTTGTTCGAGTTTGAATCCACCGCAATTGCCGTAGGTTGATAGAAGGGTAACAATTTCCGACGAGGTTCTTGTTTCGCGCGCAAAACAGCTCAACACCAGGTTTCATAGTGAGCGGAAAAACTCGTGTGTCTCATCACCCAGCCCCCCAAACCCCAAACCTGCGTCCAATCTGAGGGCAGCGCCGAGAATAGTCGGTTATGCTGGAGCCTGGTTGAAAGAGAGCAACAAAACAAGTCCCGTCGTCTTGGGCGAAATAGGGTTACATCGCTGGATCGATTAATGGTGCTCCTCAACCAGGAAAAGACGCCACGTTTGATTGATTGTTCCAATGAGGGCACATCTTAGTGATTCACCGCCCACACATCAGCCGTCGCTGCGCTGTGCCTAATGTAGGCACTGTAGTATCGTGTAGCCAAAAATATCAGCATCAGCCTCGCATCATTTCCCCAGTGCAGGGGCCCGGACATTACATTGACATAAATGTATCAATAGCGGTAGCCATCAATAATTCGTGCGTGGCTGGTTTGAGATAAAGGTCGAGACCAGATCCAGGTATCCGTATCCGTAGAGGCTGAGCTATTGAGGGCGTGCCGTCGCGCTGTGCATGGAGGTTAAATCTCGAGGACAGGCTGGCAGCCTTAATTGACCATTAACTTTCATCGAGGGATGGAAAAGGAGCATGTCTCAGAGCATGGAGCATATCGGAAGTCAATACTCGATCAAACAAGGGCAACAGCTCTGCCTTGAGGCCTTCCCCATCCGTGCACCTGTAATGTAATGTAATCACAAATCACAGCTCACGGAATGTGGGAAAGGGGTTTCGTATGAAGCTGACGACTTGTGACTGAGACTGAGACAAGGACAAGTGGGCAAGGTATCCGTTTGTATGCCCGTCAGAATGATGGACACGAACTGGGATCTTCAGGGGACGCCACACAACAGTCCTCGTCATACATTGGTACATATCCCCTGATTTCCACGTGGAGGGAGGTGCGTGCCCCTGGGGGTCTGGGTCCTGTGGCTTGATAGCCCTGTCATAAGCTGAAGAAGAGTGTATGGTTGTGGTGACCGTGGCAGCGTGGTCAATGGGTCTCTTTTCTTTTGGCAGCTGTGGCTGGCTGCTGAACTCGACGACACCGACCGTTGTCAATTGATGCATGTCTGTGGCTTTTACCTCCTTTGTCTTGCTTTCAATCAATGATATCGTCAGCTCTGCGCCGTACGGAGTAAGACCCTCCGAGTCTTGGTAGTAAGCTGGTAAGCTCGTTTGCATCCGGCTGTACTTCTCCTAAGCTGGGCATAGTGGGCTGAGACAATGAAGCTGACAGAGTTTAATCGGCCGAGTTGAAGGCCAACAGTGTCGCTGGCGGCCGTCGATATGTCACTGCCACGATGGTTGAACTTTAATTAGTGGTTACGAGACTATACCGGTTCTGTGCACTCAGCTACCGCAAGTCTCAAAGCCTTGTTGCTTTGAATCTCCGAAAGTTGGCCGCTCGATTAGCAGAAGAAAGGAAAGTTCCAAACTGACTAAAAACCGAGAGATTGGTTCTGACAAGTTGGCCAAGAAAGGCACGGGCCCGGCCAACTTTGAAAGAGTTTGCGGTACTTGCTTTGGAAGTACGCAGATAGGTTAGTACAGAATAGAGAAAGAAGCAAGCGTCTATTCGGCACTATTATTGTCGATGTGATATGAACGGACGAGGGAGCAGACAAAGTTTGACCAAAACCAGTTTTCAGCTCGTGGTGAGCCCGGCAGAGGCGTCAGTGGCCTTGTGCCAAGTCCCTTAAAGTCCGACCGCGTGGATGAGTTCAACGGTTTGAACTCTCCTCTGAACTTTGAACTTTGGCGAAGCCTACGAGGCTAGCTTTTTTAGCGATCAAAGGCCCTAACCCCCATCTGGAGCCGAGGCACGGCGTCTCCGTGATGGGCAGCATCAGAATGACCATGCTCAGCTGTGAGTGGTTCGAGAAACCCAAAACACGCTTGAGACGGTTTACGGTGATCTCTATTCCTTGTTAGAGAAATGCGACGCAGCCAATTGCCTGCCAATTGGGGGCTTGAGGTTTGTTAAACGGGGCGGCCGCTGTCCAATCTCTTTCGCCGCTCGGCAAAGGGGGGCGGGCTTCAGGTACCAACCAACACGGCGGAACTGAGGTGGACTTTTTGGTGTAGTTCGGAGGAAACTGCCGAGAAGAGCGGAATATACAGCACTCACCTGACAGAGACGTACCAATAATGTCAAAGAGAAGTGTGATTGATTATTATTCAGGGTCGCATCAAAGGATTTCTTCATGACTGATCGCCGCAGGCATGCTTGGTTTGACACTTGTAGCGTAGAAAGAGTAGAGATAGATTACGGAGTACGTAGTACGGAGTTGACAGAGATCATCTGGCTGTACGGATATTGATTCGTATTGATTGAATACTGACCAACCCCGAAATTGATCGGATCTCTGATGATCTACCAGGGTATTCACATCTTATCGATTGCCACTCTCAAATACATACATGATCTTCATGTTTGATGTAATTATCAAGGGTTCTGACTTGAGGCAGATAAAAGAGGGCGGAACTCATGCGATGGGAACATGACTTATGGATATCGTACATATTCATGAAGATCACACAGGTTAGAGACAACGGGGTTCCGCTCTGGCGCAATGGCGGTATCCATTTGATTTCCTACCAATTTGCCACCATTCCCACTTCAACGTCAAGGAGAAGTCGGTGTAGCATGGAATTAGACGTTTCTATCAGAAACCCGGCGGTCTGGAACCGGCACACGGGGTTTGTGGTCTGTGTTTTAACCTCATCTCCCAGAGTCGCAGCAACCCCACGAATTGAGAATTTGGGGGAAGAAAGAACAAGCAGAAGAAGAAAAGAAATGAAAAGAAAGATCTTACCGCTGGTGCGACGAGCTCTGTATCCACCCCTGGGATAATGATAATAATAACTGGTTCCTGACGACACTGAAACTTGAAGATCATCAATAAGGGACGACATCGGATTCGACCTCAAGTTGGGATGAAGCTAACGGTACGTAGTGCTCACCAGCCTCGTCATCCACCATTCTAAGCCCGCTTAAACAATTATTAACCACTCCGAGACCACCTAAAGTCCTAAACTCAGCGCCCAAGGCCAGCCAAGTGTCCTCCCTAATGACCGTTGGAACGGCATGTTTGCCGCTAGCTTCGAGTTTGCCACCACCCGTACTTTTAGTCAGGGGCACAGGTCGGTGAGGCAAACATGTTGTAAATTATTCCTCAATTGAGCTATGTCCAAGTCTTCAGTAGAAGGGGGGTTTCTCGATAACTATTGAGGCTGAATTTGTCGTGTGGGGAGGTTATTGTTACAAGGGATGAATAGTTCAAACATCGCCAATGCAGGGTCCAGGGAGTTTAATTTCCCAACAGAAGCCAAGAAGCATGACATAGGAGAAGGTGTTGTCATGATGATACTGTCCAGGGCTCAGGTAAGCAAGGCTGTCGTTGCTTTTTTTTCTCTCCCACTCTTTTCCTGATCTATTGACGAGGCACGTGCGCGATGGTTAAGAGCTGGGAAAATGACCTATTGATCATAAAAATAAAATAACACAAAATGCAGGGGTCTGACGCCCCGTCAAAATCACACAAAGACGGAGACGAAAGGCCTGTAGACACGCCCCCTTTCGGCATGGACCAAACCTGAGGAAAATGATATACTCAAACATCAAGTACCGACCGTTTGACGGCATTACCATCAATTGCCAAGCAGTAGATAGGCGCTCAAGCCTGGAGTTGGGCCGTGTTGCATGTTGCGTACGGAGTAAAGGACACAAACCTGCTCAGTAACGGGATGTCGTGCATGATGTCTTGATGCTTCTGTCCGTGTAAGCCCAATGTCCCCATCGACAGCTCACACTGGACCCGGTATACGGATTTCGTCTGATGGATACCATGCACGTCTATCACAGAGATGCATTGCATTTACGGAGTTATACTGCACTGCGAGCGTCTAAAACGGCCAGCGCATTCAGTCCAGCTTTTCAACAGGGTTTAAGACTGTAAGTGAAAGTGCCTATGTAACTTCAGGCTTAGGGTATGATCGGCAAGCCCGGGCAATTAACCGGGAGGACAAATTTACTTACATAAATAGGCTATAAAACTAACCTTTTTACTTTAAATACCGTTTCTAGCCTGTAATCTTATATAATTAATAGATTAGTAAGTAATTAATACTTTTATAAGTAAATTTAGGTAACCTAATATACTAAATTAGTAAGGGGGCTTATAAATTACTAGATAAGGGTAAGATATTAAGTAAGATCCTTATTTTTTAGTATTTTCTACTATTTTTCCCCCTAAATATAAATATACCTAAATAACTATTTATAATAACTATAAAAAATAGCTTTAAAATAACCTTAATATTATATTTAATATATATTTCTTATAGCTAGGTATTAATAATAACTTTATTTATTAAATTATTATTAATAACTTTAATAACTTTTAACTATACTATATAGCTATTATTTTAATATTCCTATAAGTCTATAAATATTAATATTATTATTAACCTTAATATATAAATAATCCTCTTACCTAGCGGTTATATATTAATAAACTAGCTAACTTTTAAAAGTATATAAAGTAGCTCTTTACGGCACTTAATATAATATTTAGTAATCTATTTTATATATAAAAGGTATAGTTTTTTAAGTTTTTTTATTAATTAAGGATTAATATAAAGGTAATAAATAGCTAGTATTAATTACTTAAGCTAAAATTAATAATCTTTTTATAGATATTAACCTATAATAAATTATAAAGAAATACTATATATTACTTTAAAGTTAATTAAAATACCGTATTAATAATCTTTACCTATTTTATTAATTTTATATAATAATTATATATAAAATTTATTTATATACTAAAGGAAATTTATATTAATCCTTAGGTTAAACTATAAAGTAAATTTATATAGTTTAACGGTATTATTAAAGTAATAAATAAAATATATATATTAATATTTATTTCCCTTATTAAGTAATAAAGATTCTAATTAAAAAAGTTAATAATATTATAAAATATACTTACCGTAATTAACTTTAAAGGCCGTTTTTTATATATACTTATAGGTATTAAGGGCTTTATTAATAATATAATATTAATAAAATATATCTATAATAATAGCTTTAATATACTATTAGGTTATTTTTATTTAGTTAATACTGGCTTTAGGCTACGGTAAGGTATTTTAATTCTATATTTATAAATATAATATTACCTATAAGACTAAGGTAATATTAATAAGCAGCTAGATAATAAAAAAAAGCTATATAATCTTTATTATACCTAGCTTTATATAATTATAAAGTAAGTATTTAATTATTATAAAAGGAAGTAAAAGATAATAAGGAATAATATACCTAAGTATTTATTTAGTAATTAGATTAAGATTATATATACTATAATTAGGCTTTATAATTTCTTTATATTATAAAGTAAGGAACTAAGATTAGTAATTAAAAAGGAGGAGTTTATAAAGAAAGAATATTATATTTTAATAAGGGCTTATAGCTATATTAATACTATTATAATAAGGAAATCTAATTTAATAATAAAAAATCTAATTATAAAATAGCTTTAATTAACTTATTAAGATTATTTTTAATTTCTTAATAAATTTAAAGATAATAATTTTAATAAAAAAATAAATAAATAAATAAAAAAGGATTTTAATAATATTAAGGGGGAAAATAGTATTAAGGAATAAGCTATTATAGTAATACGGTTATAAGGCTATAAAGTAAAGAACTAAACCTATATAAAATATTTTAAATTAATTATAGACTTTAAAAATTTAAAATTACCCCTTACTATACTAAATTAGGTAAAAAACTTCCGTAGATTATACCTTATAATAGCTTTAACTAGATTAATTTTTTTCTAATCTTTATAATACTATAAAATTATATATAATATAGCTTTTTTAACCTTATATATAATAATATATATTTATATTAATATATCTATAAATACCTTCTTTATTTCCTTATTATTAAAGGAATTTTATATTAATATATTTTTTATATCTTATTATAGCTAGTTTATTACCTTAATTATAAATTATATACCTTATTTCTCTATAAAAAGCTAAGTATAATCCTAGATTATACCTTATAAATCTTCTACTTTAATAGGCCTTATAGTTAATATATAATTATAAATAACTAACTAATTAGCTATAAATAATACCTTTAAGTTATTAAAATTATTATTACCTTTCTTTATAGTCTTTATCTTTTTTTACTAAGGGAAAGGAATTAAGTTATTAAGTAATATAAATATATTTAAGGCCTATTTTACTTTATTTATTATAGATATAGTTAATACCCTTAAAGAGTTTAAAAAAAATAACTTAACCTTATTATCTTTTTTTATAATAGGTCTTATTAATATTATAGCTATATATAATATAACTACCTTAATAAAGTTATTATTATTTTCTTTACGGTTAATAGCTTACTTATTTAATAAAGGTATTTTCTTAATATATAATTACGGTATAGCTTTATAAATAGTAAAAACTATTTTATTATTAACCTCGGTAATAAATTAACCTACTAGAAGGTTATTAAAAAATATCTTAAGATATATATTAATTATAATAATCTTATTTACCTATAAACTATTTTTTATTACCTTTATACCTATCCTTAAGTAAGAGTTTTTTATATTTTTTTTTATAACTTACTAATTATTATTCTTCCTTATAAGTTATTATAACCTCTTTTAATATATTTATTAAGGTTATATTATATATAATACTTATCTTTAATATCGGTTTATTAACTCTTAAGTTATTAAAAATCCTATATAATCTCTAGGAATATAACTTAAAAGTCGGTAATAAAAGATTTAAATATAGGCTTAATAATAACCTTTTTCTTACTATTTAGCTTTTAGGATTACCTTATTATTAATAACTTATCTATAAAAAGGAAATATTAATTTTAAGTCTATTAATTTAAAGAGGCTTATAAAAAGGGGGCCTATAATACGGTATTAAGCTATAATAACGGTAGTAATAGCCTTAATTAAGTTAGTAAAGAGGTTTAGATTAAAAGCTATAATATTATAATTAACGGTATTATTAAAAGCTTTAAATTAATAGCTAAAATTAATATTAATAAAAAGACTTTAATTTTAGAATTATAACTTATTATTATATTAATCTCCCTGCCTAGAAAGCTATATTAAATTTATCTCTAAAGGCAGTAAGGGCCCCCTATAGAATAGGAAAAATACCCCTTAGGTATAACCTTACCGACCTATATATATAAATATAGCCCTTAAATTTAATTATTAATTTTACCAGGCTTGCCGATCAGGCCCTTAGCAAACGCCTCCTACAGGCTCCGTCTCATAAGTGCAGCGCCATAATCAAAATAATAAGTGACCCGAACTGGCGGTAAACCGACGTGACATTGGCATTGGTCTTGGCAGGTTTGTTGAATATCCGAAAACACCATCTTCAGCCCGGACCAGCCACGGAACAAAGAAAAGAAGTAACTTGACACGTCCTACGTACGTAGCATCAGTCCCAATGTCCCACTCACGTCGGTGGGCTATTGCATTTCGCCAATGATCAATCTGTAGTCCGAGCTTGGCTCTAGAACCAGATCCCGACCTTCCATTTTTCCAAAGAATATTCTACGAGATGGACCGGGCTCTTGTCGGTGTGGTCGGTCATTCATGATCCATTCCTCTCTCGCTTTACTGTACGTACTTTCGGTAATCGAGGGCACCCATGCTGTTCTGTTGGCCAGACGCTGACGCCTCAGTCGGCAAACGATAACGCCAGCCGTGCTAATTTTCCACGGCATGATGAAAGTGTGGCCCCTCCACGCACAGCCCTGGAAGAATCAATGGAAGACTTGTAGAACAATTCCACTAGAACCCACTATCAAAGTCACAATCCACAGAAAGAAAAAGAGAAGAATGAAAGAAAGGCCTCGGCCATGTGTTCCGTCCAAATGGAAGTTTCGGCGCTGCTTCGAAATCACGGACCATCCATGAATCGTTTTCTTTCGACATAAGATTTTTATCTTTCAAGCCGAAACATCCAGCGGAGCCGCCTTTACTTCGTTGGATCGCTACAGGAGGCCGTAGTAGGCCACAAGGACCCCTATGACTTCATATCAATCTGCAAGACGATGATCTCGACCGTGTCAGACCCAAGCGCTCTCGCTTCGAACGCACAGTCATAATCGCGGTGAGATGAGGTCTTTTTCTTTTCTTTTCGCCTTGCAGTATTAGCAGGACTGTGCTGTAGGAGCAGGAGTGGGATTAATATTAAGGTGAATGAAGCGAGATCTGCTAGCGAAAAAGAAATGGGGTCAAGCGATGGATGATGACTGAGCAGAAGTGGAGGTTTCATTTCATTAAGAGCATGCATGCATGCATGGTTCTGGGAATACGAATAAGCAGTGCGGAGAGACTGAAGCAGAGACAACAGAGAGAGAGTATCAATGGTTCGTTGAGTCCACATCCATCCACACATCGTTAACTGAGGCTCGTTGCCAAGACACGGACCGGTGAGTTGGAGACTGCAACGTCGCCGTATAACATCATCGTCACAAGACTCAACGTGTGAGTCATCCAGACCCCGGATCAGTCTCACCCATCGACTGGGGGGGAACACCGTTGGCAGGCAGGGATACAGATCCAGAGCTTGGGGTTGGGCAGTCTTACTGAAGAACCACACAAACACTCAACATCAAACCCCCCTGTGTAAGTTTGCAGGTGTCGAATACATACATTGCTTACTACCTTGCAAAAAATGTAGGGCTGCAGCCAGCACGGGCATGGTGGTGTTCACGGCGATGTGATGCGATTGCCCATGCAACTCACGCCGAAAAGGTAAGGAAGAAACAGAAACAGAAACAGAAAAAAAGAGGCGGCGGCACAGCATCACCACGCGGCGTTGATGCTTTCCAATATGTCCTCGGCGAACTGATATGTGAAGGATTGATTACGAGACTACGTAAGTATGCTTTACTTTAGCTTGCACGGCTTACACGGCTGATGGGTGCTATTTTGGTCTCCGTGAGTTAAAGGAGCCTCGTAAAAGCCAAAACAGCACACCAACCTGTAACAAGAGAACAGCCCCGGGAGATCATGAGCTACGTTGCACGGCAAACTTGTTGTAGTCAGGCACAGGCACGTAGATTACGGTAGTGCTCTTACAATCTGGCCATTTCCCACTTTGCACCACGAGCTTGAAGATAGCACTGGAATGCTCGGAGGCGGCCCGTGTCCTTTTCTAATAACGAGGCCAATCCAGAAGCGCTGTTGACTGTTAAACTTTCCGAATACATATGTTTAAACAAGCGCCAGGTTCCGTGTTGGCGAAAGAGAGTTTTAGGACGCTCTGCCGGGCCAGATGCCGAATACCATCATTCTTTAGCGAGGGGAGGTAGCCTGAAACGAATACGTTTATCCTTTCTCGCGATGGATGGGGAATAATTACAGTTTGGCAGGTTTTTGTGTGTTAAATGAACTTAAATCAGGTGGCATTGCCGGTTTGCGAAATCACCACACGGAGAGAAGTGCACTTACACTACATTGGCTGACCTTATTTGTTGAAGGAAACAGCTCAGCTTGGACCAACAAGCACGTGTTGCTACATGTCAAGACTCAGGGTTGAAGCTGGGGTTGGGGGTAGTATAATCGATCTGAGACTTTCTGGCACCAATAACCGAGACATGAGATCAGTCATGTCGTACCCGCAAGTTGGAGGTGAAGTCAGTTTGCTATGACACCAGCGTTTAGACTGGATTGGATTGGTTTGAATTGGACTGCACTTGTTGTTGTTATGGAATAGTTACCCCCGCAATCAACAACTCTCTTTGGGAGTCCAGGCCCGTCAAACCGTGGGCTGCTTTGATGCCCAAAATAATGCAGTATCAAGTTAGCACATGTCTATCGGTCAGTCGCTAGGCCGGTATATCCACAATGTCTGCTTGCTTCTTTTCGGCGGTCAAGATCTATCAATGGCATCCAGGGTCCGGATACCTATGTATTCGGCATGCATGCTCAGCCCTAATGTTATCCATCCCGTGGTTGTTGAGAAAGCTCGTAAGCTGACCGCGGATTATCGTACTCAAATTACGGATACAATTGGCCCATTTTGTGCGGCATGAACACAAACATGAATTAAGCGGTGACAGAAAACCGCTGCCCCCTGGGGAACCAATAATTGGCATTAGTTATGGATCTTTTTTTATACACTCATCTCAATTCTTGTCAACTCACATGCGAACCGAGCAGAAACAGGGGCCGTGGCAGCGTGGGTTAGAAAATAACCCGCACACTGGGCCAGGTTGACAGAATAATCTGGTCTGAATTTGGCACAAGAGCGGCACATAAATTTTGTCAACATTCATATCGTAGCCTGTCCAGCTAGCCAAGGTTCGGGCTCATGGACCACCGAAATTGGACGTCATTCAATTTTCAGCGCCGGGCTTTACAGACCCCGGACAACTCTCCACTTAGGACGGAGCCTGGGTAAGGAGAGCAATCTTGCAATGGCCAGGGATGTGCTTCTTCGAAAGCTTCCACACGACGTTCTACGACAAGGATTTGTCTGTGGAACCAGTCCTTTTTTTCTTCTTCCCTTTCCTTTCTCCAGTTCCGCTTGTTTCATGCTGCTTGGCTGACGAGGATCTGTAGCCGTCTAAGCCGGACCTGCCAGCACCCAAGCAAGCAAAAAATGAAAGATGAATATGGTGTCTAGCGCATACCCTGGACTTTCGAATAATTGCCTGTTTTGTACAAACCGAATAGTCCAACTCGATGATGGTTGCTCATATAGTAAGAAGAAGGAAAAACTAGTTAGGTCCCCAGATGGTCGGAATGAATGATTCAGTTACAGAGACTTGGTGGCTTGAACTGGGCTGGATCTTCACGGTAGATCCTCACAAATTGACGGGTTTCGTTTTCCTGCCGTCCGAGGTCGCTAGGTAAGGTTGAGTTTTTGGTGCGCCTCGACGGCGGAAGCCGTCAGTTACAATTGACGCCGGTTGTTGATAGCGTTGGGCTAGAGTACACTTTGGGTCATGATACTCGTGGCATTTGGTTTCAAGAATTGCAGGTAACAAAGAGTTGACTGCTTATTATTACTGCATAGAGAATATGCTCGACAGGTTTAACCTGTTGTGCTGCATTGGCAGGTAGTCCAGCTGATCTCCCCTATACCCAATGACAGGCTGACAATGCGCCGTACAAAGCAAGGAAATCGTCATGGTGAGCATTTCCAACGTCCCCCTTGTTGCATTTTGGGGGGCTTAACCGGCATTCAAAAAGTTCAATGGGCGTGTCATACTCCGTACAGCATATGTGAATTGAGTTGAAAGTAAAATTATATGGCATCAGCCGTATTACAGAGCGACTAGGCTGTGCTGGGCTGGGCTGAGCTATGCGTGCTGTGCTGTGCTGTGCTGTACGAAACTAATTGATGCACATTGCATTCGCAGCATCGGTGAGGCAGCGAACAGTCAAATTATGGCCGAGCACATTGCATTGTGCTACTGCATGTACAGGGGTAAGGACCCAAAGACAATGCTTTTTTTCTGCTTTCAATAGTATCAAAAGAGTTGTGGACGCATGTAATTTAATTATGAAGTAGGACTACCGACTACGGAGCACAATATTAATTAATTATTGATTGCATTGGTGGGTTCTGTTGAATTGCTGTGCGACAGGGGGTTGACTCCAGTTGTTATTTTACCATGGCCGCTGTGGTGAGAGCAGTATTAGAGCTCTTTCAGTGAGGTGGCTTCAGGAGATGGAACCTAGGGATTCCATGCTTCACTCTGCCATGCTATTAACAGCTTGTTTCAACCTCTCCCGTGTTCTATTTTGTCCACCTTCACTAATTCCATAGTTGGAAAAAACCCCTCGGCTCCGTCACCGTATGTTCCAGTCAAGATGGAAACGAGACCAGACCAGATGAGAAAGAGGAGGTGTATCGTATTGAATTCTCTTACACCGCATCAGAATAATTAGAAACCAAAACTCGGCGAGCAAGAAGGAGGATCTCATTGGACCCACGCTGATTGACATTTGGAACTTTGCCTGTCCGCTTGCTTCAGGTCTGAGCGGGCTCGGGTACCTGGGGCCAAAGTACCTCGACTGACGTATCTACCTCGTACGAGCCCTGACCTCCATTTCGTCCTTTTCCTCAGGGGGCGTGTCTCCTAGAGCCGGGGGGTGGGAGGCTCATCAATCGCTTCTGGGCTGAGGGGAGGGCGTGGGGCGTGAAGATGGAGGCGTGGGCACACTCCCCTTTTCTGCCCATTCTGCCCATTCTGCCCCCCCTGTCTTCAAGTGGTGCCCTGTGTCTTGCGCCCTGGCTGCCCGGGCTGCTTCACCTCAGATTGCCTTTTTGCCTAGGAGCTGCTGGTAGTGGTAGTCGTAGGTAGAACTGGGAGGCACAAACACAAGATGGGCCAGGAATACAAAAAGGGCTGCGACCTCCCTCTTCCCCACGACCCAAAAACTTGTTGATCACTTTCATCATCGACTCATTAAGAATCTATTTAGGCTTTCACTCTCGCCTCTACTACCACTTACACAAACAAACAACCAACACTACTATCTATCATCACTACTACTTTGATCGATATACTCGACTCAACTCTCAACCAACCAACAAACAATCCACTTATACAGAACTGAGCTACTAGTCCTCGGTTCTCACACAACTACTCGAAGTCTTTTATCTTCAACTACAACAAACAAACACCATCAAGATGCCTGCTCAACGACCTTCGCAGCTTCCTCCTTGCCCCGGCCCTCCTCCTAGCCGCCCTCTGCCTCCCCTGCCCAAGCGAGGTTAAGCAGATCGACAAACTTAGACGGCAAATAACCAGTACAACATCACCTTTTTGCCTTGGTTTCAGCCTCCTGGGATCACAGCAAAAATACCACCGTGTTCTTGGCTTCAGCTCTCTCTCGGTTACACAACCAACAATAGGACATGGTTCGCCCGGCTCTTGTTCGCGACGTGCCGCATATGCATATGCGAACTCCCATGCACCTAATTAATAAAGACCATTCTGGGTCATGAGCTGCAAGTCAACAGCCAATTACTACCACGGTTTTGATTCAACCGTCGAATCAATCAACCTGCCTTTACCGGATCTTCCTGGTCACCTCTTTTTGCCCAGGCATATCACGACCCGGTCCAACTCATCAACTGTCCCTTATGGCTGGACCGACCGGACTCTTCAACTTCACTTCTTCTGCGTGCGCCTCTCAACTGCGCATCACCGTTTCAATACCCTTTACTACACTATCTAATTACATTGAACAACCTTTTTATCCTTCTCTACTTCGTTCATCACTATTTGGGAGGAATTTTGTTCCACGGTCTTTCAGGGAACTGTATCAATAGACAGGCATTATCACGGCGTCTCACACAACATACACCGCATCCGCCCACTATCTCTGGGATCTGCGCGCGTGTTTGGCTTTTTATTTTTACGATGCACACGCTGGTTGGGAACATAGATTATCATTTGGGATGGGTTGGTTATTTAACACCCAATTCCTCAGGAGCAAATGGGATTATGTCCACTGATCACTCAGTGTCGACGGAAATGGAACGATATACCACGTTTTTACTTATTTGACAATACACACATACGCAAACTCAATCAAATTTGAAAGTGCCTTTAAAACAATCAGAATTCAATAGTGACATTGGTGACATGAAATGGCTTCTTCGTGTCTTTCCTACAGCAAATTTCTTCCCCCAAGAATTACTTGGTGGACGGACCTCATTTGGGTCTGCGACTCAAAAACAAAGGTGACTATTGCGTTACTCAAATTACATCAACCCCTGTAGCTTCAGCGCCTCGTGATCTCCATCCTTGCTCAGGCTGCTCCCTTGCATTGTAAGATGATGATGTATATTTGTCATTGCCATTGCCAACAATAGCCACGCTAGGCTGAGTCCTGGGCAACAGGAAAAAAGCAGCAATTCGGTTCCTGTCATATCTCTCGCCCTTTTGAGGCGGTCGTCAGCTGTTCAGATCGACGCTGCAGAAGCGCGGCGCAGGACGTGGGCGTCAAAGAGAACTGAAACCCGCAGGGCCCCTTAACCAGGGACTGCTTGCGCAATAATTACCAACTACAGCATGTATTTCTGACTGTTAATATCTCATGGAAATGTCTGACATGCCGTCTTGTGCCTTGTCTTATTCGTGTCCCGTCTCCAGCTACAGTCTCCAGCCGGACATGCCGTGTGCTCCTATTCCTAAAGTTGAATCTTGCCCCGAGGGGAGGGGGCAGGCAGACAGGTTGTTAGTGAGTATCTGTAGTCATCAGAGTAGTAGAGACGGACATTTCATTCAATCGTCATCTATTAACGAAAAGTCCGTCGCTTTGACATTCGACTTGGTCCCCGCCAAAGCTAGCACACGACAGCTGTCCTGTAGGCTGTGGTCCTCTGAATCCAATGTAATACAGGCCAATCGCGTTGCTCAAAATAACGTTTTGCTTTCCAGCTGTTTTATGTCCGGCCCTGAACCGGTTCGACGCCAAGGGGAGTCTTTCCGCCCGCAATTGGGATGTTGGCCGGCCCTTTCTAACTATACCCAATTCTCTTTGAGCTCCAGAGTCCAAGTGAATGAGAAAAAAAGAAGAAAAAAGCTTGAATCGGTGATTCGATCCAAGCTATTCAGTAGTTTGATCCCAAGTTCAAGGCCTAGGGCTGGCTAGTTAACAACCAACAGCCATCAGGCTGGGAACAACAATGATTGGTACCAGCTGACGGCGAAGAAAATCCAAGTTCATGGTGCTGGAGTTCTTGAAGGCTTGCAGTAGCCGTTTGGATTTGTTTGCCGCCTCTCACTGTGAAAAGCATCATACTACATACCACACAACCACCAACAAAGGTAATCTTGCATCTCGAAATGCTGAAACAAGCGGTCGAGGCCACAAAGCCACAAGGTTGCCTATCTTTTTACAATTTGGGATTGTTTAAATTGCCATGTGGCGAACATGCCCAATTTTCTCGCACATCGGCTACTCGTTACTGTATAGGAAAAAATGCATCTCGTCATGTTCCTGTACCTGTCTCAGAGTTTGGCGATCATCGTCATGGACCGGCTTGTTACCGGACCCCTGAAGCGGGAAAAGATTACCGACAGAGGTTGGATTGTCACTGCAACAGGAGTTGGACGAAGATCAGTGTGCTCTTAGGCTCCGTAAGGGCGGAACAGTTGCGCAAGCAATCAGTCAAGGAATGTGTCGAGTTTTTAGCGGCTGCCCTAACCGTCTATGTAGTCTTTAGGCTTGGTGGCATTCTGCCCTTGAAGCCCATCGCCCATCGCCCATCGCCCATCACCCATATCTTGGTAGTTGGTGTAAGTTTGTTGGTGAGACGTTCAGATCGACGTGGCTCAGGTCAACCAGTGGAGTGACAGACTGATCCCCGAAACTCAATGTGATAATAAGTTACATGTCGTAATTAATCCTTTCAGCTGTCCAAGCTGTTATTTATTACCGAAAACTTGGATTAGTATCCGTAGTTTGGGGGTGTTGGCCCAACCAACAGTACGGATACATACATGATAGACGTTGGTATGCAGGTATGTAGATCACATCGGTTCGTGAAACCGTCTTCTTCAAGGGTGACATGATGTGGTTTTCCAAAGAGCTTGTTGACTTGCCAATGTGAAAAGTCTAGACTGTTTCTGCTGTACCTATGTATGGATAATAACAAAGCTCAATAGATTGAATTGCCTCTTTGAGATACAGTCATCGGTACCGATTATGGTCGACACATGGCCGATAATGCGGGACGGGAGGCTGTATCGTTAAAGGCCAGCTACGCCAAAGCGGAGATCAGACAGAAATAAGACGAGAGACGGCCCAAGTGCCCGAGGTAAATCGGCGTTTTTCTCGTTGAAATCAAGCCTCCCCGAGCTGTCTTGACTACATATTCTGTCACTGAAAGTCCAGGTGGATAGTAGTAGTTATCATCAGCCCGCAGATGGAGGCGCTTCTACTAGACTGAAACCTTATCGAGCCGGCGAACTCTCATCACGTGGCTACGCGCTGTCACTGATGGTGGGGCAGACAGCTCGCTGCGGGTGACCTAACATGGCTTGGGGGGAAATAAAACACGGACGTGAGATTTAGTATGAAATTATAATAAACATTCTAGCGAGGAAAATAAAAGTATTAGGATTTTAGAAAAGGCTTTAGTAATACGGATAGTGTTATACCTTTAATATTAAAAAATAATTTCATATAATATTATTATACTTTAATTAAATATGTCTTAGTAGACTTGCTGGCGGTGTTTTATTTCTCGCCCTCCCTAGGTACCTAGCCACGGTAGACCGGGCGGCTAAGTCAATGGACCCAGACAAGGCTGGCGCTGCTGTGTGCTCTACCTATGCGCTGTGCTTTGTGAGGGCTTCAACCTCGACTTCAGGGATCAACTAAGTTTTTACTTTCAGACCTTGGCGTTTCGCCACACGATCTATCATAAACCTTACAGCGCTTTTCAATCTGAGATTCCCGCGCGCTTCTGTTGACGCGGACTTAATCCCGCTCTTTCAAGTTTCTCAACCCTTTCAACTTTGGGTAATACATGACGTCTGTGGAATAACCAGCTTCAGCTTCCTCCCTGATCGACGAACCCTGGCCCGCTCGCTATGCTGGACCTTCATGTCTGGGGTTCCGCCTTTGGTCTTCCGTCCATTGATCCCGAATGTATTGCCGCCATCACATACCTGCATAGCAGCCTCGCTGTATCAGACTGGCGCCTGATTCCCAGTAACGACCCTTCCGTCAGTCCGTCCAGTATGGCTTGCCCCTCTATCTCGTTGCCGTGTCTGAACCTTGTCTTGCTGACCGTTTCATCAAGATTCACTTCCCGCACTCTGTCATGAGGGCGTATGGATATCGGGGTTTGCACCCATCGTCAAGTACTTGACCGACAAGTCACTTAGTGACGATCTGGACGCTGATCTGACGTCCATTCAAGAGGCGGATCGTGTTGCGTATGCTGCCTTCTTGTCTGCTCACGCTGCTCCATTGTTGGATCTTTCGCTCTATGTTTCGGCCGCCAACTGGTCTGCTACGACTAGGCCTGCCTTCAGCACTCTTTTACCGTTTCCATTAACATGGACTGTCCCACCGCTGCTCCGCGCTGAGGCTGTCAAGCGTGTTGAGCACTTGGGCTTTGCTGATATGGATACCGACTTTGATCCTAATGGAAGCCTTCATCTTTCTTCAGGACGGGATGCTTTGCCAGAGACATTCCGGAGGCACATTCCTGCGCGGACGAAGAAGACCGTCCATGAGGAGATGACCCCTGAGCAAGCGGCTCTTATCCGACTCTATGGAATTACAGAGGACTGCCTGTCTGTTCTAGATGACTACCTTGAGGAAGGATTTGAAGAGAATGAGCACGGTTTCTTTGAGGGAACAGAGCTTTCGTCTTTGGATTGTCTAGCCTTTGGCTACCTTTCACTGATGCGCGATGCGCCTGTGCCAAGGTCGTTCTTAAAAGACTGGCTCATGAAGAAGACTCCTCGGTTATCCACTTTCGTTGATTACGTTAAGTCAACATACTTGAAGGAGTCTGACCCCTTGCCTTGGGTTGAATCCGGCAACAACTCCGCGTTGCAAATTAGCAGCCGGACGCTGGATAGCATCCTTCACAATGTTCCTGGATTTGGTGACGAGTATGCCACTGAAGTACGAAGACGTGTTGAGGGAGGCATTACTGGTGTTGATGGCAGGTCCCTCATGTTGGCATTGAGTCTCCTCGCCACAGGCGCCGCGATCGGGTATGGCTACCACACATATAAGGCGATGCAGCCTTTTGGGTCCCGGATACAGGTATGGCAATCACACAAGAACTTGTCAAAACTGAGCGAGTTTGGGGCCCTTGGTTCCATGTTGGGCAGTGTATTGGGAGGGCCGGCAGAGGCGCCTCGACCTTCCCATGCATCAAACCAAGCTCGGTTTGTCGATACTGACATAGATGTAGACTGAACGATCAAAATATTGTAACATTATTGTACATCTACGTAATAGACAAATCAACTACTGAACGCCCTGCCACTGTGGAGGGATGACTAGAGAGCATTTTCCTCCTTTAGTCTAGATGTTTTGAACTATTCATCATTTGTTCTCGTACCATATGAAAATCATGCCCAGTCCGTGCTCTCTCGTAGACCTCCATCTCTTTGCACCATGTCTCTATATCTGTCTGATTTCTTTGCCTGCCATTTCAGGTCGGTCAATCTCCCACTCATCTCTTAGGACCGCAAATGTCAGGTCTGTCACAAGCAGACTCTGTCCCAAGCTCCACACAAGAGTGATAGCATAGAAGAAATTGGCATTGCCACTTCCTGCATAGATCCAGAGGTGGTAAAAGGCAGGTCCCAGGAATGTCGCATATAGAAGCGTAGACGTAGTAACGAAAGCGTACCGCATGAGTGGGAAAACATGTCGGAACAGAGGAACTGTGGACAGGAAGAGACTCGCATCTGCAAGCGAAGGGTATGGCTTGAAGATAGAGAAAGTGCCCAGCAAGATGGTCAAAACAGCTAGTGGCTGGGGGCGCAGACGGATAGAAAGGGCTGCAGGATAGGAGGCGAGATGAAGCCAGAAGACCCCGAGGAAGAAAGCTCTGAAGGAATCGAACATCTCAATGAAGAAGTACCACCACAATCCAACGTTAGGTGTCAGATCCGACAAAGTCAACTGGATGCCATATGTGCGAGCAAGGAACTCCCACGAGTTATTAGCCAGCAAAAAGGACATACCCAACAACGAAACTATGCATCCTAGCACAACGGCCACGTTGGTGGCAGCAAACTTGGCAGCAGATGCAATCCGACGCTTCTCAACTTGACAATCGTAGGCAAGAAGAATCGTGGGAGGAAGGAGGAGGATAGGGTACATGGACAGATAAGATGCAAAAGACAGAGCGACCATGGCATTGAAGGGAGAGCCCTGTATGGCCTTGCTGATGGCGAGTAGAATGGCGCAGTTGGAAAAGACGCCAGTTGATCGCCCTATGCAAGTTGCGATAGTGTATGGGTTGAATAAGAAGCTGTCGCTTTGTTAGTCCCGATATATGAATGGCCTAGAATCAATGTCTCCCTTACCCAGCAGCAATCGCAGCGCTACCAAACTTATTGGCACGACGTGGTGATGTAAACAGCCTCGAGCTGCTCGCCACACCCGAGTCGGCAATCTTATAGAGAGAATCGGCGCTGAGTAGATCGACAGCGATGTAGAGCAGGTGTGTGAAGATGGGCCAGCTCTTTACGTCGGGGAGCAGCGAGAATAAGGGCAGCAGCAGAGGTGCTTGGTGAAAGACACCACCATCGTAAGGGGAAACGTTGTTGGTATATAAGAAGAGACCCTCTTGCACTTTGAAATCAGAGTTGTAAGCTTTCTGCTCTCGATTCACGATGCGGCATGGAATTGTATCTTACATCGCTTGAAGCTTGTGACGGGGGTTGATATCTCGACGCGACCAGTAAGAAGGTCGGGCAGACCGGGGAAGGCGAGGAAGAGAATAAGCCGGAGCAGGGCAGCGCCGGCGAAGACGCTGGCTTTGCCTCGCAATGTCATTGTGTCTGACATTGCATGCTCCTCGTAAATGTCGTAGTTACAAACAGTGGTTTGAGGTTCGCGATGCAGTTGGTTTGGAGGCCACTTGGCGGGTTGAGCTCCTAGCTTGGCGACCCCTCCACCTTCGGGACCTGCCCTGGACCTGCGGGAGAGGGGCCGCTGAAAGAGCCGCTGGAGCTCTGCCCGGACGGTCGATGGCAACTCCACTGTATTCACTGGATTGGCGATGCCAGGCGCTGGAAATGCGCTTGATGGGGCTGGGCCAGTCCCAGGGCGGTGAGTGCATGATAGGCCAATGGGGAGTAGTTGTTGACGGTCTAGTCTGCATTAGCGCCATAGCAAGGCGGTACAATCTGGCATAAAATTTCACGTCGGAAAAAAAAGTTGAAAGATTGTTAGGAAAAAGTGCCCCGCTGGTTTCGCTGAGAGATACAACCAAAACCACCAACCAACACTACCACATCTCCAAACAACAATGGCTCGGATAAAGAAGAAGGGAAAGGCCGGCGCGGCCAAGAACTACGTTACCCGAAACCAGGCGATTCGGAAACTACAGATCAGTCTTCCCGATTTCCGAAAGCTGTGTATCTGGAAGGGAATCTATCCTCGCGAGCCCCGAAGCAGAAAGAAGGTTTCCAAATCATCTACCAGCTCGACCACCTTCTACTACACCAAGGACATTCAGTACCTGCTCCATGAGCCGCTACTGCAAAAGTTCCGCGATCAGAAGGTTCTCGAGAAGAAGATCTCTCGTGCGCTCGGTCGAGGCGATGTCACCGATGCTGCCCGTCTCGAGGGTAATGCTTCGCGACCTGAGAAGACTGGAAAGCCCAGCTACACTCTTGACCATGTCATCCGTGAGCGCTACCCTACTTTTATCGATGCGCTGCGAGATCTCGATGACTGCTTGTCTATGCTCTTCCTGTTCGCCAACCTGCCTTCGACCTCATCGGTTCCTGCGAAGATGATTGCTCGTTGCGAGCGCCTGTGCCTCGAGTTCCAACACTACCTCATTGTGTCAAAGAGCGTTACTAAGTCATTCCTCTCCATCAAGGGTATTTACTACCAGGCAAACATTCAGGGCGAGGAGGTTCTCTGGCTGGTTCCTTACAAGTTCAACCAGCGCGTTGTCGGCGATGTTGACTTCCGCATCATGGGCACCTTCATCGAGTTCTACATGACCCTGCTTGGCTTCGTCAACTTCCGACTCTACACCTCTCTCAGCCTCAAGTACCCTCCCAAGTTCGACCAGGCCAAGGACGAGGCTGGTGCTGAGCTTGGCGCTTTCACTCTTGAGGGCAAGACCTTGGTTGGCGCCGATGAGAAGGAGCAGAAAACATTGGAGGCTGCTGAGCACAAGCCCGATCCCAAGGTCCAGGCTGCTGTCAACAAGGTTATCAAGAAGATCAAGGGCAGCGATGCCGATGATGAGTCGACAGAGAACCAGCTGGAGACCGAGGACCAGGATACTGGTGCAATTGACAAGTTCGAGCCCGCAGCCCCTGGTGGTGATATCCTACCCCAGCCTTCCAACACTGGAACCAACCCCAACAGCCTGTTCTCTAACGTCACCGTCTACCTCTCTCGCGAAACCCCACGACAACCTCTCGAATTCCTTCTCAAGTCGTTCGGCTGCAGACGTGTTGGCTGGGACGCAGTTCTCGGTGATGGCGCTTTCACCACCAACGAGCTTGACCCCAACATCACTCACCAGATCGTTGATCGACCTCCTATCCAGGCTACTGCTGAGGATGAGGCTGATGGTGACGACAACCAGACATCACAGAAGCTTGCCGCCAACCGACGAGTTCCGGGACGAACATACATCCAGCCTCAATGGGTTTGGGACAGTGTTAACGATGGCGAGCTGAAGGAGCCTCATCTGTATGCTCCTGGTGCTGCCCTTCCTCCTCATCTGAGCCCCTTCGTGAGGAACGTCCAGGGCGCATATGACCCCACTGTTCCTCTCGAGGAGCAGGAGCCTGAAGCCGAGGCCATTGAGGCCCAGAGTGACGGCGAGGATGAGCTTGACAACACAGCCGAGGGTATGGATGTTGCTGACTCGGATGAGGGAGAGGATGAAGAGGGTGATGATGATGAGTTCGGTGGCTTCTCCGCCGATGAGCAAGAAGAGGATGAGGAGGAAGATGACGCTGAGGCTCGCCAAGATGAGCTTGAAGCCGAACTCACTGGCGGCGCTGTCAAGTCCAAGACCACAAACTCCAAGGCTAAGGCTAAGGAGGATGCCCGCAAGGCCCTCTCCAAGAAGGAGCGCGAAGAGGCCGAGGATCTGGATCGTGCGAAGGGTATGCTCAGCAAGAAGAAGAGAAAGTTGTATGAGCAGATGGTGTACACGAACAACAAGAAGAGTGCTGAGGATCAAAAGCTGCGAGCCAAGAGAAGAAAGTTTGAAAAGGAAAAGGGAAAGGCCAAGGGCAAGGCTTAGGCGTAATGTAAAGGCATTGTTTTATACCATTTCCGATAGATTCGAGTTCCACGCGTTTAAAAGAATTTATTTGTATACCAAACTATTTGAGTTGAGATGAGAGTTGATGTGGTTATTGTGTTTGTGAATGCTGCTTCCTAAGGTATATCTGTTGTGCCTGGTGGGGATAACTTAACTTCAAGTCTGGACTGTTGCTAATGAAAAACTTGGACCTTAACACCACACTCACAATTACAATTACCGAGCCACACTCTCGAGTAAAATATTTTCGACTAATAATATGATTTGTTTGTCTTTCTTGACACTTTGATTATTCTCTTTCTCCATAATTAGTATCTGGAACTTAGCTATGATGGAATCTAGCGCCACCGCCTGGGAGTTAGATAGTGATGAGATCGCATCAATCGCCTCTGAAGATCTCCACGAACACAGACCAAATCGTTGGACAGGGCCTAAGTCAACATGGCGCACCCTGACAGAGGAGGATCGATTAGTCTGGCAGTCGATGAAACAGATCCAGGATCAGGACCTGGCGGTACATTTATATAATTCTTTTGCGCTGAAGCGACGAAGTCAAAATGCGGCGACGGCACAAGATTTGGTTGTCACAACTGTAAGTAGGTCGCAGCTCTTTGCTCCACGAAGCAAGACCAGGTTCGATGTTAACGGCGAAACCTAGGAATCTGGCCAACAGGGTATATGGGCACCACCAAGATCATGGACTGCATGGCCATTAAAGCATAAACATGTGCCAAAAGAGCGGTTCACTAACGAACAGCACGACGAAGATGATCGCTTTACATTCCGCAGGAAAGAGGAACTACTTCCCAGCACTGAACTGGAGGAGGAGGTCTCTGCCACTATCCTGAGAACCGCCAAACGTCGCTTCCGAAGAAGAAAGAGTAAGATGGCCAAGCCTTCAATTGAAGATTCTACACCTCTCCCCAGTGACAGCGGCAACACCACGCCTGATGTCTTGTCGCGAGAGTCGTCTGCTAAGCCCGAGACGGAAGAAGAGAGCGAAAAAATGGCTGTCGACGGAGGAGAGGATAAGATAAGAATCCGACAAAAACCCAAGACGTATGAGCCGATGGAGTCTACCAACGATGAGGCATCTTATGCGCTCTTGCGGCCATCAACCCGACACATTCTTTCACAACTCGACGATACTTTGACAATACTTCGAAACTCACGTATAGCTGGTGTGAACTATCTTTCCGACTCCTCAGCCGAAGACGAATCAGACAACCAGAGTCAGAGTGGCCAAAAGAGATCACGCGGCCGCCCACGAAAGATCCTACATGAAGTGGGTGCATCCGGATCAGCTTCTCCAGCTCCAGATGGCAAAGCCGGCAGACGAGGTCGCCCTCGAAAGGTCCACGTCCCTCTTGAAGGAGAGTCACAGGAAGAGATGCAGCAGCGCATTGCTCGTGAATCTCATAGAAAGATTCCTACGACAGAAGGAGACCGAGACGCCGCCTTCGAAGAGTGGATTCGCAAGGGAGACGAAGTTATCGAGCGAGAGCGATCGCAGTCCCTGCATCGTGCAACATCCGAAGGTACAGAAACATCCGAAGGATCAGTATCTGGGACAAATGTGAACCGCAAACTAGCCCGACAGGGTCTTCGTGACTGGAGCGACGTACTCGGCGCAGCCGCTATAGCAGGTTTCTCAAGCGATGCCATTGCGAGAGCTACACGACGATGCACCGACTTGTTCGGCGAGGGAATGGTAATCAGGACATTGAATGAAGTACCTACCACAAACAATAAAGGCACGACTTCTGTCGAATACCGCCCAGCGACTATCGAGCTTCCCTACTCCGATTCCGAGGCCGACGATGAAAGTGATGATGCCGCAGACCTTGCACAGCGCCGCGTTGTATCTCGTCAAGTCTCTCTTGCCCATTCGAGCCGCAGTCCAGACTCCATCCAAAGCAGTCCCCGGCGCTTAACACGCTCACCATCCGCCGGCAGATCCCCGAGATCCCGCTCCAACTCCGCAGGAGGTCTAATATTCTGTCCAATACCTTCCTGTGACCGTGCGGCGCAAGGCTTTACACGTAAGGCGAACTTGCGAAGACATCTTGAGATTATTCATCAGGGACAGACGGAGGAACTAGATAGTGACGAGGAGGTGGTGGGTGGTGTGCATGTTGACGGCTTTTTGAAGCCGATCGTGCCGGGGAGGGGATGGAGAGGTGAGGACACTATACAGAGGAAGAGGAAGAGGTTTTACGGAGAGAAGCCGGGGATAAGTCGAGAAGCAAGCTATGGAGAGGAGGACTCGTCGTAGAAAAGGGTGCAAGTAGATGAGGTATCACAGTGAGGATGAAGAATATCGACTGTCTCGTCAATATATTCTTTTAACGCTTCATGCATGCTGTGAAGTACGGAGAATATTGGTATAGCGTTTGCCAAACAAAACACAAGTTTACATAGAACAAGAAACAAGAGACATTTCGTACGCGATTGACAAGTGATAATAAGGTCAGAATCATGTGAATGTCATTACTTCGATTGTCTAAAAGTCAAAGGGTATCAAGTACTCAAATAACCCTACTGCTTTAACCACACAGCTATGCTAAGAACTTAAATGAACGTACACCATCCATCGCAATGCTTCCTTACAACTCCCTAGACTCCAGATCCAAAAAAGAAAACCTCCGGTATAAACCTGTAAAGAACGTTGAAACTATGTGATAACTCTAGTTGATTCTAGGGCTCTTCCTCCTAGCCAAACTCTCTTCGAGCGCCGTAGGGAGCGTATTCTCGCCGCCCTCGGAAATGATGGGGTCCCTGCCGCCAATCTTCCTTGTGCTGCGAGTCACACGCGTGGTGCGCTTAAACATAGGCAACGTGCGCTCAGGGGGCATAGATACTATACTGGCGCGGGGGTCGAAATTGATAGATCCTGTTGTATGGTTGGTTGATACGTTGGGGTTGACTTCGCGGAGACTCATAGACGGACCGGTATGATCAAGGGCGCCCCCACTGGACATGCGAGGAGGTGGACGGGCTGGAGAGGAGATCATCTTTTGAGGGGAGTCAATATCGGCAAATACCATTGCGTTGTCCTTCTCGTTAGAGTCACGACCCTTAGTTGGTGTGGTTATCTCGTCGATACGAGACATGATAAGATCATGGTCTTCAGTGCGAGGTAGGTTGGTGGGATAGTGATATTGAACCTTGGCGGGTGTTTCGCCTGTAGGCTGGTATTCTTGAATGGCAGCACTGGCAATGTCTTCGCGTAGGTTGGCCAGAGGTTGACAGAGCTGATCGTTGAGAGGCTCCATACCTTCCTGGAGATCACCAAGGTCCAGTTCCATCTCTTCACCCAAGTTCTTGACACGGTCAAATGTTGACTTGAAGTGTGAAGAGATGTTTCCGAAGGACTCCTCGACAGTGTTGGTCAGTGCCTGAACGGACTGGTTCTGAGTCTCGTGGTGGTGGCCATTCTCAGTCTTTGCACGGGTGACAAAGTCGTCGAGGGCTTCCATCTGCACATCAAGATCCTTGATCTGTTCATCAACAACACGGACAGTCTCAGCATGGACAGACTTGGCAGTTGCTTGGATAGAGCTGCTGTGATCGTCGGCAGCTGCCCAGTCATCCTTGAGCTTGTTCTTGAGTTGGTCTCGAGACTTCTTCACCTCGTCCAACATTTCACCTTCCTTGACATCCCAGGACGACATGCCTTCGCCGTATGTGTCAACAGCCTGCTCGAGATTTGTGCTAGCAGCAGTGATGCTCTCTTGGATTTGAGAAGCCTTCTTGTTGAGACGCGACTCCTGACTCTCGGCGTGAGTGTTAATCAGTGTCGATATTTGAGTCACAAGCTTCTGACGCTCGTCAACGGCCTGGCGACGCTCCTCTACCAGGGCATCCTGAATACGAGAAGAAATGGTAGCGTTCTGCAACACGATCGTATTTGTGGCAGCCTGGAGTTGCCGTCTGAGGGTATCACACTCAGCTCGCTGGGCGGCGATATGCTTAACAAGGTCCTCGAATGTAGACTTGAAGTCTTTCCCGAGAGCACTGTAAGAGTTGTGTAGCTAGGTCATATTAGTTTGTGTAAACTTTACTAGATTGGACTCGAGACTTACCTGGCCATGGAACACTGTCATCTCATTCAGCATGTCCGCTGCTATCCTCTCAGCAGAATGGGAGATGGCCTGTAGACCCTCGCCCATTCGCTCCTTGACAGTATTACGAACGACCTTGATTTCCTCTAGAACCTCATTCATATCCTCCTTTGACTTTTGCTTTGAGTCAAGGAGTTCTTTCCTGGACTCAGTAAAGGTGCTCAAGTGCTCATCAAGGAATGATTGTGTTGACGAAAGCTTGTTAAGCTCTTCTCCGACAAAGTTCTCCATGCGCTGTCCCACGCTAGCGATATGTTCTTGCTGCTCCTGTTGAAACTCGTTGATTCGGCGCTCGACCATGGAGGTAACATCGGCAACCTGGTCCTGAGATGTTGCCCAGGTGTTTCGATTGAGAGACTGAAGGTCCGACTTTCGCTTGTTCTTGGCATGAAGGCCATCAACATCACTCACTGTCTTTTGGAGCTTGTTGATGAGCTCTCCTCCAACCTCGGTAAGTTTCTGCTCCGTCTTCTGGTGTGCCTTTCTGATCCTGGTCTCCTCGGCAAGCGATTGTCGTGTTGCTGATAAGACGATTTCGGTCTGGTCCAGAACCTCTTTTGTATCATCCAGAAGAGCTCTTGTGCCCTCGTGATCCTTCTTGAGTCCCATAAACGTGGACTGAAGGCTGAACAGCTCTTGGACCTTGTTTCGCAGGTTGCTTTCCAAAGTCTCGAGCTTGGCAGTCTGTTCCTCATTGACGATACGACGAGACTCGCTCTGTGCTGTCATCTCCTCGTAGGCCTCGTTAGAGAGATAGACACCATTCCGTTGACGAGTAGCAATAAGCTCACTCTTCAACTTCTCAATTTCCATAGTAAAGTCTCTGAGAAGTGTCTTCTTCTCCACCATAGGGTTGAGCTGCGGCTTGTTCTTGATGTTCTTTGCTCTGAAAGCGTAGTCAAGGGTTGAGATGGTTTCTTCCAGGTTACTTTTGGCGGGAGAAATCGTAGCAATCATGCAGGTTTTGGTTCTACCTCCAAGAGAATCTTGCAAGAGTCGAGTCAACTTGGACTCTCTGAAGGGAATGTGAGAGCTGCGATCAACTAGAGCGTTGATAACTCGACCGAGAGTTAAGAGGGACTTGTTGATGAGGCCAGCCTCTGCCGCGCGCTTGTTCTCGGCTCCAGATCGCTGAATATTCTCGCTACCAGCCAAATCGACGAGGTTAAGTTTTCCGGCGCTGACAAGCGCATCCACGCCTTGCTCGTTAGGCTTTCGGACATATGTAGTAATGGTAAAAACAGTGTGACTTCGAGAACTGAGATCGTTGCACTTTGTAGCTGCCACCTGTCGCTTCAAGCTGCCGTCCTGGAGCACCTTGACACCCTCGGCAGCATTCTTAATGTGCTTCTCTTCCATGCCCTGGACAAGAGTGCTGAAGTGGCCACGTCGTGAGTTATCGTCGTAAATCTTGAGCTTGCCGCCTTCATCGGATGCGAGCAGGTCGCGGAGTTCTTCGTTGTAGAGTTCGATAAAGGAGCACTTGATGGTGCTCTCAGCGTCTTCGAGCTCGAGCTTGTTAAAAAGAGTCTGCAGCACTCGTGGAATGATACCTGCGTCGTCTGAAAGGAGGCCCATTGTTTCTGTCATGTCACCGGACATGGTGTACGTTTTTCCTGTGCCTGTCTGTCCGTAGGCAAAGATAGTACAGTTGTATCCAGCGAGCATCTAGAGTCTGGAGTCAGCCACCAACTTGTGTATTACGATTAGTAGAACCCACCTCGTCCAGAATAGGCTTCACTGTGTCGTCAAAGACCATATTTTGATCCGCCGCCTGAGAAAAGACGCGATCGAAATTGTAAGAGCGGTTGTTCAGAGCATTCGAACCCATTGACAACTCAACGACCTTTCCCCTAACCGCATCTGCTGTCACAACAACATTGCTGTTCTCGCGAATCTCGCGCTCGTTGCGTCCTCGGCATCGAACCACGACTTGAATGTTGGTCTCTTCGGAGCTAGGTTCCATTTCGAAGTCGCGGTCCTTGCGCTTATTGCCCATGGTATTAACTGTGGTCACTGAAGCTATAGAGGGGGTCGGTGATGTAGCGCCGTTGCGCGTCGCAATCGATGGGCCACGTCGTGATGATGGTGCTCTCGAAGTAGATCTCACGCCGGGACGGGTGCTGGCGCCAACAGTGCGCACGCCTGGAGCCATGGCGATACGACTGTTCTCCCGCTCGGAGCGGGTTGTGCGTTGGAAAGCCACGATGGGCAACTGTCGTGGGTTCTGTATGGGTTAGTTGTGGTGGTGAAGGCTGTTAAGGAAGCCTCAAGATGCTTCAACACTTGCACATTCGCCAGGTCGAGTGCCAAACAAAACAAGCAAAAGAAGATTGAAACTTGAAGAGGCGTTGAATACTTTGATAACGCGAGGAGGGGATGCCTGCATGTGTTTTTGGCTTGGCTTGGTGTAAGGTAAATGGTGTAAATTGTGGAACCAATGTTTGGGCACAGTCCAGAGTCAACACAGATTTGGCGTCTATCACTGTAGCAACGGCCCCTTCCGGTTAAGTCCACAGCCTATCCTGGTCTCTATCCATACACATTGAGACGCTCATTAAGCGGTGAAAATCGAATTCCAGTACGTACCTGTGATCATTATGCTCATGAAACATTCCCATTAGCTTGTCATGTTGATTCAAGGCTAAGCCTAAACGTCATTGCATAGGTACTCTATAACGGCGACTGGTAGGAATGCTTAATTATCGTTTCCAATAAGCCTGATTCCTCTTATTAGAGAATACAGCGTTGTCCGCTTTACTATTCCGTGTCCATCTTATCAGCATCGTCTTCTGTCTTTGTTTCTTCCACTGGCGCCTTGGTTTCCTCATTCTTAACTGCTCCAGCCTTGGCGTCTGTAGCGGCATCGCCATTAGTCTTCTTGTCGTCCTCGGCCTCGTCTTCCTTGATCTTCTTATGAGCATTGGCTTCGAGGTCGAGGTCTGCCTCTCGTTTAGTGCCCACGCTCTCTGCGCCGGGGCTCTTGGCTTCGCTCTCAACATCAGCACCTTCATCGGCGTCCACATCGGGCTTGACTTCTTCCTCATCGTCATGTTTCCGACCAACTGCCGCTTCCACATCGATCCCTTGCATTCCCATTCCACCTTCTGGCATAAAACTCGTTGTGACAGATTGGGGACCAGTGTCGCTCATGCCAATTTCCTCAGGTCCTCGAGCGTGAGGTGTCTCCTCTTCTTCGTCATGCAGCTCTTCTTCGTCTTCCTCCTCCATTGCCATGCGCCCCTCTTCGTGAGCAGCTTCCTGGGCCCGTGATAGTTGACTTACAGGTACCACGCCTGCTCGTTGTTCCTGTCGCAATAGTTCACCTTGAGTAACTCCTCTTGCATGCCCTGTAGATGGAATGCCGTTGACACTGACCGAAACTGTCTCAATACTACCCACACCATTGGGTCCTTCAATGGTCTCTGTGCTTTCACTGTGGATTTGCGCACCAGGTGTGTCCTGTGACTCCTCGGGGCTCCGCCTCGTCAACCAGGGAATTGGCGTCAACAGGGCTCCTCCAAGTGCTTCATCCGTGCCCAATGCCGCCGTTGTAGGGTTACTCCATGCGACTGACGTTGCTGGATCCTTAGCATCTTCCCCGTTCAAATGCATAGAAGACATGTCGGGAATTGGTGGCGGTAGTGGATATGTGTCGATACTGGATGTGACCTGCACTACACGGTCCACGGCATGTAGATAAGGTGCGATCGCTCTGTAGTGCGCATTTGGTCGTAGGATCAGCTCGGCAAGTCGTTGGATCGTGTGGGGAGGATGGGTCTCGAAGGTCTCAAGGTGTTTTGTGATGTCGATCAGCATGTCTGCCAGCTGCTTGGGTAGGGCTCCATCGATAGTTTGTGTGGCGGGAAGAGACTCGGTGGTGGAAGTCTCCTTGTTCGTTTCTTGAGAAGAACCGGCTTGCGGCGATGAGGGCGGTGCAGATGCGCGCGCTTCGATGGAAGGCTGAGGAGCTGGTGGTGGAGGTGGTAGGTTGGGCATCGGGAATTCGTTGTGAGCAATCTGAGGTTGTCAGTCCTAAGATCGAAGAAATCGCAGGGTAAGTCGTGGAAATACATGGTCGAGTCTGGTAATGATGTCGTTGCGCACCGCAGGCCATGCGTCCCTGTTATGGTCAGACGTCCGCAGTTATATCAAATGCATAGAGGTCATCGAACTCACTTTTCAACTGTCGCACCTGAGGCGAACAAGCCGAGAGGACCGTTATCGCTATCAACCTCCATGATGGTATGACGCAAAAGAATGATGGTATGCGATGATGTTGAATCCACCAAGTCGCAGTTGTTGGTCGCGCAGCTCTATGGTGGGGCGGTAAATATGGGGGTGTCAGTCCCGTTATATGCATGTGTTCTTAACCTACAGCGCGACGTCGACGACAACGTTTCTCTCCAGAAGCCGGGTTATTTAACATGATATGCCAATGGTTCTGGTATAGAACGTAGTTTAAAAATTATTCGCCCTGTACATCGCTTCTCCGGGGATCTGTTATCAGGAACTTTGATTTTATCAGGAGCTTTTCTCATCTGCCAAACTTCTGCTTTCCTGTGCACGAGAGCATCTGTCAATGTAGGACAACAATACCGAGTAATGCTTTGATAGTACAAACAAGAGTTAATATATTGTGTTCGCAGAGCAAGTGATATCCAAGTAGTTTTAAGAACAAAACCACACGATTAAACAAATATGTTCCTCCAGTTCATCATCATAACCAAATCCTTCAGTCTTTAGACCTGGTATGGGTTATACAACCACTTGGACGGCTCAAACGCAACCTCGAACTTGGCACCGTCATACGTTCCGATAGCACAACTCAAGTCATGGAAACCCTCCAGTCCCGTCACAGGTAGATCTTGCTCAGCATCGGTCTCCTCGTGGAGCGCCCAACCACCAGTCATCGTGCCGTTGCGTGTAAAGAAGATATCAACCTGCGGCTTGGGACCACCAACAGAACGGAGCGTCATGCCGATACCGTAGGTCTCTCCGCGCTTGAAAGGCTGTGTGAAGTCGCGACCACCCCACCGATCATTGACGTACTTGTGTCCGTCGTCACCGTGAATCGCCAGACTGCCGCGATGCCAGCCTGGCATACGGAAAGAAGGGTATGGAAGCGCGGTGAAGCCTAATGCTAGGAATACCTCAGGGCTATCGCGCGCGAGCTTGACTTCGTAGTAGATGGTTCTAGGTGGACCGAGACGGATGGGATCATGTTCAGTAACAGAGTAGAGCGGTGGGTAGCCAATAATACAACGGTCGGGCGAGTTCTTCTTTGTCCAGCCCTGCCAGTGTCCTGGCTCCATCCATGTGAGTTTGCCGCTGAAGCCCACTGGTTCCATAAGACGAATGTTGCCCGCCTGGAGAGCTGCCTTTCCAACATGATCTAGGTGGATAGGTCCAGTCATGGGGTACGATTGACACCAATCCTCGCCGGCATTGGCCTCATCCTCGGTGGCATTGCTGGAAGGGGATCTGTCGTAGCCACTGAAGATGGCGGGTGGCGGCGGAAATAGCGATGTATCTGGTACTGCTACTTCCCAATCATGCTCGGGCGGAGGTCCCGAGGGCGGCGCGTATTGTTGCGACGCCGCGTGGCCCGGAGGCGGTCCTGGAGGAGGAGCATCGTATTGCGGGGGTGCATGCCCGGGCGGCGGTCCTGAAGGAGCATTGTACTGTCCTGGGGGCGGCCCTGAGGGAGCAGAGTATTGCAATGTACCCATGGCTGGCGGTGGTCCTGGAGGAGCAGAGTATTGCTGCGATGAAGATTGGCCAGGCGGAGGCCCCGAGGGAGGCGCAAAGTCAGAGGCCTGTTTCCTATCTGAAGGCGGCCCTGAAGGGGCAGAATAGCTAGACTCTCCCGCAAACTGGTTCGGGTCGTTCTGAGGGTTGTATTTGCTCTTCTTGACGTCTCCCTGGCTTTGAGACGATGCCGGCCTCTGCGCTGGACGTGGCGCAGGGTCGCTGTTTTCTTCTTTTTTGCTCCCGAAACACATGGCGATGGCGATTATTGGTGTTGATGATGATAAAATTAGGTGTTGTATGGAGGCCACCAGGAAAGGTAAGGAAGGTAGGTAACTAGGTAGCTTGAAGCTATGACGAAGTTAAGGCAAGGCAAAGCAAGGGTTCAAAAGTGGGCACATGCAACCACTTATAAGCTTAATCTAAGGAGGATTCAGAGAAAGCCACCAATAAAGACAGCTCAATTGATCTTTGAATGCAGTTGGGGAATTAAAAACCAACAAACCCAACATGTGTTTCTTTCAGCCTTTATTCAACATCTTGTCATTTCAAATTCGTGGCTATGCCGCTAAATTTCAAAAAGCACCACGCCGCTTTGAGCTGCACAGCCCCTTCACTCATCACAAGGACGTGACTTATACGCCATTACGCCAGAATGCGTACATTATGCCAAGATCACTATGGAAGCTTCAGTAAGCTTTCAAAGAAAATGAGCTACGTACATAACAACACTTATTACAATTTACCTGAATTCCGCTAGTACTTACAGGACTGCTTCTTATTGTACTGCATGAAAAGGGTTGTGATCTGGGCCTGAAAGCATTCTTTATTCATTAAACCTGTAGTTCATACTACTATCTACATCAATCAGGTAACGAGGTGTTCTTCGTATGTCAAACAGCCATAGTAAGTTAACATGCGCCGTTATCACGGAAAAAGGCAATCAGCAGTGTAAGAATAGCTAGAGCAAGAATGAGCTGGACCATATTGATCCAGTAAAGAGTTCAGAATAAAGACAATTAGTGGTTAAGTGCACAGGCTTTAAAAAGTGTCAAACCACTTGTATCAATATTTGAAACAATTTCATTACTGGTAGTCGAGTGCAAATCCATATCTATGAGAGTGGTGATTATAGTACCCCCAGGACTAACCGAAGCGATGACTACAGGAGTAATACTTGTCTTGAGAGAAGCAGCTAAAGTCAGCAGTAGTGCATCTTAGAGTAGTCCCAGTTCGAATGTTTAGAGTAATAAGGATCTCAAGTCATGTTGGTTTGAGGCAGAGCTATTTGACAAGAGCATTTCCTGATAAAACGTGTCCAACATATTCATTTATCCATATCTGTAGTATAATGTCTTTAAGACCCTTCTGCCCCTTTTGAATACCTAATATGTTTGTTTACCCCTTATAGGTTATTTCAATCGACTTTTAAGATACCTTTCTGTGTTACTAATACTTTCGTCGTAATGGGGAGGCAAAGAGCAGCACGACTTTGGCGATGTCGCATGTTGGTGAGTAAGATAGTACAGCATTTATACGTGATAATGAAATCCCGTTTGATTGCGAGCATGAGAAATCATTGTCAGAAAACCGGTAATGTGCAGTATTAGTTCATGGACGCGCAGTCCCATAGCAATAACTGGCGTGTAACAGTTCCATATCCGCAAAACGTCGGTGTATCGACCAGTTTACCTTTCGGATCCAATATGGTTACATCCGAGTATTTCCGTGTGATGAAGATTGATGGATGGTTATGCTTTGCTGGCAAATTGCGTCACATAGTCAGTATGTAAGTATTACCATTGCTTAACAGCTGGCTCCGTACGGAGTAGATATCAATCAGTATGAATCACCGACCACGTATCCGTACAGAGTAACGAGTCAAGGGTCAAGGTCAAGCCACAGCCAAGGTGGTTCCAAGGAAACTTGATAGTGGTCCCTGTCGATCCCTTACTCTTTAGAGTATCAAGCTCTTTTGCTGTGGTGATGCCAAGCCTCAACTCGGCACATTGAATCCGAGAAAGACGGGGATGTCATCGATAAGCTTGTTATTCGTAGCGCGTTCCCCAGTAGCCTGTTTGCTGGATCGTTTTCTGGGAAACCTGGAGCATTGACGGGAAGAGAAGAGGCTTTGTTTGTTGGTCCTTGTGATACGAAGCTGGAGTTGAATTGGTTGTGATGGCAAACGGTGAGTCAGGAGTCAGTAGGATAGAACTAGAAAGGTCGGGATTTGTTAGGAGTCTGGGTCTAGGGTCACAGGGCAATAGAAGGGATCTGAGGCTGCACCGCCTCACTTTGCCTCTGATTAGTGTGACCAATCAAACAAGATGTCGGGCTACCTCTGAGATCTTGACATCAGATCTTGTTGCATCTTTAGATAAGAACACGGAATTTTAACAACAATTAAGACCACTATTCTTGAGTCTTACAAATAAGTAAATGAGTATATTGTAATCTCTACGAAATAGCCATCCAATGCATTAATTGTAGAAGTAAAAAAGGGGCATCTCCATTCCACGCTGTACGCATACACCGACGGGAGTAATATCCACTGTGGCCTGCCCTGTGTACATGCCCTGTACATGCACTGACAGCCACTGGAGCGGTGGAGCTGAATCTCCACTGACGCCACTGGAACAAACAGCGTCATTCCCGATCTAGCTCCCGCCTTAAAGCCAAGGCCTTGGCCACACTTCTCTTGCATACTTCTCACTAACACACTCGACGTTTACCCAAACTTCACCAACCACCAAAGACAACTATCGCCTCTTTTCGATAGTTGATACTTATTTCCCCATACTCTCAAGAGTAACAACACCTGACTCGATGAAGGAAGCTTCTTCTGAACCACCCAACATAGATGGCAGTCATTCTGTTGCACAACCCCCAGCGCCCTCTGCTCAGGCCCTGAATGAGCAACCCCAACCTCCTCAACAAGAGTTTAACGAAAAGACTCACCTAAATCAGCAAAATGGTAGCTCTGGTTCTGTCGGTGGCGGCGGCGGTGGCCCCCAGTTCACCAGCCACAGTAACTCCATGCTCAAGATTCCCTCTGCTGGCGATGTCCCATCTCACACATCGTCTCAGATTGCACGGTCGGGGTCTCTCATAGAGACTCCCAACAAGGTCGAGCAACCCTCGCAAGAAGAAAACCCAATTTCAAGTACCACAGGCAAGAAGAAAGGCTTCGTTGCCGAAGTGAAGCGTAGTGTCAGAATTGCTATCACCTACAGCTGGCTCAATGTCTTCCTCATCTTTGTCCCAGTTGGTATTGCCGTCGCTCAGATCGATGGCATCAATGGTGCCATTGTCTTTGGCCTCAATGCTGTTGCCATTATTCCTCTCGCCGGACTTTTAGCTTTTGCTACCGAATCTGTAGCCCGCAAAATGGGAGATGCACTAGGTGCATTGCTGAACGTCACTTTTGGTAAGTCAACACACCACTCAACAACTCTTTTATCTCTTGATATTATGCCTTTTTATTTGTGCTTCTTTGTTGCTTCGTCGCTGACCTCATCTCTCAGGTAATGCCGTAGAGTTGATCATCTTTATACTGGCCCTCACAAAAAACGAAATCAGAATCGTTCAAGCTTCATTGCTAGGCTCTATTCTGGCCAATTTGCTACTTATCCTGGGCATGGCAATGCTTCTGGGAGGTCTACGGTTCCGTGAGCAAGTCTACAACTCTACTGTGACCCAGATGAGCGCTTGTTTGCTCAGTTTGAGCGTAATCAGCTTGGTTTTGCCGACAGCCTTCCACGCCTCCTTCAAGAACAACGCCAAAGCCGATGAGCAAACACTCAAGATCAGCCGTGGAACTAGTGTCGTTCTCCTTCTCGTCTATGGCATATACTTGCTGTTTCAGCTCAAGTCTCACGCGTACATGTACGAATCCACTCCTCAGCATATTATCGATGCCGAGTTAGCTCCTGGCCCGGCTGCTGGCTTCCTGGACTCTTCTAGCTCTGATGACAGCTCGTCTTCGAGCTCGGATTCATCTGACTCTGACTCGTCTCATGGTACCATGCGGAAGAGGATGAAAAAAGTCCTGCGCAACAGACGACACCGAAGGTCTAGTGCAGCTTCAGTCGATACTGCCGATACTAAGGGGACTCGTGCCGCCTCGTTCACAACTACCAACACTACACCTCAGGACGAAATCCCTGAAGCAACAGCCTCGCGCCATCGAATCCCCCGTTTCCCCTCTTACGAAGGAAGTGATAATGCCATCGATGAAGAGGAAGAAACGAAGCGTTCCCAAAGGCGACGTCGCTACCGCCGACATAGGCACCGCAAGAGCAAGAAGGAAGCTCGCAAGGCTGAAAAGGCCAAAGACACTCAGTCCCCAGACAAACTCCCTGACAATACTCTACGGACCAAGGATGAGGGTGAACCTCGCCGCGTGGACTTTGCAGTCCAGGATGATGTCGAGAGTGGGCCCTCAAATACGGCCAAGCGACCATTCCCCCTGAGAGTGATCTCTGTCAAAACATTGGCTCCTGTGTTTACTGAGAGCCCTTCTATGGGTTCCGCCCCTGCCCCTCATGTTCGCTACGGCATCCGACGTACCAATTCACTCCCGGACCGTCTGCAGATTCGAGCACCTGGTGCAATGCTGCCATCTCATGTCCCATCCTCTTTGCATGCCTCTGGCACTCAGATTGTCAACGATAAGGAGGAGGACGAAGAAGAGGAGCACCTTACCCAGCTTGGCGCCATCATTTTGCTCCTCGTGTCCACGGCCTTGGTAGCTGTTTGTGCCGAATTTCTTGTCGACTCTATTCAAGAGGTTATCGAAACCTCTCATGTCAATCAAGTCGGAATCGGTCTCATCATTCTTCCCATTGTCGGTAACGCAGCTGAGCATGTCACCGCTATCAAAGTCGCGTACAAAAACCACATGGATCTCGCCATCGGTGTTGCTGTAGGTAGCTCGATCCAGATTGCCCTGCTCCTCACTCCCTTCATGGTTATACTTGGATGGATTATGGACAAGCCCATGACACTGTACTTCACATTGTTTGAGACGGTGTGTCTCTTTGTATCGGCGTTCATCGTGAACTTCTTGGTCTTGGACGGAAGAAGTAATTACCTTGAAGGTGCCCTACTCTGTGCGGTGTACATCATCATCGCCGTTGTGGCATTCTTCTATCCCGATGAAAACGACGCCAGTGTTTGGGGTGGAGGTACCTAGTGTATCTTGCAGAAGCCGTCAGTCGGTGAGGATTGATGATATTATTATGCTACGTGTAAACCTGGACGTATTACAAGTGTCCCTGGCCACCAATCAAAGCAAGATTAGGCGTAGTGAATAGCTCAATTTGACAACATAATAACCAAAACTGTTCCAGTAATGATAACAATGGTTCCTGAATTGATATCTGCCCTTTCAAAACTTTATATTGCCTACAGTACCTTGTCGCTTGTCGGCTTATAAGAAACGTATATACGGAGTAAGCACTCCATAGTTCCCTGCAAACGATCCATGGAAACGGAGTAGCACAAGCTATAAATAAACTCAAGACATCATCACATCACAAAAGTAAAGACAAATTGTTGGGAATTCAAGTCTCCGCCTTGTGTAATTTCTACATAACATAGATCTCATCTTCTCCATCTCGTATAGGTATGTCTAGGTATGATATATGGCAGCTCCAGCCGGAGCAATTTCAGATAAACCACCCCATTCCATCTCCTTCACTGAATGCACAAGTAGAACAGTTCAACCCTGATCGTCGAGTCACTCAATTCTTTGGCTGCGATTCGTTGATGCGCCTCCATTGACAAAACCTGGCTGAGATGCGTTGTATAGGAACAGACAAATAAAATAAAACACTCTCTCTTCTTATCCCTCTTCCGCCTTCTTCCGCGGCTCGGAATGCATAGAAACATGGGGTCATCCAGCCCATATCTTGTTTCCATTCACCGCTCGTAAATAAAATCAACAAACTTTGCTTAATCGAGTAATTGTATGTAGTAGAGAGTATAACCGTCCGGGACCACCACCCCAATCTCAATCTCGTATCCCTTTGCGCCATGATGTAAATATGTGTAGGTATGTGTGTGTGTGTGTGTTTGTGTGCGTGCAAAGGACCAACCCTTGGCGGTCTCCAAGTTTGCTAATGGGCATCGTCGAGAGCCCTTGGTGTTCGTCCCTCATTACTGGTAGCTGAATATGTGTGGTGATGCGCGTCCAGGCAAAAAATAATAGACAATGACAATTATGGCATCCAACTGCGAACATTGGTGCGGAACTTCAGACAAGAGATCTTCAAACTGAGACGTTGCGCCGTCAACTCCAGGTGCTTCACGCATGCTTTGTTCACCGATCCTCGCCACCTCTGGCCTTTCCACGTCTCCTGAAGAAATCCATGACTCGTTTGGCGGCCCCGCTGCTGCCTTCGTGGCCACGGTAGTTGTCGCCGTCGTAGGCATCTGCGAACTTCTTGTGGGTCTTGTGAAGTGTACTTGAGCGGTCGTCGCGGCTGCTTCCGACAGGACGTCCATCGTAACCTTCTGACTCCGAGAAGTCGGCCTGGTACGGTCGAGATCGTCCCTCTGTAGGTCGTCGCATATCCACAGACGAGTCCGATCCGGTGTTCAGATGAGAACCTCCCTGTATGTAAGTAGGGATTGCGCTGGGTCTTCGGCCGTCCTGTTGCTGAGCGCCTCCCTGTCGTGAATGGTACACAGGGCTGGACTGTGCTGTATCACGCTGAGGGTACTGCTCGTAAGGGGCATCGAAGTAAGGCTCGCTATGCCTTGGCTCGTCGTGGGCGCTGTAACCCCGGAGCTGCTCAGTTCGAGGGTGCTGAATAGGCAAGTCCTGTTGCGAATCCGCCTCAGATCCTGTCACACTCCCCTGATCTCTACCCAGTCCCATGGCCTTCGCCAGAGAGAATCGACGACTTTGCTTGTCACTGGAGCCTTGAACACTGCCACTACGCTTCTTGCCAAGACCCATTGAGAAAGATCGTCGAGAAGCCTTGGAGTCCATCGAGGGTCGTGGTCCGGCGTCCTCACCTGGCAGCATGGTGTTGGACATGCTGACAGGAGGGTACTTTCGTGACTTATCAGATTGAGGTTGCGGTTGTTGCTGTTGCTCCGGCCGTTTCTTAGATCGGCCACCAAAGATGGATCCGCTGCGTCCCATGAGTTTACTGCCAATGTCACCCAGTGTGTTGGATCTCTTGTGACCTCTGCCTGATGACTTGGTTTCGTTCTGGAAAGTCGACATCTTCATCACCTTGGGAGGGACACTGCCAACTGCCTTGGCAATATGCTCCTCCTCATCCGGGTTCTGGGGTTGCTGGATACGACCCTGTGCGTTTGTATCGGCAATCGTGGGTGGTGCAGGCTGGCCATAGTTGCCCTGAGACTGCAGACCCATCGATGCAGAAGATTGCATAGAGCCTTGTGTACGTGGCCTTGTTGTAGGAGTTCCACCAGTCATGAAAGCATTGTCGGAAGTGGCACGAGTATCGCGAGATGGCCTGTGAGGAGCAGCATTCTTGTGGGAACTCTGGGGACGCCTCGACTGTTGAGCACGAGAATGATTGTCCTTTGTCAGTGGTGGTTCACGAGGCAGAGGCTTCTCGGTAACGGGATCAGGTGCATCCGCAGGTGCTTGTTGAAGAGAATGGGAACTATGTTTTGAAGACGCAGCGTCGGTTCCACGTTGGGTTTTCGTTGTAGGGGCAACATATTCGACTTGGACAGTTCTTCGCTTGGCATCCTTCGTTGTGCCGCGGTGAGTAGTCTCGGACTCGGGGTCAACACTGCCATGGGTTTTGGCCAGTCCTCCAACGACAGGAGGATGGGATTGTTTATGTTTCGAGGCCTCACGGACCGAGGAACTTCGGGCCATTGTCGGGGCTTCGGCGTAGTCATCAGGTGTAACACCAGAGTCGGGGACTTCTGAGGGTAATGTTGTCGCGCTGGTAATGAACTCGACGAGATTCGCGTACTCGCTCAGCCAACTGTGCCTGGCAACCTCGAATAGATCCGCTCTCTTGCGGGGGTTAGGAACGAGGATGCGACGAAGCAGGTCTCGAGCATGAGGGGTGACGTATTCAGGGAAGGTCAGAGGCGTCGTCACAATATACTTGTAGAGGAGGTTGATGTTGTCGCCTTCAGGGTTGGCGGGATCGTCATCGAAGGGAAGATAACCAGCGAGCATGGCGTACTACAAGTGGAGTGTTAGCTTCAACATTCATTCTATGCATCGATCACGCAACTTACCAGAATGACACCACAGCTCCATACATCCACCTTGCGGCCAGTGTAAAGAGAATCGCTGACAACCAGTTCGGGCGCGGCATAACAAGGACTTCCACAGCTTGTTTGCATGAGATCACCCTTCCTGGAGCCGTTCATCTTGACCCTGTCCAGGCCCATTCGCTTCACAAACTCCTTATCTGTGAGGTTAAGCTCTTCGTCCTTACTCAATTCTTCGTTGGGGTCGAAAGTATTGGCGAAGCCGAAGTCGGTAATGATGATATTGCGATTGCGGTCGAGAAGCAAGTTTTCTAGCTTCAAATCTCGGTGAACGATTCCCTTCTTGTGTAGGTAGCCGACACCAGATATGAGCTGCGCGAACAAGCGGCGGGCGGCATTGTCTTTTAAGTAACGGTGGTTGAGGATATAATCGAACAGTTCACCGCCAGACGCATATTCGAGGATAATACCAATGTGTCGGTCTGTCTCGACCTTGTCGATCAGACGCACGATATTGGGGTGCTGAACCCCACGAAGAATAGCAACTTCACGGTAAATCTTTGCAAATCGAGACGGGTTGCTACCCACGGTATCTCTCTTGATAAGCTTGATCGCGACCTGTAATACTGTGTAAGTTTAGCGCCTCGATAAAGTCAATCACAAGCTTACCTGAACACTGCTGTCCTGCTTCCAACCCAGCTTCACTTTGCCAAATTCACCCTCGCCAATAGTGTTGCCCAGAATAAAATCGCCGAATTTAGTGTTGCCTTTGTGACTTCGGCTGTGGTCATGTCGGCTTCGTTGTCCCCGTCGTTCCTCGCCATGGTCGCCTGTTGCGACAACGGGAGGCGGCGCAGCGGCATCGTCGACGTTGTTGTGGTTTGTGGCATGGTTGCGATCCCGGTCAATGGTATCTTGAGCAGCTGCAATGGCTTTTGTTAAGCTGTCAGTGGCATCGTGAACCGGCCTTGAGGGCGTGTTTTGTCCAGTTCGAATCGGCATTGAAGTATTGGCGGCCCTGCCGTCTCGGCTACTGGATCGGGCAGCACCGTCAGCCTTGCTGCTTCGGTGACCGTTCTCTGTGGCCGCAGGATCACCACGCGAACCAGTTCGTGTGGGATCGTTTCGGCGAGGGGAATTGGAGGGCTTTTCGTTAGAATATTGAGACCTTCGCGCGCCACTACCGCCACCACTCTGGTGGCTGGACGAAGTCCGTGGAGGAGCGACGGGAGGCATGTTGCCTTGCCTGTCAGAGGCAGAAGCTGAAGGTTCCTGGTCGTTGGGCGCCGGAGCGGTGACAGGAGAACCGAAGCCTGGAGCTAGATGATAAGCTGTTGAAGGAGCGCTGTCGTTCGTTTTTCGTGAAGGAGGTCGTCGCGATGATGAAGAAGCGGTCGAGGTCTGCTGGGCATTGTACGCCTGGCTACTAGGGGATGAGTGCGAGGGCCTGTACTGGCGAGACGACGGTGTGCCCAAGGGGGACGAGGCCAGAGCGGTGTGTTGATGGGGGGCCGTTTGTAAGGCAGCCGACGACATCTTCCACGCCCAAACGCGTCAATAAAATAACGGAACGAACCGTTTCGGCAGGGCGTTTTCAAGTATTATACGACGGTGTGATTGAGTTGGAGTTGTTTTTCTGATAGTGGCACCAGGAAAAAAAGACTGGCGGCGACGCGAATATGCAGGTTGAGATACCTGGCAGTTTCAGACGGCCCAGCCTAAGGAACTTAAGGGAAGCGCTGAACCGGGGGACAAATGCACGCGGCTCCAGATGAGCAGGTGTAAGCGACTAAGACGGGAGAATCCGTTTCCAAGCTGGTGATGAGCCAGTATTAAATGAAGTTGGTTCGAGTGAGTTGAATGTTGAGCTGGTGCGTATCTCGACTATCTCATGATGCGCGCGCAACGGTCGAATTGCGAATTAAAGGTAACGTACAGCAGGTCCTCGATATCGGTCGTATCCGCTTGCTTGGTAGCTCGCTTGTTGCATGTATTTCGGGGCGAACGGAGGTGCAGCTAACGGCCGCGACAGGCGGATCAGGATTGGAGAACGGCCGACGCTGTATGCGCTGGCAGCCGAGCTGGGTATGGTATTGGTATTGTTTTTTGTTGTTGTTGTGTTGTTGCGGCTTGGACCTTGGGTCTTGCTTGGATCCTGCAGGTGCTAATTAACTCCCTTTTTTTAGGCGATAGGACTGGATCCAATTGGGCTGGGAGGTTGGGGCGCGCGAAAAAAGAGAGTTGATCGACAAATCAAAGCAAACGCTCAATGCGATAGGATGCGATGTAATGCGATGCGATGCGAACGCGCAAACGCCAGATTAGACGTGACAATTGTTTGAATCGCCAGAAACAGGCGGACAAAGAAAGAGAAGAGAAAAAATAAGATTGGGACAAGGTCTATTAAAACGGGCGAGCCAGGTACAGTAAAGTAGAGGAATAGAAAGGTTTTCTTTTAGTACACCAAGCAAGCCAAGGTTCTTAGTACCTTCGCCAGCAATCGGTGTGAGGACCGTGTCTGAGTCGGGGCCTCACGCGCTATGAGAGTCAGAATCAGAGTCAGAGTCAGGGTTAGAGAGAGCGAAGAGAGAGGGTGGAGGTGGAGATGGAAGTGGAAGTGGAAGTGGAGGGAGAGAATAGGTAGGTACCAAGGGAAGAGGAGCCTGAAGGTAAGGGAACCTAGGGAAGGGAACTTGCAGGGCCCTGGCAATCGGTCAGTTTAGTGGACGGGAGCCCAGGCCAGGTAGGCCTAGCAAAAAAAGAAACATGATGGAGGTACTTAATTTACTGCGGGATAAACAGTGCATGCTCAGGTACTAACACAAGCTGGACAGGCTGGGCAGGACTTGACAGGGCAGCCTGGTCGAACAAGAGAGAACCTTGAAGCATTTCGTCAATTTCCTAGCTTGGGACTGTCAAGACTGAAAGACTCGGGCGCCAGGACACGATGAGACGTTCTAACTGCAGTGACCAGGTTTGGACTTTTTAGGTGTGTGGGACCTCCAACTTCCAACCTCCTCATCCTCTGGTTTATCGTCCTCCAACACAACAATAACAATCGGTCAAGTCAGTAAAATATCCACCGCAGGACAGGCCACCACAAGTCACAGATCAGACTACCTAATAATTAGCGCGCTTCTGGGCAATATTTGCATTCACTTAAAGTCTCATAAGAGATCAATGCTCTAACAATTTTCTAGTTGAGAGAGATATAATACTCCATGCCTTGTATCTGATCAAATGCAAGGAGTCGAGGGGATAAAAAGAACCTTGGCTGGAAGGGGTGCTGTGCATGGATTTGTATGTATCAAGATCCATTATCAGGGTTAGTACGTAGGTACAGAGTATCACTGCAGTACCCCTGAATATAGCGTTGTCGTTCCTGCAGGTACGGAACCTGGAAACCCATCCCATCTTCGGGCTATCTCAGCTCCATAGCCTGCCTCCCTTCCCTTGCGATCCGGATGCTTCTGAAAGTGCCCTTCCAGTTGGTCCATTTACAGTTATTAGCTCCTGGTAACAACACTACTAACCTAATTATCTATCGCCTGGTTACGAACAACAATATGCCGCCCGCACCCGACCAGACAAGAGTCTATCTGGTCCAATAGGTAGATCAGATCCTTGATCCATAGAGCAACTCAATTATCACGCATATCGAATGACGGTCGATGTGATAATAATAGCTCGAACTAACGAGGAAACAAGACGTTTGTCTTGTTTCGAGGTTAAACTTTGGCCGAGTGTTTCTCGTAACACACTCTCTCAGTCTCGCACCTCTTGTTGTCTCGAGATTGGATATCATGCTTCAGCAACCAGCAGCCAGCAACCGGCCAGTGCTCACACCAGCACATCACGTCTCGTCTCTTGTCCCTTGTTCCGAGGCGTCTGAGGCTAGTACGAGTTGAGTTCCAACCAGCCGAGACCTTTCGGGTCCTTGTTTGTCTGACGTCGCTGGAATTGAAATTGACGTTGAGTTTTGCTGCCCAAAAGTCAATGCTTTTCGATACTCGATATTTGCCTATTGCATGCCTTGGCTTGGCTTAACCGTCAAGAGGGGGGACCTTGAAGAGGGAGGCCTACGGATCCAAGGACAAGAGTGTGACTTGAGGCATTGACCAGTAATCTTACGAGTGGACTTAACGAGGAGGTTCTTCTTTCAGGTGTGGATGGTTTCAGCTCTCGGGTTTCTTCTTCTCGTTAACATTGCAATTGACATGAACAGCATCTCGCATCACGATGTTGTGAGCAACTAGCAGCTTGTCGGTCTTACCGTCAGCGTCATCTCAATTTCTATCTACAGTCTTGACGTGTGGTAGGCACTTTAACTAACATTATGATCTCTACTGCATGGATGCATAGACGAACAACGTCGCGCCGTTTGCATGCATTGTATAATTGACGCATTAAACAATCCCGCAAGTATGAGTTACGAGGCCCAACACTATGGTCAACCTGTTCGATACCGCCATGCTGCTTGGATTCAACGGCACATGCCACTATCCGTCTCGCCCGAACCCGTCCGTCGTCTTCCTCGTGTTGCAGCTACCTCTATCAACATCGACTTCTCGCTTGTTTCGACAAGTCTGAATCAAAGCGACGGAATGGCGTCGTCCATGGTTCGTGCGTCTATAGGATGATCCTCTCTATGGAGTATGGGCGGATGAACCTAGGGCCTCGCTTGCGATCCGCTATCCATATATCGAACCATAAAGACTTGATAATGGAAATGTTACAATATTGACATCTCCGTAACAATCTCCATGGTGATGATCCTTTGAAACGAATTGTATTAGTCGTGCTTGTTGTTCTGTTCAGGGCTCATGGATGAGCTCCCACAGCCTCTACCCGACCATGTTACAAGCTTTACTTCTTTTAATGCCATCAAAACTGCGTAGTTTCTTCTTTGGTCGTGTTCACGAACTTCGGCGATCATCATAACTGGCTCACAGCATCTTCCTTGCCCGGCAGAGTCGTCGGACGAGTTTTTCCTGCCTCAAGCGGCCAATTCCCCGGCTTAGTCTGTGATCCTTGCTTGTATCAATGTCTTACATATCCGTCCGTACACCGTAGATTGGGCTGATTTGCGGTTCCTTGCGGGACTCTGGGGTCATGTAAACGTCTCTTTTACCTCATGACAGGGCCGAATCTCGCTTGATAATGCCCCAGACCACACATATCGAATTTATTGATTTTTCTAAATTGAACAATAAGAGGAACATTTGATTGCGAATTATTCTCTGTATCCGTCCACATCTCTCTGCTTGGCTATTTACTCTTGTCTCTTTTTCCGGTGACTTCTGAAACGCTCTAATCTCCATCACCAATTCTTCTACGCCGCTACCCACGATCTGGATGCCATGAATACACAAAAATAAAATACATGAGATGAAAAGGTTGCACTTGAGATGACACTTGGCCGTGCGCAATTCTTCTCAACACCCACCAAAGACGATGCCGTCTAGCTGTGTATTCACTCTTCAGGTGCAAAGCTGACACCAACACACCCCAGCATTGATGCCCGGAGATGAGCTGCGTTCAAGCCAGGCAGGGATCCCGCTGACGTGAATCTGAGCTTGGCGAAGTTGCTTGGACATTCTTCTTTCGTTTCAGACGTCATTTTCCGGCATCGCCGTCAGTAGAAACCAAGCGTTTTCCTCCTCGTTCGTGACTAAAATCGTCCAAAACATCGGATGGCATGTATGATGTTTGAGAATCCTGAGTGTTTTGGTTTGGGCCATTGAGCATGGCAATGTGACTCTATCTGTCTCACTTTGAAGATAAAATTTTAATTCTCTTTACTTCTTTAGAATGAACTCTTCTCAGCTGAGCCCGTGGCCTGAGACCCCCGGATGGTACGATATAAACTCACGCAGCTCAGCTGAACTGTCTGCATCGCTATCCCAGTTCCAGCCCGACTGCGTCGCATTAAAGACGCGACGCGTCTATCCCTGTAATGATGAGCCGCCAGGTCACAAGCCGGGCCAGATATCCTAGTTCGATGGGGCCTCGTCACTTTGATCAATTAGGTAGTTCTGATATGCTCGTATCTTGAATTTCTACCAATATCGCAAATAAATTGAAATCGTGGTGCATTTCACAAGACTTTCATCTCTAAAGCATGAATTGGCCATACTCGTAGTCTCAATTCCCGTCTCCACGTACACTTCCTATACACACTGGTCGAATGTCACTTGAGGAGAAAGTCAAAAAGAGCATTAACTTTACTTGGGCTTGCGTGATCAACATGACCGAGAACCATTCATGCCCGATATTACGCTACCGTAGGGTAGCAAAATTGCTACATTTAAGAGTGCTGCATATCTTCGGCAGCAAATGCGTGCAAATAAACATTATGCATCTCCTTCGAATTACTTCAATAGCGCCTTCGTAACCAGTGGTGATGTTTTGATTCTAACTATTTACTGACCTATTGCCTGGGAAAAGCCTAGCTTCACCTTCTGAGTCGTCCAAGGTATCAGACCTCTAATCGCGGAGTCGGTCGCCCGTTTACTTCATTCCGGTCCAGGAGAGGCAGGAGGTTGGAATCGGCTACAGAGCTCTACTAGCCGTTTACAGCTGGGGTTCAGCATATATCGCTGGGTGTACTGGTATCGGACATGATATTAGATTTTGGTTCTATATACATGTTGGAGATGTCGCAAGTTTGATAAGATGCCGCGCTAGATGTGTAATATCAATATGCTGAATGCTAAACTCAAAGCTTGATGCTGATATTATAAGCATCCAGCACCACCGCAAAGACCGTAATAGTCAAAGTGTATGCGACCATGATTCCCATCGTCAAAACCGGAGTAGCATCTAGTGTGTTGACTGTCATGTTGACCAAGCCGGTTAACAGGTTGGCCACCAAGAAGATGGCCAACCCGTTACGATTATAAGCCCTCATCACACGGCTAGTAGCCTGCATATAAGCCTCCTTTTCGGTCTTTGCATCCTGCGCATTGTAGAACGCAGGGAAGAATATCGTGTCAATGACTGCAAACCCAAAAACTTGCAGGGTATTGAATGCAACGATCCAAAGAACATACGGAAGGTTAGCCATGCGACGAGACACTGCCAGCCCGAAACCATAGTGGTAATTCGTGGCCAGGAGATAGAGACCAGTCCAAACGCCACCCCATACAGCCATGGTCATCAAGAGTGTGTTTCTTTGAGCCCCTGGACTAGCAGTGCTCTTGGGTGGGATGTTACGAGGAATGACAAACATGCCCGTGTCCTGTCCCGCAAGGAAGATTGCCAGGTACCCGATGAAACTAAAAATTCCTTCACGGTTCATGCTAATCAGGTCGGTTCTGGGCGCCGTTAGGACATAGGCTTTGAGGTCAGTGGTTTCAAGCACAATTTGATATGTGACGCCAACCAACAACGACAGGGCGGCAAATGAGGGAATCCACTTGAGCGCTGATTGGAAGATAGCCACAAAAGGAGGTAGAAATCCGAGAGTGAAGAAGAAGTTCCAGTGGACGCCGTATTCCGTCACATGTTCGGCATAGTCCAAACCCCTGATGCTCAGGAACCTTATAAAGCCCAGGACCAATAGCGGGATGGAATGGCGTAGCGAACGCACGATCCGGTAGGAAAGGGGTGTAGCCCGACCTGTTGTGCGACCTATCGTTTTCTCCCGCAACACATGGCGAGCTGCTACAAGACCAGCTGAGAAGACAAATGATCCAACACCAAGATCCATGAGAGAAGTGCCCCATGTTTCGACTTTGGCAAAGCGCCTGGGAAACAGTCGGAAATCAACAGCCAGGATTGCCACGCAGGTGGCAATCATCATGCAACCCCGGAAATTTGTGAGGAAAGGCTTCGTCGACAGGACATCCAGCTGCCCAGAGCTCCCCTTGGACCGAGCATTTGGCGGTACCCTGGTCTTCTTCTTCCGGCCTATAGAATGGGGCGGTAAAGTGAAGATGAGAGCGGCAGGCGCAATAAGGAGGAGATTGAGCAGAAGTGGCGACTTGGAGTATAGAGTCATGGACAGAAGGATAGCGCCGACATTGAGGAAGAAATCGACGGCTAATGCGAGGACGGTATACGGTTCAAAGAAGGACTGGCGGGCTTGGAGGACGGACCACAATATGATGGCTACCTGCAACGGTTCAAATTTAGCAACTCTCCACGCATGGCGGGTGGTGTAGGGGAACAAACAGCCGCAACGGATGTAACATAGTTGATTTCTACGACAGAGCCGCCAGAGAGATTGGACACAAAGTCCTCCTTTCGTTGCTTGTAGCTGGCGGAGTTCGACATTGCCGGCTGTATATGGTGGTAAATCTCAGTGCATAGTCAGAGAGAAATAACAGGTTTCGGGCACAAAGAAACAGTGGACGCAGTCAGGGTAACGACACCTGTCAACTTGACAAGTAATGAAAGCTCAGCCTTGTCCGTGATACCAGGTTGTGAAGTAGGATATTGAGTTCCACTTTGGAGGGGTCCGGCCCAAGGCTACGGCTATTAGAGGAGCTTAGGCCGACCAATGAGACGTTGCGTCTTATACAGGATACCGTGTCACGTGTGTCCTTAATCAACCACAGTACAAAGTAATCTAATAGCATGTCTTCAACCTTTCAGCTTCTTTACTATCAAATATTAGCATCGTCGCGAAAATTCGACATGTCGGGCTTGGCCAGCGCCTCGTTCAGGCCGTCGGGTCGGAAAGACCAACCAAATACGGGCTCTGTCCCGCGGACGCAGATATTATGTTGGCAGCCATTGCCTAGAGCAAGCCGCATTTCTTTGTTCTCTTCCTTAGCAAACACATTCTTGTTTTCGTCAAAGATATCCGTCAGCCGCCAAATGGCTGAATTCTTTGTGACAAAGTTTATGAAGTCAGAGTATGATGGAAAAAGTGTGTATCAGTCATGTCATCCTTTCTTCAGGAGCAGACACCACTTCATTGCAATAATTAATAATGAAACTTTTGTCGTCTAAGAGACAGGGTCGAACCCAATAACTTGAACACCTTTATATCTCATTACTCCAGACGCAGTTATCTTCTGACTCCAGGTCGTGCTTCATTCTTGGTTGCCTGCGTACACAAATCTTGGCTAACGTCTTCGTGAAACTGCGTCATCAGCATCAAACAAGTCATGACAATGGCCACAGCTGAAGCCCGGCCTCGTCCGGCTATAGAACCCATCCGAACATCCGGCCCTGGTCTCACTGTTCGATCTCTGCGACCCCGTATCATTCAGAAGAGCCCTTCTTGGACCCCTTCGCCTCTCTCGCCTCGCAGTCTCCCCCTTCCACGACTTCAGGAGGTGAGAGATGAGGATATCGAACAACATGACGCGATGGACATCGACTCGCAAGAACCTCAAAAGCGTGATCCTTCAAAGCTTGAACCCAGCCTCCGCAATGTTTCTCTGCGGCCTATTACAGAAATGCCCCTCCCAAGTCCAAGTCCCAGTACCTTGCCGCCTCGGCCGTCGCCTCTCTCGGCGCCACTCTGTGCACCTCCAGTCTTTCGAAGGCCGACTCTTGCAGAAGAGTCGAGAAACATGCTCCTGCGCGAGTCGGATGCTGAGCAACGCCGGGACTCCGCTCCTCTGGAATATGAGCGTCGACAGTCTGCGCCTGGTGGTGCTGCCCATGCAAGAGCGTTGCAACTTGCTCGACACCGAGATCACCTTCGTCGCCGGTGGATGACAGGGTCATATAGATCTCGCGAATCTGAGATATTGGTGTTGCCTGTCGAACTCCGTCGCTTTTCTCTTATGTCGTCCAGTGATGCAGAACCACCTTCGCCATACCCTGTGGATGGCCGTCTGACCACCCGTGTTGCTGTCCATTCCCCTGGCAAGAAGACATTGGTACTCACGAGAACCTTCGACTTGGATGAGTTAAGAGCCACACTTCCAGCTATCAGCTCTACCGAAAGAATCGAGGAAGTTCGGCGCGCATCAGTTGTAACTCTCCATCCTCCCCCTCACAACTCTCGACCATCATCCCCTGGACTCTCACACGAAAGACGCCACTCTTTTGGCGCTCTTCCGAGAACTACTTCTAGCCGCTCACCATCGTCTGAGCGAAGAGGTTCGCGGCAGGGTCTCCGTCCTGTTGCTATACGTAAGTCACACACAGTTCCCAAAAGTCTTCATAAAACACATTACTGACTTTGTCCAGGCCTAAACTATGCTCGCCGATATCTCCCTGTTCTGGCCGCCATCATGCTTTCCGAGATCGTTCGTCCCGGTGACACGGTAGAGCTTCCGCTCCCGCACCCTTATGCCTGGGAAGACACTGTTGCACACGTTTACACCGGGCGAGTTGCACTTACTGAACACATCAGACAGAACATTTTGTACCTCGGAGGATCAATGTGATACAGTCCTGAGATGTATCGAAGCGATTTAGAAATTGTGATGTAACAGGGGCTAGGTCGTGAAAAAAATCTTCAAATGTATCTTCTAATTCTTGGTGTTGTTAGCGAGCCCATGCGGTCTTTCAGTTCGCTATCTACTTATTTTTCTTTATCATGGGGGTGGTAATTACACTGCACTCTAGTTTTTATACCAGATAATCATACTTGCATTCTCGAGTTATACCTGTTGTATATGCTCAAATTGCACTTTGCTGTATATGTTCTCATGCGTTGTCGCTTCTGCAACTTCCAGGTCACTAAACGTGTTGAAGTATGTAAGTGCTCATTCTTAGGAGGTGTTGTTAGGCTGTGCTTTGTTCACGAAGGGCATGTGTCTCTGTATGAAGGTTTGTAGGATATGTTGATTCGAATACTATCGTATTTAAAGGGCAAACCATTTATTGTTCATCTCTAGAGGGAGTCACTATCACAAGATCCTTCTATTAGGGAGAGCGTGTTTGTATAGAAAGTATATAGACGGATCAGTTATTTCTATAGGCGCATCTATGAAAGTAGTACAAGATAATGAAGCATTAGAAGAAGTGACTGAGCATTCTCATAGCTCCTGTCCATATTGCCCGTTGGCTCGAGCCAACGGGTAGACTCTTTGAGGGGTGCTATTTATGATCGAGTTTGATATACACAATGGCCAGTTGATCAAGTCCAGAGCCGGTATCACAAAGGCATACTGACTAAATAGAATCATACGTTAACGCTGTGACTACAAGACCGCATTATGCTCAGTTCTGTTACTCGTGTTAGTTTGAGTCTTTGTTTACAGGAGTCAGCCTCGGTATGATGCTGTTTGAAGCAACGTTTGAGGGATCAATGCTTCTGATAATGCTTAGTTCTAAACCGACCTCGGCTGATTCGTCTGTCAGTTTTTGGGTGGTTGATGTGATGTCCGGTGATAACGCCTTGCTCAGAGAGTATCATTGATCGAGGTAGCAATCCATGGTGATGATCCTGATATTCACATGTCTCAGTCTGGCGCTATGGGTCACATCACACGATCTGTCCACACGATCATCGACAAGAGATCATAGCGATGACATCTGCAGCTAGCATCAGTATTGGTTCAAGAAAAACAAGTCTGTGCCTACCTGTCACCTGCCCACTGCCTATTATGGACTCTACGTCGTCCCCTCCCCCACAAGTGTTGCTGTGTGCTGCCGACACGAACGCCCCCAGTATGCCAACTTTGGTTGGAGTAGTCTGTGGAGAAAGACGGCGCGACGCAAGCATGGCCTGCAGGATGCACGCTCGGACGTCCATGTATGCTAACAACACACCTACGTGCCGCTTATTAGCTCGACCGGACGCTGCCAGGATAATGGAGGTACTAAAATACATCGCGTGTATTTTAGGCTAGGCTAGGTTCTTTAGGTAGCGCTGTCCGGGTTTTAAACAGTCGACTTTTGAGACAACAACCTGCATAGTTGAGAGAAGAAGAGACGAGAAGCGAATTGCGCCAATAGGTTGGTGGTTTCCGTGCCGTAAGCCTGCTCAACTTTAGTAGAAGATCTTGATTGATGCGGAGGAATCGTAAAGCAGTTTCCCACATTAAGCGATACATAGAGTTCTGTCAAGGGTCCATCGCAACTGGACCGGCCCGGCGGCTATTGCGGCTTTGTGCAAGTTCAAGTTAAGCGGACCTCCGAAGAATGGGCGATGGTAAGCCATCGCCGTTGCTACACCTCCGCCCACCGTTGCATGTCTCATGTCTCGGCAGACTCCTGTGATAATGGTGCGCTGGGATCATTGATGAGTACATAGATATCGCACAAACTGTGCTTGCACAAGTCAATAGAACAAGTCAAACCAGTAAAACTCGGCATAAGCAGAAACACACCACTGCATAACAGGCCTGCACTGTTCTCGAAGCAATGTGCTGTGACCCTGTGCGTTGTTTTATTTTACTTTGCTTGCTAAACAATGCAAAGAATGACGAGTCTAGGTAGGCATTGCATATGCCGCCGTCACGATTGAAAACTGAAGGGTCTTGTCTCTGTGCGACATTCCCCCCGGGAGAGTACGAAATCTGTAGCAGCTCTTGAGGCTTGGCCTTGATTGCGTTGGTGTGTGCCTGTGCTGGCTAGGAGAGTGGCAGGGTTCTCTCCAGCATGAGCATTTGACAATGTGACGCCTCCGGCCGATAGCGAGCTGCAGCTAAGCATATGGGGAGATGTACGTACTGCGTCGCATGTACTTCGCAAACGGGCGATTAGTGAACGGACTTGTCGATCTTAGGACCGCATTAGAGACTCGATAATCGTCTGACGCCATCTCGGCCGGGGTCTCGAAGTTAGTCTATTCGTGGCATACTTTCCGATTCTTGCGCCATCGTTAATTATTGATGAGGGGATATCCGTTGAGCTAGGTAGGGATGGGGGATCTTGAAGATGGATAAGGCAGGTTCGTACTACGAACTACGCAACACTTACCTATCCAAGTTGATCGAGCTGCGTTCCTCCTACCCAAGATAGGCGTAACTTAAAGCAGGAGGTACCTACCTAGTTATCTAGATCCCGTTTGCTCCAAGATCTCAAGTTGCCTCATCAGGCAATTGGCTGTTGGGAAGCTTTGACTATTGCTTCTTCAACCATCATCACATTAACGTACTGGCCTGACTGGGTATAGACACTGTTTAGACAGTTTGCTTCCTTATATCATTCGAATACTAACAAAGTACCTTACTGTACCATTACACATCTGATTACGCTTATGCTGCCAGATAACGAAACTCATTGCCACTATTTCTGTTGTACGTGAGCACATTTTCTATCATCATACAACTACTCCGTAACTTACACAGAAATAGATGACCCCACTTCAAAAGTCAAGACACATGTTGTTTCATGCGATCTACGTCCTCATGCCTCTCTTTGGGAAATCACTAATCCGTGTTCGAGACACCAGGAACACTCAATGCAACTTTGCTGTACGTATATCCGTAACCGTTGGCCTGAAATCTTTTGTCGAATCCAGTTCGTCCCTGTTCACCAAGTACCACTTGGCGTCAAGCTTTCAACTGACCCGTGCCATCCTTGTTATTGCCGATTCGTGTCCGAGCTCTGGACCCGCGGCGATATCTTGGTCGAAGAGGGGAAATGGAGAATTTGCAAGGGTCCATGGTGCATCGACGTGTTGTGTATCTGAGGTACAGCATAGTACTGTGTGCGCGAATGGGTTTTACCCAGTGACTTTACTGATATGTGGCTAACCGCCTTATGTCATGGGGCTAGACTGTGAGTGTCATGATGCCCTGATGAGAGAAGGGAAATCTTCTGGAGTAAACCTCCGGCGTCAACAAAGATTGGCCACTTGCAGGCTCAGGATCTACGAAAGGGTAATCCCGGAGGATTATGAACCAGGGACCTGCGTCTAAGATGACGATTCAAAACAAAAAGGATCAAGATTGTGGGGTTGCTTGCAGCCTCTGGCCAAGCCAAGGTTGGGTTGGTGACACAAGCGGGATCGGGCCTTTGCTGTGGTGAAGACTGAAATCAAATCATGCCATCGTCACAGACTTCAATGAATCCCACTGTGGATTTTGGATGGATATGCTTCTTCAGGGTCCACCGGCGTGCGTGACCCGACTTTGCAAGGCACAAGTCAGACGGCTTGTGAGCTCACACAAGCTTCCATGCCAGCAAGGCGTCTCAAATCAAGATATGATACATGCCGAGTAGCTGCTGCTGTGTTGTCATAAGCAAGTCATGTCATTTTCAACCGGAGGCGGTCCAATGACGGCCATACACCGGCAGCACACCAAAGTCGCAGAGCCCCAAGACCCGCATAGAGCCGGACAAGCAAGAACCAACATAGCATATAATTATCACGATAACATGTACGGAGCATCGCCGGATGGTTGGAGAAAGTGTACAGTTGTGTACTAATTCACGACTCATAACAGGTTACATACAACACGATTCGACATATGCACGCGCCGCACCTCCACTTCCTTGCCAGATGCTTGTCTGTATGTTGACGGCCGAGTTAGCTAGGGTAGCAAGAGTACGTACAATAGGGTTAGAGATCGAAAGACAGAAATGACCATCACTATCGAAAGTCGCGGCGCTCAGCCAAGGACCAGTCACATCGGAGAACCAAGAGTCCAAACCAAGAACTTAAGGACCCTGGCTCACACCCCCAGACTCATCTAAGCGCAGAATTATCTAGGCCTAGGTACCTTGCGTCCTGTCTCACATCATGATGTCTAGTCTAGCTAGTCTAACTACTAGGTAATATAGAAGTGGATACTGCAGCAAAAAAAACCCCGCGCCAAAAACACCCATGCCATATCATATCAAATGCTCCAAGTAGGCCTATTTGCAGACGATCGCTGCCCACCAGTCCTTAGCCTGGTTAGCCTGGCTCACCAATCCTACCCTCTGTTACTTGTCTTGGCATTTGTCTTGTTCCTTTGATCGACCTCTTGATAACAGCTTTGTGCTCCGAGCCGACAAACATACTGGACAAATCCTCTGCTCATGTCAAGGACCACAAAAAGATGAAGAAAGAAAATCTGGCTTGGTTCGGCCGACAAGGAGGGGAAGCGGAGTGATAGCTAGTGGTGGGGCATGCAGTCTTATCCAATGGAGGTCCCCTGTTATAACGCTGTCTGCAGCTCATCTTGACTGAGTCCCGCAGGAGATGCAACGGTGATCAGGGAAACCCAGGTTGATAATGACACGAAAGTGGTACCTACGCATCCTCGATACCACGTACTACGACTCGTGCTGTTTGACTTTGATCCGTATTGCCCAACGGGGCAGGACCCTGGATAATTATTTCCTTTCAAGGCGGCCAGCCTCAGGCCTCGGACCTCAGACACATCATTGTTCTGTTTTGACTTTGTGGCCACCTGCGAGATGGAGATGGGAGTGTTGCACGTCAAACCCTAGTTAAGCCTGCAACGAGAAACAAGAGGTTGCATCTGCAGCTCCATCTTCATCTCCATCTGCATCTGGCTGAGTGAGACCTGCCAACCATCTGAGCTGTCGTACCACGAAACTAAACATTTGTGGGTGGTGCTGTGGATCTTCAGTCTACTCATTCTCGATTCTCTTTTGGGCTAGGGTTGTCATCGCTAACCTCCAAGCTAGTGTTAACGACAGCATGTAAATTTTGTACTCTACCTAATCTGCTAATCTCGTAAACTAACGGGTTGTTGTTTTTCAAGGTGGGTATCGTTTGAACTAAGTAGGACTCTGCGCCATTATGTCCGCGTAATACACAATCAAGTCACATCGCATCAGATAAAGCAAGTAGATGTCATGAAGGAGTTTAATAACCCCGGGTGGTTTAATTATTGCTCTCACATGCCTCAAAGCTGTGCCTTGTGTGAATATAGCACACCACCTAAAAAGCCTCCATCCCTAGTCCCTATAATACCAAATTGTTACAATATGAGAAATGATGACTTGAGCTCGGGCTTCGTCAGCAAGTCGAGAAGCTAGGAATCGTGATAGCCTCGACTGCTTTTGCCCACCAATAATTATTCGGCCCAGCAAAGCTCGCTGTTCAGGTTACCACATGTCTTTCATCTGCCCGGAAATATCCCATTCCAAGCAGGCGACACTTTGAACCTCGTCAGCGGCCGTCGACTGGAAAAGCGTCTTCGTCGTCCCTCATTAAAAAAAAAGAAGCAAGAACTTTTTCCTACTCCGCCTCTTGCCATGCTTCCCCGTTGGTGTTCCCATGCCTTTTTTTTTGTGTGGTGGTGATAGTGATGGTAGTGTGAAAGAGAAAAATAGGTGGAAAGGTTTTCGTGTGTTTTGCATGACCTCACTGGTCGTGAACAATTAACTTCCCATATGAAAGTGAAAACATTACTCATGGCCTCATCATAGTCGTCTCGTTGCAAGGTCAAATCGCCCAACAGTGTCCGCTGATAGAATTTTCGTTCGTATACAGCGTAGTGTTGTTTGGTATTGTTGCCATTGGTGTATGCACTCGTATAGGTACATAAGAAGTGCTCGAATCGTAAGCTGCGTAGTCGCTCTTCTCCCATGCGCCTTGCTGTATTTGTTGTTGTCGTCCCTTCTGACGAGCGTTGTAGCGGATAAGTGAGCCCTTTCCAGGAGGAGTCTTCAAAACAATTGAAGGTTGTGGGGCGGGAGCAAGTCGCTGCTCATCGTTGGCGTCTCCATCAGCTCGGCTACCCCATGAAGTCTATAGTTGAGATTGATTAGCAAGGTGTCGATTTTAACGATAAATATCTGGAACGTACCATATTCAAAGTGATCAACGCGTACAGCTTGACGAGTCCGTGGAAATATCCGAACATGACGGAAAGGGGCAGAAACATGATATCACTAGGGTTTCGAATAAAGAGACCCATGAGCTTGACGACCTTGGTGAAAGCAAACATGAAGACAAACTGAGCCCAGAAAGCGTATCGGCGGTTCTGGACATCCCAGTCTGCGGTTCCCCACCAGCAAGAAGCGAGAAGAAGCGGGTCAACGACAAAAGCCAGCGAAGTGAACGTCGCAAAATGGAGGGCATATGTGCACCACAATTGCTGCCTGTTTTGTTGTTAGAGACCTGAATTTGGCTTTTCACGGGGAACAAATTTTTACTCACTTCCAAATATAGCGTTCAGTAACCATGCTGGTCCAGTTGCTTCGCCAGTTGCTTCGCGCCCAGCGAGAGCACTGGTACAAAAACTTGGTGCTGTTCTCCAGTGTTGTCTCGATCTCACATTCCTTGTCGTACTGGATCCATGTCTTCCACTGATGGCTCACCAACCAACGAGTCACGAAGTTGTCGTCGTCAGCGTTCAGAATCCACTTTCTCCACTTCTCGTTCTTGAAGCCGTGGAGAAAGTCGTGGCTGGAGAGAATTTCAGAGCGGTAGGCGCCGGTACGGCCGGACATGCATGATGTACCGCCGTCAATGTTGTGTGTAGCCGAGATCTCAAAGTTGCGGCGCTCGATGTATGCAGCACCGAGCCAGTTCCAGGCCTTAGTAGACCAAGAAGCATCGTGCTCTCGTCGGACTCGCTGGCAGGTTCCTACGCCACCAATCTGAGGGTCCTCGAAAGGAGCCAAGATCCAGGGCATAAGAGTTGAAGGCCAGGTTACATCATCATCGGCCATGATAGTGATAGGTGTCTCAACCTTGGGGAGTGCCTCGCAGACTTGCAGACGCTTGTTGGCAATGGGAGTGTCTAGAACACGGACTTTGGGGAAAGGCAGAGAGTCAGCCAACAGTTGAAGACCCTTTCGCTTGTCATGCGTAGTGACCAAGATCAACTCGGCCGGTTCGCAGGCCAAAATACTCTCAAGCGAAGGACGGAGCTCCTCGAAGGCATTGTGAATAGTAGGGATAACCACAGTAACATCCTTACTAGTGAATGTCGGTTTGCTAGGGATAGGCTTTGACTTATATGTCCAATGGCTGACGCAATGAACTAGAAGACGGAAATAACGATGGATCCTAAAATGTTGTTAGGGTCGACTGGTGATCATATATCAAAAGTATATTTATGAGAGTGAGAGCATGGACTTTCTGCAAGCATTGTGGCCCAGAGGCTGAATTCTCTTATTGAGGTTTTCAGTGACGACTTACCAGAGACCTAAGAAGAGGTACAGCCAGAATGTGCTCGAATACCAAAAGCCGAAGGAAGGCATCGAGAGAGATAATGGCCCGGCGAAGCCAAGAGGGCTATGCCTAATACTTTGACTGTCTGACTCTTGCATACTGACGCTGTGGGGTGTCGAAATTCGGGAATGTTGATGTGTGGTGAAAGTTGTTGTTCCGTGTAAGGCAACAGAAGTTTTTCGTGATGTAGGATGAATATTGATGGATACCAAACAGCGACGGTATGGGTCTGAAAGAGCGAGAGCGAGGAGGAGTTTATACGTGATTTTGGAACAAGATTTTAGGTCTCGTAATCTGGAATTGACAGTGGTTGACCGTCCAAGATGGTTGTGGTGAGGTGAAAGTGAATCAGAGACGCTGGAAGTACCAAAGCAAAAACACTGTGCACCAGAGACACAATCGCACCGTCGCAAAAGTTGAGGCAGCGGACGTATAATATACAATGACGGGAAAGGGAACTATTCAGAGAAGGCCATGACAAGAGAAATTGGCCGATGAAAGAAGAGCGAGGAGGAGGAAAAGAGGTAGTGGCGATGATAACAGCCTGGGGTGAAGATGGGGAACGGGTCGACGATATATACCTATGCCAAACCCCGTCTCCAAAACGGACCATGCATGAACATGGAGTAGAGAGGGTCCTTGATGAGGCCGTGGGCCATCGTAGTGTGTACCTAGCTGTGGTGGGACTGGTAGGGCGGCAACTACGTAGAGACAAGCGCGCAAGTCTGTCGAGATTTGATCTTGGTCTGGACAACGGACAAAAAGGCAGGGGTGTATTGGGTCTTGCGCTCACTGCATTAGGACCAGTGGGGAGCGAGGGGTTGGATGGTTTGAAAGGCTAGAGGGGGCCATGTATGGCGGCGGCGGCGGCTCGACTTGGGGGGATAAAGAGGGCACAACTATGTAGCTAATTAGTAGCGCAGATGGGATTGGAGGAGGGGGTGTAGTGAAATCACAGCAAGACTGGCGCGCGTTATTTTGAGAGGCGTTCCATTACTGAAAGCCAGTTGACTTCCGTTGAACGTTGAGTTGACCCCGGCCGCGTTACTACCGAGGCCGGTGCTGTAATGCGGGTTTGTTTCTTGTCTTTTCTTGTTGTTCAGTCGCTACTGCACGCTGTCGCGGAATACTGGAGTGCGAGCGGGGTGATCAGGTCTGCAACTGCGACAGTGAATGTACAGGCCACAGGACAGGGCATGGGGGCGCAGGCTCACGAACGTGGAGTCCGTCTACTTTAGCACTCTGGCTAAGTACGGTACCTCAGTGCCTTGGCCTGAAAACACCACCATGTCCGTTCGCTTCTCCAGGACCCTATCGTCGTGGCGCCGGTTCGATTCTGGCTGGCGCACATGAGGGTCACGTCTCGTGCCTAAGGTGGTAATAGCCCATGTCATAGTCCTGGAATAGTCCATGGCCAGTGCTGCTCGGCCCGCGGCGCACATCACGGTGGTCCTTGTCGTTGTCGCTGCTCATTGTTTTGCGTCTGGGGTCCAACTGACAGGGGTTTTCACAAACCTCGATGGCGTCGATGGCGACGGGCGGGAGAGGAGACATGGGACCTTGCTCGTGTTTAGCGTGTGGATCTCGTTACTGCTGGCGCCAACGAGTAAAGTCCAAAGCCAAGACAAGCCAAGACAAAACAAGATGGCCATTCAGCATTGCCTTGGTGAGTATCTGGTGGGGAGTGGATTAACAGCTGGAGGCTTAGACAGAACAGAGAGCCAGGGACCTCAAAGGTCAACCAAGATAATACTGCATTGTGCAAGTGCAAGCACAGGACTTTGGAATTGAGCTGCCTGTAACATGAAAGCATAGCACAATCTGACTTGAGAATATACCAGTGCATTAGTCGCTTATGTGTGGTGAGACAAGCATGGCCCGTCGTATCAGAACCAGAATATGGCGTCTTGCATCTTGCGTCCTGCGTTGTGCGTCTTGCATCTGATTCTGAGGGTCCAGATGAACCCTGCGGAGAGCAGTGAATACCCCATACAGAGGCGAAGAAACAGAGGTTTCTGCGACTATGTATTGCTGCTGCAGATGCGAAAGGCTGTATATAGTCCGTTGTGTTTTGAGATTGCATGTCAACATATGAGGAGAAGTTCACGAGCTCATGGGCCAATCAGAAGCCACAGATCGCTGAGACAAGTGACGAGAGAGCTACTGTATTCGATATCGGATATCATGGAACGCGCAATACTAACATCCCTGAAGCGCAGGAACTGGGTCCCGATGCGGGCCAGTAATTGGACGAGGGATGAAGATGGGAATATGTATGCTTGGACCGGGAAGATGCAGCATGTACGCTTAAGAAGCCATATCACACAGGATGCAGGTGATTGCGCGGTTGAGTTCTTCCGCTTCCGTGAAATAAGCTCTTTTTGAAGGTACCTGCCTGCCTACCGACCTAGGTATTTTGGCCCGGGATGAGCCTCTCACTCTTTGCGGGCAGGTTCCTGCCAGTTGAAGACGAAGGAGCTCATGCCCTGGACGGGCCAGAAGTAGGTCGCAGGTGGGTAGGTGCAGATAACCTCAAATCCGAAGCCCTTGCCTCGTCAACATTAGCTTAGTTGTCGAACAAAGAGTGGAGAAAACCTGTTTACATCTGCCTCTACCTCTACCTTACCTAGCATATGGATCCATGATACCTGCATACCTTACGTTTTCTACAGTTGCAGATTGTTTGACCTTTTCGTGGCTTCAGCTAAACTACCTACCTATTAATGTGGCCACTATACTACAGTGAGCTGTCCACTGCATTCTGCAGCTACTTGTCCTTCGTCCAGATTTCCATACCACTCCCTACCATCGTCATCACAATTTGATATAACCACCAATATCCGGCCCGTTACCAAATCGCTTCACTTTCTCCTCGCCGTTAACTGCACGTCCACGAATCAGCAAGGGAGGTTTTGCCCGGGTTGAGAGTAACAAAGCAACTTGAGGTACAGAGAGGACTTCCGTGCCCTATCCGCGCAGGACGAGACAATTATTGTATGGCAGAGCGCTTCAAAGTACGGACAGTACATAGGTGAAGTGGCCAGAGAAAATGCATCATCACATCACATCGCATTGCCTCACCTTTTCAGGTTGTCAAGATTGGATCCGCTCCGTCCATACTGGATGGGATGGGATGGACAGCTGCCGCGTTGCGTTGCTGGTCGGTCTTCCAATAACACTCATTGTCGAAAGACAGCGGCCGATTATGCTCAGCGGGAGGGGACCGGCCTGAAGAAAATAGCCGACAAGCGGACACTTCAAACCGCAGATCGACCAACCCTGGCAGCTAGACAACTAAGCAAAGGCAGGTCAGGGTTACAATAGTGCGGACCCCCAGTCGACTTCGGCTGGTTGATATGAGATTTACATATTGAAAAGAGTCCGAGGGAGGGTCTGCATATCTGCCAGCCCTGGTCTCTTCCAGTCATGGTTATTTGTGTTACCTTCCTTCTGCATCGGCAGCTTTGGAGCATATGGTGCATGGTGCACGGTGCACGGTGCAACACACATCAGAGCTCCACGATCTATGGCTTTGCATAATATGTACGGAGTACCTAGGTCATATCTGCTGAAGCATTGGCTTTCTTGAATGCAATATGACAGATGCTGCTGCTGCATGGCTGGCTTGGGATAAGATGCGACGATGCTATTCATCAATGATGTGGCTTTGCTTTGTTTTTCCATGCTTTACTTCGGCTTTGCTTGGATAGACGGGTGTCCAGCCTGCTCTTGGCCACTCTTGTCTACCCCAGTACCTTGCTGCATCCTGGATCTGAGATTGGATCCTCTGAACGAGAAGACACACTTTTATGCGGTTGGTCCTCATCGGAGTTACCTTACTGCGATACGGACATTGAGTCTGAAGGAGTCGTGTGCAAATACGGAAGGGAGCTAACGTTCTCAAATCACACCATACCTGGATCTGCTACGCCTACATAATGCTCAATTTCAAACCCACATGGCCTGTTGCTGGCTTTTTTATGAGACAGGAACCACAAGGGTCTTTCGTGTAGGCTCATGTACGACAGCCAAGACGGGGCCACAACGCTTAGGGCGAAATGAACATCAATGGCTCCAGTCAGAGGAGAGCACAACGAGTATCAACAAGAAGAAGAAGGCTGCTGAGGTCTCAGCACCGATGCAAAAATAGCTCAGCTACAACTCCGTACCTACATACATATTATTGCCTATGCACAGATATGATATATGCAGAGATCGATAACGACAAGGCGCCTGGCCGCATATCGATCAGCGCCTGTTCCAATTGGTGGCACGCTTGATCAATTATGAGCCGCAAAAACAATCACTGAAAGCTGACGTGAAGGAGCCACTCGTTGTTTCCTCGTTTGCATTGCACCTGTCCTTTGCGACACCATCTCCACTGTCAGCGGACTGTCACTTGAATTGTTGCTCAGTCGACGACTCACCAAGCTCGCCAGATCCCGAGCCCTTGCCGGATCCAACCTAGACTCAGTAGCTGGCGCGTGCACAGCAGCATGGTGGATATCATACACCCTCTGCCCTGTCAGGATCCTGCAATCAACAGCTAGTTATCAACCAGCTGTTGGTCCCAGGCCGAGTCAAGTTCAACGCGGCGCAACGCAGCTCGACACATTCGGCAACAGTTATCGTCCTGCAGACTACTGCAGAGCATCGGCCATATTACTCTGCTGGTTGGCCAGAGTAGGTCTCAAGTTTTGACATGGCTATCTACTGTGGTAACTCTTGAATAACCAATGTCGCAAGTCCGAGTAGTGTTACTTTGGCCACTGTTGTTGAGACACAGCTGCCACTCTGTCTGCAGCTATTGACAAAATGGTACTCCTGCTTACAATTGAGGTTGCTAACCTGATATACAATTTCGAACGGCGTTTATTATTCGCAAGACACTCACCACTACCTGCGACGTAACAGGTGGCAGCACGTAGCGCAAACGATGCTATTCGATCAAGCCAGTTTTACCACTGTGGGGGTCTATCAGGCCTTTTGTTCATTTTTCACTACAGGCCCTTGGAGGGAGTCTGCCCATCAAGACCGGAGGGATCCCCACTGCACCCTGATCCTGAGCCGCTCGTTTGCTGCTCAACCCTTTCACATTCGATTTGCCGCTATGGAGCCATTGGCATATTCGTGGGCGCATGCTCGAGGTATTTTTCTCTTGCCCTTCTCTTTCGCAGATCCTTAGTACCTTGCCACTATGCAATGAAAAGAAAGCAGCTGCGGGCGTTGTTGGTCCGGGATATGGAAGGAGGTGCACCAAGAGAGGTGATATTGACAATGCGTTGTGATATCACCATCATGTTAAAAAGCTCAAGACGATCCTCATGCCGTTATTTGCTTAGTGCTTCAAACGGGATTGAAACTTGTGGAGGAACCAGGATGACCCTCGCTTGTCTCGAGGACCAGGGACATAAAGTCAATTCAAGCACGGAGCACCTGCTAAACCGACGTCTGTCGGCCGAGTCTCTAATTTTGAAGCTCACAAAGTCAGATACGATATTCATCCTTGTCAATGTCTTACAACATCAACCCAACGCCGGATCACTACAGAGTATGGTCACAATTATGTGCTCATCTGCCATTACCAGCTAGTGCTTTGGTACTTTCTTTTCTGGCCAAAGCATCATCATCCTTCCACGCACAGCAATAGTGAGTGTCTGGGGATGGACATGTACATGTTACTGCGTTTACCAGTGTAAACATCAACCTTGGGCAGGCCACGCATGTCATAGAGATGTATGCTAACAACCATATTCGCAATGTTGATGTCATTCTTCCGAGCTGTCAGAAACAAGGACTAAAATCTGTATTTGTCCCTCAGATGGCAACGCCGGTTAGCTTATCGGTATAGGTTAGTTGATATAACGAGCATTAACTAACAGGACCTCAGATATTTGACGGCAATGTACTTTTGGAACATGACTTACCAATGTGCCAGGCTCTGTATTTGCGCTCGATCTCTACTGATGCTTGTCACCTCTTTGAGTCGAAGTCATTCTCTCCTCATTGATAAGTCCTCAATGTTTGGCAAGTCCCGAAGCAACACTTCCAGCTTGATAACCTCATTTACACAGCAGTCATCTCGCCTGATGACATGGTCTACTAGTCAATGACTATTTGAGCTCAGAGGGACATCTTATTTATTTGCCAAAGAGGAGACGCGATGCAAGCGAAAGGGAAACCTGAATGCTCAAGTGTTTGGTTCTAGAAAATGTTTGTAATGATATACGACTCGCCCGTATGAGAGCTGTTTCCCACCTACATATACATATATATCAGCACGAATGTTTTATACATGCTCGCTTATTGAGAAATCCTGTATTCGAAGCATGCCAGGGCCTGGCGGGGCGTTGGTATTGGCATGCCTCGGGGAAGCACAAGGTGCCGCCGGCGCTTCTGTCGGAATAAGCATGCAGCCAGGGAGCTACCATCGTGGACTTCACCACAGCTGATAGATTTCATAGGTCCATAACCCAGTGTACCTGCACTAGGTATTATCCCCTGTAATTTGATATGGAGCCAAGTCTCGTATGGCGGAAAATTGACGTATAGTTTGACATATCCAAGTGTATAGGTTACATCGATGAGATGACATAACGTGAACAAAAGTTTGACTTGGATATGTGATAACAAACATCAATAGTAAATAATTTGTTTTACTTCTCGAATGTAAAACTCTAAGTAAAGGATAGTAAAAAGACAATATTTCCTGCATAACCAAGGGTATGCACTATGTGATGTCCGGCTCAAAGTGAGTCCTCGACCTGCATTATGAAACAAATGTTGGAGACATTTGTTCCCGTGGTCTATAGTCTTGCAAAAGCCAGACTCTGGCAGGAAGCTATGGCCCCCATCCTTGAAGAAAATATATCAGTCAAACGAATGCGTCTTCATAGCAGTTGGTATGCCTACCCTACATGGATGTGATATGATCTTTGTGATATGATCGTTGTGCTATCAAACAAGAACTACGGAATACATTGAACATGGCCGATAAGGCCTCATCTTGTAGTGTGAGACTATGCGGTTCCTGAGCTATCGGTGTAGGCCTGGAGGTAGATCTATGTACTCCTTGCAAGATGCCTCTAATCTCTTGGATCGGTGTAGCCCCAAACTCCTTTCCCAAGGAAAAGATAGTTTGGCCGAAACGGATGTTTTCGACAGAGTCGCTTCCCCACATTAACCGTAATGTGTTCGTATTGATATCATAAGACTGAGATGAGGTCAGAGTCTTTCCGATATATGCGATCTGATCGATTGAATCCACCAAGGACCACTTTGTACTTGTAGAGTAGACGATTTCAAGTTAAGGAACAGAAGACTGAGAGTAACAGACTTAGCTCGCAAAGTGGAATAAGGACATATAGATGTTATTGAGTCTTTACCTAGTTGCAATCGTGTAAAGCAAGCGCAGGTATGGGTTCGGCGACTATATATATGACATAAAATCATGCTTGATAGACAGAATTGAAACCACTAACTGGATGAGAAAATGAAGACTCTTGTTTATAGCTTCTCAAATTATATACTCTCAACTCCTTGGTGGTTTTACATATAGGAACGAGTGATATTGTGTTAGTTGAGAGTCACCATGTGTAACAACTCTTCACAGATGACTCTTTACACATGACGCTTTACAGATGTATGACACGCAATCACAGTTTGTACAAAGTAGGATGAAATTTGTTCATAACCCATTCATATAACTTAAGAAAGAATTTGATTTCATGTTGCTCTTGTCAGTCACTGGTCTAATAACATCTTAACATGATACGTCGTGCAAACGCAGAGTATCACAGCTGAGCAGGACATTAACCGTTATGCGGAGTGCACTCGCTCCTCGTTCTGGCGGTTGAAAAAAGGGTATATAACTCAAATATCTTTGAACCAGTATGCTATCCCGTGCACTCATTCACTTGTATCACGAGCGTATCAGCAGCGATGATTGTGAAACACGTAGTTTGGCTATCGGCGATGTGTTTGAAACGAAACCGGCAAGATCTTCAAGTGTCTGAGCTAAAGGCGGGCCTTGCCGTGTTTTAAGACGAGGACTAGGGTTATGTTTGTGTTAGACATTGTGTTTGAGCATGAAGTCATAGCGAGAGCTCTTCGCAGGGTAGCGATGCAGGGTCCTCGTTTAAAGCCAGCCCTAGAGAATATTATTGGGCAATGTCTATCATGACACCTTCCATACTTGAGGTAGACTGGGTCATATAAGTTCAGAAATTACGAGTTCATTGCTACCCCCATATAAGTGATAGGGCAGTTGTTTTGGATTCTCCGTGGAGTTACTACCTATACTCCGTATTCCTCTACATAACGGGAATGCAGACACAAACAGGGAAGTTGTTGAAAGCTCACAGGGTGTATGTGTTTATTACGTAGCTTGTAACTAAGTTGGATGGAGAATTCTCCAAGTATTTGGTGGATACGAATGGTATTTTCCTGCTTGCCAGTCGCCAGTCTTGTCCAAAGTGGTCCTGGTATGAGTGGATTTGATTTGAGGCATGACAATCTGGAGATGAATCAGAATCTGAATCAGAATGTCCACGCCCGTAATACTACAACGGGTTAAAGTTAATGGGGGTGATGGGAGCAGGAATGAACATTGGCGATTTGCATGTCATGTCTGGAAGAGTTGCAGATATTTGTTGCTGCATGACTCGACCAACAGCTATTTGCTGTTGAAAAATTACGTATGAGAGGCGAATTTGCGCAACATTTGAAGTGCATAAAAAATCTTAAGCCTCAAGGTACAAGACAAAACTAGTTGCACAGGAATTATACGTCATTGGGGCGTGTTTGGTAGCGCACTCTGTTATAATTCTCACCTGACTTAAGCACGAGAGAGGAGTTTGCGAGGCATTTGAGGTGGAAGAAGAGGAGGGGTCGTTGAAGAGAGAGGGGCAATGAGGGGCAGTTGAGGACTCATAAACGCCATTCATCATTAGCACAAGTTATAGAGGATGTGGCGTGAGTTAAAGAGACCCTCTGTTGAATTGAGACAACTTTAAGTGATGAGGCACAGGGTGTCAAAAACCAAGTATCTCGGTTTGGTAATTGTGGTGTTGACCAAAGTCTCCAAATTAGGTAAGTCGCGTGACCTGGAGTGGTCTCATTGATGAATTCTGCAAGGTTCGAATTGGAATTGGAATTGGATGCCTCACTCAAATTTGGTGTAATTTACAGCATGTGACACAGGGCAGAGCAGACCCTTACAAGCCTCGATTTGAGGGGACAACCTTGAGGGATCGCCAGGAGAAAGACGGTTGATGGCGTCTCCCGTCCCTGTGCCTGTGCCTGATGACCATGCGCTGGTGGCGTAGTCTGGAATTTGGAATCTGGAATCTCTGCGGGCATTCTCTTCCTCATCCAACGAGCAGAGGGACATGACTAGGTAGATTGGACAAGGTAGGTATGTAAGACACATGGCTAGACTATGAGAGGCAGTCAGCTTGTTAGTACTCCGTAGAGAATACAGTTAGTTTGACATAAAGTGTTGGAGTTTCAAGACGGGCTATGTCAATACCACGTACGCATCCAAAGGCTGAGTGGTAGACTGACTAATTACATGTAATCACTTTCGAAGCCCCATAAAGCGTTTGTCCGATGGTGCATCTAAGCCTCATCAAACACGCTGCTCGCTTTCATCAGCGACGCGTGTGTATCTACGGATACTCCGTAGAGTTGGAGAGAAAGAAATAGCGATGACATCAATCAAGTTGGCCTAGAGTGAATGATCGACCGTTAGTACCAAGGGACAAGGGGTCCAGAGCAGACCATTTCGTGGCCGAGGCCAAGATAAGAAACGCGGGAAAATGAAGACGAGGCAATTAAACCAAGCGAGAGTACATGACAATCGCGTTTAACAGTGAGAGATTAATTAATGAACTAATCACGTTGATTAATCGCGTAGCTAAAAGTTTGATTTCCATCGACCAACTAATTAATGTACCTAGACAGGAGAAGCCATTCAGACACCATCATCATCTGTCATTAGCAATGTTAGAGTACGTGTACTGGGTGTTTATCCGGCCTCGTGGCGTTACAGGAACCGAGATAAAAACCCCGCAAACAGAAACTGTTGCTGGGCGTTGGATAATTCGGATGAATGAGACCGGGCGATGATGCTATAGAAGCTGATATATCCGGGGGATCAACACGGATGAAACAGTAGATGATGCAAAGAGGGCGACATTCTGTAACAGATCTACGATGCTGGTACATTACAGATTACATATGATACAAGGAGCAGCAGGGCTGAGAGAGAAACATGAGATTCCTCTTCTGCCTGCTAACTAATAATAGAGAGAGTATGTACGGAATATTGTTTGTCTCTTCCACCACATCTGAAAAGGGCCGATGAAGAGGCAACTAATCAGTAGGTGATTAATGATGCAGACCAAGAGTTAGTCGTCTGACAAGCAGTCGAATTGCCTAGGCTTAGCCGTTGATCCATTCATCCTTGTAGAGCTGGCGAGACTATTGGCGAACCAATAAATGGTAAACCATGCATCCGTAAAGTACATACTCCTGATTCCCGTCTCGCATTTCCTTCTCGCTCGCTTCCTGGGGTAATTAATCGATCAATTTCGCCTGGGGCAGAAGCGTTATGAGATGGAGACATCTATGGAGTCTATACGGATATGCTTTTAATGAGAATGAGAGACTTTTTAGCATGTGAGCGAATGTCTTTTTTAGTTCCTGAATCTGTACGAATACACGATAGTCTCTGCTCTGTGCTTCTGTTAGCTACAGAGCATAGAAAGCCTAGATAGAAGCCTAGAGAGCCTAGAGAGGTGCATCACACATCGATCTCATTCCTACTCTTCCTATTGGATAGCTTGTCACCTCCATTCGACCATTTGAGACAGATACGGACAGTTGCATCTTATGTTCCAAGGATTCAATCCCCCACAAACGCCCCCAAATCTCACACTTTGGTTGTCTCTTGTCGTTATCTGCGGCTACTCTGCTGTAGGCTAGACAAACATTGAATTTCAACTGAGACCGCTCACCTTTTCTTAAACCGCATCTGCGACCTTTGTATATCGTCCCCCGCCCGTCTTCCTTTACCGCCTCTCAACAATCAACAGTGCAGTAGTACTTTGTAGCAGTCAATCAGTCGCCGTAACCCCGGAGATGTCGGCATGGAACTCATCACATCATTGCGAGTTCGCAGACCGCAGACCGCAGTTCGCAGACCGACCTGGGCTTGGCACGTCGGCGGATCAAACAACCCTTGAGCCAATCCCTGCCCAGCGTCCACAGAGTAAGACAGTAAAGCCAATGGATAAGAGGGAAAAAAAGGACCCAACAACTTTTTGTCAAGAAAAGACTCTCCACTAAATCACTAAACCGCACGTGCCCATGCACTTGATGAGGCTGAATCTGGCCTAGAACGTCCCGACATTGGCTCAATCCCTCGGCTTCGCTGGAACCGAAACCCAGTTTTTAGCTCTGTCTCTAACTTGCAGGGCACTGTCCTGTAGTTTGTAGGCATCTAGAGTGCTGTAAGATAGGTAAGTGATTGTCGTACCTGGGGATAGGTTGGTCTGCCCCGGACGCACCGCCATTCTCAACCTCCACTCACTCACTCACTCACTCACTCACTGCCTCCGCCGCCTTCACCGTCGTAATCTGCCGCCTCTTACACGGCCACAGAGCCAAGGACGAAGCAGAGAGGAATATTACCGTCTTACCCTCCTTCCCCTCTTCTCGTTTTCAATCTTGTCTTCTTTCATATCATATTCATTTCCATTTCCAAATCAACAGAACCCGTCTTCTTGTCATAGTTCTTGGCTCGGCCGCATTCTCACTGGTATTTCTTGGCTTTTAGAGTCTTGACAGAGTCGAGCTACGTACAGTACAATTGGGTCCTGACTCCTTTACCTTTACCCACCCACTACTCTCGGTTCTCGAAGACTAGGACACCCCTGGAGTTGGTGGCCCAGAGACCGGCAACAGGCCTGGCCTCCCCGTCCTCCACTGGCTTGTCCTATCCTATCCTGTCCTGTCCCGACTCTTCTCTTTAGTATACATTTTGCGACATTTCCATTGTCGCTTCTTGCCTTGTTTACGCTGGTCGTTGTCGTTGTCGTTTTGAGAGAAAGAATAAGAGTACCGTACATTCTGCGAGCACATTGCGCAGTTTGACCGTCTATCTGTTTGCTCTTCTTTTGTCTTGTCATCCTGTGCAACTTGAAACAAAAGAATTCATTCATGATGCTCTGAGATACGCTGGGCGTGCGACAGACTCCTCACCTCCCGCTGCGCTGCGCCCGTATCCGTGCAACGGCGACGAGACGTCCAACAACACCAGAGCCAACGACGACAATCATCAAGAAGCTCCTCGTATACTTCTATTATATCCTGACAACCTCTTACCTCTAACCTGCCTTTTTCTTCCATGGCTATGGCGCAGACCAGCAGCTCGCTACCGGGTCACCTACACGGTCACGGATACCACGGAAATCAACATGGACACTCCAAGATAACAAAGCCACGGAGTCGACCAGCTGTGAAACCAATTCTCAAGAAACTGCAGTCGCATCACTCCCACTCGGAAAAGAACTCGCTGGACTTGGATCGCAGTTGGGACGAGCAAGGCCAATTTGGGTATGGCTACTCTTCGTATAACGTCGATGGCGACGACTCGTCTTATACGGCAGGTGCATCAGCACTGCCAACACCTGCTGGCCGCGCACGCGATGTGAGCTTTTCTATATCGGCCACTGATATCAGCACTGGCGGCGCCCGTTCGAACAAGTATTCGCATGCTCGTTCAACAAGCGGAAATTCTCACGCTTCTCACGCGTCTCACGCCTCTATTGCTACTTCCGCCAGCGGTGGTCGAAACGGTTCTTTCGTGCATCCTTTTCAACAAACACCTCGCACTTCGACCCCTCCGCTCTCATACGCAAACTCGCTCGCCTCTCTCGACAACCCTAGCGGCCCTCGCGACTGTTCTCCTACCATTACAGAAACCGAAGACGACCTCGAGCCTCCTAACTTCCAAACTTCAGGTCGTGCTTACCACTCAGGTCCTGGCCCTCGACGTCCCTCGCTTGCCAGTCAGCGCACCAGCTCGCTATCGGATGTGAATCAGCCACAGCGCATCACTGCCCACGGCCGTTCAACGTCAGGAGTTTCTGCGCGGAAACCCCACAGTATCGTGACTCGAAGCCGGTCCGATCTGCACCTTAACACAGGCTCTACAACTGCCATCGACTCGGCATCGAGTGCCAGTCCACCTTCTGGCTCTTTTGTGTCACCGCAGATGATTGCTGCATCGACATCTTCAAACGCTATGTCTCCCCTCCGCAGCTCTCTCGATATGAGTGGCTTCCGCCTCCGTTCGCGCAGCGAGGTCGACACTGCCACCCGCCAGGAGAACGTCCGTGAAGCTCGTCGCAAGTTTGAGGAAAAGGAGAAAGCCAAGGAGGAGAAGTACCATCGTGACCAAGTCCGCAAGCAGGAGCGCGCAGAGGCCCATCGCTTCACCAAGAATGGCCGCAAGGGCAGCTTTGCAAATTCTCGCATCTCGTGTGATCGCATGTCCAGTAGCACTGATATTCGACCTACTATTTCCCGCAAGAACACTGGCAACGGCGTAGGCCTGGGCCTGACTACTGAGAACGAGAAGGTCGACTTTGCTACTCGAAGCTACGACACTGCGCCCCCGGGCCACTCGCTTGGTGCTAGGGCCGACGATGTGCACTTCCAGTCAACTCAGCGAACCAACACCACCAAGCGAAAGACCACCAGTACCTGGACCGCCTTTGTTCTGTGGCTGAGAACGCGACTGCTCAAGCTAGGTCGACGATAGGAGAAGGTCACCAGCGAGACCAAGACCAAACTCAAGACCCAATGCTCCGGCAAACAGAAGGGATTCGTTGTCAGAACTCCCCATCAGTTTTATCAGCCGCAGCAGACGACAAACACTCTCAATCCATATCTCTCGACACCATATACCACCCGTCGATGAATCTACGCAGACTTTGTTCTCGGCAAACACCTGGCGAGCACATCTTTACAGCTGGGGTCACATCGACTTATCATGATACCTTGAATTTCACACCACGGGAAGCTCTATATCCCCAACTTCCCGTTTGCTCACGTATACGTACACGCAATCACGGCCTCTTGGAAGCAACGCGGCGATGGAAACGACCAAGTCTTCACGACCGGACCGGGCAGTTATCTTTTGACATTTTACCAGGCAAGGAGTTGGGGTCTATTTTTTTCTTTTCTCTCTTTTCTTTCTCTTCTTTATGATTGGCAAGCATGGCCATGGTTGCATCAACGGAATCAAGCTACGCGCGATGCACGCGGGAACGGAAAGTTCTTTGATTTCGAGAGGATTTGCATTTGTCTTTTTGTTTTCGAGGTAACATTTACCAGCTGCATCCCCCTTAAGGGCGAGGCACACGGATAGGACGGCTTTGGCGTTTCTAGACCCGGATCAAAATACAAATAAGCATGACAGGCAATTTGCCTCTCTCAAGTTAACGTTACTTCCTTGGCACTTGCATCTCGTGAAATATCGTAACACTGCCCCAATCTAACGACTAACAACTGATTGAACGACAACGGACATGAGCACATACGCCGTAATGACAGCCACATACTGATAAGTCTGCTCTCAAATGACCGCTTTCTAGACCACGGAACAATGTGCCTTATAGTTAGTCGTGATATTACTTGTTTTGATCAGCCAATTTGCGCCTCTATCTTACAGTGACTCAAGCCAAGAGCAACGCGACGTCCATCGTACGTGTGCATTTGTGTGGCTCAGCCGCGCCCCCCCTTCACTCTCACATGACATTGACTTGCACATGACGATCGTTTGCAGTCGGGTCGGGATCACCGCTGTCTCTTTTGAGAGTGGAGAAACTTCACTAAGAGACAAAGTGTGGGGAAGAAGAGGCCGGCGTGAGGCACGGTTCTTATGACCTTACAGATGGCCCAAGAGCGCTCAGTAATTCTTAAACATTACCGAGACATTGATAACCTGGGGAAGGGACTGAGCGTTATGGCGAGAGTGGAACAGTATGTATGTCTGGCCGTAGAATGAGAGGAATGTGGTTCGCGCGAAGAGATCGTGAAGTGGTATTTGCAAAAGCTTCATTGAAACAGTATTGAAATGTGTACTGGTCATCATGATAAATGCATGCAACCTGCAAAGAAATATTTTATAGTACAGTAACAAAAAAACAAGCTAACCAGCAAGGAAAAGAAAGAGTCAATATTTACAGCTTCGGTCTGGCAATATCAACTGGCGTCCACCAAGGCCAAGCCTTGGGCGCATTCTTCTCCATGGTCCCTGTGAAATCTGGGTTCCTCTTTTCCAGGAAACTCTTCATTCCCTCCTTAGCATCCTTACCCGTAAACAAATCCCAGAATATCTTGCTCTCGAGAAGATGCGCCTCCTCAGGCGATGATACTCCCCTGTAAATCATGTCCTTCATCACACGCGCAGAAACACCACTTACGTTGGTCGCGATCCCATCAGCGATCTTTAGAGCTGTAGGCAAAACCTCCTCTGGGGCGACAATCTCAGTGAAAAGTCCGTCAAAGAGTCGATGTGTGGATGGGTAGACGCCGCCGGTGGTGGTGAGGTGCAGAGCGCGACTAGTTCCTATGAGACGCGGGAGGAAGAAGCTGCTGCATGCCTCCATACTGAAGCCGCGGCGACCAAATACAAAGCCGATTTGGGCGTCGCGACTCACAACGCGAATGTTGGCACCCAGAGTCATGGTGATGCCCACACCCACAGCGGAGCCGTTGATAGCGACGATGACGGGCTTATTACAGCGGTACATAGGCAGAGTGACAATACCACCCGAGTCGCGATGGTCGGCGGCATCTTTTCCCAAGGCGTGCTCCTCATTGAAGTCCATGCCGGCGCAGTACATTCGGTTCTTTGGGTCTGAGGAAGTGAGGACTATAGCGCGAACACGAGGGTCACCGGAGAGTGTATTCAGCGCGTGGGCGAGGTTTCCAGCCATGGTATCGGTGAAAGCATTGCGAGCTTCGGGACGGTGAAGCTTGATGACTATGACGGGGGTGACTTCTTTGGAGGATTCAGGATGATGAAAGAGCTGGAGGGTTGGGAGGTCAAGGGCGGCGTAGCTGTCGGGGAGTGAAGACGATGCCATGATGACTCTTGCGATGATGAGTTGGAACGATTGGAAGGTGAGGGTATGCTGAGTCGAAGTCCAGACGATGTTGGTTTAGAGTTCTAAGGCTTCGGCTTCACAAGTTGAGCCTCGTGACGGTTGACGATCTTTGGTCTTCAACTTGACTTACACATTGAGCCGAGGGCCACAGCTGCATGAGAATGTACCAACAAGGGACCAAGCTGTAGTGATCGTTCTTTAGGCAAGTCACAAGGAGTATTATGCAGTCATTTCGAATCAAGATTGGAAAGGTTTTATCAGAAATGATGGATGAAGTTGACTTTGGTTGGATTATCACATGAAAATGGTTGCAACATGTGAGCATTGTACAGTCCATAACACAGTGCACTTTCGTATTAGGACTGTAATCTGCATGACTAATCCCCCAGCAAACACGCTCCGGACGGCCAGATCAACCAGCAATGCAAAAGGCTACTCCACACAAGCCTCAAAGATACAGTTGAACCTTTCCGACCAAAGACGCAGTGTCAACAGACGATGCAGTTTCTGGAGCCATGGTCTATCAGTGGGAGCCGCATAAAGATGTCTGCTACCAATTGTACATCAACGAGCGCAGACCCCTTGAGGATATCATGGTGCACATGAAAAGTGTTTACCAGTTCTCGCCAAGGTTGGTATTGTCCCCCAGTGTAAGTGATGAATGAATATTCCCTTCGACTTACACGACCTACTCCAGTAAACGCGCTTTTCAAGTGCAGTTCAGTCGCTGGAAGTTCCCTACAAAACAAAGACTCAAACACAAAGATGATCGACTCGTCAAGCGCATCCATCATCTGTGGCAGAAGAATGTACCACAGGGTGAGATGCTGCGTATTCTCACCGACGAAGATGGGTTTGACATCAACGCACGCGAACTCATGAGAGTGCGCGCCCGAAACAGATGGCTCCTCAGAGTTCGGCACGGAGATCGAGCAAGGTCGGGAGACTTTGAACAAGATGATGAGGTTTTCGACAACGATTCATCGCCCGTTCAGGACGGAGACGTGATGAACTCACTACCGGACCAAGAACGCGGACTCCCTGATCGTTCTGCAACAGGAAACTCTACCAACTCATTACAACAGAACCCCAACTCTACTACTCTGGCCCCCAAAGCACGAAAGATTAGCAAAAGACAAAGCCGGAGAAACCGCCAACACCTCAGCGAAGCAGAACAAATTGTTCGATTTCCTTCAGAGATGACATTGAACGACTCGAAGGAAGTGCTAATGCTTGACGCGAGTACTTACTCGGAAACTCGCGAATGTTTTGCCCGTATTTGCCAAGAAGAATCTATTATCAAAAAGACCCTGGCTGGACCTGGGAGATGGGACTATGTCAAGAATCGTCTGATACACGAGCGTCCAAACCTGCAACAGGTTCTTTGGATTTCAAAGGAAAACCTTGAAAGAAAACAGCTCGCGCTGGACATCATCTGCACTGATGTGACCAAGCGCATACGCAACCAGGAGACGAAGATGACTCTTGTTGATGCGAAGAATGAGCTGGGTCTCAACCCGGAAGAATCTCATGACATCCGCGCTACCTTGCACGAGGTGCTCTGCGATGCACAATTCACATGTAAATCTGACGGTACGCCAGAGCAATGGGAAGAACTGAAGAAGCAATGGTTTGAGAAGTCAACACGTCTCAAAGCCATTCCCCTAGACGGAGACGATGAGCAGTCGCGTCGGAAGATGAGAGCGATTGAGATTGTGGCTCGAGATGTGATCAAGCGAAAGCGGGATGAGAAACGATCTAAGGGCACAAAGAGTGGTGAGACTGTTAAACAGAAGGGGACTACGCAGCGCAAGTCCCAAAGTGGTGCTCAGGAATCACAGGTTGCGCATGAGGAACAGCCGTCCCAACATCAACAACAGGTGCAGCAAGCTGTGGAAAACTCGTCCAATTTCCCTGTACCAGAGAGAGAAGCTGCAAGGTCTAGTTCAGCCGCAAGCCCAGCTTTGATGGGTGATGGTGGGATGGATGATACTATGGGTAACACTGGTTACGATGCTATCCCCGAACCAACGAACTCACAATTGAATTATACGGCTACCAGACCATCCTTAACGCCACATCGACCTGTGCAATTGCAGGCCACCAACGGGACGTTGCCACAACCTCATAGAATGCTTGGCTCGTCCGCCACTGCTGGTGTACCTATGAACAGTCAATATGGGTCGCCATCCATGTACTTGGGAAACCAACCTCAGCCGAACTATATGGAGCAGCAATATGTGCCGCACCAGTTTTCAACACCAACGCCCAGTACAATGTTCCAGAGCGTGCCGACAGTATCAGCTTCTTTTGCAGTATTCCTGCGTTTACACCCTTCTTCAACATATGTCACCAACACAAACCTATGGATCTCTACTATGGCATCGCAGTCGATCCAGGAGCTGCGGCAGGCGGCGGTTGCCAAGTTTCCCGGGGCGCTATGTGTCCGTATCGAGGGTATTTTGAAGGATCCAAAAGGTAGCGAGCTGCCACTTCAGATCCAGGGAGATGATGAACTGGGGGCTTACTTTGCACATATGCAAGGCGGTTCGCCAACGTTTGCTGTCCAACTTGTCTAAGAAAGGAAATATTGTTTAATAAGATTACATAAATTTAGTACATACATCCTACTACGTAGAAATTGGTCGGCAACTTGGCCAGATTACCGGCAATGGGTATCTAGTAGACTCGCAGTGTAATTGCGGCAGATTTTGTTGGAATCACAGAATGGGCGTACGGAGTTTCGGGTCAAAATAAAGTCTGTGATTGGATAGATGTGAACATTGCTCGGAGCTGAGGAGGACAGGCGTGGACGAAGCGGACTTGGGCTCCGCGATATATTTGGGAGAAGAACTATGATACCTTGGCGGAAGCCAACTTCCGGGGAGACGTCAATGTACAACACGAAAGTTGATGATTTAGGAACAGATGATGCAGAACATGGTCTGGACAATAGATGCAACATAATGCCTCGAGATTGGTAATACGTGATAGAGAAATTGGCCGAGGCCGGCGGTGACGTGCTTTCTTGTGATAATTGCTCTTTCACTTGTCCACTCATTCTTGAGTATTTGCCATCCAAACGAGTATGGACAATCCACTTTCTCTATGTTTCACCCCTATACGGATATAATTTCTGTTTTGTAGGGTCTTAAGAGAGAAGCTCCGGGGCCAGGCCGGGACGGAGATGTAGATAGAAATGAAGAAACGGATATTGCACGGCGCTGTTTGCCGAGATATCAGAAGATGAACAAGTAATACAAATGCATGAGAAGAATTATGAGCGACACAGCCAATGGGATTCAACATAATTAGTTACAAATCCTCCACGTCGTAGCAGATCACATCGGAAGCCGACCTTGAGGCCCTGGAGATGCCCGAAACCAGGCGCCGTGGATGTGGGGCTCGGGGGTTGTAGACTCGTAGTGCGGTATTCCAACTCCGTCCTCTCAAATTTCCATTGCCGTGCGCTTCAACTCTTAAGCTCGACAGCGACCTCCCATTCGCTTTCCCGACACGCTCCCGCAGTTCCAATCACCTCCTCGACGACTTGGACGCTTTTGTTCCTCCTGCGATTGACTTTTGACCCTCTCCCCGCGCACCCGCTACAGCTACACATCGTCATGGCTTCTCTTCAATTGCGCGCCCAGCGTGCTGCTCTTGGGAGCTTGCGGACTCCTACCACAGCCAGCTGCAGAGCATCGAGGTTACCGGCGTCCTTCTACCGTTCATACGCTACCGAGATCGAGCCTCAGAGGCCGAATAAACCTGCCCGGCAGAGCAATGAGACCAAGGTTGGAAGGACGTTCCAGGGACAGGTCATGGGCAGCATTGGAGCTCGATTGAGGCGGGAGCGGGAGCAGAGGGCGCAGTATGAGGAGTGGCGCGATATGACGGATCCTACAAGGAATTGGATGATCACCTTTGGTGGGTTTATATATGCACATATCTTTCCTCTGGAGCTTGGGCTAACAGGAGATACTTAGTCTTCATCTCGGGTGTTGGCATTTCATACTGGCTTGGAACTTTCTGGCCAAGGGAACCAGAACCTACATCGACATTGCCTCTCGACAAGACCAGGGCGCCCGTACATAACACCAAGCTCGAGAATATGCAGGCCGCCTGGGCCGACTTTGTTAAGATTGTTGGACAAGACAATGTTAGCACCGCCGAGAACGATATTGAGCACCACGCAACCTCAAGCTGGTCCTCGCACCAAGCAAACCCCGAAGATCGACCCTTCTGTATTGTATATCCTGGAAGTACTGAGGAGGTATCCGATATTATGAAGATCTGCCATAAACGCAAGATCCCTGTTACGGGCTACAGCGGCGGTACTAGTCTTGAAGGTCACTTTACCCCTACTCGCAAGGGCATTTCTATCGACTTCGGCCGTATGAACAAGATCATCAACCTTCACAAGGAGGATCTCGATGTTGTTGTCCAGCCCGCTATGGGCTGGGAGGCTCTGAATGATCACCTTGGCCAGGAGGGTCTTTTCTTCCCTCCCGACCCCGGCCCTGGTGCTATGATTGGAGGTATGATCGGTACTGGATGTAGCGGTACTAACGCCTACCGCTACGGTACCATGCGTGAATGGGTTCTCAGCTTGACTGTTGTTCTCGCCGACGGCACCGTCATCAAGACCCGGCAACGGCCTCGCAAGAGTTCTGCTGGCTACGACCTTACCAAGCTCTTCATTGGCTCCGAGGGTACTCTCGGTCTTGTGACTGAAGCCACCCTTAAGGTCACTGTCAAGCCCGAGTCAACCAGCGTTGCTGTCTGCAGTTTCCCCTCAATCCGTGATGCCGCAAACTGTGTGGGCAAGGTTGTGGGCCAGGGCATCCCCGTGGCGGCTGTCGAGATTCTCGACGATAACCAGATGAAGTGCATCAACGACGCCGGAATGACATCACGAGCCTGGACTGAGGCGGCCACGCTTTTCTTCAAGTTCGCCGGTACTCCCGCTGGTGTCAAGGAGCAGATCGCCCAAGTCAAAGGCCTCGCCAAGCAGGCCGGCAGCAAGACCTTTGAGTTTGCCAAGAGCCAAGAGGAGCAAGACGAGCTGTGGAGTGCGCGCAAGGAAGCTTTGTGGAGCACAACGGCTGTCAAGAAGCCCGGCGACCACGTGTGGACTGGCGATGTCGCCGTGCCCATGAGCAAGCTGCCAGATCTGATTGAGGATACCAAGAAGGATATGGCAAGGAGCGGCCTGTTCGCTTCTATCGTGGGTCATGTTGGTGACGGCAACTTCCACACTATCCTGCTGTACAACGATTCTCAGCGAAAGACGGCCGAGGCTGTGGTGCATCGCATGGTCAAGAAGGCTGTTGAGATGGAGGGTACTGTGACGGGTGAGCATGGTGTTGGTCTCGTCAAGCGGGATTACCTCCCCCATGAGCTTGGCGAGACTACAGTAGATGCTATGCGACAGGTGAGAGCCCCTACTGAAGTCCACAGAAGAGGATTTGCTGACACTCAATATAGATCAAGAAGGCTTACGATCCTCTGTGTCTGCTCAACTGCGACAAGGTTGTGCGCGTAGAAAAGCCCAAGAAGGGTGAAGTTGATGAATGGTAAAAGGGGTATGGTTGAAGGTATGCAATCAAGAAGAGCGGGAGGAACGGCAAGTAAGAATATACCTGGTGTTTACGTGTACGATGTAGGAATATATGACTTCGACGGGGGTTCAAGAGGTTAGCCTCTGTTTAGGGAAGCTGGTGTATATGAACAATTCAACAAAACTTTACCAACATCCACTCAAGGGGCTTTGCGAGATATGAAGTGCTCAAAGAAGGTATTGTGAAAATGCATCGTTAAGGGTGGCTAACCGATATTGACATCAAGTCTTTGCCTGGGCTACCTTGTATGCGCTATGGTGTAAACTCAAGACCTCTTGCTCGCTCTTCCATCATCGTGTTTGCCCTGCCTTATCGGTAGGCTATCCCATTACCCCCTTTACAAGCTCGCTGGGGGGCTTCAACCGCTCGCCGAACAATCGCAACATGAACCGACAGCTTAGTTAGAGGCCAAGCATATCCTTCTATCAGTCGAAGTCCTAGCTAAAACCAAACAACCCCGATCCTCCGACGTTGCCCATGTAGTCCAGAAGCGGCGGTGTCCAGAGTGGTATCATTGTGTTTGCATTCTGATTTTGAGATGGGATCTGAGGCAGCTGCGGGTGCATTGCGAGTTGTCTGAACAAAACATCAGCATCAGCTCGTTCACGAAACCATGAAGAGAAGTACTAACCCGGGGTGATGAACGACCAGGGGCCCGGGGGCGTTTTGCTGCGCCGAAAGTTGGTGCTTCTTGCGCTTCTTCTGGAGATTTTTGAGCAATCTTGCACTCTCGGCGATGCCCTCGTCAAGCTTGTCACTCATAGCATAGAGTTGGGCTATGTTCTCGTTCATCTCGTTGATTTTCTTACGGACGGCCTCTTTGTCGACCGGCCCTTCGATGGCCTCTTTGGCAACTGGCTTTGCAGTGCCTGTTTGTTTGTTGGTCGACATGGCGGCTTTCCCCATGTGAAAGAATGAAGAGTACAAGCAGTATTTTCAGAAGAGCAAGCGATGTGGTGAGAAGAAATTCGTGGGTAACAGAGAGTCAATAGTGGGAGTGAATCATTGTTTTGGTGGGGATTGTTGCTCGTACTTGAAATGCGCACCTTCCCACACAACCAAGTGCATACCTAGATTGTACAAACAATAGAAACAATGGGTAGCACGTTACAGTGAATGTTGATGCCTGCCTGCCTGCCTAACTGCCTACCTAAGCTACCTACCTTAATTTGTAAGTCGGTAAGCACAATATCTAAAACCTAGTAGAAGTATCGAGTAGAAGAAAAAAAAACCATAATGACTCTTCTTACCAAACACCGTAAACTCCTTAAAATAATCACCAATGCAAATATTCGATCAAAACACTGTCACAGTATTGACGTGCCCGTTCCTCAGAACTTCAAATACCATGCCTGGGAATCCATATAATGTCGTCGTAGAATCGCCATTCGCTTCTGCTCGCTTTGCACCGCTCTCCTCCCACCCTCCCAAGAACTCACAACTACTGCCCGGACTGTCGCCCCAGCCTCGATTAAGGACCATACCGCGTTGCCTTTGCTGTGAGTCGTTTCGAGGGAATGCAGATGCCCATGCTGCGTTCATACGGTCTTCTATCTGTGGGAAAGATGTTTCTGAGTTTGTTGGTCGGCTGCCATCATCTAGGGAGTCCAGATATGCGATCTCCCAGCGGCAGCGACGATGACGGTTGAACTCATATGACCCAGGTATGTTACCGTGAAGTACCAGCTTCGTTGCCACCAAACGGTCGGGAGAGTGCGATATGATACCGCTCTGGCCCTCTGCTTCACTGGTCTTGCTCCCCGGAGGAGCTTGCGATGGAGGCACGCGAGTGGATATCAAAATGTCAAAGCCAAGAAAAAAGTAATTATAGAAGCATTCACCACTTGAGTTGAGACCAATTTGGTCATCAATAGCTTCCTCATTGTCGGATCCGTCAGACCCGTCATGCATAGAAGACTGATCTGTGTCGGTGAGGTCTTCAGGCCGACCAATATCTGCCGCATCGGGACGAACCTTTGTGTTACTTGCTGTGCGCATCTTATGAATGACCATCTTTTGATCATTCTTGCGATATATGGCGTTTGGAGGACCCAACTCCATGAGAAGATCTTGGGGTGTCGTTTCGCCCAGGGTGATCCAGAAACAGTTGCTTGTCCATTTCCTGAACAACTGTATTTTTCCACCACCATGCAATCGAACAAGCGAGATCTCATCCGGGTAAACGTCTTTTCCACGAGGTATCACAGTAGTAGACTTGATACTCGGAAGGATCTCGGTCCACAGAGTCGGTCTGGCATCTGCCCACGAATCACCACTAAAGACAGCCATCGAGGTCGCGACTTGACTGGAAGCCGTTGCAAAGGTCGATACTACATCTTTTTCAGGCGAGTATTCGGAAGGGTTCAAGGAGAAGTTGAACGCAACGCCTGGATATGACAAGACGTATATCCCGTTGTCATGAGGACTAGGTGGGTGGATGAACTCTCCAGCGTATGTAGGGCCGAGTAGTTTGTGGTAAATATGTCGAAAAGTAGGCCCTGATGTCGAGTCTCCCGGTACAGGTGATCCAGGAGCCGAAGAACCAGCAGTTGGCTTAACAAGGTCCCTTTCTTTGAAAGTGATATGGTTCTTGGTAAAGTCGGTAACTTCGATAAGCCGCAAACGCTGCTCTGGGCCATCAAACCTCAGTCGCATCCCATTTCCAGGAAGCTCAACCCCAACAGGTTCGGTTACGGGGCGGTCGGGGGAGTAAAGTAGCTCGATCTTTGGGAAGCGCTGGGGTTCGGCTTTGAGACGGGTAAGGACATCATGGAGAGTTGCGCCAAGGACTAGATACGGGATTGTTAGACACAACTTGAGTGTTTTTGGAGCTTAACTAACCTAGAAAGCCCAGTGCTCGACCTGGATGAAGCTGCGCGGTAAAGAGTGACATGGTTGCGGTTATGGTTGATGGTGCGAGGTATAGATAACAAGTAGATGGCTTATCGCGAAGCTGTCTCTGGAGTCTGGAGGGGCTGAGTTGAGCTGAGCTGTGTAAGAGCCAAGCTCCTGGGTGAGCTTTGTAGAGTGGATGTCGCCAACCATGAGATGTTGGTTCTTGAAGGATCTATTGAAGTGGGAGATGGAGGCTACAGCGAGAAGCGAGATTCAAGGTAATCAAACGAAATGGTCACGGTATCGGTTCTCAAGTTGGTTAATTACTACCTATGGTTAAGGAGTTATCGAGTAAGGAGTGACAAAGGTCCCATGTGATGCGATGCTGTGACGCGGGGCACTTTAGCTTGAGATGACGTAAGGCGACCACATGCCGTTTATTAGGTAAGGCCTTCTCCTTTGGGTAGCCAGTTACTTTGATCTGAATAACATGCTTTACTGGAATACAAACAGCTGCGTCTTTAAAAGACAGAATTTTGACTGTTACACAATCTCCGATTATTAACTGGCAGAATGAGGGTAGACCTTGTTCTCAGTGTGAAGACTTGAATTAAAGAAAGAACGGCACTTTAGACGGAGTAGTTGCTGGCTAGTACCTATGAATCGCCTACTGCAACCCCGTCCTGTTCTTTCCATATATGCCCCTGGAGGTGAAAGGACATAGGCCTGGCTCATATGAGTATGTATGCATGTAATCACTGAACCAAATGGCAGGAGAACTTCCAAATATATCAGTTCAGGGTATGTCGACACCCAAATAGTCTTATTCCTTCTTCACTAGATCCGCAACATCCAACCACTCACTGGGTCGTCGTCGCCCCGACTCTGTAGCATTATGTAGATACTCTTCAGCCTCTGATGCCCATGCCAAAAGCTGCTCCTCGCTGCCCCATTCTCCTGTAGCCATCAAGCCGATGGGTAGCTTACCCTCACCCTGATCCGGGTCGACGTATCCGATGGGGGCCGAAAGTGAAGGGGTACCGGTCAAGTTGGCCAGGAAGATGTATAGCATGTTCCGGATGGTCGTGTTGGTATCGCTCATGCCGTAGGCTTCGTCACCGGGGACAATGGGCCATCCGACCAAAGGTGTTGTGGGCGTCACGATGAGAAGTCCGGGGTGCTTCTGGAACAGGAAAGCCAGGTGCTGCATAATGAGCTCTCTGAGAGCATTATACTTGAGGAGATCTGCTGCGGGCGTCTTGGTTGCGACAGACATGATGACTTTGTTAGCAGGCCCGACAAGGGAAAGCCAGTCAGCTGGATTGGGAGTCCGTCGACGAGCAGCCTCGGCCATTTCAATTATGCAGATAGCACTATGAGCGAGCTGTGCCTCAGGGATATAAGGGATGGTGATATCTACGATCTCATAGCCGCACTTGCTGGTAAGGTAATCAACTGCTCGCTGACAGACCTCATTGACGCGAGGATCGGCTTGCTTCCACCAGTCGCGGTAGATGCCAATGACCTTTTTCTCGCCCTTTTGGGGTGGGACAGAAAGTGCAAAGCGGCCCTGAACGTGGCAGTCGGGATTCGGCTGGGACATGACACGGTAGGCAATGGTTAGATCTGCGACAGTGGCTGCTAGGGGGCCAGTGATGCACATGGTGTTGTTCATAAACACGGCTCTGTTGTGCGTCGTCTTGAGGCCATAGACGCCATTGAAAGTGGGAGGAATACGGATACTGCCTCCGGCGTCGGTACCAACAGAGATAGGTACGACTCCGGCGGAGACGGCGGATGAGCCGCCAGAAGAAGAACCGCCGGGATAGTAGGATTTGTTATGCCAGTTGGTAGGGGTTCCTTGGGCAGCCTGTACATGTTAGCTGTAGTCTGTAATAAATATTAGAATTGGTGCTCACATTGCATCCACTGGTGTCTGTTTATGGTCAGTTATCGTTGAAAAGGGTGTTGATGTTATCGAGAGACTCACCAGAGCCAAGCTCATGCATGGAATTCTTGCCAACGACCACGGCACCAGCTTCTTGAAGTTTCTTGACCGGCCATGAGGATTCTTCCTTCTCTTTGAAAGTGTCAATCGACGGGTCGTACTTCATGCCAATGTGGTTGTGGAAACCCTTGGTATCGGTATCATCCTTGACTCCGATAGGAACACCGTCCAAGACACTTAGCGGTTGGCCAGCAGCATATCGCTCGGTGGAAGCTTTGGCAGCCTCGATAACGAGATGGTCTTTGCCATGGTTATCAACCCAGCCATCTGCATACTTGCCGCTCGGTCGGGAAATGAGAGGGAGGAGAGCCTCGGCGACCTGGAGAGGGGTCACCTGACCGGACTTGAACATCTCATGATAGTCGCTTGCAGTGTAGTAGCGGGCTTTCGACTCTGCGTACTGAGACTTGATGAGTTCTGGGCCCAATTCGAGCATAGGCCCGGTGGGACCTAGGGGTGTGACTGTAGGCTGGGAGGATTAGCTACCTATGCTAAGATGAAAATCTGACTGGGCATACATGAAATCTGTATGGGATATTATCTAGAGCAGGAATATCTTTGATGGTGCCAAAGCGTGCATTGTTCCAGAAATGTTGCTGAATGAAACTAAATCTAGATATGCTGCACGATATCAGATTTGAGAGGTCTACTACCACGGATGACAGCTTACAGGCCGGCGCCAATTGCAAGAGGGACTCCTCGGAGCACAGGATTATTGTCAATCTTAGGGTTGTAGGTTGTTGCAGGTGTTTCAACAGGTTTGGGATAGTCGGCAAAATCTGAGGGAGCCATTGTGAAGAATTCGGAGGGATTAACCGAAAACAAGGGATCAAGTATGAGCAAGGGACTCTAGGAGTGTTATATAAATGACAGACGTGATAGTATGAGAAGAGTAAGCGGTAACTACCTAGATAGTTAAGTCCCGATTGAGCAGGTCTTGAAGTGATTAAAGAGGTGAGACTCTCATGCAAGCTAACTTAAAGTAAGTAGCTCCCATCTTTCAACGGACCTAGGCTATAGGTTGACCCACTCAAAGTGACTGAGCATGAGGTGGTTTTGCTGAAACTTGCCGAGGCTCGTATAAACGTCAAATGATAACAACCGATGAACATTGGTATCAATTGCCTTCTGTCTTCATTCAGAGCTTAAGGCAATACCAGAAGAAAGAGTTGATTTACCAGTCTTTTATTTCCTCTTCAATATCAATTCTTTCACGACAGCTCAGGCTTGTTTATCTATTTAGCCAGGAACTTAGTAGCCAGTCCCATGAGACCTCCAGCGCCGCCCTGTTGTCCACCGCCACCAGCCTGGTTCTTGAAATACATCTTCAGGGCAACTTCACCAGCCTGCTGGACGACGCTTTCCTTGCTAGTTCCATCGGAAACCTTGCCCGATGCCGCCTTGTTGTCGAATAGCTGTGAGGTGTCCATTAGCCAGTGCAGCATAGAGATGTGTGCAATGCATCGAAACTCACCTTGCTCGCCTCCGCCAAGGCAAGACCCAGGAATGCTGTCTGGCTGTTACTGTTACCAGTGCTGCTCTGACCTTGACCCTGGGTGTACATCTTCAGGGCCTGCATAGCCGCAGCGGTGCCCAAGCTCTTGCCGTCCTGCTGAGATTGGTCGTTGTTGTAAGTCTCATTGTGCTGCTTGATGGCATCTAGTGTCACACACGATCAGTATTGCCCTCCATAAAAACAAGAGATGGATGCCCACCCTCTTCGTCAAGATCCTCGTCAGCAAGCTTGTTCTGCTTCTGCCCGAGAGCGCCTAGAATGCTGCCAAAGAGATCCTTGTCACCAGAAGATCCGGCCTTCTGGTGAGCCTCTTCTTTGGCGTTGTCGAAGTCGACGTTTCCGTCCGTGAAGCTAGAGAAACCACCACCACCTTGAGCCTCTGTATATTTATTAGAATCGTTCGCTTGGACTTTGATAGAAGCGTCGGCCACTAACGGATGCCGCCAGCAGGAGGGTACTGCTGTTGCTGACCATACTGGCCTTGCTCTTTTCCGTAGCCACTCTGCTGTCCATAGCCCTGCTGTTGGCCGTGGCCTTGTTGTTGCTGTCCTTCACCATAGCCCTGTTGCTGTCCGTATCCTTGTGGCTGCTGGTCTAAATGGAAACATAAATTAGCAGGTATTTTCTGGAGCCCAGTAACTGACAGAGAAGTAGCATCATCGACAGGTTTGATACGCCATCATTCTACACTATTCAAACAGCTGTTGTCATGGGAGGGGCATCATGGAACCATCCATGGCGGGGTAATCAGAGCTATCCTGAGATAAGCTTCGGAGCTTCAACATACCCTGACGCTTGTCCTTGTCATCATCAAGGTAATCCTTAGCGGCGCTGATGAGCTTATCCATGGTTGCGGTTTAGATTTGAAGGAATAGAAAATGGATGGGTTGCGTATTGATCAGGATGTAAGAGTGAAGTCGATGATGGCGGGGGACAAGTTGAAAAGGAGGGGTCTCACTACCTATGTTTTATGGGAAGTAGGGTACAGAAGGGGACCTACAGTGAAGCACGAACGGCGTGAGTACTAGCATCAAATACAAAACAAAGCTATTGGCCTCTTACGTTACGTGGCCATCGAGCTACTGCGTACTGAGTCTTGAGAAGAAGCGTCCGTATAAGCACCCCACATGAGCTCTTCTACTCCGTAATGATCTACCTTATTGAGCAGCTGTGCTCTAAGATCGTTGGTCTTCTCTTCTCAAATCTCCTCCCTATTTACTCAAACTACTCGTACTTGCGTGACTGTATAGCAGGCCGCGTTCATGTCCAATATGACGTGGATCCAGCTATTGCTCGCTGCAAATGGGGAGCTTCCATGCCTGGGTGGGTAACCTACGTAATCCATTCAGCGAGGCTTATCAGCGGGACCCCTCGGCATTAACTTAGCTGATGCTTGTTTCAGCTACTGAGGACCCCTACTTCAAGCATCATCAGCTGAATTGGATCAGGCAAACGAAAATTGCAAAAGTTATGAGCTGAAACTAAAAAAGCTTATAGTATACATACACTCGAGAGTAATACTTTCCTCTTCTTGTTATAATGATTCATAAATGGTAGGCAACCTTATTGGATTTAAGACACTGTTGCTTTTCGGTCTGTGTAGAGACCTCTATTGTTGATATTTCTGTGAATTTAATTGGGACAGCTAGATCTCTTTTTTAAAGGTGCTACCAGACTCAATGTAAATAATGATTCATAATAATACTTAAAAAATTGAAATAGTGTAGGTAAAAATGCATTACTATTATTAGTGGGATAAATAATGTTAAGATGGGAGTGACAATAATATGTAGAACTAACGAGAGGTAGATTTGAAGAGCAATCTCAAATTAGTTTAATACTATAGCCATTATTATAGTGCAAGTAGGAGCTTTACGGGATGCCTGTAAAGCTACTTAGTAGAAGGAGACAGATGTTGATAATGCTACTCTGTGACCCATGTTGTGAACATTGAGTTATTAATGAGCGCGAGCTCCCAGAGTGCAAAGAAAAACGTGTTCAAACCTTTCGGGCGGAGTACATAAGTAAAATAGTAAAGCAGGGAAACGGGGAAGCGAAAAGAGGGAAGTTTGTTGTTGTAAGTTCGTTTAAGCGTTGAGTATTGGCAACTGTTAAAGCATATATACTGATGTTGGGCGCCACAGGAGAAGTGCCTCTCGCAGGTAATCTTAGGTTTACCCTCGGCTGACACTACAAACCCCCTACTCATCCTTTTTACTACTTAAGCCCTTCATCACATCCAGCACCCGCTCAGCAATGCGTCAATTCATGTATGTGGTGCATCAAGATGTGCGCACCAGCTTTATCTGCCCCAGTTGCTCCCTACACCGTAGGTATCGGTGTTGTAGTCCCTAATCGTGACAAACATCCAACTCGTCAACTAAAAAGTAAGCTCCTGTAGAGCATAAGAAATAAACAACCGGCTGTGAGCGTCTCGTGTATCCCGCGTTCGCCGTGTAAATGCAGACGTAATATCAACCCAAACTCCTTTGTGCTTCTGACACCGTATATCTCTAATCAACTCGTATCGTATCGTGGCAATCGCCGCTCCCTCGCGCCGTCTCGTTTCGTTCAAATCCTGGTATCTTGCAAGTTGATGCCTCGCCAGGAACGACCTCGTTATCGTTTAAGTCACCGATGGGTCCACAGTAGGAGGATGACTGGTACTGGTCCTCTTTTTCTCTCTCTTGGCCCATCGCAAACCGCAAGCATTGCATAATGTCTTGGGTCCTTGGGGTCCTTTTCTCCATTCCGGGGAATCCAAAGTACCTGGTTCCATTAGCATCTGCAAAACGTGGTAATCATGTCATATGACAACTTACCACAGTCAGTACACACGTATTCCTCCGAAGTTTTGAGCTTCTTTTTCTTGTCGCCTGTCCGAGGGTCTCGCTCCATTGGAATCGCGATACCTGCATCGCCCTTGATCAAAGTCGGACTTGCATTTCCAGTTGTGATTCCCCGGCTTCTTTCGCCCTCGATATATCGTAAACCCGTCAACATTTCGATCGTGTCCGTGTGAGACGCTCCCTCGTATCGTGCCATCTTGTCCTTAAGCGAATCCTGTCGGGTACCCCCCGCACCTTCCAGGTTTTCGCGCGTGAGTGCTTTGTTGAGGGCAGCTCGGTCGACCTCAGTCAATCCCCTCTCACTGCTGGGGCGGTAGAAGGTTGATGATGTCACCCCCGTTCCTTCGGACGGCGTCATGTCCGATCGACCTTCTTGGCTCTGCATCCATTGCTGTTGCGCTTCATCGTTTTCGGCCTCCTCTTCGCGGCGGAGTTCGGCAATGCGACGCTTCAATCGTTCGTTTTCGATCTTGTGCTCAAGGAAAGAGTCTAAAAGACCAGCGTTCTTGGTCGGGTACGGGCGCGCCATCATAAACACGGCTTGGCAGAAGGGAGACTGATTATTGGGATTGGGGGCGAATTTGGCGCCTGCAATATGAGCATGACCAACCGTCTCGAAAATCGCATATTTTTCGTCCTTCTTCTTGAACCGGTAGAATAGACGTAGCGGGTTGCCGGACGCGATAGATTCGTTAAGTTCTGCAACAAAGACACCTTGGTCGTCGGGATGAATTAAATCTTTTAGGAAGACATCCTGGATCTCCTCCACGCTGTATCCTGTGACTTGGAGGATACTGGGCGATGCGTACTTGATGCGCCCGTTGGCGTCAAGAATCTGTAAAAAATCTCTGAGTTCTTCGACAACCTTGGCAGGCCAATTTCTTCGTTTTGTGAACTCCGTTAGGGTACTGGCACCAGCAAGATTCATTTGCGCAAACGCGCCAGCAGGGAGGGGCCCTGCACCAGGTACATTGTTCGCAGCGGTGTTGAACTGATTTTCAGCTCTCGCGACAGACTCTTCTGTAGACGATTGCGCGTTACCAAAAGAGCCATTCATATTGGAGTCATCGGCTGACTCGAGACCCATGGATACGTCGCCCATGGAGCCGAGCATGTTGTTGTCTAGCATAGCCATTATGTCGTTATCTTGACCATCAGCGCCCATCTACAAAATCGGGTTAGCCGAAATGATCACAGATTAGGTTTGCGTTGGCCTTGGCTGAAGGCGCTATAGTATAGGGCCACAGCCCCGGCGTTCGCATCGCGGGGGGAGGGGGATTGACCTGACCACCCGTCAAGTCGGGGAGGGAACCGATATCGAGGTTGAAACCGTAGTAGTTGTTGAAGTTGTGTGAGTGAGGGGCGCCCTGAGGCGAAGAAGGTGGAGGTGGCCGGTGGGACATGGTTGCGGTTGTGGCAGTTGATCGTCCGTATTTGCATTGGCAGACGCCCAGGCCCGAAACGGGTACTTCCTAATAGTCTGCGGCGTGGCTGAGGTCGAAATCCTTCAGCGCTCGATTCAGTGGGTGCGGTAGTGGCAATGGCAGCGGTAGCGGTGGAAGCTGGGGATTGAGAGTCTGATTGAAGATGACGGTTCGACGACGCGATAACATGGGAAAGTTCTCCAAAAGAAAAGAAATATGTATATCGGATGATAGGTTTATTCGAGATCGTAATGGCGACTTTAAATATCCCGTGTTGGCTTTGATGTGACGGATGATAAATCCTTAAACAAAGTACCTAAGTTGAGCCACAGGACTGGGTATCAGAAGAAGAGGCAACGAGCATCAAATACAGGCCAGGACCCTGGAGAAAAAGAATCGAAGAGTCCTATAAGATGACTATTAGGAAATCGGGATCAGACAAAGAAAATCGCCGGTGAAAAAATCGAAGCTGTTGAGTTGACACAAAACGAGGGAGGAGGGGTCATAGAGCATAAAAAGGCATGGATGAAATGGAAATGTTGCACGAGTACAAAGGGTCGAGTGAGTTACCTGAATGACGGAATAATAGGTAGCTTTCAACTAGATGCCTGCTATATGGCTGGGTAACCTCAGGCGGAACACAAGAGGCCAGAGGCAAGGAGCAAGATATTTAAAGGTGAGGGTATGGATGGATATGATGGAACAGGAAGAAAGATGAGATAGTATCAGCAAACTTGTCACCTAACTTGCAATACCTAGTAGCGTCGAAAGAAACAAAGAATGGCCCGCTCTCTTAGTCAAGACGATGCTCAAAACCGCATTGAACGGCGCAGATCGTAAAACTGCAGAAACAGGAGAGTCTCAAATATGATTTCCTTTTGCTTTGGTCTGATGACAGGCCGCTGTGTGCCGTTAAAAATCGGTCCATAGGTACTGTAGACTGACGACTGGGCTAGACTTGGCCAGACCGGGACAGGGACGATCAGTAACTTGGTCTACGAAAAAACATGGCACTTTGACAAAATCGGATTCTCGTAGACATGGGAATTTGGGCATGAAACGTCACCTCTTGTGCCCGAGTTGCTCGGCAAGACACCCTGTTCTTGTATTTCGCCTCATGGATACTTTCTCGACTTCAGCCAATGCTTGGCTAGTTGGCCGGAGGTTATGCCCCGAAACGAGCTTTTAGTGGTTCATTGGAGCACCTCCGACCATTATAATTGGATACTTGACTGCTCTCATCCATCTTAGCGTGCTGTTGGCGTGCTTTAGCAGGATCCATAGCAAAGGGTCCTGATGATACAGAGGGTCAAGCGGCAGTAGCGCAGTCTGGGCAGTCCACCCACCAGATCTCACCAATGGATGCCTGTAGCGTCTCATTAGAGGCTCGATGGCTCATGGCGGGAACACAGATTCTCCTACACATTCATGATATGTGCTGTGATTGACTTTTCAGGGGGATCACCGCGGGGCAGTTTCTGGGGATCCATCATAGATGCGAGATCGAGATGCGCGCACATGGAAATTTGGATATGAGGAGAAGATATCGGGATTTGGAGATGCCAATCTGTTTGAGACATGTCATGCCATGATCCCATGGCTTTTCTCCAAAATCAGACCTTGGCTACATCCATTCTCAAGGGCTACCAGGGAGGTCAAGTCTTCCCTATTATGACGTCGTAGCCTGTCCTATCAATCACTGTCTCTTCTCCTTGTAGCGATGTAACCCGTATCCTGTGCAATGAAATCTGATCCACAGCACTCTGGCAAGTGCCGTAAGAAGCAAATGTGCGGTAAGCTTTCGACCTCGCAGTCTAGTCCTGACGTAGTTGACGCTTGACTGTGAATCATCCTAGCATTTCACGTCCCGGGATGAGGGTCAGAGCATCTAAAGCGGAGTGGCGCCGGGGCTGGTGTCTTCCGAATAAAGACGATATTTTCAGGGTCTTTCTAGATTGGAACCTGCTCCCCTTTCTGTGACGTCGAAAAAACGTAATCTCTCAGACGATCTCATGAGTTAGTAGACTAAAGTGTTAAAAATAGTTGCCATGATAATGCTCAAACTCAGGCTCAGATTCTGAAAGATGCCAGAGTTCTCAAATCCATAGTCAATGCAACCCCTCTTATCCCGGGGTAAATAATGATTAGTGAACAGTCCGGCAGGCACGTGAAGGAGCTGCATGTCGCTCTTGCCAATCTCATCATGCGAAGTTCGCTGAAACTACGGGTAAGCTATTGAGCACGTGCTCACGTATCACTAGTTCTCCACCTTGAACCTCTCAACGCGTCTTTGTCTTCAATGTCGCGTTCCATTCAATTGCCCGGTTGCCTGATCCACACCAGTCAACGACATACCCTACTCAAGACCTTCAAACGAGGCACCCAGGCCCTCGTGAATTTTATACCCTATTTCCAATCAATACGTGATTCAGTCTGTCTGTCGTAGGAGCGACCATCCACATCCTACTCCTCTTTATGCGGTACCCTTCACAATGTCTAGAATCGACAAGCTATCAATCTCAGGTGTACGATCCTTCAGTCCCTCAGTTCGGGAGGCAATCCAGTTCAACACCCCTCTGACTCTCATTGTCGGTTACAATGGATCCGGCAAGACAACAATTATTGAATGCCTAAAGTATGCTACGACTGGCGAGCTGCCGCCCAACAGCAAGGGCGGCGCTTTCATCCATGACCCAAAGGTACCTTCATGCACCCCCACTCGCTTGCATTGCAATAATTTGTACTGATGTCTCTTAGCTATGCGGCGAGAAAGAAGTTATGGCCCAAGTGAAACTCCAATTCCGATCGATCAACGACCGCCAGCATGTTGCCACTCGAAGTCTGCAGCTTACCGTAAAGAAAACTACACGTTCACAAAAAACTCTAGATTGTTCACTGGTCGTAGTTAACAATGGAGAACGAACAACGACTTCGACCCGACAAGCTCAGCTTGACGAGATGATACCTGAGCGTCTTGGTGTCTCTCCTGCAATTCTTGACGCCGTCATCTTCTGCCATCAAGACGAATCTCTTTGGCCGTTGAGTGAACCAGCTGCCTTGAAAAAACGCTTTGATGAGATCTTCGAGGCGATGAAATACACCAAAGCCATTGACAATCTCAAAGTGCTGCGGAAAAAACAGGTCGAGCAGCTTGGCAAGCTTCAAAACGACGAAGCCCACAACAAAGTGAACAAGGATCGAGGCGACCGAGCTGAAAAGAGGATGAAAGCCCTGCAGGCTGAAATAGAGGGAGCTCGGGAGACATGCGAGTCTATCAGCGCCGAAATGGAGGAGACACAGGAAAAGATCCGGAACACTCGAGAAACTGCCAACAGTCATCTTGCGATTGTGCAAAACCTCAACACCAAGCGTGAGCAGCTTGAGTACAGAGAAGAGGCCGTCAAGGAACTGAAAACCACTATCGAGGAACTTCCCGATGACGATAGCAAATTGGAAGGCGACCTTGCACATTACGAAGACCGCATGCAACATCTCCAGGATGAGGCCGATCAAAACAAAGCCCAGTATAATGATTTACAGAAGGAGTTGGGCCAATCACGAAAGGAGCTGTCTACTAAGCTTTCTGAACAAGGCAAGCACCAGTCTGATAAAGACAAGTACGAACGTCAATTGAAGATACGCATGGAGACGATTCAAGAAGCTGCCCAGTCCTATGGCTTCTCAGGCTTCGATGGTGAATTGACAGATCACCATGTCAAAACCTTTAATGACCGGCTTCAAAAGCTTCTTGGCGAGAAGAAGCGAGACCTGGAGCGTTTGCAAAAGGAGAACTCGGTTGAGCTAGATCGAGCCACTGGTGTCATTACCGAGCTTGAAGGTCGTAAGGCCGCGCGCACTCAAGATCGCGTGTCCGCTAAACAACGGATGAGTGCCATCGAGAAACGCACTTCAGTGCTTCAGAACGAGGCGAGCCAAATAGACGTGGACGAAGGTGCGAAGGCTGTACTTGATGGGCAAATGCAAGATCTTGAGGGCAGGTTCCAAACCGCTCAGAAGACCTTTGAGACCGCAGATTGGGATCGCCAACTCTCCGATGAGAACGACAAGTTGCACCAGCTTGAGAGCGAGAATGACAAGCTGGGTAGGGAGCTTGTCGAGTGCACTCGTTTGGCGTCTGAGAGGGCCCAACTCGACTACAGGAAGAAGGAACTTGCTGATCGCAAGCGTAAACTTGATACTTTGACAAGTACGTGGAAGCCAAAGCTTGATAAGATGCTCGGCAGCGACTGGCAGCCGGAGACGCTCGATACCAAATTCCACTCGCTGGTTAAGGACCAGAACAAGGTCGTCGCTGAGGCCCAGAGACGTCGCGACCAAATACGCATCAAACAACAGAAAGTTGAATTTCGGTTGAGAACTGCCAAGGAATCGCAGGATAAGAAAAGCAAGGAAGCAGGAGCTTGTCAACAGCGAGTGATTGATGCCCTACTCACAGTCCGCGATAATGCGCTCGTCGAAGACTACAAGGAGGAAATTGAGGCCGCCGAATCTCAAGTCGAGGAGCTCAGAAACGACCTCAGTCTTTTTGACGCCCTTGTGGACTATTACACCAAATGCAAGCGCCTTCTTGATACCAAGCGAAAATGTTTACTTTGCGATCGTCACTTTGACGAAAACCAAGCTGCAAGCATGGAACGCTTGGGGAAGAGAATTGAAAAGCACCTTGATCCCAAAGGTAAAGTCGATACCGAGAAGGACCTCAAGGAGGCGGTCGCAAGCTTGGAGAAACTGAGATCTGTGCGGCCATCCTATGAAACGTATGAGAGATTGACTGCCGAACTGCCTTCTCTCCGCGAAGAGTGCAAGGGCGCCGAGACGGAATTCGATACCCTCGAAAGACAACTGGAGGAGCAAGGAGCTGTCGTGTCAGCCGAGGAAGAGAAGCACAAAGATTTGGAAGACATGTCAAAGACAGTTCTGAACATTGTCCAAACGGTGAAAGACATTGGAGAATCGGAAAACCAGGTTGACCGCATTATGTCGCAGCAAATGTCTGGCGGGGTCACTCGAAGCCCTGATGAAATTCACGAGCTTCAAGCTGGCCTATCTGATCAGATGAGGAGCTTGAAGAACCGCATCTCCAAGTTGAGTACGGATCGTCAGCGGACGAAAGATCAGCTCAACTCGCTCGAACTAGAAAAGAGCGAGTTGAGAAACAAGATCAGCCGAGCAGCAGGCCAGTTGGACAAGAAACAGGACCTCCAGAACCAGATCCAAGCACTGAAAGAAGAGGTCTCACACCAGCGAGACGTCATTCAACGTGCTGATGAGGAATTGGAGACCATTGAGCCCAGCATAGCTGAGGCGCGCTCCGCCCGTGATGAAGTTCTACGACGAGGCCGGGCCAAAGAGCAAGTGATTGCTGAGGCTCGCGATACTGTCGCCAATTCTGTCAATGAGATGAAGATGATGGACACCGACATCCAAGATTACATCGACCGCGGTGGGCCAGCTAATCTTGCATCTAATCAACGAGCTATTGCTACCCTCGAGAAAACGATCTCTAGCACTGAAAAGGAGGTTACAGACTTGACAGTTCGTACGAACAAGCTGAAGCAGGACATTGACAACGGAGATCGCAAGAAGAAGAATATTAGAGATAACCTCAATTATCGTAAGAATCTCCGGACTATTGACGTTATCCGTCAGGAGATATTGGACCTGGAGGATCGCAATGCGGACGAAGACTACGAGCGCCTCCAGGCTGAAGCTCGAATGCAAGAAAACCACTACAACCGCCTTCTTGCTGAGCGTGGCTCAGTTATGGGCACAATGAAAACCAAGGATGAGGAGCTTGGCAGACTGCTTCAGGAGTGGGAGATGGATTACAAGGATGCCAAAAGAAAGTATCGGGAGTCGCACATTCGCGTGGAAACAACCAAAGCTGCTATTGAGGATCTGGCTCAATGTAGCTCGGCTGTTGATAAAGCTGTCATGCAGTTTCACTCGATGAAGATGGCGGAGATCAATCGAATTGCTGGTGAATTGTGGCAGAGCACCTACCAAGGAACAGACATCGACACAATCCTCATCCGCTCGGACAACGAGTCAAACACAGGCAAGCGCAATTACAACTACCGGCTCTGTATGGTGAAACAAGACACGGAGATGGACATGCGTGGTCGATGTTCTGCCGGACAGAAAGTTCTCGCCTCCATCATCATTCGTTTGGCTCTGGCAGAGTCGTTTGGCGTCAACTGTGGACTGATTGCACTTGATGAGCCCACGACAAACCTGGATCGCGACAACATCAAGAGTCTGGCAGAGAGCTTGCATATGATTATCAAGGCCCGCCAGGCTCAGAGCAACTTCCAACTGATTGTGATTACTCACGACGAGGACTTCTTGCGACATATGAGGTGTAGCGATTTCTGCGACAGTTTCTTTAGAGTCAAGCGTGACGAGCGACAAAACAGTGTGATTTCACGGGAAAGCATCACGAAGATATTTTAGATCGGGCATTTGTAAGAGCGGAGGTAAAATGGAAGGGCAATTGGGACAGGAGAGCTGAACACGTAAAACAAAGATGGGATCTCATTGTTCTCTTCTCATATGAGTTTCGACGTTGGGATTGTGCGAGTGTCCATATCACATCTTTGCAAGGTAATATAATATGCCAGTATCGCCCAACTCGTGAAGCTTGTCTTGAACATTCATCATGACACACTCAACAAATGGCGCTACCTACATCGGGCAGGTTCATGTTCAAGTTATTGGCTGAAGCTGAAGGTATTGAAGGTTGAAATTCCTAAGAATAAACGGATTTAAGTCACGGCAATAATATTCGGACTCCACACACACGCAATATCCCTGTCTTCTCTTGATGTCGTCTAGTCGTTGACGCCTTTATTTCACTGGAAACGCGATGGAACGAACTGTTAATTATTTCTCCACCCTCTAACTCCGTCTCGGCTTCGCGTGCCGGGTTTTATTCCCTACCTAGTCATGGATATTGTTATTGCGAGGATCCCGTTCTCGGCGAAAGATTTCATCAGTCATAATGCCTTCACTCATCTCAATCTCTTCCTCCCCCCTTTGACCAGGAACCCCCATGCTTTTGTGACTTGAAAGGCGCATGCATATCGAACCAAAGAAGCGGTACGCATAGCATTAGTTACTCTGTACTCTGTACGGCCAATACTACCACGACTGTCAAAGACCCCAGATTTTTGATTAGCAATCACAGTTACGGTCAACGCCGGCCTCCGAACAGGGATCTTTTGCTCTTTTCAGTAGCTACGTCGACGACTTTTGACCCCATCTCAAAGAGTTGAAGCGAGAGAAGGGCCTTGTAGGGCTTTCCCATCAACAATGGCAGTCTCAACTCCAACACCAGCGCCAGCGCCAGAGCCGAGAACTAGCTCGGACAGCACTCTTGACGTTGAACGAGATGGAGCTTCTAACAACCCCACAACCACCGAAACTGGCCCCGAAGGAGCGGAGACGACGCCGGCCGGCAGCAGCCCGTCGCCCGGAGGTCCTGGGGCCAGTGACCCCGAGGCCGGACGAACCAAGTCCGAGAACATCCTGATCATGAGCGCCCTGTGCCTTGCGCTCTTCCTGGCCGCTCTGGATACTACCATCATCACTACAGCGGTTCCCACTATAGCCACCGAGTTCAACTCAAGCCAGGGTTATGTCTGGATAGGAACTGCATATCTGCTGGGCAACGCCGCGTTCGTGCCGACGTGGGGCAAGATCTCGGATATCTTTGGTCGCAAGCCTGTTATCCTTGCCGCCGCTGTCATCTTCTGGATTGGGTCCCTGCTGTGTGCTGTGAGTACTGGCATGACCATGCTCATCGCTGCGCGTGCCATCCAAGGCATTGGCGGAGGCGGCCTTATCGTCTTGCCCAATATCGCTATCAGTGATCTCTTCTCCATACGGAACCGTGGAATGTACTTTGGTATCCTGGGCATGGTGTGGGCGTTGGCATCTGCTGTTGGACCTATTCTCGGTGGTGTCTTTACCAGCCAGGTCACTTGGCGGTGGTGTTTCTACATCAACCTCCCTATTTCTGCAGTGGCCTTCGTCATCCTTTTCTTCTTCCTAAAGCTGCATAACCCGCGAACACCATGGAAGGAAGGTCTTCTAGCCTTGGACTGGCCAGGCAGTATCCTCATCATCGGCGGTACCATCATGTGGTTGCTGGGACTCGAGTTTGGTGGCGTTTCTTTCCCCTGGGACTCTGCCACAGTCATTTGTCTCATTGTATTTGGCATCGCCGTCGTTGGGATCTTCATTGTTTACGAGTGGAAGGTTGCTCAGTTCCCTGTCCTTCCTGTCCGTCTTTTCAGCTCGCGGAATAGCGTCGCAGCATACGGGGTGGGCTTCACTCATGCCTTTGTCTTTATGTCTGGTAGTTACTGGCTTCCGCTGTACTACCAGGGTGTTCTTGGCGCCTCGTCGCTACTCTCTGGTGTCTATCTGCTGCCATATGTGCTTTCTCTCTCGTTCATCTCAGCTGGAGCTGGAGTTTACATCAAGAAGACGGGCAAGTACAAGCTTGTTATTGTTTCGGGTTTGATTGTTATGGTTCTCGGCTTCGGTCTCTTCATCGACCTCGAACCGCGCGCCAACTGGGTCAAGATCATAATCTTCCAGATCGTTGCTGGTATTGGCGTGGGTCCCAACTTCCAGGCTCCCCTCATCGCACTCCAGACCAACGTCGAGCCACGAGATATTGGCGCTGCAACTTCGTGCTTCTCCTTCATTCGCCAGCTTGGCATGTCCATCTCTGTCGTGGTAGGCGGCGTGATCTTCAACAACGAGATGGAGAGCCAATACCCCAAACTCCAGCGAGAGCTCGGCTCCGACCTGGCAAACAGACTTTCTGGCTCCAACGCAGCAGGAAGTGTCGAGCTCGTGGGCTCATTGACGGGCGAGGAAGGCCGAGTAGCCAAGACAGCGTTCTGGAAGAGTCTGCAAACCATGTATATCGTTTACACGTGCTTTGCAGGTTTGTCACTTGCCATTAGTTTGTTGTTCAAACAAGTCTACCTCAGCAAGGAGCATACAGAGCACAAGACAGGTCTCAAATCGCTCAAGCGACGTGATGAGGAGAAGACTGAAGCTAGTGCTCAGGAGGGTGTCACAGTGGGGAACGAGAAATCTACTGACAACTAAAAGGGGGTTTGCATTTTTGTATTTGTAGGTCACTTCAACATACTCATGGCCATATAAAACTGGACTACATTGGTATAGGCGTTTGTCGATTCAACAAAGATACCAGCGAATATTGTATTTAGACTTTAGCAAACTCTGTGTTTCTGGCTTGAATGGTACCGTATGTTTATTGACATGGGTGCTCATATGTAGCTCTAGTTATGAATTGTTTCGAAACTATACTTGAGATTGGTTGTGAACATTGAACGTTAAACTCTATTCCACATCAGGGTACAGGCAACAGGCCGTCATGCTGCTTTAGAAAGTACGTCTAGTCTAGAATAACTTTTCTCCCTCTTCAACAGTTCTCTTCCACTCCTCGTAATCGAAACCAAGATCTTCCAATGTCCTTAATTCATGCCTCTTGTCCCCTGCCGCTCTGCTCGCCAGCTTAATTTTGGGAACTCTCTCCCTCACCCACCGCTTTTCAAGCCCCCAATACGGCGGCATCTTACCTTCGCCGTTATTATCAAGATCCAATTCAGGAGCCTTTGTTGCTGACTTGCTCAGCTCATGCAGTCGGTTGATGTAATCAACATCTTCTGGGAAAGCCATCACGTGGATTGCCTTACCCTCTCCTTTTGCCTTGTGCTGCTCTGCGACCCAAGACTCCATAGCATCTTCAGAGGGAGGACTCAATCGTCCAGACCAAATTCGAGCGATCAGAGCGCTCTGAGCTTCGGCGATGGGAAATGGCACGATACGCTGCGGGACACTGAGGAATGACAGAGTAGGGTCTGTAGTGTAAAGAATTTGTTCCCAGAGATGCGCCGCGTGGCCACCACTGGGGACTACGACAGGCCGGTTGAGGGATTTGAGAAAGGGGTATGAGTAGTGGAAGCCAGTGCAGAAGATGACAGCATCAATATCATTCTCGACATGGCCATTGGCGAAACGAACACCCCTCTCAGCTGGCTGAAATTCAACAATCTCTGGGACACTAGCTGCCCACGACTCTTTGGCGGGCGGTATAACTGTAGCCTTCTCCTTTTCAGAGACGAAGATTGGATGCCTTGCGACGGTGGAGAGTTGTGCGCTCACATCTACACCAGACGCAGAGTTGCCAACAATAATGACTTTCTAATACTCATGAGCCAAGGTGTAGGGGATGAAAGGGAACGTGCATACCTTATCTTTAAAATCATTCGGTCTTCGATAGAACTTGGAATGTGAAATGGCACCCGGAAAGGCCTTATCAAACTCAACAAGGCCTGGAATATCAGGGATAAACGGGTCATTGTAATGACCACTCGCCACCACAACAGCATCATACTCATCTTTAATGACTTTGTTGGCCTTGAGGTCAAGTACTTCGACCGTCCATGGCTGAGAACGATCTGAGCCAGGCTTCTCAATGTCCAAGACCTGAGTCTGATATAAGATATGGGGTGTAAGTTCTTGGGCGTAATCCTTGAGATACTGCAGCACGACACTGTGGCGGGGAAAAAGAGAAGAGTTTTGAGGAAATTCCTTGTCGCTGTATCTCATGAGAGAATGAGGAATATTCGTCTCGAGGAGATCATAGATGGGGGACATAAACTCAACATCACCACTGTCGTTGGGCCAGAGTGCTTGATCTGGGGCATAACTTGGCTGGGTTCTGGGAACCGAAAAGTCCTTCTCACGGACTAAGGGCGTGTAGTTCCAGACACCGCCCGGCGTAGCACGCTGCTCGAATATGCGCACTTTTGAAAACTTCTTCTCGGCAAGAAGATATCTACAAGAATCGTCAGTTGAATGTTCGGCTTGTAAGTTGGGTTGCGGGTAGTTACTTGGCCGCTGCAAGGCCGCTGGGACCGGCGCCAATAATGGCGATGCGGCGGACGTCGAGTTTGTCTGTGAGGACCATTCTCTTGACGGGGTTGAGGTTATCTTAGGGGGTATATTGTAGTAGAGATTCGAGCCGAGTAGAGCCGACCAAGCCGTAGGAAGTAGGAACTTCGTGAGTGGCTGCACAAGATAATGTCGATTATCTCAACGATTTCGTGGAAAGAAATTAATAAAGGTTGAAGTGTGAACTTATGTATCCAATGTTCCCATTTCGCTCAATTACTCAATCAGTCAATCTTGCTACAGCCGTACAACAGCTGATAGACGCTGCCGATGGATCCCGCACAATACCCTCATACTACACTACGTACATTCATGGTGTGGAACGATTGCCTCATTCTCAATTCACTACCATTTCCATTCTGGGTAATCCCGGTCGGCTTCCGCGCGACACCGGCTCCGGGCATCGGAGCTCTCGCCGTTGGAATAAATGATTTTATATGTCTTGGATTGAGGAACTGAATTTGGCAATGGTTGTGGATTTATATCATTAGCCTAATTGTAAGCTGGTTATCTGCACGTCAAGGTGCCATTCAATTCTCTACTATACAGCCTGCTACCACTTAAAGTAGGCGTGCAATAGTTCTGATAACTCTCTTTAAATCTTTTCTTCTTTTTGTTAATATTGCGGCACAACTTTGTACACACTGGCCATAATGAGCTGTTGCATACAATCGTACAAGGCTCATGCCTGTAGGTACGGATAGGATTGCGCGAATTGCCTTTGGCTAGTGGCCTGGCCTGGTCTGGCTGTTGAGAAGAAAAAGTATAATCATGGATGCTAACAATAACAATTTCCCTCTCACACTCTTATGGAAACCAAACCAAACCAAACCAAACCAAACCAAACCAACCCAACCTCGCGTGCAAGCACGCAATTTGGTCCGGTCCACCCTCATCATCAACGGATAGGTAGGCACAATGCCACTTCTCTGCCTGCGCTGAAGACTCTATCTTATCGCCGAATGAGGTGATTGAATTCTCTTCTCGCCATCAATGAGATCCGGTTCCGGAACCGACACTGTTATTGTTATTGTTACTGCTACTGCTACCTTCTTTTCTGACCGGCCGCGTAAGACATCGAAGCCCATAACGTATACTCTATAATCTACACCTGCCCTTATAGGGCCTATCCACTCTAGTCATGCTGCTTGTGAGAGCGCCAATTACCCAAAATGGCATCTGATATGAAAGCCTCGATCCACCGCTTCCGCCTCCGCCGGGTGTCTCCATCGAAAGGTGTCGGCGGTCGGGCCCGGTCCGCTTCACCTCCGGTATCTCCTGATCAGCGCCTTCAGGACGCAGATGCAACCCCAGCTCAACGAGAGACGCAAAGTCGTCGTCAGGGCCAAGATCAGCAGCAGCAGCAGTATCCTCAGCTGGTCACTGTCAGCCGGAGCTCCGGGGCAAGACCCACAGCGCCGGCCTGTGACCGGTGTCGCAGTTTCAAAAAGAAGTGCAGCCGCACGTATCCCGTATGCTCTCTATGTGCCAGCGCCGGTCAGCGTTGCTCCTACACCAACCCCATTGCCAATGCCGAAGCTCAGACTCATCACTTGCGCTCGCGCGTACAATGGTTGAGTCAGTACATCGATCAAAACCTCCTCCCGCAGGGTCAGGGTGGGATCGACAATGTCAAAACAGGAACTGATCTAGGGACCGTACTGGGTGGCCACGGGCTTCGGAGTGGCACTACGAATCCAACCACGGAATCATCACCACTTTCACAAGTCCCCGGCTCGGCCACTTCCCCGTTGGATATTACAGCATCTCTTCCTACGACGCGTGGACAGGATCATGCATCGACCGAACAACAAGGCGCCGAGGCGCGATTCGAGGAAAGGGACCCCGGGAGTGTACGGACGACGAGTAGTTATCTCTCCTACCAAGGATCAACAGAAGGATCTGTTATCCGGCGAAGAGTGATCGCTCGGCAGGCCCTGCCTCCTAATATTGCCCCGAGTCGCTTTGTCGATGCCTTCTTCAGCCACGTGAACAGGGCATATCCTTTTGTCGACCAGGCTAGAATACGACGAGATCTAGAAATACTGGGGGACGCCTCTCCGGCAGATCAGGATCCGCCCATGACGTTGCTATATCTTGTCATGGCTATTGGATGTACGTCGCTGGTGAGGGCTGGCCAGATACCCTCTGATACGGCACGACAGTTCGACGTGGTGTACCCAGACATTATCCAAGAGTGCCTCTGTAACGATAGTATCGAATCTGTGCAGATTCTTGTTCTGTTGGGACTGTACTCCCTGTTTGACCCGGCGGCGACCTCGGCATATTTCATCGTTGGCGTCGCAGCACGGCAGGCTATAGTCATTGGCCTTACTCGACCAGACGACTTACCACGAACGGCAATAGAAACTGAGCTCAGGCACCGACTGTACTGGAGCATCTTCGTCCTCGACCGTATGATGTCGGCATCACAGGGACTTCCACCGGCCTTCACAGACGAACATGCGAACATTCCCCTTCCGGGCCTCACTGTAGAGGAGTTTGCCAGTCCAGATCGAGCGGTGTATGCTCGCAATCTGCAGACCAGCCGGCATGTTATCCAGCTCCGTCAACTGGAGTATCGAATTCTGCACGCCGTGCACCTCCAGCGAGATGCCGACACTACGCGCTTAGCCCCTGTAGATCGGCGTGCAGTCTTGAGCAGTTTGCGATCTGAGATCGAAGACTGGTACAGCAACGGCTGTCTCATGTCACCAATGGAAGCAGATAACCTGCCCATCCATAGCAGCATTACCTGGCTAAGCGCGCAATATTATCACCTGCTTGTTCTCCTCTACTTCCCCAACCACTTCAACAGCTCGGCTGCAGCTGTTACTCGACAAGAGCAGCTGGAGTTTGCTCGCAAGCAGCTTCAAGCTAACTCGGCGTTGCTTCAACAACGACAACTACCCCTAAATAGAGTGTCGCTGAGTCGGCTATTGCCACTTTGCTTGGTGCTGATGCATGATTTCGTAGCATCATACAACTCTGCTCCAGAATCGTCATCTTTCTCAGCTCGGGACGAAGTCAGTATTCTTATCACGCTTCTCGAAGCGTTTCCCAAAGAATGGGCAGTGGCACAGGGTGCAACTCGCATTATGCAACAGTTTGTAGCCGTAATGGGAGGACAAGGAGGCATAGGCACAGCATACTTTGGCTCAGCGACTGTGTTCCAGCCGACAGGCAAGGAGACTATCGAAGAGCTGGCCAAGCCATGCATTGTCGGCTTTACAGAGCTGCTCCGTAAGTTTCTGGGCAGGGCTACATGCTTCCAATCGATCGAGTACGCCCAGGCGGAGGCGCAAGAGGTTGAAAGAATAGGACAGGTTGGTGTTGCGACACAGCAGCAGCAACAACAACAACAGCAGCAGCAACAACCGTCTACTAATTCGGTATGGCTGAATGGAGTAGATTCGAACGCAGCCGGAGGAATGAACGAGGAGACCGTGCTAGGATATGGATGGGGTTCGTGGGATCTTGATTTTCTCTAACAAGCTTCCTCTCAGAGCATTAAGCTCAAGGTTATTTTTATAGATTTTCTTAGAATATGATAGTTATAGGGCAATTCGGCTGGGGAGTTTAGACAGTAATTGATAATTTAGCGTCTTGATGTCCTACCCGGGCGTATGGTGATTTATAGTGCCCACTCAATATTAATATTTCTAGCCTGTAGTTGAAAGAAAGACAGTGTCCTCTATCATGATATGGAGTCTGAACTTTGGAGTCCGAGGGCGAGTCTGATGTGCATGAGATTATATTGAGAAGATGATCTGAACTATGCTTCTCCATAATCTATTAATTACAAACAACCTACTCCACATGAAACCAATGAAAGAAGAGAAGTCGCTGCTCCATGGACCTTGAATGCCTAAACTTAGGAGCATCTAACTAGGAGCATTGATGAATAGAACCTGCAAATGAAATGTATGATGACGACGACAACGACAACAATAACAATAAAGTGGATTATCCTGCTGACATGCATCTGTAGACTGCAGACTGAAGACTGTAGCAACTGGCTGACCATATAACGTGCCCTGCCTGCGTGCCCAGGCGGTTTATTTATGGAATCCCTCACTGTGGATCCTTAGAGATTACCACTGCAACGCAACGTACGTCTATCTTATGCCAGGAACACGAGTGCATACTGTATTGTACTGTACAGTCAGCGCCCAGAAGAGTAATAATAGAAATGCAGTAAATCAGAGTAAACCACAAAGTCGATCGACACTTGATATTCAACACGCTACTCCGTATACTCCGTATCGAGTGCCTGAAATAGTTCATTGCAGGAGCAATCAATGTCTTGCTTGATGAGACAACGGTGGTTGGATCACAGCCTCGATAGGGCTGCATATCGAAAAATGGCAGGGAGCAGTAGGGAATGATGGATAAATGCGCTAACATATTTATGATCACCAACCATCTTTTAGCTCTATTCACTAATTCAGCTGTTGTTTTATTTTAATATCCATCCATGGATATCTTTATCTTGCTCGGTAATGCATGCACAGCGGCCTCATGTCACATCAGATGATCAGCCCATTCCCGTCCCCTTCTCTTGACTCTCTCTTGACTCTCTCTTTGTTCTTGATTGCAATCTTGATCAACAACATGTTAATTGACAATTTATTGTGATTGATCAACAAGGGAAACCTAAAAGTTGAGGTGGCTGTACTCTGTACGGACTCGGCTGAGTCCGACGGACATTTCCATTGCATGTAGGCATATTCCATTTAGTGAGCGCTGTTATGTACAAAGTACCGACTGTTACGATTGGGCTGCCATACGAGCCTGCATTTCCAGCCGTGGCAGGATTGATTGATTCTTCACTAACAATGGGGACTTTGTCTGCATGAGTGCACTGCCGCAGTCCTTCATCTCTTTGCTGCACAGGCATTTGTTCCCTCACCAACATAGCCCTGTTGCCGTCATAGTCAGACCGACAAATGGTAGGAAAAAGATCTGATGCCTTCCCTATACCGGCATATTAATTGAATCAGATTCCCAAAGATGGCGTCGGTGTCTGCCTCTGCTTCTAAGCCCGGCAGTTCGCAATGTGGATGTGGATGTGGGATCCCTCCCAAGGCTGATCCAGTTCATCCCACACAGTACCTAGGGACTCCGTATAATAGCTCGGGCTTATTATACTTTCTACGGATAGCTCTCAGCTTAGTCGTGTGTGTGCTGCACCGTTAGAGGCGGGAAGGGAAATGCTGCGTCCCGTCTCTGTGGTTCTGTGGGTTCTTTTCGTTCATTAGGTGTTTTTTTAAGCTCCACCCGCCAACTGTGCAGCGGCCAGCCTCCACTGTTCAATCCATGTGGCTTAATGTACTGTAACGGAGGACCGCGTGTTTATCCTGGGTTCTCTTGGCCTCCAGCTCCTGAGGCCTGAAGTAGTTCCTTGCTTCTGCTTTGCTTCTTGGCCGTGTGCGTCATAGTTCCTCAGCCGGAATTCCTAATCGTTGACTGCCTTACCTAAGGTAGTCATCTGTTGCAAGATAAGCCTCATCCGACATCTTCAGTGCAGTTGCAGCAACAATCTGAGACAAAGTGCAAAAGCTAATTGCAGCTGGGCTGGGCCACCTCTAGAACTAAAGGGAATGGAACCCACCTCCAATTCAGGATCGAGTAGCGACGGGTCAGTCACTCCACTATTACCTCTTCGCTACAGAGCCTGGCAGTCTGGGCACCCCCAGGAAAGGCAACCTGGAAGGGGGAAAACGCCTAGAAACCCCCTGGAGTTTGCTGTGCCCTGCCACTTCCACCTCCAGTTCTGGGTCGCCCGCCCCAGGCGAGCCAACGCCAACGCAAGTCAGGCTCTTTAAGCTAGCCTTGGCTCCCCCTTCCCCCCCTGCTCGGTTCTTGTTTCAGTAACGACTCTTTCTCTTCTCTAAGCTGACATTGCCTCTCTTTCTCTTTAACGCTCGGGCTCTCCTCTCTTTCTCACCTGCTTCTTCCATTTCATTTCTCTCTTCTCAACATCAACATTCTTATTACCCCGGTCAGGCCGTTTTCAGCCACCAACCCAATTCACAACCAGATTCTCAATCGCGTCTTCGTCCCTCGCTTCTCTTCAATTTCCCTCATCTTGCGACTCCTATTTCCCCATCTGGATTCAATTTTCGCATACGTTTAGTTTACTCATCGACAACATATCCCACTGGTCGCATTCGCGTGAGCTATTCTCGGGTACCTTAATATACACACCACGGTCGCCCAGCCCGAACCGCCGCTTCTCTGTCGCTTCCGAATTTTCTTAGTTCCATCAACTTCGACGACAATAACAACGTAGATTCATCGTCCGTCGAACGATATCGACGAGCATTTTCTTTCTTCTTTCGACTATTCGCCCGCGACTCCCGGCTGGAGTCTTCCCATGTCCACCGTGGCTACCCGCCTAGAGTCTCGCAAGTCGCTCCTTGGAGCCGACGCTGGCTTCGGCTACGGTCATTCATACAACAACTCCTACGGCGACGGCAGCTTCGCTCCATCTCCAACTCCTTCTCCTCAGCCCATTCCTCAGCCCGCTGCATTCGCTCAGCCTGTCGAGCCCGCCTACAACCAGGGATTCGCTTATCGAGAAGGTCTTACTCCTTCTCTTCCCGCAACAAGCATGAAGAATGGCAAGATAGATTTCATGAAGAGCCGATGGCCGGCCTGCTTCATGGCTGTTTCCTTACTGCAGGCCGTCCTCTGCATTTGTTTTGAGGCGTATGTTATCTTCATACCTTTCACTATCCTCTCACCTTGCTAACCCCTGATTTAGTTACATCTTTGGCAAGTTCCAGATCAACCTTGGTGCACATAACTCCGACCCCAAAGTCCAGTCTCAATACAAGACAATTCCTACCTTCTTGACGCTTTTCATTTTCGGTTTCCTGTATACACTGGTTGTCGTATGGGATGCTCTCCGCCAAAAGAACACTATTCAAGTCATTGGTGTCTGCTTCTCTAACCTCGCCCTCATGGTTTACACCACTATCCAGGTGGATCAAATTTCCGAGGCCTTTGATATCCTTCAGGCGAACAACGCTCTTTCGCCAGACATCACCGCGGCACAACTCTGGCACGATGTCAAGCCGTACCTTGTCGCCATTCCAGGCATTATCGCCTTGGCTACCCTTGTTATGGGCTTCCTTTCTTGGAAAATCTACCAAGAGTACGCATGGGATATTCTCAAGAACATTGGTGCTGATTATCGCATGAAGAAGCGATTCCTCCACTACCAGGTATGACTTTTCTTTTTTGTTTTGGCTTATTAGTTGGGCAACTTCTAACCTGTTCTAGATTTACATCGCTCTGCTGAAATTCGATTTCTTCTTCTTCCTCGGTTTCATTGTCCAGTTCGTCGTTGTCGTCGCCGATAAGAATGATCCTGAATTCGCCCTGACCATTGTCACCATCCCCATCACCATCCTCATCCTTCTCCTTGCCGCTTTCTTCACCCGCCGAGAGAACAAGATCGGTATGGTGTGTATCATCGTCCTCTATTTCGGAGGTCTAAGCTACTTCATCTTCAAGCTGGTCCGAATTTACCAGCCTGGACACAAGCAAAACTATGAAGCCGTTCGGCGATCATTGACCGCCTTCGCCGTCATCACCATCCTCCTCATCCTCCTTACCATTACCAACGCCATTGTGTGCATACGGAACTTTGGTAAGGGCCTGAAGCCCCACCTCCAAGCTTTGTCTCGAAAGCGCAAGGTTGAGGAGAAGCCTGACGTCAACTCCATCAACATGCAGGACGTCAAGCCTCAGATCCCCAGCCGTATGACTATCGATTAACCGACTCCTATGCAAGTCATGGCTCCTCTCAGAATAACCATTTCGGAGGTATCGCTATACAGAGACACGAATTTACGAAAGGATATAAAAATATTTCCCTTTTTATGGCACCAGTCACAGGGCAGGCTCAGAACGGACGGTGACCAAATGGGTGCGGTGTGAGCAGAAGGCAACGAGATGATATCCCTTGGTGTCGGAAACTTGCTTGGACTTTTATTTCTACTTGCTTTGGTTGTTTTTGTTTCCTTTGTTAGATCCAACCATATTAGGCGTTCAATGCTCCACTCCATGGAATGAGATCCAGGAGCTGATATCTAGTTCTTTTGTTGCTTCTATTTTGCCCTCTGATCGATTGGATACTGGGCTTTTATGATAAGATAATCTGTAAAGAAATTCAATAGTAAAATCCAAAATATGTTCAGATACAATCGCAGCATACTACACTTTGGGAAGTTTGTCGCATGAGTACCTCAGTACATAAAGATCTGGAATAAGTGAAACCACCAGGATTCAAACTTGGTACGCTGGTTTCAACTTTACGAAGCATGACGCGAGACAAGAGTGCGGCTAGTACGTTACATGTTTCACTGCTTAAGTTGGATAAGGATTGACGTGTCTATGGAGGAGGGGAATATCCCGATCACAAACTCACAAAATCATAAAACAAAAGCCCAAAAGCCCAAACGCCCGCTGTCGATTCCTGATTCCGAATCAAGGGCAAATGTAACCCTCTCGCTATACCTCTCAGATACCGGCAAACGCCTAGTCACTTCGCCCAACGCAATTGTAAGCCCGTTGTAAGTAACATTCCAATTTACGTAACCAAAGGACTGCCCTTTTACAGCCTGATTTTGGTCGCATTCTTGAGGTGACCTTCGGTTGGGCAGTAGGGGCACTTGTACAGAGCTGACTTTACTATGTTGTGCAGAGACTCGCGACAAATGACGTGGCCACAACTGAGCATCATGGGTGGGTTGTCTTGAGTTGTCTGCTCTTTGCTCACAGGGCAGACGAAGATGGGGTGGTAGATCATGGACTCAGGCAAAGGCGTCTCAAACGCAAGTTCATTCTCTGTCGTCCACTCTGTCTTCTTCTCGCGCATATACGTCGTGTACTTGATGAGGCGGGGTAGAGCGATAGAGCCTGCTGTAACGGCGACGTAAAGTGGTGACTCTGCTGATAATCCGAGAAGGGAACAGAACTCGCGAGTGAAAGACATGGCGACATCCTCGAATGCTGAGTCTGTCTCAAATATGTGGCTATACGGCGAGGCGGCCAAGTTGGGTGCATACGCCATGGCGCAGCAGAGCTGTTGAATCTCAGATAGGTGACGGCTTTGGAAACGAGTGAAGTTCTCCCGAGCGTAGTTCAAGGCACCACGGAGTCCGTTGGTCTCGGGGTCATCGGGAAGGCCGTTTATTGAGGAGCCTTTGAAAAGCCAGACAAACTGAAGCTTGATAAGTTCGAACTCGAGCGTGCTCCCCTTGGCCTCGAGCTGAGGACTATTTGTATGGGCCCATTTGATGGCGGGCACTAAGTTACGATACTTGATCTGAGAGAGAATGTTATACATCTCGGAGAACTTGCTCTGCAAATGCTCTGAATGTAGTCCAGCTATATCGGTTTCGGGCTCATCGTCGTTGTCCATGTCATCATCACCGTCTTCGTCTGTTTGTGGGGTCGCATGAGCCTCTCGACTGGGAGGGTGGTCAGTGGCTTCTTTAAGGAAAGTCGACGCAACAGAGAATTGTCCTTCACGAAGCATATGCATAGCTATCGCTCGGTTGATAAGACCTGGGTGATCGGCCATAGCGTCTGTCTCCATAGGGAGCTCTCGATAAGGGAGGGCCTACATGGTCAGATACCGTCTTAGCTGGGGAATTCTAGAGTATATAAACGAACCTTGTCGAGAGCCTTCCCAAAAGCTTTCTGCGCCTTCGTAACATCTTTCAGATCTGAAGTGATCCGCTCGAAGCGCTGCTTAACCGGGTTCTGCAGTTGCATCATAGTCAACCCAGTGCGAGTCGCGTCTGGCTCTGTTCAAGTAATTAGAAGGCAGCGTAGACGTTGATCAAAGGGCAAACTAACCACCTTGCGCGATCTGCTCCCGTGCTGTTGTGAGAAGATCTATGACCGAGTCTACTTCATCAATAGCTGCGTTGAGGCTTCGGGTCCTCATGCGAGCCAGCTCAGCCATGAGGGGCGCGAAAGGCGAGACATGATCGTTATCTGCTCCCGCCATGGCAGTGGTTTATGTGGGGGATTCGAGAAGATATGATGGAAATGAAGGTACGTTTAATCTGATACGAATTGTGTCAAAAGGTCAAATGACCTATATACACGTCCAAGAACTAAGATGTTTGACCAATGTACAGCAAAAGCCCTGTCGTGGTAAATGCCGATGTCGTTGAATGGAGCTTGACGGTGACGAGATGGCCTTGCATGATGCTAGTGACTGAGCCGGGATAACGTAAGTGCATTATCGCTATCGATAAGGCAGATAGCGAGGCTTTGCTATTAAAGAGGACCGTTCTCGCTAACGTTAGTCCCTATGTATTGTGATAGTCAAACCAGTCAGGGCAGAGATTAACAGGCTTAAGTCAAGGCGTCGGTTTAATAACCAGAGCCAATGCTGTAAACTCTACTCGCCCTGGCCGGGAGTCACTGAAAGCCCCCTTTTTCTTTATAATTAACGTCTCTACGGACTACGGAGAAACTCTCCCATCGTCAACTCCCACAGTCGAACTTACAAGTGCACCTCAGTGTGTCCACCTCAGTGACCCCAGTCCCCCCCAGGGATTGCACGTGGGGCTTAGTTGAATTAGTGCCCCGCATATAGCTCTGCAGAAGGTACAGGTACTCCGTACTTTAGGTAAGGTACCGAGAGCTAACTTGGAAGCTATTGCATCACATGAAGGCCCTGGACTGTACTTGGACTCAACACCGAAGAAGGCCTCCCAACACTGCTCAAGCCCCAGCACCATTCCTCTCAGAGACGACCTCTTGCTCCTCGCTCACCACGCGTGAGGATGAAGCTCGAGACTGCCTCTAATAACTACAGGGGCCAATGACGACACCATGGCTTTCAGATTTCCAGATCCTCGACTGCGAGTCGAAGAAGACTACACTACAGCCGTCACCGCCAAGGGGTCTGTCGCCCGCACAGCAACTACTTCAAACTCCAGCACCACACGAGAAAGTCCTCCAAATGGTGTCCCTCCTCTAGAGGTCTATGCCTACAACGAAGCCACCGATGGCCAACCTATACCCTCGCCGAAGCGCAAAAATATTGTCTTTGCAGATCCTTTCGCCTTTCGGTACGATACAGTTGAGCCCAAGCTGTCAGCTTTAATGCTAATACTCTTTCAACAGATATCTCGAAGAAGGTAGCAATGTTGTCGTTGTCGAGCGCCGAGGAATTTTACGCGGTTACGAGTCCTACCTAGTCGAACAATGGGCGTGTTCTCGAAAACCACCGACACTACTGATCGTCACTTATACTGGAGATGAGAACCATTCAGTCGTTGTTGGTGTGCTTTCCGTTCCAGTAGACGAGAACCTCTGGCCTCCAAGACTGCGCTTCTATTTCGATCAATTACAGGACTCTCATGCGCGACCCAAGGAGACCGAACTGGGAGAGCTCATGGTCACCAACCTGAGCAACTTCCCTTCAGCACTCACTGTTATCATGGTACCTGAGGGCGATATCAGGAAATACCGCTCATCTTTCATCGTCAACGAGGATCTCAAACGACTGGGGTGTTCTGGACGATCCGGCATGACTCTTTCGGATCCGACAGAGGCAACTCAATTGAAATTCTTGCAACTTTACAGAACCAGCGATCGCGTACCGGTTACGCAAGCTGTCGTCGAACTTGTCAAATTATGCCAGGTCACATTATACATGTTTGATAAGCTAGGGCACCAATACATCGATGGGTTGCTCTGTGACAAGACAGAAATGGCCATCAACAACTGGTGGATTGAAATCGGTGCTGAGCACTACAATTTCGAGCCTACCGATGGCATATTGGGACCAAGTACGGTGGCGGCACTGCTAGGCATGTTTTTGGGTGTTCGGAACCGTCTTCATTGGTATGGTGCGCCTGTGTCAAAGGATGTATTTGATCTTGAAAGCACTAAGCGTGGTATCGGTCACTTCCAAAAATCACAAAAGCTCGAGAAGACCCGAAGGCTAGACCGTCAAACACTTCTCAAGCTTTATACTGTATCTGCCAAGGCTGCTGCTGGCGAAAGCTGGGGCGTACAGAGGGCTGTCAAGTCAACACTCACAGAAGTGGGAGGCAAACGCGGCGAGCTTGTTATGGGCATGGTCTCAGGAAAGGACAAAGGCGGACTTGCAGATATTGAAACCCTCGATATTGGCACTTTTGCCAGTTTGGCATATGGCGAGCGAGCCAAATGGCTTTGGCATGGTAAACCTCGAAGATCAGTCGCCGAGCTTCCCCATCATAGTCCAGAGCTAGGCAGCGCGGTGCCTTGGAAAGACGATGAAGGAAACCCGAACCAGAAACGCGTCCATTCAGCGCCTGTGGAGAACGAATCGGACTCCAAACGAACTGAAGACTCTACAGATGTCTACTCAGCCTACCCGCCTGGTTCCGCTCTTAGTATTGCTGACGGCTCTGGTGATAAGGAGGCTTTGCGAAAGAACATGTTCAAAAGCGTTGCTGGAAAGATGAACGATGCAAGGTCTGGTTTTGGGCGCATCAAGGATGCTGTTGGGGGAGGTTTACGTGGTCATAATAACCGACCTTCAATCTCGACAAGAGATGACTTTCCAGAAACAGGACCCAAAGGTTCAACCCAGGGACTCGCTCCAGGGACGGGACAGCCACCGGCGCCTACCCAAGGAGTCGGGAGAGCATTCACATGGAACAACAAACCGCAAGAGTATATTGCTGCGATGAAACGAGCAGATGCAGAAGGAAACCCAGGTTTCCCCCAGCTTTCTCACTTTGCATCAACTTCAACGGTTGATATCAAGCCAGCTTCGGCTCCTGTAGACGCCCACAAGCGTGACCCAGATGGAGATCTGTTCGATCTGGGTGTTGAAGTGCGCAAGGATGTCCTATCTAAAGTACCCTCCGCTGTTGGGTCTCTCGTGGATGAGAATGACCTCCAAGGACCCGTTTTGGACGCAGAGCTGAAAAACGACCATGCTAAAAAGGGGTTATCACGACGGCATAGCATCCAATTGTCGCACTGCCTAACCACGGCTATTCTTAACGAAAACCGCTGGCCACGTCGGATGTCGTTCGGTGACGCCGAAGAAGCTGTATTGGATTGGGACCGACTCATTGATATTCCTGATGCTGCGGGTGACCTGGCAGGACTTGAAGCATTCAATGACGTTGCGCAACATTTCAATCAGCGGATGGAAGAAATCAAGAATGGAATTGAGCCATGGGTTATGGAAAAACTCAGAGCAGTTGAACTTCTTGATAACGGTTTTGCCAAAGATAAGGAAGAGCTCCACGCACTCTATTATCAACTAAATGAGGCATGTCAGCGCATGCGCATAAGTTCGCATGAGCTACTTGCTGAGGAGCGATCGCACCTTATGGAAGCACTCAAAGAAGTCGAGGTGCTCGTTGCTCGGCTTGACTATGAGGTCAACGCTCTGCTGCAGAAGGTAATTGACGTTGAAGATGGCATCGTAACGTTTGAGAGACAAGTCGAGGACATGGAGAAAAGAGCTCAGGGTCTCAAAGCTCAGCTCGAGACTGAAGGATGGCTGCACTGGTTATTCAGAACAATCACTGGAATTGGCACCGGGCCAGATATTACGCGGCCGCTTTCTTAATACACAGGTCGGTCCACATAGTTGGGCATGGACCGTTGTCTTGTATATACTTTCTTATGTGGTTTATTAGCACGGAGTTTTGGCACATGGATATCATACCATACACAGTATAGCATAGCGTGGCATAGCGTGGCATAGCTCACATTGGGAAGAGTTCATTTGTTCAGTATCAAATAGAAGAAACATAATCGAGTCTACTTCACAGAAGAGGTGTTATTTCTGCTTTAGACACAGATCCATATACAAGTATTATACAGCAACACCTCTGTCGCGCCCGCTCGTCATCAGTTCGTGACAAGCGCCAGATATAGGTTCAAGCCCAATTATATCTATCCATCCGTTGAATGTTTCCCCATAATATTCGTACAAAATTTCCTGTTCGCCTCTCCATTCCAGTTTCCTTCCTCTCTGCTAGATTTCTTCTAGTCGTGATGATATCTGCGCTTCCTTCGTTACGCTTACATCATGCCACCGCCCTGCTGACCGCCAAGAGCCTGGCCTTGCTGCTGCATGATCTCGCTGACCTTCATTGATGTGTCGAGGAACTTTGCTGTGCAGCGGTCGAGGCAGACGGACTCGCCCTTGTTGAGCTCGCCCTCGCGGTAGTCGTTGGGGACGCACTTCTTCTGGCAAGATTGCTGGAGACTATATAACACAAATATGTCAGTTCCTATGCTCTCTGCAGGCATTCTTCATCATCGGTGGCTTACCGGTTGTAGGTGTCGGCCATCATGCGCATCTCGCTCTCCACGGCAGCAATCTTTTGCTCCGAGGTAGGCTGAGGGCGTCCCATTCCGAGGAAGTTCATATTGGCGATATTGGTAGTGTTGTTGTGGGTGTAATTGGGATTGAGGAAATAGGTTAGTGGTGGGTTGAAGCTGCGTTATGACGGCGTCTGGAGCCTCTGGCTGGATGCTGGGAAATTTTCCACTTATCGCGGATTGGTCGATTATGTAAGGTGCCACGAGCCTGTGCTACCCTATACCTTTGTACTGCCCTCCAAAGCAATTCATGAGGAATTGGTAGGGTTCAATAGAATTCTTTATTTGATGATCAAATGATTGATTTCATTGAACTTCTGGATTGGATCTTGTTCATTTAGTGTAATCACCTTTTCCTGACATATGTGCACAACGCTCCATCACATTTCATGTAAAACATACTAATTCAGCAAGTTCCTGGTCTAACTGTGACCTTTATTATTGATAACAAAACTTTCATCCTAGTTCTTAAATGTAATATTCTTTGTTCGAGTCCATTCTTCGAGACCAGCAGAAGCATTGAACCGCCCATAGCCGCTTGACTTAGCTCCTCCATGAGGGAGACTAGCCTCATCATGAATACTCATGTTGTTGATGTGCACCGCACCTGTTTCAATCTCACGAGCGATACGAAGGCCTCTCTGAAGATCTGATGTGAACAGAGCTGAGCTTAGGCCATAATCAGTATCGTTGGCGATCTTGGTAGCCTCCTCCTCAGTCTCAATGGTGATGAGAGAGACGGTAGGGCCAAAGGATTCTGTCTGGTAGATATCCATTTCCGTGGTGACGTCCCTGATCACGATCGGCCTTAAACGGGTTTTGCTGGTCTCTTCAAGGTCGGGGTTTCCATGAACCAGAGAGGCACCCTTGGAAAGGGCATCCTTGACCAGGGCCTTGTTCTTGTCAACAGGAGCTGAGGCAACAAGAACTGGGGCATCTCCCTTAGAGGAGAAGATTTGCTCGATAGTAGCTGACAGCTTCTTCTCAAACTCATCCTTGATGTTCTTATGAACCAAAATCCTCTCTGTGGCCATGCAGACTTGTCCGGAGTTCATGAAAGCTCCCAGTGTGCACTGAAGAGCAGCAAGATCGAGGTCGGCATCCTCCCAGACAATAGCAGGAGCCTTACCACCCAACTCCAGAATGACAGGCTTTAAGTTCTCGCCCGCAATCTTTCCAACTATGCGACCCACAGGTGTGCTACCAGTGAAGTTGATCTTTTTGACCTGAGGATGTTCTATCAGGGATGAGGTAACTGCTGCGGCAGTAGATCGCTCATGAAAGATGACATTGAGGACACCATCTGGAAATCCTGCCTCTCTGAAGATATCGGCAATAGCCCAAAGAGTTCGAGGGCAAACCTCGCTGGCCTTGAAGACAACTGTGTTACCAGCAGCAATTGGGAAGATAACAGATCTTGAGCCCAAGATATAAGGAGCGTTCCTGGAGGTGATGGATTAGTGGGCATTTGGGTATAGAAGAGGATGAAAAACATACCATGGTGCAATGGCCAAAACGACACCGTAAGGTTCTCTCACGACAAGAGCGGTTGTGTTAGGATCCGATGTGATAGGAATTGCACCCTCAAGTGTTCCCACGCGGCCAGCAACCTCCTTAATGTGACTAATGGCAGTGGTGATATCGAAGTTGGCCCAAGTAGCATCGCTACCAGTCTCCGACATAGCGTAACTGCGGAGCTCATCTCTTCGCCTTTCCATAATCTCAGCCGCCTTGAATAATAGATCGCGACGATCGGAAGGTCTCGTTTTGCGCCATGACTTGAAAGCTCCAGCGGCAGCGTCTACAGCAGCAATGGCTTCCTTGACGTCAGCGCTGTGGTATCGGTGGACGACTTCGCCGCTCGAGGGAGAAACCACATCAATGACTTTGTCGTTGGTGTGATCGCTACCGTTGATGAGGAACGGCACTGTATGAAGTTTGGTCATGGCGAAGACGGAATAGAGTATCTGAGTTTGGATAGAATGTGTACTACGTGGCAGTTACTGCATGAACAAGAGGCAACAAGCAGACAGGACAGCAGCTTAAATATCTAGTCCAGATGAGGAGAATCCCCAGGAATAACACAGCCTACACATGTTAGCTACCTAGTTATTCGGATCGGCTCTCCACTTGACAGAGAGGCACGGAAATATCCTCTAACGCTCTAGCCCCGCAAATAGCGTGGGCGACCCGCGGAATGGATGAGGGGGGATTGTCAATTGTGGTGTTCTAATTATTCGGCACTTCAACCGGGTTCGGATTTATAGACATCGGCTTTTGACATCGACATAGAGTTCCAAGTCCGACGCTTGGCTAGCGTGGCGACAAATATGCCCATCCAATACCCAAGGATGAGGTGAAGCCTTGAAGGGCCTCAGGGCCTCGGGGCTATAGCGGATAGGTCCCGTCTCGCTCGCGCAACAGGACAGGGCAATTCGGATCATAGCCGTTGAGCCAGGACCGGGCCTGTGGACGACATGCAACTTCTCCGCCATCACGAATTCTGCAATGAACTTGGGTCCAAGAAGGGCTGAGAAACAGCCGCAGTGCGAATGCGAAGAGTATCTATATAAACAGCACTTAGAAAGCAGATTTCCCAGTTGTTGATCGTATCAGATTCACAGAAACTCACCGATATCTGGCAACGATCCTGGTATCGCAAAGTGGACCTCTGACTTGAGTCTTGGAGAGTGCAACGTTTGGCCAGGACGTTGCGGAGCAGGCTTTAGTTGGCGTTTGACCGATGGACGAGTTTTGTCAGCTTCCGACATGTTGCGAGCTTAGCAGTTCTGGCTGAAGCTTGGTGAGTTGATAGCTTAAAGAAATACACGGGTGATGTTGTTCTTTGACGCTTGCAATTGCGAAGCTGTTTGACTGGGGATGGTTAGGTATCCGAGTAAGGTGATGAACCCAGGTCACCTTAGTAGGCAGGTACATATCTAGAGTGGCAGTAGGCTGGGTCTGAGAGGAAGGAGTTGCGGGGCATGTCTTAGAACTCATGAGACCCATCAAATGCTAAACAATAAATAAGCTTATTAAAACTCATGAGGGGTATGTTCAACACTCGAATGCATTGTGTTTTTCACTTTTCCGAGAGCACAAGTTGATCTTGCGGATACATGTGTTGAAGACTAAAGATCTTCGTTGCTTGATCTTTGTTCTTAACATTTACAAGACACAGCGGAGTACTATAGAATTCAAATCAATAATTCCCGGCGCAAAGATCAAGAATCCTGTTCTATAAATCTATATAGTATGAACAGGCCTACGGAATACGGATACAAGCTCTTTTATCATACCTTCCTTGTCTGGTAGATGGCCTCGGCAAGCTTTAATCTCACGTGATATCTTAGCTGCCTAACCAATCAGAGACCTCAGTAGCAGTACTGAAATCTTCCTCAGGCCCCGCTCCATGTCATGTCGCTCAGAAGTCGCCGCAGAAGGCAGCATCGGCCAAAGAGTACCGCGACTCTACCTGCACCTTCCCAGACTTTCAAGCGAGAACGGAAGGAGAGAAAAAAGCTCGTAATTGGCCAAGGACAGACAAATTCTAGCCACTCGAACAAGTCACCTTTTTTTCGCACCTTGAAACTTGGGAAAAAGCAATCTTCTCCCAAACAACCAAACCCCTCTCCTCCGTAGTCGGCCTTTGTTCGCGCGCATTGTCTTTGCCAACACACGACGCGCCCACTCAGCGCCGCGACCCAGAAATCGACTTCAACGCCAACACCGACACCGGCCGGTTAACAACCTCCGATACACCTTCCGTTCTTTGTCTGCCCGTGCCCGTGTCCCTCTCGGCGCCGGCGCATTCTCACATAATACCGTCGCGTCCTTCCGGGCTTCCGCCTGCGGCTTTCGCGCCCATGGACGGCTCGTCCATGATGGCTGGTGGGGCGGCTTCTATGAGTCCTACAAGCCCGGTCAGCTCTCGCCATGGCCATGGGAATAGTAATGGCATCAACAAGCGCAAGAGGAGCAGTATGGCCGGCATTGAAAGCAGTCCTGGCAGTGGTAACGAGGATCATGATGACAAGAAGCGCCAGCCTGGTGTAAAGAGAGCTTGTAATGAGTGCCGTCAGCAAAAGGTGAGTTATGCAGGCCGATAGGAAAATCGAGTCACATCCTTGCTAACACAAATTCTCCAACAGCTACGATGCGATGTCGTGCAAGACCCTTTTCAGAGCTGCTCACGATGCAACCGCCTCAAGCTAGAATGCAAGATCGAATCAAATTTCAAGCGAGTCGGCAAGCGCTCCAAGCATGCAGAGATGGAGAAGGAGATCGATCGCCTGCGTCGCAGTGTTGCCCGCGCAAAATCTCAAGGCTTCACCCCAGAAGCTGGTGAAGATGATGTCGACTCACCTATCGCAGCAAGCAACCCGACCTACTCCCACACCCATACCCGAAACGCTTCCTTGATGGGCTCCGACGAAGCGGTCTCGTCTTTACTACACCTCAAGCGCGGCGGTAACTACAACATGCCTCGATATTCCCACGAGTTGGAAAATGTTCAATTGACTGAAGAAAATGTCAATCATCTATTTCACGAGTTCTTCGCCTATTACCATTCATTTCTGCCCTTTCTCAACCCTAGCCAGGCGCCCGACCTCTACTATCAGCAACATCCTCTACTTTTCTGGTCTATCGTCTCTGTCGCGGCTCGACGGTATAGTCCGCCAAACGTACCTGGCCTGCTTAACAGCCTCTCGGGGCCTCTGACGCGGTTCCTGTGGTCGACCATTGGGGAGGTTCCAAACAGTTACTACGTGGTCAAGGCCATGTGTCTGCTGTGTACCTGGCCACTGCCCACAAGTACGACATCGTCCGACCCTACGCATATTCTCTGTGGAGTCATGATGAAGACGGCTACTGGACTAGGTCTTCATCGACCCAATAACATTCAAGACTTTTCCAGGGTGTCGGTTGAGTTGAACAAGGAACAACTCGGCGACCGTGTGACAACATGGGCTGTTTGTAACATCGTTTCGCAATCTGTTGGGACTGGTTATGGCCAACCAGCATCAACTCTGTATGACTGGACTTTGGCCTCAAGGTCTGGAGAAGAGAGTGCGTACCAGCTCTCGCGAGCACTGGAAGCTCGGTTACAGATTGAGAGATTCTGTGACAAAGTATCGAAAGAGATGTACAGTAATGCCAGCGATCCCCGCGGGGTTGCCGGAGATGAGCACCGAGCTATGTTGATGCGTGTCTACCGTCGAGACTACGCGGAACTGCATGCTTCCATCTTATCGCAAGAGCTGGGTCCGTTCGTTAACCTTCATCTGAGAGCGGCAGCTCTCCACATGCGTCTGGCAGGTTTCTTTGATTCTAGCAAGACCCCGGGTTACATGGACGATCTGATGGGTCTCTGGCGCGCCACCACCAATTTTCTTGACGAGGTACTGGAAGTTGATAAGGTCACCAGTCCTCAGGAACAGATGGGCGGAAATTTACTTCATCATTGCAGTAACTACATTGGACAGATGATGGTCGCCGCAGGCTTTGCCCTTCTCAAGCTCATGAGGTCGTTCTTTGCAAAGACGATTGACTTCCAGCGAGGTCGAACTCTCTTCCACCAAACTATCCGAGCCATAAGGGCTACCAGTGTTGTGAACAATGATCTCCAGTGGCGATTGGCTGAACTTATGGTGCAGATGTGGAACGGCGCTCGGCTCGACAACAATCAGCACAACTTCAATAGCAACGACGATCTGCCGATTCAGATGGATGACAGCCTCCAACTCAAGGTCCGATGCCGTCACAGCATGAGTCTCGTGTTTGATTCAGTCTGGAGATGGAGGGAGGACTTCCAGGCTCTGGGGCGAGGTACTATAGACGGTTGGTCAACCCCTTTTCTCCTTTTGTTCTGGTGATGCCCTTTGGAGTAGAGCATGTCTTGATCTGTTTCGTGCAAATATTGCAAACACTGCAGCAAGAATGCTAATACAGACAACAGCCGCCAAACAACCGACAAATCCAGATTCGGCTAATGAGTCTTCAGCATCCTCAACACACATGGACACCGCCCTCGTCTCGTCTCATGCTCTCCCACCTTCGAGCCTGCTCACTGCCAATAGCAATCAAAATAGCAACTCCAACTCCAACGGTGCCCTGACGCCTGGAGGCACAGGACTATCAGCCGTATCTTCAGCTCATAGCATGATGGCGGGTGTCAGTTATGGCGACACAACAAATTACGATTTCTTCGACCCCCAGCACTGGATGTTGGACGGCCTTCTTGACTTTAACTACTCATTTGTGCCGCCCTTGGAAGGCGCCTAGCGGCCGTGATCCACGACGACGGGGTTTATGAGACCTTTGAGTATCTTTTCTTCACACGGCGTGAGTTTTGACATGGTAAGGGAGCATGATAACCACAGCGAGATCCTTTTTTGTGACAAACAGACATTGCCGGCTATTTTCTCTGATGACAGGTCTGCACAATGGCAGGTGAACTCTGGGCTTAGTTTTGTTTTCCCCTTCTACTGTCTGTACTCTCCGCATTGTGATTATTCTAGACTGTTGAGCGAGAGGAACCCGGTAGGGTTTCTGGTGAATTGTTGCCTTTTTCTACAGGGATGGGTCAGGTACAGCCGAAAGCTATCGGAATATCTCGATGAGGGATAATGAATGGGTGAGGGATATGGTAAAAGACAGTCTATGTGTATGTAACATGACGGAATGTTCAAGCAAACAATACCAATTGTTTAATTATTCTACTTTTAAATGGGTCTCCAGCTGTTGCCACGGTTTCCCACCGACTTTCTTCCAGTTTCCTCTTGGGTTGTCCACGAACCCTCGAGGTACTTTTGCAGTGTGGAATGATCTGGAGACGAAGAGCTGGGATATCTGCCGGCATGGGAGAGGCACAAATGCTCCTGCACAAGAAAAGGATGAGGGAAAAGGATAAGCGAGCGTGAATCATCCCCACAAGTATTTCGCAACACCTCGGCGAGGTTGAGGAGGACGAGGATGCATACCTACGGAGACGCGGGGGCTTGATCCGTGAGCCGGGTCCGATTCGGGTTGTGTAATAGTGACATTGACATCCAGGGGCAGGGGTTGGAGGGTTTTCTCATCTTGTCGCACGTACCATCCTGTGTTCATTTCGTCTATCACGTATGAAAATCGTATGGGGCAAACATGACTGGAGCAGCCGACCCTGCGCAGTTCAGTCCGTGAATCTTTCTTACAAGTTAGTAACCGTATCGACCAATAACAGATTGAGTTCACGTCATGCCGAGCGTGTGTAGAAATCGCCGAAGAGGCATGCGACTTGACGAGCCCATAACCCCGGTTATTGGAGTTGGTTCGCAATCATCTTGTCGCATATATCACCGTTATCGACCTAGTGTGGCAATACAATAGAGTAGGGGAGAAAGCCATTGCCGATTCCCTGCTCTATCGCCAAGGTTTTGGGTTGTTTGGGCGTTATCGGCGTCGACGAGGTCCATCCATTGTTGGTTGCGTCGTGCTGATCGTGATTCGATTTCCACCAAAGCGCGAGGAACAATAGAAGAAGAATCTACGCCACAGCCGTTTTAACCTATTCTCTATTTCCGAATTCCAGCCTTGACGGAAATGGTGTTGCCATGGCGTTTTCAATAGCGTGCTGAGCGTTTAAAATTGGTGATATCCTAAGCCAAGAATGAAAAAGAGCCTATTCTGGGAATCGATGGTTCAGTGGCAACACGAGCTAACGTTTAATGAATAACATCGGATCAAGGATGAATTCCTCGACTGAGAAAGGGGTTCGAGAGCTGGTACCGACAGTGCTCAGTCCAGTTGCATTCCTGTTCAATGCGACCCGAAACATTCTACGGATACCGAAAACGCCTCGTCAAGCACGCACGTTAGATCTCTCCGCAAAGCTCAGAAAGCCTCGGCAGCCAAACTCTAACGAATGTCATGAAATCGTGCCTTGTGATGGGGTAAAATGACATGGCATGACATATGTCGTCAAGTAGAAGTATATGGCCGCCATTTCAGGCCGGCAAAGCCTCTGGCCCGTTTTGCAGACCCATGGTCGCATGGAACGGCCTGGGGAGTCGGCAGCGCGGTAGAAGACAAACCAAGGCACAGAATTAAGCGCCCTCAGACGATAGTTGGTAGTTTGAGGTCAGACTTTGACGATAATGGTTGTTGTCAAAAAGAAACTGTGCTTTGGCGAGGCACTCTTATCGGGCTATACAGAGCCCACGAGTCAAGTTGCACATCCGATCCCCATTTTGCCGTGTCATATTGATACTGTAGGCACTGACTGGGCTACGCCAACTCCGGATATCTTATTCGTTGTTGGATTCTCCATGTATATCGCAAGGATGTTGAAGGCAGAAGTTGAGTCAACCGGCAAGAAACGGGCAGGGATATCTGAATTCAGAATCAAATTCTGAACCTGGTCTTGAACTGGAGACGAGTTAATTACTCTTTAAGCCTGGAAGAGAGCCACACCAATTTCGGCCCTGTATTGCCGCTCTTACTCTGCTCAGAAAACAGAGCCAACAACCAACAACAAAAACAAAAACACGCCCCCCGTCAGGTCCCCCATGGCCGCTTATGAAACTTGCCAGCGATCTGCGCTAGGATAAGCCCTACAGCCTGTAGCAAAGCAATCATGAGTCCAGTCCGGCTTAGTTTAGTCTGTTTCGCTTCACTAAAGAGCGCGAAGACTCGGCAAGCCGTTAGACGGCGTTTGTAAGTGCCGGGAGTGATTCGCCAACCCGCTCTGGCAGAGCTCTCCAACGTACTATGTATTGATGGCGATAGCTTGCATGGCTGTACCTCTGGCTTGTGCGCAGCCAATTCCGAATGTGGCGTTTTATCCTCCAATTTCCTTTCCAGAACACCATCTTAGCACATAGAAGATAGAGGACGCAAGCCATGTCCATGTGGTCTATCTCCAGGGCATACTTACTTGAGTTGGTGAGACCTTATTTCAGAATTGTTTTGTAGTACATACTGACAGTGAAGAAAAATGTGAGTCTTTCATAAAATCCCCGCGGTCCGATATCGTGGATCTTAATCTTGTCTTGGAAACTGGACATTCGGGACTCGCTTCACATGAAAATATAGTGAAGTGTTTGCCACATATAAACATGTCAAGCATGCAGATCCATAGGTGGATTCTAGACTGCCTTGTTGGAGATGAGTCGAGGTGGTCATCGCGGTGCAGGTTTCAGGAGTGTTGGTTGAGCGTCCTGATGCTCCTTGAATTTTAGACATCAAGGACCGAGACCATCACCGCAACTTTATGCCACATGCACAAAGATGCAATGCGAGAAAGGGCTGATATGCTCAATGAGCAACTGGGATGCACTGATCACCAGTGGTAGACAGGGAAAGGGAGTGTGAATAGGCTATTGCTTGAAGCATCAACAAGTCCGTGCTACAGAAAGGAAGCAACCATCGGTGAAACATCTTGATGAGATTATTGGCACAGCTTCCCATAGAGTTACACAAGGCTCTTGAATCGAGATTCCTTTGCTTTTGTCAGATGAACACAGGTTCTCGACTCTCACAGTCAACACGAAAACGCTCGCAGAGGGCAACGTTATCGAGAACCGCCACGGATATTTCGGAATTAGCTCTTGCCATATGAAGAGATGGAAAGAAAGGCTAGAGTTCCATTTCAGCTTGGAAACAACTGTTCGTCCTGTCACAGAGAGCCGACAGCAGTATACGCTTTGGTACCCCCGACATAAAGTAAAATGGAAATAAGCTCAATCTGTTTGCGTAAGGGCAACGCCGATGAATACTCGACGCATATTCGCTCCATTCTGGAGTAGTATGGGGCAGCGTTTCGAATTAAGTAAGGCACACTGGGCAAGATGCTCAGGAGCTTGGTCCATGTTTAGAACAATGGGTGGTCATAATGAGCTATCCACATAGCTGCAAAGACAAGATCCTATTGACACCCAAAAAGGATAGCGAGTCTATGCTTGTTGCGGGCGTTTTCATGTGTCGCTGCTGTTCTATGATGTATGAAGGCATACAGACCCCTGCTGAGCATATCATAAGTACCATGGCGATTGAGGCGAAGCCAGATGTTGCTTCCATTTGTTTATTATATTTGCTGTAACTCTGCGTCGTATGCATTGGCCCTCAGTGACATACTTTGCATTCAACCTTGATGCGAACAAGCTGATGTACTCCGTCGTAGATAGACATAGTGACCAGGGTTACGATGGATGGATGGAAGGACCGAAACCCCACGAGATTGGCTTCTCACGAGGGCGTCGCTTCCTTGACAGATGATCGACCGACCGATAGATGATGAGATGGGCTGCCAAGAAAGAGGAGGGGTTTGGGGGCGTTGCCCTATGCTTCTGCGTTCTCCGGAAGACAACGCTAAATCAGGCGAGCAACGAATTGAAAACGAGTTTCCTGTCAAGTCTTGTGCGTGGACTATGGGTGCAGAGTTGGGCTGTTGCAAGGCAAACCCTGGTAAGAGCCATGTCACAGCGGGGGGGCCGTTTTTGCAGACAGCCGGACGTGTACTATGCCGTACTTGTTGTCCAAGCACTGCTGAGCCCTGCCAACACCTGCCTGTTCTGTTGGAAACGTACGAGTAGCAAAATGCTATTCGTTCCCGAAAGTCTGGTACCGCTCACTCTGCATGAGCATGCGTGTGATGCGAGATATGACTGGGAGAGAGGGTGGAGCGGGTCGGACCAAAATGCGACCCTGAAGGCCGACATATACGAACTCTTTTAAGTTGAAATCTGAGACGTCAAAAACGCGGCTAAGCTCGCGCACAAGGCGGAATAATCGCGACAGGTATCCCACACCTGTTGGAAGTACCGCAACAAACAATGCCTCGGTAGTGTTGACATGCTGCAAGTTGGAGGGGATGATCGTCGACACTGACGCGACAAAAGCGCTTAGAGTGGGCATGGAATGGGTCGGATGCGCTTCGGAACAGCCATCCAATCGAGCAATTCAACGCAAAACTTTCCTTTTCAGGCCAATATTAAACCATGTAAACTGTCCCGGCAGTTGGGTAAATTAGATGGAGAAGTGTGAAACCGGAAACAAAATCAAGAGCATCAGTGGCACGACGCTAGAGCACAGGCAACCAAACAGGGTCGCCCTTGATTCTTGAGGGCCGATAGCAAGAGAGAACCTTTGAGCACGAGATTTCTGCTTGACTCAGACCGATTGCGTAACAAGATTTAACGGTCTGATGAATGAAGAAGGAGAGGTAGAGCCACCATTGTAGCCTGCTTGGCCAGACGTGATGAGACTGTCGAGCAGGGCGAAGCATTGTGTCACTGCCTTGAAGCGAGAGAACAGCAGTCTGCGACTGAGCACAGCTGGCGTTTTAGCCGGAATGCCTCGGTAGCCACATGGAATGGACATATGGCATGGCAAGGGCCTGTGTTATCTGGCACCCACGACGTTAGATCCGAGAATGGATCTGCAGGAACCCTCAAACGAACCCCAGATCTGGCGGCAGCGGCGTGTGATGGGAGGCATTGATTGTCAGATGAGCGATAGCGCGGAAGCGAAAAGGGAGCGAGGAGACAACTGTCCGGGGGCTCGATGCTTTCAAGCCCGGCACTTGGCTTGTGATATCGCGCGAGCAAGTCGACTTGAGCTGGGAATATCAGGGGAAGGCGGAACACGTGGAGCACGCACGCTCCCATTGCCGATCAGAATAGGAAAGAGATAACAGTTGAAAGTGCGAGTGGAATTGTGAAAGACAAATGGTTATCGGTACGACAAAACCCGGAGCTGATTGAATGAGAGGGTTGATTCTGATGATGTTAGGTTGGAACTTGGAAATCAAAAGAGCATGGGGGGTGTGCATCCGTTACACACGGAAACCAAGACCCAGCGTGAGTTGGCAGGAAGTTCGTTTGCAGACCAGCCGCTGTCCAATGGCAGCCAACCGCATCATAAACGCGCGCGTATCCACTATCCCACATTCGGCAAGGCGGTCGCGGCCGGGGCGCTCACCTATTGGTGCAATTCCATCATCAGGCAGGAGCAAGGGCTGATCACCTGCGCGACCAATTAAACCTTCTTAGAAGCCACTGGATCCCACTTTAAGACAAGGTTTGCCCTTGCTCGGACCATACTGATTTAGGAAGACGAGCTACCTTGCAGGGTAAAAACAGAGGTTAGCGCGTCCCGGCAGTTTGGTAAGCTAGACTTCTAGTGCAACGCTAGCTTGCGGCACAAAGTGCTGAATGGCCGGCAGCGGGGCCGCATTCTGCACCAAAGGTGGGTACTCTCTAAGTCCGATACCCCTGTCAATTCTCAAGCGCCGTCAGGCGCATGCCATGTTATGTTATGGGTTGCATATTGCGCAGGGCAAGTGGATGTTCAAACTTGTTATTAGACAATTATTAGTCGTTTCTTTGTGGTTGTTGTTTGCCCGCTTGGATACATACAGTACGAATTGTCATAGACAGGCACTGAGACGGGTGACAATGCCCAGCCAGCCTCAGATTGGCAGCCATTTGAACCGTGCCAGGTCGAGTCAGGTCAGCTAGGATGCTGTCACACTTGGAGCGTCATGATCCTCGTTGCTTTTTTCCTACTCCTCATGTATTTCATACCAGGGAGGCAGGGCAATCGTGGTCCTCCCCGACCCGAATTTGCGCAGAGAGATATGGGTTTATCTCGATGTTACTGACGACTAAACAGCGTCATTTAGGCGGCTCCTCCAGACTCGGGTCACATCCGCGGACCAGGGGAAGAGTATACATCAAAAGTAAAACCTTCCGAATGTACGGCAGACTGTCGTTAATTTAGCCCTTTCAGGGGGGGCGCCTGAGGGGACCTGTCGCCTGTCAAGGCTGTTAGCCTAGACATACGGATAGACAGCCTGGCACTACCGTTCATTTTGCGGCGAGGATCATTCTCAACGGCTTCGCGCTACACGCGGTCCTATCACGACTCCCAGCACCGCGCGTATCGGATCGTCCTGGCTGTTGGTGATTCTCTTTTCTGGCATCGCAGACGCAATTACTCCATGATTGACTGACTGACTGACTGATTGATTGATAGGCAGAATCTTTAGCATGCGTGACCGAATGCTCCGCTCTGCTCAACTTTCTCCCTCTCCCACACATCACATCCACTTGACGATGCAATCTGCCGACAAGTGCCAAGCCTAGCAGTGGAGTCGCTGGGCTCTGCCTAAGCTGTTGCAGGCATGGCCGCTTTGTTCTCTGTCATGTCTTCTTTTTTAGGCCTTTTCGTCCTCCATCTCCGTTTCCGTCCCCGAGCTTGCTCCCGCTCCCATTTTCACTTTCAGCGTCATTTTCATTTCATTGCAACTTGACCAGATTCGTCATAACAGTGTCAGCTAAGAAAGTATCCTAGAGCAAAACTCTCCCTGCACTTATCTTATGGGCTGAGTACCTATGTATCCGTAGTCTGGCTGTGTCGTGGTGACCTGGCCCTTACCCAGCCCCAAAAGTGCTCCCCCCCAGCAGACCCCTGCTCCCACTTTAGATCATCGCGTCTTCTAATTCTGATTCTCAGACGTCTTGTCTTGTTCTCTTTTCCGCCCTCCTCCACTCACATCCCAGCACGGTACGGGACGTCACTGGCGCATCCTTTTTTCCTCTCAAGCTGCCGATCTTGAGATCGATGTACGCCAAACGGCCCGCACAGCATTATCGAGCTCCCGTGTTCCTGATGTCAGCCCTCGCACGAGACTTGGATAGCCGTCATGTCCGTCATGATTGATCCTCCCACTCAGATAGCCAGGTAGGCAAGATAGGTTTGTCAACCTGTCTCACTAGGTAATGGGGGGTTACCAGTTCTCAAAGTCCAGCTGTGCGTGCAGGTCGAGTCCGAGCCATATTTCTGATTGCTTTCTCCATCTTCAAGGACGGGCACAAAGGGTCCTTGGTCAAATTCTTCCCCACCCCGTTGCGTTTCCTATCATTCTTAGCCTTTTCTCTTCGCGTACCTAGTCGCTGGCCCCATGTGCTGTAGTCGTTTATTGTCAGGGCTCAAGTCCCTGTACTGGTTGGTAATCGGGGATTACTGTTTCCTCGAGCCCGTTAGCTCAGCCTGATCTGCTTAGCAGAGGACTACTCCGCACAGCTCTTCAGCTTGCCTAATAGCCTCCGGGCTAGTTGCCTCGTCTTGCCTTGTCAGGCCATTGGTGTCACCCGTCCAGTTCTGTACGTACCGCACAAACAAGAGTAGCGGCGGCTCATGATATCGATAGTACATAGTAGGTAGTCGTGATTGCTCACAAGTGGTTTTGGTGTAAAGTTGATCTGCTTTCGACTTGACTCTGTATTATCCCATTGTTGGCGATTCAAGGGCAGCTAGGAGGGGGACTCTGGGCGGGAGGCGACCAGCACCCAATCTCGTCAAGGACCTTCTCTTCATCTCCCTCTTGCCACCGTCTGTTGTTGGACTGATAGCCAGGCATTGCCATTACATATTCTATCCAGACTGTCGGATCCAAGGACTGCTCGAGACCGTATGCGCGAGACGCCGGTCGTATGAAGGCGAATGGATATGCCTGATAGCAGAAGTTCCGAGCATCCTTGAGACGCGCTGTGGTGAATTGGAAGAAACCACCGAACTGTTTCCGGTGCGTTCCTCCTTGTTCAGAGTTGAGACTCCATGCTCGTCCCTCCATCCCATCCCATCTTCCACCCCCATTCGTGGATGGATGGATGGCCCCCCAGACGAACACCCCTGCCCCATGTCCACGCCCACGCACGCCCACGCCCACGCAAAAGCAAACGCCACTCCCACTTGTTCTCACACCCTTCAACCCGCGATGGTCCCCCTCTATCTCTCCCAGCGTCATTTCCTAGTCTTTCTCCATCCAGCCCATTTGAATTCAATGCTCCAGATCCCCTCAGCGGCTATCGTTATGCACCAAAGCTCAAGTATCTTGGCATGGTGGAGGAAAACAAGCCCTCCGCTTCGTGGGTGTAGACAATGGCAGACCTTTCGTACCCATACTTACTACCTCTGCTCAACACGCCCAGTCTTCCTCCCTCGTTAGCCCCCCTGGCACCTAGGCCCGTGTCTCTGGTCTCTGGTCTATGGGTTCCTGGGGCTTGCTTGCTGAAAGAAAGGCTCTCAAGAAAGTCTTGGTACCTCGTCGTTGTTGCACTTGAGACCGACCTCCCTGTAAATCTATATACACTCCAACGATCTGCACTCCACCACTCTTCATCTCCAAACACCATTTATACAAAGAGCCCGGGCCGTCTGCGACCCCACAAGGCTCTGTTTTTCTTTCTCAACTTCGTCTTCCTGCCCTTGCCCCTGTACCCGCACTTGCACTTGGCCTCGATCTTTAGACACCCAGGTCTTCAAAAAGCGGCCGCGGCCAGAAAAGGCTGAATCGTCTTTCACCTTGTTTCTTCCCTATCTGCCTCGCCAGGTCTTGAAGTATTCTTGGAGCATCTTGGATTCTGTTCATAAATGCGACAGTCTCGGACTGAATCTTGAATTGCAGCCACATCCTCAACAGCTATCCACCACTTACAAACACAATTTGTTCTTCAGCCCCGCCCTTAAACCAACCGATCTGGACTGCAATTGTCCAATTCCCCAAACCTGATATCCACATGATCATGGTCGAGCAGCAGTATATTGCCCCAGGTCTACCCCAGCCGGATGGTCTTTCGGGAGCCCCCAACTTGCACGATTCAATTTCAACAACTGCGACTTCCCCTTACCAAGACCTTGCTTCCTACACATCTGTAAGTTATAATTCTTCCCAGGTGGAGGGTTCAGATGGGCAGGAACCCGTCCCTGTTCCTCTCTCCTCCCCCATTACTGGCGATCGAACTCTTACTCATTGACATAGGTTTCTTCCCCCTTCAGCGGTTACTCAGGCCAGTGCGACCCGAACCTCTTGACTCCCGTTTCAGTCGTGGGCTCTCCCCCTCTGCACGGCTTATCAAAGATTGCGTCGCAATATCCTCCTCCTCCAGGCACACCTAGCCAGCAAAATACTCCTCCAGGGAGTTCCAGGATGTATCATCAGCAGTGGGCGGGACAGTTCGACGTAAATAGCCAGTCCCCTCAAGCGACTTCACCCATGACTTCCCAGCCTCCGTCCGCGGGGGATTTTCTCCATAACAATTACGTCCATGATGGACGCCGAACCCCGGGACCACCTGAGCCCTACATGGGAGCATTTGGTGTTTCAACAGGACCAGAGCCACAGCCTATGAACCCGCCTTATTACGTCAATATAGGACCTCCCGTCGACCATCCGGACCACATCATGATGCGGGATAGCCACCACGCTTCAATGGGAATTCACCATCGTGAGGTGCCTCCAGCGCCTCTTTCAAATGAGCCCCATCCCACCCAATACCGTCGTCGACCTAGCCCTGAAGATTCTATGCTGCATGGCATGCCTCTCGATATTCCGCGCTCTATGACCGGATCTCCCCGCCGGAAATCTGGCCCGCACGCCCCTAGCCGGGTCAAGAAGCGACAATCGAAACGGTCTGGGGTGACTCGAACCGTCACTACTGAAGATCCTGTCAGTGAGCACAAGAATTGCTATGGCCAAGAGGTCCCTCCAACACTCAAGAGCACTTGTCCCGATGAGGAGCGCTGTATATTTGAGTCTCGCTGGCAGCACCGTAATCAGAAGGGTCAGGATATGTGGGAGAGTATTCAAGGTGATTTCAAAGATCGTTTCCAAAAGTGCCCTGGCAAGGAGATGCTCCAAATGAAGTTCAAGCGAGGCCGATCTAAGTATCTTGATTGGATTCCTAGAGATGTAAGCCACTCTGCTCCGTAAATTCTAGAACCATACTAATCGTTTCCAGTTGGATATACTTCGCGAGGCGTGGGATGTCGTTGAGAAGAATCGATACCAGATGATTCTTGAGACATTTCATGAGCTTGGAGGCTCTCGAAACATGCGCCTGAGCGCAAGTGATATTGAAGTTAAAGTCGTAAACGACCTGAAACTTGAAGAGGGCATGTACATGGAGTCTCATGGCGATGCCAACATCAGACGACGACGTAAGTCAGTACCGACAAGAAAGCGTGCTGGTCGTGGCGTCGACGACCACGACTCACGAACCAATGACGAGATGATGAGTGTCGGATCACATAACACACACGAAGATGAAGTCATCAACCAAGTTCACGGTGTTCCACATATGAAGATGGAGGCAGACGGACATGGAGGTCACCACAACATGATGGACACGCATTTATGGGACCACCAGATGAAGATGGAGCCGGGGGTGATGCCACAACGCAATGACCGTATGCAGCCCTTGATGAGATTGAGTCCGGCGTCGCAAAGCATGTATGGGGGACGCAGAGGATCGTGAGAATTGGAAGCTTCCGGCTGCCGTTCTGGTTGGCCAGTCCAATGCCTGGACACCATTATAGATTGTTTCATCTTCTCGACGAAGAGCCTTCATTCTTTGTATTTTCTTAGCTTATCTCCCGTCACTGTGGATGTTGCGAATCCTCCTAAGAGTCCTCTCATATACCCAAGAATTGTTTTAGATAGATGCCTGGGAAGAATTTGATTGCTTTAATTTTCAGAGACAAGTCAAGTTGGTTGCTATTGAGTGATGCCCATCAGCCAACTACATCCCCAGAGTACGTATCGCTCGGTGACTTGATGCGTTTTAGCAGTTGTCCACCATAATTATCTCTGCTGAGTATTCTGAGATTTTGCAGCTTTGAGACAGCAGGTGCACTTCACTTGAGGGAAGTCAAGTGACCGAGAGTGGCTTCACATAAGGTCTGGGGGTCTTGATTTGGGCATGTCTGACTTAGAACCGGAGATTGGCGATTTGCGAACGGCCCAGACGGAGGTTTGTCGTGGGCTGTCGCCCTGCTCCCCTACTCCCACAAGAACAACGGGGAATGCGAAAGACCTGGAAAGATTCGGAAAGGGGGCGGAGCGCGAGACAGCACTCAGCTCGTATTGACAAACTGGTCCTTGTTTGCGGTCCCGACAGTCTGGAAAATTGCGCTTCAAAGTAGATTTGGTTTTCGTTGCAACTCGCATGCAGCTGGGGTTTAGGTGACAAGGGTCGGGAGCCAGGTCGCCAGCGGAAACCGGAAGGATGTCGAGACAAGCTTGACGGGTCACCTTTGAGCCTAAACTAGTGGCCCCATCTGTGGACCCTCCAATAGTCAAGGATTCAGACTTCTAGCCCCCAATGCAGATCACACCGTTTGACACTTCGGCAATGCTTATGCTCAGAGATGAGGTTCTTGATGACCAGTGACTGGCTCACGATTGTCCTTTGCCTGACCACCTTGAGTGTTTTCCCACGAGAGCTCAGAGGCGTTGATCTGGCTGGCTCGTCTTTCTCCTCACTGGCTAAAACATTGGACGGGAATGTTTGTTCCATACACAGGCCATACATATGTATGCTTCAAAAGACCGTGTCACCCCTGTGGAATCACCCCTGTGAAATGTGATTTTCACAAATAGGCGCACCACGGAGTACTGGCGACATTTGCCTATGTCCTACTTTGATGCATGGATTATTGTGCGTGCAGTCTTTATTATGACATCTCAGGCCTTATTGGTTGGTAGGGAGTATCTTAGTAAGTGTGAATATTCAGTCGCCCGCGGGTCTCACTGTTCGAGCACAAATGAAGCTCCTGCAAGAGGAAGATTGTAACTATGCAGCCAGAAAGTGTGTAGTATCTCGAACATTTGAACATTCGCAAACTCCAAGCCCGGCAATGTTGAGCGGAAAGACGATAAAAGAGTGAACCACCCTGAGCCCGACCACACAAAGGTGAAAAACAAGTTGTTTGGGATGTAGCAGATGCCGCAGTCTTCCGCAAAAATGAAGTATACCAGTAACAACGATAGGTGCTGGATTAGACATAACCTTTGCATAAGTAAGCAAGCAGAGCCTAGTTGGGTGGATTCGTGTTTGCTGGGAACATAGGTACGTCGTTCGGTGTCGTTCGAGATGAAGTAGAGCAGCAGAATAGCTTTCGAAGTACATATCCTGACGTGCTACCTGTGGAAGCAGACTAGAAAATGCCTCCAGGGTCTTCGACTTGTGATATCCGAATATAGGTTAGAGGCCAGTCTTCGGCTTGCCGTTAATAATGAATACATGCTGAAGCGGAGGATTTTCAAAAGAACTTGAGTGGGGACCTGATCCGATTCTGCTTTTATGAAGGCACAGCAGGACATGCCAGGTTTTGATACTCAATTGCTTTGCAAGGATTCGCGCGTGTGATGAGGGCATGTTGAAAGACGGCGACGAACCGCTAGAAGCGCAATTGATATATGGCCTCAAGTTGATTAAACATGACCAACACTAAGTATCATCCAGCGCATAGATCTCTGACTGTTGCCATTTGACACTGCAATTATTAGCTCGCGATTCAACAGTGACGTTTGTCAAGGGACCCTGTACTTGATCAGACTGACCTTCCGCCTTGGCGCCGGGGTGTGACGCACTGGTACATCCTCAACCCACGTCGTGACCGTTTATCTTGGCACAAGCTTCTTTAGGTATCGCGTCTTTTGGTCATGCTCGAGAGAGATTATGATATTGGTATTGGTATTGAGCGGAGATTTTGGAGAGAAATGAAAGAAGTGTTAGCATGTTAATGCGAACAATAGATGGAAATGCAGAAGTCAACCCTGTTAAAAGCCAGCAGATTTTAGATGTTTGTCTTAGGTAGGTGCCTGCGTTTCCGTTGCAGTGGAACGCCTGGGCCGTGTTAGAGCGAATGGCAAGCGCGGTAATTTGGATGATAGTTAGATCGGAAGGCGCCTACTGGGCCACCGGACTTGGTATCACGATCAACTGAGACCAAGGCGTCTATTAACAACTGTCAAGTAAAACACCTGAGAAATTCTGAGGCACTTGCCATAACACGGAATGGAGGAATAGGTGATAGGAGATGTCTTAGCAAATAAATACTAATTCCCATTGGCAGAGAACTTTTGGATGACAGGCAAGGTAGCCCATAGGGGCTGCCACAGATCTCAGCCACAGGTGGCGGAATGAACACAAGACATAATCATCACCACGAATTCGCAACGACTTTGTCTCATCAAAACATCTGTACCGCGACGCCGAGCGCCCGTCGCGCGCCGTATCAAAGGCGTCCCACATCCCATTCATATGGTGTATATTCGGATTCGCTGTATCTAGGCCCCCCTCGATGAGCCCAGCAGCTCTCGAGCGCCATCCCCCCCTGGCCATTATCTTTGAAGGCTTGAGCCTCATGAGACCCGAGACAGGATGCTCTTGGCCTCTGTTCAGCTCTTAATATGGGCTTTACTATCATGGAAGGCCCATGCCATGAGGCAGGACCGCCTTGTGCAACTGCGCCAAGAAACAGTGAATATGTTCTACCATGGCTATAATAACTACATGCAACATGCTTTCCCTGAGGATGAGGTATGTTTGGTATCGCAGGCGGCGACTGATCAATGCTGATTTTGTTCTCTCACAGCTTCGACCCTTGACGTGCTCCCCCTTGACCCGAGATCGAGAGAACCCTAGCCATATCGGACTGAACGATGCTCTGGGGAACTATTCCCTTACGCTTATCGACAGTCTATCGACACTCGCAATCCTCGCTGGAGGACCCGAAGACGAGTCAGGAACTGGATCGCAAGCACTAAGCGATTTCCAAGATGGTGTGGCGAACTTCGTACAATACTATGGTGATGGACGACCAGGTGCATCGGGCCAAGGCATACGAGCAAATGGGTTCAACCTCGATAGCAAGGTGCAGGTATTTGAGACTGTTATTCGTGGATTGGGTGGACTCCTCAGTGCACATCTCTTTGCCATCGGCGAGCTGCCCATTACTGGGTACACTGTGCAGCCTGATTGGGCAACCGAGGCAGATGATCCCTTGGAACTTGTCCCTATATCATGGCCGAATGGCTTTAGATATGACGGCCAACTTTTAAGGTTGGCTCTCGATCTTGGGCAAAGACTTCTCCCTGCCTTCTATACGGACACAGGTATACCATATCCGCGAGTGAATCTTCGGCACGGGATTCCGTTCTATACCAACTCCCCCCTCTTTCGCCAGACGGGCGAGGACAAGCCCCCAGTAACTTCGGCGGAGGTCACCGAGACTTGTAGTGCTGGAGCTGGAAGTCTCACTCTTGAGTTTACCGTTCTCAGTCGTCTAGCGGGTGATGTTCGATTTGAACAAGCAGCCAAACGAGCCTTTTGGGCGGTCTGGGGCAGGAGAAGCGAAATCGGGCTCGTTGGTAACGGTCTCGATGCAGAAGGTGGGCAATGGATCGGCCCGCACGCCGGTATTGGTGCTGGTATGGATAGCTTCTTCGAATATGCTTTGAAGAGCCATATCTTACTTTCAGGACACGGCATGCCGAACAATTCGACTTCCAATCGACAGAGCAGCACTGAGTGGCTCGACCCCAATTCCATTCATCCTCCTCTCCCCAACGAGTTGCAGACCTCCGAAGCCTTCTTAGATGCATGGCATCAGGCCCACGCGTCAGTCAAACGGTATTTATACACAGACCGGAGCCATTATCCATATTACTCGAATAACCATCGAACTACTGGACAACCATATACGATGTGGATTGATAGCCTTGGGGCCTTTTACCCTGGTCTATTGGCAATGGCTGGCGAGATAGACGAGGCCGTAGAAGCAAACCTTGTTTACACTGCTCTCTGGACCCGATATTCTGCCTTGCCCGAGCGATGGTCTGTCCGCGACAACAACGTTGATCAGGGGCTCGGGTGGTGGCCAGGTCGTCCCGAGTTCATAGAGTCAACATACTATATATATCGTGCCACACAAGACCCATGGTACCTACACGTCGGAGAGATGGTGCTTAGAGACATCGAGCGCCGATGTCGTACTCCCTGCGGGTGGGCTGGTCTTCAAGACGTCAGGACGGGAGAATTGTCTGACCGCATGGAGAGTTTCTTCCTTGGTGAAACGGCAAAGTATATGTACCTACTTTTCGACCCAAGCCATGCTCTCAACAAAGTTGATGCGGCATTTGTCTTTTCCACCGAGGGTCATCCGCTCATCATCCCTAAGCGCAGCCGGTCGAGGCCAACTACGTGGCATTCTGCTGTAAAACAACATATTCCCAGAAATAACACCACGGACGAGAGATTTACCAACTCATGCCCTGTGCCTATTGTGGCAGGGTTTGCCGGGTCGGCTACTGCAGCCCGTTCTGATCTCTTTAGTGTTGCACTATTCGTCGATTTGCATAACACCCCCAACGTCCATGGACCTCTTGAAGCTGTTGATGTTATAGACAAGAAGAGAGGACTGATAACCAAATATCGAGCAACGACTAATTACACAATGTTTCCCTGGACACTGCCCCCCACGATGCTGCCGCAGGATGGCGTGTGCTCTGCACCTGTTGAGCGTGTGACGACATGGATAGAGTTTCCACCGGGCGACACTGCTAGTTCCCTTGTTTCACGTTTCGCAACGTCCCTCGTGTGGTACAGCCACAACGGGCCAACGGTCCGCAACCTTGACGGCATGCGGCTCCAATTAGAGCGGCACCAAAACAGAGATCTCGCAGGTCAGTCGTGGAGGATCACGCATGCTGCGAACAGAGAGCTAGGTCGGCACGAGAACGTCTTCTTCCACGCGGAACACGTGAGAAACTACAAAGACGACGCCTTCACCTGTGTACGGCGAAAGGATATTGTCGAGATTGACCTACTACTTGACTCTCCAGACAAGTTGAATGCTAGTGCGCCAGCACCCGCGCAGGGTGTCAACGCATCCACCGAGATAATTCCCAGTCATGCGGCCCTTCCTTCAGAATCGCTTCTCAAGTCGTTGCTCCGTGCCGTTAGCTCCGTTTTTGAACCCGCCTACACCGATCTTCCGGAGTCGGAGGCGGAAGGCGTCGGCCCCACCATCCTCCGTTGGTCGGCTTACACGGCGACCGGCCCGGGTGCATTCCCAATGCCTCCCGTTGTTGATACGCCAATGACCGGCTCACCCAGCTATAACTCCCGCAAACCTGCCGCCAACTTTCCTTGGACTACCATATATCTCGGTGGTGAGGCATGCGGTGCCCCATTGCCTGACTCATCTTCTCGCCAGCATCAAATCATCGTCCTGCGCCGCGGTGGCTGTTCATTCAGTGAAAAGCTTGAGCGAGTCCCCACCTTCCCTGCGTCGCCGCATTCTTTACAGCTCGTGCTTGTAATTGACGAGGCTGATGAATCAGAAGAAGGCGCTGATGAAATTGTTCGCCCCCTTTTAACAGTGCCGCAGTTAACACCCCGAGGCATGGGCAGACTTAACGGCGTACCGCTCGTTCTTATGCGTGGTGCTAAAGGTGATTACGGCCGGTTTGGGGAGGCTAGGGGTGTAGGACTGCGGCGCAAGTACGTGGTCGAGAGCCAGGGGATATTGATAGAGAACGCCATTGTCTTATAACGTATGGGGTACATGATGCATGTCTCGGAGTTTTTGTTGTGGATTTTTATCGTTGTTTTTGCATGAGGTAGCTTCGTATAACATGGGGATGTGCCAGCGTGAAGTCGAAGCCGTTGCTTAGTTAGGCATTGCGAAGCGTTGCTCGAACATAGAATCATGTTCGTTTTTATCACAGGCCAAGAGAACCATGATCATATCTTTCTTGTATAACACAGGCACAAGAGTATCAGAAAATGGTCCGATTATACTGTCGTTTTGCCATTATTAGCTTGAGATGTTTGTTTATATGGGCTATATCAAAGTATCCTCCAAAACCCCCGTTCTATATGCGCGAACCAAAAAGACTTTTGCGGTTGAGAGAGTGAAAAGGCCGTCCACAAAACGCCAACCAGTGTATATTTCACTCAATGAATAAGTGAATCGCTGTAAATTCTGGCCATGGCCACTGCCAACAACTCAAGTTCCAAACCAAACAGGGCAAAAATCATTTGCAGGTCTAACGGAATTCTCACACATGCGCCGCGGCGCATAGCATACCAATAGTTGTTTGACATCGATCTATGGCCCGATATCGTTTCATGGCTTGATATAGAGTTGAAAAGAGGCAGCTTAGCATCGGCCGACTAAGCATCATCGAGAAGGATCTTGGTAGGAGCAGCACCAAGCTTATCACGGCCGTTGAGGCCAGGGATTTCAAGAATAAACAAGTATCCCATAACCTCACCCTTGAGCTGCTCAACAAGTTCAGCCGCAGCCTTTGCAGAACCACCTATAAAAAGCACGTCAGCAAGGGGCAATTATACGCCACGAATGATGCCATTCGGATGAAGGGTTACTCACCAGTAGCGATGATGTCGTCCACAACAAGGACCTTCTGGCCCTCACGGACGGCATCTTCCTGCATCTGGAACAGGTCCTTGCCATACTCCTTAATGTACTCGGCGGTAACGCAAGGTCCAGGGAGCTTGCCCTGCTTGCGCACAGCAGCGAAAGGAACACCGAGACGGAGCGCAAGACCAGGGCCGAAAAGGAAGCCACGAGCATCAAGACCAACGATAACATCAGGCTTGGTAGGGAAAGCCTCAGTGGTCTGGAGCACGAGAGCGTCGATAAGAGTGGCATGGGCGGCTGGGTCGGCAAAAAGAGGCATAATATCGACAAAGTTGATTCCCGGAATAGGGAAGTCGGGGAAGCTACGCAGCGACTTGCGCAGGCTTATCTTTGCACTGGAGAGTTCGGAGGAACCGGCGGCGGAGGAGGAGGGCTGTCGTCCCGAGGCATCTTGGCTGTCAACAGCGGTAGACGTGGTGTTGTTTGTCGCTGAGGATGAGTTGGTGGAGGAGAGGGGCTGTTGAGCGCTCATTGTGGAGGAAGAGAAGAGGAAAAGAGAAAGAGGGAAGGCAGGGTAGAAGAAGGTGGGAGGGTCGGGAAAAAGAAGGAATAAGGGGAGAAGGAGAAATGAGACGAGGGATACAAGTCGGGAAAGGGTTGAGCGGAGGCAGTCGCCAGGCACAAGTAGTGGTTTTATTTTTCCTGGGTAAGGTAGTTACCTAGTTGGTGGTGGTAGGTGGTCAAGCCGTCTCGGAAGAAGCAGTCGCAGTAGTTTAGTGGAAGTAGAAGTGGAAGGCGGGAAGGAAGTACAAACGAGGTACGTGCTCCGTCTGGGTGTGATACTTGGCTGATTTGTACCTGATGGCAGGATTGTAACGGGCAGGTACGGACACAGACTGTGAAGTCGAAAGACGGAAGGAGGGGTGCAACCTAGGTTGAGCGATAGTGGCAGGCACCTCACGACTGATTGATTGAATTGGGAGCGAGGGGGAGGGGGAGGGGAAACTGACAGGGTTGAGCAGGAAGGAAGGCTTCGAGGGGTGCAAAGTGCAAACGACAAGGTGGGGGAGGGGAAAATTTTGTTAACTTTTTTTCCCTTCCAAAACTCTCTCAGTAGCAGCGGATTCCATCAAATTGTGGCCGCTGAGTCGGGTCCAGGTCCAGGAACCCACTGGTGATCAATGCCCAGCAAGCCCCAGCAGTGCCTAACATGGAGGAGGTCCGGAGGTACTGTGGAGGTATCGAGACCCCTGCGTGTTTACTAATATCCGTATGTTGCTATCTGTGGAAGAATGGCAAGGTTTGTTGAGTGATGGATGGATATGATAATGGGTAAGCATCTCACCAAGCAACTACGAAAGAGACAAGCATTATCCGTACCAACGCGAGACTTGATGGGATATTGTTTGAGTTGCCTGCCATCAAAAAAGGGCGAGCTGGCGGTCAAGCAGATTGGAGCTTCAACAAGTGTCTAAGCTCCAAGTCAGGCAGGGTAATATCGACGATTCAAGGTGTTGTTAGTATACATGACTCAATGAGCACCAATCAGCCAACTCATGTGCTAAAAAAACAGCCACGTCCAGATACAGAAAGCAACTCACGGCAGGCAGTCTTGTTTCGTGAGAGACCCTTGGCCTGTATCACGGGTATCTTACCTTGGATATTGTTCTACACAGCATTGCGTGTTATGTGCGGAAATGCTCCTAGGTGGTTACGTGGTAGTTTGAGTATCCAGCCAGCTGCATCATGATGAAACACTCGTACGGCGACATGGCGGTAGTACAGTTGATAGCATGACAGTATTGGTATATCAAACACCTTTTCACACAAACAACAGTGCAGTTTCCGCAGTTTGCGCGCATTTTTGTTGTAACAAAGTGGTATTGATGCTGTATCAGTTGCTAATCATCAATTCCATTCCCTGTATGAATCTTCTCATTGGACACGCTCACTCTGTAGCTCTGAGTCAATTTACGAATCAGACTTCACGCGGTCTAACGAACACGAACCTGACGTGATAGAATTCACAAATTTATTCCCCATGCCTGTAACAACCTCGTTCTGGAGGACATGCGCCGTAACAAGCGGATAGGCACAGACAATAGTCCGATGTTGTTCGGTACACATCAAAGACGACAGCTCGTACCATTCAAGTACATTTTTAGATCGTGGAGAGGTACGGATACTTGGCCGCCACACAACGGGCCCTGTTGAACGATGATGATTGGTCTTTTTTATTCCTCCACCACTAACATTACATACCTAGGTATGTTAACAAGGCTCTCATCACTGTTTCGTTTTCTTGTGTAGACAACTTGAATACGTGTTAGCCTGAGGTGTATAGGTATGATCAATAGCATCAGTAATATACCAGGAATTCCATTAGATTCTACGGCTTATCAAAGCTCACTCCGTCCTTGTCTCGCTATGTATGTTCTCATCAATGCTTACCCCAGTATCGGGCCTGCTGTTAGTCGGGCATCCACTGCGCGGCACTAGAATTCTTCCCGCTCGAAATATTACCAGTACTAAAGATAAGTATCTTTAATGGGTGAGCGATGGCCTAATGCCAATCGCGTATCCCCGTATTTTGCTAGCATCCATTCAGCAGACAGTAGACACCCGGAGAGACACGGACCCAAGAACAATGTGAGCCTTGGGATGGAACAAAAACATCAACAGGCAGAAAGAAAGCCCAAAGTGTTTCATGGAATATGCAACATAAGTGGTACCGACTTGTTGTTTCGTAAGAGTAAACTGCACAGCGTAGCATCAAACAGGCATAATATGAGAAGCAGTTTCATGCCACATCTTGAAGTTTGCTTTCCAAATCTAGGCTGCAACGGGAGATGATCCTTGTCAGTCCAAATCTATCTCCACTTCACAGCTTGATATCGAAGAACAGAGGGAACCAGCGGTAACGTTGCCCCGATGTGTTCCTTTCCTTTCCTTTCCTTTTCGTTCACTTATCTCTATATCTGCGGTCTCTGTTCCTTCTTCATATAGGTGGTACACCGGTAGGTGAGAGGTAGACGCCTAGTAATCCTTTACAGGTACCTATGGCAAGCCTCTGTCCCAATCCTGCGGAGGTACCTCGTGTTTCCGCTGTGCTGCGAGCTTGGCTGGAAGCTGGAAGCATATGCATTGCTCCAATACCCATCTTGACTTACAGAGATAAACAACTCCTTCCCCATCATCCAATCCACTATACTGCCCAAAATACCTAGCTGCTGTGCTCGGCTCAAACTGCCTACTACTAATCCACCTGCCCCATTCAAGTGCCGCTGTTCCACTACCTACATCTATCTCCGTTGTCTAGGCCGGGACACGATAAAGCCATGCAAGCACACAGTCAGACAGCAAGTCCAGCCTAGCGATGGGCTGTCGTCCCAAATTGCACATACCAATACCCTTTGGGCGTTCACAATACTCTCCCCATGCTCCACGAATTGTCATATTTGTGTTGCAACTCTACGCCGCATGAAATACAAGTAAATACTGTTACTGTGACCAACACAAACTGCATTCCTTTTGAGTTAAATTCTTTTCCCAGGATATACGAATGCAGTGGGTGCGGGCTCGCAATCCACGCCTCTGTTCGAGTATGGCAAAGAGCTCATCTCGATGAATTCATTACAGCCAACCCAGATTGATAGCGAAGCCAGACCATGCTGAGGTCACTTCCATGTCAAGATAACACCACTGCGCGACCTATCACCACTTGAAACGTGCTAATTCAATCTTTTCATCAATATCTAATTTAGTTGCCTGGCTGTATCCTTAACTGATCAGTCACTACAGTACTCTAATGCTGAGCTTGATGCAACCCCATCAGGGCCTTGATAGCTGAGACCTTCTCTTTGTACGATATGGATCCTTACTGAAGAGGATGAGGCGCATAACAAAGTATCATTGAATTCACGCATAGTCTACCACAAGGCAGGCTTCTTTTTAGCCAGTTGTTCATCGACATAGTATCCAACAAACCCTTTCAGCGCCCTTGAGCAATATCTAGCACGGTTGAGAAACGACGCTCCAGCTTACTGCAAGCCACCATCATCTATCATGACTCTTGGCTTAATCAATGCCACACCAAAATAGACCACACCAGCCAGACAGCCGTAGCCAACACAAGTGCTACGATATCTTGGTTCAGCCCCGATCCCAGCCACCAGGTTCTTTTCCAGAACGCCATGCAGGAATTCTCTGCATCCAAGACTCCAGGTTGTCTCTGTATCTTCTATTCTAGCCACTCCCATCCCACCTCGTCCATCTGCATAGATGATAATGCTTTCTTATGTACATGCTGTGCCTGTTGTTTCCCCAGTTCTCCATTCAATGTCTTGCATATTCTCCCCCCCAGGAATCGTTGACCGGCTGTCTGTCCATCGCCGCGTCATCTCCTTCTCCTTCTGATGATTGACCGGCTGCTGATAACCATTGAACCGTTCACCGCCGTTTGCTGTACGTCCACTGGAAGAATATGTACTGGTCACTGCCCAGGTGGTCGGGGCTCGCACTAGCAGTTGCTGCGTGCTTGCCTGCTGGCCTCTTCGCGGGCCGCCCGAAGTGAAGATTCTACATAAGTGTCTCCATCTTTCTCGGTGGGCGATGTCGCCATGTTGAGAGGCACGGGTCTTGCCTTACCACAGTCTATACCAATCATCGATTTGAAAGGGGAGGGAGTCTTGATGATTGTCCCCAATGCGAGTCAGATCGATTGGGACTATGTGTTGAGTCAGTGCAGCTCTATCCATGCATGGTACTCATCTTATGCAAAGCAACACAGAAAAGGCGAGCATTGCATGGTGTTCAAAATGGGGTTCCAGAAAGGACCTAGAACAAGCAGCATTGGCCCAATCATGACACAGACGGACTTCTGCTGAATATGACACCATTGATCAAGCATACATAGTAGTCAAGGGTTGCAATCCTTGGAACCTATCTTCCAATCAGTGCCCGATTGCGAGTCTCAGAACACCACGCTTGGATAGACAAGTTGGTCAAACAACGTGGATAAATTATTATTCTGGTACACCTCAGAGCTCACAAGTCAAAGTCGCTACTACATCTATGGCCAATGTGGCGGCAAACATTACATGGTATCTAAGGCTAATGGAACTGAAAGTGAACTAAGAACTCTCTAGAAACGTTCTAACGGGTATCTATCTGCCTGCGTCGGAAACGCAGCCCCTGGTCTAAGACAAAGACAAACTATGCAGGCAGGCCATGTAACCAAATCGCTCTGCTCAAAACGAAAACAAAGACAATAACAGATAAATCAAGAGTAGTAAAAGAAAACCCTCCGTGTCGGTTTCTTGTATACTGTACTGTACGCAAGACGCGCCCATCTCCATAATCCAACACACACCTTTCAGCAACATTTCTCGGGCCGTCCCGACCCTCTCACTCGATGTTCGTGGGATCAATTGAGTAGGGCCCTGGTTGATCTCCCTTCACACCAAATCCCCAAGGTCGATCTTTCTCCACTCACTGAAACTGTAATCGAATGATGGAAAAGAGCATGTTCTGCAACACGTGCAACATGACTGCTGCGCTCGTTGGCATCAACTCCGGCCATACAGCCAAGTCCAGCTTTCCCTCCAAACCAACGTCGATTTGAAAACACAGTCGGATGAGGCCCCGTACGGCAACACTTGCCACCAATTCGCATGCCCACGTAACAGACGAGGCATAAAAGGTGAGACCAAAGTTGTATCCCTCGTCATCTTCTGTGTCAAAGGCAAAGTATGGATAAACATCTTTGTTGGCGCCAAAGTGCAGCACCAGAATACTTCCGAGGAATGCGACCATGGAGACGTTCTCAGCAAGGAAACGAATGAAGACGTTGCGGACCTGAAGCTTCTGGTATGATCCGAAACTCTGGTTGTTCAGGCCCAAGATCGTGAGGGCCCTGTGCACGAAAGAGGTCATCATTATAGGCGTGATGACCACCAGTCCTGTTGATGACATGATCTGGAGGGTGATGAACTGTTTCGGTGAACGCAGTCGGGCATATAGCGCGCGGACGTACATCTGGTAGGTCAACATGAAGTACCTTGGTCAAGGTGTCAGCAGTGCAGACATGGCAGGTGCAACAATACCAAAACTTACAACTTGAAGATCCAGCTCAAAGGGTAACTTCCCACACGCTCACCCTCTCGAATACCCAACACCCAACCGCTCAAAGCATCCAGCAGATGCACTGTCGCAACCCATCCATAGACGTATACCACTGTTTCCAAATTGTTATGGGGCAGGGTTCGAAGATAGATCTCAGCGTATGCCTCTCCAATTACATACGCCATGAGGCCAATAAACAAGGCAACGCAAAACCACAAGAAGCGCACAAAGCTAGCCGGTAGCCAGAGTCGGCGCATCTTAACGCCCTGTGGGCGCAACTCAGGTTCGACTTGGATTACATCTGTATCAAACAAGTCTGCAGCAACGTTGCGACGTCGACGATCCCTACCATCAAACGTGTCTGGCTCCCCGGTCCACCATGATGTAGTAAAAATGCGCTGAGTATCTGATAACGAGTGACGGAGCCCGATATGTCGTTCGTTAGTCGTAAGAATGATAAAGGCTATTGTGACAGGCAGAGCCATGATCACAAAGGTCCAGGAGATCCAAGACGTGTTGTGAACAAGGAGCTCACATGCTTTATCGATATAGTAGATCGGTATTGGGGCGGCGATGGATAAGATTGCGATGAGTGAGACTGTCAGTGGAAAGCCCAGCGACTTAGGCCACCAGTTGAGGCTGTAAAGGTTGAACACCTTTGTGATCCAGATGAGGGCTGTAATGTTGTAGAAACCATAGTAGACGAAGAGAAAGAACCAAAAGTTGACCTTGACTCGCGCAGCTCCGTGACCAGGCACCTTACGGCCGTCAGGGAGACTATCCTCGTCTCCGTCGCCATCTTCAGATATCTCGTACTGAGGAAAGGGTATAGCACACCACGCCACAGCCTACAAACAGGTCAGTAAAGTTCTTTCTTCTCAACTCAACTCAACCACATACCAACAAGGCGGGCATCAACACCAAGAATGCATACCGGCTCCACCACTTATCAACAACCCTCCTCACCGCCGACTGTCTCGGATTGACCCAGATATCCAACACCCACCGTTGCCAAAGGCGCTGCCACAAGCTCCTATCGTCCTCGAGGTCATAATCGCTATCCGTATCATCATCGCCTTCGGCAGAAAAGGCACCGTATCCAAGAATATGCACGCTGCCGCGGTTGTCAGACGTATTTGAGAAAAGGCCGAGCTGACTGCGCCGTCGCCCTATAGCACCTGGACGTGGAGGAACGGCGCGGAAGCGACCCAGTAGAGGGGCCGAGTCGTTGGGACGAGCATGCGACTCGGTGCCCTGCGTGAACTGGAAAAAGCTGGGCATGGAATGGAGGGGGTCGGTGTAATCGAGTTGTGATATCGGGCTACATTGAAGGCTTTCGAAGTTATATGTTATCGCGTGTTCATTACTGGCATTCGATAGCGTTTGTATCAGGCACTGTAAGCTCAGGAAACCGACGTGTTAAGGACAAGAAGAAAGTTTATTCTGAAAAGTCGGTATCGTGAATCTGGAAACTGGTGTTGTTTTGTCTAAGCGTTGGGCCACTCCGTATCTCGGCAGGTAATAAAGCAGGGGTCCGATTTCCCTATTTCCTGGCATGACGCGCGCTATCCATGTTTAGCGGGCTTCAGTGGATACGTTCTGACAACTGCAGGGTCCCTCTTTGCAGCTCGATATGGAACTAAGCTGACCTTACCATCTTATCAGATGCTCTTTGATCAAGCGTGCTTACAACCGAGTCGCATCATTTGTGGTAATTTGCGGAGTTACAGAGTTACTATTACGAAAGACTTTGTTTCAAGCTTAACAAAATATTCAGCTTTGTCATCGTCTAAAGCCATGAGCATCAACCGCATTGCGTTCATGAGGGTAAAGAATCTAAATATGCTGACTAGAATAGCAATTACATATTGCGTAATATTACAAGCGTATAACTGCCCATGCGCGTATATACATATCGACGCCGCACAGGTCAACATCTTCTCTTAAGCTTGCTCTGAAGCTGTACTCATACTTTCCACTAATGATCCATCGTCCTCCTCACCCACAAGCACACCCCCCGTTATATCATCTGAAAAGGCCACCGTCTTTGCTGAGGCATGCTTTGCAGACGGCTCTAACAAGCCACCACTCCAGGGCTTGCATTCTTTGACATGTTCACCGCATCGCAAACAGGTCCATCCTTCACCTTCCTCCCTCTCCAAGCGGGTTGCAAGGCAAACAAAACAGTATACGCACCCACACGAGATTGTCTCATATGGGTTGGTTATGTCAGTCTGCGCTGAACCAACAACACCACTCGATGCTGCTGCTGCCATAACCTCGTTCTCCGAGGTTGCGTTGTTCTGGTCCTGGTAGCAAATTGCGCATGTTCTCTCAGGGAGAAATGCGTATTCGCCGTTCGCCTTGCCCTCTTCTTGAGGCCCTGTCCTGATAATGTCTTTGGTTTTCCGCCATGTCCTGGTCAGCCAGCGTCGCCATCGCTGGATTCCGATCAGGGGTAGTACAAAAAGCAAAAACTCGGTGAACGCATGCCAGACAAGCTGACGATTGAGATACTCAAATGAGACCTCTCTGCTTACTTGGCTTGTGGGTGGTGCCAATCTCATCCTGAGGATCCTGTCGAGGAGTGTTCGGTATCGTCCATGCAATAGGAATACAAGAAATGAGACACATGCCGCTGCCGAGTGCACAGTTGATAAGGCGGATGTCAGCTTCGAAAGTCGCTTTAGTCGGGGGCTTTGCTCATCATAGCCATCATCGTGTTCCAAGAGCCAATTCTCCCACCTCGTCCAACCATAGCTGCCAAACACTGTTACCAGTCCATAGAGTGATTTCTGCCATTTGGAAGGTGCTTTGAGGATAAGCGCGTCGTTTCGGGCGTCGGTATATTTGAGGTTCTGAAGAGCCGCACCGTATGTGGCATCGTGATCCCAGACAGTGAGCTTGAATAGCACCGCCCTCAGAGCGAGCATTATTTCGGCGGACCAGTCATCGTGAAGGTGCCCTCCGCCAAAGTACTTGAGGCCTTCGCAAACTTGATCCTTAAGGATATCCAGCAGCTCCACATCAAGCAATTCGGCATCGACTTGTCCTACTCGAAATGCAGGGCGCGTGCCCTCCCTTGTCGATACTGCATCCCAAGCGGATCCTATACGATTTAGAGGATAAGGTAGGCGCTCGAGGTTGGCTCTGGGTCGAGAAGATTGCCGCTGTGCAGCAATGCGGGCAGCGGCTTCAGCCTCACGTGTCTGACGGCGCGCAGCAACGCGGCGCTGGGCTTGGACGAAGCTCGAATCGGTCATTTGACTTTGTGCATGGAGGCGGTCGATTAAGATTTGGGTATTGTTTCGGAGTGTATCGGTTGGTGGCTGGCAGTTGGTGAATGGTTGTTTGAGGTGAGGGTTGAGGGTTTGTTGTAAGGGAAGGGTAAAGAGGAATTAAGGAAACGCGCACCTCGGGAAGTCAGCCTGTGCATCGCATGGATCGCATCGCATTGCATCTGGGGGTGGGACTACGGGTAAGCTAGCCCATGACGACAGGGTCTGAGCCGGGGTTGTCCAACAGAAGCCGAGGTTTCACAGTGTCTTATCGGCAGCTTTGCCGTATTATGTCCACAATCTCCTCATTGCCTAGGTTCTTTCCCTAGCGATCAAATACAATATGATGATAGAGATGCGTGAAAAGATTGCTTGTAGATAATTACTAATATAACCATTCGTTAATCAAATTCACATATGAATTATCTTCGTGTGTCTGATGCATGAACCTCTATTCGGAAGATCTGACCCAAGTGCCGCCTTGTCTTGTCTTAGAAGTTGATCCTAGGTACCCAAGTACTGGTTGGTTGTTGCTTCAATGGAATCTTTGACAATGGCAGTCCAAGTCATATTTTTTGTCTCTAGATGGTTACACCACTTGCTAAAGTCTACTATGTGGGAGTAACCACCTTGATGCCGCCCCTACCTATACTCGACGTGTGTCTTGCTCCATTAAGAACATCTCAGTCTGTTCCCATAGGTAGCGTTCCTGCCCAAAGTGGCCCCCACTGTCAGCAGCTGCCCGTTTGGTGCCTGGGCACGCTTGCCCCAATGCATTATACAGCCGCAGGTGGCAGACCTACTACTGGCAGCCAGTTGCACAAGACAACCTCAAGGCAAGCACGACAGTTGAGGCTCAACTGCTCCTTAGGTAACCTAAACGCCTCTGAAAACTTCCATTGTTTCTGGAACTCTGGTTATGCAATATCAACGTAACCTCATCCGACATCCTTCGGCCTAACAGCAAAAGCAGCACCCTGTTGAAAGCGTCGCGAATCGTCAGCGAACCAACAACCAGGCTCTGGGGAGACTGAGCCGCCCTCGGCTAGCACCAACAACTCGACTGTGTCTTTAACCCAGCAATCAAAGAGCGGTACGATACTTATCTCCGAAGGCTTGCATATAGCCAGGCGCCTGGGCGCTGGGACAAGACGACTAACCGCATGGATCCTGTCAGTGTTACACAGGGAACTCCCCAGGCTTGCCAGCCTCCCCTCCAAATTCAAGAAGAAAAAGCAAGTAAGGAGCAGTCGAATGCGTTGTGCTTACCACGTTCAATCTCCCTGATGACTCCTGGCATTTGGTTGTCAAAATCATTCGTTCCTCCAACCGGCGACCAAGCACATCCTCCCCTGTGGATACCAGTCCAAGCAACCAAACCTCCAGCTGTCCAGGAACTTGAGACAGGACGTCCGCTTTGGTAACCTCATTGCCTGTTGTCTTAAAGTTGACGGGAGCTTTGCAAGGCCCGCTCCGAGGGACTACTCCGATGTGTGTCTAACAGGCTAGCCAGTTGGACTGGGCTGGGCTGGGCTTGGCTGGTCTGAGTTGCTGAGACTTAACTCTGGCAACAAACACCAAGCACTGAATCGCAAACGGCACACACCCTATATCAAAACATGTCTCAAGAATCTCCCGGTGCCAGATACACCACCAGCCCGGTTTTCATGTCAGAAGCGGTACCGTTGATCTAGTGGTGTTCCATTTACATTAGTCCTTAACTCTCGTAATCCACAACAAGATACGAGACTAACAGTTTGGCCAGCACTCCTGTGTCTGGGATCCCATCATGGCCAGCCAACATTAAGCTGCAGCTGGCCGTTTTTGATAGATCTTCCCCCTTAGCTGGACGTCGACTGGGAAGTCAGATCCAGCCACATACCTTCCAGCCAACAGAACTGGAAGGTTCAGTACTGAACACTATTTTGACGTTAGAATCCAACTCAGCTATATCTACTTCCAATCGAGATGTGATGGGTCATTTGCTTTTGTCTGATCCTGACGATTATCTTCTGTGTATGTTTCCATGTCGTTGGCTGCCACCATTTATACATCTCGGATCCGTACCGACACCCGTCTCCTTAGATCTTCTTTCTTCTCGTATACATCTGTCTCTTCTATGGTGCTCGCACTCGAAACAAGCTTACTCCTTTTGTTGGCTCTTAGCAAACAGTCCCGATACGGTGCCACGCGACACCCTCTATCGAATCTGACCCGCACGTTGGGCTCTGCCATAGGCAATTACCAACAAAGCAAGAGCTTTAAGGATAACAGAGTTCTTCCTTCCCATTCATTTCAGACACTCACAGTCTATCTTTCAGACCATGGCAGACTCATCACCCGACGACCTTTCGGCCCAGGCTGAATTCAAGGCAGGTCAGAAGCGAGCTGGCGCGGAGCGTTCAAATGCCAAACAGCGTGCCTCTTTGGCATGTGTTCCTTGCCGCAGTAAGCACGTCAAGTGTGACGGACTTCTACCGCAATGCACTCGATGTAAAGAGGAGGGGAAAACGTGTCGCTATGTCAATTCACGTCGAGGAATCCGAGATACAAAGAAGCGAAGCATGATGAATGATGGGACCATGACAGACCAAGATGACATGACAGAGAGCACACCCTCGCCCAGCCTTGCAGGATCCGACATATCGGTTCCCCAACCCAGAGCGCACACTGCTCCCGGTCCTAAGCAACACATCGACCTCTACTATGACCACTTCCATGTTGCCCACCCCTGGCTCCCTCCTAGAGAAGCACTGGATCATTACTGGAATACGGACCAGGATGGCTTGCAGTTTCTCATGGTAACAGTTCATTATATTGGTTCTCTCTATTCAGAGCCTCGGGGTAATGCGGACCTACAGCGGCGAGCCGACCATATGTCGCGCCAGTCGCTTCCCCTGACAGTCTGGTCTGTTCAAGCGCTACTGTCTCTATCCATAGCTGCATTTGGGGGACATGGCGATTACGCCTCCTTGTTTAGCAAAGCCCTCCAGCTCGCTCTTCATCTAGGACTCCAGCACAAGGGGGCTGCCGATAGATACACGGACCCTGTTCTAGGCGAGTCATGCCGACGAACGTATTGGGGACTATACGTATACGAATCGTTACTAAACACACCATCAAGCTCATTTCATTCATTAGTCTGCCCATTGGACACAATTTCAGGCACGGAACTTCCATGTGAAGAATGGGAATATCAAGCCCGTGTAAGTAAAATGGCTGTTATGTATTCTCATGCTAACCTTTCAACAGAAAATCCCAGCCCCAGTGTCTCTACATCAGTACGACCGATCAGACACCCATCAGGTGTATTCATCTTGGGCTTACTTCATCGACATTATACGCATACGTGACCGCTACATGATCCCCCTCCTTCACGGATGTGGCAAAGTAGACCCCAATCTTCTTGTGAATGCGAACCAGGATATCAATGCATGGCGGTTCAGCATAAGGGATTGGAAACTGCAGCGTGTCGACGAGGATGGCATGCTTGATACAATATTATATCATGCGGTAAGCTCATAAATCGCTAAATTTTCAGCTCGGCTACTTACATGGTGACTTACAGTTGGTAGTTTCCCACGGGTGAGTCGATTTATAACATTATCATGCCTGTGCCTGTTTCTAACCCGTCCCAAAGTCTCTGGATTCAAATACAGCTTCACCTTCACCGTGCACCGCCGCAGGGGGGATATCAAGAGTCCGGATGCAGTGGACAGTCCAGTATTTATATTCCAGCTTCACTGGCTCAATCATCTTATAACGTGGCTGACGAAACTGATACTTCGCTACCGCCAACTATCCAAGCACCACTACGTCTTGTGTCCCTTTTTAACCCTCGTCTTGAACCGGGGAGGCTCTCTCCGGCATGCGTTCCATTATTAGAGGCGGCAGTTATATCCCTTATCGACAGCTCATGTCCTCGTAATGGAGGGTATCAGGACTACACGGCCAAAGCCTACTTTTTAGTAGGTGTCCTGAGAAAATCCGGCGAGTTTTGGTCACGATCGAAAGAGACCTCAGAAAGGATGCACCAGAGGGTAGAAGTGACACAAGCAAGGATTACCCGGCCTGTAATGACAGATATTGAGGCAATTGCCTCTACATCATCTTATGAGGACGAATACCTCGGGATCCTGTCGTCTATGATGGGGCCAATTGGAGGCTGGTCGGATCATACTTTTCAGTCGATAAGAGACACGCCAACAACAGTGGGATTCCCTTCTTGTCCGGGAATGCTGTCTCAATCTTTCGGTGTTGATGCGATGGGGGCGGGTGCAGTGGCCGGGACCAGACGTTCATATTCACATCTTAGGTCCAGAGCAGATGGTACAGATGATGGATCAAGGACATCCTCTCCACAGATCAAGGTAGAGAGGCAATGGTTATAGATGCTTGTCATGTTTTTTAGTGGTGATCTTTGGAGGGTATTGATGTGTTGTGGTGATGGAAGAGACCATAGCTGGCAAGTTCATGACGTTAATAGATGTCTAACTTTTTGGCGCAGAGTTGTGACCCAAGTATTGTAGTCCTTCAATTATATCAGTATTCATGTTATTATTAGTGAATTTTAGGACTTTCATTGGTGTTTTGCCCTCGTCTGGTGCGTGTTGGAATTCCTATTTGTAGTGTGAATGAAGTGTCTCATTGAAGGTGAATTCGTGCGGATCTACGTGCATTCCCAAACTAACAATTGGACTTGCGGTGAGAGATTTACTCGACTCAAAGAAGCTCTTATCAGTAAAGTGTAATATACCACTACCTGATGGAATAAGTTGATACTCAACATCTGTCCTTTGACTCGATCAATTGGCGTTGACGTCTAATTAAGATGGTGGCTGTTGATAAGTACCCTAGACTAGGTACTAAAGATTGACCACGAGGTCTTGATCAGCCTCTAAATGTACCCCCGCGATTGGGGCGACAAGGCGCTAGTGGAGGCAGCTCCAGCACGAACAAGGGTTCCATAGATAAGCCAGGGTCTTTGTCCTTTCCCCACTATGAACCACGATAGATCCAATAAGACTCGGTTTGGGTCACTTCGGTAGTGACCTCACTCACCTTCACCCACGCCTCTTCATTTGACGCCTACCTCGCTCTTACATCATGCAGCAACAATAAACAATATTGTCCTTATTTTCAACTCCCATTCACGCACCCTCATCGATATTTCTTGTGAAGAATAGCACTCAGCTGCACATGACTCATCACCTCTAAATCCCTGCATCTCTCTACACTAACAACGATTCACGATCGAGACTGGCGCATATTGTTACCTGATATTCCTAAACTATAAACACGACATTTTCGCAGTACCTTTCCGCCTATCTGATGCAACCAGGTATCGCAACTATATATTTCTTGGCCTGAGGCGACGCTACCGTGACGTCTACTCGTGTGCGACCCTGCCGTGCTCGAGTATTGACGGCGAACAACAATGGGATCTTCGCGACGACGTGAGCTTCGACCAGAAGACTCGTGGCGCTTTGTTGAAGGCGAGAACGACAGTTTTGACACAAGTATCCTGCCATCGCTTGGAGAATCATCGCCACCTACTTCCTCGGGCAACATTCCCTCGCAACCCTTCTCTCAAGGCAACATCAGCTTTGGTTCGCAGGACAGTATCCGCGATTTTGGCGCCGATCCAGACGACGAACAAGTTATCCTCCGAGAACCTTTCCGACCGAGTCTCTCTCGCGCCAGCGTAAGCGCAAACGGAGAGCCTGTCTTCAGATCACCCGATCCCGAGTTCCACATGCCGCGCATAGACGCCATGAGTGAAAGCAGTGGCAGAAGTGAGCGCACGATAAGGGGCCTAGGAATAGGATATGGTGGCGACGATGGTATGAGACGAAGGGGAAATCTGCCAATAACAAGTCCCGGACAACAGAGAAATGCGCGGGCGAGATACGATGCTGAAGATGAACACTACCGCCGCCAATATCGCAACCAAGCGCCGCCGACAGTCCGCAACCAACTCGCCCAGAGTATTCCCGCAGGCATATACAACACTCTCGGCTGGTTCCTTAATGTGATCGGGCTTGCTTTTCGCTATGCACAGAAACCCTTTGCGATTCTCTTGGCCATCTATCTTTGCTTCGGTGGACTTATTATCGCCCAAAATATGGCAACTCGCTCCATCGCCGCATCACTTTCACCGCTTTGCCGTATTCCAGGCGCATCATTACTCAACCTCCCATTCTGTCCCTCCATGGACGCTATAGTGCCACCAGGAAGTGATGGTTCGCCTGTTGAGTTTGACGATCTTATGAACGTCCAATCCAAGTTCGAGCAAGTTCTTGAGAAGAGTTCTGATGGAGTGTCACTCCCCTTTGAGATGAAGCGTTCCGAAACAGCCATCAGAGACCTACGCAGCCTTGTACGACATAGCGAGTTGGCGGCTCGTGACGAACTTCTCTTTGAGTTTGATGGCTATGTCGACACAGCGCGACAGACAGCTGCGGACTTGCAAAGGTTCAATACACATGTTGGCTCCGCCGTTGATGCCGTCATAAGCATCAACCGTTGGACCTCTCGCTATCTCGATACTCTGTCCCCTGAAGCAGAAGAAGTGAACTCGATTTCTTCACCTTCTCCAGTTTTTGGTTTGGCGTCGTGGCTTTTCCGTCCTTTCCAACCGACTACTCAGCACATCTTCAACGAGCGAGTCCTCCTTGACAAGTACATCGAACACACAGCTCTAGTGTCAGATCGCATTTCGACTCTAATCCTTGAAGCGCAGTCTGTTCTGCGACTTCTTACAAAAGCAGAGGATCACCTCATGCTCATCTACGACATCAGCTCGCGCTCATCCGCCGACACCGCATCTCGCCGCGAAAACGTATTCTGGAACATCTGGACTATTGTCGGTGCAAACTCCAATCAACTCAATAGCCTCACTCGCCAACTCGCTCTGCTACGCCAGGTCGATGCTCAGCGTACTTCGGCAGTGGCGCAAATCAACGCGCTGATCCTCGAACTCGAGGGCATCCAAGCTGGCCTCGGCGACCTACGCGACCGTGTTGCCGAGCCAGAAGTGCTACGCAGCGGCGGTCTCCCGATTCCTCTTAGCGTTCACATTGAAACCATCGATCGTGGAGTTGAGCGTCTTGAGGATGCGAGAAGCAGGATCCGCGCTGCCGAAAATGATCGTGTTCGCGATGCATTGGCGAGAGGAGGAGTACGTACCGAGCCGTTGATCGAGGGGCAAGGAAAGCGAGGGGATGCAAATTGAGCAGTACATGGACGATACACAATACCTATAAGAGACAGTAAAGCTCGGGTCGTCGTGACCTTGGGTCATGCTAGGCGTTTTGGGCGTACTAAAGAGTGGTGGATAACAGAGCACTTCGCCTGATTAACAAAGAGATGGGTATATATGGCATGCTAGTTTTTAAACCACGATTTGCTTTATAAAAGACTTGGAATGCGGTATCACTTTTGTCATTCAGCTCACTCAAGATATTCATTAGTTATCATAGTTGTGTTAAGCAATTCAGGTTTATGCTCGTTCCAAACAGTCCTTTTGGTATCAAGTGGAATTCACTCAACCATCGTTTAACCATGTAACCGGTCCAGAATCTTCATGATAACTGGCCAATGACATAGATGGAGTACTATTGTTAGCCCACCGCTTTGCAGTGAGCTATGAAATATCGTACATGTTTCTTTTGACCCTTGTTGCATATACAATTCTCACAAATCCACCAACGCCTCATTAAATGCCTACCCAATGCACCTATGAACCCAGTAAAAAGTTGTAAAATCAGTTGCCTTTCCATGGTATCGGTCCAGATCCCGAAACCTTGCCCAAGGCATAAAACGCCAAAGCCATGCTTCCTTAGTAAATGCAAGACAAGATGCCATCTGAGCTCAAGTACTGTCCAAGAGCAATATTAGAAATAGCCTGGGAAAACCTTCGAAAGTGCCTTTAGCCCTAAATAGCATGTCAGTTCCGAAGTATGCAATGATTCAAGATATAACTTACATATAGCCCTTTGGGAATCGGGATCGTCGAAGGGCGCATTCTTGGCTGCTATTTCTCGCATGCGCTGTCGAGCAAAAGAAGAAGGGCTTCCACGTCTTGGTGTTGGTTCTGTACTCAATTCTGAATCCTCCGGCTGTGTCGGGAGCATATTCAAGAGACGAGGTCTGGGTTTTCTTGGCTTCGGAATCCTGGCTGGAGCAGGTGGGCGTGTGCTTGATTCTGGGCCCTCGGAATGTGCGGCGGCAGACGAGGGTGCCGACGGTGAATCAACTTCTTGATTTTGCGTTGTAGGTACTTCAGCAGGCCGTCGCCTAAACCTTGGTAGTTTTAGGGCTACTAAAGGCGCAGAGGAAGGTCGGGAGGGTGAAGTTGAGGTCCGGAAGAGCCGTTTGCTCCAGTCCTTCACTTTCGTGCTATCATGTTCCTCCGATAGATCCTCGAGATCTACCCTGTGGCGCAGTTTTCTTAAAGCTCGTTCTCGACGGACCATACCATTGGTGATTCGAGGACTATAGCCTCTGGGCAGCATAGAATGTTTGCACATAGGACATAGGGAACTGTTCTTGGACAGAAACTCATCTATGCATTCCGGATGGAATATGTGCCCGCAGGAGAGCTCTCGGATGATGGTTACGCGGTGTTCGTAATTGGTGAGGCAGATATGACAACTTGGCTGAAAGTTGGTAGCAGCGCTGTCACCTGAGGCTCCAATGCTAGATCGCTTGCTTCGAACACTAACGCCTGACCTGACACTGTGTTGATCGAATCCTCGGCTACTTCGGAGGCGACGCCCTGACGAGGGCGTCGGAGGGGGCGCTGTCGATTCGGGATCCGCGTTGTAAGTAAATAGGGGGAAACCATTAATGTGAGTAGTTGGTACCGTCATGCGCTTGATACCCATGGCTTCAAGATCAACCTCGCCAGTTTCGACTCGTTTCCGTAGTGTTATTCGTCGTCGTCGCTGAACAAGGTGCATGGTTATCGAAACGAAAGCGAATATTGCTAGAAGAGCACCGATGACGATAAGAAAAAAGGCCCATAGCGGAGGGATATTGGATTCATCCTCCACAGAGAGTTCAGTCCAGATACGAACATAATCCTTCGGATTTGGACCATAAAGTGTACTGATGTTTTCGCCATAGGGAATGTTGTCCACATTGCCTGAATAGTAACTTAACTGTTGCATCATGTTCTGGCCTTCTTGGCCAGAAATGGCATATATTGGATACTTGTTAGCAGTCGTCCAGGCCCCACCATCTTCAAGATTCCAGACAGGCGAGTCCGCATCTTGGGGTTGATTTGATGAGTTATTTGGTTTGTAGAAAATGAAGGCGCGAATGGGGTCGAGACGCGCAGAAGCGAGGTAGGCTAGGGTACAGTCGATACTGAACCAAGGAGCGAGAGCGATGAGGTTGTAGTTCGTAGGAGGGAGATTGCTTCGTCGGGTGACATTTCGAGGAATGAATTGGTACTGCTGCTGGTCGCACTCACGATCATTGTCAAGATCGGGAACATACAGGAGACCAGTGATGACGCCATTAGTCGCGTCGGCATTCGTTGATGTTAATGTGGTGATGTTCGTTGAAATGCGCTCCTTGTATGCTATGTCGGACTGCTCACATTGTCAGTCAAGGCCAGATGAGTCTTGGAGTTTATCGACGCCATCGGAACTGGAGGAGAGCGAACGAACCGAGAGAGCCGTGAGGTTTCGAATGATTGTTGACGGGACCGTACTGGCGCCGCTCCATACTGGGTTACTAAAGAGGAGGCTGGCGATTCTGGTCAGCAATGTGCAAAGCTTCAAGCAAACATACTTCAAATAGTGTCGCCTGATCGCAAGGTCGTGCCTGTTCGATGTCGTGTGGTGTGTTGAATTGGCGCGAGCGGGGAGTCGAAAGCAGCGCAGTCGTTATAATCACGCCAGTAACGGTGACGACCATGTTGACCACGAGTAGAACAGCAACGTTGTAAATAGAGAATTGGTAACAATAGTAAATGACATACACGACATTTCGTATCTCGGTGAGCGCTGAAAGATTTATGTCAGTTCGTGGGACGCCAAGACTGGGGTATGATGCGAGGCTCTTGGCCTGGAACCCGTGGGAGCGGATGAGAAGCAGGACCTGTAAGAAACAAATGCCCATGGGCAATGCCGAGCGAGAGGATATGTAGTCACGATGCACAATGAGATGATAGAAACCGGCACGAAAGAAGCTGGGTACAATAGGGAAAGAAAGGACTTACACATGCTTCTAAAACATATTCAATCATGGAATCGTAGGCATGATATGGCGTGCACTGAAGGCACAGAAAGGTAGGTAATGGCTAGGGTCAATGAGAATTAAACAACGAATAATCTGGAAGAGACGAGTTTGCCAGGATGACGTTGCGAGGACCAAGTGGAAAATGGTTATTTGAACGCGAAATGGGAAACAAGTTTGAGAATAGGTAGGCAATTGAGAACAAGTGAAAAGCAGGAGCTGGAGGAAAGAGAATCAATCAAGCGAGAGAGAAGGAGAGAGTAGGTGGACTTTGGGAAACAGGTGGAAATGGCCTGGAACGCTGATTGTGGCTGTCACTGGAGGAGAAGGGACAGGCAAGAAGTGCAGGAGCAGGAGCAGGAAGTTTAGCAAGCAAGACAGTCCGGGAGGGAGCGGGTGTGGATGGAAGGGAAGTCCGGGCTGGTGGAGAAGGGGCAGGATCGGATTACAAAAGGGAGAAAGCGCGAAGTGATTGAGCCTTTTTGGGAGGTGACGACCTGGACCTGAGCCTGCCTGAGCCTGCCCGAGCTGCGAAAAGAGAGGGGGATCCAACTAGGACTGGGAAACTGGCTTCGAGGTGCTAGGGTTGGGGGTGGAGTGAGCAAATGGGGAGTTTTGTTGGTGGCGCGTTTCGGTTTTTTCGGGGCCTGACCTGGTGTGAGTGTGAGTGTGACTATGAAGAGAAGGTAAGGTAAGGAAGGATAAAGGATGAGGGCGTGAGGATAATAAGAGTGATTTAATTTCATGCAGGGACTGACTGACTGTCTTGTCTAGGTATTGACGAAATGTGATGATATCCTCACGTTCAATCAACAATATAACAAATGATGGAAAATTGGTAAAGGAAACCTTCTCATAGTGAAGCGCGGCACGATGGAGCAGTCCAGGCACGCAATAGCCCGATTCGAGACCAAACTCCAAACTCCAAAGGCGCAAATCGTCCGGTCCACGATGAAAATCGACCATCGAGCAAATCACACGAGGTCTGCACTGAGCTAGCTTCTCTTTTTAGCGGCAGGAACAACAAGATGAAGCCGATGGATAACTAATAAGCAAAACCATGGCGGCAGTAGCTTTGATGCCAAGCCGGCTATCTCGTGGACGAACCGAGTATTTGGTAAACATCAAAGATCTAGGTGCAGTGTAGTTAGAATGCAGGTGGATTGGGCTTCAGCCTGGTATGTATCCGTACCGGTCTCTAGGTGATAAACTCATCGACTTTTGACGTTGGGCCAATTGTCAATCAGTAACCGTTCGTTCCCCTTGCGATTTGTCACTGGTTCGAAGCAGCACAGCACGGAGGCGTTTAATCAAAGCTCGGGTCGGATATAGCAATGGAATTGAATGGAATTGGCTAAATCTAGGTCGCTCCGAGCAATGCTGCTGTTTGCTTCTTCCGCATACCTTCAAGACAAGGAGAAACCGACGAGAATGCTTCACATCAATACCAACGTGGAAGATAACCATCACTATTACTTAATAGAGCAGTCTGCATTAGTGGTGCAACAAGCTCTCACCAGGCAGTCAAGAATCAAGATTGGCCCGTCCACTTCCCCACAAACCAAAAGCTTGTTGGTCAAGACTTGAACATATTGGGAATAATGACCCGCAGAGGGTAACCCCTTGTGAATGTCCTTTTTTATCTCTCATGGTTCACTTTTTGGCGGGACATGGATGATTGATTTCTTTATCCTGCCGAGTACGGATATGCAGGTCGAAAAAGAGGTTCTCACCGTTGCATTCGAACTTTGAAAAGGACAAGGGAGCTGGAAAACATATCCATAGTTATTTATTAAGTTTAAGAATACGCTGTGATGCTGGTTAGTCACACAATTGTTTTCAGTATGCAGCTCGTCATGACCTTCAGTACTCTCAACTTGCTCAAGCTCTTCTAGAGCATTGAAAGAAGAAAAGCCAAAACCGAGCCTGTTCTTGTTTGCTGGCAAGAGGTTAATCACCACAATTTCTGGCGCAACATAAGTTTCTGCGACCAAAAGCTTGTCTTGGACAGGCGTCATGGCGGGAAACTCTCTGGAAATAACCCTAATAACTCAATGATCAACGGTCATACGTGTTGCTGATGCAGATCCGTCGATGACAATGTCCGCCAAAAGGTCCAAAACGCACCAATGCAACAGAATGCCGTGGATAATGCGGGTATCGGACCCTTGATTTGTTTTTGCAACTTCAGCTGACTCGTCTCTTCTCTTCCCTCCACTCCCATGTGCGTGTTTCTCCGTCATACAGTACCCAGAGAGGGGCACGGATACAGAGTAATACCTAATAAAGCACTCAAAATCCTTACCCGTCAAAACGTTCAAGGGAGGCATGTCTCTGAGCTCCAACGACTGGTCGGATCCAATGCGAACCGAACCTGGAAAGGCTCACATCACCCGTCAAACCGTCCCGTCACCGTCTGGAAACCATTTTGGCGCAAGCGGATAGGGCAAGCGCTGTAACTGTAACCCACTGCAAGAGAACCCCGGACCAGCAGCCCAGGGTTACATGAAATACAACACGTTCAGGGTGCACGACTCGCTCTAGGTATTCCACAGAGTACCTACTACCTTAGCTACTGCACTGAACTGCATGATGCTCATACTGACCCGAGATGCCAGGGACCTTTGGCTGGAGTTATCTCGGTAAGGCGGCATGTGAGCCTTGCTGTCTTTTCTTAGAGTTCACTTGTTCCTTTGTCTCTGTCTAGTATGGAGTACCATTTGCCATCCAATGGCATAAACATAAGATTCTTTCCCCTGCACCCCCTTGGACTTTCAAGGTTAGAGAATCCCTGTCTTCTCCCATGTGCTACGCCACTTGACGTAATCAAAAGTGGGTAGATCTGCAGCACGATTACAGCCTGAGGCATGATTCCCAGTGACCTGCTGTCGCAGTGTGAAGCGTCAGCTCACTCAGACCTAAAGTTGGGATCTGATTTGTGAGTGTGAGAATGGGCATATCGAAACGAAGAATGGACGAACCAAGTCTGTGCCTTAATCGCACGTGCTGCACCATGACTCGTGCTGAGGGTACAGTGGGTAGTAGGTATGCAAAAGTTCTACCAACTTCCTCTTTTCTAAAGTTTATATAAAATGATATAGATCATAAAAAACACTTCTATTGTTTATAATCTTAGATAGTTGTAGGATAGTATTATATATAGTAGTCTAATCTTTATGTATTTTAACTATCTTCATTATTTTATGTATGTTCCTAGTTAGCTCGTTGTCGGAACTTTTGCACGGGACTGTTACAGACGTACCTGATGATGGGGTTTTGGTTGACGATAGTTACCACTCGTATATGCGGAGTCCAACGTAGAATGCTAGTATACAGCCGCATTAGGATCGTTGTTCAATCTTTAACTACCTCCGAGTTGAGATGGAAAGACAAACGATCAAGACGATGGTTGATCACTGGTATGCCGGCTACTTGAGATACAACTTCACCTCTTGGGGACGAACATGTCATACAATCCTTCCACTTTTATTGTAATTTGCTTTTCATTCAATCATGCTTGACATCCACTTCATCTAGTGTACTCAACTCTCCTGGTCCTGGTCCGAGAGCCCTCGTGAATGGAGTCGAAGTGATCGTCAAATAGCTTACCAGCGTCGCTCACCACCGTAGTTGTTGTCTTCGTCTTCATTGCTGCCACGACGCTCGCGATCACGTCCATGGCCTCCCTGACTTTGACGGACATATTCGTCGGCAGAGCCTCCGCCGAAACCGCCCTGGTCTTGACGTCCGTAGTTATCGCCGCCATATCCACCCTCCTCGCGACGGCCATATCCACCCTCCTCGCGACGGCCATAACCACCACTCTCCTCACGGCGCTCATGACCGCCGCTGCTGCCACCGTAGCCGCCACCGTAGCTGCTCTCCTCTTGACGTCCGTAGCTACTGTTACCGCCGTAACTGCTCTGCTCCTGGCGTCCATAGCTGCTCTCTTCCTGGCGTCCGTATCCACTGTTACCGCCGTAGCTGCTCTCCTCTTGACGACGGCCACCATAGCCGCCATCATCATCATCACGGCGACGACCGTAGCTTTGTTCATTAGAGCCAGAAAACTCGTGTCGCTCAGTGCGCTGTTCATAGCCTCCAGAGTAGGTCTGGTGAGTCTCAGTTCGCTCTTCGTAACCGTAGCCACCTGCATGGCGGCCGTCTGAAGAGTCTTGCTGCTCATACCGACGGTACTCTTCTTGATGACTGCCATCGGGACGCTGTGTCTGAGAATACTCCGCTTGACCATAGCGATCACCTTGACGACCATACTCTGTCTCAGTTCTAGTGTAAGAGCCATCGTCCTCGCGGCGACTGCTGGTCTGTTTCTTAGTGTCATCACCACCAAAAGCGCCTCCGAGGATGGAACCTGCTTGGTTGAGGAAGCCACTGAGACCACCCTCTTCCTTGTCCTCCTTACGGGAAGAAGAGGGCATCTTGTAGCCGGTGTTCTGCTCAACCATGCCAGAGATGGCACCAGTAGCACCCTTCAGGATGGCATCGGCTGCAGCGCCAGCAATCTTGTCCTCAAGGGTCTCGGGGCCGCCTCCGTACAGCTTACGCATCTCAAGCTTGCCAGAGCAGCCGTGGCCGTGGCCAGTGTCGTGGACACCTTCCTTGTGGTTCTCGCCGTTCTGAACACCCTCACGGGTCAGCTTGCGGCGGTAGTCCTCTCGCTGCTGGTCACCCATCTTGTTCCACCAGTCCTTGACACCTTCATAGGAGCGGCGGCGGCCTTCTTGGACCTTTCGGTTTCCAAGGTCACGCTGAGCGGGGTGGTGCATGACACCGTTGACGATATCGTCGAGGAGTCTCTCCACATCGACACTCTCGTCATCAATGGCATCCATGAGCTGAGGAACAACCCACTGGACTACAGCAGCAGCGTTTCGTCCGGCGATCTCGTTCAGGATCTGTGTCCGAATTAGTATATTGAACAAACACATGTGACGGGTTGGCTCACGTTGGAGAAGTGATCCTTGGAAAGCATAGAGTGAGTGGGGTCAGAGGAGCGGTCATCGTTGAAAACGATGTGCTGCTGGTTCTCACTGCTTGCAATAATCTCATCCGAACCAGTCTTCAGCTCATTTCGGATCTGCTGAATGAGAGGAACGATGAAAGGAGCAATGATGGAGAAGATGAAGACAGAGAGCTGCTCCTCAAGCTGCTCAATGATCTTGGGAAGGATAGGGATGCGCTCCATGGCGCCCGAGATGCTCTTCATGATATCATCGTGGAACTCAATAGCGGGCATGACTTGCTTGAAGACATTCTGGATGTATTGAGTGAATTCCTCGGGGTCACGGGGAGATACACTGGTGTTCTCCATCTGGGCAGTAGCGGCATTGTTCTGGAGCTCATCTACTCGGTCGCTCTGGTGCTTGTCTCCAAAAATGCCATCAGGGATCTTATCCAGAAGATCACGGAGCATGCTGGTGTCAGACTTGGCACCCTGCTGAAGAGTACCCTCAAGCTCCTCAATCTCGTTCTGGGTCAGCTTATCGGAAACTGAAATCATTAGCATTTTCGGTGCATCGTTGACAACTGACCACGAAACCTACCTTCACCAGTGACTGAGTGCAGGAAATCAACACCGCCGAAAGTGCCAGTAACAATAGGATAGACAGGGCCACGAGCACCCTCGATCTCGATCTCGGTATCCCGACCAACATGAGGGAAGACATCACGCTCGCCGAGCTCAATGAGAGCCAACTCACAGTAGTTGCTGTGGGCAAAGAAATCTAGATGGAACACAAATTAGCCTTCAACGTTTCTAGCAATAAGTGGGAGCCTAGCAACAAAAAAATGGTCAGGTAGTTGAGAACTCACCCTCAAGACAGTGCAGTCCAGTTCCCATAAGGCGAAGAGCCTCGTACTTGTCCGCCTTTCGCTGAGAGTCCTTGTATCGGCGGCCAAGCTCAATGGTACCGCTAAAGAGCTTCTTGACGTGCTTAGCGGAAGTCATAATGCGAGCACCTTCATTTGCAATGTAGTTCTTCATGCCAGTCTCGGGGTCAATAGACAGCTCTCGTTCTTCATCGATGGGTCCTCGGAGACGCTGGTCATAGTCACGAGCATCGACATTGTCGGCGTAGTCCTTGGGATTGTCGATGTGATCCTCAGGGCGGTAGCAGCCAAGTCGCTCGGCGGTAACCTCGAACTCGCCGGAACCGTAGCCAAAGGTCATGAAACCGAGAATACAGAGAAGGAGGCGGATAGCCTCAGCAGACACAGACTTGACGGTACCAACATCGATGGCCTGCGAATAGTCCCGAAGCCAGTTGCCGAAATAGACACGTGAAACGTTGATCTTGTTGAACTTCTTGCCATTGAGGGCACGGGCTTGTGACAGGATCAAGAGAGCATCGGTGATATCGCCGTGGCGCCCTATGAAGAGAGGAAGAGTCAGCTACTTGCACCGGTATCTCGTCTACCAACGGACGACAGGCCACTCACAGTTTTGGCCCTCTACCTTGGAGATAGAGGCAATGTTACCAGCACCGAAAGCCAAGGCTGGAGAAGCCAAAGCAACGAGGATAACAAGCCCCACCAGGAGGCTTTGGGATCTGATGGTGAACATGATGGCGGCTCACGTCTTCAGTGGTGCTGGGATATCCCAGAAGGTGAGTTGGTGTTGTGATACAACGATGTGAATGAAAAGAAGCCCTTCTGAGCTAGCAGAGGGGAACACAGTATCGTCAGGTAGGTGTTTTGAAGAAAGAAGCAAGGACGAAGAACTTCTTGGAGGTTCAACTTGAAGGAAGAGGAGAAGGAAAAAATAGGGAGACGGTGGAGGAGAGGATGGAGGGGAGCTGAGGGGCAACCTCTCACAGCAAGTGACGCAGCTTCAGCTGGCAACAGTAATGCATAGGGTGCCCGTGCTTTAGGTAGTGACATAAAGCGAGCGATAGGGCACTGTCCGTCAAAACAAGCTTAAGCAAACCAACCAGCAGAAACACTGGATCTCACCTTTATTTGCTCTACGCTATTTCCAGGATCAATGGCTGCTACCTTACCTTGGACGAGACAAGGCAAGACAAGGTAAGAGCTTTGCAAGCTGTGACAAGGGTCCAGTACATAGTTCCTGGGTGTGATCACCGCATAAAAACAAGTACCTCACCCCTCCATCAGTGACAGCAGGGGTCTGTAACACAAGCCAACGTGTCGTCGAATGAAGCTTAAGAGGAGAAGGTGCGTGGATGCAGGAATTAACTGAGCCGATCACTGATCAAATATCAGCAATCGCGGGCATGGACAGAGACTGGCGCCAGGTGTTCTACAATACCTCGAACATGATGGTGCTTTTCATCAGAGTTCTGCTGCCTCTTTCAGAATGTCTTATCTTGTTACAACTTGTGAGCTCCATGTTGTTCTCTTTCAGCTGCACCTCATGGAGGGGTTGCCTGACCCCTCCCGTCGCGTCAGGTCGCCTTGGCCTATGATGCGACAAGAGGAAACTGGCCAAGTTCTGTGTAGGCGATCAGAAACAACGGCATAGTCTAGATTGTAGACATCAATGATATGGGTCTAGGCCCACGTTTCATTCATTCTGCGCATGAGCAGAGGCCTCGCATGAATCTGTCGTCGCCTTCAGACGTAACCACTGGTCGCGTCCCATCGCGGTTAGCATGGCCTTGAGCCGCCAGCTTCTTCCATAGGATGATTGACATCGTCCGGCAATTATTTAAGAAAGCGAGAACGAGCCTGTTCAGGTCTCAAATCAAAGGATAAGTTCAGGTCAATGAAAGTGAGATCGAAGAAGTCAACAATAGAAGATGAATGCATGCTTGTGTCTTTATACCATCTGAAGTTGGGCGGGGTAAAGGCCCAACTGGAGCAAGAGTTTACGCGGCATCAATATTAGACCTAGAGCCATCAAGGTGTCTCTGTTATCATCTTTGAGATTTGAAGAGTAATGAATCTCAAGCCCGTTTATGGATAGTAGGTGGAACTCAAGTCGTGTTTCACTCATTACCTTCGACACTGTAAACAGTCCTCTTGATATGGTGCTGCAGAAGTCATCAACAATGACTCGAGCACTCTGGTAGCTTATCATTTCCCATGCAGTCTGTCACAATGCGAGTGGCATTCTGGGTGCTTCTAGCATCAGAATGGGGTAGTCAACTACCTGGGTGTAGATAGTTATATGGAAACCATGGCTGATAAGTTAGTGGTCTTGAATGATATGACATCTGTCATTCAATGACAGGCATTGATAACTGCTGTTGGCGGCTTGTGAGCTTTCCATCACGAACGCGCCGTAAGGCACAATGTGATTTACTGGATGGCGCAATGAGAACGAACAATGGGCACTGATAAACCATGCTCGACGCGCTGAAGGACTGCTAGCTGAGTCAAGGTCATACCACTCAATGACAAATTGAATAAAGGTCCAGAGGACAGACAAGTACAAGCCAGGACCCAAAAACAAACAGAGACCATCACTGCTCTCGGCGCAGGCCGCCCAAGGGGAAAATGTGGCCCAGCTGGGTTCCATGGCTCTGCTGGAGAGTTGCGGAGGTTCTGTCACACAGCGAGACGTCGGGGGGTCGTCAACTGCCTGAAAAGAGCCTCGAAGTTTGAGCCGCCTGTAGTGGTCGTCATTCCATGTGCCCCTGTGCACATCGTGCTCAAATGTACAGGTCAAGGGTGAAGGTGCTGGAATGACCCCGCTTGGCAATTGTCCAGCGAGCTCAGCAGCTGGACGGCGTTCTCAAATTGGGTTTTGCATGGGGAGCGGTGAGTGGAGGGCAACACACTTCGCAGGGTGTGACAGTGACACATCGCTTCAGCATGCCCTGAGAGGCGTCACGTAAAGCGCTAGAGAAGCCGCTGAAAGAGTCGTTTGTTGGTATCGCTGAAATATCTCAGCTTAGGTGATTGCAATTGCGAGCGGCCTCAACGCAGGTGTAAGTCGGTTTTGGCAACCAATTTGCGATGCACAAGCATCCAACATCCGTGCCATTGTAACGAGCATACCCATGGCGAAGGGAATACTCAGGAATATTCCCCAACGGAGAGACTCAGTACTGGAAAATCTTAGACGAGTACAGGCACGATACATCCATCATCGAGACTGAGAATTCCGCACTTGCAGCAGTAGCACCCAAAAAGCTGCACGAGTGCGGGCAAATTGTTCCCTCGTTGCGAGTGGCTGACTGACCAGTCAGCGATGCCCGAGTAAAAGTTCATATGGCCTTAATGTTTGCGCGTCGCGAGGTTGGACTGTGTGCTGTGTTTTGGGTTTATTGAGACGGAAGAGAGTGATGCACGATATATATTCCCAACTTGGAGACCTCATGTTGATTCATAGAGAGCCTGGCGGCGCTGTTGGGCCGGACTAGGCCACCTATTATTCCATGTCTTCCTTCCTTCTACTCCCAGCATTGCCTTTGCAGTGCTTTGACAGCTGTCAGGGAAGGTCCAGGTCTGATGGGTGCTCAGGGTGCTTGCTCTACAAGGTGTTTTTAGAAATGGCAGGTATGGACGGGGCGGGAATATCCATCTGGATTGGCCTCCATGATTAGGGGACTTTAGGTGGAAGTTAATAAGAGCCCATAACGGGCAAGCTGCCAACGTCCAACAACGGGATAAAAGCTCTGGAAGCATTGGGACGGGTGTCGCGGGACGGGACAGTCTGAACACAACGGGGCACTGCTGTAGTGGAAAACCGAGGACAATCATAGATCACAGGCCCCGTTTTCAAGGCCCCCGCCCTTGAGAGATGAAATTTTCGGCATCCATTGTGCTCTACTGGGCTGTGCTCTTTACTGGGTGACTTGGGGGGCCACTCGAGCGGGTGGGTTACAGCCAATTGATTGGTGGGCGGCCACTAAGAACGCGCGCCTGCTGCAGATGCTGCCCTTTTTTTCCTAATTCTTTTTTTTTTCCCGCGTAGGAAGGCGGGCGCTGATTTTATTTTTCTTAGGCGCTTCCATTTTTTGGCGCCCCCGCCTAGCGAGCATTTACTGATTGCGCCTGGTGCCTGACCCCTACATATTCAGCGCATCGCCCACCCCGCGCCGGTTTTCCCTTTTTCCCTATTTCTTCAGTACTCTCAGCACCCTCATTCTCCAGCACTTCTTAGTGAATCATTGGATTTCCATTTCCCTCAACGCGCCAGAACCCGCCTGAATCCGCACGCATTGACTTTATCGCAACAGAAGAACAGCGCATCGCGTCCCACTGCACAATTAACGCGTCTTGACATCCCATAAGCCCATTAAACCGCCCGCGCAGAGCTTCAGGCGAAGTCATCACCAGATCACCAACACCAATAAATATCATCACAGCCAGGTATCATGGCCCGCCCAAAGAAGACAGCTGTTGAGAAGCAGCAGCCTGCTCCCATGCCTATGCCTCCCCAGCACATTCAGCAATATCCTCAGCACCCTCAACCCATTGCTGCTGTTCCGCAACCCCCAATGCCTGTGCCTATGCCCATGCCCGCTGCGGTTGCGCCTCCACCACCACAGGCTCTGATGCCTCAGCGTGTTGTTGATAATGACAGCTTTATCCGCGTGAGAGATTCTGTAAGTTCATTTCATCATATTTCATCCAGTCTCGTCCCTACGTCTTCATATTGCGACCTGGGCGTTAGTAGCACCGCCTACCTATGCGGCGACTCTCAAGTGGCTCTCTTTCAATACTCCAAGTTGGAGTTGAGACGAGCGGAACTTCGTACTAGGACTTACAGCAAACGCTTTGCACTCCATAAGTTCAGACGCGTTCTCAATAAACGCTGCACAACTTGATGCCCTTCGAAGTACAAAAGAGCTATGGCCATCGCGTCGCTGTATCCACTCCAGCTCCCCACCCACTTACACTGACTTCGTTCATCCGGAATACCCAAGACAATGACAACCTTGCTAACCCTCCTTCTTCTAGGCTGTCGATCGCTTGACCACTATCATGCAGCTTCTGCGGTCTTTCACTGCCGACTATGTCCGCCAGACTAACCTTCTCCTGGGCGAGCCTACCGCAGAAGGCTCCCAGGATAACCTTCTTGCCAACTTCGAGCATGCCGCCCAGCAACTTATTATGCCAGTTCCTGAGCTTGCTCCTCCTGTTGAGGAGAAGAAGGAGCGCAAGAAGAGGACTATTGACCCCAACGCCCCCAAGCGTCCCTTGACACCCTACTTCCTCTACATGCAGCATGCTCGCTCCATCATCGCTAATGATCTTGGAGCCGAAGCCCCCAAGGGAGCTGTTCAGGAAGAAGGCCAGCGACGATGGGCTCACATGGGCCCGCATGAGAAGCAGGTAAGCTGCCCTGTATTGAACACACTTCGAATGTTTTTTGTACTAACAATGCGACAGGGCTGGAATAACGCCTACCAGTACAACCTTCGTCTCTACAACGCCCGCGTTCACTCTTACAAGCATGGCAACCCCATTGCTAAGGGTATGACTGATGAGGAGGCACTTAAGTATGCTGAAGATTTCAGCATCCCCATGCCCGAACTCAAGGATGTCACCCAGACTGAGGCCCCCGCCAACGATCAGGACGCAATCGCCGAACAGCTTCAAGCTGTGGCTGCTGCTCCCGCCGTTGACGAGCCTGAGGAGGCAGAGACTCCTGCTAAGACACCCAAGAAAGCTGCTGGTGGCCGTAAGCGCAAGACAGCAACTCCTGCCGCCGCTGCTGAGGAGGTCAAGCCTGCACCTGCTAGCCCTGACAAGAAGCGAAGGCGCACATCTACAAAGGCCGCTGCAGCTATCGAACCCCAGGAAGAGCCCAAGAAGTCGGGTCGTAAGAAGACTAAGAGCTCTTGATTGCCCAACATCTTTTCTTTTTCTTGGTGAGCCTTGGTCCGTCTTGGCTGTCATACCACTCTCCATTAAGCTCGAACTGCAGCATTGCTGTCAGGGGGCATGATACCTGAGGAGACTGTTATATACATAGGGTCTTTATAGGCGTTAAGGGGGATTGCTTTGTTGCTTGTCCATGATTTCACACGAATTTTTGGTATCGGGATGATTAAAACCTGGACTTTTAACGATACGGCTAGTCAGTGGTTAGTTGAGGGAGGTTCACTGTGTTGTGTACGATGGTCATGTTGCTTTGACGTGCATAGCGATGCCGTAACGATAGCAATGAATTATAACATATCAATTACTTTAATCTCTTATCCCGTAACATTGAAATTTCTTGTGCTGTTCAGCAGCCCATATAACTTGCCCAAGCATCGTCAATATGCATCCGACCATGTGTAAGCATCTCGCTTTCCAAGTATCAGCACATCATTATTAGGATGAAACACAACTTCTTGCACTTTGCAATCGTCGTATTCGATTGTCCTGGTCTTGATAAAGTCCTAGCATCTAGATATCTTTTCTCGTGAGGTGCGATACCCAGCAGTACACGCTCGTAGATAAACGCAACAGCTCAGTTGTTTAGCATCAACCGTCTGCCTCATATGGGACCCTTCATCGCGTCACAAATGCATAGCCATCACTCATACCTAGCCCATACCATGCTCTATGATCATAAAGCTCAGGTGGTGTCACATCGATGGCACGAGAGAGAGATGCTGGCTGTATGTTGCTATACATCTTGTCATCAACTTGCACATATAACCTTGCGTTGTGAAGACTTTAGTTCTGTACATGGGCTAACACAGGCCCTTGAAACCTCTCAATGGTACCTATCCAATGGATTCCTTACAGTCATTACAGGTGGCCTACTGGAGCACTCCCTACTCGTTCAGTTTAGTGGTCCGTCTGGCACAACGTGTGATTGAAAGCCCAGGCAGGCCCTGGACCACGCTTCGGTCATCGCAGTAAACAGAGATAGCGTGTAACCACAGAGGCGTTACTTGAACCACCACGGCAGCCAATCTACCCGTATTTACATACAACCTCAGAGAGTTGCTTGAGGCAGTTTGCACGTAGCTGTCCTCGCCCTGACGCAGCTTTAGTTGACCTTGTGACCTTGCTATTCACTTTGCAACTTAGAGCCCCCCACGGCTTGTATATACGACTCCAATCAATGGCAATCCAAGTGAATTTTCATTTCTTATTTCAAGCCACCTTGTTAATGCTAGATCCCAGCTACTTGGGGTAGCTTTAACTGGAAAGTCCGCCTTTGCTGTCATTCCAGTAGCGGATTACATGCAGTAAGCATGAATAGAAATATCGCTGTAGTCATAATGTCTGAAACATCATTCTACAATCAGTTACCGGTGTGCACTTAACCATGCTAGTACTCCTTATCGGGATGTGCCCCTAGAAGATCGCCGGCTCCCGCTGTGGGACACAAAAAGTCTGGAGCCCCAGCTCAGCACAGCTCTTAAGGCTAAATACCACCACGAGACGAGGGACGGGACAGCCATTTTCTATCAGAGCGCCTTTACTACTACGTCATTCCCTCTGCAGCTTGAATTACTTTCACCTGAACTTCTTAACTTGTACCGAGTAGGGTTCCTTTATTCATATGAAAAGAACTTCTGTAAAGAAACCGCTTTCTTCTCACCTACTCCCCCTCGACGCCCTTTTCCATAGCTCACAATCCATACAACGCTGTGGCTTATCGAATCTCGACTTTTCGAGACCTCTGTCAATCTTCCCCCAAGCGGGCCATTAAACTTTAATCACGCCTGAATTGGATCTCACAAACGCAGCCTCATCATCATGTCTGCTTTCATTCGTTGGTAGGTCCAGCCAGGTTCCATATCCAGCTTCAGTATCATTCTAGTGTCCGTGCTGATATATATATCCAGGTACAACGCCAGGTTGGCCGCGCGCCCACTGCTCACTCAGAGTATTACCACTTCATTTCTCTTTGTAACAGGCGATGTGACAGCCCAGCAGCTGGTCGAGAAAAAGGGCATTCAGAAGCATGATTTCGTTCGAACAGGCCGAATGGCTCTCTACGGTGGCTGTAAGTTTCACTCTACCTCTAACCCCAAACTTGGTTTCTGAACAGCCTTTGCCTCTACTTAGTTGTTTTCGGCCCCGTCGCATCAAACTGGTTCAACTTTCTCGCTCGCAATGTCAACTTGAGGAATAAGAAGGCCGAAGTCCTCGCCCGAGTTGCCTGTGACCAGCTTGGTTTTGCTCCCGTCATGATCGGTGTCTTCCTTGGTAGCATGGCTACCATGGAAGGTAAGAGTGCACAGGAACGCATCGAGAAGACTTGGTGGTCAGCGTTGAAGGCCAACTGGTTGTTATGGCCGGCTGTCCAGTTCATTAACTTCTCGTTCATTCCCTTGCAACATCGTCTCTTCTTCGCCAACATCATTGCTATTGGATGGAACTCCTATTTGAGCTGGGTGAACGCTCAGTAAACAACCATTCGGTCGGTCAAGATCAATTTGCTGCATTTCTCAAGATAGATTTAGAAGCATCTTCATTTCACGTAGGAACGATGATCTTTACAAGGATCAGCTAGGTTTGCTTAACCAGATTTGGGGATTACACGGCGAAGATGGGATATGTACAAGGATTTGGATTGTATTGCAGTAGATACAAAGCCTCTGTACTATAAACTATACAAAACCACATTATATCGGCTTTCGTTGTCAACGATAGGTCTCATTCGACTTATCCGACGGGGAAGAGGTGGGCTGCCAAGCCCCATGATAAAGCGGCAATCGAAGTCCGGGGCGTCCATCGCCATTGGAGGGGTAAAAGTCCATGATAACCGCCAAAGCTCATGTCTCCGGCCATTGAGTCACTGATTATCGCCCTGTTGAAACTGCGGAGAAGCCCCGTGACGGGACCAGCTGCAGTGGTTGGGGTAAGTTCCAAGTTTAGAACATGGGATTGACCGACTGGTCGACATCGTAGTAAACATTGTGTAAGTCCCGATCCTGAAAACCTCCAGGGCGGCCTAGACTAGATCACATGAGTGATGTTGAAACCCTCGAAACCCCAGTGAGCACAAGAGAAATATCTTATAAGTATCTACTTAGTTGGCGAGATGTTCACGAGTTAATTCCTCCAACTGTTTAAATACATCAACCGGTACTCGTATTGTTGGTCTTTTTGTCTTCAATATATTGATGCCGTTATCGCTGCCTTAGGCCACAAATAGTTAGTGTCGGAAACCCGGGCCCATCGCAGCGCAGCCTTTTCCCAGGCGGCCAAATCCGGGTTTTGTAGATACAACCGAACAACATCAGGAACTCGTCCTGGTCCTCAAACCCGCCTCTCTCTCCTCCTTCTCCAGACTCTGCGGTCCCTCCGCATCTGGTAGCACATCATGTTGCCTTCATCGATGCGCCGAGTCGTCTCCGCCGTCTCCTCCGCCCCTCAGACAGGCATCGTGTCTTCCTTCGCCTCAACCACTCCCAAGACTACTCCTGTCTTTATTCGGGCACACCAGCGACGATGTTCCTCTTCAAAACCTTCGAAATCCGATAGCGGCTCCAATGAGATCTCAGCTGGACAGTCCGTCCCTGCGGCCGCAACACCCAAGTCTGGCAGCGAGAAGCGAAAGCGCAAGAGCAGCAAGGATACCTCCGATCGATCAGCTTCTGTGAAGAAGTTGCCCAGCGTTCCCAACACGCATCACATGTCACAAGAAGGTAGGATTGCGGATATTTCTGGTAGCAGACTGGGGAACGATGGCTAACTCGCTCAGCTCTCGGCCTGTCAAGTTTCTTTTCACTACATAGGCCCATCTCTGTCACTCAGACCATGCCACGAGCCGTAACCGATGAGCACTTTGCCTCAATCTTTGCTGCCCGAACCAGGAACAACAAACTGGCCGAGACCGAATCTACTCTCGCCAGCACTATCGAGCAGCTAGAAGGCCCTATGGCTCAGATGACGATTGGCGGGGAGGGCCACGAGGGAATGCACAAGGTCGACATCAAGAACCCAGACGGCACCGAATCAAGCATGTACCTCCAGATCGACACCATGTCCGGCGAATTCTTACCATTTCGACCCCCTCCTCTGCCTCAACCCGAGGCTGCTGGTGAGGCAAGCAGCGCTGTTGCGGAAGCCGAGGCAGCGGAGGACGTCCCTCAACACCGTGTATACAAGGCCCTCTTCACCATTGAGGAGTCTACCGATCCCGATGGTCAGATCCGCATCATGGCCCACAGCCCCCGAATCGTCCAGGATGCCCAACCGCGGAGCTTCCTTGAACGCTTGGCCCTTCGTCAGCTCAAGTTCGATGAGGCCCAGGGCCGCCGCGATATGCACGCCATTAGTGTCAAACGACAACGAAAGCTGAAGATGAAGAAGAAGAAGTATAAGAAGCTCATGAAGAGGACGCGAGTCCTGCGCCGCAAGTTGGATCGAACTTAAACATGTGTACATATCCTTGGTTGTTCGGGTTCCTTTTCTGATTATCTCTATCTCGCATACGGATCATTCGAAGGACTTTTTTCATTCGTGGTGTCCAAGCATGGAAGGTGAAGATTTGTTTTCCGGCTTATGATGGGGCTGCGGCATTGCGCTTTGAGGGTTTTCATCTTTCCATAGACTCGCCGGGTAACAATCATCATTTCAAACGAGCTGAGATATCTTCATTAGTGACTCCAGTCTCAGACACATGAATCATGTAAACTAGCTGTACAATTCACTTATTGGTCCTCACTTTAGTATATTCAGTGTTGTAATGACTCCTACATCCCAAGTTTGATTCACCTTGCTAGTGAGGTCACTCGTGAGTACAAGAAAGGATGTATCAATGTGATACAGTCAGATACCCTTATAGTTTGTCAAAGCAAAGCGTGATGGTCCGCGTGCGGGGTCTAAGATATGAAAAGCATGCATCAACGCTGGCTACACACAAAGTATCGTTCATATCCGAGTGACGATCAATCAACGACAGCCATTGGCGGCTCTTTGAATCTACACCGAGCGCCTTCGACAATTCTCGGTGAGACTGGAGCTAAGTTTGGTAAGGACCCCACTCAAAAGTGTCTTACCGAGGCCTGACCGCCCGGCAGAAAGTGGCCTGGCCGCCAAAATTTTGGATTTTTTGAGCCAAGTCCCACCTCGAAATGAGATCGCAATTGCGCCAGCGTATTTTCAGAGCAATTGATCTTTAAGAAAATCTGAAAAGATGCAGCGCAAAGCGGTGTATGTATAGCTCTTCGTGCTTGCAAGATGAAGCTTCAGGCTGACAATGATACAGGGACTCGCGCATTCCAGCGCTCATTCAAAATGGCCTGCAAGAGAAGAAGAGAAGCTTCTTCGTCGTCGTGGGAGATAGGTCCAAGGACGTGATCGTGCGTCTGCACTATATCATGTCCCAGTTCGACATCAAGCAGAACAAATCCGTTCTGTGGGCTTATAAGAACAAGCTTCTAGGCTTCACCAGGCAAGTAACACTTCTCAATCTCTTCGTCCGATGCGACGCAGCTAACACAGGGTTTTCAGTCACCGAAAGAAGCGCGAGCAAAAGATCAAGAAGGAGATCAAGCGAGGAATTCGAGAAGCCAACACTGAGGACCCCTTCGAGCTGTTCGTTTCGCTGCACAATATTCGATATACCTACTACAAGGAGACCGACAAGATCTTGGGTCAGACGTTTGGCATGTGTATTCTCCAGGACTTCGAGGCCATCACACCTAACATCCTTGCGCGAACTATCGAGACTGTCGAGGGTGGTGGATTGGTTGTCCTGCTACTGAAGGGAATGAACAGTTTGAAGCAGCTTTACAGCTTGTCTATGGACGTCCACTCGCGTTACAGGACAGAAGCCCATGACGATGTGGTCGCTCGTTTCAACGAGCGTTTCATCCTGTCTCTGGGTAGCTGCAACTCTTGCTTGGTTATCGATGACGAGATGAACGTACTGCCTATCTCAGGTGGTAAGGGTGTCAAGAAGCTGCCTCCACCTGACCTGGACAATGCCAAGACCGAGTCGCAAGTTGAGCTTGAGGCTATGAAGGAGCAGAACGAAGGCCGACAGCCTGTCGGACCTCTTATCTCTCTCGCCAAAACTGTCGACCAGGCCAAGGCCCTCATGACATTTACAGATGCTATTGCCGAGAAGACCCTACGAAGCACAGTCACTCTAACCGCTGCCCGAGGCCGTGGAAAGTCTGCTGCCATGGGTGTTGCTGTTGCAGCTGCTGTTGCATACGGATACAGCAACATCTTCATCACATCTCCTTCGCCCGAGAACTTGAAGACTCTCTTTGAGTTTGTCTTCAAGGGTTTTGATGAGCTTGGCTACGCTGATCACGCTGATTACTCGATTATCCAGAGCACTAACCCCGACTTTAACAAGGCCATCGTCCGAGTTAACATTCACCGACAACACAGACAAACTATTCAGTACATCCGACCCCAAGACGCGCATGTGCTGGGACAGGCTGAGTTGGTGGTCATCGACGAGGCGGCAGCTATTCCTCTACCTCTTGTGAAGAAGCTCATGGGCCCTTACCTGGTCTTCATGGCCTCCACCATCAACGGTTACGAGGGTACTGGTCGATCTCTTTCTCTCAAGCTCATTAAGCAGCTGAGAGACCAATCGCGCACTGCTTCCACCGCCGGCGAGGGCATGGAGATCGCAGATCGATCAACTGGCAAGACATCAAAGACTGAGGAGTTCCAAGCCGGACGTAAGCTGCGAGAGATCACCTTGTCTGAGCCTATCCGATATGCCCAGGGCGATGCTGTGGAGAAGTGGCTCAACACTGTTCTTTGTCTCGACGCAACTCTCCCCAAGAGCAAGTCGAGTATCAACGGATGTCCTGATCCAACACAATGTCAGCTCCTTAACGTCAACCGAGATACCCTCTTCTCTTTCCACCCCGTATCCGAGAAATTCCTACAGCAAATGGTCGCCTTGTACGTCGCTAGTCACTACAAGAACTCGCCCGATGATCTCCAGCTCATGAGCGATGCTCCTGCGCACGAACTATTCGTTCTTGTTCCCCCAGTTTCTGAAGATAGCGCAAGATTGCCAGAACCTTTGTGTGTTATCCAGGTTTCTCTAGAAGGAAAGATTAGCAGACAGAGCGTTCTCAACAGTTTGAGCCGAGGACAGCGCCCCCATGGTGATCTTATTCCCTGGCTGGTCAGCCAGCAGTTCCAGGACGAGGACTTTGCTTCTCTCTCTGGTGCTCGAGTTGTCCGTATTGCCACAAACCCCGAGTACGTCTCAATGGGTTACGGCTCAAAGGCTCTAGAACTCCTCGTCGATTATTACGAGGGCCGCTTCGCCAACTTGTCTGAGAACGAAGACCAAGTCATGGATGAGGCGGTAACCCGAGTTGCTGATGCTGAGTTGTCCAACGCCAACTTGCTCGACGATGATATCAAGGTGCGAGACATTAACAAGATGCCTCCTCTGTTTTCCAAGCTTTCGGAGAAGAAGCCTGAGCGACTCGACTACGTGGGTGTGAGCTACGGCCTGACCCAGCCTCTCCACAGATTCTGGAAGAGAGCGGCTTTCTCTCCTGTTTACTTGCGCCAAACCGCCAACGATCTCACCGGCGAGCACACTTCTGTTATGCTTCGGCCGCTTGAGAACAGCGATGACCGAAGCTGGCTCGGTGCTTTCTCCCGGGATTTCCACAAGCGTTTCCTGTCACTGTTGTCATACCAGTTCCGCTCCTTCTCTCCTTCTACCGCTCTTGGTATCAATGAGTCTGCCAACAACGGCGCAAGCTTGGACTCGTATGAGGTTCAGCCATTGACCAAGGCAGATCTCGATCGATACATGACTCCTTTCGATCTCAAGCGACTCGAATCGTACGCTAACAACATGCTCGACTACCGCGTTGTCCTCGACCTTGTTCCTACCATTGCCACTCTCTACTTTACAGGACGTATCAAGGAGAGTATTTCTCTGTCAGGAGTCCACCAAGCCATCCTGCTCGCTATTGGTCTGCAGCACAAGGACATTGAGGACATATCTAAAGAGCTCAACCTGCCAACATCTCAGCTCCTCTCCATGTTCATCAAGATCCTACGTAAGGTGACTGGCCACTTCGCTACTCTCGTTTCGGATGCTGTGGACGCAGAGCTTCCCAAGGCTGAGCGTCTAGGCGTCAGCCGTGAGAACGCCAGTGGGGCTCACGACGACGAAATTGTGGATCAGCGTTACGTGCCTCTTGATACTACTCTTGATGAGGAGCTTGAGGAGGGTGGTGATGAAGCTATGAAGGAGCTCAAGAAGAAGCAAAGAGAACTTATTGACTCTTTGCCTCTTGACCAGTAAGTTATTCTCACAACAGATGCTCAGAAAACATCCGCTAACTGAAACCAGATATGAGATTGAGGGCGATACTCCTGCATGGGAAGATGCGGAAAAACAGGTCCTGAGTGCCACGAAGCAGGGCAATTCAAACCCGGTCGTCAGTGTCAAGTCAGCCAAGCAGAAGAGAAAGGCTGGCCAGCAGACAGCGGCTGAGGTGTACGAGGAGGAATTCGGCGAGAAGAAGAAGAAGGGCAGCAAGAGGGCGAAAAAGTCGACATGAGAGGGTTATAGATTATCCTAGTTTTGGTAAAGGGAAAGGCGTTTTGCTCGATAGAGTTGTGTTCATAGTAATTAAAACACCGTTTCGCTCATCAAATTCTCTACTGTAAAGAGTATTGAAGTGTCAATTGCCAGAAGGTATACTCAGAAACCTTGATGAGAAACACCAGGGGTAAGGGGGTATGAGAAACGCGCGTCATAGGCATTGACTGGGAGTCAGTATTGGTCGAAAGATGCTGGTTTATATCACACATATAGTGATACCAACAAAGCATCGAAGCTTACAGGGAAGTGTATCATTCAGATAAAAAATATCATACATCATCAACACTGTTTAGAATCCATACGTCTCACTATTCACAAAATTTATCTGCAAGGCTCTTGGCGATGAATAGGAGCATGACTAACATCACCTACTTGAAGGGCTATGAGTATTTCCAGGGAATTTAGAGATTATCATTTTGTTTCTGTGCTAATTCGATATGAGAAATCATTGTCTAAACTCCATGTAACACGCAATCTATGAGATATCTCAACCTACCAACTCATATTGTCCTCCACCAGGGAGACATAGAAGTACATATCGTGAATCAAATTCTCTTACCTTTTAATCAGTCGCAGAACTCACCATCCCGGCCCAGGTCCATGGCAGGGTAGAACACATTCCATACAGGAACCACTAGGTCCTGATACGCCTCCCCAGTTGATCTGGTCACAGGCGGTTGACCTCCCTCTCCTTCAGAGCGTTTTGTGAGCAAACCCCCCAAGAACAGGTCTTCTGGGTCTATTTCTGCGCTCTCGCCGCTGGCATGTTGAACAGCATTGTCATTGTTGGCCTCACCACACTGCATGTGAATAGCTGACCTACACCCATAGTCGGAAATCTCCACTGAACCTTCATGATCAGTCTCACTGTCTAGAGTAAGAGTAGGGGTGGAAGATTGGCCATCGGCAAAACGATCTCTCAAAATTGTAAGCCGAAAACTCTCAGGCTCTTTGCGAGGTGGGATGGGCTTCTTCGCAAAGTACTTACAAGCAAAGTCTGCCTCAAGCTCATTGTACTTCTCCCGGGCAACGCTGTCTCGTACCAACTGAATCTCTCGATCCACGTTCTTGGCATCTCCAAAGCCCCTTAAGAGGTTGTCAAACCAAGACGGGCAGGTATCGTTGTTGGGGCATCCCGAGAGCACGGGTTTTATCTCTTGCTCAAGATGTGTACATTCAGATGCTCTGGGAAGGTCTAGATACTCCCTGCCAGCCCTCAGGGCATCGACACGCCAAGCATTGCAGGCGATAAAATAGGGAGTCAGAGGCTCGCCGCAATGGCAGCATCTAGTGACGATCTTGATACACATGGCCAACGACGATACGTTTGCCAGAGTATTCAATGTTGGATGATACGAAAACACGATTGAGTTCTGAGATACCGTTGCCTTGTGGAAATCTTGGGGACATGGATGGAAAAGGGGAACTTGATAACGGCCATAAGAAAATATATATAGGTACCTAGAAGTAGTTGTTAGGCCATATGCACGGTACAGCGAACACTACTTTACAACAAGTAGGAACGAATTAACAAGGACATTCTTACAGAACACAGCAAACTTAACATCTATCATTGCATCCTGGCTGGAGCGAACACGAGCGACGAGGATTCATAACAACCGAACAAAGGCATAACTCGCTATATATCATGCGCCTCTCTCAATAAGGATACAGGGGTACAGCTTTAACAAATTAAGAGACTTGATAAAACATTGGATACAATTCCAGTGCCTTTAAGTGCGTAGTGAAGTCAGTTGTGGTAAGGGTAAAGTCTTACAATGGGCTCAGGAGGATATTCACCAGAGTTTCTCCATCAGAACTTAAACAATAGTGCTTGAGTCTTTATTCCTTTGTCACTCGCATAGAATCCAGATATTACTTATTACTTCTTACTCCTCTCTTTGTTCTCTGTACTGCCCTCCAACTGCCGATATCGGCACTACAAACAGCCACCCACCACATCATCAACAACAACAACCTTAACTTACACATACTCCGCCTCTGCCACCAAGAAAAGGCATATACACATGACATTAAAAACACACAAAAAGCATACATACAACACCGGGTATTCGCTGGTCGTCACCGACCCAACTACTAATCCAGCGCTTCGCGGCTTGACTCTGGGGGAGCGGACGGGACCCCGTATTCTCCACGAGCTGTGGTCGTATGTGCTCAACCTGGAAGTACAACCACAATATGAACGGTAGCTGATGTTGTTTATTGGTATACTAACTCTAAGGTTTCTAGCAAATTATCTTCACTAGACTCTCACTACTTTCAAACTTGCTGTCAAGGCTTCTACTCTTCCTTCTTTACTTCTGTCTTCAGTTCCTCCTTCGTTTCTTCCTTCACCTGTGTTGTAAGTTTACTAGGACAGTGACTGTTGGGGCATATCTCTACCTAGATTACGATTGGGATATTAACGGTCTCTGGAGCGTGAAAGGTTAACCACGGCCCAGTGATAGTAAGGCGCTGGCTCAATTGGAGGCCACGCCAGGTGCTCAAAGCATCGTTACCTACAACGGAGGCGGTTGTGATGAATGTTGAAGGGCATATAAGTTCTTGCGATGTAATTGATCAGGGCCGCACGTGAATGAAATATTCTTGTCAATTTCACATACAAAACAGATTCCCAGGCAGTCTATCGTGTCACTTGTAAGCAGCGTCTGACTGGCTCACACAACGGTTGTCAACACCTGAAATGGGTTTACTTCAGGTTACCTGCGTCTAACACATGTCAAGTACAACGTATCGGGTCTAAGCACGTTCGAACACAAATAAGTTCACAGTGAAAAGAGGTCGAAGTATTTTATCTGCCAAATGTTTTAATTCCAGCCAATTCACTTGACCACTCAGATCATCCATCATTCGCGCTGATGTTGCAGGGTAGTTCCGCAGCTCCGATCTCGGCGCCAGCCTCAGCTTGAAGCTTCTCCGCACGATTATTACAGGTTACAGGTTGACAATTCCAGGTATAAATAGGCGACAAGTCTTCCAATTTCATCTCCATACATTAAATCACCAAGCTCAGTTACCCTTCACTAACGATCATGTCTGAACAAAAGGATAGGTGGTCTACAAATGTGCGCCTCTCCTTGATCAACACCACTATTGAGACACTTACACAAAATTCAGGCATACCAACACTCAGCTTCTTTTGTGCCCAAACTAGCCACAAAGGTAGTTTCGTGGCTAGATCTACAGAAGGATGATGTTCTTCTCGATATTGGATGTGGTGGTATGTGCCCCTGTCTCGAGTTAACATAGAATCGTTGAGCTGATCTTGCAGACGGCATACTGAATGCCGAGTTCGCCAAGATCTTGGCACAGGGAAACGGCTCAATGCATGGTGTTGATAGCTCAGCTTCCATGATTGAGGCTGCTCGAGAGTTATGCAAGGACTCCAAAGTTTCTACTTTTGACGGCACGATATCCATCCCTTTCATGATTTCGTTTCGTAGACTAACTTGCTTGTAGTTCTGGATGCTACACAACTTGTCACCAAACCAGAACTCCAAAAGGGAACTTTCAACAAAGCTTTCTCCAGTGCAGCTATGCACTGGATCTTAAGGCCAGAGGAGACTCGAGCTCAATTCTTCAAGGGAGTCTATGCTTCACTGGCCCCCGGTGGTTCATTTACCTTTGAGATGGGCGGCTTAGGCAACGTCTCCGAGATGCGCACAGCGGCTCTTGGTGCGATATCTCGCCGTACTGGCATGGAAGCAGCACTTGCAGCTGATCCCTGGTTCTTCCCAGATGAAACTTGGATCACCAAAGCGCTGGAGGAGGCGGGCTTTGTAGTTGAGCGGGCAGAACGTGAGTGGAGGCCGACTCCAGCTGATAAAGGCGGTGTCGAAGGTTGGATTAGGCTTATGGCAAGTCAGATTCTAGATGCTATTTCGGATGAGAAAGAGAGAGAAGAGGCCGTACAGGAATGTGTACAGGTACTGAGAGAGGTGTGCCGTGATCCTAATGGTGGAGAGATGATATCCTATGTTAGGCTGAGAGGTGTAGCCAGAAAGCCTGAATGAAGATGTTGGCTTTCAAGGCAGGCCGTAAACAATACATACAGCATCGGTACAAGATTCGGTATACCTAGGAAATGCTAATTCTATTCACCTACTGCGAGGTAGGTACCTTCAACCTTTATCGCAAAACGGCGATTAGTCATCCCTAGTAAACCACGGAAATTTCTAGGCTGCTCTGCGTCAGCGTCCAACCGCGAATACCATTCACTCACACCTGTTCTAGGGGCAACAAAGCCCAAGGCCAAGGCACCTGCCCTTGACGTGGCAAGATCTTACAGTCTCGACCGCTGAGGAATCCCTCGACTAAATACCTTAATGAAAGCTTCACGAAATCACATAAAGCCTGTTTCGTGGATCTTGCTTGTATTTGAACACGACGCCATATTCACCTTGCCATCTGCCTACCTACTCGCTGATATCCGCATCGTTCGTGGTCGTAACCTGCAAAACTACCTAGTAATTACAGCACCATGTCTGAGCACGATGCGCTTGTTTTATCGTACAGTCACTTGGCCAAGCTCCCCAGAGCGAGCGATGCACTGCAGACTTTGAAAAAGGTTGCTTCTCTCGTGAAACCTATAATGCGAGCCCGCAACTGGAAGGTTCGAGAGCTGGCCGAGTTCTACCCTGAACAGCAAAATCTCCTAGGTGGGTGCTACATAGATCCTACGAGACTTCTGTCGTATTAAACGCAGTTTACAGGTCTCAATGTAAATCGAGGAGCGAAAATATGTCTTCGCTTGCGGCACGCCGGAGATCGGAATCAGTTTATGCCCATCGAAAACATCGTCGATACCATGCTGCATGAGTTGTCACATATTGTTCATGGCCCCCATGATGCCAAGTTTCACGCTCTCTGGGATCAACTTCGAGATGAACATCAAGGCCTGCTTCTCAAAGGCTACAGTGGCGAAGGATTCCTCTCTGAGGGACGACGTCTGGGAGGTTCGCGAATGCCACTGCTAGAGGCTCGTCGACTGGCACGTGAAGCTGCAGAGAAACGTCGAGTCCGTCCTGGTACTGGATCAGGCAAGCGCTTGGGGGGATCTGCCCCACGACCAGGCGAAGATATTCGAAAAGTTATCGCGGATGCTGCTGAGCGGCGTAGCAGGACCCTTAAGGGCTGTGGCACGGATAACCTGAGTGAAAATCAGATTCGGAATATCTCTGATACTGCCACAAAAAATGGCTTCCGAACACAGGCCGAAGAAGATGAGGCTAATGATGCAGCCATTGCTCAAGCGTTGTGGGAACTCGTGCAGGAGGACAAATCAGTCAAGTACGGCAGCTCGTATATTCCTCCCACGGCAGGCAATCCAACTGGAAACGGGGGTGGAAGAATAATGCCAGTTGAAGAACACGGTGGTAATGCACCAGAGGGATCTAGAGAGCCTCGGAGTTGGACATGCGGTACTTGCACTCTGCAAAATCCCGTCAGCTATCTTTGCTGTGATGCTTGTGGGATGGAGCGCTCCGCAAGGACACAGCCGGTCAAGAACAACCGCCGATCCAGGTCGCCGACATCTCGAAGACAACCTGCTGTTATTGACTTGACACAAAGTCCGCCACGAGATCGACGGCATGCGACTACGACATCGCTGGATTCAAGGCCAGCAAGTACAACACAAGCAGATGCCTCTCCAGCACCTCAAGTATGGCAGTGTAGTTTTTGTGGGACGGAGATGGAAAAGATATGGTGGACATGCTCAACATGTGGAAAAATCAAGGACATTTCACGATAGTTAGCTTGGGGATTTGCATTGTTGTTGGTCAATAATACGAGCTGGAGCGAATCAATGCTGCGAACCCCTGCTTCTCGTGTCTTGGTGGACGATCAACAATGACTTCATTAATCAATGCTGGCAGGCTGGGTCAATGAGGGTTAAGCCTGCGACAGCCAGCGCCTTGGCTTCAAGGTGCACGACTGCGGTTTTTATCGGAGCGAGACCTAAGGCGCAGGGGTTAGTCAAGATCGCAGCCCGAGATTCCCAAGAAAAGATGACATTAATGAGACTTTGCAGGATCCGGAAAGGCGCCGATTGGAACTGGAGATGATCTGCGCGGCGGGCTTGGGTGCCATCGGAGCTTGTAACAACTGGATCCTAGCAGAAACCGGTGGGTTGGGGGAAGAGATTCGGGGTGAAACAACAGGAGATGGAGAATGAGAACAAGGACAAACAACCCAGCGCTTACGCTTAAAGCAGCTGCTGAATGGTAAACAAGTTCAAAAGCAAAAAGTAATTACCAGGCAGTTGTACAGAGATGAATATGGCCGCACCTGTGAGAGCCAATTGTGGTTTGATAAAGGTGAGTCAGTAGATAGTTGTTGTGTGTGCCTTCACAGTCCCGCATCAATGGAATATGTTTATTTGAGAACATGCAGACAGACACCAGGGTTGCGTTTTCTCCAAGTTGATTCTGGACCTGGCGATGAGGTCTAGATGCCTTTGGACTCAAGGACTAGGCCACTTTGCGCAACCACAGATGGCACAGAATATGGCAGTATGCAGTGAATTGGCCGGGACGCAGTTGTCGCAGGATACCGTGCGCGTGCATGGAAATTTCGTTGTCAGTTACACCACCACTCACTTGGCTTCGCAGAACAAGAGCGAGCTTCTGCTGTGCACAATTGTCAATCATTTTGACGGAGGATGTCCGTCGATTCTCTTTCGCCGCGCAAATACGTGGTTGCATAGCGGGGACTTTCTAACCCTCAACGGTTAAGCTAGTCGAAGGCAAATGGGCAAACTGTTTTGTTGCTGTCTGCTAAAATGCGAAAGTGTCTGCGTGGTGCCTGAAAGACCGTCCACCTTATTCGTCAGTTTCCGAGATCTCCTGTGTTGTGCAGTGAATGCACCATCCATTTCAGAGTGGGAACGTGCATCCCTACAGAGCCAGCATCAGCATTAGCATGATGGGGATGCGAATGCAACTGCAACCCCATCAAGCGAGATAGTGTTATACATACTGTAGACGTAGCAAATCTCTCAGCGCACAGCGTGTCCTCTGCGGTATATCGTCACAGTCGCGTGATGAGTGAGTTTCATTGACAGCTGACATCTTGGCTCATTACATATGAACAGGTAATTAACAAGCCTCAACCTTCAACAACAGCCTCAGTCTGGTTGGGTATCCGTAAGGCACTGCAGTCGCTAGCGGCTAAGAGCTCCCGCAGTTGATGGTGGGCAGATGACAAGCAATTTGACCTGTGATATGCGGTTCAGCTAGAAGCCACAGAATGCAGAAGAGAGATGGTGGCGTTTGTAAGCTACCCGGCAACGGGCAATTCGGAAATCCCCATGATGGAGTTTAGGGCCATGCCTGGGCTTCCATTGTCGCCATCCCTAGGTAAAACGTGACGAGGCACAGTCTGTAGAGGCCGGTGTAAATGGCAACTTTCGCGGTTCCGCAACGTTCAACGGACGGATGAAACGGATCAATACGCTTCCGTGGAATTCTGACTCTTGTCGTTTTGCCCTGGATGCGGGGATCATGGTAGCGAGGTTATCCATTCCCATGGGACGTCCCAGTTCTTATATTAGACCAAGAGCCAGACCGCCCTATTTCTGTGCCTGAACCGATTATTGGGCATATTGCACGATATCGCATTTGTAACGCTTGGAGCGCTTTGTGCGACCTTGGCCGAGTTTGTCTTGGTGATTGCTATTCGCATTCCGCGTAAGGCTGGTGTTTTGTTGCACTTGTGCCGTAAACGTACGGTCCTGTACCGTGTCTGTGCATGCGGCAAGCAGCAAGCAGCAGCCTCAAGCTTGAGGTGCGACAAACTAGGCGGCGGGGGTCTGAGATGATGAAGCTAGGCTAGAGCAGTGTTAGCGCGCGATTCTGGGCTCTCGTAGAATTGATTATTGATCCTTGAGATTGGATCGTCGGTGTTGTTGCATGGCTTCGGTTTAACGAAGCTCGAGCATCATCCAGCGACAGGAACAGTCAACGGCTTGAATCTGTGCCAAGTCAATACAAGGACTCTCGTTGATGAAGCCTTCACCGCAGAAATCAGGGCTTGCAGATGGAGCCCACGAGCCATGGATGGCGTGCCTTACCCATTATCATGCTCGATCGGCATTTCATGAACAAGGTAGAGTGGGCCCGGCTGTGGAGGCGATCCCGACCCTGGACAAGGCCGTGGCGTTCTCTTAGGTGAGCAGCCGGCTGCAACCGCCCCACTCTGCAGCACCTTTAGGTGGGGAGGACCCGCTCGCCTTGCCCCATCACCCCGTGCAGACCTTCTGCGAGGTGCTGGAAGGGGGACAAGGGACCTACAATGGAGGGCGTTAGAGAGTAGAAACCGCCCGTAGGACGCTCGACCCACCCTAACTTAGTGACCCCCGCCCGCTTGTCCGTCGTTGTTCTTGCCTATCACACACCCTGGTCGGAGGAGGAAGGTGTGCCAATTCAGGGTCCTCGACTGCTCTCTTTCTTCGTAAGGACCTAGTGCACCTTACTGTGTTGGGAGTGAAAATCAATACCTATTCCTTTCAACGTAGTTGCACAAGAAACTGAACATTTTCTCTTCGATTGTCCTTGTCTACTCCATATTCTTTACTGTATCAACGTCTGATTCCACCTCGGCCTTTACCGTTGAAGTTTGGTCTTTACTTCGAGCTTGAGCTTCTCGCTCGTCTTGTCCAAGCCGTCGTCATATCTATTCCTACCCATTCAAGTTCTACGACTCTTACTCTACCGATCGGGCTTATTCATCCGTCTCCTGATCTTGTGTTTGATATCACGAAATTTGGTGAATCGACTTCATCCGCCGCAATCTTCCTTCTTCTCTTTGCAACTCATCCAACAGCAAGGCTCCCTCTAGTTCCCGATCGGACGACTAAACTAAGCCAAACCGTCTCAACACGCCCTTCGAAGTCTACTCCCGCCTCCGTCGACGCCGTGCCCAGAAGAGCTAGATCCTGGGCTAGGATTGCCTGACCTTTACGGCACTTTTCTCCCTCCACGCCATGCCAATTCCTCGTTGACGGTCACTTGTCGATTCAGAGTAAATCAACTCCACTAACCATTTTCTTGTGGACTTGTCTCAAGGTCGAGACCACCGACGCCCCGACCTTGCGTCGCCCATTGGCATTGCATTCACAACTTACAACTCTCAATATTCTTTCCACGATACCAATCTCTTTGGCGGATTCTGATTGTTGTGTCTGGTTCACATTACCAAGTCGCTGAGGACGGCATCCACTATCCATGCCTTATAACGCAGCACCGACATGAGCCCCCCCGAACAAACTCGTGACAGTAGCCAAACTCGAGCTATCAGGCCCGCTGCAACTGGTCACGATGCTGGTTTCCCGCTGACTCTCTCTGAACCTCACCACAATCACATCCAAGCTCCAGTTCCGACTGTCTTTGACCATGCGCGACCAAGAGCTCCATTCGATCTGGTGAACGACATCAAAGGCCAAGATGCCACTCCCCGCCCATTCGTCGGCGGCCGTTTTCTGAGAGACTTTGGAGATGCTTCGCGCTCACCTACACAGAGCCCTTTTCGCCTAGCCATGCCGAGCATGTCTCCTGGTCAGCTCGCGTTTTCCGCCATGCAGTATCTGCCTGTACCAACACTGGTCCTCAATAACCTGAAGACAGTTGTCCTTGCCAACGAAGCAATGGGTCGAATGCTTGGAATTCTTACAGATGATTCAGATGAGGAAGCGCTTTCTATTATCGACCGCCTTCGGGGCCAAACGCTGTCCCAAGTTGGCGTTGATATCCTGCAGGATGGACAGCCCGTGTGGGCAACATGGGAAGCCTTTCTCGACTCTCAAGTAGATGAAATGGGCGTGCGAACTGCAGCAAAAGATCCACGATGGCCCCCACGATCTGGTGGCGATGCGACACCAACCGCGAGCACGATGCCTGTTCCCGAGCGACGTCCAAGCCCGCCCGCTCGCAGGCATCAGGATTCCATTGTAGAAGTTGTGATTACACGTAAAGGCGCCAGCAAGGTGGCTCTTGACGGACATTTCCCCCCCAGAGAATCGGGTTGTCAAGTATATGCCAAGATGATCATCACAATATGGGAACTCGAAGATCATCAGACCTTCTTCACACTCACCTTCACTAGCACAGACTCCCCATCCTCAACACTTCATAGTACCAAAAAGTCGGTCGCAAGACCAAGTGTCCTCGAAGCCGCCGATCGAAAAACTATCACACATTCGAACCCTCCTTCGGTTGCGTCAAGTCGAGAGTCCAGCTCACCTTCTTTCCACAGCCCAGGGATTGTCACTATGTCCTCTAGCCCTTTCCCGCCGATGGGCCCCCCATCTGTTGCGACTCATTCAAGCACGCCCTCCCTTCTACAAAAGATGCTACTGATGAAGGATGCTCTGCTCAACAACACTCAAATGCCCATTCTTGCTATGTGGAAGGATGGCAGTGTCACATTCCCAAATACGGCTGCTCGGAAGCTTTTCGAGAAAGAAGCACCTCTTGACACATCCCTCAACGGCTTTGACCTTATGAGATACTTTCACATATATACCGAGGACTTCTCACGGCGCCTTAGTATTGAGGAAATACCGATCTGTAAGCTGCTCAAGACTGAGAAACCTTTTACGGGACATCGAGTTGGCATGTACGATGAAAACAAAAGCAAACGGGTTTACGATATTCTTGGCGAGGCGATTCGAGACGATTCCACAGGCGAATTTCTTGCTGGTGTCGTTACAGGACGCGATGTTACTGTCATGACTGAGGAAATTACGCAAATCAAGGAGCGGGACGAGGAGAGATTCAAATTGATTTGTGACACAATGCCTCAGCTAGTTTGGACGGCAACAACAGACGGTTTGGTTGACTTCTGGAATACTCGGTTCTACGCTTATACCGGGTTGTCTCCTGAGAATAGCCTTGGCAAGTCATGGGTGAACGCTTTTCATCCAGATGATCTTCCTGAAGCCAACAGACGATGGCGACACTCACTTGACACGGGCGAAAGCTATATGACGGAATATCGATGTCAAAGTAAAGAAGGCGACTGGCGTTGGTTTCTCGGTCGAGCGCTTCCCCAGCGCAATAAAGAAACAGGCGAGGTTGAGATGTGGTTCGGTAAGTATTTTTGTTGAGGATGTGTGAAATCGTGACTGACCTTTCATGTTTGGTAGGAACTTGCACCGATGTTCACGAGGGCATTCAGACCAAGATGACCGCGAAACGTACACGACAACAACTCCTCAGCGTTATTGCACACTCCCATGTTACCATATTCACTGTCGACCCAAATCGAAGGGTTACAATGCTCGAAGGCGCATTGATCTGGAATAATACCCACGAAGAAAACCATGACGGAACGAGATGGTTTATTGGGGAGAATATGTACACTGTTTTCAACCGTCTAACTGCGCAACTTGCGGATGGAGAGCGTCCCGCATTCCTTGAGCCTATAGAGAATCTGCTTGACGGGAAAGCCACTGAAGACCTCAAGGAACACGGAATTGGTAAGAAATGAAACTTGTTGAAGATCGGGAACGCCCTACTAATTTCAAGCAGACGATCGCTGGTACCGAACCCGCTTCCTCCCGATGTTTGGCAAAAGAACGCAAGAAGGAAATGCTACAAACGACACCTATATCGAAGGCGTCATTGGTGTAATTATGGACGTAACCGAACTCAAAGTTCGCGAGGAAGCCTTAGAGAAGCAATCCAAAGAAAAGCGGAAGGCTATGGCCAATGAGGCGGCGGCCAAGGAAGCCAACAGACTGAAGAGCCAGTTCCTCGCTAACATGTCTCATGAGATCCGGACACCCATCACAGGCGTGCTCGGCATGGCTGAGCTATTAGCCGGAATGGAGCTTGACGAGGAACAGCAAGAATACGTCGAGAATATTCAGAGTTCAGCGACGTCACTCCTCACTGTCATCAACGATATTCTGGACTTTTCCAAGGTGGAGTCTGGACGATTAGATATTGAAGAGGTGCAGTTCTCGTTATCACACATCGTGAAAGAAGTGGGAAGAATGCTCCAGTTTGCCGTTGAACGCAAAAACCTCGACTTTCAATCAGACATTGGAGATGGCATTGAGAACGATTTGGTAGTTATAGGAGACCCGGGCCGCGTGCGACAGATTCTCACCAATCTCCTTACCAACAGCATAAAATTTACGAATCAAGGATACGTCAGATTCTCGGTTACTGCGGAAAAGGAGACATCAGAGTCCATCGAGGTTCGGTTCACAGTTGAAGATTCTGGTATTGGTATTCAGGATGATGTTCACAAGAAACTTTTCCAGCCTTTCAGCCAAGGCGACGCCTCGACAGCCCGACGATTTGGTGGCACTGGACTGGGTTTAACTATTTGCAAGAATCTTTTGGATCTGATGCATGGTCGTATAACACTCGAGTCGACTGTTGGTATTGGAACTTGCGCAACTTTCTGGATCCCTTTCAACAAACCAAGCGGCCCGGCTGAGACCAGTCTTGCTAATGCTGGTGCTATTCCTGACCGACTTCAATCAGAGTTGAGCTTGTCCTGCAATAGTTCGGAATATGACCAAATCATTGGCACTCCTCCGCCTTTTGACGGCGCACATGGAAACACATCCGGATCATGTCGAACTCGATTCGGCATATCATCTACCTCCAGCCCTGAACAAGAAATGACAGCATCGGAAAGGGCCAAGATTCATGTATTGGTGGTCGAAGACAAGTAAGTGGTACTGACACTCCCAAGAGAAAGGTGAACTAACCAGGCATAGTCCTATCAACCAGAAGATCGCCACGAAAACCATCGGTAAACTTGGCTTCCAAGTTACAGCCGCTTGGAACGGCAAAGAAGCTCTTGAGTACCTCGCTGGTGTTCACAGAGGTATCAAACAGAAGCCGGACATTATTCTTATGGATGTGCAGATGCCTATCATCGACGGCTATAAATGCACTCACCTTTTAAGACACCATATGCCTTACAAACCGTTAGTTCAAGATGTACCGATTGTGGCCATGACAGCATCAGCGATTCAAGGTGATCGCGAAAAGTGCACCAAGGCAGGCATGGATGATTATTTGGCCAAGCCGGTTCGGGGCGTCATACTGGAGAAGATGCTTCTACGATGGTGCCACGCACGACGCAGATCAGCAGCACCGGATCCCACTGCTTCAGACTGCTCAGAGATGAGTGAACACTGTGATAACGCCGACATCCCGAATGTTGGTATCGACGACGACGATGTGCCGCCTGCGTCTGACGATTTTAACGGCAGCCCTGTTACGCCTCGGCCATTGACTACCAATGGGTATCAGAACGAGCCATCTCCGTTTGATTCCACTGAAATACCACCCCAGGTTCGACGGCCAGAAGGAGAGACGGAATGGTCTAACAGACTCCAAGAAACGAAACTCATTGATGCCGCAGGGGGGTCACCAAATTACCACCGGCGTAATTCCTATCACGAACTACAGACAGGGGATTCATTGACAGAAGAGAATGTCAACAAACTAAAGATCGAGAATCAGTCGGCGACACGGCGTTAACTGAGTCAACCGACGACGGATCGGTCCAACACCGAAACTATTGAATGGCCATATTGGTCGATCGCCGATCTACTCTATACCAGGATCCCCCCACTCCACCCACATTCACGACATACTGGTTCAATAAGCGCGGAATCATTTTTACGGTCTTCTTTTCTTGACTACAACATTTGCAATAAAAGCATGCATTGCATTACACAAGGTGGAACTGGCGTTGGAACAGGATCCCACGCATTCCAGTGGGCAGGAGAAATTTAGCGGGAGAGCACACTGGAGGGGACAGCAGCTTGATGTTTTTGTTCTTTGCTGCGTATTTTTGTCTTGGAAGAATTATAGACGGTTTCCACCACTCTGGCAAAAAAGGCAATGGGGGGGCATTTTGATTGCCTGTACATGCTCATGGCAAAATTACGTTGTACGAGTTCACTGGCCAGGACATATCGTGTTTATACAAAGGCACAGGAACAATGATCATATTTTTGATAACGAAAGGGTTGGGACGATACATGATGGGATGCGATGCGATGGACGATACCTCTGTTTTACTTTAATTTTGACTATTTCAATTATTTACATGAGATCGTTTCGGTCCCAAACATCTATATAACAACACCTCGCTCGCTATGTGCAAATTTTCGAAATAAAACCTGATGATAGTCATGAAAATCGTGAGTGACACATAAAGTCAATTGACACCCGGCACAAGTGTACGTATCCATCGTCTGACCGTGCCACCCATCTATCTGTCTCCGAACCGTGGCTTGGTTTAGACCTCGGTCTCGATGCCGGGCTGCTTGGAGGAGTGGTCAAAGACGTTAGAGGCTTTGTCTCCAACGTGGTTTATTTTGTTCTTGATCCACTTGGCCGTGCGGGGGATCTAGGCCCATCTGTCAGTTATGGTCTGGTCCTAAAATAAGTGGTTGGTGTTGATATCGGGCACGCCCCCCGAAAAGTGGAAAGGCAGAAAATAGCTTCATGAAGACCACGTGGGATTTATACAAGGGTTTGTTCGGGAGCTTACCTTCCATTGCATTAGACCCCGATGCTGACGATGCAGACGTTTGTCTCGGCGGCGATAATCCCGAACCTTGTCTATGGGGCCTTGTTTTTGTGCGGCACTACCATCCGGAACACTAGATATTTGTCCCTCGTCGTCATCTTCTGTATCTGAGCTGGAGCCAGAGTCTGAATCGCTGTCTAGCGAACCCGGACGACGATCTCGATCTGAATCGTCATCATCAGAGTCCACAATACCAGCATCCTTTGCCTGACGACCCAGCTCGAGATTGTCGCGGGCAGTCTCGATAACTTCGACGACGTTTTGCAGGTGCTCGTCGCGACTTGCCCAACGAGAATGGGCACCTCCCTGTAAATATTGTCAGTAACTGTCACATGCCATATAGGAGCATTCAATGTGAGTTTCTTACCAAACCGGACCAAAATGTGAGCTTGAGCTTGATAGTGCCGACTCTCTCGCCACATTCTTCCAAACTGCAAGATATAGCACGCTTGAAGTCACCCTTCCAGATTGGCAGCTCCAACTCCGTCTGCTTCTCGTCGACAATATCCTTGAGCCAGAGGACAGCAAATGCAACAGTATCCTCTCCTAAGAGACCTTTGTTCCGAAAAGCAATAGACATGCAGCTACTGTATCTCGACGCAACAGCCAAAGCAAGTGATTTGCCTCGCTTCGATTTCCAAGTTGCTGTTCCTTCATTTCCACCATCCTCAGTGTACATCTTTGCACTACTGATACTAGTTCGGAACTTGAGCTTCGATGAGCGAAGATCAGGAGGACAGTCTAGGACTGTGACAGTAGGTTTCACCTCAACAGTACCATACTGCCAACCTAAGAGGTTCCGTGGGGCTTGAAGCTGGAGACTGCGGAAGACCATGGAGATACGAACACGTCCGTAACCAATGCCACCAGTCAGAGGCCAGAAGCTCATGACTTGCGAACGCTCGCGGAATACATCTGAAAGTGGCAGATGGATGATGCCTAATAGGGGATCATCCTCTTTCACACGAGCATCACGGACTGCAATAAACACCTCTGCTTCATGCCAATTGCGGATAAATCTCTCACAGCCAGCGTTGTAGAAAGGTTTGGCGTTTTGAGGCTTTGTCCTTGTCTTGAAAGTCTTCCGATGATTGAGGATAATGGTGCAGTATGCGCTTGGCAGACCTTCGCCAGAATCCTCTTCGTCAGTCGCCTCAGCGTCATTGGAAGCCTTGCGCTTGTTGAGGCGCTCCAGCTCAAGACCTACAATATTGTGGATCTGAATACTAAGCACGCCGCTGGGGTAGCCATCGGGGGGAGGTGCTGAGATAATCATGGCGTCTTGTTCCTCCTTAAGCTCTTGACTAGCCTGTTGTTCAAGTTCGTCGGCGTCGCGCTCCTTCCCGCCTTCCTTGTACATAGTCTCACGGAGTTTGTTCTCGCTTGACTCTCTAGTCTTGTCCTTGAGCTGATCCATGGTGCGGATCTCGGGATCGTGCGTTTGCTTCTCGAACTGGCATTGCTGAATCCTGGTCTTCGAAAAGTAGCCAACGCTCCATTCTAGCTTTCCAGGCATGCTATCACCCGACTTCAAAGCTCTGAAGCTATCTTGTCGTTGCGACATCTTTCCATTAGACTTGTCATCTTTCATCAATTCCTTGATTGGGACTTCGATTCTTCCAAGATCGTCATCTGCGGTTAGTCTGTCAGAATCCCATAGCTGGACACGCAGACGTTCGTCAATGTTGAGCTCCTGCGGTGTCACCAGTATGAAGCAAGTCTCGTCCCATACAGGTTCCATTTCACCCTGCAACACCCGTGTTGTCCACATCACTTTACCGAATTTGGCCCAGCCGACCGAGACGTAGCCATCGGAGCTACCGTCTTTGACAAGTGGAATGCCAGTGTCGCCCACCTTGAAGTCGTAGCCGCGTTTGATGTTAACCACCAACACACCCACCGCATTGGTGTCCTTCTTGAAATCATCACCAGCAAGCATATCCTTCAAATCGAGAGTGAGACTCTTTGGTGCGACATACTCAGCCATGGCTGCGTCAACGGCAGATTGAACAAAGTTGCTGATAAAAGGCACATCCATGATGTTGATGGCATGCTTACTCAAAGGTACGCAACTCACGTTGACCTTTGGCTGTCCGAGAAAGGTGAGAGTGCATAGAGCGAAGAAGGGAGGGTCTGGAGTAAGCTGAAGGCGCACGCGCATTGTACCAATAATACCTTGCAGGTCTACCCACACAGGAATTTTGATGTTTCCGGGGAGATAAAAGGCAAGATATAAGTGCATGTCCTTAGTTCGCTCCTTGAGCGACTTGGAAGACGATCGAGTGCGGTAAGCGAATGCGATCTCAAGGTTGATAAAGTCTCCTTCTTCGGCCTCCATGCCATCCTGCAGGTTTTCACTGCTATCGCTGTTCTCGCCGTCCTTCTCTTCGGTATCATTCTCACTCTGCTCCCGTGACATGAGCTGCCCGTCCTCATTAACGGCTCTAGCTGCAGCTCCAGTTGGAAGCCATCGTACACCGAGAATACGGAGAGACTCGCTCCCTTGGCCGATATCCTCCACACTGACCATGCGAATAAACCTCGGGAGCGAGGCTTGCATCACATCTTCTAAGGTGTCTGCAAGACTGGCAAATAGATCGGGGTTGATAAGAGGCCAAACGGAGCCGATCAAGGAGTTGAGCCATACGGTTGTCTCGGTCTCGTTCTTTTTGGATGCCTTCACGACGCCTCGTCGATGGGCATCCCACACCTCGTCTTCAAATATGTTGTTAACCTTGTTGGACATCCATTCTCGAACGAATTCAACAAGAAACCAGACAGCACCGGCGCTGGCTGCGGCCAATACCAGCCAGAGGGTGCCGCCCACAAACCATGACTTGGCCTTTTCGCTTTGCAATATACCTTCGCGTAAGAGTCTTTCGAACCCAAACGCGCAAGTAACGATGACTGCAACACCAGCAAGCCCGACCGTGATACCACGCTTGCTAATGGCTGCAAGCTCAATACGAAGAGCATCGAAATCTGGCGGTGGAAATAACTCGCCCATGGCATCATGACTTTGTTGGATTTCCTTTTGCTCTTCGCGTAGCTGATCTTCCGATTTGCTCTTATTTTCTCCTCCGGTTGCTGTTCGTTGTGTCGTACCAAAGGGAGGCTCATTACGGTCTACTTCTTCAAGGGCTTCATCTGTGAAGTCATGAATAGTGACAGGGAGATGGGTAATAGGATCCGTGACTTCACGCTCGGCTCTCTCTCGGTTGCTCTTCTTGAGTTCTTTTCTCCTTTGTTTGGGATCTGATGATGAGGGACCAATTTGTGAGGTATCGGTCATTTCTTCGCCATTTCCATTTTCGTTTCCATCTCCCTTGTTTTCGTTCTTCTCGCTCTTTTCATTGTCATTTTCATTGCCCTTCTCAGTTCTCTCTGATTCTAGGTTGGACCCGGCATCTTCCCTAGATTTCTGCTGTAATTGGTAGTCGTTTGAACTTGGATCATCTGAAGTCCCATCGACTTTTGTTGAGGCTGCATCCTGGCGGGCAGCTCTCTCTTCCCGATATCTGGAGACGGTAGGAATGGGATGCCGAGCGCTATACGGAGTTGTGTAGCGACGGTGATCCTCCGCGTCGTCTTTTCCCGACATGGCTGGTGGTTCTTGTGGAAGGTTTATGACAAGGTAGGTACTAAGGTAGATAGACTTGTTACAGCAGCGACAGGCGAACAGATTAGAGGAATAGCGTCCAATGAATTGACTGACACAAAGAACTAGATTGGCGATGGAAGAAGTTTCCTCGGAGATGCAAGATAGAAGCTAAAGTTTCATGAAGAAAAAATAAAGCCAAGGGTAGTGACTACCTACTAATTGGCAAGAACGAGCACGATTGAAGTCATGGCGGGACAGGGTAGGTCCGATGTGGTATGTGGTAAGAGGTTGCTACGTCATAAGCCTGGTGGGATTTGACGGTCCATGCCGAGCTTTCCATCTTGGCGGTGGTAATTCCAGTGCAAGTGCACCTGAAAGACGATTTTCTAGGAACAAATAGATCCTCGATCGCCCGCAAGCAAGTATTTAGAGCTTGGCGAGTCAATGCTCGAGGGGGGATAAACCCAACGATGATGCTCTAATGGCTCCATCGAATCCAATTGCAGGCAGTTTACGAACTAAAGCTGTGTCTAGCTGTGTCTAACTGTGCCACAGCCTAAGAGGCGTTAGCTGAGCTAGTGCGATTTAAGTTTGCTGTCAGTTATCTGTCTTGTCCCCCGGACAGAACGTGTTTATTACCCTCTGACTATGCTTCAATGAGCCTCAACAGTGTCTCTTCGCTAAGCTATTGCAATATGGTTTCGATTGTTTGGCCGCCACACGTAACGCAGGCTCTGCGCGCAAAAACCGGGCTACAACCGATGGGCTCTTGGCACTACAGCAAACACGTCAGCTTGCGGGGGGGCAGTTCGACAAGCTTTGCCTTGATGAATTAATGGTGGGGTATCGAGATCGTCAAGCTTTATGGGCGCCCAGCAAATTAGTCATTGGAGGGTAATACTGATGGGCTTGGGATATCTCAATCAATTGGGGCTGCCTTGAGCCTGTGTATGGCCAAAATGTCAAGTTTCATGATGCCTTGGAAGGGCTCAAAAGCAGGTTTTGGAATATGGTTACACCATGAAAAGAGAGAACTGCGGGCACCAAAGGCAAAGGCCCGTGGAATGCGCCATGAATTCATACTGACGACCGCAGCCGTTTCTTCAATAGACGCACTAACTACTACGTACGTACCCGCGGCTGTCATTAATTCGGTTGCTAGTTAGACCACGCCGTTTGTTTATTGCCGGAACAACGTGCTCTCTCTTCCACGACGCCGGCCCCACTCCGCCGGCACGGGTGCGGCGCCGACCTAAAAGTCTTCCGGGCTGAGAGGAGTCGACGACGGTAGATGGCACGTGCTGTGCTGTCGCCATTGACTGTGATCTCTTGTCGGTCTTGCAAGAATCCGAGGTTGACAAGTATTAAAGACTTGTGATCCGCTACAGAAATAATTCTAGGAGAATCATGAAACACCAGTCACGCGACACACTTTACTCAGCAGTATCTGTTACAGCTAGCCATAAGAGGAGAGTGCTCAACAAACTGTCGCACGATTGATGACATTTCGTTTTTCTACAAATGATGTACTGAGTAGAAGAAGTACTAAAAAAGGAGTTGAGGGTGAGTGCCAAGATCTGGGCAATGTGACTGTGATATAATTAAGCGGTCTGCTTATAATGACCGCTAAGCTTTCTGCGACATTAATAGATTTGCTGAGTTGAGTTCGAAACTGCCCCGATAGTTTGGACAGCAGTGCACACTGCCTGCAGGTAGAACGGATGGAAGAGACCATCGGATGACAGTCGTTCGATTTATCTATGGGATTGATACAGCTGAGGGTTATAAATGACCGTGACGAGGTGCAGCCGGCTCATGCATGTGTGTGGATGCATTAACTAGCCCCAGACATTCGCGGATGGTGTGTCACCCCTGAGCCGCCCTGTACGGTTATCTGCTCGTTCCGGTCCCGAATACTCGGTCATTATTGATTCCATCAGATCTCTCACAAGGCAAAAATAAGAAAGAAAGAAAAAGAAGTGCCACCAACAAGCTGGAGAAACAAATCATGCTAGGGGGGGGAGGCCAAGGAAACTTACGAAACTAGCGCCGTCACAGCGCATCACAAGCATTACAAACAAGGTTGGGCGAGACCTGTCGTTGGCTGTGTCTTCTGCTATTAAGCGCCCAGAGACAATCACGTACCCAGCTAGCCAACCCCCCCAGGCGCCTCCCCAGGGTCCGCTTGTTGGTGAGTGGTTTAAGGGTTCGTTGGTGGCTTTAACGTGCAGCGTTCCAAATATACTCGGCCAGTCAGACGCAGCGCAGCAACAATGCCCAGATCCTCTAATAGGCGCCGGACATAGTCTGTAGATGGTCTGCATGTTAGTATTGAATCTATTGATCGCCTACTGTGTGTTGTTAGTCTTGGGCACACTAGACTAACTGGCCGAGTAAAACCAACATGGTCCCCGGTTTCTTTTTTGCCTCTCGAGACTCAGGAAATCTGTAGATTTTACGGATACTTCGAACCCCTCGTGCGACAGATCGACTCCTTACTCCGATACACTATAGTCTATATCACCGTTTGGAGTAACAATAAAACACCACCACACCCTGGTCACTTTGTCACTTGGCGTCTCCCCCCGCGAAACACCACCTAAAAGAGGACGTCTCCCACACCATTTGTCTCAGCACATACCCTCGAAACTCACTATAGAGCTCTTGTTCTTCTCCTTGACGTTTCAACTTCCGCTGGTGTCTTGATAACATCTCGGCATCCCCATGTTCCGTCCCTGATCTGGCAACCCGATACCTCCTCGAGACGCATTATGCCCGTTTAAACTGCGCTATTGACTCGGATCGTCCCTTCGCATCGCATCAGATTTCGGATCACGGTTACTCCTCCTCATACTCATACTCATACTCATACTCCTAGAGCAAGATTTTCTCTTGGCTAAATCTCCGATTTTTTGTTTATCAACCTGGTTTTTCCTACGATCTCATCCGATCTCTTTCTCATCCTTCTTTCCTTTTTTTCTTGGGTCGCTTCTCTAACTCAGCGTCCTCACCAACATTCCCTCCACGGGCTTCTCAGCCACGACTTTCGCTTCCTTTTCTGCTGCTGGATCAGTTTTTTCGCTTTATTACTTATTATACTAAAGGATTGGATCATCGACTCGATATCGCCCTCTTTTCACCAAGAGGTAATCCGCCATAGTCTCGTCGCCGGTCGACTTTGACTCTCTTTAATTCATACACGACACATACCGCAAAGATGGGTTCTCATATTGGATTCTTCGAATTAATAAAGAAGCAATTTACGCCCAGTAAATTGCTCTTCCATTTTCTGTTCTGGACATTTCATTGGGGTATCTTTGCTTATGGATGGTAAGTTAAAATCTCCAAATTCCTTCACACACACACAATCAATAGATTGATAGCTAACTCTCATTTCAGGTGGAAGCAATTCGCCGATGCTCGACTTGCAGGTCTGAACACACTCAAATTCTCAGTATGGATCTCACGAGGTGCCGGTCTAGTCCTCAGCGTCGACTGCATGCTTATTCTCCTCCCCGTATGCCGAACCATTATGCGCTGGGTCCGGCCCAAGATTCGCTTCATTCCTCTCGACGAGAATCTCTGGATGCATCGACAACTCGCCTACTCCATCCTGCTTTTTACCTGTCTTCACACGGGTGCTCACTACGTCAACTTTTATAACGTTGAGATAACACAGATTCGACCTGTCACGGCACTCCAGATTCACTATGCTCAGCCTGGTGGCATCACCGGCCATGTCATGCTGCTATGCATGCTTCTCATGTACACGACCGCCCATGCTCGCATCCGCCAACAGTCCTTTGAGACCTTCTGGTACACTCACCATCTCTTTATTCCTTTCTTCCTCGCTCTTTACACCCACACCGTTGGATGTTTCGTGCGTGACACTCCTGAGGGATTCTCGCCATTTGCAGGCGATCAATTCTGGGAGCACTGCATTGGTTACCTGGGATGGCGATGGGAACTCTGGACTGGTGGTTTCTACCTTATCGAGCGTCTCTGGCGAGAGGTTCGTGCCAGACGATCAACAAAGATCACTCGGGTCGTTCGTCACCCGTACGATGTGGTAGAGATTCAGTTCGCCAAGCCATCCTTCAAGTACAAGGCCGGACAGTGGCTCTTCCTCCAGGTGCCTTCGCTCTCCAAGTACCAGTGGCATCCCTTTACCATCACCTCGTGCCCCTTCGATCCTTATGTGTCGGTTCACGTTCGTCAAGTCGGTGATTTCACCCGAGAGTTGGGTGATGCTCTTGGTGCCGGTGCTGCTCAGGCTAAGCTCTACGACGATGTTGACCCCATGGGTATGTACGAAGTTGCTCTCCAGAACGGTGACCAGATGCCCGCCCTACGAATCGATGGCCCTTACGGTGCTCCCGCTGAAGACGTGTTTGAGAATGAGATTGCTGTGCTTATCGGTACCGGTATTGGTGTAACCCCCTGGGCCGCCATTCTCAAGAACATCTGGCATCTCCGCAACTCACCTAACCCTCCCCGCCGTCTTCGTCGTGTCGAGTTCATCTGGGTGTGCAAGGACACTGGTTCGTTCGAGTGGTTCCAGACTCTATTATCTTCTCTGGAGGAACAGTCCAATGAAGCAGCTCGCATGCCTGGCAGCACAGGCGTCGAGTTTCTCAAGATTCACACCTACCTTACACAAAAGTTGGATATCGACACTGCTCAGAATATTGTCCTCAACAGTGTCGGTGCTCAGATGGATCCCTTGACAGAACTACAATCACGTACCAACTTTGGCCGTCCCGACTTCCCTCGTCTGTTCACCACGATGCGAAATGGTATCTTGGATCGAACATATCTCAACGGCCTGGAGTCCCACATCCGAACAACAGTCGGTGTCTACTTCTGTGGTCCTTCAGCAGCCGGTAAGTCATATAGCACTCCCATAACCTCTAAACATCCATAGTAACAATATCTAGCTCGTGATATCAAGACTGCGTGTAAAGAAGCGACAGTCCCCGATGTTGATTTCCGTTTCTGGAAGGAACACTTCTAAGCTAGCGATCGTTATGATTACTTTCTCTTTAATTTCAGGATACCAATAAATGCAGCCTATTTGCACAAGACACAAAATCTGCCATACAGTGAAATCCCGAACCTCATTCATTCTCCTTGGTAAAACATAGCAATGTACACATAACCTGGCTGAAAAGAGACTAAACATATATGAAACCGAGTTCACCCCGTCTTGCGATTTTCACGTTTCAGGCAAGAAATTTGGATAAATGGGTCTCATCGATTAACTTCCAAACACGGCCCGGCGTAAGTCATGGCTGGAATGACGATGTGAACACGGAGATCCTACAGGAATCGCATGGGTCGTGTTTCGTGATCTTTACGCATAATAATGATGACATAGTATTGTGCCACTACAGCCAGCCCTAAACAACGGCTCTCAATATGGAAATACAGAATTAGGCTCACATGGCCTTGGCAAGCATTCAACAGCTTCTTGAAATTCCATCAGTATACGTAAAATTGCTGTGTAAGGGGCAGCGTTTCCGCCGGCGCCGCCTCACAAACCTCCCCATCAGCCTCAACGGTATAACTCTCTGGATCAACACGCATGCGTGGCTTAAGGTCGTTATGGCGCATATCGCTCTTTCCAATAGATCTGCATCCCCGAACTGCTTCAATGCGACTGCGCAGACCATACGAGGCGATGGCCCCGGACTCGATAGAAGCGGATGAGACGAATAGAATACTCGTAGAGGCGCAGTGAGGCGAGAACATGGGACGGGCGATAACAGGTTGAACTGTCGGGATAGAGGCGTTGGGATCTCCCTGATACAATGTTAGTGGTTCGTTCAGTTTACAGACGGGGGAAAAAGAGTAGATATCTTACCATCTGAGCATACGCAATATGTCCGCCCTTGAGGACATAGCTAGGCTTCGTGCCAAACCACGCCGGATCCCACAAAACAAGATCAGCAAACTTGCCAACCTCGATACTTCCTACAACATGTCCAAAGCCCTGCGCGATGGCCGGGTTGATGGTATACTTGCTCACATAGCGTTTCACACGTGCGTTGTCAGCTCCTGTGCCCTCGTCCTCCGGCAACCAACCCCTCTGGATCTTATTCTTATGCGCCGTGTTCCAAGTCCTTAGAATGACCTCTCCGCAACGACCCATGGCTTGCGAGTCAGAGCTCATCATGCTGATGGCACCTTTATCGTGCAAGACATCTTCAGCCGCGATGGTCTCAGCGCGGATACGACTCTCTGCGAAAGCTACATCCTCTGGGATATTCTTGGACAGATGATGGCAGACCATAAGCATGTCGAGGTGTTCATCGAGAGTGTTGCGCGTAAACGGTCTTGTGGGGTTGGTGGACGACGGGAGCACATTCTGATGCTCTACAACAGAGATGATGTCGGGAGCATGACCACCTCCTGCACCTTCTGTATGATAGGTATGGATCGTTCGGTCCTTGAACGCAGCGATGGTAGATTCGACAAAACCAGACTCGTTGAGTGTGTCAGTATGGATGAGACACTGGATATCAAACTCATCACAGACACCGAGACAAGCATCGATAGCAGCTGGCGTGCATCCCCAGTCCTCGTGAAGCTTAAGGCCACATGCACCAGCGTTTACCTGGTCACGCAGGCCCTCGGGGGAGCTATCGTTGCCTTTACCTGTGATGCCAATATTGATAGGCAGCTGATCACATGCTTGAAGCATTTGACGCATGTAGTGAGCGCCGGGTGTACAAGTAGTCGCGTTGGTTCCAGCACTATTACAATGATAAGCTCCCGGAGCAACGTGTTGGAGGGGCATTGGACTAACCTTGGACCGGTACCACCGCCGAGCATGGTGGTTACACCAGATGCAAGTGCTTCGGGTATTTGCTGGGGACAGATAAAGTGAATATGCGAATCGATGGCACCCGCGGTAACAATCTTTCCTTCGCCTGCGACAACGTCTGTGCAGCTTCCAACGACCATTCCCTCAGTCACACCATCCATGACGTCTGGATTGCCTGCTTTGCCAATTGCCACAATCATACCCTCTTTGACTCCGATGTCTGCCTTGTAGATACCTGTCCAGTCAACAATAAGAGCATTTGTCACTACGAGATCGAGCGTCTCAGCGTCAGACCTTCCAGTTGCTTGGCCCATTCCCTCACGCAATGTCTTTCCGCCGCCGAATTTGCACTCATCTCCATAAACAGTCTCGTCGCGCTCGACCTTGATCCACAGGTCTGTGCTACCAAGTCGAACAAGGTCTCCAGTTGTAGGCCCAAACATGGTCGCATATGAAGCGTGATCCATCTGGAAGACGTCGATATGGGCCATGTCTCCTGCAGGATCCGGCTTGTGGGCATACCCAGCTTCTTGCAGGCGAGCGAGAATCTCGTCACTGCGTGAAAGATCGACAACACCCGATGCGAGATTGTTACCGCCGCGAATTAAACGGTTGCCGCCAATCTCAACAAGGGTAACAGTTTTGGTATCTCCAGGCTCAAATCGTACCGATGTTCCGGCCGGGATATCCAGTCGGTAACCGTATGAGTGAATACGATCAAACTCAAGTTGCGGGTTTGTCTCGATGAAGTGATAATGCGACCCAACTTGGATAGGCCGATCACCCGTACTCGTCACTTGAAGCCGGATTCTCTTCCTGCCCTCATTCAGAGTGATCTTCTTGGTCTTGACAGGCACCACGACACCAGGCTGCTTATCGAGTTGATACTCTTCTGCAGCTGCCATGGGAAAGACACTGCTGTCTGGCACTGGAAGGAAACTTCCATAAAGAGCACGACGCAGATCTCCATCATCTGAACTGATGGGGTTATGGACTGTAACGAGATATGTACCAGATGGAAAGGTACCCTCAACTTGAATCTCGTGGAGAGTGGTGCAGACAGAAGGTAGAACATGGCGACGTCCTAGCATTGTCGCACCCAGCGCCATGAGATCAGCAACAGTATGGTTTCCATCTCTGATGAGTTCATGAAGGTTATTAGCAATAAGAGCCTAGATTCCAGTGTGTTAGTCATGGCCATCGGCTCACATCTCTCAACAAGAGCCGACATTGAGTCGCAGCAATTACTCACCACAGCCTCTGAATGATTCAACTTAACACCTCTCGCCAACCTCCTCTGAGCAAGCACTCCCAGCTGAGAGATGACGAGCTTGTCGATCTGTAGAGTACGTTAGAGTGTTGCTCTGGTACCGTAGTCTCAACAACCCTGTTGCAGTACGAGCATGTCTCCAACCAACGACATGACTCCGCAAACTGGGTCTCTAGTCTTGGCGAATTTGGACGGACGAACCTCTTTAGGTACCAGATGCATCTTTATGATAATAAGCTCTTTCAGCTAGGGAGAGGTTAAAAGGTGAGATATAGAAAGAGGAGGGGTTCTAGTTGTAGTTCTCGGAACGGAATAGCCGATTCAAGAGTAGCCTGACTTTTTGCCCATGGCTTATTATAGTTTACTTGTTGTACCTTCGACTACTCTATGTACTTCCCCCACTATATCTCAAGATAACAGACTTCTTGGGGTTGAGTCCACTGATAAGCAAAGGCAGATCGATTGGTCGTATATCTGCGCGCGTTCTTTACAGGGGTTTGACATCATTAAATACACTCATTCCAGTCGATCATTGGCTCAGAAGTTGCTTATTATGTATGCTCTTATACATAGCTGATAACACTTCGCGAAGTCCGTAGCATAGCACTGACTTCTAATTCGAATAGTAAACCGCTGGTGACGGGACTGTCAGACCCTCACTGCAAACCCATCCGAGCAATCGTACTACCATACGTATCCTCCGGAATCAAAGAGCAAACAATGATGTGGTACTCCGTATCCATGACATATAATCGTTGTTTCAACTCCATCCTAGACCGTCCAACGCCTTTCTGCAAATCAAGTCTACCGCAACAGTAGAGAAAACAATTCTGAAAATCAGAGCCTAGAACTGAGATAGATAGGACCGCTATTCCTCCTCCACTTCCTCATCCCACTGCTCCTTTTCTTTGTTCATTAGTTTGGTCATGTCCATCGGTTTAAAGATAGAACTCTCCGGATCTGATATTCTCGGAACCTTGCGCAGGCTTTCATCGTCAAACACTGATCCAATGGTATCTATCCATCGCTTGCGGCGCTCCATAAGTGTCTTCGTAAGATCGCCAATGCCAGGTCGAGCCGTACCCGCAGCACCACCCACGAAGTGGCTACCACCGCCCGCACCTCCAGGCCGTTTTGTCTTTTTGCTTTTACCTATAGTCCGAGTTCTCTTGAGATATGCGGCCTGTACCTGAGAATCGAGATCCTCCAATATTGTCTGGTATTCCTGATAGGCCATGCGTTCACGCACAAGATCTGTAAGGCGAGATTTGCGCGCACCATTGATCAACATTTGCTCCTTGAGTCGATTTTGCAAAAGTCGCAGTCTCGCTGCCACTTCATCATCGTAATGGCCGTCGTACTCTGCTTCAAATCCTTCCAGAGGTAGAAATCCAATGTGTCTAAGCTCTTGCTTGATACGCTCATCAACCTGCGAATACTCCAGCTTCGGATGCGACGCCTTCTTCCAAGACTCGGTCGATGATTCGGGCATGAAGGCCGCAGGCTGTTGAACCGGTTTGTCGTCCAAGCTTGCAGGTTTGTCTTCGGCATCCGCATCTCCGTTCATGCTGATGTCTCCATTGGTAGTGCCATTTGTCGTCGGTTTGTCTTCTGCAGACTGTGCTCGAGCTTCTGGGCGAAGTGTTTGCATCAACCGGGTCAACCAGGGGCCAACAGATAGCTTATCTGTTTCCCCAACATCATCATCCATGTTGTCTATGCTTCCTCGCGGCTGGTTCTGCGGTAGCTTATCGCGCCCTTGTTGTGGCGCATCAATCGACATGGCACCATCTTCCTCAGCCCATATTTCTGTGTAATGTCTCTTGCCGCGCTTAGGCATGACAAAGGGTGTCACGCGATCTCCTCGTTCTCGTAGGAAGGCTAGGTCTTCCTCGGAAAATGGTCGGAAGTACGGTTCAACATATGTTGAGAAAGTGGTAAAGTTGATCTGACTGTTGGGCTTTGCGTTGCTGAAGTCCTTGTCCGGTGGATCGCCCGCTATGAGATCGGCAAGATCTGACGGAGGATATCTTGCGACGGAGTAAATTTCTTTGCGCTCCTCATCGGGCATTCCGGGATACGTCGGTCGAATTTCGTAGATGGTGGGATCAGGGAAAGTTGAAGGATCTTCGCCAAAGGTCATGGCTTGAGGCTGTTCGCGACGAGGCGGCGCACCCTCATCCTCAGAGCTTGAATCTTCTTCTTCCTCTTCCTCATCCTCCTTTTCTTCGGTTTTGGCCTTCTTGTCGACATCCATCGCTGAGGGTGAACCGGCGTGTGCGGGGGATAAGGGAGAACTTGGGTCGCGGTCTTGTTTGCGGTTTTTCGAATCTCGCATCGGTGATGAACGTTCTGTTGAAAATTAGTGGGAACCCGAGTTTAAACTGGTTGCCAGTTTCTGCCAGTGACGGCCGTCTGCCACCAGGCGCATGCCTCAGGCTTTTGGTGAAAAAAACTTACCAATATTGGTCTCCTGTGGTGCCAGTGTATCAGGCTTCTTTCTTTTGTGCTTTGGTCGTTTTCCCTCTTGTTCACCATCGGCACGGCTCCCATAATCTTCGGACGGTCGTTTCTTGCGCTCGTCCGCCAAGTGTCTCATACCGCGATCATAGAATGTTGAGCGCTTTTCCATAATATTAGTTAAACTTTTTAACCGTTCAATCATGCCATCGAGGCTCTTCGAATCTGGGATGGTCGCATTCAAGGCGGATTGGTCGACGATATCATCGTATGTAAGGTTGCGAAAAAGTATAACTCTAGTGTTGAGATAGTCGGGATCGTAAAACTCCTGCGGCGGGAGACTAGCTGTCGCGACTGGGGCCGGTGTCGTGTTGCGGCTCTGCTTGGGTATGGCCGAGTTCTTCTTGCCGGTTCCCTTCTGACTTGACCCCGGAGGCATTATCACGGGTGTTTGAGAGGGAAAGCCAGCGCAGCTTTCTCTGTTTCTGATTACGATGTCGGCTAAGTGTAAGTTTGTGGTTTGATGAGATAGAATCAGAGGTGAGGTTGGTGTCAAGTGTTTCGATGGTAATCGCGACCGGATCAACCACAGGCAGGAACGACACGGCTCGGATCGCGCGATCCTATCAACGTGCGTCACAAGCTTATTTAATGGAGGTACGTACCTACCCCTTGATGCGGGATCCCAGGCAGGGCATCTGAGGGGAAGGAGTGGGGAAGAGTGAAGTCGATATTGATTACCCTAGAGAAAGATCACCATAGCCAAGACTTTAACAATTAACTATCCTTTGCAATTTCATGGTAATTCATGTTATTGTTTATAGGGAGAAGTTAAACTCCTGTCACTCAAGGGCGTCTCTCTCGTCTGCAGCATTCACGTGACAAGATATTAGATTTCAACAATCGACTGTCAACACTGCTAACTACCCAGGCATGCTGTTATATCCACCTCGAGACGACAACACTTTTCCCGCCTGAATTTCTAACGCTGCACAAACAAATAATGATTCGCCGCTTGATACATGGAAAGAATCGGCATATTCTCCAGCAAGTCTACGAATCAGAGAAACCGGACTTGAGAATACCTAGGCCATTTGCTCAACTGTTGAAGGCAGTTGATTATCTTCAAGAACCTACCATGGTTGAACCCAGTGGACTTAAGGTTATCGTGCTCGCCAGTCTATGTTGAAGACAAGAGAAACTCATTGGTTGTGCGCAAGCCTAAATACCCCGGAATTTCTTCACTTCGTCATGTTTGGACCCTGAGGAACTTGACAAGCGTTGAGCTCCGTAGGCATGAGGACGGTTGTTGCCGTTGCAGCCGAAAACTCCCGTGCAAGTCACTTGGCTCTTGCTTTATTGCAACGAAGCGTCTATCACTCTATCAAGTATCTACCGCGTTCCCGTCCAATGTTAATGAGCTGTTATACTACACTACGTATGTGTCCGTACGTTAGTGTTGATGGCTCCATGTGGTGAACTACTCTTCTCTGATTGGCTGTTGGGCATGCCCTTCACGACGACCCGACTAATACGAAAACACCAAGTATGGCTCATCTTAGCAAGAAAGAGTGTGTGGTATTTTCTTTGTTTTCACGTGCAAGAAGACTGTTCTCATGGTCATCACTCAATCTTCAAGTGAAGATTGATGCATCCACAGACCAATGCCATTGGAGATCCAAGCTCTTTCATGACAGTGAATCCATACTCAGTGGCTCTGTCACTCAATGACCTCAACACCGTAATCGTCGTTAACACTCAATTGAAACATATCTACAGTACTAACTACCTATTTACCCCACTCACACGCTATAAAATAGACCAAGTCTTCACAACGAACGAAGGATGGCACATGTTTGCTGCCGCCGCAGCCTTGTAAGGTCCCTGAAACTCAACCAACTTTGCACATGTGCTTCAGTCATTGGCTCCCACCACCATTTCCCACCTCTTTGCTCATGCCCAGAATGAACCCTGGTGGCGGGGTCATCATGAATATCTGGTGGGGTTGAGTTGATCAACAAGGACCTGCAGACGCATGAGCAAGTAGATTGGCGTCGAGCACTTCGTGGGAGAAGCGTCAGAGCTGGCGATTGTGTACAATGGCCGTTCTACCGAGACTGCTTTACCCGAATTGGATTCCCGACCAGGTATGCTTGGTTTCAAACTCGCGTGCCTCGACGTATATAGCCCTGGACTGCCGTGGTTATGTTCCCAGGATTTCCTTCATCTTCAACCAGGTCGTGCGAACAGCTTTCAACACAGCTTTATAGCTCCATTATTTCAACAATTATTCTCTCAGAATATCATGAGAGAGTATCATGGCTTCTCATGTACGTATTTACTCAATCTCCAACCGTGGCTCCTACTAATCAAGCTACCAGGGTGGTAACATGTTTTCTCTGGCTAACGCCCAGTCTCTTGTGGCCGGTATTGTTGCAGCTGCCCTCAGCACGCTCTGCCTTACCTCAGTCTTCTCCAGCAAGAGTCAGGACGAAGCCCCAGGGTTAATTAAATCCTTCTTCCTCTTTTTCTACTCCTCTTTCATCAAACCCCACCAGGGCGGTATCAAGGGTAACCAGCAAGATGCCCTTGAGAGCTTTTACAAGAAGCAGGCCGGGGCTTATGATGCTACTCGAAAGGTCCTCCTCCGGGGCCGTGAGGATATGCTCGCCCTTGTCGCTGCACAGCTTCAGGCGAAGCTGAAGGAGACCAACTCCAAGTATAGCAACAAGAATAAGCGAATCTGGGTTGATGTGAGTGTGATAGGTGTCCAAATCACTCAATAAATGACTAATGTGAGGTCTTACAGATTGGCGGCGGCACTGGCTTTAACATCGAAGCCATGGGCGCATTTGTCAACGTCCCAACCTTCTTCTCGAGCGTATACCTTGTCGACTTCTCCCCTTCTCTTTGTGAAGTGGCTAGAAAGCGATTCGAGCGCCTTGGCTGGAAGAATGTAAAGGTTGTTTGCGAGGATGCTCGTAAGTTTCGTCTGGAGGATTACGAGTCGGGCATGCCCTCGCAGCCAATCCCACCTCGATCTCCAGCCTTGAGCTACTTTGACAAGCCGCGTCCGGACTTTGGTGGAGCGGATCTGATCACCATGTCATACAGCTTGTCTATGATTGTGAGTGTTTACAACCATTTTTGAACAACGAGAGCTAACCAAGTACTAGCCCGACTATTACTCGGTCATTGACTCTGTGACATCGCTCCTATCGCCCCAAGGCATCATGGGCGTTGTCGACTTCTACGTCCAAAACCAGACCGACTTTGCTTTCCGAAACTACACTGGTGGTTTTGTGGATAGGCATGTCAACTTCTTGTCACGAAGCTTTTGGCGCTCTTGGTTTGATCTCGACCGTGTTGGTCTTGAGCCCAGTCGCCGGGATTACCTCGAGTACAAGTTCGGCACTGTTCTCAATGTCAACACTCGCAACAAGGGCCTGGGAGCTATCCCATACTACATCTGGCTTGGATGCCATAAGAAGCCCTTTTCGTCGTCGAGTCTCCCTCACGAGATTGTCGAGCGTATTGATGCTCTGGTTACTGAATCGCCTTACATGTATCCCGTCAATCATGGAGATGCCTTGACACGAGCTATCGAGAGGTCTGCACCTGAGATTCGTTCTAAGGCTTTCCTCACGGCTGTTCAGAACCTCTCATCCAACCTGCCCCTTCCTTCTTTCTTCTACCAAAACCACCATTGGCGCATCTACTACGATGAGCAGCTCCCAAAGCACACCCAGTTCAAGGACGAGTATATCTATGCCTTCACTTGGGAGGACACTCGTGTCGACGAACGCCTGTTGAAGCTGGGTGCTGATGACAAGGTCCTAGCCATTACTTCTGCCGGTGATAACATCTTGTCGTACCTCCTGCAGAGTCCCGCCCGAGTTCATGCTGTTGATCTGAACCCCACTCAGAATCATCTCCTCGAACTCAAGGCAGCTTCTTACACTGCTCTTCCATACGAAGACTTCTGGAAAATCTTTGGAGATGGCAAGCACCCTCACTTCCGCGAGTTGCTTATCACTAAGCTCTCTCCTCATCTTTCTGGTCGTGCATTCCAGTACTGGCTCAAGAACATCCATGTTTTCCAGAACAGCAGCGGCTATGGTCTCTATGATACCGGTGGTTCTCGCCACGCTATTCGTGTCTTCCGTTGGATTGCTCGAATCTTCGGTCTTAGAAAGGCTGTGAAGCAACTCCTTGAATCCAAGACCCTCAACGAGCAGCGAGAGACCTGGCGTAGGAAGATTCGCCCCGCGCTCTTATCTAAGCTTGTGTGCAACCTGGTTGTTTCTCAGGAGAGCTTCCTATGGGCAGCTCTCGGTGTTCCCAAGAACCAGTTGGCCATGATTGAGGCTGATCATGCCGACTCGGACCTAGTCAAAGGTCCCAAGCCTACTGCCAAGAACACTCGTTCTCATGCTATCTGGCACTACATGGTCAACACTCTCGACCCTGTTGCTGAGGAGACTCACATCGTTGCTGATAACCCTTACTACTATGTCTGCATGGACGGCAAATTCTCTCCCAAGTGCCACCCTGATTATCTCAGCCCCAAGGCCCACGCGAAGCTGTCTCGCCCTAGCGCTCTCGACGGTCTCCGCATTCATACCGATGAGCTGGAGGAGGTTATTGCACGCATCACCCCTGGTACCCTGACTGTTGCTGTTGTCATGGACAGCATGGACTGGTTTGATACTGGCTCTCGAGCCGCTGCCGCTCAAATCACAAAGCTCAATCGAGCATTGACAATGGGCGGACGTGTGCTGCTGCGTTCTTCTGCGCTGACGCCTTGGTATATCAAGGAGTTTGAGAGCCATGGTTTCACGCCCAAGCGACATGGTGCCCGCACCGATGGAGCTTGTATCGACCGTGTCAACATGTATGCTAGTTGTTGGATTTGCGCCAAGTCAGAGAACTTGCCTCCTCCTACACCTGAGATGGATCGAGCTGGAGGATCTGAGATTACATCGTTGACTATCTAAACAAAACAGTAGGAGTTGGCCTGACGTAGGGAAATCGATATCATGAGACGTATGACAGCAGATTAGCACGGCAAAATTACAATACAATTGATTTCGCGCAGCCTCACTGATCCCCTTGCCATGACTGTCAGTCAATATCATGACCAATGCGGCATATACCCTGTAAATACACAGGGAAAAAAGTAGTCACAGTGATCGTACGTTCTACCATCCAAGAATAGTGTAAGAAAGTAACCGTCTTATGTGAAATTGACGCAATCTCCGTTAACTCAAAGGGAATTTTTCTATACAGGTGCCTGCAGTCACAAACCTGCGCGACAAGTAATACCACCATTGGCATCCTTCCTTCATACACACACATATCAATCAACGCTACACCACTCTACGCCTTCCAGACCCGTCTAACAGCCTCAGTGATACCAACGTCGTTGGTCTCGAACTCGTACAGACCAACACCGACAAGCACTGTGGCGGCGTTGAGGAGCCAGGTGAAGACCTTGCGGAGGCCAGGGTGAGTCCTTGTGGGGATGTAGTCGATAACAACCTGCTGGAAGCCCATGTGGGAGTGGAGGAGGAGAACGCTGCAGAGGATGGCGTCGAGAGTAGGGTTGAGAGAGCCAGCGGCGAAGGGAGCGACGGTCAAGGGGATGAGGCCGGCGGCGAGGAGACGCTCGAATGTCCAGTGGTAGGATCCGTGGGCGGAGTTGGGATCGGGGATGGGAGCAGGGTCGTTGACTAAGGAATATGTTAGCTATTAAGCTCTGTATCATGTGAAGCCGTCGAGTTGCGATTCAGCTTCGGGATAAGTTGATTCGTACCACTACCCTGAATGCGCTCTGTGATATATGGTTAGCAGAAGCTCTTGACAGTACAGATATCCCAACGTACGAGGTCCAGGTGGGAGAATAGCAGATCGTCGAGTAGTGTTGTGGAAAGCCGCAACACCCTTAAGCTGAGTACGGATGCTAGGCATGAAGGCGCTTCGGGTCGCGGGGGCAGCGGCCAATCGAGAAGCCATAGCGGTCTGCCTAAGCAGAGAGGAACGCGCAATTGAGGCCATTGTGAAGTATTCGGAGGATTCTTGCGGTTGTTGTCGCGGCGCTCAATTGGTGGCTGCTTCGAAGGGCGTTTGTTTGGTGAGCAGAGTTGATGATGTAGACTATTGGGATCCTTCAATTCGGAACTGGAAGCCCATTGCCGAGGATCTCGAATTACCTTTTCTGTGATTGGTTGGCTGCATCCCGAAGGTTTCCCTGTGGTGTGGATACTCAGTGCCCACTGAGATCCAATAGCGCTCGCTTCTTGAAGTTGTCTCTAATTGGTCAACTCTTTCAAGGAAGATCTCGTCCGACGTCGCTTGGGAATTTTTTGGGGCTAACAGCTTGAAGCTATTGTCCAGGCGTGGAGGTTGTTCCAACTCCAACGATCTGGAATTTCTATATTGACGATCTTTTTCCCTTCCTCTCCTCCAGTTCTCTCCTAATCTGAGCGCTTTGCTCCAACCTTCAATCATGGCGACTCGCGCTGTCGTCTCAAGAATTACGCCCACAAGACCTGCCCTATATTCGAGATGTCTTAACGGGCAACGATCCATTCAAATTCGATACATTGCGACAACATACCTTAAAAAAGTTGCGGAGGGCGAAGAGCGATGGAAGCAAAGGGCCCAAAAGATTGAGAGTGGCGAGATTCCCCATACGTGGGACGTTCTTCAAGAGCGAGGATATATCAAGGATGTAGCAGGGTATGCGACACTGCCCATGATGCTCAAGCGAACCTATATCTAACTTATACCCAGGTCCCCAGAAAAGATCAAGGAGATTATGCGAGTCAAACGAATAGGTTCTTACGTCGGTATCGACCCCACCGCCGATTCGATGCATGTTGGTCACTTGCTACCTCTCATGCCTATGTTCTGGATGTGGTTCCATGGTTATCCTGCTGTCACATTGATCGGTGGCTCAACTGCGCGTATTGGTGACCCTACCGACCGTCTCGAGAGCCGACAGATTCTTTCCAATGCCGATATTTCCAAGAACATCACCAAGATACATGTGCAACTGACAAGATTATGGCAAAATGTTCACATCTTAAAGCAAAAGTACGGCTACGCGGAAGACTGGGCTGCCACGCATCGGTTGTTGAATAACAACATGTGGTTAGGAAACCTCACACTATACGATTTCGCCAAGAGGATAGCCAGACATACTAGAATTGGGCCTATGCTGGCTAAGGATACGTGAGTTTTCCCTTCAGACTCAATCGTTTTAAGATTCTGACTTGATATTGCAGTGTAAAGCGCAAGATGACCGAAGGTGACGGCATGTCATTGGGCGAATTCATGTACCCTCTCCTCCAAGGTTGGGATTTCTGGCACATGTACAACAAACTCGGCATCCAGATGCAGATTGGAGGTTCTGACCAGTACGGCAATATCACCGCCGGAATCGATGCCCTCAAGACCATTCGCGAAACTGAGGAAGCTCCTCACCTGAAGATGCCAACAACTTGGGAGCACGAGCCAGTCGGGTTTACCGTCCCTCTATTGACTGACTCGTCCGGCGCCAAGTTTGGCAAGAGCGCTGGCAACGCTGTGTGGTTGGATGAGTTCAAGACGACAGCATTTGACTTGTACGGATACTTTGTTCGGCGCTCCGACGAGGAGGTGGAGAAGCTGCTCAAGATGTTCACATTCATGCCTCTGGAGAAAATCGCCAAGACAATGGAGGAGCACAGAGCGAACCCCCAGGAACGTAAAGCGCAGCACGCACTGGCCTTTGACGTTGTTTCTCTCATTCACGGTTCGCAAAAGGCTCTCCAGGAGGCGAAGCAGCACGAATTCCGTTTCGGCACTAAGCTCCCCGGTGGGATTGTCAGCGAGCCAACAGCTGAAACTGGCATTGTCACGCCCAACAATGCCCCAAGAAGCGATATCCAACTTCCTCGCTCTATCATGGAGCTGTCACCGGCCAAGATCCTCCACGCTTGCGGCCTCGCCTCCAGCAGCAGTGAAGGCCAGCGTCTGCTCAGTCAACAGGGTGCCTATATCGCCGCCCAGCCCGGTCAGAAGCGAGGTCTTGTCCCTGGAAACCTGTCCTGGACGCCCATGAAGGCGTGGTTTCCCGAAGAGACCTCCAAGTTCCTCATTGACAACCGCATGCTCATCATGCGCAAGGGCAAGCACAACGTGCGTATTGTCGAGCTCATCGACGAAGAGAAATGGAAGAAGAGTGGCCAGATCTACCCAGGCCAGGCCGGCACTGGTCTTCTCCGCAGGATGAAGGAGGAGCTGAAGAAGGAAATGGAAGCGGACGGCAAAAAGGTAACGGACGAGCAACTTGCCAGGATTGCGCAACGGAAGAAGGACCAGCTCAAGGTCGCCAACAACCCCAATATTGAACTGCCCGACAAGTACGAGATACGTGATCGCTACAGATCGGGAGGTTCCGAAAAATAAGGAGGGATATGTCCAGTATTAGCGTACGTCCGCTGTGTAAGATGACACTGTACTATATTGTAATCTGCATGATACCATAGAAATGATGTAAAATGTATAAGCCTCATGGGTATGAAAATTTTGCTGGATCTATCTGTAAAAGACTGCTAAATCCCCCTTTGGAACCGGCAACTTCTTGAGCTTCTCCATGATATCGCTGTCCGTCATGTTCTGCTCCGTGATGATCTGATCAAAGTGGTGACGGCCATCTGTGTACTTCTGCAACGGGTCTCCTCCTTCGACAGGACGGCTCTGGCCAGATGCTAAGGCAGCCAGATACTGCTTGGAGACAACAAATTTATGAACGCGATAAATGCAGCCTTTGATGATACCGAACTGGACAAATCGGCGGACATCAACAAACCGGAGAACCTCGAAGCCTGAGTCTTGATGCACCTTAAGCCATTCCATAACTGATTTCCCAGGAGCAAAAGTAGACATGAGTTTGATGAGGTGGTAGTTACTCACGAGACCCCGCCCGTGGGACACATAAGCAGCACATTCATCAGCCATACCGTCAACATTTCGAATAAAGTCATGGATGCCAGGACGCGGGGCGTAACAGGCAGAGAAGAAGAACATATCGAGGAGGAGAATTGTGTCGTAGTATAGAAGATGGCGGAGGGCGGTTTTGGCGAGCTCGAGTGAGACAGATGCTGCGTGGGCTATACGTCGAACATCGGAGACACCATCTATGTGTGATATGACTTTTTGGAGGGTAAGATCCCAGGTCGGATCCATAATATCGGCAAATTTGGCCTTGGGGACTGGGACATGCCAGCCTCGAACCCTGGGAGGATCAACGTGATGAGGGAATAGTTTCATGTTGATTGTATTGGCGTCGTCTGCAAGGAGGTGAGTATAAACTCTACTTGAACGATCAATGGCAAGACTTACCAACCGGAATCATGCACTCTCCATAATTGTCCAAATCCTCCTTGACGATCTCCAGTAGACTGTCAATAGGCCTCCTCCCTGAGCCCTTAGTCTCTGCATTCTGGCTCAGATACTCATTCTGCCTCTCCATCTCGGAAAAGGTAGAAGCGAGACCCCGAACGACGCGCTCGTACGGGACGTGATCAACGTCAGCGTCGAGGACGAGGCCAAAATTGAAAATGAACTCATTTCGGAGATACTTTGTGTTGGGGATGACAACTGGATATCCTAACACGGTGTACTTTCCGTCAGGTGTGTTGATGGTGAGGTAGCGGTTGCAAAAGGCCTGCCTAGGGATGATGTACTCATGAAGCACGTCGAAATCGATCAGAGGAGGTTTGGTTGAGTTGTCGACGGGGGTGATACAGCCTGCGGGAGACTGAGCGACCACCTTGGGCCCTGTGTTATATTAACATGGTGTTTTTATGAGCATTCTGGCTTGTGAAATTACCCTCTTGAGGGAAGAACCTGGCGTAAAAGATGCCTTGGATCATGATGAACTTTGGGTCATGGTTTGGAGTTGATCATGCCCGTTGTCTGAACAAACTTGAGTTTCAGCACGCGCCAGCCCTTGCTACGTAGTGTATAATACTTTGTGTCTTTCGATAGATCAATTCAGGGCATTTTTACTGCTGGTAGAGTTTACGAATGAGATGGAAATGATGGTGAGCGTTGAAGATGGTGGAGTGAAGTCCACTGTTCAACTCAGTTGAGCAAGTGCACTATTTCCCCGCGCTAATTGGTTACCCTGGATTAATCTCAACACCAACCTGATAACATGAGAATATGATACGATCCTTGAACCATCCCCGTGTAGGCAATCAGAATTGAAGGCTTGGAGAGTTAACAACCTGAACCATCTTCTGTATGTCTCATTTATCTTGTCCGTACTTTCCAGCCCAAGACTACGTGCATTCATGGGTGTGAGGCTTCTACTTCCATCACGCGTTTATTTATACACAGCCTAAACCTATGAAGCACAGCCTCTCTATCTTAGTATGTGGAAGAGGTAGACTTTATTGATGACGTCCGCGTTGCCGGTTAAAGATACATCGTGTCTATGCTCCGTTCCGGAAATGAGGAATACCTGTCTAGGATAGTCGAGTAATCTCGCGATAGAAGATGATGGACCGCGGTGGAATATGAAAGGGGTTCTTGTTAAATGATTAAAAGACGGATGGTTCTTTATAAGCTACCATATCCAAGTCAAATTTATACCTTTAATCAATTACTTTACATAAATATTTTCCAGGCACATCTTCTATAATTATTTAATTATTGGGTAATCAATCAACACCTTGACGTTATTAGTTTCCAGTTCTAGATTATCCACAGCACGTCATTGGCAGCAAAAGTTGCCCCACGTCACTATCCCCATAAGTTAGTGACAGTACCACCTGAGCCCTGGGAGTTGAGAGCCAAGCATCCAGATCCATCCAACCCAGCACCGGACCCTCCTTCTCCAGGCTTCGCTCGAATCGAATTACCTGCTTTCGACTTCGCCTTTGGACTCCTCAGCCCGAGACATAATCTTCCTCTTGCATAATAAAAATTGCAAAACTTTCACCGTCAACAGCATTCTCGAATATAACCACCGCGATCGTATCATATTATACCTTCTAGAACCCCCCAAGAGCTCTCCCCGCTCTTACTCAACCCCTCCCACTATCACTTCTCAACCATCTCGTTGCGCCGCGACACGCCATATCGTCAGTCTCCACGATGGCCGACAACCCCGAACCGAGCAGTGACTCCCAAATCACCTTCAAGGTGAAGACATCGTCCGAGAGTACCCACAGTGTCACCATGAACGACACATCAACTGTTCTCGACCTCAAGACCAAGCTCGCGGGCGAGGACTTTGAGAACATTCCTGTTGACCGACAACGCCTAATCTACTCTGGCCGAGTCATGAAGAACGATGATGCTCTAAGCACCTACAAGATTAAGCACAATAACACAATCCACATGGTCAAGAGCGCTGCCAGCAATCAACAGCCCAACCAGACTCCCGCCGCCAGCACCTCCAGATCGACACCCGCCCCCGCCAACATGGCTTCTGGCACAGCGAACCAACCGTTCGCTGGATTGACTGGTGCGAGATACGCTGGATTTGGAAACGGTCTTCCTGGACCTGATATGTTCGGTCCTGACGGTGGCGTACGTGCAATGCCAATAACCTAAGTATCCCGTATCTTGTTGCTGACGTACACTTTCAGATGGGCGCACCTATGGACGAGGCACGCATGCAGCGACTCATGGCCGATCCCAATGTCCAACAATCCATGAACGAGGCTCTCAACAACCCCGATTTCATCAACATGCTTATCGATTCGAACCCTATGCTCAGAAACATGCCCAATGCTCGGGAGATAATCACTTCCCCCTTCATGAGACAGATGATGAGCAACCCCGAGATGATGAGTCAGGCTATGCGAGTGCAGCGCCAGATGCAAGGCGGAGAATCTGGTGGATTTCCCGCTCCTGGAGCCACTGACACCACGCCTCAGGGAGCAGCGAGTGGAGGTAATGCACAAGGCAGTGATGGACAGCCCCAACAAGGCCTGCAAAGCCCTTTCATGAACCCTTTTCTGTCAAGCCTGTTGGGAGGTCAACAGGGTAGAGGAGCACCGCCTGACTTTTCACAAATAATGCAGCAGCTCCAGGGCCTCGGCTCATTGCAGAATGCGGGTGCGACTGGCCAGACAGGATCAGGAACCACACCTAGCCAAGGTGCTATGGGTGGCTCTGGCGGTGCGCAAGCTTCTGGAACAACGCCCAGCGAAGGCGGTGCCCAGCAGAGTTCGACTAGTCCGCCTCCCGCGAACCCCTTCGCGGCACTCTTTCCTACTCCTGGATCCGCGCAGCCCAACAACCCCTTTGGCATGAACCCTGAGATGATGCAGCAGATGATGCAGATGCTTGGCGGTGGAGGACTGGGTGGTGCAGCTCCAGCTGCGGCCCCTGCCGACAACCGACCCCCCGAAGAGCGATATGCTGAGCAATTGCGCCAGTTGAATGATATGGGGTTCTTCGACTTTGACCGAAACGTTGCGGCACTGAGACGAAGCGGCGGGAGCGTTCAGGGTGCCATCGAGCACCTGCTTAGCGGTTAATTTGCATACTTAAGATGAAAGCTTTGGGGCTCGAGTGTTCGCTCAGCTCAGCAAGGTGTGGCATTTTACGTGGGAGACAGGTCAGATTAGTCAGGTAATACATATTGACACTGGGAGAGATATCTCTCAAGCGAAGAATGGAGCGGTTGATATCAGACTAGTACATAATTCTTCAGCAGTTGAATTGTGATATTGTATTGTGACTACTTGACAATTGGACATGATTTTAGTAGTAATTTATGTCATGAGGCTGGGATGTTGTACTGTGCCTATGCTACCTTGTCCTGCATCATATTAGTGAATTTGGGGCCGATCACTGGGGAAGATGCCTCGGCTCATGGATGTCTTCCCCGCGTAACCCCAGACTCGCCGCGACAAGGTAACCGACGTCAGCCATTAAATCTTTATCTGTAACCTGTCGTCTTTTACTCAACCTCATTCATCAACTGTGATTTGTCTTTTTGCAACATCTTGGTAACTGCAGAACCGTTTCTCCATACTCATAAACACTTGTATACGGTTAAAGCTTCAACTTACGGTGATTCACACTCATAACACAACCAATACATACCTTCATCATGCGTGGCATTCAAATCACAGAATATCTCAAAGTAAACACCCCAATTCTCATCAAAAACTCCAGGAAATGAACCTCGCTAACAAACAAAAAAGGGGCCTGATCAGCTCAAGGTCTCCGACCTTCCCGATCCCAAGCCTTCAGAAGATGAATACCTCATTCAAGTACACGCCGCAGCAGCCAACTTTTTCGACATCCTACAGATCCAAGGAAAATACCAGAACCAACCCCGTAAGCCTGCTGCCTCCTCACTCCCACAATAAAATATTAACGCTCGTTCAGCCTTCCCTTGGATCGCCGGCGCCGAATTCGCAGGCACGGTCATCGCCACGCCCACTAATTCTTCCAAGCCCAAGTTCCCCGTTGGATCGCGCGTCTTCGGCGCATCCCAGGGTGCGTTCGCGACAAAGATCCGCGCCAAAGAGAACACCCTCCTCCCTGTTCCTGACGGCTGGTCGTTCAAAGAAGCTGCTGGCCTGTTTGTCACTGCGCCGACGAGTTATGGTGCGCTGGTAGTCAGAGCCGAGGTCAAGAAGGGCGATTATGTGCTTGTCCATGCTGCGGCTGGCGGTGTTGGTCTTGCAGCTGTCCAAGGTATGAATTGCCTCAGAGTATGGTGATGTGAAAACTAACGTGGAGTAGTGGCCAAGGCATTTGGCGCAACAGTCATTGCGACAGCTTCAACGCAGCATAAGCTCGACATCGCAAAGTCATACGGCGCCGACCATGTGATCTCCTACAACGACGCCTCATGGCCCGCGCAAGTCAAGAAGCTCACCCCCAACTCCCGCGGCGTCGACATCGTGTACGACCCAGTCGGTCTTGTCGACCTCTCCACCAAGTGCACGGCGTGGAACGGTCGAATTCTGGTCATCGGCTTCGCCGCAGGCAAGATTGAAAAGGTAGCCATGAACAAGGTCCTCCTCAAGAACATCTCCATTGTGGGACTACACTGGGGCGCGTATTCTATCCATCAAAAGGAGATGATCCCTAAGGTCTGGGAGGGAATCATGGGCCTTGTTAAGGAGGGTAAGCTCAGGGGTACAGAGTATACCGATGAGGAGTTTGTTGGATTGGAGAGGACTGGGGCTGCGTTGAAGGCGCTGGGAGGTAGAGGGACTTGGGGAAAGGTTGTTATCAAGATACCCGAGGAGGGGCAGAGCAAGCTATAGAGGGTGTGTGTAGGGAGTGTTTGATATGACTGGAGGAGATTGTATATCAACAAATTATTGGATATCACAACCTTCATAGACAGGGAATGATTTACCACAGATGATACAAGCCCTGTGTCTAGTATGAGTTCGGTATCAATGGTCTAACTTTACTGTAAATCCATCTTTGGTGTATCATTTCCCTCCTTGTGATCAAAACCCACCTCTTAATCTAATCTCATGTCCAAGTCTACCAGGCTACTGTTGCTGCTGCTGCTGCTGCTGCTGCTGCTGCTGCTGCACCCCGGACGCCATAAGCTGGAACTTGTCCAGCACCTCTTTGTCAACATTGACTGCCCACTGCTCCTGGAAAGCCTGCTCGCCTCCAACTCTGTTTACCAAATCCTGCAGGCGTATCTTGACAAACTCGAACGCATGAACAGTGTGCACCGGATCCTTGCCATGCATGTTGCGATCTGCGACGATCTTGGGGGTATCATATTCGCTGGGCTCCAAAGGACCCCAAATCAGAGTATCACTGCCGTTCGCGACGCCGTCCTGCAGCTCGGAAATCACGTTGATCCACATGTCAAAGTAGTCCTGGAGCTTACTCAAGACCAGCTCTTGCACGGGAGACTGTAGTTCCAGTAGTCTTGTAAGTCCCAGAAGATAAAGCTTCTGTCGCTCAATGTGGTCCATACCCGATATATGCGAGAACCATTCAGACGATAGCCAGGCCCAGACCTGGTCCAGAGAGCCCATATTGGTCAGCATTTGGGTGAAAAGTGTGGGTTCAGAAAGAGCAAGGCGTCCTAGGATTGCAAAATAGTCCGTCTCAGTAATAGTGCTGAGCTTGCTGACCTTTCGATTGGGACCTGTGGTCTGGTGTGATTCCCAAGCGTCGTGAAGGTTTCCAAGGAGCTTGTTCATGAAGCCAATCTCAACCATATCAGTCAAGATAACTTCAACGCCGCTCGAGCCGCCAAGCTCTACAGCGGCTCGGATGAGGTTCTCAACACAATTTGTTCCCAAACGGACTTGTTCTCGGCTCTTGGAATCCAAAATATTAGACAAAGCGCTCAATGTAGGGCGGCGCAGCCGATCTTCCAGTATAGAGCCAGGTGCTAGAAGAATGTATGACTCGACAGCAGTGAGGGCTAAAGAAGCAGTCTCGCTATCGTATTCGAGAAGTGGGAGGGCAAGCTCAGCCAAGTTAATCAACTCAGAGGCCAAGGGAGCATAGCTCTGCATCAGGATATTATTCCACAACTCCAAGGATTCGTCGATTAGATGAAGATGTAGGTCCGACCCTCGGCGAGCTGCCTCTGATAGTAACGGTAGCATGAAATGCTGATAACGCTGAGAGTCAGGACCCATGCTCATGACCAAGGCTGCAAAGATGGATGTGACTGCCTGCTTAATCATATACTCTTCAGCCCCTGACTTTTCCCACACTGTGGGAAGAGCGGACATGAGTTGGTCTCCGAATTGTGAGACTTGTTCCTCCATTCGTGTCACTAGGATGCGGATAGACTCAAGAATTGCCAGCTTAGTTTCGTCCACCTCAACACCCTGAACGAGGTTGATGAGTTGTGATAGAACATCAGATGTGTATGGTAGGAAGGCATCAACATTGAAGTCGAGCTCATCAGCAATCCAGCGCAGTTGTCTAGCCGCAGTGATTCTCACAACCACATCGTTGGTCTCATCTTCCGGGTTGAGGAAATGTCGATAAATTTGGTAGACGATAGGTCGGCTGGAATCATCCAGTTTGACAGGCGCCCACTGACTTACGAGAATGGCAATCCGTCGTCGCAGGACCTGGCAAAGACCACCCTGTAGCTGGGCATCATTGACGATTGTTGAGGCTAGAACACCATCAAAGTCAAATACTTGATGAACATGAGCAGCTGCAAGGCCCATTGCAGTATATACGGCTTCTTTGGTAGCAATGTCCGCCTGAGGGCTTTGTGCTGTCTGGAAATAGGACAGCAGGGGAGGAATCAGTAACTCCTTGTAATTTGTGAGGAGATCAAGGAACAGTTTCTCGGCGCAAGGCCGCACTTCCCACTCATAAGCATTTCCTTCGCTTTGCTCCTGTTGTTCCCACTCCTCTGGATCTTCTTCCCAACCTTCAAGATCCGACTTACGGAACACAAAAAGGTGGGTAATGATTGAGTTCACAATTTGTATGACTAGATCAGGTTTCAAGAGTTCCGACTTGACGAGAGTCTTGGCTTTCTCCTGCTCTGCTTTTGTCTCTGGGCTTCTCCATCTGAATGTCTGAACATGTTGGAATGCTATTCGAACGCAGGACCTGAGAAGAAGAAGTCCCTTGAGAGCCAATCTCTCCAACACAGGGCCCTCAACCTTGGACTTTGCCGATCCGGCCTCTGAAGGCCCTTGCCGGATACCACCAGATTGGTCAAATACTTCCGCAAATTTTGCAACAAGTTCCCAGTACGATAAAACTAGAGGAATGGAGTTGGGGAGGAACACAAAGCTGGCGGCATGTTGGTCCGCCATGTCAATGTGTAGCTTTGTAAACTGAAGAAGGTGCTTGCCAACGATATCCTGGTAATTTGTTGGAACAGCCGAGTCGTGGCTAACAAAGTTGAGTAGCTGCCCGAACTGGTTCTGTGACAAAGTCCAGAACTGCTCAACGGTGTTATCACTGTGGGGTCGCTCGTAGCCCATAATGACAAGCCGACGAAGAATTCTGAGTGCAAGCAAGCTGTTTTGCATAGCCAAATTGACCTCTTCTTCGCCTCCGGGTCCACCCGTGAGAAAGCCCATCCAGGCCTGTGATTTTTCGGAGTAGATCTCTGACAATACATGAACGATTTCAGGGGTGACAGATTGTAGAGCGGTCTGGTTCTTTCGCATTCGTGCTGTTCCAAGTTCCTTCACTACTCGAAGAAGAATCTCGAGGATGCCATGGAGATGTTTTGGGTTGCCATCTCGGGTTGAACGAAGGAGCTCAATAATATTTCCCATAGCATCTGGCCACTCGCCAGGATAATCGATCCTAACGATTTTTGCGACCACAAGAGCATTGTGTAGGGCAAGGCTGGTATGTTCTTCCTCAATGGATCCTTCGAACAGTCGTGAGCGTATTAAGCTTTTCTCGTCTGGTTTTATGCTGTTCTTGACTTGGTTAAATAACCGCCAATACCGATCGATTCCATTTTTAAGCTGAATAATGGCAAGAAACCGGGCTTCGTAGGCAAGGGACTTGTCGAGGTAAACAGCCTAGAAGATGGTAAGTACCTGTATAGACGGTCTGGGGTCGCTCATAGACTCACCTGCAACGAAGAGTAGTAGCCTGGCTGGAGCTCCCACGATGCTAATTGTTGCCCTGCCGTCAGGCGTTGCGCACTATTGGTGGTCGAACCAGCGGCCAGCAACGTCTGATAAAGCGATTGCAGAGACAGCGGGTTCGCATCGCCGGGAACTTCGATAGCGAAGCTCATGATGAGAGCCAGCGGCGGCTTATGTCCGCGAGAGCCGCAAGATTTGTTGAAACAGCCAGAGACGTGGGGCCTGGGCTATGGCGACCAGATAGCAGAATGTGTCTGTAAAAAGTGCGAGGAGTAAATTGCGGTATGAACAAGAGTCGTGGATTTTGGCTAACGTTGGTCGATGCTCACGTAGTTGCTCTGTTTGTATGGCGGGGTTCCATTGGGTTGTTAGCGTTGGGGAGGGGTTGCACAAAGAAAGACCCATGCCACAATGTCCATGGCATGGTCATGACAGTACCTCTATAGAACAAAGACACTCAACATTCAGGCTATAATTTTGGGTTTATGTACAGTAGGCGTGCAAAAGTTCCGACAATTTCCTCTATTCAATATTTTATAAAGATTATATAAATTATTAAAAGCTCTTTTAAATTTATTAAATATCAGATAATATAGTTCTAAGATTATATAACTATAGAGTTTTCTAAATTTGATATATTTAATATAATCTATTCTGATCTAACCATCTCTTGTTGGCTCGTTATCAATTTTATCTTTCATGATCTGACTGGCTCCTCCGGTGTTATAGTTCGCACATTAATAAATTATACGTACATCCATCTTCGTATAGCGACTGTCATCACTCTTCAGCGCAAGAGATGAGTTAGTTACCTCCATGGTTCAGGTTGTTTTCCTGCCGACTCCCGATAGGCGAGTGCTGACCGCTAAGAATAGCGGCCCGGGCTGCTCGCTAGGCTTTAAGCAGTAACAAGCTGTCAGGCGTCATTCAACGAATTCAGGTGGGTTTGACTTCCATTTGATTTCAGCAGAACGTCGGATACAACACGCGCAATTGCGTGAGTAACCAGCCATGATCCGCTCAAGAACCGCCCGGGCGGCAGTAAACCTCCCCCTTAAGAGACAATGGACATGTACGCAATGCCTCTCGCGCAGTCGCTTCTACTCCCAGAAGCCCGTAACCGAAAAGCGAGAACCTCCGGACCATCGCAAACTTGGTCTTCAGCAAGAGCTCTTCATCACCTCGATCTACAGCCCAGGATCTCCCATTTTCTTACCGAATGGTGCCCGGATCTTCAACCGACTTGTCGACTTCCTTCGAAAACAATATGTGCGGTATGGGTTTGAAGAGGTCATCACGCCAACCATCTACAAAAAGTCACTATGGGCAAAATCAGGCCATTTGGAAAACTACGCCGACGACATGTATGCTGTGAGAGGGAATACGGAACCGCCACCCGCGAATCACGATGGGTGCTGTGGTAGTAGCCAGGAAAACTTGAAGCCAGATGAGGAGGAAGAGGGTATTTATGGTCTCAAACCCATGAATTGCCCTGGCCACTGCCTTATTTTTGCTTCAAAAAGACACAGTTATCGTGATCTTCCTGTCCGCTACGCAGACTTCAGTCCTCTACATCGCGACGAGATTTCTGGTGCTCTTAGCGGACTCACCCGCGTTCGACGTTTCCACCAGGACGATGGACATATCTTTTGCCGGCCGGTTCAGGTCGAGGAAGAGATCAAGAAGACCTTGGACTTTGTCAAAGTGGTTTACACGGTTCTGCGATTCGGTGCGAATTACCGACTGGCACTTTCCACGCGACCAAAAGACCATTACATCGGCACTGAGGAAGAATGGGATCAAGCCGAAAACGCCTTGAAGCGAGCGTTGGACGCATCAGGCATGGAGTGGGGAGTAAACGAGGGAGATGGTGCTTTCTACGGACCCAAGATCGATATTGTTCTTACGGACTCTGACGGAAAGGAACATCAAACAGCCACCATCCAACTCGACTTCCAGCTTCCCAAGCGATTTGAACTTGAGTACCAAGCTCCTGCTCCCGAGTACGAAGCTAGAGGTGAGACAACCGAAGACCCTGCTCTTCTGGCCGAGTATGGACCCGTCCGTCCTGTCATGATCCACCGCGCCGTCCTGGGTTCAGTCGAACGTCTCATGGCACTCTTGATCGAGAAGTACGACGGCCAATGGCCCTTCTGGCTCAACCCCCGCCAGGCCATCATTCTTACCGTTAACAATACCGAACCTGTTCTACAATGGGTCGAGCATGTACGCGACGTACTAGTTGGTCATAACAAACAGCTTTACGAAGATTTAGAAAGTGGCAGGCTTCCTGGCCAGAACATTGTCTTCCGGCCAACTGGACTTGCAGTGGATATTGACTCGACTGCTCGACCGCTAGGAGCCAAGATCAAGGAGGCTCAAAGTAACGGCTACGGCCGAATTCTAGTGGTCGGCAAAGACGATGTTGAGAACAGAAAGGTTGCGATGGGTAAGGAGAGATTGACACCACAGGATTTACGCGAGCGGTTGAAAACTATGGTAGAGACATTTGCTTAAACAGCTGTCGTGTAAAACGACGTGTAGAAATTAGTATAGAAATATACATGCAAAATTTCATGTGTTCGCTATACCAGTCTTTCTTCCCAAGTTACGTTGGTAGCGTGGCGCTGCTACTATGGCGCGGCTCGTTGCTATATCGCAATCTTGGGTTGGTCAGGTGGCTGGTTACAAGTGCTAGGTCGAGAATGGGATCATCCAGCCTGATGCTCGACGTTGTCCCGTCTCGAGCCTCTGTGACTGTCGACGCTTAGTTTTTAAAGACCATCTAATATGTGAATCACCCTCTTGTACGACCTGGGTTTGTCGCTTGCTGATATAACGCCCTGTAGACGCGGTTAATGAACCGATCAATGAATGTGGTCACCCGACAACTTACTTTTTATGCTTTTCATCCACTTCACCACCAGCCTGTTCAACACGGTCAACCAACGCCTGGCGCTCTGTGAGTTGCTCTCGCATATAATCCACCGTGCGCTTCAAGACCAATCCTTCAGATCTGCCCTGACCTTCCAAGCCGGGCACCAGCTCTGTCAACTTATCGAAGCCCTCACGAATCGCCTGCCGGCGCTTTTGCTCTGGTCGATGCGCGTCAGTGACCGATGTATCGAAACATGATTTGAGATCATGCGAGATGTTGTGCGACAGCTGCAATCACATGCACAGAGTCAACTTACCAGATGCGATGTGGTTCTGCTTCTTTTCCTCCTCAGTGAGACGCGGTTTTTCATCGGCCCCGCCATCGCCATTCGCAGGTGACTTATTATTCGGAGAAGACATGATTTGAGACTGTATTCATAAAGTTCAGGACTGTAAAAAAAACTTAAAGGCAGATGCGCAAATGTTATAAAAGTTTCAAAGGGGCCATGCATGTGAGAGAGCTGATGCACGTAGGTTGTAAATGACGTACAAGGGTGTCGCCCCGGATTTTCCATGTGAAAATGATACTAGAAGACCCCTACTTGGGTAGTCCTTGCATATTTCCGTGTGAAAAGCGGCGTTCTCCATTGTTTGCTGCGGTAGGTAAGTATCTTCTATCTACCGATGTGCTGGCACGTTCCTGATCTACCACACCACCTCGTGGTTAAGCTTACCAGTAGAGAGCTATTTACCTAAAGACCAGGCACATGTTTGTCTATGATATCCGAAATGCAGTTCAATTGTAGGCTTGATCCAAGTTGTTCCTCAGCAGCTAAACGACACTTAAACATGGAGGCGTGGTAGTTCAGGTGAGCGGGTCTAATTAGATGCTTTGAACGCTCGAGCAATTGCATTTCCTGAGCCACGAAGAGAATTCCATTCCGTAATAATTATTAGGTTTCACATGTAGGATACATTAGCCGCATAAAGAAGGCTCTTACGAATTACGTGATAAACGAGACAGCGTCTACCCAAGCCACTATGTTATTGCGTGGCTCGTTTGTTAATTGTACTGGAATATCTATCTATCAAGTTTATCATGTCCCAGAATCCTCGGATTCCAACCTTTAAATATCGTCTTCGTCTCCCTCGCCCTCAAAATCCTCCTCTTGTCTGAATATCACCTTTTCCGCCATAGCCATGCATTTTCTCACTGGTAGTCCAATGACGTTGTCTACGCTTCCTTCAATCTTCTCAACAAGCAACATACCGCCAATACCCTGGAGACCATAGCCACCCGCCTTGTCCGCTCCCTCTCGGGTCTTGACATAAGCTTCGATCACATCGTCAGGAAGACCCTCATCCTCAGTTAGGAAGTAGACCTTGGTTTCTTCTGTGTATGTTTCGAGACTGTAGCCCGGATGTCTCGCGTCTTCTCTAGGGGCGAGAACTACAATGGCTGTTAGGACCTTGTGCATTCGCTGGTCGCGGAGATGCTTTAGCATGCGGATGTGATCAGCTTCGCTTCGGGGCTTCTCAAGGATTTGACCATCCTTGGTGGCGATAACGGTATCTGCGGCGATGACAAGATCGGGGTCGGGTATAGATTTCAGATGAATCTCGAGCGCAGTGGTGTAGACATCCATGCACTTCTGATGGGCAGTCGCTGCTACATATTCGTAAGGCCCAAGTGAACCCTTGTCGAGATCTTCGGGTTTCGTGGACGGGATGATTTCCAGGTTTGTGAGGCCAAACTACGCATTGCATCAGAATAGGGTCATATAGAGGACATGGGGAAGACTTGGCACACCTGCTGCAGCAATGCCTTTCTGCGAGGCGAGGCAGACGCGAGAATCACTCGCTTGGATTTGAGGTGCTGAAGGATAGGAAGCTCTAGCGGTAAAGGGCCTTTGCGTAGCGGTCGTGGGGCGGTTCCTTGACCAGAGGACTTGTTCAGGTCGGAGGGGGGTTCGCTTGTTATGCCAGCCATGTTGTTTGGCTTCGGGAGTACTTTTGCTATGACGGAGGAGAAGTTGTTCAGATTACTGAGCTCATGAGGTCAATGTGGGGGTGAAGAATAGGAGCTCAAGCTTAGCAGACGCCCCATCTGGCTCGGCTCTTAGCTTTGAGCTGCCCTGCCCCTCATAGCGTTTTGGGTTTCATCATGGCAATTAATTCATCTTGGCAGGAATCGCCATGGACTTTAGGTAGAAAACACCTACTTAATTTATTTCGTAAACTGATCAATTGTCCAGTACGAATTGAGTTAATCTGGTGCATCTACTACACAACGATCTTATTCGTTGTTCCCTCCGATATCTAGCATGGTGTTTTGGAGTCTAGGTTTCATGATACAGTCCAAAGGACCATAGCGTAGGCGATCGCTCATGGGTATTCCAACGGCTGGATGCATGAAACCATAAAGCTTACAACAGGAAAGACCAGTGCAGAGAAATCCAACAGCGGGATTTTAAACACGTTTGCGACGCAATTTCTGATATAATTTAACCGTTCGTGAGCTTTCCGTCTGTTTGTCAATTGGGAAACCCATATTTTCTGCCTTGTTGCCTTACTTGCATTCTCAGGCACGCGCACAGAGCAGGTTGAGCGGGTACTTCCACCATGTACCTCCAAACCTCACCCTCCAGCTCAGCTGGCAATTGAAGCCCACCCCATTTACCACCATCGCAAAATCAACTGCACCGGAGCTTTTGCCAACGCTGCATTGACCTGCAACAACCTAAAACGAAGTGGGAAACTCCAGAATATCTTAGCGACCCTTTTAGAGACCGTGCATCTTTACATTTTGTGCTGTTCTCGAGGCTCAACCCTGGAGGTGGCATTCTACTCGACGCGACCAGTGGACCAGCACGCGTCAAAATCCACACCAGCGCCGCCGCAACGACCTCGATCCCACGATTTGCGATCTCCCATTGCGTCCCAACGAACGTATCGAAGAAGGTATCCTGTATCGGCCTTGAATGCGCTCGATTAGGCGACCCTATCGATTATAGCCACGATGGACAGCAAACGCAAAGCAAACGGTGCCGCATCGGTCGATACCGATGATAGAGGTTCTAAGCGTCGCAGACTTACTGTAAGTCCAGCCTGTCTCTTCTTGTAAACTTCCTCGTTTTAAGTGCGCGCATATGCACACACCAGACTTGGACCTGCTCTTATGCGCATTTGTCTCGCATTCGATTTATTGGCGACTGACAATGTCTACCAGGGCGATTTCGATCTTTCAAAAGGCGAAACCAGAGAATCAACGACTGCCTATGGCGTGTCTTTCCTGGAACAAGTGCGAAGAACTGCTGATAAAAGGTATGTATGCGAACTCGTCAATCAAATCTATCATACTGACCCAATTCTTAGTGGACGTCTAATTGCATCAAATTTCGAGGAGCTTCCATCCCGTGGAGAAGACGCGGACTATTACAAGAAGACACGCATGCCCATTTCATTATCGACAATCGAAAAGAAGTTGAACAATGGCGAATTTAAAAATCTATCCGAAGTCGAGGGTTATTTCAAACGAATGATCAGCAACGCCAAGGAATATTTCCCCCGATCAACCGAACAGTACGATGATGCGGAACGAATCAGGAAGGCTCTCAGCAATTTTATGACCAAGACGAATCCGGCATATCATGTTCGTGGTTATCAAGCGTTGCCAGCTCCTTTCCCGGATTCAGATGGCGCAGAAGGTGACGAGGACAATGAGGACGAAGAAGACGAGAATAACGAGGAACCTGAAGAAGATAAGGAAGACGAAAATGAAGACGATGAGGAGGATGAAGAAGAGGAAGAGGAGGAGGAACCAAGCTCTCGCAGGCGAACAATCACACTCAAGCGGAGAGGGCCTGGCCGTCCTCCAGCGAGCACACCAAGAAGAGCATCAACAAGAGGCAGGGATGCCCCAAAGACACCAGCCCCCACAACCAAGCCAGACCACCAGTATGAGAACGTACCGTATAAGGGATTATCCTTTCAGGGCGCGCAAGAAAAGATCATGGAGGAGCTCATTCGACGTGAGGATCCTGGGTATGCGGAACCACTTATCGCATTACTTGGCTATTACTAACAATATTCAGGTACGAAGGCTCTTATTTCGAAGCCTTTATCAACCTACCGCCCCGTTCTCTGAAAGAATACTTCAAAGTTATCAGCGAACCCATTTCGATCAGAAAGCTGCAGAAGATGGTCAAGGGAGTGCATGCGCGAGGTGAAACCACTGGTAGCAGCGATTTCAAGTCTTGGGCTGCTTTTGAAGAGAAGGCGAAGCTTTTATGGACTAACGCGTACTTCTTCAACGAGGAAGGTAGTGAAATTTACTCTGTTGCACAGGAGCTCGAGGTTTGTGTTATTCTGTCAACAGCTATGTATAATCTCTAACAGGGCCAACAGGAGTTCTTTTATGACCAGCTCAAACAGGCGCAGGCTGCGGTGGCCGAGCCCTCACAACCAAAGATCAAGCTTAAGGTTGGTGGATCTAATGATACACCTACTCCAGGGCCCAAAAAGATCACCATTCATGTTGGGGGTCAACGGGATTCCGCAGATTCGCCAGCGCCAGCTCAGCAAAAGGAGGCGATAACAAATGGACTTAACGTCAACGGCGCAGCGCGTACTTCAACGCCTGCCCAAGTTACCAACCCTCAATTGGAAAAGGTTACAAGTGCCTCGGTGTCTGCCCTCCCGTCGCCAACTCCTTCTACACAGGCAGCTCCCAGTACAGAAGAAGCTGCCAAAGCAACGCCAGCTCCTTTGATACGGACCCTCAGTGGTGTGGCGACTCAAGGTACCCCCGGGGTTCCCATAGTTGCTCCTATAGCTCCTCCGGCTCCAGTCCCTGTTGCGCCGCCTCAGCCGATTCACAACCCCCTAATCAATGGATACATGGAGCAGAAGCATCCTCGTCGTGCCGGCAAAGGTATTTCGTTCTTACTTGCGTATTGATGACAACTGCTAACAGAGTCAGGCATTGACGATGCTCTTATCGAGACCATGAAAATACAGGTCCACCCAAGCCTTCAGTCACATAGTCCCGTACTGGCAACCATTAAACCCAATCCCCTGGAGATGGATCAAGCCGCCACTCTTAACCTACCCTCTCATCTCACACGTATCCTTGTTGTCACCGCCATACCCAGCCATCTACAAAACAGGCAATACAGCCTATGGACGCTAGTTAACAGACAGCCCCTCAAGCCTATCCTTCACCAAGCATCTGGTCAAAAACCCCACGAGCGCGCTTTCGAAGCCATGCTTCATCCAGGGGTCAATCTCCTCGAGTCACATCTCATCGCCGCCATCCCGCGAGATGAGCGCGTACCAGGAGGTCCAGAGGTTGAGCTAGAAACGTTCACCATCTCAGTCAACGTGCTGCGGAACTAGATGTCCCACGACCGTCAACCGGAGCATGGTAGAACGACGACGGTGGCCATGGCTATGGGCCCGCCCCCTACTCCAGTTGGGATGGCCAGGATGAGGGACGCGTTTGCGAGGAACTATTATTCATGATACCTTTTACGAGCAGGGTACGGGAATGGGAGGTACTGGTGTTGAACGGGTATAAGGTCATGTTTTTATTCATTCGCGGAACAGGCCTGAGCAACTAGGCTTATAGGGTGTGCTTAAATATTACTACTACTTAAGCGCAAGTCGCCATTTATGTGGTATAGGTAAAATAATGCAATATCAAAATTTGACATAGCAAGTCTGATTGTGGTATCTCAAGTCAAAAGCCGCCCAAGCGCCACGCAAAGCCGTTTTCAGAATCCTTTACTATTGTCGCATTGATCAACTTCAGACTAACCGGGCGCAGGCCGTTGCTTCAACTGCATCAAATGCTTGAGCCGAGTTTGAACAGCCACGTACTGACGTGTCTTGGGATCATAGTAGCCCGCCACAAGAACAGCCATGACTGCCGTCTTTCCCTTCAATTCGACGATGCCATCAACTCTGATGCAACCTCTGGATGGCAAACTTCTGGTAGGTTTCCAGTGTCGCAGGAAGGCAAAAGCGCCAGCGAGACTAGCAGCTTGGAGGCGAGGATCGAGCTTCGCCTCTGGACCAAATGCAGCACCGAGGATATCATTGAACACAGGTGGTAGAGGGGTGGGAAGACGCGTTTTAGCATCGTGTTGAGTCGCTGTCCTGGGGATTGGCTGTGGCATTGTTCCGGGTAGGCCACTCACTGGCACATGCTGCCAACCAGACTCTGGAGGGTCAGGTTCACTTAAACCGACGGATTTCGCAATATCCTGTGCCACCTGCTTCGTCAAGTAGCTTACGAAAGTCCAGCATCCCATTGCAAGAGCCTTAGGGTAGAGAGCCTTGGCGAGGAAGCTGGCGGCAATAGAGTCAATAGGTCGATCACCCCAGAAGACACCATCCTCGTCAATCATAATCCTGTAAACATGAGTAAGACGAAATACCTAGTATATCGATAGGAGACTTACCCTGAGACGTAGTGCATCGGTGGAGGGGCAGGTGGGAAAATGATATCCAGCCAGAACTTCCTTACGGCGACTTCCCCACCAAGCAGCTTGTTAAACGCAGGGTTTTTCTCAACGCCGCGTTTAATCTCATTTGCCAAACCAACTACAGTTGAGTTAGGATACGTGACTACTCACAGAATGTTCCCACTTACATTTAATGTCCTGCAAGAGCTTCTTGTCCTGGCTAACCTTAACAAACGTTTGCCACTCAGGGTCTGAGCCTCGATATGGGGGTTGCTTGACTTCTTTCGTTGTGAAAGGGAACGGGAGGAATAGAAGTGGCTCGTCAGGGTCGTGATCAGCTTCTGCTTCCTCCTTCTCCTTATCTGACAGTGCCTCCCATTCTGCATCAGCCCAATCGAATATGGGATCGAACACAACTGTGATGAAGATTTGCCAACAGGCGTAGAGTATGATGGTCGTAAAAATCGCCCGGCTTCAGAGGCTGTCAGCCTAACCCAGTCAAGGTAGTTATTCCATGAGACATACCGAATTCGTACTCCGTATTTATACCGTCTCATTCGACTTATAAGCGCCCCTGTACGCTTGTCGTACTTCGAACCATTTTGACCTGAATCACTGGGGTTGGCGAAATAAACTGGTATTGGTTCGGATTTCTTTTGACGCCAGGGAAGGAAAGATATTTGTCTTCCCAGAGGTCGGATCTGGCAAGCGATTACTCGTTGAGTCGCCGGTCTGGTCTGGGAGAGAGCTGTTCGTCGCAGAACAAGTTGCCGAGCTAACATGTCGCCTGTGCCTTGCTGCAAGGCGGTGGAACTCAGAAAAAAGTATTGAGGCTAAACAAAAGAAATGCGATAAGTATCGCTATCGGAGTATCGGGTTTCAAGGTCTCATATTGATAATGACGACAGTAGTAATCGTGGTAGCAAGATGTTGTCCCGCGCTTGATGGAGAGTCGATAGCATGTAGTGGTTGACTGTGTCAGAGCCAAAACGCACTGTACAAATCCAGCCTAATCGCAGCATAAATCGATTCGTCGCACTGTATGACGGAACAACTCCACGCCGCAACCCGACACGTGCATCATCCCCGATTCGCGTTGCCTACCAAGCTTGCGACATTCAAGCTATCTCAGCCTGGCCTCAAGACAACAAGCTTCATCAATCCACATTAAAAATGAAGCTCACCATTGGGCTCAGTGCAGCCCTTGCAGGTCTTGCTGCTGCCTCTCAACAAGCCGCCGCCGATGTCGCCAAAGTTTACATCCTACGAGGATCCCATCATATCGAGCCCACGACGAGTCTCACCCCAAGCGAAGCACGTCTCATCATCCACCAGCGCCTCGCCCCCGAGGGAGAGGGCCCATCCTTCCGCGATCTCACAGAGTCCGACGATGAGGAGCGCATTGTGTCTTTAATGAATAAATATGGAAAGGCTCCTGCACCACTGCTCTCTGATGAGAAGACCGCGACGCCGCGCCAGCTCGCTATCACCATTGATGGAATGCCCACTTTCGAGTACGAGTCATTCTTTGGCTGGCTGTTCAACACACAGCCCGACTTCACCACGGATGTGAAAAAGGAGAATGGCGAACACCCCGACGTCTTTACTTCAGTTATCGCGAAGATGCCCGAGTGTCCCCTGAGCAAGATCGCCGCTATGGATGACAGTTGCTTCGGTGGCGAGGCTGCCTTTGCGACATACACCAGGTCCCAGGTATGAAGCTATTTGTTCCTTTTTAAACTACTTATCTAATGACTCCTTAAGGATGGTGACCACCCCACTACTCTTTTGAACGAGCTTCCCAAGCTTCAGAAGCTCGCCGAGTCCGGCGAATTGCACACTACTCTAGTGTTCCTCCCCCTGAACGCCAACCCCGATTACGAGGAGAAGGATCTTCGACGCCGACAGGCCGAGACTGTTATATCTTCCATTGAGGAGGTTGTCGAGTCACCTGCCGAAACCTCTTCTGTCGCCGAGAACCCTATCTTTTCCGGACGCCCTGGTGCTATCCCCTCATGCTTCAAGTCTGAGGAAAGCTGTATCGAGGCTACTAAGAACTGTTCGAGCCAGGGTATCTGCCAGAGCAGGTATGGTAAGGGCAGCGACTCCTGCTTCGCCTGCCATTGCCTCAGCACCAAGTCGGCTGGCGGCAGTGTTACTCACTGGGCTGGCGGCGCATGCTCCAAGAAGGACATCAGTGTCGAATTCTGGCTCTTTGCTGGATTCACCATTGCTCTCATTACCATCCTCTACTTGGCCATTGGTATGCTTTTCAGTGTCGGCGAGGAGAAGCTTCCTGGAGTTATCGGCGCTGGTGTGTCGAAGTCCAAGTAAGAAAGGAATCGAAGCTAGACAGCGGTCATGGGAAGTGTCGAGCTGCTGGAGATATGTAAGCCGACCAAGGGAGTTTTCCACGACATAATCACCCCAGGGCGGCATGTATCATCATATGGTGTATTTGATATATGGGCGTACAAAGGCTAGGAGCTTGTATTAGGTGCCTTGAACACGGGCTTCTTTTGTTAGAATGCGTTTGAATTTTTTCCGAACAGTCACCGAGTACCCAAGCAATGCAGTTATTTACCTTACAAAGTGCCTGTTTTCCCACATGTCGTGACGAGCCGATGCCGAGTAGTATTTTCACATGGGACATGCTCTTTGTTTCGAACATGCCACAACGCGTGTTCAGCGAGTCTCTGAGGTCTTCATCTTACGTTTTAGTACTTCCACATGCTTATACATGCCTACTCAAGTATCTCCCATTTGCATTCTGAGTGGCATGATGCCATTTTGGGATTAAGGTCTCCCCTATTTGCTTATCGCAGGATTTGGTGACGCTTGTTTCGGGCCGTGATCAATCGTTTCAGACGCGTCTCCTTAAACGTATCACTTGGCAATGCACATTAATCTTATCAGCAGTTCAATTAGCAACTGAGAGATGTGCTGAAGGCTTTCATTCGACAACAGATGATTGTTCTGAACCGGGTGTGCTGTTGATTAGCATGCGTGATGCATCTGGTAGCCGTACAAGTTCATCTGCTCAGATTATTCAAGGCGGCTCTTCTTTAGCTATAAATAGTGCGATGATGTATTTTCTAGGGCCTCACTGTTGAACTGAATCCTTCTCAACAACTTTATCACTAGGAAGTTGTTAAACGGCGTTTATGTAAAAGTCCGATCTATCCCGAGACCCACCCTAGAACCAAGTTAGACCTGCTCCCTTCCTTCTGCGCCATCCGCGCAGTTTCCATATCGACTCTCAACTGACGTACCTAATACTAAATAACACCTTAAGCCAAGAACTTGGGTTCTTTCTTATACATCTTAAAGTCCGCCGGACTTGTTCTCTTTCTGGGTGATCCACTTGCTCTTCTCTTCTCAAGCACGGCAGATCTATGATCCATTATGTTGTCCAATTCAGACAGACCCAGGCACGCAACGGCTAAATGGGGTGCGGCATGCGCGCAGTGTTCTACAGCAAAAGCGAAGTGTATTCGCTCTAACAAAACTCCCGGATCGAAATGCGACAGGTATTTCATCTTTCTTCACCTCTCCTCTTTTCTTTTTTCTTGCCATTTTGTGATTGCCCTTTCATGGACTCGGAGATGTGGTACGATCTGGCTCCGCAAGTGCCGGTGGTCTAACTACCGGGTCCGCCGGAGGTATCACGGAGCTCCATAATTTATTCCAACCGCGGCCGGAATAAGACTGACACATGCTTTATAGATGTGAGAGGTTGACAAAGAGTTGTACAGAGCAGGTTCATAGGCCACGGAAAAAGAGGACGGTTAAACCTTCGTGAGTCAACTCAGTCACTTGACAGCTTACACAACCACAAGCCATAGCCGCACTGTCATATGCCGTTACTAATTACGATGTTCAATTAGTCGAACTGCTCAGATAGAGGAAAGACTGAATGGACTAGTCAATCTTCTCAAGGCTGGTGGCCTGACCAACGCTGACCTTGCTACTGATACCACTTGTATCCCAACTGAATCAGACCCTGCTGTGACTGATCAGTGGAAACCTTCATCAAAGGAAAGTAATGCTTCTATAACGCCAGAACCTACAGTCTGGTCTATCCCTAGTACATACAACTCATATGCTCCACCGCAATGTGTATGTCGACAGACCAGCGGAGATGCTCCCCCTCCGCCAGGTTCAGACCAGGAACTCCTGAACGTCTATCGAAAGGAATTGCAAATTCTACATCCTTTCGTCATCATCCCCGAGGGAGTCACGGCAGCGAAGCTTAAGGAGGCACGGCCATTTCTCATGTCCTCCATCCGCATGGTCACATCGTTTCGCAGTATAAGATCAATGAGAGCACAAATGTATCATCTCATGAAACACATTGCAGACCACATGCTCATACGGTCAGAGCGATCTCTGGACTTGCTACTTGGAATCATAGTCATAGTTGCATGGTATCAGTATCATTGTTTTATGCACGCCCAGCTACACAATTTAATAGGCTTGGCTACTACTCTTGTTGGAGAGTTGGGCCTGCATCGCAGTCCGACTGTTCTGGAGCGAACCAACTTGATGGTTGTCAAACCACTACAACCTAACCCGCGCACAAACGAAGAGAGAAGGGCTTTATTGGGAGTCTGGTACTTGTCCTCGTCGTGAGTTGTCTTGCTTCTTGGTTTTATATCTGGGCTAATTGGTAAAAGCATGTCACTTGGGTTCCTACGGATAGAGCCGATGCGGTACACCAAGTACATTCAAGCATGTCTGGCCGCTCTTGAACAGGAGCAGGAGTACGAGACAGATTTACGTCTCGTTACGCTTGTCCGTATCCAGCACTTGACGGAACGCATTGCACAACTCAACTCTCCTGATGATGCAGCCGAGGAGGTTGCTGGCCTTCCAACAGCGCCAATATCGGCCTATGTTTCTGCTTTCCAGAGTGAACTCGACAGGATACGGAACGGACTACCACATGACCTCAGGAATGACAGTAAGCTTTTCCAAATAGCTTCCTTTATTTACATTGTTAACCTTTGTAGGGGTGATAAACATATTCCTTAACACAGCGATGCTCCGGTTATACGAACCTCCTATACTGTATGCTTCCCGAATCAGCTCCATGTCAGAGTCCTTAACTGCCCCAACACTAGGAGCTCCTTCAGCTCTTGATGTGTTTTACCAGTCAAGAAATGCTCTTCAGAAGTTCTTTGACGATTGGCTATCGGTACCAGTCTCAGAGTTTTGCAATCAGACCACACCGATAGCTGCACAACTAGTCTATGGGTTGACAATGCTCGGTCGGTGGACAAAGCTCACAGCACCAATCTTAACAAAGGCCCCAATTCCAATGCCCAATGATACCAGTGCCTCGAACCCGAACGTGGAACTTTACAAAGCGGACTCCGAGTACTCGGCGAGCGTTAGTCCATCAAATGTCGCTGTCTCGGTGGCGGGATCTAGTACCGGCGAAAAGGACACGCAAACAGCCAGCCCCTTTGTCTTACGAGAAGGAACTGAACCGGGACTGCTAGCTGCCGTGGCGGCTCTTAGATCCAAGATTCAAAGCCAACCTGGACTCTCGCTGGATATCACAGGAATCCTGTCTGCGATATGTTCCCGGTTCGAAGAAGCCAACGCATCATTTCAAGTAACCTCCGTGGAGCCCGGTACTTCGGATCACAACATATGGAGTATGAGTGCTATCAAGGTTAAGATCACGAGGGCCAAGTTGGAGCGTTGGGCTGAGATAGTCGCCGCTGGCACTGAAGCGCTAAAGGTCAATGATGGTGACACACAGATGGAAGATCGGAGCCACAGCGAAATCGGAAGCCATGTAGAAGCCAGCAGGGGACCGATGAGCGATGAGTTGCCGACTGGTGGAATCACAGAGGCAGATTGGAATCCCGAGCTGCATTGGAACTCCGATGTGCTTCAAGGTGTCGATCCTTCATTATGGTTTGATGGTTATTTGGACTGGGGCGCTATAGTTATGAACTCCATTGGTGAATATTGATGAGTAGGTCTTCTGCATTGTTTCACAACGAAAAAGGAAAGCAGCCTTTTGTTTCACACAGATCAAGGAAGGCGATGATACGAGTTGGCGAATCGATACAGACTAAACATCCACGGATAATGGGTAGAAGCTCACAACAATAAAAACTTAAGAAAAACTTGCAAATAAGATGCATGATAAGCCACACTCTCACCGTTGATTCATGGGCTTATAGGTCGGCAGATAGAAAACTCGAAAGTACTGGTCAGTGTTGAAATAGGCTGCATGAGGCCCTAGAGCTAATTCACCGCTGTAATATACTTGCATCACACAACTGCTGGAATAAACACAAAAACAATCAACCACTGTTTTGAACAACGCATCTTTTGAACGCGGGAGCCTCTACCTCAACGATTATCTCATAGTGATACTAGCAAAGATCGCGATGAGGGCTCGAACGTTACCACATATACACAGGGCGTGTTATTTGTTGGCCGATGTCGGGCTATGCGAAGTGAAACTTTCAACGACCATCTATGACCATCTTGTACATGAGTGTTACCCTGTTTCAACTAACACAACCTTATTGTCATACGGATTACAAGTGATAGGGATAAATAACCAGAGACATACATACCCTGTTCTGGCGTGTAAAATTCGAGTCGTAAAGAGCTACTAATCCACAAAACAGCTCATTCGAGGCACACGGGCAGTTCAGGAAACCCATGAGAAAAAGTGTAGATCAGAGTCATGAATAAGGTCTTGCATGGTGGAAGAAGGTGTCGTAGATCTCACCGCTCGTCGAGATTTGTTGAGAGTACCACTACCATGGGCAGGTACAAGTTATAACTTGGATGGAGGCAAAGTTCATTGATAGGCTTTCCACGGCCTCAAGGACTTCTTTCGGGCGAGCATTGGAAATTTCTTGACTCAAGCCTTGGTATTTTTCAACATGACTTCCTAGTATTTGAGACATTATAAATGCACCTTCCAACACTGTATCTTACTGCTATAGCAGAGCGTGTACGTGTCATTGGTGGGTGGTGTATGCATACATGTTTTCAACAAAAAGAATGTCAATGACCTAGTTAATTCTATTGCCAGACTAAGTCTTAACTAGTGGTTACGCACAGTACCTACCTACATATACACGCCCCCCATGTAATCTAGGCAGTCTTGACCAGACTGCACTGAGGTAACCCTAGACTTACTGCTAAGGACCAGCCTGGTTCAAAATAGTCGAGTTTGACAATAGGCTCCCTCGAGGCTGCAAGTAAGTAAAAAAAATCAACACTGAGTCTGGTACGTTACCAGGCTCAATATTAAATAATAATTTCCGTTACATGGTTTGTTTAGAGCGCGGCCGGTTTATTAATGACAAAAATCATTCCTCTGGCCTTAGTAGTGGCAGCACTCTAAACATGGGAGGGAGACCCGAAACTACCACTGATAAAAGCAACCATGTTAAAAACTGCAAAACCCTCGAGCTATGTGCAAAGACCAATCTACCAATCGCAGGATTGGTGATGCAATTGACACTTCAGACACACAACGTGGTGTGGAGGGACTCGCGACCTCAGTTTTGGATGTTGGGTCATCATGATAGGTGCTTACTGATCATACACACCGTGTAGTTGGTCTTCCATCCAACAAAGTCTCATGCGGAGAATCAGAGAGACGGAACCAGAACCTAAGTAAAATTGTAAATTCAGAAATGCCCGACAATCTGGAATCCCGAGTGGGCGAGCTTGAACATGAATTGAGGCCAGCTCGCTGCGGTCAGGCTCGACGTAGGTCTCTGCCTTTTCATATCTATCTGTCTGCCTTCTTTTCGACATGAAAGAATGCTTGACAGATGAAAGATTGATAAGATCGTGCTTGTAGTTTGGTCCCAGCCGGTACCATATAGGGAGCTACCCCCGAGACGTAAAGTAGTGTAGATTTGGGCCTGTGCACGTCCGTCTCTAACAAACAACCTGAACTAATATCGCCTCTCAAAACCTCAACCAGCACTTCCATGAGTGCTGCGGTGGAAGGTGGAAACAGAAGGATGAAAGTGTCCGTGGACCCCTGACCCTTCGTGAATTTGAACCCCCCCTTACGGATAGTATGCACGCCCATGTAAACTCGTCTCTTGTTGACCAACAAGCTGCATTCGAGGTAACCCTAAGTTTTCTGTCACAGAATAGATGCCCTGATATAAGCCAATTATCTATTGAATTTTCTTCATGGGGTCGGTTCCTTGTAATCAGGTACTGTACCTACTATAGTCTACCTTGCCCCAGATTGCACTCACCACCATCACAATTGTTGTTGCGAACCAGATATTTATCCTACGGAAAGGCTAAGCGCAAACATACGAGTGAGCATTAGCAGCGATGAGCACACCGGGAGCCACTCAAAAAAAGGTGCGGCATGTTGAATTCGGCTCTGCCATGATCATGCGATCACATTTTCGAGGCTGACATGAGGCCCAGGAGGCAGCGGAACATTCTGTTGGACCAGACTGGCGAGAAGAAGAGTCACAAAAATGCAATTTGTTTCGAATTGGAAACAAATCCATTTTGAGGCCATTTGTGTTTTTGATCGTTAACCGTATGCCCTACACACACCTCCCTCTAGGCCTATGCCATAGGTTGTAATTGATGGACTTTTAAGCTGCGCCTCCCTTTGTTCCCCCGCTACCCATCAACGAGCTTCCACCTCGTAAGAAGGTCGTCTGGGTATGGATTTGTGTAAGTGAAATGAAATGTGCGAGTTCAAGATTCAGGCAACCGGTTGCCAGAAAATCCACGCATACGACCAGATATATAAACGTTCTGACTTTCCTATAGTGTTGTTGTGGCTATGGTGGAATGAAGGTATCAGTGAGCAACTGTCCAAATTGCAATACCCCTCGCTGCCCAGATTGCGATACTCGCCGCTTCAACGCTCGATCGCATACCGAGTTATATCATCAACAAGCCTATACAATCAATAAAGACATTCAAGTGGACCCCGGTCCGATATTGGATATAGGGTACATCTCACCTGTACGTCATGCCCTCGTTGGTATCGTGGAGGAACAAGAGGAATGGGAGGAAGAAGTCTTAGCATGAGTTAGGCGCCAAGGCAAATTTGCATTGCAGTAGCGAAGGAGTCCAGGAGTCCAGGAGTCCAGGAGTCCAGGAGTCCAGGAGTTCAGGAGTCCAGGAGTTCAGGAGTTCAGGAGTTCAGGAGTTCAGGAGTTCAGGAGTTCAGGAGTCTAGAGGTTTATGAGTCTACGAGTCTATGAGTCTATGAGTCTATGAGTCTATGAGTCTATGAGTCTATGAGTCTATGAGTCTATGAGTCTATGAGTCTATGAGTCTATGAGTCTATGAGTCTATGAGTCTATGAAGAAAGTTGCATTCAAGTGAGAATTTGGCTGATTTTGCTTTTAGTGCCGGTGGTGTTACACAAATCTAAGGTTAAGATCGAGCTATGCAACCATTAAGACATAGCCAAACACTGCCAGTACCTCCACAAGAACTTCAAACATCTCCCCGTCCCAATAGGTACTTGAACTGGGTAGCGACAGCTACTAATGAGTTGAGAGGGGCCATTTGGAACAGGTCAGATGAATGGAGGAATCAATCCAGCATAGACAGTCGCAGGATCTCGGCTTCAGAGCACAACAAACCATTCTTTGAAGATTTAAAATGGAAAACTGGAGTCGAGATGGACGAGATATCAGCTTTCATGGATCGCCACCCTACTTCATACCGTTCGACGAACGATAAATTCTACCTCGAAGCGTTCTGTAAGGGGGCCAGCTTCTTACTTGACAATTCCAACATACATGCCTTACAAAACTTTCACCTGGCGCATATCGATGAACCAAAAGCGTGGGTTTCAGACCGAAACTACTGGCTCTCTCAAGACGGAGCAGCCGTTAGCACTTGGTATGGAAACGTTTTGGGCCGCCATGACCTCTATAAGGTGCTGCAGAATGAGGTACGGAAAATTGAAGAGAGCAGTTGATCCGATAAACACTAACTAGTGCCCTAGCGCTTTCGTGACAACTCGGCAGGTGAGATGATTGGACCACCTCGACAGTTGTAAGTTCAATAACTAGAAGCGTTATGTCTACTTTATCCTAACTATGACAGATTTATCAGTAATCCCGACGGTGCCAGTGTACTGGCCATCCTGAGGACAGCACCTCATGCTCACGTCGATGGTCTTAGAGACCTTCTTGCCAACTATATTCAGTCAAGTCCTGCGCCGAATCTGACAATGAGGGTTTCAGTGAGTTATACAAAACACCAAAGCTGTGTCCAAGGTCTTGATTTACTAATAAAGGACACTCCAACAGAACTTCTGGAACAAAAGTTTCGTGATCAACATCACTCTACCTTTCTTCGCAATCAGCCCCTCAAGTATGCAGGATAAGCGCATATTCAACACTAGCAAGCACAGGTTTCGTGCCCGCTACCGACTGGATTCTTTGAATCTTCAAGATCCACGTTCACGTCTGGGTTGTGGCCAAAGTTACTCATTCCAAGACAAGCTCGTACTGCATGAAGCTGTCTTCGCCATGACGACAACAGGGCCTAGTGAACGCCACTGGACGACATATTGTTTCGATGAGCATTTCTTTGCCGACGAGCCACGCCTAGAGGGAGAAGACGAAGACGAAGACGAACAGGGAGAGGAGGAGGAGGATGATGAGGATGATGAAGAAGACGACGACGAGGAACCTCCCGCAAACATCGATCCAATATTAACCGAGCCGGAGCTCAACGTCAACTCCTGGCTACCTAGACAATATTCTCTTGTGGCCTTGGCGACACAGCTCGAAAGGATTTCTGGATATCACTCAGATGTCCATGAAGTATTCAAGCACAATCTCGATCTCTATGTATGTTACCCCCTGGATGTTGATGTTTTTGGAAGTCATTCTCTTGCTACAGACAAGAAGCTACTTATATACCGGATCCAGCTGACCCTTTTCTTTAGATGGCTAGTGCGGAGGATGGCATTGCTGACAACATCTATCCCTCTGTAAAACAGGATTGGAAAGGTTTCCCAGAACTCCTGGGCAGAGTAATATTCTGTAACATGAATGTGACAAAAGAGATCGACAATTTCCTGGAAACGGATATCCAGTTGTGCCCAAACGGATTGCCCCAGGGCGTCCTTTGGCAAAGCCTTCGAACTGATGTGAGATCATTGAAGTCTTTGGAAGAAATCAAAACCTGCCGGAACAGGCTACGAGCCCTCGGAGGCAAACTGGAACAAATCAAGGAGTCGTTCGAAGAATTGCGACGCGGGGTTAGTCACTTCAAGCTCAATCACAGCCCCTTTATGCAGTGAAGCCATGAGCCTCACAAGATCGCCCACGTCCGATACTAACGACAGGTTACAGAAAAAGTTTGATCATAGGGATGAACAAAATGATAGAGAGAAGAGGAGTCACGAAATCACTGTTGCAGCGTTCGTAAGTATCATTTTCCCAGTCTTTGATTGCCGCACAGCTAAGGTGTAAAAGGTTTTAGGTATCCTGACTCTCATTGCGCAAGTCTACTCCGGCAAACCAAAAAAAGATGAGGTTGATTCTTGGCCGGGATACATATTCTTGGTGGTTTTCTGTGTTGTTATATGTCTTTTTGGAATCGTTTATATTCTCCGTGCAAAGTTTGCGGAATATGGGAGGGCCCTTGGGCAAGTCATGAGACGAAGGATCACAGCAATAAAACGGTCTCGACGCACTGATGTTGGAATTGCATTGTTAAAGATGTGGCTCAAATGGATATCTAGGTATTCAGGAGTGGCGTTCATGCTCAAGTCGATGAAAGGGCTGATGCGGAGGACCAGTCATGCACTTCCAATATGAGATTCGGAAAGAGGCCGACGAGCCCGGTTATTCCGTAGATCACAATATATGAACGTTGGAAAGCCACTCAAGATACTCTGAAACGAGGCGACTGCTGTACCGTTTGGCCTCTGTAGAACAGTAGCGGGAACATACCTCCAACATTCATAGTATTCTAATGCAGGGTAGCTATCACACAAAACGCCACAAGTTCACATTGTGTTGTGTGTAAAAACATAGCTTTTGCCCGTAACTAGTGAATTTCAATTAGTAAACCTTCCGCCCCCTAAGTGAGTGACTCTATAAGTACTAATCCTTCGGGAGGTACAAGACTTCAACCCGTGACAGGGTCTACAGCAAAGATCCCACTAAGCACGTCGTTTAGTTTTGTGTTTATTTTCACACAGTCATATAAACTTTACGGGTCTGAGCCTCAAGCGGTATGGTGGGGTTTAACTTACACGACGATTGAGGGGGCCTCAAAAGCCTATTGATGAAAGACTATCTATTGTCTGATACACAACTCGGTTCCTTCTTCTACGATTGGCCGCACAATATGGTATGATGCGAAGCACCGCGCCACCTCGACAAACTAGTCAAAGGTATTCAAGTCAGGATATAGTAGATATAGCAAGCTAATTGGTTACCCATGTTACCCATCCTACGCGAGGAGAGTCTCGGTGTGGTCCTTACAACACGGGCAGCTTGTAATAGTTCCACAAGTCCCAATGTGGTTTGGTGGATAACCAAAATGAAGTATAAGTAAACCTAATCAAATAGAAGTATAACTATAAGAAACTCATAAATAACTATAAGAACAAGCATGCAATCAAATACTAAACTGAGTTCATGCTGGAGATACTGTGAGCAGCAAATCTCTATTCTTGAAAACTTCTTGCCTGAAGCCCCAAGTACAACGAGTTGAGTCCGGGACCGATCGCAGACCTCATGTGTAAGTTGACCTCTTACCTAATTCCTATCTCTCTTTCTTCAAACTCGATAACTCAAGCTATGAAGCCGACTTAGTATTATTATCGGCTGTTCCTATTGTCGAGCTTCCGCCTCGCAAAAAGGCTGTTTGGATCTGGGCTTGCGTGAGTCCCTTACCACAATACAGCCTGCGGCCACTGACTGCTAAAAGTGTTCTTGCGGCCAAGCTGGAATGAAAGTTAGCGTCGACCCTTGTCCTTCCTGCTGCACTCCTCGATGCCCGAATTGCGAAACACGTCGAACATCTCGTTAACGTTGTTGATAATGTGGTGAGCTCGACCATCGTTGGCAGAAGAAAATACGTTTACTGAGTGGCGTTGAACTAAATATACGTCGTATTGGATTCTTCTCAACTCTATTCCCATTCTTGTCAGGGGATACGACTGGAAAATAGAAAAGGAGCTGCACGGGAATACCCTTAGATACGGGTTTGCCCTATTTTACAGGCCATATATCTTCCTTCATAGGTGTCATATATATAGTTTGCCTTCGTCAAATATATGAGTTGTTTGCGATTGGACTTGGGGTGTCTAAGGACAGCATCCTGTTAGTTCCTGTGCTGCAAGTAAGGCTCGAGGCTGACACCACCAACCTTGTAAGTCCAGAAATTGGCCTAATCCGTACAATTTAATGAAGCACTCCAAAAGCAGAGTCACCTTGATTATACTGAGCAAAACAGCAACGGTTCCGTGTCAATATGATCCTTGGAGCGCCGTAATCTGTTTGAAAGAGGGCATGCTTGCTAGGGAAATGTATGTGTTCTCTTAGTCTAACGTCGGCCAAGTAGCTACAAGCAATGATGCACAATATGGGCAAAGGATATAGCATAATCCTGTAACTTTGTCTAGCTCTAGAAGACCAAAGAGCTGAAATAGTATGTTTAGACCCTAGGCTGGATTCCATTCTTGCTGGTTCGGTGACATGCGCCATACCTGTAGCTTTGCTCTCCTGAACACACATGCGCAACATCTTCATGAGACTGGGAAAGTGACGTAACATTTTGTTTGCTTTTTTAATCATTAATTCCTAACAATCGACACCTAAGAGAAGCGAAAGCCTTCAGCGTTTTATGAGTTGTGATTCCTGTCCCATGCATAGTAGGTTGCAGCTAGAGATTACGGTGACTCTTATTCCATGACCGCGTTGTATTTGGTTTGCGAAAAAGAAGACCTATTAATGATAGAGAGTACTAAAGCATCTGGGCCTCACGAAACTGCAGATTCAATGGCTGGAAGCAAAGCTCAAGGGAACCAAAATTAGGCACCTACCCAACTCCCTGGTCCCATAGACCGACAAGCATGATGACTTAGAACCCGCGTTGCTCCGAAAGAATTATTAATCTTAAGTTGACGTGTTGGTGAGTTACGTTATGACAATGGTAAAAGTCTCTTGCGACATCGGGATATGTTGGTCAGATGGTAGTGTGAATCTTGAACACCGAAACAACAAATTGGCCAATTATTGACTAGAAAGGTTATCAGGTGACTATATCTAAAACAAGGCGCCTGCGTCCAACAATTTCCTTCGCTTATGGAAGGCCCAAAGAAGAGGGTTGAATTGAGCCTCATAACAATTCGACAGTTATAGGCTGGGAGACAATTTCCTGCCACATGCACTTGTATCTGCGACCAAAAACTCGGGCCCAGGCGACAAGATCATCACCTTGGGAGAAGTGACATGTCTCTTGGCTGTGGGAAATACGTAGTAGATTATGATTGAAAATACACACCAACATCATGGGTTGTGGTGACGAGTCCTGCTGTTGACTAGTCAGCCCGCGCCCTATTGCTTACTGGCAGTCTCACTTGTCACTTACCATTCTCTTCTTTTAGAGGGGTATGGATTGGTGATATTATGACCTGTAGTATAAGGTATGGTTGGTTAGAAGTTTAGGTCTTGTACATAATAGCCTACAAATAGTAAAAGACTAATGCCCCTTTCCGTTCAGTTAAGACCTCTTATATGCCTCTTCTGATATTTTATATGTATTGGTTTGGATTTCCACGACTGCACGCTTGGAGATTGAAGTGGCCGTTTGAGGATCATCATCACCTTTCTCTTTGTACTTGCTTAGCCGTTGGCACAAGTCTTCAAACGGAGTGCCAATCACTCTAAATTTGTCTTAGTTACATAGGTAGATAAAGATCGTGTTCTATAGCAAACAATCAAGCCTGGCTGTCTTTTTTATGTTGACTTACCCAGGCTAAGAAGACGATCAGGCAAGGATGGCTCGGGAATCAGGGGCGTGTGGAAGGTCGCTGTGAAGCGGACAAGCTGAACCAGTCCTGTGACTTCTTGCAGTTACGAACAAGTCCGATTACGGCCTGGCTCTTTGGACTGACTTTACGCAATTCCTACGACTGAGGTCTCAGAGAGTAGTATATGTTCACGGAATCTGGAGAGCATGATAATGCTACACCTGTACGAAGTCAGAGGAGGTACCTGACGACGTGGATGAATACCGTTGGGTAGCATTTCTCGTTTAATACTGCCAATGAAAGGGTTGCCCGAGTAGAGGAAACAAAGTTGAGGGAGTCGGAGGCGCCCGCGTTTTACAGGCGTATCATGGAGGACTTCTGCCAACCAAACACTGGCGAGTATCTCCTCAAGAGGCAGCCCTGATAGCTTTTAACACTAAACAAGGAAGAGCTATACCAACACAAAGGCTCTGAGGGATATTGAGTCGCCACACAGAATCAATCCCTGGAGCAACCACAGAATGCCCTCGCACCCCGTACCAATCGCCTTACGCGCGGGAGGGGAAACAGACCCCGTCATCTGGAGGCCCTCTCGCCAACATCAGTCGTTTGACATTATGCTGGATCTTGCCAACTGCGTACAGTCAGATCTTGATGGTAAAGATGGCTTATGTCTTCCGCGCACCCCTTTTCAGAATGCTGACGAGTGAGCTTGTCCAGACGACCCTCCACCTCAATTTACTGTCCCAGTAAATGTATTGCCGCATCGCAAGAAGGTTGCTTGGATATGGAATTGTGTGAGTGGGAATTTGTACTTCCGCGATTTCTACCAACCTCCATCGTTCTAACAATCTGCTAGTGTGCTTGTGGACATGGCGGCATGAAGGTCTCTGCTCATCCTTGCCCAGCATGTGGTATACCTCGTTGCCCTAATTGCGATACTCAACGCTACAATCTGAGGAATCATATGTGAATGAACGAATGAATGGAAGCGGAGGAGGGCTTTTCAAATAGCAACTCTTGCTGGGGATTACTTACCAGTCACCTGTACCAATATGGAACCTAGTGATAAGGGGATGAGAAAAAGAAGATTATTACTTGTCGTTTATCACAACAAAGCGGCGTAGAGTCGGTGATGTGATTCAATATGCAGTGGCTGCAGCCCAGTGGGTAGAGTGTGGAGGGAGGGTGGCCTGGACGTGGCCAGCCTGCTTGGCGGCTAGCATAATAACTTGCTACTATCCCTCATCATCTCTCGACAGATTTCCACCATCGTATTTACCAGAGTTCTGCGGCCTGTCTGCGTTACTAACGTGGATCATAGAACCTTCCTCGAACGTGGGGATAGAAAAGAGAGCAACGACCTGACTCTCGTCTCCGACCCGCCTAACAACAGTACCAACTTCGAAAATACTACCTCACGAGTTCATCACGTCACAGTCGGGTGGCGAGGTAGTTCGGGTCAGTACATATGCTGACTGCTGGGATCAAATCTAGTGAATGGCACATGCCGTACATACGGGTGAAGGCCGCCGACAATAATCCCTCAATCCTTTCCATCCATCAGAAAGGTCATTCCTTGGCCACCCGGGCCATGAAACAACTATCGTTGTCCCACTGGAAGAGTGCCCCCGAAGAAATATCAAGCGAACTAATTTGAGAGTATGGCACGATGTGGATATTCACGAGAACTCTGCCCCGGACATCCCTCGAAGCGTTCGATCAAAACGTACCCAGTACCGGAAGAAACTGGATCCCAACTATAATTTGCTATTCAAAAATGATATATGTTGCCATCACTTTACGTATCCACGCCTCGAATAACACCTAGGTTACAAGACTTTGAAGAAGAAGGCCGGCTTCTACTTCAAGGCGACCATGTGGCAACTGATCGATATATACGATATGACGAGCGGGAGAACGAGAATTACGACAGGGAAAGAAAGCGGCACTTGTTGAATACGGCTGATGGCTTAAGCAGATGGACTGACCACAGTTTCGACTCCTTCAACTATCTATGTGCAGCCTAGTTGAGTTGGTGGCCTGGTGCTTTCAAGAACAGCTCCCACGTCCCAAGTCAACAGCATATACATACTCCCGTTGATTACACTATCCCTCTACGGGCACTGTCATGAATCTCGGTAGTATGGGACGGTGTGTGCATCAACTCGAGGTACAATGATGTGGTTGGACTGGGCCGAGGCGATATTGTATGCTTTTGCTAGCAGCCTCAGGAAGCCAACATCGAAAGCGATTGTCCCTAACCCAACTGACCTTGCGAGCTGAACTAATATACAACGTTAGACTAGGCCAGGGGTATGGATATATATGATATTGATGATGCTGTGGCTTGCCCCTGGTCCAAGTGGAGAACATCGTGGGATAAGACTTCAAGGATTACCTAGGTAGTAAATGGGGCCGGTTAGATGTAATACCTAGTTACATACAAATGCGGCTCTGGCCGAGACATCGGGATCGGCAGTGAAAGGCAGGGAAGCTCGGCAATAATGCCTAGGTGGTTCTGATCATTACTCATATGTAAAGTCTGGTAGCACCTTTAAAAAAAGAGATCCAGCTGTCCTGATAAAATCTACAGAAATATTAATAATAGAGGTCTCTGTACAGACCGAAAAGTAACAATATCTCAAACTTAATAAGTTAACCTAGCATATCAGCCGCAACTCTATCTCTCAAAGGGATGAAAACCCCTGCTGAGGCCAGAACTCCCTCTCCACACTTCAATCAACCCATCCGAGCTTACGAGAAGAAGATCGCGATCACCGTTCTGATTATTACAATTATCCGTACGGAGTACAAATCTACCGATTTACCGGTACCAAAGCTCTACAATCTGACCTACTACTTACTGACAACTGAGTTGTGAACTTGAATGAGGCAGTGGTGGTGGCTTTTTTATCTGCTTCAATACATCGTCCTATGCAACCAGTACCCAAGACAATCGTGTGTGTTTCATTAGGTATTGAGCAACATGGTCTATCTCAACGTGATATTAGACTTTTACAATGAGACAAAAGAACCTCCAATTTCAATATTGAGGGGGAAAACACCACCCATCATCCCTACCTACAGATCATATGACCCGCTGGCTTCTTGTTCTTCTTATTTTGTGCCAATTAGGTTGAATTCTCCTTTCATTATTTCAGGAAGGTCACACAAATCGCGGCTGATCGCATGGGTGTATTGCGATCTTGATTGCTCACCCCCCTCCAGCTCTCTCAAAGCCAGCCATCATGCATCCACTCATCCCTGACGCAGGTACCTATCTGAGACCCTGTTGTGCTCAAAGTTCAACGGGTATACTGGTGTGTTGATTTGGTAGCACGTCCCCATATGATTGTCCCAGGTCGTAGGGACCAAATTCAAAATGTCTCAAGCTATACGAGTTCCACCAAGTCCCGTTCAACTTCTGGCAAGGGCCTCCCTTGTTGAGGAGTGAGTTGGTCGAGTGGTCTAGGCAGTAGTCCCCAGACTGAACATCTGTATGTCTGACCAACTTTGGAAGCGTATCCAGGCTGTGAAACATTTTGAGGCGTCTAATAGAAGCTTCTTAGTTGAATGACAAGGTCTTCTAAAGGATCTGTCTCATGGCTTAGACATGTACCAGTATGGTAAGTTGGTGGCTAACCGAGAGAAGTGCTATGTTTGCGATGATCGATCTGTATTCGTCTACTTAGTAGCTTCATCCTTCCCACGGCATCACAAGAATCCTGACTCATACTTTCCAAGGAAGTGATTATAACGTCCGTGTGTATGACAATGAGAAACAGAGTTCCAAACTGTTATCTTTGTGTACCTGGAGGATACCAATGATATCCTTGGTCGGCTAGGTACGTATGTGTTAGTTCGGGTATGCCTGTTGCATGACGGGTTGTTCACCGGCCTTGTCTTTTAACTTTCTCCTCATCCGTTTCTTTAAAACCCCGAGAAAGATCTATGATCAAACTTCTTTTGGTATTGTTGTATCATCCTCGTCAATGGGCTTATTATTACCAAAGATTATAAGATCTCCCTCATCAACCCTGCCCCTCAATCGTCAAGCCAAGTCATCTGCGGAACCAAACAACTGCCTTGAAGATATAACCACTGAAATCAGAAGAAGGTACGCCGTATTACGGAGACATCAACGGAAATCGACATCCAAATTACAATGACTGACGCGGCCTATCACTGTATTTAGAATATCCTGCGGCTGCCTTAACAATGCCACATCAATTGGATCGCGATAGTTGGTTGGTGTTGACAAAGTCAGGAGGACTAGAAGGCCACGGTTATTTGAGGCCTGCTGAGAGCCTGGACACAGGGAATTCACCCGTTGACCGTAAGGCTGCTCCTTCCTTCTGTTCCTGGCAAAGCTCGTCGCTTCGCTCCTTCCATTCCAAAACATACTGATGAGCGGTGTCTTCCAGTCCACTGCCCTCCGCCATCTCCAATTATCCACGAGCTTCCCCCGAGGAGGAAGGTCGTTTGGATCTGGGCTTGTGTAAGTAACGATGTGCGGATTACGGATTGCCATACAATCAATCACCTTGACTTTCTATACATATTTTCTAACAATCTCTAGTGTTATTGTGGCTATGGTGTAATGAAAGTATCAGTAAGCAACTGTCCAAATTGCTGTACCCCTCGCTGCCCAAACTGCGATACTCGTCGCTTTAATACTCGGCCGACCTACCACCATCAACATTAGCTGGGAAGCCTGTCACGATCGGAAAAAGCTTCACTCATTTGACTCAAATAGCGTACCGCTATTTTCAACTATACTTAAAGCAAGGTTTGTTTGCGTATGCATACAACCTATTCTGGTTGTTGGAATCCTTAGGGGAAGGGTTCGTGGGGTGACTGGAGGAGAAGTTACGTGTCAAATATTTGAGAATGCTACTTAGTTTGCAGAACACCCAGCCACACTTACCGGAACTTTGAAACAAGATACTAAAGTCTCATGTGTCCTCTTACGTCTGTGACTAGATATGGACAGTAACTGTCGTTGTCAGAGATAAATAATAATAGGTCCTTGGTCCTGGGGACATCACCCGACCCATAGACCAATCAGTTGACAATCTGTCAAAGCCAGAGAACCTTCCGAGACCTCACAGGCGATCAATCACCAGTAATGCCTTTGTCCGAGTTAAGACCGCTACTGTTGAGAAGGTCAAGATTACGACTTGACAATAGGGGGATCCATAAAGCCGGGTGGGACTATTCAACCACTTCTTTTGCCTCATAACCGATCCAATATATAGTACGAGTGATGAATTTGATCATGATTGCGCCTTGAGTTAGGGATTGAGAGAATGATGAAAACGACCTCCAGAGATGCTTGGCAAAGTTCGCTACAACTCGAGTTCAACAACGACCAGCAAACAATGACATAGTGAGGCTACAAGACAACGTTGGAGCTCCGCTAAGGCAGAGCCTGGAAGGTGATGAGGGCGCTTCAATGTGCTTACACGTGCTATCAAGAGCCTTCGCAACCAGTAGCGAGACACAGCAGTTCGCCTCCGACAACTAAGGTAGATGTTTGACGAAGCCAGACATGTAGTAAGCTCTACCGAACATCTAGCGATGATAAAGCTGCATACATGGCCTTTATTCTTGGTTTGACGATGTGAAGCGACAGCTGACTTGCTGTAGTTCAAGAATCGCCATGCTGGCAAGCAACATAACAGAAAGAGGATTGTTCGGTAATTACTCTCATAGCATGCGTGCGTATTCCCTCCGAACAAGAAAGATCACTTCAAACTGACAATAACACGCTTCATGTATTCCGAATTCGACCGCACAAGTTTACGCTAGTAAACCATGGTTGGTCCTTTCATCCTCCTGATCAGGATGCCAGTTTGCAATAGCGATGTATCTCAACATGGTCAAGGTTTATGGCGGTGGTTAACAGAGACTTTCCAGGCTTCGTGGTACATTTCTTTAAGCGATGAGACCTGCCACATTTGCGGTGACCTGGGCTTGCGCGCTTCGTAGTCTCTTGCATTGGACTTTGGATCGTATTGGCGTCGCAGCATGGCTTCGGTTTGTCGCAAAGCTGTAAATGAAAGGTAGCAAGTTCTGACAAAGTGAAAGAGTGATAGATGTTGGCTGATTAACTACCTTAGGTATGTAAAGATTGTATTTCTTGGCATTAGCATGTTTAGAGTTACCCAGCTGATGAACGTTCTGCAACAAATTGACCTATCACTCCTCTCTCATAAGGCAGCTGCGTGGAAGAAAAGTGGTTGTTCCAATAAGGCACAGGCTATTGGGCCTCATAAAAGAATAGTGAGGGGATCTAATCACATGGTCAGGCTTGACAATACTCTCTATCCATCACACGCTTTACCATTCAGCCTATCTGACTCTGAAATAAAGATTTGGGCATTGAAGATCGTCATGTCCGAGATATGACACGTTTCCTACCATCAAAGGCAAGACAGAATAGGCAGACATGTGAAATACGCCTTCAGATTGGAGTGTGTGATGCGGCATCACCATCCCCCTTTCATCCGGAAGGCTGTTGGCCAATATGGTCTGACAGCCTCATTTACGACGCATGGTAGGTGTTATGGGTGGCTGCCAGCACATCACGCATGTTGGAGGTTGGGCAACACAAAGCGGCGTGGAAGCTCTCGTAGCAAACCAAATTCTAATCTGACAACTTGAGGCTCTAGAATAACAAAAAGATGTTGATACCCAACTGCTGCGCCTATACTTCAAATGACCCTGGGTGCGCCTACCTCTCGGCTCACCTCACCTAGATCCTACCACGAGGCAACTATAGCTACCCTACTCATTCTATCTCCTAAGATCTTATTATTCAACACCATCGGATAACTATCGTGGCTATGGCAGCAACAACCTGCTCGGTCGGCGGTATTGAGAACTTGCTGGGCAAGGCAGGACTGGACACCCCAATCCCAGATTTCCCCGGCGCAGACATTGTGCACAACCCGCAGGACATCTTCCGAGTCTACCTTGCCGAGCTAGTTCAGAAACTCGTTAACTGCGACAGACTTATTGCGTACGATGCTATCCAGACACCAAACGTCACGGGCATGGGCGATCTTGTGATTGTGGCGCCGAGGCTCAGACTCAAAGATATGAAGCCCGAGGATCTGGTATCAGACCTGGCCCAGAGAGTACGATGACTTGAAATCACATACCACAGCCTAGCAACAGAATAGCTGACCCTTGTCTACCCAGTTGCCGATATCGCCGCCTTTTGGCTGTCCCCTCAAAGACGGTATCCGTCTGCAGGTCTTCTCGTCGCCCAATACATTATCGCGACTCCTTCTGTCTTACATCAGTGATAGAGCTGCCTCATATGGATATGATACGTCACTCGGACTTGCCGATGCCACCGCGCCAGAGGGGCCAAAGAAGAAGGTTCTCGTGGAGTTCTCTTCTCCGAACATGGCGAGTGAGTTTCAAGTATCGCACTTGCGCAGTACCCTCATCGGCACATATGTTTCAAATGTGCATGCCTCTATGGGATGGGATGTTGTCAAGATAAATTACCTAGGTGATTGGGGAAAACAGATCGGCCTTCTAGCTGCTGGTTGGCAGAGATTTGGTTCTGAGGAGGAATTCACCAAACAACCGCTCCGTCATCTTCTCGAAGTCAACCACAAAATCCAGGAACTATTCAAGCCCGAGGTTGACGAGTGCAAAGCCGCAAAGGTGAATGGTCAGGATGTCACCGAGATCGAATCCCGAGGATTGTATGCCGAACGGGACGAGTTCTTTAAGAAGATGGAGGACAGAGATCCAGAAGCCATCGCGGTGTGGCAGCGTTTTCGCGACGCAACTGTAAAGGATTACACCGATTCCTACGCACAGCTTGGCGTAACGTTCGACGAATATTCCGGAGAGTCACAAGTTACTGCGGAATCCATCGCAGAAGTGGAACAGGTATTGAAAGAGAAGGGAGTTTATGAAGAACACGAGGATTCCTGGAAAATTGACTTTTCGAAGCACGACGCGAAGGGACTCTCGCTCGCTGTGTTGCGCTATCGCAATGGTACAACCTCATATCTGTTGCGGGATCTTGCTGCAGTGCTCGACCGATTCAAGAAACACTCTTTCGATAAGATGATCTATGTTGTTGCGATGGAGCAAGAGATGCATTTCCATCGAGTTACAAAGACACTGGAGCTCATGGGGAGACAGGATCTTGCTGAGCGCATACAGCATGTTTCTTTTGCCAAGATAAATGGGCTTCCAGAAGAACTTAAAGGCGCGACACTACTGAGTGACTACCTTGACGGCTGCCGCTCTATGGTGCATGCGAGTCTTGAAGAGGAAGAGGAGGAATCCTTCCATGTGGATAAGTCTGACAAGTCGGTGGACCTACTTGGTCTTGCTGGGCTATTCATCCAAGACCATATTCACAAACGAACTACCTCATATACGAGCGATCCGAAGAAGATGGTTCCACTGGAAGGCGAGTCAGGTGCAGCCATTCAGAACTGCTATGCCAGGTTGTCCAAGAAATTGGCATCTGGACCCAGCAGTTTCGACTACGAGACGCTCGACTACTCTTCTCTGGAGGAGGAAGACTATGCTGAGCTCCTGCGTATCTTGCTACAATACCCAGATGCTGCGCATGGTTGTTTCAGAACTCTCGAGCCATCGTTCATCGTCGTATACTTGCTGCGACTTGTTGATCAACTTATGGTTACACTCGATGATGACGATGAGAAAGATTGGACCGACCTAGATACAGCCAGCGAGGCCAGTTTGGCTCTCTACGAGAATACCAGACAAGTGTTTGAGAATGCGCTGAGACTTATTGGGGTGAGTCCATGGAGTTCTTAAGGCTGCCTCGGCACGCGCTGGTTGTGAATCCTATCTTCTTTTCTGCTTTGCTTGGTATTTTGTATTTGGTCATTTTTATGTCATTTAAAGTTGGCCTCGCAAGTTTGGAGTTTTGAAATGGGGATATTGTCTTTCAAATTGGATCAGTCTGGTTCTAGGGCCGTAGGCTAAACTAAAGACCAACAAGATATTGGACGTCAAGGGTAGCTTTATTCGGAGGGTCCTCAAACCAACAAGAGTACTTATGAGAAATATTGAAATAAAATAGTGAAACAGAAAGGCGTAAATTCAGACATACCCGGCGTCAACCAACCTTTATGGCTAGAAGTGAATGTCTAACAGGGAGGGAATTTTAACTGTAGAGGTGTGCTACCATCTTGAACAATTCAGAACAAGTATCGTACTTTATCGTTTGATCCCCAGAAGAATTCTGATTTAAGGATACTTTATTCAAGAAACTGAATGTGCAGTGTTGTTGGTAATGGGTACCTGTGGCCGCTTGTGGTGCCTCAAACGCCGGTTTCGGGGTAAAGGTTCCGGAGGCGGCAACATATGGTCATCATCACCCTCTACATGTACTACAAGTTTCCCCAGCCTTTGCTAATACCTGAATATATCTCTTCCAAACAAAACCTCACATCATCTGAATCTCCAGATACTACTACACATTTAATTTATTCTTAGAACCTGCAAAACTCACACCATGGGAGAAGACGCCCCGCAAGAGAAGCAATGGTGGGACGCATTCCCTGAGCCAAAGGCCGAATGCCCTCGAACCGACCCGGCAATTGTCGCCAAAGACATCGAAGTGAATGCAGCATTGGGCAAAAAAGCTCAACGAGATTTCCTTTTGGTCGATGTTCGAAGGACAGACTGGCAGGGCGGCACCATCTCTACATCCATCAACCTCCCCGCTCACACATTCTACCAGACCCGTCAACAGGTCTATCAGCTCGCCTCGCAGGCAGGGATCAAGAGAATCATCTTTTATTGCGGTAAGTAATTACTACTGATAGCTAAGCCTGACTCTTTACTCATGCCTCCTCAGGAAGCTGCGGCAGTCGTGGCCCACGATGCGCTGGATGGATGCAGGACTACCTCGATGAGATTGAAGAGACTGACATGAAGGCCGAGATCTTGGTTGGAGGTATCAGGGGGTGGCAGAAGGCGTACGCTGGCCAGTTGATGGACTTTTACGACGAGAAGGCGTGGGAGGAGAAAGAGGAGTAGTGTTTGGCTGGGCATGGGAATAGCGGTCCAAGGGCATCTCCCTCTCTTGATGTCTAGTAAGGATGTGACCCAAACAAACTGTCCGCAAGGACTTGTCTCATTTTCGACCTTAACGCCAATAAAGATCACATAGTTTCCATCGTCTCTTCCAGTGTTTCCGCTGTCAAGGATTATCGGTCTCCGCGTCGGTCGTCTCCGCCAATTCGTTCCAGAGCCTCGAGCATTACCACAGAGTTACCACGGATGACCTATTCATATGTTAGTATCGTTATTCTCTTGACAAGCTTGTAGAATGGAGAGAACGTACAACCATGCCGATTCTGACCTTCTCTCCGTTGTCCTTCTCCTCCACCGCCTCGTCAAGGACAATGTTCAGGAAGACCTAGTTTCGTTAGCTTTGTTCCTGGTTTTTGTAGGCATATCGCTCACATCGTAACCGCGGAGGACACCAATGACCTTGCGGCTGCCGTTCAACTGGATGAACAGTCTCTTGTCTAGGTACTGTAGAAAAAAGTTAGTAGCAGATCAGAGGTAGTGATCGCAAGGCCTCAGCCTGGGAAGGACTCAATGAGCCATCCAGTAAACACGCGACACGGGAAAGAGCGAAACTAACCTTCTTCAGCTCAGGTTGTGCGGGCGCCATCTTGAGCAATCAAATCGTTGAATACTTGGATGCTGTTTCATGCGACGCGATCGCGGCCTAGAGCTATCCCATTTCGCTGGGCCGGAAAGTCTGCGTCACGTGCTGATAAGATCCCGAGCCAAAATGCACGTCACTTTAACCCAATCTGCAGGCGCGTCGCGAACTCTACCTTTTTTCATGTAATGCGCCCAAAGAGTAAAATAATATCGTTATGAGTTTTGCTGGGAAACGAAAGGCCAAGGTCATCAAGATTGCTGATGAGGAGGATGCAGGCGGAAATGCTCCAGCTGCAGATGGCGACAATGGTACTAGCGATGGTGAGTATGCCCAGACTTTGAACATGCGACTCTTGCTGATGAGATCAAGGCTGACCCTTGCGATTCTAGAATCTACAAAACCACTCTTCGGTGCGAAATCCGGGCGGAAACCATTCAGGCAATCGGGATTGAGGAAGAGCTTCAATCCAGCGGATAGCGAAAGTCTTGGAGATCTACCGGCGGCAAACGACGACGACGATGATGGACCAGTGGTAGTACGACCAGCCATTAGTCGATCAGGATCATTGAAAGGCAAGAAGAAACCAAAGTCTTCACGATTGTCATTTGGCGGAGACGATAGCACAGCAGGCGACGATGAGCCGACAGAGGTCTTCACACCGAAGAAGCTGCCCTTGGGGCGTGCATTAGAAAACAGTGCTATCAAGAGAGGACTGGGCACGAAGGGTCTTCCAATGAGGTCTATCGGGGATGATGACGACCGACCTAAGTACAGCAGAGAATATCTCGAAGAACTACAATCGTCTACGCCAAACACCCCCCAAAGGCCCTCCACGTTACCGCCCGACGACAGCGACCTGATGGACCTCGACGCTTCTGAACTAGAAGGTGCTGTGGTTGTCGATACCTCTGACTTGAACCAACCACAACCGACAGCTATTCTATCCGAGGTCGAAATTCGCGAAAAGAAGGAACGACGACAGCGATTAGCCCTGGAAAAGGACTTTTTATCAGTCGAAGATGATGAGGACCCTTTCGGACGTAAAAAGAAGGACGACACACGATTAATAGCAGAAGATGAAGATCTCGGCGAAGGTTTCGACAACTACGTCGAGGATGGTGGACTTTCTCTTGGTAGACGTGCCGAGAAAGAGAGACGAAAACAAGATCGAAAGCAAATGGAGGAGCTCATCACAGCTGCTGAAGGCCACACTTCCGACTCATCATCGGATAGCGATGCGGAGCGACGAATCGCATACGAAGCCGCGCAGACACGCGCTGGCATGGATGGCTTGAAGAAGCCTCGAAAAGATCCCAGCCAGGACTTGCTACAAGCACCACCCAAGATATCACCTCTTCCTAGTCTCACAGAATGTTTGGCCCGTCTGCAGACTACGCTGAAGGGGATGGAAGAGGAAATGAAGGGCAAGCAGAATCGAGTGGAGAAGCTCAAACATGAGCGTGAGGAAATTGTGAAAAGAGAGGGAGAGGTGCAGGCCTTGCTGGATGAGACGGGTCGGAAATATCAAGAGGCTATGGGGCAAGGAAAGGTGGCCGAAGGGAAGGGGCCGGATATTCTGGCAAATGCTCCGGTGGAAATGGTTGGAGCGAGGGGGCTTGAAACGCTTGGTACGCCATCGAGGAAACCCGAGGAAGAGGATGTTTGATGGCGTTAGGAAATGAATGCTTTACATCTTGTCCAGCTCATCATAACAAAACAGGCTGGTTTCTTGATCGCCCTAACCCCGAAAGTATCTACCTGGGGTCGTCAATAGAGCTTCAAGCAGATACGGTATTTAGAACTGGGTCCTTGATAGTGCCCATGGCCCTGGTAGCCCCAGAAGTTCTGATTGCTCACTCATAGATCTTACTATTTGGATTGGTCGCTGGCTGGGTTGGAAGTGTCGTGCAATGCGCCACACGGGCATCACTGCATATTGGAGGGACCTAAGCCTGTACTGTACCGAACTCATAATATTATGTCGGTATACGATGAGAACTATCACTACTCGTCTTCCTCACGTCTAGTGATCTTGACCCAGAAGTCCGAGGCGAAGAGAAACACCGAGGTTTGCACTCTTATCGGCCTCTCTGCGTTCAACACCGCAAAGTCGTAGCGTTTGATCAACTGATGTCACTTAGCAACACCCTGATACAGGGACCGTGTTTACATACCTCAAAAACAGCCTTGTGAATCTCCATGAGTGCAATCGGTTTCCCCAAGCATGAATATTTGCCATGGCCGAAATGCGTGTCAAACGCTGCTATCATATTTCTCAACCTGTCCCCCTCTGCAAGCAGCCACCTTTCAGGACGGAAAACATCCGCATCTTCGCCCCAGACAAGACGAGATCGGCCAACAGCGTAAAATCCCTGGCCGACTTGCGTCCCGCCTGGAACAAAGAAGCCATTGATAGTATCGCCCTCTGGTGGTACTTGTTTAAAGCCAAGACCGGCGACGGGAGGCCACATACGTAGACCTTCGCGGACAACGGCTTGTAGATAGGGTAAAGTTTGAGTTTGGGCCCAGGATATAGGCGTATTGACTGATGAAGCGGCCTTGCGGATCTCGGCGATGAGCGCAGCGTATGCTGTTGGGTTTGTTATGAGGGAAAGGATGATCATACGCAGGGCATGTGCAGAAGTATTTGAGCCAGCGATGCTAAGGTTTGTTAGTGAAATTCTCTTGCTTGGAGCTCTTGTACCCACATGGAGATGAAGGCTTGCTGGACGAGTTCCTCTTCGTTCATGCCGCTGTTAATATGAGCTTGCATCATATCTTTCATCTGTCCAGCGCCGTCCAAAAGCCTGCCACGTACGATCTGAGTTGCGAACCTGAAAGAAAGGTTAGAGCTGAGCCTCACCCGGTTATCAACAACTTACCCCATAAGGCGTCCGAACCCAATCTGATCCTCCTCCTTTGGCAACAACAAGCTCAAAGGCCAGCGATGGACTATCATACCCAGCCAGGGATAGACGGATACTATGTTCATGACCGGAAGCGAGCTAGCATTGATCTCGTTATAGTTGTAAAGGTCCTCATCTTTTGACAGATATCCGAATGGTTCCCCGAACGACACATCGCCAATGACATCTAGAGCAAAGAACTGACTCTTCTCTGCAAAGTCCACGGGTCGTGATTTGTTAGTCGTCGACAAATACTTGCGATCAATGAGACGAATAAAGTTGAGTAACTGGCGATCGATACCCGCCTCAAATCCGAAGCCCTCATCATCCGTGTTGGAATACTTTGCGGCAATCAGCATCTCACATAGCAACCACCCTTCACTTGGCACTCACCCCCGGGGCCATCTTTGCTCTCATGGCTTTATGTTTGGCTTCATCTCTCTCCGATACAACATTGTCAACCTTTGGAATTATCCTCCCGCTAGAGTAAAAGTCCCCTTTCGTGTAAGTGCTTCTCACGGCGGACATGCTACGAAGCACGACAGGGTCTGTGGAGAGAAGCTCGTTGGGGCCGATGCGAACCAGAGGGCCTTTGAAGTGTAAGTTATTCCGTTCAACAAAATACGTTGGGAGAACGTACCGAATTGATCTGCAGCGTCCTTCAGATGCTCATGATAGCGACCGCTGAGTGCTCCTCGGAGCTGCCACCATGATGACCACCCTGCGCCAGTAGGGCCAGGAATATGGCGCAGACGATACCACCGTCGAATGAGACGAGTGATTTGACCAAAAACGATTAGAAATATTGCCTGGAGATAGAGCGTGGTTGAAGACAGTTCAGACAAGAGTCCCATGGTCTCAGTATCGCAGCAATTGAATTTATATCACTCGACTAAAGTCTAGAATGTCATGCCCTCAACCTAGAGCTGGCCAAGTAGTTATACGTCTTCCAAGACATGAACTGCCTAAATTGGCAAAATAACAAGGGCATTAACTTTGCACTAATCGGACATCCCTAAGCCTAGAAACCGGCCCGCGTGGCGTGGCGTAGGATTCGGTGTTCGTTAATTCAGAAGGTCTTGCTCATTAAATGTCAGACATTCATAGAAGTTCTTGGGGGAGACAAGTCAGGAGATACAGGGTTCGCGAAGCAGGGCTATCTAACCGAGCTCTTATATGTAACATCAAGACATCACCAAACGTTATTCTCCTTGCGCAATCGAGGTTATTTCCATTAAAACGAACAGGTCATGTCGAAAAATACCCCAAAGATGTTCATGTGAGTACAGGAAGACCAATAGCAACTCAGCGGAAGCGCCCGTTGGCGGGAGAAACTGGAGGCGTTCAACTTCCATCACACGCATCTTCAAATCGTTTTCTAGTCGAGTGTGGCTTCGATCTTGGCTGCATTGACAATGCTTCTCCCAGAGACAATTGACTGTTATGCATTTTCAGTATTTGTTTCAAATTCAGAAACCACCCAGAATGATGAAGCAAGACCTTTAATTTCACTGTCAACAATTATACGCTCGGGTTTGTTGTTCATAATTCGTCTCAGATTCGGTCCGATCATTGTCGGCAAGGCAAACGCTTCCTAGTCATGCGAAATATATCCCCTAAATGTCTTTCTTTCTCAATCCCCCGCTGTAGAGAAGTCCACTGCTTACATCTCCCGTCATCCACGCCCACCAATCCTTAGCCAAGTTCACTCTTCCATACCAAGGGCCATCGCCAGTCACCTTGGGCATGCGGTCCGCAGCCTTGACGAAGTAGCTACTTGTGGCGTTGACGGGTAACTTCTGCGGCTTGGTCTTCTCCTTAGCGTCAAGAACAGGCATCACGCTCGTTGATCCCGTTTTCTCCATCCCTTTGACGACGTTTGTCAATATCTTGGCTGTCAGATCTGCGCCAGGCGTCCATGATGTTGTCACGTAACCCATTACGAAGCCCATGTTGGGAAGAGAGTCCATCATGCAGCCGCGCCATGTGTAATGTGTGCCGACGTCGATGGGCTGACCGTCTACTAACGGAGTTATGCCGCCAAATAGCTGAAAGTATAAGCCAGTTGCAGTTACGATGACATCAGCTTCAAGCTTGCGGCCAGACTTGAGAAGAATACCATCTTTCGTGACTGTCTCGATAGTGTCCGTCACAATATCGCAGTTGTCTCGATGCAAAGCCTTGAAAAAATCTCCATTCGGACACATACATAGTCTTTGCTCAAAGGGGTTGTAACTGGGGTTGAAGTGAACGTCGACGTCGATGTCCTTCGGCAATTCCGCCCGCATCCCCTCCATCAAAAGCTTGCGGCCTAGGCCAGGAAAGTTTAGGAGAACCTGGGTGCCTATAAGCTCCATCACAACGTCTTTCCAGTATATGAGCCAATACGCGAGCGACCAGGGAAGAAGGAAGCGCAGGCAGGAGCCGAGAATAGAGGTTATGGGCCGAGAGATGACAAAGGATGGGCTACGTTGAAGCATAGTCACCATGCCGGCCTTCTCGGCGAGTGATGGGACAACGGTGATGGCTGTGGCCCCAGATCCGATGACAATAACCCGTTTATCGGAGTAGTCGAGGTCTTTCGGCCACCATTGAGGATGCGCAACGACCCCTCCGAAATCCTCGATACCTGGAATAGTGGTTTGGAAAGCCTTGTCGTAGGAATAATATCCCAGGCAACTGATAACAAAGTTGGCAGTAAAGATCTTTCGCTGGCCATCCGCATCAATCTCCAGTCTCCATTGTTGCTCATCGGTCCGCCATTCACACGCCACCATCTTATGGCGGAATTGGATACGGTTCCTTATACCAGCCGCATCGACAGCCTCCTCAAGATAATCCACAATCTCGCTAGCCTGAGCCATCTTATGATCATGTTTCCAAGGATGCCACGGTAGACCAAACGCGGCCATGAACGAGTCGGAACGGAAACCTGGGTACTGGAAGAAGCGCCATGTTCCGCCAATTGCTGATTGCGCCTCGAGGATCGTGTACGAACGGTGGGGGAGCTTCTGGTCGAGAATGTGGGCGGTGTTGATACCAGAAAGACCGGCGCCGAGGACGACGATGTCGTGGTGTGTTACTGGATCACCCATCTTGAGTGAGGGTTTGACGACGACGTTGTCGTTATCGTGGGAGAGTTTGTTGAAGGGTGGAATTGGATGTTGAGAAGTCTCGCTCGTTTTACCCCTACAGCGACTTTACCAGCGACGTCAATTACTGGTCCCACATTTGATCGACGCCACAAACTTGAGGTGCAGTACGTACTACTTTGAGTGAAGTTGATTAAGTCTAACAATGATACTGAGATAGGGTAAAATACTTCAAGCTGACTCGTAGACTTTGACATCTACAATTCTAAGAACACCATGACCCCTAGACTGTCGATCAATTGAATCTCACAATGCAACAACAATCAGAGATGCGTGTCGTTCTAGTCATGAAGCTATGGTGGAGGCTATGTAGAAACCAAGCTCATCCAAGGTAACATACGTCAATAGTTTTCGCTCACTAATATTCGTATATCAAGACTGCGCCTACTTGTCAATCATCTCCACTTCTCACAGGGGCAGAAAGATAAGCATCTGACACCGGCACTAAACGGTTGAGGTCCCCGGATTCAAAACCGTAAGCTGCGAGAACTGCGATTGGTCAGGAGACTGACTATACACGAATATTTACGGCAGATACGATAAAGGACCATATTCCCGTATTGTTACTGCTCAAATAATATCCTTGAAGCAAACTAAAGCCCACTTTAGTTAACCTTAGCCAAAACCAGTCTGTTTATCTATCAAGGGTTGTATTTTACCAGAGCAAAGTTTACCAGACATTGTACGATCCATAATGCTAATCCATAATGCTACTCCAGAGAATCAAAATTTGAACATGTCTTGATCTGGTGACTTCTTTTCTATCAAATTGAAGTTTACTACATCATGTTCGATGCATATCTTGCCATATGAAAACCGAATCCTTAAGCTGATTACTTTACTACTCAAAATAAGTTTAAACGCCTAGACATATTTCTAAGTTCCAGATATCATCCTATGAACGTTTTACCATTGTAAATGTTTAGCATGATGTATGAGTGTATGATTACTGATTCTTCTTTTTTACTGCACGCTGCTGTGTCATGTATAATATTTTGGAACATCAATCTAAAAAACACCCTGTCCATTACTTCTGCAATAGTCTCATCTGTGGAGTACTTTTTCATACAACAGCAACTATCTTTTCAATGCGTTCTGTTCTATCCCAACCATTCTGTGCCCCCTTGTGCTCCATTAACTGCAAATCTAATAATTTCTGCGCCAATTGTTTGATACTGTAGCATTGTTCGAGTCAGGCCTGTTCGGGTGGGTATTATTCATACGATCAGCCATACGACGACCCTCTCGGGCATCTAGTTGTCGGCCCACGAGCTTTTGCGGTACTCTCTCTGACACGGATACCTTGAGTTGACCTCCTGGAATATCCTTGCCGTTCAGCGCCTCAACTGCTGAGCTGGCTTCTTCCTTAGTTTCAAAGTCGACGAAGCAGTAGTGGTGGTTTCCTGGCGTTGTTCGTTTGCTCTCGTGAGGCGTAATTCGCTTTCCGATCGCAGTACTAATATGCTATTAGCGAAAATTGCATACTATCCGGGTTCCGTTACGTACGGTTTGAAGCCAGAGAAAATCTGACTTAATTCCTCTTGGTGTTGGGCTTGATCAACCATTTTACCCAAACCACCAACATACAACCTCCGTCCACCAGAATTTCTCACCACATCCTCAAAGTGGTCGATCGCCCAGTAAGGTCCCTTTTCCTCTCCTGTGCCGTTGACTTTGCCGATTGGAACACCGCCTTCGCTCGGCCTGACGTTCCAGTCGCCCCATCGTCGAGAAGTCGACCCCTCATCGCGGAAGCCACGACGAGGCTTCTTGGGCTCGCATGGTCCAACCTTGAGGGTTCTTCCATATACAACAGCGCTAAGAGATGAGAGGGCCCTCTCTGCTGTTTCGCGGTCTTTGAAGTCAACGAAGCAATATCCTGGGTTTCGAGCGCTGACGGGATCGATGGAGATGTGAATTTTGTCCAGACTGCTGAATCCTTCTTTGGCCAGGATTTCTTCGACCTCGAAGGGCTTGACCTCGTAGGGGAGATTACCTGTCAGTAAAAACCAAAGAGTCAGCTTTCGTCCCAAAAACAGCCCCAGTCTGCGAGAAGTTACGGGTAAGTCATGCCTAGATAGATGCGCCTCCCGGCGGTGATAGCGTCTTGTTCCATAGTTGAGGCTTCCAGTAGACGTGCCGTAGAGTACAATATACAAGGCAGTAACCAAGATGGTGTTGGATTGGGAGTCTTCAAAAGAACTCTGGCGGTTTGTTGAGTCTCTCTTGTGGACCAATGAGCGGAGATTTGCTGCTGTCACCCCCGCGAAGACCCTGAAGAGGGGACAGAAACAAATGGTAGATAAGCATGGGGAACACAAGACAAAAAGCCCAAGTTTGCTAGGTCTTTGTATTCCGCAACTGCATGTGCGTTTGAAGAATGCTCAAAGGGGAGATAAGTATAGCCAGTTATACTCGTATATACCATACTACCAACACCGAACGTCGCTAATGAAACCCTGTATCCCGTACCAACTCCACTGCTTACGAGTCCTCTGCCATGTAAGTACTCTGCCTTGAAATCAACATTTTATATTTGCTTGCCAATCACACGAAAACCATTGCTTATCCCATCCTAGGACTACCAGACGTGTTCGATGAGTCCGCTGAAGGATATCTTGACACCTCTCTCAAATGATCAGGTGTTCCCAAAGCCTTCATTTCTCTCGATCCCCATTTCCGAAGGGCAACTTTGTGGCCGCAATTGGTACAGTAGTGTGCCAAATGGCACGCCCAATTTCCAGCGTAGGGAACAGCAGCACCTGCAATTGTTGTGAACCCGAGGACCGTTGCCGATACACTGAAACTCGTTAGCTTAAGAACTTTCATACTTTTTGACGGGCGGAAATCTCACTGTGTCATCTTGGAAGACTTCTTCTTCACGCGTGTCTCGGCACGACGTCTGCAGAACGGGCAGTCCACAAACTTTGGAAGGTCTTTTAGCTCATGCAGCGGTGTTACGTAAGTCATGACTTCGTTTCCGTTGTACGGTGGTAATTGCGGTGAGTGACCGCCATAGCCTTGCTGTTGTTGACCTTGATGCTGCTGAGGTGGGTAACCGCCGTGGCCTTGTTGGAAATGTTGCTGCGGTTGGGGAGAGTAACCGCCCTGGTTGTAGTACTGAGGAGTGCCGGTGGAATGACGAGCAGGTAGTGGAGGTGGAGAGTGGTCGTCCGAGTAAACCGGAATAGGAGCTTCTTCAAATCGTTTGTCTGTTTCTGAATCCACGGGTATCGGAGCGTCGTAGTATTCGCTTGTTCTTGTGGTTTGGTTAGAAATGACAACTTCTGGCAGACCCTCATCGCTGAGAACCGTACGATTGACGCTATTCACCGTTAGTTGCTGTGAGACAAGCGCTGTTTAGATTAAAATCTTACGCAGGAGCTGTGAAGTTTTGAGATTGCGATGATTGCTCATACATTGTCTTTTCGACCGGCTGCGAATGCGGCGTTGTGTTTTGTATTGTCGCCATTTTATCCTGAGGCTTACGTACGTAGTTTGGACGGTGTAAGATGATGGCATTCAGAGTCGGTACCGACGTCGGATACTTAAAACGGCCGTTGGTGGGGGCCTCAAGGGTCTTTTATGCAGACAAAACCCAAAACACAGCCTGACAGCTTAATAGCAAAAGTGACATCCTTGATCCTGCAGCTCCTCCATTCAAATTGTCAAACACGCTGCTCGGTGGCTGAGCTTTAGCCCCAATCATTAACCAACAGATTCGAGCGGTCATGACGTTGAAGGATTCGGTCTGCGTGGATTAGGTCGGCATCTAGGCTGCCGATCCTGGTTTTTAGCAAGGATGCGTCCTTCGCACTCGTTAGGTTACTCAGCCATCTTTGGCTTAAGTACTAACTCCCTCAGTCTCCACTAATGAAAGCTGACACGGAATTCCGTGTTAAACGCAGCCATCCATTCAAACTGCTTTGATAAAGCGTTGCATGTAACCTGATAAGGCTGACATTCCTTACATGTGAGGCCCAGTTAAAAGAGAGGTTCCAGGAATAGGTAGCCTTCAGTAGCATTTTGCCACTATAGGAGCAACCTGTCACAACTTCGTCACAGTCATAATTAAGAGCCATTAGAATGGCTGGAAGGTGAGCAAGTCTAATTCACGCAGACATGACTAGTCCAAAATATTACAACTGGAGGGTTGAAATCTGATACTGTTCACTACACTCGCTACGATACGACTGCGGAGTTAGGCGGTTAAATAAACACATCCTAGACATCATAAGCAAACCGCACCGGTTGAAACCTGTTTGAATATTACTGTTCACACAAATCAATTATCAAACCTCACTACCTAGAGAATGACTTATGATAGCACATCAAACTAAATTGAGATAAGTCCTCAAAGTTTGATGTTCCTCTTTCGGACCCAACCCATGGCTACAAATGCTACCATCACCAGCATAGTAACAGGAAACGCAATAAGGAAATACAACCAGAATTTGCCACCCCCAGGTCCATACTCACCAGACATGCTGAAAAGTGTAGCTATATATGCTAATGGCACAAAAAGCAACCCCAAAGTCGTAATATTCTGTGTTCTTACGGCAGCTTCGAGAGAAAGCTGCTGTTCTCTGAAAGCCTGCCTATTTCCAGCTATACCAGTCAACCCCGTGATGCTCGCATTGATCTTGCCAACCCAGTTACGAGCATTCTCGAATCGATGATGAAGCATCTGGAAGTCAACATGTACATCTCTCCAGGATGTTACTTGAGCGAGGTCAGGACGTTGGAGAGGAATGCGCATCTGAGCGAGTGTATGCTCCAAGTCGTAGCAATACTGGTGCAGCCGCTTCTCCAGCGTCTGGCAACTGCTCCAGTTTGCCTCCACAGTTGCAAGATCCAGTCCTGTAAAATCAGAATGCCTACGCATAGGTACTTGCGAACGGATGACTGCCTGGTGTACGTGGTCGAGATGCCTGCTGTAAAGACTTGCAACGATCTTTCTGGCAAACAACAACACGAGATCCGGAGTCTCCAGAGTGAGGCCCGGTAGAGTCGAGTAGTTCTCAAGGTAGAAGCACAAATCTTGGGCGAGGCTTGTCCTCGGAGATACCTGTCGTCGTTGCGATTGAAGATTTGTGGGAAGAAAATCGACATAGCCTCCTCCGACTGGTTTGGAATTCACTTTGTATACGAGACCTTTAGAAGGGCCCTCTTGCTTGATTGTAATGTGACTTAAAGGCGGATCGCAAATGGCAATACCTGCAGGTACGTAAGTAGATGAATAAAAACACAAACACAGACTTCATATCACTCACAATCCCAGCCATCATCACGTACATTGCTCCATATCAAACATTTACGTTTGACGTAAGCGACGCTATCAAACTCTCCGTTGAATCTGGTAGTCTCAATTACCCTTCTAGTGGCCGAACAGTTGAGACCAAAAAATCCGATTAACTCGCTGGGCAGAGCAAGCAAATCACGATATGGTAAAGACATATAAGGCTGGGTTGCCAGACTTGTGGCCAGTATGTCATTGCACCTAGCTTTCGTTGATACGGTGCCAGCAGTGCGGTGGTATTCTACAAAGAACGTTGGGTCCATCCAGAAGTGGTTTCCAAGGACTGTTGCCACATCTTTATTCATGCCCTCAAAGATGTATGCCCTTCGTAGAGGTTTACCATTGAGGTCTCGCTGAGATAGAAATTCGCTCAGACAGTCTGATTTCACGGCGGCTGAAATTGAGACGTCGGGTCTTTCCCCGTCTCGAAACGTCACAATGCGGCTGTTGACGATACGGCTGTCCCATGATATTCCAGGAAAGTGTTGTTCAGGATCAGGCTGCCGTAAGCGTGGATCAGATGATGCGAGGTCATTGACATAGTCATTGTATGGGCTTCTCTGGACTAGCCATGATTCATACGGTGGTTGAACCCTCCTATTATCGACAGGGGGATTGTATCTGGAAGTCAGCTCATCCAATAGTATATTTCGGGAGGTCATCTGATAGTAATGCTGTTCTCGCCAGATGAAAGAGATGGAAGCTTTCAGCAGCGAGACGCGGCTTTTTATAGACCTTGGCAACAGATGTACTGTCCATACTACGTAATATACACCCGTCCTAGTTAAGACATTGTTTTCATATGGTTAATAGCTGTGAGGATCCGATGACACAGTTAATACACTTCTGGTTGGAAGGCGGCTTTTAGGTTCGCTAGCCTAAATCGAGGCCTTCTTGTGTATTGGGATTCGGCCTCTGACACCAGCGCTACCCAGGTTCCAATATCAAGAGAGTGACTTTGATTGGTAGCAAAGTGCAAGTCACTACCCTGATAGGGATTCTTGGTGGCTATCAATCTCTAAAAGGCTGGCACTGCTGCAGCCACTATTTTAAACCACCAAATCCGGGCGAGAATGTGTTGGTAGGTGTCCTTGGGGTGTAAGAATACTTGGCCGATCTTTACACTGAATTTGTATGAGAGCACCGGCCACGTTTTCCTACACCTCTTAGGGCGTATAGATTTCCTCGGTTTATCACGTAAGACTTTGCAGCTTGGCCGAGACACGTTCCAATTTTCTTTGAAAATCTTGGGACTAAGAAATCCATCGTGATCCTTTTGTCGAAAGCCCTTGATGTGCTAAGGCTCGTAGGGGGTGAACAATAAGCTCATGCGAGATATAATCCTTGATCCTGACCCGAAACGTTCTCGTTCTATTGATACAAAGCTCTTGCAGTTATAAACAAGCTCGTATATGCTATGTATACAATTTGCACTCCTCCAGTTTCTACAGTAGAAATTAAATTATTAGCTTCTTCTAAATATACGTATAAGCCAAGACCTTATGGTTTTAAGTCAAGATCAGGTATCAATGGTTTAAAACAAAGACACAATGGCCCTTTTAAACAAACCGCAAGCATAATTTAGTATGTTTAAAGAAACTTGGCGGCTAACGCATTCGTCTCACCTGCTTACAGCGCTTATGCAAGATGGTAGCAGCACAACGTCAATCAAGCCTGCCGTCTAATTGTGACACTAGGTCTATCGTTCAATGGATTGATACCGTCCAGCCCCTTCTCAAGTTCAGTGAAACAACAGTCAACGTTGATTGGCTAGACGAGACGGAACCTCGGCAGTCAACAGCAGGGCGTAGCTCCCCACTATTGATTGCCCCTCCTGCCACCTGAGCTCCATGCTCGATGAATAAGTACACAACTTAGTAGCCAGTCAGTTCATATTCTGGAAACTTCACTATTCATCACAATTTCTCAATCACCCAAAATGTCTGAGCAATACATCCTGTTTGACCTTCCAAGCCGAGACTCTCTTGGTGCTTGGTCTCTCAACCCGTGGAAAAGTGAGTCCCACTTGACAACCCCTCCATGATATCACCGCTCATCCTGTCACAGCTCGATTTCTCTTGAACTTCAAGGGAATCGACTACAAGACCGAATGGGTATGTCTTTTCTGAAGTTGAAAGTAAGAGGGTACTGATCAAAGGACAGCTTGAGTACCCCGACATCAAGGAGACCCTGGAGCCTCAGTGAGTCATCGGATCATCTATCAAGACTCAACTAACACCCTTCAGCATTTCTGCCAACCCAGCCACAGGCACATGGACCATCCCAACCATCAAGTGCCCTGATGGCACTTACATCATGGATTCGGCCAAGATTCTTGAGCGCATTGAGAAGGACCACCCTGAGCCCTCCGTCCACAAAGACTCGCCTGTTCTGGCCAAGCTCTTTTCGATCATGCCCAAGATCATGAGCGCCCTCCAGCCGGTCTACTTCCACACTGTCCCAAGTAACATTCTCGGTCAAAAGAGCATTCCATACTGGCACGAGACCCGATCAGAGGTGGCTGGCAAGCCCGTTGATGAGTTCTACAAGGAAAAGGGCGGCCAGCAGGCCTGGGATAACGCCAAGGCTTCTGTGCAAGAGGTTGAGGCTCTTCTCAAAGAGAACTCGGAGGGTCCTTTCTTCTTGGGAAAGACTCCCAGCTATGCTGACTTTGTTTGGGGCGGTTTCCTTATCTTCATGCAGCGCAACGAGATCATTGAGGAGGTTTATAAGATCAGTGGCGATAGCCAGGTTCATAAGGACCTTCTTGAGTCCCTTGCTCCTTGGCACAAGAGGAACGACTATTGAGTCGCGAAATGGACTACTTCAGTTGGAACGCAAAAGATGTGATATAGATACTGCGCGAAACAAGAAATAGAAGAGAGGCACAAAATAGACGTTCTTCCCCCATTATCTTCAAACCCACCATCTCACCTAAGACTCGTTCCCCCATCATCATCGTCATCATCACCGGGGTTGGACTCCTCGAAGCTGTTGTCTGGAGAATCCAGACTCAGCCCCTCAGCAAACTCCTGCTCCAACTCATCGATATCAGCCAGACTCGGAGCCCTCAGCTCTGTCTGTGCGTCAGTATCCCGTACCGAAAGAGGATGGGTGCTAGAGTCGTGCCTTCTGCCCTCCGAGTTCCTACTCACTAGAATACTCTGCGCCTCTACACGGATCTTTTCTATCACATAATTGAAGATGGTCTGTCGTCGGGTCTTTCCAAGAGAGCCGTCGGACTCATAAAGGTCAGGAAACCGCCAGCTCATGTACAGGTTGCCATGACTCGGTCGCGTCTCTATACCATCGTGCTGGCCTGGTGTGTCGAAGTAATAGCGACAGAGTTGACATGCGCCTTTGCTACTCCCAATGTATTTCCAGTCGCGGAAGAATTTGACAGGGCGTTGTCGTGACTTGGCCATCACCCATTCGAGAACCAAGATCTCAGCGTGTACGATAGGCCTAAAAGAGGGTGTGTTCCGCTTCTTTATACGGTCATCGAGAGCCATGCCCTGCAAGTTCTGAGCAAGCGTGCGATACCTCTGCTGCGAAGCTTCATCACCGCACATTCGTCCAATGATGGCATCAGCGCTTTCGCTTTTCCTACCAAGCGGATTCGGATCTTTGAGGCTTGATTCAATGGGAACAACGACGAACTCCTGGAAGAGCTCTGACCATTCGCTCTCTGCTTCTATAAGGTCCTGTGCGGTTCTTTTGTAGTTCTGAAGCCGGGATAGACTGTGTCGCAGGTCGGTCCAGCATTCGGAACTTCGCCCGTCATTGAAGCGACCTTGTGTGGCGGCGCGTTCTCCCATGTATACTTTGACATTCTCTGTCAGAAAGCCTTTGATGGCTTGGAAGATGTCCTTGTATGCCTCTTGGCCTGTTGCTAGGTTAGTCTGTCGAGGGGTACTGGGCTAATGGGTCTTACATTGCTTTTCATCTAACCCTTTGAACGTGATGTCCTTGATACCTCTGTCAAGAGTTGTCAGAGCATCACCAATAGAAGTTGCTGTTATGAATGGTCAATCTTGCTTCTTATCATCCCCGAGCAGTGATACTCACCATCCGCGCTGGTCTGCCGTCTGCAATACTCTAGACATTGATCAATGCTCTTCTTCAACTCCCCAAGATAGCAACTGATTCTTGGCGAGTTGAAAGTAAGTATCATCTTCAAAACATCCTTCTCAATAAAACGTTTCTCCTCCTGGCCAAGCCCATGAGCTCCAGAGAGCTTTTTCAGAAGTGCAGTTAAGAAATCGCGAGCCTCAACCAAGTCACTAGTATTGACCTGGTTGCAGCCAAAGGCATATGTGAACTTGTCTTCCCCATCGAGGATGGTGATGGACGTCACGGTCTTGCCGCCCTTGGTACTGTCGCAGATACTAGCGAGTCTGTTGAGGAAGTAATGGTACTTCTTTTCTTCATTCATGGGGCCCTCAGAAACTTCAGGGTGCCTGAGGGCACCCTCTGCGTGGGTGATGTCAGTGAGGGCCTTGTACATGATGATAGGCTCATAGAGACGGCGCTTTTGCTTGGGTCGGAGAGGGACGAGGTCGTCTGTGAGACATTAGTCAGAAGTTATCAATCGGATAGTGGTTGACTTACTTGAAGCCATGATCATTGTCGGTCGAGAGTCTTGATGGTTGCTGGGTTGTGAGAGGACTGTGGGAATCACTAATTAACTCCAAAAGTCCGGGATACTATCTCAATCTTATATCTCTCTTATGAGTAGAGAGCTTTGTGTCAATTATATCCTTGCTCATGGTCTTATCGTCCAACTGGATCTGCCTCGCCCAAGCCACGCGCCGGGGGCCGACTTGGAGGCCCATCACATCATGCGGGCTGACCTCAATCACCAACAACCGGCCCTCAGGGTGAAATAAAACATCAAATGCGGGATAAAAATACAGATAACTTTATTCTGTAAGAAGAGTATTTAAATAAGATTATGTTATATTTATATTAATATTAATATAAATACTAAACCTTAGCCTAATATTTAATAATTTTATTATATCTTAGAGCCGATTACAGTAATTATGGTATATAATAGTCTATATTTACTTGATTTCTCACGTCCGAAGTCTTATTTCACCCCCTAGCCGGCCTCCTGGCAGCCGGCCTCCGTCACTTTCGATTGCCTTATTTCAACTTTCACTCGAAGTGTACATCCAATGAGAATTGGCGCTTTCACCGAATTTGGCCTGTTTCTAGGCCGCATCCGTCGAGCAGCAAGGCTGAGTCGTGATATCGCGAGTTGCCTCATTTTCCATCTACGCTATTGAGGGACCCACATTCGCGGATATGTAGAGACACCGGTTGTCGATCATATCCGTTGATGTTCTCAGAGTTGGTCTCGCAAGATTAGATCGATAAAACTGTAATAATGCGCTTTGTAGATAGAGTGGCTGTGGTCGGCCCCCTGGCCGGCCTCCCACGAGAAGATTCACCATGAGCTTCTTTCGATGAGTATATATCGTAGACTTGATTGCTTTACCAAATTCTCAGGTCATCACTTCAAAAACTTCAATTGAGCAACCTTCTCTCTCTGAGCCTTAACAACTCGCCTTTGAATAGACTTTTCCGTCACTCATCTGCCAGAGTGAAAGCTGGCGAGCATGTCACGACGAAGCGATCGTCCTCACAGACATAGCCGCTCCAGCAGGTCCCAGCAGTACGATATACCCATTGATCCAAGTCTCACTGAAGCCACATACCCTGAGAACTCTGAGGCTCAAAGCTACGGCTCCTACACCCAGGCTGGTCCAAGTCAGAGCCAGTAGAGCGCTGATTCGCAACCCTCTGAGATTGGTACTGGTGTATACGCAGCAGTTACGAGCGAACCAGAGGCTCAGGACACAGGCCAAATGGAGTATTATATGATGCAGCAGCCGGCAACGGTGAACCCTAATGAGGTTTTACTTGACCGAGGACCTGTCTATGCAGCTCAAAGTTATCCCAGCTCTGCTTACCAAATTGCTAGCTATGGTATGTTAGACACCACTCAAAGTCTATGATGTAGCCAGATGTGATAGTTGGTAGAAGCTAACATGAGATGACAGCCGAGCCAGTTGCCTCTTCGTCAACAGCACAAGGCCACAATGACAACTACTGCTCAAAATGCAGGCATTCCTACGACTCAGCTCGAGACTTCAAGTGAAACACCCCAAATTTCCCACCTTAAACTGTGGAAGTTTATCTAACACGACACAGCAAGCACATGAAGACTCACAACAAACCCGTGAAATGCGAAGCCAGTCCGAACTGCAATGTCACAAAGGCAGAACAGCGAGACATGGATCGTCACTACCAAACATCTCATAAAACCTATGCAGCAAGCAAGAACATCTTGACTGAAGAAGTAGGCTGTGGCTTTGAAGGATGTACTTCGACGTTTACGAGGAGGGACAATCTTCGTAAGCATTGGAAGAAATACCACGGCTATGAGCCTACCAAGTAGTGACGGGTACATCGGCATGAGGCCTTCCATTCTTTTCTTTGTGTTAGGGATCCTAGTATCTTTCTTTGTTCATCTTACATCTCCTGATTTCCTTTATACTCGACCAGCCTACCTTGTTGTTAGACAGGATCGGGCAAACACGGAATGGTTCTCTTTTATGCGAATACGGAGACGTGTAGTCACTTTCAAAGCACAAATCGCTCGTTTATGGACATTCGTTCTTCGTTGTGTGTTATCATCTAGATGGGTCACTTTTTATTTCAACGTTTGTTTTCCTTTTCTTTGTGTATTCTTGCTTGAAACAATAAGATACTGTTGGTTCTCTTTTTCGCTTTCCTGCAAGCCGGATCTGAGCCATTCTGTTCCGTATACGCATCCATTCAAATGACCTGGTTATTAACCCTCTCATATTCATAAAGTCCAATGTGGAAGAAAATATTCTTATATGATCATCAAAGGGAATCTCGTAGTTAAAAAGAAGATACAAAAGTAGACCAAAATCCACGCCCTATTTCCGATAACGCCTCATCAATTCCCGTCTAGACTGTAGCCAGTAGTCACCCCATTAATAGTTTTATGTTTTAATTCCTCATCCTGTTAACTTGACTGTCCCGCTCACACCGCTGAGAATGGGCAAGTAGCACCATCTACAGAGGTAGCTCCAGAGCTAGGACATCTTTGCTCGGTACTGGCCACAGAAGGGCAGCTTTTCTTGGAGGCAGAGGCGATGCTTAGGGTATCAACCTTGAACTCCATGTCACCAGTGCTGAAGAGTTCGAAGTGCATGCGGCTGGCATCCACTTTTTGCACCTTGAGGTACTCAGCCATCTCGAGCATGAACTGCTCAGGGCCGCAGATGTAGTACTCGGTGGAGCTGTGGCACAGATAGAGATCTTCCTTGTCAACCTTGGCTAGATCCATGCGGAAGTCGTGGTTGTACGTGACCCCGTAGACGTCGGACTCGGCAAGATGGGTCTTGAAGATGTTTGTGCGGAAGCTGGGCCGGTTGCGGGCGATGCGGCGGACTTGGTCGTAGAAGGGGACGGAGCGTCGGGAGCCGTGGATCCATGAGACGGGACGGTGAGGTTGGCGTTCGGAGACGGTGTTGAGGATGGCCATCATGGGAGTGACGCCGACACCGGCTGAGATGAGGACGATGGGGACGTTGGAGGTGTTGGACATGTCGAGGTAGAACTCGCCGGCAGGGTGAGTGAGCTCAACTACGTCGCCCTCGTCTTTCATGTCGATGAGGAGGTTGGACACAACACCTGGGTTGAGGGCATCGCCTCCGAGATATCGGCCGCTGCGTGTCATGTGAAGACCCTCGTCTCGCTTGATGGTGACGCGGTAGTAGTCGGGACGGGGAGCGTCACTCAAAGAGTACTGTCGAGACTGGATATAGCCCTTATCGGCAATGGGCACCATGACAGAGACGTACTGGCCAGGCTGGAAGGGAGGAAGACGCTTTCCATCGACGGGAACAAGGTAGAAGGAGAAGATATCCTCAGCCTCTTCAACCTTCTTCTCAATGCGGAACTTGCGGTAGCCCTGCCACTTGCCAAAGTCACGATATAGCTGAGCCTCACGACCGATGAGCATCTTGGCGAGCATCCAGTAAGCCTTTGCCCAGGCCTCTCTAACCTGGGGCGTCATGGCGGGACCGAGGACCTCAGCGAAGGCATTGAGGAGGTACTTTTCGACGATGGCGTAGTGCTCCGGCTTGATGCCGAGGGAGCAGTGCTTGTGGCACATGCGCTCCATCTTGGGGATGAGCTCTGTGATGTGGTTGATGTTGTTTGCGTAGCTGAGGATGACGGCGGTGAGGGCACGGGGTTGGCGACCGTTGGCCTGGTTGACGGTGTTGAAGTAGTCATTGAGCTCGGGATGGTCACGGAGCATGTTGCGGTAGAAGATTGTGGTGATACGCTCGCCGTGGTCGGTGAGGGCGGGGATGGTGCCCCGGATGAGCTTGGTCTGTTGGTAGGATAAGGCCATTGTGAGGACAAGCAGTAGATGGACCTCTAAGAAGGATGTTGAGGCTCAACAGACGGTAGAAGAGTATCTAGAGTATCGATGTTGGTTGAGTGGTGACTAATTGTGCCGTGTAAGTCAAGATTGAAATATGGGTATCAAGGTAGAGAAAGGAATGAAACAAGAAGATGAGGCAGAGTCGGTCAGTAGTGAACAAAGTTTACGAGGGGGAGTCGTCCCCAGATATTATATCCTCATCCTCGTAGTTCAAGCTCTCATGCTCGCTCAAGGCCATGTCATGACATGGTATGTTATGTTACGGCAAGGACATGGATGGACATGGACCTGGCTCCTCTCCTCACACGCCCCCAGGTTGAATTAACTAGACGAGGACTGGTCTCTAAGCATTATTACAGAGTATCCGTACTCGGTGCAAATCAGGAGCCCCCTAGGAAAGGAAAAGAAAAAGCAGTAAAAAGGCTATGTTTTCTTCTTCTCCACAAGCCGTTAATTCCTCGTGGCATCGACGTAAAAACGCCAGAGGGTGTGTCTAAGTGCTGGGGAACCCAACGAAGTCGTACGATGCAGTTGCAACAGCTGGGGGAAAGCGTTTCTAGGTGGGGTCGAGCCCTGTAAATTATCGAACTTTTTTCATTTTTTGCTTTTCCTACCTTTTTTATGGGCGGCCCGGCGGGTTCCTTTCACGCTGGAAATCCACTGGCAGATGTTGAAGTTCTTGGCGGGATGGTTGTACAATGTAACTAATGGGCTGAATGGTCCGAGATTCAAATCAGGCGAGAAAGAGAAACAAGGCTGATCTGGATCCGGTTGCGGTCACTTTGTTGTGATGACAGTTCTATTGTTCGGATTTGGCTGGTTAATCCAAGTCATTGAACCTACCAGCTGAAGGTTAATTTGACTCGAGTTTGATAACTAAAAAGTCGAAATCTGCCTTACAATAACTTATTTGGTGTCGAGATATTCTACAGTAGGTGCTCCGATCTGGAGATGAGTCTGCGTAGTGGAGATGAAGAGCTACCTACAAGAGCTACATCATAGCGTTAACAATAGCTACAAAGCTGCCCGGGCTGCACTGTAAATAATACGTATCGAGATTAGGTGACCTACATATTAATATCAACCATGCACTCAGCCATGCGAGAAGGAAAAACGATGCATCACAACACTTGGCAAACCACATTGGTTGAGGAATAGCCCTGACAATCGAGATCTGACCAACCGAGAAGCGAGCGGTCCAGAACTTGGAGGCGCATCGTTCCAGACAAATGCTTTTTATGCTATCGAATCAAAGCATGGCAATAAACAAACACAACCAACATATTACACAAACAAGCAAATAGGGACGTTGCAGGTTTATCATGTACAGGTAGATACAAACAGAGGAAGCCGACAGGCCGTGTACTCGGTGTAGTTGAGCCTCGAGGAATCATATGCAAACTGTAAACGCGAAACTCCGAGACAGAGAACGAGCACTGCATAAACGAGGGGAAAATACCTTCCTGTCACCGGGAATAAAGAATTAAAAAATAGCATGATTTCATTCCCATCTGAAAACCCGACCAGCGAGACCCCTTGCTCAAGTCAATTCCCTGTCTACCACATCCCAGTCCACAGCCTGGCGGGTATCTACTGACTGGAGTAAACAAGTCGTCGAGAAAGCCGTGGTATGACTTTGTCCCATGTGGCTGGTTCCAGATGAAGTCTATGTTCGCAATAGGCAATACTGGACTGGACAACCGCGGAGATGAATGCGCGAGAAAATGAGCCGCATGCAATTAACTACGGATACAGAATAGAAGGATTCCTCTCCACGCGAGAACCAGGTTCAAGGTTCCAACACCTCACGCGACCGTTTAAATCGTCATGGCAGTTCCGCCCTGAGAATTGCCCATGATTACTCCAGAAACTCCCAAAAAAGAACACCGAGGTTACATACGACAGCTAGACGAGCAGGACGTTTCATAGCTTTGTAGATCAACAGGCTTAACAAATCTATCCAGAACCAATGCTACAGAATGGGGTAAGGCTTTGAAGTTTGAGCTAGTACGTTGGGTACGTAGGTAACCGCAACAAACTCATTGTCAAGTGGAATTCGGGCTCCCTTCATCAACAGCGGACGCCGAGGCTTCCAGAAGACGAGCCGAGTTATTCGATTGTGGAACTTCGTGCTTCTTTCTGTGCCTGGCAGTAAAACAACCTGGAACCTGGAACCTGGGCGGAATAGGCCGCCCGCCTCGGGAAGAAGACCTCCGAGGTTGATACCCGTATTTTGTATAATTTATATTGTCTTGCAACCCGGGAATACCGTCAGCTCGTCCTCAGGACGGTCTGTGTTCAAATCCTCTTCAATGCCTCGGACACCATCATCAGCGGAACCCAACTCGTCAAAGCCGTGACAGCCCAGGGTCTAGAAGATCTGCACCGGCCACTCCAAGCACCCAACGCTGTAGATTCGCTGGGCCGTGCTCAGATTATCCATCATATATCGTGCAATACGGAGTACGGAACCCCATACTCATCGTTGACAGCTTAAATCACAGCTCAAAATCGGACAAAGCCGGGGCTGGCAAGGCGGGTTATGCCCGCATCTCCTCGTTTCTTGTTTTTTCGTCTCACGATCTCTAGGAACAAGGGACATGTTATTCTCTTGTTCATTTCCCCAATGGAGGGGAAGCATGTCCATCTTGGGGCTTGCTTTTTTAGTCTACTCAGGGTCCTGATGGTTGAAAGAAGGTGATTTTCTGATGCCCCTGTTGGCTTGCATTGGTTTTATTGGGCCTCTAATTTGATGATTCTCTGAGGTGAGTGACGCACGCGTTTGGGATAGACTCGTGTAACGAAGCAAACATTCTGCTATTGAACAAGGCGTAGCAAACCGTCAGATGTGATAGCGAATGCTTGACTTCTTACCACCCCTCAACAACACATGGCATCCATCTCCATGCAGCACATGGCATAAATCGCACCTGTAAGATGCAAGCAACGTGCTGTACCTGCATCACAAGAACCAAGATTCCCGACACTCCAGCCCAGGAACTATCCACTCGACAATCTAGGCTCTGCTTGAAGATGAACCAATACATCTCGGCTGACGAGACGAGATGAAAAGACGGATGCTCTTCCGCGTACGGAATATCATCAATAGCTCACCTGTCAAGCAAATAACAAACCATCGTATCCATACCCGAAATCCGGCACCGCCGGCTAACGTTAGATCTACACTATACAGACTCCCAGGGGGAAAATCTCGCAACGGTCGGGTCGAAATCTCTTAGCCGCTTGGCGAGCGGTGCGCTTTGTCCATCCCAACGGTGGCCGCTATTGTCATTGGCATCTGCCCTGTGATTCTCTCGGTTTATGTTTATGACGAGATGAGACAGTGTATTGTCCAGTAAAGTATAGGAGGAGACTCCCTAGACCGTCACTAAAACTCCACTGGATATCACCCAGGGCTGGGGTATATGCCGTACCGGGATCCCGAGCCTGGAACCGTACGACGGCAGCGCCCGGGTCAATCTACCCCCTTGTAAGTGCCCTTGTAAGTGGCCAGCCCCCTGCTGCCACAAACTTTTTCTCAACGGCCACCTCCAGAGCCGCTTCATGTGAAAAGTGAAAGTGAAAAGAGAGACGTCAATCGTAGTGGAAGTTAATTAGCAAACATGTTCAAATGGGGATTAGGCCTCTGCAACATGGTTTCTTCACATATCATATCATATCATATCATATCATGGTAGTTCCATGCCCGAGTGGCAACACCACAACTCTATCCTCTCTCGAATTTTAATCTGCCATATTATCTATTTACTTTTTCTTACTGCGTGCAGTGCAAAACCAACACGCTTCATATCTCAAACGACTCATCACAAAACGAAAAACTCTCGCTTCTCTATCATCGTTGTGCACACATTGAACTTGCGGGATCTTCTGCTACAGTCGCACTCGCGTGTTACGCCCAGCCACCCTAGTAGTTCAGCTCTGTGCAATTCAATTTCTCTAAAAGAACTAGACAATAGCGCTCAGACAGTCTTGGCATGACCTGTGGCGGACCAATAGTGAATCGACGATACTTGTTACAAGTAGCGACTCTTTGACCCAGAGACATCGAGATACCCTCAGCAATGAGCACATACTTACATAAATGGATCTCGCCGTTATCCGAATAGGTACAAGAATATGCACGAAAGACATGCCCTTTCCCCACAGAGCTCGTCTCTTTTCTTTGTCCTGCATGTCTCCATCGTCGAATCACCAATCCCATCTTACTCATACCTTCTCTTTCTTCCCTCCTTACCTCCCCCCTACCAATTCCCTAGCTATAGTCCATATGACGTATAGTTAAGGTAGTACTCAACGCCTTTCGTCGGAAGAAGTATAAAAAGCATAAAAATAAAAAGGAGAGAGAGACAAGAAAAGAGGCACCAAAGCTAAGGGCGGCCCGGTTCGGTTACATTAGTCAAGTCGTTAGTGCCACACGAAAACGAGTGGTCATGTTGTGTCCCACCAATAAAGTTGTGATGTGACTTGTAAGTTGTAACTACGGGCGAACGGCGTTGTCGTTGGCGTTTAAAGACTCTTTGTTGAACGGATACAGACCCCGTTATTTCGCTTGTTTCCGGGCTGTAAACATATATTGGCAAAAGCAATTAGCTTTTCGTCAACAGATTATGAGACATAACGTATGCTATTCTGCTCAGTAGCGTAGCTCAAGGTACCAAGCAAGTATCTTTGGGTACGCTCGTAAGTCTTGTGCTTTCTATGGGCACCTCAATTCTTGAAGCCTCTATCCTGGTTGGTATCTGTATATAGCCTTGTTTGAAACAATACCTTCGTAGTATCCGTAGATCACCAAGCACATTCCAGATCCATACGATCCGAATCACAACCTGGGATGTTTGTTTCTTTTACCAAGTCTCAATACCCTCGACTAACCTCGTTTACATCCGTTGTGGCGGCCGTTTGTCTTCTTCACCAAGTCTCACACACCCTCTCCTTGCTTTTTTCTTCCTCTTCCTTTCTCAGCCTCCTGCAGCGTAAAACCTCTCCCTCTCCCCACTATACAATATGTATGTACATGATCTCTCACTTTGCTTCTTGTATAGTCCGCCTCATTATCTCTGACGATCAAACGTGGGAGACACGTTTTCTTGCCCTTCGGTTCTCCTGTTTTGCTCCGTTCCTGCGTCACATCGTGCCCTCCACGTGTTGTTGGTCCCCACGTTGCTGAAAGAATTGTTCTTCGCTAGCCACCCTACTTTGCTCAGCTTTGTTGGGTTTTGCCTTGAGTAAGAATTGGTTGTTGGTGGAAGACACTATTGGTGTGGCTGGGCTTAGACGCTTCGCCTATTCATTTTTAACATTCAGAAGAGGAGGATAATTGGGACTCAACTGCCGTACTAACAGCCGAGAGAAATGCAACCATAGCATACGTACGTACGCATTGCTACATCAAGTCCCTATTGTTTGTCAGATACCCAAAGGTGGCGTTGAGTCACAGCCATAAAGCGTTGAGACAAGGGACGCCAGCAGATAAACAACCTGCAGAGACTGGCCTATCGCATCACCTGTCCCCAAGATATGTCCCAGCAAATAAAACATCTCTCACACTTGATATCCCAGGAAAATATCTATCAGGTTTCTTCAAGGTTCATTTCTCATTAACGACCAGTCAAACAATACTGGCTCGGTATTAATTTGTACATGTCAAGGATCATTTGCCCAATTCATATGTAATCACACACGCTCCTTATCCCCCTTCCCTTGCCATCCTAGCCATCATCTTGACTCGACTCTGGGAAGTGGATGCCATGTCTGAAAAAGCAAACTTTCCCTGTTGCAACCCATCTTCGTCACCGTTTCATCTTTGTTTACCGACCAACACGGATCACACCGGCAGCGATCAGCTTCTGGATCTTGGACCGCACGCCAGGGTTCTTCATGTGCTCCTGGAGAGCAGCGGGCTCCGACTGAGCTTGCTGGAGGATCGACTGCATTACGGGGTCTTGCATGAGGCCCATAATCTATATATAAGTCAGTAATCGTTTCAGCCATCAGTCCAATGGGGTATTCTTACTTCGGGGTCCTTTGTCAGGCGTTCTCGGGTCTGCTCTTCAGTCTCGTTATCACGGGCAGAGTACATAGCCGACAAAGCCTTTTGCTGCTGTTGCTCAATCTCACGAGCGTTGGCACCATTGTGGTGCTCCTGGTCGATATGCTGGGCCTCGGTGCAGGCATCAACACACTCTGAGTACTTGCGCATGCCGAAGTAGGCCTGGGCCTTGCGGATGTATGCTCGGATGAAGGTAGGGTCCTTCTTAATAGCAATGTCACAGTCCTCGAGAGCACTGGGGAACTCGAAGAGCTTGACAAAGGCCGCAGCTCGGTTGCTGTAACCACGAGGGTCCTCGGGGGCTCGCTTGGTCATCTCTGTGTAGGCGGCAACGGCACCAGGGAAGTCCATCTCCTTGAACTTCTTGTTACCCTCCTCACGTGCCTCCTCAGCCTTGGCAGGGTCGATATAAGCCTTTCTGTCAGACTCTGTCTTCTGACGCTCAGCAGCACGGAGCTTGTTGAGGACGTCGGGAGTTCGGTGCTCAGTCAGAGATCGGTTGTAGTTCTCAACAGCCTTCTCGAAGTCTCCCTTGCGGTCATAACATGTACCAATACGGGCGTAACTCTTGGCAATGAGCTTGAAGTCGGCATAGATCTCACGTCCCTCCTCAACAGCCTTGGTGCAAGCCTCAATGGCCTGGTCGTAGTCTCCCTTCTCGAAATAAGCAGCTCCCAGGTTGTTCAGGTAGGTGATATCCTTGTAGGTCTCCCAGGCCTTAGTGTAGTGTGCAATAGCCTCGTCAAAGTTTCGCTTCTTGTAGTTCTCGGTACCCAGAGCCTTCTCCTTGTCGGCCTCCTCCTTCTTCTTCTTTTTCTCGATAGCCTCTTCGTCCTCGGGCTCAGGCTCGGGCGTAGGGGCCTTCTTGGGCTCGGGCTGCTTAGGAGCCTGCTTAGGGGCAGGTGGCGGCGCATCGGGCATGGCAGTATCCTGGATATCAGGGGCGTTGGGGTCGACCTCACGCTCGCGCATCTCCAGATCAACACCCATCAAGACACCCATGACAGTCAACAAACGGGGGTCGCTGAAGATGTCGGCAGCGTTTGAAGGGTTGTCCTTCATCGATTGTAGCTTGGCCATGAAGGAGGGGTCGGCGAGGAAGCCGCTGGTCTTGGGGTTTGAAGCAAGCTTCTGCATCATCTGAGGGTCGTTGAACATCTGGCCGAGGCCACCGCTTGGGTCTTGAGGTCCGCCTGTAGGTATCAAGTCAGTCGCCAGATCTCGTCTTGTTTTGAAGAAATTACTTACCAACTTCGGCGTCCATAGCCTTCTTGACTGAAGCCAGACCACTCTTGAGCTGGGCATTGTTGGCATCATGCTTCAATCCCTCCTCGTAGGCATCGTTCGCGCCCAAGAGGTCGCCCTGTCCGTGCAAAGCAGCACCCTTGCGTCCCCAACCCTTGGCCCAGTCGGGCTTGATCTCTGTGGTCTTCTCGGCATCCTTCAGGGCATGTTCCCAGTCCTTCTTCGAGGCGTAAGCAGCAGATCGGTTGCTGTAAAGAATGTGGTTTTCGGGCTGAATGGCAATAGCCTCAGTGAACTTTTCGCTGTGGAGTAGTCAGCAACCTAATGTCCTTTGAGTGTCTGGTGGTAACCTACACAGCCTCGTCGAAGTTCTTCTCGGCAATGGCCTTGTTACCCAGAGCCTTGAGCTCATCCGCGGAAGCCATTATGCGTGTTGATTGACAGAATCTGGAGATTGTACGTAGTAAACAACAGTTCTGAAAGTCGAGTCTGTGGTGGTGATATCAAAGAGTAAAGGTTAGTTACGATGAAATATGAGCGTCGCCCCAGACGATCTATGGTGGGGAAGAAGAGGGCCATCGATAACTTCTAGCTCATTCGATGCAAGTCTACGGAGGGAGCTTCCCATTGGGTGGAGCTTGCTTACAGCACCACTGCCCCGCCCCGCATGTGCGCTACGAGGCTGAAGGACCCTTATGGAGTTATGATGGGCGAGTTTGATTCCAGGGTAACACTGGTAAACAAAACAAGAAACACTTGAACCTAGTATCCAGAAGTTTCTTAGCAATTCTGTGACTTACGTGACGCTGGAGATTAATATACCTGTTAGTCTAGCTTCACCTTGTGTTTTTAAAGAGATAACGTACTAGATACTTAACTCATTTTACAATGTGTGAAGTGCAAAAGTAGTAACAGTCAACGTTTCCTCGCCGCCGGAAAACAATCAGGAGATGTTGACGCCGTTAATTAACCCAGCCAACGGGTATTCCACTCGCTTGGGTTCGTGATCTACCGTTAATAGGAAAAGAAAAAAGTCAATTGTACAACGCTACTACATAAATACTTTTGATTCGCTAGCTTTAAAGATCGATTGACTTCTCCTCCACGGTAACCGTTGACTCCAAGGCAATATCACCAGCAGACCTTCCAATCATAAACTTGTACTCTCCACCCTTAACCACCCACTTCTGCGACGACTCGTCAAAGAAGGCAAAGTCGCGGGCACGCACAGGCACATCAACCGTTACGCTCTCACCAGGCTTCAGTGTAACCTTATCGAAGGCAGCCAGTTGCTTGAGAGGATCGCCCTTGGTGGTCTTGGCGGCACCTACGTAGACCTGCACAGCAATGGCGCCGACTACCTTGCCGGTGTTGGAAACCTTCACACTGGCAGTGTAGTCGCCATTAGACTCCTTGACCTTTAGATCAGAATAGTCGAATGTGGTGTATGAGAGGCCGAATCCGAAGGGGAAGTTAACCTTGTCGGCGGAGAAGCAGTCGAAGTAGCGATAGCCGACAAAGACTCCCTCTCCGTATGAGACTTTGAGCTTGCCGTCGACGTGCTCGCCTGGGAAGTTGCCATATGCTGGACATTCTTCGATTTTCTTGGGGAATGTGCAGGTAAGATGACCCTCAGGGGTTTGAGCGCCCGTAAGCACATCTGCGATCGAGTTGCCACACTCTTGGCCGGGGAACCAAGTTTGAAGCAGACCCTGAATCTTGTTTAGCCAGGGCATGGCGATCGCAACACCAGTGGAGTTGACCACAATGGTGTTAGGGTTGACCTCAGCCACTTTGGCGATCAGGCGATCCTGGCTACCATCTTTAGGGAGGTTGAAGCTGACCTGGTCTTGACCCTCCGTCTCCCAGAAGGGCTCGTGACCAGTGAAGACAATAGCGTAGTCGGCATCCTTGGCCACATCGACAGCTTCGGAAAGCAGGTCGCGGTCGTGCTCAGCCTCCGACATGTATCCAACTCGAAGTCCGCATCGTCCTTCAAGGATACCAAGATCATCTCCAGCCTTGGGAGCAGGAGGTGAAGTGTACATGACCATCTTGTACTTGCGTCCGGCTTCGAACGATACCTTGAACTCAGGAGGGTTTACACCACCGAATAAGAATCCCATGGCATCACTGCAGTTTCCTTTCTGTTCAAAAAGAACCTTGTCATCGATGACAAGCTTGCTGGGACCAAGACCGGAGACGGTAAAGTAGTACTTGGCTGTCTCCTGGGCAGTAAATGTGCCCTCGAGGGTGACGTCTTTGTCGCTAAAGCCAAAGCCGCTGAGTACGGATACCTCGGAGTTTTCGTGACCAGGTCGGACCTCAATAGGCTTGGAATTGCCGGGCTCGAACAGTTTAAAAGTGAAACCGGGGTTGCCATCAAGATCGACGACATTCTCAGCAATGGGCGGAAGCATGCGGAATGTGTGGGCACCTGCTATACTGTTAGTAACTGATCCCCGGACCTTGTTGTTTATATTGCGTACCTTTAGCATAAGAGAACTCAGCGGTGTCGCCGAGGGCCTCGTGTAAAGCATCCCAAGGGGTGACCTTGTAGTGGGCGTTGACAGACGCACTGCCACCACCATGAGCGAGTCCAATCTTGGCGTGACCGAGAAGAGCAATCTTCTTGCCCTTGACCTTGTCCTTGGACAGAGGAAGGACATTGTCCTGATTCTTCAAAAGAACAATACCCTTGGAACCAGCCTCTCTGATCAGAGCCTGATGCTTTGGGTTGTTGATAGCTCTCTCGTCAGGGATATGGGGGTCCTTGAAGCAGTTGAGACGCTCCAGGAACTTAAGCACATGAGTAGCTCGCTCATTGATAGTCTCCTCGGAAGTCTTGCCAGCCTTGATGGCGGCAAGGACATCCTCGGTCTTCCTCCATCGGGTAGGGCCAGGCATCTCGAGATCTAGACCAGCCTCGAGGGATTCAGCAGTGGAGTTGACACCGCCCCAATCGCTCATAACAAGACCATCCCATTTCCAGTCGCCACGAAGAACCTTCTTCAGTAAGAATTCGTTGGAATCGGCATGGTGACCGTTCACCTTGTTATAAGAAGTCATGACGGCCCAAGGATTGGCCTCCTTGATGGCAATCTCAAAGGGTCGGAGGTAGAGCTCTCGTAGTGCCCTCTCGCTAATGGTCTCGTCGACTGTCAAACGTTCTGTCTCCTGCTCGTTGGCAGCAAAGTGCTTGATAGTGGCTGACACACCCTTATCTTGCAGACCCTCGACCACTCTAGCAGCCATCTTGCCAGTGAGGAGAGGATCTTCGGAGAAAGACTCGAAGTTGCGGCCACCTAAAGGGTGTCGGTGGAGACACATGGTGGGAGCCAGAAGACATCGAGCACCCTTAGATTGGGTCTCCTCAGCAAGAGCAGCACCAATTTTCTGGGCCAGTTTGACATCAAAGGTCGATGCCATTAGACAAGCAGCAGGGAAGCAGGCAGCTTTGGTACCGCCAGCAAAGGCAGCTCCGCGAGCACCATTGGGACCGTCTGAGACCTTGACTTTGGGAACATCTTTGGAAGGGATAGGGACAGTCTCCCATAGGTCCTTTCCGGCGAGGAGTGAGATCTATAAATTGACTTGGTCAGTTGACTGAGAAGGGACGGATGGTAGATGTATGGGGATTTGTTCAACATACCTTCTCCTCAAGTGTGAGGGAAGAAAGAATAGACTGGATATCAACAGAAGCCATGTTGATGCAGAGGAAGTCAATTGACTAGAGAGGAGTGAAGAAGAGGTATCCTGTCAAACGAGGGAGAAGAGGGCTCTTTAAAAGAAAAGAAGCCACAGCCCCCTCCTCAAAGACTCAAACACCATGGCGAGTTCCCCGATGCATTAGACAATGCAGTCGACTCAATTCACCCGACTGATCCGTATTTCAACCGAAGATGGGCACTCATCTCACTCATGTGGCCATGTCGTACCCGCTTTACGTGCATCTGTGTTGGATGCGGTGTTGTGCCATTGGGTGCACAAGAAGCTGGTTCCTTGGTTGGGACGGAGTTAGTCGATGCTAGTGGAGGCCGATCCGAGGCTTTTCCGATGTTCAGACGGGGCTTTTCCAGTGGATGGCTTCATGTTCTGTATATGTACAAGACGATGTGTGTATAACATGATTAACTCTTAAAATATCTGCTGATGATATGTATTTAAACAAATACAGAACTCAATAGACTGTTCCTCTCAACGGTATTGCGTTTATATATTCGCATCTAATCACAATTGACATCAGCAACAGTATCCCGCCGGGTAAAGTCACCGTCCATTTTTGGTGGAGAAAGATGTCCTGGGTCTTCATCCGGGGCCCCTGAAGGATCGCCATGACAGCTGCAGTTGGAGCACTGAAAGAATACTAGCGTCATTGCAGTGTATCGCCATCAAGCGGTAAGAAATGGGACGTGATTGCAAGAAGAAGATATATAAGGCATAGGTGCGAACCTTGAAAGAAACATCTATAACTATTACTGTTTCCTTTTTTGACACCTGTTCCCTGCTCCCTTTCCGTAGTAAAACAAACAAATACCCCCCTTGAAACCTATCTGCCGAGGATTATGCGCCTCCAAGAACACCAAACGAACTTAAAACATGTGCATGTGCATTCTGACCAAGTGACGCAACGGAAATAGAACATGACCTGTAATCGTGTCCTCTCCGCCATGAAATTGCCCAAAACACTGCAATTGTAGAGGGAAAATCCAGGACGATCCCCTTCATCAACATGAGCACCCATTCAGAGGTGCCCCGAGGTATTACACGCCGTGGTTGCTGGTCTCCCGTCGCATTGAACCCCCTTTTTACTGACTGCAATGGGTTGTTGTAGGGGAGTCATGGGCTTCAATCCCCACGGATATGATCCTCGCTGAGCTGAGGCGTCGCAAGGACGATGGAGAGAAACCAGAGTGCGGTTCTAGGTCAAAGGGATCCTATGACACTTCGGCGCATGTGTTCGCATTGATCCTTATCTTGGTGCTCAGCACGTTGGGTACAGCATCACCAATTGACAAATCCAGACACAGTACTGACACTACCCAGCATGCGGTTTTCCTCTAATGTCGAAACGAACGATGCGCGGTCGACGACAAAAATCTATTATATTCTACTGCCAGCACATTGGAACCGGCGTCCTCCTAGCTACGGCTTTCGTCCACCTTCTCCCCACCGCGTTCGAGTCCATGACCGATCCATGTCTCCCTGACTTCTTCAGTAAAGGCTATACACCACTCCCCGGCCTCGTGGCCATGACATCTGCTATTGTTGTCGTTGCGATCGAATCGTACCTTACGGCCCGCGGAGCTGGTCACTCCCACTCTCACAACCATGGCTACTTTGACTCCGATGACGAACACGAGAGCGAGTTGCCTATGATGGATACAGGCGGTATGTCTGAGAGGAGAGGATCGCGTCCGCCAGATATTCATCTTGAGCCCATGGAGAACCAGGGGTTAGTTGCCGGCATCTCACCCTTGCCAGGATCATCGCCTGGACAAGAAGCGAAAAAGCTTAATGATGAGTTCAACGACGAGGACTCAGATCTCGACCTAGATATGGATGAGCTTGATCCTTCTGGACCGAGTAGCATGAGACATCGAAATGGAACCTACGACTCCCTTAAACCCGAGGGAGCCGATGAAGAGCCTTTGACACCCATGACACCTATGTCTCCAGGACCACAATCTCCCGAAGAGCGAGAGCGCAAGATGCTTCAATGTATACTCCTTGAAGCAGGAATTCTTTTCCACAGTGTCTTCATCGGCATGGCCATCTCCGTCGCCACCGGTCCAGCCTTCGTGGTATTCTTGGTTGCCATCAGCTTCCACCAGACATTCGAAGGCCTCGCCCTGGGCAGCCGCATCGCCGCGATCCAATTCCCCCGCAAATCTCTCCGTCCATGGCTCATGGTTCTAGCCTACGGCACCACCACACCGATCGGCCAAGCAATCGGCCTCATTGTGCACCGCATGTACGACCCCAAGAGCGCCGGAGGTCTTCTCGTGGTTGGCTTCATGAATGCTGTGTCATCGGGGCTACTGTTGTATGCTGGTCTTGTACAACTACTAGCGGAGGACTTCCTGACGGAGAAGAGCTACAAGATATTGAAGGGTACCAAGAGGCTGCAGGCTTTCGTGGCTATGTGTGGTGGCGCGATCTTGATGGCTGCCGTTGGAGCTTTTGCTTAATTTAAGGTGCGATCAAAAAGAAAAGGTGCATATAGATTGTATTATTGGTCATATGTTGTCAAACGGCATTTGTTGTTCAATGTAATATTGGAGTTGGGTAACAATTTGGAGGTTGTGTAAAGATCTTATAGAATACCATATTTATTCATTGTCCATAAGCTAGCCATCCCGAACCAACTACGTGTAGTTATCGTCGCTCGTTTACTCTCGCCGCCTGGTAGTCACATTTCATGCCTTGTCCTCCGACTTGTCCTGTTTGTATGTAACCAATCCCCGGCCGGCCCCACATCGAAAGTCCGAAGCCCGGGGCCCGGTCTTCAAGTTGGTCCGCTGGCCTCGGCTCTTTGGTTTGACCAAGGGGGTATCCAGGGGTATCGCGTCTCATCCAATGGCGGATACCCTGTTAATCAGCTCCCGCCGTTCCCACACACACCTACATAAGCTTCCGATGTCCTGTATCAGCCATCATATGACGAGCTATCGAACCACCAAAAAGTGAGCCCAGAAGCTGAATCTTGAGTGGCTGCCACGTTTGTGAAAGTCGGACAAACGCGCCCCTCGTTGTACATTGTCGTGGCATCCCCTCCTCCTCCTTCTTTCTTTATATCTTCATCATGCCTGGTCAACGCATCATCCTCTTTATTGCTGCACAGGCTTTTTTTGCTGGACTTGCATTGTTTCTTGCCAATTCGCCGTATCTCAACATGTCCTTCTCACCGAACGCTAGCCAGCCATGGGCAGATGGACCTATGAAGCTGGTGGCAACACCTCAATATGAGACTAAGAAGGTCAGTCAATTGGAACTGTGTGCTTTTGTAGGGTAATGGTAATGCTGACCTCAATCTTGCAGACCGACCTTTTCACCACCGGGGCTACTCATATGGCGCTTTTACACAACGCCATCATCCGTGGTTTCAATTCCATTTATCTTCAGGCCCCTCATGTCAAGGACGCTGACAAGGCCGACTTCATTGGGTATTCTCAGACCTGGTTCCGTTTCGTGAAGTCTCACCACGATGATGAGGAAGACAATCTGTTCCCTAAGGTCCAAGAATTACTTGGCGATGAACATGCTTGGGATGAAACACACCAGGAGCATGGTAAGGAATTGCTATCTGAGAGTCAGTTCTTAATATTAATACGGAGATTAGAGTCTTTCCTCGGCCCCCTCGCCGAATTCAACACATACCTCTCTAACCTCGCCTCTCCTGCCGACCTCGACGGTGCTCAAGTTGTAAAACTCATGGACGCTTTCAAGAAGGACTTCGAGCACCACTTCCACAGTGAAATCATCACCATCGCCGCTCTATCAAACCACCCCAAGGCCCCCAAGGAAGATAGCCCCGAGGGCGCTGCCGCCAGCTTGACGTTCAAGACATGGGGAAAGAAGACAGTCACCAAAGCCGGTGTGCTCGACGTCGTGCCCTTCTTCCTATTGAACTTAGACCGAACAGCTGAGGAGGGTATGTGGGCCAATTGGCCCCCAATGCCTGCACCTATCTCGTGGGGTCTGACAAATATCGCGGGTTCGTGGTATGGGAAGTGGTGGAAGTTTTCGAGCTGTGATTCCCAAGGCAAGCCCCAGGAGCTATATGCTCTTCGTGGCTTGAAGCAGTGAAATTGTGCCGAAAGGGCTCTTCAGTCTGGTTTGGATAGGCAGTGATTCGGGTTTGTTCTCGGCGTTTATCGGTACGTGAGTGAGTGAGTGGGAACTAGGGATATACTTTGTTAGGTAGTTTGAAATGGGAATCATGAAAAGCAAAGTTACCAGCCATTACTCCACCCTTTCTTTGAAGACAATATGTGTAATTTGCACCAAGTGACATCGTAAATCCCAGGGTCGTTGCAAGAAAGGAAAAGTAATTGCTTGTTTCTTTCATTGCCATGAAAGGCATTCAAATGACTATTGTGCATGCATCAATGGTCGTTTGAAAGTGCTGAAAGAAAGTGCTGAATTTCAAACATATAAGCGACCATTGAAAGCTGAATTCTTTGTAGAAAGTCGTTCGCACTTGATACAGCGGGCAGCGTAAGGGTATAAATTCGTTGATCGTCCGAGACTGTCTGAGAGTTAGCCGGCTCGTCGTATTCTGCAATTTGTGCCAAACTATCTGCTACGATATTAGTGAAGCACAATATTCATAGAATATTGTCAGACTCACAAATCGGTTTTCTTGCGATCTCAACATGGGGTGTTTTCCTTCCACCCTCAAAGACCAGAAAAATGGCCACGACAAACTGTCAGACACAAGCTCGACACACTCTGGTGGCAAGGCCGATAGCACTACAGTTCAGGTCAATTTCAACCATCGACAAGAATCTGAAGACAAGGGGCAGGCTCCCAATCAACCTTGTGACGATCCTCCCTCTCCACGAACGGCTTTTGCAGAACGTCTCTGGGCATACTGGCACGAAACCGAATGCCCTGATATTGCCAACTGCACTCACTCGTTCTATGCAATTTATACGAAGTAGGTTTCTCGAGAGGTATATTATTTGAATATGCTGATGCTGAAACTCTGGTATAGCTCGCCGACTCGATTCAATGCGCCACGATCTGTAAGTACATATTCGGTCAGCCAATGAGGCTCTCAGTAGCAATTCCTAACGGACTTACAAGCTGACACATCCTAGGCTGGCTCGGATTCCTGCTACACCCTCAGGGGTAGCAAAGTAAATTCCAATCGGTGTTCCAGGAACCCGCAGCCATTTGAATTTGACGGAAGAACCAGTTCGATTTCTGCCCGAAGAAACAGAGCCGCAGATGTAGTTAGCACTAGGCCACCAGTAGCAGTGCTTCGTCGTACTTGGTCCGAGTCTGGATGTCAAACTACCGCCCCTTTGCCCAAATCGCGACCTCACACGGCCTGAGTCTATGACCAAGGCGAACTATTGATGCTGTGCCGTCTTGGGCCGAGGGAAATCCGAGGAGCAGCAATTTGAACAACTTGCCATCCATGTTGTTCCTGGGGGTGTCGGAGTCTTTCCTTTGTGTTTGGTATGTCGTTTGGCATGGGGAGGGCTTGGGTTTCGCATGGCAGCTTAGGAGAGTAGATCGGCGTATACTTGTTAGGGGGGTTTTTGATTATTCTTCTGTTTATGGATGGAATTTGGGTTCTTTATCGATCGAATCTCGTGTTCGACATAGATTAGAGCATTTTTGTATCCTAAAAGAACAACCTGATCTCAGCAAAAGTGTCCAATCCCAAACTTTGCAACTTACTGAAGAGCTGTCGGCTTCTCACCTCTCAGGGGTATTGGGATGATAATTATGTATGTGGGTTGCGTTTTTTTGATTCATTCATTCTTTCTTTGTGTAAGCTCTGAACTCTGTCGATTTCTCACTTCGGTCATGCTCTGATGGAATGTTCCTTAAACGACAGAGGATGTGAGTTTCAAATAGAAGGTGTCGAGAGCCTACAGCTCAGCCAGCTGTCTGGTCACGAGGCCCTGGGCGATGCTGTAAAAGGGGGTTGGGATCTGGTGTACGGAAAGTCGTTGCTAGCATCACTGTCCCTGTTTGAAAGTCTCTTAGCTTTGGCTGCTGGTGTTCAATGTTGAAAGGAAGATGGTTCTTACTTACACTTTCACCTGGTGGCCCAAGGTAAACTTTCAGTGCTCAATCGAATAGCGGTTGATTTCTCCAAGCCCTTGCCGGGTCTATAAAGCTTTCGAACCAATTTGTGCACAACCTGATCTTCCCAAAGCCCATTTCCATTCGCCGTTGACTCGACTAACTCGTTGAAATCTTTTCAAGCACAACTAGACATTTTATCAATTCTGGATCTCCGAAATGGGTGGTTGTTTCAGTGCACCTAGACCTAAGTCCTACGAATTCCGTAGATCACACAGAGGCGAGGTCGAAGTCGTGTATCCTGGTGTTACTCGGCATCGTCGTCGACATTCCCACGGTCATAAATCCAAACATGGACATCACCATCGTCGTCATCATCATCATCACCATAAGCATCACCGTAAGCATGGCAGTAAACGTGAAGAGGAAGAACCTGTAGATTCGACGCCTGGAGCTGCCGTTTTGGTTGGTCCGCCTGAAGCTGAAGCAGGCATTGAAAGTTGAAGGTCGTATTAGAGGTTTATGCAGTTCTACCAATCAAAACCGTCAGTTTCTGACTATCATATCTCGCAGTGTAGTGCCTTCCCGTGTGTTACTTACTAGTCGTACCTTCCTCGGCCGGGTCGATCAATTGAGACAAAGAGTGGAGATGCTCGCGTCATGGACAAGTCCGAGGTCCGTAGTCTGGGTCGTGGTTGGTCAATTGAGAAATCAAAGTAGCCAGGGTCCTGAACTTACAAGCGTGATGTGTCTTTCTTGCGTCTTTTAGAACTTACACCTCCCAAACCCAATTCCAACTACCACTGCTCACTTATACAAACACAATGGCTTCTGATCGTCATGTTCTCGTGCTCGGAGGCAATGGAAAGATCAGCAGGCTCCTCACAGTCATGCTGCTGAAGAAGTCCTGGACTGTGACAAGCTTGATTCGTAACCCAGACCAAATCGACGACTTGAAGAAGATCTCTGAGGGTTTGCCGGGAACCCACAAGATTGTAGTGCATGATCTCATCAAGATTGATAGTCAGGAGAAGGCTGCCGCTGTTATTGATGAAGTGAAGCCAGACTCGGTGGTTTTCAGTGCTGGTAGGTTGGACCTTGACCGAGTTCCTGCTGCAGAGTGTGTGCTGATCAGTGAACAGGACCTGGTAGGGGAACTGACCAAGACACGGTAGGAACTCACTTACTGCTTGTACGAGACTGCACGTAGCTGATGTTGTTCTAGATCATCCGCATCGATCGTGATGCTGCAATTTTCTTCATTCAAGCTTCAGTCGCCAACAAGGCCATCAGCCATCACGTCCAAGTGTCCTATCTGGGTGCCCGCCGTGAGCAAGCGCCATGGTGGACTGCTGAAGACTGGGAGGGCTGGAAGAAGATCAACTCGACCTTCCTGGGTCCTTACTACGAGCCCAAGACCGCCGCAGATGAGGCTCTCGTGACTGAAGGCAACAAGAGAGACGGCTTGACTGCTGTTTCTGTTCGTCCCGGTGGTTTAACTGACAAGGAGGAGGGAGGAGTGCTCTTGGGCCAGACGAAGCAAGCCAGAGGCATGACGACCCGAGCCTTGACGGCGAGAGTTATGGCACTGGTTCTGGAGAAGGAGCATGTCAAAGGGCACTGGTTGGATGTTCTTGACGGCGAAGAGGACGCTGATACTGCAGTCGATCGATTTGTTCGTAATGAGACGGAGTGTGCTGAGGGAGAACCAGTTCTCAAGAACTAATCCTTTCGTCGACGATCGAGGAATTCCCCTTGGTGAGACGACACTTGGTGTTGCCCGACTTCTCAGGCATACCCACTACAAATTCCCAGCTCGCAGAGGGACAGGCGTCAGTAGGGGGGGCTCCCTGCTCCAGCCAGCCCTACCGAGTCCCACTTGTTGCTGCTGGTGCCTCCTAGTCGATTCGGAGAGGAGAACGTGCGCTAGAATATCTGAAAGGGGAAATATTTTGATATGGAACTACAACACAGTTGCATGATTTTCACAACAACCACAAAGGCTATATAACTCTCAAACCAAGGTCGAAGCATCTAATAATCGTGCTGTATGTGCTCCCATTTTTTGCTAAGCTTGCATCGTTTTGTGTGTTGAGTAACAGGCGAGTGTGTTATCAGGTATCCCATATACTTCACCTTTGATATCAATGATAGGGAAGCGAGACTACTAGGCCAGGCATTCAACTCAGTGAATTAGCAAACGGGCCTCTGGAATTGCAATCACTCTCGCTCTCCGGACGACTATAAATTCCCACCTTTCCTCCCGCGCCAAACATTTCTTTCTTTTCCCCCAACACAACAACATTCGGACAAAGCATCCTCGGACTCGATTTCAAACATCGTTTGATATCCGGTCTACTACCTTGCTTTCTTCGTTCGCTTCACAAGGTAAGTCGTATTCCCTTTCTTCATGTCACCCTTCTACCTCTTCATCAACCTCATCTCTTCTTTGTCTCCCCTTCGGTATCTCACCCTCCCTTCTAGCCACTTCACAAAACAAAACACCTACTTCAACGCACCTACTTCAATAACATTCACCATGGGTTGTGTTTGGTCCTGCATCCGCGAGCGCAAGAAGAAGCGCGCTGAGGCTGAAGGTATCCAGCTTCAGATCTCTTCTCCGTAAGTACAACCTCATCGCCGCTTATGACATGTTTCCCTTGATGGAACTAACTCATATCTCTGCAGCATCCCCATTGGTCGCACCGACCTGAGCGGATCTGGACTCGACGTCCTTCGTCTTGATCGTCCCCAGATCATCTTCAACCGCCCTGAGGACCTCTATGGACAGGTCACTACTGGTCCTACTCCTGCCCAGGTGGAAGCCAACAAGGCCAACCCGCGCGCTGATCTTCCTACCATCAAGTCTGATGAGGACAAGGATGAGGACAAGGATGAGGCTGCCACTGGTGGTGGCGATGATGCCCCCGACAAGCTTGTCTAAACTCACCGGCCATCTACTGTCATCTTCGACGATTCTTAGGATTCTACGACCTTGGCAACTGATCATGGGGATTTGGTGGACAGGATAGGAGATGCATCTTCTTCTACTTTCTTTGGGCGGGTGATCATCTGAGCATGTTTTCTGCAGTGGGCAGCTAAGGACGCTTCCTTCGGGATTTGAATTCAGTGGTTTTTCTGTTGAGCAAGCGGCATTTGGTACTTGATATTTACGACGGATGCTGGAGAGCATCGTGCAGTTTTACAAACAGAGACTCTGCACACAAACTTGACTGCCCCTTCCTCTCGTGAATGCCATGATTTCTACATATTCGTGATCCTCATATTGTGCTTCATAATACTGCTGCCCTAATTTTGAAATTGTGCCCGCTCAAGGCGCGTAAATCGGCAGTGTTGTGACTACTGTTCACCTGGAGACGCGGGTGCAGCAAGCCGACCTCAGGGCTGTTTTACTAGGCAAATCTGCTCGAGTTCACCTGTCCACCCATTCTATTTGCATTTTTACTCTTACTGTACGGACGACAAACGCGTCTAGGCAGCGTTTGCGTTTTTAATTCCACTGATGGTGGACGAGGTGGGAGGGTAGGGCAGGGCAAACACTCGCGTATTCCTAGGTCACAAAGAATCGTAGAATAAAAAGAAGCAGTTCACTTCACAGAGGGCATTCTATTGTCTACGTCATATTATTTTCCGTGGGTTACGAATGTTGTGTGGAATATGGTGGAAGAGTGTCGGCGGGTGGTGGAAATCAGGGGCGGACGAGCGTGGGCCGTGACTGTTTCAAATGTCTGCCTGCACTGGCAGATTCATTGCACATGATGATAGGCACCACGATTGATGCGTTGGAGTCGTTCTTTATTCCAGTCGGCAGCAGAATTTGCAGCAAGCAATCAGTTGCAGCCCCTTTAAATATGTTACTATTGAAAATGTTCATGTCGTAGAGCAGGATGATAGACAAGCATTCTTTTTCGACGTAATTGAAGTGCCGCTGATATGTAGGGGAAATTTGAATCGAATTTGGGTTCTTTGATTGATTAAATAGATATTGCAATTGGCCAGCCATGAATACAGGGAGCTGCCTCTATACGAAAAAAGAACAAAAGACGTCGAAATAAAGTAATCAACTAAGCAGTCAGCTCATATCTAATCCTAGACCCCAGTTCCACATGTTCTCCCATGTTATCACATCCCAATCGAAGCAAGCCACCAAAGTTGTAGCACGATCATCATCCCTGCACCAAAATTCAGCCCATGGAAACTTGCTCAAATCTACGCAAAGTTGGGTCCTCACCTGATAATCGCTCTCAAAAATCAATTTATCTGCGCTTATTTCCTCTACGGACACGATACTGAGAGATTGTGGATAAGGTTTGTTATCTGTTGGTGGAAAAGGTAGAAATACTGCTTCATTCGCCCCGTCGTTGGCTTCCTCTGTTGACTCTCCTTCGTTACCCAGCTACCACAGGTCATTAGACTTTGACACAGGCATCACGTTATTCGTATTTCGATTTACCCCCTCTCGAGTCTTCTACTTCCCTTATTCGACAATTCAAGCCTTTACAACAATCAAACGACTTACTGTTGCTGTTCAACACCACTACTCAACATGACTTCGGCTATGAACCACGATATGCACATGACAGGCATGACGGAGACTGGTACCATGACAATGGATATACCTGCTTCTACAGCCTCAGCTGCCATGGACATGGACCACGGAGGTATGGGCGGCGGGTGCAAGATCTCTGTACGTTGATTCCTCTCCTTGTGACAAGTCTCGCATGGACACCACAACTAACATCTACACTCCGCAGATGCTGTGGAACTGGAACACCGTCGACTCATGCTTCATCGCTAGTTCATGGCGCATCACCTCCAAGGGCATGTTCGCCGGCTCCTGCATCGGTGTAATCCTCCTCGTCATGTCCCTCGAACTACTCCGCCGCTCCGTCAAGGAATGGGACCGTTATCTCCTCCGTCAACACGCCGCCAAGCACCAAGAATCGACCTCCTCCGCTGCTGCTGGTCCTTCTGGTGCCAATGGCTCCGACAACGGCAAGGATGGCAATGCCCTCGTCAGCTGCGCCAGTCCCATCCCTCCTTTTCGCCCCAATGTCTGGCAGCAGGCCATCCGAGCTTTGCTGCACATGATGCAGTTTGCTGTGGCCTACTTTGTGATGCTGCTGGCCATGTACTACAACGGTTATTTCATCATCTGCATCTTCATCGGTGCCTACCTGGGCGCTTTCATCTTCCAGTGGGAGACTCTGAGTGCGTCTGGAAATACCAGTGCTTCCAAGGAGGCTACTGTTTGCTGTGGTTAAGAAGGAGAGGGAGACTGCTCCTCATGGATTATAAGTCATTGGTGCAATGGAATGTTTGGGATGGACCTAATTAGGGAACGAGGTTACATGGCCGTCATTCTGTGTTGCCATTCTTCTTTCTTCAGTTTATGTAGCACCAAGCTCTTACAATAAATAACAAGATACGTATTCATGCAGTGCTTGCTTCTCTCATTCATGTCGTGCAGCGGCAAAGATACCAAATTTGTACCTACTGTAGACTTCGTGTAAGCCAGTCCACCTTTCCAATTGGGCTGCTAAGCATAGCACAAATTGATCATCAGCAAGCTCCTGGACGCTACCCATGGCCCTATACTTGGTAGGTATAAGCATCAACTGCTCTGAAAGCTACAGTATTGGGATTGGACCTTTTGTAAGGCATTACCTTGACATAAGATCCGAACCAAAAGTCCTCATACCATCCTCACTTAGGTCAAACTGGTAGTATTATTATGGAAGTCGACTTATAAAGCAGCATACCTATACATAGTAAAACAGAATGGCTGACAAATTGTCTTGGCAAGCTCCGACAAGGCCCCAATTTCGATTGGCCTCGACTGTCGATCCTTAACATGGGGGGATGCTACTAGCCCAATTAAGAAAATCCCCTACTCTACTCTAAAGAACAAGCCGAACTTGGATCTGTCATCAAATAAAGAGCGATATTAATAACACGACAATCTCCATCGTCAGCAAAAGATACTCATTTATCGTTTTATCTATCTTATACCCTATTATTACCGGCCCAAGAGAGTCCATTCTTACTACAAACCGCCATGTTTCGGCATCTCATGTCGTCAAAAGTGCGCTCCAACGCGGGCTGCTGGACGTGTCGTCTTCGTCGCAAGAAATGCGATGAGAAACGCCCTGTCTGCGACTCTTGTGGCAGTCTTGGGATCACCTGCTACTTTGACGATGAGAAGCCTGAATGGATGGATGGCGGCCCAAAGCAGAAGGCCATGGCGGAGAAGATCAAGGCTCAGGTTAAGAAACAAGCCAGTCAACGTCGCGACCGCAAGTACATGGAGATGCTTGAAGCCGGTACTCGCGATGTCACTCTACAAACAGAAAACAGCCAAGACAAGCAACAGCCTCACGACCACGGCATGTCCGCTGCATCCGACTCAGATCCTCACTCAGGCCATGAGTTTGGATCTACTCCTGCTTCGAGCAACACCAGTGGCGCCTCACCCCCCGACATGCCCTGGCACAGTCACTTCTCAGTCCCGACTGACGATCCTAGTAGCTCGACTGGCGCCAGTACTGAGATTCACTTCATCATGATCTACCTCGACTATGTCTTCCCTCACCTGTTCCCCTTCTACCGCCCTCCCATCCTCGCTGGCGGTCGTGGCTGGGTACTCGACGTTCTTCAGAGCAACAAGTCTGTCTGGCACACAGCCATCTCACTCACTTCGTACTATTTCAGCATCGTCATGGCCGACGGCAATATCCAGCACAAGGAGTGCACAAATCGCATGGCTCACCAGTTACAGTCCCAGCTTGAAATGGGTTTGAGAGAACTACAGCGTGAGATGACAGCTGTAAACCACAAGGTCTCTTGTGCTAGTGCCAGAGATAGACTTCTTGTCCTCCAAGCAATTTTACAGATGCTCATCTTTGAGGTATCAATAAGCAACAAGGATCATTGGAAGATGCACCTCGACGCTGCTATCACCATGTTCCAGCAGATCCTTCCTCAACCCGAGAAATGGGGTGAGACAATGGAGGCTCTTTACAGCTTCCGTTGGCCACCACCAGAGATGGGCTTGCGTCGACCCTTCAGCACAAACCAAGCTGCCCTTCGCTTCTTCACAGCCAATGTACTCTACATCGATGTCATGTCCAGCATTACACTCGAGCAGGCACCGCGTCTTCAGAAATACCAGGACAATATCATGCCCAGTTGCAAAACCTACGTTGCACCAGAAGCGGCCCGGATCTCGGGATCTCTTTTCATGGAAGAATATGTCGGTCTTCACAATTGGGTTGTCCAGATCCTTGGTGATATTGCTGCACTCGATGCCTGGAAGAAGGAGCAGAAGAAGAAAAACTCGTTGTCAATAAACGAGCTTGTTCAGCGAGGCAAGATTATGGAAGATGCAATCAAGGGGGGCCTCAGTATGGTTGAAGCGCAGACCCAATTGCCCGTCCCTCTTCATGATATCGGCATGTATCTTGTCTCCAATCATGTGCAGAACAACGATACCAAGATTAAGCAAGCCCCTGCCGTTGCCGTCAACAGTCTCATCTGGCTTCAAGCAGCCCTCACATACCTTCACGTGGTCATCTCCGGCTGGCAGCCATCCTGTCCCGAAATTCGATGCTCCGTTGCCCGCATGACCGAACTCCTGACGACCCTCCCATCAGATACCTGCCTCCGAACCCTGGTCTGGCCCTTCTGTATTGCCGGATGCCTCTCACCTCCAGAAGACGAGGATAAGTACCGCGAAATGGTGGAGCGTATGGGGCCGATTAGTGTGTTTGGCACGGTTAGGGAGGCACTTGAGGTTATGGAAAAGGTCTGGTTGAAACGAGACCAGATCGATGAGAGTTGGGACATGGCCAAGTGCCTGCAGGTCCTTGGACATGGAGTTTTGCTGATTTGATACCCTTTGGAGTGCGTTATATGGTTGATTATATATATGAATAATGATCTTCTGTTTATATTGAGTGTTTGGTACATATACGATGTACGCCGCTGTTTCAGGAAACATGTACGGATGGAGAACTGACAGGACATTATAGTATTAAACGATCATTTCGTTCGAGGCCTCTCCAAAGATTGGTGATACTAGGGGATATTTGAGCTCTGTCTCCTACAGCATCCTCTTCGTCAAGTCAACTCGTGGTCAATTGGAATACCTGACAACCTACTATTTATCACAAAGGTCAGAGAGGCACAAATATGTGATGGTGGAACAATCCATGTTCAACCCCTGAACCCATTTTTATTCATTTTCTGATGATGAAGCTGATCTAACCAGTAGACATTACCGTTTGTTTCCAAACTCCCATTGTTCCCGTGACCCGACAAGCCAGACAAGGCGTCCAATCTATTATATTTCACAAATTCCCTCGATTACTTTAAACTCGCTTTCCTCCAAAGAGGGTCTGTCGCTTCTCGAGCAGATCAAGATCCCACCAACCCAAGAGAGTCTTGTGTTTCGACCAAACCCTCTCCAGGGGGCTCTTGGGTCCATTTTCATTCATTAGTCCTGGCGATACAGGAACTGGAGGCAACGGAGGGAGAAGCTGCACAGGTTTCGGAGCCTCTCTCCTCTTGACTCGGACAGGCGCCGTGGGGGGCGGGGGACACCACGGCTGGCGAACGCTCTCAGCATCAGAAGAGTCACTATCGAACCTCTTCGCCATGGCCATGGTTCCCAGGCTTCGGTCCTGGGCCATCATTGGCGGTCCTTGACTGATGCCCAGGGCGTTGACCTGCCCCTCACGGCTGTACCTTCAACCCTCAATGTCCTTGGGGGCGGGGCGAGAAGGGCCCTTTGTGCGCTTCCACAGGCATCCTGAGGTGATGGCCGAGAAGGCGAAGAGCACGCAGAGCGCAATGCTGAGACCCCAGACGGACTTCATCTGGTAGCATGATGCCTTGTCCGGGTCGACCCAGGCAAAGGTGTTTCCACGAGAGTGGTAGACGTTGTGGAAGAGGGAGTTGACAAAGTTGGCCGTGTTACCATCTGAGGGGAACTTGGGGCATGAGAGGTAGCTAACGGGCTTGCCGACTGTGCATGCCACGACAATGCAAGCAATGAGGAGCATCAGATCAGCCCCTGTGGCAAGAAGGAGAGGAAGCATGCCATCCCAGTAGAGAATGTATGAGATGGCGATGTAGAGGGTTGAGATGCAAGCCTATGGGGTGTAAGTCACTGTCCAAGCCACCGCACTATAGGAAAAAAATACTTACAACAATCAGTGTTCCAATCAGGGCAGACGGCGCCGCATAATCGGCATTGACCATCTCACCAATAAAGTTGCCCGTCAATCCAATGATGGTGATCAGAGAGATGAACTCCATGGCCCGCATGGCAGTCCAGGTGTGCCCGAGGGCTCCGAGAGCAGGCTGCATCTTGGTCTTGGTTGTTCCGACTGCTTCTGTGTCGAGAGAGAGGCGAGGGCGCGACGAGCCAGCTGTGCGCAGTGGGAGGTTCTTGGAGTAGAAGGGGATGGAGGGTGAGGAAGATATTTTGTCTAAGTGAGAGACCCGCGCTCAAACAAGAGGCGAGAATTGGGTTGATTTAAAAAGGAAAAAGAGACAGGAATAAAGAGACAAGAGAGATCGTTATGAGGAAATTCGTCTGGTCGTGATAGTAAAAAGACTGATGCTGTATAACCCAGAACCTGATGCGGTAGAGGACAAAGGAAAATAAGGAAATAAAGAGACAAGGAAAAAAAGAGAGATTGAAGTGATTGTTGTGTGAGTTGCTTGATGAAGGGAAAGAGATTCTTTACAACGCCCGAAGCCTCACATCTTATACACATCTCTCATTGTCAACAAACGCAGGAAGTAACACAGATAGCTACACATAACAAACAACAAGGCCAATACCTTGTCTAGTCTCGTTTCCAATTACAGCAGCCGCCCACGGCAAAAAGAAAAGGCTACCAGCCGCGCCATCGCGCTTCACTATCTCCCCATAGACGATCCTCTCAACCCTGACGATTTCGCAACATGATACAAGGTTTTCCTTTTACACTTCTCTGGGCGTCATGGTTCTCTGGCCAATGAGGCTCCAGAAGCTCAATGTCGTGGCGGCGCCTAAACCTGCAGGGATAGTTGCTACTGAATAGCCGCGCAGGGGTGGAAAAGGGCGGTTGGTTGTTTCAAGATATGGCGACAAGGTTATAATTGGATGGGAGCCGTTCTTGGGGAGAGGAAGCGGTAGATGAGGCTCCTTTGTTTGGACTGTGGTCGCATAAAGGGCGAGATTGCCTGGGTGAAGATCGTGGTGAGTGAGTCCACTATTGCAAGTTTATTCTAGGACGGTCGTGCTACTGCAACGGCAAATGATCTGGTACAGGGCTCGATGGGCTAACATCTTGGTAGGATCTCATCTTGGTGGTTCACAATGATCGCCGTGAACCCCTTTTTGGTTAGTCTTCACCTGATACAGCTCCAATGCATAGCGATCCAACGCTGGCCTTCTTGTACGGCCTACGGCCTACCAAAGCATCCATGGGCTGAAAATAGAGCGACATGACATGTCAGTTCATTTTGTTGCGCCAGACGCCTATCTAGGATCCTATTATCAAAACAAACATGCTGTCCCACTGCTGATTATTCTGTACATTCTCAAGGCCGCCAGACTGAACGCGGCAATAACATGCTGGCCGCCGTCTCGGTTCCAAGCCGTGATCCACCATTCTAAGACAGACTTAGTATGTAGCTTAACCCAAAAGATCGTCAAAGGCAGAGCCACCGGTCTTGGGAGGAGCACTGCCGCTGGAGGGTCCTGGTGCCGGTGCACCCCAGATTCCAGCGCTGCTCTTCTCCTTGGCCAACTGGCCCAGCGCAGGTCCGGCCTTGGGTGTCTCAGGCTTCTTCATGCCGCCACTTGCCTTACCCCAGAGAGCTCCAAAGGCATCTCCACCAGCAGCAGGTGCTGGCTTGGCTGAGGAGCTAACGACGGGCTTCATGTTGGCCATCGTAGTGGGGGTGTTTGGAGTAGCGTTGGAAGTGCTGCCCATGCCGGAAAAGGCAGATGTTGTGGGAGGCTTAGATGCCTGTGCCTGGACAGAGCTAAAGTAGTTGGGGCCAGATTGCTGGAAACCAGAGGGCTTAGGAGCCTGGGCAGCAGGAGCAGAGGGGATGCTGAAGGCAGAGTAGTTGGGTCCAGGAGTGCCTGAGGCACTAGGAGCAGGCGAGATGGATGCCATGCTAACCATTTGGCTGATATCAGCCTGCTGAGGAGCCGAATGAGGTTGAGGTGCTGCGAATTGAGCAGTTGTAGAGGCCGACGATGTCACGGCAGGACTCTGCATAACGTTGCTGGCTGGTGCGGCCGGAGCAGGGGCAGCCTGGAAGTCGTCGAACTCATCGTCGTCGTCGGCCTGCGCAGGAGCGGCAGTAGAGTTGCTAGGTGCCAGTGCAGCAAATCCTGAGTTGTTGGACGCGGATGGGGCTGGTGCAGGATCATCGAAGGAGAAGAGATCGACCTCAGGCTCCTTCTTCTTGGGTGGCTCGGCAGCAGCCTTCTTAACGGGAGTGCGCTCTGGTCGCTTAGCAGCAGCCCTTGATGAGCTGGCAGCAGGTCTCTCGCCCTCGTCAAACTCATCGTACTCCTCAAATCGTTCACCTCTACTAGCAGCGCCATCTCCTCGCCAGTCATCAGTCTGGCCGCCGAAACCACCACCATCGCCATAAACACCTCCAGAGTATCCGCCAAAGTCGCGAGGGCCCGCACCGCTGCTGCTGCCGGCGCCGCCGCCACCATATCCAGCACTCTCGCTACCAAAACCACCATAACGGCTTGAGCTGCCACTCGAGAAACCGCCGCCAAAAGTCGCACCGCCCTCTACGCCAGTATACTTATTCTTTGTTGCACGCGCTTTCTTGCGCTCGGTTCGGATACGGTCAACATCGCCCAGAAGGTCGGCCAACTCCTTAGCTCGGTTGCGCACGTTGATGCCCTGGTCCTTTCCGTTTTGATCAATAAAGTGAAATTGGCGGAGCATCTTAAGAAGCGAAAGATGTCCTCTGGCGTCGTCGATCACGCGCTCGGAACCGTGCTTGATGAGGAACTCGAGTAATTGGAGGGCCTTGTAGATTTGGCGCCACTCCTCGGCAGCCTTCTCGGTGAAGCGACGGTAGATCATGGGCATGATCTCGTTAAGGGTTTGGCTGGCTCATTGTCAGCAGCTGAACTTGTATGTAATTCGAAGTGCCGTACTAGTTAAAGGTTCCGTTGGCAATTTCTTGCATAGTGGTGGTTGAAGCACCCCATGGCTCGTTATTCGTCGCCTCGCGCACCTGAACAAGGGTAAGTCGATGGTATCCCGACCATAGTTGTCGCGTATAGTTCAACTAACCTTAGACTCCATCTCGGTAAAGTTCATAACAGCTGGGTATCCCGTCAGTAACCATCAGGCGCAGCAGGCAAGGCCACTAAGGAGGTACCATTCTGAGCCTTCCGAAAGCCTGCCTTGAGGTCATACAAGGTCAGGTTGGAGACCGTGTTCTTCAAATCGTTGATATCCATGGTGAAGTAGTCCAAGAAGAAAGGAACCAGCAGGTGGCTAGAAAGACGGGCGCAAACGACGCAGAGCTTGAGATGATTCTCTCAAGGGGGATGCTAATTCCAATGGAGTAGAATAGGATATCTGGAGTTCAAGATGCCCCTTGTTGCGCTACAGCCCATGGTGGATGGACACTTGGACACTTCCACAGCCCAACGTCAGCATGGATTGGCTGATCACGTGATGGCTAGCAACATTCCCAGCTGCTCAAGACAGGATTCATGAAGTTGTAAATAAGTAAGCATCTTTCGTTTTATCTTATAAATTGACGTAGATTACATAAATCCTCACGGGTATTGCAATTGACGTGCAATTGTTGTTGAGCCAGAAATCGAGTTTCATGACAGTCAGTGCCTTGTTAGTTTGTCTAAAGAAGACATCGAGTACCCGCCGTACAACCTTAGACTTCAGGCCTGAAGAGGGCCCGTCGCAACGCTAGGATAGAGTACCAGACGTCAAGCTGGTCCAAACTTTTACCTTCTTTCTCGAGATCAGTCCAAAAGACCAACCTCAGCACGCACTTCGCCAGTCTCTGTAATTCTATCTGTTTTAGCTTTACAATTCCTGTATCATCATCCCTTTTTCCAGGTGTATTAATCCTCAAGGTATGTGCAAGCTCAATTGTTTTACCCTGCCACAAATGCCTTTGTTCCACCACCAGCAGCTCTCTGTCTAGGGAAACTTAAGCTGGACATCAATCGAGCTACATGGAGAGAATCAAGACGCCTCGGAGCAAACATTGGACATATGAGCATCTGTCTGGGTCAATGCGGTCTTATTCGGAACCCAATTGGGATCTTGGGAAAGCCCTCTGGTCGGACCAACGCCGGCATTGTCGATTCCTTCGCGCCTTTGTGCTGCTCTTGTCTATCTGCTTCTATCTCTTTGATTGCCCCTGTCCTTCCCGGTGTTGTGGAGGGAGCTCCCTTTCCCGGCTATTCACAGCGGTCACTCCCACCCACGGGTTGACGGACTGGACAAGACTCGAGGTGGAGGGGCCATGCAATGGCATGAATCCACTGGGGTGACCATGTCCCTTGCCCCCTCCAATGGGCGCTATGGCCGGGCAAAAGTCTGCTACACTTTCGGGCATATCGGGCCACTGACTCGGACTACCTCTGGACTGGTTGCTTGAGGGGCTACAGCCAGGCCAGAGAGTTGAGAAGATGCTTGACGTGGCCCGGGCAACCTCCATCAGCTCAAAGGTAGCCCCATTGAGAAGCTCTGATGGGGAGAGCCATTGAGACCGCAGTCTATTATGGTCCTTGTTTTTTCCCTCAATGCGTACGCCATCCAGGACCTGGCAGCAATGGCGGTCAGAGCATTGAGAACCAGGGGGGGCAAAGCTTGTCAGCTCTTCTTGTTATTGAACAAGGCATTCATCATTGATCAGCAGAAGCTATTGCAGAGGTTGCAGAGCTCCCCCCCGCCCCACAGTGGCCATAGCCGTGACCTCATGGAAACGACTTACCAGCGTCAGCCAAAATAACAGAGCAAAAGGCTTGCCTGGCTTCTTTCACGTGATCTCTTTCTCACCTTTCCCCCCACCTTACCCCTCCACGGCGCGCCCTCATTGGCTTTACCGGTCCCGCGCTAACGTTTTGCCCCTCCAGCTTCCTCAAAATGAGACCCTCCCTCTTCAAGCCCCTCCTACCCCGCCATAACTGCTTGTCTGCCGCGAGAACTTCTTCTTTCCTTCAACACTCCAACACATCCCAAAACATCCGATTCTTCTCAGCATCAACCGCAGTCATGAGCAACAAGGTGTAAGTTCTCTCTCATCAAGTGGCATTGCTAGAAATGCTTACTGACTGCAAACAGTTACTTCGATATTAAGTGGAAGGGTCCCGTCTTCCAGAACGGCCGACCTACCAGCACCATCCAGGGTAAGCTTTGATTCCTATCGCTGCTATCCGTCGTCTTCAAATAAGATACGCTGGTAAGCTGCATCGTCAGCTTCCTCGATGTCTCGATACCTTCATCAACCGGGACATTGGTGTCTTGGTAGCATTTGCGACGCGCGTCATTGCATTCTCATAGCCTGCATATGCGACCAAACCTCTCAATTTGTTACACCAAGGCTAACATTCCTCGTTTCCAGAGCAGAGTGGTCGCATCACCTTCAACCTCTTCAATGATGTAGTCCCCAAGACTACTGAGAACTTCCGTGCTCTCTGCACTGGCGAGAAGGGCTTCGGCTACGCTGGTTCTTCCTTCCACCGTGTCATCCCCGACTTCATGCTTCAGGGCGGTGACTTCACCCGTGGCAACGTACGTTGATTTTCCCCAAATCTCAATTCACTCAATAAGTACTAACACGCAACAGGGCACTGGTGGCAAGTCCATCTACGGCGAGAAGTTCGGCGATGAGAACTTCAAGTTGAAGCACACCAAGCCTGGTCTGCTGTCCATGGCTAATGCTGGCCCCAACACGTAAGAACAATCGCCGCCCCCTGAATGCAATTTGTAACTAACACCTTTGTAGCAACGGCTCTCAGTTCTTCATCACCACCGTCGTCACCTCTTGGCTCGATGGTCGCCACGTCGTCTTCGGCGAGGTCGCTGATGAGGAGTCCTTGAACATTGTCAAGGCTATTGAGGCTTGTGGCTCCGGCAGCGGTGCCCTCAAGTACGAGCCCCGCCCTACCATCACTGCCTCTGGTGAACTCTAAACGGTTCGACGTCGCACGGGGCACTGATGGAGATCTGGAAGTACATTACAAAATGTCGATGACGACTAGCGTTATGAAGCTAGGTATTCAAAAACTGGTATAAAGAGCTAGCTATTGCAAATACCAACCATCAATTCCCATAGATACTACGTCTTTGGATCGTCGTGATACTGTGAATGTTTTGATTTATGAAGCATCGCTCGTACGCAACTTGTTGTTCTACCTAGACAATTTACAACGCTGCTACCAGCTGGACACTGAGCGGCCTTCGCTTGTCCTACTACGCCGTTGCTGTTTTCCCTAAAAACAAGAAAGCCGACTTCCAGACCATAACTCCGTTCTCCCATAGGATATAACAGTTGTCGGTATCCCGTATCGTCCAAAGTGCAAAATCTGCACCTAATGCTCTATTCAACACCAAGCCATTTTTTGAAGTACTCACAGTTACTGGGACCTACAGGTCCACCCTCTTCACATATCTCAAACACTGGACATCGCCCACAAGGAGCTTCTGTGAAGGCACTCACAAGGGATTCAGGACCTCCTTCACGACCTGTGGGATCGTCGCGGCCAGCCCAGCTCTCCAAAGACTGCTTGGCAATGCGAGAAACACGATAGCCAATCTTGCCTGCCACCTTGACTGATTCGACAAGGTTATCCCAAACTAGAACGTCGACAAGCTTCTGCACATCGTGTTCGGAGAGGATGGTGTTGTGGGTAATTCCGCTGGAGGAGAGTAGACGAGCAATGTCTCGGACAGTTGGGTAGCCTGTGTAGCCAGCAGGAAGAGGGAGAAGGGCGTCTTTCTTAACAGTAGGTGTCGAAGAGGTCTTGAGTAGCTTGGCTGGGGGCTCTTCCATGTGACTAGCATCGCGCTTTTTGCCCTTGTCTACGCCACCTTTGACAACACCCTTCTTGGGGACCTGCGTCCGCGCAACACCACCGCCGTGAGTGCTGTGGTAGGTACTCTGTCGCTTGATGAAATCGAATACAACACGCTGTAGGTCTTCAATGAAGGCCTCGTCGAGGTTCTGGTCGGTATACCACGGGCCGCCTGTGGCGCGATCGCTGGGCCGTATGGAGGCCTTGATGAACATCTTCTTGTTCGGGTGCTCGACGTTCTTGAATGGCGCAATAAGTCCCTTCGTCTGGAGCTGCTTGAGAGCGTTCTTGAGGACCGAGTCGTGCATGTTGAGGCGCTTCTGGAGCGTCTGGGACCAGATACCGTCGCCGCCCGAATCGTCGATGAGGGAGTAGACCATGACCTGCTCGTCGGTCGAACATTGCTTGTATCTAGAGACCAATTGTCAGCCATACGCTTCGTACAGATCCCAGGAACGCTTCTACGCACTTGTGGGCTTCCTGGGAGTCGCGCCATTTCCATAGCACTTGGCCCGAGGCCTCGCGCATGGTGATGAAAAGCTTGTCATCGGTAAGCGACTGGACGACGCGGGCCAGCAGCATGAGATCACGGTTGGGAATGACATCGAGGCGCATAAGATCGTCCTGCGAGAACATGTCCGTTCCTGATTCGCGACATCGATCGTAGAGAGCCTGTTTCCAGACGCCGAGCTTGGCCGTCGCGGCGTCGCCCTCGGCGGGCGTGGGGGTGGGCATTGTGAGTCAAAGCGAGCGATGCGATCGTCTTAGAGAAGGAATTGTTGGATAAGACGATGCGTTATAGGTGCTGTTGAAGTAAAACTGGGTATATATGATGCTACATTGACATGATATAGCGAGTGGTGGCGAGCCAGAGGAGAGGAGAGTAAAATATGACGATGGTGGGATGGGATGGGAATTGGAACTTCTCGAGTAGAAGCGGCTGGGTTGGAAATAATTATTTTTCGGCTCCCCCGCAGTCGACGCTAGAGTGTAGCTCGTCCCCTACCCTGCTAATCTTCTCCCGCCGTCAGAGTCACTCCAGTGAGTGAGCCGGCGGAATATCGGTAGTTGGGCGGAATGTGGGGGATCTTATCAGTGTCTCGGTCCCCCACTATCGTGATGCTTCACACACCCTATAGTTAGATTGCACAGCTTTTGGTTGGTATGATGCAGTGTAAAAGATGCACGACGATGCAAGAGCCTCTCCTTTTGTATAAGATTTTCAAACTTCTTAAGTCAAGAAAGGCCAACTAATTGAAAAGCATATCATTTCTCATAGTTCGAGACATAAGTCACTCCGTCGGATCCAGTGTTACAAAACCAACCTATAAAAGCAACGACTCTTCCCCACGACATACAGGTAAAATAGTGAACATTAGATGGGATCAGGTAATCGGTCCCTTACCACCACTCACCATCTTGCACCCCTTCTTCAAGAACAAGAACACATGTGTCACCTTCATTATAGCGTGTGTGAAAAAGAAAATAGACAAAATTAGTTCTTTCGCTATGTCAAACTGGAAACATGAAACCTCATAACAGCACATAAGGCTCCTACAATGTATGGCCAAGCCGAATAACAGCCCTCCACACAATTCGTTGCCTGTCCCTTCGTGCCATCTTAATATCCCTACGCCCGAAACGCCCGACTGCAGACCGCATCTCACCACCGCTATGATGCAGAGTATTTCACTGCAACCCCTATTGTGTTGCTGGAGATTCGGCTGCGTACATGCGAAGATAAGAGCAACGCGAGCCTTTGCTGGCAACGTGCAATGTCTATATAATCCAGATCATTTGCTTCCCGTGCAACTCCTAGTTTGCGGGACTCTTGCTCTTCTCTGTGGGTTGCTCTGGCTTGTCCTTCTCCATATCAACGTCCATAGCATCGTCAGGTTGGTTGCTTTGAGCCTTCTCGGGTGCTGTTGTCGACTTCTCGGCGGCTTCTTCGGTAGGTTTAGGCTCTGAGCCAGACTCCTTGGTAGTTGTGTCGGCGGTCTCCTGAGCAGCTGGCTTGTCTTGCGTAGGCTTCTCGGTAGACACTGGAGGCTCGGCAGCCGCCTCTGGCTCGATCTCTTCCGTTTTGATTGTTGTTGTTTCCTCTGCAGCTGCGGAGTCCTCCATCCCTACGTCGCCGTCACCGTCCACTTTGGTAGTTTCAGGTTCCTTGGCGGTCTCCTTAGGCTTTTCGACTTCTTTCTCCGGTAAATCCTTGTCGGCTTGGCCATGCGCCGAAATATCGTCGATGGTATCGTCATTGATGTCGTGGGTATCCTCGGCAACGTGTTCGTCAACAGATTCGTCGGCGGGAGTGCCATTGGTGACCTTTGCAGGAGGAGCGTCGGGGTTATCGACGTCCATCTCTCCCTTGCGGAAGTCGGTAAAGCTACGCTTATTACCGTTCTGGCGTGTGGCACCATTTGCGCGAGCCATATCGTCATCATCACTGGGCTCGAACTCGTTGTCGTGTTCAACATGCTTGTCCCATCGATGCTCTGACATGCGCACGTCCTTGTTCTCATCCTCATCCAGGTCATCCAACTCAGCCTCCTCCTCATCAGTCATGCCACCAAAGGGCTTTCGTGGGACATCCTGCAGCTGGACTGACGGTGCAGGTCCAGTTTGTCGAAGGTTATCGATGACGGCGGAAGTAATCTTTTCAAGATACTCTCGGCTGTTGGAGTTCTCCATATTGGATGAACGGACATTCAGCTCAAAGTCAGGTGCATAGTACTGTCTTTTGTTAGCGAATTCTCATCAACTAGTATCGGTTTACTTACTTCGTAGTATTCGTTGTAAGGCAATGTTCGTTCCATCTCCTTGCCAACAAGAACACCGGTCTCAAACGCCCAAGTACGTGCGACGTTTCGCATTGTGTAGCCACCTCCGCCGAGAACCAGAGTAGGAAGGTTGAAGCTCTTGACAAAGTTGACACAGTTGGCATGACCATCCATGCTCAGGTTGAAGCAACCGAGACGATCGCCAGACAGACTGTCGCCACCACATTGCAAGACAACAGCCTCAGGCTGGTAGTACTTCATGACGTTCTCAATAACAGGCTGGAAGATCGAACGGTACGACGCATCGGTAATACCATCTCGGAGAGGAAAGTTGACGGCGTAGTTCTTTCCCTGTCCAATACCAGTATCTCTAAGCTCACCAGTTCCAGGGAAATACTCGCCATACTTGTGGAAAGAAACAGTCATGACACGGTCGGTGGTGTAGAAAGCCTCCTCAACACCATCGCCATGATGGACATCGATGTCGATGTAGAGGACCCGCTTTTTAAATCGAAGAAGTTCGAGAATGCCGAGGACGATGTCTGAAAGTCTAGTCAGTGACTGTTATCGGTGGTGATGTAAGACACATACCGTTGACGTAGCAGAAACCACTGGCTTCACACTTTTTCGCGTGGTGAAGACCACCCGCCCAATTGATAGCAATGTCGCACTTTTGGCGGTTCAGTCGCGCAGCGCCCTCCATACTGCCTCCTGCACTGATGCCGCAAAATTCGAAAAGACCGTCAAATACGGGACAATCGTCTCCGACGTTGTATTTTCCTTGCTCCCTCATGAAGCTGTCCATATTGTCTGGCGTGACCTTTTGGAGGAAATCGATGTAGTCGTCGGTGTGAAATTGGGTCATCTCGCCTCGAGTCGCAGGTTTCGCGCGCTTCCAAAAAGTTAGCATGAATTTTGGAATCCAGGCGCATATGGTTTAAGTTTATGCTCAGTAGTAGACTTACGTAGATCTCCATCTTCTGGTAGAGGTTGTACTGCATAATCAAGCTATGCGCCAACCGAATGCGATGAGGCTTCATTGGATGACCAGTGACATATGCATAGTTACCAATATCGGAATCGTAGAAGTAAGCAACCTTCTTTGGGGATGAGGCATTGAGCGCAACTGAGCCGAGCTCGACACGTATATCGTCACCCATGATGGTGTCTGCTCGTGGTGTCGCGAACTCGGGCAAGAGGGTGGGAAGAAAGGGTTAAATCAGGTTTGCGCAGAGATTCGAAACGATTTCTGATGAGAGATTGAAGCTTGATGGCCTCAGAGAGAGCTCAGCATGATCGACCGAAAAGTGGGAAGGAGTTTGGTAGAGTATAGCGGAGTTTCGAGAAGCAGCTCCGAGTGTAAGTTCATGGGCAGAGACGCTTGCTATGCGAAGCCCACCCCGGAGCTCAGAATCGCCGTTTACACCGGATCAATGTTGAAGCGTTCCTATCTAAATTGGCATAAGCCACAACGCGTGCCCCTCGCCCTGATACGCCATATGGTGCCACTGCAAGCTTCCACACGTGACGTGACTAAGCTCCTAGTTGTGGCTCCCAGGCTGCCGGGCTGGCGTCAACGTCAATAACCTTCTACCAAGCTCCGATCATAGCAACACCCTCCATCATCGCCCATATTCCCATCAACACCTGCAATCTTTTTGTCGACGATTGATTCTACGCACATATCACTTATAACTTCTTAAACCACAACCGATATCATGGAGCGCTTTAGGAGTTTACTCGGCGGCGGCGGTATGGGAGGAGCTGCTCATGGGACTGTAAGCTATGATTCTGTACCTCTAAGCTCCTCTGGGAGGATGCTTGCCCATTAGAGCTCAGCTAACCTCAGTGGACACAGGACAACACAAACCTCATCGACAACTCCGAAACCGTGTACATTTCCTCTCTTGCCCTCCTCAAAATGCTTCGACACGGTCGCGCAGGTGTGCCCATGGAAGTCATGGGTCTGATGCTGGGCGAGTTTGTGGATGACTTTACCGTCAAGGTTATGGATGTGTTTGCTATGCCCCAGAGCGGTACCGGAGTCAGTGTCGAGGCTGTCGACCCCGTGTTCCAGACCAAGATGATGGATATGCTTCGACAAACGGGACGGTTCGTTGACTACAATGTTTCTGTTTATTGACCTTAGCTGACTTGCCCACAGCCCCGAATCAGTAGTCGGATGGTACCACTCGCATCCTGGTTTCGGTTGCTGGCTGTCATCTGTTGATATCAACACTCAACAATCCTTCGAGCAACTGAACCCCCGTGCAGTTGCCGTCGTCATTGACCCTATCCAATCCGTCAAGGGCAAGGTCGTCATCGATGCTTTCCGTCTCATCAACCCTCAGCTTTTGATGCTGGGTCAAGAACCCAGACAGAGCACCAGCAACTTGGGTCACCTCAACAAGCCCTCGATTCAAGCCCTCATTCATGGGCTCAACCGACACTACTACTCGATAGGAATCAACTACCGCAAGACTGCTCTCGAGGAGAACATGCTTATGAACCTACACAAGCATGTATGGACCGAAGCTCTAGAGATGGACGATTTTCGACATGAGGGCTGCAAGAACAAGGACCGACTGCAGCAGTTGGTTACGTTGGCGGATGGTTACGAGAAGCGAGTGAAGGAGGAGACCGAATTGACCAAAGATCAGCTTAAGACTCGATACGTTGGCAAGTTGGATCCAAAGAAGCATCTCGAGGATGTTGGCCAGGAGCTCATTGAGGACAACATTGTCTCTGTGTCGAGACAAATGATCGACAAGGAGGCAACCATGCCCAAAAAGGATGCGCCGGCAGGGTCCAAGGGAGCAGCGAATGGCGAGCAAATGGATGTGGAGGAGGAGTTATGAGCGAGAGGAAGCGGATACCTTTTACAAGATTAACGAGGCCACGGGATGGACTTGTAAGATTAATGGGCGTTGGCGGTCGGGACGGACGATATAGAGACCTAGCCATGTCACGAATTATTGCACAAGGTTAGCATCGTACCATGGATCATGGATGACATTAATTCCGCGTGTTCTTTTGTTCGTTTGAGTGTGAGGTCTGTGGTTAGTTCGTAGTCGGTGTTCATGATGTTATCCACGTTCTGTGTGGAACCTGCATTCACACATCATGCACCTGAACAAAGCATATTGGCGGTTATAAAAGGAAACATGAGTTCCTTTCTCCGCTGTTTCTTTAGTCAACCAGCAATTATCCCGACATAGTGCATATTTCTACAATCTACCCAATTGTTTGTACGAACATCTGTGTAGATAAGAACAAAGACAACAAACCACAGCGAAAGCAGGTCGCCATCACCGATATTTCGCACTATTGAAAATATCACCCACGCAGACGTTATTCAGGATCTATAACGAGAGGTAAGTCCTATTTCTCCCAGTTGAGTACGAAGAGAGTCGTAGATTTGTTCCAGCGAAGCTATCAATATGGCTCCTGGATCGTTTCTGCGCTCACTTTTGCGCGGCTGCTTCTCTTCTGGAGACAATTCTGACGCCGAGAAACAGACGAAATATCCGCATTTGAGAGGAGGAGAATATTCTTCCCAGGAACGATGCAGCACACGACGAATACAGAAATTTCCTGGAGCGAACAAGGCGCGACGTGGACCTGGATCTGGATCTGATCACAAATCTTGGCCCACGACGCGATTGCATGATCAAGGTCATGGTCAAGGTCAAGGATCCAGGCAGAATAATCACGCGTCAGGTGGCCAAAAACACGATTTGCATCCAGTAGCAGTGACAGCTACTAGTCATACTCCTAAGCGGAGGCCAGTGAGGCCTAATCATGAGAAGCCTCTCCCTGTGGTTCCACGTAAAAGTCCCCCACAACAGGAGCAACAGCAGCTGGAGCAGCAAAAGGCACTACTACCCCTGCATGACCAGAACCACAATGTTCAACAGTACTCTACAGATAACGTCTTTACGCATTCGTATACGCAAACACGCGAACGCGAGACAGAAACAGAATCAGATGAAACTCATGTCCATGTGCTCACTCAGCAACCAACTGAGAGCATCCGGACATTCATTTCGCACGACCGCTCAATGAACCGCGAGGCCGTGTCTGAGGTAATCGACATGATAGCCCTTCGCTTCAGCCACATCCCCTACGCCGTGAGCGGTCTGGCCGCAATGGTCTACTACGGCTACGACGCGAGGCCCTATAAAGTGAGCATCGTCTGTCCCGAGCACACGCGCGAGAACCAGAAATGCTGGGCCAAAGCCCAGGGCATGATCCCCATACCGCGCCGCTCCGATATCTGGGGGATGGCCACCGCGGACGGCATCGTCCACCAGATCCGCGTGAGATTTCCCTACGATTTCGAGGACATGCATGCTTTAAAAATAGGCAGCTCGGCCGTGTCGATGCTCTCACTAGCGGGTCTAGCTGATGAGCTGGCGCGCACGTACGTGAATGAGCTGAAGCATTCCGACCACGCCCGGCAGGACAACCTCGCGCGGGAGATGATCTGGATTCTCCAGAGGATCATCCAGGTCAGGATGCCCGAGCACATGCTGACGCCCGAGAGGATACCTCGTCTTACCAAGGAGACATTCTGGTTGCCGTTTTCGCTGGCTTATCCTGAGACGGTGCCGCTTTTTGCAAAAGCCGGGTGGAGGATTCCCACCGACGGATGGATTTAACGCACAAGATGTGGCATGAAATGATGGGCTATCATCGATGGAAATGTTTTGGAGTTTGGGGACTGTAATGGCAGCATGGAATTTTGGTTATGGGATTCTGGTTATGAGAATGGATGATACCCTTAGATTTTCTTATTTCTTTTGTACTAATGATAGGAAGGTGGTTAGATATGATAATGATCAAGAACAAGAGGGTTATGTTTCCAAGTACGATATTTTCACATCTTAAACTAAGCTGGAGTACAGCCGTGCAAAAGTTCCGACAACGAGCTAACAAGAGATAGTTGTATTAGAATAGATGGTATAAAATATTTATGCTTAGAATACCCTATACATGATCTTAAAATAAGGTTATGTCAAATCATATAAGTTAAAGAGCTCATGATAATATGTATAATCTTGTATAAAACTTAGAATAGAAGAAATTATCGGATTTTTTGCACGCCCACTGTAACCACTCACAAGGTCATTCATAATTGTCACGCGAGAACAATGCTTGACTTATGACGCTTTTCTTCCTCATCGGAGAGCGAAGGGTGCTTTTATGTATTCGAGAACAGTTAAACTCCCATCTAACCAGACTCAGCGTGTGTAGCTACTACTGGTGGTATATCATGTGCGTTGTTTGCCCCTTCGAGTCTCCAAAACTACCCTTCTGCCTCATCTAAACTCAAACGAAAGAGTCGCATATAAAAGCGAGAACCTAATCACGACCCTTATTGACAGCCTTGACAACATGGCTGACAGCATACTCGCCCCAGACCTTGATGTAGGCCAAGTGGACGGACAGATCCTTGCCACCAGCTTCGCAAAAGGGGTCGTTGGCATCGCAGAAGGAAACAGCCTTGGAGGCGATGCTGTCGCAGCCAGCTGGAAGGTTGCGGGGGAATATCTGGGGAATATGTCAGTTATGTTCGTGGTGTGTTGAGCTTGAGCTTCGAGACTTACTCCGCTGCCCTTGCTGGTTCCTACATGGAAGGACTGGCCTTCAGTGAGACTGGGGTCACCCATGAGGATGACAGAGGCGACTACCAAGTGTTAGTATTTTCTCGAGGATGTGCGGAAAGTCTATCTTACTATTGTAAGTGATGTATGCAGGCTGGGGTAGAGTGGCCGGGAATCCAGTTGAGCTCGCACCGCAGATGGAGTCGGCAATAACGTGCGCACCCTGGAAGAAACGTTAGTAACTTCAACTATCATGGTGACCATGACTACTACTACCTACCTGAGAGTAACCCATGAGGATAAGCTGGGTGTCGGGGCAGTTCTTGACGTAGTTGCGGACAACTGAAGTCATGACACGAACGCCCGTAGGCTGGGACTCGAGATACTCATAGTAGAGGGCAGGGTACACGAGAGCTTCCATATCAGAACCAGGAACAAGCTTCAGGATTTCCTCAGCGAGGGCACCCATGGCACCGGGGCCCTGAGGCTCAAGACTACCGCGAGCCACAATGATGTGAGCTCCCTTGGCACAAGTGGCGTTGGGGGTAGCCGCCGGGGCAGCTGGGAGGGCCGAGACCAGAGCCACGAAGAAGCTCAGAAGGGGCATGAAAGCGATCATGGTTGCGTTGTCGTTGGTATGAAAGCCTTCTGGAAGAAAATCAGAAAAAATATTTATTGTGAGCTGGTAAGGGGGGTATATCTTACCGTGATGTATAGTTGATCTCGGCGAGCTGCAGTGACATCAGACTCAAGAGCCAAGGATGATTTTGAGTGAAGATGTCGGGAAGATAGGAGAGAAGAAAACAGACAAGATTCGAGAGGAGGAAATTATATAGATAGCCTCTTCGTCCTGGCACTGGAATTGCACACTGTTAGAACACCTCCATCCCGAATCACTCCACGATAATATGAACTGCACTGGCAGCGGCGTAGCATTGGCAGACCCACACTTGAGCTTTTAGAATATCGAGATGGAAAAAGCAAAACGAATGCGGCTAAGATGAAGAACACATCAACGTTGGGTTGCAGGGACTGGGGTAGATCGATAGTATCGGACTTGTTTCTTCTTCTGGCCATGGAAGTCTGCGTAACTCGACCACTGACGACATGTTTATATAGGAAAACACTGTATAATTAAGAGGTTCCTGATATATAGAGCATGGGACGGCATAGGAAGGAGCTTGTCTTAGGGTTATATGAAAGACAGGGTGAGCTGACTAGGAATGACCAGGGCTAATCTATATATCGTAATTTCGTCGTTCCCAAAGAAGCGGATAAGGTGGTAATCCTTCGCAACCGTAACCGTATCGAGCTAGAAACATCTGCTTTACGATTTGCGAATACAAAACGGTTTTAACTAGTCCGTACAAGCATTTTACCCCATTTATACAACGGCGTTGGCCCATTTGTTGAATGCATGTCCTTGATTGAATTGGCTTGGCAGTGCTATTAGCAAAATCGCCTATGCGGAAGAACACACCCACTACTGCACACTGACCACTATATGTTTGCATTTGGATATGTTTGCGAAGATAAAGCCAAATGCAGGATCCCAAGTAGACAGACATACAGGTTGTCCTGGTAAAAGTAGGGATATGCTGGTTATGGGTATTTGACAGAAATACGGGGGATGATACATTGGGATAGCCATAGGTATGGCTGCACTGACACAAGTTGATGGGGTGTTTTGCATTAATTACGATAGATCTCCGACTGATGAACGTTCTATATTGCTTTTATTGATATCGAGTTGTTCATTGTATCGACATGATTGCATGCTGGTCTGTGGTTGTTGCTGTCGAAATCGAACTTCGGTCCTTGGGAACAAACTGGGAACAATCCGCAAACTCAGCAGCATCATTCGGAAAACACATGGACAGATAACTCTATTTATACGTTCAACACTTTTGGCTCAGTGACATGCATCCTTGATTCGATTTCAAGATATTGGGCAGCTTCCTCGGGACCCTTCACAGATCACAGGGGCAGCAGGTTATCGCATAATTCATCAACGAGATCAATTAACCGGAAATATGCATTGCAATGACTGCTGAAGAGCTCAGCTATCTTCTTCATGGATACCTGTTGGACGATATCGGATCAAAAACTGACCACCGATGTTTCTAGGTACTATGAAACGTGGAAATAGCAAAGTCGCCAGCAAAATGTCCATATGAAGTCACGTAACTCATATGGGTTCTCAGGTCGTGCCCCCCAGCCTCACAGAAAGGGTCCCCTGCATCGCAGAATGACATTGTCTTGGCCGCAACACACTGACATCCTTCGGTTCTTTGTCGTGGGAATATCTAACAAGTCTCCGTTAGCTTCTCAAACTTGCTTTACATATCTTATGCATATATCCACTTACACCGTCGCCTGTACTACTTCCAATGTGGAAGGGCTGGCCTTTGGTGGTACTCGGATCACCCATCAAAACGATAGCGGCAACTGCAACTAGTGGTAAGTATCCTTAGATAAAACAAGATGGATAAGTTGTTTGGACTGACTCTTGCTAGAAATATTGGGAGGCTGTGGTGCTGTAGCTGGAAACCCGACTGAACTTGTGCCGCACATCACATCAGCAACAATATGAGCACCCTGTATTGGAGAGTTAGCAGATCTTATAAAGACCAGCTCTTTTGAGAGCCATTTTCATAGTTGATATGGCCTACCTGAGAATAGCCAAGTAGAATCATCTTCGTATCGGGACAAAAGGCAGCGTACTGCCAGACTGCTAGAGAAAGAGCTTCGACACCTTCAATTTGAGACGGCTTGTATGGCTCATATACAGCCGGGTAGCGAAGAGAGATCAGATCAGAATGGGGGATCGCAGACATGATTTGCTGGGCAACAGCTCCGATGATGCCGGGACCTTGAGGCTCGAGGCTGCCTCTGACGGCGATGATGTGAGCTCCAGAAACGCATGTGAAGTTACCGGGGGAATCACATCCTTGAGCGACGACGAGAGCGATGAGCAGGCTTAGGCACTGGAGTATGAAGAGAATATTGTACGGCCTGGAAAGGTAGTCAGAAATCAGAAATAGGTTTCAAGCCTCGGCGAACACAGGATGAGGCAACTTACATGATGCCTAGCCGGACGAGAGAACAAAGATTCGGGACGAAGCGTTAGCAGAGATGTGATGATTGCGAGGGATCAAATGGAATAGCTTAGATGTCCAACGTTGATTTGGGATGCTGAAGGAAACAGAAGTTGAGAATGAAGCGGAACTGGAGATGAGAGTAACATGCAAGACGGGACGAACAAACAAGTTTGGATCCACAGCTTGAACTGTGTTCACAGATCATGTTCACCGTACGTTGCAAACGACAGTCATTAAAGTAGATAGAACCAATTCTATTCGCAGTGCCTGGCAGTGGGCTGCCGTATAAGCCCTGTCTCACAGCCAAACGAGGTGAGTAAATATAGCATCAACATAGACCAATGACGCCAGCTTGAGGCTGAAGTAGAATTAATGAAATACGATATTTGGCGTAAAACTTCATGGCATTCTTCTGTATTATTGAGTATTAATATGGTTCAGCCAGGCATGTCTCAATATTATGCCTTCGACACGGAAAAAGCAACCATACCCATGCTTCTCCGCGTGGCACTTAGCGGGTTGAGCAAACTCACACTCTTCACTCACACGAGCTCAACATTTCAATCAAGCAAAGACATATCCTGACAAACTTTCCTTGCACCATGGCGAGTAATTCACTGGAAAATTTATTGAATGCGCCGCACCATCAAATCCGTGCTGTTCTGCGCGCCCTCTGCCAGGATAAAGACACTCGCTCACGCGCCTTGAGCTACCTGGACGATTTGCAGGCCATCGGCGAGCCTTATGATTCACGCAAACGCAAAGCGGACGATGAGCTGTGCATTTGCGTCCAATGCGACGATGCCTTTCACAAGAGCGACAACACTGACAATACAGCGTGCTGTTATCACTGGGGTAAGGAATGACAGCTGCGATTGAGCTTGGGGCTAGCTGACTAGACTTTAGGAGAGCTCGAGGTCGATTACGAGGCATATGTATGGGCAGACCACGACGAGAGGTGCCATGGGACAATAGACACAAAGGAAATGCGCAAGGAGAACCCAGAGGGATTTACCTGGGATTGCTGTGGGAAGCCAGGCGATGAATCAGGCTGTAAGCTTGAAAAGCATGAGGCTGATCCTGACAAGTCAAGAAGGGAAACAGGTTTTGAACCGAGTGATAGTGATGCGGACGAGTTTGATGAAGAAGATGAGGATGAGGATGAGTGATACATCTCATATTGTTTTTAGATATTGGAACATATTTCTCGATATATTCTCTACAATATCAACGTACACTGCAGATCGTCATCTCAGTTTCGAAGCCATCCCTGTATCGGGCACTAAAACAAGCTTCAGGCCAAAGTTCAAGCAGACGTCACTTTAGCTAAATACCCAAACAGTCACCTTACTCACTTAGCCAACCAACACATCACAAACAATAGACCACACCCCAATCATCAAAAATGAGTCTCCCACTATATAAAGAAATGGCCCTCCTGGCGCCAGAGCAGCAACTCCGTGCCATCCTCCTCGCCCTCTGCGACGACCGCTCCACGCGCGCCCTCGCAGAGAACCACTACCGCGCGCTCAAAGCCGCCGACAACCCATCGACGGGGCTGAAGCGCAAGGCCACTGACTTGTTTGTCTGTGTGCAGTGCGACGAGGCCTTTACTGAGGAGTCCAACACAGAGACTTCGTGTTGGTACCATCCAGGTTTGTCAACTTACACAAACCATCTAACGTTAGGTGAACTTATGAGAATGAAGCTGATGCCGCGGTAGGGGACCTCGATGTTGATGACTCAGGGGACTTTTGGGCGGATCATGATGAGGATTGTCACGGTGAGATCGATACGTGAGAGATGCGTGAGGAAATGCCTGATGGGTTTGTTTGGTCGTGTTGTAAGAAGTTAGGTGGGCGGAAGGGTTGTACCAAGGGGAAACATGAGGCTGATACGGGACGATCAAAGAGAGGCGGCAATGTTCCTTCTGGTAGTAACCTCAGAAAGAACAACGGCTCCCATTTCCCTGTTTCAGACGAAGATGAGGATGATGATGAAGATGAGGATGGAGAAGATGAAGAGTAACATGCAACATGTGGTATTCAACATCAAAGTCATATCTCTCTGATAGTCAATAGTCTTAAAACCATTTCATTTCAACAAAAGTTATAACGAGATTCCAAAACTCCCAGCCTATGGATGATGTTACCATGCGCATGATTGCCACAGCCTCTCCCCAGCACACGCAGATATATAGATATCAGAAGACAAGAGCACTGAATCATACATAGCCCCTGGCCTTTGACAAATATTACATGACATAAAACGTTGCAAATAGTCTCGAGTCCCAAACGACCTGGGCTGTATCAGAATCAATCGCCCGTTACTCCTTGCGCCTGAATGCACTTCAATAATCTGTTGCCTCCACCGTCCACAAATACTCTCAGTGACAATTGTCCTTGTGTCACCTTGCCTCTTTCCAATATGCCATATGTGGAACAGTTGCACCCAAGTCCACCATCTTTCATTCATGGTCTTCAAACATAAAAGGAAGGTCCGTAGAATGCCGTTGAAGGGGTGTTGGCCTCGGCGACGCTGCACCATCGAGGCTAAAGCTCTTTCGCCTTGGAGTTGCTGTTCCTGAGACACTAGATGATCCATTGTAATAAGGCCCCTAAATCCCCATAACAGGAACCTTCTTGTTTCTCTTGCCCAATAGAGTGGCGTTGTCCAGGTTGAGCTCGAACGCTCCACGTTGGCGCTGGCGCTCACGGACCTGCTGTCGAGCTGCCGAGGCGACGGTTGCTGAGTGCTGGCCATAACCCTTCTCAGCACGCTCGCGCTCACGGCCCCGAGATTGTTGTTGCTGCTCTTGATCTCGAATGTTTGTCTTTCGCATGCTTTGCTCAAGAGCTTGAGTCGCCGCGTTGGGCTTGGCATCGTTGTCCTCAGGGCCATCAACCTGCATGACGTCGTCATCCTCCTCTTCCTCGTTGAGACCACCGAGGAATCGTGCAGGGGTGCCCTTGGGTCCAATCTGTGCTCTTCGCTTGCCCTCCTCCTCCTGGCGATGCACGGCATAACCGACATCGAAGACCTCACGCAGGTTAACGGCACCAGGAGATCGGAAGTCGTATCTTCTGCCAGCCTCCTCGAACTTGGTCGCATCAAACGCACGGAGCATGCCGTCGGACTTCTTCATCTCTTCACGAGGAGTAGGTCCGTTTCCAGCGATCCAAGGATGAGCCAGGAATTCGGTAATCGTGTATCGCTTCTCAGGATCCACAGTCAACAAGTGGCTGATGAGATCCTGGGCAGACTTGGAGATCTCATCCCACCATGGAGACAAAAAGGTGTATTGGCCCTTAGCAACCTTCTCAGTAAGCACCTCGATACTCTCGTCGTAGAATGGTGGGAAACCACATAGCAGGGTGTAGAGCACGCAGCCCAGAGCCCACATATCAACTGACTTGGAATACCGCTCATCCTTGACGATCTCGGGCGCTGTGTAGCCAACAGTACCGCAGGGTGTCATAGTCTGGTTATCCCAGACAATCTTAGAAAGACCAAAATCGGCGATCTTGATTCGACCAATGCCACCAGCTCCCACGCCGGGGACGAAGTCACCCTCGTCGACCTTGTCCTCGTCGCCGGGCTGCTTGGGCTTCGGGTGCTTTGAAGGCACCACAGGAATGGGCTCGAACAGAATGTTCTCAGGCTTGATGTCACTGGTAGGGATGTTAGCGACATTTCTAAGGCCGTGCAGGGGCGAATGACGTCAGGAGGGGCATCATCATATCTGACATCAAGCGGACCACAACACCAGGGAGATGATGACATACCGATGAACAACGCCCTTCTCCTCATGGAGATATTCTAGAGCCTGAGCGACCTGAACAATGACGTGTCGAGAGAGCTCCTCGCTGAAGTATGTCAAGCGGACAATCTGGTGGAAGAGCTCGCCACCAGGGGCAAGCTCCAGAACGATATAGTAGTATTGTCTTGATTCGGAGAATTCGACGAGCTTGATAATGTTGGGGTGGTCAAGTTGTCGCATAATTTGTACTTCTTTCAAGATGTTCGCTCGCTGCGGTTGTGTTAGTATTCTGCCTCGCATGTCCTCGAGTCTAAAGGCTGGCCATCCCCGCCGATAAGACAGCAGGAACTGACTTCAGACGGGGACAGCGATCGGCCTGGACGTAGGAAAGAAAGAAAAGGAAAAATAGGAATCTTCTCGCACCTCGGCTGCCTTTGGGACTTTCTTGAAGTCTGGATGTAAATGCTTATTTCCCTATGAAGGGGACAACCCCGCGTTGGTAAATGGGGACCACAAGAAAGAGAAAGCAGAATAGACAGAACAATCACAAAACATCAAAACAAAAGGAGAAGGGGTGATAGATACGAACGACCCCGGGTATGCTCACCTGCATGCTGTTCATTTCGTACTTGCGTACAACCTTGATAGCAACATCGCCTTGCTTGCCCGTTGTGTCGCGGGCGCGGTAGACGTTGCTGAAAGCTCCATCGCCCATCTTGTCGGTAAGTTCCCAGCGCTCGAGGCCAGGGTAGCGAGGGAATTTGCTCTTGCTGGCATTCTCCTCGGCGATAAGTTTGGCGAGCTTCTCGTCATCGACACGCTTCTTGCTCTTGCCGCGAGAGTACTCGTCATCGGCGTAATCGTTCATGGGCTCTTGTGCGCGTGAGTATTGACCATGGCTAGGGTCTGATGCATTCTTGTGCTGGACTACGGGAGCCTGCTGTTCTGTCTTGCGTGGGGCCTCTTCTGGGGCGGCACGAGCTTGCTTGCCTGAGCAATGACGGTCAGCAACTGGAAAAACAGGCCAGATTGGACCAAAAAAGTGACCGAAACGTACCGTGCCGGATGAAGTTCTTAAGTTGCTGAATGGTAGACATGGCTATCGAGATTGTCGCCTAGGTGCGACAAGTCGCCTTTGGGAGAAGAGTTGGGAGGCCTGGAGCCAACTTTGGTGGTGAGAATTGGACGATTTGACGTCTGAAGAGCAGTGGTTGCTGTTAGTTTGTGACGTAGCTAAAACGGGTTTCGCCGATTTAGTCTGAAGATGTTGCGTTTTCAAGTCGTGCGGGTCGTAATCGTAAACGTGAGCTTTCTCGGCGTGGTGAATCGCAGAGCGCGGACAAAATTATTATAACTGCGAAGTGGGATGTTTTCGACAGAGCCAGGAAAACAGGGCTGGAGGACGATGCGGATGCGGGGTTTAGCAGTTCTACTCTAGCGGAACGGCAGCGATTCTTGTGATGGTGTCGTACAGATCGATTAAAGAAGAGACGGATGAGCTGTGGTGTTTTGTTTGTTTTGTTTTGTGTCAAAAAGATGACGAGAATAGGAATGGAAGAGAAGAAAAAACAGACGTCTCAAGTGGAAGGAAGAAGGAATAGAAACAGGAAAAGGGAAATTGGATAAAACTGCCTGGCAGTTGGGTTAGGTTTGGCGCTGCTGGTGACAAGCAAAGCCCGGTTCTTTTTTGACGGGGGGAGGTGACGAAGGGGGAAAAGGTGGGCAGCCCACTTGGAGTGGCAGCCCAGATTTTAGCAGGATTCTAGGCCAACGCCAGGAGGATCGAGGTGGGGATGGGGCGTTTTCCCGGCGGGAAACCTGGAAGTACAGGGGATGGGGGGAGTTTAGGTACTGCCCGTAACGTAGGTACCTTACGGTAGCACGTTCAACAGACAAGTCTGGGGGAGTGAGGTCACTGGATGGCTGAGAGAAATGAACCTCCAGCGACGATTGATTGCTCAGGATACTGCGGTTCTAGGAGAATAGCTAGCTGGGGTTTGTTTAACTGAAACCGAATAGGCTTGGCAAGGTGAGGTGAATGACGACGTCAAACCAAAACGTAGCTAATAAAGGACGAGGTAAATAGTGGTGGTGATAGCGGGGTATATCTATCTGGCTGTGACGTTGACAACTTGACGGGATGTTTAAGTCTTGAGACATGGATACAGGAAAATCATCAACGTTGCCAGAAAAGGATGATGAAGATTAATTTTAAACTGATGGTTAAATTATAACGTTGAGCCTCACACTGACATAAAACGTCTCTACTAAAGCTTTTCGGGCTGACCCGAATCCTCTCTGGCAAAGTTGTGGGCGTGTATTCTCATTGAGAAGAACAAACCCGATGAAGTCACCCCGCGATATCGTCACAGCAGACGCAGTACCCAAGACGCACAGGCAGTTGTTACAAAAGCTACCAGCGTCCCTCTAGGCTCTCCCCTAGCAGAGATGACACCAGCAAGCGTACGTAGTAAGAGTTCAAAAGGGGTCCAGGCCTCACACCCACGCGACGATGATGCTGACGATGATGGCATCGCCCTTTTTTCTTCTTTTCCTTTCGCTTCCCACCCATGCTAGCTGGACTAGGGTGTATGCATGTGCTTTTCTAGTGGCATCATCGGTTTGCCTTATCATTTGCGCATACCCGGAGGCTAATACCTCATACCGACATGCATCGTTTCTTTTTCCCCTTGCAATCTGTCGATTGCTGGACCGTGTAAACATAAACAAAACGATTTGAAATCCATTTGCTGTTGATGTTGTTGACATTGCACGTAAACCGTGCTTTGGACCATCTCCGCCCTATGACGCCGGTGACGACATGATGCTCTTCAAGAGTGGATAGCCAAAGCTGTCTGTGCCCAATCAACGTGTCTCATAAGCCCCGAGACGTCTTGTCTGTTCGGGAATGGCTGTTCCAGCGGGTTGGCCGCTGGAACTATGAAATCGCGGCCAGCCTCAATCACTAGGTAACTACCATGAGCCCAGTCGCTTCAAGGTTTCCCCGGCTTGGGATGGATTCCACTGATGGATCCCAAGATTTTGTCAAGATGAGTTTCTCGTGTTGTGATGGGAGTTGGTTGTGTTAAATGATGGAGTTTGATTGATAACTCGCAACCTCCACATCGAAAGCCACTGTACTTCCCAGTGTGACTGTAGTGGTACTATTTCACATCCATCTTTCCATGTCTCTCATCTTTCTCATTTCCGTCGTATCTCAAATAGATCCGTTCCTCAGCGAGTCATGGATGGCCACCTGTATCACAATATCTCAGCCTTCTTAGATGCTCTGCATCTAATTGCTTCATCCGCGCCAAGAATGGAAAAATGTTGACTCTCAATGCTGATCATGACGATGCTGCACCTGACTCTTGTGCAACCCCAGGACTGATCACATCTGCTATTATTATCATCTAGTCCCCCAGACAAATGCAGCCAGATGTAAAACAGGCTTTTGGAGGCTGCTTACTCAATGTCTCGGGCTCGGGATAATTTACCACCACGAGACTGTTTTTGACTCTGTTTTTGGCTGTCGCTGTCCAAGGCATGTTACTTGTTGGACCAGGCCTGGATCTCTATTCCAGACCCCTGGCTGCATACAGCGGCACGCCAAGCTCTTTGATATGTCATGTTGATTGGGCTTCCTCAGATCCCACCTCCATCCAGTGTTATTCCCTCATGTTAATTGGAACAAGTGCTCCGTACCTACAAAAGCAAAATTCCTTTATCGATTTGCTGAAACAATACCATGTACCAAGTCGGCCTTGGTTTGTGTCGCCCAACTTCTCCATCTGAGCCCAGCATATCCTGGTGAGGAGCTCTGTGCGAAGTCTAGACCACGATCCATCATGTTGTCAGTCTAAGGACTCTGCACACCGATGGCAAGCCCGAAATGTGTTCTGGTGGTGCTTCTGAACAAGCGCCATTACACAGCAGTGAATTCTTATAAGTAAGCTGGCAGGACCTTTGCCGTTGAGGCTGTTGATGCCGTGACACGACTTGCAACCCGGAATCGTCCACATCCCAAGCTTGCATGGTATGTCTCGGTTAGATTTACCAGGGGCACGCGGACTGGTAATTATAGGAACCCTGCTCCGTGCATGTTCCATGGATGCTGTTCCTGGAAACCTGTATTGATTGCATACCAGATCTCGGCACTTGTAGCCAAGCGAGTCTAAGTTTAAAAGACGCGCTCTTTGCTACCATTGCATTGAACATTGGGCCTACGAGTATACAGGATATCATTCTGTGAACTTTGTTCATGGCATTGACAGTCACCCAACTGTGGCCCGGGAACACAACGCTCCTGAGTCTCTCTCCCTTTACATAGAGAAGACATGAGGACCTTGGCTGCACAATGCATAGTGTGAAAGTGAAAGTCATTATTGAATTAATCATGGCAAAGCATAACATAACATGCCGATTTGCTCATCCTACAATTTGTAACATCGATAAGGTACCCCGTTCAGCTCGGCATATGTCTTCAACTGCCGGTTCTTCCAACCATAGAACAGTCTTAGACCCAGTGCCACGACCGCCACAAACAGCAGCAGAGCCGCATTGACCCAGTGCCCTGTTGTGAAACCTCCCTGTCGCTCCGATGTCTGATAAATCCACACACCCGGGATCTGTCCGATGCCTCCGCCGAGACTGACGTTGAGCGCAATGGCAAGACCTGTAGAGGCCGTCGTAAAAACATTGGAACTGAGCCATCCAAGCATAGGTGGCATACACGCAAACGAGCCGGCTGTTGCCATGATCAAACCTCCATATCGGCCTGCGTATTGATCTGCAGGGAGGGCGGCTGATATAATGAAGCCAACAGCGCCAACGGTTGCAGCCATGGCTGTGTGAACGCCTCGAGCGTTGAAGTGATCTGCCGACCAAGCCACCAAAACTTGACATACTGTTGTGTACAGTTAGCCCTGGTCATTGTCCAAAAGACAAAAGCATTGTAAACTTACCATAAGCGATGGCCCACGGAGGAACGGTCATCAGCTGCGCCTTCAAGTCGAAATATCCCAGGCCAACAGTAATTGATGGCGCAAACAAACTTAAGCTAGCAAATGCAGGCCCAGATGCAAAGTAAATAGCATAGTGAGCATAGAGTCTCCAATCCATCAGGGTTTCCTTGGCCTCAGTCCAGTTCATGGTCGGGTGTGATTCCTTAGAGCCCTCATAGTACAACCGGTGAATAGCCATATCCTTCTCTGCTTCAGATAACCACTTTGCACGCTCCGGATAATCGGGCAAGAAGAAAAGAACCAGGAAGGCAGCGAGACAAGACGGGATACCCTCAATGATGAACAGCCAGCGCCAGCCGGAGAGGCCAGCTGTGCCGTTCATGTGGCCGATGCCATACGCGATTGCGCCGCCAAACTAGACTTCTGTAAGTGAAGGGTTGGTTGTACTGCGAGAACAGAACTTACTGCGCTAGCAAGAGTTGCAGATGCAAGAATAAAAGCAACACTGTAGGATTTCGAGGTTAGCAATTGAACCGTTGCGTCACGAAGAGCCAAAGACTTTGAACGCTCGGGTATAGAAAGACCTACCGAACACTACGCTCATCGTGCTTGTACCAGAAAGTAAGATAAAACACCAGTCCAGGAAACAACCCAGCCTCAAATGTACCCAATAGAAAGCGCACAGCCACGACGCTGCCAAAGTTCTTCGTCGCAGCCGTCAAGATCGTCATGGCACCCCAGCAGAACATGAGAAAGGCGAGCCATCGGCTGGGGCGCAACTTCTTGAGAAGCATATTGCTCGGAACTTCGAAGACGGCGTAAGAGACGAGGAAGACCATGAGGGAGATTATGAACTGGTGGTCGGACATGTTCGTTTCGCGCTGCATATCGTTGTTGGTCGACGAGTTGAGGATCATGGCGTTTCCGATGTTGGTTCGGTCGAGGAAGGAGAGGAAGTAGATGGCGGCCGATAGCGGAATGATGCGCATGTCTTGTTTCCAGAGGAGCTGCTTTTCGAGCGGGCTCATGGCGGTGCCATAGTGGACAGGGACGTCCTGGAAGAAGTGTTATTAGATATAAGTGAACATGATTGACTTTGATGATATGCGCGGGCGTTGCGCGCAAACCAGTGGAGGCGGGTATTTACATCGTCTTTGCCGAGAGTCGAATCAACGTCGTCAACGGCGGCCGGAGGAGGAAACGGCACCGGGATGGGGACCTTTTCCATGGTCGACATCCGGCGGTTTATTGGAAGAGAAGACCGCGATGCGATGGAGATGCGATTGATGGTGTTGGTCGGTGGGATGTCGAGATCGGCAGGAGGGGGCGAAACAGCCGGCTTCTGTCTTGTGATGCCGATGCAGCTGTAGACTGGATATTGTTGCTCAGAGATAAGATACGAAACAAAATACGCGAACAAAAAGAAGAAAGGGAAAAACTGGGAGATGAGAAACAAACGCCAAGAATAAGGACGGGGGCCTTGTACGTATATATCTTGGAACCCCGGTTCTAGAGATGAGATTGGGAAAGGACGAGGACAACGGGAGTAAAAGGGAATTGAAGCGAAGCGAAGTGGGTGGGTAACGTTAAAGTACGGTACGGATATGCAATCCCCAAAGTAGCCCGCAGACCAAAAAAAGAGGGTTGCCAATCGATGAGTTTATTTTCTGGGCGTTTTTTGACACTTTACTCTTTTTGGAGGATGGGCTTTTGCTGGCTGAAATAAAGACGAGAGAGACAAGCACAAGCACATGCACATGCACAAGTACAAGCTCAAACTTTAGTCTTGGGAGCCAACAAAGTGATAGACTCAGCAAGAATTGAGTGTGTAAAAACGCGGGGGAAGTCTTGGGCCTTTTCACGGATGCACAAGTCTCAGCTACTGGAGTCACGCTCTCTGCAGTTTTCGGACTCTTGGGTCTTGGCTTTTCTGACTTCAGCTTTAGATTCTCGATTCTCGGTTCTCTCGCTTCTGTCTCATCTCTTCTGGTCCGTTCGCTCGGCAAAAGAGGATCCACTGCCGATCAGATCACCACTCGGATTGCCCCAATGACTCGCTCGTAGTGGCGCCATCCATGGGGGGCTCTTGTTTCTTGACTCTTACTGACCAGGTATGTATGTATGTACAGTTACCTTCAAGGACTGCAATTAACGGTCAACTTATTGACCCTTCTGACCGTTCTGCTATTGCTCTGCTGTAAGCTGGACATTTCCCGGTTTGACAACTCACCACTCAGTCGGTCAGCAAACACGACATTCGTTTAATCTCTTTTCGCCTTCGAAACCGTTACACCCGCTACTCTCTCTTGTAAGTGCAACTGCAACTGCAACAGTGACTGTGACTGCGACTACAGGCAACTGTACCCGCGCTCATCGCGCTCATCTCCAAAACCAAACGATGCTCCCCTAAACCGTCCCCCACTCAAAGATTTTCACTCGTATATCCGAGCAAGCACACGAATCCAACAAGGTACTGTACTATAAAAATTTGAACAAAACCAGATGAGCACCTCCAGGGCGAATTAGACTCAAGCTCAAGAACGAAAAGAAAAATCTTATCACAAGCGGAGGCTCCGCTTCGGCAATCCTACTGTAAACTGTGACACAAAACCCCAAACCAAGCGGGGGCATAAGACAGGGAATAGAGGGAAAATGTGCCCAAAGCGTTGGCAATTCGAGCCGCAATGGCCCGATTACCTTATACAAACCTTCCCTTTATTCATACTTACCAACCGCCTAGGCCTGGTTCATAAGATGTTTGAAATTGTCTTCTTCTTCTCTCGCTTCCCGGCCCTTTTGTGTCGTTGCACAGCTCCGAGATGCTCTCCCAAAACGGCAGATTCTTCGGCGCCGGGCCGGCCGGAGTGGGGGGTCCGGCACCGGACCTTGCTTCTGACGGGATCTTTTTAGACGTGAAGATCATTTGCTTGTTTGCACATCGCATTATAAGCCGTGTTGTCCCATTGGAGGCTTGCTGTTCCTAGATAGGTATCCCGACGAAGAAATAGGTCACGAGTTGAGTCTGCTCCAGCATTAGTGCAACCCATCCACATGGCACGGCCATCAGAGTCAACCATGACATGGCGAATGTCTGAGTAGGGTGCCCGGTTTCGGTTTTCCATCGTATTAGATGATCGATTGCTCAGCTATTATCCTCTAACTAATCCTTGTGGTACATCATGTCGGCAAAAGATGATAAATCCCGAGATTCCTGATATTGACATGATCAACAAAACCACCACTGTTACATCAGCTAATTCAACACTATGTCACTCTGGTCACGGCACGATGACGTTGGAGCTCCATGGCTGATAATAAGCTATGCCTTTATTCCGTGTGTCCGGAATTAATCTTCCTCTGTTTCTTCCTCTGAGCGCCACAAGAACCACGCGACAACCATGCATAGCTTTAGCCCGGCGGCGATCCATAGGGCTCCCGCAATGCCGACAGAGCTCTGCGCAAACAGACCGCCTGCTACCACGCCGAATAAGAGCAACAACGGTGCGGCTGCACGTTGATTTCTTGATACATTGTCCAATGCAAATAACTCTCTGTCTGAAAATAGGTCGCAGTACACGCTCGTCAAAACCAGACTGATGAGCGCGTTCTGCTTCAGAGCCCGACTCGCCACTGCTTGCCCACAGCTCTGGAAGGCCATAAGAGTAATTGGTACGAGGACATTCCATGCGAGGCTATCGGTGTTTGGGCCTGGTGGGCGCAGGGTGACTATAAGTGCAGCTGCGCTAGTGAGAAGGGCCTGCATAGTGAAAGAAGCGCAGAGAACCCAGCGACGTCTGGGGGAGACCAGGCGATGGAAGCGGGCAAAGAGAAAAGATCCGAGACAAAAGGATGCCACAGAGAGAGCAGATTTGTACAGACGGGGACCAGGGGTTGATGTTGCAAAGCTCGCGAGCCCGAGACCGATATAGACGGTGTTTCCTGGGGTCTCATTAGCAGTCTGTGTAGGGCTGTTCGAGATGCTATTTATACTGACCTGTCTGCATAGAGACGAACGTTCCCCAAACTTGGATAGAAGAGCTGTCGAGGAGACCAGTCACGACATAGCAGGCAAGCAACACCGCATCCGCCCACGAACATGATATGTCATGTTGAAACCTTTGCCTCCAAGTCTCCTTTTGAGGCTTTACTGGTAGGCGTCCTAATAGTGGTGTTTCCTCATCTCTCACGACGGTGTCGGTAGCACCGGAACCTACTGCGCGCACCATAACGCGAAACGCGGTGAGTATCCCGCCGAAATCTCAAAAAAGAATGTCACACGATTTAAATAGGAACAAATTGGAACAGTGTGAGTGTCTAGTTGAGTGAGGTGAGTCTGATAAATAAAGAGGTTAAAGAAGACAAGAGGTTGAAAGAAAGATTTGGTGCTAAAGGCCCTTACTACGTAGTATGACGCCAGCCGAGCCAGACGATATCCACTTGCGCTACTGAAAGAAAACGCCGAGATGACACCAAAACTCGCTTACAGAAAGATGAATTTTGCTAGTGATGGTACGACTGATGATGGGCACCTTTGTCTGAATCGCCGAAATGTTTCTTACGCGAGATCAAAAGTTTGAGGTCCAGAGCTTTTCACGATATTGAATCTGACTATGCCGTATGTCATACATCTACGGCTTCATCCGTTAGCGTTCCCAGGTCGAAGATCAGACCCAAGTTAGAAGTCACAAGTATCATCGCCTAGGAAATCAAACACGATATCAGAGGTTTCCCCCTGCGAATATAAATATATCCCGTCGCCAGGGACTATGAGCTGCAAACCATTATAGGGCATCTGCTGAGTGTTTATGTTGATATTCTGGGTAAAACTTCACTCACTTCCTGGCTACTCTGAGTATAAACAGCAAATTGCCACAAGAAAGCATCGATAGGGGATTGTTTGAGTCTTAATGGGTCGCGATTAGTGCAACCCAGAGGCGAGGCAGCAAGTCCATACTCATGGTGCTTGCTTCATGTGTACCAATGCACTGGACTACCTACATTCACCGAGACGAAGACCATATTGTCCTTATTACAACACACAATCACGAAAGCCACATGATAATGGATGAAGGCAAGCGCCAAGGTTGGCGTTTATCATTTATATACCAGACACGAAGTCTGTTAGAGTAAGTATATTGTACACGAAGGTTTATCAACAAAGATAAAACACCAATCTCATTCTAAATCCTGTCTTGTGCTCAAGAAGCCAATACAGACTGCTTAGTATCCAGGAGCAGAAGGAGTGCCAGTCACGTAGACTGTCTGGGTGACAGTCTTAGCAACGCACTTCTTATCCTTAGCCGAGGGGAAACCGGTTGGGCGGGGGCGACGAGTGCGAGTTCGGCGGCCGGTAGGCTTGGGAGCTTCAGTAGGAACCTGAGTAGCGACAGGGGCGTTACCGGACTCTTCTTCATCGCAGTCCTCGCCATCAGCAGGCTCAGACTCGACTGAGGTGGTCTTAGGGGGAGTCTTGGTGGAGGTTTGGGTGGCAACGGGAGCATCGTCAGTGGCAACGGGAGCATCGTCAGACTCGGGGACATCAGTCTTTTCAGCCTCGGGGCCGGCAGTAGAAGAGGGCTTGACAACAACAGCGGAGGAGGGTTTCTTGATCGAGACAGCGGAAGTGACCTCCGTAGGCTTGGAGAGAACATCAGTCACGGATCCGGGGACTGGAGCAAAAGAAGGACGGGGAGCACCATCGGGAAGGGCAGAAGACGTTTCAGCAACAACCTCCTCAGCATCAGCAGAGGCCTTCACAGTTGAAGGCTTGGAAGCACCAGCACTGGGAGTCTTGGTGGCAACAGGCTCAGAAACGACAGCAGAGGCCTTGGTGGCAGAGCCGGAACCGGATCCAGAGCCACTACCGTTGGACATGCAAGCGAAAGAAATCTTCTTGACATCAGCAGCCTGAGTAGGACCACTAAGAGACCAAGCCATGTTGACATAAGGCCAGCAAATACGGCCATCAGACATAGTGACCATGTCACCAGCAACATAGGTGTCTTCAGAGGTGATGGCAGCGCCAACCTTCTTGCCCTTGCTGTCGACGGCTTGGAACTTGGTACCAGCGAACGTTCCCTTGCAGCCCATAGCCTCGAACTCGCAGATAGGGTTGGAGATCTCCTCCCAGGAGATAAGAGCAGTGGAGGCGTCGAAGGTAGCGGCGTGGGCGTTGGAACAGTCGTTGGCACCGTCGGTCACCCAGTTGATCTGGCTGTCACCATCCTTAGCACCGACCTTAGAGGAGGCCTGCTCACCAACAAGAGTCTTCTTGTCGGAGAAGAGAGCGATAGCAACGTTGCGGTTGTTGGTGCGGTTTGCAGCATGAGTGTAGCCTTCGCCCATCCAGTCGTTAAGAGTAAGGTCAATGGCGCCACGGGAAACCCAGGAGAAGATGTAGGAATCAGCGCCGACGAAGCGAGCCAGGGAACTGTACGAACCACCCATACCGCCCATAGGCTCGTTGCTGGCACCGTTGATGACATGCTCGTTGGATACCTTTACACCGTTGTTGCCCATACCCTGGGTCTCGGTGTTCATCCAGATAGCGCCCTGATCCTCGGAGCAGAGAGAAGCAAAGGGGGGTTCATCGGCAGCTTCGAAGGCAATGCCAGTGTTGTGGGAGCAGCCCCACGAAGAAGATGCGCCCTGGATCTCCTCGACTTTACCGGCAGGGGTGATGTAACGAATAGCATCTCCAAAGTGACCTGAGGCATCGCCACTGTAAGAAGTGACAACGATGTAGGCGGCATAGTAACCAGCCTTTTCGGAAAAGACAAGATCGCCGTTGATATCGGGAGAAGCAAGAGCATTGCCCGAGAATCCAGAACCACCAAGAAGGGTTCGGAAGGCCTGCTTACCGTTGGTGTACTTGTAGATAACGGGGAGAGGGTCCTTGGACTCTCCAGATACAACCTCGTTGGTCAGAAGAGCGAAACCGTCATTGTGTGCAACAAGACCACCGGCTTCTTTACCGCTCTTGAGAGTAACGGGAGTGCCAACAGCAGCGAAGGTCTTGGGGTCAACACCCTGGACGTGAACGCCTGTGCCGCTGGCGTCGAGGTAGGCCAGGAAAGCAGTCTTGCCATCAGGTGAGACGGCGAAGGGAGTGCGGCGATGGTGAGGAAGACCGGTCCAGTAAGCCTCCTTGACAGGGTTGAACGAACTGCCTAGAGTGAGAGTATCGACGTGGTTTTCGAGAGAGGAAGAAGTGAGCTGAGCAGCAGCCAGCGCCAGGCCGGCGGCAAAAGTAAGAAGACGCGACATGGTGATTTTGACTTATACGAGTATATATCAAAAGAACGAGAAGGGTCTGTTAGGTTTGTGCAAAAAAGAATGTGTATAGTTGGTTCAGTAAAGATCGTGTTAAGGCAAGAAAAGAATGTAGGTAGGACTAGACTTCAAGTCAATCGTCCAGAATAGAGAAATGAAGGTATCCTCTCTTTTTCTGTTAGCAGCGTGGGCGGCATCAAGCCTTTTAAGGCTGAAGCAGTTACCACAACTAGACTTCTAGCCAAGCATCTCGAAGCTGGACGGAGAGCGGTGGAAAAACTCGAAAAGCCTAAACAAAGCAGCGATGGATAGCAACAAGCTCATAATCACTTATTGAGGGGCTCACGAACAATCACTGGCGTGTTTCAATCCCCGGCATAAACTAGTGTCGATGATGGTTTCGGGACGTTTACATGGGTGGTGGCTATTGATGATTGGTAAACGCCGGGAGGGACCAGGATAGTAGCCATCATGAAATATAATGCCCGTTGTTTGGTCGAATGAAAGTGTCGCGAGTCCTCGGGTTACAGATTTATACGCGTATTCAACAAAGACCCTGGCGGTTTTGATGGTTCTTGGGTGTTTCAATGGGGTGGCCGTTGCTTTCTCACATAGATTTGCTTTTATTAGAGGGACAACATAGCTCAATCCCGTATGTTGTTGCATGGTTGTGTTTCGATAATTAAAGTCATGAAAGCAGCACCAGCACGTATGATGCCGCTTTCGCTTTGAAGAGATGGTTGAAATTGACAATCACGGACTTCGGAGGCAGCCAGTCATGACATAAATTCTACAGGGTGAAGGGAGATAAATATTCATCTTATAAAGGGAAATGAGAAAAGATGATATCAGGGGTCTCTTGGCCCCCGCGTTCTAGAAGCATTTATCCCTGGGAATTTCACCTGTCATTTGAACATACGGATACTTCTCCACGATAATCAGACAGCCGGCCAAGAAAATAATAATAGCCCGGCCAGGCGGAAGCTTCGGGGACCTCAGGGAACATGCCACGCGAAATGCTGCTGAAGAAGATGAGAAATTGGATATGGAGCCATGAGAGATCTATCATGGGTCGAGAACCTCGATTCCTCCCGACACAAGGGATAGTGGAGTATGGCTCTCGGGCTTTATCAAAGATCCGGCATTTGCTCTTAATTATTCTTTTCGCGAGATTATATCCTATGTTATGTCCCGTAATTAGATATCTAATACTAATAAGCGTGCACTTTGATGTCAATCCCTTCTCCTAGCTCAGTACTCCGTAAAGGCAGCCATAAAGTGCTAGTTTTAATCTTGGGGAGCGGGTGGTTCGGTTTATCAATAGTGGCCGGGTTTAGCGGCCAATAGCCTAGAATCTTGGCAGATAATCCTTCATTCAGGGTCTCACGTGCTGCAAGCGCCCTGGAGCAACCCCCCGGCTTAACGACACCACTAGGCCCAGTTCGGCGAGTCGCCTCAAGCCCTCGCGTTATTATTGTTTCTTGCCTCGTATCGTCAATGGTAATGAGGCTGAGCTCATACCCAGCAAAGTGAAAGCGCGAATAGGGGCACTTTTGAATCAGCAGCTTCTCATTCTTATGGTGCATGCTTTCACTCGATACTCAGTCACTCATATCACTTACTCATACACTCATTTTATCAACCTTTAATCAGTAACGCGACAGAAAAACAAGAGCAACTGAGTTCAACGCCATAACGTCATCGTCAGAATCTGCCTCAAGCTGGGCTATCAGCCATCAGCCATGATGCTCAAATATCTCACCAAGCCTACGAGGAAAGGCATCGCTGATGCTCTTCTCATATTGGCCGTGATAGGCAGCGTTGTGTCGGTCATTTTGGTGTCTATAGTCTTTATTGCAGGAACCACAATCATTCGTGGCGACCCTGATCATCTTCTCTGGAAGCCATTAGCTCTAGTTTCGGTACGTTTATTTATCTCATCTCTGTCTCTCATTTTTCTCATCGCTCAAATATTAAACCTTTGACTATCAACCTCCGGCTACTCCGATCGCTAACCAGTCACTCAGTTCGATGGAGTTATCCCTAACAATGACACCTCTCACTTCTTAATCCGCCTGAACTGGTATGCCAGCTCTTTTGCGTGGGAGCACCCCACAGCCCCAAAGGGTTTTCCAAAAGCTGGAATTACTTCCTCAGGACTCAGATACAATTCCAACATTATCAATGATCTTCATCAAATTGCCTCAGATCTGCGGCTACCTGAAGATACCTGGAACTGCCCCAAGCCAGGTCCATACGAGGATCCATGCGGCAACATCTTCTTCGAGGCTTGGCGAAGCTTCATGGCCAGCGATGGACTCCCTATCAATAGCTGGTTTATATGGATCAACATTGTCGCTGCCCTCCTGATGGGTATCATGGACATCTTCCGTGAGTGGATTATCCCCAACAGACCTCACTGGCTCAAGTGCCGGTGCATCATCGGCAAGCGGTGGTGTCCTCTTCCCAAGGGCAACAAAGAGGAAATCGAGCAGCACGACGACTACGTTTGGGACAAGGTCCGCCTTGCCTACTGGTGGCTTTCAGCCGCTTACTTCGGCATCGCTGCTGCACACACATGCCTCAAGTCTGTTTTATTTGTTCGTTACCTTAGTTATTTTGAGGAGAGGCTTCCCGATGGCATCAGCATGCACGGAAGGAGGCGCTTGGCTTCTGAGATCTTGCTCTGGGTGGCCTTTGGCATCAAGACCGGCGGTGCGCTGTGCATGGCTATAAGGTGGAAGCTGAGCAGAAGACCAAAGGGCTGGGTGGATGGACAGAATCTTGGCCGCATCGAGCGCTCAAAGCCGAATGTTGCAGACGGTGGGAAATATACCGATTAGACTGTGATATAACATAGAGAGAGAGTTGTCATACTTACTAATTACCTGTATTCTACAATATAATCTTTCAGGAACTAGACAAGATTTGGTTTATATCCGTGCCTTCGTATAGTAACATTGACAGACTGAAATCTAACGTTAGAGTATTGCTTGGTGAACTCACTCCTGCTTAATATTCAATGCAGATCTCCAGCTTTGTCATGCCTGCACCCCACAGATAGCAAGATCCACTGGACGTTATATCTAAACAATGGTTGGATAGTTCACACCAGGTGCCTGGTCTCTAGCTTCAACTTTATCTGGAGGCGGAGAAATTGATGAACAGTTCGTTGTTGGTAATAAGCATCCGGTCCCGGGCCGGGGCCGTGCCGGTCCACCGGTTTATATAAATCAACGCCGAGTGAATAGTGCATGATAACAAACAGTGTAGGCTCTGTAGTTACCTTTACTCTTGCACCAGATATATCCAATTTTTTCTTATCATATTTGCATTATAACCACGATGCTTTCATCAGCGTCCTTCCGAGCAGCAGCGCCTCTCCGGCGACTCATTTCAAGACAAACCTCGCACTCATTTAGTAGCTCCGTACCTAAATCCCGCCTTGTACTACCCTCAGTCAACCTTACCACAAAGCCTTCTTCCAAAATCGAGCCCTCAGTTATTCAGTCTGCATCTTTCGCCACCAGCGCCGAAGCTCCCGCTGAGCAGGTAAACCAGAACTTCGCTGCTGTTGCAACAGGCGGTATCCCGTATCCTGGTATTCCCAGCATCGAGGATCCGTACCAGAAGCGACAATGGCAGCTGGAGCATATGGCTGGTGCGTTTCGTGTGTTTTCCCGTATGGGTTTCACTGAAGGTGCTGCGGGACATATCAGCGTGAGGGATCCTGTTGATCCTGATACGTTCTGGATTAATCCGTAATTTACTTCCTTTTACTTAGGTCTATACTGGTCAACTGACGTGAAATAGCATGGGCGTTCACTTTGGCATGCTTAAAGCAAGTGATATGGTTCACATTAACGAACAAGGGCAAGTTATCGGCGGTAACCGTGTGGCTGTTAACGCAGCTGGTTTTACAATCCATGCAGCCATTCACAAAGCCAGACCCGATGTGCACGCCGCGTGCCACGCTCACTCTAAGTACGGAAAAGCCTGGTCGTCCTTTAGCAAGCCACTCGAGATGCTCAACCAAGACGCGTGTATCTTCTACAAGGACCACAGCGTGTACTCCGACTTCGGAGGTGTTGTCTTTGAAGACGATGAGGGTGCTCGTATTGCAAAGGCGCTGGGCCCAACCAACCGGTCGGTGATCTTGCAGAACCATGGAATATTGACCGCGGGAGGAACTGTTGATGAAGCGGCGTATCTCTTCTCGCTGTTGGAGAGGACGTGTGAGGTACAGCTTTTGGTCGAGAGTGCCAGGTTGCAGAGGCAGGTTATTGGGGACGAAGAGGCTGAGTATACTTATCGATATAACGCCGACCCGGTAAGTTGTTTTCGTTGCATGGTGCTGTAAGATATCTGGCTGACTTGTTGAATAGACGACTCTGTACACAGAATTCCAGCCTGATTTCGAGTACGAAGTCTGGAAGTCAAAGGGGGAACTTCAATCTGGAGTTAACTGAAGTAGAATACAGATGTTCTCCAAGAATCGGTTTAAAGTCGACGCCACTGGTTCTTTTTATTGTGTTTGCTGTATACTCTTAGCTTGATACCAAATACTCAGTCAACCAAGCTTGATGGTGTAGACTAGGCCACTATAAGACCCCGCCCAGTTCATATTCGTTGCATTCACACGTCTCCAGACGCTGTCAGATAATCTCGTAGATAGTTCTTGGCTCATGAACCATCGCATCATCACAGCAAGGTCTTCCTCCACCACCTCTCTTCCTCCTCAAGCCATAACTTCACATTCTTCGGTTGAGAAAACCCATGACCTTCATCCTGAGCGATGATAAGCTCAACCTCGCCACCAGCCTTCTCGATAGCAGCAGCCATCTCCTGAGCCTGATCCAGCGGCGTGATCTTATCCAAGACGCCATGTAGGAGTAGTAACGGGGCTGTGATTTTGTGGGCTTCAAATAACGGACTTCGCTCACGACAGATCCTGTCTTTCTCACTCTTGTCTACACCCGGTGCCAGGACTAGCTGGTCTGTATAATCTGATTCCAGCTTATGGGTGGAGTCGTCTAGGCGCTTGATGTCGCTTACACCAGAGAGACAAACTCCACCAGCGAATGTCTCCGGATGGCGGGTCAGGCTTCGAAGGGTGTTGTAGCCTCCTGCACTGACCCCGGTGATCCCTACGCCGCCAGATCTCACCTGTCCAGTTGTCGTCAAGTTCTCTGCAAACTCAGCAGCATCGTCGCTGTCCACTAAACCCCAATTTCCCCAGAGAGCTTCGCGGTACGCTCGACCGTGAGCGCATGAACCTTTGTAGTTGAAAGCGAGAACTGCATATCCTCTAGACGTAAAGTATTGAGTCCGTGGCTCAAGGCCTGGTCCAGTATATGATGTTGGTCCTCCGTGGCTTGTCATAATGAGAGGAGGCAGATGCCCTTCTGGCGCTTGGAAGTTAGGGTTATGCGGCAGCCAGAGAAATCCATACAGTTCCCTCTCAGGCTCACCCTTTGAGCGAATTGACTTCAGGATGGGTTTTGAGCAGAATTTCCCGGGAATCGCATCGTTCGTAGATCCTCGCACTTGTGTGATTTCACTCGAACCTTCGACGTCAATTCGATACAACGCTTTAGCAGTAGTCTCGCCAGCTCCAACAATAAGAGCTGAAGTGTCACTTAGTCGAGCTACTGAGTCAAGCATGACCTCTGATAGACGCTCAGAATCACCAACGTCTTCCCAAGAGCCTGACTCCAGGTCAATGAGAATCACTCTGGTCTGCCCAAGTATGACCGGGCAGGCGATGAGGTGTTGATCAGACAACGGCGCATAGGTGTGACTAAGTTTGTTGAGCAAAACTTCCAAGTGAGGGTATCAAGCAAACACTTACGATCCCTGGAACCATCGTAATCCGCCAAACTCTGCGTTGTCCAAGCCATCGACCTTGACCTCACGCTGCTCATCACCATCGGGAAGCAGGCGAAATAGGCGACGGTATTGTCCAATCTCTTTACCGAAGAACAGTGACCCATCCGGACCCCATCTTGGCTCTGCAACACCTTCACGATCCTTACCTGCGATAAGGCGAATATCCGAAATGGAATCACCATGCCATGATGCCGTATACAATCTTGCCGCGTCAAAAGGTAACTCAGGATGGTTCCACTCCAGCCATGTAAGCTTGGTACCGTCCGGATTGAAAGACGGTTCGTAATAGAAGTCTGCAGTATCTAAAATGCGCTTCACCTCTGCTGTTTCTGTGTTGATCGCCACAATGTAGTTGCGAATTCCCTCAGGTGTATCAATCTCATGATCTTCTTGGTTAGCAAGGACCCAAGGAGACTCAAGGTTGGCCTCGAAGTTTGAGTATCTTAGCTTCGAGTCTCCAGTCAGTTTGGTAACTTCCTTGCTATCTGTGTTGAGAATGTAAACCGCGCTGTCTTTGTTGGAAAAGATGATGCGATCGTCGGGTAGAATCGCATACAGTGCGCCACCATACTCATACACGCCGTTCTTACAACTATACTCATCAGGGAGAACCTCTTTGATCACATCTTTGAGAATCTCCATGATGGCTGTGCTTCCATTCTCGCGACTTTCAGTGTAGAAGGCTCTCCCCGATTTGGACTATTGGTGTCAGCAACTGCACTGTTCATGAATTGTTTTACAGCTTACGCTAGCTCTTGGTGCAGAGAGTCTTCTCGTTTTAGAGACAATAGAGTCAGCCGAGATGGGTGACTCCCAGTCTCCGTATGGCGCAATCTTTCGAGTTGACATGGTTTTTACTGTTGTTGTTGAGGTGAAGCCCAGTCACAAAATGCGGGGGTTATAGAAATATGAGAGTAAGACGACGCCTGCATCATTAGGTAAATACCATCAGCTTGAGAAGTGGTCCTTTCTAAAACTAGCATGTCATTCGAGTCGGAATTAACGGACAACATTTGAATAGGTCCCATGTTATCTTTCTTGAGAGGTGTAGAGGGATCACGATAAGACGACAAGATTGCCATTGGTGTTAGCAAAACAGCTCAAATCAACTATCCATGGAACACCACCGCCAATGCTTCAAACAAATCAAGATTATTGTCTTATAATACTCATAACACTTTTCTCTCCCTATAAGTTTAATGATATGTAGTAAGCCATCTTCTCTAATATTGCCGACAAAATCCTGCCAATATTATCATTACGCTGGCTGGGTGAAATTTCTCATCATTCCACTTCTGGGACGAAAGGCCTCATGTGGTTGGACTCTTCCAAAAGTTGCAATACGGCATGTCACAGAAACTATAGTGCTACTCTTGTTAAGCTTGCAAACAACTCTAGAGTGCGTGTCGCGTCTGTTCATACAGAATTATCGGATGATCGTACTTACAACCATCTAATGATGTAAAATCCCCACGCAAACTCACCCTTGTCATATTTACAATAAGCAACCTGCCATCAAACTGGTTACAATGTCTTCATCTCACAGCGCCAGTCACTTAACACACCAACTTACTCTGTCGTCGCAGCAAACTTCTCGTGGCGTCCCTGACAGCCGGCAACACCAGGAACAACATGCAAGGTACCCATCGGTCCCGCTCGATGATCGTCGACAATTCTATCAGTCTTGCTTGGTCTACGTCATTCACCCACGTGGTGGGCTGTATCGTTCTTTAGCAAATGTGAAGTCTTGTCCCTCGTGATGTTGTGCCGTCGCATGTCAACACCACATCCACATGACCCACGTGCCGTGATACAGCCCACGGTCACGTCAACTGCTGCAGGTACATCAGGCGCAATATGGTACTCACTGAGTGTTCTAAAAGCAGGGCATTTCACTTCAAAATGACCACCAGAGCCTCTTTATCAAGGCTATTTGCAAGTGAGTGACCGTATGTCGCAAAGATCATAAGGAACAAATGGTTAAAGAAGGATTTAAATGTCATGAGATACAGGTATCTACCGCTTGCTTGAAATATATACATCACCCTGCCTCCCCCTTTGCTAGTCCAGCCGTCTCCTTATCACCGGCCGTTTCCTTTGGCAATCATGCATAGGTTTTTGAATCTTGCTCAGTGATTCCTCAGGACTCCGGCGTATGTCCTTCAGAACTGAACTTTCTCGGCGGTAGGTGTGGCTCTTTGGCGAGGGGGAAGTTGAACGACGAGGAGACGGTATTCTCCATGCCGCAACGGATTTGTACTCAATGTAGTAAGACGCGATAGTCTCCTGTCGAGGAGTTGGAGTGTCATCGGACTCCGGGGTATCGTTACAGAAATCGAAAGCGTCGCTAGCATCTTCAGGAAATTGAGCAGTAGGAAAATCGTCATCATCATCCTCCAGGTCGTCCGCAGACAAGTCGTGAGATTGTTCCCCATTATCCATCATATCCAGTGACGACTGGCTCTCTGCACAATCAGAATCAGAGGTGACAGTCTTGTCACCATCGTCAAATTGCGAGGTCTCATCATCGTCATGAACAAGTGATCGAGTTAAATCGGGTACAAAGGAGCCAGAATCTGACCCAGAAAACGACATGGAGCGTGAGGGAGGGTTGGAAGGATATTCGTGCGACTCCAAACAAGTTGGAGAAGAAGCAGAAGATTCACTACCGTGCGCAGCCTCAGAATGGGGGGGCGACAGGGGCGCCTGGACGACAGAGGATGATCGAATGTCGGTATGTATCGAGAGAGGGGTCTTCGTCAAGACATGTTCATCGTCAAAGAAACTTGAGGCATCGCCGACGCTGCTGGCCGTGGTGCTCTCTGTCTTGACGCTGTTGGTCTCGGAGAATGAGGATTCAGAAGCAATAGAAATAGTGTCGTGGTCATGATCTTCACGATCATGACGATCAAGATAGTTATCGGGGAGGTAGCTTGCAAAATAGCGGACAATGGAGTCAAAAGATTTAGTGCGGAAGAGTTGGAGGGCGTACTGCCAATGGTCGGAATCCATCAACTTGGGGTTGGCGATGATTTCAACGGCGAGAGATTCGAGAGATTCATGCAACTCGTAAATTCGCTGTTGCTTTCGCTCCGCCATCAGGCGGTGGAACTCATCGGCAGTATCGGCATCGCGGGAAATTTCGTAAACGTCGTGATGGAAGGCTTCGGGGTCTTGAAGGTTAAAGGTAAAGGTGTTGTATTGATCGTGGAGATTGGTAAAGAGGTCATCCCTCTTCATGCCGAATTTCCAAGCCGGCCATGACCAGCCCGGATCGTCCATGTCGAGGTCACAGTCAAAAGAAGTAGATAGATTATGGTGGTTCAGTGTTCGAGGTATAGAAGAGAGTGTCCAGTAAGAGTGCCCAGGGCGTAACGCGTTAGAAGCTCGTGGGAGCTGCAGAATCTATATCATAGCCATGGCGCCAAATATTCCAGAGAGTTTTCAGTAAGTCACAGAGAGCGACGGAACTGAAATGTGTCAAAGAAGCGTGGTGGACAGGGCTCTTTTGGGACTCTTTTGGGCGTTGAGTTTTTGGTTGATGGTGATAATCGAGGGTGTTTAGGAGGCGGGCGTGACGAGAAACGGAATCGGGCAGGTTCTGGGGGGCAAGAGCCATACCCATATCTCAGGGTGCGTTTGGCCCCCAGCAACCTAAAGACCACGAGTGCGGCCTGAAATGCCTCAGGCAAAAACAGATTGGAACTATGATTGGCTCTTGCTTGTCAAAAGCCGGTAGCACGAGACGCGCCTGCATAACTAGCATCCAATGAAAATTTGACAAAAGCGGCAAGTGGAACCACGTCATGCACACTCTTGGGCTAGCTGCATTCTGGCACCCATTGAGAGTGGATTTCAGGCCACCCTTTGCAGTTCCTTTGGTGCATTTGCGGCAGATTTGTTTGAGCCTGTCCGACGCCGGCGTTCCAAGAGATTCCATCATTCTGAAGTCAGATTTGATTTGCACAAAACACCAGAAGTTTGGCCTGCTCACTCTGTTTGTAACATTTGGTAAGGGTAGCAAAGTGACCATCACGTACAAATTATAGACTATCTAACATTGCAGACGAAGCTATCTGTACACTCAATCCTATCAATGGTTTGTTTGATGGTGACTACATCTGTGTCATAATGGATCCTTCCCCCTCTCTACCGACATGTCACGAGGGTTGTAAGAATGAAAAATCTGTCTTGGCCCTAAAATCACCATAACTTCTCATTAAGACTCATATGAGACAACAACTGACCTTGCCAGCAAATGTCTTTACTTGTGGGTATCGTGACGCTCTCACATTACTTTATATACTATGACGCCCTGCTCTATATAAATTGCTACTTCCCTGATCTCGATACAGTCCAGTCATGCTGAGATCGATTGCTCTCCTCAGCAGCTTCAGTGTCGTCATAGTAAGATCCGCTGAGCAGCGAGGGACTGCTAATATTAGCAGGACTGCTGTCTACAGTACCAGATGGTTCTATGATCGCCTTTAAGTTGTCAACGTGCCGTTTAAGGGCTCGTCAGTATCAGATTTTGGGGGATGATCTGTCCTATTCGTCACGACATGACCATGGGATTACACGGAGTATGAAGATAGAAAATGCAAGAGGTATCTGTATTCACAATTTGGCAGTGTGTGTACTCCGTATATTCGGACTATTCTTAGATGAGAAGAGAGCTTTCACACAGCCACAATTTGATGTGGAGTTGTGGCAGTGAGATTTGTGTCTTCTCTCCCTCTGTCCTCATTGAAGTCTGCCTTGTCAGCTCTGTCCAGCCCTATACGTTTACACTGTAATGGAGTCCTACCCTACCCACAAGCTCCCTCCCCGTCCCAGTCCCAGCACAGAGGTTCTGGTTCATTTTAGGACAGGACAGGTTGCCACCTTGATCAAGCTTCGCTTCGCTTCGTACCGTTCGTCCCGCTCCCGCATTTTCTACTATTCTTTCTTTAGAAAAGAATCGCCCTTTTTTGGTTTGATCATAGTCCATCTCCTCCTCAGGCGACAACTGTCCAGTTGAGCCTTTCGCTGTATGACTCGACCCCGAATCACTCTCACTTGAGCTCACTCAGTCTTGTTCCTCGTGGAGTCTAAGATGAGACCAGTCGCTATTATCAGCAGGCCTGGCTGAAAGTTGTCTTTTCAACCCTCCCAAAGAAAACCCCACAGCGTGTCCTGTCCTTCTGATACGAACATATCCCCCTGTCCCATCCTATTAAACCTGCCCCGTACCCGTAACCACCTTGGCCATCAAAAGAAGACGAAGCTGTCTTGACTGATCTTGGTTCCTGCATGTAAAATCAATCTTACCAAAGCTTTCGCTGCAAGGTGTTTTTACCAAGCCACAACCCACTTCCCCAGCTCCTATTAAACCCTTCCGCTTCCCCTCGCCTCGCCTCGCCTAGTTTGACCTGTGTTGTACTGTGCTCTCTTGGAGTGCATCGCCTCACAAGCGCAGCCTACCCCAATATCATTTACCAATTACCTATCACCTGCCCTGCTGCAGCCCGGGCAGTTACCAGTTACGAGTCTCGGCCCCTCTTACTCATACTTCCATCTACTGTACCTGCCTAGGTACTCAATCGCAACAACATTTTTTCCACAGCTCGAGCGCATCACCATATCTCAATACGCTTGGTACACCGCACGGTTCAACCTTGCACGTATCAACCGCACAAACTCAAACTCAATCAATTCTAGGCGTACTATCCTGCCATCCATTCGTCTGCGTTTGGTTGGCTAGCATCAAAGGTACACACATAATCACTGTCTAGCCTCACCTTCCAGGCTACCGCCTTACTTCCAGGTTGCTTACCAAACGTCGAATGGCAAACAGAAGATAGCCAACTTTATGGCAGACCCGAGGCTCGGGCTCTCTGAGGCCATCTCAGAGGAGCGCACCGAGCCATTTTCACAGTCCGAGATTGACGCCCGCTTTAAGGGTATTCGCGTGGAGGAGCCCGTCCCTACAACTGGGTCTTCGGCCGTGCCACTAGACGAACTCCATATTGAGGATCACCACCACAAGCAAGGCATCCGCATCTTGTTCCGTCCTTTGGCTAGCTTCCCCAATTCACGGTCAGTGAGTCCTGGCAGTGACAGTTGCCAGTGGCTCGCTCTCCGTGCCGAAGTTGCCTCTCCAGAGCAGCCTGAGCACAAAGTTCTAGCTGTGACTCAGACCTCCAAGGATATCAAGTTCTCTGTTCGTATCCCCGGTGAGACTCAGGATGCTTCTCCAAGACCCCCTCTATGGTGTGAGCTATACTATGATCCTGCCAGTGACAAAGTCATCTTCTTGAATAAGTCAGACGTGCCGATTTCTTTGTCAAGCGTGTCGCCGTCGCCACTTTCGAGTCATCCCCTCAGTGCTGCTCACATCATCAATCCCGGATCAGCCAAGGCTCTGAAGCCTGGAACTTGGCGCATCACTGTTCGAGACATTGATGTTATTGATTTCCGAGTACTTGAGAAGCGCCCAGTGACGCTCTATCAACCACAACAACCGACTATTAACGAGGATGTTCCACTGACCTCAAGCACCCCTACTATCAACTCGAGCGGGAAGCGAGCACTGACTCCGGAGTATGACGAGAAGAGAGTGAAACGTCGTGTCTCAGACCCGGAGACACCCGGTGACGATGGTGTCATTATGTTCCTCAGGCCTTCCGCAGATCCCCTGGTTTTCTCCCTACCAAACGGCAAGGAGCTTTCCACCGCAAATACCCATGCATTGCTAGACGCCGAGAAGGGCGACACTGTTGCGATCCCAGGTGTCTGTGAGCTCGACGAATACCAGCTTACCAAGCGTGAGCCAATTGCGTCGACGTCGTTGTCTGCCGTGTACACGGCAACACATTCCCACGTACCAGACAACATCGTTACTGTCAAGGTGCTCAAGACGCGCGTTGCCAACACCAACGACAAAGCGCTCCTCCACGAGCGTACCGTTATCCGTCAAGCCGACATGTGGCTTCGTGAGTGCAGGAGTCAGGAAGACCTGCATCATAAGTCTATCGTTAGGTACTACGGTGGTGATGCACGTTTCCTATCCCTCTACATGGAACATATAGATGCCAAAGACCTCACCGCTGCGCCTCGATGGAGAAGCAAGACCAACGATGAGTTTTTGGGCGACAGAAACGACGCCATCAGAATTCTGGGAGACATTGCCGGTGCTCTCAACTACATCCACGGCCGTAAGCTTGTGCACAACGACATCAAACCCGCCAACATTCTCTATTCGCCAGAGCGAGGCGCTGTCCTCTGTGATTTTGGTCTTTCGACGCTGGCCGCTAATTCACCGACAACTGGCGGAACACCGTACTACATCCCTCCCGAATTCATTGGGCGGAAGCAGCGTGGACCTGCGTCTGACATTTGGGCGCTTGGTGTCACCATGCTCTACGTGTTGCGCAAAATCTCGTTCCCCGACTCTCGCGCTCGTCGGCAGCACCCCCGACCTCTGTATTGGCTGATCGCCGGTGTGAACAGCCCAAATACACCGCACAAGCAGCATGGAAATGGCCAGCCAGCCATTCTGCAAATGCGAGATTGGCTTACCGAGATTTTTGAGGCCAGAGAGAAGCTCAACTCAAAGGATCGACTCGAGCGGATCATTATGGAAATGTTATATCCCAATCCCAGCCAGCGCATCACTATGGCCAAGGTCTTGCAGGAATTGGCTGTCGACCAAGTTGCTGTTGCTGCAGGTTGAAATTCGCGCAAGAAACCGAACAACTATTTATCAACCGTTATTTTGCCTGCATGGCTTTCGCAAGAATAATCACTTTTTGTTTTTAATTTCCAGGAGTCTGGTGTTGAACATGTGTCAGCGTTACGTGCCGGTTACGTGCCGGATATACATGAGTAGGAGGGTAAGTTTACAAGCAATCCCTGGTGTTCGGCCAGTACTTACTAATTTACTCAGATTGGATATACCCAGTTAATGATTTCAAACATTGTTTTTGTTTCCGTTTCAACATGTCCATATTATATAATGAGACACTTCTTCAGCATGTATTATAGATTTTGGAAGGCCGTTCATATTCTATCATGACTCCTCATTACACTTCAAAACATTTGTAGCATCCATGGCCCATGACGTGTATCTATCTATAGGCTGAATCCCATTGCGAAGGCGGCGGCAAGACCTACAACAGAGGTCAAGGTCACAGCATTCACACCGAGAATACCTGCCGCGTTACCATCATCGCCGCCCTTCTCTCCCGAGGAGGATGAGTTAGAAGCGCTCTCCTCTGTTCCATTGCCCTCCTGCTGCTTGATCGCGACGTATTCCACGTCGCCAGTGCGGTTGCTAGGACCCTTGGCCTTCTCCTTGAAGCGGATATCCGCACAGTTGTAGAGCGCACTGCCACTTTCGCCAAGAGTGATAACCTGAATACTGCCAATGTCACCATCAGAGGGCTTGACATCTGAAGGCAGCGCAAGCTCTTCGATGAAGAGTGTGCCAGGGTTTGTCGCATTCAGGAATTGGGGTGTGAGGGAGATGTTGAAGTTGGTTGTGTTCTCGCCGAGACCGAGGTTAACGAAGACATAGGTCCAGTTGTGGTGGAGATCAAGAGTAAGAGCACCACCCTCGAGGGGCCAATCGGTGAGGTTCTTCTTGTTGTAGTCAACTCCAGCACCTACGGTTGTTAGTATAGTATGAGGCAGGGCATGCGATATGGAGGATCTTACAAGGATAGGTCCACTGGCTGTATTTTTCTTCGTTCTCTTCGCTGAGAGTATCAGCTCTCCACGCAGGGAAGACAAGACCGAAGTGGGCAGAAACAGCCTGGACGGTAGCCAGGCCGAGGAGAGTCTTGAAGGCCATCATCTTGGAGATTTGTCGTGTGGGATTGAAGGTAGAGGTGGATGAAAAACAACAAACGAGAGGCTGAAAGGCGCATCAGGCGTCTTTATATACAAAAAAGAAAACAGCCATCTCATCTCATTCCAGGGTCCAGAGCATGCAGCCAAGCTCCAGCTCTCTCGATCGACTCTGGATATGGAAGCTGCTCTTGACCAAGCAGTTATCGACCTAGCGTGAGTCAGTTTCGCAGGGTTGTGGCTGACTCTATGCCTGCTGTGTTACTGGTGTTGAAGTGCTCCGGTCCCTTCCCCGGACGTTCGGCGGTTGGTGCGAATCTTGACGGAGCGGGTGGCCGGTTGAGGACGGGCTTTGGCCGGGATGTTACCTGGGGACAAATTGATGATACCGTAGTCATTATGGTATTTCAACTCATCGATGTACTACTGTAGAGCTTCATATCCTCTCAACTTTATTTAGAAACAGCATATAAACAGTATCTGTATACATACCACGCCCGGAACACAAGCAACATTCTCACCTACCTGTCACGACATTCATCCCAAAACAGTGTTGGTATGTGGGGGACCAGCTGATGAGAGCGAATTTGAGACGATAATAAACTTGCTCAAATGGCCGCAACAACCCCTGTGGGGTAAGGCGGTTGTCACGCCTGTTCATACTATGGTACTTAGCGACAGGGAGAATTAACTCAAGTTATGGTTCTTTTTAAGCCTTTTTATTAATCTGGTGCTAGCGGTGTGAATAGTGTTGGTGGTCTAGATTGTTGCGAGTTTGAGTTGTGGTGATGGCGATGGTTAGTGTGGTGGGTGATGCAGGGTAAGTTTACGAGTAAGTTGATGTTGACGGAGTTGAACGCTACAACAGCTGAGTATTCCCTAGAATGAGGATCCTAGAATGAGTAATTGTTAAGTATGTTAGAGTGAGGGTTATTTTATTAGTAGTTGCAGCTTAAAAATTACAATTTTTAGTATGAATATGACTTCCCTGTAACCTTTTTCGGAATGTCGTTGCTGGAGTAATGAACCTGAGGATGTAGTGTAATTGCCAGCACTTTACCAAAATTCACCTCAAACAAGTCACAATGAGCCTTTTGATTACATCAGTCCCGCAATAACTAGAACAAGAGCCATGATACACAAAAAGAGACCATGTATTGATTCTGCTTTGCTGTAGTCCGTCGATTCTGTTGAACTAAATCAAACTTGGGTCCTTTTGGCCCACTTCAGCGTGTAAGTCAGTGGAATGACGGCGTCAGAGACCGTTGCTATCCGACCGTTTGGAGTTGACACGCTCTAAACTTACGAATAAACAGCAACAGCGTAAAAACAAGCACATACTGTAAAAGCATAATTTTCTTCCTCTCGAATTAGTCTATATGTAACTATCAGCACTCAATAAGTGAGCTGTATCATGTCACGTGCTGTCAGGCGCTCCTATCGATAAGATTTTCTAGGCAAGAGATCCACTTTTCACCGATAAGATCATTGTTTCCTCGATGCTTCAATGTTTGGCTTGGATTTTCCCTTCCTCTATCTATAACAGCATCTACAACAATTGTCATCATGGATCCCGCACGTAAAGCTATGATCACAGGGCGAAGATCCCCTACCCGCCGAGACGTGACCTCCCCTCGACACGATCCTACCAACCGAATCAGCAAATCAACCAAACCAACTGGTTCCAAAATCAACCCGAAGTACTTGACCCAAGACGAGCAATCCCGACAATTCGTTGCCGATGAGGACAAGTTCGTACTTAAACAGTCCAAGAAGAAGGCCAATATTCGAATTCGAGAAGGCCGCGCGAAGCCTATTGATTACCTTGCTTTCAACCTGAGATTTATCGATACCGACCGCGACGTATTCGACGACGACGATGTCGATGCCGATATCGATATTCCTGCACCTGGAGATGTTATCGCATCGCTAGACGGAGAACAGACAACAGAGCTAGACTCTGAAATTGCATCCTATCACGTGCTTGAAACCAATGCGACCAACCGCGAATACTGGAAAGCGCTTCAAACCCTCTGTGCAGACAGAAAGGCAAAATTAGACCCGCACGGCCATGAGAGAAGGGTTGTGAGCAGTGTTTCAGACGACATTGATAAGATTCTCGCCCCTAAGACGCATGACCAGTTGGAAGCCCTGGAAAAGCAGATCAAGGCCAAACTACAGTCCAACGAGGATATCGACACGGATTACTGGGAACAGCTGCTTCGAAGCCTCCGAGTGTGGAAAGCTCGTGCCAAGCTGAGCCAGGTATACGAGACAATCAAGGAGATTCGTGTCAGCCAACTGAGGGAATGTGACCCAGCCAAGGCCAAGGCATTGGGCCAGTCGACTTCTGCCCCCAAGGTGACATTTGGTTCGCAGTCAGTAGCATCAGCCTCAGCTTCATCGGACGAAAAGGCGATGCAGGCACCAGTTTCATCCTCAAGCCATGTGGACAGATCCGCCCCTCCTGGCACTGAGCGCTTTTCTCAGGCCGACAATGAGGACTTTTCTCAGGCTACCAAAGCACTGTATGATCGTGAAGTTGCTCGAGGTGTTGATGAGAACGAGGAGATCTTCACAAGCGAGGAGACCGTCACCTCTACCAAGCCGCAGTGGGCGGATAAGTACAGGCCTAGGAAACCACGTTATTTCAACCGTGTGCAGATGGGATATGATTGGAACAAGTATAACCAGACTCATTATGATCACGATAATCCACCACCCAAGGTTGTCCAGGGCTACAAGTTCAACATATTTTATCCTGAGCTCATCGACAAGACAAAGGCACCAACGTTCAAGATCATTCGAGAGCATGGCCGCAGACGTGGGGAGTCGTTTGCTGCTGCTGGCGAGGAGGACACGTGCCTAATTCGGTTCATTGCAGGCCCCCCATACGAGGATATTGCGTTTCGCATTGTCGATCGAGAGTGGGATTACAGCGCCAAGAAAGATCGAGGCTTCAAAAGCTCCTTTGACAAGGTATGTTCAGCTCCCCTTTCTCGCCATCCTTCACGGGCAGGGTCAAGTATCTGCTCCCGTACGGACCACCCTGAGTTCGTACTGTACCAACTGCTTTGGCCGTTGGATGAGAAGCACTTTATGCAGCCTAGACCAGGCCACGTTGATGGCAGCTGTTCAGACTCATGCCCCCAAACGCCATCGCCCCTCCCTATTAAACGTTCAGGAACCCATGGAGCTAATAATGCACACTCTACAGGGTATCTTGCAGCTGCACTTCCAGTTCAAAAAGGTATGGTTCTAAAACACTTCTATTGGCCTATCCGATCGTCTGGACTAACACGATGCTTCTAGATCTATTACCGGAAGTAGATCCGGGTATCGGCTACTATCTTTTTCTTGCCTGAGTCGCATCGGGCTTCGCCTAGTTCGAGCAAACCAGACCAACAACTAATGCAAAGAAGAGGAGACCCGTGTATGCATCCCCCGTTTCCGTCATGTTTGAGCTTGGGAAAGGAAAGGGATGCAAGTTTCCAAGCGGGAGTGTGGATCAAACCGCCCCGCTAGATAAGGCTTGCACCATTATAGCTGTTTATAGCTTTCGACATATGCGCTTCATCAAGCCTTATGTCTGTTAATACTCCTGTATTACTCATTTGGGATGTTCTAATTCAGGACCTAGAGGTGGACGTTGGTACACAGCCAGAGGCAAGCAGAGAATGGGATCGTTGAGTCTACTCATCGTCAACCCAAACTTTGGCTACCTATCTCTGACCCTACAAACCAGCTATAGAATGTGGAGCTATAGAACCGGATTCTATGACACTGCATTGTCGACACATTCTCAATATACATAGAAGAGTATCAGAGCATGAAGCAGAGATGTTTCGGTCGCAAGCATCACAGTGGACATGGTAGCAAACCCGGGTCATCAGGCCTGCTGCACCTGAAGGTTTCTGGAAGGCTGTCATTCACAAGCGTTCACGGACCGCGCGTCGAACTTATGACACCAAACCGCTCGGGCATCTTTATGTTTATGTGTTTGAAGATAGGAATCTGCGCGGAGGATAAGCAATCAACAATATGACAAAAGGATTGGTGCGGTTGCCACCAGTCGGAACAACTCTTTCAACCCTGATACCTTAAACCTCAGTTCTCAGTCGGGTACCCGGCCATGAAGTTTCGAAAGATTGTTCGATATGTATTCTTTGACGCATCGGTCCGCAATGCAATGGTGATTTTATGCTCCAGCAATCTTCTGACGGCTTCCCCGGCAGCTTCCATAGTGCTTCACAGCAGCAACAGATGGAAAACGGAGATTCAAACGGGAAGGGCATCGACCGATGCAATGTTTGGCGTTCTGATTGGTATCCAGATTGGTGTCCCGATTCGTATCGTCTGAAATGCAAGGTGCCGTTTGAGACGTATACGTCCCGCGATAGCCCCGTTGACGAGAGTACAAGCCGGCTGAGCTACCGTCAAATGACTTGAGGCCGCCTTGGTGTGATGTATCGTGCTTCTCGGTCGCGATACCAGAATTGCCAGATGAGCCCGGGACGTTTTGTCAGAGGAGAAGGCAGATTTGGCGACACGCAAAGGGGCATGGAACACAAGGCTCTATGGACCGGTCCAACCAGCATCGGCACATTTCTTGTTAGAGTCTTCTGCTGCAAGGTTGCACGTCAAGTCTGGACCTTGAATCAGGGCCTTGACCTATTCCCTTCCTGAGGTTTAATTGACTACATCACTTGCAGATCATCCTTGCAATTTTACTCTACCGAAGCAAGTACTGAGCATACATACCGACATATCTGGCGGCCGTTTCAAGCGCCAGGTATGGGGATGCGTATACGTCGAGGCGTGTGAAGTAACAAGACAGTGCCATTAAATTGTGCTAATTTCTCTTGCAGGGCTCATGGACGTCACTCAAGTCAGAGGAGGGCAGCAGCAGAAGAGGCAGAGAGGCCTGGTGGGAACTCGTTTGCGCGTCCAACATCCTTCAGACTTGTATCTGATGGCCACACACAGCACACACAAGCACAGGCACACACAGCACACAGATGCATGTTAGTAGGATGGCTTGCCGTGTATCATAAGCCACCCCAAGGGGGTGTTTGACAGATGGCGTCCCTGTCCGTTTACCTTGTATGCCACGGTCCACAGACCTAGTTTAATGGCTTGCTAGGCGCTTGTTGGTTGAACCTGTCTATTTGGCTTGGCCCACACCCCCCAGCCTTGATTCGATCTTAGGGTCCATGCCCATAGCTTCGACGGTTATGAATGAGGATGGAGGATCTTGAGCTAAGATTTCTGGATCTGTCAACAGGCAGTTGTTTATCCACGGATCGACGTCTAAACGAAGCCGTTGCCCAAGAGCCAGCCCTGCAACTTCACGCCCTACCCCAAACGAGCGGGAAGAGCATAAGCGTCGTTGCTTCGGCATCAAATATCGCCATCTATCCTACTTCCCCGTCCTTGTCCTATTGTGTCTATTGTAACGTTCTGCTATCTCCCGTTCTTCCCCTTCATTCTTCGTCTCCTCTACACACATCTCATCCCAACTTACTCTCTTCCTCGCTTCCCCATTGCTTGGTACGTGAGTCAAGAAGTCTCCTTGTCCTGAGAGCACCACAAGTCACCACGAGACCTATCATACTTCCTTCCAAACAGCGGACCTTGACTTCAACAGAGGTCACTATGGATCCACCGTTTCCAGGTGACGGACAACCTTCCAGCTACACGAATACTCTTCCCGGTCACGGGCAACAATCGCCTTGCGTGGCAGAGCTCACCGGTATGGGGTCATACTATGCCCTCTCCTCGGGTCCTCAGGATCAACCACCTCATCTATCATCAACTGGTCCGCTGCCACTGGGCTCGACCCTCTCACAGCACCAAGATAATCAGCAGCGGTCACATCCGATTCAAGATGCGACTGCGTACACCTCCATGTCCTCAGGTTTTCACTATCCGCCTCGAAGCCATCATCAAGTCTGGCCTTCGCCTCCACCAGGACCTGACGATTATGACACCTACTCCTACCAAAGTTCTCCAAGCAGCGGTAGTGCCCCTATGAGCTGTTACAACCCTTCACCTATCTCACCTAGGACGTGGTCCTCTCCAGACTTTCCCCTATCCCAAGCATCGGAATCTCTCCACCAGCAGAGCCAACAGAATCCATACCATAACCTCCGGATTTGCACTCCAACATCAACTGAAGGGTTTCCTGTCAGAGGCTCTCAGGTACTGACGCCCTTTTCAAGCGGCTGCATGAACCAAGGCTTCGATAATGAAATCGACGGTATGCCACACAACTATTCCCCCGTAACGATTCCAAGCTCGTCGGTTGGAGCACTTTCCTGCACTAGCTCCCCACAAGAACCTCTGCTCAGCACTCCAATGCATATGGAGACGCGGCAGGCATCGCCGGCTGGCGAGCCAGATTACCGTGCGAGTACAGATGAGCAGCTGGATGCCAAAGACAGCAAGGGTGCGGTTGTTGGGGCTAAAATGGAGGAACCGTACGCCAAGCTCCTCTACAGAGCGCTCATGAGCGCTCCGGGACATGCCATGACCCTTCAAGAGATTTATCAGTGGTTTCGCGAAAACACCGACAAGGATGTCAAGAAGGAGAACACACCCAAGAGGCCAGGCAAAAACGCCGAAGGTTGGCAGAATAGCATCCGCCACAACCTGAGTATGAATGAGGTACGTGTTTAAGTTCCTAAGCGATACCCTCTCCAGATTTCCCGTCTCAGATCTCCCACAAGCCCCCTTGCACTTCCGGGTATAGCATGCGGCATTAGCATATGCACGCGGGCCAACGTCTTTCTAAGGGTTTGGACGAATCACGCTACAGCAACTTCTTCTAAGCGGGCGTTCCAAAAGCTGACAGTGGACCTTGACGGTAGGCTTTTGTCAAACGAGGGAGCAAGCAAGCTTCAGGCTGTAAGTTGAATGCAGCAGACCAGGATTCAGGGCCAGGGCCAGAGCCAGCAAAAGCTGGTGAGCCTAAGAAGCCTACAGAATGGATGTTGGAGGATTGGGCTGTTCAAAATGGAGTTGAGAGCACAACAAAATATCGACCTAAACACCCCCCACGCCGAGCTGTAGGATCGAGGGTCCATCACCATCCTTACGATCACAGGTTTCCACAGCACGGCAGCCCAAGCTCTCCCACCGGAACAGCGGGTCGAAAGGGAGACTGCTCGTCTACCAAGCTGAGAATGCGAGGGCGCCAGTACGCGCACGAGACGAACATGCCACCGACGTCCCACCATATCAATATCATGGCACACCCTCATCCCACGCGACGGACGACAGCGATGGCGAGCATGTACCCGTCACATCACCAACAACAATTAGGTTACGAGGATATGATGATGCCACGGCTCGAGGCAATGTCACAAACGGCGATCAAGCAGGAGTATTCCCCAATGGCACAAACCGCAATCAAGCAGGAGTACTCCCCAATGACACCCGATTCTAGTGCGTTTGGTTTCGTGCTTCCAGAGCCGAGCCTAATACACGCGCATGCAGTCAATTCCAGCGCTAGCGCCAGCGCCAGCAATGTCAATGGCAATGCTAATGTCGATATCAACGGTAGTGGCCCTACCGCATATGCACTCCTTAGTGGCGGGCATCAGGCCCAAAGCATGTACGTTGGATCATCTCCGTGCGAATATCCGTATGGGATGGTAGACGTCACAGGCGTCTATCAGGGAGCTGGTCACAATACAGTTAGCGGCGGAGTCAACGAACGCCTCATAGAGATCGGCCCTAACGCAGTCTACAACTGGAACGGCCAGGCACTTTGAGTCTGGCTGGCAGTCTAGCGTTGACAGGCGCTGTCTGAGTCTGGCATGAAATCCTCCGATGGCAGGTCTTTAGTTTCTCAGCCACAACGTCACATTAAATGCGTGTCGGCGGCCGACAGACTACGTTTCATACTGTAATGGTGCGATACGCAACACTATTCCGGGTCGTTTGTCACGGAGAGCCAAGAAAAAGAAAGTAAAAAAAAAACCCGACAAAAAAGACGGAACTGGCGACAAAGTCAAATCCTGGATATTTCAGCCAGTCGACTTTGTGATGGATCGGCAGCGCGGAAACCGCGGGTTCAGAAGGAAAAGAGGGGCTGAGAGTGAAAGTGAGAGCTGAGTGGTTCTGGAAGAAAAAGCAAATCGACATTTCTTTGACGACGCAGTAAGATGAGGAGAATGGCGGCACTTCTCAAACGACCCCTCAGGGGGGACAGACGTTGGAGAAAGTGGACAGCACCAACAACAATACGCTTCGCATCATTCCAACTCACAATTTTATTTCACACTCTGGAGACCTTGCTTTACTTTTACTTTCACTCTCACTAGAATGGATCATAAAAAAACCCACACAGACCCTGGAGGTCATGGCGGATCACAATCTATCCGTACGTACATGTACATGAACATGAAGAGCATAGACTCGCGGTCATGGATTAGGCGCGAGACGCCGAGGCTGGGGCTGGGGCTACCTCTGGCTGGTTGAGCATGGTCATGGTCATGGTCATGGTTCCTATGCAGTGCAGTGCAATTCAGTGCACCGCATCACAGCTAAACTGGGCTTGTCTTGGCATGACATATCAAGCGGGGGGAGGGGGGCTCACAAGACGGAGAAAGATAGACAGACAGAGCCTTGTCATGTCCTAAATTGCCCTGTCTTGTGTTGGTCCATCCCCCTCATCCCATCCCCTCTAACGGCCACGACATCTATCATATTTCCAGCTTCCCGGAACGCATGGCTATGTGTCACCACAGAACAAGGAACATGGCGGTCACTGGTATTGCTGCGACTTTTAGGTCGCAGGGCGCAAGGGAGAAAATCCAGGGGGACTAGAACATAGAGACGACATTCCTTCTCTCCTTTCGTCCTTTCTTTTTCTCTTTCCTTTTGTTTTTGTCTTTGTCTTTCTTTGGGTGGTTTTTGGGAATTTTCACCTAGACGATGCGCTCTATCTTATGGCTCCCCGAGGACCGACAAAGAGGCATCATTATTATTCGGTACGGTTTATCACCGGAGGCGACGAGCGGACGTCCTCCAAAGCGTGTTAATTGGCTTTATTGTTTCTTCACCCTCATAATTGGTTTGTTATTGACCCCGTTGTATTTTCTTCACGTTGATGGACTTGGCTGGATATGAACGCTTGGTTTACATAGCCCCTTTCCCCATAACCGCTTCCGGCAGCATGACGAGGAGCACTCATCATCACCGCCTTTTCCCACCACCAACATGAATATCAATCAGCCATGTCGTTGAGACTTGCATTGTTATTTGTACCCTTTTCATTGGGCATTCTGTTTGATATTCGGGGTGACCAGGAATGGGCAATCACCAGTAAGAAAAAGAACACTATCAGATAGAAGAGATGTATAACAGAGTTTGGCACGACTCATGCGTAGCAAAGGTAGATCTGCAAGAACGACAATACAATACAACTCTAAGATATTGGGCACTCTCCATTGTGAAAACTGTCAAAGCCAAGCTTTGACAGGTGATCCATTCGTGTCTCCATGCTTGGAAGATCAGAGAAGACGATTGGCTTGACCAGCTTTTTGTTTTGCGATCTCGAACGGTAAAGGTAAATCGAGCCCAGATCGCTGTTCCCTGCTGTTCCCTGCTTCTCCCCACCCCGCCTGGCCCTGATTTCTATTCATTGCAGACGTGAGTGGGGAAGCAGCAGGGTTCGTGAGGCCATTGTTGAGAGACGCTGCAATGTAATTGGGTACCAGACTGTCGGGACAGCTGAGCCAACAGGGTAAGGTTCCGGTTGCCCCCCCCTCCGTCTCCAGGTGCTTGCTATTCATCCTGAACCCATGTCGCGCCGCTTCGTCGTCTCGCTTCCTCTAGCTATTATCGCGTTGAGCTGCGCTAACGGGGAAGCTCGGGCTTAAGAAGCCAGACAAGAGCCGGGGGCCGGGGGCAGGGCTGCCAGTTGAACTCTATGAGGCGGAGGATTCAGAGCGGGTTGGTGTGATCGACAGGACAGGAGCCCAGACACTTGACACTGGCGTTCAGACAGATGTGCAGGGCGTATCCCTGAATAGGAAAGTTATTGAGAAACGACGGAAATTGGGAGGAAATAATTCGCAGCCCAAGTCCAAGTCGACGCACAAGCCCTACATATCTGAGAATGGCATAATATAATGTGATACCGATACGGATACTCCACTTGTATGTAGAATAAGCATTGAGTCTCCGCTTCCGCAATGCCAATGACCAACAACATACATCTAAGAAAGACAGTCGCATGAATATCTGCATCAGGGAGTAAATATCAGTTGTCAAAGGCCGCCTACAGCGGGCCGTTGCTCTGCGCTTCCCTCTTTTTAGGACAGCAAAGGAACACTGTAGAAGACAAGTGCACCCGATGACTGCGTATTATTAGAAGTTGTGTTGGACTCACAACAATCAACAGATCAGTGGATAGCCACACCTTGAATGACGCCCAAGTCTGCTGTTAAACTGGGGTCCGCAGCAAGAAACACTGGCCCCAAGGTGCTCCCTGTCTAATCAAGCCTCATCATGTGAGACACATGACATGGTTACCAGTCTCTTCAGCCTTTCTTTCCCCACCCAACACTCTTGTATTGGCATGTCTGAATAGGGAACCTTCTGGCTCTGTTCCGTCTTGGCTTCAAACAGTGCCAATCCTCCAGCGCAGGCATGTGGTGTGGGGCTCTCGAACCTCTCGCTAACGCAAGCAACGTGTTGTGTTGTGTGTGTCATTGAGACACTGTAGATTGCGGGCTTACATCTCAGGCGTTGGGATTTGAAGACCCAACAGGTCCCGAGAACATGGCCGCTGCGGTAACACAAGTTACGATGCGACTTGGCTATGCACAGTAAGAAAATGGGAAGAATGGGATCTCATCACGAGACTGGAATTACTCCATCGATGCAAAAGACCTCACAAAACCCACGCCTTGCGTCCTTGACCTTTCAGTGGATCAAACTTCACAGTAGCGGCCGCTTACCTTGCACTACTGTTCGAAAGTAAACGCCTTTGACAGGCTGACACTTTGACAGTTCATTCAGCTCTCAATCTTAACCATAACCCCAACCAGGAACGGGCCGGGTCATGGCCGTCATGCTTGGACAGGACCTCCTGGTCGACCCCGTTTGCAATTCCTTCTTAACATAACCTCTCCGAGCCCTGGTATTGTGCCAGAATCAGCCAAGTGGCACAGAGCTCAAATAGGCAAGAAAAAGCAAAATACCTTTTGCGTTTGGTGTGTAAGTCCGGATGCCGATATGCTTCACCGTTAAGATGTGGAGCTCTCTCAAGATTAGCTTTGGAACCAACAATGACAATAGGAACAAGGCGTTCTGCACCAACCATGGCTTGCCATCAAAGGTCAAGCGGAGCTGGGCAGACACGTTCTAGTGTCATCCCTCAGGCGTCTATCCTATCGCATCTGCTGATTTCTGCATCCTGCCTAGCAGGGGTTTGCAATTGATGGCGGAGACCAAGAAAGCTAGGAAAGGTAGCTTCCTCGTCATGCAAGTCTAGCAGGCCTAAACCACTGGGCCTTGAAACAAGGGTATTTTAAGAGGGTCATGATTGACCTCCAGGATGTATGAGTGGATACCTTACACTCCTGCGTTTGAACCTTCGTCCATTTACGCTTATTATTGTCATGGCATGGTCCCCCTCTTCGTGTCCAAAGCCAGAATAAGCCCCGTGGTCAAACGCAGAGTTGGATGGTGCAATACTCCATGTAGTTTTCTAAGTAACGGAAAGCTCAAACACTCCATTGACAGATTGGCATTTCCACCGCAACGCCATATCTCTGTAATGTAGTGTGTTGTGATGGACGCACACACAACCGGGGAAGACCGAGGACCATTATCCCTGTTCACACAGGCACATTGCGTAGGTTGTCAGCTTTGAGGTCGTAGTGATGTAACCCTAAAGCACGAATTTGAGTCCCGATCCCTCACATCCTGTGTCCTGCAGACCTGCATGGTATTTTGGGACGATCCTGATCAACAATCGAGCAATGCACAGACATTCTGCGCCGTAACCACCATTAGCTGTTTTCGCACATGTTTCCACCAACAAAGCATGAAACTTCGTGTTAGAGAGGTGGTGATCATCCGCCTCTGCAGCTCTAATTGGATCTCCCTCACACAAAATTCTTATGTCACCAACATCATATGCCAGCTGCTCAAAGTTGCACTATTTTTGACATGCACGACTGCGAATTCGGAATGACTTGGCCCATGCAGTTTCCTGGCCTGGAAAACAGCGAATTGTCAGCCCTGGATGACAATGCTGCTAACTGATGTGCAAACCCAGACGAGCTCAAAGGACAAACGTCCCGGTTGCAAAAGGAATGATGCGCAAGAAGGACGGGTTGATGAATGAGACACTAGGTACATTGAAGTATACCACGGTATGGCTCGTGATCTGTCCTGGCGTAACCGGGGGGCCTGGTTCCTAGAAAACGCTGATGTAGCCATAGCCGGCTAATCGTCGATCATCATCCCCTGATGTGCTGTGCCGCGCTCTAATTCGGGGAGAATCAACCCCCCTAATTGATTGATCTTAATTGGTGCTCGGGCGGTCGGACTCACCCACGACCCGGTACCTGGTACCATCCAACAGGCATCGGCAGCCACTTGATCCGCTATCGAGATAATATCACGATCTAAAGAGATACACTTCTCAGATCGCGACAACGACCGGCTGGCTGAGACTTCAGATCGAGTTGGACCAACATCTGACCCACCTGTGTGTTCTCAACGAAGCTATGAGCGTTTGGTTCGTTAATTGGATCTGATGGTCAAGCCACCCCCGGAATGATAGTGATAATTAGAATCAAAGTCAGGGGCATTGCAGTCAATAAGTTCTCCCGCTCGAATAGACAGCGCCATCGCTCTGTGAAGGCCGGGAGTTACCCGAAGACCAGCATATCAAGCACGCATAGTTATGACAAGGCCGGCCTAAGAAAGGAGCGGGTACTAAAGATAAGCTGTGCACTTGTGTCGTCAAGTGTCGCCAACGTCCCTTCCCATCAGCCCTGTCGATATTGTAGTCGCCTTGTCTCGATTCATCCATCACTACCGTTATGGAGCAGCCCTTGTACTTTTCCTTATTCAGTCTGCGATACAACACTCGTCGCAGGGGCTGGCCTTCGATCCGCTAGGTCATTATTAGGGCGTGTATTGTTCATCCTTGCAAGAGGATCCTTGTTGCATATGATTTCGTAATGCCACACAGACATGGATTTCGGAGTTCTCCAGGTTCTGTAGGAGTTCTTGTTGGTTCCAGCTAGGCACACTCCTCGAAGGGTTTCTTGGCAACTGCACTAGGTATTCCATCACGCTGAGGAGGACCTACTACCCTTGAGTACCAAAGGTGCTTAGAGGGTGCCACAATCTCGTCTGTTTGATGCGTTGCCGTTATGTGCGACTACCGCGTGACAGATGTTGTATGGAGTCGAAGCCACACAGCGATCAGCGGCAGAATGTACAGGATAGCCCCTAATTGCAACACGATGCTATATCGTCTCTCCAATGAGAGTCAAGCACATAGACGCAACATGGCCGAGTCTGGAAGTTCTTCTAAGTTGGTGTACTCGATGCAGAGGAGTGTCTTCAGCGCCTCTCTGTCATAGGCTATAAAGCGCCTCGTCAAGCCTCAATCGTACGACTTTCATGGTTTCGGACATTGACAATTGTTGCCTGGCAATTGACCACTAAATCATCTTTGTATGTCATAGTAGCATTCGAATTTTGAATAGCCACATTGGCCCATGCAGACGGGCGATGGTATATGAAACTGTGAAGAGCCAACCTGCAGACCACACGGTGGGCGAGAAAACGCATCATACGTACGGCGCTGATTGTCCCGAGTAAGCCTAACTACTCTTCAACGAGTGTGGTAGACTCCAGTTATATTCACGAATAATGATGTAAATAAAATGCCAAGGATAACTCTTACCCCAGGCGAAGATCCAGCGACATTGCAAACGCGATATCTGTTTATCGCCTGATGTCTCAGTCAAGTCCTGGGTATAGTACACCAACTGAACGCTCCTTGAACCTTGTCTTAACAGGCGAACTTCGAGCAACAAGCATGTATAAGTTTGAAAGGTTTGTGTCATACACCAAATGAAGCACTTAGACGGAGATTTAGCTGTACGCAAGGAGTATGTGTTGCACCAACGTCCATGTTTCAGACCGTCCTCAAACTGTCGACCATTGGTGCGAACGTGGTAATACTGGCATGGAGAGATTCGGATTTTATACCAGGACAATTGAGAGACGACAAATAGGGAAACATTTGGTATAATGAGGCTTCACTGATTTGGTTCCGCTCATTGTTCACATCATAGACACACAAGGATGCATCAACCATGCTCTATGCTGTCAGTAAGATGTAGCGCAGTTCCATGATTTAAAAGTTTGAGGAAGAGATCGTTGCGCTGCTCGAATAACGATGTGCGGATCTTCGATAGAGGCCTGTGGCATGCCACCCTCTGGTTGCCTGTAAACCATGCTTTGACAAAAAAACAAGTCTGATCTAAGGCGAACGCTGATGATGCTTTCGTCAGCTATAACAATAGACGAAAGCACAGTGCCTTCTTGATACCGCGTGCCGTCTCATCGTGACAGAGATATTGTTTTGACATTCAAGCCCTTCCGTGTGTTTCTCACAAACGAGTCAACAACTGAATGATGATTGGGTTTGTACTTATATCTTGACCAGAGGGTTTTGGCAATTGAATGTCAAGGACCAGGTCTGCAGCTCCAGCATGAAATAGACGATAGCGGTTAAAACCTTCGTTTCTTCTTGGCGGGACCAGCTGCCGCCTTCTTCTCAAGTTCCTTTTTGAGTTCCTCTCGCCTTCGGTCCGCCCTGTCTTGCGATGTCTCTCTCGGTTTCGAGTCAGCTATAGGTTCCTTTGCGGCAGACCTGCCCCGTCGGCTGCCTTCGTCGGCTACTGGCACTGGCTCCCCCTCGCTGCTATTGCTCTTGCCAATAAGCCCCAGCTTCTTGGGAGGGCGATGGGAAACTGCTGCCGTAGTAGACTCAATTACTTCAGTGTCATAAGGAATCGGTTTCTCCCCAATGGATGGTTTCGATTTCACCCCTCCAATGCGCCCGAGGCCGTCTTTCTTCGACACAGGTCGTGGTGATGAATGGGACGAAGGGGATGTGTCTTTCCCCATTCCGGGCGGCTTTGCTGTATCCTCATCCTCTGCTTCAGATGCTGTCTCAGAACCATCGCGAGGTTGAACCGATGACTCTCCTTTCCGCTGAGATACCGCAGGCGAAGGAGCAAGTGGCGGAGTTGACTGCTTCTTTCGGCCCAGTGCTCCTAGACGGCGAACTGGCTTATCCGCGTTGTGTGTGCTTGGGGGTGATACACTGCCTGCAGAAGCCAATGATTCTCCCTCTGTAGATGCATCATCAGCGGCCAGCATTTTCTTCGCATCTGTCGATCTCCCCTTGGACATGAGGTGCGGGGGTGTCGATTGGACTTGGAAATCATCATCGTCGTCTTCAATATGACCGATGCCAATGTCCTTTGGAGGCGGTGATTTGTCCTTCGTAGCAGCCGCTTTGTGCTGCGTTTGACGTGCCGTGGATGATGCACCTTTGAAATCTTGCCACCATTGATCTAACTGAGGTGATTCTTCGTTATTCATCATTGGCTCGAACTGCAGTCCTCCATCCCCAAATACACCCTGCACCAACGACTCTGCGTCATTTGGATCATTTTCTTGAAACTCAAGTTCACGCTTCCAGCTTCGGCGGTCGAAAGGGGCAAGACCAGGCACTTTGTCCGCGGCGGCAGTTCTGGAAATCTTTTTCTTTCCGGACAGAGCATTGAATACATGTTCCATACCTGTCCCCATGGCCTCCAATTTGTCCAAAAGCTTGGTTAGAACTGCGTCTTTGTACGCGAGGGTCCTGGCCAGAGACTCGATTTCCATATCTTTTGTATGATGTGCTTGGATGAGTGGGAGCACGAGATTTGTGGCCACACTGAAAGCAGGCAGTTTCGTTAGATATATGGGCCATTTCAGTGGCTGTAGTCCTGGAATTTCACAAGTGATATTCAAGATGAGATCATCGTCGCCCGCCTCAGATCTAGAATCGCGGTCCAGACGAATATTTGTCTCATTGTGACCCGCCTGGGAAGCGTCCAAGGCAGTGCTGAGGCTCGTCAAGAATTTGGCCATGTTGTCGGGGGTGTCGCTAGGGTCGATACTCGTGTTTTCGTTCCAGCCTCTCATAAAAATAGCCTTGCGATCAAGTGTCTCGGCCCACATGTTAGCCATGTCGGTTACATGAATAGTGTATGCCGCCGTGTCTGTATGGAACGATACCAGCAGAACAGGCAAGTCGGCAGAGGTTGGAAGCGGCAGAGACCGCCATGATTTGGTTTGGGACATATTTGGTGAACGAAAAGGGGGCCACCGTAGGTGCTGGCCTGAGAAGGAATCAAACACGAAGAAATGGCTAGCGGTACTGCTCAGGAAAACTATGCCCAGAGGATTGAAACAGTGGGAATCTCCCAGCTCGGTCTAATATCCAGAGCCAAGTGTTTGACCAATTGCTTTTGAAATAGAGTAGTGGAAGCCGAGGTGATGAGGGTGACAGGCTAAAAAGACGTTGCACAGCATAGAGCAGCAGATGGGCTAAATTGAAAGGTGTGGTGGACTGGAGCCCCGGAGAATTTACTACTCAGGGATGAGATCCGAACTGGAGGCACAACCTCGTTTCTATCAGCTAGATTCGAGAAAAAATTGGATGCTTGGGTAAATACAGGTAGCACAAGCTCACATGAATGGGTGTGTGTCTGTTATGAGACTCAAGCTTGGGTTGTCGAAGTTGTATCACGATCCACTGCGTCCGAAGGGAAAGCTCCGCAGTACCCAAGGAGTCGTGAGATGGCAGAGAAAGATGTCGAGATCTGAAGTAGTAGTTTTGACTGTGGTTCTTGTAATCTTCTTAATCTAAGAATGAAGGCGAAGGTGGTAATGGCGGTGATAGAAACGCGTGAGATTGACGCGCACAGGCATCTATCAGGCTACCGCTACTGCCTGTGAAGCAGCCAGCCAATCACAACGCCCTAGGGGTAGACGACAAGTGAAGGTGCAGCACAGCACAGCAATTCATACCTTCCCAGGCAGACAGGAGAGCTCTTATTTGACGAAACCACTTGCCTACCTAGTAGGTAGGCATTTCCTCGTTCAATGGGTGTGGCCGATATCTATAGGAGCAGGCATAAGTTAACCTTTTAGACATGAAAACATCAATTTACAATAAGACCTCCATAAGATCAACCAATCACAACTGCCGAATGCCTCATCATCTGGATTAACCAAGTTCACATTCCACGAGGACTCTATGAAGTAGATTGAATGATTTGATATTATGCGTTCCACGGCGAGAAAAGTTTCTATACAACAAATTACAGTACCGTCGACTTTATGGACTCCACCTGCTTGAGGTAGGAAAGCACAAGCGTCTTCAGAATACGGAGTAGGTATTTCACATAAATGATAGGCTAGCCAATCAGCAAAGCGAACCAGGCGCTAAAAGCTCCCCTAGATCTATGAATCTCAGATCTGCTTGGTGCAAGCTTCGATCGCCAGGGACTTTATGACGTACTTCAAATCGGAGCTACACGCTTTTTCTGACAGCCACAGATGCCATTACCGTGGCAGCAATTTAGTTAGGATTAGGGGAAACCAGGGGGCTTCTACCTGATTTTATCAATCTATCAAGAACAAACGCGTCCTCCCATCTTTGCGCCTTTCCATATGTTGCTGTTGGGATCACGCATACACAAATTGCCATTGAGAGCGTTGCAGTCCTCTTTAAAAACAAACAGTCCACAGTTCGCAAGAAGCACCACGCACTTCTCACTTGCAAGCTTTACGACGATGCCTCCCAAACGAACAAAGCGTGAGTCTTCGACACCTCCAGTCCGTGGCTCTTCCAAAAGGGCGAAGACGTCCAACAACAATGGGAGCTCATCCGATGCTTTGCGCCAGCCTCATCACAAGGCGGGTGAAGCTGAGGAGAACGGGATTGCAATTCGCAAGTTCTATCCAGCTGAAATGAGCAATGCGCGGGCTCGCGCCTACAACAACAACGAACTTCCGCGACCAATCGAAGTATTGATCAATGCCCTCGAGGACACGGCACAGGACCGCAAGAGCATCGATGTCAAGAATGCGGTCGTCCATTGGTTCAAGATGGACCTGCGAATATCTGACAACAGAGCTTTGGCTTTGGCCAGTGACAAGGCGAAGGAAGCAGGGGTTCCTCTCATCGCGATGTACATCATTAGTCCCCAGGACTACGAGGCTCATCTGAGGGCCCCTGTACGCATCGACTTTATGCTACGAACACTGGCAGTTATCAGAGAAGACCTTGCAAAACTCGATATTCCTTTATACGTGGAGACTGTTGAGAAAAGGAAGCATCTTCCCGACCGAATTCTAGAGCTTATGGATGAATGGGGTGCAAGCCACCTGTACGCCAACATGGAATATGAAGTTGATGAACTAAGGCGCGAAGGTGCAATGATCAGAGACTTCGCAGAAAATGGCAAAGCATTCGAAGTTGTTCATGATACATGCATCGTCCCTCCGGGAGAGCTTCACACTGGCGCTGGGAAGCAGTATGCAGTTTATACTCCGTGGTACCGGACTTGGGTTGCTCATATTCACGAAAACCTTGATCTGTTGGAATTGTTCGAACCGCCACATAAAAACCCAAGCAGTGCATGCAGAGACTTCAAAAAGCTTTTCGATGTCGAAATTCCTGACGCACCTGAGAGCAAACGACTGGATGGCGAGGAGAAAGAGCGATTACGTCTACTGTGGCCTTGTGGAGAGCACGAGGCGAAGAAGAGACTGGGCAAGTTCTGTGAAGAAATGATCAGCAATTACCAAAAGAAGAGGAACATTCCAGCTGATGCAGGCACCTCGTCGCTATCAGTGCATTTGGCTTCCGGGACAATCAGCGCAAGGACATGCGTGCGAACTGCGCGTGACAGGAACAAAACGAAGAAGCTTAACGCAGGTAATGAAGGCATTCAGACTTGGATCAGTGAAGTTGCCTGGCGAGACTTCTACAAGCACGTTCTTGTTCACTGGCCATATGTCTGGTAAGTGAAAGCATCCATGGAGTCTGGTGTCATCGACTGACAATAGTAGCATGAACAAACCTTTCAAGCCGGAGTACTCGAATATTTCATGGTCATACGACAACGATCACTTTGCGGCATGGTGTGAGGGACGCACAGGGTTTCCTATCGTCGATGCAGGAATGCGACAGTTGAATGCTCTAGGATATATGCACAACCGATGCCGAATGATTGTCGCTTGCTTCCTAGCAAAAGACCTCCTACTTGACTGGTAAGTCATTTTCATGTGCCGTACTATTATCGAATCTTCCTTCTAACTCACCTTTAGGCGAAAGGGTGAAAGATACTTCATGGAGCATCTTGTCGATGGCGACTTTGCTTCGAACAACGGCGGGTGGGGCTTCAGTGCCAGTGTTGGTGTTGACCCCCAACCGTATTTCCGCATCTTCAACCCCTTGCTACAAAGCGAGAAGTTCGATCCGGATGGCGACTACATCCGCAAGTGGATTCCTGAGCTTAAAGGCCTCGACAATAAAGCAATTCACGACCCATACAACCGGGGTGCCGGCCCCAAAGCTAAGAAGGCCGGATATCCTGCACCTATTGTTTCGCACAAGGACTGCCGGGATCGAGCGCTGTCGGCATATAAAGAGGGGCTTGCGAGCGGCGAGTGATCTTTACAAACAAGACTCGAGAAGAGTGTATTCTTTAGAGGGGCCACGTATGATTGCCCAAGTCCCTGGGTAACTTGTATTTTTATATCAAGTCAGTTGGATGTATAAAGGTTATTCCTATTGTATTGTCTACTTAAGGAGAAGCATATCGAGAAAGGAGGCGAACCTGACCTATCTTCTACTAACTTGATGTTATAGAACATTCAAGCAATCAGTATCTAGTTTGTAAGATACTGTATGCATTGTAGTCGCACTCCTCTCGGCTTATATGCTCGCTGTTTGACGTCACATTGTGTTGTTTAACAGAAACAACAGCCTATCTTTCAAAGCTCCCATCTCTCTGACACACAACCTTAAACATCGCCATTGAAGCACATGGACTGCAAGGGTTAAGGAATGGTTAAGATCACAGTTCTAGGATATCTGGCGCCACGATTGCATGCAATTGGTTGGTTGAACTTCAAATCAGCAGCATTTCAACAGAAAGCTAAGGTTGTCACGTAATTAAAAATTCATGTTAGACACGTATCTGTACCATAGCAAACGACTTAAGCGCTACAGCTTTTTCAGTGCCTTGTCAATCTGCGGCACGGAGACTATCAAAGTAGTCCCAGAATCCTCGGACTGGGCTGACTTGTGAAGTCTGTCCAAGGAGACTTCGCTAGCCGTATCGTATAGGAGCATTATAACCAGTTCATCACATCTTCAAACACGGATTCGGGATATCGTAATGTTGTCTCAAAATCGAGCCGAACGCCTCGAAGTGGATTTGCTAGATGCAGCCAACCCTAGTTTCTTTCACCCATTGCCTTCGTGTCCGAACCCAAAACCCTGTGGCCCAATTCGTGTCAGAATCCCATGTCGAGGACTCAGGACCAGATGTCGAGTACTTTTCCCCACACTTTATTCCTTTATCGCTGTCCGCTCCAGACGCTCTTGACGAGGCCGTCGCGCTGGGCCAGTCGGTTGAGGGAGTCGTCGCTCTCGCCCATGGCTCGGACGAAACCGCAGAGGGCGTAGACGTGGTTCTCGCCCTGGATGGCACGGCCGTTCTCGTCAACCTTGGCGATGGAGATCTGGACAGAGCCGTGATCCTTGGCCTTGATGATGCGGTTGGTGGCGCTGCACTTGCGGGGGACGTAACTGGTGATGCCGTATCAGTATCTTAATTGTTCCTTCGCAAGTCCTTCAACCCAATATCCAAAGTGAGGTCTTACAGGTCCACAATCTCGCCGCGGTCGTTCTCCATTTTGGCTGATTTGAGAGGGGTGGTTTTGGGTGATTTTGAGTGGTTGTGTCGGCGGGAGGTGAGGTCGTCGCAAGTGGGAGAAGGAGCAATCGTTTAATGATGTTTTTTCAATTTTGTGGTGTGGGGCCTTCCAAACATGGCCCTACTGGGGAATGGTCGCTCCTTCCTATGGATCAGGTCATGTGACTCGTCAAAGAGGATGTACCACGTGACAGCGCGTAGCTACCTAGTGCATCGCGAGGCCAGGCAAGGCAAGGTAAGGCAATCGCTAGCGTGATCGGGATTTGGCGAACGAACCCCTTGGCTTGGGCGAACCATTTCCATGACACCAAGATCAGGCAAGATTAGGCGTTCTCAGGTTATGACCCCGCCGTTGTCTGTTTTCAACGTCTGTCGTCTTCGACATTATTCTGCTACGAACAACGGGCCTGAGATGCGCTCTGCGCTCTCGGTCCATCATCTCGAGAGTCATGGTTTCCTCTGATGTCTTGCGGTCGTCGCCACTCGAAAGCACCAGACGCTCACTTTATGCCAATTCTTCATCTCCTGACCTCCCATCACTCCGGGACGTTCTAGCTGCGAAAAATGAAACTCAATCCCCCATTTATGGCAATAGAGCCACCCCAATCTCGATAGATGATTCATCCGGCTTTATCTCAGCAAGTCACTTACACCCAGCAATGGAGCCGATGCCATCTGCAGTATTGCCTTTGACAATACCCAGCCACAATGCTGCTGCTGGCCTGACAGAGGATACTAGCTCAAATGGGGGGTTCATATCCGGAGACCCTGCTCCCCTGAAAGAACGGGAAGATGATATAGTGGTTATAAAAATCACTGGGAAATCTACCAGGAAACCTCGTCAACCGAAGGTATCAAAACCAGCGGCCCCCAAACGGGCTAAGCCTAAACCAGCAGCAAAGTCAAAAGCTTCAACTAAAGGGGCAACTGAAAAGGACCCTTCTACAGCAGATAATGATGGTAAAGATGCTGAGGGCAAAGAGATCAAAGCCAAGACATCAAAGCCAAGGGCGAAAAAGACTGGTACTATGAGTAGCCACTTCCCGTCGGTAGAGGAGCCTGGAGTCTCTGAAAAGCAGAAAAAGGTTGATGTAAATGAGCCCCTTCACCTAGAACAAGCAGCCGCGCGGAGATTGGATTGGACACCTCCAGCTCAGAAGACAGTTGTCAACGTTGATTCAGATTCGTCAGCTTTCAAGCAGCTAGGTTCTTCGGAGGCAGGTCATCCTCTACCTATCTTCAAGGATATGGTCGAAGGGTACTCTTGTTTGGAAGTTACAACGGAACCTGCACCCCAGACAATGCTGAGCGCCTCGGACGAGGACTCGAGTTTCTTGAAGAAGCGAAAGCGCATCGAACTTTTAGCAACCAAAGGTGGAAACACGACAGCAGTACCGCCAGAGAAATCACCCACCAAGAAACCCCCGAAGAAGAAGAAGCCCAGAACTATAACGGAGCTTGCAACAGCTGCATACAGAGTTCCTAGTCAGCCTGAAACTGAGACCCCAGATGATTCTATACTTGATCACTTTCAGACAACTAACAATGAGGCGGGCACAGCAGGCGACGCACCGCCTAAAACCACAAAAGGCAAAGGAAATCAGAAACGGAAAACGTCAAAGGCGCCCAAAAAGAAAGCACCTCCCAAACCCATGTTATTGTCGCCTAGTACAGCGTTGGCACAGGTCGCCAATCAAGATTTTGTCTTCGGAACCTCAAGCCAGCTGGCCAGGGAAGAATCTCCAACAGTGTTGAGAGATCTTCAAGCTGCTTTGAGGCAGTCGAACCAGAACGACGATATGGATTTCGCTGTACCCATTAACAGTGATGCCATCGAACCACCAGAGCAACGAAGTAATCTTTGGGATGCAGCAGCCCGAGATGCCGAAGGAGATCTCTTCGATGTTGAAGTGATCAACTTGATAGAAGACACGTCGCGACTACAACAGCAGGATGATTCCGCGAACCCATTCGGATATCGTTTAGGCGGAGATGAATCAGTCATCGCCATCGAGGCCCCGGTGTCAGACACGCATGTTACATTTAGCAAGCCTCCGGACGCTTTGCAATCGCCTGGTGAAAGGGCCGCGCATGCCTCGGGGGATGATTCTCCATACTTCTCAGACAGTGATCTGTCGACAAGTACAAATATACAACGCTCGGTACCTGAGCAGAAAGAGATTGAGCAACAACGCCTGGCGATTTCAATGGCAGAGCCTGACAAACTACCTCAAGTCTCGCCACAGCCACCTCGACCCAACTACGAAGGTTTCACAGATATTCGACTCGCAAGGGAAATAAAAAAGTTCGGGTTCAAGCCTATCAAGCGAAGAAGTGCCATGATTGCCTTGCTCGACCAATGTTGGCAGAGTAAGGTTCGTATGGTCCAGGCGGGTTTTCATGCCAGCGCTAAGTCACCTGCTATTTCTAAAACTACCAAAAAGACGAGCTCGCCAGCAACCACAAGCAGCCAAAAGAGACCCAGGGGACGGCCGCGGAAGAGCAGCCTTAGCGCTCCGGAACCACAGGAGCCACCTCCTTCAGCTCAGCCTCCAGAAACTCCTAAGCGGCCTCGTGGTCGACCGAGGATAGACAGTTTGGGTTCATCACCAGGCATTATATCTCCCCGAAAATCTAAATCAGTTTCACCATCAAAGCGAGCGGCATCATCGCCTCGCCATGGGAAGGCTAGCAAGAAGTCTGTAATTGAGATCCCTGACTCCGAGGACAATGAAAGCGACTTCGTCTCTTCACCTCAAGCCAATCTTGACCGAATGTTTTCCTCCCCACCTCCCTTGGATATGTCCCTCACCACCAATGACAGCACAGAACCTCCGCTTACAGCAACCCCGACCGATCAAGAAGTGGCGTTGTTCGAGCACATCACCAATGCCGTCAGATCAGCCCCACGTACTACTGATCCGCAAGAGCCTTCATGGCATGAGAAGATATTACTCTATGACCCAGTTGTGCTGGAGGATCTCGCAACATGGCTCAACACTGGCGAACTCAGTCGTGTGGGTTACGACGGAGAAGTAAACCCGAACGATGTCAAAAAATGGTGCGAGTCGAAAAGTATATGCTGCCTGTGGCGAGTCACTCATCGAGGCAACGAACGAAAACGATTTTGATATATTGAACAGCGAGCATTGCGATGTCTTTGTTCTTCTTCCGAGTCTTCTGAATTATGATGACATTCGTCAACAACATAAGTCTATATTCACTTTTACGATGTCTTTTAAGCGTATCAGTTGAGCGTATGTGGACTCCGCTGTACAATGTGGTTTTGGACATGCGGAAACTTAGATGATACAGCACTTACTGTTTGACTAGACGAAGACGAGCTCAATGCTTATGCCACGGCAATAATCAATACATTTCAAGATAACGACAGATTGCCTCTCAAAGGCAGAAATTCATATTTACATTCTGGTCCCTTCGTGCTCACATGCGCCTGCGCGGGTATCAATTCATTCCAGCACTTCACATCGATTCACTTTCCTCCGGCTTTCTTGTTCTCTGATCCTTGCGCTGCCCAAATGTCAGGTAACTGAGGTTCCGTGGCGATGTAAATTTTAATGGCTCTATGTCTGTTAGTGCTGGGCGAAACGAAAACGAATGCATAACCTCTTACTCGGATTGATCAGCCATGGCGATTTTCAGCAATCGATGCTTCTTATAATGATGATAGGGCTTATGGAACACTGGCAGGTCTTGGTCGCCAGTTGATAAGTTAATGGGAATGTTGTTGTTTTTGCTGTGGGAAAAATATTCTTGATGATCGGGCTGCTTGGCGACTAATTTATATTTCGAACTAGCGCCTATCAACCCAGCGCAGCGTCTTTCGGTCTTTGCAACACAACGTCTCTGGGATCCGACCTCGACAATTCAATCGTCACCTATCCTCCCGGGCACCAATGATAACACACCACATCGCTCTCTTGAGGCTCTGCTCTTTCTCAGCTGCTCCACCAGTAGCTTGCAGACCACACCATCTCGCAGGAAGCTTTGGGGTTATGTTAACGGTGTTGCGAGCGGATGTAACGCACTTGATCGGTCTACCCGCAAGATAATCGAAGGTGAAGATGGCGCACCAATGACAACCCTTGGCACTTGCTTGCGTTTTCGAACAACCCAACCTGGGGCAGCTAAGCTGGCTGCATGGTTGGTGCATAGCGGCTAGGATTCTTATCGGGGAAAAGGACACAGTTAGCAGCCCAAGGTGCCTCCCGTGACCTTGTGCTGCTAATGGTTGCAGAGTCGGTGACGATGTTGGCCTTTACGTGCAGATCGTGACAGCTCATCGAACATCACGAACAATACAGCTATTGATTCTCAGTGTCTTGGATCTGTGGTGGGGCTACCAGGACGAATCTATCTTTGGTCCATTCACCAGAGGTAGCCTCCATTGTATTGTCTGGGGGAGATGTGTTCATAGGGAAGCTCCCTTGCGTTTTGCCATCTGCGTCGATGATCATGCCTCCAAGATCATACATGTCTTGGCGCTGGAACCCCGCCAACGGCCCGGTTAGCCAGAAACCTACATTGATATGCATCCCGCAGACCACACCAACTATTCCTCACCTGAGCCAGCGAATCAATCATCATGACTACTTACCAGCACCCCGAGCTGGCCACCTAAACTGGCCTCTTCCGTTGGCAACTTGAATCACGTTTGATTACTGTGGCAATAATGAGGCTCTGCTCTTGGTGACTTTCTATGTTGGCCGGTCCCGATTTCACCAAATGCCGCATCTCGAATCGTCATTCTTTATGCGCGCCGTATAGTTCTTACTTGTCAATTGCTAACTGGTGGAATGTCGAATTGAAGAGGGCAGTTGGACAGAGATCCCATGCGGTGTTGGATCTCCGTGCCGCACCATTGAGCAAGAAGCAACTTTACTCAAGGGCAGCGGTGGAACATTGGAGCTTATGATAGGCTTTGGGTGTGAGCACACAGATGCTAGCTATCACAATGAAGGGTTGCGCATATGCTTTAGCTTCAAGGGCTAAATTACAGATGGCGACCATGATCTAGGCCTTTATTTTGCTGCCAGTCAATGGAGCCACATTCCCTTTATCGTAGTCTTGCCGGCTCCGACGCGGCCTCTTGACGCTGAGGATGCCCGGCTTTGATTCGCCTCCCTTCCGGCATAGTGGGGCCGCTCCGAATCCGTGTTTAATGGTAACGGGCTCCGACGACGTTAATTGTAGAGGTCCGCTGGGCCATGAAAGAAGATACCTATCAATCATGCTTTAACAATTCATTGCACAGTGAATCTTACTGCATGGAAATTGAGAAGACGCCACCTCGATTGGTATGCCACCACCAAACGATTTGCTGCTGCTGTGTTAAGAACGCAGCCTGACTTGGTGAGATAAGGAACTCCGAAATCTCTTGACTGTTATCGCCTAGAGAAAATGGTTTGATGTGTTTAATTCCGCTGTCAGGATGAAGGCGCGTACTCTCGGCTTTGATATCTGCCAATCGCATTTCTCAATTGGCGTTACATCTCGTCTAGTGGGATGTGTGTCAAATGATACCAGCTGTCTGGTTGCCTTAAACCTTCAATCCCACTATCATGACGTGCCGCAGGCGATCTCATTTTATGAGAGACGGCAGCTGCAAGGCAATCGACTTGTGACATATCGCAATCAGTCATGCTTTTTAAAAAGGATGGTTAAGGTTCAGGTCCTGGCAGATTATCTGCCACTTCTACAAGTCTCGTGATCCCTAGTGACGCAAGATCTATTGTATTGATAACATTGATCTATCGGTGGTTGCCTATTGGCTTTGGTCTAGGCGTGGAGGGTTCAAACCTTCTCCAGATCCGCGCCGTTAGAACAGTTTAAGCCGAAGAACGTGGTCAGCAAAGCTCAAACTTTAAGAACGTCTTGTGATATGAGCTACCATCAGACATCATGGCCTAGATGCACTTTTGCATGTGAAGGTGAAAGGATATTCCTAACTTTTCTTGCCGAAGCTGAGGTGAATTATTGAGAGAACAGCATGATGATCTACTTACTTGTTTTGCGTGATCGCTTGGATTGGCGCGAGCCGCATATCGTACATATACCCATTTCTACCTGTAAAAGTCCGGACAACTCATGACCGGCTCGGTGATATGATCGGTCTCCGCCCAGTAGCGGACGCATTGACTCGGCGTGGTTGAACCATTCGATTTATGACTCTTCCAATGCATGCATGTACAGTTCTTCTGTGAAGAAGAGAGCCTGTGGAAATGGCTGCATAAGTAACAAATGGCCTCACAACTCGGAAGCTTCGGAAACTTGAATGCCTCATATATATACTCATTGGGAATAACCATAACTTGATAGTTTTATGGTTATGCATACAAAGAGAGGACCGTTATGAAATAAATGTTTTTTAGCACTTGGTTCAAATGGAAGGGAGATTCTTTGATGACGACAAGATTGATCCGAGGATTCAGTGCTAGTGCCAAACACGGAATTAGTGCTGACTTTATTCTTTGAATGATTAATCGTAGACTGATGGCATCAAATAAGAGTCTAGAAGCCAGGACTGCTCGCGCTGTCAAACCTGGTACCCAGCGCTAACCATCAGCTAGAACCTACGGATACAGCCCTAGACAATCGAAAAGTCCCCAGAAAGTTAGAGGCGATGGTGCCAAGCTGCCAAGGCAGGGCAGGCACGGATCTCAATAGAGGAAATACGACAAACAACCTGACCCGAGTCGAGACCCCTCACCCTCTGGTTCCTTCTGGTCCTTCTGGTCCCTCAGGTCCCCAATCATTTCATTCCTACCACTGCAGGGACAGACAATCCTCAGCACTCTTCAACTCACCCAACGCTTTTCTTTATGTTTCACAAAGACCTGGACCTACGGATACAGCCTTCTCGTTCTCAGCCTCTTCTTGGCTTTTTTCTGGCTTCACGACAGGCACTCTCTTGCATGACTGACGTTGCGCTCTAGCACGTAGGTTCACCTGCGTCACCGCACCAGCACCAGCACCAGCGTCCCCTTCCGCTTCTGCATAGCGTAGCGTAGCAAGTTGATGGCCTCGCCCGCATTCCGCCCATTCCAAGCCCGGCTCCGACTCCGCGGACACTCCGCCTATCCTCTGCCCGATCGACTCGACGCATTTTCGAACATAGTCCCTTAACTCAATTCTCATCATTGTCTCCCGCTGTCCAACCAACGTTACACAACAATGGCCAACTACATAGAGGGTTTAGCCCTCGGATACGGCTTCAACAATACCAATCTGCCCGAGGGGCTTGATTCTGCGCAACAGTCCACAGCATCGCCCTCATCCAATACCCAGCAAGATGCTTCGTCATACACCCAACCGACGACTTCCTTCCAAGGCAACGTTACTGTCTATCAGACGACAGGCCCCGATGCCCATACGGGTCCGATCCAGCAACCCGGAAGCAACGCTCCCGCCCTGAACCCGCGATCATGCGTAACCTGTCGCCGCCGGAAAGTCCGTTGCGACAAGCAGATGCCGTGTTCCAACTGTCGTCGAGCACAAATTCCCTGCGTTTTCCCCGCCCCTGGGAGGGCACCGCGGCAGCCGCGCCGAAAGGACCCTAACGCCCCCACCAAGAACTCAAGCCAGCGCGAGATCGAGTTGATGAAGAGGTTGAGGAAGCTGGAAGGCATAGTGGAAGAACTCAGTGGACAGATCGAGGTCGAGTCTGGGGGCAAAGGTGCCTCATCTGCTAGTTCACCTGAGGCTGCACATGCAGGTCAAAACACATCGTTTGAGACATCGGCACCTAACCCTCAAAGGCATCTATCAAACGCATCTTCTCACCATGGAAACACGGGAATGGTTGGTGACAGCCCACGGGGTAGCGATGCTACAAGTGAACACAGTGAGGCAGCGCGCAAAAATATGCACAAAAAGTTTGGACGACTGGTTTTAAACGATACAGCTGGAAGCCGAAGATATGTCAGCCATGGATTTTGGTCAAAGCTTAATGACGAGGTTTGTTTGTTTTTCAACGTTATAACTGCATGGCTGACTTTGCAACTAGCTCGACTTGATACGAGAAGAAACACAAAGACTCACCGATGAGGACTTCGACGATTCGGATGAAGAGACTCCAGACAGCTCACCGGCAGCTGCGCTCACAGCGAACCACAATGCCTTCATCTTTGGATATCGCACTGCAGATGTGGATTTGGAAAACCAATGGCCTCTGCCTTCGCATATCCCATTTCTATGGTCTGTATACCAGGACAATGTGGAGCCATTGCTTAAAGTGTTGCATATACCAACTATGGAGCCCGTCTTTCGAGATGCGAGAAAGGATCGCAAACAACTGTCTCCTGCGAACGAGGCCCTTGTCTGGTCAATTTACTATGCTGCAATTATGTCACTAGAACCCGAGGAGGTATGAAACCCACAGAGCTATGAGTGTGGAAAATAATGCTAAGTCTAACCAGGTACAAGCCAATCTTGGCATCAACAAAGAGGATGTTCTTGTACAGTACCGTTTCGCGGTCGAGCAAGCTCTAGCCAAGGCCAACTTCCTTAACTCATTAGACACCACGATTATCCAAGCCTTTCTCATATTCCTCTTTGTAGTCAAGGGCCAAGATCAGAGTAGATTCTGTTGGTCGTTGACCGGCTTGGTAGCTCATCTTGCTCAGGGCATGGGTCTTCATCGCGATGGGTCACATTTCGGATTAAGCCCTTTCGAAACCGAAATGCGAAGACGTCTTTGGTGGACATTACTTCTCCTGGATCTTCGGTCGGCCGATGATCTGGGTACTGACCTTATCATCCAGGAGTTCAATTATGATACGCAGATGCCAAGCAACATCAACGATACCGATATCAAACCTGACTCAGCAGAGTCACCGGAACCCAGAGAAGGTCACTCTGACTGTGCATTGGCCCTCATCCGTTTTGAGATTGCAGGCTTTGGCAGACGTCTCCTTCGCCTATCATCTGCTTCCATGTCATTTTGCCCCAACGGCACGGCTTATGAAAATACCAGTCTTGCTGATCGAGAGCGTATGCTTATCGACGTTTACGAGAGAGTCGAGCACAAGTTCCTGAAGCATGTCACGGATGATGCGGATCCTATGTACTGGGTGGCGGCCTCCATCGCTCGCATAATTATGGCCAAGATGACTCTAGTGATCTACCAGCCGGCGCTCTTCCCAGGCTCAGACAGTGAAGGTACGCTTTCGGAAGAGGCGAGGGAGCGCGCCTACTTGGCGGCGATCGAGATCACCGAATACAATCATATCTTGAATAGCGATCCAAGGTGTAAGCAGTTCAAGTGGCTCTTCAAAGGATATACCAACTGGTCAGCTATGGCCTACTTTCTCATTGCTAGTTGCCGTCGGCCATGGACTCCTCTCGTGGAGCGTGGCTGGCAAGCTCTACACGGGTACGATGGCCACCCAGCCCTTCTCCCACGGACTGCCGATCTCACAGTTGTCGTAATGCCTATCAGAAAGCTTTATGCGAGAGCCCAAAGGCACCGTGCAGCTGAGATTACTCGGCTTCGTGGTAATCCCGAGGAAGCACGCAGACTGGAGTTCGAAGAGAGGAATAACCCCAGCTACCAAACTCGATTTGGACAAGCTGCTGATGGAGCAGTCAACAAAATGGAAGAGATAAGAAACAACTGGAAAACTCTGGTGCGATCCGACGGCAGCAACATAAAGATGTCTACTCCAGCCGAGATGAGCCCTGTAGCGCCACCCGCGATGCTCCAACCAATGCAACCGCAAGCTCCGTCTCGTCCTCGAACGCCTTTGGCCAACGATGTACCGGGAAGTCTGGATCTTTCTGACACGACCATGGGTTACATGAACGAGATGATGTCGCAAGATTCGAGTTTTCCTATGGTAAATTTCTGGCCCCTGAATGACGTCGGCTCGGCTCAGATTAAGGCCATGGGAACTGGAGCGACGCCGATGCAAGCCGTTAATCAGTTGCCTCAGCAGCACACGACACAAGTCGGAGACATTGGCCAACAATTTTCTCTCGATGCCATGCATTTGCCCAAAGACGACAATCAAGCTTATTTCTGGAACGGTCCATTCCCATCCGTACACACAAATTATGACGGCATGGGTGTAGACGACGTTGATATGATTGGAGAAGATTTCAATTGGCATAGTTGGAGCCAGAACGTTCGTGGTCTGTAGATAGAGGAGCACCGGACAGTTGATAAGTTTGAAGCTTATCGGTTGGTTAATGGGTGACGATGATACATAGGGTGCACGAGGAGTAATTATGCATGCATGATACGGTTGATACCCGATGGAATGTACAAAGTGAGATACCGCGGACTTAGACAATCTTCTATTGTAGAATACAAATACTAATATCTTATCTCTCGTTATTCTTTTATGTACTAGTTGTTGGTTGTGACTCCTCTACTCTCCGTCTCGTGATTTCGCAATGTATACCTTAAAGATATATGATTTGATTATTAGGATTGGTCTATTTACTGAATATCTCCTCTAAGGGTTTGACAAGTTTTGAGAATTTCATCCCTAGTGTGCTGCAGCACAAACGAAGCCAGTGCCTTGTAGTTATTCATAACCATGTGCTCTTGGTTCTGAGAGGCTTTCAAGGCACTTGACTCGACGGCAATCCGTAGGTATAGCTGTCTATCTTGTTTCGTTTGCCCAATGCAGATAACGCCGAATCCAAACCTAAGAAGCAAGGCATTTAGAACAAGGCGGCACATTCGGCCGTTGCCGTCGGCGAAGGGATGGATATTGACGAATTGATGGCAATATTTACTCGCCAATTCCAATTTATCCATCTCGCCCTTTTCTATACCGCTTTCCAGGGCTTCGATCATATCGCGCATCGCGCAAGGGACTCTGCTATCATCCATAAAGATATGGGAACCGCATCTGACGTCGCATGTTCGGTACACGCCGCTGTAGTATATCCACGGTGTTTGCCCAGCATCGATCTTGTAAGTCAGGATAGCGTGCGTTTCGTTGATGATGCTCTGTGATAAATCCTCACCCTTCCCGACTTTGTCGAATATGTACTCTGCTGCCTGGGCATGCTGAACGATTTCTCGGTAACTCTGGAGAATCCGTGCATGGTCGTGCGGCAATTCCCTGCTTTGCAGATGCAGTTGGATGTCATCATAATCGGGGTCAGTCTCGGTAATCTCCTCCGAGACGTCCTCTCCCTCTTTGTCCAAGACCATGCGGCAGAGTTTGCGTGTGGTCTCGAGACTGCCTCCAGCAAACTCGATCATATTGGAGCCGTAGATCATTCTGGAGAGCTGCTCAATGAATAATTCATTGAGGACTTTTTCCTGATCTTTTGATTTCGCTTTCGTAAGTTCTGATAGCTCAGGGAGCAAGGCATGTAGTTCGCGATGGATTTCGTCGGGGTTTGATCCTCCCAGGGTATCTTTGTTGTCTGTTGTGAATGCCATTTTTACAGATAGCGTTATGGAGATGAATTGAATATACGATGTATCAAGAGTTAAACTTTATAGATGAGCTTGCAAGGAAGACCAAGAAATGAGTTCGGGGGAGATGCTCTCTTTTATAACTTTTTCTTAAGGTTTGACTTGAGACAGAGTGTTTATACTCACTTTTATTTGTCCATATTTACCTTCACTCACATACAACTTATACCTAAAGCCCAGTATAACTCTCTCGAAGTCAACAAAGTTTTGCTTAACTTAGTCTATCCTTAGTTGACTATACATAAACTCATATAAAATATATCATCATAACTTTGTCGAATTTCGATGATGTTCGTTCTTCTTCTATATCTTGTCAAAATGAAAAATCACAACTTCACCTCGTCATCTTTACCCTTCCTTTCTTCCTTCAGGACGTCTTCTCGCCTGCGAACTTCGACATCACTAGGCCCGCCTTTGCCAAAGTTTACAAGAACCACACGTTCCCAATCACCTCCTCTATCCGAGCCTCTAAGTTCCGGACCTGGCTTATCTAGCCCCAAAACAATCCTTTTGTCTTGTTTCCTTATAAACAGATTATGCGGGCTCATAACTTTGTCGCCCCACGGAATCATAGCTGTCTTATGGTCCTGGCCCTTTGCTGTCTCCGCAGTGGGTACTTTCTCTAGAAAAGTGAGTAGCTTATTTCGCTGCACTGTGATCTGTTGGGGGTCAGGTGTTTCTAAAGATTGATTCAATTCTTGGAAGATTTCATCGACGAGGGTAAGAAGATATGCCTGTGGTGGGAAGAGAATAATGCTGTTTGTGGCGGCGCGTGAGAGGAAGGATTTAGCGGGTGCAAAGAGAGCGGCTGTGTGTTCAACGCCGTTGTCGGGTGTTGGGATGAGCATCTCTGAAGGCATGTCTTTGCGTGATTGCGGGAGCATGTAGAGATACATCTGAGTGGTGAAGCGTTTGGTGTTGATTGCTGGTGTGATCCACCGCGTAAAGGGGATAAGGCCGTCTAAATAATTGGTCAACAATCAGTTAAAGTTGTTCTCTATTTCTTCAGTTCATTCATACCAAGATCTGGCTCAGCGCCTAAAGACTTCAGCCAGTCCATAAACTTGATCTGGTTGTTATGTATCTGTTTCCTTGCCCGATCTCTATCCTCACTGCTCAAGTTTATGAGCTCATTATCCTTCTTGGCTAACAAAATACCCGTCTCTTCGAACGTCTCTCTGATAGCGCCTATCCTGTAAGCGTGACCGTCATGATGCCTCTCTGGCGAGTCTTCGGCGGGGATGTAACCATCATGGTAAGGGTCTAAGTTCCCACCAGGGAAGACATGCGCCGAGGCAAACGATGTGGATGTGTGCACGCGGTGAAGAAGTAGCACCTCATTGACTGGTGAAACCACAAGAACTGAAGAACTTGGCCGTGGTTCTGAAGGTGGGGGTTTTCCTGTTGACGAGGACAGTGGTCGGGAAGTCATGATAGGTAGGTTGAGCTTGGGGATGAAGTTATATCTTGGAGTAGTCAAATTGGTGGTACAGAAAAGATGTCGTGACGAAGACCGCCTAAAGGCACAGAGGAGGAAAGACATGAGTGCCAACTATACGAATAGTAATTGGCCTTTGACCAATAGTTGGCAATACAACTTAATTGACTGCTGTAGGCGCGCATGTGAGGGTTTGAGCGCGGTCCAGGTGACGTCGAGCCGAGGTCCCGCTTCGCGATGGGTAACTATCGGCTCCGAGTCACCGGACGGCAACGCGGGGGTCCGGCCGGAGTGGTTACGAGCGGGGTTTGTTGTATGAAATATGAGCTTCAAGTAGTAGGTACTGAAATTTAATACTTATTTGAGTCAAGCATTCTCTGAGAGGTTGTGCGTTTATTGACGTGTGTGGTGGCTCTTTACTAATTTTCCTATTTGCTCAAGAGTAAGTAAAATGCCCCAAACCACAAACTGCATGTCGTTCCGGTACATAACACATAAGTCCCAGGATAAATACACAAGGAAAGCTTTAAAACTCTCTTATAGTATTTATTACTTGTTATAATTGGTTCATTAGTGTGAATGGTTAAGTCTGCTCAGTCTGCGTGTGTGTTCTAGGGTAGACTTCGACGATTTACTGGGAGAAAAACTAATACGGTAACCTTCAAACTTTGAACTTCGAACTTTATACGCTATGAAACTACTCGGTACAAATGGCGACCATCTTCAGCAAAATCTATAACACCGTAAGGAAAAAGAAGGAGACATATTGACGTGGACAGTTATTTCACAGAGGACGAACACAAGAGGAAGATAACACAAAAAGACAGCACTTCTCAATCATGATATAATGTTATAGGAACAGCCCGATGCGGGGGTCGAACCCGCAACCTTGAGATCGCGTACTCGTAAGAGTCTCACGCTCTACCGATTGAGCTAACCGGGCGTGCTACTCTGGGTGATCAAGCCCTTGAGTTGAGTTGGGGAGAGTGTTTGAAATTGGGGTTATACAGGCTAAGAGTAGTCTTCGGTGAAAAGTGTGTGAGTCTTTGGTGTAAACGATTGGGTCATCTTTTGTGGTTTAGTGGAGTCCCCACTGATACCTGATTGGTGCTTCGTTCTTTCCCAGGCTGCCAGGCCCTCAATTCGACTTTGGCGGCAGGTGCAAGTCACGTGCCTTGATCCCACCTTCTTCGTCTAGGGTTTCTCCCCCACGAAAAACAATTTCGCCTGAAAACTGGTAGCTACTGTTTGTTCACGGCATCTCGAGACCCGGCAAGACCACGACACTTTACGAAGTAACGCCACACTAACCCTTCAGACATAATGGCCAAGATCTCGTAAGTCGCTCTCTCCCTCTGCGGATTTGATTGTCAGGTCTTTGCTCTCTCGTCCTTTTTCGTCATCATCTCGATCATTTTCTTTGCCAACTTCTCCGAATGCGCAAAAAGAGTTGGGACATTATTTCTGAGTTGGCGGTTTGGCGGGGAGGAAACGTCAAGGATTTTCCTGTCGACGCACACAACGAAAACAAGATAAAACGACCAGAACCAGACCACCAAAGACACGGCATCACTATCTCGGTTGGTAACGACGACATTCATGGCCTTGTGCTTCGAATTCTGACCTTCGATTCCGACATCAGCATCCTACACCACAAAGTGTGACGCACCTCCGACAAATCTTGGCAGAGAAAATTCGAGATGTAGCGAGAACGAGACCGCAAGACGAACGAGATCTTCAACCAAACAGAGTACTGACAAAATGTCTACAGGCGTGGTGCCCCTGGTGGCAAGCTCAAGATGACCCTGGGTCTCCCTGTGTACGAATCCTCCCACCTCGTTTCCTACCGGTTCAGCAAACTAACACCCTCTCCAGTGGTGCCGTCATGAACTGCGCCGACAACTCCGGTGCCCGAAACCTCTACATCATCTCCGTCAAGGGTATCGGTGCCCGCCTGAACCGATTGCCCGCTGGTGGTGTCGGTGACATGGTCATGGCCACCGTCAAAAAGGGAAAGCCCGAGCTCCGAAAGAAGGTCCACCCCGCCGTTATCGTCCGACAGTCCAAGCCCTGGAAGCGATTCGACGGTGTCTTCCTTTACTTCGAGGACAACGCTGGTGTGGTATGTTACGAACGCATGTGTATATCTGCAATGACGCATGGCTAACTAAGATGCTACAGATCGTCAACCCCAAGGGTGAGATGAAGGGATCCGCCATCACTGGTCCCGTTGGTAAGGAGGCTGCTGAGTTGTGGCCCGTAAGTTCACCTCCACTTCTGAGTCACGCACTTCAAATAACTAACACTCTTCAGCGTATTGCCAGCAACTCCGGTGTCGTCATGTAAGGTGCTTGCTTAAGAATCAAGGAAAGACAAAAGGGCGTGCGGTTGCGTGGTGGTTGGGTTTCTGTCCCGAATGCGATCAGATAGAGCGCGGTAAAGAAACATTTTCCCCCTCCTCCCCGAACACTTCTTATTTCCTTTTTCTTCCCGACAAAAATTTGCTCGGGGGAAACGGGGGGAGGGCGAAACAGGGGGGAATGTTCTTTTTATCTACTACTTTTAAAGTCGCTGGATTGGCACGAGGCTCTTGCATTTCGGTTGCGGCGTGTAAGGATGATTCACATACCAGGCATTCACATCAAGGACAAAACAAAAGTCACTTCAAACGATTTCCCCCTGGGCGTTGTGTTCTTTTTTGGGTTAAACTACGTGCAACTCTCCTCCCGCCGTGAACCCTGTGATCTATGTTGATGTGAAATGTGCTTACCTGTGTATGATGTGCAGCTGCTGCTCAGTCACGCCGTAGTTAGAATCTGATGCTGTATGGGGCTCATTGGCGAATAGGAGAAGATTAAGGTTTATCATTGAAGTTGGTGGCTACCCTGTGGTGAAAAGAATTCACACGGCTCTTGTATTCTCTTCTAACCAGAACGAAGTTGTACTATCCGGAGTGAAAAGAAATGAATACTTCTACTGATAGCTGTGCGTTTTCTTTCTTACAGCAATCATTCATGGTGTCTTGCTGGTGAAACAGACCACTGTTTGAATAACAAGATGTTGCTGCATTTCTCTGTTGGACTTTGACAACTTACCTCCAGCTGAAATGCTCTTGGATCCTCCAACGTTTTACAAAAATACGTAGTTGATCATACTACAAAACACAGTCATGAGGCATGACGAGAGACACTTAATATATATAACTTGGTATTAAAGATATTCTTTTAGGCGCTAGCTGCGACGTTTGCCACTCCTTTCCTCACGCTTGGCCTCCCATGTCGGGCCAATTACCATTTGATGCCGAAGGATTATGCAAAGCCCCCGATGAATGCAGCTTAAGTGAACAACAATAAAGCACGAGTAAAAAAAACAGCAGAGAAAAGCAAGAACCAGGAAAAAACAATCCGAATCTAATTTACAAGAGAAAACGTGCAAGGAAAGCAGCATCCAAAAAGCCTTTCTTGTTATCCGTAGAATACAGAGCGACTGCATATACCAGGTGGGAGACTGCGCATATCTCTTGGCATTTCGTGAGTGTTACATCGAGCGACTGGGCTTTTTGCCGAGAGCTCAAAAAATCATTTTTCTTTTTTTTGGTAGTTTTGTTGGGTCCAGTCTAAGACCAGATCGTAGCTAGACGATTCTATGATCGATCAACGAACCAGTTAAAAGAACTGGTTGTGAAATGCTCATCTCCTCTAGTAGGGGTACCCCATGCCAGGCATGCCGTGTCCATGACCATGGTTGTTGTGTTGGCCGTGTCCATGGATGAAAGGCGGAGGAGGATTTCCAGGCTGATGAGGCGGGGGAGGAGGGGGAAGATGGTGTGGGTGAGGCTGGTGCATCTGTGGCGGCTGGTGCTGCTGGAGATGAAGTGGATGATGCGGGTGCTGGTGCTGGTGTTGATGCTGATACTGATCGGGGTGTTGATGTTGATGTTGGGGCTGAGGAGGGAGCTGATGATGCTGATGCTGATGGGGATGCATTGGTGGCTGCTGGTGAAGCATAGGCGGCTGTTGTTGTTGTTGTTGTTGTTGTTGCTGCTGCTGCTGCTGCTGCTGTTGCTGTTGTGGCACCTGAGGCTGGTCTGGTTGCATATGCATCTTGAGAGTAGAATCTCTCTTGACAGTGGCCTTGTTGCCCTTGGGCTTGGGAGTGACGACACCTGTTCTTTGCTCGGCTGCCGCTTGAGCCGCCTTTTTAGCAGCCAGGGTCGCTTTACGTTTCTCAACGGCTCCGGCCATGTTACCATTGGCCCATCGATCTGCAGAGTGTTAGTGGACGTATAGTATAGAGTAATCGGTTAAATAGCTTACTCTTCATAGAGGCCGACATCTTCTCGGACTTGGTCATTGACTTGTAGTCCTTAGGACTATCATCACCCTCCTCGACAGGAGTAACAGCAGGCGCAGGGGGTTGAGGTGGAGGGGGAGATGCTCCTCCATTCTTGTTATCCTGGCTAGACCTCACAACCTTGATCTTTTGAATCTTGCGATTGGTTTGGGCCTGTGCCGGTTCAATAGAAGGAGTTGGCGTAGAAGCAGTCGATATAATCTCGCTAGTAGTGGTACCGCCGCTTGTTCGCTTGCCTCTCTTCTTTGGTGGCGCCTGAGCTGACTCCTCAGCCTCATCAGGATCGTCGCGGAAACGCTTCTGTCGTTTAGGCCGGAAAGAGTAGGCAGATTCGACAGTGTGAGCAGACTCCTCCGAGGAGGCGGTTGTAGGGCGTGAATCACCATTGTCTACGATCTCCATATCAGGCGTAGCCTCGATTAAGAAACCTCTGGGAAGTTTGAGGGTGAGAAGATGTCGACGGACAGGTGGCTTCTCGTCCTTCTCTTCCTCCTCCGCTTCTTCCTCTTCCTCTTCCTCCTCCTGGGGTTCATCGTCGACAAACTCATTCGGGTCAGCTTCTTCATACTTAACAGCAGGTCTAGCACGGCCGCGACGAGTCGACTTCGAAGGCTCTTCTTGTGCTGCTTCCTCAGCATCTAGTGTCGAGACAGGATCCTCAGCGAAAGCAGCATTCTTGCCACGGGTGCCACGTTTGCGTCTGGTCTTTGGACCCGCAGCCTCACTATCCGAGGCAGCCTCGTTGTTGAAACTGACCGATGGGGCAGGCTGGACATCATCATCACCGTTGGCATTCTTGCGTCGACGAGCACCGCCACGAGTTGTTGGCACAGGTGTTGAGCTTCGACTAACGTCTTGTGTCGCAGGATCGAAGAGTTGGACAGGCTTGCGTTGCCGCTTGCCGACCACCTCGTCAGTCTCTGTGGCCTTGGCAGTCTGCTTGGGCTGATTTCGAAGGGATCGCCCACGGGTCATAATTCCGACTTGCTGTGTCTCGGGGTTCTGTTTGCCAATCTTTGAAGGATGGGGATCATACTCGAACCCGTAGGTGGCTGCCATGATGCGGTCTTGTCCTTGGAGATAGCGAGTCTCGTTGAGACCTTCCTTATCGCGAGACTTGTAACCCTTGACGGCAAATTCAGGCTCCTCATAATTGACACCGTGCTGGCGGAGGTTGCGAGTGCGAGCTTCGTACTTGGCATCGGCAGCTCGTCGACGGAGAGAATTCTCGTGATCATCAACAATTGCACCCTGGTCAGTCCACTCATCCTGCCACTGAACTAAGGAAATATTGATGGCTTCGAGGACTTCAAATAAGTCCTCAGTCGACATGTCTTCATAGTTTTCAACGGCGGAGATGTACTCTTCGGGATCTCTCAACTTTCTGTACTTGTAGTAACGGTTGCGCCCGGGTAATTCCTGAGACTCGGATACGTCAGCCTCATCACCGTCTTCCCCAATGGGAGCAGGCGAATTGAAAGCAGTTGGATCTGCAGAGTCTGCTACAGGCGAACCACGAGTGGGCGTGTTAAGTGCTGGAGTAGGCGCCTCAAGTCCTCCACCTTCTCCAGCGTCGTCCTGGTCATCTACCATTGGCTCCATGTCGGTATCTTTCCCTTCCGGGTTCGTATCGTCGGCCGTGCCGTCCTCGTTAGATTGCCCCTTCTTTTCTGGGTATAATACAAACTCGCCATCAACATAAGGCTTGAGGTGGGCCCAGCGCCCGACGGGGGTAGGCTGTGGCATTGATTCCATGGCAATTCGAGGAGCGATAGGCTTTCGAGGACTCGATTTTGTTTCTGAGGGTGCAGATGAAGCAGGGGTCTCGATGGTCTCTGCAGGAGGGGGAGTAGGGGCTCTTAACTCGGTGGGACTTGAGATAGCGACTGGCTCTTGGGCGACGGGAGCTTGAGGCGAGTCTGGAATTGGAAGCTCATCGACAGTGGCTACCACTTCTGCGGCTTCTTGATCTTTGTTGTTCTCGATGCTCTCGATGCCCTCATTGTTCAATTGTTCAACCTGCGCTGAGTCGCCGTTTACATCTGCAGGTGCAGGGGCTTCGGCGGCAGCATCAGCTGGGGGAAAGGTGCTATCACGAACTTGTTGAGAGTCTTCCAGTTCTTTGGCAGGCGAAGGTACAGGCGAGGGTACATGCGAGGGTGCAGGCGGCTCGGAAACTGACTTTGGTGGTGACTTTGGTAGTGGCGTAGAAAGAGTTTTTGATGCCAACGGAGACGAGGCTGCAGGCGGGGGAGGAGGCGGCGATGTTGGCGAAATCGCAGCAGCTGAAGTCGGCTCTTGAGTATCAAGTGGCGTAGCATCAGTCATTTCGACGTCTTGAGCAAGAGGCCCTTGGTTGACTGAATCGATTTCCATCTCATCCATCTTGTTTTCTTGATGCTGATTTAGCGACTGATCTGGGGATTCAGGGACTTCTTCAAGAGTTGTTTGATAGGGTGCTTCTTCCTTGATGCTGATGTTGTTGGTTGCAGAAGAATCAGGTTCGAAGTTGTCTTGAGGAAAAGGTTCAACGGCGGGGACTCCAGCAACGCTGTTTACAGGCTCAGATTCGGCTGCAGGAACAATAGGTGAATGAACAGATTCGCTCTTATTATTCATATTGTCTGCAGTGGCCGGCGGTGCTATTATCGGAGCTGTAACTGGCAGCGACACTGGCTCTGGCACCGGCTCTGGCACCGGCTCTGATACTGGCTGTGATACTGGCACTGCTGGCTCTAATACTGGCTCTGATACTGGCACTGGTATTGCCTCTGGTTCCACCTCTTTTGTTTGTGCATCTGATACCGTTGTGGCAGCCGGCTCAGATCTCGCATCTGGCACTGCTGCCGGCTCTTCTACCGCTGGCACATCATGATATACATCTGCTGCTGTAGAGGATTCCTGCTGAGTACTTAAAGCTTCTGGCTGGGTTTCCACTTTATGAAATTCCTCAATTTGCGGCTCTGTAGGCTGAGATATAGACTGCTCGATAGAGGTACCTGGAGGTTCCACAACAGAAGAAGCTAATTGCTCTGAAGAGACGTTCTCTAAAGTTTCTATTCCAGTAACAGCTTTCTCACCATGCGTTGACGGTTCGAGTTGATGAGCACCGTCAGGCTGAGGCCCAGACAACTCATGCTGAGTAAATTCCTTTTTAGGTGAATTTTTAGGTGAGCCTTTCGGGGACATCTTAGTTTGAGGGGATGAGTGATTTGACTCGGCAGGCTCTCTAAGCTCTGAATCGTCAACATCGGAATAATAGGCACCGACTTCAATTGTGTCTTGAACGTCGTTATCGTCATCCTGCAAAGCAGCGTGATGAAATGCCTTGAGGTCACTAGATTTGCGTGTCGGATTCTTCCGGCGATTGGACGGGGTGTCAGCACCCATTGAGGCGCCCCGTCTCTTTGGGTCATTGGTATAGAAGTCATCTGTGTCAAAGTTGACTTCGGATCTGCGTTTCTTGCCGCGTGCTGAAGAGGTTGAATTGGGAACAACAACGTCGTCGTCAATGTGCTCAAACGTGTAATCCACGCGAGCACGCTTACGAAGACTGTGTCCGCCCTTTCTAGGGCCATGCTCACCCCCATCTGGGATTGGAAAGTTATCCATAGTAGTAGATCGCCTCTTGGGGTTAGAGTTACGACTGCTACCTGGAGGTGAGAAAGAGAAGGTGTGTTGAAGAGGTTTGGTTGAGCGTCGACCACCAACACTTTGAGGCGTGGTATTGGGATTGGTATTAGTGTGAGCAATAACAGGGCTTGTGAGTGGGTTTGAGTCAAAAGAAGCTTCCGAAACAGAAGCAGAAGTAGGAGAAGCAGAAGCTCCCAGATGGCGGCGACGTTGTGGCATCCGGCGCGAGCGATCCATTGTCAGCCAAGAAAGGCTCTCAGAAGAAGATGAGGATGAGGCTGGGATGTTACAGCAAGGACGTGTAGCAGCCAGCCGGGCCCGCGAGAGGCGTCATGCGAGTGAGTCCACAGCCAAGGCAACTAAGTGCGCAGTGTTAAAACAGCAATCACCTGCTTATAAAGACAAGCAGCCTGAAATTGATAGCCAGGCAGAGGCAATGTTACCGAGGATAAGGCTCAAAGTGCGTGGATATGAATGAATGAGATGAGATGAGCGTGTCGGATGGAGTAAGAGAAACAAGCCAGGGCAGAGAAAGAATTTTGAAGTACAGGGCAGGGAATTGGCGGCGACCAAGACCAACCTGCAAAATGCACCAGACACCCAAGTAAAGTAAAAGCAAGACTAAAGCGTCTTGACAATATTGCAGGGCAGTAAGAAGTTAGTGGCCTGACTGATCTTTAATCCAGCCGTGTTTTGATGCCTTTACTGGGTGTGTAATATATGGTTAGAAGCGCGGTTGATGAAGACAGTCAGTCTCCTTTTGGCCCTGATGTTAGAATGGTCTCCGGTCGATTTTCTCGAGGTGTCCAGTCGTGGTCCGTCCGAATAAGCCAGCCAAGGCTAGGCCCCGCCTGGGGCCATGCTGTTAGTGGTATCCTGGCACGCCTGGCCACTGAAGGCTGGGACCTGAAAAACCGTGGGTACGTACCGGCCCCAGTAACCCCTTCTCCGGGGTTCCTCCAGGCCAATTAAATTATTGCTTTCTTCGGAACTACACGGCGCTAGTACGACCCGGGTATGAGCATGACCGTGTCGTCTGCTGTAAATCGCTGCGTGTTAGTGGTCGCTTATGTTGTTGTAAGTCATAGGTGAGCCAATAAAATCTACCTGATGAATACTTGGGCTGAGAGTTTGGGTGAGGCTTGTAACCCACAGAATCAGGTGTCTCGGCGAGTAGCCGACAAGTATCTGTTTTATAACATCAGCTCTTACAACTCTATTGAAAAATAGGAGATTCTCTTAGGAACGTAATGATATCACTACTATTAAACGTGAGCTTGCAATTATCGAAAAAATATTATAGACTACCTAGTCATTGCATAGACTTATAGACTTGGTTATCACTTTACTCGTAGTGATGTAACCTGATAATCCGTCTTGGAAACCGCACGTGTTAGACGTTCCTGCCTGTCTCCTGGACCCTTGCAGCTATGCCTACCTCCAGAGCTCCAACCATCTCCCTAGGTTCCCATTTCCTTTTGCGCCAAACAACCTTCTTTCAACCCCACCCTCGCCAAATCATCACAATTTGGGATAACCTCTGATAGACCGCCTAACCCATCTCTACAACGACACACTTTCTTTCTAGTTGCTGCAGAGGCAATCGCGACCATGGCGTCAAAGAAGACCAAGCCCACCCCCGGAGACGACGTCGATGTCGATGAGCTCTTCTCTGGTCTTGACCGCGAGAAGAAGCCAAAGAAGACCGCCAAGTCCAAGCCCACGTCTGCCGCATCGAAGGCAATTGCTGATTCGGACATACTTGCCGACCTTGAATCGGAGTTGGCTGAGCAACCTTCTCGACCTCATACCCCCCGACTCAAGGATGCTGTCGCCCGCCGTTCCACAGCCACACCTCCCGCTGGCGACCCTCGCAAATCTACAGATAGCGCACGTAGCTTGAAAGCCACATTTACACCGAGTGCCACAAGCTCAGAACTCCATGAAACCGAAAAGAAACCATCATCTGAGCCTATCCAACAGCCAGACCCAGCCCCTCAGGCCTCAGGTGGAGGATGGTGGGGTGGCATCTTGTCTACGGCCACCGCTACGGCCAGCGCTGCCATGAAGCAGGCCGAAGCCGCTGTTACCCAGATCCAGCAGAATGAAGAGGCCAAGAAGTGGGCAGACCAAGTCAAGGGAATCAGAGGACTCGATGTTAATACCCTCCGGACTTACGGTACGCTTTCTAACTCTAGGTTGAACGTTGTCCATAAAGCTAATTGGGACTTTAGGTGACGAACTCCGACATCGCGCTCTTCCCACCTTTACCAACATCCTGCATACCTTGGCGCCTCCTATCAGCTCACACGAACGTCTTCTCATCCATATCACCCACGATCTTGTCGGCTACCCCTCTCTCGATCCTCTGATTCATAACGTCTTTGGCCATGTGATGGCACAGGTTGAGGGTGGCGATCTCCTGGTCATTCAACGCGGTCAGGAGAGCCACTCTCGACGCAGCACCGATAGTGCTGCTGGATGGCACGACGGGCCTTGGTGGAGACAGACTGATACTGTTCGTGAGCTTGGGCTGATTAATGGTTTGGCGGAAGGCACCAAATTGTGCCGCGCCAATGCTGAATCGCACGCGACCGAATACTTCTCCGCCAACGGTGGCGTAGAGGAAGCCAAGCATAAGGCCACAGAAGACGTCAGCGAGACTAACCCAGTTCGAACCTCGGACTTGTTCTTGGCTGTTCAGGCAATTGCTGTCGACGCAGACAACAGCCTGTTTGCTCGCACTGCTTCGGCCGAGAAGGAGAAGAGCTCTTCCGATGTCCAGGACCAAGATGATGACGACGAGGAGCTCATTTGTTTTGCCGTATTTATCCTGGATCCCGTCCACGATATTGAATTTTATACCGTCAGTCAGACTATCCCTTCCCGATGGGTTCAGTGGCTCGATATCCCAGCTCCCCTTACTCCTCGTTCTGGTGAGGATAGTGAGTATTTGGATGATAATGTTCCGGAGGAAATCAAAGATATCATTGAGAGTGGCGGCGTTGACCCGCGTGAATGGGTAGCTGAATGGCTTGAGGAGCTTCTCAATCTTTCCATTGGTACCGTTGCTCAGCGATACGTTGCTCGCCGTATGGGTGTTGGAGAGGGTGGTCTTGGCAGGGGTAAGAGAAGGATGGAAGAGCTCGTGCAGGACAACGCGGGCGAGGCTGCTCGGGCTGGCGTCATTTAAACGACGTGTAAGTGGCAGATGTTTGAAACGCGTTGTATGACAAGGTATGATGGGCGTTGGGGTTTGCGACTGGTAAATGAAGGACTTCCCCGAGCTTAAAAGTTTGCTTGGGAATATTTGAATATTACGTTCTTTTTCGATATAGTGCTATGATCAGATTGAGTCTAGATTGTCATTAATATCAAGTTCGGCTTTGAAAGTCAAATAGCTCGACTATGCTATATCTGTTACCCTCCGAGTCAGATCTACCCGTTATATACCGGCCCATTCTAGCAAGCCTTATGTGTGACCACTTCGATGAACGGTCCCGGCCTTTTTGAGTTCACCTCTAGCCTCCCTCGTGGCACTGTCTAGGTCCACCTTCTTCAACGGTCGATACTCGGGATCCCACATCTGCTCCTTGATCCAGTCCTCTAGATCCTCGTCCTTTTCAGGGATACCCTCTTGTGTAGCCTCGCCATCCTTGACAGCCGCTTGTATCACATTGCGAGCAATACGAACACTTACCTCCCTGACAGAACCTACATCCGGAAGAAGAGGCGCTGTGGGATCTTTGAGCACAGGACTCATCGAGGAAACCCCTTCCACAGCGGCGACAAGCATGCGATCTGTCAGATGCTTGGAGCGTGAGAGGACGCACCCGAGACCGATTCCAGGGAAGACAACTGAGTTATTGCACTCGCCAACCTTGATGGTGATCTCAGACCCGTCTTCACCCCATGGGCCCTTGACAGCTGGGAAAGGCGAGCCGGTCGCCACGAGCGCCTTTCCATTTGTCCATTTCAGGATATCCTCGGGTTTGGCCTCATGAAGGCGTGTAGGGTTGGACAAAGGAAGGACAATAGGGCGTTCGTGATGCTCAGCCATAGCACGGATGACATCCTCGGTAAAGGCACCGGGCTTGGTAGATGTGCCAACAAGAACATTGGGCCGGATTTCCTTGATCACTGATAGAAGATCAGTGTCCTTGTCTTTCCACTCCGAAGCATCCTTGGTAAAGATCTTTTGAGAATCAGTGACCCCTTCGGTTTCTGAGGTTAGCAGGCCAGGCTTGTCGATCAACCTAAACCAGTCAGTCATATTCGATCTTGTCTTCCAGTAGGAAATATCTTACCAGATCTGCTCTGCTGCGTCCTCATGGCTCATGTTTCCCTCTGTGGCGATGGCATCTCGGACTTGGTCCGCAATACCTAGACCGGCGCTGCCGGATCCAAACACGACCATGCGGACATCCTTAAGCTCTTGTTTACTGGCATGAAGACCTGACATGACAGCTGCGAGAGTCACGCAGCCAGTTCCTTGCACATCGTCGTTGAAGCAGGCAAAGTCAGGGCGATAGCGTTCCAACAGTTTCCTCGCTACACTATATATCAGAACATGCTGCCAAATTGAGGGATGGGTAGCTTACCGTTGTCTAGTCCAAAATCCTCAAAGTGAATGTAGGCCTTTGGATAGAGCTTCCTGGCTGATTGAATAAATGTGTCGACGAACTTGGCGTACTCTTCACCGCGAACACGCTTCTCCTTCAGGCCGATATACAGCTCATCGTTGAGGAGATCCTCGTTATCTGTGCCGCAGTCGAGGACTACGGGAAGGGTTCGGTTGGGATGAACACCGGCGCAGAGTGTCGTTAAAACTAGTTTGGCAACGGCGATGAGAATGCCGCCAACGCCTTGGTCACCAATGCCGAGGATTTCCTCGCCGTCTACGAAAGAGATTAGCTACCGGTTGGTGCTTAGAGTTTGGGAAACGGATAACTCACCAGATACGACAATGTAGTCAATATCATCAGAATTTCCCCATTGCGCAAGGTCATTGTGTACGTGATCTGGGTCTTGGATGTTGAGATAGCAACCCTCTGGTCGTCTGAAAAGGCGAGAGTAATTCTGGATAGCATCGCCTTCAGTTGGGGTATAGACTATACTCATCATCTCATCAAGATGGAGTTGAAGTAGCTTTATACGACAGTTAGCACAACGCTTCACGGTATAGAAGCCAGAACAGTTAAGCCTACCTTGTAGAAGAGGACTTCATTCTGATCCTTGAGAGAAGTGAGAAAAGTGTTTTTGCTCAAGTCATCAGGCTGCGAAGAGTACTGCTCATAAGCTCGCTTGCACTGCTGGTCAAGCGTCTGAACGCCCTGGGGCAGCAAACCCGTGAGGTTGAACATGCGACGCTCATCTGGAGGAAAAGCAGAACCCTTGTTGAGATAAGGCGTGTTTAGTAGCGATGTGCCGCTGAGTGCGCAGTTGATAGGGCCGCTGGTGCTGAGCGGGAGGTTGTCATGCTTGGGTTTCGATTTGGACTCGTGCTTTGGCTGTTCTGACTTGGTGGAATAAGCGTTTATGCCTCGTAGAGGAAGTGATGAAGATAGGCGGCGACAGGTACGGGAAGACGAGGGTTGGGTTAGTTTGAACATGGCGATATCTTTGCTTGGCAATCTCTTGGCCCTCAGAATGCAGTGATATTATAGTATTATCATATTGGCAGTTTAAATAGCAGCAGACAAGTAATTATCGAAATTTCCTGATCGGGCCGCCAAATGCAGCTCAAAATGACGTCGTCGAGCTCTCACAGGCAAATCCACTCTGACGAAACCTGCTATCTTTCGCACGTGTAAAAACTGGATATTATTGTTCATGATAAACTAACTTCAATGATGCTACCCGCTGTAGTAGACTATCACATAATGTGTATTACATGCACTATGACTATGGACGAATGTCGGTGCTCCTGGAGCCTCGCCCGTGTAGGATGTAATACAATGCCAGCCACAAAAAGTGACCAGCAAAGAAACAAGACGGACGCGGACTATGATGGCCCTTATTGTTCTAGCAACGACGACACAAGAGAAGACAAGCACAGAAGCACTTTTCTCTTCTTGTATCGTTTAATCAGACCTTCAGACCACTTCACGGAGACAGCACAAAACGTGCCGTCCAAGGAAGACCTTCCCCGTGAAGGGAAGACTCGTGAGGAAAACAGAGTGACTGAAGGAAGAACGCTGCTGCTGAGAGTGTAATGGAATGAAAAGTAATACCTACCTTGCCATGTCAAGAGCGCATCATGAGAATATCTGGGTAGAGATAGAGAACGCGTCTTTGTTGGTGTTGTTTAGCCTTGACAGAGTCGGTTTCGTGAAGGAATTGGATTTATGTTGGAAGAAAATTTAACGTGGAGTTTAGGGGCAGTGGAGCCGATATTTACTGGTTGCTCCACTGGTTGGCGGGCCACAGAACCCAGCCACCTTCTTCTTGGCTGAGGGTCTATCCTGGATTCTTATTGGCTCTTCAACTTATACCAGAACAGTTCATATCTTGAAGCCGTGTCTTACAAGATATGTATATATATTTGTGGCCTGTGAAACACGACATTGAGCAGTACTTACACCAACCGAACCTGGAATCAAATCTGTAACAAGACTTGGGGTTAGTAATAAATGTCACACTCAGTAGTTAGGATCACTAGAATCGCAATGTGCACAGCTGTATATTCAAATGACTTATAAACGGTTGAGATCGAATCAAAGATTGTCATCCCATTCCTCCAGTATCCATCCCGTCATATATACTCGTACTCGCCATCACCGTCATCACCGCCCCACCCAATTCTCAATCCTCGTTCATCCCCTACTCCTTATGTCATACTCCAACCATCCCTTAACGCTCTTTCAGAAGCGTTGAAATTTACTGGGAGGTGTTGCCGTTGTTACCAATCAGGTTGGGGGAGCTGCGAAGGTTGCCAGAGATCTTGCCAGAAGTGGCAGCGGACTTGAGCCAGTTGGTAACGCCAGTGACACCAGAGACACCGTTGACGGAGATGCCGTAAAGGACAAGGCCAGCAATGTGGGGAGTAGCCATGGAAGTACCGCTGATGCTGTTGGTGGCGCTGTTGCTGGTGTACCAAGCAGAGAGAACACCAGTACCGGGGGCAAAGATGTCGAGAACAGTGCCGTAGTTGGAGTAAGAGGCGATGGTCCAGGTGCTGTCGATGGCACCAACGGTGATGGCACTGGGAGCAGAAGCAGGAGAGGTGTTGGCAGCGTTAGCGCCTTCGTTGCCAGCAGCAATGGCAGAGATAATACCGGAACTGGAGGCAGACTGGACGGCGTTGTTGAAAGAAGCAGAGTAGCCACCGCCGAGGGACATGTTCACAACAGACTTGGTGGTTCGGCCCTTGGAGATGATGTCGTTGGCAGCCCAGTTGAAACCAGCAAGGATGATAGAGGTGCTAGAAGAGCTGCCCTGGAAAACCTTGACGGCCTGGATGGTAGCCTTCTTGGAAACACCGTAGGTCTTTCCGGCAATAGTACCAGCAACGTGAGTGCCGTGACCAACAGTGTCGGCATTGTCGCCGCTGAAGGCAGTGTAGACAGCCTGGGCGCGGCCCTCGAACTCGTTGTGAGTAGCCCGAATACCAGTGTCGACGATGTAGGCAAAGGTTCCGGTACCAGCAGCAGTATCGTAGATATAGCTGGTAGATCCGCTGGTACGGTGAGAGACCGTGCCGAGACCCCAAGGAGCACCGGTCTGAGTGGTCAGGGCACGCTTGGAAAGAGACTCCTCTTCGTCCTCCTCGACCATGTTGATAGTCCAGACACGATCCTCTTCAACGATAGCAACCTGAATTGAACGTCAGCATTCTGTAAGCTAGTGTAGTTGGAATGTCTTACATCGGGGCTCTCCTTGATCTCCTGGATGGTGCTCTTGTCGAAAGAGCCAGCATAGCCGTGGAAGCCATACTTGCCATTGTAGGTGCGCTCGACACCCTTCTCGGCACGCTCGTTCAAGCCACGCTTGTGGACATCGCCAACCCAGCTGAGATGGCTCTCGACATCTGCAGCAGCGATATCAGACTTGAGAGTGACGATGTACTTGCCAGGGATGACCTTGCTAGAGTCAACCTTAGCAGTAGGAGCAGCGTTGACGAGCCCGAAGAGGGTAGTCGCAGCGACGGCGAGGTTCTTGAAGTTCACCATTGTGAAGATGATTCAAAGATGCAGATACAGAAGAAGAGGCAGAGGCGGTTGTAGATGTTGGAGTGTTGATGATGGAGATGCTGAGAAGAAAGGACACAGTTAGGAGGAGGATGCGTCGTCTTATATAGACATTGATGCATACCCGTCGGCGGCCCTTTTCGATCCATCATGATCGAGTACATGATCCACAAGACGCAAAGCTGCAACTGTCTTGTATCGACTGATAGGTATGCTACCCAACCCGAGACAGAATCAAAGGGATATCATTCATCAACTTCCTCTTGTGGCGAGGAGCGAGAGCCTCACACAGTGTCTTGTCGTCGTCCTCGACAGCACCAAACGGAAAGGGGAAGGCGATATGCGATGCATGAGGCGGCAAACATTCTGGCAGGCAGGCCACGATGGCGAAAGTGCAAAAGTCCTTCAAGAATGCGAGTAGCTGGTCGGTAGACCAGGTCTCAAGGCCAAAGCGTATGCAAGGAACCTTTCACCAGAACTGATACCTTGACGATAAAGTGCCAGGATATCAGGGCGTGGTCTAAACAGTCGCAGTGAATATATCTGGTCTGTCTTAAGCATCGATGGGAGACAGAGTGTTGAAGAGGCTCATTTACATGTGATGAGATAGGCCTATATCGCTCTCCATCGGCCTCATTGAAATCCAGGCACTCAGCATTGATTGGAGGGGCCCCCCTGACGTGAATCGTAGTCGACATTTTATTAAAGGAGCAACCCTGCCTGCTGGTGTTCTTGGCAAGTACCGCCACCCACTCTCCAGCTGTCGTGATCCCTCAACCATGGCAGCAACTACCGGTCTCCATGACGATTGAAGGTGGGGGGTTAAACGACCGGAGAAGGAAGGCAAATGCCTTTCAAGTCTCTTATTGGAGGCAAAGATTAAGAACCTAGCCGCTCGGAATTATGAAGCGGCCCGTAAATGATGCATAAACCCTAGTTAAATGTTTATCGTCAGAAAGTTGAAGAGTAGACAGTCGAAGAGGATCAAGAAGCTAGTAGACTACCCAATGAAGTAACTATGCTTGTCCACAACTTCAGGATAATCGACCAAGTAAGGTCAGGCGAAGGCCCTTGGCGATGTAGCCTTGCTGACAATAAAAAGCAAGTGAGACGTCTTTCGCACCATGAATTATGCTATATCCGTACTGAGGTTTTCTGTATTGACCTTCAAGTCAACTTCCTGTTTGGGGCACTCCGGCCGTCTTGGTGCGCATCGATACCGCCGCTGGCATTGCAGTAGAAGACGATTTGGATGCCCATTTTCGCTAAGGACTGAGGCTACAAGGCCAAGAAATGCGGAGAATATCCTTGCTTAGCCTTGATCGCCTTTCACTTAAAGCTCCTAATGGACAAGAAGGAGGGCAGCGTGATGTGATGCGAGGGGTAGGAGGTGGTGCACTCTTTGCGGTTGCTAATCAAAGTAAGGGTTCGGGGGTATTGAGGGCTCTGCTGAGCAGTAGCAGAATCGAGAAGGCGACAGTAACCTGTTGGATCATCTCCCCTGCTGATTGTTTTGCCATGATCCGAGGTCCATAGATTTTGTCTACAGGTGAAGGTCTAAGACGTTCAAAAGCTCAAGTGGAGTCGAGATGATAGACGGGCCGGGGATGGGACGGGCAAGAGTGGGTAATATAGATCGGGGCCATAATAGCCCGAAGAGCAGGCAGGGCCCACATCCAATCAGATTCAGCGGCAGGAACAAGTGTTGGCTCTTGAAAGATAAGATTTAGTGGCGTTGTGGCCCTGCCCTGCCTGCCTGCACCCCGGAAGTCTAACTTACAGCATCAACGACAACATCGACTGCAATAATGTCTTAGAAGCACCTGCCGTAAGACATTTTTACCCAACAATAGGTAACCTGTACGTTTTCACTTCACTGCTAGCGCCTTCCATATTCACGTCACGGATCTTCGAAACCTGGTTTTGATGGCGCCAACTTTAAACCCAACCTCAGTAAGAATTGGACCCCGCTTCAATCCTAGGCCAACGCATCTCATCATGATCCTTGTCTCTTACACCCATGCAGTCGGTTAATTGATCAATCAATCAATCAGTTGATCGTTATCAGCACCACCTGATTCGACCTCGACAAAAGTACTCACTTCACCCACGTTCTTGGGAAGACATTCAAGCAGCTTACCTTATGTTGCATAAGCTTATCAGACGCCGAGACATACGCGATATTTGGCAATAACGAATAAACCCTCGGATCAGCGGACCCCTGAGGTCATTCGTGGAAACCATCCGCCGTCCCAGAGCAACTCGCACGCCATTCTTGACAATGCTCGCTCTCAAGGGTCCCTTTGACTGGTCAGCAAAGCTCACCAACCTTGCCTATGCCCTGGTCACTCTCGATATCTTAGCCAAGCCAGCAATAGGCTGGCACCATCGACCCTGCTTTTATCCATTTCTGCACCCTTCCAAAGCCCGTTCCTCGACGTGTCGGCTTGGTCTCCCGTAGCCGTGCCGCACGATCACCACGGCCCGTTTGAATCCCTCGGCGAAAAGTTGCTGTTTGGACTATTGAAGCAAAGCTCAGGAACAAAAGCTGCGAGCTGACCTTGATTCTTCGGTTGTCAACCGAAGCTACATCCTACCACAACCACCATGACCAGCAGCGTACGACACGTCTTCCACAGTCAGGTCATCTGTTAAACTTTCCATTACAGCCAAAGAGGTGTTCTCGCTATTCTGGTCCTGGACTAGCATGAATACAACTCACGGACTTGAAGTTGATACGGCCAAGAGTAACATTCGAATCAACTACAATACCCCAGAACTGGCATAGTACTGCTCTCATTCCGGATGAGATCATCACCAGGGGGTCCATCGCATCGTGTACCCTGAGGACCCTTGTCACCATTCACTCCACGCATGCCGCCTCTGCAATAGACGTACTGCTTGAAACAGGGACCACAAAAGTACTTACAACGTCAATAACCCGAGCTCCTTCCTAGCTGGTCACTATAGTCCGGAGACAAGAGCAATGTCGCGATAAGGCTACCATCTTGTTCAATGGTGTGCAGGGAGCAGCGTCATTAAGAAGTATTACAAGAGTTGGTGAAGGTGAGGTATTCTTCTTAACGTCACAACAACAGACCAACAAAGGTCCCTACAACCTGGAGGGAACTGTTATGGCCTCACACAGATACGCGCTTCGGCTAGTCGACTGCCTGAACCACGAATGCACCATGAACGGCAGCAGCTGTATCCAATCACGCAAAGCACAATGCTTCCAAGGCTTCCAAATTGCTCTCGCCGTTCTCTGAGAGGGTGTCATCATTAACACCATCTCGAAGCAATGATCTTCGAACAAAGTTCATGCAGTTCAGTCGAGGTGCCTTCGACAAGCTGTCCCTAAGTCCAATCATTGATAGATGTTGTGACGACCCTTTCTTCTGATACCTTCCTCTTTGCGTCAGTAGGAGCGGAATCTCATGCCTTGATGATATTGCAGCTCGAAGCCAAGTCAGCGGCTGTATTGCATGTTTTTAGAAGAGTTCCGCACTTTGACTTGCGACTTGGTCCGGTCGTCTCATCCAATCTAACTGCTTATACCATTCTTCACTACAGATGGGCTGCCGCTACATAGATATTCTGTGTCTTCAACCTCAAGCAAGGCATAAACACTTTCTCATATCTGGACGGCGTTGGTATACTAATCAAACCTCAACGGTAAAAGCAAACGACATGAATATAATTTCCATGCCAGTTGCCACTTATCAACGAATCAGCATTCGCCGCTTTGGCTCAGTGGTAGAGCGTGTCACTAGTAATGACAAGGCCCACGGTTCGATCCCGTGAAGCGGCACAATCCCTTAGAACTTCCTCCAGAGTTCGACAACCTAACTTTTTGATGATCTTACGAATGAGCCATTGTGGGCTTCCACACAATTCCAAGACCCATCAAGGTGTCTGTCTATGCTTGTTACCAACATGTGGCCAGCTAGGCTTTTGTGTGTCATCCAACTGTTACTTGGCCGCTTGTTGTTTGAGACTCCCAAGTTCAAGTCCGGTCCCTTTTTGGTGCCATAAACCTCAATACAAAGAATCAGGATCCGAGGGTTCAAACTTATCAGTCTCAACATGTACTATAGGCTAGGGCAACTGAATATTGTTCAGAATGCAAGTCCTAGTCCACCTTCCAGAAAATTTACAGTCGGTGCACCTTTGTAAACCACCTGGCGCAAACTCATTTGGGTACCGATATCTCCATTTCACTAAAGAGGCTGGTAGTATTGAAAGCCCGTCTCCCTTATCAGTCTGCAGACTGTATGTGCATTAAATATGGCACCGCCAAGTGTTCATTTGCAGCATACGCTCTATTTTACCAATCTGGACGAAACGATACCTTGGCTTCTCTTGACTGCACCACAATAACGAGTCTCTAGTCGTTCTCAGACTTCTTTGAACAGTTCAGTCTTCAATGATGGAGCCCCTATAATTTATATTACCAGCGTTAATGCTTCCGAGAGTTTCAAAGTATGCTCAGAAACTGTTGGTTTGCGATAAATTAATGGGATTTCTGCCTATCACCCAAAGGACCTCCTTTAAAATTTGTCTGAGATCTCATAACACTCGTGTGTTAACCCCCTTCCCACTCAAGCTTATTGTGATTCGACACGTTGCTCTCTCCTAATTGCCGGGTTTATATCTACTGGTTGGTAGCACTGCCATTCCATAGGTGTAGGTTCCAGCTCACAGGATCAGGCACCATCTCAGACCCGAGATATGCCGGTGTCAGCTTCATGTGTTGGTTGCTACGTTATCGCTACGACACCTGGACTTTGTCATAACCTTAATCAGACTGCATTGGGCCAGCTCTTGGAATCCTGCGTGTGTTCCATTTGCTACCCTCTGCTGACGCTGGCGCAAATACTTGTCTCAAGCATCCCCATTGGAGTACGTTATTTTCACGGGACCTATTCATATCTGGCAAGCCCCTAGTATATCGTTACAGTCAGTCTACCCCATATTGACTTGGAGTCCTTCTCATTCGTCAATTCGCCCGTTGTAATACTAAACACGCCCTTGATAACACTATAAGCTTGATGGGGTATCTTCGACGACAGGGAATTCAAGTCCATACTATCTACGCTACTCGGGCAGTACAGTCTACCCACAAATAACAATACACTCTTCGTATTACTTATGCGTGCATGCGGGGCATACATGGAGAAATCTCGACCCTTGAGCTCAGAGTTTAATGAATCACCTTGGTTTCTAATTAGTAGCCCACTGCTTATAGTACTCGTGGTCCGAATTGCTCTACCAGTAGCATGTTGCTCTGCATCTGGTTCAGACGCCGTAATCTAGGCGCTGGCGAGGAGACTTCCCCCTTCCAACAATGAAGCATCAGCAAGACCCTACAATTGACACTTTCCATTGAAACTTGCTCGACCATTCATCAGCCGCTGCCGCTTCTATGTACCTGAGAATCCAGGAGCGCGCTTCTTTAGCCTAGAGGCCTGAGAATTTCAAACCACTTTACTGGGTCTTTTTAAGAACGTTCCTTTTCATACTCTCTTCTTACAAAATAGGACAAATATATAGAACCAAGAAGCCAGTTTCTTTCACATGAAGACATTCATCACTCTTGTCTTGTTGAGAACATGAGAAAGCAGTGCTTCCAATCTTTCAGCTAGGGTCATAGATGCTGTTATGGTTGTGTCCCCGTAGTTGAACAAGTTCTTACTCATTGTGATATAAGTTTTCCACATGGACAATTGCACGTTCCCTGCCAATTTGCAGCTTACGAGCATTCGATTACGCGCACCAAAGAAAGTATATGGATCAGAACTGTTGAAGAGTTGAGGGTGGCCGGAGAAAGGGCACATCTTGTCTGGGTTCAGGTAAGAATTAATTTAGGACGCCCAGTTCAGTCGTACTGGCATTTCATCGTTCTTCGTAAAGTATATCTCGCCCTCCCATCAGGCATCTACCTGCATCCCCAAGTACTGTGTCTTGATAGCAGTATCCTTCTTCGCGCCTCTAATTCCAATCTCCACAACCTCCCCAGGAACGATATCCACCAGGTTATCCTCAAACTTAACTTCATTGTCCTCACATTCAAGCGCCAGTCCCTTGATTGGGACCTCAGCACTGACTTCTACAAACTTGGCTCCGTCGGTAAGCTTGGCTTTAAGTTCTTTGGGCTTCTGGAAGTGCAGATACTTGAGTGGCTCAGGCCAGTTGACGTATCGCGCAATCTGCTTTCCGTCTTGATACAGGTAGGCGGCAACAACAGTCTTTGCTTCAAGATCAGCGTTGGGCTTCTCAACAGGGACATTCAGTGTCTTGATTTCTGTCGAACGGTTGCTTCGGAGAATCAGATCCGACGATACTGTCTGAGAGTACGTCTCCTTTCCAGTTTCGACATCCCAGGCTTTGACAACACAGTCCACAGTCACATCTTCCAAATCAAGGTTGCTTCCCCAAATCTCAACTTGTACTCTGGTGTCAATGTCGACCCTTGTGTACTTGTTCTTGGGGTGCTTGTGTTCTCGGCGTGTCATCCCAATGGTGACTGGTGCCATCTCCCGCTTAATGGTGAAGTAGGAGTGCTTTGGTCGGAGGTAATAGTCACAAATAGCCCATGATGTAACCGGCCAGCAGTCGTTGGTCTGCCAAACCAAGACACCGCTACAATATTCCTTATTAGGGCCCTGCCATTGACGCTTCCACAGGCGATAAGCCGATGCTAAGGCTTCAGCCTGTAGCAGTTGACTGTAGTAAACATAATCTTCTAGGGGATCAATGGTGAAGCGGAAATTCTCGGCCATGTAAAGGCCGAGCCTGCGAAGCTGTCCATCTGCCTTGTTGTGGAAGTCTATGGTAGACGATGTTGCAAACCTCTCAGGGTCATCTTTACCCTTTGGAAGGTAGTCATCAATGGTCTTGATGCTTGGGAAACCCTCCATACCGAATTCGGAAACGAAACGACCAACAAGCTTATCAAAGTCCTGGTATCTTTGCTGGGAGCCGTGCCAGACATTCCACTGGTGGATGTCTCCGATGGTAGGGTCAGTGGTCACCTTGCCGCCCCAAGGACTGGCAATGTGATAGACGGCTCCCGGATGGAGCTCGTTGCAGGCATCTGGGAGTAGCTTTTCGTAGATGTAACGAGCCGGGAAGTCAGTCTTCAACCAGCTCTCTGGATCATGGTCGTCAAAGTCATAAGTGAGCTCCTCTGACTCCCGTAGTTGGTAATCTTCGTTGTTTCCAGCCCAGAGAACAATTGAGGGATGGTGACGTAGTCGCTTGATATTCGCTCGAGCTTCTCTGTCAATTGACTCAAGGAACTTGGGCCAAGCAGGGTAGTTTCCACAGGCGAACATAAAATCTTGCCAGACAAGAATACCAAACTCATCACATGCATCATAGAAGACGTCTTCTTCGTAAATGCCACCTCCCCAAACTCGAAGCATAAACTGGTTACCGTCAGCGACAAGCTTGACCCAGTCGCGATATCTCTCCTTTGAGATTCTAGGGATGAAGTTATCTGCTGGGATCCAGTTGCTGCCACCGCAGAATATGGGAATGTTGTTGACTTGAAAGAAGAAACTGGTTCCTGGTTGTCCGTCAAGCTCTCGTTGAACGAGCTCTAGTTTACGAAGGCCGATCTTCTTAGAGATTGAGTCAATCTCATTATCGTCTTCGAGAAGGGTGGCCTTAATGGTATAAAGAGGTTGCTTTCCATACCTGACGGGAAACCAAAGAGCTGGGCCTTGGATGTGGAAGGTGGTGGTTGCATCTTTATCTTTGACATTTGCAGTTTCAGACGCAACCCCCTTTCCATCCAAGGAGACGTCGAAACGGACTTTTGAAGCTTTGCCCTCGACTGTGGCATGCACAACAACGTTGGCCTTTTTTAAAGACTCCTCCACTTCCGATTCAGAGTATAGGTCGGTGATGTGGGACTCATAAACCTCGAGGTTGATAGGTCGCCAGGGACCACAAGTGAGCATAGCAGGGCCCCAATCCCACCCCTGGTATTAGTTAGTTGATGTGTGATGCACCGATCATTGCAATGACTTACCCAGTGGTATTGTGCCTTTCTGACCGGTAGTCTTGAGCCATCTCCATTCCAGACAACGTACTTATGATCGGGGTGCTCTTCCACCAACTTCCAGCCTCTCAAATAAGCAGCGTCGAAGGTGATGCGAAGTTCATTCTCGCCGTCTTTCTTGAGGTTCTTTGTGACATCCACACGCTCAGGAACAAACATATTCTCAGTCTCAAGAATATTGTCACCATTTAGCTCAACCGTTGCGAATGTGTCAAGGCCATCAAAGGCCAGAACCGCCTTTGCACCATCGCTAACCTTTGGGCTTTCAAAGGTGGTCTTGTAGACCCAGACGGTCTCTCCAATCCATTGAACTTTTAATTCATTCTTTCCAATGTACGGATCGGGGATCTTTTTGTGATGTAAAAGATCAAGATGAACGTTTGTAGGGAATTGAGCGACTGGTAAATAAGACGAATCGTCTTCCTTCTGCTGCTTGAACTGCCAGTTCTTGTTGACCGGGGTAACAGTGCGGGGAGTCATGATACAGTGCAAGTGCCGTGCCTCTGGATGGGGTTTGTATGATGCGACGTGTATGAGAGCTAGCGAGATAAATCGAGGATAGTGAAGAGTTTAATTCAGCTGCGTGATATAGATAGCCAAGGTAGTAATAGAAGAGGAGAAAGAGGGATTGGAATGCAATGCACGATCTGACGTTTTGACGGTTTGACATGGAAGGAAGATCGTGTTTACCCGGACAATTTGCCTGGACAAGTACAACCATGACCCCGCGATATATCCAAAGGGCTCCAAGCATCAATCGATGATCCTCGTAAGACATTCAGTGACTTCAGTGGTCGGTTTAATAAACAATGACAACAGATCCGACCTTTACACGGCAGGAGAATGCCCACCTCCGCTTCAACGGCACGTCGATCCGTCACACCACTCAATCCTTCGGTGGCATGAGTTATGTAGATTCATCCACCAAAGAGAACACAATATCACTCGTAACGCATACAGATATGCATTGGACTACGTTTGTGGCCCAATCGAGTTGATACAAGTCAAACAATTATATCAACATGTATCAATGCACTGCATATAGACCTATTGTCTACACTCAAACCCGTTGCAATCAACTTGCAACTTCCCATCATCTATACCAAACGCCAACACGCTCATGAACGAATGTCTCATGAAACAATATTCCTGAAAACACTGCCAGTCTAAGTATATGACTGAACCCCTCGGACAACCCTCATCCATTACCTCCAGAGCTTCCAACCACAAAAAGAGATTGATGGAAATGCAATTCCACCAATCAGCAGCAACCTCCTCCTCTTCGTCGATTGCTCAGTGTAAATACTTCCTCCCATTCTCGCAGCCCCCAATTCTGTGTACGGTTCTTTTTTCGCCTCCTCCTAAGTCCGCTGTGCTCGTCGACCGTGGCTCCTGTCATGGAGCTCTTGATACTGCCTCCGTCGCTAGCTGTGTTCCAACCGCCACTATCGCCGTACTGTATTCCACTCGCCGGGTCGTCAGGGTCAATCTCGCCCAGCTCGATCTTTGTGAGAATTATCCTTGCTAGTCGTTCAAAGATCTCGTCTACGCCCTCGCCGTTGAATGCGCTTGCCTCCGTCACCACTGATATTCCTGCCGTGCTGGCCCATCGACTTGATTCGGCTCTTGTGACTTCTCTGCCTTCCGGCGCATAAGTAGCTCTTAGTTGGTTCCCCGCGCTTATGGATGCTCCGCGATCTCTAGTCGTGGCTGTGCTTGTATAAGAGCTGCCCCCGGCGCCTAGTATACCAGGTGTCAGGGTTGAGTTGGAGTTAACGCTTGTCGGTGTCGGAGGAGGGAGATCGATGAGAGTTTCAGTAAGATCGAGTTTGTTGCCCACAAGCATCAGACTGAGGTTCGGAGAAGCGAGCGCTCGGGCATCGTTGAGGAAAGGTTGTAAATTTCGGAAGGATGCGTGTGAGGTGAGGTCGTAAACGAGGATGGCGCCCGCTGCGCCCCGGTAGTAAGAGCGAGAGACAGATCGAAATCGTTCAGTTCCAGCCGTGTCCCAAAGCTATGACTTGTTAATGTTGCGTTCTTTGTTGTCGCGCGGCCATAAGCCATCGTACCTGAAGCTTTATCCGTTTCCGTCTTGATCCAGTGCCGACTTTAATTATTTTGGTAGCAAACTCGACACCGATCGTTTGTGACGACAAGACTCTCCATTCGTTCTTGACAAAGCGATGCAGAAGACATGATCTATAAATGCGCGCAACGGTCAGTCAGGAGCTCAAGTATGCGGCCGCCTTTTTTTCGCTATCCGTACATACGGTCGATCGCTTGTATAACGACTATATTGAGGGGTAACTTACTTTCCCGTTCCGCTGGGGCCAAGCAATATAATCTTCGCCAGGTAATCATACATGCTCCCTAGCTCCTTTATCAAACAGTCAGCCACCTTGTATCGCAACCGTTGACGATGCTGCTTCGTTCGCCTACCTGCTCTCGGGCCGTACCGGAACTCTCCTCGCTCGCGCCGGAGTGTCGGCGAGGCCTGGTCATCGCGGGCAAATTGACGAGATTGCTGAAGGTAATGGCGGATAGGGTTTCAGGCGGTCGGACGATGTCGCATGTCTTGGCTCTCGATCGGTCTGGCGGGCTATCGCGGTAAGGTATGTAGGTAGAAAAGAACGGGTATATGTTAGGCACGACAATCGTAATCAGAAGTAGGAATAAGTGAGGAAGCAGGCAACTCTTATTTTGTGTGTGTAGTTGTTAAAATTGACAAGAAATGACAATGCGATCCTTGAAACTGAATGGATGTTTACATGCCCTGTATGCTCGGTGAGAGCGAGGGTGGGTCGCCTGTAAATAGCCCTCGAACTGTAGCAGGAGATAGCGTCATTAGGTGATGATAACGTGACGATGATATGAGAGCCCGATAACACCATTTGAGCTTGGGTGGATAAGCTCTGATTATTGGGTAGCAGAGTTGTGTCTTAGATTCTTGCAATACAGCAATTGGCTGGAGATAGGGAGCTCCATGTCGATCATTTAAGGCGAAAACCTGGGGTTTTCGGACGCTGTTCTGTTCTTAATAAAACTTGATGATTTTTTAGTGCCAAGTATTGGGGTCTATTGATACGGATTTCGATGTGATAAACCTGTAACAAAACCCAGACTGTTGGTGTATTCGCTTGGTGCGTCATTATGCATAAGTCATTCCTTGTCGCATGTTTCAAAGCGTTCATGGACTACAGTAATACTTAGCCATGGAGTTACCCTACACTCTTCTTCTGGTTTATATTTTGGTAGTACGTAGAGAGTTGAACCATGCGAAATATCCATACCTATCGCAAAAGAAAGAAGCCATCTTAGTATTGGCTCTAATGTTCTAGCGCAACGGGTTCAGCCGAGAATTAAGTCCTGTTATTACGTTTTCGAAATGTTCATGACTTACAAGGATTGAAGGTGACAAGATGCCGAGGCATGTTCGGGTCAGCCACCCCAGATTCCCCACGTGTGTTTACGACCCGGTAATGATCAACCAATACCCAGATATTCATTCAATCCTTGATTCACTATCAATCTTCTTTCCACCTCTCACAAGCCTTTATAACAACTTCAAACTCTCATTATGAAGATCCAAGGTCGCACATTCATCATTTCTGGAGGGTAGGTCACATCAACCATCGATCGTCTATGAAGATCATCGACACCATGCTAACTCACATGTAGAGCTTCTGGCCTTGGCCAAGCTTGCGTTGAAGACATTTGCGCCAATGGCGGTAATGTGGCCATTTTGGACATGAACGAAGAGAATGGCCAGGATTTGGTTAAGAAGCTGTCATCCTCGACCAAGTTCTTTGAGTGCAATGTGCTAGAAACAGAGAGCGTTGCCAAGGCAGTTCAGGGTGCTGCTGAGTGGGCCCAAGAGACGGGCAAGTCTTTGGGAGGCGTGATAGCTGCAGCTGGTGTTTCAACACCCGCCACAGTAGGTCCCCAGAAGCATTACAAGACGTGGGTGAATGCGACCGTGACTAATTACATGAAATAGATCCTCGATCGACATGGCGCTGCCTTCAGTCTAGATGATTTCGACTTCGTCCTCAACGTCAACCTGCGCGGCACCATCGACCTCGTCCGCCAGACTCTGGAACAATTAGTCAAGGTAGAGCCCGAAGGATCCGACGGCGAGAGAGGTATCGTTATCATGGTAGCATCATCTGCGGCCTTCGATGGCCAAAAGGGCCAAGTTTCCTACTCTGCAAGCAAGGGCGCTGTGACGGCCATGACACTGCCTATGGCGCGGGACCTTGCTCGGTACGGCATCAGAGTTGTGACTATTGCGCCGAGTCTCTTCGACAGCCGAATGACAAGCGTGATGCCCGAGAAGGTCAAGAAGAGTCTTGAGGGCGCTATGGAGTTTCCCAGGAGAGCTGGTCAGCCGAAGGAGTTTGCGCAATTGGCGCGGCAGGGAATTGAGAATGTTATGTTGAATGGTGTGGTTATGAGATTGGATGGAGCCATGAGGATGCCTAGTAAAATGTAAATCACTATATTGAGACCAGCAGAATACGTAGTTTGATCTGGAGTTAGTTGTGGTGTGTACTGTATATAATTAATATATTGGGTTATTAGTTGACATTTACCGTACAATGCTCAATGTTAGCACCGTTTGCCGAGAATCATATCCGAGTTTCGAGATCGGCAGGTGGTCCGGTAGAGACCTTACCCACCTCGTCAGATTGGTCATCAGTACAAACAACTCCCGTACCTATCCAATACTTCGGAACATCTTTGAAGATAATACAAGATAATAAGCAAACCCATCATTCTCATACTCTAACACCAATTTCAGCCCGAAGTATCTTTCACGCAAGAAGAGTCGCACACAGTGTCTATAACTTAGCGACTTACACGCCTGGGGCATTCACCTCCAACACCTCATCATCATCACGAAACCATCTGCAGCCTCAACAATGGCTCTGACCAAAGTGGCAATTCTCGACGACTACCAGGGCGTTGCTGATCCCTTCTTCGCGAAACTTGACTCAGCCAAGTATGAAGTCGTGTCTCTCAAGGATACGGCGCTGCCCTATAACCACCCCGAGAATTCGCAAGCAGGCAAGGATGCCTTGGTAGAGAAACTGAAACCCTACGATGTAATCTGTGCGTATCACGAGTGGCATACAGGTATAGATATGAGTGGCTAAACGACGTCTTAGGTACCATGCGGGAGCGCACACCTTTCCCCGCCGAGTTGATTGAAAGGCTGCCGTCTCTCAAGCTCCTACTCACTACAGCCTTCCGCAACAGATCCTTGGATCTGGATGCCCTCAAAGCACGAGGGATTCCAGTTGCCGGCACAGGCGAAAAGGCTGGAGCTGTTCAGAAGACACCTGGCACCGGCAGCACAACTCAGCACTGCATCACCCTCATCCTTGCGCTTGCCCGCGGTGTCGCCCGTGATGATGCCGCTGTCAAAGAGGGAGCGTGGCAAACCGGCCTCGCTACTGAACTCTCCGGTAAGACGTTGGGCATCCTTGGCCTCGGGAGATTGGGGAGCACCGTGGCAAAGATCTTGAACGTCGCATTGGGTATGAAGATAATCGCGTGGAGCACCAACCTCACCCAGGAGGCGGCAGATGAGAAGGCCAGGGAGGCTGGTCTTCCCGTCGAAGATGCAGAGGGCGAAAAGACGTTCAAAGCAGTAAGCCGAGACGAGTTGTTCCGCAATGCCGATGTGGTATCTGTGCACCTTGTCCTCTCCGATCGTTCGCGCGGCATAATCAACGCGCAAGACTTGGCAATGATGAAGCCTACATCTCTCTTCGTTAACACCTCCCGAGGACCCCTCGTCGTGGAGAATGATCTTCTCGAGCACCTCAAAGCAGGCCGCATCAGGGGCGCTGCAATCGACGTCTTTGACCTGGAACCTCTCCCTGCAGATAGTGCGTGGCGAAGCAAGAATTGGGGTCGTGATGGGTCAAGCCAGGTACTTCTCACTCCGCATATGGGCTATGTAGAGGAGGATACATTGAAGTCGTGGTATGAGCAGCAGGTCGAGAACATCGGCCGATGGGCTGCCAACGAACCTTTGCAGAATGTGTTCACTTAGCTATGATCAGCAAAATAAAGACAGGGACAAGGCTTCTAGAAAAGACTCGCGTGCAGCATCACGTTTCATCTTAAAGGCCGACAGAAGCAAGTTCGAACCAGGATCTCGAACGGGGCACAGCCGCATCTATCCATGACCTAGAAGGCTCTTTCGTGATAGGCTCATAGTCGAAGCAGTGACGATCGGATCCTTTGATATGCACGAGACTGGGATCAAGCGTCTGCACGTAAGGACGGGCCAACCCGCGACATCCCTGAATACAACGTCGGCCCCGGATTTATGAGAGTCATCGACGACGTTTCTATGGCTCGAATAAACCCGACTTGAAGCCCGACCCACGGCGGCAACTGTAGATCAAACAACGGTCGTCGATCATGTCCCCAAGAGTTCCCCGATGCTCCTCGCTTGGCTCGATGCATTCTCAGTCGTTCGGGCTGGGATATGTGGCTTAAATCGTCTACTTGCAGATATGATGGTTTCACATACATTTGACTCAGCACACCACTATTTCCATACTCACACTTAATCATGCTTTGGCTTTCGGGTTACCGTATATGTGTAGCTATGGCGACTATCAGCGCGTTAGCCAATGATATGGGGAGGCAAAAGAGCTCATCACATAGTCCTAGATTGTTGTTTTCTCCTCGGGTGATTGACGAATAGTCCATTGTTTAAGACGCCGTGTTCAAGTTCAGCAGACTTACTCACAGCCCTCTTCCGTATCCGTCCATCACCGTCTTGTGGTGGGTTCTCGACCATGCCTGAGAGTAAAAGCCTTCCCAGAGTAATCTCCACAGTTCACATAATGCTATCTATTGAGATAGCTTCCATATCCTACCGCTCAAGGCGCTAAAGAGGCGTGACTCGAAGGAGAGAAGCCCATGATATTCAGCTGGCTTCGGGAACGGCGGCGCGTCCCTTTCTGTCAAATTCTAAGACATGGGAAAGTCAACAATCGGATGTGTTGCCTCGAAGAGCTATGCGTGTTGTTAGCCTTTTGTTCCCTGTTGTGTGGAAGAGACTTGACTCAAACAGGGAGATATTAGAATGCGACAGATGCTAACCAAGCCTTTCTCTTCACGCACATGGCATTCAGGCGTGTTATTATCTGTCTTAGTCTGCCGCATCGCGTGATAGTCCGGGGTGAGCGGTCGAGCTATCGTGGATCTAGTGATTGTATTCTGTAGGATCCCTGAAGTTGCAGATTTGCACCAGGGTCTTTTACAAAGAATGAACTAGGATGTTATTTCGAGGCATAGAAAAGAGTCTCGTGAGGTGCCAACCACTAGCGTAACTGGCCATCTACCCGCATTTGAATGCAACGGCAGACGATGGCTTGCGGGAAGAAGCTGAACGGGCATGAAATTATTGATTGGCTCTTTTTATGTGACTAATCTGAGTTTCTTCTGGATCTACAGAGTACATATGGACATCTACGGACCTATACATCAGATAAAAACGCCCAATGGCTTGTCCCTGTATCCCGCTTCCCCGCTCCCTTACAGGGTTATTCGTTAGTGTCCATACCCGTACCCCCCTGTCTTTACAGGGCATCATCACATCCATTCACATCGCCATCTTTTATCTCGACGAATTTCCGTATTAGCGAATACTTTCAACATTCCCATATTTACCTACCAAGACAAGTGTTCAATTCGGAAGCTTGATACTTCAGTGTTTTACCCTAGTCAATGATCAATGATCCTAAGAATCAAACAGCAAGGACTATTTGGTCCGGTAAGCAACCAGGTACCGGACTGAACCCGTTCAACCAATAGAACATGGTAGATATGATGCTTCAAAGTGACGTCGCTCATTAGCCCTATTGCTTCAAAGTTTGTTTTGTATTGAATTAACAAGAAAGCTCGAAAAAGCCTTCAACGTCATCTCTTTTCGAGCAAGAGGAGTTGATAGCGTCAATGATGTTTACTAGCGACGTACGTACGTTGAAGCTAACATCTCTCTAAAGCAAATGGCCGTTGAACAGTGTCAAACGGCGCAAGAAAAAGGGGAGAGAGAGGGGAAAAGGCGGCTTGCCAACATTGTTAGAGCGCGCCCGTTGAGTCTAAAGGTACTTCCCGTTGATAGACATGGATGAGTTACTCGGATTTCTCCTTTGGCTTTCTGACATGCGGGGGATCAGCAAACAAACAAAATTGATCGACAATTGTGAGCTGAGAGTGAGTTCAAGAAGATGGAGATGGAGATGGAAACATCACATGAAACCTTTCTGTCCTAGTAGAACGAACCCTGGTACAGCCGTAGCGTTACGTCCCAAGTCTCAGCAATATTACCCTGCATTCTTTCTCTCCCCAAGCTGCGATGGTGTGGTCTCGACCCGATGGTCAATGGCCGGGGGAGACAAGTCGCATATTCTCCACGCATCGGTCTCAGCCCAGTAGACGATGTCATGAGAGATCCAGTACCTTGACGCTTTGCCGCATGGGGTCGTAGTCTTGCCGTAGGTGCCTTGCCTTGAATCTCCATCGTAGGTTCGTCACCAGCTGAGGGAGCTAACACGACGCCTCCAAGAGAAACGCCACGAGCCAGGGAAGGTTAATATTTCCCTTTCTGCTGGCGGGGAAAAAAACCATGATCTCGAGTATACCAGCCACTTTCTTGGTATTGCTGAGCAACATCCAGAGTACACATGCTCTGAGCCCATGATCAACATGGAGTGTGAGTGTATATGGGTGTCTTCTCTCCAAGTGATTGTAACCATATCCCAGACAGCGTCGAGTTGGGCAGTCAGACAGGACAAAAGGACTCTGTTTGATATAACCCAGGACCTTGTATGTGATGTGCAATCTACAGTATTACTAGACTTGCAGAGAAGGATTGTACTATGGTACTTCGCAGGGTTACGTGAGAGTTATACTCCAAGATGAGAGGGAGGGAGTATGGGAGTATCAGTATCAAACTCAGGGTTTTGCCAGCTAGAGATCTCCTTTCCCGTTCCATCATTCCACTCCTCACCCCCTCCTCCGTGTGCTATACGATAGAGAGCTGAGGTGCAATGCGGCTACTCAGGGACTACGCCACTTGAGCTGTCTAGTCCCAGGTGTAGGTGTGCTTCGATGTAGGGAATGATGGACAGCCATTGAGTGGCAGCAATCTGTGGTTCTCTCCTGCTCTGTTTCGATATAAAATCCCCGAGTACGCCATCGAAGAAAACTCTCTTTGCCAGATCCAACAGCCTCCATCTTCATCTTCGTCCTATTTTCCTCCTATTCCTATTCGTCCTCTTTTTCTTTTCACACATACCAGTCAACGGCCCAGCCGAAAATCAGTCACAATGGTTCAGTTTACTCAAAGAACCAACTCAAACATGTCGGGTCTGCCGACCGAGGAAGCCGTCGCAGACACCAAGGAAAGAACTCCCGTCCCAGACCGCATCAAAAATGCCATCATCATCGTCATCGGAGAGTTCTGCGGAACTTTCATGTTCTTGCTCCTCTCCTTCATCGGTGCCCAGACTGCCCTCGTTACCAACAATCCCTCCAACCCTTCTGCCGGACTTGAGCCCTTCAGCCTCATGTACATTGCTGCTTCCTTCGGAACTGCTCTCGCTGTCAATGTCTGGATCTTTTACCGTGTTAGCGGTGGCATGTTTAACCCGGCTGTAAGTGACACTCGCACTGAAATCTTGTTTTGATTGACCCACATGCTTATTCTTTTGCTCTTCTCCAGGTGACTCTCGGTCTGGTTCTCGTCGGCGCCGTGCCACCTCTCTATGCCGTTGCCATCATTCCTACACAGCTGGTTGCCGCCATTACCGCTGCGGGTATCACGAAAGCTCTCATCCCCGGCCCGCTCCTTGTCACCAATGCTCTCGGCAATGGCACAAGCATCGCCCAGGGTGTCTTTATCGAGATGTTCCTCACAGCGCAGCTCGTCCTGACTGTCTACTTCCTTGCCGTCGAGAAGCATCGCAGCACCCATCTTGCCCCCATCGGCATCGGCATCTCTGTCTTCATTGCCCACATCTGTGCGACCAACTGGACGGGCACATCCATCAACCCTGCCCGATCCTTCGGTCCTTCCGTCGTCGCTGGCTTCAACGGCTACGACTGGATCTACTACATCGGACCCTTCATGGGCTCTCTCCTTGCCTTCGGCTGCTACAAGATCTTTAAGGTGCTCGAGTATCAGACCGCCAATCCTGGTCAGGATGATGACGACTTGGAGAGAAACTCAGGAGGCCATCACTTCTTCAAACGCGAGAAGGAGGAGCCTGTGTCCCATTCCCACACCGACATGATCGAGCCCAAGGACCACGGCGTTCCTCGGCGAAACGACAGCGTCATTGACGGTCAGATGCCGCCTGTCTAAGCCCTTCCCGACGATCGGGACTGGCCAAACCACATGCTCAGCATTAGCTGTATGACGGGATGAGCAGCACAGAATTGTGACTGCCGTTACTTCCTCATGATAGTACAGCGGAGTTGGACACAAGGCTGGCTCATCGTGTTGAACCATCTGTTGCTACATTGTATCAGTGTCTGTGACACGAAAACGGTCATGATGGGAGGTTATGAGACGTATTGGAAACGAAAATGGAAGGAAAATTGGAGAACACGAGGAGGATATATGATTATATGAAGTCTTTTATGCATAAGTTTTTGGAGTACCTACAGCTTAAATGAAGACATGGGTCTTTTTCGAGTGCCTTCCCACTCAGTTACCCCGATTATCCTGAAAGTCATTCCATTCGTCGTCGTCTTCTTTGGCGGTTAATCCTATTGCTTCCTCTTCGGGGCTCTTTAAATTCTTGACCCGGATGCATGCCTGGACACCGACATAAATGTTCCAGAAAGGCAGTGGGATGAATGAACATATGCCCCCGATGTAAACGACCAGCGCGATAACACTAGAAATGCGGGTGTTCAAAAACCCAATAGATTTAGTAAGAGACCCTCCTCCAGCAATCAAATCTTGAGCAGCGAAGCCCGCAATCATAAAAATGCCAAGGAGCCAGACTATGGTCAAAACAGGAAGAATCATAGCCCAATCCCGGGTCTCGTAGAAGAATTTGTTGATTCGTCTAGTCCATGGAGACAGAGCGGAAAAGCAAGAGGCCGTGGTGAAAAGGAGAAAACCTTCAAAGGTGATGGGGAAGAGGAGAAGAAGCAGGGCGATAGGATTTGGAACATTTCCACCTGAGAAGATACTGGCGATGCTTGTTGCCAATAGCCAGCCAAATTGGAATGTCCAGATACAGTAGACGGCGATCTTGAAGGGGGAAGTTGTTGTTGACATAATGCTGTGATGTTTGATGCTGGAGTTGAAGTTGAGGATGCTAACGATAGTAGAGAATAGACACGCTAGGGGTAAGACGCGTTGAGTAAGGCAGATTTGACCCGCTGTGCCGCTGGACTGCATGGATGATCCTTGTTGGTTGTAACCGAAAATAGTCCTGTATGGCTTGCCATTGGAATATCTAGCATCTGTTACTTTTTGAACGTTACTACAGATGACATTCAATAATTACTTAACTCTTGTAGGACCGAAACCAGAACGAACAGGGTTGTGGAAAAACATAGGTGCCGTAGTCATAATGTACCAGAGTACCCCGTACCGCGTGATTTGATAACGACATACATCAAAATCACCAACAGTAACTAGTATTATTCCAGTTGCCCAGATTCTTCCTCGAGTTCTTAGCTCAATGCTGTAGAACTTATTGACCAAGTTATGGAATGTGGGTGTCTTGCATGTGCATGCATCTATGGCACTATGCTTGTGTAAGTGAACGAAACGTCACATGCAGTGTCCGGTAGAAAGGACACACGCAGAGGTTGTGTTAGTAAGATAGAACATGAAGACAGATGACAGAAGTTACAGGCATGAACACTGAGTCACCAGATCTCAGGAGCAATTGACCCGAAGCCAGATGAGATATTGTTATTGGTGCTACACAATCGAAGTGTGATGGAAGGCGGAGGGTTGGATATGAGAGGGAAAAGTTCTTTATCCACTTTGGAAGTCTTTTATTAGATACAACTGAATTTATACTGAGTATGCTACAAGTCTCAAACATGTTTGATATAACGGTTCGTGGCATCTGTTTGCATCCACTGCACCGCGCATTGATGCTTTGGAACCGCCGCAAAAGTGGATATAATCGGATCCGCTCGCCCGAGGTTGTTGATTTTCCTCTGGATGAAAGGAGAAGAGAAGTTGGGCAAGTGATCAAGTAAAATAATTTGGATTTGTTGAAAAGAAATAGGGAGCACCGGCCGTTATAATCCAGTACTTGTGTATAAGGTGCTAGGAGATGTGAGTCTTATCAGATGTTGCTGCCGGTTCCTCGGTACGGTAATGGCTCTGCGGAGCTCCGGTTCCGGTTTCGCCCCGTCCCGCTGTGCAGCTGAGTATGGAGGATATATCATGTAAAGCAGCATATAACATAGTAATCGATTAACGGCTTAATAGATTATAGTATGCTGTGTTAGAAAGTCAAGTGGGATGTGAGTTGCAAACGATTATGGTCAGTCCAATTGTGGGGCATTTCTAGGGCATCCTCAGCGCTGTATCCGTAGTTTAGTTGATGCTACGTACCGACAGGATGGGATGGCTCTTCCCAAACAGCACATGACCCACGTGATCATCTTGTAATTAGTCCTGAGGTTCCTAAACATGGCTAATCAATCCTTGCTTCTTCTTTTCAACTGCCAGATCATGTAATACTACAGATGGCCTTCAATTGACATCATCTACTGTACCGTGCAGCAACTGTATAGCGAGGAGGATCTCTCTTACACAGTGGCCTAGGCCCTATAATCAACTCCCCCACTTCCCCGTCGTCTTGCGCCGGCCCAACGCAGCGTCGGCTCCGTGTACTTTTGAAGGACGTCAGGCGGAGAGTTTCTGGTAGTCAGTTTCTCCTACTATACCTTTGTTCTTCATTACCCTTACCCCTAAAGCAGGCGACTTTCACCGCCCCCTTTCTGTTTTTTGGTGTAATTATTCACGGCTTCATCTTTCGGACAGACCCGGCCAAGGCATTCTCCAACTAGAGTCTACCTAGGTCCGAGGTGGGGTTTTAATGTCCAACGCGGGGCTCTAGCTCTCTCTCTCACGACTCTAAAAACGTTTAACCAACTTCAATACACTGAGAGAGCACGCGCTGTGGTACAACAATGTCGTCGGTAAAGGCCACCAAGAAGAGCGCTTTCTCGTGTGAGCCGTGTCGTAGACGCAAGGTCAATACAAACCATTCATTCTTCCATGACCTCAGCTTGTACTGATACTTTCCCAGGTCAAGTGTGGCGGCGAACAACCCATCTGCAATCGCTGTGCTGCAAGAACCGATGAGTGTATTTATAAACTGTGAGACTGTCCCCCTTCGGCCTCACGGTCGTGTGCTCCTCTGTGCTTTGCGACACAAGTTGCTCACATCATCACATGTCATAGAAACCCGACTCTGTCTTACACCCAACGTCTTGAGGAGCGCATCAAAGAACTCGAGGACCAACTCGCTGCCATCAAGTCCCCTCCCTCAGTTGCGGCTTCAAATCATTCGAGCCCGGGTGTCTGGAACGGCCATGATTTAAACCGCCATTTTGATGAGCATGCCATGTCTAGGAGCTTCATGGGTCTTAAGATCGACGACAAGGGTGGCATTACCTATCATGGCCCTACTAGTCTTTTCAACCTTCCCAGTGACCCTCACAAGCACAAGCCTGACTCAATATCCTCCATCGACTCAGATGCTCACAGGAGGGAGCGCTTGGTTAACAATGCATGGCATCAGAGAGCAATGGAGAATTTGTCCGACATTCCAGTATGTTCATTGCCGATGATTTATCTTTAATCTCGACTCACACCGCGTAGGAACCATTTCAATATCTTCTGAATGTGCACTGGTGCTGGATCCAACCCCTGTTCAACTTCATCTACAGGCCAGCATTCACTCGTATGCTTCCCCAATTTACTCCGAGGGATACGTCTAACTTTGACAGGCGACATGCAATCCATGGGACCTTACTACTCCCACACGCTCCTTAATGCCATGCTTTCACACTCTATCCGCTGGGGGAAAAGCGACCCTTCAACAAAGCAACTACTGGATCAGTCCTACGATGGTGGAGCTGTCTTTGCAAAACATGCTAGAAGCATGCTCTTTGACGAGCTCAGCAGAGGTGTCTGTACCATTCCAACTGTCCAGACGTTACTCCTTCTCAGCGCAGGTGAATGCGGTCACGGAAACACCGCCCAAGCCTGGATATACAGTGGTATAGCTTTTCGTCTTATCGACCATCTGGGTATTTGTGTCGACGGGCAGAGATATCCAGGATCTGTCCATCTGACCGACGAGGAGGTTGAGATTCGGCATCGGCTCTACTGGAGTTGTTATTTCTGGGATAAGATCATCAGTTTATACCTCGGCCGTTCGCCATCTTTGCAACATACACTTGTATCACCACCACAAATTATCAGTAAGTCACTTGCATTTACATGAGTTCTCTGCTTATAGTTACTAGTGGATGACTCTGCCGAAAATGAGCTATGGGTTCCCTTCGACTCTCCTCAGGGATCGGATTGGAAGTACCCCCCTGCCACTGCTCACTCTACATCTTGTTTTATGAGCGCTTGCCAACTGTCCGTCATTTTCAACGAAATCCTCATCCACATGTATGATCCATTGTTGGAAAATACAGAGGCGGAGATGCAAGAGTGTTTACAGACTCAAGACCCTGCTATGAAATTATGGTGGGAGCAGCTCCCGCCTTACCTCAGGATCGAGCTCTCCGCCATGCCCGACTTAGCACCACCATCTCATATCGTTACCATGAAGTGAGTATCCCAGCACTCTTTTTCAGATTGTCGGCTAATCGCCTTGAAGTGCTTTGTACCATACCTTCAGAATTCTCTTGTTCAGACCCATGCTCTCTTGGCAGGTATACCCAGAAGACGAGGGCCCTCATCCAATGCAGAATCATCTGGTCGAATGCGTCACATCAGCAACATCCATCATCGCCATTTTCGATCTTTTCTGCAGAACATTTTCCATAAACCACTGCGTTCTGTCCCTTTCGTATAGTGTGTATATCGCAGCATCCATATTTCTCTTGCAGGTGCAAGCTACCCCCGAGGACCAACAAGCTGTTCGCAAACTGAACTTCTGCGTACGAGCCTTGCACCAAGCCAAGAGTGTCAATCCAGGTAAGTGAGCTGCCCAAACCATAGGGTTGTTTCTAATCATCTCGCAGTGATTTCGAGTGCTCTGGATTTGATCACCAAAGAAATGACCAACCTGGGGCTTAGTCCAGGTTTCAGCACCCAACCCCAACAACAGCAACAGCCTGCACCGCAGCCAATGCCTGATATCTCAATGACTTCAGAGATTCCACTCTCCGAGACAATATACCCGCCTACTTTCGATATACCCACACAGCAATCTCCTTACGAGCCCGAGCAGCTGTTCCAAACGCCATGGGCAGATGACATGAATCCTAATGCAATGGCGGTCGACCGTGGAGTTTTTGAGGCCTTGTCGTCATTTGAGCCACTCAGTGTGCGGGTGGGTGCTATTTACGAGTCGGGAAATAACTCCCAGAACTTTGGTTAGCAAGAATATCATGTCAGCAAAAAGTAATAGAATTTACTGCTCCGACCTGGCGAGCGGTCAGGGGTTTCAGGATGGAGGTCCCCGAGATCGGTTGAATCAATGGAACTTCAATGCAAAACTCGACAAATCCACTGGGAGCAGCTTGTCGATCTTCTGAGCTGAACAACTGTGCTGGACACAGCTGGCAGCGAGCTTACCGACTGGCAGCCCATATTGAAGTCAAGTCTCAGCCGAGTCAGCTTCAAGAAATTCGTGGAAGTGAGCTCACCCTTCCAAATGGATTCGGCTGCAGAATTCTTCATCTGCCAAGTCCTACCTGTAGGTCAACGCGATAACCACCATCGAGCCTTGGCCAGACGAGTCAGAGCCTGATTGCCGAGCCCAATCGTGCTGCTCGTCTCAAGCTCAATTGCGGCACATGACTCTGCGGCTCGGCCACCTGTACAATGTCGAGTTTCCTGAGGGAAGAGTCAACATGGGACGCGTCAGAACAAGATTGAAAAAGGATTGTCAGATAGGATATAACATATGCGACCTGGATTCGAATTCATAATTTGAGGGTTAAAGTGTTTTATGTGCGGAGTATATTGGGTAAATTCAAAGATTCCAAATACCGAACAGGCCACCCTTGAGCAAAATACACCAAACTTAGTACAGGACGAAAATGTCACCTAATCTCTAACCATCCAAGTTTAACGGCGAAGCACAGCTGACGCGGATCATTGTTCAGCACTTCACAACCGTTTGACATCCCACAAGTCCTCGGCATTTCCTCTAAACAGCCTCTCTGTTAGATGTTCATCATCGCCACACCAACTGAGCACCCTCTCCATCCATGGCTTGATATCTAGTCCCTCGAACCTGGTATGAGGCCAGTCAGTCGCAAAAACTACATGGCTGTTGCCCGCAACACGAATAACCTCTTTGGCGATTGGGTCCACATCGCTATTGTCGGGCAATGCGCTCATACGATATGGCGCTGACAACTTGACGTATGTGTGGCCATCTTTGAGTAAGCGGATAAGAGATGAGAAGCCGGGGATATCATAGGGAGCAACGCCCTGGTATTCTTTGAGAGGGGGCTGTCCGAGGTGATCTATGCAGAACTTGACTTTGAGTTTTGGGACGATAGACTCAAGAAGGGTAATCAACTTCATGGGGACGTAGACCTGAACGACCCAACCCAATGGTCTCACAGCATCCGCGTACAGCATTAGCTGGCGTTCCAACTGGTCTGCATCCAATTCGACCCCAGTCGACTGGAGGTTCAACCTCACCCCACGTACTCCCAGGTCATGCCATGTGCGTAGCTCTTGTGCATCAAAGGCCTCGGGGTCAATTGCAACAACTCCCCTTCCGCGCCCAGCACCAAGTTCACGCAGACCATCAAGTAAACAGGAGTTGTTAAGACCGTAGATGGATGGTTGGACGAGGACTATGTTGCGGAGCCCCACGCTAGTCTCAAATGTGAGAGCTTGCTCGAGGGAGTGTGAAGTTGGACGGTAGGTTGCTGAAGGATCGAGGGCGTAGTTTTCTACGTCGACGATGTGCATATGTGAATCCCATGAATCAGGAGGAATGCGCTGAGTGAGTTGTGATGAAACCATAATGAAAGTTGTTATAGTATAGTAATAAAAGATGCAAAGATATTGATACATTTTCAGACACTCTAGTCAGTCTTATATCTTATAAGCAAGTAGTGGCGGTTGGTAGATGGTTTGATATTTCCGAGGTCGGCCGAGTCGGCGGGGAAAGCGAGAGTTTGAGCTCGGCGTTCTCCATGCCGAACTTCCGGTATTAAATCCACAGATTTGGAGGAAGGTACGAAATTACCGTTGCATTCTGTTCTTTTTCGCAACGTTGCAGTTTTACGTCGGACGATAGTCGATGTGGACGTTGTGTGGCGGTTGTAGGTAGGTAGTTAGTCTAGCTGGCGCATATAGAGGGGAGGGTTTACAGACATTATTGCATGCAGATACGATAAGGTTGAGTGAGAGGTGCATGAATTGGAAACCAGTAAAATCAATCTAGCCGTTGAGATTCTTCTAAAAGCAGTTGAATCAGCCTTGTCAGATGCATCTGCGCTACCGCGTATTGAAGGTACGTACAGGCGTATCAACACAGCCTAGGTACAGAATACGCTCAACTTACAAGCATGTAATCACCACTACCTATTTCAAATACGGATACATACCTGTATAACGCCTCATCTTACCTTCGCTACAGCCTTCCTCTGTATAGCTCACTTGGCTGACAAACACAGCCTCAATTGCCTTTGATTCCAAAAAACCAAAGTATCATACATAAGCACAGCCCATAAACTGCTCCCACTAACAAGTTAATAACAAACCGCGGGGCAAAAAAAAGGACCCTGAAGACCACCAACGCCACCTTCCCAAAAGAGGAAATAAAGCTGTCTCAGAGTCCAATCGTCATCTGCGACTCGAGTGACGCATCCCCCACCCCCGCCACACCTTCCACGTTTCCATTCGTTGAGGATTTGTCATTGACCGACAGCCCGAAAAAGTTCAAATACATTGCGATTCCCGTTTGCGATAGCTTCACTTTCTACCACAACAGACGATATAGCTTCAATTTTACACCAGCTCAATTGATACTATCGCAAACCATTGCAAAAATGTCTTTTAACCTTCCTCCTTTCCTGGCGCGTCTCGTCCGTCCCTTTACGCAATCCACTCGTCTCTCCATCACCCCCGACCAATCCGCCGCTTCAGTTATTCCCGAGGGCGCCCAGCGCTGCACCGTTGCTGCCGGTTGTTTCTGGGGCACCGAGCATCTCTATCGCCGCCACTTCGCCGATAAGGGCCTTATTGACGCAAAGGTCGGCTATATTGGAGGCGATCTCGACAACCCATCCTACCGCGCCGTATGCGGGGGCAGGACAGGCCGTACGTCTCCCAGTTCCCCAATGCACTGCCAAGCAGAGACTGACTGACTTCTCTAGACGCCGAGGCTGCACAGATTATCTTTGACCCCACCAAGGTCACATACGCACAGCTCCTAGAATTCTTCTACAAGACCCACGACCCTACAACGCTGAACCGCCAGGGTCCCGATACTGGCCCCCAGTACCGTTCTGCCATCTACTTCCACAACCCCGAGCAGGAGAAGGTTGCGCGCGAGGTGACAGAAAAGGCCAACAAGCAATGGTGGAAGGGTGGTATCGTCACAGAGGTTGCGCCCGCTGGCAAGTGGTGGACTGCTGAGGAGTATCACCAGCTCTACCTTCACAACAACCCCTCTGGTTACGAGTGCCCAAGTCACTTTATGCGACCGTTCCCCCCTTTGGAGTAAATAGTTGGAAGTAAGTTTTATTTTGGTTTGGTAGATAGAAAGGCTAGGGACTCAACGATATCCATGTATAGGCTGGTGAATAGGTTGTATTATCATATTGGGACGGGGAATTGTTATGATGCACGAGGAAAATCTCACTTCAACTTGAGAAATTTGATCTTTTTTTATATTTATTTGATAATCCTAAAAATTATAAATGGGAACATCCATCAATTTGCAAACCAGTCCGATCAGTAAAAGAGGAGAGGAGTTCATTAACCTCTAAACAAACAATAATCCTTTTTGCTAAAAATAATACAAAACGCATATAGCGCTAGTCTATGCAAGTCAAACACCATCGCTTACTTGCGTCGGTTCTGCTGCATCATTAAGATCTGCACCATGCGGATGAAGATGTTAAGGAAGTCAAGCTCGAGAGAGATACTCTCGTTGACGGGGTCACGGCGCATGACACCAGCCTGGGCGAGACGGGCGTGGTGTAGGACCTTCTGGACATCGTAGAGGGTGAAGCCACCGAAGACAGCAAGACCACCGTAGAGCCAGATGCTCTCAGTGAAAGCGATAGTTCGGAGAGCAGTGGCAGGAAGGACAAGAGGGGCAAGACCAGAGGCGGCAACAATGGCAGCACCAGCCAGGAGAGGACCACCAATGTAGAGGTACTTCTCCTGCTTGGCAGTGGCACCGACAAGAGCAAGACCACCCATCATGGCAATGGTGTAGAGACCAGCACGACCCAGGATAGCAGGAGGAACGAAGGCGAGGAGAGGGGCGACAAAAGCTGCCTGGGTGGCGTTAAAGGCGGTCCAGAGAGCGTACTTGGGGATATAGCTATTTATTTGTTAGTCAAAAAGCTTCAATTTCGTCATTGACTTTTGTTGCAGGCACTTACTTATCAGGGCTGATAGATCGAGTTCCAATCATGGTAGCGAAGCTGAGAGCGAGGCCACCAATACCGACAACCCAAGGGTTGGTCACCATAATTCGGTAAACGAAACCAGTCTGAACCATTTGTCGAGCCGTCAATCCAATGATACCAATTCCGAGACCGGTGTGCAAGAAGGTGTTGTTCAGGTATTCGCGCTCGTAGATGGGCATGCCACCATCCTCACGGGTTTCACGGTTGAAGACGGCATTGATGGCGACAAGTGTACCACCGAAGATGGCACCTCCAACCAAAAGTCTTCGACTTGTTGACTGAGGCGCTGCCACGCGGGCAGCCTCCTGGTGGTAAGATCGACCGCCGGCGCGGCTTGTTCGCTGGAAAGTATTGCGTGTAGCAGCGGATGTGAGGCGTGAGGTGAAGAAGTTGGCAGTAGGCTTAGCCTGGACGTGGAAGCTTCGGGCGGATGCAGTATTGCGGAAAGCGGTCTTTGAAAGCTCAGGAAGCCTCTGCGCAAGACGCGCAGGGCCCTGGCGGACAGTAAGCGTGAAGGACATCGTCGTTCTGGCGATGCGGTTGTTGTATCGATTGTGCAGTCGTTTACAAAGGAAAAAGACGAAGCGGGGACGGGGGACACAGAGGCTATAAGTTCGCGGCAAAAGAGAGCATGACGTTGGGTCGGGGAGTGGAGCTCACCAAACTCCGACATCACGTGCATGTGACGGTGGAATATTGTGGAAAGAACCGGCGCCTCTCAGTGACTCAGTTGGTCAGCGCTCGGCCGCTAAACGTCTAAACTCCAGCCTCCGTCGGCTTTACAGGAGCAAAAGCTGCGGTGCGCTACTGAGTAGACATTCATAGTTACCTACATCACATCACCATCGATGTTCTAGTCTGTTCCGTCGATTTTCTGTCAATAGTATTGAGGAAGCTTATAAGAGTGGTAAATTCTCGGCTCCATCAGGGTATCTACCGAGTGAAGGTGCTTGCTTTCCACCCTAGTTCACATTCATGTAATCTCATCATATCCTCCTTTCCTTTCCCTTCCTTTCTGTCCAGATCGGTAGGTTGCATCTCACTTCTTCTGTAGTAGGATGAAACTTGATATGTAATGTTAAATGCTCCACAACTCTGACGCCAATGCTGTAAACAACATATATCATATGCCCAATGCACCTGTCAACACCCCATCAATTCTAAAACATGTTCTCCAGGGCGCCTTTCTTCCTTCAGCGTAAGCTTCCATATCCTTTCTCGATAACGAAGCGCACAGGTCGTCTCGCTCTCTTAGACCTGTATCCAAATGCAGACCGTGGCATAAAGTTCTGTGATGTGAGCATGGCAACGCTCATTGCTTTTGGCGCCGGGGCATCTTCTTCACCATCTCCTGGTGTAGTTCCATCACTTGGTGCGGTTTCTGCAGGTCGTTGACCAATTCTATCATCGAAGCCCCAATTAGTCACGCCACCAGCTCGAAGCCAAGACTCCAGGTTCCGGCACTGGCTGATATCCATCCAGTTGAGTCGTCCGCATCCATTCAGCACGTTTTCAACTCCCCGGCCTGTCACACGCACACAGCCGCGGACACTGAGTGCCTCCAGTTCATTCAGATGGAGTGCTACACTTTCCAGGCTCCCGTCACTAACAGCACTTCCGCAGAATGCTAACCGCAACTCTCGTAACTTCGGCAGCCGAAGAGCGACAACCTCTGTTGCCGTATCGGAAAGTGCACAGCAGAATGATAGATCCAAATGTGTAAGGTTCTTGGCTGAATTTACCAGGGCAACAACAGCGTTGTCTGACAGATATGTACAATCTGCCAAGCACAGCCGAGATAGCTTCTCAAACCGGAAAGGTGCCCATGACTGGAAGCCTGCGTCTGTGATCGACGTACACCGTGTAAGCGAAAGCCACTCGATGCGGTTTGAGGCGTGTGCTGCAAGATGAGCCATGGATCGGTCCGTGATGTGTTTGCAGTAGGAGAGGTTAAGGCGTTTCAACTTCGGGCACCCGACCACTGTGCCTGGTGGCAAAACCGTTTGTGCCGCGTGCTTCTGTTGCTGTTGCTTGCTTCGTGTACGGGCTGCTGAGCTTGATATGACAACTGATTTGGAAGGTGGAGGGTCAGGCACAACCCAGCCAACAACACGGCCAAGTAGATTATCGCCAACTTTGCGGCAGTTACTCCAGTCCACCTCTTCTAACCCCTTGGCATTCTCACTCATCTCCAGAATCTGATTCGCTGAAACATCCCAAACCGACTTCATTTTCCATCTCTTGACATTCTTTCCGCAACTACGCCATAGAGCTCCAAAGCCTTCATCTGTTATATGGAAGCAATTGTTCAGGTCAATGCTTAGAGCGCGAGTGCCAATGAATGGAGCAAGCACCTTGATCAATACCTCATCATTGACCTTGCGGTTGTAAATCGAAAGGTCAACGTCTTGGCAGACCTTCGGTGATGTTGTCAAGAGCTTGCGCCAATGGGTGCTCACAAGTCGTAGTCGGAAAAGCTCGCCAATATCCACATGCTTGAATATGTAGATCAAGATCTCGTCTGAGAGCACCGGCTTACTCATCCCTGAAGGTCGAGTAGGTAGGGTTGTCCGGACTCGTTTCGCCGGGATATCCTCGTCATCACTTGGGGTCTCAGAGAACGCAAACTTGATGGGCGTCACTTCTGACAGGCGAGATCTCGCGCCGTTAGTACTGGCCAAGGAGCTATCCATTGGCGGCACAGGGGGTGCCAAAGAGTGCCGTCTTCGGTTCCTGATATTCTCCATATTGACACTCAAAAATGGATCCGGGTCTCTTGGTGCTATATTACCAGTGTCGTCTTTGGAAGGAGATCCTGGCTTAGATGGAGTAGTGAAGGTGAGATTAGGGAGTGATGTTCTTGGGCCTGTCGTAGGAGTTGGCGGGTCGGACTTGATGACCTTTTCCTTAACGTTATCGGCATCGATCATATCGACATCATCGCTTTGTTTGTGATATCGTAGTCTTGCAGTCTCTTTGACCTGTGTCAAGATATCTGCAGGGCAGCGTCTCCAGAACTCATCAAGGACATCGCCGGTAATCATAATACACTCGACAGAAGTGATAGATCGAACAGTAGCTGTTCGGCCACGAGACAAACCAAGACTGGCGACTTCGCCAAAATATTGGCCCGCCTTCAATCTCGGCCGACTCGGGATAGCTTGAGCCTTGTTCTGAATGCCGTCGTCGTACACTGGTTCATCGTGTATCACCTCGGCCTCGCCACGAACAATGAAAAATATTTCGTTTCCTGGTAAACCTTGTCGGACAATATCTGAGAAGGGAGTATAAGATTTGGGCTGAACACTCAATCCTAGGAAGTGCAGAATATCCGCAGGGAGTGTAGAGAAGAGCGGTAACTCCTTAAGCGTTGTTCGGATATTAATTTGCCCACTTCCAATGGCGCTCCCAGCGCTTGGATCTTCCATGATGCCTGGGCTCGGGGATTTCCTCTTCTTGTTGTTGACCACTGTGCCGTCTTTGATAACGCCCCTTTCGCCGGTAGAAACCTCACCGGGCGCAGGCTCTCGGGCGGTGAAGTCTCCCGAAGGAGGTTTGATCAGTCGCCCACTCTCCTGGCGTTTCTTTTTCAGAAGGTTCAAACGCTCCTGCGCCTCTTCGCGAATTGCCTTTTCCATCTCTGGAAATCTGGGTATCACTGAATGTAAATCCTCCTTCTTCAGCACCAGCAACAGACACTTTGTGCGTGCAACAATAGTAGCTGTACGCGGCATTTGCATCAAAACACCAATTTCACCAAAGAACGACCCAGGGTTCAGCTCGGCGTATACTGCTTCTCCATCCCTAGAGGTCACGGCAACAACGCCTCGCACCAACCAATACATCGCCTTGGCTTCATCTCCCTCGGTCACGATATGGTCGTTAGGACTTTGAATCTGGGGCTTCAAATGATTTCCGATAGCAACCAGAAACTCCTCGGGAGCAGACATGAAGAGTGGGAAAGATCTGATACGGTCGACAAGATCTAAAGGCATGTCTCGGATAAGCGATGCTGTGAGCGGCGAAGGCCGGACTGGGCGCGTAGGATTTGTCTCGACATTAAAAGATCGAATCAGCGAGATAGAGTCTGACGATGCCCCGGACCCCGACGCATTTTGATGATGGGCCAACGCCCTATAGGGCGACGGTGAGCTGGAAGAGCGACTCCGCCTCATGGTTCCGGGTTTCATTAGGAGCGATATGGCTAAAAGTCAACTAAGACCAATGATGAGGACGATTATCCTCCCCTCCAACAGCTCCCAGGCCGCCGCAGCAGCAACTGAATTGGCAGGTTTCTGACGTTCGTGTTGTGTGCTTTGTTCTTGCTGCCGATAGATCAGGAGGCGCAAATAACAGCAATAGTTTCGAAGATCGAGTGAGGTACGGTCATACTCTGGTGAAACGTTTTGGCGACAAGGGCTGGTGACTATAAGAATATCGAATTGTACAATCGTTTTGCGGGTCGATGATTCGACAAGATTTGCATGAAAGGCCTGTACAGTAGCTCAAGACCGATCTGAAGGCCTCACAACAGGTGGAAAACGCGCGTGCTGTAGTCACAATTTGAATGTCGCGCTGAAAGTCGCACAGGGTTCCAAGGCGGCGGTTTGGAACTTTTTCGTGACACGAGAACAAGGAGCGAGCTGTTGTGTAGGTGCGGGCGTGGGAGCTGAGCGTCAGGGATGATCGTGTGGATGTGCTGAAGTAGACTTTGAGAGTTGTGAGCGATGACGGCAACGCAGACAAAGAATGGAGACCAGTGTAGGGGCTTACCAAAGCTTGAGCGGGAGCCAAGTAGTGAAGGTTATTTTGGAATGTCTGCAAAACGCTGAGCAAGAAGAAAGCAGGTGGGGAGCTGTCAGGGAGCAACAAGGAAGCTATTGCGAGTGGCAATTGGCAGACAGCTCGATGAGGAAATCAGTTGAGGAAGGTCTTCAGGTCTTGCAAGGTCAAGAACCACGAAGATAGATCCGCATGGGAAAAGATGGATTCCAGTGCCCAAGGAGCAGCGCAGTTCGGCCGCCACAAGAATAACGCCCACGCACAAGACAGCACGGAAGGCCCCTCAGCATTGGATCTCTTACGGTCTCACACGCCCACCGCCCACTCACACGCACAAAGACGAGCTTCTGGTGTGGGGTACCTCTGGACCGGTACTGTATCGATTTTAGCTGGGTTACTGGCGGGCGGGCAGTGCCGTCACACACGGTGAAGAGCGTGTAAGAAGTGAGCAAAAGAGCAAGGGGCCCTAGGATAACGAGGTACAGTAGGTATCGAGTGGAGCAAGCAAGCCAGAGCAAGCAGGCGAGCAAGCAAGCAGGCAGGCAGGCAGGCAAGCAAGCGTCGGCAATGCAAGTAATTCGTAGAAGAGGACGGCCGGAGAGATGTGAAGTTCTGATAGTGAGCGGCACAAGAAACACGACAATGCAACTGCGAGATGTCCATATCCATGCCCATGTCCATGCCCATGTTCCATGTCTGCGTGGTGATGCCGGTACCTTGGCACATGCGCATGTAGCTAAGATAGTTGCAGTACCTCCATAGGAATTGGTGGCGTCCTGGTTAAGTTAGTGGTTACCACACAGGGCCATCGCAAGGTGAAACGGGAGACGATGGGGCTGTTGCTGGGAAGGGTCAGTGCGTGCTTGCGTCCACACTTTTGGCGCTTCTGTGGATGCTTCGATGAAGCTTCAGTGGGAGTGGATGGTCGTCATGGGCACTCTAGCCTCTAGCTCTTTCAGGGACCCTGGCGAGAGCCTTGCAATCCTCACTAGCGGACGGCACCAAGCGCAGATGACCGAGCGCGCACAGAGCGCTTAATGGTTCTTCACGTTGATATTGATGCTCGTTGCAGGGGTAAACACTGTCTGAAGCTGATGCAACAGAAGCAATCGGATAGCTTCTAGGCCGTCCATAATATTTCCTTTGCTGAACACATCTTGTCAACAGGACTAATTAAAAGGTTAGTTAACCCGCCATGCTCCCCCGTGGCTGACGGTGAGCCGTGGTTCCTTAGGGTTAGTATCGGTCGACCACTGCCGTCATCATTTCCCCTCTGCTACGTCGATCCTGATCTTCGGATCCGTGCAGCCAGCCAGCCAGGCCAGCCTACCGGGAAAGGGGTCATCGGTCAGAAGACCTCTGTTTTTGGTGGTATATCCGCCCCCACCATCTGAACTGATAAACATGCAGATATGTACCATAGTACGTACTACGGATGTGCTTCACGAGAAGGCCTTGTAGGTTTTATCTGCTGTAACGCTGATAGTTTGTACTAAGGGAAACACCTTGATGCAACTGTAAATCAGTTTCGTTCTGTATACTCTGTACGTTGGGCTGTGCGGTTGACGCTGCAGACGCGTACGTGCTAGCTACCTAGGGTTGTCTGTAGCTCAAAATAAGCACCTGCATCGAAGAAATAAATTGCAGTGTCGTTCGCGTTCACGTCAATGCCAGTGCCAACGCCAGATGCGGCATGTTGTCGGAGAGGGATCCTGGTATACGGAGTATATTGTAATACCTTAGTAGATTGGTAGATAAAAATGCCTTCTGTGAAACGTTTCGTCATGCTGTTTCATCTGGGCGGGTTATCATGATGCGATGCACCTTCCTTACACGGATATAAAAAAGCTCAGGTACGTACTATAAACATGCAAGTGCTTGTTCTTACCTGGCAGGTAATTTTATGCTCAAACCGCCCTGCTTGTCTCTGTGGAACCCCAAGATAATGACTGCAGTTTTCGTTGCATCGACTACTAACCTCTCTACGGAGTACTCCCAATCCAACACAAAAGACTCTAGGGCTGTATACGGTAGTAGTTAATTGCTCGTGTGTGGCTGAACAATGACGGGAGGATTACGATCAGTGCCAGGTACAGTTCCGTGCAGAAATAGGGACATATAAAATAATATAGATATATCGAATGTGCCGTAGTGAGTATAACATCTTCGATCTAATCTAAAGATGACATTATATAAGGTTATGTAGAATAAGAAGAATTTAACTTAATTTATGAAATTTGTCTGGAATATAAAAAGGAGATTGTCGGAACTTTTGCACGGAACTATACTAAGACTCTCAGCTGTGATATGATCTTTCTAGAATGTCGCACTCAGCAAGGGACAGCGGTCAACTAACGCCATGACCATCCAGCCCCTGGTCATGGAACGTCGCTAGAAGAACGCGCGATAGATTGAGGTGCTTCTTTTTCAAAGTGGGTTGTGTTTGTGTTTTTCAGGCAAACGAACTGCAACTCCCAAGACCTAAAACAGACAGAAGCAGACGCGCTTGAGTCGGTTGGTCGTGTTCCTTGTCTTTTACGGCTCCATAATATATATCCCATTTCGGTCACTAAACAGTAAACACCACGCCTCATTGATAGGCTCACGCAGTAACAAGTTAACAACTCACGCCACGTCAAGACACAATATCTACCAGTCTCTGCCCAGAATGGCCCCTCCTCTACCACCCGCTCGGACTCAGGCTCATGTCTACTTGAGGCCGCGATGCGGTATATGTGGTGTTTTTATCAAGATTGGCGAGCGCTTCGTGGCAAGTAAGTACTTGCTGAGCGGTCAAGGTGTGATGATGTGATCAAAAAAGCCAAACCGCTTATTTTCATTCTAGTAATTGGAAACACTGACTCGAGCGCTCCGCTTTACCGCACCCAAAGCTTGCCCTTCACAGACCACGCCCAGTTTGTGGACGATGTTTGTCTATGTCGCCCGCATCCTTGTCCATTTTGTGAGAGCTCGACTGAAAGTGTCCCGATTCACCCAGATTGCCTCGGACTGTTTCTGCGAGATTGCCAGCAACCTGATGCTTGGAATCGACTTTGGATTTTGGCTGCTTGGCAAACTCCGTGGCAAACACCATGGAACGGCTCAAGGTATCTTCAGTTCCATCTAGAGCCAGAAGATATCTCAACATCTAGCTTGACGGTTGCGCAAGTACTTAACTTTCCTGAACTGACTCTACTTCCCTCCGAGATTATCCAAACGATCCGGTTGTACTCAGTTGATAGCCCCTTATGGCGGTTGCGTACTGCTCAAGCACTTGCCTTGCTAGCCTTCCAAGATGACTCTCAGGATTCGATGACTATCAGTCTGACCGAAATCGTATCTTGGACAAGAGGAAGGAGGCTCACGACTACCAAGGTCTTGCCACAGCCGCCTATCATCCGTTTTACACTAGATGCTCTTGGAATACAACGAATCGAAAGACTATCGTCCTATTCGAATTACACGGATAAGCAGTCTAGTTCAGAATCGAGACTTTTCGCATTTGTTGACGAACGATTTCTCCAGTATCGCTACAAAGATTTAGGGGGGAGTGATGCATGGGAAGCTACAGACTTGAGTCCTGCTATTATTCACTTCAAAGTAATTCTTGAAACCGATCTAAGACTGCTACATAAGCTGACGACAGCGTCAGTTTGGCCGTGCTCGCTTCCAGTTTGACAATGAAATGCACTATCCTTGGCTATGGAATACTCCATCCCCGGCCATACAGACCATCTCTGTACACCCAGGTACCACTACCTCAAGTGACAGGAAGACTGAGGATGTGGTGGCAGTCTTTCAAACCACCAAAAAAGAACCACTCGGCGAATCCACCTCTTGTGCTCTTAGATCAGCATTTGGCAGCTTCTATGAGAGACTACCTGAAGCAGCAATAGCATCTCTACGGCCTAGTGATTATAGATTACACATATACACGCTTCCAATCATTGTGTGCACTTCGCAACTCCGGACCATCTCACTAGACCATGTTACGGGCCTCACTTTCTTTTACATGTCAAATCAGATGTATGGAGTTCATGGCCATACTATATCAGAGCCTTCAGCCGTCCGCAGTTTAGAACGGTTACCAAGGAATATTCGAAACAAAGTTACATGGGTGCATTTGCCCATCCCACCCGACGAACACATGATGGGTATGGGCCAAGTGGACCAGTATGCTCTTATGATGGATTGCACTTTCATGGTATGTGTTATCTACCAGGTATCCGCCCTCTTTGCTGTTTCTAACCTTATAGATTCGCATGAAACTCGCTGGTGATATCGTCGTCGGTCCTGCACAGTTTCATCGTGCTGACACGTACTCGATCCTGGATTCACCTCCTGCGGCCCTTGTGTTTCGTGATGGCGTAGACCATCATGTTACATATTTCGGCGTCATCGTTCGGAATGATTCTACCGCGGACAGGGTTGCTCTCATACCCAGTCCTCGTGTCACCACCCCATCGAGGAACCTTCTCTTTTCAACAGCTCCGTTAGAAGATGTAACGAAAGTCGACATATACACATCTCAATACACAGGTTTATGTGTCGGAATTCTCCTGCACTATCAGAGCAGGGGTCAAAGAGCATTAGGCCAGTGTCGCTTGGGGGTCGATGCCGTCGAGACACATCTCCAACCAAATCAGATATGTGTGAAACGTATAAGATTTGCAGATCTTCGCTCGGGAGAAATAAAGGAAAGTGCCGCGATTGATTGCACGACGGAGCGGTCACATGAACACGGTGATGAAGGCTGGGTATGCTATGCTCTTCAAGGTAGCTTTGAGGTCTGTTTTGATAATGCGGAGTTCCAAGTTACTCATGCTGAGGCTCCATTGCCGTGATATCTTTTAGTTTAGTAGATACTATTTGAAATGTTGACCTAAAGGAGTTATTATGTGGACATTGCCTCCACATTTAGAGACTTCCATGTTGTGTATGATCTCCTGTTTCGAATATGCATTAACCTCCCAGACGTGGCTGGCAAGTGTGGTTGCTCTTCTGCATTGGTCTCCAAGGGGTGCAGTGTATTCTTCACGAATTTTAGAGACTGTATGAGAACGCTTCTCAGGGATGACTTGGCAGTATATGTTCTAGGCTTATATCTCCATCCAATGTCATGACTGAATTCTCGGTTCAACATACTAAAGATGAGGTTTTGAGTATACCTTGTAAGAGTACAGCACGTAACAATATCTCCGATATCGGTATCAAGACCACTCAGTCACGTACAGGCATTGTTCTGAGATACTAGATTGGTGATCTGAAGCGAAACGGCAATGCTAACAGAGGATCGTGGTTATCTCAGATACCTGGACCAAGTGCCGTATATGAAGTTTAGGATAGATAGACACGTATAAGTCATATACCACCACTCGGAGTAGTTCTTCATTCAGTCTGATTCGCCTAGAAGGCTGGTGTCAGAATTGCACTCGGAAGTTTATGGCACGGTGCATGGGTATGTACGGCAAATGCGCATAGTGACGGTCCAGCCAGCTTCTCAAGATAATCACATCCGCGGCTATGTCTTAATCCATTCGTTCAGTTAATGCTCAATCCGTTTCTATTGAATATCCCCCGCACAGCAACTCAGTCTATCTACTACAACATTCAAATTCGCTAAATCTGAGACCCAATAACCACATCCGGCTTTTACAGAACTCAAGTTTCGAAACCCAACGCCAAACCAAAAGATCCCAAATAGCCCATTCTTTCTCGTTCATTCATCTCTTCAGGTTCGCAAGAATGTCTTGAATACTTGCGAGTTGGTGCAGTCTTCGTAGGGGTATCCTATCTTGCGCAAAAAGCTGTGCAGTTCTTCAACCTCCTCGTCAGGACATTGGAGGCCGGTTACGATTTTACCAACGTCGCCGCCGTAGTTACGGTATTGGAACAGGCTGATGTTGAACTTGGAACGAAGCGTGGTGAGGAATTTCTCCAGAGCTCCTGGTCGTTCGGGGAATGTGAACATGTACAGTCTTTCGTTGGGCACACCTGACCGACCACCGACGAGATATCGGATATGACTCTTCGCCAGCTCATCTTGACTAAGGTCAGTCACAGCCATCTCGTTGTGTTGAATACGCTCGATGAGGGAGCGGAGTTCGTCAGCTCGCTCATGAGCGGGAGCTGTCAGAGAGATACCAATGAGGATATTGGCAACTTCGTCTGTTGAATATCGGTAGGAGAACTCCGTGACAGCATGAGGCATAATAGTGTTGATAAGCTCAGCGAAGGCTCCAGGGCGTTCCGGAATCTGCACAGCAAACAAAGCCTCCTTTCCTTCGCCCATGGTTGCACGCTCAGCAACGAATCTCAGACGGTCAAAGTTCATGTTGGCGCCTGATGTCACAGCGATGAGGTTGCGCTTTGAATCATTCGAAGGGTTCTGAGCGACGTATTTCTTGAGACCAGCGATGGAGAGAGCGCCAGCGGGTTCCAAACCTGAGCGAGTATCGTCGTACATGTCTTTGATAGCGGCGCAGATCTCGTCGGTTGAGACTTCAATGACATCGTCAACAACCTCCTTGCAGATGCGGAACGTCTCTTCTCCGGGGATCTTCACAGCGGCGCCATCGGCAAACAGGCCAACCTCCTTAAGCAGGACTCTCTCGCCCGCTTTCAAAGACTGCACCATAGCATTGGCGTCATGAGCCTCGACACCAATGATCTTGACGTGAGGGGCCATTCGCTTGACATAAAGACCGATTCCAGCAATGAGGCCGCCACCACCGACACAGCAGAAGATGGCTTCCACCTTAGCCATGTTTACCTGACCGAACAGTTCGTTTCCGATAGTTCCTTGACCAGCGATGACATAAGGATCGTCGAAAGGAGGGATGTTGATAAGTCCATCCTGCAGTTCTCGTCTTGCGCACTCCTCCTTGGCCCCATCGAAGTCAGCGCCATGCAACACAACGTGGCCACCGAGACGTGCGACGTTCAGATGCTTGATGCTAGGTGTCGCCTCGGGCATGACAATGGTAGCGGGGATCTTGAGCTTGCGAGCGGAGTAGGCGACGCCTTGGGCGTGATTGCCAGCGGAGCAGCACACAACACCCTTCCAGCTCTTTTTCGGATCAAGATGGGCCATCTTGTTGTACGCCCCACGCAGCTTGAAGCTGAAGACGGGCTGCTGGTCTTCACGCTTGAGAAGGACATTGCATTCGAGTCGGTTACTCAAGTTGATGGCGTGGGTGAGGGAAGTGACCTTGCAGGCTTCGTACACTCGGGATGTAGCGCTGGCGATGAGACGGAGGTACTAAAGACAGTGCCGTTAGCTTCATGGCTAGCAATATGCGAAGCTAGATAAAACTCACATCGGGGTATCCAGTGGGAAGAAGGTATTCCTCAGGAACAATCTCCTTAATGCGCGCCCGCTTCTCTTCAGAGGGCGTGGAGGGATTGGCGCTGTACTCAGTCAAAGACATTCCGGTTGTCGGCGTATGCGGCCGCTTGTCGCCGTTTGTTCCGTTTGTCCCATTGACAGTGCCATTGACGGCGCCGTTGGTAGGCAAAGCGACGATAGGAGGATCGTGGGCTGCGGGCATCGTGACGATTGTATGAAGAGGAAGTTGTTTTGGGATGAAAGGAAGAGTCGGGAGAGGGAAAGTTTACTTTGTCTTTCTAAGTTAGTGGTGTATCTAGTCACCGCCGAAAGATCGGACCTGAATTTTTGTCGGTTTCGCGGGTTGACCACTGATAGTGCCTCAATTCACACAGGGGTGACGTAGAATGCGGAGTGTTTGCGTCCGATAAGAAGTCCCTACCCTGTGCAGATGTTACCTTGGTGGGGTTCACTGGGACCATCCACGCCGATCTTAGTCCGGTCATCGTGCGATATTGAATTAGATTATTCTGGTCATAATGGCCCGATCTTGATAACTCGACTAGCAATTTCTTAATAAAAGAACTATCTGACTATCTGTATGTCTCTCAAGCTGACATGTGTAAAGTTATCCCAACCACGCCAATGAAGGAGCTATAAAAGAGAAGCTATAGAAGAGACCGCGCCGCCGCACATCGGCGGGTTTCGATATCGGAGGTCCGGCAGTTGCATCAACCACAGCTACAGCTACTATATTTGTCTCTCGCAGGGCGTACGTAGTATCAATGAAAGCCCGGTGTCTTACACGAGGCCATGCCCGCTTACATTATCGCATGCCGTGACTGATGCAAAGAGCAAATCTTGGTCAAAACTTTCCATTTATAGAGCAAATCTAATCGTCAAGTACCTATTCTTGATCCAGCTCCAAACTCCTAATACTAATTCTCTACTAACACTCTCGCCTACTTCCTCACAACTTCGTCGTATGCAGGGGGTGCATCCTTTTCCAAGTGTTGACCATAGACACTATCCCTGGTCTCCTCTTGAATATCCCGCGTCTTACGTACACTTCCATCATTTGCTTGTCCACCGACGAGGCCAATCCTCTGTACTCCCGACATGACAAGCTTAGCACCCGCTTGGCGCCTTTCCACTCTCTGTAGATCCCTCTCAGTTCGCTGTTCAGCACGAAGTTGCGAACGCTCAGCGCGCTGGATCTGCCTCTGGTAACGGCGTTCCATCTTGCGTTGATGACATGAAGGTCGGCCAGTGTAGGTTGCATAGTTGGGGCGTTCAGCCATGAGTTGTGGTTGTTGGGTAAGGTACACTTGTTGAGTTTGGTTTCGACGACTGCAGCAGCCTCCAGAACGAGGTTGACGGTCTGAACCATCAAGGAGACTGCGGATAGCGAGACCAATGAGACCCATGATGATAGTAGAGTAGTATAAAGTGTTTTGTGAGTGGAAGTATTGTTTTGAGTAATAAGCTGTATGTAAAAGTATTGTTTTAGTTGTGTAAGTGTCTGTAGATGTCCTCTCTCCTGGCGACGAACCTCGTCTTCTTATATCCAGAGATACCATCTTCTTTTGATTGATACCATTCCTAAAAAGTAAATTCATTCGACACAACGTCCTACGTCAATCTTGAATGCGAGTGCGCAGCCACCACCAATATCTCGAATGGCATCCCAAACCAGGCTTAGCGTTAGTTGTGAAGGTTGTCATGAGGTGTGCAGCCAATCCCCTCTCTCCGTTTATTTCGCATTCGCTTCAAAAACAAGCGATTTGTCGTGTCCTTCGTACTAAAAGATAATTATGCTAGATATGTTCAAGGTTCGATGAAGATATTGATGCGAGTCTGGTGTGCGACTATTGGCTATCTAATTTGGCGCATGCTATGTTACTTCGCTTCAGTCCATTCGAGAACCCTTTATCGGTTCTGATCCATAATGATGAAGCAACTACTACTCGGATTGAAAATGAGGAGGTCAAAGAACAAAACAAGTGAGCAACTCTATAGCTGGCGAAATCGATCTATCGCGGTCTAGTTGGTCTAGTTGGTCTAGTTGGTCTATCAACTCTAAAGAAATGAGTAGTATCCATCATGAACATGCAGTCTCGTCATCATAATCATCAAAATGCCTGGGAAAGCTCCCAATATGCTCGAAGCAGCGCAATTCCCCCAATTTGCGTCTCTACAGTCCGACCCAGGCCTCGGCTATTGGGATCCTGAGGTTGCGATTTCACTCTTTGAGATTCCCCTCCAGTCTCTGGTAGAGCCTCCCTGACACTGTTCATAACATGCTGGTCGGGCTTCGACGCTAACGGCGACGAGCGTCCTGTGCCTGGAATCCATCTGTGGCTCTCACCCCAAGTCTCATCGTCGGGCGTTCCTTGGTTGCGGTAATCGGTTGCGTTTTCAGCTTCGTGATTTATACCGTCAGTGCCCAGAGTGACGGTCGCGTCAAAGATGCCTGCACCCCACCACATTCCAAAAAGACCTTCTTCATTGCGAGTTTCAAGAGCTGCTAGAGCGTTGTGTCGAACCCAGCTCAGATAGGACTTGCAAGCTGCTGCGTGTATCTTTTTGACCTTCTGATAGCCACGAGTATCTACAGTCCTACCCTTCTCAGCCCGAAGAGCCTCAAGAGGGTGGCAGAACGCAGTAAAGTGGTGAAAGAAAATGCCCTTGAAAGTCTGGCCGTCCTGTGAGCAGGTGCTGCTAGCATCGCACTGCTCTTCGAGAATTCCGCCTCGACCTAATCCTTGCCAAGGAGGTAGCTGGCCAGGACTTAAACGCTCTAGATCATCCATGGGCTTGTTGGTTTTGAGGCTCCATCCCGTCGCTTCGATGACAGACTGAATCAGATGATGTCCATCTTCTAAGTACGATGCGCTTCCACTGACGGACCAGAGTCCCCTTTGGCCTGTTAATAAGACACCTTGGTTGTACGTGTATACCATCTCGTCTCGCAAATCGCATTTTGTGTTACCAGGCTTGGTCATGTCAATATGATACCCATCGACAAAAAGACCACGAGCGTTGGTCATGTTGACGTCCATGAGCCACTTGTACCCATGGATAGCGGCCTCCAGGTGTGCGGGATCGGTATCCGGGTATGCAGAATTGGCCAGCCATGGCGCAGTGAAGTTGTCACCAGGGAAGTGCTCGTACATGGCAATCGAAGCAGAAATCCAAAGTTCGTTGGTGATGGCGTTCTTATAGGGGTTAAGGCGAGCGTTCCAGACCATGCCCCCGTTGCAGAATTTGTTGTCCCATCCATGAGTTGCCAGATTCCAGAAAATGCGCGAGCGGTGCGCAAAAGATGAGAACCAATTGTAGCCCTGCCACGGCATAGCATCGATCACATCGCGAAGTCCGTTGCCTGATGAAACTCCCTCGGATTTTGTCTTAGGATAGTGAAGATCAGCGTGAGTTCTCACAAATTTGATCGCCTCGATCCAGCCAAGTGACACCCATAAGATGTCGTCGTAAGCCTGCACCACAGTATTAGTATAGCTTATGGATTTAGGATAGCATTACAGCTACTAACCTGGCCTCTGAGTGACAAAACATCCTGTCCAAAGTATGAGCCAACTAGCTGCGCATAGAATGTCGAGATGATGTTCTCCTTCACTTTCCAATCCTTAACACCGGCCAAATCGACTGTGTCGATAGCTTTTGACAACGTCGTTAACATCCCGGCTACAACTGTTCCTGCGACAGCAGCTGTCCAATCTATAGCCGACGGCCATGTCGCATAATCCGGCTGAAAGAAGTGGTCCTGCAGAGCTGAGAGGGCACTCAAAGCATCCTCGAGTACCTGTGTTTCTGCTGGTGGTCCTGAATCTTTCGACGAGAAACTCAGAAATGTTTCCGGTAGAGCTTTGCAATTTTTCGGTGGCTCGTTGTAGATAACGGGGCAATACTCATGCTGGGCATTTCCACGACTTGGCGCGGCTGATACAGGTTGGACGATTGCGAATAGACTGGCGAGGCCAGCAATAGCTTTGAGCCAGACCATGGGAGCTGGTGAGGCCTTCTGAGACGTCGATATCGAAGTTTCCTGATGAGTGTTGTCTTGGGAAAGGAAAGGCTTCTCGAATCAGGCCGCGCGGGTTTCATGAGATGAATCGATACATGCCATGAATTGTGGCAATACGGTTTCGCAAGATAAGCTACCCGCCAGTGCCACCCACTGCTTGTGGAAAGGAAAGAGAACACAAGGGGAATAATTTCACATGAACAAGAGAGAAGAAATCACGCAATGTACAAAACAATGTCGAGTCAAGGCCAAGGGTATTTATCAGTCAAGATCTTGATTCAAGACAAGGTGCAACGGAGGATCTGCCCCACCATGTAACGAATCAAGCAGGTCACAGGATGGATTCTAGAACCATTAGCTGGAATAAAGTCTGGAGAGAATCAGTGAGAATAGGAAGCTTAAGAAGCTAATTAAGTGTATATACCACTGAGGTCTTTTAGCCTCGAGATGTTCACTTAATCTTGCTCAGCGTTGATCGAGATTTGAGGGTGGAGATTTAACAATTCGTGCGCTACTTGGTATAAGACGTTGACTGATAAGGAGAGACATTGGGTATTGTATGTCTTTCAATCAATAAAACAAAGCCCAAGATAGAAATATATGGATAATAGATCATACGGTAAAGTTCCTAGCCTATATTATGTGCATGAATGAGACAACTATAACATATGAATAATAATTCTGCCTTCTCAAAGTTGTCGTTCTCAACTCTAGGTTAACCTCCATGCACAAAAAAAAAACCATCTGCAATAACGCGCCGAGCTGCAGAAGCATCAACCCTGGAACGGCTCCACGCTAGCGGTCCAGGGCGTTGGTTTGACGGTTGAGCGTAGCCAATCGTTTGGCCAGTTGGTGGCTCTAGCGGCGCTTTTAGGCTTCAGACAGTAAATCCCAGTGGCTGGTAGTAGCTGCGGGAGTGGGTCCTTCTTTTGTTTACTTTCTGTCCAAAAACAGTCAAAACCACCCCGGTCTTGTCTCCCGACCTAAACACAACTTGATAGTTAACACGGACGTCTCTTTCTCTTTGCCAAAACAGAGTCACTTCCATTCTTACAACACATTCTTGGGCACTTGTCTTATTTTTTCACGTCCTTCTTGACGCGTTTTGCCCACTAGATGTATTGCAGACTTAAGTCAACATAGCTTTGACATCTTCCGACCCCTAATCACAACACGCCGTTGTTCAAATACGCGCCACGGGTGCTATCGCATCCTCGCCTTATATCGTCATATCCCCAAGCCCTCTTACCAACTACACGCCCACAAGGCGTGAGAAGGAGCTATGGAGGTCGACGCCGCCAGTAGATATCGATCTCGTATTCTTCGAGAAATGAAAGCAAACCGCGACAATCCATTCAACTCCCCACCTTCATCCACTGGCTCCCACGGCACCGTCAGCCCAACTGTTTCTTCCGTCTTCTCCGACCCAGACGGCGAGTCTACACGTAGACTCAACGAGGACATTGCCCGTGTTACTGCTCCCCGAAGTCTGCCCATCAATTGGGAGGCTGCCCACCGCAAGTGGCCCGAGTTCTTTGGCATCCCCAAGACACGTGAGGTGCCTGTTTACGACGACGACACTGATCCTCGGCCTATGAGTGCCGAGTCTAAGGAGAACAAACCTCCCGTGCCCCATTTCAAGTTCGCCATCGACGACATCACACAAAATACTTGGCAAGGTTCCGCTAGAACGCGCTCTGAGATGCAACCTCGCGTCGATAGCGATTCCGACCTGTCTTCGATCCTCGCCAAGTCTCCTGCCCGAGGACTTTCCCACCAGTCTTGGAACAAGAACACGCGCAACCCTAGCCCCCTGGCTAAAGTTCACACACGAGTTTCCTCCGAATCAATGGCAGGACAAAAGCAACAGCGACGAGACACGATCTCGGACGCGTTTGATCGCTTACGAAGTGGGGCAAGGAGCCCCGAGATCCAGGGTCAGAACGAGCAAAACAAGTCCTCGCCGCAGATGTCTTCGGCCAAATCCAGTCTGACTGCTGTGCCTCCCTCACCGGCATCCGTAGCTAGCCCCGCCCACAACGAAAGCAACGCCCGTTCCTTCTTCATGCCTGACATTTCTCATCTTGGCGATTTTGTGGATGGTACACTTCGATTCAGCGGCTCAATGAGGGACGGTGTTCCCATCTTTGTCAAGAATGGCCGGGTTCATGATCGGTATGAGAAGCCGTCTCTCTCAGTTCACGCTGAAGTGGACGAGGTCGAGGTTCCAGAAGACGAAGAGAAGATTTTTGTATCAATGGATATGATCCGTGATGAAATCATCTCGCTTCAAGAACACTATGACAAGGTCCATGAGTATGCCGAGAACCTACAAGAACAGGTTGAGCGATTGGAGGCTCAGCTTAAGTCGCGAAAGTCGTTCGACGGTGACTATGGCTCTAGCCGGGCCAACGAGCATCTCATGGCACAGAAGAATCGTAAGTGGAAAACCGTGATTTCAGAAAACAGCCGACTAACTCATCATAGGCCTAGAGGTGGAAGTATCTACTCTTCAATCGCGCTTGGAACAAGCCTCGCGTAAAATCAGCTTGAATGAGATTGAGAATGACTCGTTGTCCCAAGAGCGAGACCGCGCAGTGAGGAAGTTGCAAGAGGCATGCGAAGACATCAACAAGCTTACTCGAAAGTTGAGCACGAAGCAGAAGGAATTGGATACGACCCACAGGCAGCTCGAGTCAACAGAGCAGATTCGTAGCGAGAACGACACTCTGCGACGCGATTTGATGTCTCTTAAGCATGGCCGCGACTCGCTAGATGTTGAGAACCAGTCTCTTTTGGCCACCAACGAGACCCTACGAAAGGAGCATGAAACTCTCAAGGAGGAGGCCGAGTCTCTTCGCACTGACAACAACAATATTCGACATGAGCACCAGTCCATGATTAACGAGAATCGTTCACTAAGAACAACCAACAAAACTCTTATGGATGAGAACGAAGATCTCCGGGAAAACCTTGACAATGTTCAGCATGAGCTTGATGCTGCCAAGGAAGAAATTGAGACACTGCAGCAAGAACTCCAGAACGTGTCCCAGGAGAAGTCAACACTCGGCGAGGACAACGCAAGCCTCGTGCGACACAACGAGAAGTATTTCGAAGAGAACAAGATCCTTCGACGCGAGAACTCAGGCTTTGAACGAAGCATTCATGATATGCATGATGAAAACATGAAGCTTAAGGAGGAAGTAGAGTTTCTCAAGCAGCAGTTGCAATCCTATCGGCCGGTTCCCAAGGAAGACTTTTCTGCTCGTCTTGATGACGAGACGGAAGAGAACATGACATCAGCTTTCTTCATTCCCGACATCACTATGAACAGCGACACCGGTGATGTCGATACGGTTGAGAACGCTCAAGCCACTGAGACTAAGGAACTCACCGAACAGACCGATGATAGTGCCAGGCTGCCGACTATTCCTGATGTCACAGAGGAGACTCGCACCCACACCAAGCGCGACAACACTTCCCACAGCGAAACTAAGCAGTCGCTGAGCAAGAGCAAGGGCTCCAAGTCTCTTGGCCAACAAAAGGTTGCCTTCTCAATTCCTGGCAAGACTTCCAAGAAGAGCAGCTCCAACGTCGCAAACCAGGGTAGCAAGCGCCGAACAACTTCTGATTCCAAGAGACGAAGCTCTTTGAAGGGCATTGCTACCTACACTTACGATATGGATACACTAGAGGACAATGACGAGACTACTGGTGCCCAGTCTGTTGAGGAGGTCACCCAAGACAACTCAACACAGCTCAGCGTTGTCCCTAAGGCACGTAAGGAGGCCAAGACCTCCGAGCATAAGCAACTCACTACACGCTCCACTCCTGTTCAGAGCGAGAAACCAAAACATTCTCGAACCCGATCTCAATCCTCGCGCAAACAGGTCACAACCGACATCACGGCTGATAGCATTAAGAGTATGGACAAGGATAACACCTGCCCTGTTCTCTCTAGCGATGCTAAGAGAGTACTTGACGATCTCTGTGAGCATGAGTGTCGAAACTGCACTGTCTGTAGCCGCATCACATCCCACCGAGGCATCTTCTCTTCCGCCGATATTGTCGCCGGCAAGAAGCGTGTGACTGTTCCTCGACCCATCCCTGTTACTGACCGTGGTCTGTCAGAGGATGCTACAATGCGACCTGCCCAGCATCCTGGTCATGCGCTTGCTGTGGTTATCAAAGGCCTGGAGGATGAGTCACATCACCTCCAACTTGAGCTCACCCGTATCCAGGCTCAATACAATGGCCGCGATAAGGCTCTAGGCCGTCGTGAGCGTCTTAGTCTTGCCGAGACTATCCGTACACTACTCAAATCGCTTGAGGCGAAGAACGACCAGATTTACAGTCTTTATGATGTCCTTGAGGGTCAAAAGGCTGCTGGCCAGGCCATGTCGGAGGAGGAGATTGAGATGACAGTCTTGAACATCACTGGCATGACAGTCCGCGATGTTACTAGTCACAGTGACCAACTTACGTGGGAGGGTATTCCTGAGCTATGAGTAGCAGTCGGCATGATATGAAGCGTTACAGGCGTGTGGGATTTGGGGGTAATCATGAAAAGGCGTTTTTTGGTTCAGAAATTGGTCCTGAGGTTCAAGGGGTATCGATCATCGCGGGTTAGATGACATTCCCTGGGGAGTTTGGAATTATTAGGGTCAATCAATTAGTGTTTGTGGTTTTTGTACAAATATGACTCGCTCTTCTTTGGCGACAAAGGCTATGAAGGCATTTTTCTGCTGAATCACTTATCCCCATTAAACACACATCGACCGTGCTTGTTGTATTACAGGGAAGTTAACAGTTAAACGTAGGTATCCTTGATTCAGGTCTCTAAAGTAATATCAAATAATGTCCGTTTTACACACCAGCCCAGAAAACACAAATATTTCATCTCTACTCTTCGTCATCCTCTTCGTCGCTGTCAGCAGCGCCGTTCTCATCTTCCATCTCCTCGTCCTCGTCATCATCCTCGCCATCTTCACTCTCGCCCTCCGCTTGCTCTTGCAAATCGGCCTTCTCATCCTCTCGTCTCTTGCGATCGTCCTCTCTCCTGGCCTCCTCGAGCAGCTTGGCACGCTCAGCACGAGCCTTGCGCTGGCCGATAACATAGGCCCCTAGAGGTGTCTTGGCGATATCGAAGTCACGCAGGAAGGCCTCGACTTGAGCGCGGTCCTTGGGGGCAAACTCGACCTTGGCGCGCTTCTCCTCGATGAACTTGGCGTTTGCCTCGAGCTTCTGGACAAGGAGAATCAGTTGTCCAGCGAGCTTGGCGTTCTTGTTGCCCGAGGACTTGTTGCGGGCTTGCTTGAGCCAACGCTTGAGCTGGATGATAACGGGGAGAACAAGCTCGGGGAAGGCGACAGAGGTGGCCCAGAGGAGGAAGTACTCGCCCAAAAGCTCGACAAGTTGCTCGCCGACGCCATCCTGGAAGACGCGGGTACGGAGGTAGGATTTGGGCGCCTTGTATGCTGTGGCAAACTCGAAGGGCTTGAGGGAAGCGGCCTTGGGGGCCTTCTTCATCTCAGCTGAAGTGAGGACCTCGAGAAGGGGAGAGGCGAGAGGGATGAAAGTTCCGGTGGCACGAGAGATTCGGAGAAGTGATCGGATAAGGTGGAAGCGGAAGGGGAAGTAGATGGCAGTGGGGATAAGACGCATGGCTCCGAGTGTGACTTGAACGAGAGGATAGATGAGGAGCTTGAGCTGACTCTCCTTTCCAGCCTCGGCCTCTTTCATGGGACTGCAGTGCTCGGCGAGGACGCAGGACCAGAAATCCAGAGAATGGGTGTACTGCCAGTTGTAGACGATACGGAAGGCGTCGTTCTTGTTGTGCACGATGCTGTTACGCAAGTGAATGGCGAGTTGTCGGATGAAGGAGAAGGCAGTTGTGTAACCAACAGCCTGGTCGATACCCCAGAGCTCAGCAGCAGAGTTCTTCATGAGGTTGATGCCCTGGATAGTGTTGGGGTTTGTGACACGGCAGCCCTGGATAAGACCCTGGTAAACCGACTTGAGGACAGTCTCGCGAATGCCCTTGTCGCCGATAACGACGAGACGTCGTAGGACGAGGAATGCTGTGATCTTTGTCGTCTCGGAACTGGCAGGCTGGGCCCAGAAGTTGACGACAGACTTGGCAAGAGCCTTGATGAGCTTCTTGAAGGAGAGGAGGTAGGGGAGGATGGGTGTGATAGATGAGATGGTGAGCTTCAGGGTCTTGTCATCGGACAGTGTACTGAGGAGGTGCATGATGGACGATGTGTATGTCTTTAGGAGCAGAGACAGGGTGTGGAACTTCTTGGTCTCGGTCTGGACGTGGACTCTGCCGGAGGCCGACTCCTTAACAGGAAGATGGTGGTTCATAACCGTGGGGATCTCCTTCAATGCAAGGAGCAGGATGTCGTTGAAGACCTCAGGGCTGTTGATGGCATATCGCTGTGGGTTCTCCTCATCGTCCTCGTTCAAGTGCGCGGCGCAACGGAACGCCAGAACAACACGTCGAGCGGCCTTTAGAGAGTGCCTCTCAGCCATAGCCTTCCTCCATGAGGCAACGAGCTCACGGGTCAACTCGTTTCCTTGCGCAACAGGCTCGCCCTTGGCCTCCTTCTTTCTCTTCTTCTTAGGCTGCTCCTCTTCTTGTTCCTCATCGTCGTCACCGCTAAGCGCATCCACCTCTGACAGATCGGCATTGTCGTCAAAGTCCAGGACCTCGGGGTCGTTTTCCTTGAGGAACTTGTAGAATTCGGGGTCCTTCTCGGCGAGCTCGTCCATGGTCTTCTTGCTCATGCCCATGTCGGCGTCCTCATCAGCATTGTCGTCGCTGTCGCTCACGACAGGCTGCGCGCCAATTGCGTCGTCAGAATCACTGGCTTCATTGTCACCGGCGGCGCGGCCATCCCTCTTGCGCTTTCCAAGCTTGCCGGCCTTCTTATCCTTGCTGTCAATAATTTCATCGAAACCGCCTGAGAAAAAGTCGTCGACGCTCATGTCGTTGATCTTCTTGCCCTTAGCACTGGGCTTCTTGGCCTCTCCATCCTCTCCTTCCTTGGAGCCTTTGTAGAACTCTGCATCTTTTGACTTGGAGGACTTCTTCTTGTCCTGCATCTGATGGCGCTGCTTGACTTTGGCGCCTGCTTTCCGCTTGTCGAGGACACCTGTGAGATGTCTCTTCTCGAACTTCTTGGTCGCCTTGAGATTCTTCTTTCCTGGCGCCATCTTGAATAACTTGGAAGCGCCTTGGCTGCCGAAGAATTCAAGTTTGGGAGATTGGGTGGTTTTTGTTTGTTAATTTTAGATGGGTCTCGCAGATGCTCTTGCAACCAAACCGAAAACCAAAATTTTTGCTGCTGGCTTATCGATAACAAAGCTGGACTGAAAGTGGCAGGCGGTATAGTCATTCTGCCACACCCCTACGTAACCTGTCCCGCAGCGATCTATCCCACTTCTAAGTGCGGCGCATCACTTTAGCACTCTCATATATCGACAATCAAGCCAATGCCTTTTTCATGATGATTCCAAGACAAGGCTATGCGCCAACTCCACATAGCTATGTTCCTAATACCAGTCTATCTGCAAGTATAAATCTTGACGAAGTATGCTTCCTATCTTCTGCAGGATCACTTCAAATTGCAGCTAACCGCCGGATAAAGGAAGTCAAGCTCACAAATACTCGCGCCGAGCGCAACCTTCAAGAATCCCTCGCCGAGCTCTTCAGCATCATCATTACCATCGACGAGCTCGAGAAAGCTTTCCTTAAGGATGCTATCCCAGAAGCAGAGTACACCGAAATCTGCGAGCGATCGCTGAGGCAGTATAAGGCGCTGCTAGCTGACGAGACGATCGCCAACGAATTTGGAGATTTGGAAACATTCAAGGCGAAATGGGATGTATGAACCTCCCTTGCCCTCCGAACTTTAATGCAATGCTGATAAATATTTAGCTTGAAGCTCCACGCGCAACTGAGCGCATTCGTGTCGGTATGCCCTCGACAACTATCGACCGAGCCCCCTCTGCGCCAACTCCCGCCCCCTCCGCATCTAACAACACGAGCGGTGTTTTGATTCTCGAAGCCACACAAGAATTCATCACTTTCCTCGACGCTGTAAAGCTCGGTCTTCTCTCTAAGGATCAACTACATCCACTACTCTCCGATGTTATCCAATCCGTGAACCGTGTTACAGACCAGGACTTCGAGAACCGTGGCAAGATCGTGCAGTGGCTCATCACACTTAATCAGATGAGGGCGACCGACGAGCTCAGCGAACAGCAGGCACGCGAGTTAGAGCTTGATATTCAGCAGGCGTATCAGGGATTTAGAAGGACATTGACATAAAAACTGTGGTCTAGTGACTTTGTAATTGTTGATGTTTTGAGAGCGAAGATGCTTGCGCTAATATCCGTTTAGCTATTAGAAGTAGCGTTCCTTTATCCATATACCCATAACGTTCATTTTCATAATCTTATCGTGCAACTAGACCAGGAATGTCCAGAAGCTGGGATAGACGAATTCTGACTCGAAAATCCTCCTGACTTGCTCGAGCACGAATCTCTCAACCTTGCCCACGTTTTTCAAGCTCTGTTTTCCGCCAACCCGTTCTCCAATCTCACTTTCCACCCGGATCTCCTGTAGAAGCCCTCCAAATCTTGGTGTAGGACCCCCATTCTTCGCACCCCCAGCTGACTCCTCCTTGGTATCATCAGGGCCAACAGCAGCAAGTGCATCGTCTGGGCCAAGGAAACAAAAGTGCACGCGCTTGCGAATATGTGCCAACACGCCGACACCGTCAAAAGTCAACCCCGTAATGTTGAGCTTGAGAGGGATGCCAACGAAGCTTGGCATGGGATAGTCAAGCAAGATCTCTGCCGTGAGGTTCAGACGTATGTCGCCGTTGTAGCGTATTCTAAAGACAGCTTGCACATCTTCAACTCGGGGTTCTCTCGGTCGTGGTCCTGCGTCATCCTCTCCTTCTTCGTCATCATCATCGTCATCAACAATAGCTGAACCACCAAGATGTGTGTCCCTTGTTGGTGGTCGTGATGCCTCAACTGACGTAGGCGCAAGTGTGGACACGCTTCCCTTTTCACGGAGGCTTTGCAGAGGGTCAAGGCTGGCTTTGAAGTTGTCCACCGAGTTGAGGCTGCTCTGTGACGGGTTCCGGGTGTGACTTGGAGCTCCCCACTCGCGAGCTGGTGTTCCTGGGACGCTCATCCAGTTGGTGTGATGTGCGCTTGCAACGGCGGCCAACGGTGTATGTGTGCCTGTATTGAGATGACTCTGGAAATAACCCAATCCCGGCCCTCCCAAGAGTCCTGGCGTAGATGTTCCCAAGAACGGACTGCCGAAGTCGTGACCCATCATCTCATTTCTCAGTACCTCGCTTCTCAAACCACCACCTACCCTCGTCGTTCCTCCCCACGGCGTAGGCCCAGGCCTCATCCTTGTAGGCTCCGGAGGAGGTGGCGGCGATGGTTCCTCTTCGCTGTCTTCTTCATCATCTTCCAGGTCTTCTTCATAAAAGTCAGGGAGAGGATCCGTGATGTCCTTCAACTCAAGTTGTGGAGGGATAGTGCCGAAGTCAAAGCCATGGACTGTTACTGAACGGATGAATTTTGGTAATGGAACTGTCTGAAATTTGTCGTGCACAAACTCTCTGATGCGCTCCGCGAGGGCATCGCCATCAGGGCCGCTTGTGAGCGTCTCCCAATTTAGTTCAATAGACATTTGGTTGCCCTTTTCCGATAACCCTTTGATACCAAGATGGAATGCGTGGAGTTTAATTACAAGAAGTGGATGCGATGATGTACGAGAGGGTTCCACTGATGTGGCAGGGTTCCAGTAGTGGCTTATAGGGGTTACAGTGAGTGTCATAACGCCCTTGCCCTTAAAGACACTGTTAACTTACACAATAAACGTCAAAGGCTGTTTCAATGCAATAGTCACAATAGCTAAATATCTTTCTATTAACTTGTTTATCGTGTATCGTAAACCCTTTGAGTCATAAAAATGCTGTACCGAATGAATGCTCTCGTAAATGGCCCCCATACCAACGCTGATGCTTGCTTGACATGTAACAAAAATGCAACCTAACCCTTTAACGTTTACAATGGCCGTCATGAACTACATGTATTTCCGTCATTCGTCTTTCTCTCGATACATGAACTTCACACAACTCCTCAGCGAAGCATCTCGGCCTCTTCGAACCTAGCGCGGCCATAGTAATGCGGATACTGAGGGTTGTTAAACAGATGCCAGCAGTTAGGCGCCTGCAAGATGTATCTAATCACAAGTCAGCATACGAACAGCCTGGGCCATCATCACATGTACATACCTTGCCATAGCCTCTCTGAAACGAGACTTGTATTCCTTGGGACTTGTCACAGTAGGTCGATTACGACCACCGCCTGCGAATCCACGATCCTTTATCCAACTCTCGAGTTTCTTGTCCCAGGTGTATGTACGAATGCAATCAATAATACCGACCACAAGTTCCTTACGAGCCTCGTCAACGGCGATCATGAGAGAATAGTCCATCACATTCTGCCTTGCAAGGAACAGTGTGTCGTTCCACACTGAAGCACGGAGTAACTTCTTGGAATGCTCTCTCGCGAAGAGAGGTGACTCATAAATGTACTCAACCATGTTCTCGTCGAGAAGAACCTCATTCTGCTCTCCGGTTGACTGGATCTTACGGTTACGCATGGAACCCTTAAGATCGAAGATTCGAGTCGCTGAACGATCGTAGAAAAGATTCTCGGTGATGAGAAGATCCAACTTGATATCAGTTCCTGTGACGGGGTTCTTGATGAGCACTTGGAAGAATCCCAACATTTTGGCAATCACGGATGGGAGGTCATGAAATAGTGCCTCTGCCATGATGTTGAAGTAACCAGGAGCAAATCGTAGGAAAGCAGATGTCTCGATGGGCGAGAGTGACTGGATATCTGTTAGCTAGCATCGATATACTTATTAGATGAACACTTACCTTCAAAATGAGCCGATCATCCAGCGTCTTCAAGAACACAGACTTGGTCTTGCCACCCTTGGAATCCCACTTTAGACATCGTGAGAGTGACTCGACAATGCGTTCTGCGACGCCGCACTTCCTCCTGAGTGCATCAAACTGCTCTGCATAGAAGATCTTACAAGTCATCGTTGCACTGCCCTCTCGGAATTGGTACTTGAGATGAGTGCCTGTGACACGGAGCAGACTCTTTTCCAACTCAGTCTCGGATACCATCCAGTCGGTACCGTCTGAAGGAAGGGATTTGGGTTCTACATCACTGCCACCACCAACCTCCCGCTGCATAACCTCCTGCGCTTCTCGTCGAATGTTGCCCAACTTGCCTTTGTAATCTTCGCTGTTCAGAGCAAGCGCGATAACTGAGCTAGGCTCATCTTCTCGCACTATGATGTCTGAATCGGCAAAGATATGGTCGCTAGGGTTGACAGGGTATTCAAGCTGGTGCCAACCGCTTGCACCACGTTCAGCCCAAAAGTTGGTGAGATATTTCATCAAGCTAGTCTTCTGATGTTTGGGCAGCTCCAATGGGATTTCGCTTGCGTCCACTGAATCGGCAATCTCTTTGATGTCGTGCAGATATTCGTCCGGCACCGAGTGTTCAAGATCAGTGATTCGTTCTTCGTCATCCGAGAATGTCTGGCTGGTGTTCGCGATAGTGTTGTCATCATTTTCCTCTTTCTCTGCTCTTTCGGCTTTGTCGTCCTTTCCTTCATGCTCCTCCTTCCCTTCGTTCTCTTCGCATTGGTCTTCTTCCTCTGATTGTTGGTCCTGGTTCCCATGTTGTTGTTCCTCTAAGCCTGCAGATGGTTCCGCGGGAGTCAGTGGCTCAGCAAGAGACTCTGACTTTTGCTGCGAATCAGACTTTCGGGAAGCGACGCTGCTGGCACGTTTGCTAGCCTCACGCTCAGCTACACTCTCTGCTGGGGGGCTCGGCTCTTCGAAGGCGTCATTCACATCATCATAAACCTCGACAATGGCTTTAGTTGTGGTTCTAGGTAGCATAGCCCGAGGCTGGCGCATGCTTGCGGCACGCTTCTTGCGATCTCGGATACGCTCCTTCTCAAATTCACGACTGAGTTGCTCAAAGTGCCTTGCTAGTGTCGAAACCTTTGACTCTCTCTTCTTATGGACGAATCGCGGGATTCCTGAAGCAGTCGCTTTGCCTCTGTCTTTCAGATTTCTCAACCCTAAGCGATCTGAGAGCTTCTTATCCACTCTGATCGAACCTTCGGGTGTAGTTGTCTCGGACCCTGCATTTTCAGGAGGATTTGTCTTGGACTCTTTGATCCCAAGGCCCTTGCCAATTCCCGACTGCGTTCTAGGCAGTGCACGAGTAGGGTGCGAAGTCGCTCTCACGATAGGAGGCGAAACCGCCTGTCCGGATTTGCGAGCAGCTCCACGCTCGGCGGTGGCAGTTGGTATTCCATGTTGACCTGATTGATAAGATTGCTCGCGTCGCATTTGGTCTACCCTTTCTGTCAACGATGGCGCAGGTGAAGGAAGGGCCTCAAGAGGTGAGGGAAGTGGTTCAGCAGGATCAATAGGAGCCACATCGAAGGCCGCATCCGATGCCTTTGGCGTGGATTCGGGGTCAGCAATAGGCGTCTCTTGATCTTCTGGGACTTCCGTGACCTGGTCAGTTTCTGAAAACTCAGGAGAGGCATGGATCGGTGTGGAAGGCGTGCAAGCCAAATCCAGTGGTTCAACTCGCTCGATAGCCCCGTCGGCAGGAATTTCGACTTTTCCATCCTCATCAGGAACATCTCTATCATCGACAGGTTTTGATGAAGCGACACTAGCCTCCATACTGGTATTGTCGGTGTAGTCCGTGGGCTGGGTACTCTTCCCTTCCTCTTCGGTGAAAGTCTGAGACGGCCGCTCGTCGCTATCAACAGTTGATGGTGTGCCTTCATTCGATGCGAGTGATTCTTTTGACTCATTGTCTGTAAACATCTTCTTCAGCTGCATAATCGTCAACTGGCGCATATCCTTGTCGCTCAGGAAGTCTGCTTCGAATTTGGTAAAAGCCTGATCCCATTCGCCGGCTTTCTCAAGCATCTCTCGAACAATACTGTTGAAGGGCACCACTTCGTAATACTTCGAATTGACGTAGATATCCTGCAGCCTCTTCACAATGGTTGGCAGGTCTTCTTTCGCTTTGGCTGTTAAACGGTCGACTTCAGACTTGCATAGATCTGCCTTGTCAGGCAAGACACTGTCGATTCGGATACACAAAAGTCTCGACCGGACAGAAGCCATAAATTTGGCCCACCGCTCCTCCATTCTAGCGAAAATCTCATTCTTGAGCTTGAGGTCATTGGTCACCTTCCATGTAATTCTTGCACGGGGTACAACAATTTCCAACAGATCGATGGGATCCCAATGGATACGGATCCGCGCGTCCTGTAGACTGAAATACCGGACGTGATCCCGGCGATGATCATGGGGACAATCATGCATGTCTTTCATTTTCAGTCCATGTCCCCAGAAGAGCAGCTCCAGGTATTTCCCAAACGAGTATTTGAACGTCGCTTCCGACATGGCTCTCTCCTGAGTATCCTTCTTGCAAATTTTGCAGTAAGTCCACATCGTGATGCCATCATAGTCAGCCAGAGCGGAGTTGTTTGGCAGGTTTTCGACAAACACGGTAATTCGAGATTCGTCATGCACATAGGTTCTGTGGTGTTCTAACATCCTCCGCTCGCAACCGTTCGACGTGCAAACCTGACTCATGGTGTATGCGAGGTCTTCGATGTACTGACCCAACGTGCAATCAGGATCCATACCAGTGTCAATGTGTTGCTCGTCGTAGAAGTTGATGGCCACAAGAGATGGCTCTGTACAAGGGATTTTTGTCTCCGTGCAAATGACGGAATAAAGGACAACAATATTTTGATGGGAATATGGGTCAAAGAGATCTATGTTGCCCTGGATATATGTCTCCCATTGCCGGGTCTGCGTTTGATAATTGTACAAGGCCTTATCGTACTCGGCATCGTGAACAGCTCGAAGAATTTCCATGATCTGTCGGGGTGCCTTTTGGCCAATTGCTTCGACCATTTCGGGTTTTATGAGCTGGAATCGCGGAGGGTCTGCCTTCTCTGGGTCACCTTTCTCATCATCGTAATCGTGATTACGGAGCCTGCGCAGGTAGAGCAATCTCCTCTCCTGCTCACGCGTCTTCATCAGAAGATAGGGTTGCGTGAATTTGACGTACGGTGAAGCGGAGAGGATCTTGGTTTCGTACTTCGCTACCATATCACTGTAGTAAGTTGGCATGGGGATGTCATCTGGAACTTGACTTGTCTGATCCTGAGCGGCGGGGGTTTGCTGTTCCTGGAGGGACATCAGACGTGTACGTTCCTGAGTCAGCTGGCCCGACTGGTTCATGGAACCTGCGTCGTCAGTCTCGGCAATGCTAGAGCTGTCCACGGTGGTTTGTGAAGGCTGTTCGCTTTCGCTAGGAGGGTGATTAACCACAACTGCGGGGCCGTCTCTCGAGTGGTCGACGCTGTTGGCGCTCTGAGATCTTATGCTATCACCAGCAAGATGAAGAGAGTTTGCCATAGAATCGCCGCCTTCTGGTAGCTCTATCGACTCATCCCTCAGAAGGCTCGACTCAAGCTTCAGGTTGTAGACGACATAAACCATGAACTCCATGATGTGCTTCACTTTTGAGAGTACTGTGCTGTTAGTACCTCTCAGTGCTATAGTACAACCAAGCTCCGGTGTGCAACCGGACAAGAAGATGTACGACTTTTTGCGGCCTGGATAGTCGTTGTTCACAAATGTCCTGACTTCGAAACTTGCGCAACGTCCAATCTGGACAGGCAAGGCCAGCATGTCAAGAGACGAGATAATGTCTGTCTCGGCACATCGCGCAACTGCCTCAATGACTGTGTGCTTAACATTGTAGGCTACTGAAATGTTCGCATCAGAAAGATATTGCAATGCTACGCCAGAGATGCTCTTTTCAGCAAGCAGCACCTGCGGACGGAGGTTTGTGATCCTTTGAACCACAACTCGTAGAAATTCCTTTTCTTGCTCGATGACTGGTTGCAAGCTCATAAAATGCTGTTGATGTCGCTGATACTCAATGGCAAATGTGACAAGCATTACCCGAGGGTTGGTAATTCTGCGTGGCATGCTTTTCAGTGCCAAGTTCTTGGTGAAAACCACACCTGAGATGTAAGCTGTGTCACCAGGTTTACCCCCTGGAATTCTCTTCAACTTGACATAGTGTCGAATATCCATATCTTCTCCCTTTGCAACGTCGGGGTCGACGTCATCTGTTGCCCGCAAGAGAATGGGAACCAGGGCCTTCTGCCACGCAGGAGGGTTTGAAATTTCTGCATCGACGAGAAGTTGATGTAGAAGTTTGTCGACATGTCTTAGACTAGACGAGTTGAGCTCGACTTTGGGGGCCTTCTTGTGCTGTAAAGAGTCACTTCTAGTGATCTGGCTCGCACTGTGGTGAGGCGTATCCAACGCAAAGAGCATTTCTGATGACTGCGAAGGCCCTTTGTATATACCGGATTTTGGACGTGGCGAAGGCATATGATGCATGCTGCCACCAACATTGCTAGTGTTCCGTCGCCTTGGCGGTCGACGATACGCACCAAGACTACCAGGCAGCTCATCAATTCCAGTCCTGCTCACCATGCTCATACCACTAATGCTCTTTTCGCCCGCCCTATGGCGATATTTTCTATTGGCATTTACGTATGGAGTGAGCTCTGACTTATCATCACCAAGGCTTCCTGGCTGCAGGTCGCCAGTCATTGTTGTAAAGAGGCTCATCTGCTCATCTTCGGTCGATTCGTCAGACATATAGTCGGCCAGCTCGGGGTCAATGATATTATCGTCGTGGAAAGCTGGAAACTTGGGTTTCTTATTACTTTCGTCATCGATTCCACGTCGAAATGGTGCTCTCTCTTCCGGCGCAGGCTTGAAACGGTTCAGGAAGCCGCTATGCTTGGAGTGGTGCCGTTTGTGGCCCGCAGAGGAGTGTGGCCTTGCGCTCAAGGATTTCAGAGACCGCGAAGAGCCAGGCCTGCTTAATTGTGGTGCATCAATCTCAAGAATAGCCGCAGCGCGGGATTCTCCAAGGCGACGAGTTGCAGGTATGGCCATCATGGGTGTCGTCAAGGGTCTTGACACTGGTCTCGAGTCTTCTGATCCTTCTGAGGCAATCCCTGATTCATTGTCTCTCGGCTTAGACTGGCTCGCGTTGCTGGGACTTTTACCGTGGTTTGCCCCGAAGAATCTTGGCATGAACGACTGCTCGTCTCCAGAATCTTCTGAGCCGCTCCCATCGAAACGTCTGGTGATGACTTCAAGACATCGTTTACAAACGCGCAACGAGCCCTGTACGCCGAACTTCTCTCCCGATATTACTGTGGTGCACTTTGAATCAAAGATGCAGCCACAGGTCCGGCAATGGTGCTTTCTTCTGAAGGCGCTGAAAGGTGTCTGGCAGAGAAAGCATTCCTTGACAGTGTCGTCCTTCATCCAGAATTCCTTGCTTAGCACTTGTTTTCGCATCCGCGTGAGTTGCGCATTCACCTGCTCAGAAGCTTCCTCATTGCTCGTAATGGTGCCAGGTATTCTGAAGTCACCTGAAGCCATCTTTTGTGGCTTCGGATTCTGGGAGAAGGAATCATGGCAAACGGAGTCGTGGGCAGAGGTGCTGACGTGGCTAGGCTCTGCAGTTCCTCTATCCAGTGACGACTCTCTTGAATTCTGGCCCCCAGGAGACTTCGACCGACTGATCCGGTCGATAACAGCAGGCTTTCTTCTCACGCTGTCCGGAGATAGCAAGGATGAAGTCACAGAAGCGCTACGTAAACTTCGGGTCTGCAGTGAGGGTGCACGGTGATGATGTGTGGTCCTGGGACTTGTCGGGCTTTTGAGGCTTTCGTCGATGCTCGAGGTATCTTCGCGCTTGGATCTTGGCGGGAGTTTGCCATCTTTCATGTCATACAGACTGGCCGAAGATTCCACCGTAGATAGATGCGCTTGCAAATCGGCTCGACTGCTGATGCTTTTCCGACTTGAACTGACACCATTACTTTCCTCAGTGCGGATGCTGGTATGGCTGGGATCCCTATGTACTGTGATAGGAGCAATCGTGGGGTCGGCGGCGATAGAGCTGGGAGCCTTTTTGGAGAAACTTTGACGGTTTGTGGGGTTGGATTTCTGGTTGGACATAAGGCTAATGCTTGATGGTTTGGACGAGCCTGGTTGTGGTCGAGCTTCAACAATGCCACCACTTGTATGTACTGAAGATGCATCATTAAGGAGGACTTGAGATGAGGTAGTAGACAAGGAGGCGCCTGTGTCCACTCGAGTTAGGGAGCTGATAGAGGCTTTCGAGCCATGGTTCCCCACGATAGAGGTCCTTTTGGAGGATGGCTCAGATCTTTCTCCAGGCGATTGCTCTTGGGGCGATTTTGAAGGCCCTCCAGCACCTACAGCTTCCCTCAGTCGACTATAGAGGCCGCTGAATCCTTGTTGGACCAGATCGCCAGTTATTCCTCTATTCTCTGAGGTTGGAGCGGCCGTCGGAGGTGGTGCGAAATCGTTGAAGGTAGTGAGGGAGTCACACTGGCTTGCAGAGTTGTGTATCCTGTCAAGTGTATCTGCAAGTTGCCCTGTAGCAATCGAGTTGATAGAGTCGCGGCGGGTTCGGACCGGGGAGTTCGCCGACGCTACAGAATCGGATCTGGGCCGCGACATGTTGATAATGTGGTTACTATGAAAATCGAACGTCCAGTGCTGGCAGGTAGAGCTCTGTATCAACTGGGGGGGAATAAAGTTGGAAGGTTCGTGTGCGGGTGCCCAATGATCGTCACCAAAAGGTCCTAGAGTTTAAGACCCAATACATGTGACGTTTGTCCCCTCAGGCCGCTCAAACAAACGCAGTGGCGACAGATCGGGAACAATATATCAACAGCATGGTGAGCTCGTGGACGTTTTGAGACGGTAAGCAGGTCGTCGACGGATGGCGGGGAGATGCGGCGAGCGGAGAGGTCGATCTTCAGGGCTCGTTGATCGGTGAAGTTGCGGTGGGTAGAGTCGGTAGACGATACTGCAAGATAGGACAAGGCGAAATGCCTTAGTGCAAGCAGCCCAGACGATAAAGGCGGATAAGGCAAGAGACAGCAAGTAAAATGACGAAAGGTCAGCAGCAGGATGTTGCAGCGCAGAAGAATATGCCGTGCCGCGCAACTAATCACAGGCTTACATCTGTGTGTCGTGAAGATCAAAGGTCGAGAACGACCTTTGGGCATCTAGGGTGGGTGTTGAATGCGTGATGGCGTCAGATCTATCCGTGCGAAACTGCTAACAGCTGAGGAGTCGCTGATACATTGTTCTACGTCTAAATCACTGTTGACATATCGGTACTCGACAAATTCTAATGTCAGACAGTATATGATCCATGGTATTAGACTCTACATACACGCTACGTAGGTCGTTCAGCGAACCTATCCCTTAATATAAGTACCCTGGGTATCATGGCAGCTAATAACGTTCCGTTCTCGTTCTCGTTATCAAGCTGAACGATTAGCACATGCATGAGCAAGCAAGCACAGGCCTGAGGCAAGCTGAAGCATGAAGAAAAAAATTCCCAGGGCAAGTACCGACTACTTGGCGCTGATCAAGCACGAGCCATCCGCCTGCCACCCCTTCCCTGACAGAACAACCCCGCAGCCTTCAATACGGCCCAAAATTACCCGTCGCGTCGCGCTTGGTGTGGCTTCTGCTTCAATTATTACTTCACCTAATCGTTGCTCTTTTTGCAAACAACTCCACCCACTGTACTTCCCGCTGCAAGAGTCTGGCAACCGTCCCCGTGCATCCTTTCGATCGCCCTGCCCATCGCCATACCACCGATCCCATCGATTGTCGCACAAGCCCATTATCGAGCACACCGCAGCCCATGTAACGCTCTACCGTGACTGGTAGGACAGTCAGGTATCCAATGTCTCCCTCCTCGTCCCCTTCAAGGGACATAACGGAGCTTTTCAGCCGGCGTCGCGGTATCAACATCCCCTCGGATCAGAAGACTTTGCTCGACGGGCCTGATTCTTGGGCTGTAGAGTTGAACAACCCTCGCAATCTGGCACATATTCCAGGTCACGTTTTTGAAACGGTCAAGGCAAGTTACCTTGCTCGAAGAGTAACCTTGCAAGACCGCACGCCACAAGCGAAGCAGCGCGGCGTAAGTCCAGGTCCATTGACAAGAAGCAAGCGCATACAAAATGGCGATGCGCCAATACCTACAGCCGATCATGAGAACTCGCCAGCATCGTCTCCCGAAAGGTCAATTTCTTGGGGGCCAAGTCGAAGCCCAACTCCAGTTCCTAAGAATACCAAAGACTCCGAATCCATCGCGGTACTTATAGGGCCAACTACTCAATCGTCTATCATACACGAGACTCCGAAAACGGGTTCCGTACCACCAGCCAATGATCCCCCACCTTCGTCTGAGGAAGTTGATGACCTGGAAACGAGGATTCCGGATGCCCAACCTCACATCAATGCCCTCGTTAACCGAATGGCTGTGCCTGCCAATCCAACAGTACCATCGCCGCTCTCCATAGACAGGACTATGGCCACACCACCATGTGCACAGCCAAGCAATCCCACTCAAGCACTGGTCCCAGACACGGTCATCACGAATAGAGGGGCTTTAAAAGAGAATAGAAGTCCGGGGACTGGTCTATCAAAGCCTCGACTCAGATTCAAACCTATTGGTGTTGGTGAGATGGGAAAGAAGAGGAAGAAAAGCCATAACGAGAAAGAGCGCCTTCCACCCACAATAATGCCGCCAGAAATCGAGAGTTCACAAATACCGACATCCTCCGACTCTATCATTCCTAACACGTACAACCATAACGGGTCAACGACTCGGGAAGTCATAAGAGAGTCTATTGAAGTCAACGAGGAGGACGAGACAGTTGAAACTGTTGAGGAGATTGTACCGTCAACCTACGACCAGCCATTAATAGTAGATCGACCTTCCACTCATCATCAGAGGCCCGTCATTAAGCATGACCCTCTTGAGATGGAGCAAAGAGCCCCCAATCAGTACAAGCAAGCTGCTCAAGAACCCATCACTCCATCGCAGATGGGTCCATCAAAAATGGCCCCATCGTCGACTTCTCATAGGCGGTTAGGTGACCAACTACAACCGCCTCAACCGTCTACACCACTATGCATAGCCCCAGGGGCGCCTCTGGAGCCATATGATGTCTTCGTACAACACTACCCAGCGTATACTGGCGACGATGATGGCCGAAAGTTACCAGGGACCAAGTTGCATTTTATTAAAGCCTGCGCATACCTCAACTATCTACGACCAAAAGGTCTTCTTCGAGACTGTCTCTATGACGACTTCATCCGAGCTTTCCCTTGTTATTATAAGAAATACGTGGATCGCACTCGCGTGCCAGTTATGTTTGCAGTCGAATGGTTCAACAAGCAGAAAAACCCCCCAATCTATGATAAATATCTGGTTAATAGGAGCAACCTTAGCCATATTCTTAGGTCATACCCCGAAGAATTTGCGAAGGTGACCAAACTGTATTCAAAAAAGGATGGTGATCAAGTCAGTATTTATACCAGTTCAGAAGAGGGAGATGTGCAGGGAAATCGTCGGCTATCGAGCTCAGTTTCCAGGTCTTCGAACCATTCACATCAAAGGAAGAGCCCGGAATCTCTTGAACCCATCACAACTGTTGAGAGTGACATGGATATCGATCTTCCCGAGATGCTACCTGCACTGCGGTCAAACTCCAAGAAGCGGAAGTTGTCGATAGTATCGGTAGAGGAAACAGAGGTGAAATCGAGGCATATGCAAGCAACAAAGCTAGCACAACCCTCTTTTCCCAGGGCCCGGAAGACTTTTTCACAGGTCCCACCACCACATTCTTCACGAGCCCATGGAATTCAAACTCAGGCGCCGGCGCCGCCCTCGCCCAAGATCCCACAGACCTCAATGTTACCACCATCCACAGTTGGAACGTCAGCAACAAGGCCGAGGCCAATTCGACCATTGAAGAGATACTTTAGCAACATCCCGTCCAGCAGCCCGGGCAACTCGGCACCAGCAGGACGCACGAAAGAAGAAAATGAAAGACTTCGAAGACATTTCAGAAAGAGTATGGAGGGCACGAAAAGGATGAACGGAGGCAATTCGTGGGGTGTGCGGAGGAGTAGCAGTGGTAGAACCGACTAGGTTTTTTTTCTTTCCTTTTTTTCTTTTGCAAGTTCGAACAACTGATATCAGTTGATAGAGGAGTTGCCGATGGAGTTCCGACGGAATTGATAATGAAGAAACGAGGCGTCTTTGGTTGTTTTTCTCATGGAGTGATACCCTGAATGGATTGTTCTTAAGCAATAAGGTCGTTGTTAGCGAGCATACTTTTGAGGAAATGGTATGATAGAGCACATCGTCCAACCCCCAATCGTCAAACCCCCTAAAATACGAAATAAGAAAGAAAATTTGGCGGAAAGAACTGTCTATTGTGCGTGGGCAACATATCTATGGTGAGCTAGCTGATTCTACTAAGAACCTGGCTTGATTAAAGACTGGCAATATGGCGATGATGCGGAAGACGGAGAATTATACAAGAGTCCTTGAGGTCAAGTCGCCTTTCCTAGTCAAGAAACCCAATCCCGATCATTCCGTAAAAACAAGATTATCTTCGCCTGCCAGTCGTCTCGTTCCACGGGGGGTATCATACAATTTTCTTTTTGGTCCCAATCTTTTTTTTGCGCTCCGTGGCACGAACTCCTCGCTGCCCATCTTCGACGTCCTGAGTTCGCCTTGTTCCATTCTTGCTATTGCTAGCCCAATTGTTTGTTAAGAGTAAAATTCAGTGTAAAGCCTTGTTGGTCGTTTCATTCCTGTCGTAAGCGGTCATTAAGTCCTTTCTTTCTTCTACTGAGAAAAATGTCGTTGTTTTTGTTGTCCATGTGGGAGCAAGTCACTCGTCCTGCGCTTCGGTGCGGGCATCTCTGGCGGCGGCTTCGGCTTCCTTCTTCTTCCTTTGGCGGGTTTCCTCCTCGGGAGTCATGGTGCGCAGCTGGAGGGCGTGGATGCCGTTCTCCTGGGCCATCTCATCGCGGAGAAGGGCATAGACCATGCGGTGACGAGCAGGCTGCATCTTGGAGTTGAAGGCGTCTGAGGTGATGACCACGCTGTCACATGTTAGTATGTAATTCATATGCAGTAAATAAAGAATAAGACTGGGATTGTTGCAGAAAGAACGGTGTGATATGCGTCTGGGGTACAAGACTGCATTGCATGACAAGTGTCACGCGGGATGAGATGAGATGAGATCAGATGAGACGTGACATGATATGATTCCAAAAACAAGGGGTAATCAAAGTTGCACTTGTTCGCTTGGGTGGTGACAGAGCGCAATTCTTACCGAAAGTGTGTCTCGCTGGAAGTAGTATGTTCCATGGCCTTGTGGTGAGAGTGCAGATGAGAGTCATTGTAGATCTCGAGAGTCTGCGGATTGAGGGCAGCCATAATCTAGAAACAGTCAACAACATGTTCTATTTCTGCCTTTGGAAACAGCGCATTTGAGGTCTTACCTTGGCGCGAATAGTATCCTCAACGGGAGTGCTGGAGCTCATGGTTGAGAGCTGTCGTGGGAGGCTCGAAAAGCCGAGCGCGTATCGTCGATACATGAGGTGAGAGGGCGGTCTGAAAGAGAAAGAACGTGGCAACGTCCCAACGCGAATTACTGAATGTCGACTGAGATTCGACGCAAGTTGACACAGGCGACGCAGATGCAGCTGTTTAAAAGACGAATTGAGTTGTTGCAAACTCAGATTGCGCCGGGCGATATAGTTGAGAGAATCTTTGTCCGGATTCCAAAGTGGAGCGGTAATGGATCAACAGGGCAACACAGTGATTTTGGGTAGGAGGGAGGCAAGTTTTTAAAAGAGCTCCAGTGACGGTTCGTTTTTTAAGTTTCAGGTTTAAATCGGTCTGCCCCCGGAATAGCAAGCCACACTGTCTAACGTGACGCGATATAGCAGAGACGAAGTAGCGAAAAAGGAGAGATGCTGGTAGGAGCCGGAGGAGGAAGACGAAGTAGAAGTGAGAGAAGCAAAACAAAAAAAAGAGGCGGACCAGAGAGAGATAGAGATGGTTTTAAGATGGGAAGTCGAGGCTCGGGCTTGGGCTTGGGCCTGAGATATACGGTGTTTGGATAGATAGCATTAGGTATCGAATAGAAGTGGCGGAACACGTTTGATGATTGGGGAATTGTCAAGTGTGAACTGTGATTTGCGAACTTGACAACTCAGGGAGCTCGTTAGTCTACGTCTACCTAGTCTATGCGTTTCGTTTCGGTGTGAAAGTCTGTCGGTGAGGAACAGGAAAAGTAAAACGAAGGGCAGAAGCAAAGACAAAAGCCACTTACAGGCACATCCATCCTCTTTTTTTTTTTTTACCCTCCCAAGTACCAGAGTACCTACACTACAGTACCGTGCTGTACCTGTACCTAAACGGCAGCTGTGCATAGCTGTAAGTTGGCTCTCTTTAAGGTACAGCACTGTACCGGCTACCAACCTAGGGTACTAAGCAGAGCAGGTAGCTTAACTTAAACCCACCCCCCTTTCTACGGCAGCCGTTCGTTCGTTTCATCGACATCCAGTGGATGGAAGGTTTTCCATCTTTAGACTCTAAGGCTTCTGCTGGGCTTCCAGGCTTCTAATTCCAGAGGGGCGGGCGCGGGGAGGGGGGGTCCCCATTTACCGTTACCGTCTTTCTAAAAAGCAAAGTGGCGGACAAGTTTTCTGATCCATCATCACACCCGCATCACCAATCCCTACCACAAAAAAAATGAAAAAGGAACAGGTGAACCCCTGAGCGTCTCGTTTTAGCAAATGATCAGCCGCCAATCTGCTTCTGTTTTTCTCTTTGTCCAGACGGTTGGGTCGGGCGCTCATGGCCCCCTTGGTCCTTTGGTGCTTGGTCCTTGGCCCTTGGAGTCGCTTTTTTCCTGACCGCCTGGGGAGGCTCTAAAGCGGTGAAGCCAGGGGACAAGGGTTGAACTTTGGTCAAAGTTGTGAACCCCTGGTCTCTTTTTTCTCTCTCTTGTGACTGTGTCTGTCTATTCACGATGATACATGCATACATACATATATACGGTCAGTTGTTTTGGGACAACAATCCCCCAAATGCAATATAATGGACTGTCACTGCCCGTTTTAACCCATAGCACCTAAACTATACCCCCCCAAGCTGCAGACTTGACTGCCCAGCATACGGGATACTCAGTGGATCAAGCTGGAGCTTCTGGAGCCTTTTTTGCTGTAGGTACGGCCCCTGCGGCCCAAACAGGCGGGATCTGATGTGATAGCGGTCTCGTGGGTTGGGTCCATTCTACTGTCCGGGGGTGTCTTGTCAATATGCAACAACATGCAACGTGCAACGTGCAACGTACAACATGTAACCCACTCACGTATTCATCTTTTGTGTGTTGTGTGTTGTTTGATGAGGCCAGCGTTTAAACCAGACAGCAAAGCACAACAGTCAACAAAGGATCTTCCTTGAAACAAAACCCATTGACTCAACAGGCTCGCTGGGCTTGTATGTACTGTACGCATGTACGGCAATGTACTGTATAGCACTGTCTAGTACTTTCTCATCTGCCCATCTCAACGGTTGGGTTGGGTTCCTGTCCAACATGAACACGTCCGCTTGTGTTGCATTGCAGTCGAACGGTTCCTTTTTGGCTTGAGCCTCCCCAAGCTTAGACACGCGGACGCATGGCTAGCTGCCGATGTCCGGTCTGAGTTTTGAGGACATAACAAACCCAGTCTATTGGTTTCGTCCTCGACTGTTTCTCTGCCACTACCACGCACTAGAGACTCAAAGAAATGTACAAATTGTCCTCAAAAACTGTTCGGTGCGGCTTCTAAAAGTACGTACCTCCGGGGAAGACGGCCGTCCGTCCGGGTCCGTGGGCCGAGCTCGCAGCCCCATCGACGTCAAGGGCCTTACCCACTTTAGAGCTTCACAACTCCAAACACCAAATCTAGACGTCAACCTCATGTTCAGCTTTCTTGCGGGATCGTCAATCCCCAATGCACTAGATCCCCTCCTCTCCCCTCTCCATCTGTCCCCGGCAAATGTGCTGGTGAACCAAACTCGACGTAGCATTTGAATCCCAGTAACTCAGGTCCGGCATCTTTGCGAGCTCAGGATTGGCCTTGTTCATTCTTGCATCCTTGTCGTAAACCCCCCCCGGCGCTTCGGGACTTTCTTCGTTATGTCGCTCCTCCGCTCTCTCGTTTCCCCCGCCTTCCGGCGCCCGGCATCCTTCATCACCCTCCGTCCCGCCGCCAGAATGCTCTCTACGTTACCGCGCTTACCGCTCTTCGAGGCTGTTACTCAGCATGACCCCGAGTCCAAAGCCGTTGTCCACTCCCTCTCCGGGCGGACCTTCAAGTATGGAGAGCTTCTCGGTGATGTGAGTCGCGCACGAGATAGGCTTTTTGAAGCTTCCGGTCGCAAAGACCTCAATGGCGAGCGCATTGCTTTCCTTGTCGAGAATAGCTATGACTACGTAGGTGAGCTCAGAGCATGACCCCCCCGCGATGCTACGCTGCGGCAACAATATTGATATATCTTATAGTGACGCTCTTGGCCGCAATGGCTGCGCGCTCTATCGCCGTACCACTATCTCCCGCATTCCCTGCGCCAGAGCTGCAATACATCCTCAACCAAAGTGAAGCTTCGTTACTGGTCTCTTCTCCAAAATTCGCTTCAAAAGCCAAGGAAGTTCTTGCGACGGAACTTACAACAAAGCCGGCGCATCTAGAACTCCAGAAGCACCAAGGAAGAGGCAGTCATGAGAAGGTTCAATTGGACGATGCGAGTCCTGGCGAAGCTGGCATGATGCTATACACTTCAGGCACGACCAACAAGCCTGTAAGCCAATACTCCAAGCAAGGACGATAGGTCGATATGCTAAAGCTCGTCTTAGAAAGGAGTCCTACTCCCCCAATCTGTCTTGACGGCTCAGTCTCGTTCCCTCGTCGAAGCTTGGAATTACTCACCTTCCGACCATCTTCTCCACGTCCTCCCTCTTCACCACATCCACGGCACCATCAATGCCATTCTCACGCCTCTCCTTGCGGGCTCGACAATTGAGTTCATGTTCCCCTTCAACGCCGATGCTGTCTGGAAGCGCTTCTCTGCCCCTTTTCTCGCCAACGACACTTCCACGCCAAAGGAGAAGATCACATTCTTTACCGTCGTGCCCACCGTCTACAGCAGACTTCTTACCTCTCACAAGAGTCTTCCTCCTGACATGCAAGAAGCCACCCGCAAAGCCATTTCCCCAGAGAACATGCGACTCTCCATTTCTGGCTCTGCGGCACTCCCAACACCTGTAAAGACTGCCTGGAAGAATCTCAGCCACGGCAACGTTCTCCTTGAGCGCTACGGCATGACCGAGGTTGGTATGGCTCTGAGCTGCGGTCTTGACTTTTCCGATCGTGTGGATGCCAGCGTCGGCTGGCCATTGCCATCTGTGCAGGCACGTCTAATCGATGTTGACACTGGTGACATTATCAAAGAGGGCGAGGAAATCGATGCGCAAGGTCGCGAGCGCTCTGGAGAAATCCAGCTTCGTGGTCCGACCATTTTCCGCGAGTACTGGTGCAACCCAACCGCAACAGCGAGTGAATTTGTCGAAGACGCAGACGGAAACGGCAAATGGTTCAAGACAGGCGATGTTGCTGTTCGGCGCCCAGTTCCATCTGCCACTGCTGCTCAATCCTGGACTGCTGGCCCCCTATACTTTATCCAGGGACGCAAATCCGCCGATATCATCAAAACCGGCGGCGAGAAGGTAAGTGCTCTAGAGGTCGAGCGCGAGCTATTGTCTCTGCCCGAAGTATCTGAAGCGGCTGTTGTTGCTGTACCCAGTGGACAATGGGGCCATAAGGTCGGCGCGGTGCTGGTTCTAGACAAAGATGTCACCAAGAAGTGGTCGGCGCTCGACATGCGCCGGGCCCTGAAGGGACGTCTGGCAAACTACAAGATCCCCCAGGTGATGCGACTCGTTGATCAAATTCCTCGCAACGCCATGGGCAAGATCAATAAGAAGCAACTGGTCAAATCCATCTTCCCTGATGATATCAGTGGGGATGAGAGCTAAAGAGGATCAGAGAGTGTAAGATAATCAAAAGTCCAAAAGGATATATCAGTTATTGTAATTGTATGATGTCAATTAATGGAATGTAGAGCATGATCAAGCAAATTGGTAGCATTTGGTTTGGTTATAGCTATCAGAAACATGAAGCAACCGGGTACAGTTGATCAAAAGTAGAAATCTATTTTTCTGTCCCTTTTTAGTGGCCCTTTTCCTACTTTGTGGATGCCACTCGGAAAACAGCTCCTCCAACTTCCAAGACGCCAGTAAAATATTGAGCCCAATGAAATCAAGGATAAGTTGCGGCCGAGCTACTTCACTGCTTCGGTCCTAGTCAGTAGCCACTTCCTCCTTGCCCTGTCGTTCCATCATCAGCCACTCGTCGACCTTTCGTGAATCGCTCAGTGAATGGCGTCAGGTTCAGAAACGTGAATTGGTCATTATCGGATATCGTGCTAAATCAACATCGTGCCTCTGCGTAATAGCTGCAAAGTCTTAGACAACGTGCTTCGCCTTGGCTCTTGTACTTCCAGAGTGGGCACTGTCGGTGTGGCCAGAGAATTCGACCTGCTCAGAGGGAGGCAGCTCAAGGACCTCCTTGAACTTCTTGCCGATGTTCAAGAGAATGTCCTTACCCTTCTCACTGCTTCGGCCCTTACCACCAGCAACGTCACCCTCTCCTCGGCCTGGAATGCTCTTTCCTATGGTGCGAGTCCAGACACCGATACGGAAGAAGGCCTTGCGAACATTGACAACAACACCCATGACCTCGCCATCATCCTCGTCCTCGAGAGTCTCGCCAATGGCGGACATCATGACCTGGAGCCAGAGACGGTCGACATCGATGTTGCGCTTGTCCTTGTACTGGTAAGACCACTTGCCACCGTGCTTGTTCTGGGGGTCCTCCCACTCGGGGCGGACTCCAGCCTTGAAAAGGTGGTAGTCGGACTTGAGGGAGAGCTCGGAGACGGGGGCAACATTGTTCTAGAATTCGAGTTTAGCGCGCGGTCGTGATAAGATGGGGTTTTTTTTAACTCACGTAAACGCCCCAGAACTCCTCAACCGAATCGAAGGTGATAACTTCTTTTAGGAGGTCGTTCCAGTTGTCGCCCTATCGTTCCTGTTAGTGCCCAAATTTGGCAGTTTGATAGCGGTATTCCGTACCTTTCCACTGGGTGGCTTGGTGAACCAGAGAGTCCACTTGTTCTGAAGAGGGTGCTTCACGTTGAAGTTGTCCTTGTCGTGGAAGACAGTGACGGGCTTGTCGTCCTTGATGTCGGAGGAATCCTCCTTGCCGGCAGGATCGACGGGAATGGTGGTGAGATCGACCTGCTCGTCCATCTTGGGGGGGTCTGCGACGGCGGTAGCCATTGTGTCGGATGCTTCTCGCGGAATCGAAGTTGCGAATGAAGGTTTCGCGGATGAGAGATCGCGGGGCAGGATTGGGATGATAGCGGAGGCAAAAAGAAGTGGAAGCAAGCGGTGGGAGTGGGGCAAGCAAAGACGAAAATACGTCGTTCAAGCAAGTCCTTCCGTTTGAAAAAAATATCGCTTGCAAAGTTGCGCCAGGCAAACGATGCAAAAAGGGAGCAAGAGCGATAGAGGTGACGTTTGTTGTAAGGAGCAAAAGGCACCTGTTTGAGGTTTGGATTGGTTTGTGTCGCGAGGCGCAAGGTCAAAAATTCTGAGGTGCTGACCTAAAGTGGTGCAGGCGGCTGTTCCTTACTTTCCAAACCGGGTAATGTTTGTGCCTTGCTGTGCCTGGCTGCAGCCTTGGATATGAGGCTGCACATATATCATCCTGACTTTGCTTCTCTGAAACGTCTCAGTCAAGCGGTTCTCTTTCTGAACTCGTAGTTGACCGAGTATTCGCATTGACACGACATGGGTCAGCGGCAGGTATTAACTGAAGCTGGAGGTGTAAATTGAATCCTCGCTTGTTTCAACATGGGCTTCACGTGCCAAGAAAGATCCGTCTTTGTGTCTAATTCCGATCCATGCGTGGGATCAGAACTACGTACTGCCAAGTTCCGTTCCTTTGATATCAAGTCTTGAGCAACTGACACTAGGAGTTATTTCTGTCAAAGACTAGGAAAAGGGTCGGAAGCTCACGGGGTCTTCTTTTGCCAACTCGCTCTCTTATTAGTCAATGTTTCAAAGGCGCTTTACAAACACAAGAAACATATCCACAAATAGAGTTAACAAACCTGACGATTAACTAGCGTCCAAGTCAGGCCTCGACAGCTCAAAATTCAATGCAACTTTACTGCGTGGATATGACGCAGCACTGCCAGTCACGCGGGTATCTGATGAGAGAAAGATGCACAGATTTGCTCTTGAAAGTGAGCCCATCTCGGGATTTGAAGGCACAAAATGCCAAGCTGCTGTGCCCATTTGAGTCTCGAACGCAGTAATGCGCTGTCATGTAACTAACTGCCTGTAGTTATGTCTTCAAATTGTTACTACAACTTGGTGATACCCCCATCCATACCTCCACCTCAAAGTAACCCAACGCACGCTTCTGTGTCCATGAGTCGTTTGTTCATGCCTCACACCATTTCTCATTCAGGCTGGAATCGAGACATTATACCCTGGTCCGGTGAGCCGAACGCCAACAGATAAATATCGCACCTAAGCTAGAACACCAAGGATAAAGGAAAGGAAAGACACAGTCAGATATAACCAGTAAACGCGATCTCACACAATTCCATTCGTCCATAAATGCCCTCTCCTAACCAACTTGTGCCAACTTCAGCAATGATGCGTCACTTCTCCCTTAACAAGGCGTTCATGGCGCCAATAGTATCACAAGTCTGAAATTAAGCCTCAAAAGTCACCCCCCTCGAACGACGTTCGCCATTCACAAACGGCCTTAGCATACACGGGGCGGCATCTCCATTTAACTTTGCTAATCTTTATTGGCCTTTGTAAATATCTCTTGTCCCACAAAGAGAATGACAACTGGTGCACACCCGCTTCATTATGTGTTCTGCACCGACTTGACCCCAATGATCGTCAATGTTCAACGCTAGGCTCTTATGCAGGAGATCAGGCATTGGCTATTCGCTCTGGAATACAAACGCGTCTCACAAGCTCGATTCCATCCCACCTTCGCAACCCCTCGGGTCCCTGAAGTCGATACGAGCCCCTCATGAGCTGTCATCTGAGACTGCGTGATCAATTCCAGGCTGACCAGGTTTGGCAAGCCGGGCCGTTTCGTTTATGTCAACTTTCTACCCATATGGACCAACTTATAATAGACCCGATTCCGCCCAGCCAGACAAAGACGTTTTCCCTCACCAACACACCATCTTGACTACCTCTTTGTTCTCTCCTCTAACTATCTAAAGCTCTCTTTATTACTCATACCAAATTACCTTGACATCATGGAGCCCGAGACTAGAGCCACTTCCTTTGAGAAGGATGCTTACAAGACAAAGGACAAAACCCCCAAGGGCAAGACTCGAAGCAACTCTCTCTTCACAATTAGCTCAGGCTTCACCTTTTTTGCTGCCCTTCCCGGTGTATCTGGCTCTTCTTCTTTCAGGTCGTCTTCTTTCCGATAAATACCCAACACCAGCTCCTGTTTGATTCTCACAGTCATTCGTTCATACCAGGCTATTTTATACCATTATTTACTTACACCCACCATCTGCTGGATCAGTCATCTCTTTCATTATTTTATTACGATATTTGCTTGACGCAACACATTTTCTTTTCCGTGTCCTACCATTCACCCCATAATGAAGGAATTTCGGTCATTTCATCCTAGCCGTCGGGGCCTCAACTTTACGAAACTCGATCGAGACTATGCAGATGAGTTTTACGAGAAACATTTCAACGAGCTCCATGTCGAAGTCTTTGCCCTTGTTCAAGCAGCATTCTGTCCCGAAAGCAGTTCCAGAAAAACTCCCAAGGCACCCTTGACATCCCCTTGGTTGAGGGAGTACCCGGAGGAATTCATCAAATACGTCGAGCTTGTAGCTCACCCGGATGCGCGTGCAGGGAAGTGGGAGAGACTTCTTCGGGATGGCGCCGAGAGAAGCAACCTCCTCCAGGCCATTATCATCAGGGTCCTGTATACAAAAGTCTTTTCGCAGCTGTTCTTTGGAGCTAGTCCTAAGCATTGTGAGACGTTGAAGCAGTCCGATACGGCACTCATCAATGCAGAAGGTGTGTAATGTGGTACAACAGAATAGTAACACCATGCTGACATTGTCATAGGATTCGAACGCAGCAAACTCCGGGCACACACCACGAAAACATGGCTTAATGTAACCGGCGGAGAACCTACTCGTTTCTGGGGAGAGGTTGACAAGTTGTGTACTCAGACACTGGCCTTGCTACTTCCTGTCTATGATTACACCTCTGAATTTACTGGCTACAGCCCCATTCCCGTGGCAGAACTGTATCAAATGCTGCACGATGTGATTGCCTACGCTGGATGGCTCAGTGTATGCATCCGCATGTCTCCAGCCATCGTCTCGATCAACTGGCTCAAACCTGCAGACCCATACGGTATGGGTCAAACCAACACATGCCAGTCAGCATACGAATTCTCGAAAGAAGCAGCCCGCCAACATCAGATGCGAGCTAGGCGGCGAAGACTCAAAGGCGATCATATGCTGTCGGCACCCAGAATCAAGATTTCGGTTGCGCCGAAAATCATTCGTCACAAGATCCTTCCAAAGGTTCTGCAAACCCAAGGTGTTACGTCTTACACGATAATGAAGCCCCAGGTAGTGTACTACGAGGGATTGCAGCTTGATCAAGACGAGTGGAGGGTATACATCAGTCTTCCAGACTACATCAAGAAACTGCGAGATCAGAACTGCGTGCCACGCTATGCTGCGCTGGTGATCATGCTTTTCGTTTTGCTTGCTCTTTGGATTCACTTCACTGCCTCGGGACAACAAGCCTGGCAGGGTATCCACGAAATGGTACGACCAGTGCCAAACTTGGAGTACTTGTCAAAGCTCATCAACCCTCGGCGAAACATAGCACAATATTCGTGATGAGCTTGAGATCTTATGTTTTCTTATGTATTTGGGCAGCTTATTCGGGGATGTGGGTTCTGGGGTTCAACAGCGAGGGTTTGAGTGCGCTTTTGCAAGTTTTAATAGATATCTTATTGTTTGATTGCTTGAAATTGACATTTATAATGTTTCAAACTGCGCCATCAGGTTTTAATAGATTGAATTCCCAACTTGCTCATGTGTTCTTTCAAATTGAGGTTACGACTGACATCGGCCCATGTTAACAACTCCTCTCCGTTGCGCTTTGTGCGGACATTTTCATCAACCTTTGTTGAATTTTACCAATCTCTTAATAGATTATTATAAACTTATTAAATTCTACTAAATTAAAGTGGGACTTACTAATCTCATCCTAAAATTTCTAACTTCTGAATATCTTATGTCTCTTTTACTTTTTGACGAGGATTCTGCGATAATGCATACTCTGTAGGGTATGCTGTCTCGGGTCGATAACTGCTGGAGAGTACGGAGAGCCAACTGATCACAAAACCGATGAATAAATGTACATGCAGAAGTGGGCTTGCTTGGAAATCGATGAGGGATTTATCACATCAACGAGGGTTCGTCCAAGATTACATCTGATCCCACATGATTATTCTAATCTTATCTGATCATCAAGATCAGCCCCACATAACCCCACACAGCCGTTTTTAAGCCGTTGCAACTTGCATAAGGCGCTCTCACCACCACACACCACTGCCACCACATCACAACAAGACAACATCTAAACAACGCAGAATAATGGCAAAACTTCCAAAAAGAAGCTGATGGGCACTGGGAGAATGTGCTCCCGCCAGGGCTTGAACCTGAGGCCTTCGCATTACTGATTATTCGGTATGAAGTATTAGTACGACGCTCTAACCAACTGAGCTACGGAAGCCAATCAGCCGTAATGGATGTGGTGATCCATTGTTCCTTCGCCGGTTCGGTATTTTGCTCTATGGACCATGGTCAACATAGCTAGCCTGCAGCCATGGTTACAAAATGTAGAAAATATTGTTGGGAATTGAAGTCATGTTGTGATTAGGTTGTGTTTTCATAGGTGGGATTGCTTTGGAGGGATTGCTACTTCTTGTAGCGTCCAATGGAGTTGCAATGCATCAGCCTGGACATAATGTCAGACATTATGTATACTATCATGACTCGTGTATAATTGGTACTTGGTAAGAGAGAGGATTATCAAACATGCCATGTCGGGCTGTCGACTGCATATTCACTAGAGACTATTGAGGTAACTCACTCATATGTGGACGTACTATTCCTGATGGGGAGTCCAACAAATATCACCGATATTTGCAAATTTTGTCAGAACTTATGATTGACATGTGAGTAGTCACTATTTGACCAGAGCTGAGCCTTTGAAAGATAGGAACGCTCAATGCTTCATACAAGATTGGGGACATTTGCAGATAAAGATTTCCCTAATACAAAGGGTCCACGGCAATGAATTGTAAGAGCATGCTTGCCCATGTATGAACCAATTATATGTATAAGAGACTGAATATCTCGCTTTCTATTCCAGGAATAAGAGATGCAGGCCACGGAGTAGATGGTGACGATGATGACGAACAGAGATACCATGGTGTAACGAGACTCGAAAACGCCGAGACATTTCCAACCACCAAATCGACTGGGATACATCGGCATCGTGATGAAACAAGGGAATTATATAACCGGAGAATACGAGAAATCCACGAGGGACCTTGCAGAGACAACAATGAGTCCAGCAATCAAGCGCTTCTGGCGGGTAACGACATGCAGTAACTGCCGTGTGGCTTTGGTCGAGGGTGGTTGGGCAAAATGCCAGCCCAACAGCTTTGTGTAGATTACGGAGTACGTTGTGTTACATGATACCTTTTGGGACCTAGCAATTGCCTGGAAATGAGTATATCTCCCCAATTGAGTATGTCTGGAGTGTGTATCTATTTATTATGCGTGCCGTTGAAAATCTCTAAATCGTGCTCGAGTTGTAAAGCAGTGTGTAGACCGGACAGAGTTTAGTCGGGTCATCCCGCCCGCCCGGACGCCAACGATTGACGCATTTATGAATCAAACTTTTTCGGGAGCTACTGATGTATGACTTCATCGTTTAATGAGTGTGATTCTATTCCTACGGATATTGACAAAGAACATGCTTGTTTTAAGGTTGCTAAACGTATAATGTGTGTCTTTTAACGAGTCTAATTGTGTACTCCGTACACAAGCACAATACCTACTAACCCAATGGCTCTTCCGTTCTTCGCATCCTCCGTCTTGTCCTTGCCCCGGGCCCGTCCCGCGTCTCCGTAGCCAGCCACCCGCTTTTTTGGGTCTTCGGAAGTGCTTCAAGGGTGAGACACGGTGACACCCCGCCCCCAGCCATCCCCAGCCTCAAATCGACAAGGCAAAATAGCCACTAGCACGATATATCAAGTTTTTCACCCTTGCTAGCTGCTTCAATCGTTCCTTTTCTTGCTTTTCTGATGCGACTTTACTCGGCGCAAAAGTGTATTATAGGGATATATCGACGCCGAAGCTTACCTCGAAGACAGCCGAGCCATGATGGATTACCTCGAGGCTGGGAAAGATGCTGAGCATGGGGAAGCTCCCAGGGTGTAAATAGCTCCTGAATGAGTTTAGACGGAGCAATCCCTGTACCGAGTACTCCGTACGGCTAACGTCGCGACGATTTGGGCTTGAAGGCAGCGCAGAGTACGGAGCAGAGCAGGGCAATTCCTGGTTCTGCTATCGTCCGTATTGACCCATGGAAGCCTCGATGCCCTTTCCTTTCCCTCTTCAACTACTCCGTACCTCAACGCTTTTCTCCCTCCATGATCTGGTACCTGCGGCCTGCAAGAGCAATCCTTTTCCACCTGTTCTCTCTTTACCTCCATTAAAACGTTGCCAAATTCTGCACAGCATTGGCTAGCCCAGCAGCTCGCATGAGCCCTAGACCAGACTCAGCGCCCCGCTACTAGCGCCTGAACCGTAACAGCCAGCTTTATTCGCTTCGACGCCTGAGCAAGCAAGCAAGCAAGCAAGCACGGTCTCCAGCTCTACAATCTTTTACCCGCCTCCCGCTCAACGCAACGCACGATTTAACGCCCGACATCCATCTTTTTTTGTCTCTTTTTTCCCGCCTCTAACCAATCACACCGCCCATTCATCCAACTGTCAGCCTCAAATGTCTACGCCATACTGGGGCCAATTGCCCGGGCCCAAGGTCGCTCAGGTTGGCCATGCGGGCCATACCCGCCGCAGGTCTGAGTCGGACGACGCCTATAATGCTGACCGTAGATCTTCGTTCGACGCCGCCCCAGTTCGCAGATCGAATCGTGGTTCTTTACAAACTCAGGCCACTGAAGCTCCTTCTGAATCTACCTTTAGTCCTTATGATTCTCCCACCACTTCTAATTTTGCTCCCCAAGGTCTAGCTCCTAGACCATCTTCCTACAGACGTGATATTCCTGTTGGAGAACCTTCTAGATCTCGTCATCAGAGCCGACAGCAAGCAGAGTACGACGACGAACCATTGTCACCTCTTTCAGCTGCTCCAGAAGTTCCACGCGGTCCTCCTGTGAGCTATCGCCACCCACACGGTAACGGCGGTCCTCACACCTACACCGCCCCCGATTCCTCTGCACCTCGCGATCTTCACCCACAAGACGACGATATGGAGGACGATTACTACCAAAGATCCTCTGACAGGACTGGAGGTCAGAGACCTAACCAAGGCCAAGAAGATTTCTCAAGACGAGACTCGAGCGCCGGCGCATTCGATCAATTGCCCAGGAGAGGGACAACAGGCGGGTCATCAGACCGTCGCAAACCGTTCGCAAACGACCGATCACCCCTCCAAAGGCTTGAGCTGACGCTCGATAGCATGACCAAGGAGGAAAAACGCGCCCGAGTCGAAGCCGCAGAAAAGCGCGCCCGAGAGAGACAGGCATTGAAGGCTGGAAAGCAACCTGCAGGCCAGCAAGTGCGGTCCCATGAACGAAAACCATCAGCCGCATACGGTGATAGGCGTTCATCAGCAGGTGGTGCTTTCTTTACAGCTCCTCAGCCTTTGTCGCACAAAGACGTGGCCGGCGATTACAGCAGAGAAGCGCCCAGAGAAGCGCCCAGAGAAGCACCTAGAGAAGCACCCAGAGACGCACCTAGGGACGCACCTAGGGACGCACCTAGGGAAGCGCCCCGAGACACCCAAAGAGACATATACCGCGATGTCCCACAAGATACCTACCCAGAGATCCCACAGAATGAGCGAGTAGAATCGCCCATCTCAGTATACCGAGAGCTGCCTCCGCAAGTCACTGTGCAAAGAGGAGGGTCGCATCGTCGCCGTAGTTCTGTCGCGCACCATCCAGAAGACGACAGACACTACGCTTCAGGCGCACTACAGCAAGAGGAATTTGAGCCTACACCTAGGCGCATGGATCCTCAAACTGCCATTCCTAGATACGTCGAACAAGACTCTGGCATCCCTAAGCGCAACCTGAGCTTCCGCGAAAGAGCGACTCGAGATAACGTACAGCTTCCCGAACAAAATGTGCCAAGATCACAGGCCCAGCCGCCTGCCCAGAGCGGAGGATTCTCTTTGACCAGAAGTGGCAGCAATAAACTGAAGAAACCTCCTCCAGCAGATCTGAGCTACCCCCGTAGGGTGGTTTCCGAAAGACAGCCTGCTCCAATGGCCTCAGCGCTAAAACAACAGCAACAGTATGATGACGATGATTATTACTATGACGATCAAGATGACCTGCTTCCCGCTCGGCAAAACACACAACAGAGTACCAGACAGATTACCCAAGAACTCAATGACCGTTTTACCCGCGAGAAAGAGCTTCCTCCTAACCCTTCACAATCCGATGAAGCACGGAGACCGTCAGTCGACTTCATACCTGGACGCCACCAGATGCCCATGCCTGGTGATAACCAGGGTATTAAGAGGCGCGTCACTGAGCCTGTACCAAGGGTTCAATATACTGATGAGGATGAATTCATCCCTCCCCCCGACCGTGGCCAGTCCATTGGCACTAGGCTCCTTGGTAGAAGGGAACCTGACAATGGAGTCCATGCCCAGAATCAGGCTGCTGTTCGCAGGAAAGCTGGCAGATCAGATAGTTTCTCTTCTGACAGCTCTGAGGGTCATCACGTCTCTAACATGGTTTTCAAGCGTCCCGAAGACATGGTACCTGGTGATGGTCTGTACCAGCCACCTCAATGGCTAGATGAGTGGAAGAAGGGAACTGTTGGTACATTGTCTGGAAACTTCCTGGATCTTCAGGAAGCCCAATTCTCTGAACCGGATGGCCAAAAGGCTTGGTGGGAGCAAGATAAGACAAAAGCCTACTCTGCGCGACCACGAAAGGCTGAGGCTTTTGATGGCGAGTACAATGAGCAGTGTAAGTTTAACCAACCACACCTTTCGGATGATTGAAATGTTATTGACAAAGTCCAGCCCCTACTCGTTTCAAGCCTGCGCTGTTTATGAAGTGCGGTCCGCTTTTGAGATATTGCGGAATCAAACGTGAGAAGGTCCCTAGCAGAACAGCAACTGGTGCTTTGGTCGAACGAGAGATGTGGCGAGGTAGCATCATGATTGTCACCCAAGATTCCGACTCTTCATATGACATTGCGCCCACACTACGACTATTTGTCCAAGGACTCGACCTGCTACCCCCTCCACCTCATCGTATCAAGGGTGATTTATCCCCTGAATACATCGATCCTATTGCTGGTCACCCCAAGGTGGGACGCAGAGGAGAAACCCTTTACGTCCGCCCTGTGGACCAGCTAGATGAGGAGAAGGATCTCTCGCGTGATGAGACCGATCATGGACTCTTCGAGCAGACTCGCAGCGCTCTTGATCACTCCGCCCCTGATGGCCCAACTGATTTGCCTGGGTCGTTTGCTAGCCGCAGAAAGCGTATTGGAACCGATGGCGAGAAGGTACAGAAGTACAAAGATGTGAGAGGCTTCAGGCTACACGCGGAACGTGGATGCACTTTCTGGCGCTTCAATATCGAGGTTGAGCTCCGTGATAAGCAGCAGCGCATCGCGTATCGCATCAACCGCGGACCGGCTACAGGTTTCTGGGTACCCGCTCAAACCGAGACGATGAACATGATGTTCCACAGTTGCAACGGCTTCAGCATGAGCGTGAAGCCTGATGAGCTGAGCGGCCCTGACCCCATGTGGCGCGATGTGCTCAACAACCACCAAAGCCGACCTTTCCATCTTATGATTGGTGGCGGTGACCAGATCTACAACGACTGTGTGTCGAAGGAATGTAGCCTCTTCAAAGAGTGGCTTGACATTCGCAACCCTATTCATAAGCACACTGCCGCTCTTACTCCTGAGATGCAAGCTGAGCTGGAGAACTTCTACCTCGAGCGATATTGCATGTGGTTCTCCCAGGGATTGTTCGGTCTTGCAAGCTCGCAGATCCCTATGGTCAACATGTGGGATGACCATGACATCTTTGACGGATATGGATCTTATCCTCACCACGACCAGAAGTCCCCCGTCATGACTGGTTTGGGAGCAGTTGCGTACAAGTACTATATGCTGTTCCAGCACCAGTCTGTTCTCACTGAGATGGAGAACACCGAGTCAAGCTGGATCCTCGGCGCGGAACCTGGCCCCTACATTGGTGAGCTTGGCCGCAGTCTGTTCATGTCTGTTGGTTCAAGGGTTGGACTTCTCGCCGTCGACTGCCGCACAGAAAGGACAGAGCATGATGTTGTTTCTGATAAGTCATGGGAGAAGATCATGAACCGACTTTACGCAGAGGTCCGCCGTGGACAAGTTGAACATCTACTGGTACTGTTGGGTATTCCTATTGCATACCCCAGACTGGTATGGTTGGAGAATATGTTAGTAAATCCCGATGTTGAAGAGAAACGTAAGACTAACCTGAAAATAGCTTGACATCCAGACTTATGGATCCTGTGAAAGCTCTCGGACGAACCGGTGTCCTTGGTAAGGCTCTTAACAACATTGATGGTGGCGTTGAAGTCTTGGACGACCTGAACGACCACTGGACCGCCAAGAACCACAAGCAGGAGCGATCTGTTGTGGTTGAAGACTTGCAGGACCTTGCTATCGACAAGTCTCTTCGAGTCACCATCCTCAGTGGTGACGTCCACCTTGCGGCCGTTGGACAATTCTACTCCAACCCCAAGCTCGGCCTCGCGAAGCACAAGGATCCACGATACATGCCTAACATTATCTCATCAGCCATCGCCAACACGCCACCTCCTGACTTGATGGCCGATGTGTTGAACAAGAGGAACAAGGTGCACCACTTCGACAAACAGACCGACGAGGACATGATTCCCCTCTTCCAGCAAGGAGTTGATGGCAAACCTAGAAACAACAAGCATCTTCTCCCACACCGAAACTGGTGTGCCATTCGCGAATGGCAACCAGGCACTACCCCGCCTCCAACACCTCCTGGATCTTCTGACGGTAGAAGCCCAAGTCCCCCTTCTAAGCCCCAAGGCGGCCTTCTTCGGAGATTGTCCTTGTCTAGGAGCAAGTCTACATCTTCCGATGTGCGCCCTGACTTGAACAGAGAGACTGTTCGCGGATCTCGGCCCCCAGTTACTCGAGGCGGCGGCGGTCTATTCCGCAGCTTGTCACGACGCAACTCGACAAGCTCAGAGCGACCTCCTCCAGCCAAGCTTCAGCGATCCATGTCTGTTGACCAGGCTCCTGAAGGCAAGAAAGCCGGATTCTTTAGCTTTATTCGACGACCTAGTCAGCATCGTGCTGATGATGGTGGTATCAATGGCAACTGGGGAGAAGAAGAGTATTACGATGATGAGGAGTATTGGGATGAGCCGCAATCTCCTCGACGAGGAGGCGGTCATCCTTCAGGTATGCGAGGTGGAGCAGCATACGACGAGTACACTGAAGGCGACGACTCGTACTTTATGGCCCAGCCCCAACGGGCCCAAACGGTTGGATCGCGAGCCATGTCACACTCGCGAGAGGCCGTTGGTTATATCCCTCCTGGACCACGTCCGGGAAACTTTTACCGAACACCTACAGGTCTTTCGACCAAACAGAAGAAGCAGGCCACCAAGTATGCGGTTGACCTGGAGGGTGGGTTGGATATCACCCTGAACGTCGAGATCAACCCCAAGGACCCTGCCGGCATCACCAAGCCGTACAGATTGCTGGTGCCGAAGCTGTTCTACGACTACGAAGCCGAGAACGAGGCACAAGACGTGCCGGAAGCTGAGCCGGAGATGGCACAAGCTGGAGCTGCGGATCCTGCGGAGCCGAGTGGATTTAAGAGACTGCTCAGCTTCCGCAAGAAACCAAAGAACCCTCCTCCCATGGAGGATGACGATTATAGTGAAGATGAAGATGACGACATTGATGTTTACCGTGTAAGATAAGTCTGATAAGGCATATCTGTGTGTTTATATTTCGCATAAGGGTTTTGTATTTTGGCATGGCCATGCCGATGTGCGCATGGCATGAAGACGGAGTTTTGGAATATGGGCTTTTTACTGAACACATTAGCTTTCGGTACATACGCCGTCTAATAGAGGCTGTATATTTTGGTTCAAAATACGAATGCAAGAGGAGTATTGTCTCTTCAGTTTTAACATATCATTTTGATACTCCATACTCCATACTCCATACTCCATACTTTGCTTACTATGATGATTGTGAGAACCGGGCTTCATCCGCCGAGTTTCCTTTTCCCCTGAACCGATGCAGTTTACCGCCGCTAAAACCCCTGAATAGCGGGGGTCTCAGCGCTAATCCCGCCCCAACCAAGCCCCGGAATTTCATCATGCAGGGCCAAAGTAAAAAAAGGTTGGCCAATCGTGTTGAGGCACGAACCCAAAGTAGCTCAAGCTACGTATTTGTCCTTCCGAGGAGGCGAGGAGCTTAACAACACGCGATGAATGTTTTGTAAACCTTCCACCTTTTTAACAATCCGTGCGACGGAACACGAAAAAGACAGCGAGTCTATTGTCATACCCTTGCGGTATTGAAAAGCGTACGAAACGAGGCCGTCGGATATTTGACTGAAATACTGTCATTCGCATCAAGGGGTCTCCTTGTTCCTGGAACGTCGATCAACGCAGGTCTTCGACGACATACAGCCACCTTGCGACGACACCGACGAGAATACGCGTAGGAAGGCGTCAGAAAGAGGCTCTTGTCCGTCAGAGCTAGGGCATGGCGCCATCATGTCGCGCCAATACCAGTATCACAACAACTCTAGGCTTCCCACCAGCATCCAGTCCATAGGCCATGTATTATCAGTCAACGCACAGCAGCTGGCGCACCAGCTAAGAGTATGGGCCTCTGGGCCGGGAAAACGTATGGCAATGTCAGCGAGTGAACGAGTCGCACGACGAATACAACGCAATCTTACATCGAGACGACTGTTGAGCTTTCCTCATCTGCTGGTCTTGATCTGGGTCGTTGCGCTGCTGTATGGTGAGAGGTGGGTGTTCAATAGCAAGGTCGCAAGTTGCGATTGGGACCATTGGGAGAAATGGGTATGTTTGACCCCATTCAAAGTCCAAGAGGACGAGAAGTGGTGCACCTCGAGCTTGAAGAGACATAACTGATCGTATACAGCCAAAAGATGCGAAACCTCACCACCTCGTCTTTGTCGCCGACCCTCAAATCATCGATCCGCATTCCTACCCAGGCCGTCCCTGGCCTCTCAACCCCCTCACCGTCCTCGTCACCGACAACTACCTGCGACGTGGCTACCGGGCCATGCAAGGCCGGCTTAACCCCGACAGTCTATTCTTCCTCGGCGATTTGTTTGACGGCGGTCGCGAGTGGAAGACCCGAGAGGGTAAATTCGTCGATCCAAAATGGGGACGGGGTCGTTCCAAGGATGAGAAGAAGCTGGTTCAGTCGTGGCACGAGAAATACGGCGAGGATTTCTGGTTGCACGAGTACCAGAGGTTCGGGAATATCTTCTTTAAACACTTCAACGACGGCGGCGAGGTACCGGGATCATGGCAGCGTGGGCGAAAACTGGTGACGAGTCTGCCTGGAAACCACGATCTGGGCTTCGGCGCGCAAGTACAAGTTTCTGTCCGGAATCGCTTCAGCGCATTCTTTGGCGACGTCAACCGCGTGGACGTTGTTGGAAACCATACACTTGTATCTGTGGATTCGGTCTCCCTGAGTGCAGATACCTCAGAGTGGAAGAACAAGCATGACTTGAAGCCCATTTACGGACCAGTAAATGAGTTTCTGGATGGCGTGAAAGTAACCAAAAGAAAGGCAGTAGAGGAAGAGTTGCGCCATTACTACGATCTCAATGGAGGCCTACGATATCCTCATAATGTCGAAGAGCTCGACAAATCACATCCTACCTGGGGAAGTAGCTCCGAAGCGAATAAGGGCGACGGCCCCGACTTTCCTACAATTCTCCTTACTCATGTTCCGTTATATCGAGCCCCCGGAACACCTTGCGGACCTCAACGAGAGCATTGGCCGCCTGCGACACCTCCCAAGGGCCAGAAGGAGCCAGTGTTCCCTGATAACCGAAATGCACTGAGTATTGTCGGCGGATATCAATACCAGAATGTTCTCAACGAACAAGACTCCGTCAGGCTGGTGAAGAGCATAGGTAACATCAAGCATGTCTTTTCTGGTGATGATCACGACTACTGCGAGGTGGTGCATTCTGATGCCAAGGAGAACGTGCGTGAAATCACCGTCAAAAGTATGAGCATGGCTATGGGTGTCCCTACACCAGGATTTCAGATGGTCAGCATGTATAACCCGGTTGATGCTCAGGGAAGACCACTTCCTGGAGCGCCTGAGCAGACCATTCAGACGCATCTGTGTCTTCTGCCGAATCAGCTCCATACATACATGCAGTATATCATCTTCTTCGTGGCAACTCTCGTCCTTCTACTCATTCGCGCAGCACTTGTTCCTGCGCTTTCACTTACCCCTTTCGCCCTCGAGCCTGAGAAGTCATCAGCCTCGGCTGTTCTGCCTGTGTATAAGGACAAGATGGACCCTCCTGAGGCTTCATCATACCGCAACACGACATCTTCAGGTACCTCGGCGCATCATCTACCTTCACGCCTATCCGCCGCAGCACCCCGCAACGCAAGGAGCACATCTCCTGGCCAGACATCAGGTCGATGGCAGGCTCGGCGGGGAGGACGTAACGACAAGCGCTGGGGCTGGGGGTCTGCAGGCGGACCGCGCATCCATCTCGACGATAACTACTTCAGCACAGAAGCTCAAGATAGACGCGTGGGTGGTAGAAAAGCCCTTCGAGTGATTGGTCGCGAGTTGTGGACAAGCACATGGCGTGTGGCTTGGATGGCAGTCTCATTTTTTGCATACCTTGCATGGAGAGGGTAGATGAAGCGTCCATTGCTAGGAGTCTTGATTTTGAGTAGAACAGCTTGGGGATACTGTGTAAAGAGAGGTGTTCGGCTTGAAACAGACCGGAGAACATCCCGGGTTACTTGGAAACGCAGCCTCTTTAATAGCTGATGTAGGCTCATACAGAGCATTTTTATATGTATAGATAAGACAATAAAAGTAATAGGATTTCATCCAGTAATTCCTATTGTAACGCATATAAATCGGGTGACCATGATATTAGGTCGTTGCGAAGACCAACCCTCCAGCACCCTCCAGCATCATCATCAACTATCGATCTCATCTCCACCCATAAACATACCCTCAAGACTCACTCATCTCCTTCTCGAAACACCAATCCTGTCATCCCTAACCCTCCTGATATCGTCATCCCTCTCCCTCTCCTGCAGCGCCTGATGCACGCCCTCCATATCGGCCTGGCTCTGCTGTGCAGCTGCCACAGCTGCGGCCCTGCGCGCTTGCTGAGCCGCAACAAGGGCCTCTCGGGCGCGCCGATCCTCATAGGCGGCGACATCCTCTGAGGTGATGTGCAGTGTTGTCGCAGGGCGTCTGAGCATCTTGTTTTGTGGTGATGTGTGTGCAAGTGTTTGGATTGGTATGCGTTTGTATGACAGTGAAGTTGCTTTGAGCTTAGAGAGACGAGAGTGAACAAAAAGCTTTTGCTGTGATGATGGTCTTAAAGAGTGTGGTGTGAAGTGGCCCGAGTGTGTCTAGGAGTATTGATAAGAATAGCGGCAACTGTAGAGCTAGGAAAATAAATAGACGAATGTTTATTTCGCTTTAGTTTCCTCTTTGTCCTTGTTTTTCAGGATCGGAGCGTGATGAGATGCTGTTGCAACTTGTAAGGGTAGAATGAGACCAGGTTGAGATGGATAAACATTGTGGGGATATTCTGTAAATAACGACCGAGTTGATTGGCTACATACTTCACTGTCACCGTCAAGCAACGTTCGTTCTCACAAGTAAAGTCGGTAGTCAACAGATGCAATTTAACATATAATCTTTTAATTCGTCTATCTGCGTGATACTTCGCATCAACATGTCGATCGTTCTATTATAAATGCTTCAAGCGCCTTTAATGCCTAGGTATAAAATAGTAAGTGAAAGTGAAATGTCATGCATGGGACATATCGCCCCAGCTCGCAAACAAACGTTAGATGCTAGACGAGAACAGAAAGAAAGAAAATGAAAGGGAATAAAACCAAACGCAAATCACCTTCACGGTGACACGCTAAACCCAGGGGCATACACATTTTCCGCCTCCCACTTAAGAAAGTCGCCCAGGTCGTGACCCAGATTATAACCCATCGGGATCGTGTTCGGAATATCGGCTTCGCCAGTGCCCATATGAACCACGAGAGGCATCATCGGGCTCGGTGGTAGACTTTCTTCCGAGCTGTGCGACGAAGGGCGCTTGGGACCTCCTTCGCCAACCCATCGTTTTAGCCCTGTACTGTTGAAGAACTTAGCTTTGTCGAGAGCCTGGCCGGGCGCCGGGGCGTTCCAGAACCCGGAAGGGAACTCAGCACCCACCGGGATCGGCAAGTCAACATCTGTGTTGATAGTTGAAGGCGTTGAAGAGAGAGTGCTGTGAGCCGACGACCTCATTGACGGCGTTGGCCCAGGCTCAGATTCTGGCTTGGGCACATCTCCAGGTACTAGTACCCCGTATGTCTCAAAGCCAAACGTATCAAACCATGACGTGATCTCCTCCACTTGCTTTGTATCTTCTTCGCTGGACATGTCTTGCAGTAGGTCTCCAGCCCCTCCCAATATCGCCATCTGGAATGCGGTCCAGTCCAACGTGTCGTCCATTGTCTTGACCCCCTTTCCCGCCTCAGCTTTGGACAAGGTGATAGGCCCATGACGGAACGATGGTTTTGTGAGCGTGTATGGCGTGCTCTTGAGGTAGAAGTATTCATCATTCTCATCCATCTTTATGTTGGCAGTTTGAGGGGTTGTCGTACTAGCCGGCGGTTCACTTTGTGTCCTGAGTGTTCCTGCTGCCACGATCTCGGGTATCGACGGTAATTTCTGAATGGCCTCTGCACCTGCACGCGCAGGATTCTTGATCGGCAGTTGAGGTGATATCTCCGGGGAAGTGTCGCTCTTGTCCCGAGCACTTCCAATAGATGCATCATCCGCTGTTACCGAGCTTTGTTTGGTGAAGTCCCGAGAAACAACATCCAGATCAGGGGTCAGTTCTGGAGCAGGAGGTGTTTCTTCGATTGAGATGACCGGATGTTCCATGGCCTGTCTCGCTCTGATTCGAGAAGCTAGTTCGTCAAGATGGAATGGCTCGACATCTGTCTCAGAGTTATCTGATGCCGCACTGCGAACAGAGTCGATGGAATATCTCTCTCTCCGCTCCTCACGCTCCTCGTCCAACTGTTGCGCTGCTTCCCGCTTCTTGCGCAGCGCTTCGATGCGGTCCGGTGTTAGCATTTCATCGGCCTCGATGCGTCTGAAACGTTGGCCGGTGAGAATGTCTGTCACGTTTTCGGACAAGGTCCACCGAGGGGTACGGATGGCTGCTTTGGCAAAGGGATGGCCAGCGAGATTGTGCTTCTTTCTTTGGGGCTTTTTGACCACAGACGAGCGTCTGTCTGGCGATGACCGTTGAGATGAAGCCGAAGGCGAAACCTCCCCTCTCCATCTTGAATGTTTTTGAAAGCCCGTGGGCAGCGGCATGGATTTAGAATGTTTGTGCTGTATGGGAATTCCCGGTGGTGATGGAGGTGAAGGTAAATCTGAAATTTGGGATGCACGCTGGGTTTCTCTAAGTGCAGACCCAAGTGCTTTGAAGGCTTCGTCGGTCTCGCGAAATAGACGGTTAACGCTATCTGATGACGAGCCAAGGCTTTGACCGTCGTACATTGGCTGAGCAGGCTGCCAGCTGGTTGGCTCAACCTCGTACTCATCAGCGCCATGGTTTGACAAAGAAACAGTCGACGCCCCGGGCGAGGGCCTTTCAAGGCGTGGACTATCGTCGATGACATTGACAGTGCTAAGAGGACCATTCCCAGAGCGAGGGAGGCGCAGGTACCGGGAAGAATGAGAGGAATGGGAGTTTTGGTAGGAATGTGGGTGGGTTTGGCCATGCTCAACAGGACAAAGAACTGGTTCAGTCCTCCTGTTGGTGGGAACATTGCCTGTGAGAGCTTCAAGGGCGGCAATTCGCCCTTCAAAGCGAGAAGAGCTGATTGACGGGGGCCTTAAGCGGGGAGTTGGCAGAGAAGGGACTGGATGCGCAACACGATGGACATCGGGCACCCTTTGAATAGTAATTCGTGCCGCACTGACTGCTTTCTGCTTTGGCACCGGTAGACGTGACTTTGTGGTATTGGTCCGTCTTTGTGTGGACTTTTTGGTGCAGCAAGAGCTTAACTCCTCACATGAATCAGTGAGATCTTCATTGCCATCACGGTCACGTCCACGCCCACGATGCCGATCTCGGATGTTGGCTTGTGAACGTTGAGGAGTTATAAGTCGCCGTATCAAGCCAGGCATTTTGACTTGCCCTAGCAAGGTACAGCGATGTAAGTGATGAATCGAGAACAATTCGAGAAAAAGCTTCGCATGGCTCTGAGGTTGATAGAATGAAGGAAGAATGAAAGATGAAAAGAGAGTTTCTTGAGCAAACGCTGTCAGTATATGCTCTTATTGAGTGGAAACGATATCATTCCGAGTCGCCGCTTTCGAGGCTGCTTTAGACGGCTCTAGAGTTCAATGGACCCGAATGCGGAAACAAGTAGATATTTTGACCTGCAAACAATTAAACGGCCAACAACTTGTGGGTTATGATCAATGATTTATACTTGAGTACGCATAGGGTGCGACATATTCATTGAAGAGATTCATGTGAACCTTTGTGATCCTACTTGGACCTGTGAGCCTATCCTCAATCATGGTGTTGTGGAGCAGAAAGGCCCCCAAGCTGCAAGCAAGCAAACTCCTACCGATAGGCAATGTAACGGTGATTTCTTGATATGCTAATTGGTTGTGGAACGAACGTGGCTGATGCTATTCAGGGCTGTCTATTCAGGCCTGCAAGAACGAAGATATATGTCTTTCCATGATATCGAGGCTAGTCGTGTGCAGATTGTGTAATAATTCGCCAACCACTCAACGGCATTAGTTGGTTTGTTCGATCTTCGATATTGTCTGTGGCCCAACAATATCGATAGCAATTGGGTGAATGGACCCAAGAAAGAGGCCCGTACAACACGTTAGAGTCGGTACCCGTACGACAAGGTCATTCTTGACGTCGGGTACAACTAGAGGGACCCATGACAGCTTGGTAGTATCGTAGGAGCGGGTAGCAGGCGGAACGGGATGATGCAGCAAGAGAAACGATCCTACTGTCAGCCTGCGTATGGTGTGCCTTGTTTACCTGCATTGCGGCCCCCAGACTTCGGCAATCTGCAGCCATAGACTGAACAAAGAGCGCTGAGCCACACGGCAATCAAGATGCTATCAAATGGCATCATATCTGGCTGAGTATCTTGGCAAGGAACGGCTGATCCACTGGCCTTGCTGATCGTCGGGTGGAGAGCGGGAAAGGAACGAAACGCTCCCGTGTGCATTGATAATAGTTCAGGTCAAATAGTTTATTATTTCTTCACCATTCCAAGCGGCGAATCGCGGTTTCTTGCAGAATGAGGGCCCCATCTCGTCGTATCAGAATGAATTAGTTGCGACAAAAGGCAGCGGTGAGGATCAATGTCTTGATTGATGCTCCTCCGATCCTCGCAACAAGAATTGTGATGGACAGTTCCAGGGTCGAGAATGGCAAGTGGCGGAGCTGAAATGATGTTGTATTCGGTGGAAGGAGGATCCGTCTTGTTCCTGCTGCGCCTATCGATATAACAAACTCGGCAGTTAGTGGAGCATGATCCTTCCATCTATAGAATGACATACATCATGAGCCTCAACACCAATTAATCCCTGTATTAGGATTTACTAATGCAGATCATATTTGGTCGTAACATGAATATTGTTCAATTTGGTGTTTCGTAATTCTTCCGGTCTGCCCACCAGGCCCACGCGGTTCATATCCTCGGCATAACTACTCCCAGGATGCCGCCCCCAATGATACCATATACTCTCTTCAGCCTCGGGCACCTACATATAACCAGTGATACCATGTCGAATGGCACAGTTCGCTTCAATTTCTTTTCTATGGATACCCATGCATGCGTGTATAACGTGCTCTCTTATCCAATGAATCATTGCTCAATTGTGCCTTGCAATTAGTCAAACTGTTGAGAACTAACAATCTTGCAGGTTGGTGATTTGAAATCGCTGAAACTCAAAACATATGGCACTACTGATTGAACAATGAACAATATTGCTGTCAGAAATGGATCTGCGAACCTGGCTGCATCTACTAAACCAGTAGATCGGAACATTGTGCGTACAATCTAAGCTTGCCTGACTTCGTGCTAATTACAACCTCTAATTCATCAAATCCCTCATCGTGTATGCCATATTCATCATTCGTTTACGTAGTAAAACTTCGTCCAGGACATTCATCACAGCCAGCCAGTCGCGTCCCAGCACGTACTGAGGTCCCATCAGCATGTTCCCATTCCCTTGCGCAGGTTTGTCGTATTTAGTGCTAGGTCCCTGGCCTTATTTTCATATGGCTCAAGTTCTCGCCGTAGCTCCACGCTTTCACTTAGCCCTTAGGGGAGACGGCTGTATCTTTTTGTCGGTCGAGATGTTGCAAGGCGTATTAGTGTCGATCCCGTGTATGGTGGTTTGAATGTGCTCATATTGTCGACCAACGGCTCAGAGTCCTCGTCCAATTCGGTGTGTGCAGACTTATTTCTGAAAATCGCTGTTGCCCATGTCCTGATGGGTTCGAGTAAACACCCGTACCCTTGCCAGGTAAACTTCCTGTTGTTCTTTGGCATAACTGTGCCAGTCTTGCATTGGTTTGACGACATGACAATCTTTATCTCTCGGAATTGATTCATGATGAATGGGGCCTGTCACTCTGCTCAGCAGACCATACAAACAATTAAATATATTGTACGAACGAGAATCAGAACGATGTTACAAGGGTGGGATCCGACCCCTTTTCAACATGGCCGCTTGTGTTGGATTTTTGAGTAAATGCAATGATGCCACAAGAGGCTGTCTTCATCATTCCGGCCACTTTGGCTTCAACACAGGTGCTCCAGATTGCTGCACACCACATTCCACTGGAAGATCAAGGGAGAAACAGGCTGAAAGAGTCTTTGGCCTGGCGGCCTGGCCCTTGGGTCCAAGAAATCATTACAAAAATGGCTAATGTACTGTTAGTAAGGCCTTTGGCATGGTTTCACTACGAAACCAGTTATTAAGACACAATGGGCGGCATTCGAACAAATGTGTGAGACATGAAGTGGCTGGATAAAAGTCATTGTCTTTTAATTAAAGTCCCTGTAGCTGGACCATACCTAGTCCGATGCATCTAATCAGCTTCACCAGCCTCTTCTCTCTCGTTGTCATCCTCGTCATCATGCTGGATGAATGGCACGAAACGAAAGTCCAAAAAGCTCCGCTTGCCACCCTCAATATCTACCATGAATTGCAAACTTAGCACACCTTGGCCGTCCCCTCGCAAGCTAACCTTGGTGGCGATTCGCATCGCTTCTGTTGAATTCTTGACAAAGTCAAACTTGTAGGCCTGTGACCAGCGTTCTTGAATATTAAAGGTTTCGAGAAGATCCCTGCCTCGTGCAAAATCCACTCCCGAGCTTCCAAGATCCCCCACACCAGCAATCGATAGAAAAGGGGAGGTTTTGTTGGCAGTGATTGTCAACTTCGTGGGAGCGGTCGGGGAAATTTCAGCAAGAGAATCAAGCAGCGTTCGAGATTGCATGATTATTTTGAAGGCGAGGTCGTTGCGGTCAAATGGAATGTCATCTGGTATTTCTGGTAGATAGGTTGTTAAGGATGCCGTCGTTTTTACGCCAGACTCCTCGATAGTAATTTTGAATGGATCTCCTTCCTCAGCGTATTGGAGAGTGCAAGTGCCAGATATACCGAGAGTTTGGTTGCTGAAAGCATCGGGGCGGTAGTTTCGAAGATTGCTTCGATAGGGATCTTGGTCGGCTTTTTGAGCACGAGTAGCCACGTCTACGGCCCCAAAGATTTGGAGAACTTCGAGGACAGAAGAAAAGGAAAGTTGGAAATTGGGAAGCTCAGGCGCATTATCGCCGTCCTGAGCAGGTAAATTGACGGTATAGGATGAAAATAAAGCTTTATCGAGAAATGCAACACCTGGCAGGTGTCAGCACTGATATATACACTGCAAACAATTGTGATTACCTTGCATCACCCGCGCGTGATCAGCGGCAAAACGAACACCTTCCTCTGTAATTTGCACATGAACTCTGGGTGCAAAGTTGATGCATCTCAGAAGCTGGTACAGTGGCCTGGTCGATGTCGCAACCGCGCGGAAGATGGGCTGAGCGTCCGTAGCCATTTCTCTCGCACAACCGGCCGAGGCGAGGATTTTTGGGATATCTTAGATATATACTCCGACTGCACAGAACATGTAGACGACTCCGAACGCGAGGGCCAGAGAAGCTGGGATGCCCAGTACAGGAACGTTGACGAGTGATCGGTCTAGAAGTCAAGTCAGTAGGCAGAAACGAGATGAGAGAGTCTATGACGCATACTCAGGGCAAAGACACCAAGAAGAGAGAATCCGAGTAGTGTCAACAGAAAGCCGACCCAGAATTGACTTCCTTTATTGACGGCGGGAAGGAATGGACTGCCAGCAGCAGCTTGCCAGACCTCATGCAGCGAAGAATCCATAGGCTATGATTGGAAGGAATTGGCTAGAATTTTGAAAAAGCGCGGGTGGTCTGAGGCTGTTGACGAATTGTTGGCTCTGGAGCTGCAGTTGTTAAGAGTAGAGATGCTCTGGGGAAGCTTCATGAGCTCAATGGGCAATCGTGGCCGATTCACGAATAGAGTTTAGTGCGCGGGTGCCCCTGTCACAGTTGCGCAAGGCAGGTACGTAGCGCATAGTGGAGGTACCTTCCATAACCAGGTAAATGATTTGGAATGTCTTGGGATGTTGTAGTCAAGCCCAGGGTGTAGTAGTCTATCCAGGACTTTAACCGCTCTTTCAGATATAAGCATTATCCCTAAGTCCCAAACATCTTTTCTATTAAGTTATTTTACTCCGTAGACCTTGTTGCAGTTTCACTTCCATGACATTCAAAAAAAAGGTGGAGCGTGATTGGGTGACATAAGCAGCGCACGGATGCTCTCGACGCGCTTCACTCCGCTGTCATGATGCTGTACTTTATCATGTCTAACTTGCCTCCCTCAATAACAACGAAACTCAATCGCTTGCGGTTGTACCGCTACCATCATGTCGGAAGAAAGTTAGTCTTATAGAGAAATTATCCGCGACACGAAGTAGACCACTAACAAGTCATAAACTAGACGGCAAGCGCAAAGCTGAGGAGGAGCCATCATCTCCTACCCCATCCAAGCGCATCAAGCAAGATGATTCCGCCGAGCCCCCGGAGAAGAAACCTGAAATCAAACGAATTCCATTTCCCGAAAAGGTAGGTCTCTTTAATAAGAATCTGCACATATGCTGACAGTAAACGCTTCAGCCTGCTGTTATTGAGGAGCGCAATGGCGAGATCGAATTCCGAGTAGTCAACAACGACAACGAGCGCGAGTCGCTCATCATTTTGACCGGCCTCAAATGCATCTTTCAGAAACAACTCCCCAAGATGCCTAAGGATTATATTGCGCGACTTGTTTACGATCGAACTCACTTGTCGATCGCCATCGTCAAGAAGCCCCTCGAGGTTGTAGGGGGAATTACCTATCGACCCTTCAAAGGGCGCCGTTTCGCCGAGATTGTCTTCTGCGCCATTAGTTCTGACCAGCAAGTCAAAGGATACGGTGCCCATCTTATGTCACATCTGAAGGATTATGTGAAAGCCACGAGCGATGTGATGCATTTCTTGACTTACGCCGACAACTACGCCATCGGTTACTTCAAGAAGCAAGGCTTCACCAAGGAGATTACTCTCGACAAAAAAGTGTGGATGGGTTACATCAAAGATTACGAGGGAGGAACTATCATGCAGTGTTCTATGCTGCCACGGATTCGCTATCTCGAGATGGGTCGCATGCTCCTTAAGCAGAAAGAATGCGTTCAGTCTAAGATCCGTGCTTATTCCAAATCACACAACATTCATGCTCCACCGAAGGATTGGAAGAACGGCATCAAAGAAATTAATCCTCTCGATATTCCAGCTATTCGAGCTTCTGGATGGTCACCCGATATGGACGAGCTGGCCCGGCAACCTCGTCACGGACCCAACTACAACCAGCTTCTCCATCTACTCAACGATCTTCAGAACCACAATTCTGCCTGGCCTTTCCTTGTGCCGGTCAATCGAGATGATGTTGCCGACTATTACGAAGTGATCAAGGAGCCCATGGATCTCAGCACCATGGAGAGCAAGCTTGAGGCCGACCAATACCTCACCCCTGAGGATTTTACGAGGGACGCCAAGCTGGTTTTTGACAATTGCCGGAAGTACAACAACGAAAGCACTCCCTACGCAAAGTCGGCCAACAAGCTGGAAAAGTTTATGTGGCAGCAGATCAAAGCCATTCCCGAATGGTCCCATCTGGAGCCCGAGAGGTAGGGCTCTCATCCAGTGACTAAACCAAAAGCAGGGAATCGGATCCGCATCACGCTTCGAAGATCTTCGGGAGGTAGTGCAAAGTAGCTTCATTTGCGTGGTGTTTTATTTTTGGCTTTGGCGCAGGAGAGATGATATCTAGCGAGGCGTTTTGGAAGTTGACCTGGGATTACGGATACTGAATGACATTTTTACGCGACATTGAGTCATTTTGAACTGGACTGTGATATGATCCTTGAACGTAAAGTTGTCTTCCATTTTCCTAGGCTTGTGTCACATTAAGCCAGCGTGGGTTTGTAAATATGACTGGAGAATATGTATTATGAAAGAGATAGCACTTGGATCAGCTATTCAAAACCATGAGCAGTTGATGGGCATCTTCAATCTTCGTCACCTTTGTTCAAAAACTTTATATAATCTAATTTCGGAAACCTGCCTAACAAATGACTAGGATCTAGTGTCCGGCCTGATGGTCTAGCGGTATGATTCTTGCTTCGGGATTGACATCTCAGTTCTCAATAGAGTGCTTAGTTTGCGAGAGGTCCCGGGTTCAATCCCCGGTCAGGCCCTTCTTTTTGCATTTTGCCCATCTCCATTCATAGAAACCTTTCCTTGATTATAGATGAACTTTAAAACTCATGTTAGTCACACGAATCGACAATATCTTAGCCCGACGATGTCTCGCTTTGCGGGATGTCACATGAACAGGACCGCATGTGAATCGTGAACACTGGAAGGGTGCTGAAGAGACTCTCGGAGTAAATGTTCTATTACTAAACGTGGACTATAAATCTGGTCAGTTTGTTGTTACTTGACACTCATAATATTTCATTGTATTAAAAACCTTTAATAAGAAATTCTCGAAGATAGCGCTTTTGAAGATCGAGGTCTAACCAACGCATTGTTGATCGACACGTGTTATGCATATGTTATGCATGTGTTATTGTGTCTGTCAATACACGTATTACACGCAAACAACACAGGAGCTAGATATTGTAGAATATCCCAAACGCATGTATCAATTCCTGGCTATCTATCAACGAGCCTGTATGATTCGAATGTGACCAGCACAAGCACCAAGGTGAAAGAGAACCATACAGAAAGACTGTTCTATCCCCGCCTGATGATCCAAAGTCGGCACAACCTTGTCTCGGGGTGCAATCACTCTATCAAATATACCATAATGCAGTCCTTATAAAAAATCAACTAGATATTTCCCGTTTCCTATCATATCAATCCCAATCGCCAGACACCATAATCCATTTTGTGTATGGTCAAAAAGAAATGCAAAAGGGACGTGGTTGTATGCGCTGCAAAGCCGTTCTTTTGTTGGCCCTGTGATGACTGGTAAGACACAAGGATGAGATATTGGTCATGCTTGCAGGAGGCTGCGGGTTCCGCGCTCCGATGTTATGAGAAGAGGCCGTGCTGCCTAAGGGTTGTGTCGGTTAAAATAACCGCACCATGAGTGAAATTGGTGAAGCAAAAGGGTATAATTTCGTCATGAAGAAATGTTTTTCTGCCTCCTTTTTTATATGTCGTCTTCGTTCGATAGTCAAGCATTCGATGCTCCTGTACGTCCTGATCCAGATTCGCCCACCGGCAGCCGAAGATCTGAAAATGTGCGGCGGGTCCACGGGGCACGCCACTGACGGTTGTCCATAAAATGGTTCCGCAGGGAAGGAACAGAAGCTTGGGAACGTGTGCTTGGCAGCTGTGTTTGTTGGGGGCGATTTGGGTCCTCGGATTGTAGAGTCTGGCGGAGAATGCGGTGAAGAGATTCGGGTATCTCATTCCATTGGCCAGCTCGAGCGGCGCTGAGCAGGCTTGGTGGGAAGGTTGTGGCGGGGATATCGCTTTCATGGAAGATGTGGTGCTCGTTCAGAAAGTTCATTTCGCCCGACTCAATAGCGTTCTTGAGCCATTGTTCCCATTCCTCATCCAAGACAGCTGAAGTGTCGCCAGCCTCACGTCTTGCAACTCCATCTCTGAGGCGCTCGTTAAGTTCAACGCCCACACTATCCAGCTCGTCCTCACTCTCGACGTCCATATCGTTATCCAAGTCATCGAGTCCAACGTAGCCAACCTCAGCCGAGTGGCTACGAGTGGCGCGGGGCAGGTGTTCGATATCGGTCCAGTCAGGGAAGCCATCAGCAGTGGTGTCATGAATAGTGTATCCCTGCTCTTTCTCGTACTTCTCCTTGGCCCATTTTGTCCCCTCCCACTTTGTCAAGCCCGCGATTTCAGCACCAGTAAGTTGAAGGTTGTCGAATGCGCGGAATAGTCGTCGGTGCCATGGCCAGCGAGAGAGGCGAATACGATGAGTGTGGTGGGTATAATCGAGCCCAGGATATTTCGCTTCCTGAGTCTCGAGATGGCCGTAAAAAGCGTGGGTTTCCTGACGGACCTCGGGGATCAGGTTGCGTTGGAGGAGGGCGTGGAAGTTCTGAGGGTCGTTGCTCTTGGGACGAGGGAACATGCACTCGTAGACGAGTTGATCAACAGGACGGCCCTTCATGATGGCGGTTATAATAGAATGAGGCCGATGTCGGACGTGTGGAAAGTATGAAATCGGTGGTAAAGTAAGAGCGAAATTGTCGGGTATTTCGTCGTAGAATTTTGTCGCTCAAAGAAGGTACCAGAAAGAATCTAGTCGGTCACGTAATTGGTGGCTGGAGTAAACTGCAGTAGAAGTTTGGGCGTTGGTTTGGTCGTCGGTTCGAGGGATAATGGCCGACGAGGAGTGGTGCTGAGGAGCAACGATCAAATGTTTACAAGTTCAAGTTGTCTGTAAACCAAAAAGAAACCAGGCTATAGAAATTGTTTGCTCGGGCGTTCTCGGCGGGGTGTAAGTAGGCAAAGTAGGCAGGCAGGGGACGGCGAAGCCGAGTTGGCCTTTGCGATAGAATCTCAGTTAGACAAGCAAAGCGACGAATGCGCACGTGGGCAAGAGGAGGGGATATGCAGGACGGAGTAATTCTTTTCTGACAACCCAGCCTCTCAGCGAGAGAAGATTATTTGATCGTGAAATATCGAGAAGAGGAAAAAGAGGAGAGAGTTGCTTTCGTGAGACGAGGGAGGGAAGTAACAGTTAATATGGATAGGTAGCACGCTATGGTAAGGTATGCAATGGAAAGATGCATTGGTCGGGAACAGGCGAGAGCAGGCAGTCCAGGCCAACTGGAGGGCGCCCCAGGAAGGAGGGGCGGCGCATGAGAGACCTGAATGAAAGAAAGCCATGGAGCCCGAGTAGAGAGAAAAAAATAGGCAACAAAAAAGCACCTAACCACAGAAAGATGTAGAGGGTGGGCCTGGAATTTACCAGGGGACCTCCAGGGATTTCAGGGCTGGTGCCAATTACATCCCCCATCGGGAGACTACAGGCCATCGCAGAGGCACTTGATAGGCTGCCGTTGATTCTGAGGCCGGGACCTAATGCGCCTGGATTTAGTCGACACGGCAGGGTGTGGGTGAGGGTGTGATCGTTGGTGAGTGCGAGTAAAAGGATAATAGTGTAATTGTAATTAGCATCAGTCAGTAGAGTAAGCAAGCGGTCAGGCGTTGGGGATGAGTTCCAAAGCTTCAACTCGTTCTTTCGTGCAGTAACGTAACTCTACTATTCTGATGACTATGTACGTAGCCATTGTCTATTTGTTTACATTTCTTAATTCAGAGTCTACAGTTTCGGAGCAGAAACAGGCCATGCCTATTGGCCATAGGTTCTGCCACATATGTACTCTTTACGTGTTGTGTTGTGTTATGTTGTGTTGTCCCATGAACGTGTAACATGTTCGTGTGTTGCGCTTGGACTGATGACTTGGCGGGCACTTTAACAAAAACGCCATTAACTCATCATTGTAAGTATATTATATTTGATACAACGAGGTCCTGTAATACCATATCGAGGTGAGATCTACCCAAGGGTGATCACAGTCATGGAGCTTCACTTGCGGCCCGAAAGGCTAAAGCATAACGTCAGACGTCTAAACTTTAGAGTCTCTTGATCAAAATCTATGATGATGAGAAATTAACATTCTTGTCATGAACTCAACACAAAAGCTCATCAGACTCGCCCTCTGCTAATCTCGCTCAGGACTAACCGAACATCGTTCAAATCAAACCAGCTGATCCTCCCCAATCATAGTTTGTTTCCAAATCTTAGGCTCAGAGTCCTCATCATACAACCCTTGGAATCTCCTATAAATACGGTCATGTTCCAACAGCAACTGGTGTTCTCGTGGCAGGTCGTCACAAGATTGGCCCAGCAAAAATGAGCATTCTGCGAGTCACGCGCATGTTAAAGCGACTCTCTAGCTCCACTACTATCCTTTATCATCCTCGTTATCTTGTCCTCATGCACCTTTGCTAACGTGATATCAGCATTTTATCCGCCTCGGTTATCATAGAACCTTGCTTCTTTCACCCTTTTTGCCTGCTCATCATCATTCTACTCAACCGGGACGATGCCGGTTTCCGGAGCGGGGCCGGAGGATAAGTTCCTGATGCGATAACATAGACAATCAATCAACATGCCTATCCATAAACCCTTCAATTGATCTGATAGAAAGCTTTGCCTGATCTACAGAACCCTCACCTCAGGTGCTGGCTGAGGCGACTTTTTAAAGCTCTTCATGGGCTCAAGTCCCCATCGACCAAACATAGCCGCATCCTCATCCCAGCCGTTACACTCCGTCGTGAGCATTTTCTCACCCGTAAAGATGGCATTGGCGCCCGCCATGAAGCACAGGGCCTGCTTCTCCTCCGACATAGTCTTGCGCCCAGCGGCGATACGGATGATGGTCGAGGGCATGATGATGCGGGCCGTCGCAATGGTCCGTAACATACTCGTGAACTCAACCACGGGTCGATCACCCAGCGGTGTGCCCTTGATGGGAACCAGGGCATTGACCGGGAAGCTCTCCGGGTGGCTTGGAAGCGTCGAGACCGTGTGAAGAAGACCAACGCGATCTTCGCTGCTCTCGCCGAGACCTAGGATTCCACCTGAGCATACATTGATGCCGGCATCGCGGACGTGGCTCAGGGTCTGCAGTCGCTCGTCGTAGCTGCGCGTTGTGATGACAGACGGGTAGAACTCGCGGCTAGTGTCGACGTTGTGGTTGTACGCCGTGAGACCAGCTGCCTTGAGCTCCTTCGCCTGCTCGGCATCGATCATACCCAGTGTGACACAAACCTCCATGTCCATAGCCTTGACGCCCTCCACCATAGCCTTGATATTCTTAAGGCTGTTTTTGCGCCCGCGCATGTCCCTCCATGCAGCGCCCATACAAAATCGAGTGCTTCCGTTTTCCTTGGCCGTTCGCGCAGCTGCCAGTACGCTCTCGACGCTTTCGACTCTCTTGGCAGGAACCTTTGTGCCCTCTTGGTAACGGGTTGACTGAGCACAATAGGAGCAGTCTTCGGTGCAACCGCCAGTCTTAATGTTCATCAGGGTGCACAGTTGTACCTCGGCGGGGTTGTGCCATCGACGGTGTACGGTGCTCTGTTGAGTATTGCGTTAGTCATGGTGTTTGTCCTGTGAGTTATGGACTCTGCCATCAAGTAGACAGAAGTCGTAACGCAACCCTGTCGCATTGAACAACAACGGGAGTGGTCGTCTATAATTGACGCCCCCTCTCAATCGATATACTCACAGCTTGGTATGCGAGTTCAAGAGCAGGCTGATAGTAAATAGCCGCAATCTGCTCCTTGGTCCAGTCATGTCGAACCTGGGTCGCAGTGACAGCCTCATGCAGAATCTGCTTGCTCTTCTCAGCCCGCTGCTTCTCGACTGCATCATGGGCTCCGGTCGGGGGAGGAGGCGGCTGCGATGGTCGAGGTTGGAAATCGACCACGGTCGACATGGCCCGGGAATGTTGCCATCTCGCCGTTGCGGGGAGAGACAAACGATTACCAGGTGTGACCTGTCGAAGAGCCCTTAGGCGTAGCGAGGCATTGGGCTTCATTGTGAGGGGACAGGCGAATTAACGAGCAGGTAATGAAAGGAGAGAATGTGAGATGAAAGAGAGAGAGAGGATGAATTGGGTGAAGCGAAGATGAAGACGGGGACATTAGCTGCAGCTGTGAGTGAGCTGCAGCGAGAGGCACTAAGCCGAAGAAAGATGTGAGGACAACAGCTATAAACCAGAATCGGATGAGCACGAAACTCTAGACTATGGACGAGCCTACCTACTCTTGTTGGTGAGCTCTCCGGTACAGTAGAGCTACGCCTCACCAAGCCCCCCACTGCCTTCAGGGCATCGACTAACCGATCCTCGGCCAGCGTCCGTTTCCAAAACATATGCAGTAGTAGCTCGACATCAAGGCGATAGCTCTCAACTAAGCTTCTAAGCTCCCTGTTCACAGTAGCCTCGGCCTTATTGTCTTACCACTACCATCCGGCTCAAACCGCGTCTACCGAGATCCGTAATGGGACCTGGCGATGATCCTCTAAATACGGGGTAGGGGTGGGAAGATGTTGCAAATGGGAACGGAACCATGTCGATATGATGTGCTGTAACTCAACAGACGTTGCTGTTGAATGTAGATCAACATATTACCCATTGTATGACCCATGCCTAAACCCCTCTTCTCTCTCAGCAACAAGTATCATGCGAATCGTATGTTTATAACTCAAGCCTCTAGCTCTCGGCTGCAATGGCCATCAAAGTTGAGAGCTCCTAGACTTTTTGTTGAAGACAGCTCTGGGCCCTGAGACCGAGAGCTTGGCAATCCGGCATTTCTCGTTGGTCTCGCTAGTGGGAGGGGGATTTTTGGTTGAGATGAGGGGCTAGAATCCCAAGCTTAGCGAATAGCTAAGCACCCTTAACTTCTAGTGCTGCTGGACCCCCGGGGAGGAGCCCGCCCAGGTCGCCTGGCACGGCTTAGCTACCGTGATTTGAGCGGCATTTTTAACTAGGGTTATGGCGTAACCGTGGGGTTGCTTGGTGGATGAATGGATGAAGCTGTTTTGTGACTTGCTTTGAAGAAAGAGCTTAAGAGTATCCAAGATCTAAGATTGTTTAAGCTGAATTCCCTGTGTGGATTCAGAAAGCGAATCAGTTGAAAGAAATACTCAGTGCTGAGTATATATGTATTCGTAGTCACATTATGTCCCTCAATCTATCCAGAGACGCCAATTCTTCAAGCCTATAAATCTGATCATATCCAAGCTAAAGCAGAGCACGAAACCTTATGCAGGCAGATGCTCGATGTGTCGCTTTCACTACTCAGTAACATCTGGCAAATGTATAAATCATGAAACTAAACCTGTAAGCCAGTTTATTGATACGCCGGCTCAGCATATCGTCTGTTCGGAGTCCCAAGGGGACTTGTCCCCCGCTCATCGGGCGGCATGCGCTTATCCCACCTCTTCCTGTCGGATCGCGGGTCCCATCCGGGATAGTCACGGCGTCGCTCGGCATCTGCGTGGCTGCTAGTTCGTCGTTCCATCTCTGGTCGGCGAAGATACCGCTCACGTCGCTCCTCCTCTCTTTCCCGGTCGAGTTCCCTCTGTCTACCCCTGCGTTCACGTTCGCGTTCGCGGTCTCGCTCTCTGTCTCGCTCCTCGCGCATTCTCCTTGTTCGGTGCGCTTCGTCGTCGCTGGAATCTGCTTCGGATGAGGCTCCCGAGATGTCGGAGTAGCTTTTGCTGAGACGAGATGGGGGTAGTCGATCACGGCTTCGACGTCCGCGTGAGGAATCGGTGTTGTATGATGCAGTTCGAGGCGCGTTTCTGTTGCGATCTTGTGTGTTACCGAGTCCGTTGGGAAGGATATTCGAGACCTTTTCAGATAGCTTTTCTCTAAGACTGGGGCTATGCGTTGATCGTCGTCGGGTAGATTCGTCACCTCTTACATCAGCGCGATGAGGACGGAACGATGACGGGTTACTGGCAACAGGCGGTGGTCGGTCGTTTGTAGGTGAGTACCGACGAGAAGTTGGAGACGGAGGACTTGCTTCGGGTCTTCTCTTTGCGCGGGGAGGAGCAGATTCATCTTCACTTGAATCTGAAGAGAAGTGTCTCGGCTGGCTGTGTCGACGTGGTGGTGCAGGCCGCTTTGCATTAGGGTCGAGATAAGGCGCCGGCTGTCCTTGCTGCGCATGCGGTGGAACATCTGGCGTCGGCTGCTGATTATAATCTGAAAAGCTCCGTCGTCTGGCATGTTCATCAGAGCGACTGTTGTATCTCTCGGGCGAAGGTCTGGTTGGTCGCCCACTACCTGCATGTCTACCCGGCACATGATTGTACAACGGCCGTTCTGGTCTGGCCCGGTTTCCGGCAAAAGCACTACCTCGTACGTGGGTGTAGGCAAACTTGGGCTCTGCTCCATCTCCAGGCTCGCCAGTGCCAGGTGATTCTCGTGCAGCTTCTCGGACCGCATCCCTCTCTCTGGCACTCGCTTCCTTTCTTAGCTTCTCGGCGCACGACTTGTGCCAGCGGTCCACCTCGGCATCGGCCTGTGTTGGGAATACGGTCGGAGGTAGGTCGGGAGGAAATGCTTGGCCAGTCTCTGGGTGTTTTAGCTGCCAGTTCTTTACAGCGAACTGTAGAAAAGGAACGTGCTCCTCTGGACCAAGCAAAATCTCAAGAGACTCCCATCGCGAAAAACCTCTGGGGGTGAGGGCGGGTATTGAAGGCGGTTCAAAATCGTCGTCGGTAGGTTGTAACGTGTGTTGACATCCAGTGACTTGCCAGATGTATGAGATGGACTCGTGGGGCATCTCGAATAGAGCTGTAGATGGTTAACATACGAGCGCAGGTTAGTCAAGAGTGAACGTACAGTCATAGTCGCCTCCAACGGCCTTGTAGAAGGCGGCCAACTTCTCAGGTGTTAGGTGACAAACAGTCTTATCGCCAATTTCGAGTGTCTATTATGACGTAAGGTTGTTAGTGTGCGATGCTTGAAACACCGGAGCTTCATATACCGGTAGAGTGGGGTAAGGTACGCGCATACAATATAACAACTAATGGCTCTCAAGAGAGCATCTAATAGCTTGGATGGACTCTTATCCTTTTCATACATATAGGAATACTCAATGGGCGGCGGTGGCGGGGTTGATGAAGCCGCGCCGGGCGGGGCTTCCGTCTTTGGAGGGGCCGCCATATTCGGAGAGGATAGAGAAGAGTAGAAAACAGCGGAGGGAGTAGAGGTGGAAGTTGAAGATGAGGAGATGGTTGTGAAACAAGGTCACGATGATAGCGTGCTCACATCCAGGGCAGATCGCGGGGAAACGTGGGAAGCGAGGCAATCGGCGGTCAGCGGGTCGATAAATGATATCGATCGAGAGTCGATGATCTGGTATAATGCAACAGTGCCGTAGACGAGGACGATGGCGCATTCAACAAGGCGAGAGAAGCAGAAGAAAAGCAGCAAATGCGCCCAAAGGCGATGAGAACAAAAAGTCGCTAAGAAGAGGCAGAGGCAGAGGCAGAGGCGCAAAGTGCAATCGAAAACAGGTCCCGCCCGTCAGGTTTAAGTCAGGTTGGGATCCGATACCTTATGAATGGAGCCCAGCTGATGACAATGACAACCTAAACTAATAAGGCAATGATGGAGAATGGGGCCAGGGCAGACAGGCAGAATGACAGGGCCAGGGGGGTTAACTGTAGGCTTGGCAAAGAAGAAGTGGGCAGAAAGTCGAAGAGGGAAAAAGCACGAGCACAAGAGGACAAGGAAGAACAAGGGAAGGTAAATAAATACAAGGCACAAAGAGACGAGAAGAAGAAAAAGACGCTGCGAGAGGGACAAATGTTGGTTCCATGTCTAGCATGTCTCTTTTTTTACATGGATAACTAAGTGGATGGGACATGGATGTGCCTGGGAGAGGAGGGAGACTGCGGCGTGCAAAGTGGCTGACAAAAGGTTGTCAGTCATCAACGATTAATAAAGTCTCATCGATTAGTTAGATACCATTACCAGTGCTGAAGGAACAGCTGACTTTGTTTGTCATATGGGCTATTATAATGTTGATCTTTTGATACATCAGTATCTCTGCTACTACCTTCTCACCATGCATCAACAATCAGCAAACTACAGCGTCCTCCAACCCAAGCAAACCCAAGCAAACATCAATCACATCACAGCGCAGCATCCGGCGTGCATCCTCCCTGGCCCTTCTGCCTCACTCACTGCCGGCCGCTCCTAGCCTGACACGTGCGAGGTCCCGTCACGGGTGATCCCTCCCACGAGGACAAGTGTAAAGTAGAAGAAGAGTGGATTTTCCGCAAATACGTAACTAAGCTGTGCGCGGTTGAAAAAGAGTACCGCAATCTGCATCTTGGCTGTGTAATCTAAGCCCGTGCTATGCTGTTAAAATCCCGAAAATAGGTTATTCTTCTAGAACTGAGCCTGGTTGGTTACCTCTGGGAATACAAAGGCTCAGCCTCAACGGCGTCCGGTGTTGCTCAGCACCGCATTCTGAATGCCCCCCCACCTGCCAAGTCCGAGATCTGTGAGATTTGTTCCCTGTCTTACCTATCGGAGAATGCGAGAATAATCTCGAATAATCTGACATGTTCTCTGACGTGATTTGAGTACGAGAAGTCACTTATCAGAGAACAAACATGCTGTGCGATGCAGCAACAAGTGTCTGGTGAAACATTCGGACACTGATGTCATCGTTTTAATCAACGACAGGGGATCTCATGCAAAACGGCAACGGAAACAGGGCAGCCGAGGGTGGTTCCGAAAAGCTGGGGCGGAAAGCCGTTGAGTTCTGTGCTCTAGGGTAACCACTTTTGGGAGAAATAAAACACTGGCCGTGAGTCTGCAACCATAATATCTTCGATCGACTATGATAATCAATAATTGAATTACATTTACCTCTCTTTATTAAATTACCTATACAATAAGTGACATCAAGGGAGTATCCATTAGTGCAACAATTCATCATTATAGGATAGTAATTGTTATAATATGAAAAGCTTTCTATTTGTCTTCATGTCACACCTTTCATTTCCCCGGGAAAGTCGTTGAACACCGTGCTCTAGGGTAACTGCTTTTCCATCCACTTGACTTCTGGCACCTGCCACTGTAGGGCAGAACCAGGGTTACCGGCTCACTAGGGCCAATCAGGAAAGGGGCTTCTCCAATTCACTGTCGCATTGTTGGCCTTTTCTTTGAAGCTTCTCATTTCATGAAACAAACACTTCAAGCTTTGTGACGACTTTTGTCCACTTCTTTCACTCTCTCTTTCAGAATACCTCTTTGTGTAACTACTGGGCTTCGACCAGCTTCTCTTCTACAACACCCACCCTTTTTCTTGATATCTGCAACATCAGACCACCATCATGGACGCCCTCAAATCAGCCATCACCCCCATCACGCATAACCTCCCCGCGCCCATCCGCGATCTGGGTGTTTCCATCATTGGAGAGACTTGCTACAACTCCCTCCTCCTCGACGTCAACATCGAGGATGCCGACTGCATCAAGCTCGCTGTCTCAAAGGCCCTAGGAATCGGCATCATCGCTGCCTCCTCCATCGTCAAGGTGCCACAGATCCTCAAGCTCCTCAACTCCAAGTCCTCCGAGGGTGTTTCATTCCTCTCTTACCTCCTCGAGACTGCGTCATACCTCATCTCGCTCGCCTACAACATCCGAAATGGCTTCCCTTTCAGCACCTTTGGCGAGACAGCCTTGATCGTGGGACAGAACGTTATCATCTCGGTCCTGGTTCTCAACTACAGCGGCCGCGCTAGTCTGGCTGCTGTCTTCGTCGCTGCTCTTGCTGCTACTGCGGCTACTCTGTTCGCCGAGAACATTGTTGATGCGCAGACCCTGAGCTACCTCCAGGCTGGTGCTGGTGTTTTGAGCGTCGCTAGCAAGCTGCCTCAGATCCTCACCATTTTCCAGCAGGGTGGCACTGGTCAGCTCAGTGCTTTTGCTGTAAGTTGAACCGTAGATTGTACAAAATCCTGCGACTAACACAACATTTAGGTTTTCAACTACCTCGCCGGCTCTCTGTCGCGAATTTTCACAACCCTCCAGGAGGTCGACGACAAGCTCATACTCTACGGATTCATCTCCGGATTCGCCCTCAACGCTATCCTTGCTCTCCAGATGATCTTCTACTGGAACGCCCCCTCTGAGAAGGCCAAGGGTAAGCGCAGGGCCGCTCCCATCGAGGCCAAGTCTGCTCCTACCAGCACTCTGACCCCTGCCGCTTCCACCACTTCTACTCCCAAGAAGAGCCCTACCACTCGCCGACGTGGTTAGACGGGCATTCTCGTAGGATTCTTGCGAGGTTGCGTTTGTTTTATATACTCATTGCTGCAATAGCTTAATTTTTTTTAATACATACTTCACCTTATGTCATTCTTGCTCAGTGATGGCTGGCTATGCTCATGTTTAATTTATGTGTTGTTGTAATTCCTACAACAGTCGTGTTATGTTTGACTATGTATATGTGCTGTACAATGCTTAACGACAATGCTCTTATGGCAAAAAAGTAAACGGTATCCCCCTGTTAATGCCGCCCGATTTTAACGCCTTTGTTATGTCCCAATATGTTGTTGCTAGTTGTCCCTGATTGCCCAATCCCATTTTCCAACCACAATTAAAAGAACGAAGCAGCGGGCCGGCTCCCAGCAGCGCGACTGGGTTGACTAGATTGACCATTTCGACCTGCACATTGCAAACAACGTCGCTGCTCGCCCAAGTTGCTCACAGAGCAGCTGAAGCAGACATGCTTGTCACAGGCACCGCATGAGTGATCTTCGTTATCAAGCCCATCGATCTCCATCCCGTCGTCACCACCACTTAGACCAGCACCGCAGTCATCACAGTTCGAAGGAGCGAGTTGAGTTTGGTTGAGGTTGGAGTTCGTTGTCGAAGGGGCTGAAGAGATGTTCCAAAACCGATGGAGAGATTGTTGGTTTGATTCGGGCTGAGTAGTCTCAGATGGTGGTTGTGTATGTTCGAAAGGGACTTCTGCGTCTTGGTGTTGGTTCTGTGCTGAGTATAACATGTCGAGTGTACGTTCTGAAATTTGTTTAGTACTTGAATGCACACATCCAATGTCGCGTTGTTTAGTGAGAACTTACGATGAATTGTCTCTGCTGAAGGTCGACTATCGCGAAATCGTTTCATAGTTCGACTATGGAGGTGAATAGGTGCCGCAGCCATGATGGCAAAAGGGTTAATGAGAGCGTTGCCAGGTCGTGGAGGAGAGTCCAAGGATGAGACCGAGGAGGGAGAAGGGCAGAGCTCAGAGACGGATCGCTTGCGCTTGTGGGCCATTTTGGTTGACAATAATTAAAATCGACGAAACGTCTGGGGATGAACTTGAAAGTTGAGATGCGAAAATTTGAACCAGGGTTAATACTGGATGTGACGAGATGCGAAAGGATATGAGGTGAGATATGTACTCTCTCGGTGGGGCTTGGTTGACGGCGCGACATGACGCGCTTAGTGGTGACGTCCACTAATGTATGGACGCGTTAATGGCCTCTAGTCGCGTATTATCTACTCGACTGGCCGACTTACATGACGATGTTTTTAGACAAACTCAAACGCTAAGAGCTCTTTGCTTTGATAGTTCTGTTCAGACATATTCATTTAAATCCAAAATATAATATCATAAGTGCTTCATCGTGATGTTGGTTCCTCAATAGCTCGCTGCTTACTTAGCAATATGTTCAAATAGGTACCTGAGTCAAGTAAGGGGTCTTTGGTCATCACCCCCCTTTGGCCAGTCCTCTACTGAAAGAGAGTTTATTATTCGCCATGTTCATTGATATATATCCAGCTTCTAACCAATCAAACTAGAGTATTTGCTATGACCAAACCCCGGAGGACCAAAGACCCCTTGGTTGACTTAACAGTGGGGGGGGGGGGGGGCTCTGTACATCAACCCGAACCCGATTTATACTGGGTAGGTAGGTTCCTACCTAACGTTCATCTCATGTCTCACCTCGACAGCCCTGACAGAAAAGATTCACCACAATGGCTAAGGATGATATAAATATGTAGTCAAGCAGAATGCCGCTTTACTGTGCCATTGTTTATATTACTCTGCCTTTCCAGGTCCAGGTATTCTGTCAGCCTTAGACAGCTCGACCAACCTTCGATCATGTGATCACGCCGTCTATCATCTTGGACTAATACAATCAGGGTCGAACATTACTTCGGCGATGCCCACGTTCTGGACAACCTTTTTACTCCAATGTGTTTCTTTAGAACTCTTACCTGACCAAGATTCTACATATTTATTCCTTCACCTTTGATATGGGACGCCTCTCATCTGAAGTTGCCATAGCTCTCGCCAGTACAATAGGTACATTTGCTGCTCTACTTGTGTCATGTGTGGCTATGTGGATTGCATACCAGACAATGCGCCAGCAGGGTGTGTCGCGCAACGATGTTGAAGTTCGAATGATTGAAATCATTGCTATGCAAATTGGCGTGACCACACCAAGGTATGTCTGCCATACCATCATTTTTTATTACTTTTGAACCCTTTCAATCTCATTTCTATTAGTCTGACTTGATATATAGCTATGAACTCCCATTTTACGTATCTCAAAGCACGATCGAGCCTCCATTTTCAAGCCAAAACTCACTCCAATTGCCACCTGTGGCCCGCCAGAACACCATTGGACGAGTGCAAAGGGGAACTGAAGTTTTACCACCTCCACGATCAGCAAACAATACTGTGTAATGTAATCGCTAAGCCAGAACACAACACGGTCCATACTTACTTCATAAATTAGACTTTAAACTCCAACACCATCGATGTTATATTGAATAGATATTTTGAGAACACTACGCTTTAGATGTGATGAGTTAGATGCGGGGATGGTAGAAAGGTGTTTTCATATGTATTCAAATAACGACATAGGAGAATTCAATATCATTGCTATGATGTGAACTTCATTCTGTGTTAAAATTCAATACGGATACCTCCGGGAGCAATTTCAATAACAGGTACGAGGTGAAAGTGGAGTGCTGTCTTGCCATTGACGGAGACTACCCCACGTTTAAGGCAGGAACTAAAATAGCCGAAGATCTTAGCTTGATTCCTAGTAAAAGTACCAACATGTTCTGTTTCTGTTATTGTTCTAGTCGTTCAACGCATACAACAACGTTTTCCCATGATTGCTATTCACATGAATCTCGCTTAAATATTGATTTCATTCGTCAGGCCTTGTATAGAATAACCTACTGAGTGCCGCTGTAACATACCTTTCGATGAATTCAGGAGAATCAGCCATATCAATATCGTAGGTCCGAATCGGGGTATTTGCCTTCGAACCAATTGCTAATGGTTGATTATATGCTGGACCAGAACCCCTTCGAATGCGCTGATATGTATGGTTAACTAGTAGTTTGTGTTCTGATGATTGGCGCAATACTTGAAAATGCACGAAAATAATTGGGGTCAATACTCACTATGGTATGTAGTCAAAGATGGAGCTTACTAGAATGGATGCTTTATCCATCTCAGTGCTTTCTTGACCCTAGGCCACTGCTTGGACTGATAGAGTTTGTAGGCAAAGAAAAGACCGACGCCGGACACAACCAAACCGATTGTGGAGTAGACTATGGTAACAATTACTTCGGTCGACATTTGAGCAGATCGATGAGAGACGAGTTTGCAAAGGACGAAAGATTAGCGAGCGAGGGTGTAACGGGGGGTAATGAGGAGATCATTTAATACCAGCGGCTGTCAAAGAGCCGCAGCCTCATTCTAGTAGCACACTGCTTGGGGCAGTGCTATAAAGCTGAATGCTGTAAAGTGCACATCTAACCCTCTTTGGTAATGTGCGACCTGAATATGATTGCATAAGGCGACTAGAAATAGATGGTCCGGGCTGAAGGCCTTATGACCATTCCATGGAATCGTTGTAACTTCATCTGAGTATGTAAATCCTGCTGCATTCATTCAAGAGGCCAAAGTAGTCAATCTGATAGGAAGTGTATGATCATGGGAATATAACATATCCAGCAGTACATCTCTTAGAGGGCCAAGGCAACAATCATCCACTTGTTCAATGAAAACCCCCCCTTTCTATTCTCACAAGTTCAAACTTAACGATGGGCCTGAATGTTGTAAAACTCCTACATCAGAGCGTCACTGGTGTACAAGTCCACTCATGTACTGTACTCTCGATACCATGCTAACGGCATGTTCACTTATCATTGATAAGATCAAGCGATGTCACTTGGTGATGGATCAGGGACACGTATGCAAACCCTAAGTAACGTGGTTGATACCTCATATCAAAGTTTCGCCTCCTCTCAACACTCAACACATCGCCTTGACGACCGAGAGTTAACCTTATTATCCGAGGCATAAATGTCAGCCGTAGCACCAGCTTCGGGGCTGCCCAAAGTTCCCATTCCCACGAACTACGCCCTCACGCATACTTACACCCTTACTACAACCGAACATGGTGCGAAGAAGACAAAGATCAAGCCCCTCGAGCAGGGCCCCTTCTCCCCTCGCCCGTCCGGAAAGCCCTGTAATAGGGGCCTATATTCCCGAGCTCATTGTTATCATTATCGGGATTGTGGTTTCAACTTTGATCAATGCTGCTGCAAGCAATCAGTTCTGGAAACGGCCATGAGTCGCGGACGAGATGGCGAGGTCTACAGTAAGCTCAACCCAACCTCCTGACAGTATCCAGGCCAATTCTCACAACAAACTGCAATAGCATCGTGAGATGGAGACTCGGCGGTCCTCTATGTTTAACAATACCTACAAAGACGCCGATTTACCTATCGAACCGAATACGACAACCGAAATCGAGCGAGGACTTGGCTAGGTTTCTCAAATATCATCACTGGACTTTGTGATAATTGGAAATTCTCAGAATGGAACTCACGAGTAAATAGATGGGTCATGCGCTAGATGAAAAGCACTCTGGGGGCGAAGGGTTGACTATTTTAATGCTTTCCGTTTTCCTCTACTGATATTTCAAAAAGGACGACAATTACACAGAATGGATATCAATCCCTAGATACGAATCACCAACTTCCCAAATCCTCCCTTACTAACACGAACCCTCTCGCAAGCCTCCCTTACCTCCCCCAAATTATCCAAACTCACCGCCGTAAAGATCGGCTTGACCTTTCCCTGCGCAACCATATCCGTCACCACCCTCATGTCCTCCCGAATGCCCGGATTCCCCGATACAAACTCGTACTTGATGTTTGTGCCACGCAGTTTCCACGTGTACCACAGCTGCAGAAAGTCGAGAATCCAACTCAGCCAGGCTGGGAACAGTTTCGGACCTAGTATCTCTAGTATCACATCGCTCTTGGGAAGACTTGCGATGCTCATCAGAATACCATCTGGTTTGAGAAGGGATATGCACTCGTTCAAAGTGGTGAATTGTGTGTTCAGCGCAAAGTCAACTGTCCCGCTGCCGATGAGCTTGACGACGTCTTGTGTCTTATAGTCGTACAGTTGGCTGACCATGCCAGGAAGAAACTTCTCCACGAGGTCCATCTTGGGTGTAGACACAGTCGAAATGATCTTCTCAACGCCGAAATAGTTCCTGGCAACTTGGATCATCGTAGAGCCAGACGCGCTAAGGGCAGCAGGTATGTAAACCGTCTGTCCTGCTAGGCTATCTCTGCCTTGGAGTTGCAGTCCACGCTTGATGACTTGGTACGCAGTCGCTGTCAGGCCAGGGGTAGAAGCAGCCTCTTCAAAAGAGACAACGTCAGGCTTCTTATAAATAAACTTGGCTTCCGTTACTGTGTACTCCGAACCCCATGCCGCTGGAGGCCGAGAGAAGAAAGGTTTCTCAAGTTCTGCGCCGTACACTGCGTCGCCAACTTTGAAGTCCGTGACGGCAGATCCAACAGCTATGACTACACCAGAGCCTTCGCAGCCGATAGGAAAGGGATATTTCCTAAACTTGTGTCAGTCCATGATGTGCTGGAATGGTCTTAGATAACTTACACGCTATGCAGTAAGGATAACGTCCCAGATGCAAACTGCGTATCCCCAGTATTAATACCAACAGCCTTCATTTGGAGTAGAATGTCATCAGGCTTGTTGATAGTCGGCATGGGTAAGTCCTTAATCTCGTATTCTGCCGGAAGACATTTCTTCGGCGCCACGAGAGTTCGGGTGGTGGATGGTAGTTTCGACATGTTGTTGTATAGAGGGTTTTGCTAACAATGGACTCTGGTTGAAACCTAATTACCAGCAATATAAAGAGCGAAACCCCGCTTCTTTTATTCACATACGAAATTGTACTCCGGCGGCGGAGTCGGTGTCTCGGCGGTCGTGATGGGGTCGTCCGGGGGATCCACCGAAACCGCCGAACTCCGCCGCCGGTGAAGCTTTGGTGTCATCATAACCAGCCCAAGTGCCTTAACTTGCGGAATTTACTTGATTGAGTGAATCAACAATAGCTGAGGCTTGATATTTTGGGTGAGTACAGCCGTATTGAACAAGTAAGGGGCTCGCCGATGCCATATCATCAATAGATTTACATAATATTCCAAGTGACTTGGTGGATAGGAGCATTCTGTGAAGGGCTGATCCTGGGTTGTATATGATCAATTTTATCTCGGAAAGAAGTCTTATCGACTGCGTATCAGTGATAACATCTTCATTTCTATGATCCCCTCATCGCATGCTCACTCGGCCGCCATATCTCCCCGATTCTCCACATGGCCCAGTCTTCATATGATGAACATTCCCACGACATTTCATCATGGACTCATGTGCCCATATCAAATGAGAACTTTAACTGGTGAAAATTTTCAAGGCTAATTCAGGTCGCATTAGCAAGTTATATCCTCAGAACAAAGGGAATATAGTACCTTCACAGCTTGTCTCTCAAAGCAGCAGTCACTGAAATAATACCGCGCAGGCCGCATTGTGGTGCTGTAAAATGTAATTGACTCCAAAACGCTTGCTTCAATTTAAACGCCGAAATCGAATAGCTGCCATGTTGCTGTACCGGATGTGGGTAGTAGGTACGGGGTGAGCTCTCGCTGAATGACAAGAGCACTGGTGCCGCCATATCCTGCACATCTTCACCACCCCCCATACGGGACATAACCGCCCTGATTCTCCTGTCGACGTCTCTGGTGATATCCGTACCATCGTAAGTAGCTTGACTCGTCTAATCGGGAATTAGTCTCAGGTTTACAATCAAATATGAATTCAACATACCTCGCTCACGACTGATACCAAGTTGGTCTGCAACATTGACATAGCCTTCATCGTCTACATCGCCTTTATCCTTCTGGACTCTGGACACAATCTTTTCGTCTCCCTTCCAAACGCTGCGACACATCGGACAGGTAACACTTCCTACACCACGCTTGGTCTGCGCCCACATCCTGAAGCACTCTTCATGAATGTTTTGACCACAAGCTGCAGCGCACCAGACGATAGATTCTTTGTTCTTCTCGTCGAACTCGCAATAGCAGATGGGGCAGTCTCCTTCAATAGGCTTGCGCTTGTCGGATTCACTCTGTTCCGGTGTTGAGATAGGGGGTGCTGCAGCGAAGATAGAACATAGCTCAGTGCTGAGGAGTGCAAGTTGGTAGACGAGTTCAAATGGAGCATTTAGAACTTGCTTCATTACCTACACTAATGGTCAGTGAGATTTTCTAGATAGAAAATGGAGGAAACTTACGTATAAGATATGCTTGCACTGGTGGCCCTTTTCATTGTGGGGGCAAGTACATCGGGGCTGCTTCCCAACGTGAACAGTGTAGATGTTGCCAGTAGACCCAGTCATCTCAACGTCTTCCTCAGGACAATCTTGAGTACCACCTCTCACACGATTGAGAACATAGAAGCGTTGGGAAAGCGCACGGTCATAGATCTCCTGGAAAGACTGGGGTGGATGAGGCCTGAATCTGCGCACTCGCTTCTCTTCATTTTCGCTTTTCTGCTTTTTTACCTTCTTTTCATTTTTCGTCTCACAAGAAATGCCCTCCAATGGTAACTCATTTGCTTTGCGCTTCATAGCTGGGGAAGTATAGGTCTCATCTACTGAGGCGACAGGGTTCTGAGGCGTCTGAGCTGGAGTATACGGAACAACTTTCTGTGGCGTTGTGAAGTTTTCTGCGACATTCGATCGCCGACTTCTCAAAGACCGAGTATTAGTTGAACCCATATTGACGAGATTCAGTTCTTCGACGATGATTTTAATTGTAATGACGACGAGGAGGGCAAAAAGACTTTGAGATGAACTGTCTCCAGGGTACCTATGGACCTTCCTTCACTGCTAGTGGCGTCACGACTGCGCCAAGTCACGTGCGATTCTTTCTAGGTTGCTTTGTGAACACAGGGAAGGAGCCACTGCACGACTCCTGATCTTCATTCCTGATTCACAATCCGTTTCATAACAAGTGGCTTGGCTTTTATTCATTGCCACTCGTGATGGAGGACCGGTGAATTGTTACTATCACTCAAACATTACCATTTTTCATCCTTTGGCCAGATGTTTGTTTTCATGTATTCACAGACAGCATAGGGGCATTGCTTTTGAAAGGAACTGCACTTTGGCATTGTTTTATCCTATCTTCTTCATCCACTGATCCTTCTCTTTTGCCTGGCTTCATACCACTCATGATAGCCTAAAAAACACAGCCAAACGCCTCGAAGCAAAGGGCTAACCCGCCCCCTGTTCGCCTGAGGAGACATAGATGCCCCACCGTATGCGCCCCATATACAAAGAAAATAACAAAAGAAATCGAAACGCATGTTGATATTGGAGGTACAGGCTCTGCCACAAAGTGGGCTGCCACTTTGAAAGGTTCAACGCCGAGTCTATGCTATGGCTGTCAAAGGTATATAGTATTAGACATGAAAGGAATATTGGTGTGTGGCCGTAAGATCATCGAAGTGATAGTATCATGGAGGTCATGTGGTTGTTGAGGGCCGTGGTACTGTCATCGAGGTATTCGGATGTTAATCGTAGTAAGTCGCAAGCGTGGGTATTATGTGGTTTGGCTCAATGATGAGGTGATGCTGGATGGTTGTGACAGTCATCGAACAGCGATGGTTTGTGCCGCCTCGACGCAGTGCGGGAGAAAGTGTCGCAAAATAGATGCGCTCAACATTCAAGGCAAGGGTCGTCGGTGGCCAGGATCACGAGGCTGCTGATATCGGCCATGAGATTGTTGCTGCTGGGCAGTCAACCACTCAGTAGATCCTGCTTGTCGACCAGGTTGCTCAGCAGGCAACTTGGTATCGCTTCCGGTTGCTGTGTGGTTTGATCCACTGGAGGATCCCGGAACAAGGTCAGTGACAGCCTGTGCAATTGAAGCTACAACGTAGCCTCGAAGCTCGTTGTCTTCCCGGCTGTCCTCCTTCTCTAATCGGAAACGGGCGTCCTTGTTCATGTTGGATCGACGCATGTTCTTGATCTCTTGCATAACGTAGAGCAGAACTTCCTCGGGGCATCGATTGCGCTCGACAGCATGTTGGTTCTTGCGCACATATCGGCGAGTAACGTCGGTAGCGCCATCAATAGAAAATGCTATGCAGTACGACATCTTCTTGCCCCAACCCTCAGCATATAGACGTGGGTTGTCCCATGCCTCCTCACAAGCGTCGACGTGAACCCATCGCTTCTGGTGGTCAGAGTAAACCTCGGTCCAAACATGGTCTTCGGCATTCCAAACCCAGCGAACGCGGCCACCGACAGCTCGGCAAAGCATGCTGAAGCAGTTGGCCCATTCACCAACACGTCCTCGTCGGGTTTGCAGTAATCGCCAGACATCACCGTAGCGAGGGAAGCGTTCGTAAGCCCCACAGTGTTGAGCAGAGCATCGGTACAACTCGACTCGAAGGGCACCGCATGCGCTCTCTTCTGGTGACGGAGCAGTCATACCTTGAGCAATAGTAGGAGATAAGCAGACAGGGCAGGGTGGGTTGTTGACCCAGGTGAAGAATGATCGCTTAAACCATCTATCAATCGCGTCAGCTAATTCGTCCCAATGAGAGGATGGGATGAAAAATGACATACCTTAATAATGCCCGGATGACGCAGTCTTGGTAGCCCCATTCAGGTCGTCGACCGTCGCCCATACTCTCAGCCTGAGCTTGCAAAACCTGTGTCTCTTCCTCGGCTTCGCCATAAATACGGTCCAATGGGATGGTCTGCAATGCCTCATCCAACAAGCCAGGGTTTTCGTATTTCGTTGGTGTTAATGATAAGCTGATGAGGAGGTTTCTGAATTTTTGGGAATCACGGTCGCCAGCAGCAGGAGGACTCGGGATCTTGGGAAGATGTCGCAGGGCGGCATAAGAGGGAGGAGTAGATCCTTGGGATGCTGAAGGTCCATCGCTGGGGAAAGGCGAGCCTCGTAGGCGAGGGGATTGATCTCCCAGGCTTGGAGAGCCTTGTCGAGACGAGGCCCGAAGATCGTTCATTCGCTTATCTCGCAACAGTCCCTCGAACTGGACACGAAGGTCTCGCGCCCATTCCTCGCCATACTCGCCCGCAGGCGTGCGTTGGCCCGCCATGATGAGAGGAGTAAGTCGGAAAGTGAATAGTCCGCGAATATAGTTGATGTAGTTTCAATATGGTGTCGATGGTGTTGTTGCCCAGATGCGTGACCGAACTGGAGAGAATATGGTTTAATCGTTAATATTTACGAGGTCCTAAACAACCTCGCGAGGAGCGAAATGTGTCGTAATATTTGATCGTAAATTGTCGTCGTCGTCAGCAACTAGATGCGTGTCGGTAAGGCTGATTGCCACCTTGACACGCGTTGTTCTAGATGCTTGGTTCTTCGGTCCTAAGAGGAGATCTCTACTGGCTTTTGCCGCAGATGGTGTCGCTCTGATTGAATCGGCGATGACTAAGGAAGCCCAGTCAAAAAACGTCGATGCCTTTAAGTCGTCGTGAAGACCGGCGACTACTCGTTGATCATAAAAAGAGGTTGAGTCGCTTCTTCGTCGTCGCCGTGGGTGAGGTTAAAAGAGAGGAGTTGACGGCTCGCGAATGGCGAAAGCTGATGGCCGCTGTAGGTAAGAGAAACAGCACAAAAGAGGAGAGGCAGGAGCAAGAGCAGGCGGCGATGAGAATCGAGGGTGGACCAGGGGAATAAAGGGACGGGGTGTCTCGGGAGGGTGTGCGTCTGCTTCGCTCTTGCCCACTCTAGGTCAGAGCCTACGATGCCAGTTTACGCGTCAGCAGTGAGGGCCGCGCCCAATGAGGGAGCCGGATGTTTCTCGAGGTGGATATTACTGGGCGCAGGGGCATGTACTGGTACAGCTGCCTCGTACTTTGCTCCGGGCTGGTCAAGGAATTGTCGTGCAGTTGGAAAACAGAAAACGGCCACTGAGAGCCAGCTTTGTAAAGACCTGGTTGATTGGCTTGACAGAATGAATGGATGCTCAGTCCTTGGAAGAGCAGATATTTGTGGGCTCTGATAGATTGCTATTTAATTGATATCGTGACCTGAAGTCTACGAATATTAATGCGCGTCGCTGCCTACTTGTTTTGAACGAGAACATAAGCCTCCAGAGACAGGTAATCGTCTTTCAGGGTCTAAATTGAAGGAAAACGGGTCAACCGATCAAGTCTACGCAACGGATTCATCATCAAGAGGCGAACCTAAAGGAGCCAATCTCAGCAGCCCAGGCACTACGAGGCACGTGTACGTAGACTTTCTGTGCTACACTTCCAATTTGCGTGCGTACACTTTGAGGGAGAGTGGCGCCCGGCCTAGATCCTCGTAATCAACGAATAGGCAAGCGTCAGCTCCTGTATTTGTGAGACTCAATAAGTTCAGATGCAGAAATGAACGACACGAGGCGACAGGAAATATGGGAATGTTGACAAGAATAATGGGAAACGGGAAATGAGCGACAATCGCTGTCTGTGGCAATGTGAAGCCCTCTAACTCAACCCAGTAGTTGATAAGCGCGGGGAAGCACAGATAAACCGTCAGGTCGTGTCAAAAAAAAGCATCGGCCGCTTGAACGATGGGGTTTGATTCAAACTTGTGCAGTGGGCCAGGTCTCGAGGCTGCTAACGACCGCTGCAGTTTTCTGCGAGTCACTCGGCCCTGACCTGGGAGAACAAGTATCGATACTTTGACGGGAACGTGCCCCCTCGTCGTGGTGGGCGATGACGAGGCAGTGGTGAGGTCCCTGGGTCCCTAGCAGACGCCCGAGGGAAATAATCGTGGCACAGCCCGAGACTTAGCCACGATGCCCACGATGCCGGATCCCTCTCGCAACGATGTTGGACAAGAGCTGCGCACTGCCGCGCAATAGAGTGATGATGTAGCGACAGAGAGGAAAAGCAACCGCCCGCGCCTATAGTTTTACTGTCGTAGGCCTCTCAGGCATTCTTTCTGTCGCTGTATTGTGATTGAAACCCACTAGCCACAGCACATCTGGCTCGTGGCGGTGCTTCGCTATTTCCAGTTCCACAGGACCCACTTTGACTCGCGGCCTCTTGTCCCTTGTAATTCCACTGCCTCCATCGACTTGCATCACAACCCACCTGAATGTTTGGTTCCGTTTCAACACTACCACATGAGGATATCAAAATTTAGAGGATGATATCTTACCGAATAGAGGGGATTCACTAGATTTATTGTGGCCCACAAGTGAAGTCAAGTCTCGAGGATTCACATCTGCTATTCTTACTCAAGTATGGGCAAGACAATACGTGCATCACACCGACAAGTCACAACAAAAAGATATTCAGTAACTCCACAGCGATCTGCAATATGTGTCTCTTCTCTCTACATTGAAACGATAGCTGATGATATTAAGTTATTTGCGCTCGAGTCGTAATTATCGACCATCCTGGAAGAACATTCATTATCTGACACCTCTTGGTCAATACTTTAGTATTGATTCTCGGACCACAGACCCTTCAATGCCAGAGAAAGCCATCTGGGCGGCATACACATACATACAGTACCTACCTAGACGGGCTGGGCGCCTTGGAAAGAAGCTTAACTGGCGTTGGCGTCTGTATCGCGTGCGCCTGCCCCTGGAAAAGCGGCCTCATCCAATCCCAGCATGCCATTTGATGTTCTGTACCAGTGGGTGATAATAAAACTCGCACACCAAGCCAATAGTAGAAGCACAAGAATCTGTTCTTCCTAGGACAGACCACAATTCATTATAACCAGTTAAACTATTCTTAGTAGCAAAGCTCCTGTCTAGGACTTGTCTTTTCCCCAGTGTCATAATAAGCTTCTTCATGGAGTGTATCGTTTTCTGCTCACCAGCTTATGAAGTTTATTGTCACTCACTCCATTATATATGCTTACCTGGCAACGTTACTTGAACTGAAGCATGTAATAAACTAAGTAAGACTACCATAACCCTGCGTCTCTAGACCATCTTGGCAGCGGGAACGCTCAGAGCGTTGCGTTGACAATTAATAACAGGAACAGGGGGTCAAATCTCAAATCGGAGTTGAATTCAACCTCATCTTTCTGTCTCCGTCTTCCCAATGAGTTTCCGTTACAGCACCAGTTTTGGTTCATTCTATTCGCGACTTGCGATCTGCTCAGCTCTACACACCGTTTCCCCCAAAATTGTCGCACAGTTGCACCGTCGCCCAACAATGACACCCAATCGTCAATCGGACTGCGACTCTAAGCCTTGCACTAGATTACCAAACCAATCAAATCAAATCAATCCTCAGTTTGTGGGTTGCCGATCTTTGTTGCACCTACAGCCGGGGGTGTCGACTAAGACACTGCTAAAGGCCGCGTCATCTGGACGCTCCATGACATTTGGGCTTGCGGCTTGCGTGCGTTCACAGTTAGTCCATCCACGCAAACACCAAATATTATCTTATCTCAAACTATCAGAGAGAGCCTACGCAACGCGATCTTCCTCAATTGCCACCTCCTGAACCAGCAAATCTGTCTCCAAAGAAAGCAAATCTCAGTGTGTTGTAATTTGTTTGATGCGCTTTTCCGCTCTCGTGGTTCTCATCTACACGGACCGTTTGACAGACCCTGCCAAGGACGACCGAATATAAGGAAACGCGGCCAAGTCATCAGCCAGATCAAATTACTAGGCTAGCTCGGCCAAGCATTCTGTTGGCTTGTGCTACGTTCTTCCTGGAGTCGACTTGGATAGAAAGCTGGATGACTTCAAGTGCGGTCCCAGACTACTCTTCAAATTATTACTGCAATATACAGAGACAATAACCCGAGACTGTTCCTGCTACCAACTCAGTCCGTCGTCTGTTTGACATCCTTATTGGAAGTCGAGACAGATCATCCCTAGGATCAACTCAGCCTTCAACGTGGCTAACGATCCTTTGCTCTTCTTGGAACTTCGAGACACAAGCATGACGAAGCAAGGACTGGGGACCGCATGGGCCAGGATACGTACACGCTTAAGAACTAATTACAGTAGTCAAGCGGCCAGTCATTCATTAGATATATGAATTGTGTGGGTTCGGATGAAGTTCAAGGCACAAGGATGTTCATACTTCAACGCCAATCTACCCAGAACTATGACACGAACCATCCTACCGTTTCATCTAGTCTGCCACTTCCCCGATGGAACCTGCCATCCGCCTTCAGCTGGATGTCCGTGGGCTCTCCCACATGAAGCTATTCCCGCAGTGCGGCCTACCTGGTCAGGCTGATGCCCGTGGTTCTTCTGATGGCCGCGGACGCGCGTTCAATGGCGAGCAATGGGTCTTGTTAATCAAGTCTAGACGATTTCGGTAAGTCATGCAGCAGTCTAGTATAGCAACTGTAATACCTGCTCCCGGTGTGGTTCCCTCACTTTTGATCATCCAAGCCAGGAAATCGCTCAGGTTGTGTCAAGTGTCATGTCTCGAAATTGGCTTCTAGCCTTGAAAATCATCTGATATTATCACGACACTCTGTATAAGAGATCTGATACGCGAGAAAACTCTAGCCTTGTGAAACACAGACTGTATAGCAACAGTGACCCATCTGGGGAAAGGTATACGAATGACCATACAACAATTTGCCGAAAAACTGCTGTGTAATTACAAACTCTTCATTGTCACAACCCAGACATGGGTATACGTATGCCACGGAAAGCCGATTTTTCAAGAATTTGATTCGATAGCCCGTACATACGTAGTTGGTATAAAAATCCAAATCTACAAGCCGCATCATGCTTTTGAGTCCAGACCCTGAATATCTCATCCCTGCAAACACGTCCAACATGCTTCTCCATGATTCAATATCAAGACAGCCTTTTTAGTACACTCTGTACAACTACATCCGCATTCTCCATTACCTCCTCCACTGCTCGACGCTGAAGTAGCTCTCGGGCATGTCCACATCCCATGTTGGCCTCTCCACCAGAGCAATCTCGAGGGGCTGGTCCGCTGTGCTGATGGGGACGACACCGAAGATGGGTCTGTATTTGAAAGTCATCCACCAGCTCTTGCGTTCACCGCCAGTCTCGGCAACCTCGAGGTCTTTGCCCACTTCACGACGATTCCGTAGCTGGGCGAGTTCACCCTCGGGCTGGTCCTCATCGTCACTATTGATGTCCTCGGGTCGTGGGGCGTCTTCCATATCAACGTCTTCCCACTGACCAGCTGTGTGCTTGCGAACCAGCGAAGGAGCAAGAGCGCCTTGCTCCATTCTGCCTCCGGCTCCGGTAGAGGGTCCTGTCCTCTTGCGCTTGAGGTTCTGCTTGCCCGTTGTAGCTGTAGTGCCAAGGACTTCGCCCTCTAGAGGCTTAGGGAGGTCTTGAGCCAAGTCGAGCATGAGAAGGAATGAGACACCGTAGATCCAAGCGCGAGAGCCCTGCCAAAAAACACCCTTAGCGAGGTCGAGGAGATCTTGCACGGGGGCGGGCAAGTCCTTTCTGACATGACGACGCGACCAGGGGGTCAGAGAACCCTGGAGAGGGTGGAAAGTAAGCAGGTTCCACGATGAGGTAATTGCGAGAAGGGTGTAGTCGTCGACGTGGTCAGATGAGCCATTTTTTCCGTCGGGAGACCCTCGAGGAGAGACCTTGGCTTGGGGTACGTCGGCAGAGAATGAAAGAACCGTAGCAGCAGAGGGAAGTTTGGGCAGTAGCTTGGCACTAGGGTTGCGAATCCACTTCTCAATGTTCTGCGATGCTTCCTCTTCCTCCTCTGAAGACTCACTCTCGCTTGATGAGGACGCGTCATCTTCAGACTTGATCTTGTCCCCTTCACTCAAGATCCACGTATCAATGTAGCCAGCAAGGTCAGATGCCGCAAGCATCTTGGAGTCTGGGGAAAAGGTGACCTGTGTGATGGTCCTGTCGTAGCTTCCCATTCCTCCGTTGAGGATATGGCGTGGAATTTGTCGACGTAGGCGAGTAAGGCGTTGCACTTGAGGTGAAAACACGAGTGAAGTTCTGGGAGTGACAGGGTCGAGCGCACCCACAACCACGCGAGAGCCTTCTTGGATTGCGCAGAGCCATTGGGCGTTAGGTGAAAGCTGAACTTTTATGGCACCCACGCCGGCAAGCTTCTTAGGAAGGTCGGCAGAGGCGACCTTGACATCTGATGGCTTGACAGGATCCTGGTGTTCGAGTCTGAAAGCCTTGACATCGATGGCAGTAGATACGATCAGAAGCGAACCCTCGTCGTCGATAGTGGCTGAAGTAATGTTCGAATCTCCCTTGACAACGATCGTTTTAAGTAGCTTGCGGTTCTGGTTCACGTCGACATCATCGCCTCCAGCATTGAACATGTCGGTAGCTGATTTCTGGAGCAGCCAGATGTGAACCTCTCGATCCCACCAGCTGACGACGAAGCGGGCCTTTGGAGCACTCAGTAGAGGAGCCTGCTGAGGCAAGCTGGACATCATGCGATGGTTCTCGCGCCCCATCTCCTTCAGAGGGATGACGACGGGGTTAGCATCGGGACCTGAGTTCGAGTTAGCTTTGAAGCATGATAGAAAAGGTTGATCTTACCTCCTGAAACAACGACGCTGATTTTACCACTCTCGAAAGATGCCATAGACTTGACATCATGATCGTGATATCTCCTTCCCCAAACCTTGCTCCATCGCGATCCTGCGCCGTTGTTCTGCTTGTAAAGGATTGTTCGTCGATCCATACCTCCGCTGAGAATAGATGTGCCATCGGCGTTAATCGCAAGACTGAGAACGTCTTGCTTATGGCTTTGCATTCGCTGTGTTTGAGTGTATGTCTTGCCATCCCAAATGCAAACCTGACCAGTTGAATCCCCGGAGACAATGCTGCCGTTTGGCAGACACTTGACAGACCAAACAATGATATCCTTTGATCCACCGACGAGATCAGAGCCAAGTGTCATCCTGCGCAACATGTGGCCCTTTGTAATATCGTATGCTCGAATCGTGCTGTCGGAGCAGCCAACAATTGCGACCTTGCGCGACTGGAAGGTAATGCTGACCATCTGGGCCTTCTTGGTTGGCGATCGCAGTAGAACTCGCTGAAACCGAAGATCATCGTCCTCGATCGAGTACATGACAAGCTCGCCGTCGATTGTGCCGGCGACAAGCTTGGTAGAATCCTGAGAGTCGGCGCCGAGTCCAACTTTGTCGGCTCCAGCAGGTTGAGCAGCCATGCACCAAATATCACCATGTTGACCGCTGGCGTGCCTCTTTGGCCGCCCTGTGACGAGATCCCATTCGGTAACGGTAGATGTGTAGCCTATACTGAACAGTCGCGACTTTCCAGCGACAACGCGTCCATCACCGAGGTCCTGATCAGGCTCGTTGACCCAAACAAGGCCGTCAACGCTTCGATCTTTACCACCAGGAATGATGAGCTCCTGGTTCCAAGAGCCATTTGTAGGGTTCCAGATTTCGATATCGCCATTGGCGCGTCCGATGGCAAGACGCGCGAGTGTAGCTTGTAGCGCTGAGCGTGTCTTGGGGTGAGAGAAGGCGATGGCGTTAATGGCAGACGGCTTGTAGGGGACGAATCGGCAGCGATGAATGTCCATTGTGACGGCGGCGGTCGGGCTCTGAAGACGAGGCCTCAGTCGCGTAATCTTTCGCAATTAAGTATTATCTTGTTGAGTGCTAGAGTCGGGTTGAAATGGTTGGGCGGATCAAGAAAAGATTGTAAACCTGCTTCGTAGCCAGGCGTTGAGATCCAGTTCAGGAAGAAAAATCCTAGCCTCGCAGACTTGCCCAAATTTTTTTCTTTGCAAAAGGATTAAGGTGTGGTCATAGCGCTCTTAGTGTCCCGCTGTCCCCACTCATAGCAGCCGCGACCAACCCCTCATCTTCTTTCAGCGCGTGCCCCTCTGCTTCCCTTCTCCAGCGGGTTCTATTCTGGATCTCACATGAATGCGTCACATTTTCGCTGTCTTGGGTCCCTTTTTTGATGAAAACGTGCGAACGTCCTAATTTCCAGCCTCACGATATCCTATGGCCATACCTCGCCTGCAATCTCCGATCCTGTCCTTCCAGCGCATAGCATAACTATCGATAACACGCCTTAACTTACTAACGCTGCTACTCACGACTCCTTCGACTTGATCTCCGCATCCCCGAACTCGGTCCTAAGCCCCCAAAAGCTCAAACCCCAATACCATCACGACACACTTCATCGCCCGAGTACCTTCGCTGTCATACCACACGCAACGTACACGTACACGATCACTGCCATGGATTTCAACAGCTCTTCACCCTACCCTGAGGGTGTCATCTCCTTCCTCGATACCGACTTGTACAAGCTGACGATGCAATGCGCCGTCTTCAAGTTTTTCAAAGATGTACCCGTGACGTATGCTTACACCAACCGAACTCCGGACAAGAAGCTGTCACGAACCGCGTTCAAGTGGCTTCAAGAGCAAATTCGAAGTATGATATTGTTCTAATGGCGGGGTATGATCCAAGACTGACCTTGATGTCCAGAGCTTGGAAACATCTCCCTCTCCACCGATGAATACCTGTTTCTTAAAAAGCACTGCGACTACCTCTCTGCCGACTATCTCACGTTTCTCCAGGAGTTCCGTTTGAATCCCCGAGAGCAAGTAGTTGCAACATTCAACCCTGTTGGTGAAGACAATGGAGATGACTCTATCGTTGGCGACGTCAACATCCAGATTAAGGGAACATGGGTCGACACGATTCTCTACGAGATTCCGATGCTTGCACTGACTTCTGAGGCGTACTTCAAATTCATGGACACAGATTGGAACTATGAAGGACAGAGAGAACAAGCAACTGAGAAGGGCCTGAAGCTGTTGGAAGCAGGATGTATTACATCTGAGTTTGGTACACGAAGGCGTCGCGACTATCACACTCAGGCCCTGGTCTTCCAAGGTTTGGTAGAAGCTTCAAAGAAGGCGGAGGAGAAGGGCTTCCCGGGCAAGCTTTCAGGAACCAGCAATGTCCATCTAGCTATGCGCTTCAACATCCCCCCTGTCGGAACTGTTGCTCATGAATGGTTCATGGGAGTTGCTGCTATTATTGGTGACTATAAGCAAGCTACCGAGGTTGCACTACGACATTGGGTGGCCTGCTTTGGCAACAAGCTTGCCATTGCTCTGACCGACACTTTCGGAACCCAGGAATTCTTGCGTGCATTCACCCAGCCTGTGCAGGTCATGGAAGGAGGCTTTCCTGCGGAGACATTCAAGAAGCCTGATGGAACCATGAAGACTTATGCCGAGACCTTTTCTGGAATTCGACAAGATTCTGGCGACCCTGCAGAATACACTAAGTGGATGAGAGAGTTTTACGATAAGCAAGGAATAACAGACAAGAAGGTCATTGTTTTCTCTGACTCATTGAACATTGAAAGATGTCTGGAGTACAAGAAGGTTGCCGAAGAACTTGGCTTCCAGCCCACCTTTGGTGTAGGAACATACCTTACCAATGACTTTGTTCACCTAAGCACTGGAACTAAGTCTGTCCCTCTGAATATTGTCATCAAGATCAGCTCAGCGGGAGGCCGTCCAGCTGTCAAAATCAGGTAAGTCCAATTTAGTGCGTTAGGATGGTAGCTTGATCTAACTTTGAATAGCGACAATGCTGGAAAGAACACAGGCGACAAAGAGACCGTTGAATTGGTCAAGAAAGAGCTTGGATATGTTGAGCGCGAATGGAAGGAGGGCGACGAAACCTCGCGTTGGGGAAAGGAATAGATGGAAGGGTAGACTACGATACCAAGACATTATGCCATCTGTATGGATTTGAGACGATAGGATATGCCGTCATGTAGGCATCGACAAGAAGATAGAAATAGGGCGCAATCTTTATGCATGAAGAGCGCATCAGCCTTCATTGCGGTTAGTTTAGACTCAGTTTCTGCTCAACCGAAAACAAACGTATTACTGAGAGGGGTGTGTATGTTGCTATCGAAGTTGAGTAAGTGGTGAAACCTGGCCTGAATGTATGTGCCGCTTATACATGAACACTATCTACACATGCCAACTGTGGACAAGGTCACTCTTCCAGTGCAAGCTCGAAAATAGGCGGTAGATCAACTTCTATCCTTGCCCAAGAGATGCACTCTCTCCATCCAGGCACGCTCATAATCTCAGACCCAGGATCAGGAGCCCATAGAAGTTCCGAGACTTCATCCACCATCCTTTTGCCAAATGTGCCAGCCCACCAGGCAAGTTTGCCAAGCTCATTGAGCTGTACGCCCCAGTACACCATAAGTAGCAAAGCCACTGGATCCGAGCTCTTGAGTGCTAGGCCAAAGTCCCGTCCTGCCATCGCTGGGAATCCAATAGCTACTCCTCGGTAGACATCTTTTGAGTCTTGCACGAAGCAGGTTTGTATGGCTGAGACGCTGGCGCGATATGAGCTGATGCGTGTGTTTATCTCGGATTTATCATCGGAACTCGATGAAGTAAGCATTTCGCATGCTTTGTTGACAATAACAGTTAGACGCTCTATTGCTTCTTCTGTGTCCCTACTCAAAGACGAAGGCGTCTCGATCTGAAGCTGCGTTCTCAGCATTAACGATTCAGTAGATCGCGATAAAGCTCCAGATATCAAAGCGTCGAAGTGTTGATCGGCAATAGAGGCATTCCCCATGAGTAGCTCCCACAGAGTCACCATTCGCTCAAGAACGCCGTCCTGCAGCTCCTCAAAAGCAGTGCACTGCCCTAGAGCCATATTGACAGAGACAGCCAGGAACGAAAACATGAAGATCTTTTGCGCATTCTCAGAAGTCACATTCTCAAGCTGTGCCCGAAACGAACGACTCGCTTTATCGTAGTATTCCACCGCCAACTTGGCATAGTACGTTGCGTAATCATCTTCTACAACAACAGCGCCGCCGCAAAGAGCAACTTCGAGGGCAGAGAAGGCAAACATGCCTTGGAGGAGATACTCATGCTTGAGGGCCCAGCGACCCATGTCTTGCTGCAGCCACTGTTCATCCTCAGGAATACTGACGAGGCTCTTGTAACTGGACGTTGACCAACGATGCATGAGTTCTAGCTCTATACGGCGCCTTGTCTCTGTTGCTGGGAGCTGAGCGGGAGGGTCAGCGAGATATGAGCATCCTTCGAGATTGCGGGCTAGACAGTTGGCACAGGGAGGGCCTTGTTCATCACACTGGCCGTGTTAGTGAGCTCATTGCGCATTTCCAAGGTGGGCTTACATACTTTTACATGTCTCTTTTTGCAGTTTCGACAACCATGCCGAGACTTGTTGTGAGTTCTTCGTTTCATTAAATTGGACATTGTGTTGAGCAATGACGAACACGGTATGCGTATATGCGTGGCTATACCAAGGCAGTATTACAGGAATCATGTACTATGAGATTAAATCATTGTTTTTCCTCTTGGGAGTGTTAAAGTGAGGTAAATATCAGTTAGTCAACAGCTGTAAGACAGGTAGTAATGTGGCTGTGCTTACCTGGTCCCCCGCGGATTTGAATATGAAACCAGCGAATTAGATTAAACTATGCTCTGAGTCAACGAAGTCTCATTTCCTATCTAAACGCCTATTTAATCGCTGTCAATTTTAGACAGTACCTCACGCAAGATGACTCATGGCAATGCGGTGTCAAACTCAAGTAGGATTCAATTACTCATTTAATCATAAATGTTATCATCTAGCTCGTTTCTCTACTGGTCCTCTCTGGCTTTATTGACTAGTATGACACCATCTCTGTGTGGTAGCAAATGCCCCTTCACACATCATACTCTCGAGCATCGTGCCCAGCAACCCGCCAGCGAGAACGCCAGCAGTCTCACCAAACCCCACCACCTGAAGACTAAACTCCAGGTTGACACCAGGTTCAAGAGTCTTTTCTTCAAGTAACCTATCGAAAAGGATCATATATACCGCTCCTCCGCCAAGTCCAGCAACGAAAGCGAGTAATCCTACAAGGACCTGCGTTGAAAATATCAGGAAGATCGAGTTTGCTAGTAAGGCGAAGGTGGCTGTGCCTAGAATCACGAAGCCGCCTTTGGTGCTGGTTGGCTGAAAGAGCAAAGTATGGGTTCGAGAGATGAAGTTCCCCAGTTGGAAAGCAAGACCGTAGCTGGTGAAGTAGGAGAAGAACGATGTAGATGACTCGGGAAGCGGTAATGCTCTTGAGATACCAGGGTATGGGAGCGCCTGAATCGCGAATGCTCCGAATAGAGGCATCATGAATGGTCGTACCATGGATTTCATGAGATGAGTTCGGTTTCTGAAGCTCAGCATCTTCGAAAGCTGTTGGACAGGGTCCTGAAGCAGAGCTGAAGCATCCTCTATATCTCCATCAATCTTAGACAGATCTTGTCTCGCATGGGGGTAGTTGACCGGCGCTCCTGGGAGAATTACAAAGAATGCCACAAGCATAGCGCCTGTGAGAGCATAAATGCAGTCAATAAAGTCTCGCAAGAAAGACTCTAGCCAGACTGTCAGAACAAAAGGCAAGACTGCGCAAAACACAGCGCCGGCGCCAACACCAGCACCCCATCCGGCGAGACCAATTCGGCCGTAGTAACGCATCATTCCCAGAAACGATACCTCCATTGCGGCAGCTGACACTGACGCAAGTGCCGAGGTCAAAATGCGAACCGGTGGTGCGATGTTGGGCGGCGTGACTTTTGTGATCAGTGCCACTGTGATCCAGCCTGCTCCAACAGTAAGAGGGCGTATCCAGTAAGGGACGCGATGGAGGATGTGAGGTATCAGGAGCTTGGTGAGTAAAGCCGGAAGAGTCTCGATGAGAATCACAACCCAACGTGGGTATGGGATGATGAGATAGTTTGCTGAGTGTACAATGAACGGTACAGTTACATTGACAAGACCTGAGAGTGGTCAGTACCTAACGAAGGGTAAACGAGGATCTAAGCAGCATACCGAGTATCGCAAAGCCGAGGTATGTGAGCATCGTGACACTGAAGTGTCTGGCGCTCTTTGAAGAATCCATGATGTACAGCTCCTCCTCAATTCCAGCCACAAAATAATAATAATGTGTTTCCAAAAGCGAGAAGAAAAGCACCAAGAGAAGAAAAGACCTCTTTAACAAGTTAGGAATAACTATTATTATACATGCACGTAGGCTTAGCCGTTCGGCAAATACGGATTGGGCCTGGACCACCGAAGTTATACGAGAAGGATATTTGTTACGGATAATCCTCCTCACGGACCATGTTCCCTCCTAATAATAGCCTCCGTCACCAATTCTCCGAGAGGGCACCTTGTCACGAATCAATTCATCACCAGCGTATAATGACGTGCAACATTGGATCGTTTGGTGTTAAAAACATGGAGGGTTGAGGAAAGCCCTGTAGGGCCTCTTGTTATCCCACGTGGGGCTAATTTATAGCGGGTGTCAGGGACACGGTGGTGAACGATTGGCTGTAGCGTATTAACGGCTGTTAGTGGAAGCTTGATGATCTGCGCTGTAGGGACGGCTAAGTAGGAGAAGTGTGACCTTCATTGAGACATGATGATAGATAGAAATTGAAGATAGCCATTTCTTGAAGAAATTTGATTAGATAGTGATGCTAGTAAGAAGCTAAGATGCTTCTTCACATGGTAGTCATGAGTTGTTATGACAATTTCATTTCTTACTCCCCAAGATGATCACATCACTTACACAGCTACCGGCATCTTCTTCCTCTCACGTCAACCAACTCGAGATGCTTCGTAAATGAGCTCGTTTTCAGTTTCGAATCAGTCACTCTCCAGGATGAGAAGAGTTCCCGAAGCTGATCCTGAAGATGCATCATTCCCATCTGCTCAATCAGCACGACCAGTTCTATCACTCTTGAAGCCATCTTGGTTTATTCCTCGATATTTCAAGAGTTTAAGATGGATCGCTATCGCTCTTACATTCATACTAGTATCATGGGTGACATATGTGGGAGTGGTAAGTCTGAACATCAAATGGCTGGCAGACTCAACTAACACATTTAGTTTACTTCACCACTTGACCATGCTCTTCCCAATCGACAAAACTCACAGATGCTATCCAAAGCGGATCTGAATAGTCTTGCAGTCCCTCCACGCATCTCCAAGCCAAGCACATCCCGCCGCCTACGCCTCTTTATGCCCGCCGACTCGCCTCACATCAACCTCTGCAAAACCATCATGTCCGCGGTCGCAATGGGCTATCCCATGCCCATCCTCCTCAACTGGAAGCGCGAGTACAACCGACCCTCGTGGCACTTTGCCGGCAGTCACATCGCCAAGCTTGAAAGTCTTCTGGGCGCTATAGAAGTATTTCTCGAGGGAACAGAGGGCGATGATGTAGGCGAGGACGATATCGCAGTGTTGGTGGATGCATATGATATGTGGTTCCAGCTTCCACCTTCTGTTCTACTCGAGCGTTATCATGTGCTTAATCGCGAGGCGGATGCTAGACTGCGCAAACAATGGGCGGAACTTAACATTGGAGCTGATTTCCCGATATCACCCCCACGGCAGGATATCATCGTCACGACAGCAAAAGATTGTTTCCCAGATTTCTACTCTGGTTCTGATCCTCGTTACGAACACTGGCCCAGCTCACCTATGCCAGAGGACATGTATGGCGAAGACACAGACAAGGTTCCTTGGTCTTTCGATCCAGCGCGCAAGTACAGAAAAGTTCGGCCACGATGTGTTAACAGCGGTCTTGTCATGGGTTCCATGGGCGCCTTGAAGCAAGCTTTACAGCGATCTAACCACAAGATTGACTCAGTGGCTATGAAAGGCCGTCAGCTTTGGAGTGACCAGGCACTTATCGGCGAAGTCATAGGAGACCAGGAAGTTTGGCGAGAGTGGGTGAAGCATCTCGGATCATCGTGGAATGGCTCTGCGGCTTTCAACGACAGAGGTTCACTTGACCCTGCAGTTCGTGGCGTTGCAGATGCGGCTATCCTGGGCCAGCAATTTGAATACGGTATTGGCTTAGATTACAACTTCACCACAGCTCCCCCAACTTGTTCCTCTGAGGAAAATGGTTATTTCGTCAATCTTTCCAACAAGTCCAACGTCCGCGAAGAGTCTGAAAAGGCCGGCGTTCCAGGAGAAGTGCGCATTCAGGGCGTACCACCTGAGTTGCGCAACGTCAATGATACGCTACTATCCACGATAGATTGGGGTTCGATCCCTCTGTATACCGACTTTTTCTTCGGTACAACTCCCGTAGCTATCCATCACAATGCGTATGTCAACGGCCTCAAGGGATGGAGACTCAAGAACTGGTGGGACAAGATGTGGTACTATCCTCAGCTACGACACCTCGTCACCCAGCGTCTAACGCCGAGTGCCGATGCGCCCGCACTACTCGCAGAGCTGGATCTTGAAGGTACCAAGATTGTGTATATATCCCCGAAAGAAGACGAAGAGTATAGGAAAGCCAGGGTGTTTAGTCCCCTGAAACCAAACTTCACGCCCGTCGAGTGGGATGCGGTGTGTCAGAAACATGGCCACGGAGTGAATTGGTATGACGAGCTCTTCGGAGACAATAAGGGTCCTCTTTCAAAACAGTAGCGCAATGAATAAAAGTATCCGAAAATACATATCTTTCCCTCAATCTAGCTTGAGCCACAACCAGACGTCGTCATTCCTATATCTCTCTTGGCGATTGTTTCATGGCCACGGAGCACATTACAAATCACCGCACGACTCAGACTTTAACCTGGTACCGGGAATACAAAACGACACAAAGTCCGTGGAGGGAGGGTAAGCCAGGACTAATATAGCGGACGGGAACTATCTTAAACATGCCCACGATCTATGTTAGACGCCATCGCTCGGGCTGAATACAAGTTTGGAGTTCCCCGCGATTGATAATTAGGGGTCATTCAGTGTCCGTCCGGGGAACTCTAATCTATAGCCTCCTGGCGTAGGGCTCGTCTTGACATCCAGCCCTTTGGTCTGGGAGCGACGCCTTGGCAAGGCTGTATCCATGAACCCGGTGCAACGTTGGACCAATGTTGGGAAATGTTTGTTGGTGGAGGTGCTGTAGGTCACTTGATTAATAAGAGTTGTGGGAGAGGTACTGTTAAGTTTCTATTCTGAGCAGGGCATGGCTGCATTATCTCGAGTTCTTTACGGAGTACAGGCTAACTAAAAGTTCCCAGCCTATCAACCAGGGTATACAATCATAAACGCCATTTTAGTATAGGAGAACAGGGAGAAAGAAAGAAAACACGTCTGATATGAACTCAAGGTCAAACCCCTGGTAACTGATCCTGCAGCTTCGATTGGCCAGAAATCATGCAGCCTCCTCGGATAGTCTTACAATCTCGCAGAGACTCTTCACAAAGATAATGTCAATCTCCTGTGGCTCGGTATCCATTATCCTCTCTTCTTCAGTCCCCTCTACGGCGATCATCCTAGCGGTGGCTACAAGTCGAGAGATGCAGCGGAGCAGGCCTGACTCAATGTTCCGTGTTGCGTTGTCGTGGACAGTTGCCGTAGATGTTTCCTCCTTTCCAAAGCCAATGACATTGAGAGGAGCGCTGAACTTCCTGGCGAAACGGCCGACGCTGGGTGTGGGATGAAGCTGAGGCGTGACGAGTCCAAGAAGCGAGGCAGCTTTCTTAGGGATGTTTTCGCCTTGCGATTTTGAATCTGATGTTGACGCTCGGTGGCCTGAGGGCTGGTTACGGGGGACTCGTGAAACGTAGTTGTATGCAACAATATGCGCATACAAGGCGTCACAGATGTAATCTGAGCATCCAGAAAACACATGTCGCAGCGATGCCCATGGCACTGGTGAAGCGGCAGTAGCAGAGACAGCGCTGGAGTGGGTGTTACTATCATATGAGTGTAACCGGTGACGTCTGGCGCTTGCTGAGTCGCGGCCATGTGAAACAACCTTCTTCCAGATGGACTTTCGAGGGTGCAGTGTTGATGAGTCGGTGGCTGGATCGGCCCAGGTATCCGGTAAAGGTTGTCTGACTTTCTTTGAGTACGAGCGAATTGTCTCTATTGTCAAGCCCGATGACAGCAGCATTGTTTCGGGGAAGCAGGCAATTGAGACTCTGAGCGTTTCTATGATATCAGGCGGGAGGGGAACGGCCTTTACCAAGTCATCGACAGGAATTTGAGATAGATAAGGAGGGTTTGAGTCGTCCAGCCAAGACTCAACTGTGGGTAATGGTGATGGCGGTGGTGTCTGTTCGATGTAAACTGTATCCGGTCGGGACATTGGTGGTGGTGGGGGATAATGGGCCATGTAGGTATCTTCGTCCTCGATTTCGAGCTCGAGCTCTATAGATCCAAAGTCTGATTTGAGAAGGATTGTGTTGTTGTCGGTCTCATCTCGAAAACGGTGAGTGTAAGAGGGTGATTGTTTGGTGTAACCATGGTTGTCGGGCGATATGCGCGAATTAAATTCTGGTATTCTGAGAATAGCAGTTGTATCCAATGGGTCTGTCGCACAAGTAAGGGATGCTTTTCTAGGCGGGATGGTTGGCGCATCCATGGATTTGGCCGAAATCTTCCTTCTATGCTGATATGTGTGGTTGGAAGATTCGTCGATACAGGATTGTGCTCTGTGAAGACGACGTCCAGGGGCCTCCATCATGACCGTGATGTCGAACGTCGGCTCCGCATTTGATGGTGTAGGAGGCCGAGGTGATAGAGCAATTGCTCCTTTAGGTGTGATGAGTTGCTCCCGAATTTCAGGCCCAACCTCGTCATCGCTGTCAGAATCAACGTCAATCCAACTCTCCCCTTGTCCTCGCTCGTGTGGTGGCAGACTCTTGGGCGAAGGGAGGTTGCCGCTGGCTGATGTAAGAGATGTAGCCGCCGTGACAATAGACTGCTCGCACAAATTGGTCGAGGGGATGTCAATAGCCCCAGGAGATGATTCGGTTGATGAAATAGACTCCACGTCTGATTCGCACTCTTCATCGACTTGACCTCTGTATTCGAGGAAAGACACCATTGATTGACGTTCCTCTATTGATCCCAGGTTCTGTACTCCTACAGATCCTGATTGGTATGGAGAAGTGATAATTCTACTGCTGGGTGATATGATCCGACTGTTGCTCTGGCTCTCTGCGAACCAGACAGGCCCGGAGGGCATACCGGCGGTCATGTTCTTGGACATGAATACTGAGCTTGAGTTTTCCAGATCCCTGGCGAGCATCTCAGGGAAACAATCCATCATATCGTCCATGGTCTCCTCGTCAAGTAAGATACCGGGCGTGTCTGAGCGTGGGGCTGGCAAAGCAAGCGGCAGTAGACCTGTCATACTCGAAACCGATCGTCGTTTCGAAGGGGAAGAAGATGTCGAAGATGAGCGCGAAGCTTCTAGAGAATTGCTTGGGTCTTGTCTGTATAAGTAGATGGCCACTGGAATCCGAGGGACAAGCACAGACATGTGGGCTGAAGTTGGGACACACACACAATCAGAGACACGAATGTCACCGTGATTCACTGACTTGAGTTCTGATGGAGGACTATCTCCAAGAGGGCGCAACAACACTTATATGAGTCGACTTGGACTGGAACTTAAACACAAGTCATTAGGGAATAGTGGATATAAGAGTGGGCATGTAAGGTGAGACAACGGCGTGCTAGGGAGACGAAGGTCTCGTTATGTTACCTGGAGATTTCAGACCAAGTCTCGAGTACGTACTGCAACCGTCAACAGCCATGGGTGGAATCAGTAAACGGGGGCTGCAGTAGGCAACTTCAAAGGAAGAATGGGCGGGGGGTTCGTCACACATGGGCAGAGGCTGGGTAACGTAACCGAGGACGGTGATACCAAGACATCAACAGTCTGGTACCTAACATACAATACCGACTGGATGGGGGTTGAATGTAACTAACGGCCGCGCCCTGACGAAAGGAATGAGGTGGGCAACTGAGTGGCGTTGTTGGATGCAATGGTTGCGCCGCGCAAAAAAGCAACACGAAACAAGAACAGGTTCGTAAATGGGCCACCAAGCATCATAAGGTTTGGAGGATTTGCTGATCCTTGGGTAAAAGAGGACAAGATGGAGTGGAAAGAAGCGCAAGGGAGAACAAAAAGGGAGTCGGTCTTGTTCCAAGTTCCCCATCCGAGCGCATTGTATGTAACCTCCCATCTCGGGAATCGAGATACTAGATCGAAGCTGTTGTGACAGCTTATACTCGTCATATCAATGTGCACTTGGAATACCATGAATATTCATGCATGCTCCTGGCTTTCACAAGAAAGCTCAAGCAGGCAAATGCCGCGAGTGTCTGTCCGCGAACGGCATTCTTGACAGGGCAACTCATACTCCACTAGGAGAAGCTGCATAAACACAGCAGGAAAGAAAGACAATTGAATTCCACTAAAGTACTGCTCCACTCGGACAAGAGTGTCGTACAGCTGTGTTCATGTGTGCCAAGACTTCCCTCAGCAAGGATTGGTAAACAGTGGCTGAACTTGTCGACGCCATGAGATATGGGATGGCCAATTCTTGCATCACCAAGAGGCGTCAAGTTTGAGTAGCATCACCCGGGAATAAATGGACGTAAGAGACGGAGTAAGGTTCCCAGTCTTTCAGAGTGTCACCGGACGCGATCGTAGATCCTGACCCGATTAGCACCAACCTCGCAATGGCTCCCGTGGCTGAAACCAAAGACTGGTATGCAAAGTCAAACTCTGATTCCCGTCCTAAAGTATCCGCGTCGATTGACGATGTGGGAGATGATAATGGAGTTGCGAATTGTGCACTATTGAGCCGGGGAAGAGTCGGATCTGTTAGGCAGGGCAGACGACAAGGGTCACCGAGAGCGATGTTTAGTATGGAGAATCCAAGCAAGTCTGGCAATGACAGGCAAGGTAAGGGTAGGATCTAGGATGCATGGGTTGCTGATGTAAGGGAGATCATAAATGTAGCCCGTAGCCGCATTTGGCACGCGTTTATTGTTAGGCAACGCTTGTCGGTTGCCACATGGTTGTCATCTATGATCTTGACGTGCAGAAACGACAGGAAACAAAACAAAGACGGACGAGAAAAATGATATCACTTGTCAGGCGAAAGCCATATGCCCTAGCAATAACATGCATAAGATCCATCCGTCACTGCTGCTGTCAGCTCCAGAAGCAAGTTTGCGAGGTCTAGATTCGCTAATGCAGCTCTGGAACTGCTTGGGTTTAGTTCAGGTATGTGACAAGTGCCTGCAGGTCGATAATTGAGGAGGAAGGAAAAGAACAATCCTTCTCTTTGTCAGTTGTAACAGGACAAGACATGTTCTTCCTTGAAGTCAGTCAAGGTGGAGTATCTCCAAGTAAGGGAGCAAGAATGGTGTTGCCAGTTGACGACGGGAGGGATAGAGTGTGGATGCGTAGGTCGATGCGAGAAGCAAAAAGCAAGTATAGATCCAGAGACTGATCTGATCTGATCTGATCACTGGAATTAGCTAGCTACGTTAGCACGTATTTCCCCAGCTTCAGGGCCTCAAGCAGTCTCCGAGACGCCTATTAAATGATTCGGCTTTGGATTATGCTTGGCAAGTCTTGTTTCTCCTTCTTTAATATATGTCTTATAAAACACTACCGATCCTCTTGACTATAAATGGCTTTGATAATCAAGTTATAAGAATGACCTATTGATAGATCTTGATGATTTGCTAGGTGTTGTAAAGCACAGTGTCAGTCTATGACATAATGCAGTGCAATATTTGCTCCGTATTCCCTAGCATGGCCCTATCGCGGCCGCTAAAGCAAAAGCCTCTACTGCACCCACACTGTACCTCGCGCTAGTCAGACGCTCACCGCCCGCGGCTGGATTTGGCGTAAGAGGCCTGACAGTATCCACTAAAAAATGCAAAAGCAAGCAAAACTTCGCGGCTACCAAAATAAAGTCAAAGCTCGTATCTCATTTCGACGAAGCAAATAAGACAAGGGAAAAAGTTCTGGTCGTCAACTAACATCACCTTCTATTTCGGACCTTTGCAGAGACACTTGAACTCCCTTCATCAAGCAACGCCTGTCGTCTTGTCTTATCTTAGCCAAAGCTTGACAAAAGGTCCCTGGACCTAGACTTGAACCTGGGCCAACCTGGACCCTTCAAAACTCGAGCAGAAAAAGCCATCAGAAAAAAGCCAAAGCTGGACTTTTGATTGGTCAATTGCCTTGCACGACTTCCTCCAGTCCATTTTCTCTCTATTTGGAGCTGTAGTCTAAGTGTTTGTTGGTTTATTCTGCACGAAACATCACACCTACAGTCCATCCTTTCTTCCGTGTTTGCTTGTTCTGCAACACTTCCAATCTCCCTAGTGAGCGGTATCCGGGACTTTTTAGAACCAACTGCACCTTTGCCTTGGGACAATCCCGGCCTCTTGGGCGTCTCTCCCGCCACACTTGGACCAACAAACATTCCTTAGCTGAAAGCCCAGCAGAGCTTTCTACAGGCAAAGCTTCAACTTCAGCTTCAGCTTCCTGCATATTGTCCTGTTCACTTCGAAACAAGGCTTCTCAATCCAAACAATGTTATCTCAAGAGTTCATATCGACTATATCCGGTCCTCCTCTCGCCGCGAACACAGCCGTCTCAAAGGACATCGGCATCTACTCTCACTCCCTCACCCCATCCCACACCATCAAGACAACTTTTAAGAAGAGTTCAACCCCTGTCAACGGTCTAGCCGTCAGTCCGACGCACGTCTTTGCGGCCCAGGACCAGAAGGCGCATGTTCATGTCTACTCCCGTCAACGTGGCAACCAAGAGGCCCTCGTACCTTTTCCCGAGAGGATCCGCAGCTTGGCCCTTGCTGGTCAAGTCTTGGTCGTGGGCTCTGTAGAGGGCAGACTATTTCTTTGGGAGGTTAGTACCGTCTCATTCAAGTTACTTGCGCGCCGTTACGTTTTGTGACACAATGGAATCGTTGAATATGAATACTGACAAGTGATTTAGACATGTACCGGTAGACAAGTCTCGACGCCGCCTTGTCACGTCCAAGCCGTTTCATGCTTGGCTGTAACGCCATATCACATTCTATCTGGGTCTGATGACTCCAACATCAACGTCTGGTCATTATCGCGCCTTCTTGAGCTTGATGCTCAGATGGAACAAGAACCCGACCTGACACTCTCTAACCATCGCGGCGCCATCACAAGTCTAACTGTCGGCCCGGGTAGCAACTCGGAAACTAGCATATGCGTGTCTGCAAGTAAAGACAAGACATGCATTATTTGGAACTACCAGACTGGCCAGCTCCTTCGAACGTTACTCTTCCCTACCTTTCCTCTCTGCGCACGTCTTGACCCAAGTGCCAGGGCGCTCTTTGTGTCTTCTGAAGCTGGTGCTGTCTACCTGGTTGAGCTATTCGGTGGCGACAAGCCGTTGCTTGGTTCCCGCAGCACCGAGTTGCCATCTATCGTCGTGCAGATCAACACCCCGCTCGCTGTCTCGGATCCAGAACTCGGACTGCCATCCTGTCTCGCTCTAACTTATGACGGCACTTCAATATTGTCCGGCCACACAAAGGGCAAGATTCTCCGGTGGACTCTGGCCGAAAACGGCCATCCTACAGACGTTGCGAACCTGAATGCCTCTGTCACCAACCTATGTTTCGTGCCTCCGTTGGCAACCGAGCAACCAACCAAGACAGTGTCCATTGTGAAACCGAACCAGAGTCTAAAACAGTACAACTTTACCGCTCAGCTAAACACAGATTTGGGTGAGCAGACAAGATTTGACCAGTTGCTTGAGACCAACGGATTCCCGTCGCAATCGCTTGAGACAGCAATTTCATCAGTGACAGGTCCGGCAGACGATAAACAAGATGACGAGCTTGCGAGACAAGATGCACAATTCCGGGCTATCATAAACAGTTGCAACCTTCTTCAAGACCCAATCAGTTAGACATTTGCCTCAAGCGCACACCCTAGAACAGCTACGTCTCTCAGATAACTTACCTAATATGCAATATTCTCAGAACACACGCACATAGTCCCCAGTCAAACCCCTGTTTCGGAATGGTTCATGCTGTTTCCGTTTCTTTTTTCTCAGCCTTAACGCTCAAGTGCATGTATCCCATTGCACATGTAACCTGCTGTGTCACGCAAGTTGCTGGCCTCGTTCATATTCCCTAACTAACTCGCCCGTCCCAGGGATATGTCAAAGCGTACGACAGGTTGTGCATGTATCACAATTCAGATTCCATGGGAGAGGCATTTGGCCTTTACTTCCCTGCTTCGTGAAGACCTAGAACCGCCATTTTTGCGATGGGGTTGTGGCTGCTGCAATCCGCATTTGGGGTTGCATCTCACCGGCTCAGAGTAACGTGCTTTTGTTGGAAAGTTTCTTGCAGCGAACTGTGGCTGCGTCATGAACTTGCTGCGAGGGGCTTCAATGCAGATGATACCGTGGGCGCTAGTCTTGGGCTGCTATATGCAAGGGGTTCCGAGCCTCTTCGCGTGTGTAACGATGTCCACTCAATCAAGTAATATCGTCGCCTCAATCCGACATACCGGCATTTCAGTCTAATCTGCTTGACCATATCCGGGAGAACTTGCAGCAGCCTCCTACTAGGGAGATACCACCACCCGATGCAACCCATCAGTTGAAGTTTTCTGATTGATCATAGCACTGTCATGAAGCCAACTCCAAATTCTCGTTCATATATGCAACTAACAATGCTGTCTCATTCACTCAACTTGCAAGACTTCGTTCCCTTGCATGCAATTATCGTCCTTTCCCGACCGCCACAACGGCAGACCAGTTGAGCCGATGGAAACGGCTTCTGAGCCCGAGACAACACGCGCGAGAGAAGAGTCTTCTCTGAGTTCCTGGAGCTTCTATGGTCAGATGCCCACATTCTAGCCAAATACTTGCAGTAATTCGGGGACGGACAAGATCCCGCTGCAAGGAGTCCCTTTCAGGGTTCGAAACAGGAAGCGGATATGCCCTCGGGAGTCAGATGTGAGGGTGGTGGTGATTACAGTGGAAGGTTTAAGGTAAAAAGTCAGAATGATGTTGTGCTACGGTGTTCTGGTGATGTTTGTTTTAGTTGTGGTGTTGTTAGCAGTTGCTAAACTGCTGAAGGTTAAGTGAGGTTCGATATTTTTCCTATCAGTCGCAAATGTAACAAACACGAACCCAACACGTTAGAGCAAGCAATGACTCTAGTATTGTAAGAGTGTACCAAAAGAAGGTATCATCAAGTGACACTCTTGCTTGGTGTTTCTGACTGTCGTCAGGTAGAGTGAGGCTCTAGGGTAACTACAATGCGTAATTTACTATCACTTCATAACAGGTACGGAGTACAGGTGAGTACTACCTAGAGATCGGCTCTCGATGACTGTTAAAAAAAGAAGGTGATCCGACTATGGCAAAAGAATTAAAACACTGGTAATCGATAGTTAAAGAACATATTGTTCATTCATATTTCACATTTGAGGAAGAACTTCGCCACTGAAATGATAAATATATGAATGATATTCTGTACAATATCCCGAATTCCACGGATGAACAATATCAGTCTTCGCACTGTATCTGTCGCCTAAACTCTCATACTAGACACAGTATGAAATCTCTTGCCGCAATGACCGGCCGGAGCGGCAAATTCTCCGCGCCGACTAACACCGAGCTCGCAGAGCCAAATGCCTTGCATCATCGGACAGTTCTAAGCCTGTCGCAAATCTACATTGTCGTCGATTTCCCCAACCTACAATCCCACATCAATGTCTGCCGTTGGTACAATCAAGGGCAACATGCCGCAACAAGTTCGATCACTTGTGAGTACCCTACCCAATTCCGCCCAACCAAGTAGCCTCCGTTCGCGGGGGAAATTTGCAGGGATCATAGAATCTCGCTGTGCATCGCAATAATATTTGATCATGGCTGACGAAATTTCTGTCTAGTACCGCCAGCTATTACGGCAAGGGTCGCAGTTCCAAGCGTACAACTTCCGCGAGTATGCGAAGAGACGGACGAGAGATGCCTTCAGAGAGCACCAGGGCGAGCAGGATGCCCGCAAGGTGCAGGAATTGGTTCAGCACGGAATTAAGGAGCTCCAGGGTTTGAAGGTGCGTGGTGGAATTTTGCCGTCAGGGTGGATTGAGGTGCTAACATCGAATAGCGACAAACAGTCATTAGCCAGTTTTACCAGATCGACCGGTTAGTCGTCGAGGGAGGAATCTCGGTAAGTTGGGTCCGTTGAGATAACGCAGTCGGTATATTGATATTGGAGCAGGGCAAGCAGACTGGCAACAACCAAGAAATCTTGAGACAGAAGGAACAGGGGTAAGTTAAAGGCTACCATCGTCACCATTTCTATTACTGATAATTCTGCATAGTTACGACTAAGACGATTGGACCGCACGATTTCTCGAAACGACCAGACAAAAGACGAAGGAGACAAGACGAGTGTACAGTAGCATGGTTGTGAGGTTAGGGTATATTCATCGGATACCATAAGGGATCAAGGCGTCAACGGCCTAGGAGGATGTCATTGGGCGCTGGGGAAGGGGGTATTATGACTTGAAGACTAGATGGCGAACCTCATTTCTGATTATCTATCGCCTCTCAATTGTTACCTCTGTCTAAAATGCCGATAGTTCCATACGTATGGTCTATTGAGCGCTTTGCTGCCAGAGCTTTGGAACACTCCCCCATGTTTCAACCACCACCGAAACTCTTATATCTATGAAACGAGACTCATGTGCTGTGAAGATGAAGATTGAGTTTATAGTAAATCAAGAATTAAACTTGTCAATGGCGTTTCAGCTATATCAACTATGTTCTTGTCAAACGGTATATTATGTATTACGTCAGCGGGGAACAACAAATTCAATTGGTCAACTAACACTTCCCATGGACATTCATCGCGACTCGCGACTCAGTCTCGTACAACTACCTAAGTTACAGTGACCATATTTTTACGGCAGTACAGTGCAGTGCAGCGCAACGCAATTCGAATTCGCATAAAGTGTCTTTATCATCCTTATAGTAGTAAACGAGCCACTGCGCCCCCACATTAACCGCGATGGCGCCCGGAGTGAGTAGCTGCCTGCTTCCCTTGCGCAAGCATCAACTAAACCGAATAGACGCGACGCGCCAACAGATCTGGATACGCAGAACACGACGACTTCGAAGGTACGATGGTTTGGATCGCGGTCGACGACGCGTACTAATGGTTTCAAGGTCTTCCCGTGCGACAATGGCGCCAAGAGTGGATAAGCGTTGCGCCGCCGCAACAGCAAGAACAGACTCAACAAAATGATATTTGGTCGATTGACTTGCCTCACGGCATGCCCAAGGACTCCCATCTCCTTCCAGCCCATAGTCAGGAGCTCCTTGCTGCTGCGCGATCCGGAAGACTTTATAAGCGACCCGCCCCGGTAGAGGAGGAAGAGGCCGACGCCGATGCAGCCCCCGAGAAGCCAGAGAAAAAAGAGGAGGACATAAGTGCCAGAGGTTTCAGTGTCAAGGTCTGGAAACAGCTACCCCGAAATATCGACGCAGCATCTACATCTCATCTCGCGAAACGACAAAAGAACACCGTCACAATTGCCAGTCGCACAGTTGAAGAGAGAGTCCAGGGACCGACGATTACGAGGGCAACAGTCAGAAGGGTCGACGCTGCCGGAAACCCATATACTGAAGAGGTCACGCTATCCGACGGTCAGCCAGTTCAGGGCGAGATTGTTTCAACTAGAATTGAGCCTGCTCCTACTCGTGGCACCGAACCTCTCGCTACAACACCAGTTCCCAACAGACGCAGGCCACCACCACCTAAGAGAAAGGCGAAGGCCGGCCCTGGCCGAGGAAAGAAGAAGATCAAGAACCCCCCACTCGAAACTGGTGCTGCTCCTGTGGCGCCTGTTGCAGGTACAGACGGCGCTGCGCCCGCGGCTCCAGCTAAGCCCGAGAATCCTGCAGAAGCTGTACGTTGTGATACACTATGGTACTTTGTTCTATCACTGACTTTCCACAGGCCATCAAGCAGGAACGTGAGGATTCTGCCAATCAGGATAGTCCAATGCTTGATGCAGATGATGATGACGATGAAGACGGCGATGATGATGAAGGCGACGAGGGTGAAGAGGGAGATGGAACACCAGCTGCAGACAGCCAAGCGAACGTTGAAAACAACAAGCCACAAGACCACGAGATGACAGACGCTGCTGCTACGACTACTACCGAATCTGCTCCCGTTCCACCTCCTGCACCGGTGCCAGCTCCTGCTGCGCCCCCTGCTGCTCTTGGAAACGACGAGCCCGATGTTGTTATGCAGAACGATTTGTTAGAACCTGTAGAAAACGCTGCGAATCTAGTGCCACCCGCTATCCTTACGCCTGGAGGATCACGACCTGAGGGCAGCCCCCTCAAGAACGTTCTCATACCTTCGCCCACAAAGGAGGTGGATCAGGAACAACTGCTGAAGGAAGCTATAACTTCTCCTCTGGCAGGAAGCGATAAGCCTCAAGAGCCTGAATTGACCGAGGAGAATCTTGCAGAGGCATTACGGGACCCCACTGGCAAAGATGAAGAACCTCACTTCGAGAAGCTGGACGAGGAAGACATTCTGCAAGCTGCTATCAATGCTCCTTTCGCGCCAGGTCAACAACTACCAATTGGTCCCGGGGCTGAGCCTGCTGGCTCGACAGTGGCCGAACCGCCATCTACGATCGTCGGAGAGGCACCTGAGGTTGCGGCGGATCGTGACGTCCCGATGCTGGAACCAACCGACAGCGAGGCACTACTGCCCCCTCCACATGAGGAGGTTGGCAATATTGCGACTACGCCCCCAGGAAACTCTGGTGAACAAAGTACCTCTGTCCCCGGAAGTGATACCAAGCCGTCAATGGATTTTGAGGCTAGTGAGGAGGCGGTACCTCGAAGACCGCTACTTGCTCAAAACGACACTGGCTTAACAGAAGATAGCATTAGACCTGATGACTCGGCCTCAGTCACTGCTCCTATGTCTGATATCACAGACGTTCCAGCAGCTGCCCCCTCAGTTGTCTCCCCTCCTCCTGAACCAGCCGCTGAAACCACCATTCAGGAGCCCGCTGAAGAGGAGCCCAAGCAATCAACACCACCCCAACCCGAGATCAAGGAAGAGTCTGCCCCTCCAGGCGAGGATATTTCTCAACACAACTCGCCTAATCTGCTTGATGCCTTGATGGATAAGCTCGATCGCCAATCTGCAGAGAGCGAGAGAAAGAAGCAAGAGGAGCCATCTGCAGAGGCAACTGAGCCACTACCAGAGGCGGTTCCCCAGGTTCCCGAGGTTCCCACAGAAGCTATCAGTGAGCCCCCTACTGATCTTCCGGAATCTATTCCTGAACCTCCTGCTGCACCTGCTGTTGAACCCACAGCCGAATCTGCCCCTGAACCTGCTGCTAAGACTGCTTTTGAGACTGCTGCTGAGCCTACCACCAAGCTTACCACCGAGCCTATCAATGAGTCCAACACTGAACCCGCTGTCGAGTTTTCAGCGGAGCCTGTTGCCGAGCCACTGGCTGAGCCAGCGTCTGAAGTACCTCCTGAATCAACATTAATACCCACTGAGGCACCTGAAGGGCCAGGTGATGAGGCCATGGTCATGGATGACGCGGAGCCTGCTGACCCTGTGCTCGAAGCTCCTGAAGTGGAAAAGCCCATGGAGGAGGCCCCTGCAGTTCCCGAACCAGTGGCGGCCGAGGAGGAAAAGAGTGAACAACCACCAAAGCAGGATTAGTATGCTTCTCATGATATAGTTTGTTATATGTTAGTATCTCGAGAGGAAAAGAGCCTTTGTAAAGGTCAATCGTTCTGCATTCAGAATACAATGTTGAAAAGAGGTTGGAGTTTGTATAAAATGATTACCTCTAGGGCCATTAGATCTAATGAAATCACGGACAATAGCCATAAAGGTTATGGGCTATCGACTTATGTTCACACTACTACGTCTTCGTATCTAGTTTTGACAACCTCCAATTTCTGCTACTTTTCTACTAAACTAGTTGGTTCTCTATGCTTCTCGCACTACTCTGACTATCTGGTACCAATGATTTAGCAATAGCCTTTGCCCTCTTCCTTTGCGGCATCGCATACCGTCCATGCATGCGAAATCCGCGGGCATGCGCATTACTAAGACCTAATAGCGCTGCGCTCAAAACCAGCAAACCAATAAGTACTATCGAACCCGCCTGCGTCATGTTTCCTCCCAGGGCAGCGGACATGTATACCATCAGCTTGGCCGTTGCTTCGAGATAACCTTCGAGGCTCGACTGCGCACGTAGCCAGGCGTGTGTTACGAGAGCTTGTAAGTCGGCGTCGGGACCGCGTAGACGAACGCTGTGTCCGCCAAGGTCGATGCGATACTCTGTCATGGCGATACTTTCGGGGGAGGAAGTTGAGGGCGTCATTCGTTGTTTTATGGCCCAGATGTTGAGGATGCGCGAGGTGATGAGAGTGAGAAGAATGGCGAGACCCCACCAGTCTTCAAATATGACCATGAAGGCGATCGATGTGGAAGTTATCAGCGGACTGCCGAGATAGAAGAGGTGGCTTAGCCAATCTACATCGGATAGGGAAGCCCAATCATCGTGGTCTGCATCGTCATCTTCCTCTTCCTCTTCCTCGTCTGTGACTCTGCGATTCTTGATCACTTTCCCAAGAATCTTGATGACATCCCATGGCGTATCCAAGCCAACATTTAGCGTGACAATCTCCTGAGCACCATCCATACAAAGACTCTTGAGGTAATTTGCGGTCATAGTATTCTTCACGGCGTATTGCATCTCCCCGAGAGCCTGTGTAGACAGCGCTATCAAGCCGACGGGGGCCTCACGCTCGAGGTCATCGCATGCTTGTTGGTAATGTAGGCCAGGAGCGAGAACAAGGGCGTCAATCCATGAGGAGCCACCGGTGAGAGCTGTGCGGCGAGATATTGTTCGGAGATCGGCGAGGACGAGAAGGCCGCTGGCGGAGAGTGTGATATTGGGAATGGGAGTGGTGCTCCATGATGGAATGAGGGATCTGGGCTGTTCGGTGTAAGTGGGAGGGGGCTGAGATACGGAGTTATATACGGACCTCCATAGTACATACGAGCCGGTCGGCTTCAATCATCGGAAGAATAATAAAAGACGTGATATCAAATATGTTCCAAATCAGCCTTAGTCCAAGAGGATTGCATTTAATATGTATTAAACTACTTCTGCTCCTTGACCTTCAAATGATGGTACGCCAGCGCTCCCTTCCACATGACAACTACATGGGAACTTATTTAAGACATGATTACGATATGAAACAAAGAAAGAGTCTAAGAAATCTTGATCAAGTTTATCTTTTGACTTAGGAGCAGTAATTAAAGGCTGTAGGTGTATGTTGTGTAGAGAAACACGAGATTGTGTTGGTGGCACGGGACCTATCACAACGCGTGGGTCGGTCTCATGATAGTAGCTTGCGTGCAAACTTACAGATGCTGTTAGTGAGACAATGAAACATGTTGAACTAGGAGAATTATTGTTTTATTGTAAGTGGTCTTTTCCTTCTCAAATAATGTTACAAGAATAACTTGACGATTTTGTTAGATGGACTCAAAGTCCTGTGCGTCTGTGCAAGTATCCTGAATCTTCTAAGGATGACGAGCATTCTACAACAACAGCATATGCTTTGGGATTTTAGTACAGTAAATAGTCTCCAACCTTCATAAATAACAGTAGAGAAAGTTGTGTTTATTAAAACGATCTCAACCATGTATTATCTCACTAGGACGGTTCAAGACTGGGAGATTGCTTACCCTAAGCTAACCCGATGACTAAGCATTGCGCAACGAACAGATAGCCATCATGATGCAACAAGCCAGCTCTGGAGCTCCCCACGCGTGAAGCCCGCACAACGCCTTCAACACCACAATCATGCGGCTTTCACTCCAATCATTGCTCCTTTTGGGGCTATCGTCGCTCGGCGCAGCTGTTTTCCAGGACGAAGTTGGCGAAATCGATTTCCACCACGCGCTCATCGGCGTCCCCCAGGTCGAAACCACCTTCTTCCATCGACCGCGAAAGCAAGATAAGGCGAGCCTCCTTTACACACTCAGCGACGTCGGCGTTATCGGCGCCGTGAACCCCAGCACTGGTGCCGTTGTCTGGCGCCAGCAGATTGCTGACGATATCACCAATGGCGGCGGCTTCTTGCGCGCTGCTGAGGGGGAGCACTGGGTCGCTGCGGCGTATGGCTCCCGAGTGCAGGCTTGGGACGGACTGACAGGTCGTAACGTCTGGCACAACGAATTCAAGGGCGAGGTTAAGGATCTGGAGATTCTTGAGTTGACTGAAAGCTCAAGGAAGGATGTTTTGGTTCTGTACGATGAGGACGGCACAACTGTTCTACGACGCATACACGGTACTCTGGGCAAGGTGGTTTGGGAGTTCCGCGAAGTCACCAAGAACATCCCTCTCCAGGTCTCAACTGACATTTCCAAAATCTTCGTTGTCAGCCTTCACGGATCCCCCGCGTCTTACAGTCTCAAGGTCACTGCACTCGACACTCTTACAGGAGGACGATTGGACGACTTTGCCATTGGCACCAAGGGCGATGTCCATGGACCCAAGGACGTTATGTTTGTTGGCGGCAACTCGGCCGCACCCATTCTTGCTTGGACCGACAGCACCCTTTCCAAGCTTAAGGTGAACGTCCTTGGCAGCAAGAACACCCAGGAGCTCAAGTTAACCACCGACGCCGTCTCCGTCACTATCCATGCGCCCCATCTCATGCAGTCGCAGCCTCACTTCCTGGTTCACACTCGAACAAAGACCGGAAACAAGGCTGAGGTTTATCACACCGACTTGAAGAATAACCAAGTCTCTAAGGCCTACGATCTTCCTCACCTTTCTGGTCTGGGCGCCTTTTCCACCAGCTCTGATGGAGCCAACGTATACTTCGCCCGCGTCACCGAGGACGAGACGATCATTGTCTCATCTGAGTCTCATGCTGTTTTGGCCCGTTGGCCCATCAAGCCTGCCGGTGATATCGAGGCTGTTCATGCCGTTGCTGAGGTCCTCAAGAAGCCTGGCACCGAGGGCTTCGCCATCCGAGCTGCTGCTGTCACCAAGTCTGATGACTGGGTTTTGGTCCGCAACGGTGAAATCGACTGGAAGCGTCCCGAGGGCCTGAGCGGCGCCGTTGCTGCTGTCTGGGCCGACGTCCCTGGTACTGAGAACCTTGCCAAGGTCTTGGAGGAAGAGGCTCACACAAACCCTATATCGGCCTACATCCACCGTGTCACCAGACATATCGATGACCTCCAGTACCTGCCTGGATACCTTGCATCGCTACCTGAGAGCTTCATCACCAGTGTGTTTGGTGGCGAGCCTGCTGTCAGCAAGAAGGAGGGCCTGCATCGGGACACCTTTGGCTTCAACAAGCTCATTGTGCTCGCAACTCGCCGCGGTCGCATGTATGGTCTTAGCACCGAACACAAGGGCCAAGTTGTCTGGAACAAGTCTGTCCTTCCCCAGGTTCATGGCGAGTCCCTTGATGTCAAGGGTATGTACGCTAAGGATGAGGGTGTTGTTACTCTGCGCGGAGCCAAGGGTGAATATGTCGCCATCAAGAGCGACACTGGCGACGTTGTTGAAGTGATGCCCGCTGGATCTCTTCCTCGTGTATCCAGCACTGTGGTCGTCGATAGCCCTGCCGGCAACTGGTTGCTCCCTATCGGTGCTAACGGCGAGGTTGGACCTGTTCCTGCTGGTTTCACTCCCAGTCAGACTATCGTCGTCCGAGGCGAAGGAGAAACTCTTAAAGGCATCAAGTTCGTCGAGGGGAACAACAAGGTTTCTGAGGAAGAGATCTGGCAGCTCCAGCTGTTTCCTGGCCAGAAGATTGTCGAAGTTGCTAAGCCTGCCGCTCATGACCCTGTCGCCTCCATCGGCCGTGTTCTGACCGATCGTCGCGTCAGCTACAAGTACCTCAACCCGAACACAATTGTGGTTGCTGCTGTCGACGAGACCAAGTCGTCTCTGTCTGTTCAGCTTGTCGACACCATCTCCGGCCAGGTTCTTGCATCTCAGTCTTACGCTGGCGTTGACTCAACCAAGCCTATTTCGTGCACAATGGCCGAGAACTGGTACGCTTGCACCTTCTTCGGCCAGTATACCCTCGGAGATGGCACCAAGCGATCTATCCGCGGATACCAGATCGTCATTGTTGACCTCTACGAGTCTTCGGCACCCAACGACCGTGGCCCTCTGGGTGATGCTGTCAACTTTTCTTCGCTCAAGCCTGTCGACACACCAACTGGACCTGCTCTGCCTTGGGCTGAGGAGCAATCCTATGTTTTGTCTCAGCCACTTGACCATCTCTCGGTGACACAGACACGCCAAGGCATCGCGAACCGCTATCTGCTCGCCTATCTGCCCGAAGCGCACTCCATTGCCGGCCTGTCTCGCCAGGTTCTCGACGCCCGACGACCTGTTGGTCGCGACTCAACCCCAGCGGAGAAGGAAGCCGAAGGCCTCATCCAGTACACCCCCAACATCGAGATTGACCCTCGAGGCATCTTTTCTCACCAGCGAAACGTGATTGGCGTCAAGAACATCCTCGCAACACCAGTCATTGTGGAGAGCACAACCCTGATTGTTGCTTATGGTGTGGATGTCTTCGGAACACGAATCGCTCCTAGCGGCGTGTTCGATATTCTCGGAAACGGCTTCAACAAGTCTACGCTTGTTTTGACCGTTGTGTCGCTGCTGGGCGGCGTACTGTTCCTGTCACCAATGGTAAGTATATCAACGTTCGCACTCGCATATAATGATTATTGAGCTAACAATACTCTAGGTTAGGAGAAAACAGATCAACAGGCTCTGGGAGAGCTAGAAGGGATGAAAAGAGAGGGCATGTCATATCTGGAGCTAATTGCTGGACACGGCCTACACGAGGCCAATGAAAGGAGGGTATTGGATTATGAGCTGTAAATGGAAGCAAAGTATTTACCATTCCACGTCATACCGGCGATTTCAACAGCGTTCCCGTTCACGCATGAGGTGACTAGCCTATCATGTCAGCCTCACAATGTAACGATCCAGATCTCTCAAGGTAACTGGACACCAGAGACCCTTCAGGCGTCAAGCCACATATGCTTGGGCTGTCAACGTCCGTCGTCAAGTTCGTCTCTGCCACAACGGCCGAGATCGGGGGCTCCGAATCCGCCGGTGGGCGAAGCAGGCAGGGCTGAAAAGACGGGGAGTCAAGCTTTGGGTATTCTTTTATTTTATTCAACGAGCCAATCTTGGGATAATCTACAATGAGGAATAGAGTGATTGGTGTATTGTAAGCACATGGATTCCCCTGCTTTTCCCTCGTATTTATTACCGCTTATGTGTTGACTATGTATGCTTCGTGTACGAGGGATCGCATGGCATGATTCTTGATGAATTCTAGGACTCGAGCTGATGGTGGGGAGATGGAGGTTATGGTGCCGGCATACACGGGTTTCCTAAAGACCTTGGCTTAGGTATTGTCAGCAGGTTAGTACGTACGACCTCTCCAAAACGGCAATACCCTTAGCGATGATCCGAATGCAAGTCTCGATTGTCTTCCTTTCAGCTCGTAGTTCACATTCAGGTTTATGGCATGCCTAGAGTTATCACGAGGTTAGTAGTCCTGTTCTGTACAACCACATGATCCCGAGACATCGTCTTCTTCTATTCTTGGGCTCCAATCAAGGAGATTTAATTGATATTCGGTATGTCACAATAATTAATTGATGCCTCCGGGCCCTCGCGGAACACGAGAATGGCTTACAGCGACGAATAAGATGGGTGACTGACAGGTGCTTGCTTTTTGCGGGGTAAATGATGGAGGTGCTTGTGGATTTATTTTTAGTTGGATTTGCATCTGGTTGGATAGTCTAGATATCTGGTATGTACCGTTTTGCTTGTTGCATCATATGTCGCTTTGTATTTTATATCATGACATCGTGAGGTTATAAGCCCATTTTGTTATGAGCAAGGAGACAATATACTGAGTTTGGAATAACACCAACATTCGTACTGAAAATGGCTCTTTTACAACTTAAAAGGGGAATACCGCATCTGCAGGTCTGGCAGCTCAGATCGTGTGACTAGTTGACTGATGCTGTGTAAGTGGCTTGCGAGCCAATATCCTACTCCTGGTCTAGCTTCAACCGAGGAGTCAACGTTGCCATCTCTCGCTTTAGCACAGAGTATAGCCCCGGGACTATGGGACACAAACACGCACCATTGCATTCCCCAAGTCAGCCTCGTATAACCCATACTCTCCGTGATATGTCGCGCTACTCTGCAGCCCTATTCGACTCCACGCTATGAACATCTCCCGTGGATAGGCGGGGAGGGTGATCTAAAATAGCACAGGAGAGAGGTAGCTTCGGTCTAGGACTACAGAGGCCTGGCTCGTGTAAGTGAGACCATGGCTAGCTGGAGATGCAAGAATAGAAACTCCATATGCTCAACAGGCGAAGTACATACATACGCGAGAACGAGAATAGGTATATAAACTCCCCTAGATCACCTCAAAGTCCGATTCTATTCTCCTCATCCTCACCAACACAGTCATCTCAAAGCCTCTTCATCCACTCTCGCTTCCCAAGCAAACCAAATCAAACACTCGCTCTAAACAACCAAACTTGTTTCCACTTCCAACCACCGCAAACATGAAGTTCACTGCTATCACCATCGCTGCCATCGCCTCCGTGGCTGCTGCTACTCCCCTCACCACTTCGCCCAGCGCCTGCAAGCCTGGCACTTACGCTTGCACTCCCGACAAGTCTGGCTGGCAGGTCTGTGATGTCTCCGGCAAGTACGTGGTAAGTACAACAACAACACCTTGTCTTTCTCTGCTGGCGATAGTTTGACTAACATATCGACAATAGGCTGCCGGACTTTGCCCTCCCAAGACCTCTTGCGTCTTCTACAAGAAGAGCGCCAGCCCCTACTGTGTCCCTCCCGGCTTCAAGTTCCCCCAGAACTAAGCAGGTCCTTGGACAAAACCTGTTAGCCATGAGAGCCATTCACTCTTATAGACTCTCGGCAACATCATCTATCACAGTCTAACATCGCAACACGGAGACTTTGGGTTTGGAATTTGAATAGCTGCACTTGGTCTTTCCTTTTTTCATGCCTTGCATGAGGTCCTTTCCTTAGAACGTTTAAATTAGAGATATGGCACATACACAGGTTGGGGTTCAACATTATATATAAGTACTTACTTAGCATGGCATCTTCAATCTACTGCGTTGTCTCATCTCTCTTGCTCGAGCCACTATATTCAGTGAACTTGACGTGATTCAGATAATCATTCCCTCTCTGTTACTACCCCATGATATGGAAAACGGATTCTCATATACTTCACACTTGAAGTAAAAGTCAAATATGATTATGTCCAATTTAATAACTATGATGGCCTGATACACCCATGATATCCGAAATACTTGAAAACGCCCCCAGCTTGCTCACAATCCCGTCTATTCACATAGCTATCTAACACTCGCCCTGCCAGTTCTTGGCAATCCAATCCGACAGATAGTAAGTAAAGGACCCTTGGATGTACCGCTCAACATTAGCATCGCTGTAGTCGCCTGCTCCTGCTAGCTTGAGAGCCGGAATAACCCAGGGCTGGAGAAAGTCAAGGAAGACGAAGTCGACCGTTTCAGGTTCGCCGTCCTTGGGCATGGCAATCTCGGCCTGGATACAGTTGGGTTGCTGATACGTTTTGATAGGCTCGTGAATGGTGTCGTCGCCATCTGTTCCAATGTCATCTTTAGTGGTGTATCCGGCGGTCAAGCCAGGCTTGTCGAGAAAACTCCTGAGCTCAAGGCGCGGCTCTTCTTCTTCAGCCATATTCTTCTCAAATTGAGCCTTCATGGCAGGAGCAGGGAACATGTGCTCTGGTGAGGCCATGAATTTGACGTCGGCTCCATTCTCTGCGAAGATCCTTCCTCCGCTGTTGAGAAGGTCTATGACCTTGGAAGCCGCCTTATATGGAACATCGGGAATGTACTTGAAACCACTGGTGAAAGGGCTCACAGCAAAAGTGCTATCTCTTGTAAAACCGCCCTTGAAGATATCGAATCGAATACCGCCGGTGTTGAAAAGTGCTAATGTGGCCTTGTTCTTGCGATCCTTGCGAGTGATGATATCAGGCAAGACCTGTTTAGCGATCCAATAGTAAATGCTGTCCTCGGCCGTATGCTTAGTTCGGGTCATCCATAGAGTCTTGGGTGCACAGCCAAATTTGTAATCGAGTTGAAGGGCCTTGCGGGCACGTGTGATCATCTGACTGACCCTTTTACCGTCTGTGGTAGGGAACGTAGTAGCGTTTAGACCGGTATGGTAGTGTAGACCATAAAGGTTGTTGTCGATATATCGGCGAGTAAAGGTAGTGGAAGCTGCAGTCTCGACTTCCTTGTTGCTACTCTTACTGATGCCATCGATGGACATCCATCCGATTGTCTCAAAATATCGACCACTAGCCATAGCAAAAGCTTGGGAATCGTACTTGACAGCATCGCGAACATGCGCATGGCCACCAAAGAAGGCAATGGGAATATGCCAGTTCTGTTTACGAATGGCAGTATAGATGACCTTGAACTCCTGCATGCGAAGGCCGACGTGACCTATCACGACAAAGAGATCAGGCTTCTCTCGGATAGCCTTCTGGAACCAATCTTCTTTAATGGTGTCTTCCACAGGTTGAACTACTGTGTTGTTGGCGTTTCCTGTAAAGTCAAAAAGGAAGCCGAAGGCCACAATCTCGAGGCCTTGGTTCTTCGTTTTGAACTTTCGGTAACGCTGAGCTTGGGGAACGCGATCCCCAGTTTTGGGATCGATATAATCAAGATTGGAAGCAAGATATTTCCCCTTATAGTTAGGAACAGTGGTGTTGTGTTCCATGTCAGCTGAGTAGGCCTTGTAAAGCTCATGGTTGCCGGTGCAGATAATGTCGACGTCGGCTTCGGCGTAGATGTCATATTGGAAAAGTCCCTTAGGAGTAGACGCGTCGTATAAGCCGTTTCCTTCGACGCGATCGCCGGTATCAATGACTAGGACATCGGCTCCTGCATCATCGGCTTGCTGGCGCATATGCTTGGTGAAGGAGATGTAGTCGCCCCAGTCTGCCGAGTATTGAGGCCTGTGATGTTAGCTACAGCTTGTAATAGACCGGAGAGCACATACTCTTGGAAATGACCGCCAATCCAGCCATGTGTGTCGGTTGTGTGGATAAAGTTGATCTGACCCCAAGTGAGGTTCCTCATGGGACTTGGAACTGGTGCCATGGCTCCAGGCTGCGCAGCGTGTGCAACAGCGACCAGCGCTGAGCCAGCAGCAAATGTCTTACTCCTAAGGATCATGTTGAAGTAGGCGACCGAGACAGACAGACAGCAACAGTGTTGAAAAAGAAAAGAGGATGAGACTGTCTTGTGTTGATGGAGATGAAGAGGGACTCACCGAGTTCGGCTCGATGGGAAGTATGATAAGGGTAGTTGCGCGCTAGAATGACGTGTGAGGGGACCCTGAGGGACAATAGGGCTTGGGGAGTGATGATTGGTTGATAGACCCGGCAGAGGTGCTTATCAAATCCGATCTAGCGAATGGGAATTGGAGAAGACCTCCCCGCAAGGGGTCATGCAGCACTGATAGCGCACATCAATGGGGGTCGCTGCCTGGGCCACGGGGACGCGCATCCATTGTCGAAGCCATACCATGCCTGTCCCATGACCTAGATTTGAGGAGGAGTCATGAGGCTGGAATACTAATTATTAGTTTCATACAATTTTGTTATTGTCTTGCTAAATGATAGAAGAAGACGATAAATAGTCCAGGATAAGAACCCAAAGAGCTCCATTGATGGACTCATACCATCTCGAACGGTTGCCAGGTAATCTCAACAGCTTATAACTCATTTCCACCATGTGCCGTCCCTAACGTTCCTCACTCACTCGCTACTCGAGCAGACTCGTAGAAGCAATGAAATACTCACAACAATGAATGGAGTTATAACCTCGGAGCACCGAACTAATCTAACATCTAGGTCTGTCCAAACCTCTTACACCGAAACCGCTGTCCGTATCTCGCCAAGCAAACATTCATCCAGCGACTCGACCTAAAACATACTTTACTTTCCTCTCTGGGTATGATGGAGCGAAGCCAAGCTGATAATAGGCCGAGAGCTCCTGGCAGTGGATCTTTGACCGCCGGTACGAAATACGAGATGCGGCGGAGGCCCCACTGCCGGCCGCTGTGCCTCCCGATTCCCGGTAGAGTTGACGGGCCCAACCGCCGGCTTTTAGGTCAGTTTGGATCAATGTATAAATAATGATATAGAGCTCTCTACCGCTTGCCATTGGAACCCAAGGATCGGATTTCTCACTGCATATTTGGTACCTCAGCTCTCAAATAGCTGAATGCAGAAAAGTGTCAGCAGATCGGACATCGGGACATCGAGGTCTCGTCGCTGACCTACTGTCAATGTTGTCATCTAACACTAGCTCAAAGAACTCTTAACACTTCACTGTACCATCAGATTTTGAACGAGACACCGCCTTGTATATAGATATGTCGAGCAACGGTACTACAAGATCTCTATCGGCTACGAGTTCCGGTAAGACAGTCCACCATCGAAACGCAGTTCTGGAGCGCCCACAGCTAGAGCCTGGCACATGTTCCAATCGCTAACAAGCGAGGCAGGAGACTCAAGTGTAGTCAATACATCACAAAGACTCAACGTCACCTCAGAAACGGAATGCCAAAATCTCCTACTGCGCGAACTCACTGCACTGCCAGAACGCGACCCTTTAGCCCCAGGCACAATATCTTGCACAACGCCTCAATTACCACTTTTGGCTCGTGAGTTGTTGCCAATTCGAGTAGTCAAACCATTGGGAGATGACTGATCTCAGCCAGGGAGAGAAGCGACAACTGATAGCACGACGAGGAATAATGTCTGGATAGCTAGGACAGTACGGGCTGCGATGTCCGATGTGTTTTCCAAATCATGAAGCTGTCGCAGATGAGATGAGGTGGTTGTCATGCTTAGCGTAGAATCTACCAGGAGAATAGAAGGCATACATCAACTTATATGTTGTTTATTTGCCAGTATACTTTGTTATCAACATACATATGAAAGCATCGACATCCGCCAAGACATAGTAGAGAGTTGTTGGCTTCACTTCAGTTGAAAGTATGACCAAGACAAAAGAGCTGATTCGGTAGCAAAGCAAGACAAGATCCATGTGATAGTTTCGGCCAATTTGTCTTCCCTACAGAAGACCCCCACGTGGTTACCCACCATCCTCACCTCATTCCCGTCCCGTGGAAAGGCGCCCAGGCTTTTGGTGGTCCTCCATCCAGCAGCTATCTAACGCCACAATAGCATGCATTTTCAGCTGAGATCGAGATGTCAAGCTTGGATATTTTGTTTTACTTTGTATTGAATTTTGTGTTCGTCACATTCTCCTCGATAATAAGTTCTTCAGGGCTGATACCTTACAAAAAAACACTCTTGTTCATATTCACATGCTCATCTCCGTCTGCCGTTACTGCTCAATACCACCCACCCGCCCTGTAAGCACTGTAGCTTCACCCTTGTTACAGGGAGCTTTGACCCCCCGGCAGCCGCCGCTCCCCCCCGCCCCACCACGGCAAACGCCACTAGGATTGCTACAGGGCCACTATCGAGGACGTTTACCTTGTCTAGGCTTAGACTCCCGATAAATCGTGGATCTCGGCCAACGGGGCTGATCCAATCGAAGAGCTAAATCTCGCGACATGTCTTTTTCGGGTTTGGCGAAAAGGAAAGAAAAAATTCACATGAGGAAAACCCGACGGCCTGGGACGAAATAAAAGTAATTTAAGAATGTCGCCGTCGAACTAGATTCTTCAGATATCGCTTTATAACTTTGTTCTCCTCTTATTGTCTTTTGTTTCGTTACAGACAAGAACGATCCTTGCTGTCCAACGGTATCTCCGTGCCGATCACCTACTCAAATCGCCTCCAAGACAAAAACCTTTCTCAGTGGGCGCATCCCGACTCAAATACCCCACGACACCCTCTCCTCGACCTCAGCTTCTGATCTCCTTCTCCTTTGAATCAACCAGCGCATGTTGATTTCTGCCAATTAGGCCTCCCTCAACATACACATATCGGCGCATATTTATATGTGCCGTGTCAGTTCATAAGAACTTCAGCGAGCGACTTTGAGTCTTTGCGCTTGCTGCACCTGGAGACGTTAGAAAGACTTCATAACGAACGAAATATCATAGTATATTCAATATCCACTATTCATTGACAATAGGTTTACGAGGCATGTTGCAACACCGACCACAAAGCAGTGCGATAGCTAACATTATCATCAGATCTTCATCCTTTCGATACCTCGAATAAATCTACCATCATGCCCGCAGATCAACCCATCGCCGTTGGCGACTCCAAAGGCCCTACCGCCGACGCCATCCCAACTTCCTCCACCACCACGAACGAAGATGCCGCCGTCAGCCAGGGCATCCACACCCTCGAGGTCAGATCCGTCCACTGGTACAGCTACCTGACCACTGTCGACTTCTGGATCGTCCTCGCTCTCGGCCAGGTCCTCGCCCTGTGCATCACGGCCACCAACACCTTCACCAGCTTCCTCGCCAACGCCGGCACCAACATCCCTGCCTTCCAGACCGTCTTCAACTACATCCTCATGTTCATTATGTACACGCCCTGGTTCCTCTACAAGGACGGCGTCAAGGGCTGGTGGCGCGTCGCTGTGAAGGATGGATGGAAGTACTTCATCATGGCGTTTTTGGATGTCGAGGGAAACTACTTTACGGTTTTGGCTTACAGATACACAAACGTCTTGTCTGCGCAGCTCATCAACTTCTGGGCCATTGTCTGCGTTGTGGTCATTTCCTTCTTCCTCCTCAAGGTCCGCTACAGAGTGTTCCAGATCATCGGTATCTTGGTATGCTGTGGTGGTATGGGTATTCTGATTGGCAGCGACCATATCACCGGTACCAACGGCGGTAAAGGTCTTGACATGGTCAAGGGTGATTTGTTCGCTCTGCTCGGTGCCACCCTCTACGGTACTACCAATGTCTTCGAGGAGTGGCTTGTTTCCAGGGCTCATCTGTACCACGTCCTGTCTTTCCTGGGTCTGTTTGGTATGTGCATCAACGCTGTCCAGGCTGCCATCTTTGACCGAAACTCCTTCGATAACGCTACCTGGAACGGTAAGGTTATCGGCTGGATCGTTGGTTACACTCTGTGCCTGAACCTGTTCTACGCCCTGGTTCCTGTCATGCTGCGCATGGGCAGTGCGGCTTTCCTCAACATCTCGTTGCTGACTGCCAACTTCTGGGGTGTCATCATCGGAATCCGGGTCTTCGGTTACACCATCCACTTTCTCTACCCCATTGCCTTTGTCCTTATCATCATTGGTCAGCTCACCTACTTCGTCACTGGCAGCATGCTTAGCGACTCCAAGAAGCCCTGGCTGGGCGATAACCAGGAGGATGGCGTTTTGGGATTCGGTACTGCCAAGCTCAAGGCTCTCAACGCTGCGCGTAAGGCGCAGATTGAGGCCGAGGCTGGCAACAACGAGTCATGAGCATAGGAGTGATGATATGCTTTGGATAAGTTGAGTACGAGTCGGGAATTAGTTTCAATGTTCAACCGATTGAATCCAGGATAGATCCTTTGGCAACTGGGTTGACTAGTAGCTTTTGGATATGTTGACGAAAGAGTTTATATGATTAACACGTAATTTGTGCCCTACATCTGTTTTCGTGAATGTTCCTCACCAGCATTCCCTTTCTATCACCAAAATACCAATTTTGATCATGTCCCTACCGAAACCTCCTCCATATAACGGACAACCGAGAGAACATATTCATCTCGACGTCCCGTCTCATGTTTGGGCACCGGAAAGTTGGGCAGCCACGCGTCGAAAATAAGCTACGTACTCGCGCATTGCACACGAAAATCATGTGTCGTGAGAAGACTCCCATTGCTTCAGCGTTGGTATTCGGTGATACTCAATCGATTGATAGCCTTCAGGATGCTATCGATGGTCGGCTGAATATGTGCAGTAAGAATACACTTGTGAGAAAGGCCGTGAATCTTCTCATAAAACTCAGCCTTTGGGAATTTCTCCATCATCTCTATGATGCTCGAGATCGAATGGCCAGTAAAAGCCACATTGTTCGTGTTATATCCAAGCGGAGGCTCGAAACTTTGCATCTTCAACTGTTCAATGACTAGCATTCCCAGCTTCATGAACCGGCATTTGATGGTGCAATCCGTAGAGGGCCCTCCGCACTTTAGCTTCTCGATCAGGTCGTCAAAGCTTTTCAGGATATCTTTGATAGATTCCTGCCTCTTTTTGTCCAGTTTCGCTGATTAATCGTCAGTACGGACCATGAGATAGCCTTTAAATAGGTAATTATACTGACCCAGAAGATGACCAACAGGGAGGTCTTTGGTATCAACCATTTTAAGGCCTCTGCCTTGCTTTACGATCAAGCGAGCCATTGTCGAGAACACTTGGGGCCAAGAGAATACCCAAGAGATGTACAACCACATGATGGCCGCCTTTCCGTAACGGCTCGGGGTCTTGTAAATCAGATTGTGCCACAACTCTGCAGCGAGTTGCACCGCCTTCTCGCAATGATAATAATCAACGATGACGGTAAAGTCGACAAAGAACTCGAGGCTGATGTTGCGAGGCACATCGCGGTGCCGACCGTGGAGGATGTTCATGACTACGACCAGTGCGTGCGGATTCCAGCCTGTTGTTCCTACCTCGCGAACAAGTGCGCTCTGAGTCTCTGGGGAGGGAATATCTGGGACAGACGAAGGCTCATCTGGGACAGACGAAGGCTCATCTGGGACAGACGAAGGCTCATCTGGGACAGACGAAGGCTCATCTGGGACAGACGAAGGCTCATCTGGGACAGACGAAGGCTCATCTGGGACAGACGAAGGCTCTGGAATCTCTTGAGCATCTGGCAACGTAAGATCGGGTTGAGAAGTGGGAAGGGACGCCTGTTTCCAAGGGCCGCTGGTCATCTTGTTGAATACGGGCGATGCGAGCGCGAGGTGATGGCGGAAAATCCGCATACGTATTTCGGTGGGCTCATCGCCTGTGCCTGAGCAACCTCAAGTCAGATTGGAATCTATTTTGCAGTGATTGAGTCCTTACCCGAGGCCTGAAGAGGTGGAAGACCAGCAGACACATTTGGACAATCTACCCTCTCGTTATCGACCTTGTCTTCATTCATGCGGCCGCAAGTAAGATAAGGAAGGATGACATTCGGGGTTACTTTCTCAGTCGAGTGATCTTTGAGGACGAGCTCTAGGTCGCCTTCTGGGACTATGTCATGCTTGATGACTGCCATGGCGTTGTCGTGATGCCGAGGTCGCGGCGGAAGAAGAAGATGGGGGAAGAAGGGTTTGGCCACGGGGAGAAGAGAGGGAAGGATCAGAGGAGATAGAAGAAGACGACGACGGGCGAAGGTGTATGTAAACAAGAGAGCTGCGTTGCGAGTGGGGGACTATAAAGATCGAATGGCAGTGCCATGACAGTTGTTGGCAGCTGTGGATTACTGTCAAAATACATGTAAACGCGCCGTATCACAGGAGATACGCTTTCCCAAGAAACGTGCTGCAAAGTTGTTGAGAGCAAGAAAACGAAAGAGAAGAGGAAAACAAGACTTGGTTCAATGACTGCATGTTGATGTGGATGAAATTCCATCTCACAACACCGGCACATTAGAGGGAAAATATCCCAAAACCCAGAATTCCTTAACATCTGACTGAACCCTTTTATGACCGAAAGTGGCTCAGACTCAGATTGTTCATGTTCGTCGTTGCTCTTCGCATAACCGGCTTCATTCTAGAAAGAACCGTACAAGTCTCCCAAAAGTCTGGTGACGTTTCGTGATAAGATGCCGATAGCTGAGGGAAACCTACAATCACCTTGAGCATACGACTGAGGCTATACCCATGGTAAGGGGCAGTGACCGGTGGTCGCATGACTGCCATACTGCGCATTCCTCGCATCAAGCACCCAAGTGCCAACGCCGTACACTCCTCTGACTCTCCGTCTGGGCATCCATCCTCACGAGAAAGTTCTTCCTTGAGATCATCCAGGTCGGATATCAGTTTCTTGATCAGTGCTATCCTCATGCGGTCGACTTTTTCTAGTAGATCTGTTAGCTAGGCGTCATAGTGTTGTTCGCACGCGGCTTCATACTAAGGATATCTTTCAGAGGAAGGTTATTGAGTTGGAAATGCTCCGGGCCTTCATATTGCATGCTAACCACTCGTAACATCTCAGAAAACGACTCGCTCCAAGAAAAGACCCAAGAGCTGTACAGCCACATAAGGCAATACTTGTTCAAAGGTTCTTTGTCATATAACGCAGCATGCCATACTTCAGCAGTGAACTGAAGCGCTTCAACACAACCGAAGGCCTCGGCGAAGGAGGCAACAGTAGTCAAGAAGGGCAGATCAACTTTCCGGGGTACTTGACGCTGACGGCCGTGGATGACATTAAGAGCAATGGCCAAAGCCTTTGCGTCCAGGCCATCAAGAACTAGATTAGGCACCGCAGAAGAATTCTCCTCCTGGAAGGTCTCTATCTCACGCTTGAAGAATGGAGAGGCGAGAGCGAGATGGCTTGACGAGACACGCATTCTGATCTCGACATCTTTTTTATCAGAGCTTGAAGGGTTTGAAGAGTCATAGAACTGCATGTTGAGGTCGTCCATCATTGAGGTGAAGTCGTCGAAAAAGCCATTGCCATCCTCTTCGTCTTCACTCTCAGAGCTATCACTCTCTAGGATTGGACATGGCCTGTAAGAGCCAATCTTTGGATCAATTTCACGAGTATCCGGCTCTTTCAGAATTATTTCAATATCGCCGCCAGGAGCTATTTCGTAAAGAACAGACCTCATGGCTCTGGTGGATGAAAGTGGTGGTGTAAGTGGTGAAAGCGACAAAAGAATGCGTCAACAAGCGATGGAATGAAGGAAAAAGTTGCGAGAAGAAAAGTAAAAACCTCATAGTGAAGACTCTATGGCCCCTTTTGAGCATCAGCCAATTATCTGCCGTCGTGGAGTTTATGGACAGTCTGCCTTATGGTCAACTAGGTTCTTAGGGTTAATGAAATTGTACGTACGGCTTCGTACGTTTACGTACGAAGCCGTACGCAACAATACGTGAGTGAAGTGAAATACACTAAGTAAGCTAGCTCGACTTAGCCCTGTCTAGTGAGCTATACTAAGCTGCAAGTTAACTAGCTTGGTCTGCTCTAACATTTGGAGTCATGAACTGGCTTACATGGACGAGATGTGAAGCACTATCACGATGTCAAGCTGAGAAAAGAAATTTTGAAAAGGAAGATAAATACTTTAACTATTCTTTTTGCACACGAGATATTGAACGCTACAGCCCATAAAAGACCAAAACGCCATCACGAACCAGTAACCTTGATAGTAGAAGCCACACTCGGCACACCATTCTTATCCATCACGAACAACATCCAATACCCAGGCAGTGCAACACCAGGATCACTCGGCACCTGGAAAGAATACGTATTCTTACCAGGATTGCCCAATGTAAGAGGAATACGGCGCTGATCGCTGTTGACAGTATGCGTCGCCGTTCCGTACCGAATAAGTGAAGCTTGCATAATAGCACCATTCGTCTGCACGGTAACCGTTCCACCGACTTTGATCGTGGAGACGGACACAGACTTTATCTTAGGTCTCGTAGCCAACTTCCCTTTGGTGTCGAACAGATAGGGAGGTGAGTAAAGCTGAGCGTCGAAGTGGTTTGTATCGCATCCACCACAGAGACCACCTCCGCCGTTGAAGACTCGGCCGTCGGGGAGAAGGAGGGCGATGCTGTGGTATACTCTGACGATGTTGTTCGGCTTCATGAGTATAAAGCGATCTTCGTCTGGGAGATACATCTCAGGCTGAAGCTGGGGCGTTGAATCGGCGAAGGGGATCGCATACTCCTGACCTCCGGTGATGAAGACGTTGCCGTTGGGAAGAACAACAGAGCTATGGAAGACGCGAGGGAAGAAGAGTCCTTCGCTGGCATAAGATGAAGTGGCGTTTTTACCAGTAGCTCCAATGGTGATGACATGAGCATCAGTAGTAGCATCAGCGTCCTGATAATTCGGAGTTCCACCATTGGTAAGGATCTTGCCCCTGACAGCATCAAACATGATGGCATTGCCACACATGGCATCAGGTGCAACACCACGCTCGGACTTTCGCTGTCCAGCAGTCTTGACATCCCCATCCTTCTGGTTCGTGTAGTACCAATTCATAGCCGTACTAGGACCAGCCTGAAAGACCGTTCCGCTCTTCCAACCAAATAGCCAAGCGTGGTTATCAGAGCGAAACAAGCCCTGCACATCGTTGGTGAGCATCTTCTGCACATCAGCTTTGTTCAGCAGCGTCCAGGCTTTCTTCTTTGGATCGTACACCTCGCCGTTCTTGAAGGCCTGACCGCCGCTCCAGGAACCACCGATTGTGAAGACCTTGCCTGTGGATGTGGTGGCAGAGGCATGGTAGCCTCGGGCGATTTTCATGTCAGGGCCAGGAACCCAGCTTTGCTGAACTGGATCAAAAAGACTGGTTCTCTCGGCGTTGTTACCACCTGTGACGACAAGTTGGCCGTTTCCATCGAGGGAAATGCCGGGGCAGAACATGTCGTGGTTTGTCTCGGTGACTTCTCGCTCCGAGACTAGGCCAGTGGCTGGATCCCAGGTAGAAGTGAGAGTCAAACCGCCAGGACCTCCATCCATGGTATCTCGAGCCCAAGACGACCAGACGAGAACCTTACCCGTGGTAGGATCAACGGTACCAGCTACGGGGATGATGGGGAAGTTGACAGTTGGTCCCCATGCTCCCATGGATGGCTGAGGGGGGATGTATTCATTTGCCTGGAAGACGTTGAGCTCAGCGATGCTCGTCCAAGGGTTACCATTCGCCTCGGTGATAGCAACAAGACGCACATAGCGCGCAGGCTGTGTATCAAAGTTGGCATATTTGACCGTCTTGTCAGCATACCACGTTCCATAAGCAACAGGAGAGCCCCAGTTCTTCTTATCCTTACTGAGGAATACCTGGTGCTGGGCAATATATCCATTTGGCGAGTCATCCTGTCTCGGTAGCATAGAGATACCATTAACATTATAGACTTTTTTAAAATCAATAGTGATATTGTGCGGCGGCGCAGGCTCAGTTCCCTCCCACTGGGTATGCCAAATGGTCCCATCGTCTCCATCAACAGCATTCTTACACTCATCCCCCTCATGCTCACTATCGCACGTCACTGTCCACTTCGCGCGGTTGATGGCGGCGCTGTTTAGCGGCGCGGCTGCTCGAAGACTCAGCAATTGTTCTCTCTTACGAAGGGAGTTTGTGATAGGACGGACCTTGTACTTGCTTGTATCTGCGTCTCTGAGCTGCGGCTTGGGCTTGAGCTTGAAGCCTGACTTGCTGTCACTTCGCTCCCTGGGTGGGATGGCCTGGATGTAGCCCTTGTTGAGCTTGGGGACAGGAAACTTGTCGCTGTAGCCGACGGTTGTCTTGCCGCCGCCTTTGGTGCTGTCTGCGTCGAAGGTTTTGCCCGATTGGTAGACTTCGACGCCTCTTCTTGAGCGTCTGGGGGTACTCTTCGACTTCTTGGAGTCTTCCTTGGAGGACTTGGTGGATTTTCCCTTGGCCTTGGAGGCTACTGTGGCAGTTGGAACCTCTGTTGTTCGAGTCTTTGTAGAGTCCTCGACCCTGGTTCGCGACTTGGTAGCATCATCACTACCATCGTGCTTCCCAGAGTTGCCTTTTCCTTTGCCGCTCCCCTTTCCACTGGAGGAAGTAGTCTTGGCAGGATCAGCAGTCTTCGTCTTGGTTGAGTCCTCAACTCTGGTGCGAGACTTCTCATCATGGTTGTCGTCGGAATGATTGCTAGAGTCATCCTTTCCTTTCCCCTTCCCTTTACCACTGCCCTTTCCGCTTCCTTTGCCACTACCTTTAGAAGAATCATCATCTGAAGGTGTAGGAGTTACAGAATCGCTAGAGATTGTCGAAGTTGTTGAAATTGTCGTTTTGGATGAGTCCTCCGACTTTGAACGGGACTCTGTCGAGTCATCGTTGCCTTTTCCCTTTCCCTTATCCTTGCCCTTCTGCTTGTGGCCTCCCGACTCAGAATCATCATCGCTTCCATGTTTGGCTGTCTTGACTGTGCCATCTTTAGACTTCGGCTTCGATGAGTCTTTTGAGGACTTGTCTTTGGGCTGGTCAACAGGTAATTCTCCAGCTCGGACGTAGGTAGGTGCCATCATCGGCTCCTCATAGTACTCAACGGGCTGCTCGGGAGTTCCCAGAGGATCATCATCTGAATCATCGTCTGAGTTTTCATCAGAGCCGTACGACTCGCCGGTCTTGTAAGCCCTGCGTCTCAGGCGGGACCTGTCGGTCTCAGACCTCAGCTTAAAGACGGGGAAGATGGAATCTGATCTTGCTTTCAAGCGCACAGACTGTTTGGAAAGGAACCCAGCATCTTCCTGGATAAAAGGAACCTCTGGCTCAGAAAAAGAACAGCCAGACTTGGGGGGAGTGGAACCTGGAATGGCGCCCGCATCAACGCCTTCTAGAAGACCCAGACATAACGTCAAGGCGTAAACAGGCTTCATCTTGGCTGTAGTGTAATGAGTGGCAACGACGAAAGGTTGAGGTATTCAGAGACAAAGAGTGGTTGAGGGTAGGATTTCCTTTGTCAAAAACGAACAAGAGCAGAACCTTAGACGACTCTATCGAACCATTTTATAAAAAGTAGCCTGGACCTCTGCCCCAGAAGTTTATTCCCATACAGAGGCTGAAGCTATGCTTGATGCAGGAACCAACATGTACAGTAGGGACCTGCATAGAGCTTTGGGGCTAAGCCCATAAGGCGTCTCGGCTCTGCCGCCACCAAGATTGTGGTCCCGGGAACTCGGAGGAATGTAACTATCGCCTATATCACGGCCTGGACCGCCCATGTCATTCCTTTCTATATATGCCCTAACTACTATCGGCGTTCACCCAAAGCTTAAGCTTATATTCTCCCATGTCCACGGATTAATTAGCTTATATTCTTGTCACAGCTCGGGCTTCTAACAGCTTCAGACTAACTGATTGCGCTTCCAATCAGTTTAACGTCAAGACCTTAAATCTCCAGGAATGAAGCGGTGTTTCTCATTGTCCGAGCTTCATCGTCTGAACCGACAGTAATTGATCAGCAGCCTAGAATCTCCTCCCTCTATACCTTTCTATTCAACGCCGATCCCCCTTATAACCTTTGCTGGCTTTTACAACCCCCCTGTAGATCGGGGTTCAACGGTGATTCCGGGATGTTGGGTTTGTGGTTAAGACTTTCTTGACATGAGCGTTCCTAAGCGTAAGTGACAGAGTGAAAAGCTTAAATGCCATCTCCCGAGTATGCATAACAGTGCGGTTTAATGTGCATTTCTGATCACATTCGTCACTTCGTTGCATAAGTTCCATTGTCTATTGGTTATTGCAAGCTGCATATATCGTATATCTTTTCTGTAATCACCCATGTCTATCACCACACGAAGATAAGGTCCATCTTGCAGGTCCAAGCTCATGAATAAAGTTGAACGTAGGTCGAGTTATTTAATCCGAGTGGCTTCGCTTGGGAAGCTCTTTGAATGGCCATCACAATAAAATATGGGCAATGGAGAACATGGAGCCCCATCACTAACTTAGTGCGATGAACAACACTAGTAGAGGCGGACAAACCAGCATTCCCATAAACTCATGCACTATTGTTGGTTTGACAGCTGTCACACCCACTCTGAAAAGGTTGTAGATATCCGTGGGGCGAGCTCATGAGTTACAGTGAAGGAGCATGGGACAGCGCACCACGGTTCGGAAGTTTAAATAGTCAAGATACTGGAATGAAGGCTTAACAAGCGATATGGAGAGTCATTTCTAGAGATTGGGCTGCAACGAGATGAATTGTGAAGCCATCCATACTCAACCATGGATCTCAACTATTACCAGAAGGGAGAAAGTAAAAGCCCTATTTCCTGCTTAGCGATTCGGGATAATATGAGAGCAGACAGCCTGATATCGATTTCCCGCCTCCTGTTCCAAGTACAACCCTTTCGGCCACATGTCCATGTTCCTGGAAAGAGGCTTTTCGTCAATCTCAGCCCTAGTTATCGGATCATATTGTACACGCCGAAGTGGTCCACCTTGAGAGTAGTCGAGCGACTAAACAGGGAAATATCATGCTCAACATTCTTTCCTCATACAGTTCGTTTCAAAGCCTAAAGACGTATATCTAGAGGTCTAAAGGACAAAACATCAAGTTAAGCGACTTGACCCTCTCAAGTCATGCCTCCTCCTCAATCAGATAATAAACCTGATTGGAAGCGCTTATGAACAAAGCTACGGGAAGAAGGCCTCTGTTATCTTCTGATCTTCCTATCCCCACTGGAATGTTAGTTCATCCGTCTCCTTCTTCCAGAATGGGCAAGGACCCAACTGTGTACCCTCCGGAAGACGACAGCAAGAGTTTGAAAGCATTGGAGACTGCACTTGGTACATGAAGCACTATTGTCAAAACTAACCGCTCGTGGACCTCAAGCTCAATGACACCGATGCTAACAACATCAAACTCGATACCACCAGATACTATAGTGCTAATCAGAGGCAGGTATGTATTTGCAAACCAGAGGTAACACCATCACGAGTCTTCGAAGGCGATCACGTCCACTAACTAAGCAATATCTGCCAAGGTGAGGATGACTAACAACAAACAAAACAGCCATCACAAAAGCCTCGTTAATAGGTACTTCATGTTAATCCAACGCCGCAAACAGTCCATGCTTGCTCAATGTATAGTTAAAGTAGAGTACATCCCATCATTCCAACTCCTGGCACCAAAAGGGTATCAGCGTGCCATGCTAAATCCACTCGGGCACCATGTGTCCAAAACCATATCTCCATGTCAAACAACGCTTGCTTTCAAAGAAAATATTTTGTCCATCATGTTCTCGGCGTTGATATTTGTCTTCCGTTCACTCGAGGATCCAAGTCCTTCTAGGAATTGTCTTCATTTACTCGAAGATTCTCCCCCTTTCAGCAATCCAACCTGTCGGTCGTGCTCGCTTCGTAGCTGCTTCTCCCCCGTCGGGAGCAGCGTCTTCTCTTCCAAACCTGCATCGAAAGCTGGATCACCGGCGCGGAACTTTTCGCGAATGCCTTCTATGCCTGCCGAAGGGGTGTAGGATGGTGACTCGGAAGCTTTGATGGCATCGTCTGGCCAGAGGATTCGATGTGCTTCCTCGACTGTGAGAGGGGGTTCATCGATTGTGGTTATCGGTGGTGCGGTGGTCGGCGCCGGAGGTGGGTCAAATACAGCCTGCCGAGGGGTCGTCGGAGATCCGATGCCAGTGGATCTTGACGTGGGTGTGCCGGTTCGGGCCCGTGGTGTCCATGCGGGGCTATCCGTGATCAGCGCATGGTCCGATGATCCCTGATAATCTGTTCTTCTAGTGGCTGTGCTTGTGGTAGCCGCTGATCGCGGGAGGGATTGAGTCACTGAAGTCGAGTAGAGACTTTCATCGTCATCATCATCGGAATCCGTGTAGTCACCTTCCGTGTCCACCACACTGTGAAGGGTAATGCCATCTGCAGTGTCGGCTGGTGTCCGTTTCAGCACTTCCGACTCATCCTTGAGAACCTTCTCCTCATTGGTATTAATGGTGATGGGAATGTGGTGTCGCGCGGTTCGTTTCCGATCCATGCGAAGAATATTTCTCATCAGATAAAGCTCATGTTTCTTATACGTCTCGTAGTAAGTTCGATTGACCATGGCAGCTGAATGAAGATCGTCCAGTTCGTCTAGTTGGCACATGATCCGCAGACGAACTATCTCGGGGAATTCGGTAGCAACGCTGTAGTTCGGGTCAGGCGCAGCCATGCGGTCCAGGCCTTTGTTGAGCTGAGTCTGAGGTTCCCGTTCTCTATGCTTCGAGAGCCCCCAGCCATGACTCTTACCACTGATGTCGAAAAGCGTCAAGCCCAGCACGCTGTTATAGATATCACTAATGGCGGAACGGAATACCGGGCCAGGATCACATACACCTCGGTGTACTGGTGTTGGGGGCGCTGGGATCCTCCTCAGAGCATCCACGATCTGCGCCAGAGACCTCGCTTGTGGTTGTGTCCTAGGAAGGTGTGACAACACATCTGGCGCCATGATATGGGGCAGGACGTTCATCTCGTTGTATAGGAGCATCAACCACCCCAGATTCGTCGCGTCACACCAATGACTACCCTTAGGACATCTTGGTGTACTGGTCAGCATAGTAGGTGGGAGAGTGTCTGATGAGAAACTGGCTCGCGAGCTCAGCGGCATATCGTCAGAGTCTTCAAGCGTATTATGTGTTGGTTGTCTCAAGTATTCCCGGATCGCACCGACGCAGCACTCATTGATCTGTGCCATCTTTGCGCAGCGAACAGCCCATATCTTGTCCTTGATTTTCTGTGGCCAGGGCTTAGCTTGCAGTTCCTTCTCGTCAACTAGGTTCAAAATTGTGGTTTTTGACATGCGCGAGAAGAGCCGACGAAGTCCGAAAGCGTAACTGATCACCAAGAGTCCATCCGGCATGTCATCCGCTCCTTTGTGCATCCATTGTGGCAGCCACCGGTGCTCGACGACGAGTTCTAAAGGTGAAGTGCTCTTATATCTCATGCAACACTCAGCGATGGCAACAAACTGCTCAAACTCGATCTCTCTTGGGACCATCTCGTTATGCATGTGTGCTGCGTGTAAGAGAATCTCCAAGGAATCTAATCGATTCAACTCGACCTGTGGCATGCGGTACAGTCTGGCTTCTGAACCATCCTTGCAATAATATTTTGCTGGGGGTAATGGCAGCTGCATCGAGATGTCCTCGTCATCATATAGATGAAGACTGTTAGAGTTTCCTGCAAACATGCGAGCAAAGATAGGCGACGTCTCAGATAGCATGTAGGAGGAGACTCGAAAACGAAGTGCGGGATCGCTATGGCTGCACCCAGGAGCATTGTTGGCGAACTCAAGTATAGCATCGCCCCGCGGCGTGATGGCGAATTCTTTGATGGTGCGATCAGGAGAGATACCAGATTCACCTGTTTGTAGAAGCTGACGTATCTCATTCAGCTCTTGCTTGATTCTCTCGTAATCGTAAAACCGCATTTCGTACTTCGGAAACTGTACGTTTGTCAGCTAAGGCTCTTTGCAACGGTCTGATTAGAAAGAACACACGAATTGGGGATCTGCCGACATAACCCGAGTTACACTAGCATTGCGCATCCGCTGGACAGCCTCCTTTCGAAACCGTTTATTCGTGAACAAAGCCTCTACCTGCTCCGGTGTCGCATCGCGCTCGTTGTTCTTGTAAGTCTCGATCAGACATGTTCGGCAAGCATCGGCTAGGGTCTCCAGGTAGTTCTTCCAGTCGCGCACCGACGACAGCCAAGCGTCGGGTTGATGAATGCTTTTTGAAACACTACCAGAAACAACCTCGGCAAGACTTCTTCCGCTGAAAGAACTCCTTGTGTCATATATCTGGCCCGGGCTCAGAGGTGACTCAAGGCTTGAATCGCGGCGGAGGAGGTCGCCGCGAGAACTGCGACCGAGCTCTTCCGTCAGAATATGTCGACATAGTGTAGCGCATTGTTCTTTGTTCTTGGCGAAGTCCTTGTAGGCTGAGTCGATGTGGTTGGGCGTGGTAGGAAGGTTGCGTGGCATTCGCTGAACGATGGCTTGTAGCTGTCGGATATGAGTTTCCTGGCTGTCGAGAGGGTTCGCAGAATGGCCATCTGGAGACTTGGAATTAAGGTCGAGGTCGGATGTACTGGTTTCGGGGGCATTTTGACTGATTATCTTGATCTGCAACGCTGTATGAGTATTCATTATAGAATCATGAAGTTGGACCAACATACCCCTCTCCTTGGAATCTTGTTAATCAGTGACTTCCATTGTCGCCCGCCTCCAAGTGGAGGGCCATCGCTAGAAGTTCTTGAGACCATGTCGACCCTCATGGGGAGATTAAGTTGTTTGTCGCTATGCGAGACGGAGCTCCGGATAGATCGCATCAGGCCGCGGTGAAGAGCGCAACATCAATACCGGCGCCTGACCACAGCATTGTAGTCACAGCGTGGCAAAGAGACGCCTCGCTAAAGACTGCCGATTTTGATGTGGTGACTGCACTTGTAAGCCTGTGGCTATTTCGTGTCTATTGATCCGAGGTCGCAAGTCGCAGGTCGACCTGTCCGTATGGCCGGGGTTGTCGGATCGTGGGTGCGACGTTGGGTGGATGCTTCCAGAGTGTCGGGACCGGTAATTTATAACGTCCAGGCGGACCGAGGTGGATAGAATTGGTTGCCGAAGGGGACAGACGTATTGAAGACTCGAGCAGCTAGATTCTGGCGAATGGAGTAACAAGTCGCCGAGTTGTGGGAGTCGACGGATCGAATCGTCTTTGGCTATTCTCGTCGTTTCAAGATCAAAAGCAAGGGCGCAAGACGAGAGTGACAGGAAGTGGAGGACGCTCGGTCTTTAAGGTGGGCTGGGGCCTCGACCTGGGCCTGGGAAAAGCTGGGGTTGAAAACTGGGGCAATAAGGACCTAGGCTAGGACTTGGCGTCTGGGCCCTCTGTTAGTGGACGCCCTGGTATCCGTAGATTTCTTAGTCTACAAGCATGAGCAAGGGATGAGATTTCGGGCTGCATAAACATGTGAGTTGAGCCGAGTTGTAAGACGCGCGGTGTTCGAAGACTGCGAGACTTTGGTGCAACGGTGAGATGTTTAGTCCTATGTGACAAACGATGTGAACGGAAGTGATGGGTGGGAGATGAGTTGGTACAGTGCTGAAGAGATATGTAGTACGGACAGTCTGATTGGATACATGCACAACCAGCCGGTGGAAGAAAGGAACAGAAAAGACGTTAGTTGTCTGTGGTGCAAACAAAAGAAATGGCACTTCCGGTCCATGTCAAAGCGCAGTGTTCTTCATCTCAGTGGAGTATCGGTCCCAGCAGCATGGATGTCACTGCAATTGACGGAAAGAGGTAAGAGGATTGCGGGGGAGGGGACTCATCAGAGACACTCATCAGTCTGGAGCAATTCTTGTAGGGAGTCAGGGGAGTACATGTGAATGAAAGGCAGCAGTCGCAATTAACCAAGGTACTCATATAAATTATGCATCTCCTTATTACCGTACCTTCTTTGCAACCTATCTTTAGATTCTGGCCAATTAGTAACAATTCTCTTCATCGCCCTGGATATCAATGCCAAGGTCCACAACATCTTGGGCCACATGCAAGTTCGTGATCGAGGTACCCGCATGTCTACATCATGGGGCGATTTTATACAAGGATCTACCAACATCAATCCAACGTCTGGATACACGACCGTGGGGTGTGTTAGGTCGCCCGCTCGATGAGCTTTATGATCTCCTCTGCCAGTAGGCATCTACGATGAGGCCTGCCTGCATAACCTCCAGGCAACGGTCGTACTCAAGATCCAGTAAAGAGCATGTATCACTCCAGCATGCTGTCTTACGAGAGGGCAAAGGCCCTGCGACATCACACTCACAGCCTCAAATCATTGGATTATGCTGCTGTAAAACATACTTACCCTAGGCACATACATTGACCACTCAGCTGGTCTGCAAGAATTGCCTCTTGGCCATGAGCAAATACTCTTGAGATCAGTGTTCTCATGCTATAAGCAACTGCTATCTGAACTATGAATGTGAGGCTTTTTGGTAAGTTAATGATTTTACAACCCTCATCATTACGACTATAGGCTCAAGAACGAGCGTGGGCACCAGTGTAGTTCTCATAAATGACCCGGATGGCCTTGAATTTCACGGGTTACTACTCATTAAAGCTTTGAGTTCAGCATAAGTCTTGGAACATAGGGAGCTTAATAGATTAATTAAACGTCAATTGATACCATATTCATTCCCTATTACGGCTCACCATCCATCTTCCTCACCCTACCTCCCTCAAGCACTCTGCTCCCCGAGCACAAAAACAACTCTATCCCTCCCCTTATCACTCCATCCTTTCTCAACATCCTCAATCCTATACTTCTTTAGCCCCTCATCACTCTGTCCAACAAGCACCTTCAGCATCCCCACGGTCTCCGCCCCGAGCTCCGCGGGATTCCACGATCCGGGTCCAGAGCCTCGAAGGGTCACATCACGCCTCCTGAGCCCCATGGCCGAGATCTCGCCCGCGTCACCAGCCATGGAACCAATGTTGATCCACGTAATCGGGTTCTTCGCAGACGCTGTGCTGGGACTGAGGAGATACGCGCTGGGCCATGGGCCGTAGAGGAAGTCAAGAACGATGTCTGCGTCGGCTGCGGAGGAGAAGTCCGTCTCGGAGGGCGTTTCCTGCAGAACGATGCCGGCGTCGAGATCGAGCTTGGATAGGGCGTCGCTGTTGCGCGCTGCGCCGACGACGGATGATGCACCTAGGTGGCGAGCAACTTTGATAGCGATCTTGCCGCTTGCGCTTGTAACGCCGTTGATAAACACCTTGAACGGCTTCCCCTCTCTACCCGACCAGTCCACGCGCTTGCGCAGGGCCATCCAGCTCGCCATGACAGGATTGATCATAGCGGCTGCAACAACAGGGTCTACGCCCTCAGGCAGCTCAACGATGTTATGAGACGGCGCATTGAGGACCTCAGCATAACTGCCTTGTGTTGTGCCAAGGAGGGAGAAGTAGACTTTCTTGCCTGTCGAGACATCGATGCCCACGCCGTCTACACCGGGGATGTGAGGAAGCTCAGTAGCTGTGTAATGCTTCCCAGCAGCGCGGGAGCGCACAAGTTGATGAAGACCAGTGGCGAGAACTTTGATCTGGGTTTCTTTCTCGCTGGTTGGAGCAGGAGGAGGAGAGACTTTGATGGACTTGGGTGCCTGGCCCCATTCTGTTACTTCAGCGGAGAGTATGCTCATCTTGATTGTGGCCGTATAAGAGATGTGATATCCGAGATTGAGAATAATAAAACACCCAATGGCTTCCCCAGGAAGAACGTCCCCTCTTATACGTTGACTTATACCCCCTCATCCACCATTTAGACACAAACGCAGCTATGCGTCAGCACTACATCAGCCAAAAAACCACAAAAGTCCCCGTTAGTAATGGGCTTGATAAGCCTCGGAGTTCAACGGTTCAACAGCCGTGCGCGACGCAGAAACTCTGTAGAACATTGACAACACATCCAGTAATCATACTTTAACTTGTTTGACTCAGAACTGACGGAACTATCGGCATCATCCCCACTCCTTGAACGGATATACGGAATCCAAGGCAGCAGTGGGCCACTTTTAATTGTCGAAAGCTGTGTAGGGCGTCAAATTACAACTCGAGCTGGAAAACACCATGACTTCAAAATAGATGCCTTCATGATGAGAGCCGAAATAGGATCCATGATATCACCTTCAGACAACACAAACAACATGCATTAAAACTTTCATTTATCTCTTTTCTGTGCTTCGTTACATCTGTCCATGCTTTTTTCTGACATCCATCTAGAAAATCCGCTTGACCGTTCTTTGCCCATGCAGCCTGTAGCATATAAACCGCTATCCCTCCGCCCCCCTAAGATGGACTTGTCTTAATGCAATTGCAGCTGTGTATATAAAACGCCTCCTCCCAACCGGCCATGTGTAGAAAGACGCCAACGCCTCTTCATTTCCATGTTTGCTTGCAACCAATCAACCCACCGACCTTCCACCCTTGCCTCTGTCTAGCCAGCGGATCCGGCCTTGCTGTCTGTCATTCTTGCATGCCATTCGCCCCGACGTTACCAATCTGTAAGTGCACTCCACTGCCTGCCACGGTATAACGCTATGAACCACCTTTCAGACATCACTCGTACACTTGCTACATATGTCAATATCACCACGTATCTGGATCTCATCCAGAACAGTGTCCAACGCCAACTTTTGCCTGAACAGGCCTCCATCCATCTCGAATCGTTGATCGCGGTGTCGACTTCGCAGTTCATCCTATCCAAAATAGCAATTTGCTGTTGGTAGATCGAGGAACTGGGAAATTGCTGGAATAAACCTCGAGGGCATATCGCTGGGACACTAATTCAAGGGACCCTGTCGACACGTCTCGTCGCTTTTCAGATCGAGACTACCGCTCAACCGCCCTTGCGTTCAGATTCGTGCTTGGGAGGCTGCTCGCTGTTTTGTCCGTTGCTGTTGTTCGCACCCTTTTTCTTGCCCTTGGTAGCCTTTTGCCAACCATTGTCGCTTTCGCTTTTAGCTCCACGAACATGGCCGTTTTCTCGAGCACCATTGGCTTTCTGAGAACCCGACTTTTGGTTCTTCTGGGGCTTTGTGCCCTCCTGATGATCATGACCTCGTTCTTCAGTCTTCTGACCAGCCTTGGGCCCCTCTCCTCGCCCCGACTTGGGGCTGTTCTGCTTATCCGACCTCCAGGGTCCATCCTTTCGAAGAACCGTAGGGGAAGGAGTACGAGTCTCGTATACCGGTGAAAGATGAGCAAAGTCCTGTCCAACAGGTCGGTCTATGCGGTTTTCAGCTATGGCGAGATCGAGGGGAGCAATTACTCCATTTTGATTCTGACGCGACATCAAACGCTGTCGAGTCGAAGGAGACAGGCGAGAGTTTCCGGTAACTATTGGATCCTGGACTAGGTGAGGAGAATTCATGTAGTAAGCGTTCATCATCGCGATGCGCTCGCGGAATGAGGGGTCATCTGTGGCTGAGGGAGCTGCAGCCATGACTGGGACACCATTCGTGATTGCAGTGGATCCATTGGCCACCACAGGAACCGGAGCAAAAGTACCTTGTTGGGTCATCATTGCTTCTGGCGCAACCTGCGGCATGACAGGTCCATCGACGGGATAACTAGGCACACCGTTCATAGCATGAATCTGCAGGGAGTTGTCAATAGTAGCTGACTCATTTGATGCAGTGCTGCCTGTGCCAGAAGGTGCTTGACGTGGGCTTGGTGTTACGCTTGTCTTCAAATTTGATCCATTGACAACCAAAGGACGCGAAAGATTCTTGTTCTGGCTTCCAGGGAAGGGGCCCTGTGATAAAGGAGCCGACGACGCAGTGGCTGTGAAATTTCGGGCATGACCTAAAGGCGAGGGCGATCGCGATGTTCGCTTCATTCGGCGGTCCAGGATTGTCTGCGGCAGCTGATCGGTTGAGAGTCGTCGTCGCCCGGGGCTTGAAGTCTGGCCTGAAAGATCTCCGAAAGCAAGACCATTGGAAGCCAATTGGGGCTGCTGAGGTTGCTTGCTGGGACTAGGACTCTCTGACAAGTAGACGGAATACTTGCCCTCTTCCGACTGCGGGGAGTCTGTAGCCTTTGGCGTCTCGTCGAAATCTGTATCATCGGACATGAAGCTAGGAATTGGATTGCAGTTTACGCCTCGGGAGTGGCTAGTACCACTGAAAGACTGGGCACCGATATAACCGGAAGCTGCTTGCGACGCAGACGGGGTTCGAGCGGCGGGTTGCGAATGTGAACGAAGGGAGCTGTTGGTCCCTGGAACACCTGTTTCGTTATTTAAACCGTTTCGCTGAAGAGGGCGGCGGAAATCTTGGGTGGCGCCTGTAGTACTAGCGGGAGACGAAGGATACGTGCCATAACTTGCACCCGCTTGAGGGAAGAAAGACGTTCCTAAACCCATGTACAAGGAATAAATATCTGGTCGCAAAGGGGCGCTAAGCGGCGGGTTGTCAAACGAATTTGTTCTAGAACGATCCGATGTCTGTTGGGGCTGCTGCTGGCCAGATGCTGGACTCGTTGACATCCTTTGCTGTTGCTGCTGCTGCTGACCCATTGCCTGGGCTTGCGCTTGCGCTTGGGCCTGGGCCTGATGCTGCATAAATGCTGGTGACTGAGTGGCATATAGGAGTCTCATATTCTCTTGGTGCAACGCCATTTGGGTCATGATATCCTGTTGTGCGTACTGCTGAAACTGAAACTGTTGGTTTTGGTACCACTGCAGATCCTGCGCCATGTTAACCGGTTGCATAAACATATTATTGTTGTTGCTGTTGGCATCAAATTGTGGAACGCCCGCGGAAGAGCGCCGATTCGAGTTGCCGCCCCGGTAGTTGTTGTTATGTCTTCCGCCGCCGCCGCGATGATTTCCACGACCTCCCCGGCCGGAATGTGTCTGCGAGGAGCTGCGCAACAACACAGGTCGTGGTTGTGGTGCTGGTCGAGACCATACTCTTTCCTCCTCTTTAGGGAACACGTACTGCTCGCAAGCTTCCTCAAACTTCGCTACTGATATCAGGTCGAACGCCCGGCGTAACTCCATATGTAACCCTCGGAAAGAATATTCATCGGCCGTGTTTCCCAGATTGCGAGAGGTATTGAAGGGCTCTTCAACACAGAGCTGATTGTTGATCGCGTAATGCCACTTCTTGTCCTGCTTCGTGACCAGTTTGCCTTGTCGCACCGAGATTACGTGCTTATCGTAGTCAAATTCGTGGGCGTAGAAGCGAAAGAACTGGAACAAAAGCTCCGCGGAGGACGACTTGTTCTTGTTTCCATAACCAGCTAGCTTCTCGATATCGTCCGCAAAATCGGGGGTGGTACCGTCGGGTTTGGGCAACTTGTGCGGGGATTGATGCAATGCGGGAAGAACGGGAGGGCTGCGTAGCTGCAGGAACGCGATGATCAAGCAAATCCATGTGTAGGAACTCAATGTGCCACCAAACGCTATCAAACGGTTAGACAAGGTTGAGGAGGGGGGGAAAGTAACGTACCCGCATCATTGACTATTCTCCTCCGTGTCCAGTATTTTATAATCATGGCAAGCTCGCGAACTCGGGGGTCGATATCGATATATGTTCGAACCATGCGCGTATTCTCAAGAGCGAGAGTGTTGTTGACATTCATGTCGCAGGCAAGGCCCAGCTCAGGATCCCAGATCTTGACAATAGGCACCTTGGCAGCCGAAATGCAAACAACCTTTTCCATGCCTCCTGATTTGTTGTTAGAGAAGTTGTGGCAAATTTCGTCGGAAGATACATACGCTTCGCTAGGAGGTTGGCGATCATGCAGACACCCTCCAATTCGTGCCACGAGGTTGTGATGCAGATGTCCACTAAAATTGGTTAGATTTAATCAGGCGGGTTGTAGATTGACGTACCATCAGAATCATCCGAACAAAGAAGATTACCAGAAGAGCCGAAAAGATTCACACGAATGTCGTGCCCTGGCCACTCGTCATTGAACATGTTTTCAAGCTTCGACACCAGTTTCTTTCGGTTCTCCTCAACGGTAGCGGTAGGGAGAAGTCGATCAAAAACCTCTCTCATATCCGTTGCCAACTTTCGCTCCTCATCCTCGGTCAACTTGTTCTTGACCGTCCGCAAGTCCAGCTTTTCCAGACGATCATTGCCGACATTATACGGTATTCTCCTCCTAGTATTTAACAGGCTAGTCTCGTATTTGCAGCCTCCTAGTCGTGGCGGTAAAGGGCGAAGTGCAGGTAATGTGCTATTTGTCTCAGAATACGCGGATCGCGGAGAGTGGTTATTCGTCCCCGTGGGTGACGGCTCGCGGTCTTCAAATGAAAATTGCCGAGCGTGCTGGTGAGGCGTCGAGGGCACTGAACTAGAGTGGGACTGAGCCGAAGGCGCGGATCGTCGGGGTAAAGGCCTCGATGAGTCGGCGGCCTGCTTGGAAGACATTTTGTTGAGCGGAACCTCTTTGGAGGTTACAACCGAGCGACTCTTGTCTAAATTCTGATGTGACCTGCTCCCATGGCTCCCCTTGGCGGCGGAGGCGTCCCTTAGCGACACCTTGCTGGAAGATCGCGACCGAGGCGCTGCCTGAATGTGAGGAGCAGAGATGACGGGAGGGAGTGGCGGTGTCTGCAGGCCGCCGCCTCGTGAGGGGGAAATGAGCTTATTGTAGTGGAGGAGTTGAGCGTGGTAAATGTTGGACTGCTGAGGGAGGAGAAAGGGGAGGAAGTCGAGATGTGAGTGGAATTGTGTGGCGGACGGGTCGGGGAAGAAGGAGCCTTCGACGGCGGAAGCGCTATGAGTACTTGTCGCCGATGGTGTCGTCGGATTCGGTGTGCTCGAGGATATCGTCGAGGCTGATGTCCAAGGACTAGAAGGATAAGGATGAGGTTCGGCTGTTGTGGTCTGGGCGTCCATATGGAGCAGCGAGCGAGCCCCGGGACAGTTCAAGTGATTGCGGGGACTGACGGGCAGTATGCGTGACGACGTTAGGTGCGTCGGGGCTCGTGGGGATCGGGCTGTTGCTCGGTGGCGGCGAAGGCTGTAGAAGTGGGAAATGGAGCAGAGCAGCAAAAAAGCGTCGTGCAGTTCTCAAGCGCTAGAGGGGACCTCAGCATGCGATCCAATGCCAGATTTCTAATGTGCAGCAGAGTTCCAGGGGCAAAATCTGGTCGCTGGACACAAGGCGCTGTTCCTGGGTGGGAATAGCAAACGACCGAGCAACCTCAGAAGTTGTACGGAGCAAGAAGGTAAAGCGAAGCGACAGCGACAGCGTATACGATCGAGAGAAAAAAAAACGAGCACAAAAAGAGCGCCGAGTACGAGTTGGCAATTATTAACTGAGGTATTGCAGCTGCAGTCGGTATAACAACGATTTTCCCCAAGGCGCGGGATAACGATGGAAATGTAGGATTCGAGAGATGGTGAACAGTGAACTGTGGACTACAAACGTGTCGGAGACGCTTGTGCTTGTGCCTGTGGGGGGTCTCTTTGCCAAAAGGGGGTCGCTCGGTGCGAGGGACGCCGGTTCACCTCGTCTCGTCTCGTCGGGGGGAAGAGGGCGAAATGATGGTAATTGTTCAGGTTGGAAGCTGGTGTGACGAAGATGGGATAGAGCAGAGCAGGCAGAGCAAGAAAAGCAAAGCACAGTAGAGTAGTGAAGTTGATAGTAGAGAGAATTATGAAGAAAGAAAACAGAGACAAAGCAAGATTGGAAAATGGGGATGTGTATGGGAATGACAAGAGATGGCGTCTAGCGGGATAGACAGGAGCATGGATGGGCAGCCCGTTGATTTAGTTTTAGTTTTAGTTTTAGTTTTAGTTGGAGGGAGAGATCAGACAAGACAATAGAAGACCTAGACACTGGACGACTGGACTCTTCAGGCCTGCCTGGCTGGTCCTTCTGATCTGGGGGGAGAAGTGATACCTCGTAACGGTAGTCGTTCTGGATCTGTTTTTGGAGAGATGCAGGCCTACACATGGGGAGTTTTAGTTAGTGCAGCAAGTACCTACTGGTCCTGGAGGCTGAGCAGTGTCAGACCGGAGATCCACACTGTAGATAAGATCAACTGTAAATAGTCCACACCTCCGACAGAATAAGCTCACCTGCAGTCAAACGCCTGCAGTCAAATGGATTTATTCAACGCTGACCTAAGCCGCTACGAGCGTTATACAGTAAGTTGGACGCCGACTTTGCCAACCGTCAGACTATTTACTGCATCAAAAGCTGGCCACAATCTATTGAATGTGTATTTGCACGCTAAACAGTTCAGCTTGCTGCTTGTTATCCAAGACGTCCTCATTGAGCAATCACGGGCATGGTACAGTGTTTTCCACGGTCACTCTCATCAATTAGCCCGATACCTCACCGTCCGCCACAGCGAATGGGCCTTTGTACCGGTAGACAAAGCGGGGATTACAGACAGCCTCAGCAGATAACAAGCCCCGGGAAGAGCTCAAGCAGAGATCAACAAAGGGTCAGTGTTTTTGAATAGACCGGAGGGATAGAATTGGAATTGGAATTGGATTGGAATTAGCATTGGGTACGGAGTACATGGATAGCATCAGTAGGGGTGGTGACTTTGACAGTAACAGCATCAGCCAAGCCCAGCCCAGGGCGTTCGGCAGAGCGGGGCCAATATAGGAGGGAGGGAGGGGCCCTTTCTCAGGGTGCTCATCCACTAAGTTTTAGTTGTCTGTTAGCTGGAGATCCACCGAACGCCCAGCGCATGGTGGAAGCCCTCCGCAACGACTTAGTGAAATGGATGGAATTAAATAGCCCTGCCCTGCCCTGGCCCGGCTCTGGATAGATGGATTAATTCAGTCAGCACGACGCGAGAGTGAGTGTTGTCACGATATACCGTGCGATTTGCTTGGATTGCTGGCTGTTTGGGGGCCTGGCTGTGATATTGGAAAGATCCAACAGCACATGCTGGACCCAAGACCCAAGATTGCCCTCCCATATCACATCACATCACATCACATAGATTCCCCCATCCATTGACGATACGCTGTACAACACGACTTTGCTCGTAGGTGCTGTGCTATTCATGGTCGAGATCCCATCCATCTGCTCTCAAGGTCCTCCTGGCTAGCGCTGTGTCAGTATCTACAGGGGGAGCACGATGGTCAGGGACCCTGATTCTGCTAAAAATCCTCCCCCTGACGCTGTATCCACCCAGTCTGGCCCCCCGGCTGTGGTCTGTGGATGGATGGCCGATGACATTGGAGTCTTGGGATCCATGCCTCGACCAGGCTGGCTGCTGTTGTGCCGCTACAAGCCAGGTAGGTCGCATCACACTCTTTGCAATGTCACGTAGTACTTGAGCACCCAGTACCCAGCCATCAGAGCTTCTCGTCTCGTTCCTGAGAGGGGTCGGTCCTCCAATTCCCCTCAAACTCAGGACCCCTTTGTCTGATGGGATTTCTGGGTTTCCATGGGCAGAGGAGAAAGAGAGCATTGGCGCCACAAAGGTAATTCAATAAAAACAGAAATAGGAAATAATACAACAGGCCCCCCGGGATATGCCCGTGGCGGGTACCAGGTACAGGACCTGGCCTGATCTGAGCTTGACCTTGGACTGCAATGCTGAGAGATGCAGCAGCCTCAAATTGAAAAGTGACTGACGGGATGCATCTGTGTGGGGAAGACATGCAGATACAGGCTACTCCGTATTCCGAATAGCTAACTAATATGCGACTGTAATGATGTCGGCAATGTGTGTGGAGGAGAATGGCCTCCCTTTCATGATTGCATTATTCCGTATGTGGACATTGACGTTTCCAAAGGGGGTTCTGGTTATACTTTTCCAGGCCTACAACGGAGTATTCCCAGTTCAATGAATACACTTTTGATCAAGAATGATCTGTCCATGTATCAAATCGCACAACCTGAAGCAAGCACGTCCACCTTTCTTTCTGGGCCCACGAACCTCATCTTTCTTCTATCCAGCAAACGTCACTCACATTAATGAAATGCCGATTAGTTACTCCGTATTGTCATGTCGTATAAAACTAACGGGAGGCGAATTATGATGGAATTGATTAAATATAAAAAGGCCCACAGGCGGCCCGTGTGTTTCCCTTCCCTATCAGGCCTTGGAACTAACAGCACATGATGATCTGTGATGAAAGGCCAGTCGTGACAGGGGGGAGCTCTGTTGGTGATGGTAGTTTTGTTGTTGCTTCATTGCAAAGTTCAAAGAGCGTGTGCTCCGATAAAGGAGGAGCTGTCAATGGCTGTCGATTGCTCGTCATGCTGTGTTGTGTCGAGAGGCTGGAAAGAGAGAGGCCCACCAAACTATTGATTGAATTTCTGCAAAAATCCAATATCAAATCGAATGAGATATGCACAGATCTTGGGGTCAATCTCCAGAGTCTAGAGTCTAGCGCGTGTTCCGTTCCGCCCAGAGGATTGTCTCGGCATCTCAAATTGGACTTATTTCCCCACCACAGGACAAAAGACGAGAGAGAGGACGAACAAGTTCTCCATGTCTCGTGATGCTTCGATTATCTTTGGTAATGCACCGAGAGTACGCCCCTCTCGTATCTTTACTTAGCATCTGGGCCACTTTAGACAGCGTATAATTCTCCTTTTATGTCTTACCAACCGCAGCCTCTTACCCTCTCATTTCTAGAATCCGCGCCATTGTCATACCTCGCAAGTCTCCCTTCCCGGCCACCAAATAACTGCTTGTTTGTTTGGCGCGCATCCCTTTTCTGCCCAATCTCCAGGTACAACAAACATCAGCCTCAATAGATACCACGTAGATTTGAATTACAGATTTCCGTCCCTTGTACGTGATCATCTATGCGCTATCTAGCGTCGCGTGGACCGAGCTTACTCTCCTGCCGATCGATTCCGTGCTGTATGTACTCCGTAGTCTGCGTATTACTCTGTATGGAGTCATCGTATCACGTCTCGTCTGGAAATACGATTTCCCCGTGTCTATTCCTGGCGTTTCATGCCCCGTTCTTAACCTCTCACTCAGCACTGGACACGTCTTTTGGTCTCGGGAGATCAACCGCCGGCCACAAGCCACAGGTCTGGAACTTTTAACTCTACCGTTTGCCGTCCTACAAATGGTTTCTGTTTCTGTGTAATTTAGCCATGTCTCCTTCAGCTCGTGTTTTTCTGTTCAACCATGGCGCACCCATCTTTACAAGCAACTCTTGCCGCTCAGGTGGGTTGTATAACGTCCGCACACCGCGGTATATACAATAATGAATAGACTATATTGCATTAAGAGGTCCAACGTAGTCTGGAGTAATTGGAGGTTGGCGTATAGTAGTACGAGGAATGACATAATAATCCTTAATACTTCAGTCTCTATGAACTTACAGCCACCCAAGTACCTATACAGTATCTACCACCTGCTCGTGTCCAGCCCATCTACCGCTACAGGTACAACCACACCTTCTTGAGGTCTATTTAGAGTGTGTGAGATAGTCCGGATTGACTACCAGGTTTGGGGCTGTTCCAAACGGAGCTGAAAGAGCACAGTGTGATGCCCCTCAACCAGTTAGATGACGTGCCTTGACTCTCCTTGGCTGAAGCTGACTTCAGGCTGACGAGAGGTGGCTGTAAAAACTGCGGGCTGCTGGCAAGTGCAAGCCATACAAACCTAATTCATCTTGCCTTACCCGACTTTGACACAAGTCAATTCATCGTTAAGCCTGGCGAGCTAAACATGTGCTCTCCGCTTATTCCAACCTCCGTCGTTTCTATCCCTTCTGTCTTTCTGTCTCTGACTTGTGCTCTCTCACGATATTAAAGTCTCAACACTGCAGTTTCAGAACATTTTCTGTGAGTTGGTCGGTATGTTCTCAGATGACGATCCACTTCAGATCGACAACCATTGGAGATGATCACGCGATGCTATGGAGTTTGCCAGGTGTTGTTCGGCAATATAAGATGCTTGCTCGTCTGCCTGAAAATCGCGTGTAATTGGGGTCGAACAAACGCGACATTCACAAATTACATTTGCTTCCACTGCCGTTTCGTTCTTGAATGACCAAGTGGTTTTTCCCATGGGTTGGACGGGCTCTGCTTTAGTACAACGACCCAACTAGTCATGACGCCTGACAGACATACCCAAACGCCCCCAGAGACCACATCCTGCTGGTCACTACTGTCTGCCTTGTGTTCGCAAACGCCAGGGGCAGGTGATATGGTCGTTTCTATCGAGGGTTTGGCCATCCGCCAGCATCTTGTACGTATACAAGTTGACGGCCATTGTTTCAACGTGATTGCCATGCTTCGTCAACACCAAGATTGATAGGTCATTGATCTTAACGGAAGCTACCAGTGTATGCGTCCTTGATTGGCACGTACAACAGATGACGAAAGAACCATTCGAGAATGCCAACTGTTTCTTGAGTTATAATCAGATCTATGCTTACCAAGCCAACCATGCCAGTTGGTACCGTGGATGTTTTGTGTATAAAGGTAAATATTTTCCTTCAAAAAAGTTCTCTATGTAAGTGTATCTGTGTGTGATTGAGTCTGGCCGTGCATTTTATTAGGCCTCCCGCTGTACCGTTATCCTTCCTTCCGACCGTTATGGTGAGGATAAAGTGATCCAGGCTCTCCATCTCTCAGGGGGCTTATTGTTCCCAGTCATCTCTCTATGAGGCAGAACTACTTACTCGCTGCAGCAGAATGGTACTCATTGAGGCTTAAGAACTGATCTCATCCATTAGCGAGAACGTCCACGGAGAGAACCCGCCTAAGCATCATAGCCAGGACAGCTAAATCGGCTCTTTGGCAATGCTGGAGACTTTGCGATATATTGCAAGAAGACAATCTCAGATAGCCATATAAGCATGGTACTGAAAACCTTGGGAAGAGTTGTCGTGTCAGCCTTTGCGTCTCGCTTCAGCGTGGTCCAGGTCCTGGATCCTCAGGCTTATAATCAAAAGAGTTCATATTCATTATCCAGCAATTTGCTCATTACGCCAGCAAAATCCTCGCTCCATCTTCAAGTTCCATAACATCATCCGCTCTCGCAGCCTTCCCACCCCAAATCACCGTCCCCGTGCCGTCAACAGCAAAAGCACCGGCTTCCTGCCACTTATTTCCCATAGTCGTCAAAGGCCCATCATCTTCTTCATCCTCCCCAACCGCACTCACGGTAGTATTTGGCTGCTTCTTGGCAGGTTCCTTCCCCTGTATCGCCCCCGCGACTTTCTCTCCCAGCCAGCCCTTCTCTTTCCAGCTCTGGACCTGCGTCGTTGGGTTGAGGACGTACCACATGCTGCTCGTGCCTAGACCCCATGCTGCGTACAAGGCTCGCTCCTCATCGACTATCACGCGTACGCTCCATGCGCCGCCGAGGAGTGTTATCCACTTATGGGTTGCCTGCTCTGAGGCGTGAGATACGGCTATACATGTTAGTGCGTCTCCATAGCGGTTTGCCATTGTGCGGAGATTTATAAATGTCTTTTGAGCAACTGTACCATGTTAGTTCAGGGGTTATGATGTGATGTGTAGAAAGCAACTTACATGCACAGCCAACGCAACGTAAAAACACAAGCAACACTCTCTTCCCCCCACCTAGCCGGAGTTTCTGAGATTTATCCAAGGGGGCTTTATCACCAATCCCTGGCAGACGCCCAACGGCAGCAGCTGCAGGCGGAGGAGTCAACCACGGCTGCACAGTCAGAGGAAGAGAGCGGATGGACATCCAAGACCCCCAGCCCGATTCTGCATCATTTTCATCCGAGGGCTGAGGTGGGTTTTTGCGGAGTTTGTTTGGCTCGCGCTTCTTTTCCGAGAAGTCGAGTATGTCGCTTGGTATGCCTGCTTTTTTGAGGGCGAGTTTTGTTGTGAATGATGAGAGCATCTTTGAGACGAGACGGCGGCTGCGGAACGACCCGTAGAGCAAAACGAGGATATATACGGCAGGATGGGGTAGATAGATAGCTCAAGATATTATATAAGTCACTATATCCGAAAAGAATAATATTAGATTGATTGCTTCCTGAGAGTGTTGTTGTAAAAAAGATGAGACGTTGTTCTGAGATGAAACTCCCAAAACAGGGGGGTCATGACGCTAGTAGGGGTTTGGAATGGGGGCGTCTGATCCAGGGTAACGTGAATGGTAAAGCTTGGATAGGGTTGGAATGAGAATTCGAGAGTTGCTGCTCGCATCTAACCGCGACGATGGGGGTGATTTGTGATAAACTTAGGGTGAATAGTCCAGCTTTATTTGAGGCTTCCCATCAAATTTATCACTTCAGTCTGCTCTCTACGTTGTTGAGGGACTATACTGAGAACCAATGGCGTTTTTGCGAACAAAACGTTCTCACCCTTTTGACTACGTTCAAACAGTGCGTGGGTGCATCTTGATCTAAGCAATAGAATCTATGCCTTTACGCGAATGAATCTTCCTGGCGACATATAATATTGCCGGCCAACCTGCTCTCATGTATCCCTCAACACATTGTTCACCACCGCCGACCTTCCGGCTGAAGTCGTCGGGCGCTGTTGATCTCATGACCATTTAAACCTCGATGGATCGTGAGCACCTTTGTTTCCCCAAAAACCTTCGAAAGTGGCCGACAGACTGGGTTTAAGCGGGTGATGCCTCGACTTTTCTCGTAGGCCAACACATGGCGCATCTCGTCTCGTGGTTTAGCGTTCCGATGGTGAGTTATACGGGACTCGTGGGCGCACACGATCCAGTCGAGTCGCCCCCTCATTGGCACTCCTAGGTAGCAGCCTTCTTCTTCATCCTGGGGAATCGTATTGACAAAGCCAAATGATTCGATACCAGTGTACCATCGCGCGATAGTTCCAGGGTCTTCCCTTCTTAGGAACCTGATCAACAGGGTCTCTGTATTTGCCTGCCTCGGAGTTCCCAAGTAGTCAAGACGCACCTGGCCGACAGATCTTCGAGATCCGTCGATGTACTCTAAGAGAAACCCTGTAATGATGCTCCTACAATCCACCCACCAGGAATGACATGGGGTAATCTCCCTGACCCCCTCTAGGTTGGCGGATGTGTAGTAGAACTCGCGTGCCGAAAGCTGGGTATTTGGCAACCATAAACCAGGCTGAATATACTCATTCAGAGGATAGTAAAGGATCTTTTCGAAGAAGAACCAACCGGGACCTTGGATTCCAGCTGTGTAGAACACGCGGCAAGGTTCATCTTCTGGTAATGTCCCAAGAAAGCGATATATCGGGCTGAACGGAGGGAGTTCTGGTGAATGAGACGCTGACGAGCTTCCCAGTGTGAGGCTACGTCCCCTATTTGTGTGGATCTAAAGTGTTCAAGTCAGACAATGCTTTCTCGGTGTTCTGAACTGTGTCGTAACTTACGATGAGTGTAACAGAAGCGCCACGCCATCCAGCACACCTACGAATCCAGAACTCGGAAACTCTTTCATCGTCATCCATCGGTAGATAAAACCATGGGTGTTCTAGATGCCAACCTCCACGGAGATCGTAGTCGACTGGCTTGCTGCCGTCGTCGGGAATGATCCTCAGGATAGTATCATCACGAAGGCAGAAAGAGTAGCCTTTGATGCCTGGCTTGTTCCAATCAACAGCCCGCACAATGTCAAAGTGGCTGCCTTGATACAAGCCAGTCAATGGCTTTAGCACAGATTTGATACGTACTGGTAGCGTAGACCATCGAGTGTTATAACGGCTCCACATATCACATGCGTTTCTGAAGATGGTCAAGTCTCGAATCTTGATACCCTATTTTCCATACATGTCAGCAGAAGCTTGCGATATACCGAGAACTTGTACTCGCGTCGAATCTGCCTTGGAAGCTGAAGGGCCCGCTTGGTGAGGAAAGTATGGTCCACCAGTGGTTTGCCTTTTGATCAATCTTGGGGACGGTTTCACCGGTAGTCGCAATGATGTTGACGACACCCAAGTGGTTGTGAGCAATGAATATGTTCAAAGGAGTCCCGCCCTGCCTTTCAAAGATCTTCACCTCGGGCCCCCCTTTTGAACTGTACGAGAGCGACTTGATGTATCGATTCCCTTCGAACCCCATGTATTGAGCCCAGAGGGCCATATCGGCTTCTATAGTCATAGACAGTGAAGCCGGTCTGGTATTCTCAGACCGCAACCACGCGTCGCGAACGATTTGAACGGCCCGTTCTTGAGTAAAGTCAGCTGCGATCATCTTGCAAACTATCGGTGGGAGTCTGTAATCAAATGCGATGTAGAGGATTCGCGCATAGGAAGATTCTAGCCAGATACGGCGGTTCTTTTCGAAAGAAGCAGGTGGTCGCTCGAAATACGGCTCACGCATAGTTGCGATAGCAATGGGATATCTCAATATGTCATATTGGCCTGTAGACCGATAAAGGAAGCCGATACATTCAACGTGATAGTTGCGGGCATCGCGATAGTGGGGTGGTAATCCAAGTCTGATGCTAGGATGAGGGTAATATGGTATCATGGTCCGGTATCCGTAGGGGTCAAGAAGATAGAATCTGCACAGGCCGCATGTTGCCATGGGACTATAATAGTCGGAAAAATCCTACTTTCTGTCATCTAGTCTCATGTTGTTGGCCTCGAGCTCAAGGAGCGCGATTGCTCTGGGAGAGTTGAAGATGTTAGCAAGTTGAACAACCTCTCTGTCGCATTTGATGGAGGTGGATGCGAGCTTTACCTTTGACTCGCTAGCGCCCCGGAATGCGACTTTTCTGAACAAGGTCGGAGTTAGATATACAACCAAAAGTGTAGTGAGCTGCAGGATAAGAAAATATGGCAAGTTAAAACTGCAGAATGATAAGCGGCGCTGGAGTTGTGTAGTGCTTCGGGTACCAAGTGTTGATGTAAGAAGAATGTAAGGGGAAGAAGGAAAGGGAACAAACCAAATGGTGTAAAGACGTACAAGTCAAAGACGAGGAGGGGGAAGGCTAGATTGGAAACGGGAACAGAAACCTGCGCGTGCATGCATACCGTTTCCTTGCATTTGCGAGTGTTTTGCCATTCGGCGACACCTGCAGTAGCAAGCAGTACCAGGTACCTACCTATGGATTCTCTCCCAATATCGGCATAGCAACCTCAGCAGGGTGTTAGGAAAGCCCAACACCCGCCTTGGCCTCTGAAGATGACACCTACCTCATATCACCCTCAACATTGCTGCATAGTGGTGTGAGACTTCATATCAAGGACCATTGAAGCGCCAGTCCAGCCGACCTCTCCGTGGCCCCTCAAGATACTCACTGGAGCTTATCTGGACTGACGTAGAAACTCCAACCTAGCTAGCTCCGACGACAATGCTCTGAGCATATTTCCATCTCCTCGTCGAAAGCCAGCCATATATGACCCGTTGTCTTGGCCGAAGGTCTCAAAAGATCGACACGAGCTTGTCTGACGGACCGTCGACTTCCATCCGAATAGGTAAGCAGAAGACCTGTTACGACTGAAGAGGACGTTTGACGAAGACAAAACTCCATGGCCCTCTCTAGCTGTACGGATGTCTGGAAATACTCGGCTTCGAATGCGTGTCGGGGTAAAGCCTATATTGGAGATTATCGCGAGGGCTCAGGACGAAGGATAGCCGTGAGCATTTAAGATACCAATCAACCCACGATGGAATAGGCCGCTCGTAAGTGTATTGGCGTCCGGTTCAGTGCGACTCATCAAATCCGAGATAAATAGTTCAACGTAGCCAGCATGGTATCCGTGCTTTCATTCAGTAGAAGTGAATATTATTTTTGAACTGTGACATGCGATTACTCGAGGCTCGGACTTGTTTTCGGGATCTATGAGAAGTAAGTGGGAGGTTAGCAAAGAGGCTCGAGGATGGACTTGCAATGTATGTCATTTCTATCAATCTCGAATGGAAATTTGCAAAGATTTCAAGACGGATGTACCGAGGTGCGCGACACACCATCGATGGAATTCTAGCGGAAGTCACAAAACGGCAAAGCGACTCCCTTTGAGATCATGAAAAGAGGCATGCGAAAGAAGCATACACGAACGAAGAAGTATATCAAGTGAAAGAGGCAGTCCCCCAAAATACAGGATTAGGTGAGTATGATAAGCTTTTAATCATGTCATCCATTTACTCACAGCACATCAATCTCAATTGATGCGTTAACACCCAACCACCTATAGACCTATCACCACTTACACCAAAGCACCAAAAAGAAAGCCTCGCAAACGCTCACAATCGAATTTATATAGGAACAGCCCGATGCGGGGGTCGAACCCGCAACCTTGAGATCGCGTACTCGTAAGAGTCTCACGCTCTACCGATTGAGCTAACCGGGCGTGGCTCTTATTGGATGACATGGCGGATGGAGCAAGTGGCTTGTGAGGGGCACCGTGATAATCTCTTGGTGTTGAGGGGCAGCACACACACGTCAACAGTGGAAGAAGTAAGCTTGAAGCGATGTAGAAACCAGCTTTGTTTTGTATATGGGAGAAACAATTAGTCTTCGCGTCCTGTGCACCGTGTAATCTCAACAGCGTCCTGGACTTGTTAGTGACAATCGTGGTTGAAGGCATGGTATAAACTCACAGGAACACCAGTTGGTTCAAAGCTGTGAACCAGCTTGCTCTCATACACCAAGCACGGATCTCCCTCCGCATCGTCGAGCTTCTCCTCGCCTTCCCTCTTAGCATACTGCTTCGCCGTCCTCTCAGCAAACCCATCCACATTGGTCCCCTTAGCCTTCTTCTTCTCCGCCACACTACTCCGCACATAAGCCAGATACGGCGGGTTTCCAGGCTTGATGACGTTATCCGCTGCAAGGACGCTGCCCGGTCCCACGAGCCCGAGGCGCTCGCAGAGCTTCAGGTCGCTTGTGTACGCGGGCTTGTAGTGGTCCAGGAACATGAGGTCGATCTTGCTGATGGTCTTGTTCTTGTGTAGACGAGCGAGGCCGGCGTCGCTGGGACCGACGATCACGCGGGCGATGTCGCGCAGACCGGAGAGGTCGAGGAGGGATGTTATCACGGCTGCGAATTCGGGGTTGCGCTCGAGAGAGTAGTAGTGCGTGCCGCCGGCTTTGCGGACGGCGTTGGCGAAGAGGAGCGTCGAGTAGCCTACATAGCCGCCAAGTTCGACCTGCGCCTGTCAGCAAGCCCCTCACAGATGACACGCAAGGGTTAAGTATACCATGACTTTAGGCTTCACTTCAGCAATCAGATCCGTCACGATCTTGCCCTTGTCCTCACCCACGTTCATGAGATACTTCTTCGTGCGTCCAAACTCATCGATAGCCTGGAGAACACGCTCCGGCGAGCCCCTCAGCTCATCAACATCAGAGCGACCATAAATGTAATGCAACAACTCAATCTCACGACCATCATCGAAGAAGGTCTCTTCTTGCTCCACGTAAGCTTTGTTTTCGTCGAAGGAAGGCATTGTTTACTTTGAGGATATGTATATCTGACACTAGAACTTGAGCAGAAAGGAAACGGTAGAGGTATATGTAGCTGTGCCAGAAAATAAACAAAAGAATCGCGTCACGTAGTGTACCCGTCATTCATTCCCCCTCATTGCTATAAGTAGATGTAGATGCATATGAAACCTCATTCGAATGGCCTCAATTGCTCCACCCGGGACCCCGAAATGGGGATCCTGCGCGGTCTTCTCCCCGCCGAGATGCGGCCTCGGGTGGGGGTTCCGCGAGACGGAACAATCCCATGACGCGCACATGCAATTCGTTCCTCATCATGAATAGCCCATTCTATGTTAGATAAGGTTAATTGAGTGGGATCGGTTTATTTCCGCTCTTTCGAGAAACTTTTCAGGCAAACGACTTACTGCCAAAGCGAGAGCCGAGTGTTGTCTGGTCCTGGTCAATTTACGAGAACCTCAGATACAAAAGACTACAACATCACGGCTTGAAGTATCTCACTTGCTAGATGTTGAATCGACAACTCGGACCCCGTAATAAACTTGTATTCCCTTTACCACAGGTCATCTTAGCAATTACCGCCATCCCTAACCTCCCCTGGCCAAACCGTCGCCTCAAAATCATGCAAACAATTTCTCCTTTGCCTTGCGAAAACAACCCGTTGTAAACCGTTTCCATATACCCTAACATGAACCGAAATCCTTTCCCCTGAGCCAGTACAAATGAGAGACATGGAAAATAACCTCACCGAACTTTAATCCACCCCAATCCCTGAAAACAATGCCCTTTTGTGCTTTTTTTGTCCTTTTTGTTGTGTTTTCGCCATATATAAACACGCTCCTTTTCGCTCGCCCGTAGGCTACTAACGATCCCTTGTAGGTCCCCATTCCATAGCCATGGTATGCACGCCGACAAATCAAATGCCTCCATCGTGGAAACGTACTCCGAACACGCCGCTCAAGTGATATTATCACATGCCGTAGTCGATTTCGCAGGCTGATTGGTCGTCGTAGATGAAGTGAACGCCGTAAGAACCGCCCTCTTGGGTATATGGTGCCGCTCGCATAGTAAGTTTCAACCTACTGATTCATGAAGATCCCCGGCCCCCGAAGCTATATCCATCCGTGTCGTTTCGTTTCATACCCGACACCTGTGCAATCAAAGCATAAACGAGTGAAAATATCGACGCCCTCTTGATGTTCGAATGCAACTCAGCTCACTCATTCGTGACCCCCAGCCGGAAAAACAGAAAAACAATGTCAACTCCTTAGTTGATGCCATCCCTTCAACACCCGTGACCTTGGTTGTATCACTCAGCTCATCCCAGATCTGAAAACCGTTCGATGTTTGCATCGTCTCGAACTCGAGAATTAAGAGTCGTCAAACACCAGCCCTTGCCGAACATACCAACCGCAATGCACGTTTCCCTCTGCGCCATACCCAATGCAACTTTATATCCTGTGCCGTGTTGCTACTCCTCATCATTGTCGTCCAGATGTTTCTAGCCCCAGACACTAGCAGGAGCACCGAGGCCGGAGGACTGACCCCAGACACCGTTGCCACGCCCCCAGCCATTAGGGGAGGCAAGGGGAGTGGTTGATCGCTTAGACGAGGCTGTAGTGGCAGGCGTGCCAGAGGGTCGGGTTCCGATGGGAGCCACCGAGGCACCAGCCTGGCCAGACTTGGAACCAGGTGTGAGGTCCCGCGAAGGAGAACCGCCAGTTGGGCTAGATGTGCTGGTGCGAGTCTGGTGGCCAACAGCATTGTCGAAAACCTTGTTCGTAGGTCCGGCAGCTTGGGGGCTGACAGTGCTATGAGGTCGAGAGCTGGGCTCAGTGGAGGGACCGTGGGCGTCAACAGCAGAGACAGGAGTGCCAGTTTCACCAGGAGGGCCGCGATTGACGTTATCATAAGCGAGAGGCGAGTGACCACGAAGGCTCGAGGGTCCACTTGCTCCAGGGCCAGGGACGCCCGTGCGGACATTACCAGTCTCGTCCACGTATCCTGCCTTCTCAGCAAAAGGACCCTCACCATAAAGGGCACTTCGCTGACGGGCGATCAAATCTCGTGTCTCTTCCTCGGACATTTGCTTGTTGGGAGGCGGGAGAGGCACTTCGGAAAGGACGGCTACGTAGAAAAGCTGTTAGCCCATGCTCAACAAACTCGACAGTATTACATAGGTGATCAGAAAAGTGTTTGAAAGGGAAGAGACATGAGCGGCGTCCGGGCCAACGACATCATCGACCGCCCATGACCACATTATTTTTTTCTATATGCCATTTTGCTTTTGCGATAGTTGAATGTGCTACACAGCAGAGGGAGGCCTACTTCGCTGATATTGCTGCTCTGTGTGCAGGTTTCGAAGCTCTCGCTCCCGCTGAGCTGCCATCCGTCTCTTAGCCTGCATGACCTGCTCTGCCTCGTTGGAGCCTCGTGAGGGTTGGTGACGCTGGTTGGCGTAGAAGTTTTGAAGATTGGGTCCCTGAGAACTACGGGCGTCATCAAAGTTGTTCACCGAATGAGGGCGGGGACCGGGAGTGTGGTGGGAACCACGGGAGTCTGAGCGGAAATAGAGTTAGTAAAAGTGATCGCATGGTCTGCCCAGCCAGTTCATCCACCCATGTTGAGAACTTGGCAGCATTTAATGTGTAGGATAGAAAACTCACGGCGGCCACCCATTCCATAGCCCTTGCCAGACTTTTGCAAGTTCTCGTAAGCTCGGTCGACCTCTGCAGATTGAGTTAGTGTCTGCGGATATTATTCAGGAATCCAGTATTGTTCGAGTTCGGCATGTTAGCCAAATCGTGCGGTGATCTCATGATTTGGATAATAGCCAAAACCAATAACACCCTGATCTTCACATACCATCGAATTGATACGAAAAGGCGTAGTCGTCCTGAGGCTGAGGACCGCTGGCGCCTGAAGCAACAAGGGAGTTAACAGCAGTCCTGTCTCGGTCCGCTTTGTATCCTGGCGTACCTGCGCGGGCGGGAGTAGTCGAGCCCTGGTGCTCCCAGTTGTTTTGGGTCGTCGAAGAAGACCACTGGGCCTGAGGGTTGTCGTAGTAGGACATGTTGTAAAGCTTTCGGGTTCGGGTGGGGAAAACCGGGACGGAGTTGATTCGGCTCAAGGTGTATGAAATCTCGCACTAGGAGGATCTACTCATGAATTGTCTGGTTAGCCGGTTGAAATTGTGATACCGAATGACGACAGTTTGCGACAGGAAGTTGCAGCGCGAAGCGACGGAGATGCCACAAGAAAGGGCAAAGTGGAAGGTGGTGAAGGAAATTTGCCGCAGTGGCCGACGTCAAAGATGCGCACTCGACACCTAAGACATGGGATCCATCCACCGGCAAATCCTCCCCCTCGTCGCAACACGTTGACAAATCGTCGGTAGTCCTGTGCGTCGATAGATCGACTCACCCAGCAAGAATACGATTAGGTTTTGTCGGTAATCGTTTTCACTTTATTGGAATAGAGCGCAATGTTGCTCGCCACAGTTCGTTATAGTCGGGAATAAACCACGCGAAGATGTCGGAGGGGCGGAAAAAGTGCGAGGAATAAAAATCGCAGAAGTCGGTGACGATACGAGAGTGCTGCGACGAACCGGAAAGACGCTATTGAGACTAAAGCCGCTGCAGGGCAGACGGGAAAATCGAGAGGAGGAAAATGGGAAGAGGTACCGTAGAGGCAGGAAGTGGAAGGAAAGGAAAAAAGGTGGTGTTTAAGATGATGAACGAGTCGTCGACTTGACAGGGCGTGACGGGATAGGTTGGGATGGGGGAAGAAAAAACCAGGGCCGAGCGGGAAAGGAGAAGGGTTAAGCGTAGCGTAGGCGTAGGCCATGAATCAAATCAGGAAGTCGCGGCTGTCATGGGAGCGGGCAGGTGGATGGACAGTGGACAGTGACTGGCACAGGCCAGTATCTTTCAATTTAGGGCGCGCAGTTTGGCAGGTTCTAGGCGTTGTTGAGGCTGCGGGTAAATTGAGTGTTCCCTTTCAAGTATCTACTGCCCCACAGCAAGCGAACATTGGAGGGAATACGGGCACTTTGGATCTGGCCTGGCGGGTGAGTAGCGAAATAACCGGCACACCAAAGCTTTCTTGCCTTATAAAGATGGGCCTATAGACAAAATAAACTCATCATATTTAAGATAATTTCAACTTAATATTTCTATCAACCTCGGCCTGGTGTGCGGGTTTTATTGCGACCTGGCCAGGCTAAACAAGAAGGTACTTGCATTTCTTGTACTCGAGTGGCAGAACCGGCCATCGACGGTGGAGTGCTTGCCTTCAACATCTACTTACCTGCTAAAGAAAAGGACGGACAATCGTCCCTAAAGATGAGCTTGGAGTGATTGTTCCGGCTACAAAAAAGGTCTGGAACCATGCTTCTACCCTGTCTTTCACTTCGATCCCTCACAATTGTCTTGATTCACAATGGCATCTGTCGCAGTCCATCCAATCTATCTTACCTACTAACTTCAGTGCCCCCTGGCCCTGGCCCTGGCGCTGCCCGTTGTCTTGTCCGTTGAACGCCCAGACGCCCGCCCCAACCCTCTTTTGATTCGATAATGGGGCTAATAACGGAGCGTGAAATGACGATGTGTGGGGGGTGCCCTTTTCTCGTTTCTCGTTTCTTGGCCTTTTTGCCAGCAACGCAACGCACCGCACCGCACCGCGACTCCAGGTCCACGATTGCCAGCAGACGATGGCTATGGGTGGGTTGCCAGTGCAGTTACGCTTTCAGAATACTGTGCCAATTTGCTGATATGTTTATTGAAGATTTGAGGTCATCATCAACTTCAAATGCACCACGCACCACAACGTCTGTATCGGAAAATACCACAACGCATCTGCATCAACCCTCCTTGGAGGAAAATCACTGGACCCTAACAGTGACTTTGGTCCAGTGCCCTTCCCCGGGCATTTTATCCCGGCTTCTCACTAATTAACCCTCGACCGAAGCGCATCGCGCCATCCGCGACCTTGCACTTGCAGTGCTTCCAACGCTTCTCGATCCCCTAGGATACCTGGGGTCTTTACCTGCTCCAAGCGTACCTTAAAGAACGCATTTCCTCTGATGAAGCACGGTTGAGTAAACCGCTGCATGGAGGATGGACCAAGGCGCATCGCTAAAAGATGCATCTCATCCTACAGACTTGGCCCTCAAGGTAATAGTGGATCGAGGTAAAAAGCATACAGACATGTTCAACTCATCTACAAATACACAGCACAAGCACGAATCAACGTGAATTGCATGGACCACAACACTGGATCGACAGTTACACCGCAATAGCCTACCCAAGCCCACTTACATTGTCCGCGCAATCAAACCTCGTGTTTCTATCCAACCACTCGACGCTTGTTCCTCTCCTTCTCCTTTCTTTACCTTCGTGAATATCGGACTTATTGACTTTTACATCGCCAAACGAGCCATCATCTTGATATTGTGGACACGCAAATTACATCCCCTCGAGGCGTCCCCCCTTTTACTAGGATCATGGATTTGAGTTGACCTGTGCTGAACTTGGGGTGTTTTTAGCGGGGAGGGTCTTGGCTGGCGCTTGTTCCATGGATTTCTTTTACATGGAGCACTTGCATCACATCGAACGTCCTGACAGCTGCAGCATGCAAAGAAAACATGTTACGTGACAGACAGGTCCGTGAAGCTCTACAGATGCCGGCGGGTCGCAATCAGTACCCTGACTGTATCGTACATGTTATTAAGAGATGGTCTGCTTCATCACATTCGGCCGAGCGATAGAGAGCATGCATGGTGTCAGCTGGCACACTTTGAGTACCAACTGCAGCGGCTGCCCAAGGTTATCACTACTTTCCAGGCGAACTGCAATCCCTGTGTAATCAAACATGAGCATTTGTCGATTGCGGCTTTCAGCTATCAAAACAAGGCAAACCATCAGAGGCTCAGACTGCCAAGCACTGTGTGGAATGGAGCTTTGCTCTCGAATCAATTGCGGCGTTCGGGCCGTTGTTCACAAATGAATTGCTGTCAGCCAAAGACTGACCTCCACCACCCAGTCACGGCGCATGTCAACATGGTTCGATTCCAATGATACCCTACCGGTCATTGGTATTACACCTCCGAGGCTTTTGTTCCGTTGAAGAACCAGGAATTGTGCCACTGCATATGCGATCGACGCCCGTCGATATTCCAGCGTACCTGGTGACACTCACAATGGTCTCCGCATCTTTTCCGATGGCATCCCAAAAATCCATCAGCGGTATCTAGGGTCGATATGTCTCAGACTTGGGGTGAGACATCCCCTGAGATAAGATCTTGCCCTAGTTGATGTATTTTTGGCTTGTGATGCTCCCTGGCATCGGCTTCGTTACGTTCCTTGTTGCCAAGATGACCCGAAGCTGCTTTCCACAAGTTAGACTACATGTGTCTTTTGCTCAGCTGCTGACGATATTTAGGTTGGCAGTTTAGAGTGACAGGGATCTAAATGGACGGGCCCGGATGGGTGGGCGGAATTGCTCAAAGCGTTCATCACCGAGAGAGCCCCAATGCCAATGGCTATCGATCACTTAGACTTTGCCGTTTCTTTCAGAGCACAACTGGACATTCTCTCGATGCGCAGCACTCGAAGTTGTTGAAAACAGGCACCAGTCATCCTACACACATCCAATAATACCGATTTGCAGTTGGTCTTGTGACGACACGCGGCGATTAAACAGTGATGTGACTACAAAAGTACTCAACGACAATTCCATTTCCATTCGCAATCTCATTTTCACCAATGCGCCACACATCAGGTCAGCGAAATCGCCTTTACCCAGCCAGCTAGTATGGAGCAGCCAAATAGGGTTCGACTGTCCATTCTCGGTAACGCATTCTCGCGTCCTGTCTTCTTCGGCTAAAGACCACAATCTTCGAGCTTCCCCAGAGTGCTTGCTTCTCGGTTATTGGCTGACTTGACCGCATGTCGAACTCGTCAGCACCCATCATGCATTTCTCGTCATCCACTGCTGCCTTATCTATACGCTCAAATTCGTCGTTTTGCTGACTCATGATGTCTTCTTTACTGGATCCCCGGCTCATGATTTTCAAAAGAACGAGTGAAGGTATCACGACTCGATGTTTCGCTACAAGTGACATTTTGCAGAATGGCCCTTTTATGCTGTTATTTACAGCTGGGTAACCCTTCGTGCATGCCCTTCGTCTCGGTCGCCCGTATCGTAACTTGCTCGCTGATGGGTACCAAGGTTTCACTGGAAGTCCGAGTTACAGTTCCATGCAAAAGTTCCGACAACGAGCCAACTAGAGATATGAAATAAAATAAACAAATTATACTATGGTTAGAGAACTTTATATGTAATCCTAGAGTAAGATTAACTAATATTATTTAAGATACAAGAGATTGATTATAATTTATATAATCGTTTATAAAATATAGAACAGAGGAAATTATCGCAACATTTGCATACCTACTATACTAACACTCCTAGTTTAGGTAAGATATCAAATATCTAGGTTCTTACTATATTAAATAAGTTGATCTCAGTTGGCTAATGGTCAGGCATAGATAAAGATTCACATTCTCCTGTAGGGTTTCTAATTCAAAAAGTCTTTTCCAGGATGGAAGGCCTAGTTCGACGAATACCACGCAGTTTCCAACTGACCACTGCTCGCGTTCTCTTCCCATCATGGCATGTCTCTTAGTTATTTGACTTTACATTGGTTTAGGTTTGGATTGGATTAATCCACAGAATTCCACTGTGCAACACGATCTCACAACTCTTGAGGAGCAAAGACTACCGATGATTATCAGATGATTTGTAACTATCCTATGTCCTACTTAATGGGCTCGGCATTTTGCTCATTTCACCGGAATCGTGCAGATAGCTCACAAACCTGTGATCGATAATCAGGCTCTACGTGTCCAAGCTTTGCAGTTTCTTTACTTCACTCGTTTTACTATACCAAGGTTAAGCTACAAATTATCGATAGTCGCCATAAGAAGATGTCACCTTTTGCGTTGCCATGGATAGAAGACAAACCTTGAATCAAGTCTCAACGCCCGGGATTCGGTCTGTACAAAAGGACAAGACGATAGGCAACCGATCAATTCACGAAAGTTAGCGATACGAGTCGGGATTTCTATTGAGATATTCTCTGAGTAGGTGTTTATGTACAATATCTGGATTTTTGTTACAGGAAAAAATACTACTAGCCCTTTGCATATGGCGAGTCTAACAGTTTTCTTCCAAATTCTCTTGAGTAAACCAATGTTTTGCTATCCCCGATCACAACACGCTGAGACTTCGATCTTTTTATGCTCATGTCATGTTTGCGTCGCATAGATCAGAAGCAATACGTGAGATAGTTTCGTCATCACAAATTTTTTTCTATGTAATCAAGGACCTCCGTATGGCCTGCGATGCTTGCGTCACAGGTCTCGCTTTCGACATGCTGTAGGAGGGCGCTCATGTACTGGAACTGGCGATCGCAAGTATTGCACTCGAGATCATCTTCGTAATCTGGGGGGTTGTACCAGTGCAAATCATGGTATTCGGCTATCAGGTTTCTGACAACATGCAGATTCGCGCCGGATTCGCAGGTATCTGCCTCCAAGTGTAGCATCATGGCGGAATATGATATAAACATCCTGGTACAGCCTAGGCACTCAATCTCCTTTCGTGCATGGACCTTGAGGTGCTAGAAATACCAAAGTTAGATATGTCCATTACAGGGGAACTAGAGAGCAACTACTGACGTTCATGAGATTTGAGCGGGAGTTGAAGGTTCGGGCGCAGAACTTGCATCCAAAGTGGTGATCCACGTCATGCTGGATCAGATCGTCTTCATCGAAGATCTCGTCGCAAGTAAGGCACGCGTGATGACATCTCTCCAGGTGTTTGTCCAGGCCGCTTTCCGATTCGTAGTCCGGCTCAGAATGACAGTGAGTGCAGACGTGGTGCTGTGAAGAGTTGGCAATATGCTGTCTTTTGGCAAACTCATGAACGAAATGTCTTTCGCAGCGAAAGCAGTACGTGTGGGAATGCTTGGCCTTTAGGTGCTGATCGAGAGACGACTCATAGCAAAAGTATCGGTCGCAGGGTTGACAGTGTGCCATCTTGACTCCTTGACTCAGACACTTGACATTTGATGAGATTGGAGGCAAGTGTCGACAAAGGTTGTGAGGTCTAGGGCAGAGTATATGTCGTCACTGAGATTACCGTTCGGAAGGAGTCAGTTGAGCAGAGGTCCAAAGTTGAGACGCAGATAGCACTTTGAGTTTGTTGTTGATAGCTGTGTAACGAGTGTTGATTGACTAATGGAAGCCCACACTGGGGCTGGCGGGATTAACCTTCAGGTCACAATTGCAAGAAGCAAACTCATGTGAAACGTTGGTTTCGGGGCATTGATGCTTCATGTAAAAAGATTAAATCTAGATGGCCGAACACTGTCTTATGCATATTATTGAAAACCGGGAAGTAACCGGAAAGCAAAACAAGGAAACCCCGCAAGTGACAACAAAGTAGCTGCAGGTATCCGTTAAACAAACTGTACATGCGACACATTTATGCAGGAATCTCGCCAGAGCAGCGGCCCTTTACCAAACTTGCATTCTCCCCTGTCAAGCCATCAAAGTATTCCAGCAATGTCTTAACAGGCACCATATCCATCAATCCTAAATCAGGATGGGACGACTTAAGTGTTTTTCCACTGAAAAGAACGCGAACAAAGTATTCATCCTTGTGTTTCTTATCAGAAGATTTAGCCTTTTTGTAAAGCTCAAAGACAACCTCACTGCCCATTCCAGGCCAGACCATGACGTCGATCTGGAGAATACTGAGAAGGCGACTGACTGAACCATCGTGCGCAAAGTTATGTAGATATAGAATATCTTGCTTGCCGGCTATGACTGCGCGGAAATGGCTGACCAGCTCAGCAACCCAGACACCCCATGAGCTGGCTGAAGCAGCAAGAGAGGCCGGTGCATCGCGGTACATCTGGGAGTATTCCCATTGACCGAGGCGATACACCGTGTTGGCGAGTTTCTGGTCGACGCAAGTGGATGAATTCTTTCCGTCGACGAGTTTGCAGGGGAAAGGCTTGTTGTGACATTGGCGAGCGGAGAGATTATCGTAGTAATGATCAAAACTCTCGTGGAAACCCTCGTCATCGGCTGGTACGCCGGAGATGTCGTCCAGTGTCTTGTAAAGTGCCTTGGTCTTGTCGAGGTGCGACTTCCAAGCTTTATTAGAAGATGATTTAATAGCGCTAGTCAACTTCGCACCAACACTGCACTTATACTGCGGCTCGAGACTATCGACGCCGGCTTGTTGAATAAGCAGCGGCACGGACTCTGTAGTCTGATACATGCCGTTGATAAACATACCCGCAACCTGACTAGTAATCTGGTTGTTGGTAACTCTGAACTTGACTTTACTCCGCCAGTCTTCCTTGCGGCCGGGGATGAAACTCAGAAGGTCATGGTAGACTTCATACAGATCTTTTCCATGAACCCAAGAGTCATCGAGGCCTTCGGCGGTGATCTGAGGGAACTGGCAGGATCCGATCCATCCGGATGGGATGAATGGGTTGATTTCGGAGATGAAGCCCTTCCAGTACCCTTGGGCATTGGGTTTGGGGGTTTCGGTGAATTGTCTTCCGAAGTAGAAAAGACCCTGGTTATCGCAGTTCCATTGGTAAGGTTCCACGGGGAAGGCATTTGATGCGTAGGGTGTGCGTTTGTGATGCCTTTGGATCTAATAAAAGGTAAGTAATCTTGTCTTCCTCGGTTTCAGTAATGGCAGTTACTTACCACCTCGACGTATTTCAGCTCATACTCTTTTGAAGGCTTCTTGTACTCCCTCTTCCGTGCATGCGGCATGTTACACCAGTTATACGTCCCATAATCCTTATCCGGCGTATGCGACGAATCATAAATGAACCCATACGTCCCGTCCCCATTAATCGCCTCGTCGAGACCATTGATATGGTTATTGCTCGGAGGAAACCACTGCATCTTTGGATCCTTACTCAGGACGACCGGAGCAGCCGAGAGAAGGGCCAGCAGCGAGCCCTTTGGTAGAGAAGCCATGTTGGTATATTGTCTCAGACAGTAAAAAGTGCCAAAAAGGAAGACTGCTACAAAGATGAGCAGTCTTCCCCGACATCTGAACCAAGAGAGCGTCATTATATATGGATTCACGCGGGTAAAGAGGTCTTGGTTGACTGCTGGGGTTTGGAGTGAGGTTGGAAATTACGCGGTTTAATTGGAGCGCACGTGGAGACGTGACTGGTTGAGACAGGCCTCTAGAACTGGGCCTAGTAGAGCCGAGGACTCCATATACGGGGAGTTGACAAGAAACGTGAGCCTGAGAAATTCTTGATTGATAGCTAGATTGACTGACCAATTAATTTCTTTAGTTCTTGAATGTTTGGTCGTAACAGTTGTAGGAAATGATAAGTGTAGTGGTGTCGTCACTGTTGCCAGAGTCCACTTGGAGTTAATATTCCAAGCAGTCAGTGAGTAGCGAGCTCCGGGAAGATATTACAAGCAATCGTGTCTTATAAAAACCGATAAATTGCAACTAAACTGTGATTATGAACAGTATCATAGGAAAAGCAACACGACCTCCAAATTCCACCCATATCCAGACACATCTCCTGATAGCCGAGTATCCAGCCTTCGACCTTCAAGAATACATACAGAACAAAACCACCGGCACTATTCCTGAGATCTCTTCTTAGGCTGCTGAGTAGGTCTCGGTCTCCTAACCTTCTTGTACCGATCTTCATAAGTCTCAAGATCCTGAGCATCTTCATCCCGAGGAGGCCAAGTAGTAACCCGACTAGGATCAACGGAATCGTCCGCAAAACGACGCAGATACTGCCGGCCTTCGCGATCTAAAGGCTCGATAGGTGCGCGGTCAAGGCGACGTGTAGACCCTTCCGGATGATAGAGCAGACCCGCGACGCCATAGTTACGGCCAGTATCACAATCCGCTACAACAGCACCCCGGTAAGTGCCAGGATCATTGAGTGGGTTGCAAACCACGCGACCTCTGTCGTTATGATGGCACTTTTCTTGGCGGTCGATGCTGGTAGCCTTTGCAGGTCTCTTTGACAAGTCTATTCGACTGTTCACAGGGACTTCGTACAGCTCTTTTCTGTCGGGCTCATACCCGAGCTCATATGGTTGAAAGTTCTGTCTTATTTCATCGATACCCTCCTCGTTTCTGTATATATGTGGGTAGAAGGCTTTGTTGGTGTTTGCCGAATAATCTACGACTTCTCGAGCTTGCTGTTCCACAGTTTTGGTGGGCAAGACACCTTGGGGAGTCCAGTATTGCTATCAAAGACGCATGGTTAGTTACGATGTCTTGAAGGCCTGGAGAACAGAACTAAAGAGTTGTGTGTACAGTGATGGAACGACAGAACAGGTAATGGGAGGAATAGAAAGACTTACCATTTTATCAAAGTCATCGTCTGAGCTGCGTCTCGGCTCCTTGCTGCGGCGGAAGAATCGACTCATCTTTCAAGGTTGTGGAGAGTATATGTACAACAAATTTATAAGAAGTCAAGAACAGAGAATGATTTTGTTGGCAATAGAGACTAGCAAGGACCCGGCAAATGAATGATGAAAAAAGGTGCTGTAAGTCGTCGGTCAACAACGACTTTGTAACTATCCTGATGTGTCTGTGATTGTTAGAAGAAAGCTGAGGGAGAACATGCCGGGTGGCACGTATGAAATAGAATGTTGAGAATGAGCAAATATAGATCATACAGAAAATGCAGTTGGCCCAGCCAGAAGACCATGAGACAGCAGCGTCGTAAGACAAGAACCATTATGCATGTTGGAAGATTTCCTGCACCAACATACATGAAATGGTTAACCTGAGACAGTACGGCCAAGCAAGAACTTACGTATTCTAGGGTCATGGGCCTATCGCTTGTCTATCACGAAATTCACGCGCGCTTGCAGCGTTGATCGCATCATGACATTGATCATACGCAACTCCATGAGGGTATTTCAGGAACCACGCCATCTCGGCTGTGATAATGTAACAAAAATATGGAAATACAACCAAGTCTGCTTTGCTTCTAGGGTATCCTTGCAGTGGCTGTAGATCATCCTTGTAGTTGTAGGCGTCTAATGCGCGCGTATCATCATGATACGCTGATTGGGCGGAGAAATGGCGCAGTTGTTGGTCGCAACCGCCAGGCAGACACCCAAGCTGTGCTGCGCTGTGTCAATCTCTCAATGTAATCCTCGGCATTCATGGTTTAAACATCTGACCGTTTTTCATCTTATCAGTACTACAATCTCAACTTTTCTGAGTTCTTCCAGTGCACTAGCAATCTCCCCTTCAACGATTCTTTTTTTCCAACATTTCCATCAAACACCATGAGCACTTCAAACGACATCCAGACAGAGATCCCCTCAGATCGCCCTCGTTGGCTGGTCCACATTGAACAGACGATAGAGGAAGAACGTGATGACTTTGCCTCACAGTCTCCATTCTACGAAATCGTCCGCGATTTACTACTTGCGCCAGAAGATGATAGCCATGCAGTTTCGCAGGCCGTCAGCAGATTTTACAACCTCTATGCCGCTGGAGCCGATGAAAGAACGAGAGAACCCCCAGAGTACTTCGCTGGTCATTATCTCAATTCTATCGCTTGTGTCGCATTTGAAACGGCGAGTGAGGTTCCTTTCGACACTTATCAGCATGACAGATTGGTGGAGTTCTTGCTCGGCATAAAAAAGGGTGCTGCAGACGAGTATGACACTGAGGTGAGATGCCCTAGGTGGTCATTGAAGCCCTTGTTTCTAACTACAGCGAAGGATCCCAAGTTTGTCTATTATAGATGGGGATTAGAGAATGCGGCAGATGAGCACTGGAATCATGGCCCTGGTATGTACTCTCACTCCCAGCCCTTTGACTTACTAATACCTTTCCAAAATCAGTCGATGCCTCAACACAGAAGAGAGCAACAGAGCCAGACTTAGTATGGACTGGGTCATGGATTGGCATCGCAGCCTTGATCGCCAAACTCTTCAAAGAAGGCTTGCTAGATGACGATGGTCCTCGCTGGATTACAGGTGATTTCGTGCGAGCTTTCAAATCAAACGCTCCTGGTGATGTTGCCATAGATATCGGTCGCCAAGCCCAAGTACTCGCGGTTGTGAACTACATACTCATCGCTGGGGAGGCTTATGCAAAGGAAGCCAAGGCACCGCAGAGATTGCACTTGGCGGTGGATGCAAGCAAGTGGAGGCTTTGGGCCTCAAAGCTGCGGGAAGTTGCGGATGTAGTGGACAAGAACGCACCGTGGGATCTCAAGGAGCGGGCTCAGGAGGCTTATGATAAGATGGTTGAGCTATATCCGGAGGCATTTGAAGATGAGCAGCAAGATATGGGGGACCCAGTAGCACAGGTGGAGATTTCAGGATGATTGCATGCATGATGGAAGTAAAGTGTTGTCTTGTTTTCCAGCTTCCGCTATGGGATTGAATATGTGCGAGCGTAGTTGTAGCATCCAGCTGTTTGAATCTTTGACGTCTCTTCGCCTTTTCGATCCTGTTCACGTCCCGCAGACCCCTCGTGATGATTTCAGGATTCACCATGGGAATCTTCCCAGAAAGCAGATACTGCCAAGATTTCCTTAAGTAGCCTTCTCATTTCCCTTATCATCATCCTTCTTTCAGTTGAGAATTGCCGCGCGTCTGTATGTCGTGAAAATATGATTGGGTAGCAGCAAGGGCTTACCAGACGCAGCAAAAGCTCAGCGGCAAACCAAAAATACCGCTGTCGGATCTTCGCAGGCTCAGTTCGCCAGAGTTCATCACCACTAACCGATAATAGAAGATATCAGCCTCTTTCTTCTTTTCTCGAGAATCCATTTACTCGGTTTCTCCCCTGATACCGATAACGCTCTCAGTCTTGCATCTATCTTACATTAGACCTTCCTCATTCTCCACATCTCGGTTATCATGAATAGCCAAGATCATGAGCAAAGTCCACCCGAAAGCCCCAAATGGCTTGCACATATCAGCACTAGGATAGAGGAGGAAAAGGAAGAGGCATTCCCCCAAGGCCACTACTACGAGATCGTCCGCGATATGCTATTGCAATCTGACGTTTCACACAAAGCTGTCTCCCAAGCCATTGGAAGGTTTTACAGTCATTACATCGCTGGGTTCTTTGAAGAGAATTTCGGTGGGAGAAAACCTCCAGAGTACCAAGCTGGTAATGAATTGAACGGTATCGCAGTCATTGTATTTGAGATAGTCGTGGAAATACCCTTCACGGATCCCAAACAAGACGTCCTATCCAGATTCTTGATTGGCATAGCGAAGAATGCGGCAGAAACGTTTGACGAAAAGGTTTGTTTTATAAAGGCTTCTTCTCTGACGGCAAAACTGATCACATAACAGGACCCCAAATTCGTCTGTTACGACTGGGCTATTCAGGCTGCCGCAGTAGATAGGTGGAATGCCTGCTCTCGTACGTAACACTTCTCATTTCAAATTGGAGATACTAACTTGGACTATAGTGAATGCAGGGCCTCTGGACTACCAAGGACCAGGTGTAACAGAGGCAATAAACACATGGATCAGCACAGCAGCTCTTATAGCCAAGTTATTCCAAGCAAATCTACTTGGCGAGTACGGACCGCTCTGGGTTTCTGCCGACCTCAAGAAAGCCTTTGAGGCGCAGATGGACCGCGACTCCATCGAACTGCCTCTCAAACAGGCAAAGATACTAGCCGCTGCCAATTACATACTCCTCTCTGGTGAAACGTTCGCAAATGAGGCCAAGGATTCTTCTAAGAAGAGGAGCTATGTACTCAATGCGTCGAAATGGAAACTTTGGGCAACGGCGCTTCAGGAGATCGCGGACAAGGTCGGTGAGGATGCAGAATTTGATCTCAAGCATAAGGCTCAGGAGGCTCATGACAGGATGGTGGAGTTGTACCGAGAGGCATTTGAAGAAGGGTAGATCAGGTTTAATTTCCAGCTGGTACCACATAAGGGAAGAGGGATCGCGGCATCACACATATGTATGTACAATAAACAGATGAATCTGGTTCTCTAGGTTTTGCTATCGGTACGCCTTTCTCCCGTTCCATGGTTTTCTCTGATCTCCCCTAAACGCCTTGCAATGTTGCCAAGTCTGGTTGTTCAATGACTCTTCAAGAATCATAACAGTCTTTCGCCTTTTCCTCAAGTAGCCTTCCCCTTTCCCTTGTCATCATCCTTCTTGGGAGGATCGGAAGGTTCAGGAGCCTCGATGTACACGTACGGAGCACTATCCCTCAATCCACAGTTGGAGCAGGACATGCCGGTGTTCCTGATGTTCTTGCCTTTGCACGGGGGCTTGACGCAAATCCAACCGTTTCCAGACATGGTTATATAATTTTTGTTTTGTTAAGATTGTGGGCTTAATTGTGGTGAGTGTTGACGAATGAGTCTTTGGAGTTGTGATGATGTCTGAGGAATGAGATGGAGTGAGAATTAAGGGCTAGACTTGTAGTCCAAAGCCATGAAATGATTCAGATCCATTCGAAAGACCGGGCAATGTAAGTCTGACAGTGATTCAGTAGTTGTCTTCGGACGGGGTGAGTGGCTGCTGGACATGGCAATGATGAAGAGCCGCTATTCATGGTGCACAAGCCCAGCAATGACTAATTCACTGTCAACCGCTTTGATGGATAGATAGCCGCTCGTCTTTAGAATCAGTAGAAGATGCGCTGGCTGTATTCCCACAAGGTATCACTCGTCAAACGTCGGATAAGCATCACGAGGTTGTACAGCATAATAAAGTCGCTTAAAATCTATCATTCTTTTTTCTTCATAATTGACTAGATCAGACGCTGAGTTCCGTCGTCTTAGCCTTCTCAAAGATAGCCTTGTAAGGCTTAATCTTCTTCTGCGCCACACCCTCGGGGCCACAATAACGCTCAACAATATCAACGCTGCGGCCAATGTACAGCTCAGGCTTCATCATAGCATCGATCTCACCCCAGATAGGCTTGAAGAACTCAGTGGCCTTGAGTCGCGAAACCAAATCGTTGGCACCGCCCTCGTGCTTGACGACGTAGCCGGCCTGGTGCGAGAGAACACGGATCTCCTCGTGGGCCTCCTGGCGGGAAACGCCCTTGGCGCAGAGCTTCATGATGATGCTCTCGGTGATCATAAGGGGGAGCTCCTCCATGACGCGAGCTTCGATGCGCTTGGGGTAGATGACCATGCCGTCGGTGATGTTGTCGAGACTGCCGATGATGGCGTCAGCAAGGAGGAACATCTCGGGGATGTCGATTCGGCGGACGGCGCTGTCGTCTAGTGTGCGCTCCATCCACTGCTCCTTGAAGGTGTTGGCAAATGTAGCCTGCTTTGAAAGCAGCTCGCGGGACAGACTGGCAACTCGCTCAGAGCGCATGGGGTTTCTCTTGTAAGCCATTGCGGACGAACCAATCTGGTCCTTCTCGAAAGGCTCCTCGGCCTCCTTCCATCCAGCAAGGTGACGGATGTCTCCGGTGATCTTTTGGGCAGTAGCTCCGAGACCGCAGATAGCGTTGGCCATCATGAGATCAACCTTGCGGGAGTAGGTCTGAGTGGAGACCTCGTAGCATCCAGGGAAGCCAGCCTTCTTGCAAAGCAGCTCGTTGAGCTGGTCACACTTGGAAGCATCACCGTTGAAGATCTCGAGGAACGAGGCTTGTGTGCCTGTGGTTCCTTGAGCACCTCGAAGGAGGAGCTTAGCTCGGGCATGCTCAATCTCCTCAAGATCGAAGACGAGGTCCTGGGCCCATTGAGCAGCTCGCTTGCCGACTGTGATCAGCTGTGCGGGCTGCAAGTGGGTGTAGGCCAGGGTAGGTGTGTCCTTCCACTCCATAGCGAGCTTAGACAGGTTGTTGATAACCTTTGCAAGTCTGGGGAGGAGAAGGTCGATAGCCTCACGCATAAGAATCAACTCAGCGTTGTCAGTGACGTAGCAGCTAGTAGCCTTGTCACAGGTCAGTATTGGCTTCATTAAACTCATGATCATACAAACTCACACCATAGTGGATGATACCAGCAGCAGCGGGAGCCACAGCTCCGAAAGCGTGCACATGAGCCATAACATCATGACGACGCTTCTTCTCCTCAACACGAGCAACCTCAAAGTCCTCATCGGTAAGGATAAGGTGCTGCTTCATCTGCTCGAGAGCCTCAGAGGTGATGGTCTCAATACCGAGCTCCTTCTCGGACTCAGCGAGCAGCAGCCAGAGCTTGCGCCACTGGGAGTGGCGAGAGCGCTGGCTGAAAAGCTGTCCCATCTCCTTGCTGCAATACCTCGCAGTGAGCGAGGTCTGGTAAGTATCGAAAGACGCCATTTTGTAGATATTGAATTGATTTCGGGGGTGATTCCTGAAATGGGCGAGCGATGCGATACCGGGGGTGGGATGTTATTGCACGGCCCCTCCATAAAAGTAAAAGTCACCCCATGGAAAATTTTGAAAATTTGGAGGGGCAGTCACGTGACTGCGGGGGAAGGGAAAGGCAGACTTTCGGGCGTATACGGAACAGTCGTCCGCGGCATTGGAGTCTCGAGCTGAGGATATACCTAACTTATATGACAGAATAAACGTATGATAATTTCTGTCAAGTTTGAGCTTCTTAGATAATGCATATTTGTCGAGAAATCAAAAGAGATGCTATAATCTCTTATGATCCTACCCTATAGTGATACGGTTGAAGTAAAGAATGGTTTCAACTTGCAACAACCTTCCTGAAAGGAAGCCAGCAATATCTGATGTGAATGTTTACAGCAAACATACCGGAATACTTGCTGCCGAGATTTCACGGTTTTCTGAACATGCGACGGTGTGTAGCTACATATCATGTTGGTATCTTTTTCTGTTGAGTTTTATGCATTTGAAACTACTGATCGTGATTCCAGATGATGAACTCTTTCTTTAGAAGATATGTAAGAGCCATCAAAAACGATTTGTGATGAGACCTGGCCAGGCATCTATATATGTAGCCCACAGGGACAATTTCCACTTACAACTGCTGTCCATTTGCGAGTATTCGGACTCTATACGAGCTGAGCGCTATCCACTTTCCGTAAAATAGCAACTGGAAGCGCAACCCCTCCAAAACGTCACAGTCATCGACGTCACTCTCAATTTTGGTATGACTTGAGTGCGGATACCACCAAACAAGTGATTAATAATGCAGAAATTATAAAGCATTTTGCGAAACCTTTAAATTTGAATCCTTTATTAAACCTACTATATTTTGCAACTTAAATTCAAATACTTTTTCGTCACAATCAAAATGGAGGCTTTGAAAGGTCAGACAGCTCTTATCGTAGGTACTCCCCCCTCCACATTCCACAATTACTAAGGGCAGAAATAGACTGGCGGTTCCATGGGAATTGGCGAGGCCATTGCTGTTGCTTTGGCGGAGCATGGTGTAAATCTTGCTCTCATATCTCGAAGCAAAGTCAGTAGTCTCAACATTACTGACTGGCCATGAACTGACCAGTTTCATTGATTTAGGACAAGCTTGAGAAAGTACGAGAGAAGATCGCCTCAAAATTTCCGAATGTCAAAGTTGGCATATATGCCGTGGATATCCAGAATCAACCAGACGTTGAGAAAGCCGTCAAATCAGCGATATCCGAGATTGGCCAAATCGACATACTCATCAACAATGTCAGTAGGCCCTATTCTGTAGAGAATTGAGTACTAACAATGTGCCAGGCTGGACTCGCTCTTGGTGCTCCTGCACGGTTCTGGGAAATCCCCGTTGATCAGGTTGCTCAAATGTCCGGCACTAACATCAACGGCGTCATGTTCACCACCCACGCTGTGATGAACCACTCAATGTGGGAGAGGAAGAAAGGAACCATCATCAACATCTCCTCTGTCACAGGCCTGGAATGCCCGCCCTTCAATGGCGAAGCAGTCTACCACGCCTCAAAAGCGTTCCTCGAGGGGTTCAGTAACAGTCTGCGGATGGAAACAGCCGGTTCCGACATCAAGGTGCTTGTGTTACGTCCAGGCGTCGTCGAAACCCATTTCCATCTTCAACGAGTTCAGTATGACCAGGCTGCTATGGATGAGTTCACACAAGGTTATGAGCCGCTCATCGCCGAGGATCTTGCCCAGTCGGTGTTGTATATGCTGAGCTTGCCTCCACGGATTTCTATCAAGGCTATGGATTGTGTTCCTACGGCCCAAAGGGCGTTAACTAACTTCGATCGCGAATGGAACTCTCGTCGATAAAAGGTCACAGGGTTTCTGGAATTAGCACCGCTTACGGCAATCATCGATAAGGAAATACTTAGGGCGGTTTCATGGATAAACTCGGTAGGACAAAGGCTTTAGTTCAGCCGTGATGAGTGGGCTGTCGAAACTAATATTGGATCACAGGATGCTGTGCGTAATGAAAAAGCCGTCATATGTACACTTGCTTCAGCCACTAACTATAGATTAATGTGAAGGATTGTTCGTTGAACCATATGAATCTTTAGTAATTACTATGAAAATAAACCCAAGTAAGAAAAGTCCCAAGTACAGATATCATTGCTGGGGAGCCTGGTTCCGCAGGCTCTCAAGACAGCCCTCGCATGTGGCCATCCCTTCCTTGGCCGGATTTACATGACACGAAGTACAAATACCTTTCTCCTTGGCTCGTTCCAGGGACGTTCGCATATAACCCCTGTGCTTCTCAGCGCACTTACTGCAACGGATACCGTCATCTGAAGTTAGATCACCTTTGCAATCGTAACATTTGCCTTCCTTTTTGGCCCGGTCTCGAGCCAATTTCGAACGATCATAATCCTTCACAGCACACTCCCTGCAACGGACACCGTCATCTGGTTCTAGATCAGCTTTGCAATCGACACACTTCTTTTCACTTTTCAAACCCTCCTTCCTAACCCTGTTCAGACGATTGTTTCGATTCCTCCAACATTCTCTGCATAGTGTTCTCCTTGTGGCAGCTGGTTGGTCGCACTCTCTACACTTTCTGGTCCCTGAAGGCTCGCCAGTCGCTGAATCCCCAGGACTTGGATCTGCGATTGTTTGTGGGTTTGAGGGTCCAGCCTCTGAGGGTTCAGGCTCTGCGGGGTTGAGAATCTTGTTGAGTTGCATAATTGGTAACTGGTGTTTTGTTAGCGGTATGAGTTCGTGTGATATTGTTAGTTGATTGTCAAAACCATATCCTGAGGACCTGGTAGATTATATGTAGAAGCTGTTGGAGCTTGACAGGTAGCCTTTCACTATCGGAATGAATCAGTTGGATAGAGCCGCAGTCAATCATTGTCATTGGCGAGCTATTGTTCATATTCATAACCAAGACAAAAGGTACTGGCGGTGTTAGGGATTAAGTGACTGCAACTTCAATCAGTGGTGAATAGGTAATATTTCGGGCTAGTACGTGATTCGCCCGATACTCAGAGCGCTGGGGCTCCCATTAGCCGTATAGTCGTGGTAGCAGAGGTAATCTAATGCGAAGTATTTACCTGACAGTGATATGAGTACACGGGCTAGTACTTTCAGCACAAAAGTTTAGACTACTTACCTCTACAGAGAGACCTCCTTGCACTCTTGCGGATTTTCTCCTCAAAATATGGTTAAGAACAACATTGAAGACTGTCGTATTCTATAGAACTCTTTGAACTCAACATCTGCCCTACTATCTCAAACACCAATAAATCAGATGCCTTTACTCCTCTCGCATAGCGCTAACTTGGGAGGAGCCCAAGATAACGAACAGAATCTTGTTTCCCCCATTGGTTTAGTCTAATGAAAGATTCTATCTCGAGCCCCTAATATGACTATGACCAGGCTTTAAAGCCAAGTGGAAGACCCAATTAGATTGCAACACTGTGTGAGATAATGATACAGCCACTTGCATTCAATTTCAATTCAATTGGGTAAATATAGTGGTAGAGTATGCGAATGGCTTGCGACATATCAAACACGCATTACTCTTAACATATCTATCCAGCCACAATCGTCACGAGGGGTAGATTTCTAGTGACTTTCTTAGGTTCAGCACGTCCTTTAGGTACACTATTAATTGATCGTGAACTGATTTTCTTGATTATAGAGCATTAGACCTACTGTATTAGACTGTTATATTACTATACTATATTATTATATCTAATAAGTTAATTATTTATTGCTTTATTATGTAATTAATAGAAGATTAGATTAAGTTAAGTATAATTAATAATCTAGCTTTTTATCCTAGGTTTCCCCGCTCCCGTTAAAACCTTTTATTTTTATTACCCCTTAATTTAATATTAACGCCTTAAACTTAATAAACGCTACGGTATATTTTAATTCTGTAAACTATATTAAATATTAATTATAACTATTAATAGGCATTACGCTATCTATAAAGGCCTACTATTACTATATTAATAACTTTCTTTAATTAAGCCAGTTTAATAGCTTTTATAATATAACCTATTAAAATCTATTATAAGATCCCTCGTCAGAATTATTATTTAGATTATTAGGGATTAGTAGCTATAATAATAAATAGCTAAAGATAGTAAGATATATTTATTATAGTAATTATAACTTATTAATTAGTAAAAGTTAATTGCTATATATCTTAAAAAGTAATATTTCCTTAAGGAATTCCCTATTTAATATTATAATATCGTTATTACTAATTAAATTTAAGAAGGTATTAATAATTAAATACTAGGTTATATATTTATTAATAACTTTAATTTTAAAGTAGTTAATAACTTAAATTATATAGTAATATATTTTTATAGTGGCTAGTTAATAATATAGTTATAATCTATTTAGGAATTTAATAGTATATAAAGAATTTAATTTATTAAAAGTAAAGGGAAATTATAAATTTATATATTATAGATTAAAACTAGCTATTTATCTTAAATAAGGTTTATTAAGGATATTAATTACTATTATTTAGGTAATTAGCTATTTAAATAATATTATTATAAACTTTAATAGATTAGTTATTATATTATCTAGTATTATATATAATGCCTCTTATTATATTAAAATTTATTATATTATCTATAGGGTAACCTAATTATTACCTTTTTAAAGGTATATATTCTATTAAATAGAGTATTAGACTTTAATAGAGAGAGAGAAGACCCGAGACAGCATGTACTTTCAAACCTTTGACAGCTTATCTAATTCATCAAGGACATCTCTATTTGGCGCAAGCTATCAAGAGCGACTACATCAACGTAGCCATTCTTCGCCTAACTTTAAGATGAAGCTGTTACGTATTCCAGCAACTGGCCATTCAATCAGAACGATTTGTTTTCGCTCAAAAGAGCTCAGCACTGCAGTTAGTAATGATGACGAAAGTCTTGGCCGTCAGCATCTCGTGATAAGCGAGAATCAATAACATTCAGCCTCCAAGGCCACACCAGCGGTATCACTATCTCCAGTGATATGTTAGTCTAAGCCAAGATGATTAGACTCAATACATGATGCAACACCAATCTTGTAACATCTCCTTAGCAAAGATAGCCTTTATCTCTCGGTGCAATCTCCTCCCCCGCTCCTCCGCCAAGACTCCAATACCAAGTGATACGGTGTTTCGCCCAGGACAAAGAAAAGGGGGTTGCTTTTCGATCGGATAACGGCGGCAGAATAGAAAGCATGCTTACAACAAAAGACCCCAAGGCCGAAGCATCAAGCCCACCTGCTCAAGACAGATAAGCTTTACCCCAGAAACAGCATTGGCACTCTTGGCAGCTGGAACCACATCCTGCTCCCCCGAGTCACGACACGCGACGTGGTGGAATGTTGGGTCTTGACGCCTGCCCTTCCTGTCTCTTGGCGGTTATATCACGAGATAACAAGGCATTGGCATTGCATTGGCACCTCGCGTGGATTGGAGGCGGGAATCTTGGCGTAGCAGAGGGCTTGGTTGGGAGGATGCTTGGCATAAGTAATAAGTGGTTCCGAATCGCCAAGCTCAGACACCATTGGCTTGCTGCTCTTATGTTGGCGATATCCTAGGACGAGCAAGCATCTGAAAGTCTGGGGTTTGCTTTTGCTTTTTGGGAGAGGATTACTTTGCCTCCAAGGGTATATATCGAGGGTATACTGCTCCACCTCCGCAGTGGAGAGAGAGATCTTCAGACTTGACCCTCCTTTCTTCTCATTCTTCTCCGCTACACCTCTTTCTCCAACTTTCCTTTTCCCACTCTTCAGACGCTATTGCTCGTCGTCACCTACCACCGACATGGCGGTAACAGAGAAGGGCACAGGCCCGAAGCCAGGCATGGCAAAGAGGATCTACCTCATGCTGGCGCCGGACTCGCAGAAGGACGACGAAGGCCGAGATAACTTCAACTCGCGATCGCAGTTCGTCCTCTGCGCCATGGGAGGTGCTGTAGGCCTGGGCAATCTCCTTCGATTCCCATCCGTGGTGTTCAACAACTACGGTCTCCAGTTCTTCATCCCCTACCTCGTCGCTCTCTTCCTCATCGGTATCCCTATTCTGATTCTCGAAATCACCCTCGGACAAGCCTACCGCGGCGGCTGCGTCATTGCCTGGAACAACGTCAACCACCGCGCCAAGGGAATCGGTCTGGCCATGGTCTTCAACGGATTTGCTGTCGTTGGTTACTACGTCCCCATCCTCGCCTGGGCAATGACATACTTCCGCATGTCGTTCCAGAGTCCTCTCCCGTGGGCCGGCCTGGATACTACCGACTTCTTCCTGAACAATGTTGTTCGTAACAAGGATCCTACTGGTGGAGAGGATGGAGGTCTTAAGTCCTATCCCGGCCGCGGCATCGTTGGTGAAACCTTCGGTTGGTGCGTCATGATCTGGTTCATTGTGTGGATGTGTACATTCAAGGGCGTCGGTCTTACTGGACGAGTCATCTATGTCACCATGGCCTTGCCCCTTATAATGATTCTTATTCTTGCCATTCGATCTCTTTCGCTTCCCAATGCCTCTGATGGCTTCGCCCTGTATGTTGGAACATGGCGAAGCGAGTCCCTCCAGGGCTCCAAAGTCTGGCAAGATGCCTTTGGACAGATGTTCTTCTCCATTGGTGTGGGATTCGGCTACTTCACGTCCTACGCCTCATACAACAACAAGTATGCCAACGCTGTGCAAGATGCCTTCATCATCGCACTCAGTAACTCCATGATTGAGATCATCTCAGCCTTGGCTGTTATGGGCGTTGTCGGGTTCCTGGCCATTAACCCTGGTGAAGTTCCTCCCCTGTCCACCTTTAGCTCTGGCTTCTTCTACTACCCCGAAGCTCTTGCGAACATGCCCGGGTCCAACTTCTTCTCTGCTCTGTTCTTCATCACCCTGGCCCTGCTCGGTTTAACCTGTGTGTTTGCATTGGCCGAGGTTCTGGTTACCCTGCTTTGTGACACTGATCTCGGCCAACGTGTGCCTCGCTGGGTGATCTCAACCTCCGTCATCATCTTGGGTGCCTTGACATGTCTCATCTACAGCAGTGAATTTGGATTTGCTGTCCTAGACGCCGTCGACATGTTTGTTAACGATATCGCTCTCTTCATTACGGTGTGGTCTGAGACATACATGGCCTGCACTCTCTACCGCTGGAGAGACCCAGTTGACCAGATCGGCGCCCTCAGCTACTACGCATACAATGGATGCTACGTCCTTGGTCTTTTCCTTGGCCCCTTACTCGGCCACCTCGTAAGCCCCGCCGCTGGTGCAGGCGTAGGCTTTGGCGTCTTCATCGCTGGTGCTCTCGTCTCTGCGTTCATGGGCAAAACCCCAACTGTCCCAGCTCCCAGATTCTGGGGCAACAATGCTATCCTCAGCCGCTTCTGGTACGCGGCCTTCTACTCGGGCAACCAGCTCCGCCAAGATCTCAACTGTGCTATCAACAACGGCGGTAAGAACTGGAAAATCCACTGGGTCTGGCCAATCTGTCTCAAGTACATCACCGGTCCCGCTGTCGCACTGGTGTTCTCCTTCGCCTACCCCAAGTTCCTCAACGGCCACCGAAACGACCCCCCATTCATCTACAGCTTTGTACTCATGCACGTTGTTGTCATCTTGATCGTCGGTGCATTCGTTGTGCCGCGCTTCCTCAACATCCTCATCCCTGCTCACCGTATTGAGAGAGGCGATGGAAAGTACGATGTTGCGCCCCAGATGACTCTTAACCTCTCTCCCACTGTTGACAATGGTCTTGAGGGTGGTCTTGAGGGCCGCAGCGTTGATGCTGAGCATAGTCACAGCCACAGCGGCGATCGAAGCAGCATTGAGGCTGATGCTAGAAAGGGTGTACCGACAGCCGAGCCAGGTGTTGTTGGATCAAAGTACTAAAGACTGCACGAGTATTGTTTCAAAGTTGGAGTCGATCACGATGAATTCTGTAGCTCTATAGTTGTATACACCGGACTCTACCAATTTTAGTTCCCAATCTGATGTAGCCATTCGCAATCTATCTATTTTCGCTTTCTCATCTCTTCTTTACCACGTACATGTTCGTATCACTGCTCGCTCAACGTGAGTTTCCATGAAGACTTTCACTTGTCCTTGACATCATTCCTCCTAGTCACAAACCCCAACACCGTCAAAGCCCTGGTAGCAGAACTATAATTATTAGCAGACATCCAGCATGGACAAACTCGATGACATACTTATCATACTGTTGTCCCAATTTATCCAAAGCCAGCAACCCCATCATGCATCCGATCCAAATGAGATTGCCATGGGGATATGACCCTTCATAAATGCCGCCCAGGACAGAGACGACAGTCCCGCCAGCCACTGCCTTCACACGCGTATCGAAAGCTGACGGATGCTTCGCTACGGCGATAAAGCCACGGCTCCAAATAAAGCTGTGAAGAACTTTGATGCTAGCTCGGTGCCATCTAGCGGACCCTAGATAAGCGGCAAGGCCGGATGCGAGAAGACGCTGGCATACCATTGTATGAAACGCAGCCCTCGCAAGAGGTGGCGCCACGATCTTTGCGACATTGCCTTGCTTCTCAGCTAGGTATAACGCTGTTGACACTTGCAGTATGCAAAGAAACAAGTCAAGAGGTGTCGGAAGTGGATCATGTCTGCTCTGCCACTGCTTGAGGTTGAAAATGACAACTTCCAGTAAAGATATGAGGATATGGGGAATCAGAGTGTACGTGGGAGCTTTGCGTGATATCTCCCATCCTCTGGTGGTTAAGCTGCGGTGAAGGTACGGGATAGAAGAGGCGAAGATACAGGTTGTCCAAAGAACCTCCACTAGGCAATTGTGATAGATTGCTTTGAACCCACCAAGGATGGTATCTATGAGGTTGGACATTGTGCTTTGAGTTACTGCGTTCGAATGTGTTGAAATTTGGACACCAAACTATGAGATCAACTCTCATTGGGGATTTTATATTGTTTACAACTGAGACCTGCCATGCGCCAATCCCAGAGCTGAGGCTGTTGTTGGGAAGGTAGTTTACTGCAGGAGACCCCTGTTAATGTATGCTGAAAGACCCAAGCGAGATATATGCATCGTACGACAAGCCTACAAGTTTAATACGAATTTTTATGTGAACCAGCCATTCAAAGGTTGGATACGAACAACACGTAAGCTTTTTATTTCTTGGGATGGCATTTCAGTGATAGTAAGCTTATATCATCCTCAACATCTCCGCAGAAGTATTATGCTCGGAGACAGTCTAATAGGTCAATGATATGTATGAAACCGGCATCCAATGCGACATACTGTCATATTAAAAATATGATCGATTTCACGCACAGGCGTTGCCAAGCCTGCATCCGAGTTCCCAACCTCACTTGTATACTTTCATCGCTCGGGAGAAAGAGTCTTCATTCAAACCTTACAAATTGCCCTGGTCCAAGCACCAACCGCTAGTTACAGCGTCGCCATTGCCCACTCCATTGTTCTCTTGATAGCATCATCTTGATCCGAGATCGGCTTATATCCCAGAACCTTGTCGGCCTTCTCCAAAGACCAGCACCACCCTGAGTCAAGATGGTTTATGCCGATTCTACGCAGGTTCGGCTTGATGTAGCCCAATGTGAAGATCCAATAGACCCATTCTGTCGTCGACGCCATGGCCTTCATCACCGGCATAGGAATACGCGTGATTTCATTCGCCGGAACAGGGTGCCCGGCTCCAGCATAAAACCTTCGGCAAAATTCGAAGAAAGGCTGTGGTCTCCCGTCTGAAATAAAGAATGCCTCGCCTCCCGCTTTATCGGCGGTATCCGGGTTTAGAAGTATCTGCAAACCCAGAATGTGTCCCTCGGCTGCCTTGTCCACGTAAATAAACTCGTGAAGCTTTGTGTCATCTCCCACTTGCATCTTGTGCTCTTTTCTCCGCATACTCGTTACTAATTGAGGCACGAAATTGTTGTCGTGCTCGCCGTAGAGACCAGGTATGCGTACAATCGAGGTGCGAAGCTGAGGCGAGTCAGCGGCCACGACAAGCCTTTCGGCTTGGGCTTTTGTCATGCCGTAGACGTTCGGGGCAGTCTTTTCATCATGTAGCACGGCGTCTACTTCGGTGACGGGCTTTTGGGTAGAGACAACAGCTGAGTTAGATGAGGTGAAGACGAAGGCCTTTGTGTCGAGACATGCTGTAGCGGCGGCCAGTAAATTTGCTGTTCCATCAATGTTTGCCTTGACCAAGTTGACAGCAATGTCAAGGTAAGTTGGCGATGCTGCGTGAATAACTGCATGAGGTTTGAAGTCTCGAAACACTGCTTCGATTTGACTTGAAACTGCGACATCCGCTGCATGAAGTGAGATTCGAGAGTCGCCGGAGATGCCGGCGGGTATTTTTGGGTGACGGCTGACGATAGCAACTGTTGTTGCCGTATCCTCCTCTAGCAGTTGACGGACTATATGGCCACCCAGAAAGCCGCTTCCGCCTGTTACCAGTACACGTCTTGGAGAGTCCATGTCTTCTTCAAATATCGGAACTCTTTTTCGTCAAGAAACTGATTTATAAATAAAGTTGGAAAGTGAATTCAAGGAGGAAGATGTTGTTGAGATGTAAGCAACGAAGGAGTGGCATCCTAGTCAACATCTTGAACCGCAGCTGGGTAATTGGCTGGGAATCTAATGAACACCGAATTTATTCCTAGGAAATATGTATTGGCTATTCCGTACCATGTTAGTCTAAGTGCCTGCTTGCTCAAGCTGACGGGTATTATAAGAATGCGTAGCAACCAGCCTCTAGTAAATTCTAGATTTTCGGCATATAAACACAAAACAACCATAAGAAAAAACACAGTCTATAAGTTTGTCTTCGGGTTGACGAATATTTAGACTTGATTATTTTTGAGACCATTTAATTAATGATGCATGTCATTGTTTTCGGACCCTGGTGTGGAACGATGCCGCAAGGTTGCCGGCAATCTTTACCATTTTCGTCTACTCGACCAGTCATCATTCTTCCACCTGGCGACAACCATCCTCAACATCCTCCCTGGGGTTGTTGCAACACTATAATATTCACCATAATGGAACGTGGCTCAGAAAAACCCGTATTATTCTTGTAACAATCCCCGTACACTGCCCACTGATACTCTGTCTGACTCTCATAGCGACATTGACAATTGTCTCTACTCGCGCAGTATGTCAACCCCAACCAACCCATCCCCCTCTAACTGGTATTAGATGACAAAGTCCTAGAGCACATGTCAGCTCGCATCGACGACTACTTCAAGACACATCTAGGCCTCTTGCCCGACGACGCCGAGCGCCTACACAAAGATTACTCCCAGCAATACGGCCAGGCAATCGAAGGTCTCGTGCGCCACCACCAAATTGACGCACTTGACTACAACGCCAAAGTCGATGACGCTGTGCCTCTCGACGGCCTAATCAAACCCAACCCCAAGCTGCGAAAACTCCTCGAGGATATTGATAGGTCAAAAGTTAGGCTATGGCTTTTGACAAATGCGTATATTAACCACGGGAAGAGAGTCGTGAGGTTGTTAGGTGTGGATGACTTGTTCGAGGGGCTTACGTACTGCGACTATTCGCAAGTACCGTTTGTTTGCAAGCCGCATAAGGACATGTTTCTGAAAGCTATGAAGGAAGCTGGCGTTTCGGCCGCTTCAAAGTGTTTCTTTGTTGGTAAGAGTAATTCGTGGGTTACTAAGAATAGTATTGATATTTGTTTAGATGACTCGCACAAGAACTGTGCTGGGGCGAAAGACGCCGGCTGGAACGCGGTTCATTTCGTGGAGGAAGGGTTCCCGGAGCCTAATACGCCAGCATCTCAGCATCAGATCCGTAGCTTGGAGGAGTTGAGGTCTGTTTTCCCAAGTTTCTTCAAAGTGAGGAATTAAACGAGGATATCATACCTACAATGACCTAGTATATCAGCAAGAGGCTGTTGATTACTCCAAGCTGAGCTAATCGACCACCGTATTGGTTAGCTGAACTTCGACCTTAGCACCCAATAGCTTGAAGAGGAACAAATTTTTAAATAAAGACTTTGTTTGGCGGCATTCCCTAGGCGGTTGTTTCAATTGTTGAAAGACTCTATCCCAACCCGGGCCTCAAGTACATACGGACGGAACTGAAAATTCACTTGCACCAAAGCAGATTAGTGACCGGCTTTCCCAAAACATAATAAGGTTTACCATTAGCTGAGTTACGAGCTACCCCGCAACTTATCCCCTATCTTCAATCGACCCTGGCACTTGACAAGGCTCCATTTCTCATCTTGAAAAGGGAGGTCTATCCGCTCTTCCCACCAGCATCGATCAACCGCACCACTAGTCCTCGTACCTGGCCATTGATATTACCGAAATCATCATCGAACTAAACCAAGCAGATCAATCCCAACAGAGGCGGTCAATCCCTAGTTGCTCCGATCCAATCTAATCCCCACAATGTCCGGTCGCAAGACGCGATCCCGCGGCGCTTGCGCCAATTGCAAAGCGAGAAAGCGAAAGTGCGACCAGACTCGGCCAGCTTGCGTAGCCTGTCAGAGCCGCAATCAGATCTGCGACGGCTACCAATTGAAGCTTCAATGGGGTTTTGGAGTCGCTTCTCGCGGCCGATTCGCTGGCTCGGCTGTGCCGACATTGGATGTTGGTCCTGATTCCGAGCACGGATCTACTGCGTCTAGTAACAGTCAGCCTGTGAACTATTCTGTTGCTCGCTTCTTGAATGATCCACTCGATGCAGACAATAGGTTATCGGCGGACTCGCCACCGCGGCTCTTCAATACCAATGATAATGCATACGGCGATGGAGCTGAGGTGGACGAGAATGATTACCTTCTTGCCGAATGTTAGTAGCCGCTGATTGAACCGCCCCTCCCAAAGCCTACTGCTGTATAGGTTCCCCACAGTCAAACTATCATCATACTAAGAGCCAATAGTCTTAGAGACAGGCATCTACAAACTATTCGCAACCTCAGTAGACGACCGTTTCATCCAAGAGCTACGCGAGGCTACCAAGCAATCACCGGCGTTAGTCACCATGTGCTGCGCCTTTCAACTCATGTGGGAACACCCAGACACCGAAAGTTCTCATAAAGAGTTCGAAAACGCAGTACGCATTTTCCAAGACGAGCTTGAGCAGCGCAACGGCATCATTCAGGGCGGGACCCTGTGTGCAGGATCAATCCTCTGCACCCTCTCGGTAAATTTCAGAAGTGGCGCTACGGAGACACTTGCTGATTGGTTATAGATGATACGGGGTCTACCATGGACAAATCAGCTTCACTGTATGACAGACCTTTACACTTTGAATGCCAGCCGCTGTTCTGTTGATCTGGTACCTGATGCCTTCACAATTCATGGGCTTCGGGTTATTGGTGTCATGGATCTCCCCGGTCTTGTATTTGGCAGAAGAACGCCAATCATTGGACTCTGGAGGCGCTTGCGAGAAGCTGAGTTGGCATCTCCCAACGGCTTGGCGGGTGGTGTAGACACACTCACCGGCATGCCTCGCTCACTCCTAGACATTCTAGCCTATACAGATCATCGCACAGCGCAGTTTGCCCTATGGAATTGGCACGGCGAGATGGGAGATTCCTTGCAAGCACAGTTGTGGGATGCATGGAGATATGCAGGAATTCTTTACAGAAACCGAATTATATATAAAGAACAATCCCTCGGTGGGAACATTTCCAAGCAGGTAACAGCCGAAGGATTACCCAGCACAAAGTATCTGATTTGGCGCCTCATAGCCAGTCTCGATGTCCTCAGGCTGGCTCTTGACCACCCCACTTCCAAGGGTGTTCTTTATGGGAACTCGGGCTTTTGGCCTTATATCACGGCTCGGTGTGAGTTTGAGCTCTTGAGAGAAAACCCAGAGCTAAAGGTGAAGCTTGATGGGCTGTATACTACTCTGATATGCGTCTACAAACCGAAGCAAGGAGAGTTTGCGCAGGCAAAGATCCAAGAAGCCTGGGATAGAGGAGACACTACGTTTGATCTTGACGGGGTGATGTATGGAATGAACATAGAGTTGCCAGGCTTTTGAATAAATTGTACATCTTCATCTCAATATCGAACGTTCATCACCGTGGATGTCTGGGAGACTGGCTGTATGTTTGTCAAAGCATGCCCCTGCGAAAATGCTGCCATTGTGTTTCACGATCCAATACCGGCTTTTAAGACATATCTTAAAGAGATTGCCCCATTTGATTTAGATACCTTCGGAGGATGAGTACCTAGCTCCATGATAGATTGCTAATATAGAACCGGGAATTAAAGTTTAGGTACTCCGACAAAGCTTTACCTGAACAGGATGGTCCAGGCGTCGGGGCCGTCAAGAGACAAGGTTTTGCATACATAGAGATCCTATCCAGGACTAGGCGAGAATTAATCCCTGGACTTTCGCTTTGTAGCTCAGGTACGGAATATTAAGTCTTTAATGCTGTTAAGAACAATGTATTGACATCAGTTGCCTGTAAGAATGTTACCCCATGTCCTCCATATTGCGACCTCGTGCACACATGACTATTCAAGTTCTTGACTTTTCTTTTACTTATCGAAGGAATCAAGCCCAAACGTTTCTCGATGCAATCAATCAAACGAGGATTCCATCCATGGTGAGGCTGCGGTTCCTAGAGACGTGTATTTGATCTAACGTCGGCCTGAACGCGACTCCAAGAGATAAATCTGTCATCATCTAGCCGAAACCAACGAAGAAATATTCACGACATTATTATTCTGGAGGGCTAACGCTCAGACATTACTCAACGCAACAACTATGTCAACCTAGTCAAGATTAATCAAATCCTACGGCAATTCTCACCAGTCTGCAATTAGCTCCATCAGTAAAGGATATCATTCTGGATGAAGTTTCCAAGTCTCCAATTTTGATTTATGGGCTACATTTAGCAAACATCTCCAGAAGATAAGCTAGAGAACAAAATCTCGCCAAACAGCACTCAAATCCTGCTGTGGATGCTCGTTACCCAATCTCCGACAATCTGACTCAAAACGGCAAGATCTATAATCCTGAAAGTCAAAATCACTATGCTGCGCTTTTCAAATCCCATCACTCTAGACATGCCGCTTAAAGCCTGTGCGTCTTGCACCAGGAATCGACGTAGTTGTACAGCACGATGCCATTAGGAGTCTCAGGGAGGCTTAGCCTAATGTGCTTCATGGTCAGATCGGTGCCGGGCTTCCAACTCTTTGCGATTCTCGCCATGGTGTCGGTTTTGAACATGTCTGCAGTTCCGGGGTTCGCGGCCAGCCATTTGCCGACGGCGTAGTAGAAGAGACCTATGTAGATGTTAGCTTCGTTCTCTTCTTGTGGAAATCAGTATACTTGCCTTCGCGTCGGATCTCTTCTGTCTCCAACTTATTCAAAAGGACTCGGTTACGTGGGTATCGGCTTGAGGAATCGCCCATGGAAACGGCCAAGTCGTAGTATGCGCGGATAGCACGATGGTCATCGTCTAGGTATGAGCAATAGTCCTTGTTGGAGAGGATGTGCTTCGCTGCCCGGATGTACATGCCTTGGGCCTTCAGCTCATCCATTGTACCGACCTGATGGAAGTTGATCCAGTGGTCACGCTGCATCTGCCCGGGATAACGCAACGTCTCAATTGCCCTTCGAAGCGTGCTAAGGTTGGAGGGATACTCGAAGACGATACCGTGGTTGCAAGCGCCGTGGAAGACGAGCCCTTGCTCGACGTCTTTGAAGGTGGTGATGAAGACATCGGCGACTTGGTTAGGATCGTTGAACTTGCTGACAGAGGTCTGGAGATCGGTAAAACTGTCAAATCTAGTGACGTAGTGTGAAGCCAACTTCTTCTCGCGCATAGCATCGTTCAAAAACCTATAAACAGTTAGTATGAGTCAAAAGAGTTAACGTAAAAGCTTACTTAGCGTGGCTATCATCCAAAACGAAAATCAAAACTCGTTTGCCGTGTCGTTTGTATTCCACAGCGGTGTTAACCGCCTTTGTGACGCGGTTGCAGATCACATCGGGCCAAGCGTCCAAAACGGGCTTCATGATAGCGGCCCGGTGCTCAGGAAGACGGTTCAAGAAGTCGTCAACTTGATCCATGGCTGAGGGTCTGCGATAGAGTGGATGCTAGGGGTGTTGCAAAATTGAGTGAGGTTCGGATCGTGATGTAGGATAGTGACAACTCAGTCATATGCGAGGTTGAAGAGAAAGATATATTTCGGATGAAGAAAGTCAACAAGGATGATAAATAAGATATATTTCAAGATTGTAAGGTAGCCAGTCACTGGCGGTGGTGGTCAAGGTGAATAGTGAACATTCACTTTGGAACTGGTGAACACTGCCTATAGTGCTAGATGGTATCTGTTCTGCGGTGGCAGTGCCGTAACATTATAGTCTACATATCTAAGCAAATCAAGATTCCACCTCGACAAGACCCAGACACACTTCTTTATTGAGAAGCTAGAGACGATATGAACAATGAGTATATTAGAGAGGTTGAAATACCAATCAATAACGCTGAGAACATATCGAATAGACACACCTTGATATGATGGTTGTAAGTCAGATACAGCAATGAATTCAACTGTTGTTATCTGTACGTTCCTCGGAGAAGCCTCGCTAAGGAAAAGGTGTATTTTCTGCGATTTTTTGTTTGAATTGGGCCTATTATCATGGCGTGACACCCTTAAAGTCATGGGGCAGGCTGTTATACTTAACAGGTTGACCAGCCCATGAACCTACCCACAGAGACAGACGAAGATCGAGACAAGCTTCTCGAAGGCTTTTCGTCACTATACTAACCCAACTTCCTCAAAGCCCTCCGACGTATTGGGCAACGGAACATAAATGTGGTTGGCTTCCGGCCCTTCTATATAGGTAGTTACGACGAATCCGTCATCTCCAGCCAGGTGGCTGAAAGGTCCATGATCGGACTAATAATGACATAAGAGATGAACAATTGGCCAGAATAACAATCATTCTCCACAACTACAGTGTGCTTACCCCGTCTTACTGTCTTAAGGTGCGTTGACTGAATGAGACGTGGTAGTCAATAAACTAGGTACGAGACGCTGAGTTCGTATGTGTAAATTGGAATGCTTTCTTCGTACAAAGAGTCGCAGCATCATATGTGGATGACGATCTAGATTAGGGAAACATACAGGGAGCAGTGATTTGGGGGCTAAATCCTTCAGCCGGCGACTCGCATCGCAGCCTATTGAGACGCGAATCTATTTGGCTTCATTCAATCCTACAAGAATTCAGTATAGCACAGCCACTGGGCCTAGGTAGTTTAGGCACTTACCTAGAGAGGCTATATTGTTGTCCCCGCATGTTATAGTATCTCCCTCATGCTCACAACGACCATACGATCAGGACAATTGAATAAATGGGCCCTATGTGTGGGTGACGCATCCCCAACGGAATGTATTGCGATTGCCATCCATGATACAAAGTGAGTAAGCTGTGCGTATCAAGTCGTATTTCAGCCTAAATCTACCGCGATTTAGGCATTCATGCATAAGCAGCCCACTTGACTTTTCGTACCTTCTTGTTTAACGATATACAGATTACCGCGACAGGTCAAAGAATGAAAGCGTCTATTGATTCTAGTCTCGAAAACCGAAGAAATGACCACTTTGAGCACCTGCTCTATCAGCATGGGTAGTACTTCCGCCCCTTTCAGAGCCAGGTAAATAATATCACCTGCATCCTTTTGCTTTTCTCACTCTGACGGGTTCACGTGCAGTGGTGACCTATGGTCCATGGCAATCGCCAAAGTTGGGGACGAACTGTCTTCTGAGATCTTTGCCAATCCAGAAAACAAGTCTCTGTCTGAATTGTGGGAAAATACCGAATCATCAAGGCAACGACTAGAGGATAAGTCGTGGTCTTTCAAACGAAAAAATGGCGAGACTGTTTATGTCCGAGAACTTCTAGCCAAAGCGAGCAAGTGGATCAACCATTTCAAGGACATTGGCGATATCATCGTGTCATACGACCCCGTTCATGCCGCGCTACCTTGGGCTGGTGTTCGATTTCTGTTAACTGTGGGTGACGGCTTCCATCTGCTTAGCAAGTTAATACTAATATTCTATCAGGTCACAACTGGTGATCTGGATACGTATAAAAGCTTACTAGACCGAACCGTGGGAATCATGGAGATTATTTGTCGAAATGCTGTCGTCGAAAGCCTACTCGGTGACAATCAGAATGAAGCAGCGGAAAGTCTGCGTGCCAATTTGATCAAGCTGTACACCTCTATCTTGAAATATGTTGTTAAGGCAAACTCTTATTATAAGCAGAGCAGGTTGAGTAAGTTGATATTGTGAAATTTTGGTTAACTACTGACATCATCAGAGAGCTTTATTAAGAACGGACTGCTTGCATCATCTGACTTTGAATCTGCGTTCGAAGTTATTGGAGAAGACCAGGCAGATGTTGGTCAGTCCGTAGCTGTTTTTAAACTGCAAGGTAATTCAGAAGTCGCGTTATTATAGCCTCACTAAAGCTCTATAGTCCAAATGGAAGCCAATGTTAAGCTCCAGGAACTGATACAGAGTTTCGACGCTCCCGTAAATAGATGGGACCAAGCGCTCCACGAGATAATAGATCACATGCATGGTAAGAGTCCTCTTTCTTGACATCCCGCCTTTCTCTAAGTTATCTAGGGGAGGAAAGAAGGGAAATATTGCGTTGGGTTTCAGAGCAAAAGTACGAAAAGCATCACGAACAAGCACAGAGTGAGGTCTTAGAAGGCACTGGCCAGTGGCTCTTACATGATGCGCTATTTGTGCGCTGGAAAAATGAATGCGCTTCTTCTATCTTATGGCTCTATGGAATCCCAGGTTCTGGGAAGAGCAAGTTGGCGTAAGTATGATGCACTGGAACCGGCAACAATCTAATTATTTGATGCAGATCTATCGTCATTGAAGATGCTATAGAGGCATTCCAAAGAAAGGAAGCAACCTACCCCGCATACTTCTACTGCTCTCGTAACAATACCGCTGAGCGTGAACGCTCTGATCCTACACAAGTCTTGGCCAGCATTGCAAGACAACTCTCCACCCCCCAGAGAGGAGGTCCGATTCTTGAGCCTACACGAACAGAGTATGAAGCACAAAAGAAATCAGACTTCATGTCTGGATCGCTCGGATTGGAAAAGAGCAAAGAGTTGATCCTCCAACTGCTTGAGCAATACCCTAGTGCAACTATCGTCGTGGACGCCCTGGACGAATGCAACCCTGAAACTCGAGAGACTCTGCTAAAAGCTTTGGAAAGCCTTCTGAAGGAATCCCCATGCCTTCTCAAGATATTTGTTACCAGTCGTATTGACCAGGATATTGCGTATAAGCTTAACAACTATCCGAACTTGCATCTCTCTTCGGAGCGAAACTCGGGCGATATAAACCTCTTCATACGATCCAAAACAAGTCGTCTCATAGCAGAAGGAGATCTTTTGCGAGACAGCAGCCGAAAAGATGAACTGGGCGATTTGATCATTCGAACACTAATGTCAAAGTCACAGGGGATGTGAGTTCAAGATAAATCAGATATTCGAGCATAGTAACTGATAGGAGCAGGTTCCGTTTGGCTAGTATGCAGCTACAAGATCTACGACGACAGGGGACAGACCGTGCGATCGAAGAGAGATTGAATCATCTACCCAAAACGTTAGAGGAAAGTTACCGTGAGACCCTCGCGAATATCGAGAACATGGACGCGATTGCGGATAGACAGTACGCAAGGAATGCCATCAGCTGGCTTCTTTGTACTCGGCAGCAACTGCAGTCCGATGAATTTCTGAGTCTTGTCTCTATGACAGAGAACGGATCTTCTTATCCAATTTCGAAGGGACAGCTACTACAGATATGCTCCCATTTTGTCATGTTTGACAATGCAACCAATACCTTCAGATTCTCGCACTTGACAGTTCGAGAGTTTCTTGAAGATCAAGATCTCTTCAATTCCGCGTCTGTAAATGCTCTGGCAGCAGAAGCCTGCCTCTCTAAGCTAGCAGCACCACAGATTTCGATAGAGGGACCGCTTCTACAATATCCTTTTTTGTTTTGGGCTGAACACGCTCGTGAAGCGAGCCAACAACGATGCCTGCGGCTTGAAGAAATGCTTGGACAGTTCCTACAAAGTGAGGAGACTGGTTCATTATTTTATCGCTGGCATAGGACTACCGAGGAGATCCTTGAACGTCGACAAACACGTCGAAATTTGGACTTGGACGTCAGAATGAGACTCGAAGCTACGCTGTCCTATATTCCACGAGTTTTGTTTGCGATTTGCGCCTACGACCTCTTTCATGTCTTGAGCTGCGAGCAGTGGCCACGACTAGCCCAACAACAATGCAAAAACAAGGCGGGCGAAACACACCAGGAAGTGGCGCTTCGCTATGGGAGTGATGGGCTTTTGGAATGGCAGTCCAGAGACGATATTTCTTTTGAGGTAACAGAAGAGTTCATTGAGATCGCTGCCACGAACAGGGTTTATGGAAAGACGGTCATCGCATTGCTCCTTAGCAATCACACAGAGGCTGCTATCAAAATCACCATAGATATGGTCGAATCTGCAGTCTGGAATCGGATAAGCGGAGAAAGCATCATGGCGCTACTTCTCGAGAGTGATGTGATCGACTGTGTGATCACACAAAAGATGGTTGACACCATCGTAGGAACTTTCAGCCCATCCATTTTCCAACGACTTTGTGTCAAGGCTAAGAGCGAGATCTCCATCAAGGAAGGGACTATCAGGGCAGCAGTCGCGAATCATCAACACAGTAAAGACATTGTGGCTTCCGTTCTTGACCGGATTCAGGAAAAGGTTGAGGTCACAGAAGAAACGGTCATTGCTACCAGTCACTTTCAATATGGAAAAGAGATCCTGGTGCGATTATTTGATCACCCGAAAGTGAGAATTGCGATAACAGAAGACGTACTTAAGGCTGCAGCTGAGGATAGGGACATTGATGAAGAATTATGGACACTCCTTTTAAACAAACGAGGCTCAGAGGTTCCTATCACAGAGGAAATCATCATATTGGCAGCAAAGAACTACGAAAAGAGCAACATGTTGATATCAAAACTTCTCGAGACGTGTGCGGCTGTCATACCAACCACACCAGCAGCCGTCGAAGGAATATTAGGGTATGTCAACAGACCTACAGTTGAGATGTTCCTCAATATAACCGGAGTTGATGTTTTGATCACGAAGAGCCTCATTGAGCACATACCTATACTTTGGAGAAGCAGTGACGAAGTACTGGAGTTTCTTCTAGAGAAAGGAACAATAAGAGATGAAACTATGGATGAGGTTATCAGCGCGATTGTCCGACGGTCTGATCCAGTTACTCTTCAGAGGTTTCTTACTAGAAGCGGCAGTGTACTCCACATCGAGGAAGACATCGTTGAGGCAGCAGCCAGAAACTGGGGCCATGGATACCAAATGATGACCTTCCTTCTCGAGAGATGCGGCGAGGTCCCTGTTACTGAGCAGGCGATGATGTATACTCTTGCGAATGGCCAAAGCGGTCAATTGATTGCAGCACTCCTCGTGGAGAAGAGTGCCAATACAATCCCGATGACAGAATGCGTCATCAGCATGATAGCGAGACATCGGAGTGGACCCGTATTTCGGCAACTCCTTGATCAGCGAGCGACTGATATTGCGATAACAGCAGATGTGATTGAAGCTATAGCCAGCGGTGGAGAAAATTCTAAAGAGGAATGGGGTATACTCTTTGAGAATGGCATACTCGCGCCTGATGGCGTAGGCGAGGTGATTGAGTCAATCGTGGCGAACTCGGAGAAATCTGTTTTACAGCTATTTATTGATCAGAAAGGAGTCAAAATCCGAGTTACGGAAAAAATTGTTCACGCGGCGATGAACAATTCGCTGAACGGCAATGATATGATGACGGTCATCCTCGAAAGTCGTGACAGAAGGGTCTCTATCGCTAAAAAGGCGATCAAATCGATTGCAATGGCGTTTGATACTGCAATTCTACAGCAAAGCCTAGATGGAGGCGGCATCGACATGCTGACTCCACAAGACCTTTTCCTAGCTGCGGCCGGTAACAGTATCCATGCGAAAGAAGTGATTCGCTTCCTTCTGGAGTACACTGAAGACATCGTGGTTACTGGAGAGGTAGTTGAGGCTGCAGCGGCCAACTGGAGAAGCTGCCAGGATATACTGGCATTGCTTCTTGAAAAGCGAGACGGGATCATTCCTGTCACGAAGGAAGCGCTGTGCTCAATCATTAAGCGCCAGTGGGATAGCATGGAAACACTAATGCTGATCTTTGAAAAGAGCAGAGCTGAGATTTCGATCACAGAGGATGTCCTACTGAAAGCTGCTGAGACCAGTCCACCGAGTGTGGAGACACTGAAGCTTCTTCTGGAGAGACAAGGAAGTAAAATGAACATCACGGAACGGATTGTCAATGCTGCAGCCGGGAACAGATATCGTGCCAAGCGCCTGGTTGCATTGCTCCTCGACAAGGGCGGATCAGGGATCCCCATTACGACTAACACTATCGAAACAATAATTGATAACGAACGAGATGGGTGTGGGATCTTGACACTGTTTCTGCAGCGAGGTATAACAAACATTCCAATGACAGAAAGGATCCTTGAGAGAGCACGCAACAGTAACCAAAGCCACAAACTGGTGAAGCTATTACCATACTTTATAAGTACCGATCGGGACGATATGAGTTTACCGCAGAGGAAGAGTCAAAATGACTCTAGGGAAGAACGATTTGGAATAGACATGCTGGCTAGAGTTGGAGCTTATCAGAGTTATTTGTATCTTTCTGCATTTCTTGTTATCTTATTATCTTTCTATCTAGGGCATTTGTACGTATAGGGGATCATGGTTTCACAAAATTAGCTTTCACTACTTTCAATACAAACTGAGCGGGTGCTTTCGATATAGTACAGCGCTTATTACCGCTATGGGGTGTCAATTTTGGATGTCAAGTGACGGTCAAGCTTTTCTTGGTATGTATTGTCCAAGTATATACTCCGTATTCGGTCATGGCTTGTATGGGCAAGCGACCGTCAATTCGGACAGCATTGTAGCCATGAAATAAGATAACGGGGTGATCAGGTAATAGAAGATGGTCTGACAAATGCAGAATTATTGCAGAGATTATTAGTGGCAACCGCCATATTACCTACTTCATGATATTAATTATCCTCCGGCTTATTGAACGGCCTAAGTCGCCGACTCTTACTGCGCTAAAAACCGAGCGGAAGTGGCCAAAAGGCCGAGGCATCTTGGTATGATAATCCCTATTTATTCCCCACAGCTTATCTCCGGACCCTCACCAGCTGGAAAATTAAAGCGTCATTACAAATCCCCTGCATTTTTTAACGTGCCGTGGAGCCGGGTCTTATTTGATTAAATACGTCAGTGTCCCAGTTCTAAATTTTTCGAGATGTCGAGATAAAAAGCCATTGGTATCATCAGCTTCCCTATTTCTTGCGCGGCATACTTCACACAACTATGCACGATAAAGAAAACCCTCGTAGTGAGGATGTCGACAATCGTCGACGCACATCTTCAGAGTTTAACACGTCCTCGGATGTTGAAAAGAATGCGCCTTCAGATAACCGCCACTCAAAGCCCACAGATGAAGGCCAAAATGATGCGGATCTGAGTGATCAGACGACCGAAGCTGGTAATCTGGATGACACAGCCGCAGAATCATTCGAGGTCTCGTGGGACGGCGATAAAGATCCCATGTGCCCGAGGAGTATGTCCAGGATGCGCAAATGGTTCATTGTTTCTATTGCCTGCATGGGCAGTCTCTGCGTGTAAGTCTTTTTCCTCTCCTCCTCCGCCGGGTGATACTGATGGTGGGTAGTACATGCGCCAGTTCAATCTACACGGCTACCTACGCGCAGATGAACGCCGAGTTCAATTGCTCGCAAATCGTCGCGACGCTTGGTCTTTCGACTTTTGTTTTAGGAATTGCTCTAGGGCCCGTGTTAACCAGCCCTTTGAGTGAATACTACGGCCGCCGACCCATCTACCTTGTATCGTGGACCATGTTTATCATCTGGACCATTCCCTCAGCCGTGGCCCAGAACATCGAGACCATGATCGTCGCGCGTTTCTTCACTGGCTTTGCAGGCAGTAGTTTCTTGAGTGTTGCGGGTGGAACAGCAGGAGACGTCTTTGAGCGCCACGAGATCCAGAAGCCTATGAGCTTGGTATCCCTGGCGCCTTTCATTGGACCGACTCTTGGACCTCTAATGGGAGGCTTCATCAACTACAACACGAATTGGCGATGGACGTACTACGTGATGCTCATCTGGGCTGTTATTCTCATGGTTGCGATTTTCTTCTTTGCGCCTGAGACGTTCCATCCCATCCTCCTGCGCGAGAAGGCGAGGAAGATTCGCAAGGAGACTGGGAAGGACTCGTACTGGGCACCTATGGAACGCACCAAAAAGCCCATTCTTGAAACGCTCAAGATCTCAATCCTTCGGCCGTTCCAGCTCCTCTTCCTGGAGCCCATGTGTCTCTGTCTGGATCTCTACTCAGCCCTCCTCCTCGGCATTCTGTACCTCTTCTTCGGCGCATTTCCCCTTGTCTTCCGCACCAATCACGGCATGAACCTCTGGCAGGTCGGAATGACTTTCTTGGGAATTCTCGTTGGAACCATGATTGCAACGGCCACCACTCCCATCTGGGCCAAGATGCGTGCTGGATGGTTGGCTCAGCAGGAGAAAGAGACTGGGAAAGCTATCAGCGAGCCCGAGTATAGACTGCCGCCGTGTATTCTTGGAGCCGTTCTTGCTCCGATTGGACTGTTTTGGTTTGCTTGGTCGACTTATGCCGATGTTCATTGGATAGTACCAATCGTTGGTTCTGGAGTCTTTGGTTGCGGGTAAGTTCTCTTCTGACCATGCAGAACGTACACTAACAACTCCTAGAATGCTCCTCAGTTTTACCGGTATTTTCACCTTTTTAGTTGACGCATATCCCCAATACGCTGCATCTGCAATGGCAGCCAACAGCTTTGCCCGTTGTTCATTTGCTGGTATGTTCGCAACCCCTCAACTTGAAGTAACACAGCTTCTAACGATATCTTTACAGCCGCTTTCCCTCTCTTTGGTATCCAAATGTACGAGAAGCTCGGATATCAGTGGGCATCTAGTCTTCTTGCTTTCTTGACAGTTGCCATGGCGCCCTTTCCCTGGCTATTTTTCAAGTATGGAAAGCAGTTGAGGGCTAAGAGCAGATTTGCCTCAAACACTTAGAACGGGGATGATTGAGGAAAATATGCATTTGGAATGAACACTAAAAATCTAGATCGCGTTGCGTTTATTTAGACCCACCATTGCTCAACGATGAGACCAACTATAGAAGAATTATTTAGAGATTAGAAATCTACTTCTGCAAATTCATCATTACGTTTCCATCCTCGTCGGTTTGTGACGACTCCATAATTGATGCTAACCTCGTTTCTATAAGTTGAAGGTATCTACACCTGGTGCAGCCCCAAAATTAGCAGGAAGCAATGGACATAAACCGTGCTGTAACAGCAAATCGACATCGATAGTATCTTCAGCCCAGAATGAATCAGAACCAAACTGATCGCCTGGCCATGCAAACATCTCCGGCACTTGTTGCTCCTCCATTCCCGACCTTTCAGCGTTACCTGAGTAGGTATTGAATAAATCAGGTTGCTGATTAAACAGACGAGGATCGTCTAGGTTCTGAGAAACATCCCGGCTTGAACCCGTCGACCGCCCCAGTGTTGATCCCTCGTTTTCACGACTATCCTTCGCGATACGGGATGTCACGTCAACTATTGGCCCAGCTGAAGGACCAGATCCTTGGCCTGTCAGATTCCGCATGAGTCTTACGAAGAACTTCATAATCCACAGTCCCACAGGCCAAGATTTTGCTAGTTCACTCAGAGCGAGAATGCATTGTCGTGATTTATTACCTGCCAATTGCCGGCGAATAGCATCTTTGCGACAGATTACAAGTGTGTGTATCGAGAGAGCGCCGAAGACAGCCGGGACACTACTAACAATTAGCTAAACCTCTATGAGAAGTGTGGAAACATACATGTGCATTTGACTGAATCTTATTGCTCCGACGGCTAGCAGATCCTCTGTCATGCGAGTAATGGAATCAGCTGCCCTGCGAGCGCAAACATCCCCTTCGGCCTCGGAGGGAGAAAGGTCACCGATTGCTTTGGGCCTGAACAGAAGGATGTAATAATTCCTGCAGCGTGTCAGATGGAGTCACGTCAAAGATGGAATTAGCCCTCACTGATATGCCATATGTAGTTGGCTGGCCCAAAAAGCAGCACCTAATGTCTCATCAGGTGGTCCTTTTCTCATGCATTCTGGGAGTTGCGCCTCCCATTGCTCAAGCCTACTCTTGAGATGGGCTGCATTATATCGGTCTGACACGGGCCTTCGGGGACTATATTCTCCAATGACAATATCGCCAACTAATTATTTCGTGAGTAGATTGCGAGAAGCAGCTGTCAAAGAGGGCTTACGAATTTCTGTTGCTTTGGCCATTTCGATTGCATACGCCGTGTGATAGTCCTTTTGGGGAGGTATTAAAGGATCCCCATGATTGTCGTCAAAGTGGAAGTCAGCTTCGGTCAGGGGCTCGATATCGCAGTCGTCGTCTCGAATTCTGCATGGTCGGCCGAGACAAGCGGCAGTGTGTCGATCCCGAGTCTAATAAATTCAGCGTGTAACACGAATAGATAGTTTCATTTCAACTTACATAAATAGACCACCATATGCGTTTTCGCAGAGCTATCTTCTTCGGACACCACCTGGAGGCGGCTGCACTACTCGCAGTCAGTATCAACAAAAAATAATGAAAGAGTACACTTACGATCGATGCATCCCCAGAGATTGCGCATAAGTCGTTGCACAACCCAACCAGAACCAAGAATCTTTTTGATCTTCAGGTCCATTCCACCAGAAACCAAGAAGAAACAGTGTAGCTGCGACGGCATTGCGGTCGGTTTCATGATCAACATCGTACAGCGTCTTTGCACGAAGGTAGTGAAACTTCCGCGCAGCAGTGCGGTCGGGAAACCCAGCTGCTTGGATAAGACTGTCGTCGCAAAGGATGAAAGTCACAAGAAATATGGTATGCAACAGCATTGGTGATGCTGTTCCCAGCCTGTATTGTTCTGAAAATGCGCATCTGTCGATTACCGGATAGGGAGGGTGTAGGAGCTCGAAGAAAACATAGATGAGACGATCTGATATCTCTTTCGACGGCATAACTAGAGCATCCTGTACGCTGAGCGGTTCGACTTGAGGGCGCGTGGGCATGACTGCTCGGTCCACTATGGATGCCGGTATGGGGTAATGCACTTTGACAGGTTCGCTAACTCCACCCCTTGGGCTGCATATCATTTCGACGATATATGATAGACTGCTTGAATCACCCAAGTAATATGATTTGTCTGGGACGTGAGGCCCGGATTGAGAATCATTCTCAGTACTCTCAGTCCGCGTATCATGCGAAGCCGTCAATTCGCGCCCTTTTGAGTGACGGGTATTCCCATTACTCTGAGGAACGACGACCGCAATGGCATCGGAGACTGGTGTGTCATTCCGCTCTGTAACAGGACTCTGAGTCGGCTGCAAACGTCTAGAAACGCGTTGGCGAGGCTGAGCACTGCTTCGTCTCGCATACCTAAAATCTATAAGTTTCGCTATCTTACTATCCTAGATACCATTTTACATACTTTCCGCGTTTTGACTCAATTAATTCGCAAGGAACATGGCGTGTGCGACAATGCCAGCACGGCTGTCCATCCGCCGCGTCGCATTTCACTCGTCGAGCGTGACACGCTTTGCAGGCCACTCGGGCTACACGAGTACGACTGGACGTCGCATTTGACGGCTTGGGATCTTTCCGTGGGTTCGTCGATTCGCTCATTGGAATGAGGTTTGATGCTGTTGATTTCTCAGCGATTTGTTAAAGTGGCCAAGTCGGCGTCTCGGTGACTTGGCGAGAGCTGGGGAATAAGCAGGTTACGTAATGCGCGACGATCTTTCATTCCATAACGTTGCCAATCACCCTCGGCATTTTTTTATCAAATCTTGAACAAAGAATAAGCAATCAATCGTTATTGCTTCTATGGGTGAAAGAGATATTATAGCATTCAATATTGAGACGTTTTTAATCCATAGTAGATGGTAGAAAGAGTAGAACAATCTTTTGGGTACTCAGAAACTCTTCAATATGTTAAAGCGAGAATAGATGAATCATTGCCGATGGTTAACTTGCAAGAAAAACCACCATACTCAATGAACTTCCATCATTGAGTGGTGGTACGGCCAACTATCCTCGCCTCCTTCTGTGAATCCATTGCCACTATGAGTGAAAGAAACTGTGTTACTCAAAGCTAGACACCCTGGTCTGTAGGGTAAGCTCTCAACTTTATGTTTCAGAATTACGAGGAAATCCGATGTCTTGACAATTGCTTGTTGACTAACCAGCTCCTGCGGCCGCACAATCACGGCTTCTAGCTTCAATACTTTTACCTCCTTTGAAAGTATCAACTCCTTCTAGTTCGGTCAGATTCACAAAACAGAGTAGCGCTGCTAAGGATCGTTGCATTACCATTATGCATAGGTCCTATGTTCTGGTAACAGAGCGTGAATCTGACTTGCAGTAATCAAGACCGTGAATAAAAAGCAGTCAGCAGTGACTGCAGAAACACTTTATCAACAACCAATCTTATCTGATTAAACACCACCTGTTTGATTTTAGTTCACGTTGAATACATAAAGGTTATGCCATGATTGGTCTTGACGGTAGTTCGTTCTGCTTCGCTGACGACTTCAACCTTTCAATCTCCGTGAATTACTTCACGTCAGATGTGCTGTTTGTTCATTTGGCGATGTAACCCGTGTGGCCATGCAGATCACCGTCAGCTTACGTTGGCAACCAATAAAATTGTTTGTACACAACCTTTGCCTCGATTTGCTGGAGAACAAAGCAACGTCAATCGTCATGATCGGATTGACGACGGGAAGTAAGTAATGGCTTCGTCAGTCAATCGTGAATTCCATTGTTATTGCTTTTTGAGACACGTCATATTGCTCAAATGGCGGTTGTTTGCCTATGTCTGTTAGCCAGGGGGTCAAAGTCATGGACGTCATAAAGACGCACATACTGCAACACTTCAATTGAACTAGGTACTTTGACTGACAGGCGGTGGAGATGTTGCCTACTTAAACAGAAGTGAATCCAGTTCAATGATGAGAAACAGCTTCAAATAAACACAAACACCTAACAAGATAAACACAACAACTCTTCACAACTATCAGCATGACTGGCACTGAGAATACCAACCCTGGCAACTTTGCCAACCGGTGTGTATTTCACGCCTGTCAACAAAGGTCAACTGGCTAATTAGCGTAGCCCCAAGGAGGAAGTTCAAGAGATTGCCTCCAAGGGCGGAAAGGCAAGCCACTCTGGCGGCTTTGCTAATATGGACGCTGACAAGCAGGTTTGTTTACTCATTGTTTCAACTTTGGAATATTCTTATTGACGTATTGTCTAGCGAGAAATTGCTTCCGAAGGAGGCAAGGCTTCCTCCGGCTCATTTGAGCCCGGCAGTGAGAAGGCAAAAGAGGCTGGTCGCAAGGGCGGACTCGCGTCCTGATGTATTCCCGTCGGGGAAGAATGATTAGAATAGCCAGTCATGGGAGAACCAAATGTAGCGCATGAATTGACATGGTAATTGGTCTACAGCCTTTACAACGTGACGATTTGTGTTGAGGTGGTACATCTGGAACCTAGGTGCGCTGTTGAGATTCGTGCCTAGACAACAGCCCCCAGAGTTAACCCTTTTGATATAAAGAGCGTGCATTAGCCTCTGTGCAAGATAAACTTCACACGGTAATATTGGAGAACTATCAATGTTTGCAACCTTCTGCCAGCAGTGATCTACCCAACCCCTCACGTACTAATGTAACACATGATTTCGCAACACTCTCGTCAGCATCATCGTATCAAACCAACCTCATTCCTGAAACACTATCCGAAAGAACGGACACCGGCCCCGTCAACACGTAGATGGCGTTCTCGGATGTTTAGCTCCGGTAATGGATGTATCATACATGCAATACAGTATCAACCTTGATGCACGCAAAAGGAGGACAACCAGAGTCAATTGCGGTTGAATGACGAGTATTGTGTTACCTGAAAAGCAAACAAAATGACGAGCAAGAAATACCATGCGAGAAGCCACGGGCTATAATTGCCTTTCCCCAGCCTCAAAATCAGAACATTCAACAAGCTGTACATTGCATTCCGGCATCTGCACACTAGGACGCAAAATGTCACGAAACATCTGCATCACTGCCATCGATGGCAACACAGGCTTTCTCATCGCCGAGTTAATCCTTACACATCGCGACTTCTCCCGGAAAGTCAAGAGTGTTGTCGGCCTCACTCTTCACCCCGACTCTGACAAAGCAAAGCAACTCAAAGACCTTGGCGCCACTATTGTCGCACACAAACCAGGCCGCCTTCGTCCTATGATCAAGACTCTCGAAGAGACGGGATGTGATACCATCTGCCTTATCCCCCCTACGCATGAGCACAAGTTCGAGATCACTGAGGAGCTCGTGCATGCTGCCAAGAAGGCTGATGTGCAGAATGTTCTCTTGATGAGCTCTGCTGGGTGCGACTATGCTGAGAGAGGTAAACAGCCTCGCTTGAGGGAGTTTATTGATCTGGAGACACTTGTGATGGAGGCTAAGGGAGACCCAAGTGTTTCTACGGGACATTCCCCCTGTATTATTCGGTAAAGCCTTTCGTTCTTCGCATGGCTGGATATACACTGACTAGATAGGGCTGGGTTCTATGCCGAAAATCTCCTTTTGTACGCCAAGCAGGCCAAGGAAGAGGGCACGCTTCCACTTCCCATCGGCGAATTCCACAAGTTCGCACCTGTGGCACTGGGCGTAAGATAAGTTTGCATCCTGTGGAGAATTTGGCTTACATTTTTGTAGGACGTTGCTCAAGTCGCTGCTCATGTGTTGACTGGCAAGGGCGAGCATGGATTTGACGATCGCCATCGCGGACAGATGATGGTAGTCACCGGTAAGTCTAACCACTGTACGCATAACCTCTCGCGACTAACAATATACACAGGTCCTATGTTATGCGCTGGTAAAGAGCTTGCAGAAGCAGCCAGCAAAGCCCTTGGAAGTAAGCTCCAGTTCGAGAACATCTCACAGTAAGCCCCAAAATATAATACTCTAGATGCGTGTTGCTAACCACCTCCAGTGCCGAAGCCAAGCGGGTCCTCAAGTCCCAAACTGAGCTTGACCCTTCGGAGCAGCAATATCTTCTCGAGTACTACAGCCTTGTGAAGGAGGGCAAGACTAACTACATCTCCACCACAGCTTTCAACAATGTGACTGGGGAGCATCCAACAGAGCCAGAGCATTTCTTCAAGATCTACGAGGGGGAATTGAGGCCCAAGAAGAAGGCGAAACATGCGAAGTGATGCATAGCATTCACTTACTCTGAGAATTCTGTGAATGGGTGAGAGTTAGTTACTTGTATTCTTTTCGTCAGGTGGATCGACTATCACCTGTTCATGGGGGAAGAAGCTCAATGATATCTATAAGATACGATAGCAATAACATGAATATTTCAAATCTATCCTAGCAACGCCTGTACAACCACGCTTGTCCCATCTGCATTTAAACCAAAACACTGTACATCATTCCTGTGATATTACATGATAAGAATTGGAGTTTCACTGCTGACTATCGCCGTCCACCGCCGCGTACCTTGCATGCCCCAAATAGTCCGCAAGGCCTTCACCGCAGCAGGAATACTTCCAAAGTTGGTCACACTATAAAGATCCGCAAGCCGTTTTGAGAAGAATTCCCTATGCTCCGGTAAAATACTCTCGGCGGCTGCTACAAAGTATGTCCAGACGAGTGCGTGGGCGCCTTTCGTCCCGCAGTCAAGCGTGAGAACCTTCTGTCGCAATTGTTCGACCAAATGGATGGATTCATCGTCGCTGAGCGAGGATTCGGCGCGTCTACGGTAGATGCTGCATGCGTCGAAGATGGCAGACCGGATCGTCTCGACGTTGAAGTAGTGCTCTGAATCCAGCGGTAGTTCGGGATAGGCCATGAAATCAAGATATGCTTCTGGGCCGGTAAGAACCTTGAGGCCTTTAGCCTCATTAGCCAAAGGGACACCAAAAAGCTGAAACCTGTGACTATGTTAGTCAATGTCTTTGAGGTCGCTTTGCTGAGTTCTTACATCTTGATCTGCTGCAGGAAAAACTCCTTGAGACTTGGTGGCAGCATGGTGATCCAATCCGGGGATTGCGTGAGACAGTTGAGCATTTCCAACAGATAGGTGTAATTATCAGCACCTGTGATGGTTTCACCAACCAGAAGCACCAAGATAGTTGCCAGAATGTAAGGGTTGAAGACTTGCTCAGGACTGAGTTGAAGTGAATCTCGCCGTAGCTTTTGGACGATGGCTTGGTGGCCGGCTTCGGCGGCGCGTTGCAGCTTGGGGTTCTTTTGGCCGAGGTGGAATGCTGATACGACGGAGACGGCTTGTGCGAGAGTATCGTCGTGGCAGGCTAGTGGTAGGATGACGTCTCGGTAGCCGTTGGTGGCGGAGTCTAGTACGACCATATGTGAAGCAATGATTTCGGAGACTATATATGTTAGGAGTTGTGGAGAAAAGGCGAGTGACGTGACATACAGTGGCTGAACATCATTCTCGTCTGGGGACTCGACGTCCCGTTGAGCGCTGGATGGATACTGATACTGTAAGGATATGATATAACAGCGGTACTCCCTTCCGATGAAGATTCATCAGAAGACGGAGAGGCGCTCTCATCAGAAGATGCAGAATCCATATTCCGCAACGTAGTCGGGCTATCATGGGTGTTTCTTCTCTGCTCCTTTCTGGCACGATCCTTCCTGACCCGCTGTCCAGGCTCGACCCATCGAAAGCTCTTCTCAGCTTGAGTAGGACTGAGCTGATCTGAGGAAGACTGAGAGGCTGCAGCATTAAACGTCAAGGTCAAGGCCTGCGGCTTCGCGGTGGCAGGTGTCGAGCCAACAGCCATATGGCTGCTAAAGCGACACCGTAGACCCTGGCCCGAACATGAGATGCCTTTCTTCTGACATTTGAGACACTCAGGCTCTGTCTTGTCACACTTGAGACGTCGCTTGCAGCACTCGTAGCATCCTAGACACGCCAGTTAGTTATCTGATACATGGGCGGAATATGGGGAATTTCAGCTACCGTTGTTCCTTTTGGCAAGCGACATTGCCACAATCAGTCTAGTGCGAAGCGAAGACAAACAAGACAAGATCCTTTTCTCGCTCTCTTACTCTTTCTGGGGATCTGGAGAATTTAAGTGTTAGAGGATTCTCTTAAAGCCTTTTCTTTTTATTCATCGACCCTTGTTTCACTTGGGGAAGAAGAAACGGAGTTGTTGGAGGTGGCTTTCCTGTGGCCGGGTATGCGGAATGCGCTGTTGTGATGAGGAATACGCATGGGTTGGGTGAATAGAGTTTCAGCTGTGGCACTATTGATTGGGTGGCCTTCGGGGCCCAGATCTAGATGGGCTAGAAGGGCTAACGGCCACACCGAATGCCACACCAAATGGGCAAGTGGCTGACAGCTTTTGGACAGATCTGTGATATTTAACATGGGAGAGTGACAAATGAGACCGATAAAATCCGGGACTGACATTAATTACAATTATATTGGTTTAAAGAGCGGTTATTGACTGTTCCTGGCTAGGTAGGTTTGAGTTAGCCTCCGCTCCGTAAGTAGTTGTTAAATGTCAACGTGTAAATGGACCTTGACGCTCCGATAGATCTCGCATCTCAAATACCACAGGTATACAAGTACCTAGAGGCTCCCTGCAGCATGGCATGCGCCAGTTCCAATATCACCTACGCACCACTATTACATTTGCACATCAGCAAGAAGCCAAATCGAAGGCAATTTGCAACAAATAGAACAAAACCGGTATGCTAGTGGCTTTTCAGTCCGCGTCATTAATGATCACTCCAACACAAATTGGATGCCACACAAACATGCGAAACATCAGCCGCACCGTCGCACCCGCCAAACGCTAACCTTAGCACAGCAATCCGGAGCGGGGGAGCCAATCGCTTCTCCCGGGTCAACAAGATATCTCCTTGGGATTGATAGATTGTGTGCTTTCTAGAAGCGCAGTTCGATTCTAGAAGTTTTTCACAAGCATTCTCGTTCTTCTGGGGTGGTCCAGACCGTGGCTTATGAGACACGCAGAGCGCCTTACTCTTTGTCTCGGGTACGTCAGCTTCTGATAGGACGTGGCGTTCTATAGTTTCAACTCTGCTCTACCACGTACAACTGTGATTGGGTCAGTAGGTTCAGACGCTTCTCGTAGAAATATCGTATTTTGCACTTATGATGTCCCCAAACCCCATGGGGCATTTAGCGCAACTAAATACAGTGTTTACCAACAGTAGATAAGACCCAAATCACTTATTCGCAGAGAAGACCGACTGTTACACCAGTTATCTCTCGTATCCACCCAAATCACACAACCAACCCGCTTATTTAGCTGCTCGTCCACTGATACTCCTTGGTGATTCGGGTGATCAGCAACCGAACCGAGATTAGAAAACCATTTGCACGAGAATTTTTCGTCTGTGCTAATATGATTCGTCCCGGAAGCTATTCCCGGTATTTTTCTGGAGCGGTATCGGGCATATCACGTTGATTTTTCTGATTGTGTTATGATCGATTATCTGGAGAATTTATGCAGCCGCTACTTAACAGCGCGGTCCCCAGACTTTTAGTGGCCTGTATCGCAAACTGGTGATAACATAACGTCAAATGTGTAAAAATGGCTGTGAAAACTACCCAATTCGATGAAGCCAATCTTCAAACCCTGTCGTAAGTTGAAGCTTCACTATGTGAACCGCATTGCTAACGCGGTGTAGAAGGACAGGGACGAACCTGCGTCGGGAGTTGACGAGGTCGGAGATGCAAGATCTCGAAGTCATCGCCTCCGCAGGCGCATCCTTCCGACCAGGAGACATCCCCCCTCCCCCAGACGGCGGCCTCGAAGCATGGACACAAGTAGCAATGGGCTGGATCGTCATCTTCGCAACATGGGGCTACGTAAACTCCTTCGGAAGCTTCCAAGCCCACTACACCTCGGTTCTTCCTCAGACGCCTTTCCAGATCTCGTGGATCGGCTCTATCCAGGTCTGGTTCACCTTCTTCGGCAGCGCCTTTTCCGGACGCTTGCTAGACGCAGGGTTCTGGGTCCCTACGTTCCTCGTTGGCTCGACCTTGCAGCTGATCGGTATCTTCACAATGAGCCTTTCGACTACGTATTGGCATTTGATGATCACCCAGGGCGTTGTCACTGGCATTGGCGGTGGCATCATCTTTGCGCCTTCGCTCGCTTTGGTAGCGACGTACTTTGAGAAGCGTAGAGGAATTGCCATCGGTCTTGTCACCACTGGGAATTCTCTCGGCGGTACTGTGTATCCTCTCGTTGTTCGAACGCTGTTACCTGCAATTGGAATGCCGTGGACGGCGCGGGTGCTGGGGTTTATCAACCTTGCCGGATTTGCACTTGTGGCTGTGTTTATGAGACCGAGACTTCCTCCAAGACACACAGGTCCTATCATCGACTGGACGGCGTTTAAGGACACGCTATATGTGTGTTATGTCAGCGGTCTATTCTTCTTCGTGTGGTCTGTCTACTACACCTTTTACTACGTGAGTCAATTCCTACGTCCTCTAACAACAACTGCTAACCTGTGAAAGCTCGCTTCTTTCGGACAAGAAGAAGTCCGCATGTCCTTTGCCGACTCATCCCTCCTCACCACCATAATCAACGCCGTTGGTCTTCCAGTCCGAGTGTTGATTCCCTTCGTAGCCGACAGGATCGGTCCGTTGAACACCATCGCACCAGCCGGTCTTTTTGTAGCCATCGTGGCGTATACTTGGCTTGCTGTGCACAACGTTGCCGGCGTTTACGTCTTTTCCATCTTTTACGGCATTGCATCAGGGGCTTTCCAGAGTCTTATGCCGACGGGAGTTGCTAGTATCACCACGAGACTTGATACCATCGGCACGAGAATGGGCATGTGCTTCAGTTTGATTTCGTTTGCGGGTCTGTCGGGACCGCCTATCGGGGGGCTTCTGCAGTCCCAGAGTCTTGTTGGGGCGCATGTCTGGGCTGCTCTTTCGAGCTCATTGGCAGCTGTGCTGTTGGTTCTCGCAAGAGTTTTGAAGGTGGGATGGAAGGTGAAAATCAGGTGTTAGAGCGGGACATTTTTATAGAAGCATTTGAGTTTAGACTACCTCATCTAAGAATAGTGTTTAATCAAAGTCATAGAACTTCCACTCGGCCTTGAAATTTCTTGACAGCTCATCCTTCATAATCAGGGCTTTAACCATCTCGATAGGTAATCCACCAGTGCGCAGAATAGTATCATGATATTCCTTTTGAGAAAGTTTTCCATCGCCCACAGCCATCTCCCTCAACTTCCAAAGTTGCAGGGCTCCCAGCATATAACCAGCCTGGTAAAGAGGCGAGTAAGTCCCCTCTACAGACCGCCTGACCTCGCCTTCAGCAGTGCTTCTCTCATGGTTGATCCGCTCGACCAAAAGATCCACCGCCTCTTGGGCAGTCATCTCGCCCAGGTGGAATTTGAGAGAGAAGATGATACGCAGACAGCGATGCATCCGCCACCATAGCGCACCGATTCTGTTCTCGGGTGAGTGGTGAAAGTCATCTCTATCATAGAACAGAAACTCCCAGTACAGCGCCCATCCTTCCACAAAGAAAGGCGTATCGAAAATTTCTTTCCTATGTGAGTTGTAGCGATCGGCCATGTAGAGCTGAAGTCTATGGCCGGGGAACATCTCGTGGAAAGCCGTGGCACGGGCGAAATGCTTGTTGTTGCCGCGCATAACCATGAGCTTCAGGTCGTGCTCCATTGATACTACCGGGTATGAAACTTGGATGGTTGGGCCGCCGAGGAAGAAGGGTGATACTTTTTGACGTTCTGCGTCGATCATGATCATGCGCCATGTTGCGTTGGATAGCGGTGGGACAGTAACGAGGTCGCGTTCTGTGACGAAGAGGCTGCCTTCGACGACCAGACTGCGTACATACTCGGTTTGTTTCCCGGGATCAACGTAGTCGTTCTTGACGTGCTCGAGAGCCTTTTTCCAGTCCTTTCCATAACCAAGAGCTTCGGATTGCTTGATCATTTCCTTTTCGCACCATTTAAACTCCTGATTACCGATCTTAATCAGTTCCTCGGGCGTGTAGGGAATCATTTCGGCTTCAAGCTCAACTTCCAACCCCTCACGTCCGATAGGTTCGCCAATAATAACATCCTTTCCGTTCTTCTGATTCATACCCGCTAGCTCTGTCTGCACAACATCCAGATACGCGGTCAGCGATGTGTTTGCCGCCTGCCAAGGCGTCGTGACCCAGTAATCAAACAGAGGATCGTATGTTGAGTAGAAAGTGTACCATTCTCCCAAATGCTCGAGGAGGTTTGTGAGAGCCTTAGTGGCGAGATAGCCTGTTGTTTCGGTGACGTTGAAACCACCATCTTTGACTTTTGTCTGGGCGCCTGTGATGGATTTTGTGATGTTGTTAAGAAGGCTGGCTGTTTCTTTCGCTTTCATCGGTTCAACATCTTGGCGCGCTTCGAGCAGACCGACGAGGTCCTCTTCAAACGGGAGTAACGGCTCATATTTCTTTTTCGAGTTCTTCTGAAGGTCAAGATTGTTGAGTTGTCGCGTGTGGTAGGTACACAGCATGATATAATCCACCTTGCCCTCTTGGTCGAGTCCTTCAAAATCGATGTCGCCAAGAAGTTCCTGTTCACCCTTGTGGTAGTTCTCGAGAGCTTTGTATCGGCGGGGCGCGATATCAATGTTGTAAAACTCGTTCAGTTCGCCGAGGTCTGCTTGAGTGCGGATGACATGGTCGGCCATAGACACATTGAATAAGTCGCCAGCGAGAGCTAGAGAGCCCCATGATGCAGCGAAATTACTACCGGCAGCAGCCAATGCCATGGTGACGGATTGTTTCAACTGCAGGTAGAGAGGTGTAGTGTTGAGATGACTGAGGGACAGTTGGGCCAAGCTGGTCATACTGAGAGTTATTCGTAATGTAAGCTTGACTTTATACTCTCACAATCAGTGACTGGATACTACCTAAACATCGGCCTCAAAGTCCGTACCTATCGGGAACAGCGCCCGTGATGCAAATCAGTGCAACAATCTGCGTATTCTGTATCTCGCGCAGGGTTCCCCGCTCCGTAATGTCTAGGCACTTTTGATTCTTCCAGTGATGCAAGGATCACGATATACTCCTTCTGGTAGGTAGATGGTTACCTACGTCACCATGCGAAAGACTATTCTGCTTAAAGTTCGAGTAAGGAACTTTATCCCTGCAAGGAAACGTTGCATGTCATAGCCGAGGGTATGTATAACCAATCTTCTATTGCGATAAGAATGGTTTAAGGTTGTTTATCCCTTATGCCTGTATAAATCAGCCGATTAAGTAGCACTTAACTTGGCGAGGTACACCAAGCTACGCTTTTGGGGTGGGAATGTCTTGGCAGTGTTGCCTAACGGGAACAGTAACAAGTCAATGATCAGACCAGGTTGTTTAAGAGGATTTGATTACTCGGATCCTTTCAATTGGGTTCTTATAATCCTTAAATGCCAATTGGTTTACTCGTAGGCATAGTCTCCGTTTTCCAGGCAGACCGCTGTCGTCTCACGTAATACGTGAATTTCAGCCTTGACAGTGGAGCTTCACGATGCTATAAATCCAAAGCCATACACTCTGAATTAAACAATAAACAAAACATTTAATTTTCACTCTATTGTAAGCCCTTCCGGAGTCATGGCCACCTCAACCAGTTTCCTATCTTTGCCCCGAGAGATTCGCGACATAATCTACAACTACGCCCTAGAGGATATCCAATTCACCAACGCTCTCACCGCCGTGACGGCTTATACACCACAAACCTTCCCGCTTCTCTTTGTCGACAAAGGTATCTCGGATGACCTCCAGCCTCGTTTATATGAAAACCATTCCATGGTCATTCCGATCCAAGAACCATGCCAGTACATCATTAAAAACTCCACGTTTGCACCCCAGGTTGCCAAATGCTCACGCATGATGAAAGAGCGCTCAAAGACTATCGTCATTGAAATGGCTCAGACTACTATGTCTCACCATGCCAATGCTGAGCTTGACGAAGACGGAAACCCGGAAATAGCTTATGAATTCTGGGAGTCCCAGGGTAGCGTCTTTGCCGAGAAACTCATCGACGACCTACTTGCCCTGAAGCCAGAACTCCCAGGCTTCAAAACCATGAAGCTTGTGTTCTGGTTCGCCAACTGGATAGCGTACAGCAGCGAATGGTCCGATGCCCTCGAAAGGCTTACGAAAGAGTGGCCCGAAATCTTTCTTGAGATCGAGCTCAATCTTTTTGAATACGTGGATCAAGACGCTGGCGATGGTGGCTCCAACTGGGTCGAGGGCTGGAATGAGTGGGCGGATAGAGAAGGCATTACTTTCCAGGCTATGAATTTCGAGTGGAATTCTCGTTCTGATGGGAGCTTTGACGGTCGTATGATCGATGTTGCGGCTTGGCAGGATGAGGACTTTATCTACATGAACATGCGAGAAAGAGATATGGATCTTCATTGGGGATCTTTCAAGGTAAGCCCTATGTTTCTTACTATAAAGAGATTATGACTTCAGCATTGATTTCACGGAGGGGTCTTTCAGAGCAGGAAAATGTAGTCTCGCATTGCACACAAGTATGTCGAAAAACAAAGTTACGCTACAAATCACAAACTCGCTTCAATTTAACCAATCTCCTGACGTGTCCTACCTTACGCAAGGTCATACTCAGCAACAAGCTTCTCAGCAGCTGTCATGCCAGTCACATAAGCCACAGACTGAATATGACAACTAGCCAAAACAGGGACAACACCCATATCAGCAATCCGCAGGTTCTCAAACCCAATGACCTTGAAATCGCTGTCCACAACAGCATCGGCATCCCCCTTCTTGCCCATCTTTGTAGTGCCGGTCATATGCCAGCTTGACGAGATAGTCGATCGCCAGTGCGAAAGCAGCTCCTCATCCGAATCCCCCTTGGGTCCGACCATCATGTCGACGTTATCTTTGGCGTAGCCCTCGTGTTTGATGAGACGGTGGGCGTCGCGCAGAGAATCTATCGCCACGCGGCGGTCGAAGGGCGAGGCGAGGAATTTAGGGTCGAATTTGAGCGGGACGTTGGGATCGGATGATTGCAGTGTTACTTCTCCCTGGCTCTGTGCGTTGTAGTAGAATACAAGAAGGCAGGAGTAGTTCAGGTTGCAATCAGGAAACTGAGGTATGAACCAGTGGATCGGGAAGTGCGTCAGGATCTCATAATGCGGCACAGTCTCCTTCATCAAGAAGCTCTGCTGCTCAGCAGGAAGAGCCTTGAACTCTTCAGACTGGGCAAGCTTGTCGAGTTTGAACCAGCCAATACCCAATTCGCAGGCAAACTTCGTCCACGGGCCCGTGCCGTCGCGACGCCATTGCTGGAGGGCTTCGTCCATGACCTTTTGGTCACCGTAGAAGGGGGCGCGTGCTGTGTCGCCTTCCTTGCGGATGTAGACAAGAGGTGTGAACATGTGGTCACGAAGACCTTGGCCAACTCGCGGGGCGTCTTTGATAACGGGGATGTTGAATTTGTCGAGTTGGCCCTTGGGACCGATGCCAGAGTGCATAAGAATGCTGGGAGTATTGAGAGCTCCTGCTGAGAGGATTACTTCTTTTGAAGCAAGGTCTGTGAGAATGTTAGTCTGAGTGATCATGAAGCCAAGGGGGTATAGTTGCAGTTTCGAGTTGGGTGAAATAAGAGACACTCACATTGCTTGCCATTGACCTCCACACCAATAGCCTTATTACCATCCAGCACAACCCTCTGTACAGAAGAATCCGTCATGATAGTCAAATTCTCCGGTTTTGGCGTCAAAAGATCGTTAGCTGTAGAACGTCGTCCCTTGCAGCTCGAGTTGATGAGAACCGACATGCCCAGCGGGTTTCCAGAGTTGTGATCAGGATTTAGCGGAAATCCAGCATCTTCAAAGAGGTCCAGCACTGGAGGAAGATCCTTCTCCCACTCGCTGGCATATCCGACGTGGAGCTTCCCAGAGGAGCCGTGGTCCTCAGCTTTGGGTGCGGCATACTTGGCATCGACGCCTTGAGGAAGCGAGCCATGGAAAGTTTCTAGGTCTTTGAAGCGTTTCTGGATCTTGTCCCAGCGAAATGTGTCATCGCCAACGATGCGCGCCCACTCTTCATAATCATCTCGCGCGCCAACACTGAAAACACCAAAGTTAATAGCACTGGAACCGCCGAGTCCTTTGCCCCGCGAATAGTCCAGCTTGCGATTATCAGCGAATTCCTGGGGAACGGTCTTGTAGCCCCAGTTCATGTCCTTATTGAGAAAAGTGGTCCATCGCTGGCCATCGACTCTCAGGTTGCGGTCCTCGTTCGTGCCCCCTGCCTCGAGGAGGAGGACGCTGGGCTTCTTAGCGGCGTTAGCAAGGCCGGCTGCGACGGCGCTACCGGCTGGGCCGCCTGTGAAAAGGAGTTAATTCTTGGCCGATCAGTCCAGTGTGTCGAGTCAGTGACACCGGGGACCGTTTTCCGGGATGCACGTACCTCCCACGACGACGAAGTCGAATGCAGACGGTGACATTGCTGTTAATTGCTTTTGATCTGGATGAGATGATGTGTCCAATTGAAAGGTAGAATATCAATAATCGAGTTTAATAAAGACCTGAGATTGGAAAACCTTGGAACGCGACTGCAAGTGATGGAAACCTCAGTGAGGGGAAAGGGGTTAACTGGACATATATACCCAACACAGCGCTTTCTTTTTGACAGCCGCATTGACAGGAGGGGTATCTGGCGCAATGGTCGCCAAACATGCCGAGTAGTACGGAGTATAATAGCAGCCCTACCACGATGGAACAGCTGTAATTACATCAAAGCTCAACCTCGACTTCCGCGGAAGGGATCTTGTCTCCAGGTTTTTGCACCATTTCCTGAAGACCCCGACACTATTAGATGACGCGTACTACTTTAACTTCCGGGTAAAATATTAGGAGACTGAAGTATCTCGAGCTGGAGGTGCGGGTAGGGCACTCCTGGGGTCTCAAGGAGATGGTTTGAACCTTAATCCCCGCTTACGTTTGTCCCCGGTTACGGGACCACAAAGACCTTGTCCTCGGTCATATCGATCGAGCAATCGCCGCTGATTGGCCAGTAACGCCTCGACTTTTCAGCTTTGGTTTTTGGTGGTGGACATCTCACATAATAACAAGCCTGGTCTTCCCTTCCACTGCCGGCATATAGGGCGCACATGGCATTGTTATTCATGCATTTGGGTTTGTACGTGACAAATAATCTTGCGTCAGTCTATCTGCATCAATGGCGTTCTCGTGGGTCAATACGTTGGTATTACCGAATGCCAATTACTTATTAGCTCCGATATCGAACAGGGCCCTGAGTAGTGATATTCATCCCCTAGAATTGATTATCACGCTACACTAGTCAGTCAACCCCATAGCGGCCGCCTGGTGGAGTAATATTGACCGATGGTTTGGGCAGCGACAGGAGACTAAAATCACCATGCATTATAACATTCCGTGACTTGTCCTCGTCTAGCTTTAGCTTGTTAGAGACGGTTGTCTCTGGATGACCGCCGATCTACAGGGGCTACGGGAGTAACAAGGCTTTCGACTCATCTTGCAGATTAATATAGAAGGTGCTCCGCGGCATGTCATTGGCTGCCCTGCGACCCTAGTAATTAAGAATGCAACCCTACGCCGTAGTGTCATCTAGATGTCTTATCCAGTACGGAACTTCCGTAGATGACGGAGATAAGGATTTATTCACACAAGTACATAGACGCCTCATGCCACAACTTGTCCCTTGCTATTTCTTTATTCTCCGCCTTGGCATCATATCTCAGGCTTTCGAATACCGCGAGCCTTGTCGTCGGTACCGAACACATGTGGACATGGGCATCGAGGAACAGTTCATCTTGCTCTCTTTAGGGCTTGCCACGATTCTCGTGCGAATTGGGGTACGATGGCGACAAGTAGGACCCAGTGGGTGGGAATTGGATGATTATCTGATGCCTTTCACAGGTGTAAGCAGCCCATTTCTGACACGCGACCTACTAGCGTTACAACTTACAAGCACCAACAAGCGAAAAGCTTTCTGGCGTCAGCAATCCACAGCACATGAAAGTTTGCTGACATCTTGTCCCTAGCTTCTGTTTACGGCCGAAACGATAGCAGCATATCTCGTGGGCGCGAAATTCCAGGGCCTGACGAATAGTTACATGACCGACCAAGAGCGCGCAAGTATCGACGTAAACGGCCGCGAACACTACAATCGAGTATGGGGATCCAAGATACAGATACTAGGCTGGTCACTTTACGCGTGTATATTGTGGTCGCTCAAGTTCTGTGTTACTGCCTTTTATGGCCGTCTTACGTGCGTTGTCTCCTTGTGCGAGAACTGCAGATTTCTAACTTTACCACAGCACCGGACTGACCAACCTCAGAACTCGTGTGCTTCTAGCTTACATCATTCTCGGTGTCACATATGTGGCCGTTGCCCTCACGATCCTACTATCATGCCATCCATTCCATCACATGTGGCAGATCACGCCGGATCCTGGAGTTCTTTGCCAACCGACGAACTCGCCGGCGAATGTACTAGTGGTGTTGATTCCGAACATATTGACGGACATCTACCTGCTTTCCATTCCTTTGCCTGTAAGTGACCTATTGACAGCATGATGTTTCGCCGTTCTGACCTATATATAGCTTCTCTGGGGTGTCAACATCAGTTTACGACGTAGGCTTACTCTCATGCTGTTATTCAGCGGCGCCCTCTTCATTATGATGGCCGGTACCATCCGTGCCGTCACTGTTCTCACAGTAAGTAATCGTATCCCCCATACTACCCGCAATATTCTTTACTGACAATCGTAAAGGCAGGACCCAATGGCGCATATGAAGCCAGCGCATGGGCATGCCGCGAAACCTTTGTCGCCATAGTCGTCACCAACCTCCCCATAATCCAACCCCTTCTTCGCAAGGGCGCCGACATGATCGGACTAAGTGTGCTTTTCAGCCGCGGCACCAGATCCGCGTCCCAGAGCCACCAGCTACGAAGCAACGAAGCTGGCGGAAATCGCTTCAACTCGAGCCGACGCACCGGGCCAAATAGCCATCCTCTGTCCAATGTGCCCGGGACAGCGGCTTGGGCAAGCGACGAGCATATCCTCCCCGGGGCTTGTGAGAGCGGCAAGTCCGGGAGTCGAGATGGTGGAATTGTTGTTGCGCAGGAGATTAGCGTCCAGTCTGAGGAAGCTTCCGATAGCAGATCGAAAAGTCCTGCGGTGTATGAATGGGGACACAAAGCGAATGTGTCGAGGAGTACATGAGATATGACTATTAAGCTAGACGGTATAGACACTAATTAGAAGGGGTTGGATCTTGGGAAAACACGGAATTGGATTGGGCGGACTTTTACTTCAATAACAGCGAGTTTATTCTAAAGAACTACTTAATACATTGGAAAAACAAATCACCTGTGCTTGAGGCCAGACATAAATCACTGTAATAGACCCGTGCTAAAATCCCGCGGTAGCTAGATTCATTAGTTTAGTGAGCTATTTAGTAGTGAATTAGTAGGGCTGTAAACTAACTAATGTTTTACTACCAGTTAGGTCCGGTTAGTTTACTTTCCCAAGTACCTGACTACTAACTTAAGCTAACTCATGTTAAGTTTCTCCTTCTACTTTACAAATAAGGAAACATTTACTATTGACTAACTACTTAATGGGGAAGCCTGGTTAATAATTAGTTGCATACTAACTAGGCTAGTTAGGAGTCTGTTAGCTAATACTTGATTGTTACCAGCTAATTCAATCACCCTGTAAAGTCCATGGAGAACTCCGTAGACATAATAATCCGCCAAAAACACAGATAATAAGCATCCGACTGCAGTAGCCCATCCAAATTAGAGTAGTCTCTATAGGTTCTATGAGGTCTTTATCTTTAGAACCTATCTTAGTGGACTTGCAGTGGAACCAGCAAGCGCCGATTCTCATGACTGTCAAGAAACTAGTCTGTTAATTTATTGAAGTATTGTATGGATGTCTGCGTTCTTTATTCTTAAAGCATATTACTCTCAGTGCAATTCTCTCAAATGGGCTACCTTTACGTTCTCGTTACAGTTTTGTTGGACCCCCCATTTTTCAACACCGAGATAGATATCTCATGGACGAGACAGACCCCGGTTTTCTCAACATCTAACCCTTAAATCACCGCGGGATATAGCTAATAGTGTGGTATGAGATACAAGTAGCTCTAGAATAATAAATCTCCTAACTAGTAAACTCTAATTACTTTTTTTATTGTAAAAACCTTCAGCTTTCCAAATCTCTCAATGATGTCAACCATAAAACTCCATTTGCAAAGTTATTATTCGACAGAAAATAACCAAACCCCTTTCGTGTTCGTATAACGTAGGTAGACTTACATACCCCAGACTCTCGAGAGTATCCTGGAGTGCTCGTACGGTTGCTTTCTGATATGTTTAATATCTTTAGAGGAGTGGGAATATGTTTGCGACTATTTATAAATAAAATGAACTCCTCGATCTCATACCCAGTAGTTCTGGACTCTTCTAGTAGCCATAAAGTTGCTTATTTTGTTCTCAGCACGTAGGTTCATATAACTCTTGGTCACCAGAAGATAAAGACCAGCACTATAGAGAGCCTTTTAGCCTCAGTAGCCGTTAGAAAAAGCTATGCATCCATTCATTCAACCTTCTTGAGGTAGACATCGTCGATCTGTCCACCAGGAGGTAGTAAAACAAACCGCATGACAACCTCACTAAATCCCGCCGCATCCTCCAGAACATCGATCTGCTTGTTAATTCCCCCAATGATTATCCTTCCCCCGCTTGCCATAGCCTTAGCGCCGTTGGTAAACTTGGCAGTTATGTTGGTCCCTTGAACAGGGTTGATAATGTCAAAGACTACCACAGTGCGCCAGTAGTCCGAATTCATGGGAAACTTGGCTGGGGGAGCGGTGAAGCCAACTTCGTAGCGGCCTGCCTCGAGGTAGACGAGCTTGGTCTGTCGCAGAGTACCTGTGGCACTCGCCGTACCAGTCACTTCATATGCCCATGCGATGGGATCAGGGCCCCAGCGGACCATTTTGCTGTGCCAGGACTCAGGTGAAAGCTGCCAACCGGTTGAATCGCCAGTCTCGAAGTCGCCATTGATTAGACGGTTTACCTTTAAAGGGGGAACTGTAACTGTAGTGATGCCTCCGGTTGTAGCAGTGGAAATAGTCTCCCAGATAGTCGTAGTAATAGCTGAGGGTGTAATAAACACAGTATTGGTCTTTTGCCGAAGTCAGCATGCAGCATCGTAGGTACTTTGGAGTCTATCTCACTTCTGTAACTGTTTCCGTGCTCACAATTTGTGTAGCGCTGACAGTGGAAGCTGGGACGTCGATACAAGAGCAAGCTGATGTAATTCGACTAGCAGGATAGGTCACGCCGTTTGTCATGCACTTTGGTGGCATCGCCAATGAACGTTTTGCCAAGGCTCCTACACTTTGCGTCACAACTGTTGTAGCAGTAGGTACTGTTTCAGTAAAAACAGTCGTCGTAGAAGTCTCGGTGATCTCCACAACATCGAGGGTCACGCCAGCTTGCACAACTGTTGTCCTGCATACGGTCAGTCTGAGCGGAGGTTTCAAAGTAGATTTGCGTCCATACATAGTTGCAGTTGCAGTAGCTACTGTCACCGTGGAAGTGTCGAGACTAGAGCAAAAGTCGCTGGCCTGTTCATGATAGCGTTGGTCGATGAAGCAACGGAACAAATTATCGCGATTGCATGCTGCGCGTTCGTATAGTTGGCTGGGGATTTGGGCTAGGGTGTGATGAGCGAACCCGCCAGCTAGAAGGACGATAATGCTTCTCATAGCTATATTCAGAGAAGATGTCTAGGCCAGTCGAGGTTGACAATGAAGGAAATATCTGATTGATAAGAATTTTGACCTTGGGAGTCAAAGGTGAAGACTATATATATTTCTCTACAATAGCATCAGCTCATAATTGACTGCAATAGTGGACATTTTTTCGCATAGGTGCCACTCTCGACTCGATATCTAACTGAAAAGAGTTGCCTGCATCAATAGTTCTTCAATAGCTACCTCGTTTATTTTTCAGCCGCCCACTTCAACGTCTCAGCTCTCCACTTTATAATTTATACACCACTGATGCCATGGTCCTCGTAAACGAACCGCAGGATATGGTCCGGCTTCAAAGGACTGCGGGTACTATGTTGAATTTATTCCACAAGAACACGGATGAGATAAGAGTAAGTTAGGACTGCCTGATAATGATACACTAGCTCTCACTATATCTAACACGTAAGTAAAAGCATTTGGTGTTGCATCTGGAGCATTCCAACAGCTGTTTCCAGCACACAGTATATCACATCGCCACTATCACATTCCATGCTCGCATGGAATGGGTTTTTCGAGATTGTTTTGCGTTAATGGTCCATTATTAGCACTATGCTAAGCTTCGAGGCTTTAGAACCGAAGCTTGTAGTTCTCCAAATACTAGATCATACGTCAGAAAAGCTCGATATCGAAGCCTGACCACCACTACCATCGTACGCGGCCCAGAAGTCTCAACCATTTTGTCAGATTATTGGCTGAGGCCAGCCACAGCTACTTTGAATTCTCTGAACTGCACAAACCACTTACCACAACTATCCCAATTAGGGTATCCATGGTGCTATGTCAGTTTGGTTTCAAACTCTACCGTATTTTGGTTCAAGTCTGTATAGTTTACCCCCGTGTTGTCTCATTCCTGCGTCGAAGCAGTCTTGGACCGATAGAGCATAGTGCCCAATCATTCCCCCCCCCTCGCTCAACCCTATCTCGGCATGTTCTGACCTAACCGTTGAGTTGTTTTCTACTTGAGGATAGAGATCCTGAGTCACAACAGTGAGCCATGTGAGATTCAGTGTTAAGACTCTCCGGATAATTCCTCCCACCCTTTCGTTATTATAGACTCCTATGGAACATTGCTTGAACACTGTAAAGTGCCAGACGTATAGTGGTTTGCAGATTCATATGCGCTGAAATACTGTACATCCTCATTCAGCAATCTCGGCTGGGAGCGCTGATGAAGTTCTCAGAGAGAAGTTCAAAGCCACCCACTCCTCAGCACACTCCTTCCCCGACCGATCCCTCGACTTTGTAGCCTGCTTCTTAGGCGAAGCCCCGATCTTGGGCAGCTCAAGAAGATCAAAAGAACTCGGATGCGACGTAACAAAGATCTTCAACGTATCGTCGCATTGTAACAAGCCCCTTGCCTTCATTTCCGGCGGCACCATAGTCCTTAACTTCTTGGTAAACGTGTTTTTGAAGCCTTCGCCAGATTCGAGGGAAGGAATCAACTCAGCGCCATTGTGGTTAATGTCATCTACTTGCCAAAGTGGACCAAGGTTGAAGACGTAGAGGTAGAGCTCTCGACAGCTGTTGTTCTGGACAATCAACTCGAACATGTATTTTCCATCTGATTCTTCTGCATGAATAAGCTGTCCAGGGCTAAATTGGTCTCCGTCTCGGTTCGAAATGTTGACCTCGAATGAAGCCTGGAACTCTTCTGAAGAGGACTCGTTTGAAAGACTTTTGACTAGTTCGTATCTTACCAGATGCTCTAGCATCGCGGCGACGTCCTCCAGGTCTGTTCCACGTTGTTTCAAGACCGGCAAGTTTAGCAGCCCCTGCCCATCTTTGTCCAAGATTTGATACTCATCCCCAAAGGCCTCAACTCGAAACGAGAAAGGGAACCCTTCTGTCTCATGATGGACTGATAGGGAGTATTTGTCGAAGGCTGCCAACCACTCGTCGCGGTTCAGTATTGTTTCGCTTAAAGCTATCGGAAATCGGCGAAAAGAATGTCTTCTTCGAGGTTCCGCAACACATGCCACCTCTCTCAAAGAAGACTTGCCATTTGTGAGTTCCAGAGATGATGTGAGAGGACCAATGGTACCAACCCTGGCACTTATCATGTTGTCATGCAAGGCCGCATTATGGTCGACCACGCTGGAAGGGTAAATGATGAAATCATCGCCTTCCTCAACGCCATGCGCATACCCAGCTTGCAGAACAAACCCTTGTGAGGTTTTAAACACGGGTATGACCGGTCGGTTAGTCGCCAGTGTATGTAAACCGAAGAACTCTTGATCTTTATTCCCACGCAAAACAGGGGTTTGGTCAACCGAGGCAGCTTGCGTATTGGAACAAAGACGATAGAAAACATCCTTGTGTCTCTGATTTATTCCATTGTCGGTTAAGCTGCAGTGGAGATAATAGGACAACGCTCCAGAGACTTCCCCGTCGTGAGAGATCTCGCTCGCCTCTTCTTGCGGACCACAGGCAGCGAGGATTGCGTAACCTTTTGGATCCATAAGCCAGTTAGACCGGGCAGAGATGTCGCGGTAGCCCGAAGGATCCTTTTCCATTTCGATAAAGGGACTATCATCAATAACAGAGTCAATTTCGCTGAAGGGCATGAATCGGATGTTTGGCCGATCAAGACGGTAAATGCTTGCAGCAAAGCAGCAGTCCAGAACCACTGTGACAACGACACCTTTTCTAACCATACCATTTAGCGCTATGGAAAGTGCGTGGCCTCCATAGCTCTTAGTACTGCGCGCATTCTCTCCATCAAGCAGAACCAACGCCAAATCTCCGGTGGATTCATTAGAGAATTTGCCTCGTGTTTGGTTTCCCTCCCGAGTACCATGGCCTGAAAAATGTATGTAAACACAATGGCCTGGCTTAGTCCGTGTAGCGAGGCCTCTCAAAGCCGCTGTCACATTTTCGTGCGTTGGCCAAAGGCTGGATTCCTCTGCAGGGCCGGCTTCAGCGCAAGGGCTTTGTGTAGCTGTGAATATTTGGATGTTGATTGGCACTGATTGGCTCTCTAAGTATGATTTGATCTTCTGGACATCGCGGACGCAGCCTATCAAGGGACGCTCTCGGTAAGCATTGATGCCGATTAGAATGGCGTGATGAGTTGGCTGGTCTACCATGGTCCTCAAAAGATCTTCGGTTCAGTGTCAGAAAAGCGTGATTGTAGTGTATGAAATGAGGGGAAATATTGTTGTCATATTCTGGGGACAATCACACTATTAATCTGACCTTTCATCTGCACTTTCTACTGGCGTTGATTGAAATTACAAGGCTCTGCGCCCCCGAGGCACTGCATGAAAATGCACTTCTGCCTGGAGCCTGCTTATCGCCAAATCCCTCATATCTCGACAATCAAGCCCCGAGCCTTTTTTGGCAAGTCTAGACAGGGTCTAACTCATCAACGTCTATCCCCTCATTGCTTCGAAAGGGAGTTCCATCTCCGTAGCAGAGAGTGCATCTTCCAGCCACCGGAGCAGTCGCAACCAAGTACGGCCCTTCACGGGATCCGTCATCCTTCAGCAGATAGACACTGTCCCCCACAGAAAGGCCAGCGACCTAGTAGAAAGATCACAAATTAGTATTGATATTCTCCATCAAACTATCGAAAAACTATGGATTCATACCTGCGAATAGACTGTGATATGGGGGCGCTTGCCACCCGTGACTGAGACATCATTCCTAGTAGCGCAAAAGATCAGTACACTAGCTTGAACGACTAGTCATTTTCAACCTACGAATTGTCGTTTGACATTGTGGATTGACGAAAGAGAGAGATTGAGATGATCGAAAGGTGGGCATTGCTCGCATATATGCATTACTTCGCCTCAGCCAAGCTCTCTCGACGTGTTATCGACCCATTGGCCCATGGTGAGTCAGTACCAAATACTGCATATTATCGCCCCCTCGCCTTTTCGGTTATGTAGACCTACAAGCCCATTTTCTGATCGGGCGGGGTTGTCAAAGTCCTAACATTCAGCAGAAAGACATGACCGCTCCCCCGATTTTGCCACTGTCAGCTTCGTCTACATTCCCAAGAACGGGCAACCATAGCAAGAGGAGTAATAGTTTCAGTCCACTCACTACTGACCTTAAAATTCTAACAGTTGAATAGTTGAGGACTTCAGACCGGGCTATCCCAGATTTACATCCCTTGTCTCTTCGCACAACCCATTTTTTCTCTTCCGCCGTTTCAGCAGGCTGCGGGCTCGTCTTCTCCTAATAAAGCAGGACAAAATATCAGTTCTGGAGAAGAAGCTCGATGATATTGATGAATCTGAAAAGGCACCTATCTTCCTTGGAAAATGTCGCATGGATAGGAATTCGGATAGACTAACAATCCTATCTGATATCGAAACTAGCCTTGCTGAGTTTGGTATGAGTCCTCCATTTTAATTGTGCCCGATACTTACATCATCGCAGATGACCTCGTAGAAAGAACAGGCCGAACTCTCAGCTTTGGTCCTGCTGAACCAAGAGACACACAAAGCTTGAGAAACTGGTTGGATGGCAATCGATGTGTCGCAAGAGATGAGACGGCCTACCTCTTATACGAGCGCGATCTCTTCTCGCTGTCTCCCATTGTCGATAATGCCGCTACTCGGCTGGAGAACTGGATAGAGGATTGGCTCGCACAGCTGTCCTCCAAGTTCCAATTTGTCAGTTAAATCCTCACCAACTTCATGTTACTCAAGGTAAGGAAACCAACTAACGACTTCGATCTTGCAGAACACCCGGTGTCGTGACGTATCGCTAGATCCCAGCGTCCATATATACTCTGGATCAACCATCAAGCGAATAGTCAGAGCATTATTGATTTGCCTAGTAACAACGCTTTTATTACTCCCGATAGTGATTTGCAACGTTGTTCATGGTCTTCCGATGAGGATATCAGTTGTGATGCTGTCGACTGTCGTGTATCTCCTCGTCCTCTCGGGTTTGACGCGAGTTAAGACAACCGAGCTAGTCGTCGCGGGCACAACGTAAGTAAACTTGATACAGTGTGAGAATGAGTTAACGGGTGATGTACAGATATGCAACCGTGCTTATTGTATTTGTATCCGGTACAGGGGGGGGGGGGGTTAGATTGTGATAATAGAGCAACTGGAAACAACGTCGCTGACTTTTTGAGGAGAGTCTCTGCGTGCTCTGAATAATTGCATGTTATTAAATTTAGCGATACAATTCGACTCGCTCAACATATAACACAAGAATACGCCGCCAAAAGGCGAAAGTGTTCATTTCAAAGGCGCATACGAGTATCCTATAAATGAGCAAGGGGTGGCATCTCAGGTCTTTGCTTAGAATCTTTCTTGTTTTGACGGGGGCTTAGCATAAGCATAGGCGATTAGCCTATTCAAGCAATAGAGCATGCGATGGATGTTGTTTAAATAAGCATGTAATAAAGTTTTATAAATATTTAAGATCTGAAACAGTGGGCTGGGAAATAGCATACGGTGTTATTGTTAAACCCAGAGGCACATGACCGGCTGGTTTCCATATTAGTCTCATACTTGCTAAAGAACGAACATTATGATTGTAGTATAGTGTATTGATTTGTAACTTCCGAGTCATATTAAATCTCGCCCAGTATGCCTCGAGACTCAAGAGGCTGAGTGATAAAACCTCCTACGCGCCGTGAACTCGAAGCAGTCAATAACATTGCGGTCTAGTGAACGCCTCATACATAAATATCAATATTTAGTGGTTCACATGCGGCACGTGGCGGTCGGACTCAGGGGATGTCAGCCCAGAATAAAAGCTAAAATGCTTCTTCTGACGCCACAGGCTGTCGGAGACATGTTTTACTGGTCCCCTTGCCCCAAAAACCCTTTTCAGCTGGTGCAGCGTTAGCCCCGTCACACTCGTGCCCCTGGCAATTTGAACGGTCGAGACCGCACGGGATCGGGAGCATGATACTTTTTGAAAGCGGCTGAGAAAGTTGTATTCGATCATTTGGGAATGAACAAATCACAAGTTCGAGATAAGAGACTTGATGGCTGGCGGATTTTTGAAAGTGGTAGTAAAAAAGCCACTGACTTGGATTGATGGTTTGGGTATAGTATAAGAACCCGCATGAAAATCCATACCCCAGAAACCGTTGCCAAGTCCCTTGACCACCCAGACAGTGCTCCTTTCCTAATATTGTCATCATATTTTCTAATTATCTTCTATTTCACGTTAGTCATTTAAACATGACGCGAATGACTCTCCTTCCACTGGCTATCTGCCTCCTCACCACCGCCGTCCAAGCCGCCAACCCTGTCTTCGGGGCCTACTCAACAGACAGCTGCGACTCCTGCCTTGACGAAACCTACCAGAGCTGCTCAGGGGACTACATGACCCGATCTTATGCAACATGCATGTGCGCAGGCGACGGCAGCGCCAACTTTGTAAAATGTCTGCCATACTGCGACGCCAGCTTGAACGAGCCTGCCATTGCTAGCTCGACGTATTATGGCTACTGCGTTCTGTTCTTCAAAGAGCTGTGCGATGGTGCTGAGCAGTTTCTTACTGAGAAGATCTATGGCGAGCAGTGCTCCAAGGAGGCCATTGCTGCTGGTGGCATCGGTGCTAAAGACGGCGACAATGGCGACGATGAATCTAGCAAGAGGTTAGTTGAATTGGAGATACAGTCTCAGGATCCAAAACTAATAATGTTGATTAGTGAGAGCTCAGAGCCAAATAAGACGAAAGATTCGGATTCTAAGGAAACTGGCGAGGCTAGTGAGACAACCAAGACAGGTGATGCAAGCAGTACGGCTGGTAAAAGCGAGGCCACCCAAACAGCTAATGACGCCATCGCTCCGATTGTACCAGTATGGGCTGTGGTGGCCGGTGTTGGATTACAATTCATGAACATGTAAAGAGATTGCTGGTCTTGACTAAGAAAGTAAAGTAGTGAAGGAATCAATTGAGGTGGATGCGGGCATGACACCGTGGTTTTTCATCTATGAAAGTACCTTAGTGAATAAGTATTGTTTGTGCCATAGACCACTTTATATAGTTTATCACCATTCAGCGTTGTAGACAGCTATCTTGCCAATCCTGGGTCTTATCGACAGGATATCTTTGTGTACCTAAGCTTAGTGATAAAGACTTGTTTGCCGCCAATTAAGAGATAAGTCGTAAAAGTCCTCACAGGCTTGTAAAAGTGTCAAGCTCTGCAACAAAGTGGACAAACAGGCTGACTAGTAGTTAGAAAATGTCAAAAAAAATTGATATCTTCTTATTGGACTTTGGGAAATAGTCCAAACCCTTTTCACTGTGGCGCAGGTATCGGCCAATTATCATCTGCGCCATTGCAGTCAGATTCAACGCGAGTTGAGAATGACAGCGCGGCTTACGTCGATTCCCTTCTACAATGGTGAATAATTAACACTATCCGTTACGAGTCTAGAAGTGTTGTATGCAATTCTACTCTCTGGGTTCCTGAACTAATATCGTGGCGTACTATCTCCGAGCGCATGCCTTATTCCCAGCATTCCTAGGGCCGGCTGCACGAGCGGCCGAAATTGCCTCACCTGCGGGGAACACGGAGCATCCACGCGGTAGGATCCAACGAATCAAGAGGTTTACCAAAGGTGAGCGTGCATCCCAGAATCCTCGAGATATACCGTGGCCGTGGCGCTTGTTACAAACAGATGACTAACACCTATAACCGCGTTTCAGAGCTCGGCGATGCGGTCCAAGCACCAGATATTCATCACCGTACCTATCTCGAGCCGTGTACCGCCAGAAATAGTGCTCGCTCACATACAGAGATACACCCCTATGCTGGAGCACAACACAGTGATCACCGGCTTCAACGAGATATCCCCTGATGTTGCGCTAGTCCACAGTGATCCCTTCTTCGGGACGCCGAATACCAGCATCCGCACGTTCACCTCGAAAGAGCGCATTGTCATGGCGCCTGGTTTGATACGGGGTCGCGACTGGCCTGTCACGTGCTTGAGTATCCCCAACGGTATTCGATGTCGTGCAAACGCGAGTGCCGGGGTCACGGTTTGGACGGAATGGGTGGTACGGCTGCGGCAGGATCTGGGGACGCCAAGCAGCACGGGGACACTGGCCGAAGAATGGGAACTGTATGAGGAGGTTACAATAGAGGCGAACAGCCTTATTATGCCATTTGTGGCGCGTACTGTGGACAATGTTCATCGTGAAATATGTCAGAAGGTGGTGGATGAGGTTGTTCATAAACATCTGACGAAAGAAAAGACCTGAGGGGCTGGAATGTTTGGAAACTACATGATTTACTCGCAAGTTGTTATATACCAAGTCTCATTGCTACCAGTACTAATAAAGAACAATCAACGTATTGCCACGATCCTCGCTTCATCTACCCAGGTATCAAGCTCTTGACAACTTTCAAACTATGTGTATTACGATCTCCATAACGCGTGTTTGCAATGTTTAAACGGTACATTTGCCCGGTCTAGCTATTAGAAGCGGCCCGTTTCGTGTCGTCTGATTCTTACAGGAGCCATCATAAATTCATGAATATTAGACCTTGACAGGTTTCAGGCGTGCCAATCGTGGGAAAGTAGGAATAATAGAATTGTCGTAGGTCGTGATAATGGAGTTCCCCTCGTTAGGATGAGAGTATTGCTGGGGTGAAAATCAGTATCGTCGTTGGAAAAGGTCAAGAAGAGGGCGGAGGAGAAAGATTGGTAAAGATGAACGGCGGATTTATATCAATCAAAACGCGATGATAAAGCGTCTCTTATTCTAAATTCTGATTTTATGAGTGCATGAACATCTGAGCAGAACTACCCATGTTAAGACCCACGCCGCACAGTCATAGCTATCAAAGCAGCTCAGCCTCCAAGAACGTCGCGAGTAGCAGAGTCAGACTTATGGATGTCACCCGGTCTCTTGTACTAGGAACCTGGAGGGCAGCGATTTCGAATACATTTCTGGTTCGTGACGTGTAGGTCTGTGGAAACTGGCTTTGTCAGTAGATGTTGCAGAAGTATTAAAGCTCGCCACCCCCAAATTGTTTCTTCCATTTCAGTTTTAGTGTGAGATTGAGCGAACAAGAATCATCATTCTCAGCCAGTGATTAACGGCTATAGCAATGACGCATGTCAGCAAGATATGGTCTCAGATTCACCAAGCAGGGCGAGTGTGTAGGTGAATAGCAATTCACAAATGGATATTTATATATTTTGCGGAATATTCTTTGATATACACTCCGCCTTGATGTAGCAACAACCTCGATTCTACAGAGTCACAAAATAACATTTACTCAAAACATCGTCGGAAAGCGAACACAACAGTCGACTTAGGGCTAGCGTCAGTCAGTCAATAGACTACGAGGTTACCCTTCCAATATCAGCGCAGATGAACATTCAGGATATGCTGAACCCTCAGGAGCCGGACTCCAGGAAGTCACGCAAGGAGAAAGCCGAGGCGTTTCCTAAGAGGCCACCAATACAAGATAAATCCACTCGGACTACAGATCAGACCAAAAAAACGACTGAGAAACCCAACGATAATGTTTCGACTGGCCCATCTACTACAGGTAAAAGGACTCGAGAGTATGATCCAGACAAGCCGATCGAGTCAATAGAAAGTTCTAATGAGTGAAACAAACATGCGATTGAACAATGGCATTGTGGGTAAAAGAGAGGTATGTAGAAAATCTTAGAGAGAGGAGGAGATGCAAGCTTAATAAAGACAGGGTTAGTAGGTCTCCCCGGAGACAAAACATGAATTATAAGAATATAGCCCCATTTATCAATTTGTTTTATCTATCCTAAAAGCGACGTGCGCAATACCTTTCTCTCTGTGGGCTTCTTTTGTTTCGAAAGATAGTAAGGTTGGAGAATTCTCTTACTGGGGCAAGGCAGCTGAGCAGCAAAGATGTTAAGAAATTGATTTGCCTCCTGGTTTTCCTATACTCTTTTTATTGAAACAGTAAGAATTTCCTAACCGGAACAGATTCACACACCAAGCCCACTCATACAGGCCAATTATCAAGCACCTCTTTCAGCGCCTCCGTCTTGAAAGGTTTCCTCAAAGTTGTACTCATTCCAAACTTCTCCACCAATCTCTGCTTCTCACTTTCCATGTCCGACGCGACAAGGGCTACAATGACAGCAGGCTGGAGCCCATTCTCGATTTCATAGCTTCTGATCAGAGGTGTCGCATGAAGACCATCCATAACAGGCATGGATGTGTCCATAAGGATCATCTTGCATCGCTCGGGGTGCGCCTTGTACATGTCGAGCGCTTCCTGTCCATTCCATGCGATCTGGTACTTGAGGCCTAGCTTGTTGAAGGTGTTGGTCATTAATCTGATGTTGACTTTGTTGTCGTCCACCAAGAGATATTTGGCATCCTCAACTGAGGAGTTTGCTGTTTCAGGTGCCTGCGTGGAAGAAGTGGTCTGTGGCACATTGATGGCCTGTTGCTCCTCGGCTTGACTCATATTGTCTGTAGGCCTACGTCAGCTTGCCAATCTCCAACTCAAAATCTTGAACACACCGTGATGGAGTATTGGTGCGTAGAGTGAAAGATTTTCGATAAATGTTCTGAGTATGAATGGTGACGGAAGATGGAATATGAATGGGGCGGCCTCTTGAGCTTTGATAGAACTATTTGTTAGGCATTCATGTTGACTAAGCCCCGTGGAGCCTTTTATTACCGCCGACGTCTCATTGTGATCCGCGATTCTAGTGGGTCTAGGATCGAAATCCTGGTGTTTTTGTGTTCCTCTGTCCCTTTTAATAATAATAGTAATATTAGACGTCTGTAACAGAAGTCTTCTTATTAATCAATTCATGTATAGTATGTTTCAAATGACAAAGTAAACTCAAAGGTTACGTTGGCGACTGCAGTGAAGGTAATCAGGTAACATATAATTCCTACAAAGTACGTTAGGTGCTCTGACTTTCTCAAATCATATAAATCTTCTTCCAAACAACATCACCAGTGACCGTTTCTCCATGCATAATCCCGTGCACGTAGGCCTCGCCGACTATAGTGAACTCATCATCCCGAGCGCCTGTCCTTCTCAAAATCAACGGTGCTGGAGATCCCGAGACTATCCACAACTCATCACCAGCTTCGATGGACATATATCCCGCCCCCAAATATCCCGTATCTGTGAGAAACGGCCTGCGGGCATACCACATAGACCCCAGTACAATCCTAGGCGGTATGACCTTCTCGGACGAAGGCGTTTCGGGTGTCTTGATCTCTTCAGTAACCGGTCCTCCCTCCTGTTGCGGCTTTATGAGTCCCATTTGGGCACAGGTTGATTTGACGAGGTTGACGCTCGGGAAGAAGCTCGAAGGATACTTGGCTGCTACCTTATCGAGATATCCCATGGTTTGGATCGAGGATAACGCCAAATCCTCTACAGCAGACTTTTCTGCCTCCGCTGCGTATTTCCGTTTCAAACCCATTGTGATTTGTTCCAACATCATTTTCCGAAAGCGTTCATGCTTGACATTCTGCGCAGGCCGGTTAGTGAGATCACTGTCCCAGATCAAGGTTCTCAATAGGGCTTCATCGGCTGGTTGGTTGGTATGAGGGTACACCGGCTCCATAGTAAGCAGAAGGTCTGCCAGTCGGTCAAGTCGGCCCAGGAAACTCTCCTCAAAATCCTCCGCAGTTTTTTGAACGATCCCCAAAGGAAACCCAAAAGCCGTGAGAGTATCCTCTTCAATAGTGAAATGGCGCTTGGTCGTGATTTTGGGTGTGTATCTGGAAGCATCGAAAACACCCACTGATCTGAATTGCGGACCGTGGACGCTGTTGCACATCACTGTAGAGTAGTCCATAGCCCACGACGGAAGACCAGGAGTCTGTCGCGCACTAAAATCTTTTAATATCGTCAAGCATACCAAAGAATCTGTCGTCTCAATGATATTTCTTGAAACATCCGTAAACAAGTCTTTGGCTTTGGTCGCATAGTTCGGCTCAAACGCGGAAGCAACTGGAAGACCTTGCTCAGAAGCCATGTGCTTCAAGATGCCTCCCATACCGTAGACAATATCTCGGGGGTCGGTGGCTTCGAATCCGAAGGTGGAGAAGAGAAGACGCAGCATCAACATGGATGACGATTTCTGGTGCTCCTGAGCGAGACCGGCCCCAAAGTCGATGGTGGACAGTACGTCGCTCCACATACTGGCTTCGCCTTTGCACCATTCACGCAGCAATTGCAACCTCTCGGATTGATAAATGTTCATTGAAAGCATCAGTGGGTAAGCAGGGTGCTCTCGAGTAACCGAATACATCAATGCCAACTCGAGGCCACTGTAGTGGAGAAAGGTAGCTGTCAAGCCCACACAATCGAATGGGGTGAACTTTTGGTTACACATAACGACGATGTCTTCTGCGAGGGAAACTTCCTGGATAACCCATACCCTCGCGAACCATCTACACGATAACAGGTGAAACAATCCAATCACTTCTTCTTCATTGAGGGGCCCCATGCCATAAAACTTGGGCATGAGGGACATATCGTAAGTGAAGTCCCACGTCTGCGTTCCGAGCATGCGGAGAATGTGAGGGACTGATTCGGTGCCGAGCCTCTCGGCTGCCTTGATCCCTGCTTCCAGCTCTGGATATGGCTTTCCCAACCAGACAATAACGCGCTTTGCCTTTCCGTATATCTGATTCATGACGGAGACTTGGGCAGAGCGCTCAGAGTCGTCAGATTGGTTGATGCACAAGGCGTCGATCCAGATGGGAATCCCCTCGCAAGCCGTCTGAAGCTCATGAAGAGCATCGTAAAGGTTAGGCTGCACATCCACTATTTGTTCGTTCATCAATATAGACCTCTTCGCATCCTTCTCCTCATCTGTCATAATGATTCGCGGGGCACCCCACGTGTATGATAAGGCATTGTAGCCTATCTCCACGGCGTCGAGCAACTCATGAGTCGCGAGTGTGATACTTGGCACTGCTTCGCCTGTATCGGGATGATTTGCCTGACCAACGGTCGCCAGGCGAAAATATTTGTCGTCGAGATTGTCTGGATAATGCGCCATTATTGATCATAAGCTAGGGTGGATGTAAGGCCTGGATTATCATGCACGAGGTGAGATTTCAAGTTTCACGTTTCCAGCCCTACCCAAATCGAGCTAAGCCGGATCAAGACGAATTGTTGTTAGGGTAGTAAATGATTGTAATAAGTTTAGGGAAACTTCTGAGAAGTTTTGAACGTGACATATACTACGGGGTATGGTAATATTGTCAAAGCCGTTGGGGTTGATACGACTTCAATTTGGAGCTCGTAGATTAGTTAGGACACTTTCAAATTTTCCAGTTACGATAGTTAGACCTTTGTCGAAAACTTGAGATTGAGTTCAATATTGTCGATCCGATGAGGAGAAGATTGGGGATTTGTGTAGGTTGTACGCAGTATAGAATAAAACCATTTACTTCTTTTCCACTGTGACCAATCGGATTACCAAAGGCCAGCCCTGACCGTGGTTAGACTCGAGACACTCCCCTAGTTCATTAATGTCCGCCATGATCCGCTGACATAAATCGTCGTTCAATACAGTTCCTCCATCTCCCAATTCAAACCCGCGTTCAACGTCCCAGGTGATAGGCTTTTCCCCGCGGTCCACAATCTCCCAGTGCCCATGCTCGTCAGGCTGTTGACCAACGACCACATATATAGTCTCGATATTGTTGAACCATGCCCATGATTCTGGGATAGGCTCTTCACTGTAGAAAAGCTCTTCTGAAATCGCAAAATGACGTATGTACGGAACCACGCCAACCGTACGATGCACCATATCCTCTTCAAACTGGCGATCCAATGGTTCAACTTCGAACTCTTCGATTCTATCCATTGGGAGGTAAAGAGCATCAACATCGCAGTTCATCTGGCGCTGGAGGTACTCTTGACTTTCATTGCGCTGGATTTCAAATCCACTTTTCTGGGCCCAAGATAGAACTACACCACGCGCTTCGTGATTGACAAAAGCAAGGGGTACGTTGAAAGCCACGGGGAGAAAGTCGTAGCGAAACTCAAAGCGAATATTGTCTGGATCCACTTCCTCATAGTCCCAATCGGATGGTGTTAAGAACCGCGGTTGCCAGCAGCCCTTTTTATAGATGGCTAAACCTGGTAGGTCGACTTTTGGAATTGCATGCTGCCAAATCTCGAGGCGCAATTCTGGAGCGAGATCCATGAATCGAGTGAACATTTTGTCTGCTGTCCGAAAATGAAGACGATGATCTTACTGTAGGATTGTGGTCACAGGTGGGGTAGATTCATTGTCGTACAAACAATTGATAGCCTGGAGTTTGAGGCTGACATTCCAACAGTCCTAATTCTAGGACGCAGGAGAAACCAAGTTCTCCACAAGAAGCTCGAAGTATAGGACTAAATCTACAGCTAATTATCTAGTTAACCTAGCGATCAAATTGCTCCAAAACTCAATATCTAGCACTGGCATCGTATCATCCTTACACGTAAGAAAATTGCTAGTCGGACTTTAGTAAAGACCGATATAATCACGGCGCAGAAATGGGCCGGAGAAGTGGGGCAACATCGGAACTTAGAAAGCCCCGAGACATCAGCTCCCTTACAAGAAACCCCAGCTTCCATTGACAACCTCAGATAACTGACAGTTTTTCGTATTCTCCGAAAACTTCACTCCCAATTAGAGGCCCTAGAACTAAATTTCGGAGTCGCAAAGTCCCGAAAGCTGTTCGCCATGTCCACATCGTCACAGCCTACCCCAGACACCTCCAGGCACAAGCCGCAGAGAGTCCTTGCATGCGTACTCTGCCAACAACGCAAAGTGAAATGCGATCGGACATTTCCCTGCTCAACCTGCAAAAAGCACGGAGCGCAGTGTGTGCCGGCTACTCAGCCGCGGCAGCGCAAGCGGAGATTTCCTGAGCGAGAGCTGTTGGAACGACTGAGGAAGTATGAGGCGATAATGCGGCAGAATAATGTCAAGTTTGACGCACTTCATGATAGGCCGAATGATGTAGAGAAGAGTTCGCCTGATGACTACTATTCCGACCACGAACAGGGGGATGATGAGAGTTCTCGGGCTAGATCTGAGGAAACGACTGAGGCTAAGTATGAAACTCTGACCAAGGACCTCAACACGCTTCGAGAGGCTGACTATGGAATATAGAGATATTTGGAAGGCGATGCGCCAAGGAGTAAGCCTGATTCGACATACCGATAATCAATATATGTTAATACTAATTCGTCTTTTAGTACCGAGATCCACATGATACCTTCTACGACAACATCTTCAACACACACGATCAATCGTTCACAAGTGACGAGCATATGCTCTTCGGCTCCCGCCAAACTGCCGTCGAGCTATCCACCTTGCACCCCGAACCAGCTCACCTGTTTCGTCTGTGGCAGGTCTATCTCGATAATGTCAACCCTCTGCTCAAAGTGACACACACGCCGACTCTTCAGGGTCGTATTGTTGAAGCCGCATCTAGTCTGAAGGACACCCCCCCTACGCTGGAGGCACTGATGTTTGGTATTTACTGCGTCGCAGTGCTGAGTCTTGATGAAGAAGAGTGCCAGGCTATGTTCAAACAATCCAAGGTGCAGCTTTCGACGAGATTCCAGTTTGGATGTCAACAGGCGTTGGTGAACAGTCAGTTTTTGCGTACTGCTAGCCGTGACTGCTTGACTGCTCTATATCTATATCTAGTACGTCTTCACCCCGTCTAATCCTTCTTCACTAACAAAATCCCAGATATCCGTTCGGTCTGCAACGCACCCAAAGTCCATCTCATCCATGCTCGCCATAGCAATCCGCATCGCAGAGCGAATGGGTCTTCCAATCGAAGCCAGAAACACCAAATGCAGCATCCTCGAAGCAGAACTCCGCCGAAGACTATGGTGGTCCCTTGTCCTGTTTGACTCTCGCGTCAGCGCACTAGGAGATCATAAAATGACCACCCTCGTTCCGGGATGGGACTGTGCATTGCCCACCAACGTCAGCGACTCGGAACTTCGAGAAGAGACCAAGACACCGCCAAAGCCTCAGGAACAAGCTACCGAGGCCATTTTTGCTGTTGTTAGAAGCGAAATTGGCGATTGTATCCGCAATAGTCCATTTTACATCGAGTTCACTAATCCGGCTGTGAAGCCGCTGGCAAAGAAACTCCCAGAGGATAGCGACGCCGTTTTGGAGAAGGAACTCGAGGACAAATATCTCCGATTCTGTGATGCTGAAAACCGTGTTCACTTTATGACCTTTTGGACAGCGCGCGTGAGCATCGCAAACCGCCGTCTCATGAGTGATTACCTTCTCATGCTCGATTCCTCCACCAAGTATACACCAGCGCACCAAGAAGCTGCGGTGAGACAAGCCATCACATGGCTCGAATGCGACACCAAGCTCGCAAACTCACCTCTCACAAAGGGATTCCAGTGGTTCATCCAGATATACTTCCCATTCCCTGCTTACGTCCGCATTGTGCAGTACATGAAAGGGAAGCCATTTAGCAGCGAGACAGAACGAGGATGGAAAGCCATGCATGATAATTACTCGGCCAGATCCCGGCCAGTGTCTCTTGTGTATACTGCCGTGTTCGTACCCTTTACTAATATTGTCATGGGTGCCTGGGATGCTGTCAAGACGGCATACGATAAGGCCGGGAAGGAGACAAAGACACCTGAACTTGTCGAGTTTATTAACGAGAAGGTGGCGGAGATGTCTCTGAGCAACACTGAGCAGGCTGGGGAGCAGTCCGAGGGCTTCACTGGGATGGATATGGATGATATGGGTATGCCGATGTCTTTTGGATTTGGCGATCCTGGTATGTTGTTTGGGCAAGGTGGATTTGGGGGAGGCTCTGGTGCGTCATACGTTTCAGATAATTCTCCAGTCGCTCTTGACATGAGCCAACTGAACTGGGGTTCGATGGGTTGGGGATCTGGTGGTAACGGAACCTTTTAGGAAGAGGCTTGGGTCAAGATCTATCACTCTGTGCTCATCGTTATGATGACTATGGTTGCATCATTGATTTACTCAGGAGACTAAGAACATTAAGAGTAATATTGCGGGAGGGCCTAGTTGTACGAGTTTGTAGGTAATAATTCATATTGTATCTCATGATAGAACCAACACCAGTACATCGTCCCAATTATCGTAGAGCAAGTCTCCTCATCCTTCCAAGCGAAACTTCTTACCATTAGGAAGTTGCTTATAGGGAATCATACTAAAGTCCTTTGCAATTCCATCGCCGGACCAGTCCCAATTGTCCATGTATCTACAAAGTAATATTGTTAGTGATTATTCACAATAAATATTTGGTTAATAGTGACTTACGTCATTACTGAGAAAAGAGCATATGATTCAGCTGTAAAGGTAGATTTACTTGGGCCGGTGTTGCCCTCGTTTTCTCCAAGATGTGAGCGTGCCAAGTTTGACGTCCATAGGAAATCATCTATTGCCATTAAAATTAGTCGCAGAATCTTCAACTGGAGACGAGACTTACATGTGATGACTCTCTTGGCGCCTGGGGCATTGGCGTCGGTAGTGTATTTGTTGTCAGCTCGGTATATAGGAGCGCCTTCTTTTCCGACGGCAGGTTGGTCCTTGACTGTAGAGTTGTTAGCATGGAATTTATGTAAACACGGGGTAAAAGGTCAATATCACTCACCATCTCTGTTATCTGGTCCTCCAGTCTTGTCGCCACCAAACCAGTGAGCAAACTCGTGGACCATGATACGCGCAAGACTCAAGGAGCTGTACGAGTTCAGCTTGTCTCCCTTGGCAGCGGTGTCCTTGGCATCGACAGCGGACTTCGTGTTGGCGGTCTTGTCGCCGAAAGAAGCGTCACAGAAGATGATGAAATCGTATCTTGTCAAGGTAGTCGCCCACACACCATCTCGGCAGAGGCCAGGAGTGTCTTGCTTCGTCACGGCGGCCAAGTAGCGGTGCTTGTACACCCAGGCTCCGTTATACCCGGCAACGATTCTGGCTTGTGACTCGCGCAGGGGACGACCTCTTGGGTCGTGAGGGTCCTTTTCGTCTTTGCCGACCCAAACCCACTTCTTTTCGTCACACATGAGGAGAGGCTTGAAGCCGCCGTAGCCGTTCTCGGGGACCAACTGCCCATCATGAAGGGTCTTGACCATACGGTCGTAGACGTCTGGATAAAGGCGTTAGTGCCAATAGACAAAATGGAATATTGTCAACTTACACATGACATTGGAGAAATGCTCCTCATTGGGATCATGGCCGTCCTTGCTTGGCGCAAAGCCAAACATGTTGGTAACAGCCCGTGCAATGCGGTCCCAATTTCGAAGTCCAGGTGAATCCATACGTTCGAAATCCGGACGGGCAGTATTCATGATCCTCATATCCCCCTGCGCCTTGACTGCCATGAGCTCAGCGTCGTTGTAGGCCTTTTTGAATCTATCCAGACGCTCAGGAGTTTGGCAAGAGTCATCAAAGTCCCACACGCTGGGGTCGGCAGCCAAACCGAGGCCCGCGAGGAGCACGACGGGCAAAGAGAATCTCATGATGACAAGAGTGTGTATGGGTTAACGAGTGTAAGAAGGGAAGTGAGATGGACCGTAGTGAAGGGAGGGGAAATCACGTCCAAGTGATGAGATATAAAGAAGCCCAGGCTTGATCTATCGCGGCAATCGAGCTATGCGCAAGAATAAATGATCTTTTCCCTAGATCCTTGTTACACGATGGTGGCTTGTAAATCATCTACAGGGGTAGGGAAATTATTTCCTACTGCTCGCCACTACTATGCAACGCAAGCAAGGCGGAGTCATTTGAGCCCTCATCAAAAGTTCTAGCTCAAATCCTCAAACAGTAGATTGCATTTTACTATGGATTGTGATGTCAGCCTTGCCCGTGCTGTGGAAGCCGGAGCGGCCGAATACTGTAAAAGCCTCCGTTAAGGGTCTCTCTGTGCGTTGTATAACTCGCAGCCGTACGGATAGGAAATTAACTATGCGCAGATCTACTTAGAGAAACGACTCCAAGCCTCGGCTCAGATCCACCGCATAACGGATATCGTGAGTCGATATGGGAGGTAGCAGCAGAAGGAGAGGGTCTGAAGGATCACTTATGCAACCGTGTTGCTGCGCCGCTAGAAGACAAAAGGAAAAGACTTTAAATGAGCCTCACAAGGCATTTATGGGGACGTTAATAGGATTGCTCAACTAAACTAGTACGTTTCACATACAATGAACAAAGCTTGCAAGGTAAAACACGCCAAGTGCGCACAGGGATTCGCATCCTCTCATCTATTATTCGCCAATCATATGACGATCAAAAGTCCTGGTAAGGATGAAGCCGTTGAATTAACTGGGGATAATGGGGACTATTTGTATATTACAGTAGATTTCTTCCGTGATTGATTCTCAGCCCCATAGACCCTCTTTCATTAATTACCGCGCGGGAATCCTTCGGGGACTGCGCCGATACTAACATTAGCGGTTAACTAATACCCTGTATTCATGCATGGGTAGCGGTCTGGTTTTTGATACCGCCGTAATGTTTCCTAGTGTGGCAGCTCGACAATACAGGGCCACACTAGGAGATTACTCTCAAGATATATATTACAATCCTCAGTCGCGAGTCACCTAGTGATGCTTAGCAAGCCAAGCTTCTAGTCTTCCGTTTCGTTCATTCTTTCCGTGCAACCTGTTGCACTTCCTTTCTTTTTGATCGTTCTGAGCAACAACATTCATTATGCCTGCGGCTTGGAAGACAAACTTCCTTGCAGCCTCATGGCTAGCATCAGCCCTTGCAGGTGCTGAGCCTTTACAACCTACCACATCTTTGACTTCAGAGGTTGCTCAATTGTCTCACCCAACCTATCCCAAAGGCCACGATGAGCAACACCTGGCTAAACTGGTCATCCTTCGACAAGTAGACATTCAAGTGCCGGGAATTCAGAATACGCCTCTGCCGCTTCCTATTCCAGTTGAGGTCGAGGTTACGGTAGAGACGAATGCGCCAGCTGCTCAGACTGACACTGGTGCGCCGGTTCCTGATGCTCAGGAAACTGAGGCTCCGGTAGAGACTAAGGAGCCGGCTGTTGAGACTGAACCCGCTGGTCCTGCTGAGACTGTTGCTCCGGGCCCTGATACTCAACAGCCAGAGATTCCTCCTGAGACAGTGGAACCTCCTGTTGAGACTGATGCACCACCTGCTGAGACCAATGAGCCTCCTGTTGCGACAGTTGATCCTCCCGTCGAGACCGTTGAGCCTCCAGTCGAGACCAATGATCCTCCTGTTGAGACTGTTGCTCCAGTTCCTGACCCCCAGGAGACAAAAGCACCAGCAGAAACGGAAGCACCAGCTGATCCAGCTGAGACCGTTGCGCCTATCCCTGATACTAAGGCGCCAGACGGTCCCGCGGAGACTGAAGCACCTCCAGCTGAGATTAACGAGCCCCCTGCTGAGACCGTCGAGCCTCCCGCAGAGACTCTCGTTGAAACTCCCGCTCAGACTAACGAGCCCCCTGTTGAGACTGCCGTTGAACCTCCCCCCGAGACAAACCAGCCTCCTGTCGAGACTCAAGAGCCAGAGATTCCTCCTGAGACCAACGTCCCCCCTTCACCTACCGAGACCAATGACCCTCCCGCTGAGACCGAACTGCCTGCTCCTCCTCCCACAGTAGGACCTGAGAACCCAGAGCAGACAGTCAGCCCTGAGGAGCCCAAGACTTCAGATGCACCTGTTGTTCCTCCCATCCCAGTCCCTGACACTCCTGAGGAACCCGACAAGCCGGAGAAGCCCGAAGAGCCTGAGAAACCCGATGGACCGGAGGAACCTGAGAAGCCTGACGGTCCTGTCATCCCGATCCCTATTCCTCTTCCTAACCTCCCTGATCTTCCTGATATTCCTGGTCTTCCCAAGCCTCCCAAACCGGATACTCCTAGTCCTCCTAAGCCTGACGACCCCAAGCCCCCCAAGCCCGATGATCCTAAGGACCCCGAAGACCCCAAAGACCCCGATCCAGAGGACCCTGAAGATCCAGACGTCCCCGTCCCTCCCGAGAACCCAGATGAGCCAGACGACTGCGAGGAGCAAGACCCCTCGCCATGCACAGAGACTGTGTCTTTCTACTCCGCGCACGAAACTTACACCAGGTGAGTCCATAATAGGAAAACGCCCACATACCTCCACAGACTGCTAACAAAGTCCCTAAGCACTGTCTACGTAACATGTCCCGCCCCCGTCGACTGCCCCGCGAAGGAGACCCCAACCATCACCACAAGCATCTACCCCGAAGAGTCCATTATCTGGGGCACCGTGCCCGAATACAACGAAGCCATGCCCACAGGCACCGACGACATCGACGACGAGACCAATAAGTACTTCCAGCAGTTCTTCGACGACGAGAACATCTCTATTAATGACGCTCTGCACCCTGATGTCAAGTGTGAGGAGAAGAGCAACGATGATGTTCCCCGTGATTGCTTCATGGATATTTACTCAAAGTTCTGCAGAGAAGTCTTTGAAGATGAGGGCAAGGAGCTGAACAAGAACCTCACCAGTGCGGATATCGATAGTGGTTCTCCTGAGAAGCGTGTGTCCTTGAACATGAGGAGACAGTTGATTCGGGAACGTGCTGAGGCTTGCGAGGGCTGGGTCTTTGAGTATAACTGGAGTGGCGCAAATGGTGACTGCAAGCTGCCGTGTGGTGACTCCATGTACGCTTTCGGCGACGAGTGCTTTGACTCTGAAGAGACCTACCTCCAGGGTACTATCGATGTTGGCTGTGGTACATATAAGTACACCGCCAGACCTACGACAACAACAACAGAACCACCCATCGTGATCACTGCTCTCCCTACGCTCACAGACCTGCCTGGACCCATCTCAACTCCGGACGGCAGCTCATGCGCTGAGACAGCAACTAACACGCAGTGTGCCCTCGGCGGCGGCGGCAGAGGACCAGCTTGTGTTGAGAACACATACTGTGCCTCATGGGTGTCAACCGAACCAACCGAGGCACCAGCACCCCCAGAGGAGGTAATCACACCTCTCGAGGAAGGCCCCGTCTTCTGCAAGAACCCAGGCGGCGGCCACCGAGACGTCAACCCCGGTTCGCAGCGTACCCTTGCGGATCACTTCTGCGAGGCTGACCTGCTCGACACATCCATCATCAAAGTCGAGCCCGGCATGGAACCCTTCGGCTCCACCAAGCAGGACAACCACGGCGTTAACTACTGCTACGAAGTCAAGTGGGTTGACGGATGTAAGACGACTGTGGATGGACAGGACCCGTCGTTCCCTCTTGGAGGAAGGGATCCAAGTTGTCAGGATCTGTTTGTGAGAGCGTTCAAGAACTGTGATAATGGCGGTATCGGTGGATATATCGACGCTGGTTGTGTTCGTTACACATTCCTCGGTGCGCAAGACTAAAAGTTTGGTTAGAAATAAATCTGTTTTATATGTTCACATGAATCCTCCGAGGTACTCCGATATTGAACGTGATACCTGTCCAAAGTAGTATCCATATCCGTTTTCGTTTACCAATAGTCTAGCCAGACCTCGATATGTGGATTAAAGTAAGTGACTCAATATTCGTCAATTTCAAAGTTTCTTGGTGGATTTCACGAAATGTCTCAAAACATCAATCTAACAGCAAGTCATGAGTAAGATATGGGGTTTGAACTCTATTTAAAGCCTATTAAAACTATAGACTACTGGTCAGAGCCTGAGTCCAGATTGACCCCATTCCAAATACGAACCCTTTCTTTATCCCGGCCTAGCTGGTCTGTTCAAATATCATAGAATCAGCATTACTACGGCCTGGAGAGATTCTCAACGGCCACCTTGCTCAATAACCGGCTTGGGCCTCGGCGCAGGCTTAGGCTTGGGAGCCCCAGGGGGAGGAGGAGCTGGCTTCGGGCAGGGCTGGGGAGGGCGAGGTCGGGCTGGTTCCTTTGAAGTAGTCATGTTGTTAGTTCGAGTGGTTTGGAAGTCGTTTGCAGAGTAGATATGGTAGTTAAATTTTCAGCTTGTGGTTAGAGTGGTAAAACTGTGTAAAGATGGAATGAGAAGAGATCGGGACTTGGGCCTGGGTCGGTAGAGTTTATATAGCCTTGAAATCCTTGACTGTTTGCCCCCATGAGTTGTTTTTTGCAGTGTGTAGTAGGGTGAATAGGATTTCGTGCTCGTTCAATTGCCAATATTTGCAAAGTTATAGGCTGGAACATCTGTGATTGAGAGGACACCCGCCACGTCACGGCAGCTAGGGACGATTTTACGTCCTTGATCAGTGATATTAAGAGTGACTTATCAGGCGTTGCAAATGCCAGTTATTCTGACACAATCGTTGACAGGGTTACTAAGGTACACGTTACTAGTATAGTCTCTAACGTCAAGCATACATGAATAATCACAACATTGTAAAATTAGTATATTTGAAGATGGCGTGGTTGGGAGGCATCGTCAGGGTTCTAGGCTTAATGTGCGTGGGTTACCTCAAACCGGCAAAACAATACTGACACAACCTCGCTAGAATTTGTCTTCGAGATTTGAGAGAACTAATGAGCCTGGTCCTTCAGCTGCTCCTCAGTCCAGTCCCACAACTTCCTGGCCATCTCATCATCCAGGCCATGTCCTTCCAACCCCCCAGTCTTCCCAACAGGCTCATAAAACTCCCCGTTCTTGATATCCGGACAGGTACTCGCCCAAAGGTGATTCTTGACACCTTCGTCGATCGGAATTTCTAGTTTGGGTGCAACCTCCGTCTGCAGATACTTCATCAACTCATCGCCTGCCTCCCGTGTGAAAAGGTCGGTTTGGACTTCTCCTGGGTTGATAGCGATGTTTGTGAAGCTGTATCGCTTAGCTGCCTCTCTTGCGTAGAGGAGACAGGCTAGCTTACTCTGAGCGTACCTCAGAGGTAAGGCCGTGGTGCTGGTGGCGGATTTCAGTGTGTCGAACTCGATCCCTTCTGGTCCTACGTGGCGGAACCCACCAGAGCTGAGGTGGATGACTCGGGTGTCGGGGGTCTTTTCGAGGACTGGTTGGAGAAGCTTGAGTAGGAGAGCGTGTCCAAGATGATTGGTTCCGATATGCATCTCGTAGCCGTCTTTGGTCAGGGTAGCAGGAGCGCCCATTATGCCAGCGTTCAGCAAGAGAACATCTAGTCGTTCCTCGTGTTGGAGGAATTGAGCGGCGGCGGCTTTGATGCTCTCGAAGCTTGACAGATCCAGGTCCAAAAGGGAGACCTTTGTGTTATCACTTGCTGCACCTCTGACCTCTCCCAAGGCAGCCTGTCCCTTAGTTACATTGCGAGAAGTCAAGTATACGTGAGCGGGGGAGTGTTTAACGAGTTCAATTGCAGTAGCCTTGCCAAGACCAGTATTGGAGCCGGTGATGAGAATGACCTTGCCTGCAAGGGAAGGAATATCCTTTGAGGGGTCGAAAGCATAGGTAGTTTGGGGGGGCATATTCAAGAGGCTGAGGTTTCAGTTATTTGATGAATGTTTGTGTCTTGTTGATATCGGTGTTGGGCTTGTTCAGATATCAAACTCTTCTTAGAGCACATCTCGCTTTATATACCCAATACCCTCTTATGGAACTACGTACTTGGTACGCGAAGTAGCAGCAATTTCCGGACTTAAGAATCTTGGAACCCGAAAAGCAATAATTATTGCTCCGTCGGACTTTTACATCCTGCCGTGCTGGAGGAACTTTGGAGTCGTTGGGCAAAGGATCTGTTAGTTGGCCAATGATAAGCCGGAGAATGCGAGCGCACCAGTCACAACAGCGCTCTGAGAACTTCAGCCGGAGCCTTTGAAACAATCCAGACGATTTTCGGCTATTATAGGAGAAGTATGTATTCTTAGGGCCGGTTCAAATCACTGACTATATAGTAAAAGGTACAAAACATAAGTCCAACATTTCTATGACCTGAATACGTACCAACAACGCAATCTACCACGAAGGATACCTGTCTAGCTACCTGTAAGTTCGTACCCATTGCGGTCGGTCTTCGCCAAGACAAGATTATCTGGGTACCAAATATAAAATGCAACCATAACCAGAAGCATTAAGACAGAATCAAAAACAAAAGTCGGCCACTCGTACTGTTGTAAATATCCCTGCTTGTCCATGATGAACTCAACCACTCGGAAAATATTCCGCACCAGGATAAGAACAGAAGTAAAGTAGAGCATATTGAGATACGCTTCCCAGCGAATTTCCACAGGAATACTCGTGTGACGCAGATAAGCCCGGAATCTTTTGTGAAAACCCGCACAGCAAATGACAAAGGCAAGAAAGAGTAGGATCTGGGCGATTAGACCGGCAATGACGATGATGTTTCCAATATGAGCAAGCTTTTCGTTGGCTAACAAACCGCCACCGTTGCCCTGGATGTTGAACGTGATAAAATCCCCAATGACGAATAGGCGAGTAGTCCAGCGAATGGAAATCAGAGAACACTTTTCCCCGCCGATAGCTCTGACCAAGCGGGAGTAGACCATGTAGAGCGTTGCTGCGAAGAAGACGGGTGGGAGAAGGAGGAACAGCGATTGCATGATGTAAATAGCGAGAGAATTTGTAGCGTTCCCGGCTATGGCTCGAAAGAAGTAACCTAAAACTTCGCCTTCACTCATATGTTAGTCCTTGCTAAGAAAGGCTTCAATTATGAGGACTTACAAACACCGCCGATGAAAAAGGGTATACAGAACCATAACTTAGTCCTATACATTCTCCAGCCATGGAGTATTGTGATGATAAGGAAAAGAACAGTAAACGCAATGGCGCCTGGAAGGCTGGGGAGGTATTCCCAAAGGTAGACATCGCCTTTGAATGGTTTTAAAGTTGGCATGGTAGATTTGAGGTTGTAACGGCTAAAAACGAAGAGTGATACTATATAGGATTTAAAAAGGAGAATGAGAGATGTTTCATACCCAAAACGCTAATAAAGGGTTGCTATGATCAAATGGAGGAAAGGAGGATGAATTAGACAGCAGAACATGGTAAATGAGACTTCTTATAAAAGCTCCATGTTGCCCCGTATCATGGACCATACCAGCTCTTCTTAACCATCTTTGCTGACACGCGTGTTGCGTTGCATACCGAACAAGTTGCAACAACCATTAATCCTTTTTTAGCCTTTGTTCATAGGCTGAAACTGGGGTTCAAAGTTCAACACGCGTGTTAGCTAAGCATCTGACAAGGATGCTGCAACACGCCTTACTTCTTGTGGCTTAGATTCCCTTCGTCAAGCCTTGATGTGACAAGGGCTGTGGTCGATCATTTTAAGGAACAGGCAGGGCTGTGCTGACCTTATCAGGCAAGAATATCTTGCACCTGCATCTCCTGAGTGTCCCTTTTCCTCTTCCTCGACTACGACGCCTTTACTTCAAAATCATTGACCGAAGTGGTCTTGCATCTAGTCCTTGAATTCATTCAGATTTGCACTGAATCATTAAGGCATAATCTGCTATCCCCTTGTCGGTAAGGATGCTTCGCCGCAGCCATAAGAAGTCAAAGAGAGGATGTTTGCAATGGTGGGTTAACGACATACCCATTTTGTCTAGCAAATGAAATCTAACATTAGATTCACCAGCAAGCTACGTCATGTAAAGGTACCTGCGTCTCACCATCACTGACTGTCAACTTGACTAACACGCGTGTTCGCTTAGTGCGACGAAGGCCATCCACTATGTCGCCTCTGCGTTATGTCAGGGCGAGACTGCAGCTTTGCTTCACAGCCAAGACTAAACAACCAAAAGTCTTCCGCTTCCGATCGGTCTTCTCAAGAGAGATCACTATTGAGCCCAGACGATTGCCAAGAGTCGGTCCCCGACACGTCATTGTCGGACACTACTCCAAATAGTCATGAGCTCACGTTCAACAATGTTGTCAATATGGAACATATGGAGTTGTTTGTTCACTTGATAACAAATAAAGACTTGTTTAGTCTTGGTGACAAGTTCGGAGATTTCCAACCCACCTTCGACATTTGCATCAAAAAGAGTGTCAAAGCGCCTTATCTTCTTCATCAGATGTTGGCATTCTGTGCACGTCATCTCGCCGTGATACATCCTGAACGCTCTACACACCATCTTAATCAGGCTGTTGGTCTCCAGACACGCGCTGTCTCCCTGTTCAATTCCACCAAACGCCAAGTTGATGCATCGAACTGCGTCCCCATTCTGCTATTTTCAGTCACGCTTGGTCATCATCTTCTAGCTGATGCTTTAGCTAGTCGTGATCCTGGTGGTCTGGATGCGTTTATTGGTCAGTACGTGCAGTGTGTGGATATGAATCGCGGCATATACAATGTGGTCATCTCTGCATGGCCTCTTCTTGTTGACTCAGAACTTGAACCAGTTCTTTCATGGAGCCGATGTCAGTCCGGCAAAGACCCAGTTGGCAACCACTGCTATCCAGTTCTACAACTGATCAAAGACTCGAACTCCCTCAATGATGCGGAGAGGGATGTATGCAGAGAAGCGACCGAGTACTTACAAGTTGGATTTGATGCAATGGTTTTGGAGAAAGAGGGCGAGGAAAGCAACCGGTACCGAATGATCTTTCAGTGGACCATGCTAGCATCTCCAGAGTTTACGAAGCTCTTAACGGCCAAACAGCCCGAAGCTCTTATATTGCTGGGCTATTATGCGTTGCTGCTGCATTACGGGAGGAATCTATGGCAGGTCAGAGATACGGGAGCGTACCTGCTGGGTCTCATCGTGGAGTATGTCTCGCCAGAGTGGCATTTTTGGCTTGAATATCCTAGAAGGATGCTGAGGTGCAGTGTTGAGGAATGATCTTGCGAATAGGCATGCGGATGAAGCTTTGTGAACTGTCGATAATAGTCAGTCAGGCGTTTATCGTTTATGCTGGAGAGGTAAAAGTAATGCATCAAGCCGACTGTATGGTCCAGATATTCTTTTTCCATCCTACTAATTTGAAGACATAATTAAAATCTTAACAAGAAGCCCTTAGACGCTAGTATTAACAGGCGATATGTTCTTTGCATCATCTTGTTGCAATATTCCCCTAGTTGTCTAGCCTCCACTTGAATCCTCGCTTCCGGTGATTGTGGCAACATATCATAACCGACCAAAAACCCAGGAGGGGCAATTAAGACCATACTATCTGTACTTTCACCATTATTGTAACGATTATCCAATTGAACTCCTACAGTCCGAGCTGTTCGAGTCCGAATTTGTGGGGAGTAAGCAAGCTCAGCCACGAAGGATCGCCATGCTTACCGTTGCGGCGTTGACTCACCGACGGAGCTTGGACAAGACATGAGCAGAAAAGTGCCTGATATTAAGCTACCAACGGTCGCGTTTATTCCACCCCGTTCCTGGAATATTTATCCCCGGAAACGAGTTATTACCCAATAGACGCCATGCATCTCGACTCTTTACCAAGAGAAATCCAGTGCCAGATTATCCGCCATCTGGACCCCATCGGCCTTATCTCACTCAGCCAAACCAGCTCTGAATTCCGCCGTCTTATCAATCCACAAAAGAGACATTTTGCCGAGCGGCTACTTGCATTTGAATCGATTTCTGAGTATGGAGGCCCTACCTTGATTTTTCGGTCAAGAGATCACGCTTTACAGCCAAAATGGCCTGGGAAGGAATGGGACGGGATGCGATGGGCGTGCACGGATTGTCTCCGTCTATTACCTCACAAAGACTTTGACAACCATTCGCTACTCAGACTGGGCTACCGCAAGCCTCTTCCTGGATCTCCTGCTGCTGATATGATTACTTCGTGGGAGCCTATTCTACGTACAAGGCCTCGAGACAGGAACACGGAGCGTGCAAGGCGTGATACCCAAGATGCTGCCCAAGCGGAGAAAAAGAGGCGCGAAGCCTATTTCCTTTCTGTGACAAATGGCAGTGGTCATGCGCACGCAACACCGGTTAGAGACAAGTTTCAGACATTCCGAGACTGTGGGATGAAAGTATTCCAGGGAATGAATTTCCTCAAATTCCTGGAGCTGGAAGAGGATACAATACTGGAGATGCTAAGCCAGATCGCTATATTGATCGAGGGTGAAGAATGCGGCAAGAAACGCTGGCTCCGCAAATGCATCGAATGTCGATTCCGAAAAGGCTTGATATATCATAAACTCAACTTGACTAGCGGCACGAAGAAATTTCCCATCGTGCCCAGTCGTCAACTCGAGTTTGCAACACCCCTGGATCGATTCTTTCCTGGATTCTCGGATAGCCTCGAACACAATAGACCTCCTTTCAATACCTGCTTGGGGTTAATTTATAGAACCCAGGCATGCGAGCAACGCTGGACGATGTGGATGGGTCGATGTCCCAGATGTGAGCGCTGGCAAGAGCTTCGAGCATTTCGAATATGGGGGCTTTACCAGCATTGGAAGCCCGAGAGGATGACACTTGATACTCACGGCCATCACGGCAACGACGAAGGACAATGGACATCGGAGGAAATGCTCGACCGATCCATCTGTAACTCCTGCTTCGCCGAGTCCGAAGGTCGAGAAGAACTAGCCCGCCATCTCCAACAGTTGCTCTTAACGCTGATGAAGTGGGAGCTCCGCCGACTATCCGGGCAACTAGCAGGAGGTTTCCACAATCTTAGCTGGCGGTCCGGATTCCGGCTATCCAAGCAGAACAGCAAAGAGTGGAAGAACCTTCTGAAGCAGACACCGTGTCTCAACAAGGATTACCAGTATATATGCACCCACAACGACGTTGCCCTACTTCGCCTTCGTCGCGGGCAATGTCTTGAACTGTGGAAGGTTGCGAATGAAGGGTTCCAGGAGTGGTATGATGGTTGGGTGCGGGTTATGGATGATATTGAGGCGCATTGGAGCTGGATTATGGGATGTAAGGATGAGATTGAAGAGAACCCTGACGTTTTGGCGGATTGGGCTTTGAAGAGGGATGGCGCAGCGTTTACATGACTATGAATCTAACGATTGATGAACATATCCAATGAGAGTTTTCATCGTGGTATGACTGTAATGAATGTCATCGTGACAGCTTACTGCTGCCTAATAGGATCGACATCCCCGCTCGTTACTTAGATGTGACAACACACCATTACTAGTGATACATCTTCACAAGATACCCCCATACCATTCCTGAGATAAAGGGAATGACAGGCTTTCTTTCCAACTGCATAAATTACTTGCCTTGGTCGCACGTAAAACACCAACAAACCGCCAACATGTCCACCAAACCCCCTCACATTCCCCACATCCATCTCCTCTGCATGGAGGAAGAATTCAGCGACGCATTCAAAGTCGCCCGTCAGAGCCGCAAACTGCCTGACTCAGTCTCAGTCGAAATCCACAACTATGCCCTATCCCAACTCCCCGAGCACGTCAAGTACGACACCATTGTCTCACCCGCAAACTCTTACGGCCGTCTCGACGGGGCTTTTGACGATGCTATATCCCGCCAGTTCTCACCGCGCGATGATTACCTCGCTCTCACGCACGTAGCTCAAGCGCAGCTGTACAAGACCTGGCGAGGTTTTGCGCCACCTGGGACATGCACCCTTGTTTATATCCCAGAGGAGTTTGATACCCGGTCTCGAAATGTGTCCGGCACACGACGTGTCGCTATCTGCCCGACTATGCGTATGCCTGCGGATGTTCGGTGGAATAAAGAGGTTGTATACGAGTGTATCTGGAGTTTACTCTGTGCTATCGATAACCATAACCGTGATGCAGCGGAGGACGATAAGATCGAGAGTGTTCTCATGACTCCGTTGGCGACGGGTGTAGGACGTGTGAGTGCGGAGAAGTGGGCGTGGCAGACTGTCTTGGCTATGAAGCATTTCGTCGAGGCTTGTGAGAATCCTAAGAAGTGGGGTGCTTTGGACTGGTCTGATCTTGGGAGGACGTGTGCCGAGACGCAGCTTACATGGACGAAATGATGGACTTGGGCATAAAGGGCTAAGATAAGGTAGCATACAGATCCGACGAAGATATCTTGTCAAGTCCGTGCTACTGGTTGGATTGAGCCTGATATGAAAAGTGTTGATCTTCCACAGAATAGATTGTCACATTCATTATATCAAGGCAGTTCTAACATCTCTTTACCAAAACTTCACTAATATCCCTACCGTTTATCTCAACCACTCTCCTCCAACTCAACCACATACCACATACCACATACGATCTGGTAGTAATGGGGAATGAAAAAAAATTGACTTACGAAGCCGCAGGACTCTTGGTCACACTTAAGCGAGGAGATTATTCCCACATGGCTTCGCGCTAGGCTAGACAGCGACTTGTTGCAACGATGGCAACGCACGCAATCTAGATGCCATCTCTCACGTTCGGAGGATATGTCAAATGTCGGGCCGCGCATGTACATTCCCTTGCCGTCGCCACCGTCCAAAAGCTGGTGGCATTCTTTACATCTCAAGCTTTGCTCATCAACAATCGTCGGCTCAGTGTCCCACACAACTGGGAAGTGTAAGGATTTGGCGACGGAGAGATAATGTAAAAATATATAAAGCTCTTCGCTATCGTTATCCCAAGAATAGTCGTCACTGAAATGTTTTAGAAGAGCTTCTATATCGGATTTAAAGATCGAATTCAACACAGCAATCATATTCCGAGCCGTGATAGAGACTGAGATCCTGTGACCATGAAAAGATTGAGTAAACAATTTGGCGAATTTAACAAACGCAGCACTTGCGGCTTCTACGGCCTTGTGTTAGTAGTTGGTATGTTTGGGTGCAATGTGATAGGTTTAACTATCAGGAGTAAGATTCCTCGCAGAAAGCATAAAGAAACGCCATGTCAAATCAAGCATGCTGTTCCACGATGCAAATGCTACCTTGCGGTCTTTGCCTGTAGCTCGATACTGTAAAGCGTCGCTCAAGCTTCTTTCAAAGACAGACAGAAAACGTTGTCCAACTAGATAGATTTTCTCGAGCCATTTGTCGTGCTGCTCCTGGATCCATATGTGATCACCACAAGAGCCTTTCTTAACTGAATTAATGTACTGGCGACCTTCGAACGACACCGGTATAGAAATATCCCAGTACATTTTTATACCAAAACAAGCAGAATGGATCGCTTTGTTGGTCTGGTTATGCTCAGGGCGAGGTGACGGTGTCATTATCGGAAACTGGCATTCAGAACAAAGAGTTGTATAATAATGACAGAAATGTAAATGGCAGTACCTCCGGCCTTCACGAAGATAACAGGGCTGCTGTTGACCAAGGATGACGGCTTGTTCTGGGAATTCGTCGCATATACAACATACCTCAACGAAGGGAAGGTTGTCCGCTGATATATTTCCGCTTCGAGGCACTGGGAGCTTCTTCTGTTCTTCGCCAAGGGACTCTTCAGTTTCTGATGCCGTGTCCATGATTTGCATTTGTAAACCTTCCGCGATGTCGGGGGAAGACGAGTCGGGAGGAACCCGCTGCGTTTCTGTTTGACTAATCTCCATAGGAGGATCATTCCCTCGAATTGTGACTGTGTCCGGATCAGGATCCTCATGTTCTGTTTCTGGGCCAGATATTCGTTGGTTCTTGACTTTAGCCTTGTGGAGCTCACGTCGGTATACTTTGCTATTGACCACGACATCGTCAAACTCGAAGTCAAGCTCCGACGGCGCGATACCCGAAACGATCTCGAATTCAAGAAAGCTGAGTCGTGACGCATCATTGTCGAAAATTGACTGCGACTGCATTTTTATACTCGGGGTTCGTGATCGGAGAGACTGGGCTTCTGCCGCGGTATGTTGCATCGTACGGGCATTCTGACGAATGTCCTTTTGTATGCTGGATAGGGTATCCCTGCTACCGCATTAGTTGCGAAACCTTGTGAAAACCAGTAGCCTCATGATACTCACATCTCCAGAAGCTTCAGAAGGAAAGTGATAGAAGTTTGCTGTCCCCTAAGCTGCGCTAGAAGGTCTCTGAAACGTTCTTGATTCAACATGAATTTAATCTTCGCCCAGACTCCCGCATTCTTAGATTGGAGATGTCTTGTCTCAGCTTCAAGGCAGCTGAAAACTACCATGCACCCCGTAAGCGCCATCTCAAAAGCAGTCCATATTTCCGTCCGTGATGCCCAAGCTTGTGCAAGGTCGTCGCGTTGAAGAATCTTGGTCTGCAATTCTGACAATCCGATGCCGATAATGGTGGACTCGGAGCAGATTGTCACGATGATTACTGGGATGTTTCTGTAGTCGCCTGCGAGGTCATGGAGCTTCTTGCAGGTTGACAGGCACGTTACGGTTAAGCCGACCTGAATTGGCTATTAGTAGTAAAATTAAAGTATAGAATTACTAACTAACCATAGCGGTTATAATTAATAGCGGATCTATATTAAGTTTAATAAAGATTATTTAATTATTATAAAAGGTAAAAAATAAAAGGTAAAAGGTAAAAGGTAAAAGGTAAAAGGTAAAAGGTAAAAAATAAAAAATAAAAGGTAAAAGGTTAAGATATACTCTATATAGACTAAGGGGATATTAGGTTTTTAAAAATAAGGCTTTTATTAAGCCTTAAAAGCTTGGCTAAATAGAGTACTAATTCTTAATGGTGGGCATAGCCTTAATAGTCCGCCCAAGGTTAAAAAGCTACTACTAATAAGATAGAAAATACCAGAATTGTCTTAGGGTTAACGCTAAGGTATAACTGATCGGTTAGTGATATGTATGAGCTAGATAATAAAATTGAGGGATGGGCTTTTTTGTTGTTTCTTTGCTTCGCTAAATAACATTCCAGTCTTGTTCAGGTTTACAATTGTGTAGGATCATTTATTTCGTAATAATATTGGGCTCTTGGTGGGACACGGAGACAAATCAGATAAGTTAGCATGGAATCTCTCTATCTATATACTTTGTTGGGGAAAGCTTGGGCTACATGCATATAAATAATGCCCAGAAGCCACTAGGGTAAGGAGAATACGTTATTGAATTTCGACATGACCCAATAGAGCTAGGTATCTTTACAATCAGCATAATCCATTGGAGTACTATCAGATGTAGAACGACCAAAACGTGTGGATTTGCCAATTAGATATTCTTCTAGCTAATTAACATCAACATCAAGAGCCTGCATCAACCATGCCCTTGTTTCAGGGATGTTACGCATCTTCGGCTTGTCCGCCTATTTCTTTCGCCCAATTATTGCGCTACAGAGGTCTTCAGGGCCGTTGCAGATCATTAGCCTTTCGACTAGAGGTCACAGAGATGATTTATATTAATGCACGTTTCCGTCATGAGAATGGAGAGGATAAGGGCGAGGTCACAGCAACTCCTTTGTGGCACCACCAACTCATCAAACATTACGACCCACACCATGCCAAATCCATAGATGCCTCTCGAAATCTCCCAAGGCTGAGTACAGTGAGAAAAGGGATCTGATTACTACTTTGAGTCAAACTGAGCCTCATGCCTTGACCTCTCACGATACTTCTACGCAAACAAGCACCAGATGAACTTGTTGTCTTTTCGTAGTGGCCATTCACGCAAGACACTCACCAAAGCGAAGAACATTGAGCACAGCAGGTTATTCATCAGCTTTGCATTCCATATCGACCTCGATGACCCTAATCAAGACGGTGAAGAACACTTTATTCCTTTGCGTGAAATCTTCTCTAGCAACAATTGGCACCAACCTTGAGCAAGCTTTTTGATGTCCGTATAGATCCCCCGCTCATTGCACCCGTCTGACTAGACCAACAACGAAATATTGACACTCAAACAGATGATCATTGCCTTTGACCAAGAATGCCCAATCTTTTTGCCACCATCACGGCACCATCCAGACATTCCTCCCCATTCAATCATGTCGAATCAACCTTCGTCCGCCTCACTCTCTCTACTTGCGCCTGCCCTCCAGGGCATTTCTCCACCCTCGGGCCCTCAGCCTCGAAGGCATGTGCGCCATCATCAGGCTATGTGCCTGCCCCTTCGTGCACGTATCATACTCGAAAGTCCTCTCCTCCTGAAACCAAGCTCTCCTGCAGATCGTCAGACATCGAGAAGGTCGACACGTCAACGCTAATTCGCTAGAAGTTACCAACCTTCCGGAAACATAATTGCCTTTGCTCCTTTCTTATTCCCATGTTGGCCTTGATTCTCATACGTACATCCATGAGTCGAGGGTCTGGTAGAGTCCAGACTTCCGTTGATGCTTCTGTTTCAGATGTCCTGTTCATTTCCTGCTCTCCTTCCCTCTTCTGATGCCCCATGACGCAGCCACCTGCGAGCTCTTCTCCACTTTCTTTCCTTTCCTGTGTCGGCGAACCTTCTGCTCTGCATGAGCTCTTGCTCCATCAGAAACTTTTCACCTTCCCAAATGCCACGTAGTCGTTACTCCCAACCCTCAGGTCTCGGACATACATCCAGAGTTTTGGCGCCGTTTTGGAGCTCAGTGTCGAAGCTCTTGACCAGGTGTACCCCTTTAGGCCATTCATTTAATCTCGTCTGCAGGGGACGGCCGTCTTCTGTCAACTTCAGTAGCCTGGTTTGGAGGTTTCTGATATTAGAGGTTCTGGTATACGTACTGCGTTATTACAAGCTCTTGCCTTTCCTGTGTGCATAAATCTGTCGTTCTGATGTCATCTGTAGTTGTTGCTTCCCAAAGCTTGCTCTCTTTCCAAAGTCGGTACTGTACCTGCCGTTTTGCATTTCTCGGTTCTTGCTCCCGTGGCTCAGAAGTCAAGAACAAGGGGGCGCTTCGGATGTCTATTAAAGCACCTCTCCCTCCATTTTCTTCTTCTTCTTTTCTTCCTTTTTCAACCTTCTCGGTCTGCTCCGAGCTCAAGATGTCGGAGCAGATGCGTCTCTGGGACCCTTGCGCTAACCCCCAGAGACGTAGTGCCTTAGGCTACCTGGTATAATTTTCGATTTCTCTCACCATGTCCCTGGTATTGCACTACCTCCAGGTGACGTGAGTTTGACCTTTTTTTTCATTGCATTTATCAGCTTGCTGGTGGTGTGAAGAAGAAATCATTATCCCTTACCTCAATACACTTGTCGGATGTTGCGCTAATGCTGAACCATGCGTGGGTGTGTGTGCCAGTGGTGGAAGAGGCATTGGGGGTGAGAGAAGGGCATGATGAGAAGGGATGGGTTGAGAGGATTCTGCGGGCGACAGGGGCTTTGTATTTATACCTGGATGATGAAACAAGCTTTATCGAAACTTAAATTTCTGTGTCATGAAATGCTGTTCTTTCGGTCCAGTTTGACTTTGTCTTTATGTGTGGTCCACCAGTGCTGGGATACGTATGCGAGTTTATTTGGTGTGTGCGTCAAACCTTCTTATTCATCACTCACAAACCTATTCTTCTGCACATTTAAGGCGTCTGTGTGGACTTGATTCGCTTGCCCCAAGTGCGGCAGGTTCACTAGGTGAAAAGTGAGGCTATTCGAAGGAACAGCTTTGGTAGAGCAGCGGCGCTTTGCCAGGTTTCTGCTGTTGCTCAACTGGCCACACGATGAAATGAGTAGCCCTCCAAATGTACGTTCCCCATTCAGGTTTCCACCACCTCTTGGCCTGTTCCTATGCCAAATCCCAGCCAAGACGGTCGGAAGGTCAACGCCGCAAAACCCAAAACCATAACCCACCGACCCAGGTTTCGCATTATGCCTCGGCCTGAAGAGATAAGCATCAAGCCTCGAACTTGTTTCGATGTGACGAGATTACATGGCCTGTCAGGCTTCAGCACCCATCATACTTGGACATCTTCTTCACGATGAAACGCACGGAATGACAGTCGAGATGAACCGGGCATCAGACTGATAGATGTACAATGATGTGGCGCAGTAACACTGACGTATAAGAGACTGAATCAAGCCAAACATGATATGTCTTAAATAATTTACTCCAACACTAAACCTATTCTATGTCACAAGTTTGGTGTCTGAAACGTTATCCATCATGAGGCCGGAAGTCGGCCATCTCCAAATTCTCCACTGCTGACCTTAACCAGACCCGAGATCCGAAAACCGGCATTGCAATTTTGTTAGCTCCTCCGTCCTCCTCCAAAGCCGACATCCCGTCCTTTCCCGTCAGACCCAGCAACAATGCGTTCCAGCCTATCATGCGAATACTGCAGGTGAGACACTCTTCGGAATCTACATCGCGACCAAGAACTGATTGTCGGCGCCGAGGTAGAAAAGCAAAGGTCAAGTGCGTTCACACTGGAACAGCGCCGTGCCAAAGATGCTCCAGGCTGGGGACTTCGGAATGTGAACTTGCGAGGCCGCAGGCTCGGTCTGCCAAGAAAGCTGCTAGGAGAGTGCAGAATATATCTTCGGCTTTGACACCAGGAGATGATGTCTCGGAGATATCGAGCACGCCGGGATTCCAACCTATTCCTAGTCCTATATCTTCAAGACAAGCTGCTTCGTACCTTGTACAAGAGACTGTGGATGAACATCTCACACGTCTGCCGATCAGTGTCATCCTGAAAGCCTTGAACATCTTCACCGCCAAGTTTCCCGAACTGAGAATTCTCCAAGCATCGGCGTTTATCAAGGATTATCAGACTGCCCGATCGAAAGAAAGCAAGGCATTGTTAGCTACGATCCTCGCTATTACGAGAAAGCATTGCTCTGTAGTCACCGGAGACTGGCTTAGGAGCCTAAAGAGTAGCGAGAGCTATGCTTCCTACGCCTGGATTACACTCTTTGATGCCATTCTGCTACCGCCAAAAGTCCAAGTCGTACAGGCGTTGCTTATCTTGACGCTCTACGAATGGGGCGTGCGCGAGTACCATAAAGCATGGATGCACTGCGGTAAGCCTTCCAATACGTAACCCAATATGTTACTAATCCGAACAGGAATGGCCATACGTATCATGCAGTCTCTTCACAGCTCACGAGTCAGCCCGCACCCTCTTGATGTCTCTCAAAACAACGACACAGACGTGGTAGCCATAGCGGTAGAGTCGAGGACCTACTGGGCTTGCTTCATCATGGACTGCACCATTAACTCTGGGACGTACAACCCACGTATGCTCCCGATGTCCGAGATGCACAAGCTCAAAGTCCCTCGACCGCTCAACTACACGGACTTTGCATTTGGTATCGACGCCGCGTCGCTCGACCATGTCTGCGCCGGGGATCTATCCGGCCTTGCACAAAGCTTTGAGACGATAGCGCTTGGTTTTGATATCTACGCGCAGGCAATGTCGTTCGTGTTCAATAATGGACGCTGTGCGCCTGGGATGTGTGCACCTGCGAATTGCCCTTGGGTTCCTGGGTCGGCTTGGTCGCAGTGTAGAGGTAGGTTGGAGGAATGGAGAAAGGGTCAGCATGAGAGGTTGTGTTACCCGCAGCACAGTGTTGTTGTTCATATGACGCTGGGACATGGAGAGTCTTTCATTTACCTGAACATGCTCTACTATCTGAGGTAAAAGCCCATAGAGATCCATATTTACTTGTGCTAACATTTATCCAGCACAATTATGCTTCACCGAGAATACTTTCCCTTCTTACCCAAAGCCGACTCAACACCTCGAGGCCCTGTAGATCCTCCTCTTCTAGAAGCCGAGGCGCCGCCAGGTTGGTGGGATGAAAGCGCTAGGGAATTATTCAACGCAGCAGAGCAGATAGCTTGTCTTCTCCAAGAAGCTTCTGAGTGCGGCATCCCGCTCATGACGCCGTTTTCCGGATTCTGCGCCTTCACCGCGTGTTTTCTGAACCTCTACGTGTTTCGGTTTCCGAGCATGAACCTGGGTCGGAGCTCAAGGGCTGAGCAACTCATGAACTGGGGACTGGAGTACTTGGAAGAGTTCCAGAATGCGTGGGAGCTAGCTGGTGGCTGGGTGCGTACATATGCTATTTCATGGTTACTAAATGCTAACTAGCCTCTTAGATCAAAGCCATTCAGAACTCATCACTTTTGTACAAGAGAGCTACAGAGGATGCAGGGAGGTATCGAGGAAGAACAAGAGCTGATTTCGAGACTTTGCATCAGTCGATACACGAATATCGAATCGTTGATAGGTCGGATCAGCATCTGCAGCAGATCAACCACGCAGATCACAATTCGCTGAGACGAGATGAGGAGAATGATGCGGCAGTGACCAGACAGACTCAAGCGTCGACTAATCTAAGCACGGCTGTCAATGCTTCTGTTCCAGATCCATTTCCGAATTGGTGGTCTATGTTGCAGGAAGTTGAGTTTACAGATGTTGGCAATTTGTGGAATGGGATGCGCGAGCTTTAGTCTTAGTCTCGGAAGAATATTATGAGCTGGAGATTATCAAATAACAAATTGGAAGTAAATGTCAATCTCATTGCAGTCTATAATGCAGCTGAATTTCTCAGTGTAATGTGGTATCATGCCAGTACCGTGAATCCCAAGGCATCTTCGTCCAAACTTCGTAACGTCAATTTCCTTGTCCAATCTTAACTCCCAAAACAAACATCAGTGTCTCCTCCTGCTCAATCCGTTTTAAAAAATCCCAAATCAGCGCCAGGTTCGAACCCAGTTCCAAATACTGAAGCAAGTTGTTGTCCCCATGTGTTCAAGCCGGGCACTCCAATGATGAGGCTTTTGTTGCTTTCGAGTCCAATTGCGGAGGATTGTAGGGATATTTGGTGCAATTCTTGTGTCTGTTGAGCAAAGATCTCATCTGCTGGACTTCTTTCTCCAAATGACTGATTTGCGATCTGAGGTGTGCATTTTGAATATCATAGTCTTGATCTCGGCTAGGTGTTGTTCTAGGACTGGTGTCGTGTGTTATTGCCGCCATATTTTTAAACCCGTGCGAGTGGATTTTCGTATTTGGAAGAAGTGGCAAGAAATGAGAGAGAAGGGAAAAGGTTACCCGTCAAATAAAGACGAAATGGACTAGCAGATATTTTATATTCGTCTCCATATCTAATGGTAATCGAAGGACAGAAGAAGGAGAAAAGGGGACCAGTCTAAAATAGAAACCTTCCGTTAAGTCGCTCACCGAAAGACTGGTGGCATAAGGATAGTGTCATAAGCACCTCATCTGCTCCATTAACCGGGAGTAGTGCTGCCCTAGCTTCGTGTCAGATGAGACTAGACCTGTCATGAAAACACTGCGATTGGTGTGAGGGATATAGCATAGGTGTTTATTCTTGGCGACTGGAGATATTTCAGGGTTTTAAGTGCGGTTTCGCGTTTGAGTCATGGCATTCATTGGGTGTTGCTTGATTTAAGCTTCTGAGGCCTTTGGGTCTGGGTCTAACTTTAGTGATTCATTAATATCCCTTTTTATAAACCCATACTTTTAACAGCCTAGTCATACATGTCTGTCTCTGCCATTTACATCCATCCAACTCGTCTGAATACGAAGGTCGCGCCGCTGGCAACTGCTGTGGCACCTGTAAACACGATCAAAGTTCCATATCCCGTTCCGTACCCACCAGCAGCTTGACCCTGCCACGGCATTCCCTTGAGCAATGCTCCGCTCAATGGTCCAGATACGATGTTTCCGATGCCTCGGCCCGCGCTTAATATTCCGAGTACCATTACCGGATCAAAAGATGCTCCGCCGGTGCTTCGACCGTTGGCGGGAACGGAAGATACCATGTGCATGATACCAGGCCAAGCAGACGTGTATGAGCCAGCAAAGACGCCGTAAATGATGCAGAAGAAATACAACACGGGCAGATTCGTCGAGAATCCCCAGAGGAAGAATATGCTGAGCGTCGTTCCCGTTGCAGAGATCATAAAACAGTCTGTAACATGCAAACGATCCACGAGACCGCCCATAGCCACACAGCCAAACACGGAAGCCACGTTGATCAGCAGGACCGTGAGGGCTGAAGCAAACGTCCCAGCTCCAAGCGCAGTACGGGCATACGACGGGAGATAAATCCCCGGAAGGAAGAAGCCCAGCGCCTGAGCAATGTTGGCAAGCTGATGGAGCATGAATTTCCGTCGCAGCGTAAAGCCCAGGTTGAACGGACTGACGTGTCTGGTCGTGGACCGTGGAAGACGCGGCTTGATGAAGTAGGCCAGGGGTAGAGTCAGCACAAACAAAGACAGCGACCATATTCTCAACGTGGTGCGGAAGCCATATTCGTGGAGGAACTTCTCAAAGATGAGCGGCAGGGCGAAGCCGGCTAGACCAGTCCCGGACCACATGATTCCGTATGCAAGGCCTTTGCGCTTCACGAACCACTCGTCCAGGTATAGGATGCATGGACAGTAGGAGATGCCTCCGCCGATGGCATACAGGACTCCTTGCGTTAGGATGAGATGGGTGGTGTTCTGGGAGAACGAACTCAGTGCCAAGGCGGTGCACATGATGAACAGGCCGATGATGGGGGACCAGCGGGTTTGCTTTGGATAGAGGCGGTGGATGCTCAAGAAGAAGGGGAGGCCAAGATACATTATCCCCTAGGGCGTTTGTTAACAGTATACAAGGGAAGATGAGCCAATGGTATTACATACCATTGCACAGGTACCAATCACAGCAATGGCTGATGACCCCTCAAAGGGTGCATTGGTGCTGTAGTAGTCCTGGAAAACACCAAAAGCAAATGGGAAGCCTACAGAATAAGTCAACGGTGCATCAACGAGTGTTGATTAGCCTCAAACTCACCCCATGTTAGAGCCTCGACCATGAACGCAGCAGCCAAGAATAACCAGGCATCTTTCCCGCCATCTACGGGTGGCAGAGCCAAGACTTGATGAGTACCTGTGGGGTCAAGGCCAAGACCTTCGACCTCTGAGGAGATATCGCCCTCTGCAAGGTCTGTTTCTTGACGCAATTCAATCGCGGTTTGGCTCATGATGCTTACAATCTATGATTAATGATGTATCTAATTGCAAGTTTTAAGTCAATGAGGTCTATTTATTCTTTTTGGTTTTTGGTGTTACGCCTCATGTATGTCACCAGCGCGCCCTTGATCTGACATTCGGTCTCGGGTCACTGTTCCGAGTGGAGATAGTGGCATGTAAGGCTAGCTAATTCGATAATCGTTGTAGTTTTTTAACCTAAATTTTATTACTAGTATAGCCTTTCCCGAGAGGATATTACCGAGTCAAACCATGGTCCTAAATATTTAGACAAAATGGTCATTGTGCACTCATGGAAAGCCACTAACCCATTCGTTCTTCATCCCAGGGCACCCATGATATTCAAAGCGACCTTGATATTAAGCTTATTCGCTGATAAATAGTTAGTAGTGGACAAATTTTACTTACTAGTTGCGTGGTACAACTTCTTGGCCAGCCGATATATAAATAAAGACAGAACATACAATGCGACGTGGCATTTTCGAGTCCATAGCCAATTACAATAATAACACATAAAAAGAGCAACTAATAATCTTTCTTCTCAATATAACCCAAGCATTATCACTCGTTCACTTCACACCACAGGTGGATAATCATAATAATCCCATAATGTACCAAATTGAGCATCATCCCTTCAAGACCCGCTTGCGTCATCACAGCCACTAACAAGAAACACACCCCAGCGTCATTCAACCCGTACCTCAGCCTCAGCCATCTCAACGACATCATCACTCACGCTAAACTCATAAAACTGCATTCCCCCATATACTCACAATACTTCTTCTTTCTTATAATAATGCCCCGGCAGAACTCGGTCGATCTGGAACTAAATCCCCTCTCCCCTTACTCCTCCGACTCGGACCCGGATCTTCCGCTCACAATGTCTGAACCAGCGGCACCGGCGCCCAAGCCGCGGTGGCTTGATCCCAGGCCGTCGACTTGGTACAACCGCATCGCTACATCGCCGTCGCTTCATCGCTGCACTGCATATCTTAGATCACTGCTGCGTCCGCGGCTATCGTGGCGCTACGTCGCATGCTCTGTCGTGGGCGTCTATGTTCTTTACTGCTTCGTCACATGGCAGCCCTTCTTCTCATCTCGTCTGCCGGCGTATTCGGGGCCTCACTCAGTCGGCGCCATAGACCTGGAGATTCCCCTTGAGAAGCCAAAGCGCATATCCGATACTGTGCTAAAAGACTCTAAAGAGCCTGCGTTTGAGGTAGAGAGCGTGCTCTTCACTGTGTATTATCCCGCTGTTAAAGGCGCCAAGTCACGCGCTGTTTTGCATCCCTGGGTTCCTAAACCTATAAGTCTCACAGCAGAGGGCTATGCGCGCGCTGCTGGTGTCAACAACTTCCTCATTCGACCGATTTTCACATTTGCGCTGTGGCTCCTTGTCGGTAGTATCAAGATCCCCGCCAAGGTCGACGTTCCTCTTCTAGGCTCCGACTCGCAAAGCAAAGATGGGCAAAAGTTCCCCGTCATGGTCTTTTCTCATGGCGCTGTGAGTTCCAGGACCGACTACACCCATTATCTCGGCGAACTCGCTAGTCGCGGCCATGTCATTGCTGCTCTCGAGCATCGCGACGGTAGCTGTCCCGGCACCATGGTCCAGATCAAGGATAAGAAGGACCGGCCTGTGTTTCTCCTCAAACAGGGCGATCTCATATCTGACCCGCCTATGAACGACACCATTCTCAAAAGAGAGCAACTCGCTTTCCGCACCGAAGAGATCCTCCAGACCATTCGGGTCCTTCAAGACGTCAACAACGGCAAAGGCTCAGATATCTTCATCTCCAGCTCCCGTCACGAAGGCCAAGCCCTCGATGCATGGGCCAACCGCCTGGACTTCAACCACCTCACCATCAACGGCCACTCCTACGGCGCAACAGGGGCTCTCCAAGCCCTGAAGACCGCAAACACCACCAATGCCAACCCAGCCATTGGTGGCATCGCTCTCGACCCTGGCAAGTCCAGCGGCCAGCTCAATGCCGACATCCCTGTTCCTCTACTCGTAGTCCACTCCAATTCGTGGTCCAAGACGCACAGCATCTTCTTCGGCCGGCCGCACTTCGACACGGTCGTCGATCTAGTACGTGGCGTGCGAGACAAGGTCGGTTCGGCTTGGTTCCTCACAAGCGTCGGAACAGCTCACCCCAGTGTGACTGATGCGCCGCTTCTGCAACCCCTCCTCCTCAATTTCGCTACGGGCGCTACTGCAGATGTGCGCAAAGCCCTCGGGGAGTATGTCAAGGTCACATTAGACTTTCTTGAGTTCACAAATACAGGCAAGAAGAACGGTGTGCTGGACCAAGGGGTGACCCATGAAAAATACGGAGAGTGGGTGAGTGAGGAGAGGAAGAAGAGCTTTCCCAAAGAATTTGCAAAGTATTGGGAAGTGCACGTGAGCCCCGTCAACCAGACTAAGTAAATAATAATATTAATTAATGTCCTCTTCTATAGCATTGGTGTAGACACACCCTACTCTGATGCATTGCCCATTTTGAGTTGCTATCTAGAAAAGCCATGCCTCATAGGAGGCAGCCCCTCTAGCGGAGGTCTCTCTCCAACTAACATATATAGGTACTAAAGTTTCAACAACCTTGCTGTAGCATTACCCTCTCATTCTCTATAATTAACCTTCTCCATATCAGTACCAACACTCAAACACTTCAAACCCCTACAGCGCATTAGAGAAAGGCCGCTGGTGAACTGCCAAATCCGCTGCTCCCACCATCTCCCCTGTTGCGCCGGCTGCTTAGAAACATATCCACCATGGTCTTACTACCCATCGCTTGGGCGTTTATATATGAATCTCTTGTTGCTTCTCCTCGGGTGTCCCCCATTTGTGATTTGTTCATACAGTGGCTCAAACTGGGTTCTCCTCTTGGAACAGGCGAGCCATTGGTCCCAGGATGCTAACCTTTGGCAAAGGAACCAATCCCAGGACCTGACTTGGTTGGTGAGCCTTGCCAGCCGGAAAGACGTGCCCGAGAGCGCCGTTTGGTGATAGACTCCTCTAATGTTGAATTGAAACGCCCGATAGTGTTCAGAGAGCGCATGCGTTGCATCCCCTTCACTGGCTCCATGTCCATCATATCCCCTCTTGAACCTACACTCGGAAGAGAAGGCACTGCTCTGAGAGTACTCCGTGGCGGTATCGATGGGGGCCTCTCTTTTGCATATATACTGGGCTTGTGATTGGGTGACGTATTCTCATCGTATCCGATGACAACTTGACGTATCGAATTTGAGCGACTGTGGCCGTCGTGAAAGCTTTGCGCGTTCCCTTTCACCCTGCTTAAAGGGCTACGGTTCGATAAGCCATCGTTTGTAGTCGCAGCAAGCTCGGGGGTAGAGCCCATCGAAGCGTATTCTCTGACATGGCCAAGTAGTGGTAGAACACCACTGCCTTGCCTCCTCTCTCCTTTGGTTGGTGTAAGAGGTGCCTCAAGCTTCGACACTTTCGAACTGAGCCAAGTCTTCCATTCCACAGAGCTGGCTGTCGATGTATCACGTTGGTGATGTTGCCCTGATTCGTAGACCGGGACGTCGGACGGGCCTGGACCGTTGTATGCGTGCGCTGTGGACTGTCCCCAGATTTCAGATTCCGTGGCTGTAGATGTTGGCTTGGCATCATCCGCTACAGAAGAGTAGACGCTTTCCGTATCTGCGACTTGGAAGTCTTTCTCAGAACACGAGTTGCTGTTCTGGCGAGCTGGCAGGCTCAGGGCTGATAGTGAGTGAAGATATTGTGACCCTGGTAGACCGTCTTGTTCATCTTCAGAGGAGTTTTTCATGCTAGCCTGCAGCGCACGACGGTAGGGGCTTGGTGACCGGAACGAGTGACAGGATGGGCTTGCGAAAAAGGCAGAGCTCCTCTGGCTCATCGTTCTTGGCAGTTCAAGTCCACTGAGTAGTACACTGGTGCGGTCGTTTTCAGAGTCCTCTCTATCATCACTCCAATCCCAGCTAGTGGGGTGCTCATGTACAGGTAGGGAGACTTTCTGAGGCAAATGGCAGGACTTATCTGGAACCTCAGTAGCCGAACTCGAGCTTTGAGAAGATTGATCTCCGTCGTTTCTGAGAGCCTCGTCTTCAGGCCGAACACGTCGAATGGTAGAACAGTCCCATTGGATGTTTGCTGACTTATAATTCTCAGTATGTTGCTCCGGGCTTGTCTCACTCGTGATTAAGTCAGGCTGCGCTTCCAAGACCCCATCATCGGTATCTTTCCGTCCGAGCCGCTTCATAAGAGCAGAGTAAACGCGCTCACTATCAATCGACATATCTGCTATCATTTCTCGAGTCTGTTGCTCCAAAGGCTCAATCGAACGAAGTGATGAAGGAATATGCGTTCCATTCTCCTTGATAACAGAGAGACGCTGCCTCTCCCAATCTCCGAATGTCCCATGGCTTGTCACTGTATTTGACATAGAATTGGTCCAGCTGGTGACACGAGACTTGTCGTCAGGAATATGGTGCTCGCTATCAGCGAAACTTTCGACGCTGCCTTTGCGAGACCTAAGTTGTTGGTTTGATGGTATGTCGTGCAATGAGGGGACATGCGATGTAACCTGAAACATGGAAGCCTCCTCAGTCGCCTCAGCATCTCCTAGTTGTAAGCAACTGTCCCCGTCGGAATCCTTTTCTGCTGCACCTTGTTCGTATTCTTGTTGTTCCGGGTCCTCGTCATTCTTTCCTCTACTGAAAAGTCCTCGTATCTTTGATCTTAGTCCATGGGAGACTTTGCGCGCCGTTCTTCGAATCCCTCGTTGCTTGGACACAGAGATGCTGGTGGTGGAAAATGTCGAGGAAAGTGCTGTGCTATTGTTGCTGCTGTTTCGGAGGGACTTGCGAAGGCCTGCATGTCCTTCATTCTGCCTGTTCTTTGATCGCAACAATGCAGATGACTGGGCTTTCTGTTCATCCTCCTCCTGAATCTGTCGAAATCTCTCTCTGGCAAGTTGAACCGCAAGTTCATTGTCGTCGGCACGGCTGCTGGAACACGACGCCGCTGTCTTTCGTCGGCTTTTGAGGTAGCTCATTGAAGTTGAAGCCCTGAGACTGCTGGTAGGGAGTCTCGTCCCTTTCAAGGCGTCATTCTCATTATTCGTACGCGAGTATGCTAAGGGTACAGGCGGCGGGCAATCCTTGATAGACCCGTTCTTGTCGGACAGTGTCCCTATCGCGGGATGTGGTGAAGTCAACATTGATCGGGACTTTCGAACCTTTTTGAAGGATGCAGGTATGGACACAGCATCGTCCTCAGGGTTGTAGCACGCGTTGGGTGGCTGCAGAGACTCAAGGTAACGTCGTGTAAGGGAGAAGTTGTCTGGCCTTTCCTGATGGAACGACAATGCAGTAGAGGGTCTGGGTTTTGCGTGGCCAAAAGCATGGATCGCTGAAGTTGCTTTTGTGGGCGAGTCTCGACCACCATTCGCTCTTGATGCCAGGGTTCGACGGGGAAGAGCCGAAGGTCCAGTAAAGCGGACACTCTGGTTTCGAGCGATATTTGGATTGCCATGGCGGCTCAGGGCACTGCCATTTCGCTCAGGGCTGTGTCTAATGACGCTGCCAGTGCCATCGCTATTGTCGGGGTAGAAGCTCGCTGGATCACGCGGTATACTCATTCCCTCACTAATAGGTCGATCCTGAGCTCGATTATAGGAAACGACGGCAGCAATGTTGGCGTCCCTTTCAGCCCTTACAGGGTCAATGGACTCAAGATTGCGGATCGGGCTGCGAACAACAGAGTTTGTGGATTTGCTTCGACTCAGTGGGCGGCGATTTTTTTTTCGAGAGCTGTTACGTCGGAGCATCTCTCATAAATGGGCGAATTTAGAAGTAAGAGTTGGAATAGTGATAAAATCCGAGTATAGGCTTGAAGCAACGGTATGAACAATGGATTAATGGCTGGTGGGTGATGGCAGATGCGATTGAATAAAAAGAAAGTCATTGTAAGCGACGGATCACAACGAGAGCTATGAGGTGGTCAACAAGAGGAAGGAATGAGTGCAATGTTGGACTAGTCTAAAGGGAAGGAACTGTTCACAAGTCACTGGGTAGCAAAGGATGGCAAGCGCAGCAGCTCTAGTAGGTGAGCGCCGATCAAAGGTTGGGTAACACCTAGCGAATAATAAATCATGTCACAAACGAGACGAATGTTCATAGAGTAAAGAGATTTATTGTAAATTGAGCAAGGCTAACTACAACCCGCTCTCATGGACCTAACCCATGCAATCAAACGCGCAGAACGGCGACAACTGGTCGTCGAAGGGCAAGCACCCGTATCAATATCATGTTACCCAAACCAAAAAAACCCATGCTCATCCATGTTCCCAAAAAATGCGTGACCAATACAAATAATAAGATTATAGATCTTACAGGTTCAGCTCCTTAATGAACTGCTCAAGCTCCTCGTCGACAAGCTCGTGGATCTTCTTGGAGAACTTCTCAGCCTTGGAGCCAACCTCCTTAGCACCAGTGGTCAACTTGTCGGAGACGACACCGATCTCCTTCTCAACGGCATGCTTGAGCTCCTGAACAGGGGAAGAGGGAGAAGCAGACTTGGCCTTGTAGCTACCAGCCTCGACGATCTTCTTGTAGTCGCTGCAGCCACCACCGTTCCAGGCAAGCTTGTTGGGGGTGTCGGAGGGGATATCGGAGAGAGCATCCTCGGTAGCGACGGAGATCAGGTTCTCCTTGAGCTTCTTGGGGGTGATGGAAGCGAGAGCGTACTCGGAGTCCTCAGCGGGCTGAAGAGAGAGGTAGTAGGCCAAAAGACCAGCGATGTGGGGAGAGGCCATGGAGGTACCGGAGATGGTGTTGACAGCGTACTTGGAGCCGATCCAAGTAGACTGAATGTTCAGACCGGGGGCGAAGATGTCAGTGCACTTTCCGTAGTTGGAGAAGTAGGCACGGCTATCGTCAAGAGCAGAGGCACCGACAGTGACGGGCTCAGCGGCAGCAGCGGGGGAGTAGTTGCAAGCATCAGCGTTGTCGTTGCCAGCGGCGACAGCAAAGTGAATGCCGGTGCGAACAGCAGCGTTGACGGCGGCATCGAGAGCCTGAGTCTTGCCACCACCGAGAGACATGTTGGCGACAGAGCCCTTGAAGCCCTTGCGCTTGCCGTCCTTGGCCTTCTTCTTCTGCTCAAGATGGCTGGTGGCAGCGAACTCGACACCCTTGACGACATCGGACATGGATCCGGAGCCGTTGGATCGAAGGACTTTGACAGCGTAGACGCTGGCCTTCTTGGCAACACCGTACTTCTTACCGGCGACAGTACCGGAGCAGTGAGTACCGTGACCGTTGCCATCCTCGTCGGCATCGCCGGAGGGAATGGTCTTACCCCAGTGGGCACGGCCCTCGAAATCGACGTGGTCGACGTTGGTACCAGTGTCAACAATGTAGGCATCAACACCCTCACCACCATCTGAGGAGTAGAGGTACTTGTTGAAGGTACCGAAGTTGAGGGTGCTGCGGTGGGAGATACGGGCAAGACCCCAAGGAGCCTGCTTCTCGGTCTCGCCGTCACACTTGTCCTCTGTGATCATGTTCTTGTTGGAAACAGGAACCATGGTGTGAACGAGGGTGTCTCGCTCAATGAACTCGACCTATGCGGAAAGTCAGCTTATGATGGTTCATGAGACTAGAATGATGGTACTTACGTCAGGGTGGTTTCGGACCTTCTCGATCATGGACTCATCGAAGTGGCCGGCATAGCCCTTGAAAGCATCACCAATGTCAAAGGTGTGCTTCAAGCCAGAGAAGGCCTTGTCTGAGAAGGACATGGATCGCTTTCGCAGCTCCATGCGCTCAGTCTCGCCCTCCTTGTGGGCGTCCTGAACCCACATGTGATGATCGCTGGCGGCAGCGCCATCGACGTGGTCCTTGAACTTGATGATGTACGAGTCTGGGATGGTCTCGGCATCGATGGAGCTGAGGATGGGGGCAGCCTTATCGTGGACGGTGCCGACGCTGAAGGAGGCAGCGCTGGCGACAGCGGCCACGGACAAAGTGAGGACGGACTTCATGGTGAAGCGCGAAAAAAGACGAAGCGACGAAGCTGGAGTTGGTCTGCCTGCGACTCAAGGACTGAAAACAAATGGACAAAGTGATGTCCTCGACCGTCTGACTTGATGATATCAGACAAGGTCGATGCTGTAAAGGATGGAGGTGAGATGATGAGTATGGAGGAGATGATGAAAGGAAGAAGAAGTGACGGAGGCAGGACCTGGGGTAGATAAGCAATCGCAAGCTGCGTGCGACAGCTCCAGTGTTGCCTCAGCGGGCCTGGGGGGGCGGGCAAGAGGGTGTGACGCATCCATCGCTAGGATGGGCGATAACACAGTGGCTGAGCCCCTAATCGGGCTTAGTTCTTGTACTAAAAGGCCAATCGCCGTCACCGAGGCAATGCGATAACGGCACCCGTTTGGGTTGGTACATTAAGCTATCATGACGGACCGTGTGAGACACATATGCATGCACTGAGTGTGAGAAGGCCGAGGCGCGCTGCTGCATTTCAGCCGTCTGGACCCGAGGATTGGTCATGATGAAGCCAAAACATTACTTATGGGTGCTCTTATTGACATTCAAAGCTGTACCGCAATTCACTGAGGGTATGTTCACCGCCTGCTGAAGATCCGGAAGTCAAACGATGGGCGGATGACTGCCTCGTCTTCATGACGGCAAACAACCCGGTCGTGTTTGTCCGCCTTGCCTCGAGTCATGGATCATGAATGGCTGGCCTGTCATCAGTCTCAGGGAGCGATCACGGCAGTGCTACTGCTGAAACTTAAATGTAGGCCTTGTTCTCAACAAAAGCAGGACTCGAGAGCAACACTATTGCTCTTGACGGCGAAGTCTCGCATCAAAATCACCATTTTCTCTTAAGGGTTCCATGATATTCGTGCTTCAAACGGGGTATTTGATCATCAAGGCTGACGAGTCACGACAGTCCATTACAGCTACTCAGCCGTATGCAGACACAGTACATCATGGCAACGCAAGCTCAAGGGCACTGTGCTACCTCCAGCCGACCAAAGTATCCTGCTCGCGTCGAAACCAAGATCCACCAGACAGGGTGAGCTTCAACAAGCTCAGGTACCTTCCAGATTGCGGTGCCTGCAGCCAAAACTAGGTCTCTTCACCCAGTGCCAGAACGCAGAATGCGGGGAGCGCCATTGCTCCGATTGGTCTCCACTGACCTGATCCGCCTGATCCATCGAGTCAGACGACGTCCCTGGCACGTGCCCTGTGTTGCATGCCCCGACCATGTCTCAACTTCGCTCCAAGTCAGCAAGCCCGGCAAGCCAAAAGCCAACCAAGCCGACGCCAGCAGCGCCTCACCATCCCAGTCCGTTCCTGGGGTTCAAACTGATCAGGACCTTTTGACACGAGAATGCCCTTCCTTGGAAAGACAACACTTGATTAGGAAGACGTCATGATTCACCGTTCTAATTGATAAGCTATTTCGCAGCTATCATTCAGGCATCCAAAACACTTAAAGCTTTAACTGCTACTATGGAACATGTTGGCCAGTGCACTCTGTCAATGCACGCCAGGCACCTCAAGCTCCAAGCTCGGCAGGGTGAGGTACATATCCGATAGCGCGTCTGCAACCTGGAGAGCTCTCCAAGCTCTCCACTACGTATCAACCAGCGCAAAAGTCGTGGTTATCTTGTCCGATAACGCCATTAACCACCGCTTGCAGCTCATTCCACCCCCAAGCATTAGTGGACTGAGTTGCTCAACAGATTGCGTCTGATAGTTGTTTCTCATCCCATAGATAAGCTGATACCTACCTGTTCGAGACAGGGATAGACGGGTCTTGGGACACCTACGGTTTCAATCTACCACACGTCATCTCACAACAAAGCCGTGCCAGACGGGTCAGAAAATAATAGGGAACCCAAGCTCTTTTTAAAACGGGAGACATAAAGACTCGGTCAGATCTGCGTGCCTAAAGTTCGTCTAAGTATTTTAGTATTTTAGTCATCTTTATTAAGATTCCCTATTATTTTGGACAACTTCAAACAAAGCTGCGTTGAGCAATGTTCATAAAATCATAGTACTAATTATATAAAAAGCATTTCCTATCTTTAAAAACACATAACTCACACCTAACAAATATAAACAATACTGCGAATCATGGTTGTTGTAAAGTCTATTACCTCAATGCTTGTTTTGTTGCACCAGTCCTCCGTATGTCGCGTCTAAATCAGACTCCCGAGATAGCGATTCAGTTCGGCACCACTTCTAATAATAATTTTCCCTGTCAAGTTTTCAGAGACAGCATGATACCTGATTTTAAGAACTATATCGATATTTATGATTTCGGTTACATGTGAAGATGGGATAGAAACCGTTCGCCGTCTCTGTTGACTAAAATTGGACGCGATTTGTCATGTAGACCTTCGTAGACTCACAGATGATGTCGAACAGTAGGTACTACAGCATAACTGACCAGATCAAACTTATGCAAAAGGGCTTAAGAAGTAGTATAATGTTCCAACCAGCTATATAATACCGGTACATGAAGACCATACACGCCTTTATCGGATTATACCCATCTAATGAATTCCATGCATTGCGTCTACCCTGCACCAAAACGCCGACGTCATCGCGGCATACCACTCTATCCAAGACATGCGTGTCTCGAGTAGCAATGCATTTCTCAACTTAGGTAGGATTCTGTTTATTAAATAAAATCGATATAACCTCCGCAATATCTCCATGAACCCTCCTTTTAAGTACGCAGGTGTGAAGGTTTCAATCATGTGAACTGGACATGTCACTCTAGACGCGTTACTCGAGCTTCGTCAGCTCAGGCGATCTCAGAGAGCGGGAGGAGGGGCCATGCTTCGCCACACTCAAGCCACACCTCCATCGCTGACCCATATGGGAGTTACAGCATTGAGCACAGGTAGTAGTGCAGGCTCCAGTATTGACCGATTGTTTCGAGACACCTTTGCTAATTCTCAGCTTCAGTGCTTGCTTGACAGTTTCGATACCGCCTTGCGATACGCCGCTCAGAAACCTACCTGCTAGCCCGGCCCGAGTTGTGTGCGCTGTTCTTCCCGCCCGAGAGCTTCATGCGCCCCGCGCTGGTAGCTCCGTCAACCTAAATCTCACTCTTCGATGCCTACGACGACTGATAACGGCCTGGACCCTTGACGGGATCAGGGGAAACGGTTCCTGGAATGAAATTGTGATTCAACAACCGCTACAATGACCCCAATACCAAGAAGATACCGGTCATCCACCTCGGCCTCGAACCCACCACAGACAAAGTCCTTCGAAATCCTAAAGGGCTTACTCGAAGCTCTGAGCATTGATACGACCCTCCACCAACAAGACGGATTCCCTCAAATACCGCCATTATTACGAAAACTCCGACATATTATCCAACACATCTCTGCGACACACTCGCCCGTCCATCAAGATGACTTCCGACATGCAGATGGCTTCCAAACTATCCTCAACCTGCTGCGAGCCTTCTCAGGCTATTATAACCCCGATAAGCGAAGCGATGCGGACATGCTTGCTCTGTTTAAGCTGCTAGGAGACTGCCTCAACCTATTTTCGGCGGCCCTTCACGGACATTCGGGAAACCGACGATTTTTCCGGTATAGAGTCGATGGCGGCGGCTGGGAGGCTCTGGAGCAGGTCATCGCAAGCATCGGCCTCGGTGGTGCTGAACCTGATGCCTGGATAAGCTGTCACTTATTTGGCAAGCTACTCGCTTTTGCCCTTGACGACGAGGCATTCGATCTACTCTGCCAATCCATCGCGAAATCATTACGGCCCGATGACGAAGATTCACCCAAAGACGAAGATGACGATAGTGCTGAGGAGCAATGGGATCTGGTATTGGCCAAATCTGCTGAAAATATTACACCGGGTGTGCGGGAGGTTGTGAATGCCAAAACTATAATACGGCATCCTGAAATTCTGAGAGCAGTTGTTAGCTTTTGGATGGCTATTCCTCGAATGAAAGATGGCCTCGCAAACCCGGCCTCTCTACTTGTCCTAGAGACGATTCAATGTGCTGTCACTGTGTCTATTTTTAACCGGGCTGCAGTCCACTCAACTGGTGCTCTATCACAGTTCCTTCGGGTTGCATTCAATGCTGATTCGGCCCTCAGCCCGCCTGAGCGGGAGAAGGTATTGGGCATTTGCAAAATACTCATGTTTCTGGGCGTGAACGAGCCTGCCGACACGCAATTCCTCCTATCAACTCCTGGTTCTGAAGCATCCGAGTTTTGTTTACAGATGACATCCAAGCACTCAGGCCCTCCTTTCTTCCAATTCGATCTGTCATTGCACGGCCACTCATCACTCGAATTATCTAGTCTTGGCCGCTCGTTCCCTCCACAGTCTAGTGCAGGATACACATTCACAGCCTGGATTCGAGTAGACAGCTTTGACCCTACTGCACATACAACAATATTTGGTGTCTTTGATTCCACACAATCATGTTTCCTGCTCATGTATCTTGAAAGGGACACCCACAACTTTATCCTTCAAACCTCTGTTACTTCCAACAAGCCTAGTGTGCGCTTCAAGTCTGTTTCGTTCAAGGAAAAGAAATGGTATCACATCGCCATTGTGCATCGCCGACCAAAGACAATGGTCACTAGCAAGGCGTCCCTTTACGTTGATGGTGAATTCTCAGAACAAATTCGCTGTAACTATCCTCATCTACCGCCCCTGTCAACTGGTGCAAATGATAGTTTTGCCTCGTTCAATTCGAACCAGAACAAAACCAACCCAGTACAGGCTTTCATCGGCACACCGAAAGACCTCTCCAACCAAATAGGACCTGGCCTGGTTTTCTCGCGATGGTCACTTGCATCTGCACATCTGTTCGAAGATGCTCTAAGTGATGACTATTTGGCAGTTCACTTCGGTCTTGGCCCACGTTATCAAGGCAACTTTCAGGATAGCTTAGGAGGTTTTCAAACCTATGAGGCGTCAGCAACCCTGGGACTTCGAAACGAGATCGCGCATTCTGGAAAGGGTGAGACCTCAGACATCATAAGAGCTGTCCGCGAAAAAGCTGGCTCGCTACTCCCAGAATCAAAGATACTCCTCAGTATTCTACCTTCAGCCACGTTCCCAGAAAATGTACAATTTTACGACACGGGGCTTTTGCGTTCACTTCCCCGAAGTTGTTCTCGCAATCTCTTTAGGGCATCAAACCAAGAAGGCGCACCACTAGCTATCAACTGTGCTGTCCCTAGTCTCACAGACTCTTTGTTCCGAGTTCAAGGCCTCCTGTCGTTCCGTGGTAGTCCCATTGTCGCCGTGCCATCATATCTGGATGAGAACCTATGGCGTCTTGCTGGATTTACCCCGCTGGCCCTGAAACTATTTGAGAGAGCATCGTCAATTGACGAGACAGTGAGAGCGGCGGAAATGTTGTTTTACTGCATTCGTCAGAGCTGGAGGAATAGTGAAGCGATCGAAAAGGACAACGGATACGGCATCTTGGCTATGCTTCTACGTGTGAAGCTGGGATATGATCGCGGCAGCAGCGATTCTGCCGTTACCCGACTTCAAGTCTCAAATGAGGACCGCGATCGACTGGCTTTTCAACTCCTTAGCTTGATACTTGGGTTCGTTGGATACAACCATACAGAACCCATGGAGTCATTCATCATCAATCCTCTTGCTTATCGCATCTTGCTCATCGATCTAGACATTTGGCGCAAATCAGCACCTCGGATTCAAGAGCTTTACTATAAGCAGTTTGTTACATTCGCGGTCAAGAGCAAATACCACGAGTTCAATAGTAGGAGATTGATAAGGATGAGTAAGTGAAAGTGTGTTTGGGTATATGCCTTGTTCTAACCGTTCTAGGAATCGTTAAAAGGCTTCTAGATGCCATGAAAGGCGAAGTCGTCTCGGAAGATACGATATCACATTTCATGGGCGCCTTTGAAGTTCTTGTTTCGTCCAACTTCAGCCAAGAGGTCATGAGGTCCCTATCACTTTTCATAACATACGCCTTTCACTCTCAGCCCATATCTCGACCACGAACCCCACGAGCTCTTTCGATCGTGTCCAGAACTGGCACTCCACTTCCACGACGTAGGGGAACACCGACTGACCCTACGGTAGCTGCGGCTGCCTCTGGTTTGAAGTTTTTGACCAAGAAGCAGCTTGGTGTCAAGGTCCTCAGCATGTACTCACGAATCTTGTGCGAGAAGGGTAACACGACTCACATCAAGAAGTTTGCCAGAACCGTGACGAACAAGGTGAGAATATCTTCCGCTTATTTGTTTACCTGACTAATGTTCGCAGTGGCTGCTTTACCTTCTGGCTGAGGACGATCCGGAAGTCGTTGTTCATGGCTGCAAGATCCTTGCACGCTTGCTCGTTACCCATGGCCCTAGCTATACCTCAAAGTTTGCCGGCAAGTCAGGAGGGTTTGTCATCATGTCAAACCGACTGAAGAGATTTTGGGATATGCCCACACTCTGGCCTATCTGTTTCAGTATTTTGTTCGGATACGACGTCGCCGAGATCAATTTTGATAGAAACTTTGACTTCTTCAGCCTTTTGGAGACCTTCGGCAAGCGCAAAGTTCTTTACCCAGATTCTTTGTCCGTCATCACCGCAATGCTGAAGCATGGTTTGAAGGATGTGACGAGACATCAAGACGACCCCGACTCGCCAGCAACACACATCGATCCTTCGTACGCTCTTAAGAAGCATGCGTCTACGACGGATTTACGGCCACGAGCAAGCTCTATGAACTTAGTTACTGCTCTTGAGACACGATCGAACTTCTCACGCGACAGTGAACGAGTCGCAAGTTACGCTGGTGTCCTACATACCGTCATCCGGTTCCTTCTGGACTTGCATGATCGTTCAACGGAATTCAGAGACTTCGCTTTGACCTCAGAGTGGGTGAGACTACTTCTCTCAGTACTCTACCCAGTCATCGTTAGTGCCGATGCTGTTGCACCAGAAACCGAGTTGAACTCCGGCGATACGGCTTTGACGTTTGAGGGAACAGACGTTATAATTCGTCCGATCGGTGGTAGTGGTTCACATGCCACGCCCATTGTGCGAACTACTAGCGTAGACCCAGTTCCATCGCCTCAGTCAACACCACCTAAGGGGACACCGCTAAGACGAGCATCATCGTTCATTCTTCTTACACAGCAAAAGTCACCAGTAGGACCCAGTCCAGCCCGTTTGAACCCTGCACTACCACCCCTGAGATCGACACCGAGCAAGAAGCCAAGCAGCGATATCCTGGATGGATTGTTAGAGTTGGTAGTGAACGTTTTCATGGACCAACTTCTTTCACGAAAGGACTTTCCCGGTTTTGGCTTGTTCACCAAGGTCCCCCCTGGCTTCCGTGAACATCAAGCTTATTTTGAGTCTTATATCTTAAAGCATGTGATTTCACATCTCACAAACAATGTTCAACTCAACCAAAAAGCGATTTGTGAGCCTCGTGTACTTACTAACCTCTCAAGATTCTGTCAACATATTTCGGAAGCCATCTTTGAGGGGTGGTTCATGAATGGGGCTGAAGTAATGATTGACTTCATTGGCATGCTGCTCGAATTCTTACAACGGCCGGACATATCTGCCCTCAAGAGTGTCCGACTTTGTAGCCAGGCTGTCGCTACAGTGCGAAGCTGTCTACTGAGGATTATCTTGTTGAGGCTGTCGGATCTTGATAACCAAGAGACCACGTTGGTAGAGGCCAAACAATTCATGGAAAAAATGGCGTACTGGCAAATGTCAATTCTTGGTTCTTTCACTCATGAGGATGAGTTCCTCAAGCTCTTCTGGTATCAACTCTACACAAAGCTGATAAGCGACAAGATGCCTCTTCGGATTGCCGCAGCCAACTTCTTACGAATTATCCTGGTACAGAAGCCAGAGGAATCTGCAGCGTTAATCCGCTCATGCATGTCTCCAGACCAGAAACAGCTCTCAGCAGACTTCCAGAAGCTGACAGGCGTGGATAACGAAACATTTGTTGACTGGGTTGACAAACACCGACCCTCTTTGGATGTACTGTTCTTTGGGGGTATGTCCAAGACGTGGGAAGACTTTGTCAGTTTGGAAAATGTCCGTACCGCAGAGACAGCCAAAGTTCGCGTGGCTAAACGCAAAGATAAACTTAGATTGTGGCATGCGGAGAACATCAACACAGAGAAGATCCTTCTCAGCCATGATATCGGTAACAGCGCATGGATGAAGAGTATTTACAATTCTGAGTATTTCAAGTATCAGCGGATCATGCAAGATCAGCAGGATGATCTTGTGTTTTTGTCCGCAGCTTACAACAAAATGGAGAGGGACCTTATGCGCCCTGGAGCGGTATTTAGCGAGGCAGCACCTCCCAAGTGGAAGCTTGATCGCACAGAAGGACGAAACCGTATGAGACTCAGGGTTCTTCCAGATTTTACAACAAGTAAGGACGAATACCAACCAAAGAGGAAGGCGAGCGAGGTTTTGCAGCCTTCAAAGATCAACACATCAGCCAGCCCCGCACCTTCAATTCCGACATCTGCAGTAACGCCAACAAAGTCAAACATTCTTCCAGCATTGGATAGCACCATTGAACAGCCTCAATTTACAGATGAGCCTGAATCCACCGAGCCAATGGAGCAGACCAACTCTGGTGTTTCGCCTGAGGACGACTTTGAACTTGTTGACGACCCCAACGACCCCAACGAAGGTGATGAAGGGTTTGAGGACAAGAACCGCAAGGTGATGCGACGGCTAGAGCGTGGCGACCAAGTACAATCGGCGTACAACGTCTCGCGCATCATCGGTCTGGAAGCATGCGAGGGAATCCTTATTATCGGAAAGGAGGCGCTTTACATCATGGATAACGTGTTTCAATGTGCTAACGGTGACATTGTTAACGTCTGGCAAGCTCCGCCCGAGGAGCGTGACCCTTTCTCTCAGATCGTCACTGATGCCAAGACATCCGAAAAACGACAGAACAACAAAGAGCAAGAATCAAGACACTGGCGATGGCAGGATGTTATTAGTATCTCTAAACGTCGGTTCTTGTTCCGAGATGTTGCTATCGAAGTATTCTTTACGGATGGTCGAAGCTACCTCTTAACTACGATCAACCCATCAGTACGAGATAATCTGTTCACGAAGATGCTCAGTAAAGCACCCCACACAAGCGGTGCCAACACCCTACCCAACCCGGAAGATGCATGGCGCTTAGAGTCTCTGAAGGCCTCCGACGAATCTCCTCAGGGATTTGGATCCAAGTTCGGCACCTTCTTCAACTCCTCGCCCTGGAACCCTGTCCTCAAAAAGTGGCAAAAGGGCGAGATCTCTAACTTTCATTATCTCATGATGGTTAATACCATGGCTGGTAGGACCTTCAACGATTTGACCCAGTACCCTGTGTTCCCTTGGGTTCTGGCAGATTACACTAGTGAGGATCTAGATCTTGACGACCCCAATACCTTCCGAGACCTGTCCAAGCCAATGGGTGCCCAAACACCACGCAGAGTCGGGGGGTTTGTTGAGAGTTACAATGCCCTGGAAGAGATTGGCGAGATCCCTTTCCACTATGGCACTCACTATTCATCTGCCATGATTGTCTCGTCGTATCTGATCCGTCTCCCACCCTTTGTTCAATCATACATCCTGCTACAAGGAGGAAGCTTCGATCACGCTGACAGACTGTTCCAGTCCATCCCAGAGGCATGGAAATCAGCTTCTTGCAACAACAAGGCTGATGTTAGAGAGCTTATCCCCGAGTTCTACTGCTTACCTGAGTTCCTCACCAACATCAACGGCTACAACTTCGGTAACCGTGAAAGCAATGGCGTCAAGGTTGATCATGTTGAGCTTCCTCCTTGGGCCAAGGGTGATCCCAGGATATTCATCGCCAAGCATCGCGAGGCGCTTGAAAGCCCATATGTGAGTGAAAGTCTACACCAGTGGATTGATCTCGTCTTTGGCTATAAGCAGCGAGGCGAGGCCGCTGTAGAGAACCTCAATGTGTTCCATCATCTCTCGTACCGCGGAGCGACAGATCTGGACAGCATCACGGATGCAAAGGAAAGGGCTATTCTTGCCGGCGTTATTCACAATTTTGGACAGACGCCGCATCAGGTGTTCATGAAATCTCATCCTGCTAGAGAACATGTGCAGTGTCCCGTTCGACGACTGGACACCAGTGTGTTTTCCCTGGGCTGCCTGCCACATCCCCTGCTCGGTAAGAACTCCGTATAGCAATCCCTGAAGCCTATTGACTGACCCTCAACAGAAAGCCATGAGCGCGTAGCTTCCCTTATGTATGCTCCCAAGTTGGATCGCTTACTATGCGCTTCTCCATTCCGCCTGAACTTCCCCCCTTACGACAAGTTTCTTGAATGGGGATACGCCGACAATAGCATCCGCTTCTTTTTCAGCGATAATCGAAAGGTAATCCAAGAACGGAACTTTAATTATGGAAACGTCGCTAACTTCTGGAAGCCCGCCGGTTTGTTCGAGAACCTCCACATTGGCCAGATCTCATGTGCCTGCTTTGCCGACTCCAAAACATTAATCACTGCTGGAGAGGATTGCGTCATCTCAGTTTATGCTCTCCAAACTTCACCCGGGAAGCCGGTCGAGCTTCTACCAAGATCTAGTCTATTTGGACACAAGTCGCCTGTCACAACGATGGCTGTCAGCAAGGCCTTTAGTACGCTCTTGACCGTGTCTGCAGACGGGCAAGCATTCTTATGGGATCTTAACCGACTATCGTTCATCCGCAAGTTGCCGTTGGTACGGCCAGTTGAGTCTGCACGTATCAACGACATCTCGGGCGAGATTCTTCTCTGTTCCGGACCCAATGTGCTGCTATACACTCTCAATGGTACACTACTTCTGGAACAGAATGTCTGCTTCGAACAAGATGACTACATCCATTCAAGTGCCTTTTACGAAGGCGCTGGAAACGAGTGGCTTGATAATTACTTGATCTTCACAGGCCACAAGCGCGGCAGGGTCAACGTGTGGCGACGAAGCATCGTGGGTAGCCGATGGACGCTGGAGCTCCTTCGAAAACTTGACCATGTAGACTATAAGAACGACAAGGGGGCCAACACGGAGGCAGGCATGACATGTATTAGCCCAATGCCAACTTGCGTCTATACAGGCGATGACGACGGCCGAGTTGTAAGTACCCGCCTACCCCTCCAAACACTCCAAAACTAACAGTGTCTAGTACGAATGGAATTTGCTGAGCAGGGATAGATAGAGTCTGGCCCTACCAAACCGAACATCAGTCCGGCACCATCATCGCAACAGTCTCGTATGATCAAAAGAGAGGGAGGATGTATTGACTTTGCTTCTTGCACATCACCAGCGGCGTTCTTGTCTGACTTTATTCGTATGTTAGAAAATCATTGTCTCGCGCAAGTGGGCGCATATCCACATATATAGGTATCGAAACTTGTAGACAGCCGGTGGGTGGATGGAATTGATTGTAGAAAATCGAATTGGAGCGTCAATTGCTGTTAGATCTGGACTCTGTCTCATCCCTTGCTTCCTCTATGATATCTTCCCCCAACCCTGTCTTGGGGCACGCCGTAGTTCGTACAAGGTTGTGTGCTCGTTCTCTCTTTCTTTCTGAGCCGTGGTATTTCCTTTCGTCCTCTCTTGTTTGGGATCTTAGTCGTCGTAGCCGGTGAGCTGTTTCCTGGAACCAGAGGGGACTGCGTGGGGTTAGCCAGCCTGTACTATGATGACTTTAGGTTGGTGAACGCACTGGGGTAGGTCACGGGAACCGGGGGCGCATCGATGTCGCCAAAGTAGTGTCGGATCGGAGGCACAATAGGCATGGCAACGGGACCAGCAGCGCCGATGATGACGGACCAGAAGAGGGCGGGACGCTCGCGGGCTGCCCAGCGGCAGTACTTGAGGGGGGTTGACCAGAAGAGGGGCGCGGCAGACATGATGGCTGTGCAAGCAATATTAGCAGAGGTTGTTGATGCAGCGAGGGAGCAGATCGTACTCAATTGACGAGGATCGTGAGGTTGTTTGTCGTTAGGTCTTGGTGATGCTGGACTTTGGCTATCGATGTCGACGGTCCAATCGCAAGAGCGGAAAAACCAAGCCGCGGATATCGGATTATTCTCACACAGCTCTGTAGGCTAAACCCATTGGGGCTACAGAGTTATAAATGCTACCACAAAAAGACTAGCGTGTCCTCGTTTCAAATCCCCCACTGGAAGGCTACGGCTACGTATCCCAAAACGCAAGCTCACCTCAGGTACCCGTTTCCACTGGAGAAGCTCTAAAGCGCAAGCTGTCCACGTCCCCCATCTCGTCAACCTGCATCTCAAGACGAGACGACCCCCCAACGCAAAAGAAAAACACAACCACGTTCTTCAATCATCACAAGCAAGAATGCGGTCGCTCTTGAGCCTTGCGCTCTTCCTTTTTGCGGCGCTGGTTTCGGCCGTGAGCACAGCTGGTAGCCGTCTACTCGTGGTTTTTGATAAACCAGAGGACAAGGACTCCTACACTACCTTTTTCCGCGATTTGACTGGTAATTATCACTCAATGGTGCTTGAATATGATATTTGAAGCTTACTCTTGATAGAGCGGGGATACGACATTACCTATGAATCACCTAAGAGCGAATCGTTGAGCTTGTTCCATCATGGCGAGAGGACTTATGATCACCTCGTCTTCCTCCCCACCGGTACTAAGGGTGCGCCACGTCTTGTTTCTTGACGATGTGAACAAACGAACTGACAATCGTAGAAGCTTTGGGCCCCAATCTCACCCCCAATTTGATCGTCAAGTTCATCAATGCCGGCGGAAACATTCTCCTGACAATGTCCTCTACGCACCCCGTTTCGACCTCACTCTCCTCCTTCCTCAGCGAGGTCGGAATTGCCATTCCTGCCGAGCGCACTGGCACAATTGTCGACCACTTCAACTACGATGCCGAATCTGCCGGAAAGACCCACGATGTCCTCGTTCTCGATATCCCACGCAACGTCCGCCTTGGCCTTAAGGACTACTTCGAGATCCCCGGCTCATTTGTCTCTGTTCCTCATGCCATCGGCCACACTCTTGGCTCCGGTCCTCTTCTCACACCCGTTCTCCGAGCTCCTCCCACTGCCTACAGCTACGACCCCAGGGAGCACGCCGATACTGTCGACCCCGATGATCTGTTCGCAGCTGGCAAGCAGCTCTCGATTGTCTCTGTCTTCCAGGCTCGTAACTCGGCGCGCGTTACCATTATTGGTTCCGCTGAGATGATGCAGGACAAGGCCTTTGACACCAAGGTTACCCGAAAGGGCGGCAAGGCTCTGTTCCCTGCCAACCGCGAGTTCGTCACCAATTTGGCTGGCTGGACCTTCAAGGAACTGGGTGTCCTCCGAGTGAACAAGATTGAGCACAGCCTCAAGGGTGACAATGAGACCAACCCTACTCTGTACCGCATCAAGAACGATGTTGTATGTAAAAAAGCTCCGTCGTGCCCAACATTTACTAACATTTACTAGACCTACAATATCTCCGTGTCCGAGTATGCCTGGAACAACTGGCAACCCTTCAAGCTCCCTGAGGGCGACCACCTTCAACTCGAGTTCTCTATGCTGTCGCCTTTCCACCGCATCTCACTGAACCCCGTGCACGTCGACGAACACGAGACTGTCTACTCTACCGACTTCGTCCTGCCCGATCAGCACGGCATCTTCAACTTCATGGTCAACTACAAGCGCCCTTTCCTGACTAACGTCGAGGAGAAGAACACTGTCAGTGTCCGCCACATGGCTCACGACGAGTACCCCAGAAGTTACGTGATCAACGGTGCTTGGCCCGGTCTGACCAGCATCACAGCCACCATTGTTGGATTCCTGGGATTCTGCATTGTGTGGATGTACAGCCAGCCGGTAAAGACACCTGCTGGAGCCAAGAAGACGCAATAGAAAATTAGAGGCGGAGGAGTAATGGACCGACGTTTCTTTTTGAACGGCACCGCGATAAGGACTCGTGGATCTGTTGTATTGTAAAGTGGGATCAAAAGTGAAATATAGAATGCGCATTTAGCTGTCCTACAACTGTATGTTTCTTAAGTACATGTGATTAACTATGAGATACAATGTGTGATGAAGCCCTCAGATTAGCTCTCTTAGGTTCTCACTGACAACTCGAGACAGTGGACAAGTGAATGTCCTGCAACCATCTTTGATGTGAAGCCTGCCACTGCTGCCTGCAAATTTGGCTTTTTGGTCGATTGATCATCACCGGGCAACAAATTGTATCTCAAAGATCCCCCCAATCCTGCCAAACTGCGCTCCTCCCCACAGGCCAAGCCTGCTCCGATTGAAAACTATATCGTGCGATTCACGAGCGTCCCTAGAACTCCTCTACAGACGCCCCCATGAGAGGGTCCGCGTGAGGAAGAGAACAGCTTCTCGATGGAAGGTAAAAATGTCGGTCATTGCGGCTACGGTAGGCACTGCAAAGATAAGATCAATGTGAAAAGAGATGGAAGGGAATGCTTTGTGGAAAACAAGGTCTGCTCAGATTTCCGTTCTTTTGTTGAGGAACACTTTCCCACACTGGTGGGCTTCCACGAGGGATACCTAGGAGGATGGGAATCACCTTAAGCTCGTGTGAACGTTGTCATCACAGCAGACCAAGGGAGTTAATGAGGTATGGAGGTACGTGCTGGGGGAAACAGACGCTTGACTGTGAAATCACTTGACTGAGGATAGCCGCTTGACTGAGGGAGGACACTTGACGGTAGATAATCACTTGACGATGGATGATCACTTGACTGTGGATGAGAGGGCGTCGGAAGGTGAGAGACATGGTAGGAATGCGAGGGAGGTGAAGTCGTGGCGAGGTGAGATGAAAAGGTCAGGGAATCAGGATGCAGGAGTCGAGGGAAAGGCTAAAGCAAAAAGTTAGGACGAAACAATGCACGGCGAGAAAACGAGCTGTTGGTGGAAGCAGTAAGTGTCGAAGTAGTCGTAGTGTAGTATAGCAAGGTCGCAGTCCAAGTCCAAGTCGCAGTCGAGGATGCGAAATGAATAGGAAGATGCAGAGGAAAAGTCGAGGAGAGATGAACGGGAGGAGAAGCCCTCTATTTATGCTCCTCCATCCGTAGAGTGAGGAGCGTTTGCAGGTCTCTTAATCGTTGCCACCGCTGCTCCTTGGTGTTGCACTGTAAGTTAATAGTTGCCGGCCGTTGACAGCTGGCAAGTCATTGAGATATTCAGAGGTTTAAAAGTTGCACGTCGCGTTATGGCGCGTTAGAAGGCTGAGGGGACGTGCGCAAGCTCTCACTGTGGCGCTGTGGCGGAACTGCGAATCAACTTCAACGAGGCTGGCGTGGCTGGGAAAACTTCCTTGTGTTGCTGGGACGCAAACAACACCTCGACTTTGGTATGCTACATTGCTGTTCATAACCCAATTATTTCGACTCAGCAGATCCGGCAAAATGGTATGTGCATGCTGCGGTACGATCAACCAACGAGTCTCTGCTAACAATTCTAGGCTCGTAATTCGGAAAAGGCCCAGTCTATGCTGTTTCGCTTCCGCGAAGCCCAAGCAGCAGACCTAGGCATCATCGACGCCGGCCGCACACGCCGCCCCAAGCTCATTACCGAAGTCCAGGCCATTCCTGCTTGCGAAAAATGGCGCGGCCAGGTCCTCAAGGAGATATCGCGCAAGATGTCGCGCATCCAAGACCCCATCCTCAGCGACTACCAGATCCGTGACCTCAACGACGAGATCAACAAGCTCATGCGTGAGAAGCACATGTGGGAAATCCAGATACGAAATTTAGGCGGACCGAATTACATGCGAGGAGGCGGGAAAATATACGACGAACAGGGCCGCGAAATACCTGGCAGCGGTAAAGGATATAAATACTTTGGCCGGGCGCGCGATCTTCCAGGTGTCAAAGAGCTCTTCGAGGCGGCGAAGAATCAGGGGGACGAGAAGCCGCTTGAGGAGAGGAACGACATGAGGAGAAATGTGGATGCGGCGTACTATGGCTATGCGCCGGATGAGGAGGACGAAGAGCTGCTGGAGTACGAAGCCGAGAAGGAGAGGCAGGCCGTTGAGCACATGCTCAAGACAGGAACTCAGGATGTTCCGGAGGGGTGGGAGCCTCTGCCTGGAGATAGTGGTGATGGTATTACGTGGGACTTGCCGACTATGGAGGAGGTGCAGGAGGAACTGATTGATCGGAGGAGGAGAAAGCTGTTGGAGCAGCTATGATGCTTGCCTTGGAGCAATGCTTTCCTAAGCAGCGTGATGGAGTGGTTTGTTAGATGGACATCACAGGGAGCATATCGTGGAGATGTTGTTAGTGTCGGATGAGGTTGATGGTCACATTCATGGCGTTCAGGACGGTTGTTCACTATATTTACAGGCGCACAGGTTTATGGATAGATGATGCTTCTCAAAATGAATATCCGCTTTGGTGCAAATGTCAATTCAAGTCAAGAGGAGATGCATCTCTTAACACTTGGACGTTGATCTCGCTTACTCAAATCTTGAGACAGACTGCATAGACGGCCATACCGGACTGATAGTATAGAGCTCCAACGGCGAAGCTTCAACATGTACAATCCCTTGCCATCATCTGTCTCGGAAAGACAAGAAGCCGGGTATAGCACGGACGGATATACTCTATTCAAGCTCCGTGAGTCGAGTGCTGCATGAACGATCAAGGGTGTACTAAACCCGTCTACATTACCTGTTTCGTTTCACCCGCGAATCCAAGCTCTGAACTCTAATATCCACCAATATCAAGCGAAATATTATGATGGTATCCGTAGAAGTGAAGAAGAAAAAAAGGGTCGGGAAAGGTATTGCAGACAGTTCTGGCAGTCGAGCGACGATCGTCATTGGCGCGCCCCCTTAACGCTTCTAGTTGACGCAGAGGTTTTCTGGAAGGACCCCTGTCTTTGGGAACGGTAGCCCCCTGAAGGAGTTTCTGCAGTGCCGGTGAAGATGGGGAACGCCCCTCTCAGGTGGGAGTTGGAGATGAAGTCTTGCGCAATTGCTGTTGCTTTTTTAGCATGCGGATAAGTAATATCAAAAGTCTAGATTGTCTTGAAGACGTCAGTACGCGTATCTGGTATGCATACAGTCGGATAATATTAATTGTTCAACGTGTGCGCGGTGCAATGTGTTTTTGAACCGAATTGCTGGTTGATCCATTCCCATTACATGAATGGATTTTGGCGTGCGAGCTAGGGGATGTAACGCTGTTTCAATTTCTCACCAAAGGGATCGACAGTCTTGTCTCGCCCTATCATATCCATTTGCCGCTCTGTTCTTGTCTCGGGCGTTATTTCCCTACCCGCGAATGTCTTGCATTTCTCTTTTTCAATATTCATACCGTCACTCCTTTGTTTTTGGGTTGCAGAGAAGAAAAGAAAGAGCAAGATATACATACGGAGTAGAGGCGCAGTTATTTCACCAGGGCTGTGTCTCTGTGCCTCTCTCTTTTGGTCTGACGATCTCTCGAATAGGGAAGATCAAACTAAAAGCTTACACGCTCTTTGTTGATCCGTCCAAGCTTACTCCGTAGACTGTCTGTGGCAGTTCGCGTTCCTTTTTTCACTTCTTTTTCTTTCCCATTTTTTATGACAAGTCCAGCTCTAGTCACTTTAGTCAGTCTAGTCTTGTCTACCTATTCTTGGCTCTCTCCCCTTTTCAGTACAAAACCTCCACTGTCACAACCTGAAGGAAAAACCACCCCGCGACTTAAAGGCGCCAAAGAAATCGAGCCCCTGACGCTTGTTCCTGCACCGAGTGACGAACGCCCAGAGGAATAACGCCCCCTTTACGAAACCCAATTCAATTCTTTTTGCTGAGAAAGAGAAGAATACGCTACAATGCTAACCAGCTGAATTGTTCTTTCTCTATTCCATTTTGCTTCTTTTGCACTCTACTTTCACTCCTCTTGGTTACACGACCCTGTCGGTTCCTGTCTAAAATTGGACTTTGCATCCATCTGATTTAAATTAACCCACCTGGTCCCTTTGCGCCTCGTGCGCCCCTACTTTAACGTCCCCCCCCCCAGAGCGGGACCCTTTAACTACTTTCCGGTAAGTGTCTCCAGCTTCCTTACTTCCGTCTGCGTCTGGTCTGGGCAACGGCCTTCTAGAAACATGCACAGAAAGAAAAGACCATCTTGACTTTACATCATCATTCATTCATTCCTTGTATCTTAATGGCCACTCGCTCATGATAAATCCTGCAGGCTACTGTCTCATTTCTCTTTACCATTCTCAACTCCTTCGAGATGGTTTCCTTTTTTGGTCTTAAGCTTGGAGGTGGTAGGAAGAAGTCACAGTAAGCAATCTCTCCTTTTTGCTCTCAAGAGACGTTAACTTACGCTTCACAGGGACAAATCGGCTTCGAAACAAATACAGCACTTACATCGAAATGACACAGTCGAACCAACCTCGACAAAAGACCTCCGTCGACTCACCAACAGCAGCAACTTCTCGCGCCCAAACTTCGCTCGTCCTGGCACTTCAAGCTCCCAACTTGATCCCCCATCGCAATGGCGAGCTCCATACATGGGCGGAGCAGGAGGCGCTTCCTCCATGGTTGATCTCACTGCACCGCGAGCGCCAGGAATGGGAATCCCCCGATTTCACTCCTCAGATATGAACCTCAACACACGCTTCGGCAATGGCAGTTCTACGAGTCTAGTTGCACCAGGGTCCGCAGGTGCCAAACATATACCCATTGAGCCCGCGCGCCCTGGAACCGCCGTATCAACAAGAGAGCCCGAGAACCCATTCAACATTCACTTTGGAAACGATTCGGTTGTTAGTATACCGCCAACGCCTATGGACGAGCCTAGCGGACACTCAGACCAGTTCGAATTTCACCTCGGAAGTGAGACTATCAAAGACGTCCGGGCTAAAAGCCCAGTCTCCATTGTCAATAATGGATATCCTTCTCCTCCGCCTTCAATTGTCAACGCCGAGCGATCTTTCTCACCCGATAACCGACCTTCGAGTAGCCGCCAAAATGTGCCCAACGCGCCTAGTCTTCGCAACCCAGGCGCTGCAGGTCCCATGTCTCTGCCGAGTCCCGCTGTTTCAGTTGCTCGTAGCGAAGATGTCTGGGAAGCTCCCGTCATTCGCAATGTGATAGCTAAGCGCGATACCTTCACGTTTCATACGCCCCGGCGGCAAAGTTTTGCTATGGATATGGACGATCCCAAAGCGCGTGAAGGCTCTAAGCCGATGGCTGAAGGTCTTGCGGGAAACTTTACCGGGTTTGACTTTGGTGATACTGTCAGGAAAGGCAGTATTGGAAGCAAGAGCATAGACAACAACTCGATCGAAGGTGGCGTCAGTCCCACGGAAACCAACGTTAAGACCAGAGCGCTAGGAACGGCAAGAACAGCTAGTCCTCTGAGAACTATGCAGTCAAGCCCCAGCCTGAGCATGATTGACACGGCTTTGACGAGAGCTCGAACCGCGAGTGATGCAATGTCTCCTTTGTCACTGGTATCATCATTGGCATCGGCAGCAGCAGAGGACACGCCCCGTATAAAGACTCCTCAACCTTCCCAGGAGCCTAAGTCAGCGCAGCAAACACCCAGAATTCTTCTGCCCGGTCAGCTTTCTGAGCCTTTACAAGCCATGCGACCCGTTTCACCTTCGCGCTCTCCTCAACCTTCGCCGCTTTCGCAACCTCCTCAACAGAATTCCCCTGGACCATCACCAATTCTTTCCAGTTTTCCCGGTCGTTCACCATCACCACCAGTTGGAGCTCAATTTCCACGTTCTCCGCCTCGGCCGTATAAACAGAATCTCCAGCCTTCGCCTCAGTATCCCCCGAAGCAATACAAGGCATACCAACCACCAAATTCTTCTCCACCAACTCGACCTCTACCGTCACCATACAAGTCACCCACCGCTCCTCTCCCGCCTGTACCACCACCTCGATTAAACCCTGGCAACAGAAGTAAAACCCCCGACCCAGTTAGGAGTGAAAGTCCGGGCTTTATTACAAAACCTCTCGAGCCTCCGCCTCGCAACTTTCGTCCCCGAACAGACTCCGATTCACGACTTGAGCGACCTTTACGAGTTCCAGCTCCCCTTACCGAGCGGTCAGCGACCATTCCCTTGATGGGATCAGCGCCACGAAGTACAGTTGGCCCAAGCTTCGACGAAGGCGGTTTTGTGCGGGCTCAACGGATTCCCGAACCGCCACGAACGGGGAGCCCGTTCTCTCAACGTAGCCCTATGGAGGGCGAGTTCCCTGTTCAAAAGGGCCTTCCGCGAGGTCGCAAGCCTCAGACTTTCGAGGCACAGAGCCCTGAGAGAAGTTTTGGCCTGGAGCCAAGGAAGCAGCGACGCCAGCCTCCCATGTACCCTCCCGCAAGGAACGCCGAATCACCCGTACCTGGTTCTCAGCTGGAGGAGTCTTTGGAAACCCCTGGTACCCCGAACTGGAATGATTTCGACCGTGCCGAGGCACACAAATCTGCTATTCCTGCTGCTCTCTCACCCTTCCGCTCTCAGTTTGCTCGATCCCCTACCCAAGCCACTGACGACTCCCTAAGCCCGCGCTTCGCTCAGTACGCATCTTCGCCAATCTCGGATACGCCACCCAGTCTGCCTTCGCCTTCATTCCCATCCCTGCAAAAGTCGATCTCCAACTCGAGCGAGAATCTTGCACGAAGCTTTGACATGGCCTTTGATGGAAATTATGAGTCGAGATCAGAGCAGAATCAAGCCAGGCCGCTGATTTCGCCTGTCATGGTCGACTTCGTACGACCTAGGGACCGCAGCAGGACTCGCGTCGAGGCCAAGAAGGCCCCTCCTCGGCCATCTCCCATCACTGTTCCATCGCCGACTTTACCGGATGTTGGAAGAGTCAGGACTCCAAATCCCGTGGTTGATGCGTATAACCCAGGATTTATCTAACCAGGCCATTGGATTTGCATAATATCATAAAAGCGGCGATTGGATTTAAAGAGGGGTCAAATACCCTCATGATTTCTTGCATATATCTTTCACTTATTCCCCCTATTTTCTTTATATATCCTTTTTGGAGCGTCTTTCGCTTATAGATCATTACATACCCCCGTCCCTCGCTTTCGTTTCTTTTGTGTACATAGTCATCATCGGGGCATGATTAGTAGATAATGTCTAAGGAACATACTTCTAGAGCATTAAGGAGCTGAGACCACTGCAAGCTTTTGGCTGCAACAAAAGAAGAGATCAGTGCACTCCGAGACAGACATTGTCCCTCCTGTAGAATCTGTGGTGACTGACTGGCTGCTCTCAAATATTTTACCATTCTTTTTAAAGCACTAGACACTAACTGTTTTATACAATACACAAGACTGGACGCCAGTTTTACACTCTTTTACACACACTTCTACTAACCGAGGAACATGCGCAGATTGTTGCCAATATACTTGAGATCCAGCAAGAATGTGTCATGGCCAAACATACTCATCTCCTCACTCAACTCAACATGTGTCACATTCCTGTTACCAGCGAGTCGAACAGCCTCAGCTACCTCACGCTGCTGCCACGCAGGGAAGAGAATATCGCTTGCCACACCCATGACCAGTGTCGGGGTATCACGGAGTGGCGCCAGTCCGTGGATCAAATCCTCCGGCGGTCGTGAGCCAGGCACGATGTTCGCATCTGAGGGGTCGGGATGGGCGCCGGGCTGTTCCTCATAGGGCTTGTTGGGAAGAGTAAGACTGCATGCTGCGTCCGAGGCCAGGGGGGTCGTTTCGCCTGACGCAAGCTTCTTCTCGCGGTCTTGCCGACGAGCAAGAGTTGCCTGCTGGTGCTCAATGCCTAAGTCGAAGAGATCCATAGCCTTGCTGACGTACAAAAGACTGTTGGGGTCATAGTTAAGACACCATTTCTCACCAGCGTGGTCGAGGTACGTCTCAATGAGGAAGTCGGGGCATAGCGCGGGAGGCTTGCTTGAATCGGCACGACGACGCCCAAAGCGCTGCTCCCATTCTGGTCCAGAGCGGTATGTCACTGTTGCGATTTCACGAGCGAGCTTCATGCCAGCGTGTGGAGGGACTTTGCCATAGTAGAAGCCGCGATTCCAGTTTGGATCCATCATGAGAACCTGACGCTGAGTATGTCGCATGGCGATACTGTAGGGATGGGAGCGTGCACAGCCGCTGATGGATACGATGCGACCTACGCGAGATGGGAACTGAACGCCTGCCGCGAGAGACTGCATGCCGCCCATAGAGGAACCGACGGAAGCGTAGAGCTTATCGATGCCGAGATGGTCGAGAAGACGGAATTGAGCGCGGACCATATCATCCATCGTCAAGATGGGAAAGTGAGTTGCATAGCGCTCGCCATTGCCTGGATCAACGCTGCTCGGTCCGGTTGAACCGTTGCAGCCGCCGATGACATTTGTGCAGATAACGTGGTATTTGTTCGTGTCGAGAGGACCGCCAGGGCCAATGAACTTCTCCCACCAACCTGGCTTTGGGTTCGTCTCTGTAGAATGCGCATGCGACGAGGCGGACAGGCCGGTGTGCAGGAGAATAGCATTGGACTTGTCGGCATTGAGCTCACCCCACGTTTCGTATGCGATGTTGAACTCGGGCAGGATACCACCCCAGTCGAGCAGGAAGGGGTCTTTGCAATGATAATTAAGAGTGGCGCCAGAAGTATATGAGGGCTCGGTGTCGTCGTCGGTGAGCTTAGCAGAGCGTGATTCTAAAGCATCGAGGCAAGGGAACGACATGGCTGGGTTCGAAGCGACGCCCGACTTCCGGACCGCAGAGCAGTGAAGCTGGCGGGCTGCGACAAGACATGCTGGGCGTATAAGTGAAGAGGATGAAGAGCTAAGGGCGGATCTGAGCTGGCGAGTCGACGCAGCAAGAGACCGCGAGGATCTCATGGTGGAAAATGGGTATGCAGAAGGAGAATTGGTATCCTGGGGAGCTTCATATGGAGTGTTTGTAATCGCAGTTTATTAACTATGGGACGGCCTGTTGAAAGGACCCCTCCGATGCGGCGGCATCGGGCGGGACGGAGCACGGGATTACACGCCGTTGAGAATGATGCCATTGCACGTGCGATAAGCTAGATAAGAGCTACCTAACTTAGATGATAAGATTGGCACGTGTGCATGTGTGGCGGTGGCTTGTGACGTCAAGGTGGTCGCTGTGAAAGGGTGTAGAGCTGCTGCCTTTTGTGAATCAAGCTTAACGCGTCACCTTTTTCATGTATAAATTCACCTTGCGGCTGATGCTCTTCCTACCTACATGATTTACTTACTACTCTGCTGTACCGTCTCGAAATCTATATGCTGGTCTATATCATCGGCTTCATACTTGCCTACATCGTCATGGCCCAAAGCATCCCCCAGAACGTAATTCTCGGCTTGCGAAGTATGCTCTTGTCAGGGGATCAAGATGAGGAAGATGAAAAGAAGAGCACCTCTCCAGTCAAAGACTTGACGCCCATCGATATCGTTATCGCTCGCATCATGCTCACAAAGGGCAAGAAGCTTCCCCCAGACGTGGTCGATATTATCTTTGACTTTGCCGAGTACTGGGCGCACTCAAGCAATGAGATTGATTTTCTTGCTGAGCATTCAAATCCCTTAATGATCAACGGTGGCAGTCCCGTCGAGAACAAATTCCTAGTAAGTTGATACCTGCACGCACAGATGGGGTTCGGGGACTAACACGTATAGCTTCGCTCGTTCCCGGTGGGTCTGACGGGAATTGAAGGCAAGAAAGCACTTGCGGAGGTATTGGCGTATGATCTGAACGAGGCCAAGCCGCAACCGTTGGAAAAAGAGCACGATCCTTCTTATTTCCTCAACCTGGCGGATTATCCTACACCAAAACTGATTCGCCCTGTTCGAAAGGTGGTCTTTACGATACGGAGTAAAGATCAAGGGTGGGGAGGTGACCCGGGGAGTCGACATACGTACGACGGGGCGTGGTCATGGTTCGAAGCTGGTCTTGAGCGGTTTGATGCAGAACAAATATGTAAGTTGTTAACAAACAATCCTCCAGGCAATGCTAATGTTTCTAGGCGATCCGGCTTGCACATATGACGTCCGACACAGATCAGCGTCCTCCACAGCCTCACCACTCCCCGTCTGCGCCCTCCGTCCCCTCTACCCCTCCATCGTCCCCGGACCCCGCGATAAGCACAGCTACTCACATCCACTGTCTCGCCAAGACAAATGGACTATCTGCAGCAACCAGGTCGCCCAGCGAGCGTGGCAGGACCATGTGATAACGTGGTCGCATACTGATAATATCCAGCCTGGCACAGAAGCGGCGGTCAAGCTGGGGACAGACGAGGGTAGGGGTGAAGAGACGGGCGACGGCTGGTTTGTGAGGGACTTGAAGATGGGAGATGTGGTTACTGTTTGGGCCAAGACGAGGTTTGCCGGGTGGGCTAATAAAATCGAGAAGGTCAAGATCGATGTCTACTGGGCTGTTTAGCGGGTGGGCTTGGGATGATGTGTCATGAAGTATTGTTTATAGGTATGAGTTATGACCAGTTTGATGGGCTGAAGGCCATAGGCGGTGCTACCTCAAAGACGTATTGTCTTCGTTTCCAATGAGTCCTTCATAAAGAAATGAATAAAATGAACAACTGCATAAATTTGCTTCATAAACCTAATTCGTGGTGTGTCTCAGCCTCCTACCGTCTGTCGTTTGTAAAATATTCCCCAACGTCCTTTACGTCATGCCCCTCCCTTGATGTACTTATCCTAACTTGACATCTGATAAACCTTCGTCCTTCAGTAATCTCCAGCTCATAAAAACTCAAGAAATGCGATTCATCGCCGACGTCTGCAAGAATCCCAGACTCTTACTCACAGCGACTTGTCTTGTTCATCAAAAACCAGCTCTTCCTCTTCAATTCATTCGCGCCATGTCTACCACGCTCAAGGGCCATAATATTCCTCTCAGCTTACCTGATGGACTCTCACAGGAGCAACTCACTTCTTTTAAGCCATTCAATGTACTTTACTTGCTTCAAAAATGCTATCAGAGCACTGCTGATGTTGTTAGAATTGGGTCGATACTTTGACAAACTCACTACGTCTTCAATCAGACGAATCTCACCCCTTCCACAAAGATCCATACGCCCTCCGCTCAGTCACGATTCAATCCTTCGATCGCTTCGGCGAAACCCGTCTCGGCTTTGTTAAACTTACCGCTACAGTATCCAACGATGCCGGTGAGACATTACCCGCAGCAGCACTCCTCCGCGGACCCAGCGTAGCTATGCTCTTCATGCTCATCCCCGACGATGTGCCTCCCGAGTCAGACGAGCGCTACGTCGTCCTCACGGTGCAACCGCGAGTCCCAGCCGGAAGTCTCAGCTTCGTAGAGCTACCAGCAGGCATGGTCGACGACGCGGGGAGTTTCAAGGGCGCTGCGGCGCAGGAGATCCAAGAAGAGCTCGGCGTGACGATCCACGAGGATGAACTAACGAATCTCAGCGAACTTGCTGTTCCCGAGGATAGCGGAAAGGAAGGCATCGCGCAGGCCATGTTCCCCAGCGCGGGTGGGTGCGATGAGCACATCACCATCTTCAGCCATGAGAAGCGCCTGCCTAGGGATCAGATCAAGGAGTGGAGTGGCAGGCTTACGGGGTTGAGGGCGCATGGGGAGAAGATTACGCTCAAGGTTGTGCCGATGAGGGATGCTTGGAGAGAGGGGGCGAGGGATGCAAAGTGTTTGGCTGCGTTGGCTCTTTGGAGAGGACTGAAGGATGAGAAGAAATTGCCTTGAATCTGAGATGAGGGATAGTATCTATCAGCTTGGTGTTGTTCTACTTTATTCACAAAGAGTATGTCGTATGACACGTTGTGAAGGGTGATTGATCACAGTACCACCCGATCTAACCACCATGATCCAAAAGAAAGGATCTCTGTACACGAAACTGACACAAGAGAGACTACAGTGAAAGATAACAACGTCGGAATCCCTCATGTTCTTAAACTGCGCAACTTGTGAGACAATAGCATTCAATTCAGCTGTTAGCTTCAGGGTAGCTTATGTGACGTAGTACACCGACTTCGGCGGGGCCATCAATCGACTTATCATGACTTCTCGAAACACCAGCAGAGCAAACAAACACTCAAATACAAACCCTTCAAAATGTCTGTTTTTAACTCCAAAGTCACTTCGACAGGGCCTCTTGTAAGTCCACCTTTCCCACTAAACGCATATTTCCTAACCAGCTCAGTCCGAGGAAGACGCCCGCTGGATCAAGCTCTCCAAGTACGCCTACATCCTTCACTCACACACTCACTTTACTAATATGCTTAGAATCACATACCAAGATCCCAACGGCTCTTCGCGATCATGGGAATCAGCTGAGCGCCGCACCCGTCCTAAAGACGCAGACATTGACGGCGTCGGCATCGTAGCCATTCTCGAAAAGTCCTCTGGGCCAGAACTCATTCTGCAGAGGCAATACCGCCCGCCCATCGACAAAGTCACCATCGAAGTCCCGGCGGGTTTGATAGATGCGGGCGAAACAGCCGAGGAGTGCGCTGTGCGGGAGCTGCGCGAGGAGACGGGGTATGTAGGCAAAGCGAGTGAGACATCGCCGATGATGTTCAACGATCCTGGGTTTTGCAACACAAACTTGAGGATGGTGCATGTCACTATTGATATGGAACTGCCTGAGAATCAGGATCTGAAGCCGCAGTTGGAGGACAGTGAGTTCATTGAGGTGTTTACGGTGAAGTTGGCGGATTTGTGGGAGGAGTGTAAGAGGCTTGAGGCGGAGGGCTGTGCAATTGATGCGAGAGTTGGGACTTTGGCAGAGGGGATTTTGCTGGCTCAAAGATTCAAGTTGTAAAGGTCAATGGTAGAAGATATATTCTAGACATTGCACGGGGGAGGGCTACGCCAGCAAAGGGATAGTCCGTTTGCACATAAGTTCATTATGGTTTGAAGATACAATACAGGCTCCTTCTATTATCATTAAATATATACATGAAACGTCGACCATCAGCAGGACCGGTAAGCATGCAGTCTTCTAGACTGGCACAACCTTACCAGCCTCGCCGTCAACACTGCAGACACGCGAGCAAGAGCCAGCATCCGTGGGCTCGGAAAGAAGCTCAATCCACTGGATCTGCTGGTACGCAGCACCACCCTCAGGGATAGTGCCAGTCCAGCCATCATCGCCGTTGCTCCAGGCGTTGAAACTCAGCTGGGAAGGATCGCGAGGGACCTGGAAGGTGTTGCGCCAGATCTCCTTGTCGTTGACCTTCCAGATGGTGACATCGGGGTGCCAGTCGATGGTGTGCTTGATCCAGTCGGTGTACTTGAGGCCATCGAGTAGCTTGGCAGCCAGGTGAGCACCCTTAACCTCCTCACCCTCGTCAGTGCGCGAGGGCTGGTTGGTGTAGTGGACAACGGTAGGGTCGTCGTTCGTGAGGATCTCGATATCGGCCTCCTGGACAGTGGCGAGAGAACCGCCATTAAGGTATGTAAACATGGCGGTACAAGCACCAGGCGAGCCCTGGGTACGAGCGTACATGCGCAGAGAGACGTATTGGTGCTTGACCATGGACTCGAACTCGGAGGCGGTCTGGAAGCCATTGTGACGAGCAGTTCGCATGGTCAACCAGGTATCGCTTGCAGGAGAAGAGTCGCTGTTCTTCTCAATGTACAAGTTGTTGTATGTGTTCTGCATGGGAAAATCCTCGTTTCCGTTGTTCCACTTCTGAGCACCCCATGTCTGGGCAAACTCAGATTCCCAGTTGAAGTAGTCAGAGGTGAAGCCAGCATCTGCGTTCCCCTGGATGCTGTCGATCAGATCAGGGACACCAGCATATTGAGAAAGAGATCGAAAGTCAGAGAACAAGCGTTGTTTGTAGTATCTGGGACCGTCGGTCTCGGTCACGTAGCAATCGCATGCTGGGTCCTGGGCAAGAGCCAAAGGAGCAATGGCGAAGAGAGATGCGAGGATGGACTTGGTGGATGGCATGATGAACGAAGGTGGTTGATTGTCTGGATGGTGAAGATAACTTCTTACAGTAGATAGCTAGTCTCATATATATATATCTTCCACTGACTTGATCCTGGCCCATGCATTGTTCGGAGGATTATAGGATCCTACATGGTCAATACTATCGCCACTATGATTGAAGCATATACGCATTAAGTGCGGCGGCCGCTCGAGTTCCCAAGTCCCATAAAAAGGAACAAAATGAGAAAATCCCCTAGGGGGGGGCTTAGAACTCGATTTGATAGGCGCGATTGGACTCATTTGGGCTCGAGGATTCGATACCTTGTCAGATTTCGTCCTGAGAAATTAAACTCAGCAGCGGGACGACCCATGGGCTTACAATGTAAGGTTTTGACAGGGGTGTTAATCATGCATATAAGGCGAACACTCCTGAGAGCCAAGACTTCACAGACCGGAATTCTCAATGTAACGTCGACGGGAGGGATAAAGAATTCCGTATCGACGATTGAATCACCTCATAAAGTTATGAGCCTCCGAATCGTAGAGCCCGGCGATTTTTTGTTGTTTGAGTCTGATCCTGTGGGAATTAGAAGGAGATTGCCAAGTTTCATATCATGGTCCTCACCAGTTTCCGGAAAGAAGCCATTGTTCGAGAAGTTTTTAAAGTTCGAAACGGGCGGGCAACATCAAGACGGTGTGTGCACGAATCCTTTCACCCCTGTAATCCAAGTTTTCTGATGATAAACAATCAGCCCTGCAAGGCACTTTCTTCAACTGACGAGCGCTAATATTAGGTCCGAGGTTATCTTGCCAGGTCCGCGTCAATCTAAGTTGGACTCGTATTGAATCGGATGCAACAGTCGAAGGATGGGGAAGAAATCCACTCAAAGGCAGTGCATCCCGCTCCTTCGGGCTGTGCCCATGTCAAGGATCATCGACTTGACGGTGAGAAGTCTAAACGCCTGCAGCTACGCCAAGTATATCCGCATTCTGGTATTCCTGGGGCGTGAGTTGTTCTCCATCCAGTCATCCTCCCACGGGCCTAGTATGGCTTGTAGATGAACGGAGTAGGCTCCTAGGCTCTGGACTTTAACGCCTAAACCACGAGCCCACACGAGATACCATCGAATAGATCACAAAGTATAGAATGTACCACTCGGAGGGTTCGACTTCCAGTCGTTCTGGTCGATAACCCTCAAAAGCCGTTGCTCTTTTCATCCATTCGTCGTTTTCGCTGGCGTGCATGCGCCGAACTATGCGTCTTTTGATGCCTCGATACGCGACAGAACATACTGAAGCCGTGTTCCTTAGATTGGCTACGATGATGAATGTTGCAGCAGCTACAAGGACTGATGTTAAGACAAGCATCGGCCGGGCGTAATCTTCATTTGTACTCCATAAAGCAACGCAGAAGCTTAGTGGGAGGTAGAAGATGCTGACGTATGTGAGAAGTTTAACGTTCTCTCCTAGACGCGTCGATACTCTGCTCTCGATAACTCCACTGGCACTGAATAGCTGATATCGGAAGTTAGTATCAGGGTAGCACAATCCATTGAGGGATTACTTACGCCTTCTCGGAGAACCTTCGTCTTGTCACGACTTGACTCGAACCGAGCAGATATATCCCTGAGTCGATCGACCTGAGTTTCTATCTCATCCAATGCTCTTCTTGTCATCTCTTGTGATGTTTCTGTTGCACTGAACTCCTCAGCCGGATCAATCCCCATCATCATATTTGGCCACTCAGCACAGAATTTCTCCCATTCTTCAACAGCATCGTCAATAACAGCTTGAAAAGACTCGAGGCAGCTAACCACCCAGAAGTACCGGCGTGATCTTGAAAAGGTATCATCATCGAATAGGAGGTTGTCATGCTGGTTAGGATCCAAGAAGAGAGGGTCGTGATCAATGATCGGACTGAGAGCGACCTGCACGCTACTCCAATCCTCTGCAGCCCGTCTCATATTTGTCCTTATCGCATCAAGCATGACATCCTCTGAGCAGTACTGCAAGTTCCTTCGAGGTGGAGCATTGTGAAGTGATGCTTTTGGAGGGTACACTGGGTCAGCTTTGCCCCACGGGGGTTTCATGATCAGTATTGTCCAAAAGCTTTCGCTCGTAGAATGACCATGGCTAGATACTGAGTCCTGGTACGAGCAGCCTATTGTAAACGCTTGCTGCCTGACGAAGTGCCTTTCAGACCCGTAAAGACGCCCAAACTTCCAGGTCGATTCCGCAATCGTCGCATCGTCTGGTTTCGCGCACAGCTGGTACCAAGACATGTGAAATTCCCTCCGAGGCGCCTTTACTGAACTGCGCAGTGCCTTGGTAGCTGATTGACAGAAAAGATGCTGCTTCATCATGTTATGAAAAGCAAGTCTCATATCTGGATTCAATCTATGATCATTGAAAAGCAGTCTCCAAACTGACTTTGCTTCGAGACTTGGAGACGGGTCCTCTGCGAGACCAGCAGCAATCTCAGCCAATCCTGAAAGCTGTATAACGCGGCACCACTGGCCCGAATGGTTGAAATCTTCACGACTTGGGTTCTTGACCACTGATGGGTAAGCCACGAAGCCGTCGCTTTCTCTTTGAAGAGCTGGATGAACCATAGCCCAGTATGCTGGTATTTCCACATTAGATGATAGCTGGTTTGTCCGAGAAGAGTCAAAAGAATGGTGGCCATCATATACCGCATTCACACTTCCGCCTGGCGCTGTGATGTCTATAATAGTAAATCGGTAGAGTTTTTCTAGTAGCTTATGTGCGGAAGTAAGGTAATCATACAGCATGCGACCGCTGTCATCTCCAACAGAGCAATACTGGTTCAATTGACGAAGCTCACTTGTGTGAAATGCTAGTGGAAGGCGTCCGTCTTGAGGCACCGCGAAGATATCGCCAAGGGATTGTCGTATATCTTCCCTCTGTCGTTTCGTCAGTCCTGTCTCGGCCATGTTTTCGATGCTGGTTTCTTGGGTTGCGTTATCCAGCTGCTCTATTGCGGGAAGATGAGAGTATGGTACATCAAGACACTCCCAATTTGTTGTTGAAGAATCATCAACGTGCCGTATCGGATACTCGTACTCTATGTCATCGATATGATACCAGTTTTTGTCCTGTCCGCGCACAAGGTGCCACCATGGCATGAAGCCTGGGACAGGACTAATCATGCTGTTCTCGCCATATTTCGTCCTCCAATCACTGGGATACCCTATTAAACTTCGTCGTTAGCGAAGCCAATGTCATGCGCTACTCTCCACTTACAGTACTTCCACGCTGGTGTGGCATTCACAGCTGCATCAACATTGTAGTATTGCGCAAGATGTGACTGAGAGCGTATCCATGGGTCACTGTTTCCGGTGGAGAATAACTGAAGTCTTTTCTTGAAGGATTTGGGCGCAAGATGTATGATACTCATCAGATGTTCATCCTGTTGTGCTGCCGTGCCAAGATTGTCATCTGTTCCGTCAGATGAGACTATTGCTTCATCGGCTTGAACTTTGATATCTTGTGCCGAGGCGTTGATTAGGGAGTTATTTCTGCCAAATCTTTTATCTTCACCGTGAGTCTGTTTGGCTGTTGATTCTGCCATAAGAGTCACTAATTTCTCAAGAAGTTCATTTTGTTTCTCGTTGACGCTTTTGATACCGCGAATGAGATCAAGGCATTGTGCCTGAACATTCGAGTCCATAATGACCCGCTGAAGAAGCTTGGCAGACTACCTAGCCAAAAGAGTGGTGTTGAGAGTGAAAGATGAGGGAATGTTTATGGGTAAGACACAGGGTAGTGATGAGGCTGAGGATTGTATGGCGCGAAATGCGGAAGGTGCAGGTCAGACGCTTACCCTGCGTGCGCCGCTAAGGGCAGCGTCTTCATCTACTTCGGCGTCCTCTGTTGCAATACTCACATCACAATAGCTTCCTTTTCGTTAGGACAACCCCAACGATTTGACCTTAGTAACACAGGTAAATAAATCACTACAGAAGCCTTAGAGTTTTGATCATCCACACATCATTGCCTTGCACGAGCTGGTACTTGAATTGCCCCAATATGCGATGGACACAGCTCTACCACTGATCCAGGTGGACAAACCGGCCGAAACCGAGCCCTGATGGACTCTCAAGACTCCGCTCCGGTCCGAAACGCGGATGGATCGCCGATCCAAGGGCCGGCCAGGCTAATCACCTCCGGCCGATTTCTTGTACACGCCAAAGGCCTTAGTGGGTGGCTAACGTCGTTGGATCTGGGGAAGACAGTGAGATGGTGGGGTGAGCACTTGTCAGGCATGCTTTGGTGAGCAACAAGTCGTCGCCATCATCTCGATAACCTTGTGGGAAAATGAACTAACCGTTGGCTTTTGATTACCTTAAGATTCACCTTGCCTTTGGAAACATGCGCAAGACGTCAGCACGTCGTGATCAAGTGCGTGGTGTTTGCGTGTCCGTCTCAAAGAAGACAAGATCTGGACCGTTCTTCTACGAAACATCACCTCACTGGTCCGTGAACGGCACCTGGGCGATAAGGCGGAGTAATCTGTCCTGGTAAGCGAAGACGTCACTGCGATTTGGACCAACCAGCTTGCAAGGATTTGTCGCAAAAGTTCCAGGAACAAGGACAACGCCTGTTTCGATACGATGCGCGTCTCCTTATCCTTTCTAAGTTTCTATCTCTCTGGTTGTTCTTCATTCCTTAATATGCTATAATACCATACCGTGTTTTGACCACTGAATCTCCAGTTGTCGCGACACAACACTCATTTTCTAACGCGACCTGAACCATGACCATGGAGTCGCAGCCGAAGTCGCCGGGCAACACCTTTGTTCCGGTAGATGCGGATATCGGAGTGCTTGGGACTGAAAGAGACGAGAGTCCAACGGAAGAATCCCCCCTTTTGCGTAATGACACACCTAGTGCCGATGAGCCATCAAAGGCTTTCCGAAGACGCGCCTTGGGTATGTGCATGTTGGCATTGCTCATGGTAGAAGTGAGCCAATTCATCATGAACCCGCCCACCAAGAAGATCATTGAGGACATTATTTGCCGACAACACTATCCGGATCATGATATCAAGGTGTATTGGTTAGAAGACAGTCGCTGCAAGGACAGCCCGGTCCAAAAGACTCTGGCTATGGTCCAGGGCTGGTCCCAGGCTTTCGAGATGGGAGTTCGTACGTGAATCGAACGCCGCTACTCCGTACAAGACATCCACTTACATACTCTAGCAATGTTGACGCAGTTCCCCTACGGTATCGTCGCCGATAAGTATGGAAGACGGCTTGTGTTGTTCCTGGCAATGCTTGGGTGTTGTCTGTCGACGTGCTGGCTCTTGATAGTTTGTGAGTGCTCCTCCGGCTTCCATATTTTAGGCCATGTGCTTACAATCTCTAGTGTTGTTCCCCGACGTCTTCTCCATCTGGGCTATACTCGGAGATAGCGTCTTCTTCCTGATCGGCGGTGGAGGCCAAATGGCTGTTGCAATGGTCTATACAATCGTTGCCGACGTTGTCCCTGTCGAGGAACGAACAGACATGTTCTTCCGTCTTGTCGCCCTAGTCTTGATCTTCAACGTTGTGTTTAACCCGATTTCCGCATGGTTGCTCCAGTATGACCCCTGGCTGTCTATGTGGATTGGCTTTGGCTTCATGGTATTTGGAACGCTGTGCATTCTTCTTATACCAGAGACCATGCATCTTCGGCGCAAAGGCGATGTGCAACACAATGCAGAGCACGAAAACGAGCAAATTAACGGCGTTTCCCCAAGCAAGCACCACGTTATGAAGCAAGCTTGGTTCAGTATCAAGAATGATATGCAGCACGTCTGGCGTTTCATCTTTGCATCCAAAAGCATCATGATCCTCATGTTTGCTACTGCCTTCTTCTTCCCATCAAGGATTGTGCTCTCGGGAATACTGCTGCAGTACATGTCCAAACGTTTTGAATGGTCATGGTCAAAGGTAAGCCACCTCCAAAAGTCCTTATCCCTCCAATTCTTTCTCTAACTTCGCGACAGGCTACATACGTCTCGACCATTGGCATCATTGCTACAGTGGTGTGCTACCTCGTGATATTGCCCGTCACGTCCGACTTACTTAACAAATCTCGCCGCTACAAATCGCACCCCATTGCACGAGACCTGCTCCTCTCTCGTATTGCGATAATAATCATGGCAGTGGGATGTTTGTTGATGGGTCTTGCTGGGACCCCTTGGCTCTTCGTCATTTCTCTCATTACTGTTAGTCTCGGTAACTCTTTCGTCGCACTTAGTAGGGCCCTGATCAACGCTCTGGTTGAGCCTCATACCATTGCAACGTTGAACACCACGGTCTCGCTCATTGAGGTGACGATGGGTCTCTCTGCGCCTGCCATGGGCTGGCTCCTGGCTCGTGGTATGGAACTAGGTGGCGGATGGATGGGATTGCCTTTCCTGGTGAACTGTGGATTTGCGGCGCTAACAGCTGTTATGCTGTTTATGGTGAGGATTCCGCATGGTGTTGCTCAAGCCCATGAGGGTTGAGGTCACAAGATCACATAGAACATAGACTACTGGAGTTATTGGATTTTAGCACATGTCTCATTTTATTATTACTTTATTAGTATCTAGTTATCATTGACATATGTCGGTCAGTCAGGAAACAGGTTCAGAATATCGTGATCTCCATAATGCAAGGTGCCTGGTGTTGCATCCAAGCTCCGGCTTATCGATAAGCTCCACCCCGCGGTTGGCTGCCTGCTCCACCTCAGCTTCTGGAGCCTTAAACATCCATTTCATCATTCATCAACATTCAACTTTCTTTATCCCGCTGTACAGCGACGTTTTGACCGACCCACGACTTACCCGACATCGAATTACGAACGCGAATATACAAGCAACTTGTTTAAACCTTTTTCACGATGTCGGACGACGAGGATTTTATGCAGGAGTCAGATGAGGAGCAGTACGAGAGCCCACATGTGCAAGCGCTGTGCACCACTAATTGCAATTAGGTATGATTTCGAGTATGAAGAAGATGACGACGAGGAGACTGGTGATGTCGATATCGAGAACAAATATTACAACGCGAAGCAGCTCAAGCTGTCGGACCCCGAAGAGGCGATCGCCGAATTTCTGAGCATCCCGCCACTCGAAGAAGAGAAGGGAGAATGGGGATTCAAAGGTGTGAAGCAAGCCATAAAGCTTGAATTTAAGCTGGGTCAATACGACAAGGTAGATTCCTCGTTGTATTTGATGGTCGCCTATGCTGACACCCATAGGCCGCTGAGCACTACGCCGAGCTTCTCACATACGTCAAATCGGCCGTTACGCGCAACTACTCCGAGAAGTCCATCAATAATATGCTCGATTACATCGAGAAGGGCGCAGATGGCTCTGACGCCGTGAGATGTATGGAGCAATTCTACTCTCTCACACTTCAGAGCTTCCAGAGCACAAATAACGAGCGGCTCTGGCTCAAGACCAACATCAAACTAGCCAAATTGCTTCTGGACCGAAAGGAGTATACTGCCGTATCTAAGAAACTCCGGGAACTACACAAGACTTGCCAGCGAGAGGATGGAACCGACGATCCCAGTAAGGGCACTTACTCGCTCGAGATTTATGCTCTTGAGATCCAAATGTTTGCCGAGACCAAGAACAATAAGCAGTTGAAGGCTCTATATCAGCGCGCTCTTAAGGTCAAGTCTGCTGTGCCTCATCCGCGAATCATGGGTATCATCCGTGAGTGCGGTGGAAAGATGCACATGAGTGAGGAGAACTGGAAGGAGGCTCAAAGCGACTTTTTCGAATCATTTCGAAACTACGACGAGGCGGGCTCTTTACAACGAATTCAGGTTCTCAAGTATCTTCTGTTGACAACCATGTTGATGAAGTCGGACATCAATCCTTTCGACTCCCAAGAGACAAAGCCCTACAAGACTGACCCACGAATTTCTGCCATGACAGACCTAGTGGATGCTTACCAGCGGGATGATGTTCACATGTACGAGAAGGTTTTGCAGCGAAACCAGGACATCTTGGACGACTCGTTCATCGCCGAAAACATTGATGAGGTCACGCGGAATATGCGAACCAAGGGCGTGATCAAGCTCATCGCACCCTATACCCGCATGAAGTTATCTTGGATCGCGAAGCAACTCAAGATCTCCGAGCCTGAGGTTCAAGATATTCTAGGTTTCCTTATTATCGATGGGAAGATCAACGGCCGAGTGAACCAACAAGAGGGGCTTTTGGAGATTACTTCTGACGCAGATATCGAGCGCATCGCAGCCCTCCAGAGCCTCACAACGTCAATTTCCGAGCTATTTGGCGCCGTCTTTAGAGATGGTGATGGTTTCCGTAACATAGAACATTCAGCAACAGACGAGCAAGGGATAGACATATCAGGTATCCCCACTGGGAAAGTCGGCAACAGAACTGGAGGCCAGCACCGCGGCAAGAAGGGCAAGGCGGCCGCAGCTGCATGGGCTTGATTAAGGGGTGTTGCTATGAAAGTAACGGATTGGCAGTATCGTGTCAATACGGCCGTGGGTATCCGCGCCAGGAAATTTACAGTGATATTCTTTTGTCCTGGCCGTTGGATTTCCAGTTTCAATCCAGCCTTGCTGGATCGAGCAGCAGATCCTGTCACAATATCCTGCGGGTGCATTCGCGTTGGGGACGCGTCGACGGGATCTCGCATAGTACGAGGCATCGGCAACGGTTCGATGCGCTGATTCCTGGTCGCCACCGGGTAGCAGCATCGACGACGGGCCAGTTGTTTTTGAGGGCACGGTACATAATGAGAGCAGAAGACATTGCGCAAAGGGACCAAGACCGAAGTGACGCCGTATTCGGACTTGATCCCATGTCTCGTGTAGCAGAGCGAGAGTTTTTAGAGTGACGAGTAATGTTATCAGTATATACAAGACTTCACAGAGCCTATTGCATGTGCGTTTGTCAACCGTGCGGGTCGTTGGCGGGTTTTTGTGATGGCCCATATTGCCACATGTCCGCGACTCAGTCTTAAGACCAGCCTAGTAATACAATGCTGATCCATCCATGCCCAGCCCGTTATGCAGAGACTGAGATCGCTTGCCAGTGCAAGCCGGAGAATGCAACGTCGTGCGGTTACACAAGACGGGACTTGAGCTGCGAGGGGTAAAGCGGCGTACATAAGTGAACTCCAGGTCGCGGATGCGGCTGACGTCTTGGCCCACAACAGCGTGTTTGCTTTATAGCCAAGGTAGTCGTACGATGTTGATGATGCACGACCCCTCTCTATTGTATCTGGACGTAGACGGGGCCGGCGTGGGCGAGAAGACACGAGAGAGGGGCGGCCTAGATCTGTGGGTGAAACAAGCAAATATATCTTGATGCTGGATCGTCGCAGGATACTGCGCCAGCACAGCAGCGAGGTCTCTGGTTGTATACCTTCCGGATTCAAAGGTGGATGGGATGTTTCTAGATTGGGAGTTGCAATGGCAGAGCTTATTCTAGATGCAAGCTGCAGTACGATGTAGAGAGTTACGACCAAAGCATCAAAAGAAACGATAGCAACGACTCCCATTCGGAATACGAGATCGTTCAAGGACGTCACAGGCTAACTCGCACAGGAAGCGAGAAACTGGGGAAGTACAAAAGACAGATGCGGCGGGCTAAACCATGGCCCAGAAAGAGGATACACGGGACGGGGCGGGCTGTAGGGGCAGGCATCATCTCGTTTTGCGATACAGGCAATGCCGCTCAGCGGAACAGTTTCTCAGGAGCGGTACTAGGTATCCGGATAAGTGTTTTGTCGTCAACTGTCCATACCTGACACGGAGGTCGGACCCGACCCGTTGTGTACTCAAGCGGATGATCTTGCGAGGTGCATGACATTATAACGGAACAGACAGCTACAGCCGATGCATGAAGAAAATACCCAGTAGATTTTGCTTTACGGATACACCTTCAAACTCAAACCATAAGTATTTGTACACGGCAAGTCAGGAGAAGCACGTTAGTTACATGTTGCCTGACGCCTCACCAGCGCGTGAATACAATCAGCTCAGCCGAGAGGGCGTATTACAGCGGCGCGTGTCAAAGAGGGCCAATCACGGATACAGTGCGTGTGTCAACGAAATGCCATAAGTTAAGTTACCATGCCATCGAAGGAGCATGCAATAAACTACGCCTTCTTTCCTAGGCCTCGCAAACTCGTGCGAAATAGCGTTAAAGTGAAGGGACGGTTTGAGATCCCGTGAACCCGGAAACTCGTTTGGTTGGGTTGAGACATGGGCGGGAAGGATCATGTAATTGCTTTTTTCTTGCTCCTCGCTTTCTTATTGTCCTTTGTGACTTGTGTGATTCATGATGCGAGCCTGCATGGGAGGTTGGAATTAGAGTGTGAGACTGGAGGGTTCCAGATCGTGGCTTAGTTGATCGGAGGGAAGTGAGCTGAGCTAAGAAAGCGACATGTACAGAGTACCCACCTCATGTGAATAATATAGAGATTTATGCTATGGCTTTGTAGCTCTGTGTTTGTTGCTTCTCGAGGTGACTTTGACTTGTTGTTCAAGGTTTCCGCGGGAGCGTACCCGTAACCCCCGTTGGCTGATTGCTGTGCAATCTATCATATGATACCGAGTTTCATTGCCCATTGACTTCTTTCAGCTGTCCTCATTCAATTGCCGATGTGTCATTGCCTGATGGGCCGTTCACATCAAGAAGGTCTGTATCATCAATATGCAACCCATGAGCCTGTCCGCCGTTGGGAAGATCCGAGCAGGGAACCCTAGCTTCTTAGGCGGCCCAGAGGCAGAGCAAACACGGCACAGTAATTAAGGCACACATTCCTGCAGAGTAATCTTCCCATCGCAAGCATCGTGCCGAGAGAGAGAGAGAGTGAGAGACAGAGTGAGACCGAAAAGAAAGAAAAAAAAGAATATTATCACACCCTCGGCCGACTCATCCACGTTGCTCCGGATCGAAGCATCCTCCAATAACAGATCTGTCTCGCTGGTTACACAGCAGTTGAGAATAAACCATGGCGTCGCCCAGGCCAATCACCTCGTGGCCGTGGCTGGAATGTCCCCTGGTGCAACAACGGTTTTTGGGCGTTGGAGCTTGGAGGAGCTTGCAGATTCGAGGGGGACGTGCGCACCACCATCACCGCTTGACGGATGAGAAAATGCCCCAAGGAACCTGGACCTGGACCTGGCCATTGCAGTGACTTACCGAAGGATTCAAAGGGACCTGGCATAAGTTCCCTGGGGAAGCAGTAGTAGTAGCAGCAGAAACTGTACTCCATAGTATAGCTGCTGTCCATGACAAGGGAATAGATAATTCACACCAACAACTGTCCCCAGTGCCTGCATACAACAGAGCAGAGCCAGGGACCATGGCCTCTTCAGTTGACAGTCGACCTGACCTGCCAAGCACCCCCTTGTTCACCATCGAAGCAGGGGTCCAGACACCCTTTTTCACAGCTAACCATTGCCACTCGGCAAGAAGAGTGAGAGAAATAGAACAAAGAAAAAAAAAAGACTCTGCTGTAAGTTCCATGCAGAAGCGATGCATAGAAATCAGCCGAGAAGCATCCAGAGAAGAGTGCCTCAAATTGAGTTTTTTTTTCTCCATCATGAGTAACAGTCGGCCGGCGGAGGATTTCCCCATAAGCTCCCGCGGCGGCCCGTCTTCCGCTCGTGTCGAGGTTTCATCTAACGTAGCATGGATTTGATTTCTGCCGCTTCGCTGGCGGATATAATGTCAGTTTGCTGTACGGATAACGCATGTTTGACAGCTCAAGCATGCGAAACAGTGCAAGAAAAAGAAGAAAAAAAAGAGTATAAGAAGGACTCACGATCTCCAACAAGGGGCTCGTGTGTCGTGTCATATTTTCCCCTCTCAGTCTAATACTAGTGAATATGATGTTACCGTCTCTCCACGATGTGGTTCCTCCGGGGAGAGGCGGGTTGGTCTTGGCTTGGTTTAGGGCCCCATCGAGGGGTTTTACTGATCCCCCACACGATGGGACTGGGTCCATTATGAGGTAAAAGGAACAAACGGTTGAGATACTTACAGACGCGGGATGAAGATCGAACATTTACACTACTTTACTTTGCTATTATTTTCGTCTATTATTGGAAGATGAGCGAGCGTGGCACAGAAAACATTCGATTGAGCATGGAAAGCGGGATATAGTGCATGTTTAGGTACGGATACGTCCGTCTAGCACTTTGATGTCTGGCCCGTCTCTCAATGACACACAAGTCACCGTACCTGGCCGTGTGAACTTACAGCTCTTGAGGTTGCCCCTCCAATATCAGGTGCAATTATCATCTCCAGCTCGCCTCCCACGTTAAAATATTAGGATTTCCACCGCTCGGATTGGCTGCGCTACGATCCATGTTCCATCTAACGTCAACTCACCCAACACCGGAAGCCCATCACCGTTCGGTTTGACCTGCACTACATCACCCGACCACGAATCGATCTTGATTCTCTACCTCCACTAGCCAAGTAGCTATCTTATCTTAGAGACTGCCCGCGGCACAGGCGCTACAGGTTACAGCCGTCATCATCGCAGCACCACTACAGGTATACAGGTATACAGCTAGACGGATGGGAAGTATGGACTCTCAAGCGGATTTTCTTATTTTCTTTCCGCCCTCGCAAGCTCGCAGGCTCACACACACACACACACACACTCTCTCTCTCTCTCTCTCTCTCTCTCGCCCCGTGCCGCACGACGACGCATCATCACCGTCGTTGCATTCAGCTCTGGGGCCGATCAAATAGATTTGAATCGCTCTTGATATGTAGGCATTTTAGTGACAGGCCATCGTCAGCGGGAGATCGTCATCGCTCGTCCAGCTCGCAATCCTCCACCAATCCCTGCCTCGTGGCCCTGGGAGGATCTCTCGAGTGGAGTCGTTCGACAAAACCCACGAGAGCCTATCTTAGACCCAGGGCCAGGTCCATTCCTGGGCGTGTGAATTCTCTTGCGCATCGTGTTGTGTGCTCTGCCCTGTCCTGCCACGAGGTTTAAGATGCCGGTACCTTAGTGAACGGGCCATTTGAGCTGTTCTTGGCGATGCAAAGAGAGTAAGAGGCGTATCAGCTCATCCACGACCACAACCAACGACAATCTGAGACCAACAGTTTTTATTCCTTGCTTGTATCCTTTTCACATGACAATTTCACATCAGTCCACAAGCCGAAGCTCCTGGTTATACCCCCTCTTGCACAGAGCGTACCACGTTGATCGCCTTCATCATCGTGCTTATTATGTGCAACTGAGTGAAGTCTTAGCCTACAAGCACAAACTACTACTAGCCTCGCCCTTGTCTCTGTATCACCCACCCTCTTGGGGCCCGCATCCCGTCACTAGCCATCTCCAACCAAGACCCAAGATCCGCTAGCCGCCGCCTTTTTATTCTGATTCAGATTCCAGACCCAGACTGAGAGCTGCAAAGCCTCAGAAGCTCAGGTTAGGTTTAATACATACCTTACGCCGTGCATTCGCCAGGTTGCATTGACGAAATAGACTCCCGGGGAATTTCTTCTAGCGCTGTCTTGCTTTCTTTTTCCCAAGCCTGCCGGCCTGTCCTCAATCACCATCCTCTTGGACGTCTTATCCCTCATCTCTTGAGCATATCGACCGTCTCAAGCGTCCAGTCTTGATGCTCCTCCCGGGTGTCGTTTCCCACCGTGCCGCAAGCCCCGCCGTCCTTCATCCCTTCAGCCCCTCTCGTTAGGAGGGTAAAACCCAGTCTCGAGAAGACGCTGCTAGGGTACTGCTCCCGCTAGAGCTCACCAAAGGCCGTAGTTGACGCTAATTCATCGCACCCGCTGGCCACACCCGCTGCCCGTCGTCTCCGTTGCGTTGCTTGTTTCCTAAATCCCTAGCCCTGGGCATCGTCCTCTCCAGCTCCCAAGCAAACCCTGCGACTGCAGCAACGACAACCCCTGTCTCGACCCCTGCAGTGACCCCCGGGGCCCCATCCAAGGGGATCATTGAAGCGCGGCCAGTACCCGAGGGACGTCGGTGTCCGTCTCCTGATCCACAGGTCGTGACAGGGCACTGACAGCGCAAGATAGCAGCATTTGTTCACTATCCAACGGGTGGCTTGTCCGCCAATAGTCTCTCAGATTTGGAGCTTTCAGTACCTAAAAGCGTCTTCCTCCCATCTATCCCGCCCTCTCGACTATTGCTATTGCTGTTGTTGCCGCTGTCAACCTGATTTGAGTGAGTGACAACCGTGAGAGTCCACCTCCAATTGAATTGCCTTGGTTTTCTGCTCACTTCCACCCTTCTTCTACTTCTCTACTTCTCCTCTTCTCCTTCGTTTCTTTCATTCCCCGTCCTCTCTTTCTCTGAGGCATGTTCCAGCCTCAACCTACACCTTTCGCCTCCTCCAGCTTCGTGTCCTATGGCCTAGCTTCCGACCTGGACTTTGCCTATCCCGTATCTGCTGGGGGTGGTTTCTACAACTCATCTGCGCCTGCGCCTGCACCTGCACCGGCATCTGTACCGGCAACATCGCAACAACTTTCCCAGTCGCATTCTCAATCACATCCTACACTGCAATCACAATCGCAGTCGCGGTCGCAACCACAGTCACAACCGCCTCTTATCCAACAGCGGATCCCCCGACAACAACTTTCTCCCTCCGCAGTCGCGCCCTCTGTGTCGCCGCCTTATTCCACTTCACAAAACTCCAACTCTGAATCCTCCTCCTCACCAACTTTAACGCAACCGCAAACCCGCCAAAGCTTACCGCATCAGCAGCTGGGTGTTCTATCTCGCCAGCAGCCCGCACAGCAACAACAATACGCAACCCAATCTGGTTCCGCTCTACTCAAGATGGACGAACAAGGCCTGCATGGCTTCAACGCTCAGCAGGCTGCGGCCCAGGACTACCAGGCTGAGCTTGAGGTAAATGACATAGTTGCGGAGCTCTCGCCGCTGCCTTCACGTCATTTGCTCCGTCGCTAATCACCAGTTCGCAGGGGCTTCCAGTCGGAAACAAGGCGTCAAGCGAGGCCATTACCCAAGAGTACGCCAAAGCCGATCCCGTCTATGTTGAAAAGACAATTGTATGTGGATTTGAAGTACCGTTAATTTTACCGGTGATGCTAACGTCGCATGATTAGGCCCTCCCCCAGACGTTCGCTCATTACCGCCCTATTATAGGCGATGGTAACTGTGGCTGGCGAGGTAAGTCAACGACTCCCCGCTTCTTGCCCCATGACTCTCTGCTGCATTGCAACATGTTAGACATGTTGCATTCCTTGTATTACGGCGTGCTTAGCCTGCCGTTACAGCCATGTCTTGGGACTCCTGTGACAGGTCGAACTTGAGCTAATATCCTCACCAATAGCAATTGGTTTCAGCTACTTCGAGAAGCTTGCTGAATCGGGCGACCAGGTCAAAATTGAGAGCGAGGTTGCTCGACTTATGAGCATGAATCATCTACTATCTACAGTTGGAAACTACCAATACTACGAAGACTGGGCAGACGAGATGCTGGATCTTTTGCGCGAAGTAGCACAAAACATGAACAACCCCCACCTTGCACAGGTATTGATTCAGGAGAAGTGGAACGACCCTGGTGTTGCAGACAGCCTGATTTACTACCTTCGCCTTCTCGCAGGAACATACCTGAAGGCCAATGCTGCTACATTTGACCCTTTCATTACCGAATACAACGGTGTTCAGGGTTACTGCAGTCAATGCATCGATATTCCCAACCGCGAGATCGAGCACATTGGTATCGAGGCACTCAGCAATGTCCTCCTCAAGCCTATCGACTTCGTCCTCGAGATTGCCTACCTTGATCGAAGCCCAGGTGCGCGGGTTAACACACACCGTTTCCCTGGTGAAAACAATGGCCAAGACATCAACAGCCTTGGAACTGTCATCTACTTGCTCTTTCGGCCCGGCCACTACGACATTCTGTACAAAGGGGATACCATGCAGGTGTTTCGAGTGAACGGCTTTACCCACAACACTAACATCACAACCGATCAAGCGGATCTTGGCCAGTATACGACCATGAACTTCGATGCATTGTCGATTATCCCCGGCTTCAGCAATTCTGCCTCATTAGGTGGACTGGGACAGATTGCGCCACCTCCAAGCAACTCGATGTCAGAATCGTTTTCACCTGTGCAACAAAGCCCATGGATGTCGTCCTTTCCCGAATCCTTGCCTTCTTCGACACAACGAATTATGCCCCCGCAGCCACAACCTATCATGGCATCTCCCCAACCCCCAACGCCGCCTGCTTCCATATCAAGCAGCTCTGCGATCGCACCAAGTCCTGCAATGGGTCCAGCGTCTGGCCCGGGACCTCAAAGTTCCCTCCCTTTGCGAACAGCTTCGAGCTACCACATCCGCTTCAGCCCCGTTCAACTGGACTATGATGAGAGCAAGAACAATTTTCCAGAGTCGACATTTCAAGTAACGACCAATACCTTTAAGAACAGTATTTGGAACCGAGCGCATTACTGTAACCCCAACTTTCATCCCGAAGAATGGAATCCGGATGACGAGCATACGGATGGTAGAGTTGGAGGCAAACGCAAGATGAAAAAGGAAATATCCTAGTCTGATTTAACTTGCATAAGTGGGTGCTTTCAGGACCAAAGTCTTGCTCTTTGCCTTGCTTGGCTCCCAACCCAACAACTGGAGCACTGACGATGGGCGCATGAATTGCATAACTGGGCCGTTGACAAAACAGAGAGTCTAGAGCTGAGCCCACTACTACAGTGGAAGTTTGCGGAGGGATCGAGCTCTGGCGATGAGCATCTCATCACGAGGGTGGTAGGGTTTGGTATAAACGGGATTCGAAAGGTATCATCTAACACCGAACACAAATCCATGTGGAACACGAATACCTTGACACGATCAACGACAATTGGACGGCGCCGGCTTTATCAGAAGCCGATAGCTCTGGATACGACTCGACGGCCCTATTTTATTTCCCCAAACAAACATGTGAAAGGGTGCCAAGTTGACAACCCTGAGTTGGAGAGAACACAAGGCACAATCAGGGATGGGGAAGTCATGTTTGCTGCCCCCAAGTGTTTGTCGAGCTAGAGAAAGCCGGCGGGATTATTCATATCATTGTTGGAGAGGTCAGCGGTGCTTGATAAAAAAACATTTGGTTTCGGGCTGCATTGCTTAATAGGTCATACGATGGAAGGCGCCAAGTCTGTTTTGTATGCGTGGCTATTGTTCAGGAGATATGAGCACGCACGGTGTGGATTTCGGATTACCATCTTCAACGGAGTCGAGGCTTCTCAATACGGCGAGCATCACTACCTTTGCGCCAGAGAAGGATAACTCGAAGGCAATGGAACAGGATTGCATTCGGGTATGGAACGGCGGTAATTGTGGGCTCTCAAGAGCCGGTTTCAAGACAGGCAACACAAAAGGCGTGCATTCAAAAAGGCAGGTACTCGTCAGAGCTGTTATGCTATGCAGTCAGTCGATGCTACTCCGTACCTCTACTGCATATTGACGATCATACCTGATAAGCCCTCACATGTTGGCCTTGTCAGTTGCGTCATAGCATCGGCGTTCTTCTTCATCAGGTCACTTTAGTTTACTTTTACTTCACTTCGGCTGGTAACTTGCCAGTGTGGAATAGCATCGATACTTGGTCTTGCTTTGGGTGTGTTATAATTTATTAGCCGGGATCGAGCATAGCAAGATATGTCTCGGATGAGAGTATGTTGTGGTTTAGTTCAATACACCTTCAATGAGGATGATATCGGACAGACATGACGAGTCGTTATTATCAAGGAAATGCCACATGATGGTTCCTCGCGCCGTGCCGCTGTCGCTGTGCCACAACATGACATATCAAGAGACCCCGCTATTAATTGATGCTGAAAGCCTGAACTGAATGAGAGCAAATGCACGACATGTCTACAGCAGAGTATGTCTTGACTTGATGGCTGTAAATGAATGATACGAAAAGCATCCGTAGATATCCAATAAATGAATAATTAAGCTACGGACGGATAGAAATTGCCTGGATGATCGATATTTGGAATGGACAGCCACATTTCAAGTGCCATGAACCAGGGCGGGAGAAAAAAAAGCTTGATGAGGTCTAGAACATGAGATATGCCCGCTCTTAACAAGGGGGCCACGAGGATTGGACGTCTCCACTCGGGGAACAGGGTCCGGCAGATGCGCGACGTGACGTGATGTGACAGGACGAGGCCAGGCCAGGCTCTGTTCATGAAGGTATTCCAAAGGGGGGTTTTGGGAGATCCGCAATGAAGTGCACCGGGTCCATTTTCATGGCAGCATGGTAGGCAGGGTTGGCTCGGGGTTACATAGGAGCAAAGTAATTGCGTGAGGATAAAGAGGGGAAAGGCGAGACAATTGGGCTGAGGAGGTTGTTTGATCAACCACCGGATATATGTGTCTAAGCATGAACAAGAGCCGAGATACTCCGTAGAGGTATTCCAATCGATGCTAAAATTTATTACGACATCGCTTGAAAACATCAACACGGCAATCCATACTCTATACGAGAAGAGCAAAGACCTCTAAGACTCTTGATGAGTCGACGAGTAGATGAGTAGATGAGTAGAATTGAAGTCCGTGGAAATACTCGCCTCAACTTTAGCATGCGGCTTGTGGATTTTTCACCCAGGCCAGGACAAGCAAGCCTCGTGGGAACAGGGCGGAAAAGAGAGGCCGGGCAGGGGCCAGGGTCCAAAGTCCAGGGTTCAAGGTCAAGGTTATGGATATGGGCGGACGACACCCGTAAATTACGGACAATACAGCTGAAAGTGTTGGCTGGAATGGGCACTGAAATGAGGTCTCGCTTAACAAGAGGTCTAGAGTCTTGACAAAGGTCTGATAATGACATGGGCAAAGAGAAGATCAAAGAAAAGAGCATGGATATCTTGGGTGCAGTGGAAAGCTGCGTCATTTCAACATCCATGGCCGTGCTGTCCTGTCATCTGTGTGATTTAGCATGCGTGTAAGCGCCCAGAGCTGCGAATCCCGCTGTCATTATGTACCTATCATCTCCAATGTGTAAATTAAGGCAGGATCCTGGACCAATAGCTGGTTGCATACGGCAAGGTATATAAGTTATCACAGGCCACTTCAGGAATTGGCCGAGATGTAACACGGTCTGAGAGCCATATCTCGGTTAACTTCCCCAGACTGAAAGAAATGCCATACGAAGAATTGAAGGTTTACTTCAACTAAATCGAATAAAAAGATGGAAGGTTAAAGCTTATTAGTCGTTTGGCTTGCGGATTCGGCGAAGGCGATGGCCGGAAGGTTCCTTTCAGCTGGTGAGACTTCTATTTTCATTCTTTGATAGCTCTAGCTTATCTTAATTCGCCGACAGGCATCTCCAGCTATACTGCAGCAAGGCAAAACTGTATACCCTAGGTACTCCGTAGGTATGATACCAACACACAATTAACTTATCATCCACGATTCTTTCCTAGCGCAGGAGCAACTACCTAACGATGGTGCTAGGGCAGGACAAGGTAGGTGCGGCGGCATCCTGGACCCTACCTGCCACCTAGAAACCTCCTCCACACCTGACACTTTCCTCCACTTTCCAAGGTAACTCACTACTGTAACTTGACATATCTGTAATTAATTCCGTTGTCGTCTCATCCTCGTTATTGTTGTTGGTCTTTTCTCTTTCTCCTCTTTATCCCCCCCTCTTTCTTTAATCCCTCTTCTCATCAATCTTTCTTCCTACCTTTCTCTTTTTTTCCTTGGCCATGGATGCTCGCTGTCGGCAGATAACCATCCTCGATCCTTTGCGCGTTCCGAATAGCTTCTTTTTGCTCTCCGCCTTATTCCGATATTAATACGATCACCACGATCCGATTCTTCCTTTCTTCTCCTCGGTGCATGCAGCAAGACAGACAGCTTCTTCGAGGCCCCACTGCCACAAACCTCGCTTCCAACACTTTGACCTCAGAGGGTTTATCATCCCCTTGTCGATCTTCCAACCCGACACTCGAGCCAGATGTCCCGTTACGATACGGAGTATTCCCCTTTAACAGCATCGTCTGCGACTACAAATAGCGATATGGCTCAGCCAAACAGCAAGTGGCATGGCATCGATCGATTGCCCATGGACGACGTGAGCCCTGCCGAGGACGATTCCGATTTCAGCGATACTACCTCGAACTACTCGACCATATCCGAAGACACGCTTCCTGTAATCAAACAATACGGCCACACATACCACGGTTCTGGTCAGCTCTTTACCCCTAACGATGCCTCCGAAGCACATCGCTTGGCTATTCAGCATGAGCTCTACCAATTGTGTCTCGATGGCAGCCTTGTGGACGCCAAGTTACCGCTCGACCAATATACACCTGAAAGCCCATTCGAAATACTAGATCTCGGTGCTGGCAGTGGCATATGGGCTTGCGATATGGCTAAACGGTACCCTCAGGTTAACATACTCGGTATCGATCTGAGCAGCGCCCTACTACCCGAAGATGTTCCTCCCAATGTTACCTTTGAGATTGCCGACGTCACAGATCCATGGCCCTCTCGCACATACGATTTCATTCATATGCGGAGTCTCGCTGGGGGTGGTGTTCGTGACTGGAGCGCTCTGCTTGCTGATGCATATGAACATCTTAACCCTGGGGGGCAGTTGGAAGTTACGGAGATTCGACCGCACTTTTTTGACGTCGATCCAGATCAAGCCGAACTACCAAATACCGAAACTGGAAAAAGGCCCGAAATCGGGGGCGCCTGTCTTGAGTACGAGAGAATATTCGGAGAAATATGTACCAAACTCGGTATTGACTGCGACCCTATACCCCGGGTCCCTGGATATTTGGCAGGCTTTGGGGCCGAAATTATTCGAGAACGCGTGGATTGGTTGCCAGTACAAAACTGGGGAAGTGACCCAATCACTCTACAGAAGCGCAAAACCTTGGCGGAGATGGTCGAGTGTGGTAGGTGATGTGCAATCTGAAACGCAGGAAACCCGCACTAATCTTGGTGGACCAGGTGTAGAAAATTGGACATTGAGACTATTCGGACTTGATGGTTGGGAAGAAAAGGCCATCAGGGCTTTGCTTGATCGCGTGAAAGCGGAAATACAAGATCCCCTTCTACGCAGCTTGGCTAAAGTGTAAGTTCAACTGGCGTCAGAAATTGTTTGTGGCTAATGACGGTTAGAACGTTTGTTACCGCCCGAAAGCCAATGGGCAAGCAAGGAAGTTGAAGACAGAATCTTCGTGCATATATAGGAGTTATGGGTCATGGCGACGTCGACAATGTGTCTGGGACGATCGCCAAAGGCATAGGCGGATGGTGCGAAACAAAGGTGAACTCATATCGTACATTCCAAGGAAGCGGGTTTTACTAGGAACATATAGGGACATGGATGCGTACATATGGATGGAATTGGGAGGGTCAATAAGGTGATTCAAAGCGTTCATGGGACATCTGGTTTGAAAGGAGATGGAGCATATTGCTGAGCAGGAGTTCGGTGGGTATCTATTCCCCTGAGGGTGCAAACATCTTGATATGGTTGGTTAATAGAGCAGTGCGATGCTCGTTCAGAAACAAATCCAACCTAATTCCTCTTCGACAACATAAAAGTGTGATCAAGAATAAAGCTGTCCAAATTGGATAAAATGGCAAAGCTGTCAGGTATATTCGTCTATCGGGATTACTCCCGACACTAGATTTCGTTTCACTTCGTTTGCACTCAGTTCATACATGTCCTATGCTGAAGAGATGCCCGCAAGTACGCCCCGTATACCCGTACAAGTAAACATAATCAAAACAGAAGAACTCCGGTAAACCCAATCAGACAGTTTCAATGTATCGCTTCATTTCCCTGTAATATGGTTAGTCACGGCAATAATCATGGGGGTAGGAACACGTACCAATCAGTTACTGCCTCATCGTATAGGCGCACTTCATGTTCTCTTGTTCCACCAAAGTGCTCTACAAAGTCATCTCCAAACACTTCTCTTGCAATGCTATCCTTCGACATGAAGCGTGCCGTGGCCTCCTTAAGAGTCTTGGCCAGCCTCTCACCCTGGTCCGCATCACCGCCGACATCCTGGCCCATGGCGAGCGGCGGGGTGGGGATCTCGAGCTTCTTCTCGACACCGCGCCAGCCGCAACCGAGAATGGCAGCGAGGACGAAGTGCGGATTTGTGTCTGCGCCGGGGACGCGGACCTCGAAGCGTGTCGCCGAAGGCTTGGGGCAGATCAGACGGATGGAGGCGGCGCGGTGCTCAAGACCCCATGAAACGGTAACGGGAGCCCAGAAGTTCTCGACGAGGCGCTTGTACGAGTTGATGGTGGGGGCGAGAAGAGGCATGATGTCTGGGAGACCGACCAAAATGCCAGCCAGGAAATGGCGGCCCATGTCGGAGAGATTGGCAATATCGCTCCACTTGGCGTTTTCATCCTTGGTCTCGCGCGCAAAGAGGTTCTTGCCTTCCTTGTCCACAATAGAGACGTGCATGTGGCCGCTGTTTCCAGGAAGACCTTGTTTGGGCTTTGCCATGAAGCAGGGTGTGATGCCGTACTTTGTGCTCACGCTCTTGACAACGTACTTGAACAGAGCAGCTCGGTCGGCCATCTGAGCGATCTCGCCGAACTCGAGCGCGGCTTCGAAGACGCCGGGGCCGGACTCGGTGTGCCATCCTTCAATGTCGCACGAGAACTTGGCACAGGTGTTGAAGACGTCGTAGTAGTATTCCTGGTTGTGCACAGGTCGGGTGAGGGAGTAGCCGAACATACCCTCTGTTAGAGAGGGGAGCTGATGAGGAGGGTTTTGTTGCAAGTAGGCGGCGGGGGAGGATGATGAGGTGTCGGGGGTCTTGAATTGGTAGAACTCATATTCGGCTGGGGCATGTTAGTCGAGCTCTAAGAAGAGAGTGGAGGTAGGATACATACCGCCAGCCAAGGCACCGTAACCGTGACCCTTTAGCTTTTCAAGTTGTGTCTTTACCAAACCACGAGGGCAGGCACAAATAGGCTTCTCGGTATCGGGATCGAGAAAGTCGACTAGAAACAAAGGCACATTGTCCTCCCAGGGAATGCGCCTGAAGGACGAGAGGTCTGGAATGGCGAGAAGATCATGGTAGCCGTTCTCCGCATTTGAGATCTTGAGCTCGCGGATGTATGTCCTGTCGTGCATATCCCAGCCAAAGATAACTGAGCAGAAGCCGAAGCCCGTTGCAGCGATGGAGAGGAACTTCTTTTTGGAGACGAGCTTTCCGCGAAGAATACCGTCGACGTCAACGCCCGCGAGCTTGACCATTGTGTCATTCTCGAGGAGCTTGGGGAGGGACTCGACGGTGATGGTTTTGGGGTCTGGTGAAGCCATCTTGGATATGTGAGAGCTATTGAGAGCTTGAGATGGAAGTGTAGAGGAGCTGGATGTAAGAGAGAGGAGATGTGTCACCAGAACCAACGAGGGGGATTGAAGCTGGTAATCAAGTGGTTGAAGCTGCGCGGCAAGGGGTACAATACAGAAAAGACCCGAGTGGTATCTCGCGGACTGATGGAGACTTGGAGCTTCACGGGCTATAGACAAGGTTACAAGCCGTTGGAGATGCGCGCGGTTGAGGGGCTGGTTGGTAACGGTTGTTTCTTTAGGAAGCGGGAAGTCAGGGCCAAGAGAAACGAGGTTTAAAAAAGATGGAGTAAAAAGGTTTCGTTTCTACCGCGATCAAGAGATAAAAAGAGGGGAAAGACGACGATAGAGTGAGACACAAGCAATCAGGTTTGTTCCTGTGCCGTGCCCATCCAAGACCAAGGTCAAGGTCAAGTGGGATGGATGGGAAGCTCGTCAGCGCGGCTACGATAAGAGGTTCATTCGATAAGCGACGGGAGCGATGCTTCAGTGACGTAGGCTATCAAAGCTCGGTGCGCGATGCCGCTTTAGGGCAGATTGGGTTTAGCTTCCCGACGCGCATCCATCCCACTGTGTGCATTATTTAGTGGGCTTATCGGACCCTGGGACAATAGCTTCAGTAACTCTGGTTTGGAATAGCTTCATTCATTATCTAGCATTGCCGCGCTCCAACAGCTGACGAGCAAGACGAGCCAATGCTTTTGTGTTTCCCCGCATCCTTAGATCCAGATTCCGCATCTTGAAGCTCTGACCAACACGGGGTAGCTAGCTAGCCCTTGGTTTCGTGTTCCTGGAGATGCAATTGCGCTATCGAGAACGCGGCACGGAGGAGCGAGCCGCCATTGAACATCTCTTTGAAGGGGTAGTATACCTCTACTGCACCTATCCATTGGATCTTCTTTATTTACCGCTCTTTTAATCTCAATATGTAGCCGCGCTCTGCCTCTGAGCGTCGAGAGTGGTTGTCTGAGCGGCTGACGTTGAAGGCCTCGTGACCACAGCCGACATCGCTTGACAGGGGTATTGCATGTCACCAGCTGCAAGGCTTGAGATCTGACGTCCCAAAAGGGACCCTGAATCTGACAGCATGCGTAGATAGAAAAAAGAAAAAGAAAAAAAAAAGATATCAAATAGGAAATATTGGGTGTAGCCGTAGTTTCGGAACATGACGTTGGAGGACCATTCATTGCACTGTCTCTCAATGTCTCATACCATACAGCAACATTCCAGACCTGCATGCACCTCGGTACTGAGGTTATGCTCCGTTGATAGTTGATAGCCGATACGGATCTAAGTCAATATCAAGCCCAAACAAAACAAAGGCCCTTGCCAACTGATAAGGTCCCGAACGCAGCCCCATCGTCCTATGACGATCCATACAGTGAAACTAGAGCCGCCAAACTACTGTACCTTTCTTTGAGTGCTAATTAGCCGCGATTGACACTTCAGTCCCACGTTGGCAGAGCCCACCTTCATGAGTCGCCTACCCGCCCGCCGTTGTCGGAATCCAAATGCCACCGTTCGAGAAAGGTCCATGAGACCCATTAACTTTTCCATGACTGGGCGCAAACCGCAAACCCCCCATCAGAAGACCATTTACCGAACACTAGCTCTGCCCTGTGCGTCTTATCGTGGCCTTCCAGACGCTTTTGATAAGAAAGCTTCAAGACCACTCCTCTCTTCTCTTTCTCCTTCTCTCTCTCACCGCGTCTCCTCTCTTGTATCACCAGCACCACCAGCCTATATAATTCCTTTAGTCAACCTTATACCCACCTCTTTTTTCCTCTTCTTCTTTTCATATTCCCATCACACAATCACACAATGACTTCCCAGCAACCCCGTGGCCGTCTCGCAGGCAAGAACGCCGTCATCACCGGCGCTGGCGGGTGAGTCGCATTGCCCACAACGTCGTTGCTATTGCGCAATACTGACAATCTTCAGTGGTATTGGTCTTGAGACATCCATCCTCTTCGCCAAGGAGGGCGCATCGGTTCTCATGTCCGATGTTTCCCAGCCTGCCCTTGAGAAAGCTGCCGCAAAGGTCAAGCAGCTTGTCCCCAATGCGGCCCGCATCGAGATCCTGGTACGCCACTCCAACACACCCCCACAGATTCCCAGTTGCCATACTGACGGACTTGCCTGTAGAAAGTCGACGTCTCCAAGGAATTAGAGGTTCAGGCCATGATCGAGTCCGTTGATTCCTGGGGCGGAATCGACGTCCTCTTCAACAACGCCGGTATCATGCACGCCAAAGATGACGATGCTGTCAACACCCCCGAGAACATCTGGGACCTCACCCAGAACATCAACGTCAAGGGTGTCTGGTTTGGCTGCAAGCACGCCGTCCTCTCCCTCCGCCGACACAACAAGACCAGGGCCTCCATCATCAACACCGCCTCCGTCGTCGCTTTGGTCGGCGCTGCCACACCCCAGCTCGCCTACACCGCCAGCAAGGGCGCCGTCCTCGCTCTCACCCGTGAACTCGCCATGGTCCACGCGCGCGAGGGTTTCCGCTTCAACAGCTTGTGCCCTGCGCCGCTCAACACACCTCTTCTTCAGGACTGGCTTGGTGATGATCAGGCCAAGCGCCACCGACGTGAGGTGCACTTCCCCATGGGACGCTTCGGCGAGGCCATTGAGCAGGCTCATGCGGTTGTATTCCTGGCTAGCGACGAGTCGAGCTTTGTCAATGGCCACGACTTCGCGGTTGATGGCGGTATGACCAAGGGCTATGTCACTGCTGAGGGCCCTGCGCAGGCTCCTCCTCAGAACAACGCTTCCAGGGATTCATTGTAAAGAAATGTATTGATAAGACGAGGAGGATGAATGCGGGTTAGCCCCGGGAATACAAGGGCATCTGTAGTAACGATTAGTATGAAACCAGTAATGAAAAGAATTTGTCAAAACATAAGACTTTTGCACCGATAATCACAATTGCGAGGGCATCACCCGGCTGATCGTAAACTGAATATCATTCGTAAGGTATTGGTGGATATACAACAAAGATTCCTAAACTCCGGCCATGCTTTTCCTTCTCTTCTTCACTTTCTTCTAGTGGAACTGTCCCTCAGTGTTACCCTCACCCATGCTCTTACTGCTTGAGCTTCCGCTCTGGATAGCCCCAAGAATACCATCAATGTAGCTTGCGCCACTCCACTTCTGATGCGTTAACACGTCGCACTTCAGGTCCTTCTCACGACGCTGGACAATGTCAACGTATGCCTTCATGCCGTCCTTCTTGAACTCGCGCGACAGCTCGGTTGTGATGGTCGCATTGGAGTGCAAACCCGCGAGAGAAATGAGTTGGAGAACGAAGCCTTCGCGCGCGATGTCCCAGATGAAGGACTTGAGTGTCTCGTCGTTGAAACCGTGCGCCATCCAGTTGAACGATGGGGAGAGGTTGTAAACGAGACCCTTGCCAGGGTACACTTCACGGACAGCGCGGCCGAGTTTAGTGGCTACTTCGACGTTGGGGTCGCCTGTCTCGACCCAGAGGAGATCCGCGTAAGGACCGAATGCAAGAGCGCGCTTAGTCGCTGCTTGCATACCGGCGCGGTAGTGGTAGAAGCCTTCCCTGGTACGAGGGACGTCCCAGTTGAAGTAGACGGGCTCTTTGGTATACTTGTTTGCGAGATTGCGACGGCGCGAGATGCCCATATCATGGTCCTTCTCGGTCTGGGCCAGGTACTCATCGATCTTGGCTTGTGCGACACCTTCCTTCTGCATGTGCGCAACAGCAGCTTCATCAAAAGTGATGAGCTTGGTGTTCTTGACCCACTGGGCCTCAAAGGCATCGATCTCGGCACCCGCAGCACCATTGGCTTCCATGGCCTGAATGGTTTCAGCGAGAGGCTCAATCGATGAGTCTGCAACACCGAGGATGAACTCGTGGTCGCGCACGTCGATCGCCGAGGAGAGAAGCTTTCCAGACTCCGAGTCTGTTCGGGCAATAACAAGGTTCTCACAACCCATGACGTCCCATTGGAAGCGCGAGGCAACCAGACGGTTGATGTGCTCGCCGATAGGAACAAGCACCTTGCCAGCAAGATGACCGCACTTCTTGCCGCCGTGGAGCTGATCCTCGAAGTGAACAGCCGCAGCACCGTTCTCGGCAAACAGCTTAGCAAGCTTGAGGACAGCCGACAGACCGCCATGGCCGGTATCGCCGTCGGCAATGATAGGGCGCAGATAATCGACGTATGGAGCCTTTGTGCGCTCCTCGGTGGTCATCTTGCGACGAAGATCCCATTGCTTTCGGTCGTGCATGTTCTGCGCCTTGGCTAGGCGCTGGACCTGGTTGGGGACGGTGTTGTAGGGGTAGTCTCCAAAGTCGGGGGAGACCTCGTTGGTAGAGGTGAGGAGGGAGGAGCAGGCCCAGCCTGAGATGTAGAGGACTTCTTGGTGAGGAGCCTGTTGGGTCATCTGCACAGGATCGATTGCACCCACTAGACGGTGTTAGATGTTTATATCAAACGAGCATTTTGAGTTACGTACTGGTATGGATAGGCTCTCCTTTGGCTTCTCGCTCTCGGATAAGATTAAATAGCTTCTGTGCCATGACAGAGCTAGGATATTGAACCTTCTGTGTACCACGTTTGGTAGCCACATCCTCAGCGCTATACGGCCGCTTGATGCCCGCATACCGAGGCGAAGCCCACCAAGCTTCAATTTCCTTGACAGTGGCTTCATAAAGACGATCCTCTGCCTCGCCTGCCTTCTGCGACTCGGGCAGGAGCTGGAAAGCGTCGGCAGGCTGTGTCGCGTGTGTGCTGAGAGCCGACATCTTCGCGACGGATGTAGTGGATATGGCTCGAATGGCGAGGAAAGGTGCGCAGCTTCGAGGCTTGCCAGCTGCGGAGAGTATTCGCTGGGGCGCTCTTGTAGATAGTCTGCGCATCATTTTGAGGGTTTGACTTGGGCGAGACGAAAGGATGTAGGAGGGAGAGGATGGCTTTGGTGTAGAGATGAAGAGGACAAGGGTGGGTTGGACGGGGTCTCGGTTGATGGTGGTTGAATAATAAAGTCAAGCACTCTCGGGATATTGATCAGTGGCCTGTGATAGCCAAATGCTGGTCAATCTCTCAACGGTGTAGTTGAATGATCAGAAATGGAAGTTCTAATCATTAAAGAACCCTTTTCAATGAGGATTAAGTGTTTCTATATTCGCCTGCAACATATCCTTCTTCTCATAATTTGAGTACTCTTACAAATGAGCAACCTCAATCCACCAACTCGATCGCCGAGCGGTTACCGAAGATGAGCTTTGTAACCGACCACTAAGAGTTTTGCTATTCCTATTGCCAGCAATACGTACTATCCACTGGTATCTGACAAAAAACAGGTGACAATTTGGCTGCTCATTGCAAGATCAGCAAAGCCTTGGTTAACAAGCAGCATTGCCGAAGCAATTGGCCAATGAATGAGCTTGTACGGTAAAGATTCGCGATGCTGATTGGTCAAGTCGCATGTTTGAGCCGTGGTTATTGAGCTGTCGGTTCATGGCGGGTTTCCTCGGTTGTCACCGCCATAACCGTAGAGACAGAGACTTGCTTCAGTGTCTTTTCTGGTAGGATCTTGAGTAAAACGCTCTGATTTATAGGTAATTATTCTGTAATAACCACTGTTTTCAAATTTAGGGAGCCTCTGCAACTCTCTGCACCTGTTCTATGTAAACTTCGGCTATGTCAAGACTTTCTCCGCACTCCGAGCTGCGTCATGATGGCTGTTGATCCCAACCCCGCATGACAAAATAAATCAGCACTCTACAAAGTCTGAAATTGTAGGAGGAGGAGCTCTTGTTGGTCCCCCCGCTCCCCCGGCTGTTACCCCAGATTACTCGGACCCCCCACCTGCCGCTTCTACTCGTTTACAACAGGGAAGCCGCGGCCCAACTCATATTAATATTACTTACTTGACCTCTTCCTCTCTATCTCTTGTCTCTTCTTTTCTGCTTCGTTCCTCCATTCACTTCACTCACATATCACAATGGCTCTCAACTTGACCTCTTCTCGCCGGGCCCTGGGCTCGCTCAAGGTATGTGTGGAATTGGATTCACATGTGATCACTGAACATCACAAGCTGACACTGGACTCTCAAACAGCCCCTCACTCGTGCCGCTCTTGCAGGTGCCCGCGGCTATGCTACTGCTGAGCCCGATCTCAAGGCCACTCTCCGTGAGGCCATTCCCGCCAAGCGAGAGCTCCTCAAGAAGGTCAAGGCTCATTCCAACAAGGTTCTTGGGGAGGTCAAGGTTGAGAACACCCTCGGTGGCATGCGAGGACTCAAGGCTATGGTATGGGAGGGTTCTGTCCTTGATGCCAATGAGGGTATTCGATTCCACGGCCGAACCATCAAGGAATGCCAAAAGGAGCTTCCCAAGGGAAAGACCGGCACCGAGATGCTCCCTGAGGCCATGTTCTGGCTGCTCCTCACAGGCCAGGTCCCCTCAGTGAACCAGGTCCGCGTATTCTCTCGCGAGCTTGCAGAGAAGGCTCAAATTCCCAAGTTCATCTCAAAGATGCTTGATGACTTCCCCAAGGACCTTCACCCCATGACCCAGTTCGCAATGGCCGTGTCTGCTCTCAACTACGAGTCCAAGTTCGCAAAGGCCTACGAGCAGGGTCTCAACAAGGCTGACTACTGGGAGCCTACCTTTGACGACTGCATTTCCCTCCTGGCTAAGCTGCCTACCATTGCCGCCAAGATCTACCAGAACTCCTACCGTGGTGGTGGTGCTCTCCCAGCTGAGGTTGATCTTGAGCAGGATTGGTCTTACAACTTTGCCGCCATGCTTGGCAAGGGTGGTAAGGAGAACGAGAACTTCCAGGATCTCCTCCGTCTTTACCTCGCCCTCCACGGTGACCACGAGGGTGGCAACGTCTCTGCTCACGCTACCCATCTCGTTGGCAGCGCTCTCTCCGATCCTTTCCTCTCTTACAGTGCCGGTCTTCAGGGCCTCGCCGGTCCTCTGCATGGGTAAGTCTTCGTTCTCTGTGTTGATGACTTGAAACTAACATGTCCTAGTCTCGCCGCCCAAGAGGTGCTTCGATGGATCATCCAGATGAAGGAGGCTATTCCCTCCAACTACACCGAGCAAGATGTGAATGACTACCTCTGGTCCACACTCAACTCTGGCCGAGTCGTCCCCGGCTATGGTCACGCCGTTCTCCGAAAGCCCGACCCCCGATTTGAGGCTCTCATGGACTACGCTGCTGCTCGTCCTGAGATTGCCAACGACCCTGTCTTCCAGCTGGTTGAGAAGAACAGCCGAATTGCTCCTGAGGTTCTCAAGAAGCACGGCAAGACCAAGAACCCTTACCCCAACGTCGACAGCAGCTCCGGAGTCTTGTTCCACCACTACGGCTTCCACGAGACTCTGTACTACACTGCCACATTCGGTGTGTCGCGTGGTCTTGGCCCTCTTGCCCAATTGATTTGGGACCGAGCTCTGGGTCTGCCTATCGAGCGACCTAAGAGCATCAACCTCGAGGGAATCCTCAAGCAGGTTGAGGGTCAATAAAAAGCCAAAGATACCCAAAGTAAAAGTTTGAGATGATGATCAAATTCAGGATTTATTTGAATATGGAAATAGCGTTGTGTCAAATAATAGCTTGTGATGATTGACGAATTGTTTCTTGCCCAACCTTGTTTCCGGTAATTGAAACGTTAAATGCATGTCTTCCATTAGTCTATGTGTCAGTCCTCTAAATGTTGTGTTATTCTAATTCATCAGTGCCCCAGCCATTCAGACTCATAATCTTCATGCCAACTCCTTCTCGAAATGTTCAAAGTACAAATCATCCCTCAACGCCTTGCCATTCACAAGCTCTGCATAAGGGAACGGACTCTTCTCACCCGTACGAACATATCCTCTCCGCATATACCAAGCAATCAACTCTGCCCGTGTCCAGATGACTTGCATGGTCATAATCTTGGTTCCCCATTCTCTCTTGGCATAGTTCTCTGCGTACTGCAAAACCTGCCTTCCAATTCCACCAGCCTGCAGCTTCGGCGACACAGCAAAGAGACCGAAGTACGCACGACCATTGCTCTTTTCAAGGACCTCACAGCATGCAACAAGTCCAGAGTCGCGAACGCTGTCTGATTCCGATTCCGGTGTGGTTGTGCCCGTGGATGAAGGTGAGGAGGCAAAAGCCAGGAGAACGACACCTGCTGGGTCGGTGATTTTGGCGATGAGGGATTCGATGGATATACGCTCGTCGGCGAGCAGGTCGGCCTCAGTAGTCCAGCCGGCGCGGGAGGATGGCCCTCTGTAGGCTGAGATTATGAGGGGAAGTAATTGCGGTGCGTCAGTTGGGGTCGCGGGGCGGAATGTGACGAGAGACATTGTGTGTGAGGTTGTGAGTGAGTTCTAGATGGTAAAATCTCAGTCAAGATGTAGCTTGTGGTATACGATGAGAACCACTCTTGGTTGTGACGTAAGGTATAAGGGAGATGATTGCTTTGTGTGAGAATGAGAATAAAAGTTTATCAGATCAATTGGGCTTCTTAAGTTATTTAAGCCTTGCCTCCGATGCAGGAGAATATCTTAAACGGGCCATTAACGAATTCGCCATGTGGAGAATGCGCCTTTACAGTGACTGGTTCAACATACCGTATAGAATTAACAAATCGGGGATAGTTGAAGCTATATATCCGAAATAGTTAATTCCATACGACGCGTTTAACGGCCATAACGCAATTACCTTATTCTATCTACATGACCGTTGAACCATCTAGAATCCAAACGTCGACATATCGGGTGCACCGACCGGGACCATTTTGAACCGGTATGACAAATGTAGTATTGGTAATGTTGCTGAGCGATCGTGGAGCTTGAGAGTTAGAATGCATGTCAATTGATCAGAGAACGCCGAGCCTGCTATAATATCCCGGTTCCTTTGTAGGTATCTACAGTATGTAACTGGACCTTGCAAAAACAGATCTATGTGTATTCACCCCCCTTCTTGGAAATACCAATTAAAAAAAGAAGAAAAAGAAAAAAGTAAGTAAGAAAAGTCTGGTTTGCTCAAAGACATGGGGTTTTCACCCCTCCCAGTGACGGAGTCCCTGTCTAAGACGCTTGACTCGGAACCTTGGACCACTTGGCAGCGCTGTACTCGAAGCCCTGGTTCGTCGTGTCCTCACCCGCGCGGTAGGACATGAGGTCGGCGTTCTCGGCGGCGGCCTGCTTGGCCTCGCTGGCACCGGCGGCGCGCTGGCGCCAGAAGTAGAATCCTAGGGCTCCGAGGCCGAGGGCTGCGGCGCCGATGCCGCCTGCGTAGATGCCAGTCTTTGTGCCGGCGGGGAGAGCCTGCCACTTCTCGCCGGTGGTCTTCTCGGGCTCCGCGTAGATGGCTTCGTAGGCGGTTGAGTTACCCCTGTTGCTTGGTTAGTATCGAATTTGGGGATTGAGGAAGGAATTAACTGACTTGACGATATCGATGCTCTCCCAGCTGCCTGACTTGTCGCCGTAGACGTACTCCTTTCCGCTGCTGGCGTCTTCGACATACACACTCTTGACGTGCATGGTGTAAGGACCCTTGCTGTAGTCGGTATCTACAACCAGTTAATACGATTCTGAATCTTGTAAGATCAATAAACTCACCACCACCCGCCCAGGCCCGAGTGCCTTCTGGCATTGTAGGGTCACCGGCGGCCCAGATTCCAAGGCTGAGTCTCATGGGTGTCTGAGGGTAGCTCTCCATGTCGTCCTTAGCAATAACCTTTCGCACGTTCTCTCCGTCGATATACCAGTTGAGCTCCTCCGTTGTCCAGGTTGTTGTGTAGTTGTGGTAATCCTCCTGCATGCCGTCCTTAACAAAGTGCCATCCTGCCTTGGTGAAGTCCTCAACACCCTTTCCGTAGTAGTTTGTCGAGGCGTGGGTGTCGTTGGCTCCCAGAATCTCCCAGTCGACCTCGTCGAGATCGTCGCTCAGCCACATCATGGAGCTAATGATGCCTATTCCAGGAGCAGCCTTCATGATGAGCTCAGTGCGGCCGAAGAAAAAGTAGAAGGCGGTGCGGAGAGTGGGCGAGTCGCCCTGCTTGGCGACTGTGAAGGTGGCACCATTCTCCTCGTCGTAGATGACGCGACCGACATGATTATCCCAGTGGTCGCTTGTGGGTGTGCTGTTGAAGTTCCAGAGATAGCTTGTGCCGAAAGCTGGGTTGGGCTTGCAGTCGGTCTCGTTGAGCGGGTTACAGTCGGATGTGGTTTGAGCGGCCACAAGACCGAAGATGGCGGCGGCCGGAAGGATATAACGCGAAAGCATGGTGATGATTTTGAGTCTATATAGCAACCGAGAGAGAGAAAAATGAAGAAACAAAGTTCGATGATTGAAGCTGAGAAAGTGAAATGACTGTCTAGTTCGTTTGTCTGTTTATCGCGATCAAGGAGTGACTGGGTGTTGAAACGAATGAAACAACCCAAGGATCAAAGCAATATGGACAATGAGAGACCGACAAGGAAAGACTCAAAGAAAAGGAAACTTCTTCCTTTACCTACTCAGATGGGAATGAACAAGAGAGAGTTGGAAAAAGGAAAAAAAGAAATCGGCAAATTGATAGAAAAGGAGATTGAGAGCGCCGAGGCCTTGGGGGGACCCATCTCCCATTTAGCAAGGCCCAGGTACGGATATTCAGGAGGCCATCACCAAAAGCTCTCCTATTAGATCCAATAGGCCTGTACCTTCAGACCACTAAGAAGTCACCAGATGGATCACGGTTTTGGCTAATTCACTGAGCCAAGAAAAGAGCCCCATATCGCTATTACAGCCGGAGCGTGACACCAGCAGGGGTTTTCGAGACAATGCCAAGAGCTGGGCGGGAAGGGGGAAAAGATATTTCGCTAACCTGACGATAAATGAGTGAAGCTTGAGATTGGGGGGGGAGACTACTGAGTAGCGGATTGGAGACTCCACTTGGAGATTTTGCGCCAGGGGAGAACCTAGGGAATAAGATAGAAGCTTGTGGGAAGGAAGTTCTAGCGGGACAGGCAACAGGGCCTGTGGAATTATTCGCTTTTACTGGCAATACTTGGTAGCTTGAGCAGGCTGGGCAAAGCTGGGCAGACTGGGTTTGGTAAGATTGTGTTGCTAATTCTGTCTATCGCAATGGAACCTCTCAGGAAAGCGTCAAGGCTAGTGGCGAGCCGTAGATCGACAGGGGGAAAAGGAGGCTCTGAGTCTGAGAGTCATTGGCGCTTGCGAAATGCAAGATCTGAAAATGGAGGATTTAAAAAAAGAAATGGATAAGACTAGGTGTCGACCTTTGATGTGGCAGTTTGCAAAGTCCAACTTACGCTCATTTTAGAGTAGCAAGCGTTGGTACTTTAAACCTTACGATAACACTATGCTTCCCCCAAGTTTCAGAAACATTAAAAAAGATATGCATCCTTGTCCCAACGTGCATTATATTGCGATTAGGTTTTGCTAGTCAAACGCATGGTGAAGAGATAGCGCAAGGATCACGCGGCCCAGTTTGATTCAGCTACCTGGGGCTGTGCCGCACACAGCATAGTGATAGGATACTCTCGTTATAGCTCAGCTTGCCTATGCCTGTGCCTGCAACTGGGCCCTCTTCTTCTTGGTTCCCTGAACAATCTGGTCCTCGTCGTAGATCTTCAGGACGCTGGCGTTCTTGCCAATGGCCTGCGCCCACCGGTAGAAGTTAGGGCTCTCATGCTCGAGCCGCGAGACGAGATTGGTCGGCAGGGCGCCGTGCTTGGACAGGGAAAGCAGTCGAATGACGAATGGGGCTGTGAGGACCTGGTTCTTGTTAGTTCCCGTCTTTCTGCTATAGATGTCCTATCTTGCCTCTGCAAAGGTGAGCTTATCGCTGCCGCCGAAGAAGGGAGCTGCGTCCTTGAGAAGAGGCTCGACCTCCTTGACGATACCAGCAAGAGCATCGTCAGCAGCTTGGTTGATCTCGTCATCTGTCTTCGCTCTGTAGATAGCCGTGGTGATATGCGGCTGGACCTTGCTCGAGTAGGTATCAGCAAAGAAGCTAATCCTGGCTCGGACCAGAGCCCCATTGCGGTCCGAGGACGCGGGCAGAAGAGTGTTATTGGGATAGGCGTCTACGAGGAACTGGGAGACGATGGCGGACTCGGTGATGGTCTCGCCATTGTGGATAATGGTGGGAACGAGGCCTCGCGGGTTGATCTGCAGATACTCTGGGGAGCGCGGAGTGTCCAGGTCAATGATCTCCTCCTTGAAAGGAAGGCCGAGTTCCTGTAGGGTGATGTGTGCCCTGTGCGCGACTGGGGGAAAGTAGTCAGCGGAGACTAAACTATTAATATAGACTGTGCAATATAGCACTTACAAGGGCATCTGTGGTTGGTGTAGAGGGTGATATTTGCTTGAGGTTGAGAGCCCATCTTTGCTGCTGAGTGGAAATGGTGATAACTTCGTTGTTTAAACAAACCTCTTAGGTCTAAATATCTGGGGGAAAAGGGTCGAGCAACTGCCATGGCTACACATCCGCTCTAAATACCCGGCAATCCAGAACAGCAGCAAAACTGCATTATTAATTAACCAACAGCTCCCAACATATTCGTCGGTGATTGCACCATCGGGCTTGTGTCACGTCCGAAGTGCGAAAGGTATGGCGTCATTCTTGATGTTGGTTGAAAGGTGGGGGTGAAAGTGTTAAGTCAAGTTACACATAGTGCAACCCAATTTTCACGTCTATTGACGTTGGATATGATGAGGCTCTAAATATTGATGACTTATATAGCGTGTGGGTTCTAAATGGAGTAATTGACGTCGGTTTGACTTCTGACGTGAGACGGATCGGGTAGCTTCGTTGCACTAATTTGGGCTGTAGGGTATGCCAAGACTTGAACGACTTGAGAACGACAACTGGTGAATGACATACTGCGAAAGTATGTGAGGTCTTTGGAACGTAATCAATTCATTAGTTCTTATAATTGTTAGATATTGTACATGGCTGGTCATGATTTCTGAGCTGTGCATGGTAGAGGCGTGGCTGTAAAACATTCCGGGGCGGTCTATTGGCACAGCTGTACTTTTTGCGTTCAAGCTATGCGAAAGTTCGGTAAGCTAGAGATTTAATGGTCGCTGACTTGTATACTGGTATTGTGCTAATGGCTGAATGTTAGTTCCAGCTATGGCATGGATGTTATCCAGATTTGCGCCTAGGTATGCTGGGTTGGTCATTGGGCAGCTCATACCACAGAATAAGAGGCAGGAACCCCCAAGACCAACCTTCCTAAGTTACCTCCAAAGCTGTACTTGAGCAAATGAATTGAAATCCAAGTCTCTCCGTTACAACATATCTATTCCACCTAATGTTAGAATGCTATGAACCGAAATGGCGAAGCCGCTGCTTCACGGCGTTAGGGTTCTCCGATCACACGCAGATGTGGTGGTGAGTACCATCCAACACAAAGATAATGAGCTGATACTGCCATGCATACCTCTGCTATTCTTTACACTCTGGCTTGGTATCAGTAAAGCGAGTTTGCCTGCAGAATTTCGTCTGCAGTGCCGTTCATGGCGGAGAGCTACTGATGGCACTGCAAAAGGCTGGCCACTGAGTAAACACTGCTCAAGCACTGCTCAACTCCTACCATAATAACTCGAACCAAATGAAAAAAAATCGAACTCACGAAAACTTTAGGTGGTTGCCTAGCGAGAGGTTGAGTCACTGCACCACGGTCGTCTTTTCTTGAAGCACCATCTCTTCTCTTCCACCCACACCTCACACCTCACGCTTCCAACTCAACTCCAGATTCAACCAACCCAACATCATACACGATCACTCGAGGTGTCTTCTTTGAGCCCCAATCCTCTACTACTACTATCGAGGTCCCTCTCGGGATTGATAGTGCCTCATTTGAACTTCCGACTCTGTCCTTTGCCAGCCGTGCTAGCCATGGCGACTCGGCTCATTCAACCTCAGGACAAGTTGCCAAAACTTGACATAAAGGCTTTCGGTATCCTCAGTGATTTGAAGATGAATCTCAATCAGCAAATTTCTAATACTCTGCCTCGAAAAGACTATGTCAATGCCATTCTTGAAATCTGGGAGGCTGCACTTTACCTGTTAGACCACAACCACCCAGAACTTCACCAGGAAGTGGCACGAAAACTGGTCGCCAACAGTTCTTACGGCCGGAAATACATTGTTCAAACTGCTCAACACATATCGCTCTCAGGACAACACTCAGTTTGTGTTGAAACCTTGATACTTATTCTCGCCCATCCTTCCTTGTTGAATTGCCCAGCCGTCGAGTCATGTGTGCAAGACATGTATGCCTGTGTTGCTGGCGAAGGTGGAGAGCATGGTATTGACTTCCTATCTCGTGCGTGTACCTCTCGTCTTGCGAGGCTTGAGAAATACTCCGGAACTCTCTCCTCCGAAGAATACGGTCTTATCTCGTCCATAGCTAGAGCATGCCATGAGCTGGTCCGCCGAACTCCCAGGATACAAGCCCGCAAAAGCCGACCTGCCTTCCTAGATCCTCTGAGCAATTTGATTGCCAAAATGGACGAGAAGTTTCCCACAACCAACCTTGAAGGCCTTCATTCGAGCTTAGACATAGTCACGAGATTGGTGTCTAGCACATCAACACACCTCAAGGGTGCCGGAACTCTAGAGACCAGCGGAGATGGCCCATGCGACGACTTGCCATCGTTCCCAACAATTGTCGACAAGCCAGGCGGAAGGCATGACAATGACTTTGCCGATATATCCGAAATTTCCATCTTTCCAACTGTCGATGAAGTCAAGAGTCAGCACGCCGTCTATTTACCATCTACCAACTTTCTCGACACACATGTGCTTGAAGATCCTCTTCAGCGATATATCGATTCAATGTTTAGGCTTCTTAGACACGATACCATCGGCCCAGTAATCGGCGTTCTTCGGGAACTCTTGGGCTCGGATGATCCAATGGCAGGCCGTCTTTACAACAATGACCTCGGTGCCGATGTATACAAAGGATGTACTGTTCATGCACTCTATCTGGACAAAAAGCAAGGGCCACGGGCGGTACTATCCTTTTTTGAACCACCGGATATTTCAGACTGGCCAATTCAATGCCGGATAGGGTGGTGGATCGACTCTACTCGGCTGGAAGAGGGACGGCTCCTTTGCTTCGTCTCGTCTGAGGCTGGATGCCAGAACACACTCTTTTTCCAAGTAACTCAAAAGCGAGTCAAAGGAACAGATCACAATGGTCAAAAGTGTTTTAGCGACTGTCTTGTATCTGATGGAAAGTCCCCACGAATAACCGCAAAGCTTATCTGTCCCAAGCGAAGCTCATTTAGTCAGTTAGCCCGCTTGTTTTCGAACAAAACTTCGGGGGTATTGGTCGACTTCAACGGCATTCTTCCTGAAACTTTCTTGCCCGTGTTCAAGAACCTTCAGAAGATTCGGCTTGACAACCATCTGCCCTTTTACAAGTGGCTAGTGCCAACAAGCTCAGAAGTTAGTAACATCCCGCCTCTATATGCGCGTCACGCAGGCTTCACGTTCCCTCTTGGTTGTATAGCCAAGAACCATGGCACCGAACTTAGCCTGGATCCTAATATTGGGTTTCAAAGAACCAATCTCACTGAGCTAGAAACGCATACAGGTCTTGACAATGGTCAATGTCAGGGCTTGGTGGCAGCTCTTTCCAGAGAGTATGCCCTTATCCAAGGTCCACCAGGTACTGGAAAGTCGTATCTTGGCGTACAGCTTGTACGTGTATTGCTAGCAGTGAGAGAACAAGCGAAGCTGGGCCCAATCGTCGTATGGTAAGTTCAAATACCCGCCAACAGAGTTTGTGTTTTTTCCCATTAACAAATATCAGTTGCCACACAAACCATGCTTTGGACCAGTTTTTGAAACATCTTGATGCTGCCGGAGTCGATGGCATAGTCCGCATCGGTAATCGAAGTAACACTCCCGAACTCGAAAGCAGAAATCTTCGACGGCTCAAATTTGAAGCTCCCTTAACAACAATCGAGCGCCGTGATCTTGAAATCCTAGACCAGAAGGAAGCGAGTCGCAGAAAGCAAACGCAAGAAACAGCCAAAGACTTGCAAAGAACTTGTGAAGGGCCGCAAGACCCTCACCTATTGAACTACATTGCCAAGACCAGGCCAGACATACATCGGCAGTTGGCAACGAAGCGAAGGGCTTCAGTTACTCCCCAGGCAGGTTTGGCTGCTTGGCTCGGAACACAAAGACCGTCAGCAGTTGCTTCCGAGAAGTGTGAGTTGGAACAACTTAGCCACAACGCTGAGGTAGACATACATGACCTCTCTTCTGCTGAGCGGTGGGCTCTTCTAGATCATTGGATGGAAGAATTCTCTCAGAAAAAGGTCGACATCGCTTTTGAGTCAGTGATGGAGGCAGAGCTTCACCGTAAGAATGTCGGTAAGATATTTGACACTGTCGAACAACGGATACTTTCCAAAGCTCATATCATCGGGATTACTACATCAACCGTTGCGAGAAGGATCGACTTGTTCAAGAGTGTGTCCCCCAAGGTTATGATATGTGAAGAAGCAGCGGAGGTATCGGAGCCTGATTTCATATCTACACTGATTCCCGGACTTGAACACCTGATCCAGATCGGAGATCACAAGCAACTTCGCCCGCATATCAACAACCACAAGCTTGGGGTTGAGTCAGATACTGAGAAGAAATGGCAATTCGATCGTAGCCAATTCGAAAGACGTGCCACCGGAGAACCAGGCTTTTCTCTTATGCCTTTTGCACAGCTCAACGTGCAGCGACGAATGCGGCCCGAGATCTCGAAGCTCATCAAGAGGTTATATCCTGATCTCAGAGATCATTCTATCACTATGGACCATCCAGATGTGGCTGGTATGCGGCATGACCTCTTTTGGCTTGATCATGACTACCCGGAAGACGCGCAGTATGAAGGTCGACATGCCATGTCGCATCGTAACAGATAGGAAGCCAAGATGGCAACGGCCCTTGTACGCCATCTTGTCCGACAAGGTGAGTACAAAGCTGGAGACATAGCCCTCCTTACACCCTATATTGGTCAACTTTCCTGTCCATCGGCAGCTCTGGGTCAAGAGGATGGGATATTCATCGACGGCAAAGACGAGCATGATCGATTCTCGCTTGGGGAACACGACGAAGGGCAGATTGTGGAGCGACCTATCAAGAAGGAAAATCTGTTGGATGGTGTGCGGCTAGCGACGATTGACAACTTCCAAGGAGAAGAAGCTAAAGATCGTTGTCGTCTCTCTAGTACGTGGCAACCCGAAACACAAGATCGGATTTCTCAAGACTGAGAACCGTGTCAATGTTCTCCTGAGTCGAGCAAAAGATGGATTGTATCTTATCGGCAACACGAAGACATACCGCCAAGTGCCAATGTGGGCCAATGTTCACGGTCAACTCTCCGACGCTGCTCAGGTTGGAACTAAACTTGAACTGTGCTGTCCTCGACACCCGGAGACCACCGCACTTTGTTCCGAACCAGGGCACTTCGACATCATGAGTCCCCAAGGTGGTTGCGAAGGCTGGTGTCCTTGGCCGCTGGAACCTTGCGGTCATATGTGTGCGGCCACATGCCACTCAGAGGCGATGCATCAGGCTTATTCATGTCCCGAACTTTGTCCTCGGGTCAGAGAAATATGCAAGCACAAGTGTCCAAAACCCTGCGGAGAGTCTTATGGCCCTTGCATGGAACCGGTTCACGATACTATGCCCCCTTGCGGCCACATCCAGGAATTCATTTTATGCCATCAGACCTTGGATCTATCTTCGGTTGAATGCAAAACACCAGTAGACAAGGAAGTTCCCACATGTGGTCACATCATCTCAGTCGCTTGTTCCGATAGTGTGACTTCAAAGGGTTTTTCATGCCCTCTCCCTTGCACCTATGCTACGTCTTGCAGCCATGCCTGCACCCAAACCTGTGGCCAATGTAGCAGAAATCCACCATCGCTCATACATCTATATTGCAACCAAGTCTGTGCCCGACCACACAGTTCTTGCAACCACAGTTGCATGCAGGAATGCCATGATCCAAGACCTTGTGGCGACTGCCAGGAACCTTCTGAGGTCAGTTCAAATCCCCTTTACCCTGATGCAAATTTCTTCGGTAAAAGTCATGGTTGGCTAACTAATTGTAGGTTCAGTGTTCGCACTCGCGTTGCTCCAACGATTGCGGCCAGCAATGCAAGCCATGCATCAAGCGTTGTACGTGGGCTTGTCCACATCAAAGTTCTTGTTCGATGCCCTGCTCCTCACCATGCGATCGTCTTCCTTGTGATAAGAGATGCGAAAAGAATCTCGCTTGTGGTCATCGATGCCCAAGTTTCTGTGGAGAGAAATGTCCCAACGACTATTGTCAGACATGTAGCGACAAGAAGGCAATCCAGATCGACTGCTTAGGGTTACGGCCTTATTCAGAAATTAACCTCGACGAGAACCCCATTGTCGTAGTCGGTTGTGGTCACTTCTTTGCTGGCCAGACTTTGGATGGTCTGGTTGGGCTTGATGAAGTGTATTCGCAAGATCAGGACGGCCAGTTCGTTGGCTTAAAGGATATATCCGGTTCCCTTTCTGTCAACTTGCCTTTTTGTCCTGAATGCAAATGCCCTCTTCGCCAATTCGCGGTCAGGAGATACAACCGACTCGTCAACCGTGCTGTGATGGACGACATCTGCAGAAAATTTCTCATCCAGACGAGGGATGCCATCCAACAGCTCGAGAAGGATCTCCGAAGTGCTGAGAAAGAGCTAAAAATAACACGGGCTACTGTCTCAAGTATTGCGGAGCGTCACTCCAAGCTTGAAGAGCTCAGAAAGTCAGCGGCTCTAATCAAGAGAGAGACACTATCTGTTGCCAAACAGATAGTGAAGAACAGCTTGGGGAACAACTGGCTTTACGAGTTCATCTTTTTACCACCAAAGTCTATGAAGTGAAGTTGCGCGACTACTTTGCTGTAGCCAACAATTTCGTGGATTTGTCTCCTTGCGAGTCTCCTGCAACTTGGCCTAAGTCCGTATCTCTTTCATCACTTGAGGGATCGCTCGATGACTGCAGAGATTTGATCAAACGTGCGGCCGACGCAGGGCATCCACGGGTCGTCACGGCAGCCACACTCTCATTCGCGAAGATCGAGCGTCTCTTATATTTTTTCAAGAATACTGTAGTAGGTCAGAATCATGATGAAGATTCCTTCGAAGCCATTGTAGCCGAAGACTACACAGAGTCTAGTCGAGAGCTTCTTCATACGGCACTGTTTATGTGTTCCAAACTCAGTAACAACAAGAAGTTGAAGAAGAGTCAAACAAGCTATGGCTATGTTAGACCCTAGGAATGGAACTGTGACACCTCATGAGTTGGCTTCACTCAAGTCTTCGCTGGACAGCCGAAGTAGTGGCTTGGGGACAACCACTGGACGCTGGTGCTATTGCATTAACGGTCACGCTGTAAGTTGCACTTAAACATATGTCACTTTGTAAACCGTGCTAATGCTATTGGTCCTTCTAGTTTGCGACCGGGAGCCTTGACGTCCCCTTGGATGCTGCACGCTGCTCGGAATGCGAAGAGCCTGTGAGAGGTACTGACCACCAAGACCCCGAAGACGCAAGCATCGTGGGGGAAACGGAGATGTCGAGCGATGAGACTGGAACAGGAGTTATTACTCCAACGGAGGACGACGGACCGGACAATTATACCACGCTGGTTGGACATGCACCAGAGGCTGTGGTTTCGAGGATGAACGACTTGGCGATTCTGGATGCATCGAGAGACGAAGTAGAGTCAAGTCAGGAGTTCGGCCGACCACAAATGGCCAGGTGGTGCACTACTCAATAGGTTTCATTATTGGCTAGGATTGAATTATGTTCAAACAACTTGTCTAGGTAATACCCGGACAGTTTCACAGTTACGAAGATAGTTCAGATCAGGGTAAAAGATTTAGTGATCAGCTGTGTCGGCAACACGACGAGAATACACGATTGAGAGCCTTTTATCTCATTGTCACTTGTGATCATGCTTTGACGATAAGATGTTGTTTCAACGCGTTAAATGCAAAATGGTATTGAAGATGAACTGCTCAAACTAGAAACGCTTCTCACAACTCCTTGATAGCCTCCGTCATATACTTGTGCTTTTACATATCGTACAATCATGTTAAATAAGTGAAACCGTTCATGTACCAGATAACTCCGATGCTATTTTGCGTTGAGACGCTTAGTATCCGTGGCCTGTGTTGTTGTTAGCATCATGTACCCCTTAACTAGTTCAAGAATACTTACGTCCGAGGGATCGTCCCGTCTTGGAAATCTCCTTAGCCTGAGTCGCCTTCATCTTGGCCCGTCTCGAATCCTCCTTAGCCTCAAGCTCCAGCCTCTTAACATGCTCCCTAGCCTCACGAACACTCAAGCGAGCCTCCTCAAGGGCACGATCGGCCTGACGCTCAGCCATCTCGGCGCTCTGGACACGCTCGCGGGCCTCGACAACAGCAGGGTCGAGGTCCTTGCGGCCGCCACCGAGACGCGACATGAAGCCGCCTCCAGAGCTGTGGCGGCGGTCGGGAGAGCGGGAGGAGGAGGTCGAGGTGCGGGCGTGGGAGGACGATGAGCCTCGCGAGTGACGGTGGGTGGAGGAGTGGGTGACCGGGGCTGGCTCGTGGCGAGAGGAGCTGAAGAGGCCATGCTTGCGGGGAGGTTCCTCGCGGATGGGCTCGGGGGAGGGTTCACGACGTCCGAAGAGAGGCATGATGAAGTTGTTGATGAGTTATTGTATAAGTGGTAAGTGGTATAAGTGGTGGTTGATGTAAGTGGAAGTAGCCGAGATGGTAGCTTAATGTAATAATGTAGTCTGATAGAGAATAGAAAGAAGCTTTTCTGAAAATCTGGGCGTCTCTTGGCCTCTATTTAGACATTTCATCCCCATGCACACCCAAACCCTTGATGCCATTCATATCAACGATCGTCAACATCTCAAACCTGCTTTTTTACCCACACCAGTGACCACAACCTCACCTAGCACCCGCTGGATCTAGCGTGACGTCAATGCATGTGTGCAGGGTAGCAAGGGTCCAAAGCTTGGCGGACCAATCACGACGCGAAGATGACACGGATGAAATGATGTCTGACTGGCGGGGGTTGGTTTCGAAGATAGCGTCACCTTTTTCTTTTTTATGACGACGCAGGACGCAGGGCATTTCCTTCCTTTTTGCTCCCGCAGGAATGGGCGGTGATGACATAGAGCAGAGACCCTTACACAAAGTGACGGATGGGGCATGAGCTAATTGGTGCAGTTACTATCAAGGTTGTAATCGTGCATGAAGACCCTCTGAGATCATAATTCTTAAAGGGGACAGAAGAGCATCATTACTATTAATGGATTGTTTGTAACAATTGTAACTAATCGTCGCTCCGTGCCAAGAATGGGGAATTCCGATGTCGACGTTGCAAGTCCACAACCGTTATACTCCACAAACCTAATTTTGAGTCGAGGTAAACATGGACTACGATCTTAGTGGATCAAGATCTGTCCTGAACATCGAGACTGATGGACGGACACAATATGATCCGCTAGGTTCGTATTCCCGGAAGTGATCTGATGGTGCATATCGACATGGCTTCTCGGCGTGGCTGTGCACCTCGTGTTGCCCCTCCAGTCCAGACACAGTCGCACATATGCGCGAAATAACGAAAAGAAATCATCTTGAAAGTTCATTAAGAATGCGCTAGAGATATAATAACACCACTGCCTGATGGATGATGACAAAAGGGTTTTCCCGACATAAAAAATAGTGGTATGGGCGACGATACAGGGTAGGACAAAATGTATAACTTTCCCAGCAGTCTACTCCTCGGAATTGTGCCTCTTGCGGCTTTGGACTTGTTAGGTCGTAGGGCAGAGGCAGTAAAAAAACACACGCAAAACACCGAAAGTCCCTATGTGCCTGTGTCGCACATTATATACAGTGAAACGCCCGTGAGGAAGGCGGAGTAGAATAGGTTGGGTAGGGCCGGGTTCGAAGTAATCCCTGCTTCTTCAAACGTTGATGATCGTTGATTTCGGTGAGTGGTCGGCTCGTATTCGATATAACGCTCGTATAGTGTCGTGTCGTGTCGTGAACAAGTGGCATTACATGACGGTGCACTTGCTGTCCTCACGATCCTTCTTGACGCTGAGAGCCACACGCGCAGCCTCGGTAAAAGCCTCGTTGACGCCCCTGTTCTTCATGGCAGAGCACTCGAGGTAGCGCAGCGCACCTATGCGACGCGCGACCTCAAGACCGTTGTCGTAGGTGATCATGGGCCGCTTCTCGCGGGGCTCGCCCGTCTCGGCGTTTTCCTCGTCGTCACCTTGCTCGCGGAGATCGCACTTGAGTGCCACGAGGACAAGTTTGGTGCCCGGGCAGTTGTCGGCGATTTCGCCCACCCACTTGGACTCTACGTTCTCGAGCGAGTCTTTGCTGTCGACTGAGTAGCAGAGCATAATCAGATCTGTGTCGTCTTGGGAGAGTTAGTTGGTTCGTTGATGATGCTCTGAAAGGGGGGTTTACCGTAAGAAAGGGATCGTAATCTATCGAATTCCTCTTGGCCGGCTGTATCCCAGAGGGACAGTTCGATGTGGACATTATCGACAAAGATATCTGCGCGATTCTGTTAGTGGTGCCTTGTGCAGGGGTGTCGTGTATCGTACCGTGAACGTAGTTCTCGAAGACAGTGGGTTCATAGACCGTTGGGAAGTATCTAGTATCGTATGAGCCTCTCGCTGTCCAACACCTGCATCTGTCACAAGACATACCCTCTCGTAAAGACATTCAGCAACGACGTCTTTCCACAAGCACCATCACCACTAAACCGGTCAGCGCAATCCTTCTCCGACACATTCGTGGTGGTTCAAACGCACAGCAGCACCAGCTTTCGCTGAACAGTTTTGGATCCTCCGCAAAGAGCAGGCATTGTGACTGTAATTTCGTATTCGACTCGTAGGTGTAAAACAGGTTGGTAAGAGAAAAGAAAGAAAGACGGGAAATCGTGCAATGCGCAAGTCGCAAGAAATAAGATGAATCTCGGTTCGTGGAGCCCTGTTGGAAAGGGTGGAAGTGAAGGTTGTTTAAGTGGCGCGCAGATCAACGGGGGACTCGATTTTGGCAGCAGCAATCGTCAGCGCATAGATCAAGGCGCTGTGTCTTGTTTTTACGAAGGCGGAGCAACGGCGAGAAAGGATAAATGAACTGGCAATTGCAAGACGGCGTTTGCAGACTCAAGGACTGGACAGGGCGAATTGGAGATATCGCGAAGTGAGGCAATGGAGAATGGAGAATGGACAAGTCGAGGTAGGGATTAGCCAAGGGGATAGGAAATGAGAGGGAGCGAAAAAGACGGGGACGGGGGGGAAGATGAAGTCAGAATGGCCAAAGGCCAGCGCAATGGAAGTGATGGGGGGCAGCCAAGGACCTGGACCTGGACCTGGACCTGGGTCTTCAGCCAGTGGAGTCGACAGCAGCGACTGGCGCCGAAGGGTGTCAAAAGAACTCGGACATAGAATATTGAGTAGAAATTAAACAATGCATGCTAGAGCTTCTATGACTACAGAAATTGGCACAAGTTTACATTGAGAGAATCGATTAGTATGCTGGTACCTCTTGGTCAAAGGTATAATTATATTAACTATTAAATGATTCATTTATATGCTTCAATAGCTGCTAAAGGTTATCTTGGTTAAGATCTCGTGTCGGATATTTTCTCACACCTCCCAGATCGAGTAGGTTAAACAAGGTTATCCACTGTTATTCGGCGCCTCTTGCTGCAGTTCAGGCGGGGATGTCCAGAAGACATAAACAACCCTCCATTACTATGCGACTTTCAACCGCCAGCTATTCTGTCAGTATCTAAATGTGTCCCCTTTTTTTCCTGCACGTTGAGTGGGACTTCTTTCCCGCAGTAGCGCGAACCAGCGCGTTAATTGGCCACTGGGCCCGTCACCATCGCAAATTGCCTTAAAACCACTCTATTGAGCCTACTGAATCATGGATCCAAATTGGTCAAGCCCCTCCTAGACGAGCCCCTCCTAGACGAGCCCCAGACGAGCTGAGGTTGATAGCCTTGAGTACGATGATACAGACTTTACGTAGTGGTCACAAGGTCAAGGATTCGTCTGGCGGTGCTTGTATTGGATTGTTTTGTTGACGATTCATGGTTGCGCGACTGAGTCGGAAAGTGGCTTCGTTTATTTCCGTGGGGGATGTATCACGAGAAGAGATATTGAACACCGAAAAGTCTGATTATTCAGTACTACCTAAACAATTTGTATCGCTTAAAGTTTGAATCTATTTCATAACGCCGACAACATCTGACGGCCTCCATCAATCTCATCCATCAGACTCCCGACCTTAACGTCGCACAAAACCCAAAATCAAGATATCGCAATCCCCAACACCGGCGCACCCGAGTTGTTAATCGTAGTAACGCACTCAATCATCGTCCTTCTGGAATCCCCGACGCGCCCCACCCATGCGCTCGGCCAAGCCCTTATGTCCAGCCTGTTGATGCAATTTATTTACAAATCCACGATCGCCTCCACGTTCTCTTGCCTTGTCGTCGGCCTCTCGCAGCGCTCTCTCCCGTTCTTCCAGGGCTACGAGGCGCTGCTGGCGATCAACGTCAAGCTCTGTTGCTGCGGACTGCATGGCTGCAAGCTTGCGCTGGCGTTCCTCCTCCTTTGCTTTATCATCTTCTTCGTTGTATCGTGGCCGCCTGTCGCGAGAGTCGCTTGGGTAGCTTCGTCGCGAGTCTCTCCTGTTGTCGCGCGGTCGCTCATCGCGGTGACGACGTTCGCGTCTGGACTCTTCATCTCCCGAGTCATCGCGTCTTCGTCGTGAATGTCTCTCTCGGCTGTCGTCTCTGCGTCGCCTGTGTCGGTCCTCTGTTGAATCATCGTGGCGTCGTGGACTTTGCGACCTTGAGTAAGAACGTCTCCGTCTGTGATGTCTGTCGTCCGGGTCTGCGCTGCGGTGGCGGTGTCTCCTTCGATGTCTATCGTGTCGATCTTCCCTCTTCCGTGATTTTTCTTTCTTCTCATCGTTGACGCCCATCGAGGAAAGTAGTTGGCGACGCTTAACTGGGTCGTTCATCATAGCTTCGTAGGCAGCTTGTTCTTGCCGCTTAATGGCCAGTAAAGGATCCTCGCGAATCTTCGCAGCTGTATCTCGCGCAGTATTTGCGTTCTGCAGCGCCATAAAACTTTCAGTCCCAGCATCCTTTTCTAGCTTCTTGTGTTCTGTGCCCTTGATGAGGTTGTCGATGCGTCGCTTCCCTAGCAGGTACGCTTCGGTCTCTTCTGTTGTGCCGGTCTGTCCATCGTTAGGACCTTGGTACATCCAGTCCACGCGATCAACGCGCTTCCTCCCCCCTGCAGCCTCGAGTTGTCTCTCGACTTCTTCCTTTGCGCGCTCCTCCTTGATTTCGTTGATGCGCTGTTGCGTTCGCTTGCGTTCAGCGAGGGCCTTCTGCTCTTCATCCCAGACGGCCTGCTGGTTGCGCCGAAGCGCGGGATGGAAGGACTTTTTCAAGTTGAGATCGCCGCCACCCATTTTGATGTGTTGATGTCAGTTGGTTTGAAAAAAGAAGGGTGGCCGCAGAGGAAGAGTGAGTGTTGGGAAGTGGGGTGGCAATTATTTAGGCAGGCTAGTGGGACACCCCAGCCTTTTAAAGAAGTCTTATCGCCTTATCGTACAGGCCACGGAGCACACTTGATGCAGTGAGTGGGTGTGCCAAAGTTTAGATAATTTCCTCTATTCTAGATTTTAGTTTTTCTTAATTGATATAATTCTATATATAAACTACTACAAGCTTTTCTTAATTTATTTAATGGAAGATGTACCTTTAAAATGGTAAAAATTGGGTTTTCCTAAAGATAATACAGTGCCTTTTTAACACATTAAGAGGCATTATGTACGTACAATGCCAGATAACACAGTAACCAATCCATTAAGGTTCATAACAACCTCATCCAAATAGCCAATTGCCTGATCAGCAGGAGCTGCCATCAGTAACAAACCTTGTTTAAGATGAGCAGCTGGCTTTAATCCGGAATGTACAAATTTATCATTTCCCTCCGCTCCTCGCAGATCAAATTCTTCCTTTTCTTAATTTATAATATTATCTTCAGTCTACATATCAAGTCTTCTAATTATTATGTACATGATATACTTGTTTAATATAATCTATTCTAATATGAGTATCTCTTGTCAGCTCGTTGTCGGAACTTGGGCATGGAACTGTAAATATCCAAGGAGTCAGTGTAAGCCAAATTTTGCTTTGTGCTCGAGGAAACCTTATTGAGAACTTGATGCTGCCTTCAATTCATTGATCAGCACCACCCTGGTCATTATCAGTTTCTTTACTATCAAATGCTCAGGCTCGTACTATTTCCTCAGTCGCTCTAGATCATATCGCCAGTGTGATCGCTTGAGCTTAACTACTTACAATTTTGAATCGTCACTTACAGGGAAACTAGTGCTCCGCTCATATCAAGGGATTATGTGAGCGCTATTGAGTATGCCACCAAACTTAAAACAACAGAAATAATCCCCTTCAAGCCCTACTCGCTGTCACTCTGGTAGTCTATGCATAGAGCACGCTTGCAGCTCTCCAATAAGCCCGACGAGATGCTGGCTGTCGCAGAGTACCGTTACTATAAATTTCACATTGTATTATACAATCATGTCTATGATATGTCGAGATGCTGCTCCATTTCAGGAGCTCCGTCCAAGTCATCACGTAGTCGTACATTTTTCCTCCGCATCGTTTGTGTCCCAAACTCTCTACCAACTGGCTCGCTTCACACCAGGCAAGTTTCCAGCCATGGCCTCCATTCGGAAATTGTACTACAATTGTTAGTCCAGGCGCCTTAGTTCGCATCCGCTTCGCTCGTCGGCTTACTCGAGACATCTTGAAATCGCTCAATACACCACGTCCTTGACCACCCATGATACATCGGTTTCGGATCTGTGTTGGTCGGGTGTAGCAGTGCATCTGGGTCAATTGGAGCTGGGCCTCGGCGCGGACTCGGGGAGGTAGAGTTGTGTTGCGGATCATGTATCGGAGGGCTTGTCTATCGATTGTGTATCAGTATTTGTCTCTTGATCGAATTGTCCTCATGGTGGTGAAATGCGGTTTAGGGAAAGAGTTTTGCATACCTCTCGGTCTCGTGGGCCTCAAAGACCTTGCGCTTTGTGTGGTCGCGCAGGGTACGGACATTGACGAAACAGCCCAGATCGAGCTTCTTGGCGCGGAACATCGACATGGTGGGCGATCGGGGTTGGGGTGTCGATGATGAAGCTGTCGGGAGATGTTGCGATCATGTCGAGCCAAATTCGAGGTGGGTCTGTATTGCCGAGGAATAGCCGGCTGGATCTGGCTCTCACAGAGGATGCAACCAATTCTCGACAGGTTCGATTAACCAAACCGCCAATATTTTATGAGACTCAGAAAGACATGGCATCTCCAGCAGTTGAAAAAATTTGAGCCCTTAGGCTCATCCGTCCATTTTCTGTTTTGGCCGTCGATATTACGGTCTTAAAGACGAGGTTGTTGAAAATATGTAAGACGATCCTGTCCCAAACGCCGTAGGACAAACCGTTGTCTCATTATGGGTCTCATTTCACAAAACCAAAGTTCAAGGTAGAAAGAACAAATTCATGACAAATAACAGAAGGGCTCTGCTTCACTGTCAGGTCTAATTCGACTGTGCAATGCTTTGTACCTGTTGAGCTTAAAAATCTAGGGTATTACACGGAGGTCAAACGCCTCTGGACGATCCCCAAAACGTACAGGGGATGTTATAGCCTGGAATGTGATGTGACGCAGCCTCCATCCCAGTACGATTAGCTAAACAGTCCTGCACCTACCATGATGAAATTCCATCGAGCCTGAGCAACCAGCCTGTATCATTCCTCCTACAGTATCAATGGCCCGTCAGTCTCTTTAGAGAAATTGTGTCTTACCGCGAATAAATCGCCAAAGTTGATTCCCAATTATGGATCCCAGCAGGGAAAACCTCCTTGATGGAGCCGACCGGGTGTCTTTCGATGAGAGCGACTCTTCTGATGCTTACTCGGAAATCGACGCGACAGATTATCTGACCAGAAATGCCGTCACTCGCTCCGGAGGTTCATCTCGCAAAAAACGTCGAGTACGACCTTCTGGATTCTGGCGACGATGGCGTCCGAGCACCTGCTGTCTGACTGTCATTGGAACCATCTTGGTCGTCGGTGCTATCGTCTCAGCAGTTGGATCTTTTGCCTGGAAGAAGATCAAGACAGCGCCCGTTGATGGACAATCACCGCCATGGTACCCAAGCCCAAAGGGCGGCGCGTCCAAGAACTGGGAGAAGAGCTACACGTTGGCCGCTAAGCTGGTCAGCAAGATGACACTGGCTGAGAAAGTCAACATCACCACTGGCACGGGATGGAGTATGGGCTTGGCCGTGGGCACAACGGGCGCTGCGGTGAACGTTGGATTCCCGGCCTTGGCCCTGCAGGACGGGCCGCTTGGCATAAGATTTGCAGATAACGCGACAGCTTGGCCTGCTGGAATTACAGTGGGAGCCACATTCAACAAGAAGCTGATGTATGAGCGTGGCAATGCTCATGGAAAGGAAGCAAAAGGCAAGGGAATCAATGTGATTCTTGGTCCTGCCATTGGGCCTCTTGGAAGAGCTCCTGCTGGCGGGCGCAATTGGGAAGGATTTGGCCCCGACCCTTACTTGCAGGGCATTGCTGGAGCTGAGACAATTCGCGGTATTCAAGACGCCGGAGTGATGGCGACGATCAAGCATTTTATCGGCAATGAACAGGAGCATTTTCGCCAGGCGTGGGAATGGGGCCTCCCAAACGCCATCTCATCCAACATTGACGACCGAACACTGCATGAGATATACGGATGGCCCTTCCAGAACGCCGTCAAAGCTGGTGTCGCAAGCGTCATGTGCTCATACAACATGGTCAACAACTCCTACGCCTGCCAGAACTCCAAGCTTCTCAACGGCATCCTCAAAGACGAGATGGGTTTCCAAGGGTTTGTTATGTCGGATTGGCTTGCCCAGCGGTCTGGCGTCGCAAGCGCTTTGGCGGGGTTGGATATGAGTATGCCCGGAGATGGACTCAAGTGGCAGGATGGTGACTCCCTCTGGGGTCCTCGTCTCACTCAGGCTGTTTTAAACGGATCTTTACCAGTGGACCGAATCAACGACATGGCACTCCGAATCGTTGCCTCGTTTTACCAGCTGGGACAGGACAAGGATGAAAACAAGGGTCCTAACTTTTCCTCCTGGACTTATGACAAGAAAGGAAAGCTTGCCCCTGGAAGCCCTTCGCCACAAGAGGAGCAGGTCGTTAACCACTACGTGAATGTACAAGAGAATCATGCCGAGCTAGCTCGTCAGATCGCCATTGAAGGAACCGTCCTGCTCAAGAATGAAGGGGTACTTCCTCTGAGCCGCAAGGGTGGCTTAGCTAACCAGGCCGAGAAGAAGGATGGCAAGATCAAGATTGGGATTTTCGGCGACGATGCTGGTCCTGGAAAAGGACTTAATTATTGTCCAGACCAAGGGTGCAATGAAGGTACTCTCGGATCAGGCTGGGGCAGCGGTGCAGCCGATTTCCCATTCCTAGTAACACCTGTAGAAGCTCTGCGCAAGGGCTTCAACAAGGACAAGGTGCAAGTCAGCGAGTTCCTTTCCAACAAGGTCACAGACACAAAGAAAGTGGCTGAACAGGATGTCTGCTTGGTATTTGCCAACTCGGACGCGGGCGAGGGTTACCTCTCGTGGAGCAGCGTTCGAGGCGATCGTAACGACCTCTTTCTGCAGAAAGGGGGAGATGCACTCATCACAGAGGTTGCGAACCTTTGCGGTGGTGGAACCGGTACGACCATCGTGGTCATGCATGCTGTTGGGCCAGTCGTTGTGGAAAGCTGGATCAACCACCCACGCATCAAGGCTGTGTTGACTGCAAATCTGCCTGGCGAAGAGAGCGGAAATGCCATTGCAAGCATTCTTTTTGGCGATGAGAGTCCCAGTGGAAAGCTCCCATACACGATTGGAAAGGCACTGGCCGATTATGGCGCAGGCGGACAGGTTCTGTATCTACCCAACGGCGTCATCCCGCAGCAGGACTTCGACGAGGGCCTGTACATCGACTACCGACATTTTGACAAGCACAATGTCGATCTTCGATATGAGTTTGGATACGGTCTGTCCTACACTACCTTTGAGTACAAGGACCTGAAGATTTCTCTGAAGGAAGCAGTGCCGCAGCTACCAGCCTCGCATGTAACGTCCAACGCAAAGCCACCAAAGCTTGATGATAAGATTCCAGATGTTAAGGAGGGTCTCTGGCCTAAGAACATCCGCAAACTGAAGAAGTGGATCTACCCATACATTGACTCACCTGATGATATCAAGAAGGGCGATTATCCCTACCCCGATGGCTACGACATCGAGCAGCCTCCCTCACCAGCTGGAGGTGAAGAAGGTGGCAACCCGGATCTTTGGAAGACTGTGGTCACCGTTTCCGTTGTCGTCACAAACAGCGGTGCCGTGGATGGCAAGGCTGTGCCCCAACTTTACCTGTCTTACCCCGAGACTTCCAAGGTCGATCACCCGGTTCGAGTTCTGCGCGGATTTGAGAAGGTTGCTTTGAAGAAGGGCGAGAGCAAGACCGTCGAGTTCGAGCTTACCAGGAGAGACTTGAGTTTTTGGGATGTTGATGAGCAGAATTGGAGAGTAACGGATGATGGAGACTTTACGATTGCGGTTGGAGAGAGTTCGAGGGATTTGAAGTTGAAGGGGACATTCAAGGCCGATACTGTACTCTGAAGCACGGTACTAGATAGAAAAGTACAGAACGAATCACTTGGGTGGTAAGCCCTGGAGCAACAATTGTATGCGGCTCACGGAGGGCAGCGGTGTTTGACTCATTGACTTATCGCATTATCGTAACTAATTATACGCCCTCAAAAACTCTACCAGCGCCATCATAGCCATAGCCTGACCATACGGCATACTCGTCCGGGGAATATCCTTATAATGCTTCAGATCATGACCCATACCCGTTCCAAACGACGTATTTAGCAGCTCACCCTCTGGACTAATGTTCTCCAACACAGCCTTGATGGCCTTGACGGCTACCTCGGAGTACTGCTTGCCGATATATCTCTTGCGCTCTGCCTTGAGAATGCCGTACGCGAAACCAGCTGTTGCGCTGGCCTCGACGTATGAACCCTCTTCCTCTGGGACGTCGAGAAGGGTGCGCCATAGACCGTTCTCGCACTGCACCTTGGCGAGGGCTTCGCACTGGCTGTCGAGAGTGTGGATGAGGTGTGATCCAATGGGGTCGTCTTCCTTGATACCGATGAGCTCGAGGAACTCGGGGATCACGATGGTGACCCAGCTGTTACCGCGGGCCCATCGCGCATCGGCGAAGTTGTGACCGCCTTCCTTGAAAGTCCAGCCGTGGAAGAACAGGCCCGTTTTGGTATCGAAGAGATACTGGACGTGTAGGAGGAACTGCTTCTTAGCCTCGGCGACGTAGTGCGGCCTGTTGAGCACAAGGCCGATCTTGGCGAGCGGCATGACAGTCATCATGAGGGTATCGTCCCAGAGCTGCTGCTCGTTGACCTCGAGGTAAGTGATATGCTGAAAGCCGCCGTACTTGGTGCGGGGAAGGTCGTGCATCGCCCACTCGGCCCAGGCATCCAGCCAGGGGAGATAAGCGGGATTGCGAGTCTTTTCGTAGACGAAAGCGAGGGTGAGGAAGACGGCCATGGTGTTGATGTTCTTCCCCTTGTGACCCTCCTTGAAGCGAGCCTGGAACCAGTCCTCGATGATCTTGAGCCACTCATCCTCACCGGTCATCTCGTAGTACTTCCAGATGCCGTAGAGGCCAATGCCGTGAGTCCACTCCCAGTCATTCCAGCCTTTCGTGTCGATGACCTGGCCATCTGCGAGGGTCATGAGGAATTCACCAGTGGTGTCTGTGATGTTTACGAGTTCGTGGATGAGCTGGCGGATCTGCTTGTGGACGTCTTGCGACGCGATGTCGTGGACGTGAGTAGGCATGATGGGCAGGCTGTCACTGATGTCTCGATTAGGTGTGAGGTGAGAGGAGGAGATCGGCGGGGAAAGGTTTATGAGATGTTTTATTCCAAGGGTCTCTTGTACATAACCGGCTGCACGCTTTGTGCTTTCCCGATGTCCTCTTGGCAAATCCACATGCTCGGTCCGAAGTATACCGAGAACATGATTTTTGACTCTGTTTTGTCTCTCCGCACTTTTGCGACTGTGGGGGTGGGGCAGAAACTGGGGGGAAAGAGATGGGGGCGGAGATGAGATGGATGCGAGGAACAAGGGGGGAGAAGTTAGAAGCTGGTGACGTTGAAGATCTGGTGAAGAGATGGGATTGAACCCTTCTATCCCATTACACCGTAACCGCTGAAGGAACCACGGATTTAGTGCCTTCATCATCCGAGACAGTGGGCCTACCTTAAATACACCGCCCACATCCAATCCACTCCGGAGAGGATTGCCTATTTAGCCACGCTACTTACCAAGGATAAAAGGTGTCGAGATGCGGAGTAACTCGAGCAGCCATTTGCTTGGATTCTCCAATTTATCGCCAAGGCACGGGAAGGCACTGGCTGTTGGATTATTCGACAAGAGCCGCATTTCCAACGACAATATCTATCAATATATCACAAAAACTCGATGATTTGTACGGATAATTGGCTGTGGATACCGAATGCATAAGCTAAGATAGCTACCCGGTTCCATAGCCCCGTTGCAATTGTCGAGTTTTAATAGTAAAAGCTCCATCGCAATCATCCTTGAGAATCATGCCATGAACGAAGATCATAGCCGTCCCTAGAAAAGGTTGCACCCGGTCTCCAGGAACCAGCCAAGCCAGCAAAGGTTGAGCCCCTTGACTTGATACACCAAGTCACCCAGCCAGTACCAACTCTGTAAATGCCGTTTTGCCGAATTGTAGAAAGATCATCGCTCGGCGCCTCGGGACAAACCTTTCGCGAAAGAGGATCCCTATTTATGAGATAATGCTCGTTTAGTGGTGAACTCAATCCATATACCGATCAGAAACTGGGGCGCAAGTAACGTTGACATTGAATTCTGGGGACCCCAGATTTCTTCTATCCCCGTCCACTGGCGAGATATAACAGCCGCTCTCGCCCAGACCAACTTCTCCTTCTTTCTTCATCCCTACATTCTTATCCACTATCAAGAATGACTTCAGAGATCGAACGAAAGAGGTCCATCGACGAACTCGAGGACCTCGAAAAGCCCGTCCAGCACTCCGAAAGAGTCGACAAGGAACTCGCGCAGTATGTCTCGGATGTGCGCATCAACATCACGCCTGAGCGCAGTGCTCAGCTACGAAAGATGATTGACAAAAGGGTTCTGGTCGTCATGATCTTTACCTACTTCCTCCAGGCTATTGACAAGGGGACTTTGTCGTTTGCTTCCATCATGGGGTTGACGGCCGATACAGGGTTGGAGAATCCTGATGGGACTGTTTCTCAACATGTGAGTTATTGTATCTCTCCTCATTTACATCATTTAAACGTGCTGATAATTTTTATAGTTCTCATGGCTTACAACCTGTATCTACCTCGCCATCCTCGTCGTCGAGTACCCGCAGAACTGGCTCATCTCCCGAGTCCCTATAGCAAAATATCTCTCCTTCTGCATCGTTGCCTGGGGAGCCTGCCTGGCTTGTCATGCCGCTTGCAAAGATTTTACAGGTCTCGTCATCGTGCGAACACTCCTCGGTATTTTCGAGTCCGCGTGTCAGCCATGCTTTGTCATCCTGTCGGCGATTTGGTACCGTCGTGAGGAACAAACCTCTCGAGTAACTTATTGGTATGTCTTAATTGCTTCACCAGAAGACAAGTACTAACCCGCTCTTCAGGTATGCTATGAACGGTATGCAGCAAATCGTTGGTGGTCTTCTCGCCTACTGCTTCTCCCTCATAAAGTCCGGTCCCCTGCGATCATGGCAATGGCTCTTCCTAACCTACGGCGTGATATCCATCATCTTCGGCGTCTTCGTCGGCTGGTGGATGCCCGACTCTCCCATGCGCGCCAAATGCTGGTCCGAGCAGGAGAAGCACGAGATGGTGGAGCGCGTGCGCGATAACCAGACGGGTATCCAGAATAAGACGTTCAAGAAAGAGCAGTTTATCGAAGGTCTCAAGGATCCCCAAGTCTGGGGGTACGCTCTGATCGCGCTGTGCACCACGCTGCCTACATCTGGGCTTGGAGCTTTTGCGAATATCATTATCAAGAGTTTTGGGTTCAGTACCCTTGAGACGCAATTGTTGGCTATGGTGTTGGGCTTTTATATCGTTATTGTGCTGCTATCGTCTGCTTGGCTTGTTAAGAAGACGAACCAAAACCTCTTGGTTATGCTCGGTTTTTGCGTCCCGTAAGTCTTATCTCTATTCACGTTTCGACATGCGCTGACAGTACCAGTTCCTTCATCGGTACAGTCCTCCTCATGACCCTCCCCAACAAGACCATGGCCCAACACGTCGGTCTCCTCATCTCATACTATATCACCCTCTCCTTCTGGTCCGCCCAAACCCTCGCACTCTCCATGATCTCCCGAAACATCGCCGGACAGACCAAGAAGACTGTCGCAGTCGCCACCAACTTCATCGTCTGGGCGGCTGGTAATGCCATCGGCCCTCAAGTCTTTCTATCCTACGATGGTCCTCGCTACTTTATCGCATTTGCCACCCACCTTGGATGCTATGCTCTTCTCGTTGTTGTCATTGTCACTCTGCGATGGTATCTTCGCAGAGAGAACAAGAAGCGCGATGAGTTGGCGGCGTCAGGTGTTGCGGAGGCCAGTTCGACTTATACGGGCCAGGCCTGGGATGATCTCACGGATAAGGAGAACTTAAGTTTCCGTTATGTGTACTAGATACAGAAATGTGGTGAATTTGGATGAGACTGAACTATAGATTGTCATGAATGAATATGAACTTAGACATCCCACACAAGATTCTTTGCTGCCTTGGCGTTTGAGAGGACTCATTCCAGGCTGATGCTTACCTTCGCCAAGCCAAAGACCTAAGTATAGTGAACCGATTGAAGGATCGATATCGGCTATGGAATATCATATACCATTGGAGTCGCTATGTCCCTTGCCTGTCGACCTTCCTTCTCTACGAAAAGCAATGTAGTTAGATTTCTCGAACGGTACAAAACAATCATTATGGCAGAGGATGTATATTGGATTATTTGAGATAGTAAGTTGTATCACTATACTGTCTTTCATTCTAGCCCTCCAAAACAAGAACGTCTCATCGACCACCCACTTGTTGTCCAAGTAGTAGTCTAAGACCTCACGCCATTGGTTTGATAGTAGTACTTCCAAGTCTCCGTACCATCAGAATCAACAGCAGCCAGAAAACCAATCTCGTCTCCATTTGTAGCAATAGCCTTGGTCATGAGTGCACGTTCGGGAGCAGCGCAACCACTGCAAACAATCTGGTCCATTACCGTGATGGCGTCGCAGGTAGATGAAGCGTTGGCCTCGGAGCGTAGGATGCACTGCCAGTGAGTATGCTCACTATGGAGCTCGGTGGAAAGGTATGAAACAGACATTTTGATTGTGTTGTTAGGTAAGGAAGGATTTGGGAACTGTGATTGTATGGGTAGATGTTGTGCTGTTGAGAGTGGCTGGTGAGTTACAGAATGGAGGTAACACAGAGTACATGCGGCTTCGGGATATATAGAGCCTGATAAGAGAAGATTGTAAATGAATCACAAGTAGTAGTAGTCAGTTACACAAGTACATGGAGACATCACTATACACTGTATGCGTGATTAAATCGATACAATGCTTCCATTCACATACCTTGTCTATATCGGAAGAAAAAAGCAGTGTTGAAGAAAACCTGATTCAATGTCTGTGAGTAACAAATTTATTTTTACATGGGAAGGTAATTACTATGGTAATCTGCTTGCTACGTATCGTAAAATAGGCTATCACTCATAGCGACGTTAGAGTTTGCACATAGAACAAGAGGGAAAGGGGGGACCTTTCTGGCACAAACAGGTGAAGTATGGTAGATGAGATATGTCTCAAGATACCAAATCTGTGTCTTTTAAGTGTACATGAAACAAAAGAAGTTTATCTCGCGCGAGTTTGAATTTGGGCCACATAACCCCTTGCTCGATTCTGAAGCTAGTCAACCCAAAGTTCATGTATTTCTCTGTTTACACTAGTGACTGATCTCTATAGCTGGAAACTATCTAAGCTCACTCTCCATCTATATGTCACGTTCAAGTATTGGTCATGACTGCTCACGAGTAGTACTCCCACACCTCCTCGCCAAAAGCGATATCAACAAGACTCCCAATCTTTTCCTCGCTGTCATTCAGAGCATCCGCGCCTATATCACGAGTATTGCCACAGAAAGAGCATTTATCAGTACCCATATCGGACACCATTATGCATTTGGGTCGACCGATCAAGTTGATGAACTTGTTGCAGCGCCACTTGGTGTGTGCCGTGGGACGAGTGAGTATAAGTCCGGGCATGGTGAGGTGATTGAGAATGAAATGTTGAGGGATGGGGTTTCTGTGGTTGTATGTACTGTTAGGAAACTTGAGACTGTATGATTGGTGTAGCGTTGGCTGAGTTACACAGCAGGGAGTGACGAGGATGGTACATTCCTTATACAACCCCGTACGGGCGAAGTAACGCGGAATCATTGGATATTGCTACTAAGAATCACTTGTACAAGACTAAGGCACTTGATCACTACGCATTCTTGGAGTGCAAAATTCTGCATTACTCACGCACAGTTGTATAGCCCTTTTTACAGCTAGTCACTGATGAACGTAGTTGATCAGACATGTATTCAAGTGCCTAAAGAGTAGAGAGTACAACTTATCCCTGGCACTGATTTGCAATATGGACGCCTTCGAAGTAAATGTTTAGCTTTGTCCACCGGAATGCCACAGCTTAGATAAAGCTACCATGATGAACAAGCCAAGTCCTGTCTGTTTTGGCGGCGTGTCTCTGGTCGGGCGAACAACAAAGACTGTTAGCTGCCAACATGGCGATGGTGGTTACACTCCACATGGAAATGAGGCTAAATAAATACAAGATCCCTCGCAACTCTTTGGTGCATAGTGGTACTCTGTACCTTGACCAAATCTATCTTTGTCCGCTCTTCCAATTCTTCTTCCTTTCATCCCACCACATGACACCCTTGAACAACTCATCCACATCCCACTCCAACGCCCCAAGAAGCTCAAACACCTTTTCTGCCTGCTCCCTAGCCCCCCTCAAAGCCTCCATCCTGTATTGCATCCATCCAATTCTTCTCTGTTCCCAAAGCCTCAAAACTTGGATGTGCTTCAGCAAGCCACTGGGATTCGTTCACGAACCACACCGCTGCGTCCAGCGTACGTATAACCTCGTTGTCCAAAGGGTTTGACTCAGACAACATCTGGTCTAGAGTTTCTACTAGAGCCGGTAAATCGCTGGAATTTTGCGGCGTGTATCGATCTTTGGTATTGCGTTTGAACCATGTAAACCCAGTCCATGACCTTGGATCTTCAGCCCAGTCTTCCTGGCAGGCGATTACGCGTTTTGATACATCGAGGGTGTGGGATGCTAGGGCGTGAAAACCAGTAGTATAGTAGGCGAGCTGGAGTAGTTGCGGGATTTCATCCGGTTGTATAGCCTCACGCGCCAGTCTCTTGGTTTCGGTGTTGATGATCCATGTTGACATGTTTGTTCGAAAGTCGGTGATGAGATCGTCGTGGTTATCGTATGCTGATGGATTTATGGTGACAAGCCAACAAAAAGGTCGGAGCATATAATCGTAAGAAAGATAATCAGCTAAGTCGCAGAGGTTGAGAATATCTGGTCTAAACCGTTGTAGTAAGGCTATAAAAACCTTTTTGTAACTTGTGAGAAGCAGTTGAGTCGCAGGTCCGTAACTACCAGTTGATTGGTCGTTGATTCTGCGTAGTGCATAATATAAATCTGTCATCAAGCTCACCAAGTCAAGATTCTAGTAAAGACCAGTATCGCTAACCACCTGACCCCAAAAAATATTTGCATGCAGCTTGTAGCTTTGAACAATCGTATTCAGATGCCAAAGACTGCCTTGACTATAAGTCTCGCAGACCACTGCGGTGTCGTCGAGCGGGTGGTAACCCGCAAGAGTATCCAATCGATCGGAGAATACATTAACAAGTGTATCAACGGTAGGCTTGACGGTATCGGCGGTCTTCTTGTTGGTGATGCTGTGAGGCGGCGGCGGGATCAGAAGTTGGAGTGAATTGGGCTCCGCGCGCGGAATGCGGTCGATGTTGAACAGTAAATGATAAGCCACCATTGGAATGGCTAGAGTTGAGGAGACGATGTTTTCCAGTGGAGGGAATGGTTTCATGGGAGATATCGGCGAGTGGACGTGAGTGTAGGTGTAAATCAAATAGAGTCCCGCAATGACGATGGCAGCCCCAAGTACGGCGAGGGTTCTTAGCAGGTGAAGGCGATCTGCTGTTAATGATTGCTGAGTCTCTTGTCGTTGGCCATCGCCAGCCTCGTCCTGGCCTTCGTCCTCCTCATCAAGAAGGTTAACAATGCCACAATTGACAATCAACCCATTTGGCGGCGGTTCCCGAATCAATTCAGTAGGACGAGTTACGGCCATGCCCGAATCATCGATATATAAACTCAACGCTCGTTGTCCATGCGGCGTGAATTCAGAATGAAAACACAGCTCAATATGCTGGTGAGTTGGGGCGCTGTCTTGGACGTCCGAGGTTGGAAGAGCGGCTTGGAATCGAAGCATGCGGTAGCCATCATTAGGATGAGACGTTGGTGTTTGTGGGAGTGACGATGCGAATCGAAGTCTTGCGCTTCGGCGGGAGGAGCCTGGGCAAGTAGCTGAGGATGGCATTATGAGAAACACGATAACGAGGAAGAGAGGGAAGAGAAAGAGGCAAAGAGAAATCAGAGAAATCATATGAATTGGTCAATGTTTGTTGGTGGCGCGTGTTTTGGTGTTGCACTACAGTGTGAAAATGATCGATTGCTAAGGGAAGTAGAGCATGCGATCCCTGAGATGGCTATCATCATGACCGCGATGGGTTTTATTATTGTACGTGATGGAGTTGAAGAAGAGGAAACAAGTTTTTCCTCTCGACTAAGCAAGACTTGTTGATTTTGTTTCTTCCAGTTGGACAGTCAAGATGAAGGTGAAAAGGGGAAATGCTGGCCAAGGCAGGGTAGACCAGAAAGTATTCCGTATCGAAACTGATATAAGGAGGTGAACTCGTCATGTCAAATATGACAGTGAACCCTTCCGCCTCAACGAAGCCTCTGTGGATCATTAAGTTAGCATGATCTATCATGTTTACACAGTGTTGTCTTGGATGTATCCTCTGCATCGTGGCGTCTTGGCAAAAGCCTCAATCCTATTCATACCCTCATGGGCTAGCTATTGTCGCCCAGACTAGCCCATCATCAACCAATCATTCATCATCAGTTAAGCATTCATTCTATTTACTAAAAGAGAACTGGCAAATTGATATTACTGCATTGGTACTGTCACTAGCTCTAGAGTATAGGCCATGATACTACCTCTGTCCTCAATACCCCTTAGTGAACTGCCGATAGATCTCACCACATCGCGCTAATGATTCCTTTCAGCTCTAGGACTCTAGTTGACAACCTTGGTCAACTACTCAAAGTACTTCCAGACCTCAGAACCATCGTCAGCCTTCAGATATAGCTCGCCAATGTCTTTATTGTCCTTATTCTGTGCAATAGAGCCAAAGTCACGCTCCTCCATGCACTTCTTGCATTTCTTATCACCCATTCCGTTGGCCGTGTTGCAGTGGGCATCTGCCGTGGATGTAGTGTTTCTCTTGCATATCCAGTGGGAGAAGCGAGTAAGATCGACGGTGGTTGTCTCGGACATGATGAGAGACGTGAAAGAAGCCCTGAGGTGTTGCTGAGCGAAGAGTTGTTGTATCTTCTTTGTGATCTGAAGATCTTATGTTAGTCATGACGATGAAGAGTCAAAGGGGTAGAGACAGCACACTGTTCAAGGTCTTGCCTTGTGGTTGTAGGTGGAATGAAGTTGTATGGTATCAAGCCGACGTTATAAGATGAGGGGACAGATCAGGGTTTAAATAGGTATAAGAATCGTACAGCCATTTGTTCAAAATTTATACAATATTTACCTGCGTTTGCGGTACTGAGTAGTGTTTGTGTCATGTGCCTGGGCAAACGTAGGTACACACAAAACATATGATCACAATGGACATCGTCATCCAAAGCATTTGAGGACAAGAACAAATATTAAGGCTTCTGTGGAATCTCAGATTGCTCTGGAAGGACTTTTCAGGTGGCCTGAGACGGATAAAGTCTATGCTTGTCATGGAATCTGTGTGAAAGTGAAAGACGAATCAGTTCAAGTACAATCGGCTGACAACGAGCAAAGCGCAAGGCAAACATAGCCGAAACAAATGAAGAGAGAATCAAAGCAATACGGGTCTTTATTCTTCCTGAGATATTGGAAACTGCACAACAAATAGAGCTTGATTGTATAGTACCACATAAAGAAAATCATCTCATGTGTTCATCTTTACCATGACTAGCCACCCCGTATCAGAATGTACAGCAATCAAGATTCCCAGTGGGCCAGGTAACTTGGCTAGTTATCCAGCTTAACATCCTTGACCAGTTTAACATCCTTGAGCCATTCAGATATATCAACAGGTTGTGTCTTCGCCTCCGCCGCCTCAATACTGTCGTTCCCTGTCTCGGCAGGACCTTCCTTCTCTGTCTTTGCATCAGGGGTACCCAAGAAGGACCAGTCGGCATCTTGAATAAAACCGGGCTCGTTGGGAGGTGCAAACATGATACCCATGATCCTTTCGGAGCCGGTGATGTGTGCTGCACGGGAATACACAGCTCCAATAGCTTCGCGAGTTTGCACACTAAAAACAAGGCCAGTGTTGGTGCGAGCAAGTGGAAGGGGAGCGCTGACATTAGCTTCCTTGCCGTAGGTGTTGTTGATATCAATGACCTTCAAACCAAGCGTGTTTCCATCCTTGTCACGGACGACTTGGAGACGCATGGAGTCGATGGTTTGTAGGGGATCCTTAGTGTTGTTTTCTCGCGAGGAGCTCTCGGGGAGTGGTTCCGAAGGATCAGGAACGAGAGGCACGGAGTCGACGTGAGACTGCAGAGGGTAGAAGCGAGGGCCATCGAGAAAGAGCTGACGTGCCGAAGGAGGATGATGACGAGGGTAGTGGTCGAGAGTGCGAGCGCGGTTGCGGCCGGTAGGAATAGGGGACGAGGGCTTTGGGGATGAAGGCGGCATCTTGAGTTGAGATGAGGGTGTTTTTCTTTGTGGTGTGTTGATGCTGATGTTGGTGCGGTTTTGGTTTTGGAGATGGTTTGGCGTTGAAGAAAGATGAGAAGAAAAGTCCGAGTTCGGAGGGTTTTGTGCACGAGATTGCGGTGATGGTTTGTAAGTGTCTGCCAGTGTCAGGCCGCGTGCTATAAACAAACGAATGCTTCTGCAAACAAAGATGATATCATCGTGTTATTCACAGTCAGAAGACCATCACGGAACATCAAAGAACCGACTCTGATGGGCCGTGGTCGGATATGTTCGTTGCATCTTCATAAATATCCTGAAATCACAAACGCGCCGGCGATCTCTGCACATGTGCTGTGCAGATATTTCTATTATCTGCAGCAAACCGATTGCGGTCTGCAGACCATCAACTCCATACTTACTGCGCTCTGACTTCGTACCAGAGTATTCGATTGCATCATGTCTGTGAACATTTAGTTGTTGTCTCGGGCAATAGTGTTTGTACTTACGGCGCAACGAGTGCAATGACACCAGTTTTGCTGGCAACCATTCCAAAATGTGGCCTTTGCTGCACACAAAGCGTCCTCGTTTGATCCTTCGTCACAACACACGAATCCAAACAAATTTCTATCCTATTTCAACGCTCAACATTAGTATCCTCCGTCCCAGGCTTTGTCAGCGAGTCGTCTCTGCTACATAAAGCAGCCTAGGTATCAATAATATGGCATGCAATAGCGCACGTTAGTGTGAACAGTTAACGGTTTCATTAATCATCGAGGAAAGTAGCTGTGGAGGGCTCAATTCAGTGGAGTGTCGCAGATAATCTATAAGGTTTGTTTTTTCTTGGACAATTAAACCAGTATGTTGAACTCAGCTGTGTAGTTAGATAAAGAAGTCTTCCGTGCCATTTTGCCTTCAGAAACCGCCATCCCAACTGCTACTAATAGAAACTCGTTTCGGGATTTCCTGGCAAACTATTCCCTATATTTCAAAACCCGCACTACTAATCTACGGAGTAGCCACTATATATATAACAAGACTATAGCTGCCTTTTTCTTCGAGTGAATCCTTTGGTATGCATCAGGAGGCATGGATCTGATAATAACATTCACAGAGTATGACGTAAGGTTTCTTTTGCGGTTTTGTTTTCGTAATGTTTTCATTAATTTATTCTGTTTAATGTACTTTTAATATCCCATATCTATTCCCATTCATATCGTCATGACGCATTAATCTATTTAAACTTAAGGACAGCCTTGCCGAAGTTCTTGCCCTCGAGCATACCGATGAAACCCTCGGCGGCGTTATCAATACCCTCCGTGGTAAAGAGCTTGGCCTTGACACTGCCGTCAGCGAGCCACTTCTGGAGGTTCTCTTGGTGCTCCTTGGCGTAAGCAGGGCCGAACTGGGGGTGGGAGACGAGGAAGCCCTCCATCTTGACCTGCTTGGCGATGAGGTTGACGAGACCCTTGACTCCGGTGCGCTGGTCGGCGGGGGTGTTGTACTCGGAGATGAGACCGCAGACGGGGATTCTTCCGCCGACGTTGATGTTGGCGAGAGCAGCCTCGAGGTGGTCACCACCAACGTTCTCGAAGTAGATGTCGATACCGTTGGGGGCGAGGCGGGGGAGGGCGTCCTTGGGGCTCTCCTTCTTGTAGTTGAAACCGTGGTCGAAGCCGAGTTCCTTGGTGATGAAGTCGAGCTTAGCATCGTCACCGACGGATCCGATAACAGTGAGACCCTCACGCTTGGCGACCTGACCGACGATCTGGCCAACAGCACCAGCGGCAGAGCTGATGAAGATGGTCTCACCCTTCTTGGGCTGACCGATCTGGTGAAGACCAGACCAGGCGGTGAGACCGGGCATACCCAGAGGTCCAAGGAAGAGACCGAGGTCAAGGTTGTGAGGGTTCTGGACCTTTCTCAAGTTGACCTTGGGGATGGTCTCCTTGTCCAGACGGACGTACTCGGCGATGGGGAGGAAACCAACAACGAGGTCACCCTCGGCAAAGTCAGAGTTGTCGCTCTTGACAACCTTGCCCAAGCAGCCGTTCACGATAGCATCGTTAATCTCGAAAGCGGGAGCGTAGGACTTGACGGTTGTGTCGCGCATCTTGCCGCGCAGGTAAGGGTCGAAAGAGGCATAGAGAAGCTCGAGGACGACACCGCCCTGGGGAGCCTGATCGATCTCGACGGGACGATCCTCGATAACGAGATGCTCACCGGCCACGGGAAGGGCAGTGGGGATCTTCTTGTAAACGAGAGTCTTGTTCTGTGTCATATTTGCGGTTGTGTATGTGTATGTTGTATGGGAGGTGATATGGATGATGTGAGAGTGTGTTGGTATATAGAGGGGTATATAAGATAGAGAGTGAGTATGAGATAGACAAAATGTGAGTGATGACGACGTCACTGCACTTAAATACAAATGCGGTAGAAGAGCCATTCGGTACTCCGTACAATAGCTACATCAAAGTGGCACTACACTGGGCCGAGGCTCGTTGAGGCTGATTTGTAAGGGTAGCGCATTACAAAGAAAGCACTGATTTTTTCTAACAACTAAAAACGTCACAGCGTGTTGGGAGCTCCACACGGGCGGTGATGTTACCAAAAGCGGTTATGATGTTATGGATGGTGACACTCTGAGTATTTGATGAGTTTATGAAGTGCAAATGAGTACCAATTGAGCTTCTACACTATTGTAATGCTATGTATATGAAGCTGTCCTATTTCTGTGTTGTCAACAGTTCAATTAACGCGGTCAGATTCTAATCTAGATGGAAAAAAAGCGTGGTCAGAAAATAGACAGCATATGTGGCCAACGAGGCGGGGGCGGGGTCCTGTGGATTTGATCGGGACAATTAACTAAGAGAGGATCCAATGCGACGTGACGGTGTGAGATAACCTCGGCGAATCCGTCTATCCTGGTTGGCCCTAGAATTCTTTACACGCTTCTAGCGCTGTCTACAGTTTCTACAGAGAACAGCGCATCTGGAAAGCTCTGCATAACGCCGAGGGAGGTGCCGGTTGTCAATGCATTGTTGGTAGAGTAACCTCAACGTTTATTCTGAAAGCTGTGGTTGAGGCGGTAGAGAGGGAGATTGAACGAGGCTGATTATGTAATTAACGTTTATGACTCGGGTTTTCGTAAAATGGCAGGTCGCACGAGTCAGGATTCAAGGGTTGGAAGTTCTCCAATATTCAATACGAGAGACAGCTCTTTAATGATTCAACCTAGACCAATAACAACTGTCCGCCTATGGAATCCTGCGTAGTACTATTATTGCTCAATTGAAGATACTTCCTGACCTTGATCTAGGTATTTTAAAGCAGCTATCGAATAATGCAAAGCCTGTTCATGACGAGAACTTCAATCAAGGTTCAGATACCCTACATCACTTTACATCATCAGAAAATTGCCACCTAAAATTTTGATTGCATCCACGTCACTCCACAACTACCGAGGTCGATTTCCTTGAATGCCGTGCTTAAACTACCATGACTCAGTAGTGAGATCATGGAAAAAGCATAAATCGGTTCAATCCGCACCCCGACAGGTTGCGGATCGAAACGTGATCGGCCGGCAACACCGACTGTGCAATAAAATATCAACATTTTATGGCAGAGGATCTTGTATGCCCGGAGTACACCTTCAGCTGTGTACAAAACTATCCAACTAGTAAAACCAGAAATTCCAATAACTAACGCTACGAAACCAACAGTACGGATACGACGTAGGATCAGAAGAAATCAGAACATGCTGTGCCTCTCCAGTAAACTCACGCATCCCGGGTAGCAGCGATCGCTTTTGTTCTTGAAGGCCTCACTGAGTTGGCAAACAGAAAGTTCCCCAGCGCGGCGTCCAAAATCTAACATTCTTTGGCTTATATATCAAACTATGAATATTCCCAATAACAGCCATAGATATAGCTTCGTTAAGTGACAGACAGAAGGGAAAGGGGTAGCAGAACTTGTAGGTCAGGGAAGTAAGTGGAGGTTGTCACCTACGATCCATGAAGTAAGCAGATTCAAGGGACGAAAGCAGAACAAACAGCATTGATTCCGTGATCGTTGGAAACAAGAGCACCTATTCTAAACATACATGGTCGATAGATTACTCGTACTCCGTAGGACTTGGTACATAGGTACATACACCAGGGCCCTTTCTATCTTCATTTCTTTTCTCTGGCGTTTGGCTATAACAGTTGATATTTTTAAATACTAAATCGTGTAAAAAAGGCTAGAAATTGAGTTGATTGAAATGATATCAAGGAACCCGTTCTCATACGCCCCGGAAAGAATTCAAACGGTGTCACTCGGGCTTTGTATATCAAAATCTATGGGCGTAATCATCCACTTTATCATGTAATTGCAGCGTAGTTCCCAGCATCGAGTGATATCACAGGCTCTTACGCAGTTCTTCCTCTAACTAAACTCGCCCTAGCAAACTGAACACAAAACCGACTATCAACTCATAAAATCATATGTCGCTTTCGTGAGAACCGGGCAAAGAACTGCCGAAAGTTGAATTACGCTCAGACTATTTTCATGACTAGGAATAAAGTAAAATCTTACAATGGCCCTGCGACTCTTTTAATCTTTGTACATGATCTGCCGCTTTCAATCATTCATACCCTTATTACTTCAGCTGACTCAGGGATTCTTTTCAATAGCGTCCGTTACAGCCAGACTATCGATTTTGACGCAGGGGCTCGCCAATCACAGCTCTGATAGCCTTTAGTTAAATTGAGTTGAAGATGTCGCTTGAACTGAATAAGAATTTAGTATCCGTGCTTTCTAGGGGATGACAGATTATTGAATTCGGGGCTCATCTGTACATAAGACAAGCCGTTGGCGCTATTTGAGTTTGAGGATGGCTTTTTTGTCCTTCTTGTCTTTTCCTAAATAGTCACTCTTTTGCCAGTCATTCGTTAATACTGCTCACGCCCATCAGCACAATGATGAACTCCAAGACCCTCGTCGCCGCACTGGCCTACCTCAGTGTCTCTGGCGTCTACGCTGGTCCTTGCAAGCCTGTTACTGCATCTGCAGCCATCTCTACCCAAGTCACCTCCGCCACAACAGAAGAGACCAGTGTTATTGATGTCTCAACCACCATCACCGCAGCCGATACCACCACTGGAATCAGCGCTTCTACAACGGATCTCAGCTCAGAGGATTCTACGATCGAGCTTACTACGACCACTACAGCTGCTGTAACTTCAGACGTTGCAACTACTACCACCGAAGCTGCCTCTACCACCACTGAGGCTGCATCCATTTGCCAGACACCCATCGCCTGCAACAACCTTGGCTTCGACTGGGCGTACTATTCCAACCCTGCTCAAAACACCGACACGACCTACTCCAGCTTCCACCCATCATCCTTCAAACGCGTCAACCCTTCTTTCGTCGGCACTACTCGCCAGATCGGAGGTCTCTACAACAGTCCCGGTACCGATCCTGTAGGCCCTATCTATGGCTCCTCAGACCTTGCCCTCGACTACTTCGCGCTGAACCACCACGCCTACATATATGCTTGCGAAGCCGGTACATACAAGTTCGATATCCCCTACGCCAACGACGGCGTGTATCTCTGGGTCGGAGCGAAGGCGTACGCTGGTTGGACTGATGGGAACGCCGATGCCAAAGCGCTCTACAACCAGCCCGATCACATCGCCGGAAGTGCTAGCTTCACGATAGACATCCCTGCGGATGTGTATATCCCTGTTCGAATCGTTTATGGTCAGGCGCAGTATGGTGGAGGCTTCACATTCACTATTACTTCACCCAGCGGAAAGATTCTTCTCGACAGCGGTGCTGCCTCGAGCCCTTTTATCGTAAGGAACTCTTGTGATGGTGTCTCGGCACCCCAATATCCCCAATTTGGTCAAGAGATTTAGAGTCTGTCGATGAGGTCTTATTTTTCTTCAATACCCTTTTAGTACTATTCCATCTTGTTTAATTTTGGGTAGAATATATCAGTCTCATCACACGTAGAGAAGATAGAGGAACAAAAGACATGCAATGCCAATGCGAAATGTATTCCACGAATTGTAGTCGAGTTATAAATTAACGATGTTAAACAAGACGTCCATAAAGGTTGGTACATGTCTAAAATTATCTATCAAAAATACAGCAATATTTTCCAAAGGGTTGTGTCATCGTTCGTCACTTCGTCGCTCAACTCTGAAACAGGATCCATGTCGATTCTCCAAAACGCCCAGGCAGGTCAAAATGACCCTACGTCAATACATGCACCCACCTATCCCATGCAAAACAATGACATGATCTATCTGTTTGTTGCGCGGCATCTTCACGGGATAGCCGCAGTGATGAAGGACCGCTCATGCTGTCACGGTTTCCTCATCGGCAGTGTCCTCATCGGGACCCTCCCAATCATCACTCTCAAGGCCATCGCGACGGATGAATAAAGACAGACCCCATCCCAAAATCGCCAAACCTCCAAAGATACTCCAGGCCAATGCCTCACCCTTGGGGCGAATATTGATGGATAGACTGAAGAGACCACCGGACACAAAAGGTCCGAAACTGCGGCCTAGGGCAGATAAGGTCTGCGCCATACCGTTCAGACTACCAAGGCTCGCATGCGATGATGCAGAATTGGTGATCTAATACTGTTAGCAAAGTTCGCTCAAAACACGATAGACTTGTCCTCACCAAAAGCATGACGCTGGACAACCCTCCGACAGCGCAGAGGTTCTTCAGAATTAGCACCAGTCCAAGCTCAATGTAGAGCCAGATCTTGCCAGTTCCCACACCAAATAAGGGCTTGTCGTCAGCATAGCCAACCCACGGCATGAACAGCATGCTGATACCAAGTCCCAGGAGGGAGATCTGGTAGGTGCCGAGGTTGCCCAACTTCGCCTTGAGCGCTTGAAACAAGAAAGCTTGGAAGACGCAGCTTGCTAACCCTGCGACACTCAAGCTGATACCAATTTTACTCGGCAGCAAGTCGCGACCAGCGGGCTGAGGCGTAGCGGCAAAGATGGGGTAAAGACTGTTGAAGGAGATGTTGGAGAGTTGGAACACAAGATAGGTGAACAGAACGAGAATGGTTGTTCGGCTGAGGTCCTTCCAGACGGACATGGCGGGGTCCATCTTGTTGTCGCCCTCATCATCGTCTTCATCTTGATCGTTTTCGGAGTCGGACTCGAATACCCGCCCAGAAGACAGCAGAGGCTGCTGGGTGTGGGATTGCGATCGGGGCCAGCGCGCGGCCCAAGAGGGGCGGCGAGGAGGCGGTTGGCTCGAAGGTAGCCAAGAGAGGATCTTATTGACCCATGCCGGTTTCTCAAAGTTGACCTCGGTTTTATCCAAGGTTTCCTCGAACCAGATACTGACAACAACCACGCTGATCGCAAGAAGGCCGGCAGAGAGAATGTTGGGAGCCAGATAAGGATATTCCTTACCCATCTTGCCCACAAGGATTCCTCCTAGCGCAGGCCCTGTGATACTGCCGAGCGAGTATATGACAGGCAAATAGGTGAACGCGCGGCTCTGGTTAGATCGATCCGTGACTTCTCCCAGAACTGTCGGCACACAGGCAGCGTTTCCGTTGAGGAGTCCCATTGCGACGTGAACAACCACGATCTGCCAGTATTCCTTGCAGAACCCAAAGACACTGAAACACCCCATAAGAGCGATCGTGCCCATGATTAGTACGGGTTTCCTTCCAATCACATCTGAGGCATATCCCCAGAGGAAGTTTGTGGACAGCTGCGCCAATGCGAACGAGCTCGCAAGAATTCCAACGTATAGCCCAGCTTTATCGTCAGGTATACCGGGCATGTTGAGGACCATTTCAGGAAGGTACGGGGATATCGAGTTCAGCGCAGTCTGCTCGGCGAGGGATAGGAAGGCCAGCAGCAGCAGCTGGCGCACAGGCAATGGGGTCTCTTCGTGGTCATCGTCGTCGTCTAAATCGCTCCCGTTGGAGGGCGCATACGGCTGCTCGAGAGGAGTCTTTGGAGGCGTGGTGGGAAAGGTCTGGTATCGATGAGACTGGCGTCGCAAGGAGCTGAGAGTAGGGATTGGCGCGCCGGCGTGGAAGGAGCCTGACGAGGCTGTCCGACTGACAGCCATGGCTCTCATGGCGGCGGGGTTTGACGAATTATTTCGTGAGGGCGCCATGTTGGACAATGCAGCTGTGACTGTGCAATCCAAAGGCCTCTCTTTGGGTGACCTGAGGAAAGCTTGCCGATGGTCAAGCCTCGGAATGGAAGTGAAGAGAGTGGTGACGTAGGGAGAGATTTGTTGTGGCGGGGCTGACACGAGCCACAGCAAGAACAGGGCTTTTCCGACGCGACAAGGATAGGGAGCAGGGAGTGTAGACGCTGGAGGAAAAGAGAGAAACGACTCTGACCAATGTTGAAGCTCTAATTGAGTGTCAGACAAAGATGCGACATCAAGATTACGTGCATCTGAAGTGAAGAACGATGCACCCGGATTATCGGCAGATCACTTTTCTAGGCAGGTGATTGTTACCTGGATCGCGTGAGCTTGTCGCAAGGTACCGCTGTGCGATGGCTGATGTAATGACGGGGCGATCAGCGTTTTTGCGCCAGCAACGTGCTGTCGTTGGTGATCCACCGGGCGGCTTGCTCCGGTCAAACTCAATGGGAGACAAGAAAGAAGCTTATCCAAGTTTGTGTTCCAGTATCGATCTCGATCTCGGTTATATGCGTTTGTCACGGAGGAAACAAGATATATTTCCCACTTTTGAGGTTGCCAGACTTATATCTTGGTCGCGTGAAATTCTAACCTAGATATGCTGATTTTTCTTTAGAAACCCGACATCAAGGTGGCAGGAATTGTAGATGATGATGCACTGATGACTTGCAGAATTGAGAGAGAGGTCGTTGATTGCACTGGGCATACTCTGATCAAGGACTTGACTTCGAAAATAATAGCACAACAAGTTGCTTGTGGTCATTAAACAACTAATTGGACTGGTTGTTCGCTCAGGCGTCGGGGTGACAAGACTGGCAGCTTATAAGACGGCAATATTGCTGTGGGTGTTGAATCCTTCACCTATGTTTAGAATAACGGAACCTGACTATCTGCAATGCAAACTAACCTCCATTTTCGACTATAGACTGCCTTCTTTCATATGGAGTAGTCTTCCAAGGAATTGTCCCAAAGCCCACGCAATAGGACCTGGTGTCTCCGATCGACACAGTTCCTGCTCCTATGTAAAATTCTAAGTCCATGGGAACTAAAGATTATTGCTAGTTCAAATCAAAATCGACAGAACTGCCCGAGAGGTTTCAGTTCATGAAAAAGAGGGCTTGCGAAAGTTATAATTCATAAACACCTCATACAAATCACGGTCCTCTCAAGCTCTTGGTCCAGGAATAAACCAGAAATCTAATCAATTCTATGATTTGCTTCCTCTATCTCACTCCAACGTCAACATATTCTCCGGCATAATATCGGGATCTCCTATCTGGTTGACAATCGACATGAAGTCCTCTGACGAGATCCCAATATTATCCAGAAACTCCATATCGCTCGTTACAGGATTCTGAACACAATACATAGGCAACGCATCAGACTCCATGCCCATGGACGCTGTTGCAAGAAGGCGCTGTTGCTGCTCCTCGTCTTCGTCCGTGACTACTAGTGACAGGGTCTGTAGACCCTGTTGCTGAACCTGTGCGACGAGTTCCTGGCATTGCGCTTCGAGATAGACAAGTTCCTGCTTTCTTACTCTGGCCAGTCGGTTTCCTCTTGCGATCATACTGTCTAGGAGCTGATGCACGAGCAGTTGGCAACCTTCGTCATCTGCGACACCGGGGAATAATGCCGTGGCCATGTTCAGGTGCAGCGCGGCTGCGAAAGTAAATTCAAGGTCATACGGAAGAAAGACCTCTGGAAGAGAAAATCAGTATGCCGGCAGTACGAATGGGAGATTAAAAGTCTTACCAAGGAAACTGTACTCGCTGGTGAGAATCTGTAGTGTTTTGACCGCCGATTTGATGCCAGTTGAGATCACCGTTGCTGTTTGCTCGAGAAAGGCTTCTGAGTTTTCATTACCTGGATGGCCTAGAATATCGAGACGCTCTTTGAGGACTGATAGTAACAAAGGACGTGTAGCAACTATCACGCACTGAAGCACTGTCAGAATTTCAGAAGACGTAAGTCATATGGATAAACTTACCTGATGATAGAGAAGCATGATGTATTTCGTACCTCTAGGCATGGTATCTACTGTGTTATTCTTGAATTTGAGAGAGATGATACGTTCAATTTCCTGTGCGTGATGTGCTAGAGTGCGAAGTATAGCTTTGGTTTGTTCAAGGAACTGCCCAAGTGGTGTTTTTTCCGGCTTGTAAAGTGCTTTCAAGGTTAGTATCAATAACATGTGTCCAAAATATGTGACGTACTAGTTAGAATTACTGATAGTAAGTGAGAGAGATTGACCTGGAGACTGCGAAGACTGTCCCCTTGGGATCCAACGTTTGGTGGGTTGACTGGAGTGGTTATGTCACTATCCTGTACCGACATGGGCAATCCAAGAGAAGATGAAAAGTGCCGGTCCATGATATATAACGTCCACCATAAATCGCGACAAGAAGTAACTGTTTCACTACCAAGTTCGCTATCAGGTAACTGCGTATGGAGACCCTCCAATTGGGCAATTCGAATAGCCTGACCAAGCTGGCACATCTGTTAGTCCTGCAATAAGCAATCGCATACATCAACGAACTCACGTATACATGGGCCGACTCTCTCTGATCAATAGAGTACAAATACAAGCCAACCATTGCGAGAACCTCAATGGCAAACAAACTATCCTTCCACAGAGCTGTGTGGTCTGGCATCAGACCCATTGCGCGCACAAAGAACTTTGATCCAGGGGGCTGACCAGACGGCATTGGCTGAGACAGATGAAGGGCTGTGCCAAATGCCAGAATCAAGAGAAACTTGACATACCAGAGGCGGTTCTCCTCTGCCTTCCGTTGCGCATCAGAATAGAAATCACGGATCTGGTTCACGAACTCGACCTCGTCAAATAAGTGATACGTCTGGCCCAGGTGGAATTTGAAAGTGTGGAAGAGATAGATGGCGTAGTCGAGAGAGGGTAAGTTACCGACGTCGGGCTTTTCATTTGGTGGCCGGCTGTCCCATGACATGGTATACACATCGTCTTCAACCAACTGCGGTGGTATCGTTTCTACACCAGGTTGTAATTTACTGTCCAGCATAAGCATCAGGCGTAGAGTAAAAGACCATGTCGACCAAGGAGCCAGCCATACTGCGATATGCGTCAATACTCGTCCTCAGAGATGGTTCAGGGCACTTACTCCAGGTACGTCTGTTCTTGCGGGTGTTTTTGATTATCTGAGATGGTATTGTAAAGGCGCTGGGCCAGATGCTTAACGGCGACCCTGCCGGTTGGTGATTAGATGAGGATGGTAGTTTGTTGACAGAATCAGATTGTGTAGGTGTGTCCGCTGTGAGCGCGGGATAGGCAAGACTGTTATCGATTCCACATTCACCGTTGTCGGTTTCAGAGCCGAACGCAACATCGCTGTTGCGTTTAGGTCTTGGAGAGAAAGACGCTCGTAGCTGTGACTGGGATATTGGCGTAGGACAATACGACGGCTGAGAGGCCTGAGAACGAAGTGAAGCCGCATCAAGGGATGGCCGGTATGGCGGAGGCGCGGACGAGATCTGGGCCAAGGCCGGGGAGCGGTTTGAGAGAGGGGTATTTACAGTTTGTGTCACCGGTTCAAAGATGCTGTTTGACGGCGATGACTGGTGTCGCTGCTGCTCAACCTGCTTCTGAAGATCCTGTAGATATCTTGAGTCTGTCAGGGCCTGATAAGACATGCGTCAACGTGACTGCACCGCACCAAACGTTACCTTTCAGAAACCATGACCTTTGTGACCCCTTCCCTAAAGTGACACTCCACGGACCGACGAGTGCAGTTCTGACATGGATCATCGCCGGAGCATTTGATCTTGCTCTGCCTACAGGCGATGCAGCTGTGACGCTGTTAACGATAAGAAGAACAGGAACAAAGGGCCAGGTGCGGCACCTACGCATTTGCGGTTCTTCTTGTCTTGCGAGGCTCGCTGTATGGCTCTGACGCCATGGTCTTTAATTCTGGGCGCCTCGCGATGAGGATATCGGTATCTTACCATGGACGGTCAGTTTACGCTGAATATTACTTGATACCCCGTTCCCGCTGCTGTTGGGTATGATAATGGTCATAGAAGGTGGGAAAAGCAATGGATGGCTGCAGCGTGGCTTTTCCCTTGTAAAGTTAGTGAGACTAAGCGATATGCTAGCGCACAATCAATGGAATTGAACTTGGAGGTCAAGTGATTGGCTTTGGCGGTTCCGTTACCGGGGGAATTGGGGGTTGAGGAGGGGAGGTTGGACGAATGCTGTGTTCCTACACACACGCTGCCGCTTGGTACCAGCTCCAATTCAGCTTCGATAAAATGGAACAAAAACGATTCTGACATTACAAAAGACAACGTAAGCATTGGCCAGATTACAATCACATTTTCAGTCATAAGCGTTAGGATTTGCGGGGAGATAAAGCCGCCTCGGCAATTGCTTATCTTAGTACGTAGTGTATACAGAGATCGCCATTGTTATCTCTTCCTCGAGATATAAAGCCCAAACGAAAGCCATCTCATCTCAGGTGATCGCTTTCCCTAGATAAGGAAAATCTGCCCTCTCTAATACTCATCCCCCGCAGTCAAAAAGAAGGAAAGCTGGCCCGTCGCCTCTTAGTCCCTACCTTAGAACAAAGATGGCGTTTCTGACCACGGGGTCATGTTTTTGGAGATGGACTATTTGGGTAATAATTCGACAATTGTCGCATGAGCCGCTAACACATCCTTGCTCCAAACAGAGATAAGTTGGGGAAGCGGGATCGGCGGGTCGGTATCACACGTTATCACCAACGTTTAAACACAAGTCTGAGTGAGCATTTTGCAAGGATCTCGGTGTGACGACCTTCCGATTGGACAACTGTGGATGAAATTACTCTTTTCGATGTTATTTATGGAACTACGGCTTTTGCTCCGTAGTGTACAGACGGTATTCCGTAGACATGACCTGATAACAACTACAGCATCACGGCGAGGGTAAGCCATGGTAGGGCTCTTTATATTATTAACTTGTAGGGCCATATGTTGATACAAATTTAAGAATAACGATTTCCGTGTCTTCGTAGTAAAATTTGTTCAATCGACTCAGAGATAGTAGGACTGTTTGGCTATGTGACTTACGAACTAAAATGATAAGGAGTAGAAATTCAACAGCTGTCTTTGCTTCAGCATAGCATTCCACTCTTCTGGACTCATACTGCCAGGTTGTCTTAGCTTTAGCACACGTTGAGACTTCTCATAGGGCTTGAAGGGAACTAAAGGATGAGGGATGACTTTATGTGAAACCCAAATTCCATAGGTGAGACCTTTTACGTGTCCTTTCAGTTTATACGCTACATACCTTCCTATCCCGAGACAACCATTCAAAATAAGATTTTGAAAGTGGGAATAGTGCTTGACTTTTGACTGATGAATACTCAAGTTAAATCGCACCTGAGATGGTTCGCCGCGACATAGACCCCAGCATGCGATCTCTGCCATTCTCACTAGGAACGCCGAATGTTCATAGAATCATTCTCATTTTTCTATCAATGCTCTTATCTTTTACTTTACTAAACTCAGTCTTCAAGAATTACGAACTTGGTTCTCCGGACAGGCAGCAGTATGAGGCAGCTGACGAGGACCATCGTTTCGCCATGGTCATACCTGCGACATCCCCAAGCCCAGATCTCTGCAAGACTATAATGACAGCGCTCTCCTTGGGCTATCCAAGTCCGGTGATCATTAATTGGGGGGTGGATTTTCGTGATATCACACACTCGGACAGGGGCAAAAACCTGCCCAAGATTCCCGGTTTTGTGGAATACCTTGATGCTGTGATGCATTCTGAAGCTCATCCTTCAGAAAGACTGAGAGAAAACGATATAGTCCTTATGGTTGACGGCTATGATATGTGGTTTCAGCTTCCTGCTCAAGTTCTCCTCAGTCGTTATCACGAAATCAACAGGAAAGCCAACGAAAGACTCCTGAAGCAGTGGAACAGAAGAGAACCTATGCCAATGCGACAGACAATCGTCACGGGGGCTGGAAAGCGATGTGCTCCCAATAACAGAACAAAATACGGCATAGATATGCTGTGTGACAGTTGGCCCGAGAGCCCATTGAGAAAAGACATGTATGGCCCCGATACGGACAAATTTATCACTGAAGACTGTCACGATACCCGGCCGAGATGGATCAACGGGGGTATATATATCGGTCCCGCAGGCGATATGAGACGACTCTTTCGCCGCACCATGGAAAGGATGGAAGCTGGTCTCGGCCTGGGTCTTCCATTGATAAGCGAGCAAGGCATGGTTGGCGAAATCATTGGAGAACAGGAAGTCTGGCGTCAACGGATGAGAGAGCAACCCATGGCCAGAGGCAAGTTGGCTGACTTTATGGAGAGGGATTTCGAATACCATGTCGGGGTTGATTTTGGCCAGGTTTTGTCTGCCCAGACCGCATCCACGGTTATCAATCAGTCTGCTGATCTTTTTGACGGTGCCTTTGCCATTCTCGGTGATCAGGCCGCTATAGACCACCACTCCGAGACCCGCTATATATCTCCAGCACGAATAAGAGGTGTCCCAGACGATATCAAAGATGCCCCAAACCCTCTATTAAGCTTCGACCAGGCCGCAAACTGGAGCACGATGCCTTTGTACGCCGATTTCTTCACCGAATCTGTTCCCGTCATATTACACCACAACGGCTTCAAACGGAGCCGCAGCACGTGGTGGGACAGGCCATGGTACTACAAGCGCTTACGTGAGCTGTTCAAAGCCAGTTTGCAGCCACGCGAACCGGACGAGGCACTGGTGACGCTTCAACATGGTGGAAGTCGTATCAGGTACTGGCCTGTGTCGGCTGAGGCCACGGATAGATTGCCGCGGCAGGTGAATGGTACGGCAGTGGGAAGATATCCTAACTTGGAGTTTGGGAATATCTGTCGCTATAACGAGGAAAAGGTGCCGAAGGGATATGAGAAAAAGTGGTGGGATGAGGTTTTCCGAGATGATGGTGGAAAGCTCTTTTGATTTCCTTGACATAGTAGAAAAAGCAGACGACGAAAGCTAATTGTTTTTATTGCTCAACTGACTGGTTTTGTGTCAAGTCTCCCGGCTTCCTTTTCGACTTTTGTTAAAGTTGGGATGCTCCCAAAATAGAAAGTCAACTTCTTTTCCCACAGGTGACAGAATCAATATTGGATTCCAGTGCTCTCACATGCCGGATGTTAGAGGGGTGCGACATCCAGCCCGACGGGATCGGCAGGGGAAGGAGATATTAATTTGTTCAGATCACAATTCATAAAAAGACGGTTGGTGTGGATATTGGTATATGCTGTTTGTGACTGGATCTCACAGCACAAGGGCGGCGAGATATTGTGGCTAAAGAGTGTTTCAGTCCCCCTTTTTCAGCCATTATACAATCGGGAGATCTGGAAGGGATCCGCATACTTGAGCCTCGTTTCATCCCGCAAACTTGATATCTATACCTCCGCTATCAATTTTAAGTCTTTGACAAGATACAAGAAGTCTAGACTAACAACAGCAAAGACCATACACCAGACCCCGATCTTTACAAATCCGTACTAGCAATCATGACGATAATTACAACCCTACGTAACACAATATCAAGACCAGAGATTCTCATCACAGGGGGTGCGGGCTTTATTGGCTCTCACCTTGTCGAAGCTCTTCTGGCCGAGGGATACTGGAAGGTCGTGGTGGTGGACAACTTCAACGAGTTCTACTCCCCAGAGATCAAGCGCGCCAATGTCGCTGCCCATTTCCTTAACCCTCGTTTCAGTGTTTATGAGGTCGACATCCGAGACACCGAGGCTTTACGAGCTGTCTTTGAAGACAACAACTTCACCGCAGTCGTACACCTTGCCGCTTGTGCTGGTGTACTCCCTTCTCTCCAGTTCCCAGGACATTACTTCGACACAAATGTGAACGGCACGCTGAACCTGCTCCAGTGTGCCAAGGACTTTGGAATCAGTCAGTTCCTGTTTGGATCATCCTCGAGTGTGTACGGCTACGGCGCGAAGGTTCCTTTCTCGGAGAATTGCAAGAACTCACAGCCCATTTCACCATACGCCGCATCAAAATCAGCTGCTGAGCTATTATGCTATACGTATTCTCACCTTTACGCGATTCGCTGCATCTGTCTCAGATTCTTCACCGTATACGGTCCTCGTCAGCGCCCGGACCTTGCCATACACAAGTTCACGAGACTTATTCATCAAGGAAAACCCATTCCCATGTTCGGAGACGGCACTTCCCGTCGAGACTATACCTATATTGACGACATCATCGACGGCATCCGCGCTGCGCTAGACTATAGAGGATCAATCTATGAAATCTTCAACCTTGGGGAGTCGCAGACAATCCAGCTGGTGGAACTCATTGGTGTTCTTGAGGAGGCCTTGGGACAAAAAGCCATTATTGATCTACGCGAGGAACAGGCTGGAGACATGCTTGTCACGTATGCTGATGTTTCCAAAGCGAACTTATTGCTTGGTTATAAGCCCAAGACACAAATTCGGGAAGGCATTTCGAAATTCGTTGCATGGTACCTTGCTCACGGAAGAAGGTGAATAGAGCTCTAGCTCTTGGTTCTGGGTCCTCGAGGCAAATGCGGTCATGGGAGTGAGGAGTTGTGTCAATGGCATGTTGTCATGGGAGCTGTGTGTACTCGAGTTGGAGAAAGCAGATCAAGAAAGAAGAGGCAATTTTGATCACAATCAAAGGCAATCATGGGCATTCCCTAACGCCTCTGGGTGATGGACGAGACCGCGGCTGGGGCAAGAGCCCCATCAATGATCCCACGACCTATTGTATAGGCTAGTATAAAACGACGATCCCCAGTCATGTTCTCGGAGTTTTATCATATAATAGTATGACACGGGAAGAAAAAGAAAAGTCCAACGAACCAAATTTTGATTCTGTCTTGGGAATGGAATCTTGCAAGAGAGCTCATTGCTCACAATGGGGTATCGTTTGGGTCTACACAACCTGCATACATTTGCTGAGACTCAAAACGCTATCATTGTGTTCGCGAATGGGTTGCAGGATACAGATACGACGGAATTTGCAGCACGGATCCTCACGCAAGGTCTGTTCGACCCAAGACTGGAAGCTAACATAATCGCTCTCACGCGACATGAGAGTCATCTCCGTAAATAGCACTTGACTAGTTGTTTCATAATGAAATTCTGAGACTAAGAGGGACACTAATGCTCATGAAGCCCTGGGAGGATAATATATTAGGCACGTTTGGGGACATGCAACGAAACTCTCCATTCTGGAGGACCGTCGAACAACTGAGCTTTACATAAAATTCAATGGAGTTGAGAATTCTATCTTAGCATTGAGGCACTGTGGGAAAGACATTTACTCGTTTTCCTTAAGCTCGCGAGATGTGTGGTTCGTGAATGATGTGTTTGAGTGGAACAACTACGGCCTTGCCCTGGCTGGAATTGAAGCGAAATACAGCACATATCCGCATGAGCTTATAGCTCTAATCTTCTTTCGAGTTAGCCTTTTTGATACAACCCACATATTCTAAATATATACTCCCGATTCGTAGTCCGTAATCAATCCACACATACCAACCCCATTGGACTACTTGACAGAGCACAGTACACTGCAAAACTGATCATATCGCGGTAGACTGCCTATTTGAAGGGTATTGCTATGGCCAGTTAACATTTCAAGTGGACCATATCTTGGCCATTACTAATTAGTCTGGGGAGAAACTGGGGAAGTGTTTGTGCGGGGAGCCAAGAAGGGGTCATTCATGGCCCCAGAATCTATTACTTGGCACTTTCATGGATGGTAGATTCGAGCATTGACAGCCAAAAGATGTTAGTCATCTTGGCTATGCAGGTGACTTGCCTCATTTACCTACTTCATTTCAGATGACCGTCTGGGAAAAAGACCGATAGTCTGTATAATGAATTGAGCTGGGAGAATTAGGCATCTGTTTCCTTGATAAACTGGACAGACAAGCCGTGGTGCTTTCGGACTAGATCTGCTTTAGTGAGCCAAGATGAGGTTCAGCTTTCGATAAATAGGCTGGCCATGCTCCTCGACTCTACGTCTTTGTCAGGACGGGACACGTATCAAAACAGGCAATACACCATTACAACAGTTCGAAGCTTATTCACCTACCATCTGTCACCAAGCTCTCTAACACATGTTTCCGACCAAGCCGGCTAGTTAACCTGCAACATCCAGACCAAAGTCTGCTACTCTGGTGAAATCTGTCATGAAGAAATGCCTCAACCGAGGATCCCTCAACTCAGCTACAGAAACACGTTTCGCACGGATCATGAAGACCAAGATGATATTACGTGACTGATTCCTCAGAGCTAGGACCATCGTGTCACGCATCAGCCCCATCATCCGAGAGTCTGGAACTCGACACGGTCTTGTTAATAACATCGTGGGATGCCCAGACCTATCAATCTCAAACAGCCTTTCAGCACGGACAGATGAATGCTTGGCAATCTGAGTAGAACTCATGACAATCACCCTTTCAGCTATGTACAAGGTGATGTTTTGATCTTGTCACAACACTTTTGACATGAGACCACATTTACCTAAGCAGCAGCTGCAAGACAGTCAAAACATCGTGCTCGAACGATCGGGTCATGGCCCGGACCATGCAACATTACTTTCCGAGATTATCATGCAAAGCACGGGTGCTTACATGTGTAAAACATTGTTCTTTTACGGCAGGTCATCCGTGGGGTTTTAACGTCGGCGCATCCGTTAATAAAACCACGATTATCGGAAACGGTTCCGCTCTGGATATTAGACTTTTTGCGGCCAAGCAATCGACGATTGTGCAACGAAAGACTGGCATTGGGCATGATGATTGCCTATCTCGCTCAATGAATATTTCATCTGCCGTACCGACGATTTCCGTTATCTGATGATAGATACGGTATCTGATGTTGCATCGTCGAAAGTATTGCGCAATCATTATATGCTTGTTTATCAAGCTTTGCGCGTCTGGAAGCACCGACGTTGAGCTTTGATCAAGAGTCTCAGGGTTGAGATAAAATACCTCGTCAATCTGGACCCCTGAGAGTCGGCTCACCCGTTGATATCCCTCGTCCACTGAATCCGTTGGATAAAGCAAAATAAAAATGGGCGCGCACTGGTGATAATGCAGCCGCGGAGGGCTTCCCGATGGGATACCGTCGGGCCAGAAACAGAAAGTCAGTAGCATTTACATTTACGGAGTGCCCCCTTTGACTTGAACCTTGAGGTGCAGGGATATGGGTTGGTGCTTGGGTGATCGGCGTTGGCTCATTTTGCACAGCCAGCCAACCAACCAGTCAACGGATATGCTCGGCAGAAACAGAAGCTTAATCTCCACTCCGCATGAAGCTGCGCGAATTGTTCCAGAAGAATACTGTAAGCGGACAAAAGTTGGAGACGAAAGGTGTGTGGTGTGTGTGTGTGTGATCCTCCTCTGCCGAGGAACTTTGCCGATGGAGGTTTACCGTTTGGGGGAAAAGTTGAGCATGTCTCGGGAATACCGACGCGGGAGCTGTGCACCCCAAATTTCTCCCATTGCCAGCTGCTGAGGAGAAACTACTGCCAGCAAAGAAGCATGCCATTTATTTCATGACAAGAGTGAGTGAGTTCCTGGGTAGAAGCGCATTGATATTAAAACAAGGGTTTACTCTCGTCATTTCGGAGTGGACTCGGCCGTTTCCCGATTTCTGAGACATGGCACGGTTTCTGCAATTCCACAAAAAAGAGGATATTCATTACGATATAGATATCGCCAAAGTGTAGGTATCGTTGCTCGCGTGTGGTCTTTTCGGTTTGGGGTATTATGTACGGAGTACCTCTGTATCTTTTGGAGACCGGGTCCCCTCCCGATCATAAAATGGGGTAATGAAAACTCAGCCTCTGACGAGTAAAAGACGCTTCCAACGCTCAGTGGGGAAATAAGGCCCCCTCGAGCCGCGGAGGATTACCTGACTCGTTTCGCCTCCCTCGTAACAAGTCCACAAGGTCCCCATCTACAGTGGAACTCGCAACGTCATAGCTTTTCTTTCGCGCTCGCAGTGAGGATGCCTTGTTTCTTTTACGTGATAGTTCATGTCTTTCGTCTGTTCTCGACCTCAACGTGCTCCATTGTCCCCATGGGGTAAAATAGAGCATATCGCGGAGAAGAGGGCCTGGCGATTGACGAAAACTGGAGAGATTCTTGGCCTTGACACAGGTCAGAGCCAAGAGAACCTTTGAAGGGTTTTGCAAAGGAAAAAAGATACGAAACAAATTGAAGCATGTTTTCCCCACTCCAACACCCGCTAGACCACCTCGAGATAAGCCCCGGCTTCTGCGGTCGCTATCACAGCGCGGACACCGGTTGCAACTCGCAGTGCAGGGGGGGCGAGAACAGAACAGAACAGATTGGGGTGGTCTTTTGCCTGGGGAAAATCCACTCCCCTAATCCCTAATCGCCCTGTTCCTGTCACAGCAGGTTTTATCTTGTGCTATCATCACCAATGTCTTTTGGCTAATCCCGTAATGGGTAAAGATAACACGGGGATCGACTCCATAGTGTAGGGGGGCAGGGGCTAACTTAACTTACCACCCAAACCTTAGCTGAAGCTGTTGCTTGTTTGGTAGAGACCATACGTACTGCTTCTACACGGTCAGAGCTCATCTTCCGTCTGTATAAGTTGAGCCCACAATCCCCAGACTTTGCTGATCTCCTCCACATCCCAACCGTCTTTCACTTTCTCTCTCTTCACCTCTTCCTCTCTCCCCTCTCTCCCCTCTCTTATATAACAACTACTCAACTCTTCAGTCTTTGAGTTGTGTAGTCTTGTTTGCTTCAACAACCGACATCATGGCGAACTACTCAAACGGCCTTGCCGAAAAGGACCTGAAGCGCGACCTCGAGAACGACCAACCCAACGACCTCAACAATACTCCTTCTCTCGCCGGCGAGGCTCGCGTTCACGACGATATCTTTGGTGATATCACAGATGAGGGTCCCAACTACCGAGCTGTACGTCACAAGCCTCATTCGCGACCAGCAAATTGCCACACAAATACTAACACTTTCTAGGTTGGATGGATCGGCACCGTGGCACTCATGATGAAGACTCAGATCGGCCTGGGTGTTCTGTCAATCCCTGCAGTCTTCGACGTCCTGGGCATTGTCCCTGGTATCATCTGCCTCCTTGTGATCGCTACTATCACAACCTGGTCCGACTACATGGTCGGAGTCTTCAAGCGCAACCATCCCCAAGTCTATGGTATCGATGATGCTGGTTACATACTCTTTGGTCGCGTCGGACGCGAGATCTTCGGAATTGCCTTCTGTCTCTGTACGTTTCCGCTTCTTCACTGGTCATAAACACCTGCTAATAACCTCTAGACTGGATCTTCGTCGCTGGCTCTGGTATGCTCGGTCTCTCTATCGGTCTGAACGCTGTCTCCCTCCATGGAACTTGCACGGCTGTCTTTGTCGCCATTGCCGCCATCTGTGGATTCCTCCTGGGCAGTGTCCGAACTCTCGGCCGCATCAGCATGCTCGCCTGGGTCGGCCTGGTCTGCATTCTCACAGCCATCTTCACTGTTACCATTGCAGTTGGTATCCAGGACCGACCTGCCGCTGCTCCCCAGGGCGGTGTCTGGAAGTCCGACTGGAAGACCGTTGGCAACCCTTCTTTCACCCAGGCCATCTCATCTATCTCGTCGCTCGTCTTCGCCTATGCTGGTACCCCCGGTTTCTTCTCCATCGCCGCTGAGATGTCCGAGCCCAAGCACTACACCCGAGCTCTGATTGTCTGCCAGTCTGGTGTCACCATCACCTACATTGTCATCGGTTGCGTCGTCTACCTCTACTGTGGATCCTACGTCGCCTCGCCTGCTCTTGGCTCAGCCGGTCACTTGATCAAGCGAATTGCCTACGGTATCTCTCTCCCTGGTCTCCTAGCCACAACCGTCCTCGTCATTCACTTCGCCGCCAAGTACGTCTTCGTCCGTCTCCTCCGCGGCACAAAGCATCTCGCTTCCAACAGCGCTGTCCATTGGGGAACATGGATCGGCTGCACTCTCACCACCACCGTCATCGCCTACCTGATCGCTTCCGGTATTCCCGTCTTCGGTGGTCTCGTCTCTCTCGTCGGTGCCCTCCTCGGTACTCTGATGTCGTTCCAGATCTACGGCTGCATGTGGCTCTACGACAACTGGGCTATTGGCCGACGGGAACCCACCATGAAGTGGTACTTCATGGTATCCTTCAGCGTTTTCGTCATCGTCTCTGGTACTTTCCTGATGATCGGTGGAACATACGGATCCATTGTTGGAATTATGGACTCATACAAGGCTGAAGGTGGCTCATCTGCTTTCTCTTGTGCCGATAACTCCAATTCTACTTAGGCGGTAGTAGCGTTTGTATTTTTAGCATTGCATTGCATTTAAAGGATAGATAGAAAGCATTTTAGAGAGGTCACACAATCGTGCATTAGTCGAGGTTGAAATATAGATCCAACTATCCTGTTCACAAAAACTCTTCCTTGCTTGTGAAATATAATATCTGTCGCGTGACAGAGCTGAAGAGCTTCACTGTCGATAGCTGAAACAACCGCAATCACATCGATATCATTCAATCTATATGGCAACTCTTGTGAGTTTTACAGAACGGATCTGTTACCAAACAGCTGCGACTGTTTATCTGTCCCCAAAGACTATAGCTTAGCCTTTAATTTAATGACTCTCAGTTCCATTGCGCGTGATGTGCAGTCGATAATATCGCCTGACGTATCCACCGCTTATCACGATATCGAGATCGTCAAGTGAATATACAGATAGTCGCCCGAAATCAAGATTCTGGCCTCGCATCTGTTGAGTCATGGATGATCATATATGTGCATATCCTGACGTCTTGGTCTCGGCCGATCAAGGGAAGCTAAAAGCTTGTCGTGTTGATGTGGGGACGACTACGGAGTAGATACGTGAATGATAGTCTGTAGTCTAAGCTTTGACTTATTCATGCAGGTGATGGCATGGTTTGCCACTCTTGGAGTAACTGAACGGTTTGGGCCCGCTGGTTTTTGGTGTGATGATATTGAACTTGTCTGTCCAGCATGAAGATGGTGCTATGCTGATATCCACACAGAGTCCAGCTCAGTAACTGAAGTTCTGCCTTATCATGTGCTTCATCCAAGCTCTGAGCCTCTAACCGTTCGTTCTTCTATAGCTACGATTGTGGGCCCTCAATAGTTTTATCAGCAACGGCAATCGTCGGTCAAGTTCATGGCGTCATGTCAGTTATATTAGCTTGTCCTGCCCGTTTTAAGGTTTAGCCCAAGAACTCTTCTCCGATCCCGGTCACAGAAAGATGCGGCATGCAACGGCCCTGTAGACTGGACTCTTAATACCGTTGCTGCGTAAGTGGAACGGCCTCCTGCTGCTCAATAACCAATTATGTGCAATCCGGTCTGCTGTTATTTGACTCACTACTGTAGTACTCCCATGGTTTGGATTGCCATTCCTACCAGTGTTGGAGTTTTTGTTTTATTCATTCCTTGGGGAAATCCTGATATAGAAGACACTTGCCCTTGTAGGAGCCCATTAGCCTATGGCAACTTGTTATCATGTCAAGTTCAGTTCCTTAACTCGAAACAAATATCAACTCCATACTGCCACTTCCTTGCAACTCACCAATAGCTCAACTCCAGGAATATAGTTCAGCCTTGCGTGACACACCAGAAAGGTCTCGAAAGACAACAGAAGTGTCTTATAACACATTAAGGATTTGTTCGTTTATGATTTTTCGTGGAGTTCATGATAGGCACACAAGTCATCCCGTTAGCAGTCGATGTCTATCATATTATATTGAGATCCGAGTATCCGTAAACCGTCACGGAATACACATAACGCAGTCTCTGAATCTGACTCTTGCCGAACATGATTCAAGATGCGACTCAACACCATTAGATATGCCTTAAAAAGCAACTTATAAAGACCAGAGCATGTTCTGGCCTATATGAAAACTAAAGGGTGTAGGTGAGAGAGGTATAGTGTGACCACCAGAGATCATTTACATATGATCGCATTTTTAGTAAAGTCTACGTAGCTCATGACATTCAGAGATTTCGATTGATCTCAGTGGTTGGCTAAAGGCTATCTGAGGGCGAAACATCTTGTATAGGTGAAGTACAGCTACTGAGGCGTTCAACATCACCCTTGAGGTGCCGAACGCGCCCTGCCAGAGCGAAATCTGAAAGCTCCCGAGCAAATCAACGCTAAGAACCCTGCCAGCTCTTCATGCAACTCAACAAGCACATCCAAATAAGCGGCTCGTTTCAAGGTCTAAACTCATCTATAACTATGCTTGATAGCAGGTGTGTTGAGAAGAGTCTCACAGCGTTGCGGTGGCCCTTTCATCCTGTTGCAGACGGAAAAATGTCCCACTTCATCCATTGAGACCTACCTAGCTAGAGTCATTAAACCGCACCATTATCTTCCGGGCCATTCATCTTCAAAGGGCAAGATTGTAATGTTCAAACTGATTTATATTATCATAGATAGATGGTTTGACAAAGAAAAATGTATCTGCAAACTACACAATGCAGTGGTAGGACTGTACCAGTGGGATATGAACAATCAGGCGACAAAAGGATGCCTGTGCCTAAACAGAGGATATAATAATAAAAGAAGAACCCAAAAAGACCCGAAGCAACAACCCAATTCCCCAATTCCCATATACAGTTATAAACCGGAAAAGCAAAAATATGCGCAAACTCCAGATAATTTCCCCCTCCCCAAATTCCCTTGTGCATTCATCATCTTACAGTAACACGTTTATCGTGTCTTAATGAAAATTAAGCGGCTTTTGTGATGGCGTACTCCTGGAGGATCTCAACAGCCTCGTCCCAGCCTCTTGAGGCGGCGATCTCGGTGATGGGGCGGTCGAGCTCGTCACGGACATCGAGGTCGAAGCCGGTCTTCTCGCCGAGGAGGCGGAGGATCTGCTCGTCGCCGTTCTCGACGGCCTGCATGACGGCGTTCCAGCCGCGGTACAGCTTGTTGGGGTCGGCGCCGTGCTCGAGGAGGAACTCGAGCATCTCGCCGTCGCCGCGATATCGGCGGAGGGCCTTGACGATGGGGAGATGCTCACCGGGGGCGTTGATGTCGGCACCGCCCTCGTTGATGAGGTACCACACGATGTCCTTGCGGTCCTCGCGGATGGCGGATGTGAGAGGGGAGAAGACTCCGCCGTTCTTGTCCTCGACGGAAACTCCGGCGGCGATGAGGAGCTTGACGGACTCGAGCTGGTTGGCCACGACGGCCATCTCCATGACACCCTTGAAGGCACGGGGCTCGGCAAGCACGGAGAGGATGCGCTTAAGCACGGGAGGGTTGCGAACGGCCATGCATACGGGCCAGTCTTGGCCGCGAACGTTAGGGTCAGCACCGTGGCTGAGCAAGAAGTCGACCATATCTATCCTGTTCTCTCGAATGGCAGTTGTCAACGGTGAGTGACCCTTAGGGTTCTTGTCGTTGGGGCTCATTCCCTTCTCGAGCAGCCAGGTCAAAGCCTCAATGTTGTTAACACTGACAGCAGTCTCGACAATACCCTTGGGAGATGAGAGGTTTACACCAGCATCAACCAGGGCGGGGAGGAACTGGAGGCGGTTGTGTGTGATGCACTTGAAGGCTGGGTACTCGCTAGCGGGGACGTTGGGGTCAGCCTTGTTAGCGAGGAGGAGGTTGAAGATGTCGGGTCGGTTGTCACGAATAGATGTGCAGAGGGGAGTGTAGACACCGTCCTTCTTCTGATTGGGGTCAACCTTGGCGTTGATGAGTACCTTGACGGACTCAATGTTGTTGACACTGACGGCAAGCTCCATGATACCAGGGGCCTTCTTGGGGTCGGCACCATGGGCAAGGAGAACCTGCAAGCAAGCGCTCTGGTAGGTAGCAGGCCAAAGCATATGCTTGGGACCAGGCAAGTTGGGGTTTGCTCCGTGGTCGAGAAGGCTGGTGACGATATCGACACGAGAGTTCTGTATAGCCTCGAACAGCGCGGTCTTTCCTTCGCGACTCTTGCCATCAGGGTCAGCACCGTAGTCGAGGATGAGGTCGATGAACTTCTTGGGCGTCTTCTTGTTGATGGCGCTGCTGAGGAGGGTTTCGCCGGTGGCGGTGAGTTGGTTGGCATCGCCGCCGTAGATGAAGAGGAGGTGGGCGAAGTTGACCTTGTTGGCGATGCAGGCGGCAGCAAGGGCGGTCTCGTTGTCGGGGCCAAGGGCGAAGCGAGGATCAGCACCGTATTTGAGGAGGGGAACGGCACCGGAGATGAAAGACCTCTCGACGGCGGCGAAGAGAGGCGTGACACCATCTCGATCGCAGCCGTTGGGGTCAGCCCCGAAGAGAAGAAGTAGTCGAACCGCTTCAGCATCACTGTTCATGACAGCCTCCTTAAGGGCTAGATGATCCGGGCCAGTGTTGGGAGACACGCCACGGTCCAGGAGCTGCTCAATGAGCTTGTGATTCTTGCCGCGAACGGCAGTGATGAGGGCAGTCTTGAGGTTAGCTGCATCAGCACCGACGGTGTTTCTAGGGTTCCATCGGGGCATGCTGAAGGGATCAGCGTTGATTCGCACAACCTTGGTTCCGCCGTTGAGATCAAGGCCGGCGAGCTCCTCAAGGGAGACTTCACTATCTGACATGGCAGCGTTGTGTGAATGTGTCTCATGGCTCTCGTCAAAGGCGCTCATGCGATCGAATGTCGCTGTGGTGCCAGAGTGGTATCGCTCGTTGGAGTGCACAGAGCTGGCAGTGTTGAGATGGTGGCCGCTGATTGAGCGAGCATCATGGTGTAGCGATGCGTTGAGAGGGTCGTTGTGAATGGAAGAGGATCGCTCAGTCCAGGGCAGAGGAGGTAATGGGGGCTGCGAGCCAATGGACATGCCATGGTTTTCAACACCGCGATATTGCGATGCAGATGAAGGTTGATATTGTGAACCGCCAGCATCAGAGACCTTTGAACGGGGCGCAAGACCAGCGCGCGAGTCCATGCGGTCGAGAGCAGCAGCAAGGCCAGTGTAGCCAATGCCGAGCTCATTCTCAATCTTCTCGTTACCGAGACTCCACTGGAACATGAGAGCGCTCATGCGGAGACTCTCGCGCGTGCGACCAAGGGCACTAATCATCTTCTCGATATCGTTGTCGCCAAAGATGCGACCCCATCCGCGACGCATACGGCCCATGGTACCCTTGCGCTCATTCTCGAGAAACTTACCAAGCATCTGGTCGAGCAGCTGGAAGTCGGCCTGTGTGACACGGAACTTCTTGCTCAGCTCTGAGATGACATCGGCGGGGAAGGTCTGCTGGTTGCGATTGCACTCGCCAAGCCCGGCCTCGATGGAGAAGAGAATTTCGCAAGTGTCGAGGAAGTCGTGGGCGAGGACGTCGAGGCCGTGGGGCTGCTTGGTCACCATGGTGAGGTACTCGAGCATGCGGACCGAGATACGGTCGCCGAGGCCGGTAGTCTTGTGGCAGAGCTCGAGGCACGAGCCCTGGGCCTTTGCTGTGTTTGCCATGACGCTGCTCTTTTTGTTGTTGAGCGATCGGGGGACTGTGGCCACGGTGGTGACAGCGTTCGTCTTCTGCGGAGAGAGGGACGAGCTGGGAGGAGTCACGGCGACGCTCCTGGCTGGACTCGCTGGTACGTGGGCCTGTGCAGAGACGGGAGGGATGCGCTTCTGCTGAGGAGTAGGAGGAGTAGGTGATGGAGGAGTCCTGGGACGAGGAGGGACTACACTGGTGGGAGACGAAGGAAGTCCGAGGGCTTCGTTGGAGACGAGGGAGAAAGACTCGCGGGGACCGAGAGCCAAAGCTTCAAAGAAAGAGTACTCCTTGTCAGCTCTTTCTAGTCTCTCTGCGGTATTGCCCAGGGCGAGTTGTGTGGTCATTATTAAATCTCCTGGGGACAGAAGATGGTGGATATATGGGCTCTCTAAGAGTCAAGAATGGGAAGCGCGACAACAGCCTTTATGGGCCCAAGTCGAGCCCGAGCCACGAGTCTAAAGAAGGGCTTGATAAGAGATGCATGCCAGCCGCGGGTGGGGGAGGCCTTCAGGTACCGCACTGTAGCCATTGCAGACTAAGAGAAAGTCAAGTTGGAGGAACACCCTTGAGGGGCCTGGGCTTGCGAGGTGTGCGTGTGAGTGGGCTAGCTATGCGACATTGCTGGTGTTTCTTGTTGAACCCTCGAGCCTCCCCCCCCCCCTGGTCGATAATGTTAGCGGCAAGGCGTCTTGTCTTGTCTTGTTTGAGGGCGATGGGTGTGAAGTGACTGGCTGCGAGACTGCGAGCGAGAGTGACTTGAGTTGCAGATGTCGTCTAATGCGCTACGGGTCTGCCGGCCTGTAGAGCCTTGACCCTCTAGCGCTGCCACACTAACGCCCCCCGAGATTCTAACAGGGCCCACTCCCATCGATCACTTGTGAGAGAGACAGGCTGAGAGCTGCAGCGCTGGACAGCGGACTCTAGGGAGAACCCACCCGAGGGAACAGGAACAGGGTCAGGACCCCTGCTATAGTAGCACTGTACAGAGCAGATCTGCGCTTTGACGTGGGCTCGGAGCCCAAGCAATAAGTCTGTGTAATATACTCCGTACTCGGCACCCCTGTAGCATCCCCATCCTCCATCCTTCGTCCTCTACCGTCGTGTATCCCATATAGATAGCTAGTCTTGATATAGCATCTAACAAGAGAAGACGGTGCCGATTACCCGCCTGAACAAGTTAGCATAATTACCACTATTTCTCTTTGACAGGCATGCACTGCAAGGACGAGAACTCACATGGGGCACGGCACTGCGAGGGGGACCCAGCGAAAGAACACATCACAAATCAATCAGCGCAGTGCTACAGAGTACAAAGTGCCAGCCACACAGAAACAATTCGTAGATGCACGCTCGGACAAGAAGCTAACGTTAGACAGAGAGATTAATTATTAGACACGATGCAGAAAGCAGAAAGCAGCTTCAACAGAACGATTGGATTGCGTAACAGGGTACAGATACGGTGCAACACAGACGGGACCCAACACATGCATTAAGCTTTCGCAGTAAGCCGCGCTAAGCAAGGTCTCTTCGCTGTGGGCCGTGTCACCGTCACAGGCACGAGAAAGAAAAAAAAAAGATGACTCTGGGCCGCCGAGGCTGAACGGCATGGCGCATCGACTTGGGTCGAGATCAAACACACACCAATCACGATCTGCACCAATCTCGCGCTCTCTCCCAGATCTCTCTCTTTCAGTTGGTTGCTTTAGTGTCATGTCAGTTTTCGGGATTATTACCCCTGTCCAGGACACGTAAATATTGGATGGATCTGAGATTAGACAATGCACCTTTACCACACATGAAAGAGTTTATTCCATCATCATTTCAATCCATTTGTCATAGGACGGCTTCTCCCATGTGAGACATTTTGCTGCCGTTGAATGCAAGGGTGCTGCTGTACGGATACCACCTGGAGTTCAGAGCTCAGGTGGCGGACCTGGGACTGGCAATAGCGGAATACGCGGGGTTGGAAAATAACTCTTACAACAGAGAGTGGACAAATGAGAAAAAGAAAGAAAAGAAAAAAGATCCATCAATATATACATTTCTGTCACTTTACCATCTTCCCTTGCGTGCAGTGAGTGCAGTTTACCTGGAAACGCGAAAAACTCCCTACTTTCACGGTGCGCTGATGTCTCGGACCCCTAGACCTGGTTTAGCTTTTCCCGCCTACATCCACTAAAACCAAAACCAAAACCAAAACCATTGATGTCATCTCATCGGTGCGATAACCGAGCAGATTCGCTGGACGGATAATTAAATGCACCAACCTCGACAGCCGCAGCAATTGACACCCCATCAGACGGCCCTTTTACCATGTTTTGCATTAACGGGCAATCTATTGAGCACAGGCTGAGTGTAAAACATGGCAGCTATCGTTCAATGTCATAACCGTCGGGTCTCTATCTTTAGTGGGGACCCCTCACAGGCACAGGGTAGCAACAACAACAACACTGTTCAATATCACACGAGCAGCCTGCAACACAGCACTGTACAAAATGCTTCTCCGTAAACATTAAATTGAACCCAACTGCCACGTGGTTTACAGTGTCGATATGCAAGGGGAAAATTGTAAGCACCCAGAGTGGTCTAGACTACGATGTGCATCCCGCAAACTCTCTAAACACTAACAAGCTCCAAACTTTGCTCCCCTCCACTCTGTGCTCTCGAGATCAAGCTTGAGAGTGAGCTTGTTCCGGAATAAGCATCGCGCGCGTCGATGCTAGGCATTATATCCACTGGAGCTAGACTGGCGAGAGAGAAGAAAGAAAGGGGTTTGATTCGGGAGGGTGTGGTTGGATACCTAGTCGGGGAACTGTCATCCCTTGCGGCAAACAAGTTCGTGTTTACCTCGCTGCGTTTCTCGTTCTGACGTGAACCATCAGAACAAACAAATACGATCTGTCGTAAACGATCTGTAAACGGGGGATATCTCAACATGTTAACCGAACTCCATACTGACGCATCTTTGCATACCCGACTACTTAATCTGTCCTGCCCTACTTCTGGGGTTTGCTTTTTCCTTTCCCTGCTCCCCCTCCCATCCTGGTCTCGTTTAAGCGAGCGGGACTAATTTGTAATAACTCAGCTGTCATGCCAGTGCTGGATCCAGAGAACCGGGACCGTTCCCCAGTGGCACAGCTTGACGTGCCAGTCCATTTCGAGCACCACTTTTACTTTAGAGGCGGCGCGGAATTGCTGCTATGTCACATTCATTCACATACTTTCTCTTAACTTCCCCAGATCGCAAACGGCATTTTTATATGATAAGCTTTTCTGAAGCCATCTCAAGAGGTATTCTGACAGCATGTGCCGCATTCCAGGTTCCTGGTGCCCCCAATAGAGTTCCAAGGGTTCACACCTCTCATTCCAGTGACCATCTCAGCCTGCCGCAGGTACATTTCGCTGCTTGGGTGTCTCTCCCTACCTCTCCGTCGTCCAGATTTCTCAGGCCATTTACATGCAAGGGCGTTTGAAGGAAGAGACATGCATCAGCAACAGTGACATGGCGTAAACCCGCACCGTTGAGCATGCTCTCAACTGAGACTGATGGAGAGAAACATTGCTTTTTGATGTATATGATCCAGCGTCACGTTGGGAGCCGAGACTCGCATGCCCACGAATGCAGTTTGAACTTTCAAGGTCAGAAAGAAAGAGACCTTGACGGCTGGAATGACGCCAGAAGTTCCCCGCGTGGGATACCATCCAATTGAACAATACGGAGTGCACGTCCACCAACTGGCTAAAAGCAAAGAGGAAAAGAAGCAGAAGCGGCAGCGGTAGCAAGAAGGCAAAAGACGTCGTGGCGACAAAAGGGAAACAAAGTGAAATGTGAAGTGTCATGTTTTCTTCTGGTTAGAATAACACTACGTACCCTGGCGGCTCCCCGATCTCACATGCGTGCTAACACCACTCGGCCGGACTTGGATCGGAAAAAATTCAACACGGACTTCCATAATGACGGCACGGGACGACAGTGACAGTGCCACCTACCAGCAAGACAACTGTGCTTGCTCTATTGTTTGTTCATCAATCGCATTGTGCCCCAAGCCACCAACCGAGTAGATTCGCATCTTCTCATGTCCCCGTATCTCACTCTCCGTAGATTTCTCCATCAGATGCAACGAAGACGCCCAGAGGCTTTTGGCGGAACTCTGATACTTGCATCCGCAATCTGTGATGGGATGGAAAGTGGCTTGCGCAACCCACTACACACCATTCTCTGTTGGGCCCTGTTGGACGGCTGCTTCTATTGTTGGTAAACTCTGTCCAAATTAGCTCGCATTAGCGCTTGTAGAAGCACAATCCCCAGTTCTTCTTTCTGATTTGAGTCTCCAGTGGTATTCTAGGTTTTGTTGTTATTGAACAAACTCGACACTCGTTGTTAACGAACCAACGGTCGACGGACGGTTCCTCCGAGGATGCATGGAGCAGAAAGAAGACAGAAAGCTTGGACATTGACGCCATGATTTTAGATCGATCAGCTAAAAAAGAAGTCTACCAAAACTCCGTGACGCCGTTTGCTCGTTCCCCACGAACGGTGCTTTCGCGCAACAAGAGGAGCCGCTAACAGAGAGAGCGCGCGTCCAAAAAAGAGTCCGGCTTCCTCCTCCTGGCCCCTGCGCAGCGCAGCCACCGTGGTCTGCTTAGTTTAGACCCAACAGCTTGGGGCCGATTGTCCTCGGGGAAACGCCAGAACGAGACCAGGCGCGCGGGACCAGCAGGGGCAGGCGAAAAGTGGTGACGACTGGTCTGGTTCCAGGAGATTGGTATTGCCTAAGGTAGGTAAGGAATCGCGAGGGTATCTTATCATGATGTGTCAGTGTGGTGGTAATAGAGGGAAATAAACTCATGGGGATACGACGGGCTGGTAGATGGAGATTGTACGAAGCAAATTACCGCATCCTGCCGCGCTATTGAAGTGAAAATGTCGTATCAATTTGAAGTTGGTGGTTTCCATTTGATGATGGGCAGGGACACATGAAAGCCCACCTTGAGACCCTGAAACGATAATCCATGTGCGTGATTCTGGTGTGACACTCACAAACAAATCCCAAACGACTGATGAAAATTTTATGTTCTTCAGCCAGTCATTTCACCAAGTGGAGATTGGTCTTCAACTAACGGTTCTTTCCATCGTCCGGTATTACGTACGGACACAGTGACCCAGTTATACAACCTGATTCATTTCCAAGAGACCACAGTTTGAATCTGCTATCTAGGGTAGCTTCCCACGGGATCGCTACCTGGAGGTGAGTGTGTAACTTAGTGCCCAATGTTACAGGTGCTTTGAGGTTGAGGTAACTACAGTAGCATATAGTAGTCCAGGAGTAGGAAATCTTGCACTAATAATTTGATTCAACAGGAGGAGAGAATGTACTTAATGGTTATTCAACGGAACGTGTTGATGCTTGAGTTCGTGACATTTTGTAACTCACGCCTCTTTCTGTCAGACCGAGAATAATATCAGGCGCTTCTTCACTCTATGATGGAGATTTAATATCCGTACACTGCTTACTACTGAAGAAAACAGTCTCTGGTCATGTTATGAAAAGCGCTTAAAGGGTATTATTTCCATTATATGCTTCTTTATGCAAGGTACATCACCTTTCTCAGCCCTATCACTTTTCATCCCATGTCGACAGCGCATTTCGATAGAACCAGCACGGACGCATCCAGAGGCCTCAGGCTAAATCCGTGTAAAAGGCAAAAGTCTAGACCTCGCCGGCGTGGCCGCGCTATCGACGAGCTTAGCCAACAGACAAATGGAGAAAAATCCAGAACTCGGTCCGCCACTCCCGAAAAATCGCGGTAACTAAGCCACGAGTCGTGAAGCACGGTTCTCGAGTACGTAAACATGTCATTGATAAACTAGACGTCGCACTTGGAATTGGGAAAGCGGTTGGATGATTTGGTGGTGATTGCTCTGAGGAATGTCAGCGTGGAAATCGGAATGGGGAAAAGCATATCCTCAGTGTGAAAGAGTAGTGACCAAGATCGGCCGCCAAGTCGGAAATAGACATATCTAGGTTCAAACTACGGGAACACGCTTTGTCGAAAGCTGAGAACATGCAAGAGCAGGGGGGATTAAGCAAACTGCTAGTCCTGTGTCCGTCTGCAACTAACGCATTGATCGCCACCGATTCCACCGTTGACAGCGGCTAGGTCACCCGCTGACAACGCTTTGATATATTGGATATTAACTAAATTAAACCCGCCATTCATACAGGTGACGGTGAGTCTAAGCTGCTTAGTCGACAACCTGTCTTGCTGGACCGTCGGTTTAAAGTGTAGTGCTTGCTCTAGCGAGTGTTCTGGCAGTTGGCGTGCAGTTTATACTCTAACTATCGGTGGTGGATTAGGTGAAAGAGTTCGGTAGTTGACTTTGTGTAAATGTGAAGCTTTAGGTGGCATGTATAGTTAATGTCATGGATCAGGGGTCGGTAGGCTACGAGGACCGGTTGATGCGCTTAGACGGGTAGACATAATATATTCCTATTGATGCCATTTAACTAAGAGATGCCCGGCGTAAGTGATAGAACGTAAATAACATGGCTAGTCTAAGTGAGACTTCCCTGGCCAGTGACATGCTGTGGTTATCATTTGCTCATCTTTAAGATATGTTCGTTAAACAGTGCCAGAGTTGGAAGTCTCGTTGTTGAAATTCCATCTAGCTCAGTACCTAGAGGACGTGCAGTTCTTTTCGTGCATCATTACATATGCACCTGCCCGCAGATTTCCTGGTGTGTGCATAGTCACCCTATCCTATTCCAAATGCACTCCGCGTCATCATCAACATTGTTGTTGTTACACCCGAAGCTGCGATTCTAGAGCCCCTGCAAGAATATCAGATTACAATGTCTATACCGAGTGGAAAACGACGCTTATGGTTTGTCTCTGGCTTATTCCTACCTTGTCAATACGCAACCCAGTAACTCCAGTGTACCGGCATCATGCCATAGTTTTTGAGACACAGGGACTCTTCGATATTGGCTCTATGTTCGCTGCCATTGGACTTGCCGTTGAAAAGTCTAGAGATGTAAAGCGCATTTGGCCAGGCATCGGATTCTTGGGTCAGAAGAAGTGCTGATAGTGGTTCGGGAGACACAAAGGAAAGCTGTTTAACAAGTGGTAGTGCATTTTCCCAATATGAATAGGAATTGTGTATCAGTATATTAATAAAGCTATAGTTCCTGTATTTCATTACATGGTGTCCATAGCTTGAAGAGCAGAATCGACCACCATCACCGGACCAGACATATGCTCTTGTTCCATGTTCACATTACACCTCTTGCTCGTAATGAAGCTATATAACATACAAGAAAACATGCAAAGAGGACAAACAAATATCTGGGAGTCGTATAATCGCTTAAACATCTTAAATAAGGGCAGTAAGTATATGCGTATCTGGGCAGAGTCGATCGGGCCTTTGGCGGTCCCCTTCACCGTGAACGACCACCATTTCCTGAAGAATCCTCCAAAATACGTGAGAAATAAAACAATCTTACGATATCATCATAAAGCGATTAAAGCTAGAGATGTTCAGAACATAAAACTGCAGGATCAGGGGGTTCTCATAGAGTTCTCTTTGCTCATCAGATTCTCAGCGATAAACATATGATAATCCTCTGAGGTGACGCATTTCTAAACTCGATTATGATGCACCGTCCCACGATGACATAGTCTTGGCACCATCCCTCGAAGAAAGATACATCGTCGCCTTGAAGTAAAGGGGGGGCAAGTTCATGATTGAAGAAACCAAAATCTTTGTACAGAGAACAGCCGGATAAGGACTCAGGTATGGAACAATCTTGTACCGAAAGACATTCGTTAGCGATTCAGGAGATTGGGGAGATTTAAGGACTTTAAGTCTGTTTAGATAGAACGATTAAGTTATTCTGGCTGCTGCTACTTAATTCCTGGCTCTAATCGTTAGCAAGACTTGAGACTTGCCTGTCACGTAGAATATAATAGGCAAGTCTCAAGACATATTACTAGAAGTATCATAATAGTGGCTTCGGATAGAAACTCCTGATACAAAATATAAGATTAGAAAGTGAACATTCATAAACAGGCTCTACTAGGTCTGGCATTTCTAATAGGTTCCCCTTTCTGAAGTCATTGAAGGTTGTCTATTGCCCATGGCGAGTAAAGTTCATCATCATATACTTGACACAACGATATGAAATAATAGTGCGCCATATTTCCTCCTCTTAGTCTAATGTGACGCTTCCGTTCAAGGCACCGTTTGATCATGTGAGGAAGTACAAAGAAACAAATACTTGGGCAAGTGACTGCGCCGCAATTGAGCTTGTCAACTGTGCATCATAAAGTGAATACATTTGACTTGACTTGTTCTTAGTACTTAAATGCTATCAGCTATCTATCTATAGTCTATTCCCCATGTTGATATGAACTGATTTAATCTGTGTATACGCCTCCAATCCCGCCTCACCAAGCTCCCTCCCAATACCACTCTGCTTGACACCTCCAAACGGCACCCGAGGATCGCAGTCCTGACTACTGTTGATCCAGACCATCCCAGCCTCGATCGCAGCCGCCACGCGATGCGCCTTCTCCAGATTCGTCGTGAACGCAGCAGCGCCGAGTCCGTAGGTGGTATCGTTCGCCAGCTCAATGGCCTCTGCCTCGGTCTTGAAGGTGGAGATTACGACGACTGGTCCGAAGATCTCCTCGCGGAACACCCGCATGGAGGGCTTCACGTCGGTGAAGACCGTCGGCGAGATGTAGAAGCCCTTGTCTGAGTCTCCGACCTTGAGCGGGAGGCCGCCGGCTGCTACTGTGGCGCCCTCCTTCTTGCCAATGTCGATATACTCCAAGATTCTCTCGTATTGCACCTTTGACACTTGGGGTCCTTGGTACGTCTCCTTATCCCACTGGTTTCCAACTTTGCTAACTGTGTTGAGGGTTTTGATGAACTCCTCGATGAATTTCTCGTAGATGGTCTCCTGCACGAGAATTCGCGACGTCGCCGTGCAGATCTGACCTTGGTTGGACATGATGCCGAAATGCGACCACTTCACAGCCTGATCCAGCTCTGCATCGTCAAAAACCAACAGCGGCGACTTTCCGCCCGTCTCGAGGGTGATGTTCTTGAGCGTCTTGGCCGCAACGCCCATGATGCTAGCAGCTGTGGCCGTGGAACCAGTAAAGGCGATCTTATCCACCAGAGGATGCTGCACCAGCGCAGCACCCGTGTCCTTGCCAAGACCGTTGACGATGTTGACCACGCCGGGAGGGAAACCAGCCTCCTTGATGAGCTCGCCTAGGACTAATAGACTCAGTGGGGTCTGCTCGGCGGCTTTGATGACAACTGCGTTTCCGCACGCAAGCGCAGGACCAAGCTTCCAAGTGGCCATGGAAAGAGGGTAGTTCCAAGGGATGATCTGTGCGACGACGCCAACGGGCTGTCTAATTGTGTAGGCGAACTTCTTGGGTGTTGTGTTGATGGTTTGGCCAAATGTCTTATCGGCCCAGCCAGAATAATAGCGGATGACACCAACCGCCTCGACGAGATCGTTCTCGAGAGTCTCGATGTATGTCTTGCCGTTATCCCACGCGTCAATGGTAGCGAAGAGCTCCCTCTTCGACTCGATCAGATCTGCCAGACGAGCCATGAGCAGTCCACGGTCTGAGGCGGGGAGGTCTCTCCATGATTCATGGCGCATGGCAGCTTTGGCAGCCTTGACGGCCTTGTCGATGTCCTCTGCATCGGCGGACTGCACTGTTGCGATTTCTTCCTCAGTGCTGTTTGCTCGTTAGTGACACAACCTGAGATAAATAGATGAGGGGACTTACGCAGGGTCAATTGAGGTTAGAGTCTTGCCACTGGTCGAAGCGACGAACTCATTGTTGATGAACAAACCAGTTGGTTGTGACCACTTGACTCCGTTGGGAGCAGTCAACTCAATTGAAGCCGCCATTGTTTATTTGATGATGCGATGCAGAAGCTGTATAAGTTGAGCTGGAAGATGAACCCTGATATTCGGAGGGGCTCTTGTACTTCTAGATTATCACCTCGAACGAAACAGTGAATTCAATACCCAATCGATCACATAAACTCTCGATGAGAAGGGCGATTGTTTCCGTGAGATATCATCGCGGACACCTTCTCTTTTTAAAGACGCATCCACCATCAGCTGACAAGATAGGGAGGTGAAGCCCCCAGCGATGCGCTGTACCCCGCACCACGTCCCCCACAGAAGGGTCTAGCTCACAGTGGGTAAAGAAACGCAAGAATTGAGTGCTAGGCGGGGTTCGACAGCGATAAACACCAGAGACAATGACGGAGAGAACAACTGAGAGAATTATCTTTTAATTATGTATTTGGTCTATCAATTATCCTCTTATAGATTAGCCTTCTCTCGGCTCTCTGCCTCCTCAGCCACAGCCCTGGGGATTTCCACATCGAGGCCTGCCTCGCTGGGCTTCCAGCCTAGCACTTCAGTGGCACGGCGGGGCTTGCTTCTGGCGTTGCTGCCAAAGAAGACTGAGCCAGCGGGGAGTGCGCTGTCGACTTCGGGCTTGTAAAGCTCCTCTATTTCTAGAGTGTCGATATGTCCTTGATCTTTTGCTGCTTTTGCGACTCTGTCTGAGATATCGGCCCATGTCTGGGGATATTAGCAATAGTCACACATAGGGATACATAAGACTCACAATCTCGCCTACTCCGGGTAGATAAATACCATTCTCTCCCCAAACATCCCCATCATCGCTCCCCTTCGCAGCAGATTCAGTAAGGAGCGTAAACAGCCTCGCAAGATCAGCGACATGGACGTTCGTCCAACTCGCCAAGCCCCTGCCGGCCCGGACCGCGTGGCCTCGCTCGAGCGCCACCTTTGCGAGCGCGGGGATCTGCACGCTGCGCTGGTTGACGGGACCTTCACCTTTGCCGTAGATGATGGGAGGGAGGACGAGCGCGGTCTTGACGGAGGGTGTTTCCTTGGCGGCTTTGAGGATGTAGTTGTCCACGACGCGCGACTCGTTGGTGCGGATGAGGTCCTGGATTGATGACACGCCATCGAGATCGTCCCAGACCTCGTCGGATGGCTCACCTGGTTTAAAAGAGGGTGATGCAAGATCGCGAACTGGCAAAAGACTTGCACCGGAAATTTGGATCAAGTACCCTATCAATTGTCAGTTGTGATACCCGAAACAACAATTGTTCAACCCACCAGACTGTCGCTTCTGCAGGCCGCGATGAATGGCCTGCAAAGAGCTAATGTGCTTATTCGACGCAACATCTACACAAGTCAGTACAACCCCTCTTCAAATTTCCAAGACAATCCACGTACTTAGTACGACCGACGCCTTTGAAGCTTCCTGTTCCACAAGCTCGCTGTCATCCAAGTCGCCAACCACAGTCCGCACCTTGGGATAAGCCCGTGCAATGGTCTCAGCGGCTGCGGCACCGCGCACGAGCGCCGCAATGGCGTACTCCGGGTGACTCTTCACCAGCTGGTGGAGAAGCTGGCCGCCAGCGTAGCCAGATGCGCCTGTACTGAGTACATGTAAGTAATCTGAGTGCGCGTAGATACACGGGGTGGTCTTACAGAAAGATTGAGGTCATGTTTTGTGATGTGTGAATTGGTGTGAGGTGTTTCAGCGTGCTATGGTGACCTTTTTACTAGTACTACAATTGGGGTTTTATGTCTCTTGGCTGGAGGTTATTATTAAGCTATGCACGATGCGAAAATTACGACACTGCGGGGAGAATGGCGCATCTCAAACTTGCTTTCTAATTCATGGCGTGCTGGTCATTGTGTTAATAATGATGTTTTAGTGGTCGCGGAGACCTGCCTTTTTGGGGTCGATTGGTGACTCTTAGTTTGGTTGGCTTCCAGATAAGGAATGCCGGATTATTAATAATTGAACAACGGAGCTGAATCCCGATGGTTGCCGCTTCTTATGTGGCATATTGATGACCTATCAAGTGAAATTCATATGGAAGAAGGGATTTGTCTGTCAAAGGGCGCGCGAGGTAGATGTCTTACCAGCTGGCTATACGCCCCGCACACTGCAAAGATCTTGTGTTTGTTCCCTATCACGACATTTTGGCTTGTGTAATGGATCGACGATATTCAACCCCATACACATCGAATTGAGAGAGGTTTTGAATTAGCAGTGGATTAATGAGACACATCAGTGGTTCACTTGTGTTGCCATTCAGTCGTCGGCCAGTTCACTAATTTGAAAGATGGATCTTACGATTAAAATGCGGTGTTCTGCAGACATTGATCGTATATGACATCGCCATATCAATTGACAGCATTGGATGCATTTATCATGCTTGATAGACAAGCAATGTAAAATCCAAGGCCATGGTATGCAAGCGACGGCTATTCAGTACGCAGGCTTCTAGCCTACTACGGACGTCAAACATAATGCATTTTGATACCTCAATGAATATCGTTGATCAACATAGGCAATTTGAATACAATTCTCAAACTAATTGAACCTGTTCTATGCTTATGTCGAAGGTTAGCATAGGCTTAGCCCCGACTGATCTTGTAAAAATGATGTGACCTATCTGCAATGCAATATAGAACATTTGTGATATGCACACGGCTGGAATCTTGCCAGCCGAATAAAGATGCCCCAGCTCTTACGGGCTCAATCACACGCACGAAGTGAAAACTGAGCTTTGGTAATCTGACTACTACCATAGAACTGAGATCTTTACCCCTTAGATCGTAAATATTTTAAGAATAACGTCGCGCACATCTCTCATACTTTACATAGTATACATGAACGATGCTTTGGTTTACGGTGTGTGCCTTGCTCTATTATCAATACATGTATAAAATATCCAAGGAGTAGATGGCCCGCAAACATCGATGGAGGAACAATGACATAACACAGGACTATCAACATCGAACCAATGCGTTATCAACGTCTTTCCATCGTGCTATCTCAGTAACTTTACTCAGATCTACATAGCTTCTCCCATACACCCGATCAATTTCTGATTCTAGAAATGTGTCCCAGTTAGTATTGACTAGCTTTACGAAGTGTTGATGCACAATCATTGGCGCTCTCTTATCCGGTTGGAGCTTCATTGCTCTATCACAGTTTACAAAGCCAACCCCTCCAGTGATATACCAAAATTTCAATCCATCCTATCCGCATCAATTGGTCCATGTTCGTTAGCTCAAATACCGCCACACGGCCAACCCGATAAGAACCAGACCCCACCATTCACCCCGCGGAAACATTCCCTTTTCCCACAGCTCTCTCCAATGTAGAAGAACCCATATGATGCTTCTCCCCGAAAAGCAATCCCTTTGAGTAAAAGATCTCATTTCCTGCCACTTCCTTCTCCACCTTCCTTTCTCGACATATTCCCGTTTGTTTCTCCGCTGCAAGATGCCCAAACAGACTCCCGCAAAGGTCGAGCGCACACGGACGTTTACAGGCTGCCGCACGTGTCGCAGCAGACATGCAAAGTGCGACGAGGCCCAGCCCGAGTGCGGCACGTGTAAGCGGCTCGGGTTGACTTGCGGTGGGTACGGCGCGAGGCTGTTTTGGATATCGGATGATGGGGTCCGGCCGGAGCTGCAGCAGAGCCATCGGGGCTCCGAGTACCGGTATCCACTCTTCTCCGGTGAGTAGACCCCGGCATCTTTGGTGGGTTGGGCGATGCTGATTGGTTAAGAGAGCCAACGCAGGGTGATGAGTGCTGAGTTGGCGGATAGTCTGGGTAGACGGACTGCAGCCTCTCTTTTGGCTGATATCGACTCCGCCTGTGAGAGGTTGAATGCCCAGGATGATGGTTCGAGTCTAATCAAAGGGCCATTTGGGGCTTTTCAGTCAGTTCAAGAGCCAGTGCCATTGACCTTGGACAACATTGAATGTTCTCCAGACACAAATACAGACAACACCTCCGGGAGCATGTATCCCGAGACAGACGGCTTCATCGAAGAGATTCAGCGAGCGGACTGGCCCGACCAACTCCCTGGAGATGATATGGATATCTTCACTGCTTCCTTGGATCCAACCTTTGGTCTGAATCACGATGATGAAACCATACCTGATCAAATCCATATGCATGACCCGTCAATGGCAAACTTCTTCATGGACGACCCAACAGCAGCTCAAGGACTCTCAATATTCAGTCCAGGCTTCATATCCCAAGTCATGGGCCACGATGCGAGTGCAGATACTGAAGAGACCCTCGATCCAGCACTCCGCCATCCAATGAGTGAAATGGTCCCTTATCCCAGAGACATCCCCCACAGCCATTCAGGACTTCCAGAAGAAGCAGAACCGTTACTTCGCCACTACAGACAAGCCATGGCCGGCCAACGCTCAACCATGCAGGCAAAGCGCAAGTCCCCATGGGAGATAATATTCCTCCCATGTGCACTTGAGACTTTTGCTGAGCTCTCTCTATGGAACGAAGCTTCTCATACACGATCATCGATATTCTACACTCTTCTTGCCCACAGCGCGCTTCAACTGCACATGGCTCAGAAGCCTGACGCTCTTTCTACCAATTGGAAGGAGATTGGTTTGAGAAACCACGAGAGAGCACAGAGCCATCTGCGACAAGCTTTGCAGCATGAGATGTTCGGTCCGAAACAGGCGAGCTACAAGGAACTTTTGATGGCTATCCTTGCGATGGCCATGACTTCGGTACGCCCCCTTCTGCCAATGTCATACCGAGCGACTAACGAACTAGTTGCACAATGGTACTCGTGCGTTTCGAATCTTCCTCCTCGATGCCGAGCGACTCATCCGTCTTCGAGGCCTGGCCAACCAAAACCCTTTTAAAACACGTCTTCTGCACCACATGTACACCCACCTTCGTGTCATCGCGGAGAGTATGTCGCTTTGTAACGAAGCGCTACCAGAGTGCTCTACGGAAGTTCAAGATCGTGATCTGAGCCAGGGTCGAACTTTCCGCATTACTGAAGAGGGCTTGAATATGGGTCTTGACCCTGCGTTGGAGAAGACTGATGAGGTAGGGTATAGTGACATTCATCTTGAGGTGCAAGGTCAATGGAGTCAAACATTGTACCCTGTCATCTATGGTATCCCAGAGTCTCTTATGACACTGCTATCTCAGACAGTTTCATTATCAAACGAGAAGACCCGTCTGGAGACCGTCGCGCGTTGCAACCCCAGTATATCAGAAGCCTTAGCAAAACACACCAAGACCCTCGAGAACAGAATCTGGGCTTGGACATCAACACTAGGCCCTTCAGAGCCTACAAAGGTACCAACAGGAGCCGACCAAGACCTTCTCACACATCCCCAAGTGCGATCCATGACTCTCGCAATCCACCAAGCACTCATCATCTACTTCTACCGCAGGGTATATGACATGAACGCCATGATCCTGCAGGACCTGGTGAAGAAAACGCTGGACTATCTTGAGCCGTGCCTGAGCGAGTTGATTGACGATCAGGATTTTGCGACGAGTTTGGCGTGGCCTGCTTTTGTGGCTGCGTGTGAGGCTGTTTCTCCCGAGTTGCAGGAGAGAGCGCTGAAGTGCTTGGGAATTACGGATGATAAAGGAGTATATTTCACGCCTAAGCCGGCCAAGACTGTTGTGCCGCTTATATGGGATAAGAGAAGAGAGTCTGGGGATTGCACTACGAGTTGGCAAAGCCTTGTATTGGATTCTTTATCATAGTAAGAAAATACTAGACCTTTATCCTATCGGATTTGTGCCGTGTGAGCTCTTAACCAGTTTCTTCATTTAGTGGAAATGTCATAAGTAATTTTGTCTATTCACTATTTAAAATCATCCTATACTCTATAATGCATTCATATCCGCTATCATACTCTAGGCCAACTTGACACCAGCATCCTTGAGAAGCTGCGCCAACTCAGCCTTCTCATCACCCTCCAGAAGAGCAAAGGGCTTTCGGAGACCACCCGTCTTCCAGCCCTGCAGCTCCATACCAGTCTTGATACCAGCGCCGTAATGGTGCGCCTCGAGGAACTTGCACACGGGGAAGATCTTGGACCACAGCTCGCGGCCCTTCTTGAGGTCGCCGTCGACAGCAACGGCGTTCCACAACTGCACCGACAACTCAGGGAGGACGTTTGTGGTGCCCCAGACGGAACCCTTGGCGCCGGCTGCAAGGCCGTAGAAGGTCAGGGTGTCCCAGCCGTTGAGCGCTATGATGTCGTTGTGGTGGTGGAAGAGAAGATCTGTGAGGGCTGGGGCGTTGCCAGATGTGTCCTTAAGGTACTTGACGCCGACTTCCGAAAGAGCAGCAATCTCAGCAGTAGAAAGACTAACGCCGCTAGCGCTAGGGATGTTGTAGTACATGATAGGAATGCCGCTGGCCTTGTAGATCTCCTCAAACATAGCCCTGAGCTGCTTCAGGCTGGGGGCGTCGTAGAAAGGCGGCACAATCATAGTGGCAGCGGCACCAACCTCCGCAGCATGCTTAGCCAGTTCCACGACTCCAGCGGTGGTCAGGTCACCGATGCCAGCGACGACGGGGACGCGGCCGGCGGCTGACTTGATGCACTGATCCAGAACGTCCTTGCGCTCTTGGAAGGTCAGAGCTGTGAACTCGCCTGTGCTGCCGCCAGGGACGAGACCGTGGACACCGGCGTCGATCTGGCGCTGGATGTGGGCGTCAAGAGCCTCCAGGTCGACAGATCCATCGGCCTTGAAGGGGGTGATGAGGGCGACAAGGATGCCTGTAAGTGCTTGAGGAGCCATTGTAGTGTGTGTTTGAATGTAGGGCTTATGATGACTTGACTAAGTGATGAACCGAGGAGACTTTATAATAATTGAGGATAAATAATAACTTGAAAATGCTATGTTCATGGTTCTGGTAATCTATTATATGTGTTCTGCTTTCCCAACTCTTTACCAATTCGTCTACCCCGCGTGGTTCTCTATCAGCTTACAAGCGTCTGCTCTCTTCGAAATAGGTAAGTTTCCACGACCAACGGCGGAGAGGCCTGCCATGCGACGATTTGTGGGGTACCATGTGCCACCCAAAGCCCATTCCATTAGGCCAAAGTCAAAAAGGTCGATTGCCTGCGTAACCTTCCTATTGTAGAATCATAGTTGGATTGTTGGATATTTTGGACGAGAAATAATATACGGCTTCTGGCCTGTGGGCAACACGCTATCTTGTCCAGAGGACGTTAGCACTGTGAAACGGGACATTCCTAGGCCACTTTCAAGGTGAACCTCACTCATATTGGATATATTGTATATAAGCCTATATTATATATAAGCCAGCCACAGAAAGATTAATTGAGTTATCTAATACCAAGGCTGTATAAACCCTCCTGAAAATGCCCGATTATATATTGTTTATCTCTTACCGTCGTAGTGTTTCCCTATAGAGATCGAATCACTTTCTTTACCATTTACATTGCCCGTAACGGCTTATCTATAACTTCGGGCGCCTTTCCGATGTTGCTTACTACAGCTTAACGTAGGACTTTACAATTGTAAGAGAGGAAGACAAAGCCTCAATTGCAATAGCCTGCAATAACTTGCGAATCACCGTTGTTTCTCGGTTGATCCCTTTGGATCCTTCAAACTTCAGATCATCTTTTCCATTTTATGCCTTGAGAAGGTTGCAGTTAAGGCCGTTGAGAAATCGGACAACGAGTGAGCCCTAGGCTACGGTTATTCTTAGGTTCACTACAATGGAACACGCTTGAACTCACAACAGGGTCATTGACCTTATCGGCCTGGCAGCAGTATGCATTGTTCTTGCATGACGAGCCGGCACTCTGTATGCGGCAGCTAGACAACAGAGCATTGTTGAGGAATGGCGTGCAGCAGAGCTGCTTTTGATTGGCATCGCAACTCGTCTGGGAACGGCCACCTAGGCTGTTACGGTCTCGACCTGAGAGGGAGTGGCCATAGCAGTGGCTGTAAGAGCGATAACTGAGAGAGCAGGGTGCTTCATATTTGTGGTTCAGGTGAGTAGTATCGTGTTTGTTGGAAAGGTTGACAGTCGAGAGTGCTTCAAGAGTCAATTTCGATGCCTGTTGTGGAAAGATGAGACTCAGTTCGATCAGTTCGAGGAGGAACCAAGCTGCCTTATATACACGTTCAGACACCGCAGTTCGTTCGCGCCGGGCACGATCGCGATCTCTCACACCCAACGTCGATATCATGCTCGTTATGTCTCATCTTCCAGCAATTGAAGAATGTTCTGCCGCGCTGGGCATATCCGCACAAAGGACGCATCCTCGATGACAGAGATGACGCACTAATAAGATCGTTGAAACAATGTCTTGGATCGAAGAGCCCCTTTTGTAACATGGCATAGATTTGACTCAGGTCGGCCGCATTTACTTTTGTAAAGAAGCCTTTTTGTCGACCGAACAGAATGAAAGAAAGTAGCGCAGGAATGATATACAGCAAGTTCTTGACGGTTTAATTAGACAATTAGCGTCTGACACCATAGAGATTGCATTATATACCACACCAGACTTGCTTACGCCCTTCGCCGCTGCGGAAGGTAGTTTTACTATATTCGCTCATCACACATTTAATCCCTTTAGAAGCATTTGTTAACCTTTCACAAGGTAGTGTGTCCAATAAGCCACTGATCCGATCTCTTGTAAACTTGTATTCCTTATAACCAAGGAATGTGTATGTCACGTACTGGACGAACTTCTTCACTCGGGTCTTTTGCTTCAAACTTTCCTCTACAAAGACAGTTAGAAGGATGATATTGAGGATAGAGTTGAGTAAGAAAAGGTGTAGTAATCAAATGGAGGATGCAAAAGTGTGGCCTAGGTTGTTGTTACGATATCATGAAAACGTAATACTTATCAGCCTGGATTTTCAGTTAATTTGACCCCTGGTAGCACTTGTCACTTAACATGCCGCATGTAGTCAAGAGCTTCCAGCGAGGCGCTTTAATATGGGCAACATGTTCCACTTCCGCATCTTATATACTAACATCGCGCTCAAATTTCGGCAATTCGATTTTAAGATCTTGTTGTTATTGACGGCCACAGTAACGGGCAAAGGAGTGTGCGGAGCATGGCACTATCATGCCAAGAAATGAAATGTCACAATGAGCTCACTCAGTTGCAGGGATACCTATATCACCCGCAGCATAAGTGAGGGACTTGTTGAACTACCCCTCATGAAAGTGTTTACGGTCCTCAATAAGACTTTTAACTCTCTCCCTCAATCATAGAGATCGATGGCAGGTCGATACCAGAATATTTGAGTAAGCCAGCTTCTTTCACTGACCCAGAAGATAAACACTGAGGTTCCGCAGTCCAATTCTTTGAAATATCAAGGAAAATGTCAGTTTCTCCCGAGGCTGCGGCGATCATTCAACGCAAGAAGGCAAAATATTGCCGATATGCCGATTCCCAGCAATGGCACCGCTTTGACGAGATCATGCTTCCTGATGCAACCTACGTATTCCGCGATCGCGATCGCGACATCATAACAATGAGCGGCGTTCAATGTTCGTGGTCCTCGCGGGAGGAGTGGGCGGCGTTCTTCAAGAACGAGAATAAAGACATTCAGGCTGTGCACTTGGTGGGACCAGCAGAGATGGAGCAGATCTCCGCTGATGAGATCAAGTCTATCTGGGCGGTTATTTATCATGCTGGTACTAAGGAGGCTGAAGGGGGTATGCATGGAACAGGCGGGGGTCATTATCATGAGATTTGGAAGAAAGTGGGTGATGACTGGTTTATGAAGAGCATGGAGATGGAGAGACTCTATTGGAAAGTCGTAAGCTCGTGAAAAAGCGCAAAGGTCGTTGGATCTCTCGCCTACGCACATAGGAAGTTCATGTCACAGGCAACAAACTTTATTATATCAGGGGCGAAGTGGCTCTGTCATTACTGGCTTCCGTCTTCCGCATCAACGCCTCTGTATTCAAAATACTGACTCCATTCGACATCGTCAATCAAATCCTGAGCCAGCCTTTTCTCGTAGAATATAGCAAACTCGCAGCCCTCATCTGACTCCGGCGACGTATCGCGAGGCGGATAAACAATTATGACGCCCTGAGTTATACGGTCCAGAAGATGACGATATGTCACAGGCTTCGTGAATCCAAAATCGGCCGCGGTGATATCGGCGTCACGGTGATCAGTTTGAAGAATGGACAATGGTGGCTGCGCATCGATACGTGTGTTCAAAGACGTCTTGTCGCGGACTCTGGCCACCATTTCAAGTGTCTCATCAAGGTTTTCCTGGTTGACGCTGTCGGTCAGTCGACGGATGTATGAAGCCAACTGCGAAAATGTCCAGTCCGAAATGACTTCGGCCACTGTAGGCTGCTCCACAGGTGCAGTGAGAGATACCGCTGCAAACATGACGTTGTGCTGCAAGCGGGGTGGCACTTTGGGACTATGCATGCGTCGTCTCATATCGATGGCTTCGCACCAAAAGAGTTTTGATGTTGGATCGGGGTTGAACACCGGTGCTCGAATGCGCGTCAGGTTACGCCATATGAAAGCGGAGAATGCATCGTAGGTTGACACCCAAGTGCCATCTGTGGGCATGGCCCTTGCTTTCAACTCAGCCGCTTTGCTTTTGGAGAGGTGGAAAAGGAGTGAAACTCCGACTTGATGCGCAGGATGACGCTCTTTGGGGGTAGGTCCGTTGATCTTTCTGTTCTCTGGTGGCTCCTGTTTGATAAGGCGCGATACATCAAGATTCAAAACATCCCAACTTGGAAACTCGGTGTTGTTCATAGCGGCGTGGCAGTTCTCGGCTAGCTGATGGGTGAACCCAGCCCATGACATCGTTGGCGTAGTGGTGATGGTGCATGTTGAACACAAGTCCACCGCGGACAAAGTTGGCTTTGAAAGCAGAGACCACAGGCGAGTTGTCTGGGTGAGCTTCTGGCTTCTCACCGTATGTCATTGGAGGAACACTCCATGCCTCCAAATTGCCAAGCGTGACGGCACTGAAGTTTGTCTTCTCAACATCCTCCAAGGAAGGGTATTTGTTTGCATCCTCTGGCGTATCAAGCCACTGCACAATGAAGTCGACGGTGCTATCCTTCTTCCTTGTAAAAGAGTGGCCACCATCAGAATCTTTCTCAATGATTCCACAGTAGTGCCTTGCTTGCGCGAGGGTTCTTTCTAGTCCGGCTTTGAGAACTTCTACAACCCTTTCTTTGTCTGCATCGTTGAGTTTGAAGAAGAGGGCATAGTTGTTGTAAGTACAGACTGTGAGGTAATCGAGAGTGGTGACTCGGAATCGCTCCTCCTCGGGGTCATTCTCCCAGCCCGTGGGGTGAAGATGATAGATTCTCTCCTTGGGCATCTTTTATTGAGCGTGGATTTTCAGTGAATGGTTCAGCTTTGTGTGAACCTTGTGAAGAGAGGGGTATTTATGAGGGAACATCCTTACTTCGCTCGGGCATGGATGCTTTGTGGGGCGAGCATATTTGCATGACTGACGGTGAAAGTGACATCGGCAGATGATGAGTTTGTGATCCTGTGGTGGAGTCTTAAGAAGACATATCACAATGTAATTGGTTGCGGCAGAAGAAACTGGTCCTCAATTTCTATATGTACGTTGGAATCATCCGATAATGCGAACCCACGTACCGTTGCATTGGGGTGGATCCTTACATCTGGATGGATGAGTATGGGCTTGGCTTTGAAGCTGACTAGAGTTGTTAGACGTTGTGTAAGATATCTGGATTTGTAAAGAAATAATGCATAATTTATTGAGGTGTGATATCATGCCCTCTAGTACGCCAGCAATCATTCCCGTTTAGTAAAAAGGTAGGCCGAAGACCAACAATGATTAGGTTTCCCTTGTTCTAACCTCTAACTTGTCGGCGTATAAACACTCTCGTGAAATTCCTCAATCCTTTCCACTAAACAACAGTCGTTTGGCATTTCCATAAGCAAAGGCTTCAAGTTGATCCTTATCAAGAACCCCTTCTCTTAGAATCTTCTCGAGATACTCCTTGCCGAGTTTATTATCGCTAAATGGATAATCAACACTAAACATAACTCTCTCATGGGGCATATTTCCCAAAAGGCAACGCAACGAATGCACGTCAAACATTCCCGAGGTCGTAATCCAGATATTGTTGTGCATTACCTCGGCAAACCCCCGTTTCATGCCGAAGAGGCCAGTGGCCTTGTTTATGCGGTCGAACATGTATGGGAGAAGCTCTCCGGAGTGTCCTATGATGACCTTCAAAGTAGGATATCGGTCGAAGGTTTTGTTGGCCATGAGTCGTAGAATTGTAGTGGCTGTGCTCGCATGCCATCCAAATGCAAAGGCACCAATCGCAAGTGCCGATTTGTGATCTGTCTCTAGGTTGCCGCCGCTGTATAAAGCGTCCTTTGCCGTTTCGCTTGGCCACGTGGGATGTATGTAGATTGGCACGTTCAGCTCTGCTGCGTTGGCCCAGAAGACGTCGTACTCATCGCTGTCGTAGAAATTGCCGTTGTGGTGATTATCGATCAGTGCGCCCACGAATCCGAGCTCTCGGATGCATCTTTCAAGCTCTTGTGACGCTGCAGTGGGGTTATCCATTGGCAGGGTAGCGAAGCCAGCCAAGCGTTTGTTACTGGCTTGTACAGCTGCAGCCAACTCATCGTTGACGGCTTTCACAGCGTCAGTCGTGAGGAAGTCGGCGGGCGTATGTGACAGCACCTGTATTGCCACACCGTTATCATCCATGTTTTTTATTCGCTCATCTTTGAGATCAACGAGTTTGTCGATCATAGTAGAAGGAAATGCGTTCATGGGATCATCTTTGGCTGCCTCTGATGACCGAGCCACATCGGAGAGGAAGTGTTCTTCGAGTGTGATGCTCATGGGTAGTGATGCCATTATTACCAATGTATGTTAAGTTGATGGTGTGAAATTTAACTTGTTTGCATGTTAGTCGAATTATGTGATCTTGTTATACTCTCGTCTTCGGAAATATCGGGGCGGACTTAGACTGGACATAAGGATGGTTCACTAGTGTGGCAGATCGCGGATGTAACGGCAAGATAGACATTGGGTTTTTGAGTCGTAACGCGGATGAACGTTATTTCTTTACTAGCATATAGTCAGTCTTGTATAAACTCTTGTATTAGTCGTGACTCTGGCTAATTTTCAGCGATGGAACCTACTGTTGCGTTGCAATCAGTCCCTGTTGAACCCGCTGTAATTTAGGCCTATACCTCCGGTTTGACAGTCCCTGTGTTGTTCTCAAGAGATGGTCCGTGCGTCAGCCGTAAGCACCAAATGTTCTCCCTGCCAGAACATCCCACAAGACGCGACTTTTTTATCCTTTGACAGCTGGAGCAATGGCAAGTGCATATTAACCATGTACTTCTCTTCACAGATCTTCCATTGCCCAATCATTGCTACAGAATGATGATGATTCACAAGAGTTAGGATCCTTCGTCTCACTTTCCACGTCGCGTATTCATTCAGCTGGGCTTGGACCGATATATTCCACCTCCAAGGCTCCGACATGTCGACAACACCATATGTCCCTCCCATTGACGGCACGGCCACTCAGCATGATGGTACAAGTCACTTGGCCATAAAAATCACGTTCACTCGTCGCCTTCTGACTCTAATCGCCCTCAAGACCTCCGCACACTTCCATCGTCGCGATGGACCCTGTGTTCCAATTTCAAAACGCGTCATCGTCAAGACGGGCCCGTTCGTGCACCTCACTGAAGCGGCAACTATGAACTTTGTCGCTGCCAATACCTCCATTCCCGTACCAGCTGTTCACTGCTCCTTTGTTCACAACAATCACGCTTTTATTGTCATGGAGCGCATTCAAGCAAAATCTCTTGCAGATGCCTGGAACACACTATCGGACACAGATCGAAACAGCATCTTTGCTCAGCTTCGAAACATGATGCAGGAACTGAGGGCTCTTTTTCCACCTTCTGGTACAGACATTGAGAGCTGTATAAGCGGCTCTTTGCGTGACTCGCGCATACCTAGGTCAAGACCTAGGTTCGGACCCTTTAAGTCTATACAGGATTTCCATCTGTGGTTGCGTGAAGATCTCAATCCAGAAGAGCATCCAGATCGCACTTGTGACCAAGACTGGGAAGAAATAAAAGAAATGGTAACCCAGCAAGACGGGCCATGGCCATCCCCAGTCTTCACTCATGGGGACCTGAACCCTTTCAACATCTTAGTTTGCGGTGATCAAGTTGTCAGTATTATTGATTGGGAGTTTGCGGGTTGGTATCCGCACTATTGGGAGTATACTTCTGCATGGTATGGAAACCGTATTCGGCAGGAGTGGCAAGACTTGATCGCCAAATTCCTGGACGTTTATCCTGCTGAACTAGAGATGGAGAAAACACGACAAAGATGGTGGGGAGATTTTTGATGTCTTGTTGAAAGCACGAAACACCTTGTTTTGGCCACCTTTCATCGTGAAAGAAGTCGTAAGTCGATTTTGCTGAATATGGAACAGGTGACTCAAGGCTACAACAAATGACTATCAGCACAGCTCCACACCCGAAAAAAAAGCCACTGGGAGATTAACGTGCTTTTCCCTGCTCTAAAAGATGGACTTTGCTGAGTGAAGACATGACATATTTGACGCTGTTAGGGCGATCAAGTTAAAAGCCTCGGCCTAGGCTTCGACTTAAACGAGCCACGCCGCAGGGCTTGCTGCTGAAGATCCACGTGAGTGGTGACAAGCAACATTATTGCTGCCTGATAATCAGTCCACTTCTCCGCCTCCAACCTCCAACCTCCAACTTCTCGCTCATGTTTAGACAAAAGGCAACAAAATCAATCAGCAAACGCAATCACATAAACCTCAACCCGAATTTCAGACCATGACCTTCCTGGATACCATCCTGTCAGTCCTGCCAGACGTGCCATTTTTACCGCCAGCGGCCCCGACTCAGGCTGGCAAAGATGGAAAGCCACAGTCTGGCCCTTTGAAGAGATTCACGGGAACGGCGTCTGCTTCGCGGAAGGAAGGGCGTGATGAGACGACTGGGGCTGCCATCAACTCTCAGGATCCGAGTTAGAGATATGTGTTTTCGCCGAAGTATGCATCACAGCTCTGGTGCATACACGACCAGATTCTACATAGGCCCATATCGACAGGTACTATTCAGCAGCCGGACTAAACACATTCTTTGACAAGGTTATTAAACCTCTTCAAGATGGAAGTCCTTGGGCAGTTACCCGGATGGAGGCCTATGTTAGATCATTACATATTCTTTCTGAGGCTACATGGACTGGATTGTTCATTACTCAGATATTGAGTTACAGTTATATCAATGAATGAGATTAGTAAGGTCGAAAATTTATTGAGTTTCTACGTTCTGTACCTAGGAGATCGCTTCGACAAGAAGATGGAGCATGTGGCCTGTACCGCCAACACCCCCGCAAAGACGGAATGTCGCAATAAACGAGCCTTTATCTCATCCCAAGCCATCCCAACAGAAGCTTGTCTTGTCTCGTACACTTCCAACCCTTCAGGTGCAGCCGATGTGCATTTAACTTCAAAAGTCGAAAATCACACGTAAATGGCTAGGTTGAGGATGCCCCGCGTAAGGCTGAGCTTAGGCACAACCCGCTTATTTCCAACGAACAAAGTCAGCATGCGGGACTTGTTGGCCTCACATATCTGAGCACCTTGTCATTCTCATATATATCGCTAGGCAGCCTAACATCATATACAGCTCAGATCTCAGGCGTTTGAAGTCCTTCGACAATCCCTGAGCAAGCAATAACCATGTCGTCTCTTTTAGACGACTCGCAGTCTTATCAACCACTCCCCTCACGAGGATGATTCCGACTACTAACTATCAACCCATCACATCAAGAATCCTCTGTTATTTCGTGTACATTGCAGAATCATGAGATGGCCAACTGTCCTCTATATGAGGCAATTTCGTATACATGGGGCGACGACAAAGCCACCGAAACAATCTTAGTCAATGGTGGTCACTTCGCCCTTCGACCTAATTTGTTCTCAGCTCTTAAATCCCTCCGAAACTTGGATAGTTCACGTCTTATCTGGATTGACGCCATCTGCATTAATCAACAAGACGAATCAGAGAGAAACCACCAGGTCTGGCAGATGAACAACATTTACTCCCACGCTGCAGTAGTTAACGTCTGGCTCGGGGGCGCGACGGCCAGCTCCGATGCTGGTATTGGTTTTCTTGAGAGGTTCCATTCGCTGTTGTACCAGAACTCAAAAGGCCAGCTACCAATTGTTGGGTCTACCATAGAGCTCCTCGGGTCAGAGGGAACCAGAAGCAAAACTGAGCGGGCTACCTCCGTCTATCCTCAATCTATCGAATCATACCATGAGTTTTACGGATCTATTCTATCCCTATTGGATAGCCCGGATGTAGTCACTGACCTAAATCACTCCGTTGCGTTACTTTCAAGGCTATGGTGGCGGAGAATATGGACCCTGCAGGAGAGTGTTCTATGCCCAAACGTTCTCTGCTGGTGTGGCTCGAAAACATTCCCCATTGAGCATTTATACCATCTCTCCTACTTCATTTACTTCTCAATCAACTTCAACATCTGGAAAGGTGCACCGATCCAGCCTGAGGTTTCACTGCGGGCGGTTTGGCGGGCTGCGGATCTACGCGAGCACATGGCCACCCGTAAACGTATTCGACTCGCTTTGGCTCTTGACTCTACTTGGAACAGGGCTTCATCAGATCAGAAATATAAGGTCATTGGGCTGCTCGGTCTCGTTGGCCGCCGGCACGATCTCCAACCAGAATATTCTTGGCCGGTTGAAAAAGTCTACCGAGTGGCAATGCGTGCTACGCTGATAGAGGAGGGGAGCCTGGATTGCCTGGGACTAATATCCGAAACACGAGAGTTGAGAAATAAGAACCTGAACTCCTGGGTTCCCGACTTCTCTGTTCACGATATTCCGTTATCGGATGAAATCACTTCTCTTTCCAAGCCAGTCTTCTTGCAGAACATCTCTAATGCTTCTCTACACAAATCAGGCGTAAAGCCTCTCATTAGAACAGAAGACGACGATACTGTCTTGGTCGTCAAGGGATATCATGTCGACAATGTCAAGAGAGTCGGTTTGAAAGCACCAGGCCCTCATCTTCCAGGTCATACGAGTGAAAGCTTGCTACAGTGGGAAAACTCGATGCGAGCAGTGCTGGAGGAATGGAGGACCATCTTACCTCCCTCCGCCACCTATCTCACCGGAGAGCCATCTAATCTGGCTTTCTGGAGAACAGTGCTCGTGGATCTAAAACAGGGCGAGCATCCAAAGCGGACGAGTGCCATCGGGGCCAAACGACTAGATGAAGATGACATTCGAGAGTTGCCGCGATTAGATACTGCGGAAGGTATGGAGCGACTACTGAATACCTGGAGTTCCTGTCTTCAGCCTGAGTACCAAACGCTTCGACTGATTGAGCAGTTCAGTCGTCGATTTATACTTACTGATACCGGTTACATTGGACTTGGGCCACCTGATACCCAAGTCGGTGATTCAATATGTGTTCTTCTCGGTGGTTCAGTACCATATACACTGAGACGGAATGCTGATAATACTTGGTGCTACATTGGAGAACGGTCAGTTGCTTGTTTCTACGATTGCCTTGGTGATACTAACTTTGAGATAGCTACATACACGGCATCATGGATGGAGAGGTCGTTACCGAAGCACTTGAATCTAAGGCAGAGCCTGTCGAGTTCAAGATCACCTGAGAAGGGAAGTTCACTGCGGAAAACATAACCAGACATCACACACTGCTGTTTACCTGCACCTCGGGGAATGTTTGACTGTCACCCGCACGCCGCAAGCATCAAAAGATGAAAGTCTATTCAAACTATATACGTCATCATAAACATAGGGAATAATACGTAGATTCTTCTTCAAGCCAAGTCTTACCAACTCAACTTGCTTCTCTCGCTGGGTCCTGCAGTCTAGCCAGCTCCAACAACAGCCGGTAAGTATATATAGTCATGTCAACTTTCCGAATAGCCTGACCCATCCACTCGCTCCCCTGATTCGCAATACGCTCTGCTAGCTTCTGCCCGGCCTTAGTGGAAGTCAAATATGTCACAAGCTCAGGAAGTTCCTCCAGGCTCTGGCTAACGGGTATGTAATGCACCCACGGCATCAACCGCTCGTCGTGCCATTCTCGGAGGAGGGCTTGCTTCAAGGGGAGGGAATTCGATGCCAAGAGCTTGTAGTAGCGTCCGCTTATGCCATTTCCATCGATGTCGTAGACTAGTTTTGAGCCGAACGCTTTGTCTTTGTTCGCCCATGATTTAACGTCGAAAAAGGTCCTTTGGTCTCTGCAGTATTTCCGTTCACATTGGAATATTCTTGTGAAGCCAACGTCGTATAACCGTCCGTTTAAAAACCATGACTTGACGTTGCTGACCACTCCGTTGACTTGTCTCAGATATGAGTGCGGCTGGTGATCGAGATTCTGCGCCAAGCTCACAAATCTTTGTCGTTGATGATTCCTCCACTGTTCATCTAAAGCATAGCCGCCGGTGGTTGAACCAGTCCAGTACAGGTTGTCCTTTTTCTGTGACCATGGCATATCGTGCTGGGGCTCGTACAGGAATTCGTCTTCGACGTAGGCTGGGCTGGGGAATAAGATATCGCCCATGGTTGAGAATGCTCCAGTTGACATAACTGGTGCGAGTCCCTCAATGAGTCGAAAGGTCTTCGGGTTGATAAAGGCGCCATGCAACTCCTTGTACTCTGGGTGCTGGCACAAGTCTATCACAGAAGAGTGATTCATAACAAAGGGTAGACCGAATGTGTTGATGTCATCATTCACACCGCTGCGACTCTCCCGTCGGGGCGATGGGCAGTGGCTGGTCAGTGTTTTCCAAGTGGGTTTCAGTGACATGTCCTCCAATCGAAAAGAATTATCCCGCTTGCCCTCTGGTGGAATCATTACCCTAGGTTCGTCGAAGTGATTGATGAGAAACTTGACATCTGGAAGAACACCAGCCAAGTCTGAGAACAGTTCGTTGAAAAGAAGACTATAATGTCTGTCGAAGGAACGATGCGGATGACGGCACTTTGTCTTGGCGGTTTTGCCTGTGAACTCGCACAGCCATAACTCGCTTCCTTTTGTTTTGTGTAGCTTTTGTATCGTTTTGGATACCTCCTTACCACTTAGTTTCAGGAATGGAGCTATTGACTTGTGAATCGTGTCAAATTCGTCAATGATGGGTGATTGGTGTTGTTTCGCAAATTGGAACCACGCGTCGAAGCCTGGCGGTGGTTGCATGCCATGGCGTTTTCGATATTCGGCAATGGCGCTTGTGTTATCCTTAGACTGAGACTTCAATACGGTATTGAAGACATCCGTCGCTTGTAGTCCCAGCGTCTCGACAGGATGAACCTGAGTGCCGCTAAAGGCACTGTCCGCCAATGACTGTGCCCGTTGGATCATATAACCATCGAAGACATAAGGAACAGCGGATAGCGAAAAGAAGATCCAGAGAAGAGCCTTGCCCTTGGCTTGTTTTGGGAGGAGTTGGTATGTTTGGTATAAAAAGAGCGAGGAGAACCCGACATGTGACAAGGCTAGGAAGTGTGAGGATTGAGAAAAGGGATTTCTGGTACAGGCTAGGGAAAATGTTCCCAGAGTGGTGGCGATGCACCAAGATGTTTGCTGTGCCTATGGATTGTTAGTAGCTATTAGGGCTGGAGGTGGTATGTACGCACAGTCTGTATGGTGAAGAACCAAGACGCAGCTTTGAGCAACCCTGATATCAGCAGGGATAGAACATCGGTTGTCGGAGGGCCTAGAACGATTCTCTGAAATGCGATACCAACAACCAGTAAGATATTTGTACGAAATGCAACGGTCTTGATAGTTGCTTCAATATCCACGGATGAAAGCGACAACCTGGACACTCTGAAGTCGGGTAACAGGATAGTGTAGACAACGAGGAGTGAGACTACTAGGATAAGCGACACCAGAGATCCTAGCAGATCTCCATTTGATAGAGACCATACTGAAGGGATTGCAACCAGCCAAGTTCCTCGTATCGTGTGGATGAGACGAGATGACGTGTGAGCGTCGGAAGGTATTGTGGGAGGTTGAAAGTACGTCTGTGCTGTGAGAAGCAGAGGTGTCAGGATGGGCTAAGTCATTGTAAGCATAGTCCTTGCACGGAGTATATCTGAATGTGTATACTTACATAGAAGCCAATAGCGTTGCTCTCAGCTGTAAAGAAAGCGGCCGACGCGACGCCAAAAGCGACCAGCCATTGAGAGGCTGGAGAGTATTGTGGCTTCTGCGGAGCGTTTGGCAATAACGGTGATGCATTGCCGGGTCTTGGCGATCCAGCATATTTGAATAAGAAAGGAAGTATCGTCCAGCAAACAAGTTCGGAGCACAACTCCAATCTCCTGACAGAATGGTATCGTGTGAGAGCAGTGAAGAGTATCGCTGCCGCAGCAGATCCCACGACTGGGTCGGGGTAATTGCGGGGCAGAATACCCATCATCAAAATATGTCACTGAGATTCTGCGCCATGAGTAATACGTAGAGGAGAAAATGATTGTTTTTCTTCGGGTGTCAGATCGCGCCGCAAGGAGTAAAAGACGCAACGTAGCCACAAGGGGGAGAAGGGATGGATTGAAGGAGGAGTCAGCTATTAACCCCAGAAAAGCCAAGAGCTTAGCTTGGCACGCGGTCAAAATTGGCCGGATCGTCGCAGAAAGAATGGCAAGGGCGATCTTGTCACTTCGTAGTGCAGATTGTTGTAGTAATGATGTAAAAAGGTGGTATGATCATCCCCAGTTCCTTCGAGGCTATGCTTTAACGTATTTCCAACCAACAGACTTTCTCCAGGTAAACTATCCGCAGACCAACAACTCTTTGTGTTTTAATGGGTCTGGGGGTGTTATTGGTTGCTTTAGTGCTGCGCCTTGGAATCGCTTAATGTGAGGACCTGAGACAGGGTTGGTCCTGAGTTAGGACATTTTAGGCTACTGAAACACGCAAGTGTCGATGAAGGAACTTTTAGAAGGTTATTCGATGGAGTTATTTCAAGACCACCGTCATTATCAAGTCCTCAAAGTTCCCCGTTATCCATGGGTAACTATCTTCGCTAGCAACAAGCTTAATAAAATGATATCCACCAGGATCTTGCTAGCGTTCTAGAACTAAACTGGTTATACGCCAACTTGTCTCTGATTCGTCATTTTCGCCCATCGAATAATGAGAGCATTCTTGGCGGCCTGGGAAAGTCACACTGACGTGGAATTAAACCAGGGAGAGGCACAGGCTACAGGCTAGACGCGACACATTCAGGGGAAATCAGGCACGTGTTAAGCAACGGCAAACCTTATTCGAGCGGCTTGGTTTTCTAGTCATAACTACTCCCGCTTTACCTTTTTTGGATTTTGGTACGATGGCGGTTCCCTGCCACGAGGTATACAGACATTCATCATGGGCTCCGCCACTGTTCAGGCTTCACATATCGTAGTATTATAATTATCATGTTGAGGTGAAATTTAGACGTCTATTTTCGGTATAAATCCCATCTTCTTGTTCTGTTGTAAAAAAGAATTGTCGCACTGCGTCTATCAGTGACTCAGCTTGATTGGCCAACAGAAGCGGGGGGATTTGTCCGTCGATGTCACTGATTACGAACACCGATCATACAGAGGACGCATCCAAAGAGGCAAAACCAAGCGCGATACGAAACTATGGCTGGTGTACCTACAGGTAGAGGCTGCGACTCGTGTCGTAAGCAGAAAAAGAAGGTGTGTTGGAACCAATAAACAATGTTGAATATCTGAGACTAATGACCCCTTAAGTGCGACCAAGCCAAACCCGCCTGCGCACGATGCGCTCGTCTGAAGATCCCATGCACCGGAAGTGGCGTCAAGAGATTCGTGTTCAAGTCAGAAAACTCACAAGCATCCGGCAAACGATCAAGAGCTCTAGTAGCTACAATCACTAATCCGCAACCTTCGGCCGGTCCTAGGAATGAAAAGACGTTGATAGCAAGCAATCTGGTGCATATAATCGAGTTGAGCAACCCAGCATACGACATCTCCACTTATGGCTGGTTTGTAAAAGACCTTCCTCGTCATATCGGCTCGAGTCAGTCACTAGATGCGGCCATAGGTGCCTTCGTTGCAGGGTTCAGTACGCTGCAGAATAAAACCACGTCCAAGGTTGATGCGTTTCATCGTTATGGAAATGCGGTAACGGCTTTACGGGAGTCTATTCACAGTTCTGTGGGAACGAATCTGGCGGATAGGATGTGCTCTATCTATCTGATCGCAATTTGCCAGGTAATCCTTGCATTTTGTGCCCTCCATCCTGCGACTAACGACGAGTCTGTTAGGAATGGTTGGGGAATACTGGTATCGATCAATCAAAGCACTACGAAATGCTTGGCCACTTGCTCCAGAATGCTGTTCAAAATGGCAGCCTTGATCCCACAGATCGTGGCCTGATGCAGACGATGCTCGGTGTTGTGGTAAGATTGTCTTAGGGTCTTCCAAATATGTCGTATACTCATACCCCGTCAGGTCCTTGAGAGCTTCACCAACCGTAACGTCAACCTTGGCCCATGGCTATGGAAAGCCGTTTCTATTTTAGGAGAATCCGTACGGCCCCTCAAATCAGGAGACGGCATGTCCTTCGCATTACTAGATTTAGGGACCATGGGCGAAGTGTCCTGCTATATCCGTGATCCCGATAGGTACATCTACCAAATACGCTGTACCTATTCTCTCATGCAGCTAGAACATCCAAGGCTTGTTCATGCTATGGAAGAAGCCATCGCGGCGGGTAAACAGTCCGGATCCACCTCACTTCAGAGAAGATCAGCTATTCGGTTCCATACAGCAAATGCGGTTATGCTTACTATGGCTTGCATACTGAACCGCATTCTACGCTCCTTCGACGATGATCCTGCTCTCATACTAGAGGCGGAGGGGTTTGTGGATCAGATCATCGTCCTGGGTGAGGAAGCGAGCTTTAATCGACCGATAGCTGCGTCTGCTGTGTCATCGCCCCTTGCAGTTGCCCTGGCTTCTGTCGAGCATTATAGATACGTCGAGGTAGAGACGCTACTACTGGAATATGAAAGTGACTTTCTCGGTTTACAATATTTTGACTCTATCGAAATGATCAAGAAGGGTTTCGAGCATATTGACAGGAATCATCGAAGGGATGGCCAATTGTTATTGCAAAGTGCAGCGGGTTTGGAAGTAGACTTTCACAGTATTGATCATACGAACGTCTCTGATATCCCGGACACAGGGGACAGTAATAGCACAAATACTCCATTAGATTCTGAACCTGGGTGTATTATACTATAGGAGAATAGACAATCTTCCCATCCTTCTAACTTACAGCTAATAAATCCCTCTCATCAAGATGCCTGCTCAATATCTTTGAGAAAAGCCACAATCGCCTCACTCATCTGCTGCAATCCCGGATCCTCAAGGGGATAGTGTCCCGCATTATCCAACATCACAGTCTTGACCGAAACCTTGGTAACATCCTTCAAGAACGCCTGCGATACCCACAATGGCGTCCACTTATCCTCCGCAGGCTGAGTGAGAAGAATAGGGCAGGCATCGAAGTCTACTGGTTCCTTCTTCGGCTTGTAAGTCGTGAAAACCGACAGGAAGGCCATAGACACCCATGAGTTCGCCGATGTGTTGTCTCGGTAACAAGCTTGTAGGGCCTGTCTGTTGTTGACGAGTGTCGACATCCTGCCGGTGAGCCACATTGGCATTGCCATCCAGCCCAGGCCGATACTGTTCATGACGCGACCCATCGGTGCGCCGACGCGGCTCATGAACATGTTTCGGCAGGCGACGTCCGCTACACTATTGATGCGCATGTCCATGAAGGTCATTCCTATGATTCCTTTGACCTTGCCATTCAAGCCAGCAGAGTGAAACGTCAGTCCTCCGCCAGCACTAAGCCCGTACAGTGCGATAGGCCGAGAGTCGTTCTCATATTCATGATCAATAAATTCGCTCGATATGTTCACCCAGTCTTCATAGGTCCACGTGTACCCTTTCGCGGGCACTGTGCAGCCATAACCAGGCATGTCAATGGCGACGAGTTCAATGCCTGCTTTGTGAAGAGGGACGCCGAGGAGCATCGACATCATACGGCCATTCGTTCCCATGCCGTGATGCATGATGAGACGGACTCTGGCTGAAGGGTTACGCCATCTGTCGAGATGCAGAGCGTGGCCACGGTGGTGCCAGACTTCTTCGGTGGGCGCATGGTCAGCAGTGAAGTGCAAGCGCTCAGGGAGGAAGGATTGAATGTCTCTCCATTCTTTCTGCTTTGCGTAGGTTGGTAGTTCAGACATGTTGGTGTGCTGATAAGAGGACTAGTGTTGGGCTGTTAGTTTTATCTGAATGATAAGAGTTCAGCACAACATAAATACTGTTGGTGAGACTGGGCGTCAGTGTAAGCATGAGATTGTTATTCCGTCTTCTCCGGTCAGATGGAGCTATTTAAGTTGCGTCATTAGCTGACGTGAGAACGCTGATGGTCAGTACGAAGAGTAGTTCGCACTCGCACTCGCACATTCGACTCTGTTAGGTTGTGTGAGCTTCTTGTCAATTTACCGGTCATTGGTGTAACAGATTGATGTCAAAGGATTGACTTAAGCAAATACTTGGTTTCTAATGCCAATATCTCGTACATTGTTGATCATACTAATAGATGTGAATATCGGCAATGGCCCGGAACTCCCTCGCCCATGAGGTGATAACTATATTTGTAGTCTTCCATGACTGCCTTTACAAAAAGCTGGTACACTATTCCATCAATTCCATTCTAGCTTATGATCTTTGTATAGTACTCTGACTGCTACTTATCATCACGCTCCCAGATCGACTGCCTATTCCTGCCAATTATTATGTCATATGGTGAAGGTTAACGCCAGAAGTTCGACCCTACCAGAAGCTGTGCGCTAAAAACTCACACAATGACATTGGCGCAACCTTCCTCAAAAGTCCAGCATACTTCAAGGGCCACTAGCATTTAAAGTAGTTTTTGCTAAACAAAATTAGAGCAATTTTTCTTTCTTTGTACAAACAATTATCTAGGCTCATCGGCGAGTCATACTAAAAGGGCGACTACCCTGTAGCGGCTCAACAAATTCAACCATCATGAACTTATGAGATGCGAACTTTGCTCTCATGTGGTCGAGTGATTCAGCCCATTCGCTAGGTTCAAGGTTCTATGAATACCCATGTTTATATTCCTGTAAAAAAGAAGCAGCGGAGAAGCTTGATGTCCTGTCAAAAACAGTCAATGCAAGTGGCACCACTTATCACCTCACAACACCAGCACAAACCACACGCTACAACATCTTGGCATCAAAAGGGCGCCGATGACGGCTGGCACGGGCTCTTCACCACGGATTAGACTTCCACGTCAAGATTAGACGAAACGGGCCCAACCGCCTAATTCAAAATCAGAACCGCCAATCCTTCCGTCAACAGAGCGGATCTCGCTCTGTCCCATTACGCAAGGATCTTCACGCGGCCCGTCAGGAAGGAAATTTTCTTCTCCCAAGAGACCCCTGGGCTGGTTTTATTTTTGTGCTCTCGTGGAGTCGTGTTCCTCCGATCGGAAGAGAAAATGTGGATTTCGCGTATGTAAGGGAAATTCTTGCTTCTGCGGAAAACTTCATGCCCAGCTTCTCTTCTTGGGGGCTCCATCTTTTTCACGTAAAAGAAATGCGTGCGAGTAAGGGGGAGGGTGGATCCCGCTGGGTTCGGATATGAGAGGGGGGCCTGGGAGTTGAAGAAAGAAACAAGGCTGGGAAAAACAAGCTTATTTTTGCAGGAGAATAAGATTGTTTGCATGCGGAATTGGAGATAAGAAGGAAATGATGTAGTGGCGTTTGTGACGTCGCGTCCGAAAGGACAAGTGCCGTCCCGGAGCCGGAAAGAGTTTGACAGCCGGATGGTCGGCGGCTGTAAAAATTCACATTCTCCAGCAAAACGTCAACGGAGGCGAAGCGTATCCACTAATTCCGGGGCACGTCCGGCGGATCTGCCGGGGTGACCGATGACCAATCGGCATCCACTTGGAGTCAAAACCTCACCCGTTGAGATTACCTTTTGCAACATGCTTTAATGCCATCAGCATGTTTGATCTTCTTTTTTAAGGGACCTTCCTATCTCAGAGTCTTGGACTTGTAGAACTAGTTGACTATTGGTAGCTTATCACGTAACACCCAAGAATGCCCGTTTTCCCCCACGGGGGTTCCTTGCAGACAAACAGCATCTCCTGATGACCAACCCTTAGTAGAACGACCTGGTTCTAAACCTAGTAATTACAATGCTTCTATTGGGTAAGCTGAATGCCTGGGGTTCCCGGAGCAAAAGGTGGGAGCTCTGTTCTTCCCCGTTCCCGCTCCAATTCCCCGTCAGACCATCAAATGCTATCATAGCTCCCGCCACCACCTCCGATCGGAGCTCTTCGCCTGGGGTACCTAACAATAACAACAAACACAGGCAAAAAGGGTGGTATATATATGGAGAACTCGGCGCCGCTAATAACGTCAGGTCCGCCCACTCTGGCTTTCTTTTTGTGTTTCTATTTCCCTTCTTCCATTCTTCCCAATTCACTCCTCCACGTCCGCTTTATACGGTTTAACACTGGGCGTTGATTCAACAGGTGTCGGTATTCAACACAACCTGCACACCACACTAGCTGCGCTTCCTTGACTGGAAAGGAGCAGCTCATAGCCACCATGGGCATCATGAAGTTTACAAAAAAGTCCGCAGATAAACCTGCCGAGACACCAGTCGCGAATGATCCAATCGCTGAAACGAGCGCCTCAGATAACGACACCGAGCCACCGAAGGATGACACCGACTTTCAAGAAGTGCCGGCCGGTACCGTCGAGAAGGGAAACATCTTCGACCAAGGTGGAAAGAATTACAGAACCCTAGGCCGCTGGGACACCATCCTCATCCTCTTCACAAACCAGCTCGGTCTCGGCATTCTATCGCTACCGTCCACTATCAAGACCCTCGGAATCGTGCCTGGAATTATTGCTATTCTCGGAATCGGCGCGCTTTCTTGGTATGCGGCGTATGAGCTGCTGCAGTTCTATCGCAAACACCCCAATGTTGTTAGTATCGTCGAGATGACACGGATTGTCGGCGGCGCATGGTTCGAGACATTAGCTGGCTTTATCATGATGATCCAAGTTGTCTTCATCGTCGCATCGGCCACCGTTACAATCTCCGTCGCGCTGAACACGCTCAGCAGCCATGCTACCTGTACCGTTATCTGGATCCTCGTGGCCTGCATCGCCTGTTATGTCCTCTCCATCCCACGAACTATGAAGTTCGTCTCCAAGGCCGGAATCCCCAATGCGGTCAGCGTCGTCTCCGCATGTCTGATCGTTCTGATCAGCTTGGCTATTTCTGGCCCTGCTATTGCGCCTGAGGGTTGGCATAAGGAGATCAAGATTGTTGGTAACCCCACGTTTCGCGATGGCCTAAATGCTTGCCTGAGAGTTGTCTTTTCCTACGCCGGCACATTTACATTCCCGTAAGTCAACTCAAAGTACTCGCCATTGAGCTATGCTAACCATTTCCAGGTCTTATATGGCTGAGATGAAGGACCCTGCCAAAGACTTCCGATTTGCACTGGCCGTTCTCGAGGTCGGCAGCACACTGTTCTACATCGTCATGGCCGTCGCTTTGTACTGTCTCGCCGGCGATCTGACAACATCGCCCGTTCTCAGCGCCGCCTCTTCGATCCCCGCCAAGGTCGCGTACGGCATTGTCCTCCCGGCTGTTATTGCTACCGCGCTCTCCATCGGCCACACAGGCTGCAAATACGTCTACGTTACAGCGATGCGCCAAATGCGATCCACCCACCAGGTCACAGACAACAGCGTCAAGTCCTGGGTCACCTGGATCTTGTCCGTTACTGTTTTCTGGGCTCTCATCTTCATCATCGCCAACGTCATCCCTATCTTCGACTCGATCCTCTCCATTACCTCGGCTACCACCATCCCATGGTTCACGTATGGCTTCGCCGCCATCTTCTGGCTACATCTCAACAAGGGCCTTTATTTCTCGACGTGGCAAAAAACGGTTCTCACTGTTATCAACGTTCTCATGGTCTGCCTAACACTCTTCCTGAATGCGGGTGGTTTGTGGGCGGCTATCACTGAGCTGTTGGACCTCTTTGAGAAGAACAAGGATGGGATTGGAGGAGTTTTCTCCTGTGGAGATAACTCTATCTTTTAGTTTAGTTGCTGTAACGTATATATACAATTTAATTGTTCTGACTGTACCAAGTTCTCCAAGATGTGTGATAATCCCTCGCATATACCAAGACTGTTTACGTACATCCTCTCCCGTTGTCTAACGTGGCATCGTTGTTCCCAGACCTAGCGACACCATTATGAAGGCTAATAAAAATATCCTCCAGATATCGCTGCGTGTTTACTCTAAGCTCCTAACCATTCTCAAAAAGGACTGTCGAGGAAGGGCGTGTACTGCTTGGGGCATGTAATATTGGATGATGGAACCACGCCTCCATAATACGCTCGAATATGCTCTACATAGCAGATAGATGCTCCTTGATTAGCAACTGTATGCTGTTGCGTGAAAGACAACCCATGAATTAGCTCCAATTCCTGTCTGTAAAGATTGAGTCCGGTTCTGGGTACTTACACCGATAGCTTCTTGTAGTAAGAGCACAGATCCGGGAAAACGAGAAGAACTTTCTTGCGCCCTGGATGTGCAAGTTAGTGGTGGAGACCTTCGGTGACAAAACAAAACTGTAGAACGTACGATCTCAATGGCGTTATAGGGTCGATGGTGTTGCTGGTGAACAGTATGGGATAGGGTGTTGGCTTGTCGAGTCTGATCTTGGGACCTGTGAAGAAGAAGTAGATTAGAATTATGGGAATCGAAAGTAAAGAGAACCAGAGAATATCTCAGGATCAAATATGGAAACAAATGGGTACATACTGTGGACCAGCATTCTATTAGGCAACTGTGGTCGGAAAGATCTGCATACAACAGAATCCACGTAAATGGGATATATATCACCAGTATACTTGCTCTTGCGAGTGGTGTACTCAACATAACTCTTGAACTCCTGAATGGTAGTAATGCTGTTTGACCTCGATGCATCAGAGCACTGAATAACGTGGTTGGCATCAGTCGGGATAATAGTGCTTGCAAACATTCCGGCCAGAGCAGTAAAGTTCCCATTCTCAACTTGGTGAAGAACCTCGGCCATAACTGGGAATATGGCAACGGGAGTGTACATGGCTGTCAGGAAAAGAGCTTTGAGGTCGGAGTAAGTAACCATTGCCGGCAGAGATTTAGTCTGGACTCCGCTGATGGGGACGGGATGGTTCTGAAGTTGGCGGATGAGGTTGTCCAATCTGACAGTAATGTTCTTCGGCGAAGGACCCCAGAAGGAACATTTTGAAGAACCTGCGGAGTGACACAATGTTGAGAATTTTTCCATAGCCTCATCTGCCTGATCAACGTTGGCGGTATAGTCATTGCGGTAGTACAGCTCTGCATCGACAATACCATCGAGTACCATCCTCCCGACGCGGTCAGGAAACATCGATGCGAAGGTAGCACCAATGACAGTTCCGTAACTGACACCATACGCCCAGAGTTTTGTATCAGATGGTTTCTGCCCGGCTAGCCTACCCTCTGCTTCGACAAAGGTAAGCAAATCCCGAGCGACTGCCGGCGTGGTGACATAGTATCCATGAGGGGACTTGGTTTTGACAGCGTGGTTGCACCACTCTCCGTAGATGGAACTGGAATAATACTGTTCTTCGAGCGAGGTTGATGATATGTTGGTGATTCTGGTGTTGTGTAGTCGTTGGAAGGCTGACCGTGCTTCTAGATTGCCCGAGAAGCAGTCCAGGCTGGGTCCGCTGTTGTTTACGCCTCGGGGGTCGAATGAGACGATGTTATACTCTTCACCAAATATCTGTTTCACCATGGGGGCACTGGAGAGGAGTAAATCAACACCAGAGTTACCAGGACCGCCTGAGAAGTGTCAGTTTGCACCCAGTAAAGTATCTATTCACATTGCGAGAGTATGTTGATGGGATCCATACCAGGGATAAGGACAATGCTAGGGGATTTGGCGGTAGCATTTGCGCCAGACAGTTTCAAAAAAGCGATTGAGGTAGTGCCGATACTCTTGTCTGAATAATCCAAGGGGACTTGCAATTTGGAACAAGTGAAATCGTCGAAGCACGGTTTCCAGTTGAGGTTGGTGGATGGTTTGATCTTGGTGTTGTTAGCCACGGCAATGATGAAACTTCACAAACAGAAGTAAAAAGAAAAGTGAAGAATATGGACTTACACTATCAAAGTCATAGATCATTTTATTTCCGTGACAACTGGCTGGTCTGCATCCCAGGCCTAAGCCTGTAAGAAGGATGAGGGCGTTGGTAAGTGGTTTCATTGTGATTTTTGGAGAAGTTTTGGTGGTGAAAGCAAAGATGATACTGAATGAGTTGTGATTTAATTAATAACATATGGGCTACCGAAGACTATTTATGTCAATTTTCAAGGTGCAGATACGCCTTGACTGAGTGTCATAATGTGTATAGTTCATTTCCAATACAACGAATCTGCCCTGTCTTACTCCACCTGTGCGAAGCAACCAATCGGGCTCTTAGCGAGGTGCTAGGTTTAACTATCAGCCTCTTCCTCATCTGTCCACGCAATTTCACGGATAATTTGGATGTGCCTCATGACGACACAGACCCTAGTAACATGTCAGCATGAACGCGTTGAGAGACCCACCTCTACGAACGGGCCAATCATAAGCTACTATTGTCTTACTCCACGGACATCAGAGGTTCCGGAAGTAGAATGGAAAAGCACGCCGCATCTAGCTCTATCATATTCCAATATCCTAATTTTGTTCTCTGAAAGAAGCCTTGAGCCACGCGGTAGAATCAGTAGACGCGTGTACAGGAAATGGATAGAACACATGGTGACAAGGATGCCAGGGTGGCCAACCAAGCCTGGAGAAAAAAGCCTCGTCAATTCGCTCCAAAGTCAAGACTGGGCTGTAAAACTTGCAAGTAGGTCATGATTGCGACTTAAAATGTTTATTGTTTGGCCTTTTGTGCGGCATACTGGTGGAGAGACGTTTTATTGAACCGGAACTGACTCGTGTACCGCAGAATAAGACGGGTCAAATGCGATCTGGCTCAACCATCGTGCTTAAAATGCAAGTCCACAGGCAGAACATGTGATGGCTATCCGGAAAGAACCCATTCGGATAAGAAACTACATGTGGCACAGTCTCTCGACAGTAAAAGCCCTTGCACGGCAATCAGCACACAGCCGCCAAACCAATGGCAACCCCCTATGGAAGACTCTTGTGGCCTTGGTCTGCACAACCCCAGACCCTTTATGATCTTACCAGTAGCCGGGGCAGGACTTACAGAGGCAATGTCCTTCTTTGACCATGTTTCCATCAAGCATCTCAACAAATACCAACCCAGCGACGAACCGTGGCACAAGACACTTATGTATTTCTCCCAGACCGTTCCGTCTGTGCGATATGCAGCTATTGCACTATCCCTGCTGCATCGGAGCTACATCCATGGCGGTTCTACCTCCGTTACCTCTTTGCAATCCTTCAAAGAATCGCACCAGATCAGTAACGAAGCTCCCTTGCTTCATTACAACATGGCAATCCAACATCTTCTGAGCCAGGATTTAAGTGGTCGCGATAGTGTGGAGAGAACAGCCATCACGCTACTGGTCTGCTATCTCTTCACTTGCTTCGATCATCTAGCGGGCAATGATTTACAGGCGATGAAGCATCTCCGTGGAGGCGTGGAGCTGTCGCGCAATCTCGACAAGGTGTTGGTCACCAACAGCAGCTCAACAGACCTTCGAGGCCTCATCAGTCAGGTCACGACTCAAATCCGCCGTCTCGACATGCAAGCCGTCATGTTCGCCCTTGACTGGACTCCAGCAGACATCCAAGAGCCGAGCATATGGCAGCTTTTGCCCTCCGATATTGCCTTTCCGTCCCTTGGTCAGGCTGTTGACTCCATGCAAATGCTTGTGGCGCAGGCGATTAGACTACGCAACACGGATGAACAAATGTACCCAACAGGTAAAATAACCTCACCTGATTCAAATTCATCGCCGAAGGATATTCTTCTTGATCAGCTGGAGACGTGGCTGGGTCTTTTCGAGAACATGCTCCAGCTACAAAACCACTCCTCTAGAACACACTCCGACAGTAGCACGCTCATAAGTCTACTACGACTACAACACAAAATCGCATGGATCTTCACCATTAGTTACGGGCCCAGTAAGGAGATGGAGTACGATGCCTTCCTACCTCAGTTCCAGCAATGCGTCGCATTGGCGAGGGATGTAGCAGTGTCTCACCAGGATATTCTCGGACCTTCGAACCCGACTTTCACACCAGAGATTGGAGTCCTTCCTGTGCTTTATATCATCGGAGCCAAGTGTCGGCATGCTCTTTTGAGACGTGAAGTCCTCGATATTCTCCGACGGCAGTCCATACGAGAGGCGGTTTGGAATAGTGTCTGTACAGCTCGGATACTTGAGCGGATAATTGAGATTGAAGAGAAGGGCTGTGGATATGGGCATATACCAACCATGGATCAAATTACTGTCGGTCAGAGGATTGAGGCTTTGTCTTGGATATATGTTGCGAATGGAGATTCAGCTCCTAGGTTGGATGTGACATATACATTCTGTGGGAAGGAAGGGGTGCATAATGAGGTCCTCATGGTATAATGTTTGGTATTATAGTTTGATCGAATCTCTGGATTAACGCTATTCAAGATAGCTATAGGTATCGATCGGCTTGAATACACGTCAGATTACGTATCGAATTGGGCGCCATGATGTGCTGTTATGCAGCCCTCAATATCTTGTATATTTCTCAATCTTATCACACCCAATTTGATGCTTTCCATTCGCCTTGAAGCTATGTCTTATCTCGGCACTCTTACTACAGGGCAATCTGGCAGGCGTCAAAGCACTTATCGACATAGGCCACTGTGTCAATGAGCGGAATCCGAATTGTGCCTTAACAGAAGAGGCAATGGTGTCGATTACTTGAGATAGAATAAGGATGCTATGGGTAATACTTACTTATAAATACTTTTTGGTTCTATAGGTTACGGGCGCTCTTAGTTTTCTAAATATTTTATGAATCTCAATTCTTATTTATTTACGAATATCTAGGCAGACTGGCTTGGTATTAAAGGGACAAGTTTTTAAATTAATACTTCATAGGACAGCCAGTAATTGATTACATTACGGCAGTTTGGCCAGTAACATTAATAAATGCGTTAATCTGGCTTTCCCAGCCCTATAGTCGCGACGTGCTAGCATAAGATAAGGTAAGAAACCGTATCAGGGATAACGTGTTTCCAAAAACAAAACAAAAATGATACGCGGAGTAGAAGAAGCCCATCAAAAGCAAACAAACAGCCAATTTTTCAAATCAGGCTCGCACGGTGGATGCAACATGGCGACAACCAATATCAAAAGCTAATAGGCTGGAGATCAGCCACAAGGTGAGAATCCCTGCTAACTAGCTAATATCACATGATTAATTCTTTCAGCTAAAACAGGTTTATCGTCGGGTATGTTTAGACAACTAACTAACACGCACAGGTTCGCAACAGCGCTTAGATAAAGAAATGCCGTCTAATAATCCAGACAGGGTATATAACCTTCACACACTCAGCATAAATCTAATAGACCAGCATTTAATAATAGTGTCCCTTAACGCCATTAATTTGGCCATTAAGTACCTCCAGGAAGCACTTAAACTTACTCCACCGGGAACAGCTACTTATAAGACTTGCCTTTCGTCTCTGGCAAATGCATATCTACATAGATACCAAAGAACTACGGCCATAGCCAATATAAACACTACGATCGACCTCTGCCATAAAGGAATTTCGTTAACTCTAAATGGCCACCTACTACACACTAAGCAATTAAAAAGCCTAGGAGATGCATATCGTTTTAAATACATTCAGTCAGGCATAATTCAGGATATCAATCAGGCAATTCAGCAATATCGAGAGGGCCTCGACCTCAACGTGTCTAATAGAGTCACCCGGATCGACCTAACATACAGTCTCGGTCTCGCCTACCAAGCGAGGTATCAAGAGACGGCAACTCTTGCAGATTTGAACAGATCCAACGACTTACTGGAGGAGGCCTGCGACTCAACGCCAGAGGGGACTGAGTTGAAGAATTCTCGGCGCAAGGATCTTGCACTTGGTTATCAGGTCAAATATCTAAGAACTGAACAAGTTATTGACATCAACAAGGCCATATCGCTGTTCCGAGAACGCATAGATCACTCGTCAAGCCAGGACCCTGGATACGCAAGCTTTCACGGAGAGCTTGGGGTAGCATATGGAGCTAAACAATTGAAGGGAGGTGAGATGAAGGATCTAGAAATGAGCATCCAGCTCCTTCAGCACGGAGTCAACCTGTCAGGACCCGATGATCCTCTTTATGTTTGGATGCTGGAAGAGCTATCGAAGTCATACAAGTATCGGTTTTGGGAAACCAAGTCGATATCGGATATCGATACTGCAATTCAAAATTTGCAAAAAGCCTTCGAAACATCCTCTAACGACTTTGAACAAGCTTCACAACTACAATGGCTGTCTCGGACGACTACGGATAAGTTCAAAGAAACGCAATCAATCAGCGACATTGATCAGAGCATTCAGTTCATGGAAAAAAGTCTTGACAAGACACTTTCAACAGACTTACCACGTGGTTGTCGTCTCTACGAGCTTGGCAGTCGTTATGGCCTCAAATACAAAGTCACAGAGGCAGTAAAGGATTATACTTCTGCCATCAAGTACCTCCAGGAAGTGGTTCACGACGCTTCAATTGACCTCTACAACAAAGTTTTGGCTGGTAAGGAGGCCATGGATCTTTTCGCCTCGCGCGAGGACTGGCGGCAAGGCTTTGAGATAGCTACGTCACTCATCGAGTTGGTCCCCTCACTCATACCTCGATTTCTAGAACCTCTTGACACCCAATATGTCCTTAGAGATATAGCGGGTATTGCCTGCGATGCAGCGGCAATGAGCATTAATGGAGGAGAGGAGCCGGTCGTTGCTCTCAAGCTCCTTGAAGCAGGAAGAGATATGATGGCAACATCTATCAACGACCTCCGTGGGGAGACGATCAGTCTGATGTCCGAACATCCTGAAATGGCGGAAGAGTTCCTGACCCAGCGGCATGCGTTAGACAAACCAGCAGCCGACGAGAACGATCCGAGTGAACGATACGAAAGAGGCAATCAGCTGTCCAAGCTTATCGATCAGATCAGACAGCTACCGGGATTTGATGACTTCCTGCGCGTACCGGGTGAAAAAGCACTAAAGAGGGCAGCTGTCAAGTATCCCATCGTTGTTATCAACGTGAGTCGCTACCGATGTGATGCTCTCATCATTTCGAAAGGTCGTCTCTGCTCTATTGCTCTTCCGGCCTTGACTCTCGTCAAACTGCAGGAACATTCCCCTCATCGAGATAGCATAAGCACCCATGCAGTCCTCTCTTGGCTTTGGGAGGTTGCCATGAAACCTGTTTTGGACTTTCTAGGCTTTGTTAAACTTCCTGGTACGGATGAGAATTGGCCTCGGGTGTGCTGGATACCAACTGGTCCGCTTTGCAGATACCCTCTCCACGCCGCAGGACATCATGGTTGCGAATCATCCGAAACAGTTATCGACCGCGTCATGTCTTCCTACAGTTCTTCCGTCAAGGCGATTATTGATGGCCGCCGTCCCACCGTCACCAGGATGGGAACAACGAGGGCCCGATCCATGCTTATCTCAATGGAAGATACACCTGGAGCGATCAGCCTTCCTTTTGCAGGACGAGAAATCGAAATGTTGCACAGTCTTCACCTAACAATGTCACTCGATCCCATAAGAGCCAAATCCAAGCAGGATGTTATATCAAAACTCGAAGAATGCAGTGTCTTCCATTTCGCGGGACATGGTTTTACTGACCGTCAAGATCCTTCCAAGAGTCACTTGGTCCTACAAGACAACGGCCAGAGCAATCCACTGGAAGTTGGTACACTTTTAAGCATGAACCTACGCCAAAACCCACCTTTCTTGGCGTACCTCTCAGCCTGCGGAACAGGCCAGATTAAGAACGATACCTTTTTCGACGAGAGTATTCATCTCATCAGTGCCTTTAGACTAGCAGGATTTCGCCATGTTATTGGAACGCTCTGGGAGGTAAATGATGAGTACTGCATTGACATGGCGAGGATTACTTATGAAGAGATACGAGATGGCGGAATGACAGATGACTCCGTTTGCAAAGGACTTCACAAGGCTTCGAGAGAACTAAGAAGGCGCTGTCTCAGTATGGTCAGTTTGGGAAGTGGGAGAAAAGCCAAAGAGGATCATGTCAGAAGCACTGAACATTCTGTACAAGATCAGGGCCAGCGGATGTCACAGAGAGATATCTTGCCTTGTGACGAAGACTTGTCTATGTCATTGCATTGGGTTCCCTATGTTCATTTCGGTGTGTGAAAACATGGCCAAGGGCAGGACTAGATGAATCTATTTGTTTTACTACATAAAACAAAGCATCAGAAGGTCGCATGCAGTTCCTGTGCCATTCCACCTGACAACACGGTCTCCTTGCCCTGAACATCATGCGGTAACTCATACGTATGATACTTTGTTAAATACCAGTCGTTCGCATTCGAGTCCTCATTATTGCTGTCCTTGAACTCGGTATCATCCGAAGCCCTCAGAAAGTACGAAACAGAATAACGGTCTTCTTGCTGGACACCTCCTATGGGAAGAACACGATGCAGAGCAGAGCGAAATCGTCTGTGGGAAAGAAACCTCAACGTATCGGCTACGTTGATGATGGCGTGGTACGGCCGAGGCTGGACATATTCCCAGGCACCCGTCACGGGTGATACAACCTGAAGACCCCACTGCGGCGCAAAGAGAAGCGTCAATGTCCCGATATCAGTGTGCATGTTCTGGCCAACCTTGTTGAGGTTGCCAGGTGGGTAATGGAGGAAATAGAGGGTACTCTTGGAGCGCGCATCGTCGCGATGATACGTGTCGAAACGAGCACTTCCTTTGAGGTTCAATCCGTCCGAGAGGCAATCCAAGAGGAGTTTCAAGATGAAATGGCACGAGGCGTTGAACTGGTCGAACAGTGACAAGTTTTCCTCAACTACCGATGGAAGCGCCCAGCGACCAAGTAGTTCACTTCTGCCAATCTTTAACAGTCAGAATTATGTCTAGAATAGAACATTCCGGATAATGAGATACCTTCAATGCTTCAAAGCCGTCTTTGAGCGACTTGATTGCCCCGGACTGGTTTCCGGTGGCCTTGAACCTATGGTAAGATACTCAGTCAGTCGAGGTGTCACGTAAAAATGCATGGCTAAGGCACGAACCCATGAGCTAGAGATACCGTTGGAGTCTTTTTCTTGTCCTCAACCGACTGCGAGAACCAGTCCTTGGTGATTTCGCTTACTCGATCTAGGTCTCTCCACAGCTTAGCTGAGCTTGGGCTCTGAAGGTCCAAATAGAAGAAACCATCTGTTTCGCATGCTTTGAGAAGTGTCTCAAGCTCTTGCTGGTCTCTATCGAAAAGGTTATCGAATTTCACCGTGTACAAATTAGCGGTGCTGACATTCTCATACTGGTTTGTGGGCTCTGCAGTGAGCATTGTGATGCAAGAATGGGGGGGGATCGAGTCAGATAGGTTGCCTGCGTAAGTACGAAAAGGTTGACGTCAACTTGAACTTTTAAATAGGAAGAACATAGCAATGAAACAATTGGTTAGTGTGTACCTTTCAAACGCCACCAGGTCAATCGGGTCCTCCACGCAGCCACGGCTGGGGCAAAGGCATGATGATGGAGTCTCGCTTACGGCTTCCGCAAGAATATCCCATGTTGAAGACGGGCATCAACGCAAATTTCGAGATGGCGTGCTCGAAATGACGTGTCTTCGACTCAAAATGGTCCCCTATTCTCCAATAAGATGTGGTTACACAATAGATATCAAGCATCGGATTGTCTGTTCGCAGGCGGACGGAGCAGTCAAAGTCACACAAAGATCCTGGCATTGTGGGAGAGTCACAGCTAGTCTCAGTGTACTTGACGAAGGATCTATTAACTTATGGAAAGTTTAATCCGTAGTTTCACCTGCATTGTAAGTTGTAGTCGAGATGTCTTAGCCATCGGGATAGTAGACTTATCCCCGTACATGCATCCGAGCCGCCCATGTATCTGCAAGGTTAAAGGCTGGAGCTCGTACAAAAACTAATAGTTCCAAGTTGGCGACGTAGTACAGCATCGGAGAATTACCCCGGTCCCCCGTTATCTCACTTCAGGAAACGCCCCAAGCGCTGGTTGTCCTCCTGTGTGTACAAACAAGACATAGTGGCTTTCGTCCAACTCCCCGTTCTCAGCCTTCTGCAAAATCCCGCCAGTAGTCCTGCCCGAGTAGATTGGATCAGTGACGATCCCTTCTTGTCTGCCAAGTAACTTCACCGCTCTCATGGTATTCTCGTCACATCCCTTATGCATCCCGGCATTGAACCTCGTATCTAAGATCACGTCGTGAGCTTGGATGGCAGCTTCACCTAACCCAATGAGTCTTGCCGTTCTCTGGGCGATTTCAAGGATTGTGGCTTCCAGTACACCCGATGGCTTGTTGTAGGTGTCGATACCGATGATGGTGCGGGTGCCGGATTTTGACACGAGAAAAGACCCTGAATCTTGTGTCACCCGATCAGCGAGTTTGAAACCTGCAATCATTCCGCCGATTGTTCCTCCAGATGCCACAGGAACAACAATAGTGTCGAAAAATATGCCTAGAGCCGCCTCTTGCTCAACAACCTCGAATGCCCAGCGGGCGAACCCTAGACCACCATGTACATGGGCAGACGCACCCGAAGCAATTATGTAGGGACGCCCACCGCGCTTCTTGACATCAGCTGCAATGTCATCGAGAGAGGCGTTGGGCTCTGCATACCCAGCTCCGAGGACGCCATTGACTTGCACGTTTCCGGACAGTTCAAAGGCCTTCGAGTCAGAGATTTCATGCATCTGCGGAACCAAGACAGTTTTGAGTCCAAGGTGGCTTCCGACAGCAGCGACTTGACGCATATGGTTGCTCTGTGTACCCCCAGTCGAGATCAGAGTATCGCAGCCCTGGGCCAGAACATCGGGGATTACATATTCGAGCTTTCGGATTTTGTTGCCACCAAGGCCAAGACCCGTGGAACAATCCTCACGTTTTGCCCATATCTGGGCTTTAGTGGTAGTGGTAGAGTTGAGATGACGCGTAAGATTGGGAAGAGGATGTAGTGGAGAAGGGTGGTCAAAGAGAAGAGCAGTGCGCTTGAAAGAAGCGAAAGGCTCAGGTAAAGCGACCATGTTGATAAAGATAGTGCAGTTTGTTTCTATTGGACAAGATATGGTGCGTATGATCAACACGGTAACTGGCATGGTTAAATACATGTTAAATATTTGGTACAGTAGACATTACTGCTAGACACATGGATGTGAATGGACAATACTCTTGTCATTGCACCATTAAGCTATACGAAGCGATGGATGAAATGTCTCGGAAGCCAGCCTGGTGAGGGTGCCAATGTTTCATACAGTATGTGTTCCGAAATATCACGGAGGCGCGGACCCCGAAGGCGCCGGAGCCCGATGCCAGATTTATTGGTCTTGAAGCCGCTTGTGATGCCACTACATCTGTAGGTAAGCGTTCAATACCGGACACCTACTATAGGATGGGTCCCAGTCACCTCACCGAGTGCGCAATTGCACGGTTCAAAGATGATGTGTGGTCTTTCTGCTCCACATGGGATGCATCGATTCCAGTACCTCTGAAGCAATCACCACTTTCCTGACATCCTACACTAGGTCTGTTCATATATTTCACAGGCTCACCGGTAGAATATAGGCCTGACCACGTCTGCGTGCATCAATGAGTCTATTTCAATTCACTTTGCCATAACAGGTTTTCTTACTATGTCTGCAACCGCCAACCAGAGTTCAGGCTCAGAGGAAGCCGATCTACCCGTTCTGAACTTCTGCTCTTTGCAAAGAGGGAACGAGGGTGAGAAAGCTAACTTGTTGGCTGCCTGTGAAGAACACGGGTTCTTTTACTTAGACCTCCGTTATTGGGAGTCCGGGGAGATTCTGGACAACCTCGAGGAGATATGGAACATTATGAAGAAGTGGTTCGACAAGCCACTGCAAGAGAAGCTGAAGACTGAAACAATCTCTGACGCTCATGGGTGGGTTGCTGAGATTTGGGGGAATATGGAAAACGCTGACATTGCTTAGGTTTAAACCACCAGGAGTACAGTCTGGAGTCACCGAACACTCGCGGGACGGCTTTGAAGCGTTAAGAGTAAGTCAACATCTCAAAATATCAAGTCCACACCAACTAACATAATCTCAGATTAGTCGCGTCTGCCTTCTTGACCGGTCTCATCTTCCAGAAGTAGTACACGAGAACCTTCGTCGTTTTGAAAGTTTCCAGCTCTCTGCCCACTTCCTTTTGAAAACCCTTCTTGGGTGTCTTTCAGACGCAGCTCAGCTCGAGGGAAGCGATAGATTTGAGAGCTATCACCCAGATGGTATGCCTTCAAAGAGCACGATGTTCTTCATTCACCACCCTGTCAGTGATGCACTCGACGATAAAACAGGTCGTGGCCACAACGCCCACACAGATGTTGGCTCTTTCACACTCCTCTTCACCGAACAGCCAGGCTTGCAGGTATTGTCGCCAAAAACCAACAAGTGGGAGTATGTAGCTGCGAAGCCGGGCCATGCAATCGTAAACGTTGCTGACACCCTTCGCTTCATTTCCCAGCGACGGTTCAGATCAGCAATGCACCGAGTACTACCTCCTGGTGGCAAGATGTTGGAAGATCGATACTCGGCAGCTTATTTCCTTCGGGCCAGTGACAGCGCCGTGTTCAAAGGAATCAATGGAGAAGATGTAACTGCAGAGCAATGGTTTCTTAGCAAGTACAGCAGCTTCAATAAGACGCTGGAGGAGCAGAGGTTGGATTCTGTTGCGACTGGTGGCATGGATAAGGACTTGGGTTTGCTGGTCTAAGACGTAGTATCGAGTGTCTGGCTATGCAAGAGGCCTCAGTCGTAGGCTTTAGTGTTCATACAATACCGATTATTGAGTTTTACTTTTCTATCAGTCGTGGCGTTGCTGGGCCTTACGAAACCACTAAGAACTTTAGTCGAACATCTCAAGCTGTGTGTGAGAATCTTTCACATAGAGATGTACTGGGATGTCAAGTTTCAATAAGACACCGAATAGTTTTTCATCCACTAACAATTATCGACCGACTTGGATGATTTATCAATGCTGCATTGCACTTTTTGTTCCCACAATATTGTTTACTCACCAAAAGATATGTTTAGCGACATGCATTCGTTCGTTTGAAGGCAAATGACGTATAATTGTGCCGTCTTGGTGTATTTATATCGACGTTGCGTCGATATGCTCTTGTCATGTCACCCTCTCTACCTACCTCTCCATTGAGCTTCCCAACACCCCAGATATTGATATTCGTTTCTTCTATAACTTTCAGTAATCTCATGCAATGAACAGCAAGCACTCTCACTCCGACGTTGAAGTTAGGAAGGCCAATGCTTCTAATACTGCCATCGATGAAGAATCGCCGCTTCTTGCTCACACCCAGGCAAGGTCGACCCTTACCCAACACTCTCACGATACCGAGACTGCACCCACCGACGAAGGGCCTTCCACTAGATATCTTGCCATTGTTTTCGGCAGTGTGTTTATCGGTGTCTTTCTCGCTGCACTCGACACTACCATAGTCGCCACTCTTTCGGTGCCCATATCCGACTGCTTCGGCTCACTGAACCTTGTGTCATGGCTCGGATCATCCTACCTCATTGCAAATGCAGCTTGCCAGCCGCTGTCGGGGCGGTTAACCGACATTTTCTCGCGCCGCTCCGGACTACTCGTGTGCAACATACTCTTCGGCATCGGAACTCTAGCGTGTGGTCTTGCCACATCCAAATGGGTACTCCTTGCTGGCCGTATTGTGGCAGGAACGGGTGGCGGTGGGCTGAATGCTATTGTGGCATTTTTGGCTAGCGACTTTGTACCTCTCCGAAAACGAGGAGTTATTCAAGGCTTCGTCCACATCTGCTACGGTGTTGGCGCTGGCCTTGGAGGCTTGTTTGGTGGCTGGCTGAACGACTTATGGGGTTGGAGAGCTGCTTTTCTCAGCCGTGTGCCACTGATTGTCCTCTCTACCATACTCGTCTTCTTCACCCTCAGAAATGCCCCATCTAAGCAAAAAGACACTGACAAATCGAAGCTGTCGAGAGTGGATTTCTTAGGAGCTTTCACTCTGTCTTTGACTCTGGTTCTCCTACTACTGGCTCTTAATTCCGGTGGTAACATTGTGCCATGGAACCACCCACTTGTTTTTGTTTCCGCCTCATTATCGATTGTGGCTGCAGTCTCGTTCACCTTTGTTGAGACAAGATGGGCTGAGGAGCCTATCATTCCGATGCATCTACTCCGGAACCGATCGGTTCTGTCCGCCTGCATGATGAACTGCCTCGTAACCATGATTCTATTTATGGCTACTTTCTACGTCCCGATATTCTTCCAGGTCAATGGCCTTTCTACCTCGGCTTCCGGGTTGCGGCTGGTGCCGCAGAGCATCGGGACTTCAGTCAGCTCTCTTGCCTGCGGCTTCATCGTGAAACGTACGGGGAAATACAGGACCTTGGGTCTGGTGGTGATTGCGTCCTCTGCTTTCGGCTTCATCGGGCTGAGCACTATGACTGTTGAGACCTCCACGATTCTAACACTTGTGTATATTCTACTCGTTGGAGTGGGCTACGGCGGCATGATGTCCATCTCGGTCATTGCCACGGTCGCAGCCGTGTCACCCGATGAGCAAGCTGTTGCCACCTCGGCTATCTATGCTTTCCGATCAACGGGGTCCACGGTTGGTGTTACTATTGCATCAGTTATATACCAGCACCTGCTCCAACAGGGTCTCCACCAACGATTCGACACCGAGAGGGGATCCTCGGAGGTAATAGAACGTATTCTCAAATCACTGGATGAGCTAAAGCATCTTCCTGAAGGATGGGATAAAGGTGTTTATGAGGCCTATGCTGTGGCACTACGAGGAGTATTTGTGAGCGGTCTAGGCCTGGCGGTTCTTGGGTTGGTCGCTACAAGTCTTCTGAAAGAGCATCGCCTGCATCATACCTTGTCTCGGGCAGACCATGATTGAAGTTAGAGTCCCACTGGTATTAGCTACTAAGCTTTTACAGGATGAATTTTACCATCGTAAATCGAAAGTTTGTTACGAAGCTTCGCAATGTAAACTTTGCAACCAGAAGTTGGTTTCTCTCCGCTTGTGTTCAATTTGTCTGCCGTTCAGTATTACCTTGCATTACCCCATAAGTTCTTTGAGATACTGAGTGGCGCTTTCGGGCTTAAGCGGGGCAACTAGTTTGTCAGTCTCAACTCCAAAAGCCTAACTACGGGCATCTCGTTATACAAGTATGATGATTTGTGTTTCCTCATGCAGCACTTTCAACTGCTAAAATAACTCAGTATACCAATCAGTACTGTATCTTCTCTAGTTTACAATAAAGGATCAGATTTACTTGAAAGAGGCTTAGGAATACTTCTTCAACGCCAATTCACCCCATTTTTCATGATGTAAGCTGACAGTAAGCGAATTTACCACAGAGCGATATATATTGATCTCACCCGTGTTCATTGATCGCTGTTCATCCCAGTAAGATACGGAAATAACGTCATAGTGCTTACTCGGACTCTTCCTCGGAACGTGTAGCACGGTCTAATGTCATACCGCCTCGAGTCACAAGTGACGGAACTAATTTCTTACGTGAGTGGAAATCTCGTCGAGCTTTCATATACAATACACTGCCACGACCAGAAACTTCTTACTGGCAGTTCAGTATCGCTCACACCATCACTACAATATACACCACTATTCCTACCATCAATATGAAGAAGCAACGGATTGTTATTGCGGGCGGTGGCTTAGGAGGCTTAGCCGCAGCGTGCCGACTAGCGCGCGACAACCACAAGGTCGATCTATATGAGAGATCCGAGACCCTGTCAACGGCCAGCGGCGCGATCTTTGTGAGATCCAATGGCGTAAGGTGTTTTTATCGTTGGCAGATGCGAGAGGCCTTCGAAGCCGTGACTGCCCCGATCAAGCAGCACGAAACGCGCAACGGAAGCACGAATGAGGTCCTGCATCGACTGAATCCAGGGGTCTACTCGGATTTCCCAGAGTGGTCGACAGATCGCCAAGCGCTACAGAGTGTTCTCTATGAAGAGGCTTGTAAGGCTGGTGCTAGGCTGCATTTTGGGAATGAGATTGTTACGGTTGACGAGGATGACCATGTCGCCTATGCAACCTGCAAAGATGGCACTAAAATCACCGCAGACTTGATCTTGGCTGCCGATGGAATATCCTCCAGATTACGCTCGCAGGTACTTGCGCATGTCGACCCAGCCCGTCTCACCGTGATCCGGGCACCTTCCACTCACTACCCAACTGAGCTTTCTACCGAAATGCTCGCTAATAACGACAAGACCAAGTCTATCTGCGAACAGCCCGAGTCAGAGAATGGCATCATGTGGGCTGGCCATGGCGGATACGCTATTGGCAAGTATAACCATCTTCGCGGTCTTTTCAATCTGATGTTCTCAATTCAACACGGCGCTGCGGATAGTGCTTCTAGCGAACAGAGGCTTTTCGACGCCACGAGCGATACTCAGGTTGTCAGGGAGTTCTTTGCATCGTTCCACCCCACAGTTAAGGCTATGGCAGACATGGTGCAGCATTGCTCGCGTTGGCGGTTGGCTAGACTGGAACCTTTGGATACATGGTCGAGTCCCAAGAAGAGGCTTGTACTTCTGGGAGACTCAGCCCATGCCATGTTGCCCAACCTGGCTGAAGGGTTCAGTTCCATTGTCGAGGATATCGATGCGCTGTCCATGCTGCTTTCAGAGATCGAAGAAGACATGCCTGGTATCATTAAGATGTGGGAGAAAGTTCGTATCCCCAGAGTGACAAGACTTCAAAACGGCTCGACGTGGAACTACCAGCTGTACAACTCTGGTAAACCGCCGGGATCTGAGTTAACTGAGGAGGAGAGGAACTTACCAATGGGTGAGGGTGATGGCAATGCGCCATTTAATACTCCGCCTTTTGACAAATGGATGTTTGACTACGATGTGGCGAAAGAGGTATATTCAGGTTTTAATGCGGTCTGGTCATTTGCTAATAGTGCCCAGGTCAAGCTTGCAATGAGAAAAATTCATTCCTAGTCTACAAATTCTGGGACGGTAGAAATTCTTGGTACTGGCATCGTCAGCTAACCTAGGTATGATAAATACGACGGATTATTTAGCTCATTTTGTTGGATCAACCTCTGTCCGTACATTCTTAGTCCTGTATGGTCCCCTAAGCGATAGCGCTCTATGTGGCCAGTGCTTGACGTCACTTCTTACAACCTTCTCTATTCGACGTAGAGTCAACAGCTGTTGGTGGTTGGCACATATAAAGCGAGCACTCCTAGCCACCTCCCAATTTCATGTAACGCACCTCCCTCCTCGCAAAGTGACAAAGTGGAACAATATCAAGTTACACACTTGGTATCAGATAAACACAATTATTTCAACAATGTCAAGCCAAGCCCCAATTCACTACACAGTCGACCCCTCAGTCAATCCAGCCACATGGCCCGGTTCCGATCCAACTGTTGCTACTATGATCTGGAAAGTCGATGTCATTTACATCAATATCAACGGCGACCCTAACTTTCGTATTCTTCGCACTGGTACGAACGAACATGTTCATCAGGCGATAATCCAGGCCACCAAGCATATTGCCCGAGGTGTTTATACTATTGTGAGCATGAACGTCAGCGACTATTCATGTATGGTGGTTATGTCAACAGAGAAGACCAGAGATGAGCTTATGTTTAAAAATGGGTTTCCTTGGGATAGGAATTGTGATCCCCAGCTGGATGTTGTATTGAAGTGAGCGGGAATGGAGTGGGTGATGGGTCCGTGTGTTATGCAGTTGGTTGTTGTGCCTTGACCCGGACAGCACGATGTTTGGTATAGCGTGGTTTTATTTGCACGCTATACCAATAACCCACAGAGACATAGAGATAAGAATGCTTAAAGTGGAAGATTCGGGTCATCTGAGGAAATATTGCTATCTCGTGAGTTGAAATGGTGTGATAATAAAAGCCAATACAACAAGTTATCATTAGGCCGTCTATTACCGGTTAAGGTATAGTTATTTCTGATGCCAATAATAAATAAATTTATTAGTACTATTTAACCAAGATCTTTTAGGGTTATTATTATTGTTAATATTATTAAGAGTTTTAGAAGGCCTGGGCTTTATAAAGTTAAATGTTAAATTAAAAAACAAAATAAAAAGTTAGATCTTTCAAGCCAGAGCTCCCAATCTATATATAGTAATAGTAATACTAACGCTCGGTAAATTACAAAGGCTATCTCGCCAGGATCAAGTCTTACATATGGCCGTATGTTATGAGCCGTGTACTACGATGAACTTAGGCTGTCACTAAGACGATTACTTACATTTACCAGGTAAGGTAACCCAAGAGCGCATTGAAACAGCATACAACAATCAGTAGTCCTCGATTTGTTTTCACCTACCACTGTGATTTTAATCTCTCATTGTTAGCTATTATCACTTTAGCCATGCTTGAGCAAAAGTTTTACTATTATCTTAACAATTTGAACTAACAGTACCACCTTCCTTTTTAGGTCTTACACACTAACCCTACTGAATTAGAAGTTCTGTTATTGTTGAAACATGTCTTTAGGGCGCTTGTCTTCTTAATTCGAATGGTCAAGCCTTATAGAGCCTGTTTGCCTCGTCCTTACCTATTAAACAGAATCCGGATACCTTAACGATTATTTTCTTCAGTTTCAGTTCGCCGAAACTTTATCGTTGAGGTCTACCAATGGAACCTTACTCCTTCCAACCTGCGCGTAGTAGCTCTACTTGGAACCAACAACCAACAACCAATTCCCCTGCAGCCAGACCATAGAAAGAACAATAACACTTTGGTCCATTTTGCCTGGTAACCACCTGTGGTAAATACTTTGGCTAAAGTTACAAAAGCATTAGTATGAAAGCAGCCCAGCCCTTGTTCTCAGGATAAATTTATAGAATAAGAGTAGAAATATTAGCAAGACATTTAACAGCAGTAGTAACTCAACTGATTACTACCCAAAACAGCACTAAGGCAGACTCATTAGCGCCCTATATTAATTTATCAGCCTATATTTAGTATTACTGTAAATGTTTAGGTCTATACCGTTAACTGTATTTTATATATACTGGATACCTAATAAACTTTTATTTTATAGTATTATAATATAACTTTATATTAAGTCTATTTAATATAATAAACTTAATACTTTAAGAGTCTAGTATAAGTCTATTACTTCCATTATATTGGCTATACCTTAGAGGGCCAGCTATTCTATCCGTTACTTTTCGGCTTAGGTAACTTGTTTATATCGATCGTCCAACACAGTACGACCCCTTTACATTACATCAGCCATGGAGATAGGCTTTGAAGAGAAGAATAACAATTTGGTCTATTTTGCTTTATTACTGCTAGTGGTGGCTTGCCTTGGAAGTATGTGGACTAATATTATCTCTGATACTGTGCCCTTTAAGCCCTTGTAGTAAAAGCATGCCTCGTTGAGACTAAACTCCTTGGTAACGGGAAATTCCTTCAGAGTCCTCAGTAAATCATTCTCGGTGAGATTACCAATTCCATCTAATGTTCCCATTATGATCTTTAGGGTCAAGCTATTGGAGAAGTCATGAGATTTTCTGCAATCAGAATTTTTGTTAAGATACTCTAAAAAAGAAACTTTTCAAGACTCCCACAAGATATCGCGCGGTTCGCGAGGTTCGAGACGTCTCCTCTGCAAGGGCTGAGTGAGAAAATGATAAATACCTGATATTGTGTCGACACAGTCTTACATGAACTGAATGACAAAGTGCAGCATCTAAACTCTCTGGATGGGGTGCTTGCTGAAGTAAACTTTTTACCTAGCACAGTCCGTACCCAGTGTCGTAGTCAAACAATATAAACTTGAGGGTTACGTATTTTATATTGCGTAGTGTTTGAAATGGTGACATGGATTCGCCGAGCTGCGATATTTCAGACATATCTAGAGCACGCTCGCTCAAATCTACTGCCGGAGAAAGGATTAGATCAAGTAAGAAGCAGTGGCGAACTGCAAGTCGGTAATGATCTTCCAGTAGGAGGAAGTTAGGGACACGTTCCTTCGGTTTGATAGGGTTGCTTTCAGAGGGAACAAGATTTTGCCACTCTTTCGGAAGTATCTTCCCTGTGTCTTTTGTAATGCCCTTAATTAAGTGCATATTTTATATTTTGACTTTAAAGAAACTATCTAAAATCGCAAACTTGAGCTGGAATTATCAAGGATGACTCTGTCCATTTCATATGATGACTATAAAAACTCTTTGCATGGGACTGTCACCGGGAGGAATAGTGCTCATGAGATTTCCACTTCTACATCGTATAGCTTACGCCTTACACTAAAGCTATTGTAAGAGCTATAGTGAACCAGGAATAAGATTTAAGGGCGTATCTATGTGATGATTCTGAGTCAGACCCCTTTGGAGTTTAGATGTAGATCTCTATACGTAGCTCTAAAATCTCTTCCATTTCATAAGGGGTCCTCTTGGCGGCCTTACCATCAATCATTCCCACATACACATAAGAATCTGAATACTGATATAGACATAGAAAACTCTCATAATGAAGATATTTCAGACATTCGAGATTGTATTCATATCGACGAGTATTGTCCTTCGCCACGAGATACCCTAGAAGCGGACTCTAAAAACGATAATGAATTGTTACATGGATGTAAGAGTCCCAGAGCGTCTCGATCTCTTTGAACCTCAGCTCGTGATGTCTCCGCTAGTGCCAAAAACTCTCATCAACCAGAATTTCCAAAATGCACTACTCCTTCGTACTCCTTGGTGGATATTGAGATGGCGATCAAGTCCCCCAGCATTGATGAAGCCCACCAATTCCTGGCTAATATCCCGCTTTCACTGCTTGTAGCAAGGTGTGCGGCCCTGTGCGGTGATAGCGCCGATAGTCACGTAGTTGCCATTGGCGTTGCAAGCAGTGCCTGCCTCGAGAGGGTTATGGGGGTTTGTTTTGCCGTCGGCTCTGTGAGCACCAAGACAAACGTTATGGCAGTTCAAATTACCAATCGCGGCGTCCTGTGAAGGCGAGTCCTGTTAAAGCCATTCTTGAGATCTCACTGTCCTGGGTTCAACTTACAGAGTAGACGCAGCAGTGGGACTTATCCTGAAACAGGCATTGACAGTACTGTCCGGCCTCAACGGTGAAGGCGCTGGCAAAAAGCACGGCAACGAAAGATAGGATGCGAACCATATTGGCGGTAGTGAGATAATGTTTAAAAGAGTATCAAGTTGGAACTGTAGAGCTTAGAAGTATTGTGATTGAATGGGTTGGTGAGTAAGTGAGATTGTCCAGATGGTCTTTGGGCCTTTATATAGCTCGCGGTGCTTGCTAAGTTGTAATTCTTCAATTGTATATTGCGAGGTGATGTGGAGGACAGAGTGGATCTTTGTTCCATGATGGATACACGGACTGTACTGTACTAGGTACATGTATCGGCCGCTAGACCTCAGTTAAGTCGAGATGCTTCGGTCACTCCGTGAGTATCGTTACCTATCTGGTCCTTGAAGACGAGCAGGGAATATCGTGTTGCAAACATCCAGAGCTGATTTGTAATAGTCTGACTACTTTTCTGTGCGTCTTTAGGGACGAGGTAGGTGGCTATGCCTAAGGAGTGGCCGAAATATACAGACTTCACTTAACATCAGTTTATCACTGCTTCTACTATCCCTTCAGTCTGCGACGTCGTTCAGCTCAAGTCGGGAGGGTTGGCTACCCCATAGTTGTGGATACATCCCTTAGTCCCTGATTCGTTATAATAAGCAGGGGATATTTTAGTACAAGAATTTATAGAGGTTTTCAATCTGGTGTTTAGTACTGAAAGACTAGCGTAGGAACCAGGGAGATGACATCACCAATGGAGTCTGACACTCCTTGACTTAACTTGATTCAGAGGCTAAAATACCCTTGATAGGCTCAGCTTCGGAATCACGGCACGGAATCACGGCACAAAATGTAGCTAGTCTTGAGTTTAATCTTCGTAAACCCACTTAACTTCCTTGAAACATCGTTTTCGGTATCGGGGTAAACAAGGCTTAGAAGCACAGTCCATTATGGCTCCTATCTTTTATTATGATCCTAGAAATTCTACATTATGGAAATACCTCACGATAGGTTTAGTTCGCCTCAGTTCGCCAAAAGCAATACAGCACTATAGAATGGCCACCGTAATGCCACCCCAGGCTAGGTAACGTAATTAAACCAGAAAATTATAGAACATAAGTTTACTAGAACGACAAAACTTAAGCACGCCTAAGTAAGAGCGAGTCTTGGTAACCTTCTGAAAGTCTTGGAACTATACGAGAACATATCAGTATGCCCCGTAGCCTCAAGGTGTCCATCGTTGTGCCGATCAGCGGTGAAGATCTCCTACTTAGAATAGTGAAAAGGGCTCTAACAGACTAGTGAAGTGTAATAAATGGATAGGCAGATCCCCTCCTTTTTCAATATAGAACAAACCTACCAAGGTATCACAATTCGAGCCTAGTATCTTAAGCTGAGTAGGTTCAAGATATAGATTCACCATAAGCAGGTGTTGTAGTATTTGACAAGTACCTAAGTGAAATTAGAGTTATGACTTTCCCAGAACGGGAAACCATATCGCGTCCCAATCCTAGTACCTAAATAGATTATTTGGTTTATCTGACTTGTATTCATAATGACTGTTAAGTTAACTTTGAGTTCGCGGCTGACACTCAACGGCGTATTATACCAAAAAGGCAAGTCGATAGGACCCCTAGTTTTTAATAACAGGTACCCACCCCGCCTGTTGACGTGTGACAAGGCACGTGGAAGAATCCCTGGGATATCTATATTATCCACCAGTAGAAATGACTCCCGTATCACTATTCTCGTATCCTAACGACCCTAAGCTATATAAACTTTCCCCTAAAATTAAAACCTGCTTTGTGGAGATATCTATTTACCACGTGCTTTCTAACTTAGACTAATAAAACTATAGTATATGTTAGATCTGTTTCAGTAGGGCACTAGCGGTGTTTATGTTTAACGCATCACCTGTCGTGTAGTAGTTCTGCCTAGTCTGGGCTAAAAATGTCATCGCCAACTTCTCTATGGCAACTTCGACATTGATAATTGTACTAACTTAATGACCCTAGCATTTCTTAGATTATTGTTACGCCACTGGGATACTAGCGGGTGCTTACATTTCACGTAATTCTAACGGCGGCATGAAAATGGGCATCAGTACCAAATTTCTAACTATTCAGGTAGGACTCTATAATTACTAGAATTCATCAAAGCCCTTTCCTAACCCTGGAATTAAACAACACAGTAAATCCTCAAATCTACACTCCTACTCCTATACTCTTAGCAACTTCGTTTGAACCCCATCTCTCCGCCCGAAATTTACTAAGAATCTTCTTGTCCGTTCTAGTCTCGGCAACTGAGTCGCCAACCTCCATGCCACTCACTGGCATAGGTGTGTGCACCGTTGGCGTTGCAGTTCGGTTTGCCGCTTGGCCCGTTGTTCAAGCAGAGACTAGTGCAGCGGTCCTTTCTCAGGCCATATTCCTGTTAAAATATTCCTAGGTCAGTCTATTGTCAAGTTTGAGTCATGGCGTATAAGGAACTCACGACGACACAACAGTGGGAACCGTCCTTGTACAGGCATTGACAGACACCGTCAGCCGTCACACTGACGACGGCGGCAAAGAGGGCAATGATTGAGAACGCGCGGACCATTTTGACGTATGCGAAAGCTGTAACCAAGTTTGGAATGAAGTAGATTTGTAGGAGAATGTAAGTAGGATACTAGGGAAGATTGTAGATGGTTCGTCTTGGAGCACTCTCAACAATGGCGCCTCTTTATAGAGCTCAAGGTTATAGAGGCACTCCAATCGTCAACGCAATATCACATAAATAGTCGCTCGGCAAACTCGGCAATGACTTTGTCTCACTGTTTTTCATAACTGCCGGGGAATGAAGTAGAGCTCCCAAGATAAATTAATCAGGAGATGCTGGTAGCTGCTGTAGTAGGTCCTAGCTTCTGCACTATCAGTGACTCGGCATCGCCGCACGTTGCGGAACCGTCTTGAGGGATATTCTACTTCTGAACTAGCCAAATAGTAGAACAGGGAGTTTTGGGATCCGCGTGGTCATGTCATGAAATTTAAGTTTCGCAAGCCAGTGGATACGTAGCCAGTATCCGCTTCAAGTGCAAAGGGCCATTACGAATCCACTGTATCGATCTTGCGTACCGCCTAGCTAGTATTCTACATAAGACGCAGCTTTTCTATCCTTTGTAACACTTTTCTGCACCCAATTTCAACATCTGCTCATTCTCTTTTATAACCTCTTGGCAAAGGTCACATAATATTATAACTCTGAATCCACCGCTACCATGGTGCGCCTTCTGAATATCGCTGCCATCTTCTTCGCTGGTTTTGTTACTGTCCAAGGATGCACTCATTGCCAGTGCTTGTACAATGATGGCTCTCACTGCTGCGTTCAGGAGGTAAGTGAATACCGTTCTCATCATCTTGGTCAGCCAGAAAGTTAGATTGTAACCATTGATCACAGTTACCCTCGGGGGCCGAGGCTGACTGTCACGCCCTCTGTGCTAAGGCGCAGCAGGCAGGCCCTAATCAGTTTCAGCCTGGACCTTCTTGCAACGGTGGTGGCAAGAACACTTGCGTTAGTACCTGGAACGCCCATGGCCGGAAAAAGTGCTATGGATATCCCAGCTAGGGTGCTCAAACCAGAGAATTAAAGGGCAAAGGTGTCTGTAGCACCGGTTGTTGATCATGGGTATTTATGAGATAGCTATCTTGGCATATGTACCTGAGGGCTAGCAAGAACAAGTTGATAGATGGGAACTCGGAAATGAAAGACATTTTATTATATTACTTTGTCTCTATAGGAACTGATTTATATGCCATTTGCCAGGTAGCTAAGATGTATGCCGAGCTACCATGTCTAGATTACGAGACTATGCAATACTTGCTCTCACAGGAATATCATTATCCGCTTCTAGACTAGAGTAAGGTTACTTTGACACTTGGAATTGGCCTCGCATGTCATGAGAGATCTAGGCTGACAGGTACGCTATGGGTAGTCACGTGTCCAGAGGTCTTAGCCCTAGAGAATATGAGATTTAAGCGTTATTCCAGATGGTAAAAACAAGCCTATTACGTTCATGCCCGGGCTATATTAGGCTCCAGGGTCTATCAAGACCTATACCGACGCAAAAAGAAGGATCCTCCGGCTGTTATTAAAGCTATACGTCAACGCATTGAAACGGCCTCTGCTGACACTACAAGTATTCTTCATGGTCGCGTCAATATCAAACACGGTGTAAAGTTGTTTGGCGTCGTATACATCCCAATTAATGCCTCAAGTGAGACATGGTGGGTTTCAAGCTTCGTCCTGTTAAACGACGAGGAATGGAAAACTGTTTAATAAGACGCCAAGATCAAGATAAGGCCCTGATCTAATCGATATATACGGCATACTTAATACGGCGCCTAGGTATATCGGTAGCTATATAATTAACTGATATACCTAGTTATATAAGGTCTGCTATACTAGGCCTATTTGGTCTTAGGGGCTTGATTAATAAGGAAGGCGGTTAATAAAGTGAGGGGAAGGCGGTAAGATTTAGGAAGATTATTAGAAGTTAGCTTTTCTATAGTAATGCTATATAATTATTAATTTACAACTATACCTTTTTTATTATACCGATTTATACCGCCCCTGTCTCGTCTTAAAAAAGAGGTCTTAACTATAAGTAAAACTAAAGATAATATTTAGCTATTTAATAATAATAAACTGCCATTAAGTTAGCCTACTATAAGTTAGCCTCCCTTAAGTTAACCTTTTTTATAATAATAATAAGTATTTAAAAAGACAATATAGAAAACTCTTTAAAGTAATATTTTTAAATATAGGTAATCAACGCCATATCCTCAGCCGTTTGATCCCAAAACTACATCGGAGTGCCTATGCAAGCACCGATGTAAGAACTATGGTCACCATGGTCTGAACTCAGATTTGTGGATCAGTGTCAGGCCGACAGGTCCTGGTAAATAACGGACGCTTTAGACGTTGTTTTAGGAGATCAAGTCGATGTCCCCAGCATTGAATTGATTTGGAGGCTCAGCCCTGTAACTCTTTTGGGAAGATCATGAATAATGGTCCCGCATAACCTGCCGAAGGAAGAAGACGATCCACTTGTAGACCATTTCAAAATAGAAGGCTCTCTCTTGGCTGAAGTAGTCAAACCCCGCGGCATTTGATCATAATCCCCATGGGTAAACTCAGACCACTTCCGGCCGTGGCTTCTTAGATTTTGGCGGTTTTCTCGAGTCCGGAAATCTCGTGCCTGTTAGTAAAATGCGCCTACGTATGCAGTACTGTATGTCTGTTTTTCTTTCTCTTGCCCTTGATAAGCCTCCAGAGCCCTACGACGCACACCATTACATTATAATCACGACCAACTTGACGGTCTAGGCTCTAGACAGTGACAGCAGGCGGAAGGTGATCAGAATCCACGGGAGCGTTGTGAGTCGAGTGTCGGAGCAACAGAGGGACGAATCGTTTGGAATGGCAGTGATCGCAAGAGCGGAATATGTTATGCAGATGGCGTCTTCAAAGCACCCAACTTAATACTAACAGCCAAAAAGGCGGTAGTCAGTTCGTAGGTAGTAGATCTAGAAGCATCCACAAAATGACCAATTGGGAGACGAACTCGAATCGTCTCTCTTACTGGACGTCCAAGCGTGTTGCTACTCCTTCAACGGATTCCAAAGACCTCATCACAGTTTATGGTTAGCCCATCGTATCCCTTGAGTTTAGATAACGGTCCGCATCTTGTCAGCAGTTCATGTTCTTCGTCCCAGTCGTTGATATCTCCAGGTTTCTCAAGCTGAAAGCCATGAAGTGGAGAAAACCCCTCAAAATTCTACTGCAGCATGATACATTGGTGAAAATGGCATGCCTGCCTGAGAGCTGAGTAGCCCAAGATTATGTATCAACTGTAGTTGGCAATCATGTTTTGGCCTATCTAAAGGTGTGTCTCGTCAGTCCAGTCGGGGCGTCTCATAGCGAACAAGACACCGCCCTTGTAGAAGCTCTGGAAAACATTTTCCACCTTTTCCTCTCAACAGTATGGATAGAGACTCTATTCTTGATCTCAAATGCGATGACGTCGTTATGGGTTTCTTCCATCGTGTTCTTTGTTGAGCATTATACACCACAGTCTGCGCCGTAGATGCATTTTTCAACGCCACATATACCGATAGCCAGGGCTAGTCCTGTGTCTTCTGTGGGTCGACATGATGTACATGAAACCGTGAGCCTATAGCATCCTCATTTACCCCGTAGCTAGCTTCTCTCAAAGACGTATACAGTCCTACATCCAATAAATCCCTTGATATCGTACCTACAAGATGGCAAAGGCGACCACTGCATATGCAAAAGCCAGGCTACAGCCGGGTGTAGGTAATAACGATTGCAAAAGAGGCTGCGACAACCTGGGCGAATGCGAACGCGGTCCCCCAATCCCCCCCTCCACCCCTCCAAAGAACTAAGCAAAGCCAAGTGAGCGCAACTGCAAGCGAGGCACACGAGGCTCTGAACGGGAGTTTTGCACGTATCCGGTCCTTCTGCCATCCTAAAACAAAGTGTACACCTCTTATCCACGTTGTACCTTGAAACTCTTGATATGGAAGAGGCAAAGCGACTTTGTCCAAACCCCTAAATAGGTCAGAATTTGGTTGCTTCCTCCAGCAGGGTGAAAGGAGGGAGATAGAATAAATAGATGGCAGACATACTTTATGTCGTAGATGCAGCTCTCTTGCGCCAGACCCTTCAGACTGTGTAGCCCATTGGCTTTCGTGGGGTCACGAGCACAGTCCTTTAAATGCGATAAGAATAGGAGCCGTTTGCGACGCTGCTCTGCCTCATCTGCTTCAATTCTGATACATGGTTGAGACAACTCCTGCATACCAATTATGCATTGGTCGCTATGCTCGGAGCCACCCAGACATGCATCCTCAATATCGGAATACGGACCGGTCGGATGCCTTGCTATAGTCTTCTCGCATTCTTGAGAGACATCCTTGAGGCTGATGGGTTCCATATAGATTGGATAGCGCCCACCCGACTCGACAATACCCGCGAATTGAAACTGTGTTTTTAGCATCATCAGACTGACCACTACTATCTTGAGTATCAACTTACTTTAACCTCTAGCACTTCAGTGATTCCATAGTAAGGCAACCATCTCTTCCATCGGCCCAAATGCCGATAGCACGTGTCCAGCAATCTGTGGTAGATCTCGTAATCAGATTCGCAGGCGCTGTCCCAGGGCGAATCTTCTTCATATATCAGTGTTGACTTGCCAGTGCAACATTTGATATGTCCCATTATCTGGCGAGACTTTATCGGTCGTAGGCACGGTACAAGAACAGCATATTGTCCTTGGTTATGACTGTCCAAGCAAATGAAACAGCCCTGTCCTGCGCGCTCTTGCAAGTCCGGTACCTTTTTGGACGCCAGTAGGATGCTCTGGCGTTCGACATCATCTTGTCCATGGCTGGAATTAGACATTCTCAATGGTAGAAGGAGTGAAGTACTATGTTAAACAGTGTCCCATTTATATAACGGCATAAATATGAGAACAGTCAGGGGCCGAGTTTCGTTGTGACTCATGAGCTGACGCAAAAGGTGATGCATGAATTTAGGTCGTGGTTGGGTGTGATTCGATGTGGCTTACCATGGCTGGCACAAGGCATAGTGCTGGGCTTTATTCTGTGTTTCGCTGCACGGGTTTATCGCTTTGAGGCCACCAACTTCGGCCGAAAGATCAATTCAATCGCGTAGATGGAATAATAAGCCAAAATGCCTCATATGAAGGGATTGGAGAGTCTCGTGATCAGCAGGTCAATTACAAACGACTTGGAAAAATGAGGATGGAAGATCTGCGTTAGCCATCAGCTCACGGCAGGCGGCTTTCTACGAATCACTTTGGTTGAGTTGCGGCGGCTGGTACTTACTGTAAAAATAATCAGCTACCGGTCAGATAATAGTTTGGTAATACATAAGCCTGCATGCGCTGGCCCTAGGCTCGCCAATCGTTTACCACAGTCACTTCCTCTACCCCGGCGACGAAGCAGAAGAATGTCTGTTAGTGCTGTGTGCAAGCATTGTACGCGAGCTGCTCACTTGCATACAGCCAATGGCGAGCACTCGACCGAACCCACTTTAGGCCATGGTTAGGTATTGGCCAGTCTCGAGGCGCGCGGCAACATTCGATTCGTTGGGCGCCTAGACTAGACCCAGCTAATTTCTATTCCCTCAACTGGTCAGCCTCTTGCAGCCTGAGAAACTGATAAATACCTCAAGCACCATCTGCTGTGACAGTATCTACCAAGCCAAATTAATTCGACCCTCAACGTCTCCGTCAGATGGCCGAGGTTATTGGGCTTTTGTCCGGTCTCCTTACCTTGGCGACGGTCGCCCATAAGTCTGTCACCAAGGTTCAGAAGGCAGTGCAAAGCTTTCGATGCCTCCCACGTCAACTAAGGGAGCTTCTTTCAGAGTTAGCAGAGCTGAGTACCGTGCTCCAGGAACTCTCTCAAGCACCTCACGGTAACGTTGAAGTGGACCTTTCGGCCCTCAAAATAACGCTGGAGCAATGCAGCCGTGCATGCGAGGACTTCGAGCTCGAGCTGATAGCCTGTAGTTCGCGGTCTAGCCAAGATCGAACTAGTTTTCGGGATTGGGCCAGGCTCACATACAGGGGCGGAGACGGAATTGAAGGCTTCAGGCAGCAGCTCATTGGATACAAATCTACAATCGTCGTCGCTCTCAGCTTTGCGAACCTGTAAGTGTTCACCTTTACAGTTACGTGCCATCATACTAACTTATCTTTGTTATGGCTAGCCGCACATCTGCCATCACCGTCGAAGCCGTGCAATCCTGCCGAGGATTAATTGAGACAACAACAATTGACTTAGAGGTACACCTGGAGGACGTGAAGCAGAAGCTTGATGTGCTCGCCTCCCGGGCCCTCGTGAGTCCCGAAGTAGACGAAGCGACGTTTAAATATATAGAAAACGAGCGTCTTAGTACCGAAAAGGGTCTCCAGCTTTGCCTTCAGCTTTCTCAGCAGATTGACCAGATTCAGCTTCAATATGCCACTGAGGAAGGGCACACGCCCAGTCTTCTCGGTCCACACCCAACATCAAATATGCTTGTCAGCGAAGGACTCGATGGCTGTAAGGAATACCTCGGATTTGCGCTTGAGCGATTGAAGAGGCATCGTCAAAAGGTTTCCGAACGAATAGATGCTGGCTCGTCGACCGCCGTAGCATCGGATAATAAAGTGTTACTCGATAATCTTAACGAGGAGGCCGACGTTTTACGTCATTCACTGAACTTGTTCTCGAATATCAACACGTATTTGGAGGAGAAGATCAGTAACATCGAGAACCATGCTGAGGGCGATGACACTATTCAATTTATGGTTTCGACGGACGGGAAGCCGCTTAATGGAAAGAACCACGGTATCGGCTTGAGACTCAAACAAGCCGGCGGGCATTTTAAGGAACAATCTCTTCAACAGATATCCCAAGACTTCACCACAATCAGCTTGCACCAAACGGGAGGCGAAAAGTCTCCTAGACGTGCTCATACGCCAACAGTGGACCCAGAAACCACGGCGGTGGCACCTGGTACGCCCTTCAATGGACGAGGCTTCACACTTACACCTAAGCCTAGTTCTGGGTCGGTTCCACTTCCTGGCTCTGCAACAAAGTGATCGAGATATGGCGTCGTTTAATCTTCCGGACTTGGCCACCTGAAAGCACGACTTTGTTGTCAAAATATGGAAGCACGAGGCTGATATCGGTGGGGGCAGGACATAACCTGCGATGTTTGCGTTTACTTGTCATAGTGTCAAACGGATCAAAGTTCAGAACAGATAGCGTCAAGAGTAGGAACAGAGACAGCGAGTTGTTTCGTTGGGATTGTTTTGAGTGAGGAGACGAGACGCGGCATACCATGATAATTAATGTTTCACCATCATGCTACATAACAAGTCCTATCGTTTGCTGATCAAGATGCCTAAGCCATAGCTGTTCTAAGACCATACTCCCTCCTTACTGTTAATTCCCAAAGGTTCGGCTATCGCGCTAGGCCCTAAACTGAACATGTTCCATGGATGGATGACCTTGACGTTGTTCACTAACGACATCAGCAAAACTCAGCTAACGGCCTAGAACCTTCTTATGCTCATGCGTTCTTACTATCAGCCATACCACGGGATGATGGCTCATATCCTGATTTCCTACTCCTTATAACTCCTCGACCCCAATAATGCGCCAGCCGATTCATCGAGGGCTTCACAAAGATTCTTCACAACCAAATCAGCTCGACGTTCGAACTCTGCCCATGCATCTTTGAATCCGCGTTCGTAGCTCTTGTGAAGTTCTTCTAACCTTGCAGTGTGGCCCTTTATTTCTCCTTGTAACCGGTCTCGATCAGTCGTGTGGCTGGTTTCGAGCATCGGCTCCTGTGCCACGCTGATCTTAGACCGGACGGCTTTTATATCGTCTTGATATCTATGCGCTGGTGATCGTATATCTACAAGCTTTTCTGCGCATCGAGCTACATTCTCAATAATCTCATAAAAATAAGGATCGACTTGGGTAGAGGCGTCTCAGACGGGGCAGCCATTGCCAAATTTAACGAGGTAAGAATTATAGTAGAAATGGCATGCGTCCTGTCAGAGAGACAATAAGGTATTTCATCTGAGTATGTCTGCTCTTTTACTGCGTTTATATTACTTCCCGTCGTACCCGACAGTCTAGTAAAGACTGCGATTTGTCACCGTCACTACTGTCCGCAACTTGAGAGGTTTACTCGAAGCGAACCAACGCCTTCTCATTCTAGTACGCTCTGAAGCAGCCGGGTCATAATCTCAACGAGCTAACATAGAATGTGTGCTTTGAACGTACTGTTTTGCTCCACTTCTCGTGCATAGAGACAGGATCACTGGACAAAGAAGGCTCTAGAGTCCGCGCTGCTGACGCGTCTCATTAAAGCTCATAAGACTACAATTGCGTAACGGGTCAACTCGACTTTGAAGGCCTGCAAATCTTAGTCTTGCCATAGGTATCTATACAGATAGAAGTTAATCAGAGATACATCTAAGCAGGGATAGATTGCATGTTAACCGATGATCTTATAGGTACCTTTTATCTTTAACTATCTTCCTTTACGGAATGATGACCGATTGGATCGTCGGTTTTGGAATCCACCCTATTTGTTCGGAAAGTCTCGATCCCCATAAAGTACAAACTGTAGTTTTATGAGCTTTAATGAGATAGTCAAGGGCCAGACCGTACGGTAACCCGCAGGAGTAATTCTTCTCCAAGGTAACTTGAATTACCCATCTCAGGAAAGCTAGTCCCTCCAGGTACAAGGTTCCAATATCGCCAAGAGCTCATGGCTAATCGAGATCTAAGTGTTTTCTTTAACTACTTCGGTGGAGGTGGTATGCATAGGCAATTAAGCTTACGCGCCAAGTTTGCTTCCTAATCGAGGAAAAGCTCTAGCAAAGCAATTAGTATTTTGGAGATTTCTAAACATCAATCTAGTGTTCGCTTACCACTACCGCACTCGGCGGTCCACCAGAGTCCTTATCAGGGAGACGCGAAACGTAGGCGATCGCGAACCAGCATCGATTAGAAAGAGGTATTAAGCAATAAACAAACCCATGCCTATTCTGGACCAAGTTGGTGTGTTAAAGCGCGACAACGAATTTTCAGTCCGGTGTGCGGCGACGTTTACTGACAGTGAATCACCACTGCAACAGCAAGGGCGCAGATCGCCTTATCCACGCTACCGTAGTAAACGCAAGCCCCAGAACACGGTCCCAGACACGTCGCGGCTGAAGATCAGTAAGAGAATAGCTAGCATCAGCACGCCGAAGCAGCGGGAACAGGTGCGTTCTGTCGTGCATTGATCAAAAAGTTTTGTACTACTTCAGTGATCCATCCTTTGGCCCGTGTCGCTCATTTATTGGTTAGATGGTGTCATGATTCAGACCTAGTCCGAACACAATCAGGTTGTGAAAGTACCGACCAGCCGCAGGACTTGCCTCCCCTCATATTACGTTTACAAACAAGCAAAATGACTACCTTTATGATGTAAAAGACAGCTAGGCCAAATTCTAAACACGTATAGGGTAGGGAATTGAACTACGAGTGCTCCACGTTAGCGCTGGTTGATCAACGGGTGCTGGTTGGTCCGCATAGACCACCGTAAGGAAATTCTACGACGTCAACCTAGACTTTGCTAGCTCCTACGTTCGTCAAAAATTCCACCCCTGAATTACGTCGAGGACGCAAAAGTCGAGGCAAGTTAACGTTATTAATAAGAATATGATGATCCGATGAGTATGAAACTTTTATACTTAAGCTTGCCGATGACAAATAAGGGCCCAGAACTGTCTTGTTGTCTGTGTATTGCCAAACTACCTATTTCCAATATTTCCATTCCAGCTTTGGGCAATCTTTTGTAACGTGACATCAGAGAGCTGACCGATGAGTTGCACCGACCCCCTTCCTGTCGTAATGTTCCTCGCCCTTATTGATCCTCCACCCTCTAGGATGATCGTCTGTTGACTATCTTTACCAACAGTGATGTTCTCTAGGTGACATGTATGCACAGTAGAGGCATTCTTGCAGGCATTCCCATGTAATTCAAAGCCCATACTCGCCACTGGACTGGGTTGAATAGTATCTGTAGATGTAAGGCCGTCATGTATAGCCTCCGGTCGTGTTGAGGCGCCTAAACTATTTTGATCTTCCTGCATGTAGTTTTGTAGCAGGGCGACAGACTCTCCTAGTAATCTTGTAGATTTCTCGAGCTTAGAGATAGCGATAGACTGAAGTCGAATGAGTTCTCTTAGCTCATGAGGGGAGGATTCGTCCAGACCCTAACCCCCCGGTGTTACTTAACTGTTCCTATAATAAATATAAATGCCAAACTCACCTTTACGTTCTGGGCATGGGCTTGGTGCTGCGGCTGCTGTAGATCTATGTGCAAAGGTAAAGAGCTTCTGGATCCACTCATGATCTTTTGACCTTTATCTAACATGTTGTCTATTAGTTGTATAGAAGGTGCTTATTATCATTGAACAATTCAGTAGAATATATGATCGAGAGAGACTGGGGATATATATGCCTATGACTTCCGTCTATGATCATTCAACTTTCGGCCTTCATCTACCGTAATAAAGGGAAGGCATTATGTCGTGGCATCATCGACTTTTGATACATTACGAAGACAAGCCTCTACCTCTTTGAATTCACATGTTCAGTGAACTTCCTCTAAGGGCAATATTGGCGGTGGGATACCGTAGATGCTTTGGGAAATTTTAGGAGTACTTCTCTATACTGAGAAGACATCTAGCACTTGAAAAGGGTGGCGAGCCGCAAGTGGGACAACTAAATTAAGTAGATTAGGGACTTTTGTTTAACCCCGACGATGCCGGTCTTGTCTTCAACTTTAGCGCCACGTGTAGAATCAGTGTGTAGATAGTTGGTGAAAAATATTGATATTAGCTCTAAGCTACTTCAACGTTTAATAATCAATCCAAATATCCATGACGACGCCTTACTTAATTCCGAACTACCCGAGAGGAAGGAACACCAAATACTGAGGCACCTAAGTTTAGAGACCCAATGATGGGATGTATTTGAGATTCATTCGAGTGTATAGCATATGCTCGTTTAGAATACAGTCTCTTGAACAACTACACCTTCGCCCTCGCGGCATGTTCATCTGTACCTTCTCTTTCACTTAATACTTTAACTTCATCAAGCTATACGAATCCACCTTTTTGCGAAGGTTTGTGTTCTTCCTTAGGAGGGCGAACTAGCCTCGTCCTAGTTTTCATTGTGTAAGTCATTGCCACTCCTAGTGTTCTTTGACCAGACGATATTCTTCCTGACAGGAATAACGCATTGGTAAGAGCCGTACTTTCTTTGCATGACAGTCCGGCCTTAGCTCAGACTCAGGACAAACTCAGGCGAAAGCGGCATCAACTCGGACGGATGGGCGAGAAGAGAAATCCAAGGCGTGTAAATTCGTGTCCTAATATGCCTACCATCTTATAAGTTTGGAAAGGTATAACAATAAAAGTCAATATAATAAATCATTAAAAGGTCATATATAATAAATTAAGGTATAGTTTTACCCAATACTAGTAATAAATAAACTTATTAGTATTATATAAGTTAGATCTATCGGACTAGAGCTTCTAATCTGTATATAGTAATACCAATACCGGCGAATAGTTATTCACCGAGGCTATCTCGCCAGGCTCTAGTATTCCATAAAGCCCTATATTAGATATGCATTCTACAATAAAGCTAGGTTAGTATTAGACACTTATTTACATTTACAAAGTCATATAACATAAGAATGCTTCAAAACAGCATATAACTATTAATAGTCTTGGGTTCATTCTAACTTGCCATTATGATGATGTCTATTTTGATCGCTTCTGCTTGGGAGAATACATCCCTTGTAACGATAGAGCTAAGGCTGAGGATAAGTCTAAATCTAAAGCTCGCCATGGAAGAATATAAAATCTAGTTGATAATTGCCGAGAAGAATAATGACGCTGTCGTGAGATTTGTGTCACCTTAAATAAATAATTCTATCGCAATAGACTACACTTAGCTACTACACGAGTTGCAATCAGACGAAATGGCAAACTAACCTGAAAAGTAATGAGCTTTCTGGGGTCAATGATTCGTAGAAGGCTGCTAAATTAAGATAACGGTCTCCAAATTATTCCCTTCATTCCAATTGACGGACCCTGTCACATCATTAGACACTCCAATACGTCTGAAGACCCTCTTGGCTATACCTGGTTCTGATACACAGTTAAGCACGAGCCCCCCATCCTCTGAGAGTAACAAATACCAAAGAGAATCATTACTCTCCTGCTGTGAAGCAATTTCTTTCTCATCAAAAGAATAGTTGTTTAATTGAGGATACTGATCTTTGTTCTCGTCTTGGTCATTTTCTTCTTTTCCTCCTCTCCTTCGCCATTGGTACCCAACTCCTCACCCCCGTAGTCTTCCTCTCGCTCACTGGTTATGACGCTGGCCCGGACTTGACGAAGAACACCTTGGAGCTCCAAGAAAGTTCCTTCCAACAGCTTACCATACGGTAGATTAAGTGACTTCAGTTTTGGGCAATATCTCATGACAGAACACATCCGCTCAGGCGGTACGCCGTATGGTGAGTTGACACATAGTGGTCCCCGCCCAGCTAGGTGCTACATATTCCTTGGTATGGTAAAGCTCGTCGTGGAAGGCATGCCAGCAAAGACTGTGAACAAAGTTCTTGTACCCTAGGCTAGGGTCTAGCCATAGCCCGGCCGCATAAATATGATCTGGAGGTAGCGCTGAATGGAATTTTGTGGCCAGGCTAGCAAGAGCATGGAAGGTATCATGTCCGAAACTCGTCTCTCGGCGAGTAAACTGGCTTGTGAGACCTCGCCATTCTGCATGGATTTCTGCAACCAGCCCGTTGTCAGAGTCGTTCAGCTGCTGTGGCATTCTCACCCGTTCATGAAGTCGCCCCAAACCTCAATGAAGTGGTTTCAAGCCGCGGCATGTCTTATCACCTCCATGCGCATCGATTCATGTGGCGCAATCCCAAGCTAGGATGCTTGGATCATTCGAGTAGTAAAGTAAGCGAGGGGACAGAAGCCTCTCTTAGAGCATCCCAGCACGCAGCTCGATCTTGGACAAGTCCGGATTGAAGAATAGGACAATCTCGAGTTCCCGAATTCCTATTTGGCCGTTTGGAAGAGGATACGGTATTGTGGTTATTGGTCCGTGTTGCATGTCGAGAAATCCCTCTGAACCATCTCTGGCGATAACAGAAATTATTACAAAGCTATTCTCGTATACTGAATGCATGTGCTTCAGCTCTTTCTCCTTGTCCTTGTCGTAATCTTGGATGATACATAGTGTATCTACCCAAAGGTATGAGAGCTTCAACCCTCGGGCGACAGTGACTGCATCATGGATAGTCCGTGATAGCTGATCGAGAAAAACACCTTGAGAGGTCCACGCTGTATGATTTGACAGCTGAAGTTTCTGGTCTTCTGTTATCTGTCCCCGACAATATTTTAGAGCAGCATATCTGGTCTGTACACCCTCTGTATCCACAATCCTGACTCTTCCTCCTGCTTCAGTGATACTGACGTCAATAAGACGTGAGGGCATCATGGGAGTTATTTTTGGGTTGGGGTGGCAACCTGTATGGCTTTTGATGCAGTCATCTAACCATTTTATAGCCTGGTTAAAACTGCTTTCGGATGAGAAATTATGTTCCCCAGGCCGAGTGCTGATGTAATTGGCAGCCGGGTCTCCTAATTGTTGGTTAGTGATCGATCATCGAGACTGATCTGCAAAGAAGCCGAGGGTAGGGCGATACCTTGAGCATCAGCCACCAACACCTCACAAACTCCAAGGTCGCTTCTGGGCCATGATAAAAGCTTATCATACTGAAATCTTCTGGTTGTGGGGAGTTTGTGTGCATCCTATCGCCTTACTGTTCTCTGCTGAAGAATCCTCGCTGGACGGCAATGTAGAAGAGGTCATATTTAGCGGGCGTCACACCGAAACCATCCGGTCTATCTTCTAGACTGTTTCTGATGAAAGACCCATAACGACATGAGCTCTCTAGCGAGCATTTGAAAAGAATTTTTTCGTTGCGCTTCCCAGTGAAGCTGCGGCAATTGAAATATCGACCAAAACGCGCAGAGCAAGTTAGAGAGCCCTTGTATAAGGCTCATCTCTAGTCTTGTGCCGCCTTTGATACCTTTGTGATTTGTCCAAGATTAGCTGGTGTTGATGATGTGGTAGATAAGAGTGCATAAGTGAGGCGAAAATACCGTAAGAGGAGGTCTTTCTATTATGGACTAGGTTGTCAGGCTATGTAGAGCCAATAATCTCTCCGGTTTTCACATCGACTGGAGACATACCGGAAAGGTATTATCACAACCAGTTATTCAGTCCTTGGCTGCATTGACTGGTGTGGTCCAAAGGTACGAGAAAGCAATCCTGGTCCATTCTGGCGTAATCGGAAAAGATTTCTATATGTTTATTTGACTTTGAACACTCGTCGTTTATAAATGCAACTGGTTTTGGTAGCAAAATATGTAAGTGGTAGCCGTTTGAGTATACAATATCACGCACGATGCAAGCCTAGAATAAAGAATGACTTCATTGCCGAAGCTAGATAATATCTCAGTATATCTCAATGGTAAAAGTGGTATGCTAATAAGGAAGAAGGAAGATGTGGGTAATAGAAACTCAAGGAAAAAGTATGCCGCTACTATATCCTTACTTGAGGATTTTAGTAAAAGGCAATAGCCAAGAATCTTATCTAGTATTTTCTTAATTTCTACAATAGAAAACATTAAGTAGTAGGTACTGAGCATTTCTTGAATGTGGTTAGTATATAAGCTATCGCAAATGGAGCGACTACTGGGTAAGGTTACTTAACTATAGTACTGTCTATCCTTAAACTACCGTTATCTGAATGAAGTTTATAATATATTTAAATACTAACCACAAGACCTAATCATACGTATATCCCAGTCATAGCTATATTTAAGTATAAAGGAGATTATACACTAATCTGCTGGGTTTTTTGCTTGTTGTTTTATTATATTGACTTTCCATCTAGATTTGACTGCCAAGACCTACCATCCGGCGAATTACATGAATTATTTGTAGAATCCTTGTCTGTTTGTGGAGAACGAAGTAAGCCTCATCACAACTACGTAGGTCCCTCACATCGACGTGCTGACTTGCTACGTAGTGTGACGTGCTCCACTTCATACTGCCTGACATGTGCAAACACTTAATTAAATGCTAATCGAATCGGCGATGGTTTTAAGTTTCAAGGATCTGCATATAGCCCGTGCACTACTCCTTATGAGAGTAAGCGTCTGCCCTACAGAGACCTGGATGTTGGGGGCACCTGCTTTGGGTGTGCTCCGGTGATGAATGAATCTTGCACCTCGACTCTTGCTTGTCCATTTTCGTACCGCTATTTGACTAGCCGGGGATTAAAACTTATAGTTTATCGGCATGCCGGATTTTAAACCGGTGGATCTTGTTTTATTTTCATCGTCCATCGGAAATTTTCCAACACAAAACAATTAGGTCATTCTTGGCATTGTATGAGAACGAGCTATGTGACAAGGGACAAGGCCCACCGGAAACGCCTTGAGAAACTTGGAAGAATACTCTTCTTCAATTCAGAGCTGTCATTTTGATCAATTTTAATTTTGGCTGGGCGCTTGGCCAAGTGACTCGGCAGTTACGGCACCTGAGCCGTAGGCCAAGCAATCCGGCACGGCAGGGGTGCGGAGCATTTCGTCCTTGCAGATTGGGCTTGAAGTCAAAACCCGTTTATGCTTAAGGCGATAATTATAAGCCACGATTCGGTAGCAACATTCTACCGTCATGTATTGTTGATCTATTCTATACATATCTTTTGAGAGCACTGACGATGTCATTGACTCGGATGACGGGCTAAGCACGTAAGGGTTTTGTAGTGCGACCTGGCACTTGGCATGACGTTTCATACTTAGCAAAGTCAATCGTCATAATTATCCAGAATAATAAACAAGGATTGCGAAAATTGCTAGCAGATTTGTTTTCTCGATAAGCTATATATGAGACTCTGAGACGCAGCATATCAATAACATTCACACATCACCACAGTCATACATCTTCTTCCTACACACAGCAACTATGGTTCACCACGATACCACTACGGCTCGGTCGCCAAACGATTACGGCGCGACCTACGACAAGCGCAACGACACCGGTCTTTTGACTCGTTTCGTCCCGAACAAGCTTAAGCACTCTGGTCTTTATCGCTGGATCCTCCGCCTTTCACGAGTTCTGCAATTCCTCTCGGCAATCATATCCCTCGGACTCTTCTCAGCTCGGCTCCGCAAGGTCTACAACCTGGTCAATGCGATCAAGACCCGACGCGGTGTCAACGGCTCGTTTGGCGCGGTAGAGGGCATTCTGGCAGCGGCTGTTCTGTACACGCTCATTGCCATGCTGGTGGGATTCCTTCTCAAGGGTGGTGGCCCCAAATGGCTCCGCTGGCTCTCGGTCCTGTTGGATCTTGCTTTCGTCGGAGCCTTCATCGCGGTCTCTGTTCTTACTCGACCCAACGGTGGTGCAGCTGGTCCCGGAAACTGCTACAGGAGGGAAGGTCTTCGAGGCTTACTTGGAAACAATGCGGATGAACATGATAACAGCTGCAACCTGCCCTGGGGTACATTCATTCTTGCAATCATCAGCACGTAAGTTGAAATACACTCTCTCCTCTCTTGATTTAAAAACTAATTAACCCACACAGTCTTCTCCATGCCCTCACGGCATCATTCCACGAGGTTCGAGACCGCTACAAGCAGCACCACGTCAAGGAGCATCGTGCCAGCCAAGACCCCATGGATAGAAACAGGGAAGTCATGTAAAGCATATGTCGCAACAAACATCTTAACACACCTGGAGATACCCTACTTACACAAGCCACACTTGACAAGGTTGTAATGAAAGTGAAGACTTTTCAACGCATAGGCCTGTTCATCACAAGGAAATTGCTATTGTGGCTCGCACCAACTATGTACACGTTTTTATGATATCCTGTCTTATAGTTTTCCAATTAATACATATAATATCTGAGCTTTAATCAGTCCATATAAATTCAGTACTGTTACTTTACCATACGCATCTATGTTCATCCCTCGTTCCTTCCATCGGCTGTTGAACTTTTGTGGGAGTCAAACGTATCACTAACATATGACATGGAAGCAAGATTTATTAAGCCGACATCTTCGGATCTGGCAGAAGCCTGAAATTTTATCAACCGGGCGGCGATAGTGAAATTCCCAGTTATTGTTCTACATATCATTTTTTTCCCCTGTAGACTGGCAAAGCTATTGAGGATGTTCGGTTCCAATCGCCATTGTCTACGTAATTAAACATAACGCTTAGTGTCTCAGCCTCAACTCGCCACAGTTATCTCAGCGTATAACCGGAGGTGGTCCGTAAGACAGTGGGGTCATCTGACCAATCATGATCGATTACATGTCTTGCCGATCCAGGTGGGAAATGAGTCAGAAAGGAGCTTTGTCCACCATCCCAGAATGTTATTGATGTTGTGAAAAACCGGCAACAGCATCATAGTTTCGGATGTCGTACTTGGAATAGGGTGTGCAACAACTTACAATATTATAACTCATATAATAACATTGCTCAAGGATATCCCATAGGCTGCCGTGACATTCAACGATGTTGTGCAAAAATTACATATCCGTGTTTAGGGTAGGCCGGGCACCATGCGTCCATCCGGAGCTCGGCCTCCCTTATCTTAGCTTCCCCGCTGGATAAGCAACTGATTAACCCCATGGGGAAATGCTCGGATTCCATGATTGTTACTCCATGGGGGAAAGACAATGATGTATTTAAAGCTGGTGGAATTGTTCTTTGGCATGAGGGGTTGTGCTTGTCTTGATACAATTCAGACTCTATTTCTTTCCGGAGATTGAAGCATATGTCAGAGACTGACCTTTACTCTCAATAAATCATGACTATTCTTCAAATGACAGCTTCCAGTCCCAAAGCCGACCGTACGTTCTTTCACTGATGCCAAGATACCTTGAGCATCAGACACAGTCCCTCCCATGGATCTTACTGACCAACTCCAGCAATTGTCGTCGAAGGGACTTCCTTTGCCCTCAACGGCAAGAATGTCTCGTACCGCTTCCACGTGGACGCTGCCACAGGGGATCTTCTGCTGGATCATTTCGGCGATCGCGTAACGGAAAACCCCGTCGCACAGATCATGTCCAACGGTGGCGGATGGTCCACCCAAGCCCATCTCCGCCGCGAGTTCCCAGACCTTGGCCGGGGAGACTTCCGCATTCCGGCTGTGCACATCAAGCACGCCAAGGGCTTCACAGTGTGCGACTTCAAGTACAAGTCGCACACAGTGGTCAAGGGGAAGCCCGCGCTGGAGAAGTTGCCCAGCACGTTTGGTTCGGACAGCGATGTTTCGACGCTCATCATCCATCTGTATGACGACCATAGTGCAGTTGCGGCGGACTTGTCCTACTCAATATTCCCCGCTTTTGATGCCATTGTCCGAAATGTCAAGATCACAAATAACAGTAGTGATGTCATTAGTGTTGAGAAGTTGTCCAGTTTCAGCGTTGACTTCCCTCACGAAAACTATGAGATGCTGCAATTGCAAGGCGAGTGGACCAGAGAGTGCAACAGGACTCGTCGAAAGGTTGAGTATGGCGTTCAAGGGTGAGTTGAATTTGCAATCAAAGATGTTTCCTTGCTAATACTTGCAAAGCTTCGGAAGCACCACGGGCTATTCATCCCATTACCATAACCCGTTCTTGTCAATGATCTCCCCCACTACAACCGAGTCAAGCGGAGAGGCCTGGGGCTTCTCACTTGTCTACACTGGCTCTTTCAGCGTTGAAGTCGAGAAGAGCCACCAGGGCTTGACTCGCGCGCTTATTGGCATGAACTCTTGCCAGCTATCTTGGCCCTTGAGACCAGCCGAGTCTTTGCAATCGCCAGAATGTGTTTCCGTCTTCTCCAACCTCGGTATTGGAGAAATGTCTCGCAAATTCCATCGCTTATATCGCCAGAATCTCATTCGAAGCAAGTTTGTCACTGAGCCCCGGCCTGTTTTGCTCAACAGCTGGGAAGGCCTTTACTTCAACTTTGACGAGACAACAATCTACAAGCTCGCTCAAGAATCAGCAAAGCTAGGTGCCAAGCTCTTTGTTCTTGACGATGGCTGGTTCGGAGACAAGTACCCTCGTGTGGATGACCACGCTGGCTTGGGTGACTGGGTAGCCAACCCTAAGAGATTCCCGCATGGCCTGGACTCGCTTGGAGAGAAAATAACCAAACTTCAAGTCACTGGCTCAGATGAGAAGCTTCAATTCGGACTCTGGTTCGAACCGGAGATGATCAACCAGAAGTCCGAGCTCTACGATAAGCATCCTGAGTGGGTGTTGAGTGCAGGAAATCACACCCGCAGCGAAACACGTCAGCAGCTTGTGTTGAATGCAGCACTTCCAGAGGTCCAGAACTATATCATCGACTCGGTCGCTAAAATACTAGATACTGTTCCTGTCACTTATGTCAAATGGGACAACAATAGAGGCATGCACGAAAGCCCAACGCCCGATAACCACCACGCCTACATGCTCGGCATATATCACGTCTTTGACGTGCTGACCACTCGATTTCCCGACGTCCTCTGGGAGGGCTGTGCCTCTGGCGGCGGCCGGTTCGACCCTGGCATCCTGCAGTACTTCCCACAAATTTGGACGTCCGACAACATGGACGCTTTCGACCGCATCCATATCCAGTTTGGTACATCTTTGGTCTATCCTCCCTCAACAATGGGCGCACACGTATGTTCATCTCCAAGCGATGTGACCGGGCGCTCATTTCCACTGCGCTTCCGGGCTCATGTCGCGATGATGGGAGGTTCGTTTGGATTTGAACTGGACCCCGGCCATATGCTCGAAGAAGAGAAAGCGCAGATCCCAGAATTGATCGCACTTGCGGAGAAGATCAACCCGATTGTCGTCAATGGAGATATGTGGAGATTGGTACTACCAGAGCACTCTAACCACCCAGCCGCACTTTTCATTTCACAAGATGGAAGCCAGGCTGTTCTATTCGCTTTCCAGACTAGATCGACTACTGTTCTCAACTACCCCCTTCTTCGCTTAGCTGGCCTGGACCCTGCTGCGAGGTATAAGCTGGATGGTGGTGAGACATACTCTGGTGCCACGTTGATGAACGGTGGTATCCAGTATCGGTTCGATGCAGACTATGATAGCAAAGTTGTATTTCTTGAGAAAGTTTAGCGAATGAGTAAGACGTCAATAGAGGTACCCGACAATGTAAGAAGGACATGGGATTTGAATATTTAAGCTTGAATAGGTGATATCAAGAAAATCGCCGGCTTTATCAATTTGAGGGGTTTCATAATAGTACACCAAACAGACTAGTCAAAAGAAAGGCCCAGATCAGGTTCGAACTGTTCACAGGATATAGTCGCATCCTGCCACGTTGTTGTCGTTGCCATTGGAGTGCTCAGATCCAGTAGATCCAAATTATTGTCCTGCTCCCACGCCAGCGGCCCCGCGTAGTCTTCATCCTCCTCAGAAATCTCCTCAACAACAGCATCCCTATCATAATTATTCATGTCGGACATGTCCCAGTGGAGGTCAATCTGGGCAGTTGGATCTGCCAGGGCGAACAGAGTTTCCGAGTGCTTCAGAAGATTGGGCAACAGGTGTGATTGTGCGCCCCGGACTGTGGACAGGGCGTGGATCACCACAGAAAGGAGGTCACGAGGGCTGTTGTCAATTGAGGAGCTGGACCAGCCTGGAAGTTGAGCTGTATCAGCAAGACTAACACCCACATCAAAGAGTTTCTGCTCCTGTACCACATTTAGCAAGGTGAGCTACAATTGGGGTTACCTCACTTACCATGCCAATACCGTGGCAATCTTTCGACTTGGTACCTACGGAGCTCAATGCGGACATAATGATCTTTCCTGCATCCATAGGAAGCGCGGGCGGGAGAAGAATCCCGAATCCCGATGCAGAAGACGGGTTCTGACCGAATGCTATTCGCCACATGGATATCCGGAGCCACTGCTGTGTGATCAGGGTGTCAAATCGTTGGCTTTCGATGATGGACTGGTCTGGCTGGACGCTGCAGAGTTTATCGTTGATGCCGTGGACAAGCTTGAGGTCCTCAAATCGTCCGTCGTCGCCTTCTGGCTGCCATTCGTATAAAGAATATGGAAGAGACTCAAATAGACGAATGTGGTTGATGAAGTCATGCATCACGACGGGGCAGTTCGAATCGACGATCTGGGGTTTGTTCACGGTGCTTCGAAGCATGACGGATCTTCTGTGCTGGAGGGCAAAGGTTCTAACATACCCAATTAGTATTTGGTCTACAATGAATGGCATAGTAAAACATTGCTCACCGTTCGGTCACAAAAAGAAGCCAGAACACTCGTCGTCTTTTCTCTCTCTCATCATCCGGCAATCCATAGTAGCCCGACTCTCGAGTCAGGTCAAGCGATTGCGCTAGAGTGATGCTCTGATTTAGATAGAACCACGCATGGCGAGGATCGTTGAGGTTTCCGTAGCTAGCGAAGAGGAAGAATGAGACGAGAATAGAGTCGAGATTTGGATCATCAATGACACTGTACTGGCGAAGTGAGGTCTCGGCGAGGTTAACGAGAATGTCTCCTGTCAAATGTGGTTCGTTAGGGATTTCCGAATTGAGTTCGTTCTCATAATTGTCGGTTCCCTTATCCAGTCGAAGTTGCATCCTTGTAGCAGCACATATTGCCAGTATCAGAGCATATCTCGAGGGCGGTAGCTCATCTAGCCGGGATGCGTCAGAGAGAATGTCGTCGTCGACCACAGGCATGATCGGGTAGAGGAATCTTTGGAAGAGCTGTATATGGGCGACAAGGGAGAAAGACATGCGTTTGCACAGGTCTCCGGCATCCAGGACAGAGCCATGGGAGGGCTTCGCGATGTCGGGATTAAGGGGTAGACGCGCATCTGAAAGATTTGATGGTTGTTGCGCAGGGCGAGACTGAGGAACATGCTGAGGCTGGGGTTGTGCTGGAACTGCATCTTCACAACTGCTGGATTGTCTTGCAGCGGGCGGCACATCTGGAGTGAGGATCTGGAACTGGCAAGTATCCAAAGTGCCCAAACCCTGTCGAAGTTGAGTCTGTCGCCGACCTTGGCCCTGCTTGGGGCCTTTGCGTCGGATGCTGTGGCGATATTGGCAACGGAGATCTCCGAGGTGACAATTCTTGCAAGGCAGGCCACGATCACACTTGACTTTGCGGAATCGGCAGTTGTCGCAGACTTGGCCGCCGCGCTTTGACTGGATGGAAGACATTGTGCTACTGTCTGGGTTGTTAGGACTGTCCCAATGGAGATATAGTCGGGACTTTGACTGATGAAGAAACGCTTCACAGCATGAAGTCCACTTCTCGGTCCGAAATATCGGGCGAAGGAGGGGCAGCCAATGGCGGCCCTGATATCGCTGGCCATGGGACCCAGATCTAAGGTTTTCTGCGACAAAGCGACTTAACCAAATGGAGTAATATTCGGACTACTACGTAGTACCCTAGTCAATGCACCTCAGCCCCCCCACGGGGTCGTTTTCGCTTCCCCATGGGGTCATGGAAGCAACGCGATTGGGACTGTTATTGGAAGGAGATTAATTGCTCCAGTATATAACCTCGGACGTGAGAACGTTGATAAGTCCAGGATCTGCACTACACTTCTTCAAGCATCTCAGCAACTTGTCCCCCCTCACAAGTCAAGTCGCCTCCACAAGCCTCCATCACCATGGACAAAGAGACACTCGACGCTTCCATCTCGCACGCCGAGAACAACGATGTCGAAGCCCTAGCAGCAAAGAGTGTCGGCCACAGCACAGCTGAGCAGGCCCGTCTTGGTGCTGAGGCCGAACACAACCTCCCCCCGCTCCAAGCAGTCCGAAAATACCCTTGGACCGTGTTCTGGTGTCTCGTCGTGTCCATGTGTGTCATCATGGAAGGCTACGACACAAACCTCCTCTCCAACTTCTACGCGTATCCCACCTTTGCTCAGAAGTACGGCGAGTGGAATGAGGAGACAAACAACTACCAACTTTCAGCTCCCTGGCAAGCTGGCCTTGGCAACGCTGCTGGGATTGGTGCCTTCTTCGGAACACTCCTCAATGGCCACCTGGTCACCAAGTTTGGACACATCAGAGTGTTGATCGCATCCTTGATCGCTCTCAGCTGCTTCATCTTCATTGTCTTCTTCGCGCCCGACAACAAAGTCCTTCTCGTCGGCCAAATCCTCTGCGGTCTCCCCTGGGGCGTCTTTGCTACCACCGCGCCTGCGTATGCCTCTGAAGTCCTCCCCATGTCGCTCCGAGTTTATATGACCAGTTGGACCAACATGTGCTTCATCATCGGCCAGCTTATCTCGGCGGGAGTCATGGCTGGCCTGGTCAACACACCGGCACCCTGGGCTTATCGTATTCCCTTTGCCCTGCAGTGGTTCTGGCCTGTTATTCTGGTTCCTATTCTGTGCTTTGCCCCCGACACTCCTTGGCATCTTGTTCGAATCGGACGACCCGATGATGCGCTTAAGAACCTTGCTAGACTTCGACCGGCAGCGACCGATGAAGAGCTCCGAGATGCTCTTGGTCTGATCATCTACACCAACAACCTTGAGGAGCAACTCTCTGTAGGCACATCATACTGGGACTGTTTCAAGGGCTTTGAGTTGCGCCGAACCGAGATTGCTGTTGTCGTGTTTGCTGGTCAAATCTTCTCCGGTCTGTACTTTGCCTACAACTCCACCTATTTCTTCCAGCAAATCGGCCTCGACTCAACAACAACCTACCATCTCAATGTCGGCGGAAACGGTATGGCACTCTTTGCGACATTGGTGTCATGGTTCTGCGTCATGCCTTATGTTGGAAGACGTACAGCCTATCTCTGGGGTATGTGTGCTATGGCTGCTGTCTTATTCGCCATTGGAGCTCTTAACACACAAACCGAAAACGATAAGATTGGTATGGCACAGGCAGTTTTGACCCTGGTTTGGACATTCATCTTCCAGCTCTCTGCTGGTCAGCTTGGCTGGGCCCTCCCTGCCGAGATTGGGTCAACAAGACTCCGTCAGAAGACAATCTGCTTGGCCCGCAACGGATATGCCATTACTGGAATTGTCGCCGGTGTCCTCCAGCCTTACTTCATGAACCCAACCAAGTGGAACCTCAAGGGATATACCGGTTTCATCTGGGGAAGCACTGCCTTCTTGGTCTTTATCTGGGGCTACTTCCGTCTCCCTGAGACCCGTAACCGAACCTTTGAGGAGCTGGACATGCTCTTTGCCAAGGGTGTGTCTGCGAGGAAGTTCAGCTCTTACAAGATTGATTCATTTAATGAGGCGGACAGCACTATTAGGGACAATGAGAAGTCATAGTATTGTGAAAAGGAATTGATGTTGAGGAAGATGAATCGAGATATGATCTCGGGTTACCTTGGCCATCATTAGCTTTGAGAAAGGGTACAAAGATAACCTCGTATATTCATATTTGAATCAAAGCTATGTTGAATCATCGTCAAGCCTTGTGGCTATTATTTTGTGAACTTTTAAACAGTCGTTAAGTCTCTTTCAAGTGTAAATACACACCTAAGAGGGGTCAAACGACTGCCGATGCCACTGAATTCATCGCTAGACAGTATCCATCTCTGGGACATTGCTTTCCCCGATAGTGATCCTCGGCCCTTTGAAGTTTTTCCGTCCATCCACTAACCATTGAATAGCAGAAATTACAACAATGACTCCAAACGCAACCACGCAGTAGTTCATGGTAGTACCATCGACTGGTAATGCGGGAGGAAATAAGAACAGAACAGTAGTGACAATAGTGTAGACCAGTCCAATAATGTTTGTCGTCCACCCAAGCCAGTTAGGCAATTTGAAAGCCCCTTCGGGTAATTGAGTTCGTCCGCGTGCTAGGTGAAGAGCAATAGGTATACCATAGCTTAGACCCAGGGCCACGACAGACGATGCCACAATAGCGTTGAAAGCAACCGTCGAGCCGAGATAGATACAACCAAAGACAACCACAATGACAACATTTAGATAAAGTGCATTCATGGGAACTCCAAGCTTTGGATGGACCTTCCACCAGAGATGCGAAGCAGGAAGGCCTCCGTCTCTTGCGAATGCGAACATCATGCGAGAAGAAGTCGTCATGACAGCGATGGCAGCAAAGACTAAGCAGAGAAGGGGAAACATCAACAGACAGATGGCACCAACCTTGCTGTTCGTAGCCAGGTAAAATATCTCAAGCAATGGCCCAGCCGTGGATCCAATGATGGTGTCAGCGTTCTTGATGCCCCCAGACACAAACAGAACCACAATTAGGAAAAGGAAGCCTGTCGAGATGCCGATGTACTGACAGTAGAGCATGATCTTGGGTCCTTCTGTTGCCGCATTTGGGATCTCCTCGATCATATGCGCCACAGCATCGAAACCTGTGAGACCAAGTCCTCCCTGTAGGAGACCAAGCAGCCAAGCAATACCATCAGGCCATCCTGTGGTATTGATGAATGTGGCAAACACGTAGTCCGCTGTAGCATAGTCGGGTGCTGCACATGCAAGCACGGTGATAGAAATGATGAAAAAGCCCGCAATACTCCAAACAAGCGCAAGTCCGTTTATGCGAGGGAGAAGCGAATGAAGGAAAGCGTTGGTAGCGAAAGCGATGAAAGTTATTCCGAGGTAGATGAGGAATTGGTGCCATCTTTGGAACTCGTAGTTGGGGTTTTGAAGCGAAATGATGTTGATGATGAGAGTACTGGACAAAGAGCAGTTCGTTGCAACCAGACAGGCCCATCCGCTGAGGTTGATCCATCCAGTAATCCAAGACAGAGGAATCTTGAGTGATTGGGGTGCAATAGTCGCAACCCAGTGGTACTGGCCTCCGGACGTCGGTTGGGCAGATAGAAACTCAGCGAGACTCGCAGCAAGCGACAAGTTGCAAATGCCAGCCGTGACAAGTCCCCAGATGACAGCCACAGGGCCTCCAGAGGGAAGCGCGAGGGAGAGAGACGCTGCGAGTGCTGTCCATGAATTCAGGATAGCAAACGCCAGACCCAGCATTGTCCAGCGACTGAAGTTTCGCTTGAAGGACTGGGAATGGCCCAGCTGAGCGAGTTGGTAGTCATCGATGTTGATGGATTCTTTAATACTCATGGTGCTGGAGTTGTCTGAGCATGATAGAAGTGTGAAAGAGAGATGTGAGCTTCTGGGGGTTGTCTTATAATTATATCGAGGTTAACGTTACGGTCTAGCAACTACAGTATCAGCGCTAGCAATCACTAACTTGTTACAATCGCGGGGAAGAAACAGCTCGATTTCATTCGATAAATGCTATCAGCGCCCTCCGACTACGGTGTTTCTCTTGACAACTGACAGGCTAAGGTGTCCACCGTTATCTTCGCCGTGCGGAGAACCTTGTCAAATCGAAAGCTTATCAGCACTATTGGAGATAAACGCCTGAAATGTCGGCATTTCATTCGTCAGAACGCGACAAGTGTGCCTCGGTATTATAGAGAAAAAGTTGCTAGTCAACTGCTTAAAGCGGTAAGAAAAATGTCTAGCTGGATCCTTCTGAAGTAAAAGATGGAAGATAAATTACCTATACTGATAGCAATCTCAATCCATTTTACATGTGACCAAGGGGAACAAGATGGGTATTTGAGAAGGATGAGTATCAGTAGAGGTGATTGAGAGATTGCCGACTACGATCAACCTGGACTTTTTGCGTTAGTCCTACCGAGAAAATATTCACCAATCAAGCCGGGATCACACCAATAAGAAGGACATGAGACCGCTTCTGTACAAGCATAGACATAAGCTTCAATCGTGTAAAAGAGCTATGCTCATCCATATTCTTTTAGCACAGCTAGCGATTCGCTGCTTTCTATTGAGCTTCCGATACGCTCCATGAACCTACCTGTATTTGTTGGTCGCCATATAAGAGAATTAGCGTTATGAAACAAATGCATCGGTAGCATAGAGACAATGGCCTCGAGGCCCATCTATCGGATCAAGTGCATCAAGACGCTGCCTCAGCCCTCTGAGGGTCAATAGCTCCCCACGTTTTGTTTGCCAACTAAGCCTCCACAGATCATATATCGAGATCATAACTTGATTCTCATTTCAAAAGGGTCTTCTTGTTCCTCCACATCAGAACCTGTTCTGTTCATCCTTTTTTAGTAATTGAACGAGCGTTAATATTCGATACTCGACTTCATACCTCGCATTCCATCATCTGAGTACTTGAAATGCAAGATAGAATTCCTTCACGCTCTCGCTAACCTGACTCCCGTATCGGCCGTTCCATTTGAGATCGAACCTCGGGCCCAATCATGTGACAACTTCAGATACATGATAATTTTCCCTTTCCACATTGCCAAAATTAAAGCTCACACAAGATAGCCCCTGGGCCAGCTCGAGATATTTAACAGCATTGGTAGAGACTACGTGCTTTGCTTCCACTATGAACATACGCGCACTCAAGGTGTTGTACCACCAGAAAATTCGAAAGCTAATATCATCTTCATAAAGCCTTTGAGACACGAAAAATAAAATAATGTCTTACAGAAAGAGTACCTGACAATGGTTAATACGAGTTTGATCGAGACGGCGACCTTCTCTCAATACCCCGTGATCAAGATGAATGTTTCCTAATCTTGCCTTGACTTCTTAAACCGATGACATACCTATCTTCTTTTTATCTTCATAACGGAAATGATAAAAAAACAAAACATGACAGCGATGTTGGATTTCCCCGTAAATTTGAAAGTATAGGGTGAAGCTCTTTTTTAACTTCTTTGCGCTATAGCCTGCTCATTTGTTAGAAAAACAGGCGCATAAAGCTTTCATGTGTTTGCACTATGCACATAATTGATTCATTAACTTATGCCCATGGAATGTATGACTTCCCCGCTGTAGAACAATCAGCCACAGCGCCAACGTTGACGTGGAACAGATTGATTGAACACCGATGTCATCCACAATCAAGTCTGACATGTCAGAGTGGTCTTTTCTCAGCTGCTGTCTTACCAAACTCTCCCTAGCTTGGCAGCTGAATAAGGATAGCCGCATCTCGACGGCTGTCATGGTTGGCCGAATCTGAGACACGGGCCAGAGCGAGCGGCTCAAGCCGAGGGTAACCAAGACCAGCTTCCACTATCGGAAACGATCGACTCAAATTATTGAAGTTGTGGCTTTTCTTAGGTGCATCAGTCCTGTTTATCAATCATTTGGAGAATCCACTATTGTTCTCGATCGATTCGTCAAGATGCATCATGACCTCAATAGTTTCACACAATTCTTGTCTTTGAAAAGTCCCTTGCGAAAACCCCTCGGCGGGTTTACGTTCCGCCCTGCAAGTCTCAGTTTTCGTAAAGAAATGATGTATAAACTCCACTCATGGGTCTCACAGCATTCCGTATGACATGCTACGTCGATAATGTACTCATCTCATTAACAAACATTCGCCCCATAAGCCTTGCTGCTGATGAGGTGAGATGTGAATCTTGCTCAAGGGACGGGGAAAAGGGAGGCGCTACATACGTCAACACTCGGCAGATGAAAGGACGCTTTCAAAGACCAGCGGAAGAGTACAAAACGTCGTAGAATCCGGGATCAAAGTCTTTCCCATCCCAAGTCTTCAAGAAACTCCTTAATCATCCAATTCACAACTTCAACAAACCCATTCATCATGTCTGGAAAAGAAACCGATGCTGAGCATGAGCATGAGCGTCACGAGGAGTTTGATGAAGTTCATGCACACTTCATCGGCCCCAAGGGCGCTAATCTCCCTGACTTCAGAGCCAACATCAACACCATTCTTGATGAGCTCCTCGTCGCCAGACAAAGCTATCAACCAGACGATCAAGTAATTATCACCCAACATCCTCTTGTCCTTGAAAACTAATCCAAGCAGGCTTTCATCTCCAAGAAATACCGTCGTTCACCGGTTTTTCTGAAAGCCAGATCTGATCTCCGACTGGCTACCGAAAAGGTCGCACAGCTTCTTGGCGAACATTCGGCACCTTTTTGGTCACCCCGCTATGAGGCGCACATGTGCACTGATTTGACCATGTCATCCCTGCTCGGGTACTTCATGACTATGTTGTACAACCCAAACAACGTCGCTCTCGAGGCTAGTCCTATGACAACCCTAATTGAGCTTCGGGTTGGGCAGCAGTTGTGTAAACTGTTCGGGTACAACACTGATACGCAGAAATCTCCAGTTTCTTGGGGCCATATCACTTGCGACGGTACTATTGCGAACCTTGAATCCATCTGGGTTGGTAAGTATTTTCCTCCAATCCGTCTTTGGGTGTAAAATTTGATGCTAACATGGCACAGCACGGAACCTCAAGTTCTACCCTCTGAGTCTCTGCCTTGCGCTACGACGTGGAAAGCTCCAGTTTATCTCAGAGAAATTCTATGCTAGTTCTTGCTTCCATGCATCTAAGCAGACTCTTTTCAAGGATCTTAAAGGATGGGATCTTCTCAACCTTCGCTCCGATGTCATTCTTGACCTTCCAAATGAGCTGAACAAGCAATTCGGTATTACAAGCAAGTTCCTTGAGAGTGCCCTAAATGAATTCAATATTCAGACAATTGGAAAGGAAGTACTTGAGAGGGAATTTAATGTCAAGGAACCGATCAAGTATTTTGTCAGCAAGACTCGCCATTATTCCTGGCCGAAGGGAACTGGTACGTAATCTTTCTAAAATGGCAGTACCGTGAGCTTTTACGAATGCTGATTGAATGTAGCAATTGCTGGGCTGGGCTCGGGAAATATGATTGGAGTAGATGTCAACAACGCCGCCCAGATCGACATCAAGAAGCTAGAAAAGCATCTAGAGGACTGCGTCAAGACCGAAACCCCAGTCTTTGCGGTAGTCGCCATCATTGGATCCACTGAGGAGGGTGCAGTCGATAGACTCACAGAAATACTCCGCCTTCGCAAGAAGTTCCAAGAAGAACATGGCTTGTCGTTCCTCGTCCATGCTGATGCTGCGTGGGGAGGTTATTTTGCCACGATGATCAACCCTGACAGACGCTACAGTGTTGAGGACCAGCATTCAGAGAAGCCAGAGCCCGAGTGGTACTTGGACCCCAAGACAGTTGAAGATATCAAGGCTATGGCTGATGCAGACTCTATCACTGTGGATCCTCACAAAGCTGGTTACATCCCGTATCCTGCTGGAAGTCTGGTGTACCGTGATGGAAGGATGAGACACTTAGTCACGTGGTCAGGTCCTTACCTCTCCCAAGGTTCGGCAGAGAACATTGGCGTCTATGGAGTTGAGGGCAGGTAAGTTGACTTTGGGAAGTCGTAGGACGGATTCCATACTAATACTTCTCTTTAGTAAACCAGGCGCCTCAGCCATGTCAGCGTGGTTCTCCAACCAAACTATCGGTCTCAACCACCAAGGATATGGCAAGTTGCTCGGCGAGGCAACCTTCACAAGCGCCAGGGTAAGCCTGCCAATAACCTCTCTCATTACAGACTAACAGTCTTCAGCTCTCTGCTCACTATGCAACCATGATCAACGATGACTTCATCTGCGTCCCATTCAACATGTTAGCCGCCGAGAACAACGGCAGCAGAGCCTTCCTCTCCAAACCAGTCGAGAAGCAGCGAGACAAGATTCGCGATCTCATCATCGGCAAACATGACTGCGACGTCTTTGCTTCCAAAGATGCCATGAATATTATTCGTGATCTTGGCTCTGACACCAACATCAACTGCTTCGCTCTCAACTGGAAGGATGAGGAAGGAAACTTGAACACCGATTTGGAAGAGGCCAATTACCTCATGAAGAGAGTAGTCGACAAGCTCTCAATCACCTCTGCTGATACTGATCCTTCTCAAATCCCCATCTTCTTGACTTCAACCTCATTTCTGCAAGAGGACTATGGTGCCTGTGCCCATAAGTTTATGGAGAGAATGGGCGTTGAAAAGTCCGACCAAAGTCTTTTCGTCATTCGAAACGTGGTTATGAGTCCATTCCCCACTCGCAAGGGCTTTATCGACACATTGATGAAAGACTTAGAGGGCGTCATTCGCAAGGAAGTTCAGGCTTGTCGAAAGAGAAACAAGCCCGGTAAGAACAAGGTCCAGTTCCTTGTCCAAGGCTCGCCCGGCTCGTCCGAGGTGTTCCTCTCCTTCATGCCTTCATTCCACAAGGCCACCAAACGACAGCAGATCGTCCTCTCAGCGACCCTGGATACTACCTTGCGAGACTTTCACAAGGAGCTTACAGGTGGCAGCCAGGATAGCACTGTCATGCTTGAGTCCGATGAGAAGGTGTTCATTGAGGAGATTTTGAAGGATCTTGGCCGCATGGATGTCATCATGTACGAGAAGGGTACCAAGTGAGTATTTACCCTCAGACTGATTCAGTTACACTTCTAACATCTAGCAGGAAATACCACCAGAGGGACGGATCCGTCACCCTAAACTCAGTCGTCAAGAGCCGACCGCTCAACTCAATGCACCGCGAGCTTGAGTATCCCGGAGAGTTCATGCCTTTCTACTTGTACGGTAACGAGCAAGAGATCCATTGCTCCCACATGCTGGTAGCGGCGCCCAATATTGCTCTCGCCGCCAACAACGTCACATTCAAACCAGACCTGTCATCTGAGATTAACACGCGCCAGTCAGTCTCTGAACTTCTCGCAGAGGGTCTCATTCTGGGACTCTCTGAGAGACCTGAAGCTTCCATGCAGCCTTTGGCAGAGAAGAACCAAGAGTTGGCCGAAGAGTTCTTTTGGCGCCAGAACCAACCATTCAAGGTAAAAGTTTGGAAAGATCCCAAGGCTGCTGATGCGCATGGTCCGGAACTGCTGAAGGATCTGGGAAAGCCCTTGTATGAAGGAGAGATGATACTGGGTGAGAATGTCTTTGTGGATGCTGAGGGTCTGAACGAAGATAAGCAGAAAGAAATAAAGGTTGAAGAGGACTCCTGGCAGAGGAAGTTGGATGAGGTTGGAAGGATTCTGGATGGAACACATACTCACTAAGGGTGAAGAATAGTTGACATGGTCATATCTCATACTAAAATTCACAAAAGTAAAACATGTATGGGATTAATTACACATCGATGTTGAAAAGCTATGGCAGTTCAATACACACTCCCATCTCGTTTTCAATGCGAATACGGCGAACTTTGAGTATTCATCACGATACTTGGGCGCCGCCAGATGATAAAATAAGCTATTGCAATCTTGCCTGTCCTGTATCACTCAGTTGCTGATGGGAAATGTGCTCTGAGTGACAGAACCAGATCCCGTATCAATCACGACCTGAACACCAGGCAGCACCTTGGCCTGGTTGTAAGACCACTGCTGGGCACCTACAAAAAACAGTCAGCTCATATTATTCCAATCTCAACAGGTTCGACTTACCGTTTGGTCCTTGCACCCCAATGGTGCATTGTGCGCCCTTATCGAGTGCCTCAAAATACTTGTAAGTGACAACATTCGGTCGTGCCTCCTCGAGAATCACGAGGAAGTGGTAGTACTGAGTACTGTCTCCATAGCGAGAGACATACCACTCAACACAGAGGGACCGAGAGGGTGCCTGGCCAGTGATCTCGTAGTAGATACCCTGGGGAGTACCCTTGTAGATGTACAAGTCGCACCAGAAGGGGAGAAGCGTGTAGGCGGGGAGACTGACGTCTCGAGCGGGGAGAGGCCTGTAAGTGTAGGATCGGTCACCTGTGTCGAGACTGAGGAGGCCGTTGATGGATACAAAGATGTTGGTTGATGAGTGGCCGTAGATTGTGACGGGGAATGAGCACACGACGGGGTAGAAGATGTCGTCGAAGTTATCAGAGGCACCACCAAGGCTACCAACGATGGGAATCGGGTTCGAGAGAGTCTATAGAATAGTTAGCTTACTGTAGTTGGCTATGACTGCCATGTATGTGACTTACCACAGTGTTCGGCAGCTTAGGCTTGCTAGCCTCTTCAAGCTGAAGCTTAACACGCGCAAGCTCAGCTTCAGCCGCCTGCTTAGCCTCAGCCTCAGCCAGCAGCCGTCTCTGGACATCAGCGTCATGCGCATTAGCGGCTTCGACCTTGGACTGCAAGTCTCGAACGGACTCTTCAGATAGTCGCTTTGCCTCGTTGGCTGCCTCAAGCCGCTCATGGTCTTGGAGGTCGTGCGCACTGAGCTCGTCAATCTTGTCCTGGAGGGCCTTTTGCGTGTCTTCGGTTGACTTTTGAAGATCCTCCAGCACTTTGATCTTCTGATCTCTTTCCTCTTGGGCGCCGGCTAGGCTGGCTTCAAGGGTGGTAATGGCACTGGTCTTCTCAGCAATGGTCTGGTTGGCATCTGATAGGTTGCTGTTGGCCTGGCTGAGAGACTCGGCGAGGGTTGCCACCTCTTGCTCCTTGGAGGAGAGTTGAGCTCTGGTATTATCGAGACTTGCGGAGAGATCAGTGTTAGTTCTGTTGGCCACTGCGAGTTGATCAGTAAGGGCAGCAATCTGCACATCTTTGGCTGCGCAGTTATTCTTGCAGGCCTCCATGGACTCTTGAGCAACATTGAGATCATGCTGAGTCGAAGTAAGCTGCTGGCTCTTTTCGTCCAGCTCCGCTTGCAAAGCGGCCTTCTCCTGAAGAGCCCTTTGGAGCGAATCATGGGCTGAATCGAGGGCTGCATGATCCTCTCTATCATGCTCGGCCTCACGCTGCCATCTCTCGTGCTCTTCAAGGAGCGTCTTGTCAAGCTTGCTCTTTAGACGACTCTCGGCTGTCTTGGACTGGCGCAAAGCTCTTTCGACAGTCTGGAGCCTGTTGGTAAGGTCCCTTTCCGCCTTGAGTGCCGAAGCCCGGCTCTTGGCCAGTCTTTGCTCAAGCTCATGCTTTGTCTTCTCCTGGCCTGCCACGGTCGACTCAAGCTGCTCAACAATATGAGACTGGTTGTGCAGCTGTTGTCGGAGAAGTGTCATTTCGATAGCATCGTTTCCAATGGTGTCGATAGCAGCATGGAGTCGGTCCTTCAAAGCTTCATAGTCCTGCTAGCGGGTTATTGATGGTTCTTTGTCTCTGCATGGGTGATTTAGGATGCTACTTACCTCGGTGAGGTGGGCGGCACGATCAATGAAGGCAGATGCCCAGGCCAAGTTCTCGGCAATGTTGTCAGCAAAGGGCAGGGGCTTTGTGATGCGTTTGATGGCAGGCTCCTCGGTGGGGAGAGTGCATTCAAAAGAGATGTTCTCGATTGAGGGCTGAGCCGGAGAGATAGCGATCCTGCTAATTTAGTCCCAGATTCGGAGGAAGAAGTGTGATATACGTACTCAGACTGACACTGACACAGCATGGTCTTGTTCTTACGGTGGTGAACCATTTTGAAGAGACTTCTGAGCTGGGATGGTGTGATTGAATTTAACAAAATGTTTCTGAGAGGATAGTGACTAGGAATGTTTGATATGAATTAATTCCAGAGCGGTCTCATGAAAGCGAGTGATCGCATATTTATAGAGTAATCCCCAAGATACTTAATACCATTTCCTACCCATCATTCCAGCGACGCCCTCTCAATTCAAACGGCATTTGCGATCTCAACGAATGCCGTTGTTGGTTCGTGTAAACCCCCAGTTGTGGCTGCCGGAGAACCAGGGTCTATGCAGGCTTTCGTTGAAGATTTGTCGAGTATTGGTAAAGCCAGGTCTTTGGCGCAACGCCTGAATGCTGAATGGCATGATGTTGCATCGGAGGCTTTGCGTCACATGCTTTCCAGCGAGTAGATGGACAGGACCTGGCTCGTTGTAAGCAGCATTGATGCAACCTGGGACGCTTGGGCGCAGCTGACGGATCAATAAACCCATTTCGTGCAGAAGTCAGCTCCAGCCAGCTTCTCAGCTTTCTCCAAAGAGACGATCTTACACGTTTAAGTCTGAAAACGCATGGGCCGCCTGCAGGGTCTTTGCTGGCCTACACTTTGCTATTGGCTTACGGCAATGTGACGTGCTGACACTCAACCTCTTGGTGTCAATAGTAAGCATGCAGATTGAGGTGAGGCATCCATTTGTCTAATGTATCGATATTGATCTGCTCTACCCAGTTCGTTGTACATACTGTGCGTTTAGTAAATGCCAGTAAAGTCTAATTGTTCCAACTGCCAACGGTCGAAGAACTCGAAGCCGTTAAAGTCCTCGGCAGTAAATAAATCTTCATCATGATTATCCTGTGGTTCCAAATTTGTGTCTTCTGAGGGAATGATTTGTCCGTCATTTAGGATATGGTCTCCATGTACTGGTGGAACTTGATTGGTCCGGTCATGACCGATTGATGACGGTAGATGAATGTTGTTCTTTGACAATATCATTTCAAACACAGGGAAAGCTCGCTTTACCGCTGGATTATCTTCTACCTGGACAAGAGCGAGCATGGTATGCTGAATAGATATGCGCGCCATTGAGCGAATTAGGGTTGACTCTGAAGTATCCAAAGCGGATTCAATATGAAGTGCTAAGAGGGCGGTGATGGTAGTAATGCTGCCCAAGGGTAGTTAGATAACCTGTAAATAGAATGATGGAAGGGCTTTCTCAGGTACGCACAAAGTAGTTGGCATTTCTGAAATCGTGTTGTCGACCAAAACTCGCTTAACAATAGTATCAAGCTCCAACATAGCAGATCGGAATCGCTGCCGCGCCCAGTCACGAACGTTAGTATCGCGAACCTTCCATCTCCCACGATATAGCAGACGAAACATAATGCATTCGAATCTGTAGCTTATCGTAAGGGCTTCAAGAAGGTAGATGTCATTTTTTCGAAGAGAATGGGCGCCCTGCATCCTTTCTGGGAGGGACCTTCGCCAGGTATCAAGCGGCTGGATCAAGGTGCGAAGGTCTTTAGGAGATTCATTTGTGATGAGCGATACAAGCGTTGCGACTCCTTGCGTTTTAGCTCAAATATTGTGAAGAAGAATTACTGGTACTTACAAATTTGGGCCAGTTCGGAGTCTGCTATGAGTGACATCTTCTGTCGATGAGATGTTGGAGACAACAAGTCAGTGTCTTGTTGGTCGTCTGCTGACTCCCAATCATCCTCCGTCAGTGGACTGATCTGAGGTGCATTCGCAAGTAACCGTAGATTCTGGGTATTGACAAAGAAGTGGAAGATATCTCTGTTCTTGAGGATGTTATTACATATCCATATAGTAAATTGCTTCAACATACATGGAGTATCCACCATATTCGACGATACAGCTTTTGAGATTCATGATTTCGAAGACATCTGAGAGTCATCAGTGGTGAGCGAGCAACCATTCGATTTGTCTTACGCGTTGTGAATGCCGAGCTTTGAGGCGCGACGAACCGAGTTATGGAACCAATACTGGAAATCCCTATCAGACGGGTGATCCAGTATGATAGCCCCGAGAATCATGGATCCCTGCAGCATGGGGAGTGAACCGCCCTGGCACTTAAAATCGTGAAAGAGCTTTGCCTTGGAGAAGAAGGCTGTGTGCGCGGTTGACCGGTCAGGGTACCCGCATCCTAGTATTACCTCTGTGGGGACGTAAAGGCTTGCGGCAGTCGACAGAGCGTGAAGCAAAAATATGCAGCAGTCTCCAGACTTGTAATTCTGGATGAAATGGTTCCTGTTGAGGACCGGGGCAAAAGGGTGCACATGGTCAAAGTATGCCTTCACCATGGCGTCCCTGTAGTGGTGTCAGGCAACTATGAGAAGCGATGTGGAAATAGACTGACATGTATTGTGCAGGAGGAAGCTCAAACACCTTTTTCTTGGCGAGATATTCATTGTCGATGTCATCCAACTGTAGTGGTGGATTCCAACGGCGTATCTGAGTGTGAAAGCTATTAACGTCCCCGTTGGCTGAAGTGACCTCGCTTCTATCACTATGACTGGCTGCACCGTCGTGAACTGTGTCCTGGAGGATGTTCAAGTAAAGAAGGTCCGGCTGAGGTCGGCCCGGTGCATGACGGTCTTGCGAGATGTGACTGTCGTGCCGGGTAGAGCTTTCTGAATGGGTGATATGGATAGACTCGTCCGATCGATTAGAGTACGTGCTCTCTGTCGTTTGTTTGGATGTTTCTGACGTGTATTGTTGAGTGAGGGGCTGAGAAGCGTTACGTTGTTAGCGACAGAGATATCGCATCAGGCAATATAGAATTGCAATAGAGTCATGAAACCAAAACAAATACTAAAGGGAAGACTGACAGATGGAAGGTAAACGTTATTGGTCTCTATGGCTCGTCGTGATCGGGTCCCTTTAGAGTTACGCCCATTTCTAAATAGATCATGAGCGAACAGCCACCAGATAAACATCAGATATTGGGAGGAACAAACAGAGTACGACGCTTCCGCTGTGCCAAAACGCATTCTTGAATGCATTCCCTACTAACACAGCTACTACAGGGCAGTCCAACGACAGCAGCATTGCACTTGACCTTGCGGGTTCGACAGGGAGCGCAGGCCTTGCTGATCTTTGGCGAAGAGGCGTTTAGAGGCATTAGAGGCAGAATAGGGCGCGCCCTTTCCAGTATTTGTGTGCGTGAGTTTGGGGTGCTGCCGGGAAAATGTTGAATGGCTCTTCGGGGTTTGATTGGAAATGTTGTTGGATGGAGATGACTCGATAATTGCCGCGGGGTTTTGAGTCGGGATTTTGGGTCGGGAATAAAATGGACATTTCCCGACATGAAGCCTAGATTGGTAATCCACCACTCAAACCATAATCAGGACTCAATATATCAAATTATATTCCCGTCCGAGAGCCCGCGGAAAGACGATGAAATTACAGTGCAATGCAGCCCATTTTGCCTCTCAACAGGTTCCCTATAAGAACGGACCGTCACAAGACATTACTCAATGTCTTCAATATGATAACCAAACTCAAGCAACGCAGCAAGCATGGCCATGGATAATTTATCGAGTCTTTTTTCGTCATTCTATAACACCACCGCCAATTTCACTAATACCAATGACCCCAACTTCGAGCCAAAATTAGCAAACACTGCCATGTCTCAACGTCCATCCCAGAGCTCAGGACAAAAGAATGCCTTCACTACTAGGCTTCTTGACCAGAAATACCCCGGTAGCGGCTCAAAAGAATCTCCATACCTTATCAACTTCTTACCGGATGATCCTCACAATGCGATGCTACTCCCGACGTGGAAGAAGTGGGCGTTCACCTGCTTTCAGGGCCTAGCAACGCTGGCTACAACATTTGCCAGTTCAGCATATTCCGGAGGCATTGAGCAGATAATCCACTCCTTTGACATCTCCCAAGAGGTAGCCACGCTTGGTATTTCCCTCTACGTTCTGGGATTCGCATGTGGTCCTCTTATCTGGGGTCCCCTCTCCGAACTTTATGGAAGGCGAAAGATCTTCTTCTTCACTTTCATGGCAACCACAGCCTTTAGCGCTGGAGCAGCTGGAGCCGGTTCGTTCCCGGCCTTACTCACCCTCCGGTTTCTTGCTGGCTGTATCGGCTCTGCGCCTTTCTCGAATGCTCCAGCTGTAATTGCTGACATGTTTGATAAATCTGAACGAGGAATGGCGATGTGCATGTTCTCGGGCGCGCCGTTTCTAGGACCTGCAATTGGTATGTCAATGATCAACAAATGATTAATTGGTGACTAAATAACTAATGACGCCTAGGTCCCATAGCAGGTGGTTTTCTTAGCCAGGCCGGAGGTTGGCGATGGCTGCATGGGCTTTTGGCTGTATTCACCGGCCTCACTTGGATCACAACAACGATATTCGTCCCTGAGACGTATGCGCCTTATATCCTTCGAAAACGGGCCCAACAACTTTCGAAACTCACCGAGTACACATACATCTCTACATTCGATGCCAATAAACCACCAGCTACGGCTACTCAACAGCTCAGAGTCGCTCTTACTAGACCGTGGCTTCTCTTGTTCAAAGAGCCTATCGTCTTGATCACGTCAATCTATATATCAATCATATACGGAACCATGTATATGTGCTTTGCGGCCTTCCTCATCGTCTTCCAACAAGGAAGAGGCTGGAGTCAAGGTCTAGGCGGCCTAGCGTTCACTGGAATAGTCATTGGAGTTATCCTTTCGATCATCAGCTTCGTTTTTGAAGATAAGCGATATGCTCGTGCAGCAAACAAGAGAGATGGCCCGATGCATCCAGAAGATAGATTGCCACCCGCCATGGTGGGCTCTATCCTGATTCCTCTTGGACTTTTTTGGTTTGCCTGGACAACCTTTCCCAGTGTTCACTGGATCGTTCCCATCATTGGTACTGTATTCTTTGCATGGGGTCTTGTGCTAGTCTTCATGGCACTATTAAATTACCTGGTAGACTCATGTAAGCTTCAATCAAATCCCGATGCCCTCTCCTACGCTAACCACTAACAGATGTTATTTTCGCCGCCTCTGTCATGGCTGCAAACTCAGCCCTTCGATCATTGTTTGGTGCTGCCTTCCCACTGTTTACAAGGCAGATGTACGAGAATCTTGGAGTCCAGTGGGCTAGCTCTATACCAGCTTTCCTCGCTTTGGCCTGTGTCCCTTTTCCTTTCTTGTTCTTCAAATATGGCCCGCAAATAAGGATGAAGTGTGAATATGCAGCTGAAGCGGCTGCAGTTCTTGAAGGTATCCAAGACCGAGACATTACTGATACTGCAGATGACACCATGGTCGAGGATGAAGGAATCTGCAGGGCTTAGACGCATTCCGATTAAAGCTTTATGCCAGCCGCACAGCTTTTTGGTCGCACCGAAAAGGTCGAAAGCCTTCACAGCCATATTTTCCCTTGACCAAGTGTCTCTATCGAGCAGTCTTCCTAATAGTGTTGAAGTAGTGTAGAAAGATAGGATTCTCCACGGTCACGAACACTGACACGTTCCTAACTTATCAGCTCCTCAGCATACTTTGTAGCTGCAATCAGTACGATGAAGTATCGCGCCTTGTTTAATCATTTCAATTTGTACCAAGTAGAGATAATCAAGATGTCTGAAACATAAAGACTGTTGAAAGGAAAGAAATACATAACATCCTGCCTTGAAATTTAGAATTTGAGTGTCTCAGATTGTATCACTGGTATCAACGATGTCTTCCACCTTGCCCATGTCATCCAATTGGGCAGAAGCACACCTTCGTAGACAACCTTTAGGACTTCGGACTTGAGACCTTCAGTTCGATACCAAGTTCCTCGACCCTCTAAACCACAGCAGTCAGTATCCAGGTGGACGATCAGGACCAAGAAACTTGCCTGAGTAATCAATTGTTTAGCCCCATCGCAGAGGTAATTCTCTTGATCCTCGATTTCAAGAAGGCTTTTCTCATAGGTTTCATCTGATGAATCGACAAAACACAGCCCACCTAACCAAGAGAGCCCAGGAAGAATGAACTTGTCTGAGATCTCGTTGTAAAGCCCTGCCGCCTTGGCTGCAATACGGAATCTGTCTTTCATAGAAGAAGCGTCCTTAAGGTATGCCTACTTACTACCGTAAGCATCCGACTTCAGTTGAACGTTACGCAATATCATACCATGTTCAGCTTTGTGTCGTTACGTAGGTCCTCAGCTTTGAGATCTTTGGTTAAGACCCGATCATCACCTTCTTTGGCAATGGCTATGATTTTCTGAATACCGATCAAGAATTCCATGAAATTCTCGATCTCTTGCTGCATTGTGTTAAGGTCGATAAGTGTTTTCTCTAAGAGATTCAAGACCTCACCCTGTTGAAGTTAGGTCAGACGTTACAAAAATGCCCCTCTTGAGTCTTTGTACTCACCAGCGATGTAACTTCACCTTGCATGAACTCCAATTTCCTGTTCAGCTCGTCTATCTGAGCTTCAAAGTTTGTGACAGTCGATTCCATTGACCAGATTCCAAATAATGAAAACATCATCACTGGCGTCGCCAAGGTCGCCAGTACAGATGTAAAGAAAGTACTGAGACTGGGCGTCGTGGCTAAAAATCGGTCTTGTCAGCCTAAAGTGATAATTCCACCTCCAGTGACATACCTTCGGGGTTATTGAACATCCTAGTGTATCCCCAGACGGTACTGTCACAACGGTCTTGAAGTTCTCTTAGCACGATTCTTCGGTCATGAAGTTTTCTTTCCTGTGTTTCCCTCTCTGACGAACGACTCTCAAGTTTTCGGGTGTCTTTATCTCGTTGAGAAACAATCATAGCTAAGATCTTTTAGTGAATCTGTATGGATTTTGAACACAGCATAACCTTACACGTCTTGTCTTTCAGGACTTGAACCAACGTTTCCGTCGTAGCCTTCCATTGAGCAAAGTCGTTCTTGACTTGGGAGATAGCCTCGACGGATTCATTAATCATCTTTAATCCAGACAAAATGTAAGATTGTAGCCTCTTGTCTCGTATTGTCGATTGTTTCATGTGAATGTGGTCTAGTGTAGACTCAATCTGGCAACAGGTATTAGCTTGTTGAGCTATTTGGTAAAGCAAAGTTCCTTACAATGCCCTCGGGTTTTGACATGTTGCGGGCCAGGCGGCCCACAGTTTCCATTCTATCAGCCGTCGTTCTGAAAGTATTCTGACCCACCTGGGTTCAGTGGCCGATGTTCGCGAATAATGTGTCATACCTAAAGATACGTCAATATCGTCTCTGTTGGTGTTGTTCAATATCAGGGACGTACTTCAGACCATGGCCAGAGATATCCAGACCTATGAGTGAGGACCGGGACACCAACAGTTGGCAATGGGCCATTAGGATGATGCATTTAGGTGCTTGTTGTATCTGCTCACCCCAACTGTTTGGTTTATTTTGATCAATCAGCTCATCATATGCAGAAACAAGCTGTGAGTCCTCCATGTTGGGTTGTTTTAAGTGAAAAAGAACCATGGTTCGGGATTTCAATGTTTGCGTTTGTAGACGGGCCTTCCGGTGATATAAATAGTTGGCGGAAGTTGTGTGGTGTCTCGTCTTTTCAACGCAAGTCCAGCTTAACGACTTACATCAAAATGCGGGTACGGGTGCACGTCGTGCGCCAGAGGGCGACAAGTGATTTTTGATCGAGGTAACAACATGCATTGAAACGAGGCCATCAGTTCAGCATTCACGCCCGACCAGTGTGGTCCGACGATGCTATTTGCTACTGCTTTCTGTCATCCTAAGACATAATGCGGAGGTTGATTACTCAAGTACTTGCCATTTACCATGTAAGCCTATCACGAAGTGGCCATCAAAGCCACGCGAAGCATGGAAAAATAAACAAACCAATGGAAGGAAGCCATGCGTCTTACTGTGAGAGGACTGTCGTCAGCATCGCATAGTTACTTGGCGTATCTTTGAGAACACGGGCGCAAGATGCAAGGAAATTTAAGACGTCCAATAGTCCCTGATTGCCCTCCTCTATCCCCAAATTTCACCGTCGGCCGAGACCTCCCACCTCTTGTCGCAAGATATTGACACTACCAACATACAGCTCAACCGACCCAGGATGTGCACACCAAGCCTTACGATGTTGGTGCCTAAGAAAACAGTACAAGGGCCAACTGCCCAAGAATGGGAAGCAATGAAAGAGAACATCTATCAGCTTTATATCATCCAAGGTCAGATATTAACAACTTTGATACGAGAAATGAAAGAAAAGCACGGGTTCAACGCAACGTAAGGGAAAATCGGGACGTGACGAGCTTCCGTTTTTAACTTGGCGCAGATCTAAGATGTACTCGACTCGTTTCGAGAAATGGGGCCCTCAGTTCAACAAAAACAAAAGGGCAGGTGACGGCCCCGAAGCAACATCAAGTATCAAAATACCTCGAACACGAGCCAGGCGCGATGCAAATCCCCAACAGAAGAAATCAGACTTCCAATTCTGTGACATTCAACCACGTCTAGCTTCGAGTGTCCGCTTATCTGAGGGACATACGGAGCAACGCGCAGTTATGAACTTTGCAGAAGTCTACGTGTATGGTCTATTCGATACCTTTAGCTTCTCATCAAACCTCTTCGACATCATTGTCCCTGCAGGAACTCCAGATCACTCAATGGATTGGCAGCTGATAGGTGATGAGTGCTTTGGAGCTGTAACCCTACTCGCCGAAGGGAATCATCTCGAAAGCCGTCGAACATTTTATATACTATGTGAGAGGTTGCGGATGATTGTAGGGAGTAACGACTGGGCAATGATTATCAAGCTCTGGCCAATCTTCATCCGACTTTACAACACAGGTTTACTACTTGGAGACTTTTCCTTGCTAGCGCGCTTTTTACACTTCTTCCAAAGACTAGCGTTAGGAGCGTACCCCCAAAACCACCCGATTCCAAATTTATTAAACGTCTTGTGCCGAACTCCAGTCAAAGACTTTCTCAACATTCTTCAAACTGGTTACCTACGAACAATTCACTGTCTCGAAAATCGTCTGGGTTTTGGAAATGCTGTTGTACTTTCAACCTGGTCCAACTACATGAAGAAATGCAACCATCAGGCGATACCTGCTGATGCCCTAACCTCGCGATACCATCATGTTTTAGAGGAGGCCGAAAGCTCGTTTACACCAACCGCCACCCGGACAATTGAGATTCTACACGGGTATCTTTATGCCGCATACTACAACAATAACGACTCAGCTTTGACATGGGATCTTTCGCTGAAAATGGTGAATCTAGCTGATTCTCCTGAGCTTATGGGCTACCGACCAGAGTGGTGCTTGGCTACACAAGGCTACGCCATGGCTGCCAAGCTTTTGTATGATCTGTCAGAAGATATGGGTCAAGGAGAGGCGGGAACCACGATACTCAGATCTGCCATTGCTAGGCTCCAACAAGGCGATAGGGTATGTCGGACTAGGGCGCTCATGTTGAACAGCATGCTGGGCAAGAGTCAAAGCTGATGTTCTGTAGCTACTACAGTAGTATGGTCGGTCTCATATCGTCTCGGCAACAGCTATTTTTGTGACACTAGTAGATAGCGCCCACAACTTGTGAAGACCTCAGATCTCTCTTTCAACGTCTGGATTTCTTTACCTATCAGGGCTGAGCTGCATCTTCAGTGACTTGATGGTCTCGTTTGTATTGGTAAGACTCACTCTCATTAAGATTCAAATTTTAGCTTTAGTAATAATTTGACGCTAAAGTTATCGCTGTTGAAAGTAGTCATTCAATTTAAATGTCACCTATTTTGATGAGCATAGTAGGCACCATTATTACGGTTTAGAAGCATGAGTTTTATTAATTGTCTGTTGTGCTAGCAGGACTACATCATAGTCGATGTTACTCTAGATATAGCAACTTCAACTTTCAATCAGTGTGTTCAAAACCTCAAAATACACAGCCAAGATTGATGGTAAAAGAGACTACCACGGATTGCATGCTGAGATGGGAGTTAATAGTTGAAGTAAGTGTATCGAAATTCTATATGACTGGACACCCACTATGAATATATGAACGCCTTTCATTTTTATTATACCAATGGTAATATCCCTCCACTCTTAAGACTTATTGCAGTAGGGATGCTCCGCTACCTCGCTTTTCAACCTCATAAAATCCTTAAGTTAAATGACATTATCAAAGCTACTATAGCAGAGCTGTGTAGCTTCTTCAAACTAATGATATCATTATTTGATATTTAAGACGAAGGTTAGGTAATAGCCCTATTTCTTAAACGCTCTATCGGCAATATTATCTAAGAGAGACTAATTATCCACGATGAGCACCGCACATCTCTAATCATCACCCGCAATAGCCGTCATATTCACATCACCGACCTTGATAAACTGCTTCTCCTTGGGCAAAGAGTCTAGAAACTCGTCAGACACATGGAGATGGTCCTTCACCACCTGCCGAGGTGTCAACGCAAGCCATTGAGCAACCGAGATATCTGAGAACTTGGGCGCCTGAAGAACCTCAAGGAAGATCAAATCTTCATCCCCAGTGTTTTCAACGTAGTGGCTGTTAGCTGCAGGGATGTATCCAACGCCGCCAGCGGTAAAGTCAAATGTACGGGCTGACTCGGGAGCTTTGAACACAGTCACTCGGCCACTGCCTTGGAGGAAGTAGCTCCATTCGTCGGAGGTAGTGTGCCAGTGAATCTCTCGAAGGGCGCCAGGTTGCACGACCACGAGGGCGGCTGAGAAGCCTTTAGCTATGGGAAAGGTTGTGGGGCCGATAATCTTGACGGAGCCTCCAGGGACGGTGTGTGGCTTCTGCTGAGACCAGTGGTACGTGTATGAAGAGTTTCCAATCAATGCACCCCCTGGGGCAGTCACGTTTTGCTTTTCAATGTCCTTGGGCGCTGGGGTTCCGTTGAAGATCTGAGTTGTCATGTTAGTATGTCTGTCATGGTGCAGGACAGTTGACTCACGTAAAGTTGATCCTTTGGAATGTTATCAAAGGCAGAAGTGTCGGTTTCAAAGTTCTTAGCTAGTACCGAAGTAGGGTTTCGCAGGAATAGCTCCGACACCAGGAAAGTCTCATCCTCAGAAAAGTCGCCTTCGTCAAAGACGAGCAGAAACTCAACTCCCTCATCGAAAGCTTGCAGACTGTGAGGTACACCAGCAGGGAAGAACCAAACGTCACCAGCGCAGAGATCGTCGACAGTGTTCTGGCCGTCATCGTTCATGGCAGCGATCCGAAGACAGCCTTTGGTTACCAAAGACCACTCAGATGAAGTATGCCAATGCAGTTCGCGGTAGGCGTTTGGCGCAAGACGCATGTCCACTCCTGCCATTGCGGTTGCAGCGGGGAGCACATCTTGGTTCTGCTGCCGAGCCCATCCAGCGCCAGGCTCACTCCCAAGTCGATTGTGGGAAAGGCCAAGAGGCCACATAGCATTGGGAACATCTCCAGCATCAGTACCTGGAGGGGCGTACAAATCCGGATTGAGCTTCTCATAGGCATAAGTCCGAGGACCAGGGTCCGTGGCACCTAGTTTACCACGGATCGGCTGGGGAACATCGACGCCGTCAAAGTCCAAGTAGAGTCCAAGCTTAGGATCAGCTTGTTGGCCATTGACAAGCTTTGGGTTCTTGACAACGGCAGAATCGGACTTGTCGGGGTCTGGACGCCGGGCGTTGCCACCAAGTAGGCTGGAGTCACCATAGAGTGAACCACTTGTAGAAGTTACTGTCGGGGTTGGAGGGTCGACACCACCTACAGGGCCTTTGTTCTCTCCATAGTCTCCCATTCTGTCTCTCTTAACATTGCGTGAGGTACTAGGCTGAGGGTGATGACTTACTGGGGAGCTGGAAGTGCTAGACCCATATGAAAGGTCAGCGAAGCTAGCAGAGCTTTGGAGAGGATGTTATGCAGGACCATGGTGAAGCGATGTGATGGCTGAGTTCAGGATGCTTGATTGATGTTCTGTGAGGTGATGGAATTGTTGCAACTTGAACCGACTGGTGCTTCTTATAGTTCTCGGACCTCCCTGAAGTGTCGGATTGTCTGGGACCGCGAATGCGCGACGATGCGTCATGGTGTAACACATTTCTAACGGTCAGCAATGACTCGGAATTCGGCATGTCTGAGAGATCTACACGGTCGTGGATGCGATTGTCGGCTGTATCGGAGATGTTCAAAATAGATTGCTAAGCCGCAGATCTTGGTAGGAGTAGTAGAAAGGCGATGCGTGAATAAGACGGACCTGCAATGATCGTCCGGCAGCTAAGCATTCTCGGGACCGACATCGCCGAGACATGACCATCAGCACTAAAGTTTTGCCGCTATCGGCACTTTTGAAAGTCGGCACGGTAGTGAAGAGTCTAAACATGGGTTCTGCCGTTGCTATTTCGCCGCTAATTCTTACGATAGAGTCAAAAGTCCTTTAAGTGTGTAATGATCCAATAATCGCATTGCATGCTTAGACGTTGGCACATCTAAACCAGTTGTGAAGCTGTTGGCGTTTTTCAGCAATTACATAACCAAGGAATGGCTGATGAATGCAGCCCTATGAACCAGTAGGGTTTGCCGAAAGTTACGCTCAGGCCTAGAAAGCATGGTATATAACGCCCGTTAATGCATCTTGGTGTTGTAAGCAAGGACGTAAAAGAAAGCCACCTCCCTTGAGAGAAACGACTTTCAAGCATATGACTTAGCAGGCTGCATCCCCGAAATGAAAGCTTGGAATATTCGGAGTAGTACTGCATGAGATTGCAGCGTCGTGTAGGTGCCATATCCACCTGAGCAATTGCAAGGCACGGTAGTTACTCAGCGTGTTCTAAGCCATATATTTCACTGGGGAGGAATCTGCTGCGTCGAATTACTAGCCAATCTGGGGCTGGAGCTTCGAGAACAGGGATAGTCGGGAAACCATGTACCAAGATATCTCGAGGCTTGACGATTGCATATTCCGGGCGGGTTTGCTGCGAAGAAGTGGATAAGGACATAGGAACCAGGGTTGTGATTGAACGATGTGGATTGTCTCAGTGGAACAAGCTGCAGCTCATGCGTATACGGCAGTGGCTTTGTCGGCGAAAGGCTTACGTGAACAATCGAGTTCGTATACCGAAATGAGGTATATCGTTCATTTGTCATTGTGCGACGCACCATGGCTATGTATTCCCCGTAGTAAGGCTCCATTCCACTTGCTCGCCGACTAAATGAAAATAATGGCCACCGGAGAGATACATGATTTGTAGGCTGGTATTCTTTGCCAATAAATCAAACAGACCAGTCACTCCTTTGTCGTCAGCCGAAGATTGAGAGCACGCCTTGGTGTGAGAAACCGACTTCATCCTCAGTAGGATGAGTCGAAATCGGCAATACGGAACAGTACTCTTGGCGTACCAGGGCCATTACCTGAAAACAGGACATGAAATTCGGTCTCATGGTGCCGTTTAGCCGAGCATCTGACTGTAATTCAATTATTTCAAAAAGGTGACCACGAGACCAATTCAATGCACTTTGAAAGAATACCGAGTTTGGTCCGGTATGGATGACGTGGGCGTCAACTATATTCTTCGCACTTTCTGGAACAATCCTCTCCTAAAGTAACGATTCGTGCAGGTCATCTACAATAAATTCGAAGTTTTCGACACGACATGCAAAATCTGAAGACGTTAACAAGAGCGATAAAGGATTGGGCATAGATTTACTGATATCCGAGTTTTTAAGTGAGAAGAAGTTTTATTGTATCAGAATACTTTTTGTCGAATGGGTACGATATGACTGATTACGTGACGTAGATAATTACCCTGGTCTACTGTCCTAGGGTAGCTGTAGCCTGTAGCTGTTCAACCTAGACAGTTCACCCTTGGCCTCTTCCCCATACCTGTCGATTGGTCTTACTAAATCGTTAAAACGTCCACTGGTTACTCGCTTCAATCAGAAAAATGAAACAAGGAACTATGAATGTGTAAACTCAATTCGGGCGGAGAAGGGCAACATTGTTCGTGCCCTTACAAATTCCGAGTAGGTTATCTCTTCCTTTGATTTCGATAATCACATCGGCCCCAATGCACGCACGGGACTCAAAATACGAATATCCCAATTGTTTGCAAACAAGAACTGATCTCAATGAGAAATATGATATTTACAAACTCTTCTCACACTTTTCTCCATACGATTGAGAAGTGGCAAATTGACAAATACGAATGTTTTCCGTTCCAAATGTTAATAAAGCAAGACCGCTCATCTTGATGAACAGAAATTCACTTAGCGAGACTGGCAGGGCGCGGCGAAGATATTTTGACCGCTAGTAATGGATCAAAACTCAATATCATTTATGATATGATTATCCGTATCTGTAGCGAGGTCAGGAATATAATATCGTATTTCTGGAGTAATGTTACATAATAAGTAGCCTCTCCACAATACACCATGTCCCGCGAAGCAGAAGAGACCCACTAATAACCTTTTCCCCATCGTCTACTACGACATAAGCGATCTCAATTTAATATTTCACTCCACAAACGAACGGCAATTTTCAGCTCGACTGATCACATGTTCCCCATTCGGGACTGCCGAGGACCTCAAACGGTTATGTCAGGTACTAAATTACCGATCGGGTAGGCACCTCGCAAGCTACGACGCAAGGGTATTTCAGCTGATGAGCTAAAATGTTTCAAATGACTCGTGGGGCCTGAAACACTAGCTCTTATTGGACCTACCGGAAGTCCGTGCTTGACTGCGACTCAAGGAAATTGTGAACGCCACTGGGGAATAAGTCAGTGGCAGTTTGTCGTTTGTGATTTTTACATCAGATCAAGGCCAATATCAGGTGTCTGATAAATGGTAATGAAGTGTGTTGATGATGATACATGCAGACTGATCAAAAGAAATAACCGTCTCTCAACTAGATGGCGTAGGGTCAGGCACAACGACGATAGGCTGATAAAATATCGGTTCTACGGATACAAGAAAGTCAATCGTTGATCTTCACGGTGCTTGGACCGTTTTGTGATATTGTGTCCCCGCACTGAATGTGATTAACACTCGAGGCGAGCGGGTTGTGACACAAGCACAGACGACCTACCAGTCATCTATTAATATATCGCTTCTCCGGCTCCATCTCTTTATTTAAAGGCAGTCATAACCTCTCTTTGGTTCTTGTTGCCATCACCTCATAGACTGCCACCTCTGTCACGCCCACAATGCATCTTCGCCACCTCTTAACACCCTCACTGTTCGCTGCCACCGCAGTAGCTGCACCTAGCGCAGCCACCAAGGAAGCATGCAAGGAGATCTCCAAAGCAATCCCGGGTCGTGTATCGCTCCCCTTCACTATCAACTATAACGAGGAGTCCACAGGGTACTGGTCTACACTTCTACGCGAAATCAAGCCCGCTTGTGTAGTCACTGCCAAGTCATCATCTGATGTCTCCACCGCTGTCACCATCTTGAACAAGTATCCGGATGTGAAGTTTGCTGCAAAGAGTGGCGGCCATGATCCGAACCCCACTCATGCAACTGTCCGCGATGGCGTCCTCATCTCGTTGAATGAGATGGTTGGTGCGACCTATGACAGCGGCAAAAAGGTGGCGTATGTGAAACCTGGTGGAGAGTGGAATGATGTTATTTCTGCGCTTGATAAAGACGGCGTGGCAATTGTCGGAGGACGTCTAGGTAAGTCCTCTGTATATCACTCTCCGCTTCAAATTTAACCAGGATTACAGGCTTGGTTGGTGTTGGTGGTCTACTTACACAGGGTGGAATCTCTTTCCTAAGCGCTCAGTATGGTTTGGCTGCCGACGTAAGATACATGACCGATATTGCCGTTACACCACTAACGACACGGTAGAACATCGTTTCCTGGGAGATGGTAAACTGGAATGGCACCATAGTCAACATCGATGCTGAGACCCAACCGGATCTTGCTGTCGCATTGCGAGGCAGTGGCAGCCAATTTGGTAAGTCCATCATCAATCGTCCGTCACGATAGTATCTGACCGAACAGGAATCGTCACTCAATTTACCGTCAAAGCCTACCCGATTGGCAAAGTTTGGGGAGGTACTCGCGTATACGACGAATCAAAGACCGAAGAACTCTACAAGACGATGCACAAGTTCATTCCCTACAGCAACGAGGACCCCAAAGCCGCCATCATCGTAACCAGCCTCATCCTCACCGGGGGAAGCAAATTGAACCTTTTGTTTTACTTCTACGACGGCGAACAACCACCGACTTCTGGTCCTTTCGCGGACTTTTTGAAGATCAAGTCGACTTTGTCTTCAACCAAGACACAATCTTATCCAGATTTGGTAAGTTGATAAAACGCGAGGGGTTCAAGCAAACTATTGCTAACATAATAAATAGCTTAAATCGAACGGCGCTGGGGTCTCGTTGTTGAACTCAAGAATCTCATTCAGAGTAAGCAGTCAGCCAATCAACTCACTGAACTGAGAACTAACACATGTAGACTGCTACTATCCCCTACTTCGCCGCAGGCTCAAAGGTTTACAGCGAAATCGCCAACAAGATGAGCGACATCACGATGGTTTACTTCAAGCAGCTACGAGGTCTTGCATCCCAGTGCTCAGTTGACTTCCAGCCTTTGCCCGCCGCCATCGGCAAACAAACCGAGAAGCGCGGTGGAAATGCAATCGGCTTCACTGCAAGTGATCCTGATCGCGTTCTTCTGGAGATCCAGTGTGCCTGGACTGATAAGAAGTATGATGATTCTGTGCGTCAATTCTCCAAGGACTTGACCTCGTATATTGAGGAGAAGCTGCCGGAGTGGATTGAAGAGTATGGAGCTCCTGCGAAAAATTATCTTCCTCTCTTTATGAATGACGCAATGTCGGATCAGAACGTTACGGGAACTTATAAAGATTACGCAAAGTTCAAGGCACTTCAGCTTGAGGCTGATCCAGAAGGAGTGTTGAGGGAGAGGATGGGCGGCTTTAAATACTAATGAGGAGGTATTAATTGATAGGAAGAGTAGGCCCTATTTCCCATAGAACTGTTAATTAATATTACTGCCCCGTGTGGCCTTGGCTCTTGCTTTAATTCGGCTTAAGCGCTAGATTTAGCAAATATTATCCCCTAGAAGCTCTCCTTGGTTATATACCGTAACAGTGGGCAATAATCAAGCATTGAACCCAGAATTCAGAGACAAGACCCAAGGAGGTTATTTCTTAGCATAAACCTGTGCTTTTAAACATCGGGGCTAGATCGCACAGGATAAGCTGAATGGGGACATAGCCACGATTGCTTTATATGCACTGATTTCTACCACAGAAGGGCCAAGGCTAACTGCGTAGGCTCTCGCAGTTAGAAAATATTTTACAGTCCCCGAATTATTGTAAATTCAGGCGAAGACGTCATTGTCAAGTGTTTGACTACTGATGTTGAAGCGAGGGGGACTAGAGCGACCAAGACAGCTGTCGTGTAAACCTGGCCCAAGAACCCAGCAAAGAAAATCATTAGCTTAGCTGGCTTGGCCCTAGTCTGCTTTGTTGCACCTTGAAAACCTTCAAAGTTAGAAGGGTGAGCAAGTCGCCACCTGCTCTACGGCCATTGCCCTGATGCAGAGTCCTTCTACCCTATTGTCGTTTATTTGACTTTCAAGCGTTCGCCACCACTCCAATTTACGACATTTACTCCATTTACGTTCCAGTATCTCTACTCCCAAGGTTTCCAGGCTCTTCTAGCGGCTGAAGGCCGCGGCAAGCCGATCCGCGAATCCGTCTAGGATAGAATCTTCCAAAGCATGAACAATCTGTTCATGATGCGCTGCAGCATGGGGGCTAGGCTTTCACCATAAATCCTTACTCTCGCAGTGCGCAAGCTGATGAAGATAGACCGTCCAAGTCTTTGTAGGTCTTGAATGACAGTGCCCTCCCGTTTTGTGATCGATATATCTAGCCAAGCATATTACAAGCTTGCTCGTTGCCACTCACCGAAAGCTATGGCAGACGACAATCCGTATGAAAACTAGCTGATAAACGCGAATTCAGTTTCAAGACACCGGATTGTCCTTGATTCCCAATAGATTTGTCGACATCTTGCCAGTAGAGACGTAGGACATAACTGACGCAAAGTATGATAACGCTGTGTTACTGCTGATATGTGCCACTAACGAACTGTGTCAGTTTGCAAAGAGGGTATTACGACGTAGTGACCTACCTCAATAGGTTCTGTGATATAAAGCTGCCACGAGGGGTTGGGATACCCAATATCAAGCTGAGCCCATCGGACAAGGTGTATAATGAATACCCATCAGTAGATTTCAAATGGAGTCTCGAAGGGTAGCTACAAAATAAAGCAGCTGTTCTTTGCATTATTGGAAGATTGAGCTAGGTATGACATGCCTTTTTGCTCATACATACACTGGCTTGGTAATATGTAATCAACGTGTCCCAGATACTTATACTCATTTGTCAGGGAGTATCCTCTTAGCAAGGACCTTGCCATGATATATGATAGAATTTGCATCGCACGGATAACTTCGAACGAATATCCAATTACCCAGTCTCGGGGATTGCCCGCTGTTCGGAGCAATGTTTCGCACGGTTTACAGCCCGTTACGCCGTCATTATCCGTGGCTGATGTTCTTCTATCGTGGGTCCTAGTAGTTGGAATTGTAGCACCCGATCGCCTGACTTACTCCAGGCTATGAGCTAGGCAGTCCTTGCTGAGGGCTTAATATGAAATGCGTGTCATGGGATGACCACGATAAAAAAGACTAACCGTGCCGTTTCTCTAAGCGCTAAGTCCTCAAGTACTAGTCATTATCAAGGGGCTATGGTATGGCGGATGGCCAAAAGGATCTGTATCCAAACTCACCATACAAAGATACTCAAAACAACACACTTGGCTCATCGTGGGACATGGTCATCTCAGTTGAGTCAACCTTGTCACTTGCCAACAAGACAGCTCTCGTTCCCAGAGCCTCCCAGACTTGGGCGGGCTATATACAAGTGCACTAATTGGACTAGGCAATCAGATACCCTTATTCAAAGGATGACAAGCGAAACTGCATTGTATGAGCTGGCTAGTTTTGGTGAGAACATGGAACTGAGGCCTACAGCTTTCTGTGTCGCCATTGTTGCACTTCTGGTCCTCGGCGCTACTTTCTCCGCACTCTGTCCTATAGCCCATATTGTTTTCGTTTTCCTCCCCTCCCTGATACCTCTTTTTTTTGCCTTTGTTCTACCATCTTGGCGCAGATTGACTTCATCTCTCCTTCCTGCACGACAAACATAGTACTATTTCCAAAACTCGGCCTTGACAACATGTGTGTAGCCAGGTTCATTGATCATTCCATGAGTACCCATCAACAAAGATGGCGCCGCGGGCAGGAATACAAGGCAATCGAAACATGTATCACTAGACTGACTGGGACCACTGAAGCTGTATACTTCTCAGGAATCATACCCCATTCCATGCACTCCTATCAACGAATATTTCACTGTCCCATCGACTCTGTCTAGAACTTCCGCAGCTCTTTCTACCCACTAACCTCCCTTCGAGGTCCTTCATGTTCATGTTCGTTGCCCTTACTCTTTCGGGAAGCTGAAGGCGAAACCCGCAGGAACGAGTAGAGTTTAGAGAGGACAGTACTTCGCGGTACTCCTCGTGGTATATCATCCGCCTTCCGGGGAATAAAGGACTTTCGAGAGTCGGAAACTTTGTTGTCATGATGATTGTCGGCCCCGTCGGCGTCGGTTGGGCGCGATAGGGTCGAGGTCTCCCGGCTAGGTGCTTCTATTCTGTGTGATGGAGCGGCTTCATCACCTTCAGAATAATCGTCGAGGAGATCTGGTTCAGGGTAGTCGACATCGGTAGGAAGCCAGATCGAGGGCAGAGTTGGAGCGTCGGGACAAACACGGGCTAGATGGCCATACCGGCATCCGCGAGGACTTTCCCACATGCCACCATCACTATCACAGTACGTGTATATCTCCGTATCGGCGTCATACGCAACAGAAATCATGCCATCGGGAAGCCTTTCCTCGGCGGTATCATAACGGGACCAACTAGTCATAGTCACAATACTGTCGAAGGGGGGAAGGGACTCGCAAATGAAAGGGAAGAACTATGGGAATACCAAAACATCCTATTGATCCATGCTTGTAAACATGGGAAATTCATTCCGCCTGGAAGGTTAACTTTGGTGGAGCTACTCCGTACTCGTCCTCTGGACAATTTCAAAAGTCCGTTTCTGTCCGACTTGCATGGCTACGTGTGGGGCCGAGCGGAGCGCTAGCGCTAACTAAGAATGGCTGGATAGGCGTAATAATGTCGAATTGTCCTCTTTGCGTTGTATTATACTGTATACATATATTGAGCGTAGATATAGATAAGCAAGAATTGATGAAGAGGACAAAGGATGTTGATGACACCAGAAAGGCCTTGCTAGTAAAACTGCAGAGGACCGACTAATACCCTGACTAACTTCAAGTCTACCCACCCCACCCACTCCATTTTCACATTTAATTATAAGTGGCTGAAGAATCGCGGACACTATACTCTTCGCTCTAAACGCTTTACTACCCGATCTAGCATGACAACACGCACATCCTTTGCGTCATTGCCACGGTCCTAAAGTCCATCGTTAAACTCACACCACTGTGCTAGCCTCATCACCACAGTTGGCTAGATAAGCCCGCCTTAGTTCGGCCTCTCTGGTCTTGCGAGCCACTTGCTTCTTCGCCATATGTGATCTTGGTCCAGGATCATAGTACACTGCTTTTGTACTCCAAGGACGGCCCGTCATTTACTATTGGTCTGACGCAATGGTGGACGATGTGGGAGTATTGTCCATAAATACGAGTGACTAATCGCAGGATACAGATGCCGCTCCCGTCGGTCAAATCCGTATATATCCTCTAGTTTCCTTACATTATCCATATTCTATCTTCTCCGACTTGGGCACGACGCATAGACTTCCTCCTCCATCTCATTTACTCCGTTATCACACCTCCCCTCTCCAGCATGACTTCCGTCGTTGCGGTCTCTGGTGGAACTGCCAGCCTTGGTCGTGCTATCACCGAGGCCATTGTAGCACTGGGAAAGTACGAGGTCATTGTTCTGTCAAGAAAAGTACGCATTCCACCTCAATGACCATATTCTCTCCTGACCGACCATAGGAAAACCCGGGGCTCGAGAAGACCTTAGGGGTCCGAATTGTACCTGTGGACTATTCCAGTGTGTCTAGCATTATTGAGGTGCTCGAGAAAAACAACATCGATACTCTCGTCTCTGCGATCGGCCTAGGTGGATCGGCGCTTCCAGACGCGGAGCTGCCCCTCATCCGAGCCGCTGAACAGTCGTCTGTCACCAAGAGATTCATTGCCAGCGTATTTGGCGCCACCTACAGGAAGGAGTGAGTGTTTGGATATTCTAATTAGCCACCCTACCCTGCTCGAATAACAACTACTGATATAAATCCACCTCTAGACAATCCTCCTTCTATCCTGCCGCGGGGAAGATTCTGTCACGAGAAGAACTAGAAACAACTAAATCGCTAGAGTGGACTGCCGTCTTGAACGGCTTCTTCCTTGATTATTTTGGCATGCCTAAAGTTACTTCATACCTCCAGCCCACTACCCTTGTCCTAGATATTGCAAACAACTCTGCTGGCATTCCCGGTTCTGGGGATGTACCAGTGGTCTTTACACATAGTTTTGATGTTGCAAGGTATACAGCAAGACTGCTAGGCCTAGACAAGTGGGAGAAAGAGTCGTACGTTATCGGCGATAAACTGACCTGGAATGAGTTCCTCAAGCTTGCTGAGGAAGCAAAGGGTATTCCGCTTTTACCCCACAGATCTTCTCTGTTTCCCGACTAACGCCGTTAGGGACTAAATTCAACGTTACGTATGATTCCGTTGAGCAGCTGCGGGAGGGGAAGATAACTGAACTCCCAGCCCATAAGTACGCCTATGACTTTGTCCCCAAGGAGGTGCTTCAATCCATGCTGGCGTACTTTGGCACTATGTTTGAGAATGGCCAATTCAATTTTAAGTCTAAGAAGACACTGAATGATGCTTTTCCTGACATTGAGCCTTTAACGGCTGAAAAGATTCTCGAACAAGGTTGGGGCTCTTGAGATACACGGATCATCTACCAGGGCACGAGAGATCGTCAGATTATTGTTAGTTAGCATTATAACCTGTTTCTTTCTTGGTTTCAGCATCAATGCAGTACCCATTTTGAGTCCGGTAATGTTGTTTGGCCCGTAAACTATTTCAAAGTCGCTCGCTGGAGTTGGAGGCGCGTCTGTCAACGCGTGGGAAGCATGTCTCACACTCTCTGATTCAAACTGGGACGCCGGCTCGCCGGTAGTAGCGACGAAGATGAAGGTGGCTGTGGAAATAAAAAGTTCCGGAAACTTTCAAAGTCCATGTCTCTCGGACCACTAGCATGAAATGGCGTAGACTTTTTGTCGGCAAACTTAAGAGTACCGAGACCGAGACCGAGATCCTGGCCAAGGACGATGCTTGCTATTATTGTGAGCAAAGCACAGACCGCTAGCATTACTTCAGCCCCGTCCAGCCCCCCACAAACATTGTGATGATGCAATTGTCTGAAGATCCTGTGGGACCTAGGTATGTTCAAGGGTAAATACTCAAGCGCTTGACCCAGTTGCCTAGATCTTTCAAACCCTTCCGGAATAAAGCCTCTTCTAAGACATATCATCTATTCGTCCATAGAGGCTGAATGATACAAGGACAATGAACCAAAATCAAGACTTTACTTCCTGGCCAGCTGATTTGGAGGCCCTGTTGATGAACGTCCGACTTACCAGCTTTATTTACTGTGTTTTTACTGCGATTAAGGCAGCGTGTTGTAAATAGTCAAGTTGATATATGGCTTTGCGCAATGCGTCCACAACGCTACTCATTGATTGAGGCATAATGATGGTGATATCAATTGGGCGGTTACATCGAGTGGTGTCTGTGACTTTTTGAGAATTGAACTATGCCACTATTCGGATCATATCCATAGCCAGTTCGCTAGAACAAGAATTTAGAAGTCAAACCCATCCCGTGCTTTTTCCTGTCGATACGAGTAATCTAGAGCTCTGTACCTTAATCTTAAGTAGATAGGGGATAGTGGAAGAATGATCGGGCATCCTGCCGTTAGTAGCAAGTCCGAGCTAAATTAGGCCACCTTCCACTAAATACCTAACTTTAAAAAACTTAGAGTTAATTTGGACTCGTCCATTTCAAATCAGGTGGAGTACTAATAGCTCGGTCTGGTGTTTACGGACTTAGGAAAGTACAAAGCCCGAGTGCGAAGTGCGAGATTAGTCAATACCATGCGATTAAAACTTTCACATAGTTGACTAGTGTTTTTTCTTTGTAATCTATCGCTCTTAAGCTAGTTCCCAAGTCTACAACTAAGACGACTGTGGCAGGATGAAATAGATGCTTTCTATAAGTATCGGATGCAGTGTGTCTCTTTTCTCATTCACAAATCAAATCAACATCTTTCTTACAACATTCATAAACTCACTACTAAAGACTTTTGCATAAATCAAGCTGAAAAAAAATGTCTTCTTACCTCATTACTGGTTGTTCCCGAGGCATCGGCCTTGCGCTTGCCGGTCTACTTGCATCCAAGCCTACTTCCGAAGTTGGCAAGATCTTTGCTGGCGCTCGAAAGGAAACCGACGCTTTGAAGAAACTGATCGCAGAATCTAACGGCCGTGTCGAGTTTGTCTCTATCGAGGTTACGAGAGAGCAGAGTGTGAAGCAAGCCTTCGAAGCGGTCAAGAAAGCCCTCGGCAACAATGGACTGGATGTACTCATCAACAACGCCGGCATCATGAACCACACTAAGGACGGCATTGAGCATATGTGAGTATTGATCATACTTCCCATTGGTTTGCCCTCATGACTAATCTTACGTACCTAGGTCTGATCTTGCAGAAACTTACAACATCAACGTTATAGGCGTCCATAACGTCACGAGCACTTTCCTACCGTTGCTGAGGAGAGGAAGCCAGAAGAAGATTATCAATATGTGAGTGCCACAGTTCTGTCTCTGCATCTGCGTTGTGTACTGACATACATCGTAGCTCGACCACTCTTGGCTCCATAGGCATGGCCGGCCACTTTATGTTTCAGCCCACGCCTGCCTACAAGGTAGCTAAGGCTGCCCTTAACATGCTTACTGTGCAATATGCACACGAACTCAAAAGCGAAGACATTACTGTCATTGCTGTTTGCCCAGGTGTAAGTTCTCTTTCGTTGCTCTTGCGTCCTGTGACTGACTAGCGAAACAGTGGGTGAAGACTGATCTAGGAAGTCAGGCTGCGCACATCTCTGTCGAACAGAGCGTTAATGGCCTGGTTGACATTATCTTCAACGCTGATGTCAGCAAAACGGGTGGTTTCCAGGTAGTTAAGGTTCCCGGTTTCGAGATTAACGGGCGAGAATTGTACGATGGGTCGAACCGACCCTGGTAAAGCAAACCTTGGAACGCTGGTATAAGTAAAATTTTGGAATTTGGCTAAATACTTCCTTGCACCAAAATCAATGCCAAGGCTTCATCACTCATAGCAGTATTTGATCCCTGCCCCACACGCGAGTATATCGGCAGTCACAGGGTCTAGATATATTGTAAAGCCGGTTGTATTTTCTCCTATCCAATACGTATCCTTATATACTCACAACACTATGTTCATTGCTATATGTAGTCTTATTCCCACTTGTTTTAGGTACCTTTGCGGTCGGGTCTGTAAATGCAAACACCACTTCTGACGCAGAGGTTAAATCGGATGTGGTGATACTTGTGCTATTACCATGATCATTTACACAAGTGTTATGAGACCCAACAAAGCAGGATTGTTCTCGCATCTCTTCATAGCGCTAGTGTCTCGGACATTCTAGGAATAGCGAAGGCCGATTGATAGATCGTTTCGGTCACATTAGCCTGCAAAATAAACAAGGATACAAACTTTATCTTTTTCTTAGCCAAGTACAACGATCGATCTGACCCACCTCTTGGAATAGCATATGCTTACTGGAACTTTATCTTCCTAAGCAACATGAGGGTTCTAAATGCCGATACTTCGTGGCTATACATGTGCAATTCAGGGATACCATATATGTATTCTTCAGTAAACTGGCAATATCCACTATCTGCTCAAATTCTTAAGCAGCGGCTTGGCGTGAGGTTATGAGCTCATGTATTTAGGATGGCTTATTGAAAGCATATAACTTCCCACCACCGGTGACAGATGATGTCGATAATACCCCTGCAATTCTTATCCCAACTACGCGCTTTGCGAAAACCTTTGACAACGGAGATAGTGCGGTTCAGTACGACAAGTGTGTCAAGCATTTGCGAAGCTATATCTGACACTTGAAGAATCTTGGCGCAGCAAGAAATAAGTGTGTCTTTATTAACCAGGCTCTCCTCACGCAAACCAAAGTTCAGCTGAGAGCGAGACTGGCGCGCATGAGTTTGGCTAGAGGGTGCACATTCGACTACGCGACTACTCCAGCAGACTTCAAAACAAATTCTTTGACCTCCGCATCCGAAAACTCCTCAACGCCAAGTAGGGCGTTGTCGCTCTTCGGCCAAGTGTACGTATGGGCTGCAGACGTCATAGAATACCGCAGTATCGCCATGATGACCTCCTGCTTAAACTCGCCTTTTCGCAGTTTGGCTTGAGCCCACTCATACTCGTCCTGAATATCAACGATGTTTTCGATCCAACCATCAGAGCCAAGGGCCTCCTTGGCTAATTCCACCAGTCGCCTTTGACCAATGTTGACAGACGAGATGTACACCACTCGATTGGCTGTCTCTTCTGGGTATAAGAGGACTTGAGCAGTTGCTTTGCCAACAGCCTCCAGCGTCGAGAAAGGGGAGACGAGGTGTCCATCTTCTCCGTACCAAGCGATCTTTTTCGCTTCGACATCAATTCCGAGGCCCCCATCTTCAATGGCTTCCAGGAATGGCCCACAAGCCACGGCAGTCCATGTAAGGCTCGAGCCCTTTAGCTTCTCAGCCCGGTACTTGGCAATTTCGGTCTTCCGCCTGAAGAATGGCAGGGCTTGAACATCAGGGCTGATAGGATCTGATCCGAATTCAGGCGGAATATAGCGATAAACTCCGACCTCTACGCACGCATCCAGCAGTCGACGAGGTCCTTCAGATTCGTAACTGTGCGTAGAATCAATCACAGCGTCTTGTCCTCGAATCGCATCAACAAGAGATTCAGTGGAAGTATAATCAACTTCTCTAGTAATAACACCCTCGGGAAATGAAGTGGGCGCAGCGTTTCGAGTGAGTATGGTGATGTTGAAGTGCCCAAGATTGACGAGAGCTGTCAAGATGCGCGATCCTAGTTGGCCGGTCGCCTATGAATCAACTGATTATTAGTACACCATATTGATCTTTTCCAGGTAAATTCCGCAGAGAGGGTATAAAGGATAAGTCATTTGGGTGTTACCTACCCCAGCAAGAGCGACATTCTTGATTGTTGGTGCCATTCTTAGCAGTGCTCAGTGCGTAGTTCCTAACGATGAAAGTGAATTTTCGCAATCCTAGCGGAGGCAGAAACGGAGAATTTCTATAGCTAGTACAATATCAGCTACGATTGATTTAGGGGCTGAGCTTCACGAGAAGTAGAGTTTATAATGGAGATCATTCAGTGCTGGGGTCGACCGTCACCGCATCCGGACAATTTTAAATACCGGTACCCACACCGAGACGGCAGGATTACAATGCCGCGAGGAGAGAAAGAAAAGATCGTCGATTTTCAACGCTCTCGAAATCGGCGATGAAATCGTGTGATGTAAAATTAGTAATCTTGTTTGTATCTCGCCGGTATATGCAGAGATGTCGTAAAAGATGAATTTGAGAAAAGCTTTACGATATTCCACACTCTAAGATGCAAGCTGCAGTGTCTATGGCTATGAACTAGATAGACTAGCTGCGATAACCTATCTACTGTCGCGCCCTCTATCCCACGGACGAGCATCGTGAGATAGTCTTAATAGCTTCTTTACTAGCGCTGTGAATTACATGGATGCGGATGCCTTTACTTTACGCTGTTCCTTGTGACGTGAGAACGATAGGCCAAACTCGGTCTCATGCTTTGAATGCTTCTTGTGCAATGAGGTAGTGGTGTATTGTGTTCATATTGAACACACCATTGAATCTTGATTCTGTTGTATTTCTTATTGAGTGGAGCTGTCGATCCTAGCATTAGATTCGTCATTCCAAGGATCGTTAGTTACCATACATTGTCTATTTCGCGTCAAGTGACAGGCAGGAAAAGCGACTCCATAGTTCCGTTAGATCATCCACCTTGTACTTAGTGTTCTATGTAAATCAGTCGTTTGAGATCCATAGATCAACACACTAACGGGTTCCACTCCGGGCAAACGACTACTCCGAATGGTAAGTAAGCCCCCAAGACTCGGATGTCGAAAACGCACAATTCCCTACTGTAAGCCATCCAAGCTATATTGTATGCTAGTGACGCCATCCTTGATTAATGCGTTAAATTCAAGACACTGGCTTTGCCATGATTCCTTAGAAAAGTGACTAGGATGGGTACTAAGTATCTCTTTTAGGCCAGGTTAGTAGCTTTGAGTAAGACACTGGCATAAGAAAGTCAGTTCGAATCAGAAAAGGATGGCGAAGTATACAAATCATCTCTACATATACCAGTGCCATAAGGCCAGTCAGAAATATAGGTATTCCGCTGATTTAAGGGGACTCGGCCACAGGAGAGTGGTCAGCGGCGCCACAGCCAGAACTAGGTATAATAATCTGCTACTGCTTGTTTTAATCCTTGTCGTGTTAAAGGGCACTCTCCACGGGTCTCCAAGAGACTGGGTCGTCCCCTAGTCGAAATTTTAAATGTCGGACTTAAGCAATCACAGCAGTTACCGAGTCGGTATTTTTACTGGATCTTAAGTCCGGAGAACTTGCCGTTTCTGCGACCAAATCTTCTGGTAGTTACTGTGTCTATGGCTATTGTTCAACTCGACGCGTCCAGTCGCGGTCCATGTTTGCTCTAGCAGATGATGCTCTAGAGCCACAGGCCCTAGAAAAGCTAGAGGAAGCAGGTCTTTTAAGATTTCAGACTGTCATGGACAAATCGGGAACTGGTATGTATTACCAAGCAATTTCGGTGCGTTTCTAGTGAGCTACTGTCAGAAAGAGAGGGTAATGGGCATCGATTATATTAGTATACTCTTTGTGCCGAGATCATATTCGTTATGCCCAATACAGTTCGAGAATTCTATCTTTTCCATCCTTCTTTTGACATTTTATGCAATATGCTGCCACTTTCTATGTGGTGGTCTCTTGCTGCTGTAGTCCTTTCTCAAGGAGTTGCTGCTGTAACACCATCTGCTCTCACAACAATAGCAAGCTTCTCCAACAACACCTTCATCGAGAACATTGCTGTTCGGGCAGATGGCCATATTCTCCTCAGCACGCTCGGTGAAATCTCACCAGCGGCTGTCTTCACAGTTGACCCTAGACATCCGAGCAGGATTCCAGCTTATTACACAAGCTTTCCGGCCCCTGTTACTGGACTGACAGGCATCACCGAATATGCCAAGGGAAGGTTCGCTGTTATCGCAGGGACGTGGAACGTGACCACTCGTCGCGGCAAGGGGTTCGAGATTTGGGCCATGGATACAACCGTGGAGCCGCCAAGGACTCAGAAGCTCGCCAACATTAGGGATCCTAGCATCACGGCTTTAAACGGGACAATTGTCCTACCAAGATGCCCCAATACTATCCTTATTGCCGAGTCTAACATTGGAGGAGTCTACAGTTTCAACATCAAGACTCGCAAAATACGCAAAGTTATCCAGGATCCATCCATGTCTCCTTCAGGCCTTGCTTCAAACATGGGTATCAATGGATTGAGGATATTTGAGGGCCATCTTTATTATACAAACTCAGCCCAAGGAACCTTGAACCGAATGGCGATCGACGACATGGGTTATAAACTTGGTGACCCTATGGTACTGTGGCGCCACCCGCCCACTGATGGTTCTACTCAAGATGACTTCATCATGGATCTTCTGGGGCTAAAAAGTAGAGACTGAAGTCTGAAAAGCTAGGAATGGTTATAAATTCATATTATATATTTATTATCCTTTCATTCTTGACAGTTCATTGCCTATTAAGGCCGCGGAAGGGCGGGTTTTCCTTAAAGAGGAGGTTGAAAAAGGAGAACCTGTGTTCAGTCACCACATCTGTAGCATCAAGCTGTTTCACTCGCCGGATATGTCTCGCTATGCACATTGCTATTTACCGAGCTTCTTACTACCCAGTAAACACTAAATCTAAGCAGGTATCGACCAATACTAGAACGGGTATGTCTGGTATCATACAAGGTTTGAGTGATGATCTGATCCCAGCATCATACCACTGTCTTTGATCCCCTACCTGAAATTGCAGATCACGGCCGTGTTTATTTAAACCCATACATATGGTAATTCAACAAGTCCGAAGCCCGAGAAGTCCACTTCGAAACTCAGATTCATCTTTGTCCGTAGCAAATTAAAATTCATGCAGGAAAACCACCGGGCGCATCCGCAGAACCCGAAGGTGTCATAAATACAAGACATTGCTCTACGTGACCATTTTTTGAGAACAGAGGCCACAGCAAAGAAGAAGATTACCTCTTCTAGACCCTACATTCACAAATTCTTTAAAAGATATCATAGTCATTGCCAGGAGTCTCCAACATGCTTTTTCGACATTGGAGTTATGTTTCTGTCTTCAGCGCCATCAGCGCCGCTTGGACTCTACCGAATTCAACACCCAGCTCGCTAATCGTTGATAAAGCCCCGAACGAAACGCGCCCGTATGTTCTTCTTAAGAATACTGGCGAGGCACTGGCTCTGGGAGCAAACACCTTGAGATTTCTAGTAACCGGGAACGTGTCTGAACAAAGTTTCGCCATGGTCAGCCACTCTTCGCCAGATTCAAGCCTCCTGGCTGTTTCCCCCCATATCCACCGGAGAACCTATGAGAACTTCTTTGTCAACAAAGGCCGCATACAAATGTGGGCTTGGCAAAATGAAACAGGAGGTCTGGAGTTTTCTAGGGTCATGACAGCCGGCGACTATGCTGTCGTCTCCCATCATACGCTTCACACATATCAATTCCTGGAGCCAGATACACAGCTCACTTTTGTCGTGCAACCAGGTGGATTCGAAGATCTCTTCTACGTCTTAGCTAAAGGGCCCTTCGAGAGTTCCTCGTTGACCCCTTTCTACCCTCAGAGATTTGACGTTGCAGCTGGGGCTGGAGATAACGCCGAGGTGTTGAGCCAGCTTGAGAAATACGATGTCTATTTCCAGCCACAATACAACCCGACCCGAAAAGTGACGGATGGGATGACCGGCCCTCCAGGATACAACTGGCACAACGGAAGCAACGAGCTCGCACCAGACTCTCAGAGTACTGGGTTCGTTGCCAAGGATTGGTCGTCAAAGTATCTGTATACCAAGGGCAGCTATCAAATTGTTCAGCCCCTTGCCACCCCAAAGCAGACCGACGGAAACATGACAATGGGAACCATCACTCTGTCGAAGCGCTTTCTCAACGAAACAATCCCTGTGTTCAAACTACCCGTGCACACATCTTTTCAGATGACTGAGGGACAAGCGATTTTCGACGTTTATGGGTATGAAGCTCTGCCTCTTGTTGAAGGCGATACTGCTTTTATCCCCGCCAACACTAGCTTCTCGTACTACGCTACATCTCCGATGACTCGATTTACGTATGTTAGCGGAGGGGGAAACGGGCTTGATGCGGAGTTACTTCGTGATGCTGTAGAATGGGAATTTGCTAGTTATCCGGTGCATCTTGGCTATGGCTCAGGGCATTAACCCAGCTATTCAGAGTAATGGTGAGCATAGGCCAACGAATTGATATGGGGCGCTGATAAGTCTGCTCCGGTGCTGAGTCCTCGGCTTCAGCTTAGTGACGATGGTCCGTTCACAGCCATATGCATACATAGTTCCACTACAAGGATCGGATCCTAGAAACAAGCTCATCATCCATCGGTGTCAACAGTTAACTGGGCCTAACTGGGCGTGGAAGTAAAGTGCCTTCTATCTGAAATCAGATTAGTAGCATTATATTAGACACTTCAGCTAAATCAGGGCTTGATGTGGCCGCTGTAGAGCCTTGTGATTGATGCGATCTTGTGTTATACTGGAATCGTGGTGCGAACTGCCTGGCCGGACACCGGACAGTTGTGGGATACATATTCAGCGGCGACCTCCAGAGAGTGGGTGGGTATGCACAACCTGCCACTTGTGTCGTGCTAAGACTAGGCAGATACTTCTAATAACGACGTTTTTACAGGGTATTTTATACCTAGCTACCATATACCGTAAGGGCTTTTATAAGCTAAGAGTCTAGACAAGTGAAGTATGTATTTATGCTAATCTTATTAATTTATTAATTTATATTAATAGCCTTTTCAAATATTACATCTATCAAATCAATCACAACACAATACATAATCACTAAGTAACAGTATAAGGTATTAAATGTAATCCTTCGAGCCTTCCTAGAAAAGTCCCTTCAAACTATTAAGTATATAATTAATGAAAACTATATATTATATTCTTCTCTAGTTCTTCTCAGTACTACTCAATAAGTGTGACGGTTGTACTTACCAAGTCGTACACTAGTCCGTACTTGGTGTATTATTGGCAGATACGTAAGGTGTGGTGCTGAGAATTGCAAAGTCTTACGTCTCCTAATAGTTAATAATGGGGGTAACACTTATTGAGGCAAAGAAGTCTTATTGAAAGCTAGTAAGCTAAGTTCTATGAAAGTGCTAGCAAATGCGTCTAAATACTTGGTTGTTAGTTTGAGGGACGACAGGATTTAGGGCGGCGTCGTTCTTGTAATAGTCGTCCTGACATGATGTTTCTTGGTTTATAACCCGTGGAAATTAGGGGGTCCACGTAACGTAGTCCCGGGGTCGTAACTATGCTAGGAGCGTGTTCAATTAACAAACAAGGTAGCATTGTCCTACGGAAATCTCAAGAAGGCATAGTTTAATTTACATGGGGTAGGGGGAGGCATTAAAGGCACGGAGAAAACTACTACGTTATTTCGTCATCATCCCACTTCATATTTGTCATCGTAAAGTCCACCACTTTTTTCTACTATAGGCAGGTAGCATTTCGGGAAATTGTAATAGTTGGATGATCTTTTGCTTTCACACCAATGGACTTCCCCGAGCTTGTAACCTGACTGCGGTGAACGCGACGATCGCAAGTTATGGCGTGATGGTATAGCATAATAAAGACACCTAAGCAAAAGGTTGTGGGTTAAAACCGGATTGCTTTGAGACAAGAGTTCAAATATATAAATGCTTCGAGGTCTTGGGTTTCTCAATACATTCCAATCACCACCATTCATACATCTGTCAAATAATCTCATCCTTCAACGCCATTATTCAGCATGCGCTTTTTCGCTCTGATCAACATTCTCGCTACTGCGGCTGCTCTCCCCACAGAGATTGCCTCTAATGACCTTGGCAGCGCGGTTGACATTGCTGGTCGTAACGATGTAGCGTCTCTTGGCCTTCGCGTCGCAGTGCCGGAGCCAGACCTCAAAAGCGCTCATGTTATCGAGACTCGCGAGGTGAAGAGTTTTCCGTGGCCCGAGAGCTCGTTTGCCACCGGCAATTCCGCCTACCAAGTCCTCGTCACCAGTCTTGGCAGCAACCAGTACAGAATCTCGTTCTATAATAGCTCACCTAAGAACGGGTGGTCTTATAGATATACCGTTACTGCGGTCGGCCCTGGAGGTAACGGCCTGATTGCTGAGAAGGTACTCGCACCCCAAACGCCCTCTGAACATATCGAAGTTAAGAAGTCTGGCGACACTGTGAAAGTTGAGGTAGTTCAGGCTTAGGGCATTATCATTTGGGCTTTTAACATAAAACACATCTTGAACTATTAGGCGCCCACTAAGTGCGCATCCCCGACCGCCTATGAGCCCAGGTATATATACGGTCATTATAGCACTGAATTCAAGGGCTCTACATGAGCAAGTTGTGTTACGGCTTAGTTTTGAATTACAAATATCAGTGTTGTTTAACTTGACTTCTTTTGCGTTGATTCTGCCTTACTTGCTGAACGTTGTGCACTATTACCTGAATATCTACCTCCTCAGGTGTCAGCACCTATAGTTGAAGAGGATTAACAGTAATGCATCCTGGTACGAAAAATAGAAATACGCTGGAAACAGTTGATCCCCAATTGAACTTCCTACTACAGTCTTCTCCAGATCACTTTTATGTTTCTGAGTACCTAGTATAATCAACCCTAGAGCCTATATAAGTGAAGAGGGACTTTACATGCAAATATACGTGATCCCTGAGGTGTGGTTGTTAAAGGTATTAATAGATATACTTCATATATTATAGTAATTTATAATATTGAATGTTAAGCTAATAGTAGGTGAGAAGTTATATTATAAGTTGATTTAGCTAGTTTATGATAATTCTTCAAAATAATGATAAAAACTAGTATATGAATTAAGAGATTTGAATCGGGTATATATAATATAAGTCTTTTATTTTATTTTATTATAATTCTATAAGGTTAAAGCTAAGAGAGCTATATCAACCGGTATTATTGCTACCTATAATACTACCTTTGTAACTTAAAGATAATAATAACAATAATATCTATATAATATTTTCAAGTATTTAGGATACAAGACAATTACCTTGGAAAATTATTTAATTATTAAAGACTACTTTAAGGAATCTTGAACTGATTCTATAAGAATATAAAAAGTCTATTAATGAGAAAATGTTAAGTAAGTTACTTAAAAACAAAGGAATAACTAAATTCAAAGTGTGTTAAGCCAAAATAAGACTATTAGGATAACTAATAATTATATTCAAACCTAATAAGAGTTTCCTTTTAATGTTAAATCTAACTATAGGGAAGGATTAAATTTAAATAAATATTTAGAGGTTGAATAAGTGGCTAGCTATAAAGAAAAATAAAAAAGAATAAAACAAAATATAAATAAAAGAATAAAAGTTCTTTACTTAGTTCCTAAAGTAGTATTTAAATTAAGGCTATATTTTAATAGTATAGTTAAATTAACTATACCACTATAATTAAAATAAAGCTATCTTGAGTAGCGGTAAAGAGGATAGGCAGCATAGTAGTAAAATACATTAGTATAGAGAGTAAATAATACTAGCGAGGAATGTAAACCCTACTTACACTAAATACTCTCAGAAATATATTAAATAAGGGCCTATTACCTAAAAAATGGCTTTAGTCCTAGTACATTAGTAGAAAACCTAGACTTCGTCTTTTTATATAAGTATAGTAGGCTTATAGATATAATTAGATTAAATCGATATAGGATTTATATCAAAGAGTAATTAGTTAAATATGTATAAATACTATAGGTATCTTATTAATATTTCTCGTTTTGTTCTTTTTAAATATCCTAAACATAAGGGGTAAGCCGTTTTTATATTGATATTATTACAACTATAGCTATAGTATTTATTAGCGACCCTTTATTAAAGCTTGATATAAGCCGTGGATTAATTATCGACTATATTATCAGCCTTCAATAAAACTTAAATACAATCCTGTCGTCCTATAGCTCTCGGACCAAGTCTTGTCTTCGATAACTAACCCATACTAAGCTCCTCGCCGTCCGTTCTATATCCACTAGTTCCTGGTAAAATCTCTGTAGGGCTTTCATGCCTAGTGCCATATCTAGACCGACGTAAAAGTGCTGTGTCCTATCTCGTCGAGTGCAGATATGTGTCATTATTGGTGTTCCTTCCACAATTTGGGCCGAATAAGCAAGGCCATGACACTCGAAGAAATGGCCTAATAGTTGCCATTGGGCCCCCAATAATGCTTAGATTCAATCCCAAAATGCACCACATCAAGGTTATAACGGTATTATTTATGTCTGTTAGTTTCATAGTCATTCGAGATGCGCCGAGTGACTATACATGTTAAGTCAGAGTCATAGAGTAAACATCGAGCGAATGCAACCGGATTATGGTGATTATGCACACATTGCTTTGTTTAGACACCATACTATCGGGCTGTGAGAACACTTACGATGCTCCCATGGTTAAAAGGATGCCAACTCCAATCTTTTACCTTTTTGGCAACATGAGCGTTTTTAACCATGGAAGAGGGATTGAAAAGGCGATGATGCCGGCAAAGATACTCATGCCGGCTTACGAAAAGCAAAATACTGGCCGATTAACGCATTTAGTAGTCGTGACATGCTCTGGGGACCAAGAACCTCGAACGGGGTAACAAGAGAAAACGTCGACGAGAACTGATGCTGGTGAATACCTTGTGATGAATGTGAATGCAATCCATACATGAATATGGATTTACCTGATGGGAAATATGATTAAATAGAAAAGGATAATGCTACCATTGGCTAAGCCTGTCGCTGCGCAGAAAAAGATGGCGGCAATTAAGTTGTTCAATAAGAAGTTGGGATAAATGTCAGGCGTCGAAGGAACGTTCCAAAGGTGCTTGCCCATTCCGTAATTGGTCACTATCGCTATGAGCCAGGAGGATATCATGAATTGACAGTACACTCACTGCTCAGTGTGAAAGCGACGAGAAGAACGCTGCAAGGCTAAAACATGTTAGAATGGGTGACTTCTAGAATCAAGACAGGTGTGTCTACCCAAGCGAGAATCATAAGATCTGTGAACATTTAGTAAATGCGTTGTATCAGATCAGTCTCTGACAGTCGTCGACTGAGAGCTTGCGTACGATGTTTGCCCCCATCTATAACCGAACAACCATAGAGATGGTTGCTAGTGGGAAAAAGATGGTCACAACAATAAACAGTGGTGCGGACTCGAGCTACTGATTCAAATCCTGCTCCACTTCAGAAGGCGGATCCATCAGATAGGCGACTCCATTATTGGCAGGCATTTGATCGTTCCGGAGAGATCCTTATGAGTGATCTGCTTGACATCAAATTTTCGACTAAGAAAAGAGGTGGAGGCCTAAAAAGGAAAGGCCGTGATTAAATAATACTGCATATGATGTTTACTTAACCAACAGCTTCATCAAAATACCTTGACTTTGCAATGCAGGAACCCTACCAGTTAGTAACATATGGCAAGGCTCTAAGCTTTCTGCGCCGCAAACATATCTTAACTACTAAGGTTATAAACCCGGGTATTTTGTCTGTTGGTTCAATTCACTGTGGAGATATCAATTGCATTTCTTCCTGGATTCGCTGCAAGAGATGGAGTCTCAACGGCTTATGCTAAGGGCTCGCTAAGACACAAATTCCGTGATTTAAATTCATGACCAGGCACCCAAAGACAGGCTTAAGATGATGAAATTGATTGAGGAAGAACGGATTGCCGAAGAATAACGAAGAGCAAGATTTCTTCTAAGCGCAGCGTAGGAGAAGACCGAACTACAGTTAGTTAGGCTTTCGATTGTAATGTTGATGCAGTAGGCCACTCCAATACCTCAATGCGAGATATGTCTAGTTATGGCAACGTTAAGATATAATTCCCTTCGTAGTTCTGATAACCAGGCGTCATTATAAGCAATACGAGAGTAGCAAGTGATTGGAGCTGTCTTGCAAATTCGAGGACTTCCCTGGTTAAGGACTGCGACATGGCCAAAAGGTAAATAGCCCCGGTCATGACCAACAGCTGGAAATCAAACCCAGATGGGGCCTATAGGCCGTGCCAGCCACTAGATTAATGCAGATTTTGCCTGACATAACTCTTGGCAATACTTAGTCGCTCACCTAACCCGCTTTAAATCAGGAGTTCAAGCATAGGTGGGTTAGCGACAAAAACACCTCCCAGGTCTAGTAAATGGACCGATGCATCTAAATTGTAGGCCCGTGCACTGCAAACAAAACCGGCAACCTCCTCGTGGCGAATTTGTTCATAGAGTGACTTGTAGCCATCAACACAACCTGAGGGACTGTTGGTTTTCTTGCATCAATCGGTTTCAACATCTCAATATGCTCAGCAATACCGTGCTCAGCGTATTGTCGCTATCAGCGCTATGGGCCAACCCCGCCAGCGCTGAAGCTGCGCCGAAGTCTGGCTGCAGCGCCCTGAAGCTTGCTCTTCCCAACAACACCTTCTGGCCGGAACATGCCGTCTATGAATACGAGTCGCAAGATTTCTGGTCCAACAATGAGATCCTCAGCCCGGCCTGTGTCTTCCGCCCGACGAGCCCCAAGCACATCTCCAAGGCTGTGTCACTCATGGGCGCGAGCCATACCGCCTTTGCTGTGCGTGGAGGCGGGCACATGGCCATTGCAGGCGCCAACAACATCGACGGCGGTCCGCTGATTGTCATGTCTAACTTGACGACTCTCGAGCTGACCAAAGACAAGAAATCGGTTTGGCTGGGACCTGGGCTGGACTGGGGCCAGGTTTACCGCTACTTGGGCCAGTACAAACTCGCAGTCGCTGGCGGTCGCTTATCCGCTGTTGGTGTCCCAGGTTTGCTGCTAGCGGGAGGAATCAACTTCCATGGAAACCAGCGAGGATGGGCGGCAGATAATGTCCTCGAATATGAGCTTGTGCTACCCAGTGGCAGGATCATCTCAGTAACGTCAAAGTCCCACAGCGATCTTTTCTGGGCTCTCAAGGGTGGTTCCAGCAATTTTGGCATCGTCACCAAGTTCAGACTTGCCACTTTCCCGTCTGATCAGATCTATGCTGGCATATACAGTGTCGCGGACATACCAGGCTTTTTAAAGGTATACTACGTAATTTTGCTTCTTTTGGCATGCACTGACAAGCACACCACAGGCTGTGGCTAATTTCTCTGCCTTCAATACCGATCCTCTAGCACACATTGTTCCCCAGGTGATCGCCGTTGACGAAGAGACGACCATTGGCGGAGCAATTCTCTTCTATGATAGCGACTCAAGCGCTAAGCCGGATTGCTTCCAGCCCTTCTTCGACCTGCCTGCTGTTTCAAACACGTTCGAAAAGAAGACCCTCGCGCAGTTCTCTGATGAATGTGGCGAGCTCGTAACACCCAAGATCAACGATCAGTTTATCGCCGGCACCACCACCGGCAAAACATACGAGGAGATCCTTGAAGGTATCCAGATCGTAAACGATGGCTTCCTGGACGCTCTGCCCGGCTTGTACAAGGTACTTCCCGCCGAGAACCGTGTGCTCATCTCAGTTGACTGGCAACCGCTAGGCTCACTGTGGGAAAAAGGTTCCAGAAAATCTAATCCTGGGGGTAATCCTCTGGGTTTGGATGTCGAGTCAAAGGGCACATATATTGCTTGGGCAGAGGTTGTGGAGTGGAGTGGCGACGAGCATAACGAAGCCATCTTTGCGTGGATAAAGAATACTACATGGTCAATTGCCAACGCCACTCAGAAAGCTGGCCTTTATGACCCTTTTACTTATATGGGAGACGCCGCTGGGTTTCAGGATATTTACGACGGATACGGTCAAAAGAACAAGCAAAAGCTCCTTTCCATCTCTCGAAAGTACGATCCATCGCGGATCTTTCAAAAGTACTGGCCGGGTGGTTTCAAGATCGGAACCTGAATCGTCACAAATATTAGATAGAAGATGTAGCCTGACAATTAGTTTATAGAACAGTGTCTTTTGCACAAGACTTTGACGAGTCTTCTGCCTAGATCAAAAAAACTTCTGAAGTTTCCAGACGCCTCAGCCAGGGAACCAAATCATGCAAGTCCCGCCATTCATCTAGCACGTCATCAAACTGATACAGAGCCGCTTCTAAATCCGGTGTTAGATCAGTGCCCCATGCTGCCGTCTTGGAAGTGAGCCATAGGTATTTCCGGACAGCTTCCTTCCAGACCTTCTCTCGGTCGTCGGCTTTCAGGACTGAATCTAGAGCTGAAGATGAGTGCTCGTGAAGCCGTAGGATTATGTTCATGATAATTCCGTATTCTTGTTTGAGAATTTCCATCTTCTCAGCCTTGGCTTTCTGGGCATCGCTTTTACCATCTTCGTCACCTCCGTAATCTTCACTGCCTTCGTCGTCTTCGCTGCCATCGTCGTTGTTCTCATTATCTTCGTCCCCCTCGCCACCTTCGCTTTTTTCGGCAGAGACCCGGTTCTCGCTGGCGCTTGGCGAGTCGGGTGAGGTCTGTTCTGACTTCTCCGCAGTTTCGCTTGCCTCTGTTGGGCTCTCATGGTTATCTTTCATCCCCGCAGATATCGTTCCAATATCCTCACAAGTCTCGTCATCGCCGATTGTTGTCGTGATAACCCTGCCTCTATTGGCATCACTAGTTGACATTTCAGTTTTTGTTTGTAAATCATCACCTTCTTCTTCTTTCTCTTCTTTTTCGTCTTCGCTCTCAGAGTCTTGCATCTCAGATTCATCAGACTCAGATGCCTGTTTGGCATTTTCCTTTTCTCTCTCCTCCTCCTTCTCTCTTTTCTCCCTGGCGTCTCGAAGTATCATCCAGCGCTTCCAGCACATATACTCTTTGAGTAACCACCATATGTTCTTCTGGTCTTCATCGCCTCCCAGCTCCAAAGTCTCATCGTCCCCTTCATTTGAAGAAGCTTCATCGTCACCGGCGGCAACATCCTCGTCTCCCGGCTCAGCTGTAGTCTCAATCGGAGCTTCTTCTTCCGTCTGCACAGGTGTAATGTGACTTGGTCCATAAACTGGCCGTCCGGTATAGCCTTTGGGGTTCTCTACCCACATATCTCTAGAGACACCTGTCTCGGGAACTGTAGAATCTGGTGCAATCTGATACCGCAGTTTAAAGCTTGCCATGTCGCTGAAACCGGTGAGAGTGCCGACCCTTTGATACTGATCCTCCCCTGCATCATTTGTTCCTACCTTCTCTAACATGAGACAGTCAATCTGTCGCCGGCAATCATCCCGATACTGCGTCCACTCATCTATAGTAGTAAAGAGACCGTAGCACTCGTACTCTTGATAGGGCAGAACAAGAGCACTGTCCGTTGTCATGCGGAATTCCAGCCCTTGTTCAGCATCCCAATCCTCGCTGATGAGTCGGATCCGATCTTGGCCGTGCTCATCCTTCTCAATCACACTCAAGATGATGCCGCCGTTCTCATGGCCCGTGAAATGCAAATGCAACCTACGCATAAAACCACGAACGCGCAAGGCTGAGCCACTGCTAAGTTGGCCGTAAGGTTTGTCGGCAGGTGACTTGAACTGGAGGTCAGCGTCAAGAACCTCGATGAGAGCGCGTTTATGCTTCTTGTGACTTGGAGTATAAAGCTGCACTGGTTCAGCATTACTCAACCATGACCATGACGGTGCAATGTAGCCGGTGTACTCGGGCTTGTCGCCCGGCACCCACCAAGTATGTGCCTCAGCGAGCGTGGATCTCCAAAGCCCCGCGACATACTCATCGTCGGGCATCAGTCTGTGAAACTCTTTGGCAAGACTCGAAAGAATCATAGGGAAATCTGACGCATAGGTGATAGACTTTTTGGAAAGATCCTGACAAGTTGTGTTCCAAAGCTTATGCAGCTTGTCTAGTCGGTCTTGTTCGCTCAACTTGTTGTTCGAAATATCCGCAAGTTCAACTTGGAATTTGGTTTCCCCGTTGAAGACTTTCTCGAATGGCGCGCCGCCTGGCAAAGTCTCACTTGCAAAACAGGCCGTGTTCAAACCACAGCACTCCCAGACCATCTCCTTAGGAGTGAAGTGAAGGATCCGGCTTGATAGCTGTCTCTCACGATGAATCCAAGCCCGCGAGAGCGAAGGTGCAGAGTCCATCCAGCCAAAAGTGTCCTCCGTCGTCACCATAAACTCTTCCTCGTTCCGAGAGACTCCAAACTCAAGAGGCGTGATATCTGTTTCCTTGCGCTGCGCGAAACAGCCCGCCCGACTATCCCCTCCTTTGTCAGCGGAAATGTTGACCTTTGCGTTCATGTAGACACGATCCATCATGGAAGCCTCATTTTGCCAATCTGAGGTTGAGTCTTGAATAATGCACATGGAGTCAATCCAAAGCCAGTCCAATCTGAGCCAAGATGCTATCTTGAAGGCGTCTTGAAAGGTCTTGGGCAGCTTATCCCAGTCTAATCCGTCAGATTGTCTGCTTTCGAGGTTGGCAACCAGTAGCATGGGATTCTCCTGGGCACCATTGGCCCCCCAGCAATGGCTCAAAGATGCGTACTCGTGGCCTTGGGTGAATATCCCAGGCCTTTTGTCTGGAATGACTAATCGCACATTGCCCTGTTCGAGAGCATGTCTAACGTCGAGAAGACGGGTTGGGAGGTAATCTCCATCACTTTGGTTGCAGATGTCATGCTGTCCGTCTGCGTTTTCGATACACTTCGCCAACCACGACAGCGCCATATCTCTAGCTCCTATGTGGTCATTGGTGTCGCCTTTGGCACCTTCCTCGGCCTCCACTTGATTTGAGCTCATGCCGAAGTATGAACTAAAATACTTCTTGTTCCATAACCCGAGCCGTAGGATATGCTGGTAATTGTATATTGGCCGTTTCTCTATGGTGCGATCATACATGACCATCCACATTTTGGTCTCGTCTTTGGTGTCGCTTAAACTCCAGCAGCACTCAATCATGTAGTTTGAGTATGCGTCCTCGTCGAGAGTGGGATACATCTTTTTTATTTTAGCCAAGATTTGGCGACAGATGAAACATCGCTGTAGTCGGGCGGACAGGAAAAGCGACGAAAGGTCTTCCGAATGCAACACGTTATTGTATATCCGTTCAGAATTTTCCGGGGGCTTCCGGAAAGTGCAAAAGCGGTTGAGGGCATCTTTGCACGCGATGCAAAGCTGATGCTTGGTGCGCAGCTGTATACTATTATGGGCATACTTCTCGTCATCAACCTCTTCTAATATGCGAAACTGCGGTTCTCCATTGGTAGATTTCTCCCAGTCGTACTCCAGCAGCATCTGGCCGCTGGGCCTGGCCCTGTGTGGACTGGTCGGGGCGTATACAAGAGGTTCTCCCCAGCCCCGCGATCCACCAAAAGAGTTGTCGTGAAGGCGAAACATCATTGGCATGTCCACTTCGCGGATCTGCCTAAGCATATCTTGATGATGTGCATTGTCGCGGTCTTGTACACGCTGGCTAACGCGCTCGTGCTGGCCGGGGAGTGGGTATTTGGTTTGAGGCATTTTGCTTTGTGATGGTGAAAGTAAGTATCTTGATTGTTTCCTCCTGCAGATTTTAGTCTGATTTTCCTAGTCCTAAAGTCCTAGGGCTGACATAGAGGAGATGGTGATTAGGTGGGCCATATACCCCGATCTAAGTAGAATAACAGATTAATAGGCCTGTGAAATCTCTAAAAATCTTGCGTCAAAGAAAAGACGAAGTATATCAAGATCTAATTCCCATACATACTAAATATTATTAACTACACTTGTTCTTTTTCAAATACTAAAAATGAGAGCAAAAAAGACATCAAATCTGGTAATCTCGGCTAATTACGCTAAGTCCAAGGGTCTGTTGTCCCTTGCCAAGAAAAACTGTGATCTTATGCATAAGTTATGGGGGCCAAAAACATTCTCTGTCAGCCCCCTCGTTTCAGCCGCAAATTGAGTCCACGATTCCCCCTCGATCGGACTTTTTTATGTCATCGAATAGGCTATTGCTCTCAAGTCTGACTGGCGTGAGCGTTTTCTTCCTCTTCAACACCCCTATCAGCTCTTGTCCTCTGTATGTCTGCTCTAGCTCATGGCTGCCTAAGCATTGAGACATAAACTAGCACGCCGCAGCTGAACAAGATGAGGCGCGCAGCTCCTGCATTCCTCTCAGGGCAATCCCAGGAATACCAGAGCATTGGCCTGACTCGTTTTGATGACAATTTTGATATCGGTCCGTCGCCTGCTGGCACTCCTATTGGCGGAGACTCCTTCAACTCGCCTCGATCCCCGGGGAAATCACCTCATACCAGGATACAATCCCATCTCCACCCGCGCGATCCTTTCAGCCCTGGTTTGCACGACAATTCGCCTTCCTTCGATAGCCACCACAGTCAGGTGAATTTACTGGCCCCTGACCGAGAACACAATGCTGTCACCGGCCTAGGAGTTTACCAACCTGTTGCACCCACAGCACGCCAGACAGACCCATCGTGGCTAAGACTCTTCAAGAACAAATGGTGTATGGTGGCCTGCCTCCTCTTGGGGGCTGCAGGGGCCATCGGCCATCACATCCTCTATACCCAGCTCAATAACCGCGAGGCTATAAATCAGCAATGGTGGCTCCGACTAGGTCAATTTCTCGCCTTTGTTGCAAAAGCCAGTTTTGTCGTTGCTGTATTGACAGCTCACCAACAGGTAGCTTGGAGTGCTGTTGCTCAAAAAAGCTACACGGTTCATGCTATCGACTCTCTTTTCGGCGCTGCCCACAATGCCATTGAACTCTTCAATAAAGAGGCATGGAGAAAGTCGTCTTTCGCCATGATTCTGGCCATCTATATCTGGCTGTCACCTTTCGTGGTTATTTTTACCTCTGCAACCCTCAGCGTTGTGCTTGACACGAAGCGTGAATATACCAACTGTACATCAGTCCGAACCCTTAACTTTTCCAATGACGCCAAGAAGAGCTGGAGAGACGACAAGACAGCTGAGAATGAGACTATGCGTGGCATCTCACTGTCAATGTTCAACGAGGCTACCGAGAGTAGGGATGATCCCTATGCTATAGACTACTGGATTAAAGCAGCTCCGCCACTGGATTCCATTGCCTCGCGGGTCCTGGCAGGGGGTCAGCCAATCCAAAGAGACGAGGTGGCCACCGAGATCTGTGGAGATAGCTGGGACTGCTCCACGACTATTTACTTTGTAGGTCCCGGCTACAAGTGCGAGCAACTTGCCAAAGGTGCGGACTCGACAATGAAGAGCTTCGAAAATTACAGCACGCCTTTTAATCTGAGCCTACTGGTCCCGGCTGGGAATGCCACTTACTTCACCACTACCGACTTGGGAGAGTATGCGCCGAATCAAGTTGCAGTTGACGAAAAGAATAAGCCGGCTGAAGGTCCTCCATTTCCGAAGAACATGGGTGCTTTCAGAACCGAACCGGTTATCTGGCTAGGGTATGTGGAAGTGGAAGATTTGAACGTCAAGCACGCAAGCAACCGCAGTCAAAAGGGTTGGCAAGATGACTATACGCCTGTCATCACAGCGTGTGAGCATTGGGAGACCAACTATACTGTCGAGTTAAATTATACGGGTGGTCGACAATCGTACAAAGTGCAGAATCGAGACTACCTAAGCAAAATTATCAACACGACCTACATCGGCCAAGCTACCGAGCCGAACGACGGGACTCTAGATCCAACCCTTGCTGAGCCTCAAGACAATTTCATATTCCCCCAGGACTGGGAGAGGTACCGCCGAATAGCAGCATACCATTCCCTGGGCAAGAAACTGCGCGATCTTCTCCAAGGTTCAATTCAACTACCAGGACCCATTGGATTCTCAGCTATCTCCACTTCGAAACTCGTCGCCCGTCCCGAGACGCTACCCATTCCAGACTTTGAAAAAGCCGCGCGTAGACTCTACGAGGACTTGCTCATTTCTATATTGTCAGATCCGTTGCTTCTTGCAGTATCATGGGCCTCGCACCCAGACAAGCTCTCCGGCCGAGGCGAAGGTGGGCCCGACACGAGCTATCCCTGTATACGTAGACGAACGGCCAGCTACTTCTCCTACCAGTGGGAGGTCCTTGTAGTCGTCTACGCGGCGTCTTTTATTGTGGCGGCTGTGGGCGTGGCGTATGGGCTTGTTGTGATGCGGCTTGATGGCGTGGAAGAGCTTCGCGAGATGACATTCTCGTCGATTGCGAAGACGACTAAAAATATGGGTCTGGACCCAAGTGAAGATAAAAGGAGGAGGATTCGTGCGGTGGAGGAACGTCCTGGGAGTGGGATGTTTGAGTTCAGAGTTGAAGATCATGATGGATGGGATGGCGACAGAGTAGCGAGAGGCAGGAATGGATTGAGTCCTTGAGTTTGCGACACTCTAATGGGACTATACCGTAATGAGATATAGTTGTAACTTCATCAACAGGATTCTTTCTTGTTATGATGGCAGATCACTAGATAATAGATGTAGATGAAATGCTCATCTTCCATCTTCAGATATAATAATACATGGATTTCAAGATAGGCTTGTGCTTGCTACTGCTCTCACCAGCACATCACAATGGATACGGGGTACGCGATCATAATCAGAGAGGAAAAAGGTTTAGTTTCTACTCCAAGCCGCAACTCTCGGGGCTTGCCATGGCTTGGAGTATATTCTCCGCTGTATGAGATGTGATATAACCAAACCAATGTTTATTTCTGCTTAACGCAAGCTTCAGGTATATACTATAGGTCCAACTACCAAGAGAAGGACTCTTCTATGTATCTAACCTTTGTTCCATGGCGAGCCAGTCCAGCACAAATATACCGAGCCTCATCGCACATCTGATTCGGGCCACAAACAACAACCGTTGTTCCACCACTAACATCCCCAAGCTCCTTCGTCAAAACCTGCGTAATATCCATGCGTGCACCAATTGTGACATGTGCCTCAATATGGCCCCAGCTAGCCGCCTGGCCATTACCTTCTTTATCCTGGCAAGTGTTCTCACCAACAATGAGACTCTTGACCGCGTCAACGAGGCCTCGTTTCTTAATACCCCAGTAAAGCTTCGTTGTACCTTGACGTCCTGCGTACATGGATAATGAGCTTTGCAGGGCAGATAGCACTCCAGCAATACCAACTCCACCAGCAATGACAAGAGTGTTAGGGTACTCAGACGTAGGCGTGAAACTAGAGTGGTCATCGTGGCCGTAGGAGCATTCAACGAGAACAGGGATACCGACTCCGGTGTCAGCTTTCTTGGCGAGTTTTGCAGTAAAGCCCTTAAGATTCTGGACAAACAGTGTAATGCCTGGTCGTGTGGTGCCACTATGTGAAATGACTTGATGCGTGTTCGACATGAGACCGCCAGCTTCCTTAGAAGCCGCAGCCGCTTCCGCAGTTGACAATGTGTCTTTCGTCTCGAAGTGAACCTGGGAGCTTGAACTCGAGACTTCGCTATGACCATCAAGTTGGCCCTTGCTGCAGCTGACGACAGAAAAGGGATGGTTCTCCCATACACGCCATGACAGGGTGGGAAAGTACACGAAGCAATGACCATGAGCATCCACGTCGGGGATATCAACTCGCAGGTATTTATCATCGATGCGAGTGACATATGCTTTCTTGACGCCATGTTTCGAAACACGAACAATTCGAAGAAGTCGTTCATAGACCCAAAACACCATGGCTATGATGAGCCAAATCTCAAAGCCACTGGAGTTGTCGTAAAGGTACCAGATGTGATACCAAGAGCCGACCAAAGCAATAACTGACAGACAGATATGTAAAATGAGGAAGACCTCGTACATGATCTTGCGAATAGGCAGCATTGAGAAGGGGAGGAACATGGAAAAGACGACAGTTGCGATGATGCCCCAGTACCAGTAAGGGTATTTGACAGCCTCTGCATGGGCGTGGGCTTCGAGCTCGATCCGAAGCCATAACAGCGAGTGAAGGATGACCTGAATGACACATATGCTGGCGACCCACCGGTGAAGAAGGAGGAAGGTAGAGTAAGACCAGTTGGTCATTTGAAGCAGCAAGCTATTTCTCCCGGCGTAGAGCATAACGATGGGAACATTGGCGAATGCAATGATGCCAGCACGATTGCCGATCTGGCGCATGAGCTGATATCGGCGATCTGGAAACACTCCGTTGGGCTTGTAGTTTGGATATCCCTCGAATGTAGCCACGGCGTTGATAGCGATGATGTAGAGAATGAACAGGGCTTGTCCGCGTGTGGGCACGATGCCCATTCCAAGGACCGGAACGTTATGCTTCTTGCCCCAGGCGGGAGGGTCGATGACATAGGCGTTGAATCTTCTGCAGATGGATTCTGGGATTGGCAGGAAGCGAAGTAATGAGAAGGCAATAGGGATGACGACGCAGGATAGGAACACGAGAAGGCTATGCAAGAGTCAGACATGTGTGGTTTCTGAATGATTGATGGACTTACGAATACGTGGATTCATTCTTACTTGTTGCCTTATACCCCCTAACGCCGTTCAATTGGGCTTGATACGACTCATCATCAATGGAAATAGTCCTATTGAGCATCGTCTCCTCAGGGGACATAGGCTTGGGTGGTTTTTTGGCATTAACCTGAGCCAAAGCCTCAGGGTATGAGTATCGAAGGGACTCAGACTGGTATATCATCAAGGTTTCCCAAAAGGTCTCGATTTTGTACATCTTGATGCCCTCACTGCAGTGGGAATGGATGCACCAAGCGATCGAGGTTAGGTATGCGGTATCGTTCGACATACACGCTGCAGAAGGATACGCTGCGGCGCGTTCTTCGGCAGACAAGTCTGCATACTCGGGACAGTCAAGGGAAGTTGGCATTACCCAAGTGCAGGCTTGTGCACACGGGACTGGGTAAGACTCTCGGCCATAACCCTCTAGAGGCGCGGTGGCTAAGACGGTGGGAAGGAGTGTGAGTGCAGACAGTATAGCAGTCACTGCGGATGTTGAAGCGGAGGGCCACATGGTAGCTGCTGAGAGGAGGTCGAGGCTACCCCAGATGCCTAGATATAAGATAGATGAGCGGAAATGGGGATGAAGGACAGCTGGGGGAAAGCGTTCAGTCGATGCGTCTTAGATCCAGTTATATAGTATTAGCTGGAACCCTGAATTGGCCACAGATTGATAATCGCCTCGTGCTGAAACGTAAAAAGACAAAAGATCATCGAGGTCAGAACCGACGGCGTGGCTGGTCTAGATCCATAATCGATCAACATCATCCGTTCACTCCTGCAAACAATGACCAGGTTCTAAATCGAATATCGCTCAGTTGTTCGTTTTACCAGCTGCTGCTTGGGTTAGTTGCAGAGAAAGGGCGTGGATCATGGGTCAACGGCACTTCTGAAAAGCCCCATTTGTTAGACGCAGACTCGAGGAAGGGGGTTAGCCGAACTGCGAGATTTTCTTCCTCTGTTTATCGCTTTTTAGAAACTCCGAGCATCCTAAAATGGCGCTTGAGGTAAAAAGGATCAGCTAATAAGAATGACCTTAATTGAAAGAGTTGACGGGCTGTTTCTGAACCGTCATCATTGGCAACGATCTATCTCGGCAGCTATCCTTCTTGGCGATGTGCTAGGTATTTCGATCTCTGAGGGTACACCTTGGCACGCACTACCCTGAAGCCGTCCCTCAGTCCAGAGAAACCCTGCATGAGCAGAGTTTTCATCTTGCCCTGCAATTTTGTACTGGACCCATCAGCCACTGACCAGGTCAAGCGAGCTGGAGCTACCAACAGCCCATTCTTTCTCCCCACCAAAACAGAAATTTAACGGAAAGCGCGGGGTCCATGAATAGGCTCAACTGATCTGATTGATAAACTGATTGATTAGACGGATTGATAACGGGACTAGCATGTGATGGCGTTTGATAGCGTGGTTGTCTAAGTGGGACCTCGTACGGTAGGGATCTCCGTTCACGGAGTGGAACGACAATTTGGGGCCTTGTTAAGTTAATTTTAGGTAACAGATTCGAGGGTTTACCTCGTAGCCTTTGGAGTTAAAGTCCCAATGGCAATCATTGAGAAGCACGGTGTTCATATAAGGAGCATCTTAATGACGTCGTTCGTGAAGTGAGGGCATATCAGTGCTACCATTTAACTTGAGTTAAAAATAAGGTATAAGCTTCTCTCAAACATTAAATGGATCATCCTTCCAGACCCAGTTCCTACGTTGCCAAGATCGACCCAAGTGCCTTGATCCGAGATAAGCCAGTCTGCCAGGGTCAAATGATTGACTTGGCTTGACGTCCGTTAGGCCACTAAACCCATTGAGATGGCCCGGAAGCTGCCCAAGCATTAGTGAAAATTCTTCGGCATTTGAAGGTCTGCCCATGCACGGAATTAATTCCTAGCTTGCCGCTAAACTCGGTTGGATTATCCCTTCTTTAACGCGGGGGCACATCCTGCCGAGTTATCCGTGTCCCACTCAGCCTCAGAGACTCGATCAAGAATAATTTTCGATTTGACTCCCTTAACTGACAGGGTTTATGATGGAGGTAGACCGCGTTACTCTGTCTTAAGAGCAGTAGTTTGACAGCCACTCATGTGATATCAGTCACCGAACATTCTCTCACGCTGCTGAATGCAGAGTTATCACATCATTTACAGTCACGGACGAAGCAAAAGTGTTGCAATGACAAGTGAACAACCAACATTATTCCTATTACCAAATCCAGCCTAAACCTGGCTAAGGCTAACTAAAACTAACTTGAAGAAAGACAAGACAATATTATTAAGAAGTAAACTTTTTATCCGTAAAGGATAGCTCCAATCATCGAAGAAACCCCTCACACCACTTAGCCTGCAAGAGCAGCAACGACAACGGGAATGAGAACAGCAAGAATGCTGCCAACAGTCTGCCTGTCGGCGAGAGACACGACAACGGGCTTGTCAGATCCAGAGCCAGGGTTCTCCTCAGGAGTCTCAGCTGAAGATCCAGTCTCAGTCTTGGGGGCGCTGTTACCGCCCTCTGCGCCTTGGTTGCCGCCGTTGGCTCCTGGGCTGCTGGCACTAGGAGCTGGGGACTCTCCTCCAGGACCCTCAGATCCCTTGCTGCCGCTGCCCTCTTGGTTGCCGTTGTCGGTGCCCTTGCTACCAGTCTCAGAACCGGGCTGTTCGCCGTTGGCACCGGGCTGCTCGCCGTTGGCACCAGGCTTTCCGCCGTTGGCTCCGGGGCTGCTGCCGCCAGGTGCGGGCTTGCCACCAGGGGCTGGGTATCCTCCAGGACCAGTAGGATAAGCCTCAGAACCAGGCTTTCCACTGTTGGATCCAGGGCTGCTACCACCAGGGGCGCTACCACCAGGGGCGGGCTTGCCACCAGGGGCTGGGTATCCTCCAGGACCAGTAGGATAAGCCTCAGAACCAGGCTTGCCACCGTTGGGGCTTTCACCTCCCTTTCCAGGGCTGGGGTAACCACCGTTGGGACCTTCTGGATGTCCGTTGTAGCCAGGTCCCTCGTTGCCGTACTTGGTCTCGTCATAAGGCTTGTAGATTGTACCGGTAGTATCACACTGATCGTGTGTGCACTCGCTGGGGTAGTAGCAGATGCTGCCCTTGGTGTACTCGGTGCGCTCAGGCTTGTAGACGGTCTTTCCATTGCAGGATGCAGCGTCACAGTAGTAAGGAGTGTACTCGACACCACCGGCGCAAGAGCAGGGGCTGGCAAGGTAGACGTTCTGGCCGTGGCAGTCCTCACCGGGGTAAGGCTGGAAGATGTAGACAAGAGACGTGGATGGCTTGCCAGTTGGGAGGCTGCAGTGACCGTCGTAGCAGACTACGACAGCGGTGACAGTTGTGATGACGGTTGCGTAAGAGTCGGTTACTGTAGAGACGAAGGTGGTGGTGACAGTCTCGACATCAGTGACCGTGGCGCCAGCCTCAGTGATGGTAGTACCAGGGAGAGTGATGACTTCGCCAGATTGAGTGAAGGTGGTACCGGGCTGGGTGATGACAGTGCCAGGCTCAGTAATGACATCGGCGGACTGGGTAACGGTGGCACCGGGAAGAGTGACTGTGTTGCCATTGACGTCCGTTGTGATAACATCGTTGATAGCAATGTAAATGATGAGAAGGGCATTGCTAGCCACGTTCTGGCGTCTAGCAAGGCGACCACGGCGGCTGGGCGAAATCTCACCACCACAACGCTCAATGTCATCGCCAGGGCAAGGAATATCGCATTGATCATCGTTCTCACGGTTGGCGTTGTTAAGTACGTCTCCACAGTAGCAAGAGCTAGAATGAGTTAGTCATGTTATTGCAAACATCTCGGGGAGATGTTACTTACCTGCCGAAGGTACCGAAGAAGCCTGATCCATCACAAGCCGCAGCACAGCTTTCCTGGTCGACGGAACTGCCGCTGAGGCCGATCTCGAAGCTGACGAAGCCGTCGTTGGAGCTGTAGCAGCCCAGAAGACGGAAGTTACCAGCAAACTCGGGGTTTCGGCCGTCATCTGTTGAAGTGGCAGAAGCGGATGTAGTGTCGGTGGTCTGGTCTCCCGTGGTGGCAGTTGAGTCAGTGGCTGTAGCTCCAGTGGATGCAGTGTTCTCATCGCCAGTCTGAGTACCAGTCTCAGTAGCTCCATTGGTACCAGTGGCGGTGTCGGTGTTGGCAGCATCAGAAGTCTCAACAGTGCCGGTGCTGGCGGTCTGGTTATCATCGGTGCTGGTACCTGTCTCGGCATTGGTTGTATCAGTGTTGGCGTCAGTTGTAGCAGTTCCTGCAGCATCGTCTGTGGTAGCGGTGGTGTCCAGATCGTTGTTGTCTGTGGTGGTGCGGCCTTGAACACCGCCTCCAACGGTTGTGGTGGTGGTGGTTTCGAAATCATTGTTGTCTGTGGTTGTGCGACCTTGGACACCGCCTCCAACTGTTGTGGTAGTGGTGGTCTCTGCGACATCTGGGGTAGTCTCGACAGCAGCATCTGTAGTGGTCTCAACAGCAGCGTTGGTGGTGGTATCAACGACGCCCTCAGTTGTGGTGTCTACAACAGGCTCTGTGGTATCGATGACAGCTTCAGTGGTGGTGTCAACCGCGGCATCGGTAGTGGTATCAACAACTACAGGTTCAGTTGTAGTGTCAACGATCACGGGCTCGGTTGTAGTGTCAATCACTGGTGCAGTTGTGGTATCAATCACTGCTGCAGTTGTCGTGTCAGGCCCAGTTGCGATGCAGAGTCCAGTGCCTTCGTCACAGAAGGGCAAGAGGGGGTTGACACAGTCAGCGTCTGTGTCGCAAGTAACGCCTGGAACGTTTGCGATGCAAAGGCCTGTAGTCGGGTCACAGTTGGGAAGAAGAGGGTTCGTGCAGTCGGCATCTGTGTCGCAAGTAACGCCGCCAACAGCTGCAATACAAAGGCCTGTAGCTGTGTCGCAGTCAGGAAGAAGAGGGTTGGTGCAGTCGGCGTCTGTAGTGCAAGTAACACCGCCAACAGCTGCAATGCAAAGGCCTGTAGCTGTGTCGCAGTCAGGCAGAAGAGGGTTGGTGCAGTCGGCATCCGTGTTACAGGTGACTCCGCCAACAGCAGCGATGCATAGTCCAGTAGCAGTATCGCAGTCAGGCAGTAGAGGGTTCGTACAGTCGGCATCCGTATTGCATGTGACTCCACCAATAGCTGCGATACACAATCCGGTGGCTGTATCGCAAGATGGGAGCAGAGGGTTCGTGCAATCGGCATCAGTACTGCAGGTCACCCCTCCAACGGCCGCAATGCATAGTCCAGTAGCAGTGTTGCAGTCTGGTAGTAGAGGGTTCGTACAGTCGGCATCAGAACTGCAGGTGACTCCGCCAACGGCCGCAATGCATAGTCCAGTAGCGGTATTACAGTCTGGTAGTAGAGGGTTCGTACAGTCGGCATCAGAACTGCAAGTGACTCCGCCAATGATAGATTGGATACAAAGACCAGTTGCCGTATTACACTCGGGGAGTAGGGGATTTGTGCAGTCTGCATCCGTAGTGCAAGTGACTCCACCAACAGCCGCGATACAAAGACCGGTGGCTGTGTTGCAGTCCGGTAGCAAGGGGTTCGTGCAGTCGCTGTCAGTCGAGCAGGTAACTCCACCGACAACAGAAGCAATACAGAGGCCGGTCGCAGTATCACAGTCTGGTAGAAGAGGGTTCGTGCAGTCGCTGTCCGTTGAGCAAGTTACTCCTCCGACTGCAGCGACACAGAGGCCGGTCGCCGTGTTGCAGTCTGGCAGAAGAGGGTTGGTACAATCAGTATCCGTGCTGCAAGTAACTCCGCCGACGACGGCCGCGACACAAGATCCAGTAATCGTATCACAATCAGGCAACAGAGGGTTCGTACAGTCGGCATCCGTGGTGCAAGTAACTCCGCCGATGACGGCAGCGATGCAGAGGCCACTTTGAGTGTTGCAGTCTGGCAGAAGAGGGTTTGTGCAGTCGGCATCCGTCGAGCAAGTGACTCCAGCGACTGTAGCGACGCAGAGGCCGGTCTGAGTGTTACAGTTAGGCAGAAGAGCATTCGTACAGTCGGTATCCGTGGTGCAAGTGACTCCGCCGACTGCAGCGATGCAGAGGCCATTCGCAGTGTTGCAGTCAGGCAGAAGAGGGTTGGTACAATCCGCGTCGGTATTGCAAGTAACTCCGCCGGTGACAGCCTGGATGCAGAGGCCGGTGCCGGTGTTACAAGATGGCAGAAGAGGGTTGGTACAGTCCGCATCGGAATTGCAAACTACTCCAGCGACTCCAGCGATGCACAGTCCAGTCGTTAGAGAACAGGAAGGCAGCAAGGCGTTTCCGCAGTCGGCGTCTACACGACAGTTGACGTTGGGCACATTGGCGACACAGACATCGAGACTGTTACACTTTGGGAGCAGAAAGGAGCATTGGGAGTCGGACGTGCAGGCCTCTGCGCTTCCTGCCAGGAGAGCGAGGGCCGCGAGGCCCAGTAAACGAGCGTGTTCTCTCATCTTCGTTGAAGAGAGTGCCGTAAAAAAACAAAAGTTGAACGAACGTCAAGAAGAAAGCAAGAAAAACGAATGTCAGTCTAGGTGAAGCCCTTGATGGTTGATGCTGTAGGAAACTCTTCTGGATGTCGAGAAGAGTTCCTGTTATATACGACTTCTTCCATGCTTTGTGTTGTTTTCATCGCCTGCCTCCTGAGTCCGTCTTCGTTCCTCTCCCTCTGCTCGCATTGTTATCGCCCTTGAATCTTGGACATACCTCCGACTTGATGCCTTTCCCCAGATCATTCCTTGTGAATTAAGACAATTGTGCTGTTTTCCAGGGAACTGGTATTCCTTGAGATCAATCGATCGCAATAGCTACCTCAAAGACCCTTTGTGACCTCTACTTTGGGCTTGTCCTAGATTGCCATGTGTTCCAGGCGTTGATACTGAGACGTGTGTGTTGCCTTCAGAATAGAGACATGCCATTCTGCTGTCTGGAGAGAGTATGTATAATCGATGTGGAATGCATCGTACATTATGACAATTGGAATGTCGATTTCCCTGCGATGCAAGAAGTAAATAATCTGAGCAAGGAGTCAGGCTGTGTTCAGTATTGTAAGAGACTGGGTGGTTCAGAGATGTTACACTTTGGGTGGTATACTAGAGACATGGTGTTACAATGGCCCGCCGTAACGTTTTCAAAATATCATGTTATCAGTGCAAATGGGGCGTTATAGTCTCATAACGGAAACAACAACCCTTGGCATTGCGCCCGATGCCATGTTTCAGCCCACCAACTGACAACGATTTAATCATCAGTAGCCTCTCATCCTTTTGAATGAGTAAGTCGTATGAGGCCGTCGCTCAAAGTCATGTAATAATTATCGACACTAATACGGTAAGAAAACATCTTGTTACTTTGTCAATGCCTCACACCGCTGGAAGAAATCCTCCCAACCAAGACATCCTTCACCGCTCGGAAAGAAGGTTCCGAGTGACAGGAGGGAACTAATCTAGATCTGACAGCATTATCAAGTGACCCATAAACGTGAACGGGCACTAATCTAACTCCCGTTCAAAGGGGCGGTTAATCGGCCATACAGGTCCGACATCTAAGACAGTGACAGCTTGACTAGTATGTGACTTACAGCGCCCGACAACCCGAGCCAATCACCACTTTCCAACGACCTTTCACTTTATCCATATGCATAATTTTAAGACCGTCACACGAGGCCCACATCACGTTGCTCCATATTCGAGGGCACTGTGTTAGGCCCCAAGGGATCCCGCGTACTCTACATCTATGCCCGCAAATATTCATTTCTTCCTCTGTAAAGAAGCACAGTGGCACAATTGATTGTTGACAACTTTTTGTATATTGCTGGACTACACAAAGACTCATAAAACTAATATGCATGTTCTGAGAGACGACATATCTCATGTCATCATCGATACCCAACGATAAAAAGGGGGAAGTAAGCACCTGCTGCTTAGATGTTAGTGGCATCTCACTTTATTGATGCCAATGTGTCAGAGGACTTATCAAACACCGAGGGCATCCTGAAACATTTCTACTATTTCTTAGTATGTGACAGGGTAGCAACCAACAGCTGAAACTAGTCCAGGTTACACAAACCGCATCTACCAATCATGCAGCCTTGTGATCGCTTTCAACGTGTCACTTCGGGGCTAATGTCAGGCTGGGAATAACCACCTCATTCCATCATCGGCGGGCACCTCCGCCTGCTTGCACATTAGGCGTAGTCCTATTTGGAGTCTAGACCAGATACTAAGACAGAGGCGCAAGATCTCAGCCTGGCCAGGGCATGAATTGGCTGTGCACAGCCCTTCAGGAAGCCCATCCCTCTAAACATCCCGATCGCACAAAGCACATGGAGATCGTCAGATCGTTAGCGGTCACACACAAGTTTCACCTTCTACAAAGAGTAATTGATGGAATGAGCATGATATTGGCCCAGACCGGATGAATACTACTCCGATACATATCGTCTCATCATGTTGGTTGCGTTGCTAGCTGATATGTTTAGTTGGGATTGATTGGCTGGGATAAATGACCTGTCATGTCATATAGAGGGGCACTGTCAAGGCCGGCAATATTTTTTGAAGCGGTTTGTGGAGCCCAAACTGCCTCTCCACAGCAGCAACGGTCTTGGCTGTCAGATGATAGCCTTTTTCGTGTAGCTCTAGATCAGAAATACCCTCGGTCAATATTAGCAGTGGATAACAAAAAGGAGGTATTTCGCCAAGCTTCACAAGATAAACCACCGCCTGGTGTTTGAACCGTTCAGCTTTGTGGATGTGTGTCCTCTTCCTCAGGTGCAATTGAAAGCAAGATTGCCACCAACCACCTCCGACTTGGAGCGGAGATTCAAGCCGCCCCAAGCGTGAGATGTCCTGGCAACAATTGTTTCTCTGGAACTCAAGAGCCAGATTAACCACAGCCTCTAGACCACATGGTTGATAACTTTCCCTTGGGCTGCTGATTGTGGTTTATCTCCAATTTCTCGGTCAAAACTTGCCCTCAAGTCATCCCTATCGCCTTGCAATAGCCTTAATATGGGACCTTTCTCTCCTGCTATGCTATGCTGTTTACTAACTCCCAAACTTGTCTGTGCCAAATTCTTTCCATATAGTTACTAAACACTCCTCATCTCTACTGCAAATCCGTAGAGGTAGACATAACTACTCTTGGCGCCTTTGAAATGACTGCCACTACCCTATATTAAATAACAAACCACAGCACGCATGTAACTCTATGATATTATGATTCATCACTTCGGTGAAATTTAATGAAGCTGCGGATACTGAGATAGTTGACTTTCAAAAACTGAGCCTCTGCTTATTCTTGACAGATTTGACCTTTGGCCCCTTCGTATCCTTCCCTTCGCTACTCTTCATCTTGAAGAATTTCTCCAAAATCCTACTGAAATTTCCATTGAATGACAGAAACACTAGTCTTCAAATACTTATTTGTAAAATGCAACCTTCTTTGTTGGGCTGCTAGTTGCGCCACTATATCAACTCCTGCATTGACTCACAACCCCATCACGGCCATATTTCAAGGTCATACCTTGAACGAACGTGGAACAACAGCTGAAAATTCAGAAATATGAACACAGCGGGGCCAATCTAAGAATGGCTTACGACAAGCAACCAACACCACGGTGGCGTACTAGACCATCGAATGCACGAAAGGGAACCCTGCCCTATCATGACACACCACCATGTGATAAAATTATTACCACACTGCAATAGTCTAGGCAGGGATTGATGTTCTACTGCCATTGTTACCTCCGCGTCCACTTCCTGATACAGTAAAAGCCATGCTGTTGGTGCAGATCCAGCAGCTTAAGAAATATACACACATCGTTCAAATAGAGTTTCGATCTATTAAGCTTGTATGAAGGGCTCGGAAATATTTCAGCGCTGTTAATGGATACGTTTACGAAAGTAGAGGAGTGTCGCTCCAGGGAACAAGCAGGGCGCCAATGTTCAGTCTGTGCGGGGCCGAAGATACTGAGACAGTACGAAGGGGGCGAGGATTGAACCCTTTCTTGGCAGCTTGTGTAACGTCTGAACATTCCTCGATAGTTGAGAAACGCGCAGAATCTCTTAAATGTGAGATCCGTATGGAGATACTTGTCGGTAGTTATCGAGGTCATACCAAATGATGATGGGAAGAACCAGAATGGAGACGAAATGAATAAGGTCATAGTGATCTAGCGTTTTAGTAATAACTACGACGGATATTAAATATTTACTGTTTATTTTTCCTTTAACAAGATTAGCAAATAATGATTGCTTACGTGTGTGCCTTTCAGACTGGTTGTTTTATTCCCCATTGAGATAAACATACCGTAGTCAAAGCAAGGATGCGTGGCTGATCAGTAGACTTCGATCTATCACAGTCTCACACTTTCCTTGACTCCGAGGATCTTCGGCATTATAGGGTAGATAGTGCATACTCACGATGCCTAACCCACACAGTTGATCTTATGTGTTTTTTAATGTCCTGGACTTTGAATCTTGTAGCACTCGATTTGTCTTGTGCTTTGTCTTCGACACGATCCTCACGCTATCTGTCCCAAATCGAGAGACTGAATCGGCAGCAAGCCTTTGCTTCAATAAATAATACTACCAAACCCGTAATAGACGATACAAAGTAGTACCTATGCTACCTGGTTGGTCGAAATGGTGGGGAGTATCGGGTGAACCACCCTATACCTTGTCGAGAGCAAAAATCTAACGGCGGGACTTCTACACAACCTAACCCCTCTTTTTCCCACTTCGTGCATACCTTCACAGATGCGTATATCATTCGGAACACCCTTAAACCCCAGAATCAGAGTCAATCGTAGTGATGAGAGAACCTGTAGTTACTCTATCATATAATTCTAGTACGTTGGTAATTGAGTGATAACTTGGTCCATGAACTACACCTTCAATCTCATCCTCCTTGCCCACCTATTGCATGAGTCATTGACGTCATGACAGGCTGTAAAAAATACGAGACACCTCAATTTTACTGCTCTCTTAGAAATCCATTATTTAATTTTCCCTCGAGATAGCAAATGTCCTCAAACTAGCCACAACCAGAACTGGGGCTAATCATTGGATTGAATCCCTTTTATCTAGGGTAACACCTATTCCGTCAAACTTCGTTTTTTCGTTGGCTCCTTCTGTTTAGGAAAAATTTGAACGAAAGTCCAAGTCTGAAGAATTGTCACTTTTCACGCCCAAAGCGCTGTTTGAAACCCTTGTAGATGATGATCTGGTCCAACAAGAGCTTGTTGAGAATTTCTTGGAGTCCGATACGGGATAGAGAGCCCTTTCACAGCGTGTGTGGAATACCATGTGAAGGCTTAAAGCTAGGTCGTCAACTAACATCTTCTCTCATGATGCAGTATCCGTGTCATTATCTCGAACACTCTGCTATGACCTCTCAAAACAAAACCGATTGGTGTTCCATATATCTATTGTAGTCTTTTTGCTAAATCTCAAACCATTCCTCAAAATTAATATCACCTCGGATGGCCTTTCAACATTTTATAAAGTCGTATAAAGATTATAGTAAACTATCACTATTTTACGTATTATTTTATAAAATACGTCGAAATTTATAAAATTCGCGCCTCGTTCTGTAGCCGCCATCCTTCTGGAGTCCAAGAGTTTTACCGTGAGTAATCAAAGCGAGTGGCTTGTAAGAATCGTTGTCATAAGCCAATGGTACTGCGACCGTGTTCTTGATGTTGCTCTCAGGTATCTGTGCGTCTGTTGCCATGAGTGCTAATGAAGAGAGAGAACCAGTCCCTCAAGCACATCCTTTCTGACAGGTGCTGCAACATGCTGTGGCTGGTCGATTCCTCCCAACACTGTGATCTCAGTGTTAGACACAGTGTTAGACAACTGCTCGTAGTCCATCTTGGAAAACTTCCCCCAAATCGTTATAGTGAGGGCAAAACAAACGGTTGACCGAGGTGGCAAGAGTTCCTGGGTTCTACTTGAAGTAAGGTTCCTTGGGATATCATCTTGCTCTCTAGACTTTCAAGGCGATGTTATGTCTTCTAGTGCTCGACGATATCGTTCATGTTGTCCCAGACGCATCGCTACCAAAATCAACCATGGCGAGTGGGGGACTAATCTCTGCATGGACGTACCTCGAATAGTGCCATGTAAGATCTATGCCACGTGGGGAAGCTCTAACCATTATGATTGCAAAACTCACCGAAAGGCTGGTCTTATGGCTTTGGGTTCTCAGGGTCTGTCCTTTGCTCTGGCGGGCCGTCCCAAGTATTCTCAGGGTAGCCGTGCGAACTGCGTCGATCAATAACATTTAACCAAGCACGGATATGGGCGGCCACTTAGACTACCGGCGACCTGGAAGTAGGGAAACCTTTCGTTGACAGGTTTAAGCTTGAATTTCTTAAGCGCAAGGACAAATAAAGTCCATTGCTTGCGAAGATCAGGATCCGTGGAGCCGGCTAGTACTGGTATCTCGTAGCGCATAGACAACTTCTCCACGTAGGGTACACTTTTCTCGTGGTCGTGTGTGCACGTTACGGCATCGGTAGGCCTGGGGAGTGAGGCTGGGGCTGGCTGAGTACAAGGTAACATTACTATCTCCACCGCTTGGCGCATGAGCTGCAGTGAAGATTTTGCAGGCGATGTTCTTTTGGTTTAGGCACCGCAGCCGCACACAGAAGGCTATATGGCATATATCAGACTAAACTTCACTGGCGAATAAAGTTCTATATCATGATAAACTTGCAAGTTCTACCACTCATTGCTGTGACCGTGTCTCAGCCTGCCATGGGACAATCTTTTTCGATAAGCCGAAACCTGTCCAATTATTAAATGTAGGCCGTGTGTGGCTGGCTCATACGAGCCCGACTTAACTCCATTTCAATATGCAATTAAACAATGACACGTCACAACCAAGCATGTTGGATGATCTTGGGTAAAAACCCCTCACCTTTAACTCCTCACCAAGCACGACACGAAACTCAATATTCCATCGAGACTACTAACAACTGTCGAGCAATGCGGTCGGTAAAGGTATCCTTAAAAGAGAGAGCTAAAAGATGGTCCCGGAGACTATCAAGGACCGGCGACTCCAACTCGGATAAGGGTCAGACTGCTTTAGACACCAACCCACCTGAACTGTCTTCTGTTATCAGAAACTCAACCTCGCTTGCTGACGCGGCCTTACTGGATTCCCAGCAAACTTCTGTTGAACGGACCTCATCTACGCCTCAGGATGAGGCTTTTTTGTGCCAGGTTGGCTTGCCTACAAAGGCGGCTTCTTGTCTGAGTACGGGATTGAAAGAAGTGGACATAATCACCCAAAAGAAAGATCCTTGGGAGCAAGGCTTGTCTCTTCTAAGCGCTGAGGACCAAAAGCTGGTAGAAGATATCAACGAGCGCGGCGATGAAAAGACTGTATTTGCAGAGTTACAGAAGGCTGTTATCGAAAAGCAGCAGACGTCGCAGGAGAAGGCGTGGAAGATCACATTCGGCGGCCGGAGTATTGCCCTTCGCGATGTAGCAGCCAAAATGGTGACCTGGCTGAACTCGTACACGCAGATTGGTGATTTGATCGCTCAGTCCTATCCATTGCATGCGGGTATACCGTGGTCAGCCATCAAGATCGTCCTTTCTGTTTTAACCGCAGATCAAGAGCAGATGGGACTGATCCTTATTGGACTCGAGCAAGTGGTCCGTATCATCACGAGATGTCGTATCTATCAAATGTTATATCTAGGCGATGCAGCTCCAGTTGCGAATGAATTGGGCCAGGCCAGGACTCAGCTTTTCAGCGTTATGGCTCGTCTTTACGCCAAAGTGTTTTCATTTCTCGCATATTATCTACGACTACTAGACCTCAATACTGCCATCCGAACAATGAAGGCTTTTTCTCAACAAGGAAAGGTATCCGAGATGCTCACGGAAATCGGGAAGTACGAGGAGCAGGTTGGAACGGAGGCTAGTCTCTGCGAAAAGGCTATTTCGCGATCAGCTTTCCAGCAAATCGATCAAAAGTCTGAAAACAATAGGATACAGTTTAAGGAAATGGTGTCGTGGTTAGACAAGGAGATGAAGCAGCTTTGGAAGCAGCTCAACGAGGATGAGAGATGCAAAATCCTTCAATGGGTCTCGGACATTCCGTACGAGAGCGACCACTACACTGCCAGTAAAGGGCGGGTCAGCGGAACCGGGGAGTGGCTACTTCGCCACAACGCTTACTTGGCATGGCGAGAATCAGACAAATCGACTCTTTTGTGGCTCAACGGTATCCGTAAGTGGATGCAACTCGAATACTTCCTTCATACTAAGATACGATAGCGGGAGCTGGGAAGACAAAGCTGTCGTCTAGGGTGGTAGATGATCTTTTAGCCACCCTACCCTCAGGAATTCGTGGAAATACTGCATTGGCATATTTCTATTGTGACCGCAATCGAGCCGACCACAACGAGCCTGTAGCCATTATGCGCAGTCTTGTCAGACAGCTGTGTGCCCCTTGGGACAATGCCAGCATAGAATCTTGCGTTGAAGAACAGTACTTTAGTAAGAGATCGAGAGGCTTCGCCAGTGACAGACTTGTCGTTGAAGAATGTAAGCAGTTGCTTACCCAGCTGCTGGCAAGGTTTCGCACTGTTTACATTGTTGTGGATGGATTAGACGAGTGTAACCGTGATACAAGGCACATACTCATGGACTTTCTCGAAGAACTAATCGAAGAGTTTGAACATTCCGTCAAGGTTTACATTGCTAGCCGTACGGATCTGGACTTGAGAAAACAATACCACGAAAAAAGTCATCTCGAAGTCACTGCCAACGACAACCAAGCAGATATCGAGAAATTTGTCCTTCATAAGATGGAGGAAAGTAAGTTTTTTCAGAACAGGCTATCCCCAAACCTTCGCGCCAAGATCTTGCAAACATTCCATGAAAAGAGCCAGGGGATGTTCCAATGGGCAACACTCCACATTGGAGAATTGCTCCAATTGGAGAGAAATATGGATATCAAGCGGTATCTAGATGGGTTGCCTAGTGGCCTGGAGGCGACGTACGACAAAATGTATTATCAAATTGCTCATCAGATCGGCAGTAAGAAGGATGTTGCATTTGCCGCTTTCCAGATTGTCATGTCATCGTGGAGGCCCCTTCATCCTTTCGAGCTCGCTATTGCTGTGGCACAGCATCCCGACCATGAGTTCATACTTGACCAAGACATTGATATTGGCTATATTTTAGACGCCTGTCAAAATTTATTAGTCGTGACAGACTGGCCACAAAACAGGGGTGTGCGTTTAGGTGATTCAAAGTGGCTTATAGGTGATGGGTATCTCATTCAGGAAGTCGAAGAAAGCCGAGTTCTGGCCTCAACAGCAATATGGGAAAACAACTTCGGTGTTCAGAAACAATCAATCTGCAAGTTTGCACACTTGTCGGTCCAAGAATACCTGGAAACAAAACACTGGGATTCAGCAGATGCTCAAGCATTTATGGCAGGAATATGTCTTAGGACAATTCTTCATGTCTACTTCGAGGGAGATCTGACCCCCGGAAAGACTCTCCCGGATAAATTGGACCAAGAGGGGCAGACAGATCTCTTTTGCGTTTCAGAATTCCAGAGAACCCAGGGCATAAGGGTATTTGCACTCGAAGAGACGGAGAGCCCGGCGGCCTTGGTTGCAGGCTCAGCACCTATTTCAGTAAGCACACGACACGATCTTTCTGAGTCGCCGTATGTCAAAGGCGACCCCGACCTGGTGATTCCTGAGGGCACCGGGGAGAAGTTCACATTGGTGTCTCCAAGTATGTCTTTATCAACGGCGAAATCGCCATCAGCAACCAGGGAAGAAGTAGGTTGGGAGGACCGCCCTGAAGACGATGCATGCCAAGATACTTCCTTATTTAAACCACCTCCATTCGACTGCTATATTGAAATGGTCAACCTACACAACCATGACGACAATAGATCATGTCTCTCTCACGTCTTTGAGCCATACCTGGAAAGTCACCAGGGATCGCCGCTAGAAGCATGGGTTCGATATAGCGCAACCGGGCTTATTCGACACCTTGGAAAGCAAGAAGAATTCAGCAGTTCAGTCAGATCCGGCTTACGGGACTTGGTGGATCTATTCCTTGGGACACCGACCGAATCGACTATTCGCTACAAAGCCTGGGCGCGTCTTGTGCAAAATCGGTGGTACTCGCGCGATATTAATGGAAATGGAGATTGGCTACCTCAGGAGAGCCTAAGGACTCTATTGCGTCCATATAAGAATCCTGCTCTTGGTTGTGTGATGCTGGGTCTTGCTGATCTTTTAGACACCTGGCTGAGTGAGGGAAAATTGGACCCCAATCAATGCAATTTTAATGGGGATACATTAATTTGGCTAGCAGAATGTACTAAGAACACGGAAGTAAGAAGTGTACTTGTTAAGCATGGAGCTATAACATCAGGAGGTGATACATAATTTATCAGAGGTGGTAATTACATTTATTAGGTTATCTAAAAGTAACATTTCATAGTCCCATTCCAACTTTATATTTAAATAGAAAGACCCTTATATGCTTTGAATATGTGATTCCACATCATTTCCGGCATGTCCCTTCCACGGTATCTTCACCCATCTGCATGATGTCATCAGAAAGATCCGAAGTTCGGGCGATCTTAATTCGACTGCCCTAAAGACATCCCTCTCTGACATGCAAAAACGCGTTTTTCCTCGTACTGAGTGTTTTACGTTTAATGATGTCCGACTTTCACAAAATCAGGATCATATTGGCTCTTTCACCTGTGTCAATATTTTTACCCCTCCGCCAACTGTGTCCTCAAACTCTCACGGGGAGTGGTAAAAGTCTTTCTCTGGTTACTAAACAGTTGAACTGATTATCTTTTCAACCAGAGAAAATTGATGGAAGCTACATCGTGCCAGATCGTAAGGTTACGGATCCTACTTCACAGACACTTGATGAGGGCTTGTCGGAACAGCTTTGGGCTCTCGCGGAGAAGATTCTGGAGGATAAAATTGGATCAGAGACTTCGCAGTAATGAGACGATATTTGATAGCATTACTAGTAGCCGCGAACAGAATCGGCCGACATCCTTGGCTGAGCGGATCTTTCATGAGGGGCCGCACAAGAGCAACACCAACCTTGCTCCTGCTGGTCGGTCTTATCGCCTCCGGGGTGCGTCGCGTTGATCCAGGGTCCTTTTCCAGGCTGCATGCCCAATTAACTTTGTTGCGTGCGACGGACTAGAGCTTTGACGAGTAGGATCTGAGCCAGTTTGGTTCGGTTGTAAAAATATGCCGGCCCAATGTCGCGGTTGATCTCTTCGAGATCTGCAAACTTGATGTCTCCAGGCGCGGCCCTGTGCATGTCTGACACCTGGAGGCAGAGTCTGCTGTCTGGCGTTGCGATCAATGTGGGGAGTAGCGTCATAGCCAGATGATGTTGCGTAAAGACATTGAGCTGCATGTGGCTGTCAATGCCACCTCTCGTTTCTCCATAGGAACCAACGCCCAGTCCTGCGTTGAGAACCAGTGAATCAAGTCGCTGGAGTTCTGATGCGAGTCTTTTTGCTACCTCGTCTGTCTGGTGGATGTCCTCGAGCTCATTGTATGAACTCAACACGGGATTTATCCCCGCACTGCTTGAGGCTTTCTGCTGCTTCATCTAGATGATGTTGCTTCTTGCCGAGGAAATAGAGCTTTTGACAGTTGTGTTGGAGGATATGCGCGGAAATTCCATAACCGATTCCTGCGCTGTCGCCTGTGACTACAAAGACCTTCCCACTCAGGTCGGAGATGTCAGTGCTTGGCTTGAATTTGTTTCCGCTACCAAGCATTTTGGTTTTAATCTTTTTTATTGGTACGTATTTGAATGAAGAGGTTGCATGTTGCTGGAAATCTCAATCGTTTTATGCGCAGCTTTAATGTAGGACCAAATGATTGATTACGTCAAGATATGCAGCGTCCGACGTCAACATAGCCTCTATGATATTTGTATTTTGGATGACGAATAGACGTTCTGACTTGTCTCACATAAGAAGTCATACTTGTGCTTCTTTTGAATGGCACACATGAGGATGAAAGGAAGTGGAAATCATAGTAGTTATTTCGTGCTTCTTATTAAACTGAGTCCTCGTAGGCGTTCCAACATACTCTGTTCTGGCTCTGATTCAGCATCTCAATTGTAATGATACATTGATGTCAAAGGCCTCGTATGAATAAACGCGATAAAGTGCATTGTTGACAAAATAGGTGACAAGACAGACCCAGACCTTGTAGCCTTCCTACCACTGGCTTAAACGTGATCAAACAACATCCTTGGTAGTCTCATTCACCCCATGGGTGATGTTTCCCAACTTTCTCTGCTTGCGCCACTCCTCTGCATAGCGAACACCGAAGCCGTGTTCAAATACGACACGCACCTCCTCCAAGGTCATTCCAGCAGCCTCGGGGTAACAGAAGTACACAAAAACAAGACCAATGAAGGAAAGAGCAGCATAAAATCCAAAGGTTCCAGACGGAGAGATTCCCCGCATCATTGACAGGAAGGTAGACGACACGATGATATTGGGACCCCAGTTGCAGATGTTGATCATCATGGTACCCATAGCACGAACCTCCATTGGGAGGAACTCATTTGCTTGCCATGGTACACAGCCCAGACCAGCAGCGTAGCTGGCAACAAAGAGGATCATGGAAACTAGAACGACAATGGCAGGCCATCCAATCTTATCGTCAGTGAGCTCCAGGGTGTTTCGGTCGATGGGAATTTTGGTGAAGACTGCAGCTGCTAGTACTAGGAACACCGGCATTCCCCACATTGTCCAGAGCAAGAGTCTGCGACGTCCAACCCTGTCGATAAGAAAGACGGAAAGGAAGGTAAAGATCCAGTTTGTGGCGGTGACAATTGTTCCGACAGCAATGGGGTTGTTGAAGCCGACAATCTGGAAGAGAGTGCTGGAGTAGTACATCATGGTATTGAAGCCGCAGAGCTGCTGAGTAGCCATAAGACCGCAGGCGACAATGGCAGCCCGGCGGTTTGCAGGAACAGTGAAAAGACTCTTGAGAGATTGGCGAACTGAGACCTCCTCGTTAAGAGCTTTTGCTTGTGTGACGCCATATTGGATGTGGGCCATCATCTGGTGGACTTGAGCTTCGTTGGCGGTGGGATACATGCGTCTGAGGACATGCAAGCATTCGTCTGTTCGGTTATGGAAGATCAACTGTCGTGGCGATTCCGGGCACCAAAAGAGTAGTACTCCAAGAAGAACTGAGGGAATACCGCCCAGTCCAACCATGTATCGCCATCCGTGGGGGACTTTATAAAAGGCCGCATCGAAGGCATACGCCAGGAGGGAACCGGTCGCAAGGAAGACCATGTCGATTGAGATCATTCGGCCGCGGTACTTAGCAGGTGCAATTTCTGCGATGTATAGAGGGATAATCTGCACTGTTAGTTATCGGTCGTGTCGGATGTATAGAGAAAGAAACTCACCATTGAGGCTGAACCGACGCCTAGACCAACAAGAACTCTGCCAACACACATTTGAACGAGAGAGTACGACGATGCTTGCACAACAGCGCCCAGGGTGAAAAGTACCGATGCAAACCAGATGGCAGGCTTACGTCCATACTTATCAGCCGTAACTCCAGCGATGATAGCACCAAACAGGGCACCAGCAGCACAAAGAGAGGTGATAAGCTCCTTCTCTCCATGGCTCATGAATCGTCCATCGAGGTCATCCCCGAGGACTACGAGAACACCGGAAATGACGCCAGTGTCGTAGCCGAAGAGCATGCCTCCAATGGCGGTTGCGAGGACGCAGAGGTTGAGGAAGAGGCCGGGGGTTGAGTCCTCGATGAAGTCCTCTCCCCCTTTGGCGTTGTCCTCGACATGGCGGGCCTCTGATTGAGAAGCCGCCACGATATCTTGATTTTTTGACATTCTGATAAATAGGATTGAGTAATGACGGGAAGATGAGTTTGATGATGGATGAGATGATTAAAGTGCTGATCTTGGGCTTTTTATCTTCATTTGCAAAAAGCACTCAGGGCGTCGATACCAGCCAAGTCAACAGACAGTAGGGAGAACCTACGACAAGAGCCGTGTCTAGAGTATGGTGATGCTATCCGTACCCAATCACGTCCTTCATATTTCCTGTTCCGCAGGGAAGTGGAAAAGCTAGATTCTGGGGTAGAAGCGGAGAACCATGCTGCCCCATGGGGTCAGGGAAGTTGATCCGATTAGCGTGGGAAAGAGCCGAGAGGTGAGTGAAAACAAAAAGATGCAGCAAGTCTCTCCGTTGTTGGGGTAATCTTTGTGCTTGGGGATGGAGCCAATGCTCGCAGCCAGTCAAGTCTGACCCCCAACTAGCAAGTCAAGAAAATGGCTCACAAGTCAAGTCTACCTGAGTCTTGACTTGTAAGTTTACAAGTCGGTATAGCATAGTTTATTATATGTAGGTATCTTTAACTGTTACTTTTCTGAAAAGTCTTGAGATCTAGGGTAGGTCACACTACCTTATCTAATCTCTATTGTGCTAGCCTAACCAGGCTAGATCTACTGATCACAAGTCGTCTTAAACAGGTCAAGCCCGAAGCAATGACTCGTATCCACCGCAGAGTCTCTCAGGCTCTATAGAGCAAGTCTTTCCGTGACTGGGGTTAAATTATCCGGAAGAGCAACCAGCTGATCAGCAAGCAAGTGTACGCCGAATGAGGGCAACCTTTTCCGGCCTGGAGGTAATTTCCAATATCAGCGACACTAACATTAACCATCATGACCACATAGTAAATAAATTGCCGAAATGAGAAGCTTGACATCTTCATATCCACAAAGACGAGGGGAAAACGCGGAGAAGCTGTACTAAGTTTTCCTGGGGAGATCCATCTCAGAATGGAGATTGACTCCATGCGACCGATATAAAGAGAAGCTTCATGTCTCCCTCTACCTGACCTGACTATCCATCCACAACAGCCCTCTCACTCCAAAGCCTCTACACTATCTACATCACTTCTTTACAATGGCACCTCAGAAGCTCAAGATTGCTGCTGCTGGCCTTGGCCGTATGGGCAAGCGTCATGCCATCAACTTCCTCAACAGAACACCCCGCGCTGAACTCGTCGCTGCCTTCACTCCTGATCCCACGGAGATGGCCTGGGCCAAGGTCAACCTGGAGCCTCATGGAGTCACACTCTACGACAATTATCTGAAGATGATTGAGCAAGAAGGTCTTCAGGCTGTTGTCATTGGCACTGCTACCTCTGTGCACGCCGAGGAAGCTATCCAGGCTATGCAGAGGAACCTCCACGTCCTGTGCGAGAAACCTCTGTCGACCAGCATCGAAGTGGTAAGTTAACATCCGCTTCCGACATTCACCTCGTCTAACAACTTCTAGTGCCGCCAAGTCGTCGACGAAGCCAAGAAACATCCCCATCTCAAAGTCATGTGTGGCTTTTCCCGCCGCTTCGACGAGTCGTACCGAGACGCATTCAGCAAGACCCAGCAAGGTGCCATCGGTCGACCTACAATCATCCGCAGCCAGACCTGCGACAAGCACGACCCATCGGGCTTCTTCGTTGAATATGCGGCCTGGTCAGGCGGAGTCTTTGTCGACATGTCTGTGCACGATATCGACTTGACGCTTTGGTTCTTCGGCGACGAGGTCGTTCCCAAGAGCATCTCAGCTCACGGTGTGCGCGCTGTGCAGCCCGATCTAGCCAAGTACAACGATTACGACAACGCAGTTGGAATTGTGGAGTTCTGGGGCGGCAAGATTGCATACTACTACTGCTCTCGAATGATGGCCCATGGACAAGAGGATACCACAGAGGTCATCGGCACGGAGGGTAAGCTGACTGTCAATGGCAACCCTCAGTCCAACCTTGTCAACTATTACAATTCCGCTGGTATCACCCGTGAGGTGCCTGCTCACTATTACGGACGCTTCGAGATGGCGTTTGTCCAAGAGTCCAACGAATTCGCCGATGCGTGCCTTGACAACACGCCTTTGCCTATCAAGTTGACCAACGCGGTCCGAGCGGTTGAGATTGGCTCTGCTCTTCAGGAGGCGCTTGTGAGTGGAAAGCAAATCAGATTCGACGAAATCGGACGTCGCATTGAGGACTCCAAGCTATAATGGATATGAGGAAAATGGTTACTTGATATAGATAGTTGGCAAGCTTCAATAAACTAGTGCTCTTCTGCATCTTGAGTCCATTGTTGTCGTAAAGTTGAGCTCAAAGAAATTGTATGCCAGCCTGTCTTTTGTTGCACATGGTCCAGGAACGTGAGCACCATTTCCTGGTCTTCTTTTTCAGCAAAGACACTACCCCCTAGAAGATATTAGCATACAATATTGTTTGTGTCTTATGCATGACTACTGACAAACCGAGAGTGAATGTCGAGCTGTGAACAGGGCGTTTTCTGCTCTTGCATGCGAACTAGCCAGGGCTATAATTTGTAGAAGATGATTTCGCACGGTTCGCTACACCTGTTAGGCTCTTATGAAAGTCTTTGGCAATTTCAGTGCACTGACCTCTACTTTCTTGCCTTGTCGTATGTGTTCAAACACCGAGGCTGTGGCGATTGGGGTTGACATGGCCAGTACAATCTTGGCAATTTGGTAGTATTGCAGCCCGACGGCTAAAGAGTCAGCACACAAGCACTCGCATCGACAAAAAACGTACCGTGAAAAGGAGAAAGAACCCAAATCTCGGGCAATAGCCTTCCCTCTTCCTTGTTCCTGGCATTTTCTAGAATCGGGTTAAATGCAGCGGGCTTCGAGTCAAACCAGTCGTCCACCTCTAGTCGGATACTCTCTAGTTCGCCGCTCGAAGAAGACGAATCAGTCGGAAAGACGCAGCTCAGAGCTTTTGCTAAGAGAAACACCATTCTATTCGCGTAAGCGGCATCGTCTACACGCCTGAACACGTCAGACTGGGTATATGTTTCCAGGTCGGATCTCAGTGGCCGTTGCTTCGTCAGCGACACGTAGATATCTTGTCGGAGGCAGAGCCACGCGGCGGCTTCGCCAAGGCCACCGTTGAAGTCAAATATTGACATGGAGTTCACGATTCGTGATGTGCCTGTCAGGTGCATTTCCATATCGTCGGCTGCAACAGTTAGCCCAAATCCTACAACTAGGCAGAAGCCCTACCGTCCATCTCCTCATATTGCCGCAGTATCGCTATCGCCGCGAGGGTCTCTTCGTCGATAGGTCCGTTGGACTCGCCAACTGCTTCAATCAAGAGACTCAAGCAGTGATCATAGTATTCCAGCGCCTCAGTAGACGTGTCTGACTTGTCACGATTAACGTGCCGTGCGGAAAATGCGAACACCGCGTAGCGAAGCACAGGGAAGTACATGGACCTCCGTGGGACCTCCAGCTCAAAATGGCGTTTTAGGTCAGTCGCGTCAGCCCACAGCGCCATATTCTCGGCGAAGTTCCTGATCAATACGGCTTCTCGCGTTGTGAAAGGTAGCGCAAGGCGCGAATAGGGCGATGCGGGAGAACGGTACAGCTCAGAGCTATCACGGAGATGGCGGGTTATCCGGGCACTGCCTGGTGATTCGATCAATTCATGGCGGCTGGTCGCTGGAGAATTTGATCCGTGTGACGGTTGGGAAATGTGAGAAGCCGGTGATACGTGCGCTGGTGTATTCGATATCGGATGATCTGCCTCTGTCGATTCCGGTATAAATGGCATGGCTTCTTCCATCGGTAACCTAGAACCGTCAGCTTATTTCCAGTATTGCCTGTCCACTCACTCTTGCACTTCCTCTATCTCATAATTCAGTGATACCCGAGTTGTTTCATCACGATATTCCACTGCAACAGTCAGCCCCAAGCCCAACTAAGATGTTCGACAATACATACACAATTTCCTTGGCCGGACCCAAACTTGGTCGGATGAAAATGCGTATCCAGCTGAGTTGCCAAGCCCAGGCCGGAACCGAACCTGAAGAGAGCGCTCACACTCAATGCCGGCTTTTATACACGCTGAGCACGAGGGCATTTCTTTATCACCTGTTCATGTCAACACAAATCGCGACTCTTGGACGTGACACTTACACCGGACATGACGAACTGTTTCAATCAGCAATTTTCTTCAGCCAAGGTTCAATCAATCCAATCCCTACCTCTACAAGCAGTACTATCGACGTTAACATGGCATCGATGACCTGTGCGATTGACTTACCATCCAACTGCCACACGACTGTTCCTCTTTTGCGGGAGTTCCTCCACTTCCATAGTCATTTCGGACTCTTGATGAATAGAGTAGTTGTACCCTTGACGGAGGCAAAACTCCACGCAGCTAATGGCAGGCTGGTTGGGGAGCCTCACGTGTGGAGCTAGTTGTTACCCCGCATTATAGTGAATAGTTCCCCAATGTTAATAAAAATGGGAACTGTATGATCAGAGGGGGCTGGTCAAGCGTCACTCCACACAACATGCCTTAGTAGTTACTACGTAGAAGAACGACTATGCCAACGAACAGAGAGGAAGACAATCCGATTCGCCAAAGAGATAGAAAAGAAGAATAAAGTATATTTCTTCTCTGCCGCGAAAGTAAGACTATAATAGTACTAGATATTGAAATGAATCCCCACTACTATTCTCCAATTGAAAACCAACTATCCTCAGTCTGGTTGTCTGCTGCCCTTTTTCCGTTCCTGGAATGTCTTTGGGTCATCAAAAGGGCCGTTGACCATGACGTATGTCACTTCACAGATCGTGGCCCTATTGAAAACCCTCACGGCGTGTCATGCAGTCTACAGGTTTCGGACAGTATCGCAACCAGTGGTAAGTTCAAAATAGTGCGCTGCGTTATTGAAAGCCTTCAAATATAAACTAAAAACCATTAGGTTAGACACAGCAAAATGAATGTAGATATAGCAATACTTACTCGTGACCGATAGAGCCTTCACCTTGGCTGTCGTCAATTACAAACATTCCCTTTGTCCAGAAGCATTGCACATTCTGAATCCCATCTGCACCCCCTTTAATGAGATTGCAATATTTATCGAGATGCGCATCGTTTCGAGGGCTCGTGATAAGCTGCACTCGGTATCTTCTCAAGGCAGACTCACTCCAGTTGGTAATCCATTGGAGGGTCAACTTGCAGTTGGCGCGCTTATCAACTGACAGGGAAATTATTTAGTACTGAACAGCCTCTATCTTGAACAGAATGGGGGATATACCTTCAGCAGCATCGACAGAAGCAGGAACGGTTGCAGCAAGAGCGGGAACAGCGGCCGCAAGAGTGAGGAGTGAGAACTTCATCTTGATGGAGTTGAACAAAAGAGTTGAATGAATACTGAATATACTTGTGAGTTGTGTTGGTATAGAGTTGGAGCATTCTTGGAGGTAATGCTTTCAATTTATATTTTACTCCAGTTACTTGGGCCAGATTTTGGCCTCCAACAATGGGCCCAAGAATCATGGTAAAAATGAGGCTCTAGGATCAATCTGACAGTCCGATATATTCTGCGGTGTCACAATCGGGCCTTTCAATTAAATGCCCGGATTTCCTAATTTGGAATATATGGAGAGTAAGGCGAGGCTATCACTCCAGTACATCATCCACTTTGACAGGCTCGTTAAACTACACCGCAATAACTTGTGGTTCTCCCCATACAATGTTTCGGTAATGACCCACCGCTAGGCTTAGATTTCGCTAACAAATATGCCAACATAGTCAGCTGTCTATGCGTTTTCGAAAAGAAACCTCTCTATCCACTTTTAAAAAGGACCCTTTCGATCCTCGGCCCATACTCTATGTGGTATTGCAACTGTCTATCGAAATAAATGCTACATCTTTGCGACCCAAAGAAGGAATATAGTCATGCGACCGTGCTCCGCCCTATTCTGAAGGGCTCTCGCTTCACTAGACGGACCGACTGATCAGCTGCGAAGGATAGTAAGCTGGATGTAATGTTACGTTCGGAATGAGTTAGGGCAGATTACAAGAAGCCTATCGTTACGAGCAAACATCTTAGACTATAAAGTTAGGCCTGATTCCGCACAATACGCCTCTTCTGTCTTTACCATTCCAATTCATCAAGCATCAAGCATCAAATATCCAACATCTAACATCCTCACTCAATCTCAATCAAGATGAAATTCACTCTCCTCACCCAAGTTGCTCTGGCCATCTCTTCCATTACTGGAGCTGTGGCTAATCCTACTCCTGACTCCTCCACTGGTAAGGTGCCCAGCTTTGGAGATATTTCAATATTAATCATATATCAGGTTCTGCTATCGACAAACGGGCCTGTTCATTGGCCGTCCATTACACCAAAGTCTGGGTCAAGACCGGCTTGGATAGATATCGAATGTGGCTTGTCACTTCCCCTCGCAACGACCAACATCTCCAACTTTTCTGCGAGGCAGGGCACGCTGCCCTCTATTTTACAAACCAACAGTGCTTCTGGGGGGATGATGGAAAGTACTACATTGATGTGAGCGTGGCTCGAGGTCCTGCGGGACATAAGTATGTATACCTTATTGTGATGTGGTTTCTTTTCTTTTCTAACTTATAATCTCCAGGTACATTGAAGACACATTTAAGGCGATGTGTGAAGACTTTGAAAGGCTCACCGGATGTGGAACAATCAGAGATTTCTAGAGAAATCTAGTACTCAGGAAGCTTGTTTACTGAACAGGCTTCCTAAACAATGTTTAGACTCTGGCGGGCGCAGTAGATTCTGAGTCTTGGACGTGAATAGCATGCATGCGAGGGCAGAAGAATCGAGGAACGATAAAAGGGAGGAACCAAAACAACTAGTGTACCTTTGCATATGTAAATCTCTTGATAGTGCAATAGCAATTACATGTTATACTTAGCTATATTAATGCCTTGGGCCTCGTTAACCGTTCGGTACATAGGAGGTATCGAAAAAGATATTAGGCAAGTTTTGTATCCGAATTATTTATCCCTTTGTGAGCTGTAGGGGCTACCCTGCAAAAGTAAAGTAGCGGCTCCAACGGGAAATATCGGTTTAATCTCCGATCCCTGTAACATCTATTTTCAGGGTTAATCACCTTACACATCTCTTGTAGACAGTCTTTGAACCAAGCCCTTCAATCGATGTGTAGCGTCATTACTATTAGATAACAACAGTGAGCAAAATAATAATATTTATTCGCCATGCAACAGCATCGAGGCGAAGTAGATTCAGACAAGATGGGACAGAAAAGACGAAATGCTTTGTCTTGCTTTCGCTGACTAACCTGGGCAAACTTTCTGGCCACCTACCCTATAAAGATAATACCTAGTCCCGCAATCTCTAACCTACAGCAATTTCAACATTCAAAGTCATCCACCTCACTACACATCATTTCCGACATACTTTATCTCTCTTCCATCTCCACTACTTGTTTACCAAAGGACACGGAACATGATTGACGACGATAGTAAATATTTTTGTTTAAGCGGCGACATCCCTATTGGTGGGCCCAGTATCTGGCACGTTGTCGATTGGGACCAGAGACGCGTAGTTTCGGTAACTATGGACGGCGAACAGGATGACGACAGTCTCGCCATTGAACATTTCAGTCGACATAGCGACCAATTGTCTCTCGGGGTCTACAGGACTCATGTATCGCATACTGGCGAGATCATCTCCTTATATACTGATCCGAAGAACGACCCTACCTACTGCATACGCTATCCATCCCTTCACGACGCGTTTCTCCCTAATGGGGTTCAAACGGTGCGGCGGGACGAGCTTGAGGAACTCAATAGGCTTGGCCCCGACGCGGATCTTGTTGCATACCCTCCAGGCCCAAAGGGAGCTGCTAAAAAGGTGAAATCGAGATGCCGTTCCTGAGATGTCCCGTCCTGCGATACACTAACATGAAGATAGGCCGTCTTTAAATACTACTTCATGTTGCAGTATGCACGCATGTCTTGGAAGGAAATGAGTTTGTGGATGCGTCTTCCACGCCACCCAAATATCGTTCCATTTGACCGGGTCGTTGTTGACGAGCTCGAGGGTCGCGTGGTTGGATTTACCAGCAGCTACGTGCCTGGTAGGAATCTAGAGGAGAACAAGTCACGGGTATTTAAACTAAAATGGTTGCAGCAACTTATCCAAGTCGTAGACGATTTGAACCTCAAATACAGCATCGCGCACCAAGACATTGCCCCACGGAACCTCCTGGTTAACGAGTCGACAGACTCTGTTATGCTCTTCGACTTTAATTTTGCTGCTCGTATCAATTTTCCCACGCCCGATGAGGGAGAGTACTATTCCGAGCACCGTAACGATGTCAAGGGTGTTGTATTCACTACCTACGAGATTATTACTCAAGATAATAGTGTCCGGAGTGTGTCTCACGAAAGCCAGAACCTTGACAACCTCAGGGCAGAGTGGGTGAAACATCCGGAGGTGGAGTTAGACCATCCAGTTGCATCATATCAGATTCTTTTGCAAGAGTGGCAGAAGAGGAGGGCAAGGAACACTCATCCTGCGTATCCAGACAGGCCCTCAAGTGCTATTGATTGGCCATCGATGCCAAAGCCACCGCAGAAGACCATCCTCGTGAAAAATGTGCAAGGGGAGTCGTCCTACATCACCATGGACATCTTTTGTGAAAGACGGCAGGATTTGTTGGATAAGGGCGATAAGGTCCTGAACTGGGAACGGCCGCCCCAGAGACTTTTGGACGGCGGGACTCGTGTACATTCTAGCGGTGAGATAATCAACTGCTAGAGATCATGGATCTCGTTGCGCCGTCAAACGTCACAGGCACTGAGGATGAAGCGTTATTGTTTTATCAAATCTTGTATTCTATCATTCCACAACGCCAACCCAACTAACCCGCCGTAGTCTATCACACCTCTAAGTGAACCATACTCCTATTCCACAAGTCTAAAAACTATGTACATGGTCCGGGTGACTCATTATACGTTGATGCGGTGACGCCAAACCAGCTGTTCCTCACGAGCACTGTACGTAGAAGCCCCAAGAATATCTCTCATTTGCTTAACACCCGTAAACATGATCTGTCGAGCAACAAAGAATCGAATACCCTCAGTACAAGGCGGGCTAGTCAAGCTTCCCTCGTAAGTCCAGAACTCGTCAAAGTATTGCACACTTTCGAGGAGCAGTTGGTGGTTAAGAGTAGTCTCCTGAGTGACATCGGTCTCGTTGAACCCGATCATGGGAGGAAGTTGATCTAGAAAGCTGTTTGGCTTGTTGCCTGGGTCAAGGCGGATGGCGAGCACAGCGCGCTCCTTGCCCTGGGCGTTGACGTGGACGAGATGGAGCTCGGCCCTTGAACGGTGACGCTCGACGGTGTGGTCGGCGGGGGCGTGAATGTGCCATCCCTTGAGGTAGACGGTCTCGTTGTCGAAACTGAATGATGGGTTTTGGGTCCAGACCTTATCGTCATTCTGGACTGTAAAAGCCGGGCCGTATCCCCAGTTGAAGAAATTGCCCGACAACTCAGTGGGATAATCCCACTTTGTGATGAGATGCTCAAGAGATAGACCTTGCTTGAGGGCCAAAGGAATGGGAGACTGCTGGGTTCCAGTTTGGCAAAGTTGATAATCTAGTAGATGGTTAATATCGTGAAATGTAATTGTTCGATCGGTGATGCTAACCTGGATGGAGACGGCCCCAATTGTAGGAAGCTTCGTAGGCCCATTCTGTTTGGCCAGGTTCAGCGCGAGGATCAATGTGTCGCTTCTTGCTCTTTAGCGAGTAATGATTGTCATGCTTTGCACAGGACAAAACGCTGGTGACATAAGTCGCTGCGGCAAGTAGGTGAGAGACACGCATGTTGAGATGATGGTCAAAAGTTGTAAAAATGTATGTCTTCAATGTGGAAAGAGACTGTAGCGAATGATGGAGGAATTGATAGGGAGATGGAGAAGCATTTCGAGACAAACAGCTGCGTTTATGTGTAATTTTATATATAATTGCGAGGGACATCAAAGCTGTTCAATCTAGTCTAGCGTCTCGTAATGTCACTGCCAAGACACCACTAGAGGCTTGAGCTCACCACGCGTCAGAATTATTGAGGCTTGGAGATTTACATGCTTGGCAGATAAGAAGTATATGCCGAAAATGCTACCCTTCGAAAGCATATCTTGAGGACTAGTGCTCGATCATTGTTCGTACTCGGAATTTCCCTGCGATCTTGAAGACGATTCCAGCTATCGTGGTGAGGTTGGAGGGCGGTCTAGTCCCACGTGGACGTTGGCCAAGCACGCTAAATCCCCAGGAACCTCCCCTGGAGTAATGCACTAAAAGCTTATCCTCCAGTAAGACATCTGGGCTTTTTTAGTCTCGCAGTGGTTGGTCTCAGTAAGATGAGCTTGATTTCATGCTTAATTTATGGCCTTTCAACAGATTCAATTAGGGGTGCGCGACGATGTATTGTCGGTTTCAGTATTATTATTCTTACTGAAAAAAGACTAAGGAATAATTGCTGTTCGAACGTTTGGTAGCACTTGAGTTAGGCTCTAAGACTAATTCTTAGTGTACGGCACAAGTAACAAAACACAGCCCCAAGTCACGAGGTCCAGGATTCGGCATTTCCCATTTTCCGCTACACAGCCTCGTCTCGTCAACTGCCGAAGAGCCCAAACTTTCCATAGCAATTTGACTAGAGGATGTATGACCTTGACCAAAGTTTTGTAGCCACCACAAAGATCCCTGTCTTTCTTCTGTGCGCGTCAACGGTAGCTCGTTCCCAGGGCCTTGGACGTAGATTCGGCGCAAGAGATAGAGTTAAACTAATGCATCTGAAACGGTCAACGGCTACCAATTAGGCAGGACGTTGATTACCGTCTTGGCAACGCTCTGAGCCACAATGAACGTCATGTAAATAAAAAGGCTAAGGCCAAGGTTTTCATAGCTTTCCAGTCTTGGCATATTTGTTAACCCTGTATGGTCTTGGCAAAGAAGCTTTGAGCTTGGTCACATTTCGCTTTCGATCCCATGGTACCGATCACTTGGTTCGGATCTTGACAGCGACAAATTATTGGTATTTGTAATTATGGTATGGTTCAAATGCCGGCTCAGACCGTTATCAGGAACGGGCCAGGTCTCGCCTGAGATGGAAACGACAGGCCCCAGCTGTTATCAACGAGGACGTGCGTAACACCTGCGTTGATGTGGTGAAGTCCGAGGACGCTGGATCGAGAAAACAATTTGTCAATCGACACAAGATGTTGACTGTGATTTCCAGGCCAGCATGTTATCGCATCAAGACTTCAAAAGAAACAGAAATATATCACCTCCTTCAACTCTGAGCCGGTGTGCTTCTAAACATATTCCATGTTCCATGTCTAGGCCAATCGAAGTTGGGCTTAAGAAAGGAGTGAGCGCCACAGGGCAACGACACAGTCATTAAAACGAACCTACCCTATAGAGCAAGATCTTCATTTCCAAACGCTGCACATTGAAATCAACGCCTTCTCCTGGGACATTTAACGAAACGTGAGTCAAGTGAAATTGCAGAGTCTCTCTTTACATTTATGAAACATCTAATCGCTCATAGTGCTCGATGCTTTAGTTTGTGACATCATAAACTTTCCATTCGTAAAAGGATATTTCACATGTTGTCTCCCACATCGTGCCACCTTTTGCTGAGCTCGCGTGAATTATACGAAACAAAGACGTCAATATCATTTGGTGCACCAAGAGGAATGTTCTGTAAGAGTCAAACCATCATCATGTAGATGCGGTCGCGATTGAGAGGTTTGAAGCTGAGGCATTATATTGTGTGAATGTTCACATAAGATACCGTTCAACCACAGCACCTCAAATGGAGGATGACATTTCACAACGCGCCGAGTTGGTGCGGATATGGAAAAAGCGTTCTTATCAAATTCACCCAGACGGGAATGCTTTGCGCAATTCCGCCCTGGTTTCATACAAACGGAACAGAAGCTCGTGCGGCTGAGCCATCATGCATACCACTAACCGAGAGTAATCTAGTTTCGACGCTTGTGGCATGCTGACATTGGTTTTTATGAGACCTTTTATGCCGTGTGTGCCTTGCGTGGCTTTTCTGTGCGCGATAATGGCCTTATGGCGGCGGTCTAGACCTTCCATGAGTATTTTTGTATGCACTGCAACAAGACACTATGTTCAGCTACTGCCGCCGATGGATCTACATATGTTGGCTTGGCACCACCGTGGTCACTGTTTGTAGATATCCTTTAAATTTTATCACAAACCGGTGAATAAGGTCAAGATGCCGTTCGACTTCAAAGCCTACGATCAAAAATGCCAGGGCCTCACCCTGGAGGAGCTCCAGCGCGAGTGGGAGCACTATACACGACTGATTTCTGGCGCTGCCACATCGACTACAGTCTCTGGCTTAGCGATCCCCTTGACCCTTGGCGTTTCGACCATCGGCGTCGCGATGGCCGCACCGGCTATCCACAATGCCCGCAAGAAGCGCGAGATTATCGAGAGGCATCTCAACCGTCTCAACGCGACTCACCATACAAGGAAGCGAGATGTTCTTGGGAGTATGGCTGTCAGTGGGACTATTGGTGTAGTTACCCTCGGTGTTGGGTCGATGGGTGCTGATGCTGTTGCGACTGCTGGGGCGGAACATGGTATCCAGACGATTATTGCGAACGAGACAGCTATCAAGCTTGTGTCGCATGCTGCCCTCGATGGAGCTGGTATGGCGGTTGAACACGCTCATACAGGCCACCTAAAGAAGAAGGATGCCCGCAAGGCTTTCCAAAAGGCAGGTGTTTTCCAGGCTGTTCAGGATGCCAAAGCTGCCGAGGCTGGCTATACCGTCCAGCCGTATCCGAATGCCAACCAGGCATATCCCCAATATGCCGGCCCAAGTTCATCCCAAGCTCTCCCAATACCTCCTCCGCCATATAGCGCTGCTGTCGGGCAGACTACTCAACCCGGCTATAACATGACCCCAAATGGCCATCCTCAAGACTACAAGGTGCCGGATGCACAGCAAGCAATTCCTCACTACAACCAGTCCTATCTCACGCCAAATACTACCGGCCAGTATCCTCCGCAACAATCCTATGACTACTCTCAGCCGCAACAGATCCCCGTTTCCAGCGCTCCGTCACCTATGCCTCCTATGAATGCGCAGATATTCTCACCCCCGCAAACACCAGCTATACAGTATCCTGCTAGCATGCCACAACCTGCACAGGCTCCTCAACAGTATTCGCCATACCCGCAGCAGTCAGGAGTCCCTTCTTATAATACTGCTCCTCCGCCTCAATCCTTTGACATGTCTGCGATGCATCAAGCCCTGCCTGTTGCCACACCAGCACCGACAACTCCGTATCAGACACCACAACACCAGATGTATGTTGCTAATAACACTTTACCAACACCTCCTCAGGACAACCGGCAGAGTTACACGCCACAGCCTGTGTATCAAGATGTCCGTGGTCAGATAGTCCAAACACCCTCAGCTGGATATTTCCCAACTGTCCCTGCGACTCCAACTGGGTATCCCCCAGCGGCGATAGCAGTTCCTGTACTCCCTACACAGTCGGTACCTGCAGCTCAGATACCACAACCAATGGGGTCAGCCAATTTACAGCAACATTTCACACCACATGCTGTGCAGAGTCATACAGGTTACCAGCCAGCTACACCAGCCACTCAACCGCAATACCAACAACATCCTGGCTTCTCATCGCCACACCAAACTGGCAATTATCAGCAAGTTCAGGCGCCGACTCCAGTTGACACAAACAGAAGAGACTCGTTCATGAGCATTCCTCAACCATCTTTCACCCCACACGCGCCGTACAACCCTCAGCATTATGGACAGATATCTCAACAAGAGAAATCAAACAATTCGACAGCCCACATCGCTGGCAATGTACCTACTCCCGGCTTCCAAGCTATGCAGCCACCAATGCAGTATCAGATGATGCCGCCTACTCCATTGCCAACAGGATCCACAGTCTCCCAGTACCAACACGACAGTAAAGGTTCATATTTCCCTACCTCACCTCCTGCAGGTCAATTGCAGAGCCCGCATTTGTCCGGGCAGCAATGGCAGACAACAAACTCTGCTTACCAACCTCAATACCCACCTGGAGCCCATTCCCCGATGCCGATGCACAACCCCCTGCCAGTGACGCAATAGTTCAAGGGCCTGGCAACAACGGGTTGCAATCTAGGAGTCACATGAGATATGCTTAATTCTAAGTGCGGCGTTGTTTGGAAGCGGTCATATGATGGAAATCGTTATTACGTGTATTTAGGTGCCGGTTTTGTCAATTGATCAAGTTAATGATTGAAGGATCAAGTTTTTTCCTCTTCTTGCATATGCTGTACCCATTTTACTCCTCAATCTCTTGATCGATGTTACGTTCCAGTGGGGAGAAGAGGGGAACAAGCTCAAGGTATAATTCGACGTCGTTGTACATCGTGCAAGATGCATGGTTCTTCTGCATTTGAGCGTTGTATTTAGGTTCTTCCGGTGATATCCGATGCAGATCTCGGACTATACCCCAGATTTTGCCGCATCGCGATAGGTGCGCAAACTGGCCATGACGATCGTATTTCTTGGCATTGTAAGTGCTTCAAAAGTAGAGCCGAGGTCGTGTTGGAAATTGAAGATATTTATGTAGAGGCAATTTGCGTTGCATTTTAACATCACGAAATCGAGCTTCTCAGGCCCTGTTCTCTTTGAAGTATTCGCCATGGCTTTGTCTGCTGCTGGATTCCCAGGGGCGCTGCCCGACTGGACGAACTTGAATATCCTTCAACGACACAATCTGCCTGCTAGAGCCCATTTCTACTCCTACCCCGATCAAGCATCCGCGCTGTCCTTTGATCGTGATCAAAGCTTTCTTCACAGCCTCAACGGCACATGGAAATTTCACTATGACCCCAGCCCATTCGACGCCCCAATTTGGGAAACGGCAAATACCACCTCATGGGACGATATCGAAGTTCCTGGAATGTGGCAGCTCCAGGGCTACGGCAACCCCCACTACACCAACATAGACTACCCTTTCTCTGTCACTCCTCCCAATGTCTCCTACGTCAACCCAACTGGCTCTTATTGGCGTCAGTTCGAGGTACCGGAGGACTGGGAGGGCGATCAGATTAGACTCCGGTTCGAGGGAGTTGATAGTGCGTTCAATGTCTGGGTGAATGGCGAAGACGTTGGATATGGTCAAGGAAGCCGTGATCCCAGCGAATTTGACATCACGGACTACCTCTCCCCTGGCAAGGCCAATGACCTAGCTGTGCGTGTATACCAATGGTCCGATGGCTCTTACATCGAGGACCAGGATCAATGGTGGCTCTCAGGCATCTTTCGCGATGTGTATCTCATCCCCTTTGACAAATCATCCATAGTTGACTATCAGGTCGATTCTGAATTGAGCGACTCCTTCGACGAGGGCTCGTTCAAGGTCAATGTTACTGTGCAAGGCAAAGAAGGCGATCTGGCTATTAAGCTTCTCTCCCCCACTGATTCAGTTATTGATGAGTGGAAAGGGTCTTCATCAGACGTTTACAAAAAGAAACTGTCTGGTGAAGACTTCCATATCTGGTCCGCCGAAACGCCCAACCTCTACACCCTGCTTATCACTTTCAACGGACGGACTGTTAGTCAAAAGGTTGGACTTAGGCGAGTCGAGATCAAAGGGTCCAACTTTTACGTCAATGGCAAACCCATCATTCTATATGGAGTCAACAGACATGAGCACCACCACCTCACAGGACGCACAATTAGCTACGAGAACATGCGAAAGGATCTGTTACTCATGAAGAGATCCAACATCAATGCGATTCGTACAGCCCATCAGCCTCCCCACCCAGATTTCTTCGATGTGGCTGATGAACTGGGTTTTTATGTAATTGCTGAGTCTGATCTTGAGTGTCACGGTTTCAGAAGCTTTGAAGACACTGAAGAGAAGGCAGCCCAGTGGCTCTCTGACAATTCGGACTGGGAAGATGCATACGTTGACAGAGCGCGTCAGCTTGTGGAGCGATTCAAGAACCATGTTTCAGTTATTATTTGGTCGCTTGGCAATGAGTGCTTCTATGGCCGAAATCATGCTGCTATGAGCAAGTGGATCAAGGAGAGGGATCCAAGCCGCATCATACACTACGAGCAAGATCATGAAGCCAAGTCAACCGATATGTACAGCCAGATGTACAGCGAGCCCGATTATATGCGACAGTTTATGAAGAACCATACTGATAAGCCCCTCATCCTGTGCGAATACGCCCAGTAAGTGCTCAACAACTCCATACCCCTCCTCCAAAACTAACATTACAACAGTGCCATGGGTAACGGCCCAGGTGGTCTAGAAGACTACGTGGACCTCTTCAGAACAGAGCCGCTGTCACAGGGTGGTCTTGTCTGGGAGTGGAGTAACCACGGCATACTGAAGAAGGAAGAAAACGTCACGTACTATGCATACGGCGGTGACTTCGGCGATGTACCCAATGACGGAGACTTTATCATGGACGGCTTGACGCTGTCTGACCATTCGCCCATGCCTTCACTAAAAGAGTATGCCAAGATCATCCAGCCAATTTCAGTCAAGTTGGCAAAGAACGGAAGCGCAATGACTGTCATCAACCATTATGACTTTTCCGACTTGGACCACCTGGAAGCCACATGGCATGTCGTGGCAGATGATCTCAAAACAGAACCACGTTCTCTTTCCTTACCTCGGGTACCTTCTGGCGAGAATAGAACTGTGGCGCTACCTTCAGGCTTTAACAGTACTGCAAAGGAATCTTGGATAACTCTTGAGTTCAAGCTTAAGAAGGATACGCTATGGGCTCCTAAAGGACACCTTATTGCCTGGGATCAGCTCCATATCCAACGTCCTACGACCAAGGCCAGGGACACAAGGTCACTTGCTCGTCGTCAGAACAATGCAGAGTTTGAAAAGAAGGGCACCAAACTCAGCTACAACAGTGGAGACGCCTCTTTCGGATTTGATTTACTCCAGGGCAATGTGACCTGGAACATTAACGGCGTCGATATCTTCCAGCGTGGCCCTGAACTAACGTTCTACCGCGCCCTCACCCAAAACGACGCTGCATCCTCAGGCGATGGGCCGATCTGGGAAAAAGAAAATATCCACATGATGTACTCCCAAGTCAGAGATGTCACATGGCGAGCTGAAGACGATGGCGCTGTGGTTCACTATAAAGTCTGGGTAGGAGCGAAGACGCAAGCCTGGGGCGTCGAGGCCGACATGATTTACAAGATCCCAGCTTCCGGTCCGCACTTGCAACTCCAAGCTCGTGGGGAGTTCGTCGGCAAGAATGAATCCCATGTTCTTCCCCGTATTGGCCTCACAGCAGTTCTCCCAGAGTCTTTCAACGATGTGGCATGGTTCGGCCGAGGACCAGGAGAGAGCTACAAAGACTCCAAACAGGGCTCCCGTATCGGCCAGTACGAGTCTACTGTTCCGGACCTTTTCACTTACTACGACTACCCTCAAGAAAATGGAAACCGGGAGGACCTGCGCTGGCTGAAGATTGGCAACAAGGACGTGACGCTTGACACGCGACGGAACAAGGATGAAGCTTTTAGTTTCACTGCTCGGAGGTTCATGCCTTACGACTTGGATGAGGCTAAGCATCCCCATGATTTGAAGCCGTTGAACATGACGGTTTTGCACCTGGACTATGATAACAATGGCTTGGGATCTGCGACTGTTCGGGTGCGGCCGTTTGAGAAGTATAGGTGTTATGCGAAGCCGTTTGACTTTACCTTTGACTTCAGTGTAGTTTAGTAAGATAGACTGACGAGTGTTGATCCATTATCAGTCGTTTTGTGGCTTATAATGTCACAATCGATAAACTTGTCACTGAACCGGTCGAATTTATAGTTAGAGACAAAGCAAGCGAATTCAATTTTAACCCCGAGTCCTTTCTTTGTTGTTCTATATCGCGCCCAAATGCAAGCTTTCTTTGCCAGTTAAACACCATGATCTCATCACACAGCAGTGCTCTTAAAATGTCTATGGACCTTCCAAGCAATAACAGCTGCCCAAAAGTTGACAAGTCTATGGGGTGTCAGTAATTTGCCAGAGTTGTAATAAGGGTGCCAACTTACGCAACCAGCAGCGACACCAATCCCACCAGAACGCCAATGGCACAATTTGCGCCAACGCATACCCTAGTGACCATCGAAAAGGCGAGGCCCATTACTACCATCCAGAAGACCACGTCTATTGTATTCAAGATGGCATTGGTCTTGAGACTGCCGAATCTCTTGAACCTATCGACTTTTTGGGTGAAATGCTCGTAGGCAAGGAAGACGTAGGACTTTATGCTCTAAAAACGTGTTAGCAGTGAGCTTGGACCACTTGCTCTTGTGGGGACATACCATGGTGATCGCCATGATGTCGGATCTATTCATCGGGATATTCGACGGCCTCGTGGCAACCTTTGCTATACCCAGGATAAACGCCAGAGTCGTCAAGGCAACCTGAGCTATGAACACCTTGTTCTTCCAGTGATGCTCGAAGAAGCGGCTGTCGAAAAAGTCCCGTATCCCCATTTTGTCGGTTGTGATTTTGGTTTGGTGGTTTGGTGGGTGAGAGGAGTGATACGTGTAGTGCTCGGCAAATGTGCAGAATTAAGTTGAATGATGATGAAATGTGAATATAAGCTTGAGTTGAATAAGGTTATTGTTTTTCGGAACAGCGTTGTCGAGGATTAAATAGTGGTAATCAACATTAACAACTAAACTATATACGCGTATACGGTTTATGCCCTCCAAGCTGGCTGACGTGCCACTTCCAAAAACGTTTGAGGCGGAGCGGTGTATTTTGAAACCATGCTTGAAACATTTTCTCTTATCGCATCAAAGCGTCGTACTTGAAACAAATATTAATAAGATGGCGCATTTCTATCGGGGCAAAAAGGCTGGTTGGGGGCTGAGCAACAATGGTCCGTATTGGGAGGCATGCTAAGTTTTTAATACGCGTATAGAAGAATACGTAGTTCAGCCCTGTCATTGCCCCCAAATGGTTAAGGTTGCTGTCTAGATCGTCTTAATTCCGTCGTAAATAATATCGTTCCGTAAGATATCGACATTTTACCCAATTCTATCTTTTATTGCCTGATATCCAGCAAAAATCTCGATATTTTCTCAGACCTCCTGTTATCTCTCCCTTGACCTTAGCGTTTCTCTGGCGCGTATTTAAGCCTCATGGCTCGAGCTTAGTACCAGATACGCGTATTTCCCTCTTCGGAGATTCCGTACACTACGAGTCAAAGCTGATCCGATCCGTAGACTAACGCAGGCACATATATAGAATGCATGCCTGTCTAAAAAGGATCTGCAAGACCCCGAAAACATTCTCCTCTTCACATTCTGTCCCTTGTTTGTACCACGAAATGACATCTCCAAAACACGATCAACTCCCCCACCAGACCGGGTATTTTGAAATGGCTGGGAATGGAGAAAACAGTACCCAACTGTCAAATGGCCCCCCGCAATACGAGGCTTTGGCGGAATTAGAAGCAACCACAACCGCCCGAGGTCAGTATCAAAGCTGTGATATCTGATGAGACAAAACTGATTGAGGACAGACGATGGTCGCATTGATATTGACCTTAGTTCAAAAATAGTTCGACGACTCTCCAGATTAATTCCATCAGAAAAAATACCAGTTTCACATGAGCAACATCCAAGCAGCCCACCAGCGTATTCCGAAACAAGCAGCAGAAGTATCCGCCTCAATATCGTTATCCAGGTCGTCGGCAGTCGGGGAGATGTTCAGCCATTTGTCGCTCTCGGCACAGAATTGCAGCGCCATGGTCATCGGGTGCGACTTGCGACACACGGCCAATTTGACAAGTTCGTGCGAGACTCAGGTCTTGAGTTCTTCTCGATTGGCGGCGATCCTGCAGAGTTGGTGATGTCCTTCTCAATATTGAAGCGAAAACCCCGCTAACAGATGCAAAGACTGATGGCATACATGGTCAAGAATCCCGGTCTATTCCCCAGCATGAAGACACTACGTGGAGGCGAGATCCAAAGAAAGCGCAAGATGGTTGATGAGATGCTTCATAATTGCTGGAAGTCCTGCATCCAGCCAGATGAGGCTACCGGACAGCCATTCGTCGCAGATGCAATTATTGCGAACCCCCCAAGCTTTGCTCACATTCATTGCGCGCAAGCTCTCGGCATACCGCTGCATATCATGTTTACAATGCCATGGACTAGTACTCGCGAGTTCTGTCACCCGCTTGCAAACTTGAAGGCTAATGGCAGTGATATGTCGGCCAGCGCGGCGAACTATGTGTCTTATTCTTTGGTGGAGTGGATGACATGGCAAGGGTGAGACCTTCTGCAGGTTGGATTTAGGAAATGTGAGCTAACAGGTGACAGACTCGGGGATATCATCAACGCGTGGCGAGATACCATAGACCTGGAGCCGATTCCATTCAGCGAAGGTCCGGGTTTAACAGAGACTCTAGGCGTTCCGGTAACGTATTGCTGGTCCCCAGCTTTGGTACCTAAACCTGCAGACTGGCCTGCGAATATTGGTATGAATTGTTCCTTGCACGGCTGTGGGATATCTTATCTAACAATTCCTCTAGATGTCTGTGGCTTCTTCTTTCGCGAAGCACCATCTTACAAGCCCGAAGACGCACTCCACCAATTCCTCTCGAGCGGCCCACCTCCAGTCTACATCGGCTTCGGCAGCATCGTCATCGACGACCCTCAAAAGTTAACCGCGACTATCCTCGAAGCTGTCCAAGCCACAGGAGCCAGAGCCATTGTTTCGCGGGGCTGGAGTAAGCTTGGGGGTGATTCAATTGGCAACGACAAGGTATTCTTTCTTGGCGACTGTCCACATGAGTGGTTGTTCCAGCATGTCACTGCGGTCATACACCATGGAGGAGCTGGTACTACTGCTTGCGGGCTGCTCAACGCGAAACCCACAACAATTGTGCCATTCTTTGGAGAGTGAGTATCCATGATACCACTTGTTGCATCGAAAACTGACAGTTTTGCGTAGTCAACCATTTTGGGGACACATGGTCCATGCAGGCGGTGCTGGTCCAGCTCCCATCCCATTCAAGGCTCTCAACAGCCAGAACCTCGCAGATGCCATACGATTCTGCCTCACGCCCGAAGCATCTACAGCCGCTCGTCAAATAGCCGACAAGATGTCAAGTGAAGCTGGAGTCAGACGCGCCGTGGCCTCTTTCCATGCAAACCTGCCTCTCGACAAGATGCGATGTGATGTCCTGCCTAATCTGCCGGCGGTCTGGACATATGAGAAGAAAGGGAAACAGACCAAATTGTCCAAGGTTGCTGCGGAGATGCTGGTCGAGGCCGGAAAGATTTCGTGGAACAATCTCAAGACGTGAGTGTAACCATCAGCATTGATCGAGACCTACTGACCCTCCATAAGGTATCAATCACAACCTGTCCGTATTGAGAACAGACGGTGGGATCCTGTGACAGCCACACTCTCAACTCTCACCTCAACAGGTTTAGGCATGGCGAGATCCGCTTCCGACATCGTCGTCAAGCCCATTCAAGCGTTCCGACCGAATACTCCGGATAGTGTTAGAAGCTCTGGAAGCCGGGAAGTTGATACCAGCACTGCCTCCAAGCGGGAATCTGAGGAAAGCATTTTCGGACGGCCAGCAGGCTTAAACCCCCCAACCGAAACACAGGCCAGCGGCAAGAAACCACAAAACAACGCTCTGGTTGCTATGAAGGGTTCTGCATCCGGTGTTGGTGGATTTCTAGGACGCTACTCCAAGGGTATGCTCCTCGACCTCCCATATGCCGTGACAGAAGGCATGCGCAACGCACCAAAGCTCTACGGAGGCGAAGTCTACAACCCAGGCGCAGTAACAGACTGGAAGTCAGGCGGTATCGCAGCTGGAAAGAACTTCGCACATGGCATCGTCGAGGGTATCGGAGGCATAGTGATGGAGCCTGTGCGCGGAGCCAAAGCCGACGGTGCTGCTGGCGCTGCCAAGGGAGTAGGTATTGGACTATTGAACCTCGGGACCAAAATATCTTCTGGCACGCTTGGTTTAGTAGCTCTGCCTGGACATGGCATATACCAGAGTGCTAGGGCACTGGTGAAGAGAAAGACAGGGAAGAGTATCGTGGAAGCGAGAAAGGCTGAAGGAAAGGATTGTGTTGAGCGGACTGATTCATTGGAGCTCCAGAGATATCGCGCGGAGGTTATAGAGACATTTGAAGGAAGATAGAGAGGTCAGAAATGGCGTATAGGGTGAAGGGCAAAATGATGGTCTGTAATACGCCTCACAGAGGGAAGCAAAAGTTTCAGGAGTAATGGAGATCACATCATTGGGCTTTCGGGAAAATGTAGGAGCGATCGGGAAATTCATTGTGCTTTTTTGTATTAGGTATATAAAAGGTCCTATAATTTCCTCGCCTCTACTACGTAGTGAGGTTTGTTACGAGAGTATAGATTACAGGAATTTGCTTTATCTTATTTTATATAATATGACATAGTCTCTGGATAATACTCGACAGTTTTAGGATAGCATTATATACCCCTAGGAAGCTTATTGTCGAAAATGTAAGACGGGACTCGAGCTTCTTTGTGCTGCCTCTCCTTTATCCAGGTCGAATGATCATGGTCACTCCTCCGATTCTTTTTTGTACCCCAAGACACCATTTCCCGGTTCATCAAGCCTCCTTATGTTCTGCAGTTGCCAAAGCGTCTCGTCCGTAAACGCTGGCGGGACCCTTCCCTTTCCACAAAACGGCATCCCAGCAATATTCGACAGTTGAGTGTACCACCTTAGCAACTGCCCGTTCTCGAAAGGAACTGTATGGAAGTCCGCGTCATCTCTCTCAGAGACCTCCTCCCAGGATCTTTCCCATTCTTTCATCTCTTTCAGAGGCGGAAGCGTGGTTGCATTCGTGCCTGCAAATACTCTGGCTAGTGCAATAGCTTGGTACTCGTAACTTCGGAATGCGAGGGATTGACCAAGTCCGATGATACCGAGTGTTGGATAGTTTTGAAAGAAAGTATGTAGGTAACTTCCGTTCAGTTTCTTTTTTTCGTAATCGTATAGTTCCTGCCCGTTTGTCTTACCGTTCCAAAATGGAAATGAGGGTCTATATCCTGTGCAGTAGATGATATGATCGATATCATCCAGGGACGAGCCATCATCGAACAGTATTTGCCCAGTTTCGGCCACGAATTCCTCAATTACTGGTTTCCACTCCGTACGTTCATCAGGGCTGGATCCTTCCCAACGTGACTTGTGTCTCCTGGATATATAGACTGGCCTTCGAGCCACTTTGGTCACTTCTTCTGTTATGTCTCTACCTGAAAGAGAGTTTCCAACGACAAGAATTTTCTTGTCTTTGTAAGGGCCGGGCCGGCGGTAGGTCTTGGAATGCGATACGCGACCGGGGTATTTCTGCATGTAGTCTCCCAGGCCTTCAACATCTGGAATCTGAAGTTCAATCAGCATAAGCCATCGAGCCAACTACCATCACAGCCCGATAGATATGAGAAGCTGCGAATGGTAGATACTTACATAAGGAACTGAGAACTGCCCATTGGCAATAACGACAGCGTCAAAGACCTCCTGCCACCATTCATCAACGTCTCGCACAGCATCATACTTCCGCAGCGTCAATCTCCAGCGATACTGTCCATCATCTGATGAGACTTTGCTAAGATCTTCGACAGTGGTTTTGAGGAACAGAAGATCTTCCATCTGGTGGAGGGAATAGTAGTCTTGGAGATACGTCCGAGGAATACTATGGGGCACAAAGGGACCCTGGCCGAACCTCTTATCGGAGAAGGACATGGCTATCTCTGGAACGGATGTGCTGTCCAGCTATCAGTGATCTGATGAGAGAATGCGAAATGGGACTAACTTACATCAAGGACTCATAGATTGGTGTTGATTCAAATCTCTCCTGTCGGTTATGTGGTAGTATTTGAGGAAGTTCTTCAGGTATCTCCAAAGGGCGGTCTAGGCTGGTAGGCAGAGCTCCAGGCTCGACATGGAGCGACACCGGCGGGTTATCATCGTACAACCTGGAGAGGGTCAAAGTTACCATCACCCATTATTCAGGTATTGGATGCTGTTCCATAGCAACAGGGTGCCTACCATGTACCTCCTGGTGCTTCCCTCCTCTCAAAGACTTTGATGGTATCGAAATAGTCTTCTGACTTGAAGGCGACAGCGGCGACAGTACCTAGAAAGGTCAGCGGTGCTATTTATCACATTTTCCCTTCCGGATTGTAGATCGCAAGGACCAGGAGAGACTACCTGAAGCTCCAGCACCTATAATAGCAACTGACTTCACTTTGGGGCTACTCTGTAGGCCTTCACCATCCCAATCTTCAACAGCCATGATGGTCGTCCTGGTTTTAAGGTCGGAAGAGGTGACAAAAAAGATTTCAGAAAGGCTCCTTTGTCCAAGTCTTCTCGATTTGTGTAGTAAAAATAAATAACACCACTCTTTGTGTGGCAGTCAGAACTTGTATTTCATAGGATCAGGAACCTTGCTTCTCGTTTCTGATATTAAAAAATAGTGGTTTTCATTCTTCGAGGTGGGGTGACAAGAAATCAGGTGATGCAGGCCAGATCCACAAGATCAGATTCCACATAAAACTATTCGGCCTAGTATCCTCCTAGGTTCGAATACACGTTAGCTTTAGGCCTGATCCAGTCCACCAGTACAGATTGACTATACTGACTCATGTTTTAAGCCTGGACTGCATCTATCTCCACCCTCTGGCTTCCTGAAGTATCCCTAGCGGGCCCAAACTGTCTTCTGATTGATACGTATTTGACAGCCCGGCCCTTCTAGACCTTCTCACTCAAATCCTTCATCAACCCCAAGGCCCCTTGAGTCTCGACCCAGGAGCTCCAACAGTAGTTGAGCGTCTGATAAGCGTGATTTTCGGTCCCTATCGAGTACTGCCCCCTTAGCCGAACAGGGGTAGTTTCATTGTTGAGTATCAACCTCCAGAAGTGAGTGTTGCAGGTATGGACAGATTTATAAAGCTTAATGATTTGTCCCTTCATCATCTGGATCAGAGTTGAAATCTCCTCCGTCGTCTGTCTGAGAATCTCTGGTCGTGACTGGAGAACACTGCCAATAAACTGACCACGGATCATCTCAATGATCTCAGGTGGCATAGTCCCTTTGAGGATCCTGAATAATTTCTGTGCAGCCTGCAGATCAAGAAGTATTCTCACTTTGATCAGCGTAGCAGCCACGACATGGTCCAAGGTGAAGGACTTCCGGTTCGACCAAACATCCAGTGGTTTTTCCAAGACATCAGCGTCTTTGACATCCAGGTCAGGAAGAATGTCCTCCCAGTTATAGTCGCTTTCCGTGACGGTAGTAGCATACCACTTAAGGAAATCGTAAGCCTCTTGATCTCTATTGAGGCGGAGGTAGAGATGTGGGACAATATCTTGAACGACCATGTATTGTCTGCGAGGGGAATGAAGCATATCCAGAAGACTGTCGAGTGCTTCGTTGACTGCCTCTACATTGCCACCAGGAGCTTCAAATTCGTCGAGTAATGAATGTACCATGTCGTAGCGTGCGTTCATATAGTCAGTCCAGAGATACCCAACATCATCGCCGAAGATGCTTTCTGACGTAGACGCATCGACAAGGTCGTCCCGAAGTATTTCCTGTTCCATATCTAGAATCCTTCGAGTGTTTTTGACAATTTTGCACCCTTTCTCGTGGCGGTTTCGATCCAAGGCTTGATGGGCTGCGCTACAGTAGCGAACGACCATGCAACCAGTGCATCGGATGGAGTCTTTCTCAGTAGTTGGGCATTCGGGTAATTCGCAGGCCCGCGACGCCAGGGGCAGGTGTTTCGGGAATGTCATTTTGCTTGTGAGTTAGTATGTTGTTTTCTTTGTTCTTTTTCTGTTGGAGGGCGGTGTGAATTATGGCCCCAGATCTTGAAAAGTGGGTATGGGTATGAGAAGTAAGTATCACCGAAGCGCAGAACTTACAGGATGCCTCCCACAGTCTCTTCCCACGAGACAAACACGAAACTGATAAAGATGAAGATGTCGTCAATTAGGGTTTGAGACAAGCAAGGGGCCTGAGAGAGGAGGAGTACATCACCAAAACCTCACGTGATACAAGGATTTGCACGCAAACCTTTTTGAGTCAGATTTCAGAAGTAGTACAGAGAGTTCGCGTAATTAAATACCCATCATCAGCTGAAGCCACATGCAGTAATGTACTCAGGTTTATCGTACTGGGCATGCTCAATCCAACCAATACCAAGCCGACCACTGACCTTCGAGACCCTGGCTCCGGAGCCAATGGCATCCAAATTTCCATAACTAAGGCTCGAACGGACCGCGTACGTGTCGTGTTGTGATGAAGTCCCATCTGAGCGGCTTTGGTCCAACCAGACCGAAATCCAAGCACCAAGTCATATCGAAGCTGAGCTTAGTTTCCAGTAGCGACGTTTTATCGTAGTCTAGAAAATGACGATTTATCTCGAACTGCAGATATCCATCGTCGAGACGACGCAGCTCGGACATGCTCAGCACCAAAGGGAGACGGGGTAAAGGAGGACAAATCCACGTACCCGCATCAATGTACGACGCGGCCTCATTCTCAAGGGCATCCCAAGCTTGAAGTCCATATCTAGTTGCCATCTCCTGAGCCTCGCCTCGGAGGCGACATAGCTCACATAAAGCCCCGAGGCTGCTTTGATGTGTTAAAGGGCGCATTGGTCGAGATTGCAAGATTGATCTCACCTTAGACTCGATTTGTCGAGGGTCCAGGTTTGTAACATCGTATGGAATCATCCTAAGGCGACAGGCCAGCATTGCATCCGACATTCTCTTTAGGGTTTCAAGCCACTGTTCTAGATTATTAACAAAATGGACCAGGATACGGCGACGGCTTGAGGTGAAATGCATCAAGGTAGCAGGCGAGGTGGAAGCAAGGGCAAGAATATCCAGTAGAGACGAAAGTCGTTCGAAAATATCCAAGATGAGCTCTGCTGGCAGCTTCTCAAGTTTGGAGGCCTCCATTCTGAAGCTGGGTTGGTGGATGACCAGATGCAAGATTTATGAAGGATAAATAAGTGCTGAGCACAGTTGGGAGTGATGTTGTTTATATATTGACATGGAAAGTTTAAAATTCACGACTTACGCAGGAGAGATGTTATTTATGTGCGAAAGAAGCTTTTTCAATTCGGTGAGAAACCTGTTGCCCGAAAGAACACACCCCCCCCCCCCAAAAAAAAAGAAATCCAATTTTAAGAATGGTCTCTTAAACAATAAATGATAGATTCAACACAAAGATTTAATTCTAAACGCGGCTAGGTCACTTATCGAAGAGTGATTGACCAAGAGGCATGCTTGCAAGCTCGTTTGCCGCCCTTTTCAGGTATTGCTTCAGTGGCGTCACAACGGCTAAGTGTCCTTTGCAGTTGCTACATCCACCATTTTTATCAGTCTTAAAATATCCCTTTTTGTTAGAAATAGGTAAATTAAAACAAGCTACTATGCTTTACTCGAACTCGCCTAAATTAAAAGTCTTAAAGGGTAGGATTTCATTTGCGTCAAGAGCAAGGTTACTACCCTAGATGTAAATACTGAGTCAGCGAAATAAAGCTTATCGCGCTTGGATCGGTCTTGGCCCGCGGGATCGACGTTTTAGGCCGTAGTTGTCAATGACGTCAAATAAGTATCATGTGGCCCAGCCCATGTCGTAAGCTTGTTTTGTCCTCGCGTGCCACAAAAAGGCTGCAACTCTTCTTCTTCCCCTCTTTTCCCTCTCCATCCATCAACACCATCTCAATCTCAAGCAAAACACCACGAGAACGACGCTTAAAATGTTCAACTTGGCCGCTTTCTCTTTCCTCCAGCTCTGGCTTGCTGCGCTTGCCTTTGCTGCGCCCATCGCCGATGAGGCCATCAACGTGAAGGGCGCTGATCCCTGGCAGTACGGAACTGGTGGTGGAATCGTTGGTTTCATCGTCCTTGTTCTCGATATCCTCGTCTGGAGTACGTACAAACCCTATCCAGTCTGTACATCATCATGCTAACAAGTGCTCCCACAGTCGAGGTCCTTCAGTCGAACCGTCCCGTCTCCCACAAGATCCTCTGGTGTCTCGTTGTCTTCCTCTTTCCCATTGTCGGAATGGTTATCTACTACCTCTTCTCCAACCGCCAGTCGCACATGCGAAACTCTGGCTACGACCCTGTCCCTTAAAGGATCTCCACCAATTGAAACAATTGATAAGAACAATACGAGGGGCTGGTATAGGGTTATGACGTGTGATGGAAAGGGAAGCATGGATTTAGTCATAGGGAACGTACAGAACAGTTAGCGACTTGCCTTTTCACGAATGAATCAACGGAATAATTAATGGAACAATTAACGACGACGCGCAGTTGTTAGCTGCCGTTTTCGCAATGGTCTCATTCATAACCAACAAATAAAATTCAGATCCGGAAGAATGGCGATGTCTCATCCGCAGTCAGCACTTGTTTTCCCCCCGATTGAACTTTGCATTCTTCCTTTGACCTTTACCTGTGACAATGGTGGCGCCTAGGTAAAGACACCAACCCCCCAGACAACTTGATATGGAGATTCTCCTTCATGCCTCCACGACACGTAAAAATAAGCTTCTACGCATCGCGAAACCACTATTACTCGTTGCTCGCACCTTGTTAACCATCATCATAGTCAGCCCGTAGCTGAGGTTTGAGGATATCCCCCCCGTCAGCGCGCGTTATGCAGCGCTACTGCATGTCTCGCTGGTCGCTAGGGAGGGACACGGGCAAACAACACTCCGTATTAGAGGACGTCATGGCATTTCGGTCAGTGAGACGCGCCGTGTCGCTCCGCGCATTTGCCCGCATTTCCAGCTGTGAGACACATTATCGTATTACTTCTCGATTCTGCGCTGTAGTATTTGTTTCATTTAAAATCCGGCTCTAGGCTAGTAAATGAAAATTTTATTGACAAACACGTTTTACTTCAACTCAGCCACATAACAATGCCTAAAGTCCAAGAATCCATTATAATTGCAGCATCCCCGGCAAAGATCTGGGGTGTGCTAATGGACCTCAAGTCGTGGCCAGAATGGAACACTTTTGTCACATCCATCGAAGTGCAACCTCCCCATACTGAGTTATCTGTCGGCAGTAAGCAAATAATTACAATCAACAAAAGTCAATCATACACCAACACCGTCTCAATTATCCACCCAGAAAAAGAACTACGCTGGAATGGCAGCATCATAACGGCTGCCTTTTTCGACACTGAGCACTGGTGCACTCTGGAAGAAGTCGCTGGTGATGAGGTCTCGACGCGGTTCACGCAGGGTGAGCGCTTTTCTGGTATTCTAGCGCCCGTGTTAGGTGCAATAGGAAAACTGGAAGAGCTAAGGGAGGGATATGTTAGAATGAATCACGACTTGAAGCAGGCGGTGGAAGGAACGGCAAAGGACTCGAGTTATTAGACTTGGGTCAAGGAAAGACAGTGACTTGAGAGATACCAATGATTGAGAAGATCTGGCTGAGACAAATACCCTTCGCAGTTTCTACTTACACATTATTTTATTCTAAAGATAATCTTCCATCCAGACATGTAACACCTTTTCTAAGTATGAGCACGCTCCTTAGTTACAAATGGATAATCCACATATCCTACTATATCGCTAGTATAGAAAGTCTGGCGCTCATACGGATTGAGATCAAGGCCTTCCTTAATCCTGTAAACCAAGTCCGGGTTCGACACAAAGTCCCTTCCAAACATAACCATGATATTGCTGTCAGGATGTTCATGGTCAACGAGCCTTTTGGCATCCTTAAGCTTGTACCCTCCTGCAATAAGAAAAGCACCTTTCCAGAGGTCGTACGCAAAGTCAAGTTTGTCCTTGCCATTGTCGTGATCATCTTGACTACCAGAAATGCGCGACTCGACTAGATGAAGGTAGGCTAGGTTTAGACTACTGGCCTTGCTGATGATGTCTGTGAATTGTGGAACGGGATCCTTCATTCGCATGCCTTGAAAGGTGCTCCATGGGCTGAGGCGAAGTCCGACACGATCGGGTCCGATAGCTTTGACGACTTGCTTCATAATTTCGTAGACAATGCGAGACCTGTTTTCGACACTACCGCCAAACTCATCATTGCGCTGGTTGCTGACGTCTTGGAGAAATTGATCCAGGAGATATCCATTCGCGCCATGAATCTCAACACCATCGAACCCGGCACGTATCGCATTCTCCGCAGCCGTGACAAACGCCTCGATCATTTCATGGATTTCATCTTTGGTCATAGCCCGTGGTTGAGCAGGACTACCCTCAAATGGGATGGCACTAGGTGCGATGATATCAACACCCTCCTCTTCAGCGACTTCAATAGTTGCAGCACGTCCCATGGCAAACAATTGTACAAAGATGAAACTCCCCTTGCTGTGGACTTCGTCGGTGATTGTCTTCCAGGCAGCGACTTGTTCTTGATTCCAGATACCAGGTGTTCTGGCAAATCCTCCACCGGCGGCAGGTGAAACTAGAGTACCCTCAGATAGGAGGAGGGTTCCTGGGACTGAGGCGCGTTGGCCGTAGTATTCTTTCATGAGAGCATTGGGAACACGATCGATGCTTGCGCGGAGTCGTGTAAGAGGAGCCATGCCAATCCGATGTTGGACTTGGAGGGTGCCAATCTTCATGGGGTGGAAAAGACGTGATTCAGACATTGCGAAAAGATGACACGGAATAAAGGTAAGTTTCAACGGTCAAAATATTATGATAGATGCCCTGTAGACTTCTATCGGCGTTCATTCAGTCCTTTATATGTTCATCAGATGACAAATGTTCCAACAGGATAAATCCGTCAACACACAAACAGGCTTAGCAATCCATTCTACAATTGAGAAAAATTAGATATTTGCATTGAAAATGACTACGAAGATTGAGACTCGTGCTATCCATGAGTATATGGAGTTATTCCTCATGTGGTAGCGAGATAGTTCTACATCGAGCAATAAGATACTTCCAAAAGAGGAAACGAGATGCTACCAAGAAAGGTATAGCGCAATTCAGCACGTAAAAGTGGGCTATCCTCGATCATGATTTCTAAGCTTGAACTCAGAGGTGAGATACTACCAAACAGGTCAGCCATTCCAGCTACACAGCTCGATGCAGTTGTGACCGGATAAGTCAACTTGAAATGAGGCTGGACATGCAAGGATCCGAGCCTGCGCCGAGAGAAGGTATGCCGAGAAGCCTCCCTTGCAACTAGCCACTGCTGACCTACGCCAGTGACGCAATTCCAGTTCATTTCATTTCAGGAGACAAGCGATAAGAATGCAAAGCGTCTGGCTAGATCACACGCAGTAAAGCAAGCGCTTCAGAGTAAAAGAAAGGAGCAGAAAAACTCTCTGCAGAACTTTTACATAAGCACAATAGAAGATGGGGCGAAGCCAAAAAGAGGCCGGCGCAGAGGTAAATCTGGTGCGACGTTGACGCCCTCGCCGATTTCGCTATTTGCGAGTGTACTTGACCCGTTTCAAACACTTGCAGTAGATACAAAAAGATTGCAAGCTTTGTTGAATAATGGTGAGTTTATCCACAAACAGATAATACGATTCAATAATTAATTGGTACAAAGTTCACGCTCGACAAGCTCCAGAACCAGTCTTCACTGTCGCGGAAGAACTAGACTTCCAAAACTTCCAATCTGTCTTTCGAGCCGGCCTGGTAGATCCTGCTCTTTTGAACGCTTTGATGCTTTCTTTGGCTTTTGCTGCGAGTGGGGGTGTCATTAATAACGAGTGTCTTGTCTATCAAGGCCAGGCTATTCACCATGTTCGTCAAACAATGAGCACGCCGGAAAAGGCTATCTCGGAGTCTACGATCGGCGCAATATTGTTAATAGTCGGTGTCGAGGTAAGACTTTTGATGGTGAAACTTACCCATCCAGTATTGGCTAACCTCGAACCCAGGCCCGTCTTGGAACGATATCACAGGTCCAGCTTCACATGGGAGCAGTGCAACTCCTAATTGCAACGTGTCAAAAGGCAGGAACTTGTCTCTCTGAAGGGATAAAACGTGCAATATTCTGGTAGGTCATATTTCGAGACATCCAACCGTCATCTGACACAGCATAGGCAGGACTTGAATTGTTCCATGTTGGTGGGTTCAAAGCGAATAGTCGACCATACCACTTTCGCCGAGCTGGCCTGGAGAAGAGACTCAGTTGAACCAAATTCTCTTCAACTGCCGCTAGGCTTCTCGAAAATATGGCACATTTTCGATCATGGTTTCATCGAAGCCATTAAAGACATTCAAGCTCTTCAACACATCCGAGACTTCTACCAGTCAAATGGTCGCCCAGTCTCGATGGTGCGTATAAACAGCCATACGGCCTCTATACAATCCAGGCTCGCAGCTCTCCCGGCTACCACGCCAGTGTTGAAGTCTTGCCATCTCGCAGCATACATATGCTCAGTGATGCTATGTTGTACTGTGTGGTGCGGTCTAGTTATCCCTGTAGGTATTTGTCGACGCGATATTAGTTCACTCTCTGACTGCTGTATAGCCCCGGGTTTCCACGCAGTTACTTTACCAACTTCAACAGTCTCGCGATGATTTTATGTGGGACGAACACAGAGACTTGCTACTCTGGCTCATATGCATTGGAGGCGCATTCTCTCCGGCCGGGACTGTACGTTCTAATTATAAGGATCTTTTACGTTCGACAGCCTGGAAAGGATCTGGTTCATGTTCGTGGACAGAAACGCGAGAGACATTGAAGCAATTTATCTGGTCAGATACGGCCTTTGAATCTGAGGTTAGGAGATTTTGGGAGCACAGTTTCTCGCAATCCTGATGCTCACCACTGCACCAGCATGCGCGTCATACGAAAATATTGACCACAGCTTGCTCCATGGTTTGAGCGGTGACTGGAAGAGTCTTTATCCACAATGTGGAAAGGCGGGCAATTTGTAACATGTTAGTAAAAATACACATTTTTTGGTGCAAACCCTATCGTCATTGATAAGCCATCAACGTTATGTGGGCACTTTCAACACGATGCATGACGTCACTTTGACACTTTTGACGTCTTCAATATGAGAACAGAATGAGAATGGCTGGTTTCTACAAGCTTCTACCATTATAGTTGAACATATATCAGCTTCTCCAACACCAATTCGCAAAGTACATTGGTCTGATAAGATTCCAACTTCAGATTTCTAAAGAATAAATCAGCGAAAATGGCCTCAAAGAACGTGTTCATGTGAGTGCCCAAGAAAGAGAGCTATCAATTCACTCTAACGCGCCATGCTAGCACTGGCACCACCGGCTTCATTGGAGGCGACGCCTTGTATGCTTTGAACAAAGCCCAGCCTAGCTGGAGCTACACCATCCTCGTCAGAAGCGAGGACAAGGGCAAGGCTGTTCAAAAGCAATATCCTGATGTGAAGCTGGCCATCGGTTCTCTGGATGACTACGAGGTCATCAAGAAGGCTGCCTCCGAAGCTGATATAGTCATTCGTGAGTTTCCATTCTCCCTCTGAATCAATTTACAGGACTAATTCATCAATTAGATACTGCTGAAAGCTCCGACCACCAAGAATCTGTTCGAGCTATCGCCGCTGGGCTCCGATCCACCCACTCCAGTTCGAACCCAGGCCACTACATCCACATCAGCGGCACAGGTATCCTTTGCTGGTACGACCAGGACAACAAACGCTATGGAGAAGCTCCTCTCCCCGAGCAATCTTACAACGACTTGGAGGGGGTTGACAAGGTGACATCTCTGCCCGACACTGCATTCCATCGCGATGTCGACAAGATCGTGCTTGAAGAGGCCGCCAAGGACCCAGAAGCTGTAAAGGTCGCCATTGTGTGCCCTCCCACTATCTACGGAACTGGCCGTGGACCTACCAACCAGCGAAGCCGACAGATCCCAGGCCTGACCGAGACCACATTAGAGAAAGGCTTCGGACCAATCATCGGCGCCGGCGAGACAGAATGGGATAACGTCCACGTCCACGATCTGTCAAAGCTCCTAGTCCAACTGTCCGAGCGAGCAGCATCATCCGACCAACAAGATGAGCAGGAAATCTGGGGACCAAAGGGTTACTTCTTTGCAGAGAATGGCAAGCACAAGTGGAGCGAGATCTCGACCCTCATTGCGAAGGAGGCGCGTAAGCAGGGTCTTATTGACAGTGATGAGACAAAGGTTCTGGATGTCGACGAGGCTCAGAAGAAGCTGGGCTTCCAGGCCCTGTCTTGGGGACTGAACAGTCGTGGTGAAGCGAAGCGGGCTCGTAAGTATCTTGGTTGGAAGCCCGAGAGTCCTAGTCTGGAGGAGTGGTTGCCCGAGTCAGTACAGACTGAAGCCAAGCTGTTGAACAAAGCATAGATATTCTGTGTTTAACAATAATCGAACGGTGAATGGAAACAATTTAGTTTCGTTTCTTGTTTTGCTTCATTTCAATGTGAGCTAATCGTGCAACAAGTTGATCATACATCGTGACAGTATAGCCCACTAACCTAATTTTACTTAAATCATTGAATTCGGTTCTTCTGCCATCGTATTACACCCTAGGTAATAAAGAAAAATTGGGAGTAGGGAAAGTGTCGTTGCACAGTAACAGGTTTGGTTGGAAGAGTGCCACCGATACATCTCCTACCCTGCCACCGTTGATGTTGACGTTTTGACTGCTGCTAATGCGACTTCGATAAATTTAGCAATCTTGCTATTGGGCATCAGCGTCTGAAATCATCTTTCCCCGTGATTCATAGGCAACATAGTAATAAGGCGACCCAGCTTTGAAACGAACCAGTACTGGCCGATTGGATCTAATAGAAACACAGACTCACGTGCGTATACGTGTTTATTTCCCCGATTTTCGCATCCATCAACCGACAATCCGGAGGAATGGTGCCCGATGCTTCTCCCGACGCCGCTTTGAGAATTGCCAGACGCAACTTTCGGCTCCGATTCCCCCGAATCACGAGCATTGGCCACATTCTCGTGCGGGGAACCAAGACCCAACCAGATATAGAATAGCATTGACGATGGTCACCGCTGGGAACTTTACGAATCTGGGGTAGATCCGGGGTAAAACTGGGGGCCTTGTGCAGCGGGCATCGGGGTAAGTCTCCATCACAAAGCCGGGCAGGGGATACTTTTGCAGTTTTCCTTGGATTTGCGGTAGTTAATCGCCTGACATATGGTACGAGGGCCTCGGTTGATGTACCGGCGGTCGCTACCCTTGGCTTCACCCCACAACTCAGAGATATAAAGACTGTGGGGATACCATCGCAAGTGAATTGTTTGTAAGACAGGCAGTTTCTTCAGAGATACTTCACAATGTCCAAGCAAGAGACCGAAGAGTCACATATTCCAGACGTCGACGCCAACGACTTCCAGGGCCTCGTCCTCAACGATGTCATTCCTCGTGATCGACCGCCTTGGTACGCGGATTGGACGCTATGGAAGCTCAACTTGCTGCTTCTGAGCGGTTTATTGACACAGACGGCGACTGGGGTAAGCCTTGCTCTCTACTGACACGATGCTATTTCCATGGCTAACAGACTTCCTTCAGTTCGATGCTAGTATGCTTAACGGCGCACAATCCCTTCCACAATGGCAAGAATTCTTCGGACAACCCAAAGGAACGCGACTTGGAGCCATGACCTTTGGACCGAACGGAGGTGTCCTCATCTCGATCCTCATTTCCTCGCAGCTTTGCGACTGGCTCGGTCGACGTATTCCTATTCTCATCGGATCCCTCACTATCATTGTCGGCGCTATCGTCCAGACTGCCTCATACAACTACGGCATGTTTGTCGCGTCGCGCTTCATCATCGGCTTCGGCCTCGGAATCGTTTCCACCGCCGCTCCGCCTTTACTCTCCGAAGTTACATATCCCACCCACCGTGGAAAGGTCGTTTCTTTCATGATGGTCTCGTGGCCACTTGGTGCTATCATCGCTGCCTGGGTTACCTACGGAAGCTTCCGAATGGAGAGTTCCTGGGCGTGGCGACTCCCGAGTTTGCTGCAAGCTACCTTCTCCGTTGTCCAGGCTTGTTTGGTCATGTTTGCGCCCGAATCACCCCGATGGCTTATCTACAAGGGTCGTTATAAGGAAGCCCAGGATATTCTGGTGAAGTGGCATGGCTATGGAGATCCCAACTCGAGACTGGCACGCTTCGAAATGGCTGAGATCACAGCAACACTTGAGATCGAGAAGATGCAGAAAAAGTCTCGATGGGGAGAATGGGTCTCCACTCGAGGCAACTGTCATCGTTTATTCCTTGCTCTGTACATCCCTGCTATGCTGCAGTGGTCTGGAAACGCTCTCACCTCATACTATCTTGCCAAGGTCCTCAATTCGATCAACATCACCGACCACAAGACCCAGTTACTCCTCAACGCCGGTCTACAAATTTGGGGTTTCCTCTCAGCTGTCGTCTTCGCCACTCTTGTTGATAAGTTCGGTCGACGGGGACTCTTCCTTACAGGCATGTCGGGAATGGGAGCTTCATACGTCATCTGGACAATCTGCTCGGCCCGCAACCAACAGGAGAATTTCGAGCACATCGGTTTCGCCGGCGCAGTTTTGGCCATGATCTTCGTGTTCTCATTCTTCTACCATGCAATCTCGCCCATTGGAGCAACTTATATCATGGAGTCAACTCCATACTCTCTCCGTGCGAAGGCATCGATGCTTTACCAGCTCACTGGTAATTTGGCGGGTGTGTACAACGCTTTTGCTAACCCCGTGGCCATGGAAGCAATTGGATGGAAGTACTATATCGTTTGGTGTGTTGCTATTGGAGTCCACCTGACGCTTATCTTCTTCTTCTTCCCTGAGACAAAGGGTCATTCACTCGAGGAGGTTGCGGAGATCTTTGATGGTCCTGATGCACCAGTAGGGTCAAACGCGATCGGACAAAAGAAGCTGGATGACATGGCTATGCACTAATCTATATAATAAGGTCACTGGGATTTTATAGGTTGTTACTTGAGTAGAAGTATTATAGTAACTGCAATTCGTCGCATTCTCTATCTCATCATGTCATTTGTGAATCGCCACTTTGTATCTCCCCCATCAAAGCATCATACCATGCATCAAGGGCCTCGTCAACATTAAATCCACCACCGTCAAGAAATTCACTAACTTGATTCACGTATGCCTCCACCCCGTCACCCATTGAATACACAATATCGTTGTTTGGGTTAAAAATGAGATTTTGAGATAAAGCATCCACACTTTGTGGCGATAGGATTGAGCTCATTGCTGTTGAACCAGTCGGAGAAATGCCACTGAACGTGGTCTTGTAGTAAACCTTGTTTCGCACGGCTTGGAATATGTGTCTAAACTTCTCGAGGGGACGAGCTTTCATGTGGGAAATACCGCTGTCAATGAGATCGAGACATATTTTCGTGTCGCTCAAGTGGCGATGTGTTCTCGTCGTCGTGTCGCTAGCTGTTTGTGGTAGAGCCAATGCTTGCCTGTCCATCAAAGGGTCAGCAATGCACACAGACTGTGAACCAGTATCTCACTTACCAATCGCAGTACAAAGCCGCCAGACCAACTAAGATAATATCATGAAGCTGTCTAAAACATCGACATACAGCTGATATTCCATACTCGTCTACGATCTTGGACCATTGGCTAATCGCAGTTGACGCTGCCTTGGAACAATACGAGGCCATTTGGCGAGACGGAACCATGAAAGTCGGGGACGGTCTATGGAGCAAGAGCTGCAACATACAGTACTCAATCTTCATCTCCGAATATTCCCTAGATGGCTTTAATGCCATAGCCTCGAGTTGCTGCTCCCAAAGCTCAAGATCTCGTCGTATCAGGTCCGATGTTGCGCAAATCTGCTGGAAGGTGGTATCCATAGCTGTACCGTTGGGTCCCCTTGCGATGTAGATCGATTCAAGAATACGGCCGCCGATTTTGCGAAGAGTAATCATGTGCCGGAAAACTGCAACGCTGTGCTTGTGGAGGATGGGTGCAGTGGAACTCTCGAGCGGAGTGAGGTTATCAAAGCTATTCGGACTAGGCAGCATGGCATGGACCGCGTGATCGCGAATAGAGAGTACTCGTCCTGTCAGAGTAGCAACTTGTCTGTAGACATGGTTAGCGAAAACAGCAGGTTTTCTCGGCAGTGGTGAACTAACCTCTCAAGATTATAAGCACACCACCATGTCCGGTTCCGCACTTCAAGTTCTTCTAAAGTAAACCCCCAGTCCATATTGTGGCGGTGGAGTCCTGCCTCGATAGCAGCTGACATGATATAGCGACTAAGTTGCCAGAGATCGTTATTGTGACTACTATGAGATGAATCTAACATCCATATCGCCAGGAGTAAAACTGCCTGTATGCCAAAAAGGTCCCGTGGATGAGTATGGAAATTATCAAAGAAACGCAGTGCCGTTTGGAAGTAAGCATTGGTATCGTTGAGATCCATAATTGCTGCAGATTGACTATCTTTTGATGTCAATCGGGAACTTCCCAGTGCGAGGACAATGAAAACAATGAACTTTTCATGGTCACTGCACTGTCTGGGGTCTTCATAGATGTGTTGTATACTTCTTCTTAGATGTGGAAGTTGAAGGAAAGGCCACCATATGTGGACTCGGGCGATGTACAAATTGAGGAGAGATCGAGCAATGGGCTGCGGTGGGAGCGCTGCGGTTGCAAGAGACAATGGCTGTTCAAGGCCATTTTGCTGTTCCCCAGAATCCCATGACGGGATAATATGAAGTTGCTTAAAGAAAATCCTGGCAAATGTTGAACCAGCAGCACTGCCGACTACAATACATCAGACTTGTTATACGTGGTGAATGCAAACCTAAGCATACCATATTTGCTCCCAGAGTACAAATCAGATCCTCCAGTCGTGAGAAAGCCCACCTCCTCTGCTTCTTTTTGAAGATTGGCCGGTGTTGGTTGACTATTTGGTACTGGAACATTTGGTGTTTCTGTCATGTGCAGTCTTGCTTCAAGGTCATTGATCCGGTCCTGCAGAGCCTTCACCACACTGTAGGGATATGACACACAATCCGTGATATTGCATACTTCGTTTTGCTTTATACAGGATGAACACTGCGGGACCTTGAGGTCGCACTAATATCTCGGGGTGAGCCGGGGGAGATAAGGGTGAAGAAATGCGTTCCAGGCTGGACTGACCTTGACTTTACGTGCACGGCACCGACTACAGGCTTTTGAGACGGATGGCTGGAGATTTGAAAGCATTTGCAGCCAAATTGTTATCACATTTACTTCTTTGTAAGTGCAGTTGTACGGACAGGTCCAGGACGATAGTGGTCAAGATGTCTCGCACCTGTCCGAACAAAGTGGAGAAGGTCCGGATTGACGCCATAGCGGATCGGAATTATGCGAAGACCGGACCGGGGGACCGACTGTCCCCGTGCAAAGTCTGTGACTACCAGCCAACTGGGAATACAAATAATGATACATGTAAATAAAATATGTCATAATTAGAATATTTGATAAGCAGTCTTAGGATGGGATTAAATAACAGTATAAACTATAAGAAACTTCATTATAACTTATAATAGTTTAACGTATTTAATAAGTATATAACCTAGATAAGTATATAACCTAAAAATCTTAACCTTTTAACTTAATATTTTAATAAAAATACTATAAACTATTTAATTAATTAAAATTACTTACTATACTTATCTTTAAATAACTTTAAAACTACCTAATAGGTCTTTAAATTATACCTAGCCGTATTATATATACTATAATACTAAATACCTAGTCTAACTAACCTTCCTTAACTACCACTCCTTAATAATTCTATAACTATCTATATATTAATATCTATCTAATTAATTATTTATAATACTTTTTATATAGTTATAATCCCTCCTTTTTATAGTCTTATTCTTTTTAACTTTTAATACCGGCTTAATATATTATTTCCTTTTTAAAGAATTTAGATTTTATTTTTTTATTAAGGTAATTTTATATATATTTCTTTTAATTACCTTACTAAGAAACTAAAAAGCTTTAATAATTAACTTTAAGGAGTTATTATAATACCTTTTTATTTAATCTTTAAGGTATTTAATTTAAGATTAGGCCTTATTTACTATTATTAAGGTTTTTAAAATCTAAGGGGAGAAAGGTTTAACTATCTCCTTAGGAGGTATTAAAGTCTATAGTTATATATTAAGCTTTAAGATTATATTTTTTAGGTTTAAAGAAATAAACCTAGCTTTTTTAAAACTACCTTAGATATTACTTTTTATAAAAATAGCTTTAAATATAATATAAAAAATAAAAAAGAACTTAATCTTTAAAATATAGGTTATATAATATCTAATTAAATACTCTATTTCTTAACTATATATCTTTTTTAATATTATAAAGTACTTAATATTAAAAGGCTAAAGTAAATAAGATATATAAGCCGGTATATAAAATATAATAATTTTATACTCTTTATAATATCTCTTAAAATTAATAAAATAATAGCTTTTATAACTATTAAAAATAAAAAGATAATAAATACTAACTAATCGGTTAGATATATTTTAATTAAAATACTTTAATTACTTAAGGCCTAGCTTATTATCTATCTATTTATTTTTACTTATTATAATAACCTAATTACCTAAAAAGTTATATTTTTAATATTAATTTATAAGGTAATATTAGCCTATATTAATAATAAATAGTATAATTAATTAACTTTCTATATTAATTACCTAAATTATAATAATCTATTTTTAATTTCTAGGCTATATTAATTTAAGTCTTTCTTACCTTTCTAAATTAATAATAACTATTCTAGCTATTATAATACCTATTATAAAGCCAGTCTTATTAAAGTTCTAAATATTATTTAATTTAATACTATACTTTATAATTATATTTTATATAAACCTAAACTAACTATAAATAATAATTAGATCTTTATATTTAGCTTTTTAATAGTTATATTTTTAAAATAAATATATTTTTAGCTTTAATTATTATTTAATAAAGTTATAAGCCTAATACTTATTAATAGGTAATATATTACGGTTTATAAATAAAGAATTAGCTATTTCTTTTATAAAACGTAATTATAAAAGAAATCCTTAAAAATCTAGATTAAAAATAAATTAAACTATTATCTATTCCTTTAGATTAAATAGTTTCTATAACTTTAAGATAAAATTATATTATAATTAAAGGCTATTTTAATAGCATTATAATATATAGTAATTAACTTTATATATTATTACGGCCTATTAGGTATTTAATTTTAAGTTATTTTAAAGGGCCTAAAAGGTAAGAAGAATTCTAGCTTTATTTAATAATTAAGGTATACTTAGTTATTAAGAAGTATCTAATTAATTAGAAATATTATAGGTTAAGGGATTTTTAGGTTACATACTTATCTAGGTTACATACTTATTAAACACGTTATCTGAACTATAGAAGAGAAGAAATTTGCGAGATCCTTCATATACCCACTGCATCAAGAAGCCCGGGAGAAGACAGAATAAATATTACCATCAATGGCAGAAGAACCTACTGGAAATGAGAGCGAGGATTGAAAACTAATTATCATCGGCCATTTTGTTACTCAATCTCTCATGTTAGATGTTATTCAAGGCTTCAAACCATAGATCGTGTTCGTCGAGTATATGTACTTTTTATTATCTATGGAGAGGAACTATAGACTGTTTCAAATCCTACTTTCTTTTTTTGGACGAATTAGTAAGTATAGCGGAAATTGGGGTTCTGCCAATCCGTCTTATCGCTCTTGTCCGCCTCCAAACCAGCACCAATATCATCGTGAGACTTTCCGTGTTGCTTGTCTCGTTTCTTGTTCTCTATACCGCACAGAACATAATAGGCCAAACCGGTAGCTGCCATCAGGCAAAATGCGCAAAGCATCATGCCGATGCCGAGAACGTATGTAGGCGCTTGTCTGTCGAGGAAGAATTGGGGGCCGATAATATTGCCAACAGCTGTAGAACAGACCATTAGCTCGTGGGTCTGAGAAGGAAAGATGGATTACGTACCATAGACAATGGCGATGGAGACACCCATGAAACTCTTCTTGGTCGCACCGGCTGTGTTGGAAGAGGAAAGACTAAGAAGAAAGACCCAAGGAACGTTATAGAAACCCATCAAGTAGACACCAGCTAGAGAGGCATTTCGTTGAGTCTCAACGTCGAGCGAGTGCACCATGACGGCACCGACCAGACCCATCAAGGCACCTCCAATCCAGAAGATGCAGCGCAGGTTCGGGATGAAGAAGGCGATGGCGGTGAGAATGGCTTGGCTGATCATAGCAACGGCTGCTTGCGGAGTGGCCATGAGGACCGTCTTTGTTTTACTAAATCCGTAACCCGCGATGATGAGTGGGTTAAAGTTGGTGATGCCTGCATTAGCTAGGGCGTAGCCGAATACGCCGAGCCAGATGCAGTAGCACTTGGGATCGCGAAGAGATTCTAGGATCTGGCTTGTTTGGAATTTCTGTAGGAGTTTTAGAATCCTGTATCTTGGCCTGGGAAGATATGAGTATGAGAACATACCTTCTTTGACTCAACGCCGGTTTGGTTGGGCGCGAGCCGAATCATAGCGAGCTTCTTCTCCTCCGCTGTGAAGAACCAAGCTTTCGATGGGGTATCTGGTAGACCAAAAAAGACAAGGAATCCAGCAAGGACTGTACAGCCTCCGTAGATGAGGAAGATATACTAACAATGAATATCAGCACAGGAGTATATGATGGCAAAGGTTTGCAAACCTACCTTCCATGTAGAGAGTGAGCCATTGATCTGGCCAATGGCATAGGACAGAATACCACCAAAAACACCAGCAAATGTGTTATACCAGAAGGCAGTTCGGAGAGGCTGCTCGTTTCGCAAGTACCACATGGAGTTAATAATCATCATGCAGGGTAACACAGCAGCCTCGAAAACACCAAGAAGGAATCTGATAGTCGCCAAGCCTGCAAAGTTATGGCAGAGAGCCATGAAGCAGAGGCATACTCCCCACATGACGAGACACCCTCCTACATATTTGCCAATTGGTAGCTTTGTCATCAGCCAGAGTGAAGGAAACTCCATGGCCAGGTAACCGAAGTAAAAAATGCTACTCAGCCAACTGTATTCTTGGGGTTTGATGTGGGCGTCCTCCTTGATACCGAAAATAGCGGCATATCCTAGGGCATTCTTGGAGGAGTCAGTGGTGAATTTCGTTGTCATAGGTTTGGCCATACCTTGTCCAGGAAAGCAAGCGTCATGCTCAGCACTGCAAGCGGCATGACAACCAAGTCTGTCTTGAGAAGCAAGCGCTTGGACTGAGCCTTGGTCAACTCTGGAACATCGTCTCGATCACGACTGGAGTCCACAGACTGGGCCATGTCCTTGACGGGAGCCTCGTTGGCTTTTCCAGCGAGTGACATGGTGCAAATACGTAATGCGGAACCAGGTCAGTGAGTACCTGAGTTCTGAAGGTTTTCGCGACGATCTCTAGGTGCTACCCACGGAGATCTTTATGGATTCTTGGAAATGGCCTGGTTACAACAATAGTCTACCACCTCCCCGGGTTCAGTGGGGGCAAAGTCGCAGGTAACGGGGAGTTCGCGACGATTATTCCTTGCCTTCGGTGTACATCGAGAGGCTCGGTCAACACCGAGCAGACCACTCGGACGCTACCGAGGGAGCTATCCTCTTTGAAGCTTGTCTAGCCTATCAGCCGGCAGTGTTATCATCGGCAGATGGGGTAGCGAGATGATGACGAACAAATCGCAATCCATGCCGATGGCGATTAAGCAGCCTTGCTATCACGTCAAGCCAGAGTGGAGAGTTCGCCGATGGAGATAACGTGCTCGACCAGTGCCAGTTCCCCAAGGCCTTATCGTACTCCTACCACAGCAAGGACTAGTCTTTCTTTTAGCGTCCATGATTTTACAATTTACCCCAATGGAAAACTTCAGCGAGTCAGCTCGGTCACGGCCGAATGTGACGGTCGGTGGACCCCGAGCACAACGAAAACAGTGGTGATCAACAACACGGTTCGGATTATCCCTCCAAGTTCTTGTATGTCGTACGATATATAAATCAGTGAATCATATTTTGCTGCAATTGCGACATAATAATTCAATTTCCACAATACTCCGGCACGATAACAGAAAGCATGGGGAACGAAACTAACAACTCCGGCGGTTCGACGCACAGCTCTGTGCCAAATCCCAAAAATGCTTCTATTCGGGTAAGTCATACTCGAAACTCCTGATACCGCCAAAGGCTGATTAATTAGGTTGGAATTCGCGATGGGGTCACCGGAAACTTCAATTTAGTCCCCAGAGCAGAAGCTGTCGTCTCTGTATTCGACTCAAATTTTCTCATCGGCGATGGTATCTGGGTAAGTCCTAGGCGTGGCAGAAGCGACGGACCGCTACTAATGATGATTCAAGGAAGGCATCCGTGCTAACAAAGGCCGCGTGCAATTCGCTCGTGAGCACATCAACCGCTTATTCCAATCCGCCAAAGCCATGTACATGGATCTCGGCCTGTCAAAAGGAGAACTATTAGATCTTATCTACCAAACCCTCGACGCAAACGAAATGGGCAACGATGAACACGTCCACATCCGTCTGGTCGTGAGTCGCGGGCTGAAAGCCACGCCATATCAAAACCCTCGCGTCAACATAGGCCTTCCCCTAATCGTCATCATTCCCGAGTCTAAAGCAGTCGACCCAAGCTCAAAATCACGAGGTTTGAGACTTGCGACGACGTGGGTTCGTCGAGGACCTCCTGATGTGAAGGACGAGCAGTGGAACCATATCTCAAAAGCCACAGATGTGCAAGCCTGCATCCACGCGAATGTGATGAACGTCGACGAGGCATTGATGCTCGATCTTCGCGGCTTTGTCAAGACATGTAACTCTGTCAATTTTTTCATCATTCGAGGGGACGAAGTCTGGGCCCCTACAAAAGATAACCAGATGCAAGGGATTACTCGACAGAAGACTATCGACGTGTGTCGGGCCAATGGAATTACAGTCCGAGAGTTAGATTTCACACTTACTGAGACGTACGGTGCAGATGAGGCTTTTTGCACCGGTACGTTCCCGTCACAGATTCATGTCACAGAAATCGATGGAAGAACTATTGGCGATGGAAAGAGGGGGGAAATGACCGAGAGGATTCAACAGCTTTACTCGGAGCTTGTGACTGCTGATGTGAGCAGATCAAGAGAAGAGATCAAGGCTGAAGTCGTGAGCCCACGAGACTTGAGATTCTTGAAGTCGAAGCTGTAAAATATTACCAATTAATCATTTAGTCTTCATTGACTGTTTCAGCATTATCTATTCATTGATTTCATTGAACATCTGTTTCAACTACAGCACGCTCAAGTATTCCCCAAACGCCACTTTTCAACCGTGAATCTCTTTTCATCATGATATTTGGATATGCTGCCGATTACAATTTCCCGTATATTGTCATCACACCGCCTAGTGTCAACGATGTCGCTAATGAAAGTTAGCTTGCTACCTTCACGTAACGCGGGAGGGTGGTACTTACTATGTTTCATATTTATGCTTCCTTGTACACTCATCATGGAGATACTTCAGGTGAGCTGATCCTTCCACATCGTCACCGAACTGAATGAACTGAAACATCAGCGTTGATGATGACTGATTACATTGAATCAGATAATCAATCGCTCTCCGTATAGCACGTCTGATCTCTTCCGCACCGGGTTCCCAAATCCCATCTGTGTAGACATAAATACTCGTGGGTTTTACCTTTGTCCCGACGAGAATCCGGTCGAGTATCAGGTCGAGAGATCTCCACATGTTGCAGGTCCCGCTGACAGTCTCCATCCTGCCGATTGCTTTTTCAACCTGGGAGCTTGTTATGCAGACGCGGGGTTTCTTGGTGGCTTCTGAGGCGGCGTAGAGCTCCATGCCGTTGGTGTCGGCCACTTTGGCTACGTAGCTGATCACCCTGGCGGTTCTCATGACGCTTTGCCTATGCTTTTTCATGGAGCTGAAATTGTCGATTACCATGATCTATCAATGTTAGCTACCACCGGTAAAGTTAAAGAGTGATATACTGACTTGATCTCTTCCCATTCTTTCTTCGATCTTACTGCGTGCTTCCATCAACCCCGGAAGATCCATAATTCTATATGACTTTTCGGCTCTTTTGTTGAAGGGGTTCATAAAAGGGTTAAAGCTATCCTTCTCTTCCAGTATTTGATACACCATGTCGACTGTTACCATTGTGCTCGCCGGTTCAGGGTTGGGGTCTGGTCTCTGACGTTGGGCTTCAGATGATTCTGGTCGTTCTGGCGAAGCTCCTCTCACTGGTGACAGGTTTTTGACAGGAGAGTGCTGGAAATAAGTCCTATCTGTTATAGTCCCCTGGGTCGCCTCTTGGGGACCCTCAAATGTCGTGGGTGCAGGTATGGGGGGCGGTCGTTGCGCAAGTGTTGGAGAAGGCGAAGTTGCAGACCGTCCGGTCGAGACTCGAGTTCGAAAAGGCATCTGCAGTTGATTCCCGTTTGTCTGGATATGCCGCGATTCTAAAGACGGTTCGTTCTTAAGTTTCGTCATGCCCTTCTTCGCTCGCTTTCGAATCTGCATTGCCGTCTCCCTCTCACGAACATCAGTAAGCATGTGCTCAAGAATAAGCTTACTTATCAAAGGCGAGATCGCGTCTGTGTGCCTCTTATTCTCCAGGGTCAAGTTGTGAAAATCCTCAACGGCCGCAAGTCTATCCACCCCGTCATGGAAGCAGCCGTCAAAATTGGCGGCTCTCAAGTCTCGTTGTATCGAAGTCTCTTCTCTTCGTCTGACTCGGTATTTCTCCCGGCCAAGTTCACCGAGACTTGACCAAATGAGCACGTCGCTGAATACAGCCCCGAGGGACCAAATATCTGCAGTTGGCGGAAGATCTGTCTTCACAAGTTCTTGAACAGAGAAATTGGTAAAACACTCGGGCGAAACTATGGTCTTTTGCATTAGTTTCTACAGCTTTGAACAATCCGTTGGGAAAAGCTCACTATACATCCGGTTGCCTCTGTTCCCCGTTATCATTGTACCTGTTGATGTCGACACCCTCCCTATCTCCGCCAGTCCAAGATTTTTAAGCTTGAATATGACGTCAAATGGGGTACTCTTGTCTTTTTGTGGAAAGACAAGTATATTCGCTGGCTGGATATCTTGATGAACCCTAGCTATCGTTAAACCTGGCCTGTCAGATTGAATATCTCGACGTACCCTGCAAATAGCCACTGTGACTGCCTATCCGAACGGTAAATATCATGTAGCACTTCAAGCGCGTCTAGAAGCTTCGAAAGGCGACCCCAGAGTAGATGAAAGTCACCCGGTTCCTCAGGGAGAGGCGTGTTTTGCAAAAAGTCCCGAAGAGAGCCCCCAGCTGCATACTCCAGGACGATGATGAACTTTTGCTTCCCCTGGAACGAAAAGCATGCAAAATCGTTGGTGATATACTTATTCTCTTTCGAGCGAAGCTTCAAGTATACACCGGTTTCAGCTGTATAGAGGTCTTCAGCGTGGGCGCCTTCATAAACTTTAAAAACAACAGGTTCATTCTTTTTAGGTTTAGCATATTGTTTCTCTCGTAGATGAGGAGAGAAATACCTCTAAAGTAACCAAATTGCATTTGGGGTGCAACTGTACTTTCCAAACCTTGGAATGCCCACCGCGCTTCTCGGTGAGCGGCTCCTCGTATGTTACTGGCAATATTGTCTTACATGGTACGATGCGCTTATAGATAAAGTCAAAGGTGAGAATCAATGGATTAAACATCCACTGGGCTTCTAAGAAATTCCCGGCCCATGGACATCGGATGGGGAAAGAGTCTCTGTCCAACGGCAAGTGCATGTCGTTAATGTATCTGACGTGAGGGCAAAACCAAGAAATCTCGCCAGGCTCCCCGATATAAACAAGAATAGAGAATATTCGAAGATACTGGCTGATGATCATGTCCGCGCTTTGTGGGATGGGTGGTTCGTGAGCGTTGAGAATGTCATCGAGACGCTTTTCGGTCCAGTAGTCGTCCAATATTGCCGGCGCAATGTAAGGGACCTTCTGGTCGTCGCCGTTCACACCATGCGCGAGGTTCGCGTCCACATATTGGCGGAAATGATCCAATAATTCCGTAATCATCATCGTAGAGCGGGTAATGGATGAGGAATATTCTGACTGCAGTAGATCCTGATAACTTGATATGCAAGTATCCCCTGCATAACTACTCGCGCTTGCCTCCCCCTCCCCTACACTGTCACTTCTTTGTAATGCAGTGATCCGCAGGGTAAGGAGCATTAGAGTTCGCAGATGGGAAGCGATATGTTGAGCCATGGAGTCTCGATGGCCTAAATCTGCGTTGGGATTCATGCGCACTAGCGAAAATAGTTAGAAAATTCAAGTCTTGTGTCCCAATCGTGAATGGCCTACTGATACCGTCAAGCGACTTACGCTCTTCTGTGGCATCCGGGATCAAAACTTCGTTGCCATTGACGAAATGTCCACATAGTAAGCATTCGTTCTCTTCTCTGTATCTATTTCCTTGGCTCTGTTGAGCAATTACCTCGAGCTGTTCCTTTTGGAAACCGCTGCTCTGGTGGAGTCTCGTCATGTGCTGCAGGAGCTCAGCGGTATCATTGAAGAATGATTCACCACCTGCGCAAAGTGGGCAAGTCCATGTTAGTCCTGGGTGGATAGTACGATACCAATACTCGCCATGCTGCTGCATATGACTAGACCACTCTCGAAAGCTGGCGTAAGTAGTTATCGAAGTACAATTCTCGACGAGGCATACATAGGGCTTCAGGTCATTATCCACGTGCTGTCTATTCCATTACGTAAGTCGTCGAAGATTGAATTAGAAGATAAAACATACCTCCATTGAGAAGATCCCAAATCCCGTTTTCCCAGGGGCTTGGCGCACCAGTTGCATAGCATATTTGGCTTTGGAGCTTGTGGATAATCATGTTGGTTAACCAGGATGGAGGGGGTTTGGTTTGTTCGGGGAGGCGGCTTCTGAGGATTCTCTAAATTTCTCCTCAACGCTTGACTGTCTATAGATGACAGGGCTGCTACAGAGCGTTCGGGTGGCTCATGATAAGACATGCTATGGATAAAAGCTTTGGCCGGCGACATTTTGGTTTGTTCATTTTGTTGACGGTTCTCAAGGATAACAGACAAGTTGGAGCCCTGGTCATATCGTGTTGACAGGGTAACCTTTCTATCGTTCAGTAGAGATATCCTTGCAAACCGATCGAACATAGATGCAGTGAGGAGGTCTTTGAGAGGCGTCTGAATGTGAGGATATAGACCCCCAATTATCAACCCGAACAAATCCTTGACTGGCTGGAGAATTTCTTTCTCAGCAAACGTCCTGGCTTTTTGGTCGAAACTAGAGCGTGTGGATTCTCTGATTGCATTTGTAAGTCGTCTAAACTGATCAAGAGTTTCTTCAATCTCAAACAAGTGACCCTGTTTTATTTCAAAGTCACTAATTCCTTCATTATTGTCATCAATTGAGAATTGATCTCGGTTAGTTGCCACTATACTTTAGTCAGAAATCCACGCTAACATTGGCTCAATATCTCAGGGTCATGAACAAACCAAAGGTCAGGGACCTCCCTAAGGCGTCAAGGCCACGTATGATGAGGTCTTGAATGTCTGGGGTATTCTTCAAGCGTTCGTCGAGGCACTGGGTGGGACGGGCGAAGACGCCTGCGTAAGCAGTCCAGGCCAGGAACCGTTGTTCGTAGTCGGCGAAAAGGCTGGCCAAAACGCCTAAAGACGAGTCTTCGGATATTCTATGGAATATTTCTTCGCAATGGAGAGCTAAGATGCGGATAGCATCAGGGTTCTCGTCGTTTGACTTCGTCGACATTGTCGTTTCTTGATATCCCAAGTATATGCTGCATGGATATTTGCTACGCAATCCTGAATATCTCGTCATATCATATCTTCCCGTCCTATCACGACTGTTCGGAGGTACAAAGTTCCGTGAGCGGGGAAATTTGAGTGTCAGATCGAATCAGGCTGTACAGTCAGGTCCCAGCCTGATTTCCTGTCTCAATACAACTTGCCACTCGGTAAGTCGGTATTCTTTCTTCAATGTTGCTTCCATTAGCCCACGACTCAGACTTCCAGCTACCTAGTATTCAAAATGCCGTATTCGACAGAGTCCCCAGAGTGGCGCTTGTTGCAACAAGTGGCCGAACCGCTCGCATCCCGCAAAACCGCCTTTCAACCCTCACCGCGAGAGTGGCAGTCCACCCACATTGATAGTGACCACTATTTAGAACGCGGACTACGCGAACTATTCCTTATCAGGAGTCACAAGTTCTATCTGGAAGATGCCGACTTCAAGTCATTCCGGAACAAACTTGATCAGTTGTGCCGGATTCTGGATGACGCAGTAAATCCCGTCATCTCACGAACAACTGGTAAAAACAGAACCTATCCACTTCTATCGGGGCTGGTGATCTTCCTCAAGGACTCAAACGCAGACAGCGAGATAAATTACGACCTCGCCTGTACCATCAGTGAGCCTTTGTTTGCCTTTCCAGACGAAGTCAAAAAGAGATGCTCGAATCTGGTAAAAGACACGAACAGTTTGATGTCGGATTACTCTACCAAACCTTGCGAAACAGAAACAAAAGCTACTGGCGGATTGAAGAGGCAACAATGGAGGAGTTCCAAGATTCGAGCTCGGGCCTCCGATGTATTCCAGATGATATTCGAACGATTCACGTGCCCTGAGCGTCATGAACTCTTAATCGAGTTCGCAATAGCATGTTCAGGAAACGACAAACCTTCGGACATGGAACTATCTATATCAAGATGTCTAACCGACTACGGTAGGAATGGATGGCAAAGCGTTGTTTGTAACTCGAAGAGGTATGAGAATCTAATTTATTCGTATTTCATGTCCACGGTTGACCCTTACTCTCAGCGAACAGTTTTACAAGCAGGAGGTCTATGATCTTTGCGCTGATATGAATATGTTCTCAGGCCATGACCAAGATCTACATCTGCTCCCTTGCAATGGTGAGCTTCTGAGTGCTTGGTCGTCTAGGTCTATCGCCAGACCAGGTCTTGAAGATACAGCCAAGGAATCCCTGTCGGAGAGGATTGCCAGCGGAATGTTCAAACCATTGACCGCCAGCTATTTTATTGCTCAACAGCTCAATACTCAGCGATTGGTGCGGCGCTATACCTTGAAACGGAAGAGAATCCTTGCTGTCGAGTTGGGATATTGGCTTCTAGACTTCTTTGATGCCAGTCTGAACTCCAACGACATATACTTCTTTGAATCTTTCAATGAGCTCGCTAAAAAGGATCGTTTCTATTGTTCATTTTCAACTCAATTCCCCACCTCTCCAGAGTTCCGTGTCTTCCAGATTGGACATCCAGTTTTGCTCACACTCGCCAAGATTTTGCTAGAATTGGACGACGGAGAGATGATCCCTGTCAAAATATGCCCACATTACGGTGAAGAAAACAGTCAAGCCTGGTTCCAGCTTATGTCTGCGTTGCAACTTAAGGGTCCAGGACTAGATGAATCTTACACCAAAGCTGTAAGGGGATGTCTCAACGTACACACACACCTTCAAGATGTGGATACCGAAAGCGACAAGGCTGATATGATGATTCGCGACCATCTCTACCATCATATAGTCCAACATCTAGAAATTTCACTTGAAGTCAGGTTGACACCTCTCGATGTCATGCGGACACCACAGATTCCAACCGTAGCACATGACCCGAAACTCATGAGGAATCCAACTGCGTCTAGCCAGCCCAAAGAGAATGCCGACAGCGGCTTGTTCAAACACACTCAACTCGCTGCAGAACGAACAGTGAGTCCTACGCTTGGCGCACACATCCGCGAATCATTCAATGTGAAGAGAGGAACAGAGGTACAGTCACACCGAGTGGACTCAACGGAAGGATACTCACGTCGTCCCACTAAACAGACAGAAAGCTTCGCAGACCGAGGTCCTAATAGGAGGGGTAATGCTCCAAAGAATCGCAGAGACTTCGAAGTTGCCATCATCTGTGCCCTACCTTTAGAATTCGACACTATCCAATTGCTCTTTGACCGTAAGTGGGAGGAGCGACAATATCAATTTGGCAAACTCGAGGGAGACTCAAATTTCTATGTCAATGGTCGCCTAGGCAATCTCGATGTTGTGGTGCTTCTACTCTCAAAAATCGGGAAAGCTAGTGCAACAAACGCAGCTACAAATTTGCGACTATCGTACCCAGGACTGAAACTGGCACTACTCTCTGGAGTTTGTGGAGGCATACCCAAATCTTATGTGCCTAATCGAGAAGAAACTGAAGTTCTGCTTGGGGATGTGTTTGTCAGCTCAACCATGATTGAGTATGACTTCGGGCGGCGGCATCATAACGGCTTCGAAACCAAACAAGCCAGTTTGAATCCTACAAAGGCAGTCGAAAACATTTTAATTCATTTTCAAACCGAATCCTTTCCTAAAGATTTGAGCGAGAGATCTACTAAAATACTCGAACGAATACAGAAAAATCGGCCAAAGTATTGGTACCCGGGTGCAGCCAATGATCAACTCTTCCCATCGGATTATCGACATGGTTACGGTCTCGGGGCATCATGTATTTGTTGCAAGGGCCCTGATACTGACTGTGAGTGCTATCGGAGCCTCTGTTGCGACCAAGCGGGCTGCAACGAGCAATATGCAGTAAAGAGAGAGCGTTTGGAAAGAAAGGTTTGCCTGGAGAAACAGGGTTTTGTGAGAGAAGCACAGAAACATTCCATCTTTATGGGTAGGTTTGGGTCAGGGGATACAGTGCTCAAATCAAGCAAGGACAGGGATATGTTAGTCGAGCAATTTGATATCTCGGCCTTGGAGATGGAGGGAGCAGGTTTGTGGGAGACTGTACCTTGTATCATAGTCAAAGGCGTCTGTGATTACGCAGATAGTCATAAGAGTAAGAAGTGGCAACCATTTGCCGCGGCCACGTCTGCAGCTGTTGTCAAGGCTTTGTTAGAAAAGTACATCAAGGCAGATTAGCATCACGAGAAATAGAATATACCATATAAACAAAAAGCTATCTTCACTCTACAGAGGCGAAACTCTCAAATTCCATCTTCGACCCTCCTTTTTCTGGGCAGGACAGTGGAGTGATATTAAAATACCTGAGTGAATTCCCTTCATACAATTCTACCTGAGTCATGTAATAATAACCATACCTTTCCCTCCAGCCTAATTATCCGGTAGTTTTGCAGCAATAATATTAGTGTGAAATGTAAAGTCCTAAGGGCCTGATCGGTAAGCCCGGGCTCCCTCAGAGGATACATCTAGAAATATGGGTTGAGGGGGATGTACCGGATCTGGAAGTCGAGCTCAACCCGGCTGAGATAACATTAGATCAGTTTCTTCGAAGCCAACATTATTCGGGGACTTCATTGTTGATGTCATGGGACTTGGTAAAACACTCACGATACTTGCAGCGATATTGCACTCGACCAAGACAGCCGAAGACTTTAGAAATGTTTCCCCGACTCTAAACGATGGCGATAATACTACCCGCACCAAAGCAACACTAATTGTGGTGCCCTCCACTCGTAAGCCTCCACGAGTCCGCCCAAGAATCTGAAAACTAACGATCCTTAGAACTGATGGAAAGTTGGATGACTGAAATTGAAACGTAATTGCTGGAAATACTTTTCGCTACGCACGGCAAAGCTAACCAAAACAGTCATTTTCTTCCTTGTTCTCTGAGCTGTGTCCGTTTCCATGGTCAAGACCGGCCGGGAGATCCTGAAGCACTCAGATCTACAGACATTGTGCTGACTACATACGCGACCGTTGCTTCTGACCATGGCAAGAACGGCCTCCTATGTCAGATGGGGTGGTTTAGAGTTGTTCTTGATGAAGGTATGGACAATGTGTCTCTTGCTGTCCGATCGTAGCCAATAAAGGTGTTTCGTTCGATTGGTAGGGCCGGATAATGCTGACAGAGGAAAGCTGACTGGATTCGAAACTCAACGTGCAAGCTGTCTGCTGCGGCGCGTAACCTTCTCGCAAGAAGTCGATGGTGTCTCACAGGGACTCCAATCCAAAACAATTTGGACGACTTCGCATCATTGGCTCACTTCCTCCAACTTTCCGCAGTGTCTGACAAGCAAGCTTTCCAAAAAGCAATATTAGCACCACTTGAAAGAGGGGGCGCAAATTTTGCAAAGCCTCTGCAAAGCTTTCTCAAAGCTTTTTGTCTAAGACGGACTGACCTTTGCTTGAATTTGCCACCCTCTTCAGAAACAAGTATCGTCCTAGAATTGTCCTCTAGTCAAAGGCTTCTTTATACAAAGATACTTGGCAAGACTAGACAGGAGATAGACCGTCACGTCAGTAGTGGCCATTCTCCCTAGTACAACAAGCTGTTTATCACCATCATGAAGATGCGCATGCGGTGCAATTACGGAACCTTCTCGTCAAGCGAAATCAAGTTGATGGCACTTGAACAAATGCATATTGAAACGGAATGCGAGAGCTGCCTAGTTTTTGATGAAGATAACAACACCGCTCCTGAGGGCGACTTGGTTTGTCCAGAATGTAACAGACAGCAGGAGCCCAGGACCAAATCACCACAAATTAAAGAAATGGCAATGGACCAGATGATTAGTGCAAACGGAATCGAAGAAAAGGCTATCAACTCCAGAGAAAATGAATCTCACGATTCCTCAATCGACAACGCACACTCGACCAAGCTATGGGTAGTTACGGACAGAATTGCAGAAAGCGGACCTGGAGCAAAGAGGTATGGTCCCCGTGCTCTAAAGATATTAGGATCTAAATCTATTTAGTCTCGTGTTTTCCTCCTGGACTTCGGCACTGGATCTAATCTCCCAAAGACTTGCCCGCAGCCAGATCAATCATGTCCTTGTTGACGGGCGGGTAAAAGCGCAAAGAGGATAGTGCGTTCGAAATCGTTCAAAGAAGATCCCCAGGTGACGGTTCTGTTAATGTCTATTGGAACGGGAGCTGTGGGGTGAGTCAATGATTATGATTTCTCGGAGTTTGTATAACTGATCTCGGATAGGCTAAATCTGACCACAGCCAACTATGTGCACATAGTTGAACCACAATGGAACCCATGGGTCGAAGAGCGAGCGATTGCCAGAGCATTCAGAATGGGCCAAACTCGGAGCATCAAAATATTTCGCTATATGATGAAGGATACTGTGGAGCAGGTAATATGATTGTCTACTATAATGTCAGGCTTACAAGAAAAGAGTATACTTGACCTGCAACGGAAGAAAAAACAACTGGCGAGCTTCACCTTCAACTCTGAAGTCGAAGAGTCGTTTTCAGACAAATTAAAAGCAAGCTATATTTCTGTTCGAAAGGGAGAAGTAAACTAACAAAGCAATAGGACCGAGGTTAATACTGAGTGAGGATTAATACGTCAATAATCCAGGGATTTTAGCAACTAAATAATAAAATACAAGTGAGGTATAGGAGTTTAGAATGGAAGCTAGTTAACAAGCCAGTTTTAATTAATATATAGAAAATGAACATTCTGAGACCCGCCTACACTTGAGGACGCGTGGATATACCCCCAGAGAGCCTAGATGACCACTAGATATTTCTCCTTATGTCGGTGCGATTTTACCATTCCGGATAGTCGATGTGAATACGGATGCGTTGTAATACTCGTATCGACGCTGTTGCTATTGGCTGCCGCTAGGCTGCCGATCAAACTCGCTTTTTCTCAAATGCGGATCAGCAACAACCAAGTCTTCAGGGGCACCACAATATGAACGGTATGAGCATTTCTCCCTCCACGTACCATTCTCTTTGGAAACACGTCGTCCCTGATGCGGTTTCTTACCTCGCCTCACGGTAGCACGGCTGCGACTCTGGGGTGGGGAAAGCCAGAATACGCGTATTTATTAGTGTTACGGGCCAAGCCGCCGTAGTGCAATCAGTCTCTGTCAGTCCTCCAATGTCAACTCAGTCTACCTACATGTCTGTAAATGAGCAAGGATCGAGATTTATAAAATGTTTATAAAACCAAGAGTGCCCGTAACATATGGAACCAAAAATTATCTGCAAGCAACCATCACCCACAGCGTCCTTCTTCGGTCTCAAGCAATCGACACCATTACTCAAATCAATCTCTTTTAAGTTGATATCATGGCTCTCTCTTGCTCAGTTAACACTGTTGCCCAGCCAGAGCTCTTCGGCACTAAGGTCGTCGGATTTGAGATCAATCTTGTTGAGAACCACAATGCTACCGCCTACTCAGCCCTCTATTATGGTCACCCAACAACAATCGCGGAGAACGTCGATTTTTGCAATATCACCGTTACCTTCACGCATCCCGGCTACGGCGACGAGATCCACGTCGAGACTTGGCTTCCGATGGACAACTACAACGGCCGCCTCCAGTCTATTGGGGGTGGTGGTTGGGTCGCAGGCCGGTACTCGCCCAGTTACGTTGGGATGAGCGGTGCGGTTGCGGAAGGTTATGCGACGTCCACGACGGATGCCGGATTGACACTGCAGCCGGACTTTGGCCCTGATAGCTGGGCCTTGGTCAGTGAGGGCAACCCAAACCTCCACCTACTCAATCAGTTCGGATCTGTCTCTCTTAATGAACAGGTAAGTGGCAAGACTATCTTATTTGCTGCAGTTGCTAACCATGGAAGCCATCATCTCGAAAAGCTTGATTCAAAGCTTCTATGGGGAGCCGGCCAAGTACTCGTACTGGAGCGGCTGTTCCCAGGGTGGCAGACAGGGCATGATGCTTGCGCAGCGATACCCAGATGCCTACGATGGCATCCATGCCTCTGCCCCGGCGATTCAGTGGAACGAGTTGTTTGCGAGCACCTTCTGGCCCCAGCTTGTGATGCAGCTAATGGAGTTCTACCCTTACCCTTGTGAGTTGAGCGCCATCACAGATGAGGCAATCGAGGAGTGTGATGGTCTTGACGGCATTGTTGATGGACTAATCTCCAACGACCGTGCTTGCAAATTTGATCCCTTAACGGTAGTCGGCAAGACATTTAATTGCTCCGATACTGGCAAGAACATGACAATATCCAAGGAGGCCGCCATGCTGGCAAGAGCTTCCTGGTCAGGCCCTGAAACGGAAGAGGGTAAGTTCATGTGGTATGGCCCTAATATCGGAAGCCAGCTTACTGGATCAACCGCGGCGCTGACCAACGACATTGGACTTGCTATGACGTCCTGTTCTTCCAACGGAACTTGCGTTGGCGTTCCCGTTGGTCTCGGAGAGGTCTGGATCAAGTATTTCGTGGAAGCAAACCCGAAATGGTCGTACAAGAATATGACGCGAAGCGAGTTCGAGACCTACACGCGCGTGGCTAAGCAGTCTTATGAGTCATTGATCGGGACTTCCGACCCCGACTTAACTGCTTTCCATAAAACTGGCGGCAAGATTCTCGGTTACCACGGGATGGTAAGAAATCTGACACCTCACATCTGGGCCCTATGCTAACTTAAGAATAGAGCGATCAGATTATCCCAGTTAAAGGCACAAGGCATTACTACAACAAAGTCAAGGAAATAATTCCCAATGTTGATAGTTTCTACCGCGTATTTGAGGTTCCGGGCCTTGCCCACTGCTCCGGTGGGAACGGAGGCCAGCCTGTTAACACCTTTGACGCCCTTCGAGCCTGGGTTGAGAATGGGACTGTCCCAGAGAATCTCCCTCATTCATTCAAAGACAAAAACGGAGCTGAACAGAACAGACTTCTGTGCCCGTATCCGAAGACTCCCAAGTTCAAGAAGCATCACAAAAGCGAGACGTCTTATCAGTCCAGCGACTTTATATGCGTCTAGTTGTTCCCGGGCTTAGTGCTCTGTGAGAATGCGACTGAGGGATTTCCCGCTTTAGGGGGAAGATCTAGGATGACTAGAAAGCTGGTAATTAGGACAAACAGGAAGTTATTGTTGATAATAGAAAGGTTTTAGGCGGCATATCGTCCTTCTTACTGTTGGACAATAAAAAAGGACTATCAGGGATCGAGCAGTGCATAATACACCCAACGCCGTGACATACGCAATTTTAGTGTCTGAGTGTGTAATCGAGAACAGTTAAAAATGGTTCTCGAAACCGAAGTGAATTACTAGTAATAATCTCTCTGTGGGATAAATTCAAAAGGTTTACACTGTATCTTCATCACCTGAAGTCTTCTCAGTTCCCTCTCTCCAGATAACAATAGCCACAAAGCCAACAGCCAAAGAGCAGATCAAAGCCAGAATAGACATCCACCATCCGAAACCAATACTTGAGATAGCAATAGGTGACACTACAGTGCCAATGGCGGCTAGGATATTGCGGACCAAGTTCAGATCAGCCACCACAGAAGCACCAACTCCTGGCTTGATATCGACAAGGAACGGCATGATGGTCGCAGTAACAAGCACAAGTCCCAGTCCAAACAGGAAGGCACCAATAAGAGGGGCGAACCAGAATACCTTCTCCTCCACTAGCCATCCATAGATGATCAGACCAGCCGGAATAAAACCTACACCATACCAAACCGTCTTGACTCTCTCGACAGGGCGAATCTCTCCGTTATGAGCACGCTGATACTGCAGCAGCTTGGCATCACTCAACTTGCCGCCGACGACGCTTCCGATTGCGTGTCCAAGACAGTTGCTGATGTAGTAGAGGCCAATCTCGATAGAAGAGAAATTATAGGGGGGCGCTGCGTAAGCGTAGGGGAGCGTTGTGTTGAAACAATAGAGGCCAGCGAAGCACAAGCTCACGTAGGCAATGGTTAGGGCTATCGAAGGCACCAGCAAGTACTTCAGCTTGGACAATGGAGCCAGAGCATCGCGCTTAATCGCCTGATACCACGGCTGCTTGTGCTCGCTCTCGACAGAAGCTTTTACTAACGTCTCGGGCAGACAAAACATGGTGAGAAGAGCCGCACTGAATGTGAAGATAGCCATAAAGTATAGGTTTGAACGCCAGCCGAGCCATGCCTGCAATGCACCTCCAATAATCGGCGCGATCAGGGGCCCAATAAGAGTCCCGAGGTAGAACCACCCCAGTGCCCCTCCACGCTCAGTCGACGTGTAGATATCGCTGATGACACCAGCGCCCACACTCTGTGCGGAGGAGCAACCCAGAGCCTCGATCAGTCGAAAGACGGTGATCAAGGGCAGCGAGTTGGATGTAGCGCAAACAAGGACGGCCGCGGCTGAGATGAGGAAACTGAAAACCAGAACCGGTCGACGGCCGTATTCCTGGCTCAGCGTGCTCCACCACAACGGAGCAACCGCCAGACCCAGAAGAAACACTGTTGTCGTCAGGGCGACCTTGGTCTCTGTGGTGTGAAAGTGATCCACCAGGGTGGTGAAGGACGGGAACAGAATGCACGAGGCGAAGGGAGCGGTGAAGGCAGATAGAGTGATAATGGCGACAATGATATGTTTCTGCACCAGAGAGTGAGTTTTTGGGTCCTCACGCCTCTGTATAAAGCAGAAACGATCAAACTATGTTTGCGATGGCTGCGAGCACTTCTCGGCTGTTTTTATGGATGGAGTGTCGGACATGTTACTTCAGTTTGGTGTTTTTTGAGAGTATCTTAAAATACTGAAGATAAAGTAAGCTGTGAGATTGCTTGAGATGAGACTACTGTGAGTTTGGTTTGAAGAAGCGGGCTCTGATGAAGAAATGTCTTGATATTAAAATACCAAATACTTTGACGCTCTGGGTTTTCGGGTTTTCGGGTTTTCACAAGAAATCCCCGACACACACACGCTGAAGCCACTATACCCGGAGCTAAGAGCCCATCCAACCAATCAAACAGGCCATGGGGAGGGATTACTTAGACGAAAGCCCCGACTAGACTATACGATATCCAAAATAGTATCTACGTGGTGTAGTAAGCATGTATAAGCAATGGCTCAAATGAAGGAATTTTGTATTGTGTTCGGTGATCCCGACATTCTTTGATTCTAACTGTACATCATCTTTCACCGTTACTTGATACCACTAATTCCACCTGGCTCATTCAACACTAAAAAATGAACAGGAGCTGCGTCAGCTGCGCCAATTCCAAAGTCCGATGCGATCTTGACAAAAACGGGTTTCCCTGCCCACGATGTCTCCAGAGACATACACCGTGTGCCAAAGCAGGGCGCAAGAAGAGAGCAAGAAGAACCACCACCATTAGTCCAGTCCAGTCACCCCAGACTAGCAATCAAGACGGGCAGCACCAGAAACCTGATCTAGGGCCATTACGTGAGCAGCATGTCGATCTGTCGTTTCTGGAGACGCCGTCGATTGGTGAAGTCGACATATTATCTCAAATTGTGGATATTGAAAGCATGGTTGACATGAGCTCTTGGACATGGAGCACCGAAGACATGACGTCGATACTTAGTTCCTACAGCCTACCCCAAAGTTAAGTAGCCACGCCCCTGGATCCATGGATGGCCAATGGCGGGATGACAACAAGGGAAGGATTCTTGTGTCCCGATGCTTTCAGTCTCCCCGCCGACTATGCCCTTCAGCTTGACAACTCAGAGACCATCCCCGTGCATCGACTTGAGACGTTTGCGAGGCTGTTCTTCTCCATCTTCCACCCTTTTTTGCCTCTGCTGCACATCCCCACATTTTTCCTTGCCTCGGCGCCTTTTGTTCTCGTTCAAACGATATGTTTTATCGGCGCTGGTTTTGACAGTGACCCATCGTCCATATCAGATTCGAGGATCATATACGGATCTCTGCCATCACATCTGGCCAAATGCTGCCTTCGCTCCCATTGGGCGTCGCCAACCTTTGAAGAACTACAGGCTTTGGTATTGCTTCAGTTTGCCACCATGGCGAATGGGGGGAGCACAGAACGGGCTGGAACGCGGCTGCTGCATCCCCTTGTCGTCACGGCAATCAGACGCGAGGGCCTTCTCAAGATCCACGGAGAGTGCACTGTGGCAGAGCGGAACCCGATGTCGTGGAAATTATGGATTCAAAAGGAATCAAGGAAGAAAGTTCTATGGGGCGTCTACGCGGTGGACTGTTACCAGTCGATATTGTGTGGTAGCAAACCTCTCCTATCCCAACAGATACAAGGGCATCCTTTCCGTGCGACGACACAAGCTGGACCGCCTGCTCTGCCTCTCTGTGGGCCATACTTCCGGCACAGGATCCATCAAGCTGCTTCTTGTCTTCAGTCAAGGGTCTGATGGTTGGTCAACCTCCCGCGGAGTCAAACATTACCACATTTGCCATGAATCTCTTAATTCTAGCCATAAACTCATTGATACTGGAAGCCCAGTCTTCCATATTGCCGACAGATCTGTCTTCCATTGGCCAAGCCTTACAGACCTGGTATACATCTTGGGAACAGTTCAGGGGACAGCCTCACACTCGTTCGACCAAAATAGCAGGTTCTATGCTCATCTCAAATAGTTTGTCTTTGTATTATCTAGGCCTACACTTTCTAAGAAACGGGCGCCCCATACTTGATGATAAGGCCTATCTTGGAAATTCTACTAACTCTCGGAATCCTCTGATTATTAGAGAGCAGGTGTACCAAGACGAGATGATGAGATGTGTCGAGCAGATGCTAGAGGAGTTTCAACAAAACGAAAATTCATCATCAGGCATGTTTTAGACTTGAAGTATTGCCACATACCACCAGACTATGTCTTCTAGAATGGTCATTTATGTTTTCACTGGTCACGTTGCTTAGCTCGGTAATTTTCATGTGCGGTTATACCAAAGATTATGAACTTCTACAAATATGAACCACAGGAGAAAGTTGAGGAACGATCTAACACCTGGAATGAATTATCTATATGTATAACCAAGTCCTTTCTATTTCTCCTCAGCCCATCTTTTATTCCGCTCTATCATTTCTACATATCAATTATCCCTTCCGTCTAGTCCTTCTCACTAACCTCCACCAACGTCAGGTCTTCAAAGCTTGGAACTCTGCTGATGCAACCACGGCAAAATTGCATCCACGACAGCGTTGCCTTTCTCCGGGAACAGGGCGTGGGCTGCGTCAGCGATGACCTTGGAGGTAGCTCGCTCCGGGTAGAGATTCGTCGTCAAATTCCATTCCGACTTTGGCTGGAACGGGTAATCGGCGGGAATCAACTCAAGGACCTGTGTTGAGTTGGTACCAGCCCATTGATGCGCCAGACTCCCGTACGCCTCGACCGCTCCGTACTCCATGGCGAGAACTTCAGGATACCAGCCGTCAAGCCATATGTGCGCATCATGATTTGGCGCAAGGAAGGCCGACTCAAGAGCCTTGAGCCGCTTCGCAAGAGGCAGAGAAGTGTTCCGAGCGACAAAGGGGAGTTTGGCAATGGCGGGCGGTAAGTCTGTACCACCTGGAGCTGCCACAACCATGGCCAAGATCTTCTCCGGATAGTGGACAGAGCTCACCTCGGCGAGGAATGTCCCAAACGCGTGCCCAATGACGATACCACGCCCGCGGCCCAACGTGTCTATGACAGCGGCCTCATCTGCTGCCAGATCTTGTAGCGTGACGCTGACCATAGGTCCTGACGATTCGAATGTGCCTCTCGGCTGAGGCCGTAGCACAAGGTACCCGGCATCTACAAGGGATTCGGTGAAGTAGTTGTAGTCATCACCACCGTCACGCCCATAGGATGGAAGGACCACAACAGTAGAACCCGCGCCTTGGACGAAAACTTGGATGTTTATCTCGCCGTTGCGGACGAACTGCGTTGGCTAATTATAGTTTGTTAGCGGCTGCGTAATTGCAGGCAGCGAATTTGCCAATGCAGTCAGAAGGGAGAGAGTTATGAATGAATAGTGCATGGTAAAGAATTCAAGTAACAGTTGATTGTTACCGGGGTCTTGAGGTGATGGTTCTTGCGATGTGCATGTTGTTAGGCTGTTTGGTAGCTTTATAGATGTAATTTCTTTTTAAGCTTTTTTCTCCACACCCATCTCTCATTCTTGATTTCTCGATATTAACTTACATGATCCTGCTATTGCCAGAGGGAGTTATGAGTTCGGGCTTTCGGGTTTTCGGGGTGTTGTAGAACTAATACGATCTTTCGTAAGCACCTGCATTATTCCCGATACTATTGATGACGTCATAGGCTACAAGGCTTCGCAGTACATGATGTCAGGGTCCTTAAGAGAAATCAATAGACTACAATCGTCTCCTACTTTATGGCCACTCTGGGATCAGCCATCTTGTGTCAGTAATCTGCTAACCAATCTGAGTAAGTCTAGTGGAATTATTGCAGGAGTTGGATAAGTGCTATTTAAGCACCCTTACTAAGTTAACTAAGGCTAGAAAGCGACCCCCCGGAGGAAATATGATAGATGATTGGCTTATATCGGGGAATTCATATGGATCACACGTGGTGATTAGATATCGTAATGAGGGGTCGCCCCATAGGGGAGGTCGGTCTTTCCCTAAGTCAACTTATCTAAGACTAATCTATTCCTCTTCTAACTACGGATAGTCTATCCCTCCTCTAGTCTATCTCTATAAAGCCCTTGAATAATTAGTAAACCCTGTCTGTCATTTCTTTAGTAAATTATGTGTATCATATCGGTTACTAGCTGTGTCTACAAGGACGCTTTGTGCACCAGTTTATGACTAGGGTTGTTCGTAAGGCAACCAGTAAATTTGTAAGAAGCGCTTCTTGCATGGATATTGAGGCCTCCACGCCCAACACCTCTTGAGCTGAACTATTCCACGGCCTATAATTGGGTGCCTCATTCCAGGGCGAGGCATATTAGACACATTGGAGCCTAAAATACGTTCCCCGCACTCTTCCTTCGCATTCAATTCCGCCAAACAGAATTTTAGAATTCGTGTAACTTAAAAGGTAAGTGTTTGCATCTTGCTTCTAAGTCAGCACAAATCTGAACATTTATTTTGTCTGACCACTCTATTAGGCGTCGTGCAGTTAAGCCGCCGTCGCCAGAGAAAGTCGTTCGATCAAAATATTAAAGCCCAACTGTGCATTAATTTCATGAAAGTCCATAGTCTCGCGGAGCCAAGCGACAGGATGGGTGTCTGGAAGAAGCTTAAGCAGACTTTGCGAGGTCACGAAGAAGGTAACACTTTAAATCCACCCATTGATGCCCGGTCGAACGCAGAGCAGCAGTCGAGTCTGTCTATCAATACAGGATCTAGCTACGTAGCTACGAGCGATCCTTCGACAGTATCACGACCAATTGCAGCCTCGAATGCCGCGAACCTACCCCAAGCGCACCCACAAGAAGCCCCAAATGACGACCACTTAGCCAACCAAGAAAATGGCAATTCTATCCGGGAGTTATGGGCTGTGGCATATAATAGCCTGCGAGAAGAGAAAGATTCGCCCATCGAAGCCTTCGAGGAACAGATCCGTCTCAACTTGCCTGGTTTCGCCAGCGCAATAAGGTCAGACGCGAATACGAAAGACTGGATGAGCGAGATTGTCCAAAGGCAGATGGATGAAGTCAAACGCGATGCTTTGAAGCTAAGATTTGGTAACTTCGAGGTGGAAGCCCAAGAAGTCGTGAAGTCAGTTCTAGCAGTTGTCGACTGGAGTAAGGATTACGTTGGTAAGGCCCTGAGCTCAAACCCCACTGCATCCATCGCTTGGGGTGGCGCAAGTCTGCTGTTGCCGGTAGGTCAATACCCTTTACTCATGTCAACCTTTGGAGACTAATTCGTGTTCGATAATTGGCTAGCTCTTGCTGAACCCTTCAGAACAAGCTGCCTCTTTGGCTAAGGGATTGGATCACATTTCATCGCTTATAGTTCGGAGTTCTATGTGGGAAGACCTCTACGTGCGGCGTTACGAGTCTATAACTTGCGATACTTGGCCAGAGTCACATGCTGAGTACCGCCACGCTTTGGAAATGCTGTACCAAGAGGTACTCAGATTTCAGATTGTTTGCTACCGCTACTACAGCCACAAATCTGCCTCTCGTCTAGCTTTAGACGCTGTGAAGCATCATGGCTGGGAAGAGCTACTTGAAAATATTAAGTACCGGGAGACCGAATTCGACAAAGTGGGCAATGGTTGGCGAGATAAGATGTACAACGAGGAGTGGGAAAAAGCAGAGGCACGGCACCAGCAAGCTATGAGTCAATGGCGAACGATTGGAACGGATGTTTCCGAGCTCAGGAAGATAGTTGAGGAAGTTCAGAAGGACAAAAAACGGCAAGAGATGCTTAACTGGCTTTGCGCAGTTGACACTTCAGTGCAGTATAGAGCTGCTCGCGATAAATACAGCAGAGGCACCTGCGCGTGGCTGGTCCAAGAAAGCGATTGCTTCAAGACGTGGGAACGAGAACCTAAATCTTTCTTATGGTTAAATGGAAAAGGTATGACAGGCGCCAATCGTCTGGTTGTGTTTCCTCCACTGACAGCATATAGCCGGCTCAGGAAAGTCAATTCTTAGCTCGTCTGTTATCAAATACTTCAAGGACCGCTACGAGCAAGACCCAGAAACCACGCTTGCATACTTCTTCTTCAGCTTTGGCAGCCTGGAGCAACAAAAGGTGTCCGTCATGCTCTCGTCGCTTGTGAGACAGTTGTGTGCGAGTCGCCCCGACACACCACAGCCGATCAAAAGATTCGAAAGTGACATGGCAAAAGGCGAGCGGCCAGATATAGAGAGTCTTGAAACCGCATTAATAGCTGCTGTCAGTGGGTTTTCAGCGGTATTTATTATTGTTGACGCTCTGGACGAGTGCCCGGCTTTTGATGGTGAGCGTTCACGGCTTTTGGACTGCCTCGAACGCATCATCACCGCAATGCCAGATAATCTTCACATTTTTTGCACGAGCCGAGCCGAACCAGATATTAGTATGACGATCGATGAGCTTTTGTCGCCGCCCGCAAAGGCTGCCGTTGATATTACGCAAAATCAAGGGGGTATGAATGGGGATCTGTGTCTGTACGTCGATACCGTCTTGGGTACCAAAACGTACAGGTCGTGGTCCGATGACGTGAAGGCCAAAGCGAAGCATATATTGATCACTAGAGCAGATGGAATGTGAGTCGATATATCCGCGTAGACCACGTCGGGCGCATGAGCTTACACCCACTGCAGGTTCCAATATCTTGTTTGCCAGTTCGAAGTCCTTCAATATCTGGATTCGGAAGCATCGGTCCTCTCGGCACTCAGTGATCTCCCTAAGGGACTTGACGAAACTTACAACAGGATGCTTCTAGGCCTAAACCCAAGCTTTAAAGCGCAGGTCTTGGGCTCTCTCAAATGGCTAGCATTATCAAGAAGGACCCTTCGTCTCGAAGAATTAGCCGAGATTTTCATCTTCCGTCCTGAAATCAACGCTAAGATCGAGAACACTCAACGTCTATTCAACGCGGAAACAGTTCTTAAACATTTCTCCAGCCTCGTGACTACCGAGACGAAGAATGAAATTGATGATTGGTCTGATTACCGGTCTCACGAAACCGTCACATATGTCCGCCTCGCTCACTTCACAGTCAAGGAGTATCTGGTATCCAAACGCATCGAACAAAGCAGTGCTAGGCAATTCTGTTTCACAGAAGTGAATGCTCACCTATATATCGCACATTGCTGCCTGTCTTATCACTTATACCAAAGTGTCGAGGTCACAACAACCGACAACAAACTCCCTTTGGAGACCTATACAGTCCAAAACTGGGAATTACATCTGGAATTAGTCCCACGCAAACTGTGGACCTCTGAAATCGTCCAGCTCGCTGAGCTCGCGCTGTCTATGCGTACCAAGAGCCTCGAAATGATTTTATTCCATGGACAACTCGGGGGTCGATGGGAGGAAATTCACACGCGACGCAACAATTTAATACAGCGGCCGTACTGCTACACCGCCGCGCTTGGGTCCATTGAACTCACCAAATTACTCCTTCGGAATGGTTCACGTACCAGCAGATTCTTGATCCAGGAAGATATCGACTTAGCCCTCCGCGATGCAGCGGAGGAGGGGCATATTGAGATTGTCCGATTCCTTCTCATCGAACGCGCCAACATCAACACGATCACCAGCGGCGCGCTGCAGGCCGCGGCGAACCGAGGCCACCTAGCGGTCATGAAGGTCTTGCTAGACAATGGGGCGGATATCGATGCGCACGATGACAGATTTGGATCAGCTCTGGAGGCCGCGGCAAAGGGGTTCAACCTGACAGCCTTACGACAGCTCTTAAATAACGGGGCCGATGTATGCAAGGCAGGTTGCCCTTTGTCGTGTCTCATAGCGGCTTATAAGTTCAATAACCAAAATTGTGTCACGGAGTGCATACAAGGTTTGAAGCTTCTTCTGGATAAAGGTGTCAATATCAACAGGAAGTGCACCGGGCATAGGAGCGCCTTGAACGAGGCTATTAGGACGTGGTTACGTTATGGGACGCGCGAATTATTCGATTTTATCATACAGCACGGCGCTGACATTGAGCTGGACGATGGGCAAGATGGCTCCCCGCTCCAAGCGGCATGTGTTAAACCCTATGAACTGGGCAACTTTGTCTCTGATGATCATCGATGCAAAGCAGTGGTTGAGGCCCTTCTGCGCCTTGGGGCCGACCCAAATGCCCAGGGAGGGGAGTACGGTAACGTACTCCAAAAGGCATGTCATCACACCTACCATCACTTTGGTGTGGTTGATCTTCTTCTCGCCGAAGGCGCGGAGGTTAACTGGCAAGGAGGCCGTTATAGGACGGCATTACACGCTGCATGTGTGAATCCGAGCCTGGAATCGGTTGATGCACTGCTTAGTAGAGGCGCTGACGTACATATTCTAGGTGGAGAATGTGGCAGTGTCTTACAAGCAGCCACTATGTCTCACAAATTCGAAGATACTGTGCTTGTTGTGCAAAAGTTACTTGAAAGTGGTGCCGATGTCAATGCAACCGGTGGCAAATTCGGAAGCGCGTTGCAAGCCGCAGTTTTTCGAGGAAGCCTCGTATCTGATGCTACAGATGTGGAAAGATTACTGCTCAGTAAAGGCGCAGAAGTCAACATTCAGGGAGGGATTTACGGCACAGCACTTCAAAGCGCTTGCGCACGAGGCAAAATAGCATCGGTGCGCTTACTACTTCTCTACGGTGCTGAGGTAAACGTCGAAGGGGGACGGTATGGAACCGCGCTCCAGGCGGCGTGCGCAGATGATGGTTACTGGAAACCGCATTATGATCTAGCGTGCCTACTGATAGATCATGGTGCCGACGTCCATGTTCAAGGCGGACATTATGGGAGCGCCTGGCATGCCGCGGCTACAATACCCCACCGCAATGAACAGGGTCTCGGCACGTTGAAGCTGCTGCTCGACAAAGGCGCTGATATCAACGACTGCCGTGGCCGGTTCGGCACTGCTCTGCAGGTTGCACTGGAGCACATGACAGATGGCATCCAAGATAGAATCCACTTTCTCCTCGAAAATGGCGCTGATGTCAATCTGGGAGCTGGTATATATGGCTTTCCATTGCAGTCGGCATGTCTATCGCCTACGGACCATGTAGTTTGTCTAAACAATCACGGCCTCGTCTACCTCCTCGAAAACTGCGCCGACATCGATGTGAACAAGACAGGCGGGCTGTTTGGAACGGCTTTACAAGCAGCAGCGTACGAAGGCAAGACAAGAGGCCTTCGATTACTCCTTGAGAAGGGTGCGAATGTCAACACTCGGGGCGGGAAATACGGAAGCGCACTCAATGCGGCCGTGGTCAAAGGATATTGGGACCTTGTCGATATACTATTGGACTCTGGAGCCGAGGCAGACTGCTACTTGTTCTCAAAACCGGATGAGGAATGGCTCGAAAGTGTTTGTAAGGAAGATGGGCACATTGCTGTGAAGCGGTATAGGAATTTCTGGGAGAAGGTCAAGTTGTATTAAATCGTAAATCATAATTAAGTCACTCTAACGTGCTTGATGAGCGAGTGCACCACTATGTAGCTTGAAAATGCGTACTCTATACTTTCTCTCTATCTGAAAGAAAACAGCTAGAAATCTGGAGCAAGGTTTGTAACGTACCTACGATATAAAGACGAGAGGGTAACTAGAAAAATGGGAATTTTTAAAGAAATTTATTTCCTTAGAAAAGCTTACTTATTCCAGTTTTGATTTATATTCCTAAATGTAACAGCCTTATGGTAATCTATAAAGGTATTATAAGCTTATTAGGCGACACAAAACTTTAGTCGCTTCTCATAGTAGGCGCGCTGTTCATGAATTCTTGCTCGGTATGTCCTATTAGCTGTATTTGTGGTTGAAGGTCAAGAGCCAAGGAGAGAGGTATATAAAGTCAAAGCAATCGGCGGCTTCGTCTAAGCTATCTTGACACCCAGTAAAGAGTCCAATTCGGGGATTGTATACCCAGGGTTCCTAACAAATCAAATCTCAAATCGACTTTTCCCTATTTAATTTAAAGACCCTCTGATTTGATTTAGAGAGGTTATATTTGGATATGATTCGTTGTGGGTCCTACCCTATCGATAGAGCCATCGATAAGACACCGCATCAGACAAGATGCCTTTTTTTTTTTTGCTCTATTGAAGTGGAAGATAATAACCCTGTACTACCCTGTAAAAAGAAATAGAAAATACCTTACAATTAATTTGATTCAAATAAATAAAGTTCTGGGTTTAATTTTATTTAAGTAGCGAAATGGCTCATTTAATTCAATTCAATTCAAAAGGATTAGATTTACTGGGAGCGCTGCACACACTACAGGCTTTCACTTCTTAAGCAAAATGGTTAATAGACCGAAGCATAGACCTTTGTCTTATCCTGACTTTGTACCTGTCTCTTGGCACAGCAACAAGACGACTGGACCCTGTATACCATGCTAGATTGACAAAGCACAGAAACTAGGTTACAGGTACTTCCCGGACCCTGTCTTGTCAAATGGATCCCATAATTGTTTATGCCTTCTTCCAAGCTATCTTCCCGCCAAGCAAAGACTCCATCATGGGGGGTAATCGTCCAGTTTCTCGGGGGTCCTCGCCAATCATACCCAGCGGGAAACCAAGATCGAATGATTTGATACTTTCAATGTACTTGACTTGATCATCTGTCAATCTGATGCTCAGTGCTTCAATGTTGTCGTGGAGATGCTCGACCTTTCGGCCACCGACGAGCGGGAATACATGCGGCGCCTTGTGCATCGCGTACGCGAGTGCAATCTGCTGGATGCTCGCTTTTCCGTGCTCGGCAGCCACCTTTTCCAGCGCCTCGCTAACTCTGAGAGCCTCTTCGTTTTGCTGGCTGCCACGACCTGTTGGATCAGACTCTTGACGAGCCGCCAGTTGAGCCCTTGTCTGAAGCTGACCACCACCAAGGACATCCCAAGGGCATAGCGCCATGCCAAAGTGTCGTGCCATGGGGATGATTTCACGCTCGAAATCTCGAAGCATGAGGTTCCAGCGACCTTGGTAGACGGAGAAGGGAGTTTTGCCGTGCGCTTTCGCGTACGTGTTGGCTGCCGAGACCACCCAGGCCGGGGTGTCGGAGACGCCGAGGTAAAGAACTTTGCCTTGTTCGACAAGGATGTGGAGTGAGTCCATCAGTTCCTCAATCGACGTTGACCAGTCCCACCAGTGTACGTAGAGTAAGTCTATGTAGTTCGTCTGTAGCTTTCGGAGTGAGGCCTCAACAGATAACCTCAGGGATTTTTTGTGATTTCCAGCGTAGTTGACGGTCTTTCCCATGCCAATCTCCCATCCACGAAAGTCGTTTGTAAACTTGGTCGCCACAAACATGAGATCTCGGTTGTTCCTGGCTTCCATCCACCTTCCCAGAAACAACTCGGAATCCTCATTTTGGTAGTTATTGGCGGTGTCGATAAAGTTACCACCAGCATCGACGTATGCGTCCAAAAGTTTGAAAGATTGCTCCTCGTCCATTGCGCCCATCCAAGAAGCCCATGACTTGCCAATGGACATAGCCCCCAACGCGAGTGGTGACACTCTCACGCCCGCAGTGCTGGCCAGGATGCGATATCGACCTAGCTCAGTCTTGGGCTCTGGTGGGGTTTGAAAAGCCATGGCTGATGCAGAACAGGCTTATTGCAAGTTGCAATGATTTCTGAATGGGAAAGGGCAGGGAACAAGATGAATAGAAATAGATGAATTTGAATTGACTTAGAAGGAGTGGTTTGTATTGGTATGGGCGACGTATTTATGCTAAACAGACGAAACGGTACTATCGGAGAACATTATCGATGGTCTTTGAAGATACGCTTCGACAATAGAGAACAGGCCACCAGCACATGGCTCATCACGGTTAGCCTTCTGGAGATAATAACATATACCCGAGAAATTGACCTCATACAATGCGACTGGATGACATATTAGCATCTACAGCGATGACAATGGCCAATCGACGCGTCAGGACCCAGAGTATAAACTCTCTGTGCTATAATATCTTGTTCCCACTCGGCCAGCCGGAGTTAAGGTTTCTCGGAGCTGTCAGCCAGTTGCATTAGTGCGTTATCCATGGATGATCGTAAGCCAATTAGACCTTGTGTTGTGGAAAGCTAAATGGCCCACACCCCATAATCGGCTCTTATCTCTTATGTATCAGAGCGGCAGAGCACGGTTAATATTATAGGGACCTGTCGGTAGATTAGTCGAGCAATCTCCCTTGTTGCCGAGAATAATGGATTTTTATGCTATTATGGCATGTCAATGTGGTGTTACACAGGAAAATTATCAACGTACACAAGTATGACTGACGGCATGAGGCCTCCGCAAGGGAAAAGAGAGGAATCTTCGATTTAGAGCTTGAAATTCTGGTTGATCATGTATCAATCAGGAGTAACGCGAGATAGAGTCGCCCATTACATGCATGCAAAGTATTTCATGATGTTAGAATATCACCTAGTAGATAGACAAGTTAAATAATTCAGAAACAAATCTGACCTTCTTAAATTACTCAGTCCTGTTTTATTTTCTCCATCGATAAACCTGGTCATCTCCAAACGACCATATGCGTCGCACCTGATGTAGGCGGCGAGGGATGCTTTTGATCTCGTTTTCTGAGATATTCGTCACTCAGGGAGACATGGTAGCAATTGCCATTCAAGGTAAAGAACCCTTCGAATAGGTAAGGTTGTGGGCGCCTGATCGCGATTCGTGCTCGGCCGACTTTCTGCCAGCCATAGGACCTATGGTTGAGAAGAGCGTCGCCTTCGAAGAGGAGGATATCCGTGTCTGATTCAAGCATAGACCTCCTCCAACTCTCAAGGACCTCATCTGCTCCATCCGTCTCAAGGTGCAAGGCTTGTCCAAAAGGATTAACACTCTTAGTTGGTCGCAGGTCGAGTCGAATGCGTTCCACATCGAGAGATAGTCTGAAATCGAGTTGAAAGTTCTCTGATGATTGTAGTAGGAACGGGTCAATTGAAAAGAGTACGTCTTCAATGCTTGAAATCTCACGGATGTTTCCATTTCGTGCTGGGCGAGCTATAAAGGTTATTATTGGAAATTACTACAGACACTTGCATAACTAATTCGCAATATGAGACTTACCTTGACATTGTAGTGCAAGCGAAAAGAGTAAAAACAAATAGATTCTTATAAATTGGACACTCATAGTAGCGAGTGTTTCTTCGATCGCAATAAGCAACAAGGATCGGTACAAGCCGTGAGAGTTAGTCGTTCTGCCCAGTTTCAACACACAACAAATAAGGGTAAATGAACAAAAAGAGAAAAAGTCCAGTATTAGACCAGCACTAATTAATATAGATATCATAGAGTACGGAGTTACCTGATGCTGACGTACCCTATTCGTACACAATACCCCACAACCCGACCCCACTGGCAAGCAAAAGTTGGAAATATGTAACCTGCTGATTCAATTCGGGCCTTTTTTAACTTCACTAGTCTGCATTAGTGTAGTGGCATTACCACAAGAGCTTTTAGGTGAAATAAATACAAGATAAAGAAGTTGGACTTTTTGCACTACAGTGAAACTCGCCTTTTATTTTCTTTGACTTACTCCTCCTACAGTCTAACTCCTAGATACATTTTCAACGACCTACAAAAATCTTCTCCGACCATCAATTAACCTTTCCAGTGATCCGAATGAGAAACTGCATGCCGATTGTTGTCCGATCAAACAGATTATCGCACCTTGAAAAAGCCCATCCAAAGCCCGGAAGATGTGAAAACGCCCTGGGGATCTAAAGCCTTCTGAACCTCAGTCAACCTCTTGTGGTTAGCCTCGCCATAACCCTCGAAAACATCTTGTCCCTTATTCGCATAGTTTATGTATATGAACGGATGGAATGCGTTGAGGCTTTTAGCAGCCTCCTGGAAACTTGCAATAAAGTCCTCTGCCAGGCTATAAGCGGGTTCATCCATTGAGCTATCGGTCCAGCTTAGAGAGAATAGGTTGACTAATTCGTTGTTAGCCGGATCCTCGACACTTTTGTTCAACTACCGAGAGTTGAACAAGTTTTGAGGGATATGACTTACTAATAAGATGCCCCTCAGCATTGAGGCCAAGAGCATTGCCACCCCGTACCTTGGATAGCTTCATTACCGCAGCAGGGATAGAGTAAGTAATCAGCTGTGGGTTCAGCCTGGTCAAGTTTCTACCTTCAACAAGCTCTTTCAAAATGTGAAGGCCCCTTTTCCCGAGTTCTACAGATGGATAATGCGTCAGAGTGGCAAAGACGTTCCTATAATCGTTAAAAGGTCAGTAATGTTAAGGAACACGATATTTAACTCTCATACCTCGTTACTCCTAGTGGTGCCTCTCCACTCGTGCTGTTTGCTAGACTGTTGATCCCTCCAGCAAGACTTCCTAATGCAGGGATGCTGTTCAAAGTGTTAAACACCTGGGGGTATAGGACAGGCTCTGCGTAGCGTTGGGTGGTTGAAATACTCCAACCACTCTGCTGAGTATAGGTGTATCGGTACTCTAAGCCAATAGAGGTGTCTTCGTAATCCTGGATTGCAAAGATCTTCTCAGCCTCTGCAAGCACCAAACCTGTCTGGTTGTCGCCAAAGGTACGCGAGCCGGTGTATAGAGGGCCTTGAGGAAACACGCTGACATTGAACGAGGTTACGATGCCGAAGTTATTGCCGCCTCCTCTAAGCGCATAGTAGAGGTCTGCGTGAGTATTCTCAGAAGCTGTCACGATTGTGGCATTAGCTAGAACAACCTGGTTGTGTCAGCAGTGCTATGCTAAGCCATCACAATAGCTGTTTATCTCACCTCGTACTCTAGGACATTGTCAAGCGCCCATCCGTATTTCGCAGCGAGCACAGAGCTGCCACCGCCGAGAGTAAAACCCCCGATGCCAACTTGTCCGACTCTTCCGCCAACATATGCCAAACCATAAGGATCCAGAGAGGCAAAGACCTGGCGACTAAGTGATCCGCCGCCGACTCGAGCAGTCTTTCGGTCCTCTGAAACAATGGTATTGTTGATCAGGCCAAGGTCGATTGTGACTCCACCAAGAGAGACCGAATCATCTGGGAATCGAGAATGGCCTCCACACTTGACAGCAAATCTACACCAATTTCCCACAAGAACCTGCAAGATTCTAGAGACCTCGCTGGCAGACTGAGGTTGAACGCGGCAAATATACCTGGTCTCCAATTGCTTCTGGTCCCAGATCGTGAAGCTGGAGTCGCTGTCCTTGTAATGAAGGCGGCCCGGAAACTCGGAAGCAAGAGTAGTGCACTAGTCTAATTAGCTAAGTTTTTAGATTTCAATGGCTTACTACTGACTGCCTGCTCGCATTTGGCTCTACCATGGTGGGTGGGCAATTTGTTGTTATTGGATGGTGGGTTAATAGCATTCGCTGAGGCGAATAAGTAGCCGAGGAAGACCTGCGTGAACTTCATTCTGTCTTTGATCGAAATGGAAGCTCTGAGAAGTGTGAAATATAGTCTTTTGGGTTATCTCTGAGGATGTTGGTAGTTTTGCTTTATATATCATTTTTGTTGTCCCTTACCGTCAACTATCAATTTTGACGCGTGGACAAACAGATCCGCCAAGGCTCCTGGTTGATTACAGGAGAACTGAGCATTATAGACATTGCTTGCGTCATCATCATGGTAGATCATGATCTCCATTAAGATTTCACGCTTGGTAGCTACCGTCTTCACCGTATATGTCCGAGTTCCTCCAAGAAAAAAACCTTGTCCCAAACCCAAACCTTATCGACGTGGAACTTGCCGTGGCGACGCTAATGCAAGTTTATGACAGTTGCATGAGTCCCCACAGTGCTATACTTATTCAGGCAAAGTGCTCCACCAACGTTAATCCTCTTAACTCCACCGGTTCCAGCCCAGATTGACGCACCTGTCATCCACCGACATACAACCGCACATTTACTACCACCTACCTCATATTTCTTCACTTTTCCAAGCAGTCATGGCTACAGAAATTAACTTTGAAATCCAGGTGGATTTACGATCTACTATCATCCGCGATCCGGATGACTGGTCCGGTATAGGCGATTCGGCCAAGCGGAAAACAATTCAAAATCGCATCAATCAGCGATCCCGCAGTATGTTCGTCTCCACGCTCGGAGGTTTTCAGTCTTATTAACAGTCACTTTCCAGGAGACCGTCAACGGAAGAATCAGCTGGTCCACCAGAATGCGACATCTCTTCCGGCTCTGATCAATGCTGTCCTGAATCGCAAGGTAGACCTGAAGATGCTCGTGGATAGAATGAACATGCTCCAGCCGCATTCTTCAAACAACAAAACCATCGTCGAAGTGTTCGAAGCTATTGTGAGCCAAGATAGAAGTGCTGGATTGGTCAGGGTCAACATGTTATCCAGCCTATCACAGCTCAACTTTTCACGGACATTGATAATGAATGCCGCTGTTCTTGGGCTTTCTGATGATCTAATGCATGACGACGCTTGCTCGTTATTTGTGGTCGCTGGACCGTGGCCGGTCGGGGTAAATACCAATGCCGAAACTTTGCCCCATAGTCTTCGGCCGACCAGTCTTCAGTATCACAAAGAGCATCACCCCTGGATTGACTTACTCCCAGTAGCCCAACTACGAGATAACATTATTCAACGTGACGTGGACTCATATGATGAGGCGGGTCTATGCTGTGCGTTTACAGGGCGCGGTCTCGATCAGGGTACTGGGGTAGTTGTCTGGCGCGAACCTTGGGACCCTAGCGGGTGGGAAGTGACAGCAGAGTTTGCTCGGACCTGGGGCTGGGTAATTGCTGGTTGTTACGATATATTCCGGTCTACGAATATGTGGCGCGCTCAAAGAGGCGAACGCCCTCTGTTCAAATTAACAGCTTGACATAATAGCTTCTGGATATCATCATGTAAATTCCAACAACACATAACAGATCTAATTACCCCCCAACTGCTGTGTATCGGCCGCGAATCTCTCCAAATCGGCTTAGTATCGTAGATGACATCTCCCATCACTTCTCCTCATGTTATAGTATTACAGCAGTCCGAGATGCCAGGTTCTCTTCTCTCGCGACTTTGGCCTCGCCTTAATATAGATAAACAATTTCAGTGTCAGCAGGTTGGATATCTGCCGTAGATACAACGGATAGGTTCATCGCGGAAATGACCCAGACTGCTAATGAAGGTTTATGCCTTCTGGCACTGAGCGACTGTCACCCGTATCATGACATTACTGTTGAAGGGTCAGGTATACTGCCTATCCAGTCCTCAGATCCGCTCGTACATTCTGATGGGTTTCTTACCCTAGGCCTCGTCTGTCCACGAGACGCTAACGCTCATGGTGTCTTTTGGTATTTGTCGCTGGCCCATTCGAACCTTTTCTGGGCGCTTCTGATTAAGCCCAAAGGCCAGATGGAAAGGGCGACTCTGCTTCTTCGAATTGCTTCATGTAGTAATTATGATCCTAACCCATAAGTTATTCGTTAATTCGATGAGGATTGGGTCCTAGGTGTAGCAGTTTCCTCAGCGACAAAACCATCAAATGTAGGAGAAATCGAATAGTGTTTGGAATTCGACTTTTGTGCTCTATACAAGTTACTTGATATTGTTTACATAGACCCGGCACCTTCAGACCCAACCCTTGCAGCGCTAACAACAGCTCACATCGACAATTCACTATCATTTATGGGATATTTAGAACGGTTTTGACTTGGAGACTCAAAATTTTGGTGCAGACTTTCCCTCTTGCTTTCCAAGAAAGCATTTACTTCTCTATGAAGGCATGATTATCACTAGACAATTACTGCTCCGCTGTGCTAACATTTTTATATCAGCTTACTTGCGACCCTTGGGACTCAATAGAGTTGACAATGAGATTGTGAGAGGAATAGAGACTATAGGACTATATAAAGTTACATGCAAAGCCTTTACTTACATCAGTCGTCTACGCTTATTCTGCTGAGATTCATTATCCCCGTTGCTATCCTCTTCATCGTCAATCTCACTCTCCGTGTCTAGTCCGAATTCCTCGTTCTGATCACCAGTCAAGTCAATCTCAATCTCCGACTCTTCAGTTTCTTCGCGGATCCCTTCATCTTCTATATCATCTTCATCCTGTTCATCCATTTCATCATCACTGCTCCCATTCTCATCAGACACCACTTCATCGTCTTGTGCTTCTTCGTCTACTTCTTCCTTGGTGCCCGATAGTTGTCTGGCTTCAATCAGTCTCATGCGCTCCATGGTTCGATTGAACAGCCTCATGGGCTGTAAGGCCATCTCTAAATGGCGTTTGTGTATGTTACCATCCGCGGTGTCGTCACTTCGTGCTAATGCACCCGACGCGCGAACAACATTCTTGATCTGGCGACCATTCAGCCTTTCTTTCGCGATTGCCTTGAGGCTACCATCGCTTTTTAGATCTTCTGCACTCTTAAGGGATATCTGCCCGAGAAAGGTATGCAATAGTGCACTTCGACTGGATCGTGTAAGTGGCGGGTAGTAGATCGCAAAATGGATGCGAGATATGAAGGCGGTGTCGAACGCACTGATGCGGTTCGTTGTCAAGAAAAGAATCCCGTGATAGTACTCAATCATTCGAAGAAACACTAATATTCGGTGAGCAGGTGTAATCGTATACACATAGCCACAATAGAGTCTTACCCGAGATAACCCCATTATGGGTTAGATTTCTCGACCTTCTCTGCTCCAAATATACGTCAGCTTCATCAAGCAGAAGCACAGCATGCCATCTTTCGGCAAGATCGAAGGCTCTCTTCAATCCCTCCTCCACTGATTTGGGTGAGGTTCCAAGTGTTCCGGCATCGATTCGAACAAGAGGCTTCTGGCAGTAGTCCGCAATACTTTCTAAGCCAGTTATCAGTTTGAGACTCATTTAGTGAATAGAGCTTACCAGCTGTAAGTGTTTTTCCAAGACCTGGTTCACCATACAACAGGAAAGTCATTCCCTTTCCCTTTCCTTTGATAAGATCGTCAAAACAGAAACCATCGTCCTCGTGTACACGAACAAGAGAAAGCAGCTGCTGTTTCTGATCATTCGGAAGAATGAGATTATCGAAAGCTCCTGCGTCGTAACGGATCTCTTCGATAGCATCAATGTGAAAGCCTTTCCATATATTCTCCCTCAACGAGTATCCTTTGACGTGTGTGTGACATATCATGAAGTCTTCTTCTGTCAGACTTTCTAGAACGTCTTCAGGCTTGTACGTCTTTTGGTCATCGAGCAGACGTATCCGGCCGATGTAGGTCGTAGCGTTCCAGCCGTCCCGATCCGCCATAATTCGAGTTTTCATCTGCCAATTAGTGTGGATTCGGAATGTGTTAGCAACGCACTTACCCGACCTGAGGATTTGCTAGGATTCTCCTCGAACCAGAGGTGACGCTTTCCATGAATGCCCACAAATTTCCGACCGCGAGCTATAAACATCTCTCTCTTACTTTGCTTCTCTTCTTCCGAAAAAGCATCAAATGTAGTGACGTGAAGCTCTTTGGGTGCTTTCAACCCTTCGTAATGGTCAATACTTGCAGAAACGTTGGTGAAACCAAAGTTGAGACCATTATAATCGATGTTAACCCCAGACAAGACCCAGGACTTCCCGGATTTCGTCATCTGGTTAAATCTGAAGGCCCATGGCTCATCATCCCAAACATAAGCAAGATCACCGGTCCTAAACATCATCCACAAGTACTTATGCTCCAGGCCGGGTTCAAAGTCCGCGAGCCATACCAAAGCGTTGAAACAAATTATCTCTGTTGCGAAGACCTCCCACATGTGTGTGACGAGGTGTTCGATGTGTTTCGCGGCTTCCTCATCTTGATTCTCCGACATCCTCCTTCCGTAATCCATAAGCTCTTCTCGATAGTGGAAAAGGCAATGAGGCTCGTCAGTAATGGTGATGTTCTTGATATAGATGTTGAAATTGGCGTACTCCGGAATGATCTTCTTGAGTGCCCTTTTCATGAATGGAGACTTAATCTCAAGCACAGTCTTCTCGAGATCCTGTTCTTTATCCCAGTAGTTTGTGACTGTCATAGCACTGTCATTGGCTCGCGTCGTCTTTGACTTGTACTTCTGGCCTGCTGGCAAAATAACACGGTCTCCATAAGTATTGTAAAACGAGTCAAAGCGTTTTGTTTCACAGACAGCGCCACCTCCATCGAGTATCATTGGGTTGACTGGTTGGGATGGTAGAGAAACCGTCCAGTCAAACAGCTCTTGACCAGCTTCCATCTCATCCAAACTTAGATAGTGTGCCAGGGTGGGGTACTGCAATGACTAGAAGGAAGAAGAAGAAGATAATGCGTAAGGATTATAATGCGGTAAGGAGGTAGGAAGAGCTGAACATTTATTCAAAATAACAATCGCGTTACACCAATAATTCTGCCTTGGCGACCAACCATCTCCACACACACCCTTGCACAAAGCCCGTACCGGTACATAATCTCTATCCCTCTCATACCCCAATACACGTCGCCGCCAGGGTTAATTTAACCGTAGATCGATTCACAACACCATCAAATTTTTGACTACTTCTCGGCCTTTGCAACTGTTTCAGAGGCAGAGTCTGGTTCGCAATTCTGATTGTTATTGACGCATGGCTCCAACTTGACCGCAGCAATCGTATTGTATGGTTGATTATCCACGGACTCGGACAACCATTTGTCCATTACGTATTTCCCATGGCGATCACGTTGAACTTGAGAGGAAGGTGTCTTGTCTCCAGGTCGCGGGACAGTGACAAACGTGTTAGACTATTAAAAGTCATTTCAATTTCCAAGAAGCTCAAGAATTAGCGATGGGTCATACCATATTGATCTGCTGTAGCTAAATACTTCGATGTTGATTGTACTTTTATACTTTAATGTCGCTTGCTGAATACTGTGATTTATATGAACTAGGTGTTACATCTTCTCTAGATTGGGCATTATATTTATATTAATGTCTGGGTAGAGTGAATGGCCCTTTCAGTTCTTTTGAAGACTTTTAGTCAGTCTAATTAATACCAGGGCAAGGGATTATGGACCCAATTACATACGCATGACTCCTCTATATTGGCAACTGACTCCAGTCCCGTTCTCTTACAGTCCTTCCAAAGCCTTTCGCATTACCGCCCCGGATGCCATCGTGCACGTTTACTGAGAGTTACATGACGGAAAGCCCCAGGAGACCTTCTTAGGCTTTTAGAATCCTTTGCCAGGGGACCAATACAGGATGGGCTCTACAGCCTCATTATAACCGCATACACTAGGGGTCTAGGGGAGACGGGTAGAGCCTATCCAGTTCTTTTTGGACTTTCCCTCGACCAATGAGGACCTGGGATATAACTGGCTGGAAGTTCGTCGCGTGAGAATGAGCGGGGACGTGTCGATAATATTCCATCCAAGCGACCATCGCGCAAACGCAAAGCACCACCCCTTGGAGAAGCCCAATGGGAACAGAAGAAGCCGTATATAGAGCAGCTTTATATGACAGAACACCTCCCTTTGTCGGAGGTAATACGAAGGATGGAAAAAGATCATGAATTCTTCGCTACGTAAGCATTACCTCTTGTGCATTGTACAATAACCTGGTATCATAGCTGACAAACCCGCATTACAGAGAGAGAATGTACAAGAACAGGTTTAAGGCTTGGCGCTGGTCTAAGAATATCCCTACAGCATGGATGGCAAAGAAAGCACAGCAACGCAAGAATGATGGAAAAGACACAGTATTTTACTGTAACGACCAAAGATTGACTGCGGACGACGTAGCGCAGAGGAATGGCAAAGCTTGGCAGAATCAAAGCGACGATTGTAAGTGTGTCCCATTGTGTTCTGACAGAGGGCTGTTTCTAATTCCCTAGGCTCATCAGTTATCTGCGGTCGCACTCCTCAAGATACAAAGTATTACACACCTGGGAACGAAAGGCATCAGCGGGACGTCTCCCAGCCACGCGGCTCGAGCTATAGGCGTGAGGAAGAGAAATTCTATCTGGACACACCACCAATCAACATTGAGCTGAACAAGACAACACTATCTCAACTTCACAATTTACTCAGCGGTGCCTCTCGTGCAGCCTCGGCCGGCGATGTTGATGAAGCCGCTGCAGACTTTCGGGATGCTGTATCGGGATTTCGCTTCAAACTTTCACCAACTCACGACGAAACGCTTAGGGCTGCATACCTTTATACTTGCTTCTATGCAAATTTGAACCAGATGGATAAGGCAGATGCTATACTAAACTGGATGTCCAACCACCACGTCAAGAAATAGGGGCCAAGGCATGACAATGCTTATCTTCACTATGCACGCATGATAGAGTTGTATCGATCTTAGGGTCGCCAAGAAGATGCAGAGCTCCTCATCTATAAGCTCTTGGATGATGAGACGGATGATGGGGTCAACCTTCTTGACATGGTTAACGAATCCTCCGCTCAAAGTACCATGTCAATCAACCTGGACACATCGTTCCCTGAGACAGATGACCCCCAGTCAATAAGCCAACAGCTCAACAAGATCGATCTAGCAATGGTCTCAAACATCAATGGTCTAGACAATGTCCTTGAGGTCATCATCAGGCATTGTGAATGCAAGCCCCATGATCTTGATATATCTTTGCAGGCTTGCAGAGCCAAGTGTGCGCTTGCGAAATGGCGCAACAACGCTGGTAATTTGGAACAGGCCTTTAATCTCCTCAAAGGTGCCAGAAGATCAATCACACCCTTTCTCTGTGTCGGCGAAGAGCCCATGTCGCGGACGACTATCCAAACCGCGAAAACACTCGCTTATCAGTTTCTGGCCATGGAGGACGAGTCTTCCTGTAACGCTGTGCTCGAAGATGTTGTTAGTTCACTAGAGGCACGATGCCAAGTCTTTGATTGCGACGTAAACGAGGGGGAGCTTCTCCTGGACTTTGTTCTGACTGTTGGGTTCCATTTTCACGAGGTTGCCTCCTGGGATAAATGCCGATATTGGGTCGAGCGCGGGTATGGTCTTGCCATTAGGATGCATGGCATAAGGTCTCTGGAAGCTCGCAGATTCCAGAAGGTACTAGACAAGGAGGACTTCGATATGAGGACTTCGATAAGTGTACACGATCCGATGAAGTCTTCTGGGGGCTTCTTCAATATCAGACTAGTTTCTAACCCAGCGTCCCTATAGATAGTCTAACATGAACCAGTCATCGTCAAAGACATCATCCAAGGCTGTATTACAGGTCACAAGGCGCCAAAGACGGTGCGACGGGTGATTGATCAGTGATCCTATAACTTTGCTGCTAGTAATCACGCAAATATTCAGGAAAAGGTAAAACTAATGAAGCTGGCCGAAATTGAGGACGTCGTAGGCATGGTCAAGCAGCGTATCTGGATTTGCAAAGTTCAAACTATTTCTTCTTCCTGAGCCATCCTGCCGTAGTAAAGAAGCTTTTGGAGGATCTTGGCGCCTATGCCATTCTGACTGATGAAGATGCTACAAGTGCGCATTGCCATCTTGGAGCCTTCCCTTTTGTAAAGCAAAGCGCGTTCGATAGGTTTACCAACACTCTATCCTGATAGTATGTAAGAATTTTGACTACCTACAGAGAAATACCGACGGCAAAATGCTAACGAATAGATTGGATTTTAATCCATCAACATAAATGGGTACTCAGTATCCAGTTATAAAGCAACACACAGTGTAATTATCAACTTAGATTATTCTTATAGATAGCATAGTGAACTCTTCAATTTGTACTCTTGAATAATAACTTAATCACTCCTCCTTTCGTCACTATTGCCCTATTTTCTCATACCTGTGATATGTTATTCGTCTTGCTGCTTGAGTGCTGACGAAACCTATAGGGAACTTACGTGAAATGGATATACGTACTCATCATCTCAGGCTTCATAGACCCTTATTTCTCCGTTTGTCCCTGTTCCGTTGTGGGCTTCTTGTCAGATTCGTTGGCCTGAGGTGGTTTACCTAGAAACCGGTTCGACGGCCCAGGCTGCTGCTTTTTTCCTTTTTTAGCGTCGGTCGGCGGCGCAGGAGGCAGAAATGGCACGTTTGGCAGTATGGAAAGAATGATGTCAAAGAATCCCATTGTTTAGGTATTGCTGAAAGAACGTCTCGGCTATAGTGATGGATCTTTGATGCTTGTTGCGTTGTTGTGATGCTGGGAAACCTCGGTCTTGGATTCGGAAAGAGGTACGCTTTTCTTTGGAGAAGACTCAGCCTGAGTCATAGGTAGGAACAAATATTAATCCGCCGTTCACGTGCGAATCAACTGACGTCAGCAAATGCTGTTGGTCACAATCATACGAAGTACATACCAGTTCGGCGCGGCCAGTCGGCTACGTATCAATACTCAATTTATCCGCGCTTAGGGATATCCACAACTCTCTCAGGTCGGTCAGCGGGAATTGACAAATACGCTCTGCCCCTCTCATTGTGATATCATCAGAAAATCTGCTGGTTCATGATTTGCTGAAGGGTAATAGACCCGTGGTGTTACCTTGACCCATGTACTCAAGTTACCTTCCCGGCTCGGCTACCTCCCGAGAGAACAGCGCATTTGGGTCTCGACTTCTTGGCATTCGGGTAGTGCCATAAAAGTCTATCCACATTGCCTTTTGATCCACCATTGAGCTCAGGTATAACCGGCTAGTATGGCCCTATTACACATGCGCAGGGATAGTAAACATCAGTGCGTTTCCTTTCGCCAAACCAATGTATATCGGCAATATCCCTAGATGCTTACTCTATATCTGTATAAATGCTTACTAACACTAGCTTATTGTTATTTGTGACACTTCTTTAATTGACAGTTCAGGCGAAAATTTAGATTTCAGCTACTATTCTTAATGATTAAGTTGTCACCGGACAATGTTTCAGTAAAACGGAGTTTTTCTTTTGCATGCACCTAACAGTGAGGCTTTTGTTGGTCCAGTTCGCTATGACGCTGTTGGTCGCCCCCTGTAGTCAATGAATTTCCCTCCTGACCTTGTTTAGTTCAGCAGAGATGGCTGGTCGAGAACCATTCCAATGCACGAAAACCCCTTTCAGGTGTGAGAGTGACCAACATAATATCACCACAAAGTTAAAATTCCAGGACAATGTGCGTACAAGTGGGCAACGTGTACAACGGATCACGACCCCCTGCATAGACGACCCATACTCCTTATTTCTATCCGAGGTTTTATTTGCCTAAACAGGAAAGAGAAGCCAGAAAGTCTTACGTAGTCGATACGATAATGATTATAGTCAATCTTTAGTCACGCGTATATCTGTATGAGTCACTTGCAGAGATAAAACTCTTTATTAGTCGGCTATATTCTCTCAAGAGGTGATCTCTAATAAACAACTTCCTCTATCATATCTTTTTGGACCAGACTATCATCATGAAGCTTACCTACGCTCTCGTCGCTGCGGCACCTCTGTTTTGCAATGTATGAACCTCTTGGGGCCATTCCATCAAAGTCAGCTATTAACTTGTTGCGTAGGCGACGGAGCTGGAGGCCCCCATCGAAGGGTATGGTGTGGTCGTACCGGAGTGGGAAGTCGAGATAACACCCGGGGGCTCGACAACTCTCTTGAACGGGACGATCGAGGAAGTCCATGAGGAACTCCTTCAGTTGAACCCTGACTGGGACGAGGAGTACACTGGAAAAAGCACTGAGAGCGAGTTTACAGAGCGGGATTCCGGCTTTGGCCTCTTTGCTAGGACCGACTTTAGCGACGCTGAGTACCACTGTGGCGGTCGATGGCCACAGTGTCGAACCACCATTATTAATCAAGGTATCTCTTATCTGCGTCGTGCTAATGGCAAGCCGACAAATGGCCCTGGACCGGGAAACTGCGGTCGAGTTAGTTGTTCTTTTAACTCAGCTATCTGGTGGTGTAATGATGTAAGTTTTGTGCTTGAAAATCCTCTAGTGGAGCTCGCTTGACAACTAACACTGGGGATTGCTAGAACGCCAAATCGAAGACCTTGAACAGCTTTTCAAGCATCGCAGACGGTGCTGCTTTTATTGTGAAGAAGTGCTATGTCCCCGACCGAGGTCCACCTGTGCCGGGCAAGTGGAACATGCTTTCTGGTCAAGCATTTCATAACAGCAAGTGGAATGTGATTGTTAGGAAGGACAAGTGTTGAGAGGCTTGATATTTTTGGGATTTTTAGGCTGAGGCCAACTCTCATGAAGACATTAGTAGGCAAGGCTATAGCAGATAGTTGTATCCTAGGTCATTTCAGGAGCAAACATGTCCTTAACATAACCCAGCAGTCCATGGGAAAGATATATTACCCATAAACCGTAAACTCCATCATTCTATCACGATGATTTCTGTAATAACCTTCAAGTAATCTAATAGTTAGCATTTAACATTATAAAGCTGACATTCATAAAACGTAGACTTCCATTTCCATCTGTCATTAGTCAACGATTTTGAAAACACGCTTCTTCAAACCTCGAAGATCAAAGACTCTGGGGCAGCCCACTAGCATATGAGTTGTTGATACAAACTCATCTCAAGCGCCAAACGGCACCTTACAGGATCATGGATTATGATACTGCTGCATATCTACCCTCACGGATCGGCAGTTGCCCGTTTGGGACTTTTAATCTCGAGGAAGCGAGGTCTAGATCATTATGAATACGAGATTGAAGCTCCACTCAAGACCAACTGCATGGACTAAGTCCTGAAGACCCACGCAGTAGTGTGGCCTTCGACAAACAACAAGAGCCAACCGCATACACCAAAGTATACGGACTGGCCATTATTCATGTGTTGGGGCCAAAATGCAGTGCAGCTGCGTTGGGCAGACAGACTATTACGGAGGTTGGACTGCAGCTGCGGTAAATACCTCGGGCCATGAGATTTGAGCTTAAAAGCTCACGATATCCGGCCCAATCCCTATGTTTAACCAACATTCCTTGATCATCATCAGCCCAAGAATTATTCCACCTCAATTGTTTCACGTTTCATTATGCAGCCTCAACGCTTTATTCTTCTTTCAGCCACATTATTGCCTTCTGTATGTCTTATCGTCACATTTCAGATTCTGGTCCTCTGCTGATCTCAATTCCTGTAGGCTCTTGCCGTCGATGCTCCCATCGAAGGGTACGGAGTAGTTGTCCCCGAATGGGAGGTCGAGGTGACCTCAGGGTCAACGGCAGTACTTGGGGGGACAATAGAGGAGATCCACGATGAGCTTCTCCTGTTGAACCCCCAGTGGGACGAAGAGTACATGTCCAACTCTACACAGTCCGATGCCAATACTGAGAAGAGAGATTCTGACATGCATCTCTTTGGCCGTACCGACTTCAAAGGGGCGAAATACACATGTCGTGGCCGCTGGCCCGAATGCCACCCAGCTCCCATTGTTACGGGCATAGAGTACCTTCGATATGTTCAAGGGAAGCCAAAGAATGGTCCCGGCCCCGGAAACTGTGGCCGAGTAAGCTGCTCCAACAACGCTGCGATCTGGTGGTGTAATGATGTAAGTCACACCCCTTCATAGCTTGAAGTCGAGTATAACTAATGGGCCATGGAACGGAAGAACGCCAGCTCCAAAATTTTGAACGGTTTTGGAAGTATTGCTGATGGGGCTGAATATATTAATGACAAATGCACACGATGGGGTTGGCAAAATGGAGGCTATCGAAGTTTTGTGTCGGGACAGGTGTTCCACAGCACTAAATGGAATGTCATTGTGCGAAAGGACAAGTGCTAGGTGGGTGAGAATACCCAGCTCACCGCATGCTAAGTTTCGTATCAGTAAGAGGATAGAGGGTAATAAGGTAGATCGAGGTGGCTCACGGCTTCTTGCCAGGTTTCAAATATGATATTCAACAATGTATTTGTCCACAAGAAATGGGAACTGGTGCTGGCTCATGCTTTTGATATCACACGGATGGTATCTGATCAAATCCAGATGTACTGTCATGTAGCGCAATGCTGGTGTTTGTTACTACGTGGTCGGCGGTCGAGAATATCCTCTCACACTCGTTGATGTTGGAGGCATGATTAGCAAACCGAAGGCTATCGCAGGCAGTCAGGGCTGTACAATTTGCATTGTGTGCTAGCATTCGTGGAGGTTTGAAAGAAGCTTTAGCATCGCCGATATCGCGTTGCCACGGCTGGCAATACGGACCAGGGGGGCGCCTATTCACTAAGAATTGAGAAAGCCGGTGTAGATTGCCAGTCGCAATCCCGACTGGTCAGTTGACTCTTTCGTGGAGCTCAGGACGGCGGGCTCGGTAATAAGGGGCGACTACGTTGATGTTGAGGATAATCAGGGTTTCCGTCTCGGGCCGGATTGGCGACATGGTCTAAACGGCCACTTGAGACCTCAAGATGGATGTGTAGCAAGGTTGAATATGTCCCTGGCACCACAAAGACCGTTATTCAATAAGGGCAGCCAGGCTTAACACTACATCCAATTGGACTGGGACTGGGGAGTATAATGGATCGATCTGGTGGGTAACATAGTATAGGCTCAATCTGCAGACAACCTCGTCGTAATATCCTGAACGACGGCGTCCTTTATCCTCTTGACTGACTCGTCGCTAACATGGCCTTCTTCGATGTACTTAACAGCTTGCTCCATTGCGCGCATGTCTTCACGTAATTCCACCAGATCGTTATCATATGTATCCAATAATTCCTCCGTCGCCATCTTCATAAATCTCTCCGAGTCCGTGTCCAGCACTTCAAGACTATGTTTCAAGTCTTGCTGCGATGTCTCCATGACGGTGCATCGCTCTCGGAGCTTGTCCATGCCCTGAGTCACGTCTTTGTTCTCCTGCCTCAGCTTCTCATTCTCCGTCTCCAAAGCTTCAATCCGCTTCGCGTCTCGGGCCATTATGTCTTTCATATCTTGTAACTCCTTCCAAATAAGGGCGATATTATTATTATGTTCGTTTTGACTATCTTGTCTAGGGCGCTTTCTATCGTTCTTGAGATCAATTGGAGGCGGCGGCGGTGGGGGTTCAACTTCATTATATGACGGTGGTGGAAGTGATGTGTCGCCTGCAAGATTGACGAGCTTGGCCCCTTGGCCGCCATACATGCTAGCGAGCTGGAAGCGACTGCTGCGAAAAGACTTGAGAAGGCCCTGGTTGGCTGAATCGCTGATAGCCTGGAACCCAGGGTTCTCACGAGCCTCGATATAAATGGAGAATGCGGTGGCCTGGCAAAGATCACGAACAGCATCGAGAACTAGACCGGAAGGTGCGCGGGCTGGAGCCACCGGCTCCAGAGCAGCAGTGGGAAGAAAGACGTCGAGAGGGCGGCTCAAAGCGAGGCCGAGGCAGAGACTGATAGAGCCCAACTCTTGTTGTAACGCGTCGGGAACCGTCGGGTTCTTGACAAGGTCTAACGAGATGATGGATGACGCACAGGTTCTGAGGGTTATGGTTGTGTGGTCGATTCCTTTGAGCTTGAGGGGGACGCTTAGTTCGAAGAACGCGCATGTCTTGTCGAAACGGGTGGTGAGTGTTACAGGAGTGGCTTTGGGGTCGCCCTTTGACAGGCTACGCGTCTTGCCATCTGACTCCCACTGGATGACGGCGTCGGTAGTGTGATGAATGTCGAGGTATGGTGAAGAAGACGACATTACTGCAGCCAGTCAGTGCGATAACAACTGTACGTACCTAAACGTAGCTGTAGCTGAGCCAGTCAACCCTCGCCGCGACCGAGAGGAGGAACAGCTTCGCTGACAGGCAACCTGTCCGGTCTCCAGCGAGCTGCAAGGCCAAGCAGGTCCCTTCTACAGACCCCGGTTGTTCCAGCAAAGGAGGCGAAATGCGCTCGTTTGAAGGGTACAAGTCGGAATTTTAACGGTCTGTAGCGCGATTCACCGCCTCTCTCGGACGCGTTTCGGGCGACGGGTTCAGCTGGTTGAAGAGCATGGGTTGATGAGAGCGCTAAAAGTACAGCGATAAAAGAACGGCGATGGGAGGATATAGATGAGAGATGAAGCCATCGCGACGAAAGAGCTAGCATACCATGGCGTGTAGGATGGAAAACGGATGGCTGGTGTGGATAGGAGGAGTAATCTTAGTCGGGATAATAGTTAGTCCGAGGTCCGAGCGGGACTGGCGCCTGGTTAGCCCCACTATTACTACGTATGAAATGAAACTCCGCCTCAGTTTACCCTATGGACAATAATGGGATAAATCGATTAAACACTGCAGACTCTGGTCAATAGAAAAATATTTATTTTCATCATATAACATTATTCACTGTCTTTCTTTTTTATTAATACTCTACTTTACTGGCTGGACTTGTATCACAATAGCAGGTATGATCTAAGTTTCCAAAATTTGAACATCACCTGAGCTTCCGTGGTTATACTGATGGCGGAACAAAACACAGTGAAAACTGTGTTAATTATAAACCGTCTTCGCAAATATTACTAGACCACGAGTATAGTACCGCCAGAACGCGAAATCAGGTTAACATGCTTCAGCCCTATTTTCCCGGCTCTCCGCATTCCAAATCCACCAACCATTACACAAATAAGCATTAGGGCGAAGTCAAACCAAAAGCACGCGCGGTACCCTTCCAGAATGGCGTCCGTGGAATCTGGCGCCGCCGTCCGCTTTGTTACCGCAGCTGAGACGACCTGCACAATGGCCAAACCCAAAGCATTCCCGAGCTGCGCAGCTGTGTTGAAAAGGGCACCAGCAAAAGATTGTCTGTCTTCAGGAAAACCCTCGCTAATAATGAGAAGCCCGACGGTGAAAAGAACATCGATAGAAAAGGGCAGAAGGAGCTGCGCAAAGAAAGGCCCAAGCCAATAAGAAGACATAGGTTGGGTCAGTGCCATTATTAACGGTGAGCCAGATGAGAGCAGAGATGCGCTGGTCACAAGCCAGACAGCAGGTATGATATGCACGATATGACCGGTTATCACATTCAAAATTATCCCAACAGCAATACTTGGAAGGATCCGGGTGGCGGCCTCAATAGCTGACAGGTGTTGGATCTTTTGAAAGCTATGATAAGTGTTAGTTGAGTGCCGAGTCAAAAGCTCGCGTTGGTCACTCACAAGAGACTGGTGAGAAGATCCAGAGAATTGAGTACTGCAAATGCCAGAGCTATATTGATGCACCCGGTAGTAAATGCGAAGTTACTCCACACGGCATTTGGGATCAAAACCGGTCTGCTTCGTTTTGCCTGATAATGCATCCATCCAAAGAACAGAGGCAAAGTCACCAAGCTGGAGCATAGAAGGATAATGTTACCCGGTTTTGTGAGGTGGTGAACATCGATGCTGATAGCTCTTCCCATACGTCAGTTTTGTTCGATGGAGTGGATCGCCAACTTACGCAAAGAAATAGGACAGGGACGCCATGAAAGCAGAGGCGAGCAAGGCTCCGAGCCAGTCAATCTTACATCTCAGATTGATGATTGTGTTCCGGAAGCCTCCAAGCGATGTGGACCTTGGCAGTGACCATATGCCGACAGGGAAAAGGAGTAGGGTAATACCGCCATAGAGGTACCACCCCGAACACCACCCGAGGGTATCCATGAGCGCACCGCTTACCACAAGTCCGAACGAGAACCCGATTAGTTGGCTAACTCCCAAGCAAGCAAAGGATACATTGCGGCTCCTGCCACTAGGGTGAGCTTTGCCAACAAGAGCCACAGAGGTAGACAGGTGTAGTGCCACCATGATACCCTGAAGCGCTCTTAAGATGATCAGCTCTTGACCAGTCGTGATAAATCCACAGGACAGCATGAGCAGGCCGTTAGCTATACATCCCGCCAGATTCAGTGATCGCGGCCCCACAACATCAGCCACGGCGCCTAACACAAGCAACGTAGAGGCTGTGGATAATCCCTGGACTGATAATGGCCAGAAGGCAAGTGATTGAGGTATGTTGAGATCTGCTGTCAATCTCGGTAGTCCTATAACAATGAGGCCATTCGTGGCGCTCGAGGTGAAATTGACACCGCAAAGCTGGACTACTGTTATGGTTCTTCGTAGACGGGACCAAGATTGCGGGATGGTATCGATGAGATCGGTCGAGGAAGGCGGGAGTTCGAAGATGGCTGCATGAGCCTGGGCCTGGTCTTTCAATGCTGGTGATCCCAGTTCAGGGGATGGAGATTTCATCTTCGTGTGACAAGAACCCAATCCCGTAAACGTAGTCGCGTACTCTTAGATTTGGGGTTTCATTTTGCCTGTTGAACTTTTAGATCAAGGCTCTTAGCTGATACCCTCAGGAGAGGACTATTGGTATTTAATGTACCACGAATACGGTAGTCTAAGAGATGACTTGTGACTTATTAGCGTCGGAATGATCCCTTGCAGCGCCTCGATCTAGGCTAGTAAACTCAAAGGTGCCCTATAACTGTATAACGGGTGTGTGGGGTGTTAATTCGCTACTAGAGCCTCACACTCTGAAATCTAGGGATATTGTCACATCAAGACGACATTATGAACAAGTCTCACGTCAGATACTTGCAATTTGACACCCATACATAGCTATACAGCATACTTAGTCACCGGACAAAGCTGATAAGGAGTTTCTGGATGGACAAGGTTTATAATTTTTGGGAGAGTGTTGAGGTCAGCCCTACCGTATCCACTCAGTAACTCCGCCACGTATGTCTAAGGTTGGGGTTCTAGATTTCAACTACTCTCTTCGTGTTCGCTAGTTCAAGGTCGGCATTCTAATGACTGATAGAAATATCCCTGAGCTAACCAGTGAAAGCATTGTATTTGTCTTTTACAGATGTCAAAGCACACCATGGAGAATTAAAGACTTAGTTACGTATGCTGTAGAAGCTTGCACCTACACACCCTGCTATTACTACAAGAATCCACTTCATAAAATGTAAATAACAAGGAATCTCCATCCTTTACGACATTAGTAAATAATATACCACACTCCTTTCCTACTCTTGACTCAATAACACTCAATCATTCGGTTCCGATGTGTACATGATTTGTGTGTTTACTGTCCTGTATTTATTAGTTGATGGTTAGTGAATCATCGGTCTTTACGTTTTCTTTGCCCTGCCTAGAATGCCTTTTATTTTTCAAGCTAAAACTCTCCGGCAAATCGTTCCCGTCTGGACCACTTTAGCCAGAAAATTAGCGATATGCTACATCCGCCAGTTATTTGTTAATGAACTATGGGCAACGGGAAACATGCTTCTGAGGGGCGGGGGAGATGACAAGCTGAAGACTGTAATACAAGTCATAATGCTTTTCCCGCTAACGGCGTTTTTTATATATAGTAAGACGATTATTGTAGGAGCGTAACGGCCTCGCCGAAATTTTCAAGCTAGGTTAGATGCTTTAGACCGCTACCTGCTTACTTTTTACTAGTAAACCAAACATATCTTCTTCGACCTAAGACCTTAGACTAGTGATTTGTTCCTTTTAGCGTTTCTCAAATAGGCCATATTCAGCTCCAGCTAGCCAGCCACATTTATGCACAACGACCCAGTAATAATTCTTCGGATAAGTCGGGAAAATGTAATGTGGCGAAGCAATGAGATGGTCTGGATTGGATGAGCCTAATAATGTTTTTGTTTTGAAGTGGACAAAAGAGAGGGCCATCTAAATAGACAAACGAACAGCCGAAGGTCACGCACAAGTCGAAGCTCTCAATAGTCTTCTAACAATACCTGTCTTAAATGCTACTTGTATATCAGCAAGCTACATAATTCCAACCTCGAACGTCGCAGTTCTGACAGCAATTATCTAAGGCGAAATATCCTTAATCTCGAAAAGGAAGCGGGCATGACGTCTGCGTCGCCAGCAGCTCCACTATAGAACAAGCTAACCGACGTATAGCAAATACAAGAGGGTGTAAAAAAGAGCATCGTGCGTAATTTAGCGACTTACAGGAAAGAAAAGGTCAGCGACCAGTTTTTTCAGCGTCCTTCACGATAGCCAAATAGCACACAGAATGTCCTGATAGGCTGGATCTTAGGCTGTAATCCGTATGCTATCTACGTTGGTTTTGAAAATTTGTCAAGCCTGAAGATGCTCGTCATTGAATTTTCGTTACAGAAAACTTGAATGGTTAATAATGAAACCAGTGCTGTGGTTCACATAATTGTGTTAGCGCTCTACTGATCGGACTTCTTCTGCCGAGGGCACACATACGCACATACATACAGGCATTTATCAGCTCGGATAGTTTTATCTCACACCATTCCACCTGTAATTCGGAGAGAGGATGAGACTGCTAGGTGTGGATGTATTGTATACCCCTGATCAAGGTGTTTATGACTTTATAGTATTGGCCTACAAAACTGAAGTTTCTTATTCTTGCTTAACATCTAGTTTTTAAATACCGCAACTTACTCTAGCTGCCTGCATGAATGCGTTATCAAATCTTCGAATACACCATCAGCTCTTAACTAGGACTTACTCTGTTAAGGTGGAGGCCCTCTTATCCAGCGTCCTTACGTCCAATTCCGGGATTGGCTATGGCTGCAACACTGGTACATCTTCCGGTGATGGGGTTGAGTCAGGTGAACGGAGTCAAGGAGTTTATTGCTGCCCACAGGAAGAAAATCGCTAATGGGAAAGATACCAGCAACTCGGACGTAAAGCACAAGATTCCATAGCCTATCTGACTTGCTGGTGGCATCGATACATTCGTGGCAAAACCTGTGTCCTATAGGGCTGAGGCTAATCTGTTTGTAGAGCCTTAACAGTAATGTACTTATAATCTCTATAACTTTCGACATCGTGTCGACCCTACGCTTATTAGCGTCTGAGCCGCTGGGTCTCAAGTCCATCTAGAGTCTAGGCCATTCATACCGTTAATATCAATAGTATCGTAAATAAGAAAAAGTGTTATAGTCCGGTCTGGGTGTACACTTTTTTTCGATTTAACCTTTAACTTTATCAAGCCCAGGCTTTCCAAATCTCTTAATGATATTGACAATCAAAATGACCCCCTCTAAGGGCAAAACTCAATATGATCAAGGCAGCAAAATCGCACACGGCAACTAAACTCTATCCAAGTGAACACGTAGATCACACGGCCGTGCGCATAAAAGCTGGCTTCCCCCCCCCCCACACCCTCAACCTGATCCACACCACAAACTACCTGGTCAATCGACCCTCGCAGCTGCAGTCAGTCAATCAACCCCTGGTCCCCTACGTCTGGGTGTACATAATAATATAAGGTACTGTAGTGGCTTTAGTTGCGATGGTGTGACAACACAGCTTGTACCCGAACAATGCAGGAGCGTTCGAGTTGTAGGGACGTAGGCTACTAAGTTAAGATGACGGGGAAAACGATGGAAAATCGATGTTACACACGTGAAACCAAAGAGCTCGTAATGTATATTAATGTTAGTTTACTTTGATTACTTTGAACAGATACATAGAATAGTCTAAATATCGATAATGTAATATTCTATAACTTCCCAGCTGAACTCACTCTGTAAACGAATATCTTAAGTAATGACTTACAGGTTCTGTTTACTATCCTAAATGGAAAGATCTTTCTCGTAATACAAACCTATGATCAAGTCTTATTACAAGTACTGGGACCTGTTTAAGCTCCTACAAAATCGTACTTTCTATTTCTTAAAGCTGACCTTTTATTGTAAACCTTTTCTACAATACCACACTATTATATATGCAGAGGCTTCTTACATTCCCTAACCTGCTGTATAGTAATAAGTATCCGTTCTCTTTAGGTTTCTAAATAAGTGAGACTTCATCTCTCCCACCGCTTGGGTAGAGAAATACTACCGATTTAGTACTTAGGAATACTGGCTGCTCTTTAATAATTTTTAATTATAGCTAAAGCTTGTATCCCTGTAGGGAAAAGTCTTAAAACTTCCTTCTGCCCTCTGGCCTTGCCGCACCTGTCGTTCTAGCACCCAGTATAAGGTATACTTTTGATTACCAAATTCGACATTTGGAACTACACCCTAAACGACAGTGGCCAGCTTGCAGTCTAGCCAAACATAGTTGCACAGCCACCACCGCCATACAAATAATTTATGCAATAGTTTTGGAAGCTTGTCAGCATCAGCTGATAAGGATAAGCCCCGCCGAGGCTGAATATGCCTTATGAGTTGTATTCATAAATCCCCGCTGATCCCCGCTCATTCCGAAGCCTCAACTTGGCTATTATGAGTATTAAGTCAGAATGGATCAGTTCAACAATACTAAAGACGTCCCAGAGAGACACGGGCTGTTTCTCCTGCACCCTCAACGTGAGACATATAACATAGACGACTACCTAATTGAGTAAACCATCTCACCGTGAAATTTGAGACTCTCGTGTGACTGATCAACTTGACAGCATCGTCGCCATCCACGGCCTTGGGGGTCATCCGTTCAAAACATGGACCGAGAAAGAGGGGAGACATCTGTGGCTGCGAGACTCACTACCAGGCCACATTCCCCAAGCACGAATATTGACATTCGGATATGACTCGACCGTAGTATTCGGGAAGTCTCGGTCTCAAATTCACGACTATGCAATTGATCTCGCAAACCGCCTCGAAGCCTTTCGCCAGCATCCTCAAGAACGAGATCGCCCGCTAATCTTCATCTGCCACAGTCTGGGCGGCGTTGTTTTCAAGGAATTCCTTGTCCAAGTGACGCTGAACAAGGACTCGTTTGGACATGTCGCCAACAGCGTTGCGGGTGTTGTCTTTTTAGGTTGTCCTCATCGTGGCTCTCGCGTTGCGTCGCATGCACGCCTGCTATCGAGAATAATTAACGCTGCGACACTAGGCTCTGGCGCCAGGTCTGATTTAATTAAGCTGCTTCAGGTTTCGTCTACAGAGCTGGAGGCAGTTTCTCGCCATGCGACTTATCCTCTGAAATCCCTCATAATCATTTCTTTTTATGAGCAAGTGCCAACAGGGCCAAGCATGGTGAAGAAAATGCTATCTTTCCCCTAGATTACTACTAAATATTTCTTGATAGGTTGTTGAACCCTTTTCAGCCATCTTAGGTCTTCCAAACGAACGGGCTATGCCTGTCAATACAGACCATCGTGGACTTGCTCACGTTTCACCCCGCAAACCTCAGCAATATCTCCCTGTCTGGTCATCCGTCAAGGAGCTAGCCGAAAGTTAGCATTCTATCGCTACAACTATGTCTTACAATACTAACAGATCTAGGCTGCTTGACTCCAATACAAGCTGACAATCGAAAGCTCCTGGAAGGCTTGTTTTGCTTCGACTCAAAGTCAGCCCAGATGCGACCTCGCCAACCGCAACATGGGACATGCGAGTGGATATTTAGCCATGCCAAATATCTGACCTGGTTTCATTCTAACGAGCCTTCAATGCTGCTGCTAACCGGGAATGCTGGATCTGGCAAAAGTGTTCTTGCACGCTGCGTCGCCGAACGGATCCAATCAGGCGGCGTGGACAGAGCGTCTGGTTCCGACTACCTCACAGCCAGTTACTTCTGCTCGTACGTTGAAGCTGCGCTGAACAGTCAAGAAGTTGTGTTGCGCACACTCTTGCATCAACTTATCCAACTCAATCCACGGTGCGGAGCCCTTGTCCGCAACCGTCTCCTGAAACGAATGAGGACAGGGGAAGAGATTCTCGATTTGGACGTTCGGAAAATGTGGGAGACCCTACGAGAGGTTCTTTCCATGCAGACTATGAGCCATGTGATCGTAGTCATAGATGCCATTGAGGAGCTTGGCGTCACTGTTGCAAAAGCTATTCTCGGTGGACTGTGGAACATCGCCGACTATCTCCGCAGAACACAGCAGGACAATCATCTCCGAGTCTTTGTTTCAAGCCGCCCCAACCTTACACCATCTAGCAAGGGGATTTCAGGCCTGGAGATTCTGCATCTCGGTGACGTTGATATGAAGGCCGACATCAAACTCTATCTCTCAAGCTCGATTAACGACCTCGAAGCTCAGAATGCAAGTTTCAGCGCATCCATCACTCCTGACTTGCGCGAGAAGGTCATTACTCAAATTTCAAAAGCTGCAGGTAGCATGTTCCTTGCAGCTGTGGTCACATGGGAAGACTTCAAGAGAGGCCTGCTATGGAACCAGGACGTCGTGGTACAGAAGTTGGAAAAGGTGGTCTCTAGTGGCAGTAGCATGGGTTCGTTCTATGACAGGCTAATGGAAAAGATCGACCCGTTCATGCTCGACGATGCTTTGTCAATCTTCGCCATCATCTCTGCGGCAGCACGGCCCTTATCCGAGACCGAGATTGGGACAATCCTGGGAATCTGCCGATCGGGGCGGCATATCACAAGATCCACGGATTTCGAGCCGTTCAGCAACCTGAATACGATAATGGAAGACAGCTTCGAAGATTTGATCATAGTTCAAGACGATAACACGGTTACCTTTATTCACCTGTCATTCAAAGATTATCTCATCAGCCAGGAGAGATTCAAACGGGTGATTCAAAAAGGGCGTCAGAGTATCACCAAGGCGTGTCTGGTCTACCTGAAGCTACGTGACCTGCTCCAGAGTGCCGTAGAGAAGACAAAATATGACGGTACGTCTCCTGCACATACTTATGAGACATGAGAAATAGCAAGCTAATATTCTCTAGATCTAGCAAGTCGATATCCTCTTCTTCCCTACGCTACCAGTCATTTCTACTGGCACATCAACCAACTCCCAACCGATGACCCTCTGTGGCTTTTATTCGCCGACACGGCCGGGAAGTACAGTATCTATACCCTGGAATCGATGTGGCCAATGCATAGGTACTTTGATGGAAGCCCTCTGCAACACATTCTCTTCAGTAATTCCATCCCCGATTCTTCAGCCTTGGGGCTGACCCGTAGATTTCATGAGCATGGCTATGATTTAGATGAGAAATGGCGGCATTCTTCTCGTGGCGCAATACTAAGGAGCTGTTGTTACTATGCTAAAACTGAATCCAGCAAAGAGGCGGCTCTTTTGCTTCTGGAACTTGGAGCAAATCCGAATCTTCCCGAAAACTCTGACCGAACAAATATCGGGCACGCTCTCGAAAATGGAGCCTGGAACTTGTACGACGCATTATTGAGTCACCCAATGACGGATCTCAGCGCTCGAAATGTCCTTGGCGAGACCTTGCTACATCATCAGATGCAATTCGGGACGTTGGACAGAATCGCCGAGCTTCTGGATTTGATTGACGAGGTGGATCTGAACCCTCAAGACTGTGAAGGACGCACGCCGCTTCATGTGGCGACTATGCTAGAGAAGGAACACGCAGTACGAATGCTCCTCGCCAGACCAGGCATTCGACTCAACTTGGTGGACAATATGGGTCGGACGCCATTGGCACTGGCTACCTACTGGGGTCGCAATAAAATGGCTCTGACACTCATTGAGCACGCGGGGGCATTTCCGCTAGCAAAAGAAGGTCATCTCAGCGCCCTTGTCCTCGCAGCAAAGCGTGACGACAAGGATATTTGTAATAAGTTGCTAGTGGCGTGCCAGTACCAGAACCTACGCTTCCACCAAGATATGTCAGGTAAAGGGATATTGCACCATGCTGCCATGAACGACTGGGACGACGTGATAGAGACGTGTGTGCGTCGCGGTGGCCGGACAATTGATATTGACCAGATCGACCACTCGGGTCGCAGCGCTTTACACTATGCTTCAAGCCTAGGCAATATTGCAAGTTGCCAGGCTCTCATCAACGGTGGTGCAAGTCTCACCCTTCAAGATCGTCTTGGCAGAACGGCAGCTCAAGCCACCGCCGACGCTGGCTTCAAAGATGCACTCCTGCTGCTTCTAAAGAGCGGTCGAGTAGACCCTAATCAGAAAGACAGTGAAAGGCGTAACTTGGTTCACTGGGCAGCTACAATAGACTGTGTCGACGTCATGGAGCTCATCTCGCGGATGCCGGCTGTCAAGTTGGACCAAAAAGACTGTCATGGCAAAACACCAATTGACATCGCCTTTATCTGCCAGTGCAAGTATGTTGGCTTGTTTCTCGCTAGCAAGGTACCACATCTCAACATATACTCATGGGATCTGATATACCGCGCTCCGATTCTGAGTAGGGAGTCCATATATCGTACAGAAGAACTCTATACCACTTTCGAAAATGATCTATTGATGAGGAACGCGCAGCGACAACAAGCCGCACATGAAGAGCACAAAGAATTGCAAAAGCAGTACCCCCCGGAGCTCTGGGCCCTGAGGACGATGGAGATTTGATTGCTGACAGGCGAGCATGTGACGGCGAATGCAACTGGTCCAGCGTATTTGTTCAGTGTTAGAATAAGGTTGCACATCAATGAATGACCTGATTCGGGTGGTTTCTGTGTCGAGAATGTTATAAGAACCGCATTAAATGGCGTTATCAGAAGCACATTCACAGCGTGGGAGTATTATAGATTAGAGTGAAGATTGATAGAGGTCCAAGAGAGTGTATAGAAGGTAATCAACTGGCATGAGAGGGCCCTCGCAGCAATATTTGTGGGTTTGCGTATTTCTTTCTCCCACGACAGACAGCTTCTCAAAATCATTCTGGGAGTCAGTTTAGCCAGACTGGGCCTGGAAAGTGCAACCTCCCTCCTTAATACTGCACTGCGCTCCGGTGAAAACAGCGTTCTTGCAGTCGGTGAAGGAAGCACGACGATCGCGCCCGTTCTTAACAAAGTCAACAACGAGAATGTTGTTTACACCATTCATGCTCAGCTTTCCTCCATCAACATCAAGACTACCACCTGACAACTCGCGTCGAGCGTACTCCCTGCACGAGCCGGCGAAACCCTGAGTAAGTTGTTTAGAAGCTCCATCCGATGGCACGAGAGTGACGAGGCATTGGCGGGCGCAGCCGGGGGAGTTGGGAGTACCGCCCCCAGCAGTAGCAGTGTCTTTGACGGCGATGGAAAGGGCACTACCCGCGAAGGTGGCCATGGTGAAGATAGTGGCGACTCTCATATTGACGTTCTTGTGGCTGTTAGCGGAAGTCGAGTAATGTTCTACATGGAGATTGAAGCTTACTGAGTTATGATCGGTGAAGAGATTGGAAGATTGTGTCTTGGTGATTGTGATCTGTTGAGAGTTGGTGAGGAAACAATGGCCCTTTTTATACCTCGTTGGAGCTTCTTTTCTCTGAGCAACACTTTCGAAAAAGACGTCATGCTGTAGAGTAAAGTCAAAGTAAAACCAAGATCAACAACCAGCGAAGGCCGAAAGGCGAAAGAAATCAAGGATAGTGAATGAGTAAGACTTACTAAGAGGTAACAAAAGAGAAGATGATCGGTATAAGCAGGTTCCATACGAGAACATGTGCCGCCCATATGTAAATCGCAGCTAGATAAAGAATAGTGAGGCGCATCAAAGAAGGGATATGTAACCCTCGGGTGGATCTTTTCAAGATCGAGAAGGTGGAAGAGACCGTAGGTTTGGGCATAAGTTGCACAAATAGTAACAACTTTTGCCTAAATAGCATTAGGGGTTTGGATGACTACTAAGTAGCTATGCTTGTACTAGGGGCCGATGTAAAGAATCGGGCTGGGGCTCTATCGAAAAAGTCACAGTCGTTGACCAAGTGGTTTTACACAAAGGCTTTCTTGGGACAGCATAGAACTCTTTACAATGTAACAAATCAGCCTAATAAAGATCAACGACGAAATACACCACCAAAAGTGAACGATGAGCTATATTACTACTGTAATTATTATGCTTTGACACATGGCACGGAACTCGGGATTAACCGCCTTTGATCGACCTCACATTTTTGTCAAAGAACGGACATGGTTAGAGATCCTACACGTAGGGGTCGACCGCAATATGGTGGTCTGTAAGTGGAGCTTTTGAATACTATGGTTCTTGACATACAATTTGGACTAGCAACTGTAGTTCTCGTGTAGAAAATACAGGGGCACCGGCAGTGGCAGTGCTAAAATCCTCTAAACGCACACTTTTGCATCTCCAAGACTCGGTGGTCGAAAGGGAATGGCCAGCTGAGCTTGGACGATCTCGATCGTTGCAGATCACCCGCTCGTGGTACGAATGGCTATGCAGCTGAGCTTACTAAAAACTTTCGACATGATTTGTAAGTTGCCAAAGTCACCCAACTAACTACATATAGCACAACAGAACATATTAGCAATGAATTTCATTCGTATGAGGTTCTTTCATATTGCGCTTTGACAAAAGTCTAGTAATGCCAGATAGCTGGCTACGGATTACCTACAATGGTCGCCTACAAGGTAGTAGCTTGCAAATGGACATGTCGGCCGCCCTCGTATAATATAGAGTCACACGCCTATCTAGGGGCACGGTTGAGATGCGAGGAGATATGAAGACGTATGGAGCTTGAGTAATATCAGCGTTCAACCAGTTGGCGGCACGGTGTGACCGGTAGGGCAATATTGCACTAAAAGACAGAGGTGAATATGGTGCAAATGTATCAATTGAAAAAGGATAGTGCTTAGTAATTCTATTTATGAGTAAGAGTTTAACAATCATAGTCACTAATTGTATCGCACTAGTGATCAAATTAGCGACTGCCCATATGAAAATGTTGGAGCCGAGGTTGTTCGTCAATAGACGCGAAGTCATCTGCTCCAGCGGTAACCGAGGTGGATCCGAGTTCATGTTATTTGAGACAGAACCCAGCTTACCGACATGGAACTGGGTTCCGAGTAGACCATTGGCTGACTTGTCAAAGCTAGGAATTTCCTGGTAATCTAGGTCCTTGACGAACTTACCATCGGATTCGTATGACCAGCCTTGGACAATCATTAAATTGAAGAGACAATAAAGCCATGTGACATGATACGTTCCAGTTGGAACCTTCAAAGTTCCTGCATACTCTTCCTCAAGCGGGTATGACTGGTGAGCTTTAATTTTCTCTTGATGATCTTGGATCACATAGAACGTGCACTCTGCCTCTGTGATACGCAAGAAGTCGACCGGTTCAACAAAATGGGAGGCGACAATCCATTCATTAGAGAAGATGGCCCGTCTGTCAAGTTCATACGTTGTAGGAGACTAGTAACAGGAGGAATGCAAGGCTTTGGCAGCTTTTAGACCCTCATCCTCCTACTAGGTAGCACGCAGCCGAAGAACGAGAGTCCGCCCTTGTAGGCATGCATGATCAGGCGCGAGCTGTCCGCTTGCCTAGCTCCAGTGACTGGTCTAATCCTACCTTATTGCGAGGTCAAGCCAATAGTGACAAACCTAATTGATGTTACTCATGATAGCACAAGACAAAGAGCGGCATAAAAGCTGTCAACGAGGGCCAAAGGGGATGCGAAGGCTACATTCTGCTGCGACTAGGCGTTAGAGCTAGGCAAGCATTGGATCGAAGATACCGGCAATGAGATTGTTTTTAGATTATCTGGCGCAAAAAGGCTGCAACAAGGATTTGTTTCATACCATGGACCAGGAAATCTATAATGTTCCTCTATTGAAACAGATTGCTTTGGCAGTGGGGATAACTGAGGTAATGCAACGTCATTATCTCCCGCTCCTACCCTGTCCCGGCTTCGGAAGATAGCAACGATCCAGGAGTAGTTGAAAACATCTACTCCCTGCGGCACCAGGTTTGCGGGTCTTACACAGTAGTCATAGCGATAAGGGCCCGTCTTTAGCTATCTATCTTGAGACAGTTGATGTTCTAAGTTCGGTTTAGCGCATAGACCGAGGCCGTTTACAGTATCTAACAAGGGTCTAATTATAGCAGCCTCTTTCCCCTTACCTATCAAGCGTGTTTTCATTGGAGGCGTTTCTTCTTGTTCTCCTCTGATTTGGGCCACCTTGCCGCTGTTAAATAGAGCCACTTGAGATCATCGAGTTAAGACCACGAAAGCATTTGCTATTTCTAAAGATAATATTTATGCATTTCAAGAATTAGAAAATTTAGTAAAAATATACTAACCCTTGAGCCGTATTACCACCTCTAGACTCTCTAAGGGCCGAAAGGTTAGGTCTTCATATGGTGGGTCTCTGACGTGCTAATAATGGATATTCCGGTGGATTAAAAAAAGAAATTGATAGAGATCGTTTTACCTAGCGCGCTGAACGAAACTTCCTCAAACGGGTATTACTTTTACCGCCCTCCCGTGGGCAAAGATTGGCGTTCCGTTTCACGCAGATGCGATACCCACGGGAAAGAGGCCCACCAAACTCAAACTCCTGCCGGCCTGGCCATACTATTCTTAGCAGCATATACATAATGGAGGTTTTATCAAGTATCTATATATATGTATACAATATCATATCTTGGAATCTTAGGTTGCCTCAGTGTGAACTCGGGGAGCTGGAATCCCATTCTGCACTGTTGACCCTTCCCTTTTCTCTTTGTCTTTTTGTTTCTATAATTCTTGCTGTTTTATCTCTTGATTTATTTCTTTTATATTTCGCTGCATTTATTTGCTCTCACTTCAATTTGTACAAACTGGTTTTGTGCTTACGCGTCTTAACAGCTCGAAACCGACAAGATCACAGAACAAAAAAAAAAGTCATAAACAGTAACCAGTGGCCTGTCATGACTGGAAGCGACGAGAAATCGGCTTGGACCGACTCCGTTGTGTCAACCCGCAAGAACTCGGATGACTGGCAGCTTTCGAGATCAAATTCTCTTGTTCTAAGTCATCTCGATGTCAAAGTCGACACGCTCAAGGTGCCCGACCATGACGCAAATACCTACAGCAAATCCGTCACGCCGGCTGTCGAGAGAGGAGAGAAACCATTCGAGGACGATCACGACAACCACAAAGGCCATAGTGCTATCGATATGTTCGATCCGAACCGCCCCAAGATGGCCTTCAAGCAGCGGCTACACCACTTCACCTGGGCCTGGTACACATTCCCTATGAGCACTGGCGGCCTGTCGCTCCTTATCTTTGCCCAGCCGCACCAGTTCCCCGGGCTCAGGGAGATTGGCATGACTGTATACATCATCAATATCCTTCTTTTCATCGCTATCTGCTCTACAATGCTATTGCGTTTCTTCTTCAACCCCGGAGATATGTCCAAGTCGCTTACTCATGAGCGTGAGGGCTTCTTCTTCCCCACGTTCTTTCTATCGGTAGCGACCCTTATAACCAGCACCCAACGATATGCCATCCCAGACAACAACGAGACACTGGCTTGGGCTATCCAGATGGCATTTTGGGGATATGTCATCATGACCCTACTGCTTGCTGTTGGTCAATATAGCTACGTCTTCGCGGCGCATAGCTTTGGCCTACAGACGATGATGCCAACGTGGATTCTCCCTATCTTTCCTATCATGCTCTCAGGTACCATTGCTTCCGTTATTGCCGATACGCAGCCCGAGATCGCGGCAGTCCCCATCATCGTGGCCGGCTTGACGTGCCAAGGTCTTGGGCTGTCTGTTGCTGTCCTTATGTACTCCCACATGGTCGGTCGCTTAATGTCAGCTGGCCTCCCTAACCGCGAACACCGTCCCGGCCTGTTTATGAATGTTGGCCCGCCATCGTTCACAGCGCTAGCCTTGATTGGCATGGCCAACGGGCTGCCTGACAGTCTTGACCCTGATATGGACGGCATTATCGTTGATGCTGGCATTATTCGCACCATGGCTTTGATATCCGGAATCAGTCTCTGGGCACTTGCGGCCTGGTGGTGGGGTATTGCCCTGATATCAGTTCTCCGATCGCCTCCCGTCTATTTTCATCTCGGCTGGTGGGCCATGGTCTTTCCTAACACTGGCTGGATCCTCGCTACTATTTCTATTGGAAATGCCCTTGGCAATGAGCCAGTGAAGTGGGTGGCAACGGGTATGAGTATTGTACTTGGCATTACTTACTTCTATGTCCTCTACAACCATGTCCGGGCGGTGATAGTACAAGATATTATGTACACTGGAAGGTAAGCTATCCAAGTCATTCTTCACCACAGAATTCAATGATTACTGAATTATTGCTGACTTGCTGAAAGGGACGAGGACTTCAACGACCACTAAGATTAGTTAGAGGCACGACCTAGACGTGAAAGTAGCGTTACATCGCGGATGTTTTTCTGTCGTGGTGCTATAAGGTTCTTCTGGCTTTTGGCCTTCAGTTGAACTGGATTATCATTAATTTTGCTATCTACTTTACAAGTGGAGCGTCTGAATCTCATCATAAATACTTAGCTACTATTACATTTATTAGATACCGAACTCCTTTTGTTATTTGTTATCGTGATGATGAGTACGTTTCATGGGGAAAGATTTATTAGATCTCCTACCGAAGTCTAGTAGTGCCCGCTCATTGTCTCTGTTCAATTGACACATATAACGCGTAATGTTTAAAGAGAAGTGAGCCAAACCGAGGCCCAATAAGACAGGCACTGTAATAAGCGCTGGAGGTAGACTTAACTACAGAAAGGTTGACGCACACGCCCTCAAGTAATAGCGTTAAGATACCTCATTTACGTGAAGCAAGATGACTACTTGCTTATACCCTGACTGTGGCACATCGTGGTTTATATTGTAGAATTTAATTGCATCATACTTGGAAACATCGCATCATTGAAGAAGCATTAAACGGTCGTTCCGTACCCCAGCATTACCATATGACTAGCTCTCGGTCACCGAACCCATCTGGACAGCCCCGACCTTCTGTCGAGATTTCCTGAAGCGAGCGCAGCAACCTATGATACCATACAGTGTTGTCGCGAACCACAGAAGAAGGCTGATAAGGTTGAGCCAGACAGCCGCCTGCATCCTGCTGCGTGAAGCTGGCAAAAAGTCTTTGTCTCCCTCTGCGCCAAGATAGATCGAAGCAAACACTCCAAATTGCGCCAACCATAGGACAGAGACCACAGCGTCCAACAAGCCCTAATACCACACAGCTGTCATGCAGAATAGCTGCATGATACAGATGATCATAGACACTCCGGCTACAAGCTCGGCATAGACCCAGGACGCATCTGCCCTGGTATTGTCTTTTGTCGCTTGGGCAAGGTCAAGTCCGTACAGAACCGCCGTGACTACGGCAAATATGCATTGCAGTATACGTAGCACAGCATGAGAGACTAGACCTGCCAGGCGCTTCTTCTCCCGATAGTCGGCGGTATCTGCCGATGGCTTCTGGGTTTGTTGGCTGGAAAGCGAGCTCTCAAGATCTATTTTATGGGTGTCTTGTACGGAAGGACCTTATGTAAAAGGTTAGAGACATGTCATGCTAAGGGAATGTATCGGTAACATACTGTGCTTGAGGTATTCGACCTTCTTTGCGTCGACAGGGTGAAGTTGGCTTTCTTGTTGCATTATGGACAACTGGATATCGATGTTTTGTTGATGGGTTGGGGAACTCAGAATTTTCACAGCATACCTCTTTATATATTTGCGAGACTACGCTTGGGACCCTGCTTTGGTTCATCCCTGAGGTAGCGGAGCCTTTGCAGAGAGACACCCTCCATCCCACGTCTTGAGTACAGCTGAGCGAATCCCAACTCTCAAGGGTTTTGCCATACGATCCATCATCGTCGCCAAACATACCAAAGTGGACACTCACTCGGTCAAGCGTAAAAAATAAAATGAAGAAGTGGAGGAAAACTGGAGAAGACTCCGAGCTAGAGGGGGTAGTGGAATTCTGTAGGACCAATCTTTGAGTTTTCGCATTCAGACCCGAAAACATGCGTCAGCTTGTGTCAGATATGGTTGGAGGGGGCAATGCAGCAAGACCAAAGAGAAGGTTCTCGCATCTTGGCATCCAAGGCTTCGAGAGACTGACTCCCGGCCGTTCCGGAGTGGCTTGATCCGTACTTGACAACATAAATACACCTTCCCCATTGAGCATGAATCAATGTCTACAAAGAACCTTGACCTTACAGGGCTTAGCACCTCGATGCGTAAATGCGCTGATTCGTAGGCTTAATATCACCAAATGCAAGAGCTCACATGGAATTTGCCACAACTTAGCAATTATCCAATCGCTAAGTTATCGCAACACTGTTTCCATATAACATCATTATCGCATAGTAGTGAAAGTCCATTCAGTACCATCATCTGTTCAAAAAATGATGCCACAGTTTTCTTGATCACTGGGGCGCGGAAGCGTCGGAACCAAATTCGTATAATTACCCTTTCATCAGTATGATGGGGTGAGGGTTGGTATTTTGCTCTGCCGTGCTTCTTCTCTTGATATAATGTTATTAACAATGAGTCGCTGTTCTTTATTCTCGCCTGCTTTTGTCGGAAACAAGTTAGTTGACTTTGCTTTCCACAGTGTTATAGCAAGATTGACCGCGTTACTTGTGGTCTCGGGCGTCTGGGCTTTTTCTTCTATCCATCTGCACAAGCCTGTTCGCTGTGTACCAAACGACGAGACGGGAGGTCCTGTTATCGCAGCTGACTGCGTCGATCCCGACTACGCTCTTTACGTATTCGACAGCGAGACGGACGTAACGAACCCCACACCTCATCGTCGGATTTCTGGGCATTTCGTCGGCACAAAGGTCGACTTTAACATATACCTCACTCCTAAGCTGCGATGGAAGGGGCGGTTCTTCCAACATATGCACCCATTGCAGACTTCTCTTGCCGATGATAACGCCATTTTGTTTGGAGCTGAAAGTGGTGGCTACACGGTTCAAGCTTCCGGGACGATCGGTTACCGCGCTGATGCAGCTCTTGCAAGGCTTTCACGCCATGTCGCACGAGAATACTATAATAGCCCGTCTGAAAAGATCTACGGGTATATCTACGGCGGCAGTGGTGGTTCTCTTCAAGTCGTTGGCGCTGCTGAGAACACATTTGGCGTCTGGGATGGATGTGTCACCCTCATCCAGGCAATACCAATGTCCATACCCTACAACTGGGGTATTCGAGCGTTGGGCGGCTTGGTCCTTGCAAACCGCTCCAAGGATCTCATTGATACAATCCAGCCAGGTGGTAGTGGAAATCCTCATGCAGTCCTTAACGATCTTGAGAGCCAAATCTTAACAGAAACACAGCATCTTGGTGTTCCTACCAGAGGCTGGGAAGATTGGGATGCCATCGCGGGTAACCGTACCCAATTATGGAAAACCCTCAAAGATCTCACCATTCCCATACTCCAACGCATGGACACTACGTATGTTGATGATTTTTGGACCAAGGATGGTTATGCTGGAAGTGATCAATCTGCATTGGGAGAACGGTTCCGTAACGCTCTTGTTCAATTCACCAGTTCTATCGAGAATGTTACTGCAGGCGACAACGGTTTAGTAACTGAGTTCACGTTAGGAAATGTGCCTAAGGACATAACTGATGTTGTAGGCTTTGGCTTTTCTGTCATAGTCGACAACTTGATACAATATTTCTCGGGAGAGTTTGATTCTGCGACGAGAACAGTATACGTCTCAGCCCGCGCCTCTAACGAGATCCGCGAGGCTCTCAAGCCTGGCACCAACATCCAGGTTGATAACCGGTGGTACCTTGCCACGCATACATACCATCGCCACCAACTCCCTCCGTCCAGCAGCACTTTCCAAGGCCATGATTATCTCCGCAATGAACAAGGCCAGCCACTCTACCCTCAGCGAGATATCTTGATAGGACCACACATCTCAAAACCCGCATCTGGAAACGGTACGCACACGGGCAACATCACCATGAAGATGATTGCCATGGACAACCTTCTTGACGTTGACGCTTTCCCTTTGCATGCAGATTGGTACAAAAACCAGGTCCTCAAGGCCAAGGGTGACCTACGAGATCACTACCGCCTATACTACAGCGATAATGCCAACCACGCCATGGGGAGTATTGAAGCTCCCTATACAAGTCGCGTGGTGGATTTTACTGGCCTTTATCAGCAGCACTTACACGACATGGTTGCGTGGGTCGAGAATAACGTAAACCCTCCCCCGCCTACAAAATACATCATTGAGAAGGGTCAGGTCAGGATCCCTCCGTCTGTGGAGGGACGAAAGGGCATCCAGCCAGTGGTTGAGCTTTTCGTAGACGGATCCAAAGTCATAAGGGGAGCCCCTGGCAAGAAGCAAGAGTTCCGCGTCAAGGCACAAGTCCCAGATGGCATTGGTTACATTGTTGCTCTTGAATGGGACCCTCTCGGGGTTGGTGAGTATACCAAACTAGATATCCAACCAGGACCTGAGGTTGCTTACGAAACATCATATACATATAATGAGCCTGGGGTTTACTTTGCCGGCGTGCGAGCTGCTTCTCATCGGAGTATGGACACGGATACAGATATTGCCCTGGCGTGGAATTTAGATAGGGTCAGGGTAGTGATAGGGTGATATGTAATATGATAAGAGTAGTAATCAACATATGTAGTAAGCGAACTGGATGATTAGCATGGCACACCTGACGCTGAGGGATTTCGACCAGATCCGGATGAGTTCGTGGATAAGAGTCGGGTTAAGTTTGCCCACCATCTTTTCAACCTATATACACTTCAAGTCTACATATTATTAGTCCATGTTTCATATTTATTTGACCTTTACTTGACTGACTTGTCATGGTTATAACTGGTTATGGTATAATGCTATAAAGATTAACTTCATGACGACCAATGTTGGATCCCTAGGGCTCCTTAGAACCCACTGAATTCTGCAACAGATGGATTTTGCACACCGCCACGTGGAGAAAATACAGTCTAGAACAAGGTAGGTCGGGAAGGTGATCCTTCAAGGACTTACTTCGCTACGGGAAGCCTCTAAACGGTTAAGGTTTTTTTGTCACTGATACTACGTGGGTCTTGTCATTATAGTTCGGTGGCCATTCATGCTCAATGAATTGATCACATGCGGATACTGCCTATTGTTTTCACATCATGCCGCCTAGGCTACTTGGGCCTCGACTAGCAGGGATACAGCTCCAACCGGAAGCCAACCGATTAAAGACAAGCTTAAAATGTTAATCCATGACTGTGGAATATTATGGCTCTAGGGACCCATGTACCTAAGCTGATCCTTCTCACGGATACGAGCGGGTAGTATTACTTACTTACCCGTTACGGTGATACGACAAGATGTCTACCGATGATCCGGACAAGTAGTATTCTTTTATAAAGCGCTATAATTACCCGTCTAGGAATGTGCATAGCCATATGATAATAGAATGTAAGAATCTTTCTGATCCATTCTTTTTCTTTTCTTATGCATTAGATCATGCGATTTAGATGTCTGCTTTATTGGTAGAAGATAAGTTGCATTTAAATTAGGAAATGATTCCATAATTACCATGTCTACTTCACTCAAGTATAATATGAACTTTCGCTATACGATAAATTGAATATTTTAAAGTTTTCGATAGTTACTGTACTCCAGTGCGACAAGAAATAACCTTAAGATGTTGGGACTTGACAAAGCCGGGCGGGACTAACGTCCTGGCTAGGTAGTCCATGTTTAAATTGTGGGTTTGGAGATTTTTTCCAGGACGAGTGGGGCCACTTGTCCGTAAAATAACCTTGGACCTGCCTAGATGAGATTCCACCGAGACTGCAGGATCCAACTTGTCGACGGGAATTTTACTCAGCCTACGAGGCTTGGAAATTATAGAGAATCTAGATCAGCCTATGCATGATAGGACCATCTTAATACAGTGTTTCCATTTTATCCACACTTCATAACGGTATGTAAAAAATTAGTATAAGTGCCATTGAGTCCTCCTCCCTTTTGTTTACTTCTTCTCCAAGGCGGCTCACTCTTACTTCAGCACTCAAGTCAACCAATAACAATCACACTTCATAACCATATCTTCAAATTCCAAGATGCAATTCACCACCATTTTCTCTACTGTTGCCTTTGCAACTGGCGCCTACGCTTGGGCCCAGTCCGGTAACGGCGAATGGATTGCCAACAACGAGCTCTATGGCATTATGCCTTACTCCGGCGGTGCTAGTAAGTTATTCCCAACCAAGTTGCTTTGAAACTATTAGACTTACACATTGGGTAGTTAAAGTTTGGGAGGCATGTACCTTCCATGGCTCGAACGCCTTGGTTCCTGCCGGTTATGGTTGCCGATACTGGACTAACGCACAGGGTGGCATCTTCTCCGGAAGTAAGTACTTTTCTTTTATCTCTAGGTAAAAATGATACTAATAGCAATTTCTAGCTTGCCAAGACACTCCCGGCCACGTTATCACCACCCGTACTTGCCAGTAAGCTCTTTATTAGCTTATGCGCATAGAAAATGTCGAGAAGGTCCTTTGACTCGGTTGAAGTTTGTGAAAACCCTTCAGCTAGCTCTGTCAACTAGTCCAAGGCAGATGTACTGAGTAGTCAGTTAGGGGACAGCTTAGTTGAGCCTATTTCTTATTAATTACATGACGCATTGGATATTGTCATGTGCCTGGAACTTTTATCAGAAAGGAATATCGCAAGCTCGTCCGCAACAGCAATGTTGTGGTTTTTAAAGTCAAACTCGTCCCAAGCTGTATTAATGTTGTTGAATGCGCACTTGAATCCGTCAGGATTCTCTAATTGAAATTCTGATCACATCAGGATTGCAGGCATGAATAAATTCATGTCGTTAGATAAAGTTGAACAAAGATTAAACTGGCCTTTAGAGACAAAAGTATTAATCTCTAGTGATGTTTGCAACTCCTGCCAGATTTTGCGTTCGGACTCTAGGTTAGAATATTGTCTCTGTGGTCGCAGTCTGATTTATCAGAGTTCAAAAAATTATTATCCAACCATTACACAGACCTCGATCTTGAGTTGGCTTATTTTGTGGCCAAGAGTACACGGAGATACGTTATTTGGCGTGTCGGGTTAGGTAATGTTAAGTATACTATTGTAGTGGAAACTAACTAACCTGAAAAGGGAGAATCTGACATGCAATTGAACCTAAGTTGCAACGAGGGTAGTAGGCCCTAACTATATCAGCCGAGGCCCCTTTTATAAAATGTGATAAACAATGAGACGTTGGCAGTAAAGCAGACCTGGGGCTTGACTCTTATCCCTTGATAGTGTTAGTGAGTCCACATCAGCCGCTATTACAACTGGACATACAAGTATAACTTTTTAATACTTATAAGTGGATATATAAGAAGTATTCAAGCTATGTGACCAGTTTAACTTCAATAATAACAATATGGAACTATTAAAGAATCTATTTATTTTCTTTTCTAGAATAATATATAAATAACTATTAACGTCTCCAATTTCATACTACAATAAATAGTTACGATTATAACCTTAGCGCATCTTGAACAGCTATGAGTATTCAATACCTTAAGTGGATACCTCATACTCTAATTGTGATCTGTTAACCGTAAACGTCCAATTTTACGAGGTGGTCAGCACTACTCATTCGTTATCCGCTTTACAATCAGACTCAACTCGGCTCCAGAGACAAATCTCACCGAGGTCGATACCAAGATAGGCAATGGAGGACACAAAACTCTTCCCTTTACCGTAATGTCTCCTACGAGATCTTACTAACCCCGCAGTATGACCAAGCTACCAATGTAGTATTGAGTGGGTCACCCGCGGGTATGTCCACGGACGAAGATCCATGACAGTCTATTTAAGAGTATCATCTCACCCAGGAACGATTCTTCAGTGTCAGCCTTACATCACCTCTTACAATCATCATGATCGACTTTACTCTTACCCCCCACCAGATCGGCATTAAAGAAAGAGCGCAGAAGTTCTCAGCCGATGTCTTGTGCGATGCTGCTAGTGTCTACAACCCGCACTCAGATCAAAAGTCTCGATTCCAGGCTACGAAGCCTTTTTACCGTTCAGCAGTCCGAGATGGACTACTAAAGTCATTTTTACCCACCCCACTGGGAGGAAGTTCTGAGGGCTTCGTCGATGCCGTGATTGCGATTGAAGAGCTGTTCGCTGTCGAGCCTGGCATCTCACTCACTCTCGCTGCCACAGTGCTTGGTCTGCTTCCTCTGATCCTTGCGGGAACCCCAGAACAGCATGGAAAGTATCTGGAGAAATTTCTCTCTGGCGAAGGGGAGCCTCTGGCAAGTCTTATGCACTCAGAACCTGGTGGCACCGCAAACTGGCTACAGAAGGGAAGCCCTGGTCTTCAAACCACTGCACGCCACTCTGGAGATGGGTGGATTATCAATGGAGAAAAGGTCAGCAAGCATACTAAATTGTTGGGCTTTATTGATCTAACATCATGATATTAGCTTTGGACCTCTAACAGCGCAGGATGGGACAACAAGGGGGCAGATCTCGCCTGTGTTGTTTGCAGATCGATCACCGACGAGAACACAGAGCAAGACCCAGAGACTGATCCAGCATCCAGCATCATCATTCTCCTTGTCACCCGAGAAACGATTGCTGCCAACAACGCTGATGCATACAAGGTCCTAGGTGAACTAGAACTCATGGGCCATATTTCAACGTCAGGACCACACACCCGTTTCGCAGACTTTTACGTGCCCAGTGACAATCTTCTAGGTCCCCCCGCTAAGGGAGCTGGAATCATAGAAAGAGCTTTTGGAATTTCGGCAGCACTCGTTGGCGCAATGGCTACGGGCATCATGCGCACAGCAATCAAAACAGCACTTGATTTCGCAAAGTCGGATACTCGTGGGGGTTCTAAGCCAATTATCAGTCATCAAAGCGTTGCCGACAAATTGATTGACTGAAAAATTCGAATGGAAACGAGCCAATTGCTCACATGGAAAGCAGCACATGGGCTTGATAGTCAAAGCCTCGATTGCGCGTGCAACTCGAGACTGCCCTACAAGCCAAGATCTATACTTCGGATGTCGCTGTCGACTGCGTTCTAGACGCTATGAAAGCTGTCGGGATGAGCTCATACTCGAAGAAGAGACAATTTCCTCGGCTTTTGGAAGATGTCATGTGTTACTCCCTGTTCGATGGTGGAAACGTGGGGATTAGGAGGCGTCAACTACAACTGATCATGTCCACAGAGGCTTACAGTACCTAGGAAGCTGCGAATGGCCTGGGCGTATGTTATAGTCTGATTCAAAATTTAACCATGTTCTCACAACCACAGTTCGAATGCCAACTTCCTCTTCACGAGTAGATCTACTCATGAAAACATTTAAGTCTCAGTGAGGATGAATCATCCTTTATTACACTCATTGATAGTTATAGTAACAGAGCATCTTGTCGTATAATCTATTGTCACTCAGAACTACAGCACCATGAAATACTAGAAGGTGATGCCTTGTTAGCATTCAGTTAGTGTACGGAACTGACAATGGCTGGCATTATCTGTCTGATTATGAAACATGTTACTATAGATAGATTATCTCTCCTTGCCATTGCATTTGCTTCTTCCATCTAACCGAGACACAGCCGATCGGCTAGTATCATCCGTTCCACTTCAGTTTGGTTGGTTTAAGCATAAGTTGGTAGTTCGCCGTAAAGATAAGAATGGGGCGGGGAGCCTCCGGATCTCATGATCAAGTGTTCGATGGCAGTAGGGAGGTAGAGTGGTTGTCTTCCACCAAAAACCCACACCTAGGGCCTCAAGGAGATAGAGGCCAAATGGAGTGAAATTGAAACCCCCTTACGGACTGATAATTCCTTCGTTCGGATAGGCGGGGCTCTGCAGTGTCTTGAACACGTCATACAACTTGCAGGCTTCAAACTGACCAGTCTTATTACAGCATGATGAAAACAGGGCAAGCCCCGTAGACTTTATCGGCATGTCAACACGCTACTTCGTTTTCTCAGCCTTCAGGTTCTCAATGACGGAATCATTGTATGCATCATGTTTTGGTTTTGTAAAGGGCTTTGGAGAAGTTGAGGATGCCAACTGGCCCTCCAGCCTCAAAGTGGCCTCAAACATTCAACTACTTGGGTCCGAAGCACGAATTGGTTGTCATCTGTGTCAAACCATGTACCAGTCTTGCTTCCATTCTGTCAAAATCTCACAGGAACGTCAGGGTTATCCTATTACAATCTTCGCTTCGCCGCTTGTTCCTTTTAATGATCGAGTTAATCCACAACCACAACAGAGTAGAATGACAGAGCAGCATTCGCCAAACACGCCATCTTCCGGCCAAATACCGAGATAAAACACTATTAACTGGTTGTTTCCCTTCAAACGAACTGCTTCAGTTTACGACTGCTGTCTTGATAGTTGCCTTGATATCTCGGGAACTGAACCCAAAGTGTAACTTAAAATCACCAGACGGAATGACCCAGCTCTGGCTTAAAACATCCCAGTAGCTGAGATCTCTTCGCAACAGCTCAAATTTGACAACTCGCGACCCTCCAACTTCAAGGACAACTTTCTTAAACCCTCGTAGTACCTTGACTGGTGTGCCTTCGGGTGCTCCATTGGGAAACGACAGATACAACTGTAGCACTGTCGCGCCAGGGACTCGCCCAGTATTGGCTATGCGAACCTTCACGGCGAGAATTGGCTTCCAAAGATCCTTATTTCCTCCAGCAGCAATGCCTGCATTATGATCAGGTTTTTCTGCGATATTCTTGACCAACTTAGCAACTTTAGGCGTGCCCTGAATCTCGAAGCTCGTATAGCTCAAGCCGAAGCCAAACTCGAACAAAGGTTTTATGCCAAACTTGTCAAAGTGACGATAGTCGACGAACTGACCCTCTGCAAAATCCGCTTGCCAGGCTCCAGGAGAGACGATATCACTTGAGGAGAGATTGACGGTAGGGATGTCATAGTCCTTCACCTTTTCTGGAATAGTGTATGGTAGTTTTCCAGATGGGTTGACCTTGCCCCAAAGAACATCAACAACCGAATTGCCAGACTCTTGGCCAGGTAGGTGAGCGGCAAGAATAGCTGTGACGTTGGGGTTTTTAGCCCATGGGAGAGTATTGATTCCAGCCGAATGTGTGACCACCACAGTGTTGCTACAGCGTCGTGCAACATTTTCTACTACCAGAGTTGAGTTCCAATCTGCCTCAAACTCTGTCCTATCCCAGTTCTCAGAAGCAAAGGTGTTAAGGAAGACGAGACAAACGTCAGGTATCGGATAAATACTCCGGAAGTCATCCGCCGCGAGGACTTCGTTGTTGAAGACATATTGAACACGTGCGTCGATTTGGGTTGCCTTTGCCATAATGGCTTCCCAGGGTGAGATGAGATATGTATTGCGACCCGTGCCGGAGCCACCTCCGATATCTAGAGTACCGATCTGGAACGGATCGGAATCAGGGATCACAATGCCATTGATTGGGGGACTGGCATCGTTTCCAAAGATACCGATGCTTTTCGGTGTCTTAAGTGGCAGAGTCTCATTGATATTTTTGAGAAGAACAATACCGTCAGCCCCAATCTTGCGAATTAGCGATGCGTGGTCGGCTCGCACATCACGACTTGTTATGTCCTTTGGAATAGGCAGTGTACCAAAGTCTATACCTTGCTGCGCAGCCAGGCCAAGAGTCAAGGTCGGATCGACGGTAGGGAAGCCCATGTCCTGGCGGAGACGATAATAAGGCAACATGATTCTGTGGATCATCTCATCGATGCGCCTCTCATCGACTAATCCTCCTTCGACCATTTGAGTAATATTCTTGGGGCCCCAGTAGCTATTCCCGCTTCCTCGAATAGCTGCGGCGTCGATTGGACCAGGCATGTTCATGTCTAAGCCGGCCTCAAGGGATTCGCGGCCAGAGTGTACGGCGAACCAGTCAGACACGACATAGCCTTCGAATCCGAGTTCCTTGCGCAAAATCTCATCGAGAATGCGAGGATTCTCACAGGCGTAAGTCTCGTTGAGGCGGTTGTAGCTGCACATAACGCTGGCAGTGCCTGCATGAACAGCGTCCGCAAAAGGCCAAAGATATAGTTCGTGTAGAGTTCGATCATCAATGTTGCTAGAGATTCCCATGATCTCAGTACCGTTGGGTAGGAAGGTGTTTGAACGCTGTGTCTCCTGCTCATTACCGATGTAGTGCTTTGAGCAGGCCTGGACTCCCATCTCTTGAATGCCTCGTACTGTAGCACCCATACCCTTACCAGCTAGGTACGGGTCGACGCTGAAACCTTCCCAGTTCCTCCCACCAAGTGTATGTCGACCTAATGGGCCCGCTACAGGGCTTGGAGAGTTCAGATTATGACTTATCGCATGTGCAATGAGGCTACTCACCCTAATTGGACGTGGCTTCCTTTGCCTCGAAATTCTGCCCCCATGGCTTTGCCTCGGGTATACATATGTTCGACATCCCAGGTAGCACCAACCGTGATTCCTGAAGGAAAGACACTGACTAGATCGGCTCTATTGATGGCTTGAGGCCCATCAAGCAAGCAGATGCCTGTAAAGTTTAGACGGGGGATGCTCTGAATGTTGCCGATACAGCCACCGGCACTGACACCTTGTACACCAGTGACCATATTGGCCTTTTCGGTCAAGTTGAGTTTTGAAGTGAATGTTTTAGCCATCTCCAAAGCCTCCTTTAAGTCCCGCGGCTGGACTAGAACACAGCTTCATTAGTATGTGTCGATTGTGGTTGATGATAAGTGAAATACCTGGCTTAGGATCAGATACAGCCTGTGATAATTGACTACATAGCAGCAGAGATGAGAAGACTCGGACCATCATTGTGATATGTATGCTGTGTTGGGGAAAACCTGAATATCGGTAAAGAAAACAAGCAATCTGGAATTCTGTCGGATTCTGGAACTTGTTTTGTAAACCAGAGATGGCCTCTAACGCCTGACCCTAGGGGGAAAGGAGAGGACACGCCATACTTATACTTACATTCCTACCATTCTGGTAGTCAATCGGGTCGGTCCTTGATCCACATTATTCCATCATCATCGTCGATCCTCCAACTGCCTGTCATTGTACAATCCTACTTCATGCCTTAGAATAATCCGGGGTTACCCCGCACTATGCCTACACACGCTGTGCACACAACATTCGTTATGCTGCATCTGCAGGTTTTTGAAAAAGGACCGATGTCCCAGCAGGGCTGGCTAACTAGATACGCGTATTTACATTTTCTCCTACCGCCTAAAGACGAATGAGGTTATTACTGGAAGTGGATGAATACGTGCACCACGAGACTAGTGAAGTTGTAGAATACGCGTATAGGTTGATCCATTCCAATTCCGATCAGCCGATATAGCCACCCGGAAAAGTAATACACAAGCTATGCTTGATAATAATGCATGGCGTCAAATATGCTTCCTTTCTTGTACATTTTTCGTCCACACATCAGCAATACCATGTGTCTCGGTCCTACAGTGGTAGACCTATCACAAACCTCCCAGGTTTTGGGGTTCAAGAATATTCCTGAACGCTTTCGTGGGTGGATGTTGAAATGAAGAATTTTTGATCGAATCAGATAGACTTCCCAGCTTTTCCAAGAGTTGCTGCACTAGTATCTAGTAGATGTCAACAAAAGTATATTGCAAGCATCCAGGAGTCTACTGTTGCAGAAGGGCTGGCATGGATAGCCATTAGCACCTACAACACCTACACCGATGATCCTATCATTCACACGCGTGGCAAATTGGAAAGTCAAAAGTGAGAGCGAGTTCTACCCTCCTAGTCCTAGGCGTCAGACAACACTCTCATATGGTTTCTATTCCATCCAGAACCCTAAGAAGCAATGATACAACTCAAAAGCATCCGATCGAGATCAAAAAGACTAGAAACTTCTGGTCCGGTATTGGAAGCAGGCTTAACTCTTAAGAGCTCCTTAAGAATGGTAGACTTGTCCCAGTTGAATCTGGAATACGCTCGCGATAAACACGCCAGGAAGGATCCACTGAAAGTAATCACCATGACACCGGCGAACATGAACAAAGAGCCAACATATATGGCGTAAGGCCCGCCAAGCCGAGCAACACTCATCCTCGACCTTGCTTTTTGTTTGTGGTAGTACAGGAACCAAAATACAATCCTTGGCGGAAAGCGAAAATGGGGGTTGCGTGTGTGTCGAAACATTCTGGACGTCGTTATGGTGAGTACGAGGGATGCAAACGCATTAGGCTTGTAATTCTACCGTTTGATGAATACTAGTCTTAGGTGAAGGACTGTAGGGCAATCGAGATGCTGCCTCCTTCGAGAGACCGGTACGTGAAAGGTGGCTACGACAAGGTCATCGATTTTATCACGCAATCTATACTCCAGGCGTCCGGCGCATTGCGGAAAGCTCACGATGTGCAGCGAATAGATTGCGATGGATCACAGGATAGCACACCAGTCGTTGTGCATGCTTTAGATGAGACCACTGGTACCTCGCTTGCCATCGAGGGTGACGCTGTGATAGTTACTGTCCGTCTTGTTGTCTTGTTGTTCGGCATGTAGAACAAATGTCAGGCAACCAATAAGCTTTGTCCTCCTATTTTGAACATTTGCTTGAGCTATTGAGCACAGAGCCCTACAATGGCTTATAAAAGAAGGCAGAGGCCATTAACGTGTATTCTTTATGGAATTCTCACATGCTACTTCTTTCAAGATCTTGCATTACTGGCATTATTCCTTGAACTCTATTTATCTTGAAATTCCGGATGTAACTATGCTATCAATATATAAACAATATCAGTAAAGGGATGGCTCTCATAAGGCGTATTCTCCTTCTCCTACATGGAGAAAGTGGTTCAACTATCCTCTAACAATTCTTTTCCCCTCCTATCGCAAATCCCTAAATAACTGCTAAACACACAACGGCCATTCCGCCGATTAGAGACCACCCAAACCCGACTGCTGCAGCAGCGTTGGTAGTTTTCTGCAACCCAATGACATAATATTTGCTGCTTGAAACCACAGCGCCAACATCTTCAGGCCCCGTCCCGTTCCGAAGAGTTGCTTTGAATGAGAAAGCTTTGTTCTTCGAAAGTTGATCCGCAAATGGCTGGAGGGTTTTGATTGTGTTCTTGGGAGTGAACTTGAATTGCTCGTCGGACAGGTTGAGGCCGGACGCGAGTTCAAACTCAAAGCTTCTCAGCTCAGTGGGCTGAGAGAACCATGTAAGATCTATGTTTCGCCATTTGTCTTGTACTGATCTGTTGCCCTCGCTCCATGTGATGGTGACCTCTGTCGATAAGTCGATAGCCTCTGATGTGTTAGGGCCGGTGAACTTGAAAGATTGGACTGTTGCTGCTAGGGCAAGTAGAGAAGAGGAGATGAAGGTTGAGGTATGCATTTTGGAAGAGATTATTGGGAGTAGTTGTTATGAGTGGTAGTCTGCGAGTTTGAGTGGAAAGGATGAGAGACAGTTATGATAGCTAAGTTTAAGGGAGATAAAACCGGCTTATATACCGTCAAGACTTGACTGAAGCATAAACTTCACCGCTGACATCTTGAAAGAAGTGATGCTCCAGCAAATGCAATTGCTATAGCAACATATGCATAGGCCCCATTCTCAACAGCTGTTTATACGACGGTGACGACGCATTTTTGAAGCCATGGAATCGGATCCCTGTCCACCTCCAATAGCATGCCGGCCTGTAAAAAGCTCGAAGTCGGCTACTTCCTTAAATAATGTAGCGCGTTTATCAACCAATCAAGACTTCTCAATGTCGTAGGTTAAAGAGCAAGGCTTAGGGATCCACCACCTTAAATCATTTAGAGCAGTAGCCGAGATCATACGATATACAACGCTTGAGGTTTTTGTGTATTAGGCAAACATTTATTGCACTGATGAATTGTATCCACAGTTGTCTTACAGTCATGTGCGACTCAATTCAAGCATGCTTGACTTCCGATTTTCTAAAGTAATGACTGGAACCTTCCAACTGCTGGTAAAGCTTGGGGGGTCTGTAATACTACTTGGGACGGCTTCCTTCTTGTACGAGACTGAAAATATAATTGATCCACTATTCGCTTACATTGGCGAGGAGTCCCCTTTTTTGAAATCTCTGCCAACCACAAAGCTCAACACTGCCAAGACAATAAAGGTCCATCAGCCGCAGACACTCAGACCTTTCACTCCAGGTAGCTTACTGCAAACGCAGGATCCTTTCTTTCTCTATGGCCCACTATGGCCGTCTCAGTGTGAAGCTTATCATCCGCCGCCATGTGAAGGACAGCACCCTCATCTACCTTGACGCTTGTCACGAGACACTGAAGCGGTCCAATAGAGAGTCCGAGTCATCGTACAACGATGATGTGACGCGGTTATTCCTCGCGCCAGCTTTTGAGGCCTAAGTGAAGATGTAGGGTATGATTATCCCTAACCGGTTATCACGCCTCTGGTGATGAAGTAGTTATTCAATCACAAACGTACCTGACATCATTCTAATTGATATTTCCTCCACTAGGCCACAGGCCCAAAAGTAAAGACATCTTCCTTATGGTTGCAAGCCAGCCGGCTTTATCACAATAAGTCCATGGAGTACCACAGTCAAGTGTCTAATGGAACCAGCTCTTTGATAGTATGTTTATAGAGATTAGGGTAAAAGCGGAATTCTAACACTTTTCTCTACCCTAAATATGTTAAAAACACATATTAATAGGAAATAAGGTATAAATGTCTTAATTAGTATGAATATTACTAAATAAAAGATAATAGTTTTTAAGGCCTGGGGTAAGAAAGATATAAAAACACCTAAATTGAGCCAAGCCAGAATTAAATAAAAATCTAAAGTAGACAAGTTAGTATACCTAAAACTTTAAAGTAGCTATAAGACATTATTACTAAGCTAACTCTTAGTAAACTTAAAATATACGTATTTTACTTTACTAGTTATATATTTACTAGTCCTGGCTATTAGGCAGCTGTAAGGGTCGATTGACTAGGTAGCTTGTAGTGTGGATTAGGTTGAGGGTGTGGGGGGGAAGCCAGCTTTTATACGTACGCTATGTAAGTCATCTACGTGTTCACTTGGATAGAGTTTAGTTGCCTTGTGTAACTTCTGCTACCTTGATTATATTTAGTTTTGACCTGAAAAGGGTTATTCTTATTATTAATATTATTAAGAGATTTGGAAAGCCTGGGCTTGATAAAGTTAAAGGTTAAAGCTAAAAACAAAAATTACTAGTCCTGGTATTACTATATAGAGCTATTTAAAGTCAGGAGTAGGTAAGGATAGACTATAAATAAAGGGAAAATTAATAAGTATTTAATCTAGGTAGGAATCCTTACTTTTTTATATATTTTTCTCCCTACGAAATTATAAGATTTAACATTTTAAGAGACGTAGATAAGAGTCTCTATCTACTTAGAGACTTCTGGTCTCAGCCATGTCATTAATAAGCTTACATTACCAGCAGCATTTATAGACCAATAATACATACAGAAAGTATTAAACCCTGCTACCTTCATTTCAGCCGCAGTCCCCTCATCATTATTTCCTGTTCTTTTTCTCTTAATCCCTCAATCTTACGTGTCGAGACTATATTGATACTCTCATTATTTCTTCCATCTTTGACGCTTTCCCTTTCTTGTAGCGCCATCATCAGCATAATGGTTCGCAATCATCCCGGCGATCCTTATCAACGACAAGTGCTCGTTGATCGTGTATCATCATGCTCCATCCGAGCGGGCCTTGTTGGCACAGTCCATGGTTCCATGAGTCCGGGAGGGGACCCGGGTACTTTAGTAGTCCTCGACTTCGAATTTCAAGCCCTGAAGGTCAGTCGTCGAATTAAATCCGCAGACATTACCCTGCGACTTTATGGAGAGAACGACAACCCCATTGTCGCCAAGATTGCCCCACAAGGTTCTCACTCTTTGGTAAGCCGATATGATAATTTTCTCCATGCCTTCTGTTATTGTTCTTACCTGTTATAGCAAGTCAGCACCACGGAAACCGTAGTAAACAACGGTGGAGCTCTCGACATTGAAATGGGAGGAGCCATGGGCATTGACCTGGGTGGAGCTGCTCATCTAACAAGAACTGTGAACAGTGCTGTCCTCCATGGTTTGATACGTAGTACTGGAATTGGTGGCAACAACGTCGTGACCTGGACTGTGGTTGAAAACTCGACTCTCCGATTAGGCATTCCATCAAACCTGCGCACAGCTATCCTCCTTAAGCGCAGTACAGACGAAGTCTTCCGCGCAGATATCAACATCAAGGCGGAAGTCTCTGGATTCTCATTCAGAGATATCCAAGACGGCCTGATGGATAGTGAAGATGACCCTGTCATTTTCAATCCACAGGCACGTCCTCAATGGCCGAATGGACGACTGCGAGATCACAGCGTACATGACTTGGATGCGATCGACCTCTCATCCCTATTCTCTGTTGACGTGTTGACACCAGTTGACCTAGAATGGGAAAACACTCAGGCGGATGATGCCATGGAAAGAAAGCTAGCCAAAGACTTTGGTCAGTCGAGTAATCCCGAGGACAGTCATAGCGTATCCTGGTTTATTAATCTATGGGATACAAGCTTCAATGTGGAGGAGCGGGTTGGCTTACCGAAAACATTGCAGAAGAAAGACCTAGAGAAGTACTTCTCTTGGATTTCGGAATCACTGGTGCGGTGCTAATCCTATTGTATGTCTAGCTCTCTGCTAACTTTAGCAGAATGAACCCTTAGCAACATCCACTGATGCAGAGAGGGACAAGAAGAACCCAAAGCAGCAGTTAGGACGCCCTGATCTTTGTAACTTGATGTGTGTACCTCTCGCCATTTTTGCGCAGCCTCTTATAACTAAGTAATAAGTGCGAGACAGTCAAGCGAAAAGAAACTCACTAGCCCTCAGATAGAACATCTCCTGAGCGAACCTCCCGTCAAAGTACTGTCTAGTTTCATAGAACTCCCTCACGACTTGGATGTCTCCCACCAGCATGACCGCGGAAGTTGCCGAATGTCCACCGACCGAGAGGGGGAAATAGTTCAGAAAGGTCGGTACTATTACTTCGAGGAGACCGGTTCAAGAGCTCTCACTAATATAAGATTTCTAGCCTATATTATCCAAACCCCATTCTATAGTACCGGGTTCTGGTCGTTAGTACTCTACTCCAAGAAGGACCTGGACGTGCCATGCCCTCCCAGCAGACTGTCCGGGGTCATCCAAGCAGATGCAGGCATAGACCTTCCCATTGTTTTCTCTGGGGTTCGCGAACTTGCCGCAGAATACGGTCGTCATCACAGTTTATTACCCATCCAGCTATTTAAGTTGCATTCCACAGCGACTTCGAAACAACTCAAGTCAATACAGGAAGAGCTCAAAATGGTTGATGAAGACCTTCTGCGGCAATATGAGCAGGAGAGCAAGCCAGAAGAGGCCAACAAGCTCTATCGCAGATTAAGTATGGTGCTGCACAAGTGTAGTATGAAGCTCGCCGAACTTCGTCAACGCAGGAGTTTCGAGGACGACTTAGGGAACGATCTCCGCGACGATCTGGAGGTCAAGAGCAAACTGAGACGAATGGTCGAGTTGATCTCCAAAATGTCTAAGAACTTAGACTTGGATGTTGAAGCTCTACCAGACAGGATTGAGAGCCAAAGAAATGTTGTAAGTTTACTAAGCCACGATCTTGGCCTAGACCCGGCAGCTAAAGTGAGTCATGACAGCTATCTAATTTAATTACGCAGCATGACAGTTTCTTGCAGGCCAGGCTAGCGAGAGAAGCTCTCCGAGACTCCAAGGCTATGAAGACGCTATCAATTCTGACCATCCTATTTCTACCCGGTGCCTTTATTGCCACGATCTTCTCTACCAACATGTTCGAATTCAAAAGCAATGGTCAACAAATTTGGATTTATTTTGTAATAGTTGCTCCCTTAACTATTGTGCTGATGGTCGGTTGGGTAGTTTGGTTGAAAAACACTCCCCACAGGGTCGATGAAGAGACAGGGCATCAATCAAGCCTCGGCATAACCAGAGGCGGTCCCAAAAGAAACAAGGAAGATTAGGTCTGGGACAAACATTCAGCTAAGGAAGAGCTTGATAAGTGGTAAAATAAGAGTAAGAGGAGTAAAGAAGAGAATGACTATTAATGTATTTACTTATCGGTATGTGACCTAGCGCCACGCGATGATATACCTATGAACGACAATAGTAAGGAGAAGTAAGAGTTAAAATCCCGACGGGTAGTGACTTCTAAGTATCTACAACGTCAGATTAGGCGTTAATACAGTAGCTATAGCTATTATTTAGAATGTTTCATAGAGCTGTTTTAAGATTATCTAGTAGCTTTAATTTAGAGTATAGTAGAAATTAATATTAATAATAAAAGTCTCTATTTATGATAAGAGAAGTAACTAATCGTAATTTAACAGTAATGTAACCGAGGTACAAGTCTTTATTTTTATTAAAAAGTAACAATATTACAATTTTAATAATATTAATTACTTACTATATACTAATAGCTTCATTTCTTAATAAGATTAAACCACTACTAAAGCTACTTTTCCCTCCCTATACTTAAATTTAATTAACCTACCTAAGCCTCACAGACCTCCCTTAAGTTACACGTACTCTACTCACTCCAATACCACTATGGACATTATTAAACCAACCGCATTTATAAAAAACAGGTATATCTCGGTTAAAAATTCCTAGATTTAAACCTAAGAGCTATCTTTACCCAAGTATGTCTAACCCGCTTTGGACAATAACGAGGCATTATACTTCGCTCAACATTCAGTATAACCCCCTACACCATCTGCCAACATAAACCGAGTACGGACTAGCTTATTCATTGGGTTTCCCAAGAGTCATACTAAGCTTTCGTCTTATACATAAATATTCAGATAACCGAGCTTGTGCCGACCATGGTGAGACAATTCCTAACGATTTCCGCATATGATTCTCGTGAATCTTCTACCCCTCATTTCAAAAAGTACCCTTCGCAATATCATTCCCGCACTTCATACAAACTACACAAAGAGACTTAGGAGTTAATTTCCTTGCAGTCGGTCGAACGACAACGGCAAGATAGAAATTATGGATGAATTACAGCAGGACATCCAAGATCTAAGAGAATTCGCGGCAACCATCCCCCGAGATCATGGTTTACAACCTACCTGTCTAACCAAGCTCAGTGGTCTTATCGGGAAGCATTTTGATCAGACAAACGATGTCAACGTACTAAATGAATGTATCGAAATCGGACTGGAGTCTCTTCAAATCACACCTCGGGACGACCCCATACGAGGAGGACGGCTTTGCAATATTGGTTCCCGCTTTGATGACCGGTTTTCCATCACTGGGGATACCTCTGATCTCGAAAGAGCATCCTGCCTCACAAAGGAGGCAGTGCAGATTATTCCACTTGATCACCCTAATCGAACACCCTGCTTGATCACGCGTGGCACCATCCTAAAAAGGCTTTTTGTCAAAGCAGCAAAACTACAAGATATCGAAGAGGCCATAAGGGTGACACTGGAAGCTCTGCAAATTACAGATGTCCATCATTATCAATATCAGGCCTCAAGGAATTTGGAAGACTTCTTTATTGAGAAGTATTCCAATACTCAGAACACCATCGATCTTAAAAGCGCTATTGGATACAACCGACAGGCCTTGAAATATGTCCAAGATAACCCGGTCCAAGAGGTTCAATGTTTGTGTGATTTATCTCTTCGACAACGACACTTGTATCGTGAGACGCATGACACACAAGCACGAGAAGAGGCAATAGAGGCAGCGCAACGAGGACTCCAAATTGCATTAGATCATGGTATCGCTCGGGCAGTCTGTCTGACAAACCTAGGATCTGTTTATTATACCAGCTTTGAGTTATCAAAATCGGCAACTGATCTGAACGAGTCCATCCGACTGGTAGAGGAGGCAATTAGTCTAATACCTAAGTGCGATCCATCAAGAGCACCCAACCTGAGAAACCTCACAGATAGACTCCGCCGCAGATTCTACTTAAGTAATACCCTTCTGGACATCCAACGTGCTGTTAAGGTTGCTAAGGAGGCACTCGAGAATATGGTTAAGGATGATGCCGAATGGGTGTCGTTTTCATGCAATCTGGCTCTCTGTTCAGTAGTGATGTACCAGGAAACGAAGCTATTACCAGATCTGGAGTATGCCATACGAGAAACCTATATCGCTTTGGGGTTGAGTCATGAACATGATGATCTCTATGGACAGGTCAAAAGTAACCTCTGCTACTTATTGGGAGACCGATATATCAGAGAAGGGTCGATCAACGACCTTCACGAAGCTATAGCACATGGAGAAATTGCTGTAAAAAAACCTACTGAACCATCTTTCTACGCTAAGCGTTTGATAAATCTAGGGTCAGTTCTCCGCGAACGATATTTCAGGTTTGGAAACGTTGCAGATTTGGAATCAGCCATCGAACTTGGACGGGAAGCAGTCGGGGCCCCATGCCGGGATGAGTCAGATCGTATGAGATTCTCAGCCAGCCTTGGAGCATGGCTAGGGGACAGACACAACGAATCAGGAAGAGAGACTGATCTTATGGAAGGCCTGACCCGTGCCCGTGAGGCATACGAACACTTGGCACTTGATCATCACTCCGGGTCGCTGTGCGCACACACTCTCGGAAAGCTTTTGCAGCAAAAATATAAGCATACTGGTCAAATTGCTGATCTGGACGAGGCTATTGTCTTTGACTCTAAGTCCCTTCACCTCTGTCTCGAACAAGACCCTGTCCGACCAATGCGAATGAACAATCTTGCAGTGTCTCTTGGAAATAAATATTTGGCATCTGGCAACTCGGTATACCTTGACCGTGCCATTCAACTTGTAGAAGATGCCCTCCGCCGGGAAGCCGAAACGTCACCGGAACGGTTCGATATACTACAGAATTACAGTGTGCTGCTCGCTCTTCGATACCAGAAAACGGGGCAGGTTTCAGACCTTGATAAGGCTTGCGAGCAGCTATCTCACGGTCTCGAGCATCTCGCAACTGATCATCCAACGAGATTCACCTTTCTCAGCCTGCTTGCCACTCGAATCAGGGATAAGTATCAAATGAAAGGAGACATCGAGGATCTAGAATATGCTATCAGATTGGCACGACACGCTTGTGCGACTTCTTTCAAGCATGAGAAGGATGGGCCACTGAGGACCCTTAGCACACTTCTTGGCGACAGATTCCTCGCCACTGGAAGAATGGCTGATATCGACGAGAGTATCGCAACATTGAAAGAGGTAGAGGTCAGAATTCCAAGACGTCACATCGATAGACCTGTGCTCCTTACCAATCTGGGAGCACGGTTAGGGGACCGATATGCTCGGACAGGGTTGGTGGAAGATCTTGATGCATCAATTGAATATACTAGACTCGCATCCGATACAACTCCTAAAACCAATGTCGAATGGGCTCTGAGACTTAACAATCTTGCAGCAAGGTTAGGAGAGAGATTTTCAAAGATAGGAAGAACGGTGGACCTTGAAGAGGCCATTCAAATCGGACATGATCTGATACGTGTTACTGATTCCACTGACGCGAATCAATCAGTTTACCTGAACAATCTTGCGGTACACCTCAAGAGTTGTTACCAAAGAACAGGGTTGCTGGATGATCTTGAAACCGCAATAGGGTATGCGCAAAGGTCTGTCATCGCGCTTCCCGAGGGCCATATAGATTTATGTGGACGGCTCAGAAACCTAGTCTCCCTTCTTCACGAGAGGTACCGCATAACAAAAGAAGATAACCATTACAGCCAGGCCATGAATAAAGCAAATGCGGCGATCCAGGCTACCTCAGAAAGCGGCCCTTTGTACCCCTCGTGCTTGAACAACAAAGGAAGTCTCTTACTAAGTCGTTTCATAGTAAAGAGGGATCTGGAGTATCTGGTGGAGTCTATAGGGCTACTACGGAAGGCTGTGGAATTGAGTCCAGAAAGCGATGGCCAGCGCGCAGATCGGCAGAGATTTCTAGGAGACGCTTTGCTCGAGATGTACAATCACAGCAACGATCTCCAATTCTGTGAGGAGGCAATCTCCCTCCATAGAGCGGCAATGGATCAAAGGAATGCCCCTCTTGTTGTTCGAATAAGAGCGAGCAGGTATCTTGTTCACGAACTCGCTGTAGTAGGCAAGTGCGAAGAAGGCTTTGAAGCTGCTAAGAAAGCCCTTGGTCTGGTGCCTCAGTTGATTTTACGATCTCTGGACAACTCGGATAAGCAGTACCTTTTGACACAGGTCGCCGGCCTGGCTTGTGACGCAACTACAGTCGCAATCAAAGCCGGCAAATCCCCAACCGTTGCCATCAGACTTCTCGAACAGGGCCGCGGTATCCTCTCCACCTCGATCAAGGACAAGCGCATCGAAATCCAGGATCTGGAACAAGTTCACCCCAATCTAGCGGCGACATTCACACAAACCAAAGAGAAACTGGAACGCTTAAGCCGCCCTACACAGGCCGCAGACTCCGCCCAGGTTAGTGAGCAGTACGAACTGGAAGAACACTTCAATGCTATTCTCGCAGAGATTAGGACGAAAGCTGGATTCAAAGACTTCCTCCTCGGCCCAAGTGCATCAAGAATACTTACTTGTTCGAAACAAGGCCCGGTCATCGTTATCAATGTCAGCATTGCCCAATGTGACGCAATAGTTCTCAAGGCCCAGGGCGAGGAATATATGAGGCTACCCAAGTTGAGCGAGGCCGAAATCGAGCGAAGGGCCCGAAGCGGTCAAATTAATACACCTGAAACTTTAGAATGGCTATGGGATACTATCGCGAAGCCAATTCTCAGCAACCTGGGTATCACTGATGCACCAGGAGTGGGTGATGACTGGCAACGGATTTGGTGGATACCGACAGGTTCACTCGCCAGATTTCCGCTTCATGCAGCTGGTTATCATCTACGGGACACCAAAGAAACAGTTCTAGATAGAGTTATGTCTTCTTACAGTTCGTCGATCAAAGCGATGCTCCTTTTCGACGAGAGGCCACTGAAGCAATCACCCAGGTCCAAGGCACTTCTAATAAGCGCCGAACATGGAGACTCTAGCCGATACCTACCTTCCGCAGAGAGGGAGATTAGCGTCGTTCGTGAAATGTGCGATACAATGGATTTGGAAGTGGTGGTGGACTCAGGAACATCGAAGACTAATGTTAAATCACACTTGAAAGAGTGCAAGGTCTTTCACTTTGCCGGACATGGATTTACTGACCCTAGTGACCCTTCTAAGAGTCATTTGAAGTTGGGGCCAGGTGAAGATGGAATGTTGACAGTGGGCGAATTAATGGATCTCAATCTGAGCAGGAATCCTCCATTTCTTGCATATCTTTCCGCGTGTGAGACTGCAAGATTTAAGGACTCGAGGTATGCAGATGAGAGTCTCCATCTGATTGGCGCTTGCCAGACTTCTGGCTTCCGCCATGTTGTTGGCACTTTATGGGAGGTCAAAGATGATCTATGCGCGGAAGTTGCAGCTGGCGTCTACAAAACTATTCAAGACCAAGGTTTCAAAGACCGTGCCGTTTGTCTAGGGCTGCATAACGCTGTGAGAGCGATGCGCAAGGATTGGGTCGAGAGTCACAGAAGATATCTAGACCGAGCCCAAAGCGAGATCCTGGATGGAGCAGTTGCCCGGAGACGCAACCCAGAGCTGCGTAATATTATATCTGTGTATGACGATGACGAGGAGAAATTGGAATGGATTCCTTTTGTTCATTTTGGAAACTAGGTCATATCTGGGTGTACTTCACTCTCCGGCTGTTTTGAATTGTATGCAGGCTGCAAGGCACACCGAATTGGCTGACTGTGTCCAATACTGCCATCGCTGCTATTGAGCTAACAATGTGTTGGATTCAAAATCTCGACGGGTAGCGACGGGTAGCGACTGCGTATCACAGATGATGGCTTGTGTTAAGCTTTAATGCGGTAAGTACTACTTCCAATGCTGCGAGGAGGTGTTTTGCGACTGTCCAGACTTTTAGCCAAAGCGTTGTAAAGTTAGAGGAGTCACAAATGACTTATTAGCACTGATTTCTAACATATCCTTCTATACTATAATAGATACACTATATCCCAACAGTTAATAGCTGGATAGCTTCACACTTCCTCTCAACACGAATATTATTCACTTTAATCTCTTATCATGGTGACAAACTGTAATTTCCCACTTCCTTATGAATGCAGGGGAGACACTGGATCCGCTCACGCCACATTCAGTAGTCTCACGCCAAAACAGCTAGTTTCACCCCGCTAATCCTATTCTCTACAAGCGCTCGATACTGGCTCCAATAATAAGATTGGTAGAGGAGATCGCTGGAAATACAAAAACATGTTAAGCGCTCCATGACTCCATCTTAATCCTCATAGATCTTGTCTCTTCTTGTTCCCTCTACCATTATCACCATGAGATTCACGAACTCGGCTCTCCAGCTACTAATGCTGTACCGACTCGCGTCGGCATCACCATGCAAGCCCTCGTCTGTGTTGTCAACAAGCATCGCCGACTCTACACTCTCTACGGCTGTTTCTGTGAGCACATCAGTTCAAGAAACTGAAACATCGACAACCTTCTTGTCCCAGCCCACTACTACCGCAAGCGAGACTATTTCAGACTCAATCACCACCTCTAGTTCCGAGCCTTCAACTATCGCTGGCAGCACTACCACCACTGTCGCATCGGGACCAACCAATATCCTCCTCAATCCCGGCTTTGAAGAAAACACGATCGACCCATGGCAGCGACTCGGCTCCTTCGGAACTGTTTCCCTATCCGACGACGCTTTCAAGGGTGATCGATCGGGCCATTTCAAGTTACCAACCAGCCCTGGAGGGCCCTCATCCGTGGGCTTCAGGCAGAATATCAGCCCCTCCTTAATCAAGCCAAACAGAGAATATCAACTTTCGGTCCACTATAAGACGATATCTGCCACGGGCTGCAACAATCCGCAATACATATCATGCAGCTTCGGTGGTGGCTACTTTCAGCTTCAGGGCTTTAGTGGACCCTTTGGCGAATGGGGTTCAGTGACAACCACATGCTCCTGGACTGAGGAACGATTACAGCGAGGACCAAGTATTGAAGTTCGGAGTTCATGTGAGACTTACGAACTTGACATTGATGAAGCTGTTTTGATCGAAGTTCTTGACTAGTACTCCCTAGATTTATCTTTCTGGGGTGGTTATTACAACATCGTTCTTTTCAACACTAGCTATCTTGCATATACTTGTGCTTAAGTATCTTAACTACCTTGGTTTAGAAAAGCTATTGTTGTTGTCTATTACTTCACTTGTTATATTATTAGCTTTTAACTTTATTAATACTACGGATACCTGGACAAAACCAGAATCAGAACTATTCTACCATGCCTAAATCCAATTGATTAATCACTCCGATTACTAGCGCTCTCCATCGATGTTATTAGTTACTGATCCTTGTAGCTGACCTTAGTGGGGAGCCAATAGAGGGATTGTTACATGCATCATGATCCCCAGGATTATTTTTGCAAATCTGAAATCTCATGACCAAAATATCCCAACGAGCTATCAAGCGATTAGAGTATTTGCACTGAATTACGTTGTGGACGAAGAACAATCTCAAATCACTGATGAATATGGAAGGTCAAAGACTTTCTTTGCAATGGCACAGTCAGGCAACAAGGTTCAGGTCCATAAATTGAAAACACTTGCAGAGACATATCTGATCTGATAGTCACAGCATTTATGTTAAGGAAATTGTAGAATTCCCATGGCTACACATACGCTTGAGCGGTATAGCAAGGTTATCGTCAAGGCTATCATTTTGGGCAGGACTACTGCGCAGCATCGTCTACCTTCGTAGCAAAGGGCTGTAAATAGGGCTCAGCAGATTGAAAGCAGAACTGAAGTGCGTTAATAGCTATTTTCATCACTGCAATATCGAATGGATATTGCCGAACGCTTCTCTCACTGCACTTCAATCCAAGTTAGGCGAATGTGTTTCATTAGAACTTGTCTTCTTTGGGCGGTCTTCCGATAAGCCGCAGACCTCATCATTAAAGCAAACTCAGACTGAGTGAGTAGGAATAAGAGCGGTATATTCTTGATTTCAGTCCCTCCCACTGGTGTAATACCCTGTTAGGAAGGCTATATAGTTGTGCGTGTACTTGTACAGTAAGACAGGTACTTTGTCCCATCGTAGAAGTCCAGGATTATACCCCAAAACTCTAAACGCAGCTGCAAAACATGAAACCCCGTGCAAGAAGTTAAAGAATCTCAGTCTTGCGGTTCCAACACTGCACAATCCTCTCAAGAGCGATCTGGCTTTGATCCATCAAAGGGGTACTTAAGAACGCTGATGCTGTTGGAATACGTTGATAGATCTGGGTTAAGCTGAGCCTAGGTTCGGACATATTAGAGTTGTACATCATCATAGACGACAAGGGACATACCAGGTCAATCGGGCACGTGGCATTCTTAGCCCCGAAGTAGTGATCTTAGGCTTTCCATCCGTGGTCTTGATCAGGACTTGCTGCGAACTAGCTTGCGAGGGAGCACCTAGAAGGTAGTTCAATGGCTCAATGATCATAGCCGAGTGTGCGGTAGAGAAGACGGTATTGGGGAGATCGCCAGTGTGAGGCATATGGTGCAATCCCAGATTGAACCAAACAACACTGCGCTACATTAGGTGTTATTCATGACACTAGGGCGAGTATGGAAGACTTACATATCCTCTTGCTCAAGCGATTCACTGTTAAAATACTTGTCAGAGTCAACCTGAGGGTCTTCAGGGCTCAGCGAATTGAACGCTCCAACGGCGTATGTCTCATTGTCCTTCTGCCGAGCGACGTAGAGATGATGCGTCGTGTGGTGCGCAGCGTTCTGTGTAATGTTGGAATCCTGAACCGTGAGATATGCAACACCAGTCGCTATGTTTGTCAGTCGGCTGGGAGAGTGCATCATTGACAACCCTTAGTAGGTACTGACCATGTATGATCCTATATCCTGGAGATTCGCCATGAGGGTTCTTCTTGTCTGTGTTGACTACAGCATACATCGCTGCGCCATTGGGCGACCATTTGATTTTCCCATCATCTTCATTCTTAATGAAGCTCTTGACTGCCTTCATAGTGTTGATTGACTGGCCGTCAGACCACTTGTACCTAGATCAGGGAATTAGTAAACTGCAGTAGATCCTACTATGGATGGAATTCTTACTTCTCAGTCGTGGGTTGAATGGAAACCTTTTGTAAAGAGTTCTTCTCTCCCAAGATGTCGAAATCGGCCTTGAAGGTGATGGCATGATCATGCAGAGACCCGGAAAGACTATCGTGGATCTTGAACCCGTAGTCTTCGTTTTGAGCGTAGAATGCTGATGAGATATAGCCCGATGCTCTGACGGCAACTTCGATGGAACCATCAAGATGGAACTGGTAAGTCGTCATGTAGTCATAGTTCCCAATGGTGTACACAGCACGGATGTTGAATGCGATGTTCTTTGTCACGGTGGTGTGTTTGGCCCAAGAGTGGCGTTGGATGGGGAAGCCCTTGTCAATCTCGAAAATGCCTGTGATTGTTCTGGTAGCGTGCTGAGTTGTGTGGGTGATCATGAGTCTCAGCCTACAGAGGCCGTCCTTCTATTTAAACGTTTTCTCGCCTATAGTCGTAGTGACATTGGAATAGTGGGAGTACGTCGGGCAGTCGTAGCTTGCGTTATGTTAGTCTCAGTGTCAGCCAATTTACAACAATATCTGGGCCAAGTTCGGTCTTACCTTTCACGAATTAGATCATAGTGGGTCCAAATCCACACATACTGTCAAAGTAACTAAGATGTAAACGTTAGGGAAGTAAGAGGCATGGGAGATTGGTCATCTTTACCAGGTTCCAGACTGCACTGGATCGATGCCGGTATAGATAGTATCAGTAACTTAGCGTGAAGTGACAGTGTTCAATCGATTTTCCCATAATGGACGATAACTTCATCTAGTCCAAACTAACAACAATTAGTGAAAGCTGTGTAAAGACTAAGTACAACATATAGCTTTACATACCAAATAAGTTCGTGCCAAATAAGTACCAGAAAAGCTAGCGGCGTTATAAATAAGCATAGAAAGGTCTAGAATTATGACCGTTTGATTATTACAGACATAAGTATTCTTCTAAGTGAGACCGGTATTAACCCTATGGCTGTGTGCAAGTATGTTAGTTCTGCCCTGTTAGAGGGCTTAGCTGTTAATACATAGGATCTTGCTAAGCTATAGAAACAAAATTCAGTACAGTCTGATAATCGGTTAGAGAGGAAGCGGGGAAATTAGTAAGCGGGTGATGACATAGTCGTATCAGAAAGAATTATATATTCGGTCTAAATATGCCGGGTTTCGGACCTTCTCAGATTGAGCGGAGATGGATTTTGAAACAGGGACACCCTAAGTATTTTCGTTTGAACAAAATGAGTTGCTCCGTTTACCGGGCATAACAGGCCGTCACAAACTATCTAATCCTTGCTTACTCTATATACAGAGTCCTCTGGCGGAAGGTGACGTTCCGTCTTGTTCATTTAGTTAATGATCATCGTTATGCCTACTGTGCATCTAATCTATCCGGGTCGGAGCCCGTTTCCCAATACCCCGACCCAGAAAATGGGTATGCAACAGAGAATCTACAAACTTTGGCTGTGAGTGATGTATAAAGAGTAACGGAAGGTATCACAATTGCATTTTCTCATACAAGGCAGGATCGCATAAGCCTTGAGCATCACTTCCACAACACAATCTTAGTTGCCAACATCCAACCATGAAGCTACTTTCTTTGTTCTCACTAGGGGCGAGTACCTTCTTTGGCTTTGCTATAGCCATGACCCCTCGTCCCATGGAGGACCTTGGGCGTGGCGTTGTGGCTGTTCGGGCAAGCGAACAGAACGTCTTAGTGACTTGGAGACTTCTGGGTCTCGATCCTGACAAAATCGGTTTCAACGTCTACCGTAACGCGAATGGAGACAAGCTTACAAAACTCAACTCGAATATCCTTACCAAAGGGACCAACTTTCTCGACAAGACGGCAGATGAGACCGTGCCCAACACGTACTATGTCCGCCCTGTCGTGGATGGAAAAGAGCAAAAGGCCTCGGGCTCTTTTATTCTACCTGCAGATAACGCAGTGGAGCCCGTGGTGCGAATCCCACTTCGTCCGGGCACTACCATTAAATACGTCTGGGTCGGTGACCTTGACGGCGATGGAGAGTGGGACTATGTTATCGACCGACACGCAAAGCGTCAATCTATCGAGGCATATACCAGCAATGGGACCTTTCTATGGGAGGTTGATTTGGGCCCTGGGAGCAAAAACCAAAACAATATATCGCCTGGGCCGTCTACTATTGATGTAGGTCATTGGGATGGCGTCACTGTGTTCGACTTTGATAGTGATGGATATGCGGAAGTCGCTATTCGCATTGCCAACGGTGTAACCTTTGGCGATGGCCAGACATTCACAGAGGGTAAAAACGCGACTTATCAATACATGGCTATACTCGATGGACGCACCGGATCTCTCCGTGCCTCCGCCCCATTACCCACCGATTACATAGCCGACGGGCCCTTGGCTTGCCGTGTGGGAGCTGGCTTTTTAGACGGTAAGAGGCCTCATCTGGTAGGCTTCTTAAAGAACCGCCGCCAAGACAAGGAGTTTAACCTGCTCGTTATGGCCTGGACCTTTGATGGCAAGTCAATAAAGGAGGAATGGAAATGGGCTCGCAAAGACGAGTACAAAGCCTACCCTGATGGACATAATAGCCGCATTGTGGATGTCGATGGCGATGGTAAGGATGAATACCTTGAAATTGGCTTTGCTCTCAACGGCAATGGCAAAGTAAAATACTCTCTTGGAGAGAAAGGTATCATCCACGGTGACCGCCACCACATTGCCAAGATGGACCCCAAACGACCTGGTCTCCAAGGCTATGGCGTTCAGCAGAGGTCTGAGGATTTCTTATATGAGTACTATTTCGATGCGAGAGACGGTACCATAATCTGGGAGCATCACGGCGAGGAGATTCTCGATATTGGACGGGGCATGGTGGGCGACATCGACCCTACAAGCGAAGGCATGGAGGTCTGGTCCTTCGGGGGAGGAGTCTACAACGCTAGGTCGAACAAAAAGTTGGTTGACGATATTGACCTTGCACCCTGGCCTCATCTGGGAATCTGGTGGGACGGTGACGCCCTAATCGAGCTCTTCAACGACGGAAAGTTTGAGAAGTGGGACTGGAAGAACCCATCAACGTCCAAAGAGGTTCCCCGCCTCTTAAAAGTGAGCACGTATGGCGGTGTTTTGAACGGAAGGTATCCCATGTTTATTGGCGATATTCTAGGTGACTGGAGAGAAGAGGTTGTGGTGACTAACGCTGATATGGACGAACTGCTTATTTTCACCACTGACCAACCCTCGGACATTCGTCTGTACACTTTGGCACACAACCCTAACTATCGGAATGATATGACTGTCAAAGGTTATCTTCAGTCTCACCATGTCGATTACTTCTTGGGTCATGGAATGGAAACGCCACCTAGACCGAATATTCGCTACACAAAGAGGTCCTAAATTTCTCTACGAGGGGTTCCTATTAAATAAATGTTTAATGCAATCCAGGTCTCTTAGTACAGCAGTAAAGTGGAGTGATATCCGCCTAGCTTCATCCCCGACTTCTACATCTAACTTTATATGAAGAAGAATAGAAATAACGCTCTGATTATTTCCCATCACAGCTAGAAGGAGCGGCGAACAGGCCCTCGATATTCATCACTCCAACACTGCTGCCATTCTCAATAAGGGTCTCAGCTAAACGTTTCCGGCCTCCTCTCCTGTTATCATCACGCACCAAGCATACATCCTTACTGGTATCCCAGCCCTGACTTTATCAGTGACATTATCGAACGTGCTGCGTTATGTCTTTTGTATAATTATTGTATTTGCTAAGGCCTTGAACCGAATTCTCTCACCAGTGTACCACTCATACCTGCTAAGTATTCTTTTTTCGATTTAACCTTTAACTTTATTAAGCCCAGGCTTTCCAAATCTCTTAAAAACATCAATAATAAAAATAACCCCCTCTGAGGGCAAAGCTTAATATAATCAAGGCAGCAGAAATCGCATACGGTAACTAAACTCTATCCAAGTGAATACGTGGATGACTTACACGGCCGTATGTATAAAAGCTGGCTTCCCCCCCCCTACACCCTTAACCTGATCTACATTACAAGCCTAGTTAATCGACCCTTACAGCTGTAGTCAGTCAATTAACCCCTGGTCCCCCTTCGGTCCGTATCGCTAACCAATTTCGTAGCTACCACGATAAGTGCTATCGAAATAACGAGCCGCTGCTGCGAACACCTGCTAAGTATACAGCCCTTATAATTTACTAGTTTGGCCTTTCGAAGTGTGTGGTTAACCGGGGGGTTGGAACGGCAGCCCTATATAGGTAATTGGCTGTGTTGCTCAAATGACACTTTATCCAAATTAGGTGGCCTGCAGGCTCGGTCAGGCCACAACCCCTCTCTGGCTTGCCGCGCGCGTATGCTCCCCCTTAGCAGCTTTAGCCATAAGACTCGCCATTAAATAACTCAGCTCGCTTACAGTTCAGACATCATACCCCTCGCATCTCCCTAAGAACAACAAGGTATTCCAAAGACAGTTGTTTGCAAAATGCTCAAGCGGCAGCATAGTGATAATAGTTCCCTAGAAGGGGATATCCCCAGAAAGACAAGTAGACTGGTAACCGAGGACGAATCTGAATCCGCCTCAATAGTGCCCCCAGATTCAGACCCTGGAGCAATAACGATCACAGTATCCTTTCGGTCGTCCTCCAAGGGTGCTCGCAATGATCCGAAGCCTTTAGGTTCTTGGCGGTCGACACTTCAGACATTGGGAGGCCATGGCGAGAGCTCAACAACACAATCTCATACCCACATTCCATCTAGACTACCCTTAGATACAGTTCTAGGTAAGAATATAGCAATCCCTCAAGAATCTGCTACTTGATCTCATCTAACTTAGAGCTATAACTCTTAGGTTCAGCAAACGGCCGAGAGCAACAGATTCGAGCAGATAGCGTTAGCGAGCACGAACCCGAGCAGGATTTCCAGAGTAGCGACTCGAACTACGAAGACAATCTACTAGACGATGACGACGACGATTATGATATAGATGATGTCGATAGTGACAGATCTTCTCTCGATGAATTCGCAGGGTTTTCATGGCTCGAGCAGATTGATACCTATGCGACTGAAGGGTCTGAACGAATTGCAACATGCGACGCAAAATTAATTCGACGTGATCAAATTAGGTCTGCATTCTGGATTGAGATGGAAGAACCAACGGAAGAAACGTCTTCTCTTGCTTTCGACCTCTTTGACAGATACGGTCGCCTGAAGCGGGAACACTACGAGCACAGCTTTAAGCGAGGTTCTGGTGCTTGGGGTCGTGAATTGGACCATGGCGACATTCTCTTGATTGAGAAAATCAGCGTCACACTGCCGCAACGCCGTCATGGAATTGGCACGCAAATTGTCAAGGTAACTCTTAATAAGATTCGTCCGAAAACAAACCGCTTTGTGGCACTTGCCAGTCCCGGATATCTCACTCAAGAAGTCGATGAGGAGAACGAGGATGATTGCAAAAGGCAGCTGGAGATCTCGGAACTATTTTTTCGATCATTGGGTTTCAGAAGAGTTGGCATTTCTTCCTGGTTCGCTTTTGTGGATAATCCAAATCACCCTTCTCGACATTTGAAGGCCTCAGACGACTGGAACGAATCAGCTGACTCGCATATCGCCGCTTTCATTCCCGAACAAACAGGGAAAGTCTTTGCAAGTTTATCGAACCCTGACATCCATGGTGATGAATGTGTCCGCATTCTTCAACAAGGCATGCAAGCAGAAACCCAAGATGCGTCTTGGTCGGCGGCTGATGAAGAGGGCAATAACATGCTCCACTTAGCCGCGATACATTGCAAATTGGAGGCGGTCCAGTATATTCTTTCTTGCCGCCAAGATCTAACCAGCAAGCGCAACCGAGCAGGGAACACGCCACTTGAGGCTTTAGAAGCTAAGATGGAGTCAGTTAGAACAAGAGCAGATCACGGCCAGTCGACTAGGGTGCGCTCGGATAAATTCGCAGGTTTCACTCAATCTATAATTTCGTGCGTTTCAGCCCTCTCGGATGGTGAAATGTTCGACCTGGACACACTCCCACCAGAAGTCATAGACGAGCTAAGCTCGGCCACAGAAGATCACATCAAGCGCAACCCAAGTATAGAGGTCGTGCTCCAAAACCTACGGTTACGATACGGATGCACCTGTGGGCAGTGTATTGGTGGTTTCCTTAGCCCGAGAATGCACTTGGCCCTTCTATGCCAGGCAGAATATCAATACGACTTGTTACGGGATTCGTTTTCTGGATTGCAAGACGGTCCAAGTTGGGTTGAGGAAAACGATGTGGAACTCAATTTCTTGCCCGCTTCAGTGAAGGAAAATTTAAAGACTAATAAGTCGATGCGGGAAAGGTTCATTAACATCTGCGATCACATTGCTAAGTGTCTGAAGCAAAAGAAGATTCCCAACGAAAGCAATGTGTTATTTATCCACAGTAACTATACCCGTGAGTGGCCACCAGTCACGAAAAGTTACCTCCAAAGAGGGGGAACGGTTGCCGCCGTGGCCACTATGCTCTTTCAAAAGGCTATGGAGCAAGATGAATGCAGTGGCGATGGAAATCACCAGGACGTATTTGGAGATGAAATAGAAAGGTTACCAGAGTGTCGGAATGATAAGGAGTTTGGGTTTGTGAGTGGTATGTGTGGATACAAGAGAATCTCGACAGTTCGGTATGTGGATATGTTGGGCAACCTTATTGACACAGATTGAACATAAGTATAGCGTGCAAAGGCGCATGGATTTGCGAAACAGGTAGCAGCTTTTGTTGGATTTACTTGATGAGTCCCTGAGGAGGAACTTTTTCGAGATGAGAAATCCGATTTGGTAGGGGATAGGATGAGCTAGCCATTACAATAATAATAGTTCTGATGGTATCTAGGGAGTAATAGAGGAATAGACGCTGTGAAGCTTTGTGTTGTTAGAATTTGATTGTAGTTAGTGAGTTTAGTCATAAAATGTTCCTAAAATCAAAGAATTTCTTCTCTGTCGCCTGATTTGTATCTATAAATAGAACCTGTAGGGTATGTTATGACCTAAGCAAGGGAGGCCGCTAACTGCAAATCAGGCATTATTTTTCTTCATATTAAACGTTACCGTTACTAGGCCTTTTTCATGGCGTGAACTATTCACAATTTTCACCTTGGAACAAATGAGATGAATTCTATAAAGGTGGTAATAACTGCCATCATGTTGGGTTAGAGTGGGCTTTGCTGACCACCCGTTGGGGCGAAAAGAAGGACTCGTACACCTACGGAGTCGGATTTACCTGCAGAATTACAAGGCGGAGTCAAATATTCAGTGCCGTTTATCAATTGGTTAGATTGGGCTCTGCTGACCACCCGCTGTGGCGTAAGGGCTCAAACACATACGAATCCCATTTATCAGCAGAATTACAGGGTTAAGGTAATTATTTAATACCATTTATTAGTTAGAATATTTATAGTTAACCACTATAGCAACATTTCTCTAGTACAGACTACTACAACCCTACATAAAGGTGCTCGAAACTTCTGTAATATTACTACATCACCACAGTGATGTCCGCAAGCATGAAATCCAGCCAGCCCGCTATCGAAAATGAAACGTCTCCCCAAAGAATCACGCATACAAACGAACACATGAGAGCCACTGAAGACCACCTCCGGGAGATCTTGTGCAAGGTTCTTCAACAACTGGAAACAGGCCCGAACTCGGACAAAAGCAATGGAGATGACCTCGAGTTCTTTCGTTTCTTCGTGGTCACCATGATTGCCATCTCCGTCTTCGGCGCCTCAACCTTTGCAGTTATCATGGGAGAGATGACCGACCCCGCCGACATCTGGGAATCACCAACCTTCACTCTAAAAACCGTCCGACTGTTTCTTGCCGTATCGTGGCTTGCGTTTGCCATGTCTATTGCTTTGGCTGGTTACAGCGGCAGCGTCCTCGCGTTGATGCGACAAAAGGCGAAGGGCGAAGTGAGTGAGAAAACGATTAAGAAGTGGACGCCTGCTGGACTTGTGGCTTCGGTGGCATTGCATTTATTAATTGTCACTGGCTTCTTTTTTATGTCTCTGAGTTTGGTGGCCTATGTTGGGTCGTTTGGGTGGGTTATTGTTTCGGTTTCTGGGTCAATGTATCTGGTGGTCTTTTGTCTGCTTAGTGCGCAGTATTACCTGCGGTAAATTGATGTATCAAAATGGAATTACTACGGCCGCTACTGTATTGCTGATCAGATTAATAAATGCTGATGTTTGCCCATACAAGTTGAATATTAGGCTTCTCAGCCAATTGCTTTGAATCATACTGAGGCCACCCATCATGGGTTGCTTAGGTGCACGAGGGTATGAGGCGCAGTTGCGGAAGGGTGGGGTGGCTGAAATAGTGTGAACGGATGCGAGTGCGAGTGCAAGCTCGAAGAGCGAATCACAAAGTTTGCGTCATAGGCTTGCTGACTTGTCAAGGCTGAATGAACAGTCCGTAGGACATACCTGGATATTTTTAAACTTGAAGGGGCTGCATGCTCCCAAGGATGGGAATGGCATTACTTCATTCAGCGTATGACCTTTCACTGGTATTGCACATTATTAAGTACTCCTGTATAAATACTCTCGACCTCGCATTCATTCCAGTACTAAACCACCACCACCACCACTACCAAACTTTTAAACAATTTCATACGTCGATACCTGGGTCCGTCTTTAACCGAACTATTACCAAACCAGCACAATGTCAAACAGCAGATCGAGAGGTCCACCACTACCCCATGCAATATCAGGCTCGTCCTTACAAGCTCAGCTAGAAAGCGAGGGCGCCCAAATCCTCAGAAACAATAACCATCCGCTGATCGACCACATTATTCGCCATGCAACTCCGGGCTACATTACAAAGGCCATCTGGCTTCAAGAGCACAGCGTTATAGAGCATGAATATCTATTGCTATGCGTCAAGACCTACGATGGAAGATTATCTTGGATGCGCGTTGAACGCATGGGTGACCTCCCCGAAGGCTCTGACGCCACCAACGCCCTGACAGACCAGGCACAATTAGTTGTGACCATCGCACCCTCTCGAGAAAATCTCGTTTGCGGTGATAGAATTCTCGTCGAGGCTGATTTGGACACAAACAAGGCACGTCTGAGTGATATCGCCAAGCTCATACTGATAGTTCACAACGAGGAACCTCAGTATCACCTTCAATGGCACAACTGTTGGTGGCTGGCTCGGGTCATTATGCAAGTGCTTAGTGGAACGTACATGCACAACAATCCAAAGCAGAAGAAAAAGGTCACAAAGCGGTGCGATTCTTCGCACCAGAAGCATGTCAATGTTGTGAGTGCTGGTGGGCCATTCGCGGGATTGGGTCAGTTAGCGACTCATATACACTTCAATAAGAGGACGAAGAGAATTGTGGCTAAGTTTAATGGGCATTTAAATAGTTAGTGTTTTACACTCGTCATGGTAAGGATTCTGCAAGGGTTTAAATGACTAGAGGCTTGTAGTAAAACAAATTGAGGGGTATAAGAGGAAATAGCAGCTTTTATATATATGGCTGTGTAGGCTACATACATTTAGAGTTTAGTTACAGTATACAATATCCATTATCTTATTTAGGTTAAGTTAAACCTTGAGGTTATGTTAACGTCTAATAATACGCAGAGATCTAGAAAGCCTGGGCCTAATAAAGTTAAAGATCAAAAAAGAAGAGAAAAGTATTACCTAGCTTGCATTTTACAAAAACGTTAACAAAATTAATATAGTTAGACATTTAAAATATCTGGAACCTTTTGGGCTATGAAAGGATTAAATTTAACAACAAGACATGTCATCGCACTATATTGTCTAACAGCGGGTAGGGTTTGTCCGTGGCTGTCTCTAATATAGTTATGAACTTTACATATACTCTTCGAGGCAGCTATAATAGTAACTTAGCTTTATAAATCGAAGCCTTTAGGAACACTTAGCATATCTCAATGACAAACTCATAGGGCAAGGTATGGTTAACCTCTTCGACCTTAGCTGCCAAGAGTTACTGCATTCCATGTTGGTCGCTATTACCTCCACCTGGCGCCAAGAAGACAAGCGGTAATGCTTGCCAACACGATCGGGGCGTATACGGGCAAAATGTAAGCCTTCACGCTCATCATCATGTAGTTATGGACACAGGCGGACATTACTGCGATAGACTCGAGGAACGGAGACAATGGTCGAATATTGTCCTCTTAGAAAAAAGACGGTATAAACGGTGGCGTAAGGCATCCTTCGCACTACTTATGATCTAAGTACGGACGTGGGTGGTAAATGCTAGTTTCTGCCTCAGATCTAATAATGAGAGTATATTTTTAATTGGCCGCTTTTTTGGAGCTAAACGATAAAGCCATCTGGTATGAGGTCATCCAGCATTCAATTTAGTTATCACCCTATTATTATATCTGAGCACATTCCAGTGGTCTGTTACAATAAGGTAGGCCAATGTAGACTAACAATCCAATACTCAGAAGTGGCTGCTTTTCTTGACTTTCAGCTCTCTACTCACAAGTCTTGGCAGTCAGATCATTCCTAACAGGTGCCAAGTGACATGTTTATACGTAGTCTGCTTATTCATTCGAGGACTTTATGTCCCTTTCTCCTCCCCTTTTACCAACCCCGTTCTACGTATTTTTAGGGGCCTAATTATTGGTCACTGAAAAGAACGATAGAGTCACTTAGGGTCACTAAAAGATAGCTAGGTAGAGTGGTAAATAACAATTCATTCTTAGCATTCCTTATGGTAGGAAGCTGCCTTTTTATAGCCATGAGCCTATCGGGAAGTCAGAGCGGGGTAATTGTCGTTGTGAAGTTCCAATACACTGGTGCTGATCTTTCAGAACCTCCCAGCCAATAGTGCCTGACCACATTGCTTGCTCAGCTAGGGAATCAATAGCGCATTAGGCTTATATTATGATATAAGAAAGGGGTTTTCCGACTGCTATGACTGGTAGGCGTATGGCGTTACTGATATATACTGCAATTACCTGTCTTCTTTTCATGTCACCCGTCAAGTCTCGCTTAGAGTTAGAATTACCTCACTTTTAGAAGCACCTTTGTCTTACCCCAACACACTATGTCAACACCTGAAAATGTCAAAGACAGCGACATTTTATCATTATCACAGCGTGCACCAGATAGACCAATACCCACAAGAACCTGGTATGTGCAGATATCATACCTCATCGGCCGCATTGAAGATACAAATCGCCCAGCGCAAGAGAATCCATGTATTCGATCCCAGCAGGGTAATGAATCATTAACTAACGCATTTTCCTTAACACTTGATTCTAGCCCGGTTCCAGCTGGGATTAGCGGAGATCATAATTGTGAGACGTAAGGCTTCCCATACCCATCTGAATTCCAAAAGTTAGTTGAGACACAAACACCTGCTGGACAACAACATCAGATCCCGGTCCCACCCACAACATCCAGTACATTCTTTGTGCGAGAGCAATCAAACCTCGGTCTCGAGCTTGCCTGTACATCTATATTCAGCGCTATTTCATTCGACTTTCGATATGTCAGATCCATGGATGTTAAGAGAAAGCACCAGCCTACATATGTAGTTGTTGGCATATTCTCTAGTGGCAGTTCTAATTCCAACGAACTAGTTGTTTTTGTTACAAATCCGAAAAGGCTGTTCAAACAACTAAGATGGGCTGTCTTCCGCCTACGCGGCATTAGAGGAACGGTCTTGTCTTTGAGGCATGTGAAAGGATTCAGATTATATACGGTATGTTTTATAACTTCTTGAGGCATGTGGATGCTGATGAAATAGTGTGATCGAGGAACTGGAACCCATACTCGAATTTACCTTGATAACGATGGTATTGTCGATTTACAGCTTCTTATGCGTGCATACAACCGCTGGTTTGTCCGTCATCATAATGTACTCTTTTGGACGAAATGGATACATGAGACGCTGAATAAGAATTCACTGAGTGTTCCTGACGGCGAAATCGCCCCTGAAATCGTACTTGACTGGTCGGTAACACGCATTTGGACTGTGGGATTGGTACCAGTGCTGTTAAGTCTAGTCATTGATCTTTGGCTTAATTCGAAGGATTGGTCAGATCTTGCTACCATACAAACCACTTGGGGTACTGCCTCGTACATTGTGACTTCTGGCGCCTGGAAGCATCTGTCCTGACGTCTTCATTACCCAACATACTAATTATGTACAGTGCTTGTGGCATTATTGGGGCTTTTAGATATTTCTAATGGGTAGTTCGCTACTTCTTTGTAGGAAATGCTGAGGCTAGCGGTATAAAGGCTAGACAGCCAAGTCGCTACTTCTACTACGCGACGTAGAGTAACACTGCTCACAACTCCATACCATTAAACTAGTAATACCTAAGATTTGTTATTAAAAGTGGTAATGACTTAGAAGTACTAGATGTGGGATTAACTTTAGCAGGGATGGCTGAGGATAAAGTGAATACATTAGCCGGAGACAGGCTTGGTCGTATGATCAGAACTGCTTAAAATTTTAATTTAAACCTGAAACTATGCCAAGGCCCTGTTGGTTACCCCAACGCAACCAACACTTGTAATTTCCCGTGCAGGATATTTATCATGGCCGCTCACTCTTGGAAATCGCTTATTTATTAACATTTCGTCTTGTACTCTGGGCAGCAACCTCTCCTCTAAAATGCCTTCCAGTATTATCACCTCGCTTCTCTGCCCTGCAGATAAAGGCGTCACCATCCAGGGTGAGGTATTTGAAGCCGAAGCCACTGGGACACGATATATGCTCCGAGGATGCAAGTCAGGTCCAGACGGGTGCGACCACCACACAGCCTTTCTGAACATCGGACCTTGGGCCAGCAAGACGTTGCCAAATGGCGCTGCTGAGACGGGTGTGTACGACGTGCATGGGACCATCGATGGTACCGTGTACTCCAGCGTCTGCGAAATGAGCCGGTCCGTAATCGAGTCCTGCGTAGTCTCCAAGCAGTCTGGGTTCGATGACTCCACGGAATACACTATGAGCAGAACGAAAGGAGAGATGGGAGCAGACTTTACCCTCTTGTACCAAGCTGTTACTCTCACCGGCGGTTTGTCGAAGCTGGCTACCTCTGCAGAGACCACCGCACCCACCAAGACTTCTTCTTCCTTTGACGCTCCTTCAACCACCGAAACTTCTCCTGTCACCGATGCCAGCCCTGTCAGCGCAACAGACGAGCCTAAACCCCCGACGGACAGTGATATGATGAGCAGCAAATTCACTGCCACAGAAACGACAAACAGCACTACACCTGCCGCGATAACCTCGGCCGGATCTCTACCTCTGGTCCGCGCTTTTGCTGCTTTGATTATGGCCAGAATAGCTACAGCGTTGGTGTATTGATGGTGGATCAAGATACTTATGCATTATTCTATTTTAAGTGGTTTCTTGTCCGACCGACCTTGCTGTGTCAACAACTCCGATCCAGACTGTTTACCTGGTGCTGCGCCTCTAGACCTACGCTGCAGTTCTCTCGGTACAAAAATATAAAACCATCCTACCATGAATCCAAAAGCCATAACTAGAGCCGCAGGAAGTATAAACTTGAAGTATAACTCCATACTCTCTGACCAGCTCCTCTCCTCTCCGTTGGATACTTTTAGGTAATGCCCCAGTATGGCACATAACCATAATCCTGGATTTGTCGTCAAACCAGTCAACATGCTGTAGAAAATGTAGGAAAGTCCCTCCTGTGCTATCTGCTTGAGGTCGTTTATGGTGATCGGGGGAGGCTTCTGGCCAAGACGTATGCGTATCTGAATATCCACCAAGGTCTCTACCGCAGGGACAATGTATGCAATATTAGTGCCGGGACCGCCAGCAACTATGTGCCCATAGAATCTTTCGTTGTACATATTGAAAACACCAGCCCCACTATCTCCCACAGAGAATAGGTGACTTTTGAGACGAATCGGGTAAACCTCCTGGAATCGCCGCCACCCAGGGAGGTGTATGTATGTTGGAGTTGCCGTAAGCTCTCCCTCGACTTGACCAGACTCACCCAGATATGCAATAATACCGGCATCTTGGGGTCCGATCATGTCTGCATCCTCTATAGTGATAGCATACGGTCCGAGCTCTTCAGGACCAAGCGTGTTTCTCAGTTCGATAAGAGCATAATCCAGTGCAGGGCGATTTCCAGTTGCCGAGCTTAGAGCTAATGTCCCGTAGAATTCTAGGTTGGACAAATCGATCTCGCAAGGCTCCTCAGCATCTTCTAGGGAATCTCGGATCTCAGAAAGCCCTGATCTGGAGAACGGGTTTACCAAAGTGAATGGTTTGAAAGTGAGACTTTTATCTGATCTCACCAACTCAAGCGTGGGTTCATCGATAACTTCCTCGCCATCGCTCATGCCATCGAAATCGCAGTCATCCAATTCCCCAAGGACCTGTTCTTCGATCTTCCCTGAGTTGCTTCCGGTCACGAATCCATGCGCGGCCGTTAGGACGTAGATTCTACCATCAGCTTCGATAACTGGACCAGTCGTGATGGGATGGAGAGAATAGTCAGCCGGATTGATTACAAAAGCCCTTCTACCGATGGCAATCGTATCAGATGCAAGGAGGTTTTGTGAGCGTGGTCTTTCCTTCTCCACTAATACTGCAAATTCAGGCTCGCAGTTTCCATGAATAAGAGACTCTATCGTTTCTCGGGATAATAGTCGTATAACATGACGGTCGGGCAAGGTTGAGGAATCTCCGAGACCAACACCTGGATAGTTTTTCATGATCCCACTATACTCTATTGACTTCCGAATGGACTTTCGGACTTTCGAGTTTGTAGAGCAGATGAGAACCTTGGGTGCTGCTTTGTCTGGTGTTCGGCCGACCATGTACATAGACCACGAGATGATATCGCAGGTAGAGATAGTCGTGGCCTCAAGGTATTCTTTAATTTCGGTGCTCAACTTGGTGAAAATCTGACGAGCTTTGCCGGCTACTTCCCAGCATTGATAGCGGCCGCCGTGCAAAGGGCCAACAAGGGCGCCCAGGGACTCTTCGGGGCAGTCCCATTCAATGGGCTGGAGGCGGAAGGCTTGTATGCCGAATATTCTTGATAATACCATTCTACCTTTCAAGACATACCAATTGATCGAGTCTCGAAGTAGGAATAGTATAAGGATATTCTGAAGAGAGATGTGGGTTTAGCGTGCTCAGGGACTTGGAAGCTCGATCTACCCCGCAGCGTTAATGCTGTAACAATGATGTCGGAGGCGGCGGCTGTGTTTTCAACCTCTAGTTATGCGGTGTATTATGAAAAACGCCTTGTCTAGGCTTTCTTTTCTGGGTGTGACTTGAATCTCCGCTTTGTTTCGGAGGTTCTCATGTGCAAGTGTGAATGGTCAGTCAGATTTTCATAGTCTAGCGAGCACCTTAGGGATCTCGAGAGTACTTTTAAAGATAATAACAATACGTCCATTTGGTAACCTTGAACGCCATTTACACAGCGATATGTAGTCGCTGTCAACTCCCCAGCACCTAGTTCGGATGAAACGCCTTGTAAACCTGCAAAGCCCCTTCAATCGACTGCACCAATCCAAAGAAAACGGTCAAAATCAGAACAAGTATCGCAACCCAGAATGTATACCACTGTACTCCATTCCTCCGATCATGCCACCACTGCCAGATGCTTTTCGGTCCAGCCTCATCGAAAACTTGCTTCAGAAGGACCAAACGATCTCGCCAGAAGCTGAAATGTTCAAGTCGCCGCTTATCGGCCGTCAATTGCCCAACCTCGATCATGTATGAGTCGAGACCGCGCACTGATGCCTCGTGTTCATACCATGCTCGGCTCTTTTTATCCCATTTTGGGAAGAGTAGAGCCATCGTATCCAAGGTTTGATTGAGAAACTCTTGACTGTATAGTGTCGAGTCCCTGTTGATGGTTAATCACCGCTTCAACATAATTAAAAGCATGGATCTCGACTTACCTTTGCTGTCGTTTGATAAAAGATGCATGGTGGAAAATCGCCACGCTCTTATCATCGTTCATCAAGCGTAAATGGTCCGCAAGATTGTTCGTCCAAATAATATCGATACCCGCAATCGTGCCTAAATTGAGAGCGTTGAAGATCTTGTCCAGCTTAACATTCTGATGGCCCAAAACCGGCGCTGGTCGAAATAGCCCATTTAGCAAATCTTGCAGACTTCCATCCAGCCATTCGACCTTCCGTGAGCCTGAGAACGCATATGAGAGATTGCCGAACTCGACCATAGTTAATAGTCGAGATGCAAGGTCGATCGAGTGGTCGTGGGCACCATTCCCTTTGCAAACCTGCGAACGAATCTCATCAGGGGTTTGCGGCGCTTTCGCTAGCTGCGCTATTGTCATGATATCTTGATGTGTTTCGACAGATGCATGTATTCCTCCTTCATGAAGAGCAATTATTTCGCATTGCTCAACATAGTACTTGAAGTAGCAATTGAGACTGGGTTCAACTTCCGTGGGAGGCGTATTCCAGAGCGCCGCGGCGATGTCTTGCTTGACCTTCTTGCAGAGCTCAGTACAACTTAATTTTTCTTCCAGCATGGCGCCTAGTGTAACACTTGCGAGTGATAGCATCGACTGCCGGTTGTTTTCCTCTTGTTGTTGAAGTTGAAGTATGTTTTGGCCGTGAACCTGCTTTCAGCTGAACGAGAGTGGGCTGTGAGGTGGTGCACAGCCTGCTTAGTGTCGCCCTGGTTAGCGCCGCAGGGGGCCTTACGATAGTTTCAAGCCACATGAAAGTACTTGTTGCGTAACGACTTTAAAACCATAAAAACTGTATGTTTCAGCCTCCAATATATAACTAGCTACAAAAGATAGGCAACGGATTTCTTATTGAAAAAGAAAAGTAAAAGAATAAATAATATCTAGATGATACTTTCCGATGAATAGTTCCTTAGTATTTAAGACTCTTGATTGTGTAAATTGTCAACCGTATTTAAGAAAATGTCTATTTAGTAATAATTAATATCACTTTATTCTATATAAGCCTAAACTAATTGTAAATAGTAAGATCTTTATTTCACACTCTCTTGTAGTTCATCACTCGGGATTGGTAGAAAAGTGCGGGATACACATGACGTAGCCACGAGAGTCGTGATATTGCTATATGAGGTCGTCTACATCTTCCCCGGAATACTCTAGACCATAGTGCTGCAGTATACCCATCGATGCCTTTGAAGCTTTATTTGGCAGCAGATGCAGCTCGTCCATCATCTGCGTTCTATCGAAAACCACCTGGGTTAGCCCAACAAACCGGGGCTCAGAGCCTTTGGCCGATGTCCTGGGATTGCTAGCTACTTTCTGTACGGTGACCAACGTCTCGCCAGCAACATGATCATTGAAGGAGGCCGTAAAGTCGATAACTTGCACATGTTCGGCCTTCGACGGCGACCAGTCAGGGATAATCTTGCAGCAGGGTGTGACCGTCGTGCTCCGTTTGTCACCACTGTCTACCTGTCTAATATTGGCTAAGCATATAGCGACAAACACCGCAGGTCGTGACCTTCGTTTCTTGAAGACGACCACTACACCGTACAGGTCTCTATGCTGTGTTAGATTCGTTCCAGATATCTCGCTAGCATCCGCCTCATTGCTAATGCTCTGAATTCGGCGTGGCATCACTAATGGTAGTAAAGGCGGCCTTTCTGCTGACCAGGGAACTTCAGACGCATCATCGCTTGGGAATATACCGTAGAGACGGTAGTCTGCTGTTCCTCGAGGAAAGCAAAGTAGAAACGGACTTTTCGCTTCACGAGGCTGCCACATGGGAACAGATAAAATCGTCGCATATGGCTTCTTGACGAGAATGGTCCTTTGCAAGTCCGTTGATACTAAATCGATATGACTTGAAACGGGGGCTGAAGCAGGTGTTGTATATTGTTCTCCCTCAAAAAGGGAATGCTCTGGCGGATAAGAAATTGATCCTGCTGTGTTGTTCCTATTTTGGTACGTCGCCTCCATTATACTGTCCTTCCTAGCCAACTTCACAGGGAAGAAAGTTTGAGGCCAAAGCAATCGCAGATACTGCTGCAATTCACCAGAACCCTTCTGAAGCAGCGGTATCCATATTCGTGATACATGACGCGTTGCGTGGGTGCTGGCAGTCTCGATGTCCCAACAATCAAGTACACCAAAGACAAAGTGAGGAACCAAGGTGGGCACGATGGGCAGAGCTATCTGCAATCCGGTGTTGGTCAGATGAAACGGATGTGAGTAATCTTCGGGCACGTAGTGCTTCTGTAGGTGCGACGAGCTGCTGACGACCACCGACTTCGAATTGCAGAACTCCATAGGCGAGCGGGGGAGAAAGTCAACATATTGCAGCTGAGAGGCGAAGAAGCTATGGTCGGCGTATCTATGGATGATCTCTCCAAGAAGCCTGGTGAAGGCCTCGTGGCCCTCTCCGTATACGAGCGGCATAGTGATGTCAAAAAGCCCGAGGAGAGAGTAGGCTCGGTCTTCTATACGCGTCGTCGAGCGGAGAGATGCCCAAGACATCCGCTGGGCAACGCTGTATCTCCGCAGTGGGTGCAATTTGGAAAGCCTGCCTTTGAGTAGGCACGACCATGGGATTCCTGTAATCTCGGTGATGCAAGGCGCCAGTTCAGACTTTGTAGCTATCATGGTCCAGTCGTTGGAGAAGAAAATGAGATTCGGCGGTGCAATTAGTTCCTGAAGAGTCCAGCCTCTAGTGAACCATCTCGCCCCCCTAAAGGCACTGTCTGGCTTAATGCATTCGTCCAAACTCATGGCCGGAACGTCCTGTAAGTATACGTAGCATAGAGCAGACCTCCGGTACCACTTGAACATGGAGTTGATGGTCTCGGATAGTTCTGCCGAACTGCTCTTATCGATGCAGTTGGTGTCCACCCAGACGTAGTCGAGTTGATCCTTGGCAGCCTGGGTGCAAGCCCATATGATCTTCTGGAAACCGGGCTTGAAGCGGCGGTTTTTACGGTCGGCCCAGTCCTGCAGTGAGACTTCGCCGTCACCCCAGGTATGTGACAGGATAGCATACTCGGGAATATTGACATCAAAGAACTCTTCAACCTCAAGGGTTGTGGTATTGATGAGTCGCATGTTGGCCTCAAGACGGATGCAAGATGGAATCTCGGCGGTGAGACTACTCCTATTGGCTTAGTGGTCATTCCCCCTCATCGGTATTAAAGCACGGGACGGAAAATTTTAAATCCCAAGGACCGGACTCTGGTCGCATGCTGTAACCAGCTAATCTCCTTATACTGAGAGTGCTAATTGGTTGATTCACAAACAGCCCTTGCTGGTAATAACTACTTGGCGTCATAGGCGATTCTGAATACCAGCATGTTAAGCGCAAGGAATACGTCGAATTAGCAGTGAAGAGATAGTAACAGTCGGAAAAGAATAAGTTTCGCTGGAGCCAGTAGTATTAGGGAGTGTCGAATTGTGTAGGCTCTTTGCTTTCTTTGATGCGACTTATAATCAAATCAACGTCAACCATGCCAAAACTGAGGTCCAAGTTATGTTTTTAGCCATCGACAACCCAATCCATCGAAGCAGTTTGGACACTTACCTTGATTATCAAGTAGGTCTTTTAATTCCAGCTGTTTATGTACTCCTTTGACTTGGCGGTATAGTCAGAACTCAAGTCTGGTGGGGATGCTCTTTCGGCTCGTTCCACGTACAATGAGTTAGCGACATAGCTTCCAAATTCGTTAAAATAAATGGTCAGCTTGAGCCTCATAACACAATCCATTCATGTCCTCAAACCACTGGCAATGAAAGGACCAGACGGATTCTTGAAGAGCTCGAGTTTGTATCAATAATATGCTAGGGAAAAAGCGGGAGACAGGGCTGTAGCGTCCGTTCGCTTTTTCTGGCCGGTTTTGCTATATCTTAAATAATAGTGACTGTTTCTACCTCCCACGTTTCACAAAGCTTCAAGCCCCCATGGGGTTTGTGATTTTGGACCTGTGAACTGAATAAGCCAACACGATAGAATGTATTGGCACCTTGAGCTGGGTAAAGAACGAGTCCATAGGCACACCTCTCCCCTTCCAGAAATTCATAATTTCCAGTTTCATCGTTGTCGTCACCTACTATATGGCGAGCTTTTAGACCATAGTCGTTACAGCTTCCTAAAAGGAGGAAAACCAAGTGATTGTTCTGAGGATCGCCCTTTCCTGGGTTACCATCAAGAAAAGTCTGCATAATTGGGGTGTTACCATTAAGGTACCAATCATAGTGTCCTTTTTGCCAATGAGGAGTAGGTCTGAAGATTAGCTCCTTTCTCTGTAGCCTTAGTACCTTTGCAGAAAGTGTGATATGACCGCCCTGCACAATCCCAAATGGATCTAGTTGACCAATGACACATTGGGCCTCGATGACGCTACACTCCACTCTTGCCTGGTACTCAAGGACCTGCGGATGAAAACCCCAAGTCCCAAATTCGATAGGTTCCTTTTCGGATGCCCAGCTCCAGGACGGCGCAATATATGAGCGATGAGACGTAATTGTCTTGATCAATGAATGAAGACTTTGCCTTTCCGAATAAGGTTCAGGGGGTGCGTACCAGAAGAGGCTGATATAAAGGTCACTTTTCCAGATACCAGCAAGATAGTGATCTTTGAGGTGTTCTGCGTAGAACCTAGCCAGGCCTGATATGGCGGGAAGTCTGTCTTTCTCAAAGGTGAGCTCCCTGCTGCTGTATGATTCCACCAAATCCCTCCAATGTGAATGGTCCACTGTACTGTCAACCGCGCTAAAGGCATATCTTGACCCTTCATATTCGAGGGTCACTTTGGTCCTTCCAACTATAAATAGCCGAGAAGACATCGCAATCTCCTGAAAGACCCAGCCACGGCTCGTCCATGAGCCCGAAATGTTCTCAGTATCCCCACTGTTTATTATACAGTTGTCATTTCCGTCTCCATGGTGGCCTCCGATAAGTCGATATGTTCCCTTGACCTTTTGGTCGATACGAGAGGCAAAGGGGACTTCGAGGGTATTGACTTTTTGTGAAAGGAAGCTTTCGTTGCAAGAGTCGATCGAAGCCGTGGCGATTGTGAAGTAGGCGTTCCGAAAGATACTCCCCATATTTGTCGATTCCCGCTCCCAGTCTTACTGGTCCCCTTGTACAATGCATAAAGCATCAACCCAGAGATGTTTTACTCCAAACAGCTTGCATACTATTGCTGCATCCTGGATAACCTTGGAAACGGCCTGCAGGTTGATACTTGCCATCCTGTCCTGGATATTGCTAGGTGTAGTTTTTGTCTGAGTCGCAGCTTGCTCTAAAGAACCCCATCGATAGCTAAGTGCCACATACATAGGAAATGTACGCCGCTCGTTATATACTTCTTCTTGAGTAACAAGCCTCGCAAATTGGGATGATTTGTCGTGACACCCGAGGCCGACCAATCGCGTCGGAAGAAAGGTCGACCTTGGCTTGTTGTCTGTACTTTTGAGACGTGCTGTAATTTTCGAAATGTTTTCCCCGCAAAGGAATTCTGAGTGTGGCTTTGATTGAAGTCTTAACCAGCGCTTGCATTCGCCTTTGACTGAAATTAGCCTCTCGTGTTAAGCAACACTACTAAATGGCAAATACCTTCATCCGCATCGATAGTGAAATTCAGCCTAAGATCACATTCAGCCTTGGTTGGAAATTGAAATAAGTAATCAAGTTCTTACCAGACAATTGCTGTGAATTCATCTTCCTGTTTCAGTTTTCCAAGCACTCTGGCTTTCAATCCAAGCAAACCAAAAGCATCTCGACTATTAAAGTCGTCTAGCTGGTCGTGACAGACCCTATTCCTCCAACAATAGAATAGTTCGACACGTATCCATGCACCTTGGAAATCTGGCGGTAATCCAGTTTTCCTTAACTGGATCTCGAGTAATTTGCAAAAGTCGCAGTTTTCAGCAGATCTAGGCAGAACGTTCAGCTTCGGCCACAAGTCAATGAGCGTGAAGTCAAGCTTGAGATCGTGCTGACCGTGCGTATCCGGCAGGTCCGGGGGGAGCTGGAGGCATTCGCGGCCTGGGTTTGGCACGGCAACGAATCCATTGAATTCTTCATCGTTGAACGGTATCTTGTTGCATCTTTGACAAAATCTCGAAGGTTATTTTATTCCGTTCCAGATGCGAGTCTGCTGCCTAGAAACAGATAAGTCCTCCACTGGTGTTGTCATTGGAGTAAGAGTTTTGAGTTCTAGAAGTTAAGGGCAATAATGAATAACAAACGTGAGTACTAGGAGAATTTCAATAGCTTTAACAATCTACTCAAGCATCCTGGCATACTTATTAGAGTTGGTGATGGCAGTGCTGCTGACTACATGACTAGCTTCTTTGCCTGGGGCATTTTGTTTAATGCACCTTACACAGCCCAGTTAAGGTGGCACCATAACACCAAGCAGGCTGTGCACCGCCTCACAGCCCACTTTCGTTCAGCTAAAAACAGCCTGACAACTAAGAGATAACAATAATAAGAGGAAAAGAACCGATAGTAAATAGTATTACCTATAGCTACTTTAATAACTATACTAAGCTTTATAAAAAGGTTAAGTAAGATATTACTACACCACTTTAAAATAAATTTCCTGTACAACTTAAGTCTAGTCTAAATTATAGTTTTAAATATTATATTGATTTATATAATATAATTATATTTTATAAGCAAATTATATATAGATTTATCAAATTATATTGAGTTATTATAAGTATGAACTATAAAACTATTAAGCTAGATAAAATCTTTAATACTTTTACTTTAGGGATATTAGCTTAATTAGGGACTTAGGATAGCTTATACTAATGTTTAGTAGTTAGCAGGCTATATATAAGTAAAATAACCATAGCCCTATCAGTTTATATATTATACTACTAGCTAGTATTGTTAATATTATTGAGAGATTTGGAAAGCCTGGGCTTGACAAAGTTAGAGGTTGAATCGAAAAGGAAATACTAGTAGCTAGCCTACTTTAGCCTCTAAGCGGGGTAAGCACGTGTTATCTTCCAAGCATAAATAGATATGACAGTAAATCCTTTGGGCCGCTTTTCTTCACTTTCCTAATACTCAGTCCGCTAAGTTACTTCGTCTCCCATCGGTAAAGATACTCTTTTCCATTTATCAACAAGATATCCAGACCTATTAGCAATAAAAGTTTTCCTCCGCAACTGTACATGATAATTGGTCTAAATATGGAGTTGCCTTGTATTGACTTGACGAAAGGAGTCCCAGCTCCTGAGCACCCTCCCCCTCCCGGCCCCAAGCGCGAGCAGTGGACAGGGTGGGAAGCCTGGGACCAGCATTGTAGATTGGTTCAGCAGCACACACACCTACAGGACATAGGCCAGCATATTCAACATATAGTGAATTACTACTATGATCTAGATGATGAGCATCTTGGTTCTATCAGTTAGTCACCTATCCTCCTTTTCGAGATATTAATAGCAAGGATGAATCATGTCTTAACTAATGACGCGTTCGACGAATACAGGTCTTCCTAGTATTGAGTTTCCAAAACAACCAGACCTAGAGAATTATTCCTACGAAGAGATTGAAAAATGGCACCGGGATTTCTACCAGAAGATTCTGGAAATAGCGTTACCGCACAGCCATTGTCGCGAAAACAACAAGCGCCAGGCGAAGGAGACGGATGTACCACAATTATATCGTCCGCTTCGCCTCTCAAAATCAGCTTTTACCATACGATTGTTGGAGGTTCTGCCATCTGATACCGAAAATGAGAATCTGTCTACAAGACTCTTCAACGTAGACCTAAGCTTGACTTGCCCATCGTACGAGGCTCTCTCGTATAGGTGGGAGGAGAACCCTGGTGTTGGTGAAAGGCACTTTATTCACGTCAATGGCTTTAAGCATGGGGTTACATCTAATCTGTATAGCGCTCTCTCTTCACTGCGTCGTCAGTCTCAGAGCAGAGTTCTCTGGGTAGACTCCATCTGCATCAACCAGGTTGATATGGCAGAGCGATACGACCAAGTCTTGCTTATGGCTAGGATTTACGGTGGGGCAAGTAGGGTTGTTGTGTATCTTGGCCCATCTACACCATCGTCAGCCACGGTTTTTAAACTGTTACAATCGCCCATTTGTAATCCCACAGCCATCGCAGAATCTCAAGACGAAGGAGAAGGTGACGACGAGCAAGAGGACGAGCAAGAATTCACTGATCCAGCATTTTGGAGATTGTGTCACGATGCAGGTCCCGACATGATCGAGGGATTCATCGACGTGAGCACTAGGAGCTGGTGGACAAGGATATGGGTTCTCCAAGAGTATACTCTGAACAAGCGCGACCCGGTTATTTATTGCGGACGTTTCAAAGTGATGAACAAAGTATTTTCTGAGAACTTCCAAAAGCTGTTCTCGTGGGTGGAGCATCGGAGACGGCATCCGAAGTTGTTGCAGAATTGCGACCATCCAGCATGCGATGTGCTGTTTGATACAGTGAAAGGGAAAGGCGAAGTATCAGTTGATGTCCAAGACGAGAAGAAAAAACAAAAAGTCTCTGACGATAACGCTTTGTCAGTAAACGTCGACCCGAATGTCAGACGAAGCATTCTTCCTCCTCAAGGTTCCCAGGGCCGACAATGGACAGCATGGGGTCGGCAAGTTTGGAAATCGCATTCAGTCATGATAAGACGCGATCATTGTTCGCCTTTTTCTACTCCGTATTATTTAACCTTGGGATTACAGTCCGAATGCACTAATCCGTGTGATATTGTCTATGGCCTCCGAGAACTCATGGACCCTCTCTTCCAAAGCCTTTTCCTGCCCGACTACATGATCCCTTTACCAATACTTTTTACTCGCCTGGCGGCCTACATCATAATCGTTGAAAGGAATATGGATATATATTGGCACTTCCCCTACCGCCTACGCGACGACCGTCTCGGACTTGGAAAGGTCCAACTCCAAAGGCAGGGTGGTGTTTGCGATATCCCTTCATGGGTTCCCAACTTTAGCAGACCACGGTTGGATCGAAATGGCGAACGAATGCCGGTCGCAGTCAAGAAGAAAACCGACTTTTGGCCCCAAATTGCCCATATTCTCGACCACGTACTTTTCATGGATGGAATTCTTCTTGACGAAATTACCAAGGTTTTCCCTGTTGCTCACAACGACTACTTCCTCATCCTACAAACGCTGTGGTGGGTTGAGCGATCATTCTGGGAGCCTCACTATCTACAAGACCTGAGGTCAGAGAATTATCTCAGAAACAGAAACCCAAAAGGCGTATCCGACAAGAACAGTTGTTGTTCAGGTAGAATCACAATATATCCGAGTTTAGGGTGGGCGACGGACACTCCGGGTTGTTGCTCGACTGACGTTTCAGTCGTCGATACGATCTACGAGCTTACAGACCTAAATTCCTTGCTCAAGGAAACGTTTGATAGCTATTTGGTAAAGATGCCACATGTCGTCGATATGATCATGGAAAAGAAATGGCGGAAATCAGAATCTGTTTGCTCCACCGACTCTCTTGAGAAAACCGGAGGATTGCATCGCCGGATTCAAGATATTCAGGATCTTGATCTGAATAACGAGGGAACATTCGCGACGTCAATTCCGAGCCGCGATGACCTTATAGAAGAGATGGAGTCGCGTTTCATGGAGTTCGCATTGCGCATTACTGCCCCGAGTAAGTTGAAGGACCTCGTTGGCATCTCCACGTTCGACTATGACAACTTCTGTTCTCAAATACTGGAGGGATATAGTCTTGTCTGGTCACGGCGCGTGTCGGAGAAATCAGGCGACAAACAAGGTCAAGAGACTATGGACATGACTTTCTCACGTTGGGCTATGATGTACAGCGAGTACATCGATGCTGTCGACAATGGGCACGATATGCTGGAATTGAGGCTGAGGGAGGGGTTTCTCGTGGATCTGGCAACAAAAATACATAAGTCGACAGCAGATATGGTGGGTATTCAAGGGAGCACAGTACGGGGCAGGGTCGAGGTTGAGGGTATCCAGCAAGACTCCGGGGTCGCCAAGAAGGTATCACACCGTCGGATATACAAGTTTCCTACCGAGTCTGATGACAGGAAAACACGACACGGATATCAGGAAGGCAATACGACTAGGGAGGACATATCCTCTCTTGGTCTGCCTCACAACGATTGGTCTGTGGAGGTACGGGAACTCATGTATGACGTGCATCACTCACTATGCGACGTGGTCGACTTTCTCCAGGGCCGCGAGCTTTTTGTGACCGAGTCTGGTTTAGTAGGAATCACTGGGGTAGGAACAAGTGGAATACAAGATGGCGATGATATTCTTCTGCTCGAAGGCATGTCCTACCCTCTGATTGGGAGACTAGAACCGTTGCCTGAGTTGGGAGTCCCTAAGAGAAGGAGAGAGATGCCTACAAAAATGATGAAGCGGGAGATTTTAGGTACCGCTGTCGTGAAGGATGTCGATCCAAAGGACGGTGATGTATCCGCGGCTACAATGCCCTCATGGTTTGAAGATCTTTCCCGAGGATCAAGGGGACTGTTTAGGTTTAGCTGATCATCGTGGTTTTGATTTGAATTAGGAGAGGCAGATTGTGTTTTGGACGATAAAATTTGGATGACTTTCTGGCAAAAAGCGTTACAAAAGTTAAAAATAGTGGCTAAATATGGAAGTAACTAACGTGTATTTAATTGCTCTTTTTCTTTTATAACTTAAAATACTTTCTATAAATAATTTAGATCTTATGTCAGTACGATATATTCTGGACTCTAAGAGATTGTAGGGTAAGTAAATTAATGTGGCTTTAAGTCACTCTTCTGCTTATGTCATGATGTGGAGTCCAGTACGAGAAGATCGCCAAAGCCTTGTAAAGAGATTAGGTAAACTTAGTAGCGCCTATAAAACCAAGTTACTACCCGTACAGTTATTTAATTCATGGTGAAATGTCGCATTTTTCTTCAATTTCTGGCCACAATTGGAACACAGCAAAAAGGGATTCACAGTGCTAGATTAGCCCTCCCGCGTTCCCGCGCGGCCGTTTGTACGAAACAGCCAACAGCGAATCAGGACATGGGTTAAATTGGGGAAGGTAGTACTTCAGGGGTTTATTGGATGCAAACAAACACAAACCCCCTTAACTGATGTAACATTAGGATTCGCATCCTTGCTACGACGCTTAACCTGTCTTGTTTGTCCTGTTTTGTGATTGATTTGATTGTCTTGCCCTGCCCCGTACAGCCTGAAATCCCATGCATGTCAGCAATTCATTCCAGATCCAATTCCTTCTCTCAGATCCTTCCTTTCTCTTCTCTTTCTTTTTCTGTCAATTTTCTTCCGAAAAACCATCCCATCAGCAATGGGAATCCTCTTCTCGCGTCCAGGTCGCGAGACATCGGCTCTGCCCCCTGGCGCTTTTCACGCAGGCAATCTCTCATCCATCAACAGCTCATCCATTGGTCCGTATCTCGGATACAACACCGGCCTGTACGAAGCCAACCCCCCGCCGATACCCTTTGAATGGATCATATCGCCCAAAACCATTGACGGATCGTGCCCAAATGGCGCTCAGATCCTGACGTGGTTCGGTGTCACGGAGGCCGTCATTACTGTTCTGGCACCACTTTTTGCGTACCGGCCCTTTGTCTACTGGATTACCCGCGGAAGGCTTGGAAGACGTACCAAGAACCGCATCGCCATCACATGGACGACAACGTTTGCCTGCCAGCTCGTGGCCAGCGCTATTGTTACTGGTATAATGGGCAACACGCCAGGTTACGAGTCTTTGAACATGTCGCATGTTTTCGCTGTCCTCATATCACGGCCCCGATTCTACCCCATAGTCATCGCACTGTTGCGCTGCGTTGTCACCGTCAAGCGTACCCGAGACTACGATAAAACCATGATCATCAAACGCAGCGTCGATGACCGTATCGAGTTCCCCTACACAGACGCCTGGATCACAACAAGCTTCTCAGAGCTACTGCTACTCCTCATATCCGCCATATTCACTGGAGTAACGTGGAATCGTCTCCCATCGGACAGCAAAGTACGCGAGTACACATCGGACCACGTGAGCTTCGTATCGAGCGCCCCGGGGATCATGTTTCTCTGTATGCTGGCTTTCGTGCCGGTATACAAGCGCTACGGCGAGGCGTACCCCATTGAAGGACGACGATATGAGACCGGAAGACATTGGGGCGTGACGATAAGCAGCGATGGCAGGACAAAGATCGGCGTCAAAAAGGGCAACAACAAAACTTTGGTCAAGAGAGGAGCCAACGCCGTGTGCGCAGTGCTTCTCATGGGCTATATTTGTCTGTGCCAGTGGGCGTATTGGACCAGAATTCTCGACATGTCAGGCGTGCTGTGAGTCTTGACGCTATTTGATGCTGGGAGTCGACGAGCTAACCGGGAGTTTTAGGTTCTGCCCCCCAAAGATGATAGAGTCTGGGGTTGTCTGGGTGGTTTTCACGTTGGTTGGTAAGTGATTCGTGTTGCAAATTGCATGCATCTGGCTGTCTTTGACTTGATTGACTAACAAACAATGCTAGGGCTGTTGGCTGGAGCTGCCTCATAACCGACCTTACTTCTTTTCCGACCAGCAACTGCTGATACCCAACTTGAGATGCTGTACTGTTCTTGTCAGCGATACCAATATTCTTCTCTGTATGGCTCGCTCATGGTCATGTCTTTGAGCACCTGACCAGGGTGTATTGCAACTATGTTTAGAATAGCCAACTACTGTCCGATCTATTTGATACATTTGTCATAGTTTTCAACTTAATTAATATCGGAGGAAAGTCACTATATTCATTGGCAGGGCTTATTGACCATTCGAAGATCCAGAATACAAACCAGTTACACAACACGCAAATGTCGATTCTCCTCTTGCCTCGTGAAATCACCATATCTTAGATCAAGAATAAACCAGGAAATACCTCGTCTTTGAGTATTAATCTCAGCTCTTCTACAGTACTTGTCGTAAAACTCCTTGAAATCGGTAAAGACCGGTACATGCAGTGATGTCTTGAACCTGGCCAGTTGAGCGTGTAACAATCATAGAAACATGTGACTTCCAATACCTATCTCTATTACAATTCATGTAGACCTTCTAGGCTATCGCAAGTATCTGGATTTTCTTTGCAACGATCTGGCCGGGAGAACTGGCGCTGATGGATCTATGATTCGTCCTTGTTATGGCAATTACATGATCTGTATCACCAACAAATATAGGCCTGATAACGAGAATTCTGGTGGCATGGTAGTTGCTTCGTCGCGCCGACGCTCACAGACTTCCTCACATACCGGATTCTATGATATACAGAATGGAAAGCCACTGGTCAGGTCCTTCGTATGTGGTGTCGAAGGCTACCCATGGGTGCGGGATTGTGCACAAGGACCATGGCAAAATCCTGTTTGTTCATGCTGGTTGAGCAAGGGATCATGTAGTTCAGGCTGTCTGAAAAGAACGCACAGCTATCTCGGGAGAGAAGTGTGTTTCAGGATAGACGGGGTGTCGATGACGAAGCTAGCAGTCGTTGGTAGCAGAGAAAGAAGGTGTTGATGGACCTTTACGAACATTCATTACATGGGAAATCGGAGGGATATGAGATGGAGGTTGCGTCACTGTCCATTTGTCTGTTTTTGGAGCTATGCAACTTCGAACTTTTCAGCTATCAACCTATCCTAGGGCTAGTCTCACACTCTCCTTGACCTTGGAAACTATCCTCTCAATGTCATGCTTTGTGCTCGTGTAAGCAGGTGCTATCCACACATGATCTCCAGTTACACCGTCCTTGGTACCCATTCCTGGATAGAGACTGATGCCTACATCGTTAAGCGCTGCCAGGTGGACTTTCTTGGAGATTCCTGCTGATGGTGGGAATGGCTCCTTGGTATCCTTGTAGGCCACAAATTCCAGCTTCACATGTGTTAGTTACATCTTCCAACCTTTCAAGGGCGGTGGGTAAGTAGAGCAGTCAACTTACCGACCAGAAGAAGCCTCTGCCTCTGATATCACCGACGTGGGGGTGGTCATCCAGCTGCTCATGTAGAAGCTGGCCTAGATACTCGCCATTCTTGCGAACATTTTCAACGAGATTGTCTTCTCTGACGATTCGCTGAACTTCCAGTGCCGCGGCGCATCCCACGGGGTGTCCTTGGTAAGTATGTGCGTGTGAGAAAACACTAGTACGGAGTTAGAAAGAGAGTTCAAGATATACAGGTATAGACCACGACGACTCACCCACTTCCAGCCACCAAAGCATCTGCCACACGATGGTTGATAAACATACCAGCCATTGGTGCGAACCCACCTGCTAGACCTTTGGCAATGGTCTGAATATCTGGGACGACGCCCTCTTGCTCCCACTCATGAAGTGTTCCACAACGACCCATCCCGGCCATCACCTCTATTCATCGTCAGCTGTCTTGAATACAGCTCAAGTTTCATCAATACTGACCGTCCATTATAAGGAGTGCCCCGTACTTGTCGCAGACTTTCTTCATAGCTTTGAAATAGCCAGCAGGCGCAGGGATGGTACCAAGAGTCTTTTATGGACCAAAGTCAGCCAGAGATATGAACATTTAGAAAAGTGATTACTTACCGCTCCAACAAGAGATTCACAAACAAATGCAGCAACTGTGTCAGGTCCAAGCTCTTGGAACTTTCGATCCAGCTCATCTGCCAATTGCTGGACGTAATCCTCCGTCGTCTGGCCATCAGCCTTTCCACGATACTCGTTCGCGGCCGAGACACGGTGAACGTTATCCAGCAGCGTGCCGTCGAAGAGCTTCCTCCGTGCGACGTGACCACCCATTGAAAGTGCCCCAATGGTTGAACCGTGGTAAGACCCTTCCCGCCCAATGAAGTTTGTACGCTGGGACTGCTTTGGGTTCAGCTCCATATAGTACTGTCGTGCCATCTTCATGGCTGCCTCCATGGCTTCAGCTCCTAAGACCTGTTAGACGTCGCGTCTGAGCTGGAGCAAGAATATGATAACGTACCAGAGCACATCAGATACACCTTGGACATCTTCCCGTTGGTCCCCCTAATGAGCTCCTCAGCCAGCTCTTCGCCAATCTCATGACCATAAAACATGGAATTTGAGTAAGAAAACTTATCAATCTGCTTAATCATTGCATTTCTGACCCTCTCATTATCGTAGCCAATACAGGCTACTGCCGCACCACAAGTGGTATCCTCCATCATTTTGCCATTGGAGAACACGACATTGGTACCCTTGGCCGCCACAACATTGAGAGGCGCTGGCTTAAGAGTTGGGTGAAGAACAGCACTGGGCTTACTGGCATTACCCAGCAGTGTTTGCTCTATGTGGCGACTTATAGCAGAAGTGGAAAAGGTTGAAACGGGAGCTTTTTGGGTGCTGCAGCATGTTCCCACTTGAGGCCTACTAAAGATTGATGGAGATGTCAAAGCAGACTTTCTGACACGACGAAGGAGCACTTGAGCGTGTCTAGCTGAGTTTGTAGCAGACATTGCGGAAGTCAAAAATTGCATTTCTCGTGAAAGCCTCAAATTAGAATGGTACCAATGAATTCCTGCTGGGAGGCTATGAATCGGTAGAGCTCGATATCAGTAACGTTGAAATAGAGCGAGCAAATTATTCATCAGACATTATCCGTTGACTTTCGGCGTCTTTCAACCATATCCCGGTCCCGCATGTTGGATGAGTCTACGGCCAGACGCAAAGGATCACTAGGTTGCAGTCTACATCCCATTCGACTCGCGAGTTTTCGGAGTCCGATGAAGATATGATCCTTGTCCTGATGAGGGTTGAAAATTACGCAAGCACCCCTGACAGGTAAAACACCAAGGATTTTAGCGCTTACACTTACATGCTCGAGCCCCGGCATCTCGGCAGCGCAGCATGTAGCATATTCTTGTACTTTCTCCCGCTCACACCCTCGAGATACAGTAGTGCTTAGATAATTATTCCGTCGATGCAGGTTTTAGTTAATTCCCGCTTACCCCTCCACAAGATAGCGCTTAATACATGTTTCCTCCGTTGATGCATGCAGTCCATGAACTCCGCGGCACGGCCCGGGTCTGAATAAATGCATTCACGCGGCGCCTTTTGCGGTAGGTGACAAAGGCTGAAGGGGGGACGCGTCAACTTCACGCTTACTCAGACGCGGATCCTACGGTAGATCTCTGACAGACATGACGCCGGTTAAATGGCACGCCCTGTGGTTAGGGCTCATTGCATGCACGTGGTGCATATACGGAGTACATACGCTATGATCGCATTCCATGAACGCATCCTTGGAAGGTGGGGGCAGTGTGAAGATAGTAATTAATGGCTTCACTCGATGGCGTATATAGTGATATTGGCTACATATTCCTTCGAAGCCAAGTTAGTTCAGCCTTCGCGCCGCCGCCATGGAACATATCCATGCATCCTTCGGCCGACTTTAGGGCCCTGCAGCTTTGATTCGTTCTCCGTTGGCCCGCTGGTTCGAGTGAACGGTATAGGATTGCATTGCATGTGCTGACTGCTTAATCATTGCTTGTTCAGGGCGCATTCCACGTAACCTAAACGGTTCACTCGGAAGGCCTTGGATCGTACGTTCAACTTGGCACTACCGTCGACTATTTTGACAGCCATCACCAATCTTGTTTGAAATTCATGAGCACATTCTGACTATTTTCACTACTCAACCCCATCCTACCGATAGTAAATTACAATGCTTGCGCTTAGAAAATCCTCCCGTGGCTTCCAACCATTAGCCAGCGTCGCAAAGAACAAGCTCAATGGCCACAGCCGCAGCTATGTAAGCGTGGCTGAACGAGTGCACCGGGTGACCATGTTCAAGATGCCCAAGGCTGAGGATCAAGAAAGGTTCTTGGAGCAGTGTCGAAAGATGGCTGTTAATAACCAGAGGGTATAGTCACTCCCCTACCTTAGGCCTACTTATGTTCTTTGCCACGGGTCCCAAGTCTCACTGAGATTACAACAATACATACATCAGCATAATAGTTATATACTCACTACTATACTAGAATGGTACTCCTTACATACTCAGCATGGTTGCCGGTCCTGTCGAAGAAGGCCCTCGCACTGAAGGCTATACCTTCGTCAACAAGACTGAGTTTGCCAACATGGACGATATGAAGTACTACGAGACTGAGTGTCCTGCTCATGGAGAAGTAAAGAAAGTGTTGGGTGAGATTACCATAGATGGGATGATGACCGTTTTCTTTAAGCCGCAGGCTACTGGAAGCACATAGTGTTTGGGATAATGTTAATATAAGTAAGGCTTCATGGGCTATCATAGGAGCAAATATGATAGCTAGCATTATCACTTAACATTTATTCTTGTACATTTTTGGCTATGTCTGATTGTAGCTATGTTTCTGTGTGTACTGGATGGATCATGCGTTCAAATAGTCTGGCGAATGCTATTGACAGATAAGACAATACAGTATATAAATCAATGCATCCTTAATTGTTGCGAGTCATTCCCAACTCTATCACATGTTCACTGCTATTCAACCCAAAAACAGAACAACATCAATGATGCTCATTCCGTCACTTTTCCAGATATAAACCTCCACTGGGTTGACTCCCATCCACTTCGTCTAGTCAGGCGGGTACCACAGACCGAAGCCTCGTCTTCCGGCTTGCACACAGATGTCGACTGAGGACACGAAGCCATGGGCGGCGGCTTAAACGTATCCCAGTTCCCGTCCACAGGTTCCACATTATAGCCTAGGAGCAACGCAGCCATGAAGCCGTAGATCTCGGCCGTGGCGAAGTTCCGCCCAGGACACATGTGAGCGCCTCCGCCGAAGGGAGTAAGGGCAGCACGTCTCAACTTGGCTTGTTCGTTCGTCAGTCCCTTGTCTAGGAATCTGTCGGCTCGGAATGTTGCTGCGTCTTCGCCCCAGATCTCCTTGGAGGAATGCATGACTCCAGCGGGCATCTTCACGGTGGAGCCTTTCTTGAGGAGGTACGAGCGGCCATGCCTGTCTTGGATGGTCGTGTCTTCTAGGGCCATGCGGTTACAGGTGAATCCGTTGCAGATACGGCTGGCCTCGCGGTAGGCGCTGACCATCAACGGGCATTTTTCGAGGATGTCGTCCAAGTTGAAGGTCGCCACATTGTTCGAATCAAGTTCCACAATGGGCTCGACTTCAGCGCGCATTTGGAGGACCACATCAGGCCGCGTGAAGACATGGATGAAGAACCAGAACAAGGTCGGGATGGAGTTTGATGTAGGCACATGGATGAGGCCAACCTCAATATCACCGAGCTTTTGTCCTTCGACGCCGTATCCTCGAAGAACACCGACCCGATTTCTGATGTAGGCTGAGACCTGTTCGTCGTCCTGCTTCATGCCAGAGCACCACTTACCCAAAGCCAGCTGCAGTCTTCTTCTTGCCTCCTTTGTGCGACGTAGTGTCTTGGAGTTAAAGATGTGGAAGAAGAGGTAAGGCAGACCTGTTTCAAACGTCCTATAGTAAAATGGCATCAGCAACATGCGAGATGGGTCTGTGAGATGGATGTGCTTACCAGACGTCTTCGACAAGTTCATCGCTCCTGATGGGATTTTCAGGGCCAAATAGAGCCTCGCACGTAGCGACTGTCATGAGATTACGCAGCCAGAGGTAGGTATTGTCAGCTTTCATGCCATCTCCTCCAATGCTGTTGATATGCTGCGAAACATGCTTGAGGGAGGTAACATTTAGCTGGTGGATGTGTTGGGCAGTAGTCCCATCATAGAGGCTCTTGAAGTATTCGGGTAAGACGTCTGTCGACGTGAGAACTTTATGATACTCATCATCGAAGCCCGTGACCTTCTGGGCACCGGCAATAGCAAATGGAGTGAATGAGAGGTGCTTGTTGCAATATGCGGCCTGGACTAGAATGGGATCTGTGATCGCATACATTTTATACTTCAGAATAGGCACTGTTGCGATGGGCATGTGATATTTCTTGCTGTGGAGCATTGCATACGTTAGTGGCTATAATACGACATGGCTCCGTCTGGTGCTCTCAGCAGTGATCCTGCTGTACAGGAACATGAAGAGACGTTTCAGATAGATGAGGACTCACTCGAGACGTTTGAAGAATAGTTCTTGGTCCTTGAGCATACTGTAGAAATGACCGAATATAGGGATGCTGGGCCTGATCATTGGAGGCTCAAGGCCGTTGACGGTTGGCTCGAAGGCCCGTCCGACAAGGAAGAGCAGAGCGCATGCTGCCAGGCCAAGAATAACGGGCTTGGTCAGCAACAGGTCGACAATGACCTCTGTCAGTGCCATGGTATTCAAAAGTGTACTATCGAGGCGTGGCTGGTTAGGTAGGCAAAGGCTAGAGTAACCCTAATTATTTAGGTGGGTGGGTAAAACATTTATTATGTATCAACGTTCACTATGGAAGAGGAGAATTATGCTAAATGGCGCGCGGGTATTCAGGTACTTTTGGACCTGGCCCTACCTATCTATAGAGGAAGCCAGTAGAAGTTAGTAATGGGAGGATTTTTAGGCGACAGGAAAAGGTTCTCGACTGAGTTGGGGCGTATATGGCTGGCACCTCCACTAGGACAGGGCGTGGCCAGGGAACTTCAGTGGAAACGTGTCATCATTACCCATGCATCATCATGTCAGCATATGCAGTTGTTGCCTGGTGGGTGGCTTCCAAGTGTCAGCATGTGCCAAGAGATGCCAGACAAGCTTCGGAATACTACCCTAGCTATCTCCATTCTTTTACCCCTGGGGCCTGATCCTTCGCCAAGTCCTCGCAAACTCCCCACTACACACACTCCAACCTGTGCCGCAGCAGTACAGCACAAATGATAGCGGTTTTTGGATTTGATTAAGTGGGGGTTTAACTTCATTCCCACTGATTTCATTATGTTCCACCTGCCTTTAGAGGGCCATGAGAAATGGAGCCTTGTGCAAGTATGAAATGGCGGTTGTTCGGAGGGAAGAGGCTACTGCTGGGAGAGTCACATAGATAGTATAGCAAAAGTAGGAGAGAAAAACTCAATCATTGAATGATTGAGTCAATTGTAGTCTAAGTAAAATAACAGCAACAAATCATTCAACGCCCCTTAGATACATCTACTTGTTCATTCTGGTTTAGCTGCCTCAGCTTGCTCTTCCCCCTCTGCTTCGTCCTCAGACTTCACCTTGACCAATCTAGATCCCTTGGTCACAATCTCGGCCAGTTCATTAATGCTGCTAGTATTCCACATGACCAACAGAGGTAGGTTGACTTGTAGATAGGCACCGATCCAGTTTCTCAACTCGACACCGACCAGCGAGTCCAGACCATACGAGTCCAGACTGCGAGCAGGGATGATGTCGTCGGTCTCAATGGCGAGGATAGTTGCTAGTTGCTTGACAATGGCCTTGCAGACAATGTCCTGCGCCTCATGGAACGTCGTCGCAGCCTGGAGCTCGAAGCCAACGTTGTCAGCACCACCGCCAACTGCCTTGTTGCTGGCCTGGTTCTCCGCTCCAAAGATCTGGGCAAGTCTCTTGTCATTTGCCCAACGCGCTTCTCCAAGGCCACGCTCATCACCGTTGGGCAAAATGCCGAGCGATGACTGGGTGTATCCTGTCTTGTTCTGGAGCACGTCGCTGAGGTGTGATAGGAACTCGGTGATGTTTACACTACCGAGACCGTTCTTTCGGAGGTTGACAGCGACGTCTGGGTTCTCACTGACGTAGCCGGCTTCGACGATGGCGCCGATGTTGACCGAGTAGGCCGTCAGGCCCAGGCGTCGGCGGTAACGAGCGATGCCATCCTGGAAGGCACAAGCCGAAGCATAATTGCCAGCTCCAACAGTACCAACCATAGATACTACAGAAGACAGCATAACGAAAAAGTCCATGTCTTCGGGTAGAAGCTTGTGCAGGTTCCATGTGCCTTGAATCTTGGGTGCCGTGACCTTGCACCACTGCTCAACGGCCATATCTTCTAGCAGGATATCATGTAGGACCATGGCAGCCTGGAATAGACCACGAATAGGGGGCATGGTCTCCTTGACCCTGGCAAGAGCTTCAGACAGTGATTCTTCCGAACTCACGTCGCACTTTTCGACACGGACCGTGACGCCCTTGGATGTCAAGCTGTCCAAGAAGTTCTGAGTGTCAGAGTCGGGCTGGCCTGTCCTGGAGAAGATGACAATGTTGCGAGCTCCCTTCTCGGCAGTCCAACCAACGAGACGCTTACCCAGACCTCCCAAACCTCCGACCACAAGGTAGGTGGCATCTGGCTTGAGTTGAACGGGTTGGGGCTTTGATGGGACAACCTGGACCTTGTCCTCAGGGTCCACGGTCAAGATAACCTTACCCGTGTGTTTGCCGGCTTGAATGAGACGGAACGCAGCAGCCATTTCTGAAATAGGGTACTTGATCTGTCGTACATGTTGCACGGCTCCAGCGGCAAAGAGCTTCATGACGTCTCCCAGAAGCTGGTGCGCCAGCATCGTCCTTGTCGCAAGAATGTGCGCAAAGTCAACGTAGGCAAAAGTAATGTTGTTGAGCAGGAACTCCATGGGCATCAAGGCATTCTCCATGAGATCCTTACGTCCAATCTCGACGAATCGTCCATGTGGTGCCAGCGTGTTACACGACTCGCGGAACATTTCTCCTCCAAGGGAGTTAAGGACAACGTCTACTCCGTGGCCGTTGGTCATGGCGCGGATCTTGTTGCGGAAGGACGTGCTTCGGCTGGAGAAAATGTGATCTTTTGGAATGTTGAACTCGGTGTTGAGCAATTCCACCTTGGCCTCGTTTCCGCATGTGACAAAGATCTCGGCGCCGAGATGGCGTGCTAGCATGATAGATGCTTGTCCGACGGCACCGGCAGCCGAGTGAATGAGGATACTCTCTCCCTTTTGAAGTCTGGCAATAGTGATCAAGGAGTAGTAGACAGTGCTCCAGACAAGTGGGATTGAAGCCGCGTCTGCAAAGGTCATATCGTCGGGTATGACATGACAGCACGAGCCGTGAACCATGGGGTAGTTTGTGAATGACTGGGAGTACAGCGAGCAGACACGGTCACCAGGCTTGAACTTGTCGGTCATGTTGGCTCCAACCTCGAGCACGATACCACTGCAGTCATTGCGCATCTGCGTGATGCCCTCGAGCTGGCCCGAGGCAACCAGCACATCCTTGAAGTTGATACTGGCGGCGCAGAGCTGCAGTCTAACACAATCAGGATCCACTGGCCCAGTGATCTCGGGATTGTCAGCCCAGCGGAGTGTGTCGAGCACTCCTGGAACGCCCAGCTCTGCCGACATGGGTCTGTCGTTGAGGAAAGGAGCCTCCTCGGAGACAGCCCTGCTTAGATCCCGGCTGACGTAGCTGTCAAAGGCCGGCTCCGAACGAACACGGGAAACGAAGAGTTGACCCTCTCTTTCCATGTATTCAAACTCGATTTCGTCGATGGGAAGGCTCAGGTCAGCCGTTGGGCTGTTCAAGATAGTTGTAAGAGCTTCGACGCCAGCTTCCAATCCACTTTCGAGCTCGAGAGTGCACAGGCGTACAGAGGCGTACTCGTAGCGAATAGATCGACAGAATCCGTAGATCCAGTCACCACTGGGTCGATCTCCCTTCTCCTTGGCGGTGTTGAATACAAACAAAATGACCGCGGAGCTAGCGACCCGAGCCTTGAGCGAGTCGAAGAGTTGGCCATCCATATCCCAAGCTACACGCTCGCAGAAGTCAGGCATGATGATGCTTATCTTGTCTGAGGAGACGGATGGGGAGGCAGAAAAGGACTTGACTGAGCGGTCCCAGAGGTTCTTCTGAAGCTTCTCTGTGAAGCTCGAGTAATCAACGTCCGCAGAACCAGACACAATCTCGACATCCAAAGGTGCTGCTGAGGGAGGTGGGACAGGGACTTCAGAGACAAAGACATTAATGGAGCCGCCTTCAGCAACAGGGTAGTCCTCGAATACGGGTCCATTGTTGACAAATCCATTCTTTGAAAGAGTCTCGATCCATTGGGTGGGTGAAAGCATAGGCGAGAGTGTTCGGCCCTCGTTAACTCCAGCCCACCAACCGGCAAGCGAGCCAAAGACAAGACCGTAATGGGGGAGGTTCACGGTAGGCTCCATGAGGATCAGCTTACCACCGGGACGAAGGAACGTCTTGACGTTTTCCAGGACGGCGTCGATACAAGGCGTAGCGTGGAGGACGTTGGAAGCGATGAGGACGTCGTAGGTGTTGGGCTCAAAGCCGTTCTCCTCGGCTGTCTTCTCAGCGTTCAAGGTCTTGTACTGGACAATGCTCTCATAGTCTGAGAGAAGTTCTCGTGCAGCTGGGAAGAATCCAGGTGAGATATCGGTGAAGTCGTATCTGGATGCAAGGACTCTGTTGGGGGCTTGCAGAGCCTGCAAGATGGGCAAGGTGGCTGATGCAGTACCGGCGCCAACCTCGACGATCTTCATGTTGGGGTTGAGACGACCCAGCTCGCTCATGTAGGCGGCAATCTGCGCAATGCAGCGAACATTGCCACCTTCCAGGTATAGTCCACTGAGCAGACTGTCCTCGTTCAGGATGGACAGAGAGTGGGTGGTTCCTCGCAGGATCTCACCCAGGCGTGGGCCTAGACGACGTGCAACCTGTGCGGAAATGCTGCCGTCTTCCTGTCCTCTCTTGAGGGATTCAGGGTCAGGCTCCTGGTCGGCGAGTGTCTTCATCCAGTTATGCCAGCTGCGCTGGTATCCTTCGGCTACCTCATCTTCTGGTGTCGAGGCCAGGGCCTGCTTGACGTAGTGCACGGTCATGGCCTCCAGAGCCTTGATCTCTGGGATGATGGACCTGTTATCCAGCGACTTGTTGCACATGTCATCCAGGTACTTCTGGGTAGTCTTGGGTAGGTAAGTCACCCAGTCCGGAACGTGGCACAAGTCTCGTTTGCGACCTTGACCAATGGAAACGTCGGGCAACTTGGTCGCAACCACTCCCCAGGCCTGGAGGACCGAATTGTCCTCGTTCTGCTTATCATAAATGCCAATGTCAAAGGTAAGCACGCTCTCGGTTCGTGCGGCGTGGCATGTCACTTCTTGAAGCGGGTTGGCCTTGTCTTGCTCGGACACAATCATCTTCTCGATGAAGGTGGGCACCACGGGGGACTTGTCGTTCTCGTCAAAGATGAGAACACCCATCATACCGTGGTACAGCACCGCGTCCATGACACCGGGATGAATGACGTAGTCTGCTGCACAGTTACCGGCTTCGGGACCGGGCACAAATGATGAGTCTGCAATGCAAGACCCAGCAAAGATCTTAATATCAGTTAGGTTATCAAATGGTGCGGTCCAGTTGACGCCAATATCTCTTGCTCTGTGGTAAAATTGCTTGGCTGGGATGTGTTGGGCGTGCGCAGGCAGATTGAGACGGATGGGAACAACACCATCATCGTCCTGGGTGGCAGACTCCGACTTGGTGATAACCTGCACAAGACCACGGACATGCTCGACCCAAGCGTCGTCAGCGGATGTGCTGAAGATACGGAACTCTTGCCATTGCTGAGACGACTTCCTTGCAGATACTGCCTGAGGCCGAAGCGACAGGCTGATCTCCAAGTCGGTCTTGCTGTTCTCCATGACCAGTGCCTGGGAGAAGGTGACGTTGCGGAGAACAAACTTGTCAATCGTAGCCTGGGGGTTCTTCGTAGCCGTGTCCTGTCGAGCCGCTTGGAAGACCATGGAGAGGTACGCCGTGGCTGGGAAGATGGTCTGTCCCTGGATAATGTGGCCACTCAGCCAGGGGACGTCTTTGAGGTTGAGGAAGCAGCGCCATCTAGGCTCCTGAGGGTTGTTATCATGGACGAGCGTGCCCAGGAGCTCATGGGGAAGGAATTGGCGATGCTTGTACGCTCTGGACACCCGACTCTCGTGCCAGTATGTCTTGGAGTGGTCGAATGGGTAAGGGGCGAGATCCGTCAGGAGTTGGGGTGCTGCTCCGAAACCAGCATTGGCCTTCCAGAAGGCGACGGGGGTCTTGTCCAAGTATAAAGCCTTGAGCATCTCCAACATACGGAGCTGGGAATCCTCGCCGCGTTTAAGTGAGCCAGCATAGTGAATCTTGGCCGACTCTCCCGTCCAAGTCCTCAAGGTCTGCTTAATGGGACCTTCCAGCTGGAAATGAGATCCCAGTTCAAGAAGCAAGTCGACCTTGCGTGTGTTGTTCTCACCCACGCATGTCTTCTTTAATGCGTCAGTGAAGCGGACAGGCGAGACCAGGTTGTGCACCCAGTAGTCCCTGGTGATGGGCTTGTCTCCGACATCCTCGCCTGTGACGGACGAGGCCATGCTGATGTTGGATCCAGGCACGCCACCGGCCACATCCTTCAGAGCCTCGTGGTACTTTTCAGCAATCTGAAGCATCTGAGGCGAGTGGTAGGCTGCTCCTCCAGTACGGAGAAGTCGGTTCCAGACGTCCTGTTCATCTAGCCGCTGCTTCAAGGAGTCGATGACATCGGCATCTCCAGATACTGTCACGCTCGCAGGGCTGTTGTGGCAGGCAATGGCTATGCGGCTAGAGTCAGCAGCGCCCAGCTTATCGATAGACTGCTTAACAGTCGCAGCTGATGCTCCGACAGCTATCATGGCGCCGGCCTTGCCCTTGTTCTCTTTTCTCATTTCACTGGTCAGGCGACCACGGTGATACGCCGCAGTCATGGCATCCTCGAACGAGATGGCTTCAGCGCAGTACGCTGCAGCAATCTCGCCGCTAGAGTGGCCTACCACAGCGGTAGGAACCACTCCCAGGTCTTTGAGGGCGTCCACGAGGGAGATCTGAACCGCCGTGGACATGGGCTGTGCGATACAGGGATCCTCCATTCGGCTCTCTTCGGGGTCCTTGAGTAGCTCCTCAAACAGGTCCCACGAGCTTCCGCATGCCTTCACGCATTCAGCTGCCCGCTTCATACTGGTTGTGAAAGTTGGCCATGTACCAAGCAGGCTCTGGCCCATACGAGGATACTGGGCACCTTGACCGCTGAAAACGAAGCCAATCCGAGGGCTTGTCTGGAGGTCGCCACGGGGGATGGGTTCGCCGGACAATTTGGTCACCTGCGCAAGCAGATCATCCAAGTCTGACGCAACAAGTCCGACTCTGTTCTCCATAACAGTCCTCCTGCTGAGGGTGTATGCAAGGCGGTTTTGCAATGCGTCAGCGTCAGCCTCGGACAAATCCGCCTTGCTTTCGAGATACTTGGCTATATTGGATGCAAGGTCTTGGCAGGACTTCTCGCTCGCAGCACTGAGAACGAATAGACGTTCCTTAGCCCTGGGAATACCTTCAGGGAGGAGAAGATTTCGGGTGGTTGGGGTTTCATCGTTCTGGCTTGTTGGCTTTACAGGGGCGGCGTCAACAACGACATGGGCGTTGGTTCCACCGTAACCGAAACTGTTGACTGAAATTCTCTTGAGCGGTTGAGACTCGAGAGAAATGGGGATTCTAAGGTTGAGGACGTCTAGGTCAATCTCCGGGTTCGCCTTCTCAAAGTTGACCTGAGGAGGAATCATGTTGTTTTCAAGCATCAAGACGGCCTTGATGAGACCAGTGAGACCAGCTGCACTCTCAGTATGACCAATGTTGGCCTTGAGGGAGCCTATGGGCAGAGGGGAGCCTGACTTTCGAGAAGCACCGAGGACCTTGGCAATGGCCTTGGCCTCGATGGGGTCACCAACTGAGGTACCCGTGCCGTGAGCCTCAACATAGTCTGCATACGGCGTCAAGCCAACCTGAGCATACGCTCTCTCAATGGCAGCGGATTGCGCTGCAGCACTTGGGACAGTGATTCCGTTTGTCTTTCCATCCTGGTTCGCTACCGAGTTTCGGATAACGGCACGGATTGGAAAGCCTTGCTTCTCGGCCTTTGAAAGTGGCATAAGGACGACTCCTGAGCATCCTTCACCTCTACCGTAGCCACTGGCCCCCTTGGCGCGGTGGTCAAATGTGAAAGATTTTCCTTGCTTGGAGAACATGCTCAGCTTGTTCTGGTAGCCATATCGCTGCGGGTCAACCTGGAGATTGACACCCGCCACGAAGCACTTGTCCGTCTCGCCTGCGCGGAGACTGTGCACTGCCTGGTGAAGGGCTACCAAGCTGGCTGAGCAGCCCGTGTCAAGGGTGAGACTGGGTCCGTGTAGGTTGAAGCAGTAAGATACACGGTTGGATGCAATAGCTGCTCCAACACCGCTGGCCTGGTAAATGGGGGGGAAGTTGATGTCTCTGAGGAGCATCTCCTGGTAGTCCGAGGCCCACAGACCGACATAGACACCAGTGTTGGACCCTGACAATTGTTGAAGCGTCAGGCCGGCATTTTCAAATGCCTCATAAGCAATTTCAAGAACCAGTCTCTGTTGAGGGTCCATGGCCTAGAGTAGGGTTAGTTGGTTATCTCACGCTGACTTGTGACTTAGGGGATAGGAATACGCACTGTTGCCTCTATGGGGTTGAGTCCGAAGAAGGAGGCGTCAAAGGCTTTGATGTCATCTTTCAAAAAATGTCCACCGTCTGTACTTGTCTAGAGTAGGTGGTTAGTTACATATTCTCTTGAGGGTCAAGGCCGGAGTTGTGGGATAGCTCTGGTGTATCATGTCTACTTACCCTTCCAACTTTGCCTTCAGCAGCAGGATCATGAAACCCCTCTTGGTTCCATCGATCCTTGGGCACCTTTGACCAGGCCGAACGGCCCTTGGTGAGCAGTTCCCATAGCTTTTGCGTGTCTGATGCGTCTCCGGGGAGCCGGCAACTCATACCCACAACGGCAATGGGCTCCAGATTCTCTCCATTTGCTTCTACTGGAGAGTGTCCATTTGCTTCTGCTGGAGAGTGTCCATTGACAGGTGCACTGCCGTTTACAGCAGAGGTGCCGTTCATGGTATGTGTGGGGCCCAGTGAACCCATTGTGTGTAAAAGATGAATATTTTCAAAATGTGATAGAGCTATGCCTCCCAAATCCGAGGAAATAGAATGAGTCTCCAGATTATAAGTCGAGATTATAAACTGTCCTACGCACCAGCAACGAATACTTCGCCCCCAAGGGACTTTTGGGGCTGCACGCCCAGGGTCCCTGTATATGCAGTCCTTGATTTACCCGGCGGCGCTTACTGTCAAAGCTTGGCCGAGGCGCGGAGGGCTCGGAAGGGAACTCTGCATAATGTCATCCTCCTCCATGCAAGGTAATCCTTCGATCCTACCGTCCTATCCAGATATGTTCACTCTTGCGGAGTATTCCGGCTGCGGACGGATGACAGATGGAAATGTGCAAGGCAACTTTGGTTTGCCCGACGCTAAGGAGGGCCCCGCATATCGTCATCCTTCTCCATGCACGACCATCCTCCTATCCTACCTTCCTATAAGGAGTACTCGTGGAAGTACACTCCATTTCGAGAACTCACAGGTAGAAGTCTGCAGGATGGCCTGGCGTTACTGGAAGGAACTTTTACGCGATGGAATCCTTTTATTGAACTTTCTTATCCGCGTGAAAATCCGAAGGCCCGAACGCTGGTGGGGCATGCTGATGTGATACTGCAGCCTGGCAATTAGGTTCATGATATTCCCTAAAAAGTGGAAAAAGATGGATATCTTTCGATTTGGCGTAGCACTGCCTGTGTTCAGGCACTTAGAGAAGCACGGGTAATGAGTCCACCGGTGATACGTCTGGTGCTACCGTGCCTCCCGTGCCATGGTAAGGCTTAGTGTGGATTTCCGGCGGGGGAAAAAGAAACCCCGGATTTAAGGGTGTAGGGTAGGAGATGACTCACTCAGCCAAGTTAATTATCCAGTAAGCTTTATGATGCAATAACTCTTATACACTCAATGAGCTTTGCTAATCATATACACAACGACGAATACTAGGCATATAAAACCTCCCCTCTACTTTAAGACACCCAAGTTGCAACCAAATACCAATACTTGCTGTCTACTCCATTACAGATGGTTTACCTCTGCACTCTCAATTTATCGACGGTCTGTAAAGCTCGCCGAGCCGATGAAATGTTGAAGACAGCGTAAAGCAAATCAAACTGGTGTTCTGCCACTGAATTAAGTCTATAAATATCTTATTCCAAAACAGGACATCAGTGAAATCAGATTCTTGGCTATTCAAACTAAGGATCTATTAAGTTCTTCCTATTTTCTTACCCCTGCGCGCTATGATAAGACATGTACCGAATTCACACTCCCCACCCACCACATGTAATTCCACCCCTACTTCGTACTTTGTATCCCTACCTCATAACCCTGCCTCATATCCCTACCCCTACCCCTACCCGTCCCCACCCGCGCCATGGCCCCTGTCAGACATCGTCCGACATAAGCGCAGATGCTTCAGTACGTACTAGAATTCCAGACGAATAATGCACGGGTGATTGTGCAAGTATCCGTACTCGGGGAGAACTAACGACCCGCCTTGTGTTGTCGCCGGCTGAACAATACGGTCCCATATACTCAAACAAGATAGAGACCGTTTCAAGACTCAACACAACCTACAAATCATCATTTTTTTTTTTTGCAAAGTGCTTTAGCGTGCAACCACTTTCGAGCTATCTAACAAAAATGGGCGGCCACAATGAAATCGAAATCTTGCTCTGCAGGGCGGCATCTCAGGTCCTGAAAAAGGACGAATCTGAGATTGATGCAGAGAAATCTCTAGCTGAGCAAGGCGGCAATATGTTGTCAGGAGTCTTTTTCGCCGGGCAATGTAGGGAACTCGGTATCCCCATCGACATGGCCAATGTCTCAAACACGTCTATGCGTGAACTGGCACGACAGTTGGCCGAGACCAACCCCGAATTGCTGCGTTCAAGTACCACGACGAACAACAAATCTGTTTCTGTTGCCCACACAGAGCTCCAGAGCCTGTACCGTACCTTCGGGTCGTCACAGGGCTTCACGTTGGACATCGAGGTTGCAATGACCCTCGATGACGCTACTCATATCACGGAGAGGCTGGTGGAGAGACATCCAATTCTCGGAGCTTCCCTGGAGCCCGACCAAAAGGAATCCTTTGTCTTGTCAGGCGTCAAGCCTTCACCACCCACAACCTTGATGCCATATGAATCCGACGAGGAGGCTATCGCTCAGGTGAGAAAGCTGCAAAATGAGGTTTCGACAAACCCAGCTGTTCTCAGCGTCCTCTTTTTTGGAGAGAAGTCCCAGATCGGAAAGCTTGGCTTCGTGGCACACACTGCTGCTCTTGACGCTCACTCTTGGTATATCCTTCTTCAGGATATCCAGGCATATCCAAGCAAATCCCATTACTTGAGTACTGAATCTCACACCTTCTTCAAGTGGGTTGAGAGAGTGAATCAGGGAACGGGAAAGGAAATAGAACCTGCTGTCACGAATGGACATTCTGTGGATGCGGGACCCTCGCCGAAAGATCCCTTCCAGCAATCACGAGTTGTTTCATCTTGCATCTTCAGTTTGAGCTCGAAGTTGACGGAAACACTTAAAAACGAGGAATGCCGCCGAACACTGCGCACAGAGGTTCATGATTTGATATTTGCATCCTTGGCCTCATCCTTCGGAGACCAACTTCACAGCCCAACCAGAAATGTCGAGATCAGGGATGGTCGCAGCCGTGAGCAGGATGAAGCGTGGGATAGTGTCATGGGATGCTTCGATGAGCTTGCTGAGATCCCCTATCACTGCACTGGCGACATTTTCGATGCGTGCCGCAGTGCAAAGGATTCGAGACAGCGTTCATTCTTACGTTCTATCCATGATATTTCTGATCATAATAATCTCATCCTTGACACAACTCGGCTCAAGAACTCACCCGATGGCATAATGCGGCCCACTGACGAAGTGCCCGGGCGCCAAGCTGCGGAGGCCGTCGTTCAATCAATTGGCGGGCTCTGCGTGACCCCTTTCTGGATGGATGGAAGACTGAGCTTCTCGGTCATTTGTAGTGCTGATTTCGGAGGAGAAACAGATCTCAAGCGCAATTCTGAGAAGTTCGTCAGCCATCTACAGGACATTGCCACAACATTACCCAGCCGTCGACCATGGCCTACCCTCTCCGATTTCCCAAATCTACCACTAGACTACCCGTCTCTGGACCGCTTGTTTGAGCAAAAGTTGCTTCAGATCACTCAGGATCCCCTTGCAGACATTTACAGCATCTACCCCTGCACGTCCATACAGGATAACATGATCATGGGCAATTCCCTCGATAAGGCGGCATATATGTGTACCTTTACTGCCAGAGCCACGACGTCAGGCGCTTTTGCATCTTTTGACGCTGAGAAATGGGCCTCGGCATGGGGTAGGGTGGTCGAGAAGCACGCATCCCTCAGAACTGTATTTATCGAGAGCGAAAGTCGCCTCGGGCACTTTGACCAAGTCGTGCTCAAGAAGGTGGCCCCGCCAGTCGACATAACTTCAGGGCTTCAGGAGTCGGCAAAGGTTGAATTTCAACAGTTGAAGGTGCCACATCATCTGGGTATCACCCAGGAAGGCCCTGGACGGTGTCTCATGGTGCTGACCATGTCTCACGCAATTACGGATGGCCACTCTGCTGAAGTTCTTCTCAACGACTTATGTGCCTCTGCCGTCGGAATGGGAGGCAGCGAAGAGGCTTTCTCCTACGCCGAATATGCTCTGAGTGAACATCAATCCAGAAAAACCCACGTGTCGGATTACTGGGAGAAGTATCTTGCCAAGACGCAGACAACTCTTCTTCCAGTCACACGAGAGAAGGCTGATTTTCACGACTTTGCCACCGTGTATGCCACCATGCCAGCCAACGTAGGATCAATGGACCGACTCTGTCGACGGCACAAGATCAACTTGGCCAGTGTCTGCCAACTTGCCTGGGGCGTCGTGCTGCGCAGTCACGTTGGTGTCGATGACATCTGCTTCTCATACATCTCCTCTCTGAGAAACAAGCCCTTGAAGGGCATCATGACGGCTGTTGGGCCGCTGATCACCACCCTCCTGTGCTCCGTGAACTTGGAAGGAAGTACAGACATCTTGGATGCTATCAGGGCTGTCGACTCTGATTACACTGAAAGTATGTCCCACGAGGAAGAGCTTTCCAAAACTACTTCTCCTCGTCGTTGGAGCAATACTGTCATGTCATTTCGCCGGAGACTCGTTCAGGATGATGGAGGTCTTCAAGGCTTGAACTATAAACTTGTCAACGCCGCCAGCCCTACAAATGTAAGTACAGATCATCAGAGAATACGAAGCTACAGCAATCTAACAACTTCGGCAGTATGACGTTTCCCTTATCGTTTCAGCGGGCCAAGCAGATTTGGAGTTTATGCTGGATTACTGGGGCTCTCGCATGGATAAAGAATATGCCCAGCGTCTTCTTCAAAACTTCCAGGAGGCGCTTCACTCCATCTTCCGAGATATTACCACCACTGTGTCCAAACTCGAGCTTATTAGCGAACATCAGAAGAAGCAGATCCTAGAGAGAAACCTCCGTGTTCCCGAGGGTTTGGATCGGTGCGTTCATGAGCTGGTCAACGAGAGCATCCAGAAGCAACCATCGGCTGTTGCCATCAACGCTTGGGATGGCAGCTTGACATATGAGGAGCTGGACAACCACATCTCACATCTAGCTCAGCATTTAGTGCATATTGGAGTTGGACCAGAAATCCCAGTGGGAGTTTGTATGGACAAATCCAAGCTCGTGCCGGTCGCTATGCTCGCCATTTTACGTGCTGGCGGTGCTGTTGTTCCCATCGGGGTAGAAGAACCCATTGCTCGTGTGCAGGCCATTCTTGCCGACTCGTCTCCCGTGGCCATTATCGGTGACGAGAAGCAAGTGAGTCGTCTGTCTGGTCTGGGCACCCAGGTTCTGAATGTTATCGAAATTATGGCGGACGAGCCACCAAACACACTATCATCCACAGCAACACTAGAGACGCGAGTCAAGCCGGAAAACACAGCGTGGATCTTTTACACCTCTGGATCTACTGGAACACCCAAGGGTGTATTAGTAGAGCATCGAGCTCTGGCAACTAGCATGCGTGCCCATGGTATCGCACTGAACTTGTCTCAAGAGGACAGGGTACTCCAGTTTGCGGCGCACACGTTCGACGTGTCCCTATCCGAGTTGTTCACCACGCTCATCTACGGAGGCTGTGTCTGTATCCCTGATGAAACTGATCGTCTCAACGACCTGGCAGGTTCAGTTCATCGTCTACAGGCAAATGTCTTTTCTCTCACCTCAAGCATGGCATCAACCATCAAACCCGCAGACGCTCCGATGGTTCGCAAATTGATCCTGTTTGGAGAAGAAGTCAAAGCTAGCGTGCTAGAAGCCTGGCTTGGAAAGGCAGATATCTTCAATGCCTACGGTCCAACCGAGAGCTCCATATTTGCCAGTGTCAGCAAGCCACTCCAGAGCGTGGACGACCTGGCTAATATTGGATTTCCCATGAACGTGAACTTCTGGGTTACCGATCCACAGAACCCAGGGCGTCTATGTCCTCCAGGAGCTCCAGGCGAGCTCTTGATCGAGGGCCCACTGCTTGCCCGAGGTTATCTCAACGACGAAGCCAAGACATCTGCTGCTTTCATCCACGATCCAGCGTTTGCGTCTCCACTTGGGATTGAGACGGGGAGACGTTTCTACCGAACCGGTGATATTGTGCGGCAGAACAGCGATTCTTCTATGAGCTATCTCGGTCGCAGAGACACGCAGATCAAGGTTCGCGGCCAACGTCTTGATGTATCCGAGGTCGAGCACTGGATTATAGAGTCGCTAGATGGTATAATCCGTGCTGTAGTTGGACTTCTACCCGCAGATAAGAAAGACACAGGTGTCATGTTATTTGCTGCTGTTGAATTTTCCAAACACACCACCTTTGTTCCCCCGGGGGATGGAGCGATTCTCCCAGCCTCTGACGAGATTCGCAAAGCACTTGGTCTACTGCAGAATGCGTTGCAAGAGAAGCTTCCATCGTACATGATTCCCACTTTCTACATTCCTTTCAGACGTATTCCCTTGACTTCGTCTGCCAAGACCGACCGCAAAATGGTTCGCCGTTTGGTTTGCGAGTTAGACACTACCACCCTACAGGAACATGTCTTTGAGGAGTCAAGCGAGAGTGACCAGCTGCTGACGGAGACTGGGCAGAAGATCAAAGATTTGTGGGCGGCTGTACTCAACGTCAGCAGCTCGTCCATCAGAGCAAGTGATCATTTCCTTTATCGAGGAGGAGACTCTCTCCTAGCAATTAAACTGGTTGAAATGGCTAGGTTAGAGCATGTTCACATGTCTGTCAAAGATGTGTTGAGTTTCCCTAGACTCGAAGATCTGGCACGAGTTCTTGATGAACGCAACGCAGCTGGTAAAGTTGACTCTACTCCGGCACAGACGCAAAAAGACCCTCCTCCCTTTTCACTGTGGAATCCATCCTCGAGCGATAGAGAGGCTGAACTTGCAGACATTGCTATGCAATGCGGTCTGAGTACCGAAGATATTGTGGATATCTATCCCTGCACCTCGTTGCAGCAAGGCATGTTGGCTGCCACGCAGCAACGCCCGACGGCATACCTTGTGCGTCAAGTCTACGCGCTCTCGGATTCTGTCGATCTGTCGCGCTTCCGATCAATGTGGGAAGTCATGGTTCAACAGGCCCCCGTCATGCGAACTCATATACTGCTAGGGCAACGCTCAGGATCTTTGCAGGTGCTGTCCAAGAAGCCCATCACATGGCAGATCCATGATGATTTGGAGGAGTATGTTGCACAGGACCAATCACGTGCCATGGGCGTTGGTCAGCCGCTCATGCGTTTTGCTTTGGTGCAGGACAAGTCGAATGGTGTTCGTCATTTTATCTGGACAGCGCATCACTCGGTCTACGACGGGTGGAGTGCCCAGTTAATCTACAAGCGACTGGTGGCTCTTTATCTCAATGACGAGGTGCCTCGTGCAGTCCCCTTCACGCGATTTATTGAGTACCTTCAACGGAGCGAAGAGGTTGATGGAATTAAGACCGATATCTACTGGCGCGGCCAGCTTGGAGGAGATGTGCCGTCAGCCTTCCCTTCCATGCCGTCCCCTTTCTACCAACCAAAGCCTGCCGCCTTGCTTCGCTCCGAAATAAGCACCTCAATGTTGAGTGATTCAAGGTCTGGATTCTCACTTGCTGACGTTCTGAGGGCTGGTTGGGCCATGACTCTCGGTCAATACCTTGGCACAAGCGATGTGGTCTTTGGAGCCATTCTCTCTGGCCGTAACGCCCCCGTCGCGGAGATTACAGAGCTTATTGCGCCTACCATCACTACTGTGCCAGTTCGGGTGCATGTCGACCGGGCAGCAAAGGTTTCTGGCTACCTCGAAACTATACGGACTCAGGCAGTAGAAATGATACCGTTCGAGCATACGGGGTTGGAAGAGATCAAACGCCTGTGTCCCGATCTCCAGCCTGCGACAGATATCACTCATGCTCTTGTTATTGAACCTCCATATGCCAGGAACGGAGAGGGAGCCACCGAGCTTCCCGGCTTCGAGCTGGTAGATACTGCCGTTAACGTGTTTGACACATTTGCTCTCACCATTCAGTGCCAACTCCCCAGCGAGCAAGGATCTTCCATCAAGCTCGAGGCCCGTTTTGATAGTCAGGTCGTAAGCGAGGCCCAGGTGAAAGTCCTTCTAAGACAGTTTGAGCACTGGGTATCGCAGTTCCTCGACGAGTCCAATCACAAGAGACAACTGCGAAGTCTGGAGGAAATCACCGCTACTGATCTCGCCCAAATCAAGAAGCAGAACGCTCCCATACCAGTACGTGGCTTGAGATGCCTGCACCACTTGATAAGGGATGTAGCCCAAGAGCAGCCAGACTCGCCAGCGTTGTGTGCCTGGGACGGCAACTTTACATACAAAGAACTCTGGGCCAACGCAAGGAAGCTTGCACAGCATCTTTCCAGCCTGGGAGTAGGTCCCGAAACAAGGGTGACAGTTTGCATGGATAAGTCTAAATGGACTGTCGTGTCAATCCTAGGCATCTTAGAGTCTGGGGGTGTCGTTGTCATGCTACGCTCGCAGTCTCCATTGGAGGAAGCAAAGGCTCTCGTGGAGGATTCTGAGGCAGCTGTCATGCTGACTAACGCAGGTCACACAGCTAGATTCGCAGGTTCGGGGCCTCCTGTCATTGAGGTCAATGATGCGCTGCTAGCTAGCCTCCCGGACCCGATCACGAGTGGGCCTATATGTCCGGCACTAAACCCTGATCATCCTGCCTGGATTGTGTACACATCCGGAAGTACAGGGCTGCCAAAGGGATGCCTCCTGGTCCATGGGGGTCTTGCCACCAGTCTGCCAGCACACGGAAGAGCGACACGTTGGTCTAAGGAGTCCCGCACCCTGCAATTTGCATCTCACGAATTTGACGTCACTTTGCAAGAAATCATGACGACTCTTATCTTCAAGGGCTGTGTCTGCATTCCGTCCGAAGACCAACGTGTCAACTCGCTTTCACATGCCATCAGGGATATGAATGTCACGCAGATGGTGCTGACCCCAACCGTGGCATCCATGATCAATCCGGCCGATGTACCGTGCATAACTCAGCTGCAAGTCGCTGGCGAGCTGATCAAACCAAGTGTTGTGGAGCGCTGGATTGATCACGCCGAAGTGGTTAACATCTATGGCCCGTCAGAGTGCTCTGTCTACTCATCCTGCGGCAAGCCGATGCAGAGAATTGAAGACGCACCTGTGATAGGATACCCACTGGAGAACTGTAACTTTTGGGTCACCAGCACCACTGACCACAACCGGTTGTGTCCCATCGGTATCCCTGGCGAGCTGCTCATTGAGAATTCTTGGCAGGCCCGGGGCTACTTGAACAACCCAGAGCTGACGGCGCAATGCTTTGTGGTTGAACCTGGATTCATCAAGCAACTTGGCTTAGATGGCGCTGGAAGACGAATGTATCGCACCGGAGATCTTGTTCAGCAAAACCCTAACGGATCCTACACTTATATTGGCCGCATGGGCAATGAAGTCAAGTTCCGTGGGCACAGAATTGACCTGGGTCGGATTGAATACTGGATTGGCAAGCTTCTTCCTGGGGTGCAGACAATTACTGTCGATCTGGTCGATCTCCAAGATGGGAAGAAGGCGAATGATCTTATAGCTGTGGTCGACTTTATCCCAGGCTCTGACCTGCTCGACCTTGACCAAACAGAAGAGATCAACGGAGTCACCATTCTTGCCCCTTCCAGCAAAATTCAAAAGGCACTGTGTCGCCTGAGGGACGGCTTGGCAGACAGGCTCCCGAGCCACATGGTACCGACCGCGTTTATGCCCTGGAAGAAGATCCCCTTGACACCGTCTGGCAAGACAAACAGAAAGGCTGTGCGTCATCTGCTGACAAGTCTCGAAGCAGGATCGGCTTTGCTGCAACGCTATCTTGCTAGTCAAGGTATCAAGAAAAGCCCTGAAACCAAAATTGGCAAGCTTCTTCAGCAGCTGTGGGCCGAAGTCCTCTCCATCGATGCGGACTCTATCGGTTCGGAGGATCACTTTACGCGACTTGGTGGTGATTCTTTGGCAGCCATGAAACTTGTTGCATCAGCTCGACAAGTCGGGCTTCAATTGACTGTTGGGGCCATATTCACACATCCCGTACTAGAGGATTACGCTCGAGTCCTTGAAACTGACCAGAAGGCTGGCCTCGTCAAAGTGGTGGAGAAGGACCCTGCTCCCTTTGAATTGTTGCCGAAAGATCCAAGTAGTCCCGACGGATTTGAATCTCGACTGGTCGACTTTGCTGCACAATGTGGCGTGTCCCCTGACCAGATCACAGATGTGTATCCATGCACCCCTATGCAAGAAGCACTGTTCGCCATCACGGCAAGACAGCCAACAGCCTACACATATCGCCAAGTATTCCGAGCCAGTGGAGAGGATGTTGATATCGCCAAGTTCCAGTCCGCATGGGAAACAGTGGCCAAAACATTGCCAATCCTTCGAACTCGAATCGTGCTTGACCGAAACAGTGGCTTCCTTCAGACAGTAGTCGACGAGCCCCTAGTATGGCACATTGGTGGCGATCTGGACACCTACATTGCCGCTGATAAGACCCTAGGCTTCGAAACGGGAAAACCTCTTCTTCGCTGTGCGATCGTCGAGCAAAAAGGCTCAGGGGCCAAGTGCTTTGTCTTGACGACACACCACAGCATGTTTGACAAATGGAGTATCGAGAAGATCCTATATCGTTACCTCTACCCGGCGTACTCTGGACATGAGATGCCCAAGGCTATACCGTACCCAAGATTTATTAGCCACGTCCTCAATACCGACTTGGACGCCGCATCGCAATTCTGGACCCAAGCGCTGACAGGTGCTGATTCGTTTACTGACTTCCCCTCGCTTCAAGCTGTCGGCTTCTATGAGCCCAAGCCTACCTCGCTCCTGAAGCAGACAGTCTCTTTAGATGGAGTCACAGTTGCAGGGCTACAAACCCCCTTCCCCAGTCTCCTTAGGGCAGCATGGGCTTTGACGGTTGGCCAGTATGCTGGCGCCGAGGATGTCATGTTTGCTGTCAATCTGTCGGGCCGCTCAGCTCCAGTAGCAGAAATCACTGAGCTTGCAGCCCCAACGTTTACGACCGTGCCTGTGAGGATCAAAGTACACGGCTCACAAAGGGTCCAGGACTTCCTCGATGATGTTCACCACCACGGCGTGGACATGATACCCTTTGAACACATTGGACTCCAGAAGATCAAACGGCTCGTTCACAGTTTTAATCCTGCTGATCTAAGACACTTGTTCCTCGTACACACAGCTGCTGATGCGGAACTGGATGATCCGACACTTCGACTGCCTGGCTTTGAGCAGGTTCACCTGAAGATGGAGGCGATCCATGACTACCCCCTCACAGTCTTGTGTAAGTTAGATGAGCGTAAGGGAGAGGCCGAGATAGAGGCTCGCTTCGACAGCGCCGTTATACCTGACGACCAGCTCCAAGCGGTCCTGCGTCAATTCGAACACAACGTCACCCAGCTTGCTGGAAGTGCCGCCTCTGAGGAGCAGATGGTTGGAGATCTTCCTTTGGCCAACTTACACGATCTACAACTGATCAACGATTGGAACGTCACCGGCGAATGGCCCTCCCTTGGCTGTATCCATGAACTGGTCATCAAGCACGTTCAAACCAGCCCCGATTCTCTCGCCGTCTGCAGTTGGGATGGGGAGCTTACCTATCGGCAGCTTGACAAGGCGGCTAGAAGCCTCGCACAGCTACTCAGGGTAGAAGGGAGCGTAGGCCCCGAAGTGACTGTCGGGCTCTGCATGGATAAGTCCCGATGGGCCATGGTGGCTATGCTAGCCATTTTATATGCTGGTGGTGCAGTGGTGCCACTTGGAGTTCAACTACCGATCGAGAGAATAAGTATCATCCTTCAGGATTCTTCTCCAGCCATGGTACTCTGTGACGAGTCCAAATCAGACAGGTTCCAGTCACTGGGTTACAAGACCGTACCTGTCGATGAAGCATCACTCGCTCACTTGGCTGGGTCGTATGATGGTCTCGATCCTGCTATTCCCTCACAATCAGTCCGAGCCGAAAACATGGCTTGGATTATATACACTTCCGGCAGCACAGGAGTTCCCAAGGGTGTAACCCTAGAGCATAGAGGTATATACAACGTTGCTCTGAGCAAGGGGACTGGCCTGAACTTCGACACTACCAACCGCACATTCCAATTTGCTCCATTCACCTTTGATGTCTCTATTGGCGACATTAGCATGGCCTGGGCATTTGGGGGAGCCGTATGCTTACCTTCGGAGAGCGGCCGGATGAACGATTTGGTCGGGTCCCTTCAGCGACTGAAGGCCAACTTCGCAGTCCTCACAGCAAGCACAGTGTCGCTCATCCCCCCCGGCGAAGTCCCAGACATGAAGATGTTGGTAATGGGCGGTGAAGCCAATACCCCCGCCTTGATTGACAAGTGGCTTCAGGGTTCAAAGGCCACCCTGACTAACAGTTACGGCCCGGCTGAGTGCTCAGTGACCAGTACCATGAACCCTTACCTGAAAGACAACACCGGTTCATCCAACATTGGCAGACCCATCCGCGGTGTCCAAAATTGGATCGTTGACACTCATAACTACAACCGACTTGTGCCCATCGGTGCAGTGGGAGAGCTTGTCATCGAGGGCCCGCAAGTCGCCCGTGGGTATCGCAATGACCCTGTTAAGACTGCGGCGGCGTTTATCACAGATCCTGGCTTCACTGCTCACGTTGGCCCCAAGACTTCAGGGCGTCGAATGTATCGGAGTGGTGACCTGGTGCGATACAACGCTGATGGCAGAATCACCATTCTGGGTAGAGGCGATTCGCAGATCAAGATTCGCGGCCAGCGAGTTGACCTGGGCGAGATTGAATCTTCCATTGTTAAGCTTATGCCCAAGGTTCGAATGGCCGTGGTAGAATATCTGCAACTCAATGGCAATCAACGCGCACTCGTTGCCGCCCTTGAGTTTCTCGAAGACGGTGACCGCCGCAGCGATGTCGCAGATTATTCAGCATGGCTCAAGAAATCTCTTGCTGAGAAATTACCGGCGTACATGGTCCCGAGAGTGTATCTGCAAATAGACAAGATGCCCAAGATCATCTCCGGGAAGATCGACCGCAAAGCTGTCCGCAAGTTCATGATGAGTGAGGGTATTCAGACAGCAGATATGAAGTCTCAGAGCGCCTCCCAAACTGGAAAGGTCGAAACTGAGAGAGAGGCTGTCGTCCGTAAGCTATGGGCTGATGTACTCGGGGTCGAAGCTGAGACAATCGACCGACATGACAACTTCTTCGATATTGGCGGTGACTCTATCATCGCCATGAAGTTCGTTGCTGCTGCGAAGGCAGAGAATCTTGCTATTCGCGTCCTGGACATATTTGAGAATCCAGTCTTGTCTAAAATGGCCGTTGTCGCCAAAAGTCTATCTGGATCGGGGCTTGAAGCGACTTCACCACCCCCTTACCGTCCTTTCCAGCTACTTGACCGTGTGGAAAATGGCATTGACGCCTTTCTTGGGGAGATGGTCTGTCCCGTCACTGGCACAGACAAGGAATCGATCCAGGATGTTTTCCCTGCTACTGATCCCGTTTCCTTTAGCGTGGCAGGGGCATTGACCGTGGCCCAGACAGAAGTAAACACCTTTGTCATTGACACGGATGCAGGCCTTGATTTGGCCCGACTACAGCAAAGCTGTGAGCTACTGGCGCAGCACATCGAAGCTTTCCGCACTGTTTTTGCATTTGATCTTCGCAACGGAAGGCTTCTCCAGATCATACTGAAGTCCTATCAGCACAATGTGCTCGTGGTCGAGACTGACGACTCGTTGGAAGATGCCACCAAGCGCATATTTGAAGAGGAGATTTCCCGTCAACCTCTTCAACTCGGCACACCCTTGATAAATATGGCTATCGTTCAACAACAAGAGAGCAAGAAGACCCGCGTGCTATTGCGGATGTCACATGCTATATACGACGGCATGTCTCTTCCGATTATACTGGACACCCTTCGTAGATTATACCATGAACAGGATACTTCTGAGCCTCCTTTGGCCTCCTTTGCCGAATACGTCGCATATCTGGACCGGCAGACAAGTGACAGCAGCTACAACTACTGGAAGAACCTGCTTGAAGGATCCCAAATGCCCCAGGTCTCTCCTGGGACAGAATCTGAGAACCAGAACTCCTTGCGCATGGCCTTCACCGAGGAGAAGGTGTTGCCATTACCGAAATCCAAGGGAGATGGCATCACCACCTCCACCATCATCAGCTGTGCATGGGCGCACGTACTAGCCCAGTACACGGGGAGGAGTGATGTGGTTTTTGGGGATACCATCTCCGGGAGAAATTTGGTCGACCCGTCTATAGGCAGTACCGCTGTCGGCTGCTGTGCGACCAACGTCCCTATGCGGATCAAGTTTGCTGATACGTCCGGAGACCACTCCGTTAGTCAGCTGTTGAACCAAGTGCGAGACCAGCAACGTAATCGTATTCCCCACGAAGGTGTCGGCCTTCGTTCGCTGATCCGGGAGTGTACGGACTGGTCCCCAGCTACTCGCTTTACCTCCATTGTCAACCATCGACCAGCCAATCCAGCGGTCAAGTCAACCAGTGGAGAAATCGGTTTCCAAGTGAGCACCATCACCACTGAAACGAAACCGCTCATGACTTGGTACGATCTCGCGGTTATCTCCAGGGAGGAAAATGGCACTGTTGTGATGACTCTGGGTTACTCGACAGCGTCGTTACACTCCGACACGGCTCAGTCGCTGCTGCAAGATCTCTCTGACACTGTTCGAATTCTTTTGGACTCTGCGCATCTTAACCAACTCGCCCTTCTTGGAACCAAGGCAATGCCAAGATCTTGCTCTAGATTGCCCATGTTACAATCGGTGAACGGCTCCAAAGAACATAGTTCAAGCGAAGGCAGATCAAGCAACACATTGTCACTTAATAAGCTCGTCGACTCTACTCTCAGTGTTCTCGACACAATCTGGTTCTCCGTCTTTAATTCAAAACGCACAAGCGTGGGCTCGTTGCCGCCCGAAGAACCGACTGTAGAAACGTGTTATCTGCCTTTCTACAAGTTAGGAGGCGACTTTCTTGACGCCGCCTGGTTCATTGCCTTGATACAACAGAGAACTAAGACCACCAAGGCGAAGGTTAATGGGGATTCCATTTCAACTTCGCACGCTCAGATGACGTTGGATGATGTTCTTTATCATCCCAGTCTTGTGGAATTTGCTAGTGTTTTAGATCAAAAACAAATTCGGTTAAGTTAGTATCCGTTCTTCTGTTTTCCTTTCTGAGTTCTTGGTATGAGGCGCTATGCCAGGGTAGTTTGTTTTAGTAGTTCAGTTTAGAGCTTTATTTATTCTTTTTCATCCTGTAGTATTTCTATCCTCAACCTTCGATTGTATTGCCTTATTTGTCGCACATGGTAGGTTGTAACCTTAATCAAGTTAGTTTCATTAATAAACTACTTCTTTTGCTCTAGAGAATTACATATAGAGGAGTTTAAACATTTCATATATAATAAGTTAATAATAAACTTTAGTGTGCTTCTATGATAAAATAAACAGACAATCATAGACTTATGTTATAGAGTGACAAGTAATTTCAGTAACTTTCTTATAGTACTATATGGCTTATTCAGATAAGGATGATTAATAATAATTAACATGTTTTTTAAAGGATATGTAGCTCGAAAGGCAGGGATTAATTTAAGGGTATGTAATAACTTCTTTGCACGACTGAATATAAACTCTATTAGCAAAGATTATTTTCCTCCGTGTTGTATTTGGTAAACCCCCATTGCTTAATCCGCTTGCCTTGAAGGATTTATGCAATATTCCTAAGCTGGTATATGTACTATTGTCGCTGTATCCTTTATATACTATCTGTACGATAGCGTTCCCCCTAAAACTAGATAAAGGTGGCCTCAATTGTGGTGTACGTTTAATAAGAAGGGATGTTCACCTGAAGGGTAATAGAGCAAGAAATGTTAAAGTTTTAGACGTCTGGACTAAAAGATGAGTAGATCCATTATGAAAAGTTATTAAATAGAGGTTAAGGTTTATATCAGCTATGTTAATATAGTAAATGATTAGAGATATTAGACTGTCCTGTAGTGTTATCTTAGGTCCTAAGCTCTGACTTACGCTCCTCTGTGTTTATTTACCCCTATAACTGAGCTTGTTGACTTATAAAGGTGTTGTTTTGCATGTATGTATTGGTGGAGCAAGTGAAGTCATTTCTCTTTTCACTTGTGTTTACAGACCTTTCACCGCTCTTAGCTCCTCTCTGACAATTGATGCGGCGCTAATTTTTGAATCGCCTCTGATGTATATTGGAACGCAAGATAACTCTAACAGCATCTACGGGGTTTTTGAGGAGAGGCTAGGGATATTTGTGTACTGAAAAGAAATCCCTTTTCGTCCCCAAAACGGAGGAAGAAGGATCGAGTTACGTTCGATAATAAAGATGACGCACCGTTGAGTAATATTTCAACACAATTCACGGCTCATACGTGCTACTTGCGGAATCTATTAAAGCCCAGTGTTGATGGGTTGGAAGCTGAGGTTAAGGGCCTTCGCTTGGAATAAAATGTTACAGTTAAGTAATACTCTTTAAATAGGAGGGATCGATCCAGATCAATACACAAGGCTATCTAAAACTATCTCCTTGACGAAGGTTTCCGCAATCGGCCATGAGACTTAGTTTGGTGGTTTAGAAGGCTATCATATCTAGTAAAGCTCGTCTGCGGGCATTCGAAACAATAGTACCGTTCCCTATGCTCTTTCGGCCGATGTGTTTCTAAATGCCTCGCCATAGTTCTCTCCTGGAACCTTTCATTACAATAGCGACAAGACATAAAATCTGTAGGAGTATAGTTGTGGGACCTTGAAGTACAAATCAGAAACTAGAATCGATCATTTTTGTTGCCGGTCACTTACTCTACGTCGTGCATCTGTCCTGAGAAATCGTTGTCTTGGCCCCGAGAAGAAAGGCCTACGCGAGCTCTGACTGCCTCCGTGGTTGTGATAGTAAGGGGTTGAGAGGTTGGGTATTGTGTTAATGATTGTAGACTTTGCGTATTGGTTTGATGCGTGTTGGAAATTTCATGATATGTAGCCATATTGCTATGTTGGACAGGCTCGAGCGAAAGATAAGGGGACTGTTGAATTTCGTAGGGAGTATCAGGCGGTATATAAGGTCTCTAACGAGCCGAAATATCTTCGCCGACTCCGCGGTAGGAGACAATAGGCTGTTCTTCAACATGTGCCTCTGTGCTAGAGCTAGTCCCAGAAAGTGCCGGCATAAAGCTACTGTTGACGTGGCCCTGACTAACGATGTTCCTGATGTGACCAAACGCCTCTATCTCTTCATGACTTAACTCAATGTCACCGTAGTCGAGGTCAAAAGTGGCGAGATTTGTGTCTCCGGAGTCCTCGGTCACTCCTGCCATCGAGATGGAGGGATTCACAATGGGAGGAGATGACGATATGTATTGTTGCCGAAATGACATGATAGGTGACTGTAGCAGAATGGTGTTGAACAAAGATCTGAGAAATTGACAGATTCCAAACTGATCTTGCCTGGATCTAAATAAACAATACATACAGAAGGCGAGTTAAAGATTGTTATAAAAAATCTAACAAGATTGATGTCGTTCACTTCGCAGACTCCTGGGGCATCCTTTCCGGATCAATATTATGATCAAAAGCAATTGAGCTGTTAGGTGCCTAACTGCCAAGCAGTAAAAGTGTAAAAATGGTGCCCAACAGGTAAGACTATCAACGCCTCTCATCACTTTTGAACTGATGCACTGAAAGTTGCATTTTCAAGTGCCAACGAGGACGGGCTTGGGCGATGTCGACGGTTTTCGAGAACGCCTCACAAGCCATTACGCTAAGTGTGATTGGCTGGTTGTTTGTTACATGCATGTGGACGGCCAGCTAATGCGGACGGCCAGCTAATGCGGACGGCCAGCTAATGTGGGCGGCTAACTAGTGCGGATGGCTAGCTAATGCAGATGGCCAACTAACCCTACTTTGGCGATTCCTCTTTCGTTACTACTGGACGTGGGAGATTGTCATTGGTAGGGAATGTAGCTTATCACTGATGTTGATGTCATTTGTCGGAGCAACTGTCTGTGCCCCCAAAGCGATGCGCAGTCAACCAATCGTAGTGGGGAAAGACGTACACATTCGGCTTACTTATAAACTGTTTAGCTTACTATGCATTCCATCAACTACAACATTGAACTTCACCGGCCACAGTCGTGCAAGGGCTTTGAAAATAAGATAAAACACCAGCGAATGATTTCGACCCTGAAGCTGGAGACTGCCCTGCAACTATATACACTAGGATAGTTTACATGATCCGCTCCAACATACATAAAATTGATGGCATCGTGGTTGTACTTGATTCGCAGAAGAAGATATGATACGGCACAGGAATTGCAGGCGGCTTGAATCATGCAATATTTGCTTACTAGCTAAGACATTTCCGCACATCTGCATTTCAGCCTCTGACGTTGCCTTGAGTAATTCACAAAAGATGTGCGAGTTTGGGGATGGAGGGAACAGGGAATGATTTTTGCAGAAATTTGTTGGGTCAGTGTCGGAAATCGAAACGCCTGCGAGAGCCCCCGGTGGGATATGTCCATGACTGGAATTTTCTATATAAAGGAGGCCCACCACGAAAACGTGAAATGTTCTGTACCAAGCAAACACAAGACAACCAGTGTGAACCTTATCTTTTTTGATCTCCTTATCACCTTTATCATCCGTTCTTGTCATCTTTTACAAGTCCAAAATGAGTTCTTCCATCAGCCGAACAACTATGGGTCTCAACAGCAACCAACAGAGGCAGTATCAGTCCCTTTGCATTGTGCTCCAAGCCGTCAACGAGACTTGCAAACACAGGAGCGACATGAGATACTCCTCTGGAAGTCGTTGCAGTGATTACCACCTTACAGATTACGAGAAGTACACTTGCAAGATGGCTCAATCCCTCGACATTGAGAAGGGGGGCAGCAGTGCCACAGCGCTTATTGTTCTTAAAGGGCTCCGTGGACCAGAATATGTTTTTGCCCAAAACTCAAGGAAGACATCTGAGCTGGAGAGGGCCAAAGCGTTTCTTTCTAATCTCATTGAGTACGTGGGTGTCAACCCTGATCGATTGGCTACCAGACCACTACAAAAGCAAGTCTTTACTCGTATCCTCGAGTTCAACTTTCTCAGATTCGAGATATACCTGGACACTTTTACCACCGCCCTGGAAGCCTGCATTCATATCTGTGAGCGATCACAGGACCCTGGCAGTAAGTATATGGAAATAATCAAGATTACTAGAGTTGCGGGCTTCTAACAATACCAGGGCTGGACGACATCGCACAATTGCAAACTCTCAAAGACAGGTCCCAATTTCCTCGCAACATGGCTTCGTCTGATGATGCCAAAAAGAAATGTAAGAAACCAAACCAAATGTCATGTTTGCGTTGCAAAACACACGGCGCTAATTACAACTTTAAAATAGTTTTCCGTGACTGCGAAGATCTTATCAAAGCCATACACAACAGCCAGAATAATGGAATCAATAATGTCTTTGATAAACACATTGATAATTCCGAACCAGAGGTTTCTTATCAATGGCATCAACTACGACATCATCTTGGCCGCTTACATTCTCTTCGCCAAGCTTCTGAGTCTATAGTCAATGCTTCCATAAGATGGCCCGAGCTATTCAAAGATTTCACGGTCAACTACATTCCCTCATCTGCTCTTCGAAGGTTTATTCATCCGCTAGGAGTATACCCTTCGTCGAAGGATGTTATTGAGGCTGCATTCCCAGAATATGACTTATCGTTTTATGAAAGCGACATTGAGGAACTTCGCCACCACGGTTTGGATGACCAAATCAGGAAGCAAGGACAGGAGTTTCCGTCCAAAACTCAAATTCACTGTGAGGTTAATTTGCATAACCATCTTCTGAAGAGTGGCAAAACACGACCATGCGACTTCTGGAATGATGTCATGTTTATAGCTACTAGCAAGCTTCCTTGTAGGCTTTGCTATTACTATTTCCAGGACGGCAACAACGACTTTCATGTACAGCCATCGCACATGAACCTTTACCCTAAGTGGAGACTCCCTGACGCTGCGGATCCCAACGATCAAGCAAGCGTTCAACACCGTGAGGAACTGATGGAGGATATCCTTGACCACATGCAGGAAGGCATACTGAAGGTTTTGCAAGAGAAGTTTCCTCAGTGGAAAAGGAATGATTCTCGCACGGACTCACGAAACTGGCCTAACGTTCGAGAAGGTGCGGATAGTAGAACTCCAACTACCGGGGTTTATTTCTCGCCCTCAGTCGTGGATGACGATTCCTTTGTTGATATGGGGAACAGTGATGTTGGTGTTGCTTTTTCTGGATAGTTTCTAGTACTCCGGTTGACTTTTGAGAGGATGCTCTTTTTATTTTACTATATTCGAACATATGAATCTATCCTATGGTTTTTGTTCTATCACTGCGTCCTGGACTTGAATAAAACTCTGAAAAGGTGTCCATTTAGTTGTGGAGTTAGTTCCAATACACATGACTTTGAAACGTGATAGCTAACATCCTACGGCAAGTACAACCCGACCAGGATGGGCTTCCTAGCTCATCGCGGAGATGCATTGCAATATGCTAACATCGAAATTATGCCTCTCCATTCCCACATGCGGTTGTTGTTACTTCTAGTCATCATTGTATTTGATGGGTTCAGCAGCTATCATCTCTTTATTCTAAGTTTCACTGAAGCATCTGACGGTTGGGGGCCTGCTGTTTCTCTAGAAAAGACAGAAGCTAAAAATGACTTTGTTTAATATCCTCTCGCTCACATTTGTAGCATTACTCCAGTATTATTAAGTCCGTTCCGGAAGCACGGCGCTGCGTATAGTGGGCTTTGGGGCCACTGAAGGTATGGATAACAGAGCTTATTCTCTCTCCGAGGAAAGAGAAAACGGTCATGGATCTTCATCAGCTGCAACCATGACAGCCCTAAGCACAGATTAACCACATAGGATTTCATGGCGTGCAGCTGCCCACGCAGCGATGGAATCATAGGGCCATCTGACGTTTAGTGGCACTGGCGACAGACTGAGATTAATCATCTCCTTATACATACAGTTATTATGCAGTATGCTTTCTTCCATTTTTATATTGAGTTGATCGAGCCACCTTCTACTGATTTGCAGCAACCGGGAATTAGCACACTAAACCAACCATACCATGTAAGCGAGGGAAGGCGTAAAGGCCGGGTATTCTCGATATTCGGATCCAGAACCTAGTACTAAAAGAATGGTGCACAGGCCACAAAAATTAGTATTGGGTGCTATTACTGCTCGTAGTCGGTACAGTAGCAAATTCCAACCAACGTGCGCTGATAAAAAGGATATAGTTCCATGAAGATGATAGGGACAGGGGACTTTCGCATGGATGAAAAGCGTGCAATGTTGTAAATTACAAAAGTCTTTAATAAAGTAGTAATTGGGTTCATTACTCTAACAATAAGTTGTTTCACCAATGTTCACTGCCCATTGTGTCTTTCTGTGCTGCTTGGGTGCTAGATTCTCTTACATGATAGCTTTTCAAAGCCAAGGAGGGCAAACTGTATTTTGCTGGCTTCTGCCAACCTTCAGTACATCACGCAAGACCTAAGCAGGTTTTAACTTCAGTGACGGAAGCTCCTGACTGCAACAGCATTCTTATTACAAGGTTGCACGTTTGACTATCTTACCAGACATGGTTGCAATGATTATTACATGAGACGTATGATGGTGAGTTGTCTGTGCATCAATCTATGGATGGCCTCAAAATAATTGGGGTTACACAGGACCGTTAAAGGCTTACGCCAGCTAAACAAGTGGTCTGATTTTATCGCATGCAGTCAGATCAAAAATGCCTCTATCAAAATCAAGCTCAACTTTGGCAGCTAGCTCAATAACATATAACCCTTCAATCGGCCTTCTTCTTGTTCCTTTGAAATGAACCCACCTCCCTTTAATGTCCACCAAATTTTCACACAACCTTTGTTGAACTTACTTTGAAGTCAATGATGTCGTTTGCCCAGGACTCTGACAAGGCAACGCCTTGTTGGGTGGCAGATGGTGACGTCGAGATCCATGGTCAGAGCTTTACTCCTCGTCGTGCGGCCATGGCATTTTTTAAACTTCCCGCCAAGGAAGAGCTTCCAGAAAACATGTACGAGAATGTCTTGGCTGATGCTCGGGAGGGCCTGCAAGACGTTTTTGACCGCCCTGGTTCTCGTGCACCGTTCGTTCCTGGCTACAAATGCAGGGACGATGCCGTTTCAAGAGCGAGATTGCTTTGTCATCATGGGCAAGAAAGTTCAAATATTATATTCTTGCATCTAAGACACCCATCGGTTGTTTATTATCGAGGGTTGGAAAACTATGCTGTTAATGCCTCTTACCATGGTGCAGGCCTGAAATCTTCCACCGACAAGGTATATGTAATTTGCGAAGCCTTCACCAAGTTACATGTCGAGCGAATCGAACCGGTAGAGGCTAGTGGCTGAAACTGTTCTATGTTATCAAGCTGTTGTGTTGTTGCGCGCTATCTGAGTGGGGCTTGGATAATTCATTTATGTTCTCCCCTTGGAATACTAGACTTAGTCTCATATAGGACCATGTAAAGAAAATCGAAGAATATCAAGTCACATACCAGAAAAACCATGAACACTTGAGTGCTTTTCCTCTCCAAGGTTTCATATCCATCAGATCATCTGTTATGGGTGCTCTGCCGTTGTTTAGATCTTCGATGACGTAGACCAGGAGATATGAGCTTAGTAAGGGTTGATTCCATCTGGAGCTTTTATGTCCCAGTAATCCCGTGAGTCATAGCTTGGCACATCTCTACATTCACAGCGGAACGGCTCAGTACAGGTTAAGCTGTATCAAGCGAGTACTTCAACTGATATTACAAGCAGAGGGGCAAGCCTAATGTTTAAAGGCTTACTACTGGGTTCCTTCCAATGTTATGTTTCCGATATAGTATCAATGAGCGGCGTGGCGTGCTCTTACTCAAGCACGCAGGATACAAGTGCTCTATTCCAGAAATTAAGTATTGCGTGCGATAACCCCGCTTCATTTGCGCCACGCCTGCAGTCGGCTGAAAAAGAATGCAGACTAGGTCATTCGCTCTTGGCCACTTGGATGTTGGAGTAATCTTTGGTTGAAGAATGATAGGATAAAAAGTCATATGACTATGCTGTAGGAGGCCCACCAGAAAAACAGTTTCTTGAGCGAGGGGATGGAGCACAACCACTCTATGAATTAAGAAGAGTGTCTTCCCTGCGACGGCTTTCAATCCTTCAACACCAGAGTGCGAGTCAGTCTTGATACTATTCACACAAAAGAAATAGCTTGTATCCATTCTGAAGATTCATCCAGAAGATGGAAGTACGCCAAAGACAGATAAGGGCGACGGCCGATATCGATCAAATTCCTGTTCGCAAGAGGATATCTTCTTCAAATCCACACACAGAACATTTGAGATTTGATAACGCACCCTACTACGAGGATTATGGATCTATGATTCGCCTTATACCATCTACTCCCGACGTTGACGATCGATATTATGGATACCCTGATGAGTCAATACTTCAGAGTGGCCTCGACGAAGACATGTCTCCATCATCTTCAATCGTAGATGTAATGGAGAGGCTTTTTATAGATCACGACCAATCCGAAATGCAGAACGCTACGGCGAACGCGAGACAAGATCAATTCGCTGAGTCCTCATTTATACCAGGCCGCAACATGAGAGCTCGTGACCCTGCAGAACGAGTATTTAAGACCTCAAAGGGTGAAAACTTAAGCCAACCTTTCGATTTTATATGGCGTACGTCTGTCCTTTAATGTTCACCTATATTTTATCTGTATACTAATTATGAACAAGCGAAATGCCCTGTAGGGATGGAGAACGCACCTATGATAACCAAGTGGGAAGTTCATCGGATTGCATGCCACTGTTCTGTGGACCTGGAAAATGTCACCCTTGAGTATCTCCCAACATGGAGAGATCAAGATGCTCTCTGGAAAGACTTGAAACAGCGTAAGGATTTCCATGAAAAATCTTTTCCAGCAAAATGTGATAGAGAAGTGTGGGTCCAAGGCCATGAACAAGATCTCAGCGCGGTAAGAGCCGTGGAATACAAGGCCAGACTCATTTTTCACAAACCAAACACAATACCGAAATTCGAGCTTGAAATACCCAGGTCTGAAAAAAGCTCCAGACTTCGTCGGAAATTTGGTTTCAATCGATTTATGGAGCTTCAGCTGCTGTTTGGCGATGGATGTAGATCGATCCTCAAGGACAAAGATGAAAAAAGGGCATTGGCGAGATGGTTAGTTCAGGAGCGTCACCTTTTTTTGCGTTGTAAATGGGCGGCGTTTTTCATTGAGGAGATGAAATCAAGAAAGCAGAATCCCGGCCTGATCGCACCTAACATGACCGGCAAGCGCGTTATGCTGTTCGCAGAGCAAGGAGCAAGTCTTAACTTCGGTTCTATGGTCTCTGGAACAACCAGCCATCTCAATGATGTACCAGCAATCATGTCGGTTGATCCAGTGTGCCATAGATATTCCCTACTAGACTGGCTTTTGCAGCTCGAATCCAATTTGCATCGACCTTATATCAAGCTCTTCAATCGAATTTCATTAGGTATGATCACAAAGCCCTTCGTTCATTGAGGAACGGATACCTTACTGACATGTTATGTACTCTTAGGTCTAAGCAAGACAACCCCGACTGTTTTGCTTGAGGAAAACATGATACGGCACCGACCTACAGACATTGAATCTCCGAACGGCTCGCCTATGAACGATGGTATTGGAAGAATTTCTCACTCACTTTTGAGGGAGGTGCGGGATACTATGGGCCTAGACTTTCTCCCTACAGCTATCCAAGCTAGAATCGGTTGCGCTAAGGGCCTATGGATGTTAGAATCAATTCCCCTTCCTTCAGATGAGCGATGGATCGAGATATATCCCTCCCAGAAAAAATGGGATTGCAATTGGTCTGATCCCGCCCATCGAACCTTGGAAGTAGTTTCTGTTTCTTCCTATAGGGGACCAGCCACTTTGAACCTTCAATTCATTCCAATCTTGGAAGAACAAGCAATTAATCGAGAACTCATGCGAACAACCATTTGCCATCGCATAGATCAGCATTTGCGGAACGATCTGGACCATGGCAAAGCAGCCATGGAGACGCCCGAACTCTTTCGAAAGTGGATCCATGACACTTCCTACACCACATTTGGGGATAGCCAAGATGGCATGTCCTGGTTTGTGGGAGGTTTGCCAACAGACTGGCCCGGGACAATGAGCTTTCTTGCTGACGGCGGCTTCGAGCCAAAGACACTCAAGTTCCTAAATACCATGATGTTCAAACATCAGATGCAGCGTTGGAAACAGATGGAAACCAAACTTCATATCAAGATTGCCCGGTCAACCTCCGCATTGATGACCATCGACTTCCAGGGGATCCTGGCGCCAAATGAAGTCCAACTGTGCTTTTCACCGGCGTTTGATGACGGAGAACAGAGTCTTGATGATCTTAGCGGATTTGACGTGCTCGTTGCTCGCTCCCCAGCACATCTACCTAGTGATATTCAGAAGGTAAAAGCTGTTTTCAAGCCAGAGCTGCGACATTTCAAAAATGTCATCATATTCTCCTCTCTAGGTGACGAATCACTTGCCTCTAAGCTATCGGGAGGAGACTATGATGGAGACAAGGCCTGGGTTTGCTGGGATCCGGATATAGTTGACAATTTCGAGAATGCCGACAAGGCCTCCAAGGTCTCTTTCGAAGAATACTTCCGGCCTAACACTCAGAAGACAGGCATTCTGGCATCTCGATATGGCAAGCCTCGTTACTTAGACGCACTGTTGGAAGAAGCATTTGACTTTCACCTCAGCCCCTCATTCATGGGCATTTGCACTAGCTATAAGGAAACCCTCGCATATCAAGAGGGAAGTGTCGGAAACGAGACAATCGTCAGACTGAGCATGCTTTTGAGTGAGCTCGTGGACCAAGAGAAGGGCGGATTCGAATTTGACGACAATGTTTGGTATCGTATTAGAGAAACGATGTGCGGAGGCAAGATGTTCCTGAAAGCCCCGGCGTATAAGAGCGACGACCTTGCAGCTTTAAGTACCTCCAGCCACATTATCGACGTCCTCCAGCATTTTATGCACGAGCGGATACAGAACGGGCTACAGGAATTTTCCAATTATTGTATCGGTTTTGGCATTAGACCTGATAAACCTGTGCTCACCACATTTGATGCAGACCTCGTTAGCTATTGGAACGAATTTGAGAAAGAGGCAGAGCAGAACACGTCACGATTCGATCCATCTTCTCCATGGTTGAAAGTTTTCCGATCAAGTCTCGTCGAAAGAATAGATGAATGTTGGTCATATTGGGGGAAGATGATGTCTGGCAAAGGGGATTATCTCACCAAGGCCATACCCGTTTACGAGCGGTGGAGAGATATTTCGCCGAATGTTCGATACGACTCGCCTGTTGCCACTATGATGACATCCTCATTCAAGGATGGAATATGCTGTTCGAAAGGCTTGGGGCAGTGGGACCTTCTCAAAGCCAGTCTCACTTTTAAGAGGCATCATCAACGTCCTCAGTTCGTTTGGCAGATGGCAGGTCGTCAGCTGCAATTTATCAAAGCGTGCACAGTCAAGGGTGCTGGAGAGAACGACCTATTAACACCAATACCTGTAGTTTCGAGGATGTATAGAATTCTGCGTCCAGATGCAAGACGAGTTGAGAGGGTCATTACCGATCAAGACCGGGACTTTACAGATGGTTCATATTTAGAGTAGCATTTCAATCTGTTATCTTATTTGACCAAATGGATTGGAGACTTGTAAGAAAGCAAAATATCTCGATTTGTCCATGGTAGATAACAGAGGAGATACTATGTGACCATACAGTCAGGGCTTACAATAAGCTCAAAATAGGAGTCTACGAAGCAGATCGGTTGTGAATATAGAGCTATACTTGGGTGGATAGAACTATTATCTAATAGAATTAGAGTAATGTCATGAGTTAGGAATTGGCGCCAAAAAGAGTGTTAAGTCACCGTGCCAGATAGATATAGATGTATCCTCTTGGCATTTCAAAATATTTTTAATTATTCCTCTTGTTATTTCATTTCTGCTTTCTTGAACCTTAATAAGCTTTTTGGTCTTGTAATAGTAATTATTAGATTCTTGTTAAACCTTGTTCTTGACTTGGCTTATGCTCTTTGTGTCCCACATGAAGATGTTCCCCGAAGATGTTCCTATGGACGTGTGATCTCCAATGAGTGAGAAGACCGGTGGAGTTAAACTTTTACCCGTTTCAAATGATGGAATTTCTTTTCCAATGTGTCTCTTGAAGTGGAGTGTAACAAAATAACGTCTGTAATCTTCACGTCTGGTTTGGTGAGTTAGAAATTCGCTAATAGGTGAAATACGCACGACTTTTTCGTCTCAAACATGTCGGCGAATAATGGGGTATTGACAGCTAAGCATTCTTTTACCGGTTGCCAATCGATCAACCAGATATATTCTTGTTCCTCCTCACAGGTTTTGGTAACCAGAATCATATTTTGGCTAGTAAAGATTGTTCCAACCTCGGACACGCATTGTCTAGGAAGTTCAATTGTTGATTGGACGCCCAAGGTTTGATCATCGAGGACTAAAACTGTATCGCGTGACATGAGCACCACGACATTGCTGTCTTGGGGTAAGAATATGTCGGAAGCTTGAGAGTTATTCTTACCCCTTTTGAAAGGGTAGCATCCCAAAACTGAAACGTATTGTTTCCTGAAATAATGGCAAACAGGTCTCGACTCTGAAATCGTACCATATACTTTGTGTCTTCAGGAAACCGTTTCCATGATCCTTTGTCTAAATCGAGTATCTCAGAAATATAACTGGAAACAATAAGCACTCCTTTCGTTTTCCAGGAAATGAATATCTCGGATGGGTTCCCTTTTTGAAAGTGGTGGACTGGTTATTTTTGCGTCCCATATTCGGACACGACCCTCTGAGTCTCCCGCTACCATGATCTCAAGGCTGTTAGAAAAGGCTAGATATAACTGATCCGCCCCTGTCCCATGAACTTCAAAATCCTTGAGGATTTGTACTGACGCAGTAGTTGTATTACACAAGCTGACAGACATGCAATCCCGTCCAACTGCCAACATGGGCGGTTGAGTTGGAAACCAGGCCAATAAGGACGTATAACTCTTAGATTTGATTTCACTCATCTTAGCCATTGTCGCTTCGCTCTAGACTATTAGTTCTCCAAATTCATCTGAAGAAGCAATCTTGTGATCATTGGGCGACATTTATCACATACTTATTAAGGATTTAAGTATAGATGATAACATTTTCTTGATAGTTATATACTAAGAAAGTGTAATAATAAAGTTTGTTTTAGCTAGTTAGGTGTCATAGGGTAGATTTCGTTTAGCTATACAGTGTACTAACCCGCTCACTAATTTGATTCACCTGCTTGTGGCGCATATTAATGTTGTGTTATATATATTACACCTGTGATCTGGTTTAAAAGGTAAATCATTCACGTTCTGTTCGGTCGATCCCCTCCAGCATTTTTCGGATAGCTGCGGCCGTTCCTTCTACGTCTTCGATGATCATCATGTGACCTGTGTTCAAAATATGACATGTTGGGCGCTTTCCACTCCCCGCTATCAATTCAACGAGGTCCTCGGTAATATTAATTGGAGAGACGTTGTCGTGTTGCCCACCAATGACGCAGGCTGGGCAAACGATCCGAGAGTAGTCTGGGTCTCGGTGAGACTCGTCGCAAAGCGCTTCGCATATTTGTGCGTATCCTTCGGGCTTAGATGAGGTGGTGACTGATCGGAGTAATGCCCTGGCCAGGCGGGGACTCGAGAATGGTATGTTGAACGTGACCAAATCATCGACCATTTCTTGTAGGCCCTGTCTTCTTGCTTGACGTGCGAGGTTTAGCGTGAAAACTTTCGAGTCTGACTGCGTTGCCCGCGTCCTGCCAGCCCCAATAACAGCAAGACCATGCACCCTTGTTGGACTTTTCGCAGCCAACATCATGCTTACAACTCCACCCAAGCTATGGCCGACTAAAATCGCGCCTCGAATCTCGAGTACGTCCATGACGCCCTCCAAAACCTCGACGAGGGACGGCATGCTGATCATGGCTCCGCTTTTATTAAGGCCACTATTACCAAGCCCCGGCCAATCAATGCGCACGACCGTATAATCGGTCGCAAAGATTTCCTGAAGTGGCCCGAAAACGGTAGTGTTTGCACCTAAACCGTGCGTCATGATCATGTGTGGGCCATTCCCATCGACTTCAATGAAGATATCGTAATCTGCGATGCAAGCAAAGAAGGAACGTCTGTTGGTTTTAGAGACTGGAAAGGCTTGATTGGCCATGATGTAGAAGACAAAATGTGTGTTAGGTTTCAAAAGAGATCGAAAAAAGTTTCTGGTTGATGGCCTGCAACACGACCTAGCTGGTGGTATTTATACCGGGTTGAAGAATACAATCACCAGCAAGGGTTCCACAGAGTAGTGCACTCATAGCTCGGCCGCGGACGAATCTCTTATCTTCTATCAAAACCCGCTTCAAGATATAGGCGTCCGCCCGTGCTTACCTGTGGAGTTGAGCAGCGCGCTTCTTTAATCCTGGAGCATCTTTCACGAATATAATTGCTTGCGAGTTCGAGATGATATGCCTAAGTGTGAACAGCGCTCATCACATACCAATTCCGCCAATTAGTCAGCTGGGTCTAACTGGTCATTCAGTCAAATGAATCCAGGGGATTTCTTCCGGTCAAGGCAAGCGATATGACTCGGTACATTTTTCATTGCAAAGCTACAGATAGAACTCAATTCTCGTAGAGAATCCTTTCGCGCGGCACGCCCTCTTGATCTTTTAATGCTTGTGGTCGTTTTCGGTGCCCGCTCGATCCTTTGAAGCCGCGGCACATTTAATAGCAGTGTTGAGAGAAGGCCTTTTTTCAAAGCTTGTTCTCTTTAGTCGTCACCTGTACCTGAAAGTAATACCGCCGACGTTAGGGCCGAGTCTCTGATAAGCTATAAGAGGGGTAGTCTCCTTTGCTTAGTTGGAAATGGCATTCATTATAGTCTCTACCAAGAAGTAAGAAGGTCTTTAACTACGCGAAAAACTCAACAGCACAACATGCATACTAAAATCCAGTCCACTGCAATACTATCCGAAAGGGTAGTGGTAAATCAAAACAATTTATTGAGCAATAATGCGTGACGGAAGATAGGACCATGCCCGCACATCTCGAAATAAAACTTTACGCTCAGCACGTACAGCGTGCCACAGCGACTGTTGAGTACTCATTCAAGCCATGGGTCTGGTGCGTTATGGAATTGTACCCATAGCGTCAGTTATTATCTATTCGACTTCATTATCAAGTTAATGGTAGAATTAGTATCAATCTATCGCGTGACGATTGAATGACGTGCTAACAAGACCTGAAATATGACTACATTAACAATAATATTGATTGGTTTCCGAGCCTTCGACTCCTTCTTCCACCCAGCTACGTTATCATAAGCAGGATCCAGAGATGATAGAGTGCCTTAGGGGAGGTAGGGGTTGACATTTCTTCCTATGCAGCATAGGTTTGGGTCCCAGCAGCAGTAGCCTCCGTTGAAGATAGTTCTCCAACAGCCTTCTCCTTCGACGTGCCATATGTATCAGCATATCTGCCAGAAACCCATTCCCCTACTGTAATCGGGGGGTATTTAGCGTCCTTAGTGCTCGCCTGGTAATTTTCGAAACACCGGACCACAAAGTCCGGGTTGCCTGAAAAGAAGAAAGGAATACTATACCGTTCCTTTCCGGACTTATTAATGACCCGATGAAGATTCGAGACATAGCGATCGTTAGTCCATCTCATCATGAGATTTCCCAAATTGACAACCAAAGCACCTCGCTGCGGTGTCACATCCGTCCATTGGCACTTAACACGGTCCCAAACCTGCAGACCTCCGACAAGGTCTTGTAACAAAATAGTCACGGCTCCAAAGTCGGTATGCGCTCCAATACCTAAAATCGAGATCTTAACGTTAGCACTTGCGGTAACAGCTGCGGTACACTGCCACTTACCTCGTTCCCACTCAGATGCGTGGGGTTCCTGCGGGGGGTAGTGCAGCAGTCGTAATACGGCGATAGGTGTATCGACAAACTCGGGGACCCAGCTGTCATCAATCACTAGTGTCTCACAAATCAATCTTACAAGTTGCTCTGCGAGTCCAAGCATCGCATCGTGATAGCGGTCGATAACATCTCGAAATTTGGCTGGGTCGCTGACAGCGCCAGGATATTTATTGGGGCCGAGATTGAACTTTTTGGCGAGAACTTTGGGGTGTGTCTCTGGTAGGTGCTTGCCAAAGTAGTAACCTTCTTTCAGATCACCAGCCGTTCTCTTTTCGAAATTCTGAGCACGAAGTCGCTCGTATCCACGGTTGAAGCCACCGAGATCTGTGAGGTCATAAAATCAGTCCTCGAACCCCGGCTTAGGAATTAATGACATGGGTTCTATCTCACTCTTATCATACTTCTCCTTCACGTCGAGAGGAAGCGAGAAGAATGACCGGCTTTGTTCAAGAGCTTCATCAAGCAGCGACTGCGGTATCTTATGACCGGTAATTTGAAAGAAGCCGTACGTTTGGCATGCACTTTCGACTTGCTTTGCGAGGTCCTGCCTTGCTGGCGTACCACGTTCGTTAATCGCTTCTTAGGTGTCATTATTACTTCCTCATGATTGAAATGGTGGTAGCATACCGGAAAGGTCAATAATTGGAATGCTCATGTTGGAATTGAGTGGAAATGGTTTTTGTGAAGTGCCCCAAAATGGATGGATGAAGCAAAGCAGAAGGCGAGTTTTATGTTATTCGAGGGCTGGAATCTAAGTGATGCCTCCCCTGCGCTTATCGGCACACGTACGCCCGCGGGCGAGATAATCTCCGAAAATCTCACGGACGAAAACTCTAGGGCCCCTCGGCCGAGATATGTGGATTGGTGGGGGCGCTTACCTTCTGTAACAATCTATCCTTATCAGCGCCTTGCTTATCATCAGCCGTTACAGGCTTTCTACGCCCGCGGCATATTTCTTGGAAAGAGAGTTATTACCAAACATCCGCCGTGAAATGAATCTCTAGCCAGAGGCGGCTCTCAGTATCATGATTTAGTTCATCGCGGCAGGAAGTTCACATCTCACATGCACGTGATATACCTGCTTGAACGTGAGTGACTCGACTGCCTGATGTACATAGAGCCACGTCATGGCATAGCTAGGAAATAAGCTGCTATCAGATTTGAATAGGAGAAGTAAGACATGTGCCTAAGGACAAATAAGCACTGATCATTCCCAACAACACGACTTCAAAAGCCTTCATTTGCCATCGGCTAACGTTAGCGTCAGAGACAATCTAGTGACTTCACTTCAGTGGGGTCAAATATGGGTACGGTATGCTCCACTGGGCACTGAATCTTATCAGCTTATATGCTCCACTTCGGCCGTCATGCAACGCCCACATCTCGTCGTCCAGGACAGCGATTTCACACAACCGAGATTCTGGAACAGAAGATGCCTGCAGAAAGAAAAAGCCAGAGGAAAGTACTTTCATGCGCAGAATGCTCCCGCCGCAAGATAAGATGCACAAAGACGATTCCTTGCTCGTCATGTATTGACCGTGGAAAAGCTCACACTTGTGAGCGAGAAGCAGTCAGCGTGGCTACGAAACAGTCCAAGGTAATCGCCCCTGCTAAGCCAGTCGCAGCTGCGTCGACAGAGAATGCCTCATTTTATCAACGAGATGACTTGCCGACATCGAGAGATGAGCAAGACCCTACGGCTAGCCAAGAATCCGGAACAGGCCAAAATCCACCACAGAGGTGTACTGATACGTCCTGGAGCATACCAACGAATGAGGCGGTATCGGCTCTAGAATTTCTAACGCACGGTCGTCAAAGTATTTTGCACCGGCACAATTCGACAGAAGTTCCACAAGTAACCAGTGAGCTCTCGATAAACTCTCAGCGACGACTTAGTAGTACTTCCACCGAACGCCCGCCAGCTCCTATGTGGGATACTATACTCTCGCACGATGAGGCTCAGGCTTTAGTTCAATTTCACCAAGAAACACTGGCATGGATGCATAATGTTGTTCATATGCCCACCTTCTTGCAAGAGGTCCAGGCAAACTGGAACCGAGCAGGCTGCGACAGCAGTTGGATCGCTCTTTATTACGCGATTCTCAGTGTAAGTTCTCCTCCTTCAAAAAAAGCAAAAAAGAAAAGCCTTGACTGGGGCTATAAACTGACCGCTTGTGAGACTACGCTTCACCATTGTGACGGAAGTGACATTGCCAGACTCGGAATCCATGTAGAAAGTAGGTAGATCACAGGACTATGCGTTTAAATCTACCCTCTTGTTTTGCTGTCGTTGACCCAGGACAGGAAACACATTATCCGCTCGATCTCTTTACGACAAAAGTGTCGAGTGTCTCTTTGACGCCAAATTTATGGCAAAGCACACAATTTATTCTATTCAAGCCATATGCATTTTGATGCAGATCGCACATAACATCGACCAGTCTGACTTCATTTGCGTTCTCATAGCAACTGGCATCAGGATATCCCAGTGTCTGAACATCCATCGTCTCGGCCGAGACCCTCCAACAAGCGTTTATAGTGGCCAACCAAGAGAGACTGTCAATCGGAAGCTGGTTGACAGAGAGGTCAAGAAACGTGTATGGTGGTTCTTGGTTCGCCAAGACTGGCTTCAAATTCCATTTCAAAACACCTATCTCATTCATGCAACACAATTCAATACCCCCTTTCCGCTCAATTGTTTTGATGAGCCGGATCGCATGATCCAGGATTGTGCGATCGTAACTCAGCCAGAGAATACTTACACACAGAATAGTTATTCACATAGCATCTCAAAAGGTAAGCCAACACTTCCATCTTCTAGACTGACACGGTGGTGATTGATACCCTTGTAGTCGCTGTGATCATTTGGCGGCAACAGGATCGTATGTGCGCTGTAGGTCATCCTATGAATCAGACGGACGGTCTTTTGAAGATATATGACCAGGTGTTGCGGGCTGATCAAGATCTGAATGAACTTTTTGCGAATCTGCCTTGCTTTTTGAAAACCCCTATTTCTGAGAAATTAGAAGCAGATATGTGCAGTCCGACTCCATCTGGGATTGTGGGCTCTGTTTCAATGCTCTCAATGGCCCACAAGGTACGCTTTGTGCCACTTTCCTACTCTGTCGTGCGGATTGGGAGGGGCTGACAATTCTTCTAGACACTCACCATCCATCGACATTTTCTGCTCAACAGTTTTTCCGATAAACGGTTTGCTTATACACAGGTGCGGACTTACCAGTGCTTTCGTTGGGCGTTACCGATTATTCGATGTTGACTATCATTAGCTCACTTGTGTTGCCATCGCAGAGAGATGCATCGTTGATTTCCATGCATGGCCCAAAGATGTATGGGGTTCCATCGCGTGTCGAATGTGGACTGTCTCGTCACATCTTGTAACTTGCTGCCTTATTGTCACATTTGCATTCTTGTTCAGACGGGGGAACGAGCTCTCGCACAACTACGTTGCGACGCGACGGTTAGCAGAACTTGGTCGCAATATGGTGCGCCAATTGGAATCTTCCAGTTCCATTGCTAGACGAGGTGGAGTGTTGCTGGATGTTTTACTGCGCCTTGATGCTGCGAAACCTGGCGAACGCGGCGTAGAGCTTGATCTACCCGATATTGTCCGGCAGGTCTCCTTTACCGAAGAGACCCAGGAAGAGGAGCGACTACATGGGACGGAACAATTTGTTTTGCAGATGAGCTCGGATGTTTGGGACGAAATCTTTAGTGTTACACAGTTTGACGTGACTGGCTGGCTACAAGACGTCGGGTCCTAGACAGCCCTTGAAAGAGAATGGAACTTAACCCATCCCCTCAACTTTTCATCAGCTACTTATCACTCTTTGATAGCAATTATTTCGCTCTGTTATTCAGTGAAAACCAACTAAGTCTGGCATAAACAAGATTCAATAGGCCTGCAGGGATATCATGGTCGCTGTCAGACAAGCCAATAGCGCACTAGCCACAACACTCAGCTGCTGTCGCAGTGTGAGCAATAGATCAAGTGTCTGGTTGTGCAATTGATTATTAGATCTTAATACTATAATAGAGCGGTGATCATCCATTCTTTCTCCGCCCTTCCTACAGTTTATGAGACTCAAGGATACCAGCATTGGCTACATTTAGCTTCCTGGCTTTTTCAAGCACTGCCGGATCCACTTCGTCAAATTTCTCTCCCTCTCCTCCATCTTCTTGTGTTGAGGCATAGGTAAACGCCGAACGGATCTGCAGATACTCGCGATAAGTGAGCCGTTCGGCCTCCGTTATGGACCCCGTATGAGGACTCAGCAGGATTGCATCTGTTTATGAGGCAAGGTTAGCACGGTGTAAAGATTCTGGTACTCGCCCTATCGTACCGTTGTTTGGGTGTGTGAAGTACACTACACTAAGTCGATCTTCGTGAATATTCAGGTTCTTCCAGCTTATCCTATGCATAGTCGACTTCAAGGTCTGATTCGACCATAGCGACATCGCGTCACCAATGTTGACAACTACTCCTCCTGGCACTACCGGTACGTCGAACCACTCGTCAAGCGGATCACGTATTTCCAATCCGGCCTTTTCAGTCAAAACAAATGTGATACTACCCCAGTCTGTGTGCTCCGATAATCGCGGCACGCCTTCCGGCTGACGGTGAAAAGAAGGATACTTGATCAATTTCAAGACATTGCCAGGCTCGCGATGTTGATGATCTCTCGCAAAGAACGACCGATCAAGGCCAAGTTGGACAGCAAAACAAGACAGTAGTGACATACTGAGTTCATAACATTGCGATTTAAAATCTTCGATCTGTTGGCGTTTACGGACATCCCACCAAGAAGGTAGATTGCCAGTACGCAAAACGCCACCAGCGGGCAGGCCAAAACTAATACCCTCAGAAGCGGCAAAGCTATCATACGTTAATGAGAAAAGTGACACTAGTTCAAGAATTTGGAAACTCACGTTGTAAGTTTAGCACCATCATATCCAGTTAAGGTCTTATCGATGGACTTTTCAGCCTTTTGTTCTAGAGGCAGACTAAAAAACTGGTTCGACTAAGCGCACTCTCGAATTAGTCGAGTAGCTCAAGTGCGGGATAGGAAAACCCCAACCCACTAACCAAGTCATAAATGGAATTCAAGTCTGATATACCATGGCCAGTGAGAACGAAGAACCCCCACTTGTTACTCGCGTTGTAGACTTCTTTGGAAAACTCTCCAAAATCCGAGCCAAATTTAGTGAAGTCCAACACAGGGAATTTGTCTGATGATGTCATAGTGAGATCAAGATAGAAAAATAGGAGATAGGTTGATGCGAATACGAAGATGCGTGGAAGGAATTGCGAAGAATAATGAACAGCATCCGTTTGCAGCTACAATTTATATTTCTGACCGCTTATGTTTCGATAGATAGCATACTAGATATTATCCAAAGCCTATATCTAAGCCGCGGCCGCGGGCTGTAATCCCCGCGTCGTCTATCAGCGGCATAATCCTCAGCAAAGCAGAGCAGCGCCCGCTGTGCCATTTCACAAATCCCTAACCCAGATAAGAATGGTTGTAGATAATCTAAGCTCTTATCGACGAGGACTCGGCCGAAGATACAATAAGACTTTCATCTTAATAGATAGCGTTAGAGACATGCGTTATCTACCAAAGAAAGATAAGAGGGGAACTATTGACAGTTGGATAAATGTCTGTAAGTGCTATTCAAATAGGATCATTCAGTCATCGATTACAGGTCAAAATTTATTCGTTTCCCTGGAAGTACTTACTATCTGACGCTATAAAGAAAAATGCGATTTCTTCCGTCCCTCACGAGTCCGTCTAGCTCAGAAGGCACGCTTAACATAAAGTCATTCAGGTTGCAGACAGGCCCTGCAAGATTGGCACCCGATGGCGTTGCCTCGAATGAAGGTATAATATCCCAAAAGCAAAGATACAGATTCCAAGACGTTGTTCTGACCTAGCTGCCCCAAAAATAGACCAGGATCCCGTGCCTCGAGAGCGACAGACGTGGACGGCCAGGGACTTCGCGACCCTTTGGATGTCGGATCTAATCAATGTGACCAGCTGGCAAATTGCGTCATCTGCGATGGTTGTTGGACTCAGCACGGTCGATGCAATCGTTATCACTCTTCTTTCTGGAATACTGAATGGAATACCTACAGGTACGTATGGAAATCATACCTAAAAGAAGGGGAGCAGCAGCAGCACGTGGGGGCAACGATGACCGAGTTGATGTGGTAGAATGAGGGCTGAAAGAATATCCCAGTTCTAAACGGTGCCGCTGGTGCAGATCACCATATACCTTTTCCGATTATTGTGCGATCGGTGTATGGGTACTACCTGAGTTACTTCTGCGTTATCTCTCGCGTGATTCTTTCCGCGACGTGGTTCAGCGTCAACACGTGGGTCGGAGGTTCAATCATGACCGAGGTAAGACGCTCTCAAATTGACTTGTACCAGGTTTCAGATCTTGCTAAAAGTCGATTTTCCCAGACTATTGTTGCACTTTGGCCTGAGTATCGTGACATACCTAATAGCCTTCCAGAGTCTGCACAGGTGACTTCTATGCAGATGGTGTCTTTTTTCCTTTTCTTCTTGATCCAGATACCGTTCCACTTGATTCCGATGGAACAGCTACGGTAAGTTCCCAGTCTTCCACAAGGCAGTTGCCGAGTTGGCCAGGGAAAGGTTAACTAAGGCTTGCCTGATATTCTACAGGACCTTGTTTCTTGCCAAGGCCGTCCTTCTTATACCAGTTTCATGCGGTATGGTCTTGTGGGTCTGCTTGGAAGCCGGCAGCCTACGAGGTATTTTCGCCCAGCCAGCTTCAGTCTCGGGTGCGACGAGAGCCTGGCTATGGCTGTCGACGTTCAGTGCGGTGACAAATTCTTGGCTCTCGTCAGCACTTAACATATCTGATTTCACGCGTTTTAGCAAGACAAAGTTTGTGATATTCCATTTTGAGTCGTAATATCAGAAGGTGCAGCTGACTATAACTTCATTCGACTGCAGACGCGCATCATTCTCACAAATCCCCATTATTCCAGTCGTCAAGACCCTTTATGCTGTCTTGGGTATAGCAACTGTCGGGGCTGGGCGTACGGCATACAACGAGGAAATCTGGAGTCCTATTCAGCTACTCCCGAAATGGGGTGGCTCTGGTGGACGATTTCTAGCATTCTGTTGTGGATGCTTGTGGATGCTGGCCCAAATTTCATGCAACCTATCTGCCAACTCAGTTCCCTTCGGTCACGATTCAATGAGCCTAAGCCCGACCTGGATCAACATCCGAAGAGGATCGATAATTTGCTTGATTGTCGGCTTGTGGGCGTTAGTGCCGTGGTACCTGGTCTCAACGGCCGGCCACTTCTTGACCTTCATGAATGCTTATGGATGTTTTGTTTGTGCAATTCTGAGCATCATGATCGCCGATTACTGGCTTGTTCGGAGGAGAAAGCTTGATGTGCCAGCTTTATATAACCCCCATGGTCGCTACAGATTCCGTGTACGTCAGACCTTCCTTTGATCCATCCTTATCGAATTGGACTGTAAATTTCAGGCCGCACATTCTAACTCTTCCTAGGCTGGCTTCAATTGGCGGGCGGCTGCAGTGCAACTGATTTTTATGGGCCTTTGTCTTCCTGGTGTTATCCATTTGATCGCGCCTTCCATTCGAATTCCTCTAGGTCTTGAGCGTCTCTTCCACATCAACTGGTTTGTTAACACTATTGGGCCTTTAGTCATTTACTGGGCTTTGAATTATGTGTTCCCTCATCGAATCAGTCAAATAAACACCTCAACTTCCGTCGTCTCGGGTCAAAGAGAGGAGGAACAGGGGGGACACGATACCCAGCTAGGGTCCCCCCAGCCGCTTAAGTTTAATGGGGTTTGCAAGACTCTGGGCGCGGAAGCAGCTTAGCTAGGACGTGGCAGGTTACTAGAAAGTCATTACCTTAATTCTTAACTATTAATTGTAACGTGCATACCGCGGTCTTATTCCTATCTTGCTTTTGACTTTTTTTTCAGAGCCTCCTGAATCGATGGGTTAAGGAATTCTCCCTCTTGTCTTCCATATTGGTAGCTGCTGTGAGGATATTCGTATTGTTGCACTTGCGATCGAGATACTATAAGCGCTAACAATTGCTAGCTGAGTTGTAACTTATAGAAAACATAAAAGAGGGATTGCATCTCTGGGACAGGATCAGGAAATATCGTGTTGGCCCATCAATCAGGCAACCAGTGAAAGTGCATATACATTGCTGCCTGATAGATACCTACACAGTTACAGCTTCAGCCCTGAAAATAGCTGTGATGCTCAATACACAGTAGTCAAAGCTATATATAAAGTCCATATACTATTTGGTATGTTTTTGCAAGTAAGCTTGAACCCGGCTGTGTATTAACTTATATAAGCTTGATAACAAATACATCTTGCAAGGTGATATTACTCCAGGGCTGACTTTCTGAGATTAGCCCACAGTGTCTTGACATGTTGGTCAGATTGTGTCAACTGGCGGTCGCTGACTGGACAGATTGCCTGCCGTGTCTTAGTTACTAACTCAATCCTGTGGCAAGACCAAGCCAGTAGGTGGGCAAATTTATTGTGGTATACCATATGGACTGAGCAAATACAGCACGCCTCGTGGAAACCACTATGGATATATAGACTGCTGAAATTTAACAAATTATACGACCAAGATATTTCACAACTTCACCTCGGGTTCAAAATCAGTTCTCCCAAGTTACCAAAAACAAATTAAACAGCGAGATTTATTACTTGCTGTAACAACTATCTCTACCTGCTGTTACAACTAACGCAATTAGGAAATTCGCCCGATTGGGAAGTCACATGATGCCGTAATAATAATAGTCCGTGTCGTGTGGGCTTATTGCGACCTGTAACTTCATTTCCCCCTCAACACCAAAGCCGTCATCGCCAAGTTCTACAAACACATACAAATTCAAGGGGAAAAAGAACTAGAGGCAGACAAGGCCGCAGTCGCCAAGGATATAACAATAGCTTCATTTTATATATACTGCCTATATGAGTTAGTAATACCTTTTTTAAGATAATTAATTATATAAATTAAATGAGGCTTTATATACCTTTAAAAGTGATTATTATAATGCTATTATTTACACACTAATCTATATATGTAGGAGGGAAAAGGAGAAATTCAGATTGAAGATCGCGAAAATTTCGGTCTCACGTGATGATTTATACTTGATCAAGAATTGGTACAGCGTGTAGGGATTTCTGTCATCGTAAATGACAAATCTCCAAAGAATTAGCAGTGCAATAAATCCAAACAGCGTTCTTACTAAGTTAAATCCCCTCAAATCAAGCCAACTCAAGCTAATTCAAACTGGAGAGTTTATTATTTATGTTAATTGAATTATTCAATTAAACTCAACTATAAGACATACTACAGGATGATATAGGGTAGTCTCTTTTCAGCCTTTAAAGACAAGAAAAAAAATCTTATCCTATCTTATTCTATCTTATCTAATCATCTATCTGATTAGCAGTCTTATCGATAAGGGAAAGTATCCACTAATTTATCACCGTTTCAGGTATGAAACGGTAAGCTTGAATAGTATAGCGACAGTCATTTACGGTGATAAGCTGATGAGGTAATCATTCGATCTCTTACACTAATACGGTTCTTAATTTGGCAAGTCTTACATTCCGCTCTCCACACACAGGAAGCAATCATCTCAGCTCACCGCTTAACCACAAAGAGCAATAATGAACTTGCTTGATCTTCCCGGCGAAATCCGCCAAGAAATATTCAAATTGAGAATACAGTCCCCAAGTGTGCCTGTAAACCCATCACAGAGTCAGGATGGGCGACATCAGCTGTCACGGGATGCCTTTGAAGGCGGGGGAATTTGGCTGCTGCAGCCTCAAAACCCTGCCCTTGGTCTTTTATTGGTGAACAGACAAATCCATGAGGAGACCAAAAGCATCATTGATATAATACCCAGCACTTACGACCTCGATGTCATGTTTATCAAACACCACGGATTGTGGACCACTTGGTCTCTTCCCAAGCTACCTAAAACACACTACATCGACCATGTGCACGTCACGGTCCGCATTTTTGACCCGGCCGATGACCTTGACCCTCGTTTTCAGAAGAGCCTCAGCTTCCGAGGCGGTGATGGTGGACCTGAACTTGCGGTGTGGTCGTTTTATCACCTTCTCGGCACTCTTATCAGCAGAGGCCCAGGCTACATCGGGCATGGAACTAAATCGGAATGCACTGCGCCTTATATCATCAGAGCAATCGATATCGATATCCTGAAACCAACTGATGGTGCAAATCACAAGAGTATGGTCTGCACAGACAAAGAATTCGAAAGAAGGAAGCCTCGAGTTAACAAGGCCTGGTTACACAACGACGCTTCAAAGCCACCCGAAGAACGACTGGCCGAGTACATGATTAGTAACATGGACCTTTGTCTCTGTCTTGGTCGTCACACTGGTTCTTACGCGATGTTTGTTTTTGAGAACGTGACGGAGATCATCAGATTTCGGACTAACGGGAAAGAATTCAAAGTATTTGACTTGAGGAAGAGACTTGAAGCACACAAAGAGGCCTATTTAGGTAGCCCTCCTCCTGTGTCTGATAACCAAAAGCGGATCTATAAGGACTGGGTCGTGTATGTTGAAGATAGACGAGCACGTATGGAGAAGGGTCTGGAGCCAGATCATGACCGACCCGAAGGAGGATGGTGGAGATGGAGTGAGAATGACATGTTCTAGGAGATAACAATACCCTTGATAGTGCCGAAACGTCTGGGTATGGGATAAATGGGTGGGGGATACTTGGCATCTTGGTGAGGTTCACAGGAAAGAACAAGAGCGACTTTCACAATATTTAGCAAGGAAAATACCTATTTTTAGCAGAATCCACGGGTAAAATCAAAAGGACATAAATTTCGTCATAAAGTATAGAGGGATTAGGTCTTGTAAGATAAACCCCCTCTAAGAACATCGTGGATTAATATGCCTTTACTCCTGCTAGCTTTAATAACCGATCTGTCAGCTCAGGCTTGTTCAATGGCTCGCTTCGTCTCTCATCAATAGTCCCATCTAGTAAAGTCGGGTAAATTGGTCTCAACAAAATATCCTCATGGGGTCGGTGTGTCGTCGCTAGCCAGTTTTCCAGTCCTTCCTTCTTCTTCTTTAAAGTTTCAGGGCTTGCAAGCTTCGCCGGAGCGTAAGCAACATAAGCAACTGTCCTGATGGTGTCGCTCGCCTTGGTTGGTTCTGCGCCGTAATGGATCAATCGCGAATCCCAGATGATGAGATCACCGGCTTCAGCGGTGACCTTGTGAGGTTTAAACCCCTGATCATAGAACCACGAGATCTGGTCTTCTGTGAATTTGTAAAAGTCGTTCCGTTCCCATTTCGACCTGTCAGTTTGTTCATCGAAGAAACTTTCAACAGCCTTATGAGATCCGGGGTAAACTGTTAATCCTCCATCTTCGGGCCCGGACTTGGATAGATTGGCGATGCCTTGGACACAATGAAGACCTCGACGGAACGGTGACTGATCTACGTGCGGCCATGGCTTCCGCGGCTCGTGCTCAGGTCGATTTGGTAGCGTGATGTTCAGTGCGTCGAAAGAGACGAGCAGCTCGTCGGTGTTCCATAGCTCGGAAAAGACGTCGATGATGCGTTGCTCCTGGCGGATGTCCCATATGAATTTCTCGTGCGCTACACCATAATGCATAAAGAGATTGGCGGGGTGCATGTGTGGAAGGTTGGGTGTAGTCCAGGTTGAAGGATCTGAGTAATCCAGTTGAGGATTATTAAAGGATTTGAGCCAGTCGAGTGCAGCTTGTTGATATTCTGCGGCCTTTTCATTACTGATAACCCCAGGCACAACAGCATAGCCGTTCTCGATGAATGACTGGTACCATGAGGAGGCCATGGTTGGTCTTAGAAGTTGATGGTAGTAGTAATTTATATCAATAGTCGATCAAAATACGTGAATATTGTTGCTTGCGTAGTGCACCAGCCAAGTACTTATAGATAAAGGAATCGATTGCGCCATCGCCTTGATCGATTGATAATGCATGCGTATTCATCGACGGGCCGATTTATGCTTGTCACTCATACCTACTACACTCCGTATGCTAGAGCGAACTCTATGAATGATAAAGAGCTCACAATCATCATCACTTTTCTAGTATAGCCTTCCTTCCATTTGAACAATGTTACTCTGTGGTTATAATCGGAATTCGTGGAGCGTTCTCAAGCAGTCGTTTGCCTTCGGGAAAATCATCAACCCTTCCATCGTCGTCCCACAAAGCAGCAAGAACCTGCCGCTGCCCTTTCCAAGGTTTTCGTGAATGCTGTACAGCGTAGTTCTGAAATCTATCGCGTCAGCTACATTCGACAAATTCTACAGGATTAAATATTTAATAACTTACGTCTAGCAAAATAAGGTCACCTTGTTCCCAGTTTACATCGACTGCACCATCCTCTGCTATCTTGAGCAGAAGATCTAGGTCTTCGGGGTTAATAGGTGTTCCGTCACCGAACTCAGGCGGTGGATGGTAGGATCCGTCATCCCCTCTAAACGGTGGTCGAGTTGCGCCATGGTGACGACTGCGGCCCCAAGCTGAGGTCAGGTTTCCAAAGAAAACAGTAGCTCCAGTTGGTTGATGTATTCTTATAGCTGAAGTACGTTAGATCTTGCTAACATAACTTCGAGGCTCAGCGATATTTACCTGGAACAACGTGAGTAACACTCAGACTTCCGTCCTCGTGCCACTCAAAGCGGTTGCTATGTCGCCTTACTTCAGTCTCAATCTTCCTCCTACTTGTCTCCTCGTCATCATCATCTGTGACGTGCTGCCCATAAGCTCCGCGTACACTGGTACCAGTATTGGATACTAGAGGGCTAACGGTATACCTGTACACGTATCTAGCGCCTTTGGCTTGTAGGTCAGACAAGAACTTTGGTGCCAGCTTGGCTAGTTGATACGCGATAAATATCGATGAAGTTATAGGTGTAGCACCGCCTTCTTCCGGAATTTGAAGCCCACAAAACGTCAACCAAGCTGGATTGATTGTTGACCATCCATACTCATTGTGAGTCCAGATAGGCAATTCAGGCGGTCCCTCGTTGGCTGTTTTGACGTTTGGTGCAAGGACTGTCCTTAGTGGAGGTCGACCAACTTCAACATGAGGGCGAAAGCCAAAGGCATGGGCGACTTTGCTATAGTCATCGGGAGTTTTGATAGGTAGACCTCTGAAGAGTATAGCACCTCCATGCTTCTCGATTAGCCGGCGAAGATCACCGGACTGTGTGAACCTCTGAATTAATTCAATGGTCGTGGGGACATCGCTGGCTACTTTGGTGGCGAGAGCTAAGGGGAAGCTTGCGCTTTGTGCAAGACCGAAGTTGGCGGTATCTTGCTGTCCAGCGAATTGGAACTCCTCGAAAGGAAGAGCCTGGCTTGATGTCGACGGCGATAGATCATCTACCACCGTCAAAGACTTTGTGGACATGGTGACTTTCGAAATGATTATCACTAAACGGCAGCGACTTGGTGGTACTCACAGCACCATTTGAGCTCGACTCGTATTTCCTATACATTATTATGATACTTATTATTGGAAAGTCCGGGATAATTTGTTATAACTCCGATCTGTAAGGCAGAACCTGGTCTGTCAGCTTTCAAAGCCAAATGTGGATTTCACATGGCGTAATTATGGATACGGCTGTCGTGAGAACCATGCAACATCCTGGTAATATGCGTGCTTATCGCCAACTGAATGTTTCTGTTAAGTACATCATAACCACTAATGTCACGTCAATCCGCCGATCTTGTCTCCGTTGATTATTTTGCAGCTGGTGAGTGGTCACTGGAAGAACCTCTAACAAGTTCGCCTATCAATCCCACTCCATTCGTCCAGTGATACTCTATCTATCAACAGACGACAGGAGGATTCCGCTATTTCCCCTTTAGTTCCTTAACTTTCACCATGATTCGTGTAGGATGCACACTTCCAGGAAATAAGTGACGAGGATGACTCGGGGAACATGTGTTCGACCAGCGTTACCATACTGGAGAAACCTTTCATAGTTCAAACCTGGAATGACTTATCCTTGTGTTTTGAATGGATCAATACGATATTACCTAAGAGATGGCGAATATCTAGCGCAGATTAAATCCCTCGACTTGAGACCATGTTCCAAGTGCGGCCGTTCAGGCCCGATCGAAGCAGTTTCCATATAAAGAATATACCCTCGAAATATCTTACACGTTACGAAAAGCCGAACTTTTATTTCCGCATCCGCCCTTGAGAATCTCATAAACTGCAGAATGGGCAACGACTCTCCCCTATCAGAGACCGCCGTTGAGGTCGGAGGTGTTAAGGGCGTGACTGGAAAGCGAGTCTGGCACCGTCGCGTTTTCTTCCAGGCTACCATCGTGGGATTATGCGCTTTCCTAGCTCCTGGTCTCTATAATGCAATGCAATCGACAGGTGCTGGAGGGCAACAGACGCCCTATCTAGTGATGTGAGAGTATCCTAGCCTCTTGTGCAGCTTCCAATTAACCTCGATGACAGGGCCGCGAATTCAGTCCTTGGATGCATGATGGTTTTGACGTGCTTTCTTGGAAGCGTCGTTGCTAACAAGGTCGGACTTAAGAATGCACTTGTTATCGGCACGACCGGATAGTGAGTGTGTCGAGTTTATTGAGCGATTGTTATACTGACGTCAATTCTCTCGACAGCTGTATGTATGCAGCATCTTTGTACACAAACAACCGATATGGAAATGAGTGGTTTGTATACATTGGAGCAACGGCTTGTGGTCTAACAGCAGGTATATTTTGGGCTGCTGAGGGTGCGATCATGATCGGCTGTAAGTCACGCTTATCACAGAATCAACTATTACTAACTGCTCAGATCCTGAAGAATCACAGCGTGGCCGCTACCTGGCCTATTGGCTAGCCTATCGCAACGTGAGCAACTTCCCGACGGCAGTTTACCCACTCCTAACACCAGACAGGGAGGTTCAATTATTGGAGGTATCATCAATCTAGCATTCAGTATGTAAAACATTTGGACATTTTCTGGTGAATATTTAGGGCTGACTTTTGGTAGACTATAGCGGTAAAGCTACCGGCAAACTTGACTGGAGGACCTACATCGTGTTTGTTGCACTCCGTAGGTTACAGCATATTTTCGTCGGATGCAAAATCTGACTGACATACTACACAGAATGTATAGCTCCGTTAGTTGCTATGTTCCTTTCGCCGCCCGATAAGGTCCAACGAGGTGACGGCCAAGCTGTCAAGTCAGCCGAAAAGATTGACACACTTGCTGAGATCAAGGAAGTGCTCAAGATACTTGTTCGCAAGGACTTCCTTCTTGTGTGAGCGAAACCCGCGTTGACAAATCGAATAACTGCTAACGCGTTGGACTAGTGTGCCATTCTTCTTTTACGCAACCTTTCTGCTCTCCTATGCTGGCTCGTTTCTATCCCTTTACTTCAGCGTCCGCGCCCGTGCACTGGCGTCTCTTGTTTCGGCATTGGCGCAAATCACGGCCAACATCTTTTTCGGTAGCTTTCTTGACTGGAAGCGTTTCACACTGAATCAAAGAGCTAGGTACTCGTACATTGGTATGATGGCGCTTTTCGGAGGAACCTGGATCTGGGTTACGGTGGTTCAGCACGGATACGAGATCAACAAGCCTGCACTGGACTGGGTTGACCATGGCTTTGGTCGAGGGTGGGCGTGTTACATTCTCATGCAAGTCAACTTGTAAGCATCCCCCATGCTGATTGATGGCAAGCTCTTTCTGACGTGCTTTTAGTGCTCTTGCATATAACTACGGTTACTGGCTCGCGGGATACATGGCACAAAGTCCGGCTGAGATTGTGCGCATCACTTCCACTGTACGTGCTGTAGAAGCTGCTGGAGGAGCCGTCGCTTCTGGTATCAGCTCAACTCATGCACCCGTAAGTTGCAAATAATCTGAGAACTAGACGAATGCATTATACTAACTGCGGTAGTTGATTGCGGCCTCGAGTGTGAACTTTGGCCTCTGGGGTCTGGCTGTTATACCTACATACTTTGTTGCGCGTAAAGTTGGTCTCAACGAATAAGATGCAGGGCGTTGTCGAGTTTAGCTTGGAAATAAATTTAGTATTTCAAAAGTGTTTAAGAAAAATTGACTGCATAATTGACCTAGTGCTGGTTTTGTGATTAGCTTCCCTTCAGTCGATAGAACCGTGTTTGTATACCGGTCATGGCGGGTTCCTCTAGGATTATTCTGGTGTGCATGGACTTTCCACCGCACCCTTTAATAGGCTGGAATCCCAGGCGCAACAGGGACGTTATTGAGTGAGACTAAGCTAAAGTATGGCATTACCAACAGATTGTTAAGAACAATACTAGTATCTAGAATATTTACTGTGCATAAATATAGCGGAATATAAAATATCAGGAAATGATACTCATACACAGAAGAACCTCTGTCTTGCTTTCAATGTATAATGTTGTAGTATCCGTTACAATTCAGGAGCAGCAGTGTCCATCCAGTCTCAGGATTATACCTAGTCATAGTATTTGACCTTGACGCCCTTTAAGATCTCGACATCCTTCTCTTCGTTATCGCCCTTGGCGGTGCTGGTGGAGCCCAGGTTCTTGATAACTCTCTGCTTCACCCATTCGCCAGCCTTCAAAGGCTTTCCATCCGTACCCAAGATGTTCTGTTCAAGTAAACCGCGCTCACGCAGCACTGCAGAATCTTGAATAGGGACCAATTCTGTATCATCTTCGACTCGAACCATGTAAAGGACGCCTAAGCGATTGATGTGCGCCTGATCCTTCGGCGGAGCCACAACTCTGTGTATGCTGGACTTTAAGAAACCATCGGTTGATTGCATGTTAGCTATAGGAACTTGAGAAAGTCAAGATACTAGACGATACTTACTTGTGAGGAATTGGAGGGCATCTGCAATGTTGACGGTGAGGGCATCTGTTTGTGGACGTACCCATTTCCACGTTCCGTCATTGCTTAGAACCTGGAGAGCAGCGACGGGTTGACGGAAAAGTAGTGTTAGGCTCCCCATATCTGAGTGGCTGTACATATTTCGGTCAGCAACTTCATAAGGAATAAAGAGCAATAAGGCGTACCCTTTAAGCCATACACCGCCCAGTTTCTTGTTCTCCTCCTCACTTCTTGCGTAATATTTCATATACCGCAAATGATCGCCACTGCTCTGTTCATAACGATGTCGGTTGACGAACCAATCTTCATCGTCAAGCTCTAGTATAATGGCAAAGATAACAAGGAGTTTTTTGACAATCTGGTCGTGTATGTGCTTTGAAAACCTCTCAATAGTAGCCCAGTGCTGCTTGACAACTTCGGGGTGAGGACGACCAGCCTGTTCGGGGATGAACTTGGGGATATTATAAATCTCAAAATTGTCCTTGACGCCAGGAATCAGGTCTCGAGTTCCTGCCGGCTTCCAACCGTTATAGTCGCCTTGTTCTAAAGCAGCTCGGAAAGGTAGTTTCTCTTCATCGGATAGCGATAACACGGATGATGCGAGAGCAAACTGAGTGTCGATATCTTCCTTGCTCAGGCCATGGTTCTTAACATAGAAGAATCCTATGAGAAGGTTGTTAGTAACATTACTAAAACCCCCAATCAGTATCAAATCAGTATATGAAGTACATACCTACTTCCTGTATGGCTCTCGACAACTCGGCGGCTAATTCTTGTTTACCCCCAGGCTGGTCAAATTTGGAGAGATCCAAAGTTATCAGATCGGCCCAGTCGAGCTCCTCCGTTGTTTCCCTGGCTTGTTCATAGGGAAGTGTAACTGTTGCCGTTTCGGTTGCCATTTTGCAGAGCAAGTTGAAAACGTGGCTATTACTCGCGTATAACTAATGGCCTGATCAATCGGGTCTTAGGTTGTAATCCAGCTATACACTTAAACGATAACAGACTTATACAGAAAAGGTCCGGGACAATCAATCTAGACGAAGAAAGGCATTGTCATTTGCAATGCTAGTTCAATATTGCATCATTATTTCTCCTCGTTGAATCGCTTCCATGCTTCCGAATAAAATTTGTAAATCCTTTGATACCACCAGACTGGATCCTACAGTGGGCTAGTCCCCGGATATAGTGGAGAGATAGGGGAGAGATGGACCCAAGAACATGGCATCACTGACAGGGTTATTTAGGTCATGCACCATCATCCGAAGTCGGCCATATGTTGTAATCAATAAAAGATTATGTTCAATGGGTCATGTGTCATGGCAGAAGCCTCCTGGCTGAAGATACAGGGCTGAAGTAGGAGCGCCCGTTAGTTTGTTCAATCACTCTGGTACAAGAAGCAGAGGAGTCCTCAAGAAAGCAATTATCAAACATTTCCAACGTGTAAGTCTAATACTGACAAGATAGGACCCAGCATGACGTCAAATAGTCGTCCATCAGACGATGATCTCCCCAAGGTTGAGGCTGACAAAGCGAACTCGACTCTTCATGTTGTGGGAGAAGAGGCGAGGCCTATCGACCTGGAGGTCAGCAGACGGGTTCTTAGGAAGATTGATCTTTTTTTGATGCCGGCAATGGTAATCGGTATGTTGAAATCAAAAATAACCACAGAATAAGTATCTGACGAGCAACAGGATATGGGTTGGTCTACTACGATAAGGTCAGTGAGAAGTCATCCACATTGACTCATTGATGCCGGAACTGTAAGCTTACGATATCACGAAGGCAATTCTTGGAAGTGCAGCGCTTTTTGGAATGACTTCCGACTTGCATCTGTCTGTTATCGATGCATCAACCGACCCGCCTACAGTCAACACGTCGAGACTGAGCTGGGCGACGTCTATCTTTTACTTTGGCCAGCTCATTGGATCATACCCGATGACGTACTTGCTCCAACGGTTTAACTCACGATTCATCCTGGGGCCTGTTGTAATGTTCTGGGCTGTGATATGCGCTGCCACTGCGGGAGTAACAACATGGCAAGGGCTGCTAGTCCTACGATTCTTCCTAGGTACTCCAGCTCCACCAACGCTTCCTACTAAGCTTGCTAACTTTGACAGGCTTCACGGAGTCTATTGTGCCGACGGCTTTCATGATCACCGTCAGCGGGTACTATACGCAATCAGAGCAGGCCCTCCGCCAGAGCTGGTGGTTCTCGGGCACTGGCTGGTTCACTGTGATCGGAAGCGCTCTCAACTATGGGTTCGCCCAGATCAATGGCGGAGCTTTGAAGTCGTGGCAGTATATCTATGTTCTGGCCGGCGGTTTGACGTTCCTTTTTGGTCTTTGGTGTTTTGCTCTTCCCAACTCAGTACTGAATGCATGGTTTCTAACCGAAGAGGAACGTGTCGTGGCTATTGAGAGGCTACGAGCCGGCCACACTGGTCTGAAGAGCAACAAGATCGAGTTCTATCAAGTCAAGGAAGCCGTGTTAGACATCAAGGTCTGGCTTGTGGCGCTAATGATGGCGTCAGCGTAAGGTTGATATCCTTCAAGGTTGCTCAAGTACTAATCAGCTACAGATACACGGTCAATGGTGCAGTGTCTGGCTTTGGACCTCTTATTGTTTCAACATTTGGCTACTCCCCACTCGAGAGTATTCTCTTTCAATTCCCACTTGGATCTATCTGTGCAGTCGGCATTCCCTTGACTGGCTGGCTTTGCTCGCGTTATCGCCACATCCGGATCCCAGTCCTTCTTTTTTGCTGTTTGCCAGTCATCGCAGGGTTTGCAATCATATGGAAGTCTGAATGGAGAACTCGCCCTGTCGCTCCTGTGGTTGGTTATTCCATCATCGGTTTCTTCGGTCCAGTCGTCAGTCTCACCGTCACCCTCGGAGCGGCAAATGTGGCTGGTGAAACAAAGAAGAGCTTCATGGCGTCGGCTGTCTTTGTCGCTTATTGTGTTGGAAACATTATTGGACCTCAGCTGGTGCGAAGTGAAGAGAAATCTCAGCATTACCCACAACTTTGGACTGGCCTGATTATTTGGTGAGATAGCCTCTTTCTCTGCGGACGGGAGTCAATAAGCTAACTGAGTTTGAAGTTACGTCATCACCATCGTGGCGGCTTCTGTTCTCTATTATGTATTGCATCGAGAAAATGCTAAGCGTGATGGACTAACGTTGGATAAGTCGGAAGGCGAAAGATTGGCTTTCAAAGGTTTAACTGATAAGGAAAACTTGTACTTTAGATATGCTCTGTAATTCTGCTGGTCTTGACTCCGCGGAGAGGCGGAGATGGAGTGCATTGGGTGGATATGGTGGAGTAGTTCCGGCGTTATCAGGCCGATTCACGCGTTGTCCGCTATCAACTTAGCAGTTTGACCCACTGAGCTTGTGTGCCTTGACTGATAAGAATGGTGTGATTAGGTGTCATGCACGCTAACTTCTAGCTTAAAATCATAGGCAGGGCATGCATCCATACACCCACCGCGGATCCTATACGAGCGGCGGCATAATAGACTCCGGATATAACGATCCAGCAATCTACGTCGAATCATCCCAACTCCACTAGTTTGACCTTGTGGAAAACCTTTAGACAGTCGATTACTCGATTCTACCATCCTATCCAAGCATATTTCTGAGAATCATGGCTCAACCCTCAAGACGAGTCGCCGTCATTGGCGCAGGCCCAGCTGGAGCTATCGCGACCGACGCACTTGTAAAAGAACAAGCCTTCGATACAATAAGGGTCTTTGACAGACAACAGGTTGCAGGGGGGACTTGGTGTGTCCATTGAACATGAATTCACGAATTTCACTGGATTACTGACTGGGTGAACATAGGGTTCTGACTCGTGATGGGAATAAGCCTCCAGCCATCCCATCCTTGAGCGACTTGGTTCGGGGTCGTGCTGATATACCCGTCCAAATCCCCCCATCATTCCCTTGCGAGACTCCCAAGACTCCGGAGGTTAACTCACGACAGCTGCGATATTCTGATACCGCAGCCCATGAGTATCTCCACAGCAACTTGCCACCTTCTGTAATGGCATTTACACAGGAGCCAATTCCCGAAATTGTCCCTAAAGAAGTGCTACCACAGTATGGTCCAATCCCAGTTTTCCGTCACCGAGAGGTTATCCGCAACTGGGTAGAAGACATTTTTGCCAAGACTCAGAACAGGAAATTGATCGAGTTCAATACCTCGGTCGAGTTGGCAGATAAGGTGGGCGACGAATGGATCTTAACGCTTCGCAAGGAACTTCCAGAGACGAATTCGAACTATTGGTGGCAAGAAAGGTTCGACGCCTTAATCGTAGCCTCTGGGCACTATCATTTACCTTCCATCCCGGACATCCCCGGTTTGATTGAGTATGGTGAGAGGTTCCCCGGAAGAATCAAGCATACGAAACACTATGACACCGCCGACGAGTTCAAAGGAAAGCGAGTAGTTGTCGTCGGTGGCTCGGTATCTGCCTTTGACGCACTGCATGATATCAAACGCACTGCCAAGCTTCCAATCACCGCATCTCTCCGTCGGCCTTCAGCGATCTTTGGTTCGGCACCTTTTGAACACCCACATATTGAGCAATACCCATCGATCTCTTCATTTGATCCGGTCACTGGACGAATTAATTTCTCAGACGGGACCTTCAAAGATGACATAGACGTCGTGTTGTTTGCTACCGGCTTTGAATTCAGTTTCTCCTTCTTACCTGGTATCAAGCCAGTTAACAAACGGATTCCAGGTCTTTATCAGCATGTATTCAAATCAGATGACCCAAGCCTTGCGTTCATCGGCATGGTATGTTTATGCTAGTATTTACTTGACGGTTGAAGTTTGCGCTGACCCATTAATGACAGGTTACCGGAGGATTTGGCCTTCGTATCTTCGAGTGGCAAGCCGTGGCAGCAGCGCGACATTTTGCAGGCCGTGCCAACTTACCATCATTTGAGGAAATGAGGGAATGGGAGCAGCAGCGAGTGGAGGAGAAGGGTGATGCGCCAGCCTTCTGGACGCTTCTACCAGACTTTGAGAAGCACTACGAAGCTCTGAGGGCTATCGCTGGCGATCCTGCCCCTGGCACAACCGGAAGAGTGCTTCCGGAGTACGACGAGAAGTGGAGTGAGTCATTTTGGGAGCTCATCAACGCTAGGATAGCTTGGTGGAGGGAAGAAGCAAGAAGTGCTGAAAAGAAGTCCAATACTCGAGTTCTTGAATCTTCCAAGTTGGCTTAGACACACTTGGGAAGGTAAAGAATTCTAATACCTCTCATCCTTGGATATCTTGCAAAATTCCTATATACAAATTGATAATTGTCTACCTATCGTGAGTAACTGATCGGTGAGCTAGCTATTTTGGTCATTTTGGAACTGCGGACCTATCAGACTCTTCACCGATAACGGAACAGGGATATCATCGCGACAACAAAGATCCTAAAGGTGTGATTAATATAAGTTTACTTAGCGATTAATGACTAACAAAACTGCCAGTTCATGTCTGACTAAGTCTTCCATAAATAGCATTACAGTACCCTTGCTCAGCATTGAGAATACGCCTCTACTTTGCTTACTATTTTATTTTATTCCTCAGTTACCATAATGGCTACAAGACCAGTCATCGAGTATTATTTCTCTTTCATTTCACTATGGTCCTATATCGGAAGCCGTCGCCTTCAGGCTTTAGCAAAACAACATAATGCGGAGATCGTTTACAAGCCGATTGATCTCCTACACATATTCTCCATCTCCGGCGGTCTCCCCGTCAAGCAGCGCACGGTTCAAAGACAAGCTTACAGACTTGTCGAAATGGAAAGATGGACTCAAGTGCGAGACTTACCCATCGTGCAACAACCCAAGTTTTATCCCGCAGACCCGTCTCTCGCACATAGAGTTCTTCTCGCAGCTATCGAAGAGCTTGGAAATGATGATTCTTCCGTCTCAGAATTTGCCCGTCGTGGACTTGAGACCGTTTGGGCAAACGAGTCTGATATCGCCGACCCAGCCACCATTGTTCAAGTGGCAAATGCATCTGGACTTGATGGTAGCAGGTTGCTAGAGAGAGCTAGGAAGGAGAGCAAGTTTGCCGACCAAGAAAAGTCTCTGACTAAAGAGGCAGAAGATCGGAGGTTTTTTGGAGCGCCATTTTACATCTATCGAGGTGAACCATTCTGGGGGCAGGATCGATTGGAAATGCTTGATGATGTTATTAAGAGTGGTCGTGACCCAATTCCCTTACCCAGTGAGGGTGTCTTTGATCCTCGGCAGCAATAGGAAACCCGATGAAGACTACTTGGCATATTTTATGTAACACGTGACTCATTTCGGGAGATGCAGAGGACGTTACAACTCAACAAATCGTGTTTAAAAGCCGAATATAGTAATTTCGGAATGATCTTACCATTGCGTTTGCGACATCACTTCCGTATAAGAATAGAATGATTGCCAAGACTTTCCTTCCCAGATTCAAACCACATTTATACAGACCTGATCCTGCACTTGAAAGGTTATGAAGTTGTCGTAAGATAATAGCTAATCATTTATGTAAGGTCTGGAAGCACCTTAAAAAAGTCTAACTGCCCTAATTTAGTCTACAGAAATATCAACGATCGAGGTCTTTATACAGACCGAAAAGCAACAGTGTCTCAAATTCAATAAGGTTACCTGCCATATCAGCCATAACTCTATTTCTTAAATGCGTAAAAACCCCTACAAGAAGTACCTACTAGGGCCATAGCTAATTATAATTACCATTATACTTATTCCCTAAACACTAATTCAAGCTCGCCATTAAGGCTAGCCCTGGGAGTGACACACTTCAAAGTGGAAGGCTGACCAGTAGCAACCTCGCCATGTTATTCTACAAAATGAAATAAGATTTTAGAGCACATAGATTATGCGCAGTTAGTTCAAGGGTATAGTTTGCATTCTAGATACGTAACAATTCAATAACTGGATAACTAACACTGACACAACCCCTCGATGGTCGTTCGACTTGTGTTAAGTCTTCTTAGATCTAATTGTACAAAATAGAAATGAAAGAGAAAAGCCCTAATCCAGATCGCCGTCTATTTAGAAGGAGACTACTTGATTCGCTGGATGAGCTTATCTCCAAGACCCTTGATACTCTGAGCAAAGTCATTGTAGGACTTGGAAGCCCAATTGGCGCCGTTGGCACCCGGAACGGCATCTTTGCCGGTAAAGGCGATATAGAGAACATCATTCTCGTCGTGCCCGGCGTTTCCATTGATGCCAGTTCCGAAGCAAGCTGTCGCCAAAGAGATTGCAGCCTCTCCCACAAGAGCCTGGGGGGCATCATCGCCATTTGTATCACCCCAAATACCGTAGATCTTGACGTTTACGTTAGTTCCCACGACAACCTGATAGAATTGTCACTTCACGTACCAGCTTATTACCACAGACAACAGCCATCAAGCTGAGAGGTTCGATCCCGTAGTCTTGGGGTCTGAAATTCTTGTAGCCTGCTCGCGTTCCCTCATTACCGAAGACGACATAAGGGTGTACAAAGGCGTTAAGGTCCCTGATGCTCTTATTGTACCCCCTAACAGTATCCTGGAAGGAGGTTTGAGACTGGGTATCGCTTGAGCTACCGCATCTACCGTCATCACCAGCTCCATGCTGGGTACCATCACAGTCGATATCCATATTTGCCAGGTATCCATTTGTTCCCTGGAGGTAGATAACTCCTTGGCTTTTGTGATCACCACAGTACGAGTACACTCAACGTGTTAGTGTTCGTTAAGCAAGATTACGCGTGGAACTCACCAGGCTTGCCGTTGTCCTGGCTGTAGAAGCCAGTGGCGAGCGGATTGTTGCAGCGACCTTGCTGGACGATGGAATCGTGCAGAGCCTTGACGTTGGCTGGAACGTCCCGAGTAGCCCCAAGGGCTATCAGGAGGGAAATAGTAAGAAGGCGAGCGGTGGGTTGCATCTTAAATGAGGCGTGAATGGGAAAGGGAAGCTTTTAAGTGAATGTTTGTTTGGGTGATAAAGGATAAGTATGCCCAGCTAAAGGTTCTTCGACTTTACAAAGATTCGAGATGCTGGTATCTTATAGATATGAGGATTAATAAGGCACGTGAAAAAGACTGACCAGTACTTCTTGACGTGGTCAGTGTGGAGGTAAATAGCCCATTTCCCTATCGGCAAAATGAGGCCGGAGCTACAATCCTTTGACTTCGTATAGCTTACGAAGGCCCACAGGTATGTAATGACCTGCCTTAACAGTTTGAGGCTACTCCCTGTAAGCTACATTGAACCGGCAAGGCCGAGAATTGTACAACGCTTGTGACTCGAAACCCCCATTCGATTGCTGCTACGGACAAGTTCTGGTGAGTGCACGTTGAGATTTAGCGTATACTAACCTGACGACGATCGCTCGATCAACCTCGACTCCAGTCAAGGTTGGTAGCGCATTGTCCGGGCAGACCTCGGCCCCGTGCTTTTGTCCTGGAGTACATTGATCAATGAATTAATATTAGTTACAAAGTAGGTTGCTAGTGTCTGCCCCCTTTTAGATATACCCAACAAACATTTGATGTCTTCGTTTTCTTCACAACTCAGCTTGGATTCTACCGTTTTTAATCATCAAATTCATTCAACTACCATAATGGGATACGATCTGTTTCCAGTAACCGCCTTCGCCGCTTAGAGTTCTATGATTCATACTCGGCTCCCCGATAAAAGAAATCGGTGCTTATGGTACTAGCTGTGACCACAATAGCATCCTAGAATCGGGCATCAGTTGCTCCCATAGGCTTGAAGTCATGCCGAACAACCGGTCCGGTCCAATAGGACTTCGCATCTTACATTAAGCCAATGACTTACGCAAAGGACGGCGTAGACCGAGTAGGGGGCTTCATGCGTAGAATAGCAAGGAGTGCCGTTTCAGCGTATTGAATGCCTTCACATCCGTAGCATGGGAGAATTCCCCTTTTCCGCAATAGGCAGGACAGCCACTGCAACAGAAGATCAGTCAAGTTTGTGTAAATCGGGTCGTCTTTCTGCTGGGTACTAGATCGGCACTTCTTTCCAAGTGAGGTCGACTACCTCCTAGAGCTTTATCTTTTCTAACTCTTAATGGAAGATAATACGATGGGTGTGCTATGGCTAACCTTGTCCAAGTTAGATTATTTAGAGCTACTTGCATATGGCTCGCAGGGGTAGTCTTTGTGAATGTCAGCATACCAGCTATAATTGGCCAGCCTCTATAAGATCATCTTCAAGAATATTTAGGTGGTATGAAGTAGAAAATCTTACTAATTTTCGCTGTTATGAAATACCGCTGACTAGTACGGAAGTTCATAAAAACTACCCCTGGGGGTTATAGTGCACGTCCCTGGGGATCTCCACCAGATTGACTAAGTAGCGGAGACTGTTTCATATTACGTAGACGGGTTTCCATATTCGGCTAGATCTGATCGCCATGATAAAACCGCCTCGCACATGCCAATGATGTTTCACCTAACTCCCCGAGCATTCTAGTTCGCATCCTTCCAGTACCCTAACCTAGACACCAAGGTGGAAATTCAGGAATGGTCCCATCCCGGTCGTGTCAATAAGTTGCAGGGACTCGAGCCGAAGGGCCGACAAGAGGACCCTTTCACATTTCCATACGCTTTGTGTAGGGTAGTGAATTTCCCTTCTTCACATCGTTATGGACTTCACATGCCAATACCGTCATGCGAAATTTGGGAATAACACTACTTGTCGTTTCTTTTTTGGGGCATGGAATACAATAAGTGCGCGAAACGTATCTCATAACTATAGAGTAAAACATCGTTGAGCGGCCAGTGTCTTTGAACTGAATATGTTTACGTTCAGAGATGATTAACTTCTGATGTGTCTGTGTATTGTTTTGAGATTTGGCCTGAAGGGGCTGGGATTGCTCGGCATGGACAAAGCAACTCAATCTTTCGATTCAAAATAATTTCGCGCAAACAATCTTTTATTGATTTCTAAGGGTTTAGTTTCTGCTACAATAAATTTGCATTTTGAGAGAAGCTATTGTATACAATACAACCTCACCGAGGCTTTGTGCTCGTCTTGGGGTACTTGCAATCGCAACTTCATCCCAACCCCTAGAGAGCTATTATATTCTGACGCTCAAATGCCCGTCTCTAAAACAAAGTCAATTCTCTCAACGATGACCTAAAATATGTTGGTATGAAAGCAATTTTAGAAACTCGACCAATGGGTCATTTGAGACCTTTCCACTTACAGAAAGGAGTCTGGTGCTCAGTGTTATACTTGCCCCCCCTCGCCTCCTCAAACGGCTATGCGATGACCTCTTTGCCGGTGCCATATTCTATGTTGACGACCTTTTGACCAGTAGGTTGGTGTGCCTCACCCAATGTATGAGGACAATGGGGTTGGTTGCTCGTGGCTGGGTCAAAGGTGCAAACTTCGTCATATCCGAACTTACAGCTAGAGTCTAGCATGTTGATAAACTCGTAGTTGTTCGCTACGAAGCTGTTTTGCTGTTCTAAGCAGTGGGAAATATAGTTGACGCTGTTGGAAGCCGAAACAGGCAGTCTACCGTTATGCAACAAGTCATTGCACTCGCTCGCGGGAACGGACTCGGTGGTCATCTGTACATCACCGCCCATATGCGGTTCGTCCTTGGCTGAGTTGCCAAAAACAAGGTAGTTCCAAGCATCGTATGAGATGTCGTAAGCGCCCCCGGATCGATCAATCTTCAAAAGATGGAGACTGCGGCCACCGTAGGAAAGCTTGACGCAAATGTTGTCACAGCTGACTTCGCTGGGCCAATAGGCAACGCGGTTGGTGTTAATATGGCACCCGAGCACGCCAACAGAAGAAGAGAAGAAATCGTGGGGAGTAATTGAATTTTGAGAAGCGCGCGACGGATGTTTGTGATGTCGCGTCGCATGAGCCGCTGCCATACCAGCAAAGATGATGAAAGAATACATGATAGGCTCTATTGTAGAAAGGCGCGGTTGTCATGTAGAGACAAAGCTTCTGATCTAAGAAGGTGTTGGCCGGTGGATTTATACATGGAGGGCTCTGATGTTTTACTCGTACTGAGGCCAAATTCCTCGCTTATGAAATCGGAAGCAAATAAGATGAGCTTTGGTACTTTCGTTTGCTGCTCACGGAGAGCCCCAGGTCAAGTCATGTTAGAGTAAAGTATACCACCCCGAGTTCCCGAGAATAGATAATCTCTCAATGCCACGTTAACGGTGAAACGGAGATAAGTTCTCCTATCCCAACCCGAAAGATGTTGTCCATTACTGAAGATGCCATCCAGTACCTGATCCCATGAAATTATATCAATAGGGGTAGCACGCTATCCACCAGAATTGGCAGGTAGTAGTGCCACATTTACCCTGTTTAGTCTGACAGGGCTGAGTTCCATCGGGTCTACTGAGCTGAAACACGACAAAAGGCTAGGGTAAATCCACTCGAACTTTGTATATTACCTATTTTGGCGGCTTAAAACAACGGAGCTTTGTATTTACCGTCGGCGCCGAAAAGGAATACTAAATATCCCTTAAATTTACTACATCGTGACTCAATATCCTAACTTTAGTTAATATGTAAACAACAGTGTAAAAAAGGTCTATAAATAGAATAGAACCTGAATCCCGTCTTGGTTTTCTGATTATCAAATATCCCATTCCATCCAACATCACAAACTTCACCCCCATCAAATTCCCCTTCCATCTTGTCAAAATGCAACTCTTCTACCTTACTACCACTCTTGCGCTGGCGATTGGCGCCCTGGCAGCCCCCTCACACGCTACAATCATAAGAAGAGATGATATAGTTTCGGGCAATGATCAAAAGGGCTCTATCTTCATGTTTGGCAGTGAACAAAATTGCCGACAAATCTTCTGGACTGGGGGCGCATGCGGTCTCAGCACCTACTTCGCTGATCAGGTTGATCCTAACCTGCCCCTAATTGCAATGCCATCTGGTGTCTTTGATAGATATGGCCAGGCCCAACACAACAAGTTATGTGGAAAGGTCATCACCATGACATACAAGGGCGTCACGAAGCAAGCTGTCGTCGCCGACGAGAACACGAGCAGCGAGCAGACCATCGACATGTGCCTGGATATTTGGCAGGCTTTCGGTGGCGTGGATAATGATGGAACTCTTCGCACGGGAATTACCTGGTCAATTGCTGCTTGAAATTTTAAAGTGTATCTATCAGTCGTTGGCCATAAGCGTCGGATACACGAGAGGCGGAATGGTCAACAGTTGAAACTGCATTCATAAGGGTATAGGCAATGGGAATGTTGTATCGTATTTGCATCTCGTTTTGTATGAGTTGTTTGAGCATAGAATTGGTATTTATATAGTACAAAACAAGTTTTAGTTCAGCGTGGAATAGTAAGATGCCTCGAAATAGATGCAACCATGTCTGAACGTGTAATCTAGCCCTTTGAGTGATGAAGAGTCCTAGGCCTGATGACGATTCAGAACTAACTATGACCCAGAATTGCCGAATGTTCCTTATACCGAGCTGCCATTAAACTATCGAGAGATTGTAAATATGAAGCATCTCTTTAGAGGAGCTGATGCAAGGAACAAGGAATAAGGTCAGACAGTGATATTACGTGGACAATTCTTTTTCACGGCATAATGCTTTAGCGATGCTTCCCTCAGAACTGAGTAGCGGGGATTTGCAATCCAAGTCAACTTGACCTAAGCCTAGTTCAATACCTAGGCAACCAGATCTTGAATTACTTGTGGAGAGGCTTCTTGGGTGGGCCTCAGGTCGGCCGATAGTCATTAGATATCAACACCGCTTGTAGGAAAGATCACCATGAGATGCTAGCCACTTGAGTAGAACCTTACTTCATGTAGATTATATATTTAATCATGTCATGCCTTCTGGCCTCCGGACAAGTTCATGCAAAGCTGCCCTGGATCGTTAGTGATCTTCACTCCATGTTGGCTGTTACCCCCCGGCTTTGATGTCCATTTGTGTCAAAGGAAGGTGTACAAGACAAGCTGGAAGTCAAACTGTTAAACATACGAATTTCCTAATTAGGCGTTCGCTCGTAATCCTGGTCCTCGACTGACTGAACCAAACCTAAGGCTAATAAGCATGTGAGAATGATTAAAATCTCTTGGCACTGTACATGATAATACCATCCATCGGGGTTAAAAGCTGAAAAACGCACTATTCAAGTTCCCACTGCATTATTGTGCCATATCTATTGCATTAAGACTGGGGTAACATACTTAATTGTCAGAGCACATATCGATCTACGTAGGGGGTAGTGGCTCAGGTGAAACCAAATGAACGTAAACAGTGTATATCAAAGGAAGTTGGGCATGCTAACAACTTGGAGAATTATGTAAGTACGATGAACCCCAATTGTATCTTTATACGACACAAACGCTCGCCTTGCTTGTCAGTTAATCAGCTTTGGGGTTCAAGTAACGGGAGATCATGACGAAATACTTACTCTTTGGCTGTGTAGTTGTCTTGCCTTTATTGCCACGGCACCGAGGCTAATTTTCGGACGCCTCGCTAAACAGCCGTTTAGCTTTTATACACCACGCCGCCGGCACAACGGCATACCAAAAGCCCGATTCTGTATAACTACTCAGCATGGTAGAGAGTAGATTTTGTGAACAGCTACTCGTTACTTATCAGGGGAGTGACCGTATACCGCACTTTGTAGGAAAGTTTGCTACCAGCGCCTGTTTGTAGGAGTAGACCGAATGATACATTGCTTTCCCGACTCGGAACGTAGTGTTTGTTCAGTTAGGAAAACTAATTGCCACAGTAGAATCGTGAAACAGGCAGGTAGTACCATAATTGAGAGCAGGAATCGGCCGCCTTGTTAATATCAAAGTATAACATGCAGTCCCCTAATTCCAAACTGCAGCCACACTCGCTAAGTGCCGCAATGATGCTATATTCCTAGTTGCTTTCGGAAGGATCGAAATCTTAATCCTGGCCCTATAAATCCAACGGGCCGATACGCATCGATCTATCACTGGGGGTACGAGTGCGGAAACCTTGGGGCCGACCTGACTTCATCGACCGATGCTTTGGGTTGATCTATGAAGGCCTACCCCGACCTCTTGGCTTCCCCGACACCGCAATACTGAATCTACCTGCTCCATTTTGAGGCGACTAATGTTACAGCCCGAATGTATTGGTCATTGATGAAATTTACCTTACTGGAGGAAAGCCATTTGGTCTCGTTTCATGTTAAGAAAATGACCAAGCTCTTGGACAGACAGCCCCGGCTAAACGTTAGTTAGAAATACTTTTTAAATTTTAGTTCCTTTTCTGTTAAATCCACTACCATTAAAAGTTCGGGATTCAAGTCCGACGTCACCCTAGTTTTGCATACATTGTCTACCCCAGGATCATACTCCTGCGATGTCAGTATAGTAGGCCCGAAATTCCATTTGTTTTGAGAGGGAATACCATCCTGGAGAGACTACATGAATCCCACTCGGGGTTGCCGATCGATTAAATGGCATAATTAGTTACCAGACACGAATGATTGCGTGACTGGTGTTCGACGTAAGTATCCCAAACTGGACTATACTGCGAGGTAATCTTAGGCTTTCCTACTTCCTAGAAACCGAAGCAGTATTGATGTACTGACAAACCTGTTATCTGATTAGTTGTCTTCAATGTCTCATATTAAAGATACAAGTACTCTAGTAGGAATCAAGCGGAGATAAAAGTACCTAAGGTACTGCAACCTGCAGATCACTACCGAAATACTGCCTTGAGGTAAGTACATGCGACAGTTTGATAAACTGCCAGTCAATACAGGCTTTGAAGGTCTGAAATATATAAATTGTGCCGATTTCGCGCCTTAGGGATAAAACATTCAAAAGATTCACTGCGTCTTATTCACGCGTTTTAAATAATTACGTAATTAGATCAACACAGCCATTAATATTTTCCTTAAGGTTTTGTCAACACTCTCCCTGCTGGCTGGAGCACAGGCGTGGATGCCTTTCGAAAGTGGTCAGTGTCCTACATACTTCAACTTAGATAGCCATTTTCTGATCGAATACTCCGGACCTGTCTGATTCCAACAGTACAAAGTGTTGGCTCTCATCCGCGAACAAGATTCGCGTTGTCAACTTGGGCAGCCAGTTTATCATCGAGCCCTGGATGGCCAATGATGCTTGGAATAAGATGGGCTGTGGCAGTCAGAGCGATGAGTGGAAGTGCACTGAAGCACTTGGCCAGGACGCCGCTGATCGAGCCTTTCAAAATCATTGGAATACCTGGATCACTCAGGACGACATCAAACAGATTGCTAGCTTGGGCCTGAATACCGTTAGAATCCCTGTGGGCTTTTGGATCAAAGAAGACCTTGTCAAGTCTAATGAGCACTACCCTCGTGGTGGTCTTCAATATCTCGACAGACTAGTCGGTTGGGCCAAAGACGCTGGCTTATACGTCATCATGGATCCTCATGGAGGCCCAGGCTCCCAGTTTCCCAATCAGCAGTATACTGGCCATGGCGTCTCCAAACCAGGCTTCTACACGGACGATAACTTCAGCCGTGCCGCCACGTTCCTGGGCTGGATGGCCAACCGCATCCACATAGACGACAAGTACTGGAATGTTGGCACCCTCGAGTTCCTGAACGAACCAGTTCATTCAGGCGACTATCCGAATGAAGCGGCCAACATGGTTAAGAACTTTTACCCCAAGGCGTACGACGCCATCCGCAAGGCCGAAAGCGCCCTTGGGGTCACTGACGCAAACAAGCTGCACATTCAGTACATGGGTAAAGCCTGGGGCTCAGGTGACCCAACTAGTAGCCTCCCCAGTAAGGACAAGACGCTTCTTGATGATCACCGCTATTACAAGTGGGACTCGAGCGTGCAGACTACCAAAACGGGCTATATCAATGCTGTGTGCCAAGACAAACGTGAGGACGGCATTATCGTTGGCGAATGGTCCATATCTGTTGCTGGCAACGTCGAGAACAATGACGTGTTTTCCATCAAGAACCGCCCTGAACAAGTAAGCTGGTATAAGAAGTACTTCACTGCCCAGGTACACACCTTTGAAAAGAGCGGCGGCTGGGTCTTCTGGAGCTGGAAGTGTGACTGGATCGGTGGTTATGATGAGTGGATATGGTGCTACAAGAGTGCTGTTGCAGCTGGTGCTATTCCTAAAGATGCTGGCAGTGCTGCTGCACAAAGTCCATGCTAGAAGCTCAAACTATTGTTCAGGGTAGCGATCCGGCAATCAGTGCTACATGCTCTCGGTTGTCCAGCATTTAGCAAGGGGAAGAGACTGTTTTATTTCGATTGAGAGAAAAGAATTTTTGTTCATTTCTTTTCCATCATAATAAAATACGAATACCGTAGTTTTTCATTGATTCTGATTAGCTAAGGACTGAGCTTCTGGCGACTGTTGAAGCTGTCTGTCGTAAGGGGGCCTAGTAACTTACTAAATTGCTTGCGTAGGGATAAACCTTGTCGGCTATTTGATTTCTCTTTTAGCACTAATTTACATAGCTTATGCGGGCCGTTAAAGGTTTATAACTCTGCTTTTGTAGTGTTCCAAGCTATACAATTATATCTTTGTAAATTCTTCACTTTCACAAGGAAAAGTGCTCTTGTGTAATACTGTGCTCCGAGGAAAGTTCAAGCCAAAGTGGTGAACCCGCTAGTTCATTGGTTGTCTTTGACTTTTCATTGGAGGACTTCGACTTCAAGACATCTAAATAATCTGTTGAGATGCGTGCAGTGTGGACCCCGACCACTTACTTACCTGCTTCAGGCTTATGGGTCTAATGAGTTGAAAAGTTCCCTTACCATCATCTTCACATGCGTTTCGACCGCAAGATCGAGGTGTCCACATCGTGAAATACCATTTAAAAGGTATACAAATCTATCATGTCGCACTCCGGCTGCGAATGGAGAATTCACCAACCTCGGTGACGACGTGACCAGGTATACGGCGCTAGTCATATTGATCCTAAGGGGATCAAGGCGATCACTAATAATGTGAATCACCCTTATAACCTTTCGTTGCTTTAAAGGATTTTAGAGCCGGGCATTGAGAATAGATAATTGAGTAGTCGGATTATGTGGCTTCTACTGATAAGATTGATCGCGTCTGGAGCTCTTAAAATGGCGATAATAACCAATTCAACCACTTAATAACTAGTATAACTAATTATTACAACGAGGTTACTTAAAATGCGCCTTGCAGGGTTACCAAATTTACTATTGTGTTGTTAGTAGATATGAACAATGCTTAGATAATGGCTGTTACATGAGTATTATTTTTAATTTCTAACATACGCCCTTCTGTACATAATCTTGCAACAAGGCATTAGGGCATGAGAGTTTTAATATGCAAGTTTTTACTTACTTCAGTAAAAGGTGACATCAATTCCCCAGAGCACAATATCATTACCGACAATGGCGAAAGAATTAAAAGGCGCTACGGATGTCATTAGCACAAGTCTGAAATGTCGTAAGGGCCGGGGGTGTATAAGCACAATATGTCGATTTGTCATCTCTAAGGTATCTTATAAAAACAACATAAAGACGCGTTATTTGTTTGTCCTCGAGACACAAAACTAAGGCTTTTGTTAGCGGAGACTTAGTACTATCCTGCGCATTACCATTAACTAAGCATGTCCCTTAATCGAGACCTCATCCTGGTATTTGCCGCCGCGGGCAAACAAACTCGTCTACTCGTGCCTCTACTGGCAAAACAGTACAAGAACCTCCGCCTCGTCGTGCGCAGTGAAGCTTCCCAGCAGAAGTTGCGCGCCCAATTCCCAGAAGCAGATGTCGTACGTGCGGATCAAAGCGATCCTAAAGCGGTGCGCGACATCTTTCGAGGTGTTACTGCCGCATATTATGTCGGTCCTAGCCTACACAATCAAGAAATCCAGAATGGGTACATTGCTATCGATGCCGCCGTCGCTGAGCAAGATGAAGGCAACTTCAAACACTTTGTGTAAGTCTCGTCCAATCGTTCTCACCCGCATAATCTGACTAGAACGTTACAGATTGTCCTCAGTTCTGAAGCCAGGGCTGCGCAAGGCTATTAATCATGACAACAAGCGATACATCGAAGAGTATCTATTTGAGAGTCCGCTAAACTACACCGTGTTACAACCTTGCAATTTCTTGGCCGAAAATCTATTTCCCATCAGCAAGTGGATTCACGAAGACGAGCCTGTTCTTAGTCTGCCATATAACCTCAACATTCCTAACTCTAACATTTTTCTCGAAGATCTAGCGGAGGCTACGCTTAAGGTGTTTCAAGAACGAGAGAAACACTATCACTCTGAGTATCCTCTCAGTTCCACGTACCCAATTGCATACAAGGACTTTGTGCCGCCGACCGAAAAGGCGCTTGGGAAACGTATCAATATCGTCAGGTTGCCCCTCGCAGAAGCGGCCAAAGCGTTTGTAACAGCCGCGCTTGGCAACAAGTACAATGGCAAGAATCTGGACGTTGCTGAGAGACTTGTACTATGGTATGATAGATATGGCCTAAACTCATCGCCTAATGTTCTGGAGTGGTTGCTGGGAAGAAAGGCGACCACTTACGAAGAGTGGCTCGAGCATCGTATAGCGGCTATTAAACTCAGCCAATCTGATAGCTAGACCGATGGACTAGACACTCTGGATAGTCTAAGGAACCTTTGCTCGAACTTAGGGTATTTCTTATTTGAGGATGTAACTACTAGCTACCATAGAAAACTGACTACCATATTTGTCACAAACCTTTACAAAAACCGACACGACTACGTCTCTTACTACCCTCCATCGAAAAAAGAAACAAGATGGCAGGCGTAGCACACCGTGATTCAAGCAGCTTCCTTAGAACAATCTTAGAATCCCGAATGTTTGGACTTATAAATATTCACATGAAAGGTGTCGGATGCTCTCTCTCTAATTAACTAAACCTCAGACGCTATTCCCAGGGACTACTCGTTATATGCAAAAGATTACTTATGTGAGCATATAGAAGAAGGCAGAATATCGTTGGTATGTCAACAATTCATATGACGTTGTAGGACCTGCCGATGCAAGGACTAATGATTGTGGTTCTTGTATGTTGTAGTATCTCGAATGAGACTGGTGATTTTTGGTTGGAGACCACGGACTAGCATTCACGGACGACGCTTACACTGGCTGTGACTGTGATCGTTAGCAACGGCCGTGTCGGTGATCTTCGTGTCGCTATTATGTTTCAAATATCTCACAAGGTGGCTGGCTTATTGCCTTCAGATGTGCCGGACACATTCGGCAGCATTCCACTTCCAAAAATGCTTTGCTATTTCCAGTATAGAAAGATAAAAAACAACAATGTTAAAATAAAATGGGCGCTTTTCAACTAAGGTGCACTCGGAAGTATGTGGCATTAAGGTCATTAGAAACTGACCCAAGCTTAAGTTTTGAGTTGAACACCACTTTAGGTTAGGAGGCATGGCGTTATGATCATGTAACCTGATTTGTGAATGCGTTTGCTGGGGCCGATCCGCCTCGTTTTCCCAAGCAAAAGCCCCCGGAACCAGAACAAGCTGTCGTTTTTATTCGTCCTCAGTCACCGATTCTCATCGACAATGATGAAACATACATTGCATATGTATTTTCAGAGTTCACTTCCACGCATTGCTGCAGTGCACCTGCTCTAGAGTGTTATAGCTCAAAATAATCATTAATTGTCCCGTCGAGTTTGACGACTAAACTACCATGCCGAACGACAAGGCAGCCCGATATGAACAAAACTACAAATAATGTGAAGCAACTAAAATACTAAAAGAAATAAAGTGCCTCTGCACGAGAAAGAAGGTGACAATCGCGAATAAACATCCCCTAACAAAAATGTCCCCCCTTCAACCTTAAGCAAGATGTCGCCCAAGTTCCACGTCAACCTCTCAATAGTAGATGGGGTTCTTGGGGTCTGTGAGGTCAAAGATGACAACACTGTGGGGTCGGGCACCGCCACGAGTCTTGGTGAAGATCTTCTCAAAATCAATGGTACGGTTGAAGCTGAGCGACCCATCGTCGTTGATATCGATCCAGTGACCCTTGTAATCACCGGGAGTGTTGACAATTGAGATCTAGACATAAGATGTTAGTTGATTTGTTTCCAGCTAGATAATTGAGAAGATGACTTACATCTCCGCCCTGCACAAAGTAGCCAGTGACGAGTAGGTTCTTCTTATCGGGAGAGATCTTGACATAGTGAGGGCCAACGATTGGCTGGTCCTCATCAGGATCATCCAGACGCTTGACATTATCGAGATCGGAAATATCAAGAGCAGCGACATGGTTTCCGAGGGTAATGGTGAAGTAGGCGAACTTGCCGTCATCAGAGATGTCCGAGTAGATAGCAAGGGACTCCTTGGCTTTATCACCGAGATCGTAAAGAAGCTCGGCGACACCTTGGTTACCCTTAGAGTCTTTGCGGAAGGGATAGATGATCCAGACCTGGCCAGGACCGACGGCGGTAGCTAGAGCAGCACTCTCCTTATTACCCGGGATGAATTTGACATCTTGGATACCCTGGCCATCAGGAATGGTGATGGTGGAGATGATCTTGCGAGTCTTGAGCTCCCAGAGGCGGAGGGTATCTGCCTTCTTGATACCTAGAGTGGGCTTGAGGATGGTGATGGGCACAACAAAGTCAGAAGTAAGAATAATATCCTTGTCAAAGTTGACGGCGAGACCATGAGGAGAGAACTGTTTCTCAAGCACATTGAGTGTACTCTCAACATCCTCTGGCCATTCGTGGATGATGTCGCCATTGGCATCAGTCTCGATAAGGCGACCGGGAGAAGTGCCAACAGCACTACCCATGTAGGTGATGAAGAAGCCGCCTTCGGGCTTGGCTCGGATCTCATCGACGATAGAGCCCAGGATGCCACGGTTGCTGTGATCGAACTTGGGGGCATATGGGTTGGAGGTGTCGAAATAGAAGGCTGTGTCCTGAGTCTTCAGAAGGGATAGCAGACCACCACCAATCAAGGTTTTTCCATCGAGGGAACTGCCGAGATGGTGGGGCGAGTTACCACTGGTGTTGACGTCCGTGATGTGGATAATCTCCCCGAACGTGTCCTGAGCTGTATTAGTACCACCATATTGCACTTCAGGTGGATTGACTTACATCATCAAGACTGGCCGTAATCAAGAAATCAGCGTGCTTGTTATCACCAGCTCCAGTCCAGAAGTAGCCAATCTTCTTTGGCTTGATGTTGGAGGTCTTGAAAGGAAGACTGTCCAAGGGAGGAGTGGGAAGTTGAAGAATTGGCAGCGGAGGGGCGTTGTCGGCCAGAGGTTCAGTAACACCTGGAATCTTGGGGATCAGAGGAGGGAGGCTGAGACCGAGTCTCTTGTTCAGCTCGGCGGGAGAGGCCGAGACCTGGGCAGTCAAAGCACCCAAGAGAGTGGTGAAAGATAGAAGAGAATGCATGGCTGAGGATTGAAAGAAACCTGATTTGCTATTATTGTTCTTGACCAATGATGCAAGCAGGCTGATGGTAGGACTGTTGATGTGTGAGAAAGATTGAGAAGGATTGAGGGAGTTTTGGATGTTATATAGTAAACGAGTGACCCTCGAGGAAGCTGTGGACGATCTAAGAATATCAGCCGTTTACCAACTCACAACTCTCCAAGTGCCACCTACGATCAACCCCTTGGGCTTCTCTCTCGCATTGTATCATCCAGCCTCATGAAGGCACGACCGAGCCAGATGACGAGATTTTCTCCTGACTTTCAGCGTGGGGGGCGGTCATCATGATCTTCAAAATCATTTTACTCAGCTCTTAACCTCTAAAATCTGCTATCATTCACTTAGCTTCCATGATGTGATGGTATTCAAGAGGTTGAGGATACGTGCCGTCTGTTCGGCCAAAGGGGCATCCTGTTCACCGACGTCGATCTACACGAAATAACGACATAAGAAGAAAAGCCTGGAATGACTGACTGAAAGAGGTCTGAGACCTGATGTGAGTTACATCGGCTTCATCTGGCTTCTGACCTTGGGCTGGAAACAGTGATTCAGTAACATCGCAGTCGTCGAAATAGGAAGACGCTGAAGATCACTTACCTTATTTGGACCGCAACTTGCTGTCTATCCATGATAGCGGGCTGGGTCACGGACTGAACCAGGATGCTGGATCATCTAGCCTTATGATGTAAAGAGCTAAAGTGGAAAGTTCAGGAATAGAGGGTGCTTGGACACCAAGAGTCCTCATGTATCACCCTGGTTCCTCGCAGTCGGTAATATTGAGATCGACAGTTCTAACGAATGGCATCACTCTCGTGTGTTTATTCACCATGATTAATTGAGATGACTTTCGGTCGCTAGCGGGTCGTCGCGCGATATCCCTTACAACCAAGACGGTTGTCCTTCGACTACCATCCATAATCCCTACCACTGAGAAACTCAAGCTCGTCAATTCCTTTATAGTTGTTCCTATCTTCTAATTGCTTCAAATATGCGTATATTCTTAGTATTCAGATAGCCAGGTACGCAGGGTATTAGTTTGTATTTTTTCCCATCTGGACTTTTCCAGGGACAAGTTTATCATCTACTATCGTGCTAGCCTTGGAACACCAGAATACTGCAAAAAGGCCTGCTAACCTGTACTCACAGAGAAGAGACCTTCACTTTTGGGTGGTTTAGCCTGGCGGACTGTGCGACAGATCTTCATTACGGCTTTCGGCCTTAGCGTTTACATCTTATTCGTCGCGATGGCGACTTCCACCCTGTGTAGCCGGAATGGTGGAAGCCGCGCCGACGGAAAGGCACAGCTTTTTGAGGCAACGGATTCAAGCCATAGTGCAATTGTAACACTCATCTCACATCGCTTGACGTGACTGGCTGATCAAAAGGCGCAAGCTACGCTACTGATGTGAATCTGCCATTAGCAGGTACATAATGTCTTAGAACACTGATTTTAATCATATATCTGCTGTATGGAGTAAAGGGTCCAGCTGTGTAGATCTTCTACCATTATAACACACAAGGACAATATAGTATGTATTAGTGGCATAGAAACAGACGCTAATATCTTTTAGGGTACGAAGTAAGCTTATAACTGCATGGCGTGGAATATGATTCGCTGGCCCCACGATGATCTGCCGAGCACATCAGATGCGCTAATAATGGTGTCAACGCCGGCACTTACCTTCTAAGCAAATGGAAATAGGCAGGCTTGCTTCGATCCTTGTAATTGCCATGCCGATCTTCCACTAATCCATCTTGTTCGGAGGGCATTTCCTCCGAGACACATACTGTAGCTTCAATGTGGTAGTTGTAAGTCGAGAGTGGGGGTAGTATTTTGCTCATTGTACGCTATTCGCAAACACATCGATAGTCTCATGCAGCTGTGGCGATCGTTGTTTAACTTGTCTTCTTTCGAGGACAGCGACAGTTTGGCCATCAATTTTGATCACCTGCGGCTCATTTGGACTGCAGTTGACCCTTCTTGGTATCAATGAAACTTATGTGAGTTCGATTGTGTCATCACGTTGATCAAATCTTAGGACTGTAATATGTAGAGGATTATAAGTTATCACATGCCGTAGCAGAACTGTCTTACCTTTTTCTTTCTTTAGCATTATTGTCCCTTTCCTCCAACAATCTCTACCTGCATTGCCCTGGTCTTTCGCCCCATACATTCGCTCAACATGAGAGCTGTGTCATTCTTATCACCTGCCGTAGCTTTATTCTTAGGAATAACTACGGTCGTCGCTGCTCCCTCCGATTCCCAGAAGCCAGGCTTTCCCAAGGGTCAGCCCTATGATGGAAAGGGCAAGGGGGGCCCGATTCTAGGTAAGCCTTACACACCATGAGGCATGTGTGACAAGCACTCATACTGTACATAGGCGGCACCAACAAGGAGCTCGATCTCCAGAATCCTGATAATCTCGGCAGCCAGCCGACTGATAACGGTGTCGTTCCCAACCTCAAATGGAGCTTCTCCGATTCCAAGACGCGTCTTCTGAAAGGCGGCTGGGTCCGGGAACAGGTTATTCAAGACCTTCCTTCCAGTCACGATATCTCAGGCGCTCAGCAGCATCTCGTCAAAGGAGCTATTCGTGAGCTTCATTGGCATCGCGTTGTAAGTTGATCTCAATCTGAGCTTTTGTGGATGGAAAGCTTACATGACATAGGCTGAATGGGGCATTGTCTATAACGGATCTGTTCTCATCTCTGCTGTTGACGAGTTTGGTCGCTATCAGGAAGAGGTTCTTAACTATGGCGACATCTGGTACTTCCCCAAGGGAGCAGCCCATACTATTCAGGGCCTTGCCGATGAGAATGAGTACCTACTAGTCTTTGATGAGGCGGACTTTGATAAAGTCGGGTAAGTTGACGAATCTTGGAACTCTAGCTACTGTACTAATTAACCCCTAGTACTACGTTTATGGTAGACGATTGGATCAATCACACACCCAAGGATATCCTGGCCAAGAACTTCGGTGTCGATCCCAGCGTTTTCGAAAATGTTACTAGCCCTAATCCATACATTCTCAACGCCGATGTTGCGAAGAAGAACGTCACCAATGGCCCTGCGGGCACTCTTTCTGGCAACAGCTCTTTTGTCTACCGTACTTTCGAGCATGAACCCGAGAAGATCGGCGGAACAGGTGGCAAGTTCTACAAGATCGACTCGACTAATTTCCCAGCATCAAAGACTTTGGCAGCTACCTTTGTAGTTCTCAAGCCTGGGGGCCTTCGTGAACTTCACTGGCACCCCAACGCTGAGGAATGGTTGTATTTCCACAAAGGCCAGGCCAAGGCTACGGTCTTTATTGGAAATGCTGCTGCCAGGACCTTCGACTTTTCTGCAGGAGATACGGCAGCCTTTCCCGACAACTCTGGGTGAGTAGATGACTATGATCTACAGACATCTACTTTTGTTTCTCAAAAGCTAACTGTTCTTAGCCATTACATCGAAAATACTTCAAAGGATGAGGATCTTGTTTGGATTGAGGTTTATAAGTCTGATCGCGTCGCCGACATATCATTGACCCAATGGCTTGCCCTGACACCACCTGAAATTGTTGCCCAGACACTTAATGTCTCCATCAGCTTTGTGGAGACCTTGAAGAAGGAGAAGCAGGTGCTTATTGCGTAAGGACAGTACAATAGTTCAACCAAGCCATGACCCGTAACGCAGGCTCATGCCGTCGACCATAGAGAGTCTACTTCCTGTATATATTATCCACTTCATATTAATCAAATCTAGCGCCTTTATGTCTACTCACTTCCGCGCATTACACTGATATCTGTATGTTGTACATCCTGCCGATGATGCTCTCGAGGACGAGTAAGTCCGGACAGCGCTTTGCATTAAGGTAATGGTTAGAGATACTTTATCATGAATGTCTTGAAAATGCACACAACCCGTCTGCTTGATTTGTTTCGCCAGCAAATTAATCCCGTCCAGCAGTTCGTCCCCTACCGTGTTATTGAGACTCTAGAGCAACCTCAGGCCAGTCTTGATCTCGAGCTCATACAGTGACGGTCCTGGCAGTGGCAAGTCTCCTCATAGATGAGTTAGAATGGCGGAGCCAGAAATATGCTAACATAATGGAGACCATCGTTGTCCCTTGTTGGCGAGCTGTTCTGATTTCTTAATAGCTCGTCCTCTGGCAATTATGAGCTGGGGTGAGCTAGCGCTAGAAAATGAAAACAGTGGGTGGCTGTATTACGGCATGGCCCTTCATTTTGGCCCGTGTTGACGATTGTGATATTTCCACAACTAACCAGTTCATTAACAACGCATTTCCAATTAGAGTACTGCTATGAGTCTAGTCAGGACGAAGATCAAAGCCATGATTGCAATTACATTGGTTTGTGATACTTCTTAATGCTACATTTGTCACAGAAGCTGATGAAACCAAGCAAAGTTGGGCGATACACTGAATTGTGCCTTGGAAATAAGAACCATAGATTATGTCTCTCAAGTGGAACCTTTAACAAAACAGTGTTTTCTCGTATAGCCAGCAGGGATTCAAGGAGTGTTCGTTAGGAACAGAGACAGCACTCTCTGTCTAAACCATAGCTGGTTAAAGGCGACTCTATAGAAATAACCGGCAATTTACATAACCCTTAGTAAGCAGCTGATCGGCCGCTTTACACTGCTGGCCACCGCCACCTTGTCTTTCAATCCCTACAGTACAGGTATGACTAAGTTTACTACCTGCCTCTCTGGGACATTACAAACATATATAATCTATTATATAATTAAAACAATAGTGAAATCAGGAGCAAAAGTCTATCAAAGGTGTATAATTATAGAATCGTACAACATGCAAGCGTATTGATATACGACAAAACCAGTATTTATAGGAATCCATATCCTGTTCGAGCTCTGTTTTCCCAAACCTTCTTACGCATACATAATAAGTAGTACTACTTTAGCTCTTTACTTAGCATGGCTTTCACTCTCTTCAAGGCTCTTCTGGTACTTGCCACAGCTGCTTCTTTTGCATCTGCCAGCGTGATTCCACCTAATGTCGACCCGGACTTCTGGAAAGCTGAAATGGCTAGCTCAGCATCCTATGACCCTACCCTCGGGAAATCTAAGATCATCAATGGAAGCGAGATCGATATCGGTTCCAACGACAACCTAGAGTTCTTGGACACTACCGGTGAAACTGGCCAACGCACCAAAAAGCGCGATATCTTCGACCCCGTGCTCACCTTCGGCTCATGCTTTGACTGGCCCGGTGGCAGTCCCGGTAGCAAGTTGAACCCCTACCTGAACAACTTTCTCAACTGTGTTCAAGATCTCAAGAACAAGGATAAGGGTGATTGGACAAACCTTGGCCCTAAAGGCGAATGACATTATGGCTATGGCACCGTCGCCATCGTTGTGAGGAATCAGGACTCTTGCGATAGCCATGAGTTCAAGATGGAGTGGCTTTGGAACAAGGTTATGTCAAAGGTCTGGTCTTCCTGCCCGTATAATACCCAGGGCTGGGCTTCTGCGAGAACCAAAGAAAATGGGAACGGACCTCTAGTCTTTACTATTAGGGAGCAGTACACACCTCTTCCTAAGGCTACTTACAGTTGTTAGAGGGAAGAAACTAAGGTCGCCATATTGAGGTTAGGGGGAGGAGGGGGGGTTGAAAGGGTCCTCGGAATGGAGCATAACTTTACCAAAGGAAAATGGAATTGAATTTCTCTAGAAGTCTTTTATCTATTTATTTATCCTCTTTCTTATTGTCCTATCTGCGCCATAATTTTACGGGCAATTCCCCCATGATTAGGTTAAAAGCTTCGAATCGCGACACCTCAAAGTCCTTGGTAGGCATAGCGAAATCATAACGGTGTACCAAGGTACTCAAAACAATTTGCTGCTCCAGATACGAGATGTTTCGTCCAATACAGCCTCTTGCACCCGCAGAGAAGGGGATGAAGAAGGGCTCCATCCTTTTTCGCTCTTCTGGTTGAAGCCAGCGCTCCGGCTTGAAAGCATAGGGCTCAGGGTAGATCTCCTCGTTATGGTGGGCGCTCCAGATCGTCATAGAAACTGATGTGTCTCCAGGAATCCAGACATCCATGATCTTAGCCCCTTCGGGTGGTGTACGCCGTGGAAGCCCGGAAGATACAGGTGAGATGAGACGGAGACCTTCGTCAAGACAGGCTTTCAAATATGGGAGATCTTTCACCTTGTCAAATGGTGCTATGACATCATCTTCGTCCATAACGCAAGCGATTTCATCCCTTAGCTTCTGCATCTGCTCGGGGTGGCTGATCAACAATTGGAGGACATGCGTAAGGGCAATAGCGGTAGTCTCAGCTCCAGCGTCAATGATCGCAGACGTCTCGGCAACAATCTCTCCCCACTCAAGCTCGTTGGAAATGCCGTTCTTATCCTGCATGAGACATGAGAAGAAATCATCAAGTTTCTCGCCAGCTTCATATCTTCTCAATCTTTCCTTAGCTTGGTGGTAGCAGACGTCGCCCCATGGGGCGCTAGTAGCCCAGTAGCTCTTCCATTTATTGGGAATAACCTTGGAAGCACGAGCGAGCCATGGGAAAAGTTCGTATTCCCAAACAAACACGGATTTTACCATAGCCGAGTGGTTCTGGGATTGTCGATATCTAGCAGGATAGAGTGTGCCGTCAGGCCTTTCAGCGGTAACTTCGTCTGTGCCGGTATCAAGTAAAGTCATCTTGGACGAGAGAGCAATGTAGTTGATAGCTTCAATGGTCCAAAGGTTGATCCAGTTGTTAAAGTCAACAGTAAGGTCTTCGGGAATGGGGTTGGTGTTTGGCTTGAGAGGTGCGGTACAACGGGTGTCGAAGGCGTCCAAGAGGCGCTGAGTGGTATACTGAACTTTGAACTCCCACTTCTCCAGGTTCCTCGTGGCAAATGCAGCAGAAAGCAGTCTTCTCTTCCTGCTGTGTTCGCCCTTGTCAACTACATCGAAAAGGTTTCGATGAGTTCCAGCAAGTACAGTCTCCTTGTGGTCTTTCGTGCACCTTGTTTGATGACCGTAGATGTCTCTGACTGCTTGTGGATGGTTGAAGGATAATGCGTTGGGACCGATCCTCAGGACAGCTTGTCCACGGCGTTCATGTTCAGCAGCAAGTGTCTCAGAGCGCTTGCCTGTGTGGCTAAGATAGCAGTGGCGTAAATCGGTAAAGGGAGACAGCCATGAGAAGTTTTCGTATTTCCTCAGCCCTTTAGGATCAACAAAGTAGAGGATAACAGGTCGAATAAAAAGTCGAATGAGCAAGGCCGCAACACCGGCCCCGAGTAAAAGAAAGCCTATCATGGTTGCAAATATACTTGGTGTGACGGTGAGTCAAAAACTGAGGCAAGGAAGGGTCGATGTTATATACCCTAAACATTCAACGAAGAGGGCTAAGCACGCCGGTGAGAATTCCGACACAAGCTCATCAACATACGAATCGAAAATCTTCTTATCCCTCCGAGTTGACAAAGCTACTTTGTCTATTACTTGTAGCAGAGAAAATGCCCGCGGAAACTCAGCCTTCGGGCTGCCTGACGAATAAGATGCCGGGTATTCTTTTTTCTGTTGGAGGGATAAATTTCTCTTTTTGGTAATCGAACTAAGACTGCGTGGAACGCGGGGTTGTGGAGAGGCGAAAGATTCGCCCTTGGCCGCAATGGGGAATCTATTCCACGATTGACAGGAGGAGCTCAAATTGGAGCGTGAAAAAGGCCAAGACCTTGAACCAAGAAAAAAACACGTCCTTACCGTAGCTTCTAACGCTTCTTGGCCGGACGATCCAAATGATCGTCAGCCTCAGCTCTAGCGGCTTGGAGAACCAGGAAATGAAACTTGACGAGAATCCCGCGGGATGATTTACCGGAAATGGACTGTTAGAGTCCACTTTGGGTGGCAGAGCAATTGCCTAGCGTTCAATCATGGAATGCGGGGGTGATGCACTGACGAAGGGCATGGATCTTGCCCCAGAATCCCCCCAGATTTTGGGGTGCGGAGAAATGGACCTGCTTTCTAATTTGTTGTCACTGACTCGCTGACCATGCCGAAACCTGACCCGCGGGCTTGGGTAATTACGCTGCCTCCTAAAGAGCGTTATAACCTTAGCCCCCGGGGAGTTTTTAAGCATAACTTGGCATTAGTTGAAATATAAATAAAGCATCGTACGATGCAGATATCTAAAATCAAAAACATCATCTCAACATACTCGAATACCTTTTTTTTTTACTAGCCTTGCTCATTCTTTCTCTTTGATCATTACTTCTACAAGGTTTGTCACCATGGCGGCTGAAACATATTCTCCGACCAAGCTATCAAGTAAAGATGATGGCTCAGTCGAGAATGTAGAACATCCAGCCTCACCAGTTATTCTGGTCGAGGAAGATATTTCCTACGGCCACGGCGGCATCCGTGGTGTTATTGCGTCTCCATATATCTTTGGTGCAGCCTTCCTGGCATCAATGGGAGGCTTCTCCTTCGGATATGACCAGGGCGTTATCTCAATTGTTAACGTTATGGATCAGTTCCACGAAGTCTTTCCTCGTGCCGAAACTGCATTCGGGAAGGGCCTTATGACTGGTATGCTTGAGCTTGGCGCCTTTATTGGATGTCTCTTTATGCCTACCTTGGCCGATAAGATCTCGAGGAAGAAGGCTCTTTCTATTGTGGTTGTCATCTTCAACATTGGTGCTATCATGCAGACAACAGCCAATTCGTATGGTCTTCTTGTCGCTGGGAGAACCATTGGAGGTATTGGTGTCGGAACCCTTGCCATGGTATGAAACAGCCTTTCCCAAAGCTGACAATAGCTAACCAGTATTTTAGGGAGCCCCAATCTATATCTCTGAGATCGCACCACCTAACCTACGAGGAACACTACTTGTCTTGGAGTCTGTATCCTGTGTTCTGGGTGTCGTGGTATCTTTCTGGATTACGTATGCGACACGCAATCTCCCGGGCGAGATTTCTTTCCGTCTACCCTTTGGCCTTCAGATGGTGTGCAGCACTATCCTCGGAATCGGCATCCACTTCTTCCCATACTCTCCACGGTGGCTCGCACTTATAGACCGACCGGACGATGCGCTGAAAAGCTTGGAGCGACTTCGCCGACTACCCAGAACCGACTCTCGTGTTGAGAAAGAGCATATTGGTATCTGCAACGAGGTGACAATCCAGAAGCTTGTACAAGAGAAACGCCACCCGGGCGTGACTGGTCTCAAGCTTGAGTTATCTGGGTGGGCAGACTTGTTCAAGAAGAAGTCGTGGCACCGGACTTCCATCGCCGTTGGAGTCGCCTTCTTTCAGCAGCTCTCTGGCATCAACGCATTTATCTATTACGCGCCGACGCTCTTTGAGTCACTGGGCCAATCAGCAGAGATGTCGTTGATCATGTCTGGAGTCTTTAATATGCTACAGCTTGTCGCAGTTACCGTTTGCTTTTTCATCATCGACAAGGTTGGACGACGCCCGTTAGCCATCTGGGGTGGTATTGGTGGAGGGACTGCATGGGGTATCATGGCCACCCTTGTGGGCGTGTTTAATGGCAAGTGGAGCTCTAACCCAGCCGCTGGTTGGGCTGCTGTGGCTATGGCATTTTGCTTTATTCTCATTTATGGAGTCTCTTATGCTCCTCTTGGCTGGGCGCTCCCTGCAGAGGTATTCCCTAATGCTTCCAGGTCTAAGGGTGTAGCTCTTGCGACGGCGACAGTTTGGCTCTTCAACTTTATCGTGGGTGTTGCAACTCCTCCCATGATCGAGAGCATTGGTTTTGGTGTATATGTATTCTTCGGATCTTGGTGCTTCCTGGCTGGTGCTTGGGCCTTCTTCCTTGTTCCTGAGACCAAGGGCAAGACATTGGAGCAGATGGATGAGGTGTTTGGTGACCACGCTGCGCAGGAAGAAACGATGATCATGAGAAGCCAACTGGGTATGGTTTAAAGCGAGCATGTATGCTATGGCGCTAATATTAAAAGGACTGACTACCTTCTCCTAGGAAGAACTCATGATATAAGTTAGAAGTCTAGTTTGTTATTCTTATCTGGAGATACCACTCCTGCTTGTATCCATTTCAGAGCTTGTGCTACGCAAGAGAGCCTACTTGTGCGGGTAAATGTTGTCACAAAGGCCAAAGCTCTCTGCTATCAAATTTCATGTGAATGATGGTAGCTATCTGCTTATTAAAGAAAACTATTACAAATTGCGCGGGGGTGCCTCGACTTGTGTGGCGACCTCAGACCAGGCTGCAAATGAGACAAGGCCACATATCAAGCAGCTTCTATGCGAGCATGTCATTTATTGCGCTGTGGGACGTGATAGATAAAAATGGAAGCCCTCTTATCACAGCCCCATTCCTCTTCTTAGCTTGCTGTTAGGCTGTCAAGTGGGTGAGGTGCCACACCAGCGGTAATTGTGATTGGCTGCCATAAAGCGAAACAGAGGATTTATACCAATCAATCGCTGGATAAATTACTGCAGTTGGCTTTGAGCAGCTAAATAGTCCGCAAGGACTAAAAATGTTAAATGTCGCCATAGATTGGGTATTTCTTGCCACAGCGGAAATACATAGAAACTGTTCAAGTAGGTATCTCTCTTGATTAACAAAAGAAAATTGGGACTTTAATTTTGCTGATCCAAACAGGTCATGTAATGAAAGAAGTGAATAATTTAACATCTCTAACCCTTGCGGACTGTACTAGATGGCCCAAAGAGCAGAGTGATGGTCTTTCTGGAAATAGAGAGGAGGAGGAGTGGAGTTAATTTGGTAGGCTCCGTGAACCTGAAGCGTCATTTAGCAGGCTGAGAGGACTGATTCCCTATGTGGTATCTAACAGACTGTTGCACGCTGCTGCCTTTTCTTCCATCTTACATTCTTTCTTCTTTTATTCCTTTAACAGCACCAATTTCTAGTTTTTCTTCTCAGAAGCCTTTCTTTTTCTTTCTTATCCCGAAACAGGCAAAAATGACCTTTTTCTGTCAGACAGATATAACTTTGAAAAAGCTTCTAACAAACGGCAAAACAATTAGCTACCTCGCGTTAAACAACTAAGGCCCTGATCGGCGAGGTCTTGTCACCAAGATAAATGTGCTTATGAGGATTAGCACACTGCAGCTTGAATATTTTGGGACCGATTTGGCGCCTAATTTTACACTTTTAGAGTTTCCTCTTCAGGATCGCAATTCTAATGTACTGTTTTAAGGCTAACCCAATCCGGCCAGCGTCAGTCAATCAAAAGCGAGCATTTTGCCCACTTATGCCATTTCCTTAATCCGCTGAAATCGGGGTTTTTAGCTCTTAAATAAATGAGCTTAATGACTCATTGAATCACTGTAGCCACTATCCCCCTGTAAGATGACCACTGTAGTGATGATAGCGGCGCCTAAAGGGGAAGGCGGTGAGAGGTCCCTTATGTCAGCTGATGGCGGTACTTAGCACAGCCATAACAAGCCGTCACATGTATCTTTTTAATGGTCTTCTTAACTCGCCGATCAGGGCCTAAATGCCCGGAAGACACGGCAATTTGTTGCCACAAAACCGGCAGTGGCAATCTCTTCTTCAAAGTAGACGAGCCCTTCCTGGTTCACTCAATATTTATGACTATTCAAGGATAGTAATGACAGCATATTAGAATATAAGTCAATATGTTGAAATTGTTAATTCTTTGAGAGATAACGAGCTTCTTGAGTGGTGTGGATATCCTACTGCGCCTATAATTGTTTCTATAGGGTATGCTAAGGCCTGAAACTAAAAGTCTACACCACCTACCTACTTTAATTGGCTCGTTTCATTATGAATAGCAGCTGCAATCACGTGGACGGTTCAAGTCAAAATGCGGAGTAATGCGACAACCAATCTTGTCATTCCAGAAACCGGCGTCATGCAAAAGAAAATATCGTGAGATTCTCAATTCCCCTGACGTTACCAAAGCTCATCACTCAATAGGTGCAAGCGTTGCCAATACCGCAAGGTTTGTCGAAACACATCCGCTCTGTCCCAATGGCAATGTTAAAACATATATCTCAGCTCAAGTGCTCTAGAACAGAGCCATGCGAGAGCTGTGCTGAAGCAGGCAAGTCTTGTGAGTATCGTGAGCTAGACAAGAAGAAAAGACCAGTCTCGTCAAAGTATGTTGCTGAGCTTGAAGAGCGCAATGTTTATCTGGAGGCCTTGGTTATAAAGATACGCGACCTAGTCCCAGAAGCTAGGGTTGTTCTATCAGAGACATCGGAATTTGGCGAGCTCAGTCTTTTAAGAACAGTTGAAAGTCAACCTTCACCTGCGGTAATCAGTCCTCAACCTGATAATCTAGAACCTGATCTAGAGGGATCGCTTATCTATCACGGTCCGACGAGCATCATCCATGGAAAGCTTCCCCAGGCAAACAGGGCAGCCACTTATGATGGCAACTCGACACTCGATGTAAATCCTGATTCAAATTTTGAGCAGGTTGCACAGCACTTCGGCATTTCGCTGGATAATGATCTAGTTACCAGTGCCCTTATGCACTTCTTCAAGTGGCAATATCCGCAATACATGTTCATCTACCGCGAGGCCTTTTTAAGGGACCATTTTGGTGATCGACAGGCTTGTAAATACTGGTCCTCTGGTTTGCTTCTATCCATTTGTGCCCTGGGGCTATTGATGTCTCCAGATAGTATTCAGCGACGCGCAAGTGAACAATTCTTCAGTGCTGCTGAGACCACGCTGATAGTCTACGGTTTTGCTAGGCCGTCTATTGCCACCGTACAAGCATTCCTCTGCCTTGCATTTTATGAGATAGGTCGGGGAAACATGTCCAAGGGCTGGGGCTTCTCAGGTAAGCAGGATTGGTTGCAACACATTACATGCTGTGAACTGAACATCGATAGGTATCGCTTTTCGGATGGCACAAGACCTTGGCTTCCAGAGAGACCCAAAACAATGGGTATCATGGGATAGATCATTGGCGACACCAGAAGATATAGAGATCAGGAGAAGGATTGTATGGGGATGTTATACATCTGATAAACTGATCAGCCTGACTCTGGGTCGGCCAGTCTACTTCTCACACCACAGCATCAAAGTTGAGAACTTGGAACGCCTGCCGTGAGCGCCGACCATGACTCAAAGATATTGCGCTAACATGAAGCAGAGACTTTCCCGAATTCGAACTCTGGCTGCCTATTGGCTTTGATAGTCAACAGGGAGACTTTGGTGAGACGAAACCACTTGTTCCATGCTTCCAAAAGCAGATCGAGCTATCTAAAATCATAGAGCAGATACTGGGCACATTGTCGTCACTGAAAACGGCTCAAGATAGCCTCATCTATCGGGGGCATCTCGATAAGTTGAACTTGGAATTAAGTCGCTGGGAGATTTCGTTGCCAGAGTGTGCTCAATGGAACAAGTGGGAAACTCCAAGCACCCTGCTCATACCGAGCGTGGCATCACTGCAGTGCGTTGTACTTTCTGCGATGTTGAATTTGGCTTACAGTTGTTTAGTCTACTTTTCCACAGTACTCGCATTGTCACGAACCTTGATGCTGCTATACACGAGTCACACAAGAGTAGAGATTATTGTAACTCATCTGCTCAGGCTATCATCGCCTTGGTTCGCAAATACCGGTCGCAGTATGGGATGCGATTTGCACCATTTGTCCTTATATATAGTTTGGCGCAAGCGTCGCGTTGCATGTATTTGTTCAGTACAGTGGAGGAGGTGACTTAGATTTCCAAGATACTAGGGGAGTGTGAAAGTACTTGGGCTATAGTGCATCAACTGAAGAACTGAACGGGACGAACAATGATGTCTTGGTCAGCGAAGAGCATTAGATCAACAAGTGCAAGACATAACCTTTCATTGGAATTCTAATAATACTGATAAACCCTTTCATTTGCTGCAAATCTGACAAGATTGCATAATCGAGGGCTTACTCCTCCAACCAGTGAAACTCTTTAACATGATGTCTTTGGCAGATGGATTCCCGCTTCAATGCCCGTTCTAAGGATGGTAGCAAGATTCTTGACATCTTGCGTGTTGTTATAGAATCCGAATGAGACCCTGATTCCTAATCGATACGAGGTAACGATGATTCCGTTGTCTCGCAGATGAGGCATCCATCTCTCGTCATGAAGATCTAGAACGTAGAGATGTGGCGCATGTTCCTTGCTGCTATCGGGACCGACAATGCTAATACCCAGACTCTCGCACTCATGCTTTAGTATGTCTCCCAAAGCGTAGAGATGGTTTTCTACCGCCTTTGGATTAAGCACATCAAGATAGAAGCTGAGATATGCCTTTGCAACTACTCCCGAAACGAGACTCAGATTCAGGTGATCATATCGCTGAGCAGACGGATGGTAAACGATAGGGTCCTCAGGAACAAGAAGATCGGCTCGCACGTTGCTCACGGCTCCATATCCAACAATAGGCGGAGTTGGGTCGACATCTCTGATGACATCTGGGTCGACATATAACGCTGCAAGACCTGTGGGACAGTGGAGGCCCTTGTGCAGTGAAAATGCTGCAGCTGAAACACCAAGCGCCTGCACATCAACAGTAGCAAATCCTACTTGTTGGGTGATATCCGCAATGACATGGATACCCTTTGAGCGGAATGTAGAGCAGATATCTGCAACATCGTTCCATTGGCCGCTGTGAAACATAATGGAGCTTAGCCCGACGGCAATTGTTCGGTCATCGACATAAGGAGAAAAGGTCTCAGCATTCGCCGCTTTGACCTTTCCTGCCTTCTTATCAGCTTCGATGGTTGGAACTTGTCGGACCTGCAGACCCGCTGAGCGGAGAGACATCCACTGATACGCGTGGTTGGGATGCTCGCTATCAAGAATAACTACGTTATCGCCCGGTTTGAAGCGCAGGCCGCGAATTATAGATCCAAGTGCTTCTGTCGTGTCGCGTGTAAGGGCGATGTTGGACGGGTCGGTGTTAATGTAGCGTGCGAGGAGCTGACGTACGTCTTTCATGGTTGCTTGCCAGGTCGGTTTGGGCATCGGGTTATACAGTGCCTCAGAAGCGTATCTGGTGATAGCTTCATGGACGATGATATTAGAAGGGGGAGCGAAGGAGGCATTGAGATAGGTGACAGTTCCTTCGCTGACCAAGGGAACGAAACGGCGGAAGGTAGATATATCATTGTTGGCAATGATGGAATTTTCAGGCTCTGCTGATGCCGCCCTACCATTGGTATGCACAGGGGCACCAATGGAGGTTTCAGAAACGTTGGCGGAGGGCATGACAAAGTTTAGGTGAGATGTAGAATCAATTGGAGAGTTAATAATTTAGCTGGGTTGGGTAGTACTCGTTCTGTAGCCCTGCTATTTGTAGCCCCTATCCTGTTCATTGATCGGACAGTCAGCCCGGATGACCCCACCCGCCGTTGTAGTTCTTATCAACTCAATGGAGGTCCAATTCCATGTTTAATCGTACTTTTTTCATGGCAAGAAGTATATGTGGAGTGTCAAGCCCGTCGTCAATATGCCATGAATCATAAGGTTCCGAGATCCGGGGTGGAGAACGGAGTTGGACCTCCATGTGGATCTTTGGCTAGGACTAGGGATAAGATAAGCACAAGCTAGCCTGCATATTATCATCATATCGACATTTTCCCCGCAAAGTTCCCCGCGAGATAACAGCCCCTTGTCTGCCGTATCAGGGCTGGCGACTTTTTAAGTTGTGCATGGTTATCTGCTATCTCTTGCGGCTAACTGGAAATTATCATCGCGTTAGAAAAAAAGTTAGTGTACGAGACATAGGTGCAAGATAAAGACGGCGACATCCCAAGTATAAAATTGAACCGTCGACTGGAGATGATCACAACCATTCCAGTATCTGTATCACTCTTCACATCTACCCTGATTTTGTTCATTATTTTTTGATATTACAATGTCATCAGAAAAGTGGCAGAAAGAGGATGCAGCCCTAGCCTCAGCATTAGAGCCAGCAATGGCAACCGACGAAGGCACTGTATCACCACAACAAGACCACCTTCGTCGCGAATTCAAAGCCCGTCATGTCTCCATGATTGCTGTCGCCGGAGCCATTGGCACTGGCCTCATCATCGGGACAGGGACAGCCTTGGTTCGCGGAGGACCTGCTAATCTTCTCATCGCATACTGTCTTGTTGGGGCTGTAGTATTCTTTGTCATGACTGCTCTGGGAGAAATGGCTATTATGTTCCCTATGGACAAGGGATTTGGTGGCTATGCTACACGATTCGTGGATCCAGCGTTTGGGTATGTCAAATTGCATTCTTAGGTGGCCTCCGCTCTTGCTGACAGCAACGTAACAGCTATGCTACGGGGTGGAATTATTTCTTTAAGTATGCCATCGTTCTGCCGAACAACCTCACTGCAGCGGGCATAATCATTCAATATTGGCGACCAGATCTTAATGTCGCCATTTTCGTCACGGTATTCTTAGTGGTGATCATCTTGGTCAACGTAACCCGTCCTCTTCCAAACAGCTATCGCGGCGGTACACTGACTTTATTCTAGCTTCTTCACGTCTCCTTCTTTGGTGAAGCTGAATTCTGGATGTCCTGCGTAAAGCTTCTCGTCATGACAACACTCATCCTTACATGTTTCGTCATCTCCATGGGCGGCCAACCTTCAGGAAAACGAATTGGCTTTTCATACTGGAACGATCCCGGTGCTTTCGGCGAATACTTGATAGAAGGGCCCAAAGGCCACCTACTCGGGTTCTGGGCAGCCATCGTCCAGTCGACCTTTGCCTACACCGGTACAGAAGTGGTGGGCGTTGCATTCGGCGAAGCGCCAAACCCTAAGAAGACAATTCGAACAGCCATCCGTCAAACTCTCTGGCGCATTGTCTTCTTCTACATCATTGGAGCTGTAGTGCTGGGCATGGCTGTGCCTTATACCAGCGATCAGCTTATCGGAGGCACCAAGCAAAAGACGGGTGCTGGTGCTAGTCCCTTTGTCATCGCCGTGCAACTTGCGGATATTCCTCACTTCCCCGATGTTATCAATGCATGCCTTTTGGTCTTTGTTCTCAGCGCCGCAAATTCGGACATCTACATCGGCTCTCGCGTGCTCTTTGGGCTCTCCCATGATCGCCAGGCTCCAGCTATCTTCGGCCGGACTACCGCAAGTGGAGTTCCGCTGGCTGGTGTGATTTTCACCAGTTTCTTTGCTTCACTCGCGTACATGAATGCCTCCCAAAGCTCATCGCAAGTATTTGGATACTTGGTCAGTCTTGTGACTGTTTTTGGGGCCCTCAACTGGGTCAATATTCTCGTCACTTACATACGATTCACGCGCGGCTTGCGAGCACAGGGTATAAAAAGAAGCTCAATGCCTTATCGTAGCATGCTACAGCCCTACGGTGCTTACTTTTCTCTCTCTTTAACTATTCTGATAATTATCTTTAATGGTAAGTTCCATCTCCCTAACAATAAACAGCACTGATCGACATCTCTAGGATATGGCGCGTTTATTCCCGAGTTCTCTATTTCCAAGTTCCTTACTTCGTATATTGGCGTTGTGGTATATTTAGGAAATATTACCTTTTTTATGGTTTGGAAACACACACAGCGCGTGCCGCTGCCAGAGATGGACTTGATAACTGGACGCCTTACAGACTTTTAAAGGTCCTTATAACTCCACTACAACTGCTTTCAGAAAGCGTAAAGGATATACCACTATCTAAAGTTAATTTATGTTTGAGATGTTATATGTTTACCTTTCCAGTTCCACCTCATCTATAACGGCAACACCAGAACTATAGACGTGACTAATCCCACATCGAACATGAGGTAGGCGAGAGTTCTTCCTAATTTGTAGGATATCACCTAAGCAGTCGAAGCTGAGCACAGACTACGACATAGTCTTCAATCGGGTCATTATTTGCGTATGAAGCCTGTTGCTCCGCGCTGCTCCAGACGTCTTTCATAGTCCTCCGCCTACTTGCCATCGTCATCTCATCCATCTGCCTGGGAACCTGGGATTTCACACCCTCTGCCTGACTCTAGTAAAGATATAATATTATTTCTACTTTGGTCCTTTCACATTAAATCGCCATTTCATGTACCGTTCAGAAGTATAAGAGCTTAATTGAAACGAGGCCTTAAAGAGCATCGGAAGAACGTAATCTAGTCTAGCAGCTCAAATTCTCATACTAGTGAGGTCCAAGTCCTGGCTCCCCTTTCACAGGAGGTTGCAATACAACGTCATCGTAGTTATTCACATAACCATGATGCGGCCGATCAACAAATTAGCAGTTGCTTCTGCCAACAATAACGTTGTATCTGTCAGTATCGAACTGCTGGCCCCGAACGAACCATGCAGTCCAACTAGGAGCGCAAGGCCTGACTGTACAAGGCGGGCTGCTGGTCAAGGACTGGCAGCTCGAAATAATGCGATCAACGTAATCAGCAAGGTAGCTGCACCTGGGTTGAATGTAGTGGCTGTTATCGTTGCAAAGCCAAATAGCATCGCCATAAGAACAAGAGACGCGAGCGCACTTGCCAGGCCCACCATCCACACCGCATACACTGGTCCCCAAGGAGCGAAGGTATCTTTGCTCGCGTCGGGCCGCTTCTACATCGACATAACCGGTTCCGCCGACATTACAAATGATGTTGGACTAGATGATTGGTTAGAATATATAGCCAGAAAGAATAGGAATAAAGATATCTCTTACAGGGTTGCGCTTGTCAATCTCGGATGTCTCGGCGGTGTCGTCTTCCACCAACTCGAACTCCGGGTTAAGCTCCTGGATCTGGGAGATGATCGACTGACACTTGGTGTTAGTATGGTTATAGACAGCTAAAGGGGTTTGCAGATTTCTTACCTCGATGGTACCATTCAGGGAGACAGGAGCCTCTCCCTCCTTGATAACACCTTTCCATTGCATAGGAACGATTTCGTAACCCTCCAGAGGGTCAGAGACCACCTGGCCACCGTCGGGAAGAGCCTAAGAGAGTCAGCACACTGTTGATTATCTTTCTCACTAGACTGGGCAGTGAAATTTACCGCAGCAGCGACAGTCACTGCGGCGCAGTGAAGAACGATTGCGGACACAGCCTTCATCTTGAGTATTTGTTGATTTGGAGAGAAGTGGTTGAGGATTGGGTTGTCGATGGAGCTGTCGAATGCAAACCAAAGGGAGAAAAGGTCTGGACTTTATAGTTTTCGCAGGTCTCTGCTCTCGAAGGTATCTGACCTGCACCTTCCTTTCCTGTGTATATTCGTGGCCAGCATGACCTAAGCTCAGGTCTGCCAAGGACCCCGGATGGCTCGTATACTTCGTATCGAGGGGGTATTACCCGACTCTAGCAACCATAGATGAAAAGTTTACGAATGAGGCGGAACTTTTACAAGAGTCTGCAGTGTCATAGTCCTATTGGTTAGCCAAGTATATCCCCGCCCCCAACGAAAAGGTCCTTTGTGCGCTTGTATCTACAAGCGAGAAGCGCTTGAATCCTTCGAAGCACGGCAGATCCACTCGTAGGATTCTACCGCTGTTAAGGGGCGTAATAGAGCCAGTCCCTGCGCGCGCACGGACAGCATGACAGCTGACCGGTGCTTGGCAGGAAATGTGAAGTAAAGCCAAATTACTGTCGTGGCCTAGACTCTTATACTCTGTGTGAGAGTATAACACTTGTGGGCATGACCGAAGCGTTCTCGGGCTCTGTGTACGTTTAAGGAACTGGGGGTCGTGAATAAGCGTATCAGTGCAAAAGAACCATAAACTAACCTTAATTGATCCTTAATCTGAGCAGCTGGGGTGCGGAATCTAGGCCCTTTACGCGGAGTAAATCCCTCGTAAATTCCCCGGCCTTATCCGTACAGCAAGCAGCCTTTCCTCTTGGCGAACTCGTATACAGACAAATCAACTTTCTTGCATCTGCATCTTGGCGCTTAGTATTTGATTCTTCTCAAGTATACGCTGTGCTCTTTAGAGACAACAATTACCCGCGGTTAATTAGGGCTGGGAAACGGAGACTCCCGATTGGTAATCGTAAAATATTAATCCATGTCCTCTTATAATGTGGGTCGGTTCCGATGGTACCTAGTCTGCTATATCGACGTATCTAATTTATTGCGCCCCGTGAGCCATTTTTAGTGATTTAAGGCCTTCGATTGGCGTATAATGGTTTAGAGGTCTGGCATTCACGCTGGAAAGCAGAGTTCCGGTGAGAAAAAGGACCCACAGGGCGTAATAAATTTGCTGAGGCACAGCCATAATGACATGAAGTACCCCAAGGTCATAGGCTTGTATAGCCGTAGCACCCCCAAGTTGTAGTCGCCCATCCCCAAAAAGGCTGTCATGATGTGGGATGGCATCTGCCATGTCGGATTCCTCAGATTCCCCACGTAAACCTTGCTGATGGAGTAGCTTACATCTAGGAATAAGATCCCGCAAGAAAGCGGTTTGAGAAGTGCACGGAAGTCGGTACTTAATAACATTGTCAACCGAGTGGTAGCTACCAAGAGGATGAGGCACACCATGAATAGTGACGGTTGTAGCAGATTAAATGTAGTGTTAGAAGATAAGCAGTTGTCTCTATTTCTACAACAATTTGCAGCCATTTCTGGCCTAGAGCCACTTCTAGACTTGTCTTAGCGAAACGCATCTAGGATTGCAGCCGCGATAAGGGGAGTAAGACTGGTGGCTTTCAAGCAAGGCCCTAGGAATGAGTGAATGATGATCTTCATACTTTTGTATTAAGTTGAATCAGAATGTTATAGCACTGAACGGGTTAAAAATAACAGAATAAAAACTCTGCAGCGAGTTTGGTGAGGAGCAAACTACCACTATAATTATGACCTTGCATTGCTGATGGTACATGCAAGCCAACACGCTCTCAATAGATTTAACCACTTAAAAGTAATTTAAGTAGATATTACTTAAATTGGATATTGTAACGTTTTAATTATTGTGATTTTGTATTGCTATTTATTTGATATCCATTAACTACGTGGCCTGCGTATAGGGTAGGCGTATTCTGCTTAGGTGAAAGATAAAGAGATATGCTATCCTGCTTCATCTTATCTTATGTCCCGATCACGTGCCTGTTAAGTGAAATTTATAAAATCCAATTAATCCTGTTTAAAACTAATTCTTAAGGTTACTAATTAAATTCTAAGAAATCAAGTTTAACTTTTAAGATATAAGGAAGCCTAGTTTTAAAAACTAGAGATGTAGAGCCAGACCTAGTGTTAAAGCATTTTACGGACAAGCTGTTTTCTTTATCGTTTTGATTTACCAAGTGATGCATGGGGGTATCCCCATTGCAGAAGACCCGGATTAACACGATAGTCCGGACCCGTGGGAGGTCCCAGCTTAGTGGTACGCCCATAAGGGCACCACCAAGGCTAGGCTAATTGAAAAGAATCATGCCTCCATACGGAGTAGAATACCCTCATTTGCACTCTTGCTTGTGAACGGTATCACCAAGGTACTAAGTTCTGGTTCTTAAGTCCACCGACCACTTTCGTTCCAACTTTAACAAATACTATTTATCTTGGCTATATGTATTCAATTCCCCATCCCCTCCTGGGCTGATTTTCCTAGGCTACTTAGCTAACAATTCTTTTTCAGAGTTCGTATCATAGCGACTGTACCAATCATTGTTTAACTACTCACGGGCCTTGATACCCTACAGCCTAGTATTTCCGTCAAATCAGGTACGTTCACACCATTCTTTTGTTGCAAAATTCCCGCGTTGTTAATATTGAATAGGTACCAAACGCTGTCGTGTCTGCCCCAGCATCATCGACGATGAATAGTATCTCTTTGTTGACACCGCCGGGTTTGGCGACCCGGATCGACATGAAATTGAGACTTTCAAAGATTCAGTGAGTTCGCTGATTGCTTTTGGATCTTTCATTGAAGTGGTGGGAGTTCTCTACGTCACGGGGAATCCAGGAACCCGACTGGACCAACAAGACGCCAAGACCCGGACTTCTTCCGAAATGTCACAATTATGACAAGCTTCTGGGACTCACATGGCACTTCTTCATTCAAACAAGCGTATCCTCGAATGCAAAGCTTATACGAGGATCAGATTTTCGACCAGCTTTTAAACCCAGTAACCGACGAAAGGCGCTACCAATGAGCACTCATTTACCATCATAGAGTCATAGGAGGAAGTCTTACCCTTGAGTCTTATCACGGACTGGACTATGATGAGCATAGAGAGGAACGCTGCGAAGAACTTCGGAACATGATTCGGCGCCACTGTGCAGAGCGTCGGTACAAACCTACCAAGCTCCAGTTCATGCGGGAAGTAGAGGAGGGTGTGCCTATTCTAGAAACAGAAGCTGCTAAGGTTCTGCGTGCCCCACCTGTTGGTATTACCATTAACATTAGAAAGGGCAGATGCATGCTGGACGCTGCACCAACTGTACAGGAAGCCCCCCGCCTGGTCTATGGACAGACGCCCAAGGTCACAGAGGCATCTTGGAAAGAAACTATGCTCGAGTGGTGGAGTGTTGTCGTCGAGGCAGTCGGGATCTTCGATGAGGCTCGTAAGAAATAAGCCTACGTTTCTACAACTGGACTGACTGGAATATTTCAGGGTATTCGTAACTGGTGGAATCGTTCCACAACGGCTGGCTAGTTATAATGCCATGTTGTGTTGAAAAAATGAGAAGTGAGTCAAGGAAATATTTACGTACGACAAGAGAATGGTTATTATTCACATCGTTTCAGTCGTTACCGAAATTAAGTGCAAATGTTACTTAATACACGAGAAATGAAATGTAAACACCATAAATCATGATAATACTGCACTCCAGGCTCTTCCCAAGCGGGGCTTTTTTTTAAAAGGAGGAAAGTCCAAGTAAAGTGAGACGACAATTGCTTTTCTTGAAAAACAGCATCACCGTAAAGAACACGGTATGTTCATTATGCATTCTTTAGTGAAAGGTCTGGTAAGCCACGGGGCGCTTAAGCTGCCATACACAGTAACCTATGTGGCAAACCCCTCATTCGGTGACCTAGTATTGGCCGATCTAGGACGGCGGCCTCTTGTGGCTGCCATGGTTGACACAATGTCTCAAAGGGCTAGAATTACAGCTACGAATTACGTCACATACTGCAAAACATCTAAACATCATTCACTTAACTGATTAAACTCTTCATTTTAACCTGCAGTTACCCCACTGACCTATCTTCTCATCCTTTCTCATCCCACTCCTTGTCTCGGCTACTCAAATTCATGGATACTCGCCTAACCACACCACATTTAATACTAAATTGAGATACAGAAACAATAATGTCCATTCCTCAAGATTCCTCATCACCTGCGGCCAGGCTCTTGATCCAAATGTCTGGTGCGCCTGGCTCTGGTAAAAGTACGGTAGCGAGACTGCTTAGGCCAAGCATTCACGGTATTGTCATCGACCACGATGTGCTGAGATCAGCCCTCCTCGAATCAGGCATTGTTTCGTTTGATCAGGCGGCGAAGCAAGCCTACCGCCTCCAGTGGGCGCAGGCTCAAGACTTTATGAGCCAAGGTGTCGGCAGCGTCATCATCGATAGCACCTGCAACTACCCTGAGGTGCTTCAGCAAGGCATTTCTCTGGCAGCCTGCCATGGTTACACCTACTGGTATGTCGAGTGCAAGGTGAACGATGTCGACCTGTTGGATCGCCGGATGCGTGCCCGTCAACCCATGGCGAGCCAGCGATCCACCGTCGACAGTCCCCCTGCCGCTGCACAGGGAAATGGTGCTCGCGTGGGCGAGGACGCCAGGGCTCTTTTCGCCAGATGGATAGAGAGACCATGCCGTCCTGACAACGATAGTTGCGTTATCATTGTCGACTCGGCGGCCAGTTTGGAGAATGTTCGCGAGCAGATCTTGAAGAGACTTTCTCAAGCACCAATTGCACTTTGGCAGGGTCCCATCATATCGGATATGTGTAGTCTCGCCGTCAGTCTCTGCACTCGTCTAATCTCACCGCCGCTCCATACTGACATGTGCTCTTTCTGTGACAAGAGTATCTATGGGGGCATGTTTTAATTGAGGTGGTCCAACCTTGGTGGTGCCCTCGTTGGTACACTGCCAAGGACGGATCAGCGGTGCCTGAATACATCACAAATGTACGGCAGCCTGCATGACGGCCGCCCCAATAAGAATTCATCGGGCGCACATCCCCCACTGTCCTACCTGCGCTGTTCGAGCATAAAATATTGATGTGTCACATAAGCCACCTCTAATTTTACCTTCCCTTTCACTCTACACGAGTTCTGTGTCTATTCTGCAGAAATCTTTATTCTTGTAGAAATTGCTTTAGAATATTCGCCTTAGTTATGTATTACCAAGGGAAAAACTACATAATAGAAAATCTGTTTTTTTCAAGTTGTAATAGCGGAGGGTCGCAGGGTCGTCATTGTAGTTAATTAACGGACGGTCGGACGGTCATGCCGCACGCTCATTGGCTAGTTGCAGATTTACTGACCGTCCGCGTACGGAGCATTGTAAATCACCGATAGGTATATATAGCAATCCGATATCTTGCTGAACTATTCAATTTTACTCCACGCTCGTCCTCACATTCAACTTGTACGGATCTATGAATATTATCTATCACTTAGCCCTCACTTGTTCTCAGCTACCTCAACTCCATTCGTCAGTCTTAAGCATTGCATCGGTTGAAATTTCGCGATGCTACCCCCAGAGAATACCCCGACCAATGTGGTCTATCCAACAGGCAAAAGATTTGTTCTACTGATGATTGCCCTTTACATCAGCATGTTCCTCGTGGCATTGGTATGTCCTAGCATGCACTTCCACCAGATGATATATCCTTATAGGCTAATTCTCTTCTCTACAGGACAAACTCATCATATCAACTGCTATTCCCGCTATTACAAATGACTTTCACGCCGCTGACGATATTGGCTGGTACGGCACAGCCTATCTACTCACCAACTGCGCCTTCTTGCTAGTGTTCGGCAAGCTGTATACTATCCTGGATATGAAGATGACATTCATAACTGCTGTCATTCTCTTTGAAGTGGGATCAGCTATCTGTGGCGCCGCCCCTAACTCGATCACGTTCATTGTCGGCCGGGCCATTGCGGGCTTGGGAGGTGGAGGTACTCAGTCTGGTATTGTAAGTCCTCGCTGTTCCCAAGTATCGAGCTATAACTTACATCTCGATGAAGCTCGTCATCATTGTCTATGCCGTCCCGCTTGCCAAAAGGCCCCGCTACCAAGGCCTTTTTGGTGCTGTCTTTGGTATCGCTTCGGCCATTGGCCCCGTCATTGGCGGTGCCTTCACTAGTCATGTTTCTTGGAGATGGTGCTTCTATATCAACCTTCCCTTGGGTGGCCTTGTCTTAGTATTCGTCTTCTTTTTCCTTCACATCCCAAGTCAGTCTTCTACAGACAATGATCTCAAGTACAAGCTCAAACAACTTAACGGCCTGGGATTGATCGCTCTCATTCCTGGAGTCGTTTGTCTGTGCCTGGCCCTGCAATGGGGTGGCTTCGTGTACGGTGTAAGTGCTTTACCCTGAATCTGACGGTCAGCTTGACTGATAACTTCCAGTGGAATAACAGCCGTATCATAGCCTTACTCGTGGTCGCTTTCATTCTCTTGATCGCCTTCGTCTTGATTCAAATCTGGAAGCCTGAACAAGCTACCTTACCACCTCACATCTTTATACAACGCAGTATCTATAGTGGATTCTGGGTGAGCTTTTGCGTTGGCGCTCATCAAACAATCTTGATATACTTCCTCCCCATTTGGTTCCAGGTCATCAAGGGCGATTCCGCTATTAACAGCGGTATCCATCTTCTTGCTATGGTTCTTGCTCTTGTCGTCGGATCCATCCTAAGCGGCGTTCTCACAACTCGCATTGGATATTACATGCCCTTCCTAATCGCTGGAATTTGTATCTCATCTATTGGAGCTGGCCTCTTGACAACTCTCAGCATAAACGCTTCGGAAGGCCAATGGATCGGTTATCAAGTCCTGTACGGTTTCGGCCTGGGTGCTTGTATGCAGGCGCCCAACATGGCAGCGCAAACAGTGTTGCCACGCAATCAAGTTTCGATTGGTGCTTCACTAATGATCTTTGCTCAAACACTTTCTGGTGCTATATTTATTTCTGTCGGGCAAAGTGTCCTAGACGGAGAGTTGGCCAAGCGTCTCTCGGCCTTCATGAATGTCACTCCCAAACAAATCGAGGCTAGTGGTGTCACAGGCCTCTTGAGATCTGTCCCCAAAAGGTTCCACGCCGAGGCTCTGAAAGCCTACAACGATTCACTACATGTGTGTTTCCGCGTTGCTCTCATCATGACTTGCCTCGCTATTCTGGGTGCTTTGGTTATGGAATGGCGTAGTGTCAAGAAGGAGGCGGATGAGAAGACAGAAGTTAGCGATGCTGATGAGAAGGAATCTGTTGTAGAAGTTGTTGGTGTTTAGGAAGACAAGCTGTTACATTAAGTTTCTGCTCGGCAATGATAATAGAGAGTCTGAGATGGCGTCGGGAATCCTTCCCTATTTTATTAATTTCTGGTTATCCTGATGGCTTGTCTGGTCCTTCGTCGTGTTGTCCTGACCCACCACTTAGTGAGGGGCTTTCCATCTACTTTGGTGGATGTATTTCCATCTTGCAATCTCTAAACATAACCGAAAGTTGCCGATTCCGGTCTGGTCACCCCGGGATGGTCAAACCTGAGGACTTGCGTTCTCTCCTACTGCTTTGTCCGTGACAGCATATTAAAACAGCTTCCAATTTTCTAGATGTTGCAGCATATACTCTATGCTAACATCATTGAGAGACTTGTAAAGCCTGGGCTTAACAAAGTTAGAGGTTAAATCGAAAGAAGATTAAGAGTAGTAAGATAAATAGGGTAACTACAGTTCTGCCCTAAGGTTCCGACAATAAGACCACTAGAGATGGATTATAAGAGAAATGAATAGATAAATAAACTATAGTATAGTTAGAAGACCTGGTATATAATCCTGGGGTAAGATGAAATAGCATTATCTAAAATATTATATACTTTATTATGTTTATACAATCTTATTTAAAATCTCAACTGAAGTAAATTGTAGTACAACCACTGTAGCAGTAATTAGCATCACACAAAAACATGGACTTTAATTGCTTTTATCTAATAATACTTATCTAACTTGGCTTTTGATAAGTAAAGAGGACATATCTTATCTATATCTTGATATGGCAGATTGGCATAGGCATAGATAATGAAAGCGAGGATAAAGGCTCGAACTTTATCGCCGTCTATCGCCACAGTGACTAGAACTCTAGTGCTTTCGACATTCGTGGCGTATAATTCACTTTTGCTGTGAGCAGGCAGGGCAGCGATCGGCAATCAAAAGTGAAAAATAAGACTACGTCAAATCTTAGATATTTGTCGGTGATGATATATGAAATTCCACTACTACCATGGCTGTAGAGCTAAATCTTGATTCTTTCCTAGTCTTGGCAAAAGTAGTATTACTAATTAGGAAACCTCTGAGCCTTCAAGCTAGCCACTTGAAATCTATATCTCTAAAGCCTGTATCATGTGTAACTTGAGAATATGTTTAACTCTTGGCATTAAGAGGTGGAACTGATAAATCAGAGGTAACTGTATCAGCCCATGAAGTCACCTAAAATGCTATTCACCGTAGCCATATCATCTTCGACGGAGAAAAAGGAAGGATCCAAGGCCATTGTCTGCCCGAATGTGTTATCGAAAGTCTCAAAATAGTTTTCCAGGGGCGGAACTAATGGGAAGTCAAACAATTCACCTAATCACATCAGCAAGCAAATCAAATGTTGGATAACAGAGGGACTTGTTACCAGATGGAGGTGCCAAGATCGGTACAGAACTCTTTCGGTCTTGCTCTAACATGACCGCGATCGATTTGGCTGCTCTCTGAGCCTCGATGGATCCATCTGATTTCTTCTCCCAGACATCCTTGGCAGCGATCAAAGCCTCAAGGATATCATCTCGTCTGTGAAGAGCGCGTTTCGCATCGGATCTACTCAATGCAAAGCAAAGCATCATGGTGGCCTGTAAGAACTCATGATTAAGCGGTGCGGCGACCCTCCAGCGAATGCCATACATAAGACCTCCGGGCTGGGTCTCCTCATTCATGCGTCGTTGATGGTCCAGGATCGCTAGAGCAGCCTTGATGCAAACCTCATGTGATCTGGAGATTTCCTCTCCAGATGAGCCATTCACGAAACTATGTCGGTGAAGGAGGTATATGGCTTTGTGGATGATGATGTCAAGCATCATCCGTTGAAGTATGGTGGAAGGACTATCCGCAATCGATTCTTCGAGAGACTTTGGTTTGAGCCACTCCGGCAAGATATCAACAGCATGTTCAAGCTTGGATTCCAGCTCGATGATAACTGCAGATGATGGTGGTCCTGTTTCCGTCGTGTCGTATATCTCACCTGCCACTTTGATGACCCAATGCCTGTGGATGTTGAACGCCAGCATGGAAGGATTGGTTGATGATCTCTCCGGCGGAAGAATGTTCTCCTCAAAGCTAATGTCGCTATCCAGTAGGTACGAAGGCGGACGCGCATCGCATTGCGAGTCCTTGATAATGCGTGGCAGTCCAACTTGGGTGCTGGTGAAGAAATCCATACTATACAAGGCCATCCAGACTCGTCGTCGAAGCTCAGCCTGCAAAGGTCGGATATTTGGCCAGTGGGATGGGTCGCGATGCAAACCCATGCGCATAGCCACTCTGACAACGACACCCAAAAGAACCCAGTTTTCGATATTGGTATCGACATTGACTTCCTGATCGATAGCAAAATGCAGCATCAGCGTTTCTACCGTATATCTGCTCGAGCGGAGATAATTCCCGGAGACCAAGCAGTGGATGGTGAGACCCCGATATGTCTCGAGTGTAGCTTGAGATTCTGCAGCGGACAAGCCATGAGCACCAAGATCCTGCTTCTGAAGAAACAAGGACATGCTCATGATGGCGAACAATAATCCCACCCAGATGATGGGAACGGCTGAGGGGTTTGCCCAGAAGTTTGCATACTACAGACATAATCAGTAAGTAGAGTATCAACTGCCCGTGACGCCCTAACCTCTGAGATGAATTTACCTCGATGTAGAACAACTAATTTACAAAGATCTAGTCAGCGATTGGCGACACGATGGAACCGAGACCTACTCGAGTCGAAATTATTAAAAAACTGTGAGACAAATCTATCAACCACTTTGCGAGGAGGTACCTGTGCTAGGATTTGCTCTGTTGGTAGGCATTCGATACTGGCAAGAAGAGATATCCTTGGAGGTGGCAGTTGATGCATTGAACCCCTATCGAACGACAGCGACACTTCAGTGTTGTTGTCTGGGAATTCGTCCGCGAGGTCATCTCTAAGTTGTTGAATCTAGATAAGATGTATTACTCAAGTGTTTCTATTAAGTGCCCTCATTGTACCTACGTCTTCTAAGATTGTGGCCCAGTGGGAGCTGCCAGTATAGACGGCCTGATCACCCGTGAGACTTAGATTGCCCATGTTAGTAGTTGCTGAGTCGTTTGACACAGTAAGTACAGGCGCGGGACTTTTGATGTTTTCTGACGGCACTGTACTGTTCAATGGCTGATTTGAGCTCTCAGTCTTGTCTCTTAGCTCCGTCACTAAGTTCTCAAGGCGGGTGATCCTTTGGCGGGCCTTTTGTGTCCTATTATGAGGCCTGTAGTCGATAGCATCTTTGCGCTCTTGCTCAGAACAGGTAAATGTGCATTCTGCAGGTTTGCCATGTCGCGTACAGGCGCCGCAAGGAGACTGTCTATCGCATCGAAGCCTGCCAAAATGTCAATAGTCAGGTCGGGTTGTGGTGTCACATGGTTCGTACTCACTTGCGCCCCCGACAAAATATACAGCTTAGTATCGGCTTTTCACGCTTTCGGCCATGAGACGCTGATTGCGTTCGAAGGTTTTCCATAGGCCAAGGTGGTCAGCCAAAGTTTGATCTGACAAAGTTGTACAAACTAACGTAAAGTAAGAGCGGGGTTATTTATTTTTATCTTCGATTTTAGTAAGCTGCTAGCCACACGTGATCCGCTCACTGATGATTTCTTTATCGTGAGCCTGATAGAAGACGGTGTCGCTGATTTCAATAGTAGCTATATTACTAAGTTTCTCGGTAATATTACTATTAAATTACTATTAGTTACTTTTATTATCTTATTAGCTTACTATATAGAAGGTCTATTAAGTTATATAACCTTGGTTAATTAAATATAGTAGCTTCTTCTTTTATAACTAAAGTGGCTTTATTTATCCTTAGGACTTTTCAACCTTCAGTATAAAACTCTATCTCGTAATATATATAAATTTTATTCTTAAAGAGGGAAAAGTGGCCTTAGTAGTTCTTATAGGGGTTTTTATACTATTAAGAAATAGAATTATAGCTAATATAATAGGTAACCTTATTAGATTTAAGATCTTATTACTTTTCGGTTTATATAGAGGCCTCTATTACTAATATTTCTACAGGTTTAATTAGAATACTTAGATCTTTTTTTAAAGGTATTACTAGACTTAATATAAATATAAGTTATTTATATATTCACTTAAATAGAGTTTAGCTACTATATTTAACCTTTACTACCTCAATTATATTATGTTTTATCCTTAAAGCGAGGTAATTTTTATAATTAATATTTTTAAGAGATTTAAAAAGTCTAGGCTTAATAAAATTAAACGTTGAATTGAAAATTCTTTTTTATAATTATTATTATAAATAAAAAGATTTAGTAATTAAAAAACTTTTAAGTTAAAAATAGTAAGTATAATCTTAGTTTCTTAACTTATAGGTTTTATATCAATTTTAATAGTATATTATTGTATATTATTTTATTTTTCACAAGATAGATAGAGAGTCCATAGTGCCCTAGTAATAATAGTCATGTTAATATTGTCGACTCGACGGCCAGCTTGGAGAAGCTTTGCGAGCAGATCTTGAACAGACTCTCCTAAAGCTGTTAAAGCAAATCAGACCATTCTCTACTTTACCTAGTCGAATTTTGTTGGAACTGCTGATAGAATTGAACCTTGACCTATCAGCTAGACTGACAGTCCATAAACGATAGCGCAGTCATTGATATCTATTCAGGCTATATTGAGTTGGTACCTGCACGTGTATGGCCATCTTACTCCGACACCTGGGAACATCAAGCCATAAACTCCTGGCTTAGCAAGTCAAGTGGGCGGCGGGGACGTTAGTCGACTTGTCATGAATGATAGCCACAAGAACCGGATCAGTTGAAACATAGGCCCAACCTGATCTGGTAGAGCTGCAATCCCGTAGTACCAGGGCCAAGAACTGCTGAAGATCACCCGTTGTGAAGGTGCCGTCCTGGCAGTTGTCCTTGAAAGGCACATATTAGTTGAAAGACTTGGGCAGCCGCTGAAAGCATGAACTCGTACCTGGTTGCGAACAATAATCTCGACTCTGTTATAGCCACCAGAAGTAGGTCCAGACCATCTCCAGCTTGAGTGAGCTACGTATATTCAGTCAATAATGCTCGACTCTGAAGATAACGGAAGTCGCGTACCTCCAACAGTTCGTTGAGAACGCGGATCCCATTGGGCAATCTGGTCGAAAACAAGACCAACATCAGATTTGTACTTGGTGATGGTTCGTGGGGCTACTCCGTCATGGCCGAGACATAGCCCGAATTGGACTCGCTTGTTCAATCCATGGTTTGGTGAAGTGTGCTCGGAAAACAAAGTTTCGCTCTCAGCTGGCGCGATTTCATTCTCAGGAATCTGGGATATTTCGCCCATGACGCCAATGTCCGTCAGCTTTGCATCGTGCTGATTGGGAAGTGCGGTAGCAAAGCCACGGGCGGCTATGAGCACATGAATGATAACAGTCGAGGGATGCATCTTAACGTCTGACAATGGAATGATAAAGGAAAAGCCCTATGGGAATTGCAACGCTTTATACCTGATTTATTAGATGCACTTCCTGTTCCGCTGCTGGGGTTATACGAAGAATGTAAGCAGTCTGCATGCTCCAAGTGGATACTTTGTAATGCTTATCAACACTGTCTACTAGATCTAGTGAGCGAATATAAAGCCTTTAACCTTCCTATTCGATAAAAATTTCTTTTAGACCTTGCAAATAAGAGTGTACCTTGAGAAGCGCTTTGTACTATCGTAATCGCTCTAATAATTACTGGACCGAGGTTCTTAACATTATTAAACGCTGGCGGGTAAAGAACCAAATCCCTTAGCGTAACTCCACTGCTTGAATGTGGAGAGCTTTGTATCTATTGGTCTAGGATCAATGATATTATTACAAAGCGACCAAGCCAGAGCTGACAAAGATTGTGTTCCGCTTCTATTGATACAACAACTTCAGTCATCAAGCTTCCCTGACCTACCTGAGACATGGAAGATTACTATCATCGAATACGTAGCTGCTAAAACCGCTATTAATTGCCGCTATGCGGACATACTCCATACTATGGATTCACAAGCATGATTCTGGACTAACACTGATATAGTCCCGACCTTAACGGCGAGGTCGTGTATCTGAGTCCTGATCATTATGATGCAAGCGTTCCAGGCTTGTTGCTCATTTCCTAATCTCATCATATATGGGTATGTCTGGAAGGACAGCAAATGGTTTTGTAAGGGCCGACGGTTTTAACGCTGTCTAGCGGCTACGTTACTAAGGATATTTCCACACACCTATCAAGTATTGGTAGCACTATCTCGGGCGGCGCTGAATGTGGCAAGGCCAGGTATAAGATAGATGGTCGATACTAATAGCTTCGTAAGAGGGCTCAAAGCTAGGCAGGAAAAGCAGTAGTAGCTACTTCAATTTAAACTGTAGATCTATTATTTCCCATCCCTGTTAGCTTGCCTTATAGCTCTTACGATAGCTTTCTTCCAACCAAAACACGTAGTACAGGCTGAGATTTCCAGTCGGTAAGTGCTATTAAGGTTTAGTTAAAGGCAAGGTCAAGACCTACAGGAAGATTCGTGCTGCGCACAGGAGTATAAACCATCATCAGTCAGGGTAGCCGGGAGAAGCTCAAGGGCATCGCGGTCAGTGGAGTTCAACTAGGTCAATTCAAGCCCATCAGTAATCACTAGAAATAAGGGGCAGGATAAAATACATACGCCGTAGAAAGCGTCGTTTTCTTCACGTAGATCGACCTCGCATTCGTCACACTGTAAGAACTTGTTAGAAGATGTACTAGCAAAAAAAGAGGTCAGAGCCCACTAATAACTTCCTTAAGGTGGGCCTGACAGAAGACGGCATCGTTGATTTCAACAGTAGCCATGGTGGTGTCGGATACAGAGTTACTCGATTATGAAGGGTTTTGTAGTAGGTGGAGTGGTGAGAGAATGGAATCTTGGAAATAATGCTGGGAAGAGGAGTCAAGTATAAATACTTGGCTTTATCAGGCTGACGTCAGTGGCTCATTCACTAAAATCAAGTATCCGTGCTGCACGAATAAGACTTGCGGCCCTTGGGGGCAATGAAAGTGAACTTTCGCGCTGATCGGCGGCATTTTGTCTCAGAGGAAGTCTTCCAATTGGTGACGGGTTTGGCCATACACCATATATCTCCACAGCCACGATTATTAACCTAGCTAATTAGGGCTAGTATGCTATTGTTTCCATTGATTCTTCTCAAGGGCTGTACCCAATAATGCTTTCAGCTAAATATCGTTCAGTAAAATTGGTTTAATATTTAATTATAAAGAAAATCGTAGTTAAACCGCCCAAAAGCCCTACCGAGCTGGGGAATAAGAGGTAAGATACTTATACAAAAGAAAAGTACTTTTCCCGTTTGGATAGCCTCACTTTCTGCCCTGAGATCCCTGGAGTCTGCTGATTGATGTGATGTCCAATCTCGCTTATTTCAATCCTCTTACCACGAATTCTAAATTGATAGTCCTTTCGACGATTGGAGCCAGCAGAGTCTTTCGATCTCTGCATGATAAGAACCACTGACATGTATAGATGTAGCTGTTTCTAAATCCCCCTAAATGGCTCTATCAAAAGCGCTTCCAGTAGAGGCCAATTTGATACCTTAACAAGTCCTATACTGGAACCATTAGGAGGATAGACAGAAGTTCCCTTTAAATTCGGAACTCTTATATAGTTAACTCGCGGTTCTCATAGGCATTGGCGTAAATCGTTAGGCTCTTTCCAATGGTGACGGTGATCGGCCATGCAGAAGTATTACTAAATACTCTCGACCAGATTCGCAGAACGGCAAGCCCCATGTGAAACACATCTACCAGCCAAAGACTCGTATCTACACCATCCCAATCAGCCGAAGCTATTGCTTCAATCAATACTCGTCTTAGGCAGTGAAGTATATTGTCCTGGGATCCTAAACATAACCTATCAGTAGGGCGAAGTATGTACGACTTAGCGTCCTAAGTCGCGAGCATATAGGAGTCATTAGTTGAACTCACGATTCATGGTTTGGGACTTCTCTGTCGCTGACATTGCATACAGCCATTTACTTAGGAAGATCGCACACTCGAGGCTTCCAAGTGAGTGCTGACAACACCAGAATATAGCTTGGCTATTTACCACGTACTCGATGCCAATAGCAACCGGTAAGCTGAGCGCATGTATCGAGTACAGAAGGGCCGAAATTGCGCTGTTGGTATGCTGTAGCGTTGGAGAGGGAACCTTTGCTAAAGCTGCAGCAACTTGGTTCGGAATTCTGCAAGCTAGGTCTCGGTAAGGCCCAATGTTCAAATTCAATCGGACGTGAGCTAGACCGAGAAGGGCAACAGATGTGAAAGCGATAGGGCCATTCTCATCTCGTGGGTTGAGACTTGACTCGGACGTTTGCTGCCAGATCGTAGCCCAGTTTGAAAGGGCTTTACTAGTGATTGATTGAGGGATTAGCGTCATGGAGGTAGGCTCATATCTGCCGAAAGTCTAGGATTGCCTACTGTAGTTCGGTAACATCTTCTTCTTGAAGGGTCGGTGCAATTGCGAGCTGCCGAACTAGGTGAATACGCTGAAGAAGTCCATGAAGAAGCACATAGTTGCCAAATGGCGAAGGCGCTGGATGGATCTGAGACATTCCCGTATCAGACCTCAAGAGCACTTCCAGTGATTCTAAGAAGGGTCTTTGCTCGTTTGTGACCTCTTGTCGAGCGAGAAGCCACTGAAAGCTTTCCGTTGCATGCCATTCTCTGACTGTGCAGGGTAACTTGAGGTTAACCTCGTGCCACAAGAGAACTGGCTGGTGATTATATGCAATTGTATGCAGATTAAAGAAGCAGAATGCCATGAGCTTGATTCGAATGCGAGTTTCTGCACGTGCCCACGTACACCAATCTTGTGACATTATCTCATCTTTGTAAACGCGACTGTCTTGTCGCAGCCAGAATATAAGAGGGCTATGAAGTTCGAATGCTTCATTTACCACTTCAGCGTTCGCCGACCAAGAGGCGAATACGATTAGTGTGAGAAGGGTACTGGCAGACTGGACGATGGTGGCTGGCCAATCAAGCTCGGGCATACAAGCTCCTTCTTGGCTATTCAATCGGGTAGAATATAGTCGCCTAAGGGCAGTGGCTTTGGCAGCACGATATAGCAAGAGTGATACGTGTCTTTCATATCGTTGTTGGGCGCCTAGAGCAGCAAGAGCCAGGATAAAGTCCGGAATACAATTATCTAGACAAAATGTGGGTATGTGAATATATGGCAAATGATGTGCCAAGGATTCTTCCCACGCAGAGAGATATTTCGTGAATGCATGGCAGGAGGGAAGGACAAAATCGTTCATAGTATCTTTGAAATGCCGAAGGTTACTTTGCAGCGTTTGATAGCGTTCTTCCGTCATTATAAACGGGGATGTTTTCGAACTTTGACGGATAAACTGAACTAGTAAATATTCAGAGATCGGCGATTCTCGAAATATTTACAGAATAGAAGGGAGTTTGTTAAACATGGTCATCTTACCTTGGTTGAAGCTCGTCGGTACAGAATAGGGGGCAAGGCATGATGAGAAAGGCATTGGGCCATCTGCCTTCATCCCTACAGTTGGGTCTCGGCTGACTTGGAGAACTTCCTGTCCCAAAGGCGTTGCTTCTTGACGAGTAGTTCCCACAGCGGGTTCGAATAGGGTCGGGTCAAATAAATCAATATATAAGCCCATATTCCGGGTGAAGGCTTCAAAGTCAAGGCGGGAAGTAGCCAAGTCTTGATCTTCTACCTCATCCGTAACTGCTCTCAATTAATTGCTTATCTATAATACACTGATATGATTTCACTTGAACATACAATATGGCGTGGAAAGCTGCGATGGAACCTCATTTTGGCCTTGTAATGTCTGCTTGTAATTTTCTGGATTTCCTTGATCGCCATTGCTTGTGGTGACGGGAGGGCTAGTAAGCCCTTCAGCCTGAGTCGAGGTCGCACCAATGGACGTTAGAGGACCTTCAGAGTCGCCAGTGTGTGCGAGTCTCTCATGGCGGCGAAGGAGGTCATTCCTGGTAAAGCACGCTCCGCAGTGACAGACGTACGGCTTGTCTCCAGTGTCTGGTATCTAGGTCAGCGGAATAATACGAAACAATGAAAGCATAGCATACGAGTGCGACAATGTCGTCTCAAGTGTTCAGGGCGCTTGAACTCGCGCGAGCAATGCGGGCACCTGTGTATCTTGGGCATTATGTGCTATCCTTGAGAAAGATAAAACATGAATGACGTGGGCTCCAATGACCCCAGAGTAATAATAGCTCCAACAGCCCCAACGACCCCAACAGCCCCAACAGGCCCCAATTGACATGACAAATCGTATAGATCCACTATTTTAGTCTACACAAGCGTAACTTATTAATCTCTCCCATAGAAACATGGCAGATATCATAACGTCTAACGTTAGATAATAAACTGTCTCCAATATTACGGAGTACAGCTCATCCCACTATGTTACTCTCAAGCCATACATCCAAACATATATAAAGTGCGCGCTGCGAAGCTCCATGACTTTTTCTCATCACTCTCTTCCATCACCGAAGACCTGTTAAAGACTTTGTGAACTTTCCATCTCTACAATGGCAGCTCAACACACGGTTTTCCGTTTGAAGCATCGAAATGGCTTCGACGGCCTTTATCAGCAGCAAGAAGACATCCCCAAGGTTACCAAGCATGAGGTGCTTATCAAGGTCCGCGCCGTGTCATTGAACTTTCGCGACATTGCCATTATTACATCGAAATATCCATTCCCAGTTACTGACAACGTTGTGCCATGTTCCGACATGGCGGGCGACATTGAGGAGATTGGCGATTGTGTGAAGGGGCTGAGTGTTGGGGACAAGGCAGTCGCATCATTCGACATCACCAACTTTTATGGTCCGCAACGCGACTGGGACAACGGACAGGGAGGCCCAATCGACGGTGTGCTTAGGCAATATGTGGTTTTGCCTGCCTCAGCTGTAGTCAAGGTCCCCTCGGATGCTCCTCAGACCTACTCTCAATTGGCATCTGTGGTTTGCACGGGCACCACCGTCTGGAATTCTCTGTATGGGAACCTGCCTTTACGCCCAGGACATGTTGTATTGTGCCAAGGTGCGTACTCATCGGTTGCTTTTATTCACTATACGTATCCTAATGTGTCCCAGGTACCGGCGGTGTCTCAATTACTGCTACCATCCTCGCGAAGGCAGCAGGTGCTACGGTCATTATCACGTCTTCCAGTGATGAGAAGTTAAAGCTTGCTAAGACAAAGTTCGGAGCCGACCATGGGATCAACTACAAGACCTCACCTGATTGGGCAGCCGAGGCACTGGAACTGACTGGGGGAAGGGGCGTTGACTTCATCATGGAGAATGGAGGCTCTGGCACAATTGCACAAAGCCTCAAGGCAATTACTTATGGTGGCATAATTAATGTCATTGGTTTCCTATCCGAGGCCGCACAGGAAGACATGCCAGATGTTGCTGGCCTTGCTCTTTCGAAGGGAGCAGTTGTCCGTGGTATCATGGTCGGGTCTAAACAGCTTCTCGAAGAAGCTGTCACGTTCATCTCTAAGAAAAAGCTCAAACTTCCTGTCGAGAAGGAGTTCCAATTCACCCTGGAAGGTGTGAAGAATGCATATGAGTACTTGGTCTCGGGCCAGCATATTGGCAAAGTCTGTATTAGTTTAGACTAAGAATAATCTATTTAAGTCTAGATTGACCGCATAGGATAGTAAACTAAGCTATTCTTCTGACCTTTTCTATAGCATGACCTATCGAAGGGGTTACTCTCCTTTCCCTCGAAACTATTACCTATGTCCAGTGGCGGATCTCCTACTGAAGGATCAGCCTCAGCAGGCAGCGTTAGTTTAGCGAGACCAAAATAGTAATCTAATACCTCTGGGAGCTCAACGTCAGCTAATTGCCCTACCTCTTCAAATTCTCATGCTTGAGCTTCTCGACTTTATCAGTGTCTTCCGCAGCACTTTGCAGATCCGGTTGCTGCTGTGGAGTTTCAACTTCCTCCAGTGCCGCCCGTAGATTCGTAGGAATGCGATCCATATACCCTTGCGCATTGTCCTGCACCCAACGTCGGACCGCCTGACCCAACGGAGCCAATACTCTGTCTTCTGCTTCTTTCACAGCTATGTCTGCTTATTATCCACATCGCGTTCGGCCATGATTAGGGCCTGCGGGAGGGGCATGTTGTCCCAGTCGAGTGTGTATAACGTGCCATTCTCCTTTGCGGTAGTGATGGTGTTCTTAAGCTTAGCCTCGACATCCGCACGAGGGACAGTTGTTTCCTCATTTTCGTGGAAAGGGACAAAGGATCTTTGAACATAACTCCGAATAGATTCGGGCCATTCCATCTCGGACTCGGGAGATAGGGCTCTCGCCTCACACTCGCAATTTTCAATGTCTGGGAGACCACAGATAGCACAATCCGAGTCCAGGGGATGTATCCCTATATCATCATTGACGGCCTCAGAGGATGTGATTGAATTGCTCAAGGATTCTTTGTCGCGTAAAGCACGTTGTAAGAAGGACTGAAGGACGGGATCACTCTGTTGATCTTGACTCGAATCCTGCATGTCGGGCATCAAATCCCGTTGTAATCCTTCGAATTCAGGACCCGGTACCCAATTCCCAAGCAGTTGGTTTCTTTCATCTAAGTATTGTGAGTAAGAATCAGATACAATGTCCCCCACAAGCTTGCCTTCCTCCTCATAGTAGGCCTCTAGTCCATGTTTAATCGTGCTGTTGCTGTGCGGTTGGGATGAAGCCAGGCTGTCGTGTTGGCTTTCAGATCCTGCAAGTTCGTCCATTTCTTGATGAGCAACCGGTAGTGATTTGAGAGCTCAAAGCCGCATATGGCCCACAATGTGATGTTCCATTGGTTTGTCCGTTTTGTCGATACCACAAAGGGGACAAGATGTGAATAATGCACCGTTTGTATGGGCGTTGCGATCAGCCAAGATGCCAAGTTGGGCTGGAGTGAATTTGCCAGGATGACTAGTCGTCATGTGCTCAACATAATCAGTCTTATTATTGGCCAGGAACTCTCCATGGGCTTTCGACTTGCAGCGCCATCGTAGGGCATGCTCTTTCATATGCTTCACCCAGGTGCTACTGTGGGAGTAAAGATGATCTGGAGAGTCACATTTCTCAAAGAGGCAGCTGTATGGGTCAAGGTCGTTCTTAACATGAAGCCTATACGTAGTTAGTACAGTGTTCAATAGTCCATGTAGGGCTATGAAGAGCATGAAGAAAATAAAGAAAGACTCACTTCCACTTGTTCTCGTTAATCACGTCGCGAATAGGAAGTATGTGGAAGCAATACGGGCAGGTAACTTCCGCCACTGCCTCGATGCAACTATTCCAAGCCGCATTCAGCTCCCTTGCTCGTTTGAATGCGGCTTCCTCAAGTTTTTGTCGACACTCTTCATCATCCAACTTTGAGTAATTTAGGTAATCTTCCTGTTTTCCAATCTCTCTTTTCGCTTTATTGTACTTCCGCATCAGGGAAGCCGTAGGTGGAGGAGGAAAGCAGAGTTCATCAGTGCTACTCAGCGCAACTGTCCTAGACACTGAAATAACAGAAGGTGCAGCAGCCTTTTTGAACTTCTCAGGCGAAAGAGTTGTTGCAGTTCTGGTCATAGATTGTATGCGGCTCTGGCTGGGTGCTTCCACAGCTCGTCGCTTGACACGTCCCTGGGTCACTTCTTCTATTGGCTCTGTTCTTGGGTGCGATATGACGGGCTTGGGCACGGCTTGTGGTAGTCGAATTGAGGTCTTTCCGTAACGTTCTTTGCGGTAAAGAATCCTCTTGCGCCGAAGAAGCATTGTGTCCGCAAGCCGTTCACGGATATCTTCGGTCGTTCGAGGAAATCGATCGCGTATGTAGTTAGAGAATAGGTGCCGCAAGAATGGCTCAGCATTGTTGCCCTCATCATCTCTGATTTGAAAAACTTCGGCAGCTTTGATGTTTTGACTTTCTCTACTTGCCTGGCGAATAGTGTTGGAAGTCTTGTGAAGCAAGGTAATATCGTTTCGTAGCTCGTCAAGTGCATTGTCGAAGTCTTCTAAGCATTCCTCCACTGGCTTACTAGTTGACTGTGAAGAGATACAGACAAGGAAGCGAGCGCCTATAAAACGAGTCATGGTTGGGACTCGGTAAGTCAAGGATCTAAAACTTGCTACTTACAGGTTTTTGCGTGGTAATCGAGTGCCTCTAAGAGGCCGATGATAGCATTTTTGACATCAGGAGCTTCTCGTAATCGACTATCCAAGGAATCTCGGCTGGTGCTAAAAACGCGGAGATTGGCTGCCCAAAGAGAAAATCTTGCAAGCTGATCTTCGATTCGAACCAGTGAAAGTTTTGAGACAGTGGACAAAATGACCTTCTCAGCCTTGCTGGCATCGTTAAGACATTGCTGGAAAGATTCAAGACACGATTTGGCGGAATCTACTATCGTAGCTTGTGAAAATGCTCCATGATCCTCGCTAGCGACTAGTGTTGACATGGTTTGACCACTTTCTTGGAGAGATCTGTAGCCTCAAGGTTGAGAACAGCAGAAATATGGCGGCGTCAGAGGCAAAATGCGGGAGAGCCTGATTATTAAGGCACGAAATAAGGATTACTGCTGCGGGGTCAAGAGGCGATATGTACGGAATAAGATCAGCCGCAGCCTCGTTTGAGAAAACCCGAGCATGTCAGCTTCATTTCATTGACCCCTGCTTATTCTCTTGGCTTGGATGAGTCCCTGAAACTGCTCTTGCGATGAGATCAAGTTCCGCTTCTGCTACTGGCAGAGCCACCGCAAAGTCGATACGATTAACCTATAAGGCGATCCAGCAGATCGCCAAGGCTCTGCGCCTGGATGAACAGGACGAAGATCTCAAAGCTTTCTACGCCAAACTAATCGTCTACTGTACCATAATAGAGAGCCGCATAATCTCTGTTGGTGAAAGCGTTCTGGCACTGTCAAAAGAAAACCTTCATACATTGCTACTTCCCTTGATGGGGATATCTACGGTCAGCCTAGAAGGGCTCGATAATACCTCTATTGATGTCTGGCTCCGGGACTTGGCTGAGATGCATGACGAGATTTGGAGCATCAAAGATAACGCCTCGAAGATCAAAATTATCCGAACACACCTAAACCTTGGAACGACACCTGGGGAACGTAGCAAAATTGAAAAGTCCTTGGACAAATGCGAAGAAGACCTCAGAGTCAGATATCCCGAGGACTCATCTCAATGGGCTGCAGAAGATCTTGCTCCCCAGTTGAACATCGGAGAACCGACCTATGCCGTCTGCGGTGCTGCTCAATCAATATTCAAGGCCATGGTGGCATGCATGAACTGCGCTTGCATACCATCACACGATTTAGGCGCTCGACTTTGCCTAGGCACTTATAGAAAGCCCAAGCTCGATTTAGATATTGAAATGGATGAAGTGGACTTCAACATGTTTCTCTCTTCGCAGCAGGACTGGCAAGAAGTCATTGTCCACACAACCAGGGATAGGCAAGTCAAAGTGATGTTTGACGAAAGCCACAAACCACCCCCCGAGGTCAAATGCGTACCCGCAGTCAAGACTATGAAAGTAAAGAATCTTTGCGAGCAGATTGCCAAGATTAAGTCCAGGGCATTATACCGTCTCGTGTTCAAAGTTACCCGAAGCCAACTCTTCAAACTGCAATCGGAGAGGAGTGGCAGCTCTATCTGCAAATCGCAAAATGCTATATCGCTAGATAAGCTTTTACGAAACAAAGCTGACTCTTTTACCGAGAGAACAAAACGAATTTTGGCCGTTATCCTAAGTTCTGCTGTCTTCCACCTTCACAATACACCATGGCTAGAATCTGACTGGAACTCATCCGATATTTGGTTCTTCCGTACATCTTCGTCGGCAATACCGCTGAAGCCGTTCTTACACAGGCCGCTTTCAACTCTTGACAATCAGTGCGTCAAGGATTGTGATTCAAGTCTAGAAAAGGTCACCGACCCGGATGACATCGATCCAGACGATATCGATCCAGATGATATGCTAAGTCATGACTGTCCCGCCCTCGTCATTCTGGCCATAATGCTGTTGGAGGTGTACTTCGTGGCACCCTTTGACATCTTGGCTCAAAGGTTCAACGTTACTTTAGAATCTGGCTCACAATCGACTGCCTTCACAAGATATGTGGACGTCAACGGCGTATTCCAAGCTTGTCAGAAAGAGATTCCAGAGAACTCTCAGTTTTATCTGGCAGTGGAGAACTGCTTGGATCCAAAGGTGTGGCAAGACGAAGAAGGAAACAAACTTGACGATCCAACATTGAGAACCAGGATCTATAGCCAAGTGGTTTTACCACTGGAGACGGAACTTAGCCAGGCTTACAGCGATATTTGTATCGAGGATCTTGATCGCTTTGCACAGGATTTTAATTTTGGGAGTTGGGGGCAATCAGCTCATGTGTGGAACCAACAAAACAGCGCTGATACTACAGAATCTCATGATCATGTCACCGTAGCCCCAACCGCGCTTCGCCAAGAATCACACGGGCTACCTTTACAGCTTCACAACACAGGTGACGAGTTTCGTGATGGAAGAACCCAACAAGGCTCTTCAGCAAACAAGCGACGGTATAGTCGCTCGCCCAGTGGAACTGAGGCTGAAAGCCTTATGTCCGATCTCCCGACTTTACCAGACGCACTGGTTTACCACTACTCATCCTACACAGTCGGTATTCTTTGTGCACTCCCTCTAGAGCTTCTAGCGGTACGAGCACTATTAGATACGAAGCACCAGAGCTCTAAGTACATACGGGGAGACAGTAACACATATGCACTTGGGACAATGAGCGATCATATGGTAGTGGCAGCTTGCCTTTCATCAGGCGAGTACGGAACGAATGCGGCCGCTGACTCGGCGTCCAACATGAAGCGAACGTTTCCCAACATTGAGTTCTGTCTCCTTGTTGGTATTGGAGGGGGTGCTCCTACGTATGAGAGCGATATAAGATTGGGTGATGTGGTTGTGAGCCTACCAACAACTAGGTATCCTGGCGTAATTCAGTATGACCGTGGCAAGGAGATCGAAGGGAATACTTTCGAACTTACAGGAAGTCTTCATCCTCCTCCACGCTGTCTGATGACTGCTATTAGCTCTCTTCGATCCAATCCTGATCTTCCTTCAAATCCACTCCAATCCTCTGTTGAGGAAGTCACCAGGCGGGTTCCGGAACCATTGGCATTCCAATATCAACATCCTGGGCAGGACCAGGACTGGCTTCTGAAAGCTGTTTGTGCTGTCTGTCAGAGACAAGGGGAATGTCCCAATAGAGATAGCCACCTATTTAAACGACCACATAGATCGACAAGCCAACCGGAGATTCATTATGGCCTCATCGCATCGGGGAACAGGGTTCTCAAAGACGCAAGTGTACGAGATCGATGGGCACAGGAATATGGCATCTTGTGTTTCGAAATGGAGGCAGCTGGGGTTATGAATACGTTTCCCTGTCTTGTTATTCGTGGCATTTGCGATTATGCCGATTCTTATAAAGACAAGAGATGGCAACATTATGCAGCCGCATCAGCGGCGGCTTATGCAAAGTTACTACTAGGACATACAGCTGCGAACAATAGTGACTGGGGTAGAAATAAGGAGGAAAAGGTAGTGCGGATTCATTACCAGAATATTCAGGAACGGTCTTCTAAGCGGCAAAGGTTTTGAAGCATGATAATACATAAGACCTATATTGTAATATACTAAGCGTAGTTCATTTACCGCCACCATCCTAGCTCAGGCATCAGGTGCTACGGTTATTATCACGTCTTCCAGGGACGAGAAAATAATTCCTCTTACAAGAGCATTATAGCAGCCTAGGACTGAGATTTAGGCGTCCTTAGTATGTTCCATATGGTCAAGTATTACTAGTATCCCTGGGTTTAATATATGTTAGGTTGTAATCGTTCAGATGTATTGAATATCTCTGAATAGACATGTTTTGTGTTTTTGATGTATTTAAGTCTAATACAAAAGTCCCCGTCGCGTACATGATTTATCAAGGTAAGGTAACTTCTGGCAGCCTAACCGCTTCAGATGCGAAGAACTTTAACAGCACCCGCCCTCCGCGCAAGACGCACCTATGACATTAGTATTGACAAATGTAGGATCGTAAACATTACTTACGAGCTTCAGCAAGACCTCCACCACAGCCTCCATTTGGGTAAGGAGCCATGGAGCACTTGAGCATATTCCACTCGCGAATACAAGTGTCGCAATCCGAAGTGTAGCAAGCACGCTTCTGGAACAGGTGGCTTGTATCAAAGGTATATTCCTTTTTGCCGAACTGCGCGCTGTTGTCTGTCGGTGCGGCCTGGATGCCGACAGCAAGGGCGAGGAGGATGGCCGAAGTAGAGACTTTCACAGTGAAAATTGGTAATAGTGGTATGATTCCAAGTCGGTATAGTTCTGAGAGTAAGGTTTGTACTTAGATAGAAGGAATAATAATAATCTGAGGTCTGCGGAATGAGAAGGTCAGAGCACTGCTTATATAGGTTTCATGCTTGCCTATTACACTTTTCAATAGCCTTTATAATAACAATTCCCTGTAAATGTACTTTTACCTTTACTATGACAAGGTGGCAGTGCTGGATCCTTTGTATAGTGATCGGCCAGTTCTAACTCCATATCTAGGAAGGGATTTCATGCTTGCTACTCTGAGAGGGCGAAATCTTGAATCATAGTATAGGTGGCGAGTGGGCTTGGCAGACGATCTTTGCACGATACAATGCTTCGTAGGATTCACTTACCCACTCACTCATGCACCATTCTACCATAGCGGCAAGGCAACAGAGTTCGTCTGTATCTTCTAAGTCAGACGAGACCCACCATCGTCATAGCTCTAAGCGAAAATGTAGTACAAAATAGCCTTAGTGTTTAAGACTGTCGCGGCTCTCGTACCTAGTTCTAGCCAGATAGCGAGACTTCGTAAAATATCTTCTCTTGTCGTTGTAATGTATGTACTTGTTGTCCACTCCACGAGGGTGGGCAGTAGACACTGCAGCTGTGTCGGACTACCTTGGAATCTTGACTGCTAATTTACATGACTGTCTATGCATCATATCCAAGGTAAAGGGCGGGGCTCGGGTCTCTTTGTCCCGATGCACATTTTTTGCCTTCCGCCGTAAACTTTAACTCAGCTAGGCTGCCGCCAAGACCAAGCTGACACCGGCATCAACGATCTTCTATTTTCTTACCTTGTTACCCAACCAATCAAGAAGTTCCAAAGCCGGCCAAATGCGGGGAGGAACCGGAGAACCCTGGTTCCCCGCAAGCCCTGTTTCGTTAATGATAAATCGAATAATTTAGAATCCGGGCGACCGGCCGCTTTTGACTCAGCTAATAGAATCGTATTTCACTCAAGTGTTGGGTCAGAGATGTATAGTCACTTTAGCTATTTGTTCAAATATGCTTACTATTGGATTTCAGTTGAGCTTAGAAATTCACGTCATGATACCCCACACTTGGGAAAACCTACCCTATATAGAAATAGAGATTTAAGCTTACACTCGAATCATGGTAAATAAATAAGGGTTAAAATAGATTTAATTTTATTGTCGAAACCATCCTGAACAAGAACATACACACGCTGAGAATCGAGTGAGAGTGATGCAACTACTTCTTGAGCGAAAGGTCTTTATAGCTCCTGGATCAAGTTTTGGAGCAGAGGATAGTGGCTGGTTTAGATTTGTGCTTACAGTTGACAGGGTAACACTGATGGACGGGCTTAGTAGAATTGTTGATACCTTAAAGTAGAACATATCGTACTATTAAATATTAGATAAAGCTTAGGTCGAATTAGTAAAAGCTAGGTTATAGCATCTCGCAATATTAAACCCTATAGACAAGAGGTTTTAGTAAGGACAGAGTGTTAAGAGCGTAGAGGTATAGAGGCAAGTTGAGATAATTAATATACAAAGTAAATATCTAGCTTGTCTTACGTAAATAGAACTGTAATGCTGTTATAAGTATATACTAGCTCCATTTAAACCAGAGTAATCGTTGTCTCCCCAATGCCAAGAAAGCAGTCGTGTTCTCCCCTTCTTAGTCCGTCTTCCCATTCACATAACCCAAGCCTTGTAAACTGCCGCTCCCTATTATCCTGATGTGTATCATCTTCCAGTTCTTCTATGACAAGTCTAACGGAGTCACAGCCGTAGAACCAAGACGATGTCTTCTCACCGATTGTTAGCCGCCACCTCAACTCGAATAGGTATATACGGCCTACTGGACCGCTCGAGCCAATGCTGCCTATGTCTGTCTCTTCTGTCTCGGAGGTTTCTTGGGCTCCACTGTTGCTTGATAGTCGCTCTATAGGTTCGGCCGCGAAGTCCCATGTTACACGGATAGTCCTTTCACTCGCCGTTTCCTTGCTCTTAGCTCCCTCTACTGCCAAGTCGTACAAGGAAAACCCAGAACAACGGCCAACGTCGCTACTATCGAGGCTTGGGACTTTTTTTAGCCTTCCTCTCAAGGTTAGGTTAGCGGAACTGATTCTCCCAGTATCGTCTTTCCCGATCAGGTCAATATCAACATTGACGTAGGTCATAGTTCGATCTTCCTTTGCTGCTTCTTTGCTGTTTCTTCGCTCGGGCGCGCGAAAATCGCTCCACTCAAGGAACTCTACGGGACCTTTAGCAGCCCACGACTAAGAGGGCGAGTAGCTGCCTTCGTATTTGGGTTCGGGAGCATCAGGGGTTCGAAAATCATATCTATCTGAGAGTTTCCAAGCCAGTCCGTTCAGAACATCGTTCTCCCATATACCGGCGAAATACCGTCCCCCAATGAACGGCTGCAACGTCTTGGCCAGGCCCGACACAGCAGGAAAGGTATCCTTCTCATAGGTGATATCACGGCCACTGAAGTATTGCATGAGGGTCCGCCACAGGTTAGCGCAATACTCGGAGACCGTCCTTGTATCTGAGGAGTCACGTATTGTCTCCCCGTCCTGATACCACGTCAACGGCATTGCTGAGGTATACTTCTTCTCATCTTCAGGGCTTGTATCATCAAGGGTGCAGGTACGGCATTCCCAAACGAGACGGGTTTTAGTAAAATGTACAATTCGCCGAGACAATGCACGCTCCTGCATGGTCCATGCGCGCGTTGTCAGAATGGCGCGTGTGACATCCACTCGTGGGTTACGGAGAGGCGGGGAAATGACGACCTTGGCAAGATCTATGCCGTTATGTGAGGGCAGCTCTAGGTCAAGGGAGGCGGGCTTGAGGCCGTCGTCGAAGGAGCGTTGATGAAATAGGCCCTCGGAACTGTTAGATGATGCGGAGGCGGCAAGGGTGCAGTAAGCATTTTTATAGACATCGCCCATGCGTGCTGATTCTTTTTCCCAGTCGTCTTTTCCAGTTTATTTCTTAGCAAACAAATCCAACAATGGGACTTATAATGGCGAGCAAAAGAAATACGACTCACCGGCATCGTCTTGGATGATGCAAAAAGAATCGATCCACACGTAATGTATATGGAGTTTGCGAGCGAAAACTATGGTGTCTTGAAAAGTTTTTGGCAGCTTGGTAAAAGTGATCTCTGCCCTGTGAGTTCCATAGTTGTCCTTTACAGTTTGGGGAACAGGGTGAGCAGATTGCAAACCCCAGCAGTGACTCAAAGCAAGACACCTGGCCCCGAGAGGACATTCTGATTCAAGAACAAGACGAGGCTCACGATGTTGGTCTATAGACCCTACATCGATGAGTCGTGTTGGGTGATACGTCTTTGTACCCTCGCCCCGGCCAGCATCGGCTGGCTGATTACGCCTTGTTGGCGCTGCGCTCATTCTCTTCGCCCATGCCCGGAGACCCTCAAAGGCGGCCCTAGACTCCTGGCGGCTCTTGCTGCTTATAACGAGTTTGACGAAGCGAGAGACGCTTTCCTCTTCGTATCTCTCGACACAAGGCCTGGGACCGACAGACGCCACGTGTTGGGCGTAGGCGTCCACATCACAGGCTAAGTGGTTCTGGTCACAGGCTTGTAGCCACCTATCAATCATGTGAATAGTTTCCGCTGAGTCGTAAGGGCGCAGCTCAAATGGTAGAGGTTGTCCTACAGAACTCTACCCTTAGTAAGGAAAGTAAAGAACATAAAAGGTATGGGGAATTGACTAGGATATAATACGGACCTGGGTAGTGATATGCAACTGGAATCCCTATATCATCACTGCTAATAATCCCTCCTACTGTTGCTGCATTAACATCCAAGTAGATAGTATCTACTCTAGCTTGCCCCCGTGGGGTAAAAGCCGACAACGGTGCATTGAAATCCTTAGCACTTAGAATGGACCTCAGGCCAGGAGCCATGACACGCCACCTTTTGGGAAGATAACTTAGCAGCACCTTGCAGAAAGGACAATTTTCCCCACATGATTTAAGCTCGGTAATGGTGCGATGGTGATGATGAAACAATTCGTTGCCTTGGGAGACGCTGCCGGCAATCCTATGTTTGTACTTGACCCCATCTTCCAGCCCGCGTTGGAAGACTTCTTTCGGGATGGTCCGACAGTGCTCGCACAGGGACATCATGATGCAGATGTTGAACGGTCTGTTGATAATGGGCTTCGTTGCTAGTCTTTTCGTTGGTTTGTAGATCACTATAATAAGCAGTATTTACTGTATGTGTTGTCGTTAATTTAAAAGAGGGGAAAGAAGAGTATGACAAATAAAGCGCGCTTGGCCAGATATCTAGTCCAGTACCTGAGGGCGAATCACACCACATCAATCACCGCCAATCAGCATCTAAACATCCCATTGAGAAAGCTGTCTCATCACCGATTATATAAATGCACTGTATTATCTATAAGGCAACTAAGTTTCAAACGCTTAGAAGACATGTATCTATTGAATATTACAGGATATAATAGAGAAACACCTATGCCATTGAGAAATAGAGTTGTGGCTGATATGGTGGGCAACCTTATTGAATTTGAGTTATTGTTGCTTTTCGGTCTGTGTAGGGACCTCTATTATTGATATTTCTGTGGGTTTAATTGGGATAGCTGGATCTCTTTTTTAAAGGTGCTACCAGACTCAATGTAAATAGAGAAACACCTTGCAAATCCAACTTAAGTTTTAGAGAGCGGTCAAAGCCTACAAAGAGGTAGAAACCTTGTTTCAAGGTATATAAAGAGATAACTATTGCTACTTTTGTTTTTCTTTGTAACAATTTGTAAACTGGTGCTATCATCAATTTAAAAAGGTCACTCGACATCTCTAAGTCTGTGGATCGTCTCTAAGGATACACCAGGCTGTACCATTAAGGCTCCACCTCATATGTAGCGGTAAAACCAAGAACCATAGTCCTAATCAACTCCGCATCGATTAAGTGGTACAGGTAAGAGACCTTCCTAATTGTATGGGTATCATCCTTATCTAATGCTGTATACAAATTGTGATTTTCCATAATCCTGTTTAACCGCTCTCCATAAGCTCTAGACTATTATTAATTGCCTATAATAATGACAGATGCTCTAGTCTCATTTGTGATCCTCGGCCTCGTTGCCGTTGCGACGCTTATATACCTTTCCAGATCACCTAGCAAGGACGAGAACAAACTGCTCATACTGCCAATCATCGGAGACCTCCATAGCTCGCCGATTGAACGGCCTTTGCTGCGATGGTATGCTTGGGCTAAGGAAAGAGGTGCAATACCCACGTCGAAACTCTTTAGTTTTAAACTCTTGAATTATGGCAGCGATTGTCTGAACTTGCAGGTGCGCCTGCTCCCTGCTGGCCCTCGTCGCTCTTCGTGTCCCTCTGCCCGTCGATGTCGGGGGACCTTCTACTGGCGCTGAGATGGCATCGATACTATGACGAGTAGAGATGAGTATGCAAAAGTAGCGAGTTGTACGCTTCGGTCCTGCACAGAAAGCCTGCAGATAGAGACTGGTCCAGTGGTCTGCCCGGGCCTTCGCTCTTTTGAAATTGCGCCCCTCGTGGTGAACTCGTAGCAACTTCCAGCTTGGAGTGAGATGCCCGCACGCCGCCCAGGTGCAAGCGAAGTCCTTGTGAATAGTCAGGTCCTCGATGGCCTGGGTCGGATTTGATTCCCCATACGGGGCAGGCTGCTCATCTGTCGGTTCTTGCAACTGTGGACCCCTATAGTGGTTGACGAGGCCATTACGGATCTGATAGTAGACATCCGGGTGATGGTGTCTCAGGTCGCCCCGAAAATGGGGAGATTGACTAGAGGTTCTCCGAGACCGGAATCTACATACATAAGAGGGCTAGTTTAATCTTCCTTCAAGGGTGCCTCTAGTCGCTCGTCTACGCGCTTGTCCGGCATCAAGTCCAACTCTAAAGACTTCCACTTCAACGAATAGCAACGCGTTGCCATTTAGCGAAGGCTTAACTTGGCTTATCGGAAGATAAACGAGGCGTTTGCGTGGAATGGTGGCGGCTGTAAATGATAGCAGGCTAGTCCATTATTGGTGGACGCTGTGTTGATATTATCTCCCCCGCATTCTCGACCAGGATCTAGATTGTAGTCTGGCCATGTTGCTTTGTATGTTCGGATTGGGAAATTTGTTATAGATCTTTCCTGTTCTCATTTTCCACCGGGAGCTCTTTTCTTTAAAGTATCGTTCCCAGATCGGTTCCTAATTTGCATCTTGGCATTATTTCTACATTCTCCAGTCCATTTCACGCCACGTTCTCAACAAAGATATTCTTTACCTCCAGTCTCCACTCGACATGGACCTTTTCAAAGAAGACATCAAGGCCGAGCCAATCTGCAATTTGTCCGTCCTCGAGGGCAGCGAGTCTCAGTATGATACCGACGATGCGTATCTCAAGTCTCTCGGAAAGTCGGCTGAGTTGCATCGCGTCTACAATTTCTGGACATGTAAGTTCTTCTGCGATCAGGGCGATAGTCTTTGAGTGATGCTGACAACAGCACAGTATGCGCCTACCAGGTTATGATCAGTGCGACATGGACATGCGTCGTCGTTTTCTACGGAGTCATCTTTGACGTTGGCGGTCCAGCCTCGCTTCTCTACGGATCCATCATCGTCGCCATCGGCCAAACCCTGCTCATGGCCTCACTCGCCGAATACTGTGGAATCTGGCCTACTGCAGGTGGTCAGCAGTTCTACGTCCAAAAGCTCGCTACCGAAAAGTACAGACCATTCCTTTCATACTTTGTCGGATGGTGTCTGCTTCTAGCCGAGACTGCCACTGGCTCTTCATGCGCCTTGAACACCGCCAACATCATTGGAACTATGGTGACCATCTTCCACCCAAATATTGACTGGAAGGTATAAGATTCTATCCCTGACTGTGATGCCATGCGTTAATGTTATTAGCCTTACCAAACGTTTTTGATATATCTAGGATTACTGGTTATTCCGTTCCTGATGAACTTGAAGCCTAGTGCACTTCCTTTCTACAGCACCGTCGGCGCAGTTTTCACAATCCTCGGTTTCTTTGGCTGGGCTATCACTCTCCTCGCCACAGCTCCTAAATCCAGTGCGAAGTTCGTGTTTACTCAGTTCATCAACAATTCGGGATACACAAGCAACGGATGGGTTTTCATACTAAGCTTTTATAGCCCTATGTATGGCCTTTCCGGTACAGATAGCATGATGCATTTGGTTGAGGAGATGAAGAACGCGGCTCAAGATGCACCGGTAAATCTCTCCACTCCATGGACGTCCAACTCGCTGACACTGCGCAGAGAGCCATGGTTTGGTCCATGGTCCTTTCTGGCGTTGCTACTATCGTCACTGACCTCATCCTGCTTTTCTGCTGTGGCAATTACACTGAGTATGCGACATCCTTGTAAGTTTCCCAAACCCTCTTATCTTGACTCAAGCTTATGGTCAGGTCACCATATATCACTTGGTTCTCGGGAGTGGCGGGAAGTGAGTACGCCGGTATCTATGTCGCGATAGTCTTCGGCGTCGTAAACGTAAGTCAACTGACCTCACATTTTTACCACGATGGCTAACTCTATTCAGCTGCTTGTTTGTGCCGGTATTCTGTCTTCGTGTTCCCGTCTTGGCTGGCGCATGGCAGAGGACAATGCATTCCCATGGTCCGATCGTCTGCTAAAGATCGATCAAAAGCTTCAGATACCTTTGAACTTCATCTACGCGATTATGGCTGTTGAGGTTATTATCGGACTTATCTCTTTAGGCAGTGAATTGGCTTACAACGCCATCGTCGGTGGTGCTGGACTTTGTTTCGCCCTCTCCTACGCGATACCAGTTGTAGTGGTAAGTATTGTTAGTTCGCGCTATTGCTTAGCTGCTGACTTTCTTGATAGACTCTCATCCGAGGTCGTTCAATTCTCCCCCCTCGCCCTCACTTCGATCTTGGCAGGTGGGGATACTTTGTGAACTATGTTTCTGTTGCATGGGCCTTACTGACTGTTGTCATCTACGTGTACGTGATAACTGTTGAAAGCTTCGAACGAGTGATAATTACTAACTTCTGATTAGTATGCCGCTATATCTTCCAGTCACAGGCGAAAACATTAGCAACATGAACTGGGCCTCACTCATTGTCGGCGCGATGTTCCTGTTTTCTGGTATTTGGTGGATATTTGGCGCAAGATTTAAGTATTTGAAGGACGTCTCCATTGACACCGAACCTCTCTCCGTGATAGGAGAGTAGTGCAATAGTGGTTAATGCCCGTTAATGGATGCAATGGATATGGTGGTCATGTGGGTATTTGTGGGGGTATTCACATTTAATGAAGCGTTCAATGGTTTATAAGCAAATAATAGTGATGCCGTGCATTTGAAATGATTGCTGATTAGTTACTACATAGCTGGGGAGCGAGCCGGGTTGAATAGCTACTTACCCTATGCACACTTCAAGGTTAACCTTTTAGCCGTTACAGGTCGCCTCGGATAGAACAAATGCTTTTTCTCTAGTGGGAGATATGAAGCTAACATCGTAAAATTGTGGAACCAGTTAAACCGAATCGGAACACTCATACCAGGAATCCTCATCTGATATCGTGGTGTTGGAGACAAGACTGTCAAGATCGCTCTCAGCACGACCCCGTTCACGCCACCGAGCGCGACGCTCAGCCCTAGCTTTCGCTTTTGCAGCTTTCTCCTGCTGATGTCGAAGATTCTGCTGCTCTCGCTCCCTTTGCCTTTGTCGTACGAAGAACCAGCTTGTCAAAACTGTCGAGTTGGTTGATGATGGCATTCTGAATTTCGTTCGGTAAGGTATTGAGCGATTGAGGTGATGAGAGCGTGGACATTTTGCCTTTGCGGTGGCACGACTTGCCTGCAGTGCAGAGGTAAAGAAAGAGGCCGAATTCGACAGTTGCGACGCTGGTGTTGTGCAAATAAGCTTCCTCGGGTGGTAAATGTCGGCAAAACTAAATGACAAACAGGGTTTTAGTCAAAGGCATCGACGAATGATTTGACCAAGACTATGTCGATTTTGTCGTAATATTGGATCACATGCCACAGTAACCTCCTAGAATGGCTGGCCTCATTCTTCCGATCATCCAGCCCATCAATGTGATTGATTCGTTGAAATAGCTTACGATGATTGCTAATATATTATTAATGGTGACAGCCAACAATTAAAAACAACCTGCATACCTGCAACGAAACCAATATGTGTTTTACAGGGTTACAGGCTTCATAACCACCCTGAACCTGTGACTTTATGAATTTTCAGCCATTCACAACAATACCGCCCAATCCCTTATTTCGGAAATTATTGGTGCGTGTTGACATATGCAAGTAATAATCCTACAAACTGCCGATGGTAATGAGAAATATGATTCGCCGCAGTATAGTCATATGGGAATAGACAGGAGACCAACAAACATATGAGAAACAAACGCTGCTCCGATGAACTTCGCTTCCTTACATTAACGTCATTTTGTCTGAGCTTATGCGCTGGCGTCCTGTTTTTCCTGGGAGTATTCCTTAGAGAGCCGAGAGGCAAGATAAGATTAAGTGTATCAAAATTGCGAAGAACACAACCATTCTCGCCACTAAGTGATCCACCGGTTATGACAGTATTGCATTTTACCCATCATTAGGTGATTCAGATCACTTTATCCCCAAGAGATAGCTCATAAGTGACAACAAACTCAAGACTTCACTTCCACTACCAGTATTTAGTCAAGGAAGAAGAGCATGTCTCGGTAAACACATGACTCTAGACGGTAGCTTCGCAAACATTGCTGCCATGCTTTGGGCGTTTGACATTGAACAAGCAAAAGACGTCAAGCCGATGTACATGGTGGTCGTCGGGGTCATGACGGAACCTAAACCGTTCAAAATCAAGCTGAAGCCAAGAGGTCCATAGGTGTTCAAGGTGGCTGAAATTGAATGGAAGACTATTTGTAAGTATCCTAACGTTATAATGGATAAGCCAGGTGATGTTAAGAGCTAGATCCGGCAGCAGATTCTAGTTATTACTTTTAATAGTCTAGAAGACTGTAACATAATGAGCTTGCTATTTCGTACAATACGATAGTCTCATCTTGTAATCCGCTTTCGTATTAATGAGTTAATCGCTCAGAACTCATCGATATAAGGCCCAAGCAAGTCCGTCAACTCCTCGATACTTAGCTTGCTACTTCCCAACCCTGCAGTAAGTCTATTTAACCAAGAGCCGTCCTTGTTCTGCGAAATAGCTTCAGGTAAAAGAACAGAATCTATAAGATGTATGACCCCGTCCATCAAGATGATATCGGGCGTTGAAATTGGGACAAAACCATCACTCTTACCTTCACTGTCACTACCTTTAGCAACACTTAGGCCCCAAGCTTTCCGTGCTTTTGAACTATCAACCTTCAGTGTGAGATTCTTATGTAGTGTCGACAGATCGAACTAAATATATAATTAGCTTTCATTTCCATTCAGGTATGTAAATTGTTTACGTACCTGGTGAGGTTCTTTGGATTTAGTTTCAGTTAGATCAAGTAACTCAGCTCCATTGTGTGGCCAATAAGTATCACTGAAAAGTGTTTTATTGGCCACTACATGATACTTAAGCAAAGCACGGAGATAGGGACTGCCCCCATGACTGAACAGGAATTGAGTTGCCTTTTTTCCAAGACGGCCAAATGCAGCATTGGTTGGAGCAAAGATGGTCTGAGATACATGCGCGTTGGTGTCGTAGATACCTTCAGAAAGCTTTGAGGTCTCAAGGCCTCGCCGAAAGGTTGATAGCTCTGGTCGGGTACGAAGGGCATGGGCAGTTGAGTTGGGAAGTACCAAGACGGTGTCGATGTGATGGATGAATCCATTCACTGCCACTGATTGCGACTTATTCAGTGGGAGAAGTTGAGCCGCGTGGTTAAGTGTCAACCCATCGCTTGTGTGCTGTACACTGATGCGCTGCTTGTAGGTAAAGAAGATGTCCCCATTGACAAAGGACGGGACCGTGCCCAATGTCTGAAGCCGCTCAGCGGATACAGGTCCCGGTCCCATATGGCATCCTGCAATGAAAAGGTTGAAGAATGGTGGAGGGTCAGGTGGAAAGTAAAAGGAGTCGAAAGCTTCGTTGACAGGGGCATAGACAGTGAAGCGACCCTGTGGCGCTGACAAACCCCGGACAATGTCAGGCAGTTTGCTCACAATCTCGACAAATTTGGAAACGCGTTCATCTTTGTTAAGGACCTCCCAAACAGTAAGATTTGTTTCATACTGAGGCTCATGCACCTTTGTCGCAGGTGCAGTCTGTGATGTGCTGTACCATTTGAGGACAAGGTATTGTATAATGAGGGGAATTGAGAGGATCAAGGCAAGCGACCTAAGCGCCCTCCAAACTGATGGCTTCTGCTTAATCATTGTTGTCTAAGATTTATCCACAGGCTGGAAACATCAATACGACTGCCAATTCAGAGTAAACATATAAGTTTTTCTATTTTACTATCAGATAATCCGTTGAGCCTGAGCAGTCGGGCCTCGGGGTGGAGCATCGGGGCCCCGAAATATGCACCGAGACAGACGCCACTGACTCGGGATTGGCATCGCCGTCTTACCGCAGGCTGCAACACCCTGTTATTGGAAGCGATTAATTATGAGTAATAAAGACATACCGGAGAAGAAAACAGATCCTAACTAATTTATATTTTTTGTCGCCAAACTTTACTCAACTCCCCTCCTGGTTGATCTGACAGTAAGACAGTATGCATTCCTCTCGGCGTTTAATATCACTATTGCTGGTATGTATCCTCTCAAAGTGTGCTACCAGTGCCCTTGTGAAACAGGACTGGACTATCACATGGGAGCCAGGTGCGCCAAACGGCCAGGAACGACAAATGATCAAGATCAATGACCAATTCCCGGGCCCAACGATTCTCTGCGACGAAGACGATGATGTGCAAGTCACAGTTCACAATAAAATGCCCTTTAACACTACTGTGCACTGGCATGGGCTAGAGTGAGTTGAGAACACTGTATTATGACGATGTTGAGTTTATGTAGGCTAATCTGACTGCATTAGAATGCTGGGAACACCCTGGTCGGACGGGACTCCAGGCATGTCTCAAAAACCAATAGAGATGGGTCAAAGCTTCGTCTATCGATTCAAGGCCTCCCCTGCAGGAACCCACTGGTACCATTCTCACTCACGCGCTACTGTCCTCGATGGTCTTTACGGGCCTATATTCATTAGGTATGGTAAAAACAAAATGCCATCATCGATAATCATGCTAACGAATGGCCTAGGCGCAAGCCAGATGCTCAGGCACCATGGCATCTCATCAGCAACGAAGAGGATGACATCAATGCCATGAAGCGCGCGGCTGTCGACCCCAAACTAGTGATGGTGTCTGATTGGACTCGCTTTATGTCCTGGGAGTACATGGCAGCCGAGGAGAGCTCCGGAATGGCCATCTTGTAAGTTTTCTTGATTTCCAAATTGATTCTGGGCTTTATTAATTATGACGTACCATAGCTGCTCGGACAGTATCCTTGTAAACGGCAAAGGAAGCCTGTACTGCCCTGGGGTCGACATGTTGATCAACCATACTAGCACGTACATGAAGTATGGCCTATATCCTCGACAGGTTAACGACAAGGGGTAAGTGGTAGACACCAAATAATACTAGAAGGCCACTAATGATTCAAGATGCTTTCCGTTCATGAGGTCAACTCAAGGCCCATATTTGACTGCAGGGAAGCCTGAGGCAATCCCATTACACCTACAGGATGGATGCGTACCTGCCGAGGGCACCAACGAAACAATCGTCGTTGACCCAAAAGAAGGATGGGTCAGTCTCAACTTTATTGGAGGTGCGACGTTCAAGACAATTGTTTTCTCCGTTGACGAGCATGACATGTGGGTTTACGAAGTCGATGGACATTACATCGTCCCACAGCGCGTTGACACGGTGCACATGTACGCAGGCGAACGCTATGCCGTTATGGTCAAGTTGGACAAACCTGCCAAGGATTACACAATCCGTGTGGCAGATAGTGGCTTGACTCAAGTCATATCAGCATTCGCCACCCTTCGATATAAGGGCGGTGTTCAAGGAGGCGAGACGCAAGGTGTGATTGACTACGGCGGCCAGAACAGCACCATTGACAGGACGGTCGTTACGCTGGATCGTGATCATCTGCCCCCTTATCCGCCCAATCCACCAGCCCGCAAGGCAGATGTGATGCATGTCCTATCAACGCATCGATGGAAGAGTGCTTGGCAGTACACCATGTCTGGGCATGGTATGTACGAAGAGGATCGTAGTGCATATGGCCCTCTTCTATATGATCCTCACTCTGCGGACGCGATGGATGAAGGCCTTGTTATTCGTACAAAGAATGGAAGCTGGGTCGATCTAGTTATACAGGTCGGCTCACAGCCTGGTCAGCCTCAGGAATTTCCTCACATGATGCACAAGCACACCGGAAAGACATGGCAGATAGGGGCCGGGATGGGAATTTGGAACTACTCTTCTGTCGAGGAGGCCATGACTGCCGAGCCGAACAACTTCGATCTCGAGACGCCCAAATGGAGGGACACTTTTGTAACTTCATTTGATGGTTCAGCGTGGCTCGTGCTGCGGTACCAGGTCACAAACCCTGGTCCGTGGCTTTTCCACTGCCACATCGAAACGCATCTGGCCGGTGGTATGGCTATCGCGATCCTGGACGGGATTGATGTCTGGCCGCAGATTCCTCCTGAATATGGACCTGACCAGAGGGGCTTTATGCCGGGCACGCTTCAGGAGCTAGAGAGTCAAGGGCTAGACAGCTCGATACAGAAACAATGTCCGTTACTGGCAGCTTCTCCAAGTGGTAGCTCCAAGAAGAATGGGGAGGATACATCTGCTGATGATTCACGATGGGAGACTTTGGTTCGGGGATTGATTCGGGTGTTGCAGGGTTGGCTTTCAGACAAGTCGAGCGACAATACTTCTTAGAATAGGTAATTAAATTGAAACGGTTTAAGAAAGTCTGTTTTACTTTTGCTAAAGTTTTAATCCTGTTAGAAGTAAGTATGGTTGGTAGTGAGCGGTTGTGTTGTGTTACTGGTTAAGTTGACAATTGTTGAATGGCTTGTTATGGATTGTGCCTTTTGTCCTCCCTACAAACGAAAAGTTGTTTAAATAGGTTAGTGCCAATTAATGATATTTCAAACCTTTTAAATGACTTAGACTAGTTACTAAGAATATCTAATTAATGAACTAGAAAGGCTTATATCTTATATAATTAATCTTCCTAGATATAATGCATACTGCCTTATTTCCTAACTACTAGCTCAATACCATGGTTAAATACATGCTCACCCTGTAGGCCGAAATCTCACATCACGATCAATACTTGTAGTAATAATAGAGTCTCTCGCCTTGAATCCCGTCTCAATGATAACTACCTAGAGTTAGATTTGTACTGTTTTATATACATTCTCCCTTCATTGTTGGATCTCTCTCCTCCTTACCACCAACTCAATAAAATGATTAACCAAAAGCTTACTCCATAGGCCCAAATCTTTCTTCCCGATCAACATTCATGGCAATGATAGCGTCCTTCGCCCCAGGCCAAGCCTTTCGTTTACCTGGAAACAAGCGATAGGCATGAGGACTGAGCAAGCCATCCATGAGCATGTTGCAAAACTTGCGATCGCGCCACCAAAAGTTCCACCCCGCCATGGTATACCCGAGATGTTCTGGCAGGCCAGAACCAATCACCTTGTCAACCCATTCCATCCACTCGGATGCCTTAACGATGGAAGGTGTGACTGGACCCTTCTTGGCGAGATCGATGACCCAAGCGTGCTGATCGTCCACTTGTTTCTCCATATCTGCTTGAGATGGAAAACCTGAGGGATCTTTCCAGAGCTGCGCTACTGCCATGCTGGCCAGATCAAACATGAAGAAGGCTGGGTTCATGAAAGATAAATGACCAATGAAAGCGAGAGTCTTTGGATGATCGAGACTGAAGATGTTCTGGTACAGCCTCGGCAGCGGGCGACCTGTGAAGCCCCGAGACTTCTCCCAGTCCAGGGTTGTGGCCCGGCAGGGATCAGCATCCATACCCGCGACCGAGTAGTCGACGGTGAAACCTGTACAGAATAGAATGGCGTCTACTTCATACTGTTTTCCATCGCTTGTCTCGACCGTCTTTTCATCAATGACGCGAGCAAGTCCATGCGTGCTAACGATGGAACCCTTCTCTAGACACGGGATCAAATCGTCGTTGACAAGCGGACGCTGATTTGTGATGGATGGGGCAGGGTCAAAGCGCCATTCTGGCTTGAGGTCAAAGGTTTTATGGACGAGCTTTCCAATGACGCTGTTCATTGTCTTCTCCCACAAACCTGGTGTGTAGCGGTTCATCATGTTCAGAATCACATACTTGCGGTAGGTTCGTACGTGATCTACAGGCTTGCCGTTGACCCATCGGGGGACCTAGATGTTGAAGTCAGTCGCTAGTAACATTACGAAATGTCTATCTGGCTCAGTACTTACAATGATAGCGCCATGACGATGCGCGAGGTAGACTTGGTCAGCAATAGGGGCCAATTCAGTGGCCATATCGGCTGCCGTGTTGCCAAATCCCAGAATCATAACTCTCTTCCCAGCAAGCACCTCAGGACTGCAAGATCGTCAGGAATGGATAAAACGGTCACTACCATCTTGACTTACTCCTTGAAGGACATAGAATGTTCCACAAATCCTTTAAACTTCTCAATTCCCTCAATCTTGGGTCTCGAAGGTATCTGGTCTGCTCCCATGGCAAAGACTACCTTGTCAAACCATTCCACTTGTGGCTCCGGGGACTCAGGTGTGGACAAGTGTAAGCGCCATTTCTCCGTTTTCTTGTCATACCTAGCACCATGAAAGCTGGTACGAAGGCGACAATACTTGAGAAGTCCAAAATGCTTGGCATAATCTTCAAGGTATTGATTAATGCCCTCCGCAGGGATGAAATCGGGACTGTCTAATTAGAGTTAGTCAGATGGCGTTCCTCTGTCGGTTTATTAATTCCACTTTACCTTCGGGAAAGGGGAAATCTGTAAAGCATCCTCTTTGCTTAGAGCCATTGGATAATGTTGCTATTCAGCATTGTTAGAGATAGAGTTTTATGAATGGGATGCTGATATGTACTTCTCATCACAGTTAACTTATCGCCTTCATCAAAACGCCACAGACCTCCCACGTAGTCATTACGATCAAATCCGACCGCATCGAAACCTTCCTCTCGAAGATTCTTCAGTGTTACAAGGCCAAGGGCGCCAAGACCCACGATAGCGACTGTTGGGGCGGACATTGTGGGAATTATTGGCGAATTGGTCAGCGAGATTAGGGATGTTGATTGATTCAAACCAAAGAAAGACAATTAATCCACAATAAGCTACAAATTAATAAACTACCTCAATTAAAGTCATGACTTGTTTTATTTTACATCCATTCATGCACAAGTTGACTCACCCGGCTTATCCCACGTGTTTTCGGGTCGGGGTGGGTCACCATTTCGGGGCTCGGGAATACCGGGATTCTAGTCCGAACTCAACCCCGTAACCGGGCTAACAATCACTAACAACCATTAATGTGAGCGCCTCATAAATTCTTCCTATCATCGTTTTAATCACCCAACAATCTCGCTTAAGCCTGCTCAAATTATACCTCAGCGATACGCTTGACATCTATTCACCCACGCGCCAACATGGGTTCCATCTCAACTTCTCCATCTCTTATCACTGAGCTTGCAACAGCTGTATCCTCGGCAGCTCAGGAACTGGAAAGGCAATTGGAGTCTCAGGGCCTTCCAAAACCATCATTCCAAGCTGATGGACCAACATATGTTGTTCCTAAGAGTGCGCCCAAAGCAGCCCATGAAGCCCGTGTGGCAACCGCAGAGGCGGCCTTCAAGCTTTTCAATCTAGTGTCTGGTCCCAGCGAGCTCTTGCCAAACATAACAGCTAGTGTATGTAGAAAATGCCCAGTCTCTTTAACTTTAAGCTGATGTAATTATATCAGTACCACACTATCTTTGCACTTCAATGGCTACATCATTTTGATATCTTTTCTCATGTTCCACTGGACGCACCAGTGTCATACGAAGAATTAGCCGTCAAGTCCAATGTGCCTGAGTCTTTACTGAAGGGTATTTCACGTATGGCCATGACAAACAATATCCTGACAGAACCAACTACGGGCTACGTCACTCACACGGCCAACTCTGCCATGTTTCTGAAGTTTCCCAACACCCGCGATTGGGCTTCATACATGTTCACTGCCTCCATCCCAACTGCTGCTGCCATGGTCACAGCTACAGAGAAATGGCCAGGGAGCGTCAAGAAGACTGAGACAGCGTACAACGTGGCATTCCACCATGATTTGCCCTTCTTTGATCACCTGTCTCAGAGCCCCGTCTTGACAAAGCAATTTTCTGGTTACATGAAGAGCGTGACGGATGGTCAGGGTATGGATCTATCTCACCTTGTTCACGGGTTCGATTGGACCAGCTTGCCAGACAAGTCTTTGATTGTCGATGTGAGTCTTATCATCAGTGTTACCTTTCTCTCAAATTATTGACTGACTTCTGATAGATCGGCGGTTCCTCAGGTCATGCAAGTTATGCTCTTGCCGCTGCTTTTCCTCATCTTCGCTTCGAGGTGCAGGACCTCGACACCGTGGTCAACGGAGAAAAGGCGGCCCAAGAACATGAGAAAGCTGCAAAGGAATTCCTACCGGGTAGTCAATCTCGGGTGTTCTTTAAGGCACACAACTTCTTCCACCAGCAGCCGACCAAAGATGCGTCTGTGTACCTGTTGCGAATGATAATTCACGATTGGCCGGATACCGAAGCAAAGACTATCCTGGGCAACATTGTCCCAGCACTCGAGTCAGCTCAAGGCACTCTTCTCATCATGGACACGGTGCTTCCGGCTCCTGGGACTCTGCCGTCGGTGCGCGAGCGAGTTATAAGAACGCGTGATTTGACAATGCGGCAGGTTTTCAACGCGAAGGAACGCGGTATTGACGACTGGGAGGCGCTTTTACGCGAATCGGACCCTAGGCTTGTTTTGAGGAATGTCCGACAACCCGAGGGGAGCAACATGAGTTTGTTGACGATTGGCTTACAGGATTAGCTGGGTATTTGCATCCATATAATCAGCAGTCGACGTGTTTTTATTTGCTCTTTTTGTTTCCTCTTGTGTATCAGGGTCTTGTTAGTCTTTTAGTTCGAGCTATTAATGTGCGAATATGCACATTGATTGGGTGCCATCTCTACTGTTTCTGTGTGACTTCTTTACAACCTAAAGTGGTAAGGCTTGTCTTCTTTCATAATAGTCCGAGTTACACTCTTGTTCCAAAACACGATTGCCGCAGGTTTGAGCGTTTGGAACTGGCTGCCGATTGGCCTTTTGCAGACATAAATTAAATTGTGGACAACATTATACGAACAGACTTCAATCCTTTGGAACAACCTTGCCATCACTAACAAATTCCTCAAAATACCCAACAGTCATTCTGATATTACCGTTAAATTTGCCGTCAGTTGTTAGGAGCAGTTGACTTACGTTGATCTCTTAGTGTCTGCAAATCTGACATGGTCTGGCGCAACCTTCTCAAGAAAACGCGGATCTGCTTTCATACGCTGAAAGTCCAAGATATTCTTGAATATAAACTGAACGATGCAGTCGTACTCAGAGAGCTTAGAAAATTGCGGATCGTACAGCTGATGTAACATCGGGCGTGTGTCTTTTGTGTTGTGTGTCATGGTGTAGCGAACAATACCATATTCCTCCATCAAAGGACTAACGAGTTTGGCGTGAACCTTTGTCATGTGGTGTCTGTACTCCTCATCACTAAGAGAAGCTTTCTTGAAAGCCGTGATGGTGAGGCAGATGAGAGTGTTGGGCTGACTCGGATGGGTAGTGTTCTCAGAGGCTTCCTGGGCATTGTTGTGCGGCGCCATAGTGATGATTGCGGTTTGTGATTCAGCGTGACAAGCTGTGAGTTACCAGATAGGAGATTTTGGCTGCGGATGAGAAGTAGAGGTAATGGAAATGCCAACTGTAGAAAGATAAGCCAAAGAAATGGGGAAAGACAATATCTCGGAAAACCAGAGATTGTCGCCCGGACTTGCCAGGTTGTGGTTTACTAATGTCGGGAATCTAAACAGCTGTGCCGAATCGCGCAATAGCCCGATCAGCCATGTCCGACGAACCCCGACCGACTGACGTCGTATTCGGGTCAGACTCGGGCATAGGATTTCTACTGCTATCCAAGTCTCGTTATTTGACTGTTTCGGTTTTATAAGTCAGCTGATACCAGCACTGAAACAGGTCAAATATCCCGACACCTGCAGGATCACCGGTGAGAAACATACCACTTTCAAAAAAAACTGCACCTTTGTTCAAAGCCCTATGCAGCTCTAAGTTCTTTGTGTGCATACCACAGTCCCCTATCTCGCTATGAGCTCATTCAACATGAACCCTTCCTCGATGGAGGTTTTTGTCTTTGGAGACCAGAGCACTCGCTTTACCCCTTTACTTCAGGATTTACTCCTCAAAGGAAACAGTCCTTATTTAGCACACTTTGTTGAACAAGTTCATGCACTTTTCAAGAAAGAGATTTCATCTCTGCCAATACCTCAGCGAAGGTTTTTCCCAACCTTTGCAAACATCCAAGAACTTGTCTCGAAATCGGATTTAGACGGAGGCAATCCTGCCTTGACGAGTGCTCTGGCATGTTTCTACCACCTAGCCAGCTTTATCCAGTAAGTGGTCAAGTCAAACACTCGAAGGGCCGTACTAACTTTTTAGCTTCTACGATGGGCATGGTCGGGCATTTCCTACAGAGAATAGTCGTATTATTGGACTCTGCGTTGGATCGCTTGCTGCCGCAGCTGTCAGTTGCTCTCGTTCGTTGAGTGAACTCGTATCAGCTAGTGTAGATGCCGTTCGTGTAGCACTATACGTAGGACTACGTGTACTGAGGACTGCCTCTCTGTTCAATACCCCAGATACACCTTCAGCCACTTGGTCTGTCATCGTGCCTGAGACAGTGCTGCCAATATCCTCCGCTCAGGACAGATTGGATTACTTTATAACTGAATCGGTAAGTGACCTTACTACCCATGCGCTATCAATACGGGCTAACCATGATACAGGGCCTTGCTCGATCATCAGTGCCTTACATTAGCTCGGTTGCACATCACAACCTGACTATTAGTGGTCCACCATCTGTTCTTGAACAATTCGTCCGTACGATAGCATCGTCTTCGAAAGATGCTCTGCCAGTACCGATACACGCTCCGTACCATGCCAGCCATCTTTATAGCCAGGATGATATAGACGAGGTTCTTGAGCTGGCGGCACCGACTTTCATATCGAAACCAACCATCCCAGTCATTTCTAGTTGCTCTGGAGAAGGTCTTGAGTCTTTGGACTACACGCAGCTACTTCGCCATTGCATCAATGACATACTCATCAATCGAATGGATCTTACTAAGGTCTCGCAAGCAGTGCATCACCTCCTCTTGAACAGCTCGCCTTCTACATCTATACTGTTGAAGCCTGTCGCAACCAGCGTCTCAAACAGTATAGTATCTTCTATGGAGCCGTCTTTGGCTGGAAGATGTGTGGTAGACAGTAGCATGAGCCCCTCGGCTTCGATTCATCTCCCGTCAACAAAGGAACAGCCTGAAGCATTAAGCAAGAGCTCCAAGATTGCTATAGTATCTATGTCCGGTCGTTTTCCGGATGCAGCCAACTTGGGTGATTTTTGGGATCTGCTTTACGAAGGTCGTGATGTTCATCGACAGATACCCGAGGATCGATTCAATGCAGAACTCCACTACGATAGCACTGGAAGACGCAAGAATACTAGCAAGGTCATGAATGGGTGCTTCATCAAAGAGCCTGGACTGTTCGACGCCAAGTTCTTCAACATCTCTCCAAAAGAAGCGGAACAGTCAGATCCTGGCCAGCGAATGGCCCTTGAGACGGCCTACGAGGCGCTGGAGATGGCTGGTATCGTCCCGGATAGAACGCCTTCGACTCAAAGGGATCGCGTAGGCGTCTTCTACGGCATGACTAGCGATGATTGGAGAGAAGTCAACAGCGGCCAAAATGTTGATACTTATTTTATTCCAGGTGAGCTATTGGTTCATTGCTCGCAATGATAGTTCATGCTAATACCAGAGTACAGGTGGCAATCGAGCTTTCACCCCAGGCAGACTCAACTACTTCTTCAAATTCAGCGGGCCAAGTGCCAGTGTTGATACAGCTTGCTCCTCTAGCCTTGCTGCTATTCATTTGGCTTGCAACGCGCTATGGCGAAATGACTGCGATACAGCGATTGCTGGTGGAACAAATGTCATGACCAATCCTGACAACTTTGCCGGCTTAGACAGAGGCCATTTCTTATCGAGGACGGGTAAGCAGCGCTTACAAGATAGCACAGCCAGCCTCTTATAGGATAATATTTGCTGACACTTAATCAGGAAACTGCAATACATTTGATGATGCAGCAGACGGGTACTGTCGCGCTGACGGCGTCGGAACCATTATCCTCAAGAGACTGGAAGATGCAGAAGCAGACAATGACCCTATCCTCGGCGTCATCCTTGGAGCTTACACAAATCACTCAGCTGAAGCAGTATCAATCACCCGACCGCACGCTGGAGCCCAGGAGTATATCTTCTCAAAGCTCCTCCGCGAATCCGGCGTCAACCCCTACGACGTCAGCTACATCGAGATGCACGGCACAGGGACACAAGCCGGCGACGCAACCGAGATGTCCTCCGTTTTGAAGGCTTTTGCTCCCACTAGTGGCCTCGGTTGCCGTCTTCCTCATCAGAGCCTTCACTTAGGCTCAGTCAAGGCAAACGTGGGCCACGGTGAATCTGCATCTGGTGTAGTTGCTCTCATCAAGACGCTTCTTATGATGCAGAATAACATGATCCCGCCTCATTGCGGCATCAAGACCAAGATCAATCATCATTTCCCTACAGATCTTGTGCAGCGCAATGTTCATATCGCTGGAGCGCCGACCCCGTGGACGAGATCGGCTGAGGGAAGTACAGGGCGTACTGCTTTCGTGAACAACTTTTCTGCGGCTGGGGGTAACTCGGCCGTCTTGTTGCAAGATGCCCCTCTACCTACCATGAGCGCAGATATTTTTGATCCTCGCTCGTCTCATGTTGTGACCGTGTCTGCTCGGTCAGTAGAGTCCCTGAGAGGAAACCTCGTCAACATCAGAGAGTTTGTGCAAGGACAGGATCGTTCACAAACAGATTTACTTAGCAAGCTCTCTTATACAACATCAGCCAGACGCATGCATCACCAATTCCGAGCTTCTGTCACAGCCCAGAACCTTGAGCAGCTATTAATGGGCCTTGAAGCTGCTATTGAGCGCCAGGACGTCAAGAGAATACCCGCTGCGGCTCGCCCAGTTGGCTTTGTCTTTAGCGGCCAAGGCGCCCAATACAGCGGCATGGGTAAAGACTACTTTGAGCATTTCACTGTCTTTCGCTCAGAAATAATATCTTATGACAGCATTGCTCGATCTCAAGGGTTTCCGTCCATCCTTCCATTGATCCGAGGAGAGGTCAAAGTAGAGTCGCTGAGTCCCGTGGAGAGTCAGCTCGGTTTGGCGTGCCTGCAGATGGCACTTGCTAAGCTATGGAAGTCGTTCGGCATAGAGCCCAGCTTTGTTCTTGGGCACAGCCTGGGTCATTATGCTGCTCTGCACATTGCTGGCGTTCTGTCTGCTACAGATACCATCTACCTCACCGGTACAAGAGCACAGCTGCTCACAGATAAGTGCCAGGCTGGCAGTCACTCGATGCTTGCCGTGCGAGCATCCTTGCTGCAGATTCAACAATTTCTGGATGCCAACATTCATGAGGTCGCTTGTGTGAATGGGCCACGAGAAGTCGTCATCAGCGGAAAGGTCGCCGATATCGACCAGCTGGCTGAGGTTTTGTCAGCTGACAATATCAAGGCCACCCGCATCAAGTTGCCTTTTGCCTTTCATTCAGCTCAGGTGGACCCAATACTATTTGATTTGGATACGGTCGCCTCTCGAGTCACTTTCCACTCACCCCAAATTCCTGTTCTTTGTGCACTAGACAGCTCCGTCATCAATCCTGGCAATCATGGTGTAATCGGTCCCCTCCACCTCCAGCGTCATTGTCGCGAGACGGTCAACTTCGAGGGTGCTTTACACGCTGCGGAGCGAGAGAAGATCATCAACAGGAACTCAACTCTTTGGATTGAGATTGGCCCCCATGTCGTTTGCTCTGCCTTTTTGAAGGCCAGCCTTGGTCAAGATACACCGACTATCGCATCTCTTCGACGTAATGACGATTCTTGGAAGGTCTTGGCTGATGGCTTGAGTACCTTGTACAACGCCGGATTACCAATTGACTGGGACGAGTACCACCGGGACTTCAAGGCGTCCCACCAGGTATTACGTCTTCCTTCATACAGCTGGGATCACAAGAATTACTGGATCCAGTACAAGCATGATTGGTCCTTGACAAAGGGTGATCCTCCAGCAGCCGCCAATGGTAACGGCTCGACAGAGGCAGTTTCAGCCTTGTCAACGCCCTCGGTGCAAAAGATTCTGCAAGAAAATTTACACGATCAAGTTTTAACTATCGTTGCTGAATCGGATCTATCGAACCCTCTATTGAACGAGATTGCTCAAGGTCATAGGGTCAATGGTGTCAAAGTCTGCACATCCTCAGTATATGCCGATGTCGGCTTGACACTGGGTAAGTATATACTCGACAAATACCGCATCGACTTGGAAGGCTATGCGGTGGATGTTCACGGTATTGAGGTTCATAGGCCGCTGCTCCTCAAAGAAGGAATAGATGGTACATCTCAAAAGACCCCGTTCAGGATCGAAGTACGGTACCCCACCACAAGCACTACGGCATCGATGAACATTTCCAGCACTGGTCCCAACGGTCAGCGCATCGAGCACCTTGATTGCGACCTTCGACTTGAACATCCGTCCAACTGGGAGGCGGAGTGGGATCGCCAAGCTTATCTCATCAAGCGCAGCATTGACTACCTCCAAGAGCGAGCTACTCAAGGCTTGGATAGTATGTTATCGAGCGGTATGATCTACAAGGTTTTCTCCAGCCTTGTCGACTACCACGATGGCTTCAAGGGACTGCGAGAGGTCATTCTGCATAGCCAGGAGCTTGAGGGTACAGCCAAAGTGCGGTTCCAAACCCCACATGGAGGCTTCGTCTGCAATCCCATGTGGATTGACAGCTGTGGCCAGACGACTGGCTTCCTCATGAACTGCCATCAAACCACACCCAACGACTACGTCTATGTCAATCATGGCTGGAAGTCGATGAGGTTGGCAAAGGTGTTTCGACAAGACGTGGTCTATCGGACTTATATCCGGATGAGGCCCGTCGATGGGACCAAGTTTGCCGGTGACCTGTACATACTGGATGAGGATGAGACTATAGTCGGTGTGTATGGCGATATAACAGTGAGTATAACGGATTGGTTTTAGCCACAGTACTATACTAATGCAAGGAACAGTTCCAAGGCCTACCGCGCCGGGTACTCAATACAGTCTTACCTCCTGCCAATTCGGTTCCGATCGAGGCTCCTAGAGGTCGACGGGATCTGCCACCACCAATGCTGGATGCACCCGCTACAAGGTTTGGAGAAAGACCACCACCACCGGTATCTGCTGGACCTGGAGCAGCATTCTCGTTGCCACAGGCAGCCGATCCATCCATGGATAGCCAATTGAGACCACTTCTACGGATCTTATCCGAAGAGATTGGTCTCAGTCTTGACATCCTTTCCGATGATGAACTTGACTTTGCAGATCATGGTGTTGACTCACTTCTCTCATTGACCATCACTGGTCGCATGCGTGAGGAGCTAGGTCTTGACATAGACTCTTCAGCCTTCTTGACTTGTCCCACTTTGGGCAGCTTCAAGAAATTCCTTGGGCTTGCCGAACAGGATAGCAAGGGGAGTTACAGCACTGAGGGAAGCGATACAAGCAGTCCATCGCCTGGTATTGAGTCTGGCGTCACTACGCCGCCGGCGGATGACGAGGAGCAGGAAAAGGTCGTCGACAGTCACGATCATAGTCACTTGCTGCACCAGTTCCGAGCCACCTCAACGCTTCTCCAAGGCAGTCCTAGCAAGGCCCGTTCAACTTTATTCTTACTCCCAGACGGTTCAGGCTCTGCTACATCGTACGCGTCCCTGCCCCCAATCTCCTCAGATGGAGAGGTTATTGTCTACGGGTTGAACTGCCCGTGGCTCAAGGACGCCAGCTACCTTGTCCAATTCGGAGTCAAGGGCCTGACAGAGCTCTACGTCAATGAGATTCTGCGACGCGACCCGCACGGCCCATACAACTTGGGAGGGTGGTCAGCTGGTGGCATCTGCGCTTATGAAGCTGCCCTTATCTTAACCAGGGCAGGATACACAGTCCAACGTCTCATCTTACTTGATTCTCCTAATCCTGTTGGCCTTGAGAAACTGCCGCCTCGCTTGTACGACTTTCTAGATTCTCAAAATGTCTTTGGGTCAGATAACCCGCACAGCGCCACGGGGAGCGGCAGCGCCAAAGCGCCAGAGTGGCTTCTTGCACATTTCCTAGCCTTTATCGATGCCCTGGATGCCTACATCGCCGTTCCTTGGGATGCTGGCCTTCTCGCTGGGGATGGTTTGATATCGCCACTACCAGCATCTCCGCAGATATATCTACTGTGGGCAGAGGATGGAGTGTGCAAGAATACGGATGACCCTCGTCCAGAGTACCGCGATGATGACCCGCGTGAGATGCGATGGCTGTTGGAAAATAGATCCAATTTTGGACCTAATGGATGGGATGTGTTGCTTAATGGTAATGAGGAGCTATTTGTGGACCGGATTCCAGGAGCGAATCATTTTACCATGTTGAAGAGAGGACAGAACGCGAAGTATGTATCAGCATTCCTCGCGCAGGCTTTAGGTATTTAAATGTAATAGTCGAGTTAAGTATTTCTGCTTTCTATTTCGCTTTCTTTTTTACTTTCTTTTTCTCTTTTGTAATTCTAGAAATGAAGTTACACTGAATTAGATCCTATTTATAAATTTAGTCATGCCCATAGGTGAGTTTTGTTGTCTTCCTAATACTATGGACTGTGAAGTGATGAAGATAAGATAGACTGAGATAAGGAATGACAACTGTTATCAGATATGATAAGATATGATAAGATATTGGATGATTAACAATAGTTACTAACTATAAAGGGTTAGCTTACTTCTTATCACTTAAGATCCACTACCCTAGAGTTGTACATGTAGTTAAATTTAGATAATAGGTATAACTAGTTATGAAATATATATATTATACAGTCCTGCTTATGTATATTAGAAGATAATATTAAAGTATTCTACTTATATTATTTATTGAAAACGTACCTTTAAGAAGGTAATAATTAGGTTGCCACGTAAATAACACGGTGAACCTTCTTCCAACAGAATGCTACATAATCAACGCGATGTAATGTATTAAACGAGCATTTATTCTGCACCAAAACATACTTGATAACGCTCTGTCTGCTTCTAAATGTCTCAACCATTACTCCGTTGGACATACTACGGACTCGCCACTGCAGGAAGTTAAAAAGCCATTTAAAGTCCATAGCCCAACATTCTTACAGGCCGTAATATTGAAATGTATGATTTGCAAGTGAGGTAACAATATTCATAAGCTTATCTAGGTGAAAGGATAACTACAGGTATGGAATCCCTTTTGATAACTGAATCTTATGTCTTGTTGACAAAAGAAGAAAAATTGAATGTTTCTTGATCATCCCTCCCGCGAACGTCATTTGCATTCCCATCCAACAATTGTTGCCAAAAGTCCCAATCCATATCAACCCCCGCCATTATGCCTAAGAAATCTTCCCCAGTCGTCATGCCTGAATATGTCTGTGAAACTGGCCGGTCCATCGCGCCCAACTCACTCGGACCACCAACGGACACCTCGTTTATCTGTGGCAAGCTCTGTGGTGTAGCTGGCCCAACGGCGTCTTGAGTCGTTGGAACCTGCCGGGAGGCTTCACTCGCTAGCGCCGCTCGCGTCTGAACAAGGTTGGTTATGCATGGCAACTCCTGAGGAACTGGAGATACCTCTGCCCTGGCATTTGCAACTCTTTGATCCCAAGCTCTAAGGGTAATGTTGCCTAGAGCCCAGTATAGAGGATCTCCAGTATCAGAGATGAAGAATGGGTGGTGCTCATACACTTGATTGATCACATCCCACGCCGAGTCGACAATTTGACCTGCTGTGCGAGCAGATAAAGTGCTAATGAGAAGAATAAAAGTCTCGAATGGGAAGAAATTAGAAATATGCCATAGATACTTTTGCAGCACAGGACTTGAATGCGATAAAATATCGTAGTGTATTACCTCCATACTGTTTTCTAGCAGGATGTTGATTTGTTCTGCACTGAGATCAGAGGTCTTTTCTCGGCGATGATTAGGATGATATACTGAGAGGCGTAGTTGGCAAATAGCAGATCGAGCGAGATACGCTGTTAGGATGTTGAGTGGAAACTCTTTATCCATTTTGCTGAGGTACTCTTCCTCAATGTGACGCTCTAGCTCGTTGATGGCCTTGAAAAACTTGGCCTGGCCCGCCGCTGATGTTCCAGAGCTGGAGTCCAGTAGACACCTTTGCGTTATCATCCACACACCAATTTCAATGCGGACTTTGCAGAACACCATGTCAGTGGTAGAGGGCGATGAAAGTGGCAATATACTTGCTGACGGCACGAGGTCAGCGTCGCTCAGGTTGACTGGCTGTCGCGTGTCTCCACAGAGTTGCATGTCCGGGTTCATGGATGCACCTGTGAGTTGTGAAGCTCGGCCATCTAGGATGACTATCTGCCACCATACTCGACGGCGTAGCTCGGCTTCAAAAGGTGGTAGGTCTTTGAGCGAACTTTCACGATGGAGACCCATCCTTTGGCCCATGCGGGTTGCAAGTCCTGTCAACAACCATAGGATATCATGGTCACAGATATGACGTAGCGATAGCTCAGGAACGTCAGTACATCTATGTTAAAAATTTTTGCTGAATATTTTACTTACCAGGTGGAGAGTGAAGCCTTGAAGAACCCTTAAATCTGTAGACCTGAGAAAGTCGGCTTTGCTCAAGGCAACTTCGGTCGCATCGCAGTACCTAGCGAGCAAGACCTCCCTTGGCGTGCTAAACATACTGCGGCATTCCTTATCCGTCAGGGAAACTACAGCAACGAGGTATATGGCAAAGATAAGAGCTCCCATAGGGCCTGTGGTCGAAGATGGGGTAGAAAACGTTTCGAGAATGTCCTTTTGAACTGTCGGGCCATGGAGGATCTTGGTCAGAGGATGGACGTTGCTGAGGAAGACTTGCCACAGTTGAAATGAGTGCACAGCTGATGGGTACTCCAACGAAGCAGAAGTTGATTTTTGGTGGCCAAAGATGAGGTTTCTCTCGGTTGACGGCGTGCCAGTTCTTGCTCGTCGGGCGGGACGCTCCGGGTCTGGACTGAGGTCTCTGCCTTCCATCTGTAACCATGATAAGCCTCTATTGGTTTTCTAAATTTGGTAAATCATTGATCAAGGGACTCACCTCATTGCCTAGGGACTTCCATAGCTTATTGCTATCAAATTGTTTGTAAATAGTCCAATCAGAATTAACTTGCTTTAGGGAACATACTCTTCAACATAACGACGCTGGTCTCCACTGACGATGACCTGCCCATCACGATCAAGACTCTCGGACTGCGACTGTTCAGGCACAAGGCGCCGCTGATTCAACCGTGCATTACGGGTGTGAGTTGGTGATAATCGGATGCGTACACAGTCTTTACCCGTTTTAACGCAATATGCGCATGGTGTTTGGCCGTTGCATCTGATTTTCCGGTGCTGACAAGGAACGCATGAATGTCCTCTAGTGACTTTTGGTTCTGTCATGGCAGCTCTTAGTTGCAGATTTTGGAAGAATAAGCTGTAGCATAGAAAGTAAAATGATATTGCCGAGAATCAGATACGATGATGCACATTAGCCAGGGTAGTTGGTGGTTGGGACAAGTTACATCCATCAGACCATTCCTCGGTCTGGGTACGATAAGATAAGAGGCCAGATAAACAAGAATTATCAGATCATGTTTTTCGTATCCGTACGGCCACTACTAACAGCCGAACCAGTGATGCAGGGCTCTTAGTGCCCGGCGCGGTACCGCTTTCAGGGCTGATAGCGTGTTTCGGTCCCGAAAGCCTAAATTTAGTTGCCCGACCGATCCGTCATCGCCTCAGCGCGGGACCGCTCTAGAGATGTGGTTAATGACTGATTGTTTCCCGTCGCCGAGATGACATCTGCCATTCCGTTGTTGTTTTTTCTCCTGTGTCCGGGCGAAATCATGTCCCGAAATTAGTCTGCAGAACTCGTGTATATCAGAGGTCTTTGTCCACTACCAATTTTATTTCTGAATCTCATCATCCTACTCCAAAACAAACAAGTCAATCGTTACAAGTCACACCCAACATCATTTCCTCCCCAACACAATGCCAGACTCTACAGACGTGGAAAAGCTCGACAGAGCAGCCACTCCAGAGTCTACACCCAAAGAACACCCCTCAACGTTTGATCCCTCCGAATCCAAGCCTGAGCCAGAGCTAGAGCCAGTAGAGGATGAATCCAAGTACCCCCACGGCCTCAAGCTGGCTGCAATCATCCTCTCCAACATGGTGGCCATGTTCCTTGTCGCCTTGGACCGCACCATCATTGCAACTGCCATCCCCCGCATCACTGATGACTTCAACGCCCTTGGCGACATCAGCTGGTACGCCAGTGCCTACCTTATTACCAGCTCAGCTACACAGCTGCTTTGGGGCCGCATCTTTACCTTTTACCCTACCAAAATAGTCTATCTTGTCGCAATTTTCTTTTTTGAACTAGGCTCTCTTCTGTGCGGCGTGGCTCCCAATTCGGTTGCTTTCATTATAGGACGTGCCATTGCTGGCGCCGGCTCCGCAGGCATCTACTCTGGCTCTACCATTCTCATCACCACTGTCACGCCTCTTTCCAAGCGTGCAGGGTATGTCGGGATGATGGGAGCCGTCTTCGGCATTGCATCCGTCATCGCGCCCTTGATCGGAGGAGCCTTCACTGATCACGTCACCTGGAGATGGTGCTTCTACATCAACCTTCCCGTCGGAGGAGCCGCTGTCGCCTGTCTTATACTTCTCTTTCCCCAATTTCCTACCAATGAGTCAGTTTCCATCAAGCAGCAAATCAAGCAACTTGACCCTTGGGGAAACCTTGTCTTCCTCCCGGGTGTTATCTGCCTCATCCTTGCGCTCCAATGGGGCGGAGAAAAATACCCCTGGGACGAGGGTCGCATTATTGCACTTCTTGTATTGGCCTGCGTCCTTCTCATAGCCTTTGTGGGCATTCAGATCTGGCAGCAAGAGAACGCTACTGTTCCACCTCGTCTGTTTAAGATCCGAAATGTCTGGCTCGGCACCATCTTTGCTTTCTGCCTCGGATCTGTTCTTATCATATTTTTGATTGCCCTACCAATCTGGTTCCAGGGCATTCGAGGCACAAATGCCATCACCTCTGGTATTGACACACTCCCTCTCGTCCTGTCGCTTGTCTTTGGAGCAATCGTCTCTGGTGGTGTTATCAACGGTGTCGGATGGTTCAACCCTGTTTTCTTTTCCTCCGTCATATTTATGGCTGTTGGCGGTGGTCTTATCACCACCTTTGTTATCGACACGCCGACCCACACCTGGATCGGATACCAGATTATCCTCGGCCTTGGCATCGGTCAAGGCATGCAGCTTGCCAGCTTGGGAGCTCAAGTTGCTGTTACACAGAAGGACGTCCCTACAGGTGTTTCACTTATGTTCTTTGCTCAGTCCCTCGGCGGCTCAGTGCTTGTCTGCGTTGGCCAAGCCGTCTTCAACAATGAACTTCGATCTCGTCTTACTACATTTGATGGGATTGATGTTGCCAAGATCGTCGGCGCTGGTGCTACGCGATTACGTGATGTTGTACCAGCCGACCGTCTTACTGAAGTGCTTGTTGAGTACAATGTAGCGCTTCGTAGCTATTTTTATGTTGGCCTGGCAGCTGCTTGCTTCGCAGTACTCCCCTCACTGGGTATTGAATGGAAGAATGTCAAAGGTAAGGAGTTTGTACACTAGTTATACAATTGGATCAATTTTTGGTATTGAGCTGGAAAAAATTGAAAAGGCTCAGGTGATGGAATATTTAAAATAAGCATGGAGGAGGTTTCTAAAATTAAGCCACCAATCAGGGCGTTTAGATAGGTAATAGATGGTATGATAAAAAACAATAAGCATGTCTTGAGAGGAGAATATGTGGGGGCATTTCAATAAATATAATTTTAAAGATTTATTACTAAGCAAATTAGAAGCATTTCGGCTAAATAAGAAGCCAAATAAACTTTAAGGATGAGAAAGCTGGATTCTTATTTACAAAAATGATCGAAATTTTATATTTGGCTTAGCGTTATCAAAAATCAATCTGAATACGGCGCAGCTTGAAAGTACCAGCCGAAAGGGTGGTCTATTTTATGATAATACTACTCTGGTACTACGTGGTGTCATCTTTTTTCCAAGATGCCAAGACGGCTCAAACAGCCGAGATGCGACCATGCACGAATTTAAAAACATTGCCTGGATCAACCTCTTTCTTGACCGCCTTTAGCCGATCCCAGCTGTCTCCATAACAGCCCCTTGCATCCTTGCCCGTCTCCATGAAGCTGACATATGTAGGCCCAATGCTGTCTCCTGTCGCTTCCACGCCATCAACCAGATGATCTGACCATGCGATAGCAACACCTTCTTGCGCCGCAGCCTCAGTTACGGCGTTTATGTGCAGCATGATGTGCGGGCGCCTGGTGCCGAAAGCAGATGAAGTATTTGGCCGAGCCGCTTTCCCGTGCAGGATCGTGCAGGTTACAGAGCAGTCAGCTTCCTGCGGGATGGCCTCACAGGCGTCGATCAGTTGTGTGACCGTGGCGCTGGTGAACTTGGCGATACTGGCGTGCCGCGATGTGACGTTGACAGGGTCGCTGATAGCGCTGGAAATGCTACTCTGGAAAGCCTGAAACGTAGCTGGTTCTCACGTCAGCGGGTATCCTGCCTGGTAGTAGTAGAAGCATCCAAAATCGGTAAACTTACTCTCTTGAACAGTGTCGACAATGCACGTGCCAAGGTTCTTTAGTTCCTGGAGCCACTTCTCACTCTCTGGCCCAATTGTTTCCGCTTCGGGCCAGATATAGGTCAAAGCCATGCCGAGACCCCATTCACCCTTGCTAAACCCCGCCTGAATACAGAGTTTGTCGGGGACCCCAGAGTCGAGAAGGGCCTGTAGTCGCAGCAAGACACCTGCTGTTTCTGGCCAAGGATAGACAATAAATCCCGCCTGAATTTTGGACATGGGATAAACCTGCACCTTTGTCTCGACAATAATACCAAAATTGCCGCCCCCACCCCGCACAGCCCACAGCAGCTCCGAGTCCCCGTGGGTGGTAACCAAATCGCCATTAGCCGTGACGATCTTGGCACCAACGATGTTGTCTACGCCCAATCCAACATAGTCGCCGAGCGGGCCGTACCCTCCCCACGACGCCCACGACGTCCATCCAGCCTCACCCGCAAAGCCATTCGAGGTGCAGAGGCCGTGCAACCCCAGGAAGCCAACGAGATTCTTACTGGTGATGCCGCCGCCAACAGTGACAGTCTTCTTATCATGTGCAAGTTCCTGCGTATCAAGCTCTCGCATGTCGATGGTGATGGAGTCGGCAATGCAGCCGCGTCCAAAGACATCGTGGCCTCCGCAACGAACCCCGAGCGGCACGTCCAGATCCGTGGTGGCTTTCACAATGGCCTGCACCTGGGCGACCGAAGTGGGTCGACAAAGGGCCAGGGGTTTTGCCGTAATGAGCTTGTTGTAGACCCCTCGAAGGGTCTCGTAGCGAGGTGAGGAGCATGTATAGATCTTCAGATCTGGGATTGCATCCTTCAGCTTGTCCAGGGCCGGGTTTCCATGAGTTTGTGCGTCTTGCGTTGCATCAAATGGCATCACGTCATGCCGATAAGGTGCTGCAGCAAAGGAAGACATGGTTTTGCGGGATGATATGATGGAGTAAGAGCTGTGGCGTAATGGTCTGATGATACTGGTTCTTAGGTGAGAGCGAGGTGAGAAAGACATATTCTTTATTGCTCTTAAATTATGTCGTATTTGACTGACATTCAAAGAAAGAACACCTGTTAAAAATCATTAATAATAACTCATTCAGTCTTCCTTTGCTCCGTATGCAACGGTCGGGCTAGAATTCGGAGTGTGGATCGGACCGACGGTTCTAGAGCAAAGGCCCGGTCCGGGTCTTGGTCCCCGATGACGGGTGGGGCAAATCCGCAGACGTTATGCATGCAGGTAATACGACATACGAGTTGTTCCGTTTTACCCGTGCGCCACCTTTTGGTAATTCCCTTCTGGATGGCTAGCTAAGATGTAGGAACCCATATTGTGGTGTACGCTTGTTTATCTTTTGCCCTTTTTAAAGTTTACGTTAGTTTGTCTTGTCTTTTCTAACTACCGTGAATGGAGCTTAACCCATCTTGGAAGATTTTATTACAGTACCAAGTTATAGCCGTTGGGTATCTTCAGCATGACATACCTACCCTATTAATTAGCATTTAAAATGATGGGATTAAGTCTCTGAGATATGGTTATAAATCTTGAACGGGGTTATTACCTAATTGCAGTCTGGATTCAGCTCTATACTGCAATATAGCCCTGTATGTATCTGCCTAAGTTTATGCGTAAGAGAGGCATGTTTCAAAAACCACATTCCTAACCCAAACCAGTCACGATAAGAAATCATATCATTGCCGAACTGCATGTCAGCCCTAATCCAATAGAGGAAGTCATGCAGGATTGTCATCTCATATCTACATGAACTTCAGCCAGGTGTGTCTAAACCTTGCTGTCCATTAGCGACAACATGTGGTCGTTCCGGGTATCAAGTCGGATAAAGCTGATAGGTTGTTTTTGTCATACTGAGCTTATTCAGCTTCTTGCAGATGTCATATCAAATCGTCTCTAACAAGTATCTCGTGTATTAGATCCACAGCGATGATGTAAACTGGCTCTGATATAAGAAGGGCGTTAAGCCCACCAATAGTCAATTAACAGTATAATTGGAACCGATAAACCGCCCCCAGTTTACTATTGTTATATATTCGGAGTCAGATCGGGTCAAAAAGTTCTAGCACTCAGTTTATCACATCATACATACCCCACTATCAGTCCCCATGAACCCCATGGACTCCCTTCAGTACCGCGAAAGTTGCGATAACTGTGCCAAATCGAAAGTTCGTTGTGGCAAGGAACAACCCTGGTGCCAAAGATGTACACGGCGTGGGCAGATCTGCAGCTACAGCCCTTCTCAAAGATCAAGGAAACGAACCTTTTCCAATACACAATTGGAAGCCGAGCAACGGACTGCTGCTTTGCCATTCACAGCCATGAGCAGCTCTACATCCATGAATGCGTTGTTTAGTGGCTCCAATGTCTTGCTTGGCCAGTCCGACGGTTGGGGTTCATGCCCTGACCTCATCGAACTCTTGACCAGTGGCAGTAACTCTGAGTCACTGACACCAGACAACACCAACCTTGCGTGGCTGTCGGACATTGAGTCAATAACTGGAGACAACACTTTGGGCAAGAATATGGAGAGGTTTGAAACCCCCACATACCTAAAGAGGCATACCCCTAGTACCTCATCGTTACCAGCTATGGGCAGTAGCAGTGGAACTAGTGTCGACATGGATGGTTCGAGGTCAACGAGCTCAATCGGGGACCGACAGCATTGTGAGGCCGATCTCATATCTGCGTTGGCAAAGCCAGATCTCCCCTCCTTGTCATGCTGGGTCGACTCCGAATCCTCCCAGAACCTCGGTACCATCCTCACTGCCAGCCGCTCGACACTCAAGTGCGTAACCGCTGTCATGTCATGCACATGCACCCCAAACGACAACGTCGCATTGCTCTTCACAGCCGTACTCTTGCGTATCCTATCTTGGTATCATATTGTGCTTCAACACTGCCATACTCCTGCAAACGGCAGTACAGTAGCGACCGATGGTTGCAAGAGCCCCTTATCCTCTACGGATGGAAAGGAATCAAAGCGGCCATTAACAAAGGATACCAATTTGTCACAAGACAAAATCGAGCCCTCAAATCTCATCGTGCCGCCAATGACGATCGGAGCCTACGAGCTAGACTCTGAGAATAGAGAGCGTATAATCGGGCATATTATGCTCAGCGAGTTAAGTAAGATGGGGGATTTATTGGGCAACTTCTCCAAGAGATTTTGTGATCCTCAATTGACTTCGTTGACCAATGATAATAGAAGTCAGATGTTTCTGGCTTTGGAAATGTTTATTCGGAATAAATATACTACCACCATTTTAGCTATAAGAAAGAAGTTAGAAATTAGGTAGATAAAAGATTGTTTACCTGGCTTTAGAAATGAAATAGTCTTGTTCTAAATAAAACCAGGACATAGTCTTTACTGATAGAATGACCAACATACGAATGCAGTGTGCTATAAAACCCATTGCTCCACTCCGCTTAACGATCTCACATACAGAGTTAACATCTGGTACTTGTATGCCTCCAATAAACTTCCACTCCAAAATGAACGGCAATTCCTGCCTTTTACAAGCCAGAGGGCATTGTATACCATGGCTTCGGAACAGAGACACAAGAGAAGACCCCCTTGGTTGCGGGGCCGGTTGTCGGTCCTTGAACCCATGTCCAATCACCTTTAATAGTCCCATCTGATGCAATAGAAGATGATAGCCCTAAGCACTTTGATCCTGAACTCCAAAAACAAAAGACCCTTCCCATCGCTTGCACGACATTGAACCAATTAGCATCCATCTTGGATGTTCCAGGAACAGTTGCATAACCTTGTGCTTGAATGGTATCGGTAGAAGTGTTGAGCGATCCGTCGCTTTCCAATTGAACGTAATAATAGCCAATGCCGGAGGTCAAATCGCATGCCCAGAACATGTACAAGAGATATGTGTTCGAATTGTTGTTGCTTGTCACCAGAGATCCCATTGGATAAAAGTCGCTGTCCCAGAAGTTGGGGTTAGCATTCTCAGGTAACAGAACTTGAGTCCTTGTACAGTAAGCATTGCCACCAGAGCTTGTTGGTAGGTATTGTGGTTGAAAGCTATCCAACCAGAAGTAGCGGAATGTCACCTCATGTAACGACCTGAGGCTCAGATAGTGTACGTAATTGAAGTTAGGAAACATGGCTGTCGGGCAAATCAATTGGCCGTTCACCGCTGCAAGAGGTCCTTTTTTCGAACCGGGAGTAGTCGACGGTGTGATTGTAATCTCATACCATGCTGACCCATTGGGTTGCCGAATCCAGTAAGAATTGTCCACGGAACGTTGCATATAATCCGGGGTTACATTTTTGATTATATCGCAACCATTTGAAGAAGTAACAACGAGTCCTCCTATATAAACAGCGCCGAAGGTATCTTTGACCGGCAACTCAACACTGTCGATCAGGCCCAAGTGAGAGCTAATTCTCGCGGCATAGAACGGAGTGGCATCGCCACCCGCTTGACCTTTAAAACTCCACAACGACATTAGGAGGAGGTCGCTGGTCTCATCGAAAAAAAAGCCTGGAGCAGCTTGTTTGCCCGTTGGGACTGTTCGAGGAACTGGGCCTTTAGAAACCCACGAGGTAGGGCTCTTGGGATTGGAGTCGGTTGGATTGGGAACCCATATAGTGACATTATAGGTCCCGTCAGTTGTCGACTCAGAGACATTGAAGATTATTTGTTCGCCCATCTTTTTTGCAAAAGGATAATGAACAAGATTTGAACAAATGTGTTGCTGTACACGTGCGAAGTAGCGTGAGAACAAGTGTGGTGTAAATTGTTGAAAAGTTCTGAAGGTAAGATAAATAGATTAGGCAGGAAAAGAAGACCTGAGCTTCTGCTGATAAGGTGATCAAGTATGAACAATTAAACAGAGGATTTGGCACTACTATAAGCCTACTTTAGATACAGCACATTGCTCGGTAACGTTCCGCCCTTAAGCGATTTAGAAACTTTGTTACCCTAATTCGTGGCTTGAAGCATTTGAAGTCTAGAATGATGCGTAACTCGTATGATTCTAAGCCATCCCTTCGTTGACATCTTGTAAATGTGGCGGGCGGCACATCAATAGTAAATAGTGATTAAAGTAGGTGTAGCTAATGATATTACTGCCCGCTCTCGGTCAGTATGTATGTCTTGCTCTTTTGGCCCTAGGTGCTGTATTTTAAACATGGGGTTTGGGTCTAAGGAAGGATGGAATTTTAGTTACTGGGCCGCTGCGGACGCATAGTTAAGCTCTGGACAAATAATATGCGGTAGAATAAACAATAGACCCTTTTAGTTAGTTTTAGTGTTTGCGGTGGCATTTTAGATCTAAGCCTGGACTCAAATAGGTTATTCCTAATTGAGAATAAGATTTCCTTATCAAGCCATTTCGCTTATAGATCTAAAACATGTTTCTAAGACTACGGTCTAGAAGTAGACGGTGTGACATTGGCTGGCCTACTGCGTCTGCTGGAATCCAGCAGCTGGATGAAATGTATGGTTTAATAAGCCGCTATGACCTTTTAACAAATGCCGTTTTATCGGCTGGACGAATAGACAGTATATCGAAAAGCCACCATGTGATTGGAAAAACCTCAAGTACAGAACTAAACCACAGAAGTATTTTCAGCTGCATTCAGGACGCCATGTCATCCTTTTTAAGACTTAGGCATTTTATCTACTAGAGCCTCAGTAAATGAAAGAAATCGTTTAGTTTCTAACACTGTTTAAAATCTGTCGTGCCTAATCCCGCTGAAGAAAAACACTCAATTATAAAGCCTATAGGTGCACAAGACTGGATTGAACTGTAACTCAGCTTTAACCTTTTTACAAACCACAACGGAGAAGGTACTGATACACATCACAAAACCCTTTTTTATTTTGTACTTTAGTTCCAACTCAAGATGACCAATTCGTCTGTTGCATTAGGGCGCCCAGTCGGAACCTTTAATGTTGACAGCGGCGGATTGGCATCGTATAGCCTCAAGATCGACGTTCCGCCCGGCATAGGGTACGGTAATCACCCAGACCTCTCTTTTGAGTACTCCCAAGGCGCCCCAAATGGGATACTCGGAGTTGGTTGGGGATTAGCTGGTGGCATGTCCGCAATCCGCCTCGGGCCCGCTGTACTCGCCTGGGATAATGTGAACAATGGTCCATCCGACTTCAATCAGACTCCCAAGCTCAACCTGGATGGAACCTTGCTTCTCAACATCTCGGGAGAGTACGGTTCCTCTGATGCTCAGTACAAGACTGAGATTGATAATCTTGTCCGTGTTGTATCTGTTAAAGGACAAGGATTCCTGGTCACCGACTCTACTGGCCGGCAGCTAGAGTATGGAACAACTTCCGATAGTCAAAGTCTGGCCAGTGACAGCAATGGTGCCGTCTGGGAATGGCGCCTGAAACGCCAGATCGACCCGTTCGGCAATTGCATGACCTTTACATATGAGTCACCTTCACAGAACACAGAGTACGCTGGGAGCAATGCACCGTACCTCATGACTATCGAGTACACCTCGAACATCAACACTGGACTTGCAGCCCAACGACTTGTCATTCTAGAGTATCAACAACGCACTGACTCTATTGTTCAGAGTGTCTACGGTGAACGGATTGTGACAACAAACATACTCAGCGGAGTTCACGTCTCTCTATCAAACAATCCAACAACAACTCGTCTTCGGTCTTATCAACTCAAGTACACTGCCTCTCCATCCAGTGGAGAATCACATTTGATGAGCATTACAGAATGTGGATACATGGGCGGACAGATGTCCGAGCTAGATCCTACAACCTTCACATACGGTGGCTTTGATCCTCAGAAGAAACTGTTCCAGCAGAATGCAGGAAGCGCAGCCAACCTTGAAGGGGCAACCAATACGGTCCTCCTGATGAACCTCGACATCAGCGGGAGAGCCATGGCTGACATTGCTTGCTTTTGTCATGATCCATCAACCTCCCAAGTGTCAGTCAAGACCTTTCTAGCAACGCAGCAAGATACGACAATAGGCCACGGCCCGGAAGTCTCATGGTCTGCATCGAATGGTAAAGGGGCTACTGCAAGGTTGCCGCCGATGAACAGCAACAACCCAAACCTTTTAAGCAATATCCTTGGTGCTGATCTTAACGGCAACGGTCGTATCGACCTTGTAATTCCCTATCAAGGTGAAAACAATATGACCGACATTTCTGTTTCTGAGTCTCTCGCTACAGGATTTCGAGACTACACGACCATACCAACCAGTTTGCCTTGGGCAACTGAGTCCGCCTTCCAAGCTGTGGACTTCTCCAGACAAGGAAATCATGCAGTGGTACAGACATTCTCCAAGAACGACAATTTGTCCTTGCGTATTTATCCATCCATGGTGAAAGACAGCCACCTATCACTCCAGACTGGAGATGAATTGGACACTGAGAACAAATACAATGGCACGATTAGTTGGCTATCGATCCTAACACAAAAGACGGGAGCCAAGAGTCTTGTTAGAATCTGGGAGAAAGACGCAGGAGATGGGCTGTCTCAGCTATGTGCTACTCCTTACGCACTGAAAGATGCTCAAGATCCAGCCCGTGGTTTCGTCGAGATGGGAACCTCGGCACTTGGCACAGTGGCGGAACACAGTAAAGGAACCCTTTCAGTGGTGTCTTGTGATATTAATGCCGATGGAGTATATGACGTTGTCTTCTGCAAAGTTGAAACGCCAGGTGCTGATATCACTTTCAAGTTCACAACATTTCTTGGGGATGGTATGGGAGGATTTCAGCAGGTTGGCGATACCGTCAAACAATCGTATTCCTATTCTCCAGCACTGGCAGCTGGGACATGGTCTACAAGCAACCTGAGTGGATCACAGGTGGCGGAGTTGGTTTACACGTATCAAGAGGCCGACTCGAGGGATATTGTCTGCTTTATTGCTCAAGGTTCTTCAAGCGGACTGGTTCAAGTTGGTAACATGGAGTTCAAGCGCATTGCTACGAGCCTACCCTCTGGGCAGGTACAATACTCCCCAACTGACCTCAATGGCACTGGTATTTCGGATTACTTCATTTACACGATGAACAGCGGGCTTCCAACAGTTGTACCTTCTTACAACTTGAACGATCTCACTCATGCTATGGCTACCATCACATCTCCCATAGGCTTACAGACAGCCATAACTTACTCTCCGCTTTCAGACCCTGGAGTTTACAAATCGGCTGCTGCATGGGACGTTGTTACCAGTGTCAGCACCAGCACATACGACATCATAGCAGCTCCGACGTTGGCTGTATCTGTGGTCACAAATAAGAACAACGGATCAGTTAATTCTATCCCATTCCAGAGCTCTCAGACAAAACTCTACAAAGGGGCAAGGGTGAGCCGCCTCGGACGTGGCTGGCAAGGCTTTTCCAATATTATCACAACCAATAGCTTCCAACAGAGTGATTCATTCGTTGTCAACGAGGCTTTTGAACAGGACTTTCCTCTTACTGGATTAAGAACTCAGATAGAGACCAGTTCTGTAGGCGGCCCAGTTCTCAAATCAGAGACATTGTCATATTCCCAAACTCCACAGGCCATGAACACTTGGAATATCTTTAGGACAAACCGTACCTCAGAGCAAACTGATACATTTGATGGAACCCAGATTGCAAGGAGTATTGGGACTCAGTACACCAACGATGAAGAAGGGAACGTTCTTGAACGACGCGATTTCGAAGTGCAGAATGGCCAGGTGGTAAATGAGTCATGGATGCGTTACGCCTACACTACTATCAATGGAATGAGTGGACTGCAGACTTGCAAGAAGTTCACAAGCAGTGAAAATAACACGGATCTTACCAAGTATGAGGCTGGCGATTTAAGCTTCACGCTATACACATACGATTCGCAGTCAGGGTTTTTGTCACAGACTTCAGAGTGGTCAACAGATACAAGCTCCTTCTGCACTACAAGTTACGGCTGTGATCAGTATGGTAATCAAACATCATCTGTTGCGGCCTCTGGGCTGAATACCACGACCACCTATGATTCGACATATCAGAAATTCCCCATACAAGTAACTGAGGAAGGAGAGGGGGTTTCCCATGTTACTTATACTGCGTATGATGAACTCACAGGTCTGAGAGTTGCATCTCGAGACGCAAAGGGGCTCATCTCGTGCTTTTCTTACGATGCTTTTGGCAGATGTGTCGCGTCCAAGGTTCGGAACGTAGATGGTAAAAGGTCGCCACAATCAGCAAATGATTTTCTGGGACCCAGCACTCTGCTGATAGATATGAATCTGCAACAGGAGCTCAAGACCTGTATGCTTGATCCGTACAGCAGCCTTGACTTCCACCAAATCGCATCCAGCTCGGGCTCGAATTATCTTTGCGTTTCATCAACCATGGAGTATAATGGATCCTCAACTGGCCAAACCCTGGTCCTAGAAGCTCTCGACTGCGTGGGACAGGTTTCTCGGCAAAGTACTCAACAGGGCCAGATGACTCCTTCATGGAAATATTGGACTTACAATCACGAAGGGAACCCCATCGTGGAAAGCTTCCCGCTGTTTCTCCCATCAACTGTACAAATATCTGCGGAACTGGATTATGTCCCGGATCCTAGCACTTGTGTTCAAACTACTTTCGACGCTTTGGCACGTCCCATTCAAACAACTCGACCTAGTCATAGTGGGACAGAAGCTTCTATTGTAATCGACTTTAACTACCAAGTTGGAGGAGCTACTATTTCGGAGCAGAAATGTCAAATCTCTGTTCAGGACGGCGCATCCACTCAGACTTCTCTTGCCAGCTCTACCACAGCATTGCAAAGAATTGCTGGAGAAGATCGTATCATGTCTAAGACTAACGAAATCAATCTCACCACGACGTACACATTCGACAACGCTGGAAATCTTCTCAAATGCCAAGATCCTGCTGGAAACATTGAAACGAGAACCTACAACACTCGCGGCCAGATTCTTACAATGGACAACCCTTCACAAAACATGCAATCTGATCCCACGATCCTCGCAATCACTAGATCGTATGATATTTCAGGGAACGTCTTGACCGAAACCAATGCTCTTGGCCAGACGAAATCTTTTCAGGTCGATGCCAAAGGTCGTACTTTGAAGAGAGTTGGTTCTGATGGACGTAGTATTGTCTACTCCTATGACAAAAGTGGCTTCATGTCTTTGTCGTCTGTTACAATATTCCCCGCAAGCTCAAGTACAATTCCAGAAAGTGAGTTCTTATTTGAGTACGATAGCCGTGGCAGAGTTTCCAGGAAGACTATTGTCCTTGCGGCAGAGGGCACATATTCTACGGAGTTCCTGTATGACTGGCAAAATCAGGTCGTGAACACTCAGCTACCGGATGGATCTCAGATATCGCAAACATGGCAGGGCTGTTCAATGACATCGACTGAAACCATTGGGCCTTCGGCTACAAGTTGGAATGTCCTGGCCGACATGTCAAACTATAGTCCCTTCGGAAGAGTTGGACTGTGTAACATTTCTGGCAGTGGATTTGCTCATGATTTTACTCACGCTTACACATGGGACGCACAAGGATTCCCCTTGACACATACCATGAGTGGCGCTGATTCACTTGTTCAGAATGACTACACTTACAACGATAACGACCAACTCCAGTCCTCACAAGAATTGATATCTGGCCAAGAAACCATTTACAGTTACTCAGGGAAGCGATTGGCATCATCAACAATTGGGAATGGGCCTGCAAATGCTTATATCTACGACGATAGTGGTAACATGACATCCAGAGGTGATATCACAATGACCTATAGTTCATCAACTGTCTCAGGATCACAGAGTGGCACATCGGTGTTTCAGGTAGACTACGATGCTGCGGGAAGGATGGTAAGCCGCACGACTCCAGATCGTACCCTAGCATTCACATATGATGGCTTTGGTCACATGTCTACCATCACCGATGAGGGTACAAAAGAAGAGATGCAGCTACTTAACGACTTCTCTGGGCATACTCTCCAAAGGGTCGAATCTGATGGCAGCCAAGAGATCTTCATCAACAAAAACTACACGATCATCGTCAAGCCAAATGGGCAACGTTATGCTCGATACGCCTTGTTCAACCAGCAAGAACTTCTTGCTTCTGCAACAGTGGAGCTACCGGTTGCATCGCTGACATCTTCTGTGACTCCATCCGTCGAAGTTCATTACTGCGACACGAAGTCAAGCGTAACACATGGCTACAATGTCACTGATGGAACGTTGACCAGCCAAGTTCAATACGGCGATTACGGCTTAGCAGCTTCAACAAATACAAGTGTTGCTAGTACAAGAAGTTCAGTTAACACATATGAGTCTAAGTCATCTGGGTTCGGGCTCCTCGACTTTGCTGCTCGTTGGTATGATCCCCTGGTAGGACGCTTTGCTACTGCAGATGATCTTACAGATGTGGCCCTGCTTATCCGTTCGGATGGTATGAACAGACATAGTTTTGAGAACAACGACCCTATCAATCACATTGACCCATCAGGCCACTGGAGTTGGGATTCCTTTTGGGGAGGGGTTACTTCAGGAGTCATGATTGCGGCCGGCGTAGGCTTGGCGTTTGCATCCTTTGGCGGCTCTGCAGTTTTATCGAGTGCACTTATTTCAGGCGGGATTGCGGGTATGCAATACTCCATCAGCCATGCCAACGAACAGAACTCTGGTAAATTCTGGGGACACTTTGGAGTCACCGTGGGTGTCAACATGCTTGTTGGAGCTGCAACAGAAGGACTTGGCGCCGCAATGCGAGTTTCCAAACTTGGCGAATGGGCCTGCGATGCTGCAAAGAGTAGTAAACTGGCGACTGCCTTGCGGGTGGGTGGGAAGGCTCTCTCTGGCGGCATCTCAAGTGTCTCTAGTAGCGTTGGCGATAAAGAGGCGGATAACTTGGCGTTTCACGAGCATAAGAATATTTGGGCTGGTGCCGGTGCTGACTTGGCAGAAGGTGCTGGTATGGGACTTCTTGAAGGTGGAGGTAAAGAGCTCAAAGGACATCTTCAAGCCAAGTATGGAGACAGCGTCGCGGACTCTCTAAGGAGAAACCTGTGGGATAGACGAGTTGGTGGTGGCTTTCTCAGCAAGCATGGGAGTCAAGGGACGTGGCAAAAGGTGTTTAAAGGCATTGAAAGTTTGCGGCCTCCAACTTCGGTGAAGCTTCCATGTAGTCATTCCGGAATGCTTATTTGGAGCGACATATCTTAGAGATAGTAACTAGGTGGAATAAAGAATGCTGGAATATGATACAATACACTGTCTATCTTGAAACTATTACTCCTTATTGACTTTTTACATCTGAGTGAAGTCACTCGGGCAATAAAGATGACAACGTACTACTGGCATTGTATGCCACCATCATCCACCGTACTTTCCAATCGCAAGTTCATTTGCCCGGAGGCTCTGAAGGACAGACTCAGTCTGTCTAGGTAATCCAAGCATCTTCATAGCTTTAAGAGATAATAGCGTAGATGCTGGTAAAAACATTCGTCTTTGTGTAGCTGCAGACTGTTAGGGGGCATAAGTTGATTTATCTTCTATAGCATGTTTTAAAATATTCTTACAGCATTTAATATATTAAGAATATGAATATCTCATCCATCATCTCATGAGCAATTGATGACCAGTTCCATTTAGGGAATAGTGCATCCACGGTCAGTCAGACGAACCCGGCCAGCTAATTGGTCGTCTCGCAACTCCACACGCGTCTTTCACGGTCCCCTCAGAAGTTTTCGTTCATTTTCCAGCTGGGATCCTGCATTGTCGTCAATTGGCCCCCAGCGAAGGCTTTTGATCACAAAAATGCTGTTTCCTCAGGGCGACAACAATAATTATACCTTTGCCATCGCTGGCCTTGTCGCGATAGTCTCACTCGCCGCATGGTCATTCACACGGCATGACTCTCGCGAACCACCTCTCGCGCCAGTGTCACTCCTGTATGTCTCCCACATCATCGGGCTTAGCCGCGAGACCTACAACTACTATGTGAATCTTAGGTACAATTGATAACAAACGCCGTCTCAATAGCACTCATTAATCCCCCGCTTAGCAAGAAGACCTCATCCCCGATCTTCACGGTTAACCTCCCCGGCCAAAAGATGTATGTGGTCACCAACGCCGACCTGGTTCAAAAGGTTCAGAAGCAATACGATTCAATTGCGTTCCCTCCACTCGCCGCAGCATTCTCAACCTCAAAGAATCCTGCCCTCTACTGCTTTCGACCTACCAAGAGGTCCTTCGCTATTTCCATGTTGGAACTCTCGTCCGTCAAGTGACAGAGGACACATACCTCGACCAGTACCTGCTCAAAAAGGGTGCCATGGTCCAGATGCCCTCTCGCACCATCCACCATCGACCCAAATGTGTACGGGCCAAACGCCTCAGACTTCGTCCCCCGCCGATTTCTCCCTTCTGAGAAGAAAAACCGTCCCAAAGATCACTGTTTCCGTGGTTTTGGTGGTGGTAAGCATCTATGTCCGGGGCGACATTTTGCTACGAACGAGGTTCTTGCTATGGCGGCGGTGTTTATTGCTAGATTTGACATGGACCCTGTGATGGGAAAGTGGGAGATGCCGACGGGTTTCAACTCGGGTTCTGCAGGGCAGATAATGGAGCCGGATCATGATGTTGAGGTTGATTTGAGGACGAGGGATGGGTTTGAGGACGTGGTGTGGGAGCTGAGGCTCAAGACAAGCGACAAGATCTTTGCTATCGTGACGGAGGACATGGATGAGAATTAGGGACATATTGTTGTAGGTGAGATTCTTGAGTCGCAAGATAATTAGGACTGTGTGAGTAAGATGGTATATGGGCTAAACCACCAGAAAGTTGATGTATTCTGCATTATCTTACAGGTAACAAGAGGTCTTTAAAAGCCACTTTGTGTTATGGATACTTCTGCAGAGTCTCATGAGTCTAGGTCAGGCGGCTTATAAAAGACATAAAACCGCACGCGTTATGATTAGTTCCAGGTCATTAAAAGAGATACAGGTATAGAGAAAAAGAAACTGAAGTATCACAGAGAACGGCATTAAGACAGACAAGTATAGTTCCCCGACCTGGTCTATGGAATAACTGTTTTTAATGCAAGGCAACCAGATTAGTTTAAGAAATAGAGGTTTAGCATCATCCTACAACAACACAGTCTCCCTAAAAGTTTCAGCCAGGCCTGCTACTTAGTTGTTGACCATCTCTCAGTGAGAAAAGGGACGCCTACGATAAACCTCGCTCTCTTCAGGCTTTGGCTCGCACGGCTCATCTACAACATCTGGATCAAGAAACCATGACGGATCGCCCTCCGTGAGTGTAATGCTCCCCCCATTCCCTAGCCATCCAAAACGATTTCCAGCTGGGTTAGCCGATTTCCAGTTGAAGTCCTCCCACCTTGGTGCACGCAATGCTTCCAGGCAGTGAATCGAAGACCCTGGCCACAACCAGGCGATACGTGACCCAGACCTTCCCGCCTTATACCAAGAGGAGCAATCATCCGTATAAACAGTCCCCTTGAAGTACTCATCTATGTACTGGCCGAAGTCAGCCACGCGTTGGGAATCTACCTCGAAAGTTGCATAGTCTTCTTTCTGCATCTTGCGGAGTACCTTCACAGCGTAGTTAGCCTGTGCTTCAAAAACGCTTGTCAAGCTCCCAGATGCCAAGCCGGTATTTGGTCCGCCAATCATCAAACAGTTGGGAAAGCCGTCAACAGCCATCCCCAGGTATGCCTCGGGGTAGGGCTTCCACCTCTCGGCAAGCCTCAGCCCATCTCTTCCAATCAATTCGAACTCAGGAGGTGCATCCACGTCGTATCCTGTAGCACAAACGAGCAAGTCCAACTCGATGTGTTGACCAGAGGCCAGTTCAAGTCCCCGAGATGTGATTCGCTGGATCCTCTCGTTGGTCAAGTTGATATTGTCTTCCTGAAGGGCCTCTAGATAATTTGCCCCTGGGGTCAAGCGACGACATCCCGGGGCAAATTTGGGCAACAGAGTATTGATAATGTGCTCATTGTTACCACTTCGCCGCCTCATGTCGTCTTCAATAGCATTCTGAGCTAGGATGGACTCCTTTGACCCTCGTATGGATATGGGGTGCATGCGGGCTGCCTCGTCCTCGAGTATCTTCCTAATACGAAGAAACTCTTCAGGATGCCTTGCGATATACTGCTGCTGCTGCTTGGAGACTTTCTGCCTGTTAGTAGTAGAATGCCACAGAGACTTGTCCTCACTCACATTGTGTATCTTTGGGATCTTTCCCCATCTTCCTCATCGCCGAATCACCAAAGCCAGGGGCAATCCAAGTCGGAGAACGAACAAGACACCAGAGCTGTGTCCCTTCAAGGCGTTGTAAAGATGGGACAATCTGGATGCCACTCGATCCGTTTCCTATGACTCCAATCTTCTTATTGCGAGGGTCGTAACTGATATTCAAGTCAGTTCAAAGTCATGCGAAGGGAAAGTGTGAAAAAAGGAACGTACCTCTCATCCCATGCCCCAGAATGCATTAGCTTCCCTTTAAAGTCTCCAAGGCCTTCAATCTTGGGCCAAGCAATTTTGTTAAGACCGCCTCGGGCAGAGATGACAACATCTGCAGTGTCTTTAAAGTCGGTGTTGGTCTTCAAGTTGCGAATGGTTATATGCCTTTGAATTGTCAACCTGTTGAATATTCTAGATCCAAGATAACGTGCTAGATTGACCTTACCATTTATTCAGCCCTTCATCCCATATTGCGTCTTCAACCTTGTGAGAGACTTTGATAAAACGCATTGCACCATATCGCTCGGCAACATCTTGCATGTAAGCGCGGATCTCTGGCCCTGGAGCATATAGCGATGACCAATAGGGATTGGGCGCAAAGCTGAATTGGTATGAATACGCTGTTATCAGAATCTCTTAGTACTTCTCACATCTCCTCACGTTTTCTTTTGACACTTACATGGAATGTCGCACGCGAGCCCAGGGTATCGATTCAGCCACCTTTTAAGTCTTTAGCCTTGTATGCAACAAATGGCCATCATAAAACTTACCAGACGCCGGAAACTTCATCGTTCATGTCATAGACGGTAAGATCAACATTTCTGAGCCTCTGGATAATTCTGCAAAGTTCAGCTTTGATGGTCTGCGTTGTTAAAGATAACGCAGATTGAATACCTAATTGTCGTATAGATGCCACAAAAGCCAGCGCCTATAATGACCACCTTTAACGGGCGTTGGTTTTCGATGGGACTATCCTTTAGGGAGAAAGGAGCATGAGATTGAACCATGTTTGTCAGGAGTTGTTCCACTTAGGTATCAGTATAGTGCAGTTTTCTTGTGTGCTTTTTGCTGTTATTCTTGGTTGATGGCGAATAAATATTCGATCGATTAATTTACAATCATTGATATTTGTAGTTACTTAATTGTATGAGCTAGTTATGTGGGGAGACCTCGGGAGTCCAGTGTCAGTATACCGAGGCACCGTATGCTTGCAATTGCGTTTTCGAACGGTAAGCACTTTCTTAGCTTTAAGACAAGTGCTGGTGTATTCGTAGCTTGCTTGATACTTTCGTGTCACGGGTTAGTCTTGGGCTGTGGTTGTTAGCGGACTGGGACTGTGGGTAGTAAGGCGAGATCGCCCTAAGGCCAAGCCTCGGCAGGGCCTCGGTATGGCCGACAAACCGAGTAAATCTCCATTGCCAACGCAACAAGATTGTTGCTGCCATTGGCAGTGCTGAGACGAACCATACACTAGGCAGTTTGTCACTTTGGACCTTGTCCTTTGTTGTCTAATATAAAGCTACTTTGAAGTAGGTCTCCTCTGACGCTATTTCTCAGTACAGACCTGCAATTTCACATCACTGCCTACTTGCATATAATCTTTCCAATTTGAATAGTCACCATGTCAAAGATCCAAGACATCGACATTCCGACCTACGATGGCGTCAAGCTCAGAGGTACATTCTACAGCGCTGGTGCCAAGAAGCCCTGTATTATCTTGAGCAGTGGTGTGAGTCATCGTGGATTATGCTAGCTGCGTGCGTTATGAGTCTAATGAATTACAATAAAGTTCTCCGGTACCCGCGATCACTTCTTACCTGATTTCGCTGCACGATTCAATGCCGCTGGGTACGGAGCCTTGGCGTTCGACAACCGATGCTGGGGAGACAGCGAAGGCTTGCCTCGTGACGAAGTCGACCCTACTCTCCAGGCGCGCGACTATCTCGACGTCTTCAACTACGCTGCAGCGCACCCTGACGTCGACTCGGACAAGATTGTTTACTGGGGATCTAGCATGTCTGGCGGAACCGCCATATGCGCTGCTGTGATGAATAGGAGCATCGCTGGTCTTATCGTGCAAGTACCTTTCGTGTCAGGCGAAGCCATCACTCGCATGCCTGGACCTCCGGCGGATCTCCTTATCTCCAATCGTCACGCAGGGTCACAGGCTCGAGTCCCGGTGTGGCCCAAGTCTGCAGAGGAGGTTTTGGATGGGAGCTTTAAAGGTGTGCTGAAGGATGTCGGTGCAATTCCCTTTGTCGCAGAGACAACCAGGCGCGGTATGAAAATCACAGAGACCTGCACGATGCAAAGTCTCACCAATATCACTCTTTGCGAGCCAACGGCGTACATTCATCGAATTTCTCCAACACCATTGCTGATGGTTGTAGGAGACCGAGATGTTACGACCCCGACGCATTTGCAACTTGAGGCCTATGAAAAGGCATTACAACCAAAGACTCTGAAGATTGTCAAGGGAGCCGGTCATTTCGACCCATATTATGGCCCGAGCTTTGAAGAAAATATTGCGGCCCAGGTAGAATTTCTGAAGACTATCTTGTAGAAGAGTCTATTTTCAGCCTTTTTCAATAGAGACTAAGCATAGCTCATAATTGACCTTTGAAACCTCTACTAGCACGTTCCTTGTCACGGCTCCAGATATCGGCATATAGAATGGGGAAGACTAGGCTAAAGCTGGGTGTCCCCCACAACTCTCCCCCGGCCTCCCCGCAGGTTATTCCGAGTCCCCCGCAACAGGTCACACGCTAGTAGTCGACTAAATTTATTGTGCTGCGAGGTCGCTTCTTGTTCTTCTTCTTCTTCTTCATTGTGAAGTTCACTCCTTACGACTCCACTCCACTCCACGTCGTCGATAGTATGACTTCTTCTCTACCCTCGGCGCTGCAGTCGAAACCTCGGCAAAAGCGCTCTGTACAAGCATGTCTCACCTGCAGATCCCGAAAGGTCCGATGCGACGTCTCTCGACATGGCCAGCCCTGCACAAACTGTTCCCTCGATGAGAAGGAGTGCCGCATATCTCAAGGCATGGCTGTTTGGAACCCAGTCAACTCCAGAGCCAAACGACGAGCTTCACAGCAGACCAATGATTCAATAGTTGTCGAGGACAGCGCGCCCAAGTCAGCAGCAGCCAAGAACATCAACATTATTGATCCTATTGCAATACCGGAAACAACAAGCTCACTGGACTTCCTCCAGCAGGCGGACGTTACTGCTCCGTGGCGCTCAGCGTCTATCGAAATTCCCGACTTCAACGATTTGCTACACCCGACGTTCTCATTGTCTGGGGAGCAGCCAAGTCTGCCAGGTTTCTTTGGTACACAACTCACCTCCTTTGCAAAGTGTCAAAGTGCTGACGTTCCACCAGCCAACCTCTCGCAGTATCAATATGATGCAGGAGCCTTCTTGCCAATAGAGTCGGCGGTATCTCCCTTGGATAGGCCGTTGAAGGCAGACAGGGAGCTAGTTATGTACTCACATTATCGATTTCTGTCAGCTGGCAACATTCACGCCATTCCACATCAAGACGTCACCTATCTAGAGGCTCAAGGGTGTCTCCATGTGCCGATAGCCCCGATTCTTGACGTTTTCATGTCCAAGTACTTTGCACATGTCCACCTATTCCTTCCACTCATCGACGAGGGAGACTTTTGGGACATGTATTCTCAATCAAGCCAATTCAACCACACGATTTCGCTCTTTGTCATGTATGCCATGCTTTTTTCCAGTTGCAATGTGAGTCAATTGCAAGATTGTCCACACTGTCTCGTTCACTAACTGTACGTCCAGTTTGTGCCCGTTGAGTACCTCAAAAGGCTGGGGTATTCTGACATCCATTCTGCCCGGGCTGATCTTTATCGCAAAACAAAGGTAAGAATTCCCAATACTATCAAACAAGACTAGCCTGACCGAGAGAAATAGCTACTATACGACCATGACATCGAATCCGGGCATTTGCCCCTCGCCCAAGGAGCATTGCTCTTGATGAATTGGGTCCCCAACGTTCCTGTCCACACGTCCCCAAATCCTTGGAAGACCTGGCATGGTCTTGCTTTTCGCCATGCTGACAGTATCAGCGCGCATCGTTATGCGAGGGCGGCCGACGTGTCTATCTCAGCTTCTCCCTCGCAAAAGCGCTACTTCAGATCTGTGCGCCGACTTTGGTGGTGCTGTATTATCATGGACAGACTTTCACCTCTATGTACACGATTCCGTCCTCAACTCACCCCGGAATCGTTGGCGTTAGATACCTATGTTCCTCTAGGTTTGAATGATTTCCAGACAGAAATACATCGCTCAAGAGTCTTTGCGCCGGCAATCAAACGTCGGCACATCGATCTGTTTTCTAAACTGTTGGAATTAATACTTATACTAACAGATATACTCGCTATTGCATTTCCCTATGAGTCAAAGGTTGAGATAACCCCTGAATCAGCCATAGGCAGCGATGCCCAGGTTCAGAAGTCCCGGCGCTCACTTGCGGACTGGTATGAGTCGGCAACCATCAACTTTCCTTTGTTCGATGGCCAAGACCGAGATCGTCGTTTCGATACAAGGGACCCGTCCAATAGTGTCATCCTCTACACGAACCTCATGTATATCTATTACCAGTAAGTCCTCGATTGCATTCCCCTATGCAATCTTTGCGCTCTTCATGCTGACAAAAGCAAGCACCGCTTGCATCACATTGTGTAATTACAGAATCTTCAATTGGTTGTCGACAGTGCAGTCGTCTGTATCGAATCTGATTTCGGAAGATGTAACTATTCCAGGGAGTGAGATTTGTCGCGATGTTGAGTGCTCTACGCTCGAATTGACGAGATGCATTGGCGCGTTGAAATTGTACTGCCTGACAAATTGCCTCCCAGTCACCGCGTAAGTGTATATGGTCGTTGTCCTATAGCATTCCCAACCTTTATACTAACCATAACCAACATAGCGTGGCTTGTATTGCTACTCCTCTAGCCCTGCAACTTATTACCTCACGTCTATCATCTCTCGGACGGGAACTGGCCTTGGATCATATGGGTCAATGGTCAGATATTGATCCAATTTCCAATCAAAGCCGGCTCGACATGTTGATAGAGGCGACGGATGCATTTTTACCTCATTACTATGGAGTGAATTGGGTGAAAGAAACAGCTAAACATACTGCGGACCTAGCACAAGCCCACAGCCAACGATTAACACAGCCCGACCGAGAGGCAGTCACAGATTGGGGCCAAATCCTCATCAAGTATCCAGACACGTATCTGAGACTTACATGGACGGTTGATTTGTGTATCAGCCGGGGGAAGGTTCCTGAAGATCAGGACTTCCCATTGTGTCTCCGCAATGGATCCGATAAAGGACGGGCGTCTCTTGACTCTAGAGACAAATTTGACGCCTGCCAATACCTGGACGCATCGAGTGAAGGGAGTCCATCTGATCTGGACCGGATTTTGGGTTTGGCTGAACCATCGGTTGAACAGGCTTGTGATGAAGTGATGCCTTTCGGGAATGAAATTGATTGAGAAACAGAAAGTGTTTCCAATTAAGTCGGGGGAATAATAGCACGCGCATTGGTAGGAGTTACTCAGACACCTGGAATCAAACTGTGAAAGTCTAGATTATTCATGTTATTACAGTCCTGTGCAAAAGTTTAAACAACGACATAACTAGAAAGTAGGAATATGGATAAAGGCACACAAAATAAATAGTAATTAGAGTAATTCTAAGTTATCTTATAATAGAATTATATAGGGTTATGTATTGAATAAGAAAGTGTATTATAATTTATATTAATTTATATAAAGTTTAGAAGAGAGGAAGTTATTAGAACTTTTACAAACCTACTGTACCCCTATACTTATGTTAACATTATATATGTATTTAGTATATATATATTATACAGTTCATACTCTAGCTACCTCTCGGCTTAAATAGTGCTATTAACTATATATCTTATTACTTGTGTCAACTGTCGTAAACATTTTAATGTGTTTTATTTTAACCTTTACTTTTATTAAGTTTAGGATTTCCAAATCTCTTAACATTAATAATAAAATTAAAATCTTTTAAGATTAAAACTTTATATAATTAAAGTAAACAAGTTATATATATTAACAGAACTGTGATTAAGTAACTACGCATATCACATAGCCGTATGCATAAAAGCTGGCTTTTCCTCCCACACCCCTCAACTTGTTCCGCACCACAATAGACCACGGTATAATAACTACCGTGTCACTATAGGCGCCCATTTGAGTTCTCTCCCCGCATTCTTCTCTGATTACCGAGTGGAAGTCGCAGGTCTCGACTCTTGAGGCGTCCTTATTGCCAATCATTTATGTCTCAAAAAGGAAAAACTGCCTCGGGAGCTATGCTGTTTTAGGCATCGCTCCTCAGCGACCTCGGCGACAGGCGCATCGGATCCCTGCTAATCGTCGTCATAGCGTCAATCGTCTTGATAGTACGGGGAAGGTTCAAGTGTCCCACACTGATTATTGAAACTTTATTTCCCCAGACTTGACAACACCAGAGATTAGGAGGCCTAGAACGTGAGTCCCTTTCTCTGGGGTAGGGAGCATGTGACAGCCAAGAGACCTGCATGTCTGTATATATATAGGAACCGCTCTGTGAATATAAATCCAAGCAAAAGAAAACAATGAGTTTGTTCTAACTTGTCTTCTTGTATTAAGCTTTGCCACCATCTAACTAGCCAAGACGCCAATCCCTCATACAACAAGATGCATCGACAAGAGGAGAACACAAGGCATGTCCAACACCTATCTCTAGTACCACGATTTGGAAGCGGAATTTCGACTCTAATATAACTCAGTGGCATTGGAGAGCCAAAGGTGCCTGGTACCATTGATATGACAGTTACAGGTATAAACCTATCTTCAGAACTTATCATGTAGAATCTGACGTCGGCGGATTTCAAGACGACAGCAAAACTGCATACGGTCTTTCTTTGACACCAACTCCTTCCGACGACCCAAATGATCCGCTGAACGTACGTGCCATTCCTTGTCAACTTGCAATGATAATGTATGCTTAGACTAATAACTTCTGCCTGGTAGTGGACGCAAAGGAAGAAGAACAGTATTCTGTTCCTCGTCGCCGCATATTCCTTTCTAGCCAATGGTGCTTTATTCGGCCCAAGCGTCTATGTCGGCCTCCTCGCTCAGCGCTTTAATAAATCTACCAGCGAGACATCACAGCTGGTAAAAATCCAAATCTTCTCTTCGGCTTCGGTAAGAACAATCGATTAAGATTAAAAACATTACTAATGGCAGGGCCGTCGTTGTTTTCTGAGCAGGTTCCCTCATTTTCGTTCCCATGTACCACAAAATCGGCCGCAGGCCCACTATGTTAATCTCAATCATTATCGTGAGTTGCAGGATCATAGTATTAAAGGAAAATATTATGACTGATACATGGAATAGTACTGCATTGGTCTGTTAGGTTGTGCTCTATCCCAATCCTACAATGTCCTGATGGGCTTTCGAATGGTGCACGGTTTGGGCTCATCTGTTTGCGAAGCATTACCAGCGCAAGCTGTGGCTGACGTCTTCTTTCTTCACGAGCGAGGAAAGGCCCTAGGCTGGTATACCTGTTAGTTTTACTATTCCTTCTGGCCATTCGGCTTTACATCCGATGTTAACACCACTGACATCACGGGTCAAAAGTTGCACTTACAACTGGAACTCTAAGTGCTACTGCTGCTAGTTACATGTTGTCGAGCGGATTATCGTACAATCTATTCTTCTGGATAGAATTTGCTCTCGGGTGTGTCCTCTTCCTCGCCACTCTCGCCTTTTTCGAGGAAACAATGTATCTCGAGAAACGCCAACCTCGTTCGCCCTCCTGTCAACGACCAATTGACGCCGATTCCATCAAAGACGAACCACAAGGGACTTCGGAGTGTAGGGAGTCTAGGCTTGAGGAGTCCGTAACAGTCCCGCCAAGGAAGACCTATTTGGAACAGTGCAAGATCTTTGGAAAGACGGACCCCAATACTCCGGTATTCATGATGATGGTAAAGGCCCATTCAACCTAGGAAAGCCATAAACTAAGCACTGACGCAATCCTTCCAGATTCGATCCTTTACCTACCTGATCGTACCCCCGGTGTTCTGGGTCTGCTCTACCTATGGTAACTACTTCCTCAGAGCTACAGACATACGTTTGGCTGACTTAGTATAGGCATGATTATTGGACTTGCCGGTCTCGCCTTTACCACTACTTTCCCGATCATTGTTGCCTCTCCTCCATACTCCTGGCCAATTGTAGGACACCCTTCAGTGGACTCTTTGTTCCTACTGTGTTCTAGATGAATGGCCTGATACTGACTATGAGACCAGGAGAATACCGGCCTCGTGGCAATATCATCATTTGTCGGCTATTTATTAGCAGCAGCACCATTTAGTACCGTCCCGGATCGAGTCTCTGCATGGCTTACTCGTAAGAATAACAATATTCACGAAGCCGAGTACCGTCTCTGGTGTCTAGCGGTTGTCTTTTTCGTCTCTCCGGCAGCACTCATTCTGTACGGATATTCTGCAGGAAACCACTTGCATTGGTTCGGACTTGTCTTTGCTGTGGGAATGTTCCAATTTGGTATGTATTATAGAACGGCCTTCCAGGTGCAAGCACTAACAAGACTTGTACAGGAGCTTTCTTCTATCTCACTTACACCCTCGCATACGCCATGGACTCTTATGAAGCCAGGATCCCCGAAATGCTGATTGCGATGAACCTGGGCAAACAGTCCATCTCGTTTGCTTTTGGTTACAAAGTTATCGACTGGGTCCAAGCCTATGGCTATATAAAGGTATTTGCAGGCATATTCTGCGGTGCATTAACCATAAATAACCTTTTCGTTTTTGTCTTTCTGGTTTTCGGAAAATGGTCTCGACGTTGGCTCAGCACCACTGCTCTCTCGAAGATGCACAGAGAGAGCATGGATTAAGACGGCGGGGCTATGTTTATATCTATGAATAAGTTTAGTTAATTTCAGCGATTCCTCAATTCGTTCTCATCTCTGTTTGCTTAGTTCTCTATTTTTCCTCCCAGCTTGTTTGAATAATATGGTGATTTCTGCTGCAACATGTAATGTGAGTTCTTCATGTCTTGTTAGCCCCAGAGATTATTTTTCTTGCTGCGTCTACCTATAAATATACACCAAATTCGGAACATTATCTTGCATTGGAGATCGGTAATGCTTGAATGGTAAGTATCTACCGCTGGCATTCTTTGTTTTTGAAAACCCTCTTTTCTTCAAGATGGCTATCTGGTACCAATGCTTACTTCGTTTGAACCGAGGAAAATATAACACAATTTAGATCCCTGCTAAGAAAGGCAAATATAGGCGACAGACTTGACAGATGTTCACAGATTAGTTACATCCTACTTAGAGGCGTATATACAGGCATGTAAAAAAGAAAGGTTATCCTTCCACTATTTCTTATTCAGGGGGAGGCAGAAGAAAGATATACCAGCTTACAAATTGGCAACTGTAATCTCCATGTACTAGTGTCTATGGTACTGCCCTATTTGCGCGCATTGTCGTTGGCATTGATTAATAGGATCGTCACAGTATCCCGCAATGATTCTTGAAGCCAGCCCGGAAGTCCTCGGATCAAAGAAGTCCAACCCAAGCTCTGAGGCACAATAATCTGCGAACCAAACCCAGAAAGAACCTGGCTAACAATTCTATTTGCGACATCTTCAGGTGTCACTGTCGTATCCTTCAGCTTTCCTCCCTTTACAAGGTCTGCTGTCATTGGCGTCGCGACCCAGGTGGGATGTACGACACTATGCTACGTCAGGAAGAGTTCACGCATGACAAAAAGGAGGTTACTGACCTAGTACGAACACGGGGAGCCTTATAGAGGTGTCTAAGCTCCTGAGCGAGGCCTTCATGGAAAGAGAGTACAGCAGACTTGGTGGCACCATAGTCCACATTCGTGGCTTGTGTGGAAAATGAAGCCTGGCTAGCAATGTTGACGATGTGGCCGTGGTTCTGCTTGACCATGCTGGGGAGGAACTGCTTGGTGAGGAGGATGGGAGCGATAATGTTGACATCAAAGATTCTCCTAATACCAGTCTCCGGCACGTCCAGAAGAGAGTATGAATTTGCAAAGCCAGCATTGTTGATGAGAACGGTTGGGTTCCCATGGTCGGCTCTTACACGATCAGCAACCGATGATATGGCTTTAGCGTCCGCGAGGTCGACCTGGTAGAAATGAGTGTTTATAGCTATATAAAGTTAGCCTCATGTTTAGAGTGCTGCAAGGTAACTTGCGATCCAATCTGGGACTTAACAGACAAGGAAGACTTACCCAGCTTGGATGGAGGTGAGTTTCGATCTAAGATCAAGACCTTAACACCATTTTCGGCAAATCTCGAAACCAAGACAGCTCCAATCCCACTGCTACCCCCAGTGACAACCACAATTTCGCGGTTCCAGTCCCATGTAGGGTCGTAAACATGGTTGTTGACCGCTCTCTTGGTGTACCAAGCGCTCAGCTTTCGCAGCAATTTGAAGGTAAGGAACAGTCCAGCAGCAATGTGGACTTTAGGGTTTTTAGCTAGCTCAATGGCCTGGGACAAAGCCTGTTCGTGGTCCATGATTAATAATGGCACTGTTTGCTTTTGATTGGAATGCGAAATGCTGATATAAGATAGAGTTGATAACAATGGTAAGATTGAGTCAGAGCCAGGTTAAATACTTCGGAGTAGACGGAATTACATGTACATTGCTTCCGAGGGATAGGTCTTTGGCGTACGTTTCCTGCGGGCTGCCGATCCACGTGTCCGATATCGAGTAGCTGTACTCATGGAAACTGTAATAGAACGGAATAAGCTTGGTGTAGCAATGAGACACTTGCCTTGGCGCTGGGCGGCGTTTAATTGAAACTTGTCCAATCTTTCCGGATTTGGTGGGTCCTTCCAAGGGATTGCCAAGGGATGGCCGAGGGATGGCCGAGGCAGTGACTGACAAGAGTGGCCATAACATAAGAAATGGACCCGCGTTTCGCACTCCCACAACAACACCAAATTCCCTGAACACCACTAATTATATTAACTTCAATTAATTATATCTTTATTAATGTATAACAATTAGAGCTAAGCCCTTGGGTACCCTTAGAAGAGTATATAATACAGGCATAGCTAAGAGATTTGGAAACCTATAATATACCAATCTTAAAAAATAAGGTCTATTAGTTTAATACCACATCTCACTCCATAGGAAAATATATTATTAATAAGAGCAACTAAATCAACCCCGATCTTTCCCTGGTTAAAAGATTCGTAACAAACATCAAGTGCGCTGCACGAATGCTACAACTTAATTTTCGTCACAAGAGTTATCAACGCGAATTCTTAGCGTATTCTAGGTACCGAACCCACTCGTTCACTCCATTCTAAACATTGAGGCTTTCATTAAAGCATCTTATCGACATTGATTGATATTTCAGAGATACCCGTGGCTTGTACAAGGTGAATCGCTACCAAGGAATCCCCCTCTAGTGCAGAAAAGGGTTGAATCGCGTCCTAAAGTGTGGGATCGGCACCCACAATCGTCGTACTATATAACGTGGAAGAAAGCGGTTACATATTTGTTTCAATCAAGCCCGACCCCCTTTGCCTTGGTGTGCTTGAAGTTCTATTATAATAGTGGTCAAATCACTGTCCACATCAATATCCCCAAAAATTGAGAATTGCGAGTCTGGAAAGTTGTTGATTGTATGAGTTCCATAAAAGGTTGGCGCCATACTGTCGAACTGCGCAAAGCTGATTGGAACCAGAGGCTGTGTAGTCTCGTCCAACAAAGGCTGATCATGTATTACTGATGAACCCAAATCTTTGACGGCCATATGACCTGCCTGAGTATTCAATGAGATATTTGTGGCTGGCAAAGTCGTATCGCCCAAGCTTTCTGTCCTCTCTGTCGCGAGTACAGTGCTGTTGATATGCGCTAGGATGATTTCGAGCATTTTAGATGCCCTGAGAGCCTCTTTCGAATTATCGGCTAGGGATTTCCAGAAGTCCTTGGTCATTTCCAAGTTACTCTTCATCTTCATCGTTTGTTCTGACGTCCAGAAGGACGAGGCATCGAGGTTCTCATCTTCTGTCTCACAGTCATGATAAAGATCTCGTGCAACGATCATGGCGCATGTGAGGAATTCTTTTATAGCCATAGATTTCACAAACCAAATCAGAGACTGGAACCTTCCACCGGGGTGAGACTCCCTAATCAAAACCGCCAGGTGTTCCAACGTCTCTGATGCAGCACCAATGGCGCTACGCCGCGAATACGCATATCGGGAGTTCCGGCGTCCAAGAGAAAGATGCATTTTATGCAATAGGCAAACAATCTTCCGGTAGAGTGAGTTGATACTGAAACGGTTCGCTACCACTCTGGCTGTCTCATGAAGGCCCTGCAGAGGCAGTCCTTTTAGATGTTTCGGTAGATCTTCATATAATTGGCGAAGCTTGGTATCAAATCGTAAAACTTCTTCGTAAGAAGTGAGACCATCAACTCTGTTAGTTGCGTGCAGAATATCACTCATGATTCTACAAAGCTTGACCTTAGCAATCATATATGAAGATGGCGTGATTTCTTCCTTTGAGCGAGATGGAGGCAGGAACTCCAGGTTGGGGTTAATCTCGTTCTGAAAGAGGTTGGCCGGCTCCCCAGTATCGCAATGGTGATTGTGTATCATACTAGGTAGCGATACCTGATGGGAAAACATAACGTCGGCCATCGTCAGAAGAGCCCACGTGCGCCGCCTCATCTCCTGTCCAGTATCGTTAGAATAGTCCCAATCAGAGTCGATGCCTGGCTTTAACTCACAGCTTTGAAAAGACTCAGACAGGGGAACCACTTTCCATCGCGATGATATCCCATTTGGATAGCGATCCTGGTTACCGTGGAGATAAGTAACCACAGTTCCATGTCTATATCCCATCGAGTCCCATATTCCGCAAAGGTATAAAGAAGCATTGTTTCAACCACAGGTGTGACTGGTTTAGTATAGTCGGCAACAACCAGACATTGCGCAGTTCGTAGGCGGTAGCTAACGGCCATTTCTAGCGTTCGACCTCTCCATGCCGTTGGTTCATCTCCAACTCGATGATAACTTAGCATACCAAGACACAAGATCGAGTAGAGCAAGCCCAGCCACATCAGGGGTGTCTTAGAGGGGTTTTCCCAGTGTGAGTACAATTCCTCGTAGAAAGCACCAGAGTGGATGATGACAACGGGGTTGTCTATTGACTCGAAGTACCGAGAACACAAGGTAAGGATTACGATCCTTGATGGCAAAGCGGCCTGTAGCTCGAACTCGGTAGCTGGAGGCGCGGTTCCCTGGAGTAGAGTGATGCCTGCTGAAGCGCTCAGTGGCTTGGACAACCTGATCTCTTCGTAGCTTGCTTCCAGCTCCTGATCGTATTTGGCGGACGATGCTTTGACCTCCAAGATGTCTGCTAGAATGGTTTGCCAATGTTCTTGACCAATATACACCGTATTCCCATTGTTTCGTTCAATGCTGAGCACACCTAGGGAAGTGGCTAGGTTGTCGATATCATCACCCTCCCCCCTGGTGTTCTCGGGTGTTCGGCCACGATGGGCTCCTGCTGAGCTTTCTCCGTTGCCCGCCCTACTAGTGGATCCTGTGTTTATCATGGCCGATGTTGATCTTGCATCAACAACTGCCCCACCACGCATCAATGTTAGAACCAGATTCTCAAGACGATTGAGTTGATACTGCAGCGACTCAGAATTCGAATGTGCCTGGATATCCTCTGTTTCACTGGCGATTGGGGCTGAGTAGATGCATGTAGTTGTTTCTGCACCACCCTGGCGTACACAATTGCTGCAAGGGCGATTTCGATCACATTTCCTAAAGTGTCTTTAGCCTTTGAAAGGAATTGTAAAATTTCGTGTGAGCTTTTTACCATCTGGGAACATGTTATTAGCTTTCGCGTTTACAGAGTATCCACATGCGCAAGCTTGCTTACTTTCGGACTCGGCACAGTGAACAGTTGATGGGCACCCTCTTTCTTTTTTTAGTGACACGGAACTGTTCCCCGGCTGTCACTGCTCGAAGAGGATCGGGGAGGTAGTAGTTGTAGATAGGAGATGGCGTGAGATCCATTGTGCAATCATCGCCTTGTTTACTCTACCACGTTCTACTAGTCCAGTGGTGTTTCCAATCGTCTTTTTGAGTGGAAAAATAAACACAAATAAGGTTTAGGTAAAGGTTTAAAACATCCGTTACCTACATAACTAGCTGCACGCTTATTGTCATAACCTCAGTATTTACAATGCATACACCTTAAAAGGAAAGGAACATTCAAACTATTTGAAAAGAAAACACAGAATGGAGTTCAGATTATGTGAAAAGCAATTCAATAGTACTTCTTACTTATCAGGAATTCGTGTTAAATATATCATCATTACAACTATTTATTTCAAAGGCACTGTGAGGCTTTGACGTGCATGTATGAGCACTGATGTACCGTGATTGCTCGAACTCTGATTATTACCCGATCTTTTACCCTGTAGCCTATCAATTTATACTACCAGTCCAGTCATTAGTTAGAAATTCGGTTTTTCTCCTGTCTAATATATATCAGCAAGTGCAGTATATGAATTGTTAAGATATTATAATGTGATATTATGTATAGTGTCACATAGGGGAAGTGGATTCAATGGAAACGTACTAGGACTTAGCTAATGATAACTCCGTAGCAAGGAAGTTTTAGAAACGTACTAGGACTTTATGCAGCGTAAATCCGAAGCCCGTGCGCAGGCGTCTGATTTACAAAAAGACGCTAGGACTTTACGCATATAACCTAGGCATTTAGTTTAGCCCGCAGATGTTGCCCAGGTATCCATCCGCTCACAATGACGACATTCCGAATACGAGAATTAATCTAAACACGTCTGGCGGGTCAAATCAGATTAGCGCAGCATGTCTTGCACTGCCGGAGTTCGTGTGACTCTCCCGCCAGGATTTTCACGAAGTCATTTTGATTTCCCATACCAAAAACATTCATCAATACTGGGTCCCAGCAAGAGATGCAATTGAGTTTTAGTTGTTGTTCTCCTTCTCCACAATTCATTTGACCTCGTATCATTACGCACAGGGTGGACTGAATTGAACCGCAATCTCCTGTGCCTTGCCACATTCTCAAGGTGTTGTCGATACACTCGATGTGGAGGTCAAGCATGTAAGTAAGGATATGCCAGAATATCTGGCTCTGGGTGGCAATGCAGTTGAGCAAATGCGTACTCAGTGTTATAAAGTTCGAAATGATTTATTAAGTGGAAATCAGTCTCCTTGAAACGAGCTTCTTGTATAATAAATGCTGAGATATTTAACTGGGGGGTTATGACCTTTTGGGTCACTGAAGTGTAGTGTAGTAGCTAATCCAACATATTCCGTCTCACACCGAATATGATTAGAAACGAATAACAACCTTGGTCTCCTCCCGCCTAGTAAATCTCCGATAGGCCTCTGGTGCATCCTCAATGCCAACAACGCTGCTGATAATAAAGCTGGGTTTCGCAATTCCCTGGTCAATAAGCCTCAGAAGCTCTGGAACTACGAGCTTTACATCCACTGGACCAATGCCCCAGGTCAACCCCTTGTAAAAGAAGTCCGCGATGGGAAAGTCAATGCTGGAGGGAATACGTGTTCCATGGGAGCCTCCGCCGACGCTGTCGAGGTTCTCGTAAACACCAACTACACCCATACCGCCTTTATATCCAGTCACAGCTACCATACTCTTAATAACAATGTCGGTCTGGATGTCGAGAGTGGCATTCATCGCCTCGAAACCAACTGCATCAACAGATCGTCTCACTCCGTTTGGTTCAAATGCGAGTATCTGCTCAACTGCGTCTGATGCAGTGAAATCGATGGGAATTGCGCCGATGGAGGACGCAAGTGCTAACCTCTCTGGAACATAGTCGACGACGTATACCTTGGAGGCGCCACGGATAAAAGCTGAGTGGGCAGCAAGGAGGCCAACAGGGCCAGCTCCGAAGATGGCAACGGTATCACCACTCTCGAACCCCGCAAAATTGAGGGCAGTCCAGCCTGTGGCAAAGATGTCTCCGACAAAAAGATAATCCATTTCGAGTGTTGAGTTTAATGCTTGCGAATTGGGAATTGGCATCAGGTTGTAATCGGCATGTGGAACCCTCACAAATTCGGCTGCCGGTATTTGTCAGAGTCATGTAGAAGTTAGATGATGGGTTTGGAAAACTTACATTGAGCACCACCCAACTGGGTAGCGTACCATTCCATCTCACTTGGTGTAAGTTCAAACGAGGCGTCGTGTATTCCATCAGGAACAACAACGTAGTCCCCTATCGCGATCTCTTGAACAGCATCGCCAATATGTTCAACTATGCCCATAGCTTCATGTCCAAGGCTCCAAGATGCGTCTTGTCTTGGAGAAAAGCCGTTGGTAATGTGCAGATCGGTTCCGCAGATACCAGCGTATCGAACACGAACTATTGCATCCGTAGGGGCTTCGATTATCGGAACGGGAAGATCTCGGATTGCCACAGTCTGCAAGATACCTTCCCACATCACGCCTCGCATCGAGGCGTTGAAGAAAGAGTTGTTTGACATGTTGCTTGGTCTAGAAGAAGTTTGTGTATATGAAAAGTATCGAAAACGGGCTTAAGATATGTTGTGCACAATTGAAAGAGCGTGAGCCTCCTTTTATAAGCACGCGTGGGGCTTAGCCTATTGTATAGAAAGGTGTAATTGTCCCATAAAGCCTCACCTACTAGTTATTGACTAAACCCTAAAAGGAGGGATAATTTTACTCCCCTTGATGATCACCCATATCATTAGGAAGCAAACCATATCCTTTGTGTGGTAGCTGCATTGTAGGACGCGTAAGACGAACTGAAACAACGTTAAAAATAAGGTTATACCATAACTCCGTTCTTCCGGACGCGTGGATTGCAAAGACCTAGCGTGCTACGCCGCTTCGTTTACGTAGGTTGCCAACCATGTCGTGTTCGTCTTCATTCTCTATGCAGGTTCTCACATGGTGCAATTCATAAGTACTTTTTTCTAAGCTATACCATTGGGCGAGAACCAAGTAGCCAGCACCTCTCAGAGATGAAAGAAGATAGGATGAAGGCAGATGTGGCTTGGTTCTGTTGTACACCTGGGACAGACGAATACGTACTCGGCTTTTGAGCGGTCACCCCGGATCAACTATTTAATGTGCTGAATACATGTGTTGCCGTATAAAGTCCGTGGCATGGAAGTCAACCACCTTCAAGACCAAGCATAAGGTACTGGTGATTGGGTAGTGAACCTGGAATACTAGCATCCCACCCCAGGCGTCATTGTCGCAATTTACAGTTCAGTGTTCGCCTTGCCCTGGTTGTCAATAGGGAACAGCTCCGCCACACAGATTTGTAGTGCTTCATGCTAATGTACACGCTTGAAATGTTTTGATCTTAAAGTGAGATCTTCTGCTAGAGGCTGCACGGTCTATTCTTCTTAATTACTATATTGGGTACCTCTAGTTCTCGGCAGCTGCTGCATGCTGCACGCCGAATCGAGCGCCATGGGGCTTGGTGTTGTCGATAAGGCTCCGTATCTCCGCCTTCTCTTCGTCGCTAAGCTCAATGTTCCTCGATGCCCAATTATCCTCTAGACGGTGAACCTTGGTCGTACCAGGGATTGGAATAAAGCCCTGGGCAATAACCCAAGCAAGGGCTACCTGGGCCATAGTAGCTCCCTTCTTGACGGCTACCTTGCGGAACTCGTTGACAACCGCAAGATTCTTGTAGAAGTTGTCTCCTTGGAACTTGGGGGCTTCGCGTTAAAGGATAGTTAGCGACAATAAACTGCGCAAAACCCATACGAGACGGTAAAATAGGTTCTAACTTACAGCTGCGCCGGAAGTCATCAGGGGCAAAATCATCAGGGGTCTTATACTGAAAGTCGTCAACGAGCACACCGTGACCTAGAGGGCTGAAAGCTACGAAAGCAACTCCAAGCTCTCTGCATGCATCGATGACACCGCTAGTTTCGTGTACTGTCTCAAATGCAGAGTACTCAGACTGGACAGCGTCAATCTTGGCGACTATAGATTATCGGCCATTAGGAATTCATCTCGACGTTTGTAGTATATATCATTATGAGGTTATGTTAACTTACTTGAGTTTGCCTTTCGGAGTGTAGCGGCTGAGGGTTCAGAGAGGCCGATGTATTTAGTCTTGCCAGATTTGCGTAGGCCGTCAAGAGCGGTAATTGACTCTTCCAGGGGGGTATCTAATTAAAGGTTAGTCATATATTCTCGACAGACCAAGGAGAGGTAGCGGTCTTCTCCAACATACTGGGGTCGATACGATGCAGGTAGTACAGATCAGGCGTGAATCCAAGCCTCTCAATGGTGCCCTCAATATACTCATTGATATGCTTCGCTGAGTTAGTGATGCGACCGCCGCCACCATTAAAGATCTCGAAACCACATTTAGAGGCAACTTGAAACGCGTGTAAGTGATTCTGAGTGTATCTAAATAGCAATAACCAATTTATCTAACTTACGAAAAACCTTATCGCGAACGTTATGCTTCCTGATAAAGTCACCAAGAAGCTTTTCGTTAATTCCAGCGGAGTAAGCAACCTACATGGGGCAGACCTGTTAGCTTCTGACAGTCCTTTGCGGGAACAGGAGGACGGCTTACAGCAGTGTCCCAGAAAGTGCATCCAAGCTCGATGGCTTTCAGGAGAAGAGGCTCCGCCTCTTCAGGGGTCAAGTTGGTGCCCATAACGAAGCTGATACCCATGGCCCCGAAGCCGGGAACGGGAACCTCAATGCCTGCGAAGGGGAGCGTCTTGACCATCTTGGCGGCGTATTTTTGGGAGAAAGATCTGTTTATAGAGACTGTGAGAGTTCTAGGTATTGTACGGATGATGGTTCTGGTAATGGCTGTTCTGCGAACGGTTGAGAGCATATCAGACTGATTCTTCGAGTTCGAGACTGAGAGAAGTATTGTCGGTGACCTAAATACTGCAGGACGCACGCTCATAAGTTATCACCAACGCGCACGATTAGTGTGTTAGGTGACTAAGCTATCTCGCTAGGAAAAGGTCTTGGCCTGATGTTTCATGACGTTTCCGCGTCTGATGTATTGTGATGATGAGTCAATATCTCCATCTTACCTTGTAGGCCGGAGGTAAGGTGGTAATCACCGCTCTAAGTCCATGCATTATGATCGGGGTGGGTACCAGGGCCAAATAGCTTCTTCTACAAGCCTCTACCCAAAAGTATCGACAAAGAAAGTGTTTCAGAGGAAGTGGGCCAAATAAATGACCAGGACCAGTTGGGGGTGGGAAGGAAAGTGGGCACCGGCTGTGTACGTACATAACCGATGATCATCGGGTAATTTGGCTCACATCGTCACATCGGCGCCAAGCTTTGTTAAAGATGGGTCTAAAGGTGGGTGGCTACAGCCAAAACAAATAATCCTATTGGCTGATGGATACTCCAACAAGCTAATCAATTTATCTTACTTCTCTACGGATACCATGACCACCCAACTTTTGTAGTACTTTGATATTTCATTTATAGTATTTTGATTGAAAACCAACTGGAGACTAAGAAAGGTAGAACACATGGCCCTGCTAGTGCGCCTAACCGAAGTCGACGGCAGGGATTGACAGTAAAGACCAATGCCACTTCCAACAAGCTCAAGTTTGGGTGCAATACCAGTATATTGAGATCACAAATATTAGCATGCTGGACACGGTACAATCCATGGTCCAGCGTTCAGAGCTGATCTTGTCATGTCCAGAACTATTACTCAGTCAATGTAGGTTAGTAGTAAAGAACTCGACTAGCTTGGGTGTGCTCCGGGAAGTCTTGTCGTAAAGGTCAATATGGGTGAGACCCGGTATAATATAAAGCTCCTTGGGCTCCTGGGCGATGGCCATAGCCTGTTCGCTGAAGTACAGAGTGTCGGCATCCCCACCGGCAATCATGAGCAGAGGCCTGGGTGAGATGAGATTCATGAAGGTGAAGGAGCGGTATGTAGCAAGAAGGTCAATACTGCGCCATAGGTTCAGATTAGGCGAGGTGGGGTACTGTCCACGCGACGTGCGGTAGTAGTTATGAGCTTCCTGATAGAAAACAGGGAGGGTAGGCAGGACATCGTTCGGGTTATGAGGGACAACCCGGGTCTCGTTGAAGGGAGCGCCGCGGCCTTCGTTGGTACGCTGGCGACCAGCTTCAGCCAGTAGAGCGTTCAAGTTCGGTAGTAGCGGACCGTTGAAGCTGCCGAAGCCCTCGGCGTTCAGAATACCTAGATCTACGGCGCTGACCGTGGCTACGGCCTTGATCCGCTTGTCGGTCTGAGCGGCAAACGGAACATAACCGCCCGAGGCACACACACCCAGGGCGCCAATATTATCAGCGTCGACCATGTCTAGCGTGGAGAGGTATGTAACAGCATTCCTGACATCATTCGCGCGCTGGTATGGGTCTTCGAGGTACCGAGGAAACCCGCCACTCTCGCCCTGATAGGCCGCGTCAAAGGCAAGGGTGATGAAGCCACCTTGCTCGGCTATCTCCCTTGCATACTGGCCAGATGTTTGCTCCTTGACTCCACCACGCGGATGTCCGACCACTATGGCTGGGCGTTTAGCACCGGCAAGTTTGGACAAAGAGTTAGATGTCGGTACATATAGATGGCCTGCTAGAGAAATGCCGTCGCTTGAGAAATGTATCCATCGGCGCTCTACATCTGCAGCAGAGAGTCCAGGAAGTGTGGCCAGCGTAAGGACAATTGCTGACACCCAGGAAAATGTTTTGGAGGGCATATTGCTAGTTCAAGGGGGAACAGTGATTTTGGGATGATAAGGTATTGTATGATGGCAATTGGAAGAGTGACTAAAGCTTGGAGTTGTGGTGATATACCAGTTGCTGATTATCATGTAATTTTGAGTAGTTTATTGGCCATATTTATAGTTTCGCGTCAGTCTCCACGGCTGCTCGCGTAAGTATCTTGGTTCTGTCGAACCGTTACTCCGTACGCCTTTACCTGCCACTAATCATACATACAGGGGCCAGATTAGAGTGTGAGACCAAAGACATGTAGTTTATAAATGCCTGGCAACGTGCAATGGTGGCTGAGTAGAATCCCTGGAGAGCTTAGACCACCCTCTTCTATAGTGCAATTCGTGATCTGTTGTCTCAGGATATGAGAGTATTTACTAGCTGGACCTAATTGCCTGTTAGTTTATGGATAGGACGCTAAACATCTTGGCCGTCACTGCCAAGGTTTCAGCGGGGACGGTTCGGTGTTGGGTTCCCGGGCGGCAGTTCGTACCCGAGGTCTCCTGGGATATGGGCATGATGAACAGGATAACATAGCCTTTACATAGACATCGCCACGGTATCCAAGCCTCGTTTTGATATGGTACAGATTACCGGTTCGAGAATACCAAAGAGGTGAGATCTGGAGTCTAAAAGCTGGAAGAAAGGGAGAGTGAGATACCGCTGTAGTCATTAGGAGAGCCAACCGCTAGAGACTAAGTCTAATTATAGACTGAGTGGTATACAGATGACGTCCTCACACCAGACATGAGAAATCGACTAAAACGATGCATTTTATACATATAGGCTAGGGAAGCATAAGGACACTAATAAATTATAGCCTTGATAGCTAGGAAGGCGGAGGTGCCGGGCTCTCCGTGTAAAAGCCACTGATCTAGCGTTTCCTGGACTTGCTACCCCTGTACGTCTGCACAACTTAATAAGGGGAGGTTCTCCGCGGATTTGTCTAGTCTGTTCTTGTCTACTGATCAAGTGATAGTGGTACGAGCCCAACCTAGCTTGTTCAAACTTTCAGTGGACCTGTAACCCCAGATTCCCACCTTGAATCCCGTTCCCACTTTCATATAGACGTTTTGGTGTGGTCAAAGCCGGGTCTACTCTTCTCCCACATATGGAGGCCTCTCACGATTGCAGGGTTCCTGATCATGGTCGAATAAAGTAGACTTTGATTATTGATCCTTAACACTGGCATGGCTACTGTTAGCCATGCCGATAGATGTGTTGATAGCGGCACGTCGATCGACTCGAAATTAAACAGCCCCCTTCCATTCACAGCACTGTCAAGGGCTGCCCTCCGGGTCGCCACCACGTCCATGTATGTGTAATCTTTTTAACATACAGGCTTCCAAAATCCAATAAGAAATCGAGCACCCGTAACTGGTGGGCATGCTTACACCTTTTGGTTGACATTTTAGAATTAACTATCCGCCGCTGCGAGGCAATATTAGTCAGAAGAGAGTGCAAATGTGGGAAAGGTGATGCTTTGGCAACTCTAATGTGAATTATGGGCTGACAACACCATTCTAGATTTCCCTCACCAGCTTGGCTAACTGGAACTCGCCTTCTCACTTCACTATTTGATTATCACTAGACTGAAGTACGTAGAACTCAGGTTTCGGTCGAGTGTATCTGTTTGCACCAAATAACTCACACAGAGTGAACAACTAGCGATATCCGGCTTCCCCAATTTTACCCTGTAATACAATTAATTGGCACATGGGTCTTCCGAGGGCTCGATAAGAAATCCATCGTAGACTAGGAGACTGCCACCCTGGGGAGTGAGATTTGCACGGTGAGTGACTGGGTTCTTTGCGACAGTGAAAAGGGTCTGGAAGCTATGAAATCGTTAGACTGATACATTGAGAGTACAGGATTTTGTCAAAGTCTCGGCATTCACGGAACTTACTAAGTTGTAGAACAGTTATCATCAGCGGTGGTGACTGTCTGCATGACGCCGTAGACATGGAACGTCTTTTCGGTTGCTGAATCTTTAGCCACCACAGTCTTGTTTGGAAAATGCTTAGGCGTTGTCAGTGAGCGTGTCTGGTCAGGGGTTTACCCTTGAGGCGTAGACTCACATTCCATTGGATAGAACCATCAGCGGGTAACATGGCCGCCCTTGACTGTAAAATGGCGTTTGCTCCAGTAGCCTTATTTCCTAAGACAATGAGGCTCCCGTTGCGGGCAAAGAAATCGGTATAGCTGGACGTTGTCGTCGGATCCTCGTTGTTTCTTAACAACCTGCGTAAATGATATTGTCAGCTTCTCTAACTTCTTCGTTACGAGCTTGACAGGGCTTACTCATAATACCAAGGTCCAAAGTCAGGATCAACGCCGCAGCTGGGAGAGTAATTAACCATTGAGATTGCTTGAGAACTCCCAAACATCAGGCCAAAGGCCAAGGATAGAGTATAAGGCTTCATTTCTATGGTAAGCGATCGGTAGTCGATATGTGTTCCGAAATTGTGATGGAGAACTAGAGAGCGAACAGCATGTGATTACAAGCTAGTCTTATAGAATTTCAAATTCGTATGAATACTAATCTCGGACTTAAGAGTCCCGTAAGAGTCCCGGTATCTCCACTAATTTCCGATAACAATACAGATATGCTTTAAGCTTAAAATGTAATGACAAGTAGAAAGCCTTGAAATACAATACCCACAGCCCATCAGCTAAAAACGACACCCTGTTAGTTTTTATTTATAGTCCCTAAATAAAAAGGTCATCTCGAGATATTTTCTACCATTAGTGACAGCTTTAATCATGGGGCGAAGCGAAAGCAGTGATGCTAGGGGAATGCGTACTTGTAATGAGTGTGTCAGTTAGAAAATATAAACTATTACTAGAAATAAAAAAGAATTCATGGATCAGCTTAAGGTTCTGCTGAAAACTATTATGAAGCTAAATGTTGTTAATTTTAAGGCGGAAGAGGTAAAAAGGTTAGGTTTAATACTAGTTCGAACTTAGTAATAGATGAATCTTGAGAAGACAGACTTTCTAGCCTTATACTAGGTCTGGATTACCTACTTGGAATTTAAAAGTATTTATGTACATGAATCAGAAGGTCCTACAGTTGTAACGCAAACTTAAGCCTTAACACTAGCACCTGTTAGGCTAAGGGTGTAGTCAAGACCCTTAGAAACCTCAGCGCTCAGGTTGAAACCATCGTACAGGATAGGCTTAGCAGGAGCGTTACTAATAATGACACTGACGTCCTCACCAGCCTTAACGGGAACAGTAGCAGCACCATTCTGAAGAGTGGTATAAGACGACTTGCCTCCCTCACGGTAAACAGCAATAGTGGCAACGAATTCAGCATCAGAAGAAACCTTAGCCGTGACTTGGGTACCGGTAACCTCAAGAGGAACAATATTAGATCCCATATAGCGAGGCTCGCGACCAGACTTGGGCTTGTAAGAGCCACTGCCAGAAGCCTCAACATTGCTGAAGTTGATCTGCTCGCGCTGCTGGAAGAAAACCTCCTGAGCAGTAGCGTGTCCAATATCAACATAGGCCATACGAGCCCAGTAGCGACCAACAATATCGCCTACGGTAACGTTCTTGGAAACGCGGGCGAGGGTATGAAGGGGAGTCTCGTTGCTACCCTTCTCGTACTGTAGTTGCAGCTGACGAATGGTATCTTGACCAAGACCGGCGAAGTTGTCGGGGTTGTTGGTCAAGTAAGCCAGGAAAGGCCAGGCCTGGTAATAGTTACCCGTATCGACAGAGCCATCGACAATGACCTGGTGAGAGTCACCGAGGACCTTCTGGAGTTCGATTTCGGTGGGGGAAGTCTCCTGGTTATGGTTCTTTCGGGCGGCCGCGCAGATGTCGGAGGTCTTGTAGGTGTCGGCAACCCAGTTGGCGAGGGTCTCCCACCAAGCGCCAGTTCGGCCCTGGTCAACCCAGGTCTGCTGGTGGTAGTGCAGGCCATGACCGTACTCATGGACAGTCACGCCAGGAACAGCGAGGTACTCGTTAACGACCTCGAGCCAGGCCAGCCCAGTCTCGTAGTCAGAGTGCATCACACCAGCAGCGTTATCCAAGGAGCCAACAGAGTAGATGTTGGTCTTGTACAGAGTACCGCTGTTGCCCTGGTCGTTGAAAGACAGCCCGGGAGAGCGCCACTTGAGAGTTCCAACGAAGCAGTCGTAAGCGCCCTCGAGCATGTCGATAGCCTTGGTTGCCTCATCCGCAGATGCTCCGTAGACACGGAAGTGGGCCGAGTCTTTAAAGTTGCTGCCACCAGGGCCAACATTGGGATTCGCAGTGTACGTGGCTGATGCCGCCGGGGCAGTGACAGCCTGGGGAAGAGCGTAAGCACCAGCGGCGAAAAGGCCGATAGTGGCAGTCTTCTTATTGAAGAGGCCCATTGTAGCGAATGAAAAGAGAAAACGAAAGTAGGAATTGTTAAGATAAAATGAAAAAAGAATGGAAATAAAGTTGAAAATCTTAATTAGTAGAGAGACAATCTAACTACTTGGGGAGTCTATCTTCTTTATATACATACTACATAAAGTTTGTAATGGATAAAAATGTGTAACACAGCTGTATTTAATTGGTGGATTGTGTGTTTCTCGTAATAGTGGACGTGGTTTCAAAACGGCGTTTCAGAACAAGGTTTCTAATAAGCCTAATGTCGCTACAACTAAATAGGCATGGGATCGTTAAGTGCTGCTACAGGCTATAACGAGTCTAAATATTAAATTACATACTTCTATTGCCTTATCTGTTTAAATTAGTAAAATTATTTCCTAAATCCTCGATACTACCTGCATAGACACCTAAAACCACTTCTTCTAGGTAATCCACTATAGCAGAAGTACATATTGTATTAGAATCCAATATTTAGACCTATTGTAGCCTGTATGGAAGCCAAGAGAAACTGGGATTGTTTAATTGTAAAGGGGAGCTAATACTGCTTAGATATCTGTGCTTTTGTTGTCTGGGGTACACCGGAATTTTCTCCATCAATCAGCATTAGTTCTATTAAATCTGCCCATTCAATTTGGCGCGTATCCCCGCTTGCATGTAACACACCCCGGCTGTAATGACAATCGGAGCTTTTTCTGCCAGCCAAAAGCCGACAGCGTCATATTGGACTACTTCCCAGTCACGGAGCCCTGCTTCTTCCGCCTCCATAGTAGGGCGCAATACGGCTAGTTTAGCACAACAACCTGTTTGAGCAGTAAACTTCTGGTGGATATTTCGGTAACATCCCTACTATCTTCAGGTTGTCTCATGCCACATTTCACAATTATACTAACTCTCAATGGTAGTGCTATTATGCTATGAGTTGATAATTCGTGGCGTGGCTTTATTGTGTTAGGATTGGTACAGTAGAGACTAACTAAATACAGCCCAAGTTAGAGCATAGCTTGGCTATTCTAGTAAGCGTATCGGACAGCAGTTGAATTAGACTCCTGGTCAAGCTTCTTATTAGTCCTTACTAACCAAACCCTCATAGCCCAGCAACCCGCAATACACATTACAGCAAACCCAGCATTACTGGCCATACCAATTAAATATCGAGGGCCGTCTGACTTGGGGTAAAGGTAAGCGGTATAGATGTATGACGCATTGGCAATGACGTTAACGATCGACAGGCTGACTGATTTCTTCTCAGGAGTTGAGCCCAGTGTTGCAGAAACCCATCCGAGAATCATGGAGTTAACAGCGTAAGCTCCACTGGCGAAAAGGAAACAAGCGATATAGCGAGCAGGAGTGTTCAGAGTCACACAGGAGATGATGTAACCGACTAAGGCCATGCCCATACACGCTGTGATATGCCAGGTTCGTTCGTTAAATCGTCCGGAGGACCATGCAGCCAGATAGCCGAAAAATCCAGAAACCAGGTAAGGCGGGCAGGTCAAAACCAGAGTGATGGTGCTGTTGAATCCAAGGGAGCCAACGACTGTAGGAAAGAAATTGTTGAATGAGCAAGCTGACAGATGCATGTTTTGGATAAAGCAAAAGAGCCAAAGACGAGGATCCCGAATGGCCTGGGCAAAGCCAGCTCGAGCCCCCTTGCTTTCCTGGAGACCAACAGTGTCGCGTACCATGCGATTATGGGCAAGCTGGCGCTCTTCTTCGCTCAGCCATCGTGTCGTAAGCGGGCTATCGGCCAGTGTGAAAATTCCAACAATGCCAACCGCAAAGGTCAAGGCTCCTTCAATAATGAAAAGCCACTGCCACCCCTTGAGTCCATGATGCCCATCAATCGTACCGAAGGTGGCCGCTGCGATCAAGCCCGAGAAGGACGTGGCAAAGATATTTCCAGAGTATAAGATCGAGAGACGAGTCGCAATCTCTTTGCGGGTATAGAAGATGGCCAGTAGGTAAAGCGCTCCGGGATAGAAGGGTGCTTCGGCAACACCGAGGAAGAAACGCACGATGACGAGACCTTTGTAATCTTTGACAAGAGCTGTGCAGGCGGATACGACAGCCCATCCCATCATGCAGATGGACATGTATAGCGAGGGTCTGACACGTTTCGAGGAGATGAGCATGTTGGATGGAATTTGCATGAGTAGGTATCTGATCAATGGTTAATTGGGGGAAAAGGCCTTGTTAGAATGAAAAGCTTACCCGACAAACAGAATCGAGATGCAAGTATTGTACTGCGTTCCCTTCAGACCAAGATGATCCTCCAACCCGTTGAGTCGCGCCTGGGCAATAGCATTTCGATCAAGCTATAAGTATCAGTAACGCCCTCTGTAGAACAGCGCCCTACGGCACTCACATAATTGAGAAAGTACATTGCCCAGAGAATGGGCATGATGCGGAAGTCCAACTTGCGAACAAGCCGAATCTCCGCTTGATCCGTCTTCTTCACAGCACCAGAGTAATCGGCCTCAGGGTCCACAAGGACGCCGCTCTTCTCGACATGATCGGTGACGGACATATTGGCGAAGTCCGCTTCGTGCTTGTGCTCGATGCTTCCGCGCTTGGAATTAGTCATAATGAAGGGTCAAGGAGTTATGATGATTGATGAGATTGAGGATACCAAGAGTAATTAGAAGGGGATGACATCCTTTATAACTTGATCCTCGGGTTAGAAGAATACTCTTTTTGGTCTTGTGTCTGGGGCCCCAGGTTTTCCCCCGGATTAGCATGGCTAGCTCAGGCTAGTTCAGACCCAGGCCCGTCGAAGGGTGGTGTCGGAGAAGGAAAAGGCCGCCAAGATGTGGGGTCTTGTGAACCATAACGATGTGTCGAGCAGCAAACGAGGGCGGGGGTTGGTGTTGACTGAGAAATGGTTAAAGTTCAATAAATGGGAAAAGACATAGCGTGTGGCTTCGTTAGATAACAATTTATACTACGGGTGTCTGGTGCATGAGCTGTAGTTATCTGAGGCACATGTGTGACAGGATTTCAGTTCAAGACATGAAGAGTTTGGTAAAAGTTGCGAAAGCTTATCCAATCTATCAGAGCAGTATATTACTTTCCTTAATACTTCAAGATGTAATTCCTACAAGGGTATTATAATAGCAGTATGATCTGGCTTAGAGAGAAGTCATGAAATGAGGTAAAGCAATAACTGTTATTAATTGAGTAATGTTAATACCCTGTAGGGTTGTTATGGTGATAAAGTCTTCGATCCGGGAGACAGGTGATATAAGCGAGCGGAGGAAGAAAAGTCCGCGGGGTTTTTCTTGTCCGAGCATTCAAAAGAACCCACACCACAATAAATAATACTGATGGTTACTAAGAGTACTTATACATAGCTAAACAGTTTTAGTTCAACCTTGCGAAAACCGACATGCTTCAGAATTTGATATTCATGTCGGAATATTAGCAGCCAGGAGGCCAGTTTTAGCTTAGCACCCACCGGGCCTATATAATGCTCGCCACCTGCGCACTTTACAAGACTTATATTATGTTGGTTGGTGAATTCCATGATCTAAGCCACTCCGATGTATACTTCCACTGAGAACTGTCTGTAGGCCTCCACCTCCCATATGGTGCGAGAGCTTCCCTAGCCGCCTACCTCAGATATGCCAGTAATAAATACAACACGATCTAGGTCAACCATGTCACGGAGAATCCGTAGTGGACTGATAACTTCCTCATTGTCAGGTAATGTAAGAGCCTCAAGCTTTATGTTTGCCAAGGGTGATGGAGATGGAATGGGTGGTGCCCTATAACACACTTCTTGTTAATAATGCCACTGGGCTCGAAGGTACGACGGATTGCATGCTGGAATGCATCTATATGCAACCCAATGTATATATCAACTGAAAAATAGTTATTTATGAGTTAGGCGCGAATGTTTAAAAGTCATTGGGCTCCAGTACCTAATGGTCTGAGAGCTATGGTATGTCTTGCCGGTATGAGTCTCGGCCGAGTTTTATCATACGGAAAATTAAGATTGAGGCCAGGAAGCCATGACTCATGAAGAGTATGACCACTTTGTTAGGCGTTCCAACCATTTGTGTTGTCCCTGTGGTTGTAGAAGCATCAGGAAGCTTCGAATGATTCCTACAGTGTTTGCGTACACGTCCAGACGGCACCGTTCGCGTAGTGGGACTTCTCAATAGATGTCAGCTTCCCGCTTCGCTTTAAAAGTACGGACCAGCAGCCAGTTGGAAACAGTAATGTCTTGTGAAAGCTACAGATACGCGACTCAAGTCAGTCGCTAGCCATTGTGGTCAAGCTTGCGGACAATGTACATTAGGCACTTACACCTTCTTGTCGCCTGATTCTGCATAGCACAGCCCCTTATGCCAAACTGCGCATTATCTGCTTGCACCTCACCATATGTTAATTCCTGTCCACAATGCAGTGATGTATCACTTGAGGGGACTTGAGTAGGGGCACAGATGTCTGGTATGTTTGTCTATCACAAAACGCTGTGGCAGCCTCAATCTTTTCTTAGGCGCTTTGCTGTCTAGACTATCCTACTTTTAACATAAGTAGATCCTAGCTATCAAGGTAATAGTAAGTTCTATAGTATAGTATTTAGTCTCTTATAGGACTAATAACCTTCTGAGGAATGCCATTAGCTGTTAGGTCTAGTAGAAATCCCGCTTCTTCTAGCTTTTCCCTGATTAGATAATACGGAACGTCTTCTGCACTTGCACAGCTCTCTTTAATAGCAATAGAAGCTGCGAAAGCGCTGACCTGGCCGAGGGTTGTAAAGGTATGCTCTGTACGAACTAGCCCATGTCCTAAGTGAGTGCTAGACGGCGATCCAGGTGTAAATAAATTGCTGCACTGAGAGGCATGTGGGACGATGGCTTTGAATGGAACTAGGAATGGCTTCCAGGGTGGGCCCTCGTTCCAGATGAATCCGTCATCGTAGACAGCACCATCCTTCACGACCCGGCGTACGGCATGGACATCCTTTTACACAATCAGTCCTCTCTCTTCTCTTTTTACCTAAATCTTTTAACTTCACTTACGTTTGGCCATAGATTAACCAGAACTGGATCCGCAACCTCGACGGCAGGAATATCGTAGTTGTGCCACCTAGAAGTGATGACTACGTCGTCACGCATCATGCGACGCACGCCACGGACGTACATGCGGCGGGGAAAATGGGCATTGTCGGTGAACTCGTCCTTAGCATAACCCCAACTGCTCCATTCCGCGCGGACCTCTTCAGGTACAGCAGGGTCATTAGCGAGGTAGTAAAGTTGTCCTACGATTTGATGTTAGCAGTCTGAACCCAACCCGTTTCTGGTGTTATAAGAAGTCTACCTTACCTCGTTGCCAATTCTCTAGCTTCTTCAGCAGGCGTAGACGAGTAGCCCGGTCGGCCTCAGGGTACTTGAGGGTGCGTCCAGGCATATCGAACCCGAGACCAAGGGGTGTACTTCCGATCAAGTCTGTCTTTTCGTTTGGTACAACGACTGGTGGCGAGAAGATTTCACCGCCAGCCTCTTTGTATCGACTGTAGATAATATACTGCGACGCATTATAATCATCAGGTTTTTCGAATGGTACGAGATTGTCGGTACGATTTGTAAGGCACAGACGCCAGGAATAGGCTTGAATCTGATTGTCGCTGTGGAATTGATGACTGTGTCAGTCACACACGATTCAAGGTGCTAAACAAATACTGGCATTACCTACCCGTCGCCTTGTTCACCAAGAGCATCTGGCTGTACAGTCGGTATCAAACCACTGCTAGGGTTTCCTTTCTCATTGAAAGGATCGACAGGCACTTGGAAATTGGAATACGTGGAATCGAGACGTATACCCGCCATGGGTTCATCAAAGTCGTTAACCGACTCTCGTCCAACCACGTAGTTAACACCAGCAGAAGCGAAGAGGTCACCCTCATAGGTGGCATCAATAAAGTAAGGCGCTGAGAAGTGCTGACAGTCTTCTGTGATAATGTGAGTAATTGAGGTACCGTTCTTCACCACGCCCTGGCCGTTGCCTGTTCCTCTGAGAGAGGTGTTGATAAAGACTTGGATGTTCTCTTCCTCTTCCAGCCAGTCCAGGATGGCCTGCTCGCCTTTATGACTCTCATATCGCCACAGGCTCTTGTCTTTCACATGGTTAGCCCAAGCCTCATTAAACCCACGTAGTCGATCTGGGCCGTATGTTGAGATGACACGTCTGTACAGCTCAAGTACCATTGGTCCAATCGTCAGTGAGTTTTGGAAATTAGGCTGATGTACAACGTCAGTTTGCTTACCACTGTAGCTTAGACAAGATGCAACAACGTACCTGTGAATCGAGATCGGCACCACCGGCTCCTTCGACGACCATGCCGCCAATGTGAGCACTCTCCTCCAACAGTGCCACCGACAGGTTCAGCCTTGAAGCTTGGATGGCTGCGGCCACCCCAGCTCCAGTACCCCCAACGATGACTAGATCGAACTTATGGCGCTGGGTTGGTGAACATGTCTCCCCCCCAGCGGCCGCCGCAGACGACATCAACAACAGACAGAATCTTGGAAGAAATCTCATAATTAGTTCTCGTTGAGCAAGGGCACTAATACCTTCCCTTGGCTTGAAGAGGAAAGAAGACTCGACGCCTTCAAATCCTGTGCTTTGGAAATGTGTGGAGATGAAAATGCGGGGGGACGTAGACTCTACCAAATTAATTCTATGGGTAATTTCTCTTCCGCACGATTGCTGTCGGCTACGATCAGCCAGAATGTTGACTTTGTGGTGAAAGACTTGTGAGCTAGACGCACGATACATAGCATATTAGTACGTGGTGGTATCGTCCAGTGGTGTTCCCGTCTCTTCTACCAGTTACTTACGGAGTCAGATTTTGAAACCGACCAAAAATTCATTTATTTTCGTTTGCCAAAAAAACTGGAGTCAGTTGTTTTTTCGGTCAAAGAGTTGGTGACAAGCCCCACAGATAGACAGGAGGAGAAGCTAAAGGTAAGGACCCCCGCGTTCATGCCTCATAAGGACCGAGCCTTGCTTCAGAGAATCTAGCTTGTAGGTATGTACAGTATAATTACAACCTGGCTGTACGTCATTGTGCGGATCCTATCACGTCGATCAAGGCTAAACACTTGCTTGTTACATCACATATTTTTGATCATGCACTTTGCTAATTGTGAATTATCTCTTTGTTCATCGATACTGGGGTAAAACATGCAATGCCTTGAATGTGCCTTCTCGCCCCCTAGAGAATCTAGGGAGCAATAACGTGGTTGGTCTACCAGTAGGGGGTAGGGCATTGCATAATACCTGGAGTAAATCTTAGGTTAAACCTTGCATCGTGGAAAGGTTCATCCAGCCAATTTTGCTTCCTTCGAGTCTATGTTATGGAGAATCACTCATTATAACGGCGCCTCATCCGGGAACGAGGGTGCTCCGACTGACGTGTCGTCTGTGATTACTCCTTGATCAGCCAGACGAGTCTTCAAATCTGCGTATGGAACATCTTGCAATGCGAGTCCCTGCGCAATTGCAATATCGGCTGCGTTTGCGCAAGCCTGTCCCGTGGCATAGAACTGATGCTCCAAGCGAACAGCACCGTAACCAACATGCGATGAACTAGGGCATGTTACCGTTATGAAGTTGACCGCCTGCTCTCTCTTTGGCACAAGTGCACGATAAGAAATACCGAAAGGCCGCCACTTGTGGCCATCTTTAAAGATGAATCCCTCATTGTGCACTTTGCCATCTCGCAAGATTCGGCGGACGCTGTGTGTGTCCGTTGGCCAGTAGGCCACCGCGATGGCATCTTTGACAGGTTCCGACCCGCCATCACGAGACGCAGTGGCTTCGGTGATAATGTAGTCCGAGATCATGCGTCGAGCATCACGGACATAAAGGTCGTATGGAAAGTGATGGTTGTCAGGAAATTCGTCTCGGCAGTATCCAAATCGAGACCATGCTCGGCGGTATTCTTCCTTGGAGTCAAATTAGCAAAGCCTGCTTATAGAGGTACGTACGTCGTCAATGGGAGCGCGTACTGGGACAGAATCATCGGTCGAAATGAACCAGAACAAGCCTTTAGTGAACCTAGTTGTGTCGTCCAAAATCTTGTTGCGCTGTTTGCGACATGCGACAGGCCACTCATCGTTCATCCCAAGCAAATCGGTAGACAAAGCTCCCTCAGACCCGATCAGGTCTGTTTTCTCACCCGGTAATCTTTTACGCGGCATATAGAACTCACCCCCTGCTGCCAGGTAGCGCCGATGCAGTTCATAATGCGCCGCATCATAGCCATCTGGTTTCTCAAACGGTACTCGGTTGTCGGGATCATCTGTCAAGGGAAGCCGGTATGAATAGGATTGGAGGTGCAAGTCGCCTGCGCCTGGTTCGCCAAATGGCTCGTCCGAAACACCATAGACGAGTCCGCTTGAAGGGTCACCCGGCTTGTTGTAGGGGTCTACGTCAACATCGATCTGTCGATAGAGGGTTTCGTGGCGGACCCCAGCAAGGGACTCATGGTAGGCAGATGACGCTTCGCGGCCTCGCGTCCAGGTTATACCTGCTGAAGCGAGGAGATCGCCTTCGTAAGTTGCCTCAACAAATATTCTACCAGATATCAAGTCGCCATTTTCAAGGCGGACAGCTTGGATCTGACTACCTGAGCGTTGCACTGCATCGTCTGACTCGGCCAAGGGCGACTAGACAGACATTGTTAATAAGAAGGCTTTCAGAAGGGCGGTTGATGAGATGAGTGAACCTTGATAATGGTGATTTTTGGATACTCGGCCAGCCAATTGGAAATGACTTGTTCTGCTACTCTCGATTCGAAGCGCCAGATCTCTGGATCTTTAATTCGTTTGCTAACAACCTCGTTCAATCTTTCAACTCTGTTGTAAACTTTGCTGATTCTCTGGTGTAACTCTAGGCTAAGACCGCCAACAGTAGTACTGTTTTGGAACTCGACTTGGTTATCGATGTCAGTAGCCCCAAGTCCGTTGATTTGGATGCCACCTGCGATTGATTGGCTTAGCAGCGCACGGTATTTCATGCTGGCTTTCTTTTGATCGTCATTACTCACCAATATGCTTCTGCGGTGAGATAAGAGCAACAGAACGGCCCAGTCGGACAGCTTGTATAGCTGTAGCTACCGCACCCGACGTAGAGCCATACACGACGAGATCAAATGTTTGAGACATGGTTTTGAGTTGTAGTTTCTGGAGAGACTGTGGCGACGATTCAAGGCTTCCAAATACGAAGGTATATCGCCAATCCAACATGCCAAGGAGGAAAAGTTTTCTTCCTTTACCCCAGTCAAACCAAGTGTATCTTTCACCCTTTCCCCCGGGAAGCCCTCAAAAGTGGGCAGAAATCTTAACCGACACCTCCCCTCGTCTCAAGGATCCATGGATCCGCTTCCCCACAGGAAACATGACTCAGTCTCCCCGCAGTACCCCAGACGATAGATTTTTGGGTCTTATTCGAGAACCGGACTATACCACCAAGTAACTACTTAAGAGAAGCAAGGTCGGTCCTCTAAAAACGTCAAGTGCCAGAAATATCCGCCATCAAGATACAAACTACTCCCACGTCAGCTCGTCACTGTCTTTTACTTGATGATCTTCCAAGATGGGTCGCGGCGTATTTGCAGGCAGGGCCGCCTTGACTCAGGCGACGCCGCGATTGATGATCTTCTGCGTTGTGTATGCCCTGGGAAGTATTTTCTTTGGATAGTAAGCTTACACCAACTGCCCTCTTATTTTGGCCGAGCTAAATAATCCTCCCCCCTCCAGTGATGGAGCATCATTCGGTGGTGTACAGGCAATGGATCCATTTTTGAAGACCTTTGGCCAATGGAATTCCAACAAAGAAGGATACTACCTGCCGAGCGAGTTGCAGTCTTTAATGAACAGTCTACCCCTTCTTGGCAAGTTCCTTGGTACCATTATTGTGGGTCCTATTATCGAGAAAATTGGTCATCGGTATGCCATGGCCTCGACTTGTTGTGTACAAATTGTCGGCCCCGTCAGTAAGTAGATCAAATCCAAAATTCACTTGATTATGTGTAGATAATATACTCACTCTGTCTGTGTTAGTTCAAGTCACGAGTAAGAAAGCAGCTCAGTTTATTGTAGGAAGGGTCTTGGTTTATACGGCAGTCGGTCTTGTTGAAAATGTGAGTCCGAGTTCGAGGTCTCCGACCTGTTTGATGGTATTGTGAGTTAACCATGTCTTAAGATTGTCCCAACTTATCAATCGGAAATTGCACCCAGTGCTTTACGGGGCTTCTTCGTCGGCTCAATCCAGCTTTGCTTAACAACCGGGTCTTTAATCGCGGGTATCGTCAATGAATCTATGTCTCGTAAGACAGACAATTCGGGATGGCAGATCGCCACAGCGCTTCAATCTCTGCCGGCCGTCATGATTCTGTGCATGCTATATTTCACACCAAATTCTCCACGGTGGCTTACTTTCAACGACCGACATGAAGAGGCTTTTCAGGTTCTGCGATCGATTCGACGAAAGGAAGATGTGGACAGGGGGCTTCCTGAGCTCAAGCTTGCATCAATGAGAGAAGAGGGGCAGATTGGCAAGAGACAGAAGGGTTCTTGGATGGATCTGTTCCGAGGAAATAACTCAAGGCGGACTGCGTGAGCACTATCCATATCGGTGCCGTTCCAAACTGACATTTTGACAGAATTGCCTGCACAATCATGTCTTTCCAACAGCTTACTGGTGTGACGTTCAGTTCATCATACGGTCCAACCTTCTATCGCTCTGTTGGACTTGCTGATATGGCCTTCGTCTATGCTGTACGTACTTGAGGTTGAACTCTAGATCGTCATCTGCTTACACACTTATCAGGTTGTCAACAACGCCACATCGGTAGTAACGGCCATGATGGCCATGGTCTTCTTGGACACATTCGGGCGACGCACACTTGTGGTCCATGGTGGCTGGTCACAGGGGGCATTCCTCGTCGCCATCGCAGCTTTGGGCCGCATCAAGAATCCCAATGTGCATGAGAGTAATGGCATCGTCGCTGGTATGCAGTTGTACACCTGTATTCTGCACATGACTCTTGGCCCTGGCGCATACATCACCGCTGCTGAAGTTGGTACTCAGACTTTGCGTGAGAAGACAATGGCTCTCTCTGTAAGTGTTATACAAGTCCTGAGTGTTTGACAAGGGATACTGACTTTTCTAGACGGCTCTAAACGTCGTAGTCGGCTTTGTTGTAGTCTTTTGCACGCCATACGGCCTCCGCCGATTTGGCTCGGCGCTCGCTTATATATGGGGTGGCTTTTCATTCTTGTCCTCTGTGTGGGCGTGGTTCTTCATGCCAGAGCTCAAGGTATGTATCGGCCAAACCTCAACTGCGTCGTTCAAGACTAGACTAACACTTTCATAGGGCCGAAATTTGGAAGAAATTGATCAGCTTTTCGATGCAAACCTACCAGCTTGGAAGTTCAACAAATATGAAACGGAGGGCCTTTCACACGAGTTAACTGCATTGGAGAATGGCGAAGAATCTAAGAACCTTGACAAATATGCCAAGAAGAATGGCGATGAGTTTGACCTCGAGGCCAGCAACGTCGAAAGCCGGCGATAAATGAGAAATCTTGAGGTGCAGGGGGCAGCACTAACTGACACAGGCACTCCAACGAAGTTCCAGGGTGTATTCACGTATTCGTTTAGTTAAGTTATATCGGACTGGCGTACAATTGCTTTAGGGCCTTTTACTCATTTCCTGTCTTACCAGAGCCTCGTTTACGAGTTCGTACTATTTCGAACCTGTTTCTATTGTGGCTTTACCTTATTTTTATTAACTCTAAGGGTAGGGTTAATTATAATTCTTTCACAAAGAATTAACTATTTACAGTTTAGTTTAAAGGTTGCAAGAAACATATTGCCAGTGTAGTCCTGTAGGTTTTTGTTTTCTAAGGTATTTTACACACTTAATAGAACTGCTTAATACCGACTCTTACCGAACTACTGTGCTAATAGAAGGATACTCTTAATACACTATTTTAATTTTAATAGTATTAATAGAATTTTAACCTTTTAAAGATATATATTCTGTTCAAATATGACCCCTGTAAGTTTAGGTGCAGGATACCTTCTTGATCATATTGAGTTTCGACCTTGGAAGGGTTATTTTTATTGTTGATATTATTGAGAGATTTGGAAAGCCTGGGCTTGATAAAGTTGAAGATTAAAGCCAAAAAAAGAAAATACCATCACCACCAGGGGTCACACCCTAACGGACGACAGGCTGGCAAAATGAGAAGGGCGTGACAGTAGAGCCTGGGGTGAGTCCCATTCGACCAACTGGCCCTGTTCTAGAACCACGATGCGGTCATAATTCGCGATGAAGTCCAGCCTGTGCGCAATAGTGATAATAGTGCAGCCTTGAAATTCTTGCTCGATAACTTTGCGCATCTGCAGGTCAGTTTTATGATCAACGTTACTGGTCACCTCATCGAGGATCAGGATTTTCTTTGGTTGCAAGAGAGCTCTGGCCAAACAAAATAGTTGCGTTTGACCGGGCGAGAGTGCCAATGAGCTCAGCTCAGCGTCTAGGCCACCATGCGCCAACAGATATTCGTCCAAACCGACGCGTCTACAGGCGGAGAGTATTTGCACGTCATTTTGATGCCCTCTGAAGTCTAGGTTGAATCTTACAGAGCCTGGTATCAGCAAAGGGTTCTGCGTAATCGTATTGATGCGAGAACGTATCTCTTCGGGTGGAACAGTGGCCAGGTCAATGCCATCGATTACGACGCGACCGCTTTTGATATGCATCCCTCGATAAAGCGAGAAAATCAAGGAGCTTTTGCCGCTGTAATATGTTAGACTCGTTCTGTGTTTGACTATTTATCTATGATCGGAGCTTACCTTCCTGTCCGCCCACAGATGCCTACCTTTTGACCAGCTTGGATTACCAGCGAGATACTTTTCAAGGTGTCTGGAGATGAAGGGCTAGTTCCAATTAGCACAGAGGATCGATGCAGCTGTCCCTTTTACCATGAAGAAGCAACAAAACATACGAGTAAGAAGCTACAAGACTTTCGATGCGAATCTCGCCCTTAAGTGGCCAGCCGGTTGGAAGTGCTGGCAGTCTGTCCGTACCCTCTTCCACGGGTGTCTTGTCCTTGAAGGTTCGAGAACGGACCAGTGCCCCAAGTGATGTTTCAAGCTTGGTCCAGGCCTGGACTACATTGGCTAGGTTGGAGTTGAAGGTTGTGATATTGCTGATGGCGAGACCAACGGCACCAGCGGACATGGAGTGTCTCAATGTGACGGCGAAAACAGCAAGAAGGATTGCCATGCCAGCCACAAGCAAATCAAGGACCACTGTAAGCCACCTTTGGATGCAAAATAGCATGTAGACAGCCTGCTGTGAGTCATCTAGCAGCGCATAATGCTTATTAGTCAGTGATTCCTGCCAGCGGAAGCAGCGAATGGTGACCAGGCCCCGCAAAGACTCTAGAAAGTGGCGATACAGTGGCGCTCTCAGCTCAATATCGAGTAACCTGACTTGTCGCGAAGTACGCAGGTAAAGCCTTTGAATCAGATATATGGCCAACAGACAGGCCGGGATTGTTGCCGCGATCCAATGTGCAGACACACATATGACGACTAATTGAACACCAGAGATTGCAGCAACTGGTCTCGGTCAGAGATATCTCGCACGGAAGAGGGGTCATAAATAGTAACACTTACATGCGGTGGTGTTCAGTGCGGCAAGAGGTAAAGTCATGTCAAACAGTTGCATGTCTTCACTGAAATGATTCATCAAGGTTCCCACGTCTGTATTTGAGAAGAAGGACAAGGGTGCTCTATAGGCTGTTAATGCCGTGATTCCTCTCAGGAAAGAAGCTAGAAGAGAAAGGTACCTCATTGTTGATTGTAGAATCACTGAGTGAAAGTATAGTGCAGACTGAGACACCATTCGTACAAAGAGTTGCCTGGCAGAACAAATTCAGTAAGGTTATTTGTGCATATATGGAAAAAGATAAAGTTGCGCATATCCCAAGCTAGTTACCAAAAGCACCTACCAACTGGCTAAACCCGACAAGAGAAGGGTGAGTATTCCGAAACATGCATATACAGAAAGATATTTGGCTAAGGAGGTGTCATGGCCAGCTGCGTTCTTACTAGACCACCAACCGAGCCAAATCGCTAGAAGAATAATAGTCAGAGTAGCCAAGTAAGGTTAATGGGATTCAGGACTCACAAGAAAAGTTGTAAAGAACAGCTAAAGCCGCGACCTGGATTAGGTAGACCGATGTATTGACTTTTCCAGTAGCGGCAACATAATACCCATATAGACTCCAGTCTCCCGCTTTCCAAGACGCTGGTAGCGCTGCAACTGGAAGAGGTCCCTCCGGTTCCTCTTGTACTTGTTCACGTTCGTCTTCATTCGCTCCTGTTGCTGTAGGCGAGACTTGACAATCGCTTTTACTTGTCTGCTGCTCCATCTGCACAGCTGCATCCCTCTCTGGTTGTTTGACTAGTCCTTGTTGAGAGATAGTTCCCGTATCGGATAGAACAATAACGTGGTCAAAAAAGTGTAAAAAGTGAGCTTCAGTCAACACAAGCAAGAAGGTTGTACCCTCTTGTTTAAGAAAACCATTAGGGCCAAAAGCATTGCGAAACACTTTAGCCTTATTTTTCTTATCCAGGCCAGAAAGGAGATCATCTACCAAGATCAAACTCGCTTTTTGCATCAAGGTACGGGCGAGTGACTACAACTGTCGTCAGTGATCCACGTAAGATGGGGTTGGGGAATACCAATAACTTACTATACGTTGCTTCTGACCATGACTGAGCTTTATGCCGTTACTGCCAACCAGGGTTTGCTCGCCTTCAGGTAGAGAAGCAATGTCTTCTTCAAGATCACAAACCTGTAGCACGCGCTTGTACCGTGTCATATCTGGTACCGACAGACCAGTTATGTTGTCCCGAATACTGGTGTTAAGCATCCATGGACTTTGATCGCAGTAACCGACTGACCGAATATTGATGTCCACAGCTCCTGAGGACGAGGAACTCTCACCAAGAATGCCCTTAAGAAGTGTAGTTTTGCCACAGGCGACTGGGCCGGTAATGGCGACAGACCAGCCGTGAGGAATCTTGATGGATAGATCGCGCAACACAGGTGTGTCGAGCTTCCAGCCAAAACTGGCGTCGTTTACATATAAGGCAAACTCTAGGTCTTTTTGGACGACTTTCTCATGAGAGAGTGATTCGGCATTCGCTGTCTTACTTCGGTTGCTTGTCAAGAATCCCTGTATGCGACTCAAACAGCCAAGGGATCCTGCGAAACCAGGAACAGCCTGCACAAGAACATTAATCGGTTCAGACAACAGGCCAATCATAGTGAGTGAGGAAAATGCCCGAGCAGGTAGCAAATTGCCTTTACTGGGAGCGGCATATATAATGAACGTAATAACAGGAGCCATTGTCATCGTGATGCGAGCTGTGTGGGCAGTTAGAGACAGGACGACGGAAACGAGACACAGGCAATACTTACAAATGACTACAATCCCTACCAACAAGCGACGCATCTTTTGGGAAGCCTGCAGTTCCTTGGCACGTAGGTTCTGTATGTATTCAGTGAAGAAGTTCGTCAAACCCATGAACTTAATCTCGCGCATCTGGGCCAACACCTCTGACGTAGCTCCAAGTCGAACCTGAATACTTTCATTCCACCGTTTCTGGTTTTGTCCGAGGCGCGAAAATAGCAGCAAGCTAGCTCCTACGCAACCTGAGAGATGTTAGAATGAAGTTGCCCTGCACGAGATCATGGGTGAAGTGAGCGTTTTACCCAATGAAAGGATAAGAGGTGCAGCTGCTCCCCAGTGCACCTGGCGTGATAAGAGCCACATGACCAACCCAATCTGGATACACGAAGCCCAGAGTTCATGTATCTCAATAAGTCCGAACACTATTGTGTCTACGTCGGCGCTGATCAAAGTCAAGGTGGACGAGCCATCCACTGCGGAAGAGCGACATTCTAGCGCCGCTTCGTACGTGGCGGAAACGAGAGCACCTCGAATCATGGCGACAAAACGATAGATTGAATGGTAGTAGAGAGCAGTACACAGCTGATCAATCACGATACCCAAGGTTAGCTTTCATCTCCTGAAGCCCGTCATGGTTCGTTTCTCTTACTGCTGTTCCTCCGTAGACCAGCGCGACGGCTGCAATTAGCCCTAGCCCCGTCGCTCTCTCGTGAATATCATCAGATGTGCCAACATAATCTACCAGGCGCTCGATAATTATTGGTTGAAGGACCGTAAAAGCCAAAAGGGCGAGTCGAGGCAGTACGGCACGAAGGAGCTGCCACCTGAAGGTCTTCAATAGACACCAGGCCAGGATATTGTGGTTTTCAGACTCAGCAATGGGTCTCCAGTTGACTTTGAACATGTCATGTACGCGAAGGCTTCGTAGTTCGGTATCTAGATGTAGTAGATCCCGCGATAGGATATCTTTGCGAGAACCACGAATTATAAAAGGCAGAAGCCAGCCGAACACGCACTGACTAAGTACACCTGCGACTTCTTCTTCGGTCACGTCTTCATGCTCTTCTAACAAGATTTGTTTTTGTCTGGCTTCCAGAACTAGCCAGATCATCTTAGCAGGGAGACATGCCGTGAGAACAGGCGCAAGAGGGAACTGGAGTTGCATAAGCCATAGTGTACGAACATGTGGGATTCCCAGAAGGATATCGAGGGGTAAGTATAAACAAAGAAGAGTCGAGGGCTGTAGAGTCTTGAAGTGATCGGTGTAGGAGACGAGACCCAGAATAACCGTGGCCGTTAGCTCAATAATAGCAGCCGGGAGCGCGGTATGGGAGGGCCGCGGGAGCTTCACAGCCCAGAGAACGAGGAAGGCGAGCTGCAGAAGAGAGGAAATAGTTATAAGAATGGCTTTTGACCAAAAGCCACTGTGTGATCGCACTTGACGTCGATGTTGTCGCGAGCGATAAAGCCAGGCCACGGCTATCAGAATGATGACAGCACCAGGAATGATGGCAAGAACAGTGTCCTCGAAAATCAGAGTGAAATCAAAACCGCCACGACAATTTGGTGAGACAGTTGGTCCCCACGCATTGTCATCGCAATCGACCATCATCAATGGTACTAACTGTCTGGTTGTAGGATATTCTGCCTCGTTAAGTCTTAGTTGCAGACAGATGAAGCGCGTGTTGATTCGCTTTTGAGAGATGGCTGGTGTCCTGGGATGTACTCTGGTTACCCAAACAAAGTCGCCTGGATGCTATGAGGGTTGGTCTTAGTACCACCAGGGGGATTCCTTCTGTTTAAAGTAAACGGCTCCCCGTATGAAAAGTGGTACCACCATCCCTGCACGCACCGATACTTCGTGAGCTGGTGTGGTTACATTCCGGAAGGAGAAACGGATCGGCGGCAACGACTTCATTCATGAGATAAGTAACTATATTAGGCTAAGATGTTAGATATACATTTGTACACAGCAACAGATTTAGTGCAACTAGCAGCACTAATAACGGTTATGAAGATTTACCTCCAATCCATTATCAATAACATTTGTACTTATCTGACTAAGCTAAGCATGAATATGCAGTTGGTTCAGATACGGATAACACGGCACACCAGATGAAGGAACTTTGGCAGAGTGTGTTGCTCAAAGCGGAAACCATCGATGCAAAGGACAATTTCTACGCTACTTGAGAGGGGTTTGAGGATGAGACGGCCGTTTATCCCGAGGAGGGTCCGGCCTTATCTTCACCTGGGCGACAGAGACATCCAACAGCGCTCATGGGCGGCATGAGCATTCCCGCTCGGTCAATATGAAGAAGCGTTCAACGTCGCATTTGGGAATTCCTCTTGTGATGCACCTATGCCGCCGTTTGTTTGTGCGTTTTACCTCGAGGAGACAATCGCATCCTTTTTGAATCGCATTCTACTGTCGGGCGAGACCGTGCAGCAATTATGTGCAGTCTATTGGGATGTTCGTGATAGTACACGCGTCACGACAGTTTTGGACACATATCGATATGAGAGTACGTACCGTAGTACACATGACAGTTCGCCTGTGCTGCCCCTGGAATCACATTATGGTGTCTGCGGACCGTGGCTCGCTTTTCAGCGGCTCGTGTAGAGCAGCGCTAAATGCACCTACCCTACGGCGAATGCTTGAACAGCTCGAGCATGTCATTTTGCAACCCTCGACCAGTTTACAGTCACAAGTGAGCGGTGAATTATCTTCCGGTCCTTGATTTTAGAATGGCCCCAGTCAATACGACAGGGTGTGCTCAGAGCACGGTACACGTTTTGTCGAGCGTGGCCCTCCTGCAGTGGGATTCAAGGGCAAAGGCTCTTGAGTAATTCAAGGCAACACTCGTCCTTAGAAGCCTGGAGTATTGAATGCTGCGGACACTAGTACTGTAGTCTGGATGGCGTCTATTGAGCGGGAAGTGGCGATTTAGTCATATGTGCTGACTGACTTTTGGTAATTCCACTCGAAAGGTGATGACCGACGGTCTGCCAGAGCATTGGCCGAACGGCGACATACTACGAGAAGCCGTAGAAATCGGAATCGGTGAGAGAGTGGCCAGTGATTAAGAAAGCCATAGTAAATCAATTATTTAACGAACGGCAAGCCAAGACGTATTGGACTGTCGGACGCTGAGTATGCCGTTTGTCAGACGTCACTACAGGAATGCGTTTGTTAGCCGACAAGGAGCATCCTTCTTATAAGGCTGCAACCGCTGCTGGGACTTACACACTTCTTCAATATTAGTATTACCATCCCTTAACACTCTGTTAAATAATGAACCTATCAAGAGTCAGGGTGAAAAAGAAGTGGCTTACCAGCGAAATAAATAAGTTTTTCACATGTTATAAACTAAAGATTCTATCCCTGTAAATCAAAACGGGATTCAAAGCGTACAAAGGGTTCATTCAAAGCCGTTGACTCATTAAAATTTCAATGTTACACATCGCGTTATCCTTGATTGGCAGAATATCTAAACTCATACAATAATTTCCAAACCCTGACTCACTTCCATCATTGACTATCAGACGTCGTTTACCAAAAGATGGGAAGGTCAACAACTTTTTCCCAATCCATGTTTCCCTCCTTCAACTCTACCCTATCAATACAAGTACCGAAGACCTTATCCCATAGACGAGTTTGTTTGCCATAATTACCGCTTGTCTTCCAGCCCTTACGGTGGTGGAGATCATGATCTTCTATCACAAGCTCAGCATCAACCAGACGAAGAAGCCAGCCAAGTGTGCTAGGGGGTATTGTATAGACACGTAGGCCGCTATGACCACCAAGCTCGGTGAACATAACATACTGGTGGCATATCCACCAATCGTAGAAGCCCATTGGAAGACCCATGAACTTGAGAGAGAGGTAAGTCATGATTGGGATAACAGCGATGTCGAATATCTCCTGTTCGAAGTCGGCGTATAGTGTCAAGAGTGGGTTGGGGTGTTTGGTTAAGTGATGGGTGCGGTGATACTGCCATAGACTGCCGACCTCATGCATGAGTCTATGGTACCAGTAAAACCAAAAGTCCAGGACGATGCCGTACAGTCCAATCTCCAATGGTAGCCAAAGCCAATTCATGGATGAGGGAGCCTGAGCGGTGCGGTAGCTGAGAAACACGGTAAAGACAGGGCGAAAGCCAGACGTGGCGATGAGGCTCTTGACGACCTTGGTGACGCCAACATCGGGCACCCCATCTCTCTCGTGCTTATCACCATCCAAAAAGCCCGTCTGGTGCCCTATCCTGCGTAGGGCATGTATTGTGTGCACCGCAGCAACCTTGAAAGCGACGGTGTAGAAAAGAAAGGCCTGGAAAGGTGTAAGGTTTTGGCCAGTGTAAACTGCATAGGCGTGTTGTATAGCGATCGGAACGAGTGCATGTACCAGCACCCAACGGTGCAGCTGCCACTCTGGTGTGTAGGGTACTTTGTCTCCTTTCTGATGAACAGGAACATCTTCATCCAGGGCAACGTGATGAAGGCCCAGGATTTCAAAGAACCAGTGTGACTTTGTCCAGTTGCTTTTATTGGCTTGGCGCCAGGTAGACTTCATAGAGTCCTTTGGGTTCTGCTTCGATTTTAAACTCAGTGCTGGGTTTGCGTCGAGACGTGACGAGGTATTCTCGAACACGGTAGTTGAGGATTGCGAGGCCATGTTGCGTGTACTGGAATCAAAAGCGACGATATGACTTGATTATCCTGTTGTATTAAGATAGCCGGGCTTAGTCTTTATATAATTCATCAGGAATATTAGCTGCCACATGTAAATTCCACCATCTGGCTTGCCCTGTGTCTGTTTTCTTGTTGAACTCCACTGCTGTCGCTAGTGTACCGAATCAGTGAGTCAAGACTAGACTTACCGAGGTTCTGCAGATCATCAGTGCACACGTTAATAGACGTTCATATTTCGGTACTAGTTTGCGAATGGAGAGGGGCATCAACTTTGCCTGATTAGCGCACCAACGTACTTAGACAAGCTGAGGGTATAATCCATCGCCTCTTGTGTTATCTTTCTCAATTGAATGTGCATGATGCTCTACTAAGTAGAGTCCCTCGACAATAATAAACAATAGATTTTCTTTTACTCCAACGATGGAAATCGTCCACAAGCATAGTCGTGACCTAAATATGTTTTTGCTTCATCAAGGAAAATTAGCCAGATCCCAATATTCATTATAACTTTATCACACATGATATTGGTCCAGGTGCAACCTACCTGTCGCGTCCTAGTCGGATGTTCCTGTTAAAGCTTGTAGAGCTTCGTTTTCTTCTATGCCTATTGACGTAATGTTCCACGTCATCAAAACAGCACAAGATCTAATCTACTAGTCATACTGACGCACCTATTGCCGAACTTGATTGATAGAGCTTCTCATTACGTCGAGCAAATAGTGTGGAATCATCTCATGGTTTTTCAGAATGGTAGAATAGAGTGCGTTCTACTCGCGGGAACTAATAGTCCACATCGCAAGCTAAACTCAAATGGGACTCTGCTCAGGCAGGCACGGCCACAAGCTCGACACTAGTACAATACAGTCACATGGCAGGCATGGCATATTTTATTTAATCATTCCCAACAGATACGACCGGCGTAGAAACTCAGCCTAGCACAAGGATGCTGGCCGTGGCTGGTATAGCACTGGGCTTGGAACTTTAGCGGCTGTGTTCTTTGCTCCCTAACTAGGTCATCGAACAACAGTCATGGATATCTTGGTGGTTTACAGTCGTTGCTGCACCACCAATTAGAAATGCTGGGGAAAAAAGGGGGATCAGGGTCCAAGCCAGCTCCACTATAACATCATTCCACGTTTCTTGAAATTCTAATTTGTCGAACTCAATCACATTTTGTCGAACTCAATCTCATGTGATAATGAGGCCATTATTGTACATGGACTATCTTGGCGGGGTATCATATTACGGCATCTCGACGTCTGAGGCAGCGAAAGCTGTGCAGGACTACTCTCGTAGGATAAATCATGGTAATCCGAGAGTAACTTTCATATACCTCAAGTAGTGTTGTTTATTGACCTGATGATTAAGGTGCTGTCTGTCGCCAATCTTTGATCTGCACCATACACTTCTTGGTGAGCTTCGGCAATATTAGTTATTGCCTTATCCCTGGCAGTGGTGTCCTCCGGTATCCAGGCCAAGGCTCCGCTTCCAACAGTCAATCAAGACTCGGCGCCCTCCGACATTACTCACAGGTTACTTTCAAGATCTACTGTGATATCTATTAACTTCGATCTTCATATTTACAACTCTGAGCCGCGTGACTTCTGCCATGCTTCCGAGCTAGACAGGACCTAATGCTGTTTTTGAGAATTTGTTCTCGAAAAGAGGGAACCTTGATCGGAGTAAGAGGATTTTAGAGCGGGAAAAAAGCACCTAACTTGGTATGAAGCAAAAGATAAGGTACTACGTAGTAGGCAACAGCGTCCAGTATAATCAACCAATCGAAAGGATCATACGGTGTCCTCTCACTCGCTAACATCAAGTCACATTTCTACCCAACCCAACCCTCTCGACTCGAATGTGGCTTATTACTCAGCCTAACGCAAGCTACCACAAGTATAATGCACACTGACTTTAAACGTAAGCAGGCCTAGCGTGGTCGTATTGTAGCTGGTAGTGATTCGCACACTTTCTCGGCAGGAATCATGAGATCATTTGCCGCGGGCTTCGGCGCAGCTGACTTTGTCATGCCCATGTCCACTGGTGAAACCTGGTTTTAAGTCCCCGAAGTTTGCATGACCAGTTTATTACGAGTCTAACCTTTAGCTTGGGCGGCAAAGATGTTAATCCTTGTATTTTAAGACTCTTTAAGCGAAATAGCATTGCCTTCTGGATAGCTCTTTTTATAGTGGCCCTAGGCTTATTAATTATTTACAAAGCTCGCTTGACTGTTGCTATTGCCAACATTACATTTGAGTTTGGCGGAACGGGTACTTGCTTTAAGGCTAATGAGAAGACGTCAGCGTGGATTGGCTGGCGATAACTCCCTGAGTATAGGATTATTGGGCTACACTTCCGCGCAGACCCATGAGCTAGATATAGTAACGAGAGAACTATTAATATCTCTAAAATACCCTTGACTATGGTGCTTTACCTGAACCCTGTCGATGTTTTGCCTATTTAGAAGATACCTGGCATGAACAATAATGGACGCATTTCATCGTTTCTTCTACTACCACTAAGAAGAACCTAATCTTTAGTTCTCTTACTCTTGAAACGCGGCTTTATAACGGTATAAGGCCATTAACTCATGGTAAGAAACGTGTTACCCCTGGAAGATATTTATGTTCAACTATCTTCAAGCACGGTCTTTTATAAATCTATAAACAAGCTAGTATTGAAGTTCAGGCACCGGTTGTGGTAACAATGGTCTTACGGAGAGAGGATAGTTGATAGACCTAACATACAGATACTTCCATACAGGTGGGCATTGTATCACCCCTTTCCTCTAACCCTAACCCTTTAACCCAAAAGGCTAGCTAGGGGCTCTTCGTTAAAAGCTAGCTCAAGCGGTGCCTTCGCCTTAGCCAAATCAAAGGGCCGAATAGTCTCATCCGTCGGTTTACCACGTCCACCCTTGCCAGCAAATTGATCCTCCAAAAATCTTAGCCACGTTGGTGCTGAAGCAGTTAGAGCCGCCGAATGATCGAGTCCGGGATAGCGGAGAAGGTGTACTTCATTGCCAGCCTTGAGAGCGTGGTGATATGCCTTGACGGTCATGTCAGGCAGCAGCGAAGTATCATTCGAGCCATGGATAATCAGAAGTGGCCGGGAAGCCTTGTCACCCTGTGCTGGCGCATTGATCTCTTGCCATTTCTTCAGTGTCTTATCTGTTGCAGGGTTTCCGCCTGGTGTAATGAGCTCATCCCGTGACAAGTCAAATGACATGCCCATGAATGCCGTGGTGCAGGACTGTGTGAGCGTTGCAAGTTTCATCCTCAATTTCATAGCTTTGCCGACCCATGGAGGCGAATAACCGGGGAATGCTTGCATCACTCCGTATGACATCATGCCCAACTCAGCGGAGACGACGAATTGATGATAGTCGGGCCGAGGAAAGATCGACTTGACGGCAAATGTTGCGGTGTCGTAAAGCTTGGGTCCTGGGGCTACCGCTACAGTTCCAAGGTATCCTGAACTGGCATCTTGCACAATAGGATGCTCAGATAGTTTCCACACCGTTCCAGCTCCTTGGGAGTGACCCATGCTCATCCACTGTTTGGTGAAAACGCCAGGGAAAGCTTTGCGAGCAGCCTGTACCGAATAGTATACGTCCTCTGCATGGGCAGCATAACTGCAATACTTGTGCGAAGTGAAGTTGTTGCCAAGTCCAGCATAGTCTGTTCCTACAATAGCGTACCCATACAGCATGAGCGGGCTCCAACTGTCATAGTTAAACAGGCTGGGGGAGGACGATGGCGCACAGCCGTGATGCACACCAAGAGTACCGTGAGCATACGCAATAAGAGGGAACTTTCCACCGTGAGCAGGGTTTGCAAATGGGAATGCGATGTATCCAGTTGATGGTACAGGCTTTCCATCAATTCCCTTGGAAGTATACTGGAATCGAAAAGTAGACATCCCAGAAGGAACGTCGAGATGAGAGCTGTTGACTGCAGCGAGCTTCAGCAAGTCGCCTGGAGCCGACTTGGAGAAGTTATGTGCCGTCGCGTAGAAGTCGAAGTCGAAGGCTGTTCCCGTAGTCTGGAGATCGGCTGCGTTGGTGTAGGCCAGGACTTGTTGGCACGTAGCGTTACACCCATAGGACGAAGCCACCGATTTGCTTACGTTGAAGTTGCATGCTTGGCCTATTCCTGTCTGAGCCTGAGACTGAGACTGAGCCGATGAAGCCAGGAACAGCAGGGTGAGCCAGGTAAATATAATCATGATGAGAATACGGTTAAGATGAATTTCAAAGATGTTCAAGGGATAGGTTTAGGTAATAGATATTGAAAGATGTTATGAATGAGGAAGTAAGAGAAAGAGGAGAGAAATAAAGCATGCCTTTATATAATAATAAGTTTGTATTGGACAAAGACCAGTCTTAACATCGCTGGTCTCTTACTGCGTATTCCTTCTTCCAGGGTTCGCGCGATATGTTCTCAATTGGGCTTAGACTGTCACCTTCGGGCGTTACGGCTTCAGTGCTGGTAGAATGCTAGTCCTTGATATCGGTAAACAATATGTTTTTGTGCAAGGATCGCGCGATTTATCTCGCGGCAAGTAATTTTCCGAATGTAATTGAGATTATACTTGGCTTGCGTCGATTGGAGATATTACTCTGACGTACCGCAATTCTCAATGGCCGGAACAGCCGTCCAAGCTAGTTGTAAGTCTGCAATATAAACCTCTGCAAAAACAAACCCTCGGCTTCTAATCTTCTTCAACAATGACATGACCCTGTCTCTACTCGCTAGATCTGCCACCTCAATTCCAACAAGTACGAGATGCTGGATATAAAAGACAGCCTCGAGCCCGGCATGTTGCAGCCTATTTTCCACATGATTCAGACCAGAGTGTGCATAAGCTTGAACGTTCCATTCCTTCAACCCCTCTCTAGAAAAAGGAGCATTCTGCCAGAGGGCATCAGCAAACAGTCGAAGTGTGCCTACTCTTAAGCATAAAGAATAGGCCATAAACATATCATAGCATGTGTCATCGACGGACTTGAAGCCTACTACAAAATCTTCAAACCGTTGCAGGGACTCCAATAGCTCTGAGGCTTGCTGTACAATACTCTGTCCTGCTGCGAGGTGTATGGTATAAGTGGAATCCTCATTACAAATAGAGTTGATGTGGTTCATCGTATTGAGGCGAGTTCCAACCGTGTGAGCAAAGGAAGTCTCTAGATCAAGCCATTCGATAGACCTAGGAACCGAATTAGTAAACCAAGACCACACAAATTCGGACAGCAGAGGCAGGTGTGTAGGCATACTGGACATTGATCTCGGCTAAAGATGAAATGAAGGCTAATATACACTCGAAGAGAAACGTGTTAGGCTCCCTGGTGATAGGAAGCTCGCTTAGTCTTTGATGATCTATTGTTTTACACCATTTCGCATCTGCAAATGATGTGTCTTGATCACGTATTAGATTTCCCACTCCTTCAAGCAGTCGAAACAGTAAGAGAGTAGAGTTGTCAAACTTTGTTGAAAATCCATGGGGACCGCGACGCTGCACAATAGAAGAATTCACTTGGTCGACGATTTGCAAGGAGGTATTGCTGCTCCGTGTGGTCATCAGCTGGCACTATTAGTTAGTATTTAGTGAATGATGGTCTCCAGAGTCATACCTGCAAGAGGCAGAAAAGAACAGCCAAAAGCAATAGAGACGAGTCCAAAAGAGGATCAGGCTTATTCAGGCGTATTTGGATTGTGGCATATAGCTCACGTTGCTTGGTGTCTAAAAGCATGCTTCCCTGTTGGCTCTGCACTTGCCGTCCGCCATTGTTGACATAAGCGTCACCAATTTCTAGTAGAACAGTCCGAATACTCTCGTCCTCTTGAAAAAGTCGTAAAAGCATATCTGTTGAGAACAGGTCCGTTAGAGGCGAAGGTAGGGTCCTTACAAATCTGTAGACGTTGTCCAGGGAGGCTGTCGTAGATAGGAGCTGATTCTCAGCGGGGTTGACCAAAACAATTGGCATATCCTGTGAAGTCATCTCATGTTGCGTCGCTCCGTGACGGTTTTGGTCTCGACACGCAGTTATGCGTGCTTTGCAGGCGTTGCATGGTCTGCCTCCTTCACACTGATTAGAAACGGTCAGCACACTTCGAATAGCACATAAGTCTAGATACTACTGGGTTTAAAGCTTAACTTGCCTTGGTTCGGCTTATGCGGCACTGTTCGCACCGACGTACTATTCGCCGCCTGTCCAACGGACCAATGTTCATCAATCGACGGCGCTTCAAAGAGACCATGGTGGTGATACTCTTGAAAGCGGATTCCGCGGAAACGAAGGGAGGTTGATGAGTTGAAGTACTAAGGAGGAACTGATAGGATCTAACCGTATGTGGTAGTAATCGTGCGACCCTGGTTAATGCGCATCATACCGATGGAAAATCCCCCTCGCCCTATTGGTCGTAACGTATCGTTCGGACGTTAACGTTAATAATTGACCCGCTTGTTATATAAAATCCAGAACTGCTAACAAACCAATTAAATCTTATTACTAGTTTATAACGAATTGATTGAATGACCTTAAGGTTTAATGTAGAGTGGTTGGAATTAAAAGATTTAACTTGGGTTAGTAAAATGTACTGTCTTACCGATAACGATATCGATAAAAGAATTAGTACGTCGAGAGAGATAAGATAAGATATCTCTTCCCCTTGAAGAAGAAGAATACTTAAGAAGAGATTAGCCCTCAAAGTAATTATATTTATAGATAATAAAACGATTTAATACTTAAATACTTAGAAAGAGAAGAAATAAAAGGTGATTGGGGGATGAGCGACTAGGACATTACTATTATCTATGTTCTTAACATTAATATAATTAATTAATAGCGAATTTAGTACTAGTGGACTCTACCACTAAGATCGACAACATAATAAGGATTTCACGTAGAGGAGATGGCAATACTGGCACCTTCCCCTAGCAGAGCAGCTTCTATCAGACTCACATTTACAGCTTCTTTGCCAACTACTGATGGCTCGCTCACGATGACAACGCCTCTCTCCATGCTGCGGTTGTGACGAGGCTGGAAGAGTCCAAGCTCCTTGAATAGCCATTACCATAGATTAATATAACCTTGGTGGTAGTATTTTTGATATCATTGAGAGATTTGGAAAGCCTGGGCTTGATAAAGTTAAAGGTTAAAGCAAAAAGAAAAAGATTAACCTTGGTGGTAGAAAGGGCACGATGTAAATAGTAGTATGTTCCGCGAACATTATTTATTAAGTCATATTATGATATAAAAACATATTTTAGGGCTTACTAACAACTTATAGAATACATATGTATTTCTTTATTGTTCAGGCAATGTCATTATGTTGCACTTCGTGGTGTCTGTTATGTGTAAGTACACTACTCCCCCGTCCCATAAGTGAAAAGTGAATGCACGCTTCTTTCATTATAATAGGTCATTCTTATATAGGCCTTAACGCTTCGGTACAAGCATTATTTAACCAGTTTTGACGCAGGCTTCCATAATCTCTACAAGTGTTAGGGTTTCCAAGTTATGAATGACTCGTCTTGTAGGGGTTAGGACACAAGAATATCGCCAAATAGCCTTGCGGGCACATCAATCAGATTGCACAGGCCCCCGCAGGGTATAAAGGAAGCACTCAGAAAGAACATTAGATAGTCAACTCTACTGCATGAAGCAAATCCCACTTTAACTAAATACCGACTTGTAAAAGGCTTGACTTTAACGTACAACTCTTAGATGCCCGTTACTGTAAGAGCCTTTGTGATCTTCTGTCTATAATATTCAACATCAATCACTTCTCAGCAACTTCAGCATTTTCGCTCCGCATTAGACGCTGTGTAGCAGTCTCAGTAGTATGGAATCTCCAAGCCTTGATCTTACGCTCAAACAGTTCATCAAGCTCGGCAGGTGATCGACTAGAAACAAATCAGCTTTGTCAGAACTTCAAGGTGCTCAGATTGACTCACCGAGCAGTCTCGGGTACCAAGAGCCATGTACCAATGACCCAGGGAAGACCAACACCAGCATAGAAAAAGCCAGTTTTGAGTTTCCAATCCCACTTATTGGCATTTATCATATATGGTGTGAGAACAGACATAATGAGACCACTGATGGAGTTGGCAGAGGCTGCGAAGCCTGAAGTATATGGTCGAAGTCGTTGCGAGGATATTTCACCGATATAGCCCCAGCCTGCGGCTCCGTTGGCCGAGATACCAATGTCTAGAAGCACGAGTTAGCTTACTATGATTGGTGGTGATGGATCACAAATGACTCACTCCAGAAGCACGCAAACAATACAAACACATAGGTGCTTGCACCACTCTGGGGAGCAACTCCTATGATACCAACGATCAGACAAGAAATCCACATCAAGGATGTAGCGTAGCAAGCCATGCGACGACGACCAAACCTATCGACTCCCAGGACAGCTAGAACAACGACGATTATCTGCAGAGATGTAGTGATGGCCTTGATCTGGAAGGGGTCAGCCAGGCCAGCCTGCTGGAAAAAGTAGGTGCCAAAGCTTCCAAAGAGAGCAAGACCTAGGAACTGCTGCGCGACAATGGTCCACATAGCGGTGACGGTGCGGCGGCCGTTGATACCCTTAAAGATGGCTATCCAGCTTTCGTTTCGTTGCTCGGCAGCCATAGCCTTCTCGTGTTCGACGTTCAGAGCGAGGAGTTCGTAGTGGCGATCGACATCGAAGTTCTCGACTCCGCGGTAGAGAAACCTGATGCTCTTCTTGGCCCTCTCCTCTTGTCCGACAGTAACACACCAGGAGGGCGATTCTGGAAGCAAGATATAGATGATTGCCATGACCCCGATATGTCCCCACTGGGTATACACAGGTGTAAGCCAGTTGAAGGGATCGTTCTTGTTCAATCTCTGGAGAGCCACATGGGTACAGAATGAGCCCAGAGTCCACCAAAAACTATAAAGCATCAACATGCCACCGCGAATTCGTGTTGGGCTGACTTCCGTGATATAGCCCACCAGCGTAGCCTGGAGACAACCTACGCCAGTACCAGCAAGCATCTTGGCACCAAACCAGACCGGCCAGGTTCGAGCAAGGGATTCAGCCAAGACACTGCTCATGAGTATGATCCAGAGAGTATACATGGCAATTTTGCGACCGAACCGTGCAACTACAAAGGAGCTTGCGATCTGGCCGAGGATCTGGCCGACGTTCTGGCCGGCACTCCAGGTAGCGATGACATTGGACGCGAGGAACTTCTCGCCCTCTTCGTTGACTGCTGTAGCAAACTGCTGGACAAAGCCTTTGTTGGCAATAATGCTTGCTTGCATACTAAGGTCGCATTAGTCAAGTACCATAGAAATGGTGTTGGTATGACACATACGCAATTTGGTAACCGTCGGCTCCAGCACTAAAGGCGGAGAGCAGGCACACGAGTGATGCCATCTTGAAGGTTCGAACAGTCTCCCAAAATGTCAAGTTCTCGTAACCTGAGATAGCCTGACCTTGTGCGACGGCAGCAGCAGCAAGCTCATCATGCTTGGGTGCAGTTTCAACATGGTCGAGAGAATCAACCCTGGCAAGATTGTCGACAGTCGTCTTGGAGTCGCTGAGAGCAGCCATTGTAGTTTCGGGTCACTGCTTTTGGTATTACAGAGGCAAGGGAAGATAGAAACTGAGGTTGATAAGAAGTTGTCTCAATAGCCGTTTCCAAGGCCATCTCATATAAGATTCCATTTTTGTGTAGTTGCGGTACACCCCTTAACCTTCGATCCTCGTTTCCCACGGGGTCAACAAGCGATGCGCGTATCCAACCATTAGCGCAAACATACCCCGCAGTCTCATCCCTAGCGTCCTGGCGAGTTTTCCGCCAAAGTTTTCCGACGACTTGTTAAACCCATGTGTTACCGGGTCCGGAATCTGACCATTATGGGATCTTGGGGTCAAAGCGGTTGGCTGGATGTTTTCCAATTGATGGCTCAAAACATCACGCGATCTAACTTAGCAATTCCCGCGAACGACAAGTCTAGACTCTCACGAATTCCGACAAGTTTTCCTCATCACCTTTGAGTCGTATACGGCAACGACCACATTAGTTTTGAACGCCACACATCGTTGACTCGGTAAGGCTCAATGTCTCGGACTTTGAACATGCGAAGCCGAACCCGAGGAGTTGGATTGTGGACCGTCACGCAACGCACTTGCCTTGAACCATGATCATCATGATAATTGCTTGTCACCCCAGCAGCTGTCGAACGTTGAAAATTTTACATAGTTATTCTTTTATTACACTTTAGTGATATGTAGCCAATAGAGCTTTCCGACAACAATATGGTATTGGTGAGAGTATGACTGGCATTGGTTGCAAGTCATGAGCCATTTTGCAGCACCCTTAAGTCACAAGTTCGGTGATGCTAACACGTTTTCTGAAAGTTGAAGGACATGGTAATTCTACTCTATGTGTTGCGGGAGTCTAAATATGCGAATATGCCTGTCTATCTTAATCCTTATAGTCTTGTCTTCTTCGCTTGAAAGTCTCACGCAGGTATGTCGCCGAGTTCTTGGGCGTGCGTGTCAAGCCATTTTCGAAGTTGACATGAACGATACCGAATTTGGGCTGATATCCAGCTGACCATTCTAAGAAGACATGTTGGTTAGCGCAGCTCGCAAACAATTGACAGCAGAGAAGTATACCAAAATTATCCATGAGAGTCCATACGTAATAACCCTTGACGTCGACGCCATCTTCGTATATAGCTCGCGATATGGCATCCAGGTATAGACCGAAATACCTCTCTCGAAACTTGTCGTCAATCGCTACCTTGACATCTTGCTCTCCAGGGTATGGGCATCCGTTTTCTGTGACTATTATAGGAAGATGGTATCGATTCCATACCCAGTTCAACAGCTTGCGGAAGCCATTGGGTGCGACACGGAGCCACTGGAACTGTGAAACTGGTCCTATTTCGTGGCCGGCACCATTAATAGCTCCCTCCTCGATGTTTCCTGTCCAGTCGTCTTCGGAGGGAGGATCGGGGAGAGCACGGGCAAATTTTGTCGAGTAGTGGTTCATGCCATAGAATGTATTGAGAGGAGCTACCTCGCGGAGGAGGTCGCGCTCTGCAATACTGAACTGGGGTAGTCTGTCGCCTAGATATTTTCGCATCGAGACAGGGTAATCTCTGCCTAGGAAGATGGGATCGCCAAACCACCCGATATAGAACTCAAGTCTTTTCTGAGCAGCATCGACGTCGGCTTGTGCATCGGAATATGGCTCGTAGAAATGGCTGTTCAGCACGATAGAGATCTCTCCCTGTTGCGAATGCTGGAACTGCTTCGCATATAGCTGAACAGCAACAGCATGGGAGATAATCAGCGTATGACCGACACGCCACGGCTCATTCTTTGTGTCAAAGCCATCTTCTGCACGATGTCCCGGGGCAAGTGTACCGTTGACGTGGCCAAAAATAGAGATGATATACGGCTCGTTATATGTAATCCATCTCTTAACGCGATCACCAAAACGCTCAAAGCATAGTTGTGCGTAGTTGGAAAAGTCGGCAGTAAACTCTTCGGTATTGAGAAAGGCCTTGTAGCGATCGTAAAGAGCCTGTGGCGCATCCCAATGATACAATGTTACCACAGGCTCAATCCCGCTTGCCAACAATCGGTCGATAAGATCGTTGTAGAAAGCTATTCCTTTCTCATTTATAGGATCGTTGCGGCCCCCGAGGGGAATTACACGTGTCCAAGATAGAGAGAAGCGATAAACGTCGACGCCGCACGTTTTCATAAGGTCAATGTCCTCGGATACGCGATTGTAGTGGTCACAAGCTATATCGCCAGTTGTCCCGTTTGTTCGCGAGGGTTCAAGATGTGTGTATGTATCCCAGATGGACTGGCCTTTTCCATCTTGGTTTGCGCCACCTTCGACTTGATATGCCGCAGTGGCAGTACCCCAGCGAAAGTCTTTGGGTAGTGGGAGCTCTTGAACGGTCAAATCGTCGGTTGTTCCTGAGCTGGTGACCAAGTCACCAGCCTGGAACATAGAAGCCTCCTTGGACATTGCGATTGGATGATCAGAAAGAAGACGAGTTTGCGAGAAGAAAGAATGTTGATCGGGAGAGGTTTTGAACAGCACCAAGCCAAGAGCCTTTCTTTCGTCATGACTTTCTTATTTACAAGCCCTGCCGCCAGGATGGCAGTAAAATGTCAATTGCCTCGCGTGAGCAAGCGGATTTGGAAGAATCCCGCTAAATGGTACGCCATCTCTTTTGGCAATGGTTGGTAAAGTCTCAAACGCCATGGGGTAAAGAGAAAGCGCGTCGGAGAACCTGGCGGGTCTCGATTTAGCAAGGTACTCCCCCACATGAAGTTGCTAGTGCACTATTTTCTTCAACTCCCTGTCGGAAAACTCGTCGGATTACGGTGGATACTATAACCTGGCTCTTCTCATCATGTGAGCAGTGTAAACTACAAGCGCCTATGAGTAATCCAGTGCAAGAGATGTGACAAGTAAAACCGTCATCCTAGGTTCAATGCCAGAATTGTTGGCATGTTTTTCTATGCCTTATGTTCTTAATGATACTGCAAGAACTCTGTACATGCGTTGTCACGCTGTGGACAATACTCCCTGTAGATTAAATCGTTCTAAATTAAATTGAATTGCTTTCTATTAAATTAGAAATTTTCCTATTTTGATTACATGAATCCTTTTACCTTATATATTCAATCTAATCTGATTCTTGGGGTTCATTCTACTTCGGTATAGGGTAGGAATATTTGTTAAGGAAAAGAAAAAGGAAGTATGTTATTCCTTCCTATCTAATCTAATTATCTACTATCCTATCTTATCTTATCTAATTTTACTATCTAATCTTATTATTATCTAACAGCTTATATGTAATTAAAGTCTAGGTATTTTAATTAATTTAACTATAACTAGTTCAAATTAATTAAAAAGGTCCTTTTACTAAATTCCAAAAAGTCAGTGTAATATTTAATTTACCAGGAGCCTGGACGGCGGACAGGTCTAATACAATACCTTATTAGCTACTATAATTTACTGTCTACCTTAATTAGAAGTTTTAGAGTCTGTATATTATAGATGAAAAATTACTGTAATATTTAAAATACTATTAATAATCATAAAGCCCTATAAAGTTTCATAGTAATAAATCCTCACTATTGGAATAGTTCCTAACGTGAGGTCAATCCAGTGGCAGTTAAAAGCGGGGTAGACCTGGAAGGAGGTAAAAAAGTATTGGGGCAACTCCTCACCTTTTAACCTGCATCAAATGGCCAATTGATGTTCTATCGATGAGACCATTATCAGCGTGTATAGCATGTCGGTACGCAACACTTCCTTCTGTTAAAATTTGAATCTTATGTTAAATGCTCTAGCGATCGGCGGAAAAAATGTGATCGATCTCGGCCAGGTCTTAGTTGCAATTTCTGCATCAAGAGAGGCCTCGACTGTGTAGGAGTCACAGATGACCCTGTCCCCAACATCTTGGAAAGACATTACGAGTCACTTGACAATCAGACAGAGGATGGTCGACCTCGTCGTGTCTCGTCCTTGGTTGTGCCTGATGCCGCTCTGGCCGAGGAGTTGGCGAGTCTCTATTTCCGGTATATGCACATCACCTTTCACAATATCTTACACCGCGCAACCTTTATGGCTCAAGTAAAAGATTCTTCTGTCCCAAAGATTCTGTTCTTTGGTATTGCGGGCCTGTCGGCGCGCTACTCGACACATCCAACCTTTGCGTCCATCACGCCGTGGGATAGAGGACGGCCGTATCGCGATGAATGTAAGAGGTTGCTCGACCTGGAGGACACTTCATTGATTAGTATCCAAGCTTGCATGTTGCTTGTAGCAAATGCTTCTGTCGAGGGAGATTCTCGGACCGAGTCGGTATATCACGCAATTGCTTCTCGCATGGCCATGCTATTAGACCTCCCAAACTTACCAACCGAGTCCCTTCTGGAGAAGGAGATTAATAGAAGAGGTAACTTGAACTGACTCTGAACGGAAAGCAAGGTGCTTATTCTATCATCTAGTATGGTGGTCTCTTATTACAACCGAGACATGGGCAACCGCAACTCAATCTCTCCCCAGGTCTATAAAACCACAAAACACGATCCCGCTACCCATGGATGAGCGCCGATTTGCCTCATTGAGCTACGACATGCCAGTTTCGCCGTCTGACTCGTCGCTTCACGCGTCACCCGGTTGCACCTTTGATCCCCAATCTTTGGTAGCTCAAATGATCCGGCTTAATCTCTTACTTTACGACATCATTCTCTTTCTCAACTCCCGAATGGTGGATGAACATGAACAATATACGATGAGCGGAGAATTCGATCATCAACTCCGCCATGCGCTTGATGAGTGGGCCGACAATTTACCCCCGAGACTTCGTTATTCTGAGGACAACGTGATATACTGGGCTGATGAGAGCTTTGGTGCTATTTTTATAACACTGCATATCAACTATAATCACGCCGGCCAACTCTTATTCTACCAACACCTTCACTCTGCTCAAGAACAGGATCAAAGCGAAGACGGTACACAAGGGTTTGCCCAGCGATGTAAACAGCACGCAACAAACTTATGCGACCTCATCTACAAAGCGAAGCGGCGATCAGATACGGTAGTTCTATATCCGCTTGCTGGGCATATACTATGTCTGGCTTCTACGGTTCAAATCCATACACTTCTCTTTGGAATCGACGATGACGAGATCGCCGCTGCCAAGACGCGGTTGGAAAGAAACTTTGAGATGATTTCATCAATGAACAACTATTGGCCTATGAACCATATGTCCATCAGTCGGCTACAGCATTTCCATAATGCCTGTCTCCAGAGTAAAGATGACTCATTTCGTTTAGATGCTTGGATGCTTCGATTCCTATTGGGGTTTTCACAGGATATCACGGATAGGGATGCAATCTGGATGTATGGGAACCAGGCGCTGGATGAGTTTGATCCACTGAGGGATCTCTTGGATATTTAACCCCAATTCACACAAGCCTTGTTTATTGGCTGAGTGTTAGAACTGAGTCTATGTAACCTAGGTTCCATCAGCAGGCTGAACATATGTGATCCCGTCAAGCACTGTTGTCAATGTTCCGTTCGTCTCCATGTCGTTAATGGAGACATCTATCTCTAGTTCAAACCCATCTTGACTTGTGACTTTAGTGCCCTCCACGACCCCAGTTTGCGTGATGTTGGAGAACCATTCCACTCGCTCTCTCCAGAAATTGGGAAGTAACGTCCACTTTGAAACCTTCTCATATCCGTCGATGGTGTAGCCTTCCTGATCGGAATAGTTCTTATAAGAAACCGTGATAGTTTGGATGGCGTCAGTGTCGGAACCCTCAATAAAGGCAACCTCAGCAACGCCAGACAGCTGACCTTGTAGTGTATAGTTGCCGGCTGGCACATCATACTGCGTTGGTGTTGTGCTGCCAGCGGGAAAAGGTTTTGCCCAAGGGATGAAATTGGGAGCTTTGAAGACCGGTGCTGGCTTTGAAGGCTTGAAAGAGGTACGGCGGGCAAGCATGATCCGGTAAGTGCGACCTCCTTGGGCAGTAGAAACTGGGCATGGAAGAGGATTGGCACCACCGCAAGAAGGAGAAACCACAAGAGCTTGCCAGTATACAATCATTGTGCTGTCAGGGGAAACAGCTGGATCGGCTCTGCCATTCCAGTTCGGATCATTCACGCTTCCATCGCTACCGTCGCCGTCTGCGTTGACCTGCTGACCGGAATAGTCTCCATTATCTCCATTGTGACTGATGAGGATAGGCTGAAAGAATCTTCGTGGTCCATTATTGCGTGTTGACGAAGCGATGGCCACAACGAGGTAGTCGATAATAGGAGGAATCCATCTCATACCAGACATAAACATCTGACGACCTACAGCACGGGTATCCATAGCAACAATCCACTGATTATCGTGGGACATTGTAATCGGGTCAACGTAGTCGGGATGACTGGTGAGGCGACGGATAGCCCCAGTGGTAAGGTGGACGGCCATGACATCGATGTTATTGGCTTCCACAGGAGATCCGATGTAGAGAATCTCATCGCCCGAACCACTGAAACCACGAAGTTCACCGGGTGTGATAGCATCATGGTTGATGATCAGCTTTTCGTCTTCGACGTACATGGGTGGTTTGCCACTTTTGTCGACGAGAATATTCACATCGACCAAATCATATCGAGGAACAAGAGGCTCCCCAGCCTTTGGATCGGCGTTGAACTCTAGGCGGCCAAAGTAAGTATACTGGCCTCCACTATTAGTGAAAGAGCTCCAGCCCATATGTTCGTCGTCAGGATGAAGGCGCATCTCTCGGGGAGAGCCACCTTTACCAGTCCCATCGGAGGTCACAGTCCAGTGAATGGGATAGATGCGAGTTTTGCTCGGAGTACATCCATCGCTAGCCAGTGGCTTCCCACCACAGTCGATAATGTTATGACCCCAAAGCGCCTTATCGACACTTCGAAAGACGTGAGGATAGTCTCTCTGGGGATCGAGCCAAGGAGCATTCTTTGAGGGAACACCACAGGTGATACACTTCCACGGATCACCGTTGGAGAAGTTGGTACCATCCGTGGTGATAAGAATAAGGTGTTCGCCGTCATAGATGCTTGCTGGGTCTGGAGCTGCCGGGGCACCAATGAATACAACATTAGCCACAATGTGCTTCCCATCGGGCGTGAAGTCTCCTGATTGGAAATCTTGCTCTCCTCCAGTATTTGCACCGATGCAACCGGTACCCCGGGGATTGATTTTGGCGGTACAAGCACCTGTAGTATTGCTCGAAACAACAGGAGGCAAGGGGAGCTCGACAACCTCGATGGGCTCCAAATTGGGGGGCTCTGGAAAACGAGGCGAGTATTGTCCTGAAACAGTGGGTGCCAATAAAGTGGCACCCAATGCCGTGAGGGCAGTTGGTAGGATCAACATATCTTAAAGGTTCTGAGTGCAATCAATGCGAATCCAAGCGATGCTTTATTTACTTAAATGGTGGGAATAAACTTGAGAAAGAGCTTCAGAGCCACTGACTTTATAGTCACAAATGTAGCAAAACTTAGTCAATTTATATACACGGATAATGTATAAGTTACAAGTATTCTTCATGTACATCTACAGAGTGGGCAACAATATACGCGGATAGGTATAATGCGGCTAACTGTCGGAGTAGTCTGACCGAACGAAGCAGACAGGGGAGGGGCATTAGTGTCTTAGATGGTATTCGATCTTTTTGCAGACAGTCCGGGGAAACGTAAGCTGAACTTGGAGGAAATCCTTCTTCCCCGGATTGTCAACTTCTCTGTGGGGAATAGAAAACATGCGGGGTAGTGTGGTGTTCACACAATCATGTTGAGAGCTAAGCTAAGGCAAACTGTCAACAAATGCTTAATACCCAACGTCGGAAATGCTGTCGGAATATCTAAAGAAGCAGTTGAGCCCGTGAACTAGTCAGCATGACGTGTGGGGGAAGGATCCGAAGTTACAAGCGAAGCCGCGTACCGCTTGGGCCTTCATTGGCCCTTGGAGTGGACTGTCCAATCCACTTTCACTCACGATAATCAGGTATAGTGGATAGAGGTGGAGTTTTACGACGGGTTTCCCGACGATACTTGATAATGGGTGCGGATGGATGTAAAGGTGGCATATTGCAGGGAGGTCAATCTGAGATTTTTCTGCTCAACCAAGAATTCGCTCTCCGGCATAAATCATAGCGAAACAACTCGCCGGCTTCACATTCGGAAGACAATAATTTGTTTGAGAACATTCACAGGCTGTCCAACATGCTATCGGTCATTGATGTACGCTTCGAGCATTATCATCCTCCCAATACTCTTGGAGTTCAAGACTCTACGCCACGAATTTCTTGGAAGATCGCTCACAACGACTCCTGCAGCATACAAAATGGATACGAGATTGAATTGACCAAGTATGGTCCCAATCAAGAGGTTCAGGACGTATGTATTGCAAGTCAGCAGTCCCAGGAAAACATCCTGATCCCATGGCCTTTCAAAGAGCCTCTTCAGTCTCGCATGCATGTATCAATTCGTGTTCGAGTCTGGGATGAGCAAGAGAAGAAAGGTCCTTGGAGCGAGCCCACCCATCTTGAAGTAGGATTACTGCATCGTTCGGATTGGTCCTGCGAGCGCATCGCCGCCCCATGGGCTTCAAAAATGACAGAGGCAGGCTCTGAGGATTTATTCCGCAGGCAATTTGTGCTTCACGACTCGCCCGTCAAAGCGCGACTTTATGTCACTGCCCAAGGCGTCTATGAAGCTGAGATTAATGGGCGACGCGTCGGCGATTACTTCCTCGCTCCAGGATGGACATCTTATGATGGGCGACTTCAGTACCAGACTTGTGATGTTGCTTCACACCTTGTCAAGGGTTCAAATTGTATCGGAATACGAGTTGCAGAAGGATGGTTCTGTGGTCGTATTGGCTTTGAGGGCGGCCACAGAAACATATGGGGTCCTCATACTGCTCTTCTTGCGCAGCTGGAAGTCACTTTCGCCGATGGGCAAACTTGCAGGGTAGGAAGCGATGGTTCATGGAAGGTTATACAAGGCCCAACTCGCCTGGCGGAGATATATGACGGGGAAAAATACGACATGACGATGGAGGTGCTAAATTGGTCATCGGTCATGGACCAAGAAAGTCTGAAAGATTGGGCAGATGTGCAGACGCTTGAATTCCCACCTGAATCTACTCGACTCGTCCCGGGTTTCGCAGAACCAGTACGTCGGATCGAGAGTATAAATCCTATCAAAGAGATCACGACACCAAGTGGGAAAAGGATCCTTGACTTTGGTCAAAATCTCGTCGGATATTTACGTCTTTCAGGCCTCAAAGGACCAAATGGACACAAGATTACCCTTCAACATGCTGAAGTTATGGAGAATGAAGAGCTTGGCATTCGGCCCTTGAGGATATGCCAAGCGAGGGACGAGATCACCCTCAAGCATTCACATAAAGCGCTATGTTGGCAACCAAGATTCACTTTTCATGGATTTCGGTACGCTCAGATCGATAATTGGCCAGGCCCTTTTGATCTCTCATGTGTCGAAGGTGTCGTGTGCCACACTGACATGAAACCCGCTGGTCACTTCTCATGCTCGGACCCGCTACTGAATCAACTCTATCGGAATATCGTCTGGGGTATGAGAGGGAACTTCCTTTCGGTGCCAACCGATTGTCCCCAGAGAGATGAACGACTGGGCTGGACTGGAGATCTGTCGCTCTTTGGACCTACAGCATGTCTTATTTATGACTGCTTTGGCATAGTAAAGAATTGGCTGATCGATCTTGCGCATGATCAAGATATTCTTGGTGGTGTTCCCCCGATGGTCAGTCCAAATGCGACTCTCCCAGACCCTATCTGGTGTAGGAGGGTGCCATGTGCCATTTGGCACGATGTCACGATTATAGCTCCATGGGCTCTTTACCAAAACAGTGGAGATAAGAGCATCCTGGTTCAGCAATATGACAGTATGGTAAAGTGGATGGAGGTGCTCCCGCGAATGAAATCTGGGCTGTGGGATCCCAAGCCCTTTCAACTCGGGGTAAGTTCTTGAATACACTTCTCGTGGTTTGTGATACTGATATCAGAATAGGACTGGCTTGACCCAGCAGCGCCGCCAGACAAACCATGGAGAGGCGCAACCGACGCCAAAATGGTATCAAACATGTTTTTGCTACAAAGCTTAGATCTCATGAGTAAAATTTGTGGCGTGCTAGGACAGCACGATGAACAAAAGAAATATGAGAAAGACTATCAGGCCACACGAATTGAGTTCCAGCAAGAATACGTTACACCCCGAGGACGCCTCACCTCGGATTCACAAGCTGCATACGCACTTGCTATTTGTTTTGATCTACTTGACCCAGCGCAAAGGGTACGAGCTGGCAATCGCCTTGTGGAGCTCGTGCGCAAGAACGAGTTCAAGGTCGGCACAGGATTTGCCGCCACGCCATTCCTATGCGAAGCCCTTGCATCTACTGGCCACATCCAAGTTGCATATGCGATGCTACTCGAGACAGGCTGCCCATCTTGGCTATATCCCGTAACTATGGGTGCAACTACAGTCTGGGAGAGGTGGGACAGCATGTTGCCTGACGGTTCTATCAACCCAGGAGAAATGACCTCTTTTAACCACTACGCCTTTGGCGCTATAGCAAAATTCATGTATGAAAGGGTTGCCGGGCTGCAAAGACTCGAGGCTGGATGGAGAAGAGTTCGTATTTCCCCTGCCATTGGTGCTACATTTTCCCGAGCTTCTGCGTCGCATGTCTCTCCTCAAGGCACAATTTCTTTTGAGTGGGAAACGCAGGTTGTTGACGGGGATAAAGAAGAATTTATTATCAAAGCTAGAGTTCCACCGAATACTATCGCCGAGATTAGTATTCCTGGTTTAGAGGTGCAAGAAGTGAAGGAGGTTGGGTCTGGTGAATGGACCTTTGGATCACTCTTTAAAAGAGACTATGTATGGCCTATCTCGCCATTGCCATCTAAGTCATAAATTTTGATTCTTATGACTCAAGCTATATAAATCTAGCCTAAACAGTTAACTTGTCAGCTCGTTACTTTAGCAGAGTGGAAGTTACTAGAACCCTATAGGCACTTCAAATTTCTAGTGATAGTTCAAATGAGGTAGTGCATACTATTTTGGCTAAAGGGATTAAGATAGCGCTTTTAATAAGTTAACTTCCTTCAGATGAAGTTAATTAAAGTTTATAACTTAGCTATTTACATTAAATTAATTTATTTAATTCAACTTTATTACGGGGTTGTATCATTTTTTCACATAGGGTAATTACTACTATATAAAATTATAAAATAATAATAAGTTAGCCTACTTAATAATATAGTATATCTATATAAAGAGTTCACCTAAGGGTTTAATTGCATTTAGTATTATAATTAAAGATTTACTACTATTGCTATAAAATAGAGAGATTTTAAATTAGTTTAAACTTTACTTGTATTCTTGTTTTTGAAACTAATTTATTTCTTTTCCGTCGAAGTGAGATTGTCTTCTTGAAAGGTCTCACGAATTAGGAACTTCTCATCGTTAACATGATGATGTCGCACCCAAAAGATAATAGTCTGGCCAAACAGAGCAATACCAGGAGCGGCCCAGGCCCACTGTGAGGGTTGTGTTAGAAATTGATTCGGTTAGGAACATTTGAACTTACAATGAGATTAGGATCGTTAATAGAAGGAATTAAAATTTGAGCCAATGCAGAGGATAGAGCCTGCATAGCCAAGTTAATAGCGACAACAGTAGACTTCATACCCTCGGGTGCCCTTGCATATGCCATCTCATATGCCGTGACAGCGGTGAACAGTTCGCCGATAGCCCCCAGCATAACAGTAGGTAGCTGCCACCAGATAGAAATAGGGGACACATTATCGCATGTTGAGGCGTGATCTCCACAGGGTGAGGTTTTATATACCCTCCACTGGACAATAGCACCGACGAGACTTCCAATAATAGCAGAGGTGTAGCCAACAGTCATGCGACTGATGGGACCAAACTTGATGTGGTGTCTGTTCAAGAGAGGGTAAAGAAAATACGACATAATGGGCGCGAAGACCATCAGCGTGAGGGGATTGAAGTTGTGAATTAAATCGTTAGGTTCACCTTTCGTAGTCATTGACGCTCCTTGATTAGACAAAACGGTACCAACTCCACCGTTATTGAGATAGAATAATGGCTGGTAAAGAAAGATCTGGCAAGCAGACAGAGTTCTGCGAGCATGCTCGACTGCCTGACTATCCCAAGAAACAGTCTTGCCCTTTGCAGCAAGAGCCGATGGTTCGACCGACTCAAAGAAGTTCTTGGCCCAAATTCTGCCTTTGTTCTCTTTGATGGCCAACGCAATGATCTTGAAGAAGTTGTTGAGATCAGATCCTTCAGGAGGTGCGTGCTTGAGAGTTTTGTACCGCGACATGAGCAGCACCGGCAACAAGATGTAGATGATGCCTGGAAGAAGAAAGGCAAGCCAAAAGCCAACATACTTCTCGATATAAGTTTTAGCGATCATGAAAAAAGCACCAACATTAATGCACATATAGAAGATCAACATGATCCTCTGAATGGTGGTCTCAGGATCTACGATGACCCTCTCACCAGACTTGAGTGTCTTGACATGTTCTGTCTGGTCGGTGTATTGGTCGATGATGAGAGGAACAACATTCGGCTTGAACATGCCGGCTCCGATTGCCAGCAGAAAGAAGCTGATGATAAACGGCGCAAGACCATTGCCGGCTTTGAGAACAGCAGGAGCTGCACCTCCAACCATGATAACGTGTGCCACGCCGCCAATGATGACTCCATACATGATTGCTCTGAAACGGCCGGTCTTGGTATCGCCGAGCCATGCACCAAAGATTGGGATTATATAGGCAAGGAAGTTAAACAGGAGAACCATGGCCGAGGCAAACTGTAAGCCTTGATTTCTGCCATTGAACTTGATAAGTCAATATTCAATCATATGCGCATGGAAGGAACTTACAAAGCACCAGCATGGCCGTTTGGGTCACTCTTGGCAACAGCTCCGGCTCCATTGCCTCCCTCTGGTAGAGGGAACTGGAGGTAATTGTTGAAGACCGTCTTGCAACCATAGAAGGAGGCTCGCTCTGCAAGCTCAACAATACACAGCAGGTACGAAACCCATGGAATACTCCCTGCTATCCTCCGTAGTTTCTGTTTCTCTTCGGCGGTCGGAGCCAATCGATCCGAGGTGCTATCCGATACCGACAGGGCATTGGCCTCAGGGTCGAGTGCCAGGCTCTTGTCTTGCGGCTCAACTGAGGTTACTAATAACGACTCATTAGTGGTACTTCGAGTTGTTACCATGCCACTTACCCATATTGTAGCTGATGATAATTGTTTAAACGAGAGAGTCTACCTTGGCTTTAGGGTTTTGGCAGATAGATGAGACGCTGCAACGTATGGGTTACACATTTTATTTATTATGGTTTTGCCCTGGAGTGATGTCGCCATCATCTCAATCTTCACATCATCAACAAATTACATAAAAAGAGGATCTCCAGTGGGCCCCCCATATTTTAATCGACCACTCCTACATGCATTAGGAACTTATGGTTTGGCATATAGGTAGCCAGCATTGTTAGTTACGACGTCGGAGTCGGGCCGCTCCGATCCCACGTTACAGCCGGGAAGTGGGCGAGTAATGAGTTATTAACGCATAAACTATTAATTGCCGAATTCTTTCGCAGGTAGATTATAGAAGGAGTAGAGAACGGTTTAAGGAATCTGGATAAGGTGATATGAAAAGTGTTAAGAAAGATAAAGCGGACAATACTAATATTTATATAATAACCAGGAAAAAGTACATCAATCTATATATTCACAATTTAACAATAGCAATTATTGCAGTAGAGTATATTTAACTGTATGCTGCCTTTGAACTTTTTGAATCTTGGCTCTTTTAGTACAGCAATGTAAAGGGTCTAGGGAGGGACAAAAAGCTTGTCCGGTATTGACGTGGTGTTTGTACCTATGGAGGGAAGGTAAGTTTGTAACCTCCCGAGGGGGGCGACAGCTTTCCTACTATATTAGTGGGCTTTCGCCAGTCGCACCACTTTCGCGAGGTATTGTATCATCGGCACCCGGCTAAAACGGCATCTTGGAATCAAGTATGAATAATTGTATACCTATATATGTATATTTGTTAGGGCTGAGTTAGTTCTTCTCTTCGTAAGATTTTCCTTTTAGTTTAAAGTATACAAGGTTTCAAATTCACTATGTGTAAATTAAGCTTGAACGATATAGTAGTGAAAAAGTGGTATTAATATCTTTTTACGGAGTACTATATTACTTAATCGCTCTTCTTGCCTAGATCTATATTTCCAGCCTGCTTTAATTCCGTAAGCAACGATGTTCCTAAACCCACTCTAGACATTAAAGTAGATCTTTTGAGATTGGAGAAGGATTATCCATATTAGTCCTTAATGTAAAATACACCGGGTAGCGGCATAGGTCATTATGTTACTCCTTGAATACATAAACATTAGGCTGCCTACCTCTGTATACTGTCATATTCAATAATACCTCAGTTACTACAGACTACTCAGGTAACCTTACTTTCTATTATCAAAAAGACAGATCTCTCATCTACGTTTTACGTCAGTACTACAGATGCCTCGTGGAAGGAACGGAATTTACCTAGCCTATGATTGCCTATGTTCCTTGTAGACGCTATGTTGATTCTTTTCTAATTGTGACATTCATTATGGAACCTTTCTATTCCTGCTCGCCTAATAGTGTAATATATTAAAGTATATATAAACTATATTAAACCATGTATTACCCCAGGATGTACACATCCTTACGGCATAGCTACTTTAAACTAACCCTGGCTAATTAACAGTCAAAGTATAGGCAGAGGTTGTAAAGACACAGTTAGAGCCTGTAAGTGTTAGAACATCAAACATACGAAGAGACACAAGGCTGTAGGGGGGACTGTGGCCATATAACTCACCGACAAAGGGCTCAGTGCCAGCTTGAAATTTCGTGGCAACGTAACTGTTAGGAACTCCCTGGTTGTTCGTCAAGTAGGTCAAGAAGGGGAGTAGATCAGCCTTAAAATTGCCGATATTGGACGGCGCGACGAAAGAAAAGACAGTTGTGTCCCCATTAGGACCCTTAAACAGGCTCCAAGTAGTACCGCCAATGGTGGGCTTCGCGATAGCAGGTTTGTTTTGCTCGGAGATAGGGCCAGCACCACCGTAAGCTCCAACCCAGATCATAATCTCGTACTTATTAGCAGCTCCAATAGAAGGCGCAAGCCAAAGATCGTAAGAGACATCCGATACCATGCCGGTACCGGTGTATCTTGTAAGTAGGTCAGTAACGCTGTCGAAGTATTGAGAGAGAATATTTCTTACCGCCAGTTCCAAGTAGTGGGCACTGACTTGATGTCGGAGATCTTCTTATTGATGTTCTCAAGTGCGACGTTGGAATAGGATTTAACCTTGACAGCGCCTCCAGCCCAGGACCAGGTGGTAGACCAATTAAAGATCTTGTTGCTGACGGAGTTCAAGGTAGTGCACTGAGAGCCAGAGGTAGCATCACCTCGGCCCCAGTTGTTGTGATAGAAGGTATAACCCTCAGTAGCAACAGAGGCAAAAGCGTCACACCAGGTTGTGGCTCGCTTTTCCATGGTCTTGGAAGGCGCGGTAGGTGTTGCCGACGCGAGGGTCGCGACAAGCGCGGTCATGGGGACGCAGAACTTCATTTGAACGTTATTGGTAAGATGAGTAAGTTGCAGTTGATTAATGATGAGAACAATTGAGACTGGTGTAAGATGAGCGATTGAAAAGTGAAAGAAGCCAAGGTGTATTTATATATAATCCTACAAGAAATCTACACTTGTCCGCCTGTCATGTCACGCCTAAACCACTGTGAAACCCCTTGCTTAGTTCATTCGTTGGATACGAGGAACAACCCTTGTGTTTTTACATAGTGCAGGGGTCGCCCCGGCTTATCTAAGTAGTTTGGACTATAGTCTATACCAGGAGGGAAGCCCGAGTTTAAAATTGACCTGCACTAGTCCTAACCGCCCCTAGGCTTATTATAGCGGAAGGGTCCTTTGTAGGTGGTTAGTGTTTCGTATTGGCACCGGATACTCCGTAGTTCAAAGCTTATTTACCTTGACATATTTTGGATGGGTATCCAGGCAAGGATCATAGACGGGATTTGATTCGCATCCGTACCTATATGCTGCTTTGAGAGTCCGGCAAGTCGGCATAGTAAGGTTCAATAGTTTCGAGGTATGAAAGCTTAGTAAACCGGCTAATATTATAACTATTCATGGCCAATTGAATTCTCGCGAGTAGACCCCTGACTTGGTACGAGTCAGGCAGGTCTCACAACAATTCACAAACAACTTCATCTATTCTTGCCCTCTCTATAAATCAGTCGTAAGCTGCAAGCAAGTCATGGCAGCAAGTGTATACAGGGCAAACCACATCGGGTCAACAGTCTGGGGCTCTGTCAACCACGAACAAAGGCAGGTTGCCTTAATATAACACCTGGGCATTGTGAGAATTCACGTATCAGGTCCCTAGGGCACGAAGATTAACGTAGGTTCTCGGCTCTGACCATCGGCTGATAACTATCCCAAATGTGGCCTTGTAGCCGCTTTTCTCTTCCGCTGTGGAGTTCAAGGTACAATCACATTATCCCCTTTCAGACCAAAATCGTCAACCGTACGGCGTAAGAGTAAGTTTTTTAACACAAGCGGTGACGCTTTTCTTTATGTCAAGGCTACCCCCAAAGACCTGGTAGCCGAGCTTGGCGGCACAATCGAAAGATGGCCGAATCTCTCGAACGTTATTAACAAGGTCGTCGCTGACAAAAGAAACGACATTCGTATTACTAGCGGTCGCTTCGTCGACATGTTCACCAACCTAATGATCCAGTCAGACTAGCTGAGGTTATCCTCATGACCAAGCCAAAGTATCGTAGTGCCAGTTTTGCCTTTCCCTAAACTTTCACCTTCATCTAGCCTCGCATTGAGATAAAGAGTGGAGTTACAAAGGATGAGATGATTGGGCGTGGTCCACATGGCGCTTCCCTTCCACAACACGCCACTCTCTCCCATATTCATCACGCACATATCGGAGACAAGACCTTAAATCAGCGCGAGACTTTGCGCTAGACTCTATTTATATTAAAGGTGGAGGCCATGCTTGTCCTGAGAAGGGACTCGTGTTGTTTGTTGCGTTGTGCGATAAGCAGTCGCTATTCGAGGATATTCTTGAGCACCTCTTAGGCAATACATCAAGTCATCGAATGGTTCAACTGATGATTCGCACTGGGATGTGAGACCCCCCAAGTGACCGATTATTGAGTTTCCTGGGGAGGATCTCCGTCCATTGGCGCAACGAATGGTTGAAAAAAGAAGTTTTTGCTAGGCTTGACCAACTGACCGATGGCTGCAACGAGGAAGAGAATGACAAGACCATGAAAAAGCCTGTGGTAGTGCGCAAAAGTGTGATGAATCTAAAAGCACCTACCAATACTTTTTCAGATTCAAAGAAAACGGGTTCCAAGGCTCAAAAGAACGTCCTGATGCGGATTGAACCGAAAGAATTCATAGTCCGCGTGATCCTATTTCTTACTTTTCGCTTTGGTAAAGAAGTCATTCCCTGCCTATCGGACGATGTGACTAATGCAGCTTGCTTAAATGGATCTCTCAACGAGTAGTGAGCCATAAGCCATATTCTTCCTGATTAAGAACGTGCCGCTATACCACCTTTGTCGATTAAATTGCTGACCGCCTTTTGAATCAGGGTTATGGTATGTAGAGATTGTATAATTATTTTCTACCCTGCTTCTTCAGAGCTAAAAGGTCTATTCCTTATTAACATTTAAATACGTTCTGTCCACTTGTATTACTTCTTTTTTCTATTGTAATAAAATAATAGACTAATATAGCAGCCCTTACTTCCTGCTATCCTATAAGCCTTGGGTTTAGTTACTAAGTTTAGTAGATTATCAATATATATAAGTAAGTATAGGTAATAGGGTTGTAAGACGCTAGGAAAGCTTAAGTTCATTTTTCTAGAGTTAAGTTTAACCTTTAAGTACCTTGTTACTTAAGGAGAATATTATAATATTACAATACAGTATAAGTATTATATAATAACGTTACCTAACTTTTAGTACCACGTCTTAATAGATCCTATTATCTCTGGCCTAAGCCTAAGAAATATACCTAAGTTTAAGTACTAAAGAATATTAATACTGCTATCAATACATTTATTTCTCACGGTAGATATCTTAAATATAAATAGGTCCTGTAAAAACTCTCCTTCTACTAACCGCTAGAAATATGCTAAGGACACAATTGAAAGTTAAAAATAGTCTATAATCTATTTATATTCCCCCAGACCGCAAACCAGAACGCTGTTAACGAGAAAGAAAAAACGGATATGAAAGAAGTTCAGTGTGGAGCATCAAGGGCATCCTTCTCGTGCAAGTACCGGAACGTATTCTTCGCCTTGTTAATCCGGTACCTGGTTGCGAATGGTGACAGAGCCTTCATCAAGACGAGCCAGCCGGCAAGTGTCGGCAGAGTGTAATGCAGCTTTTTAACGGCACCAGACGTGATAATTGTAATGAGTGTCTGGTACCAATGTAGCGACGGGAAGAAGTAATTAATGCGATACCAGCTGTTGAGGAGGTCAGGTGCACCAATGGCAGCAGCGACGTTGAAAATAACCCAAGTCAAGAAACAAAACGTGACAAAGGCTATTGGCACGAAGCCAGTGATAATGTCCAAGACATCAAAGTTGATCATGGCAAACACCCAAGTGACAGCCCAGGTTGCGAAAAACATCTTTGCATCCAACGGGTAGGAGCCGCGGAATGCGTACGTCCAGCCTGTGGAGCAGAGACCACAAACGAGAGGCCAGAAGATACTCCAGAAGAGTCGGGCGTAGATATGCGTTTTGACGTCGTAGGCGGCGTAGAGATGCATCCCGTTGCAAATACCGTTCCAAGCCATAATGAAGAAAAACTGCATTAGGATTGGGAAGACGGCCCCAATGGTGTTGAGGAAGGCCTTATCGTCCACGTCGCTAAAATCGTGGATCGATGCACTGGCACTAACAGCTCGTGCTGGAGTCGTCAGCGCGCTCAAGGATGTGGTTGTGTTCGCGAATTCGCCGCTGCCAAGTTTGGGTCCGATAAATTGTGCGCTGAATATTCCGGCGGCTGCACTCGCTGTAGTTATGGTTGATGACTGTATGCCACCGGCATACAACGTGTAGTATCTGGCTGTCAAGAGATAGTAGGTGTAGACATCGCTTGGATCGTATGAAGAGGCGGTGCCATTGACAGCTTCGTCGAATCGAGCCGTTGCTCCCGGTTGGACGACAATCGCGGCCCAGTACTTCCCATCGAAGACATCCTGCCTGATTCGATCTGGAGATGTTGAGGAGGTATCGACGTTGATATAGGTCGGGAACTCGTAGGATTGATTGTTCGCCGCTACCGAAATCCGCACTGCTGTACCGAAGTCACCACCATCGAAGTCAGCAACGGCAACTTTCACCCGTTTGACGTATTCGCCTTGATTATGGAAGAGACCAAAGATGTGGGATGCGTTGATCCAAAAGATACCAAGGATCATGATGGCTGCGGGAATCAAAGCCTTCATCATGTCCACTGCGGTAGCCTTGGGTTTGGGGCCATTTGTTCGAGTTCTTGTTATCGACATGTCTACTGCAATTTCCTCGTCGTCTGCCGAGGCCCGTTCTGCGCCGACATAGGGGCCATGCATCGAGTATCTTATTTCTGGCATTGGAAAGTGATTTGAAGGATAGAATTAAGCCCAAGAATAGGCGTTGATGATCAGGGAATTAGGGTGGCGGTAATTGAAAGAAACTGGAGAGTTACCGGCAAGTGATCATGAACAAGAGGGGAGGAGGAATATATATCCAAGCCTCCTACGGAGTACGTCACGTTCGAGGCGGCATTTTGTCCGCTACATTGTACGAAGACTTGGTTCCTGGTACGATGAATTACTCGGCGCATGGATGAAAGAACCCGAATACCGCGACTTAGCTCTAGATAGGTCCTCGGAGATGAAGTTGGGTACCGTACTTCCTATAAACGCCGATTAGGTAAGCGGAAGCAGGAGCGAAAGCGGGTAAGAGCGAGGCGAAGATCTCGGCCTCTTCGGCTTTCCTCGAATTACCGCTGCCAAGGTTAGCAAACTCGAAAAAATAACAGGACCCAGGGCTTAGCACTTAGAGCCCAAATTTTAAGAAGCGCAAGTTATGATAACGTTATGCTCTAAATAACCCCTCTATATAATTATAACTGGCATGTCTAGTTTATAAGTTTTATCCTCTTTTGACTTATTATTTTCACTACTGCAGTTTCCTGAAATTCACTCCCAGTAATGCTTACGCAGTATAAATGCCCAGCAACCTTCCTTGTTATTTTCCACAGTCGTTCTGTTGTTCTAGCTGAGTATGACTGTAGTTTCTTTCCAAGATGGTATGGACCATGCCCTTTTCAGAGGTACCCTGTCTTACTGCCTCAAGCACGTGCACAGTAGCATTGACTGTTGCGTTCAGATTGATCAGTAGTCTACTTAGTAATTACACACAAGTACCACATGTCAGAGTCGTACCGTGAGACCTCACCTACAATACATGCAGTAACTGTATGCGTAAATGGAGCGAAGAACGTTGAGAACCACGCCCAGTCACGCCCACCACAAACTTGAAACTTGCGCCCTAGTAGGACCCAACAGCCCATGTTGTTGGAGGCTGAAAGCTGCCATTTGGGGCTCGTGATCTTGTAGCCTTGTGGCGTTGAGAAATTCTAATTCTTCCTAGTTTGTCGTTGGCTGTGCTTGATAAGCTGCACTGCTTTTTTCATGAGTCAACACAGCCAAAGAGTTAGACTGTTCCCCTAGAGTCTCTTTTGGGACTTTCTTTTTATCCCGAGAAGCACACCAAACAATGACCAAAATGTTCAACATTTGAATAACCGATGTCACAAGCCCACCCAAGAATCCCTTCTCGAATCTCGGAGCCTCAATGGCCGGGAACTGGAGGAGCTGGCTCCAGGCGCTGATAGCTTGACCAATGGCATTCATACTTGCCGTCACCACAGCGCGTTCCTCGGCATCATTTACCATGGTGATCGTCGCCCAAGACATTGTCAAGGGGAAAACGGCACCTTGAAAACCGTCAATCGAAAAGGCGACGACGCGCCCGGTCTCTCCAACGTTCCATGCGACAAGGAGAGCATGGGAAACAACGGTTGGTATGGAGACGATAAGAAGCAAGGGCCAGAAACGACCAATGCGATCGGCTATGCTGCAAGTAATGAAGGCGGTGACGATTGAAATAGCTGTCGCCATTGTTGGTAGTGTGTTGATGCTTGTGATGGAATACAGTGCCTCGTTTGCCTTCAAGTACAAGCTGAATGGAGACCCAGAAACTTGACTGCACTGGTTCCCCATTGTCCAAAGCGACACGAAAAGGTACCAGTGCCATCTCTTAAACACCCGACTGAATATATCCTTCGATACTTTGAGCTGAGAGGGAGCCGTGTGGTCAGAGATTCGATGAATTGCAAGGTCGTGCTCCTTGACCGTGAGGCAACGTGGACGGGAGCGATGCGGCACATCTGGAAAGACAAAATAACCCAGGAAAGATATAGGAATGGTAATGATGGAGTCGACCAAGAAAAGCCACCGCCATCCTGACATGTTCCCGACACCATCAAGCCCACGGTGCGCAGCTGTCTGAAGATATCCAGCAAACATGGTTCCAAGAGGGGCCGCTGCATAGAAGAGAGCCACTCGACGACCTATCTCTCCCTTGCGCATCCACGAACCGATGACATAAATGACACCGGTGAACGAGCAGGCTTCAAATAAGCCCACAAGAAAACGCATGGCATATACTGTGCCGACGTTGCGGGCCCAGGCGAGTCCAAAAGTAGAAAAGCCCCATCCAAGCTCACAGAGAGGCAAGACAACGTTGACGGGATAGCGGGTGAGGTAATAGCAAGCGGGGATCATGGCAACACAATAAGAGCTCCAAAAGGTGATTGTGGCGTAGTTAAACTCATTTCCAAACATCCTAAGCTCTTCTCGCATACCACTAACGACCATTTCATTGTGTTAGCATTAGTGCTCTCAGTTAATGGTAAGCTCTGATGAGCAAGTGTCGACTTCGACTTTGTTTGACTTACGTGACGTAGGCATTGGTAATAGAGGCTTGCGAGAGGTACTTGGTAAAAAAGCACAGACATCCGTATACCAGTATCATGAGATCGAGTTTGAGTACCAGTCGCTTCTCACTCGAGCTCATGTCTTTTGGATACCATCGTAATGTTGTCATCAACCTTTCCCACGCGTTTTCGGAAACTTCGGGTGGTTGTTCGGATGTTTGGCCATCGTCTACCCTCTCTAAAGAGGTTGAGTTTAGGTGTGGTGCCATGGTTGTTTTAGGGTTGGGCGTAGGATGAGACATGTCATTGGACTCCATTCCTAGTTATATGTAGCTTTGCTAAAAATTGCACCATCGCTCCTTGCCATCACAACAGTTGACGTGCATTTGGCATTACTTCTTCAGGACTAGTCTGCATCCTTCATGGATCCTGATAGTTAAACGACATCGTGCTTGGGCAATTTGGGTAGAGCAGGAATAGCTACCTATCTTGACATAGAATTATAGATTATTGACCGCGCATTAATGCCGCAATTTACTTAAATATACCGGGTATACAAACCAAGGTTAAATTGATTGCCGTGCCTCTCTTCTCTCAACCCTCGACAAGTATCTCTATTCACGTGATAGCCACAAGTTTACTGCTGACAGATGTCATAGACCGATAGCTACCGACCACCCAGACAGCGTTGTTTTCACCCAACTCATAAATCGAGAACAAAAGCTAGGGATAAGTGATATCGCCCCGCGCCTGAAGTTGGTCTCCGCGTGGCATTTGGCGGTTTGACCTCCCATTGAGGCTCGTTCCTACAGCTGTATGGACGGAATTACGGATCTGGGCCATCTCGTATGCAACAAGGGCCGAATTTTCGTCATCGTTTCCGTGATGTTTCACAAGAATGGTTAGTGCTTTCTCGTCTAGCCCTTTCGCAACGAGGTATCTAGATGACGCAGGGATGAAGTAGCAAAACGCGAATTGGAACAAAGGAGTAGCGCCGTGTAGGAGAGTTGGGATTCTCTAGCTACAGAAAACGGACATTCTGAGCGCTCTAAAAGAGATACAGGCGGCTGCTATGGCACCAACAAACTAAGGGCCACATCAGTAGGAAGCCCAGCTGAGGGTGCGACATTTTTGGAAACAGAGCCACTACTTACATAAAAGAAGTAGTAGAAACTGTAGCCTCACAACGGTGAGATGGGAATGTCACTTCTGTAAGAAGAATGGTAGGACTAGGCTAAGACATGACACCACAACCAAAGCAAAGAAAGAAGAAAGACAAAATCAGCAAGCACACCCAAATCGACAGCAGTGGCTTGGATAGATGCATCGACAATCATGATTGTAAATAACAAGACGAGCGAGGAGTTGCGGCCATCACTAACCATCATAGCGAACTCTAGCAGCTGACAGGTAGCAAGGCAACAGGATGCCATTGAGTCGAATTGATTAGGGCGCTCTTTCCCATCATTTACTTATTTCACGGAGTACCCACTCTCATATTAGATTCAGAGTTCCTTTCCCCGGATTCCCTCACTATGAACTCACAATCACCTTTGCGTGGAATGACAGGCCTTGTGAGGCCACAAGAGCATTAGCAAGAGCGCCCGTGGTCGACCAGCGGCTGTGAGAATCTTATAGCAAAGGGAGATAAGCCAGCTCGATGGACAAGATGGCAATTAGTGGTCTTCTGGTAAATTTGGCTTCGTGCACGCTGAATATCACCACCATGGGGATCGGGATACCTCTCGAGATATCGCTATATCTGGAGGCCAAGAGTGCCAACCTATGGTCTGGGGTCAAGCAAAGCAATAGTATTGCCGAAGCGCAAGTCTAGCAGAGCGCCGACAATACCGCTTCTGGTTCTTTTTGTTTAAGATACCAGTGCGAGTCAGTATGACTATATGCGCCAGATCGGCTAAGGCATACTCATCCAAGCTGACGATTTCATTATCCAGCTTAACTTTATTAGCGTAAGTGACGAGGAGGTGAGAGGCTCGCGTACTGAGACGGCATACTGTGAAGGCCATATATTCTCGTGCTTTAGACTCGATTCAGAAACCAGCTCGTTATCGAACGGTGACATTTAGTTAAAGGTAAACATTAGCAAAGACCGCTCGTTTGGATAAGATTTACTCCCCTTGCTTGAGATTCTTTCCCCACAAACCCAAGACCGTTGAATAAGCAAGACGTATTGGGTGAGTGGGATTACCGAGAGTCTGGGTGGCATCCGGGGTCGGAGCGGCGAATGGTCAAGATTCAGGAGGCGACACGTTGAATACCACCCACACAGACAGTCAGGATCGCGAAAACGGACAACCTTATCCGTTTCGATCGAGTAGGATGAGGAGTAAAACGTGGGAGTGGATCTCGGGAAACTTAATTCATCAAAGATGCTAAAATGGCGACTTGAGATAACAAGAAATCTGGCACGAGGGTAAAGGCGTAACTGCTTCTTATCAGTTGCCCCCACCAATGTCGCCATTCAACTCAATGTAACCCCACCAATGTCGCCATTTGACACACTGAAGACGATGAGAATTATGATATGGCAGCCGTTTGATAGACAATTTACTTGGCAACATTAATAAGTTCCCCTCAGCCCTAAGATTTCCCAATTATTCCCGCTGCATATACACTCACACGCTTCATCTAAAATGTCTATCCCGCATGAAAAGACGCCAGGCAGTGTAATCGTCAATGACAGCGGAACAGAAATCCCAAAAGGCTCCAAGGACTTGCACGACAATGTACAATTGCCAACATACATCGAGTCTAAGAGGACCTGGAAATCATTTCTTTGGTCAAGTGAGTTCTCTCAAGTTGTGAAAGCCGACATCGATTACTTACTAGTCCAGCTCTTGACGTCCCGAAAGATGAGGCTCGCTTCCTCACTAAGCTTGACTTGACTCTGATCTCAGCCTCTGCGTTGGGTGTTATGTGCCATTACCTTGATCAGGTTAACATAACAAACGCTTTTAGTACGTGGGATGAAGACGAGTCATGAAGTATACTAATAAGAGCAGACAGTGGTATGAAAGAAGATCTTTCTCTCTACGGAAAGGAACTCAACTATGCCAATGCCATCTGGAGCGCGGCATACGTCTTTGGACAAGTCCCTTCTAATCTTCTTCTGACTAGAGTATGTATCGCAATTATACTTTTCGGCACACACATTGACAAAAATAGGTTAATGCGCCTCTTTACATTGCTTTTCTTGAGTTTGCCTGGACTGTCTTCACATTTGCCACCGCCGGAGTCAAGGATGTTAAGCAGCTATATATCTTCCGCTTCTTGTAAGTGAACTCCATCTGCAAGTCAATAAAAATGTCTAACAGTGTCATAGCGTCGGCTTGTTTGAAGCTGGTCATTTCCCCGCAGTCATGTATGTCTGTTCTAGTTACTACAAACCCCACGAACTCGCTCGACGCAATACTATCATCCAAGTCTTTACTTCTGTCGGCCCTCTTTTCTCTGGATTCCTTATGGCAGCCGTGTTTGCTGGTCTAGATGGAGCAAGTGGGCTACCTGGGTGGCGATGGATGTACATGTAGGTCTTCCATTCAGACAATAAGAGAAGATGCTAACAAGACTAGTGTCTGTGGATGTATTTCACTTCCTTGCGCCATTTGGACAGCCATTGCAATGCCTCAACTTCCCAGCAGAGCAAAGGCTAATTGGTACGTGCTTCACCATAAAGAATAATTATTAGTCTAACCTTGTATAGGGTGTTTACACAAGCGGAGGTCGAGTTAGCTCGCGCTAGAATGCCCACTGAGGCCAAACCACTCACTGGGTTTTTCAAGTGGAAGGACATCAAGCGCTGGCACAAAACGTGGCATGTGTATCTTTGTAAGTGGACAGAAAACACGGCAAGTATTCACTCTGCTAACTAAAGCAAAGTCCCGGTTGCATTCGCCTTTATGGCACAGTTTGGACAGTCTGGCGGATCAAGTATGATTTTCATGGTCTTCAACCTCACCACTTTGCATAACTAACGAATACAGTGATTTTCTGGGTCAAAAGTTACAACATCGAGGGACAAAAGCCCGTCTTTTCAGTCCCAGAAATTAACATCATTCCACTCGGAGTAAGCCTTTTAGTTGGTTTCAGAATGAGTGACAGTTTGAACTAATATTACTGCAGATTAATGTCATTACCATCGTTGCAACCTTGGTCAATTCCTGGATTTCAGACAGCTTACCTGGCTCTATCAGATGGCCGGGTATGGTATTTTCAGGTCTTATGGCCATTATATTTCCAATTTCTCTCGCCTCTACGCCTGTTCATCCTCCAAACAAAGCCACCCGATGGGCTCTGTACTGTGAGTATATTTCCAGTTGCTGTGTGATACAGGAATCTAACCCTCTCCAGATCTCACATCCCTCGCAGGTACAGCCGCTGGGCTTACCTGGACTTACGTCAACGAGGTGAATCGAAATGACCCTGAGAAGCGAGCATACATCTCTGCCATGGTGAGTACAGTCACGAGACTTCTAGTGAACGAGAACTAACAGCCCAAGATGAATGCATTTGCCTACATATTTACAGCTTGGGTTCCTATATTTACCTTTCCAGCCAATAAACAGCCATACATTGTTACTGGTAACTATGTCACGGCTGGCTTTGGAGCGGCTGCGGTGGTTTTGGCACTCGCTATTCGACACTTCCACAACAAAGATATTCATAGACTCCAACAGCGAGGCTTGGTATCAGCGTAGATATGGAATTGGTGACGAATCTATTAAAACGACGACCCTAGTTGGAATTCGAGTGTCCCATTGTTTGCAAGTATTAAACCTATATTGCTTCGGTAATTGGTTCACAGTCTGAACATATTAGAACATTGGTTAAGCTATTGTACAATGCTAAGAAGACTCTGAGGGAGCTTGGCTTATATGACAGGATGACGAAATGTAAGAAAAAGGTTACTTAGCGGCAGCTTGCAATCTTCTCTTCACTAGCTTTAGTCTTAAGGTGACATCATAGACGGACTCAGTAGTGGTTTGTTAGATTGATACCCAGCAAGACAATTGCATAAGAAACAAAGTGTATTGTATACTGTATTACAGCAAAGCAGGGCTATTACAATATCGTGTGTACAGGTTGGTCAATCGCTATAACGGTAGATTATCTAGGCTTAAATCAAGAAATCTCTTCTCTCTTTCTTACATAGCGATGAATAGTGAAGAATTTCATTTTTTTCACGATGCTGTAAATAGGAAGCCTCATCGTTGTCTCAGCGGAAAATCGTCAATTGAGGTCAGGCCATTGTTATGACCTGAATATTGTCCCAGTATGTGATCGTTATAGCCCTGCTTTGCTATACATACCATTATATGTTGTCCAGTCTATGAAGATAATAGCGTAAGAGCCGCCGTTTTATTAGCGGTTCGTAATATACCAACGTCAAAGCTTTATGTTAATATAAATGCATGCCATTTAAATATCAGTACTTCACACCAACCAAGAAGCTATCTCTGATATCAAGTCCTTTACGTTGTTTGGAATATCTTTTAGGGTCTGACTTGTTAACTTGAACTTTGCCCTGAACTATGTCACAGCACTGTACCAAGCAGAGAGATGTACGAATGGCAGCATTGCGAGGGAATTATTCGTCACGCCTGGATAACAGTTACCGGTTCGGCCTGTGTTGATTTTTCAAATCCAGTTAAAACATAGTTGGAAATCATCAATCGCCAGGGTCTCTCGAAGTTTCCATCTATCTGCAAGCATCTCTTACATCCATACGAGAAATGTTCTCAAACCTTATTCTAGGCCACTGTGTATTTTCTTCCTAGACCTGTATACATCTATTCTCCCTTATAGGCCTCAACCTCAATCTCGATCTGCATTGGAGGAAATGCAAGACAAGGAACGGCAATAGCCGTCCAAATTGGGCGGTGACCAGGAATACGCTTCTTTAGCTTCTCAACCAGGTAATCATAAGATGCACCCATATCCACGTGGTATGTACGAATCAGAAAGACATCCTCCCATCCTTTAAGACCGACAGTCTGTAGAACGCGGTCCACGTTCTCAAAAGCAAGGTCAATCTGGCCTTTAACATCATTGCCATCTAGCTTGCCTGTGTTATCCCAGCCGCCTTGACCAGAGCACTTGACGATATCTCCAAGAATAACAGCCTGGGAGTAATGGTAAAGGTCGCTATGCGTCTGGCCCGCACCCTCCTCGTTATAGTATTTAAGCGATGACATCGTAGTAGAGCGTAAAGTCTACCTGCCTTTAAAGATGTTAACGTCCTGTTTTGGGAAACGATCCTGCGAGGAATATACATACTATGTTTAGGGGTTGAACTCGAAATGAAGATGATTTTAAACTCAAGCCTGAACTGTTTCCTTGACGTTAGGGTTTTGAAAAGTGCAGAACAGACGAGGCAATTGTATCATCTTAATCCCAGGGAGCGTGGCCTATGAAGTTATAAGTTCAGTAGTAATGGTGATATCATACCGAACGGGCTTTCTTTCTCCAAGGATGCCGGGGATTCTCCAACTGCATCGGGATTCTCCAAGTGGGTCAGGATTCTCAAACCAAGAAGCCGAGGGTCCACAAGGAAATGTAGTATATGATTGGTTCACCGAATGGTGTGGATATTAGGCTGTGGGGGTATCACACATTAGTTACTTTTCATTTATGAAGTGTTTAAATTAAATCAAAATTTGCCTACAAACTAATCAAGCTAAGGTGAGTGGTTTTAAAAACTTCAAATTGTAGATGCACTCTTAAACTCTAATACTAAATACATTTACTCAAATTTTCAGTTTCTTTAAGAAATTCATTAACATTTCTACAAAAGGCAAGAGGCATGTATAATACCGTCCTAAATTGTACCTATAACTATCTATTAACTTCTATAAAGTCATGGAGCTTTTCACCGAGTTGCTTTGTAAATGGCTTGTTCTGGGTGTCCATAAATACATATCCCCAGAACTTTAATAAGATCATAGCTACGTCTTTCGGTTCGGAACTCATAGTTCTGTCGTCCATTGTTTCCATGGAAGATAATCCGATTTGTAGAAGTGTTCGGGCATTATTAAATACTCCTATTTCGGCTTCAACGGTTAGCATCGACAGTGCTTGAAGGATGCATAATCTCAAACTTGCCTTGAGATGACATATTTCTATCATTCAAGTGACAGATCCAGGAGGCCAGAATTGTCATTGACTCGAAAACGGTCATGACCTTTTCAAGGCTCCAGCAACTGACCTGAGAACGTATGAAGAAAGTGACGCCAGTGTTTGCAGGTTCTTCTAGATAGTGGGCCAGTTCGTTCATGTCAAACCAGGAGCTCAATGCAAGGGCTTGGTATGGCCCAGGACCGCCTTGCTCTAGAGCTGGTAGCTTGGCTGGACCTGGTGTGTACATCGTCTGCACTTGGACATGGCCAGTGTGGAGAACGGCCCGCGTAAGCGCGAGCTGCAGCAAGACCTCAGTCTCATCAACAAGCACGCTCGAAGAATTCACCGTGACTAGGACTCGACGACATCCCGCCACGATTTCGCTGTCAAGATACTTTGGTTAGCATGGCTTGTTTACCTGGTCCGGCTGCAGAGCGACAACCATGACGTAAAAAACAGGGGCACTTACACAAGACGTCTATACTCCACGATAATGAGGTCGTCTGACAACACACTAGTTGGCATCTGACTTAGCAGGGTAACTCGATGCAAGAGGGCTGCGGCTAGAATGAAAAGAGATTGAATGGGCAAGTCTTCGAGTTGGACATCTTGTCGTGGCCCGGCCTTGGAGAAGAGGCTGTCAATTAATTGAGCCACAGTGCCAGAATAAACTTGGCCAATTTCAGGTTCTTGTCTGAGTGCGACAGGTTTGGTCGAGTTCCATACCGTCTCTGAGTATGGAAATCTTAGATTGAGGGTCTCCAAGGCAACGAGAGTTTGAGGACTGCAGATGGATTGAATTGACACTATCGAGAGAAACCCGAAGGCCTGTGTTTCCTGGCTAGTTTCGGCGTCAATCCTGTCACGCCAAGCGGGTTCAGATTCATTTTCCCGTGATCTAGGCTTAAGAAAACTGACGAGACAGCTCTGCATAATCTGGAGCTGCTGGAATACGTCGGCCGGTTGCGCCAGCTTGACGAACTCCAAGAGTAATATAAATGCGCTAGCTAGGTCGACAGGGTGGTTTCTAGCTTCGGTGTTAATTCCGCGAGTAATAGTTGTAGGTGTCGGAGCATGGTTGATTGAAACTCACTGCTGCTCATTTAAGGCGCCGTCAAGGTGAGACGCCGTCCACAGTTCCAAGGCCATGTGTCTGCTTGCTCTAAAGAGTAGCATCGCGCTATCAGCCTCAAAGAGATGCCATGCTCCTATAGCAAGTCTAGCTAGACGCGTGACGACAGGTAGACGGTCAATGTCAGCACGAGGGTGAAAAGCTTCAAATCTACTATTTCTCATGAACGACTTCAAGTATCTAACTGCAGTCTGTGCTGAAGGAGGGACAAAATTGGGGTTCCGGATGAGATAAACTTGGAACGTAGGATCCGACGGGTCTATATTTTCTTGATGGTCCATGTTAGTGTCAGAGCGAATGCCCACGTCTTGCAAATCTGGAGGCAGAATGGGATCAGACTGTGTATCGCGTTGTGATTCATGGGATAAATTGCCTGAACGGTGTGCGATTCCAAGTTGTTCATGTTTGTTAAACCTATTCGGCCCAGAATCGCCAAGTAGAGGTACCAGGCCACTGTGGCTGATGAACTTTTCAAAGCTAGACAGGGGTTCATCCTCAGTGCCTGATTTCAAATTTGATGGGACTGGAAAGACTTAGTAAAAGTGAGTCGAGTAGTCCTTCGGGATCAATCGAACTCACGCATATCGGGATACTCTGGGGGTAGCGGCAGGACAGAACCTGATTTGAACGCAGCATCGCCTTGGGTGAGGACTAAAGAATCATCAACTGTGACTTGACCTTGGCTTGCAGAAATCGCCGTTGCAGGGGTCGACGTCTTAGTGGCAGTTGAAGGTGCTTGTGTCGTCTCTCGGACGCCAGGCATTCCATGGCTGTTGAGATCAGGGTTAGAACTGTTGGTGGCGGGTGGTGAGGAGGGTAATGGATGAAAGATCCTCTGATGGCGACGTAGTAGATCTCGTCGGGTAAAGGACTGCCCGCAGTTACATCCGTATGGCTTCTCATTGGTATCTGAGGTGAATACGCAATCTTTGTCAGTACGACGGACATATCATTCTGTTGGAGAAGAGCCCCTCCTTGGAGTGGATGGAAGTGGGCGGACTGACGGATGCGTGTATGCCGCTGGAGATGTTCAAACTTGCGAAACCTAGATCCGCAATGTGAACAATGGTGCGGCCTACTGGACCTGTCCATTCTATAGTGGCGGTGCAGCGATACTGCGCTGTATCAATTCGTGTTATTGTTGAATACCGAACCACGGGGAACTTGGCAGCTTCTCCAACGGAATCGGGGTTCTAATAATTATCGATGGAGTAACAAATGGAGTGATGACAAATAATACTTCCACGTCATCCAATCAGAACCTACTTCGAAAAAGTCTGATTAAGTTAATTCTCCAACACACTAACGTTAGACCAAAAGATCTTCATCACAACCGTTTCGTTTCTCCTCTGCATGGAATCATCCCCACTTGTGATTGATTTTAACTCTCAACCACAGCAAGGGCTTTCCCGAAAAAAGGTCTCATAATGTGCAGCCAGAAGACATCTTCGGGAAAGAGATTTGCCGTTCCGCCGGTAAAGTCAGCGTGCACATATTGGTTTGTTCCTCATTCTCGAAAACTGTCTCTATCCATATGCCCTTATCCCTTAACTTACGCATTTATAGCAGAGCATCGCGAGTCCGGTGTAGCGGAGAAACTCCGTGCGGCCGTGTAGGTTATGATAGTGGCCATGGCTGCCAACCCCTTGACAAGCTTTGCGCCTCTTCTCTGACATTTGCTTTGCTATAGTGCATCAGCAGAAACCAGACATGCACCTTTACGCCAAGTCGTCGCGGCCAGAGACCACGTTCAGGCCCGAAAGGCAGGCCGGATATGACCTTTACGCATCGAAATGATGATTCCATCGACACAAACGGAGTTGGTCCAATCGGCGCTCCTCTAATCCAATCGGAACCTAGTCCCGCCGAGGGCGTCAGAGGTGGCTTCCTTCCATCGCTCTATAGCGACAACCTCGAAGAATTCTGCTTTGACGATATATTTGGAGGGCCTTCAGACGAGGCGTTGGAGAGCTTCTTTACCGACATTTTTAGTATCCCGTCTTTTCCGCGAGCCAAGACTGCTGATGGCCCAGTGTTGCAACCTCTTCAGTATGAGGGACCTGTCATTCGAGGCTACAGATCCGATGATGATGTGTATGTTGACCCTCATTTCGTACTGACCCTTTCATTCTTCATGCCATAGGCGGTAAAGACGTACGTGACTGACTCGGTATTCTGACTTTATTAGAATACGAGCCTATTACCAATTGATTCATCCCGCCTTCCCTATTCTTCCTCCACCGCTGGAGGGCTCGCCAGAGGGTACGAACCATATATCCAAGCCCTGGACCCCGACCTGCCAGTCCTTTTCTGACTATAAACCTACCTCGCCTCTGATTCTCGCTCTGCTGTCGGTTCTCACCCTTTTGCCCCATGCCAATAATGTGTATACGCTGGAAAAGGACAGTCTTGAATGCCGGGCTACTTTCGCTCAGTCTCTAGCCCAATGTGCGTTTGAGTCAATCGAGACTGGACCAACTCCAAATCAGCCAACTTGTTATTCCTTGTCACCATCCACATTCCATTCAAATGTGCCGGCAGAGGTAGAGGCTCCCCTGGCCTACTGCGTCCTCAGTCTCTACCAATATCTCCATCGCGGGGAAATGACACAAATGGTACTCTTGGCAAACGAGGCCTACGATGCTTGCGTGCGTCTATCCCTCCACCAGTTCGCGGAAGAGAACAACGTCTTTACGGAAGCTATACGAAGAACATGGTGGATGACTGTAAGCGTGCAATTCAACACCACGACCGAGACAAAGCCCCCTGACCGACAATATTCTTAGTACGTCAGCATATGCTTTTCTGCAACCATAACATGCAAGGTAACTCGCTTCTCGGGAACAGGAGTGTAGATCTATGCTAACATATCTTCCCATCCACCGACGCGGCCCACTGATATTTCCAAGTTCACGACCCCTTATCCAACGACTGGCATTATATCCACAGTACGTACTCGACCATATTTATATTTTCAATTGTCTGCCATGAATAGATCTGATTTTCGGAAGAGCTTGAATTGGATTCAGTATATCCGCGCCGAGGAGACCCTGGTCGCTGCTACCCTCCTCCTTGTCGCTCTCGTCACGGGCTCCGGTTCCGAGGCCGCCACGCCAGCATTCAGACGCAGTCTTTCCTTTATGAATACAGTCATAGACAAGCAGCTGAGCTGCCTCTCAGTTTGCAATGATCTAGAGTCGAGTACAAGTGCATCTCCAGAAGATAGATTGATGCAGTCTCTTAGGGCCATGACTCTAATCAGATTGATGAGGTTCGGGTTCTATTTCACGTACAAGGGCCTACATGACTAATGAATTTAGTGCTCGTATTAAAACTCATAGGTATTGTGCCATGATGCGTCATCCTAGCATATTAAAAAGGTTCGAAGCGGTTCCATCATGGCGCCCCCCTCATGAGCTCCGTCAATCAGTTTCCACAGGAATCAACGTCGAGGATGGAAATCAGGTCGCTCACCTATTTCCATTCGCATCCCAAGACTCCCTGAATATATGTGTCGAATCTGCTTTGGAAATCATTAATAGTCTAACATCATTACGCAACGATCTTCACAGTAAGCAGACTAGAAGCAAACTTAGCACGCGTGCAGTCACTAAAGAAAGTTCAGTCGCACCTTTTGCTTGCTCAGCCCTTTTGGCTGGCTATACGCTCATGATGATATCATTCTTCCAGAGCCACAGTCCAGAGCAAGGAGTATGCGCTATTTCTGTCGCCGAACTACAGGGTCGGTGCAAGTATGGTGTCGATGCCTCTATAGCCTCACTCGAACATTTTGCAGTTGGTTTTGACTTCATCAAGCTTCTTAAAGGTGTGCTTTTCCTTCGCTCTTTCGCGGTCGTAGGAGAGTGGCTTGTTGACTCAACCTTGCATAGACCAGCTCCAAACTGCCGCAATTACCTGCGAGATGCGATAGATAGGTTGACACTGGGTGTTGAGAATGACTTGTGTAGATACATATAGTGTTCTTACCTAAATTATTAAAAGTCATTTCAACAAGTTATAAGAGGCAAGTTCCTATGCTAGCTAAAATAATAAGTTGTGTACTCTACGATTTTCTCCTGTGTTAAAGAGTTAAGCCTTTGTAATTGCTATGACATTGGAAGATGGAAGCAGTAAATACAACGATGTGAGAGTCTCGTATCCCTTTATATGCATAGAAGCAGAACATTTCATAGGTATGACAGTAGCAAAAAGAATTGGACGAGCCTTGTCTTTAACCACTGATGTAAACGAATGTAGTAATATTGATTGGATAGTAAACCTAGCTGACGTTGCCTCTATAGCCCCACTGTTAAATATGGTAGACTATGTTTATGGCTTGTCAGCCTCTAATTGACTTGTGGTAAGCCACAGTCTTGACAATTGCCGGACCACGGGATGATACAGTCTTAATTGGCAAAAATATTAGGCTCATTAAGAGGAAGGACCTCAAGAAGATTTCCATCAGGATCCGACGCAAAGATGCACAGTTTGTTGAACTCTGTCATCTTGGCTTGGAAGGCCGCCCATTCTTCATCGCTGAGGTTTGACGCATCTCCGATCGAGCTTTTATTAGCCGTGTAGCCATCGGTTGGCATAGGCGCTCCAATCTTCTTGTGTATCTCGACGCCGTAGGCCTCCATACGCTCTTGGGCAGCCTCGAGGTCAGGAACAATGATGCCGATGTGGTTCAACGTGCTTGTCTGTTTAGGGGGCCCGGGGATATCATTCCCAGTGGTGTTCAGGTAGACGAACTCGAGATGTCCCGCGTTGTTGTTCTTGTAGCGTAGCATTTCGGCGGTGGTCTGGTATGCGCTGCCGTTCCTTCCGCCCTGGCTGTGGCTCATGTAGCTGAAGCTGATGTGAGGCGTCAACTTGTATGTGAACAAGTGTCGCATGCCAAAGACGTCTCGATAGAATTCTATGCTCCTAGTAAGGTTGTTCACGTTGAGTGACATGTGGTTGATGAATTGACCAACTGTCTCGGGGGCGGTAGGTGTATCGGGTCCTAAGAAGAGATCCGGGCTCTCTGAACGGGGAACGCAGCCCAGAACAAGAGAAGCCTTGGCAAACGCCAGGAAGAGTACTGTGGAAGCTTTGGGAAGCATGGCGATGACAGTAGAGAATTTTGATATGGGGGCGGGTGTGCTGGAAGATTGAAGATGCGATAGTTCGTAGGTTGAGTTGCGAATGTTTTATTGACAGCAGCTCTTGGTACTTATATTCATATTCGATCACTACAGCTTCCAATGCATGTTAGATTCCGCATGAGCTTCGTAGGATTCTCACCACCCATATGCCGATCCCAGCCCGCACATTATTTCTACTTCCAGGGTGAGGGATTCGGTCAACCCAGCTAGCATTTTTATACCATGTAAATATGACGTTAATTGAAGTAGTGCTTACTTTTGTCAGCGAGGTCATCAATCACCTCGCCTCGAGGCATAATGTTTCCATAGCATCTCTATAGCTTTCAGGCCAGAGAGCCCTTCTATACTATTGCCTGGATGTGGCTTGGCTGTTATTATGTGAGGATATACTTTACAGCAGTCATCCCCTTATTTGAAGAAGTGTAATCGGGCCAGAAATCGCTGAGTGCTAACCCTGAACCTAGACAAATAAACCTGAATACCTCGTTGCTCATAGACCCCTGTTAATCATGGGCATTACTTTCCTTGGTCAATCCATCACGTCGACCGCCATCCATGCTATTGCCACTAATTCTTGTGAGATTGCGTAGGAATAATTAGGTAATGCCAGTTCAGACGTTCTCATTGAATATCTACAAGGGTTAAGGTTGTTAATAAAGATGCTGCGCATTGAAGACGCGGCGGTGTGTTGTATACTTTGTCAGTAAAAACGTGACTGATTGGGCTAAGGTATAGAGAAAGAAAAGGCCAAGAAACCCTTACATGTTTCAGGTGGAGATTAGTCGATAAAGTTTATCCGTCTGTTGATTCCCTTGTTGATGTTGTTGGCATTGTGGGTAAAGTTCAAGGCGTGGCTTTAAACCGGGCCAATCGCGTGTAACAGCGAAAAGCGAAGCAAGCAGCGAAGCGAATAGCGAAACAACACTATCAGGTCATGGAAGTACTCAGCCCCACAGCATGGGTGAAAGTGACTAGCCATTTTCAGCAACTTGATATTTATGTAATTGTTAGAGATTTACTACCTTGAGCTAAGTACTCTGTATAGAAAGGAGAATTAGAAAAGAAGGGAATTAAAAGTGAAACTTATTACTAATTAAAAACATTTGATGTATTTCGGCTTATACCTAGTTTAGGACTTCCCAGTATTCTTGTTTAATGCTTTGAGACTAATGAAAATTGTGTTTAAAGCTTGATAATCCCTTGCATAACACCAAATGGGTCCCATTTGCTCTTAAGCCTCCTAAGCCTCTCTAGCCGTTCTCCCTGACCAAAGATACTGTTGGCGGCATCATCTTCAAATGGCATATTAACATATCCCACCCTCTTAAGACGTGTTCCATCTGGCTGAATTAAGAATGCCTCTTGTATGTCCTTGTTGAGCTCCGCGCATACCTTGTCTAGCGCAGGGTCTTCATACCAAGCCAGAGGCATGACCCAGTACTTAACTTCTTGCCGGAGCTCAACAGGAATGGACGTTCTTTGCCCATCTGGGTCCAGCTGCCGGACGACATCCATGCTGTAGAACTCAGTCAAGATGTGGGTCTGGGCTGCCTCTGGGTGTTGAGCTATAAAGTCCATGTAGACCTGAAGTGCAACTTCACAAGACTCCGCTGACATTTTGATCATGCCAAATGCTGCTAGGTTCTTTCTTCCAGCATAGCCGCATATACGGTCACTGGAGTCATTCAGATGGAGGTAAGGGATTCGGCGGCCAACAAAGTTCAAAGGATGATCTTTCTGAGACGGCAGATCCAGCAGAGGGTGGAACTTGATGGCTGCCTCTTCGGGTGGTCCCGTATACCACAGTTGAAGAAGGACGACAGGCTGTTTCTTGAAGTCAGTTGATTGGTCTTATGAACTCAAGCTTCTCCAATCAGCTTACCTGCTTGTTTGGAGAGCAGAATACAAGCCGCCCTTGCATACCGCCCTGGTAATGAACTTTATCCACAGCTTCAGCAACCACTCTTACATCATCGGGCGTAAAGACCAGACAACTGTGCCAAGTATCGTAGGACCACGGGAGGGCTCGGAAAGTAGCTTCAACCACCACCCCAAATAGATGGCCGCTCCCACGAAGGCCCCAGAGAAGGTCCGGGTTGACTTCGTCCGATGCCTCAACGACGCGGGTCACTCCGCTGTTGTCTACCACAATGACTCGCATGGAGAGTACGGTATCTGCTGCGTATCCCAAATGTCCGAGAAAGCGCCCTATTCCACCTCCAAGAGCAGCTCCAATCTGCCTTCCATGTTTAGATCGTTTAGATGGATGGGGGATGTTGTTTCTCTTACCAGTCCCACTTCATTGCATGTTCCAGTAGCGAGAGCCATTCCCACTTCGCCAGCCCCTTTCACCCCATCCCCCATTGTTGCGCCTCCCTGCACAACCACCACCTGCTTCTCAACATCAACTCTGACATTATTCATTCCAGAGAGATCAATGACAATCCCGGGACTGTCCACTGTCGAAAAGCCATTGCTGTGGCCCCCTCCCCGAACCACAAAAGGCCTTTGGTTTTGGACCGCATAGGAGACCTAAGTACAAGTAAGTCAAAGTAGAATGAACAGGGAAATGAATCTTTACCGCTGAAATGACGTCCTCCTCGTTGATGACTCGAACTATTGCTGCAGGAATTTTAGCCTGATATCCTGTCCAACGCTTGATTGCATCGGGCCACCCCTCGTCGCCATCGACAATCACATTGGAACCCGAAAGGCAATTTAAGAGATCTGATTTGAGACTATTCGCCATTCTTACGGTGAGGGAAAATGGTTAATGAGAAGATGGGAACATGTTGCACTATTTTGAACAGAGTTAGTAACGGACTACTCCGTAAATAAATGCTGGTCCAGCTTCGGCTTCGGCGTGAAATCTCTGTTTACGCACCTTACCCGCCGACAGCCTCCACAGTTGCGTCGGCCGTGTAAGAATAAGCCGTGATCCTTTATTGGACCATTCCTCAAAATGATGACTCTCACATGACCAATCACGATTTGCGACGGAAACTAGCCATCAGAACAGGATAAGGACAGTTCTCCCGGGTTTACGGAGGTAGTGACTCCAATCTTCAATCTTCAATACATTCTTTTCCAAGAGTATTTGCAGCTACCAAGTCATAACTTCGTGTCTTACTAATCATCGACTTGTTCCTACATAATAAAAATAACCTAAATACTCACTCAGTTCTACCAACACCAATTTCCCTTTCTTCCAATTTCAATTCGACATCATACAGTCCCACCCAGCTAGTTTTATCAACTTTGAAGTCTCCTTCTAGACCTTGCATCGGCTGGAGAGAAACCTTGTACTTGCTGAACATGTGATAGACCACCGCCTTGACGATTTTATCGGCGATGTGCTGCCCGAGGCACTTTCGAGGCCCGTAGCCGAAAGTTGAAAGGTTGTACCGGAGCTATAGTTTAAATGAGCTTTCCCATCATCTCCCTGGAGTAACTCGAAATTCTCACCTGGTTCTGTTTAATACCTGCAAAACGACTTGGCCTATATGATCTGTTATCAGGGCCCCAAAATGGGTTGCGAATGTTGATGGCGTAAGCGTCCACAATCACGGTGGTGTCTTTGGGTACCACGAAGTTCCCCAAGATCTTCTCTCTAGGGGGATTCTCAGGAAATGTGAATGCTTTCGCCGAGTTAGCCAATATTCTGGTTTTGTGGGACTCGTAGTAGTCAAAACTTACCAAGGACTGGCCTAAGGCGAAGGGACTCCAACAAGCAGAAATGAAGGAGCGTGTCCTTGCGAGTGATATAATTTTCTCGGTCTGCCTTATTTTCCTCCATCTCCTTCAGAAGGTCACCCTGAACCTCGAAGGAGTCGGCCAGAAGAATGACGCAAGACGAGATGACTTGGGTAACGATGTCTAGGTTCGCAAAGGTGGATTCCGCAATAGTGTCAGTCACCTAGAAGCACCGTCAGTGGTTTTTCTTGCAAGTCAGTGATAATTTAACTAATTGCCTCTTGTGATGTTATTTCGCCCCTTTCAGCAGCTCGCATGAGGAGAATAACCGGCGTCTGCGGCGCTGTAATTTCTCGCGCCCTGCAAATATTCATGTTGAAGTTCTTCCACGCCTTCTGGTAGGTTATCGCGCCTTTATAGGCCTTGGTGCTCAAGTACTTGGTCATTTTAAAGCGATGGATGCCGCCAAACACGATCGCCGAGAAAACATCTGAGTACTGACGCCCGAGTTCCCACAGACGCTCCTGCTCGACGTCGTTCATTTCGCCATAGAACATCGACGCAACCTCAAAGAAAGGATATCTCTGCAGTGCCTGCGTGGTATTGATGACGAATCCTTTACCCTTTGCATCCTGCTTGTCTGCTTTAGCAAACTTGTGTATCCCGGCAACATAGTCCTCAGCACTAGCATAGAGGTTATTGCGAAGATAGTGCATGGCAGCCGGATGTGAGAACATTGGATCCAAGGTCTTCCGAAGTTTAGTCCAGCGAGTCCCGTTAATCAAGCCCAGGCCTGATCCAAGAATCTGGGTCAAGAGCCAGCCTGCATTCGCCTGGGGTGCCTTGTAGTGGTCATTTGATTGATGGTATAGTGCCTCGACATCTTTGGGATCAGTGATCACACTGGATTCTCAAGTATCAGCGAGTCTGCAATCATCTGTAGCAAGGGAATAGGGCATGCGTACACTTCAGGAATGCTGGCAGCCCAGATACGGTACGTCTTGCCGTATTTCTCCTCCCACTCCCAACTCCTGATCCGCGCAGCCAGGAATTTATCAACCATTTGCCCATTGGGAAATGTATATGCCGGACCTGGCATGTGCTTCTTCCCATTTACAGCCGGAATTCGGTATGTAAGAGACAAGATGCCCTGTTAATATGGCATTAGAAACATCTCGGAAAGACATATGAGCTGGAAGATGGTAAGGACTCACATTAAAAAGCGCATTAAGCACATTCTTTGGCCCGACCAAGAGGGCGACGAATATCAGCACAGAAAGTAAAACGCCACTGCTGGCTGTGGCGGCCATGACAGGCAAAAGGTGGTCCAGCTTGGTAGTTTGAGAAGAGTCCATCTCGTTCGCTTACTTGAGGTATCTATCAACTATCGTCCTTTCTAAATTTCCCTTGGCGATTGCCTTAATTATATTTGCTGTCCTAACCTCAGTCTTATTTTGCTTATCGGATGTTTGTCTCGGTGCATATCCGTCGGCGTCCGTCGGTGGGAAACTAACATCTTGGGGGTAACATCGCCGCAGGGTGGTCAGGTTGGACCCACATCAATGTCAATTAATTTCCATGAGTGCAATAATCCTCAGCACATCTCGCTTGGTTATGAAACTGAAATAAGAACACAATTTCTATTTTAACACCGATATCTTTGCCTTTATTTTGTACACTATGAAATAGGCAAAGTGGTTACTAAATTACTTAAAAGCTATTCTCACGAGTATTATTCTCAATCTTAATTCTGAGAGTGAAAACCTTTATTGTATGCTTTATTCGCTCCCGGGTAAGTAACTATAGCACTACCTAATTGAGGACTCTATTATTGAAGCTCCACGTGCTGCATTAATATACGACTAACATAGATTCATAAATTTTTATAACTTCCTGCTATGACTAGTTTTGTTAATTTAGTGAAGACTACGGTTCCAGGCTGTCTTCCCGAAGCAGGTCTAATACTTCATCAATGTCTAGAGAACTCTCGGAATAAATCAAAAAGTGTCTAGCCACTGGTGTGTCACATGATTCATACCCTATACCCTACGCTGTTGGAACTGTGGTACTACATGCTTGTGGCATTACTTTCCAAAAAATTATCTTGCCATTGAATGTAACCATACTCTTTATGATAAGGCGTGGCATGCAATAATTTTATATTCTGAGCATTGGAATGTTGAGGTGAGGAGTTTCTAAACAACCGTAACTGTTATTGATTCGGACAAGGCGCTATTCAGCGACGAGAAAGAATACTCCTAATAATTTGAGGAAACTCTACTATCTTATTGGACTGGGGTTAATTGTGACTAATAACTCTGCCACTTAGATTACATCTGGCTTTTAAATCCTGAGGCTCTTGACATTCGGATAATTTGAGAAACATACAACTTGGCCATGACGGACACCTAGGACGACACATGTTGTGGTATTCAATCGGCCGAATATTCTATTGGCACAGGCTAGACTCGGGTATTTAGAGATTTATGTGGAACTATTATCTGTCTGGCAGAAATACGGGACGGGGGAGAGAAGAGACATGGACCTATCAAAACTAACCCCAGTTCCTATCCTCAAACCGGCCGAAGTCTCGATCAACCTCATTGTTGATCTTTACTCCCAGTCTGTTGAATCCTCTAGGTTATGCGCCAACCGCGGCTATGAGCTCTTCCAAAGCCGTGTTTCGGCGTTTGATATATTGATTCATGTACTCTTGATCTGTGGAGCACAAAGGTCCAATTGAGTTCCGCCGTGTGAACTCACTTTCATCCTGCTCCTCAGTAACGCCTACAGGCCCAACAAGATTTTGCAAAGCGTTGAGGGTTTGCTTTCCCTTTAAGAGCGTCATCTTGACAAGAACGTTCTGGATAGCTTGGCTCTCTTGCTTGGTGACTTTGTAATCGCCAAGAGAGCATGAGACCAAGTGCTGCTCTTCCGACGGTAATAGACCCTCGTTGTTCTTGGTCAATTGCTCGAATAGTTTGAATATCAGTTCGATGGCTGAAAGAGTAAGCAGTATTGATGGGAAGGACTTATCACAGACATCACAGGTGATGAATTTCTCGCAGGTCTCTAGGGCTGAGGTGATTGACTTCATCGCCAGGTCGAACCGACTGGGAATGTCACGACACGTGAGCTGATGCAAAGTCGATATGTTGGTTGCCTGAGTCTGAACACAAGCACAGGGATCCCCGGGCGTGTCTTGGCGAGCACGAGAAGGGGGAGACGGGAGTCCGAATGATATGGGGTTGGTGGGGTCACTCAATTGCCGCAAATCTGTATGGCCGGTGAATGACATGGGCGTCATGATGGCTCCAATGCTCTGTGATGTCATGTCTCTGGGAGTTCGTAGAGTCGGGTCGAGGTCCATTTCCCAGGTATCCAAGTCATCCAGCAAGGGAAGCAATTCATTGTCAGATTCTGTAGAATTGATCCATTGGCTTTCTGACGTGGATTGATCAGAAGATTGGATAGAAAAGCGCGACTGCTCACGTTAGACGCTGCATGTAATCAATCAATCGCTGGACAAACGCACAGTACTGGTTTGCTCCCAGGAGTCTGGCAACAGTGTTGACAGATCCAACATGTCCAGATTTGAGTTCTCAAGATCTCTGTTGCCATCTCTCAATCGACCCGCAAGTCGTTCCATACGTAGCTGGTGCTCCCTTTCCAACGTTCTTCGATTTTTGCTCCCCTTCGGTTTCCCAGCCCTGTTCTGGTAACTGTAGCGACAGTAAAGGCCCTTTGACGTGCAGCGAAAACACGGCGACCCTCCTGAGCATTTCACCTTACACTGATGGCACGAATCACATGCAGACCGTAATTTCTTGTGATCGGCGTTGCTCTGCCGAATTGACGTTGGACAAGCTAAGTGGGGTACTGTCGAAGTCATGGTAGTGCCAAATCGAGGTAAAAAGCGACCTGCAGCAAAAGAAAAGCTTGGTGTGACAGAGTCTTTTATTAGCAAATTCCGCAATAAAGATCGCAGCAGGGCTTGAAATATGAAAGCAGGCGCAACGAGGGAACTGGGATTCTGTCAGTTTCACCCACATTCCGGAAGCTGGGCTACATACGGATATTCGTATCAGCATTACTGCAAGACATATTCTCAGCCCTGTCATCCTTCATTCCTCTGCAGCCAATGTTCGCATATCTCTAAAATAGAAGTTACTAACTCTATATAACGGGCCGGGCCCGCGAGTGCTGCGGTAAATACTCAACCCAATAACAGCGAAGAATCGTACGGTTCCGACATTTACTTTTGAAACCCCTGTTCTTTTGACTAGGACTTTCTGCCGTTCTAACATGTCACATCCCCTAGGCTGAAGGAAAGTACGCTATGGTCATGATAGTGGGTCGTCTGCAGTCAGCCTCCGTAAAGAGACGCAGAACACATTGTGAATGCCGGGGACCGTGGGTGTATGCAAGGGGCGTGCGTGTGATTCAACAATCTCGATGACAGCGTATTTTGTGGCAAGCCAATTGGAAGTCTTTGTCAAAACAATCTGATCGGATGTCCTATAATCGCAGTCGTTGCCTGTTGAGAAGTCTGAACTATGGCCTCTGCCGGGTTAGCGATCATTGCGTGATTGAATCCCGACTGGCTCCAGATGGTAAGCAAAAGCACGCTAGTCCTGATGGATGTAGCCCATTCGGTTGATGGTGGCCACTGCGGATGCCGGCGGTCCATAGCCGAAAATATACGAGAATATTCTCCGCTTACGGAGTATAGACTCATCCTCTCTCTGTAGCTCCGTCGCTTTCATGACCTAATGATCGACGGTCTTTGCTTGACATGCAGTAACTCTTACGGCTTCTTCAGCATCCACCCAGTGAATTGAGCCTTTTCATCCCTCGCTACTCTTCGTGTCCTTAGTACTCTGGTTCATCGGTGCGAGGATGAATGTCTTCTAGAGCCGGTCTGGAATAATCATCTGTTATAGCGATTGAGTCAGTTCATAGAGCTAACCAATAGGAGATTAACTGTACCGAGGGTGGTCAGATTGATATATGCAGTAAGTTGCTGAACTGATAGCTGATGCTTGCATCGCGTGCCATACTCGTACATAAGGGGCAGGTTGTCAATCCTCCAGCTGAGTGCGGCTGAGTACGGTGGCCAATAACGAATCGACAATTATACTGACGTTGGGGTCCAACCCACGCTAATCGTTGGTTTGTTTCTTTCACAGACAAATATGAAATATCGAGCAAGAGAAAAAGGAAAAACAAAAAAGAAAACTCGTCTGAGAATCGCTACCGGTTGGACGAATCTAGCTTTGTTGGTCAGATCCCCTCGCCTCATACATATTTCTCACGGGTTTGAGGTTTAGAGGTTATACTGCTAGTGCTGTTAAAGGGATTAAGGCACCTCGGCCGAGCCCGTCCCAACCCGCCTTGGCTGCATTGGCGTGGATCCGGGGGCTCAGCCTCATCCCCACAGGCAAATATACTTTAGGCTGAACAGGCTGACTAGGACTTGGCTGAGTGAGCCTGAGTCTGGTGGCTTGGGCTAATCCCCACATTCGTACGAACAAGGTTCCTCCCTCGGCCGAGCCAACTTCGTACGAGGTTGGTTTCGTACGAAGTTGGCACGGTCATGCGAGGTCAGCAATGGAAGGATAGTCCTGCCCATGCGCTACCACAATTAAACAACGCCTGTTTTATCCGTTATCTACTTTTTCGCACGAACTTCTTTGCCGTTTCTTTTTGGCCGAACTTCTGGATATTCCCCGAGACCGAGCTGGCTTCGCCAGCTCTGGGCTTAAAAGACTGCCTGTTTACGTATCATTGATCCCCTCACCCTTTGCATCCTCAGCCTACCACCTCAGCCTACCACCTCAGCCTCTTGATCACTGCCACAGTGTCCCAACGCCTATGTTTATCTCATTGTGATCTTCTAGACCACGACATTTGCGCCTCAAATCATACAACCTCTGACAATGTCAGAGACAGTTGAGCTCGAAAGCAACCGGGCGATCAGCCCGATGGAAAACAAAGAACGCATCCCGCCTAATGGTGGCACCAAAGCATGGGCCTGCGTTGCCGGCTCCTTCTTGCTGCAGTTTTGTTCCTTCGGCTACGTCAATGCGTAGGTCACCCTCCTTTCCCCCCCATCTCCGCGTTTTACTTCCAAGAATAATCAGCTGATCTCTGGAGAACAGATGTGGTATGTTCCAACTGTACTACTCGGACGTCATGTTCAAGGACGAGTCGTCATCTGCATTAGCATGGATCACCACCCTTCAAATATTCCTGCTGTTTATGTTCGGTCCCGCTGTGGGGAAACTAATCGATGTCTATGGGTGTCGCAAGACGCTTCCGCCATTCAGTATCCTGGCTGTGTTCTCTGTGTGTATGTTGAGCCTGTGCACCAAGTATTGGCAGGTCATGCTCGCACAAGGGGTCGCTTTTGGTCTAGCTGCCGCTGGACTCTCTCTCCCTGCTATGGTAACGGCCACCCAATGGTTCTCCACCAAGAAAGGCTTGGCTGTTGGTATTGTGTCTTCGGGCAGCAGTTTAGGTAAGACTAAACTATACAATGAACCTTAGTAATGTACCACACACATAGCTAACATCAATATTAGGCGGAATAATTTACCCATGTATGCTGCCTAGACTCATCGAGGAAGTCGGCTTTGCATCCGCTGTCCGTTGGACTGCCCTTATGCAAGGAATCCTATTATTTATTGCCAATCTTCTTTGCTCCTCGCCCTTCCCACCGCTTGGCAAATCATCACCCGAAGAGAAGGATAAGGCCCCTCCTAGCAGTGGCCTCAAAGGATTCAAGAGTTGGCCCTGGTTCTTTTTCGTCTTGGGTTGTTTCTTCACAATGTGGGGTCTCTTCGCGCCTCTCAACTACCTTCCAGAGATGGCCTCGCTTCATGGATATGAGAGCTTTGCTGTCTACACACTCGTTATTGCCAACGCAGGGTCTCTGGTTGGCCGGATTGTTCCTGGCTGGATTAGCGATATCATCGGCCAATTCAATACCATGGTTATGGTTACCGGTCTATCCGGAATTTTGGTGTTGGCCTTCTGGCTGCCGCTTGAGTTCCATACATCCAAGGCCGGCCTCATCCTCTTCGCACTCCTTTTTGGTTTTGTTAGCGGTGGTTTCGTGAGTCTCGGCCCTCCCTGTGTTGTTTCTCTTGCCGAGGACCAGGTCGATGAGATTGGTGTAAAGCTTGGCGGCTTCTGCTTGGCTATTGCCCTTGGAGCTCTGACTGGTCTTCCTATCGAAGGGGCTATTAAAGATCACGAAGGCGATAAATTCACTGGTTTGATGGTCTTTGCTGGGGCGACAATGATTATTGGAAGTTTGTGTACTGCGATCGCTCGAGTTTACAAGGGAGGACCTCAGCTCATGAAGAAGGTTTGAGCGAGATTAAGAGGGAAGATTGGAAGAAAGGGCCGCAATGTATAATATTCTGAGTCCATTCGTATCCCGTACCGGGAAAGACAACATTCTGAGTTGTTTTGTTTAAATATTTATATTTTTTAATTTGATTTAACCTTCAACTCCGTGAAGCTCAGGTTTTCCAAATGTCTCAATAATATCAAGAATAAAAATAAGCCGTACAAATATTTACATATAAGTGGAACACGTAGGTTTCCACTGACTCGGAACCAAAGCAGAGACATAGTCGACATAATAAAGGACTAAAATAATAGAAACCAAATCTGAACCAACTTGTGGTTCTGTTCTTTTGCAAACCTTGGGGCATTCAATTACCGACGTGAAGTTTCCGGGGGTAAATGGGCTTGATTTCCGACAGCATACGCCAACTTGATCGTCGCACAATACGAAGAATAGGTTTCCAATTCTTTTTTAAATTACTTATCATTTACGTAACTATGACTGACCCTTAAGTCTTTTCAATGATCAGAGAGGCTGCATTTTATTCTAGAGCTTTTTATCAATTTACCCTACATCAACTCTGACTCCCATTCTGATTCACCAGTTCCGTTACAATGACCATTGCGCTTAGCATATGGTGGCGTCGCACACGTTCCGGCTGGACGCAGCTCAATGATCTGGGTGAGGCAACCTCGAGGGGAAACAACCCGATTCAGCCGAAATCCAGCCTCTTCCGCCAATTTTCGGTACTCCCCCAATGTTCGCTCCTTGTTTCTGCACCTCACCAGCATGCGAATGTCCGCGTATCTAGCCCCACGTCCCAAGCGTCCATCAAACAAGACCGACTCGACGATCAAGACTCTACTCACTCCCGGCTTGATGTCCATATTCTCCCGGATTCTTCGAAGGAGCTTGACACAGTCCTCATCGCCCCAGTTGTGCAAGATCCATCGAAGAAGGTAAGCAGATGATTTGGGAATTTCATCTTTGAAGAAATCTCCTCCAGTGATGGAAGTAATTCTGCTGGTCAGGGGGTCATCCGAGGGGAATCGCTGCTTGAGGATCTCTGCGGTAGAAGGAAGCTCGAATGCAGCGGCCGTGGCTTCTGGAAATTTCTCCAAGTAAGACCGGATAAAGTCTCCAGCTCCGGCTCCGATATCGACCACAGTCTCCGTCTTGACTTCGTCCCATGGGTAGTCGGAAAGCAGCCCAGGAGCCTCAACGACACTGCCTGTGCCAGTGACCTTGTGGAAACCTGCAGCCTTGCCTGTTTCGGCCAGATACTGGTAGATGGGCTTGTCAGTGTTGTAGAAAAGCTCAGTGGCGGTTTTAGGCTGATCTTGCTTCAGCTGGTCCGGGAGATGCGAGATGAGATCGTAGTACTCGCGAGGGAAAAAGTCAACCCAGTTGACCCAGGTGGCCCAATGGTCTTTGCGAAGGAGATTGGAGAGCCTGTTGTTGGACAAGAGACCGGTTTTAGGGTCCTGCGAGAAGTATCCCATTTCACGAAGATATCGGACCACCTGGAACAGGCCTTGTTCATGCAATCCGGTGGCTTTGGCTAGCTCCGAGATGCTGCAGGGCTGGAGATTCTGGACATGATCTGCCAGTGCATATTCGGACGCACAAAGCAAAACCTTGCTGTTGGTGAAGGCTGATTTACAATTAGTCATAATTTACTAAAGTATGTGGAATGGGAAAAAATCAAGACTTACCAAAAACACCATCTACCAACTGCATATGGGGGGGAGTCAGAGTGACGAGAAGTTTGTCCAGCACTTGCACTGTGTCCAAAAGCTTCTGATAAACTGACCTCGAGGAATTCAGAGCAGTTGGAGATACTTCGAGACAGGAGTTGAGCTCCTGCGATAGGGGACCTTCAAGTTGCGACAATGCATGCTTAATGTTCCAGTTCAAGTGCTCCAGTTCATTTTCCATTTTGAATGTGTCTTGATCAATGATTCAGAGTAAAGTTTTAATTTGTTATTGAAGCGATAATGTACATACTCTCGACAGAGGCCGGTCAAAGGATATGGCTTTTATGATAGTGTCGGTTATGCCGTCAGCTTACTGATGACCATGCTCGGTGAATATCGCATGCGAAGCGATTTATATTCTCCGAGACCATTAACCGGCGCCGCTCGGCCCTCATCTCACTCGGCCCGAAGACGTAAGCAATAACTTGACTAGTAGTGATTGTGGGCCAGTACAGTTAATTCGGAGCTGTGTGGCGTATAAACACTACTGGAGATATGACACTCACTGCAAAAAGCACCAAGGCTACCTACCAACCTACCACCAAAATCATCACAAAGCCGCATTCTACGATGGTCCAGCAAGCTCCTGTCCTCTTGGATCACTTCCGCAGTCAATTGCAAAAGCACCCTTTGTCAATCGCGGTTGAGGATGGCACAAAATCCCCAGACCAGAAAACCTGGGAGTCCATCACATACGCTCAGCTCGACGCTCTCTCTGAGCAATGGAGCAAGCGGCTTCGTCTCGCTGGCATTGGCCCCGGCTGCGTGGTTCCCCTTTTATCTAACAGATCAATTGCCATGGTAGCCGCCACACTGGCAATCTTGAAACTTCGCGCAGCTTATGTGCCCATGGACACATGCTCGTGGGGACAAGATAGAATAGAAACCGTTCTCAGAACCGTCAGCCCACAGCTCATCGTGTCAACATCTACTTGTCCGCAGGATCAGTACTCATACCCAGTTTTGCATTTGGGCCTCGATAACTCCAGTGGCTTCAGTAAAATAGCAGCGTGTAATGGATCTCGCTGCATACCAGAGGATGGGGGCTTCGAAGACAGAGGGAACGATCTGGCATACATCATCTTCACATCCGGCACGACAGGGAAACCGAAGGGAGTGCAGATCGGCCAGAGATCCATCTCTCTTTATGTGAAAGAGGGAGGTGATTTGCCATTTAATTTCAACACTAAACATGGCACAAGGGTATTGCTCATCTGTTCAATTGCTTTTGACGGTTAGTGTGTCTGATCTCTCACCATACAAGTCTTCCTCTAACCTTACGCAAATAGTCTGTGCCGGGGTCATGTTCAATACCCTCTGCAACGGCGGAACCCTTGTTCTGGCTGATCCGTCTACATTTGAAGTCGCCGCCAGAACATGTCACATTCTACCATTGACTCCGAGTATTCTTGTAACATTGGACCCTGGAGCTAGCTTCGATAGAGTGGAAGCGATCTTCCTCGGCGGCGAAAGTCCAAGCCCATCCCTGATAGAGGCATGGTCCTCTCCCCGCCGGATGATTTACAATTCGTATGGGCCAACCGAGACAACCTGTACAGCCCTTATGGGGGAACTCAAGCCAGGATGCCCTGTTACTATCGGCTTTCCAATCTCATATAGCACCGTCATGTTGCTTGATGAGGCTGGGGTGGAAACCACAGAAGGCGAAATCTGCATTTCTGGCCTAGGTCTGGCATGGGGATATTTCTATGACCCGGATCGAACAAACAGCGCTTTTGTCAGAAGGGGGGAGACCATGGTTTACAAGACGGGTGACTATGGGAAATGGACCGAGGACGGACTGCAATTTTGTGGCCGCAGAGACAGTTTGGTCAAGAATAGAGGGTTCTTGATCAATCTCGAAGCGGACGTCGAGCCTGCTTTGCGGTCCTTTGGCAAGGTCGACAGAGTATCAGCTTTCATGTCACAGGGCCGACTAGTCGCTTTCGTTACGCCAGTATCTGCCAAGGAGGGACTTCGCGATTATCTTGCGAGTACCGTCTCCTCCTTCCTAGTCCCTGACACGATATACTCGCTAGATGAGTTCCCCACGACAGGCAACGGCAAAGTCGACCGAAAAAGGCTCCTGCATATGCATGAGCTAGAGCAATCATCAGATACGGCCAGCCTTGAGAGTGGGCTTGATCCAGTTGAAGCAGTTCGTAGAGGACTTTCACATGTCCTCAAACTTCCAAGATCTCGCATTCTCCAGACATCCTCTTTCCGCCAGCTTGGAGGCCACTCACTAGCAGCAATCATGCTAGTCTCGGCCCTCAAGGGAATGGGGTTCGGTATCAGTGTCACTCAAGTGCTTCAGTTGGATACAGTTGGAACTATAGCTGCGGCTGTCGAAACGTTTGCCGATGATTCGCATGCTTTATTCTCTCCTGAAGATGCGACAGAACGGCTAATGCATGAGATGACGACTACCCTGCCGCTTGAAGGTGCGACTCTTGCACCCATGGCCGATATTCAAACCAGGATGCTCAGCGGCAGTGTGGCCGCACCGGGTCTATCATTTATCAAGACGTCCTTCACTTTCCATCACCCGGGTAAAAAAGACCTTACGTCCGTCCTCCACGGTTCTTGGCACCGTCTTTGTCGGCGCCATGAGATCCTGAGAACGTCCTTTGTCCTAAGTGCATCAAATGGAGTCCAAGTGATAACCAAGGAGCCGGGGTTCTCGTGGGGAGAAGACATCGTCAAGGAATCTGAACGGGAATCAGTCTGTCAACGCAAAGAGCTTCTAGATGTGGAAGACTTTGTAGACTTTGACGTAGAGGATCAAGCGTCACTATCAAGAGTTGTTCTAATTGTTGCCCCCAACAAGCAAACGCGGTTCATTTGGACAGTCCATCACAGCTTGATCGACGGATGGTCGATGGCAACTCTTATGCGAGACTTTGCCGACTGTCTCGAAAACAGAACAATGCCGGCACCACCGCAATTTTCTCAGGTTGTCCAAGAGATAGATCGGCTCAAGGTCGAGTCCTCAGCTAGGGCTGTCTCATTCTGGAAAAGATACTTGGATCGATATACACCAGTCCCAAGGCTTCGAGTATCACCACCCACTGATGTCAGTGACTATACACAAGCATCTTTATCGCAAAGATTAACCGTTAGTGTATCTGAACTGGAGGATGCGGCCAAAGATCGATTTCAAGTTTCACCAGCCACTTTGCTTTACGCCGCTTGGGGACTTCTCATTTCCAGGTACTCAGGAACAGACCGAGCAGTACTCGGCGCTGTTCTGTCTGGAAGGAGCTTACCGATACCTGGCATAGAGAACATTGTTGGCCCATTGATTAATGTATTACCACTGGCCATAGATTCTCGGGAGGAGCAGTCAGCACACAATTATGTGCAAGCTGTGTTCAGAAGTCTATGTGATCTCTTGGAATTTCAGTGGTCTCCTGCTGCGTTGATCCAAGATGGCTGTGGATGCAACCCTGCAGAGCTCTTCGAGACACTTTTTGCTTCGCAGTATGGCTTCCCAGAATCTCCTTGGAATTCACTCGATGTTCCTCAACCTAGCGATATCCGCTATTGTGAGGCCACTCAAGTTCCACTTACTGTTCTGTTGAACAGTACTGAGGGCCACTTTGACGTCCAATTCATTTATCGCCGGTCACATTTCAGCAATGCCGTCGTCCAGAGGATGATCTCTCAGCTCGATAATCTCCTCTCGTCCCTGACTACTGCGGATCCAGACACAGAATTGAGAAACGTGACGGGGAGAATGCTCGAGGAAGATGGGCAGTACGAAATATCGAATGTAAAATCTAGGCTGCTGGACAGCTCTGGCGAAGTGCCGCACAACCTAGTCGAGGCTGTTGAAAATTCCATCCAGGCGCATCCTGACATGTATGCAGTCGAAGCACCGACGGGGAGCCTCACATATCGAGAGTTTGGAAGACTGACAGAGCACATTGCCGAGTGTATTCTGCAGCACAACGGACGGGCCAGTGTTGTCTGCGTGGTGAGTGATGGTTCCCTGCTTTGGCTTCTTGCCATGATTGCAACAGTTCGAGCAGGGGCTATCTACTGTCCAATCGATGAGAAACTGCCTCGTGTCAGAAAGGATTACATGATGAAAAGCAGTGGAGCTACATTGGTTCTATTTACCAAGTCCAGTCAGGAGCCGGTATACGACGGTATGACGTCTTTAGTCATCGAGTCCATTATAGCGAGCATGTCTTCAGCTTCTGCATCAGCCACTCCCGTCAGCCATAATTATCGCAGCGGCGATGATATCGCTTGCTTGATCTTCACTTCAGGAAGTACGGGCTTACCAAAAGGTATGAGCGCCCGTCTAACGTGCCATTGACCTAGACTTTGTTGCTGACGATTTTGAAGCCGTCCAGCTGCAGCACAAAGGCATTCTTAACGTAGTCTCCCAGCCAGAAGGTCGACTTTACTCCCGTCCGGGCCAGCGAAATGCACAAATGCTCTCTGTTGGGTTTGATTGCTGCATCAAAGAGGTCTTCTCCACCATCTGCTTCGGAGCCACCTTGGTTTTAAAAGACCCAGAGAACCCTATTGCCCATCTTACGAAAGTTGATGCAACCATGGCAACCCCATCCCTACTTGCAACCTTGGAACCCGATCACTATCCTAATCTCAAGGTCATCACCGTTGCTGGAGAGGCCGTGTCTCGGGTTCTTAACGATAAATGGGCTTCTGGAAGAACCTTGACCAATGCGTATGGGCCTGCCGAGTGCACTTTAATATCGACCACAGCAATCCTCCACCCGGGAAGCAAAGTGTCGATCGGGAAGCCACTCCCAGGCTTGTCATGTCATTTTCGCGACTCCCTTGGACGCCCTGTGCCCAAGGGAGTAAGTGGAGAGATATATATCTCGGGAGTACAGGTTACTCCTGGTTATCTTCACAACGAGCAGGAAACAGTCAAACGCTTCCTTAGCGACCCGCTAAGTCCTGGCCAAACAATGTTTCGGACAGGAGATATCGGGAGAAAGCTAGAAAATGGGAGCATTGAGTACATCGGACGAGAAGACGATCAGATTAAGCTCCGCGGCTTTCGAATCGACCTTGGAGAAGTTCAATGCACAATCTCTAATCTTGCCACTGAAGCCAAACACGTTACCCTAGTTGTGTCTAACGGTAATCTGATTGCCTTTATGACGCCTGAGAACATCGACGTCGAGAGCTTAACTAAAAGCCTGGAGTGGCACCTCCCGCATTACGCCGTCCCCCATCAAATCATCGCCCTTGCAAAACTCCCTACTTCGGCAAACAACAAGGTCGACTCACTTGCATTGCAAATGTACCTGAAAGATCGAAGAACTAGCGGTGTTACTGTCGAAGGACCTGAAACGGATACACAGCGAACTCTTGCAGCCATTTGGGCAGACGTGCTTAAGCGCGATCTAAACCAGATGCCTATCGGGCCCACTGACCGTTTCTTTGAACTCGGAGGACACTCCTTACTGCAGATCAAAGTCGCTCAAGCCATTTCCAAACACTGGGATATACGGCCATTACCGCTCCAGCATGTCATTCGCCACCATAGCCTTCGGGATCTGTCATTTGCCATCGATGAGCTCTCAAGTGATTCGACAAGCAAGGTGTCAACTACACCATTCCTTCAGACATCTCCGGTGCCAAGAGACGGCCAACTTCCTCTGTCGTACCTCGAAAAAGAAATGCTACTCAACCACCTCATATCTGGCGGCTCTCCGGCAGGAAACATGAACTTTGTCTGCAGTATTCGAGGCAATATCAACGCCGGGGTCTTGGCAGATGCGTTTCACAGAGTTACTGCAGATGTCGAAGTGTTTCGAACCAGGTATTCTGTTGTAGACGGCACTCTCTTCCGACAACAGGCTCCTACAACTAAGAATATTCCTTGTGTGGTCCAAACTGGCAACCTCGACTCATTTGTCCACCAGAAAATCACCAGATCTTTCGATCTGAGTACAGAACCGCCATTAGACGTCTCAATCATTATAGGGAACCCAGTGCAAACAATGCTGGTAATTGTCATGTCACACGTCGTCGGTGACGCAGTCACGATGGCAACTTATCTCAAACGAGTCTCTCAGACATATCATCTCCTAACTTCAAACGTCTTAGCGGCCAACCTCACGCCCACACCAGATGCCTTGGCCTATATTGACTGGGCGCAATGGGCTTCAGCACTCGAAGACAATCATCGTGCCCTCTCATTCTGGTCATCCTATCTTTCCAACCCCCCATCGCCGCTTACATTCGGCAATCCTTCCTTAGGAGCAGTAACGTACATGGGCCTTACTCGCTCCTGGACGCTTCCTTCCTCAATGCACCGCAGCTTATCTAAGCTTGCAGAGAAATCTACAGTAACGATGCATCAGCTCATCCTGGGAGCCGTATTTATTAGTCTGCAGTGTGTTGATCACCGAGACGACATCATCCTCGCAGCCCCTTTTACCCACCGCTCAGAGCCTGGCACTGAGTCGATCCCAGGCCTCTTCCTCGACCGACTCCTTCTCAGGGTTCAACGGCTTCCTGGCCAGAACTCCCTCTTCGGGTTCCTCTCCTCAATACGTGAAACTAGTCAGCAAGCTCTGGCACACATCATTCCCTACCAGTCCCTCTGCTCTCATCTTGGCCACAAACCAAGCCTCATCAACCCTCTCTTTAAAGTCATGGTAGCCTACCACATCGCCGCTGAACAGCAGTCCCTACTTGAGCTTCACGGCGCAGAAGTCCAGCCCATCCCGTGCCGTGAAACAGGCGGGTCCAAGTTCCCCTTAAAGGTTGAGTTCACCGAGACAGCAGTTGAAGATCTCCAGGTTGACCTGGAGTATGACTTGGGATGCATCAGTGAAGATATCGCCATGAGGCTTGAATTCGCCCTTTCTTTTACGTTACAGCTTATGGTTACTGAAAAGGATGTTGGGGATATTATTCAGCTGGTTGAGATGTCATTTCGTCCTGGTACAGAACATGGACAAGAGGAATCGGTCTCAGGGCAGACTAACGGAGAAAGTAAGACAGATTGTCTTATGGAAGTGACATGGCCTGTAATGAGCGTTGTGGGTGCAGTTTCTGAGTGTCTTGGACTCGAAGCCGAGGCAGTAAGCCCTGAGAAGTCATTTTGGGATCTGGGTGGTCAGAGCATGGATGCTCTGAAACTTCAACACCTATGCGAGAAGCGAGGAGTGCGGGTGGGACTACGGGATATCTTCATTTCCCGCAACATTGTAGAGCTATCAGCTTGCGCTGAGGCTATGTAGTGCAAGAGACAGGTTTAATTAAACATGGAGTTGCTTTGTCAATTTATCAATTATTGATAGTAACTTATGGTCGCCCTCATTTCACTAGCATTCTGGCGGCAAGGCTGAGACGGGATCATAATGATGTAAGAGCAACGAGAGATCTTTGAGCCGCCATGAAGCTGTTTCATCCTCTAATTGCTTCAGGTACATACATGGTGTATCATAAGAAGCCATAAGTCGCCATAGCAGGCTTTTAAAACGTTCAAGACAATAACGTCCCATTGGCTACCGTTTAAGTCCATATTCGTCTGAGACAGGGATCTAGAATCTATAATTGGCTAGTCTCGCTTCTTCGGAAGAAGTCCAGGCCAACTCGGAGGCCGAAAAGCGCATGGATAGACCTCCGAAACGTTGGGGCACGGAGGACGGCGGACACGGAGGGTTGCCTCTTGCCACCAAGGCTCAGCTGGGCTCATTATATGTCAGATCAGGGGAGCTGAGGGTGCCTAATGGAGAGTTACAAGGCAATACCATGCTTTCAAATTATATATAGACCTCGTACGAGCCCAAGGCCGAACGGATTTTAGGTCCGCCGCAGAAGCAAGTACACACTACAAACTATTCAGTCTTCGCTACACCCGCATTCAGAATGTCCCCCAGTGCCGAAGTGACAGTTTCTGTTCCCCCAAGCCTCAATGGCATCAACGGTGGCTACCCAGTCAAGACGCACAAGGCATTGCCCGATGGGCACTTTAACGCACAGGACAGTCTTGCTCTTGGACGTCTTGCTCCCTATGACGTCCTGACGGCTGCCCTTCCTCTACCAGCTCGGATTCCAGATACAGACTTCTGGTGGCGAGAAACCGGACCTCTTATGAGCAAGCTTTTCTCCAAAGCAAATTGCTCTCTTTACACACATTACCAAAATCTCATTCTATATCATACCCATATTGTTCCTTTACTGGGACCTCGGCCACCCATGGAGAATTCGGTGCAGGCGTCTACGAGAAATGCGCCATGGAGGTCCTTCCTGACGGATGACTTTTCTCCTCTGGAGCCAAGTTGGAACATGAGTGGCAACTCCTACTCACAGAGCACAATCCGTCTCGGAATTGAACCCGTGGGCTTTGAAGCCGGAACCGCTGCGGACCCCTTCAATCAAGCTGCCGTGACCCAGTTCATGCACTCACGCCAGGCTACTGAGTTGTGCGCCAACCTCGCTTTGTTCGAACACTTTCGCCACGATCTTTTCGTCGATCCACAATCTTATGCCGAGTTGAGAGCCAAAATCCCGGAAGGAGAGCATACCACGCAGAGCTTCCTAGCCTTCGATTTCGACGCAGGTCGAGTCACCACCAAGGCCTACTTCTTTCCCATTCTAGTATCTCTAAAGGCCGGACTGAGCACAACACAGGTGGTGTCAAATTCCATCATACGGCTGGCACTTAAGAGCGATGTATGGGGTGTACAAACCATCGCCGCCTTGTCGGTCATAGAGGCGTGGATGGCTGGCTACGGCGGCGCGGCAAAGACCGAAATGATCAGCGTTGATTGTGTGAATGAGGCACAATCACGCATTAAGGTCTATGTGCGCATGCCATACACTTCTCTGCGGAAGGTGAAGGAAGCATATTGTCTGGGTGGGCGCTTGACGGATAATAACACAGCCGAGGGCCTGCAACTGCTGGACAAGCTATGGAGGACTATCTTCGGAGTAGTTGAGGAGGACTTCGAACTGCCACAGAACACCCATCGTACAGCAGGGACAATCTTCAATTTCGAGCTGCGGCCGGGAAAATGGTTCCCCGAGCCCAAGGTATACTTACCCGTCCGACATTACTGCGAAAGCGATTTGCAGATCGCCAGTCGCCTACAAGTCTTCTTTGGAAAGCTCGGATGGCACGGTGTAGAGCGAGAGTATTCCAAGGACCTCCAAGACATGTTGTAAGTCATCTAGCATCTCCTATATAGACCTTTACAGACACTAACCTTGTCAGTCCTCACCACCCATTGTCCTCGTCAACAGGGACACATACATATCTCTCATTTTCATACAAACAAAAGGGGGTCTATATGACAATGTATTACAATCCCAGGGTATACGGCACGGAACAGAATGATCTGATTGATTCTGAGGAGTCATAAACGTACTGTCTTTTGAGTAGGGGCGTATTTGGTCAACTTGCTATTGAGTGGTATCATATCATTGATCTAGGTCATTTTCAGAAATACACTATGTTTGCTTTTGTAAAAAGTACCTTGCATCTGCAAAATATGAGGTAGACATCTGGAACATACTCAGAGCTCGCTGCAAGTGTGACCCTTAATAAGAGCTAGGATCTGTAGGGTCAAGGTTCCAAAATCCCTAGCCAACATCGTCAGCAACATGCTTCTTACCAAATGATCGAATCAACTCACCCAGTCAAAAGACGTGACAGGATCCTGCATGTCTATACTCCCAATTTCCGATAGATCAAGCAATGGGGTGTCTGTTGCGGATTCTCCCGATGCCGATAAACTTTGCGGGATTGCCAAAGGTGATGCAGTAGTTGATGACCATATTCCGGGGATAACTCCATTTCGAGGAAGGACAGTCTGGAATGGTGTTAAAGGGAGGTTCGCCGGTGCATTTTTGACAAGACAATTCGAGATGATACGATTGATGACTTTCCACATCTGCGTGGGTGCTCGTCCTCTCGTATCCATTGTCTTCTTCAAGACTTCTACTGCACGAGCCCGGAGTAGACTATGATTCGGCGCTTTGAATTCAGGTGTCTCAAGTTCCGAGACAATGTGCATGATAGATTGAAAACAGGCATGGCCACCAATATGCCATTGAAACCTCTGGGCATCTTGGTCATCCGGCATTGAGTTCAAACTCTCAATTAGGCTGACTGACTTTGCTAATACTCTAAGCGCCTTCGTTAACCATAGTAACAATACGTGAAGGGGACATGGGAGTTTCTGCATCGATATTGATGGTATCATACATACGTTTGTCTAATCTCAGGGGACACTGCGGCCTCCCTATATTGTTTTGGGGTTCTCAGCCAGAAGATGGACCAGCAGCGCCATTCAATAACCGCGGCAAGGCCAAGGGCCATTCGCTGCTGAGGAACCTGCGGATCGCAGTATTGCAGGTACTGGGTTTGAAGATGGGTGGCCATTTCATGTACCATGCTTCGAACCTCTTCAAATAAAGACTGAAGCTCTGCGATTGGATACAGATTGCCATTCCCGTTGAGAGCCGATGACTTGATTCTCCGCTCCAGCCTATAAGTGCTCCGAACTATTTTTCGGAAGCATTGGATGCCATTCAGCCGAATCAAGTGGCCTGTCATGTCGGTAAATCCGGGGGGCGAGTATGTCTCCGCACCGAGATGTACTCCTTCCACAAGATCGTCATCGCAGACGTTTCGTGGCAGCAACGTAGTGTAATCTTCGTCTGATATCGTGGGCTCCTGGCCTCGACCTTCTGAGGAGCGGAAATCAAGATGGCATATCTGGTGCCATAGCCTGCGGCGAGTTTCAACCTGTACAACATCCATATTGCTCGACGGGAATAACGATGGCTCTCTGTGAAGGCCTTGTGAGAGAGCCATTTTGACAGCGAGACCAAGGAGGGTCCAGGTTCTTGCCATGCCATCTTCCCGTGCTTGGCAAGTCTGTGGCTGGTTAGACACGACAGGGAATCACGACAGGGTTACTTTTAACTTACCAAAAGTAGTACAAATGCCTGGAGGACTTCAATACTTGGAGTTACTAAGAAGTTTTCTCTCCCCAACCCAAGTTCCACTCCTCTTTGGAACTGGGCGAGGAGTGTCTCCTTGTCTGCAACAAATTGTAGCATGACATTTTCCGCTGACAGGGTATTGATGGCTGAGTAGAATATAGCCAGCGCTAAGGGTTCAAAGGTATGAAGGGCTTGGTCCGGTCTCGGGGTTTCAGCCTCCTGGCGCCCTGGAGTTGAAGTGGTCGTACCATATGTATAGTTGATATACTGGGTGAATCGTCGCTGAAGCGTCGGTTTGTGGAACAATCTTGTCATTGGATCGACGTTGGAATAGAATATGTCAAGCAATGCCAAGCAGTTGTCAGCGGAATTAGGTGCAGAAGCCGCAAGGCTGTCCACAGTGGTAGCAGAAAACGGGAATGGGGGGGTTGCCTGGTCTGTTGGTGAGCTTTCCACTGGCTCGCCGCCAGATTCATCCCCAAGCAGCAGTTTAACATCATGGATCTAGTCTCCTTAGTATCAAAAACATGAATTCATGAGCGCAGACAGATTTACCTGATCAGCCAAGAGAGCGTAATGTAAAGATGAGACCCAGCGAGACTGGCCCTCCTCGGCCTCCAAGAGCAAAGCACCATCAAAACCATCGGTCGACAAAGTTTCGGCTCGCGGGTTTGGGGATGCGCCTTTTACCTGATCAATGTCACGGGAGGTTCCTGCGCTATATACTCTCATGTCAGACGATTGCGAGATACTGCTAATACTGGCGGTTGCCCGCTCTAGAAGTCGTTCCAGTCGTTCGAGGCGATTGCGTATCTCTTCTTGGTCCGTTCGCAGGTTGCTTCTCGAAATACGATTACCTTCCCGGGCGCGAGAAGGATTACACAGGGCAGGCTGTGGACTGGCGTAGATACAAGCGCGATTTCCCTTCTTGCATGGCGTGCAGGTGGGCTGCGTGTGATCACACTTGACCTTGCGACGGCGACATGTCAGGCACGCAGTAATTGTGCGCTGCCGGCCTTTCTGCATGCTATCGGCAGTGCTTGAGCGAGGGCTACTTATAGAGAGCCGTGAAGGGGGAGTTGTAGAATCCATGATATGAGGTTGTGACGTTGGATAAATGAAACACTAGGGGATAATAGGGAATGTAATGTAAGGAATGGTGCGTTTGTGGCCTCAGCGTTCGGGTAGTAACTTTCAGCTATGTATTGCCATTATGGGCTTGCGTCACGTGCACTCTGTTTATCTCACCAATCACACAAGTCTTATGTACCTGTGGATCCATTAGGTGTTCAACTTACATTCTCCCCTGTCACTGGCTTCTCCGTCAAGACCAGCATTGGCAGAGACGGAGCCATCCCAAAAGATTAGAGAAACCGACGTCAGTCACTCCCACTGTCTGATCTACAGGGGGATTTTTAAAATTCTTGGGACGAAGAAAAATATTCCTCCCCTGCTTCGGCCTCTGCGAGTGATGATACCTCGGGCGTAGAGTCTGAGGGGAGACTAAGTCGTACGGAAAGACGAAGAGACGGGCTTGTTAAAGCGTTAACTCTGGTTGGTCGGGTATCCTCAACAGTTTCATCTCCTCCCCCTTGTACCGTTTGGGTGATGAGAACAGCACGCTGTTCCTGGTTTGCCAATTCGTCAAGGAACGTGCCCCAAAACACAAAGTTGCCAGCATAGCACTGAGCTTCGAAAGAGGATATGAATCTCCAGTTCTGTATCAAGTGCAATACAAGAGCTTCATTGAGTGCATGCACACTCGGCTTGTCATTAGTGTTGTATTTAGCCACTTCGCGAATAAAGCTGTTGTTGTCTGAATAAATCTTGAGTGTCTCAGCCTGGAAACCCTTATCCCAAATGGGAACGATGTATCCAAGATCTACTGCCAGGCCCTCGCCGTTAGTATCGTAAGTGAGGTAGGGAGGATAATTGAGAGCTTTGAAGTCGAGCACGTGATCCATTTGCATTCCATCGCCCGCTACCTGAGTGCACGTTTGACTTTCCACTTTTTGAGCGCCTCCGGTGCAAGCAAAATCTCGGGTTCTAGGAAAGCAAAAGTTCAGTATATCTTTACTCCTAGGTTTTAAAGTATTAAAGGGTAATTTAAATATTGCGCTTGATTGTTCTGAGGACGTGGATGCGAGATATAGACAGCTATACCTACTGAGATGGTTCCAATCCACTCTCACGCCGTTCGATACGACGATGTACTCGGAATCAAATGCGTAGAGAAGCTCCATTGACGTGGATTTCTTGGCGCCATGGTGGGATGTCTTTATAGCTAGGCATTTTGTCGGTTTCCGGTGATTGTTGTTGGTCTCGTCGGGAACAGTCGACCACTTTAGAACCATCTGTTCAATGCCCTCACCAAATCACCCCCTAGGTAATGTGAAACATTGGCATTCGTCTGGTCAGGCCAGATCACCATGCACGCTATTGAAGACTGGCTCACGTTTGTGGTCTCAACACGCGGGATAACGCCCGGCATCGGGTGATCAGGGGGATCAAGGAAGCCGGCTTCTTGCTCAGCCCCATGCGGTGACTTCGTATCGGGATCAATGTCTTTTCCATCGGACCCTTTACGATCGAGAACAAGAGATTCCTGAGTCCCAGTCCATTCCCAATTCTTGAGGCCGGTGTAGGTGTAGCCACCGCAGATGGTGAGGTCGCCAATGATACAGAACAACGCCGGGCGTGCATCGAGGTTAGCGAGGTGAGCAAAAACATACTTGGGGCTCGTGATATCTACATGGCTGACTCGGTCTCCACAGGCCCGCCTGCCCGTAAAGAAGTTGTAGCCAAGAAGCAAGTCCACGTTGTCGTGAAGCTGGGCAAAGGGGTTGCTGAAGGCCAAAGTGTCGGGGCCTCGTTTGAATGTCTAGTACCTTTGTAGGCGTTTGTGGCGTCTTCCCCAGCGACTTCCAGTAGAACCTTTGCGCCGCTACTGTGGGTTCTCATATTAGCCTCCCACCGAAATCTGATAAAGAAAAAGAAGTTGATTAATCCGAGTAGGTCTAGATCGTCTCGCAATGCGGATGTAGAAGCCGAGGTATATCTCAAAGAAGCCAGCTAGACTAGTTATATTATGGGGCGTTATGTATAGCTTTAAGAGTGACTGACTAAGCGTTGGCTTGCAGGAAGCTTATCGATTCAGATAAGTACAAACTAAAATAATTATAATCCAAGGCCAAATTATCTCCTTAAAACATAGTAGCCACTTTTTCCGTTTGAAAATTTGTATCCCTTATTGCCACTTAAGCAGCCCGTTCATATTATAGCCCCCATACTTAAGTATACAAGCAGGGCAAGCAAGCTTATCCCCTACTAGATAAACCTCGTTTGTGTGCATAAGCTAAGTACGGGGCATTGGCCGGAGAATTAGCTCCATCTGACTAAGTCAGAACACTGGAATGTCCGATAACCATCGGGTTACTTCTGTATGGAAAAGGCTTGAGACACTAAACCGAATAAGCCAGAACCCCGTGATTTGTCCTGACTAAAAAGCTTCACCTTACACCCCGAACACGTACTCGGACAGTTATACTACAACCAGCTACTCATTCCATAGGATCGGCGGTGCCGCAGCAGCCATTACAGGATGCCAACTCCGCAAGTGAGATATAATTCAAATCATACTCAAACTTTATTAATACTAAATAACTTCACTCCAGGCTTTATATTGAGTGCTTCACCCTGTAATTTAGCTATTCTGGATGAGTTTAATCCTGCCTGCCAACAATTGTATTCGGTATTACTAATAGCCATTCACTTGTCCCGCTATGGCTACAGAGCTTGGAAACAGAGGTTCAGAGCTTGTAGTGGTTAACATCACCTTTCTCTCTATCGCTGTTATTACCTCCATGTTACGATGTTATGTTCGTTATTTCCTGGTCAAAGCATTTAGGAAGGATGATTGGCTGATGGTTGTTTCAACGGTATGTTAGCGTGCTTTTATGAATGATATCCCAGCCAAACTAATTGAACTTCTTCAGATCTTCTTCACTCTGTATGCTACTTTCTCCAGTGTTGGTGTTACCTACGGGACTGGTCGGCATCATGCCAATCTCAAGCCGGAACAGATCCATACGGCTATGATGGTAAGCCTAGATCTCAAGGTCATTTATCCCCAACTCTAACATACATAGTGCTGGTGGCTGTGTTACCTTTGGTACAGCCTCGCCATGATATCCTGCAAACTGTCAATTGGCTACTTTTTACTCAGAGTTATAAATACCAAGCTGCAAATGTGGATTATCTATATTACTATGTTTTCTACCGCATTCTCAGGGGCCCTCTTTTTTTTCATTACTTTATTCCAATGCTATCCGGTATCATTCTTCTGGAACAAAGACCAACCAGGCACATGCATTAAGATCGATATTGTTATTGCACTGGCAACGCTCTATAGCAGTCTAGCTGTTATTTCCGATTTTGTTTTGGCACTGCTTCCTGGATTTATTATTTGGAATTTGCAGATGCATAGAGGGACAAAATACTCATTGATTCCTCTCCTTGCAATGGGTTGCGTGTAAGTCCAAATCTTCTAATAGCTTTCTACCTGGGGCCTATGCTGTAACTATACTAACCCTAGATGCAGTGCAAGCGCCGCTGTTATTGCTCGTTTTCCATACCTACCCCTGCTCAGGAAGCCTGACTTCTTATGTAAGTAAAGGCTACACCCTATGGCACTATATAGCCGACTTATAAAGCATTATCAGGGAATACATTAGATGTCGCAATCTGGTCAACCGTTGAGCAAGGGCTGGCTATCACAGCCAGCAGCTTAGCAACATTACGACCACTACTGAAAGTAGCGGCATTCCGTCTGAATATCACTACGCCGACATCTCCTGGCCAAACAGGACCTAGGTTCTCAATGCCTGCCCTCAGACCTAGACCCTGCAATAGCTTCTCTGGTGGCGAAGCTTATACACTCTCATCTGTCAGTCGTCCAGAACCTGCATACCAAAGAAAGTCTGGTTTTAGGTCTTCCCTCCTAAGCGATCTAAAAGGTGGCATTCAGAGAGAAATTCAGTGGGAAGTCAAGATATCACATAATATTGGCAATGAAAGCGAGGAAGAACTACATCCGCCAGAGCCTTGGAAAACTAATATTATTCAATAAATAGACTATACAATAGCAAGGTGCTCTTTAATAATTACCAAATAGTAATTGAGTAGGAAATCTTCAACGAGTATAGCTTTGACTTGATTTTTAAACTTAGTTAAATATTTTACTTTACTTTATTATTATTATCTCTATATATATCTATAGAGAGAGGAGGGTAAATAGACCAATCTTATATGATATATTATAATCTATCAATAATGAGTCCGGTAGCACCTTTAAAAAAGAGGTCTAGCCATCCCAATAAAATCCACAGAAATACCAAGTGTTTTGAATTTACCTATAATAATCCTACATGCCATTAGTAGCTATAGCTATGAAATGCCTGTGCGTATGCTATTTCTGCCATTGTCATACTAAGTCTTACTAGAAGGATTTCTGACTACTTTTTTAAAACACAAGACTTCAGGAGCAGTCATATCAAAATATTATTCAGCTTGCGAATCTTATTGGACTGGATCTATTTATACCGCAGGACCTTTTTGGTATGCTTACAAAACTGCTGTAGAATGATGACAGGATTTATATACGAGAGGATTACTATGTAACGCCTAAAGGATTTTGCTGACACTTTTTTAGAAAACCGTGGCTGAGCTTTCTGACCGAGTAAGCGTAAAGGTACAGTGATTGGTATCAAGGGATAAACCTTTTGATATTATTGGAGGCAAGATAACTGGGAATAGAGTATAAGATCTGTATCTTTTCTTGTAAATAACAAGATTAACCAGACAACTTAAGCCCTAACACTTTAATTCATTTGAACATACTCAACTTCAAGATGCGTTTCTTCATTCTTTCTCTCCTATCCCTGTTGACAATTCTCTCTACCAGTAATGCTTTAGCTACTGGTAGAAGTGACCTACAACACGCTGGCAGCTACGATGGCCAGGCTGATACTAATCATGATGGGTATTTGTCACCTGAGGAGATTAAAAATGCTGCCGATCTCTCGAAAATCTACGAAACTCATTTCATGAACGCAAAAGCAATGGGAGACGTAAACCTCACTTTAGTGATCGAGGATTATAACCAGATTCCCTGGAGCGAGAACGAGATGAATAAACTCGCAGCAGTGGCTGGCACACTTCGATCTACTCAGATGCTAGCTGAACGATCTCTTAATAAGAGATGCAGTCCTGCTAAGTGTGCCCAAACTTGCAAGCCACTTTTCATCGTTTTTACTCTGTAAGTTATCCAGCGCAAGAAATCAGAAGCCTTATCCAATACTGATTATTCATAGCTGTTTTCTCGGTTGTCTTGCAGTTTCAGGTCCCGACTGTGATAAATAAGCTTTGCTGTTTAGTGATCTTATTACCACCCTTAAATCTATTCATGTCTCAAAGCATAGTAGGAGCAGGTTTGGAATAGGTATTGGAAACTTTTTGGGACGACACACACTCATTCTCGCTGTGGTATTATCACTCCTTTGTACCTAGTCTTATGTCCTTGGTTTTTATATGTTATCGCACTATATTATTCAATGTTGTCTCATGAAATCTGGCTGTTATATATGGATTTCAGAATATCTATTCGATCTATCAGTTTAATATCGAACGATTTTGATCTAACTTACCTACTAGTCTGTTCCTGGTTACAGGATCTTATGGAATCTACAATATGATAGCACCATTTATATCGTCTAGGTACTCAGCTCCCCTGGTCGATATGACTGTAGTTCTTCCCGAAGGATCAGCCGATATTGCAGCCACAGATTCAGGCAAGACATACCACCTCAAAGTTGGCGATATCCCAAGTCATGCTAAGTATCTCTATCTCAAGAGGCATGTTAATAGTCCCTCTCTAAATGAATTCCAGACAGTCTAGCATGCTACTGCTCTTGAGGGCACTAAGTGTAAATAAGTTATATAATGGCAATATAAATAACAACACTATAAGCTAGACAACACACACATATGACAAGCCAGGAAAGGGATCCCAAATAGCTACTGAGCTAGCACTCACACATAACACTAGATCCAAAGGCATATTACAGGTCGGTCTACAGAGAAGTGGGCATGGACTCCCGTAAGCTGTAGCCGACGGTTCGATGTATGGCAAACCGCACCCACTATTATGCCTTGCGGGTTTGTTGTAGGACAATTGGAAATCAACGTCATTTTGAGTTCGATTGTCGTGTCTCTGCGGACGCTAGTCCGGTTTCAGCACACTGTTTTTGGGAGTGATGGTGCACTTATGGTTAAGGGGTATGTGAGTACGCAATTGACTTTATAGGTATCACTGCTAATTGGTTATCTCCAGACTCTTTTCACTTGTCTTGTTGGGGATATTTGTCAAGCCGTGTACTATCGACGGCCAGCACAAGTCCTTCGACTGTTCCCGTTCCTGGCCGCCTTACATAACGATCAGTAAGAAGCAGTGGTAAAGCTGTGGGTTACGAGGTTAAGGAGATTTGCGATCTCGAAGTCATACCTGGAATTAGGTTCATCTAATATTCATGTAATATCTAAAGTATTATAGTATAGCTTAGAGCTTCAAACAAACAATCCTTCCATGTGGGTGTGTTTATGCAATAATAAAGTTCCAATCCTTGTTATGCGGTTAATCTAATGGGCTGCGGTCATTTGTGGGCCTTAATCCACACTTCGCCGCCGCTTGCGACGGAGCTCCGTAAGCTGTTATCCATATTAGTCCGCTATACCAACGCAGTGGATTAGCCCATTCACAAATCTAGCAGTATTTAGTGACTTAGCAAGTATAAAATAAGACTCGAGTCGGCATGGGAGATTTTCAAATCAGTTCTTATTTCATCCTATCATTGACATTCCCCGGAACATTCCTTCTGCCACTTCACACAATCATGTCCGACAGCTATAAAATACCCCTATTTACATATGAGCCTATTCCACTGACGGCACGGCTCCATGCGCATGTCTACGGGGCAATCAATCCCTCTCGGTCCTGCCTTTCCCAAGCTGGTAAGACAGTGCTTATCACAGGGGGGTCCGATGGCATTGGCTTCGCCATCGCCAAGAACTTTAGTTTCGCTCAAGCGGATAGAGTGATCATAACTGGAAGAACCAGCGAAAAACTTGATGCAGCAGTAGACAAACTCTTTCGGGAGCATAAGGCGAGTCAGAATTATTGCACCCCGACAAAGTTCGAGGGAAGACTGTGCCATTTGCCAGACACGAATAGCATCAATTGTCTATTTGATGAGCTGGCTGTCGATGGCGTGCACGTGGATGTTCTAGTGTTGAATGCCGCTCTAAATGTAGCTGGGACGCTATCGGAGCAAGGCTGGGAGAAGACATGGGAGCAGTTCGTGGTCAACACTCGTTCGCTTCATCAATTGCACGATCGGTTACGTCAACAAGAGACGCAACAAGAAAGAAGAGTGAGTGCTTTCATCAGCTGTCAGAGTGTTACTGACCCTCTCTGCGAATCTAGTATTCCATCGTCAATGTCTCATCAGGCGCAATCCACGACTTTGGCAGTCCAAAAGACCTATCATCTTATTCCTTAACCAAAGCCGCAGGGACACTATTGTTGCAGAAGCTCGCCGATGAGAGTAACCCACAGCAAACTCAAATCATTAGCTTCCATCCTGGTGCTATCTTTACAGCTCAAACCAGGGACAAGGGTATGACAGAAGATTCGATGAATTGGGACGATGGTAAGTTGAGACGTGATTGATAGCGTCCGAGTATTAATGAATATTGACAAAACCAAGTAAGCCTCCCCGGCGCGTTCGCAGTCTGGTGTGCTTCTCCAGAAGCTTTGTTCCTGCATGGTCGATTTGTGTGGGCAGCTTGGGATGTTGACGAACTAAAGAGTGGGCCAGTCAGGAGGAAACTTGAGAAAGATGTCAATTTTCTCCGTATTGGCGTGCATGGGTTGTAGTTAAGGGCTAAATATACTCCATACCATGTCTTGGTGTTAAGTCATTTACCGCAGATGCATATCACCCCATCTCTTTAGGGCTCGTCCATCATGACTGAGCCACTCATTCAAATCCTCAAAACCCTTCCCCGCAACCCGCAGCAAGACACCTATATCATCTAAGTCGCTCGGGGACGCCTGTTCTAGGTCGGTATCTAGTCGCAACAGGTTGGTAGTGAGCAAAGGAGAGCTAGTGTCGTCACGTATAAGCCGCCACTCGACAGCGGACTTGGCCTCCCAGAGGCGCTTCTGGGCAGTGAACCAAAGATCGTGATGGCATTGTACACCAATGGGCCAGAGTCCTCGAAGATAGGTGTAGGTCCCGGTGACAAGCTCTGTGCATATTAGTGTCCGACGGATGGCTTCTTGCTTCACCCATGATTCCCAAGTCATACTTGTAAGCTCGTTGCTGTTATCAGATGATTGAAATATTTGCAACCGTACTGCCCACAATTGAAGCACAATATTATCTCTCTCAGCCTGGGTCTGCTGACTTATGTTGCTTGGGTTGAACAATCGGATGCACTGATAAACAAGCAATGCCTGTAACGAGCTTAGATTGTCATGCTCAGTCACATCACTTCCAATAGGCTCTGCTTGCATAGCTTCAATGAGCTGCAAAGCGCGTTGTGCAATCTCCGCATTTATAAACCTTGCATTAGGAGGATTTCGGATAGCATGAAGGGCACTTGTAGCAAAGGTGTCCCGCAGGATGTTTGAGGCTAGAGTCTGCGAAGGGTGAATGAAGACATTAAAGCCCATTTTTGCAAGTGAAGTCGATTGCATAGATAATAACTGAGCGCAAAATTCTGCACGTGCGATGAAGTCCTCAAGTATCCTTGCTTCTTGCAAAGGAGATGCTGTGGAGTAGACTTGTATGCCACAAGGTTGCGCAAGGCTGATCTCATCATCAATTGGCGGTATGATTAATGACGTGGATGATGGAGAATGGGGAGTGGGAGTGGGAGTCGACACGGCTGTGAACTTAGGATAAGAGCATTCTGTGTCTTTGGCTATGCACCGGTTGCATCGAGGAAGACTGAGATTGCACCGGCGCTTGGCATGCGCACAAGCGCTACATGATTTTCGCCGCAAAGACTGACGCATCAAGCAACTTTAAAATACTGATACTGTAATGTATCGAAACTGTTTAATTGATAATAATTGTGTGGTTAATCAAGGTCAGGGATGTTAATGAAGTTAATCCACTTTTGACCGCAGCGGAGTGGAAATGGAATTATGCCTCAGGCATTTAATTCATGTGTGACTTTTAGGCTCCCTTACCATTGGTTCGAGCCAGGGGGGATAATCTTGCGGCAGACGATCTTCGACCAGAAATGGTTAGTGTGGCGATGGGGTGATTAAAGCCCGACCTTTCGTAAACACACATGAAGTCTTTCATATCAAGAGCAACAGCGGTCATAACATCGTAGATCTCGGCTTAGATATTGACATTGAAGTTGATCTCTCGCCCTTCGTCCAATGTAATAAAAATCCGGAAGACCAAGCTGAGTATGTTTTTACTGCCTCCATTCCTTATGTCGAAACCGAATGTCACAAGGCACGGCCATGGGATTGACTGAGCATACCCGATTATGCTAGCTGCGCTATTGTATTTAACAAGCTAGCCGCACGCTAAAACCGTGCTTACAATACAAGGCTCCTACAACCTCTTCAAATGCTCAATTCGGTGAACGTAGCTGGTAATTACACCGAACCTTGAAAATGAACGTGGGTCTGACAATCCAATTTTAACACTTTCTTGGATTCCAAGTGCGGGTCCGGGGGTGAAGAGACCAAGCAAATAGCAACGGCAACAATATGTGCGTCTCTGCGTATTCAATGGCTTAAACGGGATATTTCTATATGGTGAAGGTTTGAGACACCAAACTAAACAAGCCAGAACCCTTTATTATTATTACATCTATATATTTATACAGAGAGGAGGGTAAGTGAAATAATCTTATGTCATATATTACAATTTAAACATATGATTAGTTTGATAATGTTACAATTCCTAACAAGTAACCAGCAACATAGGACTTTACTTTTATTCATTCTCACACACTAATCGGACTTGTCGGACGTTCTGTTTTCAGTTTACGGAGGAAGCATGTCCGTACTATACCACCACTATTATCATTTCTACACCTATTAGAATAGAGAGATAGTATCCCCTACATAATGCCTCGTGGAAAAAGTTTTGTTATTGTTTCATTCGGATTGAAGTAGCAGGGAATCGCATTTAATTATTCCACCAATTGAGTGGACCTGTCAGTTACCCTACACCTATACGCAAACAGATTCAGCCTACAGGCAGCTTTAATTCGAGGAATTTAGTTATATCACCAAGACGATTTTTCAGGTATAAATTAAGCTTGAAACCTAATGCCGCCTTTAGTATCTGTGAGCCTAGAACAATTTACAAATAGTAGTTTACCCCAGGAACTTCGAAATTGAGCTCCCTTTCACACTTGTTTGTATTTTTCAATTTACAATTATTATGAGATTGTTTTCACTGATTCTGCTTTCCAGCCTTGCTGTTGCGGCTCCTAGCCCTATTCTGCATGCTAGAGCAGCAGTAAATGACCCGTGCAATATCGGATATTGCACTCAGAATGGAGGGTATGTTAACATCTAGTGCATATTGGCCTTGACATTCTTTGACTAGTCTACGCAGGACAACCGGAGGTGGCAGTGCCAAACAGGTCACCGTCAAGACCCTCACTGAATTAGCTACCGCTGCCAATGCAGATGGCGCTTCAGTCATCCTGGTTGAAGGCAATATCTCAGGTGCCGCCAAGGTTCAGGTTGGATCTGATAAGTCTATCATCGGCAAGGCTGGCAGTTGTATGTTGATAAATGTTTCTGGAATTCTTCATAAGTAACCATATCACAGCCCTCACCGGTATCGGTCTTACAATTCTCAACCAGAAGAATGTCATCATCCGAAACATGAAGATTTCCAAGGTTGAGGCTGACTACGGTGATGCGATCACCATCCAAACGTCGACCAATGTGTGGGTTGATCACTGCGATCTCTCTGCATCAAGAGATGGCGATAAAGACTTCTACGACGGTCTAGTTGATTTGTCGCACGCTGCTGATTGGGTGACCATCTCGCACACTTTCTTTCATGACCATGTATGTGTTTCTCATTCCGATGCATGAGGATGCTAACTGTTGTCATAGTCCAAGGGCTCGCTGGTCGGTCGCTCTGACAAGGACGTCGCTGAGGATACTGGCAAGTTGCATGTAACATATGCCAACAACTACTTCAACAACGTTCGAAGCCGCGGTCCTCTTCTCCGATTTGGCACAGCGCATATCATCAAGTTAGTAGCCAACCTGTGAATACTCTCAGATAACTAATCCCCGACTTCCTTAGTCAGTACTATGACACCATGGATACGGGTCTCAACAGCCGCATGGGTGCTCAGGCCCTTATTCAATCTTCTGTCTTTACAAACGTCGGAAAGAAGGCTATCTTCAGCGAGTCAAGCGCTGAAATCGGCTACGTCGTTGCTGAAGATGTTGTCCTTAGTGGAGAGAGTCAGAACACGGCTGCCAAGGGTACTCTGACTCCAAGCAAGATCCCTTACAAGTTTACCCTGCTCGGCTCTAGCAAAGTTGCTTCAACAGTTCCTGGGGAGGCAGGCCAAAAGCTAAGCTTTTAGTTTTTTAGATAACAGATTCAGCCGCCAACTTCAGACACGGCAACCAGGTACATCATTAAGTATTTAGCGTACGTACAGTTCTTTAGTATGTTAGATAAGCACCGCTTCTGCAAATAACTCTCCAATAATAACAACATTGCGTGAATTTGCGTGAGTTTCGGTATGTACATCCAGGGACGATTGAAGGCCCTTTCTACATTATTAGCGGGCTGGATATGTAAGAATGACCTCAAATGTGTGAGGAAAAAGACTTTACTGTTAGAAATTCACAATGTCTTTAATTTAAGTTGTTCATAGACTTATAGCAATATGGAAGACTTGCTCTTATTATTGCTAAGTGTACTATAACCACAGGCCTCTGTAAACCCTGTCTCTGTTTTGTCCGTTTTAGATTGAGTATGTGAGAAATCGTGTTAACTCGGATGTCCAGCTGCGTACGGGGTCATCGAGAGCCAATCCGAGACCATGTGGACCATCTGGTAAGATCAAAATCTCAGCTTTTCTCTTATGGGCTGCCATAGCTTCAGCAAACATGAGAGTGTTTTGTACTGGAACAGCTTGATCGTTGAAGGTGTGGAATAGAAATGTCTTGGGCGTTGTATCAGAGACCAGGTTCTGCGCTGATAAATCGTGTAGCTCCTGGGCCGTCGCATTAGGCCCAATGAGATTGTCGCGAGAACCAACATGCGTATAGTTGCCTTCTAAGGTGATTACAGGATACGCGAGAATGCCAAAGTCTAGGCTGGCCTTGGGATTGGTAAGGGTTGTGGATGCAAGGTGACCGCCTGCTGAAAAGCCCCAAATTCCCAGCTTCTGTATTCTGGGGTTATCATGGCGAATCTGCTCAATAGCAGCGAAGACCTCATTCTCAGGCTTCGGGAAAATAGGTGTAGTGGCATTAGATGCCGTGGTATAATCGAGAACCCATGCATCAATGTTAAGCTTATTAAGGTATGCCGCTGGATTGTAACCTTCCTTGACAATAGAGACATGGTTATAACCACCACCGGGGCAGATCAGAACTCCAGTGCCTGTGGAATTGGCCACTAGGAAAGCTGAAAGCTTTGCGATATCGAGTCTAGCGAGTCGGTAAGTTTCAATAACATAAGGGGACTACCATAACATAGAGGGATAGGATAGGTACTGAACTAACTTCATAGTGTCTCTATCCGAGATAAATACAACTGTAAATATTGAGTTCATTAGATTAACTGAAAGTTATCTATTAACAGTAGAGCACATTAAGATATATATCCTATAAGCTGTAGATCACTTTGGGGGTGGGTTTAATTTTGGGGTTCTATTCTTACTTACCCCGCGATATCAAAGCCTAACGTCAGTACCCTTGTGACAAACTTCACTTCTATTCGTCCGGCTATCCTTTTACAGTTTAGATAAAATTATACAATTGCGTAAGTCCACGAATAAATGATTGAGAACTTGTGCTAGTCTTCGGATAATTGGAGGAAGATTATGGGGTAAAAATACTACGTATCAACCAAATTCATTAGCTCACAGCTGGTCCTTTCCTAATTTAGCATAAGATCCTCGATTTAAAGCAAGGTATTAAAATCCGTGGCACAAAGACAATGTAGGCCCTTTCTGGCATAAATAAGCTCTTGAAGCCCACTTTCTCAATCTAAGGCTATGATGGCGAACTTGGAGCTTCTCGGCTGAGCAGGTAACACAAAAGGCCAAATATAAAGATCCCACATCAGACCTTGTCAACCCAGCTCAAGCAATTCTATAACAGGTTAGGTAATGCCTCAACCGCTAGATATAATAATATACTGGGGTTGTAATTCGGTATTAATAAGGGGCAGCCTCTACGTAAGCCGAAAAGACATCTACGCGCCTATAGTGAGAGGTTAAGAGTGTCATCCGTCTCAAATCATAGACTGAGATCGTGTAGATTGCAGCCCCAAGAATGATATACACCAGAACTCATTGCTTAAGATGTAGGTGTGTGGAAATGGACATTGTCATGCTTGATAGGCTCTTCGTCGACTGTAAGAGACTTGTAACCTCGGGTTGAGTGTCGGGGCCAAACTGAAGCAAATCCATAAGGTGATGTAAAAAACGAGGTTACAGACGCAGAACGGAAAGGTGCAAGACAACTAAAGCACGCCGTAGGTAAGACATACGTCCTGTCTAATGTTTGGGCCACTCCGTGCCAAGAATCCAGACGTATCAGAGAGGAGCAGAAAACGGAAGCTGGAAGGCCTAAAGTCAAGGATAAATTGGATATTCCGAGGGCAAGCAATTGAAGGACAACCAAGTCGCGGCCATGTTCAGTTCATGGCTCGAAGGAAGGACTCAGACACACATGGTTTGTCACAGGTCCATGTATAACGTCAAATAGGATTCCAAGAACGAACCAGACAAGGTACCGGCCGCCAAGTTTTGCACTCAGCTGAACATCAACCTGCCACTCGCTGTTGGCACGACACCGCTGGTTGCCATGACAACCTATTCGCGAGCTCATACATGTCTTTCGTCTAAAAGCACTGATGACAAAGAGGTCACTGTTCCTCGATTGGACAAGTGGATCACGGAACTCGAACGACACTTTCTGTCCAGAGATGACGGCGTCGAGACACAGAATCAGGCTTCTGACATGCTTTATGAACTTTGCACGCAGCGAGGGCGGCTGGGCTAGAAGGCTGAATCGCCTGGTTGTCCTGGAGGTACACCTTCAGATCTCATAGTTAGACTACGCGAGCTGAACATCAAGCAGAAATTTCGGAGTGCCATCAAACTGGCAATCAGTAGAGTTCATAGAGACATGTTTGCTATATGGTGGAAATGCGTCATGGATGATACTGCCGACGAGGCGTTCACAGACAAGGCTCGAACACTAAAGTCAAAGTTCGACGACTTGAAGCTGAAGAAAACTGCTTCCGAAGAGGCTATAAAAGGTTGTTTGATGAAAAGAAGGTGAGATAATACCCAGCTATGGTTCCCTTATTCCTTAAATGGGAGGTTGAATATCATCACATCCTATTCCAGAGCTGGGATCAGGCTAAGGCGACGAGTTGCTCTTCGAATCTGCCGTAGCTGAGATGTATAATCCCTGGCGACACAGTCGTCCAAGAGAACGAGCCGCCCAAGGGGAAGAAACTGCCGGCAGACAAGAGCCAGACAAGTAACGAATTCAATGACGCGTCCTGATACTACCGCAGCCAAGTTTCTCGCTTGGTGCCAAGATCGAACAGCTCTTTGGGGCAAACTCCACAGATCATTCTAGATCATTCGAATGGCTATCTCAGTCCTGAAAGCCGTGCGTTACTACAGAAGGAAATTTACAAGCTCGCAGTCCTCTCAGCTCCTTTGGCTGGCTTTTCAGCCCATCTCATAATAGTCCTGCAGGGGGATCTTTACTTTAGATTTCAACTTTATCAACCCCAGACTTTCTAAATCTATCAGTAATATCAACAATAATCAAACCCAGTATACGTAATGTGGAGACCAACAACCTGGATTCTATCAAGGAGGTTTTACGTCCAAAGGCTGGCTTTGATAACATGAAGATGCAAGCCATTAATGTTAAGACCAGCAGCATGCATTTCGGAAGATCAATACAATCTCCAGTCAGGACCAAGAATACTCTATGCAGCCCTACAGGTAAAGACTAAAGGAATACTAGCCACTACGTCAAGTAATAAGTAGGTATTAACTGGAAATAGAATAACATAAGTAATAAGAGTTATATTAACCAGATTTAACAGGACTGTATTCCGAGGTACATGGTTCTAAAGCTTAAATTTAACTATATGCCAATTTAGCAGAAGTTCTAATATGTACTTAGCTTACCCCGCCTTTTAGGCTTGAGTCCGTGGAGACATTTGTATCTCTCCTCTCTGTACTCCGTAATTGAATACTAAATTCCAAGTTTTCACGATTAGCACCTTGCCCAAGTGGATAAAAGATCGGCATTTCGTGGAGAGTTCGGGGTATCCTTACCCGAATGTAACATGCAGAATCTTTTAAAGGAACGATTATTCCCTCGATTTTGAATTGTTAACCCAGTCAAAGCTTTACGACATGATGAACAAGACTCTTGCGATTGCAATTAGTGCAATTGTCTTTATCAGGCCTGCACTAGCGGCCTATGGCAAAGACTTTACATCCTTCGTCAACCCTTTTCTAGGCACTGAAGGCCCAACTCCAGGATCAGCATACCAAGGCGGAAACGTGTTCCCGGGAGCTACACTTCCGTTTGGGGCTGTAAAAGTCGGCATCGACACTACGCGATGGGACACTAGATATCAGGCAAACGCAGGCTATACGCCTGAAGGTAACGTCACTGCCATCACAATGCTACACGTCAGTGGGACAGGAGGAGCTCCTACCTATGGTTTAATTCCTCAGATGCCCCTCACGTCAATTGAGGGCGTAAATGTGCTCGACAACTTGACCTATATGCAGGAACGGGTAGTCCACGATGTTGCCGAGGTCGGGTACTATAAGACAGAATTGAAAAATGGTATCACGGCGGAGGTAAGCGCCAGCCACCACACAGGCATCATGAGATACAGGTTCCCAGAGAATGTGGGCAGGCATATACTTGTTGACATCAGCCACTATCTTCCGACAAGAGGCAAGGAAACGCAATGGTATAGCAACGGGCGACTGGATCGAAGTCCAGATATGACTTGGTATAGTGGCTATGGTGTCTACAGAGAAGGTTGGGCTCTTGGTAAGTACAAAGGGGGCGTTGCAATTGAGCTTGCATACTGAACTTTATAGGTGGAGATTTCAAGGTCTATTTCTGTGGAAGATTCAACGCTACCCCTTCCGATGTCCAGCTTTTCTCAGGCAAATACACTGATCCATACTGGCCGAACACAACCGATGTCAAGCCCACTTTCACCAGGGATGAAGAGATAATAGGCGGTGTTGACGGATACCAATACGCCGATAGGATTGGTGCACTATTCACTTTTCCCTCTAACGTTTCCTCCCTCACTTCCAAAGTGGGAGTTTCATGGATCTCGTCCGACAAGGCATGTCAATTCATCGACGATGAGATAGCGCACTGGGACCTCAACAAAACTGTCACTCAAGCCAAGGACAACTGGAACCATGAGGTTCTCTCCAAGATCGACGTCCAGTCGCAAAACCCAACCCGGCTCAAGATGTTTTACACGGCTTTATACCACTCATTCCTAATGCCCTCTGATCGAACCGGAGAAAACCCTTATTGGATCTCCGATGAGCCCTACTACGATGACTATTACACTCTCTGGGACACGTTCAGATGTACTCATGCGCTCATATCCCTTCTCAATCCTCGGCGACAGATCGATATTAGTACGTACTGTATATTTCCGACACCTCACCAGCACTAACAACGTTATCAGTAAGGAGCATGATTGACATCTGGCGACATGAACGTTTTATGCCAGAGGGCCGTAGCCATAACCACAACGGTCGTGTTCAAGGAGGATCCAACTCAGATAACATCCTTGCAGACGCTTACGTTAAGAATCTCGATCGCGATAAGCTCATAAATTGGACGGACGGCTATGCCGCTATGCGAACAAATGCCGAGCTGCAGCCATACAACAACTTTGACTTTAACGACCCGACAGGAAGTACAAAAGAGGGAAGAAGCGCCTTGGATGACTGGAAGAACTATGGCTATGTCAGCACAAACTATGGCAGAAGCGTGAGTAAGACTGTTGAGTACTCGTTGAACGACTTTGCACTCTCACAAGTTGCCAAGGGTGAACTACCAGCGGATACTGCGAAATATCTCAATCGATCAAGGTAGGTCAAGAGGATCTGAATGCTTGAACACAAGGAGGTTAACCATATTTAGGGGATGGCAACATATTTGGCGCCAAGACGTACGGTCTCAAAACTTCAGTGGCTTCCTCGCTCCCTTACATTCGAATGGCACTCTTCAGGAACCTTATGATCCACTGTCCTGTGGAGAATGTAACTGGCAGTCAATCTCTTATGAAGGAACGCCATGGGAGTACTCTTTTGGTGTTCCACACGACATGGTCACCCTCATCAAGCTCATGGGTGGTCCAAAGACTTTTGAGCAAAGACTAGATACAAGCTTCATACCAGGGCTTGGGGCCGAAGACCAGGGTAACAATGGCATTGGTTCCATGATATACAATCCAGGTAACGAGCCAAGTTTCATGACGCCGTTTCTCTACAACTATCTACCAGGAAAGCAGTGGAAGAGTGTCATGAGGAGCAAGTCTATAATAGACGAATTTTACAACGCCGAATCAAGTGGTATTCCTGGAAACGACGACGCAGGCAGCCTGAGTAGCTGGCTTGTCTGGAACATGATTGGTTTGTACCCAGTTGTAACGCAACCAGTCTATCTTATTTTAGCACCTCGATTTGAGGATATATCCGTCCAATTGGGTGGAGCGGGGAACACCCTACGCATCACGGCTGCGGGTTTCGATAAGGGACCCTATGTGCAGAAGTTGAAAGTCAATGGAAATCCATGGAGGAAGAGCTGGATTAGCCACGAACTGTTGGTGAGCAAAGATGGGAAGGAAAGTCGCCTGGAGTTCACAATGGGAGCTCAGCCAGTAAAATGGGACTACGGAGAACTACCACCTAGTCCAGGCACTTGATGATAGATGAAAGTCCTGGTAGCGGAGGTGGTTCGCTCAGGAGCCTGAGTGGTAGTCTTGCCACCGGCACCAGACTTGCACTCATTGTCAACACAGTTGACGCACTTTGGACCCACCACTCCTTATCAACACCGACGTTACTTGCCTCCCGGGTCTCCCCTTGGGTGAGGATATTGTTGGAGCTGTAACACTTGCGCCAGAAGTAACTCATTGCAGCTGACTTACATGGCCATACACTTTTCAGGCTACGTGGCCTTCCCTGTCCACCAATCCTGACCATAGAACCTATAGAGGTTGCCCTGAAAGCGGCCGTAAATTTGATAGTTCCAGTCTTTATGGTCGGGCCAATCCCCTCTTTGAGCGCATGTTGTTGTTAGAGAAGCAGTTTCTGTGACCTCAGCTGACTTGGTTGTTATAAATCGCTTGGGTACTTGAGTGGTGGATGCAATGGCATGCGCAGATGTCTCAAGGGAGCCAGACTCGTACTGGGAGTATGTGAAGCACTTCTCGACCGCGTACTAATTAACTTCAATATTATCGTTCACTTACTCGTGGACGTCAGACTGAGAGATATCACTGGTGGAGAAGAAGCATTGAGCCGAGTTGAACTTGTAACCAGCTGATTTGCAACCAGGCATGGCTTTGCAGATTGTGGCATATTTGCCGGCATTGCGATGGTAGGTTTAATGTTGGGGTCTTGACTTGACATTGGAAACAGTTCCTTATGACTTTACTGTGGAGCGCAATGTTTACTGAAATAATATTATCTCTATTAGTAATATGGTAGGGCTATACTCCCTACAGCTCTCTTAATTATGTACCATCGTGTAGTACGCTTATATAAAGCGGTTAGAGCTCTAGTTATGGGATTAAACTTTCCTTGTCAACCAAACTAGTAGTCCGGCAACGAGTGAGTAAGATGCCTAATTTATGTTAGCCTGCCTCATATCCTCTCAAGTAGAATAATAGCCTCCGCATACCACTGATATAATAAACGGGCGCCCGTCTGGTGCATTTGGAGAGTGCATAATTGAAGCCCCGACAAGACTACCAATAGTCTCCGTAACAGAAATGCCAGCAAATAGCCGCCCAGAAAAGGTGTCTTCGATGTTTGAAGTAACAAAAGATCGTAGGGCCACAGACATAACTGATCCAGAAAGAGTTATAACAAACGCAACGACAACAATCACAAAATTTGGAGCCAACAAGGCGAGAAGGGTACCAACCGCAGCGAGGATTATACCAGATGCGGACAGTATGAGATCCCTCTTTGCGAAGTGACATGTTCTATCTAGCTGGCGTGTGGTGAACGGTAACATAACAAAGAACAGTAGAGGCAGCACAATTGCTCTTAGATAGGTCAATAGGTCGATCTGTTGAACCGTCAGTATAAAACAAGACATGGTAACAAGCTTCCAACCTACGTCACTCCAGACCTCAGGAATATGCCAAAAGATCCAACTGAATGAAAAGCCCATAGAGCCTGTCGTAAAGTTGACTATAAAGAAGCAAATGAAGCTGATTATGAGGATGGTGAGCTTTGAAAAGGGCCTTCTTATAATGTTCCGGCTCCAATCGATAGCTTCACCACCAGGAGTGTTACCAAGTAACGCTTCTGCCTCGCCTCTGAAGACACCAGTTTCAAGTGGCAAATCCTCTCTCACTGATGCATTTTTGTCTTCTGTGAGGTAGCAAGCCGGAATGAAACACAACACATGGATAATAAGGGTGAGCGTGAATGACAACCAGAGGGGAATGGTCATGGTTGATATCTTGAGAGCTGGCTCGAAGAAATTGCACATGCCTGAAAATGCTTCTAGGAATGAGAAGGCGATTATTCTGAAGCTCTTAGATTAGCATGGTGAGATCAAATTAAGTGGAGCTAAGACATACCGCTGCCTCGGTTTTACACTGTTGCTTATGGCAGAATAGACCAGAGTGCTGGTTACAACGGGGCCTCCACCTAGGAAGAGAAAGAGAGGCGATAGATAGAAACACCAGAGAGGGAAGGATGGCACAAGTCCTACACACGAAGTTAGCTATCAGTCCGAAAACGAAGAAAGGCAGTCAATACCAAAGAGTAGAATAGAGCCCCAGTACAAGACAATGCCGATGATATTGAGGGTAAGCGCAAGACGTCTATTTCCCCTATCTACAATAATTCCCATGGGAATCTGTACCATAATCGCTATAGAAGATCAGAACACGCGCAAGGAGGATGGATTATTTTATTTCTCACCAGCAAGTGATGACGAAATGCTCAGCAAATTCGCCATAGATTCGAAATGCATCGTTACCTCTCCACCTGCACAAACTTCATTTGGAGGATCCTCATGAGGGTTGTGGGTGTCGCTTTCGTAGTGATGTCGGCAGACGGCAGCCACCAAGAGCTTTGGCCAAGGATATGAGAGTAGTATGGTGGACGCGAACTTCACCAGAGAGAGAATAAGAACGCAGAGCCAGAAATTGAGGGGATAGATCGGGGTCCGCTGAGACTTCCTGTTGTCTGTGATGGTGGTAAGTCTCTGACCTGTTCGCTTGAAAGGCGGAGGCCATTGTTGGCTGTTATCTTGAGTCGTCGGTATAGGCATTGCAGTTCAGTATTAATGGGCTTCTCAGACGTTGTCTTGGTAAAGCCCGTTGTAACTTTCTGGTCGCTAAAGAATGAAAGGTGTTACGTATTCGGGAAAAAGCATCTAGACGCATGACAAGTTTTAGGCCGGACTGCTAGCTACTTAGTGGTACGCGTCGGATGCGCCGGAGTGGTGTCGTAAGCATCATGAGGTTTTAAGCCTGCTAAGAAGATATTAGGCCAGCCAATTAGAAGCGAAAAACCTGATAGTGGTCGGACCTTGGTTTATGTAACCGATTCCTGTAAATCTAACTTGGAGATTCTGCAACTACGGATGGTTATTAACTGCAGGAAAAGCGCACTAAAGCTAATTGCCAAGGTTTGGGATATCTAAATGACGTAAATGGCTCTACCTGGGACGTTAGTCATTACCCGTTGGCTCGAGCCGGGGGGTAATAATAGTACTCTAGAGAGGGTACGCAGTAATACATAATTGCATAAAGGCCGTAACTGCATAAAAGCCGTAACTGCACAAAGGCCGTAGCTGCACAAAACCTGAAGTGCATAAAAACCGTAACCATATAAAATCGTAACTGTACGGATATAGGGATCTGTCTTAGGAATAGGGATGCCAGTATAACACCAAACCTTAATAAAATAAAGACAAGACTACAGTACAAAAGGGTATCTTGACAATCTAGGGGTATCACTACATGAAAACTACCATCTTTTCCTTCCATCCTGATTTGAAGGCCACAGCACTAAAAGATTCCTTATCCAGTCCCAATACTCTGTCTTAGCCCATTTCTTCAGAACCTGTAACACATATACAATCTTATAAACGCCTATCGAACTCTCCGTATTGCCAATCGCATAGAACCTCGGATTATCTTCGCCGTATTTCGAAATGCTAAGGAACCAGTTCTGCTTGTGAATGCTGATGCCCGGGAGGAACTCGGGAAGGTTATACGGATTTTCAATCATGAAATTGAACGCTTGATTTGGCCATTCCATATCAATCTTCTCTCTCATCCGGATCATGCGCTTAAGCAAACCCCAGTGCGCGGCGAATGCTGTTCGGACCCGCTGAAGTTCGCGGTCTGTGTTCTGCGAGAGGGTATGGACGTGGAACGCTATTGGTCGCCGGGATTGGAGGGATTTGAGGTCGATGTGGTTGAAGGTGTTTCTGACGAGTCTCTTTTGCATATCGTCGATGCAATCGGGCAACATGCCGTCAAGCGGTGTTTCTACGTAGACGCAGAAATCGGGAGGTGGCGGGTTGTCGGGGTTGGTATGGTAATCTGGAATAATGATACCATTGTCGCTAGATGTCCCAAGATCAGGAACGAACAAGCAATTCAGGGGACTGTAGATTGTACTCACCTGCATCGGAAATCGAGGAATAGTGGCCAAGGTTCATCCCTGTACGAAAGCTCGAGAACCTTGTGAACAACCTCCATGTTCCATTCGTTCGGCAATGCTTGACCTCTAGTGCACTCATTACTCTGGTCCATGACCTTTGCAACACTTTTGAGGTCAGGCACCTTGCCAAATTTACGGCGCTTATCGCAGTAGTGACCATCACTTTGGGCACCACCTCGCGCCCAGGTCAACTTGTATTCCAAAGGTGTTCCGGTTGTTGCATTCACGATCGGGCGGAAATCGGTGGGGAGGATACCGCGGCCGGCGTAGATGTCGTTTATTCGTTTGAGGAGGATCGGTAACGCGGGTGGTTGGGGCGTAAAGTTGGGCTTGGGCCATGTTCTTTGTACGAATGGTATAGGCCCAGGTCTAGCCACTGGTTCGGCATTCACGTCTCGTGACCACGATATAGGTTCAGTGTCAGGTTCGACCTTGACGTCTTGCGATCGGGGTAGTTGTGCCCAGCCCGACGAGGAGGGTGTGCGGGATTCTGTTGTCGCAGGCTGTGGAACTGGGTGGACGATTCTGCTGATGAGCCGCCGTTCAACCTTGCCTGTACTGTAGCTGATAAAGTTACAGTATTTCTGCTGTAATTCTGAGGACGCTTGGTTACTGCCGGTCGCTCGTTTCTTGCGCGCTTGAGAGGTAATTCTGTCTAATTCTTCCTTGAGCATGTCGATTTCAGCCTGACGTTGGAGGCAACTCTTCTTGAGATCGTATAGCGGATCGTTGGGTGACAGCTTGAGCTTTTGTCTCGTCTCGCGAGGTGGCGAATCGGCTCGACGGCGTTTCATGGCATTGGGCGGGACGTCGGCGTATGGCTCTGGAGTAGGCGATGGATCGTTGGTGGATTGTTGGACATTGCTGAGCCAAATCTGTACTGTCCGGTCGAGAGACATTTCGGCGCTGCGAAACAAGCGCCAATGGCGTTGTGTCGCTCTTCATTGTTGTGGATTCTGCTGAGATTGTGATTCTGGCTTGATCTGGACGGGCAACCCAACCAAGGCCCCGGGTCAGCATAATTCCGCCCGGCACGGCACGGCATTACTGTTATTGGTCGCACGGTCTGAGCATCGATTGCCGAGGATGCAAAGATAACAAGAGCCAGTTTATAAAGAGGAGAAGATCTCGGCGTTATTATTATAGTGATTAATAACTTTTTAATGTCTTGGTTGGATTCGTCAGGGTTATGGCCCGTGGAATAGGGTACCGGATGTCACTGGGTAAAACAACTCAGTTGGTGTACGTACCCCACAGAGTGGGCTACCTACCCGGAACAGGTGTATACAATAAAGACATTTCATGGAGTCTCTGTTCTATTTTGTGATCTTTACCTGCTCTAGAACGTTAAGAACTTATATTAGTAAGAATGGCAATAGCCGTAAAATAAAAAAAGACAGTTTATTGAGCAGGAGAATAGTTAGGTTTGAAAACAACGTAGGCTGATATGTCGGTCGTATCTGAAACAGGCCGCGACCAATCCAGTTCTTTTCTGATTCAGGCAACTCTAGCAATCATCAATTGAAAAGTCCAGGGACTTCTTCTATTACGTCTTTGACCATTGCTACTCTTTTTATTTACAGAGATTATTGCATTTCCCCCGTCAACATTAAACAGTATTCCACTATGGGCTTCTTTAATATTAAATCCAAGGTCGCCTCCGATCAGGTAATTTACCGTGACAAACCTTAAAAAAAGTCATGAGTGCTGAACATATCGCAGTTACTGGCGGATCACGGCCAGAGCCAGAGGTCATCGCTCAAAGAGCTAATGCTCAATCTCGTTCTCCACTCGCCCAGCTGCCCTCCGAGATCAAAGAATTGATCTTTCAGGAGCTATGACATGACGAAGGCTTATTTCAACATCTCACACTGCGCCGAGGTCGTGTCGTTAGAATGACATGCGCTACTGATGTTACTGCACCAGACGAGCTTCAACGAATGTGCGAGGCGACTGGATCCAAGGCCATTAGGGATCCAGTGCTCATTACACGATTTCAGTCCTTGTGGGGTGTCCACTGGAGATGTGAAGAGCTCTATCAGTCTGGCGCTCAGGAGGAAGGGAACCAATGCAGTCCATTTCTGCCTATGCTGCTGACATGCCGTCAATTGTAAGTGTATTTGACGAATACTTTAACACAGCCGCTAACTGCGCTACAGGTACGTTGAGGCGCGTGCATCTATCTATAAGAACATTACTTTTTGCATGCACGACCTTGACACTGCCCACTCACTAGTAGTCTCCCACCCGAATCTGATCTTCAACAACATTCAGCATTTGCAACTAGCGATCCACCTTCCTTTACTGCGTTATACCCGCGACGGGCCAAACCATAGCGAGAAAGCAGCCATGTCACGCTGGCGGCAATGTTGCGAGGCCCTTAACCGTGCAGAGAACCTCATTTCTGTCTATGTGAGGCTTGACGCTTCTGTAAGGAGTCGCTTCTACAGCGTAACGGAAGGAGACATGAATCCTTACGTCTTTGGCGAAAAGGTCGCTGGTATGCTGACGGTTGATGTACCATTGAATCCTGACAGACCTGAGGCGTGGACGGAGGTCGGGAATATTGAACCACGGTTTAATATTCATCCCCGCGGATGGCCGGCGTACAGCTTATCGTATAACATTAATAATGTAAAGAGGGTTACTAAGTTGTCCGACTGGGAGGAGCCTGGTGTGCCCTGGGGACCACCACAGAGAGGACAACAATATGTACATCCAGGGAAAGGGCTTCTTTCATCACTGCTCACTCGACATAGTTAACAACCAGTATAATAGAGTTTATATTCATCGTCATTGAGAAGTGCTCTAATGTCAATTATAGTAACTGGAAAGCTGACCATATTTTACAACCTAGCTCCGCCCATAGGAAGAGTTTGCTGCTGATTGTAATCCCAAAAGTTGAAGTCCGGTACAGTATTATCAGCATAAGGGAATTGAGCCTGTAAAAGCTGCGTTCCAGGGAAGCTGAGTTCTGAGGTTTGATATGACATCTCAGAAACCTCTGATGGTGCAGCCGAGAAATCGAAAGGCAAGTTTGTAGTGTCATAGGGCGCAACGAGCGGTTGGCTGTCAAGTCCCTCCGTAATGTAGTGCGGGATAGTATCCAACTGCACTCCAACAGATTCCTCGGGGCTCAGTTCAGAAATAACGGATGTTTTGCCGAAAACCTTCTCAGAAGGCTTTTGTTCGAAGCGAGCCTCAACCTCATCGAGAAGCCGAGCAAGGAGTTTATTTAATTCGCCAGTGTAGTCAGGCGGCTGGTCACTCGCCTGCACGAACTCAGATATCAACTGTCGGCCTTCATCCAGCCAAATGCCACGCAGAATCCCGATAACCTCTTTAACGACCCCATCCAGATGCGGCTTTGGCATGGTACCGCGTGGTGCACCAAATAAAATCTTCCAAACCCCATACCACTGTGCCTCTGGTGAAAGGCTTTTTGCAAAGCGAGCTTGCAGGGATCTCTGCGAAGTCAATGACACACTATCCCAGTTCGCCCCAGACCCTGGTGAGCAGTTTTGTTGCAATATGTGCTCGTCTTGTAGGTTCAGCGACAAGAAGCCCTGAGAGCATCTTGGACAGGGGTAAGGTGCTGTGTGTCTTCTCTTTAAATGCTGCTTCACGTCGGAGATACGAACCATTTTGAGATTGATGCATTCCAGATGGCGTTCTGGATCTTTTCTGAAGTATGGGCAAGCGAATCTCTTGATGCTGTCGTTGGGTCTCCGATCAGCATCTTCGTACAAGTCGTAAAGATCATCGCCAAATCCAGCCGTGCGTCTCCTCTTGCTGGGGGTTGAACTGCGGGATGGAAATTGCGGGCTCTGCTTTTCGTCATCTTTAGAAAGTTGATTGCTGCATATGTTCGAAGGAAGCCGGAGAGCATCCAGTGACAATCCACCCTTAATTTTGGGATTTGGTAAAATGGGAATTGGTGTATCTGGTCTTCGACAGAGTTTACCTCCTTGCAATATTACGCCATTTAAAGATGCAGCCTGCGTTGAGAAAGCATTGTCTTTCAACCCCGTCAAGAATTGATCTAACAGATCTGGGTTGGGTACTAAAAACGAAACACAAATTAGCCTCGCATCTTTGGTGGAGTCGAAACGTTTCCTAACTTGACTTCTGTGGGTGAATTTCCGAGGTTCCTGATCTTGGCGGTGCTGGCGAAATAGGTCTTCCATAGGGGCATTGGGACATGCGGTTGTAGAATTGTAACCTTGATTTTGGCCGTGTTAAATGATTCTCGGTTGTTGTCGTTTGACTTATGTACTCATGTATAGACGCTTCTTGCATTACAGACATCGTTTAGAATGTCTGGAAACACTCGTTCGGAGGAGTCCTGGCTTAATTGCTCGAAACCTAATATGTCAACCAGCAGATACGAGATTTTGCTAGTTTGCAATAGAGCGCCGTTTGGAAGATCGTTGGTATGGAAGTTTAAAGTACTGATGGCGAAATCCCTTGAGCCTCAAGGCGGAGCAAAGAATTATAAGTGCAGAACGCGCAAGGCAGTCAGCCCCAGGGGCTGTGAGACGAAATTACACGAATGTTACATGTTTTTGTGAGGGGTAGTAGTAGAAAATGGATGTCACTCTTCCTAAGTGGGTACACGTTGGTTTGATTTGGAGTTCGATCGTCTCACCATTCGGCTCGCGTTAATTGGTTCAGCTCGCCTTGCATTTATTGGCAGGGTGAACTCGGTGTGAGCGCAAGGGAGAGCATGTCACACAATTGCGGACGATGTGCTGGCAGTCGGTGATAAGAATGCGGGGAGAAATACGCCAGATCTAGTGAGCGAAATGTATGAGCGACGGCTTTTCCTGATTTCTATTTTATACATGGGTGAAGGTGATCAGACAAACGGACTTCTCGAGAAGCACAGAAGACATTCACCGATTCATCAACCAAATCTCTCACTTCGCCTTTATTGCCACCATGGGCCATCAGCCACAGTCCGCTGGCGGGTAACAGCAAAGCAACTGCAAGGCGCGCGCAGCACTTGAAATTACACTGGAAAAGGTGACTACCTAAAGGTGTGCCTTGGGTGGTGGGTTCGTTGGCGCCTCTTTTGAAGGCTGGGGCTGCACGCTGAGCTGGCCCAGCAGCCTACCCTGGATATCCAGGCCTGGGTCTAGCAGCCAGTCCTGGACTCGGTCATTGTACTCTGTGACAGCACTCGATTGTTGTACGGGGCTGCAGGAACGGTTTAATCAGCATGTGATGTGTATCGAAGATCGACGACGGAACAAACCTTTCGGACATGGCGGAAAAAGTCGTCACGTCTACTAAGAGATCGTAGAAACTCCGACAATTTAGTTTACTAGGTTATCAGCGAGGTCAAATACGGCCCTCAAATAGCTGACTTGGCATTAAATTATACAGTATATATAACCCTAACATCTTCCACAATTGTGTCGATTTTCTCACAGTTGATAGCTTTTCACACGATTGTGTACATCACGTTTGACCAATTGGCCGTATACTGTAAATGTATGCCGTCAACATTGACTCCCAGAACGCAGCGCAGCTAGAACAGCAAACGGCGAAATAACGGTGCGACACTGACGTTGCAAGTTGGTTGTCGCGAGTAACATTTACAAAGTGCATTGTAGCCTCGCTAAATCACACTCGGCATATCAGAATCGAGAGTGGTTTCCAGGACTACACAATTGTGGCCGAGGCCTGACGAGAGACCCTCGCTGTGATTGACGTGGCCAGCGCCTTTTTAGCCTCAGCGCTGCGTTGTCAACTGTAGGCGTTTAAAGTGGGTCTGTGCTGGCCGTGACGAAGCAAGACGGACGCTAATTTCAAGACAGTCCATCGCCAATCATTAACTAACGGCCTTGAATTCAAGCATAATATTTACCAACCAAAAGAACGTTTAATTGCCCGTTCGCATTTGTGTTGGAACATGCAGCTAAGTGCATTCAGGACCTAGCCGTAAGGAAACTTGGGAAATTTCTCGGTACCTGACTCAATTAAATCTGTGCCCAAAGAATGAACGATCAAGTTGTCAAAACCAGGCCTCAAGGATGCACTGCCATGTAATGTTTTGCTAACTATGGACTTGCGGCTCTAGCACGCACTGAAGTATTGAGTCCATAAGGAGCCGATCTCACCTGTTACTCAACGGCTGAAACTCTGCGTTTACCACTCATTTTTCTTTCATTTGATTACTGAAACTCCATTCTCAAGTCCAGATGTACCCCCCCAAGTATTGCCGCCAAGATGAATTCGGCGAACAGTGAGCCTCGCCATGTAGCCGGCGAACAATCTCTTCAAATCAGTCGCAGGGCTAACAAGCGTCGCCGCCACGATCCGAACGGTGGAGGGGATGAACGAGATGGTCCGAAATGGTCACAAGGAAATGTGGCAATATTGTCTTTCGAATGCCCATTCTGCAAACTAGACCCTTACCGATATGCTGAGTGTAAGGGCTACCAATTGACCCGGTTATCGGATGTCATGCAACACATCAGCCGCCAACACCGGATACTCGAGGTCACATTAGGGTCTGGTGAGACAGTTCGAGAACGGGATATCGTTCTCTACTGCACAAGATGCCGCGATCTTTTCTATGGCATGGGTGCTTCGCGTAACCGCGACATCCATATGAATCAGGAAATCGAATGTCAGCCAGCCAATATCGAACAAACTGGTGTCATGCTGTACGGGGAATTCGAAGCGTTAAAAACTAGACTTCGATCATATCCGCGGCGTGATGAAACATTTAGATGGAATATTATCTGGAAATGGTGTTTTCCCAGGAAGCCCTGTCCACCATCACCGTACGTCGAGATCATTGTTCCTCGTGCAGAAGTACAGGGGATAATTCAGGATGAGCTTGAATCTATACCAACATTGTCGCAAGAAGAGGTCCAGTTGAGAGCTAGACAATTAGCAAATCGAATCTATAACACTGCATCGAAACCCCGGAGCGGCCCTTCTGTACCTTTACAAGCACAGCCGAATATTTTGCAGATGACACCAGTACCAGACTGCCATATCGCGACCTCGCTATCCTCTAATCCGACATTTACCCCCCAGCCTTTGCAACAACAAACGCAAGGCAACCGCTACAGCTCTGGTCTACCCCATCTCGGTGTTTATAGAACACCGACTGGAGGCCAGAGACACAATTCCTTTCAATGGAATAATACGTTGAGTAATAGCAGTGTACCAAGTCGAGTTCCGGGCTATATCGCACATACGAGTTCTGAGAACAACTTTCTTCACACTGGACATTTTACTGCTTCTAGCTCTGGATACCCCCTATTTCCTAACAATCAATATTCCACTGATCTTTTCGAGTTAGAAAATCAGGACGACGACTACTTGAACACGGGCGGGAACACTACTGGTCGCCGCGACTTATAGTATTGATTGTCTGATACAAAGCGTGGCCTACTTACTAGCTAGGGAGGCCATAGACTCTTAAAAGCTTGAATAGACCAAGTTAAACTTAGAGCCGCAAGGCTTAACTGTGATTGGAAGCTAAACTTTCTGTGCTATTTTCTCTTTCTATTTATTGCATTATTAAATATTCTTAAAGTGGGAAACCTTGTCCGGTAAAGACGGAGGTACTGGTTATGGTCTTAAGTATTAAAGAAACTTCTCCACACAGACTTTTGATGAATATAATAGGACAGTGTTTATTTTTCTGGCGGTATTTGTTGAGCCGGGGTAAATAGCTATTGGCCGTGAGAATCTGAAATCTAAGTATCCTTCGTTATGAAAATCAACCTTCAGAATAATTGTAGCTTCTATTTGTAATCCTTTTAAAGCCACGAACTCCTCCTAAACACATCCTTGACTCATGACCGAATCTCTAGCACATCCTTTTAATACTCCTACTCTTCAATAATCATATTCAAGAGATCGTGTAGCCCGAGGTCATATAGTATACCATGAGCATTGGTGTCCTGGGTTATGAATGGCCTTTGGCGTTCAAGGATCTCCGAGACAAGTTGGGCTCCGTATAAACCCCAAAAGTCCCGGGCCATGGATATTTTGAGCCCTTGCCCTCTGTCCAAATATGGAGACCGGGGCCACCCTGTAGCCGGAAAAATAATAGACCACATTCGATTCCAGCGTTTCTTTTCGCTCCAGTACTGATCATTGGCCCTTATCATATAGGCCTTTTGGTCTTCATTGACTCCGTCCGATGGGTCTGAGGAGCGCCTTTTGCATCTGGCGCTTAAAACGTGGTCATCGCGATCAATCAGCGAGTTAAACTTTCGATAGCATCTTGAACAATAAGGCGATCGGGAGTGGTGTTTCATGATATGTTTAATAACACCTTCAATTGAATTGAGGCCGACGGTGAGGGGGCATTGTTGGTGTTTGCCTGGGTCGTAGATGTAGAACGGGCAAGCAAAGTGAAAGAATGCCTTGGTGCGAGGCGCATATGAAACAAAAACAAACTCGTCAGCGTCAACGTCGTCTTCCTGCTTTACTTGTCGTCCGCTTGAATGGCAGCGAGGTGTCCTGAATCGTCCCTGAGGCTGCACCATGTCTTCCGGTGGCGCGCTGTACTCTACTCTAGGTGCCCATCGCCTGAACGAATCCGTCGAGAGCTGCAGTAGGTCCAGTTTCAGGAGACTGTATGCAGGCGCAGGATACCAAGATGAGCTTCGATAGTGAGGATTGGCCTCGGGTGGGGGACCCTGCCATTCAGGTGATGCGGGTGTGACACACCCGCCTACCGCTTCACTGTAACGATTGGCGACAGGGCTGTAGTAATTGCCAGCCCCGAAGCTTCTAGCGCCTCGATAAGGCAGGGCGAGATTTAGGTGGTGAGATTGAGACCTCTGATTGATAGAAGGCCAGCAGTAAGATCTGTCGTCGCACATGGTTTTCTTGAGTAATGAATACTTATATAAATGTCGGGGTGATTCCTGGATGATTGCAAGGCAGATACAATATCTTTTACCACCAGATATATAGGTTAAACTCGTTTTTCAATCAGCTTTTATTATACCTAAGGCTTTGAAACCCAAACAGCACAGCTGTGTATACTTCTTCTAATTGGCGGCTTGGCTGTACTTGTAAGAATCTCATTGGCCTGGCCACGAACTGGAAGGCCTCAAAATAATTAATGCGATAAGATAGCTACCGTACTTAGAGGCATAGGTAAAATTATCAGTTTCATAGATTATAAACCACCCTAGTGTATACTAATTTCATTTGTTATTATAATGCTTGATAAAATGCTGTATTATTTCGCGCTGAATTAAATCTCTCCTACTTTCGATAAGACTTGAGTGTAGTTCTCGACATAATCATTCCAGTCGCCAACAGTGCTAGTCCTTTGCACTATAGGTACATTCATTCGACTATCACCATCTCACCTGACTTTCACGCCAGCTTCCATCCCAAGTCCAAACTCTCCCTCACATACAGTTCATCCTCACCAGGCTCATCTCCATCGCCATAAATATCCCTAAAACTCGGTATGTGCTCATCAACGCCCTTGATAGCTTTCAGCCTCGATAACTTCTCATCCTTTCTGGCCAGTAACTCATCAATTTGTTCATCAACATCCACGTTGTTCCCTCGAACATATCCGTAGATGCAGAGATATTCCAGACTGGGTGGCAGACCGTCTATCAGTCGAAAGGGTGCTGGTTTTAGGAACCGGTTGGGTGTTTGCCGTTCATCTCTAGACCCTAGTAGTGTGATAATGCTGATGCTCAAGTGCGTGAGGTGAGGAAAGTCGTGAAGTGAACCAATAGTCCGCCCATATTCTTTTGAATCACTTCTTTCAGGCTTGATCCCAAAATCTTTATCCAGAGCAATCCGATCGCGCCCATACTGGTCATACTGATACTTTAAATCAGATTCATTCTCGTTCTCGTTCTCCTCATCTTTAGTATCCCAGAATAGGTCAGATGTATTCTGGACAACCATATCAAGGTCAATATCCAACAGTCTTAACGATTTTCGATGCGCATAGAGGGCTTGTCCAATATGAAACGGCCGGACGAAAGGTTGTCCACTATCAGTGCTCCACAAGCCACCTATGGAAAGCTTGAATTCTTCAAGCGCTTTGGGAATTGAGATTATGAGAGCCAAGAAGTCTCCAGGAATATCACAATGGGTTATTTCCATCTTTTTCATATTGCCTGTCCCAGGAATAAAAAAAGTGCGGTCTGCTTGATATGACTGGATGGCGTCCATGGTCACTGTTTCAAGAGCTGGCAGTCGATGTACCAGCTGTAGGTATTGAAGGATCTCGATGGTGCCATAAACTCTTTCGTCAGTCCAAACACTGTTTATAAACCGGACATCTTTAAGCTTCTGCAGTGGGGGATTCCTCATCTGTCCGTAATTCCCTCGTAGTAGATAGTCCAGAATAGGTTGCTGGTAGAGGCATTCAGCAAGGTATATAGTGGAAATATTCTCGCATAGGGAGAAGAGAAGAATTATCAACGCAGATGCGAACTCGCTTTCATTTCGAATTCTGAGAGCATGCTCTCGTCGCTTCCTATCAAGAGTCTTAATTACCTGCGCACTTGTTTTATTATCCAAGTCCAAGCGACCAGCGTATCTCTGCAGTCTGACTTCTGGCGAATCGGCAAGTTCTTCATATCCTATTCTTTCTTCGACCTCATCTTTGTATGATAAGGGCCACTCGGCTTGTCTCCAGTCACTTGTATCAATAACGACCTCTGTGACAATATTTGCGCGAGCTGGGTCTTGGATGAAAGCTTGGAGGAGGCGATATAGGTGCTCTACGTCTTTACATGAGCAGATTCGTACACGGGAGTATTTAGGAGCTGACATTTGGTGAATTCGCCTAGCGTGAGGCAATCGAGGTATCCGAGAGACAAAAGAGGGAAGCAGGCATCGGCGTAGTAATGGCCCTGAATGGATGGCTTTGAATGTTTGTCTTGATTGCATGTTCCTATGTGTTGACGATGACTCCGCCTGTGAATATTTATGGCAAGCTAGGGAGTTCAATAGGGGGCATGAGGTTTTTATAACTGGCACTAGCTTATTAACGGAATAGCTCCAGTTAGAAAATGAGCTTATCGCCTTATCGCTCACAGTGATAAGATAAGCGAATTACCTGGTACTTTCAATAATGAGTCTTGGCTTTATATCTGGTTCTGGTTCCTTTCATCTGGTCTGGAGCTGAATAGATAGAAATTTCTAATGGTATTTTGACACAAAATGGCGGCTAACGCCAAAGCTGTATGTTTCAACAGTGTTACATAGAAAGTCTACCCTATTTCAAAACTGGGTAATAGACAAATCTACCTGATAAGAATATTTTATAATAACGACTTAACACAGTACGTGTTGTATTATTCATCGGGATTGAGTTCATAATAAATACGTCAATTTCATAAAAGTATAAACTAAATATGGTGTGGCCTTAATAATTTGCGATTGAACAGTTATTTAATACTTCATCTTAGCTTAAATGCCAAACTCACTCAAATACTATTACTGTTTGTGAAAGCTATAATAGTGCTAATGCCTAATAATAACCACGAAAAGGAGCATTTCTCTCCCCATACCCTGACTCAGAGTGTATATCCGCTACCTTAGACGGTAATTCTTCGCTGTTACCTCTCCTCCCTGAAGATACTGAGCCTGTCTCCTTACTATTCGCGGTTGCCGCGCCTCTGTCTTCCGAACTGCTTAGCCGACTTGAAGTGAAAGCTGGCTGATTGAGTCTGACAAAGCTGCATTCCCAAACAGTGCTCGACGTACCGATCTCTTGCGTGCCGATTCTTTCTGTACTTCCGTTCCCAGAGATGAGTTGTTATTGGCCTCTAACTCACAGGGTTCCTTACCATCTCTAGCTTCATCATCGAGAATACGAGGCGATAGTGGATTGTCCTGCGTAAATAGCTCTCTTGGGAACCCGCTGATGGAGAAGGAGGAGTTTCTGGACCTGTGAAACGAACTTGGAATTTCAGACAAGATATATCCTTCTGGTTCGAGGCACAAAGACAGACGCGTCAGACTTGACTCATGCCGTCCATCAATGATGAGGTGAGATGGGAGTCGGAATGTGCCCGAGCTGCGCATTTGCTGAATAGTTTGGATCGGTATGACCACATTGTGTTGCCTCTGGAAGGATATCCCGTGGTCTTCTTCCAGGACGAAGAAGGGGACAAATACACTCCCGCGTATGTGGTCTTTCAGGATCGACTCAAGACCCTTCAGGTCTCGACAACCTTCATCAAACCGGCAGAAAATATTTCCTGTTGTGGATCAGTATCATGAGTCAAGGGGGGTTGGCTGAGGTTACCGGAGCATTTGTAAACACCACCTTCTCTGCTCTGACAATCAACACTGGCTTTCTCCAAATAGAAACAGCTCGCTACAAGCTTGTGCGCAGCGATCTTAATGTCACAATTGTGGCTCATACGGTGCATAGCATGCCTCTCGATATCTTCCATTTGTTCAATAGCATTAAGACCAGGCCTCTTGTCGTGCCACTCGATATTGATGCGCATGTTGCGGCTTTCTGTTAGATGCGTGTATGCATGAGCAGGAGCAGTCACCCTATTAAGATACCTACCCCAGATATCCTCACTTCTTGTTTGGTCGTTAATCATGCGGCTAGGTGTCTGCCACATAGAGCTAAAGCTAGAGGAAGCCCATTGTTGGGGTAATTGTCTAGATTTGGCAACTTCTGGCGATCTCTGAGAAGAGATGCGCTTCGCTTTATGAGTTAGCCTGGTGTTCGTGAAGCCGGTTCCGAGTGATAAAAGGATATCTGGAGCCCAGTGGCTGACCTCCCCCCGAATAAGCCTTCGTTCATTATCAGCAATGTCGACTGGGCAGAGGTGATGGATGGATCCATCTGTATACTGCTCCTCTGTTGTCTCTTAGACAAATGGTTTGAAGTATGGGGGTGCTGCGGCTGTAGCGCGTGCAGTTTTCCACACCTTTAGCTCCCAGGTAGGGTCTTGAGGTCGTATAAATTTACAACAGGCTAGAAAAGTCGTCAGAAGGACAGTTCAGAGGGTCAAAAACGGTCATGACTTACAAGAATCATGCTCGTTCTCGGCATTGTAGTTGGAAATGACCGCTGGTCTATTCTCGCTCGCTATTGTTGACGTGACAGCAACTCGCATAGATGTTGAGTGGTCGATCTTTGACCCTCCGTACAAATACGAGTGCTGGTCAAACGCAGACCTCAGACCTCTCTCCAAGGGCTTTGTCTTGTACTGGCTCCTGATACTGACTGCAGCGAACGCCTTGGAAAATCTGGAGGTCAATGCCTGCTTACAACCTTGGCAGGTTGCAAGCATGGCGTTTCCCTTCTATGAAGTGGGCAAAACCTCACGTGAAACAAGCCCTGTCCAATGTTTACACCATGAGCCTGAATGCAGGCTTTGCAGAGGATGTGTCCAAACGGAAGGACACTCTCTAGAATCCTTCTTATGCAGCAAAGACACGTCAAGTTGCTTCTCAAGTTGGACGTGGAACTATCGGCGGTGACATTGAACTTGGCCATGACTTCGACGAGGACCCGCGGTATAACGTTCTCGACTTGATCATATTGCAGCAAACGAGTGTCGAGACTTTTAATATTCTCATCGATTTTGTTGATCCAATCAGGAAAGAACTCGTCCAGAATAAAGTTCGACTCGTAAGGACCGCGAGCAATGATCCTATCAGAGGCGGCCTGGTGTCCTTTTTAATGAGAGTTTCTGGCATTTTGACATGTCTCGCCGTCATGTGAATACGAGCGCCGAAGCCATTGATTGCAGAACTGTTCAAGAGCATAATAAGAGAGTTGCTATAGGTGTTCCGTAGCAGATACGAGTAAGATCCTGGTGGACTTTAGTATACATGAAAGGTGTATGTAAGACGCGTTATACGTACCTTGAATGTTGTCTCTTGTAGCAGCAAGCATAATGCAAGAGCCTAGGGGAACACTCAGCCTTACGAAGAAGTCCTTCAACCTCCTACGATATTGACCCGCATGGTTGTACATCACCATGATGAAGTTGAGAATATGTCCACCAAAGTTCTGAGGCAGCGGGGCATGTCGGCGAGCCACTTCGATGAAATCAAAAGGCTCATCAAGACTTGATGAGAAATGGTCGTAGCCAGCTTTCACGTAGTGCGGCAGGACCTCAGCGTTAAGTAACATGCGAACCTTCTTCTTCTGTGCATGAGACAGCTAGAGTCGTGTGACTCCGTCTCGCAGCCGGTACTTCCGGTATTCATGAGTTTTCAGTTGGCTGATATTGTGGGCCAGGTGAACAGGCTTTATAGCGAGGAGTACATGTGTTAACACCCTGTCGGATGCAGTGGAGGCGCCTGATTTCGACTGGGATTTGGCTTTGACTGGCGCCGCTGTCTTGCATATTCTGTTCGTTTTATTGATTGGCGGGTGCCGGAGATAATGAAGCCTGACGCGTAAAAGCCCCATTTTACTTGAATTTGGAGCTGGAATAATGATGTAGCCGATTTCTATTCCAAGATAAATCCAACGTGGTACGCATATACTCAATTAGTTAGCAGACGACGCCTGGACGACGCAACTTGGCAAAGTTCAATAATGATCCTTGTAGTTAAGTAAAAGATATCACTCCTAATTGTCAGGGTTCATAACGTGACTGGGCCTGTCTGTCGGTATCACTAACAGGGATTGGGCCGTGGAGGGCTTTCCCTTGTGTCATTTCAACAACAGCCTGTCCATCCATAACACCGTTCAAGTAGCAATCGCCGACAATTCCAAAGTGATCCCCAAGCGGTCTCACAACTATAGGCATAATGGCACCGCCAAGGATGCAGATAACGTCGTCGCGAGCCATATTTCCAGGACCAAGGCCAATATGGCCACTTGTTGTATAGAACAGACATCGACCGAGGCACACAGGTTCCACGGTGTCCAGCCATGTCACTTGATAACCTCCGGACGAGACCCTTTCCGATTTCATCTTCTGAACCAGTCCAGGAAAAATATTTGGGTAGCATGGCAACCAGGCCTTGATGAAGTTGGAGAACTCCGTGGCTAAATGGTCCAGATCCTCGGCGCGGCCTCCATATCCATCTCTCTCACCGCACAAGGTACGAGCGACCGCTGGAATGATAGAGGCGTTCCAGACATCCCAGCCCTTGTGGCAACGTGCAAGAATTTGGATCAAGTCTGCTATAATGGAATTAGAGTCCTCGTAAAATCCAAATCTGGCACTCTGCCAAGCCACCTGTGAGAGCTGAACCCATTTAACCTTCAGATGGTCGGGGTTCGCAGATTGAAACCGCTTGAACGAGAGTCCCTTCGCCGGGTTGAATGCTTCGGTATCATCATTGAGCGACCATGGATCAAGCATCGAAATCACCTTGTGAGCCCATCGGGGTGATCACGTGGGCTTCTCTGCGACGCCCACTGCGTCGGAGAGAAAGGGGAGGGGACGAGACTGCGCCATGTGGCTCTCGGCCGTCTTAAACCCTGTGGTGAGTCGAAGCAGAATTAGAAGACTGAGGTTTAGCGGCGTGAGTGGCCCGTGAGTCGACAAGCGCGAGATCAGATAAGCGTTGTAGAGATTAGGCATCCGGTATGAGTTGATCAGCCAGTCGTGGTTAGTCCTGATAATGCCTGCAGCGAGGCCGATCCATTTCCACTGCATCGTCGCCCCCGGAACCTTGGCCACGGCAGAGCTGGCCAGCGCCACCTCTTGAATAACCCAACGACGCTCAAACCAAGGACATCCGAAAACTGTCGCAACGAAATTGGCATCAAAAGCTACGTTGCTCCAGCCCGATCGGCCTTTTGATATGCCTGGCTCGTAGCGGCAGAGCTTGCCTTTCGCGTTGCGTGCCTCGTACGACGGCCTTAGCGATTTGCTCCACGCCTTTACGACCTCGCAAATGGAATCAAATTCAGGCCGAGCTGGTCCACATGGGAAGACATCACCCAACCAAATAATGGTTTCTACTACCTGCTTGTAAATATCACCCATCAGCTGGACTTGCTGACTACGTTCGGCGAGGTCATTTTGACTGATACAGAGGGCATCGACCCAGACGATTCTTAGGAGAGTGCTATATCGTATATTCTGCAGTGCTAGGCGTAAGTTCTCACCCGCATCTTTGGCGAAGCCATTACATACCAGTCCTTAAACTGCGCCGCAGACTGGCTGGGCCCAGCAGTAAGAAAGGGCCGAGTACTTGCTAGCCGCGTTTTCAATGCGTACCGCCATGAGATGGCATTTAACCCTATCTTTGTCTGCGCGCCATAGTTCGATGACGAGAAGCCTGAACCAGCCAGGTCCGGGTAGAGGGTAGTTATATACTACTGGAAAAGCGTACTAAAATTAATTGCCGAGGTAGTAAATTATTCAAGAGATGTAAATAGCTCTATAACGCTATTCAATGTAGATATTAAGGACTCGGTTTCGTTATTAACTCATTGACAAGATAGTACATTAACTACGTAACCAAACAAATTCTTTTTTTAAAGCTACACCCTATCCCTCATACAGTATTTCCTATAATCCACAAGAACACTAACGCAGGCAGTATACAGTACGTGTTAACCCAAGACGGCGCACTTTCAATAGGACCTCTTTCTAGCTTGTCCATTTCCCTATAGAGTTTTCCATATTAGTTATAGTATCTTTAAAGGTACTAAAATAAATCCATGGAACATTTATTATAGCTTGATCTTAATTCTTACCTGTCTTCAAATCGAATCCGGCCTCTATCCATAACTCTTGGCGGCCGAACTCGTGGATAAACCATTGAACAAACTGTAAAGAAGCATTGGGAACATCTTGAGACGTAGGAAAAACACCGCTGGCTGCACACCACTGCAAGAGAAATCGAATATCATAGGCATCCGTGTCCTTCTTAGTCGAATTTGCGCGACTGAGTATAGAAGCACATTTGGCATTGAGGATAAGTGTAGGTTTGAGAACACGAACACCCTCGACCTTAACAACCGAGGTCGAAGATGAAAATTCCTCCTGGAATAGTTTAGGTGGTGCGAGGATCTCAATCTCAACGGGAGGTTCGCTTAGGTAATTGGTGTGCAGGGTTCTTTTGTCAATGGAGAAGATGTCAGGGTAATCTTTCAGGAGGGCTCTGGTCATCTTCGTCTCCCCCTTAGGAACCACAAAGTCGAGATCAGAGGTAACACGTACCGACCCAAGTAGCAGACAAGCAGCACCACCAACTATTGCATAGCTTTGTTCACTTCCAAGGATCTGCGCAATGGCTTTGGCACTAGCTCTAACTGAGCTTGGGTCCGGGTAAGGGCTGTGATGTGAGGAGGACATTGTGCGAAAAGAATAGTTATAATATGAATGATTTTTAATTAACTTTAAAATAAATATATAATACGGTTAGCTAAACTCTTTATATATTAATATAGCTACTCTTAAATATCTAAGAGAGTAAGTATCTAACCGCGCGCCTAAAAATACCAGTAGTAATGAAGAGATCTATTTCTGTAATGTAATGTAATATTTATATTCTCGTTTAGTTCTATCGTTTCATATTAACGCGCGCTTAGCTTTAGCCACCTTAATGTAAGATGTTAAGTGGCTAGAGCCCCTGCTAAAAAGAGGGTCTTACTATTACCCCGCTTTAGACTACCTTTAATACTGGACTCCTTCTGCCTGACTCAACCTAGAAGTTGCATCTCTAGCCGCCTACTACCTTCTCTTACAATGCCCTATCTTGCCCGTACTGAGCCCTGCGAAGTCTTACGTCGAGACGGTTTAGCATCAGTGCTCTGGCTAGAAGATGCCATCGCCAATTATAACGTCCCCACGGTTGTATTCCAACTTCACCTCCTGGTATCCAACCCCAACGATGCAGCCAAGAGCTTACGCCTGGCTGGATGGACCGATGTTGAAACAAACGCCCAAATAGGCCTCTTTGATGTCAATTTCCACGATATCCAGTGCATTTACCTTGACCCCCCCACCATGGAGGAGGAGCATGAGACCACTCCAGGACTACCTCCGCCGGTTCGCAAAGGTCCTCCACCGGTTCGCAAAGGTCCTCCACCAGCGACCAGGACAGTACTGCTCTCTGCACAGGACTGCAACGCCCCCATTGAGCCTCTGTTATCAGGCAACCCACCCCAATGCGACACCATCCCACCTTTGTGGTTCCTTGTCGATGGCTTAATATCAGGTGTCCTCGATGCCCCAGCAGAGAGCCGGCTAGAAGAAAGGCTAGCTTTACAACTGGTCTATTTATATGGCCATTGTCATGAAATGCGCTCCCCCAAGCTTATTGAGCAGCTCAGGCTTGAGAACCGCCAATTCCATATCGACGCGTTAACTGGCCCATCTGTTGGGAAAGCACCACTTATTGCTTGGAATCGCCGAATAAGGCGTCAGCTTCAAGATGGTACACGTCAGCTTATGTACGAGAATTCACTTCTCTCTACAAATCCTCCTGAATATCAGCAGTTTATTTCTCAACTCCACTCTGATTTCCGAGAATTACAACCTTCTACATTACTTTCAAGTAAAGATTAGTATATTCCTCTTTAGCTTTAGTAAAGTAGTAAGAAGTATTAATATAGAGTTAATTCTACCTACTAAAGTATTACTAAAAATATAGAGGTACTTACGGTTGGCCTGCCTCTTTAGTAACTCCAAACCCAGTAGTATTGATGTCATTTGCATGCCGGCGATGTTGCTCTTCAGGCTGCGGTCGGCCAAAGATCTACTGCAGTCGACGAATAATGTCCTCGTCGACCTTCTCGTATTTGCGGCCATCTATGCCGACTTTCTCGGGCTAGAACCAACTTTCGTAAGCCAATTGTTGGACAAGGTTGGAACGAAAGGCGCTTTATTGAATGTGAAAGAGAAGGGGGTACTAAAGAAAGAAGACGAAACTCAGGCTCGAGGTGAATTCGTAGTGGGCAGTGATGCTATTCTAAACGGAGGATCGCCAGTTACTAACAAGGTGTGGTCTCTCTTTATCCCAGCAATAGTCACAAAAGAAATCGTCGCATTGTACGCATTTCCAAGATTTGTAGGCTTTGTCACACACGTAATAACGCATGGGCTGTGACGATTGCTGTCGCGGAACCGTGGGTCTTTCCATCGTGCCTTCAGCTTGTATGTGTTCGACGGGAACGTCTATGGATTGGACAGGGCGGTATCCAATATCTGGAGTCTTTGGCGGCAGATAAGGATGACAACCATACTTGTCGCCATTATCTATCGAAACCACCACCTCAGGTAAGGTTAAGTACTCAATAGTGAAATCTATAGTGTAAGGAGATAATCCCGTTTTGTGGTAAAGGTTTAGTAATTGAAGCAAACAGGAAAGAAAGCCCCTATACCGCTTATAGTTAAGGGATTAAGGTCAGACTTTAGTAAAACAAAAACGGGGGGATCCTATTTGACCTTGAATAAGGATTAGGCTCTATGGCGTCAAGACTCGAACGGCTGGTAATGCAAAAAAGAGGGGTTGTAACAAACAAACTATAAATACTTCTCAGCCGCAACGCCAATATACAAGCCTCAATTTCAAGAGTATAACTAACCGGGAATCCTAATAATTATTATTTACATCGGCTAGTAACCAATAATTAAGCTTATATAGGAAATTTTATAGCGCTAATAAGATATAGGCCTTATAATAATTAAAATAAATATCTACCGATAATTAGTTTCTTTAGTATTATAATTATTAGAGTAAATTAAAAATAAATAGGAATATAAAGTAGACAATTATAAATTAATTAATATCGATATTAATATATAAATATATAATTTCTATTATTAAATTATATATTTACTTTTAGATTAATTTCTATTAAACCCCTTATCTATATAGTATTAAAATTCTCTACTTTAGGCTAGTCTCTAGCCTATACCTCTAGCCTATTTCCGAACCTTTACCTATACCTAACCCTAACCTCATATAGCCAGCCTCTTCAAGTCATAGAGTAAAATAATATATTCTTTTTTATTAATTCTCTTACCCTTAGAGTTATTACTTTTTTATTATTTTTAGTTTTATAGGTTTATTATTAGCCTTTTTTTCTTTAATTAATAGTAATTATATAACTAGTAATTATATAATACCTTAGCCCTTAATATAACCCTATAGCCTAAGTATTACTAACCTAGTCTAAGCGTCTAGACCCTATTATATACCAGAAATAGATAGAAAATAGTTATGCAATTACGTGGGAATGGTATGAGGGTTATAGGAGGAATATTTATATATACTATGAAATAGAGTTTTATACTAAAGGTTTAAAAATCCCTTAGAGTAATTATATTCATAGGCTAGACCTACCTACGTTTAATTTATATAAGAGACTAATATAATATTAATAGCTAGCTTGCCAGCCTATATTTAAATTAATAGCCAGCCTACGTTTTACAGAAATTAGTATTCTACCGATCGCAAAGCTTTAAAAGTCTTAATAGCTTTATATAAATATTAAATCATATAGTAATACTTATTAAAATAGTAATAAGCCTTCTATAGAATTTAAGGTTAAATTATTTATTAAATAGGCTAGATTTTAATATAATTAACCCTAGTAAGGTAAATCACCTAAAGTAGCCTAGCATTCTTATAATTTTATTACCTACTATTAGTAATATCTAATTAAATACTTTATAAATTAAACCCTTTATAAATATAGGCTAGACCTACCTATATTTAATTTATTTAGGAGACTAGTAGCCAGCCTATATTTAATTCCTAGCTTATATTTATTAATAACTAGCCTATATTTTTAAGAAGTTAGTCTTCTACCAGTTAAAAAAATATAAAAATATTAAATTATATAGTAAGGATTTAAAATAAAGTTATATAGTATATATAAAATTAAATATTAATACCGTTACTTTAATATAATATATTTTAATATAGTAACCTCTTTATATATTATATTTAATAAGTTACTATATTATTAGCTAGTTTACTTTATAAGTCTTAGTAAATACTCCTAGCTACCTAATTATATAGTTCTTACCTCTTATAGGATATAATAAGTAATATAATATTACCTCTCTAGCCGTTTTATTTAAAACTTAATAATTACTTTTATAAAAGAGTATAAATAAATTAATAAGGGAGAGGTAATACTTTCTTACCTACGTTTTTCTTTTCTTTTTTCTTTCTCTTTTCCTTATTATCCTTTTTTTTTACCTTTCTATATAAATAGACTATCTAATTTAATACTATACCTTCTACCTATAGCCTATTAAAAACTACTAGATTATAAATTACTTTTATTACCTACCCTCTTTAAAGATTTTAATTTATAAAACCTATAATAAAGTAAAATTAAGTAATAATATATAGTAATACCTTTATAATTTCCCTTACGATCTTTAGATAAGTAATATTAAAACTAAGGAATTATATATAAAGGTATAATAACTAGATCCTATATAAAATTAAAAGGACCTTATTAAACTACCTTTCTTAATACCCCTTAGGCTACCTATTTAATAACTTAATAGCCTATACTCTAATAGATTTAAATATATATTTAAGCTATCCTATTTATAGGTCTATACCTCTTAATATAAAATAAACCGCTACTTACAGGATATTTATTACAATATAAGTTATACCGGAAAGAAAGGTAAACCTATAAAGGGAAAAATAATACTATCTAGCCTATACTTTTAAATATAGGTTTATTATTAATATCTATTCTAATAAGGACCTTACAGTAAATACTTTAAGGTTAATTTATCTTTATAACCTAAGTAACTATCTAATTAAAAAGAAGGGTTTATATAGTACTTTATAATATATTATTAAACCCGCCAGAAAGAAGTAAATATAATAAAGTAACCTAACTAGTTTTTATAACCTTCCCTATAGGTTAATAGGATAGGCTTAACTATATACTTAAAGGACTTTATTAATAATAAGGACTTTCTATATAGTTTTATTTCTCTCGATATAAAAATAGGTTCTATATTTAATAATTAACCTAAAGATTAACCTAATAATTAATATAATAATAATAATAACTAATTTCTTTATATATTAATCTTTAAAGTACTTAATTAATTAATATTAAAGACTAGGGGTTTTATATATTATTAAGAAATCCCCTTTACGGCTAGACTTAATATCGCCTAAGTCTTATACTATCTTATAGCCTTTAAACCCTTTATATTTAACTATAAAATAAAGATTAAAAAACGGTATATTAATATAACTAAATAGCTTATTATATATACCTTTCGTTACCTTAATTATAAAGATCTAGATAATAGGCTACTTTTTATACTTATAAATTGGCTTAAGCTTATATATTAAACTGTAATAGATTGTATTAAAGTTATTATTAACTAGTAAATAGCCATTAAGGGAGATCTATTTAATTAAATAATAGCCAACCTAATAAAAAAGCTAAAGGATACTATACTTAGCCTTTTTATTACTATACTTAGCCAGCCAATTAAAGACTTAAAATATAATAATATTATAGTCTCTTTCCTTACTATATTAAATATTATACCTAATAGGTCTTAATATAGCTTTAATATATTTATACCCTAGCTTTTAGGTATTATATTAATATCTTATTTACTTATTCTAAAAAAAGCCTATTAAATTAAATAGTCTAAAATTAAAGTAAATATTAAATTAGGCTCTTCTTTTAAAAATATAGTAAGGGTTATTATTAATATCCCTAGATATATTTAGAAGTTAATAGGCAGCCTTTTAGTTAATAATACACCGAGGTTTAAATCTATATTAATATAGTATATCTTTAGGCTTTATAACTACGGAATTACTACTAAAAGTAATATAATATCTCTTAGTTTAATTAGTTAGAAAGGTTCTAACCTTTTCTTTAAAGGGACTTAGCTCTCCCTTTTATTACTAGTAATACTTTTATAATTAATTATTATAAATATATATTATATTCTCTATTATAACCTTTTATTTTAGCTATTTAACCCTATTAAAAACACTTAGCTAGTTACTATTCCTTTTATTCTATAGGCTAGATTACAGTCTTATATTAGCTAAGACTAAATAGGTTTTTTTATTACTAATAGCCTATTTATTACTATAAATAGTAATAAGAACTAACTATTATTTACTATTATTAATTATCCTAATCTAAAGGCTAAGTAATATCCCTTCTCTACTAATACCTATCTCATTCTAAACGTTAAAGTATTATCTAATTACCTAAAACTAGTTAATTAATTACTTAAGTACCTTCTCTTTTTTATATACCTTACCGCCGGCCTTTTAACTTAATTTACCAAGATCTTAACCCTAAGGTATATTAATATTACTATTAATAGACTTTAAAATATCTTTATAGACTAGGACCTTATTATAATTATTATTAATATCTATAAGACTTTTATTAAGATATAAAAACTTAAGATTATTTACCGGTTTCTCCTAGAAAAGGTTAGAATATTATTAATTTACTACCTTTAGTTTATCATTCTATTTAATATAGCCTTATTACTAAACCTACCTTATAATTAAGATTATATTAAATTACCTTTCTTATAGT